AAAATGTGAAAGTGATTGAATTCCAAATAATATCTCCGGAGTCCGTACGGAGAGATTGAGCAAATCTATCCGAAGGCCGACCCAACCATCAGGTACGTCCGTATGCATGCATGAGCAGTACGTATTGCAAGATGTAGGGCATGGTTGGCTGATCAGTTGACGGTATTGCCGAGGGAGAATTAATAATCTATAATAAGCATATACAATATGTATCCATGATGCATATGCGATATTATTGATTCGTAGGAATATTGGAAATGTGGAAAAGAGAGCTGTGTATCTAACAAAGATGCATTCCAACTCTGTCTAGACTCGATTAAAATCTTCGGTTCTCGAGACCAGCCCAAAATGAAAACAGCATACGTCTTCGAGTCTTGATATGCTGTGACATTGGCGTGTAACCAACCCTAGAAAAGATGTTAAAAAAAGGCAGCCAATAACACGCTACATGCTGCTCCTATGTAGCGAGTTATAGATGTATGTACATACAGCGGCCCAAGCCCTTGCAGGTCTATCGTTTTACCTTTTTTTTTTTCTCTCTTTCTCCCCCGCTTATTTGTGCTTTACTTTTTTTTCCGTTCTTGGGGTATCCGTATGCATCATGCAATGCAACCCTTACTCACTCGGACCCCTGGTATGTTCGTGTACAAAAGGGAAATCTAGGTAGTATCAGATTGAGGCTCTTTTTATCCATGTGACCTTATACTCTTGTTCGTATTCATTGGGCTGTTTGGTGATTTCCGGTCAGTCAAAAGAACATTGAAACATTGAATGATATTGTAGAGAGATATACATATATATTAACCGAGAGAAATGGCAGACCAAGCAAACTCAGAGAGCATCCAGAATTAAACCATACACTTCTGTGTAATTATACCATCAATTAACCGTAAGATTTAATAGCACAGTACAGTATCTCGAAAAAATCCCAGCGTTTGATGGGGTGAGGGACCTGACTGCTGATGGACGGATTATTTCCTATTTTGGAAATCTGTACCTCTTTCGTCTCATCCAGACTATTACCAATGCTGACTACCTAGAGATAGCAATAATCATATGGAAGAGAGTAAATAGATAGATTGACTATTAAGCAGGCTTCAACAGCTCGAAATGAAGTTTAAGTATATGTCACATTACAATAGGGGGAATTTGTATGGAAGAATGGCCTGGAAGAGGTGATTCAGGGCAAACTGCAAGGGAGGATATAATTGAAGTTAGGATGATCGATTCCCCTTATTAATAAAGCTTATAGAATTGTCGAACAAGTAATAGGCGAGGAAATGCGTCATGCAAGCAAGTTTCGTCTCTATCGGAATGTCAATTGACTCCAACCTTGGATCAATTTAATTGTGCATGGGAAATTTATACGAATAAGGAGTTGTTTGATAATGGGTTATACCTCAAGGAAGATGTAATTACAGCTGAATATTACTTCTATATGATCCAGATGGCTGCCTCAACAGACTTGATCTACATCAATGGTGAAAGCCGTCGATCAAAACTAGACGAACAAGCTGTGCAGTATTCTGTACAGTCGAATATATGATGGATCTCTGGCTATATTGTCAAGTAAAAGAGATTTACAAGGGCATTTAGCCATGACCAAGAGCCAGACAAACATCACCCTCACGAGTGGGCATTCGGGAAGCATTCTAGAGTAGTCATACGTGGCTGCTCAGTAGCCTGTCAAGGAGAATAGGTCGATACATATGGTGTAGCTGTATCAAGCCCGTATTCATAAGATCACAGTGTTGCAGTAATTTGACGAGTTGTGCCTTTGTAAACGCACATTTCGTAAAAAGGGGTTATCAAGCTACAAGGTAGCTACCACGTCCCAACATATCTAAACCCATCAGAATACAGTGCTAATTTATTTAGGGCTTGAGAGTAGATTAATCTAGAGTAATTTGAAACGCACTTTTGCGCCATGCGCAGAGCCAGGACGATGGGGATGACCCACTGAACACGAGGTGCATTTCATCTTGGCCTTCCTATACAAGTCCATTGGTTTACAACAAGCTTGGAACATCAGCCTTATGGGCCGCTTGCTTCGAAAGAGGCAGCTCTATTTTAGCGTCAAGTCATTTATCTATGTACGGGGTTGAGAATAGGGGTAAGTGGATCTCAAAACGCATGCCAGACGGAAGAGTAAATGAACAAGACAGCGCGGTTGGTCCCAACGACGCTGCTAGCACCACGAAGTAAATTAACTCAATTCATCCTTGGCTTCTACTAAATTCACAGGGTGTAGGATTCCTATGAGGTGTCTCCTTTACTGTGCATATGGATCTGGGTACGTGTCGTTGCTCCTAGCCTGTCAAACCTAAACGGGACGTGCTCGTGCTGTGCCTGTGGCTTTGCTAGACTGACCATCGAGAGCTGAGAATGTCTTGGTATTTGTACTCTAAGGTGTAAAAGACTTAACATACACGAATACTCATGTTACGACGCGAGACAACACGTTTTATGGCCAAAGATCGGCATGCATACAGACACAACGTACCTCCAACAAGTAAGCCTAATCTCCCAGGATTTGGACGGTGTAATGGAGAGCATAACAAACCTGACGCTTTCAATGCATTGACAGATAGATATCCTGTTTATGCGCCGAGGTCCTTGCGGGCTCTGATCATCAATGAGATGCAGGTCTCATACATACGGAGATCTCCGTAAATTTACTTTGTGAATGCAATCTACTTTCCTCGGACTCTAGAGGTGCAGCAATGCAATGCACCGCCTCAGTTGGCGTAAATGCATTCTTGATATCTTACTCATCTTATACATGATATAGCACATGCCGATGTACATATGCCATATTGACTAGTCGAATGTACCTGTTTTCTACAAGACATACCGTAAAAAAATGGGCTGAACCGTGCTCAGCTCACTGACCATGTTGAATGATCAAAAGTATAATCTCCACGTAGTCAAAGCATTTTGAACGCAAAGTGGAAAGTTAAACTCCAAGCCCGACGTATACAGCAATATTCAGCCCTACGAGTGGAGACTGGCCGCTTCTCGAGTGTTTAGATCGAATGCTGAGTGATCATGCAGTAAGGGTAAGTATACAACAAGCAATACGGTCAAATCCTCAGTAATTACTTGACAATTACGATATGACGTTGTGGTGATTCTGGTGGTTCGTCTTCTGGCTATTTCATATCAAGATAACTAACGCACTTCTGTAATTCCAGGCTCAAAAGGGATTTACGTACTACAGAAACGTGAAATCCTACTCGGGATTAATTCTACACCCGAATGACAATAAAAACCGAGATCAACTCATCATACGTTACATTCGTCTTGAGTCCAGTAAGCGAGGTCAGATTCTTATGTACGGAGTTGACTCCGAAAAGCTTACCGCTTGTCGGCTCCATCCTCTCATACAACCCACGCTAATCGCCTAGTAAACATAGTGGTATGATAAATAAATAACACAGCCCTAAACACTGAAAGTAGCGGATCCGCAAAAAATCTAATTCGTGGTCTTGAGAGCCGACCCGTTTCTGGACCGTTGTCCCGTCGAGCCGTTGTTGGGATTCTGACTCGGGAATCGGAATCCGTTCTGTGATTTGCTTTTTGAGGATTTGTTGTGTTATTGCACGGATTCCTTCTTTCAGTTAGAGGTGTACTATGTCTGAATCCTTGCACACTAAGAACAACGACTACGGAAGACGAGCCAGTGCCTTTTCTTGCTCCTGAATCTAAGAATCATTACAGTCCTTTCGAAATTGCAATACAAACCAAAAATCCAGACCAGACTGATCAACTGACATGGACCAATGGTCCCTTGACGAGCTATGGCTGACGTGATCATACAATCTAATTTACTAACTAAAGCATGCAGGAAAAAGATTGAAAACACACATCTACCGGTCTCTTCTACAAACTGATTGGCCGGGTCACCAACTGCAATAACACGTCAACTAGTCAGAGCTTGGTTAGATATCTCAGGGTATCCTAGATAGGGGCTTCCAACCTGAACCAAAACAGTCTAGAAGATGCATTCCTGAAACCCATAGGGCTGAGCCATTTTTTACCAGCCTCTAGTAACGCACTACGTAACAATGGAAATAACCTAGTAATCAGTCTAACGACACTAACAATCTAGCCTTAAAACTTGACATATAGCCAGGGATAATCCCCAAGTTACTTTTTGACCTTCCCCTCGGGCACCTCGGGGACTCGGAGGGATGTCGGGCTCGTTTACGAAGTGACGAATCAGGTTCAGGAATTGGCTTATATCCTGTTCGAGCTAAATGTTTGTTGGGGTGCGTACTACGTATCTAGTTGTCTTGACTAACTTGGTGATGTGGCCAGGGAGTGTAAATAACGGCTAAGGAAGGCTGGTATGTGTATTGGTACTGTTGTGTATAGCAGATGTCTGGGTCCGGAGTGCATTAACTCATGAGTACGTATGGAGTGTCTATCAATCTAATGTTTGTTCATGTATTGACTATCTTTTGGATTCTTCTGTATTCAAAGTTCAAATTGTCAGGGGTTTCCAATCACCAAGTATGGCAACTCGTTGGCCGATGTAAGCACTAAGTTAGTTGAATGAATGGAACTGTGGACTATCTCTAGATGGTAGACCCAGGATCTCGGGCAGCGGCTAATGAGTTAGCTGTTTAGTTAATAGCTAGTGCTCTATCAGTGCAAATTTTTGTGCTTTAGTCAAGAACTTCGGAGATAGACCATCGAATCGAACTTTACTAAGTGCGGTCTTTCGGGAGAATGATTGCGACTCCTTGATTGAAGAGTACATGCTGTCTTTGATTGAAATTGATTACTACTGGATTGAATTATTAATTGGTATTTTCAAAATCAATATGTAGTGGTAGTCGATAGTTTCAAATGTATTCTTTGAAAGAGCGTATTAGAGATAGCTATCACAACCCTAACTAGACGGCTTTATGACGTCCCAAACATGAATAGCCATGCAATAAGTATGAGTAACAGTACATAGTACAATGAGAAATCCATTAGCCAACCTGGACTGTTCACTCTCTTTCGTAGCCACAGGCGGAAGCTCCTTCGTTCTTTTCATTAGAACCTTTATTAGCTTCCTGGTCGTCGAGTAACATCGGTGCAGTACTGCGTGTGCTACTCTGTCGACATACATTGCCCTTCGACCACTCTGGCGATGCGAGTATGTCCAGCAGGCGATCGACAAGTAGAACTGTAATAATTAGCTTGTGAACGCCCAGTCATCGAACAGCACTCACCAGCTAGCATTGTCAAAGAGAACGTATATAGAATAATAGGATGCGTCATATATCTGTAAGTCAAGTCGAAGTTTTCTGCAAAAGCAATTTGAGATATCAATATGACTGCGCAGACAACCCGAAAGGCCACAGCAATTGCATTGAACCAAGGTCTGGGATGCCGGCTTGTCAATGTTGCAAAGATGGCAAAGTGCAGCATTTCCAGACCAACAGTGATAAAATAATAGACGTAGACAAAGGCAAGGAGGCTAAGGTACAGTTTCACATACTGCATGCCCGCGGAGCTCGTGGAGTCTGGATCTTCAAGCGTAATACCCATACTCGAGAAGAGAGCAACCGTCACATTTCCTGTAAGGAATCGTCCTTGCTCCTCGTTGATACCGTACGCCTTGGCCCCAGTGGAATTCGCGCTTGAACAGATGTTCGTTTGATTCCATAGAGTTCCGAGCACGTGGTGTATAGCTGCCTTTTCATGAGGCGCTTTTGTGTAATCGATTTCCATGTCGGTGATCGTGCGGTTAAGCAGATTTAACGCCGAATTTATAGCTGGTCGCGGTTCCTCGCATGCAAAATTGGTAGTTTCCAGCAAATATCGTAGCTTTAGCGAGATATCCAGAGCTAAAGCTAAAATTTGACATGCTTCGGATGAAAGAATTATGCATACATGGAACGGAAAGTGCAACTGAGTCCATATCTGCTGTCGTATCTTTCCATAGGATTGTCGTGGGGAAATATCATAATATGAATGCCAAAGAAGATACTGTTATCGTCAGGTTCATGGTCCAATGGAAACGTATTTGGTAAAACATACCACAGTTGTCACAACGCCCATAACATGCAGTAGAGATGCAAATGTCCAACCGCCACCAGCAATCATTTTGTTTACGATCCTAGTCACAGAAATCACATGCTCACCAATAATGATCAAGGTCAACAATCCCATTCTCGTCGTAAGGTGAGTATCATCAAGTTCAATGCCCGGGCTATAGTTTGACGTAGTAATTACCACCAGAGACTCGAACAGAAACAGGCCAAACCAAACTAGCCAGATATAGGGCTCGCTTGGCTTCAACGCCAGAAACATCTGCCTGCGTTAGCGAGCCTACTTTTCCGGACATAACATTCCTTACTATCAAGTATGAGATCCCGGTGATGCTATGCAGGCCGATAATTACAGACATCCCTTTCACTGCCGTACGTAATTTCCCGTAAATGAGCCAAAGATTAATGCCATACTGCAATGCAAGCATGAAGCGGCTTCCAGAAAGCAATATCGACAGAGATCTGAAAGCCCAGACATTCTCAGCTTTGATCTGCGAGGAGAACCGCGATCCAGCCGAGGCAAAGCCAACCATAGCAGACAACTGGACGACCTTGCAGATGCGCTCAAAGATTGAATCGCGAGAAAACCGTATATCGAAAAGAGTAACTTGGAGCCATGTGAACCAAATGATGCCCACAAACCCGACATATGACCACACCGCTAGAAGGAGGTCAGATTTGTATTCCCCTTGACTGTTTATAGCGCGCAGCACCGACCTTGGATATTGTTTATTTCGTGGGTAGCAGAGAACGTGGCGAGATTAGCGACGAGGAACACATCGTAGAACAATTCAATAGGGTTGGCATCGGAGCGCTGGCGTAAACGTGGTGGTCTGCCATTAATCTGATCGAGAGGGCTAGCCAGCCAAGGGATGACATGAGGAGTATTGCTGAGTGGAATTAGTAGTTGACTGGCAGTGCAGATATGAGCAGTACTTACGGGGAAGTGTCTGTCCGTGATTGCCTACGGATTGAGTAGGTCCTGAAGGAAAGAAATGACGACCGTGGCATGATAAGTGGATTATTCAAGTCTATAGCTAACTAACAGGGGTATCACGATGTAAAAACAACAAAAAATGATGAAGTTTTGTGAAATAACAGAAGATAAAGAGTCAGTAGAAGTGCCGACTGCGGATCACGAGGTGTTCCTGAAGGAAGGTGCGTCCTCAACCCGTTTGCTTCCATACTCAGATAGACATTTACTCAACTTCGGAATCAGTTCGAGATGCTACTAAAGACGTTCCCAAACTCTCCAAGCCTCGGCCAGTCGAAGAAACATCTCCAGGCAATCCCTTTTCTCCCGGAATGAGGCCAGCTTCCACTCGCAGCTTCTCGTAATGTTCGCCAGCTTCCTTGATGAGCGTCTGAATTTCAACTTCGCGGACTGCAATGTCGGCTTTCTCCTTTCGTAGCTCTTCCATGCGATCGACCAAGGCTTTCTTGGAACTCTCCATTTCTGCTAGCGATGTACGAAGACGGCTTATAACACTAGGTAGATTGGGTAAGGGGGCGATCTTTGGCGGCGTTTTCGATCGACTCGTATCATCTCGGTCATGACCCAACCCGTCCATACCAGCGCGAGTCTGCGCAGCCTCGTAGGCAGCATTACGCTCTGCATCCGAGTCCTCCTCTTCCGAGCCTGCCTCTGCCTCGTTAATCATTTCGCGCATTTGCTCGCGATTTTTTCGTTGCTGTTCCCGCTCAGCCTTTCGACCAAGAGATATCTTCCCATCCTCGACGAACTCGTCAAACCCTTCCGCAAAGTCCTCGTCATCTGGAACTAGGCGAGTCTGTTCTTTTCGAGAGTCCAAGGCTGTACCATCATCTTCAGCCTCATCCCGGTCATCCAAAGAGATATATTCCTGCTCGTTAGCCAGCCTCGCTCTGCGGGCTTTTTTCTCTCGAATCTCTGCCTCACTAGGTATGACTGTGGCACTGGATGTTTCCATTATCTCGCCAAATTTGGCCGCAATATCAATGAAATTTCGTTCATTCTTCACCTCCGCCGACTCACTATCTGCGGGTTTGGGTGTGGAAGGCGTCGAGCTTCGTAATTCCTTGATGTAATCTTCTCCGTATATAGGTCTATCTTGATCTTGCCCAACTCGAAACGGAAGATGCTGATTGGATCCACTCGCGTTTGCTGCTTTCTGAAATGTGTTTTTCTCGAGCACGCGACGACCAAGACCTGGTCTCTTGGGAGTAATAACCTCGCTACTTTCGCCGCCATCATCTGTCATCGAAGTCTCGCCGGGCCCGAATGAGAGGCGGAGTTTCGATTTTTGTTTCGATTTCAAGCTTCCCGGTCTTTTAACAACTGGTCCATTATCTGTCAAACATATTAGTTTCCTTTTCCGAAGTGAGTTCAGTGGGGTTGCTCAAACCTTGCTCCGTCGTAGCATCCTCGCTGCCAATCTTTCGCGGCTTTCGGCGAGTCGTGAACGGCGAGTTCATATTTTCTATATAGCCTGGCAAACTTCTATTGAGGCGATTCAAAAATCAGTCCGCTGACTACTGTCAAATCTGCTGGTGGAAGTAAGTTATCGCCTTCGATAAAAAATGACATAGAAGTTCCGCATTGATAAAAGATCCGCGGCCAATCATTTTTCCGAGGGAGCTCTATCGTACTAAGGACCGCAACAACAACTTCGGAGCACATCTTTAACTGAATACCATCCTTACACGTCAAAGCATAAATTGAGAAAGGGCTGAAAGCAACACCGTCAAAATGCCTCAAGCTCAGCCAGAACTCAAGAAGGTCCGTTCCCAGATTTCCCTATTGCGATCAAGCAGGTTGTCATACAGTTGATTTTTTCCAACGGAGGGGAAGCTAACCTCGATATCGCATGGCTCTATAGTACATGGAAAAGCGGTTGTTTGTGCAACTGAACGGAAATCGCAAAGTGATTGGTATTCTACGAGGTTATGATGTGCGTGTTTTCAATACCGGGATCGATCCTGCCACTTCACAAAACGTGCGGACTGACTTTTTGCAGGTCTTTATGAACATTGTTCTTGACGACGCCGTGGAGGAAAAGCCCGATGGAGGGAAAGATAGGTTAGGCATGGTGGTACGTTCGTCACAGCGCAGCAACTGTTTTGATTGAGACGAACGGTGTGAAGATTTGGATTGGAGCGCGCATGCTGATTTTATATGTTGTTTGGACAGGTTATTCGAGGAAACTCGGTCGTCATGCTTGAGGTATATCTTAATCCCCTTTTGATTCTGCACTCCGACCAAAATCATGTAAACTAACTTGTTTCCTCTCTTCAGGCACTGGAGCGTATCGGCGATTAAATAAAGAAACGTAACAGCTCACAGCTCCCTTCTCTCGGCACAATTATCAAAAAAATCTCGAGCACGGAAAGACAGTTAATTACACTTGGGTTCAATTCTTTCTTTGTTAAACATCACTGGAGTTCACGGATGGCCGGCTTTTTTAATCGCACGTGTGTTATTCTTGAGGATCTTTATTCGTTTGTGTCCGATTACAGGGCATAGAGAGAGGGAGTGAGGAAGGGGGTAGGAAAAAGGGAATAGGAAAATGACATGGAAGCTCTGTTGGTCATCTGGAAGGACTTCTTCAGGACTGAGAAAGGGGCCATTTGTTCTTCGAAGAGGAAGGGATCAGATGCAGCCCTGCAAAATTCGCTATGTTCTTTGAAGAATGAGGAAGCATTCGTTGCAGAAATGATGATATCGAAGAGATACCCTATATGAAGGAAATAGAATAAACCTGCACAAATTCTCCTAAGGCTCATTGACTCGAGAGACGTTACGCGTTTCTAGAGCCATCTATCTACCGTGTAGCCCTCTTTTCGAGTGTTGTCTACCTAGGCACCTTGTAAAGCTATTTTAATGGGTATACCATACCCGGTCTATGCAATTGCTTATGTTCATACTCGGTAGGTACGACACTCTTAGAGCCTAGTTTCAAGATACGTATGAGCTTTGAATTGGCTTGTTTCTGATGCAACTGGACCACTACACTACAACAATTGTAATCTGTATGCGCAGTAGCACTGAATAATGACGATGAACAACCATGATGTTGCTGATGCTGGTGCTTGAGTCGCTACTAAAAAAGAAAAGCACAGTTGTGTAATAGTAAATGTGGTTAGATTGATGAAAAAAGGTGATTCGTTAAATCTTATTTTTGACCGCCCAATTTGAGTTTCAGTTTCAGTCCACCTGGAGTGGACGGAGTCGTGGCAGGGGACTGTGAGATTGGAGCAGGAGGAGGCATGGCAATGAAGCTTGGAATGCGTAATTTGGTGACTTTGCGTTGTTCGGGTTGAGGAGCAGGAGGAGGGGTAGGAGTTGGCATAGAAGGAACCTTGCTAATGTTATGAATGTCGACGCTGGATTTGGATTGTTTGAAAGTAATTCGAGGACCAGGTGGTGGCATGCCTGTTTCTTCGCGCTTTCGTTTTGCGCCTGCGACAGTTGTTCCGTTGGCGTCTTTGGCAGGGCCTAGGGATACCCGGTACCGGTTCGATTTGTAGAATCGCATCAGACCCTACCAAATAGTCAGCATGGTTGTTAAGATCAATTAGGTTGAAGATATCAAATATACTTACACCTTCAATGCGCTGGCATTTCCAGTATCGCGGGTACTTCAACCTCACAGGGACAGATGTTTTCGCATCGTACAAGACCCGGCATAGATCGGCATAGTTGGATATCTCCAAAGTGCCTACACATGAGGAATTGCTTGCGGCCCATAGAGCTTCCTTCAACGTGGTGTTTTGTGCTAGCTCCTGTTTAAGTGCCTCTAGAGCCCCAGACATTGTCTGTTTCCTGGCTAGATTCGCACGGCGTACATCAGTCGTAGATTCTTGTTCAATGATAACACCCTCGCTTTGTGTAGATTCGGTCACAGTCTGATCGGTCCCAAAGGCGACAGTAGCAAGCGCCCTACCGAAAAGGCAATGAAGTTGTTGACGAACCCACGCAGAACTATCCGAGGACATGTTGAAAATGAACCATCGAAGCAGTTCGGGGGTCTTGAAGATGTCCAGCTCTACTAGACACTCAAACGCGTCTATTCGCAGCATATCAAATGTTCCGGCCCGTGTGTATTGTAGAAAGTGAATAAGGTCAAGATCCATGATCCTGGCTTTAGTGAGTTGCAACTGGCAGTGCAACGCAGTCCGTGAATAAATATTCTGGAAGGAGCTAGACCACTCGTCCATACGCCTATATCTGTCGATTTCTGCAATGACATCTTGCTCGAGTTTGTCTTCGGCTTGGCGTTCCAGTTCTTTATCCATATCGAACTCCATATCGTCTTGTGATGGCGTCTCTGCAATGCGACCCTCAAGAGCATTGACCAACGAGGCCATAAGAGAAGCAATGTAAAAGTTATCCGAGTACTAGAATTTAGCAAGTGGTTAGCGAAGACCATCTTAGGAATGAAGTGTCATGTAGAGAAGAGATCCATACCTCGTTATTCGAATTGTCGCTAAATCTGAGCTTGTCGAATAGAAACTGTTTCACCCTCAGCGGAGTTTTTCCATTGTTATCACGGATGCGCGATATTGCTTCAGGAATAACTTTCTGCAGTATGTACGACGCATGATCGGAAAAGTCGTTGTCACGAGTGACGTGTGTCCCTGGGAGGCAAAATAGTTCTTGGAATGCTCTTTCCAAATGATAAAGACCTAGCCAGTCGAGTTCCTCCTTTGCGTGTTTCACTAGCGCATATGCTGCAGCAGTACGAATGCCATGAAAATAGCGTTTGTCCATCAGGGTTCGAACAAATATCGTGGATATCAGCGGGTGAGGTTTTTGAATAGCCATGTATTGCATCGACTGCATACGACATGATTAGTTGTAACGCGGAAAACCACAAGGGTTTGAACTTACCTCGAGTTGAGCGACGACGTCCCGATCCTGCTGCAACTGTGACAGATACATGTAGCCTGGCATGACCAAAGACATTTTGCAGATCCATTCAAAATCTGCATCCATCCTGATCCATTCATAAGATTCTTGACCCATGCGTTCCTCCTCCTCTTTGCTCCAATCTGATAACCTCCATTCCTGCATATCCTCCTCAGTCTGTAGTACATCACCAAGGCAATAAAGGAGGACATCATCTTGTGATTCTGCAGTTGAATCAGCTCCTGCATTTAGCGTCACACGCTCTTTTTGTCTCTTATTCCGTTTGAGTCTCTTGTATTTAGTGTTGTATGGTACCTCAAACTTGGTAACAGCTTCTTTTATCTCAACAATGTGTTCATAGGGTGTGCCGTCAGCCTCGTGAATTCGTATCGTCATCGAACCGGTAAAGATGGGTTGAACGGGTGCTGCATAAATGCTGCGGATTTCTTCCTTCATATCTCGCAAGAATGATGATTTCTCGAGGTTCTTAGGTGGCTGGGGTTCTCCTTGCGATTGTTTGATCATAATCTCTACTACCAATTTCTTCTTGTTAAAACGCTGAGTAGCCGTAAACCGGGGACAGCCAGCACCAAAAACCCACTGGTTGAAGAAGACTTCCAGTTTGCAATGTCCAAACCTTTCACACAATTTGATGAAACCCTGTGTGTAGACAGATCCGTTTGTCAGGTCTCCCATACGGTTGTTGAGCAGGAGACGACCTATGATTCGTGATAAAGTTGGCTTTCCGCTGATTTTGACAAGACGGCGCTCAAGAATGAAAAGTATCAGAGGGGCTTTCAAGGCAACGAATTCCATTTCGGATGGATCCAGTTTCAAAATGTTGCCCATGTCGAAGAGTGCTGGCCGTTCAAAATCAAGCTCACAGACCCGGTCAGACATTTGTTTAATGCGAAATCGATACTCGTTGTTCCCACATAGCTTCTTCATGAATGTATCGGTAATGTAATAGGCCATGCCAACGGTGACCCATGTATCTGCTTGTGTTCTTGGAATAAGGCTCACACCAATCCACTGAGAAGCTAGAGCGTAGACTAGACTTCTCGTCGAGTCGTAAATGGGATCAATGATATTTTCTGGAAACAGCAGACGATTGCTGCATATTGAAAGAGAGGCGGTTGATACTGTGTCGCAAGCTGCATCGTCCACAAAGCAGAGACTGTAACCCGAGTAAGGATACGAGCCGTATGTCACAGAAAAGTAGTCAATAGCTTTCGCTATTGGAAAACACGTGTTCTTGACTTCATTTGTCCTGCCGGGAAGACAATATGCATCCACGGGAACCGCATTATCACCCAATTGCTCATCTTGATCACTTTCGCGGAACTGTGATAAGTTGACATGTTCAAACGGGCCCACGGCGAACCCGATTTGCTGAGCAGAAATATTGGAGACACTAGAGAAAGAGACACTCTTCCTAGATGAGTCTTTCGGGTCGACGATTTCATCGGTCGTGTCACCTGAGCATACAACAGTCATATCCAGCGTACTGTCATCATCGGAGAGTGTGGCACCGGGTCGAACTTTATGTGTTGCAGGGCTCTTCGATATTTCGGGCACTTTGCGTTCAAATACAGCATTCAAAGAGCAAGGGCACTTGATAGTAACATCCCATGGGCATCTAACCAGTGGATCATCAACACACGGGAACAGACAACTACCCGCACCCGGCCCAGTGGAATTTGTAGTGTAAGCATGTGGATATCGCCTATCATCGCTGTCGACTCCAACGAACTGCAGACCATCTCGCACGTTATCCACGGTGAATTCGATAGAAACGTTGAGCGCGGTGTAACGGGGTAAGGAAGTTTCCGCCGGTTTCACGCTAGGTCCATCGCCATCGTCTGGGTTTCCTATAGATGACCTAAGAGCCAGCCGATCTTGGGCATCCAACGAAAATGGATCCAACTCTTCGATTTTCAGTGTCTTTGGTATTGTGATAAGAAGCTCGGGTTCGGGTGGCGAGCTGAGCAATTTCTCGACTTCGTCGGAGAGCCGTTGGTGATATTGAACGCCGTACAGGTTAAGGGTCGAATATGGATCCGTATACTTGATGGCTGTGGCTGCTTTCCCGTTGATATTCACTCGTTTGATTTGTCCTTGGCGAAAATTGAGCTTGATGACTCGGAATTCTCTATGGTGTGGATGAATAGTTATTTCAGTCTTTCCCTTTACACTTTTCGTAGCAAAGTCCACCTCTAATTCAAGATTTTGGTGAGCGACAGTGAAGTCTCGCGTAGACCAGGCCGGCGCTGCGCTGGTAGCCGTGGGAGTCTCGACGATGCCTGGCATCTTGAGGAAGCAATTTTCGCTGCTATGGCGCTATGCGCGCAAGCCCAAATCAGACCACCTTCATGTCCATGTACCAAAAACTCCCACGGTCACCTCCTCCGAGTGACCGAAGACTGATACTTTCGATGGAAGCGCAGGTGAAGGTATGGTGAGAGCAGCGTGTTTAAAGACAGAGTTGTAGAAGTAGACCGCGACGACGATGACGAAGTGCCGAATAGTGGACGAGTGAGCTGGTAGTGACTGATTAGCGGAACTGATCAGTCGTGTAGAACTGGTGATTGCGACGAAGATTAAAAAGGAAAGACAAACAAAGCTGTATGTGCCGGCTGCTGGTAGTAGTTATGGTGTTGAATAGAGTCAATAGAATCATGAGTTGAAGAAGCTTTGCCAGCCAACTGAGTTAGGAAATCATCCATCATCGTAGGGAAAGCACGGACCATTTGCTGGTCGCAATATTAGAGCCTTATTGCCTGATAGATCAGGTATCAATAGTTACAATCACACGTGACGGAAACGGGAAAATCTTCGTTCCGACTGCCGGGCTGCCAACGGCCTGAGGCTCCAAGGCCCACGCTCAGGTGTTTCCTTCCTCTTCTTGCCTAGACTCAATTTTATCTATCCACGCCAGATCAGGCACATTGCAAGTCTTCTCCATCCAACCCCCTGATCAAATACTTTGAGTTGGTGCCTATTGTTCTACGGCTCTTCACATCATATTCCAACTATTCTTTGTTTGTACCATTTTTCTTTGACGCATTGTTGGAGACTTGAGGCCTTATCCTGCTGAACCTCCACTATATACATTTTATTTTCCTTGCAGACAATCTCCCGAATGCGATGAATTGAGGCCATACATCTTTTACACAGCGCCATTGTAGGCTTTTTATTTCGTTGTTATTATATCAGAAAACTTCGCCCACCATGCCGGGAATTTTCAAAATGGTGCAAGGTTCGTCTGTCACTTCTGTGTTTCATCGCAGCTTGACATCAGCAGACTAACATGTTCTCTTTTCTGGTAAAATCAGCGGCGCAGGACTCGCTCTCTGACGAAGCTTTGCTACCCCTCAAAACCTACAAATATTCCAGCGTGGACAAGTCATATATTTCAAATTATATTCTCAGGCATTATGTACGTCCGTTTCTTACCTGTTTACTTTCATAACAGCTGAGCTGACCGAGAACCTGTCGGAAATAGTGGAATGCCGCGGTCGAACTCCTGCCATTATCCATCGCACCTAATATGGTCACACTGCTAGGGTTTTTCTTCATCATTACCAATGTGGCTTTTGTGACAATCTTTGTGCCGGATCTCGTCGGACCGGGGCCGACCTGGATATACTATAGTTTCGCTCTCGGGATATGGATGTATTCGACGTTTGACAACATTGACGGAAAACAGGCCCGTCGCACGGGAACGTCCAGCGGATTGGGAGAATTATTTGATCATGGAATTGACTCGCTTAATTGCACCCTTGCCAGCGTGCTTCACACCGCTGCAATGGGTCTTGGCTCGACACAAATCGGCGCTTTCACGGCTCTGATTCCTTGTCTGCCCATGTTCTTCTCGACTTGGGAGACCTATCATACGCACACTCTATATCTAGGATATTTCAATGGGCCCACTGAAGGACTGCTCATCGCCATTGTGATCATGATCCTTTCTGGAATCTACGGCCCTCAGATCTGGCACAACCAAGTCGCCGATGTCTTTGGACACAAGGAGTTATTCGGAACCCATTCATTCTTGGACTACTGGGTAGCCATTGTGTTTGGTTCCTTCATGATTGCGCATTTACCCGCATGTGTTTACAACGTTGTTCAGGCCCGCCGTCGCCAAGGTTTACCAGTCTTGCCGGTTTTCATGGAATGGACCTCAATTGTCATTTTTACAGTGTCAGTGATGGGATGGCTATTTTCTCCTTACTCGACGCTGTTGGCCGAGAATCATTTGGTGCTCTTTTGCATTGTCATGTCTTTCGTCTTCGGCCGCATGACCACCAAGATCATCCTGGCTCATCTGATCAGACAGCCTTTCCCTTACTGGACGACAATGTTAGTTCCATTGATTGGCGGTGCCATCCTCGCAAACTTGCCGTATCTTGGATTCCCAGCTGTCAGTTCCGGGTTTGAGCTCTGGTACCTCCGTTTCTACCTTATCTTCGCTTTCGTCATCTACATGCACTGGGCTTTTTTGGTGATTAACAGAATTACCACTTTTCTCGGCATCAATTGTCTGACAATCAAGGAAAACAAATCGGCTGCGAGGGACCACGTCTACCGGAACTTCGGCGAACCCAGGAACAATGGAGAAAAAGCCGGCTTGAAGCATCACTGAGTTTGATTGAAGAAATCCGCTTTTTTCATTCCGCTGCCTAGACGAGTGAAACAAGCAAACAGCACGTCATTTTTATCATTCGCGTGCGGCATGTATTTTGAATATACGAAAACTGATCTTTGGAATCGACGTTCTACGATGACACAAAGAAGTGTAATATAATGAATCCCTTTCTGCTCTGGTTGACGCTTTTAATTGATCCGACTGGTTGATATGAACCATATTGATGATGGTTGATCGGCTATTCAAGACATCCGAGAAGGGTCGTATGCACCGGTGACCTTTTATTCGATGCATTCGTCAAGTTTAGTGGCCTATTCGAGGAAATAGTTGTCACAACTTTTCATGTTTGATAGATATTCTACTTTTAATATTGACTGTATGTATGAAATGAGAGGTGTATATTCGTCTAACACCACAGCCAAATGTGAGTGATGACCAGCAAAGTTAGGAACAAAAATCCCTGAAGCTCGATCTCCCACTTTTCTTTATAATCAATGTTGTATCATCGATCCCTATATCAATGCACTTCTCATTCTCGACGAAATTGATGGATATCTGTGAGCTTTCCAGATACGGTTAGCTTTCACGTGCAATACAGGCATGTCCCTGTTGTGGCTCCATCCATCTGCATCCATGTAACCACATTATTCTGATATATGAACTTGAAGAGCTTATAAGTGTCGACTACGTAGTTGGCTCCGTCTAATGGAAGATTGTTTCGGAGACTCTGAACTTTCAAACCGCTCACCCCGGGTTTGTCTCAATTGTAAGGCGCGAAAGCGAAAGTGCGACAAGACACTACCTGCATGTTCTCGCTGTGATAGGTAGGTGGTCCCATATTCTTCCTGGATATTCTTGAAGCATAATGAATCGAGTCTCAGGCTCTTGTTGCGATGTGAATATGACAGCACAGACTCTATTGTTGCAGACAATGATTTCTCCAACATATCCTCCTCGCTGCGCTTAATCAGTTCGGTTTTCGGGAGTTGGATGTCATGGGTCCGGAATTTTTATCTCTCGGTACAGAAAATGCATTTGAATTCTTCTGAGAACTTTGTATCCACGTATTTGGTCACAGTTCACAGATGGTTTCCTATCATTGACGAGGAGCGGTTCAAGGACCGTCTTGAATCCCACTCATACGAATATGACATAAATGATTTTCTCTTGCTGACAAGCATATACTTGATTGTGCGGCGTCCAGATGAGCAGCAACGCCCAGCAATTATGGATGATGATCCATATCAGGCTGTGCGGCATTTCTATTTCCACGTTTTTGCAGACTTGACCAGCGAGCCATCAATACAGTTTCTCCAAAGTGGACTGTTGTTGGCCACCTACGAGTATGGCCATGGGCTTGTGGATGCCGCTCGCAATACTCTGTTTTCCTGTCTCTCTGCGAGTATGTTGTTAGGTCTTCACCAGACGAAGGCTCCGTTGGGCGTGGATAGCGCCTGGAAACGTGCCATGAAGGATGAAGCTACGCTGATTTGTTGGGCCATTGTTGTTACTGATCGGTAATTACCACCCCCTGTGTACATCTGCCACCAGTGGTTGGACTAACCTGGGTGTTATTATAGGATAATTGTGCATCTTCTATCAGGAAGCTTCAGCTACCCGTCACAAAGATAATCGACGAAGCCAATCTTCTCTCTGACTTGGAAGTTACGGAGAATAAAAGTGACGGTAGATTGTCGTGGGATCATGATGCATATACCGCAACAAGCTTCTATCGTCAAGTCCAGTCTTCGGTGCTAGTTGGAAATGTGTTAGACCTAATACTCAATGCGACAGATCCATTTTCTGAGGAATGTCAAAGACGATTTAAAGTGTTGGATTCGCAGCTTCAGTGTGCCATTCACCTTACTCTACAAACAGAAACTGCGGGTCAATTGAATTCCGTTTCTGAGGCTCTGTCCCTGAATAGAAGGTACTTCACCTGAACACAACGTGGCTTGATATGTTTCCCCCGGATTCTAACTGTTGCATATCCATGGATAGCGCGTTCTTCCTATTAAATTGGTGGCAGTACGAACATTCACAGAAGATCAACAACGAAGCCGCGCTTTTGCAATCGAGAATGGCCCTAGAGTCCGTCATAAGGATAACAGTAGAGACTGTGAGCGACTTTCTACCACGGATTTATGCCGGTTGGTTCAATGGAGTTCAATGCATATTCCTTGCAGCAGTTACAGCGATGCAACTGGATCCTACCAACAGTACGAGAGTGGAAGAATTGAAGGAAATGTTGGGAATCCAGTCGCTTAGATGGAACTCTGCAGGTATTTCATTTTCTAATCCGAGAAATGAACTATGACTGAATGTTTCTATAGCTGAGTACCTTCGTATCCTCTAGCATATGAGCGACAAGAACTGGGTAGCACCATGTTAACACTTGATATTGTTCTACTTCGTGGCTATCCTATTACTATTTGGAGAACCTCCCACCGTGTTGGACCTGGATTTAAAAACATATTTTGACTGCTCCGATGAATCATTTGAACCCGAACACCTGCCAAATCTACACTCTCCAAGGAGGGTAGCCACACTTAGCAAGTCTTTCAGGACACCATGAGCAACTCCTTACGTGGACCGGAAGACCAATCCAATATATGTCTGAAGAGATTCCGAAATATCCATGGACACCACGATGAAAATCATACTTCGGCCTTGGAGAGGCTTAATATTCCATGTTTCACGGCTTCAACACGACATGACTCTCAAATCCAGATAACCTTCCTGCAGCCTGAAGCGCATCACCAACCGATTCAAGTCCAAACTCCTGTGTCTCCTTGATTCCAATACCGCTCCCAAGCTTAAGCACTCCTGATTCGACCATCTGAATCATCTGCAGCACATGTTGTCGCGAGTACATGAATCGACCTTGAATTCGGATACTTTTAAACATAATATCCAGATAAGGCACATTAATGTTTCCTGAATGCCCGCCCATCAAGACAAACCTTCCAAAAGACCGCAGAGCCCCAACTGCTGCAACGAGGAGCGCGCTGTCCTCAATGGTAGGTGGTGAAAAGTCGATGTATACGTCAGCCCCCTCTGGTTTACCAGCAGCTTCCTTGAAAGCTTCTGCGTTGCTGGAAGTATCTTCTGTGAGAATCACTGTCTGCAGACGACCCGTAGATGCATGAGTAGCTTCTAGTGCTTCGAGGGCATTCTTGTTTCGACCCGCTGCCACGACTGTTGCCCCCATAGCTAGAGCTACCGCCACGGTAGCTCCTCCGTATCTTCCGGTAGCGGGTGCCACGATTACAACCTCCCCAGGATTAACATTTACCTCCGACAATCCGCCAAATGGGACCAAGCAGACAGGCATCAGACAAAGATCTGATACTGCATAACCAAATCTATTGAAGAGAACATCTTCATTCAAAGGATACAAATTCTCAAGCGGGAATTTGGTATATTCAGCATATGTTGCATTCCTCCACTCTCCATCCATCAACTTCTGCGCCGCGGGATACCCGCCTCCATGAATGCCAAATAGAATTGAAACATTTGGATCATCACGGGCACGGATCGTGATGTCGCAAAAGACGAGTTGGCCGGGGCTGAGTTTGACAGCATCAGGACCGACTTCGACTACTCTTCCTATGGCAGTGTTGCCAGGTGTTAGTGGAAGTGAGAGCGGGTACGGACGAGATCCATGGAGGACTTGATGCATGTAAGGTACGATATCTGCAGCTAGGGTACGGATCACCGCTTGACCTGCTTTGGCGACAGGACGAAGCACGGTCTCTAGAGTCAGTGGCTCGTTGCGAGAGCGAAGAATAAGAGCTTTATGAGTTGCCATTTAGTTTTGGTCGATGTCCTTGACTTGTTTCGTATATTGCTTGAAGGATGGTGCGGAATCGTAAGCTCAAGTTTAAAGAAGATGAACAATTTCACAAATAATTAGGAGATTTTGTGGAGGATTAAATAGTTTGTACGACTGCCTACAGATCTCTTAATTCAAGATGTCCTGAGGCGATTGCTCTAAAAGTTTCAGGTACTGCGTAATCCTTTGCTGTGCAGCGTTCAAGCGGCCCCGATGCGACAGAGAAAGTGCCACATACTCGACTTGTTGCTACGCACAGAACTGACGAGCGAGAGCGGGAAACTGGAAATAAGCATATGCGACCGGCTACATTATACGACATCACCCTCAAAAATTAAAGTTAGATCGAGATCGGATGTATGGCTTCTATTGATCCAGCTCGAAGTGCGGATGCAGGTGCGGGCGCCCCATCGATCCACAGTGGGCTGCGCTAGTATTCATTGGGACAGAATCAAGATGAACAGTCCTCTGGGCAGCAATGGACCTGTGATGCCGCCGCACCCTGTCCATGGTGAAAAATACCTATGACATCCGGCTGCTGGAAGATAGTATATGAATCTCTTCGGCTTTAAGATTTGTATTTCTCCTTGTTCTGTGTCCGTACCTGGAGGTTTCGGACTTAACGGAGTCGGGATCCCCCATAAATTGAATTCAACGCCGTAGGGTAGATATCCTCGATTTGTAGAAATAATTCTCGCCCTTCCCGAATATTCCTCAGATCCTGAATACGACTAGATCTATATGCTCTAAGAGAAAGTTTTCCGTATGATTATCGTTCCCAAAAATCTATCTTTACCCATTCAACTTCTTCGCCGTCTTTCAACTTTCTCTTATACCATGGGTGAACAAAACATTGTACTTATCACAGGTGCAAACCGCGGAATTGGATATGGCCTTGCGAGAAAGTTGAAGCGGCCACCCTGACTATCATGTCATCATCGGGAGTCGAGACGTCGACCAAGGCATCAAAGCAGCCTCTTCACTCTCATCTCTCGGCAGCGGAAATGTATCTTCATTGCAACTCGTCGTCACTTCAGATGAGTCAATATCATCAGCCAAAAATACCATAGAAGACAAATACGGACGACTTGATGTACTCGTCAATAATGCCGGTATTACTCTTGACGTGAAGGAAAAAGGGACACCGATACGCAGTCTAATGCAACGGACTTTCGAAGTCAATGTATTCGGCGCAGCTGCAGTGACGGAAGCTTTCATCCCTCTCCTTGAGAAATCCAGCAATCCGCGGATCGTGTTTACCTCGTCGTCTGTGGGTTCTCTCACCCGAGCTTCAGACTTGACGAATCCTTGGTCCAAGACGCCGATCACGACTTACAGGACAAGTAAACCTGCTTTGAATATGTTGATGCTGTCTTATGCGGCCCTGTTGCATGAAAAGGGCTTCAAAGTTAATGCTTCTTGTCCGGGGTACATTGGGACGAACTTGAATGATCATAGGGGAACGGGGAGTATAGATGATGGTGCTGTGAGCCTGGCTCGGCCTGTGACTCTCAGGAAGGATGGCGAGACAGGGACATTTTCAACAGCTGAAGAAGTAAGGCCGTGGTGAGTAGTCTTTTGGTGAAGGATGAAGTATGTTCACACTTTCTAAGGTTCAGGATTTTTGCTGGCTTTTGATAAACATATTTCTAGCGGTAGTAAGTGAAGGCTCCTTATATTTGGTAGGAAGTACCTCAATAGCATTGCATGGGTACTTATATACCCTTTGCCGCATAGCAATTCTCTATAAAGACATAAAAAGTCATTGTCGGCAGACATACTAACCCCTAGCCGTCCTCGCGAGCCAGGCCTCACATAAGTGTCACAAGTTAGAGTGCTGCATGATTCTTCTTCTTCAATCGAGATAACTTTACAATATTTATCCCTGCCTTCTCCTCTTTATTATCTCCTTATGAGTATTGCCAGAGCGAGAGCTAACTCCTGTCCACGCGTTCCAATCTGGCTCCGATGGATTGCTTTCGCGGAATCGTGTGTGATGGATGGATTTAGGGCAGGAGATTACGCCCCCATTCTTCAGAGCTGTCGGAACTAAATTACCACTTCACCAAAAAGAGGATCCCCTTAATGGGGCTTCTTGGTAATGGTTTGTATTCCAGCGCAGATGTTCCGTATCTGCTCATACTGTGTTGAAATCACGTGATCTAATTTCTGCTAAGAGCGGTGAATCATGTGATTTCCTTTCCGCGTTCGGCAGAGTTTGCACTGTCTGCCTAAACTTCAAACAACACAAAATTCGCTTCAAACGAGACAAACATCACATCATACTGCATTTGGCGCTATCGTCCAAACTTTCTGTACAAGTCGAGCCTTTCAAGATCGAAACGGACTCGAGTCAGATTTTCGTCTCAAAACGAGCTCGTTGAGCTTGTTTTGTCGGGGAGTGTATTTGTCTTTTTTGTGTAGGTACGGTCGCGACAGGGGGACCGGGGTTTTTGTACGTTTGATTTACTCTTTGCGCTTCGTACGGGAGTTTGCAATATTGCTTGCGACTTTGCGATCGAAAGGATTGTGACCCTATTCTCAACCTAATTCGGCTCGAATAACTCGATTTACGTCTCAATCGCCCCTCTTATACATACACCATCGTCAATCGTGATGGCGTCGAATACGACGACATCCCAGCCGCAACAGCACCAACCCGACTTCCATCCCGCTTCCAACCCGCATATCGATCACATCAACTACACTACCAGCGAAAATCAGTTGGCAGGGCTTGTACAAGCAGCCACGGCAGCAGCAGGTCAGGCCGACTCTGACTGGGCAACAGCTGCTGCTGCCGCTGCCGCCGCAGGCCACCACCATCTCGAAAATTACTCGACGGAGCTACATTTACCAGACGATGGGTTTGATGAGAGTGCTTTCGGTGGTCTTGGCTCGCCCGCAGGTGCTGGTCGACAGAATCGCGCGTCGATAGTCAATGGACAAAATGCGCAAGGATTGTCTCGGACCGTTTCGAAGAAGCGCAAGAGAGGGGATGAAGCTCTGGATCCAGCGCTAACTGGGATGCCGGACCAGAATGAGCAGCATCAGCAGCCACAACAGCAATCGCAACAAGTGTTTGACGGAACCGAATTCGGAGAAATGTCACGATCACAGTCGCTGACGGATGCGCGGGCAGCTGGGGTCCATTCCGCTGCAGCTTTATTCCGTCAACCGTCAAGCAATAAGAAGTATACACGACCGCCAATGTCCCGTCTATATGCGTCGCTCGAATTATCGCCTGAGAACTTTCTACATTTGCAAGCGGCAGCGAAAAGTTATATGTTGGATGACGCTCATCCGGATCGACGAGACTGCGTGGGTCAGCGCGGAAAAGGCGACACAGAAATGGTCAAGTTGCGTCTGTGGAATTGCGTGCGCGATTTTCTCGAAGTTGAAGGGTACGGTGAACGATTCTTTGGCGAACACGTTGTTAATGAAGGAATGCCGCCGAGACAGTATATCTGGCCTCGCGATCAACACAAAATCATATCGCTTGTGATTCCGTTGCTGCGGCGCATGGTCACCAACGAGCGACAAAGACAGTATGCGATTGAGACGCGCAAGGGTGGTGCTGGCAACCAACCCGACGAGCGCAAGCGCAGAAAGACGGAAGACATCGTGCAAGCGGAGACGGCAGAGCAGACGCCAACTCAGGAATCGCATCCTCAAACTCAACAGGCTGAGCAAAAAATTCACCCACAAAATGATTATCAGAATTTGCAAAACCATTATGTACCACCACCTCCTCCATTGCCTCATCAAGACTTTTCTTCCGGACAGCAACCGGGTATTGGACTGTCGCCGCTTGTTCTAGAGGGGTATCCGACAGATTGGGACGCAGTTTCTCAGGCGTACAATATGTATAACCAAAACTACCAACTGGACACATTGTGGGGGGTGTCTGGATTACAGCAACCGGACTGGTGGGGACTCGTTGCGGCGGTGGATAGTCACTGGAAGGTGGTTCACGATGGAAATCCCACGCAATGCGCACCGCAGTGCGAAGCTCACCACCTCAATACAATCTTGTCATCGAGCGAACTTTTCCAGTTGGATTGGCGGATCGGCGGTAGCGCCGATGCCCCAGCTCGAACGGAATTGTAAGTACTGACTAATATGCCGTCTAAGCGCAACGCTGCTAATCTATTTGTTTCTGTATAGTGCGAATTCAGTCACCCGTGACCTCGATCGAATCATCAAGGAAAGCCTCATCCACAGACAAGAAAACGCGCAAAGAGAGCCTGAGCAGACGCATACCAGTGAACACGCCCCGTTTCTCTCTGCCGCATATGGTTCAGACTCGGCTCAGGGTCAGCACGCTCACCCACACGACACCTCACCCATCACCTTACACCTCAACGTCCTCCACGACGGCAAACGCATCCTTCCGCGCCTCGACGTCACAGCGGAACAATGCCCTGATCTCGCCAGCGTGCGTAATCTGATTGCGCATCGGTGGACCGGCCAATTCCCGGCGTCTACATGCGACGAGAACGGCAACGTCGTCACGACCAACTGGAAGATTCAAGTATGGCTTCCGGAGGGGTTAGTGACGGCGGATAACGATGGGGATTGGACTATTGCGCAGTTATCGGCGGGGACGATAGATTGGATGGATAATGATTTGAGGGTGATTGTAGATTTAGGTGCTTGATGTGCAGATCTTTTGTTATTAGATACCCAGATACCCCTGCTTTAGTTGAGTGTACGATAGAATTTCAAAGAGTCCGGTACCTTGGTGGTCTAATGGCCGGCACAATGTTAATCCGACCGATCATCTTCGATCTTTGACTGCACGACCAAGACCATTATAGTACTCTACGCATTCATCGCTAATATACACCCGATTTCTCTCAAGAACTCCTGTCCTATGCTCCTATCCTGGAGACAATTCCGATAGACACACAAAATCCGGGGAAGTGGACTTTTTCCCCAGCCCAGCAAAAGGACAAGATTCGCGTGTCGGAAAGTGGTTTCCGTATACCCAGGGAGATTGGCTGCAGCGGTGCAAGGGGTGGATTTATGCTTATTTTCCTCGTGTTTTATACCCCGTGGGGTTTGGACTCGATCCTGGAGTAATTTGATGTTATTCCTATGCCTTTTGTCGAGGTGAAGACTGGTGAGAGTATGTAGGTGATGAGTGATGAGAGGCGTGATACCGAGGTGGATTGCTGACAGGCGCTATTCTGTTTATGGACAAACTAGTTAAGCGAGGATTTCCTTGTTTTGGCCCTTCGCACTATCGCGTATATAATATATATATATATATACACGATAGTATATATATATCATAATACAGCTGCAATGTTAGAGTTTCTCGAAGTTTCTCGTCAGTCGGTCGGGATTTGAGTAGGCAATTGATTTGTTTGCCGACTTCTAGCTGTTTTGATGTAGTTTGACCCCGCATGCAGGAATTCCTATCAGCTGAATATCAACAATGTTTGGTACTGTTTACGAGGTTGGTTCTGTAGAATATCAGTATCGGAATAGATACCGACAGACAAATAGAACACTTTTTTAATAAGAATTACCCCTGTAGAGTATACTACTCAGTTGAAGCCAGCGAAAAACGTAGGGAAAATATCGGCACAGTGCCGTTCCCCACTCCGCATGGTTTATACGCGGTGAAATCTTGGATACGAACGACCCACGATAACTACGAGATTTTTGTCTAGTCAACCTATTCAATTAATCAGATTATTCTGACTTGTTACGGACAACGGTTTCCGTGTTCAGAAATCAGAAGAGAAACAGACAGAAATCCCCCACTCCTATCAGCGTCCGTCGCAAACTCTGCCCGCATTTATAGACCCACGAATTCCCTCCCGGCTTTTCTCTTTTCTTCATCATCTCTCATACATCCTGAGTCTCTTCCTCCTCCTGATTGTCAAGCCGAGCTACACAGTTAACCCCGCCATGGCCACCGACGACAAACTCGTCGTCGAAACCACCAACCCGACCGACGAAAAAGGACTCTCCTCTCAAGATATCTCCCTCGAAAAACCATCCTCAATGGACCGCCTAATCGCCGACGCAAAAGCCGCCACCGACAAAGAACACAAAATGACTTTACTTCAGGGAATCAGACTATATCCCAAAGCCGTGTTTTGGAGTATACTGATTTCCTCGTGTATTGTTATGGAAGGGTATGATATTAGTCTTGTGGGGAATTTGTATGGGTTTCCGGCTTTCAATAGGAAGTATGGGGAGCTGGGTGCTGATGGGACGTATCAGATTCCTGCTAGGGTATGTTTAGTCTCGTTGCATTTGAGATGAAGCTGGGCTCGGGGGTGGCTGACTTACTTGAATAGTGGCAATCGGGTTTGAGTAATGGTGCCGCGGTGGGGGAAATTATTGGATTATTTATTAATGGTTATGTCTCGGAACGATTTGGATATCGATATACCGTCATGAGCTGTTTGGTTCTGATTGCGGCGTTTACGGCAATCTTCTTCACAGCTCAGAATGTGCAAACCCTGCTAGCCGCCGAGATTCTCTGCGGTGTTCCATGGGGGGTCTTCCAGACATTGACCGTCACGTATGCATCTGAAGTCTGCCCCGTGGCTCTACGAAGCTATTTGACATGCTACGTCAACGTGTGCTGGGGAATCGGCCAAGTCATCGGAGTAGGCGTGATCAAAGCCATGCTCAATCGCGACGATCAATGGGCATATCGCATCCCGTACGCCCTGCAATGGATGTGGCCACTACCTTTATTCATCGGAGTCTGGTTTGCACCTGAATCACCCTGGTGGCTCGTCCGCAGAGGTCGCGTCGAAGACGCAAAAAAAGCCCTTCTCCGATTGACCAGTCTGAACAAAGAGACCAATTTTGATGCAAACGAGACTATCGCCATGATGGTCCACACCACCGCCTTGGAACAGAAAATCACCTCTGGCGCGAGTTACTGGGATTGTTTCAAGGGCACCGACCGCCGTCGTACGGAGATTGTATGCATGGTCTGGGCTATTCAGAATCTCAGCGGAAATTCATTCTCAAATTATTCCACATATTTCCTCGAACAAGCCGGTCTGAGCTCGTCGGATTCCTACTCTTTTGCTCTGGGCCAGTACGGTATCAACATAGTCGGCGTATTTGGTGCCTGGGCTCTGATGGCATGGGGTGTCGGTCGTCGATCACTCTATCTCTTTGGTCTATGCGGTTTGTTCTCCATGTTGTTCGTCATGGGATTTTTGGGTCTTGTCCCCGCATCACATCGTACCCAGGGCGCACTCGCCACGGGATCAATGATGATTATTTGGGCTCTTTTCTATCAATGCTCCGTCGGAACAGTGTGCTACTCCCTCGTCTCGGAACTTTCCACCCGTCGTCTGCAGATCAAATCCGTCGTCCTCGCCAGAAACTTATATAACGTTGTCGGAATTATCACGGGAGTCTTGACACCATATATGCTGAACCCCACGGCATGGAACTGGAGTAACTATGCCGGCTTCTTCTGGGCTGGATTGTGTTTCTTGTGTATTGTATACACTTATTTCCGTGTCCCCGAACCCAGTGGTCGCACGTTTGCTGAGTTGGATGCTCTATTTGAGAAAGGGGTTAGTGCGAGGCAGTTTGCGTCGACGCAGATTAATGTCTTTGAGGAGGAGGTTGATAAGGGCGTCGGTGATACTTATAAGGATGTTTTTGAGCACGAGATGAAATGCTAGAGTACCACGGTTAGCCTTGCGGTGTTTGTAAATATTAGTTGAAGTCTGACGAGTATTTAATGTGATAAATCTGTTATAATTCTTCTTCCCGTCCAGGAACTGAAGTTTATCCACTAGGTATTCTGATATACCCCACAGGCCACGCGGCCCACCACCGATTTGTATATGGATTGTTATCTCACACCTCATCCTGCAACAATCAACATCCATTATAACAAGTATCGACAAGGAGAAACATGCACACCACTGTCATTATTATCATAGCCCTCTCCCTTTTTACATCCTCAACACCCCTCCCCTCCCCACCCCCAAATCTCACCACCACCATCCACAATGCAAACCACATCTTCAACGCCCTCCACTCCTCAATGCGCCAATGGGGCTCCGCCTGGAATCACAACGGCATGTCATTTTTCCTCGCAAGCGTACCAAAAGGTACACAATTCTACCACGGAACTCAATCTTCGCAGAGAGTCAATGGCACGGAATGGCTTGCCTTTGAGCCGGAGCATGCGTTGAGTTTTGCTTATGCTGGGCCATTTCCTCATCCTGATCCTGAAAAACCGAGTCAAAAAGTGTTTGCAGGTGATGAGGGGGAGGTTAGATATGGGTATTTACATACATATACCGCTGCAAAGGATTTGAGATTGTTGTATATCGATGGGTTATCAGCTGGGAAGACTGATATGGGTACTCTGGATTCTGGAGATAGAGTATTTCTACGCGATAGTCTCTCCACACCCTCTCCCAAAGAACAAACACCACATCCAAACCCGAAGAAAAAACCGGGTCTCCCAACTGAATACGAACGAGCCCTAAAAGGCTGCCAAATCGCCAAAAATGACTGGCAAGATCGCATCCACGGCATTCTCCGTGCCGAAGCCGGGTTTGAAATTATCCTGTGCGATTTTGCGCGTGATTTGGATCTTGTTCGGATCAGTGCTGTGCCTCCTCGCCGACAAGACAGAAATAATAACGGCTGGTTCGGCGGAAATTCTTATTTCTATCGTTCGATTGCTTCGCGGTTTCATCAGATTGGTGGGGAGAGGGTTAGGGTGAATTATGATCGGTTTGTGACTGCTTTTGCCCATGAGGAGTTGGATTTGTTTGATAAAGGAAAGAATGAGATGCCGAGGTTGATTCAGTTTAGGTCTGAGGAACTTGAGGCTGTTCGTGAGGAGCTTACGAGACTTGTTATGGAGCATGACGTTGCGACAGAGGCGGGGGCGGTTAATTGGCAGGCTGTGGTTGATATGATTGTTACCAAGTATTCGGATTTACTTCAATTTTTCATCTCGAAGGAGGTGGATTCGCTGATGGATATGAAGTCGAATGTTTCGAGTCTTTATGTCGCGTTTGTGGATGATCGAAAGAGGGATGTGGATGCTGAATCGGTGCGGTGTGCGATGCAGTTCATTCCTTCCACGGCACTGGATAGGGAAAGTCTTGCGGGGAGAGTGGTATATGATATTTCGTACACGATCTGCTCTACTCTTCGTGCTGTACTGGATGATGTCGATGTTGTAGTCGCCAAATCACGGATTGAGCGTCTGGTGGAGTATCTGGCGTGGACGACGTGGAAGGACTGCAAGACAAAATGTGGGTATAATGAGGTATGTTATATACCGATTTGGCCGTTTGGGACGGTTGAGGATCGGGTGAATCCGAGGTGTAAGAGCCCTAGGGAAGAGATGAGTGGTGGAGAGAGGTATTGGAGGGATGGGGGTTTGAAGGTAGAGCATGGGGAGTTGTGATTTCTTGTCTTCAAATGAAGATAACTTTCTTCTTTCCAATGTCTTGGGACTATATCTTATAGCAACATTTGTTCATTTTAGGAGTCTAACAGAGATACATCACACACCCAGTCCTTGAACCAAATTTTCACGTCATATCATTCCTAACCAAGACAGCATATGGATACTTTAGTAGACAAACTTGCCAAGTTTGTGAAGAGCTCCTCTTCACCAAGTCTTACTACGTTGACAACCACGCCAATGGCAATCAAGTCTGCAACCTAGTGCGCCCCCGGCTCTGCTGCCAATTCTGGAGGGAACGATCCCAATCGAGGCGGTGGTGGCAGCGGTGGTGGTGGGAGGAAGCCCCCTCGCCAGATCCTTTGCAAGGTGCGCCAGCGCTGGCACAAGCCTGGCCGCTGCTATCCAGCAAGCCAGCAGCCAGAGTGACAAAAATTGCCACCACGCAAAGGTGCCAGCAATCCCAGGAGTCCCAGTCACAGCAACAAGCTGCTGAGAGGGCTCAACGACAAGTGGAGGAGCTAGAGCGGCAGGTGCTGCAGCAGCAACAGCACCAGGGCCAGTCATCTGAAACCATCAAGTGACGACGAGAGGACTCCCTAGATGATCTCACTCTCCCAAAGGCCGGGCTTAGTGATGAGGATGGGTGACTTGCCATAGAAATATGGTTACTATCGCCGTTGAAGAAATGGTTCCTTTGCCGTTGAAAAATGGTCGCTATGCGATTCCCTGTTCCTGGAACAGGAGCCTAGGTCTTGTGCCTGGGTCTCCAGCGATGAAGCTCACAGCCCACCGTAGTGCTGGAGTCTAGTAACCATGAAAATGAGCGGAGCTAAGATGAGCTCCTCTTCTCTTTTAGAAATTCTATGATAGTTTTAACGATTAGTCTAATAGGACCCGTAGAACCCTCGCGAAGAAGGCATACATTGGCCGCAACTTAGGGTTATTTTGTAGTACGGGGAATAGTATGGAGGATAAATAATAGGGTGCTTCATACGTAGTCTGTACATGCTGGCGAAGATAAGGTGAGTCCTGCTTTCAGAAAACTATGTATGCCTATGTCAATAGCGCTGGTTTTGAAGTAGCTCATATAACATGAGCTCTGGAGACTTGATTTCTTAGTTATAAGCTATCTTCTGGCTCCGTAGCGAAACATTACCTTCCTTATCTCTTCTTCAGACATCTCCCTAGCACCAGAGCCCAAGTAGAGACTCAAGACAATTGGAAGATGGAGTACGGCGTCCAGCCCAATTTCTAACGATAATGTGTACTATGCATGCGTTGATTCCGGTATGTTTCTATCAAACTCCATATTTCGTTTACCATTGGACTGACCCCTCACGCACTAGGCACCGCGACGCGCTTATTGTATGGCGTCTATTCGATGACAAATGCTTATCAGTATGGAGCATGCATGAATTAGTGGTGCATAAAGGATATCAGAAGAAAGTCTAGCCCATTGAAATAGAGGCTTGATATGATTTGTTCCGACGGTGATTGGGAAGTCAGTTGCATTCCATGCTTTTATATACCTTCTACTTCTCGTCACGTCAAGCAATCTCCATCATATGATTCTCTTGGACATTACAGATAAAGGGATACGAAAAATGCCGAAAAAGAAAGCAAATCCATCCAGTAATGGAGAGCAACGTACTCATCTATCAGGAATAATAACATCTCTTCTCTCTGCATTCGAGTCTACTCGACACCTCTACCGCCGCATCAGGAACAACACACGCTCATCAACACCAAAAACCAAGCTCAACAAAAGACAACACGTGTCTGATGATGCATTGACACGTGAAGAGCAGATATTACAACACCAACTCCAACAAGCACCAAGACAAATAGCGACAATATTCAGGACCAATTCGGAGCGGTTGGGTGAGGGGTACCGACGCGGTGATGGTAAGTATCTCCTCCTCACATCTTTATGAAGCGATCATAGAATTCACTATTATGAATGCTAGAAAGAGCAAAGACTTCTCTAAATCGCATTCTTCTTGTACTTAACACGGGCCTAACGAAAATTATTTCGAACTTTTTGAGAAAGAATGGCAGTGCCGACAATGATGCTATGATTCGTGATTTAATGAGCTTATCGGAACGATCCGCAAGATATTCTGTGATTGAATTGGAAGGGTTCAGAATGAGGTTGGAGAGTACAACTTCGTTGGGGATAAGTGATGGCAGAGTGTCATTGGTACAACGACGTAATCGAGAGTCTCAGGAGAAGAATGTTGGAGGACAGGTGCGAAGGCCGAACAATACTCCTACAGGACAAACAGGGACTGTAAGCGCGAATGGCCAAGGAAAAACTAGGGTTGAAGGAGTGAAGAAGAGCAAGGGTGTCATTCCGAATACATCAAGCACCATGGGGACAACCAAGACGAAAACATCAACGACTCCGAAAAGAAACAAGGCACCGCAACAGAGTCATCCGGTATGGGTCCGGTCAAAGAATTCATCTACCATCAGCATTGATCTCAGGCCAATAAACAACAAACACACAAAACCCGCAGATAATGCCAAACCAAGGTCAACGGTAAAGCCACCTCATACGGCAACAAAAACAGCGATGCAATCCTCGCCAGATATCCCATCTACATCCATACCAGCACATTACCAAAGGGCTCAATTACCGGAACAACTTTCCTACCCCGTAGTGACCGCACACGCTCCTGACAGAAGAAGAGAAGTCTTACTTGACAAACGACTATCCATGATATCACATAGTTCCGCGAGCACCAAACTAGGAGAAATTCCTCAACACAAATGGATCAATGCTTGGATTCCACCTATTGAAGTTGATGACGAAGAAGACGTAAAGAATGAAGGAGATATACATGATACAAACGGAGGGCAGAATGGTCGGACGGGAGTAAAGTTTTGGAGAAGGTTTGGACGGAATAGGACGTGATACTGGCATGGATCAGATGTTCACAGCGTTAAAGCATCATACTCGCTAGACTTACACTTTTAGTGCTCCTCTCTTCAAGTAATGGAATACTGCAGGCTGGCCGCACAGAACCAAATCTTTTCCTTTTTCTTTTTCCTGGATACAAGAAACCCCTCTTTCCGCCAGACAGACAAATGAGCTTACGACAGAGTTAATGAAGGGACGATTTCGACGGAGAAGCGACAATATTAGCTTATTCTTACTACATGAGAGTTAATCGAATTTGTTAATGTTGAAGCCGCTCCTTGGATTTATTCCCGTGTTCAGTACTCGGAAGAGCAACTCGGAAGTCACTTTGGATGCGGACTGCATTTGAGCGCATGTATGAAGTGCTTGCCCAGTTAGAAAGAAGAAAAAGAAATGGTATCGAGATTTGAAAAAAGGCTTAGTCTTGAAGGGAAAAAAAAGAGACCAGGGGGAGCAGCGTGGTCTGGATGTTGATTTCGTGGAGAAAAAGAGAAGAGAATAGAGGAAGAGAAAAGGGAGGGAGATTGACTACTTTCCAGGAGGAGCCACGACCAGCATCTGGAGCCTTCCAGAGGAAGGAATATACCTGCCTGTGAATAACTTCATGTTGGGGTACGCGTACATATTTGGGACCATAGGTGGTCAGCATTTTTGTATGCTGCCTTGTCTCATACACCATCTGCGCCAGAGCTTTCTGTATCCCACAATGAATTGAAATCTCTTAGTATGACAACGTCAGGCTGGCCATCAGTCCTAGCTTTGAATTGTGCTCGAAACGGCCGTCGAGGTTCTTGCTGCTATTATGGTGATCATTGTCCTGATGTATTTCCTTCACTTCGTTGCCTTTTCAACATATCTCGCATAGGCATGTTTGATCCGGTACTTGCTCCAGGGTGATCAATGAGTCTCAGTAAGTCGGTGGAGTCTACTTTTCAGAAATAGAAGACAAGCTTTCACCAAACAAGGCATCGTCTTCGTTGATGGATTGTTCGGACATGCCTCTAATGCTTCATCATGAAGCAAGGCCTTGACGAACCATGAGTGCGTCGCAATAGGCCTGATGGTGAGACACCTACTGCAACAACCCTGATTGATGTGTGTTGTCGTATTCCCACACAGAGCAGCTGAAACAGCAAGTAATGCTCGGTAGTCACTTCGTGCTCTGCTTCGTTGTCTTAACTGAATGCGACGATTGTTCCTCTCAAAAACCACATGCTTTGGTTTTGGAGGATTTTCCCGACGTATCTTCTCTCGCAGTCTGATTATTTATTTCTTGAGCCATTATATCTTTGCGAGCTTGGATTTGTTTGTCAAACAAAACTTTAAGCTCTCCTCTTCATTTTCTCATTTCAGCGCTTGTTTGTCTCTGGAACCACGTGTTTTGGTTCTTGGTTCTAGGGGTCCTCCTAAGGTTGATTGTCTTGTTGTCGCCTCTGATAGTCTGTCAATTTGATGACTGTTAGCCTCAGGGTCCTTATTGCAGGCATGTAGATGGCAGTTAGCCAGGACTGAAACTATGTACATTTATCTGTTAGTATTATTTATATATGTATATATATAAACATAAGAGATAGATACTTACCCGAGTCGTATGCAAATGCTCTTTTCGAAGACTTTACCATGTCATTTGTTTAAACGTTGAATCGTGCTGCCTCTTATATCCCCTTAAAGGCAGGTGCTCGTACAAGAATTTAGTAAGTGGTTGTCTTCGTCCTTGTCACGGCATTGGCATCATCGTCATTCTGTATATGACTCGTTAGTCATGCGCCTACAGATACGGCATAGGAACTCACACTATGGTTTGTGAAGGAGGACGTGGGTTCGTCATCTCCCAAGTCCTGCTGAGTATCGTTGCGAGCTTGCTACCAAGCCGTTGACATCTATTCGCACGGAATCGCTGCTCTAAAAAAGGGGGATATTCTGATTCGTAGGTGGCAAGGTACGATCATAACAGCTAACAGCTTGATGATATTCCCATGAACTAAAAACCACCGAATCGGAATGGAAAAAAGAGGAGACGATGAGGAAAGGTCAGGAGAAGGTACAGCAACGATCAATCGATCCAGCCTCAACTTCTTCCTTTTCCCCTTCCAGGCTCGTATCAGGGATTGCTCGATATCCTCAAAAATGGTAAGCAACCATCACAAATCTATGAAATTCATTCCATCAATACAATATTGATTGCCCAGCCTTGTTAACCCGGCGTTTCGTAGGACATCCACAGCCGTTTGTCAGTGTGACGCTGCGGCCTGCTCACGTCCTCCTCCAGAACCACCAAGCGGTGCTAAAATGTCTTGTCAACATTTGCAAGCCCAACAATTGCGACCGGTGAGTGACATTGGTTCTGAGAATGCACTTGAGTTCGAATAGGCTGCCGACACCGTATGGACTCGCGTAGAGGACGATGAGCGAACATGCGGAGAAGATGACGAGGAGCGAGATGTCGGTAGAGAATGAATTGAACATTGCTCAGATAGGTAAGAGGACGCCTGGGATTAAAAAAGGGTTTAGCGACTAGGGCGCTCCTTGTATGCTCAATGCTTGAAGTCGACGAGAGAAAAGACCGCGCACATACCAGACGATATTATACCAAGCTCTAGCCAGACAACGTATGTTCACGTAGTGTGTAGACCGTGGAGTGAGGCATAATCCTCATAGAAAATATATGCCTCATGTGTTGGTGGCAATTGACCTGTAGCAAGAGACAAGAAATAGGATGAGAAAGATGGAAGAAAAGAAAAAGAAGTTGACAAACTTGGCGGTATATCTACACAGGGCAAGTGAACCAGATCAGAGAGACCGGAATGAAATGAAAGAATCTGCAAAAGTCAATACTTGTTGGGGACATGGAAACAAAGGAAACCATATACCACAACCGAAGACGTGATTTGGCAAGGACACTCACTGAGGAACTCGGGCTATCAAATAGGTATCCGACATAAAAGAGCAGCCTGTCGAGGTCTTTAGCCAAGAGGAGATAGCGAAGGAATCAATTTCTTCAGGGAAGGTTTCTGTAAAGCATTTTTCAATGAAAGAAAGTAAACCCGTGAAAAAACAAGACTTCTGATTGGAGATGGCTAACATCTATCTGTATCTGTGAATATCTGCGAGACGACAAACAAAAATTCCTTACTTTTGCCATTCGGAATCCTTCTTTTATCAAGAGCGAATGATCTAAGCATCCAAACGCAATTTCTCCAGTTCACGAATCTGTTCCTCAATCAAGGCTGCCTCACCCTCTGCATCCCGCAACTTCTTCTCTTCCTGTTCCTGGATCTCAACCTTGACCTTCTCCCTCCAACCGGGCGTGTTCATTGTCTTTTGGATCTTGGTCACTAGATCGCGTGTTTTTTGCAAGTTGGCCTTGGCCTTCTCGGCTTGCTCGAGTGCAACCTGTTTCGAGACCTTGAGGTAGACAGCAGCGTCGGCGCCGACGGGGCTAACGACGCACCCATCTGGACGGGACTTGTTGTCGGGCCCAAGGACAAAGATTTCGCCGGCGTATTTGCCGCCTAGAGATTTGATGGCGACGACTTCGTCGGAGATGGTCTTGTGGCTTGCCTCGTTGTAGGCCGCGAGGATTAAGTCGGATTTCTCCTTGACGTCGTACTGAGCGAGGATAGAACGGATGGCCTTGGAGGTGTCGAGGACAAGTTCATATGCCTTTTCGGCAGCCTCGTCGTCGAAGGACGCATTATATTCGGGGAATCGGGCCACCATGATGGACTCAGTCTTGTCTCCTTCACGGCGTGGTAATCTTTGCCAAAGATCTTCAGTGATATAAGGCATGATGGGGTGAAGAAGCAAAAGACTTCCTTCTAGGGCTGTGTAGAGAGTCTGTTTGGCTGATTCTTGTACTTCAGCAGGAGCATCAGACTGGAGCAGAGACTTGGAGTTCTCGATGTAGACATCACACAGTTGCGAGTAGATGTATTGGTAGGCAGTTGACGCAGAGATGGAGAATTCGCGTGTCTCAATAGCATTGTTGATTTCCTTGGCAGCTTTGTTGAATTTTGACAAGATCCAACGTTCGGGGAGAGATTCGCGTCCGGTCTTGACGGGTTTAGCCGAAGGGACGAAGTCAGAGCCCAATTTGCCAAGAACGAACTTGGTAGCTTGGTAGATCTTGTTGCTATGAATCGGTTAGAAGATTAGAAAAGTATAAACGTTCGAATTGACTTACCAGAATCGACGGTAGCCGAAAATAACGTTGACATCGAACGCAATGTCACCGCCTCCAGTGGTATAAGAGACAAGAGCCATGCGTAGCGCATCAGCACCGCACTCTGGAATACCCTTGGGGAACGCCTTCTTTTGATATTTGGTAGCCACTCCAATCTCTTTCTCAGCAAGGTTGCCCTGTTTCAATTTTTCATGGAGAGCATCAAGAGTGATACCCTTTTGGACGTCAAGAGGGTCGATGACATTACCCAAAGACTTGCTCATCTTACGGCCTTCACTATCACGGATCAAGGAATGGCAATAAACCTCCTTGAAAGGGACCTTTCCTGTCAGCTTCAGACTGAGCATAATCATTCTCCTGTAATATGATTAGCCATCTCGTCCTAGTTAAGGAAGAGGAATAGTCAACATACGCTACCCAGAAGAAAAGAATATCCCAACCAGTCTCGAGTGTGCTGGTGGGGAAAAGTTTCTGATAATCGTGGCTCTCAGTATTAGGCCAGCCTAGTGTTGCAAACGGCCAAAGTCCAGAAGAGAACCATGTATCCAGGACGTCCTCGTCTCTCTTGAGAGTGAATTTTTGACCTGGGAACTTGGCGGCAGCCTTGGCCTGGGCCTCTTCTTCTGAACGACCGCTTACCCATAGGTTACTGTCACCATCATCTGCGACCTGGCCTTCAATCTGGACGAGCCAAGCTGGTGCTTGATGGCCCCTGCAGTTCTAGTCAGACAAATCAATTCTTATTATGCATGGAAGAAGTTTAACATACCACCAAAGCTGACGAGAAATACACCAATCTTGAATGTTTCTCATCCAGTGGAAAAAGTTCTTCTCGGCAGAAGCTGGGCTTATGGTAATTTCTTTCTTCTCGACGGCTTCCATGGCAGCTCGTGCCATATCATCCATCTTCATCCACCATTGCGGCTTAAGAACAGGCTCAATAATATCCTTACTCTTCTCGCAACGTGGAATAACCATAGGATTGTTCTCCCATTTGACGTACAGGCCAGCCTCTTTGAGCTTCTCGACGACGGCGTATCTTGCGTCGAATCGCCTCATGCCTGAGAAGGCACCGCAATTATCCTTGAGAGTACCATCGTCATTCAACTGCCACACATATTAGTATCCTTAATTTCAAATATCAGGCCTGAACGGCTTACGATTGACACGAATTCAAGACCATGCTGCTTTCCGCGAGCATAATCGTTAAAGTCGTGGGCAGGAGTCAACTTGACTGCACCAGTACCAAAGTCCATGGCAACGGTTGAATCTCCGACGATTGGAAGGAGACGGTTGACGAATGGATGCTTGGCTTTCTTGCCGATAATGTGCTGATATCTCTTATCTGATTGATAGAAATATGAGTAAATGTCCAGCTATTTTAAGCAAAGTCGTACGTACCATCAGGATGTACAGCAATACCGGTATCACCAAGCATGGTCTCAGGTCGAGTAGTAGCAATCTCAATGCGTTCTCCTGTACCCTCAATCTCGTAGCAGAAGTGTGTCAATACACCGAATTCGACCTTCTTCTCATCTAGGAACGAGTTAGCATCATACAGTTGTCTCCAATGAAATGGAGTTCTTACAGCCAGGAACATCAAGCAAAGTTCGGCCCGGAATCTCTTGATTGTTAACTTCCAAGTTGGACAAGGATGTATTCAAAGCGCAGCACCAGTTGACAAGTCGATTGGCACGATAGATAGTTCCTTCCTCATGAAGACGACAGAAAGTCTCCGTAACAGCAGCCGAGAAATTGGGGTTCATCGTGAAAGCTTCACGCGACCAATCCAGTGAAGCGGCCATTGCTTTCAACGAAGTGAGAATAGAACCCTGGTATCTGTCCTTCCAGTCCTGTGTCAACTTCAAAAAATCTGGTCGGCCTAGATCGTGACGGGTTTGCTTCTTCTCCTTCCACAGCATCTTTTCAACTACGCTTTGAGTCGAGATACCAGCGTGATCCGTACCAGGTACCCAAACGGTAGTTTTGCCCTTCATTCGGTAGTAACGAGTCATGGTGTCTTGGAGAGCCTATAACGATCAAATCTGTTTAGCATTTTGACTAGTAATGTGTCAAGCGTCAAATAAACCTACCACCATGAGGGCGTGACCCATATGAAGTGCACCAGTGACATTAGGGGGCGGGCAAGCCATCGAGAAAACACCATCAGGTTTCACATTGCCATTCCCATCAAACTGTGGCTTGAATAATCCCTTCTTCTCCCACCACTCGTACCGACCGGCCTCAATAGTTGCCGGATCATATGCATCGGTCGTTTTATCAATAACCTTTTCTTTCTTCTCAGCCTTGGGTTGCGCAGGTTTCGCGGCGGCGGCCTTTGCCTGCTTTTCAGCAAACTTCTTGGCTTTCTCTGCTTTGCGTCGCTCTCTTTCCAATTCCTTTTCAGTCTTCACCTTGCCCTCGGGAGGCGCAGAGGTATCCTTTCCCGGCTCGGATTGACCATCTTTAGCGGCTTGTTGGATATCAGACTTGACGTTTTCGGGGACTGCGGGAGGGGGACCGGTAACAGGAGCTGTCTGCTCACCCACTATACGGAAGCCTCTGTTAGTACCTTTGTCCATTTCCGAAGGTATAGATTGAGGGGTCCACTCACGAGGGTTCGCAGAGCCGGATGTCGTAGCCATGAATGAACGTAAGTTAGGAGACAGAACTCTCCAAGGCGCTCGCCGCGCCACAAGACTGCGAATAAGTATTTTGAATGTCGCTGTGGGATCTGCGACAAGTACGAGGGAGGTAACGTGAAGAAGCTCGGCCGGAGAGGGGAGGCCTTTTTTTTATTCTGCGAGTGAGTCAAAATGGGTGATTGCGGGGCCAATGGTAGAGTACCGGGATTGTGGGGGCAACAGGACTGGACCACAAAATGCTCTTAGATGTTAGATCAGATTACTTACGGCGCAAGCTATACAGGGTGGTTCTGGATAATTGTTTGTTGATTTGCAAAAGGACAATATCAATTCAAAAAGAGGAAGCAAAACATGTTAGAAGGTCACGTGGTCCATGCTCTGTTATCGATAAGACGAAACACACCAGGACTACGACTCAGATAAGCAATTGTATAGCAACAGTAATCGTTATGCAAAAATCATCTTTTCGCCATTAGATGGAATATAAAGAATATAAGCCCGTGCCACATACGCTGCATTGACTCATAGACATCACCGAGTCAATGTGATACATGAATATCCATAAGACCAAATCATCAATAGGACCCAGACGCCTCGGCCACCGGCTCGTATAGGAAACTATCATGGGAGTAGAAAGGAGTATGACTGCGTGTTATAGTTCGTTGATGTTGGATATATTGAGGATTAATTGCGGCTAGCAGGTGCCGAAATGAAACGTGTCTTAGCTATTGGCAACTCTCTGAGCTATCACTGCCTGTCACCGGGTTGGGTAGCTGTATCAGAGGGCTTGATGGGTATGCCACTATTGATGAAAATTCGAGTTGATAAATAGAAAGAAAACGATGACTGTGAACACATGTACTCCGGCATGCTAGAGCAGATTGAATGCTGTTTCGATATGAGTGAGTCAGAATGTGTCGATCTATTGAGCACTTAGGACTGTGGAGCAGCTGCGCTGTTTTGACCCGATGCAGCCGCCCGAACAGGTGCAAAATATGGATGAGCCATTGCTTCTTGTGCGGTGAGTCGTTCCTATAAATGTATTAGCCAGTGCTTTTAACGGAATATGGATCTAGGCATACCGCGTGATCGTATTTGAGAAGTTTGTCAAGGAAATCAATAGCTTCGTTGCTCACGAATCGTTGGTTCTCGGCATTAACAAATGAGTGCCATGGTTTCTTGGGATAACGCGATAGAATGTCATCATATTGGGAATCTAGTTCAATGTCGTACTTATCAAGATATTCGAAGAGCTCTTCGGTACCGAGCACTTTGGCAATCTTCACAAGCTGATCGGAATTGCTAATGCCGTGGAAGAAAGGCTCCTTGCGGAAAATCATAGAAGCGAACATCGCACCGAGAGACCACATGTCAAGAGAGTAGTCGTATTCTTGGAAATCAACGAGGAGCTCAGGTCCTTTAAAGTATCGTGAGGCGACACGGACGTTGTATTCGGTACCTTTGTGATAAAATTCTGCAAGACCCCAATCGATTAAGCGAAGCTGGCGAGATTATTAGTATGTGGTAGATATAACACCCGTGAAACAAACCTTGCGATTCTCGTGATCAATCATAACATTGTGCGGCTTGACGTCTCGGTGCATGATACCTTTGCTATGGCAAAAGTCGAGAGCCTTAAGGAGTTCGAAAATGTAGTAGCGGACATCATAATCGACAAAGCGGGGATAAAGAGTGCGGAAGTCTGTATTATTGATATACTCAAAGACAAGACTAGGTGTTTTGCTTTGGTTATCCCTAACAACATCGAGAAGCGCGACGACGTTCGGTCCACCAGATAGATTTTGGAGAATCTTGATTTCACGCTTTATCTTCTTCTTCTTAACCGGTTTCAACACCTTGATGACGCATTTTTGATAGTTGACCACATTGATGCCTTCAAAGACCTCGGAATACTTTCCTCGCCCTACGCGAATCGTAAGTTAGCCTCTGCCACATCAATCCAGAACCTCCAGCACTCACCGATCTTGCGAACAACCTCATAATTCTCCAGTGCGCCCCATGATATATTTACACTATCGTAATCCCAATAGGATCGGGGCATATGCGAGTTGACATCTGCATAAACCCGCGCCATCTTGTGGTGTTGATGGAGAGATGTCGTGCCCACAATTGGGCTTTCTCGTCGAAATGCCGGAAGCGGGGTAGACGAAGGGACTGACGGAGAGATAAAGGGAGGAAAGTAAAGCACACACTGCAGACAAGATGATTATGAGTAGGCGAGGAGAAACCAGATCACTGGCAACTAACAACAAATCCAACTTCACGAGACAGCGGGATGATTTGAAAGCTCCATTGACAGATGAGGTTTTTTTCTCTTGAGATGGCTGGGCCATGACATTTTTGTCTCGCTCATACGTTCCGGCCGCTGTCGATAGCGAGCCTGCTGCTCTGATTGGTCGAGATGGAAGGCGGTGACTACAACAGTTGATATTTTTTTGGGAAGCTGCCGGCCTGAACGAGACGAGCATTTCTCTTCTTGTGCTTAACCAGCTGATATTTCCTTGCTCAATTTTCGTATTAGCTGCTGAAGAGCTGAAGTGGCAGTATATGCTTCCTGCGAAGCAATTTTAATATGTTTTATGACCTCAACGTCCCATATGCAGCCGATGAGGCTCAATTAACCAATACCCTCAACTTTCTTGCAGAAGGTAAGTGGTGATGATTCGTTGCACAGCCATATCCACTAACTCAAGACTTTGTTTAGTCGGATATACGACAGTTGCTCTCTCACAGACAATGTCAGGCAAACTACCCCAGAATCTAACAGCTCCTCAGCTTCCTTCCAATGCGCCAAAGTCCCTCACGCTGTTGACGCGCCTTAACCTCATCTTGTCCGACCCATCTCAAAGTTACCGCATGGCAAATCTAATACCATTATTCTCTATTGTTGCTGTACGACCTACGAATGAGAAAAGTCTGTTAAATGCTTGTACCAATCTCGATTGCGACCTGATTTCTCTGGACCTGTCTGTCCGTCTTCCTTTCCACTTCAAATTCAAGACCGTCTCGTCTGCAATATCTCGTGGGATACGATTTGAAATTTGCTATAGCCCAGGGATAACCGGGAGTGGATTGGAAGCCCGCAGGAATCTTATTGGTAATGCGATGAGTCTGATCAGAGCAACAAGGGGCCGAGGCATCATCATATCCAGTGAGGCTAAACGAGCATTGGCCATTCGCGCACCAATGGACGTAGTAAACCTTGCATGTGTCTGGGGATTGTCCAGTGAGCGAGGTAAAGAGGCAGTATGTGAGGAGGCTCGGAAAGTTGTGGCCTTATCCAGTCTCAAAAGAACAAGTTATAGGGGCGTCGTTGATGTTGTCAATGGTGGTGAAAGACAGACACCAAAGAAAACCGAGGATGCATCAAAGAACAAGGTTGAACAGAGGGGCGCCATTGACAAAAGTGCTGAAAAACTGAAACGAAAGGCTTCTTTAGAGTCAACGCAAGACGATGACAAGCCTCTTTCCAAGCGCGAAATGAAGCGTAGAGCCAAAAAGGCACGGCTGGAAGCCAATTCTCAGCCTTGAGAGGGTGTCTATCCTGGGCATGATATACTCATTATCGACAGCTGATCATACGGGAACAAATTTCAGAAAATGATGGCTTATTTGGTATACAAGGGCAGAAGTACATCAATACGGCAGGATGATATTATTGTTCTAGCTATATTCTGAACACAAAAGGAAAGCCACCCGGCCTGAAAACTCTTGAACGAAAAATCCACCATTTTTTTATTGTTACACTTATCAGCCGAGGGCTATCGTCAACGCAGAATAAAATTGCACGGTATTGATGTTCACATTACCAGCTTGAGCCGGGGCTGTGGTTGCTGTTAAAATGATTGAGGTAGCGACTGACGTGGCACTCGAGGGTGCTGGTCTTACAGAAGCAGGCAATGCTGGCTGTACAACTGACGTTCCGGACGCCAGTAAAGACAAGCTCGTGGTAGGTGTAACGATTGCTGAGGTAGATGTTGTGGTTGCTATTGTGGCTACCACTGCAGTGGATGATGGAGTACTCGTTTGAGAATCAATAGCGGTCGTAGTCGCTATTGTTTGGGTCTGACCGGCAGAGGACGATGACGATGGTGAGGGTAACGATATTGCTTGTGGACTAGGTGATGGTCCCGCCGGAATAGGCGTTGCCTGCAACGGGAATCCCGACGGGCATGCACAGGTACATGGACAGGCGTTCTGAGGGTTTGTCGCAGCAAGAGCTGCAGCGCTAGACGAAGGACTTGCAATTGTGACAAAAGAACTGGCGCTTGTTGATCCCGCCAGCGGGGTTACAACAGAAGCCCCAATCGCTGGAAAACTCGATGGCGACACCGCGGCGGAGCTTGCCGTGACAACCGCGGTGCTTGCGGACGATACGACAACGACGGACACGGTTGCCGAGGGAAGCGGTGGAGGAGTTGTCGTTTGCGCTTGACCCCCAGCCTGAGAAATGATTATTGTCTCGGATCCCTCAGTAAAGGTCGCACCTCCGTTGCCAGCCGTTATAGTAATCGTCCGTGTTGGCTGGGCAGCTACTGCGCTGCTTGGGACTGTTCACAATTAGTCTGAGCTGACCTGGAATCAAGATTTCATAACGCACCTACCGCGGAGGAAGATGCTTGACCGACTGCTTGTGTTGCAGCCTGTGTGCTTTTCACTGCAGTCGCAAATGTTGTCGCCACCGTGGCAGTGGCTGGGTTCAAGGGCACAATAACACCGACAGTTTGACTAGAGTTATGTTAGAATTATTTCCATATGGGTTTCCATGCGTACACACCTGGCAGCTTGGTTAGCCACTACTTGCGATGTCTGGGAGTTGTTATTGTTGCCATTTCCTTTTCCTTTTCCATTGCCATTCTTATGATGTTTTCCACGTGCTGTTGAAACAGCCTGTGTACTCTGTGCTGCGACAGCCGCGGAGTCTACAGCCGTAACGGTGCCGACAGTTTTACTAAAACTATATTAGCATTGTTTCCACAAGAACTGCTAGGCATACACACCTGGCAGCTTGATTGGCCACTGCAGTCGATTTGTGGTGCTTCTTCTTTTCTTGGCCAGCTTTGTTTCCTTGCCCATTCTTGTGTCCCTTCTTCTGAGTTGCTGTTGCTGATGCAGCGGCCTGTGCACTCTGTACTGCAGCGGCCTGTGCACTCTGTACTGCAGTTGCATCTAAAGACGCAACAGCCCCGACGGTTTGGCTGAAGCTGGGTTAGCATTGTTTCTATACAAAATATCAGATGTACGTACCTGGCCGCCGCGTTGGCCACTGCACTGGACTTGGAATGCTTCTTCTTCTTCTTGGCAGCTTCATTTCCCTGTCCATTCTTTTTTCCGCCCTTGTGCCCCTTCTTCTGACCACTGGCTTGAGATGATGCAGCGGCATTGACGCTCTGGACTGCAGTTGCAGTAACCAAGGTTGTTGCAGTTGCTGCATTGATAGGCGCAACGACACCAACGGTTTGACTGAGGCCCTGTTAGAATTACTGTCAAAGGATTTCTGGATGTACCCACCTGGTTCCCGCTTTGGCGGCTACTGCAGTCGATTTGTGGTGCTTAGCTTTGCCGTTGCCTTGTCCATCCTTCTTTCCATCCTTTCCATTCTTATCCCCATTCTTGCTACCTGCTTGAGTTGTTGAAACAGCCGGCGTACTCTGTACTGCGGTCGTAGCTGCTGCTACCGCCGTTCCGGCTGCCGGATCCAATGGTGCAAGCACACCCGCGGTTTGACTAAAACTGTGTTAGAGTCGATGCAATATCGGTTGCCAAACATACACACCTGATCCCTGGTCCAGCCACTGCACTCAATGTATTTGTATGGATATTATTGCCACCTCTATTTCCAGCCCCGTTCTTGTTATTTGGATCTTGACCGTTGTCTAGTATGTCGCCCAAATCGATTCCAAAAACTTCGAGTCCTTGAGCGGCGACGACATTCTGGATCTTTCGTTAGTTTGTGTGGTCTCGATACAGATACAAAGGACTTACATTGAACTCAAACGAAAACGCCAAAAGACTGATAAGAATTGCACGATGCATGTCTAATGATCTTTCTTTCTCGTTATTTGGATAAATCTGTCCTGGCAGCAGTATACGCCTGCTTTAGCAAGCTACAATTTGATACCTCGGAGGCACTGCCTGGAAGGAATGAATGGCTTCGAGAATAAGAAAAGAAAAGAAAGATTTCGGCTCAACCAGGAGCGATGAAGAATGAGAGCAAAGAGAGTGATGGAAAGAATAAAAGTCAGGGAATCAAAAGAATCTGGAGTCGAGGACTAGCGCTCTCATCCTGATTAAATAAGGGACCCTTATGCGATAATTGTATCCTGATGCTTCCAACCTCCGATCAAGGGGCTCGACTATCTCATCTGTCTCGGATTTGGAGCTCGCCTACAGATCCCTCAAAAATGACTATATTGAAACATACTATTACCCAATAACTAACCCATTAAGAGAAATCATCTTCTTCAGAAGTGTTAGTCTCGGTCTCAAGAACGTCGCACATTCTACCGATCCCGTGTTGTGGCTTGCTTATTTTGTCATGGTCTACGTTGTGGTTTCTGCTTAATGTATACTATCATATTGTCAATTAGCAATCTCGGCTATCGGGATGTGTACCTGTTTCGGGAATGATGAGGCGAAACTCGCCGTGTATCAGGTTAGGGCTTGGCAGGGCTTTTTTGACTGTCTAGACCCTACATTCATGGTACGTGTACATTTAAGCATATTCGGGCTGTGCAAGTCACAGGTAACATGTTAAGGATGGGATCATCCGATCATCACACATTTTGTACGTAAGACACGGACTCTTGGATGAAAGCTTTGAAGCTTTTTTCGCATGGAGATCCTGATGCTCCGCGGATAGTCTCAGACTACGTACGTGTACTACGTACTTCGATGATGGTCAATCACACAAGAAATAAGACAGATTCAAGCTTTTGGATCTGTATGATCATCTCTCACTAGGTTCTTTTGAGTCAACAATGAATAAGCAAAAATTGAAGATGAGCTTCGACGATACCGAGCATCTTATCGATAAGATTATCGATAAGATAGCATTATCAGCCATGCCAAGAAAAGAATCGTGAACTTTTTTCTTCGCTCCGACTTGACTAGCTTCAGCCGATTTCTGCCAAAGCAGAGATAACTGTATCAATCTGAAGTGCAAAGTAATTATTTACTGTTAAGATGCTTCGTGAAGTGTAAGTCAATTTTTTATTTGAGATTTTGTTTGCTGTGTATTATGCATCGGGTTTCTTGACACTCCAAAGCATAAAGAAGAAACAAAAATCAGCAAACTAATATTTGGACAATAGAAAGCCCAAAAATCCGCGCACAGCGCGCCTTCTCAAGAAGAAAGAACCCCAACTCATCGAATCTTCTAAACGCACCCTGCTTCTCCACGGCACAAAATGTCCCCTTCCACTCAACACTTTACTCAAGACGATCCACGGCCTAACGAACCCGAACTCAGTGCTATTCCACAAAAAGAATGACAATATACACCCATTCGAAAGTACAGAGAGTATTGAATTTCTTGCCGACAAGAATGAATGTGGTATCGTGGTGTATGGAAGCAGCAACAAAAAACGTCCAAATTGCATGACTCTCACACGCATATACAATAAGAAAGTCCTGGATATGTTTGAGTTACTCCTTCTACCTCCCGCAGATGGCGAAACGATTCCTCCTCCTAATGCGTTAAAGCTTGAGATCGGAATTGGTATGAAGCCCATGATGCTGTTTGCAGGTAGTATCTGGGAGGATGCCACATCCAGGACATATGCCATGATCAAGAGTGTTCTGTTGGATATGTTCAAGGGTGAAGAAACCGACAAGATCGATGTGGAAGGGTTACAATACCTCATGATGGTCGGTGCCGAAGAACCCGCCGAAGCCGGTCTGCTACCTATCATCCATCTACGATGGTACAAAATCCGCACAAGACGAAGCGGCCACAAACTTCCCCGCGTTGAATTAGATGAAGTCGGTCCCAAATTCGATTTCAGAATTGGACGTGTCCGTAACGCAGATCCAGATGTTATGAAGGAGGCTATGAAGCAAGGAAAACGACCTAATGAGGAAGCGCGCACCAAGAAGAATATTACCATGGACTCGATTGGTGATAAAGTTGGTCGTGTGCATCTTGGTAAACAGGATTTGTCGAATTTGCAGACTCGTAAGATGAAGGGTCTCAAGAGGAGAGCTGGAGTGGATACGGATTCTGAGGAAGATGATGATGATGAGCCGTCTAATTACGGATCGGATGTTAGTGAAGAGATTACGTTTGTGGATGAGGATGAGCCTTCGGATGTGGATATGATGGATGTCGATGAGGAGGAAAAAGGTCGTTCGAAAAAGCCGAGATTGTCGTGATTTGTTTAAATTTCTGCTTTCAGGTCTTACATTTGTACGGCGTTGGTTGGACTGTGTATACATCTATATTTCGTGAGGCGTATATAAGAGTTTACTCCAGTATATGTTTAGTGCCTGAATTGTAAGGTTCGAAGTCACGTGCTGTGACGTCGTCGGTAGTCCATGACGGCCGTTCACATGCCGAGGCCTCGGGTTCCCCAGAAACTCTGCGGGATGCGACCCAACTCCATATCCGAGCATTTTCTTTCTACTTCCCAGAAAAATTCTGAGGTGTCCTGTCTGCTTCATGTGTATTCCAGTTACATACTGGGAACATTTGATCATTGTCAAGTTTTATTCTCTTTTAAGGGTCCAGACAAATTCCGGAACTGAGAACATCTCGTGATCATGGATTCGATTATGGTTAGTTTTCCCGGCTATTGAAGAAGCTGAACTATTTGTGAGATTAGGAATGAAACTAATACTGCATGTCACAGGATACTCTCGACGCAATTGCGCTGAATCCAAACCTGAAACCTCTCCTCATACTCCTTAAAGCCGCCCGGAATGGTGCCGTATACGGCGCCAAAGTTCGTTTTCCGCATGCCCTGGTGTAAGCCTCCAAACACGATTACAAGATATGAGCAGTCTAATAATAGTACCTTGATATAGGATGGTATTTCTCTTCCGGTCGGGAACGTAAGTTCTTTTCTGACAATGGCTGCAAAATCTCCACGCTGACTTGTGGTCTAAAGATTCCGCGAAAAAGTTAAGCTCGTCCTGAAAGCTACCCGACAACATGCCCGAAACCTCGCCACATTCGCCGTCTTATACAAGAGTACAATGCTTGCGATGAAATATTTGAATCCCACGGGACCCAAGGAAGGGCCATACGACACCTTCTTTGCCGGTCTTCTAGGTGGCTATGTCGTGTTCGGCAGGAATCAGGGCAGTGTTAGCCAACAGGTACCTCTCACCTATATCCACCCATTTCCGCGATCATATTTTCTAATACGTTTTAAAAGATCGTGATCTACGTCTTTGCTCGAGTCGTTCTCGCTTTGGCGAAACTTTCCGTCCAACCGAATATGCACCCACTCTCTTCACTCATAACACCCGAGGCCCGCTCACGGATACAAGAAAATGCATGGCCGGCCTTTGCCTCTCTCAGCTGGGCGGCGGTCATGTATGTTTTCAGATGGCATCCGGAGTCTATTGTCAGTAGTCTGAGGAGTAGTATGACCTATATGTAAGTTGGCCTCGATTACTTTCTCCAAGATCTGTCGCTAATTTTATCTATCAGATACGTGGATTCCGACCATTGGACATCGTTTCACAATTTGTTGATACACAACAAATAGTAGAGGATCATGATTGTGGTTAGATTGTTGTATATCATTTGGCAATTAGTGCCTTGAAGTGGGCATTCGTGGCGTTCTTTGTTTCTATGGGTTTTATTGTTTATCGCTTGGTGCTGTACATATGAATTATTGTCAGTTTTACTTTCTTACTTTAATTTGCATTTATAGAGTAGGCCCGAAATGAGTTATGGTTCGGAGTTCTATTACCAGGGCAATCAACCTATATCTGTAGAACAATACCCAGGTAATGTTTAAGAGTGCCTGACTAGGTGTCTAACTAAGCTATTATCCAGTACCTATCCCGACGATAAAGAGGTTGCCAAACATCAGAAGTGATATTTACATTACTTCACTCCTGCCAAGAGTATAGATTAAATTATGGAGTTTGTATGGCAAAGTTCATCCCTCTATAAAATAAGTTCTCTTAATACCAAAGCGAACAAAGCCCTGCAACACCTTCCCGGTTTCATAATCTTGGAACGCCGATACGGGAGTTTGAAGTGCAACGAACGTGAGCCGTTATTTCCATAGACTTGGGAAATTCCAGACTTTTTTATAGTTATAATAATTTCCCGCAAATATTTCAGATAGACGATCGCTCGATACCCCTGACTTGATCGTCTATTAAAATCATGTTGTGTGACCAGCTCAAGGTCGCGGATTAGGGCTAAAAATACCAGGGTCCCAAGGTGGTCAAACAGGAGGCATCTAATGCTTCAAATCACAACCATAGAAGGAGTGACAAAATGATGAATCGGTTTAGAATACAGTTGATCATTGACAAAAACCGCGATTCATTTCAAGTTTTCAACCAAAAGACCACCCGCCTTATACCGAGTACTCCATGTAAATATGAATCGTCGGTTCCCACTAAACTACATGACGCCGGCGGTACTAAGCACTTCAAACATGAATCATACATACCCCGTCTCAGCATCCCGACTTTGGAAACGTCCTTAACTATCTAATGACTAGGCGTGTATCAGTCACATACTATATAAACGTATGCGCCGAGATTTCCAAGACCCATAAACTTTTTTCTTCGCTGTGCGTTGCTCAGTCGTTGTGAACGAGTTATTGAAACCAACCGAAAAGCTTGAAATTCCAAATATAACTACAAGTTTTATATCTGCTGGACAGGTCCTTACTTGGCGATCTTTTTGTTGATTCTTTTTTTCTTCTTTCCGATTTTTATTTTCTTTTTAAGAACAAAGCTTGCTTTACGATACCCTTTTTCTTGGCGTGTTGACACGATCAGAAAACGAAAATGCAGTTTCTACAATTGTTAAGTCTCTTCGTCGTGACTCTCTTGGGTGTCGGGATGGTGGATGCGAGACCTCATTTATATGACAATCTACAAGTGAGTCGTAATTCCATCTTCAACAAATATTCCCACTTGCTCTCTTCCATTTGACACTAATATGTCGACTCACAGAGAAGCGATACAGCCTTAGCAACAGCATACCTCAACAACATCCCCGCCGACGAAATCATAACCAAACGCTCAACGGAACAAGAGATTCATCACAGAATCGATTCCACGTATTCAGAATACCTGGCTAGTAGACAACAGAAGAGGCAGCTCGGCCATTATAAGACTAGGCTGGAAGGGTTGCCGTTAGAAGGAGAAGGGTTGTTAGACAAGCGGACTGAAGGGGATGAGATATTGCCTACGGCTGCGTTGCCGATTCGGTCTCCTCGTAGTGAGATGAGGAGTTTGGCGAGGAGATGATGATTGATGAATGCCTTCTAACTTATTGCTTTTGATTTGACTTTGACTGGCGTTGGAGAGGTCTTTGGGGCCAATCTTTGATCTGGAATCGAGTGGCCAAGACAAATGTTTTCCTATTTGGGATATTAGAAAATTTTAGCAACCTGTAATTACAAGTAACAGTTACGGACGTGGGACCATTTTGAAATAGATTAGGAAGGCGTAAAAAATCGATTCCTCATCTTGTTACCTCGCATAATAGTTGCTGTTGGAGCGGTTTTTTGGGGCCAAGCCTGATCTGGAACCGGGCGGCCACGAGAAGCGTTTCCTAGTTGGGATAGCGGGGCAGTGGGACTAGATCTCCGATCTCGGCTCCTCCCGTCGGGCCGATCTACCGACGCGGATACTACGTATGTAGCACGATGCTTTGTGGTTTCGAATACGCTTTACGGAAGGAGGCAAAAAACTAAAAATATATTTAGTTGTAAAGAATTCCACTCTCTGAAGTATCCTACATCGTCGTCTTCGAGTAATCCAGTTACCGAACACGACAAGTTCCATCTAAACATTTAATCTAAACAATCAGCAAAATCAACCCGACAACAAATCCCCTCAAAAAAAAAAAAAAAAACCAGACGACTGTTGTATTTTGCTTCTTGTTCACATCTTGCGTTGTAAACCTTTCTGGAACAGCTCAACGGCATGCTTATTCTCATTTCGCGTGCGAGACCAGCTTGTCTTCTCGAAGGGTCGTCGGCAGCGTTGATAGCATATGCCAGGGACAGAGGGGAATCGTTTCCGATCGCTGGGACGTCATCGAGGGGATTGACCGGCGCCCACGCGCCTGCGTGCATGACATCTTGATGGTCCCCCGAAAGGAATTGTCTGATTAGAAGGTTAGAATATCCCTCTGGAACAACAAGTGAATGCAGAAATATGCTAACTGCTGAACAAAGCTAGCTGAATAACAAACCGGGTCATTGCTTTCGGTCGGGGTAGTTGTAGTTTTTTCTGCAGTACTGGTACCTGACGGAGCCATGGTGTAGCTCCGGGAGCTTGGTGCGGGGTGCTGACCAGACTCGCCAGGCTCTTGCAGGATGGGAGTTTGTGTTGAGGTCCCAGACGAGGAAGTAGATGGAGAAGAGAATTCGCTATTCATATTGATGACTTCGTGGTAGCTCTTCGGTGCTAGTCGTTGGTAAGGTTGAAGGTAGCAAGTGGTAGAATTGAAGAAGACAAGAACAGGAAGCTTTGCGGAAAGGGAAGGTATAGAGTAATGAGGGAAGCAAAGAAAAGCCGTACGAGTTGTGTGAATATTGAGGCCAATTCATCATGGGCAATAGATGTATTTATATTCTTCAATCAGAACATGGTGTTATATGCGGATTGAACGGTGAGCATGACAGACAGTGAACAGCGTAACGGACAGATTCAAACGTGTGGCAATTGTAGAGACTGTATTCAGTAATCAAGCAAGCTGCAAAGACTTGCATTGAAACCAGCCACTTGCAAGTCACATTTATTAGCCTCATGCAATGACATTATAATGGACAGTCATTTGCCGGGGGATTCTCCGAGAAAGATTATGCACCCCATGTGGGCTGCGTGGGCCATGCACAGACAGTCTGTTCAGGATAAGGTTGCACTAATGTATTCTTAACCTGGGTGAAAAGCGTACACAAGGCGTTTTTTCTCTTACTTTGATACCGTCAACTATGTATTTGCCATTTTCGCTGTTCATATAATTACAACTCAATTACTCTTAATTTTGAAAACAAAATTAATCCTGCTATTCCATACGAAGTCGTCCTGGCCCACTCCAGGCGTGCTACTTTGCTTAACAAGTTACGCGGCTCCCCTTCTCCCATGGATGTGCTCTCAAGTAACTCTGCCGACTGTTTATCTATTAAAGGCAGTATAAGCCACATCTCTCAGGTAAGCAAACTCACGTAGTGTAGGATGCTGGTTTAGAAGAAGACTCAATTGGACAAGTGCGCTAAGAATTTGCATTTGAAATGTTGCGTAAGGAAGTTTTTGGTACGATATTGATACACCCATGACTGTATCAATCAGACATGACTAATGTATGGAAAAAAAAAAAGAATGAGCGGAAAGAGGGGAAAGAAAAGAACCAGGCGAAAGATTCGGAACTTGGAAGGAGAAAAAGAACCTCAGACTCCAGAGTTGTGTACCGGCCCACTTAAGAGTCAAGATCCTTTGTAGGTGCATTAGATCATACAAGATTCTCTGCCTGCCAATCATGAGCCTAATTATAACCAAACGTCTGTATGGCTGAAACATCCACGGATATTCAAGGGAAAAATTCTGGCTTGACATAGTTCCGTATACTTATTCATGCGGAGTGCCACGGAGTACTACGGAGTACTACATATATACTATGTAGTCGCACATTGCCGTGAGACTTTACCTCTCGAGTCAAGTAAAGTACAAGTGTTGTCTCTTTCTTGCTCCTTTTTCTTTCCTGACGAATCTGTATCGGCAAACAAGATTTCAAGATATTACGTATCTGGGGTCGAATATGATGATGCGGATTAAAGCAGTAAACAGTACAGTCAGGAACAGGTTACTGCACAGAAGGTTTTAGAGGACCTTCACTATCAGATATCGATAACTGGCGATTTCGTGATTGATTAAGAGACTCAGGAGTCGTAGCCTGGTGGCAAATTACAGTGCCTATGCGTAACCAATGGAACTCGACCCTCTCGCATACAAGTAAATCTAGTTCATAACGAAATAAAAATTGGGAGCAGGAGAATCTTCACTTTTCATTATATGGTAGAAATTAGCTGGAGGATTCGTTATATTCAGCGGCATTTGTTACTAACTTCAAATATCCAGCCAACTCCGTATTCGTTATATAAGGGACTTTTGTTATGCTTTTGTTATATCCAAATTCGTTATAAACCGGTTTTACTGTAATCACGAACCCGGTGATCAGAAACATTCAGACCGTGTTGCTATCAGTCATCCTACCGCTATGTTCATCTTCCTTGACATACAGAAACAAATGTTTCGACCAATTTCCCAGGAACGGGAGACCACCTTTCGGTATCCCCGAAATACGACAGCAGCGTCTGAACTTCCTAGAATAGTAAGCTTAGCAAGAGTATCGTCGTCAGCTTTATCTCAAGCCTAAGTTTCAACATTGAAAGTTTCCCAAAAGCATCGGCTCATGTATGGATATCTACGCAAGTCAAGGTCATGCAGCCAACTTATCCTATCTCGGTGAGAACTACTCGTAGTATTATCCATGAGTCCTTCTTATTTTATGGAGTACATAGGTAAGTGCCCTTGCACCCTTCCCCCAAGACATACGAGTCGGTTACCTACTCTATACGTATCCAATGTCAGGCCATCTGGGCCTCGATAGGTTCAAATTCCGATACAGCCTCATTAGGGGAGTTACAAGTGAAACGGAAAAAGGAACAAGAAAGAAAATGCCCTAAAAGCCGAAAGAAATACGTCCGAGAGTAGAAAAATGAAGAACAAGGAGGATAAAAGCAAAATGAGACAACAACAACAACAACAACTCCAAGGTTGGATTCGCCACCTGCCTGTTTTCTGGTACCGTATTTGTGCGCACTGTTATGCCGATAGTTAATACTACCCTCGCGCTCGTTGATGATCTTTAGCATTTCATGTTGTTAGTATTATTAACATAGCAGAATCTAGGCGTCATTGACGTGGCAATGCTGACATTTCACCCGGGTGAATTGAAAAAACAATTAATTGATACTTTAGAAATTCGGTGCCTGATTCCCCTAGGGCATAAATACGGCCTGCGTTTATTATTCACGCCATTACTTGGCAAATGACTCTGCTTTTGGGAGAAGAAATCACAATTGGCTGACCATAGTCATTAATATTAATTGCGTAGCTCATAAAAGTAAAAGTGTGGTATCTCGACATTTGAAGAGTAGAATCCTGGCGTAGAATCCTGGCTTGCACGGAGGCCAACGGGGGATGGGTATATTTGGGGTGTTCCTGATGGTAGACGCGTCATAGCCTTGGAAGTATGATCCTTGTCTTACTGACAGTACAGTTGTGTTCGACTAGCAAATGATAACAGTAAAACAAGGCGATTCCACCATGGTGTTGACAACAATTCGACATGATCGCTGCGCTGGACATCGACGAGTAGACGGGTATGGTGGGCAAAGTAACAAAGGTGTTCGAGGTGCCCTTCATATGCCACTGGTAAGTCTGTGACGTTTCGAAGAACATGGCCGATGTTGTCTGTAACGATGATACGCTGCAGCGGGTTGTGGTATGACCAAAAAATTTTCGTGAGATTCAGTCCAAGGTTTGAATCCCCCTATTTATGACCAGGCTCTGCTGGAAGTTCCGAAATCATCCTCGTATCCAATTCCTGTCTAACATAACCTCCTCTCCCATCGATCTCATGTTTCAAATTACCATGCCCGTCAAGTTCATGCGAGTCAACAAAGGGCTTGGAAGGCGGGTAAGGTTTGAGTTCATCCTCAATCCGAACTGAATACTTTATCTTCTTCTTCGTTCTAAAAAAGGCGAGCCATACCAGTACTGCAACTAATGCCAATCCACCAATCGCGGACCCAACAGATATTCCTGCTATTGCGCCTGCACCAAGATGTCCACTCGATGAATCCGAGTTTGAGGTTGTATTCGTCGTCATCGCCGCGAGACCACAGTTTCCGAATTCTGACTGACATCCCGCGCTGCAGTAACTGATATTTCCACCACAGAATCCATGACTGGAGCAACAATTACCCCATTCACTGCCGAGACACGTCGCGAAAACGGCGGAGTTGCTACCGCAGTTCCCATCTTCGGAAACAGTGCCTGTTGTAGTCGATGTTGAAGCCGAAGCCGTCGTTGATGATGCTTTCGTCGGATTCATCGCTCCGGCCGTCGCTGTCGTTATACTCGTCGAAGAAGCTAAATCACAGTTTCCAAACCCACTCTGACACCCATTTCCGCAATAACTCGAGTTCCCGCCGCAAAATCCTTTCGACGAACAACAATCGCCGAATGTGCTTCCGAGGCAGGTATAATTGTTTCCTGTAGAGCCGCATGAACCCGTTATACTTATTATTTGATTATTCTGGGTGGTACAGTTTCCGAAGGCAGATTGACATCCCCCACCGCAATAGTCTGAAGTACCGCCGCAATAACCCTTTGCTGAGCAGCAGTCACCGTATGTTGAGCCTAGACATGTTGAATTTGTCTTTGAATTTGAGCCGCAGTTGCCATCTGTGCTGATTGAGGCCATTTTGGTGGATGTCGCGATGTAAATGTTTGAGTTAGGGTTTCGGGCACGATAAAAGCGGGAGTAAGAATTGAGAAAGGATTTCGGGATAAAAGTAGATAGTTATCTCAAATAAGAAAAAGAGCGCAGGGAAAAGTGAATGAATCCTCTGCCAAGATCAACGATGCTTTTGCCAAATGTCACTAATAAAGTCTAGAGCAGGTAATATTTTGGGGCTGAAACTTTTCCGTAGCGCCGTCGCCAAGTTCATGGATGTTTTTCAGCTGGCAGCAACGGCCGGCCTCTCAGCGACAGTGATATATTGTCAATGCGATTGTCACGACTCATTTTGTACTTCGTACTCAAATGTGTCTTGCCCCGGTTTTCAATTCAACGTGGGAATCTTCTTCGTCAATGCGTCCTGCGGCGTTATGGGTAAGATAGCCTACCCTGGTCGATCGTCCACCGTTAGAGCTAGATTAAATTTGTCTAGTGGCTCGGGCTGAATATTTTGTCCATTAAAACTTCAGCCCATGAGATAGCATGAAGAAGCGTGGGCTGTCAAGGAAGTCTTCGGACGGGACGGTTGAGATACATTCGTTAGTTTTGAACTTCCTTCTGAAGAATCCGTAGTGATTGGATCCGAGCACATTGCCATGCATTTAACACTCGACAATCATGCCTCGTGGCTGGTCTGGGCTTTTGATCTTCGAGCTCTGTAACGGACTAAGTGGCTCAGGGGGTGCTTAGTTCGTTGGCGTTATTGGCCCTCAGTTACGGCTACCGTTTGTGCTAGGCTGCTAGTGGCCACCTTAATTCTCAGGTGTTGTCCTGTTTATCGTTTAACTTTGCTTAGAGCTGAAAGATTGACGGCACGCATGCTAGTTGTCAGGTAAAAGCACGTGTACGTGGTGAGGAGAATGGGATAAAGGCATGTTTGGATAATACCTTGCAATTTTTGCACTTCCATGACTGGGCCGACGGCAACCCTAAAGTTGAACTCACGTCAGATTTTGGTTTGATTCGACTCCATGAGTAAGAGAAATGATGAAAGATGCTCATTTCCCTGTTCGCCCTCTACTTGCATTTTTCGTCGTCTTCATCATTTTGACTCTCTTCACTCTCGCCTTCATCTTTATCCCGCCTGGATCGTCTCTGTCTTGACAAGGCCGAGCCTGAGTCGGAGCTTGAGTCGTTATTCTCATCGTCATCCCCGGAGTAAATCTGATATTGCATAAAACCTTTCTGAATCCTGCTATCTCCACCCCGTTTAGGTGAGAGGGGATCAAATCTTCACCTATAACCATCAAGAGGTATGGGCTTTTGGAAAGGCGGGAATTTTGATCGTATTCTTTTCCAGTTTGGAGTTAACAGATTCTGCATCTCAGGGTCATCTGCCGACATGAACACACCTTCAAGGTGCTTTACCTCCATCCAGGATTTCATTGACATTTCCTTCGAAGGCTATTCAAGTTGAGTGATACAAAATGTATCCAATGCCATATAGATGCTTGCAGCTATCTCTCTGATGCTCAACTCAAGCAGCTTGGCTCACCAAATAGCTTGAGCATATCCATCAACAAGTTCCTTTACAAACAACATTAGCCGTTCTACCCACAGCCAAGAAGATGACCGTTGTGCCGATTGTGTCCGTTTTGAAAATGTCTTCTCCATCTGCTATTAGCGCCAACGCCACTCTTTGGTAGTTTCTCCTCATTGCGTGATGGAGAGCGGATGGAGCATCGTCGTCAAGTGGTGGACAACTTCTTGCTACTTGGATCCAACCAGGGGGTGATTCGGAATGACCCTCAGATTGTGGCGACGACAGCGCTACCTCCATAAGGTACATGGTTAAAGCTGCCCTTTTCTGTTCTACTGCCACTCTACAGCAGTCTTATTTCCTCTCCAATGGCAGTACCAAATCCCGGTCCCATGATTCACGAGAGCCTGCACGACCTCCAAGTAGTTGATTGAGGCTGCTAAGGACAATATTGTATCCATCACAATCTGCGGAAGCTCCAGACACTCCAAGTCTTGTCCAAGCATTTCTTTTACAGCGTCTATGTAGCCTCCAGTGACTGCTACATGAAGTGCTGTTTCTCCGCGTGAATCAACTATTGCTAGGTTTTTGTTCTGGACAAGCACTTTGACGTAAGCAGGGCATTCATTCTCGGTGGCATAATGAAGAGGCGTACGACCGTCCTTATCAGGGACGTTGAGCTCTCCATAATCTAGCAGGGTGGATATTATGTCTGTGTCTATGGCCTCGTTCCAATCCAAAGCCGCGTAATGAAGTGCCGTACGTCCAATATTGTCCGTTAGCAAATGATTTGCTCCTCCCGTTAGCAGCTCGGTAAAGATTTTTCCCAATCCGAGCCCAGCGCTGAGATGCAGCGCCGTTCTTCCCTGAAAATCCTGGACGTCTTTCAGATTGTCACCAAGCTCGTCTAGCAACCACCATGACCATAATCCAGCCAAAATAGCTCGGTGGAGAGCAGTTTGACCATCCTTACATACTTTGTGTCCGGTCAAGAATTCCTCAAAATCAATGAGGAGGTCACTGTCTCCGTGCTCAGCTGCTAGGTGAATGCAGTGCTGGCCGAGTTCATCCTAAATTGCTGCATCAGCGCTGTCTTGATGGAGGAGATCAGCAATCAATGAATAGTACCATCTTCGCAGAGCATAATGCGGTGCCGTCCAGCCAGTTTGAAAGTGACATCCACAGTTCTTTATGTAGAACTTTTCTAGTCCTATCAGAATCGCCTTCCATGGCAGAAAGAAGAAGACGTTCCTTTCCAGTAGTATAGGTGTCCACGTTCATCGGGTTGTGAGGTTTGATGTAACTGGGAGGAAAATGCGCGAACCACGCCGAAATCTCATATCCGCTTATTTCACGGGAATCGGTCTCTTCCTGGCTGCCGCCAATCGTGACATAATTCACGGTCTCCTACTCAACCTCATCGAAGCCAAGAAGTGGGTTGAAATATACCGGGCCCATGAATTCATAATGGTGGTGCGTGTCATCTAATACTTTCGCTGCTGGTTCCCCTAAAAGTACGGATCTGTCTGCGGTTTCGAGGGTCACATTAATTATCATGTCCACAAGTGGGAATCCGTTGTGGAGCACGTATCGTTCTCTTGGAACGGATCTCTGTTTAATGACTCTCCAACGACTTTCAAGGGCTCCGTTGTAGTTGATACGTAGTTGTTCTTGTGTTTGAGGGGCAATAGACATAGTCAGCAATTTCGCCGCACACCAACTGAAATGGCCCGTCATTGTTGCGGATCTATGGAACAAGTGTCCATGAGCCACCTCTCCAATATCAAGTAGTACTTGCGGATAGACGGCGTGTTGTTTTTCTTCACTGGCCTTGGGAGTCCCAACAAGGAGCGCCGAGATCCTTTCCATGTCGCGTGGCCATGAGGTTGATCGAGGACCAAGAATGGTCAGCAAGTCACGGAGGTTGTCGACATGGTTTTTACGCAAACCTCTGATTGCTTCTGTAGCGAAACGATGGCAAGTGGAATCTCTTTCTAACTTGGACAGGGTATCTTCATCCAGATCTGTGATCACCATATTTTTGAAGATCACCTTGACTCTCAGAGATCTTGCCAGTTCCAATGCAGTCCACCCGCGACTGAACCATGGGGATAGTATAGTATAATAGCAAGACACGCAGTCTCAGCATCAACCTATTTCCACTTGCAAATATAGCAGTCGCGAACGAGCGTAATTCTTGCGCCATCGTAGTTGTTTTCCATTCGCTTGATTGCTCTCTCTTTAGCAGCTTTGTCTTTCGAAGTGCTGATTGCATCCCACCAGATCCCATACAATGCCAATGTCTCGCAATCCGCTCAAAGAATCGATATAGAAACTCATTTACCTCTCCGTTTGCCGAAATCCCGGTACCGGTCCCATCGAACCAGACAAGGGATATAGCCATATAAGGCTCAGCGACGTCAATTAGGTTCTCTATCCAACCTCTAGGCAGTCGATCTCGCTGCAAACGACGCCTTATCCAGCTTACTCACGGAGAACAATCTCTTAATAGAGCTACAGCGTTTATCCTCCCGACAACCAGTCACTCCTTATTCGTGACGCTGAGTCACGGAGGTATAGTTGAGTAGAGAATATTCGCAAAGGTCGAATGTGCAACGTTCATGTCCTTCATGTCGGATTACTCCCATACTCTTTGGCGCTCGCTCGTTGAAAGCAGATCCGGGAGCTTATCCTCCCAGTGCTTGAGATTGTGCCCGATAGCCCAGACTCGATTGGGACACAGTCCAAATTCTTTTGTTGCTCGTTGTAGAGCTTCGTCGATTTTGGTGGCTCGCATGTTGTTTGAAATAATCGTACATCGTATAAGACGCTAGGTCCCCGCTTGACATTTGTGATGCAGTGAGGAAGGCCGTTTGTCGAACTATATGTCAACGGAGTTTTGGTGGGTAGGCTGAAGAGGTAAAGAGGGACAGCATATAGTCACATTTTCCTCTTCGGTTGTCATCGACTTCATTGGATGCAGAGACCATGGTGCTGTAGGAACAAGCACCAATCAACTAGAATCCAGTTAGCCAATGTGAATTTTTCTGGGGCTGGTGCAGTTAGCTGAAAAAGGCTTTAAGACCGGTACAGATACGAAGCTTTGAGGTGAGCCTCGGAGAGCCTGTGCTGAATATTGTTTCACCCTTCTTGTTTTTCCCGAACGATGGAAAAAGAACATTCCACTCGTCTTTCCAACCTTGTAAATAATGAGTCGCCCGAGGGACCTGTGATTTACGAAACCCTAACCAGAATGTCAGCCTATCTCCAGCTTTCCAGATTTCCAACACATTTGAAATAAACGTGAAAGAGGAAGTCCCTATCACCTTAGATGTTTCCATTATGATGCATAATAACCTTGGAAGCAAGACTTAAGTCGAGCAGCTTCCACGCTTCCCACCTGGGTAGTTATGATCAGGTGAGCAGCATTACATATACCTTTGCTGCGGCTTCAACGTCAAATCAATAAAGGTCCTCCGAATCTTATCATGGCATGTTGAGTTAGCAAAGGTTGGAATGATCAAGACATAGATCAATCATCAGCAGAATTTCGATGTAACTCCTTTGAATAATTATCATAGAGAAATCTGGCATAATGTGATGGTATTCAATAGTATGGGGTTGCTTTATAGATCGGAAACGGCTGCCGAATGAAGTGGATCTGACAGCACGGAAGCTTAATACTAATCTCGAGCTCTAGAATAATCTCATCTCATTCATAATCTCCAACATCTGGGGCTTCGGTCGAAACCCTTGAGACAAGCTCAGCATCAATTTATATTCAGAATATTACTGGCACGAAAAAAGTATCATAGAAATGGCTCCAACCCTCGTTTCATCACCGCCCACTCTCCGCATCAACCCCGAACCTCTCACGCCGCAATCGTTCGCCCCCTTCGGCACCGTCATCACAACCCCATTCCCACGAGACCTACTCGGCGCCCCTAACAATCTCCCATCTCTCAAACTCCCTCACCGCGTCCCCGCTACACCCGTCTATGCAAACCAAGGCTCAGCCGTGAAAATCAGTCCCATCGCCCCACTAGCCAACGGCTACGAGAATGTCTGCCCAAGCGGTAAAGCAGCACAAGCTCGGCTGAGTATGTTCGCCTGCTTTCCTCGGAAATTAAGAAGGGAGAGACAGAGTGCTCATCGACTTGTTGAGCATTCATTGAAGCACATCAACATCAATGAACAGCAAGATGAGGACAATGATTTTGAGGGGCCTGTATTCGACGTTCGAATTCTGGAAAGACATCCATATACCACTCAGACTTTTATCCCACTCGATTTATCGAGCCAGAGACGTGTTTTGCGGGATCGGGTACCAGATAAGAAGAGTCATGACTGGAAGGGATACGGAGAAGGAGATGTCAGTATAACACTAGACGGATCAGCGGAACAAGACGAAGAACAGGAAGAGCCCATGTTCTTAGTCATTGTTGCGCCGACATTGAAGGGCCAGTCTGCTGCTGCTACTACATTGTCTTCCTCTGATTCTACGAATTCTTCTTCATCATCGATTGCGACGCTCTCCGATCCCGTGAATGAGGGTAGCGCGGACTCAAATCGCGTATTGATTCGTGACCCACCCGACCTCGAAAATCTAAGAGCCTTTATTGCCCGTGGTGGTCAGGCAGTTACCTATGGACCAGGTACATGGCATGCTCCTATGGTAGTTTTGGGTCCACGCCGGATAGATTTTGTGGTTGTTCAGTATGTTAATGGTGTTGATGACGAGGATTGCCAGGAGGCCGCTTTCAAAGATGGGATTGTGGTTGACGTTAAATCTTTGACGGAGGAGGAGGATGAGCTTTGGAATGATTTGAAAAAGTTGTCTAAATTGTGAGGAAGTGTAGAATTGAACAAGGAAAGGAAGAGTATATTGTACAAGGGATGGGTATCAAGATCTAATAAATTAATATACAAGCATATAATGGCCCCGCTAATAGCAAAGGAAATTAAAGATATGAAGAAGCCGAAATTCTAATCACCCGCTGCTAGCAGCTTTTGACTCATCCCTGTGCTTCGACCAATCTGCCTGGCTAGTAGGGTTAGATGCGCCCATCTGGCAAAGCACCCTCTCCGCCACCGTAATCGCAGACTCTGGAAGGCCAGCCAGGCGAGCTACCTTCAAAGCATGAGACTGTCGATTGACGCCTTTGCGTAGTTTGTGTACAAATGAAAATGAGCCAGAAGGATTCTCCTTGATATCTGTGCAATAAGCACCAAGTTTCTCAAAGCTGGCAGTCATGTCTACCAGGATATGGAAATGCGTTGCGAATAGCGTTCGGCATTGGTTCACATTGTACAAATGCTCGAGACATGCATATCCAACAGCTGTACCGTCTTCAGGAGTGGTTCCTCTTCCAACTTCGTCCATGATGACAAAGGACCGAGGGGTTGCTTGTTTCAAGATTGCAGCAGTTTCAAGCATCTCTACCATGAAGGTTGACTGATCTCTGAAAAGATCATCTGCTGCACCGACTCTGCTGAATATTTGGTCGACAATACCGATCTCAGCATACTCAGCAGGGACAAAGGATCCAACCTGTGCCAAAATTGTAATCAACGCATTCTGACGCAAGAACGTGCTTTTTCCTCCCATATTCGGACCAGTTATTAGCCAAATTCGCTCCTCATCGCCAATAAAACAGTCGTTGCTGACGAAGCGTCGTCCTTGTTCTTCAAGCCCAAGTTTGACAGTTGGATGCCTGCCCCCAACAATATGATGTGACGTGGTAGTGTTCAGTATCGGCCGTACCATGTTCTGCTCTTTTGCTAGCATGGTGAAGGAACAAGCGACGTCTAATTCGTCCATTACAGCGGCGTTGCGCCGGATCTTGACTAGATTAAGAATGACGTCTCGGCGGAGGTCTTCAAAAATACGTTGCTCCTCAGCACGGATGTGTACTTTCGACTGGTCTAATCGTGCACCCAACTGTGACCATGCTGGCAGGTAGAATGAGCGTGTGGATTTTGTGGATGAAACGTTGCGCGTAACTCCGAGATCTTCGAGCGCTTGTTGGGAGATCTTGGCCCCTTTGACATGACAAATGTATCCTAGACCCGGAGTCCATTTTAGTGTCAGCATGGAAGATCCGACTTGCTCTTGTAGTCGTGTTGTAAGAGCTTGTTTCTCTTCTTTGAGTTCGTCAAGCCGTTCGTGCAACCGTCGTAGAGCATCGCTAGCATTACGTCGCATAATCCATGTATCTATATCGCCGCGGTCTGACTCAACTGCGATACCGGGTCGTCCTGTAGTCTTGAAACGGATTTTTCGAGGCATAGACTCAGCTTCTTCTGGTAGAGCTTCGCTGAGAACGATATCTTGCGCGAGTCCGGCAACCTCAGCCGCTTGGCTATCTTCGATCCGATGCTTTTGCAACAGACCCTCTTCATCAATCGCGGCAAGAATCTTCTCAGCGAGCTGTACCGGACCGTCCAAACGTAGTCTGCGAATGAGAGCTTCTAAGCTTTGACGAGTCGCGTCAATTCTACATGTGGAATTATTCCGTCGATCAGAAAGAACCCTGTACACTTCCCGAGAGGCTTCGATAGCCCTGGATAAACATATCAGGTCATCCGGGTCTCCTCTACCTAACGTGAATTTCTGCACGAGGCGTTGAGAGTCATAGCTTCTTTTCAGGAGGGACACAATAGTTTCTCTTGTCTCTTCATCCTGGAGGAAGTAGGTGACAAGATCAAGGCGTTCTTGGATAACAGACAAGGAAGTTGAAGGAGAAGCTAATCTTGTGGTCAGAAAAGTGATCTCACATATTTTCATGAATGGTGAACCTACTCAATCGATCTCGAAGGAGTCGAGCTCCACTCTTAGTAGCCGTTCTACGCACCGCGTGTAGAAGGCTTCCTTTGCCTAAACCGTCCCGGGCGGTCTCCAATATCTCTAGACCTCTGAGACTATTACGGTCGATGCCCATAGATTCATCCAGATGCCGTCGGCGAGGTGGTTGAAGTTTCATGCCAACTCCTTGCAGTTGAACACGGACATACTCTAGAAGATTGAATCCAGCAGCCACCTCTTCATTTGTGAATGTAGACGCAATTTCGGGCCTTACGGAAGCCTCCAGCATATGTGCCCATTCGGACATGGGTTGTGTGGTCGTAGGCGCGTGGAAGAGGGTGAGTAGCTGATGATCTATGCCTACCAACATCTGCAGCTCTTGACCCATCAGATTCTGTAGTCGTTGGTCGGCAACTATTTCCCGAGCGCCGATCCTGGCAATTGCTGACGGAAGCATTTGCGTTGTGGTAACCTGGGTGTAGAAATCGCCAGTCGACAGATCCATCCAAGCCAACCCGACGCGCCCTGAAGAGGAAGACAGTAGGTGTGTGATAGGAGAGGAGCTGCCTCCTTGTTGCTGATCCTCATAATACTGTGTGTCGATATACAGCGATAATAAAAAGTTGTTTTGTGAGGTGTCAATGAATTTCTCGTCTATCAGCGTTCCCGGCGTGATAACTCTGGTAACCTTCCTGTCGAACAATAGTCCCCCTGATTTCGATTTTTCCTCAACTGGATTCATAAATTCTTCGCTCACGGCGACATACCTGTTCAGGTCCTGTACAAGGATTTTGAGGAATCGATCCAGTTGGAAAAAAGGGAAACCGGCCATTGGGACCGGTCCTGCGTTCGTCTTCTTCGATGCGAGTTTGATATTAAGCAAAGGAGCTAGTTCTTCGGCTTGTTCAAAATACAACTTCCAATAGTTAGCACTCAGTATTCCATTTCGATTCTATCTAAATGAATTCAGGTAGCTTACTTCGTAGAAACCTCCTACCCTGGTCAGGACCACGCAGTTCTTGAACTTCTCCATATTATTCCTATGGCCCTGCACCACAGTAGGGTATCGGGGGACATCGTCGGCGCCATCGCTGTACGTCTCGAGCTTCAGCGCACCTTGAGGGAGGTCTTTCAACTTCGCTGTGGCCTTCGTTTTCGCGCCTCGTGCAAAACATACGGCGATTCGAAGAGTAGAGGCTCGAAAGGTGTGCTGGCACGCAAACGCACTGATTGCCCTCTGTCCGACGACATCGCGGCTAGGAATGGATCTTAAGCAAGTAGCTATAATGCCCCTTCCACAAGAAGCACGAGCTTGCATGATATGAGCTTGAAGAAAGCCATTCAGAGCTTCTTTACTGTTCGATGTTGTTGCGACTCCTTTTGCTGTAGAACACTACGAATTTCCCCACGCCGCAACATGCACCAATCAGCATGCAGAAATGCCACGAAAAGGTCTCCACTAAAAGTTCATCCATTTTAGTCCCTGCTTGTCTGTCCACATCTTGTTACATCACAAGCTACAATCTCTTCCTGCAACCACTGATATCAACATTCCTGGTTGTATGACCAGGACGATGATCTTGCAGTGAAGTTAAAGACTATTAATTTTCATTCTTTCTTGTTGAGGAGTGGTGGTTTGCAAGCTCTCGACGCGCACCTGGTGCGGAGCTCGAAGACGAGCGGAAGATTTTTTTCGCGATCGCGAAAGGCGTGAAATCAAGTGTCAACGTACACCTTTAGACACTTTTTTTTTTCGCTAGATCTCGAGGTATTTCGACTGTTCTGCATCTTTCTGATCATCTCTTGAAGCATTTTCGATAGTACGATAGTCCGCAAGCAGGATCACGACCGTCAAAATGGCGGATCCTAACAATGTGGCGCAATACAAATATTCGTAAGTTCTTTCTATTTTAACCGTGTTGTATGGCTACTAATAATATCAGGGCGATGAGCAACCTGGTGCTCCAGGCTGATCGTCGATTCATAACCCGTCCAGGAGACGATGCGACAGGCGACCCGGAGTCCCTCGCAGGAAGGATAAATATACGAGACATGGGATCGCGGGTTGCCCACGACCAAGCGCCGAAGACCAAGAAAGCAGCAGCTGCCCAAGTCGATATCGAAAGAGGTAGTATTCGTGAAGGCGCCGATGTTTTAGAGCGCGAGCAGCGTAAGCGCAAACGTGGGGACCAAGATCAACTTCGTGGAGCTGGCATTCTATCGGCTGCAGACATGCTTATTGAAGGCTTAAAATATCGCCCCAGGACTCCGGCTACAAGGGCGACGTACGATCTGATTCTTACCATGACCGCAAACCACCTCGGTGATGTTCCGCACGAAGTCGTTCGAAGCGCAGCAGACGCGATTCTCGAGATCCTCAAAGACGAAAATATGAAGGATTTCGATAAGAAGAAAGAGATTGACGACCTTCTTGGTTCTACCATGAATCCGAAACAGTTCAACGAGCTGGTTAACCTCGGCAAGAAAATCACCGATTACGACGCGCAGGACGAAGACGAAAACATGGAAGACGGACTAGATGGCGCAAATGAAGCAGAACTCGACGAAAGGCAAGGTGTCGCTGTTGTTTTCGACGAGTCTGACGAGGATGAAGGGGGGCTGCGTGGAATGGACGAAGTTCGTGACGAGGACGAATCCGATGAAGAGGCTTCAGACATTGAAGATCGACCGGAAGCTGATGAGGTGGCAGCGGTCGATTTGGAGGGAGATGAAGAGATGATCCTGGATGGCGGCGGAGTGGTAGATGCCAAGATATCTGAAGCACAGAAGCATATAATACCAGTCCGGGAAATTGACGCCTATTGGTTACAACGTCAGATCAGCACCATTTTCCCCGACGAGCACGAAGCTACTGCTTCCGCTCGTTCTGCTTTGGAGATCCTAAGTGGTAAAGATGCTGATGGAAACGAACGCCAGCTTCGTGACATTGAGAATGATTTAATGGAACTTTTCGACTACGAGCATCCAGAGCTGGTGGCAAAGTTTGTCAAGAACAAGGATAGAATCGTCTGGGTAACAAAATGGCGAAGGCTGGCAGAAAATGACGATGCTCGTTTGCTGGTTGAAAGTGAGATGGTCGAGGCTGGTCATCGCGATATATTAGACGAGATCCATGGACGGTCAACTTCCGGGGAGGAAGGGCAGCTACCGGGAAAGAAGATCAAAATGGATCTAATGGATATTGATGTTCCAACTGCCGGTGGTGAGGCCAAGGCTGAGGAAGGCAAAGCTCCATTAAGCAGCTTGCTCCCTACGCGCCTAGTCAACCTCGAATCTTTGAAATTCGATCAAGGAAACCATCTTATGACTAACCCAAATGTGAGGCTGCCCCAAGGATCAACCAAGCGGACATTCAAGGGATATGAGGAGATTCATGTGCCTCCTCCAAAACCCAAACGTGACCCCGGCGAAAAGAACATACCTACAACCGAGCTACCTGACTGGGCTCGTGTAGGCTTCGGATCGTCTAAAGAGCTTAACCGGATACAGTCCAAATGCTATCCAACTGCCTTCCACGATGACGGGAACATGCTCGTTTGCGCTCCTACGGGTTCTGGAAAGACTAATGTTGCCATGCTCACCATGCTTCGTGAGATTGGTAAGCACCGAAACCCAAATACTGGCGAAATCATGCTCGACGATTTCAAGATCATCTACATCGCTCCTCTTAAAGCTTTGGTTCAAGAACAGGTTGGGAATTTCGGTAAACGCTTGGAGCCATATGGCATCCGCGTCAGTGAATTGACCGGTGACCGGCAACTCACCAAGCAGCAGATTGCCGACACCCAAATCATAGTCACCACTCCAGAAAAGTGGGATGTCATCACCCGCAAGGCAACCGATTCTAGCTACACTAAGCTCGTGCGCCTTTTGATCATCGACGAGATTCACCTGCTTCACGATGATCGAGGCCCGGTCTTGGAAGCCGTTGTCAGTCGAACTCTTCGTGACAATGAGACAGCTGATGAGCCTGTCAGGATTGTTGGACTTTCTGCAACCCTTCCAAACTACCGTGATGTTGCTAGCTTCTTGCGTGTTGACGCGACTAAAGGCCTCTTCCATTTCGACGGTTCTTATCGCCCTTGCCCATTGCGACAAGAATTTATTGGTGTGACTGATAAGAAGGCCATCAAGCAGCTTAAAACTATGAACGACGTGTGCTACAATAAAGTATTAGAGAATACTGCCAAGGGTCATCAGATGCTTATTTTTGTGCATTCGCGAAAGGAGACTGCCAAAACAGCCAGATATATTCGTGACAAGGCTGTGGAGATGGAGACAATCGGTCAAATTCTGCGGAGTGATGCAGCCAGTAGAGCGATTTTGGCAGAAGAAGCCGAGAATGTAGACGATGCCGCACTCAAGGACATATTGCCTTACGGTTTCGGTATCCACCATGCTGGTCTATCGTTAGCGGACAGAGATTCCGTGGCTAGTTTATTTGCCGATGGCAGTATCCAGGTGCTCGTCTGTACTGCGACTCTCGCCTGGGGTGTTAACTTGCCCGCCCATACCGTTTTGATCAAGGGTACCCAAGTGTACTCACCAGAACATGGTGCCTTTGTGCAGTTGAGTCCCCAGGATACCTTACAGATGCTTGGCAGAGCTGGCCGTCCACAATACGATACGGAAGGTCTTGGAACAATTATTACGACTCAGAACGAGCTCCAGTTCTACCTCTCACTGCTGAACCAGCAATTACCCATTGAAAGTCAGCTAATGGGCAAATTGGCAGATAACCTAAACGCTGAGGTTGTCCTTGGAAATGTTCGTGATCGTACCGAAGGTGTCCAATGGTTGGGTTATACTTATCTATATGTCCGAATGCTTCGGTCACCTGGATTGTACAGTGTTGGCGCTGATTATGCAAATGATGAGGCATTGGAACAGAAGCGAGTCGATTTGATACATTCCGCTGCCACTGTACTTGAAAAGGCTGGCCTTGTCAGATATGACAAGAAAGGCGGTAAAATTCAGTCCACAGAGCTTGGGCGTATCGCCTCTCACTACTACATCAGCCACAGTTCTATGCAGACTTACAACCACCATCTTCAGCCAGGTATCAGCACTGTCGAATTGTTCCGGATTTTCTCTCTCAGCGAGGAATTCAAGTACATCCCTGTACGACAGGATGAGAAGTTGGAACTTGCCAAGCTACTTGGTCGTGTACCTGTTCCTGTTAAAGAAGGTATTGAAGAGCCTCATGCCAAGATTAACGTTCTCCTTCAAGCATATATCTCTCGACTCAAACTTGAAGGTCTTGCTTTGATGGCAGATATGGTCTATGTCACTCAATCGGCCGGCCGAATTCTCCGCGCAATCTTCGAGATCTGTTTGAAGAAGGGCTGGTCTTCCGTCGCAAAGACTGCGTTGAATCTCTGCAAGATGGCAGAGAAACGCATGTGGCCGACAATGACACCCTTACGCCAATTCCCATCATGCCCTCGGGATATCATGCAGAAAGCTGAGAGAATTGACGCTCCCTGGCCAAGTTATTTCGATCTCGATCCTCCACGGATGGGCGAGCTTCTTGGTATGCCCAAAGCAGGTCGTATTGTCTGTGATTTGGTTTCAAAATTCCCTCGACTGGAAGTTCAAGCACAAGTTCAGCCAATGACTAGATCCCTACTTCGTGTCGAGTTGACCATTACTCCAAACTTCGTCTGGGATGATTCTATACACGGCGCCGCAGAGAGCTTTTGGGTTATTGTTGAAGACTGTGACGGCGAAGAAATCCTGTTCCATGATCAATTCATCCTACGTAGGGAGTACGCCCAAGGCGAGGTCACTGATCACATCATGGAATTCACTGTTCCTATCTCCGACCCGATACCCCCTCACTACTTCCTGCAAATCATCTCCGACAGGTGGATGCACTCCGAAACCAAGGTTGCTGTGTCTTTTCAGAAGCTGATTCTCCCCGAGCGCTTCCCTCCTCATACGCCATTGTTGGATATTCAGCGAGTCCCTGTCCAGGCTCTGAAACGCGATGATTTCAAGAGCCTTTATCCGAACTGGCAGACCTTCAACCGTATTCAAAGCCAAGCTTTCAAGAGCTTGTTCGAATCGGATGAAGCTGTTTTCCTTGCAGCTCCTGCGGGAAGTGGGAAGACTGTGTGCGCAGAGTTGGCACTTCTCCGTCATTGGTCGCAGCCAGATAAGGGCCGTGCAGTTTACATTGCTCCTTTCCAGGAGTTGATTGATCTGCGATATAATGACTGGTCCAAGCGTCTAAGCTCGATCGCTGGAGGGAAGACAATCGTGAAACTTACCGGCGAGACTACTGCGGATCTGAAGCTTCTGGAGTCAGCGGACCTAGTTCTCGCAACACCAGTTCAATGGGATGTATTGTCACGACAGTGGCAAAGACGAAAGAACGTTCAAACCGTTGATCTTTTCATTGCTGACGAGTTGCATATGATTGGAGGCTATCTCGGCTACACTTATGAGATCATCGTTAGCCGGATGCAGTTCATCAAGTTGCAGCTTGAAAGTAATCTGCGAATCATCGGCTTGAGTGTACCTCTGTCTAATGCTCGTGATATCGGCGAGTGGACTGGGGCTAGCCGTCACTCGATTTTGAATTTCAGCCCAAGTGCTCGACCTATCCCGCTGGACTTGCATATTCAATCTTACAATATACCTCACTTTCCCTCCCTCATGATGGCCATGGCTAAGCCTGTATATCACGCCATTGCCAATCAGCTATCTCCTGACAAGCCGGCACTTGTCTTCGTTCCGAGCCGGAAGCAGGTCCGAGCTACAGCCGTGGATATATTAGCTGCCTGTGTTGCTGATGATAATGAGGATCGCTTCCTGCACGCTGACGTGGAGCAAATCGCCCCTCTTTTGGAAAGATTACACGAGCGGACGTTGGCCGAGTCTATTTCGCATGGAGTTGGCTATTACCACGAAGCATTGAGTACCAACGATAAGCGAATTGTGTCTCACTTGTTCACCATTGGTGCTATTCAGGTTATGCTGGCATCTCGTGATGTTTGTTGGGAGATTGATTTCACTGCCCATTTGGTCATTGTTATGGGAACGCAGTTCTTCGAAGGAAGAGAGCATCGTTATATCGACTATCCTATCAGCGAAGTACTTCAAATGTTCGGCAAAGCCTCACGCCCTGGTGTGGATAAGATCGGACGGGGTCTGTTGATGGTGAACGAGACTAAAAGGCCATATTACAGGAGATTCTTGGCAGAGGCCCTACCATTAGAGTCTGGACTTTCCTTGACGCTACATGATACCTTTGTTACTGAGATTAGCACACAAACAATCAGCTCAACTCAGGATGCGGTGGATTGGATGACGTATACATACTTTTACCGCCGTCTTCTTGCCAACCCCAGTTTCTATGGTCTCACTGATGTTAGCCATGAGGGACTCAGTACATTCTTGTCTGAACTGGTTGAGAACACGTTGAGAGAGCTATCAGAAGCGAAGATCATTGAGCTCGATGAGGAAGATGACAGCATCTCTCCAATGAATGCGGCTATGATAGCTGCATACTACAATATCTCCTTCATCACTATGCAAACATTCCTCCTGTCATTGTCAGCCCGCACGAAACTAAAGGGTATTCTGGAAATTATCACTTCTGCCACAGAGTTCGAGTCTATCCAAATGCGCCGCCATGAGGATCACATTCTAAGACGTGTCTACGATCGTGTTCCTGTCAAGATGACAGAGCCCGCTTACGACTCTCCTCACTTCAAGGCATTTGTTCTCCTTCAAGCTCACTTCTCTCGAATGCAATTGCCGATTGATCTTGCAAAGGATCAAGAAGTAATTGTTGGTAAGGTTCTCAACCTTCTCAGTGCTTGTGTTGATGTCTTGTCGTCTGAAGGACATTTGAATGCAATGAACGCTATGGAGATGTCACAGATGACTGTTCAAGCCATGTGGGATCGTGATAGCCCGTTGAAACAGATTCCTCACTTCACTCCGGAGGTTATCCAGGTGGCTAATGAATTCAAGTACGTTAAAAGTTCTAACTATTCTACCAACCTTACTAACAGTCTCTGCTTTAGGATTAATGACATCTTCGAGTTCATGGAGGCTATGGACCCCTCGGAAAATAAAGACTACGCTACATTCGTCAAGCGCCTTGGTCTGGATAACAAACAGCTTTCTCAAGCCGCCAACTTCACAAACAACAAGTATCCAAACGTGGAGATGGACTTTGAGGTTGAAGATCCCGATAATATCACGGCAGGCGATCCAGCTTACCTCAAGATCAAGGTGGAACGGGACGTTGAAGAGGATGAGGACCCAGATACCACGGTTCATGCTCCTTACTACCCCGGCAAGAAGATGGAGAACTGGTGGTTGGTCGTTGGTGATGAGAAGACCAAGAGTCTTCTTGCTATTAAACGTGTCACTATTGGTCGACGATTGGAGACGCGTCTTGAATATATTGTGCCAACTGCGGGTGAGCATGAGTTGACATTATATCTTATGAGTGACAGCTATGTGGGTGTTGATCAGGCACCTACATTCAACGTTACTGCGGCTGAAGGTATGGATGAGGATGAGAGTGAAGAGGAGTAAGGCATGCAAAAGAAGATAAGCTAGATATGTGGTTTATGGATTGGCGTTGTTTATGGCATTTTTGATGTATTATCATGTTATTTTTAGGTTGAAGTCAGCATGGAAATGTATACCATTGCCCTTATTGCTCTAGAAGAAGCTGAACATATCGAGGCATCAAGTGGCGGGATATACCCCACTTATTGGGCTATCTCCGCATTCGGTGTTACGCTGAAGGGATGGACCTTGGAAGCTTACATCTGTTCTTTTCTTTCATAATCCCGCAAATACTTCAATTCCTCTCTACAAAATACTCTGATCTGAGTACATCCTTATCACACATCTTTTTACAGCACAGAAGTAGGACATAATGACTATCAGACCTGCCAAATTCACGCCAGAGTAGAGCATCTCCCCGCACCGTCTCGAACTCTGCTAATCAGTCTCTTAGGGTTCTCCTCTCAGCACCGCGAAGATCATCAGCTGTCCCCAACGCCACTGGAAAACTCGCCGTATATACCCAAACGACCTACTCATTTGATACCCACTCCAAGACCAACGAAATCCGCATCATCGACCTCGAATCAGGCGAAACGTCGGTTATCACAAACGATGCTAGTGCCAGTAACCCTCGATGGCTGGATGACGGTGACTTGCTTGTATGGCTAAAAGGGAAAGAAAATGGAAATACAAGTTTCATGATTGGCGACGCGCGAGATCCCGGACGATTCTATACTGCAGGCACAGTACCAGGACCCGTCTCCGATCTCAAAGTCACAAAACTCGACTCGGGAAAGACTGGATTCGTGGTTTCCGGTAAAGCGAACCCGGACGGAAGTTTGTACAACCCCAAGGATGCGAAAAAGCCCCTAAGCAGCGGGAAATATTATACATCGATATGGGTGCGACATTGGGACGAATATATTGAGCCGCAGAGGAATTCGTTGTGGTACGGTGTACTACAGAGTTCTCCCTCGGCAGCGTCGGACAAAGAGAAGAGATATGCTACATCCGGGATGACGAATTTACTCGCTGTATCCGGTCTGACGGACGTTGAAGCACCTATTCCACCGTTTGGAGGGACGGATGATTTTGATATTAGTCCGAATGCTGTTGTGTTTGTTGCGAAGGATCCGGCTGTGAATAAGGCTACTCATACGGCCTGTGTTTGTTATTATTGTCCTATGCCGTCATGGACAGATCTTAGCACGCGAGAGGCTAAGATTTATCAAGTCAAAGGTCTTGAGGGGGCTATGAGCTCGCCTGTGTTGTCGAATGATGGCAGTGCTATTGTCTTCTTGGCACAAGAGAAAGATGGACATGAAGCAGACAAGAACCGTATCATCTTCGTGCCTAATCCTTGGAGCGGCCAATTACTTGAAGTATTCAAGTCGAAAGACGGGAAGGGGGCATGGCCCTTGAGCCCTGGATCGGTGTCGTGGTCAAAGGATAACAAGTCCTTGCTAATTACGGTTGAAGAAAAAGGCCGAGGGGTATTATATCAACTGCCGATTGAAAATATTCTGGAAGTGACGCCAGACAAGCTGAAAAAATTGACTAGTACGGGCTTCGTTACTGGCGTTGCGCCATTATCAGCGGATACAGAGCTCTTTCTTGTCTCAAGCAGTAACTTGATAGAGAGCAGTGTATACACTATCGTCGACCCCAATGTCATCGATAAACCAAAGCTCCTATCATCTATCAGCCGTGGTGGAGCAGCAGTCGGTTTATCGCGATCCCAAGTCGACGAGATATGGTACAAAGGTGAAAACGATCAACCCATCCACGCTTTCGTCGTGAAACCATCAAACTTCAACCCGGACGAGAAATATCCTTTGGCATATTTGGTACACGGCGGGCCGGAGTCAGCCTGGAATGATTCTTGGAGCACTCGCTGGAACCCAGCGGTATTTGCCGAGCAAGGCTATGTGGTTGTTACGCCTAATCCCACTGGCAGTACTGGATATGGACAGGACTTCACTGATGCTATTATCGGTAACTGGGGCGGTTTACCCTACCTGGACTTGGAAAGAGGATTCGACTATATCAGCAAAAACCTGAAATACGTCGACACCGATCGAGCAGTAGCGCTAGGCGCTTCGTACGGAGGGTACATGATGAACTGGATCCAGGGACAGCCACTCGGTCGAAAATTCAGAGCTCTCGTCACGCACGACGGCGTATTCAGCATGGTATCCCAACTCGCCAGTGAGGAACAATACTTCCCTCTAGCCGATCTCAAGGGACCATTGTGGAAAGTCCCTGAAGAATGGCACAAATGGGATCCGTCTCGATTTACTGCCAACTGGGCAACACCACACCTGATCATCCACAACGAACTTGATTACAGACTAACAATCGCAGAGGGATTAGCTGCGTTCAATGTTTTGCAAATGAAAGGGATTGAGAGCGCGTTTTTGACGTTCCCAGACGAAAATCATTGGGTTTTGCAGCCGGAGAATTCGCTGGTATGGCATTATGCTGTGATTAATTGGATAAATAAGCATGTGGGATTACCAGAGCTGTCGACAGCTCATCATGAAGGTATCTTTGGCACGGATAAGTTTTCCAGAAAAGTCACAAATCTTCCATTGAGATGATTGATGGTGCCTTTGTTGACAAAAGCAGTAAGTACACATATGAAGGGCATTTACGAAAGAGTATAATCTTGCATGTTTGGCTTTGTTGGTCTTTCGGGGAGATTTACTGGCTTTGTCATTTACTCACACTCTACCTTAGTCAATACACAAAATAAAAAAAAATGTGTCATGTTGTTACATTATCTTGATTTGATCGAAGTCTAGTCATTCTCCTGATTCATCGATCAAGATCAGATGGATGTGTGACTCTTTATCTACATACAGCTCAAAACAATGAATAACATCAGGGAACAATGGAAGCTATTAGCTTTCTCATAGTTCTTCAGTATCATCCCATCTAAGAACAAGCATGGGAATAGTGAGTCACGGCAGCATGAGTATAAAGGTATGAGCTGCCGTTTTTGAGTGCCCATTTCGGCCTCTTCTTTCTCTATAGGTCTTACTACTGAAAGCTTCCCTTAATCATAATGCATACGCAGCCAAAACGATATACTAAGAAGTGACCACTACAAAGTCCTATATAAGGTATATAAACCTCCTCATCATTCCCAATATTAGCTGGTAGGTCAGGAGGATCTCGGAACCATCAAGATAGACACCGGTAATGACGGAGCTGAGCATAAGATCTCTCGCAGCAAATGCCTCTTTACAATCATGGAAGAACATTCCGACTCCAAATTAGAACCAGCCCCGGACAAACCCAAAGACGACATAGCCACATCCACCAACACTGTCGGCGATGACAATTCGCAGCTGCTAGGGAAGATCGAGACTTTCATCGCCTCCATCCTCGCAACATACAACAAACACAACAACATCCTACTACCCAGCCATAACCACACACACCATCCAGACCTAATCCCAACACTAACCCACCTCTCCCACCGCCTCTTCAAACTCGTGTCCTTAACGACAGGCTTACCACACCCATACTGCCCAGACACAGTTCTGCGCTACCACCTCCTCACATCCTCTCAACTAGACGATCTGGCCAGACATTACCATCAAATCTGGCCCCCGACACCAGAGACATATCGATACCCGAAATCTATTGAGCCGTGGATCGGGACGGCGGAACAGGATACGACTGATGTTGAGACCAAGCGGGAGCGGATTGGAAGTTTTATAGGGTTGAGAAGAACCCATCAGCGGGGTAGGGATAAGTCGGGGACTGGGGGTGAGGAGGGTAGTAGTACGTTATTAGGGAAGGATGTTGAGGATGAGGTTACGAGTCAGATGCAGAAGGAGTGGGAGGAAGCGCTTGAGAGGGCGCGGAGGGAAGGGTATACTGGTATTGTTCAATGTTCGAAGGCTGATTAGTGTTATACCGTCCAGGCAGGCCTTGAAGCAATTTCTTGAGATATTGTGTATACCTATGTAATCCCCGTACCTAGGTTATGCGTCATAGACGTTTAGACTCGAGTCCGAAAATATTGACCCTGGTCCCAGCTCCGGAGTCAGAGACGTCGTATATGAGTCACTTAAACCCTAACTCAACTCAACTCAATTGCTAGCTAGCATCTGGATCGGAAATCTATTGGGGAAGGGGCCGAAAAGCGGACTTGAGCATTTTTTGGAGGTTTGATGTTCATAACCTCGGTCAAGTATCAAGCTATCGGCTGGACAAATATTATTAGAAAATGAATTAAGTACACTCAATATCATAGGTGATTGTTGTTGATGTTGATGAGAGCGGCCAGTGTCGGCTTGTATCGGGTTGCCGGTAATGCGATCATCGTGGGCGCCTAGTATTTTTCATACGTAGCTTAAATTGTTTGTCCGACTGCGGAGTGGTCAGCCAAGTACAGTCAAGCTCTTGAATGTATCTGAGTCCTGAGATGTCAAGTATCACTTAACATCTGTTTCGTCAAGGTCACTTAGATTACTATGTAGTACTGTATTATCACCCTTTCGCAAGGCAGATATTGATTTGTTAATTGTGTATTATATGCTAACTACATCCAGCCTAGCGGTGTAGATTATCTTGACAAATCCAATTTAATACCAAAATTACTCGCTGACAATACATATTACGCTATAAAATACAGTGGGGACCTAGTAAATAATGTTTTGGAGCTGTACGGAGAAGCGGACTGAATCTCCGCCAATTTTTTCTTTTTTTTACATTTTGATTTCGTGATTGAATTTCCAATGTGGAATTTAGACGTCACCGAGTTTGATTATCATACGCATATATACTTCGAGTGTCGCCGCCTTTTTTCCTTTTCGTCTTTGTCAATGCTTGTGTAAATGGTCACAAATTGATATTGCGCCATGAGTGGTAATCCTCACAAACCCCGCGCGGGTCAACAACAACGACACCCTGCATCTTCAACACCTGAAAGTGTTGCTTCATCCGAGATTACGTTGACACGATGGCAGAAAATCGAGAGCATCATCTGGGATGGCGGTTATCGTACGCCGCAGGAACGTGCGCTTGTGCGACGGTTGGATATATTTATCATGTTTGTGCTACCTTTCTATTAGAGGAGCTATAGATATGGTGGACTAACGTATACTGATGATAGGAGCTGGGCAACGATTGGGTACTTTGTGCGACTGCTGGATTGGGCTAATGTTAGTAAGTATAACTGCTCTTGGTGGTGTGATTAGAAATCATATGCTGATCATAAATGATAGCGAACGCATATGTATCCGGCATGAAGGAAGACTTACACTTCACTGGAGCGGATTATAATCTTCTTTCGACGTTTTTCATTATTGGTTATGTCATTGGTCAAGTACCCTCGCAAATGGTGTTGACACGGGGTAAGTATACCTTTCTCTGTCAGAGGTGGAGTTGTACTGACGTTATAAGTCCGTCCATCATACTGGCTTCCAACCTGTGAACTACTCTGGTCAATCGTCACGTTCTGCTTCGCAGCCGTGCAAAATGTGCGGGATGTATTCGCTCTTCGAATCATCATGGGATTCCTCGAAGCTCCATTTGCAGTTGGCGTTTTGACCATAATGGGAAGCTGGTATACACCGCGCGGTATGTCGTCCCTTAACTTCCCCACGACTATTATTTTTTTTTCGCTAAGGCATAGAAGAACTCTCCAAAAGAATCGCTATCTTCTACTCCGCCTGCTACGCCGCAAGCATGTTTAGCGGTTATCTCCAAGCCGGCATCTACAACGGCATGGACAACCATCTCGGCCTCGCTGGATGGCGCTGGCTCTTCATCTTCTGCGGCGTAATCTCTTTACCATTCAGTATATACGGCTACATCGCCATCCCAGACAATCCCTACAACAGCAAAGCATTCTGGATGTCCGCTCACCAACTCGAATTCGCGCGCAAACGCATGGAGGCATGTGATCGTCGACCTCCCGTATTACTAACATGGGCCAAAATGAGACGTATCGTGACTCACTGGCCTCTCTACGCATTCACAGCGATCATGATATGCCAATGTCTCGTCACGCAACCACTAAACTATTTCGCCGTCTGGCTGAAAAGTCTCCATCGGTTTTCGGTGTATCAGGTTAACGTTATCCCGACTGCAGGTCAGGCTGTCGGCCTTATTACAACCTTGACATATAGCTGGCTCGCTGATGCATGGGGCGGGGAGGAAAGATGGAAAGCTTTACTCATCCCGGCTGTTGTGAATCTTGTGGGGTTGATTATTGTATCGATTGGACCGGGTTTTGGTGCGACGTTGTTTGGGTATTTGCTTAATGGTGCTAGTTGGGGATTTTGGCCTATTTGTTTCGTACGTTTATATCCCCTTGCCCTACTTTTCACTTTGAAGTTTGAGGATACTGACTTATCAGGCATGGACAAACGAAGTCTGTGCCTCTGATCCCGAGGAACGCGCAATTGTTATTGGAGTTGCGCAAACAATGGGCCAAGCGTTCGTTGCGTGGGTTCCTAGTCAGTTTTCCCACCTTTCAACTATCCTCCTCATCCTTATACTAATGATCGATACAGTCCTGATCCTAAACACGTCCAAATACGCACCCAAATTCACAATGGGATGGAGTATTCTCACGGGTATCAGCGTATGTCAGTTGGCGATGGTATTCGTGATTCGCTGGCTTGTCATGAGAGATAAGCGACGAACACAGCAGGGAGATGTTGGAGGGTTTAGCGATGATCATCGTGGCACTGACGTTGAAGGTGGAGTTACTGATAATGTCGGTAGAGGAAGTAATGAGCAGGGTAGTAGTGCTGATAATCATGCGGTGCCCAGCATTCGAGAGGAGACGAAGGTGTAACCAATTTTCTATATGGCTTTGTTGCATCGGACGACAAGAGGTTAACGACAAACGAAATGGGAAGATGATAGACATGACCTTACTGTCTCGGCATAATAGTTGAGACAACATAATACAACTTACTTGTACTTGAGGAACAGCATTTTTTTTCATTAATAATGTTCATTGGGAGGCTACTTGTTGTCGAATTACTCGCTCACGAGAACTCCGTAATCGACACTAGAACTAATGATAGAAACACAGAACACAGTAAGAATACACAATCTTGAAAGAGTGGATCAAGTCATTTATCCCTGCCACAGTTAGCATAAAGTATCTCCAAGCGCAACATGTCAGAACACTCACTTAGTCGCATTCCAAACAGCTCCATCAGCTGCCAGAAGAACTTCCTCCGTCTCACTAAATTCGTCACCGTATCTGGCCATCCGCAGGATTGTCGCTTCGGCAAGTTCATGCTTTTCGCCATGGCCGAACAGTCGATACGGCGCAGATGTGATCATACCGATGTAGTAGTAATTGACAATGGAAAGACCATCTAGAGGATGTCTGCTCAGAATGTATCTCCGGACAAGCTTTGGCAAGTTGGGCTTCACTTCAAGATCGTCGGCCAAAGTCTCCATATATCTGAGCGCAGGTACAGCTATCGTATGACGACGGGAATTGACAAACTGCATACGGTTTAGATAATTCCAATACCGCTTTATCACGAGGTAACGTAGACTTACCATCTTCTGCTGCTGTCTCTCTGCCTTTCTGATCTCCCTCTGCATCTTCTCCCTTGAAGGTAGATGAAGCCTTCCGATCAGTGAAGCCACGGCCCATCGAGCTTGAAGCTCAACGGTCGGATGGATAGGCCCTGTAAACTCAACCAATCCCAAGAAGAACAGGGTGTCCTCCGACGGAGGGCTGACGAGTCGATACAAATGAATAGAGTTTGGCTTTTCCCCGCGATATGTGTCCTCGGAAATGATTGGCATGGTGACATTATACCCTGTACAGAAAATAACTTCATCGACTTCAAGGCTTTCTCCATTGCTGAGCACAATTTTACTCTCGGTAAATCTCTCAACCGAGGCTCGATGGGGAGTTATACGGCGAGAACGAATGTGATCAAGGAATGTGTTAGACACAACTGGATTCGCCTCGAGAAGGCGGTGGTTTGGTTTCAGAGCCGGATGCATTTCACCCGTCACAAGGCGGTGGGTCAGTTCGTATGCCATGTTGAGGACACAACGAGGTAAGACATATTCTGCCAGACGGCTTTGGAGCGATTCGACAAGTCTGCCATTGACGTATCTGGGCAAGACCCAGCCTCCCCGTTGAGTAATGAGATGACATGACTCGGCGTGCACGGAGACTTCACTTGCGATATCGACAGCCGAAGAGCCAAAGCCCACGATAGCGACTCGTCGTCCAGCATAGACACTGGGTTGGCGGTAGACATGACTGTGGATAACACGACCCTCAAAGAGTTCCACACCAGTGACTTCCGGCATGTATGGCACACTCTCCTTGCCGGTACAGACAAACAATGCACCAAACTCGTCTTCAGATGTTCCTGTTTTGACTCTCCACTTGCAACCCGGAATCTTTTCACATGACAACACTTCTGTGTTCAGGAGTATGTGTCTCTCCAAGCCAAAGTGGGCAACATACTCGTGAAGGTATCTCAAGTAGTCTTGATGTGTGGGATAGTCTGGGTACTCCGCAGGGTCCATGGGAAAGTCGCTGAACTGAGAGCGTAGAGCACATGTGTTTGACACCACGCTATCGTAGACGGACGAGAAGGTCTCGCCAGTCAATGGATCAGGTTCCTCGTAATGCCACTGGCCGCCAATATACGGGCGAGCTTCGTAGACGGTGGGCAACAGGCCTTCTTCGAGGCACTCTTTGGCAGTGACGAGACCGGAAACACCTGGTATGTCAGCAGGGTTCGTACGATCCAGACAGAGAAAACTTACCCGCGCCAATGATGGCAACCTTCGCTCCTGGATAGTACTTAAAAACCATGGTGATAGTTGATGTGGAGATATGAAGTGTATGAGAATACCAGATGAATGATGCAAGACTAAGCGCGGACGAGTTTGTGGTGACGGCTGATGATGATAATTGACAAAGTGACTGATGAATGAAATGGAATAAGAAGATGAAGAGGATGAAGAAGAGAAGAAGGGAAGGGAATAGAGAGGGGGTTTAAGCAGATGAAGAATTACAGGCAGGTGCTGGGAGGCACTTTCCCTTTTAGGTTGACTGTGTGGACGGACTGCCTCCTTCCTCATCAAACATTCCCAAATATGGCAGGAGCTATCCAGTCATCCATCCCACACACCCAGGCACCCAGGCACTCAGGCACTCAGGCACTCAGGCCGCAGCTTACTCGATTTATTAAGCAATGCCGAATATCATCACCCCATCACTCCTGCGGTTTGCCGAAACATGCATCTACCAGTTTCTGTCTGACCTTACTGATATACTCTTCCTCAGACAACTTTCCAATATCAACTCCCGTGACCTGCCCAATCTTGACTCTTTGTTTGCCCACAATGATAACGTCTGATTTAGGAAAGCCCAGCACCTGCGATACCCATTCCTTCCGTCAGTGTCCCGCTTTATCGGTATTGGAAGACGTCTCATAGCCCCTAGAAATGGCAACGTACCTCAGACAAAACCCTGGCAACAGCAGTATTGGCCTCGCCTTTCCTCGGTTCCGAGCCAACGTGGACATACACCTGCTCGTTGTGTATTTGTTTGATGCCTTGAAAGCCACGGGATCCGGGAGTGACATGGCAGCGTATTAGGAGGGTATACAGTGTCTTGGAATGTTTGTGAACGACTGACTTCAGCCGCAATAGCTTCGGTACTTCGTTCATAATGCGATGATCACAAGACGCGAAATATGGATGTTGTGATGGTTTGATTGGGCGGTTGAATTGCGTTGACGTTCAAAATCATTCCATAGTGGAGTGTCAGATTCGGGTTAGCGGCTATCTGTCCACATGGGTTTAACCTGATCTTCCTTTTTCGTAACATGCATAGGCAAATCGCTGTCTTAATGGGACAACGCTATGCTTGAATTTTTGGCTGTATGTATCTGCTGGTTACAATATGAAATAAATGATTCTGTCCTTGATATGTTGGTAACTCATAAACAGCCTCTAGGGCTGGGAAAACTAAGCGTTCGACGAAATTATGTACAAGAATGTATCAACGAAAAAAACTAGATTGCATATAAGAGAAAGAAAAGCTAGCAAGGAGAACCAGTCGACAGAATGCTATGTACTTCCTGAGCATAAGTGCAGTCATTATTGACATTCGAATCCGAATATCCAGCAGACCACAACATAACCCCTCCAAATGTTGAATTACCTTTCGTCTCAGAGACCAAAGCCGCCATCTCATTTGGCGTAATGTAGTACATAGCACCAGCGCTATTACCATTAGACGCTAAGGTAGAGGCAGGTGCTCCAATATAAAGCTTCGCATTCGCCGAAGGAGTTGTAGCAATGAAATCTGCCCACTCATTGTAGTTAAAAGGGGCATTCCCACCAAAGCCGAGAGAGCAGGATTCATAAGGGATGTTGTCGAGCCCATTGTTATTATTGTAGAATTGAACCCAGAGTTTATCAAATGTCGAATTCTGAATGATGACACTCATGTTGGGCTCTGGAAGAGGACACTGAGGAGCACCGGTGATGTAATATGTGTGAGCAGGGTCAGAAGCAAAATTAGATCGAAGTGTCGAAATCATGTATTGATAGTATTGACTTGAGCCGCCATTAACCTCAATATCAAAGTCCCATCCATTCACAAACACGTCGCCGAACGGCCTGGGCACGGTGGTGTTGCCTGAGTTTCCGTATGATTCCCATAAATACTGGCCGATTGATTCAGCTTCAGCCTGTGATTGCAAGGAGTAAGAGCTAGTAGCACCCCCGAGTGACAATATGACATTGACACCGGCGGCCTGACATGTAGCAATAGCAGAAGCTACATCATTGCAAAGCTGGGGTTGGCCTGTCGTGGAGATGTAGCATTCCTCTCCAATAACACCGGAAGGAATATCTATGCCGTTGCCGAACTCATACAGAAAGGCAAGAACGATAACGTCAATACCAGCGGTTGAACTGCAGTAGTGGGCAAGGTCTGCATTTTCGTTGGAGTTTTGGCCCCAGTAGACGACTGTTTCGGGTTTGGAGGTTTGTCGTGTTGATAGAGGGGAGGCTGCTGCGATGGCCAGGAGACTGGCACCGCTTAGAATGGTGGAGTAGTGCATGTTGATCTTGAAGTTATGTACAGACGTGGATACCGAAAGAACGTTTTTGTAGATCCCAGTTACGACGACGAAGATCTCTCAGACGGAAACTGGTGTGAGAATTAGGGCTCAAGGAAGATCTTATACCTACTGGGTAGATGTATACCCATCCACGAAGATGGACATGCTACCGTACCTGACACTGACATATGTATGCAGCTCAAAGTTACACTCCATACATGAACTTCTGGTCAACTCTAATCTTAAAAAGCATGGGTTGCATCCCAGCTAGATGGTATGCAGGCACATTGTTGATAAGATGTAACAAGCCACCAGGACTGTGCAGACAACAGTTCGAATCAAGCAACTATTCACTACCATAGAATGACTAAACACTAGATTAAGAGCAGCTGATAATATTTTGCTAAACATAAACAGAGTTAGTAGATGGATGATCTCTTGTGATAGCACCGGATGTGACGTTCATCAGGCACTAGTTGACGGAATGTGACTCTGATTGCAACCGGCCCCTTGATCACGAAACAGTCTAATATTTTTCCATTTCTTTACGTTATTCGGTTTCTTTGTATTAGGAACTTTAAGAATTAATTTTATCAAGCTCAGAGACAGATATTTGAGCCTACCCCAAGGTCCTACCAAGGTTAATACATGATCACACTGCTCCGTGCCTGTTAGGGCTATGTGACCTTTGGCGGGCGACAGCGGCACGAATCAATTTCCAGCTGCTATTCGATGTAATTAGACAGTCGATGAAGCTTACCATATCCCCGTGCTGTCACGGTAGGATTGACCTGTCTCCAAATCAACATGACAAGTTGATCGATGACTTTTAGTCACTTGAAAAATTGACTCACCAAATTCCGGAAACAGTAAATTAGGGTTACAAGGAAGTCGTGGTAGTCAGGAACACCCACCTAGGTACTCTAAACCGTCGAGGAAAGCCTTTTTTATAGCATCTATAGGGAACTAATACTATTTGGGTATGTGGTGTATTAAAAAATATTACTGTCTGATTTTGGTCTGTGATTCGTGACAACGGTTGGTCATTTCCTTCACCACATGAGCATCTTCGGTTTGTAGGTGTCCCCGAACCATGCACCGTGACAGATAAATAGGCGAATAAGCATTGTATCTGTCAGTTAAATTTGTTACCAAAGGGATTAAATACATGGACAGGTATTTTTTTATACTATCTCGTTGCTCTTTGTTGTTAAGTGCATATCAATCGAGGAAATGCCGATATATATAATCTTATAGGATGTGCTGCGCTGATATCTGCAAGCTTTTGATAATTCCTCTGTGACTACGAGTCGTTCTGGAACAATGGATACTTCGAATCTAGATATTCATGCCCATTGGAGATATGGGTATAGACCGTGTAAATAACCCTAGCCCTAATTGACAATTAGGGCTGGGGTTGTCGGGGCGGTGAATGTGAAAATCCGAACCCGAATGCGGATTGGCCGCTACTGGAGACAACCAAAAACTCCAAGCTCAATAATCGACACACTCTACATTGAAGATGGATTTCCGGTTTGTCAATGTGAAAACACCAAAAGATGCCCTTCAGCTCGCCAAAGAGCCTGAGATCAGATCTCATGTAACGCGTCATCAATGGAAGCAATTTGGGCGTCGGGATAAGCGACAACATGGGAGAAAAAGGATCTTGCCAAGTATCACACACGACATGAATGGCGCAAAGCATTCTGCCGACTTGTTCACCCCGGAATCGATCTCGATTGCTCCTCAAATAGGCGGGCTGAGAGTGGACCCTTTTCGGTCGTATCCTGTCTCAATCCGATCTTGGACTCCACTACTAGTCGATCACTGTAAGTCAACTTTTTTGAACTCGGCGAGATGGACTGTGTTGTTAATATTGTAAGACTTGATACACATGGCGGTTGACATTCCCGAACTTGATCTACCAGGGAACCACGGTCTCTTGAGGACCTCTTGGTTCCCATTAGTTATGTCCGAACCCGCTTTATTCTCTGTCATTATTCTCCTTGCTGCGTCGCATTATGCCTCACTACAAGGTGGCCCCAGCAGTATAAAGCTCGACCTCCTCAATCTTCGCTGTGAAGCCTTATTATCCATAAAACGCAGCCTTGATGCTCAACACATTGTACATGATGCTTTAATAGGGGCCATAGCGAAGATGGCCAGCTATGAAGCCATGTTTGGCAGTCTAGAGAATTACGATATCCATATGCAGGGTCTCGCACGAGCCGTTAGCTTACGGGGAGGTCTGCCATCATTGGGGTTGAATGGCTTGCTTCACCGCATGGTGCTCTGGATTGACCGCAATGCCGCGTTTTTGCATGGATTACCGATGTATTTTTTTGCCGATACGGATCTGCCGGGGGATCCGAATCCTGGCCATTTTCTTGGGAGTTCATGATGAACTGTCTATATGCCGTATAATATCAGATATCGTGCAGTATGTAAATCTTCGGCGAGGCTACCTGAACAATATCGCATCAAGCCTACAGCTAAAAGGCCTTATCACCAATGAAGAGGGGTATTTGAGGTTGGGCCCCATATCTTTCCTAATGCAGATAACGCATACTAACCTCTGATGTGGGGTTACATCACGACCTACAAAAAAGCCCTAGATCATCTGCCCTAGGTATTTAAGCAGCGATGAATGCTCGATCAATGACCACAGATATGTCCCTCAAAATATTTGGATTTGATTGACTTTATATCTACTCAATTTCTTCGACACCAAAATGGCTCTTACTGGGAAAGTAGCTCTCATCACCGGCGGTGTGAAGAATCTCGGAGCGCAATGTGCACTCAATTTGGCCTCCGTAGGCTCCAATCTTGCTCTTCACTATCACTCATCCAGTGATAAGAAGCAAGCTGCCGCACTGGAAGCCACACTCAAGGAAAAGTACCCTTCAATCAAGGTTTCCTTCTACGAGGGAAATCTTGTCTCTGCCGCTGCAGTGACCAAACTGTTCCAAGACGTTATTCATGACTTTGGTCATGTTGACATTGTGGTCAACACCATCGGAAAGGTGTTGAAGAAGCCTATCACGGAGATTAGTGAGGAGGAATACGACACGATGTTCGAGTAAGTTCCTAGGTAGTACGGAAAGAATGGCTTGGGTTTCGGGTCGACTAAGTGTTTGAATCTCTCTAGTGTGAACTCCAAAGTCGCCTTTTTTGTTCTCAAAGAAGCTGCTCGTAATGTGACCGATGGTGGAAAGATTATCACCATTGTCACTGCGCTTCTGGGAGCGTTTACCGGCTACTATACTTGTTACGCTGGTAGTAAAGCTCCTGTTGAGCACTTCACTCGGTATGTTGTTTTTTCCTACACTACAACTGTTCCAAGTTCCCTAGCTTACATACATATCTCAGGGGTGTTTGCAAGGAACTTCAGGCTCGGAGAATCAGTGTGAACAATATCGCTCCGGGACCAATGGATACACGTAAGCTTGCCACAAATATCACCAAGGGTTTATACCAAGAGATCTGACATGCCATCAACAGCATTCTTCTATCCTCAGGAATCCCCAGAGGCTGTAGAATATCACAAATCGAATGGCATGGGTGGTCGTCTTACCATGGTTGAGGACATTGCTCCTGTCGTTCGCTTCCTTTGTACTGATGGTGCTTGGATTACTGGTCAGACAATTTTTGCGAATGGTGGATATACAACTCGCTGATTACATACTGCGATTGATGAGTTTTATATGTGTATGTGTACAAATCTGCACCTGGCAGTGAGTGATATGATTCTGATTTTGAATCCAAGTGATGATAAATTCCTAGTATAACCATAAAAAGGATCACCAGTTAAAGCAATATTATTTATTTATCATCTCCGAAGTCTAGAATAAGCATTCCACCAATTGTCCCATGTCATTCTGTATGCAGAGGCATATTCAACACCACGAAAGTTGTGGTTCAAATGCATATCCACCAGACAACGGCCATTATCACCCTCATTCTCCGTACTTGAAATCCGTCTCCAAATACCAGAATATGAAACAAAATTCCACGCCCGTCCACAATTAAGCGTGCAACAACAGGGCGCCCAATCCGCGAATCGACACAGATAAGCACGTCGTTTATCGCTAATCTCATAAGGCAGATTTTCGTGTAATGTGTGAAAGACATGGAGCATATAGAGGACAGCTAGTACAAGACCCTGTGGTAATGGAGGTAGAGTGTTTGGTTTGCGATGTTTTGGTGGGATGACTTTGTTCCAGTATGTTTGGACCATGCCATAAGGTGGTCCTGATGTTTGGTCGAATTCTGTGACGAAGTCTGAGACTAGAGATAGAAATCAATGATCGAGTTAGCTTTAACCTGGTCGCTTCGTCAAGTCACAGTGGACGTACTGATAGTAAACTTTATTGTCTTTCTCACTACGACAGTTTCGGTAGATGGCTCGATATGTCCTCCATGACTTGATAGTCAGACGATCCCAGTAACTAGAAACGTTCGATTTGATATGCTCTCGGTCCAATGTATAGAAGAGTCTCGTGTTGGTACTGAGTGCAGTATGTGACGATGAAGGGATACTCTTCGCTTGCCTATCCGTGCTACCAGGTCCTCATTATCGAGTCAGCATTCAGCTCATTCCTCCAAAGCTCTGGCATTCAGAGTTGAACCTCGCCTACCTTGAAAACTCCTCCTCGCCAGTGAAGCTGGTACCATAAGAGAATCCGAAGGGATTCACAATTCCAAAAAAGCCTTTGTACACGCAGCCGCAGTTGCAGCTGCGTACGCATGCCAAATATCATTTTTATGAGTATCTGCATAGTCGGATACCCCTTTTATTATAACACATGGTCTGCTATCCCACATGCCTGCTCCTTCCATTTCGAATGCAATGATGTTCTCGTCCCATTGGTCTCGCTCTCTTTCGACGATTTGGTCTCGATATTCGCCTGATTTCATGACGGTGTTTGCTGAGGCGATGGTTCCGAAGTGAATTAGCGGTTTCGGAGTGAAGTTCGTATTTTTATTGTCAGGGGCTAATCGTACTCTATTGATGAGGTGATGTGGATAGTCTGAACAACCGATCGTGGTGCATGAATCACCCAGAGCTGAATGGCAGGTTGGATCGTTTTTTGTCTTGCAATGGACACATTCGCATGTAATGTTTTTTGAATAGTGCCTATGCCGAAACGATGTCTCAAAAAGTCTGTCTTCTGATACACCTTTGTAATACTACTTCTCCTGATCTTGCCTCTGAATCACGTCAAGGTTATGGGTGAACCGATCACGCAGTGGTTCCGGTTCAGACCACAAATGACTGAACATATTCCGAATATCCAACGGAGGATTCCCCAAAACTTCACGTCGATTAGTCTGTCTCTGATACCCCTCGGAATACTGCTTTCCGTAATCAGTCTGAATGATACTATCACCTATAATCACATCACCGAGTATAGTCTCAGTCTCTAATTTTCGCTCCCGTCCTCGAAAGGGGACACCAGCGCATATCCCCACGAGCAGGTAGACGTTGATATTTGGATAAGATTGACTCAAGTCTGATACTGAGCGAGAAGAATATTGTGTTCCTTTACCGGAAAGTTTTACCAGAACAACGTTGTGTCTACTGATACGGCCGATTTTATAGTAGTTTGCATCGCCGCCAAGTTTGCCAAAGTCAGCTGCGTCGTAGACTTGGTCGAATATTTGTCGATGGCTTGTTTTTCGGTGTCGAGGGTGCAGACTATGCTGACGTGGAAGTCTCCGCGGGTTTGGGGGCGTGTGGTCATTTCTGGGGTTTGATGAAGGATCACGAAGGATCACCTAATAGGGTATCCATGTTCATTTGCAATTTTAGTGGTCGGTATATTGAGCCTGGTGTCTTGTCAATGTCTCTTTCGCTATTTACCAGGTGCCTTTTCATTTCGAGTTGTCAAAACGTGCCCACAGAGCATGGTATATTCCTGATCATCAACCCACGTCTCGGAATTACTTAGTGAGTTAAAGTCTGTGGCGTAAACTATCATAGAAAAAGAATATTGACTCGGATCCGTCGGACATAATAAATGACCTCAGCCTTCTGCCCTAACCCTATAACTCGAACGAGCGATAAGTAGCTGTAGTTCCGTCCCATGCTTTTTATTGACTAATTTACTTAGATCTGACGAATACACCATCAAAAACCGTCTGAATACCGAATTAACACTCGTGTGACCATATAAGGAAAGCATGCGTGAAATCAGAATACCGCTCATCGTTCTACTTGCGCATTCCACTTTTGGAATACTAGATGCATATATACCTCCTCCATTGATCACACCGGGCCCCGAATACGACGTAAATATGATTGAAAAAAGAGCAGGAAGTCAAACTTGTGGTTATATCAATGGAGACCCTAGTATGTAGACAGGATCAAAAGCCGTTGATAGTGGTGAGGTTCTAACTTATAAAACAGAGTCTCCGTTAATCTGCCCTGGGACAGCCTCGTGTACCTTCTCTGCCTATTATTGGGGTTGTTGTGGCATGTTTTCTTGTGATAGTCCTGCAACATGTGAGCTCGATCCCGAACCATATTGTGAAGGGGCCGATATTGTAAACTGCGTATACCCGCAGATTCGGCGATGATAAGAGAACAGACCTATTACCATCTTCTGCTCGGAAGAGCCACGGAGAATTTGTTGGACAGCTGCTGATGTGCCTTTGATCATAGTTCTGATGCTTGCGTGACCTATATTCGTAGTACTGCAGTTGGAGGCTCGGACCTGCTTACCTCGTGGACATGCGGTCCGACAGCTCAAAAAATTTTTGTTTTAGCAACAACAACTACTGGATCTGGAGGAGGCCCAATTTCTTCGTGTATGTTTTCTTCTCTAGAAGACATGTAGATGAAATCGTTCTGACAGGCTCTCCTCATGATCACAGCGAGCGGTCCAACGGAGGTAACACCAGCCGCATCGAGCTCCTCGTTTCCTTCTGCAGGGTCCAAGTCCCAAACGACGAGTAGCCCGACTAATGATGCAACAACATCCGTTACTTCCTCATTGACTTCGCGTAGGTCGACGCTGTTCTCCCACGGGTGTCGAACGCAATTTCTAATTTATTGCTGAATAAAATAGTTACCAGCTCAGTCATCAGCACTGCCAGCCCATCACCTATACATCACGGTCTCACCGGTGGACAGATAGCAGGAATAGCAATTGGATCCGTCGCCGTAGGATTAATAATGTGTGCCGCTGCATACTTCATTTTCACAAGCTATGCCTTCGCCAGGAGGACCCAAGACGACACGGGACGCAGTAGTGGCGGCGTGCCAAAACCGGTCTCAAATCCTGCTTTTATTGATATGTCGCATAGGGTGTCGGGGGTTGATGATTCTGAGTTTCATGATGATCGCACTTGGGATGGACCAGCAGTAGATGTCCGGAGTCAGGGTTCTTCTGCCTGGTCATAAGAGTTGAGGTTTCTCTTTTTCATTATTTTCATCGTGCTGTTTAACGCGTGATTGGTTAATTAGACAGAAGTACACTATGCCATTCATGGTAGATTGTGGATATTTGATCGGCCAATCAGAAATGACATTCAATGGATATCAAATTTCTCAGGCTTCCTGACCTCCTCGCTTTTGTATATCTTCCAATCATGAACACTTCCCCAGCACATCAGAAACAGAATACTACAAAACATAAAATGGTCAAGGGCGCTCCTGACTATGATGATGCAGCCTACTGGGACAAGAAGTTCATAACCGGCCAGGATGTAGGCGAATGGCTCAACGAGGGCGATTTGCTTATTGAGCGTGCCATGGCTGAGCTGGAAAGTCGGGATGTGAAGAAGGATATTATACCTGGTGGTCCTCGTGTATTACACCTGGGACCTGGTATTTCAGCGCTTGGAAGCAAACTCTGTGAGGCTTTTGAAAGCCGGGGTTGGAAGGGCTGTGATATTGTTGTATGATCCCTGATATATCTTAAGTTTCCTATAATACGAGCTCTGTGATATAGATTGGTTTCAATTTTTTATTGAAACCTGGCCAAGATAACTGGATGGAAGCTGACGAATCCATTTCCATCATTTGCTTTATATCTTCAGAATGTGGACTTTTCCTCCGAAGCAGTTCGATTAGGTCTCGAACGAGAAAACACAAAATCAGATCAAGATCATATCATGCACTGGACCCAAGCAGATCTGTGCTCCTGGAAAGACATATCCCAGCGACTTTTACCACTCGCCCCCTTCGATGTTTTTCCGGACAAGAGTACCAGCGATGCCATTGCGACGTCCGTGCCTCGAAAATTTTATCGTTCGGCAATACAGTCCGAAACAGATACCATCTGCCCAGTCGTGCAGGATTTGCTACAGGATCCTTCAAACTTCAAGGGACCGGATGAGAGTCTCACCCTTTCCCCTGTCGAGTTGCTATCTCTTCATCTGGTCCCCTTGTCTAGAGCAGGTACGATTTGGCTGGTACTATCGTACTCTAGCGCGCGATTTGATGGCTTGGAATATTTGGATAGATTCTGGGAAGTTGCCTCGCGTACTCCGCTCAGGGCTCCTTCTGGTCAGACGTCGTCTGCAGCTGCCATGGTGCCTGAGGTGTTTCATTGGTTATATATTCTACGACGCAAGTGATTAAATCTACGTGCATATAAAAAGAACCTGTTGATATCTGTTGACACCGAATATATTGTATTGAAATGATGAGACTTTTTCGGTACTATCTCACATTATAGACAAGTTGTCCGCACTTTGTATTCACACCACCCTCCAAAATTCTCTTGAACTCGCCAGTAACCACCCCAAGCAGTAGCCATTCGTCCCCTTTTGTTATGAAGTTTGGTCCATTTGTGGCATGATACACTCCATATATGAAATAGCATCTGCATTACGACGTATCCGATTGTAGATGAATACATTCACGATGCACCAGTGAAGTAACTCAGTTGGCGGCTTCGTCAACAGCATCCAACCACAACTGGCACTGGCCGGCCATCCAGATCATGATTTCGTCGAGTTCCTTATGCTCACATCGATGCTCATAGTAGATCGCGATCCAAGCGAGCATGTCACGAGTAAGATCGGAAGACTTCAGTAAAGGCTTCAGGGTCGAGACATCCATATTTTTGCTCACGACCAGAGCCGCGAAACGAGCACTAATGCTGGCCCGGTCGGGCGAATGAGGATCGAGAGCGTTGTAAGTCTCACCCATGAACGCCATGTTTTCGGGGTCATCGAAGCTCTTCTGCACCATCTTATTGACAAGGGGCGCGAGGCCTGCGATCTCATAACGGTTCGCGAGACGGGCGAGCTCGAGATAGGGGTTGATTGGCTTTCCAGCTGGAGGCCCACTGAGTATGCCGCGAGGACTGTAGAGCCAGCCAGTGAGGAGCTTGAACGCGTCAGGGGAGAAATTTTGGATCTTCCAACTCGTGGCATCACCCTCGAGAACCTTTGGAGCACGCATCGAGAGCAGCTTTTTTGGGAGTTGCCAGGCGAAGCGGTCATTGACGTACACGGGAATCGTGCCTTCGGACTCGAGCCTAAATGATAATTAGTATATTTTGATGAACGTTGGGAGCTACATGATGGATTGACTTACTCTATCAGGTTGAAACGCAGTGGAGGCTCAGACATTTTTGCGTAGAAATTCTCGTTTAGGAGCTGTGTATAGAGATATTCAGAAGTGAGAAGCAGAGATATTTTCAAGTAATAGAATGATCAAACCAAACTGACAACAAACCAGAACACCTGACATGAGCTTTCAGGAAATATTGTCGTTGTGCGAGTGAAAAGAAAGAGAACAGAAAGAAAGGAGAAGAGAGAGAGAAGAAGAAACCTAGTGGGAGAAAACAAACACAATGATCTTTTAGGTCATGATCGTGAACGACTCACGCAAGCTTGAGAGCCTTGTGATTTCAGGCATCCAACCAATGCAAATGGCATAGACTCTCTTTTGTTTATTAGTTTCGATGTTACTGTAGAGCAAGTGGCTTCCAGATAGCTAGGTCTCTATCATTTAGAGAGCCTTGAATTATTATTAAATTTCAGTTGGGAGATTTTCACCTATATGAGTCTCTATTATAATACATACCAAACCAATGCCAAGCCAATATCATACACTTCGCCAATATACCTGTCATCACAGGGTCCAGCAATGGTTCACTTCAGATACCAGCACCCTGTGGAACCTTTGCTGACATACCATGTGGTGTCGATAGCAGGTGAGTCGAGACATAGCCAGCTTCTGCCTCGTCGTTGCGTTTCATATTAGAGCATTGAGTCCGAGAATAACTATCCTATAGTTGACCTTTAACACCAGCAGATTGACCTTCTTCCTTGGGCTGCTTCGCTAGAGCTTCCTCTTCTGCCTGTCGCAGGATCTTTTCGATCTGAAAATGAGACATTTTAGCCGCCCAATCTGCAGGAGTATAACCATTTTCATCCTTGAAAAGAGGATCAGCTCCGGCCTCCAAGAGTGCTCTCATGAGAGGTTCGCTATTCCGCCACGCAGCACAATGCAAGATTCCTATTCCTTCATATTCAGCACGAGAAACATCCGCGCCATGATCAAGAAGTATCCTCAACATTTTCATATTTATCTCAATATTATCATGGCAAGTTTCCATCGAAAGGTAGTAACGTTCACAATCCGGGATCCACTTGCTAGGGTCTTCTGGAAGATACATTGCCATGTCGCACAAAGCAAGATTTGTCCCAGCAGTCAGGACAAATAGTGGCACGTGGACACCGTGACCAAGGTTTGATGGATCAATAAGGGCCTGTAGAAAGATTTCCACAATATCCGCCTGTCCACGGTCAAGGGCGACAACCAACCCATCTTGAAAATCAACGTCCTTGACTTCGACCTTTTTCCTCAAATCGATGATTCTTTGAAGCATGCGTCTTGAAGAATGCTTTGCCGCCGTCCACAAGATATGGTCTTCATTTTCGCCATCCTCTGAAATCACAAGGTGGGGAAATGTCTCCACGAGCAAGTCAGCAATCCCTTCGAAGCCACAGCTCATAGCAAAGTCGAGTAGACTTTGTCCCTCAAGTAAATTCTCCACGCCATAAATTGCTGGTTTGAGGTCACATTGCGACATGAGTGACTTTAATATATGATATTGGCCAGCAGACACTAGCTGAAACAGAATTTTCTTCTCCCGAAGATGTGTTGTGCACACAGCCGCTCCGGCCATAAGATATACATCCATGAGATCAATGCCACGTTCTGTCGCCAGCATAAATGGTGTGGAGCCATTTTTGTCTTTTGCATTGACGTCTGCTCCGTATGCAAGGAGTCGACTGGCAATGCACGGACTTTGCACCACGTGCAATACTGTTCGGCCCTCGTAGCGCACAGCGAGATCTGCCCCTGCTTCAATCAGTATTGGGATGATGTCTTCTTCATTGTTTTCAACAGCCCGGTGCAGAGGAGGGACAACACCCGGGGGACCGTTGATGTAACACTTAGCATCAGCCAATGTTCGCACAATGTTGGTGTTGTACCTGCTGTATTTAATTGCCAGATCAAGTGCTGACAGATTACCATCGTACAAGAGTTCGACATCTGCTCCTGATTCAACTAACAACTTAACCAAATCTGGTTTGTCCTTCAATATGGCATTAGACAGCGGGGTATACCCTAACGCATCCTTAGCGTTGATGTCTGCCCCATGTGCAAGAAGTAACTTGGCCACTTTATCATCTTTCGCAAAGTGCAATGCCGTCCCAAGTACTCCCGCACGCGAGTTGGGATTCGCGCCGTGCTTCAAAAGCAGTTCCACTATTTCCTTCTTCATCGCAAGCACGGCAGCATGCAGCGGTTCCAAAGGCGTCTTAGCCAGTTCATTTTTGGTTTCGCTTGCGCCAATATCAATGTACTTTCCCAATGTCTCCTCTCTCATTCCCATGAAGTAGTCTAGTAGTCTTTGTATAGAGAACACAGTCGTTTCGGAATGATTCACTTTCGCACCTTCCTCGAGGAATGTCTCACACAATTCGTATCGTCCATAACTGTCAATCGTTGCAAGTAAAGGCCTAAGGTTGTGTCGGCGGGTTTTGACATCCCATTCTCCAAGGATGTGGATAAAGTTCCTGATCGCTGAATGAAACTTCCAGTCATTGGATACAACATCGCCTAATATCGAGGAACCGTAGTGATCCAGGAGATGTTTTCGCTGCAGCAATCCAGAAGGAAACTCCGGGTCTTCGCAGAGCCACATAATGTCGTCGAAGTTGAGGTAGTCTAGGGTTGCTGTGAACAACTCAGCGGGGAGCTGATACATAAGCTCTCGCCCGATGCGTTGGATCTGAGCACGCTGCCTAGCCCTTGCTGTCATATTCATTTTTGTGTTCCCTCTCCTCTCTCGGACTATTGTCTTCTCTTTTTTTCACTTAAAGAATGGTGTTGTTGCTGTTGTTCTGGTCTATACCAGTTGTCTGCTCTCGCTGGGCTCGAGAGATGGAAAAGTTTAGACTAAGTATATCTAAGTAAACAGGAAATGGGAACGGAATGCTCCAGCAGAGAGATAGATATTACTTACATTTGACCTCTATTGTACAGAATACCGCTATTTAGTCAGATGTTTGCCAAAATAAAAAAGAAAAACCAGAAGTCTTTATAGTAGGGGGATAATAGGGGTGACTGGAAAAAGCATGCGGATCACAACGCGTCGCGTGCTGAATCACGATTCTGATTGGCTAATACATCCATAAATCTGGCCTCTTTTGGATTAGTACATATAAGTCTAATCTGACCAATAAGACGGCCGGATTATGTAGACTTCTTGACGTCCCTCGGTCAACAGATGCCAGCTCGTGTTTATGTTTTGATCTTGCTGCTATTTCCCGACCTATCTACGCGGCAGTGCATGAGTGAAGATTACATACGGATCAAACTTATGTATCCTAATAACCAATGTGCGTCGAATTCCCGAGGCTGACAACAGAGAGCAACTGGGGCTCTAGGGTATGTTCTCTTGCATGATCGTCTCTCAGTGTGTAGCATCTGTGAATCAAAAAGGATGGATTAATTGAATGAGCTCAAACAAAACCCATCCATTAGCGTGGACATAAATGGACCTCGGGAGTTGAAGACGTAGCATATACAGTAGAACCTGGCTATAACGAAAGGGAGGACTCTCAGGGCCCATCTCATAATTAATGATATCGAGACGTGAATACAATTTAGGGATGAAGGGTACGTCTAATATATTAATCTCTTTTAGTGTTAACAATTACGTGCTCTTCAGTTCCACATTAGAGTCATCTAAACTGATATTAGTGGGAATACGAAACGGTATGATTCAGTGGCTTCAGAATCATTAAAATATTAACCCGAGAGGTTTGAGTATTGTTACATAGACCGGCTCATTCTCAGTCGCTAGTAGAATCGACAAATAATAGATATTGGGTTTCTTGCCATCGCCTCTCTCTGAAATCCCGCAAAATGCCCAGCTTGTTTTTATGCGCCGGTATACCGGTTGGTAGTTTCGTCTTTTCAACATTATAGGAATCTTCTCCAGCGTCAATGAGCCGTTGGAGCAGTGAGCCCGAGCCCCATTGGATCGCCATATCAAGCATAGTGTTGCCTTCGCCATCTGGAATGTTCAGAATGTAAGAATTTGTCTCTATCAACAAGCGTGCCATGCCTTCGCGGCAGTTTTGAAGTGGTTTCAGTTTTATGTCCGCGGGAATTTTAATATTACAACGCGTGACAAGCAACTTGACTGTGGTATACTGGTCATCACGGACAGCGCGGACAAGAAATTGTGGCAGTCAGCATGAAAGTCCATATCTGCTTCAGCAGTCACAAGCACCTTGAACACATCATGCTTTTTTTGAAGAGCAGCATTTTGCAATGACGTTCATTCTTCAAGACCTCTTTCGCCAATGTCAGCGCCGAACGCAATAAGTAATTGAGCAATCTTGCTATCTTGGGCAATATGCAGTAAAGTTCCCCAACCGGGCGACAAGAAATTTGCATTCGCTCCATTTTCTAACAATATTCGCGTGGCCTCTTTGTGTCCAGGTACAACCGCTATTGCAAGCGGAGGAAGTAAATCACCCCGAAGATGTTTTTCATGACCTGAACCTCATAACTGGAGGTGATCAGTTGGCGTATAATGTTCGTATTGCCGCTTTGGCATGCTATAGCCATTGGCATCACCGATTCTTGACTGCAAGCGCTAGGATCCACATGCGCTTCAAGTAAGTATCTCAGCAAGTTTTTCTCTGCGCATTGCTATAGCGATCATCAACGGCGTAGCGCCCGTTCCATTCAATGCATGACAGCTGCCCCATGCAAAAGAAGTAACTCGGCAATTCTATTGCATTTCGTTAAGTGCAGCAGCGACCCGTACCCCCTGCCGATGCACCGGTGTCCGCGCAGCATGATAAGAATAGTTCTACTATTTCCAGATTGTCCACAATCGCGGCCAAATGAAGCGGGCCCAAGTATGGATAGTTGGGAGCCCAGCAGAAGTTAGCTTCGTTATCAGTGAAATCAGTAAGACGATCCGGGTTCCGCTGTGTATTGGGAGGGATCCTTGGTATGGGTGGCTCTGTGGGAACAGGTGAATCAAGACTTGCACCAGCTTTGATCAACATTTGACACAACTCGAGGCGCTCGTAGACAATGGCTTCCTTCGATAAAGGCATTCCTGAAGACCCTGGAATATCCCAGTTCCCCAGAAGTTGCATGGATTTCCTGATCATAGGTATAAAATATCCCTCAGGTCAAGGCAATTCATTATCATCAGGAACAGCTCAATCAGTAGTCGATGAAGATACGGACGTACAGCTTCGGCTGTGGGGCGATGCGCGATCGGTACATGCTTGACCCATTTTTGGGGGAATCCTCTTCCGCTCCTTTGCACATTCATTCATAGCCACTCGTCTTCTGAAGTTGACTTCTGGTTTAGGAATGATATCCATTGCGTTTCGTCTCGCGATTTGAGGTCTGGTGTTGAACTGGAAGGGCAGCCGCCGCGGCGTCGATGACGACCAAGTTATGCTTTTGCCGCTTGGATGAGCGCTTGAGGTCTGACCCTAATCGTTGCAACTGGTCTAGATATTGATGGGAGAACCACTATTCATCCCATCCAAGTGAAGAAATTCTTCAAGATAGCTCTGTCTGAAGAACCCAAGTTGAATCTAACTTATGACTTGTCAAGTTTCCCTTTGTTTCATAAGACTGGGCCGGAAGTGCACTATTGCGGTCAATGTCCAACATAGCCCTATAGGCTATACCCTAGCCCTATACCCTATACCCTAAGCCTCTACCCTAAATTTGTCATAGCCCAAAGTGGCGATCATAGTTGGCATTCTGTTGCTCTTCTACATATCAATCCGGTTTCTTTCACTGAATCGTCGACTTCGGTAGGCTGATGTGTTCGTGCTGGGATTGCTCAGATGGTCTGCTGCAGATATGACCAATTGATAGCAATCATCACGAATCCGTTATCAACTGTCCGCGGTATAATTAAGAGCATATAACTAGTTCTGATCCGTGCTAGTTCAGGGGTAGACGACGGTTATCGAAGGATAGATGCCAAGGGTTGTAGGTAGGCTTGTTTTCCAGTGTTATCGACTGGCCATGTCGACTCATCGAATAATACTCTGTTAGCAAGCGGGATGCCCGGGATTCAGCACTCGGTAGTCGCAAGTCGCTACAACGTGTCCAGGGTATGCGCCGTAAACAGTTAGTTGAGTGTATATACCCGGCAGATGCTTGATTTCATTGGTCTCACGGCCATAAGACTCAAAATTAGTACTGGCGGATTTTGCTTCGCGCGATCATACCCAACATCCCGACTAGCGCCGCCAGTTGTGGATTTTAGCCGTAGATCTCTCGCTTCTAGAGTTCATATCATTCTTTATCAGGAAGGTGATTGGATTTTAGGAAGATTGGTAGGGGAATTCGCATCAATGCCGTTGCATAATGTCGACACGTACAATATTCAAGCAATATATTCGAACCGAACGACTTATCATGTCGAATTGGCTTCAACAAGACACGAGTCGGTATAGTCACATCAAGCTTACAGCCCCCGCTTTCACATGACACAAAATTTCCACTCGATCTGATAAAAGAGGTCTGTTAAGGACTCAACGGAGACCTCCGGAAGCCCTCATTCGACGCTACTAATCGTCTCGGTTGGCACTGAAGTAAGATTAGAGCTGTTTCAATCGCTTCCGGCGCGACTATACTAGTACTTGGCAATTTTTTCTGTGCTGTTCCTGGTGCAATCGGTTGGTCAGCACTATGCCTCAGCAAAGACGATCGCAATGTGAATAAGGGACTCGAAAGTTTCTAAGCATTTTAATGCTCTCACACGTCATGAGACATCCTCGCCATTTCCTCCTGGAATCTATGCCGCTCTATGTTGTATTGCTTATCATGAATTCTCATAGGAGCGCATCATTCGGCAAAATGCAATATTCCGACTTTTCATGCTGGCCCTTGCACCAGTGATTGTTGCAGTTTAATTTATATAAGCCAGTTTCTTTTAATAAAATGGGAACCTGAGCCTCAACGCTGATCACGAATCAGATCCACAACCGGGCCATTTCAGTGATTGCTTACTGTGACCTACCATATTGAGGCTAGACTGGTGGAATAAATACGGGGTATGAATTTTCTAGATTGCTACGTCCTGTCAAGCTTCAGCCAACCAGGTCTACTCGTTGGTGATGATCCGGGATTTAGAACGGATCTAATGATCGATGGGCTGAAGCTTATGCATATACAAGCATCGCATGGTAGCAATCGAGGGATCTGCATATTGCTCGACGAGGTGCTAGTCTCGAAAGACAGACATCTGTTCTGAATAATCAATGCTTTCGACAAGTCTTGGCCAGACACGATCTACGCCATGGTTTCAATGCTTTCAAGCCTACTGCCACCTTTCATTCGGCACGTCATTAAACATGCCAATAACGAATGCAACATGATTCGCTGACTCTTTTCGTTGTTTCCTGATACTATGACTGAATTGGACCGTGTCTGAAGATAAGTGCTACATACCAGGATGGGGCTTCGTGCAGACAACCATCTCCCCTCTTCGTACGTCGGGGATGTTTCTTATCTCGGGTAAACGTTTTATGGTCATTCGCGATCAAGTTTCCATTTGCAGAGGAATAGTATCAGCACCAAAGACAGGCTAGGAATGACGGGAGCAAAGATGCGACATCGTTATCTTCCTCCTTTCATACGTGATAGAATAATACTGGACTATCATCGGGATCAAAAAGTATAAATATCAAGTAAATCCCCCTCGATCAACTGAATTTTCTTTCTCCAGATCATCACAATTCTTCATTCTCAATCATCTGCCTCTTCCGGATCCATCTCATCAAAATGGTTAACTCCAAGACTGTCGTCTCTGCCTTGGCCCTGTCGGCTCTTGCTGCAGCTGCCCCTGCTCCCAGCTCGACCACTAGCTTCTCCATCAACCAGGTTGCCGTCAAGAAGCCTGCTATCCACCCCGCTGTCAAATACGCCAAGGCCCTTGCCAAGTACCATGCTGAGATTCCTAGCAATGTCGCCTCTGCTGCTGCCTCCGCTCAGTCTGGCTCTGCCACCAACAAGCCCACCGCCGATGATGAGGAATACGTCACCCCTATCACTGCTGGTAGCAGCACCTTGCACCTTGACTTTGACACTGGTTCCGCTGATCTGTATGTATTCATTTTCCTTACGTAAATGGGACTGCAAACTAACACGTTTTACAGCTGGACCTACTCTGCCAGCACCCGTGGAGTTGGTTCTCACAGCACCTACGACACCAGCACCGGCAAGAAGGTTTCCGGTGCCAGCTGGCAAATCTCCTATGGAGACGGCAGCTCCGCCAGCGGTGTTGTCTACAAGGACAAGGTTGTCGTCGGCGGTGTCACCGCCAGCTCCCAGGCCGTTGAGGTCGCTACTCAAGTCAGCAGCGAATTCTCCCAGGATACCAGCAACGACGGTCTCCTTGGATTGGCTTTCTCTTCCATCAACACCGTCTCTCCTACCCCTCAGAAGACCTTCTACGACAATGTCAAGAGCAGCTTGGCCAAGCCTGTCTTCGCTGTTACCTTGAAGCACCAGGCTCCTGGTACCTACGACTTTGGCTTCATCGATAAGTCCAAGTACAAGGGCTCGCTCGCCTACACCAACGTCGACAACAGCCAAGGATTCTGGCAATTCACTGCCGACGGTTACTCCATCGGTGGCTCTGGCGGCGGCAGCTCTTTCTCCGCCATTGCCGACACTGGCACCACCCTTGTCCTCCTCGATGACAGCATTGTCGACGAGTACTACAGCCAAGTCCAGGGCGCCCAGAACGACTCCTCCCAGGGTGGTTACGTCTTTGACTGCAGCGCTGATCTTCCTGACTTCGGTGTCCAGATTGGTGACTACACTGCCGTTATCCCTGGTAAATACATCAACTATGCTTCTACTGGCAGCACTTGCTTCGGTGGTATCCAGTCCAACTCTGGAATTGGCTTCAGCATTCTCGGTGATGTCTTCCTCAAGAGCCAATACGTTGTCTTTGATGGCGACAACCTCCAGCTCGGTTTCGCCGCTCAAGCTTAAATAACCACGTGAGGTCAAAAACCTTTTTGTGGCGATCCTTTGAGAATGAAAAATTGTGATTGAATGAATTTATAATCAGACTGAAGGGAGATTAATTGGTACATATCCGTGTATATAATCTGCACATATGGGAAAAAATATATACACTTATTTTATATTTGAATAGCGCCATAACCACCCCAGGGTTGTAGAACCTCAATTGCGAATTCTAAAAAGTAGAGTTTAGTACTGTGGGTGCATAAAGCACGTGTACACGTTAATGTACGTACGTACGTAGGATGTTTAGCAGGTACTGCAGTTTTGTATGGGTAAAATGTATGTGATTGTCTGTTCTTCTCTCTGAAGCTATTCAACAGCGTTGTGAGATAACTCTTGCGCCGGAGTCACGTGAAACATCACGTGACTGGTTACCCATATTGGAATCTTTTGGTACTAGTCCGAACAGGGTTAGGCTCTGATAGGAGCGTACAATTTGGGTGAGGAATAATTGACTCTGATTTGCACACTCTCTAAAATCCCCTCTAGACACACATCCTGATCCTCTTTATATACAAAACGTAGTGGCGAAATTCACAGATTTACGGAATAAATAACAATCCTGACTCCAAAATGTAGTCTGCTTTTTGGCGCTCTTGTTCTCGCGGATATGTTGCTTTTCCGAGGATTCAAGGATTAGTCAGTGCATCCGGATTGGGATTAGCGTATCAAATATCCAACAACCCATGTTGGAACTCAGGATGAGCTAAGCCATTTTGGGAGAGGAATTGGGAATGGGACAAGATTTGCGTATCAAGAAATTTCGAGAATTGGCATCACATTCCAACGCGATATTGAACATTACAAATCAACTTTACAGCCAATCTCTAGAAAGTTCGATTTGCACACAAGTGTCGACTTTTGGTGATATCACTTCTATGGAATCTTGTATATAAAAACAGGTTCAAAACTCCTAGATAGCGACTTAGAGAGGAGTGCCGGAAAATAGACCTAGTTCCTTATACGTATTGTTTAGTGCTCGCCTTCGCTTAGTCATCGCTCTAGTAAACCAACGTTCCGACAACCCACCAGGTCAACTCGACTGCCTCAACGATCCAACAACTACCCTTTGACTGACCTCGGGACTTGATACATTAAGGAGTGTACCCCCTCTTGTTCGACAAGATCATCCACCACGCTATAATAAATCAATGGCGTGTTTCAATCACATCTAGGTAGCTATTGGACAAAGGCAAATAGAAAATAGCATCAGAGTCCATCTCATTTTTAGTAATTTTCTACAGGTAAAAGCTCATACTGCATGGAGAAAAGTCCGTTATTTATTTTCAAAGTATTGTGTCCTTGCACCAACTTGTCAAGAATGGCAACCAAGTATGGTACCTCCTAACCCATGTGACTAAAGAGACGTATCTAGATAGATAATGGAAATACAGAATTAAGTCTATGACGGATCTCGAAATATGTCTGGTACCTAGGCACAATTCGGCATTGTGTATCTACTGGAGATAACATTAAACTGAGCACGATTAGCTTACAGAGAGAGAGAGATATATATATATATAGAGAGTTCATAGAATAAAAGAAGAAGTTTATATAAAAAGAAAGAAAATATATTGAAAGAACCTGCCTCGCTGTTTCAAATCTGGTATCCGTTCCGTGGCAATCGAGTTCATTGTACCTCGGTAGGACATAGGACAATGGATAATAGTGATACTATTAACCTTGCAACTAGTAAGTACGATTTGGTAAGACTTTTTGAAGATCTTGGATGGGTATTGGGTTGCAGACATGGACTGTGACGCCAGATTTAGATCCTGAATAATGATGCTTATAGGCTCATAGCTACTTGAATCATGCCATGCCCTAAATTATATCACCTGAACCAATGAAATTTCATAGACAATAAGAGGCCCAGACTGCTATGTGGTTGAAGAGCGCCACGTTAGCACTTCTACGCAAGTAGCTGCTACCTCTTCTCAACCTTGTAGATTTGACTCAAACCCTATAGCTAAAATTCATGCCTAATCTTGGTTTAAAAATGAATGTGTTAGCTCGCCAAGCTTTTAAACTGTGCTAATCCACCGGTTTTAGGGCTGCAATGGAGAAGATCAGTAATCATGAGGATGGAAGATCACTTAACATCCTCGATACCGAAAACTCGGACAGATGAGTAATCAGCGTAGGCTAAAGGGGGCGATATATGTTCTATTTCATGATATGCCTGTAGAAAAACTGTTTTAGGATGATGTTGCCACGAACTGCGATCAAAAAGGATTATTAATTTCAAGCTGTACGTAAACTAGCGTGCAGTACAGAATGATAAAGGCCTAGGATATAAATGAAAACCCTTTTTCAACCGTTGACCTCTTTAATATTCTTTGGTTTAGCACTCTCTGAGCCCATGTAAAGAGGCTGGTTGAATCCCGTCCCGAAAGTGTATTAAGGATGGAAAACCTTCAAGCTGCGCTGTGGCGCGCATCCGTCATCTCCGTTGGGCTGCTTTTGTCAATAACTGTGCGTTGTCTCCAGAAAAGCATTGATAATGTGCTAACATCAAAAAATAATAGATCGGGGTTGGCGTATATCGATTGTTCTTTCACCCATACGCCAAATATCCGGGTCCGCTACTTGCCAAATTGACCAGTGGGTATGCGGTATATCACATGTGGATCGGGGATGCGCACACTGATATCTGGGAATGCCATCAGAAATACGGTAAAAGCACTTGAGATTTTTGACTCCCGATAACCCCTTGCTAACCATCAAAAGGGGACGTTGTGCGGTACGGACCCAACCGGATCTTGATCAACGCAGAAGCGGGTTTTAAAGCTATCTATGGGCACGGCGCGAACGTACACAAATCTAGGGGCTACGAGAAAGTATCATTCTTCAGAGGTACTCATGCTACTCTTTGCACTCTTGACGACAAGAGACACAAGCTGCTTCGAGGACTTCTCAACCAAGGCTTCTCGGATGCTCACATCCGGGCCGTAGATCATCGGTTGACGAGGATTGCGGCGTCGCTCGCAAATGCCCTTGGTGAAACGGATGATCGTTTCAATACATCGCTGAAGTCAACTGGAGACGGGTGGAGTGTCCCGAAGAATATGAGTAATTGGAGTATGTCTTCCACTTTCCCTAACTCTATAACTTTAGACTAAACGAGGTTTGAAATTTAGGTGACTTCTACACCTTCGATGTGATATCACAAGTTGTTTTCGGTGCATCCTATAATCTGATCGGCGACTCTGAGAACCACTGGATCATTGACGGCGTCATGGCCCAGTTAAAACGTTTTGGTTTCCTCCTTCAACTCCCCGATCTCGAAAAGATTGGATTACACCATATTCTATTCCCGGGAGCGCGACAAAAGGCAATTCGATTCACAAAAAAGAGTGGACAGATAATGCAGGAGAGGAAGGAAAAGGGAGAAAAGTACTCTGCCGATGTTTTCAGTAAACTTCTTTCGGCGACGGACCCGGAAACGGGGGAGAGTCTTTCGAACACGCAGCTCTGGGTTGATAGCAACCTTCTGATTATCGCTGGTAAGTTTGAAGATTATGGTTCTTACCTGGTACTCTGAGTTATTCTATATGATACATATGCTCATGAAACATAGGTTCTGATACATCATCAACCGGTATGGCCGCATTGTTCTTCTACCTTACCCGAGATCCTGCCGCCTACGATAGAGTTACAAAAGAAGTCCGGTCAGTCTTTACAACACCGGAAGAAGTATCTCAGGGCCCGAAACTTAACTCATGCACCTATCTTCGCGCATGCATACAAGAAGCTCTACGCCTTTCCCCTGCTGTTAGTGGAGCACTTTGGCGTGAGGTCCTTGACGGAGGTCTTAGCATTCCAGAAAACGGCGTGCATGTCCCGGCCGGCTATGAGGTCGCCACTGGAATCTGGTCCCTAAACCGTAGCGAGAAATACTACCCAGAACCGTTCAGGTTTCGTCCCGAACGCTGGATCCCGGAGGAGAGCGGCCAGGAAGCCGTGAGCTTGGCCAAAGCTGCTTTTGCAACATTCTCGACAGGACCAAGGAACTGTGTTGGAAAGGGGTTGGCACTTACAGAGATCTCACTAGCAATGGCTGCTATCATTGTTCAGTGCGATTTCCGCAAGGCAGAGGCGGAGCTTGGAGATGTGGGAGAGGGCAAGGGCGTGTTTAAGGGGCAATTCCAGACTCTCTCGGCGTTTACCAGCTTGAAAGACGGGCCATATATTCAATTTCGTCCAGTGGGGAGTGGTAAATGAAATGATATGAGAATGTGATGACTTGGTGTCGGTGCATCGGTTAATTTGTCAAGTCAATACCAGTATGTCAACAAATTGATATTAGCCATGCTAGAATTAGAATATGACGGCCTCTTCTAATATACTCTACCTTCTTATTCCAAAGATCCGTCTCATGAAGAATCACAACCCGCCGTATAACTTCACTATCACATAAAAGAGCCCTGGTGGAATTATCATAAATGCATGCTAGGCCGGATTTATCTCATGCGTTTATTTCACATTCTGAGCAAGGGAAAACCTGGATATTATTGCGCTAATTCTGCAGGGTATAGTAAAAAAGGTAACCCATTGTAAAAAAATTCGAGTTGGCGTAAATTTTGCACGTCAACATTGAAAGAACAGAATTTTAACTCGATACATCATCATTCGACATCTTAATCCCCCTCGATACATGTGATCTTGCCTAGATTATCTTTTTCTGGAGTCCCCACGACTACTCCCAATCTAACAAGTCATCAAGACACTCGCCGCTCCATTTTGAAGATGGAACGACCCGTCAGCCGTGTTGGCAGTGGCAAAGCAGTTATACGCCATATAGAAAAATGGACCATTACCCTGTTTCCATGTTCCAGTATCCTTAACATGATGCACAGTGGCTTTGCCGTGGCAATCCGCGTTTTCCCAGAACTTCAGCGTGCAGGATTCTTGCCATTCAACTTGACCTTTATTTAGATCAACCTGTCCGAGCCTGGCTCCGTAAGTGAAGGATTCGAAGTTTTTGCATTGACCTGACCACACCCAGCCGGAGTTGGGTTGATCTTCCCAGCCACTGTTGCAATTGCCTTCGTGGTAGACATCGAGCCAGACACCAGTCGACCGCTGTTCGAGAGTTTTGGTCTCTTCGGCGGGAACCTCGGGGGTTGGGGTTGCCTGGCCAAGGTATACCAGGAAGCCGAGGAGAACGGTGAGCTGCATTTTTCGGTATCTGTTCTGTGTATGTTTACCGGGTTAGTATAACCAGCTTCAATAGGATTCTAAAGTAACGAAAACGGTCTAACGAAAAACTGACAGCGAAAGAAGAAGGGTGAGAAGTTGATGATGATTGTTGATGATTGTTGAGGTTGTTGCTTGGATACAAGAGTGCCTGGGAAGCGACCAGTACTTATACTCAGTGCCAATGTTAGGGAGCTGTAGGCTGAGTCTACTATCATCCATTGATTACTGATATCATTGGCCTGAGTTGAGTGTTCAATGTCAGCTTCTGGCCCCGGCTCGCGATTCATTGGGTGAGCTGATGTACAGCACTAGACAGCATAGTGGCAAGCTCTTGAATTAGATCCCACATTAGGAAATAAGCTTATTTGATCTGTAGAGGTAGCTAGCAATACTCACTTCTTACTCGTCGAATGTTTCTATTTAATTGCACACTCTGAAACTAGCTCCAGAGCTTATTCGAGAGCTGGATTGGAAACAAGCGGTGACCCGACATGTACGTAAGTTCCAAGATTGGCATGGAATTTTCTTCATGTCTATACCTCAGAACCATCTTTTGCTGACAATGCTATACAGACTGGACTTCCATTGATATGTTTAGAAACAGTCTTGTTGCAAAATCTATCGACCCATTCAGAAAATATACGCCAAGAAGGAGTGACAAATTCCTAGGATGTCCATACTTCATCCATTAGACTCCATATTTTCATTACGAGCACAGATTGGCCCGGACTCTATCCACGAGGCTACCCAGGGTTCCAGGACCCATAGGATCAGTAATCAAACAATCAAATAAAACCAATTGCTCGCATAAGAATCTGTCAGCTGTCGCTACAAGTTTTCATCTACGTAAGTGCATCTACGTAAATATAAAGTTACAATATCGAAATACAGCCTCAAGTTGGGTCTCCCTTCCTAACTTTAGTATAATCTTCTGACAGTTGAATCTCACTAAATACGCACCGGACCTTTTTCTTCTCCTATATCCGCCGGTAATCCACTTTTGAGGGGCGAGAGTTCAGCCATTGCCTCGGTACGGGGAAGGCCAAAAAGTTCTAATAATGAGGCTATTCGGAGTCCGGTTTGTAACTCGGAAGCTGCGTAAACCGAAGGCCGATAATGAAAAAAAAAAAAAAAAAAAAAAGAAGAACAAAACGAGGTTGATTCATATGAGCTTCGAGAAGCTTTGGCGTAATGGTTGTCAGCATAATAAGCCTTCTCTCACAGGTCTTATATTAGGGCTTAGGGTTATCTGTGACGGTGCCAATCTGCTTGGTTTGAGTACGCTATTCTAGCTAACTATCTCGTACAAGAGGTGCTTGTCGACAGGTAAAATTAAGCATAAAGGGGAAAAAGGAAGAAATGAAGTAAAAGCCCAGGTTCTCACTGCTCATGTAAATCTCTGTGCAAGGCGCCTTTCCCTATCCAGCTCTGACGTCTGATGTTGATATGACTTCCCAATACGGCGCGGATAGGGTTACACGGCTCCTAGCCCTATCCGTGAACTGAGACGGGAAGGCAGAGCCATGCCCAGGTGTCACATTATCTCCAGGCTTTGTTGCCCCATATCTAAGTTATGCTGTATGTAGGGACCGATTGATTGAAAACACACCATGGTATTGACTGGCAACAATCTTACAGTTGATCAAAGGTCCTTTGTTGGGTTCTTTGTTCTATATCACTCACCGTTGCACAGATATTAGTCCTGTTACTGACTGTTGCTCAGAAATTCATTCTGTGTTTTGACTGTTGTTGCACAGAAATCAGTTCTATCCTCAAATATATGGACCAAACCTGGAGTCACATGTGATTCATGGTATAGACAACAAAGAAGCCACAAGATCTCAGCCATTTAGCATTAATCGCCAATTGCACCATATCGCATCGTCGTCAATATGCCAGATTGGGCTAGATCCATGCCTCTAAGCTGGATACTTAAAGCAGCCGTTCTCCCACCTTTCCCTCAAAATATTTCTTCCACAAAAAAATTTTGCGGGTCTCAATCCTGCTCCTACTGCTGCATCTACTGCTCCTTTAACATCCACCAGAAGTACGACCATCCTCTGCCGCTGTGACTGATATACTGCCCTTCCATATCCTGAGTCAGCTCTCGAGTCGTTTTGCTGAGCCTATATACATCCATGGAGTCTCTAATGTCAACTGCTTACCTTTCGATTCAGCTAGGTTCAAAGCCATATACAAGCTTCCACTCTCGCCAGTTCATGAGCCAATGTAAGTCAAATAGTCGTATTCTAGTTGATTGCCATTGCTGAAACATGATCTCACAAGGTCTGCTCCTGAGTCTTGGTATTCCATTTCGAACTGGTTATGAACTGTTTGAGCAGTGCCCTGTCGTCGGGCGTTCCTTGTCACTGCTTCTCCACTACACTCTCAATTACCTCTGGCTAACATCACCACTTCAGGTAGCTCAGGCCCCTGGATCAAGTTGTAACAATTAGCTAATCGTTCATTACAGTCTTCTTCATACTTCTTGCTTCACGCCCACTTCCATGCATGGTCATGAGAAAACGGTGGCTCGTTTTGGGGCGTACGGTATATTTTCCGGTTCTCACGTCAACCATCCACAAGATTTCTTTCCTCTTCGGCACAGGCAGCCAAACTGAAGCAGAGAAGACTTCCAAGGTTGTCCAGCTAGCATATGAATTTACACAATTCAAATACCATCTTGAGACCAAGCTCTCCGTGAGTGCAGCCGATAGCCCTATCCAAGATTGTCTTCAATACGGGTGTTCAATGAGCTAACGAACTTTGATGATACAGTGATGAAATTTCTTCATGGCTCCGATAAAAGTGGTTGTAGGAGACATGGAAACAACTCCCTCCTCGTCGGATGTTACTGAAGTGATGACACTGCGATGGCCTGCAGAATCTATCTTTGCAGATGATGAGGACGACTACGAAAGTATCAACGAAAGCGAGGAAGTATGAAAGGAAGGTTTTTTGCAGGCAGCACGTACCATATCTCCACCCTAACAAGCATTGGCTAGTGTCCATGCGAACATATTCGTCGCCAATCAGGACATAAAAAAGGAAACTCCTTTTTCGTGCTGTATTCCTATCCAAATAATGTCAAAACAGTGTTTGACGGCAATTTCGATGCGCTTCAAGAGAATCGACATTGATCCCACCCATTCCGTCAGAGCAAGCTAAACACCACGTCAGTATTTACTGGCCCTGACTCGGACAAGATCACTCTGAAGAAGTTATAATACTACCACGGTGAGGATCAACGCAAGGACAAGGCTGCAGACTTCGAGAGCCATCACCAACAGCTGGTAGGATCGCAAAAGCCAGATGGAACAGGACATCTGGACCCTCGTGAACATGGGAAGTTGTATTTGAGCACTGTGAGAATTGGCCCTTTTCCCTCCGCCATATCCCTTTCCAGAAAATCGACACGTGTTTTCGAATTGTTGATATCCCAAAAAGGGACACTGGCACTCACCTTCATCTAACTTAGAGGATAAGCGAATATTACTTATCTTGAGGGCAACAATAGCTTCATTGGTCTTCACTGTAGAGCACAGTGGAACCAACATGAATTATTATTCTTTTTCTCTGATACATTCCTTCTGGAATCTGAGAGATACTCTCACCGAACTAGTTGCTCATTCATGTCTCTTCATCATGTCATTTCCAGCTAGATATCTAAGCATACCATGATAAAATCCCTTTCGAGTATGATAGGGATACATGGCTGGTTGAGAATGCCATGGGCACACAGCACGGAATGCCCCAAACGAGGACGCTCCAAATAAGACAGATGGTCTCCCATCGTCACTCGACGTTCTCACAAGCTCTGAGGATCCAAATAAGATCATTGGATGTCTCCCCTCGAGCAACATACTGGACACGAATGACCGTTCAAGTTTCAACTTAGTGTTGGCATTGCCTACCTACCAAGAGTTTTCTCTAGCAAAGCTTCAGGAGGAATCATTGATGACGTGAACTTCGTTGAAGGAACTTTCAGTCCGAGAACACATCCATCCGCTGACGAAAACTCTGTTCTCAGACAAAGCGTGGTCGTACTCTCAGCTCTCCTACACCAATGTCCATGCGATCCCAGTAGGCTCGGAGTATTCAAACCATACATTCTCGCGGACAGTACGATCACCAATGCATTCAAATTGGTGGAGGGTTATCTCAACTTCCGCAGAGCCCGGGGTATGCTTTCCCGAAGCCGGATTTCACGGATGCAGATACAAGCCCTGCCTCAGGTATCATTATGCTCTTAGGCCTTCGCAGCAGATTTCGCGTGCATTGGAATGACCCACCCATTGGTATCGTCTTCAACTTCAACTTCATCTTCATCTTCAGATGAATGATGCTTCGAGCCTCAACTTGATTCGAATGCCGAATAAGCCTATGCACCCAATTGGCTATTCGATCGCTATCAGCAGATCATACGTGAGAATTCATACCGGACTGGATATCAGAATCCACCACATACCAATCCCAATTCTCAAGCAACTATAGGGTTATCCACACCCTTGGGGCCTGATTATCAGCTCTCCATTTCCTTAGAGTATCCTTCCACAGGGTCGATAGACGAGACTACGCCAGCAGTTGCAGACTGATCCTGGGAAATGCGGTACAGCACCAGTCTATCGTCCTTTCTTCTCTGCCAGGCGTGAGCGAGATAAACACAATGACGAAGTTCATCAATATCTTTATCATGTTTCGGAATGAGGAATGCCAAAACTATCAAAGTGGTACTTTGAAACATGCCAGAATTATCAAACCTCCAATGACTGTCTCACATTTCCTATTCGAGGGCACATTGACTCACTCCCATCCAAGACTTTCACACGACACACATGCCTTCATCAGATTGGATCTTTATGCATCGATGGCCTCGGATGTTTGTATTCACTGCTTCACCGTCGACATCTTTTCGCCAGAAGAAGCATTTCACAAAAAGCACCCGACGAGAATCTGTTATCGACGGCACACAGACAACCTGCCTGTGCAAGGACACAATGTCACCGATACGCTAGAAATACAACGAAAGCGTAATCCTCAAGGTGGCGAGAATTCATCCACTGGAAATGTATCCCAAAGGATGGGTATTATTGCTTCTACAATCGTGTGGCCAAATGTTACCTAAAAGTCGCTTATCACAGCTCCAGTGCTAGGACAGCCCCAGGTGGACTGCGGTCCTCGTCTGATAATCCATCGTTACAAGAGACAGTTCGTTGAGAAATCAACACCAGACGAGGATCGCAGATACGAGCGGACTAAATCGATTGCAGGTTCCCCTATAATTTTCGGAAATAGGTTGGAATGGAATGCTACACCAGCCATCACACTATCCTATCGAAGGTTTGTTCTTGGGTCGAGCGGTATGTTCCCGGTTCTCAACAGATGTACAATCAATTCATCATTGATGGAGAAGTGATGGAATGTCGTCGCCGGCAAATTATATACAAGTTCTAACCTCTTTTGACCTCATGGTTAGTGTATGACCAAATCAGTTAGCCGCTTGCTTAACTAGTCACTATGATGGTGCTGCCATACTGTACGCGTTTACTCCGCGGTCTAGATAGGACAGAAAAATCAAACGAACAGTCAACCAAAAAGGATCCCCTACTATTACAATAGCAGTATGTATCACCGAAGAGGTACCAACAGTTTGACATGGAGTACGGTCGGAAATGACAAGTATCGGAAGACTTTTTGGCCGTGTCTCAAACGAGATCACGCCCAAGAAAATTTACTGCTACAGAGGAAAGGGCCAGATCCGGACTTCAATATCCACTGCCGATATATGCAGGCCGTCGAAACGACACAATCGAGGAATATAGGCCTCACAGAGGACTAAATGAGCCGTCTCCGGCTGCTGCATCTGCTGTCTTTGAACGAGTAAGTGACTTTACCAATCCTTGATTTCTTGAATATCTACAGATTACAATTCAATTAACATCGATATTTCGACACAGCATGACTCAAAATCACAACCCCCAAAATACACTGCCTCATATGCAGTCTCTCATTCTGGGTGCCAATGTCCCAGTTACCTTTTCCTGGGGTGCATATACACAGACGAATGTTTTCAACTGGCGCCTGACTTGATACCAACTGTCTATAGCCCGCCCCCTTCCAAGGGCCAGCTCCCGCCCCCGCCAGGTACTCCCAAAGATGCCTGCAGTAACTGCACGGTTGAAGATACTAGATCAGCTCTACACACACTGCCAACAATTCAAAATTCACTCGAGTTGTGGATTTCAATTCAAATACTGCAAGATTGAGATAACCGGGATGTCCTGCATACGATTTGACGAACGATGGAATTGGTACTGGATGGATCCATGTCATTCAGAATGAGTTAATCAATTGTGAACGACATCAAAAGGTCTAAGTGTCGGTAAGTTATTTGGTCCTGTCCTCAACGAGATCAGGGTCACTGACATGTCTACACAGGCTAACCAAGAAGTCCCGGTTTAGCTTCAGAAAATGAAGAAGGCAACGGAGAAGTTGTACTATTACCGGAACATGAGCCAACCTGAGGCGAAAATATCGGTTGGGATATCATCTTCAGCAGCAACGGCAGCGGAAAGCCCAGACAGTGCTGAGCCGGAGAATTACGAAATGAAGCGTAAAATCGGACCAGATGGGTGGTCTACGCCTATGTAACTGGATGCCAATGCAAAGCATTGCATTAGCATCGCCATACCTGAGCTCTTACAGCATGTGGGAGTTAGTCTACAAACGACAAGGCGAAACTAGTCTCCCGAATCTGCTATCAAGCTAACTTCGCTTGAGGGACAGAATATTACACCAAAGGATCAAGATAATAGAGCTACGGTACTTTGAAGTTTGAAATGAATGATCCTGCTTCCTAAAACCATCGCATTACCTTGTCACGGAAAAGGAACAACATTGGCGAATCGATAATTGCTCTATTAGCGAAGCGTGGTCTTAAATTCTATGCCATAGACTGTCCTAGTAGACAGTCTATTGGCATCTTTACTAGATCGTCTGCACAATACCACTACCATTCGAGCCTTAACTTCGATAGGAATATCGAATACGCGTCTGGCCCCAGTTGGCTATCAAATCTCTATCACCAGATCATACGTGAAAATCCATAACAGACTGAATATCAGAATTCAACACATGCGACTCAAAGTCCACCATACTATTCCTTCTCTATCAGGGTTCCTTCTTGTCGATGAAATTGTATCAATCTTCATTCCGACCCAACCGACTTTTATTCCATGGATCAAAGTTATGGTTCGCCTTATTATGTCTGCCACGATATGTTTCAAGGGTATCATCCACCTGGGTCCAGCGCATCAACCCTCTCCGCGATGAGACTTATATGTGATGAGCCGAAAGGACTTTCTTTCCTGACCGTATCGCTCCGATTCCGGTTTCGACAAATCTTCCTTCGTTCTAGAATGTTTTACGCAGCTGATATCAGTGTCTGTAGACTGTGGAAAGAGGTGATTTATTCATCGCCACGATGTGTGATGTCTCGATAAGCTTATTCTTTTCCGCGTATCCAGCAACATCACATGGCCATGAGCTTATTCCAACATACGGAGAGAGCGGTGGTGTTTTGGGAACCGATGACAAAGACGGGGATTCCCGGTGAAAAGCAGTGCCGCGTTAAGTGTTGTTGTTACAACACTAAAACACTTCGAACCGAATGTTATTAGGTCCTAACTAATGAAAATCCTAAGCTTGGGAAGAGAGGAAAAGAGGAAGGGAAGCTCTAAGCTACAGACAAGTTGATATAATCTCGCGATTCTGCCATTCTAGACCACTCTCCTCATAAGGCCTTCATCCCATGACAGTTGTTTATGTATTTAATGAGCCTCATGGCCCAACGCCAGCTTTTCTCTTTCTTCTTTCTTCTTTCTTCCTCACACTTAGTTTTCTCTGGCGACGCCGCTACACCTAGGAATCGGGTTGATTTTGGGTCTTGAGCACCTGTCACAAGATGTCCTATTCAGCCCTTGCCACGACCCCCGGCGTCTATTTTCCATCTGCCTTCGTTTACTTACGGAAGTTTCAAGAAGCGCTTAAGAAATGTGACGGGCTGCAGAAAAGATTAAAGAGGAATGAAGAATCCCTGGAAAGAAATGCTGAAGGTACACTTCACTGACGAATTCGCTTGCGAGAGCTAGAGGAAGAGATCCGCGATCAACTAACCGTTGTGGCTGTAAACACCCTTGACCCTCAAACCATTTGTGAATACTGGAAGCTACACCGGCACATGAATCATTCTAGCAGCACTCGAAGAGTTAGAAAACACACTGCACTACAGATGTTCGAAGATGCCCTCCTACATCAACCAGGAGATCTAGTGATTCTGCGCTTCCACTAGAGTCAGTTGAGAAAAGTCATATGCAGAGACTGTAAGGATGTGCCTCCTCTTGAAGGTACTTTTGAATCTGACTCGCAACTTTTTTTTTCTAGGAGCCGCATTTGATGAACCGTGCCACCAATCTTCTAGCATGCCCTTCAAGCTTTCAGGATAGACAACATCGATGACATGGAGCCTGAACCTACCACCACCGACGTCAACGATCGAATTGATGAGGTGAGAAGAAACGCTAGAGAGAGGACGCAATACCTGCCTGGGTATTATCAATGATAATGGCAAACAAAGTTCAGACCTGAACACTACGGACCAAGTGAGCAAGTAGACATCGCGATCAGATCATGTGATAGGGTTGTGGCTCCTGGGGCAACGAATTCGACTCCGAAGATGATAATGATGGAGAGCCAAAGTCAAACACAACACTTGTGCTGTCTATCCCGACTTTGATGCCTTACTCCATGATGTGGCGGAAATAATACATCAGCTCTATGAGCTACGGGAGAATATGAGTCTCTATGGAAGGCAGGCATTCTTCACAGGGATACATCGATTAACAATCTTACGATCAGGGCAAAAGGGAAAAGAATCATTCTGTTTGGCCTGCATTCCTAATCGGTCTTGTCCTCGCTATTGAAGAGGCGGATTAGGGCTCTGGGATTACAAGACAGCTCCGATCAACATGTCACTTTACTTCCAACTAAGGTCGGCAGTCGGTATATGTTTTGTGTTACCGAATTTTCTGCTTGATCGAAGATGCTACGATAAAGCCGTGAAAAAGGCTGTTGATGAAGTTCTAGAAAGCACTGTGGAGAAAGCAGTGAAGATGGCTCTCAACAAAGCCCTAGGAAGCACTGTTGACCGAGTACCATCTAGTGCATATGGAACTAGCCCTGCAGCAAGTCAAATGGAGCTTGGCTAGAATTTACTTTCTGACTGATCGAATGTTTGGGGAGAGATGCAGCAACAGCGGTTCAGTCTTTGTTCGCAGATGTTCACAGCGATACAGAATCGACTACTGAGGATAGATGGGAGAAAATCAAGGTGCTACAGACGCCTGAATTTCTATCCCGATCAGCATGTGCCAGTGGCATCTGTCCGCACAAGCGCGCCAAGGGTTTATTATCCATACTTGATGAGTACTACTCCATGGATGACGGTGATGACGATAATGATAATGCTGCCATGTCATGTCTGCTATGATCGATCAGCTCAGTTTCGGAACAGCTCCCAGTTCAGGCATTATCAGGGGTGCCCCCTTTTTGGTTGAATGGTATACATGGTTCTGCTCCAGCCTATCATCAGCAACTGGTACTAAAACAGGCAAAATGCCGAGACATTTGAATCGCAGCGAGCATTTGCGAAAAAGAATGCCCCGGGGGATTACAATCCCGGCAACAACGAGTTTGCTCCTACGACAAAGCGATAGCGATACCCGCCTCGAGCAATAGAATGTCCACCTCATCGAAAGGAATGATCAACTGCTCTCGTTTTTCTCTGCCTGTTCACGACTTCACACTCCCTGATTGCCCACTGAATCAACGAGGTATGATTCAGTGAGCAATCAGGGAGTGAGGAATAAGACAAGTGCAGGCTTATTTCACGCACAGGTGGAATTCAGTTGCCAAGATCCAGCTCTCGCTGGTCGTCAAATCAAGCCTTTGCAATGGGAAAAGAAAATTTAATGAATATCTTGGAGCCAAAATGGAGATAAGGCTTCGGAATGATCAACTTGTTCATGGGGCCAAGTTGGAATTGATCCTGCCATGCGCGGAAGGGGCCTGTAGTACTGACAGGCAGCAGGAAAGAAAGAGCGCGGGGACGCACCTCTCACCAGTCATCCAATTAATCCATTGCAAGAGGAAGAGGTAAAGGCTCGCTGCGGATGCCGAGATTCCATTACCCTCCATATAGGTACATCCAGCCATTTGGAGGACGCAGAGAACTCGTGCAGATGCATCGGGAGGACTTCTTGCTTGATGACTTAAAGATGGTGGAAAGTAGCAGCATGCATCCTAGGGGTTGGCTTTCAAATCACTCAAGTCACTTCCTGCTGGCCCCAATGGGGCTCTATCAGTTATTCTCCAAATCAACCTCGGACAAAGGATAAGGACAAGGAGATTGTCAATAGTAATAGTCATAGTCTCAAAATAGTCATCAGGATTACACGTATAGGCTGAGTATATCCAAGCTGTGACTTCGGCAGTCTCCCTGGCTCCTCCTTTGTAAATTCTCGATATCGAAAGTTCCTTCTCATTAAAAACCTCTATCCTCCCTCCAAACCAACCACGCCACAATAATAACCACCTTCAACCCAACCGCCGTCCACAACGCCCCCATCAAGCCAATTTCACTCTTTGCCCAAACCCCTCCCATAACAGCACCAAACAACAAACAGACAACCGCTCCAAACCTCCTCCTCTCTTCGACATCCTTCCTAAATGCTACTCCAGACAGGAACTCCGCATGCGAAAACAAATCACAATAAACGCTCGTCAAAACCACACTCGACAACCCACCAAGTTTGAGAACCCGACTAATAACGGCTTGTCCACTACTCTGAAAAGCCACCATGGCCAACGGGACGGATACCCGCCATGTCAAGGGGGAATGTTTAGATGGCCGTTCCAGACTAACTATCGTCGCCGCACAGACGATACAAGCCATTTGAATAGCGAAACTGGCCATGAGAACCCATCTCTTTCTCGGGGAGAATGTTCGATGGAACGCGCCGAAACACAGCGACCCAAAACAGAAGCTGGCTATTGATATACCGGATTTGATCCAGCGGTCGTCTTCACCTCCGCCTCCTCCTCCGGTGCTCTGACTCGATTGCGATGCTAAACCGAGTCCTAAATAGACTGTATTACCGGTTTGCATGCTCACAAAGGATCCCCAAATAAAAACAGCGGAGCTGTCGAGTAGACCGGTGATTATGTAGCAGTAAAGGAGGATCAGGTCGGTGTGATGAGTGGAGAGGGGAGTGTTGAGGTGGTGTAGCAATCTTTTGAGGGCTGAGTTTTTGCCATTGTTCCTGTGATGGGGGAGGAGAGTATCGGTCTCGCTGGGTTCTTGCATTTTGACATGCAATGCAATACAGAGATGTAGTGAGGACCAGAACAATATACAAGAAGGTTGAGATTCCATCTTTTATCATCTGTCGGCCGAGATCCGGTTGCACTACTACATTTCCGTCTGACGTCAACGATGGGACGAATTCAAAATTGAGAAATCAACAACATCCACACATTTTCCTGTATGTATACGCGAAGCGGGGGTTTAGTCATCCATTAACCTTTTGTTAGGGGTTCTGACTCACTTTCCGAGTTATCCGAAAGCATCATCCCATAATACCGGGAACCTTGGCAATTTGTACAATCTCCGAGTTGGGAAGGACTAGAAATCATAAAAGACTGGACTGGACCGCCCTACAATCTTCTACTGACTACTGATAGTTTCTGAGCAGAAGTTCATACATACAGGGTGGCGCCAAGGACAATGCATAAATCAATCCTCCTCAGCTTAGGGTTGCTTCTCGTCGCAACTGCAAACCCAGTACCAAACGAGAACATTCAACGTCTCTCAAAGATTCCCGCATCTTCTTCTCAAGAGTACTTCTTTGGCGGTGATCAGACGGGCACAAGCAGACCGTTTACTCCCGGTCATCAAGATCCCTACGATCGCAAAGTCGATCCAGTAGGCGATGACTTGGAACCACTTCCATATCGGAATGGAGATGGTGCTACGGTAATGGGTCCTCGAAACAGAGACCGTGAACGACAGAATCCGGATCTTGTCAGGCCGCCGAGTACAGATCATGGGACGTTGAGTAATATGCGTTGGAGTTTTGCCGATTCGCATACCCGGATTGAGGTACCCCTTCTCTCTCTCTCTTTTCTTTTTTTTTTTTTTTTTTTTTTTTTTTTTCAGTAGAGACAATGCTAAGTATAATAGGAAGGAGGCTGGACCCGTCAGACAACCATCCGCGAACTCCCAACCAGCAAAGAACTAGCCGGCGTAAACATGCGTCTCGACACAGGCGTAATCCGGGAATTACACTGGCACAAAGAAGCCGAGTGGGCATTCATGTTATCCGGTAACGCGCGAGTGACAGGACTCGATACCGAGGGGGGAAGTTTTATCGACGATGTCGAAGCAGGAGACTTGTGGTATTGGCCTCCGGGCCATCCGCATTCGATTCAGGGATTGGGGCCCAACGGGACGGAGTTTTTGCTGATTTTTGATGATGGGAACTTTTCGGAGGATTCGACTTTTTTGCTTTCGGATTGGATGGGTATGTCTTTTCTTTCCCCGGCGCTGAGATGTACTCGACCTGACCGTAAAAGCGCACACACCAAAATCAGTCTTGAGTGAAAACTTCCGCATTCCCCCTGAAATCTTCAACTCGATCCCCAAATCCGAAAAATACATCTTCCAGGGCAGTAAACCCGGCTCAATCTCGGCTGAAAAGCCAAAAGGATTTAAGAAGTCTACCAAAAGTTTCACACACAAAATGCTCGCTCAAGAACCAGAAATCACATCCTCAGGCGGCGAAGTGCGCATCACAGACTCAAAACGCAACTTCCCCATCTCCAAAAGTGTAGCTGCGGCACACCTCAAAATCAATCCGGGCGCAATAAGGGAAATGCACTGGCATCCTCACGCCGATGAATGGTCCTATTTCATCCGTGGCCGGGCACGAGTCACCGTCTTCGCGGCCGAAGGGAACGCACGAACATTTGATTACATGGCCGGGGACGTGGGTATTGTGCCGAAAAACATGGGCCATTTTGTCGAGAATCTGAGTGATGACGAACCCCTGGAAATGTTGGAGATATTCAGAGCAGATGAGTTTTTGGATTTTTCTCTGTTTCAGTGGCTTGGAGAGACGCCGCAGAGGTTGGTGGCGGAGCACGTGTTTAAGGATGATAAGAAAGCGGCCAAGATGTTGTTGGAGCAGATTGAGGGGGGCGAGAAGGATCCGATTAAGGAGAAGTTTGAGTATTAGACCCTATCGGATTGATACGGCTATGAATTGGAGTATGCGGGGCGTATATGATATTGACAAGTGGGATGTTTATTGTCAGGAAGATTATGCTGAGATTCACAGCTATTGTCCGCGTGCCAGAGGAGCATGGACTGAGTGCCCAATTAAATGCCGAAGATCATTAGTAATCATGGACTCGAGGAAAATCATATATTTGGAACCGCAATGGTAGCTATACTGAAAGCGAGCCTTGGAAACTGGGTCACAATAATCCGAAAACCTCTCTCTTAGAGTCTTTTATCACAGGGATTTGATCATCCAGCTGATAGGAAATGAGTATTCTATAGCCATTTTTATACTTACGGCCTTCAGAGGTGCGGCTATCTTAGGAAAAGATCCAGCGTCCTAGACGTCCTTCCCTTCCGACGTAATATGATCGTCCGAGTTAAAGCTTAAGCCACTCAAGGATTCGTAGTACTACCTGTACTACAGCTTACGTCGCGGTACGACGTTACACAACGGCCATTGACGAACAAGTGCATAATTTTCCAAGACGGTACGATACGATACCTGGTGCCAAGCCAAGTTGACGTCTCGTTCCAATCCCGTCTCTCGCACTGAGTGAGATAGAACTGGATGAAGACTTCAAATGAAGTGCGCGCCACGCACGCACTACACTACGTTTAACTCCTCGTGATGACAACGAGAGCCTACCTTAAACCAAGCCATCTGTATCATCCAGTCCATTTCGTAGGCATCTACTCCGTATTGAACAGTTCATAGACCAAATGAAGTCATGAAAGATGACGTTGCCAAGAACATAACTTGATTTCTGCTTACGCCACAATCCGATCGCCTTGCCCGATACGGCTTAGTATCCCGAAAAACGTGGATCGGGACATTTTCTTATTGGGTGGACAACAGCTTATCGATAACGATTGAAACGACTGAAATTAACCTCCCTGTAAGATGTAGGTTGGGGTATGTCATTGCTCATGTTTGGAGATGCATGAGCCGACCCCATTAGAGTGGTCTTTTCTTTTCGAAGGAGAGAATAGAAATGCAGTCCGTCTGTACTTCAGACATCGGATCGTCTTAATGCACATACTGATTACTATGTAATTCTCCGAGCAATGACGGATCGGACGCCACAGATCGGCATCGATCGAGACGCTCCTTACGTCAAGTGTCTAGACCTGGGGTCCTGGAAACACCACCTGGGCACCACTTGGGAATGGATGTATGAGGCATATGCAAGGAAATGCGAGTAATCTAGAGTTCATCATAATCCGCAGACTCGAAGATAATCCCATTGTACGACTCTACAGTCGACATCTCAATAGTGGTGATGATTGATAACCCACCACGATTCAGTTTTGCTTTCCCAGCACAGACCTCCCTCTGACAGATCCATCACCCAATCAGGCTCGACAGCAGAGTGGATAAACGTCATATCGATCTCGCTTAACGGCAAGGACCCACTTGTATAAGTTGTACATACTATGCTATGTTATTCTGGCTTCTCCACAGTTCTGAACCTCTGATATCATTTATTCAGTTTATTCGTTGAGAGAGATTAATATGATGATGGTTACATACGTGGTATATATTCCTTCTGCAGTGTACAGATGAGAATTGAGATGTAGACTCGACCCGAGTGATGAGGATACTAATCGTAAATATAGTCTCTTCGAAATAATTACATAGTATACTATGTACTATGTATGTAGTGACTGTACTGTGTACATAGTAGTATACCACAGTACATAGATTGACGCAACAATGACCCATCGCACCAGCCTCATTAAGTTGTGGCGTCAGCATCCACACTCGAACGTTTTTGATCATACCAAAAAGGGTTTAGCAGTGACATACAGAGTACGGAGTACTAGGACATAGTACAAGGAAGGAGCGAATGAGTATAAGCGGGGAAGGAACCAGGCACCCTTCGTGGCTTCCATATGGTCTGCCGATAGATTGTCCCATGGATCCCTGCTCTCCATGTCATCATCATAAACAATGACGTACAATGGACTGATCCTCTATAACTACGTAGTGAATTATCTGAATCTCTCTCTCTTTTCTGTTTTCCTCATTATCAATTTTTCTATTACGAGTTTCTTTGATTACACTGGTTTCATCTTTGCGATAATATACGACTTAAAAGGATCAGACGAATTGACCGATCTACTACATAGCAATCATCTGATTCTAACTCCACCAAACAAACAGCAGACAACAACAAGAAGAAATCAAAATGGCAACTCAAGCTACCTCCAAACCTCCCCGCGAAACACCCTCAACCCCTACCAAGGCCAAAAGTGCCGCCTCCTCAGTCAAAGGATCTCCTAAATCTGTAACATCAAAGACACAAAAGCAGGTTGGGAAAGACAACAAGACTCCACGTAAGTTGAAGCGCAAGGTTGACGATACCATCACCCCTGCGGCTGAGCGTACTTCGTCCCCGGCTGAGAGTAAAGAGTTGCCTTCTCGTCCGGCGGCGGGGAAGAAAAATGTTTCGAAGAAAAGGGGTGAGCAGAGGGATCCTGAGCCTGAGCCTGAGTCTGAGCCTGAACCGGACCGGGTTGAGGAGCAGGAAGAACCTCAGGAGGAGGGTGAAGAGGCTGGTATTCAGCTCGAGCATAACGACAACGACAACGACGACGTCGGTGAAGAAGAAGATGATGAAGAAGAAGAAGAAGAAGAAGAAGCCTCTGAACCCTCCGTCTCCGCACCCGTCGAACAACGCGACGAGCCGGCAGATAACCAATCCCAGGCTTCTGGATCTGCTACCGGCGGCTTCTTCAGCCGCACCGGCAACGGTCTCAACAGCTTCGCTCGCGGACTGCGCGGCGTCGCTGGTAGTTTGAGCCAGGGTAATGCCAAAGGTGCTCTTGACAATACCGCCGGTAGTGTCAAGGACACCGCTCAAGGAAGCATTGGCGATGTGGTCAATAGTCTCCCACTTGACCTCTCCGCCTTGAAGGGCCTTGAGGTCGGTGAAGGTGGAAAGATTTTTGACAAGGCGGATAACCCGCTTGGAGAAGTTGTTGAGGGCGAACCTGAAGATCTCGTTGGTCAGACTGTTGGTGATGACGGCGAGATTCTGGATGAGGATGGCGATCTTATAGGTCGTGTTGAGCTCCTTGACGACGTCCAGAAGAAGGTCACCGATACCCTTGACCAAGTCAAAGACAAACTTCCTTCCCTTGAAGATCTCAAAGATCTTCCCGTCTCGGAGAGAGGGGAAATCAAAGACAAGGCTGGTAATGTTCTCGGCCGCATTGTTGAAGGTGACCCTGAAGATCTCGTTGGCCAGACTCTGAATGAATCTGGTGAGATTCTGGATGAAGACGGTGATCTGATTGGCCGCGCTGAAGTCATTTCTCCCGAAGAGGCACTCAAGACGATCCAAGAAAAGGGCGCTGATCTTGGCGATATTGAGGAGACAGCTGAAGACGCTGGTCCAGACGATGTCCAAGACAAAGTCGACAAAGTCAAGAACAATTTGCCAGATCTAGCTGATCTCGACGGCCTCCCCGTTTCTGACGGTGGCGAAATCAAAGACAAAGACGGACATGTCGTCGGTAAAGTTGTTGAAGGGGACCCTGAAGACCTCGTTGGTCAAACCGTCAACGACGCTGGTGAAATCCTCGACGAGGATGGAGATCTGATCGGCCGTGTTGAGGTCCTGTCTCCTGACGAAGCCGCCCAGAAAGTCACTGGTCAAGTCGACGAGGCCAAAGATAAAGTCGGCGATGTCGAGAATCAAGCCACCGAAGCAGCTGAAGGTTTGATTCCTCAAATCCAAATCCTTCAAGGCAAGAAGATCAATAAAAAGGGAAAGATCCTTGATGAAGAAGGTGAAGTTATTGGTCAGATTGCCGAAGGCGACGTCAAGGATCTTGCCGGCAAGAAACCTAATGAAAGGGGCGAAGTACTGGACAAGGAAGGGAACATCCTTGGAAAGGTTGACGTTGTCCCAGGTGAAGCTGCGGACGAGGCTTTGAAGGCATTACAAGAAGAAGCTGAAGAGGCCGGACAAGCTGTCGAAGGTCTTGCCGACAGGGCTGGAGAACCTGCCGAGGACGTCAAAGACAAAGCAGAAGAAACTGCTGACGGTGTCAAGGACTTGGCTGCTCTTGACGGTCTTCAAGTCAACGACCAAGGAAATGTTGTTGATTCTGAGGGTAACGTTCTCGCAAAACTTGAGAGCGGTAACCTGGAAAACATTGCTGGTCAGACCGTCGATGAGAAAGGTCTCGTGATTGATGATGATGGCAATATCCTTGGACGTGTCGCACTTGTCGGTGACGCAACTGACGACGCCAAGGATGCTGTCGACGGCGCTGCTGACGAAGCTCAGGATATGGCAGAAGATGCTCAAGATGCTGCTCCTGAACTCCCTCCTCTTTCCACTTTGGAAGGTCTAAAGGTCAACAAGTTTGGAAAGATTGTCAATGCCGACGGTGTCCCTGTCGGTGAGTTGACGGAAGGAGACGCAAAGAAGATCTCCAAACTTGGCGCCACTCTCGACGACAAGGGCCAGTTCTGGGATAATCGCGGCAATATTATTGGCAAAGCTCAGACCATCCCTGTTGAAGACAACGACAGTGAAGGCGCATTCGCCGGCCTCGAAGGTCTCATTGTCGTCCAAGACGGCTGGGTAGAAGACGAGAACGGCAACCGTGTCGGAGAGCTCGTTGAAGGCGACACTAAGAAACTCGTTGGCCGTGCTGTCGATGAGGACGGCGACATCCTCGACAAGCGTGGCAATGTCGTTGGCCGGGCTGAACGATACGAGCAACCTGAAGAGCCTGAAGCTGAGAAACCGGACTTTTCAAGTGTTGCCGGTCTCAAGCCCAACAAAGCTGGAAATGTCATCGGACCTGACGGCATTCCAATCGCTCGTGTTGTCGAAGGCAACCTGAAAGAAGTCGCAGGCCGTAAGATCGACAACGAAGGCCAGATTTGGAACGATTCTGGCAAAGTCGTCGGCCGCGTCGAACTCATCCCGGAAGATGAGCGCGAGACTAAACCCGAAGGCATCTTTGGCGGTCTTGAAGGTCTCATCGTCAACAAAGACGGCCTCGTCGAAGACGAGGAAGGAAACATTGTCGGCAAGATTGTCGAAGGTGATGCAAAGAAGTTACGTGGTCGCGCTGTTGATGAAGACGGCGACATCCTCGACAAGCACGGCAACGTCAAGGGCCGTGCTGAGCCGTATGAAGTTCCTGAAGAAGAACCCCAAGAAGACGATCTATCCTCCCTTGAAGGTAAAAAGGTCAACAAGATGGGCAACGTCGTTGACGAGCACGGCACCGTCTTTGGTCGCATTGCTGAAGGCGACCCAAAGAAACTTGCCGGAAAGCGAGTTGATGGGAAAGGTCAAATCTGGAGCGATAACGGTAAAGTCATTGGTCGTGCTGAACTCATTCCGGGTAATGAGCAAGGTAAACCTGAAGGAGCATTCTTTGGATTTGACGATGCTAAGGTCGGCAAGGATGGTGTTATCGTTGACAGCAACGATAAAATCATTGGTCGTTTGACTGAAGGCGATGCTAAGAAACTTGTTGGTCGCCCTGTTGATGAGGATGGCGATATTCTTGATAAATCTGGGAATGTCCTTGGTAAGGCTGAGCGATGGGAGCCAGAGGAAAAGAAGCGCGATGTCAACCCTATGTCAGGTCGCAAGGTCAACAAGCAGAGTGAAATCCGCGACGAGAATGGCGATTTAATCGGCAAAGTCACGGACGGTAACTTGCAGAACCTGATTGGCAAGAGCATTGACGATAATGGATATGTCGTTGACAACGACGGCAATAAGATTGGCGAAGCTACTCTGATCGAGAACATCCCTGAGCCTGAACCCGAGCCTGAAGAACCGAAAGAAGAAATCTCTCCCGAGGAACTGGACAAGCAAAAACAAGAAGAGAATGATCGCAAATTGGCCGAACGTATTTGTGCCATTGTGCAGGATACTCTCGGCAAGATCGAACCAGTCTGCAAGCAAATCACAAACGTAAACCACCCCCCCCCCCTAAAAAATTTCCTCCCTTCTAGATGTGTCTATACTAACGCAAGACAGCTGGTCGAAAAAGCCGACCGCACCCCCAAAGACGAGCTCGACGAAGAAAAACTCGTCAACGATGTCAAACCTCTCCTCGAAGAAGGAGGCCGCATGCTCCAAGAATGCAACGGCGCAATCCGCGCCCTCGATCCAGACGGCCGCATCGCCGCAACCGCCAAAGCACGCGCCCAAACCCACGAAGCCAGTCCAGAAGAATACAGACTCGCCGATGCACTCAAAGAACTAACGCAAACCGTCGTCAAGACGATTGACAACGGCCGCAAACGTATTCAGGATATGCCACATGCGAAAAAGAAGCTGAATCCGCTGTGGTCGTTGTTGACGGAACCCTTGTTCCAGATCATTGCTGCGGTGGGATTATTGCTTAGTGGTGTTTTGGGATTGGTGAGTCGATTGCTGGATGGGCTTGGATTGGGAGGGTTGGTTAGAGGGTTGTTGGGTGGATTGGGGGTTGATAAGTTGTTGGAGGGATTGGGGTTGGGCAGTATTACTGAGTCGTTGGGATTTGGGAAGAAGAAGTAACCACATCCCCTCCCAAATTTCTTCCATAATTGTTTGGTTGATACTGTCTGGTTTTGAAAGTTAACTACACTCGCTATATTTCCTTTGTCGTGTGAATTGTGAGCGTGTCTTATGTTGGTTTTTTGAGCAACTTTCTTCTAGCATGTTTTATTCGTCTGTCTAATAGTCTGCCAGAATAATGTCTTACCTAGCTAGTATGTTCTTCTAATGCACCAGTCTTATTCTATCTATCTATTTTATTTACAAAGTAGGCATCAACGAATATAATGAAATCAAAAATCTTCCAACATAGGATCCCTCCTCAAATGCTCTTCAATCAATCTAATCCTCTTCTCCGGCGCCGCAAACTCGCACCAATACCCTTCTTCAGTCTGACACATGACGATTCCAGTGACTATACTCGTTAGTCTCATCATTCACAAAACTAGAAAGAGGGGGAGCATACATCGACCAGGCATATCCTTCTCCTTACTCCGACCCAAAACCATTATCCTCTTCTCGGCTCCTTCTCCCTCCTTCTCACTATCTCCAGTGTCAGTAGCAGTAGTAGGGAAAAGGTCCAACCCTTTCCACGCCAAGCACCAATTCGTCACAAAATAAGACCACTCAAACGGTTCACAGATATGTGTCCCTTGACCTCTACGAACCTGTTCTCGCATTACGGCAAGACCGATTTCGTAAGATTGCGAGGATGATTGGGTGGTTATGGCTTGTCGGTTTTTGTATGCTATTTCCCTGGCGGACGTTGATGGGGTGATGAGGAAGCGGGAGGAGACGTAGTGGATGCCGTTGTGGATGTAGGTTGATGATTTTGAGGGGGGAAGGGAGGTGTGTTTATTTCTCACTTTATTTTCTTATGTTAGTGAACCTGATAGGCATGACAGGGTGGAAAGGGGGGTTCGTACAGTTGACTAATTGCGAAAGTGTAATGGTTCGCGACTTCTTATTGCCTATTCGATGGAACTGTCTACCCATTAGCAATGCCCAATTCACTCGGGGGGTGTGAGAAACCTTTGTAAGAATAGCATTAATAACATCCCCCAAACTCAGTCCCGGATCATCACCGTACTCCTCCTTCAATTCAGTCGTATATCTTTCCCTCAACCTTTCCAACATCGGTCTCGGAAAGAAAACAATATGCGAGTCTTCTTTCTTATTCAACACCAGTTCCGGCACAAATCCTAATACCACGAAGAAATACTCGAATTTGTTGCGAACGCGAGAAAGACCTTTGCGATAGATTTCGTGTTTCGGCCAGTCGGTATATTTCTTCGCTGATGTGGCTAGGATGTCTCCGGTGTATCCGGTCATTTCGGGGGGAGTCTTGTTGTGATATGCCAGTCCAAACCAGGCGCGCATGATATTACCCACGCCCATTTGGTCGGCGACGGTATGTGGGACACTCAGCGCGACGACGCTCGCATCCGTGAATAATGATAGATGGACGAATAGTAACGGTGCAACAGGATCATCCTTGATTTCATCCGGCCATGTAGCTGGTCTAACCAGCTCATCAACCTCCTGCACAGAATGCAGCAAGGTCGCCCCCTTTTCTGCAGCGGGGGGATCATGAAAGAATGCCAATGGGGCAGATTTATCAATCCCAGACTCGAATTGCGTGCATGACCATTCAAACAGTTTATACTCTTTATCATCCGCGAATGCTTTGGGGACGCGATATTCTAGTAAGCCATTCTTGCTGTTTTTGGCTAATCGACCACCGAGTTTGCGCCAGTGGTTTCGGATCAAGTCATCTAGACTGGATTGGAGTGTGCTCTCCTCTAGGCGAGTATCGATTATGAAGAATGTCCGGGTGCGGATGTTGTTGATTGGTTTTTGTTGGTCGGTCGCTGGGATGGGGATGACCTCCATTTTCTAGCACGCTAGTTAGTATCCTGGCAACTTGAGAGTGTGTCTTACGTGAAGTAATTTACGTAGGGATCGACGTAAAGCAGCGTTTATATGAGTCTACATAGCATAGGGAGGCCTGGATATCTGACAAGGAGCTGAACATAACAATCATCTAATAATTGGTTCTGATATCGACGAGAATGAAGTTTAATTCCAAAGCTGAGAAATAGCTTGAAATGTGGAGAATGAAATGTCTGCTATTGCCCAATAACTGAGCACGAATAGATGAAGCGAGAAGAGACAGCTATTTTTAACTTATCTGAAGCTTAATAATTAGTATAATAACCAATCAAAAAGTTGCAGTTGATATTGGACGAGTCAGCATTGGTATGAGTTGAGGCGCGAGGCGATGTTATCAGGGGTTGTGTCGGTAGTTAAAAGCAGATTTAGCCCTAATCTTATTAGAATTAATAGACAGACAGACACCTTAGAAATCGGGCCGAGTCAATATGACCGCTAACCGTATAAGGCTAGTTGCATGCTGTCACGTGACACCACTTAGTTAGTTACTGGTCCCCGGAGACCTAGATAGAGACCAATCATATTCATCATCTTTCCACGATAGTGCGCCCGTTATACATGCAAAATGCACCACGTGATCTGCGCTGCGGTCTGCACGTGGGTTGTATTTGGTAAACCAATCAGAGGCGGTGCTAAAATCACCCAGAATTCTCTCTTTCACTCATCGGTAATTGAAGCGGTCGACTCTCAACGGTCTCAATCAGCCAAGAAGACGAGATCTGTTTTGAAAGATACGTTACGTACTCGACTCGACTCTGGCAAACGCGTGCGATACAGCGCTATCGCCTCTATCATCAGATGTCCTGGATCAGTACCCGAAGACAAGACTTTTCACTCCGCAAACATCCCCACATTCTGTGTCGGCAATTGAAGACAAGTCGAATACCCGCCGGCAAACTTTCACGTGCCGTGTGCGAGTGCTCGGATTACTCGCCTGGGAAGTCTTGTTGTCTGGGCTAATTGGCCCATTCCAGGACATAGCGTATACCACCAAGACTAAAAACTGGGGATAAAGTCTGGGGTTATGCTGCTTGCGTGGGGGTCCGTATACTACTCTCGTTGCTTGAGAGGCTCGGCTATAGATTACCAGCCGGTTTCCCCGTGGGGGAATGCACTCTATTGGTCTGCACAGCGAGTCTACCCCCACAAAGAGGGGGTCTCCTCGTCGGCTAATCCAAGCTCTCCATACTCTCAGAGTCCATGGCTGGATGCAATGCGGAGGAAGATTGTCGCTCGTGGCGATTATGTATATAAGATGATGTCTGTCCGTCCCATGATCCTCTCAAATCATCTTCTTCTTTGTACATTGATCTCACGCTGAATTAGATATACAAGCCTAGTTATCTAGGCACTACCTGAGTATTAATGTCCGACCAAATCAAAATGGACACGGGAGCTGCAGGCACAGCAACTCACCACAACCACATCCTCGACTCCGAAGCCATCAAACATGCCGACCGCGCTGCCGCTCTCGCCAATGGTGAACGTCCCGTGCTAACAGAAGAAGACTCTAAACGCATTCGGCGCAAAACCGACAAACGGATCCTCGTGGTGCTGATGTGGGTATATTTTCTACAGATTGTCGACAAGACCGTGCTCGGGTACGGTGCCACATTCGGACTACGTGAAGATACAGGTTTAACGGGTAGTCAATACTCACTCGTTGGCTCAATTGCCTCTATTGCGCAGTTGGGTTGGCAGCCCGTATCGTCGTATCTGATTGTGCGTGTGCCTCATCGGATTTTGATGCCTACTCTTGTGCTTGGATGGGGCATTGCTGCTGCGACGATGTCTGCATGCCACAACTATAGTGGATTGTTGGCGACGAGGTTCTTTCTGGGTTTGTTTGAGGCTGGTTGTTTGCCACTGTTTAGTGTGATTACTGCTCAATGGTATCGACGGGCTGAGCAGCCTCTCCGAGTGGCTCTGTGGTACGGAACGAACGGTATTGGGAATATTTTCTCGGCTGCGATCAGTGTTGGTCTGGCGCATATTCATTCGGATGTGTTGAGATCATGGCAAATGTGTGTTTCCTTTCTTTTCTTTCTTTTTTTCTTTCTTTTTTTTTCTTTGCTCTCTCCCGTGAAAGCTACTAACTTGAAAAGTATCTTCCTGTTTGTTGGATTACTCACTATCGTGACTGTCCCCTTCATCTACCTCTTACTCGACAACGACATCCCCTCCGCCCGCTTCCTCACAGAAGAAGAAAAACGCATGGCTGTCGAACGTCTCCGAGCCAATCAAACCGGTACTGGATCCCGCGAATACAAATGGAATCACGTCTGGGAAGCGCTCATCGAGCCCAAAACATGGCTCTTCTTCTCTATGAGCTTTCTGCTCAACGTCGGCGCCAGCGTTACCAATATCTTTGGTCCTCTGATCTTGAAAGGTTTCGGTTTCGACTCCTACAAGACTAGTCTATTGAACATGCCGTTTGGCGTCATGCAAACCTCTGTTATCTTACTTGGTTGCTACTGCGCACAAAAGACCAGTATCAAAGCCGCTATTCTTTTGTCGCTCGTCGCCCCTGTTGTCGCCGGTCTAGCAATTTTGTACGCCGTGCCCCACGCCGGCCACACTGCACCTTTGCTAGCTGGATACTACCTCCTCGCATTCCTCTTCGGCGGTAACCCACTCATCGTCTCCTGGATCGTCGGAAATACCGGCGGAGCCACAAAACGATCATTCGTGGCAAGTGTCTACAACGCCGCCAGTAGCGCCGGTAACATCGTCGGTCCGTTACTCTTCAATTCAAAGGATGCGCCTACCTACCACCCCGGTTTACGAGCCTGTCTCGCAATCTTTATCGCTCTCGTTGTCGTGATTGCGATCCAATGGATAAATCTCATCTGGCTAAACAAACGACAAGAAAAGAAGCGCGTTCGAAACGGTAAACCTGCCAAGATGGTCGATCATTCCATGCAGAAGCATTACCATGATTTTGCGGAGGATAATAAGGCCACTAAAGTTGCGCAGGTTGAGAGGGTTGAGAGTCAGGTTAATGTTGAGGGAGGTCAAGAGGAGATTGGTGAGAATGCGTTTTTGGATCTGACGGATCGTCAGAATGATGAGTTTGTGTATATTTATTAGTCTATCCGGTGGTTATCAATGTTCATGTCTTGTTCATTCAACTTGAAATATATTCCTAGGATGTATACCACAGGGTTAGGGTAATCTAATTCCCCCGCTGGCCGATAAAACAGAAGGGGTGCCACATGCAATTTCAACCGATCGCTCATCTCTCCCATAGAAAGTCCAACACAGCCACCTAACTCTAAACTTTCGTCTCGTCTCATTCGACATTCAGCATTTTACTATACTCAATTTCTTCTCGACTATCCCATGTGCTAGCACCATCACCAGAGATACGAACATGGCGGCCTCTTCTGACCCCGAGATGGAGCATGACGTCACGGCTAGCATGAATCAAAAAGAAGAACGCGCTGCGCGGACGATACAGGTAAACCCCTTTCCTTCCTCACGATATAGTTGCTGGCGCAGTATATTGATGGTGGTATAGAGATACTACCGCGGCTACCGTACCCGTCGCGAACTCAAAGGCTGGTCCCTATCCTCCTCGACGCGCTGGCTCGAAGCCGTCCAGGAAGCGCAATGGCATCAGGCGATGCGGAATCAATATGTTGAGACGAGTTGCGATGGAGAGGATAGGGATGATATAATCCATAATGATGACGAAGGAGAAGAAGAAGAGGAAGGAGAAGAAGAAGGGAGAAAGACAAGTCGGGGATTATCACCAGAAGTACGCCGAAAATGGAAATTAGCAGGACAAGTTGCGCTCCGGGCTGGAGGGGATGATAATCTGCAGGACAAAGTTGTTGAAGAGAATGTTTCGGAGGAAAAAGGGCAGACGGTGCATACGTTTCAGGAATCAATTTCGACGATGAAGAAGGAGAATCGTGAGCCCTTGATACCGACTAGTACGGCCGCGGAGGTGGAGAAGAAGGCAAAGATGATGGATTTGCAGTATTTCCTAGAAATGGTTCGTCCTCAATCTTACAGATATTATGGGAAGCTAATTGAATAGGTCGACACAAAACACCGCTACGGAAGCAACCTACGCGCGTATCACAGTATATGGAAAAACAGCCCCTCAAAACAAAATTTCTTCTACTGGCTCGACTACGGCGAGGGGAAAGATGTCGAAGTTGAACGTGTCCCGCGCGAAAGGCTCGAAAGGGAACAAGTACGATATCTGAGTCGCGAAGAGAGGCAAGATTATTTAGTTGTTGTTGATGAGGCAGGTCGATTTCGATGGGCAAAAAATGGGGAGAGGGTCTGGACGGATAGTGACCAGTTTAGGGATAGTATTCGTGGTGTTGTGCCTGTCGGGGATAAGACGCCTACTTTTCAGGAGTATACTAAGGAAGGTGATGAAGTGATTACTTCAGAGGATGACGACGATGAGGATGAGGATGATAGTGATGAAGAATCCGATGAAGAAATACAGCGATATGTGAATCCGGATTTTGATAATGCCAAAGGAATCAAAAAGATTGAATATGTTAGTCCGGCGGTGGTATTCAATCATTTGATGCAAAAATCGTTGAAGAAGAGGGATAAATGGATTTTTGTACGTATCCCTTCCCTCTTACAGAAATGCATACTGACTTGTCACAGGTAGCCGGTAAGTTCTTCAACCATCCATGCGAATTGATACTAAATAAATAGATACATCCTTCCGAATATACATCGGCATCAAAGAATCCGGAGCCTTCCAACACTCTTCTTTTCTTCGCGGCGCACGCATTTCAGCAGCAGGACTTATCAAAATCAAAGATGGCCAATTACGAAGTTTATCACCGCTAAGCGGCCATTATCGTCCCCCCGCTGCGAATTTTCGTGCCTTTGTGCATGCATTACAGGACAATGGCGTGGATATGTCCCGCGTCTCGATTAGTAGATCTTATGCTGTGCTAGTCGGGATTGAAGGGTATATGAAGTTTAAGCAGAAGAAGAAGGATGTGAAGGATATGATTGAGGAGGAGAAGTCGAAGGTTTCTTCGAAGAAGGAGAAGGAAGAGGGGGAGGAGGTACCGGATGTATCGAGGAGTCGGCCGACGAGGAAGAAGAGTAAGACGACGACAACGACGGTTGCTGCGACGGAGGAAGAGAATGAGAAAGGAGGATTCTTTTCTACAATTGCGAGGACAATTACGAGGAGAGGAACGACGCAGGAGAGTAAGACGGTTACGATAAGCGGGAGAGGTGTACCGGGTACTGCGCCGGAGGAAGGGGTTCCTGCTCCTGAGGGGAAGCGGTAGTTCTTTTCAAACTTGTTTTTGGGGCGTTATGCTTTATATCATTTTAGTACTTATGGATGAGGGTTAATGACATTGCATTTATAATGGTTATGGTACAACCTTTATATTATACCTGGAGGGCTTATAAGCTATAAGTTATTTGTCTCTGCCTCTGCTTCTCTTGGGGACTTCATCTTTCTCTGGCTCATTAACCTTGAATCGACCACCTAGTATAAATACCTTATCCTTCTCAATGATCTTCCAGACTTTGCCAGCCTTGACCGTTTCGAGAACTAAAAGTCCTCTCCGTCGTGGTCATAGTCGCCAAGCATGTGCTTGAGTTCATCTGATTCGAAATTCTGGATCGCGTCGAGCAGATTTCCCACGATACTATGGGAATAAGAGGTAAGCGGCTCTCACACTGAGAAGAGACTGTTATTGAGTGAGCACGTACTGAATGAAGTGCTCTTCGGACAACACGTTCAGTCCTTTCTCGCGAATCCATCTCGCCACAGTGCTATTCAGAGAGTCGTATCCCAACCTCATCAACTCATGTTCAACAGGTCACTGAAAGCGGTACTGGTAACATCCCTGCCAACACCTGCAATAGCAAATAGCTCGTTTGTAAGGATTCTGTACAGCGTGATTGCTGTGATCTCGTTTCGCATCGACGGATCCTCGATCAAGTTACCCGGTGCCGGAACAGAAAGCGGAACAAACTCCTTCCATGTTCAAGACCCGCAGGTCTGTATGGAAATAAACCCTGTATGTGTTCTCGGATCGAACTGGGAATCGAGGTATTCTTGGTATTCTTTGTTTGGTTTTGCGAATAGAAGATTGACCTCGTGTCGGTCCTGAGCAACAAGAACCCGGCTGCCGGGCAATGCAATCATGACTGCGAGAAGAAAACGACATCGGGTTCTGTATGCCCGATTAATTTCGTTGTATTGTCACAAGAAGTGAACGCGATAGCAGTACCATGCCACACAACGCTTGTGCGGTCAAAGGAATGTTTCAGTAGTGCACTAGTTAATCGCTTAGCAAGTCCATTGACAAGCAGGAGAAACGATGCACAAAATTGAATGAGGAATTGGCGGATATACATACAGCAACAATCCAGTATCAAACATTTCCAAGCTGCGGCAGCACCAGGAACGCGAGCACAATCAAAGCCTCGCGTATCTCGTTCTCGCTAGGTCTCCTCGCCTCTTCTGCCTCATTGGTTTGTGTGGACGGTGCCTTTGGATCGATGAGGGTTAATCAATCTTTGCAGTTGATTGACGAAGTGTCGACCCTTAAATTGGCTTATTAGGCTGCGCAATTGGCCGTAATGGTATTCTTTCCAATTGGAAGTCCTTGAGCTTTTTGCACAATTCTGCAAACCATGACAAGATGCAATCTTGACCTGCATCTTTAGGCATGAAACCAAATTCAGCTAGCTGATTGCTCACCCTCACAAGTATATGGTCTTTGACGAGTGCTATTATTTGCAATCGCGAGTGCAGGCGATAGACTTGATGTTGGAAAACGAGATCAGCATAGAACAGCTCAAAAAAATAATGACCAGAAAACCACATCAAGGAAAACACCTTTTTGGTAGGTAGTATAGATCTTCGCTCCAACATTGAGTGGAGAGAGCAACCGTAGTCCTGTTGGAAATAATAAGTCAGCTCCAGAGCGCTGAAACAGCTGAAATATCACTTACCAGACAGCCCCATTAGGGGTCCCCCTTTTGGTAGAACGGTATAAATTCCGTTCCCACAAGTCCCGCTTGCGGCTGCGTTGGAGGAACAAGGAGATTTTCCTAGAACCCTCTTCGTCCGCTCGGAGCGGACATTCTCTGAACGAATGTCTAAACACCATCTTCAATTCAATATTGAGACATTGGAGCTCATGGTATGGGCACATACGGTGATTTCTGGTATTAACCATTCGACAACCTACCACCCTTTTATTGTGTGTGTGAGATCAGCACTACTCGTCAGAGTCATCCGACTAGGAGGGTGTCTCTGCAACCACCTACTTGCGCGCCTTGTACGGGCTGATCAACATAACGTCGAAGGGAACGATCCTTTCTTGATTGACCGTCTGGTAGCTATAAAGGGCCTTGAAAAGCTCCAAGGCCATCTTTATTTGCCTTTGATTCTCAAGGGAAGATCTTGATGGCTTCACAGCCTCACTTCGGTAATTGAGGAAGATTCGGCGCCTATGACTCACTTTCATGTGTTTATGTGATTCGTGGGTGCATAGCATTCTGCAACGTGTTGCCTGCAACTCATACGTAGCATAAGGCTACTGCTGCGCAGGCTGCCCTCTGTACATGAATATTAGCTTGAGTTTTATAGGAATCAGTGATATATCCAACTTACCCGGTATTGTGATCATTGAATAGGAGCTGCATAAGATCTCCCTGACAAAATGAAGATGGTCGTTGCAACTCCTGCAAATAAAAAAGACAGATCTCAAGGTCAGCGTGGTTCTTTGAAAGTACAGATACAGCGCTGGCATACTGCAAGGACTGATCATACCATACTGCCATTTGATTTTATAAATATACCATTCGATCAAAAACGAGGTCCCGTTAGGGATTTGACAATATATATGGTTTTTGTAGATTTTTAGACATATTTCCGGGCAACATGTAGTCGTCGTGGATACTGAGGAGAATATTTTGGGGAGAAAGAGAGGGAAGGACGGCACGGATGGGAGAAGACACCTTACATATACACGCCAAAGGAGATTATGTAACATTAAACAAGACAAAGAAAGTGCGCGATGGGTACGCCCGATTCTTTTCCATACTCGTACACCGAGGTTTTTGTTCTTTGCCCAAAGGATATGTTTGCCCGGTGGCCAGCCATGCTTTGGGACATTGGGGGTTGGGCGAACTGACTCAGGAATATCAATCAGCTTTGGAGGACTCTCCATGGCTACATGTTGCATGACAAAGCCAGTTCAAATCGAAATCCAGCCTCAAACAACCCCGCTACGCCCTGAAAGCCAGGATTTCACAGCACAGGAGTACAAATTTCACTTTTTACCCAAGTTTCTGATCAATTCGGTTCTCCTAATTGTCCTCTCCAGAACTTCTCTTATTATCAGCCCGTATTCTCGCCAATACAGCATGGATTTGCTTTCAGCGATCATCGACTGCATTCGCGGTCCACAATACATCGAAACCCACAGCGAAGAAGACATCGCCGAAAAAGTAGTCCACATAATCTCAACAACCGAAAAGCGTGGACTCGCCCTACAAGCCCAAATCAAAGACACTCTTGTCAGTACAGAAGGATGGACAGAATCCCTCGCGAAAGCCATACTTGTCAAACTGCAACAAGTCATCGAAAAAGGGCAGAGAAGTGAAATGGGCGCCGTTCTGCAAGAAGCCGTTGACTCTACGAGTCGTGTCATAGATGAGATTTTTCGATTTGCGACTGATCATCCTGTTGCAGCAACCGTTTTTTGCACACTTGTTGCTATTGGTATTCTTGTCGCGGTTTCTCCGTGGTTAATTGAGGTGTTGGGGTTTGGGGAGCTTGGTCCAGTTGAGGGTAAGACATATCCCTGCTTATATATGTGGGTTTTTTGCACGGAGAGGATAGTCCACTGATTTGAAGCGTGGTATAGGATCTTTTGCTGCTCAGTGGCAATCATTGTACCGTGGATATGTTTCCAAGGACTCCTTGTTTGCGTTCTTTCAGCGTCTGGGGATGGTATGGCATTAATCATTCTTGTATCAGCTTAGCTGTGCAGCCTGTCAGAACAGCTAGGATATACTTGCTTTCTAAGAGCTCTATTTATGAAAAATAGGCTGATTATTCAGTATGAGATCCTACCATTGATCTCAGCCATAATACTATGCTTTTTTTCGAAGGGAATGATCTCCTCCGGAACTATTCCAGCCCTACTCATTATGATAATAGCACATTCACTCTTTCGGCAAATCCTGCCAATCCAACGATACATCCTGCACCCTAATCCTCCACGGATTCTCGCCTCGCTCTTCAATCTCTTTTACGCGCACCATTTCAAGATCATAATATCCCTTTACCACGTCAGTCCTTCCTCCCTTCACAGTCCCAGCAGCAAGTAGGAAATGGGTTAACTTACACCCTGCCTCCTCGCCATTTCACGCGGCAAACCCTTCTCATCAAGCTTATAAAAGTATCCATGTGCATAAGCATTAACTCTGCACGTCTCCGGTCTCGTCGTCGTGGGTGATGGTTGCGGTAAATGGGCTAGTAAATTCCTTTCACATCCATCAACCTCATCCTTTCTATTCCAGCGAAAATGGGAGAAGGTGGTGGGGGTAACGAACTGGATAATATGCTCCGTCGTATCATACGCATCATGAAAACCCTCCAACCTCTCCGCCCATGTTTGGCTGGTCATTTCTTCGCGTCCAGTGCCGATCAGGGTGTTAGGGTAGTTGATTGTTATTTGTGGGGTGTAGACTTGGTTGATTAGGGTTGGGGTGAGGGGGAGGTGGTGGTCGTAGGCGAACATCTATTCAGGATATCAGCATGATTGAGTCGGAAAAGGGGGGGTGCGTGTAAGCACCATGCGGAGAAGAGTGTCGCGGATATTCTCCTTATCGAGGAGGTAGGTTTGTATATCGTATGGTTGGGCCATTTTGTATATTGTGCTATGGATTCGAATCTACTCATTGGAGTGGAGGAGTAGTTGAGGCCTTGGTATATTTATATTCGACACTCAAATCCTAAATACATCCGACTGCTTTCAATCAACAGACTTATCTCCGTTGGGAAACATGACTCGATGCGGGGTGTTGATGATGCCCATTGGCCACTGAGCCGATTACTCATGGTAAATCATGGAAATAAGGCTTCGGGTTATCCCCGAAGTGATATCATCGATATAGGAGATCATACTCGTGAGAACTGAATATATACATAATAAACCCAAAATAGGCATAAACAAGAATAGGAATTGAACGAAATGCACGTCGTATATCATTATATCCAAACCTCACGCCAATCCCAAAATCAATTAATGCGCGAGAACAGAAAATCCTTTAATACCGGCGACCCCGCAAACTCCGGATTCAGCAAGACACAGTTCAAAAAATATTGTAATCCAATGCGTCTTGATTCCAAGAATTTGGGTCGGAATTTGAAAAGCACACTCTTTGGCGGGAGAGGTGGCAATGCATTGGTTGACTGGGGGAATGCCTTTGAGAGTAAGAGGCGGAGTTCGTCGAATTCAGAGTATCGCATGGGGATCATCATTGGGCCGCCCTGATGTATCGTTAGCATATGGCTTGTTCCGATGTTTGAGAAGGGGAAGATGTACGTCTAGAGTTTGTACATTACACATCCAAACTACATATGCGCCTATCCCCGTTTTGCCTGATACAACGACGTGGTCATCTATCGTCACGCTTCGGGCCCATAGCCCTTTCGTCGTGGTAGCGTCTGGGTCGGCTGTGTGATCTTCAAGTGTGATGGCTGGTTTTGAGGAGCTGTGGTGCGTGTCTACCGAGGCCAGCGATGCGCGAGAGAGAGCTCTGTGATGGCGCCAGTAGGGTGGGACTACGCCTGATACAGGCCGATCTTTGCGTGGCTTGTTTGTGTCTGGATTGTGATGCGCGGTGCCATTTGTGTTATTGGGATGGTGCTCTGATATTGACGCTGTAGAAGCAATCTCGTCACTAGTCGGCTCGCTCACATCGCGTATGCTATTGTCATTATCGGCATTATTATTTTCGTCGGGATTAGCTTCTTCGACAGGTGCCGGTTGTGCTGAGCGTTCGCTCGAACCCGTCTCGTCATCGGGTGTATGCTCCATCCATCAGAGAATGCGTCGTTCGAGTAAGGCGGAAGCTGCTGCTATCGATAGTCCGATACCGATATATCGCGCAGGATCAATCAAGCAAGGCTCGAGTCTATCCCCAGAAAGCACGTTCCAAGGTTGCCAACTTTGACCGTTGCATGATGGCCTGAGGCAGTGGGCGCTAGCGCTGTGTGGCTCGTGCGTACGCGGATTGACGAGCCGGAAACGTTCCGCCAATGGGAGACGAGGCAGTGGGGCTGCGGCTCTGATATCTGCCTCAGGCATTATACACATCAACTTCATTTCAAAGCATTTACGGTGGTTTTTTTCAGGCACAATATATACATCAGGACCCAAAGGAAGGTCTAGGTACATCAATTGCAATTAGCAGATGTTTGTCTATACACTATACGCGTGAAATCCGAATATCACGTGCCATCGCTTAGCGCTCGGACAGCAAGGGTCTAGAGCTATCCGAAGCTCCCCTTTTCTCCCCTTTTCTCCCCTTTATGGCTTGCCAATATTCCGAGTTCCTAAACTATCGAAATGCATGAATCTCTATCGTGGACAGCAGTTTCTGTCTTACGGCAGTGGCGACTCTAGCAAGCAAGCAACAAACAATCTTGATTATTCTGCATGAATATTTAAGACATGCTTGACGAGACCCCTCCGACCCCTCTATCAGAAGTAACCATGGGATCAGTGTCTCAGCCAAATGCACATATAGCCGAACTGATAAAGGAATTTCCCAAAACGGGACGGCGGAGATGCTGCATCCCGTGACTGCTCCCAAAGAGTGGATGCCCCTTTGACTCTTTTGCTCCGACTCCCACTCAACTTCGCAACTCCTCCATTCTGTCAATCTGCTCGAGGAACGACTGCTTCCATCTAGTCACTCTTTGGTACTGTCTCTGCCGTTGTCTCGACCTCTCTGATTGCGCTCGTGTGTGTGTGACCATCCTTGAAAACCCGTAAGTGGCACCGCCGGATGCATTCCTGTCCCAAAACATGAGGAATGTTTGTTTGTTTTGCTGTATCTGATCGACATTCTCTTATGGCCTGCCCTTCCCTCCTTTGCTCTCCTCGTCACATAGATTTCTGTCCAAGAGAGTAATTCAACCTGCTTATCATTATCTCAGATACTTCAAGCTCACTCTCGTGTCACATTGCACCTCGACCAGCATCACGAAAAGAATCCACAATGCTTGCTCAAGGAGTTCTCTATCTTGCTTGGATGGTCAGTCTGGCTGCCAGTCAGTCGATTGACCCCAGCACCATCCCTATTGCTACTCGCGGTAAGTTCTATTCTCCTCTCCAGGGAGCATCGAATGCTAATATCTACCTGAGACCAATGGTGCAGCCAGCAACAAACCTCCTGTCCCTTGATCTGCCTCCAACTACCAAACGGGACCTCCGACACTCAAAGCAATACCTGCGACCCAGTAAGCCCTCTTCCCCCCCACCCTCTGTCTTCAATCGATACTCTTGCTAATCCACTTAGGATACCCTCGATTTCTCCTGTGTCTGCAATACCGGCCAATCACCCAACTCAACCGAATACTCCCAAACAATCCCTTACTTCATCTGCACCGCCTACAACACCCAATGCCAAAATAACTGCAGCGGTGCCTCGGACTGCCAAGCAGCATGCGTCCAGAACCATCCCTGCGGCGCCCAGGACCCCAAACGTTACAACGCCACTACTTCTGCTGCTTCTGGCACCGGAGCTACGGCTACCACAACCGGTAGTGCTACCACCTCCGGCAGTGGTGATGTCTTGATAACTGGGTTCGGGACGGGGTCGGCTGCGAAATCGACGGGTGGTTCGTCGGCGGGATCGGTGGGTGTTGTGAGGCCGTTTTTGAGTGAGTTTGGGCAGGTTTATGGGGTCTTTATGGTTGTTGCGGGTTTGTTGGGTGGGTTTGCTGTTATTCTATAATCTGATCATACACTTTTGCTTTTCATTCTACCATTTTGCTCATTTTCAGCATACATGTATTTTGTTAATCATTTTCTGCTTTGGTGTTGAGCGGCGTTTAGTCGGCCTAATTTCATGTGCCGTGATTTGTTTTCAGCCGAGCCATTTTTGTTATGTCTGGTAGGCGCGCACGTAATTCTGTTCTTCATGAAAGAGTTGTAGGACTGGACAGAAAACATCACATATTTACATACTCCTATTCAAAACATGGATATTAACCTAATATACACATCCTAACGGGAAAAGTCTATACAGTAGCCAAAACCTTGGCATTCTTATACCACGTCAGCAACGGATTCTCACCACTCCTCGTCTCCGTATCACCGATATAAGCCCATCGTTCCATGAATTCCTGATGACTACCAACGAATGTCAATTTTCCGGTTATTGCGCGATAGAGATCTTCGATTACATTGAAGTTTGTGGGGAAGAAGATATCGAAGTAGCCTTGGTGGACCTATACAATGTTTAGTCATTAGAAAGATAGTAGGGAGGAAAGGGGCGTACGAATGGAGTTGAGACAGGAACGGTTCTCCGTTTGTAGCGGGTTTGAACGACAGGTGCGTTTATTCCTGGTATTGCGTCTGGTAGACTGTCAAAGTCACTCGTTAACAATCGATGGGCCGGGAAATAGTCGCGCAATATATCGAAAAACTGCATGAGGCGAGTGGGTATGTATTCCGGGAGAGTGTAATCGCGTCTACCGATAGGTAACGAACTGCGTAGACTTCGGGATAATTTTGACGGTAAAGGCGTAGGAAACGGTCGACGGGACGCAGCTTGTCGAGCTCGCAAAAAGCGCGATGCGAGCGGGTCAAGGGTTGTATTGTAATACTCACAAAACTCGCCGTCGGAATCGATCACGACGCCGCCTTGTTGCGGCATTTCGGTCTCATAGTCATATCGAATCGCGTCGTGCGAGAAGTTATCAAACACCTCGAGCGCGAGGAAGAAGCATGGAGAATGAATGTACTCATTCCAGTCAAAAATGGATTTATTAATAATCTGTACATGTCCCGTATGGCCTCCCGCGCTGAGGGAAGCATGTAGATTCTCCCATTGAAGTTTTGCGAGCGACGAGGAGATTTCTATAATTTTGAACTTGGTGCGGGCGTAAACTTCCGGGTCAGAATCGCGGATAAAGTCGAGAATATTCAACATTAACGTTCCGTTTCCCGCACCCATTTCGTAGATTATCAGGTCGTGGTAGGGGTATAGTGATAATCGGTAATTTGTGACTAGATATCGAGCAATCGCTTCTCCGTAATAAGGTCGAAACAATTCCGTGGGTGTGTGCCATAATTGTCGAGCAATGTCTGGGTTTGTTTCGTCGAGTTTATCTTCGAATTCTGTGTATCGCTCGCCGAGTAGCCGGTGGAAGTGAGGACCGTCTTCTATGCGACTGAAATCGAATGGTTCGCCGGGGTGGAAGATGGTGGCGTGTTTTGAGAAGTAGCCGTAATGCGGGTTGTATAAACTGTCTGTAATTCCGTCAGCCTCTATATTATCTGCATTTAATATGAATCATACCCTCGATAAACTCCCTCGTCAACATTTTCACCTGCCTCGGTCTCTCACGTCTACTCCGCAGATCCTTCGCTGTAACAAGAGGAAACGTTCGCAATTGCTGGTCCAAATCCCTGGGATAATCATCACGTTTCGTCCACATGGTCCCGTCATTAGTCGCATTCCTCTTTGAGCTGGTTTCTCGTCTGCTGAGAAATGAGCGCGACTGTTGGTAAAGGCGTAGCCCTGAGCCATGTCTCGTGGCCTTTAGTCGTCGGACGGACGTCGAGCGTGTGCATTGACATGCTCGGTGGTTGAAAAGCTGTCGGAACAGCTGGTTGAGGAGAGGCGAGTCCATTGAGTACCGAAGTGGACTGGATCGTGTTTGTTGATGCTTCCTGTTGAGAGAGTTTGCGGATGTTTCGAAAGAGAGGTAGGTGGTGGTCCAAGCTTCGTGTCCACTGACGGATGTCCTCATTGCTTACATAATCCTGCTGCTTGAAAAGATGATGTGATTCGTTTTGATCACTATCTTCAGCATTCCGAGGACATCGTGAGCCATTGGATTGAATGTTGGTTACAATGGCTGACTCACGACATATCTACTTTGGATCGTTTATTGCCGGCGTTCTGGTCACAGCAGCTTTGACCGAGATATATCATCGCTACCAGCAGTCCCAGACGTCTTCCGAGACAAGCAAGAAATCAGGTTTTAAAACAGTCAATCCAGACGACGAGAAACTGTTGTCATCTGTGCGCCATGGCCCTCCAGCCATAGTAGATGGTGTTGAAGGGTGCATTGGCAATACTCCACTATTTCGAATCAAGTCTCTATCCGAGGAGACCGGGTGCGAGATTCTCGCAAAGGCCGAAGTAAGCAGCGGCTTTCAAATGAGATGATATATTTCCTCTAACAGATAGCTAGTTCTTGAATGGAGCAGGTGGTAGTCCCAAAGATAGAGTTGCATTGAGCATGATCGAGACTGTGAGGAAGATGTTCATCTCGTCGATGTGTTACTGACACCAAATACAGGCTGAAAGAGAAGGATCTTTACGCCCACATTCAGGAGATGTAATCTACGAAGGAACTTCTGGTTCAACCGGTATATCTTTAGCGACACTTGCTCGTGCCCGTGGCTACCTTGCCCATATGTAAGTCCCTCCCCACATAAGACGACTAATCTCATACTAACCGTCATAGTTGCATGCCCTCCGACCAAGCAATGGAAAAATCAGATCTTCTTCTCAAACTCGGCGCCGTCGTAGACCGCGTCCCACCAGCACCCATCGTAGAACAAGGAAACTTCGTCAACCGAGCTCGAAATCTAGCTCGAGAGCGGACTGCTTCAAGCAATAATACACCAAATAAACTCTCATCTACAAGCGGTACTCAATTAACGACTACGGATCCTACCACTGAACCGGGAGCTGCTACAGGGAGGGGATTTTTCACTGATCAGTTTGAGAATGCGGCTAACTATGCGGCGCATTTTAATGGTACGGGGCCTGAGATTTATGCTCAATGTGGTGGTAAACTGGATGCCTTTGTTGCTGGTGCGGGTACGGGGGGAACTATTTCTGGTGTCGCGCTGTTTTTGAAGCCGAGGTTGCCTGATATCAAGATTATTCTTGCCGATCCGCAGGGAAGTGGGTTGTATAATCGCGTTCGGTATGGTGTCATGTTTGATATCAAGGAGCGCGAAGGTACGAGACGGAGGCCACAAGTTGATACGATTGTCGAAGGCATCGGAATCAATCGACAGACGGCCAATTTTGAAGCTGGACGGGAATTGATTGACGATGCCATAAGAGTTACAGATGCACAGGCGATGGCTATGGCGCGGTGGTTAGTGGAGAAAGATGGAATTTTTATGGGAAGTAGCAGTGCGGTTAACTGTGAGTTTGGCCTTCTTCCGCTCTATCTGTCAGACACTAACAGTACTTAGGTTTTGCGGCTGTAAAGACTGCTTTAAAACTTGGCCCGGGACACTGTATTGTGACGGTTCTGACTGATACCGGCGCAAGACACCTTTCCAAGTTCTGGGCCATGGCTGGAGACGTGGGTGGTACGACTGATACGAAATTGGAGGATGTGCTCAACGCTTGAAACTACCATTCAACCTAATGACACAACTAGTTATAGAAGTGAAGCTGCAATGACTTCGTTATATGGCATTGAGATAGCTATCAATAATACTTGCGCGGAGAAACCGAGCTCTTTCTTGGTGATGTTTTCTTTGGAGATACCTTATTGGGCGATACTAGGCCGGTCTCACGGGGTCTCACGCCAATAGCTGAAATGCTCGACCAGTCGTTATCCAACTCTTCTTCAGAAAAGTCCTCCAAATCATTGTTCGACATAACATCGCCCGTTCCCAAGACGGATTCAATCTTATCCGGATGCGACGACTGTGAATATTCTCGCTCTGTTGTCGGCATCTCAATCACTTCCCCATCATCCTCCAGATTATTGTTCGACACAACGTCGTCTGCTTTTAAGGCAGGGTCAGTACCATCCGAGTGCGGCGCCTGTGATTGTTCTCGCTCTGTCGCCGGCAGTTCAGTCACTTCGTCATCCTCCTCAATCTTTTCCTTCGGTTCATCTACTATCCTCTCACTCCATATTCGTATCATTTGCTTCTCAATCTCCCTCCTTGATCGATGAGGTAACTTCATCTGGATATCCCGCCACCAGATACCGGACTCATCTGCGAACCCATCAAGTTTCTCCAGATCCTCCGTGGACCAACCGGCAGTACTCACAAATCGGTTAGACAAAAACAGGAGCGAATGATGATCCGCCCAGTTTAGCAAGTCTTCCAATGTTCTCCCTTGCAGATGTTTAACCATATCTCCCATGCACAGATTATTGGGAGACTGGCATTTGAATTTGACAATCACTTTGACTTCGTCTGGTGTAAGAATAACTTCTTCCGGTTTGATAATTGAGGGCGAATCAAAGTTTACTGGATAACGTGTATGTGTCGGCGTCTCGTATGTCATCACTGGACTCGAGGAGAGCAATTGCGGTGTGTCAGGCACAGGTGTAGATTCCTCTACTTTTTCCGACGTCTCGATGATCTCTACCTCACCAGCTTTGTCGTCGCGTTTTCGACCGTTATCAGTGATGTTATTGGAAATAACATCCAACGCTTTTGGTGTAACCGAAACACTGGTGCGTCCGGGGACTTTTTTTGAACGAATGCTTGAAGGTAGTGAATCATCTTGAAGCGGATCATCCGAGTCACTGTCATCCCTTTGTATGCGCGCAAAACTCCAGTCAAGTTTAATTGGAGTTTTACGTTTCGGTTTTGAGCGTACTGTCGAAGTTTTCTTGCTGCCAGAAACGCTTTGCTTTTTTGATGTTGAGCCCCTGGAGCGTCCTGGGGAGGGTACTGCCCAGACTGATTTTGCAGTTGGGGGAGATTTAGAGCGTTGTGTATGTGGGGTCTCATGTACTGGTAATGGAATTGCTTTCCTCAGCGGCGTCCAGAAATTCGCATCTATCTCGGGAGCTTGCCACTTAGGATCGGTCGGTTTGTGTATAGTAGGTGGATGCTGATTGTCCGGGCTTATACTGCGTACGGGACCGGTTTCCATATCTTCATTGCCATCAAGAATAGCCTTTCCCGCCTTTTGAAACATGAACGCCGTATTCCCGTCGTCGGTAGTTCTGTGTTCATCTGGAGGTATTTCCTCTTCCAATTCCTCTTCCGTCAATTCTCCCGTATCATCTTCATGTTCCATTCGCTGCACATGACCCTTATTGACCACAATTTCACCAGTCCTCAGATCAATCTCGTCACCTATATCACTGAAATCCTTGCCGTACTTCTTGAAAATACCTTCGAAGAGAGATTTGAGTTTCTGATCATTTTGAGCTCGGGCGATCTGTAGGTCGACGTCGTTTGTAGATTCTGCTGACTTGGCCCATGAAAGACGCTGTCGTTTGTGTGGTGGCTCCATTTTGGTTAAAGATTCAAGAAGAACATAAGTAATCAAATCTCAATTAATAAGAATTGGCTGCGTCGTAGAGAGAGGTGCGAATTGGTAACCGAGGCTGACGATGGAGTGCTAGTTGCGTATACGTATTCCTGATAAAGGTTCGATCTAAAAACCGAAGCCCTAGATCATATAAAATAGTAATCTATCTTCCATAACATTTCAGAACAATGCGTCGAAGGTCAAAGTTCCAGGAGACAAGTCAACGATGAGCTTCGAGAAGATAACGCGAAGCGCGTGGTTGGAGCACGCGTCGCAATCTTATCGCATCAGCTAATCCAAAATAGTACTAGTGCAACCTGGATCGACCATGACGTGGTGGATCTAGTCTCATCATTAACAGTTCGAGCTACAGATACTGCTATTCAAGCTATCTATACCACTCACTTTGCATCATGAATAGTACTCTTTTAAGATAAGCTACAGACTCGAAGGTAATACACCATGTACTGTCAAAAATGCCGCACCCCGCTCAAGCTTGATGGGTCTCTTGAGGCCCTCAATCCTGCCGCCTTCGACCTACTTGTTGGTATGTTATGGACTTCCAACCTTTATTGTATAGTTCTAACATTCTCTATCTAGGCTCTACAGGAAAGTCTCTTCCAGAACATCCAGATCATGCACCATCACATAGGCAAGCGTATCCTCCTGAACGTCGCGAACTCTATGATCGAGCTTCCCGACATGCCAACGCTCCCATATACCGACGCTCCATACCCCCTCCGCGCGAGGCAGGCGCACATACAACACCACCAAAATTGAGTCGTGGCGAAAGCAGTGGTGGAATGTCTTTTGTGATGCTTACCGAGTCTCAGCTGGCCCCTCCTCAACTATCTACCGGGTTGAACGGTGATGCATTTTTGGGACAAGGCAAAGGAGCTACGAAGACTAACGCCGGCCAAGAGACAAAGAATCAATCATTATCGGATGAAGTTGAAAAGACTGCAAGATTATTTGATATCATTTCTGCTCGGTCTGATATTGATCACCCTATCTGCACCGAATGCACTGAATTACTTGTAGAGGGACTACATAAGAGACTGGCGGGTGCAACGAAAGAAAGAGACGCCTATATCTCGTTCTTAAAGACAATCAATGCATCAATACCGACGGAATCCGAGGTGAAAGCTGCCGAGAAAAACCTTAAGTCTACATTGCAGGAGGAGGAAGCTGCTTATCAAGAACTGCTTGCTTTGGAGAAAGAAAAGGCAGATCTTGACCGAGAAATCGCTGACTTGGAGGAGGAATCCCGACAATTGGATTTAGATGAGGAGAAGTTTTGGAGAGAGCGAAACGCTTTCGCGCTATCGTTGGCCGAGTTTCAGGATGAGCGCGATGCTTTGAATATGCGATACGACCATGATTCAAGACAGCTTGAAAGGCTACAACGAACGAACGTTTATAATGATGCATTCTGTATTGGGCACGATGGATATTTTGGGACTATTAACGGACTGCGTCTCGGTCGTCTAGCAAATCCATCTGTTGACTGGGCAGAAATTAACGCGGCTTGGGGCCAAACATGTCTCTTGCTAGCGACGATAGCTGAAAAGCTAGGCTTCCAGTTCCGGGGCTATCGCCTTAAACCTATGGGTTCTACTTCACGGATTGAGAAATTTGAAGACTCTTCACAAAACTCAAGCCAACCATCCAGTCAACCAACTACAGGCGCAGATAGCTCGCCAGCTGCTATAAAGACAACTACACTGGATCTGTTCTCGTCCGGTGACATGCCCCTGAATCTTCCGTGGGTCCATCGACGTTTCGATGCTGGAATGGTTGCTTTTCTTGAATGTCTTCGACAACTGGGTGTATATGTTGAAAACACTCCTGTGCCCATGGCCAGCCGACGAGGACAGCAGGGTATCCAGACAACAGGACTTAGACTTCCCTACGAGATCAAGCGCGACAAAATTGGCGATGCGAGTATTAAATTGGGCTTTAACCAAAATGACGAAACATGGACGAGAGCTTGCAAGTATACGCTTACGTGTTGTAAGTTCCTTTTAGCTCATGCTAGCAATGTGGCAAGTATAGCTGCGAGTAATTCTCCGGCGTCTGCGGGAGCGGTTAGTCCGTCTCCGAGCCCGAGAGACACAAGAGGCCAAACTTCGAAATGAGATCGATGCGTACTGGAAACGCAGTCTTCTTTATTTATTATTTCCTCTTCCGACAGACCTAGGAACAAACAGTCCGGATGGAGGCTTGTGGATATGCTTTGATACTGTTCGTAAGTTGCGAACAACCAGAATTTTGCCCTCCCTGTCAACTACTAAGCTCAGTCGAGATCACTACATCAATTCTTGTCTGTGAGATGGTACTCTAAATGACAAAGACGGAGTCTCTCGGCACTCACAATCCTACGGAGTGGCATCTCAGTATCATGAACCATAATCCAATGGGATAGAAGGGAAACAAATTCGCGAACGATGGACACTCGGCTTCCCATTTTGGATATAAGACTAGATGTATCAAATCAGGGCATGGTGCAGTTTTCCTCACATCTATACCAATGCTAAATCTTGTTCCGAAACTCATTTTCTCATTTTGCTCTCACCTACCAACGGAGAAGATGCATGTTCATATCCATGTTCATAGCTAGCTGGCTAGATGCCAGTGACAACTCTCATCCTCAATATCGGCCCACGGTTCATGAAACCGATGATAGCCTACTTAATCTCTTCCAAATATCATTATACCCCGCCAAAGCAGCCGTAAGACCCGTAAACAGAATCAATGCTCCATAATTCGTCGAATAGCCCCCTCCGTCACCCACCTGATGTTGCATCAAACACCACTTACCGGTCCACTAATAACATTCCCAATACCACGTCCCCAGCAAACAAATTCAAGACCAACCCGGTTTCCAGCCCTGGATTCGCCCTCTTCACTTCATTCAGCACGCCAGACCAGGTAGAGCTGAACCCACCAGCGAAGAATCCGTAGGTAATTGAGAACAGAGCCAGAAGCACGGCACCGTGAATTGGACACAAGCCCCAGAATAAGAGTACAGAGACTGCGGATATGAGACTCGAGAGAAGGATGACGTCGGTGATATCGAATTTGTCGCAGAGTATGCCCATGATTATGCCGCCGAACATCGATGTGCCGTAGGGCAAGTATTAGAGTATCGTATGTATCGGATAAACCGACATCGCGTGCAAAGGAGGAGAGGTACGCTGATTGCAGGAAGTAGCCGAGACCTTGTATCATGTTACTCACTTCTAGGATCCAGAAGGTGCTCAGACGAAGAAAGCTCATATCGAGATGGCGTGGTGTGCTATGATACCCTTACGGTTCAACCATATATTAGTCCATTAACACGGGATTATGGGAATGTTTCCGGATTCATACAGTCAATACAGCCCATGCACGAAGCGTATTACTCATTCCAAAGCGAGAAAGACTCGTCTGTGCGATGAATGGCAGTACAACACTTACCACACGCTTACCTACCCACATAGCTACCAAGCGATAACCCCTTACGACGAATGAACCATTCATCTAAATATAGTATTGTAGGTGTGAAGAGCAATTCCTTTCCGACGGCTGATAGGACACCAAGTGTGATTATCAAATGCCACATTTTGGTTGCAAAGGATGCAAGTAAAAACCCAGCAATGGAGAGTAGGACACCCACCCAACCGCAGGATTTGCGGAGATGGGGATATTTGGTCAAAATGAGAATGGAGCATGTATAATATGCCCTATGTTTTCTATCAATCGATAGTTCGTATAGCGAGAAAAGAATGACTTACACTTGAAGTAGTTCCAATGATAGCAATACTACCGGAATTGCCTCCAAATTGGGTATGCGATAGATATTCGTGAAAGGCTCCCTAAGCAAGAGAGAAACCTAATATTATCGTGCGTTAGACATCGAATTGAAAGTCGCAAATACTTTAATGGACAAGGCGACCTGTTTACCCCAGATAGGTACTTGAGCCAGTACACAACCCAAAAGAGCCAACCAAGCACCCCTTCCACGGTCCGCTGGAGGTAGCTCTGGCTGCTCAATTTCCTGATCTGCTTCCCATGTTTCAATGGCTGATTCAGACGATCTGTCTGGTCGCGATGATTCCTGCGGTTCCATTAAATCGGCGCAATTTGGACTTGTAACTATAAATAAAATTCTGAGGCATTGTATGGGTGTTAGATATTCAAGGTTTTCTTTATAGTGTGGCTGTCAGATGACTCATTATTTAGTGACCTCCAGTTAGCCTTGCAGGAAGGCCAGAGTCTGGACCAAGTGGAGATCAGGAATTCTTATTTTAGATATGCTTATTCCAACAACAGACTTCAATCTCTCTAGAAGTCTAGCTACTTTAGAATTAAAGAGTATATATGAGACTATCAAACGCTCTGCTGTTACCACGATATGAACATATTGACTGAAGTCAATTACATCAACAAAGAGAAACTTCAGGCTTGATAAGACAGCCAGTGACAACCTTAATGAACACCATTAGCAAGGATGATAGCATCAATGGTATGATAAGGAACATAGGGCAAGCCATTACTCAAACGCCCATACGCAATCGCGGATTTGTACACATCATCCGCCTTCCCATTCTTCTCAAGTAGCACAGCAGCTTCACCAAAGAGACGATTAGATTCAGCATCAAAGCGGTGTCCCCAACCTGGCTCTTTCCTGTTACTGAGTAACTCGGCATGCCACAGACTATGGATCTTGCGGGTCACTTCTGCAAGATCTTCGCTAACACCGAGTGGGCTCTTCTTTTCGAAGTACGCTGCTCCATCCTCAATCATTTCATATATAGACGTCAAAGAATTTCGAGATGGGAGATTGCGGTAGATCTCCTTGCTTGGTGGAGCGGATAAGCGCGCAAATAAGAGGTTGCTTAAGCCCTGCTTCTGTAACTTGCTCCTTTGCCATGCGCAAGATCTCATGTCCACTTCCAGAATATGTCCCCATACTTGTTGATGTAAAGTTCCATTGCTTCGAAGATGTGACGGTGACAAACACGGCAGAAACTGTATGGAGCTGAAGATGTAGCGATTCGACCGTCTTCGCGACGACTGAAACGAGGGCGTTCGTGGTCGTGGTAGAGCTCACATAATTGGCCCGAAAGGTACTTAAGGAGACATACTCTTCATTACCTAAGCCATTGAGAGTTCATCTGGGTAGAACAACCGGATGGTATTTCGAGTTTCCCCAGTGTGAATATCTGTATGCAAATACACCACGTCGTTTGGTAGAGCCGACCCGATATGGGCATCCATACCAGCGTCATCCAACCAAGCGGCACCATCACAGCGCATATAAGCCGAACCGATACTGTCTAGAGCATGCATTCCGATGACGATTTCAGGACTAAGCTGGTGATTGATGTATGCTTTACGAGGTACCTTCATAGGGCGTGAATTCTCAAAATCATTGATGGTGCCGAGATATTCGTGGGAAAGACGCCAGAAACAACGGTCCTGTCCGCTTTTGAGGTCGTCCAAGTTGAACACAGTCTCCTGTGCCAACTTCCTGAACTTTTCAACACGATCACTGTACTTATTCTTCCCCTTTACCTAGTCAACCGCAGTCAAGGCAGAATAGACGCAGTCTGCCTGAGATGGATTACGTTCGAATGTGAATGACTGGCAGAACATGAGATAAACACTCAATATAGCGATGATTAGAGGATCAAAATTCAATTTGGTCAGTAGTCGGGCCCAGTGTATCATGTTGTCGTCCGAGCCAGCACGCGATGAATGAAATTCTGATTGTATCTCCATTGGATCTTCGGTTGCGTTTGCTGCCAGTAGTATGGCTGCTACGGCCTCAAGGGCGATTGCCATCCATGCCATCCCAAGTTTGGTGATCGTGAGATTCATTTGTCTTGCACTTGGAACAGCTGTGGACTTTGATCTCGCCGTTATTAGCAGCCTTGAAGGCTGATATGGCATCACAACTAGTACAGCTGAAAATTTAAATAGGTTGCCCTGAGGAATCATAGGGGTAGAATACTGGGATTGGTTAATGGGTTGGTTAAAGCGAGGAAATATCCTCCCAGATTGACTTCAAACGAGGAAGTTAACAGTCAATTCTAAGGTCTCTATGGATGACAATACTCTGATTGAATTTAATACGATTGAGATCAGGAATAGAAGGAGCAGAGAACTACCTATTATTCAGACACATTCTTACAAATAATTCAATATCCTTGGGGATTCAACCAGAAATGTGAACCTTTGATATGCACACCCCCATCGAGCACATAGTAGTATCTAAGTATGTACCAAATTAGTCTATAATAACATATAATATGACTGCAGCTTACATTCTTCCTCATGACTATCCCCTATGTTCGTCATCGAAGCTTCAGCTCATCATCTATCTTCCACGTCCTTCTCTTCTCTTATCTCTGTTCGATCATCTTTCTGTTCCTGCTCTTCGTTATACAGATGAATAACTTCCTTTGACTGTAATCTCGAATCTCTGCTTCGCACAATCTCATCACCATCACCAACAACCGTTTTTTCCGAATCACTCTGCCCAACCCCCGAATTTTGTTGCTGTTGTTGCTTCTCTTCATCACTCCCATTCTTCCCAGCAACAATATCCCTCCTATTCGGTCCAAGCCCACCCCTCCACCCGAACCATCTCGTCTCCATTGGACCCCTGAGCAACAATATAATAACCGACCCTCCCATAAACCCAACACTCGCACTACCCGACCTAATCCACCCACCGCGCGCATACAGCTTATTCCCAACCGCCGTACCCATTAACTGACCACAAAACGAGAATATCATAAACGCCGTATTGACACGATTAGCGGCCTTGGGCGCCACGCCATAGATAGCGGTCCGGTTGGCGATTTGAGTGATTTGGGACCCGAAATCGAAAATGATGGCTTGAAGGATGGGTCCTGCTATAGTAATTTTACCAGTATATGTGCCGATAACTATTCCGATTAAAGACGTGCAAATTCCGAGAAGCACGGAAATATGGATGGGGAATCTATCGATGAATTTGTTTGCGAAAAAGGGGCCGAAGAACATGGTCCCAATACCGCAGAGGGCGAAGAGGCCGATTATCACGGTTGAGTAATTGTACGGATCTCCAGATAGCAAGAATGTCAGTGTCGTCCAGAAGGAGGTGAAACATGAGGAGTTCAAGAACGCAATGAGGGACGCTTGTACAAGAACAGGATACTTGACGAGAAGTTCCAGGATACTGAACAGGATTCGGAAATAGCTGATATTTTTGTTGGATTGTGGGTAGTCTGGCATCCAGATCCAGAGTAATGTCAAGATGGAGTATTGCAGCGCAAATGACATCCAGTACACGTTCCGCCAGGAGGAGTAGTTGGCAATGATACCGGAAAGTAGTCGTGCCATTAACAGGCCTAGCATTAAGGCGGATACCACTATTGACAGTGCTGTGGCACGTCGATTTGGTGGAGCGAGTGTGCCGACAAGGGGGAGCATGATTTGCTACGACATATCAGTATCTGTCTTCACTATTTCCGTGTAGTTTGGTGGCATACCGGCGTAACAGTAGTGACACTCATGATAAAATTAAGCACCACAAAAGCATCAAAGCTCTTAGTCAAACATAACCCTAACGTCATTGTCGCCGTAAAGAACATGAGCCACAACACCATGGGTCGACGTTTTAGCAGATCACCCAGGGGACATATGAACAATAAACCAGCTGCATATCCTCCTTGAGCACATGTCGGTATAATACTAGCTCGTTCCTGACTAACCTTGAATTCTTTAGCGAGGACGTCGAGGATTGGGTGGGAGTAATACAGATTCGCAACCTGCAAAGTGTATCAGTCGCACCGTTTCAATCAATAACATGAATAGATAGTTCGGGGGAGGCATACAGTAAACGTCCCCGCAAACCCAAACAACAAATTCAACGCCAACGTAAATTCTCGCGGATTCTCAGGATCGTATCGACATGATGGCGGCACCCAATTAAGCGTATTCAATATTTGACGGAGAACTATGCCCAGTGACGAATGTGATTTATTCTTCTCCGAACTATTAAAAGCATCATCTTCATATTCCGGCCGATGGATTATTTCTGTGTTACTGTTATCCGCATTTTCGGATACTGGCTCTATTCCACCTGTTGGTGCAGGTTCGGTTGAAGACATGTTCATATATTGTGTAGCATCTTTCTTTCGAGAAGATGCTTGTGTATGTTAGATAAGTATATAAAAATGAATAATTTCGTAAATTTAGGAACAGCACGACGAGAGGGAATGCGTTGAGAAACCGGATTTATTTCCTAAACGCCGAACTTTTCGTGCTAATTGCAGCCCATGTCGAGGTTAATGATTTCAAGACGTTTCCATTCCCACGCGTTACAATTCCTTAGCGTGATGCTCTTTTATTTTGCATAGATTTTTACTGCGTATTTGGTCTTCACAGGACCGAGGTAGATATAGCTTCTAAATATTGAAGGCTTACTAAACAATCAGTCAGCGAAAAAGTGGCCACTGGCCAACATTCATAGATCTTCGGATATCTTTACGCATCTTCTATTGCTATATCCGTTGCCTACGTTACTTACGTATCATCTCAATCTAGACTTCTTCGGGTTTGAATACGACATTGCCCTAAAACACGAAAACGATTTATCCCGATGGTGCGTTTCCGTTTGCCGATGGCTGATTAATACTTGGGAGGGTTTGCCTACATATATGTATGCGTCTAGCATATTGAATTGATAACTTATTAGCCAATGAATGCTTATGAGCAACATTCAGTCGATGTGGACATTAATATATCAAGCCCTAAATGTCAATTGATGGTGCATCCGTAGACATCATAGCTGCTACCTACAGGCAATACAATTATATTCGAAATTTGATAATATACATTCATAATGAACAAGCACTCTCAAATGTAAGATATCTTAGCGAAGATAATGTCCTGAAATGACGCCGTCCTGACAACTCCTCGACCGTCACCGAGAACAACTCGCAAAAACATTTCCGAAAACAGCAAAAACAACTACGACGATCAGCTATACCAATCGACCAATCCAAGGAGATATTTAGTCCAAGGATGGACGTAGTCTAAAGGTAACGATTGCACAATCGTATAAATATACGAATGCATGCATTAGTCCAAGATGGTACGCGCCAAGAAACAATGAAAAAGAATGGACTCTGATACCGACCTGGGGAGGTTCTGGCCTAGTAATTCATCTCGGATGATTACATAGTCTGAGTCTGCTGTGTCTAGTGGCTTATCTTCACAAGTGGCTCACCCTTGGAACTTTTAGACCATTAGATGATCGCAAAATCGGAAAAGAGATTGTGTATATAGATGTAAAAAAATTCATTAAACTCGCTCTGTTGAAACCAAAACCCGACCCATACAGAACAGAAAACGAAAGACAGAATACATTATGCTCATGTGCACGCATCATGAAAAACGTGGGGTTATGAACTATTAAAAGCGCTCTTTTGAAAACTTTCCGCAGTGATATCTCCCAGTTTCCCGGATATAGCAGGCTTGACAGTGTCCTTTGAAACAGAGGTCATGCTTTGCGATCGCTGGTTTGCGCCGCCGTCGACTTTGGTGGTCATTGTGCTGGTGCGACTGCCGGGCGCGCTGGTCGCGGTGCCTGCGGTAATGGCTGCTTGTGCTGGCCGTCGTTGGATAGTTTCGAGATATGGACTGGGTAGATAGCCAACGCCGCCGTCACGAGCACGGCATCGCCACCATTCCGATGGGTTGCCCATTGGGTCTGATTTGCTGAGGACAGCGACAATATCGCCTTTCTTCACGGCAAGATCAATTCCGGCTGTATTTTGGGCATCAGGAGTATAATCATATAACACGCGGCAAAAGTCTAGCTTTGAAGGATCGAGAGGAGCACTTTGGATCTCTCCATTTGGTCCCATAACTGCCTGTTGGCGACGGGCTTCTTCTTCCTGCGAACGAGCCAAAGAACGAATAAGTTTGCCCATTAGATACGGCAAACCAAAAACAGCGAGAATGAACATGAAAAATGGTTTTCGGGAAGGTCGCGGAGGAGCAGGGCTGCCATCAGGTAATGTCGCTGGCGCAGATCGACCGCTCAAAAACGCAGAAAATGCAGATGGGGTAAGTGAAGTTGCATCAGCTGGCAGAGGACGGCCGGTCAGCTTCGCGACTAACGTTCTGAACCATCGTATTAAAGTGAAGATGCCAAGCACGGAGCCTAATGTGTTGCGGAGGTTTCCGAATTGTTCTGCCACGGATACCATTGCTAATCCAGTCAGTACGTATTTCGCGTAATCAACAAGAAAAATACTCACCAAAGAACGAACTATGTGTGGCCATATAAGTACTCTCAAGCATTTGCGCAAAACCCCCAAAAGCGCCCACAATACTCTCAATCATCTGAAACGTCGCAGCGGTGCTTTGACTGAATGAATTCGTCAAACTGTTCGGATCATTGGGATCACCTGGCATGCCGGGGTACATCCCGCCCATACCACCCATGCCTCCGTACATGCCACCATAGCCTCCGTAGCCGCCATACATGGAACCGAATCGCGAATATGGTGATGAGTAGCCTCCGTATCCGCCGTATGTGCTGTAAGGAGTTGCGCCGAATCTGTTTGCGCCGTAGGGAGAGTATGTCGATGCTGTTCGGTTGACGACTGCATTGAGACTGTCAGGTCGAGAGGGTAGACTGGGTGTGGAGGTTGATGTTGTTGATGGTGCAGATCCGGTTATGGTCCCTGCGGCGGGTGCCGATGTGGGCGCTGCAGGAGTCATGGTTGAAGCGCTGGGGGTAGAAGCAGGTAATGCTGTTGAATTCCCGTTAGTCAACTCAGTCACGGCGCAATTATTGACGTCCCTACCTGTGCTTGCTCCGGCAGCAGCTCTCTCCCAGGGCTTAGGTGGCGATACAGACGCCATGAGTGCGTTCCCGGTGTGATTACAGTGGACCTCGCATTGGTATTCTGGCGATCTCTCAGATAAGTAAATATATGTCTAACAGAGTAGCTGCGCAATGAGACCGCGGCCAACAAACTGGAGGTTCGAGTAGGAGAGGTCCGGTAATGGTTAATGATAACGGTGACTTCAAAGTCGAGATGACCGAAGATGGAGAAAGAAGACGGCTGGTCTTGGCGGGGAAATATTTCTAGCAGTTGATTGGGCGGTGGGATTCCCCAGAGCATATGCGCCGGAGTTGCCGAGGATGTTGTTTAGCCACCGTTCACTGCCGAGATCAAGACTTTATTAAGGAGAATATCTCGACTCCTACAATTAATTATCAATGTTATGGACAGTGCAATCACATGCGATGATATCTGAATGATATAATAACCCTAAGACAAGGCTAATACTCAATTATCGTGAACTATTAGCTGTACAACTCGCTATGCAAACAATCTATCCCAATAAACGCCAATAAATCTATGCGAAAAATTCTGGCACAAATTACAACTCGTCATGCCGCGGCGGACGGGGGATCTGGATCTTCCACTGTCGGGGTGGAACTGGCAGGCCCAGCCAGTAGTTCCATAATCGGCTGGATTCAAAAACAACCACTTGCCATCTAAACACCCTGTTAGGACTCGATATGAGACACAAGAATGGGAAAACTTACGCGATACGGGGTATGGTCAACCAACTCCTAATGACCCAAACAAATGTATCTCGGAATGCCGTCCATTCTTGCATAAACGCTTCCGAAATCGACTCGGCTTCCCCGGTCCTTTTTTTCCATGGAAGCTCCTCGTCCTCGTAGCCATAATCGTGATCTTCATCCACGATATGCAAGTTGGAAATACCGTCCTTGTAGTACCGAACCACTTTCTCGGATTCACGAAGTTTGGCAGGGAGGGGTGATGATGAGACTTCCGGATGAATCACGATACGATCTTCATGACCGGATTCAACAGCTTCTCGGAAACTATGCACAGCAGCGATACTATTTGAAATGCGAGCGTATGTGTTCATAAGGGCGACCAATTCGGTGCGTCGCAAAGGCGGGTTGTCGACCTCATCATTCTCGTCGTAGTCAAACAGCACCTTTAGAGCAGTTCCGTATCCGTTGACCTGCAGTTTGCCCCATAAGCGGCATTTGTCGCATCCAACGCAGTCCATAAGACGACTAACGTTACGGAAACGCTGGCGGAAGTCCTCCTTGAGATCCATTGCATATTCATCTTGGAACATGAAATTTTCGTCGAAAATCTGTGGACGGCTGTGCAGTTTCTCCGTAAGTGCTAGTAGCTTCTGCTTGGTGGCTAGGTCCTGATCAGGGTCAAAGGAACAGAACTTGTACTTTTGCAAGTAATTGTGCAACTTGGCAACAGCGCGTGAGACGAGAGCATAATTAAAATATAGATTCGAGATACGTTCTGGATGGTTGTGCAAACGATCTTTGTAGCATTGCACGTTCGGGGCCCATTCGTTTGTAGTGCTGTTGAAATATTCCCAGCAGAGATGAGTTGATATCGAGGCATGCATTCCGCTAACCACGCGATAAAATACTCGCTTCTCAAGGCACTCGTCATCCGGCTCTGGTTGTGGCTGTTCTCTTTGAAGGACATTTCGGAAATCATTGGCAGCCTGAACTTGCAGACCCTGCAGAGGAGACAATTGCGAGGATGGGGAAGATGATGGCTTTACAAAGCAATTCTCGCGATAAATCGCATCCCAAACTTGATGCGAGCCTTGGCCAGCATAACCCGTGAATCTCTCGGGATTATCCAGTAAACTGACATAGTCACCTTTCGCCGAAGCTCCCTCATCTTCGGGAACACAGTAATCTCGTTCGTCACATTCGTCATCATATTCTAAAACACAGCTTTCGCCGACATTATCACCCAGACTGCCTTGTAAAGGTCTCTCGCTAGGGCGCTCTTTTTGCTGTTGTCGTCCGGGATGATGGGCACGGGGTCCTTCGAGTTTACTGAGTTCCTCAATTCGCCATACCGGTGGTAAGTCCTCTTCGGAATCGATTGTATTTACCGCACATGCAATATTTCCACACATGCTAGTCTCGTCATTCCAAAATGGGCATGCTTTATTGTATAGGTTTAGTCGCCAGTATGAGAAGAAGTCGTTGTCACGAGTCACGGATTTGAGGAGAGGGTGAATTTCATCGTTGAGCGAGTCAATTGTTGCATAGGATGCGCAGGTATCGGAAACGGTGGATTTGGCGTCAATCTTAGAGAAAAAGATAAGTATGCGAGCATCCTGGTGCGGAATTGACAGGGATACTTACAGCGCAGAGGTTCGGCGCAAATGGCGACGATTCCTTCGGCTTGTCCGCAGCGCCATGAGCTGGGACAGTCAGCAGAAATACTGCGAGAAAGAACTTCTTCGCAGAAGACTGCATCTTTGCGCGTGCTACCATCTGTAGCAGGTATATGCACGTCTGCAGGAACTACAGATCGAGGATGACGCCACAGGCCGTTAATATCTCTGAGACCGGCAAAAGAGCGTAATGACTCCAGGACGCGCAGTATGGAAACGAGATGATCAGATCTTGAAAATAATCAAATGAGCAGAAATGGCCTTAAAGAATGAGAGACAGACAACATGTTGCCTTGATTACAAAATCTGGCCATCTGTCCTTGTTGCTCAGTGGCGGTCCGATAAAGAGCTGCTGTCCAATCAGAGACCTGACTGATAATACTATGGAGCATACTCAAGCCGATAAGGAATTCGTCCTCGAAGGACTCGACGACGCTTCTCTGTTCATCGCTACCACGTTCTACAAGACTACGGTACCTATTGAGTGATTTTTACTTTGTTTGATACTGTTTGATGCTTCTTGCATTGATTTTTGAGATATCTATACAAGTTAGTGACCTTTCCGTGGAATACTCTTTCCCCGGACGAGTTCGCCCGAGGAATTCCAGATGTCGGATCGCCAACATGTCATGCTCAAGGGAATACGGGGATATTCTCTAAGTGGAAAACGGTCGCTGCATAGTAAGTAGATTCAATCTGCTGACGGTGTAGTTGTTTCAGTAGTCATACTGTCGTATTTAGGTTGCAACACTTTTCTCCGAGCATTGTGTGACACAACATGATGTTTATATCTAACACGTGGCAGGAACCGTCGATTAATGAAGCTAGTTTATTGTGACCTTTCTCGTTCATCTCTCGAATGAAGCTCTTGAAGACCATCTCACTACGTTTCTATTGCTGACTAGGCGAATCTCATTGATTTTCAGGACATCGACGGATGGCTGCTAACCCTAATCTACATAGCCCATTGGGATAGGCCCGCGATTGGATATGTATTGACGATGGAATATTTGATACCTAAGTATTGATAGCTATATGGTAAAATGGCTTGATGTTACAACCTCTCACCATCAAAGTCATGTCCCTCCTTCATTTCTCTCAGCCTCTCCTGCTTGCTCCCCGCCAAATCCTGACTAGCCTGTATATCAACATACGGATCCCCCAAAATCTCCTTAAACCCCAAAGTGCTTGCGGCAAACTGAAATATCAACTTCTCCACCTGCACAGCATTCCGGCTTAATCCATGATCATCACCGTCAAACAGCTTCAACTCCTTCTTTCCAGACTGTCCATATGACTCAAACAGACTCTGCGAACAACTCGGCGACAGACATGTATCTCCAGTGCCATGTAGTAGTAACAAGGGTCTAGGACTCAACATCGCAACACCCTCTGTACGCGCAGTCTGTGATGCTACAGTTGCCACACCCGCTACGCGAGTAGTTTCTCGAGCGGCAACGGTGAAACAAGGACTACCACCGAAGGACCATCCAACTAACAGGAAGTGTTTTGAGGAGAATTCGGCGGCGAGGTAGTCCATTGCAGCGATTACATCGGCGGAGCAGTAGTTTGTTTGCGCCGGTTCGCGGTAGTCAAGTCTTATGCAGGGGATGGAGAGGAGCATGGCGAGTTTATCGGCCAGGGAAGGGTATATACCTTTTTCCCAAGTTTAGTAACTGGACTGCATTTAACTACCAGGTCTGAGATATCACACATACCAGCAGGTCCACTAACACCTCCACCCGCACCACTAATCAGTATAACAGCAGCCGCTTTAGCATCGTCAGCCGTGTATTGCCGTGGCTCGTGCAGAATAGCAGGAGCTTCGTGGTCTCGCGGATCAAAGACTGCAATCCGGACGGGACGTGCTATAGATGGCTTTACGCCGTGTTTCTCAACTTCTGCGGGGTGGATTGGGCCCGGGTGTTGAAGACGCGGGGCTGTTGTAGCCATTATTTGTCTGGTAAATAGCGGATATTTGGGCTGGTTAGGACCTCGATGATTGGTGAAGAATGAGTGAGGTCTTTTTGGATGAAATCTGGCAACTTTCGGGATGGTCTGGAAGGCAAATCGCATGTGGCTTTATACATTTGACTACCTAGGTATTCGAATGATTCGCTAACAAAGGTGAGTAGGTGCATTATTTTATTCTACTCTCCGGACTGCTCAGAGTTACAATGTTATGTATCGCCCCTTGCCCTCTACACTTACACATTGTGATATCACTCTGACGCGCCGGTACCTGGCCGTCACATTTGGACCTTCAATAAGTTGTGTATTGCTAGAACTGTTGAGGCATAAAAACTCTTCTAGATAAATTATAACCTACCGGGTACAGAAAGAAGTACGTTGAGATGAACCATTGATGCAACACCAAACCCGTGCTCGCCGGGTAGGGTTTTGGTGCACGTAGCCCTACCTTCCCAAATAAGGAATAATAGGGCTCAACTCTATTCTGATACGGCATCGTAAAACTCCCACTTCCGGCTGATGGTATTATCTTCGGATAGGTCAGTACATCTTTCTAGAAGAGTATGGAATGCTTGTTCTGCTGGAATATTTCTCCAATAGTCTTTGGCTTCCCTGCTCTCTTTACGAAGCCTCTCAATAAGCCGCATCACAATTTTCTTAGTCACCACCACTTGAGCTTTCTGTGAGACAACTGCTAGGAGAGGTTCTGGCATACAGTTCTCTACAATAAAAATCATAGTTTCCTGATCGATTGGGTTGTCCACCGGTCTTTCTAATGCGACCCAGCCTATGAGGATATGTTCATTATAAGCCGCCAGAATGGATTAAAAGCTTACTGGATTTACCATAGACGCCCACCTGCAATATTGCTATGATATCAATTCTTTGAGACGTTTGTCTAGCGCATGGGCCTCATTCTGCCTAAATTCCCCGTTTCCAGCAGAATTCATTGCGGGAGCGCAGCCATGTACTCTTCCAGCGAGATTTGCGTATCAACCCAGCGATAGCAAGCATTTCACTTACTGCAAAGTGTGGAAATAGTGGCTTAGGGTGCACATAATGTCCCAGCCACATATGGGTTAGGACTGGGATGGTGGTTATTTCCGAAGGATATTCAGACATCTTGCAGAGTGTATAAGGCGAGCAAAATCTCTCATTGCTGAGATGGATAGTTTTGCGTTATTTGGGTAACACGAGATCTTTCACCTGGGCACAAATGCATGTTTAGGCATTCATATATTACCTTACTTGGCCCGATAACAACCAGACGATGGCGGCATTTTAAGCTGTCATTAGGCTTGAGGGAAGAACATCTCCACTTGAGGTGCAAGTCACTGTGACACTAATATAAACTTGGAATCTTGGAAAATATCATGTTGATACCATAGTTGTAACTGTCGGTGCATGTCGAGCTGAGTTGGCGATGCAAAGACCCGTGGATGTGACACGCAAAGAGGGGGAATCAAATTGCGCTACACTAGCAGGATTTATTCAATTCTGGGACGCTACTTAAGCATAACTTTAGAACGCGAACTGCTATTGAACCGACTTGAATTGGTCATTATTCCAAACACTATGAGCTTCTATTATCCCTCATCGAGGAGAACAAGTCCGCCTCTTGCAACACGTCCGATGGCGTCCCCGAATGGATAATCTTTCCTTGATCCATGACAAGCACTCTATCGTATTCCAAGGCGGTCTCTAGTCGATGTAGGATGGAAATCACAGTTTTCCCACGCAGTCTTTCTCTGATTAGATGCATTATCCTGGTTTCCGCCTCCATATCGATGCTTTGACAGATAGTTCTCAGCAAAAGACATTCCACACATGTAAGTCGTGATTAATCAAACATGGGGAGCTTACCTGCTTGTAGCTTCGTCGAAAAGAACAATCCCACCAGGCCGGTGTCCCGCACTGAGGATAGTTCTAGCCAATGCGAAGAGCTGCATTTCTCCTGCAGATAATGACACTTCGTTCATTGCAGTCTGAAGGCCACCAGATGCCTCAACCTTCTGTTTGAGTGCACAATCATTGAGAATGGACCAAATGTTATCATCGCTGGAAGTTCGCTGCGGATCAAACGCGTCTCGGACTGTCTCCCCATGTATGTAGATATCTTGCGAAATTACATGGAAGCGTGATCGTAGTAGGGACGGCTTTACGCCAGAAATATCAATGCCATCAATTAGGATAGTGCCCTTCCGCATTTCCATCAGCGAAAGTAGTGTCAGCATCAATGTGGATTTCCCAGAACCACTGCGGCCACAGATAGCAATCTTCTCCCCGGGTCGAATGGCGAGGCTAATTTTATCTATGCTCCAGATAAATTTGTCGGTAGCTGATGTGTAGCTCGAACTGACATTTTCAAATTTGATTTCGCCGGACTCAGGCCAAGATGGAGGCACATTGGTCGGAGTTGTCGGGTCTATCTCCGGCGGTGTCTCTTTCTTGAAGGCCTCGATACGTGCAATGGCGCCAAGAGACACCTCAAGTGCAGTCCAGGACGTCAATAGGTCGGTCATAGTTTGTCCAAGTGTAGTAAGATTCAAGAATGCCACACCAATAGCCCCTAGACTTGTTTTGTCTCGAATGCCGAGGGCTATGCCCGCCACGGTTACTGATAGGCCAGCTACAACGAGATCTAAGGTCAGCTGCAGCCAGCGTTGTACTGCGTATAGTAGGTAGATCGGCTCTTGCGACCTGTCAAGCTGCTCATGAAATTCACGTTTGAAAATGCTCTGCCATTGATGTGCGCGGATCGTTACTAGACCTGCGCATGCCTCTATCAATTTCGTGTGCAGACTCGCTTTGGACTGTAATTCATGCTGTCGAAGTTGTTTTGACGTGCGCAAATAAAAATGCTGAATAAGGTAAAGAGCAATCATTAGAGCTGGTAGTATCGCCAGGGCATATACCGCAGCGACAGCAACTAGAACTACCTGGATCACGCAAGTCAGAAGAGCTGAAATCGTGTTGAAAAGATTTAGTGGCAGCGACATGTCAATCATCATGATATCTTGGTTAAATCGATTCAGTAAGTCCCCTGAATCTGTAATACTAACGAAGCGAAACGTTGCGTTCAAAACAGTGTCTAGTAATTGCCGATGAAGTCCTACTCCTGAAGCGGGAACAATTTGAAGAAGGAGGTGCCTGGAAGAGTGTTAGTAGAGAATAGCTCACGCGTTTTAGGCAATATGAAGAGCTACCGACCCTAACCATATGCATAACATCACAAGCGGTAGAATCTGAAGCATGGCGTATATACCAAGCCAGTAGCCAATTTTTCGAGACCCGTTATCTTCAGACCACCATTGCGCCCAGATATCTTTGTTCGCGTTAATTGTCCGCGTGCATTGTAGTTCAATTGGGCTTGGTACTTACCAGGAAACTTTATACAAAACGCGAACGCCAGACCGAATAAGCCGAAAATGAAAAGATCTCCAACTCCGATTGCCCTAAAGTAAGTCCGATAGACAGTTCGATCGGTTACAAGGGAGGCTGGTTCCGGAGCATCGGATTTCTCACGCTTTGTTGAACGTACGTTCACATTGTCGCTGGACTCTATTATTTCAGCTTCGTCTTCTACCACATACGATATCATCCCGGCAACTGCAGCTTCACATGGTGGTAGACCACTAGTTTTGTCGATTTGATAGACTTGATCTGCCATCGTTGCCCAGCGTGCTGGAAATGAAATTAGACGCAGTCAATGAATTCTAATCGACGGGAGGACATACCATCTTGGGATGTCTCAATAACAGTGATTTGGAGCGATCGTAAAAGCCCATTGGGACCAAATAGCTTGTTTCGAATCTGTCTAGCTGTCTTTCTATCCAGAGCACTGAACGTATCATCTAGAATGATGATATCAGGTCGGAGAGCAATAGTTCGAGCCAAGCCCTAATTGTCCATATTAGTGAGAGTAAGTAATAGGGCAATTCATGCCAGAGGAGAGAAGTATTACCAGTCTCTGTCGCTCGCCTCCACTCAGACGAATCCCTCCACTACCGATAGTATCGCCAGGCCCCTGTGCGTCTAACAACTCAGTCAACGCACAAGCATCGATGATCTTGCGGCGCCATTCTTCATCATCGGAAGCGCGCCGGAACGCATTTTCAAGCAGTGTAGCGTTCTCTAGCCAGACACTCTGACCACAGTACCCAATCGAAGGACTGCTGATTCGGACTCTGCCAGCTAGGCATTCGACCTCACCCAGAATTGCTTTCATTAGAAGAGATTTTCCAGAGCCGGTAGAGCCAGTAATAACCACATGATTCCCCTTGCACACTTTTAGAGAGATGTCATGTAGGTATGCTTCAGTGGTCCAGCCCAGTTCGACCTTTTCGATTATGACTGCGATATCCTGTGCCATCTCAGCCACGTTTGAACTTTTGCTGGTCATTACGTTAGCGTCTACGGTCATTACATCAGAAGACGTTGGGGCAGAAGGAAGCTGCCGAAAGTCCAATCTGTCCGGTTTCTGGAAAAATTCGTTTAGCCGATCGAAAGAACCCTTAGCGGCCCCAAAAGAAGGGAGCAATTGCAGAATGCGTATCAATGGTGACGCCAAGAGACTGATAAGTATTAACGAGCTGAACAATTTGGAGGAATCGAGATTGTGCTGAGAGGATAGCGTGGTTCCGATGTATGCACCAAAAACAAGAACCGGGGATAGTGTCAGTGTAATAAAAGCTTACTTTATGATCAGCTGGATATGCCATTGCATGAACCTGAAGGTTTCTACTCACATGACAGAACGCTGCTTACTAACAGCGTACGGAACTTCTTGGATGCAGCGAATTCTCTAGCTCTAAGTGTTTGTATTGTAGAGCTGACTCGCTGCTCAGATCCTGTCGTTTTTATCGCTTTAAGAGAGGATAACATCTTTCTAGTAGTCCCTATCCTCTTTTCTGTAGCTGCCATCCATTTCTGTTGCTGCTTACCGGTTGATTTTCCGATAAATGTCGATATTGTAGTGCTCACTTTGCTATGCTGTCAGTATACTGAACAACCAAAAGAGACCCCAAGGAATGTACCTATTGCTAACCCAAGTACTGTCAAGCTCGAGGGCCCTACCTGCCGCCATAACAGCCAGGTGGCTATACCTGTTTGTAGTAATCCGCCCCATAGCTCGTGAAGATATATTATTGATGATGAGATACGCTGCGAGTCATTGATCGTGAGAGTCAAGGCCTTGGATTCTAGTTCCTTATCTTCACGCAGACGTAACATTTTATCAAAGACCACGTCCACCAAACCGCCTCGAATCATTGTGACCGACTTGTATGTCATGTGAGAGTACCAACTATTCGAGATCTATACCAATAGTAGGATTCAGAAGGGGCAAAGCTGCATATGAGATCATGGTACTTACAGAAATGCCTCCATATACGAGCAAAGAAGCGCCTATCAATCCATATCCATTGTTCTTCGGTGCGGAATTGTCTGATAGATACTGGATCAGAGCAGTAGTGAGAAATGGCTGGGCAAAAGTGAATCCGGTGAGACAAAGTCGAGGCAAGACAGGAAAAAGAAGATAATGGCCCAAGGACATTAAAGTCCGGCCAGGCAGACCGAAATAAGAATCTGAAATCAAAGCTTGTGTCAAATCACCAGCTAGTCTCAAGAGACTAGATACGCTTACCTGCATTCTCTACAGATATGGAGGAAAATCGAGCGCTTAATCGTGAGGAGTACAGGTTTTGATCAATCGGTTGCAGATCTGACGCAGCAAGTTTGCGTCTATAACCCGTCCACAGAAGGCGATTTAACCACAGGAATAAGCTGCGATTGACAAAGCCAGCAGTTTCTTCGTTGGATCTTTCCTTGATATGGGCGTCTTTTGAAGTTCGTTGTTTGCCACTATTTTCCAGCACTGCCATAACTATTTGCACAGCCAGTGCTGCGAGTGCAATTGACGCAACGGTGTGATATGTCTCCAATGACCAGTATGTTCTTGTTATAGCCGACCGAAATAGTACAGTCAGACATAAATAAAATGCAAGAAGGAATGAAGGGCGATGAGATCGGGTATGCTCGTAATGAGAGAGAACTGCGATGGCAAGAGAAGCAAGAAGTGACAGAACGGCCGCTGGAATAGAAACTCGCGTTGTTTTGCCATGATCAGTCCCTATAAAGACGAGAGAAAGAAGCTCCAGAGATGCAAATATGGCGGCAGTGATCTGTACTTCGGTTACCAAATATTCCTCAAGATTATAACTTAAATATACCAGCTTAAGGAAATACAGAAAACCTCGTGTACATAACGCAGGTCTTCGAACTAGCACTGATAAACGAACAGCAGATCCAGCTAGTAGCAAACTGGACGGCAGCAGAGCGAAGAAAATCTCCTCGAAGAATAGGGTAAAATCAAACACCCTTCGACAGGAAGATACCGCGGGGCCAAACGCCCTCTCTGCGGCAAAAGTACACGGCATCGCGTGCACAGGCAAATTTTCCACTTGATATTTCGAGGAGTTAGAGAAACGTGTACAACCACGCCTTGGGAAAGATGAAGTCGGCTCCCGAATCAGCTACTGTAAGAACGCGAACGCCGCACGCGACTCTAGAAGCTGGACCCTGAGCTAGTCTCTCCTGGCACAAGACTGATATGTAGGACCCGCCTAATCACACGAGGGATACTAAGCAACAGGATGTTACTATGCACAGCCCCTGGATTATTTAATAGTATGATAAGACAAAGAATAGAGATGCCTCTTATCTTTTCAAGGTTACATCCACTAATATGGCATAAGTTTCAACAAAAAGCAGAAAACCGCAGTAATCATTGATAATGCCAGTCATACCCTAAAAAGAGGTGTGGGGACTCTAAAAATGCAGGAGTTGAGCAAAACAAGGCGTCGTTGCTCAGCGATGCCAGTGATATATTCACTGCTCGTGCTCTAGATATTCTTGGTGATAGTCTAACAATTGACAATTCTCAGCGAGGTGGAGAAAGGGAAGAGAAGGGAATATCTTGTGTCCGACCTGCATACATAGATGTTTTTCTAGACTCCTCGGGACAATCTGCGTGGATATACTACTGTTATCATCTAATCGGATATGGTTCCTTGCCTTTTCTGCCTATGACTATATTTTCATCTGCGACACCGAGCTCGGGAACACGTGTGGTTTTGAGATAAAGGATTCTCAGCTATCCAAGTCTTTTACAATCTTGACATGGAGCTACCTTCGATGTTCTATGACCCTGCAACTGTATTTAGAGAAGCAAGGAAGAGAAAGAGAGGGTGTTCATATGCGCAATTATATAGTTAGATTTGTGTGTTCTCTCTTTACCTTACCCATTACTATAATGGTTCGGACTGAGGAATTCTTGAAATTGAACTGTCAAATCACACTCTCCTAAATAAAACTGGAAAACTTGTAGAAATCCAAGATGGTCACCTGAAGCTGTTTCTCTGGTGGCAGGGGTTGAACCCTATATATAAGCTTGCGAGGAAGGTTTTGCAACGCTCAGAATTGTTGAGCTTTTATCCGAATTCGTCAGGAATTTTCAAAGCCTTCGCTCAAGGAAACCAGTACCTAATCAGACCCCAATGCAATTTGTCCATCCTCTGAAAGTAGCTGGCGTCCGTCTCTCCATCCTCCTTTGGTTCGTCGACCTTCCTCCAGCAGCTCGGGTGGCATATGCCGATGGCATTGGTGTGCGCCTGGTCACATTCGTTGTCAACCCTATCTGTGCGGCAGACGTTACAGTTTTCATTCGTCTGCCGTACGCAATCATGAGTGTTGTAACAGCCATAATCGTAGCAGAACATACGCCCCCTCGTCGTCAAGGACTTGTTGAGGTTGTATGTCACCAACCAGTCGCCCGCGGGCTCATTTTCGGGAAATTTGAGCTCGGGGTTGCGCCTGTTTATTCCTTCTGCAAAGAGAACCATAGCGTATGGGGGATCAAATACAATTACGGTTTCTCCGGTCACGGACTTTTTCATTTCTGCTGTAGCCGTAACTTCGTTGATGGCGATGTGCTCCCCGGGATTCGGCATTCGGCACTGTTGCCCTTTCTATCTGTTCCTTGATGTGCTGGGCTGTTTCCGGATCGTAGCGGGTGTCGATAAAGTATAGCTTGTCTGTGCCCGCCGCTGCCACATACGGAGTATCTGGCGCCAGGACCTGGAGACCGTACTCTGTTTGGGTACTTCTGGCACGTAGTTACCCCGATACTCGTCTCGAAAGGTTGGCGAAATGAACGATAGTGTGGGGAGCATTACGGAAAAGAGACAAGGCGCTTGTAAGATTTGTTTCCTATATCTATTTGCGCTTCTGTATATATGCTGCTTTCATGAACTGTCCAGGCCGATTGTCCCTAGATGTCCTATTTATAATAACCTTGGAAGATAAGTAATCCATCGCTGGCGGCCTCACTATGCGATGATAGTTGGCATCAATCTGTTATCTCAAGAAAACAGGCAATTGTTGGACACCGCTCGAAGCCGCTACATTTGTACGCTGACATCTGCATACGCCGGTGTTTTTGATGCTATTCATGTTGTTGGTTCTGCTGGTACTGTTGCCGCCACGGAACACTTGATATTATTGGTACTATTGGTGCTATTGACACTATGGATTCCGTGGGTCTCACTCCTACCATCAATGCTGTTGCACTATCAAAGTTGGTGGTGCTATTAATGCAGTGAATATTAGTGCTGTTGGTGTTGTTGGCTCTACTGAGTCTCTTGATATCTTCTTTAAGCTTGGCCTAAAACTGAATTTTGAGAACCTTGGTTTGATAATTCCAATTGCCGTTTCTATCATGAGATGCACAGAGACTATAGGCGGAAACTTTCAAAGGGTTAAAAGCAAGTTGTGGATCTGCCTTCTTGAGCAACTATGTCTTTTTGGGATGCGATATCATGCCTCACTATAGCGTAGTAGAGCTTATGTCTGCATACATTCAAGGCTTCAATCCGAATGGGTTCCTATGGACTAAGAACTAAAGGGAAGGTGCAAAAGGCGAACGAGTGGTTGCACAACGAAATTGCCAGCCTTATCAGGACTTCCAGAGTTTTTAACTCGTCATACATACCTAAGTATCATACAATATACATCCAGCAAACCTGGGGATAATAATTTTGCTGTATTCTACAGGAAAAACCTTGTAACAAGGCCATAAGCTCAGATAAGTTCGAAGCTAAAATGTGAAGCTATGATGCGAGACAGGAGGTCGATTCTCAATGATTCGGGACTATAAAGTCGCCAAGTTCCCTAGGAATTGAACCATAGTATAGGGTAGTTCGGGTCTGCTCTACCTTCGAAGAGCATGACAACGAAATCTTCATGGCCCTTGCTAACTGCACGAGATCTGCTTATGTAGAAACTCACGGTATCTTTTCTGTACGATCCTGTTCTGCCGCTGACGCCTCTCTCTTCGAGAATCATGATGCTGCTTTTGACAGCGAGACAAATAAAACAACGATCGAAAGCATGGCTTTGCAAAATATATATCCCCAAATTCGCCTATATGGCACTGGCCGCTAAAGCAACCTGAGAATTCTGGATCTCACGGCTCAATCTATATCTTTGACAGAATTTTCCGTCAGACTACAGAGGCGCCGGACTACATATGTATATGGTATACCCATGACTTAGTCGCCTATAAAGATTGTTCATATATATGGAATATGTATAACAATAATAGTAAATTGGCTTTAAGGGATGTTCACGTGATAGACTGTGCAGGGTGCGATTGCTCCAGATGTCAGAAAGGTATTGTTATTATGTATCATCCTATCCAGAGAAATTAAAAGGCGGAAAAGCCGACTTCCAGGAACAAATCTTTCCGGACGAGCAAGATCCTTTCTCTGGTTTACTTGGATCGTTCTTCCAATGTTTTACTGGATAGGTGCGACTAATCCATATCCGGCTGAATTATCCTCTATCACCACGAGAGATATTCTTCCCATATAAAGAGTTAGGGCCCGGGTCGAGCTATTTTAGCTTGTAATCGATTCGCCCAAATTTCTTTCTTGCCCGCACACGAACTGCTTCACCTAACTGGAAAACCATACAACGAAAATAAACCCTCTCTCAGTGACGTCTGATTGGCTGGAAATTACAGTTCAGCTCAATCTTGGGTCCGGCTCAACCTTAAGCTAGATTAGGACTGAATGCACAAGATCGATTGGTTAATCTGGCCCAGAACCCCACTAGTTTCGACCGTATCGGGAAATTTGATGACCTAGGTTGGCGGGGCATTTCTATTGCAGTTCCTAGAATGGAGGGGGTTGATGGAAAGTTGTTCCTTCTCATCTAGCTATATAATTCAACTGTTGTATGCTCTGGTTGACAATTGATCAATTTATTGAAAAGAGGGCAATTGGTAGACGTTGGATCGCAAGTTACGAAATTTCAAGAAAATGTCAGGTGAAAGTCCAGGTGAGTCATCCTTTCAGCCGATGTCTTAATCAGCGATTAAATCACGAATCTACAAGTACCACTGATATATCCATAACGTTTCCAAAAAAAAAAAAAAAACCAAATAATATGAACTATGCTTACCACTTATAGAACCCCCGGTCCATTGGTCCGTCGTCCTCTTCCCAGGCTTCCAAGCCCTCGACGTCTTTGGACCTCTCGACATCCTGAATCTAGTCGCTCGCTACAAAAAAATCGAACTCTCTATCATCGCCGCAACCCTAGACCCCGTATCAACCGATGTCGCTCCACTGTTTCCTGGAAGACAAGACGTTTGGAATCTCGCCGGATCCAAAATCGGACAATCAGTCGTACCAACACACACATTTGACTCTCCACCAGAGAAGATTGAAGTGCTACTCATACCCGGTGGAGGTGGTACGCGCAGTCGACCATCAGCCGAACCAGTGGTTGAATTCATTAAGAAGATTTTCTCTTCTATCCGATATTTACTCACTGTATGTACGGGTTCGGGTCTTGCTGCTCGAGCGGGTGTGCTAGATGGTAAGCGGGCGACTAGTAACAAGCGTGCTTGGAAGGAGGTTACGGCACTTCGTACGGAACCTATATGGGTTCAACGGGCTCGTTGGGTTGCGGAGGGGAATATTTGGAGTTCATCTGGAATTAGTGCGGGGATGGATATGATGTTTGCATACGTGGAGTATATCTGGGGGAAGGAGTTTGCGAATACTATAGCCAAGAGGATGGAGTATATCCGGAATGAGGATTGGGATAATGATCCTTTCTGGGAGGTGATGAATGAATAGGGTAGGTATATGTTGTCATGGATATTAGCAAGGACCGAGCAATTATTACAGGCCATGTTTGAGATTGTGCCATTGAGCAAGTGGGAACAAAATTTTCTTCGGAACCAATTTCTGTTTTTGTCTACATAGACGCTTAATATTTTATCCATGATCTTCTTCTTAGTCGTGACGAGCACTATCGCATATATGACACATCACTTACGGAGCTTGGAATCTCTCTACAGGTTTCGTAATCTTCTCCTTTTATACTCCTTTATTCCCATTACAATTAATAAACACTTATTTAAGCACCTGTGTCCACCATCATTTCAAAAGTGATGAGTTGCATGGAACAAGACGGCCTATAGGGATACTATCAGGGGGAGCATCGAAGTGGCAGAGTACCGGAAGTCGGGAATTGAGCCTGCGATAGTATCAATGGAGAGGGTCGATCTGAAGGTGCTGCGTTGATTTGGCCTATGGTCGAGGGAAGTTGTAAGTTAGCAGGAAGCCTGGGATATGTTGGAGGACATTGATTAGTATTCCGACAAAGAAAGTGGTACCTAGGTAGAGAATTACGCCGTTTTAGCACTCTTCCCCCACATGTTCTATCTAGGTAATGGATCGGGTATATTCCATAGGACGTACTCCACATAGTAAAAATGGTCGGGATGATATTCCGAACTCCCTTTGTTCTTTGTTCTGGCTGTAGGCATCACGCTAAATCAAATTTGGAGCTATATCACTGTCCTTGACTGGGCCAGAAATCACAATAACAAAATGAATTCCAATTTATCAAATGTACTTAACAATTTTTGAACATACTAGGGCAAAAATATGCAGGCAGTATTAGCAGACAAACACATCGAGACACGAGCATTAGTGGTGGAGAAACCACAAGGCCCTTTTGTTCTACATGATGTCATCTTTGACGAAGTGCGAGATGATGAAGTACTCGTTGAAATAAAATATTCAGGTCTATGTCATACAGTGTGTTCCCCTACAGAGTCGTGATATATGTCGGAATTGACAAGATGAAATTAGGATCTAGTTGCCCAACAGGGGCTAATTCCGTTGGCAGGTTTTCCCGTGATCCTCGGCCATGAGGGAGCTGGTATTGTTCGAAGGCTTGGAGGGTGTTTGAAAGACCAGTCATTAAAAGTGGGCGACCATGTTCTCTTGAGCTTCAGTTCCTGCATGAACTGCTCCTACTGCGCTCAAGGCCAAAATGGCTTATGCCCCCAGATGCATGCCATCAACTTTACAGGTACTCGACTCGCAGATGGGAGCAACCCGGCAAGTCTAAGAAACGGCACTAGTATTCGGAGCAAGTTCTTTGGACAATCATCATTTAGCAAACTTGCTGTTGTCTCTGAAAATTCAATCGTCAAATGTGAGCTGTCTGATGAGGAATTTGCAATTATGGCACCGATGGGCTGTGGGTATCTTACGGGTGCGGGAACGGTAATGACAGTGCTGAAACCTCGAAAGCAGAGTACTTTAGCCATTCTGGGTATGGGAGCAGTCGGCTTGAGCGCTTTGATAGCTGCGAAGGCTATGGGAGTTCAACGACTGATCGCGGTTGACATTTTGGACACAAAATTGAGCCTGGCAAAATCTCTTGGAGCTACTGATATTGTCAACTCCAACAACATTGAAAGCCTCGGGAAAGCGTTACGAGAGCTGGCTAGGAATGGTGTTGACCATATTATTGACACTACTGGGCTTAGCTTCATGATTGAGGAAGGGATCAATGCTCTTGGCCATGGAGGGAGCTTTGCAATTGTCGGAGCACCCCGTCCCGGCGGAACTATCACGATTGATCCTCTTGATATGCTACGTTCCTGTAAGCGGATAGTCGGTGTTGTTGAAGGAGCATCGAATCCTGCTACGGTGAGTACTAAAAGCATCGACTAACCAAAAAAAAAAAAAAAGCTGCTAACGATATACCAGCTTATTCCGGAGCTAATAAGGTTACATCGCGAGGGTTTATTCCCAGTTGAAAGGCTGTCACGGACGTATTCAGTTACAGATCTTGACATAGCTATTGAAGATCTAAAAGCAGGAAACATTGTAAAACCAGTACTATCATGGGAATCTGTATAGTTAGATTTTCCATATTGAAAACTACCATTTAATGATGGATAAAGCTCAAAACTGTGTTCTACTTTTAACAATGACCTTCGATTCGTCAGTACCTACTGTTTAAGAGGTAATGTTTCCAGAGATACATGAAACGAATGCCCAAAAACCTCGAAATAGTATACCAGAAAGAAGACTGTGACAAACGCTCCTTATCGATGTAAGATATCAATGAATCTGCTCTATGGGACCCCCCTCTGGCAGGGACGCCGAGTCTAGGAATGCTCCGTGAGCCCGCAGGCAGTCCTGTACCTGCGTTACATCCCATAGATCTTTGGATCCCCTCATTGACTCAAGCCCCGCTGCGACTCCTGCAGCCTGCCCTGTGGCGAGGGCAGTTCCCATTACCCGCACTGCGCTGCTTGCTTTTTGATCTGCATCTATACATCTTCCAGCTGCAAACAGGTTTGGCGTGTCAATACTCCTGAGTGACGCAAGCGGAATCTCGAATCTCCCTTTCGGAGGGTACGTAAAAGTGCTTTCCCAGTTCTCGTGCTCGACATCATGAAACTCAAAACCCCATGCACCAATCGCAATAACATCGGAGAACCTGCGATCAGACATTATGTCTTCTTCTGTAAGTTGGTACATCGAATTCATGTGCCGACTCTCCCGGCAGCCAAAATTGGGTCCCGTGGAGACCACATACATGTCTTCATGTCCTGGCAAAGTGCGCAGAATTCGTAGATACTCCTGGGCCTGCCTTCTTCCCGACTGCTCGGCCGCTGTAATGCTCGCTGAGCTCCGCGTGTCGTAGTATGCAGAGGGCAGGAATGCAATCACGTCTCTTGAAACTGGCATATGGAGCAGTGCTGACCCATTTTTGGGAAGTATTTGGCTAAGTTCTGGCGCTTTTTGTTTAGCAGCAATGATTGCATCACGCCAGGTAGATATAGAGGGCCTCGCATTTTGATCGATGCCACTGAAGCGGACTGAGAGGGAACCCAAATTCAGTGTGCCGTGGTTTCCATATCGTGTTGAAGCACCCGCGAGGTAGGCCAAGTCGCAATCTCCAGAGCAGTCAACAAACGCGTAAGCAGAAACCCTTGATCGGCCTCGCTTTTCTTGTATATCAATCGAGACGATCGTATTTGACTCCGACCGAGTAGCGCCCACGACAGTGGTGTGCAGAAGCACGTCAATATTGTAGTCTTTCATGAGATCATCGAGAACAAGCTTCAAAGCCTCAGGATCTACAACCTACATAATGGCAATGTCCCGATTAGCATTTTTGCAAATAAGGGTCATTACGCGAAGAGAGAGACAAGCGTTCATACGTACTTGAAAAACTCCCCGGATTCGCACGGGAGATTCTGTGGTCCCATTGAGGGCACGCAGCCTCTGTCTCAGCTCTTGCCAAATTCTTCCAACCGCCTGTCGTGGTTTCTCATCCACCGTGAAGAGGCCGCAAAACGCGCACACTCCACGGTGAGTGGCTGCACCGCCGAGACAGCTCTCCGACTCAATAATGAGGATTGTGGCATCTTGAGCAGCCTGCCTGGCCCCAATAGCTGCTCCAATACCAGCAGCACCCCCACCAACAATGACAATATCGTACGGCTTAACGGGACTGAATTCAACAGTCCCGAACTTGTACATGTCGAGCATCTTGAAATTGAGAGAGCCGTTGCTCGCTTTACTCGTATCCAAAGAAAGGACGCAGGAAGAGAGAACGGGGGAGAGAAAAGCTGTATAATGAGCACATAGCCAAAATTTCCCAAAGAGATGGCAAATGTAAATGTAGCTATTCCAGCCAGGAGTCTTCTTTGAAGCTCGAGTCGATCTTCCGGGAACCACCCCGACATTCGGGATGACAACCCGAGACACCGCTGTCTGCTTTATGGCATGTTCCCCAGACGCCAACTACGGGGCAGGAAAATAAAAGTGGAAATATCTCAACGATTCATCGAGCATGAGATCTCCGCGCTGGGCGACACTGGTCCAGACCGTAGAGAGATCTAAAGTCCCCATGGAGCTATTCCGGGGTACATAAAATTGCGGAGGTGGGGTGTCTCCACGGTTCCTCGTATTTTTCTACGTATATTCGGAATGGAATCCGAACAGGGCTTGTAATTGGCTTAGAAGCTTGGGGGCAATAGCTACGTGTAATATTTAAAGCTACCACCAGTTCCGTTATCTCGATGCCTGTAGGACGCGCCAAGGATGAACGAAGTACTTGCAGCAACCATGGAGCAAAATCTCAATGTAAGTCGCGATCGCGCATTTGTCGTCATGTCCCTTACGCTCTTTTCACGTTCTTGTACTGACTACTTACTACAGGATCAGACTCGGCGGGAGTTGGAGCAGGAGCTGCACACGGAAATCATCCCTGGGACGGAGATTATGACAGATGTGAGCACTCACCACTTTGTCAAGTCATCCCAAGGAGACCACTCCGTGCTGGTACCTCAGCCGAGCAACGATGAACATGACCCTCTGGTAAGGGAATTAAACACATGGAGCCATGTCATTCTAATCTTCTTCCAGAATTGGGCCCAGTTTTGGAAGCTTTGTACTGTCTTCTGCGCTATGCTGTGCGCTCTGGTGCAGGGCATCGGTCCGATTGCCTTGGTAAGAATCGCGAACAGGTCAAAAGACGCGAGTGTTTTGGCTGATGAACTTAGGCTCCTATGTTTCCATATTATATGAAAGAATTCCATGCAAGTCAAGCGGAAGTCGTGGAACTTACCGGAATCACCATTTTAGTGCTAGGCTTTAGCAACTTCATCTGGTATGTGATGAATTCCCTTCGCAACGAATTTGGCACTGATATCTCCAAAGGGTGCCGATCCAGTCCTGCTTTGGGCGACGCTCCGTGATGATTATTTCAACTTTGATTTGCTTGGCCAGTAGCATCTGGAAAGCAAAAGCCACATCGTATTCAAGCTTTCTGGGTGGTTGTGTGTACGTATCTTAATCAATTCAAGTGTTGGGGGACTCATCGTTGACCATACATCCAACAGTCTGAATGGAATTGGAGCAGGCCCTTCTGAGAGTACTCCACCGACAATCATCGCAGACGTGATTTTCCTCCACGATCGAGGCAAGTACGAAACGTTATATTTCGCAACTTATTTTGGCGCCTTACAGGTTGGTTTATATAGCACTTCCAAGAAAATTTACCATCTTATTAATAGTATCAATCCTATAGCTTGGCCCTATTCTCTCTGGCAAGATGGCAGAGTACACCGGGTTACCGAGCTTCTGGTGGTTAAATGCTGGTCTTCAAGGCTTCGCAGTGCTTTGTTTCATCTTTCTATTTCCCGAGACAAAATACAAACGCGGACTGGTGGATGGCAACACCACCGCCAAACCACCTACTCCTGGCGATAAACACTCAAAGTTCGAACAGTTGGAAATAAAGAGCGGATCTTCAGATCTAGAGGAAGAGGGCACATCTCAAGTGCAACAAGTCGATCATCTATGGCTAGCCCAAGGCAAGCCGTCAAAGAGCCAGTGGAAACTATTCCAATCTTATGAAGGCAACCTTCTGTTAGAGTTATGGCTCCCATTGAAGGTGTACTTCTTTCCTATCGTTCAATTCGCTGCCTTGGTTGTAGCATGGTCCTGCTCTTCGTCACTGACCCTTAATCTTACCCAATCGCAAGTCTTTCATGCACCGCCCTATAATTTTGGCGCTTCGAAAATTGGGTTCTTCAATTTTGCGATTTTCGCAGGAGTCTTGATCGGTCTATTCACAGCCGGCCCCTTGAGTGATCTTTGTGCCAAATGGCTAACAAAGAGAAACCACGGTATCAGGGAGCCTGAGATGAGATTGCCGGCTATGATTCCCTATGTTATTATTATGATTATTGGTAATATCGTTGTCGCCCTTGCATATCAACACAGCTGGGATTGGAAGGTACGTCAAGTCTTCGTTCCTTTATTTTTAGGACAGAATTCTCACCTCATTTAGATTGCCGTCATTATCGGCTATACCTGCGCTGGAATCCAGCTTGCTGGTCTCCCAGCGATTGTATCCACCTATGCTGTTGACTCGTATAAACCGGTTGCAGGCCCGCTGTTTGTGGCAATCACGATTACCAAGAACGTCTGGGGATATGGTTATTCGAAATATCTCACCAAATGGACTATGAGCAGTGGATACATTGCTCCAATTATGACCAACATGGCTCTGATAACTCTCTGGTGTCTGTGTGGTCTCATATTTTGGTATAGGGGGAAGTCATTTAGGAAGTGGACAAGGGATTCTAAAGTACACACCATGTGAAATCAGGATAACCTTTCTAGTGGATGTCTCAGATAACGTGTTATTTTTAACATGACACTTACATGGGTTCAAGGTTCCATAACTTCTCATTATGATCTAAGTTACCTTCAACAATACACGATCGATTCTTCCAGTCCTATTGAGATAGACCTTCATCCTTGGAAGTTGATTCCTTTTCTATATCGAAAAGGTCACCTAGACCAAACATCCCAGATTAATATAAAGGACAGGAAACTTGTGAGTACGCCCTATTTCATGGTCGGTTGTTACTTCTGCTCCTAGCTCGATACGAAGCTAACTGGTCTCGGGGAGCTACCTGTTATATCCCAGTGCTTGCAAATAACAGCTTTTATCATGTTCGTTACTGTACAGTTGATGGAATAACATATGTATCCTTGTCAAGTTCTCATAAAACTTATAGTACATTAAACGGATCAAGAAAAATACATTCCTCTAAACCAATCTGCTTATAATCCAAATTCCACGCCCCAGTCGCGTCATCTACATTTGTGTAACCCTGATCAAGTGGGAAAAATGTCTCAAATTCGGCCAGGTTGCCCTGCCAATTTTGCTGCTGTTGATCCTGCTGAGCCTCGCTTCTTTGCTGGGAGATACTCGGCAGCTTTTCGTGGAGGAACTCGAGTGCCGCAACGCAACGCTGAGCAGACCGGCTATCATTTTGATAATCGCGAAGAGTTTGGAGTGCGCATGTCCATGATTCTTCGATCTCTTCTTCAGCGACTTCCCAGGGAATATCGGGCCGGAGGCGGATTGCTATGAGGACTGCAGCTGCGAGGTACACGTCTTAGGTGAGTATGAAGTCAGCAAATATTTTAATAAAAAGATAGCGGAGAATAAACTAAAGAATAGCTGTTGAAACTGAAAGGGCCAATGAAAAGAATTCTTACGTAGAACACTGAATAGCCACGACGGTTTGCGACCCCAGGATCGTTCTATTGTGAACTGCTTATGTATGACTGCAATAAGTTCTCTGGCCGACTTGACGCATAGAATGGAGCATTGTAGTGCCATTCGGTAAGTGATCATATCGCGAGTTGGGATTTGTGATACAGCATAATGATCTGTCGACGAAGCCGTCTGATCATTTTGGGAGTATATGCAAAATTTGGCGAAGATGGGCCGAAAGAGGTAGATTCGAACATGAAGAAATCTATAGCGGGGGTTATTGTCATGGAAATATCCTTGAGCAGCTTGAAGATGTGTGGAATAGAATAATACGCACCTCGCCCAAAGGATATAGCTCAGCCTGCAAAACACGGAAGGTTGCTCCTCAGTTGGTTTGGCGTTAAAATCTGGATTGATTTTTAAATGATCTGGTATTGACCTACACCATTTCATCAGGTCGTAATCAATTTGGAGCGTGGACTCGAAACCCATGAAGGATCGCTCAGAATCATTTGCACACTCGATGCTCTCATCTGGATAGAAGGACAACAGTATTTTATGCATAATCCCGTAGAGCTTAGCGGAGTGTACAAAGAATGATAACGTTGATGGGCCTGTAGAAACTCGCCCCAAATTCTCGGCTGGTTCATTACTGGTACTGTCATCACAGTCCTCGCCGATATCCATCGGCAATGGCACTGAGTCTGCTAGGGAGACTGACACCACGGGAGGACGGCCAAGATTCATAGAAAGCATTCTGGAGTCGATTTAGTATCATCTTGAGCGAACAGCCTGGAGACATACCTGTCAATCATTACGCAACCGTGATATACCCGCCTGACAGTCTCCCTCTCTCTCGCACCCTGAACAGTTCTCTCACTCATAGTTGAAGTCCGATGAAACCCCAACTCGTGGCAAATGCGTGTGGCTACTCCAATTGCTCCCCACGCCTCATGAGGGCTTCCGATACTTTGTAGATACTGTCCAAACAGTAGAAACGCCTGCACCAAATGAATTGAGTGGTTTGAAGAATCTAACGGGTCAAACTGCAAACAATCTTTGGCACGAAGAAAGAAAGTTTTTGCGGTATTCCGACGGCTTCCTTCCTCTATTGCATCCGAATACTGACAAGCTAACGCAAGAACCATGTTGAAAATGCAGACCGCGGTAGGCTCATCAGTATCTGCCCCGGACTTATACGTTGCGGACGACGAGTTGCTGGCCAAATCTCCCGTCCAGATGCGGTGATAGGTCTGCATAAAGCCCCGCTTGTCCAAAAATGGGTAGAGTGGGTATACATACACCCAATAGGTCTGCAAGAGATCATCTGCCAATCTCCGGGGTGGCAAAACGTAGTCAGAAGCTACAGGCTTCTTTGCAGAGCGGCCTGATAAGGGCTGCCGATGACCGGCGTTTGTAAATGTTTGATAGCCTTCATGCCCACTTTCTGGAGAGACTCCAACACGTGCGTTGATTGCTTCACGAATCTGCTGCATGAAAGTCGCGGCGGAGGAGGTTCCATGGAAGCCTTGATTCTGTCGTTCGCCCGTCACAGCCCCTACGATGGCGCTAACACCTGTGGATCTATCATGGATGGAGGTGAGTTCATCTCGATCAGGAATCGTAGATAATCCAGGGGATGTCTGCAGTATGCCTTGAGACGTAGAGAATTGATCTCCATTTGGGTGATTTGGTAATCGAGGTGCATCTTGGTGATATATATCTGCTTGATGGCTTAGGACTGTGGGTTCTTGTATGGGTACTTCTGCGTTGTTCTTCGGGACTGAAATTAGTACAATGCACCCCATACCCCGAAGACGAATAAAAAAAATGGAAAACCCTTACATTGTAAGGCAATTGAGGGCTATCGCTTTGCGTTAAGACAGAAAGTCGTCGTTCTGGAGGTCTGGATACAGGTAGCTGGGATGCTGGTCCAGATATAGGCGCTGCTGCATTTTCGTGCTCAAGACTTCTAATTCTCCCTTGTAGCTGCTCGACAAGCCTGCGGGAAGTCGTATTAGCCTACGACTTCCATATGATCGCTCTTCTGGGCCTTACTGTCTCATGCCCACCCAATCCTTCCGATCAGCATCATTGTATACACACTTCTCCTGAGGCCATCCCTTTTTCATGCATGCGGCACAGACTACATTGTACCAATCAGCTTAGCTGCCTCTTTCGCCCCCAATGCGGCCATTCTTCATCATTAGCTGCTTACGGGGTTTGGCTCCATCACACTTGATCTTTTTGATGCGACATTCGTCACAGGCCAGTCTTGTCTTTCGACGCTTCGTGGGAGGTTCTTCTTGCTCTAGATGGGCGACACCAGCTGTAGGGCTATAGTCGCTCGGAGAGGGTTCCCGATCGATGCTACCTCGTGGCATGGCTTTGAGATGCAGGCTGACCGATGGGGATACGAATGGCATCCTTGTGCGGATCGATCCCGAGAATACGAATATCTATATTGCTCAGAATTAAGAGATCCGAGTCCGGATGTCGTGCGGGATATCGATCCGAATGATCGCATCACATGACACTAATCCGGGGAATCTCCGTAGTTACTAAGATTTCTTTGTTTGATAAGCGCCATTTGCTACGCCTCGGCACCAAAGCCGACTCTCTCCCCCCCCCCCCCCCCGCCCCCCGGATCCCCGCATCCGGAGCTGGGATCGTGGAGAAGGGCCCTGGAGACTCCGCACATTTCGATATATTCAACCTCTTACTATATCTAAGAGTCTTGCTATGGCTTCAAGTTCTTACCCCCTCAAACCGTGTAAACAGCGGTTGCGCGCATCGACATGGAGAATGGAGCCAGTGTTCTAGGTCATGTTCCGGTCATTCCACTCCTGATAGACAACGAAAGTATAGTAACCGACGTGAAATTCGACGTTGTCAGTCCACTCAACAATCAATGTTGTTATCAAAGCAGTAGTGCTTCTGTCGCAGAAGCTAATGCTGCTGCCCAAGCCGCACAGGCTGCATTTTCACAATGGACGAAGCTGAAACCCAATGTCCGGCGAGAATTGCTCTGGAAAGCAGCGGATTTGATGGATTCAGTATCGGATGAACTGGTTCGTTACCAACAGGAAGAGATGGGAGCTTTACCCGCTGCAGCTCGCCGTTCGATTAAGCGTGCATCCGATTTACTGCGAGATGCGGGTGCCATGATCTCCTTGATCGAAGGGACAGTACCATCCCTTGGGCAGGAAGGTTACGCTGCGGTAGTCTTAAAAGAACCGTATGGAGTCGTCTTGGGGATTGCTCCTTGGTAGTACCTCTCTTGTACCTTTTGAGGAAGAAGTGGAGGCTAATTCAGGCTAATTCATAGGAACTCACCGTTCATTCTTGGTATGCGAGCGATTGCTCTACCCCTTGCGGCAGGCAACACTGTCATTCTCAAGGGATCAGAGCTATCGCCAAAATGCTTTTGGGCACTGGGGCAGATCTTTTACAGGGCTGGTTTACCTAAAGGCTGCGTGAATGTGATATTTCACCGACCATCGGATGCGATCGAAGTCACAAATAGTTTGATTGCCCATCCAGCGGTACAGAAAATAAATTTTACCGGGAGCACTCAAGTCGGGAGGGCAATCGCTGCCGTCGCGGGCAAGTATGGGAAGCCGGTGTTGCTGGAACTTGGTGGAAAGGCGCCTTGTATCATACTTGATGACGCGGACTTGCAAGAAGCGGCCTCTGGATGTCTGATAGGCGCCTTTGCAGGGGTAAGTCCGTAAATTTTTACCATTCACTCACCGTGATTGATCGGACTTTTACAGGCCGGCCAAATTTGCATGTCGACGGAGCGCATCATCGTCCACCGAAGAGTCGCTGAATCATTTCGCGCCATTCTGGTCGAGAAAGCTCAGGAAATGTTTGGTGCATCTCTACCTGTACCAACCTTGGTATCCGCAGCATCTCGTAAAAGGATTCAAATCCTCGTTTCTGATGCTCTACAAAAAAAAGCTGAAAAACTGTTCGCACCTCGGGATAATAAGGAACAGAATGACTCTCAGATGCAGCCTATCATCCTCGAAAACGTCTCCCCAGACTCTGATCTCTATCATACAGAATCCTTTGGACCAGTAGCCTCTTTATTCGTGGTAGATTCGGAAGGCGAGGCAATTGAGCTTGCGAATGATACCGAATATGGTCTCACTGCCGCCGTTTACACAAACAACCTCGCAAGAGGATTCATGGTTGCAGGTCAAATCCAATCTGGGTGAGAAAAAGACTGTCCATCTGCTAGCACATACTTCATGCTGACGATGGATTTGGTCTAGGGCTGTACACATCAATTCACCTACAATACACGACGAACCTGTGCTGCCACATGGAGGTGTCAGGAGCAGTGGGTATGGTCGATTTGGTGGCGTTCATGGATTAGATGAGTTTTTGCAGACGAAAGTGATTACATGGAAAGCAGATTGAATTGAATCTACTGGACAAAAATGCGAATACTCTAATATTTCTAAAGGAATACGTATGCCTGATATGGTTGTAACAAGAAGCAATCTCACATATGCAATACAAACCATGTTGGCCGAAACGATAAGGCTATAGACGGGCAAACATTTGGTTTTCTTGAATTATTCGGTGACATATTAGTAATTAATTAAAAAAATGTACGAGCTTGGTATCTGATATTAAAGAAAATCGGAGACATTTAGTGCCACTTTCACGTATAAAGGAATACTTGACTTCAAGAAACATGAAGCCGAACCTGGAGAAAATATTGTCGACATCATTTGCTAACAGAGCCCCTGAGATACATCACATTTTAATACGTATTCATCAATTCATTCATTATGCATAAAGAGTTCAAATGGGTTAATAAACTCTCCGGCGCTCGTCTCTTTATTATCGGTGGAACTTCCGGTATTGGGTTCGGGGTTGCAGAAGCAAGCGTGGAACATGGCGTCTCATCTCGAATCTTGTCTTCATCCCCAAAGACTCGGTTAGAGGAAGCTAACTCCAAACTCAACGAATCATATCCCAACTCATCTACCGATATCACTGCGTATCAATGCGACCTGTCGAACTGAATCGACGCTGAGCCAAAAAGATCTTTTCTCGAAAGTCGGATTGTCGATCACATTGTTTTCACAGCAGGTGTTGCGCTAGCACTGAAGCCATTCGGAGAAGTCGATTTTGAATCTATGAAGCAAACGGGAACGGTTCGCTTCTTTGGCGCCCTCCTCGTAGCCCGATACGGACATAAAAACCATGCTCCATCACACAAAAGTTCAATTATATTGACATCCAGTGTCTCTAGCAAAAAGCCCATTTCAGGATGGACTGTCACAAGATCCTATCTTAGTGGGCTTCATGGCACGATGAGGGGTTTGGCTTATGATCTAAAGCCTATCCGTGTCAGTCTGGTCACCCCCGGCGGCGTGGATACGGAAATGTGGAACATACTGGATCAAAAGTCGAGGGTTACTCTGATTAAAGGATTGAAGAGACAGACCACAACAGGCCATGTAGGAACGGTTGAAAGTGTTGCAGAGGCGTATTTGTACCGTCTCAACCATTAGCACAAATAGAGGCAGACTGTTGATTTAGGTGTAGTTAGTATTGAATGCTACATTTCCTTGACAGCTTAGAAGAGTTTTCTAATACCGTATGATAATTTTGATACATGGCACTAGGCTTCATACTTCATACCAACTTGGATGCACTTTGTAACCATGCAAGGATTTCACATTAATGCGTACGTCAGGTTCAAACAAATTCCTCGTATTGAAGAAGTTCATTCAGCGCATATATCGGATCACCGTCATTACAGTCCCAATATCACTGAACCAATCGCTGGTGGCTTCCTCCCTGCTTCAGGAGAAAGATTGGAGACCTTTTGCTTGAGGTTGTAGATTGATACGAGGTCTAGGGCATGCGGGGTGATACTTGGCCGTTTCCAGTGGCAGACGAAAGAATGCAGTATTTCCTACGGTGATAAGTAAGTGCTTGATCGATACAGGCATGTAGCCCATCGGCACGATATGACAACATCGCAAGTAAGGAATGCCGGAGAATACCATGTCAGATCTAACCCTAACAATACTTAATCTTATCTTTCATCTAAGTTAACTAACTACGGTTTCTTCCCGGATTATGTCAGAATCATGGTAATAGATCGCATAAATCCCAAAGCCAATAATGTCTATTCACGAGGTACTTTGGCTGCTGACAATATCAGTGTCGAGCAAGGTTGTCTTACGTGAGAAGTTTATCCGAGCTGATTCATCGTTTGTTATTGGACACGGCCCACTGGGACGTATATCCTAACAATCCGGTAAGGTTCACCATATCTAAAACTGAGATCTCTAACGACAATGGGAGCCCAATCATTTCTATCAAGATGATATCCAAATCGATTAAACTGTAGTAGGACACCGTGAATGATGTTACACTCCCTGGCCACCTCGGCAACGGTGGAACCCCAAAGAAGAACTGCGTAATTCAGACCCCGCTTTACCTCACTGCTTCATCTTTTAAAAGCATTCCATTCCTTCAACGAAGTCGATTCTGTTTTTAATATTCAGTCGATCAGCGACAAGAAATCAATCTATCATCGAAGATGGCATCCAATCCTCCCGGTTCCTGCTGCTACAAGGGCGTCAAGCATGAGGGGCAGCCCGTCGGTAGTATCTCCACAGTCAAAGATTTTGAGGTTTACACCTCTTATCCTGCCGACAAGTCGACCGATTATGCCGTGTTGCTGTATGTATCCTCTCCTTCTCTTGAAACTCTCCGATATATATTTGACTGCTTCTTACCGCTCGCCCGTCCATCTGATATAGTCTCACCGATATCCTCGGCCACAAATTCCAAAACCTCCAACTCATCGCCGACCAGTTTGCTAGCAACGGCTATTTCGTGTTTATGCCTGATCTGTTCCATGGCGATCCAGTTGCATTGAACCCCCCTGAGGGCTTCGATCTATTCAAGTGGTTGTCAGGACACCCGAAAGAGACCGTCGAGCCGATCGTTGAGGCTAGTATCACCGAGTTGCGTGAGAAGTACAAAGTCAAGGTATGTTCCTATCACATTTGATCAATAAGTGCATAAGCACTGAGTGTAGCGTTACCAGAAAATCGCCGCCGTCGGCTACTGCTTCGGCGCCAAATACGTCGTCCGCCATCTCCACCCGCAACAAAACAAAATCGACGTCGGCTTCATTGCTCACCCGTCTTTTGTCGAAGCCGATGAGCTAAAAGCCATCGGTGGTGCCTTGGCTATCGCTGCCGCAGAAACTGACACCATTTTCCCGACCGAGAAGCGTCACGAATCTGAGGTCATTCTCAAGGATACCAAACTGCCCTACCAGATCAATTTGTATAGCGGAGTCGTGCATGGATTCGCGGTTCGTTGCGATTTGAGCGATAAGGTGGCCAAGTATGCAAAGGAGAATGCGTTTTTGCAGGCGGTGCAGTGGTTTGAGACGTATCTTAAGGAATGACTCCCTGTGGCCAGACCGGTGCTGTAAATACTGCTTTATATATGTGCTAATGGGTGAGGATGATAAGCAGTGAATGTTTCAAATGCACTTCCAACAAATGCACTTCCAACTCAATAATGTGATGGTCTCCATTGAATCAGAATATAGACCGTAGTAGCAAACCTTATCTTATCTCCATCCCAGGGTTAGACGGGTTAGGGTTGGGTACCGTTTAACCCTCATCGTAGGGCACACCTCACCGACGAACAGGGGAGCTCAATATCAACAAACATCCATGAAACTGAATGATGCTTGTTCCGTATTGGACGGGATTTGTGCCCGGTCTTATGCACGTACTATATATATTGAGATTGATATCGAAGCCTCAACACAGACAAAATCACAATGACTGGCAGGGATATCAGGACTCAGGAAATATCAAAAAGCGACGTCGCAATCCGCATATCTTTAATCTATATTGGCCTTTTGTAGAGTTTGGATGAAGTCGCTGAAATTGCGGAAAAATAAGGATCCCGATTTAACACCGAACAGTTGCCGAGGCTGAGCCGTGGCTTAGTCAAATCTGCCGAAATCAAAGGCCAAATACAGTCAGAGCCAATCACTGATGGAGGAATTATATACGTCCGGCATTTCCTCGGCGTGGCTATCGCCGAACGACATGACACTTACTTCTAGATGACGGCCCCTTCCGTTAGGGCTACTACTGTTTCCTTTTCTCTTCATTCTCTTCTCTAGGTATCCTCCCCAGTACTGACGACCAAACTGGATGATAGAGATCAATATGGCCTCATCCACTGAATCCGACAACCACTCCTCCCCCGATTCACGAACAAAAACAAAATCCGGCGCAAATAGGAAACTGCGTATCCCGAAGGCCTGTTATCCCTGCTACAAGAGGAAGGTCAAATGTGACCGGAATTCGCCGTGTTCGTTATGCGTGAAGAGAGGATATGCTCATCTATGCACTTTTACACATCCACCGACAGCGTCTAAAGAGAGACCATCTAGTCGAGGACATCGTCAGCAACTTGATACAAGCCGTCATCATAACACCGGCGGCTGTTGCGGCGGTAAGAAAGAAGAACGGCCTGATACACAGCTGACAGGCGACTTTATCATGACCGAAGGCGACAATGTACTCATCGATCCCCAGGAATGGCAGAGCATACAGGATAAACTCGCTGTCCTAAGCCAGAGTATGCATTCACTACGCTCGCGGCTGGAGATTGCGCAGTCACCACCGCCGCCATCTGCTTCGTCACCGGCATCGTCAAACCCGCCGTCGATCTTTGATGGAAGACAGAATGTATCACATTCGTCGCCCATCACAAATCCGGCGTCACCACTGACGACCATTGACGAGGAGAAAGCCGGAGAAGGGGTTCGTACTCGAAATGCCCTTGGCGGGTCACCGGTTCATTGCGGATCAGACTCTGTGACTGCATTTTTGTTGGAGAAGCCGAATCAGCGAGCTATCTTTGGTGAAGATAGTGTTTTGTCTCAACTGGCGCTTGACAATCAGTCAGCGACGTATCCGTTTTTGGACCTCTGGTCATCCAATATTACTTCGTATAGTAACGAGTCTGTCTGTGCGGCGCTTCCGGATGATGGTGTCTGCCGAAGGTAGCTCATTCCTACTGATTGTCATCTGATTATGATAGCTGACTGGACTCAGATTGTTACGATCCTATCATGACGTCCGCTTGACATTGTACCCTGTCATTACCGACTTTGACAGCTTCCAAAAGGATGTCCATACCTTTCTCGAGAACAGGGCTCTGCAGGGCTTGTGCGCGAATAATTCGATGGCTTCTGCCGCGCCGTTCGGCTTTAGTATTTCGTTTATCGGTATTCTCTTCGCGATTCTTGCTTCGGGATGCCAGGTATCCGATTTCTCCCGGAAAGAGAGGACGTCAATGTGCCAACTATATAGTAAGTTCTTATTATACAGTATGCTACTCTATCAGACTAACAGTCGCAGTTTCTTGCGCATATCAATGTCTCCGAAATGGGAACTTCCTGTCTCAGCCAAGTATGGAAGCGATTCAAACTCTGTTGATTATCGGAGATGTTCTTTCGTTTAATATGAACCCTGGCATCGCTTACGTAACATTCGGTACGTACCGTATCTACCCTTCTATTGCATAAGCTCATAATTCAGGTGTCGCCCAACGCATGGCGTTGACACTAGGTCTACACGCCGAGTCGTTTGTTTTCAGAGACCCAAATGCCAACCGACGGCAAGAACTATGGTAAAATCATCGATCATTGAAACAATGTTTACACGTCTAACGAACTGCAGGTGGTCCATGGCCTGGCAAGACAGCCACTTCGGTCTTTCGTACGACCGTCCCATCGAAACACTCGCACCATGCCCTCAAATTCCCCGAGCAGCCGACTCCCGACCCGGAAACAGAGGCTATTTCGAAACAATGTGCTCCGTGATCTCTCTGATCCTCCAACTTCTTCGCGAAGAAATCCTCGAAGGCCACAAGATCAGCGACCACACCATTCCTGCATACAAAACCGATCTAGACAAGATTCTTGCCGATGCAGCTCCTCACTTGAGGAGTGAAGATTATTGTTTCACACTTAAAGATCACATTCAGCGATTAACACTCAAACTGCGATCATCGTATTTGGTTTCGGAGATTTGTCGTCGATCATTGAAACAGTCTTCGATCGCTGGAGGCAAGAAGGCCATGGCACCGCATCTGTGTCAAGAATGTATCGAGAGTCTGTTGAATACGATCGAAGCGTTTATCGAGATACATCAAATCATTCCCCACGGTTCAAGGTCATGGATTCATCTTCACAGCGCTATTAGTGCCGCATTCTTACTTTCGGTCGATGAAGGCGCGCAAACGGATCCGAGTGTGTGGGCGATACTGGAGAAACTCGAGAATGTGTTTTGCGATTTGACCTCTTCCGCGCACATCAGCAGCAGTAACGCAGACAAGATAACTCATAGCCCCGATTCAATGGCTCGCGACTGGTCACCACCACCACCATTCTCCAACACACAGTCGATCAATCATACCCCTGCCCCACCAGCAATGGGCGATTTGTTCTCAATGGATAATTGGCGCGCGTTCGGTCAGACATTTATGTTATCCGATTTCCCATTGAGTACGGATTCGATGATGATGGGAGGCGGACACAATAAAGGCTTCGGAATGTCCCATGACTTTTCGCAGGATATGCCTATGGGAGGAGAAGCAGATGGTGGTGTGGAGTTCCTCATGGGGACATTGAGTAGTTTGAGAAAGATAAATGCTGGATTTAGGGCGCAGAAGGCGGAAGCGATGAAGAGGAATAGTCTTGTTGCTGTCGAGAAGAAGGCTGCTGGAGGGTCGTGTTGTATGAGCCGGAGTAGGGAGGGAACAGGGGCTGCGACGAGATGTCATTAGTCTTTTTTGTCTTCGACTGTTGAATTACTGTTTATTGGTAGCGAAGCTTGTTATCATGAGAATCAATTCTAGGTATCTATCTACCAGACATTCAACATAAATAAATCTCCAATGTTTCTAATCAATTCACCTTCAAAGTCCTCGAAAAACACTCAATAACAGCCTGCGAAGTCTCCAACTGAAACTTCATCTTCTCCACCTGCTGCTTCAACTTCACGTTCTCGGCTTTGACATCTTTGATTTCCGCAACATGACTTTCCCGTTCGCGCATGGCATTTAATCTCATTTCTGTAAGTGCCGCCATTCCTTGCTCGTTGTCTCCAGTATTAGTTGTGGCAGCAATGAATGATATTTCCTGCTCCCGTTGCGATTGTTGCAGCGCATTATCAAGTCTCCCCCTCAAATCTGCATTCGCAGACTCCAATTCAAGAACACGTTGCTCCAACGCGGCTGTTTTGGCTGTTTGCCATAGGTCATTATTTTGTGACAAGGATTGGGTTTTCTCCATCCTCCTGGACCCAACAGAAGGTGACCCTGCAGACGAAAACGAGCCTGACGACAATCTATTCTGACTCTTGCTTGACCATGTAGCCTGCGCAAGTTTGTTCCGGAGTTGAATAACATTTTGTAAATCGTCATCCCTCAATTTGCGTAAAGCTTCGTGTTCACGTCGTTCTTGCGCTAGCAAGACGCGCAGTTTTATGAGGTTTTGCACATCTTCGTCGCGGAGGGAGAAGAGGGATTCGCGGTTTGAGAGTAAAGAAGCTTTTTCGGATTCGAGAGTTGCGATTCGTGACTGGAGAGAGGTGTAATCGGAGGCCATTATTGTGGGGGATTGGGTTTCGAGGATAGCGATTTTGGTGAGGAGGGATTGGAGTTGGGTTTGTAGGGGCCCTGGGTTTGGGACTTGTTCTGGCTCTGATTGTTCTTCAGTGGTAGGTTTGGATGTTGCTGGTGAAGGGGGTTGATGGTCGATTGCTCTTGCTGTCAAGGGTGGACTATCAGGTATACCTGTGTTCCTCGGCCGGTCGATAAAGCTCGACTCCTGGCTCTGGAACGCCTCCATCGAGAGAGAAATTTGATCCTGCTGAAAAAACGATTTCACAACACTAACATCCTCGCCCATCTCCGCTTCAACATCGACATGCATAGAAGCCGGCTCATATTTATCCGCCGACAAAATATGAACATGTACCGAACCCTCCCTCTGTCTTTCAGCAGGAGAAAGCGTCGTCGAAAATGCAGTTGATCCCGACGCTTGACTCATCACATCATCATCATTATCTTCATGCGCAAATGACGAAGAACGCGGCGAAAGTGACGGGACAGAGTATCGTTCCGACGAGGATGATTGGGAAGATCGTTGATGTTTACCAAGCCACATTTCTGATGGATGTGGGTAGGAGATTTGTTGTTCTTCGGCTGCTGGATCTTTCAGCATGGCGAGGCGTAAGTCGATGTTTTTGGCGCTGCTGCGCGAGCTGGTTGAGGTATGTTGTGCTGTCCACATGTCGTCCTAGATAGGGAAGGAAGTTGGGGAGAGCAGATTCAACGAATCCTTTCGTAGGTGTGAGTGGTTTGATGATATTTTCGTCTCTGATATCCTAAACAACATCCAGCTTAACCATGAATTATATATCCAATGCCAAGTATGCTAAACATCTGCTATACCCAGGGGCCGACAGCCTGAAACATGATAATTCCTCTATAGTGACTCTTTTCGAGACGAGCGCATCAGAATCGTTTTGAATGAATGCAGAACTCCAGAATTATAATCTATATCCTTCAAATCAAGATTAGCAGTGTGTACTGGACGGCTAGTGAAAATTGAGTCTTGTAACAGTTATGTCTCAAGTTGGATACCCCTTGAGGAGAGACGGGTAGGTGAAACTGTTGTGAGAGTTGGATAGAGCATCGTGCGGCTCTGCTGGGTCCTTTATTTTTGTTGAAAACTTGAATATGCTCATGCTTATTGATTGTGTTGTTTGGACTTGTTGGAATTGAAGGTCCTCCAGGTCTTAAACTCCTTTAGGGTTTCGGTTGACAGCCCTAAGTTCGAAATGACCTCGACAACCTGAGTCCAAATCTCTTTCCTCCAATTAACTCCTTGGATCCATAAACTGGAATAAAAAAGCTTGAATTATTTTTTTGGGTAATAATGGCACTGACTCTCATGACGCGTTGCGTGATTGAAGCTTTATCTTGATGTCGTATATCAAGATCTCTAGATCCATGGATGTCCCTCAAGATATTTGATAAACGGAAGGGCCTCTCCAGCTCTACGTCCACGGATCTGTTTATTAATTGATCTATGAAGTAAACATAACTTTTAAATTGCAGTAGAAAGACTAACATAAATATAGGGCTCCTTTGTACGTTTTAGGAAGATGAGAATTATTTTTTTATCTCTGTCCAATATCTGTAGGGCTTTTCATTCGATCGGGACGACATTACCATACCCGGAGAGTTAAATGTCAGTCCACTGCAGCTGCAGTTGATTGCCATTTAGTAGTCTCACCCCCAAGGCAACGGCCTCACAGACGCAGATCCCAACAAGGCATCCGAAATTAACCCCAACATGATTTCGGGGGTTATATTGGTAAATGTACCGGTATCTATTCCCCCGCGAAATCGATACCGAGATTCTAAGGCATGGCACCCTGTTCCTTCATTTACTCCTAATGTCGCATGGCACAAGGAAAGAATTGGTTAAAGAAGAAATGTAGTAGGACACATAGTGAGAATCGCCTGCAGATCGATATCGTGATGCGGTCGCAAAGTCGCAATGACCCGAGGATATCTGGGCGCACTTGTGGAAACGTTCGACGCATTGAAAAGAGAGCGTTCCCTACGGTCAGCCAAGACGTTAAAGGACTTGACAGGTCATAATTGACTTCAGGTGGTATCAGTCCACTTGGAGTGTATTCGAAGTCAACGAGTGCTTTTTCAAGGGTACGTATATGGATGAAACCTGTCCGAGAATCTATGTCCCTATATCTCCAACATTAGCAGCGCTAATAATGGATAAAGGCTGTTCGCTTCATAGACTCATTAGTAATATCATAAATCTGTAGGTCAATATTTTCATAAGCCAGGTTTCTACTTTTATCAAGCTCACGGATTGCACTTCTCTGTCCACACACTTGCTGTAATGGTGGAAAATTATAAGGGACAGCCGAGGCTACCTCCATGCTAGCGGCTTCCCGTTCAATCACAAAACCAGTAAGCCTCGGCTCGTATTAGCCATTGATGGTTTGTTTTTCAAGAGTCTGGTAAACCTAACGCATTGATTCTTGAGCGACCACAGGCATGACATTTTATGTTGTAGTATCAAATACCATCCACTTCAGCACGGTGAGGCGCGCCGAGATCTGTTCATGAACCATTAGAAACGTAGATGCTGATCCCCGGACTATCAGGCTATCAGCCCCAAGGTACTTTAAGTTAAGTAACCTGGTGTCCCATAGTCACAGATTAATGCACATCTCCCTCTGAAACATACCGAAAGAGTCAAGACCCTGGATGGTGGTGACTATGAAACTCGGAGATAAACGCGGTCCCGGCGATATCATAGGGGCTGTCCTATCACATTCAAGTGCGTTGTGCGCTGAATAGAGTTGGCTGCATGAGCGCATGGCAAACACAATCATTCATACATGCAGCCAGCTAGTCAAGCAAGAAATAGTGTTTATTTGCACGTCGCTCTTCCATGACGGCTAGACTTAAGCCATTCGAAGGATTCATAGAGCCTTGAACACTGCGACATAGAGTAAATGGCCCTCGAAGGAGCATGAAAAAAGCAATATAAAGTATATATTTAGGTGAAACTATAAACTCACAGGACAGCCTCCGAGGTGTTCCGTGATATCATTCGTTCCATGCGAAGTCACCTGCGAGTATTTGGGCATCCACTATATTTCCAGACACCACATAAAGAAGAATCAGAGCACTTTATCTGATAGCTGTACAATTTCCCCCGGTTAAGAGGTTATAATCCTGCTCAACTGTCTTCGAAGTACTCGCTTCTAATAGTTGGAATAAACTCATGTAAACCGTCCGCTAACGCATCATAACAGGATCGACCGATCGGGACAGTGTTGGTATTTCCAGCACTTCATGCTTAAAATCCATTCGAAGGCCCTTGGTTCATTCGATCGACCACCGTATCTGGTCGTTCATAGATCGAATTTTTGAAGTGAACAGTGGAACAAGTTCGACAAATAGCGTCATTCGGGACGGCTGAAGGAGAACTGACAAGTTATGATACTTAGCAGTTCAACAACACATAAAGGAGGCCTCCCATCCCGCAGAACAACGTTGTCATCTTCAATACGATTGTTCGCTTGTTCTCGTGCTAATAAGGTTTGGTTGTAATCTTTGGTTCACGGCCCAAGCCGTCCCGGGACGTTCCTTGACGAGTTAGTCAGTGATCTGCGAATCTTTTTAATCTCTTTCACCACCAAATGAAGAATAAATTGATTAACATATTCAAAGGCAGTTAAGCATAATGAATGCATTTTCAAGGGATTGTTGAAGGTTGTTGCAGGTAAAGCCTTACAGTTAGAGCACCCGCAAGGCAACTTCAAGGCAGCAATCTCTAGCCCTAGCCCCGACCCGGAAATAGCCTCAAATCGAAAACCAAGCCCAAAACGAGGCAGAAGTCTCTTCTAGACTTCCAACTGCTCCACTGAGCGCTAGAAGAGCTATAAGTGCGATCGAGCGCACTTGCAGCATGTTCCGGCCTTTAAAGGGGTCGAAGCAGTATGTGGGCTAATATTACTTACCGGTCTCACAGAGCCACGAAGGGTTTTGTGGCAAAGCTAGCCCACGATCGCCGCGACGGAAAGTTATGCCTGAACTAGAAAATGTGCATACAGAGCCACGAGAAATGTTACTACAGAGCTTTCTTCATAAAGTCAGGAACACTCAGCTTCCGCGCCACCGGATTGATCTCCTCGATAGCTGCCTACGCTGTCTAGGTTCAAAAATAGCGGTCAAGCCAGAAGACAAAGAATTTTTCTATCAATAGAGATTACAATGGAGCTACTCTGGTCTCGTTTGAAATCTTTCGCAAGGGGTGTGTGTATATCTTGTTCCGCAGTGACGTGCTCTTTTACCCAGGTGAATAGCCAGCTACTAACTTAGCAACTTAATACTAGCTTAGGCCTGATCTCGGCTCCCGGCAATTGTATAAACATGTTATCGATGATCACAGACCTTCATCCATCTATACTCTTGTATACGCCGTATACTCAATCCCTGACTGACCATGACCAAAAATTGGATCATGCCTACGGGAGTGTCCCGCTGGCATTCTTCAGCTGACTCGAGATGCATGGGTACTGCATTTGAGTGAGGGCCCGAGCTACAAGCTTGGAATGAGAACAAGAGAAAAAATTTTTTCTTGACTAAGGTACCGAAGGAAAAGGGGTAAATTGACTCATGCAAGCAGCTTCATACAGTCTAACTGGTCAGAAACACAAAACCTAGCGGAACGGAAGAGATTAAGAATATGCACTACAGCATGAGGAAACAGCCACCAAGACGCAATTTGTCTGCCAAATATACGATTCGACTAGAAAGACCAGGTGGAATTCCCCATCGCATTAGAAGCACGCCACATTCATTTCACTTGTGTAACACATCAATCCAGCATCATATTTGTCTTAACTCTTGTTCTCAAGCGACTTGGATATATCAGCTTTGCTGAATTGGGGTAAGGTCTTGTATGCCATGTGGATCTCGGCATTTTCCTCGTCTACCGAATATACAGAATTCAAACGCACTTGGATTTGAACAGGGACAACAGATCAGAGTACCATTCAATCGCGCTAACTTCGCATCTGCGTTCCCTTTTGGATGGGGACATCCCATCCGTCGCTGGAATTAGGGCATCGGCACCTATTTCTTGATTCCACTCCTCATATTGACCTTTCTCTTAGACTGAATGGTATTGTTTTATACTCCGTACATGCGTTAGCTTACGGTGCTCGCCCTGAAGATCGTGATCTATTAACGGTTCATGATTCCATCGTCTCTTGATTGGTGCGCTACTCATAGCCTATAGCACTGGGTCTGGCCAACAAACCTGATGAGGAGCGCGCTACAACATACATATCGGTGGCTATTACATAGGTAGCTATCCCGTTTCCCTGTTCGCCAAAGAGGAGCGGGCTTAAGTACGGGTCAGGAGATATCTCTCGCATCATACACATAACCTGGGGGGTTTAACCAAATCAACGTGTAGCAAAGCAAGCTGCATAGAGTGTTTACCCCCAGGAGATAGATTTCCGCTGTATCAACTTCAATATGTTGATCAATTCGTTGAGAAATACCACGAGTAACTAATCGTGTCTATTGCATATTTAGATATTACCGATAGGATCGATCGATATGGACTTGCAAAGACAATCTGGAACCCTGTAGCACGCTAACTTCCCGCATAAACACTATCATGTACAAGGACAGAATATGTCTTCGTATACCAACTTCCGGAAACGTAGAGACCCACGGAGGTACTTGCCACCAACCTGGTTCAAGAAGACAAGGGCAATCTTGAAAGTCTACAAGTATATCGAACAGGTGAGTTCGTATTGCGATTAATTAGAACTTACATAGTCCGTCAATCTGCATACGGCTCCAAATAACGGATACTAGCTATGGCGGGTGCAAATGTTAGATCCTAGTCCACTGAATAGAATTAGATATGCTCGGCCTACGATATATTAATCACTTGGCCCAACCGGGTAAGCTTGACTACCCGGACGGAGAGAGCAAAGCAATCCGCGCGGATCAAGGTCCGAGCGGTTCAAGGTCCACAATCCTATTGGGTAACTATACGTTTAGTCCATCATGGAGGCGTTATGAACGTGTCTAGAGGGTCTGGACTAGGATTTACAGACTGCCAAAAATGAATTTTCCGGTGGTGGATGAAACCGACCATAATCCGATCAAGGGCGTACCTGCAAGCCCTGAAAGAAAAAGAAAAGAAAATAATTCAGAGAATCAGAAAGAACTGCATCGAGTCTGTCAAATGTTGACTGTCAGTTTCCGGATTCACTTCGCTATGGCCTAGAGAGAAAAAAGAGAATTGGATCTTGCAACGGGTTCTGAAAACGTATAAAGCCAGCATCGGTCCCCAGTGAGGGACAGCAGTCTTTCAGAGAGCATAGCTCAAGCAACAATCTTCCCATAAGACAGAATTGGTGCATTTCCATATCCTTCTATTTCATTTCGTGTCCAATCCTTAGATCCCAAAGTCTCATTTTTCAACCCGTTCCCATCAACCACAATGGCCAATGAAAAAGAACAGGCGCGCAGGAAGCCCTGTCAGAAGTACGAATCCATACCACAGCATCGCTTGTCACTTCTAACCCTTTCTCCTAGTGGTGACGGATATGAGTCCTCGTCGACAGATTCAAAATCGGCCGTGACTCATGATACGGCCTCGATCATGGTCGAACCCGATAAGTGAGATACCATTCTTGCCCCTTGTCATTTGAAGAATTACTGATTATGATGTCTGTAGTGATGAATACCAGGACGATGGCACAGAAGACGATAGTGATACAGCAGATGGTTCCAATCCAGGGGTCGAACAGGACCTGCAATATAATGGGGCCCAGTTTTCGGATTCAGAACTAACCGTCGATCTTGCATAATTGTGGCGGCAAAGTCTTCGTATCGCGTGTCTTTGCATGGTTGAAGTTTGACCGCATTTCGATGTTATGTCGGGCACTGAGCCCTCTGGATTTTCTTTTTTATCGTTTCGTGTGGTCTATTGATTACATCAGCCTTAATATTCCATATGTTCAATTTCGTTCCACATATCAAAACGGAGAGATTTTGTGTCAGAGAGAAGATTATAACTCGTCACTGCAATACACAATCTGCAACACCAAGATGTCGAAACACCGAGGTACTGGTGGTATAGCGTCCGACTAAGGATGACGATACAAGTTTTCATCACGTAACCAGGAATAGATATCGAGATACTAATAACATGAACCAGACTTACCAAGTTATGAGATTCACCCATTCAGTCGTCTGCATAAGAAACGATCTTTCGCCCGGAGTTCAAGTCGCGGGAAAAGGCTAGTTGTTGCGGCTGCCGCAACTTTGCTGCTCCTCCGTCCTCGTCCTTTGCTCTTTTCGCAGAAAAGTCTTCGTTGTCCTCGGCAGATTTCCTTTTCAATGCACCATTGGTCGGTTCATCCTGGGTGGATTTACCATCAAATTTACCATCATCCTTTGAAATTTTCACAGACTTAGAATTGTTATGCTTAATCTCTTCACCATCCCTCTCTTCTTCGGCTTCTTCTTCCCTCAAACGTTCCCTCTCACGTAATAGAGCATGGATTTCACTGTGCCGAAAGATTTCGATTTGTTCGTCTGTCAACGTCCTCTTTGCGCCATCTGCATAATATCCCAGGTCGTTGTCTTGACAGAGCCACTCCACTTCATTGTCGGCTAGATCTGATTGGAAAGCATCATGGCGACCGCTTGCGCCGAAAAAGTGATTAGCGTGGAATTTCTGGAGATCTTCCTGTTGCATGGTGTCAATACCTAAATGGGAAAAAGAAATAGGTGATATATGAACTTACCAGTGTGACAGTTGGAATCTGACAACTGGTCATGTTGGCTGAAGAACACTTGCCAGTTGTAGGATGTTGTTTCGGTGTAGCCTTGGGGTTGAAACGAGGTTGTGGTCACGGGCGGTTGGAAAGCTATGATAATGTGGGGCGGGCGCGACTAGTTAGGCAACGCGTTTGGATGCCTGACATGTGAGACGACAAGCATTAATTTTCGGCATCTGTTGAAACGAGAAAGTTTATAGATTCAAGCTATGTACAACATTTCCAATCTTTGCCTTGACGCTATTGAAACTTATTTCCAACCTCAGGGTATCTAGATTAATGTCCGAAGCTTTTTGTCGTTCCTCCGAAGATGGTGCCGTCAAACTCCATGCAATTGAGATATGGAAGCAGTCTGTAAAGTCCTCATTTTCTGTCAAACGAGAGCTGGATTTGCCGTGTTTGATTACCCTGTCCATTAACTTAACCTCGGTTGCATATAATGGTGGCTGATTATATACAGCTAGTATCCGATTCGATATTCGCAGTAACTGATTGAGATTGTCGTCTTTGGGCTTCTTAAGTCTTATCACCAGGAACCAACGCGTTCGTTCAGTGTTTGATACCCAGTCTAGAGTGTCTGAGATGACTGTAAACCTGTTGACTAGTTAGCATGTTCATCATATATCTTTCTGGTCGAGAGATGTACGGTTTCGTGTTGGACTCTTTGATAGCGTGTTCGAAACCCTCTATGAAAGGCTGTTTTTGGTCCGTGGAGAGGACTACCGGCCTTGATAGAGAAACATGTAACGGTAGTTGGACGTTCAGGTCGCTTTGCAATAGGGTATCAATCTTCGAATGGCCGTGGGCCAGCTCTGTCTCACATTTTTTCAGGATGTCTTCGAGTATGATCAACTCATCTTTTCGCGGGTACCCTGCTTTACATCAGCACCAGCCCTAACCCCAATGAGAGAACACATCTGCTTACACTCGAGGTATATATGAGTAGGCCAGTTTCCCTCTACGTGAGGAATAACACGCTTCCGACCACCATGCAAATTAGGATCGTCTCGTACACTAACACGAATGCTCGAGGCATAAAGGTCGTGAAAAGCGGTTGGGAGCTCAGGTAATGACCTCACGGCATGACTGTTCGTTCGCTGTTTTTTCTTCGGCTGTAGTAGCTCCTCAGCTTCGCTGTCTGTAGACGAGTCTGGGTACTCGACAAGTCCCATTCCTGGCCATAGATATCTGACGTAGAGTCGACGGTGGTAAGGTCACAAAAGGAACTGTGGGGAACTTGAGGCTTATTCCTCTGCCAAGACTTGATGCCGTTTCATTGCCTTGGAGCCTTACGGCCTTACGCTACTCTGGGTAGCAGACTGACAGACTAACTAAAAGTTTGCATAGATCTAGATCTCGAGATGATCATGGTTCGTCCGGTCGTTTCCAACCAAACTTCATAGATCTGGATTAAGATCAAAGTCTATAGTCTATCCGTGGTAGTAGAAGAGCATAACCTAGTGATAACGATGACTTATGGTGACGTTGCGAACCAGAGAATGTAACAATCAGAGTCTTTAAGAAGAATGTTCCATCCTCAACTTCCACTATACCGAGTGTACTCGGACTACAGCGACATCTTCATCGCTTCAGAAGGATTTAAAGATCTCTGCCTCAGGCATCGGTCTAGAAGGCAGTCTTGGCATCAGCGACCCGTGATTGGCCGCCGGATGCGGAAGGAACGGCTGTCACGCAGACGCTATTCCACTTTTGGCCGCACGAGGTCCAGTGGTATGAGGTCATCGGACCAATTCGGCAAGAAGCACGATGGATTGGGTAAGTCCTGCGAATAAGTCAGGCTGACTCAGGCATCCACGTCATGGAGGGACGCTGACTCCGGTCTTTCTCACGTAGTCAGCTGCTTTCTCTTCATATTCTTCGCATCTGCTTTAGACATTCTTCACTGCCTGTAGTTTCTTCATTCGATTGCGCATCGTCTCGTCTAGTTTAAGCTGATCGTCATTTTATCATCCAATATCAGGCAGTCGACTATATACTCACCCCTCTATACGGTCCTACACCTTCCGAAATGGACGGGCCAGGCAACCACTTCTATCCCGAGGATAAGAATCCATTTCGAAACAGGAAGCTCAATTCCATGACCCTTGAGCGCCGTCGCTCAAACTCCTCTCCCTCTACAGCTATCGAGGAGAGTCGCAATGAGTTCCGCGAGACTCTAAAACAGCAACATGACATTCAGCGCCGAAAGACGCAGCGTTCTTCAAACAGCCACAACGGCAAACGTCACAGCCACCGAAGAAACAGGGTTAATCCTGACGTGATTGATCAATTGGATAATGTCAATTTTATGCAGTATCATCATGAAGGGCCGTACGATGCGGTTTATCCGGAACGGAATGTGTGTAGTAAGAGGAGTCCTCTGGAGGCTGTGAAGGATTCGAATGAGGAGACGCTGCGAGCTACGCCGATGTATATGATTATTGATAGCGTGCAGCGACATCGGCCGTTGGATGGTGTTGCCTTTTATCCTCCGGGGACAACGGATAAGGAGGGCCAGACGTATGAGTATACCGAAGGTGACAATATGATGGCTGAAAGGGAGGGGTTGTTTCCGAGAGTACCGGGAGAGGTGAGTTGATCGCATTTTCTTTTGCGTTCTTTTCTTAACACGACTTAGAAAATCACCGACGAAGATCTCAAGAATGACCCATTTTATCAGCAAGATAATCAGCGTCCACCGAAGCGCATGGGCAGTTTGCGAAAGGCATTGACGAGTCTTAAGGGACGTTCCCGGAGATACTCAGCTACTACTTCGGGTGTAGTCTTGAATTAGGCTGGATGCGCGAGTTATCGGCCGCGTTATACGTAATGTTGTTGGACAATAGACCTTAATCGGACGGAATACGGGTGTATGGTATAAGAAGATGGCAAAGGGCGTTGTTGGAAGTTTCAGGTTCACTTATTGGGGTTACTATGTATATTACTTGGGTTATTGATAGACGAATTGATGTGTTCTATTTGTTAATTTTCCTATACATATACCGAATTTCTCGGATGCATAATGATTTACGTCAAAGCATCCATTGATATAGGCATGTCAACAATGACTTGCTTCTTTGAAAGACCGTGTATCTAGATCTATTCATGGAGGAAAGATGATACAACCCTTAACTATTGCACAGTTGCCTATGAGAGGGTTGACGCAACCAACGCTACCGAGGAAGTCCTTTGAATATACATTAACACTGAGCAGATGATACTTACCGTACTAGTGATAAATAGATGTGTCCACATACTGCGCATTCTCCCCCAAAACCACTAGGGTTTTAGAAACAGTTACCATTATTGCCTGATTAGGAAAGTCTTGGCAATATCAGGTCATCGATTGTGCCGGGAATGGGATCATTCTTTTGCCAGAATATTGCGTACAGAGAAATGAGTGAGCCGATCAGAAGGAAAGGAGGGTTGTGACAGACTGCTATTAGTATACAATGGGCATAGGTGAGCTGCTGATATCAGGCCCCTTACTCGTAGTCATCAGAATAATCACGCCTACAAAAGCATAAAATTCGAATACTTTGAAGAGCAAGATGGCTTCATCCACATAGATACACGTACATAGCGGACAATATTAAGAATACCAATAAGAAGGGTCAACATTAAAGAGAGGAATCCGATTTCGAAGATCTGTGATGGGTGACTACCTAATTCAGTAGATATAAGTAGTATTAGGGCTGCCTACGCTACAACCCTACCTATCTGGGATCTCTCCTTTGACCAGTCTGTCCCAGGCCGACGATGTTTGTATCAGGTAGCTTGCTGATGTTGAATCGAGAAGTTGATAGAAGTCTAGGATACTAGCCGTAGGCTGCAGCCAGGCTTGGGAACATGCAGGCGTCCTTCCTAGTGAACTGTGAAAGCAGATTCAACAAACACAACATGGAGGAGAGAATCAGTGGCAAACCATCTGGACTAACAGAGCATTGCTAAAGCCCTAAGACCGGGTCATGGCACCGGCATGCCGAGAACTGCCACGCCCTACATAGCACGATCCTGTTGTTATTTTTAGTCCGGTGTTAAAAAAGATACGCCAAGGATACATCCATTCATATAGGGTATGCACTATGCAGTTACAATGTCCGCAAATCAAGAATTTCATTCCTTTTCTTCCGTCCTTGGCACATTGAATGGATGGCAAGTCTTAGACATGCATGTACTTGACTGCTTTTTCATGCACCATGTTACGGAGTTGAGTCCGTTGTAGTAATCATTATTTAGTCAGGTTGTCTAAGACAAGGATGGCCTTACGAGTCAGTTGTCACCTGGGCATTTCTTGGATTCCGGGTATCCGGCTTGTGCTTTTACTCCATATACCTAGCATATTCCCCAATGTCAATGGTGGAGGCCCGTCAACCTATTCTGATTCACAATGAGATTGATATCTGATACTCACCATTTCAAATACAGCCGATATAACAACTCCTGCCGAAGAATCTGTCTCATATTTCCGACAGCCACAATTCAAAATACGTACGATTCAATATCTTCACACCATCAGCCATACATCAACGCCAACCATTGCCAAGAACAAGCCAGCAAAGCCCATAATCCTCGGCATGACGCCCGATGGGCTTGCTCTACTGCAGTAGTATGCTTGGCTGATTTGACCTTTCTTACGGTATTCCGTATCCCGGTAAGATTGAAAATTACGTGAAAGGTCGCAAGGAAAAAGAAAATTGCGTAAGATAAAAACGCACTGCATACCAAGACGGGGAAAGTCCGAAAAACTTTCCGATTTCTGCTTATCTCCACTCGACCATTCCATATAGAGTAGGTGGATAGACTTAAACCTACACATGATAAGAACGGTCCAAGAACGGCGGTTGAAGCCAATTATATGGCTTTTCAAGCGGTGATTTTTGACCAGTATCCTTGTAAGTGCTCTCTGTTCTGTAAACTTCTGTTAAGGCGTTGACAGGTCCTTGGAATAGAGGTCCTAGAAGTTAGAACCACCTTCGTCCCACAAAAATCTTGAAATTTTGTGCGCCCAGAAGTAAATTCCGGGTACAAAGTTCAAAACAAGAAAATCAATCTCGTAAATGGGCACGTGAGCAGATAACGCGTCCCAAGAACACGAAGAAAGACTCGACATGACTACCAAAGACGAACTAAAATGAAACAGACAATAAATGCAACATTGTTTCGTATATGTATGCGTTGCCTTGAAGGATATATGCAGCAGATAAATGGGCAGGCGTAAGCAGTCGTCGTCATCCATGAGTACCCGGCGGATTAAGTGGCTTGGTGGCTTGGCACATGCATATTGCTTGTTTTTTGTGCAAGATTGTAATAATACTGCCCATCTTACGAGCTGTAATTACAGTAAGGTAAGTAAAGTACATAATGGCAATACAGGGTACATAAACAGAAAAGCGTAATACGTTACAGTATCGCCCATGCCTTGGTAGTGCTTTCTCCTGGTTGTCGATGAAATAAATATATTAATATAACGAGATTATTATGCCTATCACCAGGATTATTTTCAGCGACGAAGCCGATTCGATATCCTGAGCCTGGAAAAAGACACCTGTCCATTTGTCGCAGCCATAGGTATTCCATGCTGTGACTTGTGGCTGATGAGAGCACCTGAAACCTTAGCGTACATCTTTTATGGAGTGAGGGTCTGATCGATCAAGTGGGATTTACCACTCGGTAGTTTTTGCGCTTTAAGAAGAAGAGCGGAATTTCTTTTTCCTTCTCTCCACGTCGTTGCTTCGAGGTCGATTTTGGTTATCTCCGATTTATGCACTCATACGTGCATGTCAGTTGGCGTGGATTATTCCATATGTAAGTCTGCAGTACAGATTATAAATTTCCTCCCTTTCCAGATAAATTCCGCGTCTTGGACGGAAAATAAGACTTAGGGCTTGCACATCCACGTGAATCTTCAATCGAAAGAACCACAGATTTAAGGCCAAGACCCCCTTTTCTCGTATCAACGATCGGCAAACCACGCATATTAGGTAATGGAGCACGTGAGGAATAGGAAATGATCTTCACTGGGGATTCTACCCGATTTCTAATGTTTCTAATATTTCTAATATTTTCTTACTCGGAAGATATCTAAGATTTTGATGGTTGTATTCATTCTTTCAAGTTCGATGTTGTGTAAATGCAAATAAAACGTCTCTCTCGTATTCCCAAACATGTTGTGGAGTTGAGGCGGCCTTTCCGGGGTTGTTGAAGGGGCACGATCGGGACCATCTACGATAACATCACTATCAAATACGATGTCCCAGCTCAGCGACTTGTTCTAGAAGACCACCACGCGCTATGTATTTGTCTGACTCATTATGTTACTTTCGTACTGTAACTTCTCATAGTAATGGTCGTATGATATTCCAGCCAAGCCTGTCATATTTTAGTCCCCTCAGCTCTGAGCCAGTGAGCCCTGAACAATATGAAGCTACCTAGGTATGTACGGAGCAGTATTTGTCAAATGGTCACTCACAACCTGAAACCTACCGTCTACAAACCACAATCGCCAAGAAGCAGTAGTCCGCGATATCTCAACGCTGACAGGCTGAGTTGTCCAAAATTAACGGATTCGTATATTCGAGGATCCCTGTTCAGGGTTGTAGTCAAATCAACTATGATCTGTGACAGGCTGGAGACTCCGAGGGGGAGAAATTCCACGGGGGATCGCCGCATGGATCTACGGCGCATGTAACGATTCGGATTTTGTAGGTGGCATTCAGCCCGTCAGGGTCTCGAGTCACTATCCAAGGATACCCTGGACCATACGTAGAAACATATGAAATCAATTTCAAATCAGTCAATACCTCCAGAATCGCTCATGCTATTCCGTGATGATCTGACCTGACCCTAAGGAGATACATTTGTTTCAGATCATCTCTCGTATTTTCCACCGTATATCTCGTTAGGAACAATATAATTGTATAATAAATTATTTATAAACACCGTGCAATCCGCTTATGCAAGTTGTGAACGATGATCGAGAATGGCAACGCCAATCCGTTGTATACACAGGGAAAAATCTTGAAGATGAAACGAAAGGCGTACTTTTCCTGAAAGTATGTCAGATATATACCGAATAAAAAAATACAGATAAATAGTCAAAACAATATATCCGATTGTCCCATGCAGGTAAAAAAGAAAGGGGAAAAAAATTGCATATTTCACATTATGTTGCAGTCGCAGCGCCGAAAATATTATGTATGGTTGCTCATAAGTTCTGGTTATAGGTGATTAAACAGTCGGCATCGGACGGGAGGTCATGGGAATGAGTTCTGGTCCCTTCTCGTCTCCGTCATCAAAGAACGTCTTCTCAATACGTTGTGTAAGACGAGCACAGAACGGGTCGACGTAGGTAGTCCACATCGAGGCGCAGAAATATAACAACACGAGCCAGCAGGGAATACTGACGGCAAAGACCCAAGGTGCGCGGCGAGGTAGCCAAGGTGGCGGGACGGGGTTTCCTTCAGGATCTTGGGTCCATACCCAGGGCTCACCACTAATACCATAAACCATCCATACCAGGACGGTACGCAATAGAGTGCCGTGAATAAGGTAGACGGCAAAGCTTTGCTTGCCAAACCAGAGCAAGATGGAGCTAGACAAAAACTCCTTGGACCAGTTGGTCAGGAAAATTGACATGATGATCATGTCCATGCCGACGGCAGTCCAGCGTTTACCGTAGTTGCTGCCAAGCGGGAAAAGGTATTCGGCCCATTCGAACATGCGGTTCGACCAGCCGGCCCATTCGGGGTGTTCACCGGGGTAGGAGCAGACGATCAGGCCGCCTATAAACAGAGAAAAGCCGAGAATGCGGCGTGGCCAACGGTAGGTCTCGCTCTGCAAGAAACTCTTGTACCGTTGCTCATAGGACAAATCGCTTAGTACCATGCCGTACAGAGCTTGAATTTGGAAGGTCTCCCGGTCGAGCTGGGGGTCTTGATGGAAGTAGGCAATTAGCAAGACGCAGATAAGCAGGCGATAGCGGTATTTGCATAGAATCGTCGCAAATGAAACAATATAGATGAGCATGGAGCACTTCAGCAGTGGTAACAGGGCCCACTGGTGTTCATCGTAGATCATGTGAACCCTATAATCGGTATTGGTCCAGGCCACCAAGAAATTCTTGAACAGACTAATAATCTCCTTCCACAAAGTATCTTGAAGATCCGGTGACGCATCACGAGTCCACGACGAGTCGCATCTATTTCCGACGGTATAAGCACCAAACTGCGCCAAAGTCCAAGAAATGCACATGGCAATCGTAGCCGGGAAAACGAGACGAGGAGGACGACGAAACGCGGATTTGGCGACAGTCACAAAAGCGCCGTTTGTATCGCCCGCCCGCGATTGCTTCATGGGTTTGAGAGCGCAGACATATCCCGTCAGAAAGGCGAAAATAGTGACGCCGATACGACCTTGCCAGGGGATTCGGAGGATGATTTGTTGTAGTAATCGAGGCGGGACGTCTGGATTATCTCGAGGAGCGAATAAATCGTAATCCCATGCGCGGGCAAGATGGGTTGCGACAACCAGAACTGAAGCGAATCCACGGAGACCCTAACGTCTGTCAATATACATACCGATAGATTGCATGATCGGAGCACATACATCAATCCATTTGACGGTCTTTCGGGGATCGCCTTTCACACCATCTCCGGTGTGCCATGGGAGGGCATTCGGGATACTCTCCCATAACCGGGAGTAAGAAAAGTGCTCTGGCATTTATGCAAAGAATATTAAATAAAATGAGACAGAAAAAACAAAAAGAAGAAGAGGATATCAGAATGAGAACGGAAGGACGGGTGCCAACGAGCGACGACGAAAATTAGGGATCAAGATTAAGTCATTGGATCTGAACGAGATTTAAACGAGAGATTGATACGATACCACGGATAAGAATAATGAAGGTTCTATAAAAGATAGAAGAATGAGTATATATCCACGGTTACACAAAAGCGAACTCAGGAGATGAATTCAGAACGTGGACAAGTGTACTTGCCGGTAGAGTACGGAGGAAGTGGAAGTGAAGTGAGAACCAAGAAGTGATGATGGAGAGAAGATTGACAGAATTGGCGCCAGTCATTCCCTGAGGCCTTCCAGCCGGGGACAAACGTAGTAAGGATGGACAATACAGACGCTCGGCGGTGGGGTCTCAGGCCAGGAACATGATACGGTAATACGGTACTACGGTACATACAGAAGTATTCTGCTGTATTTAATACATTTAATACACGATACAGAGAAAAATACTACTGCCGATGCAAACTACGGAAATGACAGCCCCGAATACAACACCCAAGAATTAGCACTGACGAAATACCCCACAAGGTGCCTGGGGCCACGTACCACTCAGGCCCGTCTTAGCCGCCGCTTGAGGCGCCAAGAGACAGTGATGAACCTCGGCGACAAGCGCCAAGTCTATGCCTCTGCTCTTGGCGGGGCTGGCCAAGCGCTGTTGCTTTTGTTCAGGGACAGCAGCCCGGTTTTATCGCCGATATTCGATTGTTTACGACTGCAAAAACCAATTAGAAGAGTAAATACCCTGTCGCTTTCCTTGCTGTATTATAGTACTACGTAGTATGTCCATACCGATAGGCCTGTAAAACTTGGCGCCAAGCCGGCTGCGAGCGCTAGTCCCAATAAGATAATTAAAGAATTACCGCCCCATCGCAGATGCCGTTATCTCCCCTGAGCCTGAGGCAGGTGGCGACCACACAGGACAATTAGCTTAGTGTATCTCAAAAAGTACACTTAGCATCCTCGATACCTTCTGTCGGACGAATCTCTCTTGACTTTATATTCTCTATTCTCTATATATCAGGTATAATCTATTGTATTCGTTGTTGACATCGAATACCTATATTACACGGCAATCTACCGGCCCCATCCTTCGTTTCGACATTGCGCAGCGCAATATCATTTTTCTCCCAGTTACTATGTCCGTGTACCACGCTCGCTAGTTAGCATCTGTTAGAAGTCCGTTTACTTCTTTAACGCCACGGGGATTTGGTGAATTGTCTCTTCTCAATCAAGGCCACGAGGCCCCATGCCCCGTTGCCCCTCCATCATGGCCTCGTTTAGAGACCATTTGCATCGGTCACGGCTTTCAACACTGTTCAAGTTTTTGATTGTTGCTTGCGCTGTTCTTCATTTTTGCTCGGTCTATAATTGGTTGCCGTTTAATAACCATGTCGCACGAGGTATGATGTCTGCGCAGAGCTTGGAATAGAGCCACTGACTGATTGCGGGTGTAGACATGTTGTTACCGACGAATCCTCATTTCATGACTCCGAGTAGGAACTGGACTGCCGAGGATCGAAGTATTGTAGTAGCCAAAACACGGGGGGAAAACATCGACTGGCTACTGCCGTTTTGCGAGGAATAGTACGTTGGTTCCATACCGCAATGATTTCTGCGAACCGACTGACTTTTTCTTTTTGGCAGTATGTGCAAACCATTCGCCTATACAATGGATCCCGAACCAGAGGAAGGTCTTCTCATCCCCCATACCACCATGGGCCACGAAGCCGCCGCCTATTTGACATATATTGTCACCAACTACGATCAACTCGCCCCATACACCATCTTCGTCCACGCCAATGATGAGCAATGGCACAACGAACTCTTCGGTCCCAAGACTACGACCGCCCTGCGGTTTCTACGATATGAATCGGTGGATGCAAACGGGTTTGTAAACCTCCGTTGCACGGGGATACCGGGCTGCCCCAACACATTAGTCCCGGTTCATCGCGAGCCGGTCGATGATGAATACGCCTACGTGTCAGACAAATTTTTCGAGTTATACTCATATCTTTTACAAGTCCCAATGGACCAGGTCCCACAGGTCGTGGGACATTTGTGCTGCGGACAGTTCGTGGTGACGAGAAACCAGATTCGCGCCAGATCACGCGAAGACTACGAGCGTATATTAACGTGGGCAGCCACCACGGATTTCACCGATAGTTATGGAATCGGTTGGACCATAGAGAAGATTTGGCATGTATTATTTGGAAGGGAGCCGGTTGAGTGAGTATTCTACCTGCTTCTCATTTTTCTTTTTCGTCCTAACGACAGACACAGCTGCCCTCGTCTCGAACAATGCCGATGCGATAACTACGGATGGTGTGGCCCATTACCTGACGGCGAGATATTGATACCCATCATGCCTTGAAAAAAATTTTTTTTTTCTCGTTCTCATGTCATGACCATTCTTGATTTCCCATTTCGGCGTCTGTCTGGCTTTGTATATATGTATGACACTTTTGTACAACATGGGTTAAGCAGGGTTTCCTTTTTTTTTTCTTCCGGGGTCATACTTGAAGTATCCGACCTGATTTTCATTTTTTCCTTTTGGGATTACTTATTATATACCCAGGAGTACCTCGAGGGAAAAGAGGTACAAAAAAGAATATAGAAGATTTGATGATGGCTATACGGATCGACTTGCATATACACCGGATTTGCGATGGTACGCATTAATATAGGTGTTCTAATGCTCGCGAGACCCTTTCATTTGAAAAACTACACCGTTTCATCGATTTCCTCGCATTTACCATTTTCCATTTTTAGCATTGATTTGCTCTCGAATCACAGCGATCTTCCAATTTTGCAAGAAATTTTGCCATTTCACTCTTCTGACGGGCGTTCTTGTTTGCTCTCTTTGATCCTTGTATTTCAGGTAATACAGGACCCTATTTCTTCAGCTGGATATATATGCATACCTCTTGCTTATTTCTATCATGTCCCATATTTGGGAATCGATATGTACAGAGCTACAATTCTATAAATTACACAGAATATCTTCAAAAGGAATGAATGTAGAAACCTTGATGTAATCCAATATAATACCAGCATCAAACTCGGTAGGATAACCCTCAAAATACGAGTAAAGGTTAAGAGTAAAAACAAGGCACAACAAATAAATAGCAGACCCAATCATTCCCCGAATATAATTTCAAATCTGAAATTGTGATGGGGGGAAAAAGCACAACAATCTAGAAAAAAATTCCCTTATTCATCTATACCCTTCTTTGGTAGATCAAGGGGACAGATTAAAAAGCAACAACAGCAGCAAAAATAGCAGCTACGATACCGGTCATGGAAGCAGAGACGCTGCTGACGCCGTTGGTGAAGAGAGGAGGGGATGTGCTGGTGGAAGTACCGCTTGCGCCGCCCTTACCGGTTGAGCCTGCGCCGGGGGTAGTTGCGGAGCCTGGGGTGCCGGTTGCGGTGGAGTTGCTGGGAGAAACGCCTGCGCCGGGGGTCGAGGTTCCGGTTGCTGTTGCGGTTCCTGTTGCGGTTCCTGTGTAGATACGTTAGTATAGGTATTCAGAAGAATAATGATGGGATGTGAAGGGAAGGGAGAGAGATGAACCTGAGGCGGAGCTGATGAAGGTGCCGGTGGCAGAACCGGTGGCAGTGCCTGAAGCAGTACCAGTAGCAGGGCCGGTGGCGCTGGAAGGGAAGACGGAAGATGGGCTGGAGGTAGAAGCTGCGGAGCCTGATGTCTGTTAGCACCAGGTGTCCTGGGGAGGGAAGACTACGGAGGAGAGGGAAATAAGAGGGGAAAGAAAAGGACTACGCGGAACTGTACCAGTAGAAGTAGCAGAGCTAGCAGCAGAAGTCGAGTCTCAGAAGGAGCAGGGCAGCTCAAGTCGTAGAGAGGGGTGGTGGTAAGTTCAGAACCGACAATACCGAAACTGGGGCTAGGGGTGGATTTGCCAGCATCCTGGAGAATGTACCACCAAGTATTGACCTTGTCGAAAAGCAATCCACAGCCAACGTCGTCCCAGTAGGTCTTGGCATCGTCGGTAGAGGCAACGGCGAGATTCTCCTTGGGACCGCTGACGGGCCAACCGGTCTCAGTGACCCAGAGAGCCTTGTTGCCGGAGGCAGCGTTGACTCTCTTGATGGCGTCTTGGAAGAGACCCTTTCCGCTCTTGACGTCGTTGGTCTGCGTGTTTTGGAAGTATGGGTAGGCGTCAAGACCGAGCCAGTCGACCGCTTCAATGACGGCGTTGTTGGATGAATTGGCCCAGGCGGTCCAGGTATCGACGTGACCGATGGGGACACCGTCAAGTTTGGTGCCGGCGATGGTGGATCGAACGGTCTTGATGTCGTTGACGATGTCGTCCGGGTTCTTGCCAATACCGGCCTTGGCGGCAATACCGGTGGGCGAGTTACGGTAGAGATCCTCGCTTCCGACGGAGATACCAACCACCAAGTTGGCAAAGTCGTCGCCGTAGGTGGAGATGGCGGACTTCAAGGCAGCGACTTCGTTGTCAAAGGTATCGCCAGAGGCCCAGAGACCGAGAAGGAGAGTAGTGTTTTGTGCAATGGCGGCGGGAATGGCGGAGATGGGGGTGTTGGTAGTTCCACCTTGCTACAACCTGTCAGTTCGACTCTTTCCAAGTTCGACTGTGATAGGATGACATACAATCATAGTGTACAGACGAGCACTAGTAAAGTCCTCGGCTCCCACCAAACCCTTGGCGGTCTTGAACTCAGCCTCGAAATCCGACTGCACCTTGACGCTCTGATCATTAAAAGTCGAACCGTAGTTGAAACCCTTGATAGCCGCAGCGGCCGGTGAGACCGACATAGCCACGGCCAACGCGTTGATGATGTGCTTGTTAGTCATTGTGTCGAATGTCGTACGTAGTTGTTTTGTTGTTTAACGAATGTGCGGCTAGAAGTCAGGAAATAAATCGGTTTTCAAGCGAATGTGTCGAAGTAAGCGAAGGTACTGAGTTATAAAAGAAGCATAAAAACGAAAGTCTAATGAGAAGAAAAAGTCGTGGAAGATGAAGAGAGGTTGAATAAGAGAGAAGGGGAGAAGAAAGGAAGAGTGAGACAGGCTCGACTGATCCGAGATTGCTATCCGCTCCATGGTACAGCCACGATCCTGCCGGCCAATCATGGGCGAGATTACATCAGTAGTGGACTGAGACAGCAAATTTGATTGGATGTTCCGGCTGTGGCTAACCCTAAAGAGCCACCAAAAGTGGATCCCCTGCTTTGCCACTGAAACATTGTTTCGGTATGGTAACAAATACGGTCTATATGCAGGTACGCTCTGTGAGACACTGGTATTATTGGTATTGCTGTTACGCACTATGTGATGACAGGTCAGCATTGCTGAGTAAGATCCAGGTCCCAGGAACATTTCCCTCTGGCTCAGCCAGTGACTCGCTTGACACGTATTCAACAACCTTGGAAACATCATACAAGTTCACATTTTCTGTCCGACTCTTCCGAGTCCGACTAGCCAGACAGACAACGATCGAAGACTCGGCTGATGCGGTGTTTAATTTTAGACAAGCGGATACGCGCAGATCGATTCGGCCTGACTGACTGTCTGATTGCTACGTACGTACTCCGTACCGGGGGTACTCGATCAAGCCATCATCCCTTAAGACATGTCACGTTATAACTACCCCGGCCCCTTTTCTTTAAACTTCCTAGCAAGATGCTGTCTCCTGTCATAACTGTCATTTTATTAGAGACGGATTTAGAAACATGTGACCCGCACAGTTCCTAGCTGTGGGCCAATGCCAAGTCGAGGCGTATGGAGGTTCTGGCCGGAGTCTAGATCGGTCTCCTTTCTTCCAGTCTTCCAGAACTCTCCTGTTCTAATAACAACAGCAACTGGCAGTTATCGAATTCTAAATGTCCGCGTTTTAATCTCCTTTTTCTGCTGATACAGCCCTGCCTCTCCATCCATCATACCATGAATATAACACTCGCCAATCATCTCAAAGATCTTCTCGTCACTGCTCCATGAGCCTCGCGACTGAGCAGTAGTAGTCTTGCATTTGCATTGTCCTGCAGCTTGACATTCGGGCTTGGAACACTTTACTGCTGCATCCCCGCTTGTTTGTGGTACAATTGCCGGAACTATGGGCACGGTCTTTTGACGCAACACAACCGGAACCGAACATCCATTAATGATGCATAGTTTATCCCCCTTTTTCGACTTGGGAGGTGCAAGCGCCCATAATCCCGTCGTACCGATGGATAGTCGTCGAGAACATGTTGTCCGTAGCACCTTTTCGAGATATTCCCTGACGAACGAAGATGCTTCTTCGAGGGTCTTTTCAACGTTCAATGGTCCATCGCGGGGTTTCATACTAAACGCAATCTGACATGCACGTCGCCAGAGTTTCAATGGCTGTTGGCCCAGATCATCCCGATTCCCTACCAACGTCCTCCAGAACGCCTCTGGCGGTGGCGAGGTACTTGTATCATCCCAGTCAGCAAGCTCAGTCCATTCCACGGGTATAACACCTCCATTCGCAGGTGGAGCTTTGCGGTCAATTTCATCCAGAATGAATCCATGTACGGTCAGTACATTTTTACCCTCTTCATCAATCTTCCATCGCGCAGGAACGTTCGGTGTCGCATTATAGAAACATTGTCCCGCTCCTGGTTTGCCGACTAACGGGTCAGCATTAATACGTGTGTATGTGCCGTTGTATGCAGGTCCGAATGCACTTTTGGTCACTGGCTGGATCCAAGAAGGCAATCCTCCCTTATTCTTGTTTTTTACCGTGCCAGTCGCCCCTCGAGGAGCCCATGGTCTGCATATCATATTCAACGATTGAGTCTTGCTGAATGCATACATCATCACGTCCTTGCAGACTTCGGGCACGGGTTTGCTGTAGTCAACAGGAATGGCGTACTCCCTCGTTTGCTTCTTGCGGATACCTTCTGTATGCAATAGATAGCTTTCGGTGAGAGTACTTATAATAGACGCCGAAGAATCTCCTCGACCGCGGCGTGGAACCTGAAGCAATGATGTACTTTGTTCATCTACAGATCGATCGGTGGTGTGCATAGACCCGTTTGGATGTCTTGTAGTACCCCTGGGTGCCGAGAACAACGCTGCGGCATCTTCTTTTGCAGCATTTCCGTTGACTCCAGCGGTTCCTAGTAGTGAATCTTGGGAACTGGATGGTATTAAGTAATTAGGCGCTGCGGCTTGTTCTTCAACCTCTGGGAATACGTCATGTCCACTTATCGCGGTTGGTGATACCTGGAAAGCCCCAGGATTACCGTTCAGGATGGTCGAAATACGAATAGTGGGCGGCTCAGTATAATTTTCTTCTGCGGCGCTTGGCCCTGCCGAAACCGGCTGATCCGCAGTAAATATACGCTGGACCTTTCTGGCCTGCTGTTCATCAGCATGAAGCTCAGGATTTGACCCTGCCCGTTTCCTGGGTGATGTGACCAGAAAACCGTGTTCAGCGTTTGTACCAACTTCCTCAGGCATCTGAAATCTTGTCAAATGCCCGTAATGCATTCCTGCAAGATCGCCTTCCATGTACATATGGATATGCTCTGGCGAGGGTCCATCAGGAGTTCCTTCTCTAGTTGTGCCCGAAGTTGAAAAACCTGCTTTTGCGTCACGCGCAATTGACAACAAGGCATATATCGAGTCACGAGGGTCTTGTGCCTCGGACGCCGAGAACCTGCACAATAAATCTTCCAACGACATAAGCTTTTCAAGTAATTGTCCTTCTCTAGACTTTCGGAAGATATTATCCTGTGCCTGGATTAAACGCGCAGCAGCTGACTCTCGCAAGTCGCCCAGTGAACTCGGACTACAGTCCTTGGCTGTGCGGAGCATGTTATATACTTTTGATTGGCCCCAGGTAAACAGCATAACGGCCTCTGCAAAGATCTCCCACGGTAGCCAATCTGTTCCACAATGCAAGGTGGCTGTTCTCGCCAATGCAATTTCTTGTATAATCCATCGTCGACTGAACCAGGGTCTGCGCATTAATCTTGACAAGGCCAACCATTCGTGGCAGTACTCAACGTTTTCGAGTAATTGGTCTGCATCTTCGTGCCCGAGGCGCGATTTTATGAATTGGATCGCTTTTCGGCTATCGTCTTTCTCGGGGCCGATCCAGACGCATACACAACTTGAGTTGTTGTATATTTGGGACATCATGCGTACTTGACTACTTTTTTCCCGCTCATTTTCTTGGTTGATGCAGATTGCGTCCACCCACAGATACCTATCCTCACGATGAGACCTCAAATGCCGAAGCGCTTGATGCAGGTTAGGACGAATCCGGATGCGATACTGTTGATTGTCATGGATGATTTTGATGTGCTCAATTGGGTCTTGGTCACCCCACGTGTAGGATAGAGTGTCATAGCGCTGCTGCAGAGTGTGTGCCTCCCCCTCTGGTGTGGTCGTGAGTTTGACGACCTCTAGGTTACCTACCAACTCCTCCTGTGCATCGCCACTGCGTAGATTGAGTAGCCTGATTTCGTCTCCTCCCAGTACACATGATTGGTACGGATAGTCACGCATGACTGATAGCTGACTTATAAGGCTGACCTAGCATTTATAGGCAACAGTAACATCACCTGTTGGACAATAGACTGAAGCAGTAATTGGTGACAACAATATATCAACATTGAAATCCGCCTGCTTGAGATGAATTCGACACAGGGATGAGCCTGGCGAAGGTGGGTTACGTCAAACGAATAAATACACGGACAGACCGTCCATGCGGCTGTCTTTAGCAGACGAGGCTCGATGTGTGTTTTCGACATCCCTGTTTTATCGACCTCACGCAAGGCTGCCTGTCTTTTCAGCCGCTACTTTGTACGCAGATTATCAACTCCGTCCTTACTCGGCTTGATGCAGAAAGTGCCGAAGTATTTCTTGCTGCAGTTTCGATTAGGGATAGTGCCTCTTTCAATGGGTCACTTATAAAACTCTTGAACAGGGCAGATACCTAAGATAAAATAGACGACCCCCAATAGCATCGCATATTCGGCGGTAGTGGCGCTAGGTGAGCACCGAGTCCAAACCCCGGGCGAATCGAGTGATGAAAACAAAAAGCACAACCCATTTCCTATTTTGTCACACTAAGCCGGAGTACAGTCCATGTGATTTGTCCTAGAAATGCCTGCAGGCAGCGAATTGATAAAGGGTGATCTGACATCGTGGCAGTGTCTGCAGCTAGGGTACATAGGTATCAGACAACACACCTTGGACAAAATTGCCCCGCATCATAGCCACCCACAGGATATTAGGCATTATTGTCAACATCAGGCTGTAAATCACTTGATGTGTAGCTGTAGTGTATGACTTGCAAAAATTAAGACTCATATATAGAGTCATTATCCAATGTTGTATTCAAGTGGATCGATATCCACCGATGACTCCAGTTGAGATCTTGCATAAGTGCAGTTCATACTTAGATCCATCCTGACTAGTAGATAGTCTCAATTTGACGCAGATCGCTATTGAATTGAGCTTTCAGTCACCGTCGCGCTGTCATACATAAGAAGTGGCAATGTACCTCCCTAATGTAAGTGGGATCCACCTGCATATGGCATACACACCAACATTGGAACAGTTCACAGCCAACATTCAGCACGTTCAACGTCGAGAGAACACCATGAATTACGTACTTCCCAACATAACTTTAGATGCAGCGGGACTGGTCGCAATAGCCGAAATAACGGCCGTCGCTCAGCGAACTGTTTTGACCGGCACCTCAATATATTCGGACTCACTGATACTATGTCCAGGACTGCATCGACAGCAATCAGCGCCAGAGCTCAATCGCGGAGAGTTTCCAGCTGTAGCGGCTATGACCAGTGGGTATGTCTTCCGCGTAGAGAATCCTGCAACTGTATCATTCCTGCAAAGACATGGGGTGACTGGTCATCTTGTCACGCTCGAAGTGCTTCCTATCAGTGACGGGAAGAAGAAAAGATTTAGCTGCTGTATGAGGGATCTAACTTCTCATCTGTTTTATTGGGTATCTGCTGCACTGTCTCCCGTCGTGCTAAGTTACTTCCTCTATGTTCGTGAATGGTGGGGTGTGTTCTGTCTCTTAGTTCTCATGTTTGCTCGTCTTTGCAATGTCTTCGTGATTCGGCGCCGTACCAAAGACATAGGTTGGAAAGGTGCTTCGGAGCCCGGTGCAAAGGGGGATCTCCTGATCCTCATGAGCGGAGACTGCTGGATCAGATTGCAAGGAGCTGTTGATGACCTCAAGGCTGTCACATCAGGCAAATGGTGGCGTGAAAGGACCATGGCCGAGGACTGTCTGACTGCGGTGGCAACGGTATTGGTTTATATCAATACTGCATTGGTGAGCAACATCCACACTTTCAATCAGATCATACTCCTGGTCATGTTTGTGCTCTCTGCGGCTTTGTTGTTTCTTGCGAATATCACGACTCGTGCGATGCATATGTATGGAAGGAAGATCCAAGTCAAGGGTCAGCCAAAGAAGTACTACCGAAGACGAGATATGGCCGATGAACTGATTGCGGAGTCGGGACGCAAGGACTGGGCACGGCGTCTTGGACTGATTGTCGATGTAGATGGTGTTGCCAATACTCCTGTTATCATGTGAGATGTTCTCACGACAACACGTTGCAGCACGAAAATTTCTTGACGAGTGATGCATTATGATTGATGATTAATATGCGCTTATGTTGATATGAGTTGTGTTTCCGAGATGACTTTATAGAGGAGCGGATTTTGAAGAAGGAAAGGAGGGCACGTGGTTGCCCGACATGGAGGTACCTAGATAATGTACCCAACAGAAGACGGTGCTTGTCATTTACGTATGAGTACGTATCATTTGCTCATATAAATGAATGACGCTCAAATTTACTACGACTATGAATTTTTCTTCCTGAATCGCTTACCTAAAGTCAAAATAGCCAAATTGACTTCTTGTCTACGAACAAGAAACTCGCATTCAGGCTGCAGCACGATATATATCACACATTATAGCTCTAAGGACGATCGTTCCCGAGGCCTCTTCACCATTGAAGGCTCAAAGCTGCTTGATTCTTTTCAACTTCTCTACCTGCGCCCAATGTTGTCTCGAGACGAGTGTCAGGCCAGAAGTCTTCCAAGGTTGATTGCATAGGTGCTTTAGTTCGTAGAGTTTCACATGCCACGTCCTGCTCGTCGGTCACGCTTTCACCACATCGGAGTTGGTGGCTTCTTCCGTGTATGATATAACATTGCATTTATCTACTGTATGGTCCTTGATAATGCCCATAAACTAGTAGCAGTCCGAATTGTATGTTGGTGCAAGTGTCCAATACGAAATGAAGTTCAGAGAGATCAGGATAGTGGAGTCGTGGGATCTAGACTTAAACAGGACTAGTACCTAAAATGTGGGGGCAAATCCCCAGACATCAGCTCAAGAATCGCACTTCACTTCTCGCCATGCCTCACCAAGTTGCATCTCTACTGACTGATTTATTAATCAAACATGGGTATCCTCCGCAAAGCCTGCCGCAACTGCACATCCGCCAAGCGGAAATGCGTCGTCCAGCTCCCCAAATGCGCCCGTTGTGCCCAAAAGGGCTTGACATGCACATACGACCTAGAACATCTGAACGCGCCAACTGGACCCGCTGAAGAGACGCCTCAACTATCATTCAACCCCTCAACTTGTGACTCTCCGGGATACTGCGTCTTCAAGACGTTACAGCTCCGCCCATCGAGCATTGACCCGGCAATCTGTAGGCCGGGGCACTCAGATGCCTTTGAGCTTATGCGGTTGGGCTTTCAGGCTGTCCCGGACCTTATAAAAGCAGATAAACCGGCAGTGTTTGTGCACCCGAAGCTGAAAGCTCATAGCAGTTACTATGATCATCTCGCTATCTTTAGAGAGGCAGGGGTATTTGCTGTCACCGAGCAGCGCTTCAATTATCTTCTTCAACTCGATATCAGGACAGTAACCATGGAAGAAGCTCTCACAGCCGTTCAGGCACTTTTAATATATCTCGCAACATTCTTATTCGCCTATGTTGGAACAGGGAAACGATCCCATACAGATCAATACCTAAATATTTTATACAAATGGACACAAACTATTTTCCCCTCTGCGCAAAACAGAATGCCCCGCGATCAATCCCCTTGGCAGGAATGGTTATTCGGAGAGAGCGTTCGACGAACAATTATCATGTCGTACGCTCTAACAATGGCCATGGACAGTTTTGAACATGGGTATTGCTCAAATTGGTTGTTTTTGGAATCATTGCCGTTTGATAGTCGTGCCGGTCTGTGGATGGCAGAGTCACCTCAGGCTTGGATTGCAGCTGCTCGAACAAAGACAGGAGAGGAAGTTGGTGAGAGACTTAGTTCGTATCATGAGTATTCGGAGAGTCTTAAGGGGATGAAGGATGATTTTAAGGGTGATATGTTTTTGAGGTTACTTGTGATTAGCCATAACGGTGTGATATAGTTATATTCGCCCCGGGAGCAGTTCTACCTAGATGCTCTAATATAGAGATTTAAATAGAAGATTATGTTGCAGCATGCTATCACCCATGTAAACCTGTGGGAACTATACCAACATTGGGAATAGGTCACGGCAACATTATCCGATTCAATGTTGCTTATAGCAAAACTTGGACCGGCGGGAACTAGACTCAATCAGATCATTTGAAGTTGATCAAACTGAACAATCAAGAAAACAGTGTAACTTATCGGTGAAGTATGGATATTGCAATGACGGCCAATTCATCCGTTTAGTCCGGTAAAAAGGTGTAGTCTCAACATTCGTCTGACAAGTCAATGGACCACGTCTATAAATTGGGTCACTACTCACTGAAAAAGTGGTGTCTCTTATGAATATCCATCAACTGATAGTAAAAAATACAACATGACCGCAGAAAAACCCCTCCTCGTCGTCCTTGGTGCCACAGGCAACCAAGGAGGCTCAGTCATTTCCCACTTCCTCTCCCAATCCCCATCACCTTACAAACTGCGTGGCGTCACTCGCAACCCGTCTTCCCCAAATTCCATCCGTCTCGTATCCCGTGGAGTCGAAATGGTCGCCGGCGAGTTTGACGACCCCTCTTCTCTGGACGCTGCCTTTCAAGGCGCCACAGCAATCTTTAGCGTGACTGATTTCTGGCAATCCTTCAAAAATCCTGCGTTACGCGAGATTGCTTCAGCTTCTGGACAGAAAATCAGTATTCTAAGTCGTGACAACGAAGCGCAACAGAATCGAAACATTATTGATGCAGCTGCTAAGGTGGACACACTTGAGAGGTTTGTCTACTCCAGCTTGCCGAATACGAGTAAGCTGAGTGGGGGGAAATATTCTCATGTTTACCATTTTGATGGGAAAGCGATTGCGGAGGAATACGGTCGATCTACTCATCCAAAGCTTTGGGAGAAGACAAATGTGCTTTATGTCGGCTATTATCTGGAGAACTATTTTGATGCTGCAGGAGGGATCTTTCGGCCTAAATTGGTATGTTAATCCCATTCCCACTCCCTTCCATACGGTATTTACTCGGTACTAATATATTGATAGAGCAAGGATAAAAGTACGCTGATCTTATCAGTCGCAGCACCCCTGGCCACATCGCCTTTGCCTATGTATTCATCGATCGATGACACAGGCCTCCTTGTAGACGCCCTCCTTCAAGCATCGCCTGGACACAAAATAATTGGCGCCAAGCAGTGGCTTGATCTACAGGGATTTACAAAAGTTCTAGGTCAAGTTCTCGGTAAGAACGTCGAGTCCATTGAGGAAAGTCCTAGTTTCGAGTCGTTGGGAGATCCCGACTTGATTGAGGATCTTACAGATATGATGGGTTGGTGTGTAGAGTTTGGGTTTGATGGAGGGAAGGTTGATAATAGTGTTCTTCAACAAAGTGATTTGGGCGTGCCAGTGCTATTGCAGTCTGTGGAGGACTGGTGTAGGAAGCAGGATTGGGAGAAGTGGTTGGAGGTTGTTGAGTGATACAATCACACGTCTCTACCCTGGTCTTGATCATACGTATGTGGAATGATTGATCAGAAGAAGTCTATTCATTATAATGTCATAAAACGCAATAGCAGTAGCAAATCATCATATTTTAGCGATCCTCCATCCAACTCTTGCCCACCGGTTCAGCATCAAGCACCCGGTACCCAGAACAACAGCAATACCCGCAAACAACTGTGCACCCATATAATCTCCCCCATCAACCTGTATCAGAGCTCCCTCAATCGCCGGCGCAGTCAGACAAAAGAAACTAATAATCGTAAATATCATCCCCGTCCTCGTACCCATTTTGCTCATATCCGTAGTCTGACGAGTCGCCATCGTTGGGAAAAGTGCTTGTGCGGCACCAGCGAATAGTCCGTACGCAACGCTCCAGACATATAGTCCAGAACTACTATCGACAGCCATCCAGAAATATATGCAAATTGCACAGATGATGTTGCAGAAGATATTCATGTTTGTGATACCAGTGAATCGTTGGGCGAGGATGTTCGGGACCATTCGGCCAATGACGCCCACGCCGTTGAGGACAATGACGAGGTTCAAAGAGTCTGCGAGATGGATTGTGCCCCGCGCAAATGTGCCTAGGTAGAAGAAGGCCATGTACAGTCCCCAGAAACAGAGGGACATAGAGGCAATAAAAGCGACGAAGGGAGTTTCGCGGAATGCGGCCCATTCAACAAGCGGTCCCGTAGAACGGGGTGGGACATAGGGTCGATATCCAATAATTGATGGGATATGCGTAATCAACATAATCAACCCCATGACGCGCATTGTCCAGGGAAATCCCACAGTGGAATGGTATAGCAACGCATTGGCCACTGCAGGATACACCATACCTCCAGTAGCAGCACCCGCAGCAACAATCCCAATGGCAAGGGTCCGTCTCTTCAAGAAATACGAACTCGTTACTGACAGACCCGGGGTGAAAAGTAGCCCGCATCCCAACCCATAACAGATAGCCTGACACAGAAAAATGGCCCAAAACTTCGTTTCACACAACGATGTAAGGCAAATCCCGAGAACCTGAAACACAACCCCGGTGACGAAACAATGCCGAAAATAACCTGCATCGGTAGCTCTCCCCGAAAACACGCCTCCAAAGAAAATGAGAAACATTTGAATGCCGCCAATCCATCCTACGGTGCTTGGAGAATGACCCAGGGTTTCGGTGTAGTATTGTTGAAAGACGCCGTAGCTGTTAGTCACCCCGATAGTGTTGAAAAACACCATATGCCCGAAGAAGACATGTAGCCAGGCTAGGGTTCCGCCGTCTGGTGGTGGTGGGATTTTGAGGACGTCTGGGGTGGCATCTGACGAGAGGGAGGAGACGGATGACCCCGGCTGTTTTTCGGGATCTTCCATGGTGGTTTGCGACTGGATAGTCGATAATCTCCTTCGGGGTATGGTTTGCTGCTCTATGCCGACCTCACTGTGGAGCTGTGTTTGATCTTGATGGGACTGATTCCCCAATGTTGAGATATGCAAGCTCCACTGCAGCTGTTACGAATATGAGTCCAAAAACGCGGAGAAGTCCATCTTTATTAACAAAAAGGTTTCCGCAATTCATTCAGCTTTCCCCGCGGGAAAAGTAATCAGAGAAATCCATAGTGACTCAACTAGGATCTAAAAGCTAAATAATGTAGTCAAAGACGACTATCACTATATCCGCTCCCCGCAAATCCCGAATATCCCGTTGATCCCGGATCAGCCCTAATCAGTAACATAACTAATTACTCCCTAGTTAACTAACGTAGTTCACTAGTGAGTTGGCCACACTAGTGAGTTGGCCACTTTTACCCGAAAATAACTCTATATTGATTTCAAATCCCAATTTTCAAAGCCACATACAAAAATATATACAAAAATCTAACTACTAGTACGATTAGGACATCGATTAATTTTATGTCCTTCAACACCACAACCACTGCAGCGAAATTGGCGGCGTACGACTGCTTGAGAAGCTGGGAGCTCCGGCTCACCCGGAGCAGTAGTAACAGCTTGAGATGCCTCAACCTGATCTTGTACGAGCGCTTGAGCTTCTTCGCCAGTAATCCCATGCTCAATAGATATCTGTTTCTTAGATTTTTGGCGTTTTTGTTTCTCTTTGCCATGCGCAGCTCGTAAATCACGGTTTTCTTTCTGTACGAGTACAAGATCATTCATAGTCGTTTCATAGGCCTTTGACATCCGCATAATTGCTTGATCAATCACTTGATTTGGGCTTCCTGTACGCTCATTTATACGTTTCGTAATTGTAGTTGACTGGCGTACAAATTGGCGTATATTTTGAGGGGTTTGTAAGCAAGATGATTGTGTATTGCTTGATCGACTCGGAGGGGGTGTTGGTGTTTTTAATTGAATATTAAGTTGTTGAATAACTCGATCCGGATTAAAAGGCACTAATCCAGTGGCTGTGAAGCTATTCCGAATAGTTTGAGCTTTATATGCCACCGTACGAGCCTGTGGAAATGCCATTAAAAAGTCCATTTTGTCGATATGGTTGAATCCAAGCCTCATTCGTTGCTCAACAAGCTGCCCATAATGCCGTTTTAAAACAGCAAAACAGCCAACATCAAGAGGCTGTAATATATGTGAAGAATGAGGTGGCATGCAGATTGGAATAATATTATTCTCAGTGCATATACGATCAAATTCTGCAGTCAAATGGCTTCCATGGCCATCAAGAATCAACATTCGATATTTTCCCATTGTACGATCATTAATATAGGGAATAAAATGGGTTGTAAGCCATTCTAATCCTATTTGATCTGTAGTCCAACCATTCTCGCTAATATTGATCCTCCAATCACTTGGAAGATCATCAAACCAGCCTAATCGTACGTTTTTCTTTGCCTTGAAAATAATGTACGAAGGAACAGCCCATCCAGTTGAATTTGTTGCCTCAATTGCAGTCACCCATTCTCGATTCCCAGGCTGTAAAAGCTTTGGCCGTGCATATCGATCGCTTCCAGTAATAACCTTTGCAGATGAGCAGAGTCCCATAGCAAAGCCAGTCTCATCAAAATTGTAAATATCTTCTGGTAAGATCCCATACTCCAATATAGCAGCTCGTACGCGATCAAAATGTTCCCGGATTATCTTCGGATCTTCGCATTTAGCGCGTTCATAGTTATATCTTCGTGAGAACTTCGAATCGATCTCTGGACGGCGTTTAGTCAGCTTGGTTACCCAATTCTCACCAACTTGTTGATTGCCACGTTGTAAAAGCATATAATTAGCCATTTCTCGTACGAGAGAGTGCCGGGGAGGTAATCCACGTCGATCTAAATCAAGAACCCATTTGACAAGCGAATCCTCCTCAGATTGAGTTAATTTATGGTTATTGGCGCGTTTTTCAGCTCGATATGGCATGCCGTTGATTCTATTTTGAAGAGTTGACCGTGAGATATTATAGATCTCTGCTGCTTTCCGTACAGAGCGTATTCTGCCATTCTTTAAATCAGAAATAGCTAATAGGATTCGTCCTTCTTGCTCAGCAGAATTTTTTTGATTTTTATTGCGAATTGGTGGCATATTGACGCGTTGAGTTGTGAAGGATCAGTATAGAACGCGTATTCGGGTAAAAGTGGCCAACTCACTAGTGTGGCCAACTCACTAGTGAACTACGTTAAAAAACAGCGTAGATGCTTAGATAAGATAAGATCCCAACCGATTTTCCCGCGCTTCCCGTCAATTTCTCCTCAACTTCCTTCCACTCCCTACCCCGCAATTGCCAGCACTACGTATCATACTAGACACGCATAGCACTTATCAGAATGGAGGTACGAAATCTGTCAGATAATTCGCCGCCAACTACCATTGTGTCAACCCCACCACGTAAGCGTCGTCGGGCTAAGCTTGCCTGCGATCCTTGCAGATCCCGCAAGCGAAAATGTGACGGTCATCTGCCTTGCGAAACATGCATTCAATTCGAATACGACTGCTATTATGGTAGCACCACAGCATCAAAGAAACCAACAATAAGAGGGCAATCTTCAGAGCATGAACATAGTCATATTAGCACCATATCCCCGGTATCCGATCATAATGTCGTTTCGGCGACAAAGGATACACCGACGAATCGGTTGACATCACCTGCTATCAGTAATAATGCAAACTCTCAAATGGAATCACTCGAGGCGAACTCCGGCGCAGCCTTTGTGAGAAGACTAGGTCTGAAGATTGACCCGTCTAATGCACCGCGCTTACATCTTTTTGCGTGGAATACTGGTGAGCGTTTGGCGGGTTGTCCGTCTGGAAGCCGGAAACGGATTACTAGTATTTACACCAAGGTTGAAATGAAGAGTTTAGCATTGATTTATTTCGATAAAGTTGCTTATGCCTACGGGTTTATTGACCGCGACATCTTCTTTCAGCGTCTAGAGGAACGATGGGGAGCGGCAAGCCTGACAAAGATTGATAATGATGATACATACGACCCGGTCTTCTGTGGAGTAGCGGCATTGGGTCTTTTGTTCTCACAGAAATTCCCATCGGTCTTTGAGCCAGATCTTGTTGAAACTGCGAGGGTGTTGCTGGAGCAGCACTCGTTGTCAACGCCGCCTTCGCTTGATACGGTGACTGGCTGGGTATTGCGAGTTGCATATCTGCGCATGACTTCCTTGCCGCATATTACCTGGTTGGCGAGCTGTTCATTGATGCACGCTGTTGAAGCAGCAAGGATCCATCTGGAGTCACCATCCCGAACCGTGTTTGAGGGATCGTCGTCGGAATACGAGAATATTGATCTCGACATACGTCGCCGCTTATGGGGGATGGCACAACACTTGAATATTTGGGCTTCCTTTGACCTTGGCAGGACAAAGATCACATTATCTGGCGCCTCAACGAAGCCATTTACTCCAAAAGCTGGGGATCATACATCTGAACTTTTGGCGTTCATACCTTTGACCGAGCCGCTAGATCCTAATAAGACGCGAAGCGTCGAAGATCTGGAGGCGGACTTAACTCGTGTCCTGGACGAAGACCTTGAACGACCACCCGTCATCATGGCACAAGTCAACCTCACGTTGTGCATTTTCCGCCGCCTCCGAGCCCAAAAATCGCATATGCTGAGCCTTCAAGCAGATCGAATTTTGGAGCTAGTCATTAAAGGGCTACGTGCCGCTCGGCAAATGGTTGTAGATTGTAGTCCCTGGCATCATGTAGCCAATGTTCCATTCCAAGTGGTTTGCTTATTGCTAGCAATCGATAGTCGAGCGTCACTGGCCTTGTTGGGTGATGCGATGGGCACATTGCAGCTTGTGGCCAACATGTGGAATAGTGCCGTGATGCGAGAAGCCTATAACACCGCTTATTTATTAATACTCCTACATCAACGACGGAAAGAGGAAGATGCGAAAGCTCTTCGGGATGTGTTGAGTATGCATTCGACCGCACCGGCGATGACAGCAGTTGACTCTTCATCCACTTGGCAATTCGGTGGTTTCGGCAATAATCAGCACAGCGGCTATCAACATCCACCGCAGACAATGATGACAGCGACGGCGGCTGATTCTGCGGAGTTTTCGTGGTTGGAAAATTTGATTTCTGATATGCCGAGTTTGAGAGAATTTGATTTGGAGCAGTTTCTTGTACAGGATGCGACGCAGCCGCAGGAACCTGAGATTGCGACGGGTTTTGCGCCAGATCTCAATCCTTGAAGTATGGGCTGTTTCATAATGTACTATTATTGTTGCGACTTAGTAAATTTATTTATGACCCGACTCTTATCTCTCCACATGCTGATACTTGAGTACGCTGATCTACTACTGATGCATGATATGGATTTCTAGACACATCTGTGCTACTAACTAATAACAAATGTAAAACTGATCATCTGAATTGATATCACTAATTCATGCACAGTAATTGTCTATTTTGTGACCTTAATAGTGATCAAATGACAACCTTATCGGGATCTACTAAAGAATTAGGGTTGCGCCGGTTCACAGTCTAAATGCCTTAGCTAAATCATAGCGCAGCCCATAGGCAGCTCTGACCCTGTGACACCAGCACGATCTTCCTTTTAGTGTTCAACTAGGCTGAGTCTGGTGATGGCTTTGTTATCATTGAATTTCCTAGTAGCTATTGTGGCTGGAAGTATGAATTCCCAGCCTCCAGTTTAGGGATTGTTCCTGGAAATACAAAATGGCGAGACTCTGCAACATTCTCAAGTTTGACAGATTCTCTATTGAGTACCCAGGGTGGCATTATTGTACTTATTCAACAATAGACATTCATCATACTGTCAAAGTCCTATTGTGTAACTCGGACAGACAGCTCCTAAAAATGGTTGACGACCACAGCGATGAACACCATCATGATGAGGAACCGACGGAATCTTCTCCTCTACTCCCAAAAACTGATAAAAAGAAGCAAAACGAAACACCAAATAAGCAACAACAAAGCAATACAAACAACAAAACCGACACCAATAGAAACATGGACAACTCAACTGCACCAATAACTACAAGTCCAACGCAGTCGCGTGCCAACACCACCATCGGTCCGCCAATAGACATCAAACCTGGACCAACAGGAGGCACAGCACTAGCAGGAGGAAATCCAAACGCACCAAAAAGACAAGATACCCAGTCCTGGCCCGCACCAGCCGGTCTCCCACCTCGCGACGACGACGACGAAAGTCTAATCATCTTCCGCCGCGCAATCGGTATAAACTACAACCTCGCCGCTGCCGACACCGTAAGCATGGAAGAAGGTCGTCGCAAAGCCGTGGGGATCTATCACGCCGTCATAAAAGCGAAAAGAAACAAAATGTGGCAATTTCGCACCATGTGGTGTGTTATCCTGTTCTGCCATTTTGCGCAAATCATTATCGGGGCTGCGTTGACTGCTTTGGGACCACTGGCGAATGATCATGGTATTGTTATTACGATTCTGGGGGCGTTGAATACTGTGATTGCGGGCGTGTTGGCTCTTGTTAGTGGGCAGGGGCTTCCGGATAGAATCCAAAAGGATGAAATTGGGTATCGGAAAATACAGGATTGGATTGAGGAGACGGAAGCGTTATTGAGCGTGGGAATCATTGGGAGGAACAGAAAAGAAGTTGGGCTGTTGGTAGAGGAGGCTTTCAAGAAGTACAATGCGGCCAAATCGAATGAGGAGAATAATCGACCGAGTTCGTATGTGAATGCGCCAGAGGAACCGTCTAGGGCTACTGGAGATGGTCGGAATGCGTCTACGTAGGCGACTCCATAGAATTGATAGCAAATACCATCACAAGTTCCTCGAAAAGGAGGAAAAATGAATGCATACAGAAAGGCCTGTCTAGCTAACTATCTTTGACGCTGGAAAGCAATATTCCCCTCAAAATAACCTCCAACCGACCATACCTTCATCTTAGGAAGACTAATCCCATCACCATACCATTCCAAACTCTCCTCATCATTAATGGACGGAGGCACCTTTGAGATATAAGTCAACCCCCATGACCCCCTATACGACGGATGAATCATCAGCCAAGGGTTTTCCCGACCATTTCCTGGGTCATCAGTTGCAATAACAGCGGCAGTCGTAGCAGATTGACTGCGATACCTAGGTGGTGGCAGGGGCGGTTGTACAAGACCACCCGGTGAGAAAGCTGGTAGAGTCCATTTTGGTAATGCAGAACCTTTCAGCAAAGCCGTGAAAAATGTCCCTTTTGGATCGAGGGGTGCCGCGCTGTCTTCTGGGTGATATAGTTTTAATATTTGATCCTGTCTACCGACTTGCTCAAAGACGAAGCGTGCTCGATGTTTGGGAATATCTTCAATCAAGTCAGACCATAATGTCACACAAGGAAAGGGACAAAGCTCACTCCAATTCCTCCTCCCGTTCCATACACTGGTATCAGTCGAAACATAAATATTACTTATCCTAGCGTGCCGTGTCCCTGAATGCGGATTTACAGACATTCCCGGCATGACAATGAGTTCATCGTATGGACCGACATCTGTATCTTCATAGCGTATAATAGCGAGAAATTTCAGCAGTCTGCCAATACCATTAAGTTGAGATTTGCCATTGTCGAGCTTGCGGAGTGTGTCTGAGTGTACATGGGGTGATACGAGCGGGGTTGAGCACATCTTGTAGAATGTCCGGGACATTATTGGGATTTAGGCTTGATGTTGTTGTCTCAGTGCTGTTTGTGTCACTGACGTCGCGGTAAATGAATGTCCATGACTTGGCCTTCAGGGTCCATGTAGGTGGTGCAACTGGGATATCCTCTCTGGGTGGCGCTGAGCCGGGGACTGCTGGGTCTGGAACTGGTGGGACGAAGTCGGTTGATATGATGTGTGTCTGGTATACAAAAACTTTCTACTGTTCAAAATGTGTGAATCTCTACATGTATCCAGCTGTGCGTGGATGAAGGATGGATGGAATCAAGAAAGTTGACACATCTAGAAGTGTGGGGTAAGATTGATCAACAATGAGCCGAGGGTTGGACCTCTAATATACACCAATCTCATTATATCGAGGTATCCTCCACAGCAGGATAATAATCCAAGCCATATGTAGCATTGAGCGTGACAGCACCAGAAATACTTCCCTCTTCAAGTCGGACCCATGTATCTGTCTGCGAACCCAACGTCTTCTCATCTAGCAAGATTTGTCTTGATCCCCGGGTCCAAGTACCATATCCGCCATAGCCACTGTGACGGTCGAAACAGAGCACGACTCCGGCGCCTTTGATATCCATTTCGGAGAGAGTTGAGTTCCATTTGAAGCACCTAGAACTTTAGGTTAGGGTCTGAGGAGCTCGCAGAGTGTGACGATGAGACTTACCAATCGTTTCCATGGTCATGTCCACTAAATGTAGCTATCAGCCCCTTCGTCTCTACCAGAGCCTTCATAAAAGGTTTGTCTAGGCCAGTATAATTGAGGGAACCATCAGAAGGACCTTGCTCAGCAAGCGGATTATCGGCATTGATGCCCGGCTCCGTGTGAGGCTTGGGACCGGGGGCTTGTTGAAAAGCGAGCATGGCCGTGACCGGGATGTGAAAGAATGCCAATGAAGGAATAGCTGCATGGTAGATTTTGTTGAGATGGTCTCGGGTCTTGGTGAACCAGTCAACTACCTGTGGATAGTCAATCTACTGCATCATATGAAGTGATATTTGATCTCTGCCGTACCGATTGATGGACAAAATCATCGATAGGAATTTCATCACCGTTCTTATTAGCAGCCTGGAATTCATTTCCACCTCTGCTATCGAAAAACCACAGAATCACCTTAGGTGTTTTGTCGCTTTTATCAGCCGAATAGACCGGTAAATAATAATTTGACAGACCCGAGTCGTATCCATACGTCCAGACCATACTCTGCGTCAGGGAATTGGGGTATAGCTTCTCTCGTGCAAAAATCTCCTGCCGCGAGAGGTTGAATTGACTATCATGATTACCGTATGTCGAAGCCCAATAGAGATTACGCTCCACGAGCGGCGCCACAATTTGGTCAATATAGTGACTGGAATTGTCTCTAAATGTATTTTCACCGGTGATCAAGTCGCCATTGAGCACGACAAGCTGGGGACTCTCATGGTTTAGGATACTACTCATAACTCGTGTTGAGTTGACATCCTGTTGCGGACCCCAGTCCAGGTCTTCGGCTGTTATATTGTTAGCATCGCACCAAATTCATTGATTTATGATGAGGAATGTTATTTTCATAATTACCCTCGCCATAATGCAAATCCGAGAATACGGAGATCTGAAATGTTCCCTTGTCTGTAAATCGGAGAATGGGCATTTGAAGACCCAAGCCCAACGCACACTTTGCGCCGATTGCTAGCGCAAGAGCGATAGATTTCATGCTGGCATTAATTCTTGTCAAGATATACCAGTAATCCGAAATATTCTATTGATGCAACTGAAAAATGGAAAAGAAATAACGCCCGGATAGACCTGATAAATGATTCTGGACATCAGGTATTGTACGATTAGATAAACCGTTAATTAGATAGCGACCAGCACACTACACAATCAAAAGCCACTCGGAATAATCCATTTGCCCTCGTGTCTAATTATTTGCCCAATACTAATGCTAATTTCCGGTCTAGCCGTTGGTGTAGTATAAAGTGGATTTTGAGAACAGCCACCACCAACTTTGTTCAGACCATGCACTATCGACGAGCGAGTTATGATGAAGTCCTGAGATCTAGAATATCTAGTTCAATTCTTCAATATCGATCAAATCTCTACAGAACAGGAAGGTCAGTACATGAGGTTGCATTCCGACTTGGAGAGATGTATGGCGCCGCTTAGCCCTAATCGGGTAGCCCTAACTTAGGGATTTTCAAACGATTTAGGTCTACTACTACATAGTATTGAGGTTGATACATTTTGTCAGTCACGAAAGTTTATCTCTGTCGCCACCAATTGAGACCGGAGATTATCATCGTATCAATTTTGTAACTACTCATTACAGATAGTCCATTTCACAAAATCTCTTCCCTCATTTTCAAACCTCAGTCAACACGTTTGTCATGTCTACCCCAATATCGGGGTGTTTGACAACCGGTTTCCTAGAAGCCTGTAGAACAAAAGACTTCTCAAAATGGCATGCAGCATCTTGAATTCACGTTCCCTATACTAGTGATCTGATGCTATGGTTTGATTTGAAATGAATGAACAGAGGATGACTGTTGCCTAACAATTAGCCTAAGGAAAACAAAAGATCAAATACAGAGAATTTTCTGCTTATTCAATATGATTGTTAACAATAACTCCCAGCCAATGCAGGTGATGTCGTTCCTAATAAGGATATGCACATCAGACATGCATGTGTATCAAAACAACTTTGTCAACAACACAGCTCTCACAGTATACTGTCTTTGATCCCTTACTCTATGCAAAAATGCCTTCAGTACTAGATACACCTGAAAACACTGTGGGACTGGTTTTACTGCAGCGCAAACCAATGTTTCAAGAATGTGGTTGAATACGATCCGGACTGGGATAAGTTAAGATTTCTGAACAGGTCTTAGCCATATTCGCTCGGCTAACAAGACTTCTGTTACTAGAATTTACAATTTTTCTACAGCAACTTCTGTCTTTAACACTGAAAGAGACGGTTTTAAGATACACACTGGTGCTATCAAAACATTGTCGGCTCCATTGAGAGCCAAGGTGGATGAAGCATGCATAAACGACGTGAGAGACAGGTTTGTACCTCCTAAGGATGTGCGGGTTAAGGTCTTTCGAGTTTTTATAAGTTCGCATATAGAGGCCACTATGCTTACGCGATGTATGGTCGCTCTACAACACACTCGAGCCGCAAAGCAAATGAGATCAACACGAGGTAAGAGGACCTCAAGTTCGACGAAATGCGCCAGAAAACGCGCGAAGACTTTGACGAATTGTGGCGGAACATCCTGGGAAATCTATCACCTACGTCTCGAATCCAGGAACCAGCACGGTAATCCTCGAACAGACAGAGTTGGCTAAATTGATCTTATCGCTAAGAAATCGTTTCATCATGCTGGGTTACATCCATAAATTACCAGGCTTTCGGGTAGAACCAGACGCGCCACTTTTTAGCACATATGCATTTGCAGGAAAGTATTCAATTGCGGCACTCTGCCAAAAGACCTTGGGAGACATACATTCATATCTTTGCTGGGTTATTATGGTTAGCACATTCCCAGGTCGTTAGGTAGGGGCCATGTCCACGATTGGATCTCTGATGTTGTTCCCAGTGGACGTCGAAATCTGAAGAGCAGCATCCACTCCGCGACTTATATATTTGGTACGCCGTCTGCTTCAGTCCGTTCCTGCACAGCGATGAAAGCTTTGAAAAAAAATTTTTTAGGTAGAATCAGACTTCGACGTCGTTAAGAGCCCTAGCTGAGTGAACTCAATGTGACGGCTGGGCATAGCTCTGTGTTCCCGTCTCAGTTCACAGATAGGGCTCGGAGCCGTATAACCCTATCCGCGCCGTATTGGGAAGTCATATCAATATCAGATGTCGGAGTTGGATAGGGAAAGGCGCCTCGCACAGAGATTTATATGAGAAGCGAGAGCCTGATCTTTTGCTTCATTTCTTCCTTTTCCCCCCTCATGCTCAATATTACCTGTCGACAGGCTCCTCTTGTACGAGATAGCTAGCTAGGATAGTGTACTCAAATCAAGGAGATTGGCAACGTCACACTCAAGGGGAAGATCAAGATTTGAAGAGAGCGTTGCATAATACTTATCAATCTCTAAGTGTGGTCTTATTGTATAAATAGTTAACTATTGTGTACAATGTGAACCAAAGATGCCATAAATAAACACTCTTAGTGCTTTTTGGATTTATTTGTTCTAGGTTACCTTAGACGATCGGTGTGGAAAAGTGTCTAAGAAAACTCTAATATTTCTAATAAACAGGAGGTTTTTATGATTTTTCCTTTCATTCACAGACATTCCTGTAATTTCGTTAAATGGGAAAAATTCTTCAATTATCCTAGCTCACTTTTTACCTTTCTCTTCATCCACTTTTCTGTCTGCATAAACTGATGGGTGTCAACTTCTTGTCAACATATGCATAATATTTCTGCATATCAAAGTCCTGAAGTCTCATCCAAGTCACCAAGTTTTATGACCATGGCCAATCTTCTACACTGGAATGAGTTGAGATCTCCTGGACATACCTTGCATAAAAGCCTCGCTAACTTTAATGTCTGCCTCCAGAATCATCAAATCCCCCCTGATTACCTTCGAGGTGGGCGAGGATAAAACACCAGTAAAGATCCATGCCGCAGCGGTACAAAACCTGTCAGATCCCCTCACTGAGCGTATTTGTGATGAAGGATGCGATGGCAAAGCTGTCACTCTCGAGGGTGTAGAAGATGAGACGTTCTGCAGATTTATGGAGTTTGCATACTGTGGTACTTATACCACTCCTTTAGCTCAGCATGTCCAGAGTGCGCAACATTCAAATATCAACCGCCTTGAAAACGATGGCAGCGCTAGAGACCCGCATCGTCTCTATCTAACTACTCCAGTCGCTCGAACGATCTTACCGGCACCAAACACAAGTCCATTTTATCGACGCTTCTCAAAACAATTCAGATCTCTGGAATTCAACAATGTACCTGCTATGAGATCCGTCAATCCAAATATAATATTTCACACAAAGCTCTACGTCTTTGCCACGGAATTCCAGGTTTTGTCTCTGCGGAGACAGTGTCTCAGCAAGCTACACAGGGATCTGTGCGAGTTTTACATGAATCCGAGCGATGCAAATCTTGTACTTGACTTGATCGAATATGTGTATACTCACACAGCGCAGTATGAATTGGGGGAAGAGTCTCCTCTTCGAAGCCTGGTGTTTCAGTACATTTTGTGTCATATTGACAAGCTAGTTGTCCAGGAGAGATTCGAGGAGATCGTCTCCCGTACTGGAGGTCTAGCCATTTCCATTTTGCGGGAATTCTTGAAAGCATGGTGACTGGATATTCCTGTTTAATGTGCTATCTGCAAGTAATGATTTTCTTAGTGTGGCTTATGAGAGGGACAGCTATTGATTTGGATACTATGGTAATATCTGGAGATCTTTGCGGTCTACCTACAATAAGCGGACTAGTTCCTGGATAGTGCAGTCAAGCAACAGCTATATTATTATTACTGCCGGGTTTGACCATTTTGTGACTGGGACAATAGTTCAGTTTCTGAAACTTTGATGGTTTTTCCCAATGTGGCCCTCTTCCTCACTATCTTTGTATCCCAGCATTTAATAAAGCAATCATAACAATTGTTCATCACTTACTTCACTTTCTTCCTGTGAGCTAATACACTACCTTTTATCAAAACAAGAAGCCCTGACATCTCTTGATATTTCGCTCTTTTGAAAGCGGGCTGGTCAACCGAGATCACAAACCCTACAACTTAATTGATATCTTTTGTCTCTGGTGTGAATATACTGACAGGTATAAATACTTCCAATTTGTCTCTCAATTCATGTCTTCTAATACATCTACTCTCGACTTATCAGATCCCCCCTATTCAATTTCCACATTGGAGAGGAAAAGGTCCCTGTGGCCATCCATACCGCTCTAGTGGAGAACAAATCTGCACCCCTCTACTCCATGATGACCAACGGGATGAAGGAATCCGAGGCTGGAGTTACGACACTAGACGATGTGAACGTTGGTACTTTTGTTGGCTTTTGTTCTTATGTATATACACTCCAATACAGGGTTCCAGCATCGGTTATACTAGAAGGATTGAACGAAGGCGCATCACGAAAATTTCCTCACGAGCTTCCCGAGAAGATCTACTGAATCTGTTGAGAATGATCTTAAGAAATCCTTCAAGCTCTCGATATTGACACACATCTGCGCGAAGTCCATCGCTGAAGGTGGCATTGGTGGAGAGGAACTTGAGGAAACTTTTTAAAAGTCAGTGGGAAAGACACGTTGCCCAAATGTATCCAGTAATACAGTACCACGAAAAAAGTGTTGACACCCTTGTGCGGGTGTTACCGATATTGGGGGGTGCCAACACTTTTTTCATCCCACTGTGCCTATCCTGCTACCGCGCGCGAGTACATTTTTTCCATGTGAAGTTAGACATATTTTCGACAAAGTATCTCCTCGAGGGACTGCGCCAACAATATCTCGCAACTATTCACCGCATCCTCCGCTATTACCCTGCGTCCATCAAGAACTCAGGCATGATCATTGAGGGGTGGGATTTCATCTACCAAAACACTGGGCGAACCAAGCCAACAGGGAAATCTCCTCTTCAGGAATTGATAAGCCATTATGTGGCTTGCAAAATTCCTATTCTGTCTCAGCATGAGTCGTTCTTCGGGACGTTGGACTCAGACGGGGAAACGGGATAAGATTTGGTACGTGAAATGTTAAAATAAATGAGTACCAAAAACGCGGAAAAAGAGATAGGACCAACTGCGGACAACTGTTGCTGAATATAAGAGAGCTAAGGGGGAATCTTTATATACCTCGCATGAAACCGGTGAATAGGAAACTCACCAATTCAGGACTTAGCCATGGATTGCGTGATTAGCAGTCTCTTGGTCTAGCTAAGGATGATAGATTCGTCTCGCTTTGGACTCATGAGGAGATTTTGACAAATCTGGTATTGAATACACTGGAATAAATGCTGGACAACCTACATCTGTCTGGCCAGCTACGGGTTATGCGAGGCTGGTTGACGGATGTCGAGCATTTTAGTCAGATAAACATATCGCCACTGGGAGTAGGAAATATTCTCTCGAATACAATTTCATTGTGTCTTTGAGCAAATGCTACAAGTCTCATAATCAAAGCATTTTGTCCATCTAATGGATGGGATTCTCTCGGTCACTGATGTCTCTTTTATACAAGAACTAGTAACTAGTTTATGATACAAGCATAATGTTCACCTCATGTATGAGGTTCTTTGTCCATTATTCCAGACTTACAATTTGTTTATTTGGATGAGTATGACTATGTTTGAAGAAATCACCGCTAACCATATAATGACTCAGGACTGGTTGATATCATCGAGGCGGCCATGTCCGCTGGAAATCAAGTATCGGAATAAGCACCGCCTACCCATGATAAGTCAATCTATATTGCGCTGAATGCCTTCATTTGTCTCTCGAGGTGCCTCGGCTGGGAGTCTGAGTCTCCTGGACTTCGATTGGTGCCTGCAGAGATTAGGTAAATATCCTCACTTCGACCAACTTCCAAACTGACCAATATGAGAAGCAGGAAGCCCGAGGTAAACCAATTCAGTTTCTTTTCACCAAAAATAATGACCGATATCCTGCGCCTTGTACCCTTCGCCCAGTGTTGCTGGGAAAATCCGTCCTCACCAGCCTCTCACTTAGCTATATAAGAGCCGACAATCCCCCTTTGCACACATCTCTTTTTCTAACTTTATAAACATTTCAAAGAGCACACTGATTGTGAGTCTTACCTCTCTCTTTGCTGTCTTTCTCCAGATCCTTCACTAGAACCTTTACCAGATCGTTTATCAGATCCTTCACCAGGTCCTTCACCAGATCCTTTCACCAAATCACAGAGGTATGTCAACTCTCAAGTTACATGCATCCCATATTCCACTTCGATGTGAGATTGATGCATCATATCGAGTATCAAAGCCCATTCTGACACTATATCTGTCATATATAGATACCAATCCAAGATGGCCAAAGGCAAGAAATCAACAACCTCTGCACGCCGCCAACAGCGCCCTGGGCCAGGTGCAATCACTCCTATTGCTGGCATCAATCTTTCGCGCTGTGGGGGTAATCTTAGCAACCCCGTCCGCGATATTGAGTGGCGTGCTCCACAAGCACAAGAACTTAATACAACCTATCGACGAAAAGCGGCAAAGATATACACCCACGGAGCCGTTGCTGACTTGGTCCCTTGCGAACGATGTGCACAGGGCAGAGGTCCATTCCAGAAGTGCGTCATTGCCTGGGACGACAAGGGCTACGTTGGCAACGCAAACTGTGCAAATTGCTACTGGTCCCACAAGACTAGCTCTTGTAGTCGACGCTACGTTTTGCCATGTCAAGCGCTGATGGAAGAGGGACATCCACTAGGTGATTTCGAGGAGGCATGTCGAATCCATTGTCACGGTGCTCATATTCCTGATGAGGACGGAGAGGAGTCTTCCTCTGATGAAGAAGACGACTCCGACGACGAATATGAGGAAGAGACAGATGAGGCATCCGAAGCTGGTGCTGACGGTGATTACGGAACTACCTGTCAAAAGCGCAAGTCAGTAGGATCGCCGTATGACAGCACTGGAGGAGACACGCCTAAGGCCAAGAAGATGCGATGAATTCGAAGTCCAAGCCGTGGACTGCCCGTCTGTCTGCTGACAATACGATGTCGGATTCAAAATCAAGGTCACTCTAGAAGAAGTCAAATGTACGCACCATCTACATTTCATACATCCTTGCATTGCCAAATGGTCGTGTTTACAAAAGGAAGTGAATAAGGTTCATCGGGCGTTAGTTGAAGGGTTATGTACTAGGAAAGTGTCGAAGGAAGAAGATTCATGTCTAGGTGGGCAAATTATGTTCCTTTCTGACATCTGTTTACACATTAATGTGTTTTCATATGACGTTGGTATCGTCTAGGTAACTCATCCTTCTTTGTCTTCTGCAATCCGCGGTTTCACATTTCACTTTATTACCTGTTTAGGAAGTTCTTGGATTCTCTACTTTCTCGTTGTTAGCCCTCCATTGTTCCTATCTTATTTAAACTTGAAACTTATTATGTTCTTTCTAAACATGAGCTGACAAATTCTTGAATTGACAGAGACGACGCTCGCCATAGTTGCATCGTTGGGAGATCCTAAACTCTCGCAGCCACGACGTGGCTGGGCACGCGAGGAGGACGATGGCGAATCCATGCAGCACAACTCACCAATAAACCAAGAACCAGAAAATTCCTGGTTGCATCGATGCCAGATTTGATCAAATTATTCCTCTCAAATCTTGGAAAGCAGGAGCCACGAGAGGGTTTCTGGAGCTGGACGATGTGTATACCGGTTAGATTTACTCTGGACCGCGGCAAAGCAGGACATCTTCTGGTACATTGAATTGTGTCGAATGCAGACCATATCAGTATGGAAAACTTACACTCGAGACTTCCAACAAGCTGAAGAAGAGGCATTCATCGATGCATCGTACCACTCCATTGGTATCTGTTGGCTTGCTGACTACCACATCTCCCAGGCGAATATCCGCGGTACCATTTGGTACTCCTCCGATACCAACCATCAAACCAAAACGAATTGCCGGAAAACTAGACCACAGTTATGTCGCAATTGTGTTCATTGATGCAATATGACTACGACAAGTGGTACACAATCTTACTTCTATTGCAAGAGACTCGGGACGGATCGAGAGTCGCTGGTCGACGAATCCAAAGACGGAGACGCTCTACATCCTGTTCCTAGCAGCAGGTCTTCTGGTGATTTCAACCATAGTCACTTTCCATTGACTTCAATGCTTCCAAGACCTACGTCCACGGGCGGACACGGAGTTATCCGTGCCATACCAATTCGTCCTCGAAAAGCCCTGCAGGATTAGAGCCAATTCGACCGATAACTCCAAGTCCTAATCCTGTGGCATCTGTTGCTGCACAGATCCATTCGCAGCCAAGAACCAGGCTCCTGAATAGATGTGGATATCTATGTCCTACCCCTCTGCAGTTAAATTCCAGAGGACAGGGTCGCTCTACATCCTGCTCATCGCCGCAGATCTTTGTTGATGCCAAGCAGAATCACTTGCCTTTTCATTTCCATATTTTGGAGACCCGCGAGTTATCCGTGTTATACTCATCCAGACTCGAAAAGCCCACAGGATTGAACACGATTCGACCAATAGCTCCAAGTCCCAATCCTGCGGGGTTCGTTACCTGCACAGGTTCATTCTCAGAATGAAGAATCAGACTCCCGAACTAACGTGAATATCTACATTCCACGCCTCTCAAATTCTGGGGATTGGGTCGCTTTACATCCACTTGCTCACAGCAGATCTCCTGGTAACCCAAGTGGCCAAGCACTAGCTGTCCGGGGTCAATAATTTAAAACTAGCTTGATCTTAAAAACTAGACCGGACACAGATGGCCCAAGTTCAACGTTCTGTGTCGTTGAGGAAATCGAAGATTGATATTCTATAATTTACCACTAACTATGTCTACGACAAGAGAATAATTGGTTGTATCGCGAGTTATCCGTGTCATACGGCTCTTCCGATCTCCAAAAATCCTCGAAGGATTGCAGCCGATTCAACTAATAGGTCTAGATCTGATCCTGTGCAATCTATTGCTGCACAGATCCATTACCTAGAACCACAGTCAGGCTCTCTTACAGATCTTGAAATTTACGTCCTGTGTCTCCTGCGACTCCAGAGGCGAACACGGAACACTTTCTCGCGCAACGAGACCATCAAAATGGAACAGATTCCTACAAATACCCAATGACTGTGGTGATGATTGGGTAATTTCAGGTCGTGCAACAAATAGCGCTTTAGATATATCTTGTGAGGAAGGCTGCATCTGTCAGCTAACAACTTCTTCTGCAATTAGTAGAGAAGTGAGGTAATGACAGAGAAGAAGGCGTGCCGTGGTGCTGTCTGCCACATGGGACTGGAACATTGTATTAGATAAAGAAAGGCACAATGACTATCGATATAGCTGCGGTTACGTTGGTGAAGAGATAGAGTGGAAGTTCTTAAAGAGAACACAATCATCGTTGGATTTCCATGTTATATTTAAAGTATCATGGTTGTACTTGGAAGAGTGTTAACAGGATACTGATATGATTTACTTTTCACAATATCTTGCAACCTTGGAAGATGTGTGTACTGGTTCCAGTTGGCGCCAAACCCCAAGTTTTGTATTATGGTTTTCTGTCTCTATGGAGTCTATCGAACATGAGTCTTAATAACACCATCAAAGTAAACCAACTAAACACGACCACCAACTCTCGTTTGAAATTAGTTTCCGATTGGCAAACGAACATTAAACCCAGTATCCCTCTCAATATCCTCGAATATCTCCTGTATAGGCGTAACATAAGTAAGACCAGTTACAGGATTCATGGCAAATATCACCCCAACAACCTCATCACGAACACGATCCACAACCCATGCACCATAGTTTTTTGGCTCGCAGAACTGCTTGTTGTCAGGAGTTGGCAGAACAGCCCATTCCGTGGTCTGTATGACTCTGTCGTTTTCATCCTTGTAGCGTAAGTAACTCTTGGTGTAGTTGACATTTCCTTCTGTGAAATCTGGATATTTCGCTTTGTAGACGGCAGATCCTGGTTTGAGTGTATCTGACGGCATCTTGATTCGAGTAAATGAGATTGACTCTCGAACCACGTTTGGATTGATGAACTGGGTTCGACCTCCTTTCAACTCTACAAGAGCCCAGTCAAGGTGATGATTCTCCATCACTCGGCTGCCTGAGTGCGCACAGACTGTACCAATGCTGATATTTTCCTCGAAAATTTGTTTCAGCCTTTTGCGGTATTCATCTTTCTTCAACTTCGTGTAGACGAGGTGGTCTCTAATAACATCGCGGTTGGATTCGCGCACACTTCTATACCAATCTTCTTCCAGGTCCTGGATTTCAGCATTGAGAAGCTTAATTTGCTCGATTGTTCCACGGATATTCCTGGCCCACAGACTGGTACTCGGGTAGGTGCACTGGATGTCCCCAAACTGTTCTAGTGGAGTACGTCTTGAATCTGTAGTTTGTTTTCAATTAGTATCAATGCCATGTGAGTGGTTTTGCGTCTCTTACCTGTATCAGTTTCAGACCGGCTCTTGGGCGAAGGCAAATAAGAGCGACACGTCAACGCACACAGTTTCTGACAAGTACCATTGCTATCGAACAGCTCTACTATACCGCCGACAGTTCCACTGGTAAAATCTCCAAGGGTATAATTAAACGAAACCTCGCTTCCAGGTGGTAGGAAGGCCTGATCTGTAAAGTGATCAGATCTTACTGCACCCTCTCCACGGCGTTCCAATTTGCCGACGCGTATCTCAACACGAGCCTTCGCCATCACATGAATGTCGCAAATAGTCTGTAAAAGAGACCAGTTAATAACTGGTATGGTGTAGACCGTGATGGCCAGGGTGGTTTGCATCCAGGGCACTCCTCCCCTGTCGCCATTACTATCGAAGCAATCAACAGATGCCCAATCAACGCCGACTTCGTTCAGGAGTTCAATGACTTTTAGCCCAAGAGAGTCCCATGTTTTGGGTAACCATCTCGATGGTACGGTGGAAGTGATGTAACTTGTCTTCAGTCTGTGTCTCTGCTCCTCTGCTTCTGGATATGTGATGTTCGTAACGGGGGAATGCAGAATGCGTGAGCATATACATCAGCGCCAAGGCAGACGTATCTGTACTGCATGACTCATACCTATGTATCGGCACGTATAGGTCTCTGCACCATAGTCAGCTGAGTCGATGACCACTGCGTCTAGGATCGAAATGACATCGGACGCTGTAAGGGCCATTTTGAGGTATGGAAAGATGACACTCGGGAAGACGCCAATACTGCCAAAAATAGTATGTGATGTACTTTGAGGATTGACAGATCTGATTCTAGGTCTTTGGTGAGGCTCAGGTTGTGTCTATTGACATGAGAGTGCGTCAGCTTTTCTGGGCTCAATCTCCGTATCCACAACTTGGAAATGTGAAAAGATCAAGAATCTGTATGATTGTATGAGCAAGGTTTCATACAATGGAAGATGGTGATGTGATAGAAAATCAGTACTTTGAGATGGTGCTAAATAAGGAGGAAGTAGGAACAGAAAAAGACTAGGCATCGCGTAACTTGATGATATAAAAAGGACAAACAAACAGCCAATTCACTGCACACTGAATAGGACTACATCACAACAAACAAAAACACCTGCACCTCCTACATCTCCTTGCTCATGTATTTAATATTGATTGACATACATTTATCAATCCAATGCAGGTGGCATATGCTTAGCAAAATACTCTTCCAATGTGGTAAGTTTACCACGAGCGACACTGACTGTCCAGTCCACCTTTTCCTTCGAATCACTTCCATAATACCCAGGATCTTCACTATACAACATCATCTCGGCCATACACTGTGCTCCATGAGGCGGCAGAAATCCTTTAAACAGTTCAACCGGGACCTGATAGTATTTGACAGTCTTCCCCGTCAGACGAGTCAACATTTGGGCAACATCCTCGAAACTATAGAAATCTGTTGCTGCAGACATGATTTTACCCTCGAATTTATCCGGCTCAGCGAGAATTGCGCCCACAAATTTGCCTGTGTCGCCCTCAATGTCGATATGTGGGAGCTTCGTGTCCGGACGCACCACGTTAGTTATCGCAAAGGTGCCATCGCCAGAATGATGAGGTTGCACCATACGATCATAATTTTGCATAAAAGATGACGGCGCAAAGAAGGAACTCTTTATGGGAAGACTGCGAATATACTGCTCGACCTCATACTTGGAGTCAAACGAGTCCACATTAGGGTATTTGCCCTTTGATTCAAGTGTGGGCGAGGAGAGTGTGCTCCAAATCAAGTACTTAACTCCAGCTTCAATAGCGGCATCAGCCAAGGCCTTTCCCTGGCGAACTTCACGTGCTTTCAATTGCTCGTCATACACTGTGGTGGTTATTGCGAATACGGTATGGGCACCCTTGAAGGTTGCTTTGATGGAGTCGATGTCGTCAATGTCGCCTTTGACAACTTCCATGCCCAGAGCAGCAAGGGCTTGAGCTGCTGGCTTTTGGGTGTCCCGAGTAACTGCACGAACAGAATATTCCTTGCTCAGAACTGGGTCTGAGACGACGTACTTGGCGATTGAGCCGCCTTGGTTGCCAGTGGCGCCCAGGATGGTGAGAAACTTAGCCATTTTGCGTTGTTGTATTGTTTAGTTGAGATATGTAGAGTGAATGAAAATAATTGAAGAAGAAATGCTTCGATATTCTTCAGAACATGTGTATTTATATCTAGGGATATGATGAGTTGACGATATACCCCAGTCTTATGTCCGGAGATAAAGCCGATCTATATCGCGAAACGTGTAATTACATATTAGCGAATACAATAGCGAATCGGATTCTTTGCCAAACCATTATCCGTGTAATTAACGTAATCGGTAAGCGAAGCGACAATGTAACCGAGCCGACAGTTTCTTTCCGAACGCGTACTCAATATTGATTCCATACTATTCAACGCGTCAACATGCCACCAATTCGCAATAAAAACGAAAAGAATTTAGCAGAGCAAGAGGGGCGGATCTTGTTAGCTATTTCCGACTTAAAAAATGGAAAAATCTCAAGTGTGTATCAAGCCGCAATCATTTACAATATTCCTCGGACGACGCTATATGACAGGTTAAACGGAATTCAACAAAGATCTATAATACGTGCCAACGGACATAAATTGTCTCAATTTGAAGAGGAATCACTTGTCAAATGGGTACTCGATCTAGACAAACGTGGATTCCCCCCTCGGCACTCTCTTGTACGAGAGATGGCTAATTACCTTCTTTCACAACGTGGAAATCAACAGGTTGGAGAGAAATGGGTCTATAATCTCATTCAACGTCGCCCAGAGATTGAATCAAAATTTTCACGGAAATATAACTACGAGCGTGCTAAATGCGAAGATCCGAAGTTAATCCAAGAATATTTTGATCGCGTACGAGAGGTTATATCAAAGTACGGAATCTTACCAGAAGATATCTACAATTTTGATGAGACTGGCTTTGCTATGGGACTCTGTGCAACCGCAAAGGTTATCACTGGAAGCGATCGATATGCTCGGCCAAAGCTATTATAGCCTGGAAATCGAGAATGGGTGACTGCAATTGAGGCAATTAATTCAACTGGATGGGCCCTGCCTTCATACATCATTTTCAAGGCAAAGAAATATACTCGGTTAGGCTGGTTTGAGGATCTTCCTGATGACTGGAGAATCAATATCAGTGATAATGGATGGACTATAGATAAGATTGAGTTAGAATGGCTGAAAACCCATTTTATTCCTCTTACTAATGCCCGTGCAATGGGAAATTATCGCATGTTAATTCTTGATGGCCATGGAAGTCATTTGACTGCTGAATTTGACCGTACATGCACTGAGAATAATATTATTCCAGTCTGTATGCCTCCTCATTCTTCACATCTTTTACAGCCTCTTGATGTTGGCTGTTTTGCTGTTTTAAAGCGACATTATGGACAGCTTGTTGAGCAGCGAATGAGGCTTGGATTCAATCATATTGATAAACTTGACTTTCTTACTGCATTCCCAAAGGCTCGTACGATGGCATATAAAGCCCAAACTGTTCGGAATAGCTTTATAGCAACTGGATTCGTACCATTCAGTCCAGATTGAGTTTATCAACAGCTTACTGTTCGATTGAAGACTCCAACACCCCCTCCAAGTCGATCAAGTGATACACAATCATCCTGCTTGCAAACCCCTCAAAACCCACGTCAATTTAAGCGCCAAATGACTACAACGAAAAAGAGAATAAGCCGGCATACAAGAAGTTCATCTGAAGCTATTGGTGAAGTGTTTACACGGGCATCAAAGGCTTATGAGATGAGTATTAATGAGCTTACAATTGCCCAGAAGGAACTCCATAATCTACGGGCTGCACATGAGAAGGAGAAGCAAAAACGTCAAAATCTAAAAAGCAAATATCCCATGATCAAGGAATTACCAGAGAGGAAGCTCAGGCACTTTTACAAGGTCAGATTGAGGCATCTCAAGCTGTTACCACTGCTCCGGCCGAGCCTGAGCTCCCAGTCTCTCATCCACCAGTACGTCGCCAATTTCGGTGTAGTGAGTGTAATATTCTCGGGCATAGAAGACCTCAATGCCCTAATCTTACTAGTAATTAATTTTTTGTGTATAATTATAATTTTGGGTTAGAAATTGAGATTTGAATTCAATATTGCGTACGCGTTCGGAGAGAAACTGTCGGCTCGGTTACATTGTCGCTTCGCTTACCGATTACGTTACCTATCTCCCAGACAGCGAAAGGAACAATCAAAAAGCGTCGAAAACCGATCGATAATCGAATAAACTCCGGAAGTTATGACTCTTATGGGTCAAATTATCTCTCTAGAATGAAAGGATTTTGCTTCGTATTTGCGATCAGTATCCCCGCGCCAATGACCGCGAACCCTCTTCCGACATGCGCGGAAGCGCTTTGATGCGGGTTGGTGCTCGATATTAATCACGGACGAGGTGTCACATAACCCGGATGTTCGGTGAGGCAGAATATAGGCTATTCAATATTGAAGGTCAACCAGTCTCCTCAGGAGAGACCATCTTTCTATCAGGGCTCAATATAGGACTCAATGTTTACACCTCATGATGGCTCACAATTCACCCCGCCAAAACAAAATGTCTATAAAACCCGCTTTGGAACCTGATGTATTCGAAGACAGAGAGACAACTCAATACATACAATCTTGCTAGTCACTTCTTTTTCCCATCCTAGTAAACTACTATTCAGGATTGGCCAGGAGTAAACCCGCCAATCTGACAGGAGGATGATGGACTCAATCTGTGACCAGCCAATTAAATACTCCTCAATCTCGTATAGAATACTATGTAAATGTTTTCCCATCCTGTTTTTGATATATCAACATTGGTTTTTCGTAAAGGCCTATGTTGAGGCCAATGTTTGGTGTTGTGGATAGTCGGACTCCTCCGTATAGAGCTGACTTTTAGGGCTACCGGTAATCTTGTAAAACCCTAACTCGGCAGAATAACCTCAAAACTTCGACAAACAACATACCCGTCTAGCTAGATTTCTTCCAAATGACAAGTGGAATATGCAAAAATCGTCTCTGAATTATTTGGTACATGCTATTTGAAGCAGCAAAGCATAAGCGCATACCAGAATACTCAAGCCTGCCCCCCTGACTTTGTGCCCTCGAAAGTCATTTCTGGGTACCCAACCGTCGGAACTCGACTTAACCCCACGACCTAAGTGCTGACTAATGCTTGAGCAATACCATTCAACGAAGGATCGATGGCAAAGTCTTCGAAACAGGTACAGAATAATTTCAATCTGGAGGCGTTCTACGTACTTGTTTTGGAGAGAAGATATCTGCCTGCTAGACGTCGCCTAAATGTTCAGAATGGCAATGATAAGATCTAGACAAATGTGGTGGTTTCTCCGAGATTGCGGGCCTATTTCTCTTTGCAAGGTTTAATATAGCAAATCTTAAATTACATACAATGTATATTAACAACATAACCCAACGGAACTAATAATCAATGTTACATCAAATATAGTGAAGTATCAATCGAGATATGATTAGTTTTGCTGATTGATGCAGGCTCAGAACTAGGGTCCAATGAGGCTCTTAACTCTACATACTACCTGGTTAAAAGGGATAAAACGTGGTGATTCCCAGGTACAGATTTTTAAGTCTCTACCATCTCCCTTCTGCTTGTTTCTCAAAGTGATAGAACAAATTGAAGAAATCTAATAGCGATTGAGATGCGGTCTATATCGAGATCTCCAATATTGGCTCTAGGGTTCTTCGCACTAGCTTTTGTTCGGTTGGGTTCTGTCGGGGTATCAGCATCCAGCTCAACGGAGACAAGCTCTTTTTCATCTATCACACCAGCACCCGCTCCTCCTGGAACCGAGAGCGGAGATGAGTTAGTCCTCACACGACGATTTTCATCAACCTTCAGGATGTGACACCGGCATCACGGCGGTGGCTTCATGGACAGGCGAGCTGTGGCAGAACGTCATTAATCTAGTGCTAACATTGACCCTGACATCTTGCTACCTAAGCCAATTTTACTACAGCGCCACCCAGCTAGTGTGTCCCAAAGATTGGGAAACACATAATATCACCAAATCTTGCATTATTTGTTGTCCGAAGTATTTCTCAATGTCTTCCAAAAGCCGATGTCAGTGCTAATTACGAGCCACTTAGAGGATGTGGTGTTTACACCCCCAATTACAATGACACGGATCGTCCTGGCCTTGACGCTGTCTGTACTTCGAGTATAGGGCCGGATGTGTTGATGGATATTACAAGTTACGATGCCACTGCTTTGGCAACTATTATTCCTACCACAGCCGGTGAGAATGAAAATCTAGTGTTCGCAACGGCGTATGATGGGACAGCGGCGTCTGTTGTCATTTCTTCGACTGCTCCAGCTTCAAGCATCCTCACGACATCAGCGTCTGCAATGCCTCCGGAAGCAAGCACAGCTACATCATCGGCTTCCTCAGGATCTCCAGTCTCAAGTAAAGTGACATCATCAGCTTCAACTATAATGGACTCATCGGGCCATACAAGATTTTGTCGCATACTCCGGAGCGCTTGGGAACAGATATGGAGCATATTATATTAGTTACGGTTATGGTTTGATGGTCGACACCGAAGAGTTTGTCCTTGTAGTTCGAAATTGCGGTAACGCAATCGGTATGATAAGCGAGTTGGCCACTTCTTCCCGAAAACGCGCTCTATATTGATTCTACATAATTCAACACGTCAAGAAGCCACCAATTTGCAATAAGATTCAAAGATTTAGCTGAACAAGAGGGACGAATCTTGTTAGCTATTTCCGACTTTAAAAATGGAAAAATACGTTCTGTACGGCAAGCAGCAGAGATCTATAATGTCTCACGGTCAACTCTTCAAAACAGTTTAAGTGGCATGGCATATCAAGCTGAAACACGCGCCAACGGACATAAACTGTCAAAATATGAAGAGGAATCTCCTGTCAAACGGATACTCAATTTAGATAAACGTAGATTACCTCCTCGACATTCTCTTGTACAAGAGATGGCTGATTATATTCTTCACAATGTGGAAATCAACAGGTTGGAGAGAAATGGGTATATACTCTCATTCAACGTCGCTCAGAGATCGAATCCACAATTTCCCAGAAATATAACTACGAGCGTGCCAAATTTGAAGATCCAAATATAATCCAGGAATATTTTGATCGCGTACAAGAGGTTATAGCAGAGCATGGAATCTTACAAGAAGATATCTACAATTTTGATGAGACTGGCTTTGCAATGGGTCTCTGTGCGGCTGCAAAGGTTATCACTGGAAGTGATCGATATGCTCGGCCAAACCTATTACCGCCTTGTAATCGAGAATGGGCAACTGCAATCGAGGCAGTTGATTCAATTGGATGGATCTTACCTTCGTACACTATTTTCAAGGCAAAGAAATACACTCGATTAGGCTGGTTTGAGGACGTTCCAGACGATTGGAGAATTAATATTAGCGATAATAGATGGACGACAGATAATATTGGATTAGAATGGCTTAAAACTCATTTTATTCCTCTTACCGATGGCCGTATATTGGGGAAATATCGGATGTTGATTTTCGATGGTTATGGAAGCCATTTAACTGCTGAATTTGACCTTACATGCACTGAGAATAATATTATTCCAGTCTGTATGCCTCCTCATTCTTCACATCTTTTACAGCCTCTTGATGTTGGCTGTTTTGCTGTTTTAAAGCGACATTATGAACAGCTTGTTGAGCAGCGAATGAGGCTTGGATTCAATCACAATGACAAAATCGACTTTCTCACTGCATTTCCAACAACTCGTACAATGGCATATAAAGCTCAAACTGTTTGGAATAGCTTCGCAGCAACTGGGTTGGTACCTTTTAATCCATATCGAGTTTATCAACAGCTTACTGTTCGATTGAAGATCCTAACGCCCCCCTCCAAGTCGATCAAGCAATACACAGTCATCTTGCTTACAGACACCTCAAATCACACGTCAATTCACACCTCAATTGACTACAGTTATAAGGCGTATAGATCAGCTTACGGGAAGCCCCAATGAAGTGATTGATCAAGCAATTATGCGGATGTCAAAGCCTTATGAAAAGACTGTGAATGATCTCTTGATTGTATGGAAAGAAAATAAGGATTTACGAGCTGCACATGAGAAAGAGAAACAGAAACGTCAAATATCTCATGAGCAGCTCAGGCATTCGTACAAGGTCAGATTTTAATGGTTATACTTATCCCATGGCAGAACTAAGGCGGTGCCTAGTTAGGCATGATTGAGATACCAAGAGTTACATTAATAAGTGATAAATCGTCACTTTGACCCAGACATTGCTGAGGACAGTATGGCGGAATAGTACAGAATTTTGTTCACTCTGACCTCTGGAGTGATCAAAAGGAACAATAGATCTTGCATTTCCCAAGAAGTTCCGTTTCAAAAGTGATCGTCTGTAACAGCTATTTATCATCTGTCTCTTGAAATAATGCTTTTGAGTCCAAATAATTTTGTAGATTCGAGAATCCATCATTCCCCAAAGAGCAATGTGCAACTGATACATTTACTACTGCTAATAATCTTTGGCATCCAGATCCTCCTGTGAATCCTTTACAATATACCCATCCATTATGAGATGAAGATGAAACCTAAGTTTATTTGTCCATACAGTATAGAGCGTTCACGTCGTTCTTATTTTCTCTCTTTTTCTCTTCCTAGGGGAAACTATCTCTTCTATCCCGTACGGATAAATATCGCCCCGAAGGTCACATAATCTTTACATATATCATAGAAACCAGGTACTTGGAGAGGGCCATTACCACTATTGTCAAGTGGGATGCCGGCCTAGGCTGATGTATCGCCGTCCATTGTGTCTGATCGTCCACATTATGCTAACGGAGAAAGTTGATTTAGGAAGGTGACTCCTATCAACGGATAATGGAATCCCTGCAATCAACTCCGCTTGATTTAAAGATACTTAGCCCTAACCCTGATAACAGGATTGTTGGGACACCACATGATTTTATCGATTTCGGCCAGTAGGCTAATTCATATAGGCATCCTATGAAGAAGGCAGAAAAGTATCACATTAATGTCTAGTGCTGAGATACGCTTTCCACTCATCCAACCGCTCATCATCCCAAAGAACATACCCCCATTTCCACTCCCTCCTATGCATAGTAGGATACGAACTATAAAGACTAAACTCACCACCCAGCCACAGACGTGGATGGAGTTGTCCTTCCAAGCCTGCCCAATGTCTTATCCAGGCTTTATTTGGCCGATCCAAAACATGCCACGAGGATATGACGGTGGCAAGACCCTCCCGCTCGTACTTATCAGCTGGTGAGACGAGGGGTAGCTTTTGCTCATCGTTAAGGCCGGTCACTTCCCATAGTTTCGTGGTGAAGACGCTACGTAAATTGTGGGAGACGGCAACGTGTCGCTCGTCGTAGGGTTGTTGCAGGATTTTGTAAAGGAAGCAAGGGCCAATTTCGATCATGGAGTAGCGGAAGGTTCTTGCCAAGGACCATGGATCTCCTAGTTATATCAGCGATTCCATTTCGATCAAGGCAGTTTCAAGGGTGAGCGTACCGTCTAATTCATAAGAAATATGGATCGACCTCAGCGGCTCCGTTCCTACCGCGGGTGTAGGAGTCCCCCGAGAAAATGAATTCGGTGACGAAGGATCAGGATTATCATCCTCCTCTTCTGCTGAATTACCAGGATGATATCTATTAATAAGAGCGGCCGTAATATCCTGGAAGATATGTATGTATTTTAACATAAAGTAATCCAAAAGACACCCAACTTCCTCAATCTCCCAAGGCGGCATCGTGCCCCATATCATACGCCATGCCTGTTCGTGAGTGAAAGTTCGATCCGTCCACTCATTTTCAGATTGTCGACCGAGGCCTGCTGAAAAGGGGGAAGCAGAAGAAGAAGAAGAAGAGGAGGAGGAGGAGGAGGAGGAGGAAGAAGAAGCTGACGAACAACGATATTCCGGCTGCCCAAATATATGACACCATGTTTGAAGTCGATAAAAAGCTCGAAAGAATCGCGCTCGCTCCGTATGCGAGAAAGATATCGGAGTTTTCCATTGGCGTGATTTATGATCCCACCACACTGGCACCGGAATGGAAACTGCGTAATCCTCTAAGAAGTATTCGGCCGCTTGATGCATTTCCACCATCTTCAAAATTTCGTTAACAGTGAAAGAGGCATGGTTGAATTTGGTTTTGCGTTCCTTCGAACCTCGACGTCGACAGTCTAATAGCTCAAATATCATCTCTCGATTACGGATATCTTCGGCTAGAACGCCCTCTGAACGCATGGCGACGACTGCTTCGGTGATGTCGACTTCATCATTGTGTTGGCGAAGGAGTAGATCATAGAGGACCTGAGAGCGGAACTTCTTGTATGTTTCGTAGTATTTTGATGAAGCGAGAATCAAGGTGCGAATTGATTTGAGATTGGGCATTTGCAGGAGGATGCATAGCTTTAGTTCAACTGGTAGGCCGTCCAGAGTGTTTATCGCCTAGTCACATTATCAGTAACAGTGTATTGATAAATAGTTGAGCGCAGTCCGTTACCATACCATGGTGTATTTAGTTCCTATTCAGGCTTTGGATATATCAATAGTTACATTGGAGTAATTGTCGTTATCGACATACCCCTCACGAGGAGCTCCAAAACGATTAGCCCTAATCTCCGAAGCGGGTGGTTAGGTCCGGAGGTCAGGTTTATCCTGTGATCAATTCACTCACAACTGAATAAGTCTAAAACAAAAAATTTCTGTAGTTATTTCATAAAGAAGACACAAGGTAACCAAATAAAATCAGATGAACTTGATGCGGGGAAGTCCCGTCGTAAAATCCAAAACACCTTACGCGCCCGCGGACAACGGAGTAAGGCGGCGAGGCACCGAGGTAACAAGGGCTGTTATTAGCCCGAGCCCCGATTTTAGGGTTTTCTAGCCTCCAATTAAATTGGAATATATGCCACTGTGTTGGAACAGAAATGTCATTAGGTCTTCTTGCCGACAAACTATCTATGTGCTGTGATATGACTTTGCAGTTGGTTGGCTAGTTACCTAATTAACCCTATCAGTATAAGCTCTTTTAGATAGTAGCATCCAGCAATGAATCTGTGCTATATTTCGAGATTTGAGTAAAGCATAGCGGTAGTATTCCTCTTGAATGGCAGTAGAAGGTGAAGCTCAATAGGATACTCAGGCTTCGAGACCCGGCGCAGCCGTATGTCCCGCATTCGTTATCCAACCGCAACAGGTGTCGCATATTATACAAGTGATCGTATCGATCATGTTTACTTGGACTGTACTCTTGGATGGTTCCCTCTAGAGACTACGTTTGAGGGCACGTAGCAAGCAAGCAAAGACCGATACTGGTTGACCGTTTCCACATATTATCGCCTCTGATTGGTTGGGAATAGGGAAGTATAAAAGTGTTCATCATTTCCTCCAGATTCCATGTCTATCACGCTCCACATCAAAGATTCGAGCATGGAAATATCAACCGTATAAATTCCGACGACGGCACAAACAAGAGAAAGAAAAGGATCATTCCTGACTGAAAACTCCCGAATACGCCTCAGCAACCTCTTTCGGCAATGGCCCTTGCTCAATAATATCCATGTTCTGCTCAAGTTGCTCAACCTTTGAGGCTCCGAGAACAATAGCATCACCGTACTTGGCATCCAAGATACTGTGATATGCCACCCATCGAAGAGCGGCGGCGTGGCCGGAGATTCCGTGTTTGGATGCGATTTCGACCGCGGCTTCGACGGCGGATATCACGGAGGGTCGGAGATACCATCTTGTATAGAGTTGGCCGATGGGGAGCTTATTTTATTGTTAGTACGCCAAGTACTTGAGAATGGGTGTATGCACATAAGACAGACCGTAGGATCGTATCGATTCCCAGGCTCAGCGTTTCTTTTATGGTTTCCGGAGAACATACCTGCTGCCGCCGGACTGATCACATCAATCAAGTCAACTCCATAAACAGGAGAAAGAAAGAACAAACCTAAATGCGTAAAAAGAAATCCCATGCTTCCTCAAAACAGGCAGCAAATCCTTCTCAACTGCTCTTGCAATAGCATTATAATGCCCCTGATACACACTCGGCTTTACATACCCATTCTCCTCGCAAATCTTAACAACCCTCTCAATCTCCTCGGGCTTGTGATTCGAGAGCCCAAACCGTCTGAATTTTCCCTCAAGGCACGCCTTATCCATAGCTTCGCATGTTTCTTCAAATGGCGTTGTCCGGTCAGGGTCATGTAAATATTCGATGTCTACCTGCGGTAATTGCAGTGCTGTTAAAGACTCGATAATGTTCTGCTCGATTTTCTCGCGAGTATGAGGACGGTCGCCGCGGGGCATGATCTTTGTGCTGATTGTGAAACACGGTTTGGTACTTTCGTGCTCTTCGTAGGACTTCAAGGCAGCGCCGATAAGTGGTTCTGCTGTGCCGGGGGCGTGTGGGGGGTAGTTTCGTGCGGTGTCGAGACTGGTATAACCGCGATTGAAGAAGGTGTCGAATAATTGTTTGACTGCATTCGGGGTGCCGTATCGGGCCATGGGGTCTGCTGATGTGTCGCCGACCTGTGGAATAGTTCATTAGCTATTTCGGCGAGACGATCTATAGATAAATACATTTGCCAGGCCGAGAACAAGTTGGGGTGCTGCTTTAGAGGGCGGCATTTTGATTCTGATATTATTGTTGACTCCGAATCAAAGCATCTATGTAGGTATACGTTGGAACTGTCTGTTAAATAGACAACGAGAGTACATACCCCTCAATTCTTCGACCAATTATGCTTCCATCAGGGAGTGTGACATAGCACTTTGTTTATGCAAACTGCATAGGGAACATATCAAATAGACACGCCGATCTATGCAGCAGTCCACAGCTAACCAATCGGTGGGTCCGCCTGAGGTCGATCAAACCGCATGGATATAAGCGGACTGCTCTGATGAAGTGCAGTACTCTAGAGATCGAGAGTATATTAGGGTTAGGGCTCCCATACCAGCTAGCCCTGAAAATGGTACTCTTCAATGTCTCTAAGTGATGCGTATTTAAAATTCTTCTAAAGCTCCCATGCCTTTGATAACGTACACATGCTTATTTTTAACAGGAAAGTTAAATAATGGTTTACCTTACACTTTTTCCTCGTTTTTCAGAATATCCAGTCCAATACACGTTGCCACCATGTATCCGGCTTTGGAATAGGTATAATCTCTCCTTCTGCCAATCGGCCTGAATAGAGATCGATAGTGGTAGCACGGGCAAACTATGATTCCAGTTAGTCACTGTATTCCTCCAAGGATATCCAGCGAGTTAAGAGAGAAGACAAACCTTTGTACGATGAACAAACTTCCATACGAAAATGGGAACGATGAAGATAGGGATACCGATATACGATGCAAAGAAAGATGACGTGTCCCAATTGCCCTTTAGGAAGACTGGGAATCCTGCAACGAGCGTGATAATCGTCGAGCCGACAAACCCGACCCATGCAGTATATGGTTGAAAGGGGGATTTCCAGGGAAGAGTATCCCGGCTGACTCCTTGTGCTTTCATAGCGGCATGGAAGCGAATATAGCAGAAAGAAAGAGTGGCCCAGGCGATCAAACCGGCCACGGTGCTGAGATTGAGTAGCCAGGTGAAAGCTTGAGCGGCGCCGCCGGAGCCGAGACCTATCATTTTGTCAGCAAAACAGGTCGAGATTGAAAGTAGTTGTCATTTAATTGATTATACTTACTGAGATATGCGAATGGACCAAACAACCAGGCAGTAATAACAGCCACGTATGGAACACCCTTCTTAGTCACTCGTCCGAAAACCTGCGGCAAGTAACCGTCTGTGGTCATCGCCACGATCATTCGCGAGCCAACCCAACAGTAGGAGTTGCCAGCGGACCAAGCTGACACCAGGATACAAGCATTCACGACAGACGGAAGACCGTGGATGCCGGCTTCACGAATCGCAATAACCCAGGGCGAGCTATTCGCGTTTCCGCTACCAGAGATAAGATCCGGGTTCTTGGGACTAACGATGATTCCGATCAATAAAGCACCCAGCACATAGAAAAGAGCAATTCGATATGTCACTCGCCGAGCAGCTTTGGGGATCGATTCGTGCGGATTAACTGCTTCGGCCGCTGCAATGACGACCGTCTCGACACCGATGAAGCTGAATGATGCATTGACAAACGAAGACAGGAATCCGAGAAAATGGCCTGTCGAACCTGTGATACCATTATAATTCGTCCACGCACCGGGGTTGTGCCAGTAGCGGAATCCTATGGTTTGATGGTTCGGACCGCCTCCGGCTGTAATGACAATGGCGACGATGACGAGTCCCAGGAAACAGAGAACTTTGATTGAACCGCTGGCGACTTCGACGTCGCCATAAAAGCGTACATTGACGAGGTTGATGGCCAGAATCAATACCAGGCCAACCGTAATGACGACAGCCGGCGTCAGATCAGTCCAGTAAGAGACCACAACGGCGGCTGCTGAGACCTCGGAAGCTATAGCGATTGTATAACAATATCCATAAGAAATGGCCAGTGAAAATCCGACGGCGGGATCAATAAACCGGGTCGCCCAGTGAGGGAATGATCCCGCAGACGGCAATAACGTAGCAAGCTCAGCGATACTCTGCATAACACACCAAAGTACCATTCCGACGACAATAAAGGCAAGCAACAATCCCGCCGGCCCAGCTCTAGCATAGGCAGCACCTGTACCGACGAAAAGACCCGTTCCAATTCCACCACAGAAACCTATCATCGAAACTTGGTAGTCGCGGAGACGGCGCTGTGTAGCTCCCCGGCCACCCACATTGATAACCAATTCATCTTTCTGGACCGGAAGCTCATTGCTATTGTTGTATGCGTGCTTCTCCTCGATTTCAGAAGCCATGATAGATGCGGCCCTCTCTACCTGGGGGTAGAGTTGATTAAGCGTCAAACTGATAAACCATTGAAGCACCAAGTATAATATCCGGATGGGTCTATTATACGTAATATACGAAAAATTTTCCTTCCCGAGGCTGGAGAAAAAAAAGCATCACGACATGGACCCACGGCCTTGCGCCATAAGAGCGATGTGATATTATTACGTATCGCTTTCAGAAAAGGCCTCAAAAGATCGTTTCTTGGAGTACGAGTTGTAGCGACCTGTCGCATGGTTCAAATGAGGAGAATAAGTTGTCATATCAGCTAATAAAGGCGTGTATATCGTCCAGTCATGGGGGATCGACCTACTTTAAAAAAAATTTTGAAGCTCCGTTCCGGACATGGAAGTGGATACCTGAGCTGCTCGCCACATGCTCAGAGGAGAATAAATGACAAATCAAATGACTACAATGACTTACATAAGGCCGATCTCAGAAGTTTGGTCGTTGCCACGTTTAGAAATTAGAATTAGGGCTAATTGTGCCTCGTGGAGTCATGGTTAGCGGGCGATGTAGTGTGATCTCCCAAGGTCGCCTTAGTACGAACGATCATTTTAATGTCGGTCCGAATATCCAATATGGAAATGATCCATTGGCATTTATAAGTTAATGCCAGTTATAAGCTGAAACATGCCTAGATGCAGACAACTCCGTTTATTGAAACATCACATCAACGTGCGTCAAGGACTCAAGGCTGTCCGGGGTCCTCAAAATTCCTGTGTCGTACAATTACTCCCGGAGTCATGATTCATATATCCTTGGCCTAGTAAATAGGCATCACATGACATCTACGTCTTGCAAGATCTGCGCTATTTATCGTCTTGCGCCATACTAAAGCAGTAACTGCACCAGACTCTTGTAGGCTTTTCTGGCAGCAATGTGCAGAGGTGTTATGCCAGAAACTGTCACAGTTGTTTCCGGAGCTCCCGTTTTGCGCTGGCGCCTCTCTCTTCTTGCTCTTCGGCCTCTGCATAGACATCTGCACCGTGAGAGAGTAAGAGTTGCGATTTATTCATATTCTCCTTCTTTGTTGGTGCAATATGTTGCTGATTCTCCGTTACTGATGAGTCAACTCCATCTAACAGCTCAACTCTAAATGCAAGGGGGCCCACCCACAAATGGGGTAATAGGTGTACCAGTCATTGGTGATTATGATATCAGGGTTATCACCCTCCAAGAATGACTCGGTGGCATTGACCTTCGCCCCTCCTTTGAGCAGCGTATGTGCAATATCATAGTGACCATTCCGTATTGCTACATGTAGAGGTGTCCTTCCTTTTCTCTTCAGCCCTATGTCCGAATCCCAATCTTCTATTGCGTTGACATTGATGTTAACGTCCGCAAGTAACAAATTAACAATATCTCTGGATCCTCCTTCAGCTGCCAAGTGGAGTACCGTCCTACCACAGTCGTCTTCCGCGTTGATATTCGCTCCTATTTCGAGCGACAGCCGTGCTGCGGCAAGGCTTCCTTTCCAAGATGCACACCGTAACGCGGTTTCCTTTTACCGTTCTTCTCTTCTAGGTTCTTCACGCCCCTTGTGGTAGGAAACGTAACGCCTGCTATCAGGATCCGTGCCATTGTCTAGGAGAGGCTGGACAACATCTGCTTGGTTTTCTTCGATGGCAAGATATAAGCCTATGTTCGTGTGCATCGGAATTCCTTCTGCTATAAAAACACGAATCGCATCCACATATCCATGTCGTACAGCCGAAAAAAAATGCTGTCATACGAGATATCGTTATCGTTACTGACAGACTTTGATGCTAGACATGAGCCCACTTCTAATACCCAATTAGACATTGCGGAGTCGAAGGCGTTCGAGTTATTATGCTGTAATTGGGTTATTACATCTTGACAATGGTTTTTCACAGCCACCATTAATGCAAAGCCTCAGAAGATGTCTCAGTATAGCAACGGCATACCCGAAGAAGCCACCACTTTCCTGGTTGCACCCATTTCTTCACTGAAATGGAGCTCCATGGTTGTAGAGTCTCGGCATTTCTCATAATTCTGCGCTAAGCGAGAGCTTGTATACATCGTCTTCGACCATTGAATGTCTCGATGCGGCCGAGCGAGGAACTAAAGATGCTCTAGTGTCTTTGTTTCTAAAATTTGCCTGTTTTGGAAACATACTTGCCAACAGACACTAATAGGGTATTCATGACGGTGTTGTGACATACCAACTGCGATGAGCATCCTATTATAACTTAGAGTAACCAAGAATCGGCAAGAGATCGGGATACGTACCCTACTTCTTAGCGAATCCACGCTCTTCAACTCTGCGGACCACTTGAGCTTCAGCCAAACATGCTTAGCTTTATTCTGAGAGCCAAGGATGTCATATTCCCTGGCCACTTTTCTTTTTAGCTAGTCCAACGTCTTCCGAACCCCAGAAATCATCTCATTTACCATCCTGACTCGATCCTCCTCGGCGCCTATTAGCGCAGATTGCGGGTTCTCGACCTCTTCCTGTAAAATTTTCAACGAATTACACAGTATAGATATCTCGCCTAACACCATTTGAAACTCGTGAGGCGCATTCCGGGCTACAGTGTAATAATCGCGGTACAGGATCCAGGGGAGCTGCCCAATAGCGATGAAATCGGAGATAGCAAAGCCTAAGGACATTGGTCTTTTGATTTGATTATAACGATAGATATTTCCGGTTTTTGATCCATTTTGTTCTCAAATATCACTGCTACTACCAGCAGGCTTGAGTGTAGATTGAAGTGCAAGCGGGGCGTCCATGGCGATGCAGCCTTGTCGAATGCATGTCCAATCAGCGGCCAGTTTGAGGATATACGTACAGGCCATGCAATATATCTTCTATTTAACTGGTAATCAAGGAGTCTTTCACTCGGGGTTTTAGTTAGTAACGAGGTGGACAAGAGGTCCAGAACATGCCAGTTGACAGATAAAAGTCGACGTAGAGGGTCTGCAAGATCACATATTCTCGCATCTTATTCTGTTAATATGCTCTCCAAAGTCGCGTTGTAGGCACTTCCATTTGGGAGACTTCAGATGAATGAGACATATGACCCAAGAATAAATATGGGGGTTTTACTTACCTGAGATATCTTATTTCTTGTAGAATTGTTGTTAGCCCCTGGGCATATTCTGGGCCTGCTCTATATAATGCCAGATTCATTGTGACTGTATCAGGAATCTGAAAAATTTGTAGTTGTTCGGTATACGGAAAAGGGGCTGCTGGGCCCATTCCATCGCACAATGGTGGAAGGTTTGGATTCTGTTGGGACATGGCTTATTTAGTGGTTAGGTGAGATGTTGCGTATTGAAGATAGGAGTCAAAAGGAAGCTCATGAACGAAGAGAAGGAAGAGGCCGACGGCGTCAGAATGCCTCAGGCACTTTCTCCATAGGTTTGTCGCTCTAGATTCTCCGACTCAGGTACATACATTCCCACTAGACTCTACCCTTCCGCTCTCCTTTCCTGATAGAATCAGCTGATTCAGCTCACTGAAGGTTGCCGGGCGGATGAGCCGATAAACATAAGGGTCCCCGCTGATCATGTTGTATTTGTAGAGCATGCCACTGCTTTCGAAGATAACTTTGCCGCCGCCCTCATTATCGTCCTGACACATGATTGGAGTGCATTACCCGAATTTATCAAGAATAGCGCGTCCCCAGCTGCCTTGCGCGACCAAGTCACGTAGTCAAGCTCTTCTGGGTCTATCGTGCACCCCAGCGGAGGGGTCATCTAAGGATCTGTCAGTACGCAATAATCATCACCGATTTTGGATCTTATAGACTTACGGAAGGCTTAGAGTCAGCTATTATTTAAATGTGTGTGACATTGCAATTGAGTTGGATGTAGTTGATGGATGCAAAAGAGATATGTAGGTGCACCATGGTAAATTTACAGTGGCACATCACTCACCGTCCAGTCCCTACGGTGTACACCCCTCACCGCACAGAACCATCTCATGCATTCCCTTTTCCATACAAAATTGTTACTCCTATCTCATGTTACTATGACACATGATCACATCCACAGTTTGAGAAAGTATGGCTACAAGCGCGGTCTTCTTCGAAAACCCGGGAGCTTGGCGACAAGATTTATATATGCTAATTCCAAATGACGCATGGCAACATTGAATGGAGGTACTCAGTTTCCACGGCTACCTGCGCCAAGTTTTAAACATAGCAGCAAGTAATGACAAGATGAAAGAGGAAACAAAAATCTCAAGATACATTTCGACATATTTGTTATGTTTTGAGACGGTAGATGATTGATCATAACTTGAATAATGTCTGTGCTATTACTGACTTGGGGTAGCATACTAATTCAACATAGTGCTACTCATCTATCCTGCCACCTGTTCAAGAATTTCAACGACGAGAGAATTGGACTTGCAGAGGAGGCAACGTGGTGGTAAACGTGTCCAGCGCATTTTTGTCGAAATCGTCGCCGGTTTCATTCTCTGCGAAAGCCACGTTGTATTGCTGCGCAATGACTGAGATCGCAATCCTCAGACTCTGAAGGGCCAAGTTTTTACCAGGGCAGCTGTATGCACCTTTAACAAGAAATCAGCTACTTTCCCTTCACTTTGGGGAAAAAGGGGGAAATAATAACACTAACCCAAAGAAAACGGGAAAAACGGAGCGTCACCCGTGGCCATTTCGTCTTTGCGCTCTCCCCATCGTTCCGGAATAAACTCTTGCGCATTTGCATAATACCGCTCATCCGTCTGAATTAACTGCACGGGAACGAACACGTTTATATCACCAGGGATATAGACATCGTCAACTTGAAGACCTTGTGCTGGCGTACAGCGGTATCCACCCGTTAGAAGTGCTGGCTTTAGACGGAGGGTCTCGTTGATGATGTCGTCGATAAAAGTAACTGATTTGGCCTTCTCGTACGACCAGTCCGCAGCGCCACCTGGCATGGCTTGGTCTAATAGATGCTGTAGCTTTTTGAGCGTGGAGGGGTATTTGGCGAGGTAGAAGAAGATTGATGCGAGAGTTGTGGCGGTAGTTTCGCTGGTGCTGTCAGTATCCGAAAAGAAACAAATGGAATACACGTACCTTCCGGCGATAATGACCACACGCGAGTCTTCATGCAGAGATTCGAGCGATGGTGACGCTGAAATATCCTTTTCGACATACGACTTCAACAACCAGGATACAATGTCTTGTGGATATTCCTCGGGATTCCACGTCTGAGAGAATAAACGTCAGGACACAGCCCATTACCTTGAGATGGTAGCGATAAGACAGTACAAACCTTCTGCTTCAAGTCAATCTCATTTCCACACCACCTGAAAAAATCTGCATAGGCCGCCGTCGCCCCTGGAATGCTGGATATGAGATACAACAACCACGGCACGTGACTTAGCACACTCAAAACGGTCATATGCTCATGAATAGCCCTAATTGCCGGGTTCTCTTTCCCCGTACTCAAGTTGTTAAAATCCTTTCCAAACCCAACTTCACCCATAATGTCGAAGCTGAGAAACATCGACCAGGCAGTCGCATCCAGCGGTTTGTGTTCATTGACCTGGATTTGCGAAACGAACGAATCAACCTTGGCTTTGATTCGGGGTTCGTAGGTTGCCAATGCTACAAGAAGTTCAGTTTCTATGAATTGCAGTAAAAGGGGAATGAGGAAACTAGCAGATATACCTTTGATGCTAAAACCACGGTCCCATGCTTTTCTTCTTTTACGATGGTCATCAAAGTCCCGAGTCATGTGAATCGAGCACTTTTTAGGGTTTGGAGACACTTGGGCATACCAGGTTGTTTTCAAGCACTGGGATTGCGGGCCATAGATGAGCGGGACAGCAGACTTGCGTACGATGCAGATTTCCCGGGGGCCTATCCAAATATGTGAATCCATTTCATAACGCAAGAAGGACAAATGCAGGAGTGAATAGAAAGAGGATGTACTTACCAGTCCGGATAAAATCGCCATAAGTTTCGCGCATCTTCGCCACCTCGCGGTAATACCTGACTTCCTTAGCCGCCAGGGCTACATCGGGAAATCGGCTGAGCTTCGACCAAAAGGGACCAGGAAACCGACGGATACGATGAAAGAACAGTCGATAGACTGCAATGCTGAGAATCAAGCTAGCATTGAATGATGTCGTAACCACAGCGAGCCGAATCAGTGTTTGAAGGATCGAGAAGTTCGCCAAAGTGAGGTACGCATAGCCAACACCGGAGATTGCTACGACATAAAACCAAAGCAAAGGCGCAAGATGATTCTCGACGGCAATCACACGGAAGACAAACCAGTGCAACGTAACGGCAAGTATGGCTACTGAGCCAGCTGTCGATGTTAGGTCTGCTTTTAGAGCATCTTTCAGATAGTGCATGGCTAAGGTAGCCATTCCGGACGAGATTGAGATGCAACTGGGAAAAGCAACTCAATACTGCTTGGAAGAATCGCACTCAAGGAGAAGCACAAGGAGGAAGGAATTGAAAAAGAAAAGGGAGTGATAGGGGATATTATGGGGCTTTCCCTCGTGTTCTCCTAACCGACATGTTGGGCTGAAGCCGAGACAGCAGAGGAACGACAGGCCACACACAATCCATTACTATGCGTTAGTTGCATTCACGGTTATATAATAATAGTATACGGTAATACGGGTCCCCGGTATCTGCGTTAGAACTTAGAATTGAACATTATAATTGGCAAAAATCCTATTCGACAACCGGCCCCATTCTGACGCGGCCCGGGAGGGACTGAATGTGCACTACCTAAGCCCTAGCCATTGTTTGACGGTTGTCATACTAGGATATTAATTAATATTGACAAGGATACTGCAACATATACTATATTACGGACGGTTGACACTCCGAGCGATGGCCTCAAGTGGTTAGATAGTCTCATCTTAATTCTGAAGGCCCATTTCTGTTGGATCCTACAGAAATATACCGTTTAGTAGCTCTTAAGATCGACGGAAATCGGCTGTTGGATGTACTTTGATTGGATTTAAATTTGACGCACCTAGACCTCGAAAACACTAGCGCCAGCAGCAGTAATTTTGACAGGTATAACTGTCTGATCTTTTACGAAAAAATGAGAAGAGAGAAAGCGAAACGGAAGGGCTATCTTCGTCTACAGGAAGGCGACCCTCATAAATATGTGAAGATATTTTTTTCAACATTCAACTTCTGTTCGGTTCTTCTTCCTCTGCACTGGTCCGGCCAACGTGTCTCAAAATGGCCATCAATAACTTACAACCCATTGCCTACATTGTTGTATCTCTTGCTTTTGCGGTTGGCACCAGCTCAATCTTCCTGCGATTGTACTGTCGAGCAATTCTCTTGAGGACGTTTGGCTGGGATGATGTCGCGGCTGTGTTTTTACTGGTGAGCAACGACTCAAATTTCTGTCTTTTTGAGTGAGACGAGAGGTAAAGCTGATGTGAATTTCTTCAGCTGGTCAACACTATGCAGCAGACCATATTGTACATATTCTTGCATTATGGCTGTGGCCTGTAAGTGATCAATTGTCAACCAAATTAAGCCTCTATCTGGTGAAAACGTCTAATGGCTGTAGGCATGCTGCTGCTCTGAATAAATCCCAGATTTACAACATTCAAAAGGTTTGCTCACGACTCCCCATCTTGAGCTTACCCATGTCCTGTAGAACATCTCTGATATGTGGTATAGTGGCTCATCGTTGAAGAAATCTTTTACATGTTCACGCACTGGACCATCAAAACGTCTTTTCTCTTTTTCTATCTGCGTCTCTCCCCAGACCTTACCTTCCGACGACTGGTCTATGCTACAATGGCTCTCAATACCATGGTCACCATCACAAATTGGCTACTGGCCCTTCTGCAATGCATTCCATTCGAAGCTATTCTACACCCTGCTGACTATCCACATGCCAAGTGTATCGAGGCAGACATAGTTTTGATGCTGCCGTCAGGCCTGGTACGTAACTTTCCTTTTCTGCTGCTTCATTGCAATCCAAGGTGTTTCGTTTTGATTGACTAAACCTAGAATATAATAACCGATTTGGCCATTCTATTCCTTCCCATTCCCACTGTCCTGTCACTCCAAATGCCCTTTCGCCGGAAAATGGCCGTTCTCGGTGTAATTGGCTTTGGTGCTTCCGCCGTCATTGTTGCGCTGTGTCGATTCGTCGTACTCAAAGAGCTAGGCAGCAGTGATGATATTTCCTACGTCCTCGGCAATATGGTGATCGTCGCCGCGCTCGAAATCCAGTCCGCTGTGGTTGCCGTGAACCTGCCCGCCATGAAAGCCCTCTTCTCACGGGTGATTGATTTCTCTGGGTACTCGGGTGGCAGCGCGGGCTACAAACTATCGGAAAACCCGCATCATTCGGGGGCTGATCTGGCTAATGGAAGAAATCATTCCTCGGCTGTTTTAGGTGGTTCCAATAGTAAAGGGTCTCACAACCGGTCTGCTAACCGGCGATTGAGAAAGTCAATTACTGGCATGGCAGAACGCGATCTTATAACGACTGTGAATGAGACCATGAATGGTTCCGAGGAGGATCTGATTGAAGGACAGCAGCACCCGGGCAAAATTGATGGTATCAGGGTGGCTACGACGGTGGACGTAGATAACACCTTACGACAGCCAGGCGATGCGCATCTGTATGGAAAGCTTGTGAGTCCGTACAAGAGTTGGAAGAAAGATGAGCGAGCATGATATAGTGACAGGATATCACCTTCCTCAGGCCATATTGGGACTAGCCCGTTTTAGGCGGGCGTTGATATCAGCCCTGGACCTCACCACTTAGCTAGAACACACATGACAACATATCTTATGAGCCTAAAAAGGCCTCATCATGTAGTATAGTGTACATTGCGGCGCGGATTGATGTTTCCTTTTCGTGCGGTGCACTACAAAAGGACTAGTGCTAGGATTTCATCATGAAGCCGGATCGCAAAACTCTGGCAAGTCTGTTGACATGGCTGATTTCAATGACGGCCTGGCATGGAAGTGTTAGGTTGTTGATTAAGTGGGCATGGGATCAGCAGGATGGAAGTCCAAAAAATAGAAAAGATGCTGAGAAGAGAGTCATATTTATTGGACCCTGGGAAGGCAACTGCTCCCTGAGAATCTCATATCCGATTATGAATCTCTTAATGTCTAGTTGTTAACCGTTCACAAGATTCTTGTTGCTGCATGCGAAGTGTCAGAAAGGCATATGAACGTTGTTGTCGGTGTATCCGGCTTCATCACGACATCGCCCCTATTCGGCGATATTTACCACCAAATTGCAACTATCCGAACTTCAGAATAAGAAAAAGACACAGGGACTTTATTTTAGGTATTGGTATTTTCTAATTCCATTACTAATCGTGGATTCGCACCCTTACTACAAGGTAAAGAGGAGAGAGTATGCTGTTTAGGTAACAGCTTCCAGGGTTCAATGGTTGTTTGCCTCGACATATCATCAAGAACGGGGGAATGTGAGGGATAAGACTGAGATCGATGCTTGACTGAATTGATGAATACTGAAGATTGTCCGTATATAGTCCTTGGGGTATGATAATTGTGGGTTGGGCTGATTATAGAGTAGAATAAGTACTGGGAATTGAGAATGATAATCTAAGAATATGTACTATCTATGTTTCTGTTCCCTGGCCTATTGAAAAACATACAGGCGTATGACATACTCCAAGTATAGACCCGAGACAATCACAGCCACACTCCCCATAGCACCGCGCCTGAACCACCATTCACAGTCCGCAGCAACCCTCAGGTCAACAAGCGCCAACATTACTGACAGAAGGAAAAATGATCCACCACAGCTAATAATATAGTAAAGAATTGAATAGTCATTTCGGTTTCCCACCTTCCACAGCAAAATCTCCGTGGCAGCAGTCATCATTGATAACCACATTTTTGGCCGATCACCTATTACTAGCGGCATAGACTTAATTCCAGCTTTGGCATCGTCTCGCATATCCTGATAGGAGTATATCACATTGGCGATCGTAACAATGTGCATGCTGACCAAGGCCATGTAGAGGGTGGACACGAAATGTTCCGATCCAGGTGAGACATCGATACCGATGACCATGCTAGCCATGAAAACACTGACCGCAAATCCGAATCCCATAATGAGCTGGGGAAAAGACGTAAATCGCTTTCCGTATGGGTAGAGCATCATAACCAGAGTCGAAATAACCCCAAGGCCGTGACAATCATTGGGAAGAGAAGCAAGAACTCCGGTTCCAAGTAACAGCTGGACAACGCTGAAATTGAAGGCTTCGTCTGGTGTGAGAGCTCCGCGAGCAACAGGGCGCGATCTGCGGCGTCGAACGTGTTTGTCGTATTCGTAATCAACTGCACCTTTGAAGGCGCAGAGGGCGTGGCGTATGATGAATATCCAAAGTACACATTTGGATGCTAGAGGCAGAAGCTCCTTCGGCTGTAACAGAGGCCATGAAAGACTCACGGCATGTGTCAAGCCAACGCTGTAAAGCAGGACAGCCATTATGGTTTCATTAGGCTGGTGGATGCGTGTGACTTCGAAGTACGGGCCCCATGGTATATCTAAGAAGGGAAATAAGTTGACGACTTCTTGAGACGCGTAGTAGAGGAATTCTTCGAAAGACATATTGATAGAGTTCTGAAAAAGGCTAGGGAGTGATAAACAGGTGCTCAGGTATCGCGGTATCAATGAAGCAAAAGTAAATAAAAGATAAACACCGCGGTCAGTTCGCGCCTTCCATCTTATGTATGCGGTGCCTCAGGCCTCCAGTCCAAAAGCTGGCTGATGTCTCCTGCGTCTTCTTGTCTGGCGTATAGCATGTCAGAAGTTTCCAACTATCATCTGTTAGGAAATACTCTTCTTTTCTTTTTCGACGAGGAAAAAGCAGAAAACACTGTCAAAAGTTGTTGTGGCCTGGTCACGTGTATCTATTTTTGCGATTCGCCTATTCGGTTATTGTTGTATCATTGTGCGGACGAAGGCTTCGTCTTGCTTTTCTTCACACTCCAGCAAAATATCTCAAAGCTATCTCGTTGTAAAAATCATCTATCCGAGCCCAATTTCACCGATTTATAAGGTTCCGTATAGATCTGTTCAGATATTAACGCAATCTAACAAGAAGATGCAGGTCGAACACCTCCCATCGGATGGATGCCTACAAAGTTCTATAATCCACACACCACGACAAGAGACATCAGTGAACTTTCCACTTTCTACTAAGCAAAAAACTTGGGTTAACTCGAAATCGAAGGACATCTACGTGTAGGAGAAACACAGCACAGGTCATTCGGAGACTTAGGTCTTACCAAAACGTTTCACTTCAGGCTTCAGGGGTTAAAAGCATCCAGTCATTGCACCTTTCAACTCTGAACATGGGATCCGGCCATAATTGCAATAAAATATAGGAGGTTGCAATTTTAGGGCACCAATTGGCCCAAGGTAATGGAAATTTCAGCATCTCGACTGGGCACGAAGACATGGGCAAACAACCGTCGTACGGAACGCAAGGGGCACCGTCCACAATCAATAGTCGCTGCTCCTTTCCATTCGGACTGAACTCAACCAATTCGTTCATCGTTATGTATGATCGGGAAAACTGTTGAAATCATTAATCAAACCATAAGTATGGTTTATATTCAGGAAGAGGAGATGATTTCAAGCGCCCAAGGTAGTATATGAAACCACAGAACCAGTTCTCTTAGCTATTGTCGATAAGCTACGCGATCACTTCGAGTGTGTACAAGTTCTATTTGTCTTACATGATTTCCGCTAGGGATTATACAGCGGTACTACTCGAAACAATTAAGACAACAGGGACTGTCCTCGAAGGCCTGGGCTCATACTCCCCCGACTATTATGTACCACAATGGACCGACTTCCAATGTCGCGATACCCGTATGTTCAACCCAAGGAGTCAGTCATGGGCAGGTTAGTGACTGGTGGAGCTGCAAGGGACGCCACTTAGCCATATATAATCGGAATCGATATCCTTGGTCCCAATCCTACTTCGTAGCCTCAAGAAATCCGTACCCTCAAGGCCAGAAACGAACGCTCCCCCGCATTATACTTGCATTTACAACCAATCGGAGAGACACCTAGAATTATTAAACTGCAGGTTTGAGATCTGTGCCATGGCCTGTCGGAATATATTGTCGCAACACCATGTCTCTGTGATACATAAGGAAGGGGCATCCTTGGGTTTAGGGCTTCCGCGCTTTTTGATTCTCATCTCCAGAAATCCAACTACTGACACTCATTTCTAACAAACAGGCTCATTATCATTCTTATATGGGTAAATATATATCCTAAGTTCATTTCCTACGTCCTCTTGTCTTTATCTCGATCTTTTCTATAACAGCAATGAGGTCGTTGGCTCTCTCCACAGTGGCTGTAGCACTTGCTGCCACCGCTGATGCTGCGTCTGCCGACGACTGGGCTAAAAGATCTATTTACCAAGTCATTACAGACCGTTATGCGCGAAAAACTGATTCCACTGATAACTGCAACATTACCAAATATTGCGGCGGTACCTGGTCCGGTCTTGCCAACAAGCTAGACTATATCCAAGATATGGGTTTTACGGCTGTACAAATCTCTCCACTCCAGGAGAACTTGCCTGAAGACACAATATACGGAGAAGCATTTCACGGCTATTGGCCTCAGAACTTCTACGAATTGAACGCTCATTTCGGCACAGTCGACGATCTGAAGCACTTAGTCTCTGAATTGCATAGACGTGACATGTACCTGATGGTAGATGTGGTAGCAAATGAGCTTGCTTATAGCATCGGCGCAACAAATATGACAGCCGTCAACTCCTCCGCAATTATCGACTACTCTGTCTTTGCTCCCTTCAATCAATCTTCAGATTTCACTCCTTACTGTCCTATTGTTGACTGGTCAAATCAAACGGAGTTTACAAATTGTTGGCTTGGATATGAGGGTGTTGCTACGCCACGAATCAAGACTTCAGATCCAGCTATTGCTGTGACACTTGATCAATGGATTGCAGATCTGGTCGGCATGTACGAGATCGATGGTATCCGAATTGATGGTGCAAAACAGATTGAGTCGACGTTCTTTTCCAATTTTACCAAAAGTGCCGGCGTCTATACCATGGGTGAGGTGTATGATGGTGACGCAGAATTTATGTGCAGCTATCAGAATCTCACCTCTGGCCTGGAGAATTACGCCTTGTTCCCGAAAGTCATTAATGCTTTCACGGCGGGCAAAATGGAAGATCTTGTTTCGATGATAGCTACAATGCGACAGGCTTGTAATTCGCCGCAGTATCTCGCCAATTTCGTTGAGAATCAAGATAACCCTCGATTTGCATCATTGACTCAAGATATCGCCGTAAGTGTGACTTTCTCATGCTCACAACATTTTACCAGGTGCTGACATAGGGTTAGCTGGCCAAAAATGCCCTCGCATTCACAATCCTGAGTGACGGAATTCCCAAAATATACTATGGACAAGAGCAACACCTACCAGGAAATTACTCGCCATATAATCGGCAAGACCTCTGGTCCACCCAATACGATACTTCCACTGAGTTGTATAATCTAACTGTCACATTGAATAAACTCCGCAACCATGCCATATCTATCGACGATCATTACGTGACGAACTGGAGTTCATTGCTCTACACCGACGGCTCCACATATGTGGCTCGCAAGGGCCCCAATGGTGCACAGATTGTTGCCGTGCTATCGAATCAAGGCTTACAAGGTGGTGATTATACCTTGCAGATACCTGGAGTTGCAGATCCGGGGATGAATTTGACAGAAGTGACGATGTGCAATAGCACTGTTACCGCCGAGGAGAACGGTACGATTACAGTTCCTATGGGTCAAGGTCAGCCACGTGTTTATTTTCCAACTTCCAATCTGAATGGTTCTGGATTGTGTGATTTTTCTTCTTCCTCGTCGTCGTCGACAGGGTCGTCTGACAACTCAAACTCGACATCTTCGGATGTGCCTGCTGCTACCTCGTCTCTGCCATTGGGAAATGGTACAAGTATCCATGTTTCTGGATGGACGATGCTGTTGTTTGCGATTGTTTCAATAGTCGTTATCTGATCTTCTGACTGTCTTCATTTCCCTAAGGGATTCTTTCAGCTTCCCCCCGCTTCTTGCATATACCTATCTAATGACTGCGTACAATATTAATATCACTGATCAATTGTCCTTTCCCTCCTTTTCGCTTAATCTCTTGTAGAATAATATCGTAGCAACAAACCAACGCCAAGACTAAGCCCGATCTAGAAAACTTTAGCGACTTTCCTCATTTAGCGCAAAGCCCTAATCAGATCTAATCCCCATGGAGTTTAAGAAGATCTCACAAATTGATCGTTTAAACCAACGACAACTCTTCCTCTTCCCCGTATTGATTATCCTAGCTGTTGAACCCTAATATGTACGGAATTTTCGGATCTGCTTAATCATTTAGTGCGCTGCTTAGCTGTCGCAAACCTATCTGGATTTGCTCTAGCTCGTCTAATGCATTCACTCTGATCCCCACATGGCTTCTATGTACGTACGTCGTATGGCCAATTTGGTCGAATCTGCCTCGCCATGTCGGAAATGATGTTTGGTCTAACCCAAATCATCACACATTATGCGAGATAACGGGAGGCTTAGAGTCGGTGGCTTTCTGTATCTTTTTTGAGGCATCTGTGGAAATTCAGCCTCGCGCGACGCCGTAAAGCCATATTGAGACAGATTGGGCATGGCACGAACTATCGAAAAGGCTTAGTTAGGACTTGACACTTTTTCTTTTAAATTAAGCCTCAGCCTTCTGACTGTCGTTCTCCGGGATCTTGTTCCTGTGTCTCGTTAAGTCGTTATTATTGCCCAGCAGTCTCAATTCTCGATCTATTACTCCCAAACAAAAATGGTTGCAAAAACTGGACTCAGCTTCATTGCCGCTTCTGCTCTCTTTGCCCGTTCTGCATTGGCAGCGAACAATGCTACCACAGTCTCTGCTACGGGATGTGTCGATACCTCGGGGATGAATACATGTCTCAACAATGCGGAATCGAAATTCACGTCTTGCATGACTGCAGCTGGTGGTGATGACGAGGTATCCATTGCTTGTCAATGGACACAATGGGTAGACCAGATGCTGTGTTATCAAAAATCTTGCTGGAATAAGGTACCTTCTTCCCCTAAGTATTCGAGAGTGTTGAAGGCCCTGACAAAATTCAGATTTACTCCTGCGAATATCAATACCTTGTTTCTTCATATGTTACGCAGCAGACCGTTTCCGTCTCAATTCCTTACTACCCGGCTCCTGATAACGCACCAGGCGGTTGCTCATGCAATTTGGGAGAGGTCTTCAACAATATCACAGCTAATACGAATGCTGCGGCTAATGGATGCTCACAATATACGGGTTCCATGTCCACTGCTCTTGAACAGTGTCAGTGTTGTGGTTGGAGCGCCGCTGTGTCAGCGTAAGTCATACTTTTTAATCCAATCCTCTTCCACGCGATATCTCCTGACTTTCTAAATAGCTTCTATGGAATCTGTCCTGACACATCCCCCAATGAACTGGGACTCTCATCATTCGACAGCAAGGCCGCAAATTTTGAACAAATCACCGGCTCATGCGCAGGACTAACCTCCCAAATTTGTGGTCAATATGGCTTCGAGTCTGCAGATAATGGAACCTTCCTTGATCCTACCAATTTGCCTGCTGGAGGCACAAACCCCCTGTCCACGACTGCAGGGCCTTCATCTCTTACATCGCCACCGGCTGGTGAAACTATTACGTGGACACTCGCTGGGCAGACTTTTGTTGTAACAGCTGCCCCGTATAATGGAAAGGATGTTGCTGCTGGTGCTACCACTACTGGTACTGATGCGTATGCTACTACAACTGGAACTGGCACTCGTTCTGGTTCTGGTTCCGGCTCCGGGTCTGGATCAGGCTCTGGAAGTAATGGTTCTACAGGAGCCAAGACTACTGCTACAGGAACAGTACTACCTAGTCCCATCAAGACCGGTGCTGCAACGAAGCTCCAGGGAGTCACCGAAGCCTGGGGTGTTGGGTTGCTATCTCTGATCGGCGTGGCAGCTGTGCTGTAAGTTTTCAGATACCACGAATTACAACTACATTAATGTCCATAATATCCATGTAAGCAAATATCCGAGACATTCCATTCGATCTGTATCCATCTATAGACGTCAATAACGGAACTTGCATGAGCAAACTGGCAATTCCTTCCCGCGCTCTCCAATTGGTAATCCATCTGCAACATACGGAACTCCTTCGTCTTGAAACAATTTATCAACACCGGCCGGTTCCCATCCGGGCCAGTATAAATCTTTTTAACATCCCGATACGCAGGATCTTCATAACCAGGCCGGTTCAGCTCGAAATAAGTATCAAACACACTCTCCATAGTACTGAATAGTCAAGTGTAGACCGCGTAATAATCCACCTTCAGCCTCTCAGGTCTATCCCTGCCGTAAACGTAAACATCTTGAATACCTTCCGGGATGATGAAATAAGCTCGCAGTCGCTTGTCTCAGGTGTCATCGGAAATCCAGGATATGGCTTTGTGAGGACTGCGTCCTATTGCGATGGAGGTTAATTTGGTCATTATGTTGATGAGGTCTATCGGGAATGATGAACGGTGAACTCTAGGTATGTGTGCCGCGAGGATGCCCTTGTTCGTGTGAACTATGACGAGATCCTGGACTCCCAGTAGTGGATGAACACAGGATTTGACTTCGTTATGGTAGCTTGTAACCGGTGGTAATGGGACGCTCATCATCTGTCTATTGTTGAGCTCCAGGACGTTACCTGGACGAGAAGCGAAAAGAGCACCGGGCACAACCAATCCGTCCCATATATGTTAAGTGGCCTGACATTGAGTATATTGAGGTCGAGGAAAAAAGGACTTCCCATCTTCGGTTTTGAGATTAGATAATGCCTACTTAAAATTTAAATATTCTGCTCTGGGTCATGCCTGATCGTAATGGAGTACGGCTTTTCGTAATCATCGTCCTCCGAGTATACCGGATTCCATGGCGCAATTGTGGACCTACCGGCTTTTCGGGTTCAGCCTTCTTGATAACCGTGGCTCGCCATCAGCTGGTAGATTGGGTATAGCGTCTATCGTTGGAGGTTATGTGTGTCGCTAGAGACGCACATTGCCGAATGAGGAATGCGCAAACAGCTCCAACTAGTGTCAGGGATATCCACCACATTAAGTAGGTATCGACGGACTGCGTTGAAGGGTGAAGTCTGCAGAACTTCCAAGGTTGGGTATTATAAAATCGCTCTCTTTCCATGGGGAGATGGCTTTTCAGTTCACATCTTTTATGATTGGATGCACTGTCTAGGACCGCTATTTACAGAAGGCTTCGTCCGTATCATTCTGTCATGACAGGTGCATAAGGACTCAAGGTTGGTGGTAAGTGATTCACAATCTGATAATTCATGGCTTCTGCATGCAAATTAGTGGCATCTCAATAGAGTTCATCGTCGTTCTCCTCGATCATTTTCTGGCTTACCAATTGAAGACTTCCTCGCAAGAATGCTCCAGCAGCACGGCGTTAGACTAGGAAGACAAGGTCATCCTGTTTTCTCCCCAAAAAGTTCTCCCGAGTTGAACGAAGTTTTCCGGAAAGCTCTCATCGAAGTTTGAGAACCTAGGAAATCAGGATAACGTTACAAGAATTACAATGGAAGCTGTTTGACTCATACATGTTAAATTCAAGAATAACAAAACTAAAGTTGGAAAGGAAATGTCCGACTCATACATGAAAAGGAAAAATCAATGCTAATACCTAGCATACCAAGAACTGTCCTGTCAAGCCTGCAACAAACATGGAAAAGAGAAAGTAAAATTACTCCAACAAGGCGAATGCAAAAAGGCCATAACAAGAGAAAGAAGGGAATTATCGCAACAGGGCAACCAGAAAAACTGAAAGAATTTCTTTTTGTAAAGTTTTGTCCTTTTTTTTTTTTTGTCGTTGTTTCCCTCCTCCTCTTTACTTTTTGTTCTGCTGTCTCGGGTGCTCCTCAATAGAAAATTGAACATGGTCTTGATGATATCGATTTGACATGGGTGAGCTTCACAGAGTCATCTCAAGTGGTCGATCAGAAGTAGCTCACATCAGGAGCCTATCATCAATCAGGCCCCATTGTGAGCAGTATCGGTAGTGCCGGGGGTGCCGGGGGTGCTTTCGACACCATCTCCCACAGGGTTCTCTCTGCCGTTCTGTCCTGGGTTCTCCGCGACAACAGGATTCTCAGTAGCGTTGCCGTTATCATTGACAGTAACATCCGGCCCTTCTTCATTCTTCCCAGTAATAATATATTCGCCGGACATGTCATTAACCTGTACGTGAGGACGGTCCTCGTCTCCCGGTCTCCCGTAATTGCCCACACGAATTGTGAAGTTGGGATTGCGATCAGGCCACTCGGCTGGTGGGACATAATAGAGGTATGAATTGAAGCGTGACTCGTAAACAGTGTTGAGCCTAAGCTCCCGCAAGGAATTTAAGCGTCTCTGGGGACCTGCCGGTCTAGGCTTTTTTGCGTCGTTTGGGTTTAGAGTGAAGGCGGGGATCAAGCGATACATATAAGACCAGTGCTTTCCCCCTACAGGGCTAACGTTGCTCTGAAGTGTCTTGTCGATAACACCCATGATAGCGCGATAATCATAGGCTAACCACGCATCATTTGTGTCCCTAGGTACCCGTGCAAATATGATATGGAACGGGGTGATGACAATGAATACCTCGTCGAGGCAACGTCCGTAGGGAGGCCTGTTCCACGCCCACACAGTAATATTTTTCCACCAGTCACTCTTCAGGTCGTACGAAATCACGACGACTTGTCCTGAATGAACAGGCCGCTGCGTGTTCTTCTCTGACATAACCTCACTATACAGCATCATATCCGCGTGAGGTGCTCTAGGAATCTCATTTGATTCCAATAAAGTGGGAAGATTTTCCTGTATGCCGAGAGCGAGTTTCAGTTCGTTCGTCAAATGCTCACTTGAAAATACATGAAGAATCAAACGGATGATAGAACTCACATCTGGATCACCATACTGGGCCAATCTTCCTTCAGCACCCTGCGCGTCCCAACTTTTGAGCGGATGATACTGTACGACCGGGCCATGGTCAAGGAAAGACTTTGAAGTAAACGTTAGCAAGATTCAGCAAGCATGGAACAAGTATCCGGAGACTTACGGCTGGTAGAACCTAATAGAATTGAATAATGGTCAGTATACAACGTTGCAACGCGAGATTCTGAAATTCAGGGGGGTCAGCTCTTACTCTTCCCCAAATGTCATTGGGCCCTTTCCAAAAGGCTTCAATTCTTGACGCGGTGGACAGAAAATCGGATTTTAAAACTTCTCGTAATTTAGCATCAGGTATACCTGTGCCAGTAGTGCCAATAGTCTGGAATAGGAGATGAGTCAGTACAACGCTCAATGTTTTTGACAACTGGTTGGTTATAGATGAGGACCAAAGCCGCGGGTTGATGTATACTCTTAACCTCACCTTTGTGGATTTCGACCGGGAAATTTGTACGGACTGGAGGAAGGTCAGTACAACTTATCTATCATGGTTCGGAGATGTCACTTACTGGAAGTAATCGGCGCTGGCGCTTTGCGTTCTGAGGTACATTATTAGTATCATGTTGCTCGCGGCTCCTAGTGTTCTTTGTTCTTGTTTCTGCTATTGGGTTGCTCACTGGATTGCCTTGACCATTTGCCTGTGCATAATGAGTCAGTTTTCCACTATAGGCAATGGGGTGGGGGGAGTAAGGCACAAGAGAGAGAAGGGGTATATCGACTTACGTCTTCATCTTTCTTTGCACGTTTCTGTCAGGCCATTCCACAGCTGTCAGCAAAGGATTTGACACATCGATAGATATCTCGATAGGGGAAAAAGGTAGGACAATCATAAGGGTAGGGTAATATCATACCGCAGCTGGCTTCCTCACAGGTTTCGGCTAAAAGTAAGTCAGCAAACATAGTTGCAGTGCGCGTAGCAGTGTCAAACAAATTTCATTTTGACTTTGAAGGTACTCACAGCATTGATAGTTTTGTCAAACTGGAGTGTAGCGTTAGATATTAGCATCGATTTGAATCAAGTTTGCTGCATAGATAGTTTCGGCTATCAATGGACTCGTCTTCAGGTAATCTCACCGCTTTTCTCAAAGCCCAGGCCTACAGAATCGGGAACTGTCAGTACGTGTGTGCTTGGATAAAATGAAAAGCAGAGAGGTTTCTGATGGATTGTCTCACCGTAGTAGCTGGCAGTATTAACTGTGTTCACATGTTAGTATAAACATTGAGCATAGCCATCAAATATCATGGGCATCGCTTACATCCTGACCTGCCTGCATAACCTTTATATCAAACCAAGATTGTTAGCATTCAGCAAGTAAACAATTATTGGAAAGTAGAAAACGGACTTCCAAAAGTTTAGCACGTCTCTCGGGATCCTGGGTTGTCAAGATACAATTAGCGGGTAGTTTAGGGAGTTCAGCCCCAACGGTATACGCACGACATTGTCTGGAATATAGAACCCGGACGACTAGTTGAATAAACGTCAGAACTCCAGTGCTATTTCAATATCTGGCAGGCCATTCTGTATCTCACCGAAGAATTAGATCCGATCTGCTATAGAATAATTAGCCTCGTATTGGACCAGGAGGTATATGGAATCTGATTCCATTAGGTCATTCCTCTGGAAAGTAAGGGGAACTTACTGTCGCAGTTACCTGAGAAGGGTTCCTGTAGGAATTAGCTGGCATCGCCTGATTGTTATTGTATTGATTTGCCGGTGCCGTCTGAGTGCTCCTGTATGGGTTTGCCTGCACAGCCTGAGTATAGCTGCATGGGTTTGATGGCGCAGACACAGGAGGATAATTGTACAACTAGAGCAAAAACGGCCACCATTAGTTAACTCTCACTCAGGCGTCATTGATTTCTCAGATAGGAATGACTTACCGCTGATTGCATGTCAGGTTGGGCCGTAGCAGTTCCCATCGCTTGGTTAGCAACATTGTCAGGGGTAGCGGTATTCGACGGAAACGCATCGAACTGTGCACCGAAACCATTGAGAACGCCTGCGCTGAAGTCAAAGGTGTGAAAGTTCTCATTAGCTAGAATAAGGTCAATGTCTGTAACCTGGAACTCTGGGATGCTCATGTTAATAAAGTCCTGCTGTGGCTCATTGACATTCGCCGTGTTGACCTGGGATGAGCTAGAAGGGGTCTGTGTAGTTCGCGGCGGTGGCATTTCAAAACCACTGGGATAAGTTGATTTAGTCTCACGAGTGGGACTGGGAGCAATGGGTCTGAAATTATCCGATATAGCTCTTACACGTCTAACGGAGTTCCTAGACGTTGGGGTTCGAGATGGGGTTTTAGGTGATGATGACACTGGAACATTCGCAGGTGTCTCCAACAATTCAGGATCAATAAACTGCTCGTCAAAACCTGTTCCAGCTACTGGTCCATTGGAGGCTGCAAGGGTGTTCCCCATGGCAATATCAGGGCCCAGTGTCTGGTCTCGGACATAGCCAAAACTCTCTGGATTGGGGCTATCAGGAAGAGAATTGAGCCAATACTCAGAGGCAATATCAAAATTTTGACTCCGTTGATTTTGTAGCATGAATGCATTATTTGGATCAGTATTGTTCCAGAAGGCGTCCAAGTCATTCGGGAACGAGTTTCCACTGGCATCCTGATTGCCAGCACCAGTCATCTAAAGCAGTATCAAGAAATCAGTCAGTCATCATGGTCTGGTATAGAATATGGATACGACTAGCTCGATATCTTGATGCAAGAGAATCCAAGCAAGAGACATGAGTTCTTGTCTCCTCATCTGCACTCAGGGAGGGGTTTGACTCACCACGACATCGTCTGACTCAGCAGAACCGAGTCCCAGAGGGTCACCCATGCTGGGTATTGTTGGCGACAATACCTTGTGTGATGTTTTGAAGATGAGGATAAAATACTTGACGAAAGACTGGAGGATGGGAGTTCGAGGATAAAGAATCGAGGGATGGAGAAGTCGAGGATGGAGGATATCGAGGGGGAAAAGAAAAGAGGAAGAACATAATTTTGAAAGGGGTTCTGTGTGTGCAGGACACAAAACTATTGGGGTGCTGCCATGACGATTGATGTTTTCCTCTCGGCGATGTGAATGCAATGATATGGGAAAACAAAGGAGAGACAGGAAATCTCACATTTTGTGTGTGTAAAGGTTTGTTTTGTGAGGAGTGATGTGAATTGCACTATTATTATACTGTATAAGGATAACAAGGCCTCTTTGAAACTTTTCAATGCCGGCCGGGTGGGTTGTCATCATGAATTTGAGGTGTTATATTAGGTATTACTTACTCCGTGTCCTAACTCAGTCAGTTCCAGTGGACAGATTCTAGTTTGGAATCGACTTATCACTATGTAAGCTTAGCCACTATTCCTGAAGCATGCCACAGTAACAAATAATCAATTTCTTACATTCACCAAGGTAGCCAGATCAAAGCACGTTCAAGGTCAAGTCAACTAGTGTTACATGGAATCTGGGTAAAGATCGAAATTTCCTTTCTTCCTCCCACCAGGCAAAGATATGTAATAAGTGAGAAACCTATAGATGTAAACCTCCCATTCAATGTTTATCCCAAGCGCATCTGCCATCATATTGCAATTGACCATCAACCGCCAACAATACGTCAAGTATTTGTGCAGCTCATCCAGATTTCCGGGATGGAACGGGTCATGGGGATGAGAAAGCCTTCGCTTCACTGTATAATCGGCTTTTTCCATCACGTCTGCAGTCAACTCTGGAGGTAAACCTTTGCTGTACAAGATAGTCCTAACAAGTGCAACTGAAGCAACATCCGGCAGATACCCGACTTCATTTTCCGATTTGAGAAAATCGTCGATTGGTGCCGCACCATATGGGAAGACCCTGTCCCTGAAAGACCATTCCGATAGAGTGTAGATATCAGGCATGTATTTGGTGCCAAATTCTGGACTCATTCTAGGCCACTCTCTAAATTGGCGGTCATCTATACCGAAGAATGCCCGATGTGGATAGTGTGGTACTTCGGACGTGACATCTGACCAGGTACAGCTTCTGAGCGTGCGTTGATATACCTTGGTCGATCTGTAGTCTATTGGCCTGGTCGATGATGCGTCGTCCCATAATGCAGGGAAACAGTACAGAATATTTAGACACAGGTAGGCATTGAGAGCTGATATATAAACAATATCCCAGCCGGCTTGCTGGTCCTATTGACACGGTCAGTGATCTTCTCCATATTCTTTGATAGGGGCTATTTGAGTACCGTATCATAGCATTCTAGTACCGAATGCCATCTCTTATAGTCCACGTCAGGGTGAGAACAAACACGAAGGATTGGTTCCATCTCATCGTAAAGAATAAGTGTCTTGGCTAGCTCAATGTTGTAGAATTGATCCCTGTTTTCTCGATAGAACTTATAGCAATCATTGCTATAATATCGTCGTAGGAATGAAGATACTTTTCTTTCTTTGAACGGGATTGCACATCCACAGTTGAATCCGTCGTTATGGGTGCACAGTTTTCGAATAGATGTACTCATGCAAACTTTTGGTTTCGATTTGTCCGCTAGGTCCCACCGATAGCTTTGTCGCCATTTGTACACAAGAGGGCTGGTTTTCTGTACTGTAGTATCATCGAGAATAATATCATCCTTCCCTGATACGTCATAATTTTCAGCGAATTTCTTGCGTTCACATGTCGTATGTTCCCTGATAGTCTTCGCGAAGCAGGTAGCGAAATAGCGAACATCATTTTCTTGATTGTCCTTCGATCGGAAGTATAGGTTGCTAGGGTTTTGCCAGGTGGGGATATCTGGCCAGTAGATTTTTAGATGTGAGGCGAGTGTATTCCAGGGAATATTGTGAGTCTGGTGTGCTATTTTCTAGACCCAGGAGTCTTCTATGGAGTTGTGAGATGAAGTCGAAATAAGGTCGGTCTGGCCAGCGCTAAGCCGGAACTGGTTTTTCTAGCATACTGAACTTTGTCAATCAGTATGTTTTCTTCTTGTGGTTGGAATGAAGATATTTATTTAACATTGAACGTTGGAACAATCCGAAATTCATATTTGCTGATAGCGTCAGATTGCTCGAAACGCAAGTGACTCATTATGAGTGAGCTCTACAAGGAACAAGTTGCTGCCTATGTTGAAGAACTAGTCCTACATTCATGACTCGTACTGTTAGCGTCATTACAGGGGATATATATTCGTGTATAAATACCAAACACGCTGAATCCAATCACTTGTACAGGTCTTTCATCTATATATGCGTAACCCTAACCCTTTGCTATAAGACCGGAGTAAAGAATAGCCGGAGCCAGCATGTGTGCGGAAACATGTTGAAACATTTGTCAGATATTGTGATCAGTCGCTGGTAGATGCTTCCAAGGTTGTCAATGTCCATTGATAGATACTACTTTATATTCAGTTAGTTGACAGATATTAGGGATACTCCTTGATCTTGGGAGCCATGCCTGTCGGACATTGAGGTCAGTTCCCGACTACATTCTTGCAAGATCTATATCCATCAATTCTCTACTCCATCCTCCATATCGGATTGCATAACCTAGGTCATTCTGCAATCCTCGGGCTATCCCGGACTCAAACCGTCTAACAAAGACACAAAAAACATATGGAAAATTATTCCCAGTGTCCAAAACCAATCCGGTAAACCACGGCAATCAATATCGGCTAGCATCAACAGCGCGGGACATCAGGAAGATCAAATCGCACCAATCGCACCAATCGCATGCCAACTCTATATCCCTTATTTTGGAGTATAAATAGTTGAGCTGATTCTGAAAGCGTCAGGCGCGTCTATTATCTCACTCTTTGATATTCACGATCTTCATTGATCTCGTATACATCACTGCGGGGTTGTTGGAGCTCATCGGCGACATCTCCGAGGCGAGAATTTGGGTGTATTTCTGCCAGATTCTATAAAAAGAGGTATGTCGCTTCACGGTCAGAACGCAACTTCAACATATCGTCGTGGTAACAGTCTATCTGTCTTTCGTTTAAGATAAATCCGGAGTGTTGTATGTACAGTTAAACCATATAAGCTAACCCCACACTCTATAGCATTCATCGAGCACCATCCTCCTCCCTCTTTACATCCTAAGAACATCAGATACATAAGATATACTATAAACAGCAAAGATGACAGCAGGACTCCTCTACGTCACAATGCAGCCCAAACCAGGCTTGCACCCATCCCAATTCCACGACTGGTACAACAACGAACACGGACCCCTCCGTCTCCGACTCCCATTCTTTCCAAATGGATATCGCTTTCGCGCCATTGACAGCGACGAAACCAATCCCTACAGTGCAGAGGAACATGAATGGGTTGCATTATACGACATCACAGACTCCAACGAATTCACACGTCCACCATACACAACTCTGCGCGAAGACGGCGTCAAAACCGAGCGCGAGAAGGAAACCATGTCCCAGATCACGGTTGATCGAAGAATGTTCGATTTGATCCGGGAATGGAAGGCGGATGACTATACCCCCTTAGAAGATGTGCAGACATCTAATTCAAAGGGATACATCATAGTCCCCGTATACTTCAGAATCCAGCCAGGTACAGAATCAAAAGTGGACGCGTGGTATAACGACGAACATATCGCGCTACTTCAAAAGGTGCCTGGATGGCGTCGATCGAGAAGATTCGTGACTTCCTCCGTACTGAATCCCTCGGCGGAAGAAAAGGAGTATCTCGCTATACATGAGTATTCCAGCACTGAGGGACAGAATGGACCTGAAATGAAGGATGCTGTGTCGACGGAGATGGCAAGGGATATTTATGCGAATGTGGTTATTGGGCGCGTTCGAAGAGTTTTTGAGTGGTATTATACATTTGGACCTGCGCCGAAGGATTTACACTCTCTTTCTGACCCTTCGTATTCCGCCGCTTTCTCTTCGAGAGATGGATTGACGCATACATGGGCTGCGTCAGTTACAAGCAATAAAAGAGCAGTTATAGAATCCTTCATCACGACCCCCGACGGCGCCCAACTGCCTTACAGGCTTGAAGGAAGTCCCGATCCCGAAGCACCACTTATCATCCTCATCAACTCCATCCTTTCAGACTGGGGCATCTGGGACGAATTTCTAGACATTTTCTTCTCCAACCCTAAGAACCAGAAATATCGCATTGTCCGCTACCGTCCTCGTGGTCGAAGCAGTGATCCAGGCAACACACCGATTACAATGGACCTCTTAAGCAAGGACGTTATCGCAATCCTCGACGCATTACGAGTACCCAGAGCCGCAGCTGTGGTGGGTGTGAGTCTCGGGGGCGCAACAACCCTGAACACGGCACTCAAATATCCCTCCCGAGTTGAGAAATTTGTGGCTTGTGATACGAACTCGCTCGCTCCGCCCAGTAATCCGTCTGCATGGGCTGAACGGATTGCGCTCGCAGAGTCAGATACTCCCGCGACAGATCCGCATACAGGCGCAAGACTTGTTGGCGAGAAACTCGCTCAAGTCACGACAAAACGGTGGTTCACTCCCGACAGCTACGACGGCGGGATTCGGCAATCCCGCGCTGAGAAAGTGAAACAGTACGTTTTTACCAATCATTTAGAAGGGTTTAAGAAGAGTGTCAAGGCGTTGTATTCGTATGATTTGCGTGAAGACATGAAGACCGGCAGTGTCAGGGGTTTGTTTGTTGTTGGTAGTGGTGATGGCATTTTACCTCAGGGGATGAAGAAGATGGCTGAAGAGGAGTATGCGGGAGGGAAACGTGCAGAGTTGAAGATTGTTGAGGGAGCGGGACATTTGCCTATGGCTGAACAGCCAGAGGAGTTTGCGAAGGTTATTGATGCGTTCTTGTAGATTTTTTCTTTGGTTCTTGTTAGTGTTCCTGGGATGGGCTGGCGGTTTGATTACGTTGTATAGATAAGATTGAAAATCTACTAGGGGATGGAGAATAATAGATTAGAGAACGGGCATCTGCATGCGCTCTTCTAGATTATAAAATCTTTATCCCCGTTTAATATTGACAGCTCAATCAATATGTTTTGGTTGTATGTACATAGTTTTCTGCCGAAAGGTAAAGTCTGCCCCTCTAATGAAATGCTCCACATAAGAAATAACGTAGAAGTGGTTCGTATGCCATTAAGACTCCATTGAAAATGAGTATTAGATTTCTGAGTGAAGAAATTCGACATGATGTGAAGATTGCACAATGTAACCATATGGGTATATGCAATTTCACCATAAACTGTATGTATTCGTAACGCGTCTCGTTCGTGGCTGAATATCGTATCGAGAGCTGACAAAGCTATAATCCGGGCGTGGGCGACAGATAGACCTCACCAGAAGAAGTTGGTCGACTCGGATTGGAAGCGGTCTTAGCAATTGACGACCGTCGAGATATTGCAGGGCTCGTCCGGCCCGATCTTGATGTGCCGCTCAACGGTGGCCCACTCCACGTAGCATGACGTGACATATTGGGTCGTTGCGGCCATGAAGTGTAGGACTCATCATCACTGTCACTAGGCACAATAAAGTATGATTCATCTGCATTGTACCTCGGGACATTTGCTCTATTATGTTGTGGTGACTCCGTCAGACTACTCGTCTGCGCGTGTTTGTAGTGATGAACTGGACTGAAAGATCTCTGCAGGTCAGCAATTTCGATGGAAACAAAACTATGAGCCTTGCGCAAATCTCCATTAGGTCGACGCTGAGATGAAGACCGCGTGTTTTTGGCTCTTCCAGCTTCGCTATATGAGCTCCGCCTCGGAAACATGTCAGGCCGTTGGTCACGTTCGGACAACATTCGTGATTGAGCGGTTGGATGGGACGTCGACAACGTCACTGTAACGGGCGGGCTTAATGCAACACGCGCCCGCATTGTTTGTACGGCCGAGTCAAGGGCTAACTCGATGGCCAGGTGGTTCCGCACACGGGAAACAACAGGCCAAGTTGCTCGCTCGCCGTTCAAGCAGGTCTGCAGAATGAATTCGGTAGTCGGGTTTTGAAGGATACGTAGAAAATGAGCATACGGAATTTCCGGGTAGATATTGATGTCGCCAGAGTACTTTTGACTTAAGATCGAAGCAGTTTTCATAAACTGGTTTTGAAAAACGCCCATTTCTGAAAACACATTCATGCGATGTAGCGCCTCGTCGCGTGCAAGGCTCGTCATCGAGTTCAGCCACGGAGAGCTAAACCAAGCTTGTGGCTGGTCATCTGTTGCTGGACCAGTCTCTTTTTCTAAGAAAGGAAGGACGTGCGGATTCACTTGCGAAACAATAAAATGATTAACATTGAACATCTCTGCCAAACGAGTCATGGGAAGATCTCCATCGACAGAGCCGTCAATCCATTGGCCGCCCTCGTTGTGCCAAGGTACATTCTCTCCGGTGAGAGGATCTTTCGCCATCAGAACAGATGGCGAGAACACAAAGGGTACTGAGCAAGAAACAGTACTATGTATGTCAGTACCAATAACCGTACTGAGATTAGATAAACTTACATAGCAGACCAAATCAGCACATTTGGTGCTGTAATATAATTCAATAACCGGGGAAGTTCGTAAAGCCCGGCACTTGAGATGCATATATTCAGAATCTTCCGCGTGCGGTTGTAAGCTTCATGAAACGTCATATTTCCAAGCCAATTCTTCATCACTCGTTCCAGATTAGAACTGTCGTAAACTGAACCATATTTCAAAAGTCGAGCCATCTTCTGCAAAGGTGGAAGTTGGTTTCCTTCGGGTTCGAAAACGGCAAGATCGCCGTAGGGAAATGCTTCTAGGACTGCAGGAATCTGGTCATCGGTATGAGCACAGAATATGGAAGCGACAATGCTCCCCGCCGATGCACCGGAGATGATCCGAGGTACAAGTTTCGCCTCCCATAAGGCCTTAATAACTCCTACGTGGTTCATGCCAAAAGTACCACCTCCCGATAATGAAATGGCACTGCGGCCAAATGCCTGTCGTGCGGACAACAACTGATCAAGAATATATTGCATCTCGGTAGAGTCGCTTCGGTCGCTTCCGGATAGATCTAGAAGAGTCGAAATTGTGCTTAGAGCTGTCGTGATATATTGATCGATAAGGTTCTTGGTCCCGATATGTGAATGTCGGTATAACGATGCGCTACTCATATTTCCCAAGTCCCTGGTTAATGCTGTCCGAACGAGGAACAACATGCGACTGACATCACAGCTGATTCGAGCGTCTTCTAATTCCCTCATTCGTTCCAAGACCAGATCAGGATTATACTCATCAGAGTCAAATATCTCCTTCCACTTGTTGTTGCCTTCCAGTTCGTCCAATTCGCAGGCACAAGAACGCCATTCTTCGAATGATACGGCCTAGAATGCTAGTTAGCGGACTACAGGCAGCACTCTCCGAACGGATAAATCATACATTTCGCATCTTCAGATACAGCAATTGTCTGCGATTATCTCGTCGCAACTTTTCCTCTCGCCCCTCCTTTGAGAGCCTATCCCTGTACGTATTCAGGCGATCGCTGGTCCAGGCGACACCGTCTTTAACCAATGACGAAAAGGCGGCAATGGAGACTCTCTTTGCGAGTCGCGATGACGACGATTTAGGGACCCCATTTTCACCCTTTTGCGACCGGTCAAGTTGCAGACCCTGTTTTCTGTGTATTTGCGCATGTACCGACGTTGGATCTCGAAATGTGGTCATGATTGGCTGGTGCGCGGTGCCCAGTGCTCAGGAGTGCCTGCAAACCCATGCGAGGGCCTGGAACTACTTCGTCATAGAACAGGTGTCCTAAATAGATTGTTTTGTTCTCCCCAAGAGATTATATAAACCATATGTTGAATATTCCAAAATGCCAGAAGACCCAAAAAGCAAATAGTTGTCAGAAGAAAAGAAGAAAAGAATCGTGGCACAATTCGAAGTCACGGGGCAGCAAAATAATTATTATGACGGCACGGCAGGAACGACCCACTTACTGTCTTTCTGCCCATGGGGAAGGAGCTTTAATACACCCGCATTAAGACTTCCTCTATTCCCATATTCCTGTCTGATCATTATCTGTTGATATACTACTCACTTTCGAATGAACTTATGACTCAGTTTGCGCTTAGGTGCCACCAGATCTTGTCATACGCCCCGCGTCGATGATCATCTGCATGGATCTGTGAGACCACACTGTCGAGTCAATCCACCAGAAACCGAGTCCCCGAATTCAGCTCACACAATCCTTACGAATGCGGTCAGCAGAATACGGACTGCATTAGACGCTGTCACCGTCAGTTCTCCGTATCCAATATGTTAGTCCGATGTGAACAACGCAAGACGGAAGATGCTCAACCTGCATATATTGGTCTTCCATGCACGAACACCCGAGATAAGGACTCTTCCTCTATGCCAGGGTCGAATATCCCTGATAGAACACGTTTGCGTGTCCTATCAGATGGACTTATCCCTGCAGTCCGGAAGACACCAAGCAAGATCTCACATAGAGGTCCGAGTAACCTTACTCCAATGCCCCGAGAATCCCTAATCAGCTAGCCCGGAAAATATCACATGCGAATGTCGTACGTATTAGGCCAGGCGCATACTCATAGTTCGTCTCACATGCATTAAGAATAGGTAATATACAATACACTTGCCGAATCATCACAAACCTGCTACAACCACTGCTCATGTTCCAGCCAGCCTCTAATAGCTTGTTTCAACTGTTGATGGAAAGACGGTTCCACCCAGAAATGACCAGCCATAGGAACCTCCACCACATCGACCTTACTGTCTGGCGCATCCTTCAACTTCTGGGTCCAGTGTTGCAGCTTCTTCTCTGATGTAAACATATCATCAGTGCCGTATACGATCAGTGACCGATACTTCGGCAGTCGCTCTTCAACTGCCGGTGTGACTATCTGACGCGATTGGACCGATAGCTTGGTCAAATTACCCCACAAGGTCACGAATCCGAGGGCATATGAAAGAATTGGGGAAACCAAAAGAAACGAGATATGGGCTGGCGGCAAATCGCTAGCAGTATCGTCGTCCAAATGCACCTCTTTGGTGCTGTAATACTCTTCTTCAGGCTCTTCTTCCCCAGCGATAAATTTCTTGGCCTTGGCGAGAATTCGAGCAGATATTGAATCGCTTGTTGGTTTGGCGAATATGGATATTACATCTTCGACGTTGGGCTGATGTGATGCTATCATTGAGCCATATGAGTATCCGGCGAGCACCAGTTCAATTGGCTTTGTCGGCGCCAGGAGCTGGCTATATTTAAGTATGAATCCGTAAGCAGTGATATAATCTCCCATTTCAGGTTTGCCTGTCCAGCTTGTTGAGCCACCAGAATAGCTTGCTCCACTAATAGTCGATCAGCAATTCGTATATAGAGCAGTGAGGTGAATGCGCAGTGAATCTACATACCGGAAATTCAGAGTGAGGACTATATATCCCTTCCGAACGAGCTCAGCCGTAATCAAGGCCACTACGGGGTCATCATTATTTCCCCCGAGCGAGGCATAGGGATGAGCGACAACGGCAGCTTTGATTGCAGGCTGTTCTTGATAATTCACATCCTCGAGTTGATATATGCGGCAACTGAGGCGGGTCCCATCGTATACTGAAGGTATGAAGAACTCGTGCAGCGGCTTCATGATTTAATCAAGGTATATATTGAAACCGATTTTATCTTTATATTCAAAGAAGAAGACGAAAAGTGTTTATTTTGATTGCTGAGATAGAAAGAAGACTACCTTTAACCTGAGGCAGAAAGCGGGACTTTAGGCTTTGACATCTACGTGCCCACATGATTGGACGCAGCTTCCTTCTATTCATCTCACCAGCTTCTCATCCACCAACAACTCAACACATAGATAGCTTTCTTATCGAGAATCCATCCTTCTAAGGATATGTATAGCAGCCATGACGGCAATAAATGAGAGTCAAGTCAAAGTCCTCGAACAAACCCGTCAACGCCTTCTACACCTGACCCATTCCCTTGACTCGCTCACGGGCAGTTTGCATCAGAGCGATCCTCTACCTTCATGGTACGAACACACCCTTCTCCACACAATAATCACTACAAAAGAAGAGTCTGAACTGACGAACTTGATACAGGTCCTCACTTCAATCCCAAGCCAGCATCATCTCAAACAACCTTATCAACATCTGTTCTCAACTAGCAGAACACCAAGAACTCTTATCCTCACTAGTCGCGTACCCCGCGCCATCATTCCCCACAAATACACAACAGGGCGTTCTCGAACAACTTCTACGCACAAAACTTGATCCCCGAGTCGAAGATTGGGTTACGCGCGGTCGAATCGCAGGCACAGAAGCTTCTCTCAAGGAGAACGGTGGACTGAGTGATGCAGACCTAGCGGAATTATGGTCATGGGCACCCGTCGAAGCAAACCAAGAAGCGCGAAGGCGGAATTGGGGTGGGAATTATACGCTGGAAGAAAAGGAATTGGGGATTCAGAATGTGGTTACGGGTTTGAAACGGGCGTTGCCAGATGATGACGACGAGGAAGATGAGGATGAGGATGAGGAGTTTGAAGATGTAAATGAAGATGGAGGTGAGAATATGGAGATTGTGGGTGTGCATACGAGACCAGGGGCTGGTGGTGTTGAGTTTGATATCGCGGGAGGAAGGGATCATGTGCCCAGTGCTTCGGCTTCACCTGCTCTTCCGCTTGATGAGGTTTTCCGGTATATGATGACTGGGATGAGGCCAAAGTCTGGTGCTTGAAATCACCACTCATGAAACAGAACAATGATTCTTCACGCAGACACATCGCTTTTACGAGATTCGATTGTCCTGGATACGAACGATGCACTACTTATCCTACGAGGTTACTAAAATCTAATAAGAGAAAGCGTCACATTATGAGCTAGAAACAACGTGAGACGAAAATTCGTCAACCTCGGCGGCGAGTGGTAGGAGTCTTTCCTGCCGGTTTGGGCGAAACACCAGAGGCTTGACCAGCCGCCGGAGAATTTGCAATGGCCTTTTTGTTCTCCTTTGCTGGAACGGCCGTCTTCTTCGCCGGGCTGTTCCAGTAATATACCATCTGGAGCGCAAGGACGGCGTTGAGGACGAAAGCAGCCACGATGCTGTACAGGATGAGGTTGTCGTCAACCTCCTGAAGGGTAGTGAAGATGCGAGATAGAGTACCCAGGAGGTAGTTGAAGACCTATCAAGAAAATATCAGATTCCAACTCTACAAATTCCATATTCTTAGTTGTAAAACATACCGCAAATGCACTGAGCTGGCCAGTGCTACCCTCCTTGTAAATAGCAAAGATCTGAGGAAGTTTGCTTGTAACCCCCAAAACACCCGCACCAGCTTGCAAAAGAGAAAGCGTATGCGCATCAACAAGACTCGCGTCAAACAAAAGCGCATAAATACTAACCGCAACCGCAGCAACAAACGCAGCAGCACCAGCAGGTTTCCCAGCAAACGACAACACAAGAACACCAATAACAACATCCTGCACAGCAATCAAAGCACTCTCCCCATAAGTGCTAAAGGGAAATTGTTGGCGAACATTGTACGAGAGCGTTATCAATAAACTGGCCGTTTCCATGGCGTAGGACATGAAGGATACACCGGCCGAGGAGCGCGAGTTGACGAGTTTGAGGATCTGGGGCACTTTTACGATTGCGCTGGCGCCGACGATGGCGAGGCCGAGAGCCTTAGAGATGGCGAGCGATGTGCATCTGGGATCTTTGTTGACGTCTAGATCGAGGAGAAGAGCGCTATGGCAGGGGCCGCCGATGAGCGAGATGATCGCATCGTGAACTGGGGCCGGCAAGGCATTGCTGATGGGTTTGAGGACGGGTTGGAGTGGTTCGATCACGAAAGTCTGTAGTTTGTCCATTCTGATGTGGCTGTTCTAGCGATATTGATGATATCGTCAGCTGAGAGTTGTTGAAGATGAAGTTATCGAAATAAACAAACAATGAATGACGCCGGGATATTTTTTGGATAGTAGCTGGTGGACTCTTAATGCGGGGCCATTCCACCACTCGTGATTCGTCCGTTGTGATTGGAGCTTTCCTTCCGTTCTTTTGCGGACTTCCAAAAAGAACATGCTATGGTCTCTTCACTTCATGCCCCAGGTCACCACAATTCACCTGTTATGACGAGTCAATCCTGAGTCCTATGATGCGCATACTCAGCAGCATTATTCGGTAATGCTTCTACGACCAGCACTGATACGGCCGCCCGTGGCCCGAGACGCGGCTTCACTATGCTCCCGTTGCCTGTTCAAGGCGAGCGTAGCTTCACAGCGAAGTTTCGCAACGTCGGAGGGACGACGATCTAGCATTGGGAGCTCACCGAATACTCCTAGACTATTTCAGAAAAAAGAGTTCTTTATTTCATATGATCCTTCGAAACGCGTGGTTAAGAAAAGTGTTTTGTCGTCATTACCGACAACCCGAGATCATACGGCATCGCTCAGTACAGGCAGTTCGGCTGTCAACACCCCAATTCCTGGAGCACCAGAACAGACGCAGGAACTCCCGCACAGACGGCGGAAAAGACTAAAAGAGGAAGCAAAGTCTCGCGACGATGGCCCCGAAGAACAATTGCCATTAGACGCTTCAGCTCAACTCTCTGCCTTATCCTCCTCCCTTCCTACCTCATCCCTACGCAGAAAATGCGCTGCGTACCTTGCGCTCGCCAAACCTCGATTATCCGTTCTCATCCTTCTCTCCACAACATCAGCCTATGGATTGTATCCGATAACAACACTACTCGCTCTCGATCCATCTGTGGCTCAACTTCCGACCCTTTCCACTTCGACGCTCACATTTCTATATCTTACGGCGGGCACATTCCTTTCTTCCGCCAGCGCTAATGCATTTAATATGTTCTTTGAGCCTGAATATGATGCTCTCATGTCCCGGACACGCAATAGACCTCTCGTACGGGGACTTATCTCCAGACGCGGAGCGTTGATTTTTGCCATTGCAACTTGCATCATCGGCATCGGTCTGCTGTATATCGGCACGAATCCAACAGTTGCCGGTCTATCAGCTGCCAACGTCTTTCTGTACGGTTTCGTTTATACCCCGATGAAGAGAATACATGTCATCAATACATGGGTCGGAGCCATTGTCGGCGCAATCCCACCCATGATGGGCTGGGTAGCCGCAGCCGGACAAACGGCTACAACAGGGCATGATACATGGAAGGATATGCTACTCAGCGAGGAAAGTCTAGGAGGATGGATCCTAGCTTCTATGTTATTCGCCTGGCAATTCCCACATTTCAATTCCCTTTCCCATCTTATCCGTTACGAGTACAAAGCAGCTGGTCACAAAATGATGTGTTGGGTAAACCCTGCTCGGAACGCGCGAGTTGCACTTCGATATTCGATACTCATGTTCCCCATCGCCTTTGCATTCTGGTGGGGGGGGTACGTGAATAATTGGTTCCTTGTTAGTAGTTCACTGGCCAATGGATGGATGTTGAAAGAAGCATATCGTTTCTGGAAATATCAGGGTGCTAAGGGGAGTGCGCGGGGCCTGTTTTGGGCGAGTGTCTGGCAATTACCTATCTTTCTGATCGGAGGTCTCGCCACGAAAAAGGGCGTATGGGACGGGGTGTACCGAAGGATTTTTGGTGAGCCGGACGATGATTTTGATGATGACGAGGAGTCGTACGAGGATGAGACGGAAGAAGATAACGTCCCTACTGGAAAGACCGGGAATATAGTGCCACTGAAAGTGGCCGAATCAAGGGCATAGAAATGGCTAGCTCTTTTTGTTTTAAATTTTTTTCTTACTTGATTTTGGTATATGTATTATTTGGATATTCTAAGAGTGCATTCCATGTATTACTATTACACTCCACATCTACTACATCCGAGGGCTCCGCTTTGCATCCAGCATAGGTATCTTAGGAGATGTAATTGTAGAATCCCTCCCTACACAATTGGAATTTAACACCAACTTCGGCACTAGTCACTGTAGATAGATTATCTGATGAAATTTTATCATATTGATATTTCTATGGCCTGCATAATATGTATAGACAATATAAATCTGTAACTTCGGAGAAAATAAAAAAAGAAACCCTATTATTAAATCCTCCTTTCTCAAGTTCGCTAGGACCAACGCAGATATCAAAAACACCGATAATATTCCGCAAGGACACAAGTCTATAATATATTCGAAGGTAACTCTTTCTCTAGACATTGGAGAAAGGGATTGTGGCTTCGGTTAGATGTGCGCATATATGCAGCAATGAAAAAATGAGAAGAAAATTGTATAGAGGGACGGGAAGTATGTGCATGTGTAGTGGTATGTACAATCATATGATGACGACCGGTATGAATCATTCGGTCAGAGAGCAAGGAGTGCGTAGATTACCGACTCTCCCATGATAATCGGCGGTGAGTCGAGGTGTGGGAGTGTGGAATTGATCGGCGAGAGGATAGTGAACGCCGAGTTGGTGTTGATTGATCGCGGCTGTGATGATAGTGATGGTGATAAGATTGACGGACATATTGATCATGAGGATGAGGATGGTGGACATGATGGTGATGATGTTGACGATGAGACATATGCACATGCGCCATTGGTGGGGACGCAATTATAGCAGCAGGAGGAGCAGATGGTACTGTATAAGCAGCAGACGGCGCAGCTTCCGATGCACCCTGCTGCACCTGATTCTCATTCAATGAATAATTAGACAAACTCCCACTTCGCCGATGACTTCTCAACGATGACGCTCTTGAGCGTGAATAGAACGATGATGCGCAGGATGAATACGGCGGTGGTGGTGTATCCCTTGTCTCAGTAGATGTATGTCCAAAACTGCTTGGAAATGAGTATGCGGATGATGCGTCGTCCACTATTGCTGGAGTTACAGTTGCGCTGCTGCTTCCGCCTGTGCTTTGTGATTGGAGAGTTTCCTCCGGTTCAAAATCTTGCCTGTTTTTCTCATCTGGTCTATGCTGTTGCTGATCATGGGTCCGTTGAAAGTTACTGTTATTCTCGAGAGTCTTCTCATGAATGCTCATGGGACGCGGAGTGTAGCGCGGTAATGGGACAACTGGAGCATAGCCGTTGTCGACTAAGTCGTAATGTGGCGGTTGATGATGGTGCATTTGCATTTGCAATTCCGGCCTAGACATGAACCCAGCTTCTGAATGAGCTGGTACCTGGGTCCGAGGCTCGGGCTTGGAGGAACTTATACAACCACAGAATTGTGACATAGTGGTTGGTTATTGACTCAACCAGAGTCGAAATATCTTTGATATATCAAAGCTTGTGCCAATTAACGGGAATTCGCTAGATGGTCGGAAAAAATCCCAAGGACACTCTGTATAAAAGAAGAGCAGATAGCAAAGTTTGTCAAAGGTACATTCGACTGTATCAAAGATCAATCGCCGGACCCATCTCGGATATCCCACCACTTTGGATCGGGTCCCAGATAACAGACCGACGGGATACAGTTCGTAACCCAATGTCAGTAAAGAGCCGTCAGAATAGTTATGAGAGAGGATTTGTGGACGTGGGGAGCAGAAGGAGAGAAGAATGGAGAAGAGGAGAAGTGACAAGTGGACTGAGAGTTGAGGCTGAGTCCAGGGCAGCCGTACTTCTCAGGCACCAGCGTTTAGTTGGTGGCCTAAGGCTTTCCATTTGGTCTTCCCCGCCCAACGCCTTATCGATAAGACACATCACGATCAGCCTTATCGCCTTGACGTTTCCAATCAACTTCAACCCTCTTATACGTTCACTATTTTATAGATCTCTATATATGCATATATAAGTTTTATTGAATATTTCTCTGACTTACGTCATCCTTTGAAGCATCATCGATCAAAAAATTAGGGCGAACCCGCTAGTCCTTCAATACTATCTGTCATTGAGCTCGTCTCACGTGCCTTCCAGGTGAAGCCACATGCTATGATTAGGACAAGTCCAGTACTATCTGTTTCTTCATGTTTCTTCGATTGGGCAAATATTATAGTTGACACTTCTAATATCAATAAGAGACAAGAATCATATCTAGGCATGTTGTCAAAAGCATCCTTTTAGGGTTTTATTGTTAGGGTTACAATCAACCAATTAGCGTTGAGCGATATTGGGTGGGTCCATTGTGACCCGAAAACGGAAAGGTGGGAAATTTTTCTGAATCGACCGCAAAAACTTCAACATTGGCAAATCACTACAGTCATTTAGTACCAATACACTCGTTGTCTACATAACGTTCTTTCCCGTCTGATATTCTTCAAGACTAAGTGTCCTTGTTCCCAGAGCAAAATGCCCGCTCTCCCCCCCGATGGCGACTATGTAACCATCTCCCAGCTCGTCGAGCCCCCCACCATACCCAGCTGGCGCTCCCACGACCCAGCCCGAAACGCCAAACGAACAGACCCCTTCGCATTCGGACAACGCTACCTCGAAGAAGGCGACGACGTCTTCTCATACAATGCCTGGGACCACGTCGAAACCGACGAGGATTACAAGGCTTATGCGGAATTACAATACGCCAAGCAGCGCGAAAACCCCGCTTCAGACTGGCATAAGGCACTATACAATTCGAACCCGGCGAAATTCTGGGATCGGTTTTATAAGAATCATAATCAGAATTTCTTCAAGGATAGGAAGTGGTTGAGACAGGAGTTCCCTGTCTTGGCGGAAGTGACTAAACAGGGTGCTGGGCGCAAAGTGGTGTTGGAGGTTGGGGCTGGTGCAGGCAATACCGCTTTTCCTTTGATTAACAATAACGAGAATGAGGAGTTGATGCTTTTCGCTTGCGATTATTCGAAGAATGCGGTTAAGGTGATGCGAGAAAGTGAACATTACAATGAGAAGTTTATGCGTGCCGAGGTATGGGACGTCACACAGGAAGAAGAAGAAATAGATGGCGAGATAAAATCTTCATTGCCGCCTGGAGTGGAAGAAGGTTCGGTCGATGTGGTTATTCTCATCTTTATCATGTCTGCTCTTGCGCCAAATCAATGGAGTGCTGCTCTACGAAATATATATCGAGTTCTCAAACCGGGTGGTCTCGTCCTGTTTCGCGATTATGGTCGTGGTGATCTTGCGCAGGTGCGGTTTAGGAAGGAACGCTATCTGGCGGAGAACTTTTATGTGCGTGGTGATGGTACGAGGGTTTATTTCTTCGATCCAGAAGAATTGAGGAAGATCTGGAGCACTTGGACATCAGAGAAAGGATTAACAATGGTTCATAGCGGCAATGACAGTGATAGCAGTGATAGATATGACAAAACGGAAAATTTGGAGGGAAACCAGACAGAGGACAATCCCGAGAGAACATCAGATGAAACAGCAGACAAACAAAGAGAGCAGAAGCTCATAGAACGGACGGATAAGACAGGAGAGTCTGTTGAAGGCGCCTTTGAGGTTCTAAATCTGGGCAAAGATCAGAGACTTCTAGTCAACCGACAAAGACGACTCAAGATGTATAGATGTTGGCTGCAAGCTCGTTTTAGGAAACGAGTCGTTGATAATTCTGGTGAGAGTCAGCAATTGGCACCAACAGCTGAATCGATTGCAGAGGGGCTTGCGGCTACTACTTTATAGACTATTCAATTCGACTATTTCTCGTGTACGACGTTTACTGGTAAAAATTTTACAACTAATTCTATAAATCATCAGCTGTAGATACCAGTTATGACTTGAGGCTTTCTATCATTTGCGACATTTACTAGGCACCCATAGACTGACACTTGTCTCCTCGTAAGACTCATTCCTTCGTTGAACCTATTACACATGGATTATTTGAAGATGTCCCATTGACCTATTTGATGTATGAACACAATTTATGAGTCCTCTTGTAGCGAAAATCAACACAGAAGCACATTTGGGCCATCAAGTCTTCGTCAAGGCAAGATGGTTGAGCCCTAAGGTATGCAGATCTTCCCAATACAGCTCTCGCTATGCAATGCCAATGTATTTGTCATAGGAGATGATTCAAGATAGTCAATCTATTCTCTCTTCGACTCTCCGAGAATACCTTCTACCCACTTCCCTCAAACAGGAAGGTAAGTCCCCGACATTAGGTTGGCTGAATCATAATATGAATGGACAAAGTTGTTAGCCGACACATATATTATCAACATGTGTTTCGAAGAGCAGTGAATCCTACCTTATGCCCCGTGTCTGTGTTGTCCTTCTCCTTAGGGCTTGATTCCACAGCTGCTGCTGAAAGTTCTTCTTTCGGCTTCTCGGTTGCTTCTAGGACCTTTGCTTTCAAATCCAAAGTCAACCATAAGCAATATGGCAAAACAAAGAGCTTTTCAAGTGTCCATTAGCGTACCTTTTGCGGCCATCCCTGAGCCCTATGCGAGCCACTCTCAGGAGACGGAACCCTAGGTCATTTCACAGGATTCCGAATGAACGTAACTCCTGAATCTTTCTCGCGACATCGCTCTGACTTATGCCCCGTCTTGAAGCAGGATTTGCATTCCTTCTGGCAGGCCTTGACCTTGTGCCCCTTCTCGCCGCATACAAAGCATGTAGCGGCAGGACATTTGGTGCTCCAATGACCCCGTTGCTTGCACCTGAAGCAGTAGTTCTGGGGACAGTTCTCAGTCATGTGAGTGTCAATTTCGCGACATATTTTGCACTCAGGTGTGATCGCTGGAATAAGCATCTTGGTTAGGCTCTTTAGGATGTAAATATGTAGAATGAATATACAAGTAACAGTGATGTTTAAGAGTGGCAGCTATTGAGATAGAATGAAATTTGGCAAATTCAAACCATAGATCAAGAATGATGGAGTTTAGAAAGAATAATCATTCTTCAAATGTAGGGAGATGTGAAAAGGCAATATAGAAAATAGGGCATGCTCTACAAACGCGTATTATTTTGATGGCAACAACCGGTTAGAGCATGTGTGGTTGCTCGATTCTCAATCAATGAAACAGCGACAAATCAGCTAATGGAAATACAGTTGCTGACATACAATTTGAAAGAAAGATCCAAAATTATGACTCAGAGTAGACAGCCACTTGTAGAATTCCAAGGCTACATAAGAGAACCACATCTATCTAAATGACTGGGAGTACCCTAGCACGCTATCTCGATGAGCCGTATATGCGTACAAATAATTAAGACATTCCCGATATTTTCTCTTCATAAAGACGGTACTCCTTATTCTTTGGTTTGACATGTTTGTTCATCCAATCAATCACTGTACGATACCACAGCAACAAGTTTTCCGGATGTTGATGGCGATTCTCAACTGGGAATATAAGAAACTTGGTTTCAACCCCTCTCAGCTTTAAGGTGTGGAACGATGCTAAACCTTGCGCATATGATTGCTGAAGATTGAACTTGTCGTGGATGATCAAATGGGGTGTTTGCCAATGACCAGCATACTGTGCTGGGTCCCATTTCTCCCATTCAGATGGATGCTCCCACGGTAGTCCATTGAAATCATGACGAAGAGCTTGCAAATCACTTGCAAGCTGAGTTGTCATGCTGAAGATGCCATTATCCGTAATTAGTGCTTTGAAAAGTCTGCCAAATGCATGGCCCTGTATCCAATTCACCATATACCCTCCGTACCCAAGGCCTATTGCCGCAGCTCTCTCTGTATCCACATAGTTGAGATTGTTTTTGAGATATTCAAAGACTTTCTGGAGATCCTCGTACGGTAATCCACCCCATGACCCTCGGATTGCATCCGTAAAGTCTTGTCCGTAGCTTCTGCTTCCCGTGGGATTTGGTGCTATGACTACGTATCCTTGCTCGGCAAGGGTAATCAGGTTCCAGTTCGTGGTCCATTGGTCAAGCCACACATCCTGAGGTCCATCATGAATGAACAAAACCACCGGATATCTTTGACCAGACTCAAAGAAAGATGGCTTGACGATCCATGTATGCACTTGACGTCCATTTGCACCAGGAGGCCAAATTTCGTCAATCTGGCCGCGGGAAAGACTGATATGAGGAGCAAATAGAGTCTGTCCAGGCGATTGCGGGTCAAAGATAACATATTTCCTACTATGGCTGAGAGCATCACAGGAAACCAGCAATTTGGACTTGGAAGACTCAGATGATATTGATATAACGTCAACGATGGACCCATAGAGTAGAAACCCATTCAACAGTTCTAACGAAGCTGGTGTGGGTTTGTCTGGCCACCAACCATCTAGTCCCAATTTATACAGAACCTGCCGCCCTCTCTCCTCTACCTGGATCAGCAATGATCTATCCATGCCATATGCGATAGCACTAGGACTCAAATTCCACTGCCCTTCACCGTCGTCAGATCCAAAAAGCTCTTCGCTCTCTCCGGTTTGATTATTATAGATGAAAATAATTCGATTCTTGTCAGAATTGTATCCTTTGCTTTTCTGAGATAGGAAGATAACAGTGGTGTCATTGTGTTTCAGAATAGGCGATGAGATATTACCTCCTAGACCTCGATGTCTGAAAGCAGAGTAAAGGCTATCTAGTGGATAACCGTCCCAGCGAAGCATCGGGCAGACGTAGCATGAGCAACTATTTTGCTGAAAATCATCAAGATCATTCCCCACGAAGGTTATAGTCCAGGAATTGATGTCAAAGTTACGACAATGCTCTTCTTGACCAGGGGTAATCCGTAGGTACACTGTTGTGAGTTTGAAATGATTCATTAAATTCGTCAGTTTTCCCATCGTATAGCGACCACTGGGCGTTTCTGACGGCCGGGTAAGAGTCCCAAACCAGATAACAGTTTTTTGCGGGCTTGTAACCGAATTTGTGTGAGGAAATCCTGTATGCAAATGACCAATACAGTTGCCGGAGTTTGAGATCTGGTCCATAGGGTTGAAGAGAGAACCGTCGGTGTTGACTTTACCTACTACCGCGAATCCTAGATCATCATCAGTATCTCCAATAAATGGCATTCTGGTAACTCTCAGATTTGATATATGCCCAGGTACAGTGCCTGCTACATATTCATCATCCACAAGCCGTGCATCACGGATAGCCAGGTTGGTATGTCCATTCTGTGATGATTCAAGCCAGACGAGCTTGCCACTGCTACCGAGCCACTGCGGATAATTTGCGGTGATATTCTCAGTGATAGGCCATGATCGGTGAAGTGTCTTCAGATCTATCACGCGAATTTGCTTTTGCATAGAGTGCGACTGGAAAGAGTAAGCGCTCTGCACGTAGACAGCGAGTCTCCCTGCAGCGTCTGGAATAGGGTGACTTTTATTCGGGGCTTCGAGAAGTGCCCTTAGGAAATTAGTTGATAGTCGTTCAAGACAGCATGAAAATAAAGTGATGGAATCTCGAGAGGTTGTAGTTCAAAGCTTACTTGGGAGGCAGTGTGTCGTGTGTGACGGTCATTCTGGTATTGCAAGACTGCCTAACAAAGAAGTTAGTGATAGTTGGACTCCAGATTATGTTGTTTTAGCTGATCTCGAGGATGTAGAGCAAGCAAATGAATATATAATTCACGGTCCCATCATATATAGCTGTCCTCAGCAACCCTGAAGTAGGCTAATGTGGGCGAATCACATCAGCGAGTCAGGACAATCCGGATACCCAGGTAGTCAACCAGCATAAAGCAGCAGCATGTCGAACGATGTAGCATCACATACCTATATCTTACATGGGCACTTAGATAAAATAAGTATAAAAATCGTTCATAACATACAACCTCCTATTTTCATGAGGCTCTATGAAAGATCTTTGTGTTAATTTGTTACATTTGCATGTACCGGCAGCAGGATTCCAACCAAATTACTTGGGAATCCTTCTAGAGACACATCCCGTTCTAATAGGCAAGCATTCCAATATTTCATCTTCCTCTGCTTCTCCCAGGTCTTTTTTTTTAATCCACAATGAGGAACATTTACTGGCACTGTCAATATAAGACAAATTCTATATGCAACACTTATAGGCCGCTTAATTCTACTTATTCATTCACCCAATACAACCGTAGAGGGTCACTGTATCGTGTGTATGAATGTAATCACAGAATGAAATCGAGTCGAATTGTCAAAGCAACAGTACGAGACTATTCTAAAAGTCCTTGTACAGGAGGACCCTTTTCCCAGACTTGACGAGACTGTGATGTTTTTATTTTTCGTTTCCAGAGCCAATCCCTAGTAAATTATCGGCTTAGCCCTGACTTCCCAGATCATGCTCCGAACGCTCACAGCAGTGTAATCAGTTAAAAGATGGTTACATGACTAGATAGTGACATTTTAGGGTTGTGGATGCTATCTTAGTGTATAAAAAAATGCAACGCTTTTAAACCGTCCAAAAACTAACTTCAACCAACGAAGAACAAACCGAATTAGAGGCTAAAAGAGATCTATTCCTCATCAATGAGTGGGACGTCTAGTATATCATTGGGGGCCATTCCAATATTTTGTACGTGAAATTGACCACTGACTGACTAGGAACAGGTTACTATTCGCATTAATCCAAATTACATATGGAGGCACAAACAACCAACGCTATAGTAGGCTCCTAGTAGAACTCCGAAAAAATTTCTCAGATAGGCAAGTATATCTCTTACACTCATGCGGAAGCAAGCCACGCACCTAATCATTGTCAGTCAAGCTTCTTCACGAACTAGCGGTGGAGTCACTAATCCATAAACTCATTTTTCGAGTAAGTGGTCGCGTATAATAGACACTACGTAGTGGGCTTCTGTACGTAGATAGTATGGCACGTACCTCAATCTAACTGCCCAGTTAGAGATTTTTTGAAGTATTTAAAAGCCATTAAGTGCCTTGCATTTAAAATGAAATTTCCTATATCGTCCTAAGACCTATCTATATTATGCCGCACGCAGCACTACCTTCCAGGATCTTGACATTGCGATTTAGAAGTTAGAAATCCATCTTGGAAAACATTTGGAAGCCTCTGGGCAAAGTCATAAGCCTCAGCATTAGCTGAATAATTACATCTGGTCAGTCATGATGAAAATAAAAAATTCAGCAGCCATATCCAAGTTCTATCGACCATCCGGGTTGGGAAGTATATTGTGGCACGAACTCGAACTTTGTTACGGCTTCGTGAGGCGAGATCTTGGGACTGGTCTATTGCCTGTGCCGGCGTTTACACTGGCTTCGTTACTGTATCGAAAGGCTTCCACTGAAGAGATCTATAGCGTGATACCATGTAGGTGAACCCTGTCCCAGGATCTAGCACTTCCTTGCCTCAAAATGTACCATATAGTGAAGCTAATGGAAATAGATGCCTTTATATACGGCTTCTTATATCTATACACGTTCGTAGTCGCCAACCAAATCGACGGTGTTAACGAAGACAAAGTTAACAAACCCGATCGCCCCATCGTCAGCGGAGCCACAACCCTCCAAGCCGCCAAAATCCGATGGGTGATCTTGACTCTATTGTATCTCGCATATAGTTTCCACCTGGGAGTCGAAAAACCCACGATCTTATGGATCTTAACAACTGTTGCGCATAATTTCCTGGGATTTGCGAACTTCGGCCCAACAAAAGATGGATGTATGGGTGCAGGATGTATTGCGCAGTTGACGGCTGCATGGGCAATTGGTGGCTCACCACCGGAAATGGGATGGAGGTGGATCAAGTATATCACCCTGTACATGTCGTGGCCGATTCCGTTGCAGGATTTGAGAGACGTGCCTGGGGATAGGGCTGTGGGGAGATTGACGACGCCGATTTTGCTGGGTGATACTATCTGTGAGCTTTCATCTCCGGCCAAGGGTACCGTTATGTAAATGTGCTGATTGATTGAAAGCGCGAATCTATATCTCGGCTGGTATATGTGTGTCTCAGGTAAGAGATTCTCTCCTGTTTACGGAGTAGTTAGAACTGTGGAGAAAGCGTGGATCAGCTAACGACAGGTTTGCCTGGGATAAAAGTACTTTCTTATAAGGCGCCTCATCCTTGAGTACAGATATGAACTCTCGACTATAATCCTTAGTACGCTACTCGCCGTGATGAGTCTGGCCGTCGTAGTACGACTATTCGTGTGGCGTTCTGTGACTGCTGACCGCTATTCTTACTGGCTGTATACTGTTATATACGTTTTCCAACCTCTTTCGGCGTGTGTTGTGTTTGCCTGAGCTATCTTGATTATGTACCAATGTAACTAGGGGCGTGGTTTGCATTGAATCGGAATGGTCTGTAGAATGATAGGAGGTAGACTTAATAATGTGGTTGCAAAAATCACCACAACCGCAAAAATAAGAAACGATACTTACCTATCCAATTCCCTTGTCATTCCTAGGGCTCATCAGCCGGCGCATCCAAATTAGCATAGATGCGCCTGGTATCGCCAGGGATCGAGGCAAGAACGACATACAAAATGACAAAAGCACAGGCTCCACTGTTATGCGTAAACAGAATAAAGACAACAAGCCTATATGTTCATTCTATGTGGAAAACATTCTAGCCAAAGACCGTTTGGACTGGGAGTGTTGCAGTCTTGGAATCATTCATTGAAAGCGGATATGTGGTATTGACGAAACGGGGATTTAATATTACATCTTTGTATGAGGCTTTTGAAGGACTGCGTAATTTTACGGTATCGGCACGTAAATTCAGCCAGCCGAGATGGTGGAGCTCAAAATGAAGACGACATTTCGACCAATAAAAGAGCATTTTTTACGACCCAGCCAATGGGAAGTCGTAAATATTGATATATCAGACCCGTGAGACCAAGTCAACGACTTTCCCGAATCACCCTCATGGATCTTATTTGCAATATTGTGCGATCTCTGGATTTCCTGCTTTGAAGAAAGAAATGTGTTGGTGTGAGAGTCAATAACTCAACATAAATTGCGCCATGGTCTCAGCGGGGAACTCTTCTTCGGACTCCCGAACTCAGACAGGTCAAAAACTCCAGCGGCAAGGTACAAGACACGTCAAATCTGGTTGTAGAACGTGCAAGTGAGCTTTATGGTTGTCTATCTATCAGGGGAGAGTAGCACTGACGGATATATCTAGGATTCGAAGGGTAAAATGTGACGAGACGCGACCCGCTTGTGGACGATGTACATCCACAGGACGTACCTGCGATGGATACGGTATTTGGAGTACAAGTTCTGGCTCCGGCATATCTCGCGGATTTCATCAGCGACAAGATCCTCGACTCGTCATTTCTGCAGACTATCACCGAGATAAAACCCACCACGAATGCTACAGGTCTAATCTTCTCGACAATGATTACAGAACGTTCAACTTCCTCAATCGTCCGGTTGATGCGGACGAGTTGGTGTGTTTAGAATTCTTCCGACTTCGCTCTCTAGTCAAACTTCCCGGATTCTTTGACACAAGTTTCTGGGAGCAGACTGTCCCGCAATTATCTCACACTACACCTGCCATTTTTCATGCTGTAGTGGCATTAGCATCCACTCAACGCAGTCAGGAGTATACAAGCTGCATGCGAAAGGGGTCGCACAATCCTTTCATTGATTATAAAGTCGAAATCAAGAAATGGGACCGGTACGCACTCCAGCAATACAACAAATCCATAGCACACTTGCAGTCGTATCTCGAAGATAACAGCCATGAGTCGGTGCAAGTTGCGCTGATAACTTGCATTTTGTTCATATGCATTGAATTCATGATGGGGTCTTATACTCGGGCCAATGTGCATATTGACCATGGGATTAATGTTCTAAAGACCTTACAACGAAAACGCCAGGTCTCTAATGTTTTAGCAAAAGAACGCGGCAAGGCAATCATCCGTGCTACTGATCCTAGGACGGTGGACGACCATTTACTTGAAATCCTGGCTCGCATGAATACCCAGTGCGTTTTATTTGGATACCCCTCGAGATACATACATTTAACAGAAGCAAGACCATTTGCGATTGGTATGATTCCTGACGTCTTTAATACGCTACAAGAAGCTCGCCAATATCTGGAAGTCTTGTTGAATAAGGTCCTTCGCTTGATAAATAAATATATGGATGATACACTGCTATTTTCGTTATGTGGATCCGATGATTGTCTTACAGAAACTCGAGAGCAACTGCAGGAGGCTTTCAATCGCTGGAAGATTGCGTACGAGAAACTTGCGCTAGGACTTCTATCACACATCTCAGTCCACTCCTACATTGCTTCACATCTCCTGCGTATATGGTCCATCATGGTCGATATTATGCTTCGCTCATGTCCCGAACCAAACGAGCCCTGGAGCGAAATGGCCTTCGACAAGTACACTCATCTCTTTGAAGAAATCATTTCCGTGGCCACGGACGTAGTTATGATGCGGCGATATCCGGGAAGATTTGTTCCAGCAGATATGCAATGCCATGTTGGGCCTCTGAATTTCTCTGCGGATATGGGTTCTGTGCCTGTAATGTACTATACTGCACTGAAATGTCGTGACCCGTCCACACGAAGACGCGCTGTTCAACGTTTGAAGATTGCACCGCATCGCGAAGCAGTTTGGGATGGCATCGCTGTTGCTGCGGCAGCTGAAGCGGTGATCAGATTGGAAGAGGGCGATCATTTCGGGCTGTATAACGATGCACAACTATCATCGTGCTCGCCATCGTCAGTGCCAAGCGACATTCTTCCTGAATGCCTCCGCTTTCAAGACGTTAGGATATTGATGCAAGATGGCTTGGAGCGCGGTGGAAAGATTTTAGGCAGGAGGAAGGGCAGAAATAACATCTCCTCTTCACATTGGGAAATTGTCGAGGAGTCATTTACATGTGGAGAGCGTCTCAACACTTTTACGTGGACAAACATCCGGGAGATGGGCAGGACAGCAGGTATCTAGCCTGCTAGATGCAATTAGTAAATGGTCCGCAGTTAACGCTGTGTTACCGGAAATCGGGCTATATCGAGGCAGACAGCCTCCAGACTGTGCTCTGATTTTTACCTACGTACCGGATTTCCTTTGACGCTTCCCGGCTTTCTCCTTGGGTTTTAGTGCTCACTCCCTCGCCGCTTTTACTCACTGAGTAGAACTGAGCACGCCCTGACCGCGCTGACCAGAGCAGTGAGCTTCGCATATGCTAGGTGTCGGAACGTGAATATCAAACTTAACGCGTTTCAGCACTGAATATCAGTTAGTCCGACGCGGCATGTGCGTGCCGCGTAATATCTAGCTAGCTATCCCCCGTCCCCCTTGCTTTTGATCGCCAGCGCCAAAGAGTCCATTACCTGTATATAAATCTGATATAGATCCTGAAACCCGAGGTTTACCCCTCGGCGGCCTTTGTCCCAATAGGGAATGGTGGGAAGCGTGAGAGCCACGAACCACGGCCGTTAAATAGAAACACACACACACACCCCCCTTTGCTTTTGGGGGCAGTCAAAAAGTTAATTTGAGGCTCGATATGTAGACACGTAGAACAGCTATTCCGACAAGCTGACGAGCCAGATCAATATGGTATGGAATTCCTGATATTGATGACTGCCCCCCAAGAGCAAGGGGGGATAGATAGCTAGATAGAACGCGGCACGAACGTGCCGCGTCGGACTAACCAATATCCGGTGCCGAAACGCGTAGAGTTGATATTGGCCTGAAATTAACCCAGAATTCCGACAATATATATCTAGCTAGCTATCCCTCGGCTCCCCTTGCTCTTAAGGGTCAATCATGAATTTGCTACGTTTACGGGAAGGTATAGAAGAGTTGCGATTGCCTATTGTAGCATGAGAATAGACTAGAGGACATGGGCAATAAAGATGTCGATGATGAGATTGAATTTGAAGCGGATCCCTAAGTTCATCAGGGCATTTTCAATTGAATCATCGAGAACCTACGCCACCACGAAGACGTGGGGTGCGAACACCGCCAAAACTCTCAATGGGCCTTGGGAATCCAGCTTATCTGCATTCTGCAACGCGAAATTTGCAACCATTTTCTCTCAGGTTGTGATGTTAGACTCTTATTGACCGCGTGAGCCTCAATATAAAACTTTTAGGGGAAGCATCAGCCATTCAAGGAAAAAAAAGCCAATTAAAAAGGAATAGCTTATTCCAGTCTAATCTTGATGGTGCCCATTGACATAAAGAAATATATAGAATTACTACGGGTCGTGTTTGAGGAACTTCATCTTGCAACGTATTTGATTTTAGAATATTTCCGCTGAATCTCTCCCTCAAAGAACAACTCTCCTCGAATCAATTGCGTTCTGGGATCGCTGGCTTCCTGAAATGCATGTGACGGGCACATATTCCTCAAGAGATGCTATCCTGGAAGTGCTATACTCGAACGCCGAGTGACCCAAAGCTATTAAATTGAATCTCTTACAAGGCATAAACGCGAGTTCTGTAACCAAGGTAGGTCTCGAGCCAGGTTAGGTCAAAGTCGGGCTAACTAGAACTGGTGAAATGACAACGGGGGACCTGGAGAGGTACGGGTGACCAGACCCTGAATTGCGTACCGGGGCCTTTGTCAGATAACCTGGATATCCGGCGAGGTAAAAGATAAGCTATTCGATCATGTCAACCAGTCACCTCAAAGCTACTTATATTTCAGCAAATAAGAAGCCATCCTCTTATCAGGGCTCAATATAGCCCTCAAGGTTTACCCCCTCATGATAGCTCACAAATCAACCCGCCAAAAGTGTCTATAAAGACCGGGCATTGAAACATGTTGGAACCACCTAGACCAAAAGACTGCGCGGATTCTAGATTATCTAGTACGGTAAGATATAGTATTGAACAGAGATCAGGCAGAATGAGGTGGGATTCCAACAAAACATGATGTATTAGAAGACAGAGAGACAGAGAACTCAATACACACAATCTTGCTAGTCACTTCTTTTTTTCTCATCCCAGTTAACCACTATTCAGGATTGGACTGGAGTAAACCTACCAATCCGACACCCTTCACTAGATCCGATGGCGTGCACCTAGGTAGCCATTTTCTGTAGGAGGCGCAAGGATGGGAGAGTGGTAGAAAGAGCGAAATTGCCACTAGAATTCATAGAAAACTATATAGCCTTTATACATTCAATTGATCATTTGTATCGGATTCCTCACTCTGCTTTCATGTATGCTCACGGGACCACCGCCATACAGGTAGACGTCGGTACCGCATTGGGCCTAGCGTGATCGTAGCAAGGACATCAACCTCGCACGCCACGGATCTCAGATAGTTAGTTAGACTTCTCAATATCACTCTCTCTAGCCCATCATCATATGCTAATATACATCCTGGTTTAGTTGAGTCATCTTAGGTTTAGGGTTAGGAACCAGTCACATGACATAGATACCATGGCACTTCGAGTCTCTCCAGCCTTTCCCCGGCTTCCCCGGTTTCTCTTCTAATCAAGCATCCAGGACCTGATGGCTGATCAGGCCACCACGCAGGGCCATGCGGTCAAACGCCGGCGAGTCGCTCTAGCTTGCGATGCATGTCGAACGCGAAAGTCAAGGGTAGGATTATCGCTCTTCACAACTTGCAAATGTAATAACTCCTCTTCTAGTGCGACGGTCGCCGCCCAGAATGTGGCATGTGCGAAGACTTGGGCTTTAGCTGTGTCTACACAGCTCCTATCACTACCACAAATGTGATTGTTCAAAAGGAGTATGCTATAATATTTTTCATAACCCTTTTTCTAACTGGGAATCTACTGGCTTATCACTTAATAGCTATCTTAGTAGCCTCGAAGAACGCGTCAAAGCGCTCGAGGATAGCCTTAACATAGTCAAATCTGAAGTTTCCGCCGTTAAGTCAAATATGAGCAAAGGAAGCTCTGATGAGTCCGTCAGGGAAAACGGACATAGTTATCAGAACGAGCAATCTCCCGAATTTGTGGAAACAGAGGACGCAATCGATGCGATGGGTGCCGTTGCATTTGCCGATGAGGAAGAATGTGGATTTTTCGGTGAGTCCTCCTGTTGTGTTCTTTGATGGAAGTAGCTGAGAATCTTCTAGGCGCTTCATCAAACATTGCCTTTCTTCACTATTTATCCTGTGCTGTAGCACGAAGTGAAAATATACAGAGAGAAATTACATCTCCAAGGATAGATCGTGTTACGTTTGATGGGGGTTTTGTTAATGCGACGCGTCCATCATCGCCAACGTTGGCCCATCCTCCCGAATCTCGGTCAAATATGTTTGTGTTACCTCCTGCTGAGGAGGCGTTGGCCCTGATCCACCAATATTTTAGCGACACGGGACTGCTTTTTCCTTACATTCATCCCGATTCAATTTTTGGAACCTACTCTGAATTGAGGAAGGGCTCAAAGAAGATTCGACGTACATGGCTTGGATTGCTAAACATGATACTCGCGATGGCCAAGCTGACGACGGTCTCAGAGCGTGCACCTGCCGAAGCCTGCATCAGAGAGTCCGCTGTATACTACAGCAGGGCTTTCAATCTCTGTAGGGGAGAGATCTTGCGTGGGACAACACTGGAAGTTGGTAGGTTGTAAAAGCCGCGTGTGGATGCTCCGACATGTCACTAATATGAAACAGTGCAATATCTACTGCTCATGGGTCAATACCTACAAGGGACACAGAAGTCGGTTCAGGCATGGACAATGCATGGCCTGACCGTCAAAGCTGCGCTTCAGCTCGGACTTCATTCAAAGGACGCCTCTAAAGCTTTCCCTCCTTTGGAACAGGAAATGAGGAAAAGAACATGGTTCGGATGTGTGGTTTTGGATAGGTACCATAACCAGTTGTTCTTGGTACCATTAAAACGATTCTAATTACTTCCTTTCAGAGTTCTAGGCATGACCTTTGGCAGACCCGCCGCTATACCGAACTGCTATGTCCAGTTGGATCTACCGACTTTTCAAGACAGTCCGGACGCTCTCCTGGCACCTGTTGACAATGTGGCCTACTATAGCATTCAATTCTTTAATTTAACCATGTTAGTGACGTTACTTCTGATCTACAAGAGACTGCACCATATCTAACCTGATGTAGAACCTTATACAAAGAGATGGGATGCATTATCGACCAATTATATGCCCAAAATCTTGGGTGCGGACCTCCTTTGTCCGTGGGCGAGACTGTTTCCCGTGTCCTTGGGATAGAAACCCAACTTCAATCCTGGCTGTTAACGCTTCCCGATAACCTCCGACAAGTGACCGCTACGGTCATTCGAGACGAGATAGAACGCGCCGGCATTCAACCTCAGTTCTTTCCGTTAAAGTTTCGTGTTATTCTGACCTTGCGATACCTGCATGTCCAAATCCTCCTGCATCGGCCCGTCCTTGTGAAGTTCCTGGATGCTATGGAAGCTTCGGAAGCTGAGATAAGTGAAGACAGGCTTCTTAAGGATATTGGATGTAGTAGCATGAAGAAGATTATTGAATCAGCTATGGGCATCATCGATATCGTCTATGAGCTTGTTTCGTCTCCTGAATGGACACGAAATCTCCTTGGTGCCTGGTGGTACACACTCTATTATAGTATGTTCCCATTAAGTTTCTTATCTACGTGTATCTAATGTTTACTTCACTCTAGCATTCAACGCGGCACTCGTTATCATTGGGGCAACGTGGGTCCATAGAACTAGGCGATCTGCTATAAACTGGGACGAGGTATACACCAACATTGATATTTATCCAGGTCGTGCAGTTACATCTCTGTACAAATTGAACAGAAATCGAATGGTAGACCGCTGCAGATCCTATCTCGAACAGTTGATGTCTGCTCTTTGCCTTCAGCAGTGTAAGGCCTCCTCTCCCGCTGGCAATCATACATGGGCTAATCGAGTGAAATAGCGCAAGAAATTCCGGACTCTGTCTCAAACACGGGTCTCCCGGAAATGAACATTGAATTTGGCGAATTTATGATAGATGACCTCTTTTCGAAACACGGCCCAGATTTCAATCATTGGTAAGCTACTGTCAAGGAAGGTGACGAGAGCTAGGGACTGCACTTGACAGCGGTTTACCATTGTTCAAAATCAACAACTACGAATGAGCAATGGTCTATTTGCTCAATCTTACCAATAATTATTATTTACTTTAGAAATGTATAATTTGGATCAGAATAGAGCGTCTATCGAGGAAGGAGTGGTCAACTCGCTTACCGTTTACGTTAACTAAGTTAAGGTAGAATCTTGATTACAATTCTGCTATGAGCGTAAACATTGAGACAGCAACTTTCCTTATTCAGCCTGCGAAGGCAATGGAAGCTCTTTTCCATCAACCCAACTGCCGTGTAATCCGTGTCGCAAGCGCACAGGAATCAGGATTTTTGCTTGCAGTTTTGTGAAATCAGACGTGTCCAACAGGTGCAGCTCACTCGACATTGTCTCATAATTGTTTACTAGTACCATGATATACCCATCACCCTCGACAGTTGAATTGCGTCGGGGTATAAAAACAGGCTCCTGGACCATGTGTGCCTTCCCAGGGAAATATACCTCTGTTTTGCCCGTGAGGTTATCAAAGTGGCCAAGAGAGTTGTAAAGGGGATAACCACCCCCAATATTTGGTGCGATACGCTCGAAATCAGTGCCTAGTTTTGGGTCCATCATGTCAAAAAAGCAATGCCGGTAAGGCCGCATGAGGAATCGGTCATCTATCCGATAGAACTCGGAGTTATCTGCCTGGAGAACTTTGGGTTCGCTCAGGTTCAGATCCTCTGACTGCGGATCTATGGTGAAGCGCACTAGCTCTCCATGGATTGAGCTGGGCTCGGGAGCGTTGCCTTCTGCATCTGGCCACCAGAAAAACTGGTTCTTCTCGCTCAGGCCAAGGTCGATAACGAGGATGCCATTCTTGTCTTCGTAGGCATTCGCAGTGTGGCCGGGGAATGAATTCTTGTATTGGAACCACTGCGAACATTAGATACTCCGTAGACATACGACAGAGAAATGGAACAGACCTTCACATCTGTGGATTGGGCGCCATGACGAGGGATCACTCCGAGATACATTGGTGTCGTTGAGCTCCACTGCCAATGCTCCCCACCCTGCATCATCCTCTCCAGATCGCAGACTTGGGGGATGATTGGGAATATAACCTGCGGAAGTATTAGTCACTCGCAGAGGCGCCAGAAAAAACACTAGGATTGTTGACACACCCAGTTCTCTGTCACGGCGAAATCGTGAATCATCGCTACAACAGGAGCAACCAGCCAAACAGTCTCGGTGAACTTGCCGTCAGCGGTCACGTTGTAATAACAAACATCCGGTGTGCCATCACCCTTAGCTTCGTATCCGAAACACACCATTTCACCTGTCTTCGGGTCGAATTTTGGATGGGCTGTAAATGTCAGACTTGGCAACTGCCCGTCAAAATCGTAAAGACCCTTTGTTTCCAGCGTTATCGGGTCCATCGCGTAGGGGGGCGAATCCTCCTTCAATGCTAGCAGTTGACCATTGAAATGAACAATATTCGTGTTGGCGGTAGAGCGAATTCTGAACTCTACGGCGTCTGTGAACTTGTTGCGGTACTTGCCTTTAAATTAGAAAATTGGTCAGTGACGTTTCCACGGGGAAACATTTGATAGGCCACCAACCGAGTAGCGCTCGTTGAGACTCTCGTTCTCGTATAAACTTTTCTGTTCTCACATAGCGCTGTTTGAAAGACACCTTGCCGTCCTTGACGCGAAAGGCAGAAACGTTGCCATCGCCGTTGAACCACTATCGACGTCTTAGGTTCCAACTATCTGAGCAAGGAATGACAAGGCGAGCCCTTACCGTGTCATTTTCAATAAATGGGGGAGTCTGGGGATCAGGCATAACCCTAAAAAATGTTCCCTCGATTTCCTGGGGAATTTGTCCCAGAACTTCCAAGTTGAATGCCTCGCCTTCGAGCCGACAGGGTCTCATGAACCCAGAAAACTGGGGGAGATCGGGAAACGCCGATTTGTATTCAGTCATTGTCACAAATGCAATAGTCAAAGTAAGACTTAGTCAATAAGAGAAGAATTTCAACAATGCAGATATTCCGTTAGAGAGATCTACAAGGGTATTGGTAATATATTTCTTATATTAGAAAGCGAACTCATGAAGACGGGGTAAGACCGGCTTTATCATCCGATGACTCCCCATGAACCTCAATTTACGGAATGGTTGATCCGTCTTGACCCCGGCAACTTCTGCTGCAATACATTAAGCTAAAGAGATGTACGATGTTTTAGTTGATCGATTTCAAATAGCTTGCGATAACTTCTGTAGCACTGTCATTTACGAGTGCTAGGGACTTATCACTTGCTAGGGCCCCTATCGTGCGTAGCTAGAAAAGTGACCGAGTACCATACTTCATTTTCTTCTCTTAGTTTTCTTTCTAATTTTGAATTAGATCATTTACAGTGAATGTAAAGAAATAAGTGATTCACAATCATGGATCGCCAATTATATCCTCACGCTGTCAAGATAACAGCCAGTGCCAGATGGATATCCACATTTCCCAAATTGAAGCCTGACAGAGTAATAACTTTACCCAGTTTTATACGTCAATGGCACATCTTGAGGTTGTTACCACCTGGGTCGTTAGTCATTCCAGTTAATAGCTTAGTTGTCGTGCTGTGGATTCTTCTCTCTGAAAACCTTTCGAGATTGCGCAGAATGGTTGGCGATTTCGACTAAAATGCCAAATCCATACATGAACAATCCAGCCAAGGGTCGAGCTGTTTCTTCTTAATGGAGAGTACTCGGAACAGATAGTTTTGGATCTTCAGAGGTCAAGAAAGCTTTATACAAGAATCTATGCAAATTAATTGCATTCTCAGAATCATAGCCGTAAGACCTCAGCGACAGGTGGCCCGTTGTGGCCAAACTATACACACATATTCCATCTTGACTGCGTGAGGTCACCAATAAAATTATATATAGAATTGAATGAGAATCCTCCCCAATTCGTACTCCTAGTTCGTATCTGCAATTTACAACATCAGGTGGCAGTGATAATATAGGTATATTATAAGCGATTCATGAACTGCACAACAAAAAGCAGCAATGGCAGAAAATTCAAAAAATATTCGGAGGATATCAGGATAAGCAGCCTGTCATGGACTTGGAATATGAACGGCTGAAGCTATAGAGACTTTGAGCAATCGACTCAGGCATCGAAACGAGAGGAATACGGTTCTTCATGAATTACAATTGTCCCTGCTCTATAATGACATAGAATATCCTCTAAGCATAGGAGATGATTGTTGCTACCTGTTCAATATAATTGTTTTAGTCTGCAAGAATTCTTGCAACCCCCAGTGTGCGCCAAAACGGCCCCAACCGCTGTCTCCACGTCCTCCATGTGGAAGCGTCGCCTCATCGTGTACTGTGCTGCCATTAATATGAATGGCTCCATCGTTCAATTCCCTGGCTAACTGTATGCCATGAAAATGATTGCGGGTGAAAATCGCAGCAGAAAGTCCAAAAGGGCAGCTATTGACGATCCTCAACGCCTCTTCGTCTTTATCGAAGGCCATTATACCTAGTAATGGACCAAATGATTCCGAATGGTAGAAGTCCATCTCTGGTGTTAGCCCCTCGATAAGCGTCGCAGGGATCGGAGGCTTGTTCTTGTTTGTTCCCTTTGTTAGGACGGCCCCTTTGGACTCAGCATCTTCAAGCAGAGACTGAAGTCGGGAGCAGCTCTTCTGTGTAATTACATTTGTAACGTCGCTACTTGCATTGTCCAGTAGTGACAGTAGCCTTTCTCGGAATTCTGGCAATATTGGCCGTGAAACGAGGACAATGTCTGTTGACATACATATTTGGCCGTTCTATTTACGTTAGTGACTTGCTACCAGAAATATAACGTCAAGTCTCACATTTAGAAAGGCACCTGCCAAGATCAGTTGTGCTGCCTTGTCCAAGTCGGCATCTTCCATCACAATTGCAAAGTTTTTACCGCCCAATTCCAGCAGAACAGGTTTCAGGACGGCGGCAGCTCGAGAAGCAATCAACTTCCCTACCGGGGTTGATCCGGTAAAATTGCATTTTCGAACCGCGGGGTGGCTAATCATACTTTCGAATGTCAACGAGGCATCCTGAGGTCGATGGAGTATGAAGTTGAGAACTCCAGGTGGAAATCCTGCCTCTTGAAACAATTTCGCGATGTAGTAATGGATCCTTGGGCTAAGTTCAGATCCCTGTTCAGGTTACATTGTCAGCCTCTTGACTGCTTTTGCTGAAAGTATCATGAAAACGGGGGGGGGAAAATATTCCCTAAGAACTGACCTTTAGAATAGCCGTATTACCGGCTGCAATAGGCGGAACGACTGCTCGTAGACCGAGTACCAAAGGCGAATTCCAAGGTGCAATACCTAAGACTACGCCCAGTGGCTCCTTAAAAATCATAGGCTGCGCTTTCCTATTGTTCGTCACGGGTATACTTCCTGCCATGGTCTCAGAGGTGACAAGTGCAGCCATCTCCTCTACCAAGTCTAGAGCGGCTTCTAGATTGATCTCTGACCATTGCCTAGATGAATCAATCTCGCTTTCTATGAGAGATCGAATCTCATCGGCTCGGTCGCGGATCAACTATCAAATGGTCAGTCCTGTGAGTATCATACAGAATCATTGGGATGATGTACCTGTGCTAAACGTTGAAGCAGCTTTCTTCGACGCTCAGGTGATGTCTTCTTCCATTTCTGAAAGGCTCTCGAGCAAGACTCAACAGCCAAGACACATAGGTTCGGGTCAGCACCCTGGATGAGAATCTTATCATCTTGGGAGGCAACGGAACAATTCGCCTCGAATACGCAGCCATTGGAAGGTGCGCGGACGTCGACACCATCAATTATGAGCGATACAGCAATTGGATCCTGCATTCTGGCTTGCGGCTGAAGACAAACTTGTAAAGCTTGCTGGGAAACTCTCGAGATTTCTCTCTCATCCCAGATGTGCTGCTTGGGGCGTTTTATGTGCCAGGGTACTATAGATGATAGGCCTAAAGCACGCGAATAGCGTAGTAAAGGATATTATTATATTGAAATATGAAGTGGCCAAGCCATACTATCTTGGTGATGGCGACTCATCCGATCTTTCCCCGAACAATTGTAGCGGACCGTGTTCCCCATATTACCCCCGGAAAACGACTATCTATAAAGTAGGTATGGCGCAGCACTAGCCCCCCGGATCCCACACATATTGATACTTCTCGAAAGATAGTTGCCATCCAGAATACCGCGTCAGTGATTGATTGAGTACATCATACGAATTACATGCAAAATTATCGAAGATGGTAGTAGGGCCTTGGGTTGGACCTCCACACCAGTAGTTTTTGTACAGCCACTGACAAAGTATGACAGGATTGGCCGCTATCGTGGCGTATAATGATTCTCCTCAATATCAGTTTTTACAACATGATGGGAAATATCTTTACTTCCGGCATTCCTCCTCTTTTCAGTCTCCTTATTGAAGATTTTCATTGTTCTGCCAATGAAGCAGCACACCTGACAACATATGCCTTGCTCATGCTAGGGCTTGCTGTAAGTTAAGAACAAACATTCATATGTATAATCACGCGATTCTAACTCTCCTATGCTTATAGAATTGTTGGGCTGTACCGGTGGTGGAATATTTGGGCAAGCGATATACTATCCTCATATCGATGGCCGTATTTCTCGCAGCGAACATCTGGGCTGCAACGGCGCAGTCGTATTCTTCACTACGAGCAACAAGATTTCTCGGAGGCATTTCCGGTGGAGCTATTGAAGCATTGGGGCCATTGATCGTCTCGGAATGCTTCTCAGAGGGACAACTCGCTAGTGCCATGGTTGTTTACGTTGGGTTTTTGGCAGCTGGGTCATCCATTGGTCCTATCGTGGCTGGTGGAATTGCATCCGGCTTACATAGCTGGCGATGGTTCTTTATCGTCACGTCTATCGCAACTGGTATCAATCTTGTGAGCTGCATATTAATGCTTCCAAGTACGTCTCACACAGTCGATAACTGTACCTCCGACGATGCGACTCAACAAATCAAGAGCACGGGTACTGTCAACCAGGCGGAATTTGTGACTCCGTCTACAGACAACGAAACACGGTTAAGTGAAAATCTGTGGAAATTGTGGATTCGACAATCATTCTCTCTTCGAACTGATCGTGTCGGACATAAAGAAAACCCACTGAGATTATTCATTCGCCCGTTTCCAATGTTACTAGTTCCTGAAGTGCTAGTTACAACTCTTGTCTTCGGTCTAACTATAGGCTGGGTAGTTGTGACGTCTGTCCTTGTTAGCACTCTATTTGCAATGCCCCCAAATCTGTGGCCTTCTTGGAAAATCGGCTTTCTCAATTTTGGACCGCTTGTAGGCTTGGTGATCGGACTTCCGGTAGGTGGTGCAGTTGCCGACCTGTTGTCTAGAAGGGCAACGAAGAATTCCGACGGCGAGCATGACCCCAGAAGTAGGTTGCCACTTGTCTTGCTTGGAGCATTACTAAGTCCTACTGGATGTGTGATTATCGGTTGGTCTTTGAATAAGGATCTACTCTGGGCGGGTACGACTGTCGGATGGGGTTTGCTGGCGTTTGGGCTAACCAGTTCAGCCAATATTCTTTTGACATACTGCGTGGATTCTCACCGATCTCGGGCTATGGACGTTGGAGTTCTTGTCAATGTCATCAAGAATACTATAGGTTTTGGGGTTTCATACGCTGCCATCGATTGGCGTTCTAAATCTGGTGCAGAGGCACAGTACGGAACAATGGCTGGAATCTTGTGGGCGTTCTATCTTCTGGTGATTCCCCTTTACTTTTTCCGCGACTCACTGAGGAAGATAACTGCTCGTAATTTCGCACATATGACAGATGCAGTAGTTATCACTCCCTAGTTGTACATACCTCCTTGGCTTATTTATCGGTCCCATTATCTCTAGAGCAAATGCCTCTGTATAAGTCAAATTGTAGCAGTTTTGTATCCGTCGCAGACATGATTCCGTAACTCTTGTATAATTCAGTCGCTCGTCCTAGTTGCAACGCCTTCCACTTCACACGAGGATGCGGACATTGAATCACACGCGGATAATAGGATAGAAAAGGCAGCGTACGCAATAGCCATAAAGATTATGGTGTGGCTGTGTTTAAGTACCGTAATATGTACATAAGTGAACACGAAACTGTCATATTATTAAATACATCTTACGAGTTTCCTCTTATGGGTTTCTGTAACAACTTGTGAGACTCGTCTATACTACGTAGTAACTATTCTAGCCCTATAGATTTGTTCTGGAGCAAGATTATACTGCTCTATTTTCCGACCAAGAAGCTTAAAATATAACGCGTATTTCCATGATTTACCTGCCTTTTTTCCTGTCCATGTCGAGGCCCGTAGAATAGCGAGAAATAACCTGATCTGAATGAGACTTTAACCAGCGACTAGCCCAGTTTTTTCCAGGCTTTTTGCCACATATATCTTTTGCAAAATTTGCCAGCATCGAATTCGTAGGTGGCAGGCCCTTCTCGGTAAGATGATTTATCCATCTTATAAGTGCTTGAGATTGCCCTCCGCTCAATAGTCGTTGATTGTCATATTGTGCTTCTTTTGGACCGGTAACCTTGCGAAGACGTTTTCTGAGATTTGAAGGATCAACACCATATGTTCTTGCAACCAAAGCGACATTAACCTTTTCTTCTGTCTTTAAGGGATGTAAAGCTTCAAGTGCGAGCTCGTATTTATTGGTTGATTTATCGCGCTTTGAAATATACGCGATTTTTTGCGTTTTAAGCAAAATCTGACATTAGGTGATAACGGGCATCAGGCAGTGAAGGGCGGTGGACAATATCCGCAGCGGATACGAATATTGCCGATATCTCTGGCGATATTATTCGCCGTGATCTGGAAAGGCGGATACAGATATCGAATCTTTATTCGATGTTTTTGGTACGGCGGATACGAATATCGAATATACCTAGATGAAGCCGATATCTGTATTCGCACCAACTTGTTCCTGAAGCCTAAGACAGGGGCTTCGGAATAATTAATGAATCTGATTTAGCGCCTCTTGGCTGCTACAGGGTTGAGAAACAATTGAAGTGAGTATAAGCGCGCATCGTTTTTGCAACCAACTGTACCTTTGGTCTTCCAGAGGTTTAGGCGAGACTTGAACATCTCGGTGAGGTCGGTGACATTCTCCTGCCTCGCGTGTTGGATGCGCAATGTCGCGGGCCACTGGCCTAGGAACTTGTCGATAGAAGCCACCATTGCAGAGACAGAAGGCGCATTGGAGGAGGAGCTTGGTGAGGGATGTGTCACGTCGGTGCCGACAACCATTGTCTTGTTCTCGTCGACGATGCCAAGGTTCCTGTTCTCAACGATCTGATTGATACCGCCAAGCTTGAGATTGAACTTCAGAGCGACATTGGCCATATATTGATCGCGGCCACGGTCTTTCACAAGTTTGGAACCCACAGAGCAGATAGTGTGGATGCCAAAGTCCTTGTCTGCGAGCATCTTAATGCGCTTATATATTGATATGTTGGCCTGGGACAGGATATAAAGAAGATCTAAAGCTCCAGCGGCACGCTACAAGATTGAGCTGATGGCATGTAGTAATAATAGAATTGTACTTTTTCCTATCGGTATTACGTTTTATTAGTATACCTTTTGATGTTGGACTCTGTAAACGGGAAAAAGTTGATGGTTACTTTTCCATGAGGATGGATTTCGTGAACGTATGCAGTCCTAGCCCTTACCTAGTTAAAGCGGCGGCTTCACGCTGGGCGTTACGAGGTGGAACTGACGCCATAAGAAGCCTCAGTAGCGGTCATTTTCAGTGTCGATTTCACAGGTCCTCATATTCTATGTGTAAACAGCGCACCCGGGCACAGCATATGCTTCATAAAATGGCAGATATTTTGCTAGCTCAAAGAGACCTCCCCTGATTACATTCAAATCTGGCACCAACCGAGCTGAGTGGTATACAAGCCTAAGGCTGCCCCCCTGATTGGTCAATTACGTACTCTCCAAATGGCTGGACCTCTGATGAAATTGGCTTACAGTGGCTAAAAAGGATATTTGAGCCCAAAACAAGGCCTCTCACAGTTGGTGCCTATCGACTTTTAATCCTTGATGGCCATAGCAGCCATTTAACACCGGGATTGGATCAGGCATGTAAAAATAATTGATATTATTGCATGTTGCATGCCTCCTCATTCATCTCATCTTCTTCAGCCTCTAGATGTAGGGTTTTTTTCAGTGTTGAAGCGCTTGTACGGGGCCGCCGTTGAGAGCCAGATTCGGTTTGGGATTTACAATGTTGATAAGCTGGATTTCTTAGATATGCTTTATAGCGTATGGAACCAAACTTATACCACACAAAATATTAAGGGCTGCTTCTCACCCACTGGGATTGTACCAATAATCCGCAAAAAGTCCCATCTCAGTTGCAAATTGCTATCCGGGAGGCTACTCCAGCCTCAACTCGCCCTAGCACGTCAAGCAACAGCATCTGGAGCCCAAAAACGCCTTACAATGCCCGTACGCTGAAAAAAAAAAGCTCTCTCAATATGAGAGATTTAAACAGGAATTCGGCGTCGAGTCGAGCTTTTAATCAGTTGATCAAGGGATCCTTATAGCGATGCACCAAGCTGCCATTTTAGCTAGGGAGAACCTTAACCTACACGAAGCAAATGATATCTTACAGAAGCGCCGTACTCGCCGTACAAGAGCCCTACAAGCCGATTGTATTTTTACAGTTGCTGAAGGCCGAGAGCTTGCTCAGGAGCTCCCTAAGAGGCCAGATCCCCTCCTCCACCACCCAATGGGAGCGTGCCTTTACAGCCAGCTCAACGGGCTCCCCCAAGGAGTTGTAATTGCTGGGAAATAGGGCATAAGCGCAATCGCTGTCTAAATATATGTACATAGGTAAGTAGAGTCACTACCTATGTTGCTACAGACATAGACTGGTCGGAGAAGATATATATCAAAGGTAAAAGGTATATCCTGACAGTTTCATGTTGGAACAGCCTGGTTGATCTCGTTGTCGGATTTGATAATGAAAGACACGAGATTCTATTGATCTGCTTTGACGTCTCGCATTTTCTGAGCTCCCGAGGTCGTTTCGCATATTTCATGCTGTTTTGAGACAGTTCAAGCATCCCGACACAACAAGTAGCATAAAGAACAACTGCAATGAAGAGCTCCTAACCAGTGAATAGTCACAAACCCGGCCAAGCATCAGTATGTTTTACCCCCTTATTATCGACACAAGGCTTTGTAGAGAATGGAAAGAACGTTCAATCGGTTTCCGGACTTCTTGTTGTACATTTAGAGCCTGAATCGTAAGGCATTATTGTAGATCCACTTTGTAGATGGCCGATTTTATGACAGCATCAACTCCAAGTCTTCAATAGCCCACCAACTCTGATGGTGCAATCCATACAAATTACTACAGTGAAACAATATTACTCTTTCTCTAATGTCCACTAGAAGAGTGTCATAGCATCCACTGACTGATACATGATATCAGCACCAACCTCAAGATTGAGGTCACCCCGAACCATGAGACCAACTCTGCGCCCTCGGACATTTCAAAGGCATTGCACTGTATCGCGCAGTGACAACGCGTTCATTCCAACAATAATAAATAGCTCGAAAGCCTCAATTGCTTGGCTCCATACTACAACCTCAAGATCCGCCTCGATAACATGTCAACACCAGTCCGCTCTTTCCGCCCTACGGCAATCGAGAACACATCTATATCTCACCCGCCAGCAGCGATCATTCATCAGTTTCCCCGACATCTTCTCAAATAATAATAACAATAACAAACCGGAGAGTATTCGCACCCTCCGCGCATCTCGCACTTTACCTTTCCCCCCCTCCCCACTCTACGAGATCATCGCCTCAGTCGAATCCTACTCAGAATTCTTGCCTTTCCTCACTGCATCAACCGTGACTGCGCGCGACCAAACATCCGGATATCCGTCCCAGGCATTTCTGACAGTTGGATACCCCCCCTTCACAGAGACATTTACGTCAAGAGTTACATGCGACAGAGACCGGTGGATCGTGGAAGCTAGAAGTGGTGGTGGAGTTGGTGATGATGGGCAACCGATCCCGGGAGCGGATGAAGGGCTATTTAGTCATTTGAGTACAAAATGGGAGCTCGTACCTAAATTGGCAACTTCATCCTCTGGCGCAGAGACGGAAGTCAAGCTGGAGATTCATTTCCGGTTTCAGAACCCGATGCATACTGCTATGATGTCTGCGGTGGAGGATAGGGTTGCTGGAGTTATGATTGACGCGTTTGAGAGGAGGATTAAGGAGCAGATGACTCTTGGCCGGTAGGTTGGTCGGGATCTGTGCATATGTGGTAAAATGTACTTATATCTATGATGGATGTATATAGAGTGTTAGAACTGCTTGAAGAATTTCTATATCAAGTACAAATTACACATTTTGTCCCAGTACCCCAATGCTATATATATAATACATGAAGATTGAAAAGGGTAAGCCCAACACTAATAAAACAATCAATCGGAACACTGGTCTTGTAACGATTACATCGATAAAGATCGTTTATTCAAGTTCACGTTGTATCCCACAGTAGCCTTGTGCGCATCCTCCACCGCATTCCAATCAACCCTATCCCACCATCGCTCGAGATATTCATCTTTACCACCGATACCGTGGTCCATCATCCAGACATGTTCCCATGTATTCACACAGAGAAGTGGAGTAAGCGGCATTCCGCCAGGGGCGAGGTCGGGGGTTGCTTCACCGGATGATGGGAGGCCAAGGAAGCTGTAGAATTTGGGTGTTTGTCCCGCCGCTGGAGTGGGTTCGTTGTTCATGTCTACCCCTTGTTGTCGAGCAAATGCTTCTGGGTAAGGGGTACCGGCATTATAGGTGGAAAGGATTCTGAGTAGACCCGTGTTTGCTTGAGCAACGAGCCAGACGAAGCCGGGACCGAATTGGGCGCTGGCGGTGGCTAGGAAGTCTTGTTTTAGGGACTCGGGTGATGAGGCACTGTCACTCATGTCTGAGGCTAGTTTGTCGGGTATGGGGACTTTGACGGGGGACTATAGTGGAATATACAATGTTAGTGACGTCGATTTTCCAGATTCGATGGGAAACAGCTCACAAGACGGTGAAAGAAGAAATGATTGTTGTGAGCCATGGAGGCATAATTGAACAAGTGGGCAGTCTCGCGCCTTTTGGCATACTTTTTAACGAGAGCGAGTGTATCCAAATCTGCATCGGCGGTATCTGTTTGAAGAAAGCAATGAGCACCAATTCTCATATTTCTAGTATTGAACTGTGTATACCCTGTGTCATCAAATTCAATTTCTCCACCAACAGCGATTGGTACTGTGTCCAAGCAAAATCAAAGGCTTCGGGGGACATAAACTCGGAAATGCCATGTTCTCTAAAAATGCGCTCGTTCGCCAATTGAGGGACTCGATGAAGACTGCGATACTGAAATCGAGGAAGGCCAGCCAAAGACGTCTATTTTCATCATTGAAGTCAATATCATATTCTTAGAGGTGTTTATCCCCAATGATTATAGCTGTTCCGAACAGCAGGTGCTCGTGTGTTAATGTCCACTCTCACTCACCTTAACAACGGCCGATGCCGAGCGGAGACCGCTCTGCGGCCTTATTAATCTTTGCAGCATAATTATGTCTGACGAATGGCGAGACCGGGGGAGCTAGTCGCAAAGACACCTGCAACAAAGCTGCTTGATCTGTTGTCTTGAAAGCTCAAGGTGGAAGAACTCGCGGATTCCGCAGAATTTCTGCCATTATTTCCCAATACAGACTAGTGTGGGCGGGAGACAGTCTGGCCAATGGGAACCCGAGATCGAGCTTTTTACAGCCTTTCCGGCGGTTAACCCTGAGCCATCAACAACCATACGATAGAGGAGGACTGGGAATCTACTGTTTCAAGTTCCATGTATCCACTGTATATTTAGAACACTGATAGCCTGTAGGCTGGAAGAGTCATACTTTTCTCAGACTTTTGTTTCTACTGGAGATCGCTGCTCTCCTCCACTCGGCGCCTTCATCATGCCATATCTGGGACATGGGCGCGTAACGCGAAATGGGTGATTCTTCAAGACGGGACTTGGGCGACGACTCGTAGGCTCGCTGGCACAAATAGACCTCGTAGCCATCTTGCCTCTTCTCTGACAGAGTCTTTGTATTCATTCATTCATTCCTTTGCTGCAGTATAGAAGAATTCTCCCGGTTTCCTTTGTCGTACTTGCATAGCATTCTTTTTGGAGCAGGCTTGATACTATCGGATGTTGCCCTTAATTTGCAGATCATATATCTCAATCTCTGCTTTTCTCAGTTCCATTTCTTCAGTCTGTTACATCTGACCTTTTCTACTTCCACATACAAAAAGCTAGTGGTCATGATCAAATACCTCCACCCCATCTTTGCTGCAGCCTTACTACAGCTAGGCTGGTCCTCGTGGGCAGCTGCAGCATTCATCGACTTGCCTCCAAACGGTATTTTCCTACGGGACGCTTCTGCTTCGTCCTGTGCCGCAAACTATACCTCGTGCGGTAGCTCATATTCCGGGAGCTTTTGCTGCTCGTCAGATACAACATGTCTTCGCTTGGATAGTGGGAGCAGTGTTCTTTGTTGTCCCACGGGTTCCGACTGCACATTCATCGAGCCGATTACGTGTAATGTGCAGGCGATGAATGCCACTGCCAATCCGACTGCGCCTATACAATCCACGAAGCTGAATGAAGACTTGCCGACCTGTGCGGAAGGGTGTTGTCCGTTTGGATATACCTGCGCGAAGAATACGACATGCGTCCTCGATAAATCAAGTTCCACAACCTCTGCCTCTGGTTCGCCGACGACGGTCGCATCTGGGGCAACGACACGACCAACTGCCACTGCCACATCCACGATTTCCATTAGCGATACAGCGCCTACAGCACATACAACGTCAACAGCATCAGCAGCAACGGCGACACCAACTACTGCATTTTCAAACTCAACGCAGACCGAGACAACTGCCAAATGTCCCCAGTTCCCTGCAACAGCAGTTATTGCCGGATTTTTCCCTGGCGCAGTGGCCGGTGCCCTCGCGGCTGCAATCATGATGATGTGTAGACGACGAGGAGATCAGAAGAATCGCGAGAGCACACTTCAAAAGACCCATCGCTCCTCTGGTGGCACGATTGTCGGAATATCGGATCCAATCCTAGATGACGAAAATGGCTCTTTCCGCACGGACTTTCTGCTACAGCGAAAATTGAGCGGTCGATACCCGACACCAGGAACGGTGGCACGCTCTAAATCAATGATGCGTCGAACCGGTACCCGGGTGAAGAGCATCTTTGTCGGCACGAATCATAGCAGCAACAGTAATGCTGAAAGCCCGCAATGGAATACTGCAACACCGCCTATGCCCCCAATGCCGGCTATGCCTGCTGTAAGAAAGCCACCTGTTACACCCCCGCATCAGACCGATAGACCTGGTGGTGGTCCTCGCCAACCGAGCACGGAGAGCATTAAGGTGTATTCCCCGCCCAACATGTTGGGCATTAGCAGCTTGAACCAGGATCGGAATACCACCTTTAGCGAGGTGATGGAAAAGGCCGGATTTCAGAATGCGAAGGGTGAACCATCGTTCAGGGTGACCGAGACCCCTGTTCAGGGTAATAGTCCATTGCGGAAGAACTAGACCTTTTTCCGATCATTCTTTTTCCATATCGCATCTAATACCTGTATGTAATCGCATATAATCATCTTAGCGTTTTCATAATGTATAACCGTTTGTTAATAGCATGTTGTGCGTATAAACTGAGATGAAGCAAAATAATCAGATCGAGATTGTTGATGTGGATCCAATCACGTGGAGCTTCTTACGGGCTCCCCCAGATCTGGCCAATCAGCCTCCACTCTCCTCGACAGCTAACAGTCAGTCACAACTCCCCTGTGTCTGGATAGATCAGCAAACCGACAAAATATACAAATAGCAATGCTCCGATAATGGCAAAAAATGGTGAAGGCATCACTGCCTCTGCTAAACCCTTACCAGTCACTACGACACGCTCAGCCATGGAAGCACTGCCATCAGAGAGCGCAGTGGTCAGTCATGCGCTTCCACCTGAGAAACCGGAAGCGATACGGACACGAACCAAAGTTATACTCGCATTTTGGGTGGTGATTATATTTTTCGGGATTCCGATGTGGTGGAAGACGACTTCTGTTTACCGGGCATCGTTACCCCTGGATGAGATGATGAGTTGGGCTGAGGGCAAGGTGAGGGTCTCGCCGGAGTGCTGCCATTTATATGAAGCAAGAGCTGACATGTTGATTGTTGATATAGGCATGCAAACCCGAATTCCCATTAGAGATCATTCTTCGCACACCATCTGTCTCATTGGCCGAGGCTCAAAGCCTTTTGAGAACCACACAACATGCCCTGGACGACTTGAACGAGTTTCCGGTACACCATTTACGACTAAAGCTTGCAGATCATACTGAGACGAAAGAAAACAATAAACTTGATAGCGATGTTGAATCAGTGGATAAATCAAATGCAGCACTGGTCGTAAATCTCATTCCTACGGAAATCGCAACTCCTACTTCACAGCTTCATTCCTATTCACCACGCATGGATATATGGTACCCGTCTAGTCAGCTCTCGTCCATTACCTCGACAACCTCCCCACTTATCACATTTATCGCTGGCGAGATTCAGAAATTATTCAACGAGGAGAAAGCAACAATAGCATATATTTTGGGCCAGAGCAACCCTGCATTGGCATCTTCGTACCCTGGAGGAGGTCAATTGGCGGAGCTCGTCAGCAAACGAGTCGGCAGGTCGCTCAAGTACGCAGAGACATACCATTTGTCCTTTTCTCTTTTCACACCTGGTTCACAACCGTCGTCGTGGGAAATTGAAGATGCAATTCAAGAATACATGGTTCCATTGTTGGACGCCTTCTCGCCAATCAGCAACTTTTCAATAGACACTCAGGTCCAGTTGTATGCTTCATTCGCCCCGACATCTCCTCATCCGGAGTATGATGAAAGAACTGAACAATGGACGCTCAAGGAGGAAGATCTTAGCACCTTTGTGAACGCGGCAGAATGGCCATTGAGTCCGAGTATAGGCAGCGGACCAACGATTAATTTTGTTCTTTATGTTCCTGCTGCAGCACAATCGCCGTTGGTCGTTAAGGAGAGTCTTGCAACGAGCTGGATTGTGCCGCAATGGGGTGGTGTTGCTATTGTCAATCCACCAGTATCTACTATTGCGGCTGGCGACGCTGTCAATCCGCCACACCTCTCTAAGGAGTCATTGAAACCTGCTCTCCTCATCTTCTCGCACCAACTCCTCACTCTCCTCGGCACGCCAGCCACACCATCCTCACTCCCACTCCGCCTCCAAACCTCAATACGTACCCGAGCAGCTACGTTGTTGCTATCTGCATCATCAACAATGGGCTCCTTAGCCCGCCTCACTCAATCCCTCTCCTCAATTCCTATCCCCTTAAACGTCGCCTCATCCGTCCTCACCACCTTATCCCATCTAAAATCCACATGCCAGCTCCTCCGCGAAGGAAAATTCACCGCCGCATTAGCGAGCGCACGGATAGCCGAAAAGGAAGCCGAGAAGAGTTTCTTTGAGAAGAGTATGGTTGGGCAAATGTACTTTCCGGACGAGCATAAGATTGCGGTTTATTTGCCGCTGTTGGGGCCTATTGGAGTTCCGTTAGTGATGGGGTTGTTGAGGGAGGTGAAGAATTTTGTGGTTGAGCTCAAGCGGAGGAAGTCTTCTAATTCATGATACCATATTGTATTCTATTGATAAACTGTCGAACCAAGCATGAACGCCGTTATATGCTATGAAGTAATAGCTGGGTATCTACAAACAACGCCATGCAACCAACGTACACATCCTTGGGGATATTAATACTCCTTTTCAAAGATTTTCTGAATCGGTTTGGCCGCCTATTCGAACGATTAGTCTCAAGATTATTCCACGACAGTTTATCTGCGAACAACTCACATCAATAAACCTCTCCAAATCTGCATCAAGGTTGGCCAAATCGTCCTTCCTCTTTTTATTCTCGGCAATCAGAGCCTGTTTCCGTTTCAAGAGCTCCTGTCTCGCTTGCTCTAGTTTCTCTCGCTCGTCATGTTCATGTTTTATGCGCGCAATCATGAGTTCGTGGGGGTCTGAGTCTGCGTGTTCAGGGAATAATTGAAGAAATCCTCTTCTGGGATGAGTGGGAGGGATCGATATATATGACTACCATCCAACTGTCAGCGTTCATTCAGTGAGGAGACAAGGGGAGAAGAGACGAACTCATATGATTCACAAGCAGCAATTTCACCCATCAAATGTTTCTGCTCATAGTATAGATTTTGTAATTGCAGATGTAACCGATCAATCTCTTGACGTGCTTGGGCGGTTACTTGCTTGGTCTCTCGGACGCGGAGAATAGCATCGCGATTTAATCCGCGCAGCTGTGCAAGGAGTGCGTATAGAATCTTTTGCTGTCTGGAGATTGCCAGGATTGTTTCCTGTGACGGTATGGTAGCAGTAGTCGCTGCATTGTTTGGATCGAGCAGCTGCAGAAGTTTTTGGCATTCGTTATGCGCATTTGCGCTGACCTGGAGGACGGGTAGGAGGGAGGGATCAGTGACGATGTCGCGGACTGTCATGCATGCTGTTTCCGCCATTTTTCTTCTAGTTGACTTTCTGTATGTTGAGTTGAATTGCCGCTATCAAAAATCACCAAACAGGTATTTACTGATCTGCGCGGAAAAAGGCCGAGGTAATTTTCGCGTATGTAGACAGACACTTGCTTGGCTGTGGCAAAGTGTAGATTGATGGAGATAGCTTTGTGGAAAATTAGACAGAACTCGTGGAGTTGACAAGGTCGTTCATAGGTTGGATGTGTCAGACTAGTTTGATCTCATGTATGTAGTACATAGTATGTGCTTTGACAGGCGAAGTCTAGCAGCAAGTGACAGGGCAGAAGTGGAAGATGTGAAGAGATGGTTGGCTCTGTTCATGTGATTTGCCCATTGGCTATCGGCTGCCAAGACCGCCCGTCGGCCTTGTCTCTTTCTTCTCTTCGTCTGATACTTTTCAACACAACACCGACTTTATTCTTCTATATCTTTCTTTTAGTTATTCTTCCTCCTATCAATAGATGCAACAATCTAATCTCTCTGCATGACAAGTGTCAACCTGACTCATGCATTGCGGCCGGGCCTAGCGGACAGACCTTTCTTATCGAGTTTAGCCGTCTGATTATTGAAAAATAATTAGTGGCCAGCGATCCCTGTCACTCTGACTACGAGTCTCCACCAGATAGTTTAATCGCTCAACAATTAATTCCCCTCCGAGGATTCTCAGCTATGAAACCAACAACTTTTCTGCTAGAATAGACAAATCTCCTCTCCGGTCTCTATACAACAAAATGGCGTGCAAGGCTCCCGCCGTGACAATTGGAGCCTTTGAAGGCGGCATCTCGACATCTAGCTGCACTACTCCGAACGAAGAGACGCCCCTTATCCGCTCGAGGAGGCGACATTCTTTCCAGCATGCGAGACGGTCGTCTTGTGACTACGACGGAGATGCTGTCTTTCTACGGGTGAGTCAATTCCTTATGACTAGGTTTTTCTCAAGCACAGATTCTGACTAATCCTGTCGCAGGTCGAGGTCTTTCTTGTCGAATTAGAACGACGTCTACAATGGCTCGAAGAATACCGTAAATCCCACATGGAATCGATAGACGCTAGCATGCGAAGAGGATATGCGGCACTAGAAGCCGTTCGAGACTCGTGTTGTGCAGCATCAGGCGAATTAATGGGAGGCGGCAAGAAACGGGCCAAAATCCTCGTCGAAACACTCGAAGGACGATACAACGAAGCTTTAGCAACCAAGGAAACTCTTAGCGAAAAAGCGTATGCTGGCATGCGACTTATGGAGTCATTTCTGAGCGATATCGAGGCTAGGTCTCAATTAGTCCGAGAGGCGGCCGGTATCTCGAGTGCCTTTGATGAAGGTTGGAAAGCGGTTGACTCAGGGTTGAATCATGCGCGGGAAGCTGTGAACGAAGCAGTGGATGAAGGTATGGAGAGTGTGCGACGGGCCAAGGAAGCGCTGCGCGAGAGTATAGATCGTGCTATTCTCCTGGCACAGGAGCGCCGTCTCATTCATTACCATGACCTGCCGCATCCATGGAGAGTCAATCCACATATTCTACAGGGCTATCGATTCACGGCATCTCCGAAAGAGTGCGTTACTTCGGTGTTCTCCTTTTCGAACGAACTAGTCAATATCTGGTCTCATTTAATCGGCTTGTTTATCGTTTTATCGATCGCTTTCTATTTTTACCCTCTCAACCCGAACTTCCACCTCAGCACAAGAGCGGACATCATGATCGCCGCCGTGTTTTTCTTCGCAGCCTGTAAGTGCCTCGTCTGCAGCACAATATGGCATACCATGAACGGAATCGCAAATCAAAAAGTCATGGAACGATTCGCCTGCGTCGATTACACCGGTATTTCATTCCTAGTCGCAGCATCAATAATGACAACCGAATACACCGCATTCTACTGCGAACCGACCTCCCGCTGGATCTATATCCTTCTCACCTTCTCCCTCGGCATCGGCGGCGTTATTTTGCCATGGCACCCAACCTTCAACCGACCCGACATGTCCTGGGCCCGCGTCGCATTCTACAGCTTCATGGCTTTAACAGGGTTCGCACCCTTAATCCAACTAAGCTATTCTCGCGGCTTTTCATGGTGTCTATATTTCTACGCACCCGTCATGAAAAGTATTCTGGTCTACGGATTGGGAGCATGTATCTACGCCTCTCAAATCCCCGAACGCTGGTTTCCGGGTTTATTTGATTATTGCGGCGCAAGTCATAATATATGGCACATTGCTGTGTTGGGGGGGATACTGTTTCATTATTTTGCGATGCAGGAATTGTTTGCGGATGCGTTTTTGAGGGCGAAGGGGGAGTGTCCTAATTTGACTGCTTAGTTCAAGCGTGCATACAATCGGTTTCATATAGATTTTTGTTCATAGGTTATTTGGAGTACATATTTATTTGCTTTTTATTCCTCTTGGCCATGTTTAGTAGTAATTTAATTACACGACATTCCTCTTCGAAGCTTGGAAGGTTGGTACTCGGAGTTGGCACTGAAGAGACTTGCTCAAGTGACCATGAATAGGTAGATTTCACGGAGTGAAGAACACATATATAGATATCATGGAGCTATGTCGACGTGTCAGATATGTACAAACCAACCTTGGAGGATTATTTACATCAAACCAGGCAACAATATCTGTGGCAGTATCCGCACATAGGTGACCTACCCTGTACATAAATATATGCAATGCTAAGTACAAACACATTCTATCCCCTATATCCTCGCGCGGTATACAGCGAATACAGCGAATCATCCATCTTACTCGTCCCATTTCCATTAGTGTTGTCGTTACTATCAGCGGAGATGTTGCGTGCTTCTAGTTGATGATGTTTCACATCATCCACATGCATCAAATCATTACCCCCATTCCTATTCGTATTAGTCTGTGCCTGTAACCCCTCGCTCGAATTATTCCAGTATGCTTCTTCCCACAGCGACGGGTTAGTGTCATGCATATGTCCGTCCCAGGCATGCTATACATTTTCATAATCAGTTTGCAATATTCTGTTATTTTGTGACAAGGAGGAGAGGGGCGTACCCAGTCAAGGTTTTGTGGTGTATCGAGCATATTCTCTATAATTTCTAGACCTGGTAATGAGGATTGAAAGTCGAGGTATGGTTGTGGGAAGACGTCGAGGTTCGGTGCTGGCGCGGAGGGTTGGATGGTGCTGTTGTGTCTGTCGGGCAGTTGGTGGGAGGTATTGGATATAGGTGGTGTGAGGATGGTTGATATATTTGATGGAATGTAGTTTTCCATTTGTACATCTATACAATCAGAAATATGATACGAGAAGTAGAGAAAGAGGGACGTACCTTGACCATTAGCCCCAATCTCACGAGTAGACGCACTTTCTCCCATTGAAATATGATCCAGTGTCCTCCCCCGGGTACTGGACATAGACATATTCGACGTAATCTGTGTAGGACTTTGACTACCTCTCTTTCTGGCCTCATCATCAATCTCGGCTTTCTTCAACATAACATTCACCGCATAAAACGCCTTTCGCGCCTCGACCGAATGCTTCAGATTCTCCTTCCAGACTTCAAGAGATTTTTGCAGTGATTCAATCAGCTTATTCCTTTCGTTGAGATCTCTAGCAGGACTGCTGTCGTTTTGTTGCTGCGTATTAGAGACAGTGACAGTGTCATTATTCTTGAATAATTCAAGACAAACAACCATCGCTGCCAGGACAAAATCACTATTTTGAAGCGACCTGAAAAACCAAGCATCCTTCTCCAACCTCCCACCCACTTGCGACTCCTTGTAAAGATCGTATTGATGACGAAGAATCTCCTTTGCAGCCGTCACACATACGGAGCGTGAGTAACTCAGTTGCGGGTTATAGCGAGCTTCAACGAGATATTTCCTATGCAGCACAATGCGGGCCTTTTGGTATAATACATCTAGGGTATATCGTTTCATGATAATGCTCACATTATCGGCAAAGGATTGATTCATGGGCCGCATGCGAAGCGCCGACGCCATCAGATCATGCGCCTCCTCAAGCCCGCGGTCCAATTCGAGGATTTTCTCGTACGTAGACGGTTGACGTGAGTAGACATGATCGCAGATTTTGCCAAACATGGCCATGATCCGATTCTTTGATCGTAGATATGTAGCGGGCGTTTGAACGGTTTCTGGTAATGAAGGAGGTAACTCGATTGAATTCTCGTCAAAGTCTCCATCGTGGATGTTTCGCGGTAAGTCGGTATCGCTTTGCCAACTCTGTGCTTGTTTGGGGATACCAACTTGGAAGGATGTTAGTGTGTCTAGTTGTGAGAGAATTGCCCACGTGCGTCGACGCATTTCTCCTTCTAATGCGGATAGAGTATCGTAATGCTTTGCGTCGCGATGATAGCCCATTCTCATAGCGAGTTTGATTGCAATTCCTAGGACGATTGAAACGCTCATTGATGAGTTACCCCTTTTTGTGTATTCGATTGTTGCGTTTATTAGCAAAGCTTCGACCTTGTATCTGCCGACAGTGGTATAATTTGAGTTGATTAGACAATGGCAGCAACGCCTGTGGAATCGGTTGATTTCGTCTACTGCATCGCCTAATGGAGAAGGTAGTGTTTCCATGCTGCGACGGAATATGCCTACGGCCATGGTCATGCAGCCATACAAGAAGGCGAGCCATGGCAGCGACACTCGCGAGGGGTCGTTCCAGAATTGATTGTACTACAGCCGTTAGCCTTATACCATATGCTCTAGGATGAGACTGACCTCTCTATGGAAGGTTGGGAAGTGAATAATAGCTGGACCAGTCAGTACCTGCAATCCATCCCAAGATAGACATACTAACCCAGCATCGGATCATCAGAGTTGAAGAATTTCGCAATTAGTCTATCCACAACCTCCCTTTCCGGCAAATCTGCAATTAAGTCCTGCTTCGTCGGGACACGATCACCATAAAACAGCAATGTAGGACGACTCGCATCCTGCTCAACCTCGACTATCTCGTCGTCTGAGTCACCATCCAGAAAACCATCGTCGTCAAACCCTTGATCATTATCCCCATCCACCTGCACATATTTCTTGACTTCCTTGAGCTATCGATATATAATGATCAGCACGGTCCGACAATTCAAAAGAGGGACATACATCATCAAGAATAGCCTGCCAATGCGAAGAATCCACATACGTAGTCCCACCGTTCAACAACTTCCCCGGATCAGTCCGTACCGAAGGCCTCTGATCCGGTAAACCTTTCACTCCACCATTCATATGATTACTGTCATTATTATTGGTATTGCTAACCGGTGTAGCACTCGCCGAGTTACTGCCTCGGGCAGTACTAGTACGGCCACTACTAGTCCCCTCATCTTCCTGCCTCTTTCGCTGCGCAAAAGACAAGATCAGATTCTCCAAATGCTGGATTCGGTCCTGGATATGTGACGGATTTGTTCCTGCATCATGGTTCACGCGTCCGCGCGGGCCATGACCTACATATGTGCAGGAAGCTGCATCCCCGCGCCGTGTGCAACGGTCGCAGGGATGAGTGCGGTCACATTTTAGTCTATAACCGATTAGCATACGTCGATATATTCATGCAGGAAATGAGGATACTGGAATGTATGTATGAAGCTTACTTGCGATATCGGCAAGCCGTACAAGAGAATTGGACTCTGCTGCGTTTCGCCTTTGGTTGCGTTTTGGCAGCGCCGTTCATGTTGGTGTCGTCAGCCATGACTCCGGACTTCAAGGGCCAAACAGACCTGACACAAGACTTTTGCGAGCAAAGACAGAACACTTTGATGGGACTACTTAGCGCGATATAAACTCGATATGCGAGACCCCTTATCCGGATGGTATATCAAAAAAAGTTGCAACGAAAGGGAGTAAAATACGAGCATAGCATCACGTGGGGGCGGAACTTTAGAAACGTTGGGAGGGGCTAGGGTTAGGGCTTTCCCTAAAACCCTTAGCCGGACCAGTCATTTCAGACAACACAGTTTTACGAAGAGAAGTGTGGGCTTACAGGTCATATTTATAAAGAGACGAAAATCGATGGAAATATGTGCCTTACAGAGTATAGTTTAGACTTCACAATAGCAAGGACAACACTGCGAATTGTAAAGCTCGGACGGATTCCCATAGAACGGCACTTGCAGAACGATAACAGTAGGAATGAGTTACGGTATTATTTGGCCCCTATCTGTGTATTTGAACATAGCCCTCATTGAATACTATCGTCATTCCTAAAGAGCCATACCGGTATGTTGACTATGACCAAGATCTCTTGGGTATCCATCGGGACGCTTGAGCATCTAGGAACCCTTTCTTCACACCCTTTTCGCCGTTGACAGGTTCAGGCTCCTGCTTGGGGATATTGGTGTGATTTCCGGTCTCTCGAAGCCTTTGTTCCAATTTATCGATTGCCCACTGCAATTGTGCTTCTTTGGCATAGCTGATAGAGGATGATTTGTCTTTCGCCTCGATAGATGGATCTGCTCCTGCTGATAACAAAATATCGAGAACTCGTTCCCGATATGCCTGGTCATCAATCTCTAGTGGAAGGGGCGGCTGAGTTTTTGCCTCTAGTGCTGCCGCAGTCAAAAATACAAGCAACGGCGTCTTGCCATCCATGTCCTGCGCATTCACGTCGATCCTAGAATCAATCAGCAGCTTTGTGATGGCCTCGGCATCCGGTCTCACCACTGCAACGTGGAGTGCAGTCCGCCCAGCGCCGTCTCGACAGTTTGGATCAGCTCCCCCTCGTTGGAGGAGAACCTCAACAGTCCGTTCTGCATCCTTTGCTTTCGCTGCGATATGTAGTGCGCTCTGCGAGACGTTGGCGTCATAGCGATTCTGCCACATATTCCGAGAGACTTTCAGGCTTACCAATGCCCGAGCAGCAGACACTGTGCCAATGCTGGTCTTCTTGTTGGGGTCAGCACCACCTTTGAGCATTGCCTCAACGAGCTCCTCTAGCCCTGGAATAGCGACTGCTTTGTGAAGAGGAGTGATGCCAGAGCCGTTTGTAGCATTTGCATCGGCGCCGGATGCTAGCAAGGCCTGCACAGTTGCAACGGAGCGACCGTCGACAGCATAGTGAAGCGGTGTGTTTCCGCCTTGTCTCGTTTGAGCTGTGGCTTTTGCACCTCCCTCGAGCAGCTTTTGAACCATCTGAGGTCCAGCATCGGACCGTTTGGAAGCTGCAAAATGTAGAGCTGTACGACCCGGATGTGAGTATCCCATTGTTTCGGCATCCACATACGCATTATTCTCCAGGAGCCAGGCTACCATCTCCGCCGCCCCTGAGTCCGCAGCGAGATGTATAGCGCTCCAGCCGGACATGTCCGGAGTACGTACATCAACGGGGAGGGATCCAATAGATCTCCACGTTGTTGCGCGGTTGGCTAGCCAGGGTAGATTAAGTCGTGCTGCGACGAAGAGCAAACTGGTACTACTGGAGAACCCTGAATCTGATACCGGTGATAGGTCAGCTCGTGAATTTAAATAAATAAACGCAACTCACATTTTCCACTTGCCCATCGCTTCAAGAGGTCATATGAGCGCACCCAGCTCAATAGCGCTGCTGAATCAGCGCTGAAGAATTCCTTCATTCCTGGGACGTCGGTTTCTTCTTGGATCCGACTTTCTCGGAGGTGGTGACCCAGAAATTCCACAGTGTACTGCAAGAAAGGGAACCCTTCAAGGTACTTCTCTTTCACTGTTATAAGCTGTGTCTCATCTATCATACCGTTGTTATTGACAGGAGGTTTAGGGACTTCGCGCTTATAGACATCGCTAATCTGGAGATACCTCAAGCATGTTGCCGCCATTTGCCGATGTGCGTCTGACCTTGACATTCCATATCCTTCGTATTCTTTCGCCCCCTCGTCACTGAAGACATCTGACAAGAAATCCTTCACGGACTGGTGACTCAAGTGAACAGTGCCATCGTGGACCAGGAATAATGCACCCCAACTGTTTTCGATGCGGCGTTGTAACGCGTCAATCTCTTCGTCGGTGCTCACTCCACAGGTATATGTCTTCTCTTGCAGAGTCAACGCCGCATTCAATTCTTGCAACGTCAGAGGTCGGCATGCAAAGTACATCCACGTCAATAATGTGCGCAATGTACTGACAGAATCTCGCTGCTGTCGTTCCAGCATTGTTTTGTAATACGTCGCTACATCTGAAGGGATGTTGTGTAGTCTTTCCTTGACTTTGATCTCGGTCCAGGCACCGTCCCAAGTACTCAAATCCTCCAAGACCAGTGAAAGCCACTTGAACATTCCTTTACAGCTTTCTTTTAGTAAATCTATAGTAGATTTGAGAACATCATCAGAGAACTCGCGATAGTCTTGGATGTCTTTGATCTTTTTTTCTGTGACTTTGTCAATGTCATGCCTGTTGTCCTTGGGCATGTCGATGATGTGCTGGGGAAGCAATTTGTCTCGAACAATCTTACTGCCTCGATCAGAGATGATGCAGCGCAGTCTGAACTTTGCCCCTCTCGAAGCGGCTTCTTTGTTGACACTTGTGGAAATGTCACTGATCAGACGAACAACAGCAGGTAGATGAGGTCCACACTGATCTAAGCCGTCGATGATGAAGTAGAGAACCTCTAGTTCTGAATCTGAGACTATATCTTGCAGTATCTTTTGCAAGACATCCACAGAATGGAATTCATCCGGATCGGCCCCGGGACTATCAAGATCCTCAGCGCTCTGTAAATGTTTCAATGCATACTTTGCCAAATCCCGATTCTGCTGCACCGTCTTGTACAGAAGCGTCCTCAGAATCCAAATCGGCTTCCGTCGCATTTCATTCTTGTCGTCGCAGAAACATATAGCCGCGATAGTCTTCCCTGGTACACCCAGCTCCAGGGGCAGCGCTTCCTCGACCGGAGATGACGTAGACGGAGTCCTAACGCGCATACGTTTTTCAAGCTCTTTGGCGAGGAACTTGAGTAAGACACTTTTACCGCTTCCGGCAGTGCCTTGAATGTATAGCGGCGGGTGTGTCGCGGTACCCGACGACACCCAGCCACGAAAGGCCTCATGCTCAAAGACCCATCCACACGTTCCGGGCTCTGGGCGGCCAATATCGCATCTATCTTTGCCGTCTCCTGCAATAAGGACGTCGAGTAGCTTATCTTCAACAGTCTTCTTCTCTCCTGAAGACCGTTAGCCTCATGTTGGAAAAGGTGGAAGACGTCTGTCCCGTTTGGCATACCCATGTATACGGAGGCTCCTGCAGCGATATTGACTCCGAGGATAGAATCACTGTAGAATGAAGCCTCTAGATTGCCATAATTCTGACCCATCTGGAGTCCTTTGTTCTCGGACTGGGAGAAGTCCGCGGATGGCGCCGGTGCCGGCTTCTACTCGAGTCAGCATGTTTATTTGCCTATTTGAGTCCATTCTTACTGACATCTACCTTTGAGCCTAGGCGTCTCATTATGGTAATGGGTTCAATACCGTTGATATTCCAAATGTGTATGGTGAGAGAATGGTGAACTGATACTGCCGCAGAGCTGATCAATCTTCATATTAATCAATATCTGCTAGAGCTGCGGGGGATATCTCACCATCTGGACTGGTTCGTAAATCCAGCTCCGAAACCGACGATATGCGTGAGACCTCTCTATGGTACTACATACCTCCGCTGTTCAGCTTGTAACAGCAACGCCTTACATGAGAATCGTTCCCATGTCGTCCAATCAAGTATGCTGTCCCCCTCCCCAGTCCTCTTAAGTGATGGTGTGTCTGGAAGCGTATTTTGATTCGATTCCTAGTGTGACTCAGCGCCCTCCAGAGCACGTAGGCCCCGGATGGCTTCTTCACCAGCCAGATGCTCAATTGGACGGGCTTCTTACAGCCCGCCACAGAAACAGATTCTGTCTTCCCTAATCCAATGATCCAGTAGATGCATTTGAAAGACTCTGATTAAGATATTCATTTTCGGAAAGCTGCATTAGTGTGGATATACCTACATGCATGTATACTCACTGAGTCGGTTTTCGCGGAGTTCTCGCTCGGAAAACATTGGCAAATTTAGCTTAGGGTATTACATGCTTGTGTTGCGGGACTGTTCACAATATTTCCTCGGATTCATTGATGTCCTGTAGTGGCTAGTCCCATATCTTATACATGTTTCTAAGGAAAATACATGCTAGACGACCTCAGGAAGGGTTGCATAAATCAGAAGCCGCAGAATCATGAAAGCGCTGTACAGGACTTGATGCTTTAAATCCCGCTTTCTGTTCTCCATCTACTTATTAATACTGAACTGTGTAAATTCACCCCCCATTCATTTGGCTAAACTTCAGACTCGACATTGAAAGATTGCTCCCTCTCAACTTCTCCAACATGTCTATCAACATCATCAAGGACCCTTCAGACGCCAGACTAGAGTATGATTATCCCATCCTTTCTTTAAAAATGCAGGCTAAATTCTAAGCCAAAAAACAGTATCATCCTCGTCTCCGGTCTGAAAATAGACCAAAAGGACTGGACATCTGCCGAAAACTCCATCTTTTGGCCTGAGAAACTTCTCGCCACGCAAATCCCCAAAGCACGCATTTTGGTCTTTGAATATGACGAGGATCTGACACTGGATGTATTCTGGAATAAGCGGGACTTGATCTCTAGTAATTCGGATGATTTGGTGAATTCGTTGATGGATGAGAGACGGGGTGAGAAGGTCAGTCATATCTTTCAGTGTACCTTTTTTTGGGGCATGCATGCTGATTTTGGATAAAACACAGGCTGAGAGACCGTTGGTTTTTATCGCACACTGTCTCGGGGGATTGGTCGTTGAGAATGTACGTTTCTGCACCGGACATTAAGAACATGACCTGACAGGTTCAATTAGGCCCTCATGAGAGCGAACAAGAACGAAAAGAAGAGACAGCTCGTTACCTGCGCAATAGGTCTCTTACTGCTCGGAACACCACACTACCAGTCTGCAACACTATCCCAGGCAAAGAAATACTTCCAACTAGCCCAGAAAGATGTCCCAAGCGATTCGGACCTGCAAGCCCTATCAAAACATGTCCTGGCAATTCCTCAATCCTTTGCGGAATTCATACAATCCAATCCCATCAACGTGGAGAGCTTTTACGAAGGGGCCCCTGTGATTATCGCTGATGATCAAGAGATCGAACTTGTAGAAGAATCCCTCGCAAAATTACCGGGCGATTTCCCAGATCCAACTATGCTCAAAGGAAACCACCATTCCATGAGCAGGTTTGAGAGCGAAAGGGACAAGGATTACAAGAATGTGTCTAGAGTTCTTGCGGATTGGGTGGAAGATCTTCCTCAGCCTGAGGAGAAAGGGACGACGAATAATATCTCGAATGCCTCGTTTTCGGGGTCGACTAATTATGGGTATCAGCTCGGGCAGAATACGGGTACCCAGAGTGGATTTACTTTTGGTGCGAGGTAGATGTCTTTGTTGTCACGCTTGACATCAATCAATCTATAAGAATAGTCAACGTGGTTAATCAACCTTTTTGATTAGGGCATAGTCGTGACATACTTTATATAGATAATTCGTAGCAAAAACTACATATTCGATTTAATCTAGTCACCGCTTGTCTGGTTTCGAGAAACGCCGTATAGCAGATTTCAATGTCACTAGTCAACATAAAATACCCTTACAATAGGTGCAACAATACCAGTTCAGTCTACCCATGTTCGTAGGGCACATATTTCAGCCAGCCATTCGGGCCAAAAGTCAATAAGCAGATACATATCACTCTATTCCAGCGAGTTGCATACTCCAAAAACCCCAGCATATGTATGTACATCGATATCAGGAGCCACTCGCATCCCCGCACGCATTGCTTAAATCTACGTGCAAGTTTCTCATTGGATTTTCTGAATAGGTGTAATAGAGTTGTGGTGATCGGAATACAGGGGTTGTCACACACGGGCTGACTATTACGACTCTTCAGCCACGCCACCATTTCGCCGATGGCCGCAAGTCGGAAAACAATTATGAGTCTGAGCTTGTGATCAGAAGAATAGCCACCCCTGTGCAATTTGTAGGATGAACTCGTTTACAAATGGGGACTATGGTACTCTAACCTATACAAAGCCCTAAATTCTAGAGAATCACCACATCCAAAATCGAATCACTGCTGCCATCCAGATCCCAAACTTTTTTTGTATTCATCTACCACAAACCGATACATTCGTCATACAAGGAAATCATGACTACCTCGGACCTATCCCAACTATGGCAATCCGCAATCCAGGACTACGAAACCACAACCGGGAAAAAACTCCTCCTTTCAGCTCAACCATTCACCAACATGCAAGACGTCATGCTCGGCACTGAAGAACTCTCCCTCAAATTCAAAAGTTTTCGCGATGACAAGAGTAAAGTGTCAAAGATGAGGACGGCATTTAAGAATAATATGTGGTTGATTCAGGGGATTGTGAATACGGTGCAGAGTGTTGGGAATGCTGCTTCTGTAAGTAAATGTAACCTAGGAATCAACGACCGAGAGAGAGAGATTGACTAACAAGGCCAGGCGTTTCCACCAGCTATGCCGGCGAATTTGATATTTTCTGCTTTTGGACAGGTTATGCAGGTACCTACCTGAGGCTGCTGAAATAAAAAAAAAGTCTTTGGTTGACGCTGGATATAGTCCTTCGCCGATGTCTCTGCTGATTACGACAAAATCATGGGCTTTTTCGAATTCACACATCGATTTTTGGATAGAATGTCCATCATTGACCAGAAATTGCCGGATATGCCACAATTTCAGCGTTGTGTGTCACGCGTGTTTTCAAGCATACTCAAGATTTGCGCAACTGCACAGAAATATACTGCCGAGAAACGAATGAGTAAGTTCTATATATTTCCTGCATTGGTCCTATGCTATGGCTGACAGTGATAGAAAAATGGTTCGACAACTTACTAAACGGGACCGACGGTGCCCTAACCAGCGCAACCACAGAGCTAGAAGAAGCCATCAACGAACTAAGCCAAGCCGTTGGTCTGACTACTTTGCGAACAATCCAGATCATAGACGAAACGACGCAAGCGATGAATGGGAACATCGACTTTCTCGTCTCAAATGCACATCTCATCGACGAGCGAACACGAACCATCGAATCAAACACGGATACAATCATTGACCAGAACCGGGGACTGGCATCGAAACAGGCAGAGATGACGGACATGCAACGAGAAACGTTGCAGGAAATGGCGCAGCAGTCACGACTACTTGGTAATATCGTTGGGTATTTTGGGTCTATCCAAATGGGCGAGAAGTTTGGTCGGAAAAGTTTTCAGGATAGTGTGTTGAAACTAGGTGTTGTTCGGCTGCGGTTGACGAGGTGGAGTCAGGCTGTTGGATTGAACAAGGAATTGGATAATGTAGAGTCTCTGTCGAGTGTGAAGATTTCAGAGGAAGATCTCCCCATGGTCAAAGAGCTTCTGGGCAGGATTATGGAGAGCTTCGACGATGCGGAGAGGACATCCAGTCGGATCAAGAAGCGGAATCCTTCCTTGTCGTCTGGTAGCGTGCTGGATCCGGCAAAGGAATTAGATGATGCTGCGGTAGCACTCCATGAGAGAATGGATACAATCGTCAAAACCCGACAGGGACAAGAACCCGAGGAGGAGACAGATCTAATCCTTTACGAAGAAAAAAATTTCACACGCTTAATCGAGGATATCAGTGACTCGGTCGACGACCTCGTCAATCTTTTTCCTGCAGTGCAGGAAACGCAGCAGAAGCTTTGTGAGGAGGAAGTGGACGAGATTAATAACAAGGCTGAAAATGCGCTGTCGTTGCTGAAAGAAGCGGCCGAGGGCCAGGACAATATGCTCAGTAAGACGGTTACAAAGGTTATTGAATCAAGCACGACTTATAATAATAGTGTTGTATTTCAGGGGACTAATTCAGGGTTTCAGATTGGGAATAATAGGGGGAAGATTAGCAATGTGCGGTTTCACTGAATATATGTCCAGTGTGGATATCAGAAGACTGAATCAAGATTCTCGTATTCGTTATAGACATAACATTATAAAAGTTTAACTTGTTAAAGAGCATAATCGAACAATAGAGCCCAAAAATAAAGACAGGGCTATGGATTCCGTCGATCAAAATGATCACCCGAAACAACGGAAATCTCAACATACTTGGTAATCCCCTGATCCTCATGCGTCGGCGAATCCCGTCTCCCACTAACCGTCGTATTGACATTATTACTGCTCGGATCCAGAATCCGCTCAACACTCCCCGTATCATCAACAGTGCCGTTCTTGGTAAACCGACTGCCGCGCGTGCGACGGGCTGTTTCGTCGTGTCCTGTACGTCGTTGACCGGTTTGCGGGCCTGTGAGTTCGTAGGAGCGCGAGTAGCCGCGACTAGAGAGTTTGCGGACGGAGGAGATGATCAAGGGGCGAATGCAGGGAACGGAGGAGGTGATTATGATGATTATGTTTTCGACGAAGCCCCAGCGGATTAGTTCGACGGCGCCGGTGGCACCGAGGTTGGTGACGCCGGGGACTTGGTCGAGCTTGGTGGTTTTGACGATGGAGGCAATCATAGCCCTGTACATTATCAGTACTCGATGCATTGGTAGGAATAGGAAGAAGACGTACACGATACCCAGACTGAGTAGGATGATCAAACCAATCTTGACGGGAGTTTTCAGGTTGAGGTTCCAGAAAATGAGCGTCGGGAAGACAGCCAGAAACAAGTCACAGGCCGAGTTGGCAGCTGATATAGTCAGCACTAATCACGAAGAGAGGACGAGGCGACGAACTATTAGAGTAATAGGCAAACTTGATGACAGCATTGGCATCGCCGCAGGTAGTTACAATGGTCGGATCCCAGAGAATGTTCACATTACGACAGATGCTCAAGGGCAAGACAGCCGAGACGACGTTGCCCGCGAACTGGATCAACATCACCGCCCATAGCGCATAGCGATATTTCTTGTTATTTCCGAGAATGGCGAGCAGGTAGAGAATAAACGAGCATCGGGCGGTCGTAGTGCTGATGGTTATAACCGGGACCAAGACGGCGATGTACTTTAGCACGAGCGACACCTCGTGATGCTCATTAAGGACAAGATAGAGGTATTGCAGATTCTGACCAAAGCCGTGATGCACGCAAAGAGTCAAAAATATAGTGCCGACAATAGCCAGAATCTAGTGGGTTAGCTTTACTGCCAAAAAGAAAAAGAAACGCGGGAAAAAAAAAGAAACGAGAGGACGGAACATAACATACCATGGCAATAATCATCAAGACATCGTCGACTCGAAACTGGCCTATCTTGATTTTGGCAAACACTCGCAGACACACAATAATGATCGCAATGGCCATCCCCGCCCAGATGCCCCTGAGCAAGGCCGGACCTTGATTTGAGGTTGGCTCAAGGCCCGAAGGTAAGGGTCCAGCGTCGGCCATATTGACAATGACAATATGACGATCGTGCACCTGGGGGATCTTCAGTCTCAAGCAAAGAGGCGATCAGAGAGGAGAACGGGCCAGATTATATCTCCATGCTGGTAGACAAGCAATGTGATGGAACACAAAAAATTCGGACTTGCCAATTATTAATAGGATTTAATAGTAATGGCACAGCAACAGTCTCAGAGTTAGGCTTTTAGAGGAGGCGCCCAGCCATAGCGTCGAGAAGTTCCTCTTTGCCTCTGGGCTTTCCATGGTTCTGGCGAGCGATAGACTGCCCGGAAGACTCGAGCCTCAGGCTTATTCTCGACTAGAATCGCGGCACCATGCTGGAAGTGGCTCAAGTTGCCGTTTGCAGTAAGTGTGGCCCATATAGAGTGGAGTTGGGTGAATTCAATTAGATATGCACTAGTCTCGATGGGGGTGTTACAGTTACGTTACAATTATGAATTGCCTTTGCCTGCAGCCGCCACTCTATTATGATCTTGTAGATAAACGTGATTCTGTACGGAGTACAGGCCGCGATACTATCCTATTACTTATATATCTATATATATGTATACATACATGCATATATATATGTATACATACATGTATATACACATTATACATACATGTATATACATGTGTATACACAGATATCTGTACGTATTATGTATTTGCATCTCTATAGACCCAATAATCAATAGTCCGGACGACAATGCTAGACGCATAACCTTATCGCTGCATCCGTGCTAGTCTCTCATCTGATTGGCGGCTTGTTGCTTGCCGGAGTGGGGCAATGCTAAAGTTATTGTATGCATAATCATAGCATGAAACCATTCAGACGAGCCGTTCAGCCTACACGTGGTTAGCATGTATGTAAAGAATTTGATGAACGAGACGACATGGTCTATACATACTGACTATGTAGTGTAGAGTCGGTAGAAGAGTCTTTCCGGACCCTGGATTAAATAGACTCACGGTCAGACGTATGATACGAAGAGCTATTTCCCTGCCGAATTTCTAATTGGTCAATTGCCGACTGTGGCTTGATTCTTCAGGAGAAAGAGTCTCGAGCGAGTCTCGAGCGAGTCTCTACACAGTACACCGGCAAATCAGCCAGCCGGCATTATCCGGTAGACGTCAAACTGACCGCCTGCAGTTTCCAGTTTAGTGTCCTCCGCCCCAAAAGAGTTTGGCATTGCTTATCCTCTCCTCTCCTCTCCTCTCCTCTCCTCTATCTAGTCACGGCTGTCGACTCGGCCGACCAGATAGACCTATGTATTATATTATTGTCGTTGATATATGGTAACTAGCAAAGCCTCAACGGCGCTGAACACGAATACAGCGACACTACACAAACTAGTGATTCCTAGCGTCAGGCCATGCACGACTGAATCACTGAGGACCTAGTCCATGCAGGAGATATACCCAGTGTATCAGGATATGCATAACACTCCTTTGTTTCGAGGCGCATTTTCGGCATTGAACATTGAAGTTTGAACATTGAATCTATCGCAACTATCAAAATACTCCATGTATCCCAATGACTATGGGTATGGGTATAAGCCTATGTGAGTATCATGCTACGGTGTGGATCGACTCGGTTGTATTTCCCAAACAAGCACAAAAACGAAACTAGAGGGAATCGAGCAACTCTGGGAAACATCTCCGCGACTCCACTCCCACGTGTATTTAATCTGCAATGTCCTCGATAAACATCAGTCGGATACAACCACATCTCTCATCTCATCCTTCATCTCTCTCTCTCTCTCCCTCTCTCTATCCAGACACCATGAAGTACTCATGGGTCTTGGCTACTCTGGCAGTCCTCGCCTCTGCGAGTGACGACGCAACCTGTCCGACAGGTCAGTGCCGCTGCATGCCTACCGACAGCTGCTGGCCCTCTGCTTCTTCCTGGGCTGCGCTCAACTCGACTATTGGGGGTCGGCTAATTGCGACCGTGCCTATTGGATCGCCCTGCCATGATCCCAACTACGATGCAGATGCCTGTGCCGCTTTGCAGAGTGCTTGGAATCTGCCCCAGACTCAGTATGTGTCCTCCCGTCTTGTGCAAGAGTAGATCTGACTGGTGTAGCATCTCATCCTCGTCATCCATCATGCAAACTTTCTTTGCCAATCAGAGTTGTGACCCCTTCACCCCAGAGTCTACTCCCTGTCTCATGGGCAACTATGTCGACTACGCGGTCAATGTGTCTTCTGCCAACGATGTGATTGCCGCCGTCAACTTTGCCAAGAAGAACAACATCCGCTTCGTCATTCGCAATACTGGCCATGAGTAAGTCGTCCTTTTCTGTAACGACCGTATACGTGTACATGCTAAATGATCAGTTACTTTGCTCGCTCTACCGGTGCTGGCGCGCTCTCCGTCTGGATGCACAACTTCAACGCCATCCAGTACAAAAACTGGTCTGATCCGCACTACTCTGGTCCTGCTTTCAAGTTCGGCGCCGGTGTCATGGGCTTCCAAGTCCTTGAAGCTGCTCACGCCAAGAATTTGGTCGTTGTCGGCGGCGAGTGTCCCACCGTCGGTCTCGCTGGAGGCTATATCCAGGGTGGTGGTCACTCCGCCCTTAGTACCTCCTTTGGTCTCGGGGCTGACAACACCTTGGAATTCGAAGTCGTCACTGCCGCTGGGAAGTTGGTGACTGCCAACCGTCAACAGAACTCCGATCTGTATTGGGCTCTTAGTGGCGGTGGTGCCGGTAACTACGGCGTTGTTATTTCTGCCACCGTCAAGGCTCACCCTGACGCTATTATTTCCGGTGCTGGTCTCCAGTTTGCCTCCAGCTCTACCACCCCCGACATCTTCTACGAAGCTGTCACCCAGTTCCATTCTTTGCTGCCTGCGATGATCGATTCTGGAGCTACAGTCATCTATGAAATTGCCGCTTCTTTCTTCGCCCTCAACCCTGTCACTGCATACAACAAGACCAGCGACGACGTCAAGACTCTATTAACTCCTTTCCTCAACGTTCTGGACAACCTGAACATCCCTTACGCCGTCTCCTACACCCAATACAATTCCTACTACGACCATTACAACAAATACATGGGTCCCCTGCCCTACGGCAACCTCGGCGTCGGCGAATTCCAATACGGCGGCCGTCTCATCCCCCGCGACACACTCAACACTAACCCCACCGCCATCGCCGCCGCAATCCGCAACATCACCGAACACGGCGTCCTCGCTGTCGGCGTCGGGTTGGACGTCTCCAATCCCGGCGACGTCTCAAACGCCATCTTCCCGCCCCTCCGCAACGCAGCAGTTACCATGCAAATCGGTACACCATGGAACGAAACCGCGCCTTGGTCCCAGATGGTCGCAAACCAGTACCAAATGACTAATGAATTCGTCCCGCAACTTGAAGCTGTCACTCCCGGAAGTGGAACTTACCAAAACGAGGCTGATTTCAGACAACCTGATTGGCAAAACACCTTCTTCGGGGCTAATTATGATCCCTTGCTGAAGATTAAGCAGACATGGGACCCGGACCATTTCTTCTACGCACTCAAGGCGGTGGGAAGTGATTATTGGACTGTTGATGATAATGGGCGTATGTGTGTTGCTTAATCGTTTAGTAGTTCCTCATGCATAGCCTTTGTTTCTCGGTGACGAGTGATGACTGGAAGATCTTTATTCGTGTTATTTACATTGCATATAGACTTGATAATAGACAATCAAAAGTATGATTTAATCTCACTCCTATTTACCTATGTACTGGTAAGGAGTAAGTTATGCCTTGATCTCGGCTTTCATACAGTCGACCCCTTCGTGATTAATCACATTAACCCAACTCACCCCGCTTTCAGTCTCTTCTTTTAGAATAATCTCATACTCCTCATCAACATAAACCGGACTCGTAGCTCTATACACTATCCTCTCAGGGACAATCTCCTCTCTATCCCGTTGCTGTGCCTTGCCGTACTGCACATCCCGCCACAAATCTAGTATATTGATTAAATTCAAGGGACCGTGAACGACAATATTGCGATGACCCTCGATTTGTTGCGCCCATGGGACGGAGTAGTGGATTTTGTGTGCGTTGAAGGTTAGCGCTGAGAAACGGAAGAGGGAGATTGGTGTTTGGCAAAGGACACGCTTGTGGAGAAGATTTGGGTTTGATTCTTGAGTTGTAAGTTTTGGTTGATTTGTAAGTGGTTGTGATGTGTTATCAATCCTGTTCCTCTCTTGAGGAGAATCTGAAAGCGTCTTTCGAAATACCCAGTTCCTAACCCTCATTAGCCCTCTCCCAAAATATACAACTAAGAAAGAAGGAGGGGGGGAAATACCTCCGATCAACAACCCCGACACCCCCCTCATTCTCAAACCTCTTCTCAACACCAACGACAATCATCTCCTCCCCTGTTCTGCGTACCGTCTTCGGTTCCGCACTAACCACCCTCGTGGTTTCAGTGACTTCTTGTCCAATTCTTAACAAATTCGCTCTACCCTCACCATTGGGATTATGAGTGCGAGGCCATGATATCTCTCCTCCAGCCCACATGCGTCGCGTAAATGGCGCCGCCGGATTATAAGATGTATCAGTCCCGTCAGCGCCTAGCTCGGATTCAAGGGACGAGGGTGTGAAGTAGACTAAATGATACCCTGGTGGAATGGGTACGTTATTAGTAGGTGGTTTGGTGGGATAGTCAGGGTAGAGGTGTGGTCGGTTTAGAGTGAGAGTGAGCAGATGCATTTGATTACTGTCGAGATATTGGGTGCGTAGTTTGGGGCCGAGGGATTGGTGGTGCGAAAGGAATGAGGTCGATATTGTGCTTGCATCTGATACATGTGATTTTGAGGTTAGGTAGCGATGTTTTGGGACTGTTTTTATGATGGGAAGGCGTTTGCGGAGGGCTGTGAGCATTTTGCATATATTCGGCTAAAGAAGAATGTATTTCTGTGTTAGGGGAAAAAGATCTTTGTTAAGACAATGGTGATAGCCTATCGCTTTATAGCTTGATGGTGAAGTGCGGAGAAGCTTAAAGTTGGAGACGTCGGCATAAAGCCGACTTGGCTAACCTTAACCCTAATTATCAATGATCAATGTACCAGTGGCATGTATCGTATAATTTAATGATATCGACCAGCTAAAGTTAATGATACCACTCTACCCTAGGTACTATCTACAACATAACCTGCTGCGCAGACAGCCTTGCCCAATCCTCTTCCGTAAAAGGGACATACTTATCCCCCCTCAACCAATACAGCCTATCCTTAACCGACACTTTACCAGGATCAACCCCTTCCTGACGCAACACATGCTTCGGCTGCTTATTATTCCCTGTCCTCTCCAATTCAGCCGTCACCCGCAAAAACAGCGGTAATGCGTACCGCGGCAGATTCGCAAGGACATGCACAGCAAGCGACTCCAAAATATCGGCTGGAACGTCAATAGCGCCATTCTTTAGAATAATGGCGGCGCAACCGGCGCGTCCGTCGTGGTGAGGAAGCGAAACACCGTAGACGTTTGCTTCGCGGATATCAGGCTGGCTTCCAAGGATCTCGGCGACTTCGTTGGTGGACACGTTTTCGCTTTTCCAGCGGAACGTGTCGCCGATACGATCGGTGAAGTACCATCGACCTTCTGTGTCCCATCGGAGCGTATCGCCGGTGCGGAACCAGGCGTCGCCTTTGGTGAAGACATCCCGTAAAATTTTCTTCTCTGATGCTTCGGAGTTGTTGAAGTATCCTTGGTATTTGTGGGAAATGTCGTTCGGGTCCAGGGCGTAGATTAGTTCGCCTGATTCTCCCCTGGGAACACGTTTGCAGAATCCGGTGATGGGGTCACGCCGAGGGATCTCCAGTTCATGGTCTACTTCAACGAGGGCCATGGATCCTCCGAGAAGAAGTTCTCCGATCCATCCATTACGACCGATTGCGCCAGCTGAGAACTCATTGGCTGAACGATTCCAGTGTCCTGAAAATCCTTCGGTTGAAGAGTAAAATTCTGCAATGGTCTCAATGTTGAAGCGCTGCTTGACTTGATTCCAAACATCAGGTCGCATGCCGTTTCCATACGCTAAACGAACGCGATGCTTCTTTTCAAGATCCTCACCGGTGACTGGATCAATGCCCCTCGGCATGGCAAGAAGATATCGCATGGTCTCGCCCACGTACTGTATGATTGTGGCATCGCCGTCCCGAACGTCCTTCCAAAATTTCTTTGCAGAAAATCTATGTCCAATCACGATTGTAGAACCTTTGAGCATGACGGCGCAGAAACCAAGCACAGCGCCGGTGGCATGATAAAGCGGCATACACTGTACATGTCAGATAGATGCAACAAAAACTTAACGAGAATACAAACCGTATACACCCGATCATCAGTCTTCAAGGACAGAAACCCCTCCATAAAAATAGCTCCAGACCAACATTTGGACAGGCTAACAACAGCCGGTTTTGGATACCCGGTCGTACCGCTGGTGTATATCAACACAGCCATGTCCCGCAAAGCGACACCACTACGGAGATTATCATCTTCTCTGATGGCAGGTGTCTGCATAATCTGAGCTTCGACCTCCGGAGTGATAAAAACCACATCAACAGGACCCTTTCCGTCTCGAAAGTCCGGCGACGCAAATTCCGCCAGCTGCTCTGCCGTGAACTTATCCCTAATTTCCCGATCAGCCACCACCAATCGGGCAGTAGACACCTTGACGCAGTGCGTCAGCGGTTTGCCACTAAGATTATAATTGATAAACGCCGGAATAGCTCCTATACTCGACAGGCCAAGCCAAATAAAAATATAAGTGGCCGAGTTCATAAAATCAAGAGCAACAATCTCCCGGGGTTTGATGTCGTAGGTCTGTTTGAAATATTGTCCGTATCGGAGCACAGTGTCGTAGGCTTCCTTGTAGGTCCATGTCTGGCCGTTATACACGATAAAAGGCCGACTAGCAGATTTGGGAGCCAAGGCATGCTTCTCGAGCACGTAGAACAGATTCAATCGGTCTGCTCGTTCTGCTAGTTTGATCTTGATATTGATCGTTGCTAGAGATTTGATAAGGAACCAGTCGTAGAACATCGACCATCGTGCATTTAGATAAGCAAAGACTGTGGCAAGCGCCGGGACTGTATATTTATAAGGAACAGCTGCGAATGTCAGTTCAACAAGCGATATATCGAATTGCGGATCATGGCAACTTACGTGGGAGAGCGGGAAGTCGCGGCATGGCGATAAAGACAGGAACAGCCAAGTAATACTCGAAGTCAATAATAGATAGTTGAAGTCATCCGCTTGTTACGCAGTACACAGCAGGATGTCGTGACACCCAGAAGAGGAGAGACATGCTGGCAGTAAAGTATCAGAGGAGCACAGGTTGGAATGTACATGAACTGCGGAGACTCAGACTTGCCTCGGCCGACCGAACAGCAGATGCGTTACCGCTAAGTGTATATATATTACCAAAGTTACCAAAATTACATACATTACATCAGTTCTCCTCTTTCGTCTACAGTTCACTCCCGAGATATCTACAAATCTTGACTATCGAGCCAGAGGAACATCATCAACATATTCCCCCTTCATAAACTCACGCAGCTTCTCCAATCCCTTTTCCAGTACCTCCGTTTCCGACACATACCCAATGCGAACGTATCCCTTGAAATCGCCATCGCGACCAAAACACCGACTCCCAGGCACAACCAACACACCCGTCTTTTCGTGGAGGAGTGTACAAAACGCGACGTCGTCTACAGGTCGTCCCATCTTGGAGAACCTGACAAACGCCGTTGTGCCCGCGAGCGGTTTCTTCCAATCACATGCCCATCTATGCGATTCAATGAATTTCTCGAGTATCGCAAGATTCGTCTTGGCTAGTTGGATATTCCGATGCAATAAACTGTGGATCGTATGCGGTGCCAGCGCGAATGATGCAACGGCATCATCAATCTGGCTGACCGATATAGTCGTGTAATCCCTAAATACCATGCATCGATCGATAATCTCTTTATTCCGTGATGCGATCCATCCAACCCGGATACCGGCCAGACTGTATGCCTTGGACATTGATCCTGTCACGACGGCGTTTTTGTAGCCGAGTGAGAGTAACGACGGTGGGAATTCGGCGTCAACGGGGGATATGCCGTGGAAAATCGGTCTATAGACTTCATCGGCGTGGATGATGATTGATTGGGATCGTGCGATATTCACAATTTCCTCCAGTTTGGATTTTGGTATTATTGCGCCGGTTGGATTCTGGGGGTTACTTCTAACGGTCAGTAATATAACAAACCAACTTGGCTGAAGACTCACTTCAATACAATCAACTTTGTGTTAGGCCGAATCAACCCCTTCAATTCCTCCGTGTCCAATACCCATCCATTCTCATCATCTTCTTTGGCCTTCCACAAACTAACCTCCGCCCCAATCGCCTCTACCACGGAATATAATTGCTGATACGTCGGATAATGCACGATGACATGATCCCCCGGCCCCACGAGCGCATGATGTAGCAAGAAATTTCCTTGGATTGCGCCGGAAGTAATCAGAACATTATCCGCCGGTAATGGTGTAGATGTCTTGATTGAATACAGTCTCGAGAGATGGCCGCGTAATTGTTCAGAGCCACGGATTGCGCCGTATGCCAGTTTCGTGGACCGGGAGAAGGAGAAGATGGAGTTTTGATTGTTAGGGTCTGGTTGTTGAGTAGAGAGGTTTTGCAGATCGTCGAGAGATATGGAGGCACAGCATGTTTCGGCTATATTGTAGGTTGCTGTGGTTTCGTGGTCGTCCATCCACTATTCACACCATTAACAATGCATATTGGTAAGCGGGGAAGATGGCATACTTGCTCGACGGCGAATGGCTCGATTTTAACCATTGCTACCTAATAATAGATGAAGTGATAGATAGATGTAGGCCGATTGTATATCTATTCCGTTTGAATCGAATAATATCTTGAACACTTGGCATGTTCTGATGTTCTGATGTTCTCCAACCCCCAGACCCCGATATCGACAGTCCAGAATATTCTTCCCCGCTGTGGAGATATCATCCAGCTGGATCACGTGTACCCCCCGAACTCATTGTATTGAAATCTAGATTATCGTCTAGGTGGTGGTTGCGCGCAAATTTGTCATTATCACTATCAAATTGTGGTGTCGTTATGTTGTGTGGTTGATATATTTTCACGGATTTCTCAATCAACGAGATAACGGCGAGGCACTAAGGCTAGGTAGGCAATGGTATGCATAATCATCGATGTAATATATATATTGAGAAAAAAGTTCATACATGTCAACTGCAATCTCTGCTGTGACGTGGAATTGTCAATGGAGAGCGTATACTATAGTGCATCCTCACAGAATCCATTTCTATAAACGTTGCAGAGCTGAGAGGTTGAAAGAGATCGGGGCATTGCGGCCTGAGATTAGCTATGCCTTGACATGTTAAAGTAGATCAATGGACCATACCCGTGAGAAGGATGTTATTTCATCAAATTGTACCAGAATAACAAAAATATTCTGAAGCTGCTTGAGTATCTGCTGAATGTAAATGATCAAGGGGGAGTCGGTGGAAGTGGGGCGAGCCTACGGCAAGCTCACAATATAATTGGCTCGCTGTCACCCCAGCCATTAGGTCATAGGACTGCGAGATAACCAACCACTAACTAACTAACTAACTTAACTACAACAGGCTACAGACAGCTCACCGGGTAACCATCAGTTTCTACTTCACGACACTTCTGCTTGTCGTGCTGTTACAATCTCTGAACTATTGATACACAACGCATCGTATTTTTCATGGCTCGACTTTTCTTCGTGTCCATTTTATGAGCCTTGAAACGATCGTCCAGCTGCCAGATAAGCACCCCATCTAGTAACCGGGCGCTGGTCAACTGCCAGCCGCCTGACCAGCACCCTTCACGATGCGAGCCATATATCTTCTCGGAATAACATCCTTGCTGGCATTCTCACGAAGCACTATTGCTGCAAAAAACTACACTTCCAGAGGTGTTGACCCTCTCTTATCGGCCTTTGACGATCGCCCACCACAGTGTCCTCCGTGTTTCAACTGCCAGCTTGATGCATTTCAATGCCACCAGTTCGCCGACTGCAATAAATTCACCGGAAAATGCTCTTGTCCACCTGGATATGGTGGCGATGACTGCTCAACGCCGACATGCGGCTCACTTGCAGACGGAGTGAATCGCGGACCGCGACAAGATAAATATTGCGACTGCAACGATGGCTGGGAAGGCATCAATTGCAATGTCTGCAAAACCGATGACACGTGTAATGTGATGATGCCGGATGGAGAAGGTGGTGTATGTTATACGCAGGGCCTGACGGTGAAAGAGAACCATCAGATGTGCGATGTTACCAATCGCAAGATCCTGGATCAGCTGAAAGAACGCAAACCGCAAGTGACGTTTTCCTGCAAGGAGGAAGAGGAAGGTGATAAGACCTGTAACTTTCAATGTGAGTGCTGATTGACCCTCGAGAGATATTACAGCATGGCTGACTTTATACAGTTTGGGTGGATCAGGTCGAATCATTCTACTGCGCTCTCGATTCCTGCAACTGGGGCTTGGACGCCGAATACGACCGCAATACGACAAACTACAAATGCGAGCATGTCAGATGCCAATGTATACCCGGACGAATGCTCTGTGGTGAAGCCGGCTCAATTGATATCGGTGACTTTCTTACCGAAGAGATCAAGGGACCAGCCACCTTCAGTACAGTTTCAACGTCTAGCGGTAAGAACGATGGCAGCACGTTCAAGGAACCTGCGATGGATGATTTGATTAAGAGCGTCTTTGGCGATGAAAGTATCACTTTGCAATGTCGCTCAGGTGAATGTCTCTATAAGACTGATGTGCCTGGTTACCAGCGCCCAGTCAAGAAGATCAATACTCCACTTATTGCGGGTGTTATTGCTGGCTGTTCTCTGTTTGTTGTGGCGGTCATTCTAGGCATATGGTATATTTCAAGGCGTGCTGCCTATCGTGGTTATGGTGCTATTCGACTGGATGAATCAGATGACGAAGCCGACAAACTTCTTACTGATCAGCGCGCTGCTGCTTTACTCTTCGATCGCGTATCATACACGCTCAACGGAAAGCAAATATTATCAGACATTCAAGGTGTTGCACAACCCGGTGAGATCACTGCTGTTATGGGAGCCTCCGGAGCTGGCAAAACTACGTTCTTGGACATTTTGGCTCGGAAGAATAAGCGCGGCGTGACCCAGGGTGACTTTTACATCAACGGAGAGAAGATTAGTGATGCCGAGTTCAAAAGTATGATTGGTTTTGTCGATCAAGAAGATACCATGCTTCCTACGTTGACTGTCCACGAGACTATCTTGACTAGCGCTTTGCTGCGACTGCCTAAGGATATGAGTCGCATGGCCAAGGAACAACGAGTTACCGAAGTGGAGAAGCAACTTGGTATCCATCATATTAAAGATCAGATAATCGGCTCTGAGGAAGGTCATGGACGTGGTATTTCCGGTGGAGAGAAGAGAAGAGTGGGTATCGCCTGCGAACTTGTCACCAGTCCTAGTATTCTCTTTCTTGATGAACCTACCAGTGGTTTGGTAAGTAGTGTCTTATTCTAGACTTTGAAGATTCGAAGCTGACTGTTTATAGGATGCATTCAACGCGTTCAATGTGATTGAATGCCTTGTAACGCTGGCCAAGACATACAACCGAACTGTCATATTTACGATTCATCAACCACGCTCTAATATCGTCGCCCTATTTGATCGGTTGATACTTCTGGCAAAAGGGCGAACTGTGTACTCTGGCCCTTTCTCCTCCTGCCAACGATACTTTGATCACATTGGATACCCTTGCCCTCCTGGTTTCAACATTGCCGATTTCCTGGTTGATCTGACTATGCACGCTGGCGGCTCTCAGACGCCAGTTGAAGATGTCTTCCTGGATGTGCGAAGAGATAACCTCAAAACAGCCTCAAGCAGTCTACGCGCAGTGAAGTCAATTGCCAGCGCGTCTAATATCAGCATTGAAGAGACCGTTAGGCATACACAAGAGAACTCGTCTCGCCCTAACACGAAACGACAGCCGTCGTTGAAACAACGCCAGGACAAGCAACTGTTCACTCGCCGAAAGGCTGACACGGAAACTCCACCAACACCCAAGACGGATGAAGAGGACACTGTTACACCTGCAGACAATTCACAGTGGCTTCGTCTATCTAATCACCCTTCTCGCAACGGTGCTGTTTCTCAGGTCAATGACGACCCTGACCAAGTCCCGCCGCCCGCTTCAGGGACTACCGACTTGGATGCGCTCGTAGCAAGCTACGCCACATCGGATGTAGCTAGCTCTGTGCATGAGGAAATCGTGTCTGCAATAGATCGCGCAAACGATGCGAATGCTACTCCAAATGCCGAAGTGTTTGGCAACGGACCAGCAAAGGGCTATGCCCGTATCGGCCTGCTCCGACAGTTTATCATCTTGTCCAATCGGACCTGGCGCAACCTCTATCGTAACCCTATGTTGATGCTAACTCATTACGCTATTTCTATCCTTCTCGCAGTTCTTTGTGGGTACCTATTTTACGGACTTACGGACGATATTAAGGGATTCCAAAATCGTCTTGGATTGTTCTTCTTTATTCTCGCTCTTTTCGGTTTCAGTACCTTGACGAGCCTTACTGTATTCTCGTCTGAGCGTCTACTCTTTGTCCGTGAACGTGCGAACGGATATTATTCGCCTCTTGCATATTTCTCTGCAAAAGTCATATTTGACATTGTCCCGCTCCGTCTTATCCCTCCACTCATCATGGGTGTCATTGTATACCCTATGACCGGACTTATCCCAGCCTGGCCCGAATTTTCGAGATTCCTTCTCATACTGGTTCTTTTCAATCTGGCCGCTGCCGGAATCTGTCTCTTTATTGGAATTGTCTTCCGCGATGGTGGCGTGGCCAATCTCATTGGAAGTTTGGTTATGCTATTCAGTCTGCTATTTGCCGGTTTACTACTCAACCACGATGCCATTCCCCCAGCGGCTATGTGGTTACAGACTGTAAGCACCATAAAGCCCCATGCGCATATTATACATACTGACGAAAATACTACAGCTATCAATCTTCCACTACGGCTTCGAATCCTTGATCGTCAACGAAGTCACCTTCCTGACACTGATCGATCACAAATACGGACTCGACATCGAAGTGCCCGGAGCTTCAATTCTCAGTGCCTTTGGGTTTGACACCCTTGCTCTATGGCGGGACGTAGCTGGCTTGGGCATTATTTCCGCAATCTTTATTGTTCTTGCCTATGCTGCTATGCACTTTTTACTTGTAGAAAAGCGATAAGAGAGAGAGTTTTCCACCTGCATATATTGTCTGTTCTATTGACATATATTTTATATTTTGCATTTGTTTTGGGTGATTCTCCAATGTCAGATGTCAAGTATGACATTGTATTGATTGTTTCATGGGTTTTATTAGAGTTTGTTCCTTTGGTGCTTTGCTTTGGCGTTGTCAATCTATCATTTTCTGCATATTCCTTAGAGCAAAGTTTATCCACGACTCGAATCGACCCCTTAAAACATGAATACCCAGACTACCTTCGAAATATACAGCAAAACGAAATTATTTGAACAATAACATTGTTGTATGTATATAATAGTAAATAACCGCTCGCCTAGATACTCGAGTTTAGCCGCGCGGCTGCCAGTTAGAACCGCAAGCCCAACCTCCGCCCGCCGATGGACGCCTCAACCCAGCACCATAATCCACAATCTCCTCCTTCTCTGTCTTGGTGGCAACAGTACTCTGTGTCTTCTTATTCTACCTAGGTACACACGCAAAACATACCCGTCTTCTTGGCAACTTGATAATTCTTGTTGATTTTTTTCCGACAAAGTCATACCCATCTGAGATATACTCCGTGAGTGCACGCACCCTCGCGGACGTCATGATTCGCATCTACCTAGCCAGACAGAGACTATCGAGAGATTTCTTCTAACCACGTTTCGATAGCAGAATACAGCGTTCATAGCCCTGGTCGTTTCTCTCATCGCAATTATCGACTTTACAATAAATCAAAATGTCTGGTGAAGCGTGGCTCTACCTGTTGGCGGTCCTGATCAATGCCGTCAACTTGTTCCTTCAGGTGTTTTTCACTATTATGTACAGTGATTTGGAATGGTGTGTTGGACAAATCAATACTTATAAGGCATTCATGCGAGTACGAGGATCCTAACTAACGCTGTACTGATAGTGACTACCTCAACCCGATCGAACTCTGCAACCGTCTTAACACCTATATTGTACCCGAAGCTGCTGTCCATGCTTTCCTGACCTTCCTATTCGTCATCAATGGCTACTGGCTTGCGATTATATTGAACTTACCTTTGCTCGCTTACAACGGAAAGAAGTGCGTCAATCAATCTACTCGCTACTGTGGTGAAAAGTCTAACAAGTTACTAGGATCTTTGACAATCAGCATCTGTTGGATGCTACCGAGATTTTCCGCAAGCTTAACATCCACAAGAGGGTTAGTTTTAATCCTATGTGTACGTATGAATTGTACTAACATCATATAGGAATCCTTCGTCAAGCTCGGATTCCATCTCTTGATGTTCTTCTTCTACCTCTACAGCATGATTGTTGCCTTGATCCGTGACGAGTCTCACTAAATGATTCGCTAACGATGCGATGACGCTCACGCTCTATGCGCTACGACTCTTTGATGACGGTCCCAATCCGAGGAGGTAATCAAGTCTGCTATTAGATGACTGTAGGAATGGAAAGGCGATTCTAAATGTTATGGGTGGATATTTGTGGAATATGCCAGGACGATTGTGTGTGTGTGTGTGTGTGTGTGTGTGGACGTATCAGAAGGAGACTTGACTGATATGGTTTGCTATGAATGATACCGGTGTTGTGCTTTGAAGAGAGGAGTAGGTTTGTGATCTTGCTGAGTTATGGCAGCGATGGTCCTCTTGTATGGTTTAGATGCTGTATATACCTCTAGCGCAATTGCTCGATTATATTTATTATCTAATTTTATGATAAATGGTATAAAATGTATCGAGCTTTTTTCCTGAATTTTCGATGCATGTGAAATGGAATAACTGCGCTACTTGTCTGTGCACCCAACCGTAAGATTTCGACATCTTCCATTCAATGTCCGCCGCATTGCGATGAGCTTTTGTCAACATAACATAATCCTAAGCCAACTACAATGGCTTCGCTTGTCAACTACGACTCGTCAGGCGATGAATCCGACAAACCCAAGTCCACAACATTCACATCAGCAACAAAAATAGTCGCCGCTCCAGAAGTCAATACAGAGGTTTGGTCTTTCCATCAATAGCATACACCTCTTACTTGTCTTAGCTAACGCCCTCCAACAGGATTCTTCTAGCTTACAACTCATCGCCGGCGCCGGAAATTCAACAGCCCTAACTTACAATGCCACATATGACGACCTAACGCGACCGGCACAAGGTCCCGTGAACCCATTCAAACCCAACGGCGTCGGAAACGGCCTCAAACGCAAAAATGTGCCTACGGGACATGCAGAGGAGGCAGCTATCAGTGAAGCTACTTTTACAGCACAACACCACACTTTCCAGAGTCTGGGGTATACCCGTGACCCCAGCAGACCGGACGCGTTTGTCGGCGATTTGGCTCGAGCGGCGCAATATGGTGGACGGGATTTTGTGCAAATGAAACCATCAAGGGAAGCCTCGGCAGCGTTGCGACGGAAAAGGCAGAAAAAGGGTGATGCTAGTATTGTTGATGGTGAAGGCGCGTATTTGGGTCCCTGGGCGAAATATGAGAATGATGATCAGGTTTATGAAGAGGAGGCTGCGGAGGCTGGGTATGAGCTTGCGAGTGATGAGGAGTTTGTGGAGGAGGAAGATGGAACGTCGGTGTCGAAGTTGCCGACTATGGCGACTGATTATCAAGATGATGCGTCGCAGGCGGAGACTACGGAGTTTCATGGCAGTGAACAGTTTGATTACCTTGGACGGACTTATATGTGGGTTGCCTTATCACTGCTTATACCTTATACGACTTATACTGATACTTTTTAATACAGGCACATTCCTCAGGATCTTGATATCGATCTGAAGAAAGAACCAGGCAGCACCAAGAACTTCATCCCCAGGAAATTGGTGCACACGTGGAAATCGCACACAAAACCTATTACCTCACTCCGCTTCTTCCCTGGATCAGGCCACTTACTACTATCCTCTGCTGCCGATGGCAAAGCCAAGATTTGGGATGTATATCATCAACGCGAACTTCTGCGTACCTTCTCTGGACACTCTAAATCGATTAGTGATACCACTTTCCATCCCACAGGCAAAACATTCCTCACAGCCTCGTATGACCGACAGATCAAACTATGGGATACGGAATATGGTAAATGCATTTCTCGCTTCAGCACGGGTAAAACACCGCACGTTGTACGCATCAACCCTGATCCCGAGCACAGCCACGAATTTTTGGCAGGAATGTCGGACAAGAAAATTGTCCAATTCGACACTCGTACAGGTGAAATGGTGCAGGAATATGATCACCACTTAGCGGCCGTGAACACTATTACGTTTGTCGACAACAATCGTCGCTTCATCACCACATCCGACGACAAATCATTGCGAGCATGGGAATACGGCATTCCCGTACCCATCAAATACATCGCCGAAGCAGACATGTTCGCCATGGTCCGGGCCTGCCCGCACCCTTCAGGCAAATACGTCGCATTCCAATCGGGCGACAACCAAATTGTGGTGTACGCTGCAACGGATAAATTCCGTCAAAACCGCAAAAAGGGGTTCAGGGGCCATAATAATGCCGGATATGCGATTGATATTACTTTCTCCCCCGATGGACAATTTATAGCTAGTGGTGATTCGGGTGGTTATGCATGTTTCTGGGATTGGAAGACGGGGAAAATGTATCATAAGATTCAGGCTGGTGGGAAAGATGGGTCGGCGGTTACGTGTCTTGATTGGCATCCTCAGGAGACTAGTAAAGTTGTTACTGGTGGGTTGGAGGGTGTTATTAAGTATTGGGATTAGTTTGGGAAATGGGTTGTGTATGATATGGGCCTTTTCATGACGCTGGCAGAACATGGATGTTTCAGAGATGTGTTCTGAACTGGTGATCTGGAGGAGTATGTCGATAATCGAATGGACACAATGATAAATATATACGATGAGGTCCGATGAGGTCTCTGAAGTCCGGGTTCTAACTACTACAAGGAATATGAATTTAGTTCAAAATCGAAATGCCTATGAATGCTCAAGAACCAAATCAACCTCTTCCCCAGCGACTTCAAGGATATGCTCCGGCGCATACTTTGCTTTCCATCCAATAGTATGACCCCGAGCTGCCGTGAATGTGCATCTATGTATACACTCGTCAGATGCTTCACTCAAAGTCAGCAAGTAGGAAAAGATACATACCGACCACCAATCTCAGCAGACACAAACGACTTATCACCACGCAACACCGTCGACATCTTCTCCAATGCAGCATCGTTAGCCGGCGTGATGATATCATCATCAATAACGTCTTTTTCAAGTAGTCTCTTTGCAAGAGCACGATAGAGATCGTGCCATTTCACAAGACCCGAAGCCGCGAGATAGAATCCGTTTTTACCATACCTGGGATTCTGACCAGAGAGAATGGCACGCAAGATGGAGAGGTAGAGGGTCGTATTGTCATATACGTGGCATACCGGCCATGTCTATAGCAGTCAGTTCATCGAACGAAGACAATTGCCACGTTAAATTTGTGATAGGGACGCTTACTGCTGAACTGTCATCGACAGTATAAATCCTCCGCGTCCGTTTCGCTGCTCGTATAACAGCTACAGTTTGAATAGAAATAGGATTTCCGAAACCTTCCCCCTTGCCGTATACAATGCAAGGAGAGAAGATGTAGCTTCTGACGCCGAGAGCTTCTGCGTCGTCGATGATTTTCACATTTGTCTTGCCAGCCTGCGCAGATGGGCATACTTAGCACGTCATTATCATAAGCCGAAAGGTTTCATACCTCAACGATAAGCGGTTGAGGCCCCTTCGCAGTTCTCAGAAGCTCATAAATCTCCTCCTCCGTATCCAACAGCGGCCTGTTGGTGGGTAGTCCAGTATGACTACTAAATATCTTTGCACCAGTCGTAAACAAGAAATGCACATCATCCCTTCCAGTGTTTTGTTTGACTTTACTCAGTGCGCGAATCATGGCCGCCGGTTTACGTTTATCCATTACATCAATCAAGTAATAAATGACGCTTATCTCGCGGCTCACAATAGCCTGTTCAATGTCGGCGTCATCGTTCAGATCTATACGTACGGGTTCTGCGTTGTATAGTTCCTTGACGGCTTTGGCTTGCTCATCTGTTCGGACGAGGGCATAGAGGTTTTTGTAAGGGGGTAAATTGGCTTCTTTCCAGCGAGCGAGTAGTGTGCCGCCTAGGTAGCCCGATGCACCAGTGATAACGATGTTATGAGACATCTTTCAGCGTATTCGAAGTAGCTTGTGGAAACGAAACTGTTGATCGGGATATGAGATACGAATTTGTCCATGAATCAAGAGCTCAATATATAACAATGCATGAATCTCTTTTCGGACAGAATACTACGCCGTATCTCGACAGATGGATAATAGTTATTATTAATTTAGCCCTAAATGCATTCATTCTTCATGCCGCTCATGCCGCCCAACCCGATAGTGGGTATGTTAGTGAACTTCCTTCTGTGTTGTATTAATAAGCGACTTCTCACTTTCCCACACGGCCAACATGTTTTGTGACTCGGGAGTAAGCTTTATAAAGCATTTGGTATGTCGGACACATAGATGCTCCGCGTCGCATGGATTAGATATACTTTTTGAGGTTGAGGGCACGTGAAGAAAGCATGTCGGAGGAAGTGGTGATAACCTCGGAACCTGCCGATGAATTGATGATAGCAAATCAGGAGTTGAGAAGAAGGTATAACTGTTGGACTTGGCTGAGAGTAGGTAACATGCGTCTCAGTGTCCTTAAATGTGTTGTTAACGATGTCTGTTGCTCTTCCAATGTTGTAGGGCCACAGAATGGAAGCAACTACTACGCCTTATCTTCGATGCCCAGGTGGCATTGGACTAAGTCTCGCTTGATAGTTAGGAGATGTTCTATTAAGTGTGAATCTTTTCGAGGGGCACAGATAAGTACATTCATGTGATATGCTTGATTGTTTAATATGAAGACAAATCTAAAATAACGTTCCGTCTCCTAAAATACCAATAGGACTCGACTTGGTTAATGGTCGTTTCTCAGCAGCCAGTTCTCGTCCTGCTTTCCAAGATCCTGCTTCCAAAACCTGAGGCAACGTCAATTGAATGCCATTGAACTGAGAACTGGATGATATGATAGCATGCAACTTATCCAAAAGTGCAACAGTCATAGCACGCCACTCCACAATCTCATCATCACTAGCTCCAAAATAAGGGAGGCCATCGATATTACTGCTTGACAGTTGTAGACCCCTTGCTCGGGATTCTTCCTTTAGAGATAGAACACCTATGTCCACGAATAATCCTCCATTTCGGTATTCGGCAAGTCCCGTGCCCTGATCTGCATTGAGCCAAGTGATTTTTAGTAGTCGGTCAAATGGTACCATGAGCGAATATGCGAGCCACTGTGTAAGTTTGTGGAATGGCTGAATTGCAGATGTTTTGCTGCTGTTTGCTCTGGAAGACGTAGCAAGGGCTTTTAGAGGCCATGCGTCGCCTACGGGGTGCCCGTCGATATGTGTACGGTCTGATGGCCAGACTGGGATCAGAACTTTTTGGAGAAGGTTCCAAAGATCGCGGTAGTCAATTTCTCCAGAACTCTTTGCTTTGGAGAGGAGATAATCTTCGCCGTGTTTTAGTATTGGACTTTCTGAATGATGAACCATGCTCATACTTACCGACAAGATTGCCTGGTCGACCATTCTTACCGAAAATCTCGGGAAAGCTCAATAGGGAACTTCCTAGTCTGCGTAGTAATTCCACCCGTTTGTCAACTGCCACCAGTGGGTTTGTCTCACTGATCTGAAAGTGCCGATAGAGCTTGTCTGCATCTAGTGTATGTAGCGCAGCTCCTGGTATTTTGCATGTAAATCAGCAGTCAGTCAAGAAAAGATACGAAAGATCCAAATTCCCACCTTCCACAATGTCTTTTCTCAAAGATTTATCGGAAGCAAAATCACCGCTCAAGAACATATGTAACGAAGCAATCGCTATCCCCTCACTCCGACTGTACGACTGCTCGCCTCCAGGTTCCTGAAATCGCCAAACATCTCCAGCCCCTGCATCCAAGAGAACAGAAACGAAGAAAAGGTCGATAAGCCCGCGCACTTTCTCTACATCGTCGAACTTTTGATCATTCTTCCAGTCACTCAATAGTTTATCTATGCGAGGAATGCCGCCAACCTCGAAATGTTGCCATCGGCCATGAGGGGGGATAAGGTGATATCTATCTGGTCCAAAATCGCGCTATTCTTATCAGTGAATTTCTTACCTAGATATGCTGAACACATTAATATTATGTAAAGGACTTACCTGGATAATACCTATAACATAGTCGGCTGCTACATCCAGTTTATCACGGTCGTAGTTGAAATGAGTCAATTTTCCCTGTTCGGCTAATTCAAGGACTTTATGTGCCTTTTCACGTACAGCCTTTAGGCTTAAAATGTACTCGATTTCGGAATCCATGGTGTTAGAGGCCAATCAATAGTTGTAAGAATATTTGAGGAAGAGAAAAGTGCTGTGCAGTATCAAAGAATGAGGTGCCCCTCGTGACGCACTGTTAGCGCCCTAAATGGGCCGAAGATAAGCTCGTATCTTGAGTCAGATCCCGTCCGATAGATAGATAAAACGAGTAAGCACTAATGAGCATTGTTAATTTGTTTGATGATTAACGACACGTGGATTTAGGGTTCATAGATCTGCCAACCTTATCTTTGTCTCATCCCTGTCTTTTTGGCCTTATCAGATCCGATTACGTACAGCAGATTAGGGCTAGGGGAGTTTACGCCGAAGCAAATAACAGGGTGCTTTTCAGATCAGAAACATCAATTTAAATATAGAATACAGACTAAGGCATTAACTTTTAATATTTTGTCTTTAAAATAGTGAAAGTCATGGATGTTAGTGGCGCGGTGTAACCAGTCGCAGTCTAATAGTGTTATATGGATGCCGATTTTCATACTTCCAACCAGATAGAACCTTGGAAATCATTACCTCCGACAGTTATACATACTACACATACCTCAAAACTGCCTGAATCACATGTTTTATGCCGCAGTTCCAAGGTTAAATTTAGATATATACTCCAAACCAATACATATATCTTTAGGCGATCAAAGGAAGGGTTCTTTCGAGTTACACAGCTCCCGTGTCAAGAACTCCTACTGCGACAGGGTCAAGCATAATTTTCTTCAACAAAGAATCTGAATATCAAGATCTACTGCTGAATGGTCTTCCGGCTTTGACTTTCTTCTTGGCCCCATGCATCTTCCAGTTTATGTATGTACCTGTACACAGCTTCATCGAATTGGCAGAGTCAACACATGACATCAATTATGCCGTAAAAATGCTGGGCCTGTACGCACCTATATATAGCTGAAAGAACTAAGACATGTCTTTCCGAGGTCGATCAGCACGAGTCAGAATTATAATCGGATTCAGAACCAGGCATATTTGAGCCGCTTACCATAACCACTGCAGTTCAGTTCAATATTTATTCACCTGATCTGCTTCCTGATACCGTAACATGAAGCCCGACTACAACAATAGTAAAGACCAAAAGAATCACCATTTCCATAGCATTATGGAAAATGAGACAGGCCAGATTGTGGCCCACAAAGCTGTCGCAACGTACTCGATGTTATGGGTGCTCCAAGCCGTGGCAACAATAACATTTACTCTACGAATTATATCAAGATATTCTATAACACGAGACGTAGGATGGGAAGATATTATAATGGCCTTCGGTTGGGTGAGTTTCATCTGAAAGCCCACGTCAGGTTTGCCATGCATGGTGTCCCAATGGTCTGATGTCGTGATAGGCAGTCAATCTCGCAGCTACAATACTCATGACTCTATCTATTCACGCCATTGTACACACCAAAGATTGCACCGAGAACTTAAAAGCCAAGACCTCAGACGCTCACAAACTCTCCTTCATCGCAGCAGCTCTTGTCCCCAATGCAGCATGGCTACCAAAGATCTCTGTCGCTCTCCTACTTAGTCGGCTTTTACACCCTCGCGCCGTGGTAAAGGCTATTCTTATAGTTTCGTCGATTGTCGGGTCTGCGGCTGGTGGTATTGGAAGTGCGTTTCTCATGTTTATTCAGTGCAGCCCCATATCAGGGCAATGGGATCGGGAACGAATCCATCCCAAATGTTGGAATCCGCGTGTTATGGTGAACTACTTTCTAGTATGGACTGGTATGTATCAGTGCATTAAATCCCCCCTTCCTCAAAAAGAAAATTGGTAGTAATATGCATTATAGTGTTATCAGCATCCCTCGACGTCCTATACGCAATCTACCCAGCAACCATATTTTGGAAAATGCGCCAACTACCCATATGCCGCAAACTAATTGTCTCTATCCTAATGGGACTGGGACTTATTTCTGCTGCTGTGGGGATATACAAAACGACATTGACACCCCTTCTCCGAAAGCGTGATCAAGGGAGTGATATTGCGCTTGTTTCGACACATATTGTCATAATTTGGTCTATAATTGAAGCTGATATTATTATTAGTGCGGCCTGTATACCACTTACGAGGTCGTTTTGGCTGTTGGTGATGAGTTATGTAAAGAGTGCTTGGAAGTGTGTACGAACGAGAGTTGGATTGGGTCCTCCTATTGTGGATCTCGACATCGAAAGCATTGAAACTAGGAGGGATCATGGGGGTTATCTGGAGCTTTCTGGGAGTATGAGGGATGTGAATGTTATCGTGTCTGGGGACCCAGAACAACGTACGCCGTTTCGAGACGAGATTGACGAATATCACCAGATGATGTCCTCGCGAACGCCGATTAGAAGTTCGATACAGGAGTACGTAGGTAGACTCTCTTTCGCATGAATTAACGATGTATGTATCACGGTTACAATGGATACTTACGAAGTCAATACTATGAATCATGCGTTTTATGTATTCTGAGTATAATCCTTATTGATTTCAACCTTCCGTGTCGGACTGGTAGTTGTGGATCTGTGGTGTTTGGAATGGGGTCAGGAATACGCCCGAACAGCACCAGATGGCTGCTTTTATGACTTCTACCTCGTCGAAGCTGCCGTGGAAGATTGCGATGCCTAGGGTTTGCAGGGCTTGGGCTTCTGGGGATGATGGGTCGCGGACGGGGGCGTGAGCGATGTGGTTTCGTCTGCGCGATATCCAAAACAAATGTTGACTTAAGCCGTTGGTTGCTCCTGAGGTCAGTTCTATGTTCCATATTTTCCAGAATAGACTCTATCGACTCAGCCAGTTCCTGTGGCGACCGATGCTTGGATTCCATTTTCCTAGAGTAAATCCCTCCGAAGACGACATCCGGGATGGCATCCATACCACATTCATCACTTGGTCGGGCATCAGCTTGTACAATCGATGGCTGTTCCTCGTACTTATTAGTAACAGTTTAAATACACAGCCACGCTTACGGGTCTTTTGCACAATGTCAATTAGCTTCGCCACCGCGAGCTCACTGGCATCCGCTTGGGATTCTCTCGTTTCGTACGACGTAACTGCATCAACAATGCAAAACACCACAATGTCGGATGGAAGCTGTAATACTAGCTGATGAAAAGTCCAACACAGTGCATGAACATCTGCCCCATTTAACAGCCGAATTTGATGAAGTGTCTCCATGTCAAAATCTGTATAGAATCGGAGAAGTTGCGCGATAAAACTCCGCATCATAAGCGCCACCCCGCTGTTCGGGTCTTTCTGATGGGCATCGCAGAAAAATGAGACGGCAAAAACGTTGTTAAATCTGTACGTATTCACGGACTGCACAAGTTTCGCGGGGATGAACGAGGATGGTTTTCCATTGCTGGACGTATTGGAGTTGATAAAGAGCACCGAAGACTTCGTGCTCGTCATCCAATCGTGCGACTTTAGAGTCTGCATCGTAGCGATAACCCAAGCTTGGTCAGATTTAGGTAATGTCGAGGCTCCCTGAAGGCCAGCTTCCAGATCACGAGTGACGATTGAAGTATCATCGTTCAAAGCCTTGAGCGCTGCATTTTGAGCTTTCGAAAACTCTGCCATGCCATACGCGACTGAGTCTGGGACCAGAATTATGAATATTTTTAGAATACTACTTATCTTGCGTGGCTCTTCGCTCGATGGCCGCCTTAGTTGCTGGAAGCATAGACCCTCTCACTATGCAATATCAGCTCACAATATCAAAAGTCTTTATGGCGATCCGCCCTCACTCTCTTTCGTCTTAGGATATAACCGATCGTGACTTCCCAAGAATTCTGCCATGATTGCATTGAGTTTCCAGACCAGACCGTCAAGTTTGTTCAGTTTCCTCTTTAAACGTGTCCATCTGGATTCTTGACGAATCAAAGCCTTTTATGAGCAATTGTTGATGGCTATTTGATACTTTCCTCGTTTCTTCAATGGCCTGATAAGAGCACAGTTGAGCCAACTTGTCAAGACTCTCAGATTTGTTCCGCATGTCTTGAAGCAAAGATTCTAGTTTTGTCTCATACGAGTCTTGCTTGACAATTCTCAGACTGAGTTTTTCTAAAAAAAAAAGTAATAAGCAAGATCTTAACCTGGTGGTCTCCACGGAGGGAGAAAAAGAGATATTGGCATTATACTTATCGCTTTTGTCTTGTACCAGCAGATAATGTGGTGTGGCACCGCGATGGTAGCTATATAGAGCGCTGCGCTACATTGCTGTAGCTCTTCGGACTTCTCGAAGATGTTTAAGGCCCGATGGATACATGTTAACAAGACGGGGATTTCTGTCAATGTATCCGAGATTATACAACGCAGGTCTGCTAGTCGTGCCGCAGCCTTTAAGGGATTAGCGGACTGTTTATGCGGATTGAAAATGTGGTGGATTACGAACACCTAGAATGAGCTTTAGACCTCCACTGAAAGCTGAACAATAATCTCCCGACGGCAAAGGTCAGCCCATACTTCAAAAGCTTTATTATTGCTCTCAAGCTGATGCAGGCCTGTTCTAACTTTTCCCCAAACAGTCGCTTTGGAGTTGTAGATTCTCGACACTTTGTCAACCTCCTCCAAGACTTCCTCCCAGGTATGTAATGGTTTGCTTGTCACATCAGTCTGGAACCTGGTTCCAGCAGTGGTTCGTTCGTAATCCTCCATCGCCTGGCGGAATCTTTCTCGCTCTTCAATGATATCCCTATACAATTTGTTTCTTTTATTGTCTGCACCTCCCGATTCATGTTCCGTATTTAGGGACCCTCCATGAGTCCTTCTCTCGTGAGACACGCTCACTGGGTCTTCCTTATCCTTGAGAAGATCGAGCGCAGGATGCACGCCACGTTGTAAGCTTCTTCGGATATAGTCTTCCACCAAACTGCTTAGACGGGGACCATGAGGTGTGCGTCGTGCTTCACTCATGATGCCCGGATTGAAAAGGGGAAATAGGACTTTTGGATCTTGTTTCAACTGTAGAGATAATTCTTTAAAGGACCTATTGCTTCACAGAACCTTGGAAGCAACGTTAGGTTCAGATAATGTCCGAGATTGAGTAGTGGTAGTTAAATGCATATCTTCGCCCCGGGTAAGAATTTCCGGTGACGTAGGGTGATCGTGCCTCGAAAAAAGCGATATTCGGGAAAATTCCTCTGATACGTGAATGTGACTCAGCATTGCAATTCCGGCAGGGCGAAGCAGAAAGAAAAAAGCAAGAATGGGGGCGCTCACAAGGCTGAAGGTGGTTCATCATTGATCAACTCCAACTTCTCGCATAACAGGCATCGTTCTGCGCTTTGCATATAGATGTGCTGGCGGGTATTGATTGGTGATAAACCTTGTTGAAATTGACTATAGCATAAGGCTGTCCGCAGGCGAGATGATCTAATATGAGAAGATATGACTAGCAACAGGGATCTTGTTGTATGTAGAGCCGTAGGTCGAGGCTGTATTCCTGATATACCCTGTCTGTTATAATGCATCCCAAGCTGCAAAGATGCCCGATACTTTTTCTTTTTGCCTATTTGGGTCTGGGTATGAGGCTTTCTCAATGGTTCAATTTGAGGGGTATGGGTGATATGCCAGTAGATACAGTTGATGCTATCTCGATTGAGGGACACTAGTCTATCTACCGCAAGTGATAAAGTTGATTATATACCTAGGTATCAGCCACGAATACCTACTTAATAAACAAGTGACCTATACTATGGATATTGCTTTCTCACATTTTCTGCTGGTTCTCAATGACACTTCAGATTTCTTGTTTACCAGACCCTTCTCAACGATCTTCAACATTGAGAACTCGAACTTAAAAAGCATGGAAAACAATGCGCTGTCCACGGCACTATCCCAGATTCCTCCTTTTGTCCCTGTAACATTAGGAGATACCCTGGCGAATCCCGCAGGATCAGGGCTCTCCCCTGGAGAAAAACTAGAAAAGACTTCCTCCACAGGAACCAGTGAGAGTGATAGCACGCAGGTTTCCTCACTAGGGATTGATATGCTCAAGAAAATCACAACTTCGCGGGAGATCTGTTCAGACTCCAAGGAAGGCGTATATGCATCCGGAAATACTGAGAAGTTTGTTTGTTTTCTATATCATCCTCCCTCTTACCTCGGCATTCGTAACAAATTTTGACTGAACAAGCCAAAAAAAGGATACCAAAGACGATAAGGCTGCTTCAGCTGAGGCAAAGGATACAAATGAAAAGAAGAAGGTCTTGCAAGAAATCAAAATTACGCGTGTCCCTCTGGAGCACTGGCGAAAGATCAAGAAAGATCGACTTGCAACAGAGTATTCTTTTGACTTCTTCGAAAGGAAGTAGTAGCCATGTATTACGGCAAACAAGACAAAACACGCAACCTCCACCTGAAAATTCTATTGCTCCAGTACTGGATATGGGAACGTCTGGTCGCCAACATGCCCCATACCGGTTGGCTATTAATTATACGTACCTCTTGAATGCATTGGAAGCATGTACCAGGACTCTCTTCACGGAAGAACAGAACGTCTTAGTAAGACCATTTAAGTACCTGGTGGAGTTCGAATCTGATATCAGGGAGTTTCTAAGAAAAACTGAGATGTCCTGTGACCATGCGGACGATGAACTCAGTCGTTGTTCACAGGAAATTGTGGATCACGAATCAAAAGGTATCCTAATGGAGAGGCAGAAGTCTGCACAGGAGAGGCTAGAGCAGGCAAAATTAACCGCATTACGGAATTCATGGATCAAGACATGAGAGATATCTTTGAGGTTAAGCAGCAGATTTTTACACGTAACCTCAAAGACATTCCCTTTGAGCACCTATGGCAGCTCTATAAACCAGGAGACGTGGTGTTTCGTCCATTACAGCATGAAAAGCGGTCATTATCAAGAATATAGGATACTCCATGTCACTGGATGGCGAGTTTGCTATAACACAAAACTGACATCTAGTTTCAATTCGGTTCACGATAGAATATGGGATTCGGAGCCAGAGAACTATGAGAAATGCCACGACACAGTAGGTTATTCCAGTTGGGAGATGATCAGTTTTATTATCGACTGTATTTACTTTGAATCCGACGGAATTTTCATTGCCCCAAGACCGAAGAGATTCGTGATACCACCATTCCTCCGAACAAGGCCTATTGCCTCACTCCCTCTTCGGTATCAACTCTTTGGCCCGGAGTGGGAAAAGGTACAAGAAACTCTCGTTAAGAGAGGTGCTCGTTTTATTCAACTAGCACATTGAAGGCACATGATCTACCGTGGTCTCACCATTGAAGAGTCAAATCAGACTTCTACTCCATACGCAAACTACCGGATTGACCGAGCTGAGGTATCTTCTCTCATTCTCTCATAGAACGAGGACCATTTACTAGCCACGTTGGTGGCAGGTATATGGTGAGGTCATTGTCGACCAAGAAGTCGGAGTTACGCCTTTAAAAGAAAGATGCTATAAATGGTCTCTGAAAACAGGAGGCGGCATCATCAAAACACCAACCAAGGCTGGTAGACGAGAGACTAATGATTTTTTCCCTAAAAAGAATGATGGAGATTGGGTGACAGATGTCTTTGATGATTCCATCTTTGAAGAGGACCGGAGGCACGAACTTTTGTTTACCACTGACGTTGTCACCAGCCTTTTAATCAATTCCTCAACTATTTCCGATGAACACCTCATGTTACTCCCTCCCCGCCTCTATGGATTCTCGTTACTGGACCATCGGTGGTGTGCGCTGGACATTAGCATGCTGCAACCAATAACTAGCAAGGATGGTCAGAGTGACCAGCCCAAGTTGGAAGGCCTCATCCTGCCAGATGATCACAAGACTATTCTACAGGCCTTGATTACGAATCAAATCGGCACACCTCCTGAAACCCGAAATCATATCAACAAAATACAAGACAGCTTTTCCATGGATGTTGTACCTGCAAAAGGTAAGGGGCTCATTATCTTGCTCTATGGTGCCCCCGGAATTGGGAAAACCTCAACTGCGGAATGCATTGCTGCCAGTTTGAATTGCCCCTTGTTACCGATCACTTGCAGTGATCTTGGCGTTACAGCGAACTCCGCGGAAGATAAACTCGATGCATTTTGCAGATTGGCCCATCGATGAAGATGTGTACTCCTTTTGGACGAGGCAGACGTCTTCCTGGCTAAGCGAGAACGAGGTGATATCAAAAGGAACAGTCTGGTGTCCGGTAGGTCCAAAACCCAATCGTATTCGAATGATTCTTACCACCATGTTATAGTGTTTCTGCGCATGTTGGAGTACTTTTCCGGTGTCCTAATTTTAACAACCAACCGAGTCGGCGAGTTCGACGAGGCCTTTCGATCCCGGACACATATCTGCCTCTATTATCCCAAACTGGAAGAGATTTTCACCAAAGAAATTGGGAGGGAGAATATCCAGCGAATCCAAAACAGTGACTTGGACATAGATTGATATAGAGGTAAAAGGCATTAAACGCTTTGCAGACAAGCACTGGAAAGCAAACTTGAACAGACCATCGCGGTGGTGGAATGGCCGGCAGATCAAAAATGCATTCCAGACGGCAATAGCACTCGCCAGATGGGATTTCCATGACATGAGCAATGTTGCGAAATTAGATCGGCCATTGCTGAAGGCAGAACACTTCCGGCGTGTAGCTAGAATCACGGCACTTTTCGACGACTATATCAGCAAAGTATACGGCATGGTTGACAAGGATACCTATGGAGTCCTAGCTGAAAGGGATGAATTTCGGAATGACAATAGTCCTTCTGCGATGTCACAACCTACCATGCAGAAAGGTTATACCGGAAGGCCGGAATCTGTTCTCAGAGGAACAGACTACTGGAGCCCTCCGGATATCTCCAAGCCCGAAGACTCTGAACACTCAACTTATGGAAGTGACAGTGATCATCCAGATGCAGATGACGAATCCAAAGATGATAAACAGGGGGAAGCTGATGCTGTCGCAGGCGATGAAGCTAATAAGATCCGTCAATTGGAACTTGAATTGGAGCCGGTGAAGCTCAAGCAAAAGAAGAGCCGGTCGGCAGCTGGCAAGGCATGTAACTGAAACATGGTGTACGGGAAGAATAATCCAGTCGTTGAATACTGATTCAATACATATATGTCGTAGCAGAATCTGACTCGAAGTTCTATGAAGCAAGAAAGGTCAATGTGTCATCTTTACAGTACCAATGTACAGAAGAACCTAGCTATGACGAGCCGAAGGTCTTCAGACGTCCCAAGGTAATACCTAGAAATTATTGTAATATAGGAATGAAGAGCACTACCACCGACTATTTTGTCGAATTATCCATGATTAGGAGCACGTCTTGTTATTGAATTGAATCAATTCTAGACAGCCATATCCCAACCTGACGTATACACAAATCTCCATACAGAATCATAGGACAGAGTCGGTATCCAATAGGGAAAGCAATAACGGAGGAAGTCATTGAGCTCCATGCGTTTTAACGGTTATTCCCAATCAACAAAGGATTTCCTAATTCGGTAACCCTGCGGAAACTAGGGCTTAGCCGCCAGACTGCCACATCATCTTAGGTATCTTTAGAACCACCTACAAATAATGAATGCATTCCTAGAAACAGATCTTGCGAATGAAGATTGATTCTAGGACCCATATCCCAGAAGCACCATATTAGTTTTTAGGAACGCAAAAACTATTCGCTCTATCTATCAAAATTTCAGCCACTCCTTCTGATGAGAACTATGAAGAAATAATTCTGAGGTATCGAAGGAGGTGAGCACTTGAATGGGAAGGGAGAGCCAAGCGGCGTCCAAAGAAATCCAGTACGTAGGTAACGACCCTTAATCATACAACTGAACATGTCTGTCAAGACTCACGCGCCGTTACCTTAAACATGAACAAATATTTACACATAAAAATGTCGATGCTAGGGTAAAAACATGGTTTATAGTAATACAATGCATTGAAGAACAAGCAGGACGCCATCACAATATGGACCCAGCCTCAGAAACTAGCCATTTCAATATAAGTGCTCAGAAAGTTCAACTTTTTGCCTTCTTCAGTATTCATAATACGACGGAACTCGTCATAATTTAACTTCGCACCGCCGCCCCGGACAAGAATCTCGCGTTCTGCGTCATTCAAAGCTGCCCAGTATGTGAGTTGGCGAGGAGAAGGTTTTGATGGTGGTCGTCGTGGAGCAGTTCGTTTGTGTGGAGGGAGCTTGGGGGATTGATGGACGGGCGAGCCGGTGGATGGAGTAGGTTTCAAGACAGGTGAGAATTTCGGTGCTGTTGCTTCTGCTTGATTTGAATTATCTGGCTGTGGGACAGGGAACAATGTTGAGTTATCAAGACGAAGATGAAGAGAGGAGGCAGCTGCTGCAGAGCTGGGGATTGCTGGCGCTTCGTTTGGCCTATGTTGAGGAAGCGTTGGATCGACGGCTTCGACTTCGCTGGTTTCTCCTATCTCTTCATATTCTTCATCTTCTTCAATTGCTTCCTCAGCAGTTGGGGGAACATGAGCGCTAGGCGTGGGTTCAGTATCCTCAATCACAGAGTAACCAGCAGCGCCTAGTAATTCGTCCAATTCGGCATTCTCATAATCCAAGCCGCCGGGTAGATTGAACTCCGGATCATTTCTCTCAAAGCGTTTGCTCGGGTCTTTGAACCACTCTATCTCAGCAGCCCATCGAATTCGGTCATTTCGCGTCCTGCGGAGATCCATCAGAAGATCTTCTTTCTCTTTGAATAAAACATCCAGAAGCTCATTCATTCCTTCTTTAGTTGCTTGGTAGAGAATTTCTTTACCAATATCTCTTTCCGGTTCAGGTACCTCAAATCCGCCCCAACGCTCGCCCACCGACGTGGAGCCGTTGGAGCGTACGTCGTATTCATCATCTTCAAAGCGCACTTTCGAAGAAGAGCGTGACCTTAAAGACGGAGGCCGCGAAGACTGCCCCGGGTAGATAGATTCATTTTCAGACTCGTTCTCATCCGCGTCCTGCTCGAAACCTTCTGGGGCTGTAGCGCCATCTTCCTCATCTGTGTAAAATTGACGACGGCGCCAGCGCTCATGGATAGCCCTTCTTCGAGCTTCTGCGGCCGAAGTGGAACCGGTAGTCTCGTCCTGTTCATCATCGGTACTTTCTTCGTCGTCTTCTTCCCTCGCCTCTCCGGGCCGTGCTTGCTCGCCTGTCACTTCGTTGTGCGATTCGCCCTCTACTTCTACGCCGCCAGACACTGATGAAGGCGGTGACACATCAGGATGAATGCCTGTCAAGTCCTGTTGTCGCCTAATGAATTGTCGACGGAAAGCAGCATCGCCTACAACTGTGTACATATCACCATGATCCAAGCCATCGGGTCGCAAGACTCCCACACCGTCCACGACCTCCATATCGCCCTCAAGATTTGTGCGCTTACCTTCCCCGGTCCTAGGAGTTTCCGCATTACCAAAGTTCCCACTGAAAGCAGAGCTAATGGGTCGTGTACCCGTAACGATGTCGCGTGCAGCAGTTCCGTCCCCAGGGCCAAAGTCCTCCTCATATGCTTGCACGAGATCAGCACTCAATTCTTTGATAAGCGCATAATAGGCACGGAACATGCGCAGAAAATCTTTCCTCTCTATGTAACCATCGCCGTCAACATCATAACCCTTGAAGATGCGGCGCATCTTCTCATCTATTGCGTCTTTATTATTAAAGCTGGCGATTGCCTTTGCAAACTCCTCGAAACCGATAAGATTGTCTCCATTGGTATCATAGAATGCAAACATGCGATCAAAAATCAAGCTTGGCGGAGGCGGTCGGGAAGAGGTATTTGGGATAAAACAGCGATCAAAAGTCTTGCGGTCAATAGCCATACCTAGTTTGTTAGGGTCTGCAGGCCAAGGAGTATTAGCTAGGCATCGATACTGATCCCACAATGCGTCAAGTTCTGTATTTTCAAATGAGGTTTCCTTCGCTAGGCGCCGAGCCAGAGCTGTTGGCAGGTTTTTGGGAAGAGTTTCGGGTTTACCAGGATACCACAACGGTCGTCCTTGACGAGGTATTCCCATATATGGTGCCGGAATGCGAACTTTAAGAAATATATGGGTTTTATTGTGGACCTGCTGAGCTTCACAATTCTCGCACAGATCAAAATCGACACAGTTATCGCAGCGGTATCGGATTCCCTGAATAGGCAGCATACCGCAGTTATTGCAGGTTACCCCACGGTGGATATATCCATCTTTCTTTGCCTGATCCTCGGCTATATGGTAGAGGAGATTAAGCAGATTTTGACCTTCACGAGCTGGTTCCCCGTCTGCGTTATCATTGCGCCAAGAAAAAACACTTTCCGTCTCGCCTGCATCTGCGACAACAGGGTTCACTTCATTTACCTCCTCAAGCTCCGCAGCTGGGGCATTTGCCGACAATGTGACTCTAGTTCCAAGCTGACGCCGAACACGCAGAGCTTCACCGAATGCTGGGTCCCCATTGAACGCGCTAAGGGCTCGTTGTATTCCCTCATTCGAAATGCCACGATGACTCAATTCACGAGTCAGGTATTCCCTCTCTGCGGAGCCCTCGGGTATCGTATGGTTTGGAGGAAAATCAAGAGCAAAGAATGACTCGAGAAAGGTATCTTCCATCATCTCTCGCATTCGTTCCGCGTGAGACTCTGGCATTCCAACCTCGGCCATGAGTTGATCTCGTGTGACAAGCAACGAGGGAAGCAGCCCACTCTCCACCATCCGTCCATCTTCCGTCTCAATCCTAAACGTTCCGTATGCACCGTTTTCTCTCTCTAGCTGTTCGAGATGGGCAATTGCCAGAGCGGAGGGGGTGTCGGCCGCCTCATTTTGAGTTCGGTCGCTGTTATCACGACGGTGCCGGCGAAGGATAGCACCGCGACGATGTAATTGCGGAGAACTTGCAGTTGTCGTAGGGTTTGCGTGGGAATGGAAATAGAATATGCCGCCCAATAATGCAACGCCTGCAGCTGCGAAGAGCGCAGGTCGGTACCGGGAGTATTCGTCTAGCATAACACTAACGATCGCCGAAGACGATGAGTTCTTGATTAGGTACTGTACACATGGAAGTCAACTGCTAGCTTATAGGATTGGTTCGAGCGATCTATAATGGTGCGGACAAGCAAGCGCCAGATGACAGAAACCCTGAAGGAAATAGACAGGTTAGCTTTGATCAGACGTTGTACAAAGAAGCAGTGAATCACCTTGCGACATCGAAAGTTTCAGCCAGAATGAATCTAATATGAACACCAAGAAGCCCTGGGCTAAGGGAGTTAGAAGGCCCAGGGAAGTTTGGATGTCGAGTTGACGACTATGAGATGTTTTCTGAAGCTTGAGATGAACATCGGCCGCACTCTACCTAAGCTCCGAGCATGCACTATTCCCAATTCGGAAGTATCATATGTGCCCTGATTTCTGCATTTATGTTAGGAACGATATCTTCTTATTCAAAGTCATATTTGTATTTTGTATGTATATAAATATACAAATCTACACTAGAAGGACTTAGAGTCTATGAGCGATGGCCATGTCTCATGGGTAATGACCCTCTATATAACAACGAGTAGTCCGCCTCGTTGAGTGATATACCTCCAAATGAGCTTGTGCATCTTCACTCAAAGCTTCGTCTCCTTGATGAAAATACTGCTAACAAGTGCAAAAAGCGTTACACCTGTCTGAACAGCAAAGGTAATGTCTGTAGACCAACCATAAGCTCTACGGACTGCAGCCTGTAGATCAATGGGCAAAGTTTTGATGAAGTCGAGAGACTGTCGCACACCGTCCACGATGCGATCTATATCTTGACTGCCGTGGAGTGAAAGTTTTAGTCTATCACGAAGTAGTTGTTGCTCAACAGTGGATGCCAGTGAGATACCAAGCACGCTTCCGAGTGAGCGGAACAGGTAGGAGCAAGCTGTTACGACTGCTTGGTCCTCGGAGGAGGCATTTGAAACTGTATTAACAGTGTTAGTAGCTTTTCTCTTCTAGAGATACGGATGGCAGATAGTTCGAACACGCACTCAATCCAATCAACGTCGTAGTGACGCCTATTCCATTCCCAAAAGCAGATATCATCGCTCCCACAATCATCAACTGATAAGCATCGGCAATGGCTCCAGAAAAGAGGAAAAGGACGAATGAACCAGAGAGTAGAAGTCCGTACCCAAATATGGTAATGCCGTAGTACGTTCCATATCGTCTCATGAAGATGCCTGCAGCCAGGGAGCCTGACACACCAAAAATAATCTGGGGTAAGAGTCGTACACCGGCAACGCTAGCTGACACGCCGTTGACAGCCTGAAAATATAGCGGGATGTAAAACAAAATTCCCATAAAACCCGCAAAGCTGAAGAAATTGCATGCATAACAAGCAAGTAGATTTTGATCGAAGATGAGGTGACCGGGAGCGAATGGTTCAGGTGCAACATAGATCTCAACGAGGATGAAAGCGATGAATAGGACTATTGAAACAATCAAGGAGACGTAACTTTCTGGTATGGACCAGGAGACGTTGCTTCCTCTATCTAGACCGATGGAGAAACCCAGAACGGCGCCTACTAAAACTGTAGCGCCGAGAAAATCGATACGTTTCAGCTTTGCAATCCAGTCTCCTGAGTCGGGACCGGGCACATGAAGTAAGAAAGTGACAAGTAGAAATGCCAATAGGCACATAGGTGCCTGCGCAATAAAAGCCCTGATGGAATGGTAAGCGATGTTTCGATGGCTAAATGCCTTTTCACTTACCAACGCCAGCCAATGTAATCGGCTAAGATACCACCTACACCTTGGTCAGTAACCCGAAGCCTTTGAGGCTCTGGTGGAAGAGTCTTACCTAGTGGTCCACCGATTCCTGACCCGGTGGCATATATAATGTTAATTATTCCCTGCCACAAGCCGCGGTCCCGCAGAGGCACCAAGTCACTTATAAGAATGCTGACGACAGTCGTCATGCCTCCACCTCCAATCCCTTGATAAACCTGGTCTATTGTTAGCCTTAAGACGCTAAACATAATTGATATGAGATCAGTATCATACCCTTGCAGCAATCAACTGATTAATATCCTGCGCTAACCCACAGAACAAACTCCCTGTCCCAAAGACAATATAGGCAAAAAGTAGACATGCTTTACGTCCGAAAATATTGCAAAGCTTGCCATACAATGGCTGAAAAGAAGTCAAAGTAAGAAAATATGAAGTCGCGATCCAGCTTGTCAAATTTAGCGCTTTCAGATCGCTGCCGATTTTTCCATAACTTGCGACGATGATAGTCTGGTCGGCTGCAGCCAGGAAGACCTACAAAAGCATTAACACCATTTTTTATGAAGTTTCTGGCAGCAGAGTAAGGCAAATGTACTCACGCCTATGGAAATCGCGGGAACAATATATTTCAAATGAGAAGAAGACCCTTTCTGTGATCCATCATCCTCCGGCAGAGAAGTACCATTGGACACTTCCTCTGGATCTATCGTACCATTGGAGCTGACATCCTCACGCAACAGAGGCGTATTCTCCGTTGCATCTGTCCCTGCAGCCGCCATCTCTGCTGCTACGAATTTAACCGATCGAAATAGCTGATACTATATGGTCAAAATGTATATATCAAAATTCTGATGTCGGAATGCATGGATAAAATGCAATGAATTAGATGGCGATTCACTCCCAGGAAAATTGATCAATCATGACTATGTAGGAAATAAACCAACGTCGTATCTCGTTTAAAAGAAGCGACTGACTAGTAGTTGATCTATTCTTGCGCGAACAGATAGCGAAATTAATAATCTGCCAACATAGATAAAACTGGCCAATCAGAGCGGATTGATATGCCCATCTCGGTAAGTCGGCATTTTCTGCGAAATCTCATTGCAAATTCCAAGGTTGGACAAAATAACGAAGATGGTCCATATTTCTAGAACATAAGTATACATACATACAACTTAAGTAGCAGGGTCATGGTGTATGGGTATCAGACACGGAATCTTGATATTTGCTAAGCGCTATGCAATCAAAATCAACCGTGGTCGCTATCATGCAAGATACAGTATATAATTCCATCGTTATCATCAGGCCGTAGCTTCTACAGTCTGGGAAGACTCTGGCATTGGGACAGGGCCACCGGGGGAATCGGGCAAACGAGCTGTCAAGACCTCGACGCCGTCCTCAGTGACAAGAAGAGTGTGTTCAAACTGTGCGGACAATGAACCATCCGCAGTGACACTGGTCCAATCGTCCGGCCAGGTCTTATCCTTGTGTGTACCAATGTTTATCATGGGTTCAATGGTAAAACACATCCCAGGCTTAGCTGCTCCGACTGTCTTGTTCTTGGCATAGTGAGGAATATTCGGTGCGCAATGAAATAGTTGATTAATGCCATGGCCACAGTAACTCTTCACAACACTACAGTTACGTGACTTGGCGTGTTTCTCAATGACATTTCCAGGGTCTCGGAACAGCATGCCTGGTTTAACCAGCTTAATGGACTGTTCCAGGCATTCTCGAGCTGTTTCAACCACTCTGACAGCATCCGGATTGGCCTTCGCCTTATCGCCAACGTAGTATGTTTCGTTCAAATCGCCGTGGAATCCGCCGTGATATAGGGTCACGTCGATATTCACGATATCGCCGTCCTGTAAAGGTCGCTGATCGGGTATACCGTGGCAAATAGTTTCGTTCACCGATGTGCACACGGATTTCGGGAAATGTACATAATTAAGAGGCGAGGGGTATGACTTTAGTCCCAGAGTCAGCTTCGTCTTAACGAGACAGGGGTAGGAATCATACTTGACGTTCAAGGCATGCCTTGTGGACGACCTCGTCGATGTAATCCGTCGTGACACCCGGTTTTAGTTCTCTTGCTGCGATGTCCAAAACTTCTCTAGCCAAGCGGCACACTTTCCTCATGCCTTCTTGTTCTTCTTTATTCAAGATCGTAATATTATGTCGGCCGACAAACTTCTGCTCGGATCGTGGGATACCATCTTTGGCATAATCAGGGTGCGGAATGGACTCGGGAACGGTTCGGCGCGGTGAAAGAGGATAAACTGGTCTCAGGGATCCGGTAAAAGGAAACGTAGGAAATGGATTGAACTGGCCGGTAGCTGGATCTGGTTCAGAAACTACCTTGGGAGTGAAAATATTGCTGAGGATATTACTCTTGGTTTTGTGGACTGCCTTGTGGGAGCCCTGCGATGGGTTAGCAATCAGAGAACAGGGTTATTGAAGGTCGCATGGAACACATCACACATACCCAGCTACGCTTGAAGCAGTCCTGCGAACAGAAGAAGCTGTCGGTGCCCATCTTCAAGCAGGTGGGACACTGTAAGGTCCCCGCATTGTTGGCGCAATCGACGCCAATGCATTTTCGAGTCTCGACGGCTGCCATGGTGGATGAATTATTCCGAAATATATGACGACCGACGGCTTAAGGTTCGGAATGATAGAAATAAGACCAGTAATTAAGCCACAGGGTCGCGTGGTAGGAAGTAAAGCAGCGAGGAGCAATAAGTGAAAAATGAGGTCGGATAAAAAAGATCGCTAGGCGGGTCTTATGTGCCTCAGGCTCCCTAGCGGCTTTTCGTCCGAAGTGGGGAACGGAAGGAAGGAAGGAACCTGCCCGATTAGATAAGCTCTGACAGCGGGGAACTTTTTCTGGTCTTGGCCCGCACTTCTCCGGACAATTCTTCTCATTCTCTTGATCATACGACTACAGACCATTGTCCTACTGCTCAATGCATACATAGCACACCCAAATACTCGTTGGTGGCTAAGATGGCAGCTCCAACACGCCAGAAGGTAGTTATAGTCGGCGCCGGTCCAGTCGGATCGTTGGCCGCGCTCTATGCAGCCTCCCGGGGCGACGATGTCGAGGTTTATGAACTTCGAGCTGGTAGGGCTTTTATTTTCCGGACAGTTCAAAGTTATGCAATAACTAATTTGTTTCTCTTTAGATCTACGTGATCCGGCGACGGTCCCCCTGAACTTCACCAAATCGATCAACTTGGCTCTCTCCGAACGAGGCATTCACTCCATGCATCTTTCCGGCCGCAAGAACGTGGTAGATGTGATAATGAGCCAGGCCATTCCAATGCATGGTCGAATGATTCATGGAAGAGATTTGACAGGGAAGTTGTGGCAGGCCGCTCAAGCGTATGATGTTCATGGACAAGTAAGCACGACAATGTCACAATGTCCGATATCGGTGCTGACAATATACAGGCCATCAACTCAATTGACAGGGCAACACTGAATAATGCGCTTCTTGACGAACTCGAGAAAACACCCAACGTCAAATTGTTCTTCAATCACAAACTCACCGGAGCGGACTTTCATGCGCGCAAAGCTTGGTTTGAGCGTCGCATACCCGAAGACGAACATAAAATAGATCATACCCATGCACCCGGCTCAGTGGACTTCGATCGCGCACCAGAAGTTGAGGTGTCATTTGACTTCCTCATTGGTGCCGACGGCGCACATTCTGCATCAAGATATCATATGATGAAATACGCGCGAGTGGATTATCAACAGGAGTACATTGATGCGCTATGGTGCGAGTTCCGGATTGAGCCTACCGAAGATAACGATTTCCGAATCTCTCCCAATCACTTACACATCTGGCCTGGTAAAGAGTTCATGTTTATTGCGCTGCCCTCACCGGATAGATCATTCACATGCACACTGTTTGCGCCTGCAGATCACTATGCTCGCCTTGGAAATACCCCTGAAGCATTGTGCAAGTCCTTCCAACAATACTTCCCAGGAGTGTCCCCAGAGCTGATCTCACCTGAAGAGCTATATCGACAATTTACTCATAATCAACATCTTCCACTTATCAGTATTAAATGCAAGCCTCACCACTATGATGCCAGCGTCGTCATCATTGGTGATGCAGCACATGCTGTACTTCCATTCTACGGACAGGGACTGAATGCCGGAATGGAAGATGTCAGGGTGCTTTTCGAGATTCTTGACTCGCACGGCGTATACGACCCGTCACTCGATACCATCTCCAGAGACAAGGCGCGAAACGCGGCCTTTGAGGCATACACCAAAACACGAGTAGCAGACGCATACGCCATCAACGACTTATCCAAAGGCAACTTCATCGAAATGCGTGCCGGCGTTAACTCCCGCTGGTACAAGATCCGCAAATTCATCGAAGAGAACCTGGACCGCTATATGCCGGAACTAGGCTGGCGAACACAATACTCGCGAGTCAGTTTTAGTAATATGCGATACTCGGAGATTATGAAAGCCGTTGAGAGACAGCGTCTTCTCTTGACTGCCAGTCTTGGTACGGCGGTTTTTGCGACTGTTGTCGCTGGTCTTGCGCTCGGAGGGACGATTATGTGGAATCATCCACGACAGTCTGGGATACATGGATTATTGAAATACGTTGCACGAAGAAGATGATCGTATGGAATCGATGCCGACGGCCTGAATAGAACCGAAAAGCAAAAGCAATATATCCCCACTAATCTAATCGAAAAAGAGGGGATGGACCTGTCTACTAATGGGTCCAGTCGAAGGTTCTGGTATCCCAAAATAGACGTACATAGATGGTGTGGTTGCAGGTTTCAATCCACTATGAAAAACTAATATGTATAATATGAATCTTATAAAGATCTTCTCCTCTTTTGGTTTCTATTTGCATGTGCACTTTGGATGGGGATAGGATACTATTGTCCTTCTGAAAATAGATGAAAAAAACGCTTTCCATCAAGAAAATGAACGATATATGATATTTGGATACAATTTCAAGTAAAGAAAAAAGACACATGACAATGCTTACGAAAACACAACACGACGCATAAATAAGAACATGCTAGACGGCCATTACATATGATCCCATACACAAATGTTGCACACATATAGAGAAAGGACTAGCCAATTCTCTTCTCAATCTTCTTCAAAAACCCATTGACCTTACTATCCATCCTCCCCAGTCCAGCCTCAATCTTAGTACCCCTCGACGACGACTTTGAGCTTTGAGAACCAGCTTTACCATGTTTCGAGCCCTTCAGTTCGGCTTCTGTGGGGATATAGATCTGGTTGTGAATATCGTATTCGGTGTTTAGTTGACCGTATTGATGTTGCACAGGTTGTGCATAGGAGTAATTTGAGTAGCCTCCGTTTAAGATAACGCGTTCATCTTCGGGGGTGGATGGGCTATGATTGTTGTTGCCGTTGTGGGATTGTTGGAGGTAATCTGCGTATTGAGGATGGGGGGCGTGGTGGGGTTGCGAGTCGAAGGAGTTTTGTGAGAAGAGATGAGCATTCGGATTTTGGGGTGGTGGTGCAAATGTCATGCCGCCTGCTTGGGTGGGCGGTGGACCGGCCAAAGTTGTCGCGCTGTAGCTTGGTGGTCCCGTGATGCCTTGTGACATCGACAATCCAGCGCTGGGAGGTGGGGAGCTATATCCGTATCGTGCAAGAGTAAGATTTGTGTACGCTTGCGGGTGTGAAAAGTTGCTCAAGCCTTGTGCAGGAGGGTAATGTTGAGTTTCATCTGCTACAGCAGCTGCAACAAGACCGGTTCCTTCTCCGGCATCTTCAGGCGGAGGAGTCTTTTCTCTATGTTTGATCGGTTCTGGAGCCGCAGGAGCAGCTGGATTATACGCCAGAGGGGTGTAGTCTGTTGTTTCTGCCTTGGCCGGCGGCTGCTCTTTGCTAGTCGGCTGCGGTTCGGAGCGAGAGTCTCTCGTTTGTCCATTCTGATACGCGGGGTCCGTAATCGCGACATTTTCCAATTGTTCTACCACCCGGCTTACCGCAGGCTCTGAAACGGTTTGAGGTTGTTGAACCTGGCGATCACTTTCTAGTTGCTGAGGGGGGAGAATCCGTGCAACAGCGTCCAGGAACTGATCCGCATCCTCGACAGTCCAGAAATATATATCCAAGGTATGTAAACGGAAATTGTGTTTACGCTGATCTCTGGGGTCTGTAAATGGTAGGAGCCATGAGTCCTGGATTCCAACAGGACTATGGGCCGAAACTGGAGAGTTCTCAACTTGCGAACCGACGGTCACAGTAACTAATGTCGGAAATCTGGTCGAATGTACCATGTGAATATGATCGAGAGCTGTCATCACTTAGTTTCTTATTCACCGTATTATTACTGCGGATGACAACTAACCTCCTTGAAAAGCATCTTGATCGTTTGTGCCTGGGTTATTCGCAACCTCTAATCTGGCGCTACCCCGCGCAACATCATGGTATACATACAGATACGATCCTTTATCGAATCGGTGATAAGCGGGATTGGGCGTAGGGTTTGTGAAATAGTAGTGGACGTCGGCGAAGCTGATGCGATGTCATCTTTAATCTTGTTTCCTTTTATCTGATAGTATGCCTAGCACTTACAGCGTCAGTAAACGGTCTTCACCTGGGAACGGCGGCATAGCGCAGTCAAATCAGTAATTGATGGTGACAAGGTACAGGACAACACTCAAGCAACGAGATACTTTTCGACTTGCGGACAGGAAAAAGGTGGCTTTTCATATACAGCGATTTGATCAAGAAGGGTGAGATAACGAGCGGGGAGCACTTACCTGTGGTATTGCTCAAATGAAGTAGGACGATTGGGTAGCTGTCAGCGGCTAAAGCAGCGATCTGGATGGACGATGAGGCAGATGCAGCATGTGATTTGCTTAAGCTTGAATTTCGCCAGAGAAGGTCGGCGCTTAGGATGTCCCGTGATTCTCTTGGCGTGATTGGACAATTGCTCGGCGTCCATCGGCTCGGTTGGACAGTTTTTCCGAGCGTTCCGTACCTGGAGAAAAAACAGTCCATCATCACTCCGACGGAGATTTAAGTTGAACGGAGCTCAGGGAGGAATCGACACACTGCTGTACTCAATCAAAGGTATTATTTACACGCCGATTCCGCGCAATATGTCGAATTTTCAAATTTGTCGCCATACTAACAACTCCTATCTCTAGCTCCCAATCCCAGCATCATCAACTCAACCATATCGCTTACGACATCAACACCAAGGCGCGAGGCCTAACTCATCACCATGTCTCTCACACACCTTTCAAACATGTGCTCTCACCTCAACAATGTCAGCAAGGCCCGTCTCGGCCTCACATCCATCGTCGACACCAAAATGCATCGCAACCTCATCCTCGCCATGCAACAACAAGGACTTATAGGCACCATCGTCCGCGGCGGACGGTCACCGCCACCTCCTCATCTACTTCTCGGACAACCTACAGCAACATCAGTAGCAGCCGACGGTAGCAGTGCTGCTGGCAGCTCAATAGTCGAAACCGAACCCGTCACCCAAGCCAACATCGCCTCCAGACGGCTCTGGCTGGGCCTTAAATACTGGCAAAGTGAGCCTGTACTAGGCAAAATTACACCTGTCAGTAAACCCAAGCGAAGGATTACTATGGATCTCCAGGGTTTGCGTAGAGTGATTCGAGGATCGCGGAGTGGGACTGTGGATGGATTGAGATCACCTGGTGAATGTCTGTTCCTCGCTACGGACCGGGGTATTATGGAGGCTAGGCAGTGCGTCGAGAAGAAAGTTGGTGGGTTGGTTCTATGTCGGGTCGAGTAGATACTCTTCTACTTCCACACCCTTCGAGAAATGGTTTTATTGTTTTAGCATCGATTAGGAGTTTGGATGGTTACAGTAGAAGTCATACACTTTGTGGCTTCATTCTATATAGTTATTATACCTTGCGTTGTATGTATATTATGTACAATAACAATTTCACTTCACTGACCTTCAACTGGTTTCTTAATTCTTCTACCCAGGTAGCAAATCGTCTGGTTGAATAGCCGAATTAAAGATAGGAGATGTATGAACTACTTGTCTATATGCAACCATATCCAAAGAGAGCACTACAATTTATCGATCTATAACTGAAACATTTCACACACAACAACCGCCTTCGTGCCGACGATTGACTCAAATCTTCGCAGTAAGACCAGGACCAGCCAATCTGACCCTTACAAACGCCATGCCAATTGTCGCAATCGCAAAACATAGACCGGCAAACAGCGCAACAAAGACATAACTACCGTTATCCGCAGAGATAATGGCACCGGCCACGGGAGGTCCAACGAGAGCACCTATGGAGGTGAAAGCCATAAAGACACCCATCCTAAATCCGAGCTCGTTCATGGGGGAGATGGTACCAATCAAGCTGGGTCCGAGACCAATGACACCACCAGAGCTGAAGCCAAAAAATGCGGCGAAACAGATCATGGCGGCGTTATTGTGGCCAGGGAGCCAGAGGGCGAGTGTAAGGACTGTAGACATTAGGGACATCATGGTCATGACGTTGAAACGGCCGTATTTGTCTGCAATGTAGTTGGGAAGTGTACGGCCGAGAAGACTAATTATTATCAGTACACTGTTTTCTTTACAGACGAGAAATGAGGAGTCAATTACCTTGCGCCGTTCAGAATTGGAACGAGACCCCATGCCATATACGAGCTCATACGATATGTGATGGCGGCAGTCACGATGTAATCAAAAGGGATGAGCATGGCCACTACGGATCAGATTAGTAGCTAAACCTGGCATGGGCTCCAAACAGGGTAGACGTACAGAACATGAAGAACTCCGAAACACACAGGATCGCAAAGTTAAGCTCTCGCAACGGCGCAATATATTGCATAATGTGAAACGGACGATGCTTGTGTGCGAGGGCCGAACTGATGAAAAGATTTGCAATCACAAGCATCCCCAGAATCAAAAAGCCGCAGATTCGCATGGTCCATCCGAACCCAACCTCGGGGAGGAGATGTTGCACCATAAGAGGGAAAATTACACCGCCCAAAGAAGAACCTGCTACAGTCAGGCCGGCGGCCACACCACGTCGTTTACGGAAGTATGTCTGCGGCTGTTGTCCAGATTAGTCAGTCAGTGTATCTATAGAGACGGAGAAGACAGGGAACAGGGACATACCGCTGAAAGTGCCGGAGTAAAAATAAAGCTTGCGCCGATACCAGATACCACAGACTGACTGAGGAAGAATTGGTAGTATTCCTTGCACAGACTGGTCATCATAATTCCAAAGACGTGCAAGATCGATCCAATTAGGACAGGAACGCGGGGACCGTAACTATCGAATATCTTGCCCGCTACTGGAGCCATGCCCAGCATAAAGAAGACTTTGTCGTATATGAGTAATCTAACCATTTTCCAGACGATAAGGGAGAAGGACATACATTGTACCGATGTAATCCACGAAACAGTCGAACTCGAGTACTGCTTAAGCTGATGCGTCTGATACTCATCTTGAAACAAGCCGATACAATTCGTCCATCCAAAGGAAGTGAATAGCGCAGCAGATGCTCCTAGAACAGATAACCATGCCTTTGTACCACCTTCAGGTTGTTCCGGAGCAGCACGAGCCGCCGGTGCAGCAGTAGCGGTGGAGGTAACATTCGATTTTTCTGGCTCGTCATTATCCCTTTGTGCCTCTTTATTTTCTAAGCTCTCGAGGTCGACTTCGGTGTGACTCCTGGATTCCATAAGGTCTGCCATGGTGTTGTGATAGTACTACTACGTAGTGAAAGTAAGTACTAAATATCTGCAGTGATACTTGTCCGTGGAATCTGAGTGAAACGAGAAAAGAAATCGAAAATTCTTCGACTCAAAAATAGGCCAGGGGTTACACCGGGATTTATGCCATGAGCAAATCATAGTCGAACATGTTATCTCCGCTTCACAATTGCGGGCATGCGAGGTCTTGTTACTGCAAGAGTAAAAGCATCCTAAACCATACATAAACTGTCGAATAGTAAAAGAACAGGCTGGAGTCCCCCCTGAAGCAGGCCTGGACTTTAGGCCCCTTGGTTAGGGCCGTGATATGTCGGATTTATCGTGAGTTTACTCCGCCGCAAGAGCTGTTATGTCCGCACCTTCGGAGTACGAATATTTCCAGCAATTTTGATGCAGCATCACCAAAAAGCCCCCAAAAGGTCCAGGGTGACACGCGGGAGATCTGCTGTTATGGCGGAGATAAAATAAGCTCATTGTATGGACGGACGGAAAACATGGCCCTGGATGGGGTCCCGGTCAGGGAGACAATTCTATTGGCTGGCTTATATAAAGTCCTAAGCCATACTATTTATGGATGTGGTAGCCGAGAAACCGATATACCCGAGAAGAGTAGGGCCAGCGCGAGTTACTGTATTTGTTCTATCAGATCAATATGCTACGTACTACTGGAATACCTCCCTCCGAATCATGCAACTGTACTGCACTGCTCCCGGATGCTTTGCCAAATCCATATCTCTAATACTTGCATCGGACTAATAGCGAATGTTATTGAGCTATTGATATAGCTGAGCAGACTTGCCAATACCTGGTACAGCATGGGGTTACTGAATATTCAGCATTACCTTGGCCAGAACATGATTCGCCGATCAAAATCCCCATCTTTCAAATCATGAAAGTCTCCCCGGTCGTCTCGACACATCATCCTCCACAACTCCCTTGCAACGTCCAGATCCATTTTGGCTTCAGTCAGTCTAACCATGGCGGAGAGCACCGGCAGAGATACGGAGAACTAGAGCTAGAGTTTGCCAATTCCTCGATCAAGCCTAGAAATGTCCATGCTGAAGAACGAGCATGTAAATGATAGCGGGATCTGGAAAAAGGCAGTCTACATCAACTTGCAACATTATCATCAATATCGTCTATACTTCGGGTATTGTATTTGAACCATCCAAGGAGGCGAAATCCGCCACATCTGAAGGGGTGTGCAGCCGAGCGTTCATCAACCCGAATAACGGATCAACCGCAACAAATTGTTCAAACATATTCATGGAGGTACTAGTGTTGTGATCGATTGCATCATTAGGATCCTTTGACGGGAACATATTTAGAATTGCATCCAGATCGATTGAGGAGAGATGGAAATCGATACTCGACGTGTTTTGTATACCTTTGCAAAACAAAGAGGTAAGTCATGAAGATGATAATTGAGAGCGATAGTATTTGACGGCTTACCAGTATCAATCCTGTCTAAGCGAGTCGCCGCCATCAAGCGTCTGATGATATTGGCTGGTGTTCTGACCCCGGGGTTTGCCTGTGATATATCATCTAAGCACTGAAGGCTCTCCATTAAGAAGAAATACTCCTGGCCGGTGCCGTTTGTACCGGCGGCCGCATTACGGACGTGAATGGTGCAGGCAACATATAAAGCATAACTTAGCAGGTAGGGGGCTGCCTCGAGCCTGTAAGCAGCTTTGTACGCCAATGCAATGCTCGTGATACACCGAGCTGCAGTTGTGCATCTCTCCCAAGATGACGCAGGTGTCCCTGTTGATCGTAAATGGCCATCGGCGATAAATGGTCGATGGAGAAGAATTATCAGCGAATAATAAATACCATGCAAATTTAGAACGTTTGGAGGAGGGTATCGAATTGGCACACCCTCATCCTGTGATAGGGCAACTGTTGGCTCGTAATCAATTTTCTCGGGCAAATTTCTCTTCCACCCCTGGAGCGTATTATCGATGACTTGCAAGCTTTTGTGCGCACGGGATAGCTTAGCACCCACGACATAGAGACGATTAATGATCTTGGTCATAATTCGTGACAATAGGCAAAATGATTGAAATGTTGTTACAGAGTGGATAGGAGACGGCAGACGTGGTGGAATACTCGGAGTGGAGGCAGGTGGGAACTTGGGATCGAGATAAGGCAAGTATAGTTCTTCTTCCTCATAGACGTCTAGGAACCACCGCGAAACATGGCAGTCTCGGAGTCCGATTCCTACAGGACGTCCTAGGTACAGACTCTGTAACTTGTCACAGATGAATGCTCCCCAGAACACTCGCCGTCGTATTTCCATATCTTCCAGTGTGTATTTAGGGCCCTTTGGGTCAATGTGAAGACCAAGGTCATACACCATACGGAGGGCATACCCTGTGAAAAGCCAACCCTTGGAGGTTTCACCTCGTGCATTATATGTTGATCCAAGAAGAAGTAGTCCGATCACGGTTGGTATGCTTGGACGAAGAAATAGAGAATCCTGAGCAAGTAACTCGTCGCAGCGTTGGAAGAAACGTTGACCCGTCGTCATAGAATCGCCTGGGTCGTCGCGCACCTCTAGACGCTGGGAGAACTTACTCGAGCATGCAAAAATTGCGTTCAACAGGAATTTAGAGCAATACGGGCCGTTCTCCTGAAGCAAATTGGCCATTATAGCCGGTCTGTAAGTGAGAAGGAAGGTGTGATGCTGCCTGGTCCAGTGAAGGTCTAGCAAATGCATGGCAAGTTCTGTAGGCACTCCGTCAATATCGGGTAGCTGAGCAATATTGTACTCACGTTGCCGTTGCAATGCTGCATTTGCAACTAGCTCATGCCTGGCGTAATCCGGTGTTACTGGGTGAGGCAACCGTGAAAGAGCTTGTTCTTTGCTTGCCGGACAATGGAATGCGGACGATAGCCCAAACGTGCTCGGATTTCCGGTGTCGTCCAGAGAGACGAAGGGCGCGACGTCGTTTTCGTCATCCGATGAATCGCTTGCGCTCCTCGGGCTTACCGAGGGCGGTTGCAATGAGCCTAGTGCTTCTTCGCTTGCATTGGGCCTCACTTTCGTCTTCGACCAGTCTGGGATCGAAACCTGGCTGCCATTAATTTCTGTTTCTTCCAGAAGCTTGGCCCGCGCCTGTGTCGAAGACTGTTTGAGGAACGATATGAAGGCTTTGAACCTTGCAATTTCACCCTGTAACTTCTCAATCTGGGCAAAGGTAGGCCTATCGAGGTTGTCAAACATTAGCCACCACGCTACATACTAATATTTGTGCCAGCCACGAGCCGATCGATTTTACTGTTTACCTACCTTTTCCGCGGCGCTTCTAGGTGATACACGCACTCCCGATTCTGATTAATGCAGACTGAGCAACGTGGCCGCTCATTGTCGCATCTAGTCTTCTTACTTCGACAAGACAGACAAGATCGAGCTATGATTTTTGGAGCTGCCTTAGCCAATACTGCAGCCATATGGATGTATACCCGACGGATGAAACTATTTACAACTAGCGATTATGTATAATAAAATCGGAGAAAATGCAGAGGATGTCGACGGCTTCTCCACGTTTCCGCAGCCGCTTAAGAACCCGGCTTGGCGCATATCTTCGCTCAGAAGTCCGATTGGAGTGCTACTAGAATCATGTTAACATTGAACAAGGGCATCTTGTTTTCTCATGAGTCATGATCCTCGTTTAAACATTTACGGCCGCATCTCCCGGGCATATCATTCTTTCTTGAGTGAAGAGTTTACAATTGGTACGCGGTCCCGATAAATAACAATGCAAACGGCCCTATTTCTGGTGCCTAGGCCGGAGACTAGTGCTGCATATCAGACTGTGACACTCTTCCTAGCTAAAACCTCCTTCTCCTGTCGTACCGCAACTTTATTGTTCAAAAGGTGACTAGCATCTTTCAGAAAAAGAGCAGCGACTATGGCAACAACTCCAAAGGGAATAGTGGCTAAGAAGACCACCTTGAAGGCGTGGGCATACGCATCTTTAAACGCTGCCTGTGTCGCCGCGATCACTGCAGCTGTTGCAGCCGGAATATTCGAAAACGTATTTGGGGCGCCCATACCTGCTCCTATGGCGGCGGGGACCAACTTCTCCAGCTGATCCGCCGGGAATCCAGCAGCCAAGGCAGCTTTAATGATGTTTGGAGCAAGTCTTTTATTCAAGACAGAGGTAATGATTGTCGAAAATATCGTGTTCCCAACACTCCCGCCGGCACTCCGAAAGGTTCCGATCAAGCCCGCTGATACACCCAATTCTTCCTGCGGCACACATAGGCTTGAAGATACATAGGCTAAAGTTGTAACCCAGGTAAAGCAGCATTGGCCAAAGAGCTGGAAGACGGCCCACATCCACTTGTGCTTGGGAATGGCGACAGCATATAGGGCCGTGAACACAGTCTGCAAAACTAGGGCAAAAATTATCTGGTAGCGGATATTTTTGATCTTGTGGACAAGCGAAGGGAATACCCAGCCACCCACAAAACCAGCCCAATTATTTGGCATCTGAACTAAGCCAATCTGGACTGGGTCATGGGTGAAAATAAAGAGGGTGGCTTGCGGAGCCCATGTCGTGACGGTTTGCCAGATCATTCCGGCAATAAACAAAACCACCAGGTGGACGGTGTACTCACGGAACATGGAAAACAAATGGAAGGGGAAGATAGGATTCTTGGGAATGGTGAAGTCATAAGCAAAAGCACCAATGAGTACTAAGCCTCCTATAACAGTGGTCGACGCAACGAGGGACTTGGAGTATGTCGGTTGTCCGAGATAAGCGAATCCAACGAGGAAGAGAACGATGCCGGCAGTAAAAAGAAGGAGCCCAATAAAGTCTAGGTCCTTGAACTCTTGCCAGCGTGTCCTTTCGTAGTCCCCTTGTGGCCGCGAAGGGGGAAAGTAGAAGACCGCCGTTCCTACAATGACAACACCAGAGTAGATAATACCAATGTAATAGATCCACCGCCACGTGGCATGCTCGTTGAGCTGGTTTGCAAGGAGAACACCGGCAACAATCCACGGGAAACCAATGCAGAACTCGGTCCATCCTAGGCCGATACCACTGGCCAAGTTAGATTCACCCTTTGCCTGTATACTCGATGAGAAGAGACCTTACCGATACTTGTTAGGCAGGAGTTCTGAGATACCAGGATACGACACGAAGATGATTCCTGCTCCGAAGCCGATGATAGTTGACCCGGCTACAATAGTTAGAACAGTTTTCGCCGTTCCAGCAACGATCTACGTTATATCAGTAATCGCACGACTCCCAGGTAGCGAATGCTAGTCTATAGAAAACATACCGAGCCGACTAAAACTATTACTTGTCCGGATAGCAAGACGTTGCGCCTCCCGAAGATATCGCTTAAGCCACCAGCAATGGCGAAGGAGACAGCCGAAGCAACAGACCATGCAGTAGGAATCCAGGAAACGTTCTTGGTATCGTTGAGCTGAACTCCGATCTGGGCAAGAAGAAAGCTCGACAAGACTAGGCCGCACGTGATTGCAGGGACATATGTCATTCCCATAAACTTGGTTTAAATGGTCAGGACGAGCTTCACTCGAGATTCAGGGGCACCGCTCACAAAAACGGCCATGATTGTAGATGCTGAGACCTTGGGGTCAGGCTCCTGAATTTCTTGCACCTCCATGTGCTCAGCGACAGAGTCGCTCTTTGGTTCCGTGGTCATTGTGAGTGGAATGGTCGTAGGAAGCTTTCTTACTGTATCCATACTCCTTGCGTAGATTTGGCGGGGAGAGTGGACGCCTTCGGTAGATTTTATATTCGAGCATTATGAATGCATTCATCATGTATACCAAATAAGCTCGAAGAGTTTCAGAGACTGCTTGATTTTGGTTTTACGGTATTTGGTCACGGCTTCCAAGCTTCGAATGCCGCGGCATATGAGTCTTGCTTATACTGCCAGCTACTGTCGCCTGCGTCACCTCAGCGAACCATATCCCGTAAACAGTCCCGAACTTTCGATGTTTACTGCAATTCATGCCTGATAAGCCAATATCTGTATTAGCTGCTGAAAAGTTATGGTGGCTGACTATTGCTCTTTGCTGTCCATCGAGTAACGCTCGATGTGGATTCAAACTTAACCCCGCGTTTTGTTGAATACCACTATCCCACAAAGAGAGCCCCATTTAGTGGGCTCTTTGGCATGGGTCTCTTTAGGCCTGTAATCCACGTGCCATGCCTAATATGTCGGAACTTAAACGTAATACCATTTCATCAAAAAGGGCGCCCTTCAAGGGATTTTGGTATTTTTGTGGTATTTGCGAACAGCTCCGTAGTTCGACTTCTGTATTTTGTTAGTCACGTGATTTTGGTTCCAACATAATATGGCATTGGACATGACAGCTAGTAACTGCGGCATATCAGAAACGAAGCAAGCTCGATAGCAACTCAGGCGTGAAGCCCAGATCCCTTTACAGGGCAAGCTACATTAGCTCTCATCCGTAATCACTTCCTAGAAATTTGACTTTCTAGGACTGTTTTGAGTCTTGACTACGTGTTGCTGAACCGCATACCCCAATTAAGGACCCCGGTAATGTTTAGTTGAACCGGCAATTGAGGATATCTACGTTCCGTGGACTCTTCAAAGCAATTATGATAGCAATCTATGATATTTCTCGGACGAATAGTGTACGTATGCAAGTCAGTATCAGCACCAATAGGAGAGAGCTCGGAAAGCCTCGAGCTTGAAATTGGAACTGATAGGTGAACCTTTTTGACTACAGCCTAGAAGTCATTTTTACGTTCACAAGCCTCTGAAGACCATGACCGTAACAGGTATAATGACAGGCAGGATATGCCAGATTCAACTGAGGCAGCAAGCAACCCTTGGAGGAGATAAATAGGTAGAATGAAATCCTTATCGCAGTTACAATGCGCCTCGTGGGACGATTGACTCACTGTCGGTGATTCAGCGGTGGTTTCAGAAATTGGGAGGCACATCATGGTAACCATGTACTATTGCATGCCGGAAACAAATTCCACAGATGAAGGGCGTATGAAAACCTACGTCGGAGCTAGGTTAGAGGAAAATAGGTCACGAATGTAACTCGTATGTTCAGCTTCTAATCTAACCCACCTCTAGCGCTTTATCAGCTCATGTCGCACTGAATCGTCTTTTACGCGGCTCGCAAGCCTCGCATCGATACATCCGGGGAAGTCAACCTGGAACGGACGAAAAGTGGTCCACCCCTCATTACTCCGTATAGTGAAGTATTTAATTCGTAGAAATTTAACGTTAGGCCTAAATTTAACTTTCTGCCATGGGTTTTAGGGCCCCCAGAGATTCGTAGAGAACTTGAAGAGGACCTTTCAGTCTCTGTGGAATTACACAGTGCACGATGCCTGGCGTGGTACCAGGTTTGATTGCACTCTCCCTACAATGTCTATAGGAGCTTATCGGAGTCATCCCTAGGAAGAAGGGGTTTATAGATAGGTATGTATGTGCTACGCATGAATGTAGCGTTAATATACCCAATAGTGATAGAATTAACACCTGAAATTATATCCTCTTTCTCATGCTCTAGTATTCACGGATTCTACAGTCTAAGCTAATTAGGGCTAGGATTGGTAATTTGGTATAAATCCCTAGCTAGCCCTAGACTGACTTACCAGTTACAATAAGACGACTCATTCAGCAGCCTCCTTTCTCGATGCATTGTTTACCGGTATGGCAACAGTCTCTGCATACCGGCCATCGAATACACCCGTTACCCCTTCCAAGGAACGATCTTTTGTCTCCGGAACATAGAATAAAACGAAACAGATAACCGCCGCTGAAACACCAACATATACAAAGTAGTATTCCCACTGAATCTCACGCAGCGCAATTAGATTCACATACTGATTAAAGCAAACTGCCAGGGCCTGCAAAAACCAGTATACGCAAGCCCCCTTGGCACGCAGCTCAGTGGGCCATATTTCGTTGACGTAGAGGATTGGAATCGGTGTAAATCCTATAACGTATCCAACCCAGAAACAGGAAGAGGAATACAATGACTGCAGCGCCGGACGCGGGGTTCCCCGTGTTGGCGAAGACGGCCGACCATGCCAGGACAAGAATCATAAATAACAGCATGGTGCAGGCGGACACCAGGAAGAGTCTTCGACGTCCGCAACGCTCAGCGAGTGGAGCGCCACAGATTGCAAGTATCCAGCTATATACCTGCAGACCGCCGTTGACTCCCTGTTGCTTGGTTGGATCGGAGATCCCGACTGTTTCCAGTACAGGGACGAAGTAGTAGCTTATATTGCTGTTGCCGACCCACTGGGTCGCGAGGCCCAGGCCCAGCCCAGGCAGATCTTCAGAGACGCGCCTCCGATTACCAGGGGTGGCAAACAATGAGGCCCAGCTGACCTTTGTGTTTCGCGAGATTTCGGTGGAAGCGCAGATCTCTGAGAATTCAATCACAACAAGCTCGTCAGTCTCATTGCCGTTGGCGTGAAACCTCGCCGGGATCTTCCTCGCTTCTCCAGGCCGATTGTTGTTTATGGGCAGCGCGGAGACTCCGGAATAAATATGACGAAGACGAGCTGGATGCTAGTCCATAGGAGCTGCGTAATGACTGGTGTCCGCCAGGCCCATACACTGTTGAGATAGTGGCTTCCAAAAGAAGCCCACGCATCCGTGATGGAGCCAACGAAGAAAAATGTATTGAAGAGGACTCCGGCGACTGCGGATGTGCGATCTTCAATAGGAGCATGATAGACCTGGTGGAGTTAAGCAACGAAAACAGTGCAAGAATAAGCCGAGTACCGAGGAACTGCACCGCTGTCTTGCAGAAAGACTGGCCTATGACGGGTGCAATTGTGCTAATGCCTCCGATAATGATTCCCCATCGGCGGCCCAGTCGGTCAGCCACCTAAGGAGCTGGGAAAAATGAGATGACGCATCCAAACGAGTATACCGCTATTAGGAGTCCCGACGTGCTCGCGTCTTCGAGTCCACTTAAGTCCTCGAACCATTGCGGAATAGCATTAAGCCCGGATATGAGCGAGATATCATAGCCGTTGGCTATGGGTCCAAGAAAGGTGGATAGAAGAACTATATTGAGCCTTCTGAGGCCGGGGTCCTTCCACCACAGTTGATGGGTGTTGTTGTTGACATTTGCAAATAGCTCAGAGTCAATATCGGCTCCAGTCGCTGCAGAAGGAGCCATGGCTTTCTGGCAAAGAGTTAACTCAGCTTGGTGATTTGATTCTTCTTGAGAAGAGGAAAAGAGATGAACCAGGAGTTGTCACTGAATGTACGCGAGGTGAAGCCATTGGGGTGAGAGTTATATATATAGGAAGAGCAAATTCACACAGCTTTTTGCGTGGTGTCTAGCTTATGGTCAATTGAAAGTATTTATCATCTACTTAGGTATCCTTCGCTGCTCAGGTCCTTATATATGGTACAGGTATGTAACATCCATGGATGTGCAATAGCAGCTTACTCCTTCCACTCATCTCTTCCCAACTTGATAATATCACCCATTTCTACTACCCAGTATCTTGAAGGAGCCTTGCCCTCCTCTGCAATACGAGCGGCTGCCACGGCTGCTCTACCAATAACGGTTTGATCCTGGCCTACATGTTTGATCAGTAATCACGTTTTCTAACCATATTCGAGGGATTGATAACCATACCCAATCGATCTTGAATACCTTGTCCTATCCTGTTAAGGTTTTCCACTACTTTCTCAAACAAGGGAGCTTTGGGTTTCTCCCGACCAAGGATCATACCCGGCCGGAGTATGATAGCTTGCTCAAAGTCAAGCTCTTTGATAGCATCCTCCACCCCAACTTTCATCTTCGAATATGGCACATAACCCGTTAGAAAGCCCCTAGTACCAGCACTAGAGATAAAAACATATGTCTTAACTCCAGCCTCCTTGGCCGCCCGAGCATTCTCTATGCACAGATCATGATCGATTTTCCACTGGTTTTCAATTCCCCCAGCAGCCGCTTTGGTGGTACCAACTGCATTGAACACTAATTTCGGCTTGGGAGACAAAGATGCAATCATTCCGCTCCATTTTGAGGTATCGCCTTCTTCAATAGCTTGTAGTTTGGGGGACTGCACGGATGGGAGTCTTCTCGATATAGTCTTGATGGACGAAAATCCATCGGCGTTGAGAAGAGAGGCGAGGATTTGAGAGCCAACTGCTCCTGTACAACCGAACACTGCTGCCGTTGTCATGTTTGATTGTCCTCTTTGTAGTATTATTGAAGTGAAAAAAGAAGGTGAGAATTGATGTGGCGAGAGATTGAGGTCAGGAAAATCATCAACCGGGAGATGATGACATTGACATGTGAAACAAAAGCCTTGAAAGATTAGTCTATTTAGGGTTAGGGTTAGTCATAGCCCCCACATCAACATCCGACGCGATCCACAACACCAATTGTTTCAAGTCCATCAACTAAGAGCAATGGATTCATCGCATCAAACTTAGCTCATGATGGAGCTTCCAACACAAGATGGATCCTCTATAAAACATAAGCGGAATCGCACAGCGCAGTCTTGTGTCCAGTGTCGGCTGCGCAAAGTTCGCTGTGACCGAAAGCTTCCATGTGCTCCTTGCTTGCGATCCAGGAGCTCGTTATCATGCTCCTACGATAAGCGGAATACGTCAAAAGAGCCCAGGCCAGTTGTTCAGAATATTCAGTCAGTCGCTAGACAAGGGACGCCTTTCTCGTTGTCAAGCAATGATGGGACGGGCGAAGACGCTGCAGTCGTCGCCATTGAGCCCGGAGCAACCGCGCAAGGCGATAGATTAATTGAGGATCTTCAACGACGAGTTCGGCAGTTGGAAGAAATAGTCTTAAAAACTACAGATACCGCGAAAAATTCGGGTTCAGTAGGGCTGTCTGTAGAGGCACACATGCCCCGGGAGCAACCTCTCGAGGCTCCTACACCGCGTCTGCGAAATGCTTGGAGCAAGACCAAAATATTCGGGCCAAATAATTGGCTCCAAACTGCAGAACAGGTGAATTCTGCAATTTTACTTACTTTTGGGCTTGGGCAGTTTATGCTAATGTTCAGACAGTTTCAAGTCCTTGGAGAGTTCATCGCCTCGGATCTGCCGTTCGCAGAACGATTCAAAGATAGAGCTGATCTGCTCAATACTCTCAGGGAGTGCATCAGCCTAAGGCGGTCATTCAAAAAGCAGGTTTTCAATGAAGCTGCTCTTCCGCCCACCGATATATCTAGCACTTTCCCCCAAAAGCCTGTATGCGATGAGCTTGTTCAAAGTTATCTTAAAACGCTCGAACCTGTATATCGCGTATTACACGTACCCTCTTTTAAGACGGAGTATATATCTTCTGGGAAGACCCACAACTAATTCCGGATCATTTCAAGATCAAGTTAGCATTGGTATTAGCTATCGGTTCGGCTTTCTATTCGATCCAGGATGATTTGACCTGTTATCAGAGCACGGTGCAGAACTGGGTGCATGCAGGGCAGTTGTGGCTGGTTGGACCGTCGAGTCATGCAGATTTTACCAACGATGGGCTACAAATCGGTTGTCTTCTGATTTTGTCTCGATTGACTGGTCCTGCTAGTACTCCGACGTGGATATCAACAGCTTCGCTGTTACAGATGGGCTTGATGATGGGATTACACCGGGATTCCTCGCTCTTTCCTTCGCTGACGCCCTTTCAAGTGGAGACGAGGAATCGTCTATGGGCTACTATCATTGAATTGAGTGTTCAAGCATTGTTGGATTCCGGTGTACCGCTACCTCTTTCGCTGGATGAATTCGACAGTAGGGGCCCAAGCAATATCAACGACCATGATATCTCTCCAGAGAGCAATACGGAAGTTCAACCAAAAGGAGAACATATATTCACCGATTCCTCGATTCAGATATTGCTAAGAAAATCTATCAATATGAGACTTGAAGTTGCCCGCTTACTGAATGATCCATTGCGCAAGAATCTTACATTTGACAGAGCTATGAAACTAGGACAGGAACTGCGTGCCGCATGTCGCGAAATATCAGCATTTTTCCAATTGCATACCTCCACACCACAAAGCTCGGCCAGTGGCCAAATGGAGTTTCATCGCAAACTGCTGGATATGTACCTGCATCGGTATATCTTTTTTCTCTATCGTCCATTCATGATCGAGGCTCGTAAGAATCTTCGATACTATGTTGCGCGCAAGATGTGCGTTGAATCTTGTCTAATTATTGCATCTCATTGTGAGGATGCTCCAGACCCTTCCCTAGAGATGGGTAATTACATACGCCTACTAAATTGTGTCGGTTCTGGAACGTTCAAAGGGCCATTGTGTATGGATGTCATTGCAGTATTGGGCCTTGAACTAGTGATGCAAGTTGAAGAGGATACTTCGCTCCGATCGATGAGTTCGCGTCATACGGCAGCAATTGATCCTCTGAGCGAAATGAACAAGGCTAATCGAGCACCGCTAATTCGGTGCTTGGACCGCATAAAAAATCAACTAGAGCAGATCATTGTCGCTGGAAGGGTATCCCTCAAGCGTGTCATTTTTCTTGTGGGGCTACTCTCCTTGGTTCGTGCTATTGATTGTGGTTTACCGATTCAGCAGACCATTTTTGGGGACATAATGACGGCGCTGAGGGAGTACTATTCTTATCTTAGTGGACAGTCTTCAGATCAAAGTCTACCGGAACCTGTGGGTGACATGGCGAGTGATCCTGACAAGACGCCTGACCTTTCCACATTCTTTGCTACTGATGACTGGGTAAGTGTCTCTTTGCTTGCTTGACTCGGTAAATGCACGCTAACGTAACAACGTATAGGATCCTTCTAGCATTGTATTCCCAGATTTGTTCAGCCTCCTAGAACCTTCGAGCGCGAGGTGGTAAGGATAGCATCCTCAGCAAGCGGAAAACTAAGATACAGCCTTGACTTGTAAGAAATAGTAAGCTTATAACTACAGTACCTAACTTAACACATAGGGCTGGTGTATATATTGAGGTTACTTAGGTAGGGTTGTTGTCCCTAATAAACTGACAATCCATGGATGCATCTCATTACTATAAAACGACACTCAAACAGCTAAAGAACTCTATAAACTTTATCATTTTCCATCCCCGACGACGTTGTCTGTCGTTCCGAACGAATAAAACGCTTGTCATTGGTTATTCTTTGATACAATTCTACCCCATGTCATACCGAACCAATCATTGCAAAATTGATACCCTATACAGATAACCTTTCCGGCGTGTAACGTCGACTTTTCTCTCAGGATGCTGATAGCTTCATCTTTCTATTGGCGAAATAATAACAGTCTCCTTTTCCTATATGTGCAATCTGTCTCTGCGGGCAAAGTCATGACACTTCCAGACGTCCTCATCACAGGCGGCTGCGGTTTCGTCGGTGCAGCAATCGCCAGGGCCATCGCAGAAAAACACCCGGAATGCAGAATCACCATCATAGACATAAACCCTCCGGGCCCAATCCATCAAGTACCATCTCAGGCCAGCTTCATCAAAGTGGATATTACTTCCAAGACACAAGTTGAGGAAGCTATAAGCAAAACTCGGTCTGCTATCGTGATTCATTCTGCTGGCATTGTACCCGTTCTAGCAGAGCGGTTCGGTCGGCGGATGCAGAGTACGGTATGGAAGATCAATGTTGAAGGTACAAGGAATATGCTCGACGTCTCGAAGAGAATGGGGGTCAAGGCATTCGTTTTTACTAGTAGTTGTTGCGTGCTTATAGATGACATGCGCCTATCATACAGAAATGTCACTGAAGAGTGGCCCACTTCGCAGAGTTCGTTGATTTATGGCGAATCAAAGGTGTGTATATCCTGCTTGATAAAAGATATACTAAGCCGGTGAGCTGATGGTTGGATGCCGTTTGACTGCTGTTTTTGCATTTCTTAGGCAGCCGCAGAAGCATTGGTTTTACAGGCCTCTTGCGCTGAGATGCCTACCTGTTCACTTAGACCTTCGGTCCTGACGGGCCCCGGTGACTATCAACTTTTACCAGCAATTCATGCATGTATTGCCAAAGGAGAAACTCCATGGGTAGTCGGCGACGGCCTGAACTATTGGGACATTACCCTGGTCGAAAATATCGCCGATGCCCATGTACTGGCGGCTGAGAACTTAGTTTCGACAGAGAAGACTGCCGCTGGAGAGGCATTCTTCATTCAGAACAATGAGCCCATGACTTTTCGTGATTTTTGTCTGGCAATATGGAGAAATTTTGGGCATATCCCCCCTTTCACTGTGCATATCCCCAGGTCGCTTGCGTGGTTGACTGGGTTGGTGGCTGAGTGTTATACTTGGTTTACCGGTACACCTACTACGCTTAGCAGGGGCAGTGTTAATGATGCATGTCATATGAGATATGCCAGTGGTGAAAAGGCGCGACGTATACTTGGCTATGAAGCTAGGTTCGGCCTTGAGGAGGGTATAAGGCTTAGCTGTGAGGTGAGTTCTTTAGAAAATAGTTAAAAAAGATTATTTGTGGCGGCTGCGTCGGCTCACTCCTTTGTTTTGCAATCTTATTTGAATGTGGATTGGAGATCTCTAACGATATAATTTTTCTTGCCGGTATTTCCAGGATTATGCTCGTCGAATAGGCATCAAGCTACCCGATGCACCAGGCATTCGAATCGGCCAAAGTATGAACACGAAGAGGTGGTGACTAAAATAAAACAAACAATATTTAACACCCATCTGAAGTACGCCGTTCAGGTAGTGATTACTCTTGGGGCTATGTGTTTCCTTGTTGGTTTCATCCTGTCTTCATTCAGTGATGTATCTGCCAGACCCCGGTAAATGAGCTCGAGGAAGGCCTATTGCCCAATCCCAACATGCTCATATGCGAACCGCGGTTGACGCAAGGACGACGGTATTATCGATTTGTATTCGAATATTCTACCTATATCAGGCTGTTTTTCGCGACTTGTTGTCTATCCAAAACGTTAAATCGTTCTTTTACGACACATGCTACGTATCTAACGACTATCCTATTTGTATATAAGGAGCCTTGCGAACTGTCAATGCACAAATTAGGGCAAGCTTAGTGCTTCTCATTAGAACGATCCTCCTACAGCAAATTAGTCAAGAGTATAAATTAGTTAAAGGCATACAAGACATAAATAATGACGTAAGCTTGTACGAAGTACAAAGCTATCCCTTTTGACTTTCAACGCCTATTACCCCTTCAAGAAAGTGGAAGGCAATGGAATATTTCCCAAATCGGCATGTTAGGGCAAGCGCGGTCATGCTTTCGTTTGGGCCGCACGGGGCTTCACTCGCCACTGACGCGTTCTTCATAACAAAATCATCGAATAAGAGCGAGGATCAAAGCAAAAACAGAGTCTCCGAGCATTCCGCCATCTATCGTAAAGTGATATTTGATCAATCTAGAGAGGGGTGGAGATCAGCCTAGTGTAGAGGCTAGAATAGAAAGGACTGGGGGTTGGGTACACCACGTTGCACGCATTTATGCCTGATGCCCAATTGTCGATTATTCCAACGTTCTATTCGACGTCTAAACTAAAAGTTATATTAATTAAGGCTACCACTCGTTACACTAATGTACTCCAGAATCCACTGTAGAGCTCAAAATGTAAGTGCTACAGTACTCGCTTCGATACATCGACATTGATTATTGGGTTCATGCCCGATTCCACGTATGGGTAAATGTTCAAAATACCATCCTGCTTTTTCTCTCCTCGCGTAATAACGCCGATCACTTCTATATCTTAATACCAATAGCGACTTATGAATGTGATGACTGAGGCTAACATGATATTTGGGCGTGTGGTTTGTCTATGCCCCAGAGTAGTCTGTACTGGGCCATCTACAGCATCTACAGGGTACTGGGTGGATCGATGGATGGTCAATACGTACTGAATACTAATTCCTAGGTAGTAAAGATCTGTCAATTGCATTAAATTATTGGTCAATTGCTAACCATCAGTCTAGCTAATTGCGATAATATCTAGATCACAACTGGGTTGAGCCAGCTTTTTCTATTTACGGACGCGATCAAATAACCCTATATCCATGTTCATTAAACGGCGATTAAGACATCCATGATTTCAAAATCAAATCATCACTTATCTATATCAATTTTATGAACCGAAGTGTTGGCATCTGTTTGCCACTGACACCATAGGTAACACCAGTCCTACCTCATTCCATCGATACCGGATTGCTGCCCAAGGCCATGACCGACTACATTCGTTCTAACAAACCTTACATGTGTCAATTAAAACCCTCACCAAACAAGCTGGTACGTAGTACGTACTACCATGTCTGCCAGCAATCAGCATAAGCAATGCCTAGCGCCAACTGGAAAGACAGCCCGGAATTATCCTTTTCACAACTGGGTTCATCCCTGAAAGAAACGGCCTTCCGGGATCAGAGGATCCGCCATCAACCCGTCAATTTGTAGACTTCACACTCCACTTGGCCCCTATCATACATTATCATGCCATCGAGACCCCTCTTCGCCTCGGCATGGCGGTGAGGAAATCAAGGTGCAAAGGCGTTGGACAGCAAAGAATGATCGATATATCTGCCCTACCTATGTATCTATGTGGGTTGCGGCCCGCTCGAGTCCTAGAAGGGAACAACGACCACTGCTTCAATTCGCCACCAGTAGGAGTTGGGAACAAGAGATCATTGTCCATTATTATCAGTATCGGATTCGGCTAGTAACTGATACAGGTCTATGCTCCTGGAGAGGACAGATCATTCAAAACAGAGCTAGCGCTATGAAGTGAACCATTGATACTTATTTAAGATGAGTTGTGGCCAACTAGAATCTCAATCAGTTTTGGTATGCTTCTAATCACGAATCTTCAAGCTTTAGTGAATTTGGTTTATTTATACTGTGATCTACCTTGCTTTGCTCTTCTTCCTCTTCAACTTCTGATATATCGCTGTACATTTCTGTCTCTTGTATTACATATCTTTTCTCGTTCCATGTTCTAAACGGAGTTTCTCGAATCGTTCGCCTCCTCAACTTCACCCTCTTCCTTCAACTTTCTAATGCCTCCGGTGATCACTACTCAGATCATGCCACTTTCGATGGGTTTTCAATCTCTTCCGGGAGCAGCAACATCAATGGTTGATCATTATATATCTCCCACTCCAGGAATGGATGGGTTTTCCCGGCATGGGTGCGTACAGTCATGTTAGAATTCATATCCCATCTTTGATTAACAGATTTATTTAGAACTTCGTCTTCATCCTCGCAATCTTCATACTTCGGGAGCGCAGCGCCTTCTCCTGTGATTTACCAGCAAAGGTGACTCCCTTATCTATGAATGTTTTATTATCCCCACTGAGATGTTATTCTTCTTCGTAGTGGAGGTCATGGTTTTCAAAATTCCCGAGCTTATACAGATATGGAATCCAACCGGCCTATGCCGCAGGCCACTCCGGTTGACTATCAGACCTACTATGCCCAACCAGCAAACTCATCAAGGCATAGACGCTATTCCAGCGCATCCATCGCCCAGGCCCCTATTGGACGGCCGCATCGTCATGTTTCGGTACATTCTGAATGGGACACGGCTGCTAGAATCTCCCCCGATGTGTACATGCATGATGTGGACTCTCCTCGATCCTATGAAACTCGCGAATACGTGGTAGAAACCAGCAAATCCCGTCATGGTGACAAGGCTAGCAAGACAGGTAGTGTAAAATATCATTCACAAAGGCGACCATCCAACCGCGATGAATTTGATGGGCCACATCAACTCCTGGAACCACCATCACCAAAGACCATTGCAGCCCAGGAACGTGAACTGCCCACTCTACCTACTAACCTCGATGTCTCAGAGCAAGACCGCATCTTGTGTGAGGTTAATGATCGCCTCTCTCGATGTGCGTTTGACTTTGTTGCCAAATATCAATTCCCAATTCCCATTGAACCGGATAAAAGACAGGTGAGGGTACCAGCGGATCGTGAATGGACGGAATGGGTGTATTTGTTGAAAAGATTGGCCACCAAACGCCGGATTCCTGCCAGGGTACTTCATAATGGCCAGATAAAACAGCTTGTTACCGTTTTGGAGAATTCCTTGGAGATGCGTCATGCCGCAAAACATCAGTCCAGGCCAGTAAAGGATGACCGGAATGTATTGCAACTTGTTTCCGCTGGAACCCAGGTTGCTAAGATCCTCAAGGATGCCACTGCCATGGAATATTTGGACCGTCTTTACCAGGAAACCGAACGAAGAATTAAGGAACGACAGAACCGTCGTGTCAAATTTGCCTCTTGAAATTGGACAGGGATCGTCTAGATTGGTCCAGCTTTGGAACCCTTTTGGACAATTGGAACCTTCTACTTCTACCCAAAGGCCTTTTTTTCTTGATTCTTTCAACTTCTTATATCTACCGCCAAGCTTTGTGCCTTTCTTTATTTCTGTCTCGTGCTCTTGTTTTACAATCGAACATGTGGATATTCCATGAGGAGAGCCAAGAAGAAACGGTCAGTCATTGGAACCAAAGCTGTAGGAATGGTGTCGGACGAGATGTCAATGCGGGACAGCCATCTGCGTAGGAAGATTATTGAGTCACCTTTGTTCACGCCATTCGCAAACATTCAACAGACCAGAACCGCAACAGACCCGGGAGATTGAGTGCGAGCATACGCACACATACGTGACCTGAGGTCGACTCAATGCGAGCTGTTGACTATCCAATATTACATGAGGGAGTGACAGGATACCAACCAAACCTTATGTTGCAAGGAATGATAATGAGGACAATGAAGGATGCGCCATTTTCTGCTTTTTTTGATCTTTTTGCTTTAAATATTTGAACCACACTTGGAGAATTCCAGGCTTCCTATTTCTCTCAATACCCAGTTACTCCCCGGAAACACCGCACAATATCCCCAAGGACCTTTTACCCCGGCCTCGTATATACAGAGCTAGCTCCGATACGTGTAAGAAATACCCTTTTTTTCTGTTCTTCCGCAGATGATACCAAGCAGCCATTATGAGTGGAAGTACCCATAACCTCTGGACAGATAAGCATGAGTCAAGTTCCCGCAACAGCCGATGTATTTGACTCTAAGGGGATCCCATGTACCGGGATAATTTTCGACGAAATCCGGCTACATAGGAACTTGGTATCATTCTGTATGACTTCCATTTCAAAATTTAGCATAGTAATTTCAATCAGTAAATTCATTGAGGCCTAGTGTCATTTTGGACTGGCCACCTGTATTCGTCTGATTTCTCCATGTGGCGACCGGAGGGGTGTGATTGTACGTGACTCTCAGACTTCTACCACAGTGTTACTTCTATGTAACTATGAGGATAATTATAGAGTCTTATATTGGCTTCCTTACCGAATCTTCATTGAAGACCACTATCAATCTTCCACATATCATTTTTGCACAGACTTACCTATCTACATTCGCAAATCCTAAGGTCATGCAGATAATTCGAACATCCCGCCATAGATAGTACTCAAAAATTTTCAGTCCAAGGAAGAAAGAGCATTCTCCAGACACGGTAACGTCTGCATCAGCATAAACAGAATAAGGGCAAACTGTTCGACAATGATGGACGTGATACCGCAAGAACGGCCGTCGACCCGAAAAGGTCAGGATAATTCGAATGCGTCATCCATTGAGAATCTCTAGGATTTGCTGAGGGGGTAGTGAAAATAGAAGCCGTTTTGCGAGAGGAGGCCACATGAGATTGAGCCTTGAGGTCATATCGCTGAGAACAAGAGATGAAAGCAACTGTTGATATCTAGTGACTATTTCACGTAACTTGTCGTCAAACTTGAATTGTAGAAGTGTTTTTCATAGCATCATTTTACTCATCGATTATGCTTGAATTTCGACGTGGATTGTCTCTGAACTCTTTCTTGTACATAATTCGTGAGGTTGGAGAATCCTTACACAAATAGACGTTACAAAATCCATAATTCAATAATACTAAAAGAGCAAGAACGTAAATTAGCGTCCATGGGAATCCAGCTGTATTATGTTGGGATTCTGCCCTTAGACAGTCAGCACCGCCTACCAGATGTAGTTAGCGCGCTGGTAGCTAGATATCTCCGCTCCTAGGAACCTAGGTTCCTAGAGAGACACACACAACAGAGTCAGTTTTCCTGCTTCAAGCACAAGATATTATCCAATTTCTGCCCCGGGTTATAACTATTTGATACCTCATACCTATGTACAATATGTACATGACTCAAACTCTTTCATCACTCTACGATTCCAATGACTCTTCACTCCAAAAATTTGTACCCTTGCGATCACCCGGAGGCACCTTCTTCCTTCAGCTCAAGGGAAGGGCTTTAAATAGTAGCAAACCACATAGGTAGCCTCGATGAGTAGCATAGGTATTAATTTCACCATAAACTTCTAACATAGTAGTCTAAATTGTTCTCAGAAGGCACGCTTGCATCAGTCAACAGACTTTGAGTAGACTTGGATTATTGATCCATCTAGAACCATGACTCCTAACCACCAGCCGTTCCCTTATCTCGATGGGATGAATGTCTGATAATTCATAATAAAGTGATTCATGAATGGCTCTAACACTTTGTGACTCTATACTTCCTATGACTACTTCATTTCTTGTAGTCTATAAATTTCTCTCTTTCACTTGTCTTCATTCAGCAGCACCATCAACCTTCCACATACCTTCATCCAAAAATTACCTTGGTTACTTTCCAACAGCTTGCAGCATGGAAAGTCGTACCGGAAAGGCCAAGTCTATGTATACTGCATATTTTGCAGGAGACTCAGTCACGACGCTGTTGCAACTTTCACGATTTTGCCATGATATGGCCCAACAAAGCTCACGTCTGAATCAATCTTGGTCAACAAGAATTCTCATCAACTCCGCTCAAAATTTTCATACATCACATTAACGTACATGGAATCACGGAAGATTGAAAAGCACCAGACACTGGCATTCTCGAAAAGATCGGTTCTATTTTAACTCTTCTAAAAGCGTCCCTTAGAGACTGGGCCGAGGAAGAGAAACAGCTTAAACAAATGCATCAAGGAGAAGAGAAGTGGATTACGCTTAGCAAAGGCACTCAAAAGCTAGATGGCCAACACAGAAACCTCAAGGATTATGCTTCTGACTGTCTGGACGCCTTTACCGACGTTATCTGTCTAGAGTCAGACAATAGTGTTCCCGACTATGCCACTATGAGGTCAACTCAGAAGGATTATATAAGAGTTTACAGGTTTGACGAAAGGATATGGAGGAGACTACTTTCAGGTTTACTGAGAGTGGCACTATGAGGGCCGCTGATAGTACTACTGTCAGGCCTACGAAGGATACTAGCAGGCCCAATGGTAGACCTGTGGGAACATCTGTGGAAACACCTGTGAAAGGACCTGTGGAAAGTCTTATGGAAAGACCTATAAGAAGACGCGTGAAAAACCCATCGAGACGGTACTGAAAGGGACACTGAAAAGGTAATGAAGAGCTCTACTGAGAATGTTACTAAGGATATTACTTAGGAGCATACTGAGAGGGGTACTGAGCAGGATATTGGGAGGGAAACTGAGGGGAAGATTGAAAGAGGTACTGAAGGGGATATTGAACGTGGTGCTGAGGAAGATTTCGAGGGGTATACAAGGGAGGTTTATACAGAGGATAATATGGGGATACCGAGAGTGTTACTGGTAGTTTTACTGAGAGTTCCACTCAGGGAAGGATTCCCGAGAAGGATACCGAGACGGTTATAGAGCCATTTCCAAGAGAAATATCGACAAAGACTCCATAAGTATATAATCTTCCTATCTCTTTCAAGATTGGGAAGAGTCAAGTTTGATGCCCAGGTGTCAAGAGGGATAGTCTATACAGGAGATAGATTTTTCCGAGGTCATTCCAGAAATGAGAGACTTCTTAAATGGTTCTACTTTCTCTAGTCATTTAAGCAACCCACGTTGACTTCTTGGAGTGGAGAGTAGTCAGTCTTAATCAGTTCTCTGGCATATTCATCGTGCCAGTCACCTGGGTCGTGGCTTTGACATCTAGATGGTCAGTAGACTTGATGTAAACTTCCAATTGTATGACTCTCAATCGTATTTATAGAATAAGGACATATGAGATAGGGAATTATCAGTCAGATATGTGCCAAAAATTCTTCTTGATATTGCAATACGCTACATGTAGCTAATGCTACAACAATAATACACAACATCCACGCAGAATCAGACTATCACAACTTATACCTCAAAAGGACAAAATTTCAGACCATTCAAAGTGAACAGGAAAAGAAGATATGCGAAATAACTTCAACATTCAGCCCAAAAGTGAACAAACAAGCTGATAAGTAAAAAGGAATGTAAATACAAGAATCGAAAGTAATTTTCAAAAATTCCAATAAAGGGATGCAGCTTGATGGATGAAGAACTGCTAGAATTTTAACAGGTTGATGAAAGAGTAGAATGGATTTTGCGAAGAAATAGAACCGCTAGACAGGGAGTATCAATGCAAAGTAGAAAGTGTCAAGGGTAGAATGTTGCAAGAGATGATGAAATAGAACTTGTTTCCCAAAACTCCAGAACAGATTAGTTAAGTAGAAGAAAAGGGATACATGATCCCTTCATGTGGTGAAGAAGTTAGTACAAGCTGACGGGAAAAGGTTTTCGCTCACATGATACAGCTTTCAAAAAGTGCAAACGAGAAGACGCTTCTCACAAGGGGTAGAAAGAAGTCGTCAGTTATCATCTTCCGGTACATATTCGACTTTTTCTTCTGTCTTTTCAGCAGTAGATTCGAGAGATTTGTCTACCGAAGTGTTCTGCACTGGCTCTTCGGCCTTCTCAACGGGTTCCGCTGGTGTCTCCTCTGCAGCAGCGGGCACTGACTTTTCCGTGGGTTGTTCTGGCTCGGCATGTTTCACATCTTGGTCTTCAGGGACATCATCTGTCTTGTTCCAGATCCCCTCTAATGGAACAGGGGCTTCTAGAACGGGTTCGGCAATAGTTTCTGGCTGGTTGTCGTGGGAAGAATCACTTTCTGCTGCAGTTCCCTGGGCGGTCTCTTTGACATCATTCTCCGGTACCTCGGGAACTGTTTCTGGGACCGATTCCAGATCCTTGCCAGGAATATCATTCACATCATCTGCTTGGGTAGCCTGGGTCTCAAGTTCTTGGACTGCTTCCTTATGGATATTCTGCTCAGTCACTGGCTCGGGTGAAGGCTCGGCTGCAGTAACTTTTGTTTTCGACTCTTCAGCTAGCTCAGAGGATGGCTCTGCTGTGGTTTCAGGAGCTTTCTCTGTCATAATGGAATCTGAAGTAGACTGCGCAGTAGAGACTCCAGCTTCCTTTGGAAACTCGTCCTTTGCTAATGTTGCCGATTGTGCAACGTGATGACCATTCTCCAGGGCATCGTCTTCTTTGATAGTAGTTTGATCCGGTGCCACCTTCTCGATTTTGGCTTTTGGTGTAGCCGGTGTGGGGTCCTGTAGGGGCTTTTCATGCATTTCTTTCTTGACCTCAGCGGTTTTGGTGGGAGTCTCCTTCTTTGGAGTCAATTTTGCGGCCTTTCCGAGTCTCGGTGGACTCCTTGGCTCAACTTTGTCGTGCATTTTGCTCGCAGAGCTGGCAGTAGGGCGCATCATTCGAGCGAGAAAACTTTCTTCTTGGGGAGCACGCGAGGACGTGGTGCTCACGCGAGATTTTGGTCGATCAGGAATGGTATGAGTTGCTAGTCGAGATGTGTCTGGTCTGAGTGTTGATGGCTTGCGGGATAGGGTCTTGGCTGCTTCAGTTTTGGGCGAGCTTCGTAGGTTCACGTGGCTCTGTGAGCGGGCCAAAGTTCCCGTCCTCGCAGCTGAGGCAGCAGTAGGTGTCACAAGAGACGCTGGAAGACGTACAGGACGGGTAGGAGACTTCGAAGCGGGCTTTGTCTTGGGTGACGGCTGGACAGGAGGACGTTTGGTAATATCGTGAGAAGGCGTGCTGGCACGCTCAGCGCGCGTCGCCGGGGTTGAGCTTCTGGCAGCAGTACTTCTACTGGCGGGTTTATCTGAGTGCGCTGCGGGGCGAGTTGTGGTAGTAGCCGATCTAGTAGGGGTCACAGCGGGCTTTCTTTCCTTCACAGTGGGGGCTCTGGTTGGGTTCTTATTTTGCGATGATTCTTTTGCAATTGAAAGTGTGGATGCGCTCTTCTTGATTGTCTTCGAAGGGGCTGTCTGCTTTGTAGATGCAGCATTTGTTGGTTTGTCCACCGGTTTCTCGATAATTGCGGGTTGTAGTAGTTCCGGTGTGGTCTCTGATTTCTCGGTAACTTTTGGCGGCGGGTGCGCATTATCCTTCGCTACAAGAGACGCAAGCTTCGCATTAGCATTCTCGATTCTATCGCCTTGAAAAGTCGCCAGTGCGGTGCGAATCTTGTGGGGAGACGGGTTGAAGGGCGACGCCGAGGCGGTTTCGAGTTGTCCGGTGGGTGACACGGTGGCCGATCTATGGTTCGAGTCTACATCTGCGCTATTGTAACTTTCGGCTCTTCGCAATACACCAGGTGTAGGTGAGCCCTGACCGTTTCTCTCAACAGAGACAAAGCTTGCTCGCACTTTGGATAAAGGTCTATTGGTTGCATTGTCTTGGGAGTCAACGGAAGATCGGCCGCGGGAGGGAGACACGTCGGGGTTGTTACTGTTATTGTTTGTGTTTTCGAATTTCGCCAAAAGGCTCCGAACACCGCCAGAAGCTGGAAGAGCGGTCATTGTGTGTAGTGCACGATGGATTATCGATACGAGGTTGAGTGTTCGTTTAGATCAGCAAGTTGAGCTTCTACCGTCGCACGGACGGGGGAGTCGACGAAGGGTTGTGGATGGAGTGTAAACAATGCAAAAAGACGACGAGAAATGAGACTGGCACGTATGTCATATAGGGATCCGAATGAGTACGGAGGAGATAAAGGTTAAGACGCAGAAGGTCCGATACGAACGACGTGTCCACCGCGAGTTGAAACATGAATGAATGATAAATAATGAAAGGAGGGACGTTGTCGCCAGGGGCATCGACTCTGGACTATTTACTGCCGGATAATCCACTCTCCGGTCAGCCAGGGGTCTCCGACGGCAGATCTCCAACCTTCCCCACTTCAAGAACCATTCCGTCCCTCTGGTTCACTGCCTCGGTCTAAAGCTTAACATTTACGACAGGCTACAAATATACGAACTTGAAAGGTGTCATTATGAGATGTCATTTCAGAATGGCGACGGTGTTATAGGGGAAATATCGGGTTGCGGGGTCTTGGTGAGCCCCCGAACATCTCAGATCTGACACCCTGTACTGACGTTGACTAGATAGCCAGTATATTGGACGCCAAAAAAGTCTCGAACGTGAAAACGATAACTTGACATTCGGCATTGGCATTGGCATAGACTCCTGTCGTCGCGGATCATATTTGGAGTTCCGGATCTGAGATCAAGGTTCATTCATCTTCAAACTTAACCATATATTTATCCAGTAACTCCTTCACCCGATCAACAGGCAATGCTGCCTGAGAACGTCCCTTGTACCCTGTCAATGGCTCGGCCTTGCACATAGCATTCAAAATAGCCTCTTCTGTCGCTTCCGAAGTTGCATAAAACAATGAATCAATGACCTCGTTTTTAAGTGTCTCTACTGGCTGTGTTTCGAGAGGAGGCAGATAATCGAAGCCGCTTGAGGATGTAGCCAACTCATTGGGAGAAGCTCCTGTCGATAGGGCGAGGAATATCTCGCCGGAGAAATTTCGTCCTGCAGCATGACCGCCGACCTACAACAGATGGAGAAAGTCAACACGGTACTTTAGTTATTGTGGGAGGGGAATCGGGATTTTTACCTGGGTAACTCCCATTCCAGCGTGTTGCGCAATACGACGCAGTTGGTGTGGGAGTAACGGGGCGTCGGTACTGTGAGTACCCGTCAGTGAAATGCATACCAACCTAGTACTGCAACTTACATGATAACGACCAAGAGACCTTCTGAATATCAGCACAGTTCGACATGTTTCAAAAGGACCAAAAAAAACTCACTTCCTTCAGCCGCTTTTCCTCCCTTAGGAAACTGTGTCCCCTTTTCCTCCGCAGCCGCTCGAGCTTCTTCTCTGACAAGAAATTCTCCAACCGGTACGTTTCCTATACGGAGATCATCTTTCTGACCATGGTTCGCTTGCACGAGGACACCGAGGGTATAATCTTTATCTACCCCCGGAACAATCCTAGAACTAGTTCCAGTGCCGCCTTTATAGCCATGACACCTCATTGCAGTGCCTCCACCGTAATTGCCTTCCAGAACATCGCTTTGAGTCTTTGATGCTTCGATAGCATCATAAACCACATGCTTATCAATGACCGACGCACTAATGTCATTGAGGAGGCCGTCAAAAGTTTCGCCCACAACGGGGATGCTGACCCGGCGCATGACTTCGACTTCATTGTCCCCGGCCAGAGCTCCTTGCTCTAATTGCCACAGAAATAGGGCATCATATACTTTGCCTATACTGACTGTGTTGGTCAAAGCAATTGGCTAAATTCCGGTTTGAGTGTAAGTAAACAATATTTTCAAAGTCGGGACAGTATAGCTCATACTCCACTGATAAACCCCCATTCCGTCAGACCGTGGGTACCCGTCATTTCACCCATCCCATTTAGATCATGGGTTGCTGCATAGCAGGGCAAATAGCGTGTGTTTTTGATACCGCGGGGAAGGATCACGGTAACTCCAGTATGTATGTCTTGGCCTCTATGGATGGTACTCTGGCCAACCGCGACTCCTAATTATGAATTAGCATATTGCGAAATACGAAAGCATCATCAAAATTTCTAAGCGAGTTTGAGTAAACATACCCTCTACATCGAGCAATGAGTTTTTGACCCCAGTTTTGAATCTTCCGGGACTGTATCCAAGATCTCGAATGCGAGGTCGCGAAGACATTATTCGTCAGGTCGATGAATCACACACTTGATAAGCAATGTTTGACAGAAATTTTATGGAATTGCCAACATTGAAAGAATGTTGTTGCCTTTAAATAGTGTCCAGATTGTGGAGTTGAGGACTCTAGCTGCAACTGTTAAGCAGGCGCATTAGGGTTGATACTTATTATGACCGGCGGTGAAGCTAATCCGACCAATCATAGTAGACATATGCGCTCACAGCCTCACTACTAGCTCTCTCTCTAGGGGCAACCCTAGATTATTGATGAAGCCGGGTTACCCTAGATAACCTAACTAGCAGAGCTTACGCTCTGCTAGTGCCTTTTGATCTTCAGGAACCAGGTACAAGCTCAATGACACCAAATGTTATGAATAGAAAACAGGAACACGTCGAATGCGACTAAGGAGACTGGACGGTAAGGCTGCAGACCTCTTATGCTGGCTAAGTCTAATATGTACAGGAAACTATCGAAAACCATATCCCTCTTCAAGACGACGACGCTTGCGCTATAGAGGCGATGATCCAAGGAAGCTGTTCACAACAACAGTGGCACCTGTAACAGATTACACCTCAGTGTGTGGATGAATGCCTGCGGGACGCATGGAACGCGGTGCCTAAACAGAGTGTAGGAGATTGGGGGTATAGCAGCCACAGGAGCCTTTCGGACAGTCGCGACGGCGGTGGTAGAAGCTGAAGCAAATATTTGCTCATTCGGAGAACGACATATAGAGAAATCAACAAAACTGTGGGCTGATATTCGCGCACTTCCTAGAACGAACCCGCTAAACGAAGCCGAGAGTCACATTAACTCGAAGGCTTTCCTCTCCACTACATACACAGACACTAGGAAGAGAGGTAACAGACAGAATAGAAACCATCAATGCGTACGCGGTATTACCTTTGACAGATTGGCTGCAGATAGGATGGGGACATAACAGAGAGAAAGCTATCGAAATTTCCAAGCAACAATAGAACAAAGCACTTCCGAATGGGGTGGGTAAGTATTCGAAGACCATTGACGTAGCATTACCAGTAAAGCACACCCACGACCTATACGATAGGCTAAAGCGGAAAGAAGCTATGGCCCTGGCTCAACTTCGGATGGGAATGACAAGGCTCAACAGTTATCCGAATAAGACAGGGGCTGCGGAGTCAGACCTTTGTGCCTGTAAGCAGGTAAGTAAGACAGTAGAGCACTTTCTATTCTGTTGCACAAAGTAAATAGCAATAAGAGAAGGCATGTTTCAGTGTATAGAAATGAGAAGAGGGAGTTTGTCATTCTACCTTGGAGGAAAAGCACGATCTGACCCAGAGCAATGGCGACCAGATATTAAAGCAGTACGAACAACAATCAGATATGCAATTTCGATAGGAAGGCTTAATACAGAACAGGAACATGGACCAAATCAGTCACACTAGAACCAACGTTAACTAACTGTTCTCACTTTCATATACGGTAGACCCTACTGCAGCTGCCGAAGATAGGACGCTACACACTTAAAGAAGATAGCCTTTAAGCTGGTCTATCAATCTTAATTCACTAGGTGTTAAAAACCCTAGTTCAATGAAGTCTTAAGCGCAAAATACCAAGACACCACGCCAAAGCAGGAAGAGCATGGGGCTTTTAGGAGGATAGGTCGGAAACACACGAATTGCATGTATTTAGCGCACTAGCGCCCTATAGGGGAAACCCCTCCGGGCGTAATAAACATCACTCACTCACTCATGGGTTTTTATTCCACTTTATATGCACATGTCTATCCTTTATAAGAAGCAATCGGTTTAATTGTAGGCGAAATAACCATGAACGTTTGGAATCCCCTACCAAAGGATACCAAGAGATGATTTCCGAAAGTACCTCTAAAAGGTCTGCTATAATCCACGCTAACAGCATAATACAAAACCTTATAACACAACCTCATAAAAGTGCTTCGACTAAGATGTAACAGCCCATGCCGCAATCAGACAATCAAGAGCCGCGCCTTGAGTCACCTCGTTGCCATCAGTCATCGGTCCCTCAAAACATCATGCCAGTATTACACTCTCCACCATTCGTAACTTTCAGTGCGTAATTCCATAACGATTGAGCATTTGTCTCAATGAAGTTCTTCCAGTTGTCATGTGGGTCAGCGAGTTGCAGCTGCCGCAGCCCCCTGAAGAGAGAACCTTTGAACATGTCGGATTGAATATCGCAGCCGCCCGTGCAATCTTTGATTACCCCATTGGCATCAGGAAACGTACCATTTATGGCTGTTGTTGCGTTCGAAATGTTTCCCGCATAGTCGAGATAGGAAGAATTGCCGGTAGCTTGAGCGAGTTCGACTGCAGCACTGAGGATTACATCTGGTTGTAGGACCACTTGGCTCCGGTGGGTTCACATGAACTGGTATCGACACCGTCAACGACGAGCCAATCATCGCCAACGACGCCAATATTGGTGAACCAGTCCCAGCCTATAGTTGCGGCGTCAAGGTAGGATTGTGCCTGGTCGGAGGAGACGTGGTTGGCTAAGCCGGCGGCGAGGGCGATGTATAGTTCTAGTTTGACGTTGTCAGTATGCTCATCCATGAGCCGTCATTTTGAATGACAGTGCTAACCCACCGTTGGCAATCGAGGCGATATATCCTTTACTCTTATCCCACCAGAGACCACCACACGGCATATCCACACCCCCTTGGATATCATTATAGATGCTAATCGCCAGATTCAAATAATCCGGATTCTCAGTCAAGTTGTATACAGCCAACCACGCAATTCCCCACCAACCCTCATCGTCATAGAATAGAACTCTGTTTTTGCCTAGCCGAATCAGGAGTTAAGGGGAGTATTTATAAGTTTATAGACCGAGGGCACCCCGAGGGCACCTTCTTAGAAACTAGCATCTTACAATTAGAACGGTCAAGTCTTGATTATCATCTTTTTTCACTGCAACTCAACCCCATCCCCGGCCATTGTAAATGTCGGACGTATCTTTCATCCCGATTCTTGCTCGATATTAAATGTTTGCTAAATACCTAGGAGCTAAATGGTCTATAATATGCTAGGCACTTTATCATGATAAACAGGCTCGTTTAGTAGGCACACATATACACTGCAGATCTTTTGATTAGGGCAAGGTTATTTCACTTACAGCATAAGATGAAGACGATCATAACACGTGGCCCCGTTTGTCGGACCCAGGTCAGCATATACAACCCTATACATTGATTTAAGCGCACAATTCAGACATTTCTAAAGACTACACCTACTCCGAGTGGATGTTCTTGTTCAGTCTCCATGATGTAAGAACGATCGAGGATGATCGCCAGCCATAAATTCTAGAGTACGTTAGCGCAATCGGATATGATTAAGTTCCGAGTGCATTACGATCATCAGAATCTTGGGGATGAAATTTTTTCAATAGAGTATAGATAAGAAGTCATTAGATTTGGTAGTTACATATTACCATGGGACCAGGAGGTGTGGGTAGGAGTTAGGGCTAATATGGTATACAGGAAACACAGCCACATACCCGAAACTACATCGGATGAAACACAACTGGTTAAACAACAGCCCACCAGTCGATCGGCTATCAAGGGATAGATATACAGTGACGCTAAATGTATGTCTTTTGATTTAGTCAGTTACCTAGGTATCGGCTTTAGTCTTCGGCTCTGTCATGACCTATGATATACCTACATATGTGATTACTGTCCAGGCTGCTTTAAACATTTTTGCACTACTTTTCAGCTTTGGAAGTCATCCCTATTAACAATAGCAATCTTTTATATTCACAAAGGTCCATCCTACCTACATATGGAGACATGCTAATCTGAAGTGGCAGGTACTGGGCTCCCAATGGGGGTTCCATACATCGGTAGACCAGGAGGCACTGGAATCTTGGAAATAGATATCTGCTTAGTTGAGCCGTAAAATTACATTAAGGAAGAAGGTAAAATCTGTGGTAATCTGTAAGAAAAGTAACCAACAATATTATGGTCATTACCTTGCTTGTAAACGTTTCCAGTAACTCCAGAAGCCAAGGGAAACTTTGTCATGCTTAGTGATATGGCTATTCCAGAGTAATAACTTCAATCCTCAGTGGTCTACCGGATTATGATTGGCGCTTGTCACTGCAATAGCAGCAATACGCGCTAGAACAGGGTTCGACTCCCTGCTGGGGAGATGTTTTTTTTCGCTTTTCTTTTTGATCAAATCCATATACGTATTGTGTGGTCTTTCAATCTCATCACCAAATCACTTACAGTTTTGGACGTCGGTTTGTTTACCTAGTTCCGATTGGGTCGATCTCGGTGCGGACAAACGATATTCCAGCAAAAAAACGTGCGGGCAGATATTCCGTGACCGCGACCAGCTCCGAGAACGGATGCCAGCATATCCTGTTCATTGAACAAAAGCAGGAAATTGCAGCACAAATATGGCTGCCAGAACACTACGGATAGGTTAATTGCGTCTGCTTGTGTGATATATGTGTTGGTGAGACTAATTGAGTTCTTTTTTTTAAAGGTCTCATCCCCGGAGACGGTATCGGACGTGAGGTCATTCCGGTGTGTCTCTCCATATCAGCAATACGACAATTCAGTACGTGGTAGCTAATTGGCATTGATCTCAATATCTAGGCTGGCCGAAGACTATTGGAATCTCTTCCTACTTCATTGGGTCTTAAATTCTCTTTTGTTGACCTCGATGCTGGCTTTGATACGTTCAAGAAGACCGGCAATGCGTTACCCGACAAGACAGTCGATATCTTGAAGAAGGAATGTGATGGTGCTTTGTTCGGCGCAGTCAGGTATAAACAGACTTTCCTTCCTTTTAAGAAGGACCGGAACTAATGATTGACAATGTTACAGCTCACCAAGCACCAAAGTCGCCGGCTACTCTTCCCCCATCGTCGCTCTTCGTAAGCGTCTCGATTTGTACGCCAATGTCCGTCCTGTCAAGACCACTGCCGGTGGCAGCGCAACTGGCTCCCCCATTGATCTCGTCATTGTCCGCGAGAATACCGAAGATCTCTATGTCAAAGAAGAAAAGACAACTGAAGGCCCTGAGGGTAAGGTTGCCGAGGCTATCAAGCGTATTTCGGAACGCGCCTCTTCCCGAATCGCTACCATGGCCGGAGAAATTGCTCTACGACGACAAAAGATTCGTCAAGTGAGCCCCGGCACATCTCACTTGTCCAAGCCTATGGTTACTATCACCCACAAATCCAACGTCCTATCTCAAACCGATGGTCTCTTCCGCGAAACCGCTCGGAAGGCTCTCGCAAACCCCAAGTACAGCACCGTCGAAGTCGAGGAACAAATCGTCGATTCTATGGTGTACAAACTGTTCCGTCAACCTGGTTACTACGATGTTATTGTTGCACCTAACCTGTACGGCGACATCTTGTCCGATGGAGCTGCCGCTCTTGTTGGTAGTTTGGGTCTAGTTCCTAGCGCTAATGTTGGCGATGGTTTCGCTATTGGTGAGCCATGCCATGGAAGTGCTCCGGACATTGAAGGAAAGGGAATTGCGAACCCTATTGCTACCTTGCGTAGTGTGGCGCTTATGCTTGAGTTCCTTGGTGAGGAGCCTGCTGCTGCTAAGATTTATGCTGCTGTTGATGCCAACCTTGACGAGGGCAAGTATCTTTCCCCTGATCTTGGTGGGAAGGCTACTACTCAGGAGGTCCTTGAAGATGTCTTGAAGAGGTTGTAAGTATAAAAGTGCCTGTACACTTGAAGTCTTTGAACTGCATTAGATAGGTGCACAAAAGTCAAATTCCTGTTCTTATAATGTACAAGCTGAGGTGTATAAAAAGCTCGAGTATGCAATAACATATATAAAAAAAATTCTATTTCCACGCCCAAAAGCTCCATCTACCGCCCTCCTCATGATTTCCGTTGCTCGCGCTGATCTTTCTCATCTTTTTGACGAGGATCCCGCATTTCCATCTTCACCACTACCAACAGACAATTCTCGTTCACTAATCTCTTCTTCTGAGCCTTCAACCAACAGAGTGAACAAGACCACCAGAAGTGTCTTGTCTAGTTTTCTATTTTTGAGAGTGTATCGTAATTTGTGTTTTCGCGCGTCTATGTATTTTGCGACATGGAGATGGAAGCCAGGGAGACGGAGGGTGAAGTCTATTAGAAACATATTAGCAGTCTGCTAAAGAAGATGCTCGCACTAGTTTGGTAATGGAATGAACATACCGTTGAACCCCAAGTACGGATTGCCAAAATCGATCAAATATTGCCTCCCCTTCTCAAAGACGAAATCGTTGCGCACATTCTCATCTAGGAAATATTTCTTCCTCTGGGACACATCATTCGGAATCTGTAATCTCCCCCTTTCCTTCTCTCCAGTCCCCTCGGCGCCTTCTTCAACCACACTTATACGATCATGCACATTCTCCTTCTTCTCATCGCCCGCCGACAACTCCTCCGGACCGACCTTCTCACCAATCCGGAAATAATTCCACGACGCGAGGCCAGGACTATACAGATATGGTTTATCCGCATACGGATCCCCATCAAGCCCCGGATCAATGGCCCACTTCACAATTCGCAATGCGGTGTTGAAGCCGGGGGGTATACTGTCGCGAATAGGTCGGTTGAAGTCATTGCCCCAGACTAGGTCGTTGCCACTTATGTCTTGCTTGGGAATGAGAATGAAGGATATTGAGTATTGGTCGGATTCGTGGAGGGGGTGGGAGAAGTATTTGCTTGTTTTGGGGGAGCCGTTGGGTAGGCCTTCGTTTATGTCAGTCGAGATGTCATGTTTTCTTTCGTGTTGGTCAGAGGCGAGAGGGCTTACCGGTGTAATCTTGAATGCGTACGCAGAGATAGATTATTGCAAGCTCATTCTCGATGCGTAATGTCTTGTCTGCGTTGACGGGCACGACTCTATGCGTGTCGAGGGCGTATTCAGGTCCTGCGGTTACTCTGAGACGATAATTTACAGGGGATTTGGACCCCGGAGTCGGCATTTTCCTTCTCTCTTTCTTCCTGGAAATGCTGAAGTAGCTTCGAAAATGGTAGAACACTCTTTTTTAAACTGTTCTGCGTCTCAAGCGATAGTTGAATATGGATTACCGAGTCAAATATATAGTAGTTTCTAACTTTCAAGATGTAATCAAACGAGATCGTCAAATATGTTACAAGTACCGCCTCACGTCAATCGGCGGGAATGACGACGTCATGCCGCTCAAGCCTCGATCTCCCCGCTGGTCGAGAAGCTTATTTGCACTACGTCTTGCCTGATAAGGAAGGGGTGAATATTCCTGATCGGGAATGTCGTTTACTTAGGTTTATTTACTATCAGGGCTGTGCAGGCTATGTAAAGTTTCCATTCTGGTAATAGCGTTCTAAAAGCAACATAACAAATACATGAGTCAATCTGTATGTAAACAAAGACACCTGACCATTGCGTCTGAAAATGCAACAGAGAGAAAAAATCGGCAAGGATAGTACACTAAAATGATAAAAAAACGCTTCCCTTATTATACAAAGAACAAGAGAGGTAGAAGAAATCCGAAACTGTACAAAGGAAATTTCGAAAGGAAGGGACAAGCCTCATTGAACAAGTGGCTACGACCAATATGTATGATCAGAAGACGATATAGCTGTTAATCTTTGTATTCACTCAATGTTCTGGTCTTCATCGACATGATATTCTGCGCCAACGTTGCCCCAAAGGATATCATCAGGAAGTCCTTTGTCCATATTCTCATTGTGAGCGAGCTCTTCGTTAGCATGCTCTTCACTAACATGTTCTTCATCAACATGTTCTTCATTAATGAGCTCTTCTTGGCCAACAGCAGTCAAGAAAGCATCAGAACCCACAGGTGGATCCGTCTTGGGCCCTGCATGGTCGGACGGGCCAATACCGCTATCAAGATCGCTGCTGAACAGAGTTCGACGATCCTTCCCGCGACCCAAGCGCACATTCTCTGAGGGACCGCTTCCAGATTTCTTGAACGGAGAATTTGTAGGAAGACTAGGTTCAGATCCTTCAACCTTGTTGGAATTTTCTCCCTTGATTATGTTGCTCGTTGTCTGTCGGCGTTGTTCCTCCTTCCTCTCGTGATCAAAGATTCCCTGGAGTTTCGTAAATGTTTCAGCGACCTCCCGTTCGATACGGTGGCGGGTGCGAGCTTCCTGCTTGTTGAGCTCCTCCAACATATCATTGACATTTTCTGTTTCAGCTAGTTCATCTCTCACTGCAGAGAGTTCTGTCGCCTGCTCGGCGAGGCGAGCGTTGAGACATCCAAGTTCTTCCTCTTGCTTTGTCATCGCATCAATCAGGAGCGCATTCTCAGCAAGCACTCCCTCGACACGTGCGGCAAGTTTATCGATATCCTCTTGTTTGTTCTTGAGAGAATCTCCTTGCATTTCGATAGTTCCTAGGCACTCAGCGGCCGTATGCTCGGCAGCGGCCAGTGATTCTTCTAATTCCTCAACTTGTTGACTCAGTTCTCGTTTATTGTCATGATTCTCTTTGATCTCTTGTTCTAGCTCCTCGATAAGTCGCTCATAATTTTTTTCTTCTGCATCATATCGCTTGAGCTCTTTGTTTTTTCGGTCGATCGATATTGCTTGATCGCGGATCTCTTCCTCTAGCTCTTGTAGGCGAGTTCGTAAGTGAAGCGTATCTTCAGCATTTCTCTCCGGAGATTCTTCACTCCTCTTCAGTTTTTTCTGCACATCGTCACGTTCCTTGAGCGCCTCCTGAAACTTTTCCGTGAGTAAACGATGGGAATCAGCTGCTGAGTCTGCACGCCTTCGCTCGGTGAGTAGAGCACCACCAATCTGTCGAAGACGGTCGACTAGGGCCTTGAGTGTCGCTTTGCAGTCAAAGAGACCGGCGGCTGTCTCGCCAGGCACGATGTTCTCCAGTTCCAATCGTGCGGTTGCGAAAGCGCTACGAATCTCAGAAAGTATCGCGTGCATATTGGGTCCTGAGAACCCCATGCTGGTGAGTTCTTCTTGGGCCGTCTTCAAGGTTTGGCGAAGGTCTGACTCCTTTCTAATAGCAGCTTCCAGTTGTGGCACAATTTGTTTCATGAAATCAGCTGGAGGGTCGGTGTCGTCTGCTCCCGGTTGAGCAGAGGACTGGCTGTGTAGCTTGCGCCATTCAATGAAGAGGTCTTGCTTCTCTTTTCGCGCAGCAGCTAACTCTTCCGCTACGGAAGCCAGCTCCTCCGACGGATGATCATCCACGATGAGATATTCGGTATTGGATCCGGCCGTGGGAGTAATTGGAGAGAACGGTTCCGGGCTTGGGAAGTGATCTGAATCCGAACTACGACCGTCGTGGTGGCGTCTAAATGCCGGTGAACTCGACATGAGCATAGAATCGCCCATGGTATAGTCATCTAGAGGAATTGCCTCATCACTGTCGGACGGATCGTATGAGTTGTTATCTGAAGCGGGTCGGTATTTTTCGAGCTGCCTGGATAGAGACGCAATTTGCGCCTTTGCTCTCCTCAGGTCTCTTCTCTCGTTTTCGGCCTTATTCATCTCATCACTGATACGAGCTCGGAAAAGCCGGCGACGGGTCCGACTGTCGTCAGTTTCACTCAACAAGGCGGTTGGTTTTGCTCGCCTGGTAGTTACAGAACCGATGGAGGCGTCCGAAAGGATCTCGGCCAAAGGACCTGATCGACGACGCGTGCTTCGCAGTCTATCGAGAAGCGACGTGCGTTTTAAGCCTGGGGTAAGTCCCGTGGACGCATCAGAAGCTCTGTCATCCGGGGACGGACCGGGGTCCGAGAAGCGGACGCGTTTCGAGGCGTTTCGAGGCGTCCAAGATGAATCATCAGCCTGATTACCACCGCGTGTCATATTACCCGTCTCATTTGGAACTGATGATGCTGCACCCGCTGCCTCAATGCTTGGGGAACACGCGTAGGCTCTCTTCTGGCCGTTTCCAGCCGAAGTGCGCCTCGTACTCATATTAGGTTGTACCATGGCGTTTAAGATGCTATTGTTTAGTCAGTGACTGAAATGCCATGTTGTTAAGATCTTTAGTTATACTTACATGAACGATAACAGCTTGCAAGATTCGTTTGTTGACGCGTCTCAAAGGCTGATAATGCATAAACAGTTGAGAAATAAGATGCTATGGGAAAGAAGAGAAAGAACAGTTGATAGCAAGCGCCCCAGTTTATATACAACTGACAGTGGCAAAGACAATAGCTTTGTGCAAACAAACAAATAGCCCTAACTGGCAAACGCGGAGTGAATTGTCGAATCACAAGTTTGGAAAATCAACATGAGTCGGTTCTCTATGGAGCTTAATGTCACCAAGTTGCCCAAAAAGGAACCACCAGGGCAATTCTCAAAGGAAAATTATGGGAGGTCCCCTCAATTTAAGTGCGCATTATAGTGTTATAGTGTTATGTTGTTATGGTGTTATGGCGTACAAAGCAGATGAGCTTTTTAGCGGATATTTCAGATGTATCAAAATGGCCGGTAGAGTTCGTGCTACAGCAGGCAGCAATGCTAGTTTAAGCAAATTTGGAGTCTCCATAATCCACTTATACAGGAGATATGCTATTGAAAAAGCACGGGCATGGACCAATTGGGAAAAGGTAAACAAACCGCTCCCTAAGTTCCTGAAGAACCCATATGGGCCGTGTCCAGGAGTAAAGAAAAGGAGCACTGTGGGCCAATCGATTGGCTCATCCTAAGGTTCGTTATCAAGTCCTTCTCGAGCTCGACATGGTGGAAGAAGACGGTTTGTTTTGCAAAATGATACACAATGGTTATGCTGTAAGCTCCCTGATTGGCTGAAGACGCGACTTGACGTTTCAGGTTAGTCGACAATATTACACTTTACTCAATAAGGCATAGCCATGTAAGGGACGCGAATCATAAAACCAATATTGTTGGAGCTAATACATAAATAGACTTGCCCAACAAACAGTACGTAGTAGGAGACTCGGAGGATCGCCGAGTATGCCTGAGGCAGACCACTTAACGACTTCTGAGAGAAGATACAGATGGAATAAGCAGAGAAAAAAATGACGAGGAAGGACGAGAGGAAAAAACCTTTTATTATCGAAATACGATCCGCGTGATTAAAGGAGAGTTTCCTGGGTAGCTGGGTGAAGACGAAGAGGGCCGGAGGCGAGATGGAGGAAGAGCCGGCCATAACGACGCGTGTAGGACGCGTCGTAGTGCCGTCAACTAGAGCTCGAGAAGCTCTGGAAGGCGCTGACAGCACCGACCCCATTGCTGCGACTAGGAAGATGACGTCGAAAGCAAAGCCAACTGCAGTAAGGAAGGCTGCTAGCCAGATTGAGGAGAGACAGTGCGCCCAGGATGAAAACCAAGTGATGCTTAGAAAGATGTGTCAGTACTTGAAGGGCACCTATCAGGAGGTCAAAAGTTTACAAGAAATGCTTAGTAAACAGGAAAAAATTATCCAGGAACAAAATAACATGATCAAGGGACTGCAGGCCCAAATAGAAGTAATCCAAAACCAATCTACGGAGGATTGCAGGCAATTCTGGGAGCAGCTGGATACTATCGCGAAGGTGTTAATCAATGCAGCTTCTATGCAGAGCAAATCACAACCGTCATTCGCAAATATAACCAACAGCCAATCTGGTTACCAGCATAGTACACATCTAGGCCCCCTAGGCCCTCTAGTGCCTCCTACATTGGCTAATACACTATTTTGCACAATTGATACGTCTCGGGTTAGAGAAGAAGACAAACCCAAGGCGCAGATAGCTAACATCAGACAAATGATTGAAAAAGAGATACAGGGAAATGAAGGAATGGAGATCTGGTGTTGTGTGGCAGTAATTAAGGATCTAAAGAATGCTAACAGAGTTAAAATTATCTATAGATAGGAGAATGAAATCCTACATGTTAAAGAGGCTGCTCAAAAGCTAAATATACCAGGATAGAGAGTGTTATAAGACCAGCTCTACCTAGTGAAAATCGACAATGCTAACCAGACAGCAATCCTAGATATGAATAGTAATGTTCTATTAGGAGTAGCCGAGGCTCTAGGGAAAGAGAACAACGTCGATATTGCCAAGATTACCTGGCTTAGCAAGAGGGACTCCAATAAAGTATATGGATCTATAGTGGTATATATCACCAAAGGAACAGACGCCAAACGCCTACTAGAAGGTAACTACTTCGATATAGCAGGAGAATCTGCATATACTTGAACCTTTAAACCATGCATAGGACCATTTAAATATTACAACTATTAAGAGATAGAACATAAGGCCTTTTTATATAGAAAGACTTAGACATATGGAAAATGTGCGAAGGAGGGACACCATCACAGCACTTACCAGGCCCTAGTCCTAAAATGCATTCCTTGTAATGGACCTCATAAGTCATTTAGCAGAAACTATCGAGTTTGCCTCTTACAGTCTGATGCATAAATCACTTTGCATCCTACAACTGAATGTTAGCAAATAAGACATAGTACAACAAAGCCTAATAAATGACGACAAAACTAGAGACTATAAAGTGGTGGTATCTGTGTTGGATATCTGATACGCTAATCCCATTCTGGACGACCTTACTAATCGGTGAATCCCCGGAAAAACACAATTGCCGATCCCAGGTTTGGCACAATATCGACAGCCCTACTTTTGGATTCAGGATTGCTATTTTGCCACTATATTGTGTATATAAAGAGGATCAAGATGCGTAGCTAGCTGTGTTTTTAGAGAGCGTGCAAATCAGATTCAATTTATTCCTCACCCAGATTGTACGCTCCTATCAGAGCCTAACCCCGTTCGGACTAGTACCAAAAGATTCCAATAATCTGAGCTATACACATGGGAAATCAAAAATACTGTGGTGACAAGCCCAATGGGACACAGATACTGGATAAAGATAATACCTATAGAGAGACATGATGAAATTTGGCCAATTAGGAGCATGCTATAGATTCAGAGTGATATTGAGGCTGAACAGATCATGGTAGCATCTCCAGATCTGATAGCCATAATACTATAACTGTGACGCTGGCCAATACCTTGCATTTGTTGCTAACTAGGTGAGCCTATCTACGAAGAATAACAAGCATGAAGAAGGAAAGAAGAAGAAAAAAACACAGCGCCCCTCTACGCACAGCTCCTTCATATGATCCTTTGTGTGGACGGAACTTCCCAATACAGTACCGCTCCCAATATAGCATTGCTTAGGGCTCAAGCCCTATCTTGAGATAGCGGGAAAAGCCTCCTAGGATGACACTGTACGGAAGGCTCCGTCGCCAAGCCGTAGAGCTGTCAAGCCGCAGGGCTGGCTGTCACAAACTCTCAGACTGGGCAGTGTCGGTCTATGTAGAGGGGAACAGTGAAGAAGCATTGACATCCACTATTAGACTGCTATGTAGCCTAGTAGCAGATATCTAGGGTAGAGGAGAAACACAGATAGATGTGTTAATAATAGGAGACTTCAACAGGCATAACTAACTCTAGGACGGAGACGAGATATCTTCTACAAGACAAGGAGAAGCCGACAATCTAATTGACTATATAAGCGAAAAATCTCTACATAGCCTCCTATCTAGAGGTATGAAAACATAGCAATTAGAGGATAGAGAGACAACAATTGACTTAGTACTAGCATTAATAGAGCTAGCAGAGGATATGGTATAGTGTGGCATACACTATACAAACCATAGATCAGACCATCAAGTAATTGAGACGGAGTTTGACATATCAGTTCTAGATCGACTAGTCAATGAGAGGCTGCTCTGGAAAAATGCACCTTGGACTGAGATCAGATCTAGAGTAGCTAGCAATCTATAGGAGGTTCCTCTTGATGGCTCTGTATAAGAGCAGATGGACTGTCTTATAGCAATAGTCATGAAAGCAGTCCTGGAGCTAACACTGAAAGCAAAGCCCTTATCATACGCCAAACAATGGTGGACAACAGATCTAACACAACTTCACTATATATATGCCTACTGGAGAAATTAGGCCAGATCTCAATGCAGAAGGGGAAATATAAATCCTGAGCTTAAACAACAAGCTAAAAATGTAGCAAAAGAATACCATGATGTAATCTAGAAATAGAAGAAGGTACACTGGGAAGACTTCCTTGCTAATAATACTAATATATAGCAGGCAACTAAGTATCTAAAGCCTATTGGGAGCTCATTTAGCGATAAAATACTACCACTAATGTGGTTAGATAGGTCTACTACTAAATATAAACTAGAACAGGCTGAAGAGCTGCTTGCCACATTCTTCCCACCTCTACTAGTAAGAATTGAGGATGAGAGGTTTTAGCAATAAAGAGAGCTAATATACATGCCAAATCTAACTATGGAGGAGATTGAGCGGAAAGTGTTTAAAGCTAAACTATGGAAAGCACCCGGAGAAGATGGCCTGCCAGTAATAGTGTGGAAGTAGCTCTGGCTAGTGGTCAAAGATAGGGTGTTCCTCACCTTCCAGACATCACTTAAAGATGACGAAATCCCTTTTTAATAGTGGAACACTAAGATTATACTACTCAAAAAGCCAGGGAAGGATAATTATGCGCTAGCCAAATCATGGAGGCCTATATTATTGCTCTCAACACTAGGTAAAATACTTGAAGCGGTTGTCGCAGAGAGGATATTATATGCTATTGAAGAGTTCGGACTGTTGCCTACAAACCATTTTAGAGCGAGGAAGAGGTACTCAGCAGAACAAGCGTTGCTACTACTCTAGGAAGAGATTTACAAGGCCTGAAGGAACAAAAGAGTGCTTAGCATGGTCAGTTTCGATATCAAAGGTGCATACAATGGAGTCTACAAGGAGAGGCTACTTCAGAGACTCAAGGCAAGAGGGATACCAGAGTATATAGTTCGGTGGATTGATACTTTTTGCTCTAACCACATAGCAACTATTGTGGTCAATGGGCTAATGAGTGAACAACAAGAATTACTATAAGTAGGCTTACCACAAGGGTCGCCACTATCCCTAATACTGTTTCTATTCTTTAATGTGGATCTAGTGTAATACAGGATCAGTGCCTCAGGAGGCTTAATCGCCTTTGTAGATGACTTTACAGCCTGGGTAACAGGCCTAACTACTGAGGCAAATCAATCAGGCATTAAGGCTATAATTAATAGCGCTCTCGACTAGGAGAAGCGAAGTAGAGCTACTTTCGAAGGCGATAAAATAGCTATTGTATATTTTACTTGAAAATTGCATTGATTAAGCAGAGCCGCATTCATAGTCAAAGAAGAGTTAGTCGAACTAAAAGAGTATACCAAGATTCTTGGGGTAGTTATGGACTCTCAACTACGCTATAAATAATATATTGCTCGAGCAGCAACAAGAGGACTAAAGGCCGCCATGGCACTAAGGAGGCTGAAGGCACTCTCCCTATAAACTGCAAGGCAGCTATTTATAGCAATAGTGGCACCTATAATAGACTACGCCTCTAGTATGTGGATACATGCCTATAAGACCCATGGAATGCGGTGCCTGAATAGAGTGCAGAAGATAGGGGGTATAGCAGTCATGGGAGCCTTTTAGACAGTTGTGATGGTAGTTGTAGAAGCTAAAGTAAATATTTGCTTATTTTAAGAGCAATATATAGAGAAAGTAACAAAACTGTGGGCTAATATCTGCGCACTTCCTGGAACAAACCTACTAAGGAAGCTGAGAGTCATATTAACTTAGAGGTTTTCCTCTCTACTACAGAGTATAGCGCAAACACTAGGGATGTGACGGCTGGGCATGGCTCTGCGTTCCCGTTTCAGTTCACGGATAGGGCTAGGAGCCGTGTAACCCTATCCGCGCCGTATTGGGAAGTGATATCAACATCAGACGTCGGAACTGGATAGGGAAAGGCGCGTTGCACAGAGATTTACATGAGAAGCGAGAACCAGACCTTTTACTTCATTTCTTCCTTTTTCCCCTTTATGCTTAATATTACCTGTCGACAAGCACCTCTTGTACGAGATAGTTAGCTAGAATAGCGTACTCAAACCAAGCAGATTGGCACCGTCACAAGGGAGAGATGCAACAGATAGTATGAAAACTAGGCCTCGGAATGGTGCGGTTCCGGTTCCAACATAGAGAACCACGCACCGCACCGTGCGGTTCTGAGGTTCCTGGACTTTTGAACCGCACCGCACTGCAGAACCGTGCGGTTTAGACGCGGTTTGGACCACATAGAACCGCAGATGCATTATTCTGCCAAGAGTTTCCTTTTTGGGATGCAAATCCATACAAAGATCAATAATCGAAGACATGCAACAAAACAAATAACAAAGCGCTTGGTGAAGCTATTCCCAAGACGTGAAACTCATAGAACAAAGATCTCCGGTGGTTTCCTTGGCGTTGTGAAACCACCGCCTTCGTACGTCCTGGGGTGTCAACCTGGCTCGGGGTTGGAACCGTGAAACTTTTACTTACAAATACATTCTATAGAATCAAAAATAGTGTCTATTATTAGTTCTGATGATCTCTAGTAGCTGTTTGTTAATGGTTTAATGATATGAGGTTAGTTTATGTCGATGGTATGTGTTTGTACGCGCACAACATCCTGTCGGAATTTGGCACCACTGCAAGAAGCTGCGGGGAGTTTCTGTTATACGTGTTTCATGATTTCGGGATAGCTCACAAAATCCTTTGTGAGCTCATATCCATACTTCACTCGTTGTTTGTACATGTCTCAATTGCCGGATTGAGTCCTTACTCAATCCCCAACGTAGGTTCCTACGCAGGCATATTTATGCCTGCGTTCCCCATGAGATAGTTCGAGTTATCAGTTATCAATTAGGAATCATGTTACTATATTGATCGAACTCACCCTTAGGCTTGTTGGACTAGCCTTGCACCAATCCCTGCTTCGTGTTCTGGGACCGTGCTAAACCAACAGTATGATATATGTTGGGCTTTTGACCAACTAGACCAAAAAGCTGCGCACATACTAGATGATCTAGTATGGATGTAAATAGCTGGCAAAGGTGATATGTGATGTGAGGTGATATTCCCAACAATATATATACCGCGGAAGATAAGTGAGATTGTTTTATTTGGGTGTCGGAACGTTGGTTTACTAGACCGATGACTAAGCGAAGGCGAGCACTAAACAATACGTATAAGGAACTAGGTCTATTTTCCGGCACTCCTCTAAAACCACTATCTAGGAGTATTGAACCTGTTTTTATATACAAGATTCCATAGAAGTGATATCACCAAAAGTCGACACTTGTGCAAATCGAACTTTCTAGAGATAAGCTGTAAAGTTGATTTGTAATGTCCAATATCGCGTCGGAATGTGATGCCAATTCTCGAAATTTCTTGATACGCAAATCTTGTCCTATTCCCAAATTGGTTTAGCTCATTCTGAGTTCCAACACACTGTGTTGGAGTTCGGTTACGCTAGGATGGATACGGAATATAGGCAAATAATAAGAACTTAGAGTTGAGAATTTCGTATTGATGCACACTCCCTAATACAAAACTTGTCAGGAATGTTGACCTCTTTTATATGTGAGGTCCTGTACAAACTAGATCATGAGATGACGTCCAGTCGAACCTTCTAGACATAGGCATATAAAGCTGATTGGATGTCTATATCTCGTCAGTATGTGAATCTAGTTCTCGAAATTTCTTCATGTTAGTATTATGATGGATTCCCAATTAGGGATAGCGTATTGCGTTCCAACACACTGCGGATTAGTCTTCACCTAACGTCCTGCGTACTGCGGGGTTCTTCCTTCTTACAACTGCCTCACGAGAGTCAGCCGCTCCCCTCCGCAAGTTGCTCGTCATCTCTCACGCAGTCAAGACTTGATTTTTCCCACCCACCTCCCTATGTACATAGATTCATAGTGCCATTACAATACAGAAAATTGCCTCCCCAAGGGAGCGCGGACGGGGCCCTCTCTGACGTTGTGGTCATACGCTTTGCGCGTAAGACCTCAACAACAGGTGACCCGTGCGGCCAAACTATATATACATTGCCTATCTTGACTGAGTGAGGTCACCAATAAAACACTCATATAAGCTCTATACTGCAACTTCACTAACTTTTCCATGAAGAATCCATATTTAACTACTGATATAAACACATATTGAGTTTTCTAGATAACAAGACTATTTGCCAAATCGATATATGTCTCTTAAAAGAGTTAAAACTAAACCAGACCATGCTTGCCCCTCTATCGTATTAACCTTGTGTATACAGTTGATGGGCTTCAAATGTGAAAGGCGGTTTTTGTTGCAATGTAAGTGGTTCCTCTTCCAATTTGTTCCAGCTCTTTGCGGTTCGAACCTCATAGAACTGCAGAATCGTGGGGCTTACTATTGAATCATTATCCGAGATACAAATAGATCTATCATAACTTCGCGTTGCTTTTTTTTGAAGCCATACGCCCCTGATTTCTAGAATCCCCCCCAGGGATGATGGATTATTCTATACTCAAAGGTATCCTGTTGGTATGCTTCTGATACTATCACCTTCTCATTCTAGCTCTATTAATCACAATGTTGCATGGTTAATGTACCCAGATCTCTGACAACTACCCTCCTTCTTTTGGTATTTCTGATGATACTAGTGTCTCATTATGTCCGTCCGATGGCCTACAACCATTTACACCAGACCTGACTTATACGTATCAGTTTAACTTTACACAGGATGCGCCCCTACTTCCTTCTCCTGAGACTCTCGAACGCGTTGGCCCTCGAAACAAGAAAATTTACGTCCTTTGGACAGAGATGGTGAACAACGACTTTGTTACGTGGTGGCTCAGCATAGAATATAGAAGTCAGATGAAACGCAATATTTTTGAAGGCAAGCACCAGTCAGAATGTTGGCAACACTTTCACTAGGTTGCTGCGATCCAAGATGGGTCTCCTAAGGTTATATGTAAAGTGTGCAACTATATACTGAGCCACTCTGCAGATCGCCACCGTGGAACATCATCTATGAATAAACACTATTCGTCAGGGGTAAATTGTTGGAAATTGGTACTAATCTCAAAGGATATTAAAAGGTTCATACAAGATAGGATATGTTAAGTGTGATTTAGACATTCTATTTCCATAGTCCTCAGATCTCTTCTAATCCTACCTAGATGCATAGCGCTCCTCAAAAAACGCACTATACCGCGAAAGCTTGGATGGAGAGGCTAGTGACCTTTATTACTACTTCATGGTTACCCTTCCAGCTTGTTGAGTATCCTTAGTTTCGTGCACTTATTGAAATAGCGCAACGTGCTTCTTTGCTCCCCATATTACCTTGTGCAAAAACTATCCAAAATCATCTTCAAGAATTGGTTCAAGAATGACAGAAGTCTCTTCTTCAGAAGCTACTACAAGGCGTAAAGCTTTCTATTGCACTAGATTGCTGGACATCCCTATTTTGCTAGTCTTTTATGGCTGTGACAGGCTACTTTCTGGATGTGGATTAGAATTACCGCGAGATCTTACTTGGCTTTGAACCACTTTCTGGCTCGCATACTGGGGCTTATTTGAGTATAGTTCTTCAACAAGTACTCGAAGAACATCAGATCGAAGCTCAGATCTTGACAGTCACAACAGACAATGCGGCTAATAACTTAATATTAATGAATTCACTTAGCGAGTCCCTTCAATCGATTGAACTACCAAACCAGATACCAGTGGTCCACATACCATGTATAGCCTATATAATTTAACTGAGCTTGAACGAGTTTCTTGGCCGGATGGAAGTGAATCCAAGAAACAACAGAGAGGAGATAGAATGGACTGAAAGAGATAAAAGTGCCCAGCCAGAGAACCAGGATATCATTTATACCCTTGAGAAGGTAAAATCCCCCTATTATATACACTTCCAACGACTTATAAGTTTCTAGATTTGATGGCTTGCAGTCTTCATCAACTGAAGCCCATAACGCCGTGAGAATTTCCTTGATCTTCAGAGCAAAGAGCTAAAGCTTGTTCTAATTCAAGATGTTCATACACGCTGGAACTCAACATTCCTGATGCTCTACCATGCTAGAAAGCTACAGTCTATCTTTGATAAGTACTGTTCTAAATATGGTCAACCTAATCTTAAGCTTATAAAGGAGGAATGGTGGCAGGTTAACTATCTTTTATCAATAACAAAGCCATTTTTTACCTTCACAATGTCTCTCTCACAGACAAAAGAAGTTACTATTCATAGTGTTTTTGCCATCTACAACTATCTCTTTACACATCTCGAGAAATGTACGGCACAGCTCAGCCGGAAAAGAGTTGGCTGGAAAAAGGTAATGTTGGCTGCTCTGGACTCAGCAAAGGAGAAGCTTTCAGAATATTATGCAATAACTGATCATGTTGGTGGTAATCTCTATGCTATTAGAATAATCCTAGCCCTACAAAATAAGCTAGAATTCTTTTCTACTTCTGAGTGGGAGCCAGAATGGCGTGTCCGATACCGCAAGAGCCTTGAGGAGTATATTGTGCCCTATGAGAAACGCTATTTAGAGACTTAGACTTAGTCAATACCAATACGCCAGATATTGACTGGTCGTATATCTGATATTGATATGCTCGTAACAGCAGCTACATCTCTATAGCTACAAATAACCGCCCATGACGAGATATCATGTTATCTTGGGAGCAGTAAGCTATACTTTACACTCTCTTATAACTTGCCTACTAACCTCCATCTGTACAGGCACTTAGCTAATGAATCTATAAATATTTTGGAAGAATCATCAATTTAGATACCCTATCCTTGCAAGTCTTGCCTAGGATATTCTCACAACTCCTGCTAGTGGCTCTGGTGTTAAACGGTTATTCAACTCTGCCTGTGATATCTGTCACTATTGTTGAGGCTTATTGAAATCCTATACTATTAAGGAGCTCATGTTATTCATGTGCACAACGAAGTTCGACCTTGAATCAGAAGAACTTTCCCTTATAGATGAGTATCTTATAACATAAGAGATACAAAGAGCTAGGGAGGAAAGGGATGATCAGCAAGCACTCAAAGCTTAGAATACAAAGTATGATTTTGACCCAATCAGTGATAGCGAGGAGGCTGAGAGTAAGGATGAATCCTTAGTACTACCTTAAAGTCCTCAAGCTTCCCAAGCACGCAGTCAGCGTTCGCTTGGTAAAAGACCAGCAAGGGAGGAAGAGCCACTGATTGAATTGGATGGAAATGAGGAAGATGAGGTTCCTTTACCTTACAATAGGCATCTGGTGACAGTAAGCAGTACCCAGAGACGCTCGTCTGGCCGTCAACCGAAGCGTTCCAAGCGAGATGAAGACTTTGTATATGAGACTCCTTAGCAATTTAGTATAGAATGTCAAGATTACTTGTTTAACTAATTAATTCTTGCATTAATTTCTGAATGTATTTATCCTATAGCAGGTATCTCCTAGTTATTCGACCTAGGTGGTAAACAGATTACCCAAAAATACAGCTAGAATTTGCATAAAATATGCATATCATAGAATCTCTCTGTTTGTACTGTTTGTAGAACCGCTGGTCCTAACCGCGTTCAAAGCGGTGCGGTTCTTAAAAAGTTGGAACTGCACCGCACCATCTTGCGGTGCGGTGCGGTTTGGTCCCGGTTCCTTGGGGTGTGCTCCGAGGCCTAATGAAAACCATTAATGTGTACGCGGTGTTTCTATAGACAGATCGACTGCAGATAAGAGGTGAACATGATAGAGAGAAAGCCATTAGAATTACCAACAGTACAGAAGGTATTCTTATTGCCACTAGCTCATATACAAAGGGTGACATAGTAGGCATGAGAGAAAGCATTAAGGATATCTAGGTTAACAGTGCAAATAATGTACTGACTAGCTATACTACAATACTATTAAGTTGAACAGAACAGAACCTATACACAGCTGAGCTGGAAGCAATAGCTGCAGGATTAAAACATATTCCGCTATGGGTCTTTAATAAGTAAGTGACTATTCTTAGCAGCAATTAATCAGTATTAGCTGCTATTGGACAACCACGTCAATAGTCTGGCCAAAGTGTAATTCAATAGATATATATAATAGCCTAGCTTCTTTAAGGAAGGAAAAATGTGATCAACCTACTTTGGGTCCTAGCATATACTAATTCTGCATTAAGATTAAAGGCAAAAATGGCCGCTCAAAGATTAACAAGAGAAGGATGTGAACCAGAAAAGCAATCATACCAGGCTAAATCTACCGCAGTGAGACTTGCTATTGCTAAATAATGACATAAGAGAGCCCTTCCAGATGGAGTGGGTAGATACTTAAAGACCATTGACTTAGCGTTGCAAGGAAAGTATACCAATAGCCTATATAATAGGCTGAAGTGGAAAGAAGCTGTAGTTCTGGCGCAACTCCGGACAGGAATGACTAGGCTTAACAGCTACCTAAATAGGATAGGAGCTATAGAGTTAAACCTCTGCGCTTGTGGCTGGACAAGCGAGACTATAGAGTACTTTCTATTTTGCTGTACAAGGTGGGCAGGAATGAGAGAAGGCATACTACAGTGTACAGAAACAAGAAAAGGGAGTCTATCTTTCTACCTTGGAGGAAAGGCATAATCTGATCCCAAGTGATGGCGACTAGATATTAAAGCAGTACAAACGACAATTAGATATGTAATATTAATAGGAAGACTTCATATAGAGTAGAAATAGGAACCAAGTCAGTCACAGCAAAGCTAGCACTAACTAACTATTCCTACCCTCACATACAATAGATACCACTGCAGCCGCCGAGGATAGGACGCTGCACACTTAAAGAAGACAGCCTTTAAGCTGGTCTATCAATTCTTTTTAACATACAAGATGTTGGGATCTACAAGCTAAGGAGACCTTAACTCCAGATACCAAGATAACTATGTTGAAGCAGGAAAAGCAGGGGCTTGTAGGAGGAGAGGTCGGAAACACATGAGGTGTATATATCTAGAGCGCTAGTGCCCTATAGGGTTAGTCCCTCCGGGCGTAATAAATCATCATCATCATCATATTTCAGCATCTCTTCCTTCTCTGAACTGGTTGATTTGTCTGCTTCATTACTTATCCCACCCTACTTTTCTATCATTTCATTCCGTGGTCTCGTCTTAATGGTATGCGGGAGCGTGCAATTTGGCTCTACACTTTTAGCTATCATCTCATCAACCGCCACAGAACCGGGGAAGGGGCGGTCTCTGGAGGTTCTTAGTCAAATAGCCTTCCAATACATCCATTGTCAAGATATGAACTTTTTGGACTTTTAGGCTACCTAGATCCGATTAACAACGCTGGCTTTTCTACGATACATTTTGAGGACCGGTTTTGACATCACATTGAGAGGATAACGGAACACTTTGACATCATAACAGTTTAACAATTCTACTTGGTCATACCGACCAAACCTTTTACGCCATCATACTAGTTCCTCGATCAGTGCAACCGCAGTGACCTCATGTTCAGTATTTTCATCACCACACTTCCCGAGGTCAGAACCAGCATTGTTTCTTCCATGGAAAACCCGGCCATATCCGTGCCGCAGCACACCAATACGGGGGAGCGGCTTGTGGGTTAAAGTGCGCTACGGAACGGATATTCTCTGCAGATGACTATGCAGGGATTTCGAATGCAGGTGCCTACTTTTGGCTAAGACTCCAGCGAGCCTATCATTTCAGTTGGCCGGGGAGTGTCAGGGGCTTGCATCTATATTCTCAGCCTTTCATTCAGCCCTGGTGCAACCGAAAAAGCTCCGCGAATTAGAATACTACATGGTACGTTCAAATGTAAAATTCTCAGGCTGGGTGGCCCAGTGAAGGGAAAAAAAAAAATGGCGCGCTATGCATGTCTTCATACCCTCCATCTCAACCTTAGAGAGAAGCATAAAATGCTGGGCTTTTCTGCTTTGCTCTAATCTTGCCTTTCACTTCCTTTCCCCGGTAAGCATAAAGATCAAGATATCAGCTCGGACTTCAAGGCCCAAAATCTTTACAAATTCTCGCTACATTAGAACTTCTCGATCTATCTTCAAATATCTATCGATATGCGTTTCCTCAGCCTCTCCCTCTCTGCTCTAGGGCTTTGTGTCCTATACGCAAGAGCTCTACCCGCTCCAGAATCCTGTAAGCAAAGACTATGTTTCTTTCCTCCGTCACAGGCCAGATCGGTTATACCGAGAGTATTAATTAACAGGTCCTGACATCATTTCAGCAGCAGCAGCAGTAGTTAACAACACCAACACGACCTCCTCGCAAGATCCAGCACCACCGAAGGAAGATGATTCGGATGATGCGTTCAGCTACCAGTGGCGTCGGATAGCTTAATCTCCGTCGAACGGGAGGACTGTAGAAGTGATTTTCAGTGTGTATTTTATGAATGGAACCTGGGGAAATACAACTAAAGGATAGACTTATACGGATACAAATGTCTCATTCTTCGTTGGTTTGCCGTAATAAATAGAACATGGTATTTCTCGCTGACTTCGATATGAGTTCATTCTCCTTCGTACTCCAAGAAAGTCCTATTGCTACTTGTTCTCTAGTTCCCACGTAACCTCGAGGATTGCGAGTCTGGATCCCGGTGGTTGTCTCATGCCTTTGAATATGAATCTTGAGTCGGCCTGTGCGAACAGGCTAATCCACTCATCAAGAGCCCGTTCTTTGCTATTGCCGATTTCCAACATTGTCAAGTCCATAGCTCTGAATGATCAATTAGCGCAAACCCCGGAAAAACGAAGATCTTGAGACAACTTACCTCAACTTTCTATCCAGTAAGTTAGGGAGCACGCCAGGAGGCGGCATAACAAAGTCTGCAATCAGGACACGCGCACCCGCCTTTAAAGCTGGTATTAATGCCCTGAGTGCCTTGATACAATACTTGTCGGGCCAGTTATGCAACGTCCAGCGAAAGAGATAAGCATCAGCACCGTGCACAGGCTGTTCCTCGAAGAAGTCATGAACCATGAACTTGACATCCAGGCCAAACTCTTCCTTGGAATTCGCGACAACCTGAGGGAGTTCTTGCACGATTAAATGGAGACCGGGGTATTTACGAGCCAGAGCAAACGCTGCATCGCCATGGGATCCACCTAGGTCGACAACAGTTCCCCCCGAACCGATCGAACCCCAGTCATATCCATCGGTTAGATGACGGAGGGAATATTCATCACCTGTGGTGAAAAAACTCATCGCTCCACCGAATCGGCGCGCTCGATCGGGATTCTTTTCCAGCTCAGCGTAAAAAGACTGATCTGTCCCATTCGCAAGTGCAAACCCCTGTATACCCAGAATAAGCCAATCATCAACATCAGAACTCAACTTTTAGAGACAAACAGTTTGGTTAGGCTCTTCAGCTAGTGGCCACTTCACAAGAGCATCTACAACTTTCTCAGCTGCGGGCCACATATCGTCTACATTTGCTCCGACCCAACTCGCGACACGCGTGTCTTCTGCAATAAGTCTAGAAGCTGCAGAATGCGCAATAAAACCTGGGCGGGGCTCCCTAAAGATGCGGTGCGCAATGCCAAGTCGCAGAATAGAAGTAAGCGCAGCACGATCAACGCCAACAGTGGCTGCCAAATCGACGAATGTGATTTCTCCAGTTATGGGTACTTTGCTGGCAAGATCAAAGCGTGAAATCAGTTTAAGATAAGCCAGCAGGTTATGCTTTTTAAAGCATTAGCAATTATCTTTGTAAGGAAACCGCATCGATTACAGACCTGATGATTGAAAAGTAAATCGCGTGGTCCTTGGAGTAGGTCGTTCAGCTCTTGGCTTGCTTCAAGGACTATGGTGCGAGATTCTTCGATTTCCGGTGGTAGTCCCAGATCAACAGGGCCACCAGCATCAAACGATGGATATGGTAAGTCTTTCTCGGCAAGGTAGCTGTCAATTCGCCGAGTGTGTTGCGCCACTGTGGTCGCCAGCTCGGCGATCCTGCTCTGAGCGGAAGCCATGGCGGTTCAGCTGGGGTTAGATGCTTCAAACACCATAAAATGTGAAAAAGGATGAAGATAGAAATGAGAATGTACTAGTAACCGATAAGAAGTATGGTAGTAGGTGACTCAAGACATGTGATTGACCGCCCTGAGTCCAACAAAGGGAAAGCGGCCTCAGGCAGCAGCCACTTCAAGCATACATAACAAGCTATATTTCACTACAGTAATGATTTAATTAGACCTGTCAGCCGCAAAAAGCCTAGGAAATCTACATAAACTCCCACTTCTAAAACAGGGCCTCGTTCGTGATCGAGCGGCATATTTGCCTGTTCTCAGGACCCAATCAAGCAACATCAACAGGTCAATCTCTTCAGCCTCGCTGCGAGCTGGCCAAAAATTAAATGGCGCAATGCAACCTGATACCCAGACTATTGCATCTACCAGGTCATTTTGCTTGAGCCGGAAAATTCGGACACCGATATTGTTCAATGACTGAGCTGAAAAGAAACCCCGCTCAACCCCTTGTCTTGATTTCTCAAAAAGTAGTCCTACATGTACCCCGGTCAACCTATTACCGCACAGGAAGAATTTCGTGCAACTATTCGTTCACGGACGTACGATTATGGACACCGCGCCGATCAATCCAAAATGCAATCCGTGGGGCTTAGGCATCCAACAGCAACCATGCAGTCATGCAAAATACAGTTAACAATGTGTTTACGGTATATGACCACCAGAGGGACAGGTGTGTCTACACTTGTGTTCTATCCATCGTCACTCTTTACTGTTAAGGCATCAATCATATGGTCTACCCAACATCGAGATGGTTAACACAAAAGACTACTCTCGCCTGTCCTCATCGGAAGATGATTCTCTCAATGTCCCTCGGCGGGAATGGCGGTTATCGGCTCTACAAAAAGCCTTCTTCTCATCTATTATCTTAATAGGTATGATTTGTATGGTTACTCTTGGTTTCATCCTTGGCTCTTGGTACGGACATATGTCAAGCTACACCTCTATCGGTACGTATTGAGTGCCCCAAAACGGAACCACATAGATTTGACCGACAATTTTTTGCAGAGCCTGGTGGCGACTTGCACTACTATATGCGCTTCAATGGATCCTATCCTCAAAGGTCGAGTCTACAAAGTGATGCTCTATGGGACTCATTATTTCCAGAAAAGAAAGGCTTTGTTAAACATCCGAAGCTTGCTCCGAATGTTGCTGGAATTGCTGTTTTTCATGAACTTCATTGCTTAGTGAGTAATACGAGAAATATGAGTATTAGGTTGGAGAAGAGCTGATAAAGGGGGAACATATATATAGAACATCCTTAGGATGGCTTTTTTTGCATCAGTGGACGGATTACTGGAGGAAATGGGAGCAGAAAGCGAGGAAATGAACCACCGCACCAGCCATCATCACATCCGTCATTGTTTTGAATATCTTCGGCAGTCATTGATTTGTCTCGCGGATTCAAATCTTGAGTCAATGAACTACACCACTCGGGGAGTCTCCGGATGGCAAACTGAACGGACATGCAGGGATTTTGAGCGGTTAAAATCATGGGCTGATGATTGGGGTATCTCCAAGGAGGACGCTCTACACAATTGGGACAGTCAAGGGCACTTTGATGGTGATAGCAGTTCTATGTAGTTTATCAATGTGGTTCTTTCTTAGCTGTAATATGCTCTGGTCCCAGGCTTTCTGGATTCGGTAATACCCCTGGTCGGAATATGTCAACAGCGCGCTCTCGAGTCCAAGCAGTGAGCGATTCGAAATCAATGCACTGATGAGAGCCCCAACTCCGGGCTGTCACGTCGTTGCTTCCTTGTAGGTATGTGTAGGTAGCCAGAGAGACATCTCCTCTACACATTATACCTTGTCTCAACGTCTCGATGCAATGATCTTGGGAGAGAAGATTAGTAGACAGCAATAAACGTCGACGCGGCACTGCCAATGACAATAGGATAGGTGCTACCTACCGACATGCCTTTTGAGCTCATTCCGAGCAAACCCTTGCACATGCTCGAAGTAAGTTTCCTTGTAGATGTATTGACGGATTTTCTTCTGTTGAGCATTTGTCAGTTTGATTATCCTCATACAACTCAAATGAAGAACTAATCTTACCAAACAATGAAGCTCATGAGTCACAAAAAGCTCAGATGCGAATCCTGAACCATCCGCCAGAGGCAAAGAAGTGATATTGTAGTAATCCAAATCTTCTTTTGATACTCTGATAGTAGAATCTGATATACAGTCCGCGTGAGAAAACAATTTTTTTACACCCATATAGATAACAACCAACACAAACCTTCAAGAAGATTGTGCCACGCCTGATCGAGTTCTAGGCTCGGGTCACCCGCAAATGGTGTATCGGCCACTGTCAAGGAGAACACCCGATTGTCTTTGCGGAAAGCTGAAGAATGTGCCAGAGCTGTCCAACCAGATAAGAACATACGCAACGTAATAGAAAGCGTCAGATGCTATACATACATGGAAAGAGATCGGGTTTCATGGTACGCAAGTCAGACTCTAGTTTCTTGGAATGAATCCAGAGCTTGACGTGCATACCCATGAGGATGAGATAGCAAATTGCCGTAAAGACATGTATAGAGCGAAAACGTCTTCTGTCATAGTATTGTACTTCCTTTTCCGGGGCAGAGTCATGTTCTTCGTCGCAGGCTGTGTACAGAGGCGCAGTCGCAGTATCATCCTCGTCCCCGTTCAACATTTTTACTGCGCATGCAGGAGTGCATTCGCGATTGTTACTGCTGAGATTCCTGGTTATCACAACTCGCACCTATTTTGGGGTCTAACATGTAATTTCTATCTGAGGTAGAAAAATTCATGTCGGATCGCAAGCTCGGTAAGTGTGAAGAAGTCATTGAAGTAATGATAATATTGCCTACCTATGTATATATCGCGCATTTCGCATCGGTGAGTGAATCGCCCATGTTCCTTCTTCAGCTGCTGAGTGTGGTCGCATTTGGACATGCATTGGCTCATCAAGGAAATGTAGCAGGGATGTGTCTCTCTAGAAAAGGGAGGAGTATGCATAATAGCGCAGCCTAAGTCGCTCATGCATATGCAACTCCGTATGCACAATGCAACAATCTTCCTCAGCACGGAGTTACCATGACAGGTTACCAAGAGTGGTAATTACTCAATTACCAATGCTGATTGGCAATACGAATCTTGATGCGCTGTGAACATTCCGCCGATATTTGCATCCCCATCCACTCCACTGACGCCTACAGAATTCAAGGCCGGTAAGAGAAGGGCGCGTACGAGGCAGAAGAAAAGAGCCAATCTATTATGTCCACTTCTTGCTATACCTTGTTTATGACGTCTCAACACTACTAAGCCGCCCCCAATATTGTTTACATGCCTGCTATTGGGACGGCGACGACCTGATAACACCGGCTTTCAAATAAGCACAATTTTAAATCAAAAATGGCTTGGACAGCCACGAATTTCATTGCTATTGGCGTGACTTTTATGATGCTTGCAATAATCTCTGTTGCTTTGAGGTTCTGGGCTCGGGCAAATTGCGATACCAAATTTGGTGCCGATGATGTCTTGATTATACCAGCCGCGGTAAGCAAATCCATGAAACCCGTTCAGGCGGCGGACAAAATCGAAATATAACAATATTGCAGATATGTGTGGTAGGTATTGCTGTTACCATGATTATAGGTAGGTAATGGCAGTCGATTGAAGTACGTGCGTGGTCTGTCTAATTCTGATTGTTCAAGGTACACAAATCGGCGAGATGGCACAGCATCAGATGAGCGAATATGATTCCAGTGGGCATCCAATATATATGCAGACTCTAGCTAACTATGAGAAAGTAAGGGGCATTCCACTCTTGCTTCACAGAGACGGACTGGTTGGTGACTTTTTATCTTCTAGTGCAACTACATTCTCCAACTTCTACCATTGGCATCGTTGGGTTTCAGCAAGACTTCCGTCTTATGCTTTTACCGCCGAGTGTTCTTCATTAGCCACCGATTTATGATTGTGAATACAGTCCTAATAGTGGTAGTGGTGCTCTGGGCAGTATCTTTCTTCTTCGCTACGGCATTCCAATGCAGGGACCCTACTACGCTCTGGTCAACTTTTGAGTATGCGAGAACGAACTGTGTCGACACCATACCGTTCTATTACGCCGTTTCAATCAGTGGGTTCATCACCGACATCATGATTTTGGCATCGCCTCTTCCCGTAATATACAGGTTACGACTACCCCTGAAAAGTCGAATTGCCGTGGCAGGAATATTTCTACTAGGGACAGTGTGCGTGCCCCACCCCAGTAGATACCTGGATGAATGTCATGTTATTATTAACAAGAGCAGTGTTTGTGGCGCAGGAATCGCACGATTTGTGACTTTTGTCAATATCGGTCACGGCATATTTGCTAATATAAACGACATCACTTGTAGGACTTCTCCCTCCAAAGATGGTACATCGATAATAGTTAACCATGTATACAGACTTTACAACACCAGTATTTGTTTGGACAGTCATCGAGAGCTCTCTTGCTGTGGTTGGAGCAAATCTCCCACTCCTCCGTTCGATCCCCCTTAAGAGGGCATATATCTCCTACTTTCCCACTGGGTCAAAGAATCGCTTCCAAAGCTCCAGAAAACGCCATTTGCTCGAAAATGGGAATAATAGCTTACCCAGATACGACTATATGGATAAGGGGGCCCCATTGACGGGCCTTTCTGATAATAATACTGAGCTGTCTGGAGCCCCTTGATCACATGCGATCTGGAGTCGTACACCTCCCTCGCCATTATATCTATATTGAAGTATAGACATAGCAGTGGATAGTGCTTCGAGGAGGCTCTAAAGGAATTGTCAAGGTCTACCCTTGGGAGAAACATGAAAAGAGCAAGTATAGAATCACTAATCTGTTATGTTACAAATGGGTTAAACTATACTCTCATGTACACTTTAGAGAATTGAACGATAATATCGCGATCCTGAAAATGTGCCTGCGGATACCCATGTAGCATACCTTCCATTCCTGGAGGAGGATGCAAATAAAGAAAGCTAAAAAAAATAACTGGTGGTCTACAATCAGGCAAAGGTACCGTTCAGCCTCGGGAATAGCTCTTCCGCAGCTCCAAAGTAGATATTCTTCCTCATGGCATCGTCCATGTTGTACACATCAATGAACTTGGTAAAGCTCTGACTGAAAGGGACTGTTGCATGTGGGAAGTCACTACCAAGCAAAACGTGCCCTTCTTTGGCGAACCCAGGAACAATGGAGAGGACCTCCTGACTCCCTGATAGCGCGAGGTCGAAATAAAAGCTTCTTGCCTATTCGATGATATCTTCCGCACTTATCAGAGAGCCGAACTCAGGTAGTGATATCATAGTTCCTCGCTTGACTAACGCCACCAAGTCGTGCGAGCATACGATCTTGACATCTGGGAATTGCCGTAGACGCCCGAGCGCTGTCTCATGTGACCAGTCAAACGCGGGCATTGGCAAGCTGTCGTGGAAGTAAATAGCATTCTTGTTGTTTATAGGATGGACAAACACAACAGCCTTGCGGCTGTAGGTACATCAAAGCAGTTCCAGCATGAGGCAATATAGCTGAGTAATGGTTCCATTGAATGGGAAGAAAGATAGAGTAACCACATATAATACAACAGCATTGACGCTGAATCTAAATTATGGCCCATAGAAGATTGTTGCATGGTTAGGATGCTCCGGTTCTTCCACCTCCAAGGAGTTAACTTATATGGTTAGGGTTAGGGCTTGAAACACTCACATGACCTTCAGTGGGTCAGCACGTCTTGGGAAGAATATGATTGGCTCGCTGTAGTATCATGCCGAGTTCGCTTGACATCAGCAAGGTTTCCTTGACTGCCCAACTCGGCTTAACCTCAATCCTATGTCCATTATTAAGTGTATGCAGTCCTGTCTTCTATAGCTCGCCTTCGGTCTACTGGTTGGATTACGTTCATCTCATGACAGGGACATGCAATATCAGATGGGATGAGCTTCACAAAGTCTCTTATCGCTCACTCGAGATGATGTCATCCTAATCTTGGATCTAAGTTAAATATTGAGTGAAACTGGAGTAGGACTTGTATCTTACTGCCGATCAACACTTGTTGAGTGGTATTTTTAAGGGACAAAATGGGCCAGCTGACAGATTTGCCCGATGAGTTACTCCACGACGTGCTCTCACTTCTCCCCGCGGTAGACCTAGTATCAGTCTCCGCAACTTGTCGAACATTATATCGGCTATCCCAAGATGAGAAGCTATGGCAACGCCTCGTCAACGCCAACATCCCCCACAAGATTGACAAACCTGGCGTTTTTGATACTTTTCGTGACCTTTACTCTGCCCATCATCCATACTGGTTTCTTCCGAGGAACAAGATCTGGTTCTCGGATGGTGAATATACCGGGACATTAATCATCAGCCGCTACGACAATAGGCGTGGAGTAGTCGAAGCTTTTCGACTTGTGGCCGAGTACAGGGAGGAAACGGCTGTTCCGTGGCGGTCTCATCCGGACGTTGAGATTCAACCTTTTAATCCACGATTGCGCCTATGGCTCGATGATCCGGTTATTGAGCTGCGCAACCCTAAGTTGCTGCATTTTCGAGATCGACAGTATTCCCCGGATCAGTTTCGGATGACCATGGTAGGTCAAAATACTAGAGTCTGCAGCTCATTTTCGCTATGTAGGGGAAACCTCGGCAACGCTCCGAAAATCAAAAATGACCTCCTCTGGCCACCTGTCACAATACCCGGTGAGAGGTCGGCTCGTAGACACCACGAACACCTCGTTGACGAGAAATCAAACACATATCAGCAAATTCAGAAGCTTTGTCAAGACCCTGAACGAATTTCTGAAACCAGTTTCTATCTACGGAAATGGCTACATTTCGGCGTAGGGCAGCCGGTTATCCCCAGACAGCCTGTTGATCAGACATATATTTTTGCAACGCTTGATCCGGCATTATATACCCCTACAAAGGATAAACCATTTCAAGGAATATGGGTTGGGGATTACAATTTCCATAAATGTGAATTCCTCTTGTTTCTGCAGAGAGATCCCGGGGAGCCTGCGCCATTGTTGAATAATGCCCGAAGACATTTACGAGCCATGATAGGCGGCGCACGGATTTTTGAGGAGACTAACAATGACGATAATGATGACGGAATTGAAGAAGAAGAACAAGAAGTAGCATTACTCAACGGCCGATTCGAAGACGCCTTTGAGCGCGCCAGTCCACCAGTTACGCAGCCGAGCGATGAAGTCGAAGAATTTAACGGCACCAGATTCCAGGGTCGTTTGGAAGGGATTAAATTAACGGGAGACCCAAACATTCCTCGCGGAGAGATATCGTTTGTGGCAGAAGATATTGGACCCAGGGGGTTGATTGGTGTTTCACAGGATGGGGAGTTTCGTGGTGCAAGAGTTGTGCAGAGTAAGGGACATATTGCATTTCAGCACTATACTGATGGTGAGTACAACTTCAGACAATGCATGGACAACGTGCTAATGATGACTAGACCAATGGGTTAATACGCAACTATTCCTAATTTCGCCGGATTATGTGGCTCAGTACTGGGAACCGATGCGGCATATATCGTTCTTTCGACGTGTGGATATCGATCAATTCACCAAGATATGACGAATATAGTGTTGCATTTACAGCAGGTTGTATGAACAGATATAATCATTAGCGAGGACGTTGCAATAATCTATATCCCAACTCTCGACTTAAACTATTTAATGGTTAATGGCTGTAAGAGTAACAATAACAACGATGCTGCCAATGGCAAATAACCACAATCAACGGCTGTACAAGAGAACCAGGGAAACACGAAGATACAAGACCAAACGCCTAGGTATATAGTTCATAGCGATTTCGTGGGAAAGTAGTAATATGCCAGCGGTCGCCTCATTTCTCTCGGCTTCGATTCGTAGTCATGTATAACGTCTTTCCAGGGAGCTCGGCTCGACCGAATTCCAACTTAAAAGAGGGAGATGCGAAAAGATCTCGTGACCCGACTTTACGTTTAGCCAGGGAAAAGAGGCACCCAGAAAGCTGCCAAAAACAGCAACTAACGTCGTCGCTCAAAGTAGGAGGTCGATCCTAACACGGCAACGGATTGATCCATCACCCATTCTCCGACACCCAAATAACTTTCTATCCATCGTTTGATATCCTTGCTATCGGTAATCTTATCTGCGTTGAGACTGGGGCTGTGCGCTTGAGTCCTAAAGACACCAATCTATCTTTTACTCTCACAATCTGTTTCACTCTTGAGAAAGCAAGGTGAAGAAGGTTAATGGAGCAAAAGGTAGACCGATGTTTGGGGCGGACGTGCGAGAATTAGTACTCTTTCCTTCGTGGTCCATCAAGCCGGGTCGATGTCGTTCAAGGAGAGAGGTTATTTGGAACATACGTAAGGCCAGTAGATCGCTTAATTCCTGCGAGGAAGGCAGAGACTTGATGCTTTGTTAGTTGTCGATGCGCCAGTGGATATCTCTTGCTTGTACATACTCAATACTGCATCAAATGCATAATGTGTCAGACGACCGAGCTGCATAGCTAGGTTAGTGTCGTTCGCTTGCTGTTGCGGAGTTTCGGCAGAGGTACGTACAACCATTTTGACTGTACAGAAGCTGAAGAGGTTCTGGATATGGATGGGTATAACAAGATAATGAGTTTGAAATTGTTCACTCGATGTTCACTGATTTGCAGAGATCATCACATCCAATCGTCGGAGGTGACCCTCGGAAGGCGGTGACGGTCATGGGCAACCAACAGTCTCGAACCATGTGATTTGGATGCCTGAGGTCATGTGACCAGATTGGGATCTGACATATCCCTTATCGATAAGAAGATGAGAGAGCAACCAATCATCAGTTGCACGGCCCTCCCCCCACCATGTTGTTTTTTTTGTTGCAGTCCTGGACTTGGCTTTACGATAAGAGTGTCAATTTGTATGAGCAAGCAGTATGCCAAGGTGGCAACCATGTCTATATATCTGTATAAAAATATTCTTCGGTCAATTGCTTTTGTATATCACCAAGACATATCCCACATAGTTGGGACACCGATTGGGTGATTTGCATCGGCTATAGACGGAGATATCAACCTGATTGGCAGCTGTCGAGATCCAAGCTATAGATGCAAGTTTCATGATCTGATGATCATGATACAGTCTACAGGGTATGTATGAGGCTAGCTGGTTGTAGAGTTGCACAGTCACCGAGTGACCGTACACCGGATTTGGCGGATCAGGAGAGCGGTACAACTATCTACCGTTGGGGACATTGTAATCTTGCATTTAGAGAGCAGTTGTCAGGAGAGAATAACATGATCGTCAATGGATTGAGGAGATATAAAAGTACGATAGTTCATATAAAAAGTCAGAATGCACGATATCAGGAAGAAAATAATCCAAAAGCCTGAGGTATCCAATCGTAAGGGAAAAAAAAAAAGAAAATCTGGCACTAAGCCTATTTGAGCGCCGGACCACTTGCATTTTTGGTAGCGCCCACGCTGGTTCTTTCCCCTCCGCAGCTTGCGACAAATCTTAATACTTTGCTATCTCAACCTCTCTCCCTTGCTTCTTCTTCTTCCTCTTTTTCCTCTTTCTCCTTTCATAATTCATCTCACCTTGCATTCCTCACTCCTGCATTCTTTCTTGGATAGATCGTTTCTGTCCAGGTATTTGCAGCAGTCGTTGATCCCCGCGTCGGAAGTCAGATCTGCTCTTCTGTTCCCCTCTTCAAAAGAGAGTCCCATTCAGCAATGGCTACCAACGCATTCGATCACCTTACCAACCGTATGAAGCTGGAATGGTACTCCCAGCTTAATACCGAGATGGCTCCTGAGGGCAACTACCGTCGCACCTCCATCATTTGCACCATCGGTATGAGCCCATCATGCTTTGGTCTTTTAAGTGATTGCTGCTTCCGATAAGCCCGTACTAAACAACTCTTCCCGCCAGGTCCCAAGACTAACTCCGTCGAGAAGATCAATGAGCTTCGCAAAGGTACCAATCCACCTACTTAAAATTCGTTATAGAAATAATGATGATAGTTTTGGAACGTCATCGCTGACCGAAACAAATATAGCCGGTCTCAATGTTGTTCGCATGAACTTCTCTCACGGCTCATACGAGGTTGGCTATCCGCCCCGTAATTCATCGTATGATCGTACAGTATCTTGTTAACTGTCAATTCCAGTACCACCAATCTGTTATTGACAATGCCCGCGAGGCCGAGCGCACCCAGGCTGGTCGCCCAGTTGCCATTGCTCTTGACACTGTAGGTTCTCAAAAGATGTTGTTGCTCGACATCCTTCTCTAACAATCGATTGATCATCGTATAGAAAGGACCTGAGATCCGTACCGGAAACACAGTCGACGACAAGGACTACCCCATATCTGCTGGAACAGTGTTCAATGTCACCACCGATGAGCAATATGCTACTGCCAGCGACAACAAGAATATGTATGTTTACACTCCAGCATTGACAGTTATTGGAAGAGTAGACGCCGGATCGTTGATCGATGACTAACAAAAGTTGTCCAGGTATGTCGACTACAAGAACATCAGCAAGGTGATCCAACCCGGCAAGCTCATCTATGTCGATGACGGTATCCTCTCTCTCAAAGTCCTCGAAGTCGTCGACGAGAAGACCATCCGCGTCCAGTGCCTGAACAACGGCAACATCTCCTCCCGCAAGGGTGTCAACCTGCCCGGCACTGATGTCGATTTGCCTGCTTTATCCGAGAAGGACAAGAAGGATTTGCTCTTTGGTGTTAAGAACAAGGTCGACATGGTCTTTGCATCTTTCATTCGCCGTGGTGATGATATCAAGGAGATCCGTAAGGTCCTCGGTGAGGAAGGCAAGGAGATTCAGATCATTGCCAAGATTGAGAACCAACAAGGAGTCAACAACTTTGACGAAATTCTTGAAGAAACTGACGGTATCATGGTCGCTCGTGGTGATCTTGGTATCGAAATTCCTGCCCCCAAGGTGTTCATTGCCCAGAAGATGATGATCTCCAAGTGTAACTTGAAGGGCAAGCCTGTCATTTGCGCTACTCAGATGTTGGAGTCCATGACATACAACCCTCGCCCAACTCGTGCCGAAGTCTCTGATGTGGCCAACGCCGTTCTTGACGGTGCTGACTGTGTCATGCTGTCCGGAGAAACTGCCAAGGGTAACTACCCCAACGAGGCCGTTTCCATGATGCACGAGACATGTTTGTTGGCCGAAGTCGCTGTTCCCCATTTCAGCATCTTTGATGAGTTGCGAACCCTTTGCCACCGTCCTGCCGATACCGTCGAGGCTATCGCCATGTCTGCTGTCAGCGCCAGTCTGGAACTAAACGCTGGTGCCATCCTTGTCTTGACCACCAGGTAAGAATATCCCCATATATCGCATCTCGCTTGGTTCAGATAATTGACCTTTCTTTCGTTGAAATAGTGGTAAGACCGCTCGTCTGCTCGCCAAATACCGCCCCGTCTGCCCTATTATCATGATCACGCGTAACGAAGCCGCATCTCGGTATTCCCACCTCTACCGTGGTGTCTACCCATTCTACTTCCCCGAGTCCAAGCCGGACTTCCACGTCAAGATCTGGCAGGAAGATGTGGACCGTCGTTTGAAGTGGGGTATCTCCAACGGTATCAAGCTTGGTGTTATCAAGAAGGGTGCCAGCGTCGTCTGCGTCCAGGGATGGCGCGGTGGTATGGGCCACACCAACACCATTCGTGTGGTTCCTGCCGAAGACGACTTGGGTCTTGAGATCTAAACGCCTTCTTGCCCCAGCTGGTTGGTTTCCTTTGCCATCACTGTAGCGCCGAAAATCGAAAATAAACATGTTCGAACGATTCCAAGGAAACCGTCGAAATAGAGGAGTCATGTAGTTCCGGCGTCATGGACTACTCTTTGTCCATGCCGAAAAAATAGGATGGCACAGGTAATTATGAGCATGATGGAAACTAGCTGCGGCATCGATGACCTGCTCTCGTCTCTTCTCTTCCTGAATACTTTCCGGCAAGAGAGAGTTCAAAAAGAACGAAGCAACATTTGGATATAATTCGCTTTTGTTTCGGATTTCCTTGTCTCTTTTGTCATCATGTTTCATGTCTAGAGGATTTTATGAATTGTTCCTTCCTTTTTGCATGCTCCATCCGTATGTCCGGTTTCTCTTTTGGATAGCTCTCTAGAGTCCATTAGATATTGAATTTCCTGTATAGATAGTGTCAGTACGATCTGGCGATTTTAAAATATATGTGCCTGTGCCAGTTTTTCTTCCCTGGAAATATAAGTTAGTCTTTCCAAAATGCGTCCTTTAGAATCTTTCTTGTTTCTTCCTTTCCTCTCGAATAAAGTGCCAATCCTTAATTCTTTCTTGTCTGTCGAGCCGCGTTGAGAATTTGAGAGGTTTGCGAGGATATCACCAGTTCTCAACTTGGGTCAAACATCAGACCAAACTGTATCCGAAGCCATGGACAAACCTCTGACATGGAAATCTTATAATTAACTATTTAATATTTGGAGCGCACATGTATGGCTATATATATGTGATATTCTGGACCTCCGTTCGGCCATTTTCGAACCGAGGTCCCGAAGAGTGTAACTGGGGACATATGTATGGGGTTTGCTTCCGATATTTGCCGATATCTTAAATATGTAGTTTACTACAACCTATCATGCTCTCACACTACACTAAAGTCGTAGGTCTCAGGTGTTTGCATCCTGCTGACAGGAGGCTCTCTCTAAGCTCTTCCTATCTGTCTTAGGATTAGGGTTATCCTTAAATATCGGTATACCCTAGACCATACGGCCTACCTTTGCTATTAACCTTCAGTAATGCCAACTCTAAACTGGACGCGATGGCGGATAGCTCGTTTGATGACAAACATGACGGCTCTCTTCTGTGCTTGTTCGTCATGAAATATGAGAACCTGCAAGGGGAATCGAAATCGGTTCATTGGTGATATCTAGGTCATGGGTTATCCTCCATCAGAAATATTCATCACCTACGTTATAGCAGCCTTTCGTCAGCCTTCCAAAGTCGTACAGTCCCACATGATCTATTTTCCATTCGGCCCATTTCAGCTGGCCACGAAAGATCAGCCTCGCGTGTCTATACCAATTACGGCCGTAGGCATCGCCTACCTAGGTAATCCTGGTCGTCTGTTGCTGTTAGACCTGGGCGTTTAATTCAATAGTACGAAGGCTGGTGGATGATGTAATATATGTACGGATCGAGCAAATCGAATATACGGTCAAACTTCCAATGTTGGAGCCGCGCACAGTCGCATGCCAGCAAAATGGCTTCTAATGACAGAGAATCAACAGTCGTACCGGGTGCCGAAGTCATTAGACTCCTAGAAGAGATCAAAAAGCTGCTGAAGACCAGAAACCATCAGCTGGAAAGTTCTTCTGTTCCTGCTCTAGAACAGCCCTCTTCTGCATTGAACAAAGCTGTAGAGACATCGGTAAGCCAAGATCAGAGTACTACGTCCGGAGCTCAGCCTTCTGGTAATGACAATAGCACCCAGAGCTCCATTGACATTCTTGGGCTCAAGAATAGTTCGCGCCCTAATGGTCCGGACAGAACCAAGTATTACGAAATTCATCCAGATTCCAGGGTATGTCACCTTTGGGCCGCTTAATACGCTACCCTGTCCCGTAGAAATCAGGGAGCCAAGGCTGACCGCGGGACCGAGTTGGAACTATTGTGATTATCGAAACAACGTTTATTGAATGTTGCTGACATATATTACCGTCAGGGAGACCCATGACCATACACTCCAATGTCGACTTCAATGGGGAGATGGTCGAGGATAGACAGGGTCCCCGGGGAAGGGCTTGCCCTAATTACGTACCCGAATGGGAAATCATTCAAGTTGAGGGAGAGTGGTACCATTTAGACGGGATGAAACTCGACCCAGAAATTGAATTTATGCCTAATTCCGAATTCGAGGAGGAAGAACGGCTGGTCCCATATTCCCTACTGACTTGGCGGGATAAGCCGTGGATTTCTACTCATCTGTCCGGACTGAACGATCAGCGCGAGTATCTGAGTGAGTGTTTGGTGGACCTCCATCATGTTCCCGCTCACACGATAAATTTCTCGTTTGAGAAGCATAGACTGTGTGATTGTGGTAGCCATTCGTTTCATTCGAGGTCATTCTCTGACCACTTTAAAGCGACATAAGCTCTATTTGAGTTACTACAGAAGCACGGCGGGGATTTCGAAGTCAATGATGCCGGTAACATGAAGCATTTCATTAACTATAAATATCAAAGCGATTAAGCCCATTAACAGCAGCGAGAACTGAGGGAGCCACGCGTATTAAGCGAAGCCGCTCTCTATGCGGAAGAGTTTGCACAGTGATTTCTGGGACCTTCATATTGATTGCAGAGGCCGTAGCGAGGCTGCAAACCGTTTCGAATCGGAATGGGGTTCTGTTTAGACTTGGTCCCGACAAGAGGTGGCTAGTGTTTAGTGCCTGGAAATCTGGCAGGCTGTACGGTGCGACTGATGGCGCCTATCTGGAAGAAGTAGCCTTCACAATGTCCTTTTACCCGCCGAATGCCATCCTCCAGGATGGTTCAAACGAACTTTCGACCGCTGCAAGCTATTTTCGGTGCCTCCAAAACCCTGACAGTTACTGGTGTATTATAGTTTTGGCTCCCCCTGTTTTGATGCGGTTGACATTCACAATGAGTCTCAACCGGCGCTGGAATATGGGGGACACTTAGCACCGCTCCGACTGATTACAGTAGCTCTTAAGGATGCTGCACATTCCTGGGAAGGCATTGCAGACCACCTTACTCTCCATATAAACCAGCGCGGGGCCATTTTTGATCCAGACCTGCACGATCGACTGTTATTTGACGACAATATTTTCTCACGGTCGCGGCTATACTTCTGGGCCATTGACAGCTTAGAACTATTCATTCCCAATGGGAGAATTTGGCACTCAAGACATATTTTGCTCCGGATTACGAGGAATGACGATCGGCCTGGCGTATCACACACGATCGATGGACTTCACTTTAAACTCTGTGTACAAAGGGTGGAGAAGCAAGCCTCATGTTTAGTGGCGTTGAAGACTAGGTTAGAGCTATTGCGAGATCAAATCAAGACCCTTCGAGATGGTGTAAGTTGGAAATCTGAACTACCTGGATACTTGGAATCACATATAACTGACTCTGATCCTTATGAAATGTAGCTCTTCAATGCCAATGCGGTCATTGAATCCCGGAGCGCGACGGAACTGGGTCAGAATGTGAAGCTGTCGACGTACGTCAGAATCGTCTACCACCACTAAGTTTCTGCGCGGCGGCCTGGGCCGTAGATTATAGTTCTGACACTGTAGTCTTTATAGTGGTTACTGTCCTCCTGTCAACAGTAACTTATCTGACAGTCTTGAATGCCAACAATCTTGCTCGACTCAGCAAGGGGCTCTACCGGCAGAGCTGCAAAGATATTCTGAGGTCTATGATGAAAGACGACGAATGGGCCACGATGGCAGGAAAATTTGGTCGGTTTCAGCCGGAGCGAGAGGATAATACTCCCTTGCAGTGGTACATTCTCAAATTTCTAGTATCGCAGATGTGGAAACGGATCACAGGGGCTCGGATCAACTACGAAGCAGATGTGCCTGAGTGGAACAAAGTGGTGTCGAACGGAATTACAGCTATTCCCAACTAGGAATTACATACCAGGTATTATCTAGTAGTGCAGTGATTGTTCTCCTTATCAAGAATTTCAATATCTGCTCAATTTTAAAAAACTCTTATTACAGCCACCTAGGGCTTGGTCCACAAACCTAATGCCGAGTACACACCGAGAATGGAAGGAAATCTTGGAGAGGAATGTAGTCCATATTCTGAAATGAACGATAATCTAATATAATATTCATCATGTTGTATGTAACATTGAAAGTTCCTCATAGCTGGGGATACAGTGAAAGGGGTATCGTTTGCTATGCATGCATTATGTATGCTCTGCCGTATAGTAATGACTAATCTGTCGTCATGAAGTGTGAAAGAGAAATCGATTGTGAAACGATCAAAAAAGATTGAGGAAGTCGTATATCAAAAGAAAGGTCTATTCGCTATTCGTTGCAACGGTCAACTCGCTGGTCTCTATTTCGATCGGTGTCTGCATGTGAGAAAGGTGATTTTCGATGCGGCGGTTGTCTGAGAATGTGGAATGGAATTCATGCCAGCAGCTGATTTCAATATTAGTACGACTTCAGGGAAAGTGTCAGGTGAAAGAAGGGGAAAAGCATACTTTGGAGCTTGAAGAACATATCTAGCCATCGCTTGTCGGAATCGACTCTTATACTCCTTTGGACTGGTCACTGTCGGTCTATTCTTGCCTCCACCGGCAAAACCTCGATCTTTGATCCAGGACTCCAGTTTCTTGTCCCAGGTATACGTCCTGATGCAGTCAATGATACCGACAACTAGTTCCTTGCGCGGTTCGTCGATTGCAATCATCAGCGAGTAATCCATGACGTTTTGTCGGCCTAGGAATAGTGTATCGTTCCAAACGCTCTGGCTGAGTAGCTTCTTGGAATGCTCGCGTGTGAATAATGGTGTCTCGTAGATGAAGTCGACCATATTCTCGTCAAGGAGAACTTCGTCGCGTTCGCCGGTACTCTGGACTTTGCGATTTCGCATTGAACCCTTGAGATCGAATATGCGTGTTGGTACTCGATCGTAGAAAAGGTTCTCCATTAGAAGCAAGAACCAATTGAACTCGACGCCGGTGACTGGATTCTTAATAATGACTTGATAAAATCCAAACATCTTGGCGATTGCTGAAGGGAGCTCGTGAAATAGAGCTTCAGACATGATCTGGAAATAGGCAGGGGCGAACTTTAAGAACGCTTGTGTTTCGATTTGTGAGAGTGATTTAAGGACGAATCGATCATCGAGTGTCTTAAGAAACAAAGACTTCGTCTTTCCGCCTTTAGAATCCCACTTGGCGCATCGAGAAAGCGACTCGACAATGCGATCCGCGACACCACATTTCCTGCGTAACGCGTCGAATTGTTCGGCATAGAATACTTTGCACAACATCTTTGCCTGGCCCTCTTGGAACTGGTACTTGAGATGGGTTCCTGTAGGCCGTAGGAGAGCACTTTCCACTCTATTCTGGTCCCGCGCCTCCACTCCAGCAACATCGTCGTGTGACCGATCTTCTTTGTCGTAGTGATCTTGGATAGTGGCTAGCTTGTTCTTGTAGTCTGAGGAATCCAGAGCAAATGCAATCAGAGAACTAGGCTCATCCTCACGAACGATGATGTCGCAATCCGCGAATACGTGATCGGATACTTTCAAAGGGTAATCGAGCGCTTGCCATCCGCTGGCAGATCGTTCAGCCCAGAAATTAGCGAGCATTTTGACCAGAGTATTCCGTTCATGCTTGGGGAGTTCTTTGAGATCCAGATCATCCTCCAATTTTATCGATTCTTCAGGAGATCCAGTCAGGGTCAAGCTTTGCTCCTCATCGCTTTGGACGTCCTCTGCCTCTGACGCAATTTCCGCGACGGGATGTGGCTCATTTTCGGGGGGAGTTAAGGCTGGGTTTTCAGTAACGTGCTCCTTATCCGCTGCAGCTTCGCTCTCACGGGTTTCTTCATTGATCCTGTCAGCCTTTCCTTCTGACGACGAGCGTCCTGCGTTAGACATGAGATCTTCGCCTTCTCTAGATGGTTCCTGCTCTTCGACAGCTTCCCGTACATTCTTGTAGACCTCAACGGTCGCTTTGGAAGATATGATAGGGTATGCACGTGAATGCTTGCTTTTAGCTGCTCTTTGTAATCTCTCACGTTGTCTTTCCTTTTCAAACTCCCTGCTCAGCTGTTCAAAATGCCTCGCTAGACTTGATACACGAGGACTCTTGCTCTTTGGCGTGATTGAGCGAGGAATCATGGAGTGGCCATTAGCAGTTTTGGTCTTATTCAAAATCCGTTCAGTAAACTTCTTATCTCCAAATTTCGGTCTCTCTTGTGAAGGGCTTGGGAGAGGGGTTGCATTCTTGGTCGAACTACCCGAGTTCAGTTTCAATAGACTCCTGGACCCATTAGCTCCCTTGTCTCGTAACGTCTGCAGAGGCTGAGAGTAAGCTCGAATCATGGGAGGCGATTTCCCTTTCCCACGCTGTCGGAGGTTTTGGTCAGCGAGTCGAGGAATGCCAGAGGATGGAACTATCTGCTTGGGACTCGTTCCAAATTCATTGAGACTCCTTTTCCGCAGCCCCGAACCAGGTCGACTGGACAGTTCTGGAGACGGTGTCATTCGGCCAGCATCTGGAGGTGACGTCGCAACTCGCGATATTTGTGGTAGATCTATTGAAATTTGGCGTTCAAGTGGAAGTTCCTCCGAGGAGAAGTTAGTTGGAACGGCAAGATCAAGATGTTCTACTTCTTGGTCAGCCACATTTGGTTCAGGTACTATCGGAGCCGTCGCTGGGCAAATATCAGGAATAGGTTCCGCGGTCTCTGCCACTTCATCCTGCGCGTCAGGCTTTCCGGAATGTTCTTCAACAACCGACACAAGCACATCTTGCGCCTTTTCCGGGGACAGGGTCATGCGGCGCACTGATCTTGGTCTCTCGGCTTCTCCATCCACTTCCCCTTCAACTGCAGTAGAATCTTTTTCGGTTGGAGTAGTCGGTGCCTCTTCGGTGGAGGTAAGAGAGGTGGCGGAAGCATCCTTGTCGAGAAAAATCTTTTTGAGTTGCAATGAAGCTAAGCGTCTGATATCCTTTTCTGAAGGGAAGAAGTTTCTCTCAAAGTCGGCAAAGGTCGTATCCCATTCGACAACCTTCTCTTGGACGGCACGAAGGACCCCATTCAACGGAATAACCTCCCAGTAACGGGAATTCATGTACTGCTCCTGCAGGTGCCTTATCAAACCGTTGTGGTCATCATTTGCCTTTTTCACAAGTATTTCAATCTCCTTCCTGCAGTCTTCAACTTTCTCCGGCATGACACTCTCAACATGTATGCTCTTCAGTCTGCTCTTCACCGACAACATGAATTTAGAGATGCGATGTTCAAACTTGTTGTATACCTCATTGCGTAGGCGCAAGTCGTTATCGACTTTCCAGGTGACCCGGGTGCGAGGCACAATAATGTCTAGCAGTGTAATAGGGTCGTAATGAATCCGTAATGCCATGTCCTTGAAACCAAAGAATCGTAAATAGTCACGATGGATGTCATGTTGACAGACCCCGGCCCGGGCGCGGAGATTTCTACTCCAAAATGACAGCTCTAAGTATTTTGCAAATGAATACCTCCACGTATTCGCAGACATGGGAATCACCTGCGTCTCGTTGCCACAGATTTTACAGCAACTCCACATGAGAATTGTCTCCTGTAGACCACGCAGCTTTGAAGGATAGGGCTGCACAAATATACTTATTTGCGCCTCCCCATGGACATATTGTCGATGGTGTTCATACATGCGGTTCTCGCATCCATTAGCAGTGCACACTGAGTTGGCTTCGAGGCACAAATCTTCCACGTATTGACCCAATGTAAAGTCGGGCTCAAAGACCTGGTCATCACTTTCGTGTTCATTGTAAAAATCTAACGCGAAAATATCGGGACCAGAGCACGGTATAGAAGTTGTGGTGCATACCAGGCTGTAGAGAACAACGATATTCTGATGAGCGTATGGGTCGAAAAGATTAGAGTTTCCCGAAAGATAGGCTTCCCATTGACGCTTCTGCGTCAAATAGTTGTGCGTAGCTCTATCCAACTCCGCATCATGAACTGCTCGCAGAACTTCTCTCACTTTTGCGGAGGCATTATCAGGGTTCTGGTGAACGAGCTCAGGCGTAATCAACACGAATTTCTGAGATTTATTTTTCTCATCGGAGCTTTGAACAATTCTATCCCGCAGACGTGCCAGATATGAAACTCGACGCTCTAGCTCTCGTGCTCGCATGAGGAGATACGGAGGCTCGAATTTGACACACGGCGACGCAGAGAGTAATTTTGTCTCGTGTTTCTCGACTAGATCATCGTAGTAAGTGGGCATAGGCACATCATCGGGCACTTCCACAGCCGCAGTGGCAATGCTCCCCTCTCTAGCATCCAATGAAGAAGCATCTTCTTGGACAGTAGTAGTTTCGGTAATCAGGAGTCCTCTGGACGTTGCAGGTTTCACCCCAGCCGACGAAACACCATTGCTGAAATCCTCTACTGTAGGCAGTTTTGCGAATTCGTCTCTCATAAGACATGTTTCGAGTTTCAAGTTGTAAACAACATATACCATGAACTCGGTGATGCGCTTAACCCTTGACAGGACATCACTATTCGCACCGCGTAACACAATTGTACAACCGAGTTCTTTAGCACAGCCCGAGATATACATGTATGTTTTTCTCCGCCCACCATAAACGTAAGTCTTTAAATCAAAGCTGCCACAGTGCCCTGTAGGTGACGGCAATGTAACCAATTTATCCATAGATGTGATTATCCTCGTCTGCGTGCATCTCGAAACGGCTTCTAGCACGGATGGCTTAACGTTATAAGCCGTGGCGATGTTTGACTTCTCAAGAAGCTCAAGTGCTAGACCGGAGACACTCTTCTCAACGAGGAGCAAGTTGGGTTGTAGTGCAGCGATTCTGCTGACGAGGCTCTCGAGGAATTCTCGTTCCTGGCGGATAACCGGCTCCAGGCTCATAAAATGCTGTTGGTGACGAGCATACTCTATGGCGAATGTGATAATGAGAATACTTGGTTGAGGAATGCTACGTGGCATACTCTTCAAGGCCAGATTCTTCGTGAAGACTAACCCCGAAACATAAGACGTATCACCAGGGCGTCCGCCAGGTATTTTCTTGAGTTTCACGTAATGTCGGATATCCATATCATCCCCTCTCTGCACATCAGGATCAACGTCATCCGTAGCCTTGAGTAGGATCGGCAACAGGGCAGTTTCCCAGCTATTGACGTGTGGTATTGACGAGTCTTCCAAGAGTTGACGAAGTAGCTTTCGGACATGCTCTAGACTCAACCGGTTCAATTCAATGGCCGGGGCACTAGATCCCCTCATAGATGAGCTTCTTGTCATCTTGAAGCCGCTCGTTGATGACGGGCCAACTAGCTGGGAGGCGCTAGGCGCGTGATGGTCGTGGAACAGTAACGGATTATCTTTAGACAATCGAGGTGACGGCCGTTGGTGAACACTACTAGCAATGCTGAGGTTTCGCCTTCGAGAATTGCGTGGTAAGTTGACGGCTTTGGAGCTGGTCATACTAGCATCATCTCCATCCCGTATAGGGACCGAACCATTTGCAGTACTGCGGTCACTGAAGCGGGAGCGACCTTTCTTTACAGCTGCGAGAAGACCACCAAAAGTAGCTCGTTCGTGTTCCCCACTGCTTTTAGCAAGATTAGTGTCTGAGGTGACGCTAAGTAAATTTGGTTGCTCGTCGCCACTAGAGGCATCATCTGATAAGTATTGAGCAAGATCTGGGTCAATGATATTGTCACGATGAAAAGCAGGTAGCCGATCTGCATTATTGGCATCTTCTAAATGACGGCGTTGTTGAAATGGCGCTCGATCTTCATGGTAAGATTTGAACCCGCGTATATGTTGTTGCCGTGAATGATGTCTTTTGTGCCCCATTGGATGGCTCCTTAGGCTTGCCGACGATCTTAGGGACCTAGACGATGTCGGGCGAGTCAAAGGTCGTTCAGAGCCAATCTCTAGGACTGCAGAGCGACGATTACCACTCTCGTTAACACGCCTTGTCGCAGGAATTGCCATAGTTGGTGTCTTCAACACGTGTTCTATAGATTGAGATCGGATCGAAGATGAGTCGTCTTCGTCGTCCCTTACCGGCGACCCAACGAATGGGAATTCCAGATGTCCCGGATTTACAGTGGTTATGGGGCTTTGCTCAATGTCTGATAGATCCGATGAGTCGTATTCGCGCGAATTGATCATATCTTCACAAGGCTTACAGACTCTGACGGAGCTGCCTTGGCCAAAATAAACTCCCGGAATAAGAGATGTGCATTTTGAATCAAAAATCTGTCCACAGGTACGGCAATGGTGCTTTCGACGGAAAGTGGTGAAAGGCTCTCCACACAAAAAGCAGTCCTTGGCATTCTCATCTCGCATCCAAAACTCCTTGCTCAGCAGTTTGCTTCTCAATTGATTGAATGTGCTACTCGGAGTACTCGTGCCCCTGTTGGTAGCTTGGTGACGATAAGGCTGCGCAGTATAACCCATTACTGCCGAGTTGGTAGTAGCCGTCTCACTAGATGATGCTCTAGACATAACATATCCGGGTAAACGACTGGTGCTGACCCTGTTGACGAGTTTATCCTGGGGCCTATCAATAGAAAGCTTCGAAGGGACAGGGCTTTTCACGTCGCGATCTTCAAGCGAAACGACTGATGACGGTGTGATCGAGACGTGCCAGTTGTGCGAAGGTGGATGATCATCTAACTCCCGAGACATGCTACCACCCGCAGAGGTTGGAGCCGTCGACCCATCGGCAGTAATAGAGCTTGAAGAAGTCGTAAGGACATCCTCTTGTGCTGTATTAGGAACTTCGTCATTGCTTTCGGACAGATTTCGCGAACCACCGACCGATGTGTCCAGTTCAGTAAGATCTCGACGATCAAACATCCTCGCCGACTTATCATTCGCTGGCACAGAGTTTCCGGAGATCGACTTAAGGTACGGATCCTTCGGGTTCGAGATATCACGGTTGGAGTTGGGTAATTTCGAGGACATGACAGGAGAGTAAGACCGCCGGCTTGATATGCCGTCAACATTCTCGGCTTCGGCAGATCGTAGAGGATCACTTTGCTGGATAGCGCCCTGCTCCTTTTTGAGTGACTGATTTGCACTGCTTGATTCAAGGTTTCGGCTACTATCGTGAGCAGCGCTGACATTCAACTCGGTAACTGTAGGGTCTGTCGCTTTAGTAAGGGGCGGCACAGGCGACCTGGCTGCGGGCGTCGAAGATACGGATGTCTTGGACGAAGAAATACTGCTCGGTTTTGATACGAGCTTGCTATTCTTGAGGCTTGGGGCGGCGTTGAACGACTCTGTCGCGGGTGACAGAGCTCCAATTGAAGGGGTGTGTATTTTAGAAGCATGAGCCGAACCAGGGTTTGAAGTTTGAAAATCATTCACAGCCACCACACTCCCTTCGCCCCCTGCTTGTCTGACCACAGGAGTAGAGCCTCCATCAACTCGTCGTCCTGAGGTACCACTTTCCTTCGCACCGCCAACCGACGCTCGTAACCGGCTATATAGTCCACTCAGTCCACCTTGCGAATCATTCTGCACGTTGTTGTTTTCAACGACTGACGACGAGGTTGAAGGATTGGCAAACTCATTGAACACTGTAAGGGAGTGTGATTGATACGCAGCAGAATGAATTTGGTCCAGGGCCTCCGTTAAGGTCTCGCGTTCGGCTTGGGTAGACAGAGAGCTGCGGGAGCCCCGTCTCCCTAGAGGCAAGAATATTGACGATGCGGAAGGACTCGGGGGTTCGTTGGCCTTCTGGGAAGTCATCTTGGACGACCTTAGTGAAGCCTCTTGAGCAAACCGATAACCGAGCAGAGGAATATCATCCTGGTTCTTTTTCGGCGAATGTCTAGGAAGAGTCGTGGAGTACTGGAGGTCTTTTATCTTTCTTCTTCCCCTTCTCTTTGTTCTCAGTGCAAGAGATAGAGGATCAAAGACACACCGGTGAGCAGGCAGGCATCCGAAGAGAGAAAAGAGTCGATGAAGAGTCGAGAGTCAAGAAACGGCCCTCACTAGGCACGATAAGTAAAGATGCGGAGTCATGCAGAGATGGAGCTGCCCAATAGTGGCATGTGATGACGTGGGGTGGCGCGTGCATGCTGTGGCTTGCCTCGCGGCCAACACACGAAACTGTGGCTGACGCTTCGGACAATTTGGAGTACTATTTGGTTTAGCGTCTGTATAGAGCGCGTTCGTCCGCTCATCTTTGAGTTTAGACAAAAAAGACGAAAACAACAAATTTTACGCCAATGCATAGGACACATCCCTCAATCCAGTGAGCAACGATCGGTATTATTCAACGCGTGGTTGACTACCACCTTCTCCAAATCTCCGCGCCGCAACCCCTCAGACTAGACTGCTTCGCGCCTTCGGTCCTTCTTCGAGCATATACTTCGATTGGGGTACAGTGGTGAAAAATACTTGGCTTCAAGGTTGGTCTCACCTGAGTTCTTGTCAATCACATTCATGTCTATCGTGTTATGCTTTTCTCCGCCCTTTTTGGAACTTTAACTCCGCAATATGCTACTAAACTTCATGGTACAAGTACACTCTACGGTCAATGCTAATTGATTCGAGTGTGCTAGGTTCCCTTGTGATGTGACACCCGGATGATACCTACAGACACGTACGATCGAACCCCGCCAAGAACATGTTTCGATTATCCGGACTTCATCTAGTGACCACCAGGACTTACCATTGAATAACGCCCCGAATAATGCGATCTGTATGTCAGGAATGGTTGGCTCGAACTCAGGTCGGAGGAAATAGCATTTATCAACATTAGCGGATTTCATTGACCACTATGACTCGCGTCAAGGCCGATGGCGTAAACGGAACCACCAAACATACTCATAGTAAGACGTCTACTGTGGCTGTTGAAAAAGGCCGTGGGCACAGCTCAGGATCGGACCCATTCCGAGCCGCCGATACGGAAGACCATTTGGCGACTCAACTCCCATCAAGGCCTCCTTCGAGAGAGTCCATAACATCCCAAGATGGTGACATCGGTGGGCATACTGCCCCCTCTTCGGAGTCGCACGAGGGGTTGGCAACTCAAGTTCATCAGTCCATTCCACGGCAAAATATTCCTAGAGCAACTCCTGCCGAGCCTACGATGTCGAATTACACTCGGAATGGGGCATCACTTCTAAAGCTCCTAGGTAATGGCAATCGGCAGGGACCTTTATCAAAGCAACCACCTCCACAGCAAGAATCACAACAAGTTGGGGAAGCTTCCTCGCACCCAGGCACACCTAGCTCAGAGCTAGGCACAAATCACGAACAGACCTACGGAGAGGATAAACTTGTTACGGAACCACTTCATTCGGAACATACCAGGTTTTCTTCTAACGGGCAACAAAGAATGTCAAGTCCTCCTCGTCGCCAGTTACCATCTTTTCAAAAGCCTGACGAATCCTTTAGAGACAGATTCGGGAAAGCGGGCACGAACTCACAAGAGGACGTCACTAGCTTCCAGGTTCAGCCTCCTTCCTCTTTAGAGACAACGGCAACCATAGCGGAGAATGGCAATAATCCCATGGGCCCTCCCGAGAAGAATTCACGTATTTACCGTTCGCGGTTAACCCAGCCTGCTCGAGAGGAAAATACCCGCCATGATCCCTGGTCTGGTATGAAGAAGCTACGCCGAAGGGATGTTTTCATTCCAGACGATCAAGAAGAGCTTCTTGATCGTCCGGACTGCTGGATTCCTCCAGATGTAGGTCATCCTTATCCGCGAGGGCATGTGCCACCGAGTCTACTGAAGGAGTGGAATACGAAAATGATTCGGTTGTTTCGCGATGCCAGGAGAGCACATGCATCCAGCCAGAAAGACGAGCCATCACGTGAGCAAGAGGAAGAAAACCATGAACCTTCGCCAAAACCACTCTCAGACGACGACAGTGATTCGGACTCGGAATCTCAGACGTCTTGGTCTCAGAGCCCTTCTCAGCATTTACGGAAACCTCTTGCACCCCCTGATAGCAGCCCGATCCGGCTACATGATGGCCGGCAACCACCAGACATTTCAGCGGATGGAATCGATCGGCCATCTGAGCCTGTCGAGGAAGCGGGACATCAACGCAAAGTTGTCACGCCCCAACCAGTATCTCAACCCAGCCAGCGGGATGAACCTACTCGGGAACCAGTTGCTTCTACTGTTGATCAGGGTCAAGAATCAGATCCGGCTAACGGGCCTCGACCTATCGTTCACGTCCCGATTGAAGATCCCAGGCCTGGAGGTGAAGTAGCTGAACCCAGCGATGACTCCGACATGGAGACATCTATTCCTCAAGGTTTAACTGTACGCACACAAGATATTCTCAGCCAAGTAGAGTCTTCCGGACTCATAGCTCCGAATTTGTCCGATTCGACATCCGCTCCTGCTGCACAAGTTCAAATACTTGACACACCAGCGGGGGGTCTGAAGCGTGCGGCTACAAAAAGGACAGAAAATTTACCGAGTCACTCCCAAGAGTGGGCAGCTCAAAAAAGCTCCTCGGGTAGTAATAAATCATCTTCACAAATAATAGCCAACTCTCTTGGCAGCACCGCAGGCTCATCAGATCAAGACCATCAATTGCAGGATGCTCAAAAACCTCTTGTCGCTGATTCGCAGAATACAAATTGGGATCTACACAGCTCCAGCATTCCGTCCCATCAGGATCAACGTCTACTGGAAGTTAATCCGGAGAGCTCGCTTCGGTCAGCAGACTTTCATACACAAATAATTCCGGAGCGCCATGCATCGCCCAAAGAACGGTTTGACTTTGGTACACAGACATCTCCGCAGCGCCATGCATCACCAGAAGAACGGCCTCAGGACGATCCCAATCCATCAACGGGCATGGTGATTGAACATAGACTAAAAAGAAGAGCAGCAGATCTCGACGCTGAAGTCAGCGAGGAAAGTCCATGCAAGAGGCCTAGAAGGTCCCCGACTCGGGATGTTGATGCTTCTAGGACGCAAGATGTGGACAACGTGGTTGACGTTAACCATGGTCTAGTCAATAAAGACTGTCAGGAACATGTTTGTTTCATCCAGGATGCTTTGAGGGTCTACGACATGTTCAAAAGGTCATATCCCAAATATGCGGGCAATTTTGACCATTTCCAGAGTTTGTGCCATGAATTGCAATCATTACACCGTCGCGAGATGTTGCAGAACTCTTCTCTATGGGACGACTTCATCATGAGAAACTGGGTCGATTACGGAACTTATGTACAAAGCTGCATTTCTGCCAATGAGGACTATGAGAGCTACGAGGACTTTTTTACCAGAAATTTTACCAAGCCATCTTTTCGAAAACGTAACTTGACTCCTCGGACGCTCAAGATGATTGTCTCCAAGTCCGAACCTTCCATTGAGAAGCCTACCACTGTCGATAGAGGGGTGCAGACCATCGACGACAATTCAGTGAGTGCCTCCGTCATCCGTCGTTCACCGTTGGTAGTAGACCAGGGATCCAAATCCGCGTCGAGAGAACCAAATACGCAGTCGACCCCATCTAATGTCCTATTAGTAGTAGATAGACCGCATCAAGCGAACATTGGAGTTAAATTGAGTACACCTAGTACTCCAAGGAAGCGTCCAAGTACAAATGACGGCGGCATGCAGGCCAATATCGATCCACCTACTCCTCGTCTATTCATCAATGGACAGTCAGGACATGGAGACGAAAACATCGTTTCAAGAGAAATTCAAGAAACTCAACCTCCTGACAACATCCTCACGGATGAACACATATCAGATAGCACGAAAGACCTCACAACCGACTATCATGACCTAGCCAGTATCGAACTCGTCCTCGACGCACCTATGGAAAATGACAGCCATTCTCCTGACGATGAAAACAACGACAGAAACGATCCAGATACCATCGAAGCAGAAGCACGATTCAACCAAATCCCTAGAATGCGTCGAGACAACAGCCACGCCGTACAGGCGCTCTTCAGAACATATATCCCACCACCACCCGAAGAACAAGATGAAAGCACACCATTCAAGATATGGGCTCGTTACGAACACAACATTGTCTCCGAGCGTCGTCGAAGAGGTGGATACAGAGTTCCTCTTGATGAGGATGGGAATATTGTTTTTGAAGAATTTGAGCCACGGATTGATGGTCGCCAAGAGAGAGTGTCGTCGTTTAGTAGGTGGCTCTGGCGTCCGAGGGATATAAGCTGAAGCATGTCGTTGGTCCCCGGGGAGAGGTTAAATGTATTTAAGGAAATATTATTTTGGGCTGTATATTCTTTGTACATGTGCTAATTTACCTTGGATATGATCATACTCGGTTTGAGTTGCACAGCTTATAATCAGCGAACTGTCTACGACTGGTAGACTCAGACTATAATCCAGTCGAATATCTAAGTAGGCAAGAGCAGGGATTTATTAGCTAAATAACAACATACATCACACATCTCGACTCAAAAAAAAAAAAAAAAAAAAAAAAAAAAACGCTCACAGCCAACCCACTGAGGTATCAAATATACAAAAACCACATAACTTACAAAATGCATCAAACGTCATAACATCATTCACCAAAATACTCTTCCCTCATCGCAGCACACTTCGGACATCGACAATTAGTATGATCCGTGCCATGGCTCGGATAGACAAATCTATACTCATATCCTTCTCTGGTATAAGGATTCACCCCATACCAACTCGCATACGGGTATACTGTTGTTGTTGTTGTTGTTGTTGCTGGGTATCCATACATCTCGAAACCTTGCCCTCCTTGATTGGGCTGTTCATACTGTTGTTGTTGGTCTTGATATTGTTGATAATAAGATCTTGGATTGGGTCTGATGTTGTCTTCGGTGGTGGTATATTGTTGCACAGGGTGGTGGTGGTGATGACTTCGGGAACTTTTGCCCTTGGTCAGTGGTGAATGTCGTCGATTGTGTCGGTGCGGGTCATTATCTTCAAATGTGACATGAATAGATGAAGCAGGTTCCCCTTCTTCTTGGTTCTGTTCTTCTGGATCTGGGTTCCTCTCCTTGGCCTTTTCACGCACTTTTCGAGGTCGTAGACTGTCTCGATGCGGCTTCTTGACGGATATTGATGGTATCTCGTGGTCTATTCTGATATAATCGGGTTCTCCTTGACTCAAGTCAGTCTCTTCCCTGTTTTCGTGGTGTCTGTGCTGTCTTCTATGATGATGATGAAAACTCAGTTCCAAAGTATTAGTTCTCTCTCTTGGCGCATCTCGCTTTTTTGAGCGATGATCCCTTGTCACGGATGGTAAGATTTCATTTCTCATTGCTGGATTTTCGTCGAGAGAATACATATCTTCCGACAGAGCAGCGAGGGAGATTTCTTCCAAGTGACGGGCCATATGTGCCACGAACTCATACCATGTCCTCCATTTCGCTCGTCGACATATCCCACATGGAAACGAAGTGAAGGTAGCGACGACGAATCTTTCAGTGTTCATAGTCGCAGCGGTGCGTTCCGCGTCACTTAGGCTGTGCCAGTGGTTATGAACCAGATGTTCCACGAATGCGTTCCGCGTGGAAATTTCAGGCGTGCTGGTTATTTCCGCGTTGCAGTAGACACAGTATCGTTTTACTTCTGGGAAGTGACTGGTCAAGACATGCTCGGCCCAGAGGTGGAAATATTCAAATGATTGGTTGCATGATGGATGGATGCAGACGTATGCTTTTAGATCTGCATATACGTGTATCCTATCTACAGTCAGCAAACTTATCATATAACTCTCAGGAAATGCATAACCTACATCCATGCCTCGTACCCCCTAAGAGTAACAATCTTCTTGCAAAGGGCACATTTAAACGGCGCCTCAAGTTGCACCTGCCATGGCGCCGGCGGCATATACGCATTACTCTCCTTCCTCCTTGGAATCCTCGATCCGTTGTTATTGGGACTCCAATCATCGCCATAATGATACGGTATCGGAACTTGGACTTGCTCATCCGACTCGTCGAATGTAACGACACTATTAAACCCTGACACCCTCACATGCGTCTGAGCAGGTTTCTCCGGATTGTTCACACTGGAATGCTCATTCAGCCTTTGACGATTTCTGAGATTCAGTTCCCCAAGTCTCCTTGCAAGTCTGACATCAGCGTTTCTATGTCTACAGACCAGTCGTCAGCAACACACACTATAGACCAGTTAAATAAGACTGCCCTGCATATTACATACTGCTCAAAAATATTATTCACAAAAGCCTGAACTTCCAATGAAGAATAGCCTTCATTCACTTCCGCAGAGTCTGCTAATTCTTATCATCAGCCTATAATCAATCAAAAAACAGTCCAGACTCGACGGCTAAGTTTACTCATAACTCGCTTTGACAGCAGCAGAACTGAATAATTATTGGCCGATCAGTCTGACACCAAATATGAATCGGGTTCGTTGTGGATGAAAATATCTGCGGAGACCTTTTCTCCATCTGTTATTGCTGCTATCATGTAATCTGGGGTGCAGGAAATCAGGGAAAGGCGGGGTGGCTGCATTCTTTCGCAACGTATGAGCTCAGCCCTGTGTGATGCGCGGGTTGCAATTGGTGGCCTTGGATTATACAAAGTCCCGGAAAGAGAATATCGAATTAGGCTGGATGTTGTATGTTTTCTCACTTCCAGGTTGGTGAGATGAAGATGTTTTCCGACTATAACTTGGAAGTCTGTTCGGTGGACACGTGCCTTCCTATTCCAACATTGGGGGATATGGCATATGTATCTCAGGAATGGGCCTACGATTTACTTATTAGGACAATACGCACTTTTTCCTAGGGCTATAGCTCGAATGCTTGTGTATATAGATGGTTGTTTCGTCTCAGAGAATACTTTTAGTATCCAAACTGAAAAATTGAGCTGTAAAAATAAAAGAAAATGGTATATCTCGACATATGTCATAAAAGCCATGGAACTCACATAAAACCCCAATTCAATAAGCAAGAAACGACATCCCAATCCTAATCATGCCAGAAAATAGAAAACCTCTTAAGATGTATGATATGACATGCCCTCCCTAGTCCATAGCAAAGAAAAAAGTCAAAAAAAAAACTAGGGAAATCGGGTAAGGAGAATATGATTGCAATCCGTACGATATAGAACCCGATACTCCAAGCATAAAGCCCAAACCTCACTCCTTGCGAGAAGAAATAGACGCCATCAAATGATATAGTGTAATGTAGAAGAAAGAAAGAAACGTGTCCAGTCGCAGGTTTGTCATGGTTGTTTGGGGAAAAAAGGGGAAAAGGAAATGAGAGAAGTGAGATGTTAGAAAGAAGAGTCCAGGTGGGGACGATAAAGTAAAAAGGTGAGAAGCATTTAGCTTTCAAGTATACACAAGAAGTGAAGTAAAAAAAAAAAAGATAGATAAAGACGAGGACCGCTTGAGTCCTAAGAGTCGCCAGTAAGCCGTGAGGATGTTGTGAGGAGATGGGATCTGCACTGCTCAGCATAGTCGACGCCGCCAGATCTTCTGGTCTCGGCGCTGTGCCGAGAGGCAGGATGGATTGACAACAGAAATTCCAACAAATTGTTGATCACCGACGATCGAAATCTCGCTGCGAGTCTGGACCCTGTTCACTCTCATTCTGCGGCCTTCCATGAATCCATTGCGCGGCAGCTTCGTCTTGGGTCAACGGCGTTTTCTGTTCATCGCCCCGAGCTGATCGTCGCGAGCCTGGGAATAGAGACGTAATCTCCGCCGCAAGTGCTGAAGTGGTAAACATGCGAAGTTCCCGCTCTTCCCTCTCATCTTCTTTCCTCAGTCGTCTGCGATCTTGTTCAGAGAGTTTCTCCCGTCGCATTCGGCGGATTTCATAGATGGCCCATAAAAGTACGTCTTCCGCAACTCGAGTTCGTGGCGCACCGTATTTTGAGGAGCTTCGAACATATCGTCGTGTCACGTCAGTTGCGCCATCAATAGAAAATGCAATGCAATATGCGAGTTTACGATTCCAGCCTGGGAGATGTTAGTTGGCCATGACCTTGTTCATGGCTGTCAGACATACCTTCTGTATATAGCCGGGGTTGATCCCAGACACCTTCACAAGCATCGACATGCACCCATCTCCGTTGGTGCTCAGAGTAAACTTCTGTCCAGACATAATCCTCTGAATTCCACACCCAACGCACCCGACTACCCAAAGCTCGGCAAAGCATTGTGAAGCAATTGGCCCATTCACCCCCGCGACCGCACCGAGTCTGCAGCAACTGCCACACATCAGAATACCGTGGAAATCGTTCTAAAGATCCGCATCCCGAACACTTATAACCCTCAACCCGCGTCGCACCCCGAGCTGTCTCGTCCGGTGTGGGAGGAACCATTCCGTGAGCGATTGTCGGCATAAGACATCTGGAACATTGAGGATTGTTGACCCATGTGAAGAATGACTTTTTGAACCATCTAATCAATTAGTTAGAGCACAACGCAGTTCAGAAGTTCTCACATACTTCAAGAGCGACCGTATGACAAAATCTTGATATCCCCATTGCGGTTTCTTCCCCATACTCGCATATCGAGCTTTATGTATTTGATGCTCATCATCTGCCTCTGCATACAAGCGATCAAGTGGAATGACGGTCAAAGCTTCATCCAATAACCCCGGATTCTCATACTTGGTCGGAGTAACCGACAAAACATGTAGTAAATTGCAAAATTTGACTGAGGCGCTATCGTGCGGACGGCGGGGCATAATAGGCAATCGTCGATTTATCCTCGATTGTGTTGTTGTCGTTGTCTGTGAAGAGTCTGAAGACAAAGTAGTAGATTGTGAAGGGGCAGGAGAGGACGTTCGTGATTTCGAATGTGACGATTGTTGCTGGAAGTCATTGAATCGTTTATTTCGCATCAAGTTCTCGAATTCCTTGGATAGCTCTGTTGCATCGAAATTGGCCGGTGTCGACCCCGTCGGTCGTTGTGATCTGTGGGACATTGTTTGTGTTGCTAGCAGTCTTCAAGACTGCCACTGCTTCTCTTTCGTTTATGAATTCAGCCGTAATTTGTCGGCTCGGTTGATGCTATTGTAATTCTCTATGTCGTCTGATTGTTTAGATGCAAAGGAGCAAGACGGTGCACAACCGAGACGGATGTCTCATGGGGCGCCACTCTGGCAAGCTGAGAAGCGAGTGTACTGGTGCGGCAGTCTTATGAGCAGGAAAAGAACAGGCGAGATAGCGCTGACGACCAAAACGCGCAACACCGATTCGTCCTCGTCGCCGTCGTTATCGTCGAAAACAGGTCAGATGGAAGTAGAAAAAGGGAAAAAAAGGAACCACGAATGCATCGAACTGAGAGAAGAGAGAAAGACTCGGATGGTCGGAGGAAGACGAAGCAGACGTAAACCTCAACGCGGATTGGCTGCGCGCGACGGGTCAGTTGGTGGGGGCTAACTTCTTGCGGTAAAGTGCGGGTGCTGAAGTCGGAGTCATTACGACGCCTCGACGTTCGACGCTATTCCGGTTTGGGGGTGCGCCAAGATCGTCAGGCTCAGCCTAATTTTAGATACTGCCTTAAAACCATACGGAAAGAGTTTATATAGCTTGATTAAGACTATGGTTTGAATTCAAGAAGCTCGTATTAATATACAACATATCCCCTGGCATATGAATCGACTGCCAATCTGTCTTACCTAAGCGGTGTGTTAGGTAATGAGGGCTGAAGTGCCAAGCCCCAATGCAAATCGGACAGAGTCTTGGCATCGGAACGATCCAGACCCTGAGAAGAATGACGATGCAGCGCGAGTCTTGGTAAACAGTCGGACTGGTCATATAAAATTCCTTATTCCTCTCTAGAATCAGAACACCAGCTCAAGAGAAAGTAAAAAGAGAAAAAAGACAAGCGGAAGGGGGAAACGGTCAGATGAACACGCAAGCTGGCTGGTGGAAGCGTCGTCAGCATGGACTCCATGGAGTCGTCCTGGCCAATCAGATTCGGGTAGGCCGCGTATGCCCTACGAACTCAGGCTCGATACATAGAGATCTGTCAATCTGACACATACTGTGACTTGTCTTGGAAATGTCATGAGTAGTTCATCAGATAACACTTTGCCTGTTTCCTGTATGCGGATTACGCAAAGAAATAGGGGACTGGGGATGTTCTGCCGCTTGGATAGTAGGATCTGGCCTCACCATATCGAAGCGGTAGAATGCCGTCGATGTGCGCAGCTATCTTGCACTGCCAATGACAAGCATGCATGTACGGCAGTTCGCAGAAGTAAGCACATTAATAATCCCCTGACGCCATCTGCAAGCGGGATGCGCGACACGTCTACCGGCTCATTTCTTTGACAACGTACTGTGTATGTGCGATTACTAGTCGTGGGTACGTTGCCTTCTACGTAAACGGTCAGTCCGAAGTATGTAAGTAGGCGTAGGTCACAAGATAAGAGTCGTGTCACAATCCGTTGTTCGTACTCTGTCTGTATCAGAACTTGGAGTTCGTACACGTCCTACGTAGTACTCAAAAGGTCAGAGAGGCAACACCGGAGAGATGGTCATCATGAAGTTATTCCCAATTCCTCAACGTATCGAAGTTCAAAACAATCATGTGCACACCATAGACATGGACATGGGCATGAACATGAAAGATTCTAGTGGCGGAGACACGCAAGCTGAGCGGAAAGACATGGAGATCAAAAGTCTTGGCAATTAGTCATCTTCCTAAACTGGTTAGAGACTTTATCTCGGTTACATGGTCTATTGCACTGCTTACAGACCAATCATATTTGAAGGATATACAATTAAGCAGCAAGCTGATTCGCTAATCTAATGCTTATATAAGTAGCTAAGCAGGAATAATCATCGTTCCATTATCGCAACAAAATCGGATATCTGCTGAATGTATTTGATGATGGAAAACAAGTGTAAAAAGAAAAGACAAATCATTCGGCTACATCTCTTCGTAAACATTCGTCCATGATCATGGACTTAAAATAATTGTTTCGCTAAAAGAAAAAGGCAATGCTTTCTTGAAACTCCTTCCCGTCATTTCTTACCGAGCGATGACATCTATTGTGGTCGACTACTCATGAGCCGTGCAACGGGACAGTTCGGCGACAAAGGACTGACCCCAGAACGCACTATATACAGTTAGTTATAGGCACAAGCTGAAGGAATATAAGGGGGATGGGAACCTTGTATATTTGGAGATATACTTCCACAACTTCTGATACTTCGCGGCTCGTTGTTCCGGTTCCATGGATACGGCCTGATGATATGCCTTGGCCAAATCCTCTGTATTCCATGGATTGACCACCAGACTTCCGTTCAAACTCTGAGCAGCACCGGCGAACTCGGAAAGAATTAGAACTCCTTGTCTTTTTTGTTGACTTGCGATGTACTCAAACGACACCAGGTTCATGCCGTCGCGCGTGGAAGATACGACACATGCGTCGGAGACGGCGTAAAGGGCGAGGAGTTCTTCGAAGTTGACGGATTTGTGCATAAAGTGAATGGGCATGTAGTCCACGGTACCTGTTCACTGTCAGATACTCTCTCATTCTCTCATTTCGCATGTCTCTCTCGCATTAGGGGAGACCTACCAAACCTGCCGTTGATTCGTCCAACCAACTCGTTTACTACAGCCCGCAGGTTCTGATACTCTTCCACATCTTGCCGACTGGGAACAGCCACCTGCACCAACACGACTTTGCCCACCCATTCCGGATGATTAGAAAGGAACACTTCCAAAGCATGCAGCTTTTGGGGTATGCCCTTAATATAATCCAAACGGTCAACACTGACCATCAGCTTCATGCCTTGGAATTTCGATTCGAGACTGGCAATCCGATTCTGCACTTTAGGATTCTTCAACCCATCGAGGAACTTCTCCGGGTCTATGCCGATCGGGAAGGCGCCTACTGATACAGATCGGTTTTCGAAGCGGACGCTGCCTGGAGTGGTGCTGAGATTTCTGTCATGTCATTAGCAAAAGACTCCATCCGGATAAGACCTGACGGTACATACAAGATATGGGTGCAGCTGCTCAAAAAGTGACGCGCGTAATCAAAGGTGTGGAATCCGATAAGGTCACAGTATAGAACTCCCTTGAGGAGGTCTGCCCGAACAGGCAAAACTCGGTATATTTCGCTGCTTGGGAACGGGGTATGCAAGAAGAAGCCAATTTTGATATTCTTCTTCCCCTGAGCTCGTAAACGCTCCCGCAACAGTTGAGGCAAAAGCATGAGATGGTAATCGTGTACCCAGATCATGTCACCGTCCTTGGCTTCGTCTGCAATGGTCTGCGCAAAGAGTGCATTGGCCTCTTTATACGCTACCCACGCAGATTCGTCAAAGACTATCTCTCCGGGATGATAGTGGAGCAAAGGCCATAGAATCGAGTCTGTCGTTTTTGAGGTTAGTCGATATTCAACTCATTCGAGGGCTGATTGATAAACGCACTTGAAAATCCGTTGTAATGGCGGTCTGCAAGCTGGTCGTCGATAAATACTGGCGTTGCGCCGTATTCCTCCTTCAGTTTCGATTTGACTGTTTCAATCTCGTCCTCCGGTACCTCCAGACCAGGCCAGCCGTACCATTGGAATGTGGTAGTTTTTGCCAGGCCGCTTAAGCCAGTCACCAGACCTCCAGATGACATGGAGAATTCATATTTGCCGCCCTCTGAACGTCGAATGGTGATGGGAAGTCGATTTGACACGAGAAGCAGGCGCCCGCTTTCAGGCGGCGCGGCTACTGCAGGAGCAGGCGACATTTGATATTCTATCAAACCAGTCTTATTTCTCCTTCGTTGGCTGACACTGCCGGCTTAATCAAACTGTCAAAGAAAATGTGTATGTATGAGTGTAGAAGAGAAACAAACTCCGAGTCCTGGGTAAATGGAAACCAACAACTGATGTCAGATATCGCGTTATGTCATTGTGCCCAGGAACCAAGCCAACGCGAGCTTCTCGTTGGCGGGGAGCAGCGTCGTTTAATTAGCGGTCTCCCAGTTTCTGCCATAATTTCCAGGCAGCCAATCAGCAAGTATCAGCTGGAGCTCAGAACAAAGCAGAACAGAATCGAATTGCACAGTCTAGACCGGGCTAAATGTTTGCATCGCTTTCTGTCATGTTCCAGCCTTAAATTTCAGGCTTGGGTTCTTTTCCTTGATTTTGGTATGTTGGTTCTGATTGGCTGCGGAAGGGGCTCCCCGCCGAACTCCTTCAACTTTCCATTTCCATCCATCACGACTCGCGCCGAAAGCTTCAGAACATTCTATACTTTTCTCGGCCTGCAGCTATATTGTCAATGCTCGGATAATATCCATCTCCCAAAGGACGTGACGATGCGACTTTCCCAAACACCGAACTACCTGTAAAAATCGCTCGACACAATCCTGGTGGTTATCAGCTGTCACGAATTCACTACGCGTTATCAATCATATGATTTTTTTTCTAAACATTTGCATGACATTGTGCCTATTACCCTTTGATATCGTGGAACATCAAATCTAGTCGTTGACGGTAGCAAGAGTCCATTGCACCCATGACTCTCTACGTAGCTTCTCTGTAAGTGGTCTGAGCATACCCAAGAAGTGGATATGGCAAGCTAATACGTTTAGTTTCCTGCCATACACCATAGACTTTGAGGCCGCCGGTGTTCGGCTGGGCCAAAGTGACTTCGATGGCTCTAATCCTCTTCCCGCCAGCGAGGTGGAAGGACGGTTAGCAGAGCTGCATCAGGAGACGCTGCCAAAAGTGCTTTCCATGACTCCTGGGGCAACAACAGAGCACGAAAAAATCTTCAAACCATTCTACGCGCCGCAGTCAGCATCAGATGGCCCTAATGGCCCAGCACCCACCGAGAACCCAGTGGAGTCATGGGGCTCTAGTCGAAAATTCAATCAGCCCATGTCAAAGGCAGCAAAAACACCAGATTCTTCAATTCTCAGCCGTCCTGGTGCTGTCGATGGTCCGGTAGATCATCGAAAGGCTGACGATACTGACTCGGAAGAACCATCTTCACCGCGGGTGTTGCTGTCTGACGTCGATTGGGTCGTAAAGTCGGCCGTGCAGGGAAATGGAGGCCTTCGCAACGCGATTGATGCAGCCGCCAAAGCTGGCATCGTGGATAAAAAGGTTTGGGTGGGTACGCTGGGTATGCCGACAGACTCGCTACAGGAACACACGCGCAACAACATTGCTTCGAAGTTGAAAGAGGAGTTTGAATCTCTTGCAGTATTTGTAGGAGACAGTGAGTTTGAAGGACATTACTTCCACTTTTGTCGGAATGTTCTCTATCCAGCATTCCACTACCAGATGCAAGAAAGTCCTCGCCACAAAGAGTACGATGATCATTCATGGAAACAATACGTTAAACTCAACGAGACATTCGCAGAAACAATTGCTGCTCAGTGGAAACCGGGTGACCGCATTTGGATCCATGATTATCATCTCATGCTACTTCCTCGGATGCTGAGGGACAGGCTTCCCAATGCTGAGATTGGATTCTTCATGCACACTGCATTCCCATCATCGGAAATCTTTCGGTGCCTGGCTACGAGAAAGACGTTGCTGGAGGGACTCCTTGGAGCGAATATCATTGGTTTGCAGACTGCAGAATATGTCTATCACTTCGTGCATACATGCAGTCGAATCTTGCGATTGGAGGTGTCTGCCGATAGCGTTCATCTACCAGACCGGTTACTGCCCGTCAAGGCTATTCCAATGGGCATTGACTTGGATCTCATGAATGAACAAAGACATTTGCCAGAGGTCAAGGAGTGGGTGTCGAAGATCCGCGAGCGGTACGAAGGCAAGCATTTGATTGTCGCAAGAGATAGGTTGGACGCTGCTGGTGGCGTCAAACAGAAGCTTCTTTCTTATGAAAAGTTCTTGAAAAGATACCCAGAATGGCGAGATAACGTACGGTCTTTTCTCCCCTTGACAACGGATTAAGGCTAACTTGAATAGGTTGTGCTGGTTCAAGTTGCATCGTCATCTGCACCGGATTTGACAGATCTCGAGACACAAATAAGCAAGATTGCGATGAGAATCAACTCCAAGTACTCGACGTTGACCCATCAACCACTGGTTCTGCTTAAGCAAGACATTTCATTCGCGCAGTTCCTTGCCTTGATGTCTGTTGCCGAGATTTTCATGATTACCAGTCTTCGTGAAGGGATGAACCTTGCCGGACACGACTTTATTGTCTGTCAAGACGGGGCTTTAGATGCGTCTCAAAAGTATGGGTCCCTTATTTTGAGTGAATTTACGGGCAGCGCCTCTATCTGGAGCGGGTACGAGTTGCTTGTCAACCCATGGGATTATGTGCAATGTGCAGACGCCATTAACCGCGCTTTAACTATGCCGGCTGAAGAGAAAGAGAAGAATTGGCGTTTCCTAGCGGACCGGATGGCAAAACATACTGCCTCGATGTGGTGTGATACATATCTCAAAGCGCTTCGTCAGGTGTATGAGATGCATTCATCGCGGGAGCTGCATACCATTTCATCCCTTTCCTTGGAGTCGGTACGAGAAAAATACAACAAATCAAAGAGTCACGTCTTTATCCTTGGAGACCAAGCTATATTCCCGTCGCTCAAAGAAAAGGAGGAAGTTGCCGTCAGTTCGAATCACGAGATCCTCTCAGCATTGGCAGCTGATCCGAAGAACGTGGTATACATTACCAGTTCACAAACACCAAAACAACTCGAATTGTCTATGGGTGAGTCCCCGAACATTGGACTCATTGCCGAAAACGGCGCGTTCTTGCGGGAACCTGGACAATCCGAATGGCAACAACTACTCGATGAGAGCGACACTCGCGACTGGCGCCGAGGTATCCAACGGGTGATGGAATACTTTCAAGAACGCACAGAAGGCACATCACTCGAGGAACGACGCTTTTCACTAACCTTCAACTACAAAGCTGCCGTCGACAAGGAGCTCGCCATTCGCCAAGCAGCCGAATTGAGCGATCAGATCAACGGTTCGCGCGGAAATGTCCCTATCCGAGCCGTCCTCTCAGACGGCGCGGTGACTGTTGAGCCTACGAACGTGACAAAAGCGACCACAGCGGAATTGGCTCTGGAACGACTCAGTAATAATCCAGACCACGACTCGCCGGATTTCTTATTCATTGCGGGTAATACTCGCGGCAGCGAAACTCTATTCAGATGGGCGAATCAACTTGAGCGCGAAGGACGGGTTGAGAATGTCATTAGTGTCACGACGGGAGGTACACAGGCGGTTTCGGCGGCGGCAACGGTTTTGTATGATAATGAGACATTGATGAATGGGTTGGCGGGATTGATTTCTCAGTGATTTATGACTTTGACATGAGCAATGAGCAATGATAAACGATACACATACACATACACGATATGCAGGTAGTTGATAGAATCGACTAATCATGTATTCTAGATGCAGTACCACTTCTGTTCCAAGGTTAAAACTAACTATCCTTTCGAAACGTCATGATCTTGGAACATGCAGAGATTTACACCGCATACTAATCACATACCTAGGCAGTTTCATAGTTGACATTTTGATTTATTTGATTAGTATGAATCCAATGATGTATATGATTATTAAGTTAGCCAAGACGGAATCATACCACAGCTGCTGCGCTCCCTATTTGCATATACGTCTTCCGTGCGAAGAGTCAGAAAAAAGGGGGTTTGTCATCAACAATTTCTTCCAACTTCCAAGGCAGCAAGGCACCTAATTTCCCAGAAACTTTCTGGCACGTTAATTCTTTTTGCTTGGTAATATCAAAATATTTCTGTAATCAGGAACTGTGTAATGGAGAGATTTTGTGCCGAGTTTGGTATTCGTTCGAGTCCTGTGTATTACTAGCCTGGTGATTCAGACATTCCATCCGTGACACAGTTAGGGCTAAGTCTCCGGTGATATTATTAATCATTCAATGGATTCATCCATGGGATGATTTTGATGTTTTCCTATTCTGGATTGTATTTCATGAGTTAGTTGTACGTAGATCTATTGATATAAATACTCGCAATATTCTCTCGATGTAGCCTTCACATAGCATCACATCAATCACCAACCCACAAGCCAGCCCATCTTGAAACTATCCCAAGGTCTTTCAAAAGATCGAAGACAGACAGCAAAATGCCCACCCTCTTCACCCCCCTCCAAGTCGGCCGTCTCCAACTCTCCCACCGCATAGCCCTAGCCCCCCTATCCCGCTACCGAGTCGAAGACAACACGCACACCCCCATCGTTTCCCTAGTGAAAGAATACTACACCCAACGCGCCTCCACACCGGGTACCCTCCTCATCTCAGAAGCAACCCTAATCACCCCTCAAGCAGGCGCCTACACCAACGCACCCGGCATCTGGTCCGAGGCACAAATCAAAGCATGGAAAGAAATCGTCGACGCTATTCACGCCAAGGGGTCATATATTTACCTGCAACTATGGGCATTGGGCCGTGCCGCTGACCCAGTGGCACTTAGGGCTCAACCAGGTGGTGAGAAGTTTGAGGTTGTGAGTAGTAGTTCTACGTTGTTGGTGAACGAGGAAAGAGTCCATGATACACCACGCGCACTTACCGAGGAAGAAATTCAACAATATATCCGTGACTATGCCACCGCCGCCAAAAACGCGGTTGAGCGTGCTGGGTTCGATGGTGTTGAGATCCACGGTGCAAATGGGTATTTGATTGATCAATTCATCCAGAATATCGTCAACCATCGCACGGATCGATGGGGTGGGAGTGCCGAGAATCGAGCCCGGTTCGCTCTCGAGATTGTCAAGGCTGTCTCCGAGGCTGTGGGTGCGGATCGTACGGCGATCAGATTCAGTCCGTATAGTACTTATAATGATATGAATATGACTGATTCCGACCGCGACGAGACGTTCACATATCTCGCGCAGGAAGTCGCCAAGTTCAAACTTGCGTATGTCCACCTCGTTGAGTCCAGGGTTAGCGGGAATGCGGACGTCGAACAACCCCAGGGATCATTACAATTCTTCCTCGATGCGTATCGAGATGCGTCCCCGCTTGTCCTTGCGGGAGGATACAAGGCTCACTCAGCGAAAGAAGCGGTTGAGACCAGATACAAGGATCATCAGGTCGTTATTGCGTTTGGGAGACCTTTTATTTCCAACCCGGATTTGCCGTTTAGGATCAAGGAAGGTATTGAGTTGGCGCCGTATAATAGGGATACGTTCTATCTGTTCAAGGATCCGAAGGGGTATGTTGATTATCCGTTTAGTGAGAGGTTTGTGGAGGTCAAGGCTTAATCGGTTTCAAGTTGCCGTTCAATGTTTCATTCATCAAGGTTAGCGTGCATTGTTGAATATATATAGACTTGATTGTACTGTGACATTTGTATTGCATCATAAATCAATTCTATTCATACATATATCTCGAGACTAAACCCTACGCAGGTGTGCTGTGGTGGCACAGCATAAAGCAACCAATCTCTCAGTAGAGCCCCCAGTAAACGAACACCAAACTCCATCCATCATGCTTCGTAACAAGACAGTTATGCACATAAATCATTTTATTGAGCTGCTTCCGCTGCTCATTGATCAACCTGCTCAGCATCTTCGGTAGGTTGCGGTTCAACCTTGTCAGAAGCCTGAGGCGGCACCGGCTTGCTTTCAACGTCACTAGCGAAGCTTGCAGAATCCTTTGATACCAAAGTAGGCGCAATCCGTCGCTTTTTCGCTGGCTTTTCAGTCTCGGAAGCCTGTTTGCCATCTCGCCTGGGCTCTTCCCTTTCGGATTCGCTGGCCGCACCTATATCCCGCTTGCCCAGAACAGTACTACTAAACGAGCTTGTAGCGCTATGTGAGATCCCCGGTAATGGGGTTTGAGGCGGGGTGGTTAGAGGAAGTGAATTGGTAGCAGTCAAAGGTGGTACAGTGCCGAGAGTAGGCGTTGGGTTATTGATGACGTTGCCTGATTGAGATGCATGGAGTGTCTGGATTGAAGAAGCCGATGATGATCGCGCAGGACTGCTAGCGCGACCCGCACCATTTGGTCCTGAACTAGCCGGCGCCGGACTTTGTTTTGTCAACGAAGGCGATGGAGCATGTGTGGGTGTGGGTAAAGGTGTGTTGTTCGATGAGGAACTTGCAGATAGAGTGTGGTGATGTGCCGTCGAGTTCGATGAAGGAACAGGAGGCGTATAGGGCTGTCCTAATTCTCCTGAAGCGAATGAAAGAGTCGAGCAGAATCCATCAGATGAACTCATAATCAGCGTCAATCCGTCGGACGACCTAATATAGATTAGCAAGGATCAAAACTGTAACCGAATTTCAGACTAACCAGCTTAAATCTGTGAACGTCGCAAAGTGAAGGTTGTTCACAACACATAGTGGTGTCTGTTGTTGCGTATCGTATATGAATACAGCATCCTGCGTGGCTACCGCATAGACAAGGCGATAAGGTAGAGCAAACGCAGAGCTAGAAGCAGAATCATTCTCAGTCTTCGGAGACGGTTTCGTCTGATCGCTAGAAGGTGGCGGTGGTTCCATGGACGGATGACTCGTAATATTTGCACTCACAACAGGATCCGGTAATGCTGGGAAGCTGTCATCACCAGAAGACGTATCAAGCGTAATGTGATTCGTAGGTCGGGATCCTTGTCGGAGTGTGTAATATATCGGGGAGCATCTCACTGCAACGGACGGTTTCTTGTGGCCAGGCAAGTGCGCAATGGGTGGTTTGTTGAACCCTGCTCTTGTATAGATATAGACTGTGTTGATAATTTCTTCACTCGCTTTCATTGAATCACTTGTAGATCCTTGCGTCGTCTTGAATTGACCCGCTGGAGTAAATAACAAACTGCCGTCTGGAGTAAACGTCAATCGACGAAAGAAAGACGTAAAAGACTCATTTGCATATAAATTTGCATTTCTGACACCCAAGCCTCCAAACAAGCTTGGTGACGAAACTTCCATCGGCTTGACAGCAGGTAACGGTAGTGATGGAGCCGGCGAAGCTGACCGACGAATCGAAGGAGAAGACCCGAACGAGGAGCGTCGACTATGAGACACTGGAGGTGGATCCATCGGCAGGGTCATTGTTTTAGGAGTTCCCGGCGTGGATGGTGCTGGTGAGGCAATCGACAATCCACCGACAACGGATTGAGTCTTGGTATCTGTGGGAGCAGGGCTGCTTGCAGGAATTCGGCGTGCAGGAAGATCCATCTTTGAAAACTTTCCGTGTGTGGTCAAAGAGAATTGGCCATCTTTCGTTTTGAGACTGTAGATGTGTACGGATCTGTCTGACGACTGCGTCGCAACAAACTCGTTGAGGGGGTCCCAGGCTACACCCTGGACATAGTGTGAATGTTCTGCGATCTGTCGAACCATTTGTCCTAGTGTTGTCAGCGCTGACACCAGAAAACGGCATAAGCTCGACCGACCTGTTTGAGCATTGTAGATCCGAGTAACATTGTCCATGCTACCGGTAATTATGAAAACACCATCCGGTGACCAAGCCAAATCATAGATTTCAGCTCCCGACGACCGACACATATGCTTCACTCTCCAGGTCTCCTTATCATCCGAATGATCTTCTCCCAGCGGCGCCATGGATAATTCAGACGGCACCCATAACAGGACATTTCCATCATCTCCTGCTGACGCAAGCATTTCACCTGTTTCCATCAGTATTTGCGTCTCTATGGAAGGTATGAAGATTCACCTTTTGGCGAGAATCGAACCACGTTTACAGCCTGGGTATGTTTCACCAACGTGCTCAAATATGTGACTTTTCGTTCCTCTCCATTACACTCCAGTTTCCAAGTCTAAATATCGAGGTTAGAATGATGCGGGGACGATTAAGGAAGTAAAGGTACGACGTACTCGGACATTGTTATCACTACAAGCGGGGCGATAGTCAGTAACACGAAAAAAAAGTTTACAGTAGAAATTCATAAATAAAACTCACTTTCCAGCAGTTGCAAATCGACCTTTGACATGAGGATCAAAATGTACAGAATAGACAGGAGCGTTGCCGTTGTGCCAGGCGATCAACAACGGTGTAGCTTTCATGATTGAGCAAGTCAGGTACAGTGCTCCGCAGAGCACTGCTTGAAGTAGCCCAATAAACTGCGATTCAATTGGTGTAGATTCGAGTGAATGTGATGTGTCGAGAATATCGGTGTTGATTGAATAAAAATAAGCGACAGAGAGGTTGGTTATGTAGTGAGGAGTCCGAAGAAGCTGTATGTCGAAGGAATGAAGAAATGAAGTCTGGTTGGTCGTCCCAGAAGTCGAGCCACGGATATTGGCCGGCTATAACGTAGATAAGCAGACGAAACAGTCGGTCTCGACAGAAACAAGGAATGAAAGAAAGGAAAGAAAAAAAGAGGAATCCACAATGAATACAACAATTCCTCTCTCACTGTAACCTCGACAGTGCCTGAATCGAAGTTATCGTCGCAGAAGGAGTGATCAGACAGCCGTAGCACATACTCCGTGTTCGGTCACGAAACCATTCTTACATTACAGTCACGAAGATTATGTAGGAGTAAGCCTCACCAAGGGAGTACGAGAGCGTAAATTACAGGTATTAATTAATTCCACGCGTTTTTGCGAATCAATCAATACGCGTTCCCACGGGCTGAGCCAATCAGGTCGCTGCTTACAGACTCCTGTCCTCGAGCTGAGGATACGTTCATACTCTTTGGCATTGTCAATGTCTCTGATCCGATTCGTTCCAGACACTTTGCGAGGCAGTCAAACGCTAGAAAAGATGTCTGGATATCAGCTTGTGAAGACAGCTGCCAACACATCAGTCACGTGCAGATTTCTTCTGTCCGGAGTCTCTGGACTCTGTTGATTGGCATGGCATTAGTGTTGATCTATCACCTTTCCCATTCGTTGTCTGCATCAATGAAGCATTGCATTGAGTATCACATGATTAGATGCGTGAAGCTACTCCTGTTACATGGATATGCCACTGACAAGCCCCCGGATAGTCTCGGCCATATTTCCGAAGGATCGTGCATAGGAGTATCTTGGAATAATATACAGTGAAGATGAGGAAGACTAAAGTTATGTAATCCATTTCCCCAGCGTCTCACCAAACCAACTTTTCGCCTTCTCCTGCCTCTTCATCTGTGATTCTTGCTGCACTTTAACAAACGGAGCCGCTGCTTCCGAGTATATCTCCTTTTGCTCAATCTCAGCCTTGATAGACTGAATCTCGAGCTCTCTCTCATGTGGACTGAGTTTGTCTAATGATGCAGGTAGTTTATATCCCTCCGGAAGTTGTTCTGCCCCTGGTATTATTATTGTCTTGCCATCATTCGCTGGAACGGGTTTGGCGTTGGGGTTGAATAGAGATGTGATCGGCGGAGGTTCTTGTCCCGCGGCTCGGGCTTCTGCGACTCGGCTCTCGTAGTCGAGCATTTGGTGGTATAGTTTGTCTGCGTGCATTTGGATGCGTTCTTCTCTTTCTTCGTCGTAGTCTAATGAGCTGGCGTAGCCAAGGGCTTGTAGAAATTTCTTCAAAGGTCAGTAATTTCCTCTTGATATATGGAGAAAGAGAGAATGCGTACAGCTTGCGTGGTATAGCACCGCGAAAACTTCCTATTCTCATCAGAGCACATGGTCGCTCTAGCCTTGATCATCGACATCCAGTCACTCTTGTTAAAACATGTCGTCAGACCCTCATGCTCAATCGCACAATTCTCCATAGCCGCTGAATGTACTGAATCTTTCCGACGTTTGAGTCTTTCAACTACTCGCTGTGCCGAGTTTGAATTGTCGGTGGCCTCGACGTCTGCTAGAGGTTTGTAGGTTTTCCAGAGGTGCGCATATCGTCCGTCGGGGTAGAGAGAAGCTGCGGGGACTGCGGATTTGCCTTCGGTGGCGTTGTTTGTGTCTGGCTGTGAGGATGGTGTTTGAGGTTCTGTGGGAGTTTCTCGTGAGGGTCTGACGACCGTCGTGTATGTAGCTGGTCTTTCTTTCTTGAGGTAGTCTTGAAGCTCCGGATCGAGTTTTTTTGTCGGATCTTCTTGATTCGAATTGCCCCAGAACCAGCCCATTGTAGATGGTGGATTTTCCAGACACGATTTGAGATATATTAACAGTTGGCCTGTAGATGAGCACACTTTGGAGATGATCTTTAATGATCAGATAGTTGAAGAGTTGAGTTTGAGATGCGGAAAGGCTCCGGAGCTGTCCACACTAGTCCGCAAATAGCAGCCCACTACCTAACATCTCAACGGCCCGCGTTCTATCATCTCTCCAAGCGCGTAGAATTGCGCGACAAGCTGCGTTTAGGGGCAATAGTACAATATGGCAGCGAGTACGTGACCCCAGTCTCTGATACAATGATAATAAGCTAACTTTTCCTCGCAGGTCGAGAGGAGCGCTTGCAAATGCGCCAGCGCGGCGCAGGGTATGTTTCTCCCCGCACGCGACTTGCAACCAAACAGCTGACAGAAGTTGATTTTCAACAGTACACGCAAAGTTCAAGCACTTGACTTTGGATTTTCTTTTGGATCGCCAACTGAGAGTACTCAAGCGCCCTCAGTTGCGCAACAACTTGAAAGTGTTCCTGAGGATACGAACGTGGTGGAGTCAACAACAACAACAACACTTCCGAGCGCAATTGCGACGGTTACTGAACATTCTACGAGGGAGACCCCGACAAGGGTATTGCGCAATAGTACGGCTGCAGGGTCCTCTCGAAGACTAGATAGAGTCTCGGTTGGTAGAGTTTCAACTCCGAATAACACGACAGAGCAAGAAGAAGGCCGGAGTAGCAAGCGGAGAAGGATCAGTAAGTGACTGAAAAGGATTACGGTTAGTATACTGATTGGTGTTAGGTACTAGAAATGACGATTCTACCCTTCCTGCTACGTCACAGTCCGAGATCGTAAACCTGTCACTGGCTATTCATGAGGATACTACGCAAAACGACGAGCAACAAAACAGCGTTGATAATAGTGCAGAAGTCCCGGAAGTACCTACAGCAGATGTAAGGGATGATCAGCCACCAGGAAATACAATTGTCGAAGACGCGCCCCCGCAGGAAATCATCACGACTAATAGAAGAGGAAGGCCGAAGACTGCAGAATCGCAAGAAAACAGAAAAGAAAAATCAAGACAAAAGGACAATCAGACGAGGAGACATTCTATCAGACAGGAAGCCGGCAGCTCGGATCCTCCTGAAGATACCAGCAACCAAGAGACGCAGCCGAGGCTGCCCAGAGCGAGAAGCAGACGAGGCGCGGAAAACCAGCCAGCGGCGGAGGCTGAGCCAGAAATTGACCGCGAAGCAGTACAAGAAGATGAAGCACCGGAGGCAAGCACTGCTAAAAGCGGACGAAAACGTAAAAACCAACCTGAAAATGGCCAAGACAAAGGCAAAGAACCGACACAACAGGCTCCACGCGGTAGGAGGAAGCGGACTAGACCTCCGATAGAAGACGAAGCAGAGGACCGTGAAGACACAGCCCCGCAGCCTAGGAAGGAAAGAAAAGGCAAGAACAGAGAGGTCGAAGCTGTTGCTGAGATGCCTGGTGAGGAAACGCAAGAGCGTGCTGAAGAGATTCAAAAGTCAAAAGAAAATGGCGAAAGTTCCCGGCGCAGGGGTCGTCCATCCCTTGACAAGGAACAGGATTCTCAGCCAGAAGCAGAGACAACAACTACAACAAGACCTGAGCCAGACCAAGCACCAAAACGTCGGCGCGGAAGAGCATCCGGTGTGACTAGTGAAGACAAGCCAACCAGACGACGCGAAGGAACCGTCGCAATCACAGTCCACCGTCTCGCAAACGCTCACATCCTAGACTCAACCGGCGCAGCCTCCGACCCGTCCGATAATGAGCAGGACTCAACCGACGAACTCGAAGCTGTAGGCAAAAACTTCCCCAGCCGAAACGGCGTCAACGCCGCCGACGTGCTATCTCAAATCTGCAAAGAGATACTAGACAAACACTTAACAACACTAGACAACAACATCGCCAACGACGCAGGCAACCAGAGTAAACGATCGGAATATGCTCGACAGCGCAAAACCATCGAAGCATACGGAACACAATTGGAGGGTCGACTGTTCGAGCTTAGCGAATTACTTGATAGCAATTTCTCGCTGGGAGTGCAGCTGAAAAAGGCGAAGCGTGAAGCTGCCGAGATGCGGAATCGATTACTCGAGATACGACAGCAGAGACATGAGATTACGCTGCGAATGGATGCTGTGCGACGGAGACATATTGCGGAGGAGAATGCGAAGATGGTCTTGTCCCTTGTTCTGTTGTTAGTGGTTCGATTGCTAATTTATGGTCTAGGCACGCAACGCTATTAACAATACACTACACAACCTCGATCTGACGCTAGACCGGAATCGTGTCCGAGCAGATGACGACAGGCAGAATGAAAGCAGCGGTATAGCAGGCCTTGAATTCTTGCTGCGCAGCGTCTCGGAGAATGTGAGTTCGGCTGCTGAGGGATCGTATGGTGGATTATTGCAGCAGGCCAAGGCATTCAATGCGCAGTTGGAGATGACTGTGAGGAAGCTGGAGGGTAGTACTACTGTCTAGTCTGTATATCACTATTATACTATTATATACTATTATACCTGATGTCATGCATGGGTACATGTACCTGTTATTCGTCTGGATGCACTGCTCATCTGCACGCAGGTACATCAACATACCAGACAATTGAGACCTCACCCGCCTCCCCCAACATAAGTATACAATCAGCATACAATCAGCATACAACAAGTATACAATCAGCATACAATCAGCATACAACAAGTATACAATCAGCATACAATCAGCATACAACAAGTATACAATATCCATTCGTCCGGAAACCCCCTTATCCGGCACACAACACCTGATCCAACTCCAGATCTTACATCCTCGGCCCCAGACTCACAGCCCATAAATCCGGGGGAACCAGATCGAGATGAGAATTAATACCCGGGGTAAACCAGATCGTAAGATCATAAGATCATGGAAGCCTGTTATGGGCATTGCCGAGATCCTTCAATGCTGCCGCGTAATCCGGGGGGAGGTTCCTCAGGCCCGAACCGAGCAATCAAAGAAAGTCGAGTCAGTCAGTCTTCCAGATTCTCCGCATTCATGCCAACCAAGACTTATATGAAGCTGAACAATATAGTACGGGGTTCGGGATATGCCAATGCCATGCTATGCGGCTCTTGGTATTGCATCTTGCATATTGCATCAATTTCAATTAATGTTATGTCCGTACAACGTTAGCCAAGTTACACATCCACAAATCCCGATATCTCGGCATATCGCGATCACCCATGTAATCCACACAAATCCTGAAGCCGAAGTCGCGGACTATAGAATCGGCATTTGCGTCGGTCTCTCGCCTCTTAACTACGTCCGTCCGTACGTACGTAGTAGTACCCCAGTATGTTGGTCTACTAGTATGGAGACAGACTTTCCGCTCCGCCGAACGGATTGAGGTAGTTTGGTTGGAGGACAGAGCGCGATTCTGAAACGAACTTTAGCAGTATTTTTGTTGTTTAGAGCGAAGTTTACTCTGTACTGTTTCTCGTATGCTGAAACTGTTGGCATGGAGCCAGGCCCCGGGTTCCATGCTCCATGCCAATGAATGTCGGAGCAGGGAAAAGGGAGCCCCCAAATTTAGGCAAACAATGGATTCACGTGAGACTTGGCGCCGGCCAATCAGCCTAATTGGGGAATGTCGATTATGTCAGCTACTCTGTACGGAGTAACATAACTATAATTTAGTTCACTCACATGTCAGTTAACTAGTTAACTCAACTCACTTATTTGATGCTGTAGTTAACTAGTGGTCAACTGCCTGTACAGTGAAGAATGTTTGATTCATGTATGTACAGTGCATTATGCATTCACACCACATAGACTGTACTTTAATTGATTGAGTAGAGAATTGCTGACAATTGACAATTGGCAATTTGACAGGCTAAATACTTAACCATCGGTGGACAGTGCCCAACAGGGCTAGACTGTACATAATCATACATAATGTTACCGTATTGAGATATCCGTTTCTCCGCGATACAGACATGGACACAGACATGGACACAGACACAGACGATCTATTGAATTGACCACGTCGGGATTCTACATATGCCATCGATCAATTACGAACAACGGTATTGCTTGCTAACATTGTGGGACCATTTTTGATTCTCGAGATGAAATTCATGAAATCATGAAATTCTTGAAATTCTTGAAACCGAGAGACGAGATCGTCCAGACGGGAAAATGGGGTGGACTGATCGGCATACAGACCTCTATACGATGTGCTCCGTTGCTCGTGTATTTTATTCCGTATGGCTATAACGGTAAAATAGCAGATCGTTTACCATGCCGGACATGTGATTGGCTGCCAGCAGGCGTACCCCAGAATGCGCGTTGCTTAATTCTGGTGCTATTACACTAAAAATACGCCAAAATTCCTCCACAGTCAGCAGCTTACTAATAGTAATTCCCGTCATCCAGTCTTGGAACACCAATTATCTTATAATTAAAAAATATTTAAATATTTAAATATTTAAAAAACATTTATAAAACATTTATAAAACATTTATAAATATATATAAAACATTAATAAAATAATTAAAAGTATATAAAATATATAAAATAATCATCTTATAATCATTTGTAGTTGACCACTATGTAGGTTAGTGTAATATGTAATATATTATTATATTATACAAGGTGGATTGGTGTCTGCCAATGGCCGAAAAAGGGACTGCCCCCGCCTAGACGTTCCCCAGATCCCCGAACCGAATACTCTTCTGGGACTAGGGATTCGCACGGATGGAACTTATTTATCCAGCTTCCCTGTCCATTTAATTTCAGCCCGTTATATCTACCTGCTTGAGCCCTCTTTCACCTTTTCCTTCACCTCACCTCACCTCACCTCACCTCACCTCAGACAGACAACACCAGACGCGAGTCCTTTCAAGCCCAAGGTCTGCTGATATTATTAGACAAAGGTTCGTCTTATTTTATTTTGTTTGGGTCTGGAATGTATTTTTAGAGATCTTGTTGAGGCGGCCCGCAGTTACCTAGCTTGACTAGCTCTGCGCAAAATCCTTCTTCCTACACTTGCTTTCCCATCTACACCCCGTTACATCTTACATCGCACTCCCTCATCCTCTCCCTCATACACCTTCGCCCAATTCATCGACTCGTTACTGTTACTAAAACTAACAACACAGACATGGCATCTGCACCTGACGCTGCGCCTCCCCTCGACAAGGAGACCACCAACCTCGACAACACTGGCGCCTCCACCAACGGCGCCTCCCCGGCAGCATACCCTCAAATGTCTCGCGAAGAGCACGACGTTGCTCGCGCCGCTGCCCGTTTCGGGTACGGCCCCTTGGCTCAAGTCAACACTCACGAGGCCCGTCTCCCTGCCTTTGGTGGTGAATTCCAGCCTGGTCTGTATCGTCCTGTGAGCGATCGCAAGATTGCCAATCCTGCTCCTTTGGGCTTGAGTGCTTTCGCCTTGACTACCTTTGTGCTTGGCTGTATCAATATGGGCGCCAGGGATATTACTGAGCCTAATATTGTGATCGGACTTGCGTTTGGGTATGGTGGTTTGGTCCAGTTGCTTGCTGGCATGTGGTATGTCTTCTTCCTCTTTAATTCTATGACTAGCTCCCGAGACGCGTTCACTAATTGTTCAAAGGGAAATGGCTGTCGGCAACACCTTTGGTGCCACCGCTCTGTCTTCTTATGGTGGTTTCTGGCTCGCTTTCGCCATCACCTTGACTCCTGGTGGATTCAATATCGTGGGAGCGCTTGAAGCAGCTGACCACAACAGCCCAATCATGTTCTACAACTCCTTCGGTCTCTTCTTAATGGTACCCTCCCTTCCCCTGTCCACATTTCCAGAAAACAAGCACTGACGGTCTCCAGGGCTGGTTCATCTTCACCTTCATCCTCTTACTCTGCACCCTCCGCTCCACCGTGGCCTTCTTCTCGCTCTTCTTCACTCTAGATCTCGCCTTCTTGTTGCTTGGCATTGGCTATCTAGTCCGCGAGAACGGCGCACCAGACCCAAAGATCATCAAGGCAGGAGGCTTCTTTGCGCTTCTGGCTGCCTTCTTGGCCTGGTACAATGCCTTGGCTGGTATTGCGGATTCGTCAAACAGCTTCTTCATTATTCCTGTTGCTCATTTCCCCTGGTCTGAGAAGGGGCGCGAGCGTCGGGCCAAGGTTGCTCGCGATACTGTCTAGTCTATGACAAATGACATCTCACGCAGCACTGTTTTGACACTCGAACTATGCAATGAAAAACAAACGGGGTAGAACTCTGAACGTTTCATGTTTCTATTTTCTGTCCCTCAGATACCCTGCTGTCCTCTTTTTTTTGCTTCTCAAACATCCACATGAAATGACTGGTTCATCGATATTATGATATTGATGATTGTGGATGCATGATACGATCCTAATGTACTGAACTTAGTCAACTCTTTAATGCAGTAATACAATCCTGATCTGGACTATCAGAAAGTAATCAATATCATAATCATATACACACATACATACATACATCATAAACATGTACAACGAGCAAACTACTGCTGGGCCAGGATATCTACATAACATGCTTCAGGATAAGTGACGATGGCTATCGCCCAGTCAAACTCCTCCATATCTCCGAAACGTCCGCTCCATAACAACGATCAACAAAAAAAAATCCCATCAAAACATCCCTGAAATCATCCACTGTGCTCATGAATTGGGTTGATTCGTATTCATTATAATTATTTCCCCCGTCTCCTCCTCCTCTGCCAGGAGATATTGATGTGGTGAGTGGTATGGTGGTGTTATAAGTATCGATAGCCTTACACAATTCATCCATAAACCAAATCCGACTTGTGGGGAGGTATTTTGCGGCTGATGCGCCGATGAATAAGAGCCATATGAGTAGATCGGGGAGATAGGTGTATGTACCCGCTGCGATGCCGTGACGGAGTGCGGTTTCGAGTGCAATGACTGGTAAAGGGAACAAGGGGGCTATGGCAGGATAAAATGGCCAGATTGTGGTATTGTGGAAGAGGAGACTGGCTAGTCGGACGGCGCCTTCGATTGTGTCGTCGCCGCGGAGTGTGAATGTCGAGTTTGCTGTAGAAGAAGCGCGAATCCATCGGTCGTTGACGAGGCAATATTCCGTGTAGAGGGCTTCGTTGTTAAAGTATTCTTCTATATCTTCGTCGAACAGTACCGAGGCGAGTTTTGGTTGTAGTCGGAATATCTCAGCGTATAAAGTGACAGAGGTGAGATCGTCGATTGTGCGACACATCTCTACCCCGAATACGCCGGGGATACGGCTGAGGAGGCGTAGTGTAGAGGCTAGTTTGCCTGCATTTTCGACGCGGACTTGTGGTGGTGTATGTGCTGGCATGGCGTAGCGGATGAAGGGGAAGAGGGGTTTGGACATTGTTTTGCATGCGGATCGGATGTCGTTCCTTGACAGAATTAGTGTGGTTGCTCCAGTTAGAGGGTAGAATGTACGAACCATTCGACTTGCACCCGCACGTTTTTGGATATATCTGCAAAATTCTTTCGCAGTGAAACCATCTTCCGTAACCCATTAAGATGAGGCGCAATATCTTGCGGATTGCTCCCAGTAATCTACCCCAGTCAGCTCATCCTGCAGTATACAAGGGCAGCAGACGTACCTCTACAGAGATCAACATCGAAACCGCAGCAATAGAAGCATCACTCGCCGCCGACGACGCAGACGACAAATCCCGGTTAATCAAACTAATCGTCAAGCCCCGATTCCGAAGCCGATCCAGCACCAAGGGACTATCCCGTCGAGTCGCGGGATCGGCAAAAAAGTCACCGGTCCGTAACGATTTATTTGTCACTCCCGAGGTGATACAGCAGTACAGTACGGATGGATTCGATTGTGCGAGGGAGACCCAGTGGTTGCGGAGTTTTGCGATGCCGTGGTTCATGAACGGTGCCGCTTGGGGGATTAGGTCGTACAGAACTTTTGAATGTCTTTTTGTTAGCAATATGCCACTTGACGAGAGGCGGAAACGTACAGAATTTGAAATGCTGATATTGCGACTCGGAGAGTTGTACTTGTGTCGCGTGAAACGGATCTAGTTCGTCAGTACCTACACGAGGCGCAACAGGCACGCTTGCCTCATGCCGTACAAGCGATAGCTGCTGTTCCTGCGGCGAACTCTGCGTCGAACTCGTCGACTCCTGCGAGAAGTCTTGTATCGTGGAAAATGCAATAGACGTCTCCGATGTCAGTGAACCAGCACTTCTCGATTTTTTGAGACTGTCCGGAGGCGACTGTTCCCGGATCTCCGGGGACGACGAGCTCTTCGAACTCGATCTGTCCGACGACGAGGAAGACGAGTACGGCGGAGATATCGACGACTCAATCGCGCGCGACAGTCTAGATGTCGCGATCGGTTCCGGCCGATAGGCGAGGTTCTTCCATGTCTTGCTCTTATTGTACCGTCGTGTATTCTCCAGTCGCTTCTTGCGATTGTGCTCGGACATTACATGCGATCGAATCCGTTTGAGTGTCTCTTCTCTCGATCCCTTCCGTACGGTCTGTGGATCGGAATTGACCCAGAATAACGGTGATCGAGAACCGCCGGTTTTTGGTTGTTGCGACATTGTTGGACTCTTATCGTCGCCGTTATCTTCCTTATTCGAAGGGTCATCTTGCGTAGGCGATATTGCTGTTTAGATTAGCATCTATCTTTCCATCAACAAGCGATGCACTTACACTGGACAAATTGAGGCTGTTGGGGCGTCGCAAAGGTCGTAAAGACTTGTTCGTAGGAATGTTGTCTGGAGTGTGCAGCGCGATGAGTGTCGTCAGATGCGACCGAGCCCGTCTTGGCATCCATCCGAGATGTTTGACCTCACAATCTATGATAATAACAGAACAATGCCAAAATCAAATATATCTCGATATCATGACAAAAGATAAAAGACGAGTAGTCTGCACTATGTAGTCTGTGGTAGTGAAGGCAGTTCCGTTTGAGATTTGGTGGCGCCCGCAATTCAATTTAGTTAACGACTTGACCTTTAGGCTTGTCGCTTTAAGACTTATGACCGGGTGAATTGATCCGTGACAATTGATGAGTGTGTGTTTCTCCTTTCTAGACCCTGTCCTTAGTCATAGTCACATAGTCTCGACAAGGCGGCTGTGCCGTCTCAAAACTCCGTCGGGTCTCGAATGCGTGGCTTAGCACATGGCGTGTCGTCGTATGCATTAAATTTCCGCAAGAGCCTGAGTCTTCAATTCTTCTCTATCACGAAGGCACAAGGCAGCAGGCAGCAGGCAGCGAGTCAGTTCAGGGCTGTTCAGGGCTGTTCAGCTAGACTAACCCGAACGAGCAGGTCAATCCCAGCCCTAAATCACTGTCCCTCTCGTATACTCCGTATTCATTCTACGAGCAACGACTGGGCTAGCGCGGTGCTCCATAAATAATGCTTGTTTTGCGGAAGTGCTTGCTTAGCATGAAAGAGCCAATCAGTTATTTTGTCTGAGATTATGTATGAAGTATGCTATAGATTCCTATTTTAATCAACGTCTAGCCGCCCAAGCCGGCAGTGTTTTATCTACCTAACTATACATAGGTACAGTGCTTACTCAGTGTATATGCATCACCACGGGTATTCCTGCATGGATAAACGTCCACGGGTCAGCCAACCGATTCATTCATCACCTAGGCAGGAAGATACATACCTCGTTCTTCCAGGTCCAAAACGTCCCAGTATGCTCAATACTTTTGCTCTGGATAACATCAATCATGGCAGACACCGACTCTTCGGCCGTAATTTGTCCGCCGCTGATCTCCCACGCAATATCGATCTTGCTCATGTCACTGTATGATTCAGCGCATATTCTTCTCAGTTACGTACTTCCTAGGTATAAGAACACTCACGTCGACACCTCTCCAGGATGCAAAGCTAATATAGCCGTTTGGCTTTGCTTTCGTTTGAGTTCCTCGGCCATGTGCTGCAGTCTCGTTCTCAGTTACATTCACTTTCATCCATTTAATGGGAATAAATACCCTCAGAGCTTGATTCAAAGCAGCTTTTGATGCGGAATATGCAGCGAACCTGACCATGTGAGTATGTTAACTTCTTATCTTCTCCGCTGCCGATGATCATGGGGGGCTTATTACCCATCTTCGAAAGCAAGGAAGCGCGTCGTTGAGCCGGAATCACTTGACATAAAAGCTATTGTCCCGATGGTGACGTTGGCTAGTTGTAGTAGTTTCTGAGCTACGATAATGGGTCCGATGGTGTTTGTGTGTAGGTGAGTTGCGAAGCGCTCGAATGTCCTATAAAGTCAGACCAGACTGACAGTGTTCGCGCTAGAGACCTACATTTCAAGAGTTCGCTGATAGAGTCAGTCTCTCAAATGGACAAAGGAAGAGATTTGTGTCTTACATTCGGGTATTTCAATATCCCGGCATTAATGACTGCATAGTCTATTTTCCGCTCCCCGGATTGAACGAACTGTTCAATGAAGCCCTAATCGCCCTACTTAGTCGACTATTCTTTCCGTCCTTCTCCTTTGATGATCTGTTGGGAGCTAATACGCTTACATTGATACTCTCCTCACGAGAAACGTCACACGTCAAAACCCGTACTCGATCTGGCGCAGTCTTAGCCAACGCATCGATATCGGAGTTGGGATTTCGCACTGTCGCAATGACGCGGTGACCATGACCGATGATTTGGCGGACAAACTCGAGACCAATGCCGCGAGATGCGCCGACTATGAGCCATGTTTTGGGAGTTGACATTTCGATTCTGCAGAATATCTCGATACCTTTTTGAAAATCTCTTGAAATGAAGCGAATTGAGGATCTGATGCTGGTTATATACCAGTGATAGATTTCAAAGATAACAAATCGTAGATGGTGGGTATTGAACCTTATCTCGGGCGTATTACCTGCCTAGTTAGGTAGGTACAGCCGCGAGCATTTGTATATGTACTTTTGTCTTGATGATATCTACAATGAATGAATGAATGATATTTATTATATTTATTACGCCCGGAGGGGTTTCCCCTATAGGGCACTGGTGCGCTAAATACATGCAATTCGTGTGTTTCCGACCTATCCTCCTAAAAGCCCCATGCTCTCCCTGCTTTGGCGTGGTGACTTGGTATTTGCACTTTAGACTTCATTGGACTAGGGTTCCCAACACCTAGTGGATTAAGGATGATAGACCGGCTTAAAGGCTATCTTCTTTAAATGTGCAGCATCCTATCTTCGGCAGCTGCAGCAGGGTCTATCATACATGAAAGTGGGAGCGGTTAGTTAATGTTAGTTCTAGTATAACTAACTTAGTTTATATTGCTATTCTATATCAAGCCTTCCTATCGATATTGCATATCTGAGTGTCGTTCGTACCGCTTGAATATCTGATTGCTATCGCTCTAGGACAGATTGTGCTTTTCCTTCCAGATAGAATAACTGTCGGAACGTGAATATCAAACCCTACGCGTTTCGGCACCGGATTAGTTAGTCTGACGTGGCACGTGGGTGCCGCGTATATATCTAGCTAGCTATCCCCCGTCCTAGTCACAATATTAGGAATCAAGATAGCTTCATATTGTCAGGCTCGTTGGGCCGCTTCGTGTTCGCGCCTTACTACCGTCTATGCTTCGTGATACGGACCATAGTAAAACCAACACTGATCAGTGAGGCCCACAGATCAGATCCTTACCCTTATTCTCACTCATTCAAACCCTCTTCGACCTCATGTCAATTACTACCCCGGTGCGCCGATATACGCACTAAACAGCCGGCAATATGGTCACCACTACAGATTATATAGACTGGGATCCGAGCGACAAAGACCGCAAAGAAATTGAGAAATACATGCTTGCAAGATATAAAGACTACACTGAGAGATATGATAATAATCTTTGGTTCATATTCAAAAATAACTTCAAGAAATGGACCACAGATGACTTCGAGAAGTGTAGCATACAATATCTTATAGATCTACGCCAGATACTGCGTGCTAATAGCGTATATGTGCCAAAACGTGGTGAGCCAATGAAGGCCCTAATCGATACACTGGCCCAACCTAAATTTCACAAATAGACTGAAAGTGAAGTCATACAACACGTACAACTCAAAGGGACAGTCAATTCCCCTTCAATCCAACTCCAAGTTGGCACTCTAATTAAGAAACTCAACAACGTTATGGACGCATCAACACAAAATAATGCTCGATTCGTACAAGGTCTCTACAGTGCATTTGTCCACCGAAGTCATAGCAGAGCGTAAGCTTTTAGGTGGGGAGAGGGAGATATCTATACCCTGAGCTAGCAAGACAAACTAAGCAAACTACCCAAACGATATAAACACGACGCAATTGAAAGAAGATTCCGGACGATTCCGTACGACGATGCGACGACGACAATAACTAGTCGAACTCATCACCGGGGGGGTGCTGGGATGAGGCCCATGGTACGACAGAGGTCGCTTGTTGAGGTGAGGATGTCCAGATTGGGAGATCAATGGTCAGAACTTGGGATGCAGGCATAGATGGAGGCTGAGGTAGAAGAAGAATGTAGTCGTGCTATAGTCATTGATTAGTAAATTCTTCAAAGCAATAGATAGGAAGGAATTGTAGAATCATATATGTTCTTCTGCTTGTCACTTTACATCTTTGTGTCTTATAACTATAGTTTTATGAGGCTTGCTTCGTTTAAATTTTTTGAAATTGAATGGCTCTTCAAATATAACGACGCCTAGATTTATGGACAGTAATGGTATAAGCCACCATGATTGGAAATTGCGTCTGTGAACAGTTGATGTTATAGCAAAATCTCTCTTTGAACGAAAGATTGGCACAACTTTCTTACCATTGATCGTACAATACTTAGAACCTTTGTACGAATTGAAATGAATAAGAAGAGCAAATGGAGGAGTCTCTTGGGGGTTAGTAATCCCTGGATACCAGATAATATCCATAATTGTACCAATGGCTCCATTCACAAGCCCATATTGCGTCTATATATTCTCTAAAAGCATGACATGGCATCCAATAGAGATATGGATTTCTGAGTGTAAATTGCTAGCTTCCTCAGTAGAAGCTTTGTCAGCCTTTAAGCCCTGGTGAGTTGCCAGAATTCAGAGTACAGGCTATCCTATATCCTGCAGCTAATTATGATTATACTCATATACTTCTGCTTTCTTAGAGTAAAGTCGAATAGTGTCCTTGAAGTTGACAGCCTCTGTCGGTATCATCGCCTGTATACGTGTGCAAAGAAGCTCCCAGTCCTTGAAAGTTAACTTATCTACCTGGAGATAATCTAGAACATCATAGAATGCAATAGAGGTGGGATCAGCTCCCTCTTGACGCTATATAATATCAAGTTCAACTGTTAACTAAAAACTGTGATAAAGAGCACATTCATGAATTTCCTCCAGGTTGTCAAGTCTCCTATTATAGTACAAAGCTTGTTGGCTGACAGGAGGAAGCTAATAGAAATCGCCAGCTAATACTATGTTAAGCCCTCCAAAAGGCTGAACAGACTCGGAATCTGAAGTGGGAAATATTTCCTGTAATCTCTGATTGATCTAGTAAACTTATTTAGGTTCAATCATAGATTTTTCATCAATAATCAGCTAACTCACACCCTGAAAAGTAGCTTGCAGAGCTTGTCGGTTCTCAGGAGTAAGATCAGCCATTTGACCCTATCCAATTGGGAGGCAGAACAGTGAATGAAGCATATAGCCAGTGATATTGTATGTAGCCACACCTGTTGGCACTGCACGAATGACAGGTGATTTTTCGATACTAGCGTCTCTACCCATTTAATCCAAAGTGGCCAAGATTAATGTAAGAACATGGGACTTCCTAGTCCCAGCCCTGCCATTAAGATTGATAAGAGTATGAGGGGGGTTCTCTCTATTAAGCTACATTTGATAGTGACCGCAAATTATATCATAAATTTGGCGCTGCTAGATTTCAAGTGTGTCTTAAGATGCAGAAAATTCGACAGTCATATCTGCAGGATAATCTGCTTTCATTGTCATCCAGAAATTATCCTCAAGATCTAAATGACAACTAATATGTGGGATCCAATCCATCTCTCTGTCGATAGAACGATCTCCAAGCTCATTGGGATTTTCAACTCTCGTGGCGTTATCTTGATTAGGCAACTGTCGAACAAGTGCCTCCCATGATTGTAGTATATCCTCATCCTCTAAATGTAAATCCTTGTGAATTACTTCGGGATGAGTAAGAACCTTTATCATAAAAATCTTCATTATGAGTATGAGTGTTATGGCAGAATTCATATACAGCAATATATAACAAATATGTCACCATCTATCTCCAGTAAGTTCTTAATCTCACAAGAGGGATGATACATCATCAACTTAACACGTGTATAATTCTCAGGCTGTTTTTCTGAATCGTACAATGGGAAATAGTTAAGGACCCTAACTGGAGCATCACGTCTATAGATTTGTCTCCAATTCCGGAAATCAAATTCACGCAGGAATATGAAGTAATATGGGTTCTCAAATAGTTCAGAACGGCGTTTATATTTCTCTAATACTGAAAGTCCTCGTTGGACAGTTTCATTACCTTCAATCTTAGGCTTGACGGGAACAAATGCGGCGGCATGAACCTTCTCAGGTCGACAGTCAACATTAATACAGATTTGACTTGCAGATTGAAGTAGTATATTAAGAAGTAAATGCAATACTTCTTAGGCCAACCAATCTCGTTTGCCAATCAGATGGTTCATCATCTTACTAACAGCAGACAGGAAAGGGTTTTGAGGATTGAGTTTAGATAAAAAACCTTTCATCATATCCTTGTAAGATTCCGTTTTTTTCTCGGTCTTTAATATATACTTGGCAATGTAATCCAATAGAGCTCTGCTCCCAGTACATAGTGCAATGTCGATATTTGCTATCCATCCTATAAGTATGCAGCGGTTCCAAGCATTTATCATTGCATCATTACAAATAGAATAAAAATAATGGTATTAGTGTCTTGGAGCGTGTTTAATGAAAGGCTATTGGAGAATATTCAGTGGTATCTGCTACCATCTGATTGGGTTGGGGATTCAATGCAGAGATATAGATACCCCAAAAGTTAACAAAGGTTTGACATAGTTTAAGGGACAAAGGTTCAACTTCTAAGTTAGAAGCACCATTAATCCAGTAGAGGCCATATTTATGGACTAAGCTACGTCCTTACTATTTAAATCAGTTCCAGTTGTCGATGACATTGAAGCTCTTGTCCAAGACCTCCTTTCTAAACATGTTATATCGAATCCAGAACCATTGAGCGACAATATGTAGATTATCTCTTAAGTTGTCGCGAGCGATTTGGATTCGTTCCTGTCCTATGGCCGCTTTCCATCATTCAAAGCTTAGAAGATGCTGCATGAGATCGGCCTAATGTAAATCAGTAGCTGACAAGGTCAAGAAAAGATGCGATGGGCCAATATTCTTAATTATTGCTCTTAAATATTGGTGTTTATTCGTCTAAAAAGGACGTATCCCTCAAAGCATCCCAGATCGGTGAGTAATAGAGTTGAATAAGGCTTCTCCTTCTAGAGTATCATCCTCAAAAGCCAGACATAAATTATCTACAGTAATTTTACGCCCATCCTTAGTCTTCTGTTTGACAAAAAAGCTAGCTTTAGTATTAGCCTGTTGTCTCATTATCGTATTAAAGGAACTGCTCCTTTTATTGCCAGTCATGGATATGACGGGGCTTTTGGAACTTTTGGTGCTCTGGCAGCTGCCATGAGATTGTTGGGTATTCCGGTTTATGTTTGGGGAAAGAAGATTCGCCATGTAACCGGTCGGTTTGCCAGAGATTGATCTTACCATTGGGTGGAATACTAACTAGGTAGCTAGGCAGTATATTTCCCTTGAAGTCCTGTCCACTGTTCTTCCATTGGAACGTTGGGACGAGATATCTAATTAGCTTCCAGGTTCTTAGGTAGATTCCCGACCAGCATTTAAACCACTAATTGGTCTTATGACGCGAAGAAGAAGTTTAAATACACCTGAAATATATCAGCATAAGGAACATAGAAACTGTCACTAATGGATAGCCTACGATTGGCTTATTCAGTACAATTTGGCGTGATGAGATGCGTCCAAGGTTAACGATATTTCGTACGGTCATTGGCAGGTGCATAGGGGAAATTTACCCAACTTTTACTTTAACATATCAATTGATAGCACAAGTAGTAGAACTTCATCAGAATCCCTCTCATTCAGTCCAAATTCGTCGACCTTGCTATACTGTCGAACCCATCTAAATCTCTCTGCAAAGCGCTAACTTTAGAATACGCCCTTTCAAGGCAATCTGCGCCCAGGGGTAATCTTAAAAGCCCTTGTTTGCCTTCTCCTAATCCAGTACCTTCCACCACTTCTACAACCCGTCTCATCCCTTTGGCAGGGTCACCAGGCTGGTTGCCATTGTAAGCGCGGAAGGAATTAAGAGTAGCATGCAGCGGAGTTCCCTCGTAGTCCTTTGTCATAGGGGCCTCTGGCTCGAGATTGCCGGACAGAAAATCAGTTCGGAATCCGCCAGGGATCACGATCAGCACACGAATATTAAATGGGGCAAGTTCCAAACACAGAGCTTCTGATAGATCTATTCTCGGCCAGCATCCACCGGTCAGTACGGGATTCTAGGTGTGCGATATGAAATACGATAATAGAAATCAAGGGCGCATCACTCACTTTCCAAGGACGATTTACTTGCTCCATATATGCCTCCAGACGGTCGTGGATCCAGTGCAGCAATTGAGCTTACATTCACAATGACACCGCTTCGTTGCGCACGCATGCTCGGTAAAGCCGCTTTGATCGTACGTATGGGGCCATATAAATTGGTATTAAATTGGTCTTCAATCTCTTTCTCGCTGCCATGACAAGATTTGTGTAAGGAACTATGCTGTTGCACAGCTAGGTAGCAGCTGGGTATGGTTCCAGTCAACCCACCTGAGATCTTCTATACTGCCTAATATCGAGTACCCAGCATTATTGGCGAGGACATCAATTCTACCGCCGAACAAGTCGCACACGGCACTCTCCACGATAAGTTTCGTGTCTGACTTATTCACGTCCAGTTGCAGCCAGGATCCGCCGAGCTGCTCGATTTCAGGATGCGCGGCGGACGCTTTGGTGACGTTTCGGGCAGTGGCGATGACTTTGTGCCCTGCTTTCAGTACTTCTAGAGCGAGGGCAAGGCCAAGGCCATTGGAGGCCCCAGTTATGAGCCAATTCAATATGGGCATGGTTTCTTCACCTTCATACGGATTCTCGCTATCATCGTTTTTCGATGAACTAACGCGAGCAAAGACAAGAAGAACTAAGCCGTTCAGATTAAAGCAAAGAAGGCCCCTGTAATGCCACAAGATATCGTATTGTTAGCCGAAGTTGGTTAGATTCTACAAAGCCTTCCAATTACTCAGCAGGGTCTCTGGTCTTTACCCCTTGGGGTATTATTTGGAAAATCCGCCGATTGGACAATCTACTATGCATTTGCTTATTATTTATCACTTATTCAAGGTTGATTATCTATCAATAATAAGCTTCATGAAACTAAGGACCTATGATTTGTCATTAGTTATCAATGACGAATTAAAAATCTCAACTGATGCTCGTCATCCATATTCCGGTGATTTGAAATCAATGCAGGAGTGATTTGCTTTGAAATCAAGGCTCCTTGAGCCCCAGAGTCTTTGTTCTTTGTTTTCTGACTGGTCTTTCGGCCAAATAATCTTACTTTAGTCAGTGTTTCCCTCCAGATGTTCTCAAGTGCTACATTGATAGCAATCGAAATAGTCAGAATTAGTTAATATCTAATTGCAATTTAGGATATATTAACTATTAGAACCTGGGCCCCAAGTTCTGACCATGCATTAATTAAAGCTGAAATGGATCCGAATGGATAGACGTATTGAGGAGGTTTCTGTGGTTCGAGCCTTTTTAGCTTGTCGATCATGTTCGGGTCTAGGATGTTGCAAGAGGATCTCTTGGGAACCAAGGATTGAAGTTATTCTCGCTTCTGCTTGTCAATTTCGAATTGATATCACAACTTTTGTAGAAGAGAAGCTTGGAATACGTATACACAATACAAAACATAAAGTTTACGCCGTTTATATACTCTTGATCACGAGTCATGTTTAAGTTTTTGAGTACTGGTCAAGGCGGATCATTTAAGCTCCTTAGATATCATCTGTAAGATTCTAGTGGGTTCAACAAAGTTTAAACTAATAACGGACTGCTGTATGATCTATAACTTTGAAAAAAAGTCAAGACGTACCTTCCCATCCTTTGAAAGACAAACTCGGGGCTTAAAAAACGCAAAGGGACAAAAAAAAAAACATAAATGATGAAATCTTATAACTGATAATCAAACAGGAAACCCATAGAAGACGTAATATCAAATGGATAGGAGACATCCATGGATCTATGATATGTATCTCCAAGACAAACGTGCAGATTGCGCAATCAATGTCCTTGCAGCATTCCTTGCCAGCTATACTTCTGCATTCATGAGATATGCCCGGCATTCTTGACTAGAGAAATATTGGCTTTCTGTAGAGCTTTCCCTACTGCTTCCACTGTGGCGTCTAGGCCGCGTAGCATTGCATGCATGCAACCGGTGTCTTCACTTGCTGAGGCGATAGCTGGGATTGAAGATGAGGAGAAATGAGTCGTATCAGCACCTCTGCCGGCATCAACAGCAGGCTTGTTAGCGTCATAAGTAGCGCTGGGCTGATTGTTATTTTCAAAATTCTCCTTTGCCCTAGCCGGGGCGTGGCCGAGCTTGGATTTCAATGACAGAACAGCAAATCGAATCTTGGCAAGACTGTAGGAAATAAGTAAATACGTGACCACAATTTGCTCTCCGAAAGGAACTTCGTATTTTCCCATCACGAGCCGCCCGCCGTCAGAGAGGGATAGCAAAAAGTTGGTGTCGTTGTGAGAGGGATCATCATTAGATAACACAATTGCGGCACAGAGACGTTGGAGGCGACGAAGGACCGCGCGAATAGTCATGGCAGATAGTATCAGAACACCTTGGTCATCATCATTGTTGCAAATTTTACATTGAGACAACTGTTTCCAGGGGACGAGGGCCTGCTGCACACACATCAAGGTTACGTCAACAGAGAGCGAGCCGTTGCTATTTTCCAACTCGCCCAGGCGGCATAGTAAATCAGCGTGATCCTGCAGGCAACTACAGGTATTGGTCCGTGGAAGCGAAGCGTCCAATTTCTGCAATTGAGGTTGATATAGATCTTCCCTTGTCGTCATTGATCTCTCCCCGGAGAGAGAATTGCTAACTTTGTTTATACCATTGGTTCCGGCATGATGAAACGAAGATAGAGGATGGACGCCAAAGCCAAAGGCATCGGGAGAGTAGAATTGTGTGTCCTCAGTTACGGTATCCATTACATCGTCGGTCGAACAGATGCTTGATGGCTTCCCCATGGCACACGAACCTTTGCTCAGTGCCTATAATAATGAAAGCACATTATTAGCTTAGCTTTCTGATGCAGCGCGGCACCAAGGGTCGGTAGTTGTATTTACCTTCACGTTTAGATCATTCCTATCCTGGTTGAAAGCAAGATTCGAGATCAAATCAAGACCGATCGGGTCCGGAAAGCCCTTCCCGTTGGCGAAAAACATTCCCGGGTTGGATTCAACAGATGCATCAGGGAGCATATTGTCAAAAGCTGTTAGGTCTTTGAAAATATTGGCGCTGCTAAAGTTGGCGACGGCGGCGGCGGTGGTAGTGGTAGTTGCGGTAGTGGTAGTGGCAGAGGTGGAATGCGGAGGTGTTCGCTGTTGTTGAGGCCCATTATTGTTTGACAGGGCCTCCCTGCCATTGCTCGCATGTACACTGTTTTCCCTGCGATTCTTGGTTGTGCCTTTGGGTCTGCCGAGTTGATTGGAGATGCTGTAGACGCATTCGTATCGAGAATTTTGGCAAGTTGTGCATGGCATGCCCCCGGAACACCGAGTCTTTGCTTGGTGGCAGGTGTCGCACGCCAGGCGCAGTTTTCGGGGTTGCAAAGAGGATTTCATGGCCGCTGTCTTTCTCTCTCTGTTCCTATATTATGTATCTCGCTTTGATCCCTGGCCCGGAGCAGGCAGTCTCTAGCTAGGCTCTAGCTCCCTACACAGCGGGGTCACTTTATTAATACTGCTTCCGCTGCCAAGAAACTGTCGGGTTTGTGGGTTTACTCCAGCCCAATCCTGAATAGTAGTTTACAAGGATGGGAAAAGAAGAATTGACTAGCAAGATTGTGTGTATTGAATTGTTTGTCTGTACGAATACATCAGGTTTCAAAACTGGGTTTTTATAGACACTTTGGTGAGGTGATTTGTGAGTTATCATGAGTGGTAAACATTGAGGGCTGTATTGAGTATTGAGCCCTGATAAGAAGGTGGCTTCTGATTTGCTGAAATGTACTCCGTACCTAACTGCCAACTACTACCTAGCGTGAGAGACCAGGCCGCTAAAGAAGCCGCGGATCAAACCCTGTCCTCCCCTTACTTATGGTCATATGCAGCCCTTAAGCGGCATACCAAATCATCAGCAACTGCCCGAGCCCACACTCAATGGAAGAAAGTCGCACCGCAGGCCTATCAAGATCTCGAGATTATCACGTCTCCAACCCGCCCGGAAGAGCTCAAACTTCCGCGCCCTATATTAGGGCGAATCCTAGCTGCGCGCTCCAAGCATGATGACTTCGCTGATTACCACGAACGGTTTAACCATCAAGATGCACACCTCTTTTGCCGATGTGGCACGAGGAAGTCACTAATACACTTCTTCTTCTGCCGGATTGCAAAAGAGAAAGATTTCCCGGCCCCCTGGACCTCCTGGACCCCCATCTGAAATTATCCCCTTCCTTCTAGGCACTCCAAAAGGTGCCATGAAACCAGCTACCTGGTTCTCAGTCTCAATTCTTCGAGAATATCTGTCCTCGACGCCCTCTTCTTAGCACCTAAGCTAAGCAATCATCACTACCTTTATCATGTTCCTTTTGTCTTTTCTTTATTTTATTTTCTTTCATCTTAAGTTCTATCAGTGTTGAACATGTTAGATTCGGTCATGGGGAGTAGGCGGACCACTGCAGCTGGCAGTAACATCCAGCCTCTACATGTAGAGGTTATCTATTTGACCACGGCAGCCATGTAAAAGCGCCAAAGAGTCACTTCTTGTAACTAGTTCTTGACACCCAGGGCTTACCCCCTAGCAGCCTTGTCCCACTAGGGAATGGGTAGGCAGTGATTATTCACGGCCTATGGCCGTTAAACAATGACACACATATACACACTACCTAGCGTGAGCCTTTGATTGCGACAAGATGCAACTTTAGTCATCTTTAGTGTGTGGCTGACCTGCTTTCTATGTTGGACCGCCAATGATACTTATTGCCGTCGCGGCCTCGAGTTGGTTGCCACCTCGATACTGCAAAACATAGAAGTGCTACCGTGATTGTGTCAATCTTAGTGACTTTCTATTAGAGCGTATTTCCACTTAATGTTACTTGCTTGTATGGTTAACACGGGTTTGATAAGTCGCCGCTGGCCCCCAAGAGCGATCACATGTACATCATGTACATACCTCGGGATGTGTTCAGGGAATAAGGCTAGAACTCATAGTTATCGCATTTTTCACATTACTTTGTTTTAGCTAATTATTGCTGTTACGGAGCAGCCTTAAGCTTAGGGATTTGGATCGAGAGCTCTGGGTGCACTATAGAGTAACGCCAGCATGCGGAAAGACATTCTGATGGTATATTGAATTTCTGGTATATTCAAACTATATAACGCTCTTTAGCTCTAGCCCTATACCCAGAACCCTTACTACTTTCGCTAATAGCGGCATTGGGCAAAAATGAAAATTTTAGATAAGTGCACAGGACTGCGTGACAGCATGCAATCATAGGCAATTACACATACGATAGGATAGAAAGAGAGCCTCTGCAATGTAGTTCACTGTATGCCTATCTTCTTTGTATGACGGAACTATTCTGTGATCTCGAGGAATACCTAGCAGCATGGATATATCTAGCTAGTTGCATAAATAGATAGATTATATGCATAATTATCTTCTTCACAATGATATATCAGTGCACTAGATTATGGTCTTAATGGTTTTTCATGTATAGTTATTTCTTCAGACATCCCTGGGGTGTTACCTACCTAGGTAATGTTTTGATAAGGCATCTCTCCTTCTCCATTATCTATTTACCACTAGTCCCAAGGACCTGCCCAGATGTACAACACGGCACAAGGTACGCAAATATAAAATCCTCACATCTTCAATGGGATTGGTAGTTTGTTCCCTGGCTTCCAGAGTCACTCTGTGGTGAAACGGAAGTATGGGCATCTCGATACAGTCAATAACAAACAAGCGGAATTCTGCTCCGGGACAGTTCGATTAAAACAGGTAATCAAGAAAAACTAGGCCGAGGCTTTTAAATTCATTGCGTATAGAAGTCAAAAGTTTCTACGTACAATGTATATGATGGAATCCCCAGCTCGGGGACTTATTTGTATAGCATGCATGCATACGTATGACATCGGGATTCACTGCATGGTATACGAGAAACCACTTCTGTCCCCGCCTGCATCTAAAGTCCTAAACAAACTCGAACTCGAGCAGGGATTGAAACGCTCCTTCTTTGGCCCCAGAAGTCTCCCCAATGAAAGAGAAGCGGGGGTCTGCGGCCTGGAAAATGTCAATGAAATCTTGAACGTTGCGTTCACAAGCGTTATGAGCCGCGAGCATGATGGAATCCTCGATTCTGCATTCGAGCCGCTATTAGTCTCCCTTTCTGAAATCTAAAAGATAAAAACAGTGTAGCATAATAGTAGCAGAAATAGGGTAAAAGAAAATACTAACCTGATCATTTTTTCTGTTACTGTTCCTCTTCTCTTCTCAGGCGGTGGAGGAACAATCCCCTCGCTTATAAGGACTCGAGGATGTCGCCCATTGCATTGAGCAGACTTTTTCTCTAAAGCTGGAACTAGAGCCTTCAATATCTTGACACTGTTTTCATCGTTCCAGTCGTGCAAAATGTGTCGAAAAATATACACATCAGCGAGGGTCTTTTGTTCAGTGAAGAAATCGTGCGTAGCGAATGTGATCCGGGAACTTAGATCGTGATATGGACTTGATGAATCCGATGACGAGAGGAATGCGACGCTCTCACGACCAAGCTCCATCGCATCAGTAGACATATCTTGCACAATGAACTTCGTCTGCGGGCAGATAGATGCTAATGAGACACAAGTGTGACCCGACGAGCCACCGCACTTGAAAAAGAGTTAGCCTTGTGAAGAGATAAGTAAAAGGGAAGGGGATAGTGAGAGTACACACATCTACAACAGTGGCGTCTCCTAATGCACTCCAATTCCAAGCTGTCAAAAGGCGATCGACGGACCAAAGTGGTGTATTCACGCGTCCGGCCAGGTACGCATGATATTTCGCGTTCAAATCCGCATCTTTGTGGAAATGTTGGAACAGATCGTCTTTCGTTCTATATGCCACATTAAATGCAGCATGGGGCGCGTCGCTTGCTCCTGATGCTCTTGCCTTCAAAGCCTCGGCTAGCTTGATTTGGATTGAGGCCAGAAAGTCGGTGTTAAAATCACAAATGTCCCTGAGGTGCTTGTTGTGTGCGAGAGCCGCAGATGCAGCGCTGTGTGCGAAAAGTCCTGGTGTATACTCGGTGAAGATGCCGTTCGTGATTGCGTAACGAACAGTACGGGTGAGCTCGTCCACGGGCAGACCTGTTGCGGCAGAGAGATCTTCGGCGGAGATAGATGAGCCAGAGGGGACATTCTGAGCAATGGAAAATGTATTGATGATGTTGATGTTGGCGGTATCGGAGGCCTATGGTGTGAATGGTGTTAGTGGTGCAGTCTTCCTCTCCTCGGCAGATACATGTATGGCGATTAGTTAACGGAGTTGATCTAATACGTCTGGCAATTTGTAACGATGAAGTCAAATGTAAATGAATGAAATTGCCAGCACGTAATAACCCGTCTCAGCCATCCAGTAAAAATGTCTCAGAATACGTACCGACCATGCCAATGATAAAACCTGATCAATTGGCCCCATAGCCAAGCGTATTATATCTTTTGCTGCATCGATTAGGTCATTCCTGACCTGGCGTAAGGTACTCTCTGTCGAAGTTGCTGTTCCATGAGCAAAGTCGGCATAACTCTTCTCGGCAAATGAGGGCTCTGGGAGACCAGCTTCCTTGAGAAGATTTGAAAATTCTGTGACTTTCAGACCAATCGTAGAAGAAAGAGACTGTAGAGTTGCTGATTGATTCATGGTTTTGGTGAAGTGGATTGTTCTATCCTATTATCTGGTCTGTAGTCGACGAATCCGTGATGAACTCGAGTTTGAACGATAATGTGGTTTCTCTGATTATTTCATGACTATATAATCGATATCCGCTTCGCGTCTTCAACTTAATATTCATCGGCTTTGCACTATGTTTAGAAGTTGAACTTTCACAGTTGGGATAGGTAATTAAAGCTCCGTAGGCATAGGTAGTAAATACCGGCGTAAAAGGCCGAGATCCCGACAGGCGTACGGCTATATTTCTTGTTGTTGATAGTAATGTTTTGTATTTCATTTCTTTTGATCTTGGCCGTACTCTGGGTAAGTTATTTTACATATGTCATCGGAGATATTTGTAGTACATGTAAGTAATATACCAGACCCAAGTGAGCCCCGAGAAAAGTCGCCAGTGTATCTTTCCGTTACAAACATATGCGAATTGATATCGTAGCAAACCATGTATACTTGAGCAGGCACCTCAGGTAAGACACAAAACCTACCAAGATCTCCTAGGATCAAGAGAGTGAATTCGTGTGTAGCAAGCAACCTTGTGATTGATCATGCCTTTGGAAGTCATCATAGTTGGGGCTGGTATTGCCGGCCTCTGCGCAGCAGTATCTCTATGTGAAGCAGGACATTCCGTTAGAGTAAGTTATGCCTCTTTATCAGCATATTCCCCCAAGATTTCAAGAATTATTTCAGTCCTCTAAGATTGGTTGACCCATTAAAACTCTTTAGATCTTTGAAAAGTCCAAATTTGCAGCAGAGATTGGTGCTGCAGTAGTTCTGAGCCCCAATGCTGTCAGAGTCCTTTCTACATTCGGATTCTCGTGCGAGAGGGCTCAAGCCCGTCAGTTACAGATGTGGGAAACTGTTGATGGGACGAATCTGGGGCTTATTGGAAAGATAGATCACAGAGAGGCTGAACAGAAATACGGCGCGCCGCTTTACGCAATACACCGAGTTGACTTGCACAATGAGCTGTTGCGGTTAATAAGCCAAGAATCCAAGAAACCAGCTACTATTCATCTACACTCTAAAGTAGTGGATACTGACCCTGAGAAGGGTATGATTGAGCTTGAGGATGGTACTAAGCATTATGCAGATTTGATCGTGGCTGCGGATGGGTTACGTTCAGTTTTGAGGAAAGCTGTCTTTAGGGGCAAAGATGTTAATGAAAAACCAACAGGTCTTAGCGCTTTCAGATTTCTGATTCCTACTTCGACACTAGAAAGTCAACCCAGCCTGGCTGACTTGCGGCAATGGAAGGAGCCTGGAGTGACAATCATAGCTGATACAAAGGACACTGTAAACGAAAGGCATATGGTTTGGTATGACTGCCGCAAGTATGTACTTTTCTCTTATGCATATACTCTACTTGATTACCAAGTTCTTTACCATTGATACCTGCCAGTGGAGAAGTGCAAAATTTAGTGGGAATTCACCCAACACGAACCATTCCTGGTAATGGTGACAATCTGGAAGGTATGGCGCGTGTATTTCCAGCACGTTAGCTCTCTAAGATGTTTACTAACAGATAAATTTGAAAATTCATAGATACCAAAGCATCCATGCTTGAAGAGTTTGCTCATTTTCACCCTGATCTCCTCGAGTTGATCAGGTCAGATGATCATCCTTCAGTTTTAAGTAAGTTAAGATTGCTAATACCGGGTCTAGAATTGCTACAGACATTACATATTGGCCACTATCAATTCATGACCCTCTTCCTCGGTGGTCTTATGGTAGAGTTGTTCTTATTGGTGACGCCGCTCATCCAGTGAGTTGACAACCCCTTTCGTATCAACTTGGTTTTGAGGCTTCGTCCCGTCACTAATGATTGCTCCTTTAGATGCTACCCTTTGGTGGTCAAGGGTCGAATCAAGCAATAGAAGATGGTGGTGCGCTGGGATACTTACTACGCGACGTGGACAATCATGCAGAAATTGCCAGTAGACTTGCTTTATTTGAGCAAGTACGACGCAAAAGAGCTTCAAGGGTACAGATACTATCAAATGCTAGAGTTGGACAGGAAAAGACCGTCGAAGAAGAGCTTAAAAAATATGCTGATCCACCAGGCTCAGGTAAGTTGCTGTGCAGTTACATGAGAAGCAATCGGGTTAACGAATCATATAGCGGTTCCTACATCCCATGCAGAGCGCACAATGCATGATTTTGGGTTTGTTTCTTCTTTCTTTGATCTCCGAGATAATGTAAACAGTACCTAACATCGTTATTAGGTTTGACCTTATTGGAAAATGCAATGAGGCTCTCGCGAAGCCAGTCGCCATCGCTTAACCTAAGAGAAAAACAGGGCATTGAATATAGGGTAAAATGAGACTGTACTCGCTGTTTTGATCAGTGTCAATTTGAGTACTTTTGTTTTTTGATGCTCTAACATTGGTTACGAGCTGTCAATGATGTCGGTTGACCTTAGGGTTTGTTCTCTCCCGTGGCTCCGGCATATATCAAGTTTGCTGCTCTCCGTTACATGCTATATTTGATGCTTCATTTCGATTTTCTCCTGCTTACATATTTGTAAATAGCAAAGTCTTTAGACTTTTTTTTTTTTTTTAGCTCTGCTTTGTGGTACTAGCCGTGCTGATTTGGAAGCTCTACGGTGCGCCAGATGAAGCCTAGAAGGAGCATCTGAGCTCTTCCTGGACATCAGCAGTCCTCTCTTTTCTACATTTCCATATTTTCAAACCAATAACAACCATGCAGAGCAAAAAGTAAATAAACTTAATAGGCAAAGAAGAGGTATCATGAGTTTTTCGGTTTCTTAGTTCAAGTTTGTTGTTTTTGTCTACCACACTCTAGGCATCGTTCGGAAGTCCTTCATAGTCGATTAGTGTTGCATGGATGGGAGTGATAAGAATTCCACTGAAGATATCCTTCAAACAATCCATGGATGGATTGGCTGCATACAAATTAATTGTCTAGTACTTTAAATTCAAAGAAATAGTAAACATGTTATATATTCATTGATCGCAGTCTTAGCAAATCAGTACAGGAGAGACCATTGGTTTGTAACCATTTACTTCAAGCCGATTGTTGAAAGCGACCTGCAGCGAATGTTCAGATATACATATATTATGCCGCAGAGCTAACAGTAGACCGAATTGGGAATCTTTTCCACGCTTCTTCGAAGCCAGCTCCTCGAATAAAGTCATAATGCTTAGTGCCCTCCATTGGCTGGGCAGATCCCGAGTCGATAGCCGCAATTCCTGCGATTAGGAACATGTCTTGCTTGAATCGAAACTCGGGAAGATGGTCATAAGGCTTCGATGTTTGCTGCGTGTGAGCCATACATCTGATGAGCTTGGACATGTGGCCATCGTCCTCATGATAAGTTGCCCGATCGAAGACTTCTGCCCAGCCCTGATTGGGAAATTTTGGCAGGTGGGACACCAACCAGTCCAACCTTAGCTCAGGACACCCCTGTCCAGCATATGACATGAGGTATACACGGCCGGTATATTCAAGCAAACGAGCCTTTTGGGCCCTAGTAAGAGACGGCTCGTTCAAGAACATGGTATGACCAATGCTCGACGTTACGCTGTGCAAGAGAAAAAAGTCGAATGCACAAACATATGGAGGTCGTTGGGCACCGGCAGTAAGGTAGACTATATTAATTTTCCATCAGTTTGTGATCGCCACATATAGAGTCGGGAAGGACACAAGAGAAAGAGGATTGTCACCAGCAGTGTTTTGCAGCTCAGCTGTTGCACGTTCAAGATCATTAGGATCGACGCGATATCGAGCTGCGATTCGAATAATCTCATCTTTAGCCTTTACCATTACGCCATCTCTGGCAGGCTCGCGGTCAAGGCACATTTCTCCTGTTATAGGGCGAGTTTGAGTATGATAATCTGCACTAGAACAAGTGCGAATCTTCTCGTCTGCTCGACATAGGTCGACACAATCACTAAGTGGAACAGCAGGCTCCTCGGCTTTGGCAGCTAGGGCCTCAGCCGACTGTAGATATAATGTGTACCACCAGTCGTGATGAACAGCTGCCTGTGCAAAGCCTTCTGCGAGGAGTCTCGGCTGGTCAAATTCAAGGGCCATGCCGATATGAATGATCCCATGAACATATCCTGAAAGTGAGGAAGATAGATCAGCAGACGGTTATAAAACTTCATTCATAAATAAAATGGCACTTACCCATATAGATACAACAAAGCATATCATCCGCAATTTCACTCCCTCCCACCAGATACTTTTGGAACAATGCTTGGTAGCCGTATGTGTCGATGTAATCTTCAAAGAATCCGCAGAAGTTCAAAAAGTTTTCCTCGCGGCCTAAACACCTTTTGAAGACTCGATCATCTGCCATATCTTTGACCAAGGGCTCCTGAATTGCCATCGGCCCACGCTGGTAGAGTCCATTGCGCTCATGTTGAGAACGCAGAGTGGCAGGTGTTGCACCAAGAGCCCAGATTGTAATGTCGTGATGGGCGATATGATTATGAAAATAAACCTGAGCGATGTCAGCAACAATCCTAGAGTGGAAGGACAGAGGAGCTCGTGTTATTTACCCCTTTGTGGTCTTCTGTGGTGGTGAAAATATGGTGAAATGAATGGTTCTGTTCCAAGAGCTCTTCCAATGTGCGAGAGCTCTCTTCAGTAACTGTGTCTGCATGTATGAGTCCTGGGGTCTCTCTTGGTCCGAATTTAAAAGTCTTTGTCGTAGCCATGTTGATGCCTCGTGAGATGCCTCATGAAATGTGTATGCTTTCAAGCCTAGTCCGAAATAGCGAGTCTTTGAAGACAAATTACCGTGTCGACCTAGCACAGGAGATTCTCTAAACTAATATATCTCCAGCAAAACATCTATGCCAACCAGCTCTGATACATTCGGCAAATTCTTAGAAGAAAACAAATCTGCCTTTACTTCTTTCTGTATCTGGCTGGTGTGTACCTTCAATACTATTAGGATAAAACATTCGATGCTTACGAATATCTGAGTAATACTAGAGAGCGTGGAGATGTTAGGTGCGTTCGTAGAAAACCTTGGACAGAATATAATGGTCAATACATCCTCAAAAATCTCCCGGTAACACAGTTGTATGTGCCCCCAAATTACGAAATGGTCGTAGAGACTACATTAGGTATGTTCGGATAATCGTAATTTCAATGTTATAGACGCCATCACTGGCCTAAGACTTCCTCACATGCCCTACAGTTACTGAATTTTATGATACGCGCAAACCGTAACTTTTAAGACAGTAGTTTACTATAAGGCACCTCTGTTACATTTGGATTCGATGATCCATAACATTTATCCGTTCACATCGCCTACTATTCGGTATTTCTTGTGTAATTAAAGCGGCGTTTTTTATTATCTTGGGTTTCAGCAGAGATAAGCCCTGCATAAATAACCTTGTTTACTCAAAAAACGTGCTAAATTCCATGTGTTGCATACATGTATCTTGCATATACGATCTATAGAGCGTTAACAATAATTGGCCGAGCGCGACCTCGTTCTAGTCCTCTTCTGTTTGTGTAGACGCATTGACTAGCCCCCTACATATAAATACACCGGTAAAAATTGATTGGCTTACATGTTCTGTGTTCAGTAATCCGAAGCCCTATGTCGTGTTTTCTACACTCTTTAAGGAACTCTAAAATGAAACATACTGAGAAGTGCAACTCCTCAGATAGGACAGATTATCATGAAAATCGCCGATATATGAAATGTCTGGCAAGAAATGCGACATGTTTCAGTAGATTGTCGACGGGAGAAAGGATGCCCAAGAATGGCTTGTGATAGATAGGTTACTTAGAGAACGTTATAATAAAATTCAATTCCCTACCTTAGAATTGGAAGCCTCTCTGGCCATAGGGATCAGTCACTACCACTGTTTGAGACAAGATAGTAAGAGCAATTGTAAGGCAAGATGCTTCGCGAGAGGTCCATCATTTTCTTTGGTGATCTATCACTTTCGATTCACCCTGCATTCTCTCAACTCCTTAGAAGCCAAAAGGAACACTCCCTTCTCTCAAACTTCCTGAACCAAGCAAAGTCTGCTCTGCAGGCTGAAGCCACGAATCTCTCTGTGATTGAGCGCAAGGAACTACCGTCGCTCACAGATTTATACAGCTTGTCAGAATCAGAGAACGGGAATGCTTCTGATCATCCAATTTTGTCTCCTGCACTGCTGGTCATACTGCAGCTTGGCCAGTTTATATCGTAAGAGTTCAAATTCCAGTCATACAGAAAGCCGCTGAAAGGTAAAACTAATAATCCAATAACAACCAGATGGTATGAAGAGCACCCCGAGAGACGGTACCCAGAGTCAGATTCTACCCTCATCGCTGGGATTTGCGTTGGTCAAATTTCCGCGACAGCGATTTCGCTCGCCAAATCCTTGACAGAGCTACTTCCTCTGGCTGTGGATGCAGTGCGTATAGCATTTCGCCTAGGCACACTCACAACAACCGCGAGAAATGACCTGGAAGCAAGTCTACATGAAGCTTGGGCAGTAGTTATACCACGAGACATAACAATACCGACTGAAGATGTTCTTGATGGTATTGTCAAGGAGTCGGTGAGGAGTTACAAATTGACAGCGACTGATATCAGAATGCCTAACTTGATACTAGGAAATATTAGGTCGGAAGAAGCCTTATATCACAGCATATTTCCCTAAAACAGTGACAATTCAGGGCCCGCCGTCCACATTACGACTCGTCAGCGACTGGTTACAGAAGACACGCGGATCATCACCTAGCTATTTTGCGTCTGAAATACCAATATATGCGCCCTACCACGCACCACACTTGTACAATCAAGATTCCGTCCTTCAGATCTTGAAGGGACTCGAGTTTGTCGAGAAGACAAATGACACCTGGTCTTTCGATCAGACGAAAGTGATATCTCCTACCACAGGTACATTCTATGATGTATCGGATAGATTAGATATCATGAAGAAAGCGCTTCATGACATCCTGCTGAAACCAATAGATTGGGAAAAGCTATGTGAAGGTTGTACCTCGTTCGTGACATCTTCAGAACCAGCTAGGTGGACGATTCGTCCTTTTGGGCCATCCAAAGCCGCGAAAAACCTTCTATATGTAATTCACTCGGAGGCAAATGCAGACATCATCCTTGATGAAACATTTGTCTCAAGCAGCACTGATCAGGTTTCAACAACTACGAAGGTGCCTATTGCTATAATAGGGATGAGCGGTAGATTTCCCGACTCCAAAAACCCTGGTGAGCTCTGGAAGCTTCTTGAACAGGGAATTGATTGTCACAAAGTGGTAAGAAGATCTCTATGTATAATCGACATAGATGAGTGAAAATATCCTCTGATAGTCCCTCAGATACCCGCCGATCGATTCGATGCATCTCTTTATGTATCTCAAGATAGAAACTCTAGAAACAAAAGCAAATCACCCTATGGCTGCTTCATCGAAAATCCAGGGATGTTCGATCCCCGATTCTTCAACATGTCTCCCAAGGAGGCTGCCCAAACTGATCCCCAGCAACGCCTGGCGCTTGTGACTGCATACGAGGCATTGGAGATGGCAGGATATGTCCCAAACAGTACCCCATCTACACAGTTAGATCGCATTGGTACATTCTACGGCCAAACAACGGACGACTATAAAGACCTGAATACGTCTCAAGACATTGATACCTATTATGTTTCCAGTGTCATAAGAGCCTTTGGACCGGTATGTTTACACGTTATTCGAATGATTTAGTTGGCCTTAGCGTCAGACACATCCTCCTTTTTCTCACTTTTCAGGTCGAACATGCAAAATGCTGACATTTAATGCTATAGGGCCGAGTGTCTCGAAGTAATCAACTTGGTAAGAACAATCTGTGACGCATTTTTTCTTAAAATAGTTACTGACCATTGTCCAGGTGGGCCGAGTGTTAGTGTTGATACGGCTTGTTCATCAAGTGCAATGGCTTTAAACCTAGCCTGTACCTCTATCTGGTGCCAAGAATGCGATACAGCTGTAGTTGGGGGCATGTTGCTGTTAGGGAGCCCGGAAATGTACGCTGGCCTCAGCAAGGGGCATTTCATCTCGGAAACGGGGCCTTGTAAGACATTTGATGATGCTGCCGATGGTTACTGTAGGGGCGAATCCGTGGCTAGTATTGTGATAAAGAGACTGGATGCTGCCAAAGCTGACAATGATAACATACTCGCTGTTATCCTCGGAGCCGGGACTAATTACTCTGCCTATGCTGCATCAATAACTCAGCCACATGGTCCAACTCAAGAAATGCTATATCGGAAAGTACTTAACCAAGCTGGTCTTCATCCCTTTGATATTGACTATGTGGAAATGCACGGCACCGGGACTCAGCTAGGTGATGCGGTTGAAATGAGCTCCGTCAGCAACGTCTTTGCTCCAGCTTTATCAAAGCGTCCTGCAGATAAAGCTCTCCTTGTTGGCTCTGTAAAGCCCAATATTGGTCATGGAGAATCGGCCTCGGGAATAACTTCACTCATCAAGGCGTTGCTGATTTTGCGGGAGCAAAAAGTTCCTCCTCATATTGGTATCAGAAGCGGCGTCCTCAATCACACGTTCACAGATTTAGCGAAACGCAACGTTCACATTCCACTGAAGGCTACTGCGTTCCCCAGGAATAATTCTCGAAAGCGTCGCCTCATGGTCAACAATTTTGGCGCTGCCGGTGGAAACTCTGCATTCATTCTGGAGGAGGGTCCAGCATATGAGGGTCGCGGTGTTGTTGATTCAAGAGTGGACCATGTTATCAGCGTGACTGCGAAAACTGCCTCGTCGCTTCAAAAGAATATCAGCAATCTCATTAGCTATTTGGAGCAAAATCCTGAAGTGTCACTCTCGGATCTTTCTTATACCACGACAGCCCGTCGCGTCCAACATCCTCTTCGTGCAACCGTGATTGCCTCCAATATTGATGAGCTCAAGGGACACTTAATCCAGCTTTTGGAGACCAAAATCTCCCAGCCAGATAGCGGTAAATTGCCAGGTGTTGCCTTCGCATTTACAGGCCAGGGATCAGTATATTTGTCGCTCGGACAGCAATTGTTTCAATCCAACAGCCAGTTTCGAGCTGATTTAACACGTTTTGATCAAATTTGCCAAGGATATGAATTTAAACCATTCTTACCAGTGATAAATAGAAGTGCTGCTGATATCAACAATCTATCGCCCACTCAAACGCAGCTGGCACTGGTCTCTGTTCAGATTGCTCTTGCCCGTTTGTGGGCATCATGGGGTATCACGCCAAATCTCGTTATTGGGCACAGCCTTGGAGAGTACGCTGCCCTTAACGTGAGCGGAGTACTATCTATTTCCGATACTCTATATCTTGTTGGTATTAGAGCTTCTTTCTTGGAGAACCTGTGCACGAAAAATACCCATTCAATGCTAGCAGTGCATGCCACCGTCGAAGATGTCAAGTCCGCAGCGGGTAATAAACTGGATCGGCTTGAACTAGCTTGCGTTAATGGACCTGAAGATATCGTTCTAAGCGGGTTGGTTGAGGATATTCAAGAATTGAATCAACATCTCAAACTGCAAGGATTCAAGTGCACAGTTCTAAAGGTCCCATTTGCTTTCCACTCATCACAAACAGACCCTATCCTTGATTCATTGGAAAAAGCTGCGCAATCTGTCAGATTTCTGAAACCAGAAATTCCAGTCGTGTCAACACTGCTCGGTACAGTTGTTAAGGAGACAAGCGTTTTCGGTCCATCTTATCTACGGCGACATGCACGTGAGCCTGTCAACTTCGATGGGGCACTTCGAAAATCTTACTTGGATGGTTTGGTAGACAATCAAACTGTGTGGTTAGAGGTTGGGCCCGAGCCTATCTGTCTCGCCATGGTGAAAAGCATATTGGGAAGTGAGATAAAGGCCTTCCCAACACTCCGTAAGAGTGAAAGTCCTTGGAGAACGTCCGCAAAGACGCTTTCTGCTTTGCATTCTCTTGGATTTGATGTAACTTGGAAAGAGTATCATCGTGACTTTGAAGACAGCCAACGTCTCTTACATCTTCCTTCCTATGCTTTTGACGAGAAGAACTATTGGATCGACTATAAGAATGATTGGCTGTTACACAAGGGCACAGAGGTTGTTGAGAAAAAGGAACCTCCAAGAATAAACTCAGGTCCAGCCACGACAACTGTGCAAACATTAATCACAGAACAGGTCAAGGATGACAAAGTTTTTATTGTCTTTGAGTCCGACCTATCCGAACCGAAATTGCATGCCTTGATTGCTGGGCACAGTTTGAACGGACTAGCTCTTTGTCCTTCGGTGAGTTTTACCTTTCTTTCTCTTTGAGCCGAAAAAGTGCTGATGAATGTATTGCCAGGGGGTGTTTGCAGATATGGCTCTAACAGTGGGAGACTATATTCGACGAAAGCACCAAACCAAGCTGCCTGCCTCCTCAGGGTCCAACATCGTTGATATGCAAATCGTGAAACCTGTCACTGTTACAGTGCCACGAGTTAAGACCCCCGAGCTTCTCAGAATAAGCGGCACGGCAGATTTACAAAAAGGTATCGTCGAAGTCACATTCGGTTCATACTCTGCCCAAAGTGGAAAAGCAGACCAAAATGCAAAATGCATAATTGAATTTGGTGATACTAAGCTGTGGCTGAATCACTGGTCAAGAAGCGCATATTTGATACAGAAACGGATAGAAGATCTCGAGAGAGGCGTCAAAACCGGCGACGTCGATAAACTTTTCGAGAAGACGATCTATAGACTGTTCTCGGCTGTCGTTGATTATGATCCCAGGTACCATGGCATGAAAGAAGTTATGATTAACAGCAGTGAGCTGGAAGCGGTTGCGTTGGTGAGGCTCTATGAGGGTACTGACGCAGGCAATTTTTTCTGCTCTCCCCTGTGGCTCGATAATCTGGCCCAATTGGCTGGCTTCATTATGAATGGTGTCAACGTGGTCGATCCGCGTAAATTCGTGTATATCTCGCATGGTTGGGGATCTTACCAGCTCGCTGATGACATAGATGCCGCAAAACCATACCATGTTCATGTGAAGATGCATCCAGCTGAGAAGAACGTTGTTGCCGGTGAGGTTTCTATCTTCCAGGGAGGTACCATTATTGGGCTTTGCAGCAGTATCAAGTTTCAAAAAGTGCCTCGTTCGTTGATGGAGATGTTGTTAGCACCGCCGTCTCATCAACAGCAATCGAACACACAAGTTCCAAGTCAACGCACAACATCTTTGAGTTCTAAACAGCCGCGAGTGGCTCCAGAAAGGAAGGCAGTCATACCAGAGTATTATTCTACCAAATCACAGCCCGGGATCAAGTCAATGGCCTTGGAGACGATTGCCCAGGAGATAGGAATTACAGCAGTCGAACTCGTCGACGATGCGACGTTTGTCGAATTGGGCGTGGATTCGTTAATGGCATTGACGATACTGTCTAAGCTTCGAGAATCACTACATCTAGATCTCCCATCCGATATCTTTCAGGAACTTACAACTATTGGAGATTTAAGAGGGTTCCTTGACAAATTTGACAATGCGAATGATGACGAAGTCGACACACCGAGCAGCGATTCCATGTCCCCTATTTTGCCTACTCCAGATGATGAAACAACCATTGCAGGTGACATACTAAATACTGTTTATTCAATCATGGCACAGCAGATCGGAGTCGAAATAGAGGAGCTCTTGGCTGTCGACGATCTTTCTTCCCTTGGACTGGATTCACTAATGAGCCTCAGCATTCAAGGAGCTATCCAAGAAGCGCTTAGTCTTAAAGTAGAGCTACAACTTGATGGAACCGCAAAGTTGCCTACCTTGGTAAACATTCAAGAAGCTCTCGGTCTCTCACCTACAGTACCATTATCAGTTCCCCAGCCACGAATACCAGCCACCTCGCACAGGGCTTCTTTGGGCCCGTCTGCTTCAACATTACTCTTACAGGGAAATCTCAGATCAGGTTCTAGATTTTTGTTCATGTTTCCAGATGGCAGTGGGTCGCCGGCAGCATACGCTGCCCTACCAGAAATATCTCCTGACCTCGTGGTGTACGGGTTGAACAGTCCATTTCTGCAGTCTGCCGACAAATACGACTGTAGCATCGAAGAAATAGCTCATATCATGCTGCAAGCGGTTCAATCAATTCAACCCCATGGCCCATACACTCTTGCGGGCTGGTCGGCAGGGGGCATGTATGCTTTTGAAGCGGCCCGACAACTCACTCAGGCTGGTGAGACTGTATCAAAGCTTATACTCATCGACAGTCCCTGTCGATCTACATATGAGCCCATGCCAATCAACCTGTTGAACTTTCTCGTGTCTAGTACCATTTTCAAAGCTTCGAACAGGATTGTTGACCATTTCAGATCTACCATCCGTGCACTCCAAAATTACTCCCCCACTGAAATAGATGCTTCCCGCGCCTTTGAAGTTTTTATTATATGGGCTGAAAAGGGGTTAAGTGAGGATTTGAAGGATGCTGAGAGAGGGAACGTTGACTGGAGTCATGGAGTAGCAAACTGGCTGTTTAAGCGCGAGGCAAACGCTGGCCCCCTGGGGTGGGAAAAGTTGCTTCCTGGGAGACCCATTTCGGTGACTGATGTGGCTGGCAACCATTTCTCCATGGTCAACGCATTGAACGTAAGTCAAAGTATATGTTCTATCACGAATCGTCCTTGATTGAAACACAGGTCTATCACTAACGATGCATCTTACAGAGCAAGTCCTTAGGTCGATCCGTCGCAGACGCAATGCGAGATGACTTGAGGGACAGTAAGCAACAATGGAGAATATTTTAGATTTGAGAAAGAAGCTATGTAGAAATATGTGGTTCCATACACGCAATGATAATTATCTTCTGTCTTTTACAACCAGCCCTAGATGATAGCAAAGTCGATAGAATACAGTGGATTAGTAGAAGCGATTTGGTGTTTTCTTCAAACAGCCGATTTTAGGTCCTCCAGATTATTTCGGTCCGTATTTCCGTTCATATGTAAATTTAATTTCTACTCGCGCATATGACTTCTTCAAGAAATAATACTACGTTAAGGCAGGTCTACCTAAGCAGTAAGCACCTTGGCTGAGTCTACAGAGCCAAAACACCATACTCTCATTATATTCCGTCCTTATCAGTTGGTGGGGGAGATACTTCAGCAGTCAACCTTCCTTTGCAGGCTTTTAGATACATACAGGCAGATCAGACATGGCGCTGGCTCCACGAAGCTCCGAACGGTATGACAACTAATACTCCTATCTGTAACTAGTCCAAAGTTGATTATGAGTGTGCTTCAATCCTGCAGCAAAAAAAAATGCTTGTAACGAAGCTGCGCAGGGTCAATTGATTTCCAAGGTTATCACATGCATAATGCTAGATATATCAAATAGCTGTTTGTTATGTGTTTGTTATGTGTTTGGTTTTTTCTGTGTTTACCCCTTTGATTAATCAGCTCGATCGATTTTTAATGTTGCTTTTTCTTAGAAAATGAGTCCCATCGAATAAAAAAGTCGCCTACAGAAATACATATTACCAGATAATCCACCTAGTGTTACCGTAAGTCGCCGGAATACGCCTCCTCATTGGCTACTCTTGTGTATTATTTGTATTAATACGCCGAAGCCCTAATTATCTACATACTCCCTTTGTCCAGTGAAAATAATTACTTCGTGATTTCCAACCCAACCGAGATAATATCACCGGTTCTCTTGCTTTGAAATCGATGATTAGTCTCGTAGATCTTCCGGCTTGGTTTATTCCTACCACAATTTCTGAACTCGGCAAATGCTCGAGACAGGGGCTCAATACGCTTAGAAATCAGTGCAGGCTTGAAGAACCGATGAGCGAGGCTGGCTTATATTGACTGTCCTTCTTCGTTCCTTCTCATTCCTTTAATACTGCTATCCATCTCCGTCTCCTCCATTCCTTCTCCGCCTGAGAGTGCTAAGCAGCAACAATGGCAGTAACGGACGCAGTACCCGTCAATTCGACGGACCAGTATGAGAAGGGCGATACAACCTCTACGTCCCCAGCACATTCCTCAGGCAACAACACTGATATTGAGAAATCTGGCGACGATATTGAGCCGGTCACCACCGCCGCCGAGGAAGAAGATCCTCATCCAGTCAAGGGATTCAAGTGGTGGCTGCTTCTTGTGGCCATCTACAGCACAACTTTCCTCTACGGATTGGACAACACTATCGTTGCCGATGTGCAAGGTTCTGTGGTAGAGAGATTTGGCCAAGTTGCGAAGCTGAGCTGGATAGGAACTGGCTTTCCTCTTGGATCCGTCGCGGTCATTATGCCATTGTACGTAGCCACTCACGAACATGGATCTGTCAGGCTAACGTTTTGTATAGTGGCTTTGCTTTTGGAACCTTCAACAATAAGTGGGTGTATATCATGAGCCTGGTCATCTTTTCTACTGGAAGTGCTATTTGCGGTGGAGCTCCAAATATGGACGCCTTGATTGTCGGACGTGTTATTGCAGGCGCTGGCGGCGCTGGACAATATTTAGGGTCAGTGATATCATGTTAGGCTCAGATGTCGACCTGAACTAACCGCTGACCTAGAGTGCTCAATCTAATCACCCGGTTCACCACGATGCAAGAGCGGTCTCACTACATGGGGATGACTGGGTTGACATGGGGAGCCGGTACAATCTTGGGTCCTGTCATCGGCGGCGCGTTTGCCGACTCCTCGGCGACCTGGCGCTGGGCTTTCTATCTCAATCTCGTCATCTATGGGGTTTTCTCGCCTATCTATTTTCTCTGGCTGCCTTCTATCCCCGTCATCCCTGAGAAGTCCTTTATAAGAAAGTTCCTCGCAATGGACTGGGTGGGTATCACCTTGAACGCTGGGATCTATCTCACAGTGAGTTTTTCAACCCAAATTGTGACAAAGGAAAGGAGATAATCTCTAACTTTATTCATCAAATGTAGTGGGTAATGGCTTTGACATTCGGCGGCTCTACGTACGCCTGGAATGCAGGACAAGAAATCGCCCTCTGGGTTGTATTCGGTGTTTTGTTAATTGCCTTTTGCCTCCAGCAATATTTCCTGGTCTTCACCAGCACCAAGCAACGAATCTTCCCTGGGCATTTTCTCAAGCGCCGGACCTTGGTTCTTTGTTTCATTGCTACAAACTGCGCCGCAACATCATTTTTCGTCATCGTATATTATCTGCCTATTTATTTTGAGTTTGTGCATAGTGATGGTGGCTTAAAGTCGGCGGTTCGCCTCCTGCCTGTTGTCAGTACTTTTGTCTTTTGGTGCATTGCCTCGGGCACAGCAATGCCGTACGTGGGATACTATTTCCCCTGGTATGTCGTCTCGGGCATTCTGATCGCAGTTGGTGGAGGTTTGATGTATACGGTGGATATCAGCACTGCCACCTCTGCGATCTATGGGTATTCCGTTCTTATAGGCTGTGGAGGTGGTGCCATCATGCAAGCTGCCTATTCAATTGGACCCGCAAAAGTTATTCCGGTGTGGGAGGATATTCCTCCTGTTATTGGATTCATTAACGTTGGGCAAATTGGTGGTATCATGCATTCACTTGCTATTTCTGGAGCGGTTTTTCAAAACTATGCTTTCAGATATGTGAGCGAAGCACTTGCAGATCTTCATCTCACTACTGGACAAATCCAGTCTGCCATTGCGGGGACAGACAGCACTGTACTGCAAAGTCTTGATCCTGCCCAACAAGCTTTGGCGACCCAGGCCATTGTTCATGCCATGCAGAAGGTATACATCTTGATCCTGGTGGCGGGAGCAGTTTGTTTTACTTGCGGTGTCTTGATGCGACGTGAGCGATTATTCATGGAAAAAGCCGCTGCTGGCTAAAATAAGTCTTTGAATGGGCAGTGAGAAACAACAACAAAATTGTGAAGCTGGGAAGTTTATATGTTAAGAAAGACTATCCCAACTTATTGCATAGCAGATAAACTTGATGACTGCTGGGATATTGGAGTTTTCGTTTATACTAGATTAGTGTACCCTAAGTGATTTTTAATAGCACTTCTACAAGTTTCAATCAAAGATCATGCATTTGTGTTTCCAGGCAAACACGTCAATGCTGTATCTGAAGATGTGAGTAGCTTAGTGTTCTAAAAGCAGGCAGCTGTAGCGTTATCCAACTTCTTTTTCTTGTGTCTATATACGCCGGTTGACCATTGTGAGATTTATACATCAACATTCTTGATTTCGATTAGTTATGTAGAGATTGATTGGACATTATTCATGGTTGAACCTGAATCGTAACCTCCTCTGCCTGCACCTCTCTTTCCACAATCCTCATCTTCTCTATATCATCCACCACCTTGTCCTGTTCAGCCTGCCGCCTCGCCCACTCCAAAGCCCCATTATAACTACAATTATAATCCATAAAGTCACTCGGACTCATCTTGACCTTCACACTGCCTTCCTCCGTAGCGGGCTTAGCAGTCTGTCGACTATACCGCTGTATAGTCGTAGCTCGCTTGTACCGACACGCAAAAATCTTCTCATTAATGGCTTTGATCTGCTCCAACGATAAAGAGGTAACGCCATCTTTGCCAACATCAATATCAGCGTAAAAAGCACCAACTGCCTCCGCAACCTCAATTGCCTGACTCGCCCCTTGCCCCTGAGTAGGCAACATTGCATGCGCCGCATCACCAACAATTATAACCCTCCCTTTCATCCAGGTTGGTAACGGATCAATGTCGCGGAGTTGCCACATTCCGACTTCTCCATCACTAATACACGACAACGGGCCACGCGCCCATTCAGGGAAATCGGCGAAGGTTTCTTGCATCTTGGGGATATCGCCGTGTGTCGTCCAACTCGTGTTTGAGGCGTCTTCATTCATATCTTCATCCGGTACCATAGCGACGATGCTATACACCGATCCATTCCGGGCTGGACCCATGATCATTCTTCTGTTGTGAGCATAGTCGTGTATGGCGCCCTGGGGTCGACGACATCACAAAGCGCCCTGCAGTCCTTCAGGAGTTTATCAACCGATAAAATCATTCGATACGCCGAATGACCAGTCCTCAAAGCTGAAATTTTGATCCCCAAGACTGAGCCTCGAACAACGCTTTTGATGCCATCCGCGCCAATGATTAGGTCGGCTTGGAACATTTCGCCGGTTTGGGTATATACAACGCCTTCCTCGCAGTCACAGTGCGTGACACGACTCGATACACATATTTCAGCGGGTTCACTAGGCCATTCATCCGAAGTAGCTCGCTTCTTCAACGCGTCATGTAAATCAATCCGATGATAGAGCATACGCTCCGCACCATATTTCTCCGTCGTCGAAAGCGGAATTCGCATTTGCCGTTCTCCATCAAGATTGTAAACTTGAAATCCTTCATCCATCATTGGACCCTTGTCTTGCAAGGTCTTGGCGAGATTCCATGTCTTTTCGACGGTTTTGGAGGCGTTGAGTTGTAGAGAGACGATGGCGCCGATTTCGCGGTTTAGAGATGATTGTTCGAGGATGGTGATTTTGCGGTTTGGTGCGCGGAGGGCGATGGCCTGTTCTCAAATCGGTACGTTATAATGCAGTGACAATAGCAAAGAGCTAAGTGAGTGCTTACTGTAGCTAGGCCGGCGATGCCGCCTCCCACGATGATGGCTTTGAATTGCTCTGTCATGATTGATTCTTTAATGATCTGTGACTGTTTGGCCTTTGAGATGATTCGTGTCATTGATTAATCTTTCTTAATGTTTTCACAACTAGATGTATGTCTCCTCTACAGCTACCGACTTTTTTTCCTCCACATACATATCCGCAAAACTTCCTATTTCAGTAACTGTTATTCTCCCGCGGGCGCCACCTCCACATTCCGAAGCGGTGTCCACGTCCTTGCTCTCGTCACATGGCCTTTGATCCTGGGAAACTTGCCAGTAGACTGCATAATAGGGTTGATAGAAGGATCCATCTATCACATTACTTCGTGTACATGCATGCACGTTGAGTCGGACAACATCCGAACAACATCTCGGCCACTAAGCCTCCGAAGTAAGCCCTAATTCAAGCCCCGAGGAGACAGCTACCGAGTGGGCGCATCTACATACTCTGAGTATGACCATGATCATCAACTGACCGGAGTTCAATATGATGCTTACATCAAACAGGAACCGTTCCTGTTTGATGTAAGCATCATATTCTAGAGCTGAGTAAAGAAGCGAACATTTAAACACCAGTCGTGCTGAAACACACCCATACATTTACTCATCACAACAAGCCAGCTTAAACTCTTCAAGTAAACTAGATATCTAAGCGAATATATACGACATGTCTACAACAACCACCCAGTCCCAAACCCAAACCACCCTCCAGGGCACCAAAACCCGCATGGCCCTAGACGAGTAGTCCAACAAACTACAACGACTTTTGCGACCGACTCAACCGTGACGTATACGCCGTCATCAAAGGCGCCATTCCGCGTGATCGCGCAGAGGAATACGCGGATGCGTTTTTGAGTTATATTGAGGATTTGTACTTCCCCCTCTCCTCTCAGCCGTTTAAAGAACATGCGCATTTTCTAATCAGTATGGGGTGAATAGTGGCCTAGGATTCAACCGCAATGACCCATCAACCGTGAAACAGGACATGTTACCCGTCATCAACGAAAAGGGAATGATTCTCAACTACGGCATTACGCATGAACAATGGGTATGGGACATTTGTGGCGAGCCGGCTGTTATTGATGCATTTGCCAAGGTGTATGAGGATGATGATTTGATTGTTTCGTTTGATGTGGCTAATGTTGGATTCGCAAAGTACCTCTTCCATCCCTCCTGGCTTAGAAACTCCTAGCATTTTCAAGCAATGAATGCTGATAGAAACAAAAAAGGTCGGTCAGATCTCCCCGAAAACAAACCCTGGCCTCACCAAGACCAAGACCCCTCCAAACCCGGCTTCCGCTGTCTCCAGGGACTAATAAACCTGAACCCTTGCCGCCTTGCCGCTTTGCGGCCCCAACGACGGCGGCCTGATAGTCTGCAAAGGCGGGCATATACTGTTGGAACAATTCCATCACGAAATGTCCACAATCGGTCGCATCGTCGCCGTCGGAGGGGACGCTGTATCTCTACGGGAAGGGGATTTAGTGCTTTGCGATATTTACTTGAGGGGCAGAGATGATAGGGACGTTGGTGCGTTGTTGGGGGTTCATGATGGTCATACTGAGGGGGCGAAGAGGATGGTGCATGGGGAATGGAGGGATAGTACGTATGCGGAATATGTGAAGTTGCTGTTGGAGAATTGTTTCAAGTTGGATGAGCAGAAGCTCTTGAGCCCAGTATCTAGCGATGGTATTGTTCCAGGAGGAGGGATGGGATATTCAGTAGAAGAATTACTACATATCACATCCTTTGCCGTCCCTTACGGCCTACGCGATGTTGGGCTTGATGTCTGTGAAGCAGTCCTCATCGCTCCTGCGACGGGCATGTTTGACAGCACCGCTGTCAAAGTTGCCCTTGCAATGGGCGCAAATGTGATTGCCATGGGCCGGAATGGCGAAGCTTTGAAGCACTAAAAGTTAGTCACCCCAATGGTGGTAATGGCCATCTCGAAACAGTCCTCATCACAAACGACATCCAACAAGAAACAGCTGCAATCGCCAGCTTCGGTATGCCGGTAGACGTGTATTTTGACATTTCGCCGCCCATGGCTGCAGAGTCGACTCATCTGCGGAGTGGGTTATTATCGGTCAGACACGGTGATCGCGTGTCGCTCATGGGCGGAATCAAAGGCGATGTCGCGATTCCATTGGGGTACGTGATGCATGGCAACATGACAATTAAGGGGAAATGGATGTATGAGCGTGAAGATGTACTGAAATTGATCAAAATGGTGGAAAGTGGGAGGTTGAGGTTGGATGGTGGTAGTAGTAGTGTGAAGAGGTATGGGCTGGAGCAGTGGGAGGAAGCATTTGAGGTTGGGTTGCGGCGAGGGAAGCTGGGCCGGGGAGAATTGTTGCGTCAATTCTTTGAATAGTTAATTTATCGAGATAACAGTGGATTTATTGAATTGAATTGACACCAAGAAATGAAAAAGAGCAAAATCGGCGAATTCCGATGTAGTAATGTAGTGCTATGTGTAAAAGACCTTCCGCATCAGTCGTCCTTCCAGAAATTCTTCCTCCGGATTCATCCAACTCTTATTCTTATCTGGCGCATATTTCTGTGGATTTTGTTCCTGACTTGCAGAGATACGCACTGACTTATGTATCCACTCGGCGCTCACTAAAAAAAATGCCAATAAATTAAGAAATTAACTAGATGGCTTGGCTGATAGGCTGGAATGTTACCTGATAAGGAATTACATACGATTGTTGTGCAACTTTTGACTGTATATATATAGACAACTAGACACCGCTCTCTAGACCTAGGTCAATTGCATACCTATTATTTATCTAGAGTATCAATTAGATATGCTCTCTCTCAATCACCTCTGGCCAGCCGCCAGTCTGGCCATTGTGCCCGCCGCCCTCATCAGCGCAGCATGTAACGAGTGCTCAAGCCTAACAATATCATGATTGAGAGGGTAGCGTTGTTGACGAAGAAAACTAAGCATGAGGAATCTATCTAACTAGGGGATATGGTCCGTATTTAAAGCCAGCCATGTCCGGTACATGCCGTATACACAATCTCAACAACAAGAATAAGCTGATTGATGTCCCCACGCTTTAATTCACCGGACAAGAAAGGGTTCCCCGTTACCATTACCAAAGGACACGAAGGATTTCCTATCAACAAAGGGTTTCTACGGCGGACTATACCGACATTTCGAAAAGACCTTTTTGTTCTTTCAGAAGTCTAGCTTTTCTGCCAGCATAATTACCTCGCTTAACGCTCAACTAATAGAAACGCATGGATTACACTATGGGTCTCATTGATGAGATACAATTGGCTTAACTTACAGAATCTATAACGATATAGCTAACTTTTTATACCTAAAAAAAAATGGTTAGGTTCAACATACATGTCAAGGGGGTTTGATAACAGTAATACGTAGGATAATAATCATTTAGGGGGTAACATTACTAGTTACTAGTGGATTACTAGCTCCTGGCCCCGGGGCGGGCCAGTGCGGGATCTGTGGATTCAGGGTCCTAGCTTACAATACGGGATATAAATAGGTAGTATTGTCCGATAGTATTGTTAAGTAGCTGTAGCTTAGCGCCTACGTGCATCGTTAGTTGAGAGCATGTCTCGTATGTGGCTTCGTTTTAACTCATCAAATAAGTGAGGCTCCGGGACCCTCCAACAATACATCGACCTTTTGGTTCTTTATCGCAATTCTTAGTCATGGAGAAGATGACTGAGGTTGCAGCCCACAACAGGGCCGGTGAGGAACCGTCAGAAATGCTGAGTAAATCCGAGAAGGAAATACTCAATCGCCAATTAGATGGTCTCCCATCCGACCTAAAGGCGACAAGTTTGTTGTCATGCGACGACTGTTTTTTCTTTATTTCCCAAAACGGGCATGTGTTGAATCGGGTATAGTTGTACTTTTGGCAATTTACTTTACGGTATTAATACACCACTTACATGTAATACATATATCTAACTAACCCTAAGCCACCTCGCATCCTAAATGACCGGGGGATATAAAATATATTCCTAATCTACTAACGTTACAATACAAGGGACCCCGGTCTAGAAATTGATGATTAGCCAGTGTTGAATTTTCCGTATGGTATTTACATACGGACTCACAGAATGACCCCCCATTCCACCTTAAGTAGCTAAATACTGGAATGGACTGCATAATTTATGCGCTGTCTGACACAGAAGGTCCTAGAGCTGATCTCGTCGAGGAAAGAGACTGCAACAATCACCTAGCCAGCTGATTCGTGACCTTCCCTTGAAGTGCATCATACACGAAAGCAACTTGAACCTTCATTAGGTCTGCAAGATGGTCGCCCTCAGTGATATCCATATGGCCTCTTCCCTTCTCTAGATGCCACCGTTTAAGTCCCGACAAGGGGTTATAGTATCGTAGCTGCACCGCAGGCGGACACATTATGTCCAGCTCCGGTATAACGAACAACACCGGAGTGGCATCGAGGTTTTTCCATAACGCGGAAGGATGCCATATACGCAATTTATAATAGGACTGGATTGTGGTACGGTCCTGCAAGAACCACAGCACCGCATAACATCAACTTACGTTCAGGTACCATTGGCAGTTGTTGGCTTTGCATGCCGCTTGCCAGGTGAGAATAATAGTCCCACTCAGCTTCGGGATTTTCTTGAGCGAGGAGGCATAGCCGCTAATACGCCGCTTGCCTCGCGATTCAACAATACGGGCCATCATGATGGATCCTTCAGACCCAAGACAGTGGCATCCCCGGGGGGCATGTTTATCGAAAACCTTGATCCTCGTGATATCGGTGCCCAATTTTTCACACTTTCAAAGGTAGAAGCAATATCCATGGACCCGCAGCAGCGACAGCTTCTGGAAGGGGTATATGAAGGCCTGGAGAACGCTGGACTCACCCTTGAGGCTCTGGCTGGCACAAATTTTGGTTGCTTTGTTGGCTCGTTTGCTTCCGGTAGCAACAGTTGCCCTCTCATAGCCTGGAATATCTTGCTGACTCTGTCTGTAGATTATGGGGACATTCAATCTGGAGACCCCGAGGACCGAGCTCATGCTACGTCAATTGGAATAGGTTGTGCCATGCTGAGTAATAGGGTTAGCCATTTCCTAAACATCAAAGGGCCAAGGCATGCCAGGTTCTCCCAAATACTGGAACATACGTTAATGTAGTGCATGACAGCATGACAATAGACACTGCGTGCTCTGGCAGCTTGATTGCTCTTGATGTCTCCAATCGGTATCTCCAAACAAGAGAGATAAATGGGGCAATTGCTGCTGGGTGCAATCTCTATCTTTCTCCAGAACATGTGATGGATCATGTTGCCTATGGCGGCACAGCATCAGCGTCTGGCATGTGTCATACCTTTGACGCCAAGGCAGATGGATATATCAAAGCGGAAGCCGTCAATATGGTCATCGTGAAGCGATTAGACGACGCTATTAGAGACAGGGACCCAATTAGGGCTGTCATACGAGGATCTGCCACCAACAGTGATGGATGGACGGCAGGAATCGCCAGTCCCAGCTCGGAAGCTCAGGCAGGTGCAATTCATCAAGCATATCTTAATGCATGAATCTGAGATTTCAGCGCAACGAGCAATTTAGAATGTCATGGCACGGGCACTAGGGCTGGAGACATTATAGAAGCAGAAGGAATTGCTTCTGTGTTTTCTGCATATCGCGCACTAAACAGGCCACTGCACGTTGGATCTGTACGTATATCCACGCTTTTGCGAGTCTTTGGCATGCATGGCACTAATCATATATGTATGGGATTTGATAGATAAAGAGCAATATTAGGCACTCCAAACCTGCTGCAGAAATCTCTGGTTTATTGAAAACCATTCTAGCACTTGAAAATGGCATCATACCAGGAAATCCGACCTTCATAGATCCCAACCCTAACATCGACTTGATGCACTCGGTATCCGCCCATCTCGCTTCACTCTTCCCTGGCCGGATGTTCCATTCTGCCGTGCTGGTATAAGTTCATATGGTTACGGAGGATCCAACGTCTACACAATCGTCGATAAAGCAAACGGATTTCTGGGCACAGCTGTAACCGACCACACATCATCTTTTGCATCAGAAATTGATGACTTGTTTGCGGAAGACGAGGTCTGCAATCGGCCGTATGTCATAGTCTTCTCTGCCAACAGCACGCCATCCCTCGAATCATACCCCAAGGCTCTTGACAAGCACTTGGCAGATCCAAGGGTTAAAGTCAAACTCAGAGACATTGCCTTTACCCTGTCCGAGAGGAAGAGCCGGCACTACCATCAAAGATATCTCCTAACGAAAAACTCTAATCTAAGACGCGCATCTCTCGTCGTTGGTAAAACCCTACTAAGATCTCCACGCCTCGGTCTTGTGTTCACTGGACAGGGGGCACAGTGGTCCGAGATGGGGAAAAGACTTTTGTCAAACTTCCCAGTAGCGAGATCAATAGTGCAACACTTGGATAAGATTCTACAGCATCTTCCAGATGCGCCAAAATGGTCTCTCTTCAGTAAGTAGTATCAACTCGAGAATTGTTTATTGCACTAAAAGTAACTCGTGAAGGGGAGCTCACTGAACCGCAAGACGCTGAGCATCTCCGTCTCCCCGAGTTTTCCAGCCTCTCGTCACCGCACTCCAGCTTGCAGTTCTTGAGCTATTGAAGAGCTGGGGCGTTGAATATCACGGTGTGGTCGGGCATTCATCTGGGGAGATAGCGGCAGCGGTAGCGGCAGGTAAGTTCACCTACGAAGAGGCAATCGTGGTGGCATATTATAGAGGACGAGTCTCTCTCTACTGCAATTCTCATTCCCTCGTTGGCATGCTCGCGGTGGGACTTGGCCAAGACACAGTACACAACTATCTCAAGAGTATCGACAAGGTCGAGACTGCCTGCATTAATAGCCCTGAGAGTGTCACCCTATCAGGTGACCTCGCCATGTTGGAGTCTCTCCTCCTAACTCTGAAGCAAGACGGCCATTTTGCTCGGCTATTGCATGTGAATCTTGCGTACCACTCGAGCTTCATGACAGACATTGCTGCCCAATATAAAGAACTTCTAGATACGAATCGTGATTTCTTATTTCGGAAACCAACTACAGTCTCTATGTTTTCTTCGGTAATCGGAAAGCTTCTAGACCGAGCTTGTGATACGTCCCACTGGAGAGATAATATGATCATGCCTGTGCTATTTAGCCAAGCAACACAGGCTATGCTTTCTCGGCCAGATGGACTTGATATCCTTCTTGAGATAGGACCTAGCGGCGCTCTGTCAGGCCCAGTCAAACAGATCAAACAATTCATTAACAACCCACATGCAGCAGGGAACTATTATGCTTGCCTAAAAAGAGGAGAGAAATCCGTGGATTCAATGTTGGATTTCGCTGGGCGACTATTCATTTTAGGAAGCCGTCTAAATATTGCAGAGGTCAATAACGATCTGAATCCTAGCCGCCCAGCTGTCGTTGTGGATCTTCTAATTATATCTGGGACCATTCTACAAAATACTGGTACGAGAGTGATGCTAGCAAAGACTGGCGATTTCGTCGTTTCGTACATCACGATCTTCTAGGTAGTAAGATTCTTGGAGCCCCTTAGGCCACCCCTAGCTTCAGGAAGACATTGAGCGTCAAGAGCTTGCCATGGTTAATGGATCATAAGGTATGTAAGAGAAAAGAAATGTTCTAGCTTAAACACGACGCTGATCTAATCAACTTCAATTTAGTTGGGAGAAAACATTGTTTTCCCAGCGTCTTGCTATATTGCCATGGCAATCGATGCCTTATTTCAGAAGAGCACAGTTACAGGTGGGATCCTTGAGGAAACTCAAATCCATCAAATTAGTTGGTTGTTGCGAAATGTCGCATTTTCTAAAGCCCTTGTACTTGATGAGATCGCCGATACCGTAGTAATGCTGTCTCTGAATCCGTATTATGGGTATAAAGATTCGTGGCACGAATGCAAGATTCTATCAGCAGCTGACGGCATTACGAATGAGCATTGCCGGGGACTTATACGCATCACGGAGAGTCCTGGTCCAGGTGAGTTTTTTTCCTTTTTCTTTTTCTTTTCCCATTTATTTCAGAGTAACGTATTCTGCGAAACTGACCTGTTATTAGTGGTAAAAGAGTCCGACTTGAAGCCTCTACAACACAGCATTCCAGCTTCAATGTGGTATAAGGCTTTGAGTGACGCTGGGTATAGCTTTGGAAAGGAATTCCAAACCCAGATCGCTGTCGAGTCTACGGCAGGAGAGCGGAGGAACCGTTCGCTGGTTTCCCTCGAAGAACCCAAGTCTTCCTTTCCTCAATCCCCCTACATTATGCACCCTGTCTCGATTGATAGATGTTTTCAGACTACCGGTCTAGCGGTATGGCAAGGAAATCGCAGTGCCGTTGATGCTGTCTTGGTGCCTGCTATGATTAATGAGTGCACGGTATATGCTTGGTCCATACAGCCTAAGATAGGTATAGGCATCGCTTCAGCCGAGATTGGAAGACCTAGTAGACCTGAAGACCCGACAACCTACAAGTCCCATGCAGCCGTGTATGACTGGAAGACTCGTCAGCCTCTCTTTCAGATGCAGAGCTTCTGATATAGTGCTTTGAATACTCGAAGAAATATCCATGACCTTCACTCTTATACACGTATAGAATGGAAACCGGACATCTCGTTCCTCGCTGAAGGCCAATTTAGTGAATATATTAGCAGAACAAACGGTGAAGGCCGGCAAAGATATCTTCATTCCAACAATGAAGTAGGCGCGATCATTGAACTAATACTACACAAAAGCCGGCGTTGAGGGTGGTGGAGCTCAACCTGACTGGGCAGTCAGACAGCGTCTGGCTCAATCAATTCCTGCTCAACCCGTTACTTCGTGGGTCATGCCCAGAATTTTGATTTTCTTTATCAACAGAGGAAGCACTTCTTGACGCGCAGGGTAAGTATAAAGGGATCGATGAGGTTCAGTTCATATTGTTTGAATCAAACATCTCCGTCCTTGAGAGCGAGCTAAAGGAACCTGTTGATTTCATGATTTTGAAAGCATCGCAACCAAAAACTGGAGATCTTATCGGCATACTAGATTTAGCACAGCGAAAGTTGACTGATACTGGGTCACTCATGATCCTGGGCCATGAAGTGGGTGAGACGCAAGTCGTAGGGCTTTTACGCTCCGCGCGCCTTCAGAACCAATTGTCAAATATATATTGTTCCTAATAAAGAATTTAAATATCTTATCAATAAGATAATATATATTGACGTTGCGCCCACTCTGCAATCTGCTGGAGAAGCTCGGTTCGTGTTCCTAGAAGGCATATGTTTTCATGCTGATCCATGTATGAATTAAAGGAAGCTCCCTCGACACCAGATCAAAGGTCCGGTGGAGATCGTAGATCGATACAATCATCTCGCCAATTCGAACTAGGATATTTTGTGCTTCTGTTTTGTGCCGGAGATATCGATCGACTTGAACCTATTTCTGGAAGTTCTGTTCCTCCTCGTTGATGCGGGACTTCAGTTTCGAAAGTGGTTGATCCGCTATCACAGTAACATTTCCTAGCACCTTCTTTCCTATTGGCTTGCTGCGTCTTCCGGACTTCCGCTGCATACTGTAATATAGCAGTATAGACTCGAACAATAGCATTTCCCATCGGCGTTTTCGTTTCGGAATGATTCTCCTGATAGAAGATCCTTTCAATGTAAGCATATCGAGCAAGCAAATCAGCTAAAAAGAGAAGAAAGGAACCTATTTAGCTTGTAAGTCTAGCATCTCTAAGAATCATATCGAGACTTTCTATCAATAATTAGTCCACATAGGCGGGATAGGTAATACCTAGAATAGGAAAGAGACCAAAAGGAGTCCCATACAAAGATATTGCATGATAGCCCTCCTGGTCGACCACCCTGTCATACCCGGGAAACAGTGGAAATGTTCTCACTTAGCGTGCACACCGGTGACACATTTTGGTTTGAGGTATTTTTCTCATTGGTATATAGCCACTTGTAGCGTGCTGGATATCCCTAAATGCGTACGTATAAGCCAATATACGGTGCTCAGTAATGCCTAGGAATCTCCGGCATTACATAGCCTCTTAAATCAGATATACCAAAAGCAAGCCTGGAACTGTAGCAGCTATTATCGATGAGGGTAGAGGATGCAGCACATTCCGATGTGATCCTCACCCTTCAACTCGACTTGAAAATAATTACCTCTATCTAGGAAGAAACTCGTCCCTACTATCCATTCCTGTACAAGTAGTGTTACTCAGGCTTCTATGAACAGCAATTTCCATCTACTCATCGTCGTTGATATCGATGACCGTCTGCTTCCATTTGCGAGCCGGGACATGACGCCGGAACAAAATGTCGATCTCACGGAAGGACCTGTTCTTCATCTCTGGAACCCAAATCCAAGCCATGACGGTGCAGACAAAGGCGGTGCCAGCCCAGACATAGCCGCTCTTACCGCCCAGGTTCCACTTATCAGTGTTGAGCATGTAGCTGGAAAGGAAGATGCAAGGAATATTGACCAAGTAGTAGGCACCTCGTCCAATACCGGTTGTCAGTGGCCTGAGACGAACGGAAGATGTCTCGCCGATGATGACCCATGAGGCAGGGGCGGGTCCCAAGCAGAACAGGACGGAGACGATCAAGCCAAGTGATGCTTGCGCATTGGTAGCCGCATTACTCTTGCCAACTGAAGCCGCAATACCGAGCGCGATCAAGAATGCACAGTTGATGAATTGACCATAGACATAGATGGTGCGTCGGCCGAGGTATGTTGTGAGGATCCAAGAGAGCATGACCATGATCCACTGGAGGGCAGAAGTGATGAGACCAAGTGCAAATGCGGTGTTGTCTGCCATGCCGGCCTCTGAGCTGGTGTTAGTCTGCTATGAGGTTGCAGGAAATGGTTGGACTCACGTTTGAAAAAGTAAACCGCTTGGTTAGCAATCAGATTGCCCGTCAGATTCTGAGATGCGTACACACCGCACACAATCAATGTGCGGTAGCGATCGGTACCTTTCCACAGTTCAATGAGACTGGGCTTCTTCTGGGTCTTCTCAAGCTCGATCGTGCGACGCATCATTGCGACTGCGTCAGCGGGATTATCATTTGCACTCGCGCGTCCAAGGCGTTTGACAGCCTTCTCTGCCGCAGCCAGACGGCCCTTTCGTACGAGCCACCAGGGTGATTCAGGCGCAAAGAAGAGTAGGATAGCGAGAGGAGTAGGAAACATCCACTGGAGTGCAATAGGAATTCTGGTACGACTGTTAGTACAGTGCTCCTCGATGACATCTAGGGGAGCGGACGAACCTGTACGCTGTGGAGTTAGGCTTGGATTGGTAGTGGTAAGTGATACCGCCGACAATGATCGACCCAATAGCCCAGAACATCTGCAACATCTGCGTCGCTGGAGCTCTCAATCTCAGTGGCACAATTTCGGCACAGTAGGCGGGTGCATTAGCGATAAAAATGCCCCACGGGATGCCTTCCAGGATCTGGGCCGCGAAAAACATCCCCTGACTGTTGCCGAAATAGAAGATGAAGATGAAGCCGTTCAGGAACATGAGACCGCCAATGGTTGCCCATCGATATCCAATCCAACTGGTAATGGGGCCTGCGATGAATACACCGATGAAGGCACCGATTGGTCCGCTACACTGGAATGCTGACTGCCATGAAGCTTCGATAATCCAATCTTGTTTTATGTCGCTCCATACACCAAAATCATGGGCGAATCTCTTCGTGGCTATGAACTGTCCCATCAAGAAAACGCAGTATGACTCCATGATCTATCGCAGCGTTAGAGAAATGATCTGCCTATCATGGGCAAGAGCTTACAATGGTGCATGACATGACGAATGCCCACCAACTGGCAGCGGGATAGGCCTTGATAGCCTGGAGCACAGTCATATTATGTTCGATATCCTCAGCATTGATGGCGCCCGCTCTGTCGAAGTCGACCTTCTCGCCGCCATCGTAGATAGGTCCGCCCTTGGAGGTGGGCTGCTCCTCGAGCTCCAACGCTGAGGTCGGCTTCTCTGTGACGACGTTATCCATGTTAACGATTTTTGAGAGGAATGTGAGAACGAAAAAGAGGCAAGCACGACTGGGTTTTCAGCTCTTTATCCCTACGACAACAAACTCGTGATGGTAATCCGATCTTAACTCAATTGAGTGAAGCTTGCTCCGGACTCTGACCTCCACAACCCCAAATCTCCGCTCGTTAGGGTCATGACTCATTTTTCCGGGCACCACGGTAGCAGCGTCGCATTCGCAACGTCAAATTCGCCTCGCCATCGCTTCGATCAAGATTTCTTATTAGCCGTAGCGGACGCCGGTGCATCTTCTGCCGAGTTGCTCTAGGGCCTGCGTGTAATTGGCGTAATTTTAATTATGGTGGGCTCTCTGTCGAGCTGAGTAATCTGATACTAGTCGGGAGTAGATGCACCGGTCCCACACGCCATATTTCCCCGCAGTGTCAGTTGCGGGGTGTTTTCCTGTTGGTTTTCCTCACTCGGTTAGTTCCCCAGTGTACAGGGGTCCGACCCCTTGCGCGACCTCCTATTAGCCGGAGATGCTGGTGCACAGTCCTGCCTTCGAACGGCGCGGCTACACCGTAATATGCCGGGGTAAAGGGGGGGAAAGGCCACCAGCACCGCCTTGCGTCTTCTCCGCTTCTTTTTCATCTGGGGCCCTGGGCTTTCTGGGGGCCCTAGCCTCGCTCGTATTCTATCCTATTGTATCCGCCTCTCAGTTCTAAGCCGCTATAGCTATCCCTTGTATAGCCTGATGGCATCTCCAGCAGCACTGCCTCTTGCCCCTGATTCTAGTCTTGGACATAGTCCTACCTTCCTACCTGACGTTGCAGGGACCTAAGGATAGCTATTGTTGGGGCACGGTCAGCCTTCGGTTAATTAAGCTCAGGTTCGGTTAATTGAGCCTAGCTAGGCTCAGCGCTTCTCAGTGCAGGATTCAGCAGGATCCCGGTCCGTGAATAACTACTATGGTCAGGCCGGTAAATAACGTTAGTACGGTGGAGCAAAGAAAGATGTGGTGTAACGGTTCGGCTTGAGGTTATTCGGAAGCGGGGAAGTTGTTCTAGGCATGGACGAAAAGGGTTGTGTTGGAAATAAAATCACGTGACTAGCAGAATACTGTCAGCGTGCTACACCCGTGGATCTCCCTCCGGTGCGGATCAACTATGATCCGAGAGTCATGTGACCTCCGTAAAGGGCTCTTCCCAATACTATTTAGTCCAGATTTGGCGATATCGGGAATAGTATCGGCAAAGCTAAGGCCTCGCCGATATCTGCCTATTATATAGTCAAAAATTGGCTTAGCCGATACTATATAGGCTAATATTAGAAAGTCAAATATAATCACGTGTTAAAATGCTTAACCGAATTAGTTACCGATTATGATATTACGAATCTCCTTTCATCCTCAACTTATGGCTCATATCTAATGTTCTGTACGCAATAGAATGGCTACAAATACCCCTGGCCGCATGGTTACTCGCCAAAACAGACCAGATTACCTTTTACTTAATGATGGGTTTGATGATGAAGCCCTACCTGAAGATTACATATCAGAAGCTCAATCTGAGATTAATTCTTTAACTGGTATCCCTTCCTCTGAAATTCTACCTTCAGAATTAGTTTCACAGACAGTTATTAGTGCGACTACTATACCGAACTCTTCTTCCTCAAACATGCCTCTATATCGCTCCTAGAAACGTTTGCGTCCTGCCCCTATTACAAATTGATGTTACGGGCTAGTCCCGCCTAATGCTCACTATAAGGGCATACTTGAATAGAAAACACAACATGAGGAGAGAAAGAGAAAAGGACACAAGATTTCGTCGTTCATACAAGTTTATATAGAAAAGGGGAACGCTCATGCTGGGCTGGGTTCGGCGCCGGATATCCGTATAATCATAGACACCACATGAGTGCCAAGACATGAAGTCCTGTTAAGGGGCAGATCAGTTAATCGGAATGAACCTTCGGCATCTGGGAATGACTTCGAGCTCCCAGGTTACGCTCCAGCGTACAGGGTGCAGAAGCGAATAAAAACGATACAGACTTTCTAGTGAGGGCTTCACCCGAACCATATCGACATGAAGTCAGCTCATAACATTGATTATAGGGTTACTTTCTAGGTCACCCAAGTGAGTCGAGAATGGATAATGAAGAGGACCATGAAGTTGCAATCGACAGATCAAGATATTTGATGTGCATATATTGATAGCAAGACTGGAATACAATGTGCTTGGAAAACAACAGATTTGCAATGCCAAACATCTACCACTAATATGCAATGGCATCTTGAAAAACACTCAATTTTTTCACCTCATTATCTTAGTGGCAGGACCACTTAAAAAGAGTAACCTAGCATCCTTGATCTTCTAGCTAGAAAGACACTCACACCTCAACAATTACTCGAAAAGAATCTTATTTACTGGATCATTGATGATAATAAGGCCTTTACAACAATTGAAAGATAGTCATTTAGACAGATCTTCAAAGATATCCCAGGAATTATGCTTCCGTTCGAATCCAGTTCTACAGTGAAGCGTTGGCTTGATGAAAACCTTAATATATAGTGTCAAGATTTGATACAAGAATTAACTTTGACTTGTAAATCAATTGTACTTTCTATTGATATTTGGACAAGCAAAAATAATCTTCCAATTCTTGCTATTATCGGTCTTGGCTTACAGAGGATGTCTTATGTAAAGAAAGAGTCTTAGAGTTCACTGAGCTTCAAGGAGTTCATAGTGGTGAGAATATTGCCATTGCTATCCAGACAACACTTTCTAAATTGAACCTTGGAGAAAAGTTAATCACTATTATGGGTGATAACACCAGTAATAATAAGACTATGGCTTCAGAATTGTTCCCTCTTCTTAGTGAGACATGTTTAGATAAAGAGAAAATTCAGTTCAAAGGACTTAACAGCTATATCCGCTATCTAGCTTATATCCTGAATTTAATCGTCAAGGATATCCTTCAAGTTTTGAAATCTGGCACTTCAAATGAAGCATCCACTATCTGTGAATATATAAGTTTTCCAGGAAAATATATTTAATATGATGTAGAAAATTATTGGAATTCAACATACCAGATGCTTGATGATGGCCTCAAGGCTAAAGCTCAAATCAATCAATTTATATCATTACAGACTGATATCCCTTCTTTTACCGATAGTGATTAGGACGTCTACCTCAGATTCATTGCATACTCACTAAGTTCAATGAACTTACATTATTTGTGTCAAAATGAAGACCACAAATCAGCCTTGCTATCCCAGTTTATTATGAACTTTATGATCTATCTGAAGGTTCAGAATTACAAGAGTTCTTCAAGGAATTAGATCCTGATATTGCTTCTGCATTGAAAGAAGGTCTAAAAAAAATATATGAAATATTATACTTTTATGGATGAATCAAGTATCTCAACCATGTGACATCCTGCTGTCCATGGAGATTGATAATACAGATCAGATCGCTGCTCGCAAGAGAACTTATCGAGCTTAGCCGCCTGCACCTTGAGCCGTATGCTACTTTCCTTGGCAGTGTATTCTTGATTTCCAGACGACTCTAGTGCGGATCCAGCCTCTAGAATACTCCTTCGTACCTCTTTGGCAAACTCCAATGCTAGATTGCGACAATTGGGCTTTTCAATATCACCTGTTTGCCATAGAAAGGCCTTGTAGATCGTTAATAACAGTTCCAATCCATACATCAAATGAAACGGAATAAATGCGTATTCGCTATTATCGCGGAGAAACGTGCGGAGGGGCGCCAGCAAGGACTCACAGATATGCTCGTTGTCTTGTGATATTTCAAGACCCGCTATGGCACCCTTAGAAGCCAGTAGTTTGCGCATGCTCAGCATCAAATCAAAGGTCAGATCATCATCGAAAATTTCCATGTTTGGCTGACTATCCATGTCCGGTCGTATAATATCCGCGGGTTCCTGCTTCCATCTGGCGTCCTGCAAAATAGCCTGGTGAATCTTGTCAATATCAGAACCGTGGAGTCTCTCAATCCGGCGTCCGGCAAAATAGTCTGCTGACCCTGTTTAGACCGACAACTATGGAGCAACACGCCTATAGTGGTCAGTGTAGTTCCTCCAGTACAACGACCACCAAGCGGTGAGGCAAGCTGTGGTATGCCTTTGAAGTAGAATTACACTCTCCTTCTCTTTAAGTATCCTGCTCGTGATGTTCTCAAATGTTGGAGAAATATGGTTCATTGCCATGAAATTCCTCCGTGAAGCATGAAAAGCCACCGTTGATAGCCAAGCAGCCAGTGGAACAGGAAGTTCACCTTTCGCCGCCTGTCTCCAATATTCATAGATCGGTTCGGAAACGGTGTCCAGTTCCTACACTAGATATTAGCCCAGTTCCGCTTGCGAGATTTTGCTATCACTTGCAACTTACACATGGAAAAAGACTTAGCTCAATCCAATCCCCAACCGCATCTGCAGCCAGAATCACGTTTTCGGGCGACGGCTGTAATGGCGGTAATCCGGCTGGCACCTCATTATCGGCCGTTGTCTGTGTGATGCTTTCGTCACCCACCTTTGGCTGTATTGAAATGGTCCGATATCCTTGGCGCTACAAATCGATTCAGGAGAATTACCGATCCGGTCTCGTCTGGTGTTGAATGCTTTGTAGAGTCTAGAGACGTTGACTTTGCCTCAAACGGTAGCAGTGTCTGTAGGATATCATCCAAGCTTACTCAATTAATAGTCTTGTCAGGAAATTTGCTCTGTATCTCTATCTTGTTTGCTGCCTCGTAAAAACTAGCAAAAGGTACAGGACTCGCAATCGCAGCATGAGATGCTGAACGAGGCCAGTCGATGACAAACCATAGAGACTCTTTGTACTTGAAATATAGCTGCCACACCGGCTGACTATTGAGATACATGGTGATTGCAATTGATTTACACAGGATCCGATGTCATCTCCGATTCACGAGAATCGGACAAGCCTTGTTGATTGTTGATTGTGGAGTCAAACACGATACTCTCGGGCCGTAGTTGAGGGCACTACGACGCGTCCTACATGCGCCGTTATGGCCGGATCTCCCTCCATCTCACCTCCAGCACTCTTCGTTTTCAATGCAGCTACCTTTTTAGAAATCTTCCTCAAACAAAGTCTGAATCCAAGAATTGAGTCCGTTCTCCGGATAAAGACCGCTGGGAATAGCGTCATGTAGATATTCTTTTCTTTCTTTTCCTATGCTTAGATTTCTAGATTACCGCTGCCAATATGATATTTTTTGAGCCCTCATAACAGGACTGACCTGGATTTCTATATATGGTTGTACGTGTTTTGATGTCTTGTCTATTTCTTTCTCTTTTTTTTCTCATATGTGTTTTCTACTTTGCCATGACCTCATAGTGTGTTCACAAGGGCAAGACTAGCCTGTAACATGGGGTTCACCACATTCACTTCTTCACTATATATCTTTAATATCGTATTCTTCCTTTCTTTTGTCTAAATGCACTTATACTACTTCGATGGAAGTGCTGACCTGTATATGGCGATTGTCTATGATTCCATGCAGACCGCTAGCCGACTCAGCGGAGCCCTCGTATGCACAAGAACTATTCATCTCGTGGTATTGCTCAATAGTGTTTAACTGAGATCTGTCACCGTCAAACGGTGTTCTTCGCCGACTACCGAACGTTTTCGGTTTAGGATAGGTCTCGGAGCTTCTTTTCTTGGTGTTGAAGATAGGGAAAAGGCTCCGAATTGTAGGAAGACAGCCGCAAACCAGCCCAATGCAAGGTTCAACAAAGGTCCAGATTACGCCATTGTAGATTGTATCTGTTTGGGTAGAGTACGCCAGCATTAGCTATTATGAACAAGCAGAAACTGACTGACTGGGTATAGTGCTCACATGTAATATCGTCTAGTTTGATCTGGGTTAGTGCGATCATGCGGTAGATACTGGCACCAACAACGCTGTTCCACCATTCATGATTAGTCCAGATATTTATTTTCAGTAGGTAGTTAAAACAAAAGTAAGGAATCTTACAATCCACCAAGTAAGAATATACCGGAAAGCCCAACCTTATCTTGCCAAGGGCGGTGCAGCTTCCAAATCATGGGCCAAGGCACGGCGAATATGGAAGCGTCGAGGAAGATATTGATCCCTTGAATGGATTCAATAAATGCGATTTGATCATCACATGTACCGGAAACCGTCATATCCCACTGTCGGGCAAGTGGTCGACACTGAAGAGCGAAACCCAGTATAGCCACGGCTGCCCATATTATGCACAAGATGAATAACATATTGATAATAGTGCGGAAACCAGAGCTGATGAACAAGCGGCGATAGAAAAATATAATGGTTAGCTTGACAAGCGGGCTTGCCACTGCGTAAGTGAACTCGTTGACAAGAAAGATATGTGATCCGAATGAGTTTAATGAGGCATCAGTTGTCTTTTCATTCACAGCAGACGACATACCTTGTAAAACATCATAACTTCATCAGTATCCAGATCCGTGAGGTGCTTTCCACTGTTTCCGATTGCTGCCCCTATACGGTATATTGCATCAGATAGACTGAAAGACGATGTAGAAGGATATGAGGTGAGGGTACAAATAATCAACTCAATGAGCATAGCAGAGATTAATATGAGAGACGCCAATGCTAGCCAATCATCCGTTCCTAGTTTCACTTTTTTGACGAAACGAGCTACAAAGCGCAAGAACACAGCAATGGTGGCAAGGACTGACAATGCGATGCCTATTTTGATTTCCTCCCATCCTCGAGCGCTCGGGGCCATGGTTGTAGATGTGTTCAATTATGATGTCTTAAAAAGAAAAAACAGTCCGGACGTAGTCAGAGGGCGAATTCTGGCCACAAATTTCCGTGGGTAATAATTTAAGTTAATTTTTACTTTGGATGGTTCGTGGCAAAGTTGGGGTGTTGTTTTAAGTCAACTCACATAAATCGCCTGGATTATAACATGCACGCTCAACGAATACCAGAACATACGAAACTGTCACGATTATCATGGACTCCACAACTCGAGAGGCCGGTTAGTGTGTGAGACCGCGATGGTAGGCATTGGCAGATTTCAGGTCCCCCGGCCATGTAGGACAAGCTGAGGGTAGTAGGTTACGCAGTCCCGTAGCCCCCCATTTGAGGTAGGCCAAATCCAGAAGGGATTCTAACAGTTTTCTGATCATTCTGCATGCATTAAATGAGATAACCATATTGGCCGAATCGTAGCCACCGGCCGAAGTATCGACAGTCGTCCAGAGTATCAACTTCCAAGGTCATTACTTCTAGCCTCTGTTCTAATGATAGCAAATAAAATACAGAGTATACTTCACAGGGTATTATAATACTTCCACTACACTATGTCAGGACATTGATCAAAAGCCGCCGAAGGACTTTCAGACCAGGTAGTACTACTCCCTCGTACGTGATCGATCCGTAGAGAGGTAATACCACTGTTCACAGCGGTCATGTGTTTTCTTTGCATAGATCCTGCAGTTATGCCGGGAACAGTGCAAAATCCTGCTTTTCGACGCATTAGTACTGTTCAGCTGTGTGTATAACTCAAAGACATTCCCATATACCTCCTTAGTGCATATAACATCGACCTTCAAGGGATAACTTCTCATTTTTGTTTTTATTCGTTTGACTGTTGGTCTGAGATAGCCTAAGGACCGCGTTTCTCGAAAGAGAAGCAGAGACAGCAAGATGAGAAGTTTCACAGTTAGTTATGACAGTTGGTTTGCGGTACTTTCTCCTCCAAGTCTCATCCCTTGATATTTGTGAATCCATTGTACATAAACTCAACCTTGGAAGCTTTTGTATATGAACTTAAAGCAAGGTGAAATGGGTTTATTCACTACTATTCCTAATTCGATCGATATCTTTCTATCCATAGTAAATGAACGTCTCCCTCGTCACTCCAGATACATAACATATCTAGACAATAAGTTGACATATCCTTACTGGTCGCATTGAGCACACTTCGGCTTCAGCCAGCTCTTCCTGATTGATGGTGTATTCAATAAGACCACAGGTTGCTTGTCATGTCCTAGACACTGTGGGTGACAACCTCTCCAGCTTGCCATGTGTTCTCGAGTCTTTTGTCGATGACATCGGGGTTGGCATTTTCTCCAGATCCCCAAGTAGCACTGGTTCCTCTGGTTATAACAGTAGTCTTGCGGTCTGGTTCTGCTACTGATCATGTTAGTTATTATATGTTCAAAGTTATAGCTCAAGAGATACTATACGGAGTGGTACAGCCAGGCTTGCTCCTAGAAGGAGGACAATGGAAGCAAAGTATTTCGAGAAAAACATCTTCCCTCTTTTCTTTAATCTTCTATAGATCGGTCGACTTGGGGTAAGATAGAAGCGAAATATCAAGTCTGAGGTCTGTAATCAAAGTTGGATTCTTGGAGAAGAATGATGAGTTCTTTGCGATGGTTTATATACCCACCACCGAGCCATATAGCTGTGCCGGCACAAAGGGAAAGTCGAGTCTAGAGACGCAGCAATTGGAGGAAATATAATCCATGCCAATTACCTAGGTAGCAGGGATGTCACAACATCGGTGGCATAAAACAGACTCGTACCCGTATAGAGGTACGTTACACAAATGGTTAGTTAGGGCTAATACGGTACGGAAAGAGGCACAAACACCAAGTGAAAAGATGGCAGCCTCCAAAAGTTCTTGTCAAGCCCAAATTCTGGGCTGTATTCCACTTTTTGGGGGAAATGATAGGCATTAGAGCTGAATGCAGCGATCCGCGAGCCGAGCTTTCAGGCGTCCTGCAGATCCTAACCGGGCGAAGGTCGTATTACGTTGGCATAGACATACTGTAGTCAGCCTTTGTGTCTTTTATAATCTATTGCGGCGTGCAGATCGATCCAGCGGCAAAACACTGCGCCTGATACCTTTTCAAATCATTCTGTAAATGTTCTGAGGAGCCAACGCAACCTTCCCGAGTGCGTGAGTGTAATAGAGAAATAATTCGGTCCTAGGGAAAGGTTACGGTGTCTCAACCCAACATTTACCGGGACAATGTCACCATCAAGGTCAAGTTTCAGGTATCAGGTTTTAAGTGGTCTTCGATCAGAAGATGATAAGGAGACACTATCCTCCGCCTATCGCTGGGTTGGGTGGGTGGGTGTGATGTTGCTAGCTACCATCGCTTTACTGGTTAGCTATTGGGCTGGAAGGCGAGTGTCGACATTTATCTCGTGCTCAAAGGAGAACTATGGTCTTCTCGGTATCGTGTATCATATCCGCTTGCTATCTCTCTTGCTAAGTATTTCTTCTGCTGCAGCACCTCCTGGAACAATTCATCAGGTTTGGGAGCACCAACCCATCTTCTCCCAAGATCTGACACCTGAGTCCGAAGCTGCTTGGAGCTCAGTCATACCTAGTAAGAATTTCGATCCTTCAGCATGATCGAAATGAGACTAAAATGATGCTAGTTGGTCGGGGATTCGTCTATCATCCTCAAGTAACCCCTGTCGTGGCTAACATTGCAGTTTTTCACCAACTTCACTGCCTGGTAAGGATACCTTTTTGCATTGTTTCTATATTCTTTCAGTCGGCGATCTGACTATCAAGATAGCATACACTTCGCGTTGGGTATTATACGAAGTTGTATCAGCTCAACGTACTTAATGGGATAAACACGTCGAAATCCTTCGATGAGCATATGGCCATAACCCCTGAAGATGTTCATATGCGACACTGCTTTGACTATCTCCGCCAGGCGCTGATGTGCGCGGCCGACACCAATCTTGAAAAGGTCAGCCCAGAGACGCACATCACAACCGGTTGGGGATCGGACAAAGTGTGCCGTGATTACTGGCGGATTTTTGCCTGGGCAGAGCAGTGGGCTAATTCCTCTGACACGGGGATCATTTAGAGATATCAAGTATGGTGAACCCTTCGCATTTATGACCATGTATCAATTCAAAATCACCCATGGATCTCGTTAGGCTTATTCAAGATTGAGAGGAATGAAGAGTAGGCAGTTACTGTAATTCTAACCCTCAGGTAATGGGGCATACGGTATTCATCACTTATTCAGAACCCCCCATGTGTACAACAGTAGCACTGTTCCTCATACCATTCCGTATAATCTGCTCTTTGTCTCTGGTAAACCTATCTATTTGGTCCCGAATGCGGAAAAATCTGAGCTCCGTCTCTTATTGTTACACGAGCTAAGGCTGCACCCTGGGGTATAACTATGACTCTACTGCCCGACTCGAAACTGTCTTCCTTTCTCCATCAATTTTCAACCGTTCGCCTGTGACGACCATCATGTCTCATCTACACCAAGCGACTGGCACCGCTCCCCACCATGTGCCACTAATCATCGATGGTCGCGAAGAGCCTGGGCAAAAGGCTTTCGACGTTATCAGTCCTTACATGAACAAAGTCTGCTGGACAGCTGCGTCCGCGACCCCGCCTGATGCTGTTCGCGCTGTGGAATCTGCTCAGAAAGCGTTTCCAGCGTGGTCAAACACAAAGCCAACTCTTAGGAGAGATATACTACTCAAAGCTGCTGATATACTAGAATCACGACTTGAGGAGAATGGTGAATTCATGCGGACAGAGATGGGAGCTGATGTTCCTTCTTCAACTGGGTTTATCGTTCCACTGGCAATTCGCATGTTGCGTGATATTGCCTCTAGGATTACTTCCATCTGTGGTAGCGTTCCAATAGTTGAAACAGAAGGGCAGAGCGCGATCGTATATCGAGAACCCATGGGAGTGATCTTGGGTATAGTTCCTTGGTAAGAACGCCAGAGAAAAAGGTGTCGGTTTGTGATATAGTAACCCAGATCTAGGAATGCGCCATATGTATTCGGTGTCCGTGCTGCAGCGTCTGCTCTGGCAGGAGGAAACACAACCGTGATCAAGTCATCTGAATATACACCTCGCTGCTACCACGTCATGGCACGTGCCTTTCTTGATGCAGGGCTTCCTGCTGGGTGCTTCAACCTGATCTCGACTCGGGCCGAAGATGCAGCCGCTGTGGTCAATAGCATGATAGAGCATCCAGCAGTTCGGAAGGTCAATTTCACTGGCAGCACGGCTGTTGGTCGAAAAGTTGCTGCCTTTTGTGGACAGCATCTTAAGCCGTGTTTGATGGAACTGGGGGGCAAGAACAGTGCAATTGTCTGTGAGGATGCCAACATCGAGACTGCTGCCCCGGCTGTTCTGATGGGTGCATTTCTTAATGTAAGTCGGAATTTTCGAGAGAGGAGGAATCTATTGTGCTAAGTTTTCTAAAGTCAGGACAAACCTGCATGGCGACGGATCGCATCATCTTACACTCAGCGATTGCGGACAACTTCAAGAGCACAGTAAAAAGGCTGCTCAACGAAAATTCCTTTGCACCACCCCCGACGCTGGTCAGCATGGCCTCAAAGGCGCGGGTGACTGAAATGATCACCAGTGCTCTCTCAGCAGGGGCAGAAGTGGTCCATGGAGTGTTCCACAATACCACCTCCTCCCAGCCAGACTCAGACGTACCAAAGGCAAGTATGGCCCCAGTAATCCTGGGGAACGTCAGTCAGGACATGCGTATTTGGAAGGAAGAAACATTTGCTAGCCTTGCAGCATACGTGGTCGTCACAAGTGATGACGAAGCTATTGGACTGGCCAACGAAGGCGGCTACGGGCTATCGGCTTCAATTTTTACAGAAGACCTTCGCAAGGGACTGGCAATGGCGAAGAAAATTCAGTCAGGGGCGGTTCATATCAATAGCATGACCGTTCAAGATGAAGCGGCGCTTCCGCATGGAGGAGTAAAGGACAGCGGATGGGGACGATTCAACAGCGATGAAGGACTGAAGGAGTTCTTAGTGACGAAGACTATCACCTGGATGGACTGAGGATAGAATAGTTATCCGTGAATGTTATCATATTTTCTGTCCTTTGTTCGGATTGATGAATTCCTTGGTTGTTTAGGAGGACTGACTTGTACCTAGGTACAAGTTCACGAGAAGTCAGTGCCCCAAAGTCGAATCCGTAACTAGCTGGTGATGAAGAATGAATACCGTCGCTAACTCTGGTTATTGACTTGTTCGTCAACAATACCCAAGTAATACCCATAACCGAGCGTTAGCACATGTATAGGGCCAGCATAGTTTCATGACTCATTCCAAAGATCGAATAGCACCCGGTAGGCAGATTATGCTCTGCTTCAAAGAGCGTGCTGCAGCTCTATTCGTCGATCAGGTGATATTAATGCCAACTTTTCGTAGAGTTCTAATCAAGGGCAATCTTTAATGATATCATCGTTCAATGACAAGGATTCAGGCATGTGGCAGTGACATTATACGTTAGGAATCTAGTAATTCGCCTTGGAATTAGTTGCCCTAATTCCCTCATTGTTATGCTTGACTTGCAGCCCGGCACATAGACAAAACAGAATAGAACTCCTGAAGTAAACGTTATTCTTGGTTTATCTACGTCTAGGTCGCTAGCACTAAATTCGCAGAACAGCTAATCCAACAAGCTGATGAGCCTATATTATTCTGCTTTCTAATAACATGACTACTCTCCAAGAACTGTCGGATTGCTGAGTTAACTTCAGGCCAATCCTGAATAGCAGTTTTACAAGGGAAAAAGAAGTGACTAGCAAGATTGTATGTATTCCGTTCTCTCTCCCTTCTCTCTCCATCAGGTTCCAAAGCTGGGTTTTTATAAATATCTTTGGCGGGGTGATTTGTGAGCTATCATGAGGGGTAAACATTGGGCTGAAATCTAGGTGCCCAGATACATGCCCTAAGGTGCCTTTTTTTAGACCTGTAAGATCGAACGTCGGATCTCTCTGCCTCGTTTGTAATCTGGATTATCTGACAATTTGTTTTATTTGTTTGATATGTTTGCATTCGTTAGTCTTGTTTCCTTAGCTTCCGTTCTCTGTGGCGCGCCCTATGGCGCACCACCCGTGGCTGTGCAGCAGATTTCTTGGTGCCTGCAGGCTTAGGCACATACCTGTATAGCTCTTTAGACCGTGGCTAGCTACAGCAGGTATATCAAATCTACTACTACTACTACTACTACTACTACTACTACTACTGCTACTATATATTGTCTCTAATAAAGAATTTAAATATCTTATTAATAAGATAATAATATCAACGTTGCGTTGTTATTCATAAAAAGAGGATATTGAGATTTGTTAGTGATCGTATACAAAATTCAACCTGGCCCTTGAGCCTGGGCTGGCCACCTGGAGGGGGAGCGGCGCGATGGGTAGTTATATTCTTCAGCAATCAGCACCCGTTTGACTGTCGATACAACTCGTTCGACACAAGAAGAATATATATCTCGCTGAAGAGCAAAATGGTGGCAAGAATTATCAGAGCTGGGCTATAACGATAATTTATAAGCCTCTCACAATAAATGAATAGAGAAACAAGATCATAACTCCCAGATATAGTTTTATCTGATTTGCGAACGGACGAAGCGCCAAGATATTTCGGAAGGTCGGCCTGAGGACGCCAAAGCACATCTCCAGCCAGCTCCCAGCCCTTAAATCAACTTCACCCCAAATCCCCCTCACCCGGCCATTGCAATCCTCGCGTGTGTTCGAACGGCTTATGTCACCGCTGGCTCGATAATCGTCCATAAAATACATTGCGATTTAAATCCCGACTGTTCCGCCGTACCTCTGGGCCGAGGAGCCGCCTCATCGTTCACCGCACGCCCAATCATTCAACCATGGCGGTTTGTGCTGGCCACTCAAGCTGATCAACGCCCCTCCCCAATATCACATCCTCATACTACCAATTTGCGTCTTCGAGTTATTTCCGACGATTTGCAATACCTACGAAGTACGCATCGACTGTACGCCACGCTCAGGAGGCGTCTGAACAATGACGAATAACTTTGAGAAGTCGGTCAAAGGGGCCACGAAGATTAAAGTGCGTCGAGCTCAGTATGACCTTGTCTTTCTGACAAGCATTGACTAACTGACTCCCTCACAGCTTGCTCCCCCGAAATCAAAATACATCGAACATATCTTACTAGCGACGCGCAGCGGAGAAGCCGGCGTTGGAGAAATATTCCGGACCTTACAATTTCGATTGCGCGATTCAACATGGACCATCGTTTTCAAAGGACTTATAGTTCTTCATTTGATGATGCGGGAAGGAGCGGAAAATGCGACGCTTGAATATTTGGCTGAAAATCCCCGAAAGGTCGCCATCAGCAGCTTTTCAGAAGGCAAGTCCGGCAACAGAGGACTGCGCTTATGTTTCGTGCTAACTTCAATGCAGTTCAAGCGCAAGGGCATAATATCCGGCGGTATTTCGACTATCTTATCACCCGCGCCAAGGCGTACGCCGATACCAAAGTTGATCATGTACGAAGCGGCCAGGGCCGGTTAAAGCGGTTGACCGTCAGCAAGGGTCTGCTGAGAGAAACAGAAGTCGTGCAGAGACAGATTAAGGCGTTGCTCAAGTGTGATGTATACACTTCCCTCTATGATCTGTCATTATCATCATGTATTGACCATTTACAGCTTCTGACGGATGAAGTCGAGAATGAAATCACGTTAACGGCATTTCGGCTATTGACTATGGACTTGTTAGCTCTCTACTCTGTCATGAATGAAGGGACGATCAATGTTTTAGGTAAATTGCTCATTGTTCAATATGGAGCTCAGTTACTAACAGCGTGGCAGAACACTATTTTGAAATGTCCCGTCCTGATAGTGAGCGTGCCTTGGAGATATACAAGACTTTCAGCGCCCAGACAGAAGAAGTAGTGAAATTCCTTGGTGTCGCTCGACACTTTGAATATGCTACGCGACTTGAGATTCCAAACCTGAAACACGCTTCAACAGATCTTACGCAATTGCTCGAGGACGACTTGAAAGATCCAGATTTTGAGCAGCGGCGAAGAGAGTATCAACTGCAAAGGGGCGCAAAGACAGCGGGTCGAGCAGGTCCCGGCTCAGCTGGCGGCAGGTCGCCAATCTTGACCAAGAAGGAGCCAATTTCCAGCTCCTCCAACAGACCTCAAACGGCTCCAGCACCCAAGACTGAAACCAAAGCTCCGGCACCAGATCTTATCGACTTTTTTGAAAGCATCGAACCGAAACAGCAGCAGACCACGATCCCGCCTGCGCCTCAACAACCCCAGCTAAATTTCCAACAAGCTGGTTTTGGTCAACAAATGTTCCAGGCGCAGCCAACTGGCTTTCCCAATCAACAAGGTGTCTTTACTCAACCGGCCCAACCAGGTTTTATTCAGCAACAGACTGGGTTTGCGGGTGATTTCAACCAGCCAAATACAAACCCGTTCAACCACATGCAAGCTCAATCTATACAGCCGCAACCACAATTGCAGCCACAACCCACAGGAGCCGGATTCGGTGGATATGGTCCTCAATCTTATACCTTTCAGAATACACTGTCCGCCATTCCACAGGAAGGAGTTGCCACATTTCCTCAACAACAGGTGGCAAATGGATTACAACCACAGACGACCAACCCATTCCGAGCATCTATGCTTGTTACGAATCAAACTGCTTTCAACCAACCCGGACAAATTACTCAACCATTGACTCGACAAAACACCAACCCCTTTGCTAAACGGTTATCCGCCATTCCACCGTCAAACCCTCCCCCCATGCCCTCATTCCAACAAACCCAATCTCCTGTACAATCCCTACAAGCGCAGCGCACAGGAACCAATCCATTCGCAAAGCAATCGCCATCCCCTCAACCAAGCCTCCAGCAACAGACCCTTCAACCTCTCCACCCAAATCCCACAGGAAGTACAAATCCCTTCCGTCAAAGCGCGTTTATCAATCAGCAGACTGGTCAGGGATGGCAAGTCGCCGGGCAACAAGGAACAATGGGTGGTCTTGAACAGTTGGGGACCGTACCGGTATTTCCTCGACCGGGAATGGCATAGTATATCTTATTATCGGAAAGGAATAGTACATAGTGGCACCAATTTTTTCCCTTTTTTTTCTCTCTCTCTCCATGGGATGGATAGTGAGGGCTAATCTTGTTCAATGTCTCCTTGCTCTCTTTTAGCGCATGCATTTATTTCTCCTTCGCTTATTTCTTTCTCTTCTGTTTAATTTCTGATGTATACACTTCATTTGCTCATTGAGAGCTTCTTTAGAACATACATAATTGCCACTGTTGACATTCATACCTTAGCGACCTTCCGATGGAAATCAAATTTAACATAACTTACCATCTTTCACATTGTGTATTTCGTAATCCATTGTAATTAGGTATGCAGGACCTATACAGATATAAACAATCTAATTCTCCAACCACTTCTCCCAAGGAATTATGATGCCACCGTTCGCCTTCACCTCTTCTTCCACCTCCCGCTCTATCTGCATCGCACTTTTCCCAGTTCCGGAATCATCATAAGTAGAATGAGCTCCTTGCAAGATAATAACCTTGAACCCCGCCGCAAGTGCACCGAGAGATGTTTCGCGCACACAGAATTCACTCTGTATGCCGAACATAACCAATGTACCAATCTCCTGGGCACGAAGTTGATTAATCAAGTCCGGGTTGGAGTCGAGAGTATTGCCTGATTCGGTCAATTCTACCTGATTTGTTATAAATGATTGATATCTACCGAACATACATGTATGTTTGTACACAACCTTCTCCTCCTCACCCCGAGGCGGAAAGACGAGTTCCCACGGCTCCGTGCTACGAACCAAGTCCCCAGACTCAGGACCTTCTTCATGCTGAACAATGAATATATCTGGTCCCGAGGACCTTGCACGTAAACTGCTCAGAATGGTCTCGGCTGCTTGACGGATGCGAGGAGCATGTGGAATCTCAGTGGCGGAGTTTGCGAGGCCGTTTTGGATGTCGATTGCGAAGATGGCTGTGCGAGACATTTCGATTGTATACATCCTCGGTTCTGGTGATGATATTTGTCGTCGAGAGGATTGTACGAAGGCAACAGCCTCTCGTATTCCAAACTATCTGATTGGTCTAGATCAATCTTACTCAAGGACAATGAATCAGTGACTGCGGGAAACCCTAATCCAACCGAGCCACCAGCGCTACCCTTATTACCACCTGCTCCAGGGGCTTCCCCCCAAGGCCCAACGTGCCCGACCCTTAGAGCCAATCCTGTATGTTTATCATGATAAAAGTGCATCTCCGAATCTGGAGTATAATAATATTCTCTAAATGTCTGTTTTGGTAAAAGCGTGGCCCTTTTGGGCGTTGAGCGACGCTGCTTTAGGCGTCGATTCCACCAGCGGGCCCCACCTCCTCCTGGTCGACGCCGTGCGCTTGTTGATCCTGTGTTTCTGCTTTTACTCCCTGTTTCCAGTCCTTATCAATTTATGCTGGGATCTAAATTGCGTTAATCGCGTTTCCTCATTGCTGCAAGCATTGAACTAGTTTATATATATGTTGGATGGTCACTTAGTTAGATTATTACCGGGGTTGGCCGATTGCTCCCAGTGCGGATCTGTTGCTACTAAGGATTGATATCTATCTCTGATATATCCCAGCTGGGATGCATTTCAGCGCGGCTACCATGGCTTCTAACTCTGCCGTATAGGGATTTTGCTCTGCCCTTTTGCCTAGGGTGATAGAGTAGCTGGATATGTCGGTCCTGTTGTTGCCTGCTTGGGTATCTCTCATATAGTCTCCCATGCCCACCATACCTAATCTAGCAGATACATTTGTTACAATTAGGATACCTATAGCCTTACTAGCTATTACAGCGGCTCTTTCCCTATCCTTTTCACATATTGTTTGTATTAGTGCTGTCCATATTGGTATTATAAATGCCTAGATAGTCTCTATCTAATCAGTTGCTGTTGCGTCTAGTGCTTTGGATATCCTTTGCAGCGGGGACACAAATCTTTGGGTTGTGATGTCTCAGTTTGGCCAGTGGGTTTGCTTTAGGTAGTGTTTAGATATTAACCCATAGCTTTGCAGCCTTTTCCATATATCGACTATGAAGAGCTCTGTCGGAACGTGAATATTGTTAGATATTATTGGCGAAGTGCACAGCGCAGTGAGAGGGCCTCTGATTCTTCATTATAGAGGACAATTCCCTGTTAGAAACAGCACAACTTTGTCAAGCAGGCAGAGAAAAAGTGAAGCTTTTTAGTTGAAAAAAATACGAGATCATCTTGTTTCTATCAACTTCACGAGATTGAGGGTAAAATAAACCCAGGTAAAATCTAATAAATATCATCCCTACACGTTTCGGCACCGGATATTAGTTAGTCCGGCGTGGCACGTGCGTGCCGCGTATAAGGCTCCTATAACTACAATAGCCTTATATTTCTGTATTCTATTTAAATACCTTTAAATCATTATATCTCGTTGTTGCGTTGTTATTCGTTATAATTGAGGTTTGTTAGCGATCACATACAAAATTCAACTTGGCCCTTGAGCAGGTGTGGCCCTTGAGCCCGGGCCGACCACTACCTGGAGGGTGAGGGGAGGCGACGCCACGGGTACAGTATCAACGACATCAATAAGCTAAGCGGCTACTTACTTCCTGCTATCTACTTACTGATGTCTACTGTCTATTCTGTACAATGCACGACGTGATGAGAACTCTCATCCGGATTCCTTTAATATGGAACTGAAAAGCATCCAGTTTGCTAATACTAAAATGTCAAATATACTCAGTAGGAGGTGCCCTTTATCCCCAAATCGAATTCACTTCTTGATATGGTGACTTGGGCCCTGAGAGGCCTTCTGTTCGTTACCATGGTCAGGTTCCGTTCCAATTTAGGTAACGGTACAATTACATCTTCGACCATACCATGACTTCGTCACCATTCCATATACCCAGCAATCACCAGTCCGACATCATCACGATGGACCTCACCGATTCGCAGATGAGTGAAATCCTGAGTCAGATGAGCAGTTTGCTCTCATCATTGGAAACACTGGAGGAATCACTAGAACGGACAGCTAGACAGAGGATATCTCAATATCGTCCCTTCTGGTACAAGCGATAAGACTTCTGCCATTCTAGAAAGCTTTCTCGCTTACTTACCACATCGTGGCCGTCAAGTCCTGTGCAAGACAATTGACAAAACTAACGAAAATGGGCTAAAAACACTGGCAGACCACTTGCTCAATGCAGTTGTCATGAGTAGGTGTACCTTTTATTAGATCTGAATATGGCTAACCTGCAGATTGAATTCAGCGAGAGTCTCTTCTACAAGCAGAACTCCTTCTGTTTTTGAAAGTCCTTTCGAATAGCCAGATGAGGATGAATCAGCCTCTTGATCAGACCAGGGGTTACTAAAAACCCTGTCTTCAGAACGGATCAGTATAGCTGTGTGGTTACGAAACTACCAGATACTACATGCGAAGATCATTTTCCTGCCGAACTCTTTGAGGGTATTAATGTGAGGACCAATGCCGCTTATATTATTCCTTTCAAACTTGGCAAATTCACCAATAATGCTAGAGTAAGTCTCTATTTATCCTTTGCATATTTCTACTAAAGTCCATTATAGGAGCAAGTCCGTCTTTGGACTACTATCTATGCTCTATTCCCAGAACTCAAAGACATCATCGGACAGAGTTCGGTCAATGAGCCATGAAATATAATAACAGTCTATTGGAAAGAATTTTATACAACTCCGCCAAAAAGGAGATCTTCTTGATGGGTTTATCTGGTAAGTGGTTTTTGAATGTTCCAAGAGCCATATTAGGGCTCATATTATTTCAAACACAGTCTGGCACTTGTTTTATGCAGAATTCGATCGGTTTGTAATGGCGCTAGAACCAACTGTGAGTATCTCATTGAAAAGTCTCAAAAGAAATTATACCGATTAAACCAGTCTACTCTGAATATTTACATGATTCTGGTCTTTCCAAATGCAGAAGACATTCTCAAAAAATTATTACCTGCGCGCCTAATGCTGATGGGGAAAGATTTGTGACATTTACGAAGTCACCGAATAAAAATACAGAGCTTGCAAGTCCCGTATTGCTTGGTGTTCACGCTGCAGGCATGGCCGAGAAACTCGATAAGGTCTTACGAGATCTTGGGACATTGCGAGGTTCACGTGAAGTCTCATTTGATACTATCGAACTTCTCACGAATTATCTCCCAATTCTTGTCGGCTAAATGATTGACAACGGTTATAGATGGAGTGTCATAGCCGGACATGTTCGAACACAATTTATACCGTTCCACCAAGAAGGGAATCTCTGGTGAGTAGTTGATGAGTGCTCTTGAATTATTCCATACGCTCATATTACTTCCAACAGGACCTCCATCGTACAGCACTACGCAGAATGGGAGCAATAATCAGGAACCGAAAGCCTCTGCAGGTCAACAAAACTCGTCCGTAGAACCCGACTATAACGGACAGAAGGCCTCTCAGGGCGCAAGTCAATATGTCCAGATGTGAGGTAAATCTAAGGATGAAGAGCACCCTAATATATCGATCTATCTTTTTCCATTCGAATTCTCGTATACACTGCCAGGAGCCTCGCAGGATCACAATCGACGAGGTACTGACGGTTACGCATGATGGAGAGGATCGCCTCATCGACCGGCTCGACGGTCTCTCTATACGGAAACTCACTGAACGGGTCAAGGAATACATCAGCGGATGCCTTACGTGCATTAAGCACAGGACCAGGAGACACCGATCATTACTCTGGACATTCCCTTTCACACGATAACCATCGATTTCATCGATTGTGTGCCAAAGACAAAGGAAGAATCGACAAGGTCTTAACAATGACGTGCAGGTTCTCCAAGCACAAGGGAGCGATCTGCAGAAAGCCTACAGAGTCCGCAGAAGAATGGGGAAAAGCGTTAGCTACAAGACTTGAGTTGGCAAACTGGGGATACGCATTAGTGATGTTCTCAGATCTAGTTTAGCATTAATCAATCGGATGCTCTTCAGTACCATACTAAAGCGATGTTATAACGAAGTCTTTCCTGTAACTAGCGTGGGCACACGTCTATCCTCGCAAACAATTCCCGCGCAACTCTTGCCGCACTGTAAGCAATGCCCAAATACTTACCAATAACATCAAAGACATCAATTGCGGTAATCAATGCATCTCGCGCCGGCCCTGTCAACGACCCATTCGGAAACGCAACTATAAACCCAATCAATGTAAGAGTAGCGTTCCATTGCCACTGGAACGTCTCATGAAACCCAGCCAGAAAATTTGATTCTTTCAATACTTGATGCACGATGTTCGTTATACTGATGGCATGATTCACGCTCAATGCCGCGTTGGAGTCGGCAAGTGGCGTCTCGTCACTCTGGCGGGAGGGATAGAAACAGATAAAAGAGCGATATATATTCATGCAAAGAGTGTGATATAGCAATTCGAGAAATAATCGTTGTCGACTCATGCCTAAGGGTACACTTTCCTTGAGATTGAGTGCTGATCGATCTGTTGATAGTGATTCGCCGCTGTTTAGTCGTTTCGTTTTCAAGGGTTCGGGGAGCTCTTGTCGCCATGTGAGGAAGTATTGTGTTGCGGCTGATCTGACTGCTTCTGCTATTATTTCTAGTGATGCAGGATTTTCGTGTATGGTGTGACTGTTATTCTGAGCCAGAGCTTCCGAGCACTTCCTCTGAAACGTAGCATAGACCTCTCGACCAGCGAGCATCAATTGAATAAAATGTCTATTTGCCGTAAACCTATTCGTACCCTGGTGAGTGTATGGATCATCTTGATGACGATCAGGGGGGGGACACGGTATCTGAGACATGGTAACCGCCAGCGGCCGACCAAGAGCTAACGCCATCTTCAACTCCATCGCGTAAACCGTCCACCACAGCCTTTTCCGAAACTCTGCTTCTTGATCCGGGAGGCCTTCCGGCGAATCCCAATGAAGACCTAGAATGATTCCTGCTCGGATAGCCATTGCCAGACGGCTGTGCGCAGCGTTATGGAATGAAGCATTCGATAGGTAAATCACCGAGAAGAAATGACACTGCAATGTGGTAATGGACGGGCCATCAAGTTCGTCTATCAGTAGAAGCTGACATCGTCGGTAAAACTTGCGGCCTACAACGGCTGCATCGATATTGACAATTCCTTCTATGCTGGTACGTAAAGCTGGATAGTCGCGGGGCATGAGAGCATCGGCATACTGCATTGATAGAGCAAGTATAATATCGACAAGGGCAGATGGTTTTCTTGACGTGGGTGACGTCCATATTGACTGGTAGTGTTTCATGAATTCAGCATGATCGATAATCGGGTAATAGACATTATAAGATGGGAAGAATAAATGCAAAAAGTATTCTTCCTGTGGTTTTGATAAGTATATTTCGGAAATGGACACATCGGAGTTTAAGGAGTTTTTGAACGACTCAGCGTCCGAGTCCATCTGCATCAGTTCGTCTGGGGTGAGTTGATTAGGTGGTAGTCCGAGGTACGAACTCAGGCGTCCGATGAAATAGAATGAAGAAGAGCGGCCGTAAAAGTGTCTTTGATTTGAGTGAATTGTTGGCATGTGAATCGATTCGAAATGTTCTGAATTCCAGCGTTGACTATCTTCCAGCTGATTCAAATCGGGAGAAGCAGATGGCACTGGTTCGGATTTGACTTTTGCCTCATAATCAATGCCATTGCTATCGCTCTCGTCCTCCTCCTCATCAAGATCGATATCGATAACATCTTCTCTAACCTTCGACCGTGCTATCTCAACCTGCCTTTCAAGATCTCTAATCCGATCTTGGAGCGTTGCAATACGACTAACAGCATCAGCAATCCAAACCGCAAAATAATTTCAGAAAGTACAATACCTAATAGCCCCATTACAAGTCTGCGCCGTATTCGCGCCACGGATATTACACGTCCTCCCCTTGGCCTGGCAATTCCTGCATGGATAGCGACTATCACATTTGATCCGTAGACTTCGACACCAATCACATGCCCTAGTGACTTGTTGTCTTTTTGGTAATGGTTTCGATATGGGTGCTTTGAAGATGAATTGGGACTGTTTTTTGGAGGTAGAAGAAGTCGTTGATGATTTCATCTTTCTTTTTTCTCCTTTGTATTTGCCAAGCGTCTTAGTAGTTGATCGCTATCACCCTCTCTCAAGGGGAGAATATTTGTATGGATGAGTGGGATATGATGCGTGTGGTATACATCTTTGAAGACCTGAATGAGGAGAGATTGCCTCTATTCCGAAGATATTTCTGATATGTGATGTGAGAAGAAGAAATCACAAGTTATTTCGATCCTAGAGTTCATGAAACCTTGAATTTTACGGCCAGCGGCCCGCCCTAGACCCGACGCTAATCGTCTAGCTTCACTGTCTGACGTGTATATCTACAGTCTAGACTATTTGCTTAATGACTCTAATTTATTTCGTTGTGACTATGTTTTATATCATGGAACGTAAGGAGTTGAACGTTATTTTGGGTAACTCTCTCAGAATTGAATATAGAGTATTAAAAGCGAGCTATACTGCATGTATATTGATCAGTACAGGATGCTTGCTTGCTCTGTCCTCTGGTTCTGTTGATGACACGGATCGACGGCGTGTACACTCGTCAAGAAAGTATGAGCAGGTGCAACTTAAGGTGTACTACACCGACAGCTCGTTCGATCGTACCGCAGGCGTTTCCGAGTAATGCCCAGGCTACATGGTGTTGTTCATGGTGTTGCTCTAATCGACTCGATGAAGAACCGCCGGGGTGGCTTTCCCCTGGACTGGTAGCTGTATAGATGAAATGACAGCGAGGAACTTCCGCCACCTCATCTATTATTGCTCCACATGTATTCAAGCATCGCATCATTATCCATATTCTGACCGTACTTTCCTTGCATCGGAATATTGCCTAGCATGTCCGGCGTAGTCTCCTGTCCCCAAAACGCGTCCGGAACCGGTGCCATCATATACGACGGGATATCATACTGATACAGATTATTGTATACCTGCGTGTAAGGACCCGTCATTTGTATATTTTGTTCTGACATGGGATCCATGTACGGATAGCCACTATTCTGAGAGAACATATCTTCAAGTCCCGTTGAAAAGGTATCATCAGGAAATGGGACGCTAAATGACATTGACGAAGGTAGGTTGGTGTCAGGAATCTGTATATCGTTGGGTTGCTCGACTGTAGTAGACGGCGGCGGCGGTTGCTGCTTTGGCGCCGGTGCAGTTGTTGCTTCCTCTTTCTTGTTCCCTGCTGCAACGTTGATCTCTTTCAAAGCTCTGTCAATGATCTTTTTCGCCGTTCGCTCCATAATGGAGCTCATGCTAGCCATGAACTTGACTGATTTGGATCGCCCGTGTAACGAAGCCAGCGTGAAAAAATAATTCGTCGCAAGGTTCAACATAGCCAAGTTCTCCTCGACGGATCCAGTTTCGGACACCAAGGGCTGGTCAACAATATGCGTGAAAAGAATCGATGCTGCGTAGAAAAGAAAATCCAGAATTGCCCTACATCTAGTTAGTATGGTTGGAGATCAATGTAAGGTTATTATAAACCCTACCAGCTGAAGCCAACATCTCTCCATGGCAACCGCTCGAGCAACTGCAACGAGTCCCGTGCAGCATGCAAACAAATCAAATGGTGATGCCGAGAAGTAGCCGATATGTTTTTGATGCGTGTCTTTGCATCACGATCGGGATGTGCTCCTTTCTGTGCTGCAACCTCAAACAGGAGCGGCATGCGGTTGATCAAAATAAGCGAATTAAGGTAGGTCAGTTTTTCAGAAATGTGTGCGATGATTTTCACTTCCTCTTCTCGATTTAGATCATTGGATTCTTTTGACTTGGGTGGCGTGTACGAGAGACATGAGTACTCTCGTTTCCATTCACGTAATTGATCGCTCAGGTTGGTCACGGTCTCGCAGACTTCAGGGAACGACTTGTAGAATGCCTTGGTGGTGTACAGCTCGCGGTAGATGTTGGAAACGAGAACTGAATGAGAACAAATTGAGCGAAATAACTTGATGCTCCATCTACATCCGTTCTGGAAATCACCAAAGGCTTTAGCGTCTTCTCCAGGCAAGGCCACGTCGGAGTCATCCGGATGTTGCAAGTATCCTCGTCCAGTTTTGATTCCAATACTAAATTCAATAAGCATATAATAACTTCATGCGACGAACGGCAAGACTCACCCTTGGTCCATAATGAATATACACCACCACACTCTCCTCCTAGTCTCTAATTCACAAGCACTGATATCCGGATTTAGGTTGCGTCTGTGTAAGCCCAAAGCTTGAGCTGACTTCATCGCAGCCGTAATCAATGGAATTGCTAGCTGAGGGTGGCCATTGACCCGAGCAAATATTGCCTATAGCCCAACATGTTAGTGTATAAGTCAGACACCCATTTTCAGCACGACCTATCCACTAACCATAGCGAGAAGAGCTTGAATGCCAAGGACATCATTAGGTCGCAATGACAACTCGGTGTATACGGCTGCCGCATTTTTCCAGTATAGCCAAGCTCTTTCAGTGTCCTTTTCAGGTCGCGGGCCACGGTCGCCCTTGTATCTGAAACTGAGAGCCAACAGAGCGTTAATACTGGCCCATCTACCGACATCAGTACATTTTTGCTGAGTATACTGCCACTCGACCATTTCCATGAATGTTGCCTCGTGAATGATGGGAAATATGCGGTTAATGGTGCCAAAGTAGTTCCGCAGCAGGGAAAAGACTTCGGATCGAGGTGGGAGCGCCTTGTAAACGCGGCATTCAAATAAATCGGTGTATATATCGATGGGTAAAGGTGAAAAGTTGATAGCTGACCAGCAAGGTTGTGCTAGTAAGCCATTGGGAAAGTCTTCGATGCCAGATTTTTCACGGATAAATCGAATTCCTTCCTGCGACAGGATGTGTAAGCTTGACGAAGATCCTTTGATATGTAAGCTTGAGCCTGTTGCCTGGTGTCGTGGTATATCTGCTTACCGAAAAATATCCCATCACGGCCCCGGTCTGTCTTTAGGACGAGTGCTTGGCTAGGAGTTTCGACGCTAATACTAGACGTAGATTGCGGAGATGTACCTGATTCAAAGCTTTTTTTGTCTTCTGGTGATGCCGATGAATAGTCACTACTCAAGTGATTGCTCCTATCATAATCACCATTCTCGGACTCCAGCTCATCGTCGTCATCTATCGCATCGGGATCGAACACGCTTTCTCCTGGATCGATGCCAGCAGTTCGCAGAATCTCTTCCATTCGCCGAACTTGGGCTTCTAGCGCTCTTGTCTTTTGGGATCTGTACAATTCTCATTTAGCATGTAGTCGTCCCATGCTGGCAGTGGAAACTGGTACCTTTTCATCATTTCGACCCTTGTCTTTCGTGCACGAGTAGAACAATTTGTGCTATGTACCAAACACTGAACACATACAGGACCAGCAACTTGGTAGATGCACTGAGATTTCCTTTGATGACAGGCATCACAGACCTAGATTATTATGTGTCAGCTCCCCGCAATCCAGAACGTCTGTATAAAGGCGATGTACTGTTAATGCACGCCGTATTGTATCTGTATTATCCTCCTTATTCAAATGTTGGCGAAGATGCGATTGTGACCCAGTAAAAGGGTCCTGAATATTATTGCCATACATGGTTGTCACGTCAATTGTGAGTTTGTTGTTATTGTAGTTTCCATTTGCCGATGCTCCTCGATTTGCCTTCCTCCCCCCGCTGCCTTTAGCGACTCACAGATATGATGATTCTTTGATAGATATAGAGCACACTATCTGATGAGATGTAAGTCAGAGGCAATGATGATAATGTCAGACGGGGTCGCAATGTGAGGTTATTATTCGATTCGATCAGGGTAAAGAGTTGAGGCGGCTGGAGAGTGGAGAGTGGAGAGTGAACTAGCACGGTCTTAGCGGGCCCCACGCTAAATTAGCCTGAGTTTACTATGTAAGTGTTTCTATGGATTAATAAGCATTCAGACGGCTTGATTTCTATCCGGTGTTCTCTCTTGCATTGCATTTCTTTTTCTTATAGGTCTCTATTCTCTGTAGTATTGATTCGCCTTTTGGGCCTCACTTGCCTTATTTATTCACTGACCTCATAAGCTCATACTGGGCTTGTGGGTAATGGATCAACGGGATGTGTCTGCCCGGATATACTTGATTATTTCCGATTGGATGGGGAGAAATATAGCCAGAGAAGCATGCAACTACGCACTTAAGCAGACATCAAGAGAAACAAAACACTATACTATATGATTTCCTCACATAAATGTTCAGAACTTGCCCTTTGCTCATGATCCTGTGTGTTGTTTTCACTGGGGCATCGGAATCATGAAGCGGATCCAATGAAGTTCCGGATTCCGCATATTAATAGTCCCCAATGGGGTAAAGTGTATGTCACTTATCTCTACAAATTCAGATGGAATGTCATCTACTGTTAATATACAAGATACTATAACCAATTGCAATGACAATATAGGAAATAGATATTCTTCTAAACTATAACATGTAATATGCAATTCTTTAAAAGTCCAATTGTGACGGCCTAGCCCTAGCTTCCACAGGCTATCCCGATTAGGAAACCCTTTGTTGATAGGAAATCCTTCGTGTCCTTTGGTAACGGTAACGGGGAACCCTTTCTTGTCCGGTGAATTAAAGCGTGGGGACATCAATCAGCTTATTCTTGTTGTTGAGATTGTGTACATGACATGTAGGGCCATGGCATGTAGGGACATGAGCTGGCTATAAATACGGACCATATCCCCTAGCTAGATAGATTCCTCTATGCTTACTAACATAGTAATTTTCTCCGTCAACACCGCTACCCTCTCAACAGGATCTGTTAGGCTTGAGCACTCGTTACACCAATCATGACTGTAGCATCCTCCAAAGCGCACAAACATCCACTAGATCTAAAATCAAAACACTAAGACTTTGACTATTCTATATACAGACTAGCTCAAGTCATTGACCCGTCGATCTGTGGCCTTCCACGCGGATATGCCGTTAAGTGCCTTTCTAGAAACAACTCACTTCTATTGACTGTCTGCTGGTACAATGACAACCTGCATTTACATACATAGATTGCATCCGTCCATTCGCCCCCATGCCTCTTCTCGCATGTCTACCTAGGCAGGCATTTCTTCGAACCGGTACGGAGTACATAGTACAGCACAATTATCGGTCCGTGCTGATGTGCGGAGATCCGCGCTTTGTCGGGGGAATTGATTGTTGGGTACCCCGGACCGAGATCACAAATGGTACAAATGAATGTAGACAAACATGGAGCCTCGATGAACTGAGCCACGCGGCCTTACGTAGCTTGCATACGTAGACTAGATATGCACCACCGGCAGTTCAGGATCTAGGCAGCCTCGAAACAATCTCAGTACTGTTCACTTTGGATGGTCTACTCAATACTGGTCTAGAGTTCAAATCCTACTTGATCCATTTTGCGCCCCGAACCATCATAAGCTATACTCCTGTGTAAAATCAAAAGCGCCAGTATAACTTCAAGAAAACACCTTCAACGCCAGCTCTTGCACTGATCGGCCCCAGCTACCTTGACCAAGGTTAACCATCAGGCCAGATGTCACGTCCGCTCCTTTACCTTTATGTCCCCGCAACTTCCGTAGAATGACATCCCGCATCTGTGCGTCCGACAGGATTTTCTTGCGTGTCCCTTCTTTCGGAAACCCGTATACTTTGCTGACGGCAACGTCCGTGTATAACTGCAATTTCTCAACCACTGTGTTGGAGCTGTCCTCTTTAACGTCATTAACTCTGGGCGTAAGTCGAAAATCGACGTCAATTCGGGCCTGTTTTGGTCCTTCTCCTGAGTCCACCATTCCAATGAGAATGCATCTGGCGCGTGAAGTCACGCCAACATCAGCAGCGTCAGTGACTGCAGTCTTGGTGACGCCATGAAAGTTCAGGAAACGAGTTTCTTCTTCAAATCGATACGTCAAGTCCCAAGCATCGGTGAGAAATCTAAAGACCTGCTTAAGAGGGGTCGAGGATGGAATGGTTCTCACCGCGGTGCATAGATGAGAAAAGATGAAGGACTTTGCATGAGCGAGCGTATGAGATTGTCCCTTGTGTTGCGAGTTGTATGCAAGCTCAAAAGATGCAAAGCTCTTGTCTTCCTTTGTTTCGGTGGCTGACTTGAACAGCTTCGGATAGACTTTCACCTCGAGCTCACCCTTGTATCTTAGAGTCATTCCAGGCCCAGTGGGTTCCTGCCCATCGATGGCGGACACAATAGACCAACCAGTCTGAATTTCCAACGCATGAACAGAATCTAGTAGAAATCTTAAGCTCAAGTCCACTCATATATGAAGAATACGGCACAACTTACCCTTCAGAGCATTCACCTCCTTGATACTCCATCCTCGGCATTCTTCTTGTACCCGCTCCGCTTCACGAATCTGTTTCAAGAACTCAGCCTTCAATTCGGCCCCTGCTTCAATCGTGTCGTTTTTGTTCTGCAGATCTTCTTGCATTTGCTCCAATTGTTTCTTCTTTCTCTCGATCTCAGTGTCGACCTTGGCAAGCCGTTCACGAGCCATGCGCAATTCGTTCGGATCGATATTTTCCATCTCGTCCACAATTTCTTGGATCCTTGAGGCCTCGGAATCCAACAGGGAACGTTTTTCGACAAGTCCAGGGACTACGCTCTGTAAGATGGCCTCCTGTTGAGAGAGAAGAGCGTCATCTGCTTGCATCTCTTCCACGTGACGGTCCAATCCTTCCTTGAGGCCTTCGAGCAATTTCATTCGCCATTCATACCACATAGCTTTGCTGAGGAGTCTAGCGTGCGTTTTCACATTGCGAAACTGATTGTCCATAAGTAGTCGGATGTCAGGTCGAGCAGTAACATATTCACGAAACAAGGGAGGGTTGTCGGCAAAGGTCTCCTCTTCAATAGAGTGGATGATTTGGCGCCCCTCAGATATGTATGATTTTAATTCGCGGCAAGACTAGGTAGTGAAGTCAGTAAATGTTGCAACAAACCCTTGTATTAAGAAACGACTCACATGCTGATACAACTCGAGCATTGGCACCGTGCAGAAGCCTGCTGCAACACAATCTTCCAAGCTAACTACTCTTTTATCTGTCTGACGAGTTCCCCGGAAGTCGGTCATCCTATCGTTTCCGGCAACGGTAGTATGTCGTCGCTTAGTTGTTGTAAGTTCCATGAAATGGATATTGGTCAAATTCAGAAAATCTTGAAGTTGAATAGGCTCCCATTCCAAATCTTCCTCAGGCGCGTCTTGAGCTTCATATACGACTGGTTCCGCTTCAATTTGCTGTTCTTGCGTCCCTTCGTCATTGCTCCTGTACAGAGCCTGAGAAGGGCTCTTGAGCTTCAGTGGACTTTCTATCCTAGCAAGAGGCTGCCCTCGTGGAGTAAAAGTGCCTTGTTTGACTGGTGAAAGATCGGACGACTTGCCCATGGAGCCACGGGTCACGTGTCGAACAGTCTCATCTTTCGACGGAGGTGCAGGAAGTTTTACTGGCTTGACAGGACTCGCGTTAGCGGCCCGGATTCTCTTGGGAGACTCATCTTCCTCGTCCTCATCAAGTTCAGCAGGGCGCTTCCCCAGTAAACCTCTTGCGGCACCAACATGTAAACTCTTTCGAGTTCCCACTTTTCTCTTTTTCGGGGTCAAACTCGAGATGAGGTCTCTCAAGTTTGTTGTAGGGTCAAGATCAGATGCCTGAAGAACTGAAATTCTTTCTTCTCTATTTTCCTCTTCCTCTCTCTCTCGGTCAACCTCCTCGTGGATTTTGATGGGATCTTCAAAGCGAAGCCGCCTAGGTGATGGCTCTTGGGGAACAAACTCCTGTGCGTCCTCGCCTATAGAGCGTCGGCGGTCTAATATCTCGGCCACTTTCGGAGAACCGAGACCTTCTTTATCAATACCCAGCCCGGAAGACTGCCTTGGGTGGGGCCGTAAAATGAAGACTGGAGTAGAGTCACCATTTGCGCTGGCTTCAAAAAGACTTCGACGCCCTGGTGATTGCGACTTTGATGCTGACGCTTTGATCTCTTCCCTAAACAGCTTCTTGGGTGATGCGCTTCTGAGAGATATATTACTAGAAGGAGGAGTCTTTCCCGGTGTTGTCGGACGAGGGGGCTGAGGCGTTGCTTGTTTTGATGGAGTGCGAGGCTTCTTGCTGGGAGTGAGTTGTCGTGAAGGTGAGAGGTGGATAGCGGGCGATCCAGAACCTCTTCTCGAGCGACGAGAACGAACGCTGGCAAGGCTGGGGCTACCAGTTTCGGACGCAATAGGAGCAATATGATGAGACGGTAAAGGTTTAGCAGGAGACGGTGGCACTTGGACCTGGAAAGGTGAACTAAGCAGCTGCCCAGATTCAGACTCCAGCTCCATAAGCTCCTTCGCCTGGTTCCTGTCAGAAGTAGCTAGTCCAGGCGAAAGAATCCTGCCTACTGCAGCGGTTATGTCCATGCCAGCGGTATGTCCGTCCTGCGATCCTGTTCTCTCCTCCATGATAGGGGACAAAATCCCACCAACTGCTCCAGTAAATTCCATATCCATTCCTGCATCCTCATCTTCATCACCACTCCCCCATTCAGAGAAATCACGACTAGTGTCCTCCTGGCCTTGCGCATCAGCAACTCTGCCGCCGATGGGTCTTACGGTGCTAGGGACGTGCTTGCTAAGGACACCACCGATTACAGACGTGAACTCCATAGTCATTTCTTCATTCTCTTCCATGTTGCTCTCAGCATCGGGAGACTGCTGCCCTTCGATACCACCAACAACTTTGGTCAACTCCATTGTTTGCTCATCGTAGTTTGTCTGCTCGCTTATCGATTTTCTAGGGCCTCGGCTGACCTGAGAGTTGCTTAGAATCTTCCCAACAGCGTTCGTGATTTCCATGCTTAGCTCTTCATTCTCGTTATAATCGTCTTCGGCGCTGTCGCTTGAACCAGCATGATCGTAACGGGGTGATTGCGAAAAGGGGTTGATGTTTTCCTGGTCTTGCAATGCGCTCATATCTTCCATATCGAAACTGATTCTTTGTCCTTTCTGAATCCATGGCTTGAATGCACCTGTTATCTCTTGATCCGCGATTTCCATTGACACGTCATTATCATCTTCGAGATCAATTCCCCTGGTTCCAGCTTCCCGAGCTGCTTGTCGCAATGCTTCGTTCAAGCGCTCACTTGAACTTGTATTATCATCCATGGGAGCCGTGCCGCTTGTTCGAGAAGTAATATCATCGAGACTCATTGCTGTGCTTTCAGCATCGAAATCCTCACTATCGGAGTCTGCATCATCCACATCTTTGACCGGGCTTTGTGTGCCATCACTACCTCCGACAGAGCTACCACTAAATGGGCTGGAAGATAGTTCGTGTGGCTGTTGATGTAATGAAGGCTGTATAGGAGAAAATATAGCGTCCGGATCTTCTTCGTCTTCTGCCTTAAATTCCTGAGGTTCAGTGGGCGCTTGGTTCCTAGAATTGGCCAATGAGGATGTACGTCTGGTTGAGTTAGCTGCAGATGATGATGTTGAATCCTCTGCAAGCTCTACAACATTCCATGTATGTAGTGTAGCTTCGGGCGCGAACGACACTCTGCGACTGGCTAGGAAATGTTAGTCATAACAATCGCGATCATGGTAACCCTTACTCACCCATAGATTTCCGGCGAGCTTCACGTTGCTCCAGAATTGCCTTCTTCTCGCGCTCTTTACGTTCTCTTTCCTCCCGTTCTTTTGCGTCTCGAATCGCCGAGGAGACATTGAACCCGTCAAAGGGATTATCTAGTTGCTCTGTACCTGTCACGGGTGGTTTCGCCGGCGTAGAGAAGTCAATCAGTAGACCCTCATCAGCCTGTGATTTGTTCGCAGTGTCTCTTTGTCTGCGCGCCTCGTCAAACGTCGGAATAGTGCGAAGGGGTGATACTGGAATTGTTGGTTTGAGAATAGACTTGAGAGGAATTGCCATAGTGGACTAATGAAACACGAGTTAGTAATTTATACAGACTGCTGTCCCGTCCTTATTGTGAGCTCATACCTTTCGTCTATTACCACTCAATGACTGAAGAGCGTCTAAGCCCCCAGGCCCTAGGCTCTTGCTGCGAGACTTCTTGTCCCTCGTCGCACCTCTTCCCTCGCCAGTAAACCCCTTCATTGCGCCGATGTCGGTTGTAGCATTTTCTTGATCTGGAGTTGAGCCAGTCTTTGGCACATAGGCTATTGAACGCCGAGAGCGTGGACGTACAGTCCCCGCCTTATCGCGCGTTGCCATTGTTGCTGACAGAGAATAACCTAGCGGATAGAGAAATTCAAACTCTTAAGAAGGTAAACATATTCTGCTTTTGAACATGCTTTGTCGAATTGAAAAGTTGAAGTACTGATCCCTCAAGTTGAAGCAGGTGCTATCGTCAATATCAACAGACCTGTTGTATGTATACAAAGCAGGCGCGTCTCATGCTGAAGGAATAGTCTCACCGCTTTCGGAGGCCCGCGCTCTGATATAAACAAACTCCCAAAAAGGCTAAAAACCCTAGCCGAACTACGCTAGTCTGTATTAGGTCTAGCTCACCAATCGCACACTTTCCCACAGTGAATATCCGAAAAGGCAAACCGTCTGGGCTCCGCACAAAAGTCTTCTTCAATTTCGATCATTCCTCGCGACCGACGACCACTCACCACCCAGCTCGACAACACCCTTCAATCTGCAGTGTGTCGGACTGAATATATCGCAAACATGGCGACCGAGTTGACCGTCCAGTCTGAGCGCGCTTTCCAGAAGCAGCCTCACATTTTCGCCAACACCAAGACCAAGGCTAAGAGCAAGAGAGTTGGAAAGGGTGGCCGAAGATGGTACAAGGACGTTGGTCTTGGATTCCGTACCCCCAAGAACGCCATTGAGGGTACCTACATTGGTATGGATTGACTTCTTGAAGATTTTCGCGTGCGAGAATGGGAGTGCAAAATGGTGAAAAGGAGTCTTGAATCTGTGGTCTACGCAAGGGAATGGATGAGATTGAGAGATATCGAAGGTCTTGGAAAAAGATGAAAACTTGCGTCTACGCAAAAACCGCCGTCTACTTTCTCGAAGTACTCGATTTGCGTTGGAAGCAGATATTCAAGATTTCTTGGACCCGCCAACTCAACATATAATTCACGTCGGCTTAAGGATGTATTGAATACTGACTGGAATCCCTACAGACAAGAAGTGCCCCTTCACTGGTCTCGTCTCCATCCGTGGTCGTATCTTGACCGGCACCGTTGTGTCCACCAAGATGCACCGTACTCTCATCATCCGCCGTGAATACCTCCACTACGTCCCCAAGTACGACCGTTACGAGAAGCGCCACAAGAACCTGGCCGCTCACGTTTCCCCCGCTTTCCGTGTTGAAGAAGGTGACCAGGTCACCGTTGGCCAGTGCCGTCCTCTCAGCAAGACTGTATGTGTTATCTTCCATGAACGACATTCGAAATCAACCAACGGTGAATATGCTGACATTGACAATCCACAGGTCCGATTCAACGTCCTCCGTGTGCTTCCCCGCACTGGCAAGGCTGTTAAGTCTTTCAGCAAGTTCTAAAAATTTTTTCATTCCAAACAATTGCGGTGTAATGAATTTTTTGTGGGAATCTTTTTTTACGACCATCAATGTTAAGGAAACAATGGGGGAAAAAAAGAAGGGAACATCGAAAAGAGAATCAAAGGAAAGGCTGGAAATGCGGGGGAAGTTTGAAATGATATCTCGCTTCTTCATCGCATAGCTTGGTTACGAAAACAAAATAGAATTCCCATTTTCGTCATTGTATGAATGGACACAGGCGAGCCTTATTGTGTGTTTTTCTCTTTCCCCGAGGAGATATGTTCTCCAGCCTGCGATTGATCATCTGGTTGGTATGGAGTAAATAACCTCTTATCTATGCATTAAACAGTGAATTAAACGTTCGTTGTTCATCTCTTCTCTCCGTCTTTGTTAATTACTGTAGTCTTAGATCGTGCTACTGCGGAATACTTTTGGGAAACGTTTCATGGTCGAAATTGATCTTTTTGCATTCGAACAATGCATACACTGACAGGATTGCTAGGCCAAGAAAAGAAAATTGAGAAGCGATGGTCTTCGAGAAGACACTACATGACTTGTTTCATCAGTGGATAAATTGAGACCTGCTCAAATTATCAATAAGGGGAATCAAGAGGGAGAACTGTAGCAAACATATAAAAACTTTTTGATCCGGTCTCTTTGAGAGATTTTCGCAAGCAGACAAACCACAGAAACAAGTACAAGTACATGGAGACGATCAGAGGCATATCTTCTTTTTCTCTTTCCTTCCCTCGATATCCTCCTCATGGCACTCTCCGCAGCGGTGCTTGTCATCTGACTGAGCGACTTGACCCCTCTCGTCACTGGTTAGGAACATTATGTAGGTAGTCCCAGAAGGACTGCCAGTCATAATTTAGCACCCGGTCGATACGCGAGCGCTCCATTGAAAATCGATTGCTTGATGGGGTCTGGGGGCCGATAGTGGATTCACTGCTCTCACTAGGAGCTCGAGCGTGGCTCTGAGTCGAGGTATTGGGAACAGCTTCCGATGAGATATTGGGAGTAGGCGTGAGAGTTCTGGACACAATTGGCGGTTTGACTTCATCTTCCTCTTCCTCTTCCTCTTCCTCTTCTTCCTTTTGTGCCAAAAGCGGCTCCGCGGACTCAATGGACTCTAGAACAGGTGTAGATCGTTGGGTATTAGGAACCATGATCAGTGATTCGGAGTCTGGGTTGAATAGTGATATCGTTCGTACCGCAGTCGCTGTTGCAATAGGTAACGAGAGAACGTCTCCATAAGGTTGATTATGCGTGAGCTCCTCAGTATCGTCGTGGATGCTCAGCCTGTCCATCGGCTCGCGAACTTCTGTTTGGAACGCCTGACTGGTCCCAACGTTCTCCTGCTGGGGATGATCGACTATAACGTAATCCCGGATGTCAATATCATGAGTGATTTGGTGGTTACTGCTATCCGACGTACTTTCATCGTGGTCTTGCATAACTGTATCCTGAATGAGAGACGCTGTTTCCAGGAATTCATCTGGGGGTGCTGGCGTTGCCTGGAAACCTTGATGGACTCCACGGCAAAATTCTGAAGTATCCCCTGACGTTGTGAACGACCATGAGGTGTTCAGAGAATTCGCAACATCGTCTAGATAGTCGTTTGGTAGCCGGATAAGACGAAGGAACGTACCAATCGTTCGACCAACGGCGAGATCACTATCGAAGGTCTTTAATCTCAGCCGATTATAAAGTTGAGACTTGCAATTCGGGGAGCTGGAGATGATGTCTAGCTGGAGTGCTGCTTTAATGTCTGCATTTTCCTCCGCTATCTGGAGAAGTTCATCGGCTCTGACGGACGTAACAATGGCCGGTCGACATATCGAACCCCAGACAACATACTCCTTCGCGCCGCGATAGCTCGGTGTATAAATGTTGTACTGCTGCATTAAGTCTTTCATATAGAATATGTTTTGGGATTTGATCTGAGTGGCATCAATGATGGAAACGAAAGCATTTTTATCTCGAGTGAGTGCTCGATGGACAGCAACCAGAGGATCAGTCGATGTCGATATGAACGGCGATGGGATTTTTCTTGGTCTGGCATGAATTTCCACCCAGGTGGGAAATTCTTGAGCCCTTTCTTCGGGAGTTGGGATATTGCCAAGGTCACCGATAAAGGTGTTGGCAACGTAACCAGAGCGGTGGTTGATCCCCATTGACTCGTCATTGGAGAAGCGCCACAGTATATTTGGCACCTGACCGCATCGAACTGCTTGCTCATTTCTGTTACCCAATGTGTAAGACCTGATTCGTGATATTGCTTGTGTTGAGACTTGATTGTTCGACGTTGTATCTGTTGGAGCTTGGGGTGCTCGAGACGCTTGGGTTTGTGGCATTGGTGTTGGTTCTCTGTCTTGATCAACAACGGGAGGGTGCAAGATGGTATTATGAGCCATCCTAGGCCTTTCATTGCTGTTTGTCGAGTCGCCTGTTTGAGTGATCATTTGAGACACACGTCGATGGATGGGTTGTTGAGGATGCACAATGAGATCTATTGCCCTTGCCACAAGACCAATTCCAAGGACACGGCAAGCATGTCTTATCTTTTCGATGATTTCCTGAAAGACCAACGGTCCTTGGGCAAAGCTGACATTCGTATGAACCGCGTGCCAATCTTTATGGGATCGGCGCTGCATATCTGCCCACTGAGTTGTGAGCGTTGATGTAGGCAATCCATTAGTGAAGCCCTCCGCACGAATCTTTGGGTTATAGAGATAGTTGAAGATCTTCGTGATATCTTTGTTTCTGAGATCAAAGAATCGTTTTGCACAACACAGAAGCAGCCTTTCCTCCTGCGTCCAACTGTGTTGAGGCCTTCGATGCTTCATATTGAGTGCTACCAGTCGAGGACGCGTAGCCATTTTTTTCAGAAGAGTGCGTTGATCAAATAGATCAAATGTAAGCTGACAGGAAAGCTCTGAAAGTGAAGGGAAACAACGGGTACTAGTCAATATCGATGGAGACTGAGTGGAGGCGAGAGGGCAAGTGAGAATACAGGGTGAGGACAGTCAAGGAAGAGTTAAATCAGAGTAATAGAGAATAGGTGGCCTTCTCTCGATGATGTTTGGGATGATAGTAGGTACTGGAAGAAAGGCAGGTGAGAGGTGGGATGAGGGAAGTTGGTGATAGGAGTGAGAGAGAAGAGAAGAAGAACAGGGGAAAGATGCAAATTGGGATAGAGACAGAGGCCTACAAACCCAAGCCAGGCCACAAGGCATCCACTTATGCCCTCAGTCATCTTGAACTCAATCCCAAATAACTTTCTCGCGTAGGAACTATCAGGCTGGTGTTTGAGACATCTCCATGTGACGGCGGCCTCGGTCACCACTCATGTTGGATCTATTTCATATTCTGATCCGAAGCTGTGCACATTGCAGCTCCGTATCGAGTGCCAGAGTCTGTGTCATCGGTACCCTGTTCCCCATACGAAGTTTCGCCGGGAGATATCAGAGGAACGAATCCAGTACGTTGCATTAGTATTCTTGTGCACTGTATCAAAGGTCGGATATGATTTCCGCGGCTGAGTTCTACCTGCAAAGGGTTGAGGGATTGGACCGACCCCGGAAGTTGAGAACAATCGAGTGTGCTCAGAGTAGGTGCATGAGGCACCGTGTGTGGTGACATCCAACACGACCAAAACACATATCTCGCTGGAAAGCAACATCGAAAACACGAATGATCAGTAGCTGGGCTATAACGACAATTTACACCTACATACCGAGAGACCTTCTGTTTGTTATAACTTATACCCAGGTTCTCTGTAGTAAAATTAGCGTTTAATAGAAAGTGTGTTTTGACCTCCCAGGGTTTATCGGCACAATTGCAACGATTAGGGCTATTCTTGTTCAACTACCCAAATAGGAAAGGCAAGACACGAAAGGCCATCTTATCAGGTCGTGCATCGTACTGCAAGGTGTGGTCGTAGTACATTATGTAAATAGCCGCTTAGCTTATATATTGACCCGCATATTCTTCAACAATCAGACGATGTGTAACTCTTGCCCACAACATAATCCGTTTGACTGTTACAAAAACGACACAACTTTTAAAAGTCTCGTTGCGCAAAATTTCAGACATGACGGTGACAGTGGGTATCCTCTCAATAGGGGACATGGGAGTGGGAATTGCACGTTTACTAAACGCGAATTCGTACCGTGTCGTTACAGTTGGAACTGGGAGGAGGTATTTATCCTGATACACGATTTCCGAGTTAAACCTTTTTGTTGATGCCATCCAGTCAAGATACGCTAGATCGCATCCAAGCAGCCTCCATAGAAGCACTGCCTACAGACCAAGACCTAGTTATTCAATCCGATTACATTCTCTCCATTGTGCCGCCGCGGGACTCCCTGGCGACGGCGCGACGGATCCTGGAAGCGTTGAACTTACCGGATACGCTCTCCAAGAGGAAGGCTCAACAGCATGGTGCTTCGGAGAAAGTGTACTTTTTCGATCTGAATGCGTCTTCTCCTCGACTTATGCGGGAGATTGACGATTTATTTTCCATGCCTTCTGCGACAGGAGAAACGATTGTCCAGTTTATAGATGGAGGTATCATAGGCGGACCTCCATCGTACGACGAGATCGATCAAAAATGGAAGAAGCCTAGTATCGTCCTCTCCGGCCCTGTGGACGATCTTCCATCTTCCTTCCATACACTACTACAATCGACACTAAACATGACACTCGTCGGAACCAAGATTGGTTCCGCGTCAGCGCTCAAACTCTCCTTTGCATCACTCACCAAGGGACTAACAGCTTTGTCGTTGTTGTCGTTCACAACCGCGCAAACCGAGGGCGTCCTGGCTCATCTTTTACAGCATCTGGAGGACTACTCCCCAAAAACAGGCGCATTGGCTGCTGCAGGAGTCGTGGGGATGTCACCCAAGGCGTATCGATGGGTTGAGGAGATGCGGTCTATAGGTGAGGCGTTTGATACAGAGGGCCATTGGGGTAGTCTTGGAGGGAATGTCTTTGATTCCTTTGCAGAGGTATATAGACGAGTTGCTGAGGAGACGGTGTTGGGGCAGGAAAAGATTGGGAGACGAGAAAGGGGGAGGTCGGTTGAAGATGTCGCTGATATATTGGCGCAGGCCAACGCAGCCATAGATGGATAATTGAGTACGAATTGAGGTCGTATTGTAAGCAATTAATTAGCTAACGGATTGAATAGATACGACCCTGAATATAAGGTACATCGAGGTACATGACAAAATTACATAGACGGTAATATCGATACCGGTTGGATACGGTAAGATAAGGTTAGATCGCGCACGCTGGTTGGCTGTAGATGACCCGGGATCACGACATTTCCCCATCTCATTAACAATCCGCCCAAAACGGCATGGCTGGAGGCTACGAGCGAGATGAATGGACGCGAGCTGTTCAGCATCACTTTTCCTCTTTTTCGTCTTTTCCTCTGTTTTTCACTCTCTTTTTCGCGGTTCAGGGACCCTAGTCTACCTGATTGATTTGCTGACACAGGCTGACAACGTCCCCTCTTTTGTTAGAAAACCGGTATGGTGTCGTGATCATTGGATCGACGGGGTTGTATACAACATATACATGTCGACAGACGGCCGGGGAATAACGTGATTACTCGCTCTTGCCGCGTTTGGAGAAGAGTGTCTCGTGCCAGAATCCCACAAACTAGCTTCTTGACAATAGAATAGAAGAGCTTCCTCCCTCATTCGATTTCCACAGACGGAAACTTTCTTTTTCTTGTTTCCTGTCCATCATCATGGCTGAGGATCATCAACCAAAGCAGCAGCCGCAGCAGCTTCATCCACCGCCAATTACCACTTCCCAAGCTAATCTCAGCTCTGTCCGGCTTCAGCATTTCAATTTCCTGGCACCAGCCGGGCAGCTTCCACCGCCGCAACAAGCGACCTCAGGACCGCCTGCCCAACACTTCCCAGCTGGTGGTGTTGGACCTGAAAGACGACATTATTCATTTGATACCGATACCGAGTCTCAGCGGTATCCGTTGGGAAGCGTACCGGCCGTGGAATATGACCAGACTGAGGGTCTAGGGGGTTTATCAGTGAGCTCGTACGATAGTATTGACGACGACCGGATAGATCCAGCTATGCGTGGATATCCTTATCATCATGGTTTGTTGCTCCCTATCTTCCCATCTTCCCATCTTGCTATTTTGCTATTTTGCTATTTTGCTATTTTGCTATAGTATAGCATTTATTTGCCCCTTTTGAATGGGGCTGCAATGTATGCTACTGAGTGAATAAATCAATTTCTTGTTCCATCTCTTATCCTCTTCTTGAACATATGCCAACGCTTGCTAAGACTGGACGATACACTGACATCTACCAGGAGACAAACACATCAACTATCACGCCCCAGACCACGATGTCCCCTACATGGCCAACTCCCTCTACCCGGGAAACTCCTATTCCGTCGAAGATAGTGGCTATCCACGTGGCGGTCATCCGGCACCTGGAGCCGGCGGCGGAGGAGACCGTACCCCATCCGACATATCCTCCTCCATAAGCCCACCAAACGGGCAAATCGGCAACAATAAATACAGCACAATCCCGCCCGGAGAACGCCTAGCACGCGCCCTGAGTATCGAGGAACAGAACCGACTGGCAATAGAAGAAGATAAACGACGCCGAAATACAGCTGCCAGTGCGCGGTTCCGCGTAAAGAAGAAACAGCGCGAACAAGCGCTGGAGCGTGCGGTGCAGGAAGCGACAGAGGTAAAAGCTTCGCTTGAAGCGCGCGTGACGCAGTTGGAGATGGAGAACAGGTGGTTGAAAAACTTGCTAACGGAGAAGAATGAAAATTTGCTGTCGAGACTGGCGGCGTTGCAGCCGGCTGATATTGAAAAGTTGGAGCAACAGCAACAGAATCAACAAGACTCGAGTGTCTCGTCGACTTCGTCGTCGACTTTGACGCAGGTTTCGTCTTCCAAGAAGTCGGATTCGCATACTTTGTCTGCCAGGAAACCGATCAAACCGAAACCGACTGTTGGCGTGGGGACTGATGATGATCATTAGTTTCTTCTCCTTCTATCATACTCAATTGTTTTTTCTTTAGTCTTGTTCTGTCTCGTGACTAAATGGAAGGAATGGGAGTTGCATTGCTGTGTCGTCAACAAGGATTATGTTTTCAGGGGTCTATTTTTCTTGTTTCGTTTGTTACTATACGACCGTTACGAATTTGTTGATTGCTAGAATCATAATGGTTTGTCGAATATCGACTGTCGTCGGATCAGGGCCATCTCATTTTATCTGCTCTTCAAGAACCACATCTTATTCCATGATTTGGAGGGGGAGGGGGGAAGTGTTATACACCCGAATACTAGAATCAGACGACTCGTAACTTCTCATATTAATAATTAATAAACTGAAACGAGAAGCAAATAACCACAAAGCAATGGGCAACCAGCCGGACCAGACAAGATAATCGTCCTACAATCAGACCGTACATGATCAACAATCTGTCTGTCAGCGCCCACGAGTACAAACAAAAGCATTATTTCGTCAAGTCAACAAAGAGAGAGAAAGAAAAAAAAAAGAAATACTACATAAAAAAAAGTTGATAGGTCCAAAACGCCTTCCGGTGTTGATGGCAACTCCTTCACATCGCATCAACCCAGAAAAGAATAGGAAAGGGGGAAACTTTGTAGATCGCAGGTATAGACAGGACTAATGAGTAATTATTCTGTTGCTTTTGGTTGGAAACGAGAGAGAGAGAGAGAGAGAGATTAAGCAGCAACAGGTTCGCGCTCTTCAGCTCGTCCACGGACTTCTCCGTTTGCACCGCTGTGGGCAATACTGCCGTCATCTTCGACGATGCCGTCTTCACTCACATCGTCTTCATGATAACCAGCGTGTTGGTCAGCGGGGACCCAGGAGTCATGATCCTTTAGTTCTTCCGCATCCTCAGTATGACGTTTGATATTGTTTCGTCGTCGCTGAGACAATGTACGTGATCGTGTGGACAAGTTTGAGCGAACAGCAGCGGTAGAACTGACCCAATTCGTGAGCGCGTCCTCACAATCCTGAATGATGGCTTTGCTGGCCTCGTAGCCGTCGTAGGCCTGGCGAGTTTCTCCTGGTGTGACGGGGGTGTCGTCGATCAATTCGAGTAGATGCTTTCCGTATCCGGCGATAATGGCAATCTTCTCGCAGTGTTCGCGGAGCGCATCGAATTGGTAGGTGAACGCAGCCTTCAACTTTTCACGAGTAATATTTGACAACTGTGCTTCGGCGACCAAGGACTCGGCTTCGGCACGGACCAATTCCTGCTCGAGAACGACAATTCGGGGTGAGTTGGGGTCCTTGTACTTGAGTTTTGCGATTTCATCGGTAATCTTCTGTTTGCCTGTACGTCTTTAGTATGTTTCAACAACCCATAGGAGATAGACCAAAAAAAAAAAGAAAAGAAAAAACGTACGGTCTCGGCTAGGCTGCACGGAAGCTTCAATATTTCGAATACTCTTAATCGTAAGACGGTACTGATCGTATCGGTCGACGAATTGATCCTCCAATTCACCAATCTCATAAATCAACACGCCGAGCTTATCGGTGACGTCCGAAACATCGTCGTCGCCAGCTTCGCCCCAGATTGAGAGTTGTTGCTAGTCAAATCAGTATTCCAGTCCAATCGGCCAAGAGCACCAAACGTACAGCAACCTCCATCCTCTCGCGACCGACCTGTTCCATACTCCTCATAACATTCTTCTCCATCTTCACGAGCTGAGAGAGCTTCTTGGCCAGGTCAGGGCCAAAGGCACCCGCGGCGTTTTTGCGGAAAGCATGGCCTATACGGACCATTGTTAGCAAGTGTCTGTTTGTATTTGAGTAATTTCAATGCGATCGATCGATATCGGTATAAGCGAAACGTAGCAATAGTTGAATCGACTCACCAAAGTTGTTGCGACCGAACAATCGACCGGACTTGGTGCTGGATGGCGGTGGGGGAGGATTCTCGATTTGCGAGGCAGTCGGTGCTCGCGACTGGCGCATAGAGTAGGTGCGATGCATGATGGCCGAGATATAAGGAAGCACCGGGTCTGTTTTCCTGGTGGTGTCAGAGATCACAGTATTCCCAAGATTGATTGTTGTAGGACGATTAATTCTTCGACAGAATAGCTTGGGCAGAATAGAATTTTGAGGGTGACGTGAAGGTGACTTAGTCACAGGCGGGCAGCGACGGAAATGGTGTAGGAGACAGCTGAGAACAGCCAGTTTCAGAAGGGGAAAAGCGGCGGTAGCGGAATACTTACAGTAAGGCAGACACAACACAGCAAAGTCAGGCGGAGGATGGATGTAATTCTCGTTGTCCTAGGAGAATTGACTGCGATAGTTGATAGAAATTAATTATTTCTGTCAGGATGTGTGGTTGTTATAAACATCCGAGCTCTGTCAGCGGTGACGTCGTTCGCCCTGCGCTAGATGCTGATTGGCTGTAGTCAGCCACGGCATTCGCTGCTTATTTACTGCTACCTCCTAGCTTAGTTACTACGTACTCCGTACTGAGTTATATGCATAGTAGAGAAGTCTACTACGTACGTATCTCCAACAGCAATTTCATGATCAATGCGTATTATTATTGGCACAAACTCGGTGGAATCCCCAGACGATCAGAATGGAGCTGTCTCTCGGACTCTCTCCACATTGGCGCATAAGTATTATGTATACTATAATCTTTGATCTTTGATGTACCTCCGTACATTCAGTCTACAATCTATCAATTCTTATCATGGCCATCACTATAACTAAACTATCACTCTGTAGTGCTTAAAGACACAAAACGTTCAACTGATTACGTCATCACCCAGTATGGCTCGAGTAAGTTAACTTAGTTAACTTAAACCATCCACAAGCTGGTCGACGTCATCGATATCGTTCGCAATCGGCAAGCCACAACAACCTGCACAGCCTCCTTCCCCTTTCGGGATTTGTCCATGCTTCCGCCTTCCTGAATTGGCAACTAGAACAATCTGAAGTAGAAATGATCGTCTACTTTATTCCCCCTTGCGGCAGCTCGATTGAGTTTGCGTTGCGATCTCATATCGAGGACTACGTATGATCCCTCCACGTACTATGCGGTGGGAGAACGCCGATCTTCAGGACCCATGCGTCCATTATCGTATCATCATATATCTATGTACATATTGCGGCATCAATCACTTAGGTATCTTTCTGGCTCTTCTCCTTCTTCTTGCGTCTCTTTCGCGTAGATCCAGAATCTTCGTCAGTTTGCGCCGGTTCAGTAGTATTTGCACCGGAGGCGCCCCGTTTGCGACTCTCGGCTTCAACTCGCAATCGCCCAAATGCTTTATCCATCCGACTCTTCCCCTCGCCCCGGACTCGCGGCGCAAACGCGCCCGCGCCCTGTGTGCCGCTCATGAATCGCGTGATATTTGACTGCGTGCCTTCTTGCTCTCGTTTATTCATGTCGCGAATCACAGGAACTAAAACTTCATCGGTGCGTTCTTGAGACCATCCAATAGTCGCCATTAGGAAACTCCGTAAGCCATTAAGGTCTGGAACACCCCATTGAAACTCGGACGGGTCGTTGTCGACTGCGGGATGTAAATACGCCTCATCGATGTGTCGATCGGGAAACGATGGGGGGAGGAATATCTTGGTCGCCATTTTCTTGAATTTCTTGCGGAATCGTTGATGAGGGTCGTTTGGTATCTCCATGCCCATCTGCACCTGCATCCACCAGTCACGGAATTCTTCGAGGTTGGTAAACTCGGTGATGATCTCGAGAGCAGTGACAGGGCCCACTCCGGGGATACCTTCTGTGTAATCGCTCCCGAGCAGATGAGCGAACTGAATAAGTTTGATTCGATCCAACGCATATTCCTTTTCCAAGTCGCTCGACAGAAAACATTCTACAAACTTGCTCTGATTGAACATGTTCTTGTAGACTCGAGTGCCTCCAAAGAGGAATGTGTCGCTGTCATCCGTAACAATCCCGTCCACTAGTCCCAAAGACACCAGCTCAGCACATTGTGCCTCCGCTTCCATAGGTGCAGTAATATATGGTAGGCCAAACAGACGGAGTAGTTGTTGACACTCCGAGACCATAATCTGAGACACTTCGTCCGCATCTCTTCGGTCTTTCCTTTGCTGATTTCGTAGTTGTTTCAATTCTTGTTCAAAGTCTCGTGCATTCTCGACCTGTGTCTTGTTATTAAACTCAGACACAAAACGCGCATGTTCTTCTGTTTCGGCTGCTAGCTGTAGCATTAGATCCTCCTCTTCCGGATCGGAGTAGTCGTCATTGCCGACTGCAGTATGGTCTTGCTCTTCGAAAAGTGCGGCATCATGTTCATATACCAGCGGCGCTGACTTGTCAACTTCTTCTACATTAGACGGTGATGGCACATCTTCAAACTCTGGGGAAGGTGACTTTGGTTTTGTCGTCGGCTGATCGGCTGCGGAAGCATGATCTGCCTGCAATGTCTCCCGCTCATCATCAGTAGGCTCCCAGTCAGAAACTACCTTCTCGGAGGCAGCATCCGCTACCGAATGACCTCTGGGAGGCACATGAGGTACCGTAACATCAACAGGCGGGTTTGGAGGATTCGCTCGAACATCTTCAGCAATATCATTCATCAAAACAGGATTCTCTTCCGTGATTGGTTCAGCATCTACAGTCCGAACTTGTTCTTTCGGTACTTCGGTATCAGAGTCCAGATCGATAACCTCCTTAGTGTCCGGCAACTCGTCGACATCAATGATATTCGGTGACAGACGCTGTTTCACGTCTTCTGCGTGATTATAAATAACATCATCGTAGGTTTTTTTTTCAGCCTCCTCTTCACTTTCATCAGCGATGAAATCTTGCTTGATTCCATCTTCTTTGCTGAACCACGGCGGAAGAGCAGCGGCTTGCTTTTTCGCTTTGCTTTGCTTGCTTTCTGCCTGCTTCTCAAAGCCTCCAGCCTCATCGTCAAGTGTAGGTTCGGGTAATTCTTCCTTTGCTCGTTTATTGATTTTCAACGACTCAAATGGTAATGGTCCACTGAACTTGTATTCAGGCGCAACTTCTGGCCTGGCAGACTTGAGTTTAGGCTCTGCTTGAGATTGTTTAGATCGTGCCAAAGCCGCGGTGAAGTCCATGTCATCACCGCTTTCAGGAGTGCCCTCATGTTCGAAATGGGGAGCTTGGACTGCTTTGAGACTGTCTTCCAACGGAAAGGTACTTGCTTCATCCTGGTGCGGTTCTAGAGACATAGCTATCGCTTTCTGGAGATCCTCATCCTCATTATCCACGAACAGATCGTCGGTGTCTCCGGGCGCCGAGAAAAACAACGCATCCTCGTCTTCTTCTTCCCGATCAACAGCGTGACGCCGTGCTGTAGAATTCCTTCGGTTCATAGTCTCTGTTGCTTGTCGCCGAACAGCCTCATCAAACACGCCTTTCTGAAGAAAAGGTAATCTAGGAAGCCTATTCAAGCCTTCGATGGGCACATCTTCAAAGGCATCATCATCATCATCATCCTCGTCATCCTTCCCTGGCAGGACATCAGGTAGACCGTACTTATCAACATCGATTGGACGATCGATAGCCGTGCCTTCTTTGTTGCCCACGACTCCAAGCGCCCATCCACCTTCAACGTCGGGATTTTTGACCAAAACGTATTCCTTCCCACGTTCTCCTGCAATTCTTCTTCCAGAAGTGAAATCAAAAGCAACATCTGCCCCATTCATACCATTGAGATTCATCAGCCTTTGAGTGAGATCATTTCGTTCTTTGACACGCTCAATCTGAAATTTTGAAAATGCCATTCTATCAGGAAACATGGAATCAAGCTGTTCTTTAGAGTAACCCATTCGCAGACGGCTGCGAATACGCGCTGCATTAAGGATATTGTAGCGATCGGTCGCCGGCAAACTCATAAAGAATGGGCTGTCAAAGTCAATCTTTGAGAAATCATACATGTTAATATCCTCGCCGTTATGAAACTGTCGTGCGTATTCTTCCAACTCCTCCTGGGACATAATTCGAGGATCATCCGGTGCTCCCATTTGATCCAAACCGGTCTCGAGATCAGGTAAATGATACTGATCCTGTTTTCGAAATTTCCGGTTCCGTCTCCTCTCCTGCGGCGTCATGAGGATTTCGTCGACATAATTAGGTTCTCCCAGCGGCTCCTGTTCTTCAACATCATGTTCATCGGCCGTGCGCTTTGCCTGTTCTTCCTCCGCCCGTCTTTGAAGCTGTATCGCCAACAACTTCCCAGCCGTTCTCACCGCATCCTCTCTTCTCCCCTCGCGCCTCTTCTTTCTTGCCGCGATAGTCTGCCGTTTGAGAATCGGGGCGCCGCCATCGAACACAAACACGGGCTTAATCCCGAAGAACAAGAGTTTACATATTCGACGAAAAAACCCCACGACATGGGCGTTTCTGAGCGCATTACCTTCTTTGTCTCGGACGGCTTTGAGGAACTGGTATATCCATATCGACGCGTCGACGGCGAGTCGTTTGCGGTTTAGTGTTTCGAGTTTGACGGGGCGGGCACAGGGTTGGACTACTGTCCAAAGTCCGGTAACTCCCATGGTTGGGTTTTGCTTCCCATAGTACTTCTCGATTGGATGAGCATCTCAGACTCCTAGCAAGTGAAGAGTCAGATAGATGGGATGCTAGGTGGAAAGTTCTGATGGATGATGATGATGACACGAAGTAGTCACGAAGTCACGTGACTAATATATACAAATACGGAATAGTTTTGATGCCTTAGGTTTTTAACTAACGCTACGAATCGATTACAAGACCATTTTAATTCAATGACCTTTTTCATTTTAGGGTATCATCAACACGTAACCTGCGAATAGATAAAATCCCGAAACCAACACTTCTAATCACGATACTCGTCGCTTACGTCCTGCCCATCCGTCGAACCCGTACTCGAAAACTTGAGATCCGACAAGCCATACAACACGATCGACCCCATCCCAAGCACCGCCGACAATACGGTAAACACCATCGAAACGATACCTCGTGCCGTAAATCCGTCCGGAATCCATCCTGGCTGCACATTCTGGCCCTTGAGATTGGTGTAATCTTCCGTGTTGCCCGCGGCATTGCCCTTTGATTGAATCCCCCCAGCACTGCATGCGGCTAGGTGGTCGGCTGGGATGGTCATTTGCTCTTGAAGCTGAGTTGGCGCTTCGATGAATAACATTCCCAATCCCTGTGCCAGATGCCAGTCGATGTGACAATGGAAAATCCAGACTCCGGGGTTGTCCGCTACGAAACGGATCACGAAATGTCCCTGTGGTGGTAGGACGAGGGTATCTCGTCTCGGTGGATATGCCGGGAAGGCCGAGTGATTAGATGGATCGTATGGAACCGGGTCACCACCCTTCAGTTCAAAAAAGTCTGCACCATAACTGGGAAACCGCGTCAGAACCTGGAAGTTGTGGCCGTGCAGATGGAATGGGTGCGCGCCCGAATCGTTGTTATTCATAATAATCTCGACCACGTCATGATGGCCTAGCACCATCGGGTGCGTAAACTCGCCGTAGACGGTTGCATCGGTCGTCTGATTGCCCGCAGACAAGGCAGTATACAGTGTCGGCACCTTTGGCGCCGTATAGCTGATGTCGTTGAGGAAAGCGTAGCCCTTGCCAGTGTCGAGCATGCCCATGACCACGTCCAGCTGGATTGATAACACCGGGTTCTCTAGCAACGGCATATGGTCGTAAGGAACAAGTGTGCTATCGTCGATAGGAACAAGGTCTGACGATTCAGCGACGGTGATGTCGGCTTGCGGATGAGGTGCCGAGCCATCGTATTCTAGCCAGCTGGTAGAATTGAGTCGTAGATCTGAAGGTATCGTGTCAAGCAGCGTGGAATCAGCCACGGTGACTATCGGGTAATTCTTATCGGTGGTATTCTTCGTCGTGAGCAGCACTGCATACCGCTGAGCTACTGAAATGTACAAGGTATCGGCCTCGGTCGGTTCAGTGTAGACGCCGTCGATCTCAACGATTTTGAAGGTGTGATCTTCGATATAGAAGTATTGTGAGACAAAGGCACCAGTGTTTATAAGTCGGAGCAGGTATGTCGTGTTCGGCTTCACAGAAAGGCTGAGATTGGTCGTGTCGTTGAACAGAAACGCATTCGGAATCGGTTCCGCTCCTGTTGGGTTGTACAGTGACATGAATTTGGGCTTGATGTCCTCCATCATGTCGTGGTACCAATCAGACAAGGTGACAGAAAGCTCCTCATCGTATTGATGGGCGAAGTACGCATCTTTATCGTGGACAATGAGTGCCTGGCGGTATCCGTCTGGATAGCAGTAATCCTGTTCGGTTATATCAGTCAGCCAGGTAACTTCTTCAGCCAGTTCCCACCACTTACTGTATGACAGTGATACCAGTAGGTTCCGTGCTGATTGACGGTGAAGTTATATGTGAAGCTCGACCCAGGTGGAATAGGGCACTGGGTCACCATCGAAGCTCCATCCATGTCATTCGTCCCATTTTGGAACATGCCATGAAAGTGTATGCTGGTACTCTTGTCGCCTAAGCCATTGTACATGTTGACAATCAACTGGTCGCCCTTGTCAACCTCGATAATAGGAAGCGGCCATTGGCCATTGATGCCCACAACCTTGCGCTCGGCCAGGCCGTCTGGGTTCGCTGTCACCCATGTGACATTGAAATTGTAGACGACATCTTTGGCGGCTGAAAAGTCACCGAGGGCCAGCAGGAGAAAGATGAGCAAGTGTAACATTATGGGCACTGGCTACACGATCCCTTGGGAGTTTGTCAATTGGGATCGGTTCTCGGTGTGTGGCTGGCAACTTATACGGGCCGATAGAATGGCCATGTGCGAAATAATGTCTTGCCTGATCAACGATCACGCTTTGCCGAGCTTTCTTCGGAAGCTTCCACAGCCGTCACAGCAAGTAGAAAGGCGGAAGTGACGGAGTGACGAGAGTGAGAGGCCCCGCCGCAACCATATCAGATCTTTTTCTTGCTAGGTGTTGGCGTCCAATCCAGCCGAGCAGGCGAGAACACGAGGTGCGACTTCGGCATTGACGAATGAAAATTTTGCATCAGATAATAACGCCCCACAGCATATCCTATCAGATGAAACTCTGCCATTGGCTGATTCCTCAGACAAGGTTCTTTAGCGCGTAATTATTCAGCTTAGCGTTAGGGACTGAGCGCTCGCTAAGCCGGATTTGGTATCGCCGATACCGCCGAGAGATCAGTTTGATCAGATAAGATGTCACCTGATGCAGAGTTTGGACCCGACTTTCGCCTAGACACTCTGTCAGCACTTTCCTATATGTCTCCATTCCTGTTCCTGGGATGAAACCCCAATACTTTCACTTTTTTGACACCTGTATACACACACACGCACGCACAGCAAAAGGTCAATTGGTCAAGATGGGGGCAAATGTCTTTGCAGTGCAGGTTTTTTTCATCGTTTTCCGCGAGTGCCTCGAAGCCTCCATCATCATCTCAGTGCTCCTCTCCTTCCTCAAGCAGAGTCTCGGCGAACCACACCAAGACCATGCATTATATAAACGACTGGTTCGCCAGGTGTGGTACGGCTCATTTTCAGGCATACTCATTTGTCTGATTATCGGCGGCGCCTTCGTCGGTGTCTTTTATGGGTTGGGCCATAATATTTGGGCCAAGGCAGAGCAGTTATGGGAAGGCATATTCTATCTAATTGCCTGCATTATTGTGACTGCAATGGGTTTGGCTCTTTTGCGAATCAATAAAACCAAGGAGCAGTGGCGTATCAAGATCGCGAAGACCTTGGTCGAGAAAAACAAAAACTCAAAGAAGTCGAAGCTATTCGGAGACTGGGCCCGTCGTTATGCCATGTTCTTGCTTCCATTTATCACCACTTTGCGTGAAGGTGTTGAGGGTGTTGTTTTCGTTGCTGGTGTCTCTCTGGGATACCCAGCGACTGCCTTCCCATTGCCCGTCGTGACTGGAATTATCGCGGGCTTGGGGTGCGGATATCTGATCTACCGTGGTGGTAATGCCATGTCCATTCAGCTTTTCCTGATCGCCTCAACATGTATACTTTACCTGATTGCTGCGGGAATGTTCTCCAAGGTCGTTTGGGATCTTCAGTACTACCGCTTCCAACTCGCCGTCGGAGCAGACGTTAGCGAGCAAGGCAGTGGGCCAGGCTCATACAATATTAAAGAGACTGTCTGGCATGTTAATTGCTGCAATGCAGAGACTGACAATGGCTGGGATGTGTTCAATGCCATTTTGGGCTGGGAGAACACGGGTACTTACGGATCTGTCATTGCATACATCGTCTACTGGATCTTCATCATGGTTACCGTCGGGTACATGCTCTGGGAGGAACGGTCGGGCAAGCGTACCCTGCGTGAACGTATCCTTATGGCATTGGCCAAGGTCCCTGGTCTGAAGGGTTATGCCAGGAGGAAACTCGATGTGATTCAACAGAACCCAGATGATATTGTGCGCCAGGTCCACAGTGGCATGTTTAATGACGGTGTGGTGGAGCAGACCGTGGAAATGAAGTGAGAGAAACATCTATGATGCAATAAAAAGCTTTGTACATATAGAATATTCGACTGGTTTAATAAAGACATGAGTATGAGGTTATTTTCACCCAGTCTTCCTAACCCTGTGACCAGGAAGAAACTCCTAATTGAAAGGACATCGATGAGGATATGGTACTTAGGTGACTTAAGGTAGTCCGTAGATAGAGAAATCATTGTGTGAATAGCTCCGTTGACAATTCCACCCAACTTCAGCGAGCAGCTCTAGTATTTTTTTTTTTTACACCAGATACGCCAAGAAATATTGGACAAGACGAAAGTTTCTGATATAGATATTTTCTTGTGAAGTTGCACCTGCACTTTCCCACAATGTCTTCCGGAAGGTGGGGCGGTAAAGACGATTTTTCTGGGGATGGCGGGACTTACACTTTACATCTATGTTTGCATCTAGAGAATATTTATTCCAGAGGATAGAAACAACTACCAATACTGTTCGAGTCTGTAGTTCGAAACATTACAGTTCATGTGCATGCCAATCAATGTCGTGTTCCGAGGTAGGATTCCTCAAGACCTCGTTGGAAAGTATATGTATGCTAACAGTCTTGACAGCACTTTGATGGCTGCTTCCCGGTCACTGCTCTAAAGGAAATCCATCTGAGCTCATCAAGATATCTTCTCAAGGGCCAAGGACCATTCGTCTCAGTCATTGATGTCGAAAGCGGAGAATCTATCCATAAGCTCAAAATTTTCAAACGGAACAATGTCCACGGTTTCATGACTGATGAGCAACGATGCCAGGAGCAGGATAAGATTACTGTGCTTGCATGGGGAGGATCCTCTTTACGGTTCATCCACATCCTTGGGCAAGGGGAGGATCCCCGAGTTCGTATTGTTTGTGGGACGCTTGAACATGCTGCTCCTGACTGGATATATGATATATGTTCAGCACTCGTTGATGATGGTCCGAACTTTGCGTACTTGATTACGGGGCACAACTCAGTGTTGAGTGTCAGTTTGAAAAGAGTCACTGATTCAAAATACCCTAACGCCGTACAACTAAGACACTTGGTTAATGGTGTCCAGTCTACACTCTACTCTGCAAATATTGTGGCTCTGTCGTCTTCGCATATCCTCATTGCAGCCGGGACTGTCTTTGGTGAAATTATTGTCTGGTCGTGCTTCAAAAGTGATAGTACGGATGGAAATGCGACTACATTTTCCTCTTCAATCCATCATTTCTTTACCGGGCACGATGGGTCAATATTTGGAGTTGGCATTTCCGACGAACTACGGTTTACTATAGCCGGGAAGGAGCAACAAATACGACTTCTCGCTAGTTGCAGTGATGATCGTACTGTGAGAATATGGGATATCTCAGATTGTACCCATGCTACCTCGGCAGATCGCGCGGCATATGTTACCGATGGTTTTGACTTGCGAAGTACAGGCTTTGGAATTACTGCCCCTAAACGAATATCGACTGGCTCTGAATCTGCTGTTGCCAAGGGCTGGGGCCATTCCTCCCGTGTATGGGGGGTCTACTTTCTTCCTGCCAGGGGAGACCATACACGTATTGTCAATCTTGTCTCAAGAGGGGAGGATGCTACGAGTCGCCTGTGGCGGTTGGATTTGACGTTTTCGACATCGAAGGATGGGGTTGAATATGAGTTGAGGAATATCTCGACCTTGGGCCATCATGCCGGAAAGCATATCTGGTCATTAGCCTTGTCTAAAGGAGATGACGATACGCAAGTAGTATATACTGGCGGAAATGATGGTGCAGTCAGGATGTACAAGTTGACTTATAACGGAGGAAACGACGTCTCACCTTACATTCCCAAAATTTTGTTGAAAGCTGCATATTCAAAAGTTGAGATTGATGGTCTCATGCCTCGAGTGTTCGGGTTTGTGTCGAAGGATAGTGTTGCTGTGGTTTATACGACTGGCCTCGTACAGTTAGGCACTTTTACTACCTTTGCTCCTCTCAGTAATAAACCGCAGATGCGCTGGGAAACATTGTCTACGGAAGAGGACTTGCGCTCTTTTGCTACGATATCTTCTCTCTCGAGCTATGGTCTTGCCATCATTGGTGGCTCTTCTGGGAGATTGCGTCTATACGATCAAACAACCAGGCAAATGACAGATTTGATCAAAGTTCCTCGTCGGCCCTTGAAAATTGTGATGTTGGATGCAGTGACAAATGGCGTGTCAGGATCTCCTCGAAATTTCAGATTCCTTGTGGGGTATCCCCACTCAGAAGAAGCGCACTTATTCAGTGTCGAAATCAAAGGCGAGCGCTATGATGTGAAACAGACAAATCTGATATTGCCTCCAGCACTTAGAATATACTCAGGATCCATTATCGGCGGGGGCAAATGCCTTGCTATTGGAGGTAAGGATGGCCAGCTTTTGCTGTACACTTTAGATCCCACAAAAGGGAGACTGGAGTACTCGTTTGTGAAGTGGCGAGCTCATGGGAGAGAAACTGTGAACTTTATCAATTCTATAGATGATGATAAAAACTCCGATACGGAATACTTTCTGACCGGGGGTGGAGATTGCCATTATTGCGTCTATCGGTTACACAGGCAGTCTGATGCAGAGAATGCCTATGGCTTACAACAGATCCACCGTTCATCGGCTCCATTATCGCAGATTAAAGGCGCTTATTTCGACGAAAAAACAGGGCAGTTTATTCTTTATGGTTTCCGAGACGTTTCTCTAATTCTGTGGAATGAGACTACCCAGACCGAAATCATAACACTTGATTGTGGTGGTGTTAACCGAGTCTGGCAATTCATGCCAGATCCTAGTACACAAGGAGCGGGCACGATAGTCTGGAATCAAGCACGATCATTGCACGCAGTTGTTGCGGATACCGTTGTACATCACTCACTGCAACTGGGCAGTCATGGGCGCGAACAAAAGACTTTAGCAGTAACTAAAGCAGGAATCCAAAATGGAGATCAAACGCTTCCACTCATAGCTAGCGGGGGAGAAGATACATTGATTCGTATATCGGTTCCATCTCGGGTGTCAAAAGGAGAGAGCAGCACATGGAACGCTGCGCAATGTTTGCGTATCCTGAGCGGTCACGTTAGTGGTTTACAGCAAATCAAATGGTCAGATGACGGTCGCTTTTTGTTTTCCAGCGCCGGAGGAGAGGGGTTCATGGCGTGGAGAATTCGTTCTGCGCCCAAATTCGGTCTTGCAGTTTTAATGGAAGCTGCAATCCCGCGAGAGGAGACGGAAGTAGAGCTTCGCGTTACTAGTTTTGACGTGCTTCGTATGAAGTCATCGGTCGATGAGGATAAGTTTCTGCTGGCTCTTGTATACTCCAATTCTACTGTGAAGGTGAGCCGCCCGGCTTTCTTTTGATTTTTGTTTTGCTAACTCAGTTAGGTATTCTCATATACAAGTTCGATGGACTCGCACACTTATGAGCTTCTTGGGAAAGGAACGTACTCGACGAATTGTCTGACAGAAGTTCATTTCATGGTTCAAGAATCGAGAATTTTTCTGGTCACAGGAGCCACTGATGGATATCTTGCTTTCTGGCCGGTGGACTGGATCACGCACGAAGGATGCTATCAGTTCTCGGTAAACACGACATTCATTGTCAACACATTGAAATGGGAACTACATCATGCCATTCACGCTAGCAGTATCAAGGCCTTGGAGAATGGCGAAGTCTATCCGGGGTATCAAGTACTCGTCAGCGGCGGCGATGATAATTCTCTGTCCATCACGCTGGTCGACCTGAATGGCGGTGTCCGCGTCGTCAGCAGTGTACGTATTGTTAACGCGCATGCATCGGCCATAACAGCAGTCAAGATTTTGAGTACTCGCACAGATACAACTGCGACGTTAAAGATTGCATCGTCAGCAAACGACCAGCGGATCAAATTGTGGTCGGTAATTATTGACTTGGTGAAGGAGACAAGTCAAGAGCAAGTGATTAGTGTCACGTTGGAATCGGACCGATACTGTCCTGTAGCAGATATTGCGGCGATGGATGATATGGAGATTGCTGATAATGCGACAGGCACTACAGAGAAATTATTGGTTCTCGGTGGTGTTGGGATGGAGATGGTGCGCTGGTCTGATTGAAATGTTTCTTGCTGCCTCAGGCACTCATCAGTATCTAAGCTAACCACAAATGGTAAGAGCAATGAACATCGTCAAATGTTCCAGAAGGGGAATGTCGCCGATGACGAGAAAAGGTCTTCTGCTGCATACATTCTCCCTTCGAAATGCCTAGATTGGACAATCATTATTGACTGTTACAGAGTGTACTCTGTACGTACGGAGTACTCTGAATAGTAATCTAGAATGTAAAAGTTTACACCACAGCCTCGTACACAGCAATAAGCAAAAATAGAAACAAAGGATTAAATTTAAATTTAAGGCTGGGACGAGTTGCGGCTGGGCAAAAAGTGGAGACGGCCTGAGGTGTCTACCACTCAGCCACGCTTGCGCAGCCAATCACACTGCTTTCTACACGCGGCTGGGACAGATGCTAATCTCAGCTGTGTTTATTATTTAATTGTGTTATCCTTCATCTTTCTTTTTGATTCATTCATCTTGCATTCTTTCATCGATTGTCATCACTTTACATATTCGTCTCGACATTCGCTTGATACTTCGTTCTCAGTCGATACCGTCAAAATGACTTCGATAGGTCGCATCGCGTGTATCGTCTTTCCATATGCCGTCACGGTCGGTGCTTTGATATCACTCATCTTTGTCGGCATCGGCAGCACGAATTCAAACTCATCAACCAAAACCGATTTATATTTCTTCAGAGTGCGTTACTCAACCCTGTCGCAGAAGGATGTTCTTTCCACTAACAGAATACTAAAGGCCGACCTGAGCAACCTAACCAGCGCAGGAGGCAGCTCCCTCGCCAACGAAGCTGCAAGCGCACTCGGCGACCTCACAAACTTCGGCAGCTCCTGCTTCGAAGCCGCTCTCGCCGAAGCTCTCGCCAAAAACCACATTCGGGACTTCTACGACATCGGTCTTTGGGGATACTGTGCTGGGAACAAGACCAGTTCCGGAAAATTCGAAGTCGACTATTGCTCTGACCCAAGGCCGAGTTTGCATTTGATCCTGTCAGTGTTTGGGGGTTGAATAATACCGGTAGCTCCAAGGATGTTGAGGATATCTTGCCCAGTAATCTTCATAAAGCCCTAAATACCTATAAAGCGGTCTCGAAATGGATTTTTATCGCTTATATTATCGCTTTTGGCGTTACTGCGCTCGAGTTGATTGTGGGCCTTTTCGCTATCTGCAGTCGATTGGGTAGTTTGGTGACCAGCATTATATCCGGAGTCGCATTTTTCTTCACTGCTGCCGCCTCGATTACTGCTACCGCCATGTTTGCCGTTTTCACAGGAACTTTCAACACTGCCTTGAAACAGTACGGTATGCACGGATCAATGGGACATAACATCTACGTCGCTACATGGATTGCCACCGCGTTCGCATTCTGTGGGACATTGTTCTGGCTGTTTAGCTCTTGTTGCTGCGCCGCGCGTTCGCCGTACCATGGTGGACGGGCTGGTCGAAGCCGCGTCATGGCTGAGAAGGCTCCTTATACATACGAGCGTGTTAGCAGTCCGTACGGTGGTGCACCTGCTGGTCCTGCTGCGCCTTACTCGGGTCAGCACAATGTTCCTATGCAGACATTCCGTCAAGATGCGTATGAGCCGTTCCGTCATGTTTAGACTGGTCGATATTTCAGGTCGATATCTTATGACTTAACGAAGGGGGAGTCGTCTATGACTTATGCGGTTTCGGGGATGATGTTTATTACTTATCTACGATTGATAAGTTCGATACCCAATGATTTGTTTACAAGTATCCATGGCGGTGTCCTCGTAAATCAGGCCATTTTATCAGCGTGTATATTGACTGCCATTGACTCTGGAATAAACTACACTTTCACCTGATACTCCCAATATATCTAACAGATGCTTGTCTATCTATATGTAGAGACATGCAGAAGAGTAACACATTACCCGTTTGTGGTTGCTCAATGCATTGCCACGTTTCACAGTGGTTTACAGTCAAAGAGAATACGAAACATAGCCACGGTTCTCTGTGTCTCCATAGTACGCACGTCCTCAATAGTTTCGTCCATAATAAGGCTGCCTAAACACCTCATATTGTGCTATTTTAGACACACTTTGACACAGACCAGACTTGCATGGCAACGTCTATATGAGAATTGGCTATTATGCCTCCCATTCATGCCCTAAAGATTAGAGCAAATATCAATCTAATAAGCTAGTATCATTAAAAACCATCGGCTATAAGAGTCGTATATTCTCTCGCCATATTGATAATCTCTTATCCACTATAGGTACTTTTCCATGATACTTTTCAGTTTCTCATGATCCAACGCCTTGACAACTACTCCCCGAGGACCTTCCATATCCCGAGCTCCTACTAAAGCATTATAAATCGCTTCTTCTGTAGCATCAGCTGCTGCTTCAAACAGAGCATTAATCGTCACATCCTGTACAACAGATACTTTCTGTTCGACAGTTGCCTTCCAACTAAAATCTGGAGCTCGCGGGATCTGCTCGGCCGTGCTAAAAGCAATGAATATATCCCCCGAACTATTTGAGCCCCATCCTCCTACCCGTGATAGTCCGACAGTGGCCCTTTTAGCTAGACGCTGGAGCTGAGTTGGATGAAGCGGTGCGTCGGTTGCGATGACTACGATGATACTTCCATCTTTGGCTTTCTTTACATCTTCCTCTGCTGCTGCTGCAGCAGCTTCTTCCTGCTCAATCAATCGTCCAACAGGAACTCCACCAAAATGCAAATCCCTCTTTGCGCCGTAATTAGCCTGCACCAAAGCAGCGACAGTATACGTCGTCTCTGCACCAAAAGCCACGCCATCAATGACGCTACTAGCACTGCCTGTACCTCCCTTGAAGCCTTGACACATCATCCCCGTCCCACCACCGGTGTTACCTTCTTTCACGGGCTCAGAACTGGCCAGATCAATTCCTCTAACAACCATATCTGACGTAACAGCCATGGTACCAATATCATTCAGAAATAAATCACACGTCTCAGCCAGAACAGGCAGCAGGAACCAATCCACCAGTCCTGTTTCCTTATCCCTATACTCTCGAACAGCATACTCGAATATCCCCGTATAGCACGGACCAACCGAGAATGAGTTTGTGAGTATAATCGGTGAGCTCAATAAACCCGTCTCATCAAGCCAGTGCGAACCAGTCATCTCGCCAGATCCATTGAAGCGGAAGTAGCTGGCATAACAGCCGAAATTGAACCAGTCACGACGTGGTAGGATTGTGGTTACGCCTGTGTTGATTGCATGGCTGGTTGGCGTGGAGGGGCGGTTTATGGATTCGGTATGTACCAGGACACCAGGGACACGGTTAGGGAGTTGTTGGGTCCTGGGATGTAGCGGCCGATGCGGAGTTTGGGGAGGATGTCACGGATACGTGGTGGCGGTGGTGATAATAATGATGAGGGAGTATTACTACTTGCCATTGTGTCTGTCTTATCGGACTGGTAGAGTTGACTTTAGATGATTATTACATATATCAAGCACATTCTGTCTCTATTAGTATTGTGTGGACGATTAATAGGCAACAGCCGCTAAGTTGACAACCGAGATCATTTTAGGTCTAGCCTTTAGATTTGATCGGCCAGCCAAGATATCATGTCAAAATCGAAGCAAGCTGATAAGTTGACGATTATCATGATAAGGTGCTGGCTCTGAACTATTTTTGCGGGTGGTGGTTCTCGATATCGAGGACACGGCACTCCAGTGACACCACCAAGCATCTCATGAAACTCTTCTTTATGACGGCCAAACAGAGAGAATAGCTTAATATCGGTGATGAATATTTAAAAGCCATGCTAACTAGGTTAGGGAGCGCCGACTATGAGATCTGGAGGCTTCGTTGTGGCCAATCGGCCCGGGGTTTCCATATAGGGCTTGGCCATTCCTTGGTGATTCGTTACTTACTCATGCGCTGCTCGTGCCCTAATTGTTAACCGTTGTGACCTGAAAGACAAGACAAACAGTGATTGTCCTACTTCCGTTTTGCCAGTCATCGTCATTATCATCATTAAATTGGCATGGGATACATTTCCACCTCACGACCATCGGTCGAAGTAGGAGGCGCAATAGCAGCCGCCTATCTGCTCTACCTAGTCGGTCTCGTCGTGTACCGCTTATACTATAGCCCACTGGCTAAATTTCCAGGCCCAAAACTAGCTGCAGCTTCCAAATGGTACGAATTCTACTATGATGTTGTCAAGAGGGGGCAATTCACATTTCAGATCCAGCGCATGCATAAGAAATATGGTACGTGAGGATGACCACCATGGGCCCGTTCAGGTTTACCTAATGGTTTATATAAGGTCCCATTGTTCGCATAAACCCGTTCGAAGTCCATATCCAAGACAGTCGGTACTGGGATGAGTTGTATACCGGCCACAAGGAATATGAACGATATGCGTGGATGTCCGGTAGATTCGGGGCCAATACGGCCACATCCTCAACCGTATCGAGTCATCTCCATTACATCCGCCGAGCACCCTTGGATCCCATGTTCTCCAAGAGAAGCATCACCAAATTCGAGCCGATTGTGCACGAGATGCTGGAGAAATTGAGTAAAGGGATCGCGGCGTATAAAGATAGCGGACGGATTCTCGCGTTCAACGATGCGTTTAATTCGTTGCGGGAGATGTTATTTCTTCGTACTGTTTTGGTTTCTCGTACAATCAGTTAGAGTCTCCCGATTTTCATGACAGTTTTCACGCTGCGTACGAGGCGGTTCGAAAGTTTGCACATTTTGGGCTGCAGTTTCCTAGTGTTTTTATCGTGAGTTGATCCCCTCTCAGTCTCTGCATCTGTACAGCATTGGATATTGACTTATTGATAGGTACTGGGGCTAAGTCCTAGAGCATTGTTAAAAACGGTGGCGCCGAATATGTTCAAAATGTTTGTGTTGCAAAAGGTATGCACGTACCTATCCTCTCTCGCTGCCTCGGTTCTTGTCGTTCACTGTCCTTCTTACAAATGTACCAGGATCTGCAAGATAGAATCGCCAACATTATCCACAACGAAAAGGTCAACTCCGACGGGAATACGACCATCTTCGACGCACTACTCAAAAGCAACCTCCCACCTCCTGAAAAAACGGTACGTCGCCTTAGGCTCCGAAGCCCAGCAGATGATAGGAGCTGGGGTCGAGACTGTAGCTTGGGCATTAACCACCACCGTTTTCCATCTTCTTGACAACTCAAAGCATTGCCAAAGACTGCGTAGCGAGCTTCAAGAAGCCATACCGAACCCGGCGATTTTACCGAAGTCGGTGGTCCTAGAAAAGTTACCATATCTCGCCGCGTGCGTGAAGGAAGGAATACGGTTATCTACTGGTGTATCTGTTCGTCTTCCGCGTGTCTCGCCAGAGAAGCCTATTCAGTACGGAGACTGGGTAATCCCGCCTGGAACGCCGGTGTCAATGACTACGCTGGATGTTCTCCGTGATGAAAAAGTGTTTCCAGATGCCTCCTCATTTATTCCTGAGCGATGGCTCGATGGCGCAAAGACCGAAGAAGGAGAGAGCTTGAGTCGGTACTTTGTCCCTTTTGGCAAAGGTCCTCGAATGTGTATTGGAGTCAAGTAAGTAATTTGCATTTCTTTCTTTCGGTTACGGGCATACTGCTAACAAGTCGTCATAGTTTGGCATACATTGAACTCCATTTAACTCTGGCTATGCTTTTTCGACGTTTTGAATTTGAGCTTTATGAGACTGATATCACTGACGTTGAGTTGGCTCATGACTTCATGGTGCCCCAGCCAAAATTGGACACAAAAGGAATGCGGGTAAGAGTTACAGGGTTGATTGACTGGTAATGAAAGCTAGTTCGATATAAAGCAGCCATCCGGGTCTTAGGGCTGGTTTATAGACAGGAAAGATACTGGACGTCTAATAAGCCACCAGGATAGAATTGGATAATCAACATAATGGCCTGTCTTATTATCCATTTTCTTTGATCTTCATACCTGAGACCTATCTAGGTGGCCATAATACCAGGAAACAAAGCGAAGAGTGGAGGATGATCATATGGCAAGCACCTAATTAAAGGCCTCCGGCCATTTCTCTCTCAGATTCATATCTCGAAACCGCTATTTTTAACGCAGCAAATATAACGGTGATCGTCGCCCAGAAGGCCAGAGTGTCTCGTTGCATCCATATGTATCCACACAAGCTCGGAACCAAATTTTGAGCAATTACGAGCTGACAACACAGCTGAGTGATCTTCATTCCATTAACGTGTCACTAAACTTAAAACTCTCAGCTCTGAGAAGGGGCCGAAAAATATCTTTAGTACGTAGTATGTAGTAGGAATTCCCGAAGGAGATGTTCCGAGTGCTCTCGGACCCTCATCCCATAGTGTAATAACACCTCCTTTCTATAGCCCTAACCCTATGGTAATGCTAAATGTAACTTGCCTTAGTCCAATTGCAATTTAGAAAGTAATTATCTCAACACTTCTGCCTCGGACTCAAGTTTTACCCTCTAAAAGGGCCAATACAGTGCACTTTCCCCCTGTGAAATATGTGTGTGTGTGTGTGTGTATATTTAACGGCCGTGGTTCGTGACATGCACGCTTCCCACCGATCCCTACTGGGACATAGGCCGCCGAGGGGTAAGCCTCGGGCTTCAGGTCCTATCAGATTTATATACAAATAAGAGACTCTTTGGCGCATTTCCATAGCTGCTGTGGTCTTAAAGGGAGATCCACTTCCTAGTGGGTTTTAGGTATTTGCCAGCTGCAATGGTCCACCTACGCTTCATGACCCATCATTCTACCACCATCATACTTAAGCAGTGAGTTTGAAAAGAAAAAGGGAAGAAGGAAAGAAGAAAAGAAAGAAAGAAAAAGAACAAAGGAAAAGAGAGATATAAGGGGAAAGTAGGGCTGACTTAGCTAGGTGCTAAGGAGAGGTTGATGAGGACAGATATCCTCAAAGAAATGGGTCTCTGCTAGCCATGAGGCTAGTTTTCGTGTTCCTTTCGCAGTGCCTAAAAGAAAAGAGATAACTTCAGAAAGGGGTTCAGGTAGACAAGGGGCTCATCTCTTAGCTATATAGCAGAAGAAGAAATGTAGAGGTGCTTTTTATACTCTACATTGATAGAGAAGATAAGCATCATCATGATTAAAGCGCTCGTGGTAATCCGTAAAGTCTCCATAACTAGTACGGGCCACTATGATATAGCTAAGGTCAAGTCGGTTAAGTTGAAGCTCTCCAGGGCGTTTAGGAGATATAATTATTTCTAGATCTTGGTATGTCTGTGGTGCTACAGTCTGCCACCGTGTCTGAGCAGCAGAAAGAGATTAAGTCTTGGTGTATCTCTTTAGCGAGGCATATAAGGACTTATATGGAGAGACGGGGATAGAGACAGCTCCTTCCTTAGCAGTGAGATTAGCTGCTTCATTCTCAGGGATTTTAGTGCGTCCAGGGACCCATCGGATTTGGATTGATCTACTTTTGGTGTGTGGAAGCCTTTCGCGTAGTGGCCAGGCAGCTGTAAGAGTGCGAAAGGATTTAAAGACCTCTTGAGAGGATCCTGTAGAGGGGGATAGAAGGTGCGTGGCAACTTCCAGGTTATCAAGACAGATCCATAGATTGGTAGCAAATTGAGCTGTTAGGTATGCTATTGCTGCTTAAGCACCAGCTAAGGTAGCTTCTGCTTCTGTGTCAAAGACCTCTTTCCCATATCCATATGAGAGTGAGGAGTGGAGGAACTGATGGTATGCTTGAAATCTAATGTAGCCACCCTCTGCACGTCCGTCTATTAGCCTAGATCCATCTGAAAAGATTACAATATCCGAGCTAGAAATGGTATGTTGAAAAGCCATGAAATTAGCCGCTACCTGTTTCTTAGTACGTCCTATGGGAGCTTCTATTTAGGCTAAGGCACTCTTGCGTGACTCATAAGGATATCAGGGAGCATGTTATAGAGGGTTTATTTATTTAGAGTTGGGGAGCGCCAGCACTCAGCGGGCAAATTGACTGGTTTGTCGGCCATCTCTGGCTATCTGTTCTGCGCGTCTTCAGAGTGGGTAGTATAGATTAAGACGCTATAGGCGGACCAATGTTTGGAGGGCTATTTAATCTAGTTTAATTTCTGGTGGAGAGAATCCAGACTCTCGGTATAGAACAGATATTGGGGTTGTGCGGAAAACTGAAAGAACTGCTCTTGCACCTGCTAGTATTACTTTAGTTAGTTTCTCAAAATGTTCTCCAACTCAATTTAAAATTTGAGAAGGCCTAGGGCAAGTACATCCTAGCCACTAGATTTCTACACCATAGTATGCTTTATGGAGTACACAGGCTAATACAGCCTACTATAGTAAATGAGGTTTGACTCCACAGATAGTATTCCCTAGAGAGTGAAGGGTATTAGTCACAGTGAGGGCTTTAGCTACTGTTTCACCAATATGCCATTTAAACATTAGCTTTTTGTTAAAGAGGATTCCTAGCCAATGTAGATATAGCTATTTAGTATTTTTTAAGATTATAATAGATCCAGCTTTTACTGAAGGTGTGCAGATTGGGTCCTGGTCTATTTTATGTTGGGAGAAGTGAAGAAGCTCATATTTATCTGATGTAAATATAATGCCCTCTGCAGCGCCCCAGTTTAGAGCTTCTTGTAGTGAGTCTGATAATGCTTCACAGTTAGTAGCAAGAGATGTTAAGATTGCCAGATTAGCTACATCATCTGCGTAACCAAATCTGTTCCTTGGGTTTCCTAGATGGAATAGAGGCACTATGTAGAGCATGAAAAGAATGCTAGATACTGGGGATCCTTGTGGAAGACTGCAGGCAATGTCTATTGAGAGGCCAATCTCTCCATCAAGTTAGATCTGGACTGATCGCCCAGTAGCAAAGGAGGCAATCCAGAGAACAAGATTAGTGGGCCAGCCCTGCTCATATAATCTACAGATGAGTCTGCTAGGAAGCATGGCATCAAAAGCGCCCTTAACATCTAGGGTAAGGAGTGAGGCAGTCATGCCTTGATTTAGTGCCTGTTCAACATTATGTGTTAGGCATATAGTTAGATTATTTGCAGATCTTAGTGGGAGAGCCCTAAACTGTTGCCTTGCTAATACTTTGTAGTGTATAGAGATCCATACCATATTCTATGCCACCAAGCGCTCAAGTCCTTTACCAAGAACTGATAGGAGAGTGATTGTTCTGTATGATCTAGGTGAGAACCAATCAGTCTTTTTTGGTTTCTAGATAATTACTAAGATTACATGTTGAAAGCATTTTAGGTAATAACCAATCTTTAGGCACCCTTGGTATAACATTAGTACCTTGTCCTTGATTAGAGGCCATGCCACTTTAAGTATGCAGGTTGGGATTTTGTCTGAGCTAGGGGCTGTGTTTCCTGCCTGAAGTACTGACTCCTTCACCTGTGCCATTGTTATATCTGGGAAGTAGAGACTAGTGGTAGGGACTGCTGGGGAGTCCAGAGGTATGTCTCCTGCCTCAGCCAAGTTTTAGAGAAGATTACAGACTAGTACATCTCGTTTCTCATGTATAGTAACTGCTAGGAAGCTGTTAGGTCTCAGTGGATCCTTTAGTGGAGGGCTTTGGAAGGTGCCTGTGGACTTATACTATTTACTCATATTAAAGACATCCTTCATTTATATTGCTGTAGAGAGCTTATCTCGCCAAAATTGTCGTTGAGACTATCTAGTTATCCTGCGGAAGTCTATCTTTGAGCAGAGGTCTAAGTAGTAATTGTGTAAAGCTTTCTTGCAGTCTTCATTCTACTATGATTATCCTATACCTTGTGTCATAGTCCTCTTAGCAGAGCCTCTATATGCTCCTTGAATTGTAGATGTTAGTTTTTCAGCAAGGGCATTAAGATCTTCTTCTGTTGCGGCTGAGCTCTCGGTGCCAGCGAGATTAGAGGTGAGGAGCGAGAGGAAGGAGGTGTAGTCTAGTGTATCAAATCTCAGTTTCTAGGCTGTTTCCTTGTATCTCTGATCCCATGGAACAGTGGTAATTAGTGGTTAATGATCTAAGGTTGTATCTAAGTGGCTCGCTATACTAGCTTTGGCTCCTGCGAGTGCCAGAGGGCTTGAGGCGAAACTAAGGTCTAACACGTTACCCCTTTCATGTGTGGGACAGTCTATGTCGGAAATAAGTACTAGACCCTGGAGATCCAGCTAGTTGATAAATGGCTCTGCAAAAGTTGTAGGGCTGTGTTGTAGCGAGGGTTACCATCTGTTGTGTAGTAGGTTAAGATTGCCTGTAAGTATCATTGTTTGAGGGAAATACTCCTCTAGCAAGGTTGTAAAAGCTTTTGTGGCTTCATCTGCTCTGCTGCAGCCTGCTGGGGCATTATAGATGTTAACTATCAGAGCAGACTTTCCTGTGGGCGAAAAAATCTGAAGGAACAGGAGATCTGAGGCTTCTTTAGTGTCAGTTGTAAAGAGGCATAGCTGGGAGATCCGGATGCCTTTCTTCTTTCGGATATAGGTGAGGACTCGTGGTCGGCCACTTATTGCCCAGCTATCAGTTAGGGAGAAGCATTTATATAATGGATATTTTTTAATGATCTGTTAGCTGAGGTCTTTGAATGTATATAGTTCTTGGATTAGGATAATATTGATGTTACTAGTGTATGCCAATATGAGGGCTATTTCATGTGCGTCTGGCGCGTGCCCTACATTTAACTGTAGGATTTTGAAAGATGCCTTTTAAGTTGGATAGTGATAGATTATAGCTCCTGTTCAAGAAGAGAGGCGAACCAGTTTTATAGTTAAGAGGTTATGAAATAGACTGCACAAGCTGTAATAGGAGGATCTTTAGTTAGGGTGCGGGATGGAGAGGTTACTAAATGGAAAGGAGAGATAATCTCATGAATTAAAGGCTGTGATGGCATCTCATCTAATGCCATAGGTATTTCTTGTGTGCTTATGGAGAGCTGAGAGCTACATCCTCCTTCAGTTCAGGCTTTTGCGAGGTTTATAGCACAGGATTTGCGGATCTCTGTTTGTTAAGCTTTAGTATATTTAGTATTGCCTTTGGGGCGTAGAAGGCATTCTACAAAATTAGCTAGATATAGTCCATGACAGTGTATACATCTAGGAGGGCATTGATGAGGCTTTAGGGCTGTGCAGTGGTTGACATGGCCCTCTTCAGTATGCTCTGAGAAGCTATATAGTTGGCATTGAGAGGGGCGTGCATAGGATCGTGCATTATGCTATTTCCAGCATCATATGCATTGAATAACTATTGTTTTCTTAGAGAGGTGACAAGTATTAGTGATAGTGCTAAAAAGACGTAGCTGGATAGGCAGTAGTAATTTCATGCCTTCTAGGAAGTTGACAAACCAGCTTGAGGAGAGAGTATCAGGGTTGGCAGCACTCGTAGTGGTCTCGCTAATAAATATAGGCTTAAGCCCTGTAGTTTCGCTAATTTCTAAGGATAGTAGTGTAGGATTGACAGGGATTAGAGAGTATTAACCATCCAAGATTTGGCCAATTTTCCTTGGCACATTAGTGACTCGGTACGAGACCCATTGGGAGCTGCGTTCTATCTGGCAGTTAACAAAGAATGCAGAGATAATCTCTTTTTGGGTCTCAAGGGCTAGGAGGGCTTCTGGAGATGAGGGGCATAGTGCAAATCTAGTCTTTGTAGCTTGGACTTCTTTTAGTGCTGCACTATTTAAGTTTAGTTGAGACCGTAGGCTAGAGTAGATAGCGTAGGCTTCCATTTTTCTGGCTGTATGGTCAGCTGGGAGGCGTACAAAGAGCCGGTTGTCAGGAAGGGGTTGTTTCACCAGAGGCATAGGCTTTTTAACGGAGGCTTTAGAGTGAGTAGTGGGAGTTGATTTGACCAGGGCATATTAGGTAATAGTCGCATAAGTTGACTGGTTAAGACCTGAGGGGGAACGTGAGGGAGGGGGTGAAGGGGGTAAGGGATTTAGGATGGAGGAAGAGGAAGGGAAAGGAGACAGGGCAGGTAGAATAGAGGTTGTCGAGATACTGCTAATATAAGCGTTGAAATGTTGTTAAGCTACCGAGGCGAGGTCATCGCTTAGAGCGGTGAGGGCTCTCAATAGGTGAGGAGTAAGGCCGGTGGTTTGGCTGCGGTGTTTATCAAGGAATGCAGCTATGGGGCTAAAGATCTTCTGTCCTTTAGAAGCTCTTGTTGTGGCTGCAGACGTGGATTCCAGAAGGGCTGTCTGTAGAGGGCCGTCTGTACCAGGGCCTTTACGCGCCATGGTGTTGCCGGGCGCGTTGAGACGCGTCAAAGGCTGCACTCCTGGGAGCTAGGTGGTAGAGAGGGTTGAGGATTTTGAGCCTCCGACTGTTTGATATGAGTAATTATAAGGAAGTCGCCTGCAAGAGTAGGGGGGCTTTCCCCCCTGTGAAATAAACAAGGTTGTTTCGTCAAAAAAATGGACATGATGTCACGTGATTTTTGATGCCCTAACAAGGAGGGTACTGTCCAGGTCGCGCTCACAGTTTGTTGATATACTCAACTCCAGGATGAGCTTCCTTTGCCGTAGATGGGAGTATGCTCATCATTATATGCATATAAGAGGATATTCTTGGAAATGGAGAGAAAGTGACTAGATATATCAAAAGTCGTCGGTCACTCATGAAATAATATATGGGATTACGTCTGTGAATCAAGTGTTTGTGTAGATGAACACTACTGATCATTCTGATATTCCATTCTCTGAGACTCTGTACGATATATGTGTTATTCACATAGAAAACTATCAGAATGAATTTTCGAGGCCTCGCTGGGTGACTGCTGTAGGAAGTCTAGACTTTCCGGGCTTTCCTAAATCAGATCAATGATTTCTTAGAGCTAGAATAAAGTCCTCTCAACATCGAAATGGGCTCTTCTCGTGCAATTGGAAATGAAATGATACTATTGAGAATTGTGGGAAACTATCAAAATTTTGTTATTGTTACTCAATTTCGACATGGACCCTATTCCACCCGCACAGCTCCTTTCCAAGAGCGAAGCACACGTTCGAGCTGGTTAGTATCTCCAGTATCTGGTTTCAGCGTGATATAGTTTTAGGAAGGTAATATTAACTTTATGGGCTGGAAAGCTCTCTATTACTGAATTCTGGTTTGAAGTGCCTCTCGACTACTCGAAACCAGAGTCGCGGACAATCAGGTTATTTGCCAGGACAGCTACCAGATACAGTAACCCGATTGTTCCCAGTACTGCAGCAAAAAAGGTCCAGCCGCCGTTTCTGGTATTCTTTACGGTAAGTAAGCGTCGCAGCAGAATACTCCAAAATCCACATACAGTATAATTACGTAGTTAGGATAAGAAGACAATTGACTCTTGTTTTCTGAATGAAGGGCGGACCGGGGGCAGGGAATCCAGCACCACAAGAAAGCCCTATAACTTCGTTCATGATAGACTATGGATATGACATTGTGTATCTGGATTACCGAGGAACTGGCAACAGTTCTCCCATCTCGGCTGAAACCCTGGAATTGATTGGCGGCCCAACTGAACAAGCGCAGTATCCTCGATTGTTCAGAGCCGACGCTTTGGTAAAAGACTGCGAGGTTGTCCGTCAATGCTTGACAGATAATTATCCCCCGGAGCTAAAGAAATGGACCATCTTTGGACAGTCGTTCGGCGGGGCCGTGAGCTTGAATTACTTTTCCTTTTATCCAGAGGGTGTTCGAGAGTGTTTTATCACTGCCGGACTGGGCTCGCTTAGAACGCAGCCAGAGGAACTGTACGCCAGAATGTATAAAAGAGTCATCAAGCGAAACAAGGATTATTATGCCAAATATCCAGCGGATGTTGGGTTGGTCAAGGACGTCGCCAGTCATATTCGCAAGTTGGGCGGTCAAGAGGGTATTTTATTACCCACTGCTGGACGACTTACCGTGCAGCGCTTAATGACACTCAGGCTGCATTTCGGGGGCGATGGAGGATTTGACAGAATTCATGATCTCTTTACAAAATTGAAAGCGGACCTTGATATTTATGGCTTCTTTACCAGACCGAGTCTTCACGCCTTTGAGCAGAGCATGTACGTCAAGTCGCGCAGGACCACGAGTGGTTTCGTTTGCTAATAAGTCAAAATAGGACATGGGATATTGTCCCAATTTACGCAATGCATGATAGTTGGATGGTGAACGGTCCTGGCATCGCTTCCAACTGGACCGCAGATCGAGTGGGCAAGACACTTGGTACCTTTCCATGGCTGGCTGAGGATTGGCAACAGAGCTCTGATAATGAGCCTCTATATTTTTCCGGTGGGATGCTCTACCCATTCCTATTTGATACCTACGCAGGTCTGGTGAAGATAAAAGAAGCTGCTCAGCTAATTGCCAAGTTCGACGACTGGCCGTACCTATACGATGAGAAGCAGCTGGCTAAGAATGAGTTTCCGTATACGCTGCTTGCTTTGATGATATGTTTATAGACTCAGATATGGCCAGGGAAACGGCGTCGAAGATTAAGGGAATCAAAGTATTCGAGAGAAACACGATGTCTCATGGCGCGTTGTTGTCTAGACCGGGAGACGTGTTGCGCGAGCTAATGCGCTTGAGGGATGAGAGCAGAGATTAGTAGCTACATGTTTATCAAATCTATAAACTGTAAATCAAATTGCTTCGGACTGAGTCTCCCCGTTATCTAACGACTAGACGTATAAAAATTAACTATGAGCAATTCCGATCCACGAAGGCATGAAAGTAAGTTTAGTATTCACCTTGCACAATTATTGCCCAATCTTTCGCACTTTGATATCCCGATCAGCAGCATTGAGTGAACCAAGTAGACAATACAGGTACATGTTGAAGTTTGCTATATGTTGGATTTAACAGTACTTGGGCAAAGACATATCTCATACTCTCAGGTTTTCTAACATTATCACATTCATTTGCACGACTTAGATGATATTCCAATACCGGCTAATCTGATCGCTATATTCCGATTTGGCCCCTATTTTCGTTTCCTTATCATGAGTCTTGCTTTAGGGTCTGGGATGATGAACTCTAACAAGTAAATGTTTTTAGGCTTGGACTGGTCATCTGCGAACTTGAATTCGTAGTCCCGTAGCAGTCGTGAGACCACCATTTTCAAGATGCTGATGGCAATATTTCTCCCTGGGCAGGCTTGACTTCCGTACCCGAAGGTAAGATTCTCCAAACTGGGCTGTCCGGCAAGATGCTTGTGGCACTCCTCGGCCGCCACTTGTCGTTTCCCGTAGCTTCTCATGGGATCAAATTTCTCTGGCTCTGGTGCAATATTGCTGTCAATCTGATTGTGAATACTGACCCAGCCCAATAGAGCTCCCTTGGGTACTTGGAGGCTGTCTTTGAAAGTAATGTCTTCTACAGCATATCTGTTGGGAGTGACTGTGTAAAAAGCAGTATTAGCAGGGTAAAACGAGCACAAGAGAGGATAGAAGGCCACCAACTTGCTAACGGTTGACTCAATCTCTGACTCCCGTTGAAGAAGCTGTCTAGCAATTCCAGCTTTGTCACCCACTCCTTCATTGGCAATTTCTCGCCAATCTCACCATGCTCCTTGTTAACTTGCAAAATTTCTTCATGCAGAGTGGGACTCTTAGTATGGGCGGCGGGAACGAGCATGACGACGACAAGCTTGTTCAAGTTCTTTAAGACATAGTCTTGATCTTTGATATTGTCTAAAATCCAGGCTACCATGTTGTCCTCTTCTTCAATTTCCAAACCTTGCTTTCTCTTCATCTTAGCCTCTTCATGCCTGGCTACGCAGGGGTCGGTAATGTTGAAGACTCCCTGAAGACGCTTCCTCAGTCGTCGCCTCTGAGGGATCACTTCTGTCAAGAGAGGATGCATCCACTTTGGTACCAGACGCATAATAATGGACGCCGTGATAAAGTCTTCGGTAAAGTGCTCGGCAAGATCCATCCACTCGGGACTACGGCAGGCGGGTTTGCCGACAATCATCTTGCCGACAAGGCGAGCCAGGAGCTTTTGAATCATCAGCTGAACATCAATGCTAATCCAATCTGTTTAATTGTTAGTTCCCTTCTCTAGGATTGACTTGCTGATGTTTTGGACATACCTTCCGCGTCCGGGACTTCCATCTCAAGAGCATAGTCAAGCTCTTTCCTCACAGCTTCTAGGTATTTGCCCATTTGATCGTTACGGTTCTCAGAAATTGCCTTGATTGGAACTTCGGAGTGACTCCAGAGAGTGTTCATTGCCCATTGATCACCCCATTCCTAAGTCCAGAATTAGCATAGTATTCTAAATATAGTTTGCTTAGGGAATAGTGCGAAGTTCCGTAAGGTACTTCGTCGGCAAGACTGTAATGTCAAGGTCCTGACGACGAAGAACGAAAGGTTTTTCTCGGTACTAAACAACTCCTACATTTAGTATATGATCCAACAAAGTCGTCTTATCTATCCACTCTCTTCTTAGCCCGGGTTTGAGGAATCATCTACCTTCAAGTAGCCGCTAGATATGATGTTATGAGCCGTAAAGGCGTATCGCAATTGCAATAGCCATGTCGGCTCAAACCATGACCAGTAACCGTGAACAGGCGCCCCTTTCACTCTGACTCTTCTGTACGCGCGGCGAACGATGTCAGAGCCCAGTAAAGACAGGACACTAAAGCTAGTATTTGCCAAATAGTCAGGCTCTTTATAAAATCCGTAGCCCTCTCTTTGATTATAGGAGTGATCTCCTCCCGCTGAGAGCCAAGCTGGACAAGCTGGTCGTAGAATGTCTTGCTGAGAACGTCCATCTTTGTCTAATGAGCTAAGGACGATACCTACAAATACGAGATGCAATTATCCAGTGAGCATATTTAGATTAAAAACCATCAGTTAACTTGATCCAGTACAGTATGTCTCTCGTAATTCTTTTGTGGTGCCCTAATCCGATTTATAAGTGCGGTAACCATTACCCATCACGGTCTTCTTAATTCTTCCTTTGATGCTTCGCATCCAAACTGATAACTGGATTTCTTTCCACTGCATTCGTCTACCGTGATTTAGCCATCAATATGAGTCCTGCAGCCGTCGAAACTGAGTCTGCTTCCCACGATGCGGTCCCCAAGCAGCGCCGCTTTGGTACTTTCGACGTCCCTGATGTCGCCACGAAACGTATGGAAAAGGCAGGAATAGATCTTAGCCAGGGTTATCCTGAGTACCCGGCCGAACTCAAGACGTTCAAGGATATTCACAATCTACAGCCAGGACCTATAGAGTTTTCTGACCCCGGTGCCCGCGCTGACCGTGAGAAGAAAGCTCTCTTCGGCGCCGCGAAGGAAGTGCGCCATTTGACTTACTATTGCGGAACTGAGATCGTGGGTCTGCAGCTCAAGGACTTGACACCCACGCAACTAGATGAGCTGGCTCTCTTGGTTGCTGAGAGAAATGTTGTCTTTTTCCGTGATCAGGATCTTTCGCCCCAACAGCAAAGGGACGTCACAGGACACTTCGGGCCTATCTTCGTATGTTACTTCTGCCTATCCTGTTCTAGCTGTTCTTGACGACTTCTGGATAATCTGACTCTCTGTGTTTCTTGTTAGTGTCAAGGTCCTCACGTACCTGGCGTTCCGGAAGCTTCTGTCATCTGGTCACAATTCTTTGCAAGCCATATTCGCAAGCCGACCTTCAGAACACCATTCCAAGGATGGCATACGTAAGTTATATTTTCCCACCCATAGCAAAGTTTATGGCCGACTGATCGTGGTACATTATTATTCAGTGACATTGTCCACCTGAAGCAAAACTTCGGAATCACCCATCTCCATTACGACACCGTCCCTCCTTATGGAGGTGACATCCTCTGGGCCAGCGGATACGCCGCTTACAACAAACTGTCACCCTCCTTCAGAGACTTTATCGACGGCAAAATGGCAGTCATGAGGTCAGGAGACCCCTACATAGACGAAAACGACCCCGGTGCCGGTCCTAAATATGTGGAAAAAATTCACCCGATAGTTCGAGTTCACCCTGCCACAGGCTGGAAGTGCCTTTATGTAAACGGCCCGTGGGTTCTGAGAATCCTAGGGTTGGAGAAGGCCGAAAGTGACATGGTTATCAAGTACCTTGTCGACATCTATGAGAATAGCATTGACATTTAGTGTCGATGGCACTGGACCCCAGGAACTTCCGCACTTTGGGACAATAGGTATGTCACTTTCCCCATTACCAATTTTTGAGAGGATACTAACAATTGGTATAGGTGTACATTGCACAATGCTAGTTGGGATTATGAGAATCGCGTGACTCGCCATGGTACCCGAGTTGCCACCATCGCAGAGGCGCCCTACTTTGACCCGAAGGCTAAATCGATGAGAGAAGATCTGGGCCTTGAGGATTAAAAATATTGGCATATGTTTGTAAAAAGCATACTTGTTTTGGACCTAATATCGTGCTCTAAGCTGGCTACTTATTGTTAGTATCATACCTAGGTATCGATAACAGTGTCTCCATGAGAACAAGAATTACATTGCCTTCATTTTAATCACTATATATGTTCTTAAAGCATGAATGATTCGTAAATATGTAATTATCATTGTCTTTGGTCGACATATCTAGTCTGAAGTACGTAATCCTTGTTATATGCTACGTGCAGCCAGTCAAGCACCCCATCGAGTATATTTTGTTTACGTAGGTTAGGTGTGTACTCAGGGCCTTGAGCAACATGTATAGTTCCTAAAGAATTGCATTTTATTTGGGGATGTTTCGACAAACAAGGACAATAAACAAATGCACGTTTTAATAAGTACCATTGTGTAGAGACTTCACACAATCGCATATATATCTATATAAGAAAACAGAACTTGGAAACAGGGAAAGGCCAATTTGAAAAAGCAGCAATATCTCTATAAGAACATGATCTTCTAGAGCTTCATCCTGACTCTCCTTCTACCTTCTACGTTACTTCTGCTTTTAGCCAGTATTCTAGTTCACAAACGCACTAAGACCGCGCGATCCATACTTTGGAACGCCAAATTCATTGTCGACAACGGGGAAGACATCGGACTCATCACAATCTCCCAGCTTAAGTCGATAGTTCTTGTTAGGACGGAACAATGTACCAAGGATAAGGTACATTTGAGCCCAAGCAAGACTAGAGAGGTATATTAGAGAGTGAAAATAGAAATGGTAGTTTGTATAACTTACTGCATTCCGACACAATTTCTTGCACCGCCGAGGAAAGGGTTCCACTTTCGTTCCATACGGGGGTGGAGAGATGGGGACAACCACCTGTCCGGATTGAACTCCAAGGGATTGGGAAAGACTTCCGGATCGATGTGCATAGTGTAAGTTGGCATGCTGACTGGTGTGCCTTTCGGTATAACGTAACCTTCGTAGACCAAGTCTTTATCCGTGCAGATTCTCGATTTGCGACGGAACAGTCTCAACAATCTAAGTGCAATTTAGCTATAACAGCTCACCCAAGGGAAAAGTCGGTCTTGACATAAGGCAAACTGTACTTACCGTAATCCCTCTTTGAGACAAGCCGTAAGATAGTCGACCTGTTCTAACTTGACCCAGCTCACCACATCATTATCGAATCCAGCCATAACATCTTTGAGTTCGTTGCGTAGCCGTTCTTCTATTTCTGGTTTGGCAAGAATGTAATACGCCACAAAGATAAGGGTAGCAGCTGTCGGGTATGTTCCAGCTCCGAGGAAAGCGACGGCTTCAGCGTTGAGACGGTCTGACCTCTTTTCCGATTCGGGGATGTCACTTCGAAGGAGGTTGTGAAACATTGAGTCGCCTGCTCCGTACTCGCGAGTCTTTTCCCGAGCCACTTCTTCTCTAATTTTGGCTATGCGCTTTTCTCCAAGCTACAGGGAAAAAAAGGATGGCTTATTAGAAAGAAAACCAAGCTGGAAGGAAGTATACACACCATCTGCAGAATCTTAAATCCGGTGGAACGAGGAATCAGAGTTTGTACCAACCATGCAGGAACGGACTGCGTAAATCTATGAGGAGGAATAGTTTAGCGGCCATAGCTATAGAAGGTCAAGGAGGATACACATACTCTCCAACTTGGGGGAAGTGACGAATGACCGGAATGATACGAGCAGCGCCTCGAATCATATCGTACCACTCGGGGGTAGATGCAGGGGCATCGAGCAATGAAGGATTCTCTCTGCAAGCAATCTCTCCCACAATATCACCAGTAAATGATGTAAACATGTGGTCGAGTCGAATCTGTAAGCCCGTATTTTTGGCATTGGCCACTTTTCGATCTAGAATTCTGAGCTCTTCATCGATGACATGTTGGAGGCGTGTGACATTCTGGCGAGATAGGAACTTTTCAAGTGGCTTTCTTCTCAGTTGGTGCAACTCGAAGTTACCTGTTGCTCCTATGGAATCTGTATACAACAAGTTAGTCACGGCTATATAGGCGGACGCAAGTTAGGACGCAAGCTTGTTGCTTACCCTCTTGACCCAGTCCTCGAGGTGGAATGATATCTGTTCGGTGCCTCGCGGCAGTTGCGAATACGACTTGAAAGAATTCAGCGTCGTCGACATGTATTTCTCCTGGAGCCACCCTAACAATAGGACCTAAGGCATTTTGTCAATACCACAAACCGGGTTTTTTCAATGCCGTAGAATACGAACCATATTTCTTGTGTATTTGAGCTAGTCTCTGAGGAAAGTCGTGCGGACCAATATCAACGAGCGCCTCGTACCAGGTTGTTGCAGCAAGGAGCTTGGGTCCCGGAAACCCAGCCAGAGGATGGAAGTACAGACGATAAATCAGTAGCCCAACGCCATATGTTATGAAAACCCCGATGCCAGCCAGTGCAATATGCCAGTATGTAAAAGTTTTAAAATCAACCGGCACAGGCCCGATACTCTTTGCAAAGGACAGCAACCCCATGATGGCCGATCTGAGAAAACGGAGCCGTTGAATAGGTAACTGGTTGCAAAAGAGAGAGAAATAGAACACAGCCGAATTACAGATCAATCACGTCCAAATAAATCAGCTTAAAGAGCTGCATTTCTCGATATCATACTCACTGGATACTTAGGTACATTACTACATCGAGGTCCTTCGTGCTGATGAATATTACTTGTTCGGGAAGGCCCGAAAGCAACAATCTTGCCGCTATTTCCAACACAGGCCTCGGATCATTGAAATAGGCAACACACTCAGCCCTCAATTACCATATGCATTCATTCATGATTTACGTAGATTGTTGAATCATTCATCTACACAGACTATGTACAATTACCACATTTGCCCTTATCTAACATGGTAACAACTTGAGTAATCAAATAGATGAATTGAAAGCCATTAATTGTTGTCTATTCAACTATGTCTATGATCCTTGCTCAGAGCATTCGCTAGAGGAAAGTACTTTAGTTTTGTGGTTTATGATACTACAAAACCTATCACTGCAATCTACAGACAGATGCCTGCATTAGCGTTCAATGTCCGAAATCCTGAGGATACTATGCGAAGCTATGCTCATATGCGTGATAGTTCGACCTAATCCTCATTGTGCAGCTAGAGTCAGTAACTAAACATGAGAGAAAAAAGAAAGCGAAGAACTGGTTGACGCTATTCCAGGCTATTGATTCTAGTAGGGTTTAGATTTCCCATGTGATTTGGTAGCCCTAGCCCTATTCCTGCTCCTACCGGCATCGGGAAAATAATTCTCCGTAATTCATAAGGCTTCGATCCCGCGAATTGCTATTGGCGGGAAAGGGAGACAAAGCAGAAATTCTTTTGGATGGCTTTTGCTGTTCAAATCCACTGACTTTATTGTTGGGACCATGTCGTTTTAGACTTTGAACTAGTTGAGAGCCTCTTGTGACAATCTAGGGAACACGATTCCAAAGTGGCTTAGATGTTACGCATGAAAAGGGAGCGAGTACGGAGTACGGAGACATAGCCTCTGTAACTTCCATGATATAAAGTTTCCCTAAGCTCAGCCTCATATGGAACCAGTTCGTATTCAGACCCCTATTCCATACGTATTGATACTCGCACAAAATGTTTTGCCTTTTGCTTGAAACATTATTGACATTAGGATATTTGCTTATTATGCGCTGTAGCATAATGATTACTCCTTCATTTTGATCGAGACGAACGCATTCGTCAGCATCCACCCAATCCGCTAGCTGCGATCTGGCCGGAGTTTCAGACTGTTATTTTACGTTATTTACCCCCAATTACCCGCAGTTTCTCCAGCGCTTGGCGTAATTTATGTACACATCGCGTATCGTCAGGCTAAAAATATAAGTAAGGCTGATTCGTCTGCGTCATTCATATAAGTTCCAGCTTGGCGGCTAGTCGTCTCATATACTTCATCCTCTAATTGTTCTTTCTCATCTCCTCTATCCTTTTTCTTCCTTATCACAAACCCCTTCTCCCACGACAGATCGCCGACGATATTCGACGCTCCATTATAATATCGTCAACATGCTGTCGTTACGCAGCTTGGCCCTCCTGGGTCTAGCTGCCAGCGCCCTTGCTGAACAGCCCAAGGTCCTACACATGCCAATGGCCCGCAATCCGAATGCCAACCGTCTGGCCAAACGCGGCTCTGCTTCCGTCGGTGTCACAAATGCTGTGAGCGAAGGTCTCTACTACGTCAACGCTTCCGTCGGAACGCCCGGTCAAAAGGTGCAATTAGTCTTGGATACGGGTAGCAGTGATATCTGGTTTTTTGGCCCTCATTCGTGCGACGCGAAGACTACCGAATGTTTGGGCGGAATATGTACGTTCTCACGTCTTTTGGACTTCTCTTCCCTAGCATTCCGACTGCCATGTGCGCTTTTCCTTGGCACGTGGATCTGCAGATCTATCGAACAATCCACGTTTTTTCCCTTGCTGACATTTTTGATTTATTCTAGATAATCCCGTTAATTCTTCGACGGTCAAGACATACCAGCCCATGGGCACCTTTTCTATTCAATATGGAACCCCGAACTCGAACGTCACCGGAAATTATATCACAGATGCTTTCAGCGTCGGCGAGGCGAGCGTGAAGAACCTCACTATGGCATATGCGACCTATGCCGCTTATGTTCCCACCGGTGTGATGGGGATTGGGTTCGATACCAACGAGGCTATCGTAGGACGGGGCGGCAGAGCGTATCCGAACTTTATTGATGTGCTAGTATCGCAGAATGTCATCGATACCAAAGCGTATAGTTTGTGGTTAAATGATTTAGGTATTACTAATCCCGGCTTCTTATATACATGCAGTAAACTGACGAGCCGAAAGATTCAAGCTCTGGAAGCTGCCTGTTCGGTGGTTACGATACCAAGAAATTCACCGGCGAGCTCTTGACGATTGATATGCAACCCGATGAGCAGTCGGGTCAGTTCAACAGTATGACTGTCGCATGGACTGGTCTCTCTATAACAACCGCCCATGGAACCCAAAATGTCACTTCTTCCTCGTTCGCATCCCCGGCATTGCTCGACTCGGGTACCACATTATCCATTATTCCTAATGACATCTACGAGGAACTACTTCAATTCTTCCAAGCCCAACAAGACCAACAGGGGGACGCTATCGTCGATTGTGGACTTCTTGACTCAGCTGAGGGTTCTCTTGACTTTACGTTTGGTGGCGCCAACGGTCCGGTTATCAAAGTCCCTTTCTCAGAATTCGCGCTACCTGCAATTGGCACCGACGGCTCGTGGTTGACCTTCCAGGACGGTTCATTGGCATGTGTTCTCGGTCTTCAAGGGACCGGATCACAAGCTTCATCACAGTTGCCCGTTATCCTCGGCGATACATTTCTTCGTTCAGCCTATGTGGTATATGATCTCGAAAACAAGCAGATCTCCCTAGCACAGACCGTCTTCAATGCGACGGACAGCAACGTCGTTGAAATCACCTCCGCCAGTCCCGTTGCAAGTGTCGTCACAGGCGCAGTGGTCACGCAGACTGCAACTGGCAATCCCAACGAATTCGGCGGACCTACTGCTACTGTAGCGACTGGCTCTTCTCCTACCGGTTCGAGTGGTTCGGGTGGATTTGGCGGTTCAGATACTGCGGGGACCCTTACCGTCTCTCTCCCGAGCGTCACCCACCACGCAGCGACATCCACGTCAACATCTAGTTCAAAAAATGCCGCCAATATCGCTCCTACTCCAGACTTCATGAGCACCGCTCTCATTGCTGGGGCATCTATGCTACTTGGAGGTGCTTTTTTTGTCCTTCATTAGGAATAACGATTATTTAACGGTCGATAGTACGTTTAGTTTCTATTTGGCGCAGGTGTTTTACTTCTATTGAGAATCTTTTTCTTTCGTGTGATTGTGAACTGTTGAATATGAAGAAATGCCCTGGAGGATAGATATGGAATGTACATATTTAACAAACATGGCTAGACCAGTTACTGAACTCGTCTCTTTTCTCGTTATAATCATCGATCTACCGGGTACGTGCTTGCATCCTGGAAAGACGATAAAGACTTTGGATAATGCCTATCTATCTAGCTCTATTTCTTCAATTCATAGTCTACCGACAGGAAAACATCACCACGCAATCCTAGCAATCCATCCACGCGGCCACATCCTCACAACCAACTTCCTAATCTCATCCATCAACAAAATCCCCACCGCCAACGGAATCGGATAAAGCCAAAACTCAATCGGCGCCGAAGCAGTCTGGAAGATTCGTTGCAGGCCCGGTTCCTCAGTGACAAACACTGCAATTGCAAGACTGATAACTGCACTAGCCAAGAGCCAAGGATTACGACGCTCCTTGCGCACGATGGGGTCCGCTTGAAGGATTGAGAGACGTTTGTTGCGGACACTGAGGATATTGCCCCATTGGAGGAAAAGTAAAGTAATGAAATAGACGCTTTGGCCTACGGTGTTGAAGTAGGTGAGTTCGTCGGCGGTATAACCATAGAATCCGTCTGAGTAGCCTTCAAATGCGAAGATGAGGGCATGAAAGGGGATGCCGGCGTGTTTTTGGAAGTAGAGGAAGAACATGGCGTGGGCGCAGATGGTTTCCATGACGCCGATGAATAGGTAGCTCTGGATATAGACTTTGATGTTGATCAGATGATCCTTGCGATGGTTTCGGGGCGGAAGGTCCAAAAGGTCGAATTCTTCTTGTTCCATGATCAGAGACAAGGATAAGAACAGATCGGTGAACACGCAGATGATAATCATTAGGAAAGATGATAAAGGGAGCGGAACACCGAAATAGACATTCATCAACACAGGCCAGATTTCAGACCATGATCCGGCGGGAAGGAGGTAACTGATCACTTTTTGCAGATTTTGGAAGACGAGTCGACCGAGTCGGATAGCTTCGACGATTGAGTCGAATTTATCCATGAGCACGAGATCGGCGGCTTCGAGTGCAACATCGCTGCCGGAGACGACTGCGATACCGACGTCTGCAGCTCGCATGGCTGGTGCATCGTTTACTCCGTCGCCGGTGACGGCAACAACGTAGTTGCGTGTTCGGAATTCATTGACAATACGCAGTTTCTGTTCAGGCATGGTACGACCAAAGACGATCTCTTGATATCCGCAGATGACATCCCAGTCGGCGTCAGTGAGTTGGGATAAAGATGGGCCTTCGAGAAGAAGACTTGTTTGGGACCAGTCACTGTTGACATCGCTGCTGCTGCTGGACTCTCGTCGGCTGATAATTGTGTCGATTGTATCTGGATCCGCAGTTCCGGAGAAGATGCCTACGTCCCTTGCAATCGCGGCACCAGTAAGACCAAGGTCACCAGTGACCATGAGGAAGCGAATCCCGGCTCGGCGACAAGACGCCACAGTTGACGCTGTCTCTTTGCGAGGAGGATCAACGATGCCGAGTAAACCGATGAGGGTCAAATCTGAAAGACCTTCTTCGCGAATCTCATCACTAAAGGCATTTGAACCCTGAGTCTCGACAGGGGTAATGGTTCGCTGGCAGAGCATAATGACTCGTTCGGCGTTACGAGACATTTGCTCTTGTAGCGTGGCCAGTTGCGCTTCGGCATTCTCGTCGAGTTTCTGGATGCTGTTTTGTTTGTATGACCAATATTGCGTACAATGCGGTAGGAGAATATCGGATGCACCCTTGACAATCAACAAGAAACTGGGTCGATCGATCTGCTCAATCTGGTTTTCTTGTTCTGTTTCTGTCTTGACTGTTTCCGGTTTGTGGAGTGTGAGCATCCATTTGTTCGAGGAGTTGAATGGAATAGCAAACACTCGTGGGTTGACGTCTCTCAGTCGCTGGCAAGAACCATCTTCAACTGATTCAACAAATTTGAGTGATGCACCGTCAGTGGCGTTTCCCTGGACAAGACGCTCCATTGCCGGCATGCTCATAGTCGAAGCTTCAAAAGTACCGTCGTTGCAGATGGCGGCTGCTTTGAGCAATTCGCGAATTGGCGCTGCGTTCGTCTCCTTGTAAGCGGCAGCAGCGTCGGCAGCGGACATGCGTTCGTCCACAAAAGCCGCTGTGACGACTGTCATGCGGTTTTCGGTCAATGTACCTGTCTTGTCGGAGCAGATGACGTTGACGCATCCGAGTGTCTCAACTGTTGACAGACCCTTGGGAAGGATATTGTTGTCCTTCATGCGACGAGCAATCATCATTAACGTCAGAGCAACGCCAACAGGCATACCCTCGGGAATGAACGCAACCACACAGCCCATAACATCGTCCAGCATAGCAACCACATTCATAAAAGCGGGATGATCCTTGCGAAGCCAGCCCGCCCAAGTGAACAATAGCAAAGCAGCGAGGAAAACAGTCAAACAGACAATGATCTTCACGAATCGACTAATCTCGCGCTGGATCAAAGTAGGTTGACTCTTCACCGATGTCGTGGTAAGCGCAATATGACCCATAACTGAATCCTTGCCTGTTAATACGACAACACCAGTAGCTGAACCATTAGTAACAAGTGTCCCCATCATGGCGATGTTGCGAGTCTCGAGGAAATTTTCATCAGTCATGTTAGTGACGCCTTCGACTTCTTCAGATTCACCGGTCAACATGGATCGATCGAAACGTACGTCGCCAGAGGTGGTGAGTAGACGCATATCGGCGGGGACTTTGTTTCCGATGCTGATTTTGATAATGTCGCCAACCACCAGATCCGATGATGGAACACGGACGGACTGTCCAGATCGTATGGCGAGAGCTTCGGCGGGAAGAAGGTCCAATATAGCCTTCATGGTTCTGGCAGTCGACCAATCTTGAAAGGCCGAGAACGCGGCTTGTAAGAAGATGACGATGAGAACGAGAATACCCAGACCGAGGTTATATGGTTGCGGATCTGGATCACCGAGAGGACGCCAACAGATAAAGAAGATGATGACACCGATCCAGAGCACAGAACAGAATCCGCCAAAGATGTACGTGAGGAGTTTGAGGAGATAGTTCTCTCGCCGGTGGGGGAGGGCATTGGGACCGTCTCGGGCAAGGCGTTCCGAGGCCTCTGAGGGTGAAAGTCCATCGGCGTCACTGACACCGAGCTGTTTGCACAAAATTTCAGGTGGCAAACTGTGAAACTCGAGGTTCTCAAAGGATCCAGCGCTGTCGATTTTGGTATCCTTGCTGCTATTGGCAGTTTGAACTCGAGGCTTTTCGTGATCGTCTTCCAGGCGAACCCTCTGAGACTCTGAGAGTTGATAACTCAGACGTCGAAATTCAATAGGTACCTCAGAAACGGAGTGAGAGCGCGTTCTGGAGATAGAATTCCGGCTTTGAGAACGGCGACGGCTGCGACTGCTTCTGCCCCGTGTCTGGGGTCGACGAGTTACAGGGTCCCTCTCATCTGGGAGGAAAGTGATGCGCCCAGTACGGTTTTGGGCTTCGAGATCGGTATCATCTTGATCTTGTTCGGAGTTGGGGTTGGGGATCTTTTCAGGGTCGGATGGCTTGTTGTCCATTGCTTATAGCGGGGCTTGTGGAGGAAAGCAGAGCAATCTACTCAATATACACCCCGGGACCGTACAGATAAACAAGTAGTCACGCCTGTAGACTATCCGGACGGTGAAACGAGCAGACCAAATGAAAAATAATTCAAGTCATGGAAATGTGTGGTGCCCCTCAGGGTCTTAAGTAGGCCGTGGGAATCGATGTATGGTAAGCCATAACAGGAAGGTACACGCTGAGGAAAAAACAATTTCGTAAGGCAAATATTTTCACGCTTTGGAAGAAGAGGGAATTGTCCTGCCGTTGTGACTTAACGTTGGCTCCGAAGTGTCTTCCAGAATTAGCCCTAATGACGCCGAACGCTGGAGAGCAGCAAACAGCGCCACGAATTGATTCGCCGCGCTGTAATTTTTCTTACGATATAACTCGTATAATTCCCCCATTTTCTCTGAGTCGATAACATGGAACTTCAAGCTAAACATGCAGTGGACCACATGAAAAACTGATATCCCATGTAACGCGTGCGCGAGAAAAATAAACGTGCGACTGGTAGAAAAAAATCCCTCGTGGTTTGAAAGGCTTTTAGGGCTAGTGTTGCTGGTGGAGCGGGAGATTTTGGTTGCTCCAAATTAATCTCTCATAAAAATTCGGACGGCAGACTAACCTCCACCGTTATTTCTCCTCAGTCTCGGTGACTACAATATCATAATCAAAGAGAATAATGAGCAGAAGCTACTGCAAACTGACTCTGGATATACTCACCGCTGATCGCGCGTGGTGGAAAACGTGTACGTAATTCGAGTTTCTATTGAACACGATGAGTATCAATCATCTATGAAGGGGCACGATGCCCCTCGAATAATTTCACATGTGATAAACGGCGAGTGAATGGTCGAGTTAGCTCAGTCGGTCACGTCGATTGCATACTTCCACTAGCAGCCGCACAAAGCTTGGTTTCTCTGATCCAGTCGGAGTCTAAAACTTGAGTGGCTGTGAACCGGTATCGAGGACTCGGCTGCAATATCGAGTAAAGGACATGTCGGTGAGTTTGCTGGGAAAGATCAGTCCAGGGTCATAGAAAGAAACGAACGTTTGACTCACCGTGGAAACGAAGTCCATGTATTTGTTAACCCTTCCATTCTCCAAATCTGCCAAGTACTGCCGGTAGAACGCATCTTCTTCTGTAGCTCTTTTCCAGGGTAAGCGACCAGACCGCATAGCAAAGTAGATAATCCCAATAGCCCACATATCGCCCGCCGCAGGATCAAATGCCGCCTTCGTAAACTGTTCTGGCGCCATGTATGCAATCGTTCCCTTCAATTCTCGATGCTGGATACTTCTCTCCTGAAAACTTCGCTTCAGTGGCGCTGCCCACGGTAACCTAAAACATTCCGCATAGCAAAAATCTGTAATTTTCAAAGTTCCCTGTTTCGTTAAAAGGATATTTTCGGGCTTTAAATTTCGATGCGCCACGCCTACACTATGGATGTATTGTACGGCATGTAACAGCTGCTTGAAGAAACAGTCCGCTTCGTCGTGCGTGAGATGATTGACTTGCGTCAGCAGATCGAGAAGGCTGCCTGCGTCGCAATATTCCATGACCTGGCACAAGTCTCCGTGATCGTTGTGTAGCAATTCAATAACGCGGACGACGTTGGGATGTTGTAAGGTGTGCGCAATGCAGAATTCGGCTGTGACTCTCCTCGTGTACAGCCTAAAGCGGTTCTTTTGAGGGTGGACAAATACCTTGACGGCAAATAATCTCGTGGGTTGGTTCCGGACGTTGAGTTTTGATCGTACTAGGCATATTCGAATGTCGTTGGATGAGTCGTCGAGAAGATCTCGCTGATAGCTGTATTGTCTGGAGAGAAGTCGTTGGTCATGTTGATTTCTCGTCCTGAATTTCTTGAGAAAAGATGATGATGCTGATAAGACAGTGTCAAATGGAAGGTCCATGTCTGGATCATGTCCATTCAAAGCGTTACCGCTGCTTCTTCTCTGTTGATATGACTTAGGCAAGCAATGCTCATGACTGCCTCCTTCGAGCTGCGTATATCGTTGAATAGGGCCGACACAGACTTCTTTTCGAACTGAGGAGCTCTTTAAGCTCTTCCCCAACTGATAAAATGACTCCATATCTACCTGAGCTAACAGCAACTGTTCATCGTCGTCTGTATGAGCCTTACAATACCCCGAGAACATTTTCTCGTCGGAAATGTGGTCGACTGCTATAGTGTATAGAGAGCTTCTGTAGATTATCAGTCCTTGATTGCAGTCTGGTTTAAATAGAATAAATAAGCTACGTAGGTCGTAATGATAAGAGTCGGTCAGAGCAAGCCACAAAGGAGCGCTTACCTGCAACCCCTCTAGTTGTCTTCCTACTAGCTTATATGCAGGATTCCCTATCAACGCATATATCACTCCTTGTCCACAGGTAGCTTGACAACATACACAAATGGTTTCTGTAAATGCCTCATATACATTTCCTCCCCATGGGGTGAGCCAGAGCTGGTATGTTCGGCATGCCTTTTGCCTCGACACTGTCAAAGCGTATGTAAGTAGGGTGATTTGGATCTACTCTACATGCATATTTCATATCTAACTAAAATGTCATACAAACTACCTAGTACGTAGTCGATCAGTGAATGACATCGATGGAATGACGCGTGTAATATTCCGATGTCCACTTGTCGGTATGCATCAATCCCTTCAGAGCTTGGCAGGGAGAGTTACACGACATGAATTGGTTCTGGGGTACTCGGCTACGTGTGATCAAGAGATCGTTGCAGACCTGTTCAAACTCGATTGACTCAAAAATTCTAAGACTGTGGATCATAAGGTGTACCTAGGTAGGAGGCGAGGTTGAGTTGCCACTACTACCATGTATGTAAATGAGGCAGTGGTTCCAGTTTTGCCTCAAGGCAACAGCAAGTCACAGACTATTGCCTAATTCAAAATAAACCAGAATGTCTACTTCCAGCCGTAACATGAAAATGAGAGTAATGTATCACGAAATCACGCTGTGTATGTGTACCGTAACGTCCACCACGTCAGCGACTCGGTGCTATGTCCGTCGTAAAATCTTGGAGAATGGACAAAATAAAAGACTCATTTGTGAAAAATAGTTTGGTAATAGAAATCCAAAGATCCAAAAGTGTAGTATGAGGTTTTAAAATAGGCCATTGTTAGTTGTTGTGTTAATATCTCGGATGGTAGAAACAATTCCCTCATAATAGGTCCGCCAGGCAAAGTATGTCGATTCTAGCAAGCCCACGTGCACTCTATCTTTGCGGCTCCATACAATTAGTTCCAATGTTTTTACTTAGAACATTGTCTGATCTTATCTACTATAAATTAGGTATTTGGTTATTTCGATGCAACTGGGTGGAATATGATGAGATGAAAATTTCTTTCGGCATCGCATGTAGTTAGGGTTAGGGTTAGGGCTGCTCTTTAGGGCATCTCCCACCAATACCTAGGTGACTCTACTTACATATCTCCTTTGCCGGGCGGGGGATTTCTTAGCGCTCACAGTCAGGCTTACTGAGTAAATTTCAGTCCGGACTCACGCTCACAGCCGCCATGGGCACGTAATAGACTCTATAAAATTGGCGATCATGTGACTTGATTAATCAGCAACGTCCTTTCCATTTTCGGCCTTGTGTGTTTACGGTTGACTCCCACTCGCGTTCCAGTCGCATTGCTCACCACATCTCCGAGAAGCCATACACTGCTATGATAGATGAAATATTTTGCGGCAAATGTGCAGAATGCCGCGCCACAGATGAATTCAAAATCAACAACGCCATACCCGAAAATGCTCTTTGGAATTCGATGGCTGGAATAATTTGCTTCTTCAAAGGTAGAATAAGCCGGTGAGTAAGCCAAGTCTCAAGTTATAATACTTTTGAGCACACTATTTTAGCTTGTCTAATAGAACCAATGCAAAGTATTAGATAGGAGTTACGCATTTAACTTGGATGACCTACCTGTCAAGTTTGGTCCTCCACATGCGTAGGAAAATGCAGGCAGGAATACAGCAATGGGGGATTTTGTTGAGATTATTTGGAAGCAGGGATGGTTTCGCTTCAGACATATAGGAACTGCCAGCCCAAATTTCACATACCAATACCACTATTGCCAAGATCTGATACATGTCCGAAGCTACTAATCCTCAGTGGAGGCTCAGAGGCAGCGAGATAGCCAACGTATGGCACGATTTTCATGTGAGAGCAAGCTCAATATGCGGCCATGGTCTAAAACGGAAAAGGAAAGCCCATGAGCGTCAAAGGAAATCCAGTGTGTGTAGGTACGATATGTCGAACAGCCCAATTTGACAAATCTAGGGCATGACTGCTTCATCTTCTAGATACATCCACAAGCTCCCTATTACGAAAGATTCCAGAAAGTAAGATACAACACTCCGTAGTCTTTATCGCAGCGTCTTTGAAGGAAAATCCGGGGGAGCGGGGAATCCCCGAAACGCGGGGAGGAGATCTGAATATCGTCAATATTACTGGTTCATGTCTATTCAAGGCCAACAATGGGATTTGCTTATGTGGGGCTTGAGATATCTTTAAAATATGAGATCGGATACTTAGTATTCATCTTGAGATTTAAACTGATTTTATTGAAAGTTACAGTCCTTCAATCAAAATGTCCCGAATCAGTCCGAATCAGTTTCTGCTATCATCTAGCCTGATCGGTCTCGTCGCGGTATTGACTGGTGGCGCACAAGGTGTCGGCCAAAGTCTCGTAGAACAGCTTCACTGTATGCCTCTTTTGTATCATTCCTATCAAAGAAACCACAATCACTCATATGAAACACAGCCGCCGGCGCAAAAATCATCTTCGGAGACGTCGACGACAAGCTCTCCACAAACCTCGTCTCGGCCCTAAATCAAAATGACACTGAAGAAACGAAAAGAGTTCATTTCGTTCACTGCGACACCTCAAACTACACTGACCAATTAAGGCTCTTCCAAACCGCGTACAAACTCTACAGCAGAATTGACATCGTAATCGCCAACGCCGGAATCGCAATTCACAGAGACCCATTCGCACCCACCCTAGATTCAGAAGAGAGCATCCTCATAGCCCCAAACACAGCAGAGATTGACGTGAATCTTAAGGGACCGTTGTATACGACTCGATTGGGCCTGCACTATCTACGAAAGAATGATCCTTCCCGTACAAATGGATATAAAGGGGATATAGTGCTTGTGTCGAGTATAGCCGGATTCAAGGAATGCGAGGGTCTCACGACGTATACAGCTAGTAAACACGGTGTTATTGGGTTGATGAGAGGGTTGGCGTTGCAGGGGGAGAAGGAAGGGATTAGGATTAATACTATTTGTCCGTGGATGACTAGTAAGGTCCCTCTTTTCCTTTTTTTTTCCCCTGGTTTTCTTTGATGCAGAGAATAGATGGTTAATGATATTGTAGAAACGAGACTGGTCACTGGCATCGAACAAGGATGGTACAATCTCGGTCTCCCAGCCAATGAACCCGAAGACGTTGCGCGAGCAATCCTCATTTGCGCAACGGCGAATCGATCCAAAAGCCAACGCCATGAAGGCGCTGTGCTGCCCTTTTCTGGTAAGATTGTCTGGGTGGGTGGAGGGAAAAGTTATGAGATTGAGGATAGGATCCGGGCTTTGGAGCCTGAGTGGCTTGGTCGAGAGAATAGTGAGGTCTTGAAGAAGGGGCAGGAGTATCTTCATTCTGGGAAGACGAGTTGGGATGCTTCGTCTTGATACTATTCAATATCTAATATCCTTGTCATTTATAGTCATGTATAGGTAACGGTGCCTTCTTCTCGTAGTTTCCAGACTATATTATTGCGCCTCCGGCCAACATCCAACAATCGCCTTGTCATCCCCGTCAACTGTCAAGACTACATTAGCTCCGTACTCCAATGGGTTTCCTTCCCAAATCACAAAGTCGGTGTTCCTCTCTGAACCCTCAAAGCCAAGAATATCATCAATCTTTCTGGTGAATAGATTCACAACCTCCTTAGCTTCGAGACCTGCTTCTTTGGCGATTGCAGCTGCTTCTACCGGAAGATTTGCGATATGCCAGTCAACTAGAAATTTACCTAGATTAGCAACCTTTATATATTGATATACGGGAGGTGAACGTACATCCAGGAAGCAACGCAAGTGCAAAGTTGACATCCGACTCCACCAGAACTTGTACCGGGGAGATTGTCAACGGTGGCCCGACAAAGAGATCTTTGCTCTCCCAGGTCACTGGCGCAGAATGAGCAGCGGTGAAAATCAGAGGAAGACCAGCCGTGGCAATTTCATCGGCGACCTGCAGAATCAAATTAGCTATTTGCTTCATTTACCAAGACAAGACGGAGGACCTACACTTGGTGCTTCAGCAGCGCCATACACCACCAATCTCGCTTTGGGATAATCTTTCTTAATCTTAATTATTTGCAGAATGTCGTACTAAATACGATTAACACGGTATTATCTTCAGTTGTGGATTTGTGGTACCTTGTTCTCAGTATGAACGACAACCGCAATCTTCCCATCAGCAGCCTTTCCATATAAAGTATCCTTGCCCTTGTTCTGCGAGAGTATCTTCCGTAGAGCAGCAACAGACTTGGATACAGTCGGTGTTTGAGTTGAGCCTGTATGAATCAGTCGAGACCACTAGACAAAATCAGGCAAATAGCATACCCTTTGCTTCCTGCCCAACCACGAAATGTAGAGCGGCATCATCCTTGTATATCCCGCCATTGAGAGGATTGCTACCTTCAGATGTCTTAATACCAGTGCTGACGCCCTTCAAAAACCCGTCTGTGGCTGGATACGTAATCGAACGAGTGACGCCTCCAATACGTGATCGATCAAAAGTTTTCCCTTCAAAGTGAATGCCGTATTTAGCATATACAGCGGACTCTGGGTCATATATATTTACTTTGGAGTCATCAGCTCCATCAGCAGTGCTGTCCTCTGATAATATCTCAACGAGTCCTAGACCATTAGATATTGTGGTCAATCCGGGGAGGACATGCCCGTTGCGGAGAGAGATGACTTTGTCAAATGACTTGATTGAGGCGCATTCGGCATGTTCTCCGAAGCAATCAACTTTTCCATTCGTCAGGACCATTGTCAAGTTTCCTTCCGAAGACTGCTTGACGTGTTCACTTTCCAAATAAGAAGAACTGATACCGGTGATAAGTACCGTAACACCATGCTTTGGATCCGAGCAAAATGATTGAACATCTTCGGGTGCAGTTTCTGCACGCATGCTGGGCTTTTGCACTACGGCAGGCTCTGAATGCTTGGCCGTCTCCTCCAGCGTAGATCTGCCGTCAATGTATACTTGCAGCGGAGATGCGCCAGCAGATAATGGATGCTCATTCCAAACTACTAGGTCTGCATCATATCCAGGCTTTGTGTAACCAACGCGATGGTGCAGCTCCAAAGACCTTGCTGGAACACTGGTGACTGATTGCAAAGCAAGAATTTCCGGAAGTCCAAATGAATGTGCAGTGGCAGCTTGAGACCTACGCTCTTTAGCAATGCAAGTTCAGCTGAAACGTGAGAGTGAACTTACAGGAGATATCTGGCATTGGTGTTTGGCTCGACATGATCCTATCAATGGATTAGACACGGTTGAATATCTTAGGTGCATATGTGAGCATACCGATTTAAAGGCAAGTGGTACGCCATGCTCAGCCAGAATTTTACCAGCCTGCAAATTGCCCTCGTATCCTTCCTTTTTGTATAGGCTAAAGTCGGAAAATGTCGCGACTGTAATGTTCCTATTTTCAATTAGTGAGCAAGATATTTAGATAAGACAAGCTAACATACTGTCCACTACTCTTGATTAATTCAGGCACTTTCCATGCACTCAAAGCATGATGGAATGCTTGGATATGAAAGCCAAACTCTTCACTATGAAGAAGCATATCCTCAAAGTCTTCGGGCTCATAACAATGCACATTGATGTTAATCTTCCCTCTCAGCATAGCAACAGTCGAATCCAATTCAAGCTCTTCCGGTAGTCCTCCCTTCCCACTTGGGCCGTCAGCAAGTAAACCTGCCGCAGCAGAGGAGTCTCTATTCTGTTTCGCAATTGTAGCAGCAGCACACCACGCATCCTGGCTCTCCCGCAAATCTTTAGCCCGTGCCATATGGTGACGGAATTTCCAAGCATTGCCCATCCTAGTATGGTGGTATACTCTTTTGGGATTCTCACCACAGGCCATCTTCAAATAACGGCGTCGATCCTCTTTGGGAATTCCGTGTTCAAGAAGCAAATCTTCAACGACTTCTTCACTGTGCTCTCCACCTCTAAGCAAGTTCTTAACGGGGAAAGCTTCACCGCCCATAATGTTTGCTGAGCCGGGAAGAATGAGCGAGGTAGTGACACCGCCGGATGCAATGATAGTAGTAGCAATATCATACGGTTTTAAGGAATCAAGTGATCGGACCATGGGTGTCAGAGGTCCGGTCTCAGGATTGATTTCATTCTCATCTTTGGAGACACTGAGGATTGGCCAGCTAAGAGCCAGATGATGCGAGTGCATATCCACTAGACCTGGCGTGACAAACTCGCCGTTATAGTGACGAACGACGGTGTGGGAGTCAATCTCAATATCATTAGCACTCGTCGATGAGATAGACCGTACAACACCCTCTTCAAAGAGAATATCAACTGGCTCCGCAGAAATACTATCTCCATCGAAAAGAGTCACATTTCGCAAAACTGTAGTCTGCGACTGGCCAGAAACTGGGTTCCACCGCGGGTTACTGCGATTCGCAGAGACTGGGAGCGCGTAAGATACCAGCGGCCTATTGTACTCTTCACATTTTTGTAGATGCGCATCTAATCGATCCCATTGGGATTGAGCGAGTTGCGGCTCTCCGTGGAATTCAACAATGTATTTTGACTGGGGTGTATGGTAGTCGGATGTAAACCAGAGGAAGCCTATCACGATAAGAACTGGAAGGACCAAGCGACCGACTCGGAAGGGGCGGCGACGGAAGGGCGCCTGAGCGCGCATGGGTAATTCCTTCATGCTTACATATGTTATGAAAATAGGACAGGAATTGGAAGTTTTTGGAAGCCGGCAGGTATTTATATCTTACTGCTGCCTATCTATGAAGCTAAGAAGCGGGAGAATTGACGTGCTTGTTAGACGACGGAGTTCGGAGTAGCCTTTGTTGACAAAAGACGTTCCTGGCTCTTAGTCGGACTCACAATAGTTAGTGATTTGGAACATATTACCACAGAAAGACAAATCTACCGCATTTAATAGGTAAATGCTGGCGCATGATATTGAAAATAAACGCAATCATATCAATTGGCGGCTACAATTCCATGCTCAGCAAGCCTATGCTCTGTCGTTAGTCAAAGAGACCGATCTAGCATCCTCTACGTAGTGTAAACAAAACAAGTCGAATCAAAGGCGGTATTCAGCTTTTCTAATTCGTCGAATCCAAGCTACATACACGAGAGAATCCGCATACACTGCACAGTGATGCCCGCCGGAAGGAGAAGCTCGTGAACAATGATCATATTTCAGGACCGCTTTCCTCTTCCGTGGAAGGAATATCATCCAGATGCAATCAAGCCATTTTTAAAAAGAAGTCACAACAAATACCCCGTAACCCATATTTAAAAGAACTGCGCCAAATCAATGTCGTTCAACATTTACTCGTTAATTTCACGGAGACGACGGAGGGTCGAACGAGCAGCGGAGGCAGCGGGTGTACTAAAAAAAAAATAAAACCATCAGTCAGTCTGGTCGATAATACTTGGATGGATGTAGGACTCACGAGAGGGTGTAGGCACCACCGGTCATGGTCTTCTTGCAGCCGGAGCAGTTCCAGATACCGACGGAGTGACGGCGGACGGTGTTACGACCGCAGAAAGTGCTATCCAGATATTAGTATTGCATGTCGTCGCAGAATCCTAGCTGTTTGTTGTGTCCGACGTACCAGGTGTAACGAGCGTGCTGGGCAACTTCGAGACGCTTCAATTGCTTACGGAGGGAAGCACCGTATCTGATCAGATAGTTTAGTCATTGTTCGCGGGGTTGAGATTGACGCATTTGCTTCGTACCTGACACCGTACTTGCCGGTAATACCGACCTCTAGAGAACCAGTTAGCAGACTGTTCGACGAATATCCGTGCGGCAGAAGAGGAAGGGATTTCATCAACGTTGAACGTCGTTTGATGAAATTTGTCTATGGTATGTCGATGCAATATTTTCAGAGGAAAAAGAATTCCTTACTGGTAGTTCTCTTGGCCATTTCGACTAGCTGTAAATTCGAAGCGAGTCAGCACTTTGTTGAGCGATAGATTTAAAACGTTGTTGACGAAATTGCGAAATTCTCGATCGACCACAACGCAACCACCCAGATAAATCGAATTGGCGGGGAGAAGCGAGGAAAAGAATCTGAACGAGACCGAAATGTCAGATTCTAGGTGTAGAGACGTACCTGTGAACTCGATGTCGGCTAAAGACAGGTTGTTGGTTGCTGAGACTTGACGATGTGTGTGGATAGCCTCGAATTTGGCGACTGTGCGGTGCTTAGTCGGCGAAAACTTTTTCCGCGGTTCTTCGTGGTTGTTTTCGCTTAGGGCCGGGTCACGGGATTCCAGTTATCTGATTGGCGGATTTATTGCTCCACCGCAGAATTACTGTCTCTGGACAAGCATACTCTCACCACGGTCATAAATCAACGTCTGACCCTTTCACATCTGACTGACTGGCTAATCTGCCCGGTTAATCAATTTTAATCTAGAATTCGCATCTTCAATTCGTCGTATTTGTAATGGCGGTTTCACATCAGTCGACTGGCTCTACCATTGATCTGGATTGGGCGGAGGGCTCTGCATCGAGGGATCATCAGAAGGAAAACTAATTTCTTGGTATCTCTGCAGGCATTTACTCCCAGAATAGGTCTACACTCTTAGAAATATTGGATCAATTTTCAAGAACAAAAGAAATTGGCTACAGCCCTATACTCTGCGGTGAACGTCAAGCTGCAAACGTAGCATAACGACCATCAGTAGCAAACTACAAATACCAAAGAATCCAGCTCCCCAAAATACACACCACGACCTAAAATCCCGGCGATCCATCCATAACTCACGGATCGTGCTTGGCTGGTGAGAATCCAGATACATCTTCAGCCGGCGAAGTCGTGGCGCAAAATAGGGGAACCGTAAAAATGTCTCCATATCCGTCAGCTCGCTTCCCATAACAGAAGTCATCATGAACTTGATATCTTCTGGATAATTTGGTGCGAGCTTCAAGATTTCTTGCATTGAGGTTGGCGTTACTTGATGTTGATCCCATGCGCCACGGATGCCTCTGACTACTTTGGATGGGTTTGCAAGATTGAACGCGATGTGTGTGCCCGGTGAAAGGGAACAGCGATATAAGCTCTCTGAGAGAATATATTTTGTTGGACTCCGTTTGGGGTTAATGTCCAGTGTTTTCAATGTTTCCGGTATTTCTTCTTTGTCCCAGGGAAATATAGAACGGTAGATTTGACGGCCATTGAATGTCACGCATTTGTGCCATAGTATTTGCTGATCCTTTCCAGCAGTGACATAACGTTTTAGAAGTTCGAGATGATTGGAAGATATTGGACGGAACAAGAGAGCGTAAGTAAGACCTAGCTCATTGTGTGTTGGATCCAAGTAGTCGCGCTCATGTCTTTGAAATTTCAGATTAGAATATAATACTTCCTTCTTTGCAAGGTTCCGTACTTACTTATGTAGATCAACGTTATTGTAGAAAAATGTGGGATGAGCAAAGGCCATGAAAGCATTCCGACCTGTGTATATCTTTAAATGTTCATCTAAGCAATCAGTCCACTCTATATTCAACCGTCCAAAGCCCTGTAGATATGGAATGGAGAAGACCTCCGGTGAAAATATAGAGTCTGTACTTTCATCTAGAGGGAGCTCTGGAAAGTTATTGATTCCAACAGTAGCTTCACTATGGAGTCTCACATGCTCAAAGATTGCGTGGATCGTTTCAGACCTGTGCTGCATGTAAAACAGTGAGCATAAGGGCTCTCTGATTTCTCTGAATTTCCTCGTAAAATCTAGAGCCGTGAAGCAGTCATATAACAAATCAAAATGTTTGGTGTAACTGTCGACATCGCTGGCATCTGGCTGATTGAGAATTCGGCGTGGGTAACATTTATGAAGAAGCTCCTCCATAGTCAATGAGGAGATACTTTTACCCCGTAATGTGTGTGCTACAAGCGCCAGCACTCACACTGTCTGGAGGTCACGAAATGGTCTTTCTTTGATAGGTTTACCCGGCCCACAAGCATTGATGACATATATCTGCCTGCATGCGATTCGGACAAGGATTATTAGTAGACGAGGGAGACGAGAAAGCTCGAAAAGCATCCTTGATCTTTCGGGAGAACCACTCAAACCAGTCATTTGATATGCTTCAACTCCGAAGATGGACTCGATCAGAAGCTCGCGGGATTCTGTGAGAACAGACTCATTAAACATAACATCGTTGTCCTCTTCGCGTCGCCATCCTATGAGATGATATATCTCTTGAAATCTGCTAAAAGCTGACCTATAGGCGCGAATAGCAGCCTTCTTTTCAGACTCTGTTGACTCATCGGTTCTTTTCCAGAAATCTGTCCGGGACATGAATTATCTGACAGAGCGTCAACTGCGTAGACGACCACCACAAACCTTCCCACTTCTGAGTGTATTGCTTATTCTCCGTCTCAACCTCGTCCATAGACATAGGTTCTAGCTTTTCCCAGTCCGTGATCTTTTCTGGGCGGCCATTCCTTACTTGTTCGTAAATAGTTTTGGAGATTTCATCCTTTTCCTTGAGTTCTGCTCGAGATTTACTGGAATTGCAGATCTTTGCATCTTGTGTTCTTGGTTGTGTCTCTGTTTACTGAGTTGTTTATATGTGAGAGAAAAAATTGTCAAGACGTCTGTCGCTGCCTAGGGTCACATGCTGAGTCAGCTAGCGTGGTCTGGGGCTAGAATGGATTTGCGGGGGAACCGGTGAGACATTAAACTCATCGGCTCCGCACTTGATTCAACTACCGATCCCTGCTGCATATTCATCCTGATCAATATGCTGCGATGCTGCAATTGTCTTCCCTGCCATCTATCTTTCGAATTGCTTTTATCATGTGGTAGACAGCGGCTTACCTCCGTACTTGGTGAGCCTTTTTTGTTCCGGTCAGAGCTGAACTTCGACTTACCAACTGATCACTTTGGACCTTTTTGACTTCTCAAAATGTCAGCTGAAGAGGTGAAAACCGCATCCATGGGAGAATCAATGGACCAAGACGACCAAAGCATCGCTCCAGAAACCACACCGCCCAACGGCGTCAAGAAGCGCTGGCGCAGAAATCGTGTCGCTTGCGACGCTTGCCATACCCGTCGCGTAAGATGTGACCGTGCGTTTCCGTGCTCAAGATGCGTCGCAAGCCAAACACAATGCGAACTCACGCGAGAGAGACGCAAGAGAGGGCGGATACCCCGTAACAACGCGGCGCGCAGAGAAAGTACTTTTGCGAACGAGGGCAAAAACGACGATCAGAAACACTTTTCCGGAAGAAGATCCACTGCAACACATCAGAGAGATTTTATAAGCATGGTTACAGACCCTTTGCCTACCGAACAAATGGCGCAGCCTGTCAATTTCCCTCGTTCCGCGCAGGCGTCGCCTGACCATGTGCTGCACGCATCTGCTCATGGCAGCGGGGAACATTTGTCTCGCCGAGATACCATACAGGCATCACCTCGGGAAACTGTGGCAGGAGGAGACAGAGCGGTGGAAGATTGGATGTCCGGCTCAAATGGATTTCCGCAAGGGCCGTATCCTTATCCAATGTTTGAAAACATGGCATTCTCGGACAGTTTTTTTGATAATATTCCTTTTGGAATGATGGGTTTGAATAATTTGAATGGGTATCAGCTTTCAAGATCTGTATCGCGACAACAACGGAAGAATGATCAGCCAGGACGGCCAGCAGAAGCTCCTCTGAAATATCCGGTGCTTGCACCGCTGATGCCCTTTCTCGAACCTTATCTGTCCCGAAATCTGGTTTATGATCTGCTAGATCTATACTTTACAAGTGCTTTTTCAACGGCGATGCATCCGGTCTGTCATCATATTCACTGCTATGTGGTCCGAAAAGCATCTTTCCTCAGTCATGAGAATCCACGGAATACCAGTCCTGCTCTCCTTGCAAGCATGCTTTGGGTGGCTGCACTTGACGATCGAGCTTTCTCATTGTCAATATCTCCACCAAAGCGTAAGAAGCTGTGTCAATTCTTGTGCGCGTTGACCGTGCGACTTCTACGGCCGTTGATCCACGTCTCGTTCAAAGACGACGAAGCTTTGCCCATCATTGACCACGAAAACAGCTTTTCACTTGGTGGACACGATCGTACTCGTACGTTCGAGGAGGGCGGTGATGATAGGGGCTTGATTGGGCCTGCCGGATCGTTGGATGATGTGATTACGTATATTCATGTAGCCTCGATTGTGTCTGCTAGCGAACAAAAAGCAGCTAGCATGCGATGGTATTCCCTCTGAATCCCGTTTTGGTTTGCAAAATATCTAACAGTCAGTCACAGGTGGCATGCAGCTTTCACATTAGCGAGAGAGCTGCGACTAAACCAAGAAATTGAAGCTACATCAAATCTCGGCAGCCCAGTGGACGGGTCTAATCGACCGTTCGAATTCGCCGAGGGTACCGGTTTTGGGGCAAACCACAACGGTACTAATGGGAACTATTTCCCTCCCAGCGGTCGAGCAAGTCTCAACTGCGTATGCACGAGACAGCAGCAACGGCCGAATCTATTGACCGAGGAGAATCTTCAACACCGAACTGGAAGTATAATCACAGAAGAGCATCGAGAGGAACGTCGTCGAACATGGTGGCTTCTATACATCATGGACCGCCATCTAGCACTATGCTACAATCGTCCGTTGGCTTTACTCGATGCGGAATGCGATGAGCTTCTTTTACCCCTTGAAGAAGGCCCTTGGCAAGCTGGCGATGTACACAGTAACAGCTCCAAGGCTGATGGACCGCAATGTCCTGTATCGCCAGACACGAACAGGCGGCGTTGTTTCCCGAATTTCGCATGCAATGACCACTCGGTGTTCGGGTTCTATCTGCCTTTGATGGCAATTACAGGAGAATTGATAAATCTCAACCAGGCGAAAAACCATCCAATGCTAGGCACCCGTCTACAAGTCAAGACTGCATGGGACGTTCAAGTAAACGAAGTACTGCGTCAGTTGGACACGTACAAGGCGACACTACAGGCGTTTTCGGCTCATTCCTCCACAGCAGCGGCTCCTCCAGTAGGAGGACAATCGTCATTATCCACTGTACCACCAGCCGGGCAAATGCCACCGGGATTGGGTCAGCCGCTACAACCACTTACAGTATCACCACCCATACTCAATGAAGCAGGAGGAATCGACGACGCCAATTATAAATCATATCACTCATGGCACACGCAAACAGTCGTCGCATACGCGTCTTATGTCGTGCACGTCCTCCACATTCTCCTAATGGGTAAATGGGACCCCGTCTCACTACTCGAAGACAAAGACTTCTGGACCTCATCCCCAACATTCGCTTCAACGATCTCACACGCCCTCGAAGCCGCAAACGCCCTAGAACGGATCCTCCATTACGACCCGGACGTCAGTTTCATGCCCTACTTCTTCGGCATTCAACTCTTACAAGGAAGTTTCCTACTCCTTCTAATTGTTGAACGACTACAAAAGGAAGCCGGCGAGGGAATTTTGAAAGCCTGCGAAGTGGTAATCAGAGCTACCGAATCGTGTGTTGTGACGCTCAATACGGAGTATCAGCGTAATTTCAGACAGGTTATGCGTAGTGCTGTGGCGCAGGCGAGAGGCAGGCCGGTCAATCATAGTGAGATTCGGCATCGGCGAAAGGCGGTTTTGGCGTTGTATCGGTGGACGAGGAATGGAACTGGGTTGGCTCTATAATACCTACACACACAAGTTGGTATAGGTCTTGAATTTGTATATATAATGAAGAGAGGAACTGTGAATTGCCATTTGCCATTAGTTTTACCTCTGGTCCCGGATACACTCACTTTGACTACAAACGCAAGGAACATTACATTCATTCAGCTGAGTGTTTCTCAATGTCAAAACCACACGCAAGAAATACATAAGATAAAACTTCGTGATCGCTTCAATTCTCTAGGGCTTGACAAATCCTCACTTTAATACAGTCCGAAATAAGCTGCAAAGCATTTCGAGAAGCACCTAGGCAGGGAAGCTGTCTCGGGTTATAGAGTCTGGAAGCGGCAGGTTATCCAAGTACTGTGTAGATGGTAGTGCACCATCTTTCTCTGGTGATTGTTATCTCAGAGTCAGGGAGAGGCCTACGAGTGCCTCTCAAAGACACACTTGAAGGGCAGGACGTTGCGATAACTCCCACAACGTGTAGGTAATAAACGAGATTCCCAACGTTCCATGTCCAGCAATAAGATGATAATGCATCTCCAAGGCTAGCATAAGCCTTTTTCTCTCCCAATTCTCAGGATTTTTCTCCAGACTACAATAAAACTACACATACCCCACTGGCTAGGCGCCTTAATCGCTACTTGCTTTCCCCTCTTTCAGGTCATTACTAACCTTATCACATAATACAAGACACCATTGCTCACACTCGCTAAAACTGCATTTTTTGGGATGCGAGACCTTGAACTTGTCATATATATCAAGCCAATGTTCACGCTTAGTAACGTCGTGGGTAAAGTCCATCCCATTCTCCAAACCAAAAAGATATACCTAAGTAAAATCCTGACCGAGCGCTTGCAGTAACAAAAATACATTAATTACCTCCCGCTTCTGACCTGATTCACTCAAAAGAGGTAGAATTCGATCTACCACGATAACAGACGAGACTCTCTATATTTCCCGCAGTACTTTTCTCCAGCGTCGACTTGCCGGATACAAGTGTCTATACCTTTCTATATCAAAAGATAGTTGGTCACAAACCAACTTCGCTCCTCCAAAACTGGGCAGCTTTCAAGAATAATCCAAACTAAAACCTGCCTTTCTTACAAACCCGTCCCTTTCTTCTACAGAACCTCCAGAAGACGGACGAATATTTAAAACAACCAAATGCCCATCCCCACCCTCAAACGCAACACCACCCCTTTCAGCTCTCTTCATCAGTTCCGAGTCCGCTTTTGTCCTCGATCCATTTTCACAATTCCATACCCATCCTTCGCTGAGCCATTTCCAGGAAACATAGGCTCTTAACTCCTTGTCCTGAGGGAAGACTCGTTTCCATTCCGGTTCGTAACTCGCAGATGGTGATTCAGAACCGTAACGAAGCCGATCTCGACAGAATATACGCCATGAATCAATAGCATAAGCCCCAATACCAGGTAAATGTGCTATTTCCCATGCAACTCTCCGATCACTTCGCTCCCCATCATCCTCATCAGGAACGACTTCATCAGCCGCAATATCCGTCCCAGCCTTTTTACACGGATAGTTCAATTTGCGATACCTCTTCCCCCTTTCCGGTGGAGAATCGAGCCATTTCCTTGCCAACGCAATGAATTTTGTAGCTCGTTGATTCTGAAATCCCAAGCCACGGATTATATGAACAATATCCTCGTGGTTTGCAGCTGCCATGTCTTCGATTGTTGGGTAGAAATCGAAAAGTTTGAATAGAACTGGGATTGCTACTGGGCCGCGAGTCCGGTTTAGGAATATTGTGGCTATTAATAGTCGAAAGGGGGAGAGGGCGAGTTGTTCTTGAATTAATCCGAAAGTTGGGGCTGAGACAGATGGGAAGGGGAGGCAGGATGTTTCTATTAGGGGGAGGGGTCTGGGGAAGTATGGGGAGAGCTTGGGGGGTTGTTTGCGTTGAGATTTTGCTCGTTTTTGTTGACGGTTTTCTTCTTGGTGTTCCTCCGGTTGGGACACTTGGGATATTTGTGTTAATGCTCCATTCGTAATATCACCGTTGCTGTTATGAAGAATGTCTCCTCGACCGTCGACCGCTGCTGTGTTGATCGTTGGCCGGAGAATCACTTGCTCGGTCAATACATGAGCATCAACCGTTGTATCCCCATGGTCCATGGAATCCATCTTAATAGCCCCATCGTGCAGCTCAGTTTGAGCCGTCAAATCTTCACATGTCTCCGACCCAAACACAACGCCCTGACATGTCGAAGAACCTGCACCCAATGATTCTTCATCTAAAGTACAAATCGTACTTTTCAGTTTCTTAACCTCATCATTCCTAGGCTTCCTTTTTTTGACTTGTCCCCAAGTCTGCAATAAATCTCCATTCCCAGATGTTGACTTTTTCCCCCTTGATCGGACGAAATAGCTCGAGGTTTTGGATGTTTTTTTGGTGGTCACATTGCAACCTGGCATGACCTATAGTACTGGTCAATAGTTGATAATAAGGAAATAAGAGGTACAAATTATATCAAAAAAGTCAGTGAAGATGAAAAAGATGAAGTCGAGGTACTGCCAATGGTAGTTGATAAACAGAGAAGGCCCCACTAATTTCTCTCGAGATCCGAGTTCGCTAAGACTAAAACAACGTTCCCTCATAGGTTCATACTCTGCCAGTAGTCCACACCAAAAAGACAGGCCAAGAAGGCGCCATATCTCAAGATGGGGGAACAAGTTCCTCAAGAATATCACGGAATATATCATCCAACATGAGGATATAGTCGAGATCACTCTTATTATGCCTAGAAGCTGTACGTTCGAAAGAAGCCGATACAAATACCATGACACCCTATGAACGCAACGCGTAAAATGCCGGCCAAGAAACACGCGATAAATTCGAGATAGCAATCTGCTCTCTGCCCGTCGAAAGTTGTTCGACGAATACTACGAGCGCATCCGGCGACAAATATGGCAGAAACACGTACACAACAGGGCAAATGGGCTAACATGGCCTTGTTCTTATTCATATGCCGGGTATGGGTAAAGGGAGACTATTGCTTCAAGTGCGCGGATGAATTTCATCGGGATAAAACTCGCGATGGTTGGCGGATGAATCAGCGTAAATTCTACCACCAAGTTATCTTCAAGAAGTATAGTCATTGGAACAAACACGGCAGTAGAAACAATTGCTAATATACACAAAATAAAAAGGTTTATAAATCAGAAAGCAAAAAGAAAAGCAAAAAAGTAATGATGAAAATAGTTATCAAATCAATAATACAAATTCCCATTTAACCATATCAGCCCAGAAAACAGGAGGATAAAACGAGTGAACAGAATCGAAAGAAAAGAGGACACGGACCCCTGTCGATAAAATCAAGACTGTACTTTGCCAGCCTCTCGTACTTCATTCATAAAACTATCCTCATCACCCGCCAAACTCAGAATCCAATAATGCCCAACGCCGGCGTTGGCAAATTGACCACCTCCGTACCCCATGATCGGTGTCGGGGAACTATGGCGAGTCTTGCTGTCTCGTGTGAGCGTACCCAGATCATGAGGGCCCCAGCCCACGACGTGTTTTATTTCCTCGCGGGATTTGGCTTCCGTTCCTGAGAGGCCGAGTAATTGTGTTTGTAGACAGCCCAGTACGGCGACTCCGGCGCGGATTATGATGCGGTCGCCTTCAAAGGCCCAGCAATCCCATACACGACTTAGATGTTCGAGATCAAGGCCGTTGGTGAATAGAGAGCGAAACATTGGGCCCCAGATATCTTCATCGCTAAGCTGCGCTGTTTCGTAGAGATGACTATAAAGACGGGGGAATTTATAGCGTAGTGTAGCCGAGGCAAGCCCATATGTTCGAGCTATCGCAGAACGGTCATGGGTCAAAAAGGCGAGAGGAAGTGGGCGATTGAGGATGTTGGCCATGGTAATAAATGCGGAAGCAGCGGTAGGAAGTTGAAGAACAAGAAGAGCAGCAATGGTCTGTAAATGTGAGTGTGTTATTATTACCAATACAACGAGGAGGTAAACTTACGTGAAGGCCATAGGTGTACCCGACATCACTTCGATACATGGCATATGCCTCCAACACATCAATCAAAGTATCCCGTAGAGGCCCACCTTCTTGAAAGAGATGGAGTTCGGGGAATGCGGACGAGACATCTCGAGAGATAGCTGCAAACCATTCTCGCATCCTTCGACTACTATCACTGGCATCTTCGTCTCCTCGAGACTTTGCGTCTTTGGCCCGCTGAAGTGCCTTTTGATACGATTCTGGAGTCAATGATAGCTCATTACTGATAGCTCGTTGCCACACGGCTCCCCGGCACCGCGGCGTTACGCCTCGCCACCAAAGCTCCCTCATCCGAGGTTCTGCAATCGCATTGTTCCAATTAGGCAGGACATGGTCTTCCCATATCCGTTGTAACGCTTCCCTAGTATTATCTTTTTCACACTGCACGGCAGCGGCTTTGGCGGCCTTTTTCCTCTCTACAATCCTTGCTCAGTATCGAATCCCAGACACATAGGCACTGGTATACTAACCTGCTTCCTTGGCCAAAGTCATCATCTTTCTATACTCCTTCAAATGTTTCTTCTCTTCCAACGGGTCCTTCGGCGGCAGCCAACTGGGGCGCGTACGACTAAGAACCTTTTCCTTCTCCTTACTGACAGGTAACGGGTCAATCATGACGTTGGATTTCTGCACAGGCGGTAAATCCTGTATACTGCCAGAGAGTCGCTTTGACCCAGATTCTACACTGGATCGTTCCGATGACAGACCGCTCTGAACTCGTTCTTCGCGTTTGCGATCGACATCGTCAGCGTGGTGTTCCAGGGTCTGTGTCAAGACCTTTGCTTCCTCAGACAGCTCAGCCATGGCGAGGTTGTACGAGTATGTGCGTGGGTCTCGCGGAGAGATCTGACCTCGTTCAGGACCCGCGGACGCAGATCGAGTCACTGTGAGTCTTGACTTGGTGCTTGGCGAATGCCGAGAAGAATTTCGAGATTTCGATAAGGAAGCTACATGTTCTTCCGAAACAGCATGCGGTAAAGGTACGGGCCTGGGACTGCTGACTTGATCAGGGCTCGTACTTCGCGAAGCTGGACGTTCTTGAGGCGGACGCGGCGACAACGGCACATTGAAGAGGCTAGCATCATCCGGCAAGTCATCGTCAGAATCGTGATACTCGGCCTCAAGCTCCTTTACCGATTTCCGCTGTATCGAGCCGCGTCGCGACGCGGAAGGATTACGAGGAGCCAATGGCGACAGACTCTGGCTGGAAGGAGAGGGCGAAGGTAAAGAAACTCCTGAGTTCAAAGGAGGCGCAGAAGGAGATACTGAGCGTGATCGAGGTTGGCGGTACGGCAAAGATGGAGTTGATACGCTTCCGTGCGTCAATCGTCGACCACTCTTCATCGTCCTCGGATCTAGCGTTCCTCTTGGTAATTGTCCCGGCATACCCTGAAGAGCTCTTGACGACGGTGGAGTGATTTGTCTCCGCTGACCAGAAGTCAATTCCCTGCCTTGTTTGGCCGGCGGAGTTGCCGATTGCATAGTATTTATGCTGGTAATATGCGATATCACACGATTTTGACTGGAAGCTCGAGAGCCAGCTCGGGACCGAGAACGGGGATACGGAAGTTTCGCGGGATAGGCTTGTATTTCTGCGTCATCTTCGAGACCGATGTCTTCGAAATTAGAATTATCCGCAAAACTGACGTTGGGGTCGGCATCATGCGAAGAAGAGTAGAAGGAGGAGGATTTGGAGGATTTGGATGTGGTGAGTTCTGGAACGGAGCTAGGCGAGGTCAAGGTGGCGGTTGCCATAGCTGCCTGTCGACCACTTGGAATGGCCGTTTGTTTTCTTTAAGAATATGATGTCCCTCGTTGGTTGGTCAAGAAATCGCACCGCTTCAGGTGGTGTGTCGTGTGCAGTTTGAAACTTGAGACGGGCCGCAGTGTCTGAACCCTGCCGTTCGCTGACGGTGTGCTAAGGAGAATTTGGTGTTTGACACCGTAAACAATATAAAGCGAGAGGATTCGTCGATGTTCGATTTTGTCACTCCGTTCCCTGGTCGACTGCTTGTCAAAGGGGATAGAGAGAGGCACAGAGGAGGGGAAGAAAGGAGATCAGAAAAAAGGAGGCGTCGTCTACCTGGACGGAAGAGAGAAGGATAAGATGCAAAAAGCGATTAAACAGAAGAACGAATGAATTAGAACGAATGGAAATATACAAGAGAGTAGAGAGATATCAAGCAGACAGCGAAAGTCAAGCGAGCGAAAGACTGAATGAAAGCAGGTTGTCAGGTCGCGTAACAGGAAGGAGCAGGCCGAGAACGAACGATTGCTTGACTATTTCCGCATCGGGAAGTCTGCTAGCTGCATCGGGCTAGCTCGCGATAAACATTGTGGCTTGTGCCTGAGGCTCGTCAATACTTCTTTTGTCTTACTTACAATTAGCATACTCTGGAGACTATCGGTTGTTCAACATACAATAGACATATACTGTATACACTGATACAGTAGACTCTTCAGAGCCATGTCGACACTTATAGAGACAGCACGTCAACTCCATGCTGCCAACGCTAAAACAAGCTAACAGCAAGCCACGAGCTTGGCTCATTTCCGCTCCTTCGCTAACTATCTATCAATGCTTGTTTGCTTAGTCATGCATTATCTACACTCACATAACCAAGTTAACATAGTTACGGAGCACGTACTCTGTAGGATACGAACTGTCGGTATGTTGTGCATTCTGATATCGAAAATCAAAATTCAATACTCCGTACAGTCTAGAATAGATCATCCCCTGCTGCATGGCAAAAGGGAATTGGAGTTTGTGGCGCAGTTGATGGCTAGATCTGTCGCCCTTGCTTCGTAGCGATATTCATGTTCTGGCTTTTCTCACATTGACGGGTTCTGGAGTGATAGATGCATAACTCTATCTTATGAATACGTATATAGGTGCAAGTAGTTGGTAGGTCGTCGTCTCGTCGTATACGTTGGTACCCAGAGCCCAATTACCGGGGTAACTATATACATGGCATGGTATCTCAATATACATAAACAAAAATCAATGCGGGATTAGCACACATAGTCAAACATCAATCACATCACAAAAGATTCGATCTCCAAGAAAACAGCCGACCCTAAATTTTACTTAACCTTCAAAAAGTATGTCCAGATTTATGCAAGCCACATATTTCCTCATTCACAATCCCTCTGTTGCGACTACTTTCGCAAACCTGCTTAAACCAGTTGACGCGACAATCCTCGCTGTTCAACCAGTATGTGATAGGTGTCAGTTTATTAGCTTGACACCCGTGACATTGGTCGCTCTTGGGGCAGTTGCTGAAGACGCTGTGCTGGTAGCCTATATCGCGGAACCAATGAATCTGTTCATTGGCAGCAAACAGACCAAGTGCGACACTGTGGACGGGTGCGTCACCCCAGCGTTCGTAGAAAAAGTTACCCGTTTTATCGAGATACTCAAAGTACTCTGTATATGTTTTGGAGCGCCAGAAATCCAAATCGCCAATTTCAAAATTGCTCCAGAAATGACAAGTACTGTAGCCATTGGCTGCTTTTGTATGGCCGGGTCGGGCTACGGAATCCGTAAGCCAGTGATAGGAGTTTTCATCCGAACCGAGGGCGTAACCTGGGTGTTCATCGAGAAAAGCCGTTGTTGCCGGCCAGAGAGTGGGTATAGTTTTGGGGTCGTCGTAAATATTGATAGTAAAGCCGTAGGTTTTATTATTTTGCGCCATGAACTGAAAAACGTCGTACTCGATGTCGCAGAAATACCTGTCGTACAAAGAGTTGTTAGGCGAGGCCGGTAGCACAAATAGAGAGACAACGTACTTCACATCAGGCTCAACGCGCCAGTAGTATTTATACTTATCCAATGCAGGGTGTCGAAAGAAGAAGCCAGAGTACCATCGGCACATTTTGTGGTAACTCAACTGCGATGCATGCTTGACACCGTTGCTGTCCATTTCTTTAAACGCTTTTTCCATCCGGGACTGATCAATCCATTCGGGAACGTCCCAATGTTCCCTGGGTATAAGCTCTATAGAACGTTAATCTTCTTGGTGACAGCAACGCGACCAGAAAACTGACCATATGTACATGGCGCATTGGTTTCCGCCTGCGTCTTATCTATAAATTCCTGAGTAAAAGGAACATCATTGAAAAAGACCCATGGATAATTGAACTTGGAATTAAACGATTTTTCCATATATCGCATCGACGAAATTATGCCTTTGAGCTCCGAGTTGCGGACAAGGGAAATAAGCGCGGCATTTGCGCGGGGCGTGCTAGTCGGATCTGTCGGAGGAGGTTGTTTCATAGCTGTGGCAATAGATTGCATGTTAGCCGGTGAGTGCCGCAGACTTATATAGTTGTGATATCCACATGGGAAGAATGTAGGATGCGGGGGATCGTCGAGGAGAAAGTTGGACGGGTGAAAACGTGGGGAGTACATACAGAGGTGCATCTGGGCAATAGCCCTATCACCCGAGGCATTATACCATGAATCACGGAAGTAAAGGGCCAGTATAAACGAAAATGCCAATGCAGCGAGTAGATATCGCTTAAATTGTTTGCGCATGACGGCGGCGAAGGTTATGTCGATATATGTTTGGGCCTTGGATCGATGACGCCTTACGAGGCTGAAGGAGATAAGTCGCCGGTACGAGCAAGGACGCGAAGCAACCAGGAAGAAATATTAATATTAGATAGCGGTGAGTATAGAGAGACGCGAACGCCGGTATATAGATTAGATCGTGGATGTCGTCACTGCGCCCCTTTTCCAGCAGGATGGCTTCAGGCGACAGTTGAATCGATGCGGTTAACGTGGCGGCGAGAGGATAAAGAGGATAATCAGCATGTCGTATGCTTTTCAAGTCTGTGCAACAGTCATCGTAACTCATAAATCGTACAGCATAGAAAGAAATAATAAAGGAGGATTAGAAACAGAAGAACAGATGAAGCATTCGGTAAAAGCTAGCAAAAAAGAGATATCGATACGTTCCAAAGCAGCCTAGTTCGGCAAACTAGGCAGGTGCGATTTGGGGGGCTTTCAGGTCGCTGAATCGCCTCTTACCGGATACGGACAATGCAGCTCGATCTTATTGGCCGACTGTGGACCCAGTTGGGGGCTAAGCATTCGATCGGCTTTTGTAACTTAACTACAATGGTACATAGTAAGTTAGTCAACTAAGTTATTCGACAGGCACCGCTTAGTCATGCTGACAGTCTGCTATGATTGGTCACGTAATCAAATCCCGGCGGACTGTTTATGTTCTGATTGGTTCATCGCCAAATACGTTATGCCAGCCTGTGCGAGCTTCTCTCCACCCCCGGCGATATATCGAGGTTGGGTCTGACATTTACCTTATCCGTGCGGTAGCACCGATTCCGAGTTGTGGGTACGCTTCGGCACGGACAGTACGTGAACCGCCTTAGATTCAAGGCTTCGATTTTGATATCCTCTCCTGAGCGTACGACAGATGACTGAGCAAGATATGTCAAGTCCCTCTGAATCATTGTGGTTTTCGAGCGTGTTTTAATCTCCGAGCAGGTACTTCAAGGTTAGATTGTTCCCCTGGATTACCCTTACGCTGGCTATCCAGCCTACGCGCGGAGCCCCCCAGTGATTTGTAGACACATCATCCGGGAGCAGCCATCGGACACTGTAGAAGACGCTTGTTTGAGCAACGGCCTTTGTAATCGCAATAAACCCCATAAGATACTCACTCACTGTCCAAGGATGTTGATCAACGATTTCTCGTCTATGCCGCCATCCAGACTTGACATATATATTTATATCGACGATCCCGCCCGGGTGGAGCACAATATAAGACACACTCGGTTTTTCCAAGGATATCTCTCTAGACTATAACCTCAAGCTTGAAAGTGATATCATGTGATGCCCAGATACCGTCAAGTCGACCATTAGCCGAAATATATATCAGCTGTGATATGTCTCGACTTCTTGTAGGAATCGTACCTAGTACCGTGAACAGTGCGGTTTGATAGATCCTTAGCAGTCGCGGAGTGTGGCTCGATACGGGCACAGTAACTTCTTAGAGGGCACGCCCGAGACTCTTGAGACAGTTGATAAAATAGCTTTCCAAGGTTCTCAATTGCATCTTCTATAAACATCTCTATGTAGTTCACCCAGCCCAACCCTTGCCCTAAGCCCTAAGCCCTTACCATCTCTTCATGGAAGTTTTCCAAAGAAGAGATACATGATTGGACGGAGGGCTGCTCAAATGGATCATCATATCGCCGAGTAAAGTTACACTCATTACATGGCTTGGCTGTCATCTCGACGACATTACCGTAATATTACTGACTCGGAACAATGACGTTTCAATCTCCGTGTCCATAACACTGTATCATCGAGTCCACTTTTCTTCTTTCTTGTTTCCACGCGCTTATTGAGTATAGCCAGGAGCTGAGAAGCGTCAACTCCATCTAATGCCTGCTGTATTTTTTTTTTCTCGTTGAAATCCCACGATAACTTCTACAAGCATGTCAACCAGGGACGATGCACTCACTGCATAAGGGTCAGGATGGCTATTAAGGCGGGAAACCCCCGACAGGGTTAGCGTGGACAAGGGGACAAGGGGACACAAGGCAATCAATGACAGACTCGGGACTTGCCCGAACTGATCACCGGGGGTACGGAAGTGCTGCAAACTGATATCTTTCACGGCGGAAAATGCATCCTCTGCTTTCTAGCAAAAATTATGTACAAAGTGAACACGCCGACGCTCCAGGAGATGATAAAAATGGTCTGTAATTTGTGCAAAATTTCCAAAAGCTCGTCTTTGAGTATTCGAGAGGAAAAGCGTCAGGTTAAATAGACCCGAGGTCATCCTCGGGACAAGGATTTCCGCATTTTCTAGTGTCAAATACCGTCTCTGTATTCGTACTGTGTGTACCCGCGAAATCCGCCTGTTCTGTTGCTGTGCCCTGACGAAAATTCCAAGATATGAGCTCGGTGGACGGGATCCACAATCCGACGCAGCCGTGAGGTCACCGGCTACCATAGCACCAGGAATGCTCTTGTATTTTCTGTTCTTTGTTCTTTCTCTTTATTTTTATTTTTTATTTTATTTTATATATTTTTTTTTAAATAAATCGAATGTAGTTTTCTTGCAGGTACTATCTTGTGATGTATCTGCGATTTCTACTCGTTCTACAGGAAGGGATTCGACGTCTTTTGTAGGGAAATTGAAAGACCAAAGAGCCGGTAAGTGTATGGTAAGATTACCGCGCCCACATAGTGCAGCCGAAACAGGACGTTGCCGTGGGTCACTCGGAATCCCGACGGGGCAATATGTGGGATGCACCGCCAATCATGCAGAGCTGAGGAGTGGATGATTCATCCCGATCAGGTCCGACGTGAGAGATCCCGTTGGCTTTTGGCGGAAGTGGCCCAATTCGTGGTTCCCATTGGCTGTTGGAAGCTGGAATAAGTGGACTTGCCATGGGTAAACCTGAGTTTTGGTACAGTTACAGGGCCCACTCCGATCCACCCAAGCTCGCCCTATTGGGCGCAGCCCCCATAGCTCGTTTCCGATCTGGGAGAACTCGCATCTGAGGTAGAAAATTTTCATCATGTCGCTGTTCAGCTTCATAAGGATGCTGCTACTTTGAATATTAATAAGGAATGGAAGGTATATACGATGGATAGAGATGCTCGGGAATAAAATAAGCATCAATTGATTTATAGCGACTAGCCACTTCAAACAGTCGGACCGTGGATAGAGCTCATCCACGGTCCAATAATACAGTACACGTAGCAGCTATTAACCGGTTCCTACGTACGAATCAATTGTAATACGCTTACAACATACAGTGTTTGACCCGAATCGACCCGACAGACAATAATACTGTAATCTGTGACACAGTTTGCGGTGTAAGTCACCGACCCACCGTGTATTTTTTCCCAGTTACTAAGGCAGCCAGAAGGAAAGGAGGTCGCCCTTCCCTTTTTCTTCCGCTGGCAGCCAAGCACGAAAAACCGCTCTAATTTTTTCTCGTCATCAACAAAAAACATTCTTCCTTCTCTCCTTCTCTCCTTCCTCTTCTATCCTTCCAATCTCCATACCTCAAACTCCATCCTTTTTTTTCTCTCTCTCTATCCTCAATTCCATCCTAGAGAATCTTTTCTCTTCCACACACACACATACAATGGCCTCCAAGATGTTCGCCAACCGAATGGCCACCATGGCCTCTTCCAGCGTCGCTCGCTCGACCGTCCGCAGCCAATTCGCTGCTGTCCCCAAGCGTACCTTCACCAACGCTGTCCGCCCCCAGGGTCAGCGCTTCGCTGCTCCCAATGCCTTCCAGGCCTCCAAGCGCACCATCCCTGCCACCGTCGCTCGCCAGGCTTTCCAGGCCCAGGCTCGCCGTGGCTACTCCTCTGAGATCGCCAACGCCCTCGTTGAGGTCTCCCAGAACATTGGTATGGGTTCTGCTGCCATTGGTCTTGCTGGTGCCGGTACCGGTATTGGTCTCGTCTTCGCTGCTCTCTTGCACTCCGTTGCCCGCAACCCTTCTCTCCGTGGTCAGCTCTTCGCCTACGCCATTTTGGGTTTCGCTTTCGTTGAGGCTATCGGTCTTTTCGACCTCATGATTGCCATGATGGCCAAGTTCTTGTAAACTATTTCACCGACTTTTTGAGGGTTTCGGCTTTGGGATCCTTATTTTACACGCCACATTTTTTTTTGAATCAAAAAAGAACGGAATACCAATAATCGATGACCCAACTTTGTGTGTGAATTTGACATGCTCGACAGTCTTTCGATACGATATGATCTCAACTGCGTTATGAACGAATTATGTGGTTGGTATCTTATTGCCACGTCGAAACCCTCATGATCAATGAGACTGGAGAAAACTTTATGGATCGAAACCATTCTATTTTCCTTTTCTTTTTTCCTACCTGTTTTCCTTCTTACCCATAGAGAGAGAGAGAAACCATTGTCTGTTTAGATTACTAGAGGTATAGAAGCGGGGAATGTCTGTTTTTGATAGAACGAAGGATGAGAGGAGGGGGGATTATAGAAACTGGTCTCATTGATTTGCTTTTGATTTTATAATTGAAAAGAAAAAAAAAAGGCACGACAAAATTCTCGACAAGTTGGACAACCGATTTTGGCCGTGGGTGTATTATCATTGTGTACTACTTATTTAGCATCACTCATCATATTTATTTCATCCTTTCCTTTGTCATTCTCACCGTCCTGCTGTATATAAATGATCAATTCGTATGGTATCCATCCGAGCTACGTACTGTGTAGATGAAGCTCAAGTTAATCCGGGTTTCACATTCTTACCCCAGATTCATTGACTTGCATCATAGCTAGAGAAGCATCTGAAGCTTCTCAATTGGTCATGTCCTTGGATGAGTATTCAAAATGCACTGGACGCGATGATTGGCCGTATCCTCATCTGCAACCTACACAGTACGGAGTAGTGAATTGATATATTCAAATACAGATACCAATGAATACATCCATCCACGCCTCCCAACCAGAAAGAAGAGAAATATTAGAATTCCAACCCCATAAATATCGTCCCCTCAACCGGCGTCTCGTAATACCTCCCAACCTCCCCAAACCCAAACTTTATATACAACGCCCTCGCACTCTCCATATTCGGTAATGTATCAAGTCTCATCCCTTTGTATACACCCGAAGCTCTGGCGTGCGCGATGATTGCTTCGACGAGTTTTGTGCCGAGGCCGGTGCCGCGGGCGGATGGAGTGAGGTATAATCTTTTCATTTCGCAGTATTTCTTCTCTTCTATGCCATTGTTGTTGTTGATGATGATGGTGGAGGGAGGAAGGGCGCGGTAAGCGACGCAGCCAACCAGTGTATGGGGATTGGTTTCATCGCGAGCGACGAGTAGACATCCTCCTTGTTTGGGGGAGTATTTTCCAGGTAATGTGTCCAGTTCGGTCTGGTAGTCTTGGAATGTAAGATCGATGCCGAGGGCGGTGGTGTATGCGGTGAATAGATCTGTGACAGCTTGTTTGTCGTCTGGAAATATGGCGGGCGTTATTTTGTAGGTTGTCATTCTCGTCTATATTTTGTTGATAGCAGCCATTGGTATCTTGGAATTGGGATTGTTCGATGTTACCTACTGCAGGTTTTGTTGCATTGTTAGGAAGTGAGTCATTTAGATCTATCTAGGTACACCTGGCCTATCGCTGCATTCTGGATAACGTAGGCTACGTACCCAGTGCATGACTATCGGGATGGATCATACAGTGTATATTGAAGCATATGCACACTTCATCTATTCGTTTAGGGCACAACTGATATAACCGGTCGCTTATACCGCAGTAGGTAAGTGTCTTTCGCTAGGTACTTAAGTACGAGTAGGCAACCACTTTCAAAATTTCGAATCAAGCGACATATTCAATCTGACAGTTTCTCGAGATAACGTTATTTCAGTATTTAAGACCTTTGTGGGTATAAGTAGTGAGTCGACCTCCATACCAAGCTGCCTATAACCTTGGAAGCTATAGCACCGGAGGTCCGTGTCGAGCTCGGTAATTTGATGCTCAGCTGAGGAGGGGCAATTGATATATAAATACCTAACTAGGTACCTAGGTAGGTAAGACGAGTAAATCGATTCTCAAGATTCTTTATCATCATATTCTTACCGCAGACTCTTCTATTCAATAATTTAGCCCGACACAAGTCATGGCAACAGTACACGGCACCACCACAGAAGCATTCCAAGCCCTAAAACAGATTCTCCAAAAGAATCTGGACAACGGAGATGAGATCGGCGCAGCTATCTATGTCAGTCTCGACGGCAAACCCGTCGTCGATTTATGGGGTGGCTTTGCCGATGAGAAACGTACCAGACCCTGGACGGAAGATACCATCGTCAATGTCTGGTCAACCACCAAAACCGTCACTTCTCTGGCCGCATTGATCCTCGTGGATCGAGGATTACTAGACCTTGATGCCCCCGTGGCCAAATACTGGCCTGAATTCGCTGCCAATGGGAAGGAGAAGATCCTTGTCCGCCATGTCCTATCTCATACCTCTGGTGTATCTGGCTGGGATCAGCCATTCCAGTATTCAGATATCTACGATCTGGAAAATTCAACTGCTCGTCTAGCTGCGCAGGCGCCCTGGTGGGAACCCGGTACAGCATCGGGCTATCATGCCGTCAACTACGGCCATTTAGTAGGCGAGATCGTGCGCCGAGTCTCTGGAAAATCGCTGCGGGAGTTTATCAAAGATGAAATCGCGCGCCCTCTAAATGCGGATTTCAGTCTGGGTGCACCAGCGTCTGAATGGCATCGCGTTGCGGAGATCATCCCTCCTGCACCCATGGATCCAGCTGCGTTTGCAAAGTTGGATCCTCAGAGCGTTGCAGTCAAGACTCTCTCGCAGGGAATAGACAGCGGCACTCTCCCAAATACCTCCGAATTCCGACGCGCAGAAATCGGTGCTGTCAATGGTACGACGAATGCGAAAGCACTCGGCCGTATTTTTACCCCCTTGTCCTTGGGAGACGGTACCTTACTGTCTCCCAAAACGATCGATAGGATCTATGAAGTTCAAGCTGATGGTACTGATTTGGTGGCCTTTGTGCCCGCGCGTTGGGGCATTGGATTCGGACTGTCGCATCCTGCTACTACGCCTTATATACCTGAGGGACGGGTGTTTTTCTGGTTTGGGTGGGGTGGTTCGTTTGTCATTGTTGATACAGAGAGCAAGTTGACTATTACTTATGTTATGAATAAAATGGGTGAGGGGATTATAGGGAGTCCGCTGTCGAAGGAGTATATTGAAGCTGTCTATGAGATCGTGAAGGGGCTGAAGTAGATATCACGAAGTATTTGCCTATATATGTGTGTATATATGACTGATCTCCGCTTCGGTTATCCAAGAGAAGTTAAACAGATGCAATTTTAGCATCATACAATCTCCTTCCTTTGACTCCAACATGGCACTTGAATACCCCTCCATGCCATTTCGCCGACTCGGGATACTTTTCAGCTTCTGGGTCTTCCTCGCTCGTAATATAGACATCCTCTCCCACAAAGGCGACGGCCTAAACATGTCAGCAACATTACCGGTAAGCGAAGAGAAAAAAAAAAAAAAAAAAAAAAAACATACAGTAGGACATCTAGTCGGCACCTCAATCTCAGCAGTCACTTTTCCTTCAGGTGAAACTCGCACAACCTTCCAACCGCCCCAAATAGCAACCCACAAATTCCCCTCGGCGTCCATGGCATGACCATCAGGACCTCCGCCGAGGTCTGTATGCCAGAACACGCGCTGATTTGAGATATTTCCTGTGGAAGCATCGTAGTCGAATGCATAGATGTTGCCTGTGGGAGTGTCGGTCCAATACATGGTTTTATCATCCAGGCTGAACGACATACCGTTTGGAATGGTTACGTTCTCAAGAACACGGTGCAATGTGCCGTCCGTATCGAGACGGAAGAGTATTCCTATACCCATTTAACCATCAAGAACTGAATTTAAAGTGGAACAAATAACGTACCGACAGGATCGAATTTCCCATTCGTAAACGCCGGATCATTCATCGCTCCAACCCAGAACCGTCCATGACAATCAATCACGCCATCATTGGCACGCATGATCGTTTCATAATTCCTGGAGATTTCGGCTTCGTTCCAGAAACGTTCGATATATTTGTACTCCCTGCTATCGCGTGTCGCCATGCCGATTCCATGTTTCCCGCCAAAGAGGAAGGTGTCTGTCGACGAGGACAGATTTGCCGTGACGCTGGTAAATTCGTCAGCAGGAAGAGCACAATTATCAGAGAAAGAAAGTCTTACCCGAATGGAATATCGTATTCAATTTTCTTTGCGGACGAGGGGCCCTTGTTCAGATCAACCCACCAGACATGTTTTTTGACAATGTCGACAAAGCGTAGTGTATTGTTGGCTTCTTCATAGAATGGCCCCTCCGAAAGCCCACATTTGACGTCGAGGAATGGCTGTTATCGTCTGTTAGCTATGAGCGCATAAATATCTCAATGGATTCGGAAATACTTCTGTAATGGTGAATCTCTGCATTTTGTTTTTATTTTCTATACAAATTGGTCCTTTGCACGTCTATTGGTGTCTGTTGTTGTTTTCGAGGTCGGCAAAAGAGCTAAGATTCGGTATTTAGCCTGTTAGTGAGATAACCCTCCCTACCGCAGTCGATATTAAATTAATATCTTCTTCGAAATTTCGGCCAATATCTCACTCAAGGAGGTACAGGTTGGAAATTGTGGAATAGATGATTTGTTGAATGAAGTATGGTAATTATTGATGGATGCCTGAAAGGATTGAGAATGAGTCCCTTTGGTAGTTTCAGGCCTAACGCGGCGGAGACTTCGGCCCTAACAGAGCCTGTTTATACAGTTAAAGCCTGTTCCAAGCCCTGAGGTGCCTACTGTCAGTTATATCCAGGCGTCTTTGGGCCCGGGCAGTCCGTGAACAGCCATAAGTGCAAGCTGTACGCTATCATCATCCAGGGATTATCGTATGCATGCTTACTGCAACGACTAAGGATGTTAATATCTCGAACGCTGCGCCTCATGCAACAGCCTGGCTGATCCTAAATAGGTAGTGGGGCAGTTGACTGATCCATAATAAGTCAGCGAATGCTTCCATTCTGACACATTTCACTTCGAATTAATCTATCACAGCTCAACAATCCTCACCTTGATAAAATGCCGTACAAAGTTGAAGTAGCCCAAGATGCTGATATGCCGGAACTGATGGAAGCCCTCTGGGACGCCTTTGAAAAACCGTATCAAGGCGTACTGCGCAATTTCTTCCCCATTCTCAACAATGATCGCGAGGCCAGCTTACTGGCAGCTACCAATGGACAACGCGAGGAATACAAGTCCTCATATCCGGAACTCATCTGGTTGAAAGTCACCTATCGTGAAGACGATAATCAAAACTCAAAGGGTAAGATAGTCGGAGGTGCAAAGTGGTATTTCTTCCAGAGGAATCCGTTTGCGCCAAAGCCAGGCTCGGATCATGATCCTACTGCTGAGGAGGCTGTTTGGTATCCTGAGGGACCTGGAAGAACGTTTGCGACAGCGGCTATGCATGCTCTTGACAAGCCGAGAATGACCATGGGTCAAGGACCTCATGCATGTAATGCAACCCGCTCTCTGACTGATTTGTTGTTTCATCTCGACTAATATGTGCAATGTATATTGATAGTCCTCAACATCGCCTTCACTGTATTCGAGCACAGGCGTAAAGGCGTTAGCAACCTCTTCCTAAAATGGGGTCTCTCTCGTGCCGACGAACTCGGTCTGGAGAGCTGGCTGGATGCATCTACAGAAGGACGGCCAGTCTACACAAAGCTGGGATTTGTACCGTATCGTATGAACAATGTTAATCCTGCTATGCCCTCGTCATACACTGAGGAAGAGAAAGCAGAGTGGGAGAAGCTAGAGAAGGAGATACTTCCCATGGACTCGATGACAATGTGGCGGCCACTTGGGGGTAAATTTGTCGAAGGTGAAACGGTTAAGCCGTGGGATCGCTGACAATGAAGACGGCCTGGATAAGAATAGAAATAATAGATTGCCTGTCGAGTTCTGGCTATCTGCATACGAACTATTGCATGGCATTGACCTTTAATCGCAGCATGATCATTTCATTACCGTGAAAAGAAACTTTATTTTGCATATCTAGGTAGATAGAAATCTAGCTAACTTAGCTCAATCATTTTGGTAATCCTGGCAGACATTCTGGATTCGCACAATGACTCAAAAAGGTGATTATGCGGAGAGAGCACTAAGCCAGCCGTAGCCCTAAAGTAAACGTTAGACAACACTATGAGAGATTTCCGGAGTACAAGTAAATATTGCAGATAGACAGTTGTAAACAAAGAAGCTGAATAAGAGGTACCGCCGCCTTAGGCAATTATAGAGAGCCAATAGTTGCCTTTTTGATTCTGCTTTTCCGGCAAATTAGAGTCATGGCTTTCAGGCGACTTAGAGACAAAGAAGACGAACTATGATAAGGAATAAAGAAAACATTTATACTTTCCCGTAGATCTGGCCTAACCTCCAGGCTAGTTGTCTCTGGGGACAAGCTTTGTTTCTCCTCTTCTGACTTCCCCGAACTCGACTAGATAAGTACAGGGTACAAGATCGGATGCATTGACATTAGACCAAATGACTCCATCTTGAATCTGAAAAATTTAAGCACGAGACAAAGGAAATCAGACCAGCTTCGATAACCATGGCCTGAAGTGGAGATCTACGTTATTCGTAAGAGCAGGCGTTATTGGCACTTCGCTTCTAGACGCTGCATCATGTAACATTGTGCATAATCTCTGGCCTCGATCAAGGCCGCCAAATTGAGCTTGACTCTCGTGGATCGGAGTAGACTGACTTTCTTTATCTTATTACTGTCTCCTGTTTCTCGTTTTGAAAATTGAAAATGGTCCATGGATTAGGTATGTTGAGACTCTGAACAATGGGAGAGCCACGTGTAGTACGCATATAGTTGATATGTTATAATCTCGTCACATAATGCACGGTCCGTGTCAAGAGCACTCTGAATCTGTCCACTTCTCTTTCGCCAGAGAGAAAACATGATCTGTTCGAGTCAGTTCACATACGCCAAATCATGTAATTTGCTCTCCCCCCACAAAATCTTGGGGTGTTAGGTCGCTAAACCGGTGGAAAGCGGAGAAAGTCACTAAACGATGCATTAACAAAGCAAGAATTTGGGCCATACAAAGAATGAAATTATTGCTCTGATTTCAGATTGCCGATGCTGCTTGGCAATGTTCAAGTCATTTGTCCATGTCGCAGGTGTCGTGACGGGAGACTAGTTAAGGCTAGATTTGTTCATAACATTCTATTGAATATGAAACCATACCTTTCCGAATGGGAAGACGCTCGTGTTTAGATCTATGAGCTCATATCAGTCTTCCCTAATATGAATGTTTGATATATCAACGTCTTCTCAGATCGTTGTCAAGACGATATCTCAAATCTGCCATGGTATAACGTCGATATACACACGTTCCAGAAAATGTCTCGGTTCACAGGAGATGTCCATACATCTCCAATCATGGTTGTGTCATGGTTCCTGCTGGTCGTTGCAATGATAGCAGTTTTTATACGACTTGGAACAAAGACATGGATCTTTCGCAAATTTCACAAGGACGACTACATCATCATCGCTTCTGCTGTAAGCTAACCAGGCTTTCTAATCTAAAATTAATATTTTCAGCAAGTTAGAATTGACCCATGTTCTCACGTATAGATATTCGATATCGGCCAAATTGTTTGCCTTTCTATCGCCGGTGCAAACGGTTACGGTCGACATATAAAAACATTAAGTGATGAGCAAGTGGAGATCATTCAGAAATGCCAGTATGCTCAGCATGAACTCATCATTATGACTATGACGCTTTCCAAAATTTCATTTATCATGTTCGTGAGAAGCATTACTGCTGTCCCTTTGGATCATATGGTGGCGTTGGGTCTGATAGCTGCCACATGGGGATGGGCCATTGCTTTTCTTATCTCGGGGGCTTTGCAGTGTCGGGCCCCAGAGCCATGGAATTATCTGGGTAAAAATTGTTTCAATCAGGTGAGACTCTGTCTTGAATTATCCGCATCTATCCCGGTCTATGCACAAAAAGGAGAGAGAAAGACTGACATTTATAATCCGTTTACAGAGGATATGGAATGACTTTTTCAGTCTCGGGGATATACTCACTGATGTGGGAATTGTGATTTATACAATGATAATTATTGGACGAATCCATACCAAACTAAGTCGGAGAATAGGACTTGCGATCGTGTTTGGCATGCGAGTGCTGTGAGTCAATCCAACAACAGGGAAAGAAAAGCCATTTACAGGGTTAATCCTATTGTACAGTGTTATTGCTGCCATCACAGTACACATCACTACTCTCAACAAATCCCTCGCAGCCGATGACAGCACGTACGAAACTTGGATAGCCACTATTGCAAGTCAAATAGCCATTTGCTTAAGCAACGTGACTGCATGCTCGCCTCAATTCAAACCGTTCCTCGAGAGCCTCCAGTCATCAGGCATGCGATTAGATACGACAATGACGGCGGGAACCAGAACCGCGGATTCATACACTGGTTCGAAAGGGTTCAATCTACGTAGCATTACGGGACGGGGAAGGCGGAACGACAATATGCCATATGTGAAAACTATCGTGTCCGCATCCCCGAACTCTGCACTGGATTGGGATATCAGTAGTCAGCACAGTCAATCACGGATCATAATGGAGACGAGGACTGTGACGGTGGTTGAGGAACGTCGACGTGCTCATTTTGCGGAAGATACTGTTTGAAAACCTCGTCGTGATGCGGATGTCATTCTCACTTCTTTTCGCAGTATATTACTCAAGTCAGAAGAATCATAAACAATTACTTCCAAGGTTCCCCGGCACTACTAGGATCGCGGTTCAAGTTGCGCACAGCTCACAGAATGTGATTGTAAAACATAGATAGGAGAAGAGTTTTTACTGATAAAACCCCTGCAATTTGATAGCATCTTCCTACAGTATAAGAGCTAGCTCAATATGACTAGAATTAGACGAATCGGCAAATTGATGATCTTCGGTCATCTCAAGCCCTAAATGGTTCGTAATGGGTAATTATTTGGACTTTTCTTTTTAGCTGAATCGGGCTTTTCTTTGTGATTTTACATCCTAGGTTACGTGTGAAAGACTCATTTTACGCCACGCAAAAACGTGGCTCTTCGAAACAAAGAAGTCACTAGTCCGAGAAACCCCAAAGTCTGGGTAGATACTTAATCAGAGTTGGTCGAATATTTCTTTCTCCTTTGTCTACTCGTCCTCGAGTCTGCGAGATGACCTTGTACCGGAATATTGTTGCATTGCTACACCGACTGTATCCTGAGAGGTTAGGAAATGTGTCTACATGAAATAGGTACCATGTTCCGGCCGGTCAATAATGTATAATGACATACGGTATGCTACTAAATATGTCTACTAGTGGTCCACTGAAATATTAGAATCAACTTTCTTGGATAGAAGAGAGGTACAAAGAAAGCTGGAGGTACCATGCGGGATGTGGAGATGGAAGAGGCAATACCAGTAGAAAAGAGGGCAAGATGAGCAGATTCAGGCAGAGTCCATCCCGTTACTGCAAAATCTAAAACGAAGGTCGATACTGTAGGCGTCCGCGGCATACAAACTGCGTACAAACGGGATGTCGTGCCATAAAGGAGTTACGAGATGCCAATTATTGTCATTCGGATACAGTCTCCGGCATCATCTTGATGACTCCTAGATCGATACATCTTTTTATGCATTTTCAAGCTTGATTCGTGTTACACGATCTCGTTTTCGTTTGTTCTATCCCAATACTGGCTCTTACTCATGCAGCCTGGTAGCGGATACAGAGCATGCTCATGGCATCCGAAGTAGTTCGCACCGAGGGCTGGGGATTTGGTGTACGAATTATGTCTGCTAGGTGGGGAATTTGTCATTCCTATTGTGGCAACTCCTGATTCGATAGTCGTTGTGGAATACGTAGAAAATGAACTAAAGATTGATCTAACTTTTGAGAAGTAGATGTTATTGTTCTCTTGGATACACCCGCTGCATTCTGTGAGACTAAAACTATGATTTTGCCTTCATAGTTCAGTAACTCATACCCTTATCAGTATTAAATTCTTCTCACTTTTTATTCAGTTGTTTTACATTTCGGCCAGATTTCTCCATTTTGTCTGGAAACCTTTCAAAAGCCTTTGCTGCGGCCTTGCATAGCACGCAGTTATGGAAGCTTTGAAAATGAATAACTGGAACCATCACTCTGCTTCCAGAGAGATTGGAATGTCTCGATCTGCTAAGCGTCAAGATGAAGCCCAGTTAGCTCGTTTGGGTAAACGCGAGGTTTTGACTGTGAGAGAGAATTGTCATTCAACAGTGCAAGAGAAAAGTCACTCGCTAATTTGATACATTCGGAATTACATAGCGAAACTTCGGGTTCATGGCTGTCCTTGGCTTCAGTGCCACAATTTTGATGACCTGGGAAGGAATACTGAGGTATGCATTGTCCTCGATGGATCTCCATCCTCAGCTAATCTTTCTCAACACAGCACATTCTTACAAGCATTACAAAAGTAAGCGAGATTTCGAACTCACGTTTGTCCACTACCGGGAGGAGAAGAAAGGCGAGATGACTACTTGACACATAGTTACTGATATACTTGAAATCGATAGTGGTGGTCCCGCCGGTACAGTGTATGGATACTTCTTCGTATGGACAGGATTGGCAGCAACGTATTCTATGTTGTCAGAGATGGCTTCAATGTAAGTTGCCATTGTCTGGAATATTGCATTAACTATGATCAGAGGAGAATCTGAAACAATGACCTAATGACCTGTTAACTCGATTTAGGGCCCCTACAACCGGTGGACAGTATCATTGGTGCTCAATGCTTGCTCCAAAAAGTACATCGAAGTTTTCAAGTTATGTCACGGGTAAGTTAATGCAGCTACCTTCCAAATCATCTCACACAAGAATTTTTGTACCGCCTGACACTTACTGATCTTCACACGACTAGGCTGGCTTACTGTTGTTGGCTGGCAAGCTAGCTATGCTGCAACTTGCTACATAAGTGGTGTAATGATACAGGGCATAATCATCCTGATGCACCCAGATTACATACCGCATGCGTGGCACACAACTCTACTATCTTGGGCTATCGTGGCTTTTAGTGTGATGATCAATGTTGTGGGTGGTTCTCTACTGCCTAGATTTGAAGGGCTCATTCTGGTGATACATGTCCTTGGTTTCTTCGCCGTCCTCATTCCGCTAGTTTACATGGCCGATCACAATAGTGCACAGTATGTGTTTACGACCTGGCAGAATAGTGGAGAGTGGCCTACACAAACTCTCTCGACCTTTGTTGGCATGATTGGAACAGTGTTCTCATTTGCTGGCGGAGATGCAGCAGTGCATGTAAGTTCTCATGGGATCAACTACATCCTGAACGAAGCCCCCTTGTATATTGGAATTTTTTAAACCGCCTGACCTTGATATAGATGGCTGAAGAAACAAAGAACCCGCAAAAGCTCATCCCCGTCTCACTAATGTCTAGCCTGCTGATAAATGGCATCCTAGGGTTTGCCATGTTACTTGCCACTTTGTTCTGTATCGGAGATCTGCAGGCTGCCATCCACACACCAACTGGATTTCCTTTCATAGAAATCTTTTACCAGGTAACAAAATCGAGAGGTAGCGCTTGTGCAATGTCCTCCATTATGGTCTTTTTGCCCATTTGTGCTATGACTGGCGTATTGGCAACAGCTTCTCGGCAATTCTGTAAGCAACACAAACGGCCAGAACCCATTTTACTTATTACTAACCCCAACTTCAGGGGCATTTTCGCGTGATCGTGGCGTTCCAGGTTGGCGCATTTGGAGCCGAGTCTCAGAGAGCACAAATATACCAGTCAACTCCGTATGGCTAACGGCGGTCATTTCCATGCTCTTGGGACTAATCCCACTCGGCTCATCAGTAGCTTTCAACGACTTGACCTCCATGTCGACCTCTGGCCTATACTTGTCGTACATAGTCTGTTGCATTCTTCTACTCTGGCGACGATGCACTGGTGGAATCATGGAGATGAATGATTACCGAAGTCGTAACAGCTCCGGCGTCGTGTCAGAAGCGGATGAAGATATCATCAACACGGCCGGTGCAAAAATTGTCTGGGGCCCATTCCATCTTAAAGGCATTTTCGGAATTGTGGCGAATATAGTTGCCATTGCATACCTGCTTATTGTCACATTTTTTAGCTTTTTTCCACCAACAGCAAAAATCACTGCATCAACGATGAATTACAGCGCTTGTGGAACAGTCGGGGTCATGCTTCTCAGTATTTTATACTACGTTCTCAGAGCGAGAAAGGTATTTGAAGGGCCTATCATTGAATTATGAAAAGAACCTGGTTATAATGATTTGTTTTGTTGTGATGGGCATGGGGAGTACTGGCAAAGCAAATATATATAAACTGAATATCTTGTCGTTGAGTTGTCTAAAGAAAAAGCTGTACTAGTTATGATGAGCTTTTCTCATATCTAGTACTAGTTTTGCTGATAGACTTTATTGATAGTTCCTTGAGAGGACTATTCGAAGTTGGAAACTGTAAATCATCTTGACGCAGAGAAGATCCAGTTCAATAAACAACGAATTTTATGGATTTACCACACGCAGGTACAAAGAGTATAAGTAACAGGTATGCCATGTGTGGTGTAGCTATATCCTGCGAAAGGGCTGTGAATGATATCCCTAGGTAGAAAAGGCCCAAACTTATACTGGTGTCATGGAGATTGAATTGTAAACTGTCCTAGGCAGAAACATACAAATCTCATGGAGTTCTCAGTATTCACCACGAAGGGACCTTTCCATCAGAACATCTACCGCCACCGACTTGCAATCAAAGACCAAAAATGGAAACTGTAGTCTCCTGACATACCAAGCTAGAGTCCACCCCATAACTGGCGGCGAGAGCATGCCGAGATGAAGGTGTCTTAGTTACGCTTTCCACCGGTGTTGTTGTTGTTGTCGTTTGAACCCGCACTATTGGTGTTCGCGGTGGTGGAAGAAGTGCGGGCGTTCTCGTTGCGAGCCGCTGCCGACTGAGCGCGAGCTGGGAAGCCTCCTGAGCTCATGTCGCCACCTCCACGTGCCTGGGAAGGTGTCAGTAAGACATGTATATCAGGAAGTAACAATGAGGCTCCTTACTGTGGCGGATTGGATGCGTGCAGCATCTTCCTTCGTCATTTGACGAGACATTTTGATAAAGATGTATTTGTAACCTTGGTTTTCAGTGAATTTGTAGAGGATTTCGGTTGTGTATGATCTTGATCAAGCTTGTTATGTTTTTGAGAAAGGAAAAGTTTGAACAAGCAGGGTGCTGACACTCTTTATATACCTTTCCCAGTCTCTGGAAGGTACTGGAATGACGAACTCGCAGGCCTTTCGGTCACCAAAATGGGTACCGACGCGGGGACTTTAATGGATATGATATCACGCTGATTGAGGGTTGTGACACCAAGTCTTTGACTGTCGGGCGGTCTTGAATCCACCAGCTTCGGTATGGACACTGAATGCAACAGCCCCATAAGTAAATCATCGATAACTTCCTAATCGGGTAATAATTCACTATACCACCGCTCGTCGATCATCTTGCCTTGCACTCGGTGGCACCCGAGACAAATCTCGGAAGTTCTAGGCAATATAAATGGAAAGCAAAAGAAATATCTAGTGATTATGATTCAATATAGTCCTCTTTGTTCGAGTTTCTAATAGAACAATACGGCTTCTCCAGCAATCGAATTGTCGGCAACTCCCATAAAATATAAACAAAATGTCTTATTCTATTCATAAAGAAACTTTCCTAGAAGATTTGGAGGAAGCTGCGAAGGAAGTACGCAGACTACTTAGGGTACCGAGTCCCGTCGGGCGTGCAAACTCGACGGCCACATCCCGAAATCGACGGGCTAGTCCGATGACAATTCGATGTATCTCATAATTGTACAACAAGATTTGGTGTTTGAGTAGGATTGGTCGGGATATCGTTTATCAAATAGCTTGTCACTTACTACCGTTGTTGGCAACGGTCAAGCAAGTACCTCCTTTCTGTGTACGTATTCCGGTAACAAGGATTGGTATGTTATTTGAGTTAGGCATAGTCCGACGAGGTTCAGAATCCCATAAAGATTCGGAATCAATACTTGCTGCTAGGCCTCTCGTCTGAATCCTCCTTCTTTGAGTTCATTAAATTGGTCATGTATACCCTTTGAGGTCCTTGGTATTAGAGGGGTAGTCTCGTAGCAAACAAAGAATGAAGCGTAACCACTCATTCTGCAGGTAAGCTGCTTGAGACTAGTTTTGGCTCTTTTCCATAAACCGGAGACCTCCGGCAATATGGACTGAGCCAGTATACCAAGCGATTTTGATTTGTTGTATATTCCGCCACTTGAAAGAGCATATTGACACCTTTTTTGAGGCCAAAGGATTTATCGCCGTCAGATGTCATTAACGAACCGAGAGACAATCATTATCAGAGACCGAGTCTATAGAACGGAATAATGAAGTCAATATGGTGATTCCAAGATGAATATGTCACATGTGAAAGTAGAGATTTAGGGCTAGGGCTAGGAGTTAGTCACGTGAAGACAGTGATTTGCGTGGCCTGCCAGCTGTAACAGAGCTAAGCCATCCATGACCTTTTCTGTTTCTTCTTAACATCCACTCGGGATTTCTTGTCGCAGCACAGCCTCATTCGCCTACTCTTCTCTGTCTCATTTGTACCATTTTGAAACAGCTTTCGTCAGCCTGCCGGTCGAGAGCTCCAGTGGGTACGCTATTAATAAGAGACTTCCTGTCTTTCGGAAACCTTGGAAGCACTATGTAAGAACAGTGATCGCAACAATTTCTCATACCTAAATTTTCTTGTTCAGAACATAACAAAAGAGCAATTTTGGATCATATCTACATCAATACCACACTATTATTCATTATAATTTCATAAATCTCTTTATATCATCTTTGATAGGACTATAAATAGTCTTCGCTGTCAATTCACCACCATGCTACAGTTTTCCACACTCACGGCGGCAGCTGTACTAATGGCCGCCACCGTCCGAGGCCAAGGCACCTCAGGCCAGTCAACGATCTCCACCACAGCTTCATCAAATTCTGCTTCTAGTAGTACTCATATCCCAGTTTTCGGAGCCGGGGCAACGACCATTCCGCTTTCTGGTGTAGCTGGTAGCATCGTTGGAGCCGATTCAACAGCCACTACTATTGCACTGAACTGCGCCAACAGCACAAGCTGTGGTATTGGCACGAAACCAGTAACCTTTACCCAAGGACCATCAACATTGGTTGCTGATATCGTCACTCAAACTGATCTGGAAGGTCATTCTGGAACACTCACTGTTGCCGTCGCCTGCAATGTGGTTTCCAGTACACAAGCTGCGACTTGCACTGCCACGGCCACCGTCGCGATCGGGGCTCAAAGTCAAACTTCTGCTATAACAATCACCACCACTACGACTATACCTTCCGGCCAGATTCATTATGACCAACTTCTTATTACGGCTGGTGTTGACAAATTGAATAGTCCTGCAGCTTCTCATACGTCGAGCGGCTTCGCTGGTGCTGTTGCTGCACCACTTCCAACGGGTTATATGGGTATCGGCGTTGGTGGTATGGCTGCAGCGGCTGTCGTAGCTGTTGCTGGAATGCTATAAAGCGATTTCCAAAGATTACTCCTATGAACGAATATGGATTGTGATCCCAGCAGATTGGGATATGATCAGGCAGGCTCTCACTCGTCCCAATCTACTCCAATCGCATCCACGACCTTCATTTTATGCCCAGGTATTGCCACACAAGTTTGATAAAAATGGTTACGCCAACTCAGGTACTTTCAACGAAGATTTTGAGATATATTTTGCTTGGATAATGAACGGCGGTCAATTCCCAATTACAGTTGATGAGCTCTTCCATACCTAGGTACATACAATCATTAGTCCAGAATGCACTATTTGCGACATAGAATTTTTTTTTTAAATCTGAACCGAGGAAAACTCACATAGAAAAACTGAGGGGTCGACTGGCGATACTTCTACCTACCTCTAGGTACGGATCTCACGTGCCCCTCTAAACCCTAAAAGGACCATTGACTGCATCCATGCCCATGGTAACTAAGCCACCATTAGATACGTTGTATCTAAATATAACCTAAAGTTTCGGATTCTCATGAAAGACCACCCACAGATGTTGCAGACATTTCGACTCTAGTGATTATAGCGAGATAACGACGTGATCTATGCATTGGTAAAGAGGCCGTCTGCTCTCGCAAGAAGTTCGTGGTTGGTTTACAATTCACCTATCAAGTTCGAGGGTCATTTTGAGCTGGAAGAAAGCCCTAAAATTGGCTAAATACGCGGTTTAATACCTTCACTTGGACCATAATGCAGATCTTACTACAGATACATGTTTATCTGTAAAACCTTGGAAGCTCACTTATTCATGTACTACGCTTCTGCACTGGATTCAAACTATTACCTATATCAATTGAAGGATATTCTGGATAAAGACCAAGAAGCCTATTCTGGCAGCATAGTTCAAATAGTCCTGATGTAATTAGCCGTTAATAAGACATCTCTTTTCCGGCTGCAAAACAAACCACTAGAGACTTTCCTGGACTGAGCCAGCTTCCCAAAACTTCCTTTTCGCATACTCCGCCTAGATAACCATCTCTTCCTGGCGTCTCCGAATCATCATTCTCAAATGCTGATCCAAGTTCAAAGAAAAACCATTGCGGCGAAACTGTGGTGTCTGTCCGTCAGCTATCCTCCAGTCGTAGCGTAATAGAAGATATATCAGCACGATTTTAACTTCGTTAGCAGCAAAAAATCGCCCAGGGCAGGCGTGCTTGCCATGCCCCCAGGCTAAATATTCCGGCGCTGTTGTAACAAGTTGGGCTTTGGTCTGTCCCTCGGCCTGTTCACGCATCTTGTAAAAACGGTAGCCATCGAATTTATCGGGGTTCTCGTAGACTTCGCTATCCCACAATTTGAGGCTAGATACGCAAATCTGACTATTCTTGGGAATAACCGTGTCATCAGAAAGCTTTACTTCATCAAGAGCTAACCGACGCATGGTGGCTAAAAACATCAGTGTCAGCTATCATGGAAGAGGCAAGAGTGGGCAAGGTTTTTAGTTGGAAGGGATGCTATTACCAATGCCAGTTGGCTTTAGTCTTTGGCTTTCTTTGACAACACTATCCAACAACTTCATGTTATAAAGTGATGTCTTCTTCCACCCATGTTCCTGGAGAACATCTACAAGCTCTTTTCGTAACGGAGCTAAGATTTCTGGGTTTTGCGCCAGTTGCGTCAATGTCTGACATGTCAAATCGGTGGTGGTATGTATTGCTGCCACAGACAGGATCAGTTGCGCGCTCACAGGATCGTAGTCCTGACCGTTAGCTTCTTTCTCAAACCATTCGATGGCATCATCAATGACCTTCAACTGCCACTATCTTTCATCCTGCGTCTTTCCTCCAGCATTGGCTGAATAATCTTATGAGCTTTCGCGACCAGTGCCCTAAGCTTGCGGCACTGTGGAAGGAACCAGTGAACAATAGGGAGGAGAGGAGCGGGCCAGAGCCGGAGCTCTTCAGCAGCTGTAAAACTATACAGTGTATAGTCGCGGGTAACCTCAAGCCATTCTTCATTTCGACACAGTAAGTCGCCAAGAAAGACGCGCGACGATACGCGGGCAATGATTTTCACGATCGTATCCTTAAGAGCAATTGAATGCCATTCTAGATTATTCATTCGTTAATAAATCTATGAGTGTATATCAGAGTTCACCATACCTTCGTTATCAGACAATAACTCAGGAATAACCATAGCCGTTTCGGCAGCAAGCGGTTCTGTAACCTTGTCTGCCGGATGTTATCAGTACATGGAAGCACAGTAAGCATGCGGAAAGGGAATATACATACTCAAGTGCTTTGTCAAGTCTTTCACAATCACCGCCTTAATAATCCCCGAGTCGCTACCACCCTCGCGGAAACCGTCGAACCCGGGAAGGTTTCTATGAAATGCCTAAGGTCTCCTCATTAGTTCAATTTGATAACCCCGTGTCAAAAAATCCTACCTGTAAGGTCCACCGAGAAAAGCTCAGGCGGTCATCATTTCGAATCTCGTCTGCCATGTGCGAGGGAAGCACAGTCACCACTCCAGTATCAGCAATCATTTGTGCTGGGTTATGTGGGTTGGGGTTGGCATTAAACCAGTTTCCCATCATCTGCAATGCTCCAGCGATGTACTCTTTCTTGGCTCTTGTGCTTGTTAACTCCCAAACACTTTTTGGATTGAGCATGACTGCATTTTTGCTGGAGTTGCCCAGGGACGAGAGAACCATAAGGGCCAGCAGAACAGCTGCGAGATATGGTAGATGAGCCTGTGCCGAGCCAAATGTGCTCACAGCGTCCCACCAAGAGACGTCAATAGGCAAACCTGCAGAAGGCATGATGCTGCGGTTAAGTTGTTAGAGAATTGAATTCTTGACCAGAATATTTCATGACAGGTCTCAAACTCAACTAATTTATAGGTCCTGCATCTTCTTATGCCCGGCACTGCCTGTCAAAGACGTTCCGATAGCTGCATGTGTTGCACACTGAAAAATCTGCATCAAACCATGTCCATATTGCCATCTTAGGATCAACACTTTAGCGTCAAACAAGGCCATGATGATATCCTTCTATAACTGGCTCGTCTACCGTAGGATGGTGGGATTGGCCCACTCCCCGCATGTATAATGCCACCTAGGGTCTTGCTGGTTGTAGATCGACTCGGCTTGTAGCATTTCCGTTCTCCATATTGTGACTGAGGAGAACAATCAGGAGGAGCTACCAGTGCATAGATAGAACAAAGAGGCAATTCAATGTCTTGGCGGGTAAGGATCGCAGCATCATCGCGCCAACATGAGGCCCCTTGCTTGGACTCAAGTCGAGTTTCATAGTCTGATATCTTCGCTTAAGCTCAGCAGACCTACCATGAGCAACAGACTCTCTCCATGTTGGATAGTGTGCATGTATGTGTGCATATGTGCTACCATAAATCACGCTTTCAAGGTCGTGTGTGGACATGGGTGCAATTGGACGTGCATTTCGCTGCTCGCTGCCTGTATAGCCAAAAATCTATTAACAAGCACTATTATCGGAGTATCGGTAGTATCGAATTATCTGTGCGCTGATTCAGCTGTCACTGACTCAGTGACTCGGATTCGAGGAATGAAACGATCCAGAAGCCGTATGGGGGTCCACCATATCCACATAAGAAAGGGAGATCGTACAGCGCCGTACACAGGTGGCTAGGATTGGGCAATGTACACACAAGGATATTTTGGACTGCAGGACATAAAAAGCACCCTACGCAATGGCTCTCCGCAACACTCTGATGTTTTCATGAACACAGCGTATCACCAATGACGCTGCTTCATGCTGCCAGATGCCAATAATCTGGCATCCGACACTCCCAAGTATCATATTCGCCTGGACTCGCTGGAAGAGAAGGAGGAGAATGAGTACTTTCCCAGGCGAGTAGCCAGGTAGCCTCCATACAAGCCTACCACACTTCGCTCATACCAGGCTGCGTCCGTCTCTGTTGGAAAGGAATGACCATCCATAGCAAAGAGCCGAGTGAATCCAAACCCTCACACCAGGCGAAAGCATCTGGCACAAGATCAAACCTTGGGTCCGTTTCCAACAATATCTTCAGAGACCCTCCCTCAGTCAGCTCCATCAAGTCCGCTATTGTCAAGGCCCTCTTCGCCTTGCGTTGAGAAATGTCCTTTTCATACTCCGTACGCCAGGTGAAGTTAGTGTTTGCCTCCCACAGATCTCTTGATGCCGGGAGTGGGATATTGTCGAACCTTGCATTGCATTTCGAGCGATATTTGATCCTTTGCTGTTCTAAAAGGCCCTCAAGAAGGAGATCAACGATCAGGAGTACGATCATTGTCCTGCAGCAGTACATATCGAAAGTCAGAAAACTAGACGGTAATGCAAGTGGGAAGAGTGTCAATCTGACCTCCTCATGCTCTCTTCATGAACCCATTGCTGTCGTGTGGGTATCCCATAGAGATTATCGATGATTACTTTGTTTCTTTTCCCAGCGCTTACGGAAATACTCTAGTCCATGATTAACCAAAAACGTGAAAATTTGCAGCCGCGACGTCAATTCGAACTCACAATGACGCTGCTCAAGAGATTGTGTGCTCCATTGGCCTCACTTGTTTCAACATCCAGAGCTTGAAGGAGGGTGTAGATTGTCATCGCTTGAAAAGCGACTAGTTGTTGATACACATCATAATTTTCGTGCTGAATTGTATAAGAACTAATTAACATCCGGATAAGTAGCACGGGCTTGACAGCTCTCACCTCACGATGCAGTCTATCGGATTCAGCATATATTGCCTTCCAGACAAAGTCAGCGTTCTGTGGCGTCCGAGAATAGAACATGTTCACCAGCCCAACACATATTGCCAAGTCCCGCGGAAGACATTGATGCATTTTGTTCTTTACACAGTCAAATGCCAGCTCTTCATGCATCTGACATGGCGCACAGATGAATGGCGGCAGACGATCGCCTTGAATCATCATCTTGGGATAGCTTGTCAGCTGTCCTAGAACAATACTGCTTGCTAGGCAATGTTTGATTGCGTTTCGCCTCTGGAAGGTCCCGCGACGCGAAGGTAACTGAAGTGGCATCTCCTGGACATTAAGTACAGGGCTTGGCAACATTGTCCTCTCTAAAGACCACGTTCCTGGATCGTTTAGACGGCCGCCCATCATCTGAATCGTATCAGCCCTGGATACCATTGTCTCTATTCCCGGAGATCCCTGTGCATTAGTATATGCGGGAAACGTAGTTGACTCGGTCGACACGCCGAGTAAGTCCGCAGACTTTAGCGTACTGAAAGCTCGCTCAGCATGGGGACTCGCCAAGGTAAAATCTAGCTCGAGATTATCAAACGAGACATCGGTATCCTGGAACAGGGGATGTATGAGGGTCGAGGCCGATGGAGCAGAGATAGTGTCGCGACCCTGTAATTGCATTGCGCTGTCTGGAGGCTCTTCGATTATCCTTGATGGCGTAGAAGGTATTCGAACTGGCCTAGTAGCGGCTGAATGTGCATAAGGGGCTGCATCACCAGCCTTCCAGTCGTAGACGCAGGGCACGCCTCGCTCGGAACAGCGAGAGCAGCTCGGGATTCCCTGATTACATCTCAACTTGGATTGCCTGCATCTCACGCAGGACTTCTTTCTCGAGACTGGCATTGCCAGTAACCATATAGTGTATCTCCCGTCTCAAGCACAAGTCAATAGTTCCGTGCACTTGCTGATTCAGTTGCGGTTGAAATGATCGCGGTCCATCCGACCAAGAAGCCCGCGGAGTTTAGGTGGAGACTCTCGGAATCACAAGTGAGTTGGGGATGAGTTGATAATTTCAGACATATTACTATTGACTCTTGGAATTTTCGTCAAGATAAATGTATGGAAGGTATGTGAACGCTTTCTTCACCACAAGTTATGACAAATATGAGTCCGATTGTTAAAGTAGGGATGGTTGATAATTTTCAATTCGCGCTTTCGCGGCGGACGAAATTTTGGACTTCGGGTGGACCCAGTCTAATGCAGTCAAAGATCGAAATTCACCAACACTAATAGGGTACGAATTATATCAGACGTTAGATGTTGGCCCAATGGAGTCGGAGTCGATCGGATTTCTCTATAATAGCTATAGAAACGACTGCTATCTTCCGACTTCGAATTTTTCGGAAATCTGCCCAGCCTGTAACAGCTGTGAATGACATACACAAAGACGCAGCCTCTTCGGAATTCCGCGGCCTCATGATATACTTGCCATGAAGAAAGTCTCGGAAAAGATGGAGTGTTCATGGAAGCCTTTGTCATATAAAGAGGGAGTTATCGCACAAAGCGTATCCGGCAGCGAATTCAAGAATAACCACATCATTCCACGACGTCCATTAAGTCTTGACCCTTCGTTCCTTCTACGTTTCGATAAATTCTTCAAGATGGCTCCTATCCGTGTTGGAATCATTGGCCTAACTACTGTCATTCCCTCTGGCGAAGGCTACACCCCAGGCAGTTGGGGCCTTGCCCATCTGGCCTGTCTCGCCAACTCTCCGCACTACAAGATTGTGGCCCTGTGCAATTCCACAGTTGAAAAGGCCCACAAGTCAATTGAGCATAACAAACTGGACCCTGTGACCAAAGCATACGGCTCAGCCGAGGAATTAGCCCAGGATCCGGATGTCGACCTCATCATCGTGTCCGTTCACGTCGACAAGCACTATGCCCTCCTGAAACCGGCGCTCCAAAACAAGAAGAGTGTATTTGTTGAGTTTCCTCTTACAGGCTCCTACAAGGAGGCCGAGGAATTGGCAGAGCTTGCTAAACAGGCAGGTGTAAAGTCTGTTGTTGGCGCCCAAGCTCGTGCCAATCCTGCACTCAAGAAAGTCAAGGAGTTGATCAAGTCCGGAGCGATAGGGGATGTTGTTACCACCAGCTGGACAGGTCACTTGATTCTTTCGACCTGGTCTGGAATACCTGAAGCTCTGAAAGATTTCGTGGAGTTGGACGGTGGACCCGGTCGAATCAACATTGGTCTAGGACATGGTACGTATTTGACTCCATCTGACTTTGACGTATGGTTCTCGAATTGAAACTGACTTGGTTCAAGGTCTCGATCCATTTTTGGATACACTCGGCGACTTCAAAGATGTCCAGGCTATCTTCAAAACATACCAAAAGACCACTTCATTGTTCAATTCTACCGGCACGGTGATTGATCCTGCGTACAAAGCCACAGCGCCGGAGTATATCCTTGTCCAAGGTGTGCTAGAAAGTGGAGCCGTGGCATCAATCAATGTACGCAGTACTCCAACTTCAGTCGACGAAGCCGGATTCAGATGGATCATCAGCGGCTCGGAGGGTGAAATTGAATTCACCAGTCCGGCTGGCGGCTATATCCAGGGATCTGGGCCCAATTGCAAGGTACTGCTCAGAAAATGGAAGGGTGGGATGGAAGAAGTTGATTTGAGACGCGATGAGCCGGCTCATGTTACTAATGTTCTTGAGTTTGGCATCAACACGGCTCGTCTATATGAGGCGTTTGCTACCGGGGATGAGGATGGGTATCCGTCGATTGAGTCAGCTCGGAAAGTCCACCATCTAATTGAGAGAATCAAGAAGGTTGCTGTATGGGCACCCTAAAGGGAATGCTTCATAGTGATGCAGATATTTGTGTGGATTGTGCCTTGAACAAGTCGAACACAGAGTAAGAGCATATCCCGGCATCCGGAACTGATGTTGGGGACCTCAGATCTCGTGAAATATTCACATCTATGTTGGTCTACCATTGTTTAGATCTTGATGTATCTAGGTTGCTACTATCTGATAAACATACTATGAACAATCTCAATGTTTAGGCGATCTTGATCGGAATAGACTACGGATAGTATTTGCGGCAAAGTATCCGGGGTCATCCAGAATACCCGGACAATTGAACTCGTATCCGGGTAGATACAGACATGTAGGACAATGTGCCTCCGAGTTAGCCGATCGAGTATAAGGACAATTCTGTACATTAGCATAGAGCCTCGGTCCGGCTGAACTGAGACCGGTAATCATGTTGAAAGATAGGGTGTCAACCAGTCGATGTACACTTTTTTCAGCCTAAATGACTTGTTGCTTGATACTCACATTCGGTTTCAGCACACTACATCTAGGCGCGAACTCAGAATCAAAGAAATTGTTTTCTAATTGGTCCTCGGCCTTGATTCATCTAGAACTAGGTAAATGGCACACAGTTCCCCGAAGGTGGAGAGAGTTTCTTTTTCTTTGTTTGTTTCCCTTCTTCTTTTTGAATATGAAGATATGGAGCGATTTCTTACTCTTCATTGGTCTGCATCTATTTAATATGGAGAGATGCAATCTAGAGCTGTATATCGACGCCTCAGCGCTTAAAAGTCGTTATGTTCAAGTGTTAATTGGTCCGTCAACTATGACCCCTGCCCATCCCCCACTAAGACGAACCCTAGATGTAATCATCCGCTTCACTTGGCGTTAACTTGTCTCATTGATATGGGCAAATCACGATGCTTAAAATCCTTGGCTATTGAGCTGGCTTGATCCTGGCTGATCTACATTCTACATGTCTTGTTCGTGACATACGCGCCTAAAGGACACCGATGAGGATTCTAACATACCTACCTCCGAGATCTGTGCTATGGATGCAATCCGATTGACTCCAAGATCGAGATTCTCTGTTATGATTCGCGGAAAATTTCACTGAAAGACGTTGAATTATGTCCCTCTATAGTCAGCTGGGATTTTTTTCGGGTTGGGCTCCTCGAACGTTGAACTCTTGAAGAACGATTGAAAGACGAGACCACGCTCCGGGTTGACAGATTCCTGCAAGACGATCCCATTAGCGCGTCCATTGCATTGCTTCAGCCTACTGAAATACGGTAAAACTGACTCAGGGACTCCTCATTCATGCAACCGATTTGTCCGCTTGCACGACTGCGCCGCATTTTTGTACGTACAAGAAAGAGTGTGGATAGTCTGTGGAGTCGCTTTTCCTGATTTCAATGCCTGCTCCAGGATATCACCCGACTCCTCTCCCTGGCTGTAATCACCCTCAGTTCGTGCAGAATACCCTGTCTTCTTCACAATGAGCCTAGCAATTTAGATTATGGCACGAGTGATTGTACCGGGATATCGCAAGTTTGCGGGCTTTGTTGTACAGCATCTTTAATATAAGAGAGCGTTAAACAGTCGGCCAATCATCTGCTGTGGTTTGCAAGCTTATGCAGAATTATCTGTTTATAGAAAAATTAATGCAGTATGATAAACCTAGACTTGAAATGGTAAGTTATTTGCAGTTTTTATGACTATAATTAAGGATCTATTTTTACTACCTTGCGTGCACCTAGCCCTATCCGGGAATTAACCTTCATAATTTGTTTCTTAAACTATCCCAAAATGTCTATTTGAAACCCCGGATTCGTAACACTTAGCCCTATTGAGTGTAAATTTATGAAGTACGCTTTTAGAGTAGGGTGTCGATGTACCTACAAGGATCCCAGGCGTCTATCAAGAATTAATTATAATGGATTCTCTCTTTCTTTTATCCTCATGCCAACTCGCCTACGTGCATGTGTAGCCTGTGACAGTTCTTGTCATACTTGGCTTATTTCTCAGCAGCCGTGGAAGCTTGTTTGAAACGAAACGAAAAACAAACTTGTCGGCGCACTTCCTTCTTGAACACCTAACACCCTCCGAGTGATACTTAATCTATTCTCTACCACCCTCCATTATTGTCACATTCCCGACTTGACACATCTACTTGAAATTCGTTCAGGGACCCAACACCGCCGGCTGGTACCGTGCACATCAGCAGGGTGATGAGGACATCTGTATGAATACTTGCTCGTTGGGTTGCTCAGCCTTGGTCATCAGTGGGATATTGACTGTATCCCCGCATTATTCTTTGTTTCTGTGCGATAGATCCGGTCACTTCATCTCAGTTGGCCCCTCGCTGTTCGACCACATTGTTTGATCCGAGTTGCGAGAAGGAAAAAAAAGACCGATATAAGAACTTCCATCGCCATCATCAATACTCAGTTATGGAGAATATCGTGAACACGTCGCTCGACATCATCCGCCGCCACAAAGCTCGGCACCCTCGCCTTCACTCACGCTGGGGCGATGTTGCTATAACGCCTCCAGTCGAAGGAGCCTGGTCCCAGTTCGACAACCCATACATCCGTGACGAGAGAGAGTATGGGCCAGGCTTCATCCCTAGTTTGGATATTAGTAACAAGGAGGTCTTGCTTCTCGAGTCTTCTACCGACGGCTCTGACGATGAGCTGGCAAAAGAAAAGAACATTAAAGAAGGGAGGACGGGAAAAGAAGCAGACTCAAAGGCTATATCAAAAGCCAAGCGATTGACTCGAATCTTACTGCCCTCAAGTGTCAATTCGACCGTAAGGAAGTCTGCCGACAAAGGGAAGGCTAATGATTTCCAATACAGACCCGTGCAACCGGACTATGCACAAGAGGTTGTAGAGAAGATCGACCAGCAGAGCCGACCTCATTTCCGTTATGTGCCCGCCAGTAGGCACTACTTGTATAATTTGAAGAGACATGATATTCGGTTGAGCGATAGCGAAAACACCTATGGTCACTACGATACGGATGATGATGCCGATGACGAGAACGAGATCAAAGAAAAGAGTCGTAGCGGCAGACAGGAACGACAACGGAGTCATTCCTGTGACCCTGACGTTGGCGGCCGGTCATTCGTTGTAACCACGGGGAGACGAAAGCCTCGACCTTTTCGCGGAACACCCCTCGAAACAATAAACAGTCCCACTAGTACTATCTCTCTGTCAGACACCATGTCATCGAGTACTTTGTCACGAAGCTCAGGTCCTCGAGCTAACAGCACCTCTCGGCTTGGAGAGCAGGAACATAGCCCAAGGTGGCACGCCATGCGCCGCCTTGACACCAAGCCTCAGGTAATCACTGTTCAGCGATCAAAGTCTGATGTCAAGAAAGTGAAAAGGCGAACGATGACTCTTGAAATGGTCCGCGATCAGGAAGATCTATGGTACTGAGATAGATTAGCACAGTGCTATATCTGCCCGTCACATCTTTCTTATTTCATTTTTTTCCCTCTTGAGTTGAACTCAAAGTATATCTTGTCTTCCACATAATGAGAGGCGTGTTGTCATGGTGGAATTCTCATTTCCTTCAACTATATTCAGATTGGACGAATTCTTTTGTATGAGGCTTCCCTCTTCTGGAGTTAATAGGTTAGCATGTTAGGCGAACAATCCCTTTCTATTCAAAGTAGAACCTAGGGCTTCCCAGTCCAAGCCCTAATTCCAAGAAAATAAAGAATATTGTGGATGGAATGCCCGATTTTGGTGGCGCGCAACTTTTGCCCATGGATGACGGCATGTGAACGTATGTATGATCCACTCCCGAAGCCCTAACTTGATAACGGGCCTCACCTACCAGACAACATATTCACGCTTTCCTTTTCCTCTGTATATCTCAAATATTGAATTAGTTTCTCAATTCAACTCGTACGCAAGCTGTTACCTATTACTTTGCTTAACGCAGACAGTTTCTGGAAACCATCACATTCCACATCTATCATGGGCGGACAATCTGTCGTCGAGCTTCGTTGCAAATGCAAAGTATGTGAATGTTCTTTCCAATATTAGTCGCCTGGGACTGATTTTTACCTCTTTTGACAGAATGATCCTTGGGGAAAGAAAGGCGAGGATTCCCTTGCTGCCAGGCTCTGCTTCAAACAACCGGGAACAGACTGGAAGATCGATAGTAACCAGACATATTCCGAGGTTCGTAGCGCGTTCGTCCCTTCTATATGCGTTAGGTTCTTCCTTTGAGCCTCGGTGGTGACAAGAATAACAGATGTGGATGGGCACCTATCCCTCCGTCCCATCATACGTCGTAGGAACCGGTGAGACACTCGAAGAGTATTTGAATAAAAATCCGAATCTGGTCGGGGAGAAGATTGTGAAGAAGTTTGGTGGAGGTTTACCTTTCCTACCAAAGGTAAGTATCTCCCCTTATTGTGGCTGCCTCGTTATTGACTTCGGAACAGATATTGTCGATAGACAAGGCCCTTCCTCTACAGATACACCCGGACCGCAACCTCGCTGAACAACTCCATAAGCAAGATCCCGATAAGTTCACGGATACAAACCATAAACCTGAAATTGCGGTTGCACTTTCACAATTCGAGCTTTTTGCCGGTTGGAAGCCGCTCAATGATTTAACACAACTCTTTCGAACTACACCTTTGAAGAAATTCCTGCCAACACCGGACTCCCATTTTAACGACGAAACCCTCAAAATGATAGCACAAAATATTCTCGAAGCTGATGAGAAGACTGTTGCCGATACAATCAGGGAGCTAACCAAGTTGCCCGAAAGTGCATACGGGAAATATTCATATATTCCCAAAATGCTCGAAAGGGTTTCCTCACAGTATTCCGAGTCGACAATGGGACACTTTTCGCGGCCGTGTGCATGAACTACTTGATTCTGCAGTACGGCGAATCAGTTTATGTCCCCGCTGACGGCATGCATGCGTATATATCCGGTAACATCATGGAATGTATGGCTCGATCCGACAACGTGCTCAACACCGGTTTCTGTCCCCGTGCAGACCGTGACAACGTTGCCTTATTCTGTGAAGCTTTTACTGGATGGCCTCATGATCCCGATGAGGCTAGGTTGGGAAGGCATCCTTCAAACAAGGGGCTCAATGGGAAGACCGAGGAGTATGCACCCCCCATTAGCGAGTTCAATGTCCTCGCAACCCATCTCAAGGCCGGCGAGAGGGAAAAGATCAGCCCGATCGATGGTCCGAGTATTCTGTGTGTCACTAGTGGAGAGGGTAAGATGACAGCCAAGGCTAGTGAAGGCAAGTCATACAAACTAAGTGAAGGATCCGTATTCTTTGTGGCATGTGGTGTTGAGCTGGAATTTGAGGCGACTGGTGAGAAACTGGACGTCTTTAGGCCCTATGCGGAGTGAAATTAGAATGCGATATACAATGTCGCTCACTCTTCCTGTGCTCATGCTAGAATAAATACATTGTCATATAGTTCGGTGTACCTGGCAAAATAGATTAGAAATAATGAAATAAATTGTAGCGAATCTGAGAAGCCCTAGTTAGGAGACCACGCCTTATATGAAAGTGTAGGTTCAAGCTTAGATGAGGGTTGACGCATATGAAAAACGGACTAAGCTATTGCTTAAGGTATCTTTTCCCAAACATACCTAGGAAGGTGATAGATACCAGGTCCGTGAACATCTATATGCCTGGCGGATCAATGGACGTGGCAGGCTCTGGTCATCGGGTAATATGCCTGCAGTATTATAACCGTTGGAAACATTGATTCGCACTCTTCCAGGTTGTCCCTTCTATGCGATGGATGGAACTTAGAGCAAGCCAGATATGACCTAGTAATATTCCTGACTCCCGTCAACAATGACCCCGACGCGAGCCTACTTCCTATCTAGGTTTGTAGATATGATAGTTATACTTAGAAAAGCCAAATATAGACTCGTTATACAAGACTACCTATATAGTTCAGCAGAGGATAAAAAGCATAAAACCCCGCGTCTTGACCGCATATTCTCTAGTTTCAATGCCGGTGCTATTAGAAAAGGAAGTTCATATGCTAGTATTTCTATAAAAACACAAGTCAACTGCTTTGGATACGTTACAAACTGCTTGGAGATGGCGTCCCTGCAATATGAGCTTCAAAATAAATGAAACCCTAGTCATTCACGTAGGTAGTGTAGGGAGAAGTAAGCGATTCTTCAAAGACTGTAATCCTGATAGGAGCGGTGTTTCTTGTTAGATTGCTCCTATCTATAGCCCTCCAACTTCTAAATTTGCAATCCTGGTCCTATTTATATGGGCTGTCCCCTCGCTTATGAATTTTCCAGTACTTACCGAACTGATGATCCTTGTTTTCTTCAAGGACAGTAGATAAGTCGTCTGTGGATGATGCATCACCTCTCTACTTCCCAGATGGTACTGCCAACTGAAATGAACCTTTGCAAAACGATAGCCATTTTAGCCCAAGTTATTTAATTTCACTATTTCAGTGTGTTGGCGGAATTGTCTATTCATATCTGCGGGCTAGTCAATCAGACGTCTTCCTATCCAACTCTCAGCCAGAAATAGAATCAATGTGAAGACACGACAGAGGTGCAGAAAGCGATCACGAATCAATAGATTAAATACAATTATAGAAACATTTGTATGCAGCTAATATGATGAAACTAACCGTATCAATATTTAGTCTATAAATTTTCGTGAGCTCCTGTCCAACCATTTCCGTGACGGCTTAGAAGTGGTAACTGAATTAGGGCTTTCAGCGCTTTACAGTGCTTGGCACAGGCTCCTCCAACCACCTCTTTCGCTTCAATAATACCAATGTTCGCTTGCAGAATTCTTCAGGGCTTGAATAAGTAAAGCGTTGAGCTTAGCTACCCATTTTAATGTACGTTGTGGCCAATAAAATATCCGTTTCCGCATCTCATCTATTAATACTTCTCGACTCTCCGGTTTGGGGTTATCTGCCGAGCAGCAAAACCGTCCTAAAGCACCAACACTAGCCGACGTTGAAATCTGCTTGGAAGCTGAGCTTTGACTCGTTTCCGTTGACGTATCTCAAAATAGCCTACTCCGCGCGAGATGAAACTCTCTACCTCCCACGCTAAGGGTGGCCGAGGGATACATAGGCTTTGTGGTCCCCTCTCCCCGCCACATTTTGTATTTTCCCCCCCCTCTGGTAATAGAGGAGTCGAGGAGACAATATTCGACGAATATATGGGCTGGAAGAAAATCTGGGCTTTGCTTGGGAGTGCAGCAACTAGGAACGCCGTGTAACGGCTCGCATTCTATCCCGACTGTACCTCGGTCACGTCACAGTATCAACATCTCATTTTCGACCGAGGGGAACGTTATATGGTACGGTTATGGTATAGAGTCGGCATACAACTCCTCATATCCTCCTCCAACAACACTCGCGTATTGATCCGGCCATGAAACAACATATCAACATATCGCAACCGTCAAGTCAATTGCTGGCTTTGGCTCTGGTCGCCAGCTGGTTGGCTATTACCGTACAGGCTGATAGTAGCCTTGGTACTGATGCTCCGGGCTCATCACCAAATTCAGGCGGGCCATCTACAGCATACAATGACGCAGGTGCCTCGGGCAGCAACGGTGGACTATCAAAGACAGCTCAGATTGCGATTGGTGTTGTCGTAGGGACCATTGGTCTCGGAGCGAGTATGTCCCCTTTGACGCAGACTTTCACCTCATATCCGTTCCTGTAATCCATCATAGAACGTACTAACGCTTGCTTGCGTAGTCATTGGTGGCATAGTGTTCTTCTTCCGAAGAAAGAAGAAATTGGATGAAAAGATCAAACGCTACGAAGCCATCAACGCATATCACAGTGCACAGAGTGATGCCAAACAACAACAAGGGATGTCACTAAGGCAACAACGCTGCCAACGGCAGCGGGAGCGTGACGTCGAGCAAGGGATGCTAGAGATATCTACACTTCCGAAAGACCAAACCCGGGATTCTGTGATGCCCAAATACGACCCGTCATCTTTTCACAGACATCAATATAGCCTAGACTCTACCCGAGGATTGTCGATAGATATGCCGAGAGAACCTTTAATTAGTCACCACCAAAGACAATCGTCATCTATCTCAAATAACATCTGCATCTCATCAATGCCACCCGTCCCACGGCTACAAAAGTCAGCAAGCAAAAGGTCGAAAGGGACAATGGGTTACAACACTCAATCATCTACTGAAAACTCAGGGCAATTACCGAACAATTTGTCAGCATTGGATCAGCAGTCTTCTTCGAACAACCAAACTCTTAAGGGACCAAAAAAGCCAAAGCCGGCATTGACTCGTCTTATCACGAACCTATAGACTGCGCGGATGCAAAGGCTCACTCATTATGACTGTTACACATTTTGCCTTTTTTGCAACGAGCTTGCATCTGCGACCTTCGATGAACGGTTTATAGGGTCCAATTTTCCAACAATACTTCATCGACTGCCTCCCGAGAGTGTTGTGTGATTCGATGGTCAACTAGACCTCTCACTAATACCCATATATGAATACATAAGACCTCCAAAGCACAACCTGGATGAGGATATGGATCCTTTTGAATAACACCTAGGCACACAATTGACATGCCCTTGATACCACTCGGATTGATCATCATCCGACATCATGACCTTGCTCTGCAACATTTGCATCAAACTGCATATTCACATTCTGTTCTTGATTAATACTAGCGATGGCGTATCGGAAATTGAATTTCCTAGAAGGAAGTTAATTACTTATAAGGTTTATGGGCGGTATACTGAAATAAAGTTACCTTTTACTTCTTTTTACCTCCTTTCATGCATACAGTCGTTAGTAGATAATGTCAACGTTGAGCGTAGATGACGATAGTCTTGAACAGTAACAGTAAATGTACATGTACGTCGATGGACGAGTATTTTATCTGAGGGAAAATTAAACGAGCTCTAGGCATGATTCAGAACTTCTATTCGCTTCGAGCCAATTCGAACATTTTTGTAGGGCTAAGTTCGATATATACGTAGGGTTAGGGTTGACGCTCAGGAGTCAATTCATCAATTCTGGAGAATTCTGCGCTCTTCATTCTTCTCTGTTCCCTTTGTGGATTTATCAGGGGTAATGCACTTCTCAAAAAGGTGGATTACAAAACCTCTTAGTGCAGTTCGATCACGTCTGTGGCCTGAAACCACTGTAATTCCACAATTTTTACTGGACGGGAGTAAACAATTGGAAGAGAATACCCCTTACTACGATCCCAAGCGCTTCTATTCAGCTCACTTAGGGGAGATATCAATGAGAGATATCAACTTTCTACCAAGCTTGGATTTGCACCAGCTCTACAGTCTGGCTTCCGAGAGACCTCTACCAGTAAATAATTCCATGTCTTCCAAACCTCTGCTTGCATTGCTAATGGAAACTTCAGATGGCGATGGTCACCTGAACGCTATGTTGCGATAAAAATTACTTCTGGCAACCTAAAAGGTGTGCAAGATTCTGAAAAGGAGCTGTGCATCTCTAATATCGTCACCAAGAGCAATTCGTTGCACCATGGACGACACTTCGTCCAGCAGCATTCTTGATTCCTTTGATGTCTCTGGTCCACATCATAAACATGCCTGTCTTGTGTTTGAGCCTTTACGCGAACCATTATGACTCACAAAAACAAGGTTCAGCACAGATATCATCGATTTTGAAAGTGGTGGCTCAGATGATGTTTCACGGTCTCCATTATTTGCACGCTGAGTGTCATGTTATCCACGCAGGTAATTTTGTTGTCAATTGACTTGGGTGATACATGAATATAATTGCTTACACGCTTATATTAAAGATATTAGACCAGATAATATCATGGCTAGGTTTGAGGATCCTGCCATCCTTGAGCGGAGTGCTCTCGACGAGTATCAAAACCCGCTTTTACAAAAGATCTGTAAAGACCGTAGAATCTATCTATTACGGAATCAATACAGTCATCCTACAAAAATTGCGAAAGTCCTAGGTTTAATCAAGATCATCGATATTGGGTTTGCTGTTTGTGGTGATGGCCCTCACCATGGTGCCATTCAAGGTAGAACCGTTTCGTGCTCCGGAGGTTATCCTTGATGCTGGTTGGACTTATAGTGCCGATATATGGAGTTTAGGAGTAATGGTAAGACTTTCCTGATTTGATTCTGTCTCTGCATACTTTCTTTCCTCTTGGCCTCGTTGTCTAACGATCGAAATAGGTGTGGGATCTCCTAGAGAATCGTTCACTTTTTGAAGCGATCGATTTCGGCGGAATACGATGACCAAAAGCATCTGTCATGTATCACAGCTCTATTAGGGTCACCGCCAGAAGATCTTTTTGTGAAAGGAAGAAGAACATCGATGGTCTATGACTCTGAAGGTAAGTTCTCAGAGTCTGAAGCTATTAGATAACATTTTAGGTACATTATACTCATTCCTCGGTAGGAATTTCAGACCTCCATTGGAAACACCGGTAATGAGCTTTGAGACCGCTATTAGTCAGATTGATGGAGAAGAGAAGAAGATATTTATTAACCTTGTCAAGAAAATGCTTAACTGGGAATCGAAACACCGAAGTACAGCAAGGGGATTGCTTGATGATCCATGCCTGCACAAAAGCTTCTCGTCCGACGTGTAACTTTAGAGTTTGAGACTGATTGGCTTAGAATGCTGCTATATACAATATAAAACATGCGTCAGAACAGTTGTTCAAACGCCTCTCCTACCCGCGGGTAAAGCTGTCCAGGTACTGCAGAAGCTGATAGTTTCGGATGATCATTGCATGTCATCGAGCTGGCTTATGTTTACAATTTTCAATAGAGGCTAGACGGGCATTGACGCAAGAAAATAACCGCATGCATACCGCTCCTCATTACCGATCAGTTATTACTAGCCAAGAAAACTGCGAAGTGGAAGACCTGTGTAGACAGAATTATGGATTGAGAAAGTTTACAAGCATATGTTGGATGACGATCTGCCACATTGTTGCCGAATTATAGCACAGGCATGTAAGATATAAATCCTCGATATTGTCCGCTGATAAGCGCCCTTATACCTGTTCTAATCCAATCACACCTAGCCAACATATTATACCTCTTGTCATACATGTAATCACAGCCGGATCTACTGATATCACGTAGCAATCAATATCTCGGCCGTGTAGACTCCAGTTCAAGGATCTTTTATAGCCCCGCTAGACACTGACCAATTGCAACAAATCTCGTCTAATCGTCAGCTGTCTGCCCGTCATTTCACCGTGTTACGGTTTGATCCCTGCAACGAAAAAAGGACGGAGGGAATAAAGCTTATCCCTTCCAATGTAGGTTTTGCACTCGTGACAACAATTAGGGATCTGGGCCTAGGTAACAGTCAAAAGGTGCGGCCAAGAGCTTCACTGGTAGCCACCAGGGACCCCGGTCAATAGTTGCATTTGACATTTTCTGGTCAATCCACTTTATGTGGGAGCACTCCATACGGGGAACAGTGCGATGACTATACATTATGGCATAACTCACGACTATGCCCTAACAGGAGCAAGACGGACACTTGATCCGTCGATCATGGGTGTTGATAGGTCCAGAAGGCGGGGAGGAGGTGCATCTTGCTGAAGCAATTCAATCAGACCGGCTTGAGCATTTGTCAACCAATTAGCTAGCAAGTATGCCAAGGTATAACCGCACTGCAACCGGTATCGTACAAGGAAAGAAGCAGATCAAAACGTGAATTATTTCCATAGACTCGTTCAAACTATGTTAATAACGTCAACAACGTGTGCACCCAAAGGAGTCCGAGTAGACTCTTACGGAGCCACGTCGCTTGATAGACGCTGGCGCCTTTGAGAGGCGGGTGGTCAGCTGCATTGACTGGACGCCGTATCAGTGGTGCGTGAGCAATTAAAACAAATTAAAGGGGGAAATGATCGCTTTGATAAGTTAATGTCGACTAAATAATGGGATAATAGATTATCAATCAATCAGATATCGTTCATTATTACTCAATTAGCCCTAGTTAGCACTACTTACATCCTTAGCAAGTACTTGGCCGCCCGTTATGGAGCCCCTTGATCGTTAGCACTCGCATGCTAATAAGCACCGACCACTCCCGGGGACCAACACCCGCCCACCGTGCTTAAGCGTAGATCCGTCGACGTTTCCGCCCAACAACAACAACCCAAAAGACGCCTTGTGGCTTGCGGGGTGTGAACTGAATTGGATATGTGCTAGGCCAGAGGCGCTAACAAAGCCATCGACCTATGAGAAAAACAAAAAGCAAAAGCCGAAGGAAATGCGAAAGGGTTTCCCGGCCCCCGTCTAAAGGAAGACGATCTTAGATAAGCGGATTTGACAACGATTGTCCGAGAACACGCCTAGTTCATAGCCTAAAATGCAATTGTTAGAAGTGGGATGTGATCAAACTGGCCAATTGCATATTTGCCTTGTGATCGGATGCTCCCAACCGGCGATTAACGATGAATATAATTGGCCTTGGACTGCATTATGCTCGCGGTTGAGATCGTGCGGATCTGGATTTGCTGCATTGGCCTTGGGCACGATAGCAATGCAACGCATATATGACATTTTAAATATATGCATGTCTTAGCGAAATCAAATACATATCGTCCAAAAAACACCAATTTTTAATCTATTGTGGCGCTTGTTCTTGTATCTGGACTCGAATGGCTTTGTAGCTAATTTCACCCTTTCGGCATAAGTCAGACAATCCCCACCGAAACCCCTAGCAGTGCGGAACAAAGTAGTATGTACTCGCATCAAAAGAGGACAAAGAACAAGCGGCTGAATAGATTTGTTATGGACAAAAAAGCCACAAAGGAAGCTTGTTTTGATTCTGTGTACAGCATCATTGGCTGGTGGTCTGCATTTAGATGGCTGAATCATGATTCACATGCAGTTGTCAATCCATCATGTCATCAAGGTCAAGAACAGATGCCTCGATAGAGGAGTGAACAGAACGGTCTAACCAAAGCATCTGATTCGTTCCAGGTTCTATGCCTCACCTCCTTTCACGTCTTGCTGCTTCTCTATAGACATAGAACGGAAATACAAGGAAGGGGTAATCAATCTACAGATCACGAGCTAAGAGATCATACTGTGCCGTCTAGGACCAGGGTATACAAGCACATATCCACTTTAACTTGGCCCAGAGGTAAAGTTGTTTAAAGTATGTCGGCGTGATCCACTTGGCTTGCGCGCTTTCGTCTCAAAGGAGAAGTGACTGTGCCGCAAAATAATGCAGAAACAATAAAAGAGAAAACAAAAGAGGGTCCCCTCTTCAGACAAAACAACAATTTTCCTCCCTGTTCTGTAGGTACTTGGCCAGCCGCCGGACTAGGCAAGACCATTTCACGCTTTTCTTTCTCTGATATCCTGTAAATCATTTCTTCTTGGTCCCGACACTTTGGTACTGGAGGGTTGCCTGCGTTTTACTTCTGTGTCCCCCTCCATCCCCTCCTCCTCTTTTCCCTCCTGCCGACTTTTTCCTCACTGTAAATAAAATGAAGCATGTCTCCTACTTTAAATCTTCTTCTTTGAGTTTTACTCGACTGCTTTTGTGTTGACTCGTTCTTGCTTCCCTAGTGCAGAGATCAAAACCGTTGCGGCTTGAGACGGAGTACCTCTTTTTAGGGTTAGGCAACAGACATTGCTCCAGTATCCGGACTGATAACTTGTTTTGTCGCACTCCAGATGATTGAAGTTTGATACCCCAGAATTTGATGATATTCGGTGGTCTTCGTCTTGTTTTCTTTTTGGAGGGATCTTGATTCTATCTTAATCTATGCTGCACCGTCTTCCGTCGTCACAACGGCTTTTGATACGCTCGCCGACGTTACGCAAGAAGTCTGCAAACAACAGCACACTGCCACTGCACATGGTCAAATAATATTCTTGACTAGACATGTGTCTACCGGACTGCAGGATGGGCAAAACGGATATCTTCCGTTGGCGACGAAAGAAGACCCTCGGGTCAAATATGGACACTCGCTTTGGAGACCCTTCAATATCCGCGCCCACTCAGGGATCGTGGAATGAGATGCCCTACTTACGACCCGGAATGGCAGATTTTGCAACACTTCCAAATCGAGTCAGCCGAATCAAGACTTGTCTTCGGCCAGATGTTGTCGAATCATCTGAATTTTCTGGTGGTACAGACAACATCAATTTTCCGCGCCACCCGCTGGTAGATATGCAAACTCGAAAGCGGTCTATCTCAGTTGATAGAACCAAGAAGCAAAACGATAGGCAAAGAAGCCTCAGCAGAACACGTCAAAGCCCAAGCCCTAAAGCACGACATCGAGCGTCATGCGAGTCGCCGTCGTGCTCCGAGAGGGACGAGGAAGAACGGCAGGAAGCTGTTCATAGTAAAACGAAAACTGAACCACAATATGCCAATCGAAATGGTTCCCGGGAGGATTGTTGGAGAGCACAAAGTAGGGGCACTAAACGGGATAGTCAACAGTCCTCTATTCAACACAAATCCCCTCCGCTTTCTGCAACAGCAGTGATGCGTCGGTACAGCTCTCAAAGCGAGTCCACCCGTACATATTCCTCTACTCCTTCGACGGCTACTTTTAGATCCAGCATTACGACTCCCGGACTGCATGGTTTCTCCGCGTCTTCCATCCCTCCCTTACTCAGAGAAGAAGGGTATGCAGCAATGTTTGATAAAGATGCGCCTCCTGTCCCACCAATCCCGAAAGATAGGAATGGTTCTATGTCTACCTCGTCGTCTCCCCATTCAGCTTCCCGCAGTGTTTTCCGTGAGCAACATCGTACGGGAAATTCCAATAATAAGCGACACATACGTCCTGTTGGGCCACAAGAAATGGTACCATCCAACGATGAGTTATGGGGGTACTAATCAGTATTCGACGATTTTAAGCTTGGTGTATTTAGTATTTTATACAAGGCTTTTTGCGTTTCTGGGTGGGCCTTTCCCTTACGACATGACTTTCCTGCCTTTCCTCTACTCTAAACTTGTCATCAACGACAGCTAGTTTTACTATGTTAATATAGGATTTCACAATACCACGGAATTGATCAGTTAATACATTACTCATATTTAAAGTTTAGCTTTGACACTTCAATGTTGTAACATATACTGTCGTTGTGAATAACAGAACGTTATTGTAGACTTCGGTAATCAAGAATGCCCTTGATAGGCTGCCAGGTACCCGTGTAATTGCAAGCTAAGTATGCAGGTATCACAAATCATTTCTGACCTTAACTCTAAAGCTTGAAGCCATGAAGACCTAAATGCATCTAGATTGTGCTGAATAGATAACAGGATATATATTCTAACTGGAAGAACATGAGTGATGTTACCTTGGTCTTAATCTCAAGTTAATTAGGTCTAACTGGTCATTAAGATGAGCAAACGACATGCACATCGTATGACTTGATCTGCGAAGCCGTGTTCAACCCTGGACAAAATGCGGCGCAGTTCATGTATTTATCAAATTGCTAATTGTTCAAGACAAGCTCGCAGAAACCTACCTGAGTAACATGGCCTACCCCGCTAAGACATGCAGACCTATACAAATTCATGCAGCATGAAAGATGCATGTAGGACTAGGAGATAGCGTGTGATAGGGAACATGAACCCTGTACACTCAATGTACTGCAATCAGCAAATTAGGGCTAATTCTGTACAAAAGAGGTTAGCGCTTATGTGACTGTACTGGCCGATAACCGACACTATTACTAATTGGGCGAAACGGCAGGCTGATTGGCTGAGGGCACATGATCAGCCAACCTCTTGGCTTGAAGATAATCCCCCTCTTCTTAGTTTCGTTAACGCCGCGAATCACCCGTCGTAAATCCACTCCAGCTGCAAGTCGCCCGTCACTGTCACAATGTGCCCTACTCGGATTCTGCCCAATACATCTCCTCCTCTAGCCAAGCTTGGACCGATTTCTCCTCGATCACAGCGGGGCTCTTCGCTGTTCCACTGCTCACTGGCCCGGCATGCTCTATCATCCAGCGTATCCGAAGCCTTCTCTAACCGCCGAGGGAGATGGCTAAGTTTCCGGCCATTGGCAGCTTTTTCTTATTGCCATGCTTCTAGCTTCTGATTTGTTGTATGTTTTATTCCCTAAAACTTTCTAGTGATGATTTGCTAACTTGCAGCAGAAATGTATGTGCTTCTCCAAGTTGGACTCATGCATCGTCCGCTTCGGTCTTTGTTCCTTTCTCTTTCTCCCTCTTCCTCTGTCCTGTTGACTTTTCCTCTTGGGAAGACACAGGATTTTCGGAAGCGGCCTTATCGAATGGGAAAATACATGGATAAATTGCGTGCCCACTTACATGCCTATCAATTGCGGTCTGTCCAGTCGATGTAGTAGTAAGTGCTTCTCGCATTGCCCTGTGGATCCCCATCACACTGGATAATAACGCTTCTTTTCCAGTTTTCAAAAAGACGTAGGGTCCGCTTAACCCATGTTGGATGCATTTATTTTCTTTGTGTACTCGGCATGCTAACAACCCAGATCTTTCTCAGGCGTGGGCTAACGTACTTTTGAGCCTGCTTCTTTCGACTGTCGATCAAATACCCATACGAACCAGGTTCGTCGGCTTTCTTGGTGGGATAAGCTATATATTGTTCGAGTCGGACCAATTTCCGACTCTATGCCTATGCGATATTAGCTTCAATAATTCCTGGAGGAATATTCGTGTAAAGAGCAGTCCAGAATAACTCACTTTGAAGGGGTCTACAAGTGAACGTTGTGTGAGGCCTCATGATGATGGCGGTTCAATGGGCCGTCTGGGGACTCCTCACTCTTGCGACTCCCATCTATGCATTGCGAACTGTTGCGGGTTCGCCCTGTACAGCCGCTTGCGGCGTAACAACGAACACCACATCCGACGAGATCGCCTGCATTGACTCTTTCTACAATACCACGGATACGGGGAAGAATTTCCAGAAATGTGTCTCGTGTCTACTTTCGAGTCCTTACCAAAATACCACTATCGGAGAGACTGACGTTGACTGGGGATTGTGTATGTTTCCGATACTATCTTCACGATGTCTCCAAACTAATCTTATCTATCAACAGACAACCTACGATATGCGTTCTCTTCCTGTGTATATGACTTCCCAGTGAGCGTTACCAACGTGTCCACGCCATGTCTAGTCTCATGCACTCCGTTGGGACCAGCACTAAATCTCCAACTGACCGAACCGGTTGGCAATTCGCTTGAAAATTTTTGTAGCTCCACGTCCTTTGCTGACAATATTGTTACGACATGCAACAACTGTTATGCCTTGACTTCACAACAAGCATATCTTGCAAACTGTACGTACTTTCACTATAGCTTGGATCATAAGGAACGAGTTGCTTACCGACTTCTCATTCTTCAGTCTTGGAATCTATTCGCTATAACTGCCACTTTCCAACCCCCGGCGGCATCGCTTTCTCAATTGCATCCTCTCGCATCTTCAACACTACACAGCTACCTACCACCACTGGATTCTCTACTCCCACATCCACGTCGTCAGGAACGTCGACAGTTCACAAATTCTTGACAGTGATCATTGTGATGCCTATCATTGGCTTCTTAATCATCATCGCTTTACTGACTTTATGCTGTTTCTGCCTTGTCCGAAACCGCCGCAAGGCTGCGAAACGGCGCCGTAATAACATGCACAACCGCTGGGCTCCGAACGCCTTTAACGCACAGTGGCAACCCGCATGGGCCGGCTATCCTATCTCTGCATATCACCAGACCAGCCCTATGCTCCAGCAACAACATTACATGGCTGGGGGCATGACTCCATACGGCGCATTGGTTCCAGGGAGCGGATTTCAGGTAGTTGACCATGATGGCAAGCGGTACGAGGCTGGTTACTCGACCCATTACATTTCGCCAGTAAGTCCGGAGGTTACAAATGCTCAACAACCATTCCAATTTGGTACCGATGTCACACACACACAAGATATAAAGCAACCTATTGTTAAACAGGCCGAAGCATACCCAGCACCACAACAAGAGCAGCCACAACAAAAGATTCAAGAGTACTATCCCCCTCCTGATGGTCCTCATGCCACATAACTACATTCCGAAACCTCATGAGAGCTGTTTGATATGGTGATTGGGCGTGGAAATCAATATTTTTGAAGAACAGAGCACGCTTCAGTTGTCATCATCCTCGCGCAGTAGCACACTATTTTGCATGACCTTTCAGAATACGAAGTGGTACATCTCAACTATTGTTTAATGTTAAATCTTTGGATTTTAAGCGATATCCCTGCTGTATTTAGACGCGTTCTTTATCCGGAGTTTGGGAGAAATTCAAGCTTTGCTCTCGTCATAAACGACATGATACATTCATGATAAATGTTAAAACGCTAAATAGCATGAACCAAACTTCGTCATAGGTAAATATATATGTAGAATGGAAACATCGATGGCTATCTATGGGTCAGAGAGCAGCCAGGCTGGGTCAGGTTCGTCGTCCTCGTCCTCTGATCGAAATGTTGCAGGTTGTAGTTCTGCAGACGTCGCATCCTGCAACAGATCTGCTGGTGGTTCATCTGCATGCTCATCCTCACTCATACTGATCGTAGGAGGGTTGCCTGTTGTGCTAGCGGTAGTTAGGTCTGCACCTTGAGATTCTCGTCGTTGATCAGACCCCCTTAAATTGCTGACACTATTCCTTGCAGTGGTAGGCTCTGTAGCTACATCGTTCTCACGTTCGGCGTCCTGTTGACCCATGTAATCGAACATTTGCTTTAGCATATCCTGTGCTTCTCGTAAAGCGGCGAGTTCTGCACCAATGCTGCATACGAGCAATCTCCAATCTTTCTGTTCGGCCAACTCGAGCTTCTCCTCGATGACACGCATGGTAGACTCTAGGTCTTCAATAATCTTCTTCCCCTGTTCTCTCTTCGCTACTTCCTCGTTATCAGAAGGTAACCTGGACGACTTCGATAGCATGATATATTGTTGCATTTCGTCCTTTAATTTCCGTTCAAAACCTGATATTTCTTTGACCACGCTCTGCCATACAGGTCCGCCATTATCTAAGGCAGCAATTTCCAAATCTACAGCTTCCTGTCTCTTTGCCAATTCTGATTGTTCCGTCTGCCAATGTTCGCGAGCCATTTCAAGTTTTCGTCTGTTCGGGTGCAAGGAATAGAAAGATGACTTTTTATCATTCTGCAAAGGCTTGAGTGGAGGCCTTTCCAGATACTGACGGACTTCTGTATCGAGAATCGACAGAGACTCCTTGTAAGACGAGAGCTTGGCGTCCACGGCATTCTCTAGTCGCGAAACCTCTTGTATAATATGTCGATGCCTTGCCTTCATATCTGCGAGCTCTAACTCCAATTCCTCAATTTTGTGCTCTAAACTCTTCGCTTCCCCTTTTAATTTCCGAGCCCTGTTGCCCTCGCGATCGTTCTCCAAATCCGACAACGTCTTCTCGAGCCCGGCCTTCTTGTTAGCAAACGTATCCACTTCTTCAATTGCATCCTGTCTTTCCTGTATCCGTTCATGTAAAAGCCGATTCTCTACTTCTCGGAGACTGAGAAGATCGCTCATTGACTGCAATATTCCCTTTCGTGCAGCGCGCAAACTGATCTTCTTCTTCGGCGGTTGTCGAACGGGTATCATACGGACGCTTCGCTCTCGGCTTTCTACTGCAGATACCGATGATGCAGAGCTTCCATTTGAAAAAACATCATTATTCACATACCCTGGCGATTGCAAGCTAGCTAGCAGCCCATCGCTCTGTGCATCCAACAAAGTCTGTATCTGTCGCTGAAGGTGTCTTGACTCCCGTTCGATATATATAAGAGGGTCATCATGTTTCTCCGTCGTAGCGAATCGTAGCCGTCGCTCTGACGAGGGAGGATCAGAATATGGCAACAATCTAGACATGTTTGATATCTTCCAACTGAGCTGAGTAACTCATAGGGAGGAAATCGAGTGCTGGCCAAAACAAAGAAAATATGGAATCGACACTGAGAAAAAAAAACAGGCTTTATAAAGCAGAGAGAAATGAAACTAATTTTCAAGTTGTTCTCATGATCAGAGGCGAACACATGAGCTGTAGCTTGTTTGTTGTATACGACTGGAGCTGGTGACCGACTAATCAGTAAACTGATAAGGAAGCTCTTGGCAGGTCCACAGCTCCCGTCATTGCACGTGACCTCGCAGCGTCTACTTTGTCAGCTCCGGTATTGACGTGTGCTCTGTACCCAAGCAAAAGACAACCTTCTCATCATCAACATTCATTCATCTGTCACACTTTGTTTTCTTTCCATCCTAGCTTCTTTTGATAAATTTTCTTAATCTCGGCATTAGTGAGTACGTCCGTTTTCTCGGGGGCATCGTATATTGGCGTCGCCCTTTAATGCGATCGAAGCTACCAGCAACCAGCCTACTTACCATTTCCAAATAGCTTCGTCGTCTGAACCATCACCTAATCGGGGTCACGAAGCATAGCTTCGCCGCATATAAAGAACATCTACCATCAAGTCGTCGGCAAAGCTTGAAATATGGTTGGCCTCACGTCAGCTTCTGGCCTCGTCGGCTTCCTGTCCGAGCCAGACCCAGAGCTCAGAGTGTTTGCTTTGAAGACACTCGATGCTGAAGTCGATGTGCTATGGACTGATATTGTCGACGCAATTCCTCAAATGTATGTTTCATTGTAGATCCCATTTTTCTCTACAATCGAGGGATTATCGATTTGGCGATCGATGGCGGAGCACTAACGTGTATGCTGTCATGCAGAGAGGCGTTATACGAAGACGAAACCTTCCCCGAGCGCGAACTTGCAGCTTTGGTAGCATCGAAAGTCTACTATCACCTACAAGAATACAATGAGAGCATGGTATTTGCTTTAGGCGCTGGAAAATTATTGAACTTGGATAAGGGTGGCGAATTCGAGCAGACGATTATCTGTAGGACACATTTCCTCGCCCTTTGAATTTGCACTTTCTAACATAGTCATAGCCAAATGCATCGACACCTTCATTTCATTGTCTGCTAGCCGCCGTCCTTCAGTTGGCGATGCTCCGTTGTCTCTCAACACATCCTTCCCTTCATCGAACGGCGCCACAAACACATCTGCTAGCCTCGCATCTCCTATTACCCCATTTTCACAATCGGCCCTCCCTTCGAAATCTCTTTTGTCCCGTGCGGAGGAACCAAGCGCAGATGCTGCCTATCCAGGTGGAGAAGATAGCGCTGCCAAATATGAAGAGACTTCCTTGGTTGTGCGAAGAGGTGTTCAGAAGCAATTACAAGCTGTCATTGAGCGATTATTCGAACAGTGTTTCCGCCAACAGCGATATCGTCAGGTTGTCGGAATTGCGATTGAAGCAAAGAATCTGGACGTCCTACGGACGGCTATCCTTCGTTGCAGTGAATCCGAGAAACAACAATATGGGGAAGCATCCAAACATGGCGAGGAGTTAATCGAATACGTACTGGATATCTGCATGAGTGTGATTCAGGAGCGAAGTTTTCGCAATGAGGTTCGTCACGTCTTTTTTTCTTACATGGTTGCTCCTTGAATACTAATCAGATTGCTGGTGTCTAGATCTTGAAACTCATTTTGGAGCTTCTCAATCAAATTCCGTCTCCGGACTATTTCGCTATCGCCAAATGCGTTGTATACCTCGACGAGCACTCCATGGCCACCGAAATACTCCGACAACTCGTAGACAAGAACGAAACTAAGGCCCGGACGATCGCTTATCAAATTTCATTTGATCTCTACGATAATAGCACCCAGGAGTTTTTGAAGAAAGTTATTGCAGAAATTGAGGAGCTTCTTCCAGAGCAAACCTCGGAAGAATCAAAGGCAGATGGCGAGGGGGCCACAGAGTCAGACTCCCTGCTACAAAATCAATCTTCTTCCAAGAACGAATTGTCAGAGGAGGCTCTTTCAGCTTTTACCAATATACGCGACATCTTACAGGGTGTCAAGACCATCCAGCTCAATCTTGAGTTCCTCTATCGTAGCAACAAGGCTGATGTCTCTATTCTTAACAAAGTGCGGGATAGCCTCGAAGCTAGAAACTCGATTTTCCACAATGCTGTCACTTTCTCCAATGCATTTATGCATGCCGGAACAACACATGATAAGTTCTTCCGCGACAATCTGGAGTGGCTCGGAAAAGCTGTCAACTGGTCAAAATTCACGGCAACTGCTGCACTGGGTGTGATTCACAAAGGGAATTTGTCCGAAGGTCGCAAGCTTCTCGCTCCATACCTTCCTCGCGAACATATCTCTGGAGTGGGTAGCACGGGGTCTGTTTACAGCCAGGGTGGCTCGCTTTATGCATATGGTTTGATATACGCTAATCACGGTGGTGCTGCTGTTGAGCTTATCCGTGACCATTTCAAGAAGGCGACAGAGGAGGTTGTTCAGCATGGAGGTGCTCTTGGTCTTGGTGTTGCAGGTATGGCAACCGGAGATGAGGGTATTTGGGAGGATCTCAAGTCTGTTCTCTACACTGACTCTGCTGTGAACGGTGAGGCTGTCGGCTTGGCTATGGGTCTGGTTATGCTGGGAACTGGTAATATGAAACTTCTGGAGGAGATGATCCAATACGCACATGAGACTCAGCACGAGAAGATTGTGCGAGGTCTTGCATTGGGTATGGCTTTGATCATGTACGGCCGGCAAGAGGCAGCCGATGAATTGATCAATGGCTTACTCGGTGATCCTGATCCCTATCTCCGGTACGGAGGTATCATGACTGTCGCTCTGGCATACTGTGGCTCCGGCAGCAACAAAGCTGTCCGCAAACTTCTCCACGTCGCAGTTAGCGACGTCAACGATGACGTTCGTCGAGTGGCAGTCATGAGCTTGGGCTTTATTCTGTTCCGCAAGCACCAGAGCGTACCTCGTATGGTTGAATTGTTGTCTGAATCATACAACCCGCACGTTCGTTATGGTGCTGCAATGGCTTTGGGTATTTCGTGTGCCGGCACCGGTCTTGACGAAGCTATTGATCTCTTGGAGCCTATGCTCAAGGATCCTACAGATTTTGTAAGGCAGGGTGCTCTCATCTCACTTGCCATGGTGCTCGTTCAACAGAACGAAACGATGAACCCTAAGGTAGGAAGCATTCGCAAGATGATGAATAAGGTAATCACGGATCGTCATGAAGATGCTATGGCGAAATTTGGTTGTGCTATTGCTCTGGGTATTATAGATGCAGGCGGTCGCAACTGCACCATCAGCCTACAAACACAGACCGGTAATCTCAACATGCCTGGTATTGTCGGTGCTGCTGTCTTCACGCAGTACTGGTATTGGTTCCCTCTTGCACACTTCCTTTCTTTGAGCTTCACGCCCACTGCAGTCATCGGCGTTGATCAGAAACTTGAGGTTCCCGTATTCTCCTTCCATAGTAACACACGGCCCAGCCTCTTCGACTACCCTCCTGAACAGCAAGTGAAAGCTGATGAAGCCCCTGAGAAAGTAAAAACGGCAGTACTTTCTACGACCAATCAAGCCAAGCGACGCGCGCAACGGCGGGAAAAGCAACAGAGGCGAGAGAGCATGGACGTCGATCAAACTCCGACTACACCGAAGGTGTCTGGTCAGCTTCCAGAGAAGATGGAGACAGACGAGGCTAAGGAAGGTGAGGAAGCTAAGGAGGCTAAGGAGGCTAAGGAGGAAGCCGCAGCAGAAGGTCAAAAGAAGAAGGCGGAGAAGGAAAAGATTGGGTACGAGCTGGAGAACATGTCGCGTGTGCTCCCCGCTCAGTTGAAATACTTGAGTTTCCCCGACCCTCGATACGAACCTGTCAAGCGGGTAAGTCGATTCCTCCTACCTACTGTACTACGCTCTGCATTCATATACTAACTCTATACTAGCCTACCGGAGGAGTGGTTGTTGTTCTTGACAAGAAGCCAGATGAACCACGAGAGACTATCGAATTGCGAGCCACCACCGAGCTTCGGCAGGCCGCTTTCTCCGATGCTATGCAATATTTGGCAGACCGTATACAGGCCCAAGGTGGAACCGGTGCTGCCTTGGAGACACCACAGCGAGGCGGAGCAGGCGGTGGTGCAATCGGAGCTGCATTGGCGGCGGGTGTACTCACTGCTGTTGATGAAGATGAAGAAGGTGCAGAGGACGCCCCTGTTCCCGATGAGTTTGGCTACGAGACGGATAATATGGAGGAATAGAGTGGAGGATACAGGCTGAATTAAAGTAGACGACTTTCACAGCTATGCGATGGAGCTAGTTGCATATGTCTCTGCATGTATCACTACTTTTATTATAAATCTGAAATCGATTCTTGTATAAACATAGTCTCCGCATTCCTTCAGCATGCCATCAACTGCCGAGTTGTTTGATGCATCATGTGATGGTCGAACTGAATCACAATTCACAAAGTTCAAACAACCACACAAGTCACGTGTGTCTCGAGGAATGCCTCGGTATTTCCTCAATTCGGAATAGCCTCTAACCATGACGCAGCAACTGGAGCTGAGACCTGTGGTCTGATGACCCTTTCTGGCGTCCAACTCCGTCAGATTCATCACAGACTCTTCATTTCTCATCGCTCGGCTCATTCCACGAGTAGTAATTACTGCTCTTAGTCTAGGCGGCGGTTGTTGTTGACCTGATTCTTGGTTGAGCTTACATTCTGCCGGTCCGCTAAACAACTCCTATGACACCGGAGGCCAAAAGACAAAATAAGCATGTGAATGTGTAAATGCACCGAGATCTCCGAGTCCAACAACACATTTCAATCCTACCTCAGCCCCGTGGGGTTTCTTTAATATTTCTTCTTTATAATCAGCCGAGAATTGCGATAAAGCCTCTGTCTGATTTTATTCTTTTTTCCTTTTTCATTATCATTTGGTGGTGTATATTATACTTTGTCGCAACAACCAAATATATATCGTCAGTGCTTGCGATAGATCACAATGTCGCAGAAAGTGTCAAAAGAGCAAGTGGCTGTCCATAACAAGTCTGATAGCTTGTGGATAGTCATCGACGAAGATGTCTATGATGTGACCAAGTTTCAGGATGAGCATCCTGGTAAGTTTGAAGGCCTAGCTAGCTTCTTGATGGTAAAGATCATAGTCTAATTTCTCCTGTTAATAGGTGGCAAGAAGAGTATATTTCCGTGAAATTCTATCTCGGTATTGTCCGGCATACTGATCCACTTTTCTGTAGTCTTGCAACGTGTCGCTGGCAAAGACGCTAGCAAGCAATTCTGGAAATACCACAATGAAGGCATCTTGAAAAAGTACAAGAGTCAGCTTCAAATTGGATCTCTTGATACCAAAAAAGCTGCGGCACCTCCAGCACCTGCTGTTGCTCCTGCTCCTGCTCCTGCTGCACCCAGTGCAGCAAAGGCCAAAGCTATTGCGGATGCGAAACCCGCCAAGTCAGAGGCTCCTTTGGAGCCTTTTGGAGATCTCATTCCCTTTGCAGATCCGTCATGGTATCAAGGTGTATGTTTCGAGACGAAATATCAACTTTTTATGAACATTGTATGCTGACGCTCTTTTTATCATAGCAACACTCACCTTACTACAACGAGACGCACGCTGCTCTTCGCGCCGAGGTCCGGGAATGGGTCGAATCCGAAATCGAGCCGTATGTAACAGAATGGGATGAGGGAAAGAAAGTACCCGACAGCCTTTACAAGCAAATGGGAGAACGCGGTTATCTTGGCGGCTTGCTCGGTGTTCACTTCCCCGCTGAATATACCAAGTATCGCGTCAAGTCGGTACCTCCAGAGAAGTGGGATCACTTCCATGAACTCATTGTCACCGATGAGCTCTCGCGCGCTGCTAGCGGTGGATTGGTTTGGAACTTGATTGGCGGTTTTGGTATTGGATGTCCACCGCTTGTGAAGTTTGGCAAGAAGCCGCTGCTAGACAGAATTCTGCCCGGTATATTAGCAGGTGACAAGCGAATTTGTCTCGCTATCACGGAGCCTGATGCCGGTAGTGACGTGGCCAATTTGACTTGTGAAGCCAAGTTGAGTGAAGACGGGAAGCATTACATTGTTAACGGCGAGAAGAAATGGATCACCAACGGTATCTGGTCTGACTACTTCACTGTTGCTGTCCGTACTGGAGGCGAGGGTATGAACGGTATCAGTGTTTTGCTTGTGGAACGCGAGAACGGCGGTGTCAGCACTCGTCGCATGGACTGCCAAGGTGTCTGGAGCAGTGGTACTACTTATATCACTTTCGAAGATACCAAGGTTCCTGTTGAGAACTTGATTGGAAAGGAGAACCAGGGATTCAAAGGTTAGTCATACATCCCGATAATACTTCCAACTTGCCCATTTACTTACTTGGTACAGTCATCATGACCAACTTCAACCACGAACGTATCGGTATCGTCATCCAATCTCTCCGATTCTCTCGCGTCTGCTACGAGGAATCAGTCAAGTACGCCAACAAGCGCCGCACTTTCGGAAAGAAATTGATTGACCACCCCGTCATCCGCATGAAACTCGCGGACATGGCCCGCCAAATTGAAGCTGCCTATAACTGGCTCGAGAACGTCGTCTATCAAGCCCAATCCATGGAAGAAACCGAGGCCATGCTCAAAATGGGCGGTGCCATTGCCGGTCTCAAAGCACAATCTACAAAGACCTTCGAATTCTGTGCCCGTGAAGCCAGTCAGATCTTCGGTGGTCTTAGTTACAGCCGCGGCGGGCAAGGCGGTAAGATTGAGCGTTTGTATCGTGATGTGCGCGCTTATGCTATTCCCGGTGGTAGTGAAGAGATCATGCTTGATCTCAGTATGCGTCAAAGCTTGAGGGTTTATCAGATGTTTGGTATGAAGCTGTAGAGAGTAGTAGTTTTGGCTTTGATACCCTCTCACTTTTGGCTTGGCTTGACTTGACTTGAGTTCTTCTTTGCATTATGCTTCAATACGCACATATGTATGTGCTCTGTTTTATTCTTATGACAGGTTTTGATTGTCTGAATATGGTGGCTTGGATGTGTAACCAGGTCCACTGTGTACTACCAATTGACTTGCTTAACAGGTATAGACTTAGATGAAATTCTTAACTTGAACGGTACGCAACAGTTTCTCAGACCATAGTAAATGTAGCCAATAGTTTCAATGTTACAAAGTAAAGCCCACTTACAAGCTTTCCCTATCGATAAGATGCTCATTGGTGATTTTTGTTTGATTCATGTTGGTCGACAGAATCGCCGGCTTAGATAATCAAAAAATTCAATAGGGCCAGCCAGACCTACCAAAGACGCAGTCCGGTGTCCTAGAGCTAGACCGGGACTAATTGTGGACAGCCTCAACTTATTTCAATCAACGTCCCCTTCACTTCTAGTTCTTCTACAGATCCAGAGACGAATTACTTTCGTATTCCATGGTCATACGGGAATCGAGAGTTAACTGTCGCCGAACAAACTGCTTGCTTGTTTCTTTAGTTCGGGCGACCGCGACTCTTAGTCTATCGCTGGCCAGCCGTTTGACTTGGACAGAGCCAGTCAGCGCATTCACTTTCCGTTTTTATTTTGCCTCTAGTATCGAGTCTTTGATTCACGATTTGGATACGTGGTCCACCTTTTTCCTTTTACCAGACAGCGACCTCGACTAATTCCACTTATCATCCGTGATCTGCACGTGCTTGAGGAGCATACTTTATTCGTCTCGTCCTTGATTGTCCTTTGAATATCGATTTTGTCACCCTTTGAACACCAAAATCACCCACGAAGAGATCTTTGCCACTTCATATCGCAACCATGTCGAACAATGTGTTAGATCAAGATTTCGGCTCTGACGAGGAAGACGATGACTTCAACCCAGCTCCAGCTGTCGACTCCGACGATGAAACTGCCAGACCCGACCGCGGACGAGGACGTGATGTTGAGGTAGATGAAGAAGCCGAGAATGATAACGAAGTGGCTGAGGACGAAGAAAAAGGTGCTGGTGATGAAGAGGAAGAACTGGATGAGGAGGAGGCCGAGGAGGAAGATGATGATGAAGAGGATGAAGAGGAAGATGAAGAAGATGAATATGCTGTCTCGGTAAGTTGCATGTCCATCCAGCATGTATTTCTATGTCTTGATTCTAATGGGTATAAATCTAGGGTCGACCTAAAAAACGCAGAAGACGAGGGGGTGTTAATGCCTTCATTGAAGAAGAAGCCGGTGTCGACGACGATGACGAAGAAGCAGAAGAAGAAGAAGATGATATGGGTGATGGATTTGGCGCCGAAGCTCATCCCGACGATCTGGATGCGCTCCCCGTCGGTGCTGAGCTAGACGACCGCAGACACAGACAACTCGATCGCCAACGAGAGCTCGAGGCGCACATGGATGCTGAGAAGCAGGCTGCCGCACTCAAGGAGCGATATGGACGCAATCGCATGGCTGCTACAGACTCAGTCGTTGTACCCAAAAGACTTCTTCTTCCTAGTGTTGACGATCCCAGTATTTGGGGCGTTCGCTGTAAACCTGGAAAGGAAAGAGATGTGGTGCTCAATATTCAGAAGCGTATCGAGCAGCGTCCTCCCGGCACACGTCACGGACTGAAGATTATATCTGCTTTTGAACGTGGAAAGACCATGACTGGTTACGTCTACATCGAATCGAGAAGACAAGCAGAAGTCATGGAAGCCCTTGACGGTCTTCTCGATGTTTATCCCAAGACTAAAATGGTCTTGGTACCTGTCAAGGAAATGCCCGATCTTCTACGAGTAAAGAAGTCAGCAGAACTCAATCCTGGTGACTGGGTGCGAATCAAGCGCGGCAAGTACCAGGGTGATCTGGCTCAGATTGAAGAAGTTGAAACGAATGGTCTGGAAGTTACTGTTCGTCTGGTTCCTCGTCTGGACTACGGATTGAATGAAGACCTCTCTGCTCCTGCTGATGCCAAGAGGAAAAGATTTGGTGCTGCAAACAACACGGCAGCTCGGCCACCTCAACGTCTCTTTAGTGAAGCAGAGGCTAGTAAGAAACACGGCAGACATCTAGTGGGAACATCCAATTTGAGCGGAAAGTCATGGAACTATATGGGCGACACGTATGTCGATGGTTTCCTGATCAAGGAAATGAAGATCCAGCATTTGATCACGACCAATGTCAACCCTCGTCTAGAGGAAGTTACCATGTTTGCTCGCGGCTCTGAGGATGGCGCTGCAAATCTCGACCTAGCATCCTTGGCCAATACGTTAAAGAACACCGTTGCAGAAGATGCTTATCGACCGGGAGACCAAGTTGAAGTGTACAAAGGTGAACAGCAAGGCATTATCGGTCGAACGGTCGCAACTAGAGGCGATATCATCACACTGGAGGTCACAGAGGGTGATATGAAGGGACAAACAATAGATGCGCCAATCAAGACCTTGCGAAAGCGGTTCCGTGAAGGTGACCATGTCAAAGTCATTGGCGGTAGTCGCTACCAAGATGAACTGGGTATGGTGGTTCAGGTCAAGGGTGACAGTGTTACTATACTCAGTGATATGAGTATGGAAGAGATCACTGTCTTTAGCAAGGACTTGCGACTTTCTACGGAATCTGGTGTTGATGGCAAGCTTGGAACGTTTGACGTTCATGATCTGGTCCAGCTTGAGTAAGTGTTGCAAGCGTTTTTCCAAGATGGCAACTTGATATTAACAAGCTTCTAGTGCTACTACCGTTGCCTGTATCATTCAAGTCGATCGCGAGTCATTACGAGTTATTGATCAGAATGGCTCAGTGCGGAACGTCCTCCCATCACGAATAGCAGCAAAAATCGCCAAGCGCAAGGACGCTGTGGCCACAGATCGCAACGGTGCAGAAATTCGCCACGGCGACACAGTTCGTGAGATGTATGGAGAACAGCGCAGTGGAGTAATCATGCACATCCACAGATCTTTCCTGTTCTTGCATAACAAGGCACAGGCCGAGAATACTGGTGTCATTGTGGTTCGCACTTCAAATGTTGTTACTGTTTCCGCAAAAGGAGGTCGTGCTACGGGTCCTGACCTATCACGGATGAATCCTGCTATAATGCAGCGCCCGCCTCAGGGAGGTGCCATGCCCCCTCCACGTGTAGGCCGAGACCGACTCATTGGAAAGACGGTCGGTATCACGAAAGGCAGTTATAAGGGTTTGATTGGTATTGTTCGAGAGACCACTGAAGATCTAGTGCGTGTTGAGTTGCACACCAAAGGAACCAAAGTCATGGTTCCTCGAACTGGTGTTGTTGTTAAGGAGTAAGTTTATACCGGTAACATACTTGATCTTGTCACTAATACGCATATAGTCCTGTCACCGGTCAAACTATCGACATGGGACGTGGTGGCAGACCTCGTGTACCTGGAGGTGCTGGAGGACCACCACAGCCCAGTTGGTCTGGTTCACGAACACCCATTGCTGCGATGGACTCGAGGACTCCAGCATGGGGTGGATCTTTATCATCAAGAAGTAAGCCCCTTTTCTCTACAGGTATCAAATAGAATACTAACATATGCTATAGCTCCTGCTTGGGGTGGCTCTGCAGCTAGCGGGTCACGCACACCAGCATGGAAAGCCGACGGTTCTCGCACAGCCTATGGCGGCGCTATGGGTGGTGGACGCACTCCTGCCTGGAACAGTGGTGCTCGCACACCATACAGCTCAGGAAGCGGCGATAGTAGTGGTGGCTTCGACGCCTTTGCAGCTGGCTCTCGTACACCTGCCTGGGGAACCGCAACAGGCAGTCGCACGCCAGCCTGGAGCGCCAACCATACCTCATCCTCCGCCGCGACTAGCAACAACACGGGAAGATACGACGCGCCCACCCCCGGAGGCGACTACTCAGCCCCCACACCAGGTGCATACCCAACCGCCCCTACACCCGGCGCTTCAGGCACAGCAGCTACACCACGCTGGGCCGAAAGCGTACCAACTCCTGGAGCTCTCAATGCACCTACACCAGGCGCCAGTGGCGGCGGTGGTGGTCTTTCTGTCGGTGGCGGACGATTACCATATGATGCTCCCACGCCAGCTATGGCTGCTACACCCGGTGCCATAGGAGATGATAATCCGACATATTTGGATGATTCGGAGTAGTCTAGTCTTGTCTATTCGACGATGCACAAAGAGACCTTCATGTTTGTATTTTTATCTTATTCAGATCAGAGTTCCATATATCTAGATGCTTTACCTGTCTATCCGGTTGATATTTTCAAAACCTTTGGGTTCAATATAAAAATATGCATTCAGGGTTGGCCATAAAGTAGAAGTAGAACATGCTTGAAAACCGGTCCAATCAGCATTCGCAAATTATGTCACATGACCACTGGGAAAATCTGTCACGTGATACTACTTAGTTAGTTGCCGGTCCACCGGAGACCTAGAGAGGGACCAATCAAGTTCATCATCTTTCTACGATAGTGCGCCCGTTATGGTCTACGGCCTACGCTAGGGATGGGAAATTTTCAAGATTAGCATGGAATTGAAATATCATCGTATTTCAACCCGAACTTGAAATTTTCATTCAATTTTCAACGCATCGAGAGAAATGCTTAGTAATCACATATGACCAATCCTATTTCTGTGTTCCTTCCCAAAGCGGCCACAGGTATGCACAGTAAAATTTGGAATGCAGAAAAATTAGGGTTCTTTGGAATTTCCATATATATATGCCAAGGCGCCCTAAATTTGAATGGCAATTTTTATTTTCACGAAACCAAAAGATTTTCAAAATTGCAAGCCAGTCACGTGCCCTTTTTGCATGATATCGAGCTTCAGGTTTAGTTGAATGAAGATTTATCAAGTATCTACTGAACACCGTAATATCTAGATAACTCCTCAACAACGTGACTTATAGGCTGCAAGCAGCAGAAAAGCTGTTAGGCTCAATCAAGTATATGGGAGCTTCTCATTGGTTGCTTGTCGGGCTGCCGTAGTTCACTCCTACTGTATTCGGGGGATCGAGAAGTAGACCTGCGAAAAACTGCATCGAGTCTGGAGTAGACTCGAATCTATGTGCTTCACAACAGCAATATCTTAAGCTGTCTATCCACTACTAACTGCAAGACCATCTGTTTGTTCGTACGATTCATAGACATGGTCGCGCCTATCAAAGCCATCAGCGCATGAACTTCCAGTCTTCCAAAAACTTCGCAGACGCGCATTTCGCCTTTCTACCGTCAGTCACCGTTTGTCCGCCACCGAGACCACCAGCAAACACGCCATTATCAAAATGCGCCCGTCGATCATCTTATAATTGATTACTGAAATTTGATCTCGTGATTGGATATTGATGAGCCATTCTGGGGGCTGGCAGTCCCGTCGCCTTTCGCCATGGATCTGCGCAACATCATGAATAATGATGCCAGCAGTGCTGCGAAACCTCAAGCTCCCACACTACAACAACCCCCACTGCGACAGACATCAGAACCAGTTATTACCCCGAGACCGAGCGAGATTCTAACTCCAGGTTCATCCTATCAATCAAATCATTTCGCGCGCCCGCAACAACCTCCCTCGTTACAGCCACCTCACCACTCCCCTGGCGCATCCTCGACGTACAGTTCAATCCGCTCTCCTTTTCAACACAACTCGACTATACCGCTGAATGGAGGACCTCCTTCTCACTATGCACAAAGCCCACCGCCGCAACCATACCAGACCCGAGATTCTAACCCGGCCACTCCAGTCAGCCCTGCAATTTTCACACAGCCATCGTTAGCTTCGCCATATACACCTCAAGCCAATTCAGCAACGCAACAGCAGCAAAAACAACAACAATCGTACTTTAATCACCCTGGTTCACAGCAGTCAGCCCATTTTACCCCAGGCCCTCAGTCTAGCTTCACCTACCCGCCGCCTCACGCAAGCGAAAGTCCTCGGCCGGTGAATGCTCAACGACCACTTCAACCTCAGCTATCACCTCCACCTCCACAGCATTCTCAACCTGGAACACCACTCGGTCCGCCTGCCACATCGTTCCCACGTCCCCCATCTGAGTCTACGCGTCCTCTATCCGCCGAAAGTACACCCGCTCAAGCAGCTAATTCATGGAATCCTCACGACTCACATGCATCTGAACAAAGAACGGGCTATCAACAAGGCTATCAGGCTGCTCCTCCACCACCCAAAGATTTGAGACAGAGCCATAATTCATATCCGCCGGAATCCGACAGAGAAAGGAGTGCTAGTATTAGTCCCAAAACCATCGTCTCACGACAGAGTCTATCCCAAGATCGAGACCCCGTTGCTTTACATCGGACTAGTACAGAAGACGATCGCTGGCGTCAGAGTCCTTCTGGCAGTCAGTCTTACAACAGCTCGGTTCCAGATCACAGGTACCCATCACACACCCACCAGCAAGATCATCCTCCACGCTCTCAAACGTTGCAGATGAGCAGCTCTCCAATGGCGAGACCAACGCCGTCTCGTGAGCCTTCGACAACATATATTCAATCCATTAAATCCGAGATCTCAGAGCCATCGGAGATTTCAGGACGACCGCCGAAACGGAAGAAGATGAGGTACACTGAGCCTCCGATATATGCTCGAAGAGTGCCTCGAGGTTCTGCGAAATGCCCAATGATCCCAAACCCCAGACCGCCCATTCCAAAACATTCATCCGCGCGATTCGCCGTTCCTTCGCGCTCGACGTCCGTGCAGCGATCTATCGCATCTCCGTCCAGGTCAATACAAACTCCTGTGAGACCCGCTCCTGTCAACGGTACCACCCCTCTCAGTAGCCGTCCTGTCCCTCCGCCACAGCCAGAGCAGGTATATGGACCGTTGGGGCCTTGGGAACCATCAATTTCTGGAAAGATACCGTACGAAGAAATCACAAAAGTTGTGTGCGATTTTCTTTTCAAAGAGGTGGTCCTCAGGCGAGATATTGGAGCGGGAGCCGCTGGAGCTGCAGCAACAGGGTCGGGGGCAATACTAGAAATTGAAGCCAAGTTGGGACGAATCATGGATAAGGACCGGAGAGAGCGTCTACGCCTACCAGTTATGACCGAATGTATACTACAAACCGGTAACACGGGATTCCACACTGCTTTTGAAAGTTCTATGAGTTTGGTGAGTTGGATTATGAGATAATGAGCTAATCAGTTTATATACTAACGGTGCGCAGGAACAACATCGGGTCATGAACCATTTCCTGAACGAAGCTGTCAAGGCTTCCATGCCGCAAGCTGGACTCAATCGCATCCCTTTAACATATGCGCACAAGAGAGAACGCGATACTTTTTATGAAGTGCCACCTCAAGAACTACCACCCCTCATACAAAACTACCTTAACCCACGACACAAACCCAAAGTGCGAGTAACTACCGATCAGAAAACGGGTGAAGTACTAGCAAAAATCATTAAATGTCGGCTAGCGGACTTGGATGTATATAGTCCACGCACAAACGTCGATTGGCGGATATCTGTCAACCTCGAAATGAACTACGACCGAGATGTGCGCAATTTCCCAATTGCGGACGGTGGGACCCGGAGGGCAGGTGGTGAGAGAATCAAAGATCGTATGAGCTATCGCCATTTGGCCTACCAAATTGATCTTACGCAGGTGGGGACAGCAGATGTATGTATCAATCCCTTGAAAGAAAATTGAGTAGTAACTGACAGTTTTACTATAGAGTGCCACCAAGGGTGATTTCGAGCACGAGCTTGAAGTCGAGATTTCAGCAGCAGAGGTACGACGACAAGGCGAACTGGCTATGGAAGGGAACGAGAGAAATCAATACGAAAACCTCATCAAAGGCTTTGTTGACAACGTTCGATTCCTTGCTCGCGCCGTTCCTAATGCATGAGTCACTACTTCAATATTTTATTCGGAAAATAACAAAAGCACAAGAAATTGAAAGGAGAAAAAAAGGAGGGCAAAAAAAATCATGTTTACATGTTGAGGTTCTACAAACAGGCGCGACGAATTTCTTTTCATTCTAACCATTAATATAGAGTGCGAGTCTATTGAAATGGTATCTCGCGCTGTGAGAGATGCACACTTTATGAGCAGTTTTCCCACCTATTTCATCTACCTTGTCTTCATATATTTATTTTTCTTCTTGGATTCTTGCCATGTGAACATTGATGATCTTATTAAAATATTAATATGGTGCGTTTTGGCTTCCTCGGTTTTCTTGATAGCTGAGAAGCAATGGCCAGAAAATGACTATCAAAACCTTCAACTCTTCCTCTCATTGCCTTTGTTTCTAGACAGGCAGAGTATACCAGGAAATAGCTAGCAAAGGTGATGATATTGAGGTTCATGAAGTTCCTTGTGAGTCTCGACCGCGGCAGCGTCACTTAGTGGCTGCTGTGATTGGATGCTCAGAATGCGCCTCCTGGGGAAATGCAGCCTTAAAACTTTAGGCTTTAACATACTTGTCTTTTCTCCTGTCCTTACTCTACCTCTAAACAACAACAACAACAACAACAACAATAACATACATAGACATCATAGCATAGCGATTTCTGTCTTCTCATACGTTTCGTCTTTTTGTTGATCGTCTCTGCTCAAATTGCATCTAGGATACTCTCAGCACTGATTGATCGCCCACTGCCGACAAGCCGCCCGCGTTGACATCTTGTGTAGGGATAAAACGATCCCTGACGAGTCGGACAACCAAGGACAATTCCTATGGGGAACTAAGGTCAGAATGAGAGTCTTCTCATTTTGTCAGAATTCTAGTTTCTGGATGCAATGATCCTAGTTTCTCATTGAAGTCAATTGAAACAAATCAACCTAAAACAACAAAATTCGATACTATGACTACACAGAGGAGGGACTCTGTGAGACGCAGGGCGTCTCTGATCTCTTCTTCTCATGATATGCCGCGAAACTTATCCCTCGAATTCAGTCTTCCGGAGCTCGATCGACGGCAAGATGCTGATCGAGAACCCGTACCTTCTCGCAATCCCACCACTCTTGACTCATCAACGTCATGGTCAGAATCACTCATGATGCAACAAGATGAAGATTTACCAGAATACGCCGAGCGGGTCTTTTCGCAGTTCATGGTCTTCACAGTCCCGAGCTACTTGCAACATCACGTCACGGGCGGCGAACCGAACAAACCGAAGAAATTGCACGATATCGCGGCGTTGGATGGCTTGAGAGGATGGGCGTGTCTGCTCGTCTTCAACTTTCACTTCTTTTTCACTTATACATGGCATACACATATTGGCTGGGGTTTCAATAAGCAGTATTTTGGATTGCATCAGCTACCGTTCATTCACATGATCTTTTCGGGGCATATCATGGTTGCCATTTTCTTCGTTATTTCGGGTTATGTTCTGTCCTATCGACCGCTCAAGACGATTCGAAGTGGATCATTTGAACAGACTTTTGCCGTGCTTTCTTCGGCAACGTTTCGACGTGGGCTGCGTCTCTATATTCCGTCCATTGTCGGTTTGTTTTGTGTATTTGTTGCGGTTCGCCTAGGTCTGTACAATTACTCTCGATGGGTCGTGGACAATAGTCGAACGATTACCGGCACAAACGAACAGCATCCGATTATTTTGCGATCGACATACATACAACTCTGGGACTGGTATAATACGATATGTCGGTTGATGAATTTTTGGGATTGGGGGCTTTATTATAATAACTACAATCCTCATCTTTGGACGATCCCTGTTGAATTCCGCAGCTCTATTGTGCTGTTTGTCACGATTCTTGCTGTCAGCCGGTTCAGGACCAAGGTTCGCTTGATTTTGGAGATTTTGACGCTCTGGTTCTGCATACGATGGGGCCGATGGGATGTAGTGCTCTTTCTGAGCGGCTTGCTTCTTGCTGAGATTGACCTTGAAAATGGAATCTGGAATACCGACACCACCACTATCTCCAAACCTGAATCTGCGCCAGCAACTGTGCCAGATTTAGAAAAACTCGCCGACACCACCTCGATTCAAAACTTTCTCCGCCGACGACAAAAGGCAATCTGGATAGGCGTTTTCATCCTAGGGCTGTACATAGGCTCATCGCCCAACATCGGCGGACTCTATACCCCAGGATATGTCTGGCTTGCTCGTATAACCCCAAAAACATATCCCGAACCTCATCGATTCCCCCAAACCCTCGGCGCAGTCATGATCGTCGCAAGCATCAACAATTCCAAAACGATCCAGAAAATCTTCATAAACCCACTATCCCAATACCTCGGCCAAATCTCCTACGCATTCTACATCGTCCACGGCCCGATTTTACACGGTCTAGGCTATACTCTGATGCACAATATCTGGCAAATCACAGGACGCGAGACGACGTTTCAATTCCTGTTCGGTGCTGCTATTGGATGGAGTATTTGTTTGCCTATTGCCCTCTGGCTAGCAGATATTTTCTGGCGAGCAGTGGATGTCCCCAGTGTCCGATTTGCGCGTCAATTGGAGAGTGAATTGCTTGCCAAGTTTCAGGTTTCGAGATAATCCTCCTCCCTTACCGCTTCTTCCATCAAAACCCCTTGAGCCACTCTTTCTTCTGTCTGTATTCTATGCTACACCGCATTTCAATCCTATGATTCATTCCGGGTTTATATCACTACTAGTCATCTTGCATTATCGGTTATGGGTTCCAGTTCATGGGTATATACATTCCATAGCGGATTTTTTTTTTTCTTTGTACTAGCGTCTACTTCTCATTTCTTAAATTGTATATACATATATGCCCAATACATATTTCTTGTTTGATTCTTGGTCTAAATAGGATGGCAACCTAGGTAGTCATGCTTTAAAGAAACTCAGGTGAAAACTCAACAATAACTAACAATGATGCATTTTTCTCTTTCAATAAACGCAACATAGCATATCTTTAGAACAACATAACATGCCGAAATGCGAGTATGCGGCGACAAATATAATAAATGGAGAAGGGAAAGAAAAGACACAGGTCGTAGAAGCGCTCGTCATGAACGTGAACATGGATACAGAAAGGCAAAAAAAAAAGTCTACATTGCTACACCCCAGAATCCCTTCCCACCACAAACACCAAGCCAGTCTCGCGAATGTCCGGATTGTGTTGGGGATGCTTGAGGGGACCAGGAGATATTCGAAATCTCATAATCGCATTGCCATGCTGCCGCTGGGCCGCGTTCGGTTGTTGAAGGTGCTGTTGCACCTGCACCTGCTCCTGCTCCTGCTCCTGCTCCTGCTCCTGCTCCTGCTCCTGCTCCGGTAGTGGTAGGACCAGGGAGGGGAGGGGCTTGTTGTTGGATATGTGCTGCGTTGTGTTGGTTGATCAGGTCCCAGACGAGGACGCAGCAGTCGTCGCCTCCTGAGGCGAGGGTGCCGCGACGAGTCGGTGACCATTCGATGCAGTTTACGGATGCAGAGTGGCCTTTTAGTTCGACTAGGGCTTGGCCTGGTTGTCGGACGTCGAGGATGCGGATTAGATTCGAGTCTTGGGAAAATGTTGCGAGGAGGTGGGCGTCGTGGGGTGATGCTGGTTTCAAGTTAATGATTCCTGTGTTTAGTGAGGGTGAGGAAGACTTACTGGCTATACGTAGTAGGGGTGGTGGCCATGCGGTAGAGTGTCCTGGGCTGGAACCTCCAGGGCTCATAACTGTGGTTCATGAGTACATATCTTGATTAAAACGTGTTTCGGTCGATACATACGCTTCTCGTTCTTTTCCGACGGCTCATATATGATAGTACTATGTTCCAAGCTCCGCAGATCAAACATGCGGACACTTCCGTCTGCACCGCAACTAACAAAAACATCAACACTATTTGCACAGAAACGTACGTCGTACACTTCCCTATCGTGCGCAATAAGCTGTGTCTTTGCAGTCAACGTCGGAATATCCCAGATTGTACATGTCGTGTCGATACTGGAAGTGATAATCAGACTCGGTGATATTATATTCCAATCCAATGAAGTTATAGGAGCCGTGTGTTCTGGTGATTTGGAATTGGACAAAAGGGCTAATGGAGACAATTTAGCTGGCGATGGGCCCTGGTTTCGGCTAGTTATCGAGTTTGTGGTTTGTACAACCTGGGAGTTTGGCAAAGACCATAAACGGAGGTGATCGCCTGATGTCGCAAGCAAGTCCGTTGACTGTTTTTGAGAGGACGGAGGCTCCCATAATATTCTTGTGACTGGATATGAATGTGTTGCCTCTGCTGTCTTGACGTACTCTAACTCAACATCTCCTGGGACCACGTCTGGAGTATCGGCCTCGGGTTGCTTGCGATGGGCATCGATAATTTGAATCTACTCCTATTAGCTCATTGTAATATCAATATGGAATGAAGTGAACGCACGTAGTTATGATTATCCTCAAGGTAGCTTCCAATAGCCACCTTACCAGCGAAAGAACTGCCCGATGACATCGGCCATTTACACCAGTCGACCGCATAAATCGGCCACGGAGCAACATAGTTGCTGTTTGTTGGTATTTGAATGTCATTATTGAAAGCTGCAAAAGACCCTGGAGTAATTGGATGATCCATCAACAACGAATCACTGGGTGGCCTTATATCTGCAAGACCCAACGGCGAATATTTGGCGCCTGATGGCGTATGCGGTGGGAAGCCGCCTGGCGGGGAGGAATACTTTGCGCTTTCCGGTGTGGTTCCATATTGTTTATATCGCGGATGGTCGAATCCTGCCGGACTCGACCGTGAATGAACATGTGTATTGACGGGTCCTGATCGAGACGGTGTGGTCACTTGTTGTGATTGCGAGGTCGGTGGAGGTAACGTAGGCACGGCGGAAGGAGCAGTGTTGGCGGACATGGGAGCTGGACGACCAGACATGTTCCCTGGCTGTAGGGCGCCGGGAAGTGCGTTGCTACTGGCTCCATACTGAGAATGTTGTGGTGTCGACTGCTGAATACTGATTGCAGGAGGAACGTGACCAACATCTGGCCCGGTCGAGTACCGCGACGCATTCGAGGGGACAGTGCCAGACAGCGGAATATGGAGCTCTTCCGACTGACGAGTAAATGGAGCCGGCCGCCTGGAAGTCTCGTACTGTTGCTGTGAAGGAGGATTGGACATTTTGGGCGAGGGCGTAAAGCTGTTTTGTGGGAGGTGAAAGAGACGGCGGACGATCGATTATCAAGTTGAGTGCCTGGCGGCCAGTCGCATAAGGGGACAAGACACTGCGGGAGCCCCGAGATCACCAAGAGCTTGTGCCGCCTGTAATTCAATCGTTCTAGCACACCATGAGCTTTCAAGAATCCATACTGGATCTGAAAACTAGCAATGGAGCTGTGAATAAAGAGCAATGGTCTGCCTTTCGCGGGCTTCAGTTTGGGCGTCCCCGCGTTCTCTGCCGCCCACACCAAGTAGCCAATCAGCAACTGGAATTCGGCTTATTCAGCTGCTCCTCCTCCTTTGGGCTGTTCTGACTCTTTCTTTCCCTCGAAGACTTCATTTCTCTAAGTCTTTCATAAAACATCCCATTCTTGGGAATTATTCATCATCGAGGCTGTCCAACGATTACATGGCTGTTCTGTATAGTCTTCTGCTTCTTCCGGCCCCGCCCTCCCCCGCAGTGCGCCAGTTGAAGGAGGTTTACGGACCAGCGTTGTCGCATATATTTTCGAGCACTGCAGCTGAACTAAAAGGTTCCAGCAACATATATAAGCTTGATGTCGCATTAGTCATTCCTCAGTTACTGTCCGCTCAATATCAGCCTCGATCCAAGGCCTTTGTTAGTCTCCAAAAACTTCTTGCCAACTTCTACACCCTGGTGGGAGCTATCAGTGCTGCGAACGATGTAGAGTTAGACGCACCGGGGGGCATTGATGTCCGTGTCTTTTTTGTTGATAATGCAGAGAATGAACAGACCAAGGATTGGAAGAGAATACAAGGGCCCGTCATTGACTTTAGGACATTGGCAACTTCGCAGCGGCCTTGGGAGCAAATATATGTTCCGGACACAACAGAAGGAGAGCTTCTAGCAGGTACACTGTTCACGCATGGAGCCTCAATTCCTAGCAATAAATTACCTACTGGCACTACAACCATATCAGAGTCAATCATCAACGCCGACGAAGAGCATTCTACAAGCCATGCCGCAATCATTGTTGGCGGGACATTTGACCATCTTCATCTTGGGCACAAGTTACTGCTCACGGCCACCGCATTAGCACTGGATGGTACGAGAGACGATAAGATTCTTGCAGTCGGGATAACCGGTGATGAGATGCTCGTGAACAAGAAGTTCGCCGAGTATCTGGAGAGCTGGGAAGAGAGAATGCAAGGAACAGCGGCATTCCTACGAGCTATTGTCGACTTCAATCCTCCAGAGATTTCTTCTGTTGATCTCAAGCGCACTGAACAACCAGGTCCGAATGGCAAACAGGTCTCGTTTCAGGTGATGCCGGACTTGACCGTGCGGTTGGTACAGATTAGTGATCCGTTCGGCCCGACGATTACAGAGGAACAATTCACTGCACTGATTGTGTCAGCAGAGACACGATCAGGTGGACAGGCAGTAAACACGGAAAGGAATAAAAAAGGATGGCCATCCTTAGAGGTGTTTGAAGTGGGCGTCTTGCAGGCAGGAGAAGCACAAGAAGTGGCGGATACGGCAGCCAGCAGCTTCGAATCCAAAATCAGTAGTACTGACATTCGACAACGTCGAATGAAGAGTGCGACCAGCAATCTTTAAACGGGCGCCGCACTGACAGTCCGGATTTGTATGACTAGCACCTGACCATAAAATATTGAATCACTGGTGGTGATTGTGCCACGTAGGTGGCATTTGATCATGATTGTAGCAGACAAGCCAACAGTTAGCTATTATCGAAGAATATCATGTTCAGCATCCCATATCCAATCATGTAGATAGGAACCGCTTCAAATCATCTTACTGGAGTCGTAGTTTCTCAGGAGTAAAACTCCTGCCCAGTCTATCTATCACCGTATGACAGAGTCGGCAGTCTGAAATGCGTTTCGGTCTTGTTAGGCCGGTGAGAGCAATGAGCCGTGAGCAAGAAACAATATCCGACATCGATATCCGGTTATTATTGGCTACTAGTACAGATCAACCAGTCGAGTCTAGTAGCTGCCAAGTCAATTTCCAGCGTCTTTCTCCGGCGTCATTGGTGGTGATCATAGGCAATCTGTGTTTCTGCAGAACCGCGAGCAGCTATCTCTGATGGCCGTTGACGGCAGCGGGGCGGCAACAAGGACCACTGAGAAGAGTGCACGCCACGATTGAACTTATTTCTGACAACGAAGAAGAGGCCGAGATGGTTGGCTGCTGGTCTGTTTCGTTAAGAGGAGAGAGCGGGGTGAGAGTCAGAGATTAGTAACTAAGTAGCCGCCGGGCCGTGCACCTACAGGGCTCCGGTTCTTCATGTCCGCCACTCAACCTCCAATCGTTTCCTCCGTCCCGCTTGAACGCTGCACCGCCAAACTTCATCCCATTTGCGCTCTTCTTTCTGATACGGTCGCTGCCAGTCCCAGCTGGTGCATGTGGCTGCATGATGCTCCTGATCTCCCTGGGACGATTTCGGTCATGTGACCGCAGTGTGGGAGGTTGTGCGACGCCTGAGAGGTTGCTCGAGCAAGTAACCTAGGATCCGCTCGCTGCAGGTCGAATGCAATTAGGTATGCATGGCTTCTCTATGGTGGTGACATGAGACCACCCCTCCAGCCATTCCGACCTTGCCAGCTTGTTTCTGCAGCTTCTTCAACCCGTGGCCATTCCATGTCCTCGAATGATGGCATACCCTGTCGCCTGCTTTAATATTAGGAGTAGTGGCTCCCCCAGAATTAAGACAATCTCGGCCGCTCAGTCTCCCGACGGTCCCTGTCCTGTCCTCAGAGAGAAAAGGGGGGGGATGTATACGCAATACACACTGCGACAATAAAAATTACTCGACTTGCTCATAAACACCCGCATCCCCTCCCCAACTGCGTCCACGCGCCATTTGTTTCCTCTATGCCAACTATCGCGCGCCAGACAGCCGGTGAGTCGGCTGCTTGCCCACGAAGCCGATGATTGAGATGATGAATGAGCCAGGCCCTATCAATTTTCTGGCCGACGAATTGCTAAGTTTGGTACTATCGTTCCTGATCGCCGATACCGAGTTCCCGGATGGGCGCGAAGTGGTACATGACTACGCGTTTCCACCGTATAACAATAAACGCAATGGGACGAACGCGGTGGCTTCGCGAGGGGAAAGATCCGATCTGGATAGGTACAGACTTGTATGCACGCGGTTTATGAGGATTGCGACGCCGTGGAAGTTTCGTCGCTTCACGTTAAGGTTTTCGTCCGAAGGGTTTAGACGGTTGAATGAGTTGGTGGATATGCAACTGGCTCATCATACGCGATATTTTACATATATGGTCCGACCTTATTACCAAGGAGGCGGTATGTGGTTATCTTTCCGTCTTGGACCATTTGCTCCAGTGAAAGTAGCCTCCAAACTGATAGAGTTCGCTAGACTGGGAACGATTCCTTGCAGAGATTGCACGTGATTATCCTTCTCTCGCTGAGATTCATATTTCCAGACTCGCCGATCAGACATTGTTGATCAAGAATGCGCGAGATATTCTTTCTCTGAAACGGGCACTTGCCTCGTTTCCGTCTTTGCAACAGATCAAGCTTCTTCGATTACAGGACAAGGCGGATGAAGATATCATGGAACGAGCGAGGCGGTTTGGTGCTGCCGGGGACGTAAAACTTCACTGGGAGCCGGCATGCTCACGCGCAATTGAAGCATTGGGACTTGCTCTGATGGGATCTAGCTGTCAGTCTGTCCGGTTTTTAGCTCCGCAATTGAGTCCCGAAGCCGCTCTTGGGCTACTGAATGCTCCCCGGGTGACAATGTCCGCCTTGGGGGAGCGACTCACGTGCTTAGATATATATTTCCACTCAGCCTCGGATGTAACCGCACTGATGTCAAGACTATCAAATACTTTCAGAGATTTCTTCCAAGCTGCGCGAAACCTCGCCACAATCAACGTTGGGTTTCCGGCCGACAGTCCCTTGAACTTGCATTTGGAAGATGTTTTCCATCATATACACTGGCCACGGCTACGCAGTCTTGGAATTCAAGGCTGGCGATTACATTCGTCCGAAATCAGCGCAATCGCGCGGCGTCATAAGTCTGAACTCCGAGAACTCCGCTTACCGTACGTCTATCTCCTTGATGGAAGTAGATGGCGCGATGTCCTCTCCATACTCCACGATGATATGGAACGACTCGAAAAACTCTATCTTCAACATGTCAATTACGCATCTCATATCAACACAGAAATCATGAATGGTATCGAAATACCGCCCGGAAGCACGACAGATGAAGACGAACATATAGACGAAGTAGACCATGACGAAGATCCCAATAATCTTGATGAACCACATCAATCAGATACAGACTCCTCGTCTGTCGTCTCCGTACACGACTCACATAGTGAAATATCATCAGAAACAGAAGAATCATCATATCGACAGCAACACCACTACCCGTACTACCGTCACAATCATCACCAGCGAGATTTACAATCCTTATCTGAACAGGAATTGAGTATGCTTACTGCGAATGAATTAGGCGATAATGGGATATATGTGAAACGGGAACATTGGCATATATGGGAAAAATGGGTTGTATTATCAAGGCGTCAGTTTAGTTAATCATTGGGGAGGCAACGCAATTCAAAAAAGAAATTGATTTGATTACCTTTGTAGCTATACATACTATATCGCCGTTCTCTTTCTCGGTTGCTCTGCTTCTATGGGGGCCCTTGCAGTCAACTTCACTGAGTAGGTTTCATTCCGATCCCACACTTGCTGAACTATTTAATTCAATATATAAGAGATGGCAACTCACCCGTAACTTGATATTATGTGATATACATATCTTCTCTCCCGTGAAATATTTCACAGGCTAGCTTCATAGGTTACGGAATGCAACTATAGATAATTTCAGGGTCAAATAGCAAAGTCAAATCCGCCAGACCAATGTTGGTGCGAAAAGTCAAGCAAATCGTCAATACTCTGCGTATTTCCCATGAATCAGTAGCACCCTATCAAGGATTCGAACATTAGTTGACTCAGATGCTTGAATCAATATCATAAACCCATCCTCTGTACTTACAGTGTTAAATTCATTCATGAAAGGATGAGAAAGATAACTGGCATTATCGTTGAGACACTAGCCGATTTGTCATACTGGAGATATAGATATTGCTCTGACGAATTGTTATTTTTGCTTTGTAGCGAATCATAATTTCTCAAAACAATCTTAATTGCCCGAGCTACCTTTCGGGCCTCCACGGACGAGGCGCTGGACTGTTTCCAAATAGTATATGCACTCCTCAAGACTGAAAGAACGCGACTTCTTTAAGCCGCCTGGGCTTCTATCAATTCAGTCGTTTCACAAAGTACATGGCTTTTAGACGGGTTTTAGTGACTAAATATTGAACTGTGGTTTGTTCAGTATCGGGTCGCGCAGCGGGCAGGTCCTTTATGTTGGTATCAAAGTACGAGTCTACCAGATTTCGCGGTTCAGCAGTATCAAACTGAAATGCGTGGATCATCCTCGGCAGTCCAAACTGGGCGGGAACAGAGTAGTCGACGTTCTATATCATGGCCCCATGTATGCTGACGCATTTCTGCTTCAAACGGGGGAATATGTTCGGTAAATTAGATCCATCTCGATGATAAACTAATGCGCATAGAAAAGCGACTGATCAGGCCTGAGAGCGCCCAGAGGCCATTTGGACTGTCACCGGTGTGGAGATACTCCAGAAGGAGACAATGTAGTAACGTTTTGACTGTGTAGGGAGGGCATCGATGGATTTTCCCAGCCGTAAGCGTTGAACGATCTTTTCCCGAAATGCTTGAATGAAAGGTTGACTGTCGGATCTGTCCTGCAAAGATAACGACCGTTCAAGGTACCGGCACCTGTCCTGTTCTGTTATCACCCCTATGCACATGATAGCAAAAAGGAGGCCGAGTCACATCATAGAGACCCCGGTAGGGTTAATCCAGAACCTTTCGTACTAATTTCAGTTCATGTTAGTATAAATTTATATCTCATATCCATGGATTATCGGCAAAACGAACATTTGAAATAAAGGGGCATCTCACCTCTTTGAAAAAGGTCGGCGTGTGCACAGGAACTGTTTATGTCTTATCAGTCCTGTCTGCATAAATATATCAAAGGTAGCTAATAACAATAGTGCATATACCTTGGATAATCGACAGTCTCTGAAGGTATTGAAAAATCAGTCGATTCACCACAGTCCGCGAAGGAATGGCGGCAAGGATTTCCGGCTTGGTTGCATGCCCGCAAGGTCCCAATAGTAACCCCGGATCTTGCGTGAATCTCTTCTAGAGGATGGCTTCCTTGTCCTATAAGGATGTCACTGTTGTCTAAATGATAATATAAGCTAACGGGGTCTGATACCGATATAGATGGAAGACATACCCCTTCAAGGATTGTCGGCCAATGGGCCGCTTCTGAATAAGTCATTCTCTTATTGTCGGTATGCATGCTTCCCAATGAATTAGAGGAGGCAATTCTACGGGACTCTCGGCCACAGCAGCAATTTTCTCCGTCCTGGTCTTTCTTTCTTCTGCTGGATCTCTGGAGCTCTGATGATCACTAGCGGGTTGCAGTTATCGAGACATTACTCTGACCCATAAATGCTATAATCGGAGACTCGAGCTGATTGACTTTATCTTGAATGGTCTCTAAGACAGCAGAGGAATCTCCACCATCCGACGAGGATGCCATTGCTGTGCCTGGCCCTGGTTCAAGCAGTGGCACGAATATGCTGAAATGAGCATGATAACCCCAGACGCCTTCGAGAGCAGTTCTCGCACGATATGCAGCAATCACATCGTAGTCTAGAGATAGGGCGTTAGTATACATAACGTTGTCATAGTTCTAAACATCTTTTTAGATAATCGCACTTTCGTCTGCGGCACAGATTGACGACAATGCGGCTTGTCTCTGCCACAATGGTCTCGAGGCGACGACCCTGTCATATTGGTCTGCTGGGTTTCCATGGGTTATCGCGGGTTGGGTCAGTGATCCAGTGATGTCAATTTTTCTTCAGGGGTTCTGAGTGTCAAATAAATGGGAAAGGGTGCAGTAGGTACCATTTGCTGTGTGTAGCCGTACCCGATACCCATCAGAATCTGATATCCGGTTTGTCTTCCCAGAGGTGTTGTAGGCGAATACATTGATATAATTTCATGGAGATGGCAATCCTGATTCTCGACAATGTATGACAAGTCAGTTCGAACTTGATATCAGGAAGGAATCACAGCTTTATACCTAGCCGTCCACACAAAATACCCGTAATCACTGTGGAATAATGTTCGGCAGGAGCTGGACACCATTCACCAATGGAGAGGAACCGCGCACTCCCTGGAAATATGTCGGCAAGTAGTAGGACACAATGGTCAGGGTGCCAGTGCCAAACCCATATGTTAGACAATTTGCCTTCACGGATCTCTTGCAAACCATCGAGAGAAACAACATGGTGTTGTCACCTTTGTGCTAATCCCACGCAAGCCAACCGAAAGGTCATGCCGGCACTGCAAAGGAGACTAATAGCGGTTGAGCTATTCCAAGCGAACTGGTTGTTACCGTATTGAAGGGCAAACAATAATTGGATTGTGCAGCCCGCAAAGAGCACAACACCGAGTAAGTCGAGCTTTGTCTGTAGAGATCGTGGGGCTGTCATGGCGTAGGGAGGTTTGTTGGACATGTTATCCAGGAAGAGAGTCAGCAAAATCAGTCCTGCTGCCACCCCTCCAATAAGTAGGTTGATCCAGAAACCTTGAATATATCAATTAGTCAGGAAAATCTGCGTGTTGTGGAAAAGAGAGTAGCAATAATACTTACACCATCGCCAAGTTGTGTATTTAGTCAGAGCGGCTCGGATCAATGGCCCTGTAGCAAGCGCTAACTGGGACACTGCGCGTCCTCATAGTCATAAAGGTAACATTAAACGACCCGTTTGGTTTAAAAGGAAAAGCACTAACCTCCCATTGCAATACCAAAAAGCACGACATATCACAGGAAAAAGGGGTATCAGCCAAACATAGTGTTTGAAATGGGCTCACCACTCACTAGGTCTCTTTTCCATCGGCACGCATCCAGCAATAGTCGTGAAGCACCCATTTTGCACTCCAGACACACCCATACCAGCTAGAACGCGACTCACAATCAACATATTAGACGATTTCGAGAGTGCGCAGACCAGGGAGCCCAACTCAAAGACAAAAAAAGAAAAGTCACCTGATAGCCCTTGTCAGACCCGATCTTTCTTCAACAAGGGTATTGTAATCTGGATCCATCCAGCTACACAACTTGCCTTCCTGCTGAAATTCGTAAATATATTTCCTGCCAGCGGCCGAAGAGAAGCACTAGAAGGTTTATCATTGTTAAAGAGGATTCTGCCTTGTAGTATGGAATATGGGGCTTGTATCATTCACTTCGACAGCCTGATATGCAGCTCCGTACAAACCTATGTCGGACAGAGAATTGAACTGATTCGTAATATAAGGTACTGCCTAGAATTGAAGATGAAGGCCTATCTCATTAGCGCACAATAATGATTTGTGTCTGAGAGAAGGGGAAAAACAATCACAATCAATGCGCAATCTACAGTATACTGCCACTTACCGTAGCCAATATCGACGTGTCCAGCAGTAGTAGGAAGCTCACGAGAGTTAAGGCAACCACAATTCAAAATAGGGTAAAGCCTGTAACCCATTGTGGTGTATCGCCATTTGACGGCTGTGCAGGAATCTTTGGCTCCTTTTGTTGGTCGTTTTCTGGGTTCTTGGGAAGGGTTGTTGTCGCTGTTGAATCGTTAGTGGAAGCTTTCTCGGTTCCTATCATCGTGTCTTCTTCCTTTTCACTTCTTGTATTATGTCTTTCTAATTGTCCTTGTACCAGCTCTAGAAGGACTTGAGCATCTGACTTCTTTTCAGAAGCCATTCTTTAGTGTTTATTTCATTGATTCTCGTGTCTGGAGTTGATAGCTGCTGTATTGGACAAGATATGTATTCAAAGTCAAGTTCTGATATCGAGGTATCATTACTATAATGCTTTGCGTTCGATCGATGTCAGTCAAAAAGTAGCACGTTCTCCTGAGCAACTGGTTGCTAGTTAGGGCAAGCTCCTCCGAAGCCCTAGGCGCCAGGATTCAGGAATTCGGGACGAGATTTGACGGACAGTCCATGGTGATATTTGGGTAGGGAGACGGACTATGTGTCTCGTACAATTCGCCTTCGTACTTCAATGTTGATACTATGAGATCGCTGCTTTCGAATCTCAGATAAGCAAACTGCTTTGCGTCATTTCTGATATGCCTGGCTACTTTCCTACCATGTTATACAAGGTATTGACGTCGAAATGTTGTACCCCATGATGGACAATACGTGCTTGTTACGCTTATATGCCTAGTAGATCTTCCAAAAGTCCATACACCATCATTATAAAAATGTATCTATGAATCGATACATCAATAATGATGGTGGTGAATGAATCGAATATACTAGTAGTACCAAAGACTACCTGAAGAGACAGATGTATTGTAACAGTTGATACCAGGAACACAATAACGGCTTTCTCATCCAATGATACAACTACATTTGCGAAAAATACCTGGGAATCAATACAAACTATTAAATAGCATTGTCTTATCAATCCGATCTTTTCTCTTTCATCTCATCAATCTCATCTGATCTAGTTAGTTCAGACGAATTGATCTGATCAAGTCCACCCAAATCCACCATGTCATCCTCAACAACATCAACTCCAGACTCAAACATCAACCATGCCTCTGCCCTACAATACTGGAACAGCATGCCCGCGACAGTAAACGGTATGCTAGGCGGCTTCCCGCAAGTCTCGCGAATCGATCTCCGCGGCTCAGCGAATTTTCTAGCTAAGATTCGACGACTTATTCAAATTGAACAGGCTGATACAGATACAACGGCGGGACAATCCGGGCAGAGAAAGAGCAAAAAATTGAAAAGAGGCGCTGATTGTGGTGCGGGTATTGGACGTATCACAGAGGGATTTTTGAGGAATGTGTGCGAAACGGTTGATGTAGTTGAGCCGGTTGAAAAATTTGCAGAGGTTATTCGGAACGGTCTTTTGACGAGGAAAAAAGAGGAGGGAAATAGCGCGGAAGAACGAGAAGATGAAGGACTGGTAGAAAACATCTACATAACCGGACTCGAAAACTGGATTCCGACAGAAAAATACGACCTAATTTGGAATCAATGGTGTGTTGGGCATTTAACCGACTCGCAATTAACGACATATCTCCAACGAGCCGCGAATGCATTGACGGCACATGGGATACTAGTGCTCAAAGAGAATAATTCTACGGATCCCGAAGGGAGAGATATATACGATGAAGTTGATAATAGTGTTACGAGGACGGATGAGTCTTTCCGAAAAATATTCAAGGATGCAGGACTGACTCTAATCAAGGCGGAGGAGCAGTTGGGGTTTCCGAGACATCTAGGCTTGTTGCCTGTTAGGAGTTATGCGTTACGGCCTGTAAGGGGGGACTTGAACGATAATCGTGAAGGCTAGAATAAGAACGAGTATGATACCGTTGATGCGCCGGAAGAATAAAACTACAAAATACCCAATGAATAATGAATCATGTACCTTTTGAAAGAGATCCCTATTATCCAGTTGCCATCGCGCAACGAATGAAAAATCTGTCCATTTTGTCTTCGAGATCAGTTTAAGAATCCTCCTGTGAATACTGAAGTGATACGTTCGGCTGTGCTGGGACCATTGACGTCGCTTTTTGTCGACTTCTCACCGTTGACTTGCACCTCTTCGGCTTTGGAGGCTTGATCTTCCGTCTGGTCGGCAACCGGCGCCGGAACTGAAGGTTCGCCTGCAAGCGTAGAAGTAGCTTCGGGTTCTGCAGCAGGTCCTACCGAAGCACCATGCTCTGCTCTCGGCGCGGCCTCTGCCGTAGGTTCCCTGGGGGTTTCGTCGGTATTTTCTGTCTCTAGCTGACCATTTACTTCGGTTGTCTCCTTGGAAGGGGCTTCTTTTGCACTAGCTTTCTTCGCGTCTGCCTCTTGCTGATTGATCAAGCCCATGATGAAGTCCCATTCTTGAGGTGAAACGCGTGAAACGCTAACGCGAGACTGGCGCAATGTCTGCAGGTTTTCCAATGGCTGGCCCGAAAGAGCATATGACTTGAGTGTCTCCAAGGTCAAAGGCTGGTCGAATTTGCGTCGGAATTCGACATGAACGACTTCCCATTTGGGATTTTCACGACTGGACTTCTCGTCGTAGTAGGGATGTGCGGGATCAAAAGCCGATTCTGTTAGGATTAGCACGTAAGCCCATGGTCATCACCATCGTCTTGATATTAAAACACACCATCTACTGAATGCTCTCTAACGATCTCCATTTGTCCCACAATACCGGGAACTTTGCAGCTTGAGTGGTAGAAAAACGCGAAATCACCCTTCTTCATGGCGCGCATATTGTTGCGAGCTATTCAAGTTAGTTATTGGATGCGCCAAGCTGAATCAGACACATACCAACAGGGTTGCGAACACCTATATCAAATATGGTTAGCAGAAATCACAAAAACGAGGCAATTGTTACATACCATCCCATGGCTCTGGCTCTGAAGCCGCTTGTAAATCATCAATCGAGAACTTGACATCGACGCCCTTCACGATTCGCGATTGGGGTTCCGCTTTCATGAGCCAGTACGAATGGCCGTCGGGTCCGAATGCATCCTCTTCAGCCACCTCAATTGTTAGGTCGGGCTCTTTCTCCTTCAAGAATGCAGGTGCGCGAGGTGCTCTGGTAGCAGTCTGCTTTTTGGCAGGCTTTCCAGCTGCCTGTTGCGGTTGACCAGTAGCCCTCTTCCTCTTCTTGCCAGTAACTTCGGTTGAAGCGGGTTCGGAGGATTTGGGTGGTCTACCGTGTCGCTTACCAGGCTTATCTGCAGTGGTTTTCACGATGGATGTTTTGGGTTTGCGAGTGACAGTCGCTTTACTAGCGGGTGCGGCGGATTTGGCAGGTTTACCTGCCGAAACAGTTAGTCTCGCTTTATATCAACAATAGCATAACAGATGGCGAAACATACCTTTCTTTGCTGCTGGCGACGCAGCTGTCTGAGGACGGCCTCTCTTTTGGGGAGTCTCTCGAGCCTTGCTGGAAGAGACAGTGCGTTTCGCAGGCGATGGTTTAGGAGCTGGCGCAGGAGCAGCAGCTTTTATTCTTGCTGCGCGTGGTGGTAACTGGGAAAATCGTTTGGGGCGCGAAGCTGCCGCGGTCTCTGAGCCTGCTGGTTTGCGCGTACGTTTTGACGGCGGCTCAGTCGCGTCGGCGTTCGCGACGGTCGACGTGCGCTTCTTTGGCGGCATGGCGCGTGAAGGATGAAGAATGATTCAACTAATTGATAAGAGTGAAGAGCAATTGATGCAACGGAATGCATACAGAGGAGACGGATGAGCTATGCGACCAGATGCATGCGCATGCAGAGGATGTTGATTTATCGAGGAAAGCAGCTCCCGGGCATACTTTTCTCCGGCTTCTCATCAGGCCATTCCACCTGGCGTGACTTCTTCTAGCCCTTACTTAACTCTTATCTTTGATGACTTTTATGCTTGCTGTTTAGTTACAATAGACATGCCTTCAGCTGCTGCTCCCTGGACAAGCCACAATCTAGTCTTGTTCATGCAATTACCGACTAGACGGCCGACGACTAGTATTCAACCACGTGAATTATACCAAGGTGTTCTCTTGAAGAACCGAGTGACGTGATGACTGATCAGAAATGCTATCAGAATCTGGAGAAACGAGGATTTGTAAGGGTGGATCGCGGAACGATGTCCGCTCTACTGGCCGATTTGCCGAGATGTCTTTTTTTTGAGTCATTGACGGGTCACGTTTTTTTTTGTGTGGATTAGCCTGTTAGGCCTCTTTGCTCTGTCGTTTGGCGATCTTCTTGCGTCGTTTCAGGATTATTTTTAAAAACGACATTGTTGAAGAGACATCGATACTGAGATATTGCAGTATCTTATATTTGAGGATTTGTGATCATATCAGGAAGCCGGGGAAGGGTCTGATATCCATTCTGGGATCCCCTCACTCTCAGGCGAGACCCTGGGGTTCTCTTATTTATCACGTCTCAAGACAGCTTTCGGACTAGGCTGAGATATGACAGGAGGAAATTCGGTGTCTCGTCCTAATGCGTCCTCGTCGGATATTGTAGATGACTTCACGATAAATCCAACACCAGCGGAAACTAAAGCGGAGACAGTGCCACACCCGAACAAAAGTCTTGTCAATGCTGGGCAAGCCTGGCAAGATGATATAAATCTGCCAGACAAGGAACAATACGCCACGCAGGAGATCGAATATCTATATCTAGATTTCGACACCGAGCTCCCCGCACCGGCTGGACTATCCGAACCAAATCCCGAATTCTCGATATCACCGCCTCCATGCCCTAACCTGAAAAAATACACATCGCCGTTCCTCTGGTCGAGTAGTCGCAAGTCAATGACAACATGGTTGGCATGCGGTGTTACGCTGCTTGCTGCATATTCGGCAGGTGAATATACGCCTGCATCGGCGCAGTTGCTCTCCGAATGGAACGTGAGCCAGGTCGCGTACAATGTTGGTGTGACCACGTTCACTGTTGGATTCGGTATCGCGCCGATGGTTCTAGCACCGTTTTCTGAGATTAATGGACGAAGACCTGTTTTTATTGCGAGTGGGATTTTGTTTACGGGTGAGTAGACTGTGGCCATTTTGTGGTATAGAAATGCTGATCTCTCGTAGCTTGTATATTTGCTTGCGGTGGAGCAAATAATCTTGCCGGAACCCTAGTCGCGCGATTCTTTAAAGGAATTGGCGGATGTATGTCATGACCCTCTCATTCTGGAAACCACACATACTGATCACGAATGTGTAGCAACGTATTCGACAATGGTCGGCGGAGTCATCAGTGACATCTACCACGCCGAAGACCGCAACACACCCATGGCACTATTCGCCGGAGCAGCCCTCTTCGGCACCGGTCTAGGACCCTTGATTGCCGGAAACATCGTGGTGCACGCGTCCTGGCGATGGATCTACTGGTCGCACGGAATCGTCAGCGCCGGTTTTGTGGTGTTCATGTATTTCTTCTTGAAGGAAACTCGAGGCAGTATTTTGCTAAGTCGGAAAGCGCATGCACTCAACAGGTGGTATGATAGTTTAGAAGGAGCTGGATACTTTGGGGTCTTACTGCCGTTAGAAGACGTGCCGGAAAAGCGTGTTGTGCGGAGGATTCGATGGAAAGTCAAGGCTGATGAAGATCGACAATCGATCGTCCAGATGATTAGTGTTTCGTGTTATCGACCGTTCCGTAAAGATAATCCCATGTCTTATTTTGGTGCTTGAGCTGACGTGCATGCAGATCTGTTATTCACGGAACCGGTTGTTTTCTTCTTCTCCCTTTGGGTATCATTTAGCTGGGCTGTTTTATACTTGCAGCTCTCCTCCATTCCGCTCGTTATGAAAACCAGCCATCACTTCACAGTTGCCGAGTCCGGCGATGTCTTCACGGGTGAGTTTTGCACTTCTTTGATTCGAGATTGACAGGAGCTAAGTAGTCAGCAATCTCCATCGGCGCGATCCTCGCCACGCTCCTTAGCATCTACCAGGAGAAACTCGCAATCCGTTTCGGGAAAATGTCAAATACTCCCGAAGGTCGTCTATATTTCGCCTGCATTGAATCTATCCTGATGCCCGTCGGATTGTTCTGGTTTGGATGGTCGTCGTTTCCCTCTGTGCCGTGGATTGTGCCTACAATGGCTGTGGCTTGTGCTACCATGGGTATTTTCTCGGTGTATCTTGCCGTGTTTAATTATCTTGCAGATACGTACCATCGCTATGCAAGTTCTGCGATTGCGGCGCAGTCGTGTTGTAAGCATTTCTCATACTTTACTTCCTGTTTCTTACTAAAAGTGTTTTGTTCATCAGGTCGGAATCTGCTTGGAGGAGTGTTCCCTTTGGTGACTAATGCCATGTTCAACAACCTCGGATTCCCGGCTGCTTCAAGCCTATTGGGCGGTATTGTAAGCTGCCTCGTACGTTCCGGATACCGTCCTCTACCAATACTGATACTCTATCTCAGGGCGCGCTTTTGACGATTGTGCCTTGGGTGCTTGTATTCTATGGGCCAAGGATTCGGGCTCGAAGCAAATTCGCCAGCGTATGTTATGCCTTGGCTTGTACGCAGCAGTCACTAATCATTTCTCTCTAGGAACTGGTTAATCATCATTGATACGAAGTGGCATCCATGTTTTGCTTTGACTTTGAAGTATTTCTGTTATGATACCACTCATAGTTAAATTACCATGTTACGTAATTTACGTAATACACGGTGGGAATAACGTTAAGTTACCGAACAGAAATTCTTCCCGAGCTGAGGCCAATAAGATCTCTAGAAGTAGATTTGAACATGAAGGGCACTCCTACTAGTATATTTTAGGATTGATGATTAGGATACTCTTCAGTTCCCATATTGAAGAATCCCAGCTGAGATCATTCTAGATGTACGAATGAAACAACATCGAAATTGCGCCATCTCTTTCTCACTCGATTGGTTGATCTATAAGATATTCGGCCGATACTCTCGGGTAAGAAGCAGACTGCTTGATGCGTGTATTCTACGCAGTATATAGAGTCAGGGCCAGTCATAGCTAAGCTTCCGTCAATGATGCCATCTTCTCAAAGAGGGAATAATGAGTATTTCCTCTCCGAGACAGCAGAAGTCGAGATATCGCCAGAAATATAGTCTCCTGCCTTATCGCCCAAAAGAGACTAGCGAGACTAGCGCGGGGCTAGTGCGGCCCCACCTGCGAACTACTCGCCCGAGAGAGCTCATTGGTGGATCTCAACTGTAGTCTGATTGGCTGCATTAATGATGAGGTAATCAGGAACTTCAATTGTTCATCGCCAGCCAATGAGACACGCTCTGCCGGGCGGGGAGTGTCGATGGCGTGATTGCAGCTCCGATGAAGTCAAGCTCGACATTTGATGCAAGCAAACAAAACACGAGGGGAAGGAGGGGCTACTAGATTATAAAGACCCTTTCCCTCATTCTAGGTGGTATTGGTATCTTCAATAAAAATCTCTCATTCTACTCTACCATCTCTATCACCATCTCACTCATCATAATGGCCAACGAACAACGTGTTCCGTATGTGTAGCTCTCTTTCCACTGAGTTACTATTTACTGACTCTTATCGCAGTCTCCGTCTGGGCTCTACTGCCCCTAACTTCCAGGCTCAGACCTCCAACGGTCCCATCGACTTCCACGAGTTCATTGGCGACAGCTGGGCTGTTCTCTTCTCTCACCCTGTATGTTCTACGCCTTGGCCATCGTCGAATAACACGTCTAACGAATACAGGATGACTTCACTCCCATCTGCACCACCGAACTCGGTGCTTTCGCCAAGCTCGAGCCTGAATTCGCTCGCCTCGGCGTCAAGCTCATCGGTTTGAGTGCCAACACTGTCGACTCCCACCACGTCTGGATCAAGGATATCGACGAGGTCACCGGCTCCAACCTCACGTTCCCTATTATTGCCGATGCGGACCGCAAGGTTGCTTATCTCTATGATATGCTTGACTACGATGACATTACCAACGTTGACCAGAAGGGTATGCACATTTCACCCTTGAGCGCATCGCTGAATGCAGTATATTCTGACTTGCATAGGTCTCCCCTTCACCGTCCGTACCGTCTTCGTGATCGACCCCAAGAAGAAGATTCGTCTCACTTTGGCCTACCCCGCCTCCACTGGTCGTAACACCGCCGAGATCCTCCGTGTTGTCCAGGCTCTTCAGACCACTGACAAGAAGGGCGTCACCACCCCCATCAACTGGCTCCCTGGTGACGATGTCGTCGTTCCTCCTACCGTCTCTACCGAGGATGCCAAGAAGAAGTTTGGCGAAATTCGTGAAGTCAAGCCGTATGTCTTTTCCTCCCACCCACGTGAAATTATTTCGTACTAATATGCTGTCTAGTTACCTCCGATTCACCAACGTTGGCAAGGACTAAATCTGCCGTGTTGGGAGTGATGTTGGGTGGCTGTACGAGAACCGGATGTTTCCAGATATTCTAATGTCGCCTTTGTGATGCCCTTATGATACCGAACAAGATTAGGTAGATCTTGAATGAATTTGATACCTCAATATGCATCGCCAGAAAAACAAGTATATTCTGCTCTACATACAACTCATACCGAGTTCCACTAGATCCCCCTCCTTTTTATATTTTAATTGAATGATGGCTGTCGATAACCGTGAAAGTGGTCCACTAACTCCCAACAACTCTCCCAGCAACCGACTCATAGTAAAGATCAATCCTCGTCTTGGGCACATTTTTAGCCTGATTTTCCAGGATAGTATCCACGGCCTTCACCAACGTATCCTCCAACGTGGTAAATCCTTCCTTCCCCATCATTTTCAGCACCTCAATACTTCGCTGATTGTCCACTTCACCCGCATCCACAACCTCGGGCTCAGCATTATTCGACAACGCACCCAATCCAATCTTCCCCGGATACCGTCTGTGCAAAATCTCCATAATCTGGGTCCAGGAATACTTTCCCGCAAAGGCAAGGAGCCGTTCGTCGTGTACATCATCTAGTGTCAAAGCAGCTAGGTGTAGAAGCGCCGTGTCCTCAACATCGACGTACCACTGCGACGGCAGCACGGATGGTGCGGCCGGGTACCCCTTAACAACGCCATCGAGAACAGCCGCCGTACTGCGATAACTCATATTTTCATGTGAAATGGCTATCCCGAAGTTAACATTGGGCACGACCGTATTGAACGAAAAGGAGGGTTGATGCTTCCGGGCCCATGCGAAGGCTTCCTGTTCACCGCGCGCTTTGGAAGCTGCGTAGAGCTTGATTCCGTGCCAGCGGGGGTTGCCCTCGTTATTCCAGGGTTTGCTTGTTTGTTCGATAGCTTCTTCATTCCATGTTGATGAGTCAATCTTGTACGGCACCCCGGTCGTCGGAAGTGCGCACGCAGCTAGAGACGAGGTTATAACCACACTCTTCACCCTAGATTCCCTCGCCGCAGCTTCCAACAGCCTTAGATTTGATTGTATCGTATTCTCAATAATCCCCTGGTTCTGCGGATTCATATCCATATCCATAGCCATATGGACGATCCCATCCACACCCCTGAGAAGATCACCATTCTCAAAGACACCTGGAGAATGGATATTGGGGACTTCGACGAGCTCGAAGCGAGGGCCAAAGTATGTCTTCATCCAGGCATTGCGACGGATGGAGCGAACTGTGCCGCGGATGGAGTAGCCTCGAGCAAGGAAGAGGTGGATGGTGACGCTGGCTATATACCCGTTTGCGCCGGTGAGGAGAATTAGACCTCCTGGGGGGACTGACATATTGTATAGAATATGAGATGTATGAGTTGGTGATGGATATGGTGCTCATGGAAGAGGCGACAGGTGATTTATAGCTAGACCCAGCGTTGTACCCCACTGGCAGACTGATATGATGTCGTTTTACTCGTTTTCCTATTTTGGTAATTACTGCAATAACCCTAACTTTCTAACCCTAAATGTCCAGGGTCTCCACCTTGACTAATCGAGATGCGTATTCTCAATCGGTAATGCGAGGGCTGATGACCAATTACGCCTCGAGTCTCCACTCACTACATCTCATTGATGAGGAACCATATCCTTTCTCGTTTTCCTCGTTGCGACAAAAAAAATCATCTCTCATGCATGTTCACCTACTCAGACTGTAAGGTAGTATCAATGTCCACCCTCTTCACCAACACCATTCTGGTGCCGCTAGAACTCGGCCAGGCCCCGACTCTCCAGACCATTGGAGTCCTTGACCCGCCAAGGAAGAAGCGTCCTCATTCCAAAAGTCGACGAGGGTGCGTTGCATGTAAGCGTCGAAGGGTTAAGGTATGTATTCAGACCTGCCTGACAGGACTTGACGCAGAAACTAAAACTACTGGGTAGTGTGATGAGCGTCTACCATGCTCTGGCTGCGCGAAGCGGAATATCCAATGCCTACAACCACCTACTCAACATGTCATTGGTGCAAGTCTCTCGACGACTAGTGCTCATTGCAAGATGGATATGGATCCTACGATTAGCCTCTTGCACCTAGAGTTATTTCATCACTGGGATAAGGAGACTCGAGCAACGCTCGTATTCCCCCAGATTTGGCCTGTTGTTATGCAACGGGCTTTCAATGTATGTTCTACCCCTGTTTACAGTCCTGCCTGTGTATACTGATTCACTATCAGGAAGACTTTATCATGTCCGCCATATTATGTGTCGCAGCTATGCATCTCGTAACCCTGTGTCCACAAAACACGAAATACTCACGCGCCTCAATGCAGCTGATCGTCAAGACGGTTCAACTCTTTCGTAAGAATTTATCCCGTCCTCTTACACGAGATAACTGCGAAGCTTTGATGGGAACCGCGCTTCTTATCAATTATATATCATGGTCCGACCTGGGATTCTTGGATGATAATAATAACACCGAATTCGCACAGCCAGCTGATATAAGATTGAATCTTGCGCAAGATCAATTGTTTCTTCTCAGTCCTGGTATTGTCAGAGTATGGTTTGAGGCCATGCCGGTCTTTATTAAGGAAGGAAGCGTGTTTACGCAGCTTACTCAACAGGATCCAAGACTCAATATTGAGAGGGCACTGGTTAGAAGGGGAGAGGATCCAACGCGATTCGTGGAGCCCTTTATGAAGATCTGGGATGACAATGCTGGCTGTACGACGAATAGGGCCGATATCCATGACAGCACGGGTGCTGAAAGACCAACCTCTTATGCATGGCGCCTTCTTCTCGGGCTGGAGACGGAATTACTATCTTGTCGTGGTAGAAATACTATACCCTGTGACGAAGGCCGTGATAAAGAAAAGGTATTAGTCCGCCTCAGGGACACAGTCACAAAAATCACCACTCAATCCACCTCTCTCGACCACGATAACCCATCACAGCAATCCCCTCGCTCATCGTTCGAATACATAACCCGGCGGATATCGCCTCTTTTGTGCTGTGCAACATTACTCGAATCCGCAGCAGAAAGCGACCCAACTATCAGGACAGAGTTCGAAGCAGATCTTGAGCAGCTCTTCTATGGCTTTCCAATATTCTGCTGCGGTCCCTTTGCGCAGTTGATGCCCCAGCGTGATTCACGAGCGCTGGTTTTTCTGTTCTATTTCTATCGTGCTGCGCGGATTTTGTTGTCGCCCGGAGGACGGTGCTGGTGGGCGTCTGCGAGGAGCCGTGTGATGGAGGAGGCCATATTGAAGGAGTTAAGAGTGTCGGGACTGAATGCCCTAAACATACAACAGTTTAACGTGATTAGGCCGGAAGCGGTTAGTGTGCTTTGAAAGTTTGAAGTTGAAACGAACTGTTCGGTAAGACGGTAAGCTAATTAAGGGGTAAATTACCCATTACGTAGTCATAACCAATTGACAACCAATTAGACAGCTGATCAGAGCAGGAAATAATACCAAATACATACCGAGACGCTGAAACATGGTTTCGCATGTTCCCCGCTGTCAGCGCGAGTCAGCGTACAGATACACGCTTTACTGTGTATAGACTAGTGTGGTACCAGCCGGAAAAAAGAAACAACGCTCATTCTGACCCAGCAGAAGGGGGGGGCTCTTCAGCTCACTTCATCTGTTGGTTTGATCTCTATCATTATATCGTGCGGTGCTTTGTTCTGTGCATATATCACTCATATACGGGGTATTCCATATATCTCCCGAGCGCACGGTTCTGTTGGGATACCGCCCGTTTCGTTTTATTCCTAGAACGAACCGACACTTCCTCATCTAATCCCTCGTCAAGAAAGAAACGACAAGAAAATGCAGGTGCCAAACCATCTCGACTCGTCCTGAGAACAGAACGATCCTTTCCCATGCGAACTGTCTGATCGATTAAATTAAACTTGTTTTAAGATTCATCCAAGCTCGGCAAATATATTCGAGAAAAATCCACTGGTTCCGTCTAATCTCGGCGACAATCCCTGTCTATTATCCTAGTTTTATTTCGGTTGACATTGGATTGTTGTCATCTCATCTCAGTTTTTGGAATTACTTTTTCCTCCCCTTTTCATATCTTTCGAGTGGTTCGCAGGCAGATACTTTTGGTTAAGATACCGCTCAGCGTTTTAGGCGCGCATCAGAGGGTGTGTCATCCGTGCTGTTGCGATAAGCGTCTTTCTTTGCACGGTCGATACAATACCTCGGCCATTTTTCGTTTCATGACTCTATTCACTATCCGCGAGCTATAGCGATGTCACGAAGTCAATCGAGCCTCAGTCTAAGCCAGACCGACAGCGCCAGAGAAGATGGCGTCTCACCTGCCCCCAACTCAGCAAATCCAACCATGTCCAGTCCCATGAATCTGTCCGGATTGGTCTGTAATGTGCGAAGGACAACCGGCCGCGAACCTCGTGCACTCGTCGGTGCGACCACAACTATTCTAGGCGACAAGTTATACGTCTTCGGCGGCCGCTCCCTGTCCAAATCCCATTCACACGTACAACTTACTTCGGACTTGTACGAGTTGGACTTGATAAGACGGCATTGGACGAAAGTGGAGGTTTCGGGCGATATACCGGCTCCGCGTTATTTTCATAGTGTTTGTGCATTGGGGGATACGAAGTTGGTATGCTTCGGTGGAATGTCGCCGGCGGATCCGCCGCAGGGAAGCGCGCAGCAGCATGGCTCGGATGAACAGACGGATGTACAAGTAATGTCTGATATACACATATACGATGTTGTCACACGGACGTGGACGCGCTTGCCGGCAAAGGATCCCCCGCTAGGTCGATATGCCCATTGTGCTACAATATTACCATCAAGCGCATGCTTCACATCTGCCAATGCGCCATTATCTGCCATACATAACAATCCATCGTCTGGAAATCCTCATCAAGGCTCGATTGGACCCGATATTGACGGATACGGTGGCGCCGAAATGATTGTTGTGGGCGGACAAGATACTTCCAATCACTATATCGAGCAAATCAGCGTTTTCAATCTTCGGAGCCTAAAGTGGACCTCTACCAGTCCGCTCGGAAGGAGTTGTGGTGCTTATCGCAGCGTTGTGGCACCCTTGACCAATATGGACGTCTCGGACCTCGGCAGTGCAACAGAAGACAACGCAGGCAGCAATAATAAGCATGTTGATGGGGCCGAGGATGGCACTTCAATGCTGATCTATTCCAACTATAATTTCTTAGACGTCAAACTGGAACTCCAGGTGCGACTTCCAGATGGCCGATTATTGGAGAAACCCATGTATGGAGAGGCTTCTCCACCGGGTTTGCGATTTCCTAATGGTGGGATCATCAACAACCATCTAGTTGTCAGCGGCACATACCTCACATCAACTAAACAAGAATACTCCCTCTGGGCTTTGGATTTGAGAACACTTACGTGGTCACGCATCGACGGCGGAGGTACGGTCTTTAGTAGCGGTAGCTGGAATAGGGGTGTTTTGTGGGAACGTCGAAACACATTTGTTATCCTTGGAAACCGGAGACGAAGTTTGGTCGAAGATTACAACCATCGTCGAATCAATTTCTCGCATTTGTGCATGGTTGAGTTGGAGGCGTTTGGACTCTACAACAACCCCTGTCGAACATCGCCGACCTCTGGCTATTCCTCCGTTAGTGCGCCTATAGTCCCGGCTTCTTTACAGTTGAAACTCACGCAACTCACGACCGGCGGCCGGCCGCTTTCAGCTGCGTCTGATGAATTGGGTAAAGTTGCATTCTCGATGTCGGAAATGGCAGACATGGAATTACAGGCGTTAGGCGGAGAACGGATTCCGGTTAGTTCTCGGATGCTGGCTAGACGATGGGGACCGTTTTTCATTCAATTGCTTCGTGAAGCATCTGATCCTGGGATTGCAGACACCGCGACACTGCGTGGTACAGCCAGTGGAGCAAGTCATCCGAGTCGCAACTCGAGTATCACGATTACGCCTTCTCTGGGTTCGAGTAACGGCTTTTCCAATGCTAGCACATTAGTCAGTGGCAGCAGCAATAGTTTATCATCTCCGCACTCTCGTCTTCTCGCAAATTTGGAGGTTCCATCTGCACATTCAATTGCACCGTCCCTACGTCCTCGTGTGTTGTATTTACCGCATACGCTTCAGACTGTTCGGCTTTTGGTCTACTATCTCTACACATCATCACTGCCGCCTGTGAATTCACCACTTTGCACGCCATTGATTCTCTGTTCGATTCTGCAATTGGCGCGACCGTATCAAGTTGATGGGTTATTGGAAGCCACGGTCGAACGTCTCCATCAAGTCCTGGATGGGCGCAATGCTGCCGCCGTTTTCAATGCTGCGGCCATGGCAGCTGGTGGCGGGCGTGGAACAGGATTTATCAGTGGCATTGGTGGAACACTTGAGGTCCTCAACGGTGCACATAACAAGGGATCAGGACTAAGCGATACCAACGGTGCGGGGTCTGGACCTGGCGGCCTACAAACTCAAACCTCCTTCTCATCTCTCTCAACAGCATCCGATTCGTCAGATACGGAATTAGGTCGACAACAACGACACGGCCGCTCTGAATCCGTCATGAGTCAACAACAAAGACCCTTACGAATTAACACGAGTATGTCACGCACACGCGAGAATTACTACGATGATTCCTTCAGCGATGCCAGTGCATCTGGAGCATCATCTGCAACGTCAAATAGTTTCAGTCACACCGATTCCGATACCCTCGAAGACGGGGGTAACGGCGGTATTGGCCGTAGTAATCGCGGCGGTAGACGACGAGGTACCGATGCCGAGCGGCCGATCTGGACGGGTGATGTTAGTAGTGTGATTGGATTACAAAAACGAGGGCTCAAGGGGTTGATGGAGGGCAGGAGGATGAGGGAGAGGAGTGGTGGGAGGTCTGGGATTGCTGTTGGTGTAGATGGTCAATGATTCTTACTTCTCTATGAATACTTTAGGATTTGTTCTTGAGCGTTATATACATATACCATATAACTGTTTATCAGGATCGAACGAACTATTTGTACATATCTTCCGTCCTTTTCAAACCGGTATACACCAATTTCTCAACAGCATCATTAACATCCAATACCGCGTTGTCTATTATATCAGCATGTCGCTTGCAATAATAAAGGGAAAAGAAAACTCACCACCATAAGGCAAAATCTGACTCCCAATCATCCCACCCACACCACTCTCTCTATCCGCGAACCAGAACAGATTGGCAATCCCTTCCCATGAAGCGCTGAAAGGTTTCCGGCCTGATTCTTTGCCTTCGTGGTTGAGTGCAAAAGTAAGTCCCCATCCTTCTGTTTCGAGTTCAGCTTGTGCCGGGTTTGCCAGTGGACGGAAGGGGATGTGTTTTGCGAGATGTGGTTTGGCGGTTTGGAAGGGTTGGTTGATGTACCGGGGTTTGTTGGGGATTTGATCTTTGTACATCTCTGATCATAGTCGTACGTGTAAGTAAAGTTATTCCAAGATATTGGAGAAGTCAACTTACCATCGACAGTTTCCGGTTTCAGGATCTGAGCTTTGGTTTTGGGGCATGTCCCGTTATTCAGGAGGACTGCAATGATTTCTACTTCTGTCAGCATTCACGTTTCCTTCGGACATATAGATATGAAGGACGCACTGCAGTAATCACCAACAGTCCCAAAACACCCAGCACCACCAGAACAGAACCTCTCCTCGGGCCCATCAGAATTCTTCCTCTCCATCAACGCAAACCGATATATATGATCCGTAACATGCAACGAACCATCCTTCTCCTCTCGTCTATGCATATACGCCAATCGACTCTTCATATCCTTATCTGGAAAGAAAGAGATATCCTTGATACCTAATGGCTCAAAGATGTGTTTCTGGAAGTAATCATTAAGAGAAAGACCAGTTACACGCTCAACGAGAACACCGGCCCAGTCGATGTTTACTCCATAGTCGAACTTTGTGCCCGGTTGGTTTATGAGTGGGAGTCCCAGGACGTCGTTTGTATGGCCAGCGAATTCGTCGTAGCCGATAGGCAAAGAATAATCCCGTAGCTGGGAATGGCTGAAGGGGTATCCGAAGCCGGCTGTCCAATACATCAGAAATGGCTCTTGATGATCTAGTCACAAGGAGCAAGAGATACCAGTATGATTCAACAACATCCTCAAGGTAATCCCCCTCTCCTTCTCAACCAATCTGAACCCACTACTCAAATCACCCTCGAGAACTTTTACATCCTTCAATTCCCGCGCAAGCTTTTCAACTTGTTCTACATCATCCAGGTTTAATTTCCCCTGTTCAACGAGTTGCATACAAGCAATTGCCGTAAGCATCTTTGTACAAGATGCGATCCAGAAGATGGTGTCGAGAGTCATGGGATTCTTGCGGTTGTATGGTGAGAGGCCCCTTGAGCCAGAGGCGTGGTTAAAGATTATGTCGCCATTGCGATCAATGGCGCTGTAGACGAGGCCGGGGATAGAGGGTGTTGGGCCTGAGGTTGTGTTGTCGAGGAGTTGGCGGAGGGATGCTTGGATATCTGTGGGGAAGTGCGGGGTGGCCATTGTCTTTGGTGCTAGGTGGTTGTTGAGTATTGACTTTCGTGATTGAGATTAACGTCAGTATGTCAACTTGAGTAGGCTCTTATTTGAAGAGGATAAAATAGAGGAGTGGATGACGGATGAAGGACTGCATCGGAGGAGGAGCGCAAGGGTCCTCCATATGCGGGGTTGCTGATTCCTGACCATATCTAATAACTACCATGTCTAATTGTTGGTCTATCTACGTCTGGGTCGCTAGCACTAGATTCATAGAACAGCTAATCCAACAAGCTGATGAGCCAGTAATACTGTATAATAATAAATTGATGACCCGGTTGTAAAAACAAGGGGGGGGGGATAGTAGTGAGGTGCCGGACCGCCTAGATAGGCAGTATTGCTATACCAACATTAATCTATAGGCTTCACACTCTTAACCACCTTCGCAGGCTGCCCCATAGCCACACTCCAACCCGGAATATCGCGACTTACCACCGCGCCTGCCGCGATAGTACATCCATTTCCAATCGTCACACCAGGCAATATAACCACATGCCCACCAATCCAACAATCATCCCCAATAACAACCGGTTTCGCATACTCTATATTATCCCTCCGACTCTGCACATCCGTTTCATGTGTAGCAGCGTATATAGAAACATTAGGACCGAACATGCACCTATTTCCGATGGTGACGAGGCCACAGTCAAGAATAGTCAGGTTGAAGTTTGCATAGAATCTTTCTCCTAGGGAGATATTACAGCCGTAGTCGACGTAAAAGGGTGGTTCGATGAATATTTCATCCCCCTTTGTGGCGCCTATGAGTTCTTTGAGCCAGTCCATGCGTAGCTTTTGGAGGGCTTCGTGGGATTGGAGTTCAATTGCTTCCGGAGGTGGGAAGTAAGTGTTGTATCGGTTGCACCATGCTCGCGCTTTGAAGCGGGCTGTTGCTAGTTCGGGGGCAAAGGCGTCGTATCTATGCAGTATAGTTAAGTGATACTGTATATAAGTGAGACGCAGTATACATACAGCATGCCCGAAATCATTCGCTCATATTGTTCGCACCATGGCACTTGGTGCAGGGATTTGGCCAGTGCGATTTGTTCCGCATTCTTGCTTTCTGCTGCTCCGGTTGATTTGGCTTTGTCTGCCATTTTTCATGCAATTGTATTTTCTTAAGACTTCGGGATGGATAGAAGACAGATCGCAGTTGTCTAGACGGAGAAGTAATGAGGGGCAGCGGAGAATTGTCTGCCAACACTCAACCACCGCAAATAGTTCTGAATTACATCCACTTCACTTAGATTAAGGCGGATGTGAATGATATTACAGTAGAACCTGACTATAATGAAAGGAAGCCCTCTTCATGGTGTATATACTAATCTCACTTTTGATTACTTTAATATAGAAATGGAGAGCACCTTATGTATTAATAGTGAAAACCGATTATATATTTTGGAGTACTCTTCACCCCTAAACCGAACTTACTTCTAGAGATACTGACTTGCGCACTGAGAGGCCTCCAGTTCGTTATAGCCAGGTTCTACTGTATTTGAATGATGAACCATGACGACTCCTACCAACCCAAACTACCCAAGTAGGAATTACCCGATTGATCCATAGAGGGTTCTACACAGCTCTATCGAGACTGCAAGGATATCGGAGCAGCAGCTAGAGAATTACCGATTACATGCAGAGAGAAGATCCAGACCTATATATCAATTCAGGGTCCCATATCGGAGTAAACGCCGACGGGTCACTATTTAACCGGTATAAATATTGTGGGGGGAGCCCTAAGTCTTTTCTTCGAAACAATCATTTCTAAACCCCCATAATTGGAGAAGAAAACCGAGAATGGCTTCAAAGATGTGAGTGGCCTGTATATTGATCTAAAAGAATCAACTGACTGCATAGTGATTTCGTATTGGTCACTGGTGCCACCGGCTTCATTGGTGCCCATGTCATTGATACGTTGCTTGCACGAGGCCGCAGAGTACGAGGGGCAACTCGCTCACTCGCCAAAGGGGAAGAAATGATTCGCAGCCGTCCACAGTACTCGCAAAAGTTAGAATTTGTCCAAATACAGGATTTTGAGAACCCAGGAGGCTTGACTGAAGCTGTTAATGGCGTTGATGCGGTTATTCATGTTGCCAGCGTACGTCACTCCATCAATTAGAATGAATGATAAAAATGCCCAAGAGCTGACTGCTACTACGTAGCCATTCAAACTCAACACCTCAGACAACGAAAAAGAACTCATCATCCCAGCAATAAACGGCGTCCGAGCCATGCTAGAAGCAGCCTCAAATGCGCCGAGTGTCCAACGGGTAGTCATAACCTCCTCCTTCGCAGCTGTAATAGACACAAACCGAAAAGGACCACAAGGTTTCACCTATACAGCAGCAGACTGGAATCCTCTCACCTACGAAGAAGCAGCAGATCCCAAATCAACACCCGTGGTCGCCTATCGTGGATCTAAGAAATATGCAGAACTAGCAGCATGGGGGTTTGTTAAGGAGAAGAAACCGCATTTTGATATTGTGACTTTGTGCCCTCCCATGGTTTTCGGACCTATTGCTCATCCGATTGATAGTCTGGATCATTTGAATGAGTCCAATGCTGCTCTTTGGGATATTGCGAAGGGTGTCGATCCGCTACCCGTCGGCCGTGTCCCCTTTTGGATTGATGCTAGGGATTTAGCCATTGCTCACGTTGAAGCCGCTCTTCGAAAGGAAGCTGGTGGAAAGAGATATACACCTGCAGCACCGGAACGGTGGTCCTATGCTCTTGCGGCGAAGTATATGGTGTCTCACTTTCCGGAATTGTGTGACGAGGTGAAATTGGAGGAGCAGGTTATTGACGATAGTTTCAGTTTGGATGGTGAGACTGCTGCGAGGGAGTTTGGGTATAGATGTCGCAGGTTTGAGGAGACGATTCGTGATTTTACGGCGCAATGTTTGGCGAGGAAGGGGCGTACTTAGATTAGTCGGGATATGTTTGATATAGGCATGTCACTCTCGAATTTTATCGTATTCAGGCAAAGCCCACTTCACCATCCAATCGGACTGCAGTACTTTATGCGCAGTAAGCCGCTCTTCAGGTCTAAACTTCAACATCTCCCATAGCAACGAGAAGAGAGCATTCTTCTCTTCCTCATCAAAGGCCGATATTCCAGCTTCCTTTCGCGGTTCTTGAACACTATCCTCAAACCTATCTTCCCATGATCGGAACGGATTGCGGTATTTGGGTTTACCATCATCATGAAATCTTTCCTGGCGTGCAGGACCCCATTTCTGCCACCATTCTGGTGGTAAGATGCCAAGGGCATCGACTTGTTCACATATTATATCGTCTTGAGTTGCGAGAAAACCTTCAAATAATGGCCTTTGCGCTATAATGGTCCATATAGAACATGCAAGTGTCCATATATCGGATTCGAAGGATAGCGGACGTTCAGGCTGAAACCATGTTTCCGGAGGTCGCATCACCAGTGGAGTATGGGACTCGTACTTCTTTTCTTCAGACGGTAAAAAAGATTCCCCGAAATCTGTAAGTAAGATGTTTGACTCTGTGAGGAGTAGGTTTTCGCTTGCTTCCCCTAGCCACATTGGTATAATGCCATGAGACGGAACGCCAGGTGGCAGCTGTCTGCCGTCTAGATGGACAACACGATCTTGCTCCGGTGCTCCGTATTTCGCATGGAGCTCATCAACCGAAAGTTTGTCAAAGTTTGGTGGCATTTCGAGCAGGACATTGCCCAAGTGAAGATCTCCATGGACGACTCCTTGGGAATGAATGTAATCAACGGCAAGAGCGAGTTGCGCAGCTAGTGCACGAGCTGTCTCAAGCTGAAATAGACGAATCCACGAACCATCTTTCATGGCTGATAAACTTCCTCTTGCTGGGACGGTTACATAGCAGGCATGCTCACCGTTTGGCCCTTTGATGGTGAAGTTATCCAGGATTGAGGGTACCATTCTCCTACCGGGTTTATTCAATGATTGACCACAGGAACTAGTGAGACGCGACAGAATTCTTGATTCATGAACTGGATTCGAGTTGGCGGTACAAACTTTAATCGCGAGATACTTCGTCAATTCTCGATCATAGGCTAGCCATGTAGTTGAATAGGAACCGTAGCCAAGTTTGTGGATAACTCGATAACGATCGTGAAATTCATCGCCGATCTTCACTGGATGGTAGCCCCCGGGTCGATAATATTCGAGTCTTTCGACACCTTCCAGTGGTTCATATAATAATTGAGACGTCGTTTCGTCTTTGGACTCCATTGAGGCGAGAGACCGTCGGCCGTTGAGTATAGATGGATTGACTCTTTTTAAACGCCAAAGTGAGCTAAGAAGAGGACAGTAACAGGGCCATCTCATCATCGCATCATTAACATCAAATGTCCATTCCGCGACTCGTGTTCAATCAACAAGATTGATTGATGATGTTTGGGCCAACACGGCGCTGGATAAACGTTTCTCCATATATGCTGGGATACTTCCTATTTTGGCAACGGAAATTCACTCCACGCCTTACAAGATAGCCACCGGGTGCTCGTTCCACGGAGTTCTCGTTCCACGGAGTTCTCGTACTAATTGTGTAATACGGTGTTAAATATTTCTCATTTTTATTAAGGCTATAGAAGGCCACAGAGTCAATAATGTTATAGAATCAATTCCCATACTGGTTAAACAGGAGTCAGGTGACAGTTATCAAGCCCTAGTTCTACCGGTATGGTACTCTCCCCATTGCTCACAACACCGCCGAAAACACCATGTCTTCTACAGTCAGCTTTGTCAAGTATTATTTTTATAAGGGAACGGTCCCAAAGAACATAGTCTGGAAGGACAAATTGCTTAATTTGGCGTATCAAATCGCAAGAGACAAACAACTATACCCCCAAAAAATTCTCATCAGGTATGAACCAAAATGGGACACCAGCAATTTATGGACAGCGCTGACTTCTCGTAACGTAGATCCGACGTTCATGATACGACCAGCATCAATGGCGTCCACCAAAGAGATCCTTTGGGACCGCACGTTACTATCTGCTACAAGAATAATAATCAAATCCTTTGTGGTACCCATGTAGCCTGTCATGGCTACGTAACTGGGAGGGACAATCTGACCCTCAAGCGCGTCACGGTTTCAGGCGAGAAATCCGATACAGCCACGAGACAGCAAGGCAAAAAGACTGTATGGCCATCGGACAGTGACCTTGAATTAGTGGCCGATATTGCTTACGGTCATCCGCCTGGGTACTCCTAAGTCATCTGATCCCACGTCCTCTGACTGTGATGTCCTTCTATCCATGTTGGCTGAGCACTCTACTTTGGTTTGCCTAGGTCGGTGGATATAGCAGGTAAGAAGAGCATAAATGCTCTTTTTTGACCAGAGCCTTGTTTAAAGAGAGGATAGGTATCCAGGTAATGCAGGGCATCGAGAAAACCTTGAAAGATGGTTGGAAGTCTGAGCGGGCATCCTTTATCGACACAGCCAGTACATCTACCCTCTGAGAAAGACTTGAACATTCACCATAGAAAACTGTAACTAGAGTTCTGAGCCACAGAGGGAAAAAATCAATTTATCCGCCAGGTATAGTATATACATCTCCATAGAGACTTAACTGTAAGACCAAAAAAAATCATCAGGTCAATATTTATAACATCGAATAAGCATTAAAACAATCTGTCCTGGTATACCAAATAAGAAACCATACACAAAGAAAGAGATACACACCCAAACCAAAGCCAGACCAATAAATCTTGTACATAGGTATCACTTTACGAAACAAAAGAATCCAGGAAGAGGAGAAAAAATGGAAAGAAAGTGTAATCACGACCGACTCAACGGACTCCCAAACTTTGGCTTAAAAGCCAAACTCTTCCGTCTCGCTGCTTCCAGTTTTGCGCGAAGATTCGCGACCGATGGCGATATCTCACCAACATCATCATGATTATTGCTCAATAACATGGAAGAAAACAAGCCTTGATTTGTCTGTTTCGGAGGACAAGTTTGTTGCACAAGTCTTGAGTTTTGAGTCAGGAAACCTGGTGTTGTGGGTGACATTGCGGAGAAATCGAAATTAAAGTTGAACTTGTACTCTGATTCGTCATTGTCGTTGTCTTCCGGTCGTTGTGTTTTAGTGTTGGTTGGCGTTTTGGGTACGTTTTCATTAACGCTGTTGGTAGGACTCATTCGTCGGAAATCTTGCATTGTATCCTCCCAGTCACTTTGGCGGGAGCGGCGGTTGGGAGGGTTGTTGCTTGGGCCGATAGATGATGACAGTGAGGAAGTTGAAGATGAAGATGTAGATGTAGATGACATCAAAGAACCATTGACATTGGCCAAGGCACGGGGTTGCATACTTTTTCTTCGCTTTGCGCCTCCGCGAGGGATAATGGTACTATCAACGTAGTAATGCGCTTCATCAATCCATTTGTTTGCTCGTTCACAACTAGACATTCAATGATTAGTATTTATCAACAAGAGAAAGAAGCGAATACATACTCAAGCACCCACCCGACGCCAACACATTTCACCAAGTTTCCCGCTTGTCGTACCTTCTCCATTGTACGTACCCCACCGTCTTTGTAGACTACATGCGTAATACCAACTTTGCTGTTGTTGATTGACTCCGAACCATCAACTCCGGGAGATTGACTCGATCGTGGGTTCCATGACCAAGACTTGACGCATTTTGCACCCATTTGCGTAAGCAACTCGACGAAAATGCCACTTGCGTCTTCTCCCTCCGTGGTATGCACGTCCACGAAGACGACTGCACCACGAAGACATTGCTGTTCGGCCTTTGACTCTCGGCGAGGAGTCTTTACAGGGCTGGTTGTTGTGGATGCGGGAGCTGCGCGATCCTCGGATTCTGACTTGCTTTTTATTTCGGACAATGGGTCACGTTTGCTCGGAGAGGAAAAATCAGGCGTCGGTTTTCGGCTCTTAGGAACCAGTTTGAGACGGTCCGGCGAAGCTCTGATTGGGAGCTGAATGTCAATTGACATCGACCTGGTCCGTTTACGCGGGTATTTGATAGGCGACCCTTCAGCCTCTGGTTTCAATGGCACTTTTGAAACTGTGTGCACGGTACGTATCTCATCACGATTGACTCTGACGGGGGTGATTGACATTGACACCGGTGTTTGCGGTTTGTCCTGTGGTTTCATCTTTCCCATTTCTGATTGTGAGACTTCAGCCTCAACAACCGGATCGGAGACACCCCTTGGAGATTGTCTAGCAACAGTATCCGACTCATCACCATCCATAGCCACGGAATTCGCCAACGAATGTCTCGCCGCAAGTGACTGTCGCATTGACTGTATTTGACTATATTTGTTTCCCTGCATTGACCGCCGCGGGGTCGTCAAGTTCTTGGGGACAACAGGAGAGAAAATGCTCTTTTGAGACTGATTTCTTCGCTGTTTTGCAGGGCTGCTAGCATTCCATGATTTCAGTCGAGCAGCTAACGAAGTAAAAGTATCATCTGCGGAATCTGCACCAGGAAGAATGCTATCGCGACTGGAAAAGATGGACTGTCGCCTGCTGGCTGGAGTAGAACTGTATTCGGAGTTCATATCGTCACGCTGGTCTCTAAAAGACATTCCGAAGTGACGGATAGGAGAAACGATTGGCGGTGATGGAGCAGCTGGAGGGGTTCCTTCAGTTAACGCGCTACCTACTTCGTCAACTTCATCAACGACGAATACATCACGTGAAGCAATTGAAGAGCGAGTCGAGTGAATGGGTGCATTGGAATGAGACGTGTCGATTTCTGTTGGTGTATTATCATTCTCTTCCTCAGGCTCGGCGTGGATAACCACCTCGTTAGATTCTGCAATCTCTACTGCGTGTTCCTCAATATTCTCGTATGTAGTGTTTTGCTCATCCACAGGTGTCTGCTGCACGTCTTCCTCAGCAGGTTGCACATCATCGGCCTCGGGCGTACTTTCGTGCTCGTCGTCGTTCGGAATATCCTCTTCCATCTCTGCATCACTTTTAGCGTGGTCATCTGCTTCACTGAACGGAATATTCTCAGGGGAATGAACTTCTTGTTGACCTTGGCCCTCGTCATTCCCAGCAGAAGGTTTGTCCTGGGACATTTCAACATCTTTTTGTTCATCGTCCTCCAGCTGATCCTCAAGGTCTCCGTCTCCAGCTTCGACGGCGGGTTCGACATTCTGCACGAGTTCAGGGGAGTCGTCTTCAACGTCTTCATTTCCTTGCTCAATACCCGATGCTTCCTTAGGATGATCTTGTTCATCCGCCTTATGATCAACAAACACATCGTCGTCATCATATTGGGCTGCCTTTGTATCCATTGAACGTTCATCATCACTCAGCTCATCAGCCGCAGTATGAGACCGATCAGTGTTGCCATCATCACCAAACACGTCATCATCGTCACGCATTTCAATATCAACATCCTGATCATTCACATTTGAATCTTTATATAATGACTTATGTTCATGTACCTTCTGAAATACGAATGGTGACTGAATCCTTTTAGCCGGACTCTTGAGCAGTGATAACTTGGCATTAAATGGTGTGGAAGACCCTTTCTCTGAGGATGAAATGAACGAAACCCCAAGGTTACCACCTTTCTTGGGCGAAATCTTTAGCGGGGACAGCTTCTGCAGGAATGAATTTTCCTCCATATTGCTCGAAAGTTTTGAAGCCGAGGGATTACTGATAAATAACGGACCACGTCGTGGCGTATCTCTGATGGTTTCCTTGGATGTAGAAGGCGGAGGACGTCGTGCAGGACTTCCCATAAGCACCAAATCGCGCTGTGCCGATGATGGCTGTGGATTCTGCAATGACGGGACTGTATTTTCGTCTTGGTGGCTTGTTGGACGTACAGGAGATCGTGCCGGTGTACTTGTCTGACCAGGTAGCATTATTCTCTTGACCGGTGAACTGAGACCCGTATGTTGAGGTTCTTGAGTCTTAACAGGCGATTTCTGAACAACAAGCGAATAAACGGGCTTCTTGGGTGCAAGCTCATCTTCATCTCCAGAACTTGCCGACGAAGAGGACCCTTTTGCTAATTGAGTGGCTTTCTTAGGAGAAAGCGGCTTGACAGCAGCGGCCTGAGATTTGGGTGGACGACCTCGTGTCGCGGTTCCTGCCTTCCGGACAGGTTTGGCCTTGAGTCCACTCGACTTTGTAGCTGCTGTTGCCTTCTTACCAGTGGTTTTGGCAGGTTTCTGCTCTTCTACCTCTGGTATTTCTTCATCCGAGTCTGTCAAATCTGCAAATGTGACCGTCTTTTTCTTTCTAGCTGCATCTTCCAGAGTTCGAGCCTTTGCTAGACTTGATGTCGCCGATGCGGTTGCCACATATACTGTTTTGCTGCCGTTGTCATCATTTGTTTTTGCAGCTGGGCGTCGACCCCTTGGCTTCTTGTTTGTAACCACGTCCTGCTCTTTTGACTGTTTCTCAAGTGTAACTGTCTTCGGTCGGCCGCGGGTAGACTTGGTGCTTGTGGTCGTGGTTGATGCAGTTTTCGCTTTGGTAGGTCTTCCGGCTTTCTTCTTGGTAACTTCGAAATCTGCAAGTTCGTCATCTTCTTCGGAGGATGATGCATTATCTTCAACTTCCTTAGTAGCAACCTGTCGAGTCGGTCGAGTATTCTTTGACGCCGCGCTTTTCGTGTTCTTCTTCGTCGTCGCAGCCGTTGACGTCGTCACATCGAAACTCAAATCGTCATCCTCGTCTTCTTCGTCCTCCGTAACACTCTTCTTATTCTTCGCTGCTGCCGTCGTAGTGACCATTGTAGTTTTACCAGGTTTTCGTCCTCTTTTCGCAGGTTCCACTTTCTTAACTTCGTCGATTTTCGCAGTTGTAGTAGTAGGTGTCCGCCCCCGTCCGCGCGTTGCTCGTTGTTGAGGGGCGTCCGTTGACGCCGACACGCCGGGAATAACTGCTGCACGTGCCATAACTATTTGATAATGAGGAGGTCGGGAGTAGACGTGAGTTTATCACAATTTAAAAGAAATTAGAAGAACCATCCTCCGTAGTCGTTATTCGTGGCGGTGGCTGCAGTCGAGTAATCCAGTCATGCAGGTAGTATCAAAAGGTTCCGTTGCGAATTAATTCTCGTATCCAAAAGTGTAACAGGTGCAAATGTCCTTTAAGTGTTATGCATGAATGCCAACTCACTAAGCCACAGTTGATTGAGGATTGAATCGCGAAGGTTGACGGATGCTGTTTTTGTTGCGGTTCGCAGATCAGTTTAGTCTAGTGTGTTGTGGGTTACTGGGGCAACAATACCCTGGTCAGTTACCCTAACTACTTTATTGTTAACATTTGAAAAGCTTCATGCAAATGAATTATTTATTTTGCTGACTTCGAGCTAGAATAATAGAGGATCATTTCTCATAGCATGCTCAATTTCTAGACAAACCATAACCAAGAAAATATGATAGATATCCAAGCATATACTACATATGCAACTAACTTTTACCTTACAAGGCCATAGCAGTCATAGCAACAGTACCAAGCGCCAAAAGAACCGTATTTGGCACCATTATAAATCCAGCCGCACTCGTATTATTGAGCGTGGTAAGATACGATGTTGGTTCGTATGGAGCTGGGGTACTGCTGTTGAGCGTACCATCCCAACAGTATCTGTTGAAGCAAGTGTTGCAAATATCAGGAACTTTGGTATTGGTCCTCTCAAAAGAACGACTGAGAACAGCACAGCCTACGCAAGCCGGCCAGTCGGCGTCGCGGGTACCGTTTGCCATCGTTACCATGTCGTAGGCATTCTGGATCACAGCGTCACGTTCGGTGTTGTTGATTGAAAGGGTCAGAGTTGAGAGATTAGAATACGTGACATATGGGTAGTTGGGAAGATAGACGATCAGCGGTGTTGGGCTGGATGTGTTTGAGCTATTGCAGCCGAAAAATGTCGGATGGGTGTTGAGTCCCTTGTTGACGAATGTGTTGACATCAGGCACCGAGGGGAAAGATGTGCCGTTTCCTACTCCGGAGGAATTCAAGCTGCGCTCATAGGTATACACAAGACTGGTGCCGTTTGGCCAGCTGTCGGGGGTATCGGCAGAACTGTCCACGGCAAAGATCACATCGATATGACGCGAAGGTTGGATGAGGGGATGCAAGGGAATGTTTTGATCATCCTCTCCACCGTCAACGACGTTGAGAACTTGGGTCTGGGTAGTGAGTCCAGTGTTTTGCGTGTAGTTGTAGAACGGGTTCACGTAGTCAGCGATATCCTGGTTGTCCTTGCCGAGATGGTTGAGGGTATCCGTGATCAAGTTTTCCAGGACACTGGGCAAGCCGGAACGGTTGACATACGAAACGATGTCATTGAACAGCGTCGACGAAGTGCCAAAGACGAATCCGGCATTGTCGTAGCCGCGTACACAACTCTCGTTCGCGGGAATACTACCGTTATTGAATCGTGATCCGAGGTACTCCAATGGTGCGAAACCAAAAATAGTTGGATCCCAGGACCCAAACTCAAAGGGACTGAACTCCATAACCGTAGAATTTGCGCCAACAATCTTCTCGCCGGGAGAACGTAGATCGGCTACAACCAGTGGCATGGGGATACTTCCACTGGAAAAGTTATCTTCCAATGCGATTGAGGACCAGGTGTAGTTCGGACCACCATCTGTAGCATTGATGAATTGGAACGAGAGCATTCGTGCCCTGCGTATGTCAGTAAAATGTAAGACAGAAACAGAGATAGACGTACCAAATATCTGTAAGAGTAGTATTGTATCCAGCGTTGGATTTGTCTTCTACCTGGTCGGCAATGGTACGGTAATAGTCGGCGGTACTCAACAGCTGGATACCACCAGTCTCGGGACCCTGGAGGATAGAACGACCAAGTTGCCATGCATCACCAGTACTACCGGCTTGCAAATCACCAATCGTAGTGAAATTATTCACATATATAGAGGCTAGCAGCCAGCTGCCACCACTCAAACCAGAAACATACGTCGCACTCTGCAACAAACCACCGACTTGACCTTTAGCCGTACTGTTGGGGGTCCGACTATCAAAGGCTTTGAGGGCACCTCCACCAGTCAACATGGCCCGATAACCACCACCGGAAACCGCAATGGCGACGTTGGGCAGGTTAGTGGCATTGTCGTTGGCGACTCTGTTGATATAACTCACGGCATCAAAGTTGGAGATGTTGACGTGCCCAAAAAAGTCGCGCATGGCCTGGGTAGTGTGATTGCGTCGCAGTGACAGCCATGATGTTTCGTTGGAAGAGAGGGTTTCTGCGCTACGGATTGTTGGTCGTCCTGCTGGGCAAGAGACGTTGGCTGGAGCGTAGCCGTTGGGAGCGTTGGGTAGGGCTCGCGGAATGTTATCGGCGGTAGCATCTATATTGTGAGGTTGAAAATATGATGACTGTTTAGAAGAGAATACCAACCTGATAGTATGCCGGCAATAAGGGCAATAGACTGAATAGTGCGCATTTTGATCCTTAGATCCCAAGTCTATTGAGAGATTCTGTCTAGTCAGGGATGATAAAAGAACAGATAAAACAACCCCAACGTTAAGAGCCTTAAAAGAGGAACGTGTGTAGCAGATAAACCAAAAAAGAGAAAATTGCAGATCTTAAATAGTGCGGAGTATCTATTATTCTTTCAGCCTGGATGTATGATACAATCCCACTGACTCAGTCCATACTTTATCTGATGAACGTTGTGGCTGAGCTGTGTGTATCTATCGGATTATATTGCTTTCCACTGCCGAATCGGGGGATATTTGTGCGCAATGAATATGCAAAAGAAATAAAAAGATTTTGACATCTGAGTGGAACTGAGCAACAAAAATAAGAAAACAGGAAGCTCGGCAGCAGCGGATGTGATGATGTCACGGCACATGTACTTTTCTTACTTTTTTCTTAGCAATGTATTTTTTACGATAAATCAGTTACTGAGAATCATGATCACTTTGAAGACCACTCCCAACAACAAACACGATGCATCCTCGGATCCCGGATGTAACAGAGACACGAAGTGTCCAATCTCGAATCCACTTGTATTTCGGACTCCAAATTGGGTACTTCAGCTCGAAGTTCTCAAACCCAATCGGAATTCGCGGATGGAAGTCCAATCCCTCCACTGAAAGGAATCAAAGGATCCTCTTGTGTTACGAAATGGGTATACACTAAGTTAAGTAACTATGTTGGCTAAGAAACAGACGTGGCTGTGTTGCCGGGCAGGGCTGGACATGCATATTTAACAAGTCATAGCTTGAGTAGTCAATGGCCAAGCATTTTTGATTTTTGTCTGTTGGTATGTATGGCGCGTCAAGTGATACCGTAACCCTAATTTCCCGATCCGGCGGGCTGATTACTATTCAGTATACAGAGTATTTTAGATAGTTAATTAAGGATACTTCTCTCCGTACTCCGTACTTAGTAGATGCTATTAAGGAATGTTTCAGTACGGTATGGTATCACTTAAAAAGCTGGAATACCTGAAGAACGCTCGAAGCATGACCGCTGAGATGAATTGCAGGTAAAAAACAAATACCTAAACGCCGCCCATTTGCAGGAAGTCGAAAGAAGGCAAATCCGTCATGCTCTACCATCGCTTGAATCACAAGACTATGTGACAATTACCAAGCAGCATGACCACCGTCCATCCTCAGGTCACTCCCCGTCATAAAGCTACTGGCATCACTAATCAAAAAGACCGCCGCCCCACGATACTCTTCCGGCCGCGATAGACGACCCAACATGTTCTGTTTGGGCCACTCTTCGCGACGTTCGGGGTATTGCACGAACAGATTCTCGACCATCTGTGTAACGATGTAGCCCGGGCTGATGGTGTTGACGCGGATGTTGTACTGGCCCCATTCGGCGGCAAGGTTGCGCCCGAGTTGGATGACGGCTGCCTTGGAGGCGTTGTAGGCTGGGCAGATGAGGCCCTTTGTCCTCCGTCAGTAACTCACTCGATGACATGGATACGCGGGGATACCCCGCAAACCCAGAATGAAAGAGAAACGTACCTTGTTGGCAATTGTCCCACTCATGCTAGCAATCATGACGATGCTACCTCCATTCCCAAATCGAATCATCTGCTTAGCGACCGCCTGCGCAGTCATAAACACTCCAGTGACATTGACTTCCATCATAGTGTTGGCATCCTTGGCTGTATATTCCAACGCCGGAGTCTCCTGCTGAATTCCCGCAGCAGCGATGAGACCGTCCATGCGTCCCTCGACATTGGCGATTTCCTCGATGACGTTGTTGAGTAGTTCGGTGTCGCGGACGTCGATGCAGCGGTATTCGATCTTTGTGCCGAGCGTGGTTGCTTTGGCTTGGATGCGTGCAAAGTCTTCGGACTATGTCTGTTAGTTTTGCAGCCTGGGAGATGAAGGAGAAGAACGTACTGGTTCAGGCAATCGATCGAGAGCGTAGACAATGGCACCGGCTTCCAATAAGGCTTCAGCTTGGACGAGTCCCAGACCACGACCGGCGCCAGAAACGCAGACAACTTTATCTGTGAGGACGAATTCTGGCATACGGTTCTTGGTACCCAGGTAGACAGAGGATGCGTCTGACAGCTCAGCAGGACCGCGAACGGTCTTTTGAGGGGTGGCGACAGTCTCGATGTTGAGAGACATTGTATTATGATTAGTAGGTAGGTAAAGTAAGTACAAATTGACGGAGCGAGAGCAATTAACGAAGTCGGGATGAGACGATAAGAATGATTAATTGACTACAACTCCTCTTCCAGGAATATCGACTCCTTTATATAGTCTCCTAGAACATGGCCAGAATAAGTCATGCTCATGTGAACATGAAAGATTGGCCTAACGGTTGTTCCGGTCCAAACGGAAGAAAACATTGGATAAAGGCCTTCTCCCCGTACAACCAGACATCACCAGATCTTACACATTTTGCTACTCTCCAATTCAAAAGCTAACAGGAATAAAAAATAAAAATAGGCGGGGCGGAAGAATAGAAGTAGCACATGACCGACTTTCTCGACGCATCCAGCCTCGAAGTGGTTGATCTGTTGGCATGGTTTGCGGGGGTGGAATCTGGACTATCCCCCCAATCATGACCGAGTCAAGGACCGCGTCTACGATATGAGCCCCAATCTGCCCGGTTGATAGGCATGGATAAGTCTAGGTGATCGTCGAGTTTGCAATCAGACAGAACAAGTCACTTGGTAATACATTCATTGGCTGATATCATCGTTACATAGGATGGTTAATCAACAGAGTCAATCTTACAAAGATAAGACAAAGCAAACAAGAATTGGATACTTACTCCATATGTCTCCAATCTCCAAATGCTGTAGGGAATGAAATCCCCAGCCGGGAGGACAAAATAGGAAAGCCGGTCGCTAAGATGTCCGAACGGCTGCCAGGCAAACCCCATCGAACAGTTGACACTATTAGCAGAATAAAAGCAATATATTATTGCTCCATATAGGTACTTAGTAGTTCACGATCAGACAGTCTAGAACGAGCCCGCCATTGCGGTTCTCCAGCGGGGTGCAGATCACGTGTACTATTGTAGATTCTATTTCACCTTACATGGAGTACAGAAGAAAAAGTCTAAGATACTAATCTAAGGATTGAAAACAGTGTACAAAGTGTTCTAACTTCTAAAATAATTTATTTACAGACTGCAAATAATAAAGGTCATAAGAAGGATCATGAATGCCGCCGACGTTCTACAACCGTCGACTGATTAGCTTGAGCCCTAGTTCTAGACCTCTGCACCATGTGCATACACATTCAGAGTGTTGGTAAGGCATAGATGACATTGAGTATGCAAAGAAATCAAAAGAAATTCCTGGTATTTCTATCAAAAATAAATGCATCCGTGTAAACTGATAATTACAGTGGCTGCCGGGATTTCCTACTTGACTCTAGTCTCTTACGTGGATCCAGACTACATTACCATAAAATTCACTGGACATGAAGAGATCATTCTTTCTTCATGGATTGCTGTCTCTGGAATCAAAAGTGGCAGTAATTGAGTTTGCTGACTTGTCAGTACGTAAAGTCTTCCGTTGGAGTACTCACCTAGGTGGATTCGGGATTGTGGAACTCCGTTCCCTTCAGAGCGTTCCGTGGTATTTACCTGCAGCATATTTGTATTGATAAATATGCGATAGTCTCCATTTGTAAATAAACCCCTCTCTGAATCGGTGATAAACCGGCATAGAGTGGCCTTTTGCATATCAGACATAGAACTACCCTCTGCCCTATTTCCGCAAATCAACTCTTGACTTCAGGATTACCCTAGGTACTTCTGCAGAATATGCGCGCATCTTATGCACCTCTGTACTTATCTCGTCAATTTGCATACTTATTGGTAGCTCAAAGTGAGATCGGGCCTACGAGCGAACGTTGTAACGAGTATTTCCTATTTAGGAAACTTGATAATCGTTTTCGGAGACAAGTATCAGCGTTTCCTGGGGATCTTTGAAACCTCTAAAAGAAGGTAAAGAGACACACATTCTTGCACACAAGATTGTCATACTCGCTATGCGCTTTACTATATATGCAGGTATGCAATTGAGAAATCCGCTTTCGGCGCAATTCCCAATTAGGAATGAATTAGGGCTAAGTCTGCTTACGCAACGTAGTTGCTATTTTATGGTTACTGACCATAGATTGATGTATGCTTATACTATGTGAATAATAAATACATATACATCTATGGTATTTCGGTGCACACTGTAAGCTGATTGTATGGTTTGGAGGTTGGACCAACCGTTGCTTCTCGCATAAGTGACAGATCTGCGAAACGCCGAAGAACTAATATTCGCATCCTGACATATAGCTATAGCAAGCTCCATATAAACCATCTACAGCTAGACGGGATTCTGGGCCGAGTCTTAGTTCAACTTCACCCGGTCTATCTGTATCAGTTAGACTTCCGACAGGAACGAGCCAACACATGATCATGAAGTGCGTAGAGATGCGCAGAAACAACGGACGCATTGCTCTATCACTCTGATTATATGTGATCAACGCTCTACCAATTGGTATGTACAGACAAACAAAAAGAATGGATCTGTCCTACTTCCCGATCCGGACAAACCGAGTTCAACTCCGTATTTCTCTCCCCCTTCTCTCAAACGGGAGAATCAAAATAATCATGAATAATTCCATATCCGCTTCTGCTCCACCACCCACCACTGAACCATCTTCCTCGCCTCCTCAATCCAGTCCTCAGCTTCCTCGCCGTATTCCTCTCTAACCGCCTTGCGTAGATCAGTGAATATCCATTGTGACAGTGGAGATTGCTCATGCGGATCGACAAGTGTATGCGTGAATCGATACTCGAATAATGTTTCGCTATCCCTTTTGCCGTTCATCCCATGCCCGTGCCGAGTAATGGGTACAATCAGTCGATAGGGAAGGTCAGCCGACATGGCAGCTACCAAGCTACCGCCAGCGTTGATGATGCCTATATTCCATACGCGACGGCGGATTCTATCGTCGCGACTGATGAATGGTCGGAGCAGTGACTGGCCCTGATATTCGTGGATCAGAGATCTTGCAATTTCTATATCCGCCTCGTTTAGTGATTTGCTCTCTACGAGCATGTCAAGCACAGTCGGAAGAATGTTCATTCCCGTCGTTACGTTTGCTTCAATATCCATGTGAGGTAAATGAGCATGTCGAAATAACAGTGGTACTCTGAAGTTGCTGATATGGGAATTTTCGAATGTGCCTTGTAACCCGTCATCCTCATCGAATGCTTGTCCACTACCAAACAAAGTCAGATTTCGTCTTAAACAGAGAGAAACGCAACTTACTGATCACCAACTATTACGACAAGAGTCCTATTTGCAATTCCGGCCTGTTCCAGATATCCTAGGATCTTACCGAGCCATGCATCTCCGTACCGAACCGTGTTGAGATACGAATTCATATCTCGATGATTCCATCGATCTCGCCCGAAGTAATTCTCGTCCTTGAAGGTACTCGGATACGCCCATGGATGGTGCGTTGTGAGTGTCAAATGCGATAGGAATAAGCGAGTCTTGTTCTCTGCCGCTTCGAAGACGAGATCTTTCATGTACGACTCTATTTCGTCTTCGGAGTACCTATACCAATTAGCATGTCAACATCTCCATTGTTTTCAAGTTCAGCAGGAGGACTGCGAGCGTACCCGAAGTAATTGAGAACTTTCGTCTTGGGCGGATAATGTGTCGCCGAAGGATCCTCGATAGTCTCTTTGACTATGTTCTGATCAAAGCCGAGTTGCTGGGTCAAATTGCTCTGTCGGTCGTATGAATCTGTCGATGACTGTATAAATACCGATTTCCAGGGCCTTTCTCGGACAAGCTGAGATTCATTATTTGCATGCTTCCCCTTGTCAGCCAACTTTTTCGTGTTGAACAGACTCAATATATGCGGCAAACATGGTTGATAAACTTCCAATAGCGACTCCTCGAGCATGTCAACCGGTAACGGCATCACGCCGCAATGAAGTGCCAGCAAACTCTTCAATGTCAGTGAACTAGCTGTCAAAGCCCCTTTGACGTTGATGCCACCCATATCTAACGGTATCCGGTCTACCCATTTGACGTCGTCGTTGTCAAACCTCATCTTATCGCCCGTACTATTCGTCGCAAAATCTCGAGTAAGCATTTGTGCTGTCGGGGTTAGTATGGCAAGTTTATCGATGATCGTGTCCCGGGCATCTTCATCGTGAGAGTAGACTATCGTGTCGTACAGGAACGACCCTTCTTTCATTGGGAAGACTTCTTTCCTTGTACTTTCTAGCACCAACATGACTATATGCTCGATTTGAATTGCATTTTTGTTGAAGGCATCTTTTAACACAGGATAAACGGCCTCTTGAAGATTAGAGATTTTTGTTGAATCCGTCACAGCGTTATAGGTTTTATGTTCTCTCATGCATTGATTCGGTTTATCCTTTTCTCCATTCTTGATTCTTTCATGACGCTGAACGTCCGTCAACCAACGATCAAACCCTGACGGGGGATTCTCTGGTAGCCATTCTGGGCGCACTAATGATGAGTGGTTCCCTGGCGTCAAACCAGGAGAGTAGCCGGAAGGCGATTGCCATCGATCTGGCGCAGTAAGCATTGGAAATGGGTACTCCAGACGTTGCTGTAACTGACATGGCTGCTTAGACAACTTAGGAAAAGCAGCTAATAGACTGAATGGCAATGCCGAGGATAGATGGTCATACGGCACATCAGGTCGAATAAAATGGACGCACAGCAGGTACATCCCTAGGGTAACGGTGGGTAAGAGGAAGCAACAAGTTGAGTAGCTGCCTCTCTCAGATAAACACTTGGTGCATGGTGAAACCACACTTCTTCCTCTGACAATAAATCGACATGCTGACTGTAGCATATTCCCAGTAACTGTATGAAGGTATGGACTAGTCGGAATGGAGACAACGAATAGGAACACTCCAGCTATACAGACTGTCTTGGTGCCACTGAACAATATCTTCATGGCTGCTGGATCGCGAAGGAAGCTACTACTTGCTCCCCATTCTACCTGCGAACCGGTCTCCCAGAAGAAGCCGATCTGGATTGCAGATGCTCCATACGTCAGGACTCTGTCTTTGTCAACTTCAATTCAACCAGCAGTAGCCAAGAGAGGAGTTGACATACGCTATTGAACACCCCAAAACGCAGCATACCTGCTGCACCAACCCATCGAATCCTCGAAGCAAAACCCGACCTATGACTAAGACCAAGATATCCCAGAAGAACAGCGTAGGCAGAAATATGATAAAGTGCACAAGAGAAACAGAACGCCAATGCAACGCAAGATGTAGGAACTTGGATGTCAGACACGAAACAACAAGAAGAGAGTAGGTGAATGGAATAAGAGATGGTACGACGAACAAGGATCGTGACGCCATATTGCTGGATTGATCTTTACCAATCCTTTCTAGAAGCATTTACAACTGGATGATATATCGACCATAAGGAGAGTTGGAGGAATCTCAAGGCTGTCTCTAGTGTAGGGTTACGTTGAGTCAACGGTCTCTGTTTGAGGTTGGTTAATCATTGCTATAAAGAGGCGACGCATTCCGTTTCCACCTTTGAGAATCAAACATCAGATGAATTGTGCAACAGTGGACGTGGGTCCTTGTATGTGTCATTTGAATAACTTTTGAGACCGAGGAGAACTAGGAAAATGAGTCAGCGTTATAAATAGATATGCTCAAATGGTGCTGACTCTTTGTCTCTTATATCCATCTCAGGGCTTCTAGATCAGAAACGGTATTGTGTAATCAACAGATAGTATGCTGATCCATTTGTGCCATGTCGATGGGTTCCTGCAGATGTCAGAGAGCTTCCAAGCACATGTATGTGTACTGTGTTCGAGGTGGACATAACCTATATACATGAATGCGATAATATACACTATACTCCGTAACAACACATCAATCCTGAAACAATCCCATTTATACCTATATTACAATACCTTTAGGCAAATGCTCAACTCAAAAAGCCTCACTAACAACTCCCATCTCCCCCAATCTCCCAACAACACCTTTCTTCAACCTCAGCAACCGCTCAATCTCCTCATCCTTGAGTCCCTGCCGATCTCGCATCGTCAACACTTGCCGAATAGTCATTGCATCCAAAAACTCTCGTCCCTGATGACTCTGTCGCCCAATGGATTCTAGTTCTTGCTCGGCGGCTTTTGCGATTCGACTGCGTGATGAGAGCACTAATAGAGCTGGATTATTGTTTGCGTCGGGGAAGACGGATGGTGCTACACCACTACCGTCAGTATGGCCTGGTGAGGGTGTTGTTTGGGATTGTCGAGAGGCGGGGAATCGGTTGAATGTACTCGAATGTGAGAATGTAGGGTTCGGCGTTACGGGCCCAATGGAGCGTAGTGAGGCGGCGAAATGAGGGTCGCGAGCATCAAGGTCAATTGCTGCATTGAAGAAACATCAGTCATAAACATCCGGAAGAAATTGGAGGATAGAAGCATACCCTCTGACCGTAGCGAAGACGCCTGCTCCTTTGAATGATATGTTGGTCCAGCTACTTCGTGCTGCTCCGGCAATTGTTTGATTTGGGTTGTCTTTGTCGTCCCCGGCGATGCTGTTTTCGGATATTGTCGACGCGAAGCTGCGTTGACTGCTGAGCGAGCTGGCTTTGATGCTGTTGCGCCCATTTCTGTGAAGTTGTTGAATTTGAGGTTGTACGGACTCTGAGAATAAAATGAAGCTAAGGACACTAACATCCTTGGCGTGGCCTGTAGGCATGACGTCAAATTTTAGCCCTAACCCTATAATAAGCCCGACGAAAGTACAAATTTCTTAGACGTGGAGACGATTGCAATACTGACGAATGGAACTGAAAATACTAATACAATTTTGATTTGAGATCCGCTCATATATATATAACATCAACTTGTTTCATGTCTCTTGGTCGCAACTACAACCTCAGTATCGTACTGTGTAAAGTGCCTATCGCAGCCCAGCTAGGCGTCGCTCTTGGACCTCACTCAATGCACGGCTTCCACTGAGGAAAGCAATAGCGCCAACCGCAAGAGTAGCAGGAAGCATTTGGAACAGAGTCCAGCTTGTATAGTACATGAAAAAGATGCCCTCCAACCCAATGATGGACGCCACGAACACGATGTGAGGGACCGGGGCGGCTTTTAAGGCGATAGAGAGGTGGTAGAGGTTCACGTCAAAGTACATCCACTGTTTATTAACATGTGTTAATACTCTAGCATTCAAATCAGACGGGTATTGTGGGTAGAACGTACCATTCCAGCCAGGACTGGGATAGTGACCAAAGTAGCCAAGAGGAAAATCAAGGTGATAATTGGTGGCGGACTCTTGGGGTCAGCCTTGAAAATGTGGTTTATCCTGGGCTGCTTTCCATATCTCTCTACAGAGTCAGGTGCGGCCGGCGCACTGGCGTCGCTGTTGATGGATAGCTGGAAGGCGAGGTTCCGATAGGCGTCGGAAGCACCAAACGAGCCAATTACAATTTCGGCATCGACAGGATTTGGCGTAGCAAGAAATTGCGTGGGAATATCTTTCTTACTCTGCAGTTCAACCATTATATTAGTTTCAATGATCGTGGATAGAGTATATAGTCCTGTACTGACCAATTCGACCTTTGACTTGCCATCATTCTTGACGCTGAAAGGATATGAGACGTCTAGGCCAGTACTAGAGTCCTTCAACAATAAAAATGCTTGGTGTGGTCGCTTTGCGCTGCGATCTTCTTGGGCTGTGAGGAGAACTCTAAGGGAGTCCGAGTCGCCGAGAGAAATGGGCGTCGAAACAGGTGCATTCTCTTTGAGGCTGTAAAGAATTAGTATTCGTAAATCAATTGCAATCATTAGAGAACGACTATTCGTCCATAGAGGTTTGCTTACCTTTGCTTGACTTTGCCTGTCGCAGATTTGGAACTTACTGACACGGTGGCATCAGTGAAACCCCAAGAGGCCGCGTAAACAGAGGGAGCGACAAGAGCCAGCAGGCTGAGGTGCGCCGGTAGTAAGCGCATGGTGTGATATGATATAAAGCAAAGGAATGGAGAATATCACAATTGTATTCCAATTTCAGTCAATTTAATTGAAAGTTGTCGGTGTTTGTCGATGCTGAAGCTGCCAAGTGTATGGAGAAGGGTAAGAGAAATGGAGCAAGCGGCATCCAGTGATCGTTTTCTGCCGTTCGGAGCAGCAAGCCCTAATTACCTGTTCTGTTCTGCTGATCTCGCCGAAAAAACATCCTCATTTTCTTTTCCCTTTGACTTTTCAACGTCCACACTGCTCGCCCCTCGACCTTATATTACCCTTCCACGCATTTAGTCGCATCTACCCGCCTCAGCGATTTCATTACGATAAAAATTTCCTCTGCCCAACGCTCGCATCGACCGTCCGTCACCCTTCGTACTTCCGAGGTCTCCCGCAATTTGTCTGCTCTTTGACGCTTCCACAACCGTTCATTCACGCAGCGAAGTCGTTGAAACCACTCGATAAATTGTGCAATACCTACTGGAGACTTGATAGATTTGGTTGATAAGTATGTGATACCTGGTGATGGCGTTGAGGGTTCTTTCGAAGGTCGAGGTCGGGTGAATGGAGTGACCATAGCCCTGAAAGAGACCACGACAACTCGCTGTTCTACCTGAAAATAAATCTGATATGCTGACCATGATACTATTCACTAGATAACTCCCATTCAGTGATAATCGTCGTGGCTGTTCTGCTGCTACACTGTTCTTCGAAGTCGTCGACCACTAGCGTCTCGAAAAGCCCTAGACCCTAACTTCTGTTTGGTCACCTGAAAAGTGAAAGCAACAAACACATCCACTCATTAACAATAGCAATCTTTCTGGTTATGGCTATTGAGCCTACACAATAATAAAATACATGGAAGCGTCTACTGGGTTTACTAATCCTGAATGTAAGTTACCTTTCTGCTGATCTCACCAGCCCAAACCCCGCTGCCTACTGGGGCAAAAATCAGTCATCAACACTAACACATTGACTACAGTCATACCACCAGTGCTACCTGGCAGACTTCATCGTCCTCTCCTTTCAAGGTTTTCACTCTTAAATCATTTGTAAATGCTCACGCGATTGTCATGTTTTCTCATCTGTCTAACCTGGTTCGCAGGCTTGCGCCCAATATGGCAGCTCATGAAGACATTCAAAAGTCTTCGTCCTTGCCATCCACTCCTCAGTCATTCTTGTACTATGACAATGATAGCCCATTTGCTCAATCGGGCAATGATGAGCTTTGGCACAGTTCAAAGCGTCGTCGCACTCAGCAGAGACCATCCAGTGAGACACAATTTATTCATATGAATGGGTACAAGAGCGACAGTCAGCTGGGTACACGCTTCAACAATACTTATGTGGATTCCTATTCGGACTCGAAAACGGTTGACAACACTCAGAATAAGTCTGCCGATGCAGTCTCAACATCTGAAGAGACGCCAGGTGCAGTCGCTGAAAGCGCCTCAAAAGCTAGCGATGACCAGCTTGAAGTTTTGTCGGCGAAGTCAGTGCGTAGCTCACGCAAAGCACCGATTGAACGCTCAACTGAGACATCTTCCAGAGTCCTGAAAGTGAAATCTAGTACTGGATCGTCACAACCGACGAACATCCAGACTTTTATCTTCAAAACTAAACTAGATCCTCGAAATTTGAACTACAGAGACCGTTCGGATGAGCCTGGAACACCATCATCAGTGACTGAGACGCCCGAAGTGAATGTAGAAAACTCTTCTGCCGAGTCATCTACACGGTCTACTCGCAAGACCCGCAAATCTGAAGCTAACATGCTCAAGTTCAAGAGCTATACTCCTAACGCCACACCGGTGTTGCGTAATAACAACACGTCACGCAAACCATCACGTCAGGATCAGTCTGTAGAAGCTGAATCACCAGCACCCACCACTATTATCGACGACCAAACCAGCCAAGGAATCCTTGAGCAGGACAGCCAACGAAGCCCTGAGAGAATCAGCCAGTTGGAGACACCCTTGAAAGAGAACGACGCCATGGAAGGTAATGGGGAAGCGAACTCGGCACAACGACGAAGCACTAGGGTCCGCAAACCTGTCAAGAACATTTTACTCGAGGAAACTCCTAAGAAAGAGAAATTCATCAAGAATAAAGGGCAAGGATCAACGACAGCGGCACAGTTATCCAGATCATTATCCAAGCCGGTAAATACCAACGCAACCGAGTCAGTCTCACATACCTCTCCACCTGCTCGTCAGACAGAAGCAGTCCATCTACCTGGTGATTTTCTTGACCGATACGGCACACCATCACCTGACAATCTGTCTGTTACGCGCTCGTCAGGACGTTTGCGAAAACCGACAATCAAGGCAATCGAAGCTTTACAGTCTAAACCCCAGAGTCGGAAGAGGCTACGAAATTCTGACCAGGTTGCGTCTTCTGACGAGCCTGCTCCAAAACAATCCAAAATTACACCAGAACTTGCCCAGCCTGCGAACACCTCTACAGTCTCGACATCGTGTAGCACTAGTGGAAGTGGAAGCGATGCACCATCCGTTCTCATGGATGAAACTGAAATCCTTGGCCGACAGCTTTATGATTTGGCAAGCGAGGCAATCATGGAAACGGTTCCTTCGGTTGAAGAGGAGGAGGCAAAGATAGCCGAATGGCGTGAGGCCTTTAACAGGAAAAGAAATGAGCAAGTCTCGACACCTGCCGTTGAAAATCAAGTGGCAGAAACAGCAGAACCTACGGAGACCACAGAACCGACAGAAGCTGTAGACGAGACACCACCAGTAGTTATCGAATACCTCGACCTCCCTGGTGAGATCAATGCGGATGTTCCTCTTGATCACCCACAACGACCCCGTCCTTGGACCGAGAAAGATGGCTGGATGCACACTGGCCGGGTCAACCAACACGGCGAGGAATACTGTGTTGCGCCTGCTGATAGATATCAGTGGGTGAAACATACATCGAATTACAAAACCCCTGTCGGACCTATCCCAACCCCACCACCTCTCATCAAGTCCGTGGACGAGATTCGACGTGACAATATCTACGGTTTCCCACCTAGTCCAGGTCAGCGTAACCTGTACCAAAAGCATCCTGGACAAGTATGGAGATACGAGGACGTCGAGGACCTAGTCAGCCAGACTCCCAGTCACACTAAGTCCTTACGCTCCGCCGCAAAACAAGTTGATGCCATGAACGTCGATGAATCCGGTATGAAGACAAGGTATATCCATAAAGAAGGATTTCCTCGATTTAAACGACCTTTGAAGATCGTCTTTGTCGATTCTTCGAAACTTGACCTAAGCAAACTACATCAGGATGCTATGTTATCTCAAAGAAGGCGACGCCGGACCGCAGCGAGCTTTGCAAACGACTTCAAGTCTACTCCTAGCAAACCGACCGGTGATAACCAGCGGAAGCGATCATTTGATATGACTGCTGGAAGTCATATTGAAAATTCCAATCAAAACCAGCCGCAACGCAAGAAGCGACAATCAACAGCGGCAAAAGTCGAGGATAAGGCTACTTCAGCACGTTCGAAACGCCAGTCAACCGTTGGCAATGTCAATAGTGGCACTAATAAGAACAATCAGCCTTCCTCTTCTACTATCGCACCACAAAAGTCTGCCAATACTGGTCCCAAAGCGACCTCGAAGGAGACTGCGCCAGGAACGAATACGGGCCGTCCAGAGAAGATCTCGCTCAAGTTCCACTTTGGGAGTCATTCCAGGTCATGATGCCTATCGTGGAACTACTCTAACGAGCCGATGTTTTCTTCTTTTGAAAAGCTGACGATACCATTACTCTTTCCTACTTGTTACTTTACCATTTTCGATTTTCACTATTTCTATTCTTACATCCCCCAAATTTGCATACCCCGGATCTGTTACATGTGGTTGGTGACTTACTCATTCGAAGTTGATTATTCAGTCCTACGCAATGCATGCCATGAAATTCATTCCCATCATCCTTATTGACTGTATCTTGTATTTTCCCTAACAAAACAGGCATTTGATGACGGTGCACAGTGTATTATTAGTTATCAGGCTCATCATTGGGGATTTAGCGATTGTACTGTATTGATTTTTCATGTCACCTTTTTGTTGGATGGAGGGATGGAATTGAGATGTCTGTGGCGAGGGACGATGGCATACATAATTGTGCTGGCTTAATGAGAAATATGTTTCCCTTTCCCTAGCAGTCTTAAAGAAGACGTCGTATATTGATATGGATTCACTTCGTCGACGGGTTATATTTTTCATCCTCGCTCGAATTGAGGAGGCTATTGTGGCCTTGTTTATCAGGCAACAAGTCTTCCAAATTCTGCCTAGTGTTGACTCGAATCATTAACTGTGGACATTTCCTTCAAAATTGAATTGTTGAATCTTTTATATTACAGACTGCCTTTTTGTATACACACTATATTAGCGAAATATCCCTTCAAAAAAACTCTATATTGAATTATCCATCCATCTCCGAGAGACTGAAAAAAAAACATCAACCCTCAAAATAGAGGTGAAGAGAAAGAACCCGAACAGACGTTAAGACCAGCCAATTCAAAAGCAGCAATTGCACCAAATCTGCAAAAGCTGTACAGAAATAAAAGATAAGAGTCTGATACAATGCCTCCCTCCACACAACAAACGCCATCAAAACCGCGCGTCATCTCATTTGAAGAAAGCCGACAACGAGAACTTGAAAGCTCTACCCGGAACAACAGCCGACTCACTCAACCAAAAAGAAAACTACAAGGCAATATTGATGTCAGAAAAACTAAAGAATACAAAGCTGCTTCTAGACGGTTAGTCTCCACGCCTGCCACATTGTTCTGATTGTGTAATGAATAGAGCGTGCATTGACGTCTTTCTGTTTAGATGGGTATCGACTATAGTCGCGTTACCGATATTTTTTTATACGAGTTGGGAGCTGTATGAGCGGAGTAAGTTTTCTTTTACTAGTATCGTGTTTTGTTAAATACTAATGATAGAGTTATACAGCGTATGGATCAAAGGTGCAAAAGAGTCTGGTTGATGTCAACAAAAAATCTGTGGAAGAAGTTTCTTCGAAGAAAGAATGATATTCTGGCAGTGATGTGCATGGAGGAAAGTGTATAATAGACAGTATAATATATACGAATAGGGAACGGATGCTCTGAAAGAATACAGAAACATAACTATCGCTAAGAAACCCTTGAGCAGTATCAACCATTCTTTGGTTTCGAGCAGTAATCATCCCACCGACCCCCATTTCTCGCAAAGTCAAGTCCATTAACCCAATCATTCAGTCTACATCGGCCCAGTGAATCAATGTCACATCCGTGAAGTGGAACAACTCGATCGTTCACAAGGACCCTAACTAAACGCTCTTCCCCTGCTAAGTTATAGGACGAACACTCCATCACCTCAAAAAACGCTCTTGATGCAAAAGGCACAATCCACGACGCCGCGTACCCCTCCGTCTCAGTGGCCGACTGCACATTTCTAGCTGACAGAGGCACAGTCGAATTATATAACCCGAACGCGTCAAAGATGGATACCATTGCATTATCATGACTGAAATCAGCATATAGTGCAGTATCCAGTGGAAATGTGGTCGGATCAGAGTCGAGAGTGTGATTGACGCTTGTATGGTCGCTCACAGGTAGAGTCTTTGTCATGCGTGATATTATCTCGTTGACGTAGCCGACTCCGCGGGTTGAGCCTAATGGGTTTCCAGCCCCGAAGGCATAGTATTTTTCCAAAGTATTGTAGTAATCATACGATTGCCATTCGGAAAGGGTGAACAGGTCACATAATGGCGACATGGTGCCGTTTTTGCTGTTGACTGTCTCGAATGGGCAGAGGTCCATGAGGAGTGGTATGTCGTGTAGCTCTAAATTGACGCCGGGCATATTGGCAACAAGTCTCTCTAGTATTGATGGTGCAAAGATGCCAAGGAATTCTTGTTGAACCTTATGTGCTGGACTTCCATCGGAGAATGCGTCACAGGTGCCGGTATCAAGAGTGTTGTTCCACTGGCGACCTTCTGGAATTACCAGGCTGACAGTAGTATTGTGCTGTGACTTATCGGAGTATGGGTCAAAAGCTTTTGCGTCGTTGAATCCCTTACTGAATAAGGCTCCAGACGCAATGACGCGATCTGAGCCAGATGCTCGTACAAACGGAACGTTTTGTCTCGCTAATTGCTCGTATCGATCATAAAGTGAAGTGCCCATGTTAATCATCTGCTGCTCTCCGAACGAAGTCAAGTCATCAGCTCCAAGTTTGTAGCGATAGTCTTTTAACAAAGCATAAACATCAGTCTTGTATTCCGTAGCCGTCTGTTGGATTCTGTCGACAAGCTTGGTGTACATTGCACTCTTGTGAGCGGTTGGAAATCTTGCGCCATGTCTAGCGAGCACCTGCACAAATGTAATGTTGCATTCCGGAGGTATTGCAGGGTTGATTTCCGACTGGTCTTCGAGTGAGAAAAAAGGTGAGTATTGGCCCCAATAATGAGATATTTTTGTATCATCGATGTTTGGAATTTCATGAGCTGTGGTTACACTGCTGATGAAAAAAATATAAATTGCGATCAGTTAATAGTTAGGCTAAGGTAAGACCGACGTGTACATACAGTAGTATCACCAAGCTCGACAGAAACAAAACTACCAGCGCTATCGCAGAATTCCTGCTTGGAGGTCTACAGCGAGATGATGAAGTGGGGTGTGCGCCGAAAAGTGGTCTGACTTCATCCTCAGCAAAGTCCGAGTCGCTGTCAAGAGCAAACATCTCGTTTTCAGGTTGAAGTTTCATTGTTGCTAATGCGCTGGGCAGGACCTCTTCGGAGATTGACTTTGTCATGCGGAAAGCCAACTGTAATGGCAATCTCACATCTCGCGTCAATCCAGTTGCGCGAGAATATACGATTTTATGTCAATATCAAGTGATAGAAAGAAGTTGTGTCTGTCAAGAAGGTGAATCAAAGGAAAATTGAGGTCGAGAAGGACCTTGGTTAAGCAGATGTTTGATTGGTCGGCGGGCCACACGTGTATCTTCCTTGTGTTTCAGGCACACAACAACGACAAGACAATGATTGACCACTCACTTCCTTGATATCAGGATTTCTGTCTATAGTCTCATTTGTATTCTGAGAGATCGCTAAATATGTCCCTTTGTGAAATCACATTATCCAGACAAACGCTCTATGCAAGAGCCAAAACAACCTTCAAAGACAAGGTTACAATACAGTCTAGGACACAAATTTGACAAGCTGTTTGAGATTTTCAAAATGGATATTATGTAGATTGGTAGGTACCTATGTGTATGATATCATATGTGGGACAGATCAACGTAAAGACAAGAATACCAGATACAGGGTATATGATTCCCAATTTGAACAAAGGACGCTGCTCTGCACCGATCAAATGACGGATAGTTATCACATATGATGGAACGAATGAGGACCAGGACGCCTGAAAATGCTATAGAGAACGGATCGAAAGAATATGATATGGCCCGAAATGGGATTAGGAAATAGAGAAAGTATACACAGAGAGAATCAGAAAGAATAGAAAGAGGCCGTGATCTTCAGTGTAAAGGGGCTGCATTTCAAGGTCACCTCATATTAGGCATATACCGAACGTCGTCCCGGTATGGGTGATGTTGATAGTTTCCGCTAGGGTTCACGCCCTGCCACGGTTCAGGATGTTGCTGGCCAGCAGCAGATGCGTATGACAAGGCATCCGAGCTGGAAACTGGATTAGGAAGCATTCGCGGTGTGGCTGACGCGAGAGACGAAGCGGTCCCAGTGCTGATAGTCTTGGACATCATCTCACCATCCATTCCAATAGCTTGCTGCTGTTGTTCTGCTGGTGATGGCTGATCCCCCGGGCTAGCAGTGGACTGAGGATAGCGGCGTGACGGAGAAGGAGAAGGGGGACGAGACGGTATCTGTGCAATGCCCACGTGCTGACTCAATGCATCTCTGAAGAAGTCTCTTTCGGAGCGATAAAAGTCCCTCTCTTCGGTCAAAAACTGCAACTGTTCATTCAGCTGGTTAATCTTTTGTTCCAAAGCAGCCTCATTCTTCTTACGGTTGCGGAACCGTCTTGAAGCGTCACTGTTGGCTTTCCGTTTTTCAGCTTGGCTTCTTGATCCAGATTTCAAATCTATGGTGACTGGAATCATGGGACCGCCACCGTACTGAACGTGATTGCCGACTTGACTAAGCAAGTCGGTTGGACCGGGATAGGCAACGCCAGGATGATCATCCCCATATCTTGGGCCACTCATGCGGCTCGGCGTCCGACTTAAAGGGTCCATGCCCATAAAAGGGGACTGTGAGGCAGAGTCCACTAACGAAGGAGCCAACGAGGTGGACTGTCCGAGTGGCGGAAGTAATCCGGATGCAATAGAGGGTGATGACTGAGCGACTGAGCTATAGGTGGAATGTGGTGTGCTTGGGCTAGATGCTTGTGAACTTGGGTTGGTGGCTATTCCACCACTCGGATGACGGCTATGACTGTGGAATGTTGGAGTCGAATGTCGAGATACTTGTAGCGGCGGATGATTTAAGCTGGGAATTGTCACAGCCAATTTTGGTGACGAATATCTCGACGTTGACGTGTACTCAATCGAGGTCACTGTAGGACCTGACGATCCTCGTGCATGTCCCGGCGTGCTATAGACACCTGCAGATAACTCTTGCACGAATGGCGATTGAGAAACCGTGACTTTCCCTGCTGCTGCACCACTACCACTATTGCTTGCTGCACCGGTAATACCAGAGCCAGTAATAGCGTTATTATTGCCACTACCACTGCTGTGGCGTAGGGCGGGCGAGACGGGTGTGATAATACGACGAGGCGGATGTGGTGGTGAGACCGATGATCCTCCACCTTGCTGAAGGTATGTTTTGGCACTGATTGACTTCGAGATAGGAGCGAGAAGGGGTGATGAAGAACTACGCCGTTGAGGAGATGGAGGTAATGTAGGAGGTCGAAGCAACTCCATGTTGTTCCTGTTGTTGCTATCTTGGGGAAGTCGTTTGTCCATCTGCGAGTTGTCACCCTCGGTGGGATTCAAGATGGATTGAACTCCAATGATCGAACGGGCATGCGTCGACGATTCTAGTCGGGGCTGGATGACGGCCGGCTCGGGCCAAGGGTACGGTCTCTTTGTACCTGTTGTTTCACATTGCTGTGATTCATTCGATGGGTCCTGTTGTATCCGATTTTCCTTGCTGTTACTGTTTGCCACTTGTTTTTGCTCTTCTTTCTCATCTTGTTCTTGCTGTTGTCGTTGCTTACGAGCATCAAGGCCATAGGACTCTGGAGACTGTGAAGACATGGGCGACAATGGACCCTCCTCCTGAGACCACGGTCGCGGCTCAACGCATGGCCGCTTCCTTCCCCTCTCAGGATGACTGTTGCCCTCCACTAGGCTTGTCTGAGAGGGGAAGGTGGATGTTGGACTGTTTGGAATATAGCTTCCCAAATGGCGATACTGATCGAGACCGTCTAGAGATTTGGTGTGGGTAATGGGACAAACACTAATTCCCAATGCAGCCAGTTTGACGGCTTGGTCCTTGACCGTTCCTGTTTGGAGGAATCTTTTTTCTCCGCGAGTTGCGTGATGGCCTATGGACCTGAAGACCGACGAGTTACGGTTGACTGATAGGTCCGAAAAGTCGAATAGCGGTCACGAACCAAGACGCAGCAGTCCGAAGGATAAGAAAAAAGAAATGTCCAAGTTCGCAAGAGTGTTTGCACGTCGGAAGAATCAGCGTTGAAGGTGTGTATATCGGAAAGACAGCAAGACAAGTCCCTTTGACTGCGCGGTTAGAACCGATCAAAAAAAAAAAAAAATGGAGATAGATGTAAGTGTTCTGTAGATATGCAAGTAGAAGAGAGGTATGTATGGTAAACAATGTGATCAGGTAGGTATATGCACGAAGATATGTAACTTGTATGTATGTGTATATGCAGTATATATCGATATTATGATATGTTCGATCCTGGCGTTTGTGACGGAGGTGAGATATCCATGTATATGTACATCTTTGGAACACGCCCCTCCACTCCCAAAAGGACAGGGATCAATCTAGCCCTACTCAGATAGGTGATGGTCAAAACTTTAGCGTTTCAGCGGTGTGAGGCAAGTAAAATTAGAGTAGATACTAAATAATGCATTGGGGGGCGTCGACGTTGACTCCTTCGGGAAAAAAGTAAAGGTAAATTAGGGCGGTATTAGGTGATGCAAAAAGAAAAGAAAAAAGTAAATGCACGGAAGATACCCTGGTCCGGGTTGGTTAAGATCGTCTCTCTGTTGGGCAGTTGACAGGAGGTTTTTCTTAGCGAAAATGGGTCTCTTCCTCTCCTGCTGGGCCCAGTATTATTGTTGACTAGGGTCAGTATCCGGTTCCCAAAAGAGACTGCTGCTCAGAGAGTTTGTTTGGAACGAAAAATTGGGGCCGGGGATCCCGGAAGCAACAGATAGCTTTGGAGCTAAGATGCTCACTGGAGTCATGGAGAGATATGGATACTGGGCGCCAATACAATGGGGGACTAGTCACGTATGACTTATAAACTTTGGACAAAAGCCGTCTAGCTCGGGGGTTAGGCTCACGTTTCCCATCCGGTCTTGGGAGTAGTTATGGGGCTTTGTTGTGCATGAAGAAGCTCGCCCAAAGTTGGTATCCCGAGCATGTCTGGCATATTCCTTAGCTGCAGCATGCAGGATGCACAGTGCACGCTGCAACAAAAAACCTTGTTGTCCTTCAACGACACGCTATCTGGTGTCTACTCTGGCAAGGTCTCGAAACTGCAGAGTCGTGATACTACTGGGATGCCCTCTGATTACACGAGACGTAAAGAGCTTACCTATTAAGCCAAGAAACTGAGGATAAAGGGATGTAGCCGGCGCTTCCATTATTAATTTAGTGTCCAACACGACTATGTTCGTACTCGGAAACTAGCTTTACATTGTTCAACCCTATGACTGACACATGTTCAAGACATCCTACGGATCAGGACTGTGAGCGTCCCGCTTTACATACGTACTACGGTATTACTGATTTGAAGGTTGAGCTCTTATTTTGTCCACTGAAGGGTGAGCGGGCACTGGCCGGACGTTGGCCTCGGAACGAGCCCCCTAAGCACAGAAAGCCAGCGGCCCGACTGACCGCTAAGCGGCCACCAACCACCAACCGCAGCCTAATGATTAGAAGGGCCACTAGCAGAGCTAACAGCGTCACAAGTGGTAAGTTAAGCCACTCCGTACTTGAATATGAATTGACCAAGGAGAGCCTAGGCCAGTCTCGCCGAGTTTGGGTTAGTATTCGAGATTGATATCCAGCTTCCAAGGTCCATAACCAATTAATATTCCTTCTTTGTTTGGCTTCACTCTTTCACAACATCCTTCATTGTAAACTTAGAATCTCCAATATACAAAGGGCTTGTTCTCGACAGGAAATTATTGCTAGCTACCTCCGTATGCATAAGCTCCTTTGCCCCGACTGGAGCACTAACAAGCAAAACTGCTAGTATGTCGTGTCATAGTGTCTATACGCGGTTAAACAGTTGTACGTAGCATGTGCACTTTTGTAGGCCCCCAAAAACCAGCCTGTCGAAGTGGGACCGATGGGATTTGGACCATTTGATTCACAAACGAGACTGGCCCACCGGGGTAAGAAGCTGTTCCCTTCCGGTCGCGTTGATTTGATCCCTGTTTCACATGCTCCATAATAAGCATTTTCAAATCCCTACGGCTGGAGGTTCTGAATCTAATAGTTTGTCAATTGATAGCAGTTCGTCGTCAATTGGCCTGTGATCTTGTTAAGAGTGTCCATGAAAAACTGAACTTTGAGTACGTACTCGGTAGCCGCGTTTCTTGCTTTAATAACGTACGAATAGCCAAGTTTAGAGATCAGATTAAAGAAATTTGCTGAATTTGTTCGAATCGTCCAAGGTAATAGATTCCGTACGGCGGATTCTGTCCATATACAATCAAACAGAAACTATACACACACATACGGAGTAGTACATACTGCATAAGGATAAGGTCTATGGAGACGAAATTACGAATTGAACGTCAACACATCCACTTGTGAAGATTCTTCCTATATAGCGGGCCTACCGTTGCTACGGAACTGGGACAATTAAATCCCTTAATTCTTCCAAAGTTGAGTCAACAATTATCCTTCTTCCACACCAAGTTACTGAACTAACATCTTAATATGGAAAGGCAGTTGGATCGACAGCACATCTCTCAGAGTCCATGACGGAAAGATGAACAAATTGTCTATAGCATAATAATATTAAAGCTATTGTCAGCTCTTACGTGTCTTTCTTGCCAATGCTTGGAAAAAACGGTGAAGTGTACACCTGTATGTATATCAGCATCATGATCACAGTTGATCATCAACTAAGGTAAAATGGTCATTAACGTTATGTTTGGTCTCTGTTCAAGTCGTTTCTCATCATTCATCACCGATCGATGTTATCTGGAACGACCATCGCTTACTCTTCCCTGAAGAAATTGCCCGATTAGGAACGATTTGGCGCTGGCCCTTTTGCATATTCCTGGCATACGACATGCTTTAGTGTGCACAACAAGGGTGGGAGACGTAGTAGAAGTCTGGTTGGGCAGCGCCGCAGGAAGAGTGTTCTGAAGAATTGCAAACGCCGGACACGTTCGCAGGCGGCATCTTAAGCTAACTAAGCCCTTAAGGTCTTGGGCGTCTAACCGGTGAAACTAGTCTCGTGCTAGGCGGCTTGGTCAACTAGACATGCAGCCGGAAAAGTCTCTCCGTCAGATCATCCCGACATTCTGTGCTTCTGGAAAGTATATTAAGCTATAGTTATGATATTAATATATTCAACATTGAGAAATGGTCTAGCCCCTATTCCTAACTGGTAATGTTGGCAGCAAGTTGGCAAGTATCCCGGACCAAGCATGTTGCAGACCAGGAATATCATCCTTTTAATATGAGATGTCTCAACCTATCAGTGCGTGGTACGTACACATATTTTGCAGGAGCCAAGTAACTTAGGACAACTATTTTTAAGGTGCTCAAATTGAAGATGTCAAGCGTTGGCTAGAGAGATTCCTACTTAAAGATGAAACTTATAGAACTTGATACTTGTAAGGTAACGTGACCTTTCTAGCCCTGATCAAGTGACACAGATAGATTTTTAAAGCAATTTATTTGCTTTTTCCTCATCAGATAAGCATATTCTATCGAATGCTGTCATCATGTCTTGTCATGAGAATCCTATGCCGGTTACGATAAACCGTCCTTGATTAATTGAATGAGTGGATCGTTACCTACTGAACCCAGTCATGGATTACGCGATCACCCCTGAATCTTAGGCTTCAAAGTTTTCCCCAAAGTTAGAACAGCTTCATTAACTTTTTGTCATCCATGGGATTGGGACCTCACCACTACGTATTGGGTTTACTTCTATGGGCTAGTAGGTGCAATCCTAGCCTAAATAGGCATGTAGATAGATCCTGTCATTCTTAAAAATAAGAATGCGGAAAACTAGGCTGGATTTCATGTTCCAGTTAAATAGGTAACTTACCTACTCCGTAGAACCGGCCGAGAAATTCAGGTCCTGATGTGAGTTATCAGCAAACTTCTAGAACGATCATCTATATCGGCATCGATATATTAATATATGTTGGAACCACCTAGACCAAAAAGCTGCGCGCATACTAGATGATCTAGTATGGTAAGATATAGTATGGAACAGAGATCAGACAGAGTGAGGCGGGATTCCCAACAATATATTATTTGCTCTCTAAACGCGGTTATACGGATGCCACGTCTTCACGAATCAATAGATTAGTTAGTTCAGTAATGTCAAGAATGGAAGTAGCAACATAGGACTACAATATCTTTGATCGCCAACAACAACAACACAGAGTGTAGCATTACGAATACTGTTCGACAATTCCTACTGTATGCACCGTTCTGTATACAGACATGGCTTGAAGTCTAAGCAGCCAAGTCATCAAGTGTTGTCACACAGCCCACTAGTGTGGGTGCTGCATGTATGAGCACACTGCATGACAAGCTCGCATCCTGCACGACGATGATCGAATGATTCCGCTGAGCTAGGCAACTCAGGAAAGGAAAATAATTCGAAGACGGCTCTAGTAACTCCGGCAACTTGAAAGGCCAGAAATTGCCTTCTCTTCACGCTCTTTCATTGGTGCATGTCCTCCCCCTTGTCATGCTGACACGAATCAGATTTCACCGCTCATTGTGAATTTTTTTGATTGGTTTCTTATTTTCTCAGTTGTTCAACTGTAGTACGAGTCAGTCCAATTTTTTTGACTTCGGCCTGTTCTACTTTTTCATCTTTTTGACTTTTCTATTTCATATGAATCTTGACCGACTGCCCGGAATTTGGCGGCCGGAATCCGAGAGTTAAGAGGTTCTCGGGAAACGTTGGAATTTCGAAAGTGAGCGATTGATGTCGAGTTCGAAGTTCTTATAACGAGACTGAAATTCAGTCGATCTCACGGAAACTACCCATACTATGTCCTCGTAATTGGTCACAATAGGCGAGGTCTATGCAGATAATCTCCGTTATGGGCTAGGGTACAGCAGTTTAAGCAGCTCTGCATTTTGGTAGTCGCACAGGCACAGTCTGGCGCCGCCACAGCCGGTCTAATACAGCGTTTCAAGAGCACATACAGAGACCAATTAACAATGAGTTTCTGTTTAATCTTTCAGGTCTCTACTCCGTATATGGCATTCTGTTTACTCACGAGTCCATGGTAGTATTCCTACTTGCCACGTAGTATCTGGTATCTGGAACATCTAGTTATATGATTATCTTGTAGCTGCCTGATCAAATTGCTTAGCTTTGATATCCTCTCCGGAAAGCGTTACGAGGTTTCCCCCGTATGCCGACATCCACTCTGTATACTTTGCCACCCCATCTCGCTGACTGGGGATATTTATATGGCTCTTGTTCAATGGCCGTGGTGACGATCAGCTCCGACCCCACGAACTCCGGACAAGTGATGAACCGTGTAGGGAATAAGATCTCTCCGGTAATTTCACCCTGTGGATTGACTCGAATGATGCGGCTACCTCGCCACACAGCAACCCAAAGGCATCCCTCCACGTCCATGGCAAAGCCGTCTGGTTCGCCAAAACTGGCTTCAAAAGTCAGGAAATCGCGCCTGTTGGTGATCGACCCAGTCCGCGCGTCAAAATCATAGGCGTATATCTTCCCATGAGGTGAATCTGTGACGTACATGATGTTATCGGCATCATTCCAGCCCATTCCATTGGGTGTCGTCATTTGGTGAACCATCTCATGCAAACTCAAATCTGGATCTAGTCGGTATAGAGTGCCCTCATGTTGGCCTTGGACATACTTGTGGTCAATACTTGAGCCTGCCCAAAAGCGGCCTTGATTGTCGACTGCGCCGTCGTTGAAACGCATTCTATCAAACACATGCCGTTAGTTCACGCCGGGCTTATTCGAGGGAAAGTCAACTCACCTATAGGCTTGCTCCTCAGAGGTATGCACGCGATGGATATAAGTCAGAGCACCTGATTGGTAGTCCATGGTAGCAAAGCCGTGCTTGGCCGCCACCACGATCTGAGTGTTATTTCCCGAGTCGTCGATCATATCTGCAGTCACACTAGATATCAATCAGGCAACAGGTCAGTACATGATGAAACAGCTCATTCGTGACGATAGCTGTCGAGGGAATACTTGCCCAATAGGCGATTCCGTATGTAATACTCGTGTTGCACTCGGTCCCTTGGCGAGATTTACGAAGTAAACCTTTTCATAGTCGAGATCAACGAAGCGCAGCTCATTGCGCTCTGGCGTATAGAAAGGTCCTTCGAGCAGGCCGCCTCTTATATCAAGATACGACTGTTCTTTTGATTAGTCAATGACTTCTCGATCAAGAATTTGAGGTAGAACACGGAAGTACCTCAGTGACTGTCCATCGTTGGACGTCGGCACTCGCACCCAATTTTCCGGCCATGGTAGAGCAATGATTCCTTGAGTAGACAAGCTATTTCTTGCAGTAATGCCTATTTCAACGAGTTACTTCTGAACCTACTTCTATTGACCTTAAAGTATAGTATCCAAGGTACCTTTATTATCAGGTACAGATTTCGGAACATGGAAAATCGGAGAAATCCCCGAGTGTGGGGAACAATGAAGATTTCTCCAGGTTCTGTGTTTTCCATATTATATACCTGAAATACGATTTCTTCTATGATCCTGTGTATTCTAATGGTGTGAGATTCTCGTCAAAGTTTTTCAGATTGGTCATGGATATAGACTTGTGTGCACCTAGGTATACGTGATACTTGATGTTGCTTCTCACCCCCGGATGATTCCCGCAATTGTCTGACTCCACGGCCAAGGCTCATCAGCAATGCTCATTTCGTATGACATACACCGAGTCAAAGAGACAAGAATACAGTGACTACTCAGGCCGTGAGTACCTAGATATCGGTAAGCTGGATTGTATAAACAGAACCGGGTATTCGAGTCTTGACCGGATCCGATTGTCCTCGTTTCCAGGGGTTATTCAAATAATGTCCGAGCGATGAGATAGATGTCATGCAAAACATCAGATGATATGCATATAAATACCGGGTGCATGTGCTCTGCACTTTAAGCTACATAAGAATAACAAATCACACTCCGAACATCCCATTCCGGACTGTAGTCGCAGATGATATAACATTCAGTAACATACGTACTTACTCGAGGACAGTACCCAATATGTGATGTATCAGCATGTCAAATTTCGGCCATGCACATGCAATACATCAATAGTGCACAGCGTATGATCCCCCAGAACCAATTCATTGTACGTGCAGTCATATCACAGTCTGATCTCAGATAATTTCTGAGAAGTCTGTCCTCATGTATAATTCAATATGGTATACCTCCCTGGATGTATACAGCATAGTTTATGCGCACATTTAAGAGCAAGGTTCTGGTTGACAGGTACCCATGCATGGGGGCGGGCTAGACCGGATCTCGCCTTGTGATCTATCAGTTGCTGGTTTGCATCTTTAATTTCGCTTATATCGATTAGTACAGCTGTTATAATTTCCACCCTGGGAGTCAATCTACCTTGACAGGCAGCGGCACGAGCGCAAACGAGAAAATATGAACTATCACTTTTTTATGAAAGCTTTTACCCGTACGCTTAGGCAACCCTCAATTCCCAATCCAGCCAGTCAGTCCGAGGATATGTATGTGATGTTAGTAGACATGCAGCCAGCAGTTTCATCATTTATGGCTATGTCTTGGTCAATTCTGATTCGGGCGGTTGGCGCGGATGTATGATATGACTTCTAGGATCTGCTGGCTTGTCACACTGTCAACGTCTGGTGTAGAGAAACACGAATCAATCTGTACGCGCTGTCCAAATCTCGGTTCCATTTTGAATCTATAGGCTTGAGATTTGAAACTGTCAATGCAGCTGAAAGGATTTTTAGCTCTATGTAACCGCACTGACCGGCAAATAGGATTTAACCACTAGTCAGTTGAGATGGGAAGAAAGAAGTGCATAGCTTTTATGTAAAGCACAGTGCATCGCAGGATCGAGCGTATGTAGTACTACGTAGTATTAAAAATAGCTAGAATAGATTTCAGGAATCCAATTGGCAAGTAGCGACAAAGAAAAAAAAGTGATGCCTCATGCTCCATATATGATGGGAGCACATATCCGAAACTAGCTCGCACTTCCCTTTCTCCTTGCTTCTAACGAGTCAGAGATTTTTGACACATAAGTTAAGGGTTTTGCTTTTTCTGGCTTCGTTTGCCCGTTCTCTCGAGACAGTACCGGTTGACCAGTTTTGACACTGCCAGTGCGATCCTTTGTTCTCATCGGGGCATCTCATTGATAGACATCAGAATTTCGGCAACTACGTACTCCATACTTGGCTAGGCAATGCCCTCGACAAGACCCTATTATCTGTACTTGCTTTTCCTTCATTACTTTAGGCGTATCATTACTGTCAAGACTACTGCATACATAGTGGATGGGTCGTGGGGACCATGTACTTACTGTACGTACAAGCATTTTGCGTCGCTTCAACTAGTCTTCCGTACTGAGCCATGTGCAGATACACGCAAATTGTGTTAGATTGGAGAAGCAATACTACTTTTGAGATTCTCAAAGTCTGACTTCTTGATCGCATACTCTCCAGTCAAACAAGAACGTGGTTTAACTGTATGTACATAATACATCAAACTGTTTCGGAAACTCTATCATATGCATGCATTACATCGAGGGAGACGCATTCTAACTGACTTCTTTGATATATCTGCAACCAGGTAGTACATAGGTGTACATATTCGGTATATTTCTTGTTATTCCATATGCACATCATGCAGGGTTTATGAAGCCGAAGTATGAGCCATTGTCATTGTCTGAACCAACACCATCATAATTCTCAAAAGTTTGCCTATCAGCCTATATCCGCGAATGATTACTCGACTTCGACGCAAATGACCGAACCACTTTCCCCATATTGTAAGCTTCAAGCTTGCTCATTGTTTGGATCAAAGTTCCTATGCACCTACGAGCTAATATCGACACTGTATCATCTACTGACAACTAGTTACTCGAGATGAAAGAAAGCTCCCCACCTCCCTGTCTCTCCCTGAATCGTAGTACCACTACAACTTCCGAATATGTTAGGTGAATCTCGATCATCTCGTAGAGAATGTATTCCGGGGATACGAAAAAGTTGTCTTGCAGTTTAAATCGCAGCATGCGATGGTTATGTGATGAAGTATCTACTTAATATCGAATTTTGACATAAAGAATTGTTGTTTTTGCGTAGCTATGAAGTAGTACGAAATCCATGGCTACCTTTTCTCTATTTGAAGGAACCAGTGAGTCTAGATTTCTTGAGTCCTAACAAAGGTTGATATTAGACCCGAGGAATTTTGAGAGTGCTATAGTGCAACTCAAATATGAGGATATCACTATCATGTGAAAGAGACTTGATATTGTTGAATAATCGAGGTGTGAGCTGTAAGAATGGTTCCTTCGAGGAACGGTTCAACCTCCCAAAGATTGAGAGTGACACAAAAGCCCAATTGAACAATATCTGCATGTCTAATGAAAGAGCCTAAGCGATACAACACAAGCCAACATTACATTCTAACTACTGAACATTAATTCAATGGATAACAACGATTATCAAAAATATTACAAATATTGCTATTGTTACACCTCCTATCAACTCCGAACATCAATTAACTTTTGCCCTCCTGCATTTCGAATAAACAATGTCTAGACATTTATATATGGAAAGATAACATGATTACGGTCAATCAAAAAGAAAAAAAAATTGAAAATGAAAGGAGAAATTGTTGAAGACAGATAGGATTTGCCGTAGATAGTACCATGCCTTCATTGAGCAACCTAACATGTAGTGATGAAAAGACCGATCCTATTGTCCAAGTCAGTGGAGGAAGATATCATGATGTATAGTAGCAGCAAGTAGGATGAACTTACGGAGCCGGATTGAAGTCCTCAAAGAATTCTAAGTTCGTACTTCCAGCATTCTTCAACTCAAAACCAACCGTCTGGCCAGCCGGACATGCAAAAGTTGCAATAGTATAAGAATGACCCGGAGACGCATTCGTCACACCATAATCAACCTTGACTTGTGGCGCGTTGGAGAAAGATGTCGAACTACCAGCCGGCGCTTGTAATTCCGAGAACGAGATGGCTCCATTACCACTGAAGCTAAATGCAGAAGTCTCGAGCTGATCCTGTGTTGGGAATAGGAAGACCAAAGAGCACTGCTTGTTTGCCAGATTGGGGAGGAAGTCAAAGTTGAAGATGGACGAGATTGTCGACGTGACTGTACCATTGAATGTAGTTCCGACCGCTTTGTTGGGGTTTGAACTGTCGATGGGGACGATAAGATGAGGGAATTCAAAGCTGCCATTGACGAGATTTGTGCCACAGCCGCCGCCTGATGGTCCTCCACCGCATCCTTGGTTACTACCTCCACCGCAACCACCGCCGGCTCCTGGAGCAGATCCGCCTAGTCCAGATGGCCCCCCTGTTGGTGATATTTTACCGCTAGGACCTGATCCAGTTGGGCCAGTGCTGTTTCCTGTAGGTGCTGGAGCGCTCGCGTTGGCAAAAGGAGGAGGACCCGGTGCTGTAGGGCCACCTCCTGGTGCGCTTGGTGTTCTTGTTCCTGATTCTGTCGGAGTGTTGGGTGCAGCTGGCGGTGTTGTGCCTCCATGTCCAATACCTGGACCTCCGGGAGGGCCTGCGGGAGGAGGACCTACAGGAGGCCCCTGAGGTCCGCATGGGCTAGGGCCTCCGGGGGGAGCAGGAGCCTGTGGAGGAGGAGTTGGGCTTGATGCTGGAGGTGGTGCATGCGGGGGTGAAATTGGTGGAGGTAATACTGGCGATGGAGGCGAGACAGGTGGTGTTCCAGGAGGAGGTCCTTGAGGAACACTTGGTGTTCCTTGGGGTGGTGATGCTGGTGGTCCACCTGGCCCTTGACATCTATCGGCGTGTAGCTCGATATGTTGACAGCCAGTCACATCCGCTGGAGGTGGATTTGTGTAGATATTCAGTTGGTCACTTTGACCTGAATGACAGGCAACAAAGTCCGCAGTTCCGTTGGAATGAAACTTTCCGGACGAGTCTATGGAGAATCCTGGTGCTGGAGTTGCTCCAACATCACACTGTAGTTGGGAAGTGGGTGCTGAAAACATTCAACTCAGTCAGCATGCTTTGGCAGAAATTTTGAATGATACCTATTCGGTGAGACATACGAGTAAGAAAGCATCCACGTCCGTTTCCGTCCTTGATCGCTCCAGAAGAGTCGATACAGAACTGTCCAGGCGGAATACCACTACCGAGACGAGTTTGACCATCATCAATTTGTCCTACAGTACCTGAAGCACTTCCGGTGGCCGACAAGCTGAAGCAACATATGGTAGTATCTCGAGCCACGAAGGCATTTGCTGTGGCTACAATTGCAGCAACTGCAAGAGTCGATCTCATGATGAAGTAACTACCAGCTCAAATAGAAAACCAGAATGGAAGCTGATGATGGATGTAGAATCCCCAAGCGAGTAGTAAGCGAACGTCGAATGGTATGGTAGCGGTCAGTCTGACCTTGAAACTGTATGCCAGACTAATAAAGACGCAGCGTATATGGTCTTGTGTGAACCACTATCAACCAGATTCCGTAGAAGAGAAAATCCATTATCATCGAAGAAGAGGCGACAGAGGCGGATTATATGACCCGCGGTGATCGCCAAGACTTTCGAGACACAGAGCTGTGATGATGACGATGCTTCGAGCGTCATACCATCTTTTTTTCTGTCTGTCGCTAGTATAAATTGGTTAGGGTCTGTTTGGCGAGCAAATAGGGGCCAACGACAGCCTGTCAGAGGAGTCGACACGGTCATTTTCTTTGCCATCTGACGGGTTGAAACGCTCGGAATTCATGATGAGTGAGGATATTGCTAGTGGCTAAATCGGGCATTCAGACCGAGGCACTGGAGGTTCGTCTCATTCACAGGGAGATTTTGTCCGAGGTGGCTGAGGAACGCCAGCCCATAGGGTTTGAAGGTATGCGGTCCGTAACCAAGGTACACACAAAGTTCATATATGTGGCTTGCCACAATGATTCATTTATTATTAGAGCGTTTATGTTTCTCGTATATGAGAGCGGATTTTCAGTCAGAAAACAGCGGGTATTGACATGAGCTTGTTGCTTCTGAGTTTAGGCTTTCATCTCAGCAGTAATGGACGGTATACGTATCTGCCGAATCACAATGAACCTCAACGTCCAATTCTGTCGAAACTTTCACGTAGTTTTTGGCAATGATATATCAAGATTCGTGCAAAATGCTTGTACTCCCATGTTTTGGTTGGAGAAGGTGTCGCAGCACCATCACCGGACTACTCTCTCCTAACAACCACGAACTTCGGGAAGAATAATCGTACTCTGCATAAAATGAAGTGTCCCTAAATGAATGACGACAAAACTGCGAAAAACTTCAGAGCCCAGAGCTTGTCATTGCTCGATAAATCGGACAACGGAACGTGTTTCCGACACTTGCCTAAAACGGAATTAGGGCTCAACTATAATTCAAAACGTCAGTTCATCACCCTCTGTACCAGCATACTTGTATATTTCTTTGAAGGAGTCAATTTTGTACCATGATGTTTCTAGGATGGCGGCCACCATACCTGGAGTACGCAGACGCAAGTCCGAATATCATGGCTCACCATAGAGCATATACTGTCCAAAGGAGATATCAGGCAATGACGTACGTCTTGACTTCAATGTTGCTATGTTGAAAATGCGACTGAGGTTCCATGAGTTGTATATGTTATTTTTGTCCTCTTGAGGACTTCGTCAGCGGGTAAAACTCGATCGTGCTGAGGGCGCTCCAATTGTAAGATTCGGATGTTGCATGGTTCTTGACTCATCCAGCAAATGGAAAGTAGAAGATTTGATCTGGCCAAGGAGACTGGTACCATCCCGCTTTAATCTGTCAAAGACAAATAAACCAAGCTAATTTTCCTGACGCCGAATGACGCACTATCACGCACGAAGTCAGATTACAACGAATACCCAAGTAAAGCGCCGGTTTGTCTTCTGAATTTAACATTCTTGAATTCTCTTAAAACCGAGATGATGGCCTTTAACATTTGACAGGTATCCCCGCCAGGGTGTGTGGACAAAATCTCGGAGTCAGAATAGACTTAGTGGGATATAGACGAGGATATAAGACCTCGCTTACGCATCCTTTCTAGATAGTCATCGCACAATACAGCATATTTTGTGCTTCATATTACCATTTATCAACATTCCTCTTATCTTCAACCTCCAGATGGGTAGAAAAAGAAGAGAGAGAGACGCGCTCTCCGCGTCGCTTCATCAAAAAAGGGGGTTGAAACGGGTGTATCTGTGAATCCGGGTGGATAGAACTTGAATACATAATCTCTATAGATGCAAACTGACAATTGGTCTTTACAGAGAAACAAATGTACGAGGAAATATCGACCTTGTTTACTACAACTTCTACCGAAGACACCGACGGAGCGGAAGGTGTTTATACGCCATCACAATTCACAAAGCAACGACTCGGATATGGAAAAAAAGCTATCCAACCTTTTGTTGAGCTCACGTCCGACTGGGCAGTACCCAGCGTATCCCTGGCTCGGAGAAGCCTATGCAATCCTCGAGAAGGCCTCAAAGCGTGCAATGACACTCCCGAGATGGTGTGATAGTCTTGATTGACACCAAAGGCCTCCAGAATTATTTCATCGATGTTAGTTGCCACTGGCATTGCATCGAAAAACAAGAATTCACATTGGTGGGGAATTCGTAATGCCGCATCAGGGACTTATTTGGTCCAATCGAGTTCTCACGGACAGCCTATAAAGACCTCAACTTTGGAGGCAATCTAGAAAGCTCATACCGAGGTTTACTGGATCTACCCACATCAGCATCCGGACGGAGGCTATGAGCTGTTTATCAACTGTTACAATGTTTTGGCACCGGTGACTGGTAAGAATATCGACACTTTACTCGGTGGGAATTCATAGAAGTTTAGACATTCAGTTTTTCTTGAAGTTAGTTAATTGAAGAACTGGACCAAAATTGCTTTCGATATCGCTCAAGGTGCAAGTACCTAGGTAGCTTAGGTTCCTATCCTCGACCATCTCAATGAAATCACATTTCGCTATTGCTTTTACATAACCTTTCGAATTATGAATTTTGGACTCGGCTACCTACACAATTCCAAGTACTCATGCACTGTCTGTTCAGGCTTCTGAAGCTATTGCCAGATACTCAGAGCTTTTGCTGTTACCTATATCATACCCTAGATCACTTCCAAAGTCGACTACTATTGGTCTCTTGCTATCACTTCCTCGAAGTCCTCCACCTGGCATAATCCTCATCCCCGAAGAAGATGCCGGAATATTCACTATGGGAAATCATGGAACGTTTGTCCGTTTGTCGCTGCCTAGACACAACATCATCTCCATGAAGAGTGAATCCTGCCTGTGAGATGCTGAGCAACGCCGAGCAATGCTACTATATAAGACGAAGAATCCCCCGGCCGTTCTTCTGTATTTTCTTCAAGCATAGAGAAATACCAATCCCTCGCGTCAACACTTGTTACTCAAGGCTTTTTATACAGTGATACCTTACTCGTACCACATCAACATTCTCTCGCCTCGATTTCAACTTCTTTGTGTGAGAACTCCCTCTGTTATTCATCATTACAATCTGTGGAAAACTCATCGAGATTCATTTAGGAAATTCCCAAGTCAATAGCTCAGTCGAAATTCAAACTGCGACCACAAAAGACTTCGAGTAAGTAAATAGGAAACCCTATGGCTTAAAGTCCTAGAGATGAGTTCTGTTTCTAATGAGTTACTACAGCATGCCAAACTTTTCCTACCTCATCCCCGACAGGACTTTTGTCTTCCGCTTACAGAACCCCGAGAATGTCCTCGTGGAAGTTGAGTATGGTCGAGTCGCTTTCCAGAATGAAAGTCAGTTGATCAGCTCCGGTACCGACAAACGCCGCTGGCAGTGGCGCGTTGTCCTAAAGAATGGTTGCTTCAATTTCAGGAACGTGTACTTCGGTGGCCTGCTCCAAATCGCAGGCAGCAACCCCAGTGAAACCGGCCTCTTGTTCAAAACTGGACCGGACACAGGTGGGCCACGCGCAAGGTTCTGTGTCGGCGAGGAATCGAATAATGGATGCTTCAAGCTATATCACAACGATGAAGGACAACTTGATCCGTGGTCGACCGCAGCCCTCCGCGATCCCAATTCCACGTACCCAATATTGTTTGACGACGTCGCGAATCGTCACATTTGTCATTTCAAGTTTGAGTTGATCCAGAGCTGAATGGTGTGGACTGGACATACATCCATGTTTACTAGCTTCCAATGATGCTAGTTAGTTCTTGTGCTTTTTTCTTTTTTTTTTTTTTTAGCTGATCAATGAGAAACAATCTCTATTCTCTTTAACGACTTGCAAAGATGTAGACAGTTCAATCAAGTAATCAAATTTCTGGTGGGGAGATGTAGGAGTTCTTGACAACCTGGGCTAAGCATGGGAGGTATGCTCCCGCGTGTCTGAATCCATCTTTACACGTACCACCGCGCCCACCCAAAACATAGATGTCTCTTTACTATATGTATAAAAGACGTGTGCGACTCTAGAAGAAGTACTATACGGTAGTAAGCTCTAAGCATGAGTGTGGCTAACTGATTCCTTGACAGACTCTGTCTCGAGCCCCTTTTCGAGGCATTCTGTACCTAACTCTATTTCTAGGACATATCTAAGCAGTGTTGTATTATAATTTTTGTATCTGCGAAGCCTAGAGCACCTTTTTTACATATCAGTTATCCAGAAAGGAGGTTGTCCGTCTGGCGTTCCTGGCTGACTGGCCATAATTCGACTTGTTCTGTGAAGCATTTATCTTCCCCAAGCAGTGATGGCTGCGTATTAGCAAGATACTTCAAGACGGTAAAAGTGAATAATGCTACTATGGTATGTGCTATCTTCCTAGCCTTCTGATCGAGAATCAGCATTAGTACAGTATACTGTTGAACTTCAACATCTTTGGTCCCACAAGCTCATTATACCTGCTCCCCTCGCGATGCATCTGACTCATGTCCTCCCACCGACTTAACAGGATCTGATCCTCTTGCAATTTCTGCTGCGCTCCCGCAAACGCATCCGATCCCATAACAATTCGCACAGCCCAAGGTCGACCCTTCGCCAGGCCTTCACCCTTGACGTAATCCACCATCCTTGTTGTTAGTTTTTCCATGTCGTTTGGGACCATGTCACCCGGATCGACATTGAAGATACCCGTGAACTCCGCAAACAGTGGAAGATATGCCTCCACACCCGGTTGAGTTGACCCAAACGAAGGCTTATCAGCATCAGGGGCGCGTGGCTGGCCCAGCATCGTGAGAAAACCGCCGCATTCGAACGACACACATCGGATTCCCAGGGCCCTGACTTCTGTTTGGATGGCCTCAACGTATGTGCTCAGTGCCGCTTTCGACGCACAATAGTGAGACATGAATGGTACAGTGTAGCGCGCGCTGCTGGACGATGTGAAGGCGAGAGTGCCGCTGCCTTGAGCGCGGAAATGAGGAAGAAACGCCTGCGTGACACGCATGGCGCCGAAGAGATTGACCTGAAACATTTTCATAACGTCCGCGTCTCTGTTCGTGTTCTTTATTAGCTTTATACCCCTGGATTAAGGGGAGTACTAAGTACTGATAGAAAGGAACGAGGAAATCTTGAAAACAGGGTAGTTGACTTACTCAGCCTCCTCAACACTCTTCAATAGAGAAACTCCAGCGTTATTGACCACAACATCGATGTGTCCGAATATAGCACACGCCTCGTTGACCTTGTGAACGATCTCAGACTTCTCCACTGCCACGTCAAACTCGAAAAACACAACATGGTCTGATTTTGGAATCTGGGGACCGAGACGCTCCTCGACTTTTCGTCCGGTTGCAATGACCTTGTCTCCACGCAACAAGATTTCAGCAACAAGTGCGGCGCCTATGCCTGAGGTGGCTCCAGTGACGAACCAGACGAGTGGTGCCATGATGGTGAATTTGGGATGAATATATGAAGTCAGGATTACTTTGAAGATTGATTGTGTATAAGCTCAAATGAGACTGGGCAAGAGTCTGACTTTAAGACTTGATAGTGATTCGCAATAAATGATTTGTGTTTTGAGTGACTTCTTCATGAGAGTAGGATCTATCACTCTACTTAAACTCGAGAGCGAGCAGAAACACTTGATTCCTAGCGGACCTCACCATCGCGGACATCATGGGACGGACCCTTACCGTCCGTTCTTGTTTCAACTGATATTCAGTAATCTCTTCTCTATTTCCTGAGAGTGTAGTTGTCACTCGATAAAGAACGCGGACGAGATGCGGTCGAATTCATTTGTCCGCGGACAAGGTGAATAGCTAATCCATATAAGGCTTAGTGCTTCATTTAATCGTTATCATCATTGGACTTCGTCCGAGTTGTGTCTCGTCCATCTCCAAAGCCGATTGTCGGCTTTGGAAGCTCAATTCCTTGCCCTAATCATGTCGATCATCAGTTGTTGACTTGTCATTAGCAAATATGCCGGATTCAGAGCAGTCGGTATTACCTTATTCTAGATTAAGAACCGCGAAGAAGATGAGAAAAGGAACTCGCAGCTGTGTTGAGTGTACGTTCCGAGCCGGACTGGACTTGTCACCTTGGCCGTGTCTAGCGTTTACCCCGGCTTTACCTTACATCGGACGAATGCCGACTAATTCGTCTTTTACTATAGGCCGTCGACGGAAAATTCGATGTATTATGCCACATGGGTCGCAAGTCTGCGCCCCGTGCCACAGCAGAGGCTCACGATGCATCGACCAAAGTGGTGAGCCCTATCCCAGGGCGAGCTTCCTACGCAACGATAATACAACAGACGAATCTAGTCCTGCAAGTGTGCGTGGAGGAGTGTCTACGTTGTGAGCAGCTTCCTGTTGGTCATTGTCTTAAATTGTCTAGCATCGAATAAATGGATTGGCTGACCGGTGTTGTGTCTGCTTTACCAAAGGGCTGCGCACTCCTTTGACATTGATGCATCGTCTAGCTTCAGCACCCATCCTCCCCTTGTCTCGGTTCTCGGATCCATATCCGCTCAAGGTATCAGCCCAGCCAGGTGCACCTCCCTCTCTCGACCATCAGCTTCACCCTCTCAGATGAAGGCCAAGGAAGTCTGCGAAAACCTACGTTCTGCTTTGCCCAGCTTTGATCGGGTTTCAAGCGTGTTTGGCGAGAATGGCAGCTGGTGGGACAGCTTCCGCGATAAGACTCGCGTTATATCACAGGCTCACTTTGAAGACATAGACACATTTTCTGCGAAGGCATATACAAGTATGAAGCCAGCCGAGGTCGGCACTCTTGCAGTAGCCTATGCTCGCAGTCTTAATCAAGGATTTCACCCGCTGATGGAAACTGTCGAAAACCTTGTCCTTTCGGACATATCTTATGCAGCCACTACGGATGGCATGATGTGCCTGATACTTTTGGGGAAAACGTATACTGATATTGGCCATCCACGCCGTGCTTGGCTTGTGTGGCGACGGGGCATAACCGTCGCCCAACTCATGGTATGCGTCCCATCAATCACATTTGGTGTGTGGCTCGCTAACAAACTGACGAAGGGATATCACCGCGAGGACTGCGTTGATCCAGGGGGAAAGGGGGCCTGGTGTGCAGTGTATCATGGTGATCGCTTCACAAGCATGTTGCTGGGGCTACCTCATGGATGCAGTGACAGTATTCTGGAGCCACAGTTCAAAAATGTCACTAACACCATGCCTTTGGAACATCATTTCACGCACCGATGCGCTGTTGTAGCCGGAAGAATCATTGAGAGGAACGTTGCATCAGCAAAGCTAGCCTATTCAGAACTCATGGCCATCGATGAGGAAATGGACGCTATAGCGGACTCGACGCCTCAATCTTGGTGGGCCATTCCGGATAACCTGTTGATTTCTTACATTCTGAACTTTGAGGAGTTGCGGGAACGACTTCTCCTGCACTTCTACTTTTTCCACGTTCGCCTACATTTACATCTACCATCCATGACAACGTCCAAGACCGTTCATGCAACTACTCACGTCAGCAGGCTGGCTTGTATCGCTGCAGCTCGTCAGCTGATCAAGCGGTTTAATGTTTTGAATATGATGACCCCTAAGGGAAAGCGACTCTTTGAATGTAAAACAAGCATTTTTGTCGCTTTCACAGGAGCCGTAGTCCTCGCGCTTGGGATGTGCCATCTTATCGACCTTCGGTACAGTGAAGTAGACTCACAGGAGGACGAAAGACTGCTCTTAACCTTCTATGCGGCTTTACAAGATGAAGAACGGCGCAACGGCTGTAATATTTCGTCGCAATGTCGAACTGCTCTCGGTGCTCTTCTTACAGTTACACCACATGGTCATGGCAGAGACGGGGGAAGCAATCTATCCGCTGATGAAATGCCCTGCGAGATGCGCATCCCGTATTTTGGAAAGATCTCGCGACTGAAAGCCGGTGGTGGCTCAGAACATGGAGAACCGCAGCCTGTTGAACTCGGCTTACCTCCCATGACAAACGAGACGCTTAGTGCTGAAGTGTCTGCTCTTCCTTCAGCGGCTACAAGCACCGCCAGGGACTCTTGGATATATGAATATCCAGAAACATGGATGTCAGTATCTTTACTCGCAGGTTCAGAGGCTGACACCGGCTACGATAATCTGTTCTCGCAGCTGGATATGCTGGAAATGGATCTCGATTGGGACTGGGCATCCTTTTCGACTAACGAGATGGGATGATGGAGCTATTATTGCTGTTTCTAAAAACAGATGTAATGCCTGCAACTAGGAAGCTATTGGCGTCACTTGCAAAGCAACGTATAGCTGGCCGTGTTGTTTTATATCCGCTGGTCGCTCATATTCTAACCACTGCACTCAGGCTGAGCTAGGCGCTGAGTTTGTAAATATGACTAATCATTGCGATTTCCCGTGTCATCGACTTCCCTTTCCGATCTTTTAGTTCATTGCTCTCAGTAACACCTGTCCTTGACACAACTGTTGATTCGTTATGAGTACTGACTTCGGTAACAAAGCCCTAGACGGTAATACCCGTAAACAGGGTCAGCATACTGTGACAAGCCACTCATAGCTTGAAAACTGATGATGTAGAAAGTGATTTATTACTGCTGTGTTATAGCTGATAGAGCTAGGGTATCACCCTCAAGTGGTGAGAGTATATAATAGCTTAGAAAGGAGGTGTTTGTTTGTTGTCATTTGCTTTCTTTCCTCTCACACTCCATTTTATCATTACCCGTAGACACTTTCTCTTCACCCATCTCTCTACAGACATTTTTCACCAGTCACTTTGATCCAAATTATGCCTTAGGTCTTACTTTATTATCCTAACAAGCATACTACTGACATGTCAAAGAAAGCCAAGCAGGCCACCAGCGGTGCCAACAGTATGAACCAGAGTTCCATTATGCCTCGCAATCAAATATAGGTCCGGACCTCATGCTGACTAGACTTTCTATTTCAGTGGGTGAGAATATGTTTGGTCCACTTCTAGACCAGGCACTGCACGCAGCTGTCGACAAGGCAGTTAAAAAAGCACTGAATGAAGTCCTCGAAAAAACTGTGGACCAAGCCGTCAAGAAGGTCGTGGATGAAGCTGCACGGAAAGTTATGCAAGAGGCCTTTAAACCTTCGTATGCCAGGAAGTTACCACGTTTACCGAGGGTCTTCTCGACAGATGAAAGCTAAGAGTCTTCCGACGAGGTCGAAGAAGTCGAAGAAACCGGCGTTACGCAGGATGAGTCATTGAAGACCCCTGCACAAAGCAGTATTGAAGATGACGATGAAGACTCCTGTGAAAGCATCAGCGAAAGTGAGGAGCCATCAAAGGGAAGCTTTCGACCAGGCTGCGAGTATCATACCGCCATCCTAATAAAGGTTGGCTATTGTGCACTCGAAGTCAGAAAGGACCATCACCTCTTCGTCGCCGAATACTATCCCTACACCGAATCCAGGTTCAACCACTGAAAGTGTATCCAAAAGGATGGGTATTATTGCCTCTACAATCGTGAGGCTAAATGTTACCTAAAAGTCATAAAGCACAACCCCAGTGCTAGGAGCGCAGAACTACTTGCGGGGTTAGGGTTATTGGTTTGTTTCATGTCAAACCACACCCGGATGACGACAGGTACGAGAGGTACTGTGAGTGCAAGTTCTCGTACTTGAAAGATAATCAATTATGGGGCATGGAAGCGCGGTGCAAGGGTCGCTATGTCGAAGGTATCATTGAAGATTATGATGTCTGGACTATTGGGGCTAGTGATGAAAGCGGATCTGTGCTGGTGCGGAGCTTTAAGACTCAGAAGAATTATTTGTGGCAATTCAGGGAGGTCGACGTGAGAGATTTCGAATCGGTGCATTGGTGACAAAGTCGCTGGTATGATTCTTACCTTGAGATAGTTCTTGCGATGTAGATCCTGTCTGGAACAGATCTTCTCTATATGGAGAGATACACGCTGTATGAACAAAAATCCATTGATATTTCCTATGATTCAAAGGTGAGACATAACCGTAATACAATAATCGAAAAATAAAACCCTCTATCAAAGCAGAAACATAAGAGAGAGAGGTAGAGAAAAGAAAAAAAGAAATGGACCAACACAGGCTCGAACTGTGGACTTCCGCATGACTAATAAGTTACTTGTGATACAAGCAGATATTAGTACGGCACTCTAACCAACTGAGTTATAAGTCCTTGGAATAAGCCAAACAAATTTAGATATATGAAATTAAACTAGTGATAGATTTAGCCCTGTCATTACTGTCAGTGCACATGCTGTGTATCAATGTACTTGGGGTTCTGCCGAAGATGTCTACAGATTATATAGATAGATTTCAATGTCTGCTAGACGGATTACCTTCAGATGATCCAGGTTAGCGATTGTTATGTAAAGCTGCGCAACCCCACAGACAGAACATGGGAATATATATACATCGCCTCCAGACGACTCGGATCTGACACTATCCAAGTACGCTACATGCGGAAGGCTACTTTCTAAAGTTAAAATACTACCATTAACACGCAAGTGACCATTTAATCCTGTGTGACACAAAGAGAGTTTGCTGTTGGCATGAAACTATTACAGTAAGTGTGGAAAGGGACGCAGTAATCGCTCGCATTTTGGGGCTTGGGCGCTTGTTGATCTCGGATGAGCAGCAATAGTGGACGAGAATAATCAACAATAGCCAGTGATCTCTGTTCATTTGACATTTACGAGTACCTAATGTCCGCCATAAAAAAAATTCAATACAAATTTATGAAAATAGAAAGAAAAGAGTTGATTAGACATCCTGCTTGAAAAATTACAAAAATTTAGTGTCATGTAAACTTTGACATGCAGCCTCTTTTGTTATGTCAAATTTGACAATACCGCCAAGAATTTTAAGATTACATGACTGTAATTTATTAGCCAATAAAATTGAGTAATAAAATTGGTTAACCAATAATATAAAGTTATAAACTATATGCTGTGAAATAAGTTACTAGTGTGTAAAGTGCTCCACTACAGCTGACAAGTAATTTTGTCAATTCTGACAAAAATTTAGTGTCGCGTCGACAGACCCACTTGACATGACAAATCCATACAGGATGTCCACTTCCACGAGGACTATACCGTATTAGGAAGGATAACAATCTCATGGAATTTCCTAATCGGGGCGATATTTTAGGGCAAGATCATGGAGCCCTCGACATTGTCGCTATATTTGTTATATATGGGGTGCGGAAATTTCGACACATCCGCACCTGCTACGAGTCAAGGCAGATCAAAGCGTGTTTACACTGTAGAGTTGTGACCCGGAGTTCAAGTCACTTATTATTCAATAGATCAAATATACATATTCACATAGCTTCCATTGTCATGTCATATCATACTATATAGATATTCATGACAGTCATTAACTACATTGATTACACCCTCCACTATCACCCCCGTGAGCTTCTTAGCCCTAATAAGTCGGCTTCAGCTCACTCTAGTTCTTCCTCTTCAAGAGACCCTGGTCATTCCAGTTAGCGTCAGCACGAGCAGGGGTCTTGCCATCGTAGTATTCGCTGCAAGGAGCGAAGCCACAGATATCCTCATTTGTACCACGGAGCTGGCCAAAGGGTCTCCACCACTGGTCCCAACCTTCACCGGCGAATTGGCTGAGATTCCAGTTGCGCTCGAGGGTGACGACTTGGGTGAAGTCTATAGATCGGGTTAGCATGATTGACTCCCAAGGTGGCGAGGAAGATGGACTTACGGTTGTAGTAGTTCATGTCAACGCAATCGTAGCACTTCAAGGTATCGTTACCGAGAGCCAAAGTGTAGATTGAGTTGGGGTCACCGAAGTTGTCGTTGGTGTAAATGTCTAACATTCTTATGAGTACGCCTTCTGGGCCAAGGTTGAAATGGGGAGACTTACTGTTTTCATCGAAGGTCAAGAGGATAAAAGTATTCTTCATAAACTCGGCGTTGTTCAACATGGTGTCAATGACCCGCTGAGTGTCCACGGCAGCGTAGGAGACGTTGGTGTCGTGAGCATCATTCTTCAGGTTAGGAACATAGTACATGTAGTTGGGGGCATGGGCACCGAGGGCAACATCCTTGGCGAAGTTTTCTTCGGCGTTGACAATGTTCTTGCAGCGCTCGGTGTTGTTGCGGATGTTGTTGAAGGACATGAAAGGATTGTGCTTGCTATCGGAAATCATTAGCTGAGCTGATTTCTCAGGTCATGAATGATCGCTTACCGGACGTAAAGAGTGTCCTGGTCCTTGGAGTAGGGGTTGCAAGCACCGCCCGCGAGCGGTTTGTAACCTTCCATGTACGCCTTCCATGTGATACCTAGCGAAATTAGTAAATTGATTAAGAAGAAATAAAATAAACATACCGGCAGGCTCGAACAAATCGACGATGCTTTGTTCGGTGGAGTTGTGGTCGGAATCGTCATAAACACCGGCGGCGATGGTGTTGGCCACCATAGTGATATAGTTAGGCTATTTCCACTGTTAATCCAACATCACCGAAAAACATCACGAACTAAGCAGGTTTACCTGAGAAGGATGAGAAGTGCCTATTCAATTACATTAGCGTTGATTAGCGTGGTTAGAGCTTGTACAATGTAACCACTTACCGTGGTATCCACCAAGCAGCATGCCGTAGTGAGTTAAGTTGAGGAAGTATTCGTTGCCCATGGCTACCTCCTTATCGGTGTTCTCGAGGATGATCACCACGAAACCTAGAGACACAATATCAATTGTCTGTTCGGCTTCAAAGGTACTGTTCAGCACTTACGGTCGAACCATTTTCCGCGAGGCTTGTTGACAACCTCACGTTGCTGCAGGGGAACGGCTGCGGCCATGGACAGGCCAGACAGCATGAGCGCGGCGGTGGAGAACTTCATCTTGACCGAACAGATGAATCCAAGGAGACTTGTCAGTTTGTGCTGATGGGTAGAAGAAAGAAAGAAAAAGAGAGCAAAAAAATCTAGCAGCAGGGCAAGCCTGTATAAATACTACCAAAACAAAACATCGGCCGATTGTTTTTAATCTATTTTATTATCGTACATATAATCTAGTCAAATTAAACTAGTTTTCTGGACTAACCTCCAGAGGCACCACGTGCAGCAAGCCATTGGCCAATAACATACACAGATCAAAGCATGCAGTTCATCCATGTTGAAGTTTTTCATGATTTCGCCTCGTGGTCGTGTCTAGTCTCCGAAGCCGACATCCGGATAGTCCGCTGAAGGTGCAAAAGCTTAGCCTCAACACCCATTTCGGCGTGTTCGACTCGGTTGTTCTTGCTGATGGCCATGATAATCAACATTCTGCCTGTAATGATTGGAAAGTTAATTATATTATTGTTCAAGTCCGAGTGCCGATAATTATTATCTCCGAGATTCAACCTGCATCATCTATCATGACAGACGATGTCTTTACAGCCTTTAGAATGCCGAGAAGTTATTTCAAATTTCGATCACTGTAGAAGAATAGATACGGAAACGGATGATGGTGGATCAACCAATGCTGACTCAAGCTTCTCCCAAGACATGACACGATGCTTCTTCCTGACCCACCGCCAAGGGCTTGAAAATAAGCCTTAAAAAAGTCAGGGCGAGCTCTTTGCGGAGCAGAGTTCGAGAAACCCATTGAAATTCCTCAGGTTTATCTGTTCAGCCACATTGAGCTGAGAAGTGATTATTGAATAGCACTGAATTCACACGATAAAACTGACTAAATGGAAAAAATACGTATGTAACATAGACACTATAGATATCGCTCAAAAGCTTTCGCTGCGTCAATGATACTCTGTTTGGGCGAAATCCACTCCTTTCCAGTGGCTTTGACAGCCTTGCTACCATCAACCCTGCCCGAGCTATTTTCCGGATAACTAAAATCAGGCAAATAACCCACTCCAGGGGTACCCTCTTTGATAATAGTTCTCCTGTCTGGATATTCCTGACGCAAAATATCTGCAATAGCTTGCTCGACTCTAAGTCCGGATACAGCAAGGAATCTCTGATTGCTCGATTTCTCCGGTTCCTGAACTGCGAACAGAATCAAACGAGCCACATCTCGCACATCAACTGCACCACCACCGGGACGACCGAGAGGTGGAGGAGGAATATCCTGACCAGAAAAGATCGTCCAAATAGCCATGGTGGTCGAGTTGATATCTTCAGGATTTTCCGGGAATAGTATCGGTGGCCCCCATACGAAGACAGGGTTGATTGCGGCCAAGGTAAAAGATGGGGATTTCTCACGCTGGAAATCCCACATTGCTCGTTCCGCGGCGGTCTTGCTAGCCTTGTATATCAATCCAGGTGAAGCCTCTTTGCCTTGAAGCTCGACTGCCTTTTCCGAGAAATCATCCCAGTCCTCCTCGGTGAAGGTATATGGCGCATCGGTCGGCCTTAAATTAGTCACTGCCGCGACGGATGATAGCAGGACAAACGTCTTCAGGTTCGGTCCAGCTTTCGAATATGCAGATTCCAATACGGATTTCGCGCCATCCACGGCAGTACCAATGAAAGATTCCGGGTTTGGCGAGTTTGAAGGCATCGGCGATGCAGTATGTGCTATAGCATGGACTCCGCGCACGGCATCATCGAATGCTCCCGGGAGCGTGATGTCGGGGACTTGGAAAATGGTAAATCTACCAGAAGCGGCATACTCTTTGAATGGATCAGCCTCGAGCACTGTAGCTGCGGATTTGGCGGATCGAGTTGTTCCTCGGACATTGTAGCCTGCGTCTAGGAATACTTTAGCAGTCCAGGATGCGATGAAGCCGTTGACAGCGGTCACGAGGACTAGAGGGAGTTCGGTTTGTGATGCCATTGTACGTAAGTGTGCCTTTCTTATATTCGGTATGTGTGGAGAAGATTCTCTCTATTTAAGTAGACAGTCTGAATCCATGGATATCCATGGAAATTCCTCGACATTCCTCATTTCGCCTTTAGATTATGTGAGCAGCACCGTGGATGGTTGAGATCAGTAATCTGATATTGTTCGCGCTCGGGTGCACGACCTCGGGACTGGCCATACTAATCATTTAAGTTGAGTATGAGCTGATGTTGGCCAGAAAGCGTACGCCAATGCTGGGCATCCGTGGATTCTATACCGAATAGTTTAGTTATATATGCTCGTATTCGATTCCAAGGTTTCTGTAACAGGGTGAGATAATACTGTCAGAGGTTCCACGCGTGGAACGGAAAATGTGTCGCAAGCTCAGTCTTGTCCAGTCGCTTACTGGCACACGCCACAGTTCCAGGCCAAGAACGTGAGACAATGCGATGCTACAACATTGTCAAAACTTGTCGCAAATCGCAAAGTGGTCTTAAATATGGACAAAATAGACAAACTTGCGATCACTCGTATGGAACTGCCGGCCGGTTAGTAAGATGACTAAGATCTGTGTTGCCCCTCCGATCTCCGCCTGATATCATCTTAATTACTGAACAATCATCTTTTCATCTTCATTTCTTCAATTTGTTGTCCGATTCAATTCCATCTCTTCTCTGTCGCTGAGCTGCTGTTGACCACTCCGATAAGATAACAAAATCGCGGGGTTCACATCTACCCGTCTTATCCGCCTCATCTCGTCACCATCATTCTGCCCAAACAATAACAATCTCGTGCAATCAATAAATCAATATGGATCGCAGCAAAAAACCAACCTCAATCGGTATCGGAGGCTCCATACCTCAACCAACAGTAAACATCAACGACAACGGCACCGTCGACGCAAAACTGCCCTCTGGCGAATCCGTGACTGTACACTTGTTTGGCGCAACGGTGATTTCGTGGAAGCTTGCGAATGGCGCGGAGCAGTTGTTTGTGAGCTCCAAGGCGATTTTGGATGGATCAAAGGCTATTCGTGGTGGGATTCCGGTTGTGTTTCCTGTAAGTCTTTTGATCCTTTTTCTTTCAATCATAGCTGTACTGACAAGATGTTGGATAGGTATTCGGTCCCCCGCCTCCAGACCATGCCACCTCCAAACTTCCTCAACACGGTTTCGCGCGTTCATCCAACTGGGAATTTCTGGGTAAATCGTCGTCCGAGTCTTTGGGTGATAAAGCAGATACAACAGTCAAGCTGGATTTTGGTCTGTCCTCGAGTATGATCACTGAAGAATTCCGCAAGGCCTGGCCATATGAGTTTGGGCTTGTGTACAGTGTTACACTTAGCCCGGAGAGTTTGGAGACTTCTCTACAAGTGCAGAATAAGGGAACTGAATCATTCGATTTTCATGTGTTGTTGCATAATTATTTCAAGGTTCCTGTAAGTTGCATTACTCATTTTGTAGGCGGATATGATGTTGACTTTTTAGGACGTCACCAAAATTGGCGTCACCAACCTCCAGAACAAGACATATATCGACAAGGTGGACAATAAACAAGAAAAACAAGAAACTTCCGACGCAATTGCCATCACCGGTGAAACTGATCGTGTCTACCTAGACGTCGACCCTGCGACCCCTGTCAGTGTGGTTGAAAACGGCAAGCCTCTGTTCACAATCGCCCGTGAGGGGCTCAATACTGTGACTGTATGGAACCCATGGTTGGAGAATGCGAAGAAGATGAGTGATTTTGGTGATGAGGAGTATAAAGGGATGGTTTGCGTTGAGCCGGGTGCTGTGAAGAGCTTCTCAGTTCTGGAGGGAGGGGATGCGTGGGAGGGTACTCAGACTATTCGGCCTAGATTGTAGTAATGTAGTAAGCTACCTATAGTCTGGTAATTAGATAATTGAGTTGTTAGGGGGAAAGACTCTACAATTGAGGTTTGGAGCAATGAATCCTTTTAATCACAGTCAATCAAAAAATGGTACAGTAGAACCTGGCTTAACGAAAGAAGACCTCTCCATGTCTAAACCTATCTGTCCATAAAGTATTTCCAGGTATTTCATATATATAGGTATTAGTCTGCCGAAGCGTCACTGCCCTCGTTGACATCACGTCAAGAGACAGCCCGTGATTTGAATCGACTTCTTCACCCTTTGCAGAATTGTTTCAGTTACTGTAATGGGTGACGTTATTGGACCAAGCTCTCACATGCTGGGTTTTGGCATGGGGACAGCAACGATCGTATGGATGAGAGCGTTCATGGCCAGCCCACGCCGATGAAAAATAGGCTGAGGCTTTAGTTTCTCAGCGATCAACAAGCTCATCCGGGCTGAGTGCCCAGTTTGTAAAGATGTGAGGGTCTGTTGTCATGCTTGGATGCGATATTGCCAATAAGGCTGTTTGCCGATTCTCTGGATTTTGGCTATTCCGACAAAGGATGTTGCCGTTCTCGCACCAGAAGATGATGAGTGATTGTCCCGGTTCAAACCAGATTGTCTTGACGAATTCGTCAAGGCCTTTACTGAAAGCCGGGTCTTGGTGATTGTGCAGATTCATCCCTCCTTTGAGAATGATGTTGACGTCCCACAGTCTATGAGGGAAGTGCGATAACGGAGCAGAGTCTTCAATGTAAACTGTTAGCAAGGGCTAGTTCTTCTTTGCTTGGAGGAGTGAACGTACGCATTCTTCCCATGCCATCGTCTAACATCCGTGACATTCCCTGTAGCTCAGCTTGATCGGTCAATAGCTTATCAAATTCCGCCAACATCTTGAATATGGTCTCTTCAAAGGTAGACTATTGGCTCAATAGTTGTAAGCATATTATGCAGCGGATAACCGGAATTGGCGCGATGTGAGTGAATCCGTATTGTCTGTTCTCTATATTTTGGTGCTTTGGCATGTTTCTCATCTTATCACGAAGGCGAGTGTCTTCAGGAGCAGGATGCAACACGCATTGACGATGGACTCATCCACACATTCAGATGATTGTTCTCATATATGTCCAGGACCCTTTTCTGAGCCTTGGTAAGAGAAATATCTCCCAAATTATGGCAGCCAAAATCTCGTGCACTACTTGTGGTATCCCAAGGACCCTCTTCAGCAGAACCAAAAGAAGCCAAGGATAGCATGCATACTGCCCAGCCAGCGGATCATTGCGGCAAATTGGATTGATGGTGACATGTTGTTCGGTTGAGTAGGCTTAATATTGAGGAATGGATTCGGGCGGCTGGTATGATATCATTGGTCTTGATCAGGCGACCTATTGGATGGTTAGTAATAGTTCTAAACAGTCTTTAAACAGTTGATTACTCACTCGCCTTCCGAGATGGATGCGTACATGAGCTCTTGAGATTATTTGAATGTATTGGCTCAGTTTTGATCCAAGTACGTTTGTCGAAGACCTATGACTTGCTGCAGGGCTGAAAGTGACTTCTCCACTCATCCAGTGTCACGAAACTCGTGTCGAATTTTTGGTCATCGGAAAGTGGTGTGATTGTGACCAGCTCGATATCAGCCTTCAATTGTAATTTTCTCGGAAATGATCTAGCAGCTTCTAGAGTCGGCTGCATGGCATTGAAGATTTCCAGGACGCGACGAGAATCTGGATGTACTGGCTTCACCAGACCCTTCTGCACTTAATATCTTTCGAGCTGGAACGGATGGCTTGCGAACAGTGGGCTCAACCTTCTTACCTTTACTCCCAATTATAATAATACGAAGGAAACTGGCATGAGAAGACCCCTGCAGTCCAACTTTGAAACTCTCCAACTTAAACAGTAGTTGGAGGTAAAGTGGTACCGGCAAGCTCCCGCGGTTCAGCTTTCATGCCGTCAAAATCCATAATAGTAGGAACCAAAGTAGCACCGTTCCCTCCGAGGGCTAGCTCTGAGGGTGTTCTGAAGTCCGCTCTTGATGGGTTTCTGGTCGAAATTGAGACCGCAAATTATGCGTGATTTTAACGGTTTGATCCATCAGAGTCGGCTATACCTAGGTGGCTCTCTGTAGCTACTTCGGTACGGGCTCCCAATCTGTTCCATTTCATGTGGAATCATGTGAAGAAACCAAGTCGGCCACTGCCATAAGTTTGTGATGACGATGAGGGTTATTCATCAGGAGCACGGGCTAGAACAGGTTTATCGATCATCGGCTCTTCTTTCTCAGAAGCACGTGTAAACTGTGACAACATTAGAGGAGTTGCAGATAAAGATGGTGAGGATGAAGTCTTACTGGGTTCTGGTAAAGAAAGGCACAACAATGAACCGCCAGATTGGTCAAAGAATGATTTCTCATGAAGTGAGGACTCCCCAGAAGAGATTTGTGAGTTGTTGCCCCTCTTGACCTTGATATCTTCACTGTTTCTAGTGGGGTTGTTGTCCCCCTTCCTCCTCACTTCCAAGGGGAATGGACGCTTCCTCCACGCAATGATGCTGCAAGCCTTCAGCATGAGATTCATATGCATCCAGATCCTCGATGAAGAGGAGCTCTGAATGGAGGGGAAATATTTATAGGACTTGTGAAAGACGTCTGTGGCACTTGGCAGCCAATTTTCAAAAGAGGATGTGGCCAGTTTGTCATGCTGGGATTGAACAGTCGGAGTTGGCCTTCTTTGGAATCAATGTACTGATACAATCAGTTAAGCACATATGAAACAAAGAATGGACTCACCGGCACACAGTTACCATCACAACAAGCATGGCAGTGCTTGTTCACTCTTCAAAGTTTTTCAGTGGAATGTCAAATTGTGTCTCTTGGAGACGGGATGTGAATGCCTTTGATGTCCAGAAAGAGGATGTTCAGAAGCTTCAGAAGCTGAACAGCCCGTTATTTTATATATAACATAAGAACTGTGATAAAAGCAGTCCTCATGAAGGATAAATAGATGAGGAGGAGGAGGAAGGGGGAGAGGAAGAGGGGAAAATTTATAGTCAAGAGAAATAGGGAAGGGGGGAAGGAAGGAGGGGGGAGGGAACTCCGTTGGGCGCAGGGCGTAACTCGGAGCTCCCAAAACCATAAGTCCATAAGGTCACAAGGCCAAGGCTACAAGTGTTTAATGTCTCTATACGCTAATGATACTCATCATACAATGCCCGATTTCCTAATGTAGACATTTGTTCTCATAATAGGTGAGACTATAAAGACCATTTCGACCACGCGCAGCAAATGATGATATCGCAATAATGGTCAAGGGGTTACGATACGGTCCTCCCACATCGTCTGTTTTCGACGAATATAGGATAGACCGTGACCCGGGTTCGAATCCCGGTTATTGCAACATTTATCTTCCTTTTTTCTTTTTCCTTCTTCAGTTTGCTTCGAGCTAATGCATGTAACTAGTGTATATTTCTGATCATGAGGGCATACACACCAATGGGATGAGCAGATCAACGCTGGATTAAAGGATTACGTGCTAGAGGGCTAGAATGACCTACTTTATCTACCCGCTCACTCTTTTTCTTCCTTTTCTTTTTGTCAGCAATTTGTGCCAAAAAAAAAAAAAAACCAGAAAGTGTATGAATGCCTTCGGACATTCGTCAAGATCTTGGACATCCAGAGACTCAGCATGTAGTAGAAGAAGAAGAGGAGGAGGAGGAGGAGGAGGACTACAATGGATTATTTGCTGATAATGAGGTTGCCGAGAGTACGCCCAGAGTAAATGGGATATTATCAAGCGGAGATGACAGCAATGGTGGAGGAGAACCAGAACCAGAAGAAAAAGAACCCCCCGTCTCATGGAGTCAACTTCCCAAAAAGACGCAACTACTCATCCTGGTCCTGGCCCGATTATCAGAACCGTTAACGCAGACCTCGCTTCAAGCATACCTATTCTACCAACTCAAATCCTTTGACCCTTCGCTCCCGGACTCGGCAATCTCGAGACAAGCTGGGATATTTCAAGGAAGCTTTACCGCTGCTCAGTTCTTGACATCTGTATGGTGGGGGAGAGCGGCTGATTCGCCCTGGGTGGGCAGGAAACGAGTTCTTTTGGTGGGATTGTTTGGGACGCTGATATCGTGCGTCGGATTTGGGTTTTCGAGATCCTTTACGGCTGCAATTATATTCCGGATTATGGGTGGGTTGATGAATAGTAATGTCGGAGTCATGAGGACGATGATTTCGGAGATTATCGTGGAGAAGAAGTGAGTCTATCAGAAGCCAGTCATGATACATTCAGCTAATAGAGCTAGATATCAATCACGCGCTTTTCTACTACTGCCAATGTGTTTCAATGTTGGTGTGATTATAGGACCTAGTCTGGGTGGTTTTCTGGCAGAGCCGGTTACAACTTTTCCGGGCATTTTTGGACCGGGTTCCTTAATCGGTGGTAAAGACGGTGTATGGTGGATGCGACATTGGCCTTATGCATTTCCGAACCTCATCAGTGCGGTGTTTATTCTCTCGTCCTGGGCCGGAGTGTTCTTTGGTTTAGAGGAGGTTTGTTACCATCGTCCTAGTTGATTCATCATTCACTAACATATCCAGACTCACGAAGCACTCAGACATCAGCCTGACTGGGGTCGAAGAATGGGTAGCGTAATAGCCAGAAGATTCAGACGACACCAAGGACACAAATATCGTCGACTAGACGATGATGAAAGATCCGTCTTTCCTGAGGAGGACGACGATTTGGTTCCACCTAGTCCGACGAGACACACACATCCTCCACCCATACGCAAAAAGTCCCCTTGGAAACAACTGCTCCACAGAAATGTCATATTAACTCTCCTTACCCACTCACTCCTCGCAATGCACACCAGCGCCTTCAACGCCATGACTTTCGTTTTCCTCCCAACACCCCGTGCCCCCGAAGATAGCCGCAGAGGTTTCTTCCATTTCAACGGCGGTCTAGGTCTAACAACCCAACAAGTCGGCATCGCTACTTCGGTCATTGGCCTTATCGGCCTCCCGTTACAACTTTTCGTCTATCCACGAGTCCAATTCCGTCTCGGCACATTGAAATCTTTACGCACGTTTCTGCCCCTGTCACCATTGGCATATACACTCATGCCATTTCTGGTCTTGATTCCTCGATGCGCTCAGTATCTTATATGGCCATCTTTTAGCTTCGTGGTGGCATTACAAGTCCTTTCGAGGACGTTCGTGCTGCCTGCTGCAATTATACTTGTCAATAACTCCGTGTCTGATTCTTCTGTTCTCGGGACGATCCATGGTGTGGCGCAGAGTATATCGAGCGGTGCCCGGACGTTGGGACCGTTTCTTGGTGGGTTGGGATTGAGTTTGGGCTTGTCACATAATATTATTGGTGCTGTGTGGTGGGCTTTGGCGGTGGAAGCGTTGTTGGGTTGGGTTGTGAGTTGGTCGATATTTGAGGGGGAGGGGATTCAGAGGAAGATGAAGCAGATTGTTCAGGAGGAAGAGGAAGAAGCTTTGCTGGAATCGGAGACTGAGATTGAAAGGCGATAGACTGTTTATATCCCGATCTGATATACCATTTGCTCTTGCATATGATAGATACACAAATCTGTTTATAGCTAAGAATTTACCAAGAACTGGCGTTTATTTGTTCTATTTATTCATATCGTAAATACATGTGCTGCCCAACGGTCGATTCGAGGGATCATAATCGTTGCTTCGTGTTCGTTCGTTCGTTGTATCGACATGTCTTTGGCGTACCGGTGCCTTGTCTTCCGGACGATAGCTATTGATGAGATATCACAGATTCTTTCCTGTCTCTAACACCATATGGATAATCATAGTCGCCGAGTTGTTACGTATTAAGTACTATTCAGGCCGCAATAGTCGGCGTTAGAAAAGCGCGAATAGCCTCCTTGGCATCACCGTCATGCGATCTAAGCAATTCCGTAGCTTTGTTCTTTGTAAGATCAAGTTCCTCGACCTGTAAACCAATATTATTAGCTTCCATAATCCCTCTCAATAGGGGGGAAATCTTACAAGCAACGTAACATCCTCCGCCACAATCTTAACCGCCTTCTTCTTCGCAGTCTCCGTCGCAACAGTTTTATTAGTCCCAGCTCCTCCTCCAGTCGTCTTCCCAGAAGCTCCGCCCGAAGCAATCTCCAATCGACTCATAGCTTTTCCTAAAGCTTCCTGTGCAGCAGCCGAAGAGAGTTTGCTATTACTTCCAGCTGCATCACCATCTTGTGAGATTTCATTGTCGTTCAGCGAGGATAAAGCGGCGGCTGCTTTGCGGTCTTCGGCGTTTACGGGGAGACGTTGGTCTTCGCCTTCGGCAGCAGAGGGGATTCTATCTGCCATTTTTTGTTGTTTCGTGTCTTTGAAATTGACGCTGTATTGTTGGAGGATGGTTTGGAGTTGTTATCGTCGGCGGGGAGCTAAGCTTCTTAGCGCCACTCGGCCCCGCACAGCTCGCGACGGATATCGTCGGCTATTTGCTCTTCTTTAATAACTTTTAAAGAAAAAGTATTTCTCATGACATTCTTACTGTGCTGAGAAATAGAAAACGGATTCTCAGTTCTTTTGAGCGATTCTTTACATCTCTAGTATTGCGTCAATTGGCCAAGGATCTACCTTCGAATTGCCCAGATTCTGGTACACGGATATTTTGTCCCGCAGTGACTTATTGATTAATTCCAGAAGACAGACAACGAGGAGCTTGCAAAGCAAAGACTTTCAGTCGACAATTCTAAGAGAGACCATCCTAGCGACAGTGTAAAAATGGTGGAATGGAGTCCAACTTGTACGTAACCGCTCAAGAACCCCGGATTTTGACTTGAATATATAACTGACAACTCTTCTGTAAATAGCCTGGACCTCAAAACCAATCAAACAAGATGTCACATACGACGATCCTGAAGCTGTAAAAGCAGCATTGACGAAACTTGAAAAGCTACCACCATTGGTTACTCCGCACGAGGTATGACCATCCGGGAATTTAGCAGCATTCCGAGACTTTTGCTCACAGGGCGGATGACATAGATTGTTAGTTTGAGGAACAGTTTGCGGAATGTGGCTCTCGGGAAGGCTTTCGTGCTTCAGGGTGGTACGTCGACAGATTTGGATGATCTGGTGACCATTGACTGATATTGATGGGGTTTGCAGGTGACTGTGCAGAGCTTTTCGATTATTGTAATCAAGCCACAATCGAGGCAAAGGTTAAGCTACTTCTGCAGATGAGTCTGGTTTTGGTTTGGGGTATGGCTGTACTTTATATGATTTGCAACAGGCCACTGACCTGTATATAGGAGCCAACAAACCCGTCGTTCGCATTGCACGAATTGCTGGTCAATTCGCTAAGTGAGACATCTCCCCTTTTGTATATCATACAACTAATGAAGAAGACCACGCTCGAGTCCGAATGAAACAATCAACGGCATCACAATGCCCTCCTTTCGCGGCGACAACATCAACGGCTTTGACGCAACACCCGAATCACGAAAACCGGATCCATCACGCCTGGTATCAGCATACTTCCACTCCGCAGCAACGCTCAACTATCTCCGTGCTGCATTAGCATCTGGCATTGCAGACCTCCATTCCCCTCTAGACTGGGGTTTGGGACATGTCATTACGCCATCAATCAAGCAAAAATATGAAAAGATAACCAACGCTGTGACGGATGCCCTACGGTTCATGCACACAGTTGGCGTTGATCAGGATAGTCGTGTTGCGACAGCTGACATATATACAAGTCACGAAGGATTATCCTTAGAATACGAGCAAAGCTTCACTCGTCTCCTGCGTCATCCACCCGAGGCATATCCCTCACCCACAGAATATAAAGAAAAACAACTCCGTCGAGGCTCTTCCGCAGCCATATCAAAGGGCTACTACGATACATCCGCCCATTTCCTCTGGATAGGAGACCGCACACGACAAGTCAAAGGCGCCCATGTCGAATTTTTCCGCGGTCTCAGTAATCCCATCGGCATCAAAATCGGTCCTAGCATGACAACCGACGAACTTGTGGAATTACTCAACACGGTAAACCCGCAGAAGGAAATCGGTAAAGTCACGCTCATATCTCGCTATGGAGCGGATAAGGTTTCTCAATATTTACCGGCGCATATTGCCGCTGTGCAGGGCTCGGGCCATTTACCGGTTTGGCAATGTGACCCCATGCATGGGAATACGCAGTCTACGCCGTCGGGGGTGAAGACGAGGCATTTTACTAATATCTTGTCTGAGCTTAAGCAGGCGTTGGAGATTCATAGAGCGGCGGGTAGCTTTCTAGGTGGTATGCATCTCGAGTTGACTGGGGAAGCAGTGACAGAATGCGTGGGAGGAGCCGGTGGTTTGACGGAAGAAGGTCTTTCGGAACGTTATGAGACGTTCTGTGATCCGAGGCTTAATGAGAAGCAGGCTCTCGAATTGGCTTTTTTGGTTGCTGGGTTTTATAGGGAGGATCTGGAGCGAGGAGAACAGATTCTCTGATCGATGCTGGGTATGTCATTGGGATGCAAAGGAAGAGTTTACTCCGGTTTTTGGTTTTATATTGACATATAACCATGAGATATGTCATGGTTGATTCTGTCACCTAGGTATATTGGAGGGATATCTAAAGGAGCTGCACAGGATACAATTACAACACTTTTCTTCTTAATTTTTGTTGTTTAAGAAGTTCAAAAGATCACAACACCAGCTAACAGATAGGATAGTCACACAAACATTGAATCACCATGGAAAATTATTGATGAAGACTGAACAAAGAAATCTTTGCTATATAATGTGCTTCTCATTCTTTTTCTCTTCTTCTTTTCTTTCCTTCACACATACCAACATTACATTGTTTAAGAACCAATCTGTTAATTACTGGGTAATTCCTTCTAGCGTATGTATAATTCCATTGACAGATCTACCTAATCTACTTCTTTATTTGCTCTCTGAGCAAAGCATGCTTTGACCTACATACACACTTGCTGACAGGCATCTCAGGAAAGCCTCGCAAACATGAATCTATTCCAGTCTCCCTTGGCAGTTCCAGCTGCCAATGACTCGAACAATACCGAAGTCCAGCCGCGATCAAACAGAGAAGAACGACTCGCCCGAGCAGAACGACTTTCTTTCGTGGAACGGCTTCTCGGGCTCCGGAGTCACAACCACGGTCTTGACGCCCCCAGCCTTCGGCAGCTCGAGATAGCGAGCTTGATGTCAGCTCGTCCTTCACCGGGACTGATGCGTGCCATGACTACCCAGATAGCTATTGATGATGAATTGTTCGGGAAATATAGGAGGCTCTCCGATCTGGTTATGATGAGCCGAAATCGATTGCTGACGGACGCGGAGGAGAACGAGAGGTGGATGTTGAAAGAAGAGGTGGCAGAGCTCAAACTTGAATCGCGGCAATGTGAAGTCAGGTTTTGGCTTGTACATGCCTGTGATAATGATGGTGCTATATTCTCGAGAAAAACATGCGCTTGCAGGGTTTGCCGCAAGTTCGAAGATACCGGGATGGATTGATGCCTCATCTTCAGCAAGTATCATTACAAATCAGCATATGAATGGTTCTTTTGGCTTCTCAGCTCTCAGTTCCTTGTCTCGCAGGTGTAGTGTCACGCTGGAGAATCAAGGCTGCAGCTTGATGTGATTCTGATATATGTACCTACATAATCGTGGTTGCATCTTTGGGGAAGGGAGCAGTCTAGTCTCTCCACTCGATAAATATTCAAATACAAATCAATTGATATACCTAGGTACCTATACGTACCATATTTCCTTTGCTGAGTGGGGGCTTCCTTTCTCAGTTGTGGCTACTCTGTGAGGGCGCTCGTAGTCAGGCTCACTGAGCGGACACTGAGAGTGCGGCTGTGGACAAGTCACTCTGCAAATTCGACTAGCAATATATCGAGGTATTCTTCTGTTTTAATTGAAGGACCAGTATCATGGTGCGTAGAAGTTACTCACAGAAAATGGCTGGATTGAGGTCCTATTTTCAAACCAAGATTTCTAATGAAGTCTCTACAATGATTCTACGAAACGTCCCTCACGGGTAAGTGACCCAGCGGGTTTCCCATACAAATACCCATTTAGGGCATCTCGATATCTCAACAATTTTATATAGACACTATACCTAAAGGCTAGATATATCTTAAGAAATAGCCGCAATAATCTATCTATTAAATTATATTAATCTAAAATTGTCATAAATACCTTCGTATCTAAGAATATCTAGGATACAACATCTTATACTCCATATGTGACGGCTTAGCTGAGGGAATGTAGGGCTATGGACGTTGATCCGGTTTCCTGAATCCTGATAAGACTATCATAGAGTTTCACCCCGAGACAATTATGGCACGATACAGGATTACGTGTGGTCATTTGTAAAGCAGTATAAAGTCTGAAGCGTTCTCATCCGCAGCTGGTTCGGGGCTTGAAGAGATATCTCGGAATGCATGGATAGTTTCAGATTATTTTCTGATGCGGAAATATCGAATATATATCTGGATAGGCCTCGGTACCGTGTCATGAGGGTTTATCCCGAAACCTCTAGTTATGGGGCCAACCCATAACATAATTTCTGTATATGGTACACGTGAAGCAGGAGTATTGAATCTTTGCCAATAATCTTCGTCCCGCCAATATCTACGTAGTATGAATACGAGCATCCCTCACTGTTTTTACTCGACCTCTTTCATCCCCTTTTTTTCACACCTCGCGGCGCAATCCTTCTGTCGGTTTATCCACTTCCAGGTCGCTAGCAATAGACACATAGAATAGCTAATCCGACAAGCTGACGAGCCTGATCAATATGGTACAGAATTCCTGATATTAATGACTGCCCCCCAAGAGTAAAGGGGACGGGGGATAGCTAGCTAGTTATATACACGGAATGCAATGCCGTATCGGACTATGTATAATGTAACTAATATCCAGTGCCGAAACGTGTAGGGTTGATATTCACGTTCCGACACTATTCTTCGGACAACCAAAACGCTGAAGGATGGTGACGTGACTGCAAATCACGGATTCAAAAACCGACTGGCTTTCTTACCAGCGCAAACTATGGCCTACCAAGCCAATTGCCTTCTTTCCGTATGCTGTCAGCCACTTCGGATTCTGCCTTGTTTACTGCATGGATCAATAACACTGTTTCGCCAGATAACTGGGTTATGCAGTTGGCTTTAGCCTAACAATCAGCCTTGCGCACAGCCTGCCTACGTATCCAGCCAAGCAACCCCCCTCAATTACTAGACTCCGATGTTAAAAAGACCCATCAAATCTCGATAAACGGAGACGGAGAAAGATATACTTACACAATACCGTGAAGCATTTACCGCTCCACTACAACGCGCTCAGATATTATACCGCAATGGCGAATTTAACACTTTCGCACCATGACTACACCGTGGCATGGGTCTGCGCGTTACCAGTGGAGATGGCTGCGTCGGAAACCATGCTGGATGAAATTCACGGTCGTCTCCCTCAGGTGTCCAGTGATCACAATACCTATATTCTGGGTAGCTTGAACGGCCATAATGTGGTGATTGCTGGCTTGCCGTTCGGTATTTATGGGATCACATCGGCAACCACGGTGCTGGTACAAATGCTGGCCACATTCCCGTCACTACGATTTGGCTTGATGGTCGGTATTGGAGGCGGAGTACCTACGAAGTTTGATATTCGGCTTGGTGATGTGGTAATCAGCAAGCCGACTGGAAACGGGAGTGGTGTCATACAAGATGACTTTGGAAAAAAACCCACACCGGACTTCAGCCTATAGGATATCTCAATAAACCCCCTCAGTTATTGTTGACAGCAGTGAGCCATTTGGAGAAAGACCAAATGCTGGGAAAGCGAACGATCAAGCAGAGCATTATGAGCGTACTCGAGAGAAATAATGATATGAAAACGCGATTTTCGCGGCCCACTGATGATTTGCTTTTCCTCGCGACATATCAACATTAAGACGGTGAGCATGACTGCTCAACCTGTGACCTGGCCCAGCTGTTGCTTCGTCCACCACGAGCAACAGATGACCCTGACTTTCACTATGGATTAATCGCTTCTGGGAATCAGCTTATGAAGGATGCGGAGACGCGGGACCAGATGGGCGAGGGACGAAACATCCTCTGCTTTGAGATGGAGGCGGCAGGTTTGATGGATCAACTTCCATGCTTGGTGATCCGTGGAATTTGTGACTACTCCGATTCTCACAAACGAAAAGAATGGTAGGGTTATGCGGCTTTGACCGCGGCAGCTTATGCTAAGCAGCTGTTATCCGTTGTTCCCTTGACTTATATTCATTCGAGAACAGGACACAGTAGGTGGTCTTCCTGTTGAACAATCTATTTGCTAACAAGGTCACAGCAAAAGATTTCACCCCAGAAGAAAAGGCGTGCCTGCAAAGTCTGTTCATAACTGACCCCGTTGAAGACAAGAATGCGCCGAAGCGAAGAAAAGGAGACCGTGCCCCTGGCACATGCGACTGGATCATAGATACGGACGAACTTCAGACTTGGCTCGCATCGCCTAGTGCGTCTACTGAAAGAGTCCTGTGGTTGTATGGATATATGGATACCCAGGGACTGGAAAGTCGACAATGACAATCACTCTAGTGGACATTCTCTTGGATCAGTATGATATAATTGGCCAAAAAAATGCTCTTGCGTACTTCTTCTGTGACTCCAGTTCTCCAGAACGTTGTACTGCAACTGCTATACTACGTGGTCTCCTATACCAACTGATTAAGCAACGCCCCCATTTCATGAAGCACTTACTCCACAAGTTTGAGGAGCGTAAAGAAAAGCTGTTCGATTCATTTGATGCTTTGTGGGCTGTGTTCATTGATATAGGATGCGATAACACATATAACCAGCTTTACTGCATTATTGATGCCTTGGACGAATGCGACCAAAATACGCAGAAAATGCTGTTCACGCAAATTACTCGCAGGCTTGGAAATCAGAATGATGGCATGATTGGTAAAATACATTTCTTGATAACCAGTCGACCGTTCCCTGAAATTCGAGAGTACCTACATCCATATATGTCAAAAGACTTGTGTACTTATCCCAAAGTCCAAGATGATCTTCAAGTATTCATCGACCAGAAACTCAATCAGCTCGCAGGGAGAAAAGGCTATTTCGAGAGAACAAAACGAGACTTATCACGCATACTTAAAGAAAAAGCTGAAGGAACTTTTTTATGGGTTAGTATTGTGTGCGAGAAATTGGCAGGTGTTCGATCACGGGATGCAATTGAGAAACTGCAGAGCTTGCCACAAGGATTACATTCTCTCTATGCCAGATTGCTAGAAACGGCGCTGGACGCAGATAAAGATGGCTTTAACACGATCTTACGAATTCTGGCCGTTGTCGGAACATCGAGACGTCCTCTCAGCCTGCCAGAGCTGTCTATTGCTTGCAGACTCTATGAGGAAGAATACAAGGAACATCGACTGAGATATTTACAGGAAGACATCGATATGTGCCGTCTTATGGTTGTTATCCAAGATGGAATCGTGCGCCTCTTGCATAAGTCCGTCAGGGATTTTCTTTTTAATCCGAAACATTCATTTTCTATCAACGCACTGCAAGTCCACGCATCTCTAGCAAACAGGTGTGTTGGTTATCTTTTGGATAATATTGTTTTGCTTCAACGGCAACGAGACCAAGAAGAATATTCATTTCTCGAGTACGCTACTGTCTATTGGCCTGAGCATGCCGGTTCTGCTGACATGGAATTCACTATCCTACCTGAATATCAGCAATTTTTTTGTCCCAGTTCAGCAGAGCGCGAGGTGTGGTTAAACACATATCGCAAGCACCATCACGTTCCTCAGCACTTTTCCATTCTACATGTCGCAGCAAGGTGGGGCATCAGGTGTCTTGTTCGTTCTATCTTATTCACGGACTGGACAATCATTAGACTCATGAAAAAGTATATACGATTCCTGAAGGTTCCAAACGAGAGTGAACCTTGCATAGATACGGTTGATGAAAGTGGTAAAACTCCACTTCATTGATCGACTATGAAGTCCCAGAATCACGTCGTAGATGATCTTTTACGACAAGGTGCGAATCCTGATCTGCTAGACAATGAGTCTAGGTTGGCCCTCCATTATGCAGCAGAAAACGGCAATGAAATTTTAGTAGTTCAGCTGCTTACTCGCACACCGAAAAATTTGGAGGCAAAAGATGTTTATGGCCAACCTCCACTGCTTACTGCAGTAGAAAACTTGCATGCTGCAACCATTTATCGTCTGATTGATGCTGGGGCCCACGTTCACACTTTCAACAACAGGCGCCAGAATGCCTTACATCTCATCTGCAAAGCTCGGAAGTCTAATGACAGCTGCAGACTGCTAGCATATTTCATGGATAAGGGAGTCTCCATCAATGAACCTGATGTACAGAATATGACCCCTTTTCTGTATGCGATCGCATGCGGGCGACAGGATTTATCGCTTCTTCTTCAAAATGGATACGATGTGAACCTCACAATCAACAGGCGGTCTTGGACTGGTCAAATGCAAAATCAATCCATTACTTACAAGCTTGATGAGAAGCATGAAAGCCGATCAGATAAGGCATCTGCTTCAGGGATGACCGCGCTTCACTTTTCAGCTTTGAACGGAAGCGTGGGAATGACCGAGTTTCTGTGTCTCCATCATGCCAATCCTAATGCACAATCTGAGACTGGTGACACACCATTACATTTGGCAATTCGACGCAGGATGCTGGGGTTGGGATATGAGGATTACTGGATAACTGGAGAGTATGCTGTTGAAGAATTAAGCAATTTCATTACCGACTGGGAAAGCGAAGAAGCCTCTGAGATCTTTGAAGAAATTGATACAACTAGAGTTCGTATTGTTAACGTGCTTTTGAGTATGATTTCTATTGACGTCAACATTGCCAACAATCAAGGAGATTGTGCACTGCATGTGATTCCATTTGATAAATGGTATGCGTCAGAGATATTACTACAGCTTATCGAGAAAGGAGCCGATATATCAAAATCAAACAACAAACGTCAAACATGTCTTCATCTAGCATGTGAAGCGGGAAATTTGGACGCTGTTCGAATATTATTGAGTCGAGGTTGTAGCATTACCTTGCAAGATATTCATGGATCAACTCCCCTTCATTGTGCCGTCAAAGGAAATTATCCTGATGTTGTGCGATTTATTTTGGAGCAACGTCCTCAGCAGCTACTGGGAAGCTGCCAGCAGAGTGGTTTTTTCCAGACGAAACTTTTACATCATCATGTAAAATCATATTTTTGCTCTGTTGAAACCATCAATCTACTTTTACAACACGGATTTGGACCGAACGAACTGGATGAAAATGGCGACTCTGTTCTCAGCCTATATCTCAGATTGTTTCACATACGTTTTCAAGTGGAAATCTTCGACTGTTTAGTTCAGAATGGGGCCAGCATGACCTGGTTCAGCGAAGGGAGGGAGGGTTTGATACACCTAGTGATGCGCCAGTGGGATGGTGATAATTTTCTTGTTCTCAAGCGTTTGTTGCAGTGTTTTGATATCGCAGCGAAAGACGCTAAGGGCCGCAATGTACTGCATCATGGAGCAATCCACGGTGCCTTCAACAAAGACCTCACGAACTTGCCGCAAGAGACAAACATTTTCGATTCACTCCATGAGAAGGACTTTCAGGGCAAGACACCTCTTGACTATGCAGAAGAGGAAACGCAACGCAAACGACACCCTAACTTGTTTAAAGAAAATCGGTGGAACGAGTCATTACACAATCTCAAGTCTCTCCAAGAAGGTCCCATTTGATTGAACACCCATAAGTGCTTCTACGAGTATGATCTATCCTAGGGGATGTACATATTGATTTAGTTCCAGGCAAGCAAGTAAATCAAAGTATTTAGCTTCAGCGCACTGAGCATGTTTCTTAGCATCAAGAGCCCATTAGCCATTTCAAAGAGGTGAAGGAAAGGGTCTATGATAGAGCATCTGAGCATGACGTTTGACAAACCCATCACTTTCTATTTAACACTAGCGGATATCACATGTATCCAGCATCATTACACTGACAGTTACTTTTTTACTTTCCAAGACTAAGAATGACAGATAATCCCTTCTCTATTTACTTATTTGAAAGTATGTAGACAAATCAAGAGAGTATCTACTGACCATATCTCTTGCTGCAATGCCTAGATTGCTGCTAACAGAGCTTAGGGCACGATCCTGAATAGCCTATGTTGGAAGTTCTCTTATACACCCAAGAGATTGTTGTGGAGTTGGTTAAATGGTAGGGAGTGTGCAAGAACTACTATCATTATTTTAATCTAGTCATAACAGGTATGGCATTCAACTATAAGATGGGAATGCCACTTTCAATCCGCGTTATTTAAGATACTGCTAACTAACTACATAATCTTCAACCCAGGTACGCCGTCGCTATGCACGCACGCCTTCAACCTAACCAAATACTTAGGAGCAAGTGAAGACAATAAAACTAAAACAATACAAACAACTGGAAAAGCAATATTTAAGCCTGATCTCTCCGCGCAGCCTCATGCGCTTCCACCCGGATATCAAACATGACATCGTCAATCTCTTTAAGAACATTCCTGCCGAAAGTAACGTTCTTAATGCCAGTGAGAACTCTACGAAGAGAGCCGAGAATACTGCCGCCGGTTTGAGCGGAGTCGGTGTTGGATTCGCTAATGTCCATGACATCGTCTGTTTGTACACCTTGAGAGATGTAGCGTGGTGCCTCGTCCATGATAGTAGAGGTTGGAGCAGCAATACTCATCTCAGGAGAGGCCTCTTCCATGACAATATCGTTTTCAACAGCCTGCTCTTCAGTCTCATTTCCAGCCGAGGTTGAGATTGCTGCATCCACTGCACTTTCGACCACTGTATCCGTTTGCACATCAGTTGTTTCTGGAGCTGGAGCTGCCTGAGCTTCCGTTGATTCGCCATTTTGATTAGAAGTTCCAGTCTCACCATCCGGCATCTTAACATCCTGCATTGAATTGTCTTGAATATCAGCCTCAGCAGCCTCATCATCGTTCTGATTACGAGATTTGGTCCGTTTCCTCTTCTGAGCCTTTGATGTTTTGTCTGATTTTGGTGGCGACAAAGCTGGAACTCCACTGAGTCGCAAAGATCGCCGTTTACGTGATCTCGATCTCCTAGACTTGATAGGAGATGATAAAATTTCCCGGTCAGCAGGGACATTGAGCCGCCCACTTCGCCTCTTCGATTCCGAATTCGTAGACTTGTCAGAGAGGTCGTCTACACTGATCTGGTTTTTAAGCGGAGAGGACTGTGGAGTTGAAAGGCCACGCCTGGCGTTCAATGTCTCAGGGGTAGATGGTTTCATTGTGTCACTGTCCGATTGAGACGACTCGGTGCGTGCACGTTCAGAGCGAGCTGCCTTGCTCTTCTTGGACTGACGTCGCTTCACGCGTTCCGGAGTCGAGGCCTCCTCAGTCTCAGCGTTACGCTTTCGTTTCCTGGTTATTGGGCCCCGTGGCAGGTTGACATCCGATGACTGAATGGACTCGATATCATCTTGGTCTTTCAAGTCCACAGCCAGCTCCAAGTCCTGTTCTAGCTGTGAAGCCAACTGCTGCTCAAATTCGTCCGCATACGTGTCGGGTATCACATCCGTCACCTCACTGGTTAGTGTAGGCTCTTCTTGTGCTTCTATATCACTTTGCTGCGGCGTGTTGGTCTCTTTCGCGCTTGGGATAGGTGCGACTGTCGATTCGCCCGGTGCTTTGTGTTCAGTGATTCTAGAGCTGCGACGTCTACGACTGTTTTGCTTTTCGCTGGCTTCAACCTTGGACTTCTCCGGAGTAGGCTTTTGTGAAGAAAGCCTTTTGCTACTAGGCGAGCGAGATATTTCGGGGGGAGAAGAAGGTGGATCTGATTGTATGTTCCCAAACGTCTCAATGGTCAAAGCATGGTTGCCCTGGGATGCAAGGTGACCCTGCTCTCTCGTTCCAGGCGTCGGAGAGGAACCAGGAAAGTCATCATCATTATCCTGCAAATGGGCTGCCAGGGTAGGAGTTGACGGCGCTTCTGGTTCGCGTACAGTGTCTCGTATCTTGGGCAACCTCACTGGGGACAAGGTAGCTGGAACCTCCGTCAGAGCAGGAGCGGGTGATGATGACCCCAAACCGTCCAGAAACATTGATGTGCTCCCGCGCTGTCTTTCCCTCACTTCTTGTTGGCGTTCAGTAAGAAGCTGACTTTCCATGTTCGAGGCGCGAGGCGACGGATCAACCGTGACAAACTGGATCTGTGAATTGTCATGGCGAAGCCGCTTTCGGGGTGTGCTATCAATATTTTGCTGTGGCAACACATGGGGCTGGGCCCACTCCGTTGACTGAATAATTGGCGAGGAACTGAACGTGGTCGGTCGCGTCTTATGGCTGTCCATCTGCCTTAAAACTCTGCCGAAAGTATTCGTAACCGGTTCAAAGCTTGTTGTATCTTGAGACTCGACAAAGTCCGGCATCTCGAGAACCTGACAGATACCGTGAATATTCTACCTTTAGTTGTGAGATATAGAGATAACATACCTGCGATTTAGCTTGGCGGGGTAGAGGCAATGGTAGTTGCAACTTGACCAACGGCTCAAGCTTCTGAAGAGCTGATTGAACGCCAGAAGGATAATTCGCGAGCTCCTGCAGCCCAAAAGTCACATTCCACATTTCGATGAAACGATTTGCTGTTGACTTATGAACAGATTCCAAGCCAGCGGAAACTACTGCTTCAAACGCATGTAGTGACGCCGTGTTGTGCGGAACAGCAATCTGCATGGCGTTGGCAATTGCTAGTGAGAGCGTTCGATACTACGCCATGGTTAGTAACTTCAAAGGTAATGCTCATAAGAATTGACTTACTGCAGTCAGCAATCTGTTGTCTGCGCCCTTCTCAGAAGTGAGGAAGCGAGCTGAGTCCCGTAACCACAATGCTAAGGGGGTCTGTAGAGACTCCAGAAGCATGTGGCGAAATTGCAGTGTACCACTCCCTAGGAGGGACGTCAAAGACTCAACAACCTCCGCTAATACCACACTGTCTGAAGCGTTGAAGTGATTATAGGAATCTGCAAGTACTTTCCGAATGAGATCCAAAAGCTTATCGGGAAAGGAAAAGGAAGATGGTTGGCTGGAGCTGCTTGGTGTTGCTGGATATTTATTTTGCTCGTAGTATGCAAGAGATAATGCTTGGTTGATTAAGGCTTTCGTTGGAAGATAAGCCCGGACATAGTCGATTTGTAAGAGCCTCTGAGTAATGGGCTCAATGACTAGGGTAGAAATTCCACGCTCGCCTTTCTCAGTTCGAATAATGCGTATGTAGGACTCGAGCAGAGCACTCCATGTCGGGGGTGAGGTTCTGAGCTGTAGTCCTCGCAAAAGAATGTTCGATATGTTGATGTAATCGCGAGAGATTGTACCGTCCCGTTCTCTTAGAGTTTCCATCGGCAGGGAACCCAGGCAAATAACGGTGTATCTCGCAGTTGCATCCCAGATATAAGAGACTAACTTGGATGTTGTCTCATATTCGCCGTTCTCGTCTATGCTCAGCTCCGTACACCTCTCTAAAAAGTCGAGCCGTGATCCTCTGGCCTGCCGGCCTTTTGATGCGGCGTCAAGGAGACCATCAATTAGACTCAAAAGTGATTTGGTCGGCTCAGATGTATTTCCATAAGAGCTTATCATACGTAATATGTGCATGAATGGCGTGTCGGAATTTCGGTCTGTTCGCGGACGCCGATGAGTGGGTGTGTTTGCAGCCTGGAATGTTTCCTGAGAAGTTTTCAAGAGCAGGGTTTCTGTAAAAGGAGAAGGACCGACTGTTGAGACAAGTGTTGTGGCAAGATATGTGAAGCGTTCTATAAATACATCGTCCGTCTCGGCATTCAACGAAGAAGGTGATGCCTGGCGAAGTCGTTGAAACAGGCCGAGTATAGTAGCGATTGCCTGCATGAGTTCGGATGATGGTTTGATCTCTTTGCTGGAGGCATCCGAGAGTGCCTTGCAAATATGGATCCAGATCATTTGAATATTCGTCCAATTCGCTGAGGCCACCAAAACTTCAAAAGCCGCAACTACCGGTACTATACGTGATCTAACCCATCTGCAGTCGATCGGGAGTATGAAGTTTGCTTCCATTTTAGGTACCTCGTGGATCTTGTCCTCGGTCCAAATCTTCGACTGCGAGGTCCATAATAGAGATGCCAAAGCTTTGCAAGCAGCATCATTCAGTTGGGGGTTGCTGGCGAAAACATTGACGAACGGCTGAGAGAAGTACTCTTCCCAGATGAAATCAATGTGGTCAAATGTATTATTCGGCCGGAACGAATAGTAGAGAAGGTTGTAGTAACTCGAAAGAAATAATGGGTTGACGCTTGCACCGGCCTTATCGCTGCGCTTGCGTTCAAAATTGGAAAGAATGGGTTTCGTAAGCATTTTCAGCATGCTCCTGCTCGTCGACTCATTACAAGTAACCATGTAGACAAATTTGTTCCATCCGACAATAGCTTGTGACTTAATGGCAGGGTCGCTGCAATTGAAGCATCTTTGTAAAACAAGAACCCATTCTTTGAAGTACTCCCAATGCTCGATGTTGAATCTCTTGCTTCTCAAAAGCAAGACTATAATGCTCCAAATTTGTGGCACATGCACTCCACTATCCGAGGGAGACATCATGCGGCTCATTCGGTCACATACTTCCGAGACCAGCTTCCTGCCTTGGGAGATCTCCTTGTTAAAGATATCCAGTATGGTTTTCGAAATGACCAGGTTGGGTCCCAATAACAGAGCCGTTTGAGTTCCAAGAACTAAAGCTTTCGACCTGGTGTCCTTCACGGGATGAAGAAGACCTGAAATGAGGTGCTCCACCCATAGTGATGCTTGTGAGGCCATAGTTGCCTTTGACTGACCAAGTAACCTGGTATAAACCCCCAGTCGTTGCGAAATGATTCCATTTCCGTTCACGCGATCAGTGATATCGTTCAACACAACTAGTACCCGTGTAATCCGTGAGTTGGTCATTATCTTGGCTGAAAAATTTTGAGTATATAGGACGTGGACATAATGGTTCAAGATAGCTTTTGATAGTTTGCCATCTTGCAAGACACTCAATGCATGATCGATTATGAATATTTTGAAATCATCTGGGATTTGCGATGCTAATGGCTGACTCCAAATGATATAGATCCCCATTTTCAGTGCATTGGTCACCAGGTTGGTTTCAACGACATCTCTTTTACCCAAATCCCGGCTGATGTCACGCTGTACAAACTGCAACAGGACCCCGACTTTCGAGGACATGTCGTCTTGCTCGGTGATGTTGTCATAAGCCTTGAGAGCACCCAACAGCTGCATATAAGCGTCTATTCTTGAACTGAGAGATTCACCGGCCAACTGCTGTGTTGCTGACTCTAGCAGCACTGCGAAGGACTGCGGCTCATTCTTTTCTAAAGGCACAATGTCGGCGGCGGGAGTTTTTAGGATCGATTTGGCCGGCTTGCATTCGTTCGAGGGAGGAATGGGGCGTACTTCGTTACTCGACATGGATGCACGGCTGGAGAAGGTCGGAGGTTTTATGTAGTTCGTGATAGGAGAGAAGTTGACTTTCTTATTCGACCTTAGTATCGTCGACTCAGCAGTTGATGACGGTGATTCCCCGGGTGTATTAAGCATATTCGGTCGACCGGGAACAATTCCTGCATCTCGTTTAAAGAGATTATGCGAAGCCTTGGGAGGAGTCGGCGGACGCGCCGGATAGGCACCTAGGACCTCCACCATGGTTGAATGGAGGGCGAGGAAGAGAAGCGTAAAGAAAGCAATACAAAAACATCAACCATTGCTGAATATGCTGGTAAAAGAAAATTAAAACGAGAAAATAGCCATGACCTATCCAGCTGATAACAGGAAAGGGTGGATGGAAAGTCGCGTAACGCTGGAGTCGGATCCAGGCTGGAGGTTGTAGTGAGGTCTCAGAAATGAAAGAGTTGACCTGTCTGTCCATCAAATAATGAATCAATAATCTCACTGGATGACGCGAAATCGCGGGAGGCAATCGCGACCGCGTTAAGTGGCTGCGCTAACTGCATTGAGCGCGTTGCTATTGCAGCCTTAGTAGTCAGGCAGCAACAGCCCCTTGTCAATCTTCTTCATCTTCGGGCTCTTCTTCTATCAGTCTACTATATCTGACACAATGTGGTTTCTGTGACCTAGGTGCTACTTTTTACACGCGTCTTCGTTATACCAAATCACCTGGCCAAGTACCTCATAGGCTGCGTGCTGCTTTATATCGTACTGAATAGTGGCACAGGAAATTTGGCGTGTTCAAGCCTGGAGCCTTGAACATAGGGCACGCCAATGATTATATTATGATTATGATTAATGATTAAATCATGATTATTTACAACTGGAGTAAGTTTATAAACTTTATCCGTTGCCTGGCACATGTTCTGAATTTGGTAGCTAAATCGATGCTAAGGGTATTCAAGGCAGGCTCACACAAAGATGCAAAGAGGATTATCAAACAGATGAGCGCTGATAAGAGGGTACCTTTCAAACTGAAGAGATACCGCAGTCTAGAATTTCTCGACTACGACTAATTGTTATGTGAATACCAGCTAGCGATCGGCGAGCTGATAAATACTTGGAATATGCCTCAGTTGCTCTTGATTACCATGTTGATACACGATGGAATGCGCTTTGAAAGATGCTTGAAATTCCCTTCGGCAGCGGTCTGCTATCAATGGCATGTGCAAAGAGTGCCAGCCATTAGAGCATCAACACCCGCCTGATAGGGTAGAGGATCGAGACTTCATCATCATTCGTGACAAGTTCATTAGTTACCGTGAATGGTCAATGAACCTGCTCGATATTACGGCCGAACATCTGGCTCTGAGGGAAGCGGGAAAGTCAATCTCAGACTCCAAGGCCCTGTCCCGACTCACTATCCTTGGCTCCCTTTTCGTTCCTGTATCATTCGCTTGCTCATTCTTCAGTATTAATGGTGAATTCACAGTTTGGTGAGACTAAAGTTTGGGTATACTTTGCAGTGACGTTGCCCTTGGTTGTCGCTATTCTTATCACTGTTTCTGGGAGATGGTGGTATAAGGGATTGATGGAAGTCAGCTCTATACGCTATAGACGTGTAAGGTCGAGTCTTGATTATGAGAGAGGAGCTGAAAAGCCTCTCCACAACTACCAAAAGAGTGGGCAAGCATGAGAATTTGTTCTGGCTGGAGGGAGTGAGTCCGGTGATGTGAGAGGGCTTAGCCCAGTCCTATCCTTTAGTGCTGATTTCATGTTATGCTTGGCTTCTAACCTATGCTAGGTTTTGCCCCAATTATTGATCAACTCCGGGAACTGTAGAAATCCTTACAGTAATACAGATAAGTAGGCACATAACAACTGCTTATATCAATGGATTCAGAATGGAAAATACAAAGTACGTATGAGCTATGGAACCAGCTGTCATCCCATAGCTAAAGTAAGGGTATCTCCTAGATGGAAGTTTCTGATCCGAACGTTTGGCTTTGCGGTGCCGTGTAGCAAAAGTTCTAAGTTGTCAGCATTCGGAGCCGCAGTGTCTGGCGCAACCTTGGAAGCTGAATAGACTTTTATACCAAGGTCAGACTGAGTCATGTATTCCAAGGTTAGGTGCTCCAGAACATAGAAGAAATTATTTATTGAGAAAGCCCGAGGATAGGTAGATCACTGTGTTGGGGATGTGGTTGTGCTTTCACTCTCCATTCAACAATCCTGAAGTGTCTTTACGATACGGTAATACCTGAGAGAACAAGCAAATTCCAGAGCAGTGCATCCACAACATAATCCGTTAGACTTTTTCTCAAATTCTGCTCCATTCTTTTAGCGAGATTCGAAAGGAGGTGACGTCCCCTCCTTCTGTCGGTGCATTTCGTATGCAAGCAGCATGAAGTGGAGTAAAGTCATTCTCCATCATTTTATTCACATTGGTGCCGCGCTTTATCAAAGTGTCCATAATTGAATGGTGACTACCAACACAGGCCACATATAAAGCTCTGTCTAAAGATCCTTCCCCCATCCCAGGAAAATCTGAATGTGACGCTGTAGCCTCCGCCATGCGCAGTAAGTCAATGTCAACTTGTTTCTCTGAATTGTTTCATGATATAGTGCAGTATTGGATGCATAAAGGAGTGGTCTAGTAATTTCAAATCTAATTAGGCAACAATTACTACATAGTCAGGTAACGATCAGTCGGACTGTTCAGAGTGTTTCCCGAGCACGACGTCTAGGGTACTGCTCTTAGTTCCGTTGTATTTATGATGCTAGATACAAAGTTGTACCTTACTGTGACTGTTCATATCACAGATAAGTTTTCTGCTTTCGCTGCTTTCCATATCATAGTAATGTAACCAAACCCATTCTGCGATGTAGGGCTAGGGCTAGGGCTTTCGACCTACAACGCTAAACCCAAAGAATCGAGACTAGTGGGGCCTCGATTTTAAGGCATTCCATGGGACCCATGTAAGTGCGGGGATGCGGCGACTCGACATCTTGTTGACTTCTTGAGCTGCAAATCCAGTGTCAACAGGTCGAGTGTTTACTTTGGTGTCGTTGTCTTTTTCTTTTTTTGCATAATTAATATGCAATCTGGCATTGATTGAGCTGCAGCCATCTCATATTGTGCGTCCACTTGGTTGATCCATTCCTGTTAATTGATTGTTGTTGGTGCATGCTCCATTGAGCTTCTTACTCTTTTCCTTATTCTCGATTCGATCTTACAGCTTGCGACCGTCTTGAAATACTCCATTAGGGCCTATTTATAGCTTGCTTTTGCTTGCTCTCTACGCAAGTGTCTCTTTGGGTGCTTTATGAATGATTTCCAATATTGTGGCATTGGCATGATGCAGGCTCGAGTACTGCAGAATGAGGGTAAGCGATGTCGCTGGAACGGCGCATACACATTGTGGCACCAGCTAAATTCTGATATAGATAAGCAGAGAGAGGTCCGCCGTCTAGTCGATCAGCTCGATAAGGACCTGTCCGAGAAGAAACTCTCGTCTGCAGGTAAGCCTAGGAAATTAACATGAATCATGACTTTGCCATTGGCTAATTTATGCTAATTTATCGTGATATCAGAGAAAGTTAATGTCATCCTGACCCTTCGGCAACACGGGATAAATCCGGATAATGCAGAAGCAATATACTCCAAAAATGTATCTCGACCGATTTCCGTCCTTGGACCGGAACTTTCTGACGCTGTTAGGGGATCGCACTTCTTACTAAATATGGATTGGACGGGGAGACACAGGATATACGACGAGCCGCTCTACGTACCATTGCCAATGCGCTCTTGCTGAAGGAGGAGATGAGGCAGGTCTTCGTTGATACAGGGTGTGTTGGAAGGTTGGCCGAGAAGCTAAAGGTAAGATGTGATTCGTCTAATCTTGCTGTCAGTCAACCTAACTCTTCACGTACAGACCGAGAGCTCCGAAGACGAGATGATTGTCGCCCGCATACTGTTTCTTACTACATATAATACGGATCTGAGCTTCAAAACATTGATCACTGAGCATTCTCTCGGTGAAAACATAAATTATGTGTGTGGACTTGTATACCGAAAAAAAAAGGAAGGTGATGCTAATTATTCTGCAGCAAATAACGCGCCATGCGAAGCAGCTGCCTAAGAGTGGCAAGAAGACTCTTGCAGGGACTGACGAGTCTGCCTTTACCGAAGTTCTGAAATTGCTCTTTAATGTCGGGAAGCTCAATCCTGATCTCGCTGATGCGTTCACCCAGTCCACTCTGTATATGCTTAAGACTATCAGTCGATTAGATATTCCGCCACAGCCTCTCGATGGTCTGATCGGGCACCTTATCAATGCTCTATCAGTATTGGACCTTACAGATAAGCCGGGCAAATTTGAAAGCAGTCCATTTTTCCCGAAATTCAACCAAAATTGCAATGTTGACAAGCTGATCAACGTTCTGGATGCAGCTGTGCGATATTATCAAACGGACCAGTTGGAGACTCGGATAGTGCTTCTGATACAGTTACTCATCACCATATATGAACAAGCTCCGGAAGGCCCGAGAAAGTACATGGAATGGCTTCTGCTTCCTGAAGATCAGGATCGGAGTGCTCCTATCGGACGCAGCGACACCTTGTCCTCCAAACTGCTGTCGCTTACAACAACGCCGTCCGTGCATCTAAAAACGGCAATCTCAGAACTCATGTTCGTTCTTTCAGGGAAGAGTCCCGAAAAGTTGACGAAGAATATCGGATACGGATTTGCTTCAGGTTTACTTGCCTCGCGGGGCATACAAATCTCACAGGGCTCCGGCGAAGCATTTGCTAGCAACCAGAGCGATACCAATCCCGCCTTTAATCCCATTACTGGTCAGCGATGGGATGCTGAGCCACAAGACACTGGGCCCGCAATGACCCAAGAAGAAAAGGAGCGGGAAGCCGAGCGGTTATTCGTGCTTTTCGAAAGGTACTCCACACTCCCTTGTATTTCGGAACCTATATACTAATCCTTATGCGAATAGGGCCCGCGCTAATGGATTTATCGCAGAGAATCCCGTCGCCCAAGCAGTGCGAGAGGGAAGATTCGAGGAACTTCCGGACGATGCCGACAGCGACCTCGATTGAGAACCAAATTTGCCCCTTCAGATAGTTTCCGTTTTTGTCTTCCACTCGGTTGAATTGAGGCGTTCATAATGCTGTTGAGATTGCCATTTCGAACCTGTATACCATATATGCCGTGCTGCAGCGAGTGTCTTTAGCGGTTGGAAATATGACATTATATACGAATACCCCAGAATATGCAGAGGTGATTGAATTCTTTTATGGTGTTGATATTCAGATTATTATATTTAAATGTATGACGTACAGGCGGGGGGGTATGCATGGATGAGGCTAGTGTCGGCCCGCCGCTTAGAAATGCCCAGAAGCAACGCGGGGCCGCTGGAAACAATTTTTATCTCTATAAAACAACTGCAACGACAACATCTTCCCTCGTTTCAGAGATACCATCTGAACTATCCGAAAACATTTCAAAATCTTTTAGACCATACTATCATCGAATATTTGCCCACCATGTCGAAGCCATTTGACCCAGAGACGGCGGAGAACTTGGAAGATGTGAGATGAATTGCTGAACATTTCCACAACGCTTTGAAAGCATGTTGCTAACAATTCTTTCTACAGATGGAGAAACAGTTCGCTGTCAAAGGTTAGCCTACCGCTACATTCATCCGAACGTAAAGGAGAATCCGAACCATTACTGACATTCTAATCTTTGAACAGCCGTCGAACACCTAATGACATACTGGTCCATCCTCGAAAAAGTCCCCGGCTCCAAACTGCGCCTCACAAAGATGGACGACGAAATCTACGAACACTTCAAGCGCGACTTTCCAGACTTTGATCCGAACGAAACTATAAACGAGGATGAAATGAAGAGCAAAGCTGGCAAGGAGAAGTGGAGAAAGTTTATGATGGAATACGAGAAGAAGATTAGTGACTATAACTTTGGCACCATGTTGAGGTCAAATCCTAAGTCGGAATATGATCAGGAGACGACGATATTCGGTATGTTTTCCTCCTACCCCCGCTTGGTGGCCAGAAAAGTTGCTGTATGGTTGGATTCAAGCAAGAAGGAAGCTAACATGTGCTTTGTGTGTAGCTATGCGAATGCAGTTTTATGCCGTCGAAATTGCTAGGTGAGTTTCGCTACAGTCCGATTTATTTATAACTGAATTACTGACAGTCTATAGGAACCGAGCCGGATTGAATGATTGGATTTATGAGCAGGCCCAAGCCAAGAAGGAACAAGACAAGGAGTGAAGTCGCTTTGATACCCCAGACTTGGGTCAGACGCCGGGGCCTCGGAGACCAATCTTCAGATCAGCTGCATAGCAGCATCTCGGCCTCTCGTGCAAAAGAGATTCGATCGGACCAGGGATCACTGATCGTCTGTTCGACCTTGAATCGGTGGTGACGGACTACGGCATATGACAACGGACCATCCGTGTCAAACCGCCCACTCCCAAGATTTCAGAACAGATACGATTAATTCCTTTATGCTTTCTAGCCCCCATGATACCATGTATAATGACAAATCACCACGTTCAAGTGATTTTTTTTACTTCTATAAAAAAGTCGCAATGCTGTCACGTGACATTTCCACACGAAGTTGCGAACAAAGAGGACAATACTTAGGATTAAATGGACCGAATCCTATTGTTCTTCCTGAAAAGTATTAGATTTGGCTTGACGCTATCGTAGAGTATGCTTTTTTATGAAATAACATTAACCATGTTTATTCCTTTTTGTTCAAGTCTGGCCTTTCTGCAGGCCATCTGCTCGTCTTGCACTTCTTCCGTACCTATGTCTTCGTCTCAACTTTCGACACTCATTCATACCTGCATGTCACCATTGCAGACGTCAGTGTCATCTCCTATTGAATGAAGATGGCTGATACTCTTGAAGCGATAGACCATTCTCGAGATGGGCCAAACAGAGAGGTGTCAGGTATATCGACCACCATAGATTCCAACCATGACGACGAAAAGATATCTCTCAAGACAAGCTGGAGGTCTCTCTTCCGGTTCACGACTATCTTCCATATCCCACTACTCCTGTTGGCCCTCCCGATCACAGTCGCAGCTGGAGTTATAAGAATCGTCTTTGCCCTCTACCTAGGCAAACTCTTTCAGGTACTTTCGCAATTCGGTACTGGAGCAATCAACGGCCACCAGCTCATGGAACAAACGAGAGACAATACATTTATCCTTCTGATTATTGGGGCAGCTACTTGGCTTGCGAGTACTTGTTTCTTCTTCGTTTGGATTGTCTTTGGCGAATTGCAAGTCCGAGGAGCTAGTAGGTTGTTGTTTGGGAGGCTGTTAGCACGCGATCTCATGTGGTTTGATATGAGGAAGGATGGAGTTGGGTCGTTTTTGTCTCATTCACAAAAGTATAGTCGTTGAACCTTTCTGCCCTTGCCTCGAGGTTTGATTTTGCGAAACTAACTCTATAACTTCGTCAAGGCAACTACGAGAATTACAGATTGCAACCGCCCAGCCCCTCGGACTGGTTATTATGCACGTTATCAGGATATTAACCGGTATAATACTCGCATTTGTCATTTCGTGGAGGGTCACTCTGGTTACCATGGCCGGAATACCAGTTACCTTTGCAGTGATAATCTTCACATCCTCAAGAATGTCCCCTATCCTCAAAGCACAGCAATCTGAACTCTCCGAAGCTTCCAAAATCACCTACGACGCCTTCAAGTCCATTGATGTAGTCAAATGCCTCAACGGACAAGCTTCGACTTATACACAAATGATGGCTCGCATCAGGGCTGCTGCTCGATTGTACATGAGATTGGCTATTCTCAGCTCGGTTCAGGCGGCTTTCCCGCGGTTCATGTCCTCTGCGATGTTTGTGCAGGGATTTTGGTATGGAAGTGTGTTGGTCCGATCGGGACGGTTGGAGCCTGGTGATGTCTTGACGACGTTTTGGGCTTGTATGACTGTTACGCAGTCAATGGGTCAGCTGGTACAACATTCTGCTACGCTGGAAAGAGGGAAGATTGCTGGCGAAACGTTGCATCAGTATATACGTGCCGAAGTTACGAATGATTCGACATTGAAGATACAAAGAGATAGGTACCCGAATCTTCATACCGAAGATATTGTCTTGAAAGATGTTAGTGACGCCATTGAAATGGGCCATACGTATGCTGATCTATTGTCTAGGTCGTCTTCTCTTATCCATCCAGATCAGAAACGCCGGTTCTCAATGGTCTGAATATCAGGTTTCCAGCCGGCAGGACAACCTTCATCGTTGGGCACAGCGGAGCTGGAAAGAGTACCCTAATCAATCTGCTGCTACAGTTCTATTCACCAACCTCCGGAGGGATTATAATTGGCGACACGCCGTTTCAGGCAGCTAAGACATCTTGGGTGCGCCAAAACATAACATTCGTTCAGCAGAATAGTTATCTCTTCAACGAATCACTTTGGGATAACATTGCATTTGGATCACATAACCCGCGGAGTGTCTCCAACGACCAAATGGAGATGTGTATTGAAATGGCAAATTTGCAAGGCACAATTCGGACCCTGCCAAACCAGTTGAATACCCTCGTTGGGCTTGGCGGGAACTTGCTCAGTGGTGGACAGAAACAGAGAGTTGCTATCGCGCGTGCTAGGATGAAGAACAGCGCTGTCCTTATTCTTGACGAGTTCACAAGCGCACTAGATTATGATAATCGCGCGACGGTCATGGAATCAGTTCGAAAATGGAGACAAGGCATGACGACGATTATTGTGACGCATGATACCGCTAATATACTTGACGATGATTTCGTATATGTGCTAGAAGCTGGACAAGTGGCTGCTTCAGGTCTCAAGAGGGATTTGCTCAGAGGAGATCAACGAGCGATTTTTGCAAAGGCAATTACAGACCCCATATCACCACAGAGGTCACTAGATGAGGACATACTTGAAGTTAGATGTCTATCAGAACAGTCCTGGCTTGACGATGCTTCGGTCGACACATGGTTCGCTTCGTTTGAGAGTAGCGACACAATGGAGACGCCCAGTACTGCTCTGATTGACCGCTCATTTGACAAAGATATTCAATTCTCTCCTTCAGCGCAGACCTCACTTCGGGAGCTGTGGCCTATTGCTCGCAAACCAGATCCAGTGAATAATAGACTATCTATGGCGGATGGCGGAAAACATCGGCCTTCCAGACTTCGAACTTTTCTGTCAAGAAGACATGGCTACAACCAAGTACCGACAGAAGACACGGGAATCACTACAACCTTGCCATTGCAGAAGACTTTGTTGACTATCCCCAAGATTCTCAACTTGAGACAGAGAGTTCTTTTAGCAATTGCAGCGATTCTTGCAACCCTTCACGCAGCATCAACACCAGTATTCTCATATCTCCTGTCCAAACTTTTCACCTCATACTACGTGGCAGACCGACACCACGCCAGCTCAATAGCCAAAACATATTCCATATTAATCGTGACAGTAGCCTTGGTAGACGCCTTCGTTTTATCCACCATGCTCTACCTCCTCGAATACTGCAGTCAAGCATGGATGGACAAACTACGCGGTCGAGCAATGCAGCGTGTACTCGCTCAACCATGTTCGTGGTTTGAGCAGGAAGGCCACGGTCCACTCCAACTCACTATTTGTCTAGACCAACATGCCGAAGAAATTCGCAACTTGGCGGGCAAATTCGGAAGTTTTCTGATAATTTGCATCATGACGGCTGTTATTGCAATTATTTGGAGTTTTAGTTTGAAGTGGCAGTTGACTTTTGTCAGTCTTTCGTGTGGCCCGGTTTGGTATGGGATGAGTAAAGGGTTAGAACTGGTTAATACGAGATGGGAAAGATCATCGAATGATCTGAACGTGGGTATGGGGAGTATATTTTCGGAGGCATTTACCGATATTGCTACTGTCAGGGCATTCACGCTGGAGAATCATTTTACGGGTAAACTTTCGAATCTTTTGAGCCGGAGGTTGGGCGTTTCGTTCAAGAGGGGGTTCTCTACGGGGCTGTTCTTTGGGCTTGTGGAGTCGGTGATTATTTTTGCAAGTGGTAAGTTAGCATTGCCCTATTTCAAGATATCTTCTTCTTGAAGTGTAGATTGACGCATTGATAGCACTACTCATCTATTATGCAGCGGTTCTGGCTGCCCCAGATGCAATGGGGATCACAAATATTCTCTCGGTGTTGACAATGATATTGTTCAGTCTTGGCTATGCGGCCTCGGTGATATCGTGGAGTAAGTCAGTCTTCCAAATGGAATTTCAAGGCATACTGAGCCATCTCGGTCAGTCCCCCAGGTAAACTCGGCCAACGATACAGCAACACGACTGATCAGACTCTCCCAATTGCGAGATGGATCATCCTCGCACGAGAACTCGGGCAAATTGCGAGTCTTCCAGCCTGTTCCAGTCGAGTTCCACAATCTGAGCTTTCGATATCCCTCACGGCCGGAAGCCTCTATCCTAACTGATTTTTCCGTGAAGATACCTGAGAATAGCTGTTCGGCAATAGTAGGAAGCTCTGGGTCGGGCAAGTCAACAGTAATCTCCCTTCTACTCGGCCTGTATGCATGTCCAGACCCATCACCGGGACAAGAACTCATCGCACCACTTACTCTTGGAGGTGTCGATATCCGACAACTCCATATGCCTACCCTACGATCCATGATAGGCTACGTACCCCAACAACCCAAACTATTTGCCGACACGATTCGCGCAAACATTACATACGGACTCGATCCTTATTCTCGCTTCAACTCACTCAAGAACATCGAAACTGCCGCTGTCTCCGCCGGAATAGCTGATTTCATCTATTCCCTGCCCGAGGGCTATTCGACTTTGATCGGGGAAGGAGGACTCACTTTATCCGGTGGACAAGCTCAGCGTCTCGTGATTGCGCGTGCACTGGTACGGCATCCGCGGATCCTTATATTGGATGAAGCTACTTCGAACCTGGATGCGGAGAGCGCGGAGATCATTCGAAGATCTGTGAGGAAGCTTCTCGCTACCCCGGGACAGGGATTAACGGTGATTATGGTTACGCATTCGCGAGATATGATGGAGATGGCGGATAACGTGATTGTAGTTGATAAGGGGATGGTGGTGGAGCAAGGGTCGTTTATGGGATTGATGAAGAGGGTGAATGGGAGATTAAGGCAGATGTTGGATGTGGATTAGACTATTGTTTGCAGTTGATAGCGCGTTAATTGCAGACTAGCTCGTGGGGCAGTGTTCAGCCTTGAATCTTATCTTAGGCGATGGTCTCGACCAATTGATCTCCCGCGGCATGTCATTTTGTAGAAGAATAACTGGACCATATCAATTGCACAGCATAATAAAAGTAGAAAATGTATTGGATAAAATCTCGGAGTAACAGAAGAACACTGTTGATCAACAACCGCGCGTCACCTCAGTGGCAGAGCTGAGCCTGAGGGTTAAGGCTGACTGGCTGGCCCGGAGACGGCGGCTAAGACAATTAATCTCATTGTTTCAGTCTCCATCTCTACTTCTTTTTCTGTTGTATCTTTTACACTCAATCGATTACTCATTACTGCATTCTTTCTTCTCAATCCAAAAATGTCCTACTATTGAAAGAGCACATATATCAACCATAAATGCAGGTGATTGGCTATCTCCGAGCTTGAAGAATGTACATTCCCAGCCTTCCAACCCGGCGGTTGCTGGCTGCTCGAAGTGCCGGCATGTCTGGTACTACCGCCGCTGGTATCGGGGTGAGTTTTGCATCTTTTTACTGTGATTCCATATAGTCTAATCTATCTGCGTACAGGTCGCTGTCGGTGTTGGCGTTACAATTTTGGCGTTGTTACTCGTCTTCATTATGATTCGGAGGTTGCGGATAAGAGAAGCTGAGCCCAGGCTTCTGCCTGGGAGGTACATGAAGAACCTTTGGTGGAAATGGACGCCACGAGGTACAGTTGAAATAAAAGATTTGGCAGAAGCAAAGCTAATGCTCGAGTAGGAGGACTTAATCGCAATCGAACAACAACTACAACCCTTACGGCAGATCTATCTTCAACTGCGAATCTCAATTCACGGAACAATCAGATAACTTCCAATCCACCTCACCGCGGACAGTCAATACGCTCTATTATTACCTTACCATCCTACAGTCGCCTGCCCAAAGAGGAAGAACAGGTCATTGCCCGCGAAGGAGAGCGAGAAGGAATGGACATGGTCGTCGAATTCCCCGAGACAGCTGATGAAGAAGAAAACCGTCGAGAAGAGGAAATGGAGTCACTATATCAAATCAGATTGCGACGGCGCGAAGAACTCGCCGAACGAGATGAGAGACGTCGATTACGTAGGGAAGCACGTGCTGCGGGTGATACCGCCCGTCTTCAGCAGTTGAGTCGGGATAGTCTGGCAGCTACGCGGGCAAGTATGAGTAGACCGTCTGCGAATGCTATGCTGGCAGAGCATCAGGCTCGAACTCGAGGTCGCCATCGAAGGATCTCGTCCGTAACGTATGCGGATATTGGACATGTTCGTCACGATGGATCACGGATCCGCGCAAACTCGAATGACTCGGACCAGCGTCCGTTACTCGATTTGACACGGCAGTCGACGCAGTCCGTTTTCACTGTGCACAGTCACAATCGCTCTTCTACGTCTGGAATAAGTACACTCAGCGCTAGTGTTCACTCAGGCGACAACGATACTCCTCCCAGCGAGTTGGGAGCGGAAGACGGAGATCTCAGCACCGCACACATTCCGCCGCCGAGTTACGACTATGACGACTGGGGTGAAGCTCCGGCCTATGAGAGTCCTATTGCAGGTAATGCGCGTCATGAGGAACAGTTATTACTGTCGCAGACCCTTCCGCAGATTCGTATCAAGACCGCGAGCCCTGCAAATAGTACGCTTGTCTCGCCAGCTACACCAGCTACACCAGCCACTCCTGGCTCTCATGAACCAGTCTCTGACCTGTCCGAGGATCTATCTCATACAGTCGATGAAACATCTCGACCGAGTAGCTCTTCTCGGTCGGCCGAAACATTGACCAATTCATCGGCTGATGAACATTAGATTGACAGGCTTGAGGTTATATGAACCGAAGTCTTTCAAGGAATTGACAAAAAATATGACGAATTACGACAAAACGATGTTGGACATCCGATGGCGGTCCATATATGTAAATCTTTGATATTAAGCATGGCGTGCGTTTTGGGTACATATGGATGAATCTTGGAAATGGTTTGGCGGGGGAATATACATTCTTCTTTTTGTAATGATATACATTATCAGGCAGTCTCTGTAATGGATGTTGTCCATATTGTTATTTTTCTTTGCTCCTCGTTTTTCAGCTTTGGGTTTTATGATATCAGCTCTGGTTATGTTTCCAGCAAAGGCGTGGTTTTGATGTTTTACGATGCGAGATTGAATGCTATAAGAATATTTAGACATGTGAGATTATTGTTTTTATCGGTATTTCTAGGGTTGGTATGACCTCAATACCGATTTTAAGAAAATATAACAGACTTTCATACTCTATTCAATCCGAAGAGAACTCTGAGTATTCGCATACATACTTTACATACGTAGGACACAAGTTGAGCAGTAAGTAACACAGTTCGGAAATGAGCGACAGCAAAGAATGAATGTTGGAAGAAAGAGTAGTACAAGAGAAGTAAAGTCAGACCTGAGCTCTATCAACCCAAGCATCACCAGAGAAATCAGTATGTTTCTCAGTCAAGAATTTCATACCCTCTGTATCATCTGGTCCAGGCAGGATCTTGGGAAACACAACGCCATCAAACAGACATTCCGGAGTGTGGATAATGGAAGTCAAAGCCGTGAGGCTTTCCGGTAAAAAATCAGCTTAGTAGTCATGCAATACTTCGATATGGGCCTTGAAATGGGCTAGCAGGTTCGCCGGAAGAGCAGTATTCTCTGCAAAGTCAGGGGTCAATATCGTGCTTCATCTTGAAAAGAATCTTTGCCAAAGTTGACACACAGGAAGCTCCTCCACCGTGGCTGATATCAAGATTGTTTTAACAGATCCAACGTACAACGATTACTCTTTCTTGCAATGGAAGGCGCTTTCTCGGGTGGGAGTACATCTACAACCGACTTCATTTCTTCCACATCACCTGCTTGGGTACGGTCTCACCCTGAGAACCTATACAAATCACTCTGCTGACGCTGAATCTATTACGCGACCTTACGGTGGCGCCCAGAAAGCTATATTCAACAGATTTGTGTACGAAACTGGTATCAAATTATATGATTTCGGTTACATTGAGATGCATGGTACGGATAAAAGGATCTTTGTCTGCGTTAGCGTCCTCGTATCTCTTCAAGATCAATGTTTCCATATCTTCACCACGGCAATGCCCATCAGCACCGTCATCGAATGGCTCGCAATTGCCAGTTCGTGATAGGAAGTGGCCCAGGCCATCCATATAGTCATAATTTCCAGGGCACTCAAATTCTTTCTCCGAAAGCTAACATAAGAGAATATTGGCCAATATGAAATTTATGTACCGACTAAAAGCATGATGAACTTATTTGCTACTTGGGATAGTGGCAACGCTACGTTACAGGCTGAAAGTTCTGTTTATGCCTGAGAAATCAGGCTAGTTAGGGTAGAGAGACGTATTGCCGAAACAGGGAAGTGTGATAATGGCCTAGATTTTTCGATAAAAAAGCGGGAATACTGATGTCGGGCAACGAGGGAGTAAGTTATTTGTTTTCATACGAATGTCGTGCTTACTCAAGCAAGCGGTCCATGATTATCACCTCCCCATCATTCTTCATTATAAGACACCTAATGAATGAGATTCCAGATCCGATCATCATCATCGGCCCAGGACTTTGTGGTCCTACACTTGCTCAAGGATTCGCCTAGCAACAACCTTTGGGAGAGCCTCTTCAAAGGTCTCTTCAGGTAAAGACAGGAGCTTGTTATCCGTGGGATGATATATAGCATAGTTGTCACCATTCCCATACACTGAATTAATACATCGGATCAATAACCTGGCACCACCAAAGTCACCCTTATAGACCTTTTTCATTCCGATTGCCTTCTAGGCTTCAGCGTCACGTAGTCGACGTCGAATTTTGAGCTAGTGATCTTTTCGAGAGTTTAAAGAACTTCATTTTGCTTCACGGTGTATGAGGCGATATGAATGTATCTATTAGCAGTTTTCTCTGGTTCAAGCAAAGAATTCTTCACTGCTAGTCCACTCGAAGACAAGGTCGTGGTGGACTAAGAGCCTTCTCCGTCGTTGTAGATGACTGCTTTGCGGTTAGGGATACCAAACCCTATGAAGCCGGCCATAGCTCTTCTCTGAGTTAGTCCTCAAGCTGATATGACGAAGGCATTTGTTTGTCATTAGATAAAATGGGAAATTGTAAACATACAGCTCGAAGAAAGGGCCGTCACAAACGAAGACGAGGTTATTGTGCTGCACTTGCTGTAGCTAGCAATAGCGGAGACAACAGCATCTTGATCCTTGAAAGCTGAAAGTACTTCCTCATATGGATAGTCACCCACCCGATATACTTTGGTGTCTTCGGGGAACTTTGAGCTTGATGACTGACGACTCAGGACAGAGACATTGAATTGTGAGTCGCCACGAAATGCAGATAAGATGGAGGGGCCAAGATGGCCGCCTGCTCCAATTATAATCACGTTTCTAAGAGCCATGATTCCAGATTAGCATCGATTGCCGGTAAGCTGAATTCTTCAACTGAGTAAAGGTATTGATTAAGAGTTTGCATGATTGTGATGCTTTAGCAGAGCGGCTGGGGGATTACGCTGTTTGAATACGAGCAGCTTTCGGCGTTCGGCTTGAAGATAGGGGATTGATTTGAAATCAATAGTCATATTCTTGTGAAAAGAAGTAAATGGTTATTCCGGGAATCCAGTCATGGTGTATGAAAATAGCCGTGGAGCGCAGCTCGGTCACCACAGAGGTACAGACGCCCAAAGCCTGAAATTCGACCGAGGGCTCCTCGACTGAAGTTATTAGTACTGCAAATCGGTGCTTGCAATACCATATCTCCGATTATCGTAAATAAGAATACACCGAAATACGATATATACTCTTCAATTTTGGTTTCTGAAATGACAGGTCTTGAATACGATGTCTGAATTTACTGGCCTGTCACAGCGGTTTTAGGGCTTCAGGGCTCATGTGCTCAGGGTTAGGGTTGTTTCTTTTGGAAGGACCCACACACGGGTTGTGGGTAAACAAAAGCCTCGCGCGGGTCAACAACCTCTCATCACCTGCTTTGCTTCAATGTTTACATTTCCAGCTGCCATATCCTAGCCATCGCTGATTAGCAACTGCAATTACATGGACTAGATAATAATCTGCTTTTTGGCAGCTTTTTATTCCTCACATTCTCATTCCCATACAATTCCGGTCGAGAGTGTGCAACCATCTGGCACTCCCATTCCAGTCACGACCGAACCAAACGCGTCTTTGGACACGACAAAGAACTTGCGATTACTGTGCTCTCCTAGCTTATGGATTAAATATTGGAGTCAACAGCTTTTTGTTCGCCTCGCCTGAGTATGACACGTCCATATTCGATGCGACACACTGAACATACGCAAGTCTCTGCTGGCGACTCCACCATGTCTGACTTTGACCCAGAAAACGAAGCTCTTGTTTCAACTCGAGAACTTGACCATAGCCATGAACTGCCCAAACTACCAGCCAGCTTCCGACGAGCAAGCACAACAGGAAAAGGCAGTTCTCCACGTCTTGATCCTGAGTACACCATCGACACTTCTGCAATCAACCGTGCCTTCCCCGAATTCTCAGACGTGGAATCATCTCCGGACGACGAGACTGAAGATGACTTCTCGATTGAGATTGGGCGAGGCGTGAAGAACTCTAGCCGCAACAGGCGCGACGATTCGCGCAACTCAATGATGAGCATTGAGAACAGTGTTCGCTCAGCTTCGCCGGCTATCAAACTTGATTATCCTACCACAAGCACGCCTCCTAAATCGGCTATGCGCAGCGCCTCAAAGAGAGCAGTCGCTGGGGACAGCCTACGTAAGGATGCTCAGATAAGACGCGCAAGCCAGATGCAAAAGGAAAATATTGACCCCCTTCCTCAACCCAATCGCTCCAAGAGCTCGGGGCGCTCGGCTGAACCTCGTCACACATTAGCTGAGATGCATGTGAGAGCGAAGGAAACATACGACGGATCATACATTAGCGACGAGAGACCTCAAAATGTCCCCGTCAACACACGAACGACTCGGTTTGGAAATGTCTCAGGCCAAGTCGCGGCCGCTATCGAGTCGGCATCGCGCAACATACAGCCTCGTGACTCCCAGCGTCGGAAACACGATATTGCCCCAAATCCCACATTTACAATGGATACTGTTACCAACGGTTCGATTTTGCTTCCAGATTTGCCAAATATCTCAGAACTAGTGTCAGGCGTTTATGAAGATGGCACTCCAGTTTTCACTCGCCAGACCAGACCCCGTACCACACGCTTTGTTTCTCCTCCTGCGGAAGACATGGATGTATCTCAGCCTCGTGGCCATCTGCCCTTGGAAAATGTGCCCATTCCCGAGGATGAAAAAGCTCTCTTTGTCTCTCTGAAGCTCTTACAGGATAAGGTTGCAGACTTGGAACTGGCAAAATCTGAGGTCGAAAAGAAGCTTGAAGATGCTCGTGAGGAGAATCATCTTCTAAAGGCCGAAAAATCGCGCAGACAAAAAGAACAATATGACCGACTCAAATTGTTTGGGGGTGAGGATGGTGAACAGGCTAGAGGCAGTACCAAATTACTGCAAGACAAAAATAGTATGTAACAGCACGAAGATATCACTGGCAGACCAGGAAACTAACACATCTTTAGAGCTTGAAGCGGTGAATTTGGCTCTTCAAAACAGGCTTGATATTGCTGATCGCAAGGTTCAAGTTCATGAATCGGCGTTGAAGTCATTGGCCCAAGAGCGCGATTCTGCTGTCACACAGCTAGGCGTAGCTTATTTGAACACACAAGAGACGAAGCGAGAGAACGAGGCTCTGAAAAAGGAAAATGCAGAGCTCAGAGCCCAGGTCAACAAGTTGACGACGCTAGCTCGACAACTAGCTGGAAACGAATCTAACACATACCAATCGCTTCCCAAGGCGCAGATTGACACTGAGCATATCACCACAAGTACCGATCAAAACGAAGGCAACACACAGAAAACATCTGGATCAATGCGTTCTCGGCGCCAATCCAAGGAACAAGCCGTGCGCGCCAGCAATTCTACGCGGGACGATCCCCAAAGCCGGGTGCTTGATAGAGTAGAGAAGGAGATATCGAGAATGGAGAAACAACGTCAAGATGAAGAACTTTTTTCTCTTAATCTATCGAGGCCCGCTACAGCAAATATGGAGTCTGCTACAAAATCCACACTACCTTATAGGTCAGGAGAGGTTGAAAGCAGCCGGAAGGTGCCTAACACTGGAAAGCAACGCATCAAACGGGTCATTGTCGAGGAGGCTGACACTACTGGAAACTTCACTGAAGACCTTCGAGAAGAAACGAAGAGTCAGACTGGTGCTGGGCAAGATTTCACTCTGCTCAGCTTCATTGATGATCGCGAAATTGCCAAACTCCGCAGACGACTTGAGATTGAAAGAGCTACGCGCAAGCAGAACCAATCTGCAGCCGTAAGAGAGCAGTCTGCAATTACTACCGCTTCTGGCAAACGTACAGCTTCGGATCCCCCGCGCAAGTCGTCCTTGAAAGAACCGAAGGAACCTATCGTTCGCCCATCCTCTGCCCTTGGTGATGCTACCTCAACGGCGAAAACTGACCAAGGTGACCGTGAGGAGGGAGCCGCTGGACGTCGCAGACGCCACTCTGACCATTCAACTCAAAGCCAAAGTCGACGAAGGAAATTCGTTCCGGAATTGACGTCGGCATTTATTTTACCAGATATCACGCTCCGCTACGCTGAAGTAGCTACGCGAGAACCCGCCCGTCTTTCAGAATCTGCTCAGAAAGTCCTCGATAGCGTTGCTGGTCATGATGGCAGAAACTGTACAGTTTGCAAACGCCTTTTGCCGGATGGTGTTACTCACAATCATGATGACGACCATGTTGCTATCCAACGCGGCACGATCACTGTACCGAAACCAATTCCAGTTTCTGAGCGTATGCCCGAGCCATCTTTCTATAATGAAGAGCCAACTCTTCGTCCATCTCGCCCACCTGCAGAAGCGCTAGCCACTGTTCTCAAAGGTCTGGAGGATGAACTTTCTCATCTTAAAATGCAATTGGCAGTAGCACAGCAATCGTTTTCGAAGCATGATGCATCTCTCGGCAAACGACAAAGGAAGTCTCTAAGCAACAAGATCGAAAAGCTATTGAAGGAAATTGACATCAAAGCGGATCAGATCTATGCATTGTATGATGTTCTCGAGGGGCAAAAGCAAGATGGTCACGAAATGACCGAAAAAGAAATGGAAATTACTTTGCAGTCTATTGGCATTGATGTTCAGAACGCAGCCAAGCTTGCCAACTTGACAGGAGCGACTGACGAATCACTCCGTCGGAAAACGGTTCACAATGTCGAGGATTCGGATGATGAATACGATGAAGAACTACCATGGGAGGGATTTGAGAGTACTGCTGAAATGACGGGCCGTCATACCTCACGCTCAGGAAACTTGTAATCGATATCTTACCTACCGCCTTCATCACGTCTAGTCATTCGGGGTTTCTTTCGATGCGATGTCCAGGTTTCAGACTGACCTTTTCTAAAGAAAGGTGCATGTCCCTGTTCATCGTTGCCTATAACAAACTCCTCGAGTCGGACTAGAGAACTTCATGGTCTTGCATTTATTTTCACTCTTACAGCTCCAATCTGATTTCTTTATCTTCGTGTTGACTGACTTCGGTGTATGTCCATGAAGGAGATTTCCAGCATTAAGCAGCGATCGATGAAAAGATAGGCATCTCATGACTGATCCTCGCTCTTATTCTTTAAACACTTTCTTCCTCAGCTTGGAAGAGTTCTTCAATTTCCTACAAATGCATGCTGGTACACATGTTGCGAGTCGGCTATCTCTTTACTTTTATATTTGCAATGGCGTTTGAGTATTCTCTATCTACATGTTCGGAGTTGACCGGGAGGGTTTGGCCATTGCCTGCATGTTTTTGTTTCGTATTCTTGATTCATTTAGCTCTTAGTCTATTTCAGCTCGCGTTACTTCATTGCCTTGAGAGTCTTTTATCAATAATTTGCTGAACGAAGATTGTTCACCAGATGGATGTCTAGTAGTGTAAGTTGAACTTTGACCAATTCTGAAAGATAATTAGCGAAGGCTTCATGCTTGCTGCTGGGCGTGTACAAAATATGTAACGCAATAAATTTTGAAATAGGCTTCAGAATCATTGCATAATCAGGATACGGTCCTGAAATGTGAAATATCCCCAAACGCCATCGCTATGCATCCCGTCCTCTATAACATGCGCAATCTTTTTTATCAAACGGCTGACAGCATCTAGAAAACATCATCAGAAGCTCGTACTGTAGCAGCCTGCTGCGCAGCACCTCTCGTGGCAACAGCAGCTTTCGTGGTTACGCCACCAAAGCTATCACGTTTAGAAACCTCTTCTTCGACAAAGACACCCAAACCAGCAAAAGCCTCGAAGAGCGTGCGTGAATAATACTCTTTGATATCGAACCCGCCAGCCGAAAAAGTTGTACTGTTACGAGCTTGATCAAGCCACTGAGACGGATAATGATCTTGCAAAACATAGTAATCTCGTTTGTCGATTTCGAGGCCACCAAAAGGGTCGTAGGGTTTCTCAGGTTCTGGTAAGGAAACTTTCTTGAGACCCTTGATAAGACTCGGTTCCGCGTCAGACTCTGCAGCGGCGGATACTGCGCGAGAGCCTTTGGTCTTTTCACCACGGAGAGCGGCCTGTTTCTGGCGTAATCTTTCTTCTTCACTTCGGCGAGCAGACGATTTCTTGAGGAGGATCTTTTGGCCTTCTCGGGCGATACTGGCTGCGTCGCCGGGTCGGCCTGAGGCAAGTCTGGATAATATATCTTCGCGGCCCGCGGCGAGCTCGCGGTGTTCTCTTTCATATTCCTCTCGTACTGCAATCCGCCGTAAGCGAGCCTGTTCTTGTTCAAATGATTGCTGTTCTTGGAATGATGAGGTTTCTTGTGATTCCCGTGCTTGATTGGCCCGAATGGAGTCAAGATTTTGTGCTTGGTATTTTCGTAGGTCGGCCTCGGTTTTTGCAACATCGATACCTGATACTAGGTTCATGATCATGGTCTCACGTTGTTCGAGGAAGTTGTCCCAATCTAGTTTACTGTCGAATTCGTCTTCCCGGCGGTTTAAACTAGGGTCCATGTGTCAGTATCAAACAATACCTTAGACATCATAGACCGTTACAAAGAACATGCATGTGCAGCTTACATTGCCATGACTCTCTTCCGAATATCAACCTCCCTTTCCACGCCGATGTCTTCAAAAGTCTGTGTTCGAAATCGATTCTTGCGAAGCGTCTTCTTGCAACCGATCACCGGACACGAATTCGGACCTGACGAGAATATACGATCCACACAGGATTCGCACATTTTATGATAGCATTCCGGGTTAATGAGGAACCGCATGTCTGGGTTGAGGTATCTCGAGGATTTGCAGATAGGGCACACCTCTAACCATACCTATGTCAGTCTTATCACGACGGTGCTGGAACGGAAACCACATATGCTTACCGTCCTCATCTCGACGAGCTGATCCGTCCGTCAAGCCTGACATGTTGACTTATATGATTATTTCTTCACGAAATGAAGAAATTTGTCGTTGAAGTTGCAAATGGCACTGAGTTGGCTGTTGCTTTCAAAGCAAGCTCGGGCTGTCCGCGGAGCTTGAGTGAGAATAACCAATCAGAGCTAAATTTTTCATTTTGCCTCCTTCGCAAACCGCCAATCTCCCCGCTTCTTTTCCTTTCACATTTCACATCACCCCGGTATCATATTACTCTCTACTTCAGTTGGAGTGACAGACAAGATGGCTGTCCGAAATCCCACTCTAGACGAACTAGAGCGCCGACGACTCGAGCTCGAAGGGAACATTCAGAACCTCCGCAAATCACTCTACGACTGGCGACTAAGAGAAGCTGAATATGACGGGCTGAAGGATGAAATAAAGAACCTAGAACACGATTGCACGAGCATCGAGATACTTCAAGCTGGTATCGACTATGAAGGAACCGTCGTTGATGAGAAGGAGGTCAGAGCTCTTATTGGCGTTGGACAGAACATCACGCGATCCAGAGACCAGGTTGTTCAGCAGATTACTCGAAGACTCGACTACGTCAAGCAGAATGTTGCGCTATTGGAGAAACGGCTATTGGCAGCAGAGGCAGACTTGGATAGGTTATTGTCAGTTGAACGCCCCGGGCCCAATGCTGCTACAGAAGAGTATGCCGTGACCGAGATCTTCGAGGAGCTGGATGAGAATGGGGATGTTATCTCTAGCAAGGTCTCGAATCCCGCTGACCGCGCTCCTGAGATTATGGATATGCTCAAGAAAGCTGGTGTGGAGATTCCTCAAGGACAGGAGCGTAGTAAACAAGAGGGTGACAAAGTGGGCTCAAAGGAGGGGACATCGGTTGCGGATACACTCAAAGAAACCAGCAAGTTGGGTGTTACTTCGGTCAATAATGACGAGGCAAAGATGACATCGACCACGACTGCCGTTCCCGCAATTGCAAACCCCGCTACTGATGACTTTGACGACTCAGACTCTGAGCCGCCCGTTCTAGAAGTCAACGAGTCTCCTGAGGATGCAAAGCTTCGTCGTGAAATGCTCGAATACAGCTTCCACGAAGTAGGCAGAGTTGTCGCCGAGCTCGAGCTGGACGAGGATGGCAGCGAAATATCCGTCGACGATGACTACGACGATGACGATGATTACGAAGAAGAAGAAGACGAGTATGGACGTACAACGACACCAGTTCTGACGGAAGAATATCACCGACAGATGAAGGAATTAGAAGAAAGGCTTAAGGCTGGTGGTTATATTAATCTGGGTCCTGCTGCAAATATTGCTACTGAAGCCAAGGAGACTGCAGAAGCAGCGTCACACGGAGGTGTTTTGAAAGTCACTGCTATTGAAAGAGATGCGGATGATAACATATCTTCTGGCGGAAAGAAAGATGAACCGAAAAAGCCCAAGAAGAAAGTCGCCTTTGCCCAAGAGCTAGATATCGCGCCAGAGTCAACACAGCCAACGGCTCCAGTGCAGACAAAACGAAAGATTGATGTTATCAAGTCGGATGTCACACCTCTGTCAGATTCCATTGTTGAGCGCTCTGCCTCAGCTCCAAGCACTGGTAGTCAAGATACTACAACTTCTACAAAAAAGAAAACGTCGAGATTCAAATCCGCCAGAAAAGACGGCAGCCCAACGCCGGGCGATTCGACTACACCTGGCATCATTCCCGGCCAACGATCAATCCTCATGAAATCAGATCAACCACCCTCGGCTTCATCTCTTTCTCTATTCCCCGCCAAATCCAATGGACCGAAGCGATTCTCTCAACCTATCATAGCTGGTGATGTATTCGCCGCTACTTCTACCGCACGATCAACAGAACGCGAAGCCAAACCTCCCGAAGGCAAAATCACCGCCGAAACACTCATCGAACGACCCGTGATTGACAAAAACACCGTTCTCCCACCGGATCCAGACGAAATCGATGAAGAAATCCACCGCAAGGAAGTAGCGACTGAATTCTATCGTCGTCGAAATCTGAGGATTCAGCAAAGTGGCGGATTCTTGAAAGATGAGGACGAGGATGAGCGGGATCAGCTTTATGAGTTGGATGAGAATGATCAGCCGAAGAGGAAGGTTAGTAAGTTTAAAGCCGCGAGGTTGCGATCTTGATTTTATGATGTATATCAATCTGATGCCTGCTCAATTCCTCTTCTTCTCTTCTCCGTTCGTAGATTATTTCCAAGGGAACATTGACTCAGGCAGATTACCCTTCTTCTTTATTTGGAAAGGGGAGTCTGTTCCTCAGTTTTACTGTGACATGACCCTCATCACTACCCACCTATTCAGGTAGGTATCAATGGGATTCAGTACCATGATCACTAATACAAGTTCCGATATTGATTTATTCTACATAAAAGAAGGCTCTCTGACTGCATCATAGCTTTTCTTCTGGCTTTATTTCTCTCCCTGGGTGGTTAGATAAAGTCTAGAAGGATTCCGTAGAGACGTGGTTTCGTTTCACCTTCTACATGTATTCTCATACAATCGTGTACGTCGTCGTATTCATAGATAACAATATTAAAAACATTCATCCTCGCCCACGTCCAGAATCGTATGTAAGGTATCGTATATGCAGGTATATAATCATCAAGTGCATAGCCATGCGACAGACAAATCATGCGAAAAACGCTCTCGAACTTCCCCAGACACAAATACTATCCATCCTCACACTCAACGCCATCAATCCGAGATGAACAGCCAAAGAAATCAACTGTGTTTTCGAGCTTTGTACGGGTAAAGATAGTACAGCGAGTATGAACAGAGGGTAATACACCCATGGATTCACGGCCATGGGCATGCATGTCTGTGAAATAAGGATTTGTTTGGCGATAAAGAGCGTGACTCGTACGTTTGGAATGGGGACTTGAAGGTCCATGGATGGTATGGGTATGAAATATAGATATGAGTTACTGCTCCAGAGGGTCTCTGGAGGTGGAGGGAGCAATCGGTGTGGTGGAAGTAGTGTGTGATCGGGCGGTGTTGACGGAGGATCATGGTTGCGATGATCTATCATGGGATGAGTATATCGTCGTTGCCCATCTGTTTGTTGTACCTCGTCATTATCATCGATACGTCGTGGAGGTGTAGATGGTGTGCTTCGGAATCGCGGACGGAGTATCACGTCCTGATCCGGGTTACTGGGTGATCGATGGCGGTACTGACTATCTGAATCTGTCTCAAGTATTGTGTTGTTTCTATTTGAAGTAACGCTTCGTGTTTCGTAACGAACAGGTGATCGGACAGCTAGAGGCCCCGTTGATCGTGATGCGACCTTGACAGGAGAGCGAGATGGCTGAGGACTGTTTGGGACCGGTGATTCGACAGGCTGTATGCGTTGACTGAAATCAGGTCCATTGGAGCTTGCGCGACCAAACCGGCGGCTCTCGTTGCCCGTGACACCTGCCTGTATAATAAGCAGGACTTCATCTGCAGTAGGTCTGCGACTAGGGTTGATTGATAGTAGTCGCTCTAGAATGGTGTAAAGCTTGTCTGGTAAATCCGGACGAAGCCTCTTGAGCGAGTCATCGAATCCCTTCCAGGTACTGATCTCGGCTCGAAGCTCGTCAATATCCTCTTTCTCTTCTATGAGATCTGCACTGTGATATGGAAGTTGAGCAAAACAAAGAAAGTGAAGGATCATCCCGAGGGAAAAGACGTCAGATTTGAAGGTGAAATTGACAAAGGGGCCATTGGGATATTCCCTCTGTAGAACTTCTGGGGCGCAATATGAAATCGTTCCAGTCGTGCCGGTTGATTTGCGTACTGTATTCTCAGGTTGCACTTCACCAAAGTCACTGACAAGAACTCTCAACTCTTGACCCGAGTCATGCAGCAGGCAGTTGCTTGGTTTAAGATCGCGATGAATGAAGCCATTGGCGTGTAGGAAACGGATTCCCGAAGTGATATCCCTGAAAAAAGAGTATATCTCTTCAAACTGGAGTTTCCGGGGTCCTGAAAAGTCTGGTGCCTCTGGCTGACCTTTGGATCGACGACGAAGACGTTCCTTTAATTGCTGCGCGGTCGTCGATGTCGGCACAGATCCCACCACATATTTGTGAAGATCACCAGCATTGCAGTACTGTTGAAGAATAAATGCGCAGGGCACACTCGGACTAAACGTGCTGATCTTGAAATCTTCCAACCACACATGTCGATACGATACAAGATTCTGATGTGATAGATGCTGCAAGAGCTGCACCTCTACCAGAACCTTTTCTAGCCATTCATGATCGTCACCAACTGGTACACGTTTGCAAGCAAAATGACCCAGCGAAACACCATCAAGCATATGCTTTACCAAAAGCACAACACCTTTCCCGCCTCGACCCAACTCCGCTTCCTCGACAAAGAACTTCTTGAAATATCCCTGACTGAACGCTGCCGACGATATCCCCTGCGGAGATGACGGTGATGGTGGCGCATACGGCGAGGAAGATCTAACCGAACCATCTGTCAAAGCCGGCTGTGCGAGACGTAGACGCGGTGAAAGTGGTGGTGTAGATGCTTCGGAGTTTGGGACGCTATCGTGAAGAAGACGGAAGTATTCTGGGGTCACGAAATCGTGTTGCGCGGGGCCACCACTGCGTCCGCGATGTACTTCTGCTTCATTGTCTCGATCACGCATGGGACGGTGGCAGTAAGGACAGTCTTGTATGTCCAGGTCGAGGTCGCCATTATTGGGATTGTTCGCGTTGCGAAGAACTAGTTGTTGAGAATCGCGGTCGAGTACAACCACCGAATCATTGTGGCGTCTGTAAATGGAAGATATATGAGTAAAACGTCTCACTGAAATCCCAAACAGAGTTTTCAACAGGAAAGTAAGTGTAGACTAACAGTACGATATGTCGATTTGAAGAATATGGGACAATAGACATTGGTGCGTCATCAGCCATGCTCAACCGACTTGCGAACTTGCACTCTTATACACTTGGTTCTCAAAAGAGAGCATGGAGATGTAGATTTAAACTGATCATTGTCAAAGAGTTGAAAACCCATTGACCATGCACAAAAAGCTCAAATAGAGTCTAGTTGAGTTGTTTCTGGAGCAGCGGTGACCAGCAAGCAAGAGGTTGTTCCACCTTCGACCTTGATTTGCCGCTGCCCCACGTGAGCTCCCTACTCTTATCAGACGGACGAATACGAACTTACGCTACGTACTTTATATAGACTACGATGATATGAGGATACATTTGTACCGAGCATGTCTGCATCAACTGATGCGATGGTATGAATTCGTCTGTTGTGTATCGACAGTATCACAGGTCATGTGAAACAATGAGGCGACATTCCAGTCTTTACAGGAAGCCCAAGTTGCTTCTACAAGCCAGCACATACAGGCAGACAGCTTCAGGGGTAGCTGGTAAAGCTTGGGCAGTACGCTCCCAAAGTACATACGTGTTTCGACGATGTATGTCCCGGATGCAGCCAAGCGGAGCTGGCTTATATTAAGACACTGCGAAGCAGGTGACTCGACGCAATATTGCGTGTCAAGCTGCGTTGGTATGCTGAAGATCTTCGACATCTGCAAAAATGAATCGAACATAGAAATAAACAGTTGACTTCAATCTTTTGCAGGTGCATCTTCATTCTGGTCTTCTTCATTTCCCTCTCCTTCTTCTTCTTCTTCTTGTTCATCATCTGAGACACGGATACCCCCGTCGGATTCATCGTCTTCATCGAATCCTTCAAATTCATTGGAGTCATCTTCCTCATCCTTTGCTTCGGAAATCGCTGCGGCTGTGTCTCTCTTGCGTTTTTTAGACATCTCTCCAAGACGACCCTCTCGGCCTTCAATCTTTTCATCTTCGTTTCCTTCATTATGAGGCGGCGGTGTAAACCAAGGTATCTTTCCTCGAAGAAAATCATTGATCACCATCTTTGCAACGCCGTCTAGATCGGGCTCACCGCCTCGTAGCAATCGACCACCTTTTCGAGCAAGTATACTAAGGAATTCTACAGCATCGCCGTCGAAGTCCTTGATCTCGTAAGTGCGCTCGATATGACGCGTTTGCACTTTCTTCAGAACACCTGGGATATATTGTTCCGGGTTATGAACATTCTCAACTCGGACAACTCCTCGAAGCAGAATGTCTTCCTCGGTATCATTTTGATTTGGAGGTACAACTCCAGGACAATCGATAAGATATATCCTCTTCATGAGTGTGATATATTGCCAGACCTTGGTTTCCCCAGGAATGGGTGCAACAGTGCAAACCTTTTTATTCCGAAGAGTGTTGATGATGGAGGACTTTCCCGTGTTGGGATATCCAATAAAGCCAACAGAAATCTGCTTGCGATCAGAATGAAGAGATGAAAATTGACGCAAAAGCTGGATAAGTGATCCCTTGCCGAACGAATTGTTGATCGAGGCATGGAAAGCCAGAGTGGGATAATTCTTGGACAGGTGGCGTACCCATGCGGCCTGACACGAAAGTTAGTTGCTGTACATGAAATCTCAAGAAACAAATATGAATAGAAAATAGTGCAATGTGTGAAATGTTACTAAGAGCTCCGCTACAGGAAGCACCATCGATGACGGTATCAGAGCTCAACTCAAAAACAAAGCACTGCTATCCTTTACGATAAGCCTTCAAAACGAAAGCCGATCAACCCGAAGCTCAGAAAGAGATCAGGCGGCGGATGAGCGTCAATCTACCAAAGCTGTAACAGACAAAACTTCCATTGAAGCGGCAAAAACATGCACAGGAAGAAGCCTTGACTTAGCAATGGCACCAGCGTGGCCGGATAGAAGAGGCTAGGTGGATTTGTGGAGAAGAGAAAGACAGAGAAAACTTACAGCAACCTTTGTCGGAACCAAGTCGCATTTATTCAAGACGAATATCAAATGCTTATGCGGTGCTTCGTCACGGATATATTTCTCAATACTTCTGCACCTTGTTCCTTCAGGATCACGAGCGTCCAGGACATGGATGACAACGTCTGAAGAGTCAATGACCTTATAAAGTTCATTCCAGATACGTTTGCTCTGACCCTTGGAGAAGACATGTTCACGAGCTACTCCCATGACACTGATATCTTCACCGTCATCTTCACCCGATTTTCCACTCAATAATTTGGCTTGATCCAATTTTTCCAAGTATGAATCGTGCATTTTGACAGACTCTCCAGCGAGGTCTTCCAGCGAGCCGACATCAAGCTTGACACGTTTCCGCTGAGCTTTAGGCCCGAAGGTATCTCCAAAAGGAGCAGTCTCAATAGTCATTTTCGCACGATGTTGCTTGAGGCCATTGAGTTCCTGACCGTCTCTGATCAAACTCATAGGCAATTTATTTGTTTTCAAAAGAACCTGGTACGGGTCTGAGGCTCGTTCGGCAACGGCTTCTCGAAAGGAAGTCAACGCCTCCTGGGAGATAACTCTCGTATTACCGAACCACTTGCGGTTTGGTTCTATTCGGGCATTGGGTAATTCTGTAGACTGGTACGAAGCAGCCTTGACAATATTTCCCTCGGCATCTCGTTTGGCCTTGCCATCTTTGTACATATTCAAATGACGGACTTTCTTCGCATCGCTATAGTAAATTAAAAAAGTCAGATAACATTCATACAATTCTGCTGCTGGTCGCACTCACCGATAGAAGTTTTCGCCTTTTGTCCTGACGTTGGCCATGCCATCTCCGACCTTGCCTTGGCGCTCTCTGCGTGAGGCCTCTTTCTTTCCTGTACCCATGATGAAAATAAATTCCTTCTTCTCATAAATACAAACGAAGAAGAAGTAGAAAATGGCACAGAGTGTTCTGGCGAGGAAAGAGTTAAAGGATTTTGTCAAGAGGACGGCGGGTAAGAAAAAAAAAACTAGGACGGGGCTAGCGTATGCACGGGCCAATCAATGAAAATTGTCAGCCGTCGGTCTCGACACAACACGCCAGAACACACCACCAGTGCTGCTTCAAGCACTGCCATTTATCGCATTGTCCTTTTTCCTTTTTATATCCAGGTGTCATTACTCATTGAATCTCTCCTATATCAGGGTTTGAACAATGTCGCTCTCCAGGAGCTACCGGACTGCCACCAAGCAGGTTCGCAGCTTCTCCGTCTCTACCAGACTGCGTATCGGCCCTGAATCTCCTAATTACATCGAGGTCCCTCAAACATTGCAACCCGATCTGCCTGCAAAGCCTCGAGTCAAGGGTACTCTACCTGTTCCACGTGAAATCTTCCCAGCCCGTCGTCCTGACAAGCCTACACCGGCCTACATCTCTGCCGTGACCCCAGAACCAAGCAAGGTGAAAACAATCAAGAAGAACGACCCCAATGCAGAAACAATTGCATGGAAGCAGAGGATGGCAGACTCCCGGCGGACGAATCTCAGGGAAGGTTTACTTGAGTTATACGAAAGAAAAGAGAATACAGTTGCAGCCATGACGCGGCGCAGTGCGGCTAAGCAGGCCCGCCGAGAGCGTGTGCTGAGACAACCGCAGAGAGAAGATGAACGATTGACGAGCCCGTCGGTTGTGCAGTCTTTGGAAGAACAGCCCTCCAGCTTACCAGATCCCGACCGAGAGATCCGAATTGCACAGTCACGCGAGCGTGTGTTGCAAAAACAGCTTCAGAAATCTGCAGAACGCCACACCAACCTTCATACTTTGTACATGAATGCTAGAGAATTTATTGTTACGGAGGAGCAGCTCATGAAGGAGATTGAGGATAAATTCCGTGAAGACGGTGGTGATGAATGGCGATCCGACAGCGGCGTGGGAACCAATGTCTGGGCCAAAGGTGCACCGCCGACTATCCAGAGCATTGTCAACAATCAGACCAAGGATGATGTTGGAAGATGGCGCATTGAGCAAGAGAGAATGAGCAAGGTGGTTGAGGAGATGACTGGGGGAAAGATGTAGCTAGCTGGCATTCATATTGTATACTACTAACATAGTTTCTTGTATATTAAACTTACGTTTCTGCTACTGTCTCTCTCAACTGAATTAATTCTCAATAAATGCCAGCACCATCAAAATCTGTATAATTTTGGAAAATGCTCAAGCAAAGGCGGAGAACGGGATAGGCAAGTACTAAATATCAGCTGTACGTACTTTAGCCTCAGTCTGTGCACACTGTCTTCATCTAACGTCTCAGAAGACAAGCATTCTTTCTAAGTTTTGGTCCACTCTTTCAGGCATCTTCATTTTTCTCGTTTCTTCAGTTTATTTTTGTATACATTTTGGACTTTTTTCTTATCATATATATCGAACCCAAAAGACCTGACGGAAAGCTGTCTGTTCTTCTTCGCCCGAGTCAAATCTGCAGATCGGTTTAGTGCGGATCCATCACGCGACAGCAACATGGCTCAGCTTCCTTCAAAATTGCCCTTCTCCAAAAAACGTCTTAGGGCTCGTATTATCATCTCGTACGTTATTTGCATGCACTGAAGTGCTGCCCCGGAAAAGATATCCTAAGCTAACCTGGTGGACCCGGACTCAGATATATTCTTGACTATGTATTCATCATGTAAGTGATCGTGATACATGTGGTTACAGATGACTAGGTACTGACTCCAAACCAAGTGGATTTGCTGTCGGGTTTTGGGCATTAGACGCCATCGAGCCCTATCATCAACATTTCAGCCTTGAAAACAAAAGTCTCCAGTATCCATTTGCCGTCAAAGAGCGGATTACCATACAGGAGGCGTTACTCATCTCAATAGTATCACCTTTAGTGATTATTGTTCTCTATTCCTTATTGATTGATGGTCTCTTCTCACACCACAAGACATTAGTCGATGGATCCGGTCGAAGGAAATTGACTGGTCCATACAGACTGAAAGATCGTCTGTGGGAACTCAACTGTGGCATTTTGGGTCTGTTGCTTTCTCAAGGGCTGGCCTTTGTGACTACGCAGATCCTGAAGAACGCTTGTGGGAAACCGAGACCGGATCTTATTGATCGTTGTCGGCCGGCGCCTGATAGTCACGACCAACCGGTCTTTGGACTTTCGAATTCGACGATTTGTACGGGGGATCCCGCTCTTATCAAGGATGGGTTTCGATCCTGGCCTTCGGGACATAGTAGCTGTAAGCATTCTCGTTTCTACACTGCGACTTTGGCAACAGCCTTACTGACTAAATAGCCTCCTTTGCCGGATTGTTCTATCTCTCGCTCTATCTAAGCGGAAAAATGCACATCATGGACAAACGCGGCGAAGTCTGGAAAGCAATCATTGTCATGGTGCCTATTCTTGCCGCTACACTGATTGCCGTGAGTCGCATCATGGATGCTCGCCACCATCCATTTGATGTTATTACTGGTTCTTTGCTTGGAGTGTTTACTGCATGGGCATCGTATCGGCAATACTTCCCGTCTCTTTCGGAGCCGTGGAAGAAAGGCAGGGCATACCCAATTCGGAGCTGGGGGTCGGAACCCAGAGTACCAGCTGGTATAGCCTATTCAGGAACCCCTGATAACGATGATACTGTCCCACTTCGCGACGGCGCTGCTGAATCATCCTATGCTCAAGCACGGAAGGCAGATCCCGGTCAGGAATTCTCGTTGGCTCCTCAATCGCAACCCGTCACGCCCGGAGTAGTATACCGCAATAAACACCGAGATCGTGATGAATATTCAGCTTCGTCTAGCGAAGATGATATCGGAGCGTACGAGATGACTCGACCGGGAGAGAGAGGACGGGCCAATCTACGGGCGAATCAACCATACGATACTGCGTATTATTCCCCAGGACGATCAGCGAGTCCGGGCAATAATATTGAGAGGGGAGTGGAGCCTCGTCATCTCGCGGGCGAGTTTTGAATATACATGTTTGATATTTGGATTTTGTGGCAAATAGGTAGCATATGAGCATTGTTTAACAAGCGTATGGGCATCGAACGAACTGTATTTCGTGATTGGTACATGAATATGATTATACTCTATTCACGCTGAGGATAAAATGCAGGAGGGCTGGTGCAGAGGGTAAGCTACCCGGGACCAGAAAGCAAGTCACGCACCAACCGTAATAAGGGAGACGCCTTATTTCATATCATACTCTAGACTAGATGATAAAAATATATACGTAGTAGTTAGTATGTTGAATGAACAAAAAGGTCTTACTGCGCAGAATTCGGGAAAACGGTAAATACTCGACTCTGATTGGATGATAAGCTGACTAAGCAGATATATTTCAACTGCTGATTGGCTGGAGACTGTTTATACTTACTTCCCAGGATGATAGACTGTTATTGGCGTTCATGCACAGAGTTGAAGTTAGATGACAACGGTTGGACAAGGCTTCTGTCGTCTTCTATCTCCAAATAAAGTAGACAAATCAGCTAGCCAAGCTGACGTGCATGGCTGGGATCTCTTTCTCGTCCGGAGATTAATCTCCCCGCCATCGGATTTATTTGTATAGCTTCCCAGCCTCCCCTCTCATAAGCATCCGAATCCATCTGATCTATCTAGTTAAATATGAATGCACGGTCTCGTCATTTTTCTTTCTAGAAATATTTCGTACATGAACTGTTGATCGTTGAGTCTATTGTTGCTGTTCTGTTGTCAGGCGGGGCCTTGAGTAGTCTTATCGGGCGGTTGTCACTGGTTACTCGGGCTACAATCATCTGTATTACTGTTTTGGGCCACTCTCAGTGATCGCATCGCAACAAAAGAGTACCTGTTGGCTGTACGGCAGCTCAGAAACTAAGACAAAATGATCGCAGAAGTGCTCTTTATCTTCTGGCGCCTGACCGAGATTGTCTTTTTGATCCCGATCATTGGCATGCTGGTAAGTCTCGTCTCGCAGCTATGGGAGATGCCAATACTAACAAGCCGACGATAGGCATACTTTGTCAATGGCTTCCTCAATGCCAATCAGCTCACCCCAGCCTACATCCTCGTCCTCTTCATCGTCAGCACAATCGCCGTCTTCTGGTGCATCGACACAGTCCTCCGATTCGGCAGTACGAGACGCTCAGCGTTCTTCGTCTCATTCATCGATCTCTGCTTCTTCGGTGCCTTGATCGCCGGCGTGTATGAACTTCGCTTCATTGCTGGCGCTAACTGCACGAGCTGGACTGATATCACTTCATCCGTATCGCTAGGTCCCTTCGGATCGATTGTGTATACGGGCGAAAGACCAAATTTCAACAAGACATGTTCCATGCTCAAGGCCTCGTTTGCTATCGGGATCATGGAAGTGGTGTTTTTCTTCTTCACGGCGTTTTTGGCCCTGATGATTTTCAATCATCATCGCGATCCTGTGGTGAAGGAGACGGTGGTCAGACGTCGCAGTCATAGCAGCCGGCGCGGTCATCGTCATAGTCGCAGTGGTTCATCTAGTCGACGACATTATGTGGTATGATTATCATGGCTTGGAAGAAATGAAGAAATTGGAAATTTTTAAAGAAAAAAAAAAGGATCAATGTGTGTTGCGTCTTTTCAACCGTCGTGCTGGAATTGGTTCTGCTGTATTGTATTTTACGCTTGATGCTTGATGCTTGATGATTCTCCTGTGAATATTGAATGGCCTGTATTTAGTACGAATAGATGAATAATGACATCTCATCTGGATTTTCATGTAAGAGTTGAGGAGTTGTAGTTCCGCAACGGCCACACCCGTGGAGCGGAGATATCAGCGGCGACTTGCGATAAGGATTGAATGTTTCGCACACGCTGACAGTGATCTGATTAGATAAAAGCAAGCTAAAGCGTTGATTGCTCTGAAATATATGAATCGAACATAGCTTTGACACTTGACAGTCAATAGTTAACAGCTGGGGTGATAAATTGGCGGAGAAGCTCGAACGATCTTGCTCTTGCTCTTGCTCCTTGACTTGTCGGCGGCCTCCGCTGTCGAACCAGACTTCGGTCATTCAAGATTCAACAATGCTTCAATGTCCGTATCCACTACAAGATAACATCCTACATTAGGTCTACTACACATCTCGATATCAATAATTATTTCTTCTCATGCAATCGCTTGTTGCAGTTATCATTCCTCAATGACGCTCAGCACATCACCGTCCTGGTCGTGAACATCATCTATCTCTATTCGCCACTCATTTTTAGATGAAGATACCAACTCATTCGGCCACCAATTCCACCATGGCGAATACTTTTGACATTGCACAGGAATTCTATCCTGAAACTATAGACGAAATAAGGGATCGTGAATATCCCACACTGCGAGGTTCGCCCTCTCTAAGCCGGCATCGTGTACGATACTAATCGATATTTAGATATTACATATCTCGATCATGCCGGCACAACTCTGTATGCCAAATCTTTAATCGAGAGATATTCCCAAGACTTGACAACCAACCTCTTTGGAAATCCGCATTCGGCATCTGCATCTTCCCAGCTTACTTCTAATCGTGTCGAAGATATCAGACTGAAAGCTCTGCGGTTCTTCAACGCAGATCCAGACGTATACGACCTGGTATTTGTGCCTAATGCGACGGCAGGGATCAAGTTAGTTGCGGAATCCTTGCGAGATTATCGTGGTAGTCCCGGATTCTGGTATGGTTATCATGTTGATTCGCATACCAGTTTGGTTGGAGTACAGGCATTGGCCGATTTAGGCAATCGTTGTTTTAAGACCGATGGCGAAGTTCGACAATGGATTGATGGAATCGATTCCCAGGACGAAAGCCCGAAGCTTTTTGCATATCCCGCCCAGTCAAACATGAATGGTCGTCGCTTTCCATTGAAGTGGTGCAATCAAATTCGGAATGCTGGAGCACGAAATACTTTTACTCTTCTAGACGCTGCAAGTCTAGTGTCTACTTCACCGTTAGATCTTAGTGATCCTCAAATATGTCCCGACTTTGTCGTTCTCAGTTTCTATAAGATATTTGGCTTTCCCGACCTGGGCGCATTGATCGTCCGAAAGGAATCGGGGCATATCTTCAACCATCGAAGATATTTTGGAGGCGGAACGGTAGAAATGGTCACTGTTGGAAATAATTGGTATGCCAGGAAACAATCATCCGTCCATGATCAGCTTGAAGACGGCACACTTCCATTCCATAACATTATTGCACTCGAATCGGCATTTCAGGTGCACGGACTATTGTATGGCTCAATGGCCAATATTTCAAGCCATACTGCTTTCTTAGCAAGGCAGCTATTCAATCGACTATCCTCAATCAAACATGCAAACGGAAAATATGTTTGTCATTTATACCTGTCTCCAGGCTGTTCGTACGAAGATCGAAGTACCCAAGGTCCGATCATTGCAATGAACCTACTCGACAGCAATGGTAACTGGATTGGCAAGTCCGAAATCGAAAAACTAGCTTCCGTCAAATCAATACATATACGATCCGGTACACTCTGCAACCCTGGCGGCACTGCAAGTTTACTAGGACTAAGCAACGACGAAATAGAAGCAAATTACAGGGCTGGCCAGCGGTGCGGAGATGAGAATGACATCATGCAAGGCAAACCGACTGGTGCGTTACGATTGAGTCTTGGGGCGATGACAAGCAGTAAAGATATTGATCGATTTGTGTCGTTCATCATGGAGTTTTATGTGGAACAATCCCTCCCTCCGCTGTCGGATGTGCAAGTCTTGCGTACAGCGGAACTAAATAGGTTCTATGTGGAAAGCCTTTGTGTATATCCTATCAAGAGTTGCTCGGGATTCGCAGTACCCCCAGGGATAGCATGGAAAGTGCGTCCTGAAGGGCTCGCATGGGATCGTGAATGGTGTATTGTGCATCAAGGTACGGGTGTTGCCTTGAGTCAGAAGCGATATCCACGCATGGCCTTGATAAAGCCTCTATTGGATTTCGAGAAGGGTATTCTCCGTGTCGCTGGTGAATCTCCAACCGGTAGAGGCCAATTGGATGTCCCACTGAGCAGAGACGATCCGCATCTCGTCACCACCGAGATGATGAGAGGTTGTCAAAATTCTGGGACTGTCCGAAAACCATCTTTAGTCTGTGGAGATAGAGTCATTATACAAGTCTACTCGTCTACAGAAGTCTCTGATTTCTTTTCTGAATTACTCGGAGTTCCTTGCACATTGGCTCGATTCCCTCCAAGGAGTCATGCGCGTCACTCCAAGAACCCGTATCGTCACCATCATCCCAATCTATCCAAAAGACGAAACGAGATGCCTGGGTCATTCCCAGTCGAAACCAACCATACAAACAATAACAGTAATCATGCGCGAAGAAAAGCGAGCGGCACATCAAACCCAATCCTCCTTTCAAACGAAAGTCCCATTCTGCTCATCTCGCGGTCTTCCGTGAACAGATTGAATGAACAAATAAAGAACTCAGCAGCAACCACTATCAATAGTAGCAGCAACAACACAAAAACAGTCGCAGCGAATGTCTTTCGCGCAAATATAGTCATTGCCGAAAATCTTCCTCATTCTCATTCTCAATACTCATCAGTCCCTATACCATCATCGACATCATCGCTATTCGAACAACCCTACATCGAAGATAAATGGTCCTCAATAACTATTGGACCCAAGAGTCTCCGATTTGATGTCCTCGGGGCTTGTCAGCGTTGTCAAATGGTCTGCATCGATCAAATGACAGCCGAAAAACGTGAAGAGCCCTTGTCGACCCTAGCCAAGAGTAGGAGGGTAGGTGGAAAAGTGATTTTTGGAAGACATTTAGGGTTATCTCAAGTAGACGACATCGGTCTTGATATTGACGATGACGACGAGAGTGAAGAACCTGAAAGAACGATTATGGTTGGAGATTTGGTTATGCCATCTTACTCTGAATAATGAATCAGGACAACATTTATCATTTTTCCAGTTATACAGAATATAGTACAATATGAAGAAGAATCTAGTCAAAACACGTGGATTCCTTCCCTTCCTCTTCTTGAGAGAAGTCGCCAAGCATATGATGCAAATAGAGTAAGTGATTGTCGTATCTTTATACCCAACTGAATGGTCTTCCCCTTTATCGTCTGGGCCACTTCTTCCATCCTCGTCCGTGACCTCTCTGTTATAAAATTAGCATTAATGTCTCCAAGGAATAGGACTTTCATTTCGAGATTGAGGGAACCCACCTGCTTCCACTGCCTAATCAACTCCGGCATCTCCATCATAGCCTTCTTCCTCTCCTCCAATCTCGTCTCCATCGTTCTCTCCCACTTATGACCCTTAACCTTCTGTCCAATACCCGTACCCTTAATCGCCAACCCGCGTTCCGCAAGCCTCGTCTCTTTGAAAACCGTCGATTTCCGACTTGTAGGTAACAATTGCTCAACATCATATTTTTTCGCGAGTTTGATGAGATCTGCTTGTTGTCTCAAACCGTATTTTGGGGAACGCCATTTTTTGCCGCCGGGAGATGGTTGGGGAAGGAATGGATTGGGGTATTCCGGGTCGTTATAGAGGATGGCTTTGGAGGCGGACCAAGCGGTTGGGTTGCGTTTGTTGCCCTTTGCATCGCGGTTGGGAGTGTATGGAGTTGGAAGATCTTCGGGCGATAAGGATGAAATATCTATTTCTGAGCCCTCTGATGTGGTAAGGCTGTTATTATTATTGTATCGAGTAGCGTCGGCAGGGGGCACAAGACGTGATGCGGGAGCCACGGCTGCCGAGTAGTGCTGTGGAGGATACTTGGCGAAGAAATTGCGTAGACGAAGGGGTAGAAACGACAAGCTGGAGTCTTGTGCAGTTGATGTGACTTTTTCGGTGGCCTGAGTTGTTGATGTTGGAGCAGGAGTCATCGTGGTCATGGTTCTCCTGGCCATATTCCTGACCAGTCGTGAGGCCATTATCGTGGCCATTGTATCCTACGATCCCTAAGTCAGGACCGATGCATTGACCGACTGATAGGAACAAATAGAACGGCAATTGGGTTCCAGCAAGTCAAAAGTCGTGATATTCAGTCTGCGGAGATACAAAATTAATTCAGGATGAAATTGTTGCTCCGAGGCAGGTCTTGGCGGATGCCTCAGGCTGAGTAAGGCTGCAAGTCATTTGCGCTAGTCTATTTTTGAGTTAGTACTGGCTTGCAGACTCGACTCTTTCGGTCTCTTTCCCGTCCCGCAATCATCTTCCAACAACACCTTCAGTTATCTATCTCCCTTCTGTGTCCTCTTTATTTTGTGGCAAGCAAACTACAGCTATTAATTCATTAGCCGCTCCATTGTTCTCGCCTGAGAGTCCGCGATCATGGCCGACTACTCTTTTGGCGGCTCAGAAGAAGAGAATGCCGAGCTGAGGAAACTCGAGGCTGAGCTGGTAAGCATCTCCGCAGAATCATCATGAAACATTCGCTCATTAGCATGTCTACAGGTCGAAGATCCAGATAACTTCGAAACATGGGAAAAGCTCGTGCGCGGTGCAGAAGGTCTCGAGGGCGGCATTAATCGCAACTCCAATCCACAAGCAATCACCACTGTTCGGAATGCGTACGATCGATTCCTCGCCAAGTTCCCTTTGTTGTTTGGATATTGGAAGAAATATGCCGACCTTGAATTTTCAATTGCTGGGACAGAAGCTGCGGAAATGGTAAATTCGAACTTCGTCCCCAAGAAGCAGAGAGATGCTAATTACATGTTTACATATTAGGTGTACGAACGCGGCGTCGCAAGCATTCCGACTTCAGTCGACCTCTGGGCAAACTATTGCGCCTTCAAAGTCGAAACGAACCATGACTCTGATGTCATTCGAGAGTAAGTATAATAGATTGGAATTGCTTCCCTTCCCCTTGACACATTACCAACGCAGCACGGTTGTCTTTCGTCGAAGACTCGGGTTCTCCCACATCACACCTGCGATTATTTTTTTGAAGTGAAGAAGAAAGAAAAAAATTGGATTGGTTCTTGATGAGATATATGGGTGAGATCGTTCGCCTGCAACCAGGTCACTGAGGTTATCTTCTCACCCATGAATTTTATTCAGGCAACTCTCTTTTACCCCATAAGGAGCATTCTCAATCAAACCAGAGTATCCAACCACAGTTTTGAAAACCATATCACCTGCTTCCCTGTTATACTCTCGAGGCTTCGTTCATACCTTGAACGATGGAGATATGAATATGTTCTTTTGCTCCGTGCATCATCGTATTCGCAACTAACAAACTCTTCATGTTTGCCATCCTCATTCTCCCTTGCATATTCCTTTTGCTTCCTAACTGCATTTGAAGCTTAATACTGACGAGTTCGCAGATTGTTTGAGAGAGGCGCAAACTGTGTGGGGTTGGACTTCCTCGCCCACCCGTTCTGGGACAAGTATATCGAGTTCGAGGAACGGCTTGAGGCCTTCGATAAGATCTTTGCCATTTTAGGTCGTGTGATTCATATCCCTATGCATCAGTACGCTCGTTATTTTGAGCGGTACCGACAACTTGCGCAAGGTCGACTTCTGAACGAATTAGCACCTCCGGAGATTGTTACTCAATACCGTTCAGAAATTGAAGCTACACCTGGTCAGCCTCTTCCCGGTGCCAAATCTGAGGCTGAACTTGAAAGGGACCTTCGTCTACGCCTGGATGCCTACCATCTAGAAATTTTCACCAAGACTCAGACTGAAACAGCTAAGCGCTGGACCTACGAATCTGAAATCAAACGTCCATACTTCCATGTGACCGAGTTAGACGACAGTCAACTAGCCAACTGGAAGCGCTACCTGGATTTCGAGGAAGCAGAGGGATCATATGCTCGTATTGTCTTCTTATACGAACGATGCCTTGTTACATGCGCTCACTACGATGAGTTTTGGCTACGCTATGCCAGATGGATGTCGGCGCAGCCAGACAAGGAAGAAGAAGTGCGAAATATCTACCAGAGAGCAAGCACTATATACGTGCCAATTGCATATCCCACAGTGCGCCTGCACTATGCCTACTTTGAAGAGATGACTGAGCATGTTGATATTGCCAGAGACATCCACGAAGCAATCCTCTACACGCTTCCAAACCATGTTGAGACTATTGTCTCACTAGCAAACTTAGCTCGTCGTCACGGCAAACTCGAGGACGCTATTGATGTGTACAAGAGCCGTATAGAAACCCCTAGTTGCGATGCGGCTACCAAGGCAGCTCTTGTCGCTGAATGGGCCATCTTGATCTGGAAGATTAAGGGCTTTTCAGATGAAGCTCGACAGGTTTTCCAGAGCAACCAGCAAAACTATTTGGACAGCCGCGCATTCTGGACTCGCTACCTACTGTTTGAGCTGGAGCAACCCTCCACTCCAGAAACTGAGACTGTTCAACACGAACGTATCAAGAAGGTGGTTGACGATATCCGAAACAAGAGTACTCTCCCATCCGACGCAGTCAAAGAGCTTGTTCAAAGCTACATGGTTTATCTGCTTGAACGTGGCACCAAAGCCGCGGCCAAAGAATACATCACATTGGATCGTGAGGTCCATGGACCTGCTTCGGTCTCTTCCACAAACAAGAATAAGGAAGCTGCTAAAGTGGCCCCTCCTGTTCCTCAACCTGTCCCTACACCAGACCCCGCGGCTGCCTATGCTTATTATCAACAACAGCCACAAGCACAAATACCAGTGCCTAACGGAGGGGTAAGTTCAATGCCTCTCGAATGTCTGGAATACTTCAACTAACAGCATACAGATTCCCACTCAACCAGCTCATTACTAATGATTAATATCTCCCACCCCATTTGATCAGATCGTATGATCTGTCACCCCCTTTTTTTCTACTGTAGAATATCGCCCTCTGATTGATACTTTGGGATTTACTCGCAATAGTAGTCAATAACCATGGGAAGTATCGTGTTTTGTTGTTTGTTTTTTATAACCTAATGGCGTATTAATCGGTTTCACGGGCATGGCTCGTCCTACAAGGATTGGACTACGAAGCTTATATGCATAAATAAAATTCATTTGAATGATTCTTTTTTACCACCTAGGTAGCTGGCGCTGTCTAAGGTCCTCATGGTCGACCGTAAATAGACTTGTTTCATCAAGTTAAGTAACTATGTTGATATCAACCCTCGACCTCACCACTTTAGCTAGAGCACATGACATCTTTCTAGAGCCTCATCAAAAGATAATGTGCGACTACTGTCTGCGGCTGCAAATATAAACACAGCGGGGATATACTGATCCTCACTCTCGTCACCTATTTTTTGACGAGCCGAGAAAGCCGATGCATCATGCGGGACCTCAAGACCTGGTGCAATGTATTTGAGACGAGGGGTCTGAATTATAGTTAAAAATGAGCGAATAAGCAATGATTTGGAACAGATGCTGCATCTAACTCTGCACCAGTGAATAGGGGTTTGTTGTCTCGGTGGTCTGAAGAGAGCGACTCTGGAGGCATTTTGGCCTCAATCGAAGCCGAAAGTCGATCCATAGCTGCAACAGCAGTACCAACCTGGACAGGGTTATAGGATTTTCATCTTCGAAACCCATTTTGGGGGTGTGGTATCCCCTCATCGGAAGTTGGACTAGCAGTAACCTTCCCGATGCGGACCATGTGTATCCAGTTAGTGAGAATAGTCTCAAGCGGCATCCATAGGTCTTCATGGTCATCAATGGGCTCTATGCTATCCACGTTCATAATTGACAGTGGAATTGCTGCGCGATGGCCTTGCTGGTCATAAACTATGCCCATATTATGAGGGTCTAGCCCATCCCAAGTCCTACAAATAACGATAAAACGGTCGATGTCTTCGAAGTTATTATCCTCGTGTATGAAATCTTAATCAGCAACCCGCAAGTCCAGGTTAGAAACGAAGTAGCACATTCCGCCATCCTCAGAAGGAATGGTAGCATTGAGATATGCGATCACAGCTGGATGCAGGCGATTAAAAGAATATAACATACCTGTCCTCTCAACATCAAGGTACTTTGGCCTGCGTAATAATTCATCGAGCTCGTGCGGTCCTTTCTCGTGATGGGCCATCCAGCCATAAGCGGCCAGATGACTGTGTAGTCTTGCGCATCGTTCATAGTCTAATGTTCCATTATTGCGTGCCGGATTCGAAGGCGACACCAGAGCATCCTCGACGTCGAGTAAGCTTTCAACCGGAATATCGAGCATGGTGGTCGATACGAATCGTCAGTTTTCAGGTTAAAGGTTGATCTTTGACCCCGCTGACCGATTTCAAGCAGAAATAAATACGTGATAGCTTTAGGGTGAGGAGATAGGAGAATTGGGCTCGCAGCAGAGCCTTTGACTCGATTAGGAATCGGATCATGGTTGCTGCGAATAATATCGACTGGATAACGTTCTGTTTGGAGCATGGAGCATAATGTTGCTGTTGGTTTACCTACAACTAACGACAGGACAGCTAATTCAACAACAATGTTTGATCCCTCATATTAAGAATTAGGGTGGGTGGTGAGACGTAGTTAATTGTATGAACATATGTCCAGAACGTAGGAAGAAATGAGGGTTTAGGGTTAGGGCTTTTAACGCGGTGGGTCAGTGGCAAATTGGCCTTACCATAAAGAGACTAGATCAAAGTCTGGTCTGATTGGCCTTGAGTGACAGAGATACAAACTTCTAGCACGGCAACAACAGCTTCAAGCTTTTGAGCAGTTACATCGATACCTGCCTATAACGAAGGTGTAACGCATACGAGACAACATGGGCGACTTGTTCATGAATGGTACTCATGAGCCTTTGGAGCGCCCTCTTACGCCTCCGCCAGGTCCCCCAGCAGATATAGCTCCTCCGCCGCCACTATTGGATATGATGGATGCTCCTCCTCCTCCTACCGATATAGAACCTCCTCCGCCACCTGAGGAGACTCTACCACCACCTCCTCCGCCAGTTGAGGAAATTGCGCCTGTTGTGAAGAAAAAGAAAGCGGGCTGGGGCTCATCTGCTGCGGCGAAACCTCTCAGTGTTGAGGAGCTATTGCGAAAGAAGAGAGAAGCAGATGCGGCTGCTTCGAAGGTTAGTACTTTACCCTGGTAGTCCAATTATCATTGTATGGTTTACTGACATGTTAATACTTGTTCAGCCCAAGTTCCTGTCCAAAGCTGAACGTGAACGGCTTGCTCTAGAAAAACGCGCCAAAGAAGTCGAAGCTGAGCGACGAGCGAAGATCGAACAAAATCCAAGTACAAATGGCTCCGGAGTCAATGGTACAACGCCAGATGATAGAAATGGTAGCAGAGCAGAGGATTCCCGATCAGCTCCTGTTCCCACCGGTCCACGCGCTATGCGCAATACACAACCCAACAAGGACTACGACTTGGCGCCACCAGCTCCCCCGAAACGTATCGCATTTGGTAAAGACGACTCGAAGGGAGGTGGCAAACGCGTATCAGAGGCAGAGGCAGAAGCCGAGTTGGTTCGACAGCGATATATGGGTGCGAACCAGACGTCCAATTTCTCCGCGAAGAAAAAGAGGAAGCGTACTACAGAGAGGAAATTTAACTTTGAATGGAACGCCGAAGAAGATACGAGTAAGGATTATAACCCGCTATATCAGAACAGAGCGCAAGCGAATTTCTTTGGACGAGGCCGACTTGCTGGTTTCGGTGAAGATATGGCGGACGACGCTACGAGGAGATACGTTCAAGCCCTGGAAGATCGCGATCGTGAAGCAGGCTCTGTTCGGGCTCGGGAGATTCTGGAAATGGAAAGAAGACGGAAGGAAGAAAGCAGCAGGACTGCAATTGATAAACACTGGAGTGAGAAGAGATTGGATCAGATGCGCGAGCGAGACTGGCGTATTTTCAAAGAAGACTTCAATATCAGTACCAAGGGTGGCAGTGTTCCAAACCCGATGCGATCGTGGGAGGAATCTGGTCTCCCACGACGGCTGCTGGATCTTGTCAAACAAGTTGGATATACCGATCCGACACCAATTCAGAGAGCAGCTATCCCGATTGCTCTACAATCTCGAGATCTTATTGGTGTTGCTGTAACGGGTTCCGGTAAAACAGCGTCATTTCTACTTCCACTGTTCGTCTATATTTCCGAATTGCCCCGGCTTGACGAATTTGAATGGCGGAAAAACGATGGTCCATATGCTATCATCCTCGCACCCACTCGTGAGCTGGCACAACAGATTGAAATTGAAGCTAAAAAATTCTCCAAGCCTCTTAATTTCAACGTTGTCAGTATTGTTGGTGGTCATTCTTTGGAGGAACAAGCATATAGTTTACGAGATGGTGCAGAGATTATTATTGCCACTCCTGGGCGTCTAGTCGACTGTTTAGAACGACGAATGTTGGTTCTGTCACAGTGTTGTTATGTCATTATGGACGAGGCAGATCGAATGATTGATCTTGGTTTCGAAGAACCAGTCAATAAGATTCTTGATGCACTACCAGTCACAAATGAAAAACCAGATACTGAAGAAGCAGAGGATGCACAAGCAATGAGTCAACATGTTGGTGGACGAGACAGACGATACCGACAGACTATGATGTATACGGCAACTATGCCGTCGGCTGTGGAGCGAATAGCACGGAAATATCTACGAAGACCCGCTATCGTCACGATCGGTAACGTCGGTCAAGCCGTGGACACAGTTGAACAGCGCGTCGAGTTCGTTGCAGGTGAAGATAAGAGGAAGAAGCGCCTTGCCGACATCCTCATGTCAGGACAATTCCAGCCCCCTATTATTGTTTTCGTCAACATCAAGCGAAACTGTGACGCTGTTGCCAAGGATATCAAACAGATGGGCTTCTCATCTGTTACGCTACATGGTAGTAAAACCCAGGAACAGCGTGAGGCTGCATTGGCCTCGGTACGGAATGGCAGTACAGATGTACTCGTTGCTACGGACTTGGCCGGACGTGGTATCGATGTGCCTGATGTCAGTTTGGTAGTGAATTTCAACATGGCGACCAATATTGAAAGCTACACGCATCGTATTGGACGTACTGGTCGTGCTGGAAAGAGTGGTGTTGCCATCACTTTCCTGGGCAACGAAGACGCCGACGTTATGTATGTTTTTCTTCTTCGCTTGCTATATACAAGAAAGTATGCTGACTTATTTCTACAGGTACGACCTCAAGCAGATGTTGATGAAATCACCTATATCGCGAGTTCCCGAGGAACTTCGCAAGCACGAAGCGGCACAATCCAAACCGACCCGTGGCGGAGGATTCTCCAAACAAAAAGCAGACGAAGGAGGATTTGGTGGCAAGGGTGGTGGATGGTAGTAGACATGTATTATATCAATAATATCGCACAATTTATGAGTCCAAGAACGATATCGCGTCTTTGAGCCTCAAAAAGAGGTGACTGTAGTTCGATAACGGAAAATTTCCGAGTTCCGATAAGGCATCCAGGCATCCAGGCAGGCATCATCGAATCGTCAGCTTGGCACGGCACTCAATGATTCATGATAACTTAGATGATAAACCAATTTGTAAGCTCTTGATGTAGACAGTCTGAAGTGATTGAATAGCATTTGAGTAATGAATCATTCGAGGGAACAATCGATATCTGGTAACCAGTGTGAGCGAACAGTCTTCTAATTGTCCGTTCCTCGGTGCATCTGATTAAATCGCTTGTTGCCGATTGGCTGCGGGAGACTCCGGCGCGGGCGGGGTTGTGATTGGCTGTTGAACGTCTTCTGTCTCGTATGGAAGATTCTGAAGAAACACAGAAGAATTACAATAATGCTAGACTCGCCCAGCCAGAGATCCTATATAAATTATACTACGCACGTAGTAAGTGCGGCGTAATTAGTTGTGCTACTCTAAACAAGCAGAGACAGTAGTCCGATAAGACCCGGTGGGGAACGCGGAGAACGGCTGACTGACAGTGCTGACAGAGACTCCGCGGTCCAGAAGCTCTCGAATCGCCCCAATCAGAGGCCTCCAATTGGTCATTTACTCCCCTACTGCCTGAGGCTTCTATTTCTTTCTTCTCCCGAGCTTCTTCCTTCTTCTTCTTCTTCTTCTTCTTCTTCTCCTTCTTCACACTCCTTGCCACTTGTTGATTTATATATCCCTCTCATTTAGTTTCTTCTCTAAATCGCGTCAGTATACGAAGTGCGATAACCCTTCGCAATGGCCTCAGCTGCTAGGACCTTCACCCGGGCCATCGCCCGCTCTAACCTCCGCCCCGTTGCTCGCAGTACTCGTTTCGCCGTTCCCGCGCAGACCCTACGCTCTGCTGGCCGCCGTGGCTATGCTTCCGAAGCCGAGGCTGGCAAGTCCAACAGCGCTCTGTACTGGGGACTCGGTCTCGCTGTTGCCGGTGGTGCTGGATACTACTTGTACAACAGCGGCGATGTGAAAGCCAAGGTTTCCGGGCCTTTTGTACCTACCAAGGAAGACTACCAGAAGGTCTATGATGAGATTGCTCGCCTTTTGGTGGAGAAGGATGACTACGATGATGGCAGCTATGGACCTGTAAGTTGTCGCATCTTAATCGGTTTGAACGTGCACTGACTGTTCCATTCCTAGGTCCTCGTCCGATTGGCATGGCACGCTAGCGGTACCTACGACAAGGAGACTGGTACTGGTGGCAGCAACGGAGCCACCATGCGATTCGCTCCTGAGTCTGACCACGGCGCCAATGCGGGTCTGAAAATTGCTCGTGACTTCCTCGAGCCTGTTCATGGTGAGTTGGTTACGCGCACAATGTCATTGGAGGTCGTTGCTAACCTGCGTTATAGAAAAATTCCCCTGGATCAGCTACGGTGATCTCTGGACTCTTGCTGGTGTCTGCGCCATTCAAGAGATGCAGGGGCCTGTTATTCCCTGGAGACCGGGCCGACAGGACCGTGATGTAGCCGCCTGCACACCCGACGGTCGTCTTCCCGATGCTTCCAAGGACCAGAACCACATTCGCGCCATCTTCGGCCGCATGGGCTTCGATGACCGTGAAATGGTTGCTCTTTCTGGAGCCCACTCCCTTGGCCGTGCCCATACCGACCGCTCCGGCTATGACGGGCCATGGGACTTCAGCCCTACTGTTTTCACCAACGAGTTCTTCCGCCTCTTGGTTGAAGAGAAGTGGTCATGGAAGAAGTGGAACGGTCCCGCCCAGTACACCGACAACACCACCAAGACCTTGATGATGTTGCCCACTGACTTGGCTCTTGTCAAGGACAAGGAGTTCAAGAAACACGTCGAACGCTATGCCAAGGATAGCGAGGTCTTTTTCAAGGAGTTCTCTGATGCCTTTGTTAAGCTTTTGGAACTCGGCGTTCCCTTTAAGACTGAGGAGCGCTTCGTCTTGAAGAAGAACGAGTAAATTACTGTTTGTGACCCGACTTTCTTTTCATTTTCTTTACGTATGCTTTCTACCGAATTGATTTGTCTAGATATCCCATGTAACTTTTTACAGTTCGGTTGAGAGCGTTTTCTCGATACACATACATACACATACAGACACATATACAGTTCATCTAGAATCAGAGACTAGATTGCGGCTGCTTGTCCGACGGTTTCGCTGTCAGAAATTTATTTTCGTTTCATGTGAGACAATGTTTGAATAAGACTCTTTTTGAACAACAGCTCTTCTAGATCCATTCATTTCAAGTAATTGTATTATTGTAGGGGCTACTTTTCCAAGCTGTATTGGCGCGTGATAAGATAACCAGGTGGTGGATCCACAATCTGCTTCCCCGCAGACATAAATTATTTTTCAAGATGCAACCACGACGACAAGCTCCCGACGATTATGGCACAGAATATCTAGATGACTACAGCTATAGCTCAAACTACATCTTTCTCTCGCTCATCTTATTCGGCAATATCAATATGCCATCTCCGCCACCGGCGACCGCTAACAAAGACTACTACGAAATTCTCAATATTCCCTCCAGCGATCCTTCAGCAGGGAAATTACCAGTTATCTCGAAACAACAACTCAAAATCGCATACCACAAGGCACTTCTGAAATATCATCCTGATAAATCTTCTCCTTCACCTTTCCCCGCTCCCACCGGAGGGAGTAATACCTACACAATCGACGAGATTACAAATGCTTACAAAGTCCTCTCCGATCCGAGTCTACGAGCTGAATATGACCGTGATCTGATCTTACAACGGAGAAACGACACCTTTAATAAGAAATCTAACGGCGGAGAAAATGTCTCATTCCACACGGGCCTTGAAGTCGTTGATCTGGAGGATATGGATGAACAGTTTGACGAAGGAGAGGGTACATTATCCTGGTATCGGGGCTGTCGATGCGGAGATGAGAAAGGCTTTATTGTTACGGAAGATGAGCTGGAGGCTGAGGCGCAACATGGTGAGATTTTGGTGGGGTGTCGGGGGTGTAGTTTGTGGATTAAGGTGTTGTTTGCTGTTGAGGAGGGGTGATGATCTATCAAGGCAAAGAACAAGAGGAGAATGAGAATAGTTCTCGCTTTTGGGGAGTTTGATTAGGGATATATTTCCGGCCATGCGGCAAGAAGCCTGCAGCTTCGATGAGACTTTTGTCCAGCGCGGCTCACGTCTCACTGAGAATGCTCTATGCGAGGATGTCGAATTGGCAATCTCCGAACGACCATTCTACCTCAGAACATATTTGAACGAATGCGATTTGGGTCGCTTGTGGCGACAAATATAGTCCACCAATTCACGATACTGTCTCACTCAGAGAGGAAGCATATATGTGGGTGCCATCTGGGAAGGCATTTTTAGCGACCTGATCTTGGGCTCAACATATGTCATAATCCCTGGAGCGGGGACCCTGGTACGACTTGGACTTTAGAGTATGTACCACCCTAAAATCTTAGGAGAGATCAGGCTTTGCAATAAAGCCACAGCATTAGACCGCGGAGGAGGTAATCGGTGTCACTTCCAGTTATTTTACGGCCTTTCCCTGCCTTATAAGCTCGACAAGCGATCAACCCATCCCATCGACAGTAACAACTTCGAAGACAAAAGGTGATGAGCAGAGAACCTGAAGAGCTTGAAACTATTTCAATCTTGATTAGCTCGCAACCTTGCAAAGTTTGATGCCATCATCATTACATTCATCCTAGCTGGGCTCTGTGTTTCAGCCTTGTGGCTGGGGACAGTTCTACCACATCTACCAGTCTCGATACAACAACTTCATCGAAACCCAATTCCTTCACGGTCGTTCAACCTCAACAATGAATGCTACTTACGGGTTGGACGGTATAGTCACATTCAAATGGAATGTAACGCGCTATGACCCAACTGTATACCTCTGTCTTACAACTTCAGGATCCTCTAGAGGTGATATTTCTTCTTGGTTCCCTCAATCGTCGGGTAGGATCAAATCAAACCCGGCAGCTAGAATGCGGAAATTCTATGTATACTAATGATAAGGACGTCTAGTATCTACCACAGACGGAACTATGGCATATGAAGTGCCTTCACTTGGACGAGCTTTGATTAAGGAGAAGTATACAGCTTGGCCCACTGCGTGTAGCTTTGGTATGTTATTCGTCGGCACCCATTCACGAGTTTTTATTCCGATTGCGAGGACGTTCTTCTATGTGCAGCTAACACCTACGAGTAGTCGATCGACCAGCATGATTAGTCCGCCTCCAACAACGATCACTCATATAGTGACCAGTATAACGCCAACCGAGGCTCCAGTGCAGCCAACATCGACGCAGTCATCCTCAATGAATGAAGACGATCATCATCTATCCCAAGGCGCCAAAGCAGGTATCTTCATTGGCTCCATAACAGGTGTACTCATCATCGTAGGGCTGACACAGTGGCGGAAAACCGTAGTACTGCGCAGAATTTCCGCGTCAGAGGGACTGTTATCAGGGTTCCAGGAGTTGATTGCCCCGGTCAAAGCAGATTTTCGAAGAAAGTCTCATGCAAATGAACCGACCGGCTCGGGTATTGAGAAGAGTGACAAGGTAGCGCATGAATTGAATACGCCTCATCCGGTATTTGAGCTGGAATCTCAGCAGCAATACAGTGATGGTCCACACGAGTTGCCTGGGAAGTAGTCAATACACTGACGAGTTCGTGTGGCATGTTTATCATCATCACCAGAGCGATATAAGAGAATGAAATTCTATATAACTGTAGTCTAAAGATGAAAGAGAAGGTTGAAAAGTACATAACTATACTATATCTAACTTAACTAAACCCAATTAGTCATGGCTGTTAAGCTATGTCATCACTTGATAGGCTAGCGAGCTCCCCCCATCCTTATAAATCATCCATCTTCTTCATTCCACCTCAACCTCCAACAGCAACATTTTGATCATACAATCATCAAAATGTCGCTCGTCCACATATCGTCAAAAGAGCAGTTTAGCTCGTTGTTGACGAGCTCGACTATTGTCGTGACTGACTGTAAGTTTTCTCTCATATCTGTCAACATTGCCCCTCCAACCATCGACCTATCCCACCCCGTCGTCTGCTGTCATCCTGACTTCCTTTCTGATGATGATCGTCTAATTTTGTTATAGTTTACGCAGATTGGTGTGGACCATGTAAAGCCATCGCACCCATGTACGAGCAGTTGGCCAACCAATTATCGCGACCGAATCAGATTACATTCACCAAAGTCAATGTCGATCAACAGCAGGATATTGCAAAAGCATACGGCGTTACTGCGTACGATATCCCTTTTACTCATCCCCGATGACGCTCTCTAACGAAGATTTATAGTATGCCCACATTCGTAATGTTCAAACGCGGCCGCGTCGTAACAACCATCCGCGGTGCCGATCCCAACAAACTCTCAGAAGCAATCCGCAAACTCGCCACGGAAGCCAACAACATGGAATCATCAACAGGCGGCGAGTCCAGCGATGCAGCAGGAAGCTCAGGCTCGTCATGGACAGGCGCTTCTCTCCCCCGCGGCTACGCTGATGTCACGGACACGGTAACCATCAAGGATCTCGACATGGCGAACCGGGACAGCGAAAAGGGTAGCGCAAAAGTCATATTCGATAAATCGAAACCGTCCGCTTTGGATAATAACAAAGGAAAGGACAAAGAACCGGATTGGGTTGAGAGCGATACCGATGAACAACTCATGTTGTACATTCCGTTCAACTCGACGTTGAAAGTACATTCGTTACAGATTACGTCTCTGCCACCCAAGGACAGTGAAGGAGAAGATGATGATGATGAGGTACCAATGAGACCCAAAACACTACGATTGTACACCAATAGATCGACGATCCTCGGCTTTGAGGAGGCAGAAGACATTGATCCCGTGCAGAGCGTAACCATTGAACCAGAACAGTGGGATGACAAGACCGGCACGGCTAAAGTGGAATTACGATTCGTCAAATTCCAAAAGGTGAATTCAATGGTTATTTTCTTTGTGGATGGCGATGGAGATGGAGAGAAGATTCGTGTTGATCGGATACGGATTATTGGAGAGGCAGGGCAGGCAAGAGAAATGGGTAAATTGGAGAAGATTGGTGATGAGGCTGGTGAATAAATCCCTCTTATGACTTAAGACAAGAACTATCAAAATACACATTTTTTATTCAACAAAACTCCCATCGAAACCTATCCAATCACACCGGAGGTGTAATTGTAGAGAAGTATGTCCGATCCCAAACCAAATGGTCACAGAGCGCAATAAGAAAAATTAGACTCATAACCAGTAAAGTAAGAATCAGTGAGCAATTATTATTTGATCTGTGACGCAACTGACACCTTGGAAATAATAACAGAATCGAGAATCTGTCAAGGCAACACGGGTAATGTTAATTTGAGAGTTGCGTCGCCGCACGAAGAAAGAAAAGAAGAAGAAAAAAATTTGGAAAAATTTTTGGTGTATGGGTTTTTATATGGGGTGAATGGGACTAGGACGGATATGGTTAGCGTGGTGTTCTGCTGGGATTAACCGCTTTTGATTGTTTTGTTTCCTTTTGCGAGTTTGTTGATTCTGACTAGATACTCTGCTATATGGATATTTGACTTTTTAAAGACTACAATATTCTAGTCGTGTGGAATATGAAGACTACACACAAGGATGACGGTTGTGATGTATTGAACTATCAAGCGAATATGATGAACATGACGTTGGAATAACCAACTAGACCAGAAAGCTGCGCGCATACTAGAGGATCTCGAATGGTAGTAAACAACAGCCAATGGTGATCCTTTGAGTGATGTCGAGGTCCAGGGGTCCTTACGCCTCATGTCGGCGTGAGGTGCTTTTCCAGGCCCGCGATGGCTTCTAGCAGCATGTTGCTTTGCTCCTTACACAGCGACGAGGATCGTAGGACGAGTTTTGGTTTCTCATGAAGGGAGAGGTCACTCGTCAACTGATGGGTTTGCTGGCGCAGGCTATTGTCGCGACAAGCGGCATCCAGACCAACTGGTTTTTTCTCATGTCCAGTGACATTCTCCTCATCACGGGCCGTTCAGAAACAGATGAAATGAATCCACGCTGCGACTGTCAGGAACACATGGTGAGCCATGATGATGCCCACCCACAAGTGCAATGGTAGCACCGTTACCTAATTCGGAGTCGGAATATGGATGCGACACAGGCTGATAGTAACAGTAGGTTCATGCTTGGCCGTAGTGGTATCGCAGATGTCTCCAACAGGCTCGTAGGAACAGATCATCGCCCAGTCAAAGACACGAGTCGCGTCCACGTCGTCCGGCTGCCTAGAATCGAGGAGTGAATTTCCATGGCAAGGTCCGCATCGCCCAGAGACACGGACCGGCAGATGATGAAGCACCCTCCGAAACTTTATAGCCCGTGCATCTTCCATGTACGGGGCCGCAATATGGCATTGCTCGAAAGCGCCAATGGTTCGGGAAGTTGTCTGAGCGACGCAGCCTGCGATACAGCATGAGAATCCGTTCTAGTCTTCGAAGTGGCGGTAACATACATCGCAAACATGACATGTATGCCGTCACTTTCACAAACGCGAGTCGGCGTGACGGCTGAGCAGGATGCTATTATTCAGAAGCACGTTCGATTTGATACTCCCGAAGCAACAGAGCCGGAGGAACGTTGTTCCGGAATAGGGTTACGGGAAGAGGGTAAAGCTTGGTCACGTGGTCACGCGACCACATATCAAGCCCCTGAGATAGCTTCATGTTGGTAGCTTCTTCTTTCTCGCTCCATGCTTAGTTTTCTTGTTCATAGCTTCCAATATGATATTGCTTGGGCCTTCACAGTCGGTCTTCCGGCGCTCTCCATAATTGTAACAGAACTGGGCACCGCAGCGACAGCTGTTGTAACCTTTTTGATAAGCAAAAATCTTGCAAATAACATGAAAGGAAAGATACTAACGTCACATGGTTGCAGCCATAATTCAGCTTCGCCGTTCGTCAACATGAACAACAGCGTTGCCAACCATTCTCCCGCGCAGCAGCGATGAGCTCTGTGTCTTTTCTGATCCAGAAGCGTCTTGGGTCGGCGCTTTTGTGTTCTCGTCTTTGCTAAGAGCAGAAGCCGGTGTTGTTGTTTTGGCATTGAATGCACTTGCTGGCCTGGCCACAGACTACCCGAACAATCCAAGGAGGAAGCATAATTGGACTTGGGTCCTGAACTGGGCTCGATCCATGTCTGGTGTGTGCGTTTCGTTGAAACGCTCCATGGCTTCGCGGTAATCCAGAAGAAAAACTAGAATTTAGCCATGGATGATGATGATGATGACACTCGATCTGGATCGAGCAGAAGCAAAAGTAATGGAGCATGTATATAAGGAAAGAAGTTTATGATGGAGAAAGGACAGGAAACGGGAGAGCTCGACAGGGTCGCTCGCACCTGCTTACAAAGAACTACACAAAGACATGATGCTATATTACCCAATCCAGCACCGCCCGGCTTACGCCCGGGGCGCACTGCCGGTGCCATGAGCAACCTGAGAGTTCAGGCACACAGAACAGCAGAATGGCAGAAAGGCAGAAATACTAACTAACCTCTAATGGACAGTCAACCGACCACTCAGAGTGAGCGAGTACCTGCATACTGCCGATCGAGCTTGGCATCAAGCACACACCACAAAAGCCGGTGGAAGCAATCTGTTGATCCTGATAATCATTGCATATCTATTCTTGCTCGAAAAATTTTCGCATTTTCATGTCGCCATCAAGAGAGCAGACTTCTGGCCGGGCAGTGCTCGGTGAGCCGGTGGCGATTTGACTCCCACCAGCACTTGAAAAATGGGCAATGGGCAATGGGCAATTGGCAATGGGTAATTGGCAAAGGCAAAAGGCAAAAGGCATGGACTACAATGCGCTCTGTGCAGGCTCTCGACATGACAGCCAGACCCTGAACTCTGAGAGTCGCCTCGCGATAATTTTCTTTTTTGGTCCGGTGAGCGACATCTTCTTATGTAATACGTATCCTCTCTCGAGACCACGTGCTGCAACCCTACAAAAGTCAAAAGTGTAACCGGGACACAGTGCACGCTCAAATCCCGCAGGGGTTTTACCAGACCCTTGGCCTGGAATTCTTCAAGCGAATCCCATATCCAGGTGCTTGGAAATTTACGAGAGTTAGACTTTGGTCATGACTTGGCTATCAGAGACTTTGGTTGCTAGTTTATTGCTAGCAGTGCTAAGCACTGCTAACGAATGGCATCATGCAACCTGGTCCCATCTGAGTAAGTTTGTAGATAACATATGTGGAGAGTACTGTACAGATACAGACATGGTCGCGGTACCTGCAGTGGTGTCTCTGCCGGAGAAGCTTATCCAGTCCTTCCGTGGTCCCGTCACGTTAGTTCCCACTAACGTGACCAAACTCTTTGAAAGACAACCCGAGCGGTACGAAGTACGTACATAGTACGGTATGGACAGAACAAGAGAGTGGGATTTACTGTGATCTTCTTGCGGTGTGGAACTTAACTGTTCTCTGACTGGACAGCCTCAATTTTGATCCTGTAGAATACTACAGAGTGCGGGGGACTAGACTACGCAATTCATTAAGTCCTCGGCAAGTCGTACGTATTTTCCATTGGGATAGCACGTGCTCCCGGCCATCGAGTCTATTCAGGTACCAAAGTCTAACCCAAAGTAAACATAGTTACTAGTCCTAAAGATAGGACCGTCCATTTTACTCCAAAGAAAGAGGCTCGCCACACAGAATACAGTGCACGAGGAGTAACGACTTCATCATCCCGAAAGCTTACATAGTAGATTCGATATTAATGCTTTGCTAGTCTGCTTTCAGGACTTACCCTTCCCAAATCGGCTCTCTTAGCCTGGTGGATCCCGCTTGGCGTGTTTCACATTCATTCTCTGATTCTTCCGTTCTTCTTTCGTTCTTCTTTCTGTTCTTCTTGGAGATCGCGTTGTGGATCGTTTGATCTCTACTATGGTACAAATACGTATACTCCACACATGGCCATGCAACAGAGGGACACTGAATCATCAGGCAAATTGCTTCAATGCAAAATCAACTCGAATTTACTCGAGTCCACTGCATGCTCTCACTAGTCGTCCCGAAAACTCACTAGCCGTATTCTTTGTTGGTAGCGATAAACTTTCTTTGAAGCCACCGCGGGCTGGTCCGCTCTCCATGCTTGTATGATCTCGTACGTTATTCGACTCTGCCGACTCTACTTATGCATTCTAGACCTGACTCTTCTTCAGATCCAAGGGCAACTTGTGGTCAAGGACGAATCACCGGATACATCGGTCCGGAGGTCCGAAAGTAGATCTTATTGGGATAATATCAATAGTTAGTCGAGTTCCTTGTCCTCATTGTAACGTACTCTTAGAAGAATCAAAGACAATTGTCTATTGACGAGGCACTCTCTTTAGAATCTGACTCGTCAATCGTTCGTCCCTCACGCTTGTCATGTCGAACAGAAGAAGCAACGAAAAGCAATAAAATCATGCATCCATCCTGATTGGATCCCTTGCCTGACCTATCACTTCTTATCAATGCAAGAATACGTTATCATTCGTAATCGATAAGACTTTGTTTTTTTTTTTTTTTTTTTTTTTTTTTTTTTTCCTTTTCCATACTGTTCAGTCTTCCATGGGCTGGGATTGTGATATCGAATCAGAATTGACATCACAGTCAGATGCCCTTGCATATGATTCCATCTTAGTAGGATTCTACATATGACTCGGACATGCATGCATTCGCCACTGCGGGTTCCTCGGAGACAACCAACTGCGTAGGAATATCAGGATCGTCTGTCTGTACATACACTATTAGTATGCAAACATGTGAATGGTTTTCCAACCGGACCAATGACTATGAGCTGTTCCTGCATTTAGCCGTCTGGAATAACGTATCTCGCATGAACCAGTAAACACCCAGGTGTTTTACTACATCCTTCAGACCTTTGAGTTTGATGAGTTATCACGCAAGGCTCGACAGAATTTGTCAGTGTGGTGTTACAGCTTGCAAGGTAATCTCAATGATCCAAAGCGATGGAGCAGGTACTGTCATATAAATTATGGAGACTCAAGAACCACCTTCTAGAACACAATGAATACCAGAAACGGCAATGGCATGGAAGGTTTTCTTCTTTTCATAGAGAATATTAACAGACTGGAGACCGAATAAATTGAAAATAAATGAATTATAGTAGCACCACTATAGAAACGGTGGCACGCCACGGCCTACCGGACTGTAACGGTATGCTTATTATTGGTGTCAGGGATTTAGATGACAGGGTTGTTTCAGTCTTGAGCGTGTGGGCTTATACAGAGTAATAATTGATTAAATTAATAACCCTGGCTAGCTAGTAGCCTAGTACAGCGAAATCCCAGACATGACTTGTCTGACCGCTCTGTCTGTCATGCTGATTGTCTGACTTGCGTACGTAGACATGTTTCCCTGTCCCGCCCAATCACGAACCCCGGATGTAGCCGGCCTGGTTCCGTTCCACGACTCTGATACCTGGTCACTGTCTAGGTGAGGTCTATCGGTTTGCCACATTGGACGTTCTTGCAGTCGGAGGGCGTGCAGTTGGCAATTGCAAAGGCAGTGATGTAGCCAAAGTATATTTATTCAGGCCAAAACCCGGACGCCAATTTCTGATTGGCGTCGAGGCAAGCTGATTGAAGCCAAAGTTGAGCCCAAAGGGACACGGCTTATCCGACCAACGGGACAGATACCGCTGCTCCATAAAATACGACCTTCGGAGAGATCTAACCGGAATAGGCAAAGCGGGAATACATATGGATCCGGAACGGGTTGATCGCGCTCTTTTTTTGTCTGGCTCGATAACATGATTGGCCGCTTTGAAGTAGCACTCGGTATTTCCTGTCGCTTTGTTTGGCTAATTCGATATCTGTATTGATACAGAGTAAGGTGACTGGTGGCAGCGTGCATGCATACACTCGGCACTTGTTTTTGTTACCAACCAGAAACTTTGCAAATGGTTGCAATTATGTCAAATTGGAATTTGCGGGGGAATTTGCATGTCGATGTCTCACTGTCCCAGTCGCTGTACTATCGTACGTGCGAGATTAGTAGTCGGTCTGACTAGTATATTAAATAAATAAATAAATATATATATATATATACATTACATGTATGTATTTGCCGCGCAACTCCGTCTGAAACTGCGAATCATTCAAGCAATAAAAGAGAAATTAGCATGTCCATAAACATCTCAGGTAAAATCGACCAAATGCTACAGCATCACACCACGCAGAATTCGAAAAGGAATAAAAGAAGCCAAGTGGACATGGCTCAGGCACAGCCATCGTCCCACTAAGCGCATTGGCCGGCCATCCACCAGGAATGGTGATAGCAAAGCCCCGGCCGGCCAGTCAGAGCCCAGGCTCCACACGGACAAAGCCGCCTGGCTGCCACTATCACCGTCTCATCGCTTGTATGCAGTGGTTTGAGAGAGGACTGACTCGTAGCATGCAGTGCGTATGATGCTTACGACTCCGTGTCTGCATTGTACGTATAGTATCACTGTATATACTAAGCGTCAGCAAGAACAAGCGTGTCAAGAGGGTCAAGCGTGTCTTATCAACTGATCTGGTAGAAAGCAGTATCAACCTTGGGGGACAAGGGCCGGTGGAGTACAAAGTAAATATTAAATACAGCTAATTGTCACACATACTAGCCTGCCACTACTGCATCCTCTCAGACAATTTGATCGCCCACCTGCGGCGCTTGCCCAATCTGACCTAAGCTCAACTGGCAATTAACTTAGTTCCCTCGACTCCCACCTCCCACCCCCATTATCTTTCTCTACGCATATCCTTTCTTTTCCTAACTCTCTAATGCCTCATTTTTCATAACTAATTCGTTTTTTTTTTCCTTTGCCTCTATTATTCTTTTCTCTTCTCTTTCTTTTTGAAGCTAAACCCTCCGGCTCCCAAGTACACCAAAAGCACGTCCCATCTAGTGGCTTGCGCTTGACCTTGGGTCCTGTCATTCGTTTGAAGTCTCCCGTCTCTCTTATACTCTGCTCTTTTTCTTTATACTCTGCTTGCTTGCCTTGGTTGGATTGTTATATATCATTTTATTGTTTTCTCTCTTGTTGGTTCCTTACTCTCGACTATCGACCACCGTGACTTGAACAAGTCACTACATCCAGAACATACCACCAATATACCAACAAGAACACAACACCCAACACCAACAGCGACAGAGATCATCATCTTCTCTACCGACACCATTCCTATTCACTCCTTTGAGGAATTGGTGCAGTGAATCATACATCTATACGCCTACTACATACTCTCGACATATCCGTTCGACTAATAATAACTAATCACCAATCTCGTTTCCCGAGACAATACCATCGTTGGCATACTAACTTTCTCTCTCATCGTCCGGCGTGACAAAAGGTGGGTTTGCCTCTTATATCATATCATATCATATAATACATGGATATTCGGAGTCTAACAAGCACAGCGACAATGGAAGCCACATACTCCATGCCCGCTCCCCTCCAGGGACAGCAATATTATTTTTACAACCCAGAGACAGATGTTCATCGACCGTACATCGTCTCCCATCCCGAGATGTCCTTCCACGCTCCCATGCCCATGTACCAGCAACAGCAGCCCATTTTCCCTGCTCATCCGCAACTGGCCCCCAAGCACACCATGCAGCACCAAATGAGCATGACTCCAATTGCTTCACCACAGCCAACCCACATGAAGCCTTCGATCATGATCCAGCAACAACACGGCTCCCCCGCTTTGATGCCTCTGGATACTCGATTCGATTTCTACAGCTTTCCCTCGACCCCTCCACTTTCATCTTCCGCAAGCAGTATCAGCAGCCCTCCTTCGACGTGCGGCATGATCCACACCCCAGTCAATTGCTCTTTTACTCCTTTCGAGACAATGGAGGGTGTCAAAGAAGGCTGTGAATCAGAAGTCCATGCAGAGATCCTTGCCAAGCCCGATTGGGGTCGAACCGACTCTCCTCCTCTGACTCCAGGTATGTTTTGTTTTTATTTTTATTTTTATTTTTTTTTGTGTGTCAGTCTATTTATATCACAAGTTCCTTTCAATCGATCAAAGGAGCGATTACAATCATGTCCCGATTTTCGATGTTAAAAAGCAGTCATGTTTTGAATGTTCCGTTTCGGGGTAGACTAACCGATCTCGGGATTAGTATTTATCCACCCGCCTTCGCTTATAGCCAACAACTCCGACCTGCTCTCCGCCAACGTCTCCTGTCCATCCCTATCTCCCTCCCCTTCTCCAGGCCCCACGGGTTTGCTCACTCCCAACAGCATCTCGTTTACCTCGGAACCTGCATGTTCCGACTTCTGCGATCCTCGCCAACTGACTGTCGATTCTGCCGCTGCCGCGGCACCTTCAGCCCCTGCCGAACTCCCTCCTCTCCCTACTTTGAGCTCCGGAGACGAGGACGAGCAAAAATTGTTGCTCGGCGGTGGAAACTTGACTCTACCTTCTCATGAATCTGTCCACGTTCCCTTTTCCAGTTGCGCCGAGACTACCTTGACCACACTACCACGATTTGACTCCTTCTCGGACTTGGATTCGGACGAAGAGTTTGTCACGGGAATCGTTGACTTTGCTCCTGCAGCTGCCAACACATTTTTCCTCGGTGATAAGAGACAACGTGTCGGTCCATACGTGTTGGACGACGACGAGTTCCTCAGTGAGCAGAGCTTCGACGACGTGGATGACGAAGAGCTTTTCATGCGGTCGGGTCTGCCCACGGTGATTGTTGAGGAAATGCCAGGTGGTGAGGACAGCAGTGATTCATCTGTTGAGATGAAGTCCAAGAAGCGCAGCGGTGCTTCGTCCCGAAAGTCCATCCAGAAGAAGCCCTCATTCGACAGCTCGTCGATCGGTAACCAGGTGCCTGCTGACACCCGCGGCAACCAGTCACAAAACCAGAGCGGCTCAACCCAAAACAGCGGATCGGCCAATAACTCAAAGGCAGACTCTTCTGCTGCTGCCACTCCTGCCTCGGGTAAATCTGAATCCTCATCGGCGCAGGCGCCCGTGAGCCGTCGCGGCCGGAAGCAGTCCTTGACCGATGACCCTTCCAAGACATTCGTGTGCACATTGTGTTCTCGTCGATTCCGTCGTCAAGAACACTTGAAGCGTCACTACCGCTCTCTCCACACCCAGGACAAGCCATTCGAATGCCACGAGTGTGGAAAGAAATTTTCCCGCAGTGACAACTTGGCCCAGCACGCAAGGACACACGGTAATGGCGCTGTCGTCATGGGCATCCTTGATCCCAGCGAAGTTACTCCTCCTGCCCCTCAAATGTATGAGGAAGACGCTGGCGTGTTGGGAGCTGTTCTCTACGAAGCCGCCAACGCTGCTGCCACACAGTCAACTAGCGAGTCAGGATCCAGTGCCGAATCTGATTCTCCCACATCTGGGGATCGTCGACTCAGCCTCAAGAAGCGTAAGCGAGATGAGACTGTTGCATAAGCCTCTGCTATATTGGGTTCTCCCTTTTACCGGGATTTATGATGAAACGAGACCAGGAGATATATCTTCTTCACCTTAGCCTTTTCTCCTCAAAGAACGGCACATTGTAATACATCATCTTTACAGAACATATTTCGCTTCGACTTTTTATATTATTATCGTTTTCCTTTGTTGGCGCCTGGGCTTTCGAGTCATCAGATCGGTTCTAATCAAATTGGGAGAAGCTGATGCAACTGAATGTCTCAATCGAGGAATATGATTTCGTGGATATTCATTTTGAACATCGCATCTCAGGGGCATCAGCGTCGGCGAACGGTCGGAAGGAGGGACCATTTGGATCATCTTGCTTGAATTTGGGGGTTTTTGTTTTGGTTTGAAATTCGATAGAGCTTACGAGTCATCACAACATCACAGCCAGTGGTGAATACACAAAAAAATTGGTGCGGCTATTCGTTGATATTCTCTGTTGTCAGTTTGCGTTGCTTGCATTTGAATTGCCTGTTTCGAGTCTGTCTGCTTTATACTATCTTCATGTATTTATCTATTTCCCCCTTCGCTTTCTTATCTTTCCTTTTATCTCCTCTTGATCTACTTGGTTTGTAATTATCTTGTTTGTGATTTGTGCTGGCCACATATTTGAACATGTATTATCCCTTTTTACTGTATGGTTTTCTGTCGTTTCCTCTCCTCATACCCCTTTGGATTCACCAGCACCATTCTTTATATATATTTTGTGTTTAATTGTCATTGTCTAGAATGAGCAATCAATCTGCATACATTATGTTATTTTCGTATGTTACGGAGTAACCTGTAGATTTGTAGGACTGGGAGGTCACCCCACATTGGTGTTCCAAATTTTGATTCAAAAGGTACATCAACTCAACTCACAACTCTTCAACAGTAACCTCGAACTCTGAGGCAGACTCAGCTATTGTCTACATGACAATTTGAGTATAGGCATACATATATGCACTAAAGCACTCACTCGGCATTCTCTATGCATATTACTGTCATCCACTGAACCATCTCCATACTTCTGCCTCTAGGTAAACAATCACCATGTCCGAACCCCTCAACGTTATCGCCCTAATATCAGGCGGCAAGGACTCTCTCTACTCAATTCTGCACTGCATCCGAAACGGTCATCGAGTAGTTGCACTGGCGAATCTGCGTCCTCCTGTTCCAGTCTCTAACGACCATGGAACAGGAGAAGAAGAAGAAGAAGAAGAAGATATGGATAGTTTCATGTACCAAACTATCGGACACAATGTTATACCCTTATACGAATCCGCATTGGGGATTCCATTGTACAGGGGTGATATTATAGGTAGTGCGGTTGATACCTCGAGGGTATACGGCGATCATCATCCTCACCTCTCCAGTCCGCAGAAAGAAGAAGAAGAAGATGATGATGATGAGACGGAATCTCTTATCCCGCTTCTGAGGCATATAAAACGAGATCTTCCGTATGCAAACGCGGTTTCTGCGGGGGCGATATTGTCGACTTATCAGCGCACGAGGATTGAGAATGTGGCGGCCAGGTTGGGACTTGTTCCGTTGGCGTTTTTGTGGATGTATCCTTTTCTTCCGTCCGAGAGTAGCTCGATTGTTGGTGGTGGGGGTTTATTGAATGATATGGCGGCTGTCGGATGTGACGCGAGAATTATCAAAGTTGCCTCTGGTGGTCTGGACGACGGTATGTTATGGGAGAATGTAGCATCGTTCAAAACCCAACGACGGCTTGAAAAGTCCATGAGACCGTTTGTGGATGATGCGCAGACACTAAAAGGGGCGGTGTTGGGTGAAGGTGGTGAATACGAAACTCTTGCCCTTGATGGACCACGGTTTTTGTGGAAGAAGAGAATTGTGGTTGAAGAATCTGATAGAGAAGTTTGTAGACTTGGGAGTGGCGTGAGTCGTGTCCGGGTTGTGAGGGCGAGTTGTGTTGAGAAGGATGACCAGCCGACGACAGTGGTGCCGGAGGATGTTAAGAGGCCGGCACAGTTTGATGACACGTTTCAGCGGATTCTGAATGGATTGGAAGAACGGGATTTCGCTTTGGCTGTCGATATTGCTGTTCCAAGTCTGGAGCCAGGTTCTATGATTGATGTCTCTTCAATATCACTCGGGAACTTGTATACCATATCAAACATCACAGCTGCCGAAGCCGGCTCAACAGCAGATGCTCAAATGCGCGGAATTATAGAAAAACTACATACGCTTTTGCTCAACATTGATAATGCGGATATATCAACAAAACCAACAACAGACGACGTTGTCTTCACGACAGTCCTGCTACGGTCAATGCAAGATTTCGCTCCAATGAATGCGATATACGTCTCGCTGTTTACAAAACCGAACCCTCCGGCCAGAGTTACAGTGGCCTGTGGTAATTGCCTACCTAAGGGTGTTCAGATTATGGTCTCGGTCGTTATTGATCTAGGAGAGCGCAGGAAGAGAGAAGGTCTTCATGTACAATCACGCTCCTATTGGGCGCCAGCAAATATCGGACCTTATTCGCAAGCTATCACTGTTCCGTATCAGCTTGAAAACATACAAAGCGCTACTGATAGCAATAAAGGAGGCCTGGTATATATCGCAGGACAAATTCCACTCGACCCGCCAACAATGGAAATTCCCAATGGGATTAAACAGGGAGATGAGCGGTGGTTCCAGAATTTCAGTTTACATGCAACGCTCTCCTTACAACATCTTTGGAGAATCGGACTTGCGACAAAAGTTGATTGGTGGATTGGCGCAATTGTATTTCTTGCTAGAGATTTTCGTCGTAGCCATCAAAAGGCGCGGATAGCGAGTCGGATATGGCAAGAGGTGCATTCACGAGATGGGAATCGAGGTGTGGAAGAGGAAGCTGACTTGGATATTTGGGATATTAAACATGGACTTACGGAAGATCCTCGATTGTCGAGTGGTGGTCCATCGTTACCGAATTTTGAAGTACTGGTTGATGACGACGGTGGTGACAAAGATATTATACAGCCATGCTTCACGGTTGAAGTAGAACAGCTCCCACGAAATAGTGATATTGAGTGGCAGGCACTTGGTACCACGGGTATACCGCTCAGTGCCCCGGTCAGGATACCCTGCACTACCGATCCAGAGACGAAGATCTGGTGCACGAAACTAGACGATTGTAAAGGCTCGTTTTATACCATTGAGATAGCGGAGATTCAGGGTACGAATCTGCGGAAGAGGATAGATGTGGTATTGTCTGAGATTGGTGTCACTGCTGAGGCGTGTCTGACTCATTGCACGGTTTATACGCCTCATGGTAAGGCAGCGACTCATTGGAAGGGGCAGGTTGTGCCTTGTTATAATGTTTGGGGGAGTGACGGGGGAGGGATTGCTGCTGCTGTTACTGTACAGTTAGTAGCTTAATCTGCATGGCTCACTCGGCTATCCATGAGTGATGATATGAATCCTAGTGGATCTTTATACTCAACATTCTTACCCCCGCACTTTCAGTGTTTGAGTTAAAAGTCAACATCTTACAAGACATTCTAGTAAAATAACTAGCTAGAAGGTCTAGTGGAAGCTATCCAAGATGTCTGACGGCGCTTGTATCGCCAAGGGTTGGGGAAGAAGCTTTCTACCAGGAATAACATGTATCTAATAGCATTGCTCAATCATGCTCTAACATGCCATTCCTGCATCGTGTCTGATAAAGGACAGCTGGATCACAGAATGGTCATGTTATGCTCGCGTGACAGAAGCTTTGCGTGTGTATCCAGTAGTAGCGTAGCCGAACCCTTTGACTTTTCCTTGAGACACACAGTCTGGGGAAGTAATAGTAAGCACAGACGCGTTCCACTGTCCAGAGCCACTCTGACCATTCAACATAGTCCCTTGAAAAGTTGTCTCCCTATTCATTGAGTAACGTCGCTTAATTTGTCGCGGAACACGACGACAAGAAAGACTAAAAAGATAGCAGTTGGCACAGTTGGCAGGTTCAGCCAATGAGAAGCCACGCTTGGACGGCGAATGGCGAGACCGGGAGGCGCCTTCCGGACATGTGATTTGGACTTTCAACAAGTCTGCTGTTTCTCGATTAATCTCCTGTCAAACACGCAACACGATTCTATCGTTTATACGAAGCTTTGCAGTATTGGCTCAGGAATGGATTCGATGTGATACTTACTGTCCTCTTTTCTTACTCCTCCCTTAGCGGTATATCCCACAGAGCTTGCTTGACACCTGTCATCATTGCCGTCGAATTCAACATAATCAACCACATGGAAATGGCAAAATAAGCGCATGCATGCAATCATCAAGGGGAAGAAGTTTCATTGGAAGTCTCAGCACATGCGATGCTATGGCCTCTATGCAGCAGAGTCGATGGACCGGAGATCTCGAGCACGCGTACTTGCAACCGTCGTCGGAGATTGTCATTGATAGCGACCTAAACGACAATGACATTGACAACAATGCAACAACAATCATCGATGACAACGACGCTATAGTCTCCGAAACTATCGACTCGAAATATTTACCGAATTATCACACCCGGTTTTCGCGCTCACCCCACCCATATCATCGCATTAGCTCGAAAATAGCAGATCGATCCCCCGCAAGAAGCGATTATCATCAAGCGAGTGACTCCGGTAGTATAAATGACAGTGCGAACGTTGTGCAGAGGAGAAGACAGCGGAATACGAACAGAAATGGCAATAGATGGTCGAGGACATCTCCCCGGGCGTCGAGTGAAAGCGGCACAGAAGCGGATGACGAAAGTACTGGCCTGTTAAAAGGCTTACCGGCACCGCCGGTAAGGTCCTCGCGAAAGGGTTTACGAAGTACAGCTGGTCGTGATGACCCTTTGCTCTGGTTGCAACATGAGACACCTCAATCCTGGTCGTTATTTGTTAGGTCACCGTTGAGACAACCGAAACGGAGCTCGAGTGAAGAGTCGATGCGCTCCTCGGCTACGTATGCGACTGTCCGTGGAGTTGTTGCGCGTCGGAAGAGAAATGAGGTTATGCGCAGAGTGACCGAGACTGCTTTGCTGTTGTCAGTCGGTGTTGTGGTGCTACTGCGAGAGGATGTGCGCTCATATGCATCCTCGTGGCATAAAGGTGGGTGCGTTGATTCCTGATCGTTACTGATATGACTGACGTGACCTTAGAAATTCGATCCTTTCTCTCTCTCGTCACGGTACTTTACGCTCTATACCCGCTTCGTTTGTCAGTCGGACGTGGTAAGCCGCGTCTGACATTCGCCTTTTCGATACCCAGCAGCTTCGATCCGGCTCCGTTATTATATCCTGTTCTAATACCTCTTTTCGTGGCCTTGTCGACCTTGCATCATCGTCCAGCGTTGATTTTGCCCAATATTGTCCTCAGTCTTTCTTCGATACCCGCTCAAGTCGTTCCATTACACATTTTGCATCATGGCTACATCAGTGTGACTCACTGGGCCATTACCGTCATCCCAATAATTCTTTCGGAGCACGATATATCGTATATCAGCAACATGTCCGAACCACTGTCATCAAAAGGACTTGACGTCGAAGTTCTTCTACTTTTATATCCTTTACACCAAGCTTTAAATGCCACTCTCGACTTTCTCCTCGCCACGAGTTTGCTCCCAGCAGAACTTCATCTACTGGGATCGGGTTTGACAAATCTTCTTTTATTCGCCAAATCCCCGCAAGCTCAGATTTTAAAGGCGCTGCTATGGTTGGGTGGACTGAGTGTCTGGATTCTCTGCCGTACCGTTCTACGATGGGAGATTACATTGGCTAGAATCCCGACCTGGAAGTTCCGCAGACCGCCCAGTAGTTCATTCTCTCCAAAAAAGCTTATCAACTTTATAGATCACAAGATTTGTGAAAAGATCAGTGCCATAGGCACTAACAGCGAAAAAGAGTTAGACTCGGATAGTGACGATGATGCAGACAGTCCGTCGAGACCGCAAGCCCGCCAGCGCAGTCTACCTCGTCAAAATGGCTTCTGGCCACATCGCGGAGACTTTAAGGAAGGTCTCCGGCTAGACGATCTCTGGCCATCTTCTTGGGCTGCGACGAAAAGTCTTTTACACTCTCATAAGAGGCGGCATACCATTTCAACCGTTGATGATCTCGAAACTGTCAGAACAGGGCGTGCACCTCCTCGAACAACACCCAGCGGAAGACGCAAGCGGTCAATGGCACCTGATCTGGCTTCCTTCCTTTCCTTAACGGCCGCCCAAGCGCGCATTCGTCGATGGCTGTTCGCAGGGTACGTATTTACAGCTATAGTTGCGACAATCCTCGTGCCGGTCCGAATTTATATTTCAAACTATGCTCTCCATGGAAAAGATCCCTTTGGCTGGGCTTTAGGCTATTTATTTGGCAATATCTCTTCATTTCGGCTGTGGGCAGTGAAGTGGAATCTCGAGTATTGGATCCAGCTTCCCAAACGTCATGCTGCAAATCAATTCTGTCATCTAGGCTGGCTTGAACACCTACGTCGCGATACATTCGGTGAAGCAAACACCCGTCTGCTGATTAGCGGGCACTGTCTCATGGTATTGATCGTCGGTATGGCCACAGTCCTTCAACTCAGCAAAATTGCCGAGGTGGATACCAGGCGGAAAATATTCCACGGAATGATGGTGCTCATGTTTTTGCCTGTGACGTATATTGATCCGACCTACGCAGCACTTGCTTTGACTCTTGTCTTGGCTATTTTCTTATTGCTTGATCTGCTCCGCGCATCTCAAGTGCCGCCCGTCGCGAAACCCTTGACATACTTCCTGGCGCCGTATACTGACGGTCGTGACCATCGAGGTCCAGTAATCGTCTCCCATATATTTTTGCTCCTAGGCTGCGCAATTCCTCTATGGTTATCGCTCGCCGATCTACCTCGCGTTGGCGTCGAGGACAACATCGATAACCCCTGGTCAGGCTGGGAAGTCCCCTCCCGAGACGTGAGCATGGTCAGCGGAATAATCTGCGTGGGCATGGGTGACGCTGCAGCATCACTCATAGGACGTCGATACGGTCGTCTCAAATGGTTCTGGGGAGGCGGCAAGTCCCTCGAAGGTAGTTTGGCATTTACCATTGCCGTATTCCTGGGCTTGATGATTGCACGGATCTGGCTAGCAGTCGGTGGATGGACAGCCGTATCTTCATCCACATCTTCTACCGACATGTCTTCTTGGTTACTTGTCGTCGTGAAATGCCTCCTTGCTGCAGGTGGTACTAGTCTCACCGAGGCTGTATTGACAGGTGGGAACGATAATGTCATTGTCCCCGTGGTACTTTGGCTACTTGTTCGCGGATTGGCTATTTAGTCAATGATTTTTATATTGGTATATATCATTCAATCTATCTGAGTATGATAGATTTGAAGTTTCGAGGCATGACTAATGTCTATTCATCTGTACAAAAAAATAATTTGAGGAGGATGGCTCGATTTGCTCGGCGTTTGGATTTAGGTATAGATTACTTGATATCCTTTTTGTTGCTTATGACATAGTACATATACATAATGAGATGAGGCTTATGTTAGACATGTATACTGTCCATGATCGCTGTCAGATGATGATTTTTCTCTTTTTCTGAGTGGGAAAGGATACCCAAAAAACTTAATGATGATGGATTTAGTAAGATTTATAGAATTGTTCTGGTAATAACAACTCATGACTGGTAGGATTCAGCTCGCTTTCTCGAACAGTGTGATGCTCTTTTTAACCATGCCTAGCGACAAAGCCCTAACTCCGTCCACGGTACTTCCAACCATGTCTGGTGAGTTAGCAAAGCTATATCACCCACTCAGAGTACCTAGTCAAGAGCAGACCATCTCTCAATTGAACATGAAGATCAATTGATATGAGCCCATCTAGTTCTTTTTGAGAATTACCTATACCACGGATTTCCTTTGATGCCGCTTGGCTTTCCCTTTGCATTTTCGTGCTCACCCTGTCGCCGCTTTTACTCATTAAGTAGAACTGAGCACGCTGACCAGATTAGTGAGCTTCACATATGCTGAGAACCATGCTCAGTGAGCTGAAGTTGAGCAAGCCTGGTCTGCTCACTGAGCCAATGAGCTAATTGACCCCCATGACGCACTCGCTTCTAAAAAGTCAACAGGATCAAACAACGCCAATGAAGTTTCTCTGCAGAGATGTACTCTACCTGAAATTAAACTCTCCCCAACAACTTACTTGGTCTTACGGTGATGTATCGTGCGGTCCTTGATAACATTCAATCGCAATTATAAATATATACAACCTGTACTATACAGTGTTTAGTCTAATTCGTTATTTTTGTTTATTCCATATCCCGCATGTAAGTGCCAAAGTCGGAGGTGTTGTCCAATGATCTAAAAGAGATGTGTGCCATCCTTGCTGAGAGCAGGTACAGTTACAATGCCACCTTCTCCTGCAGTGGTGCTGGAATAGCATTCCATACCATGTCCTTCGAATTTGTACTCACTGTCAAGAGAAAGCAAAAGAGACCATGTCAACTGATAGCTCCCGAAACGGCTCAAATTCAAATCTTTGGACCCATCTTAAAGGCCATCATAAAATTTATCCCGATAGTAGAGCTCCCCCTGTGCCAAATGCTTCTCAAACAACACTTGATTCCCATGGCATCACTTACTCAAGAGGTGCTGATCTTACTATGAGTTTGACCCTTGACGAAGCTATTGTTGAGTGGATATGACAGCCAACAACCGTTCGATATAGTGGAAAAGAATGTGGAAAATTGCTCTGAATGCGCCTTGCCCAATTAACTCCCATCAAAATCTCCGCCGGCGAATCGAGCAAGCCTTCTTAGTGTCAGCTCCACATGTACAAGGAACTAAAAGCTAGCGCTGAGGCAGTTTCCTCCTCTCTTGATGTTTGGAAGGCACCTAATAAGAAGTATATTCTTGCCGTTATTTGCCATTGGGCTACAGAGGATTTCGAAGATCGCCAGCTCGTTATTCATTTTGGTCATCTCAAGGATTCCCACACTGGAGAAAACATGACAAAAGAGATTCAAGAAGTGCTTCGAAACCTTGATCTAGAGCAGAAACTCGTGTCTATTTGCGGTGACAATGCTGGTGATAAGCCTACACTCTGCCGCTCTCTGCACAAGCTCCTCAAACAGCAATTTGTGGACTCAGTTCAAAAATTGGATCTGCTGGATGAAGACCACAGATTAATGTGTTTTAGAGGCGACGAAAACTTTGCCCACTGCCTAGCACATGTGCTGAATCTGATAGCTGAATCGATGCTAAAGGTATTCAAAGCAGGCTCACACCAACAAGCAAAGAGGATTATCAAACAGATGAGCATTAATAAGAGGGAAACATTCCAAATTGAGAAATACCACAGTCTGCAATTTCTCGACTACAATTAATTGTTATATGGATACTAGCTAGCGATCAGCCATTCGATAAATACATGGAATATGCCTCCGTCACCCTCGACTACGATGTTGATACTCGACAGAATGCACTTCTAAAAATGCTTGAGATACCGATTCGAGAGTGGTCTGCAATCAATCACATGTGCAAGGAGTGTAAGCTGTATAGTCTCTAGTACTGTCAAAGCTTAAATGGATATTTCTTGGAAACATTCATTAAGCTATGCGTCCTCTCTATAAGAAGACCCTCTTGGTTTCATAGACCAACCCAACAATCTTCCAATCCGCAGAGACTTATTGGGATTTAGATAACCATTTTAATAATATTATTGAATTGCAAGGTGCCTATACTAGCGTCGAGATACAGATTTAAAATGCAGCAAGAGCTGGGCAAACAGCCTTAGACAAATGCACGAGGAAGATGGACACAGAGACCCTTATTATCTACTTTGCCGCTATCCTAGATCCCCGCGTTAAGACCAAGCTTTTAAAGATTCATCTTGAAGACAATGCTATCGATGTAATCAACAATTTGCAAGTTCATTTCAATGAGATATCTCCTACAATAGAACCTACACTTCCTTCTAGTTGCCGGGATTCGACGCCTTCGTTCGTCTTCAATACCTACATCAGCTTTGTAGGTCGCCCTCATGGTCTACAAGTTAAATCAAATTAACAACGCATACTTAAAGAAATTCAAAGAAAGTAATATTCAACCTCTGCAACCACCAAAATCATAATCATTGGCGTGTCCTAACAAGAAGTTAAAAGGTCATATTCTCCTACCACCCCGTACCCGTAAGGCATTCAAGTTAAAAGACCAGGCTACACTTCCACCGGATGCTGCATTCCCGAAAGAAGGCCCTGGGGCTAGTAACTTGCCAAAGCCTGGAGACCGCTTTTAAGTTTGAGTAACCAAGGCTGAAGATTTGCCAAATCCTGAAGAACTCCTGCCGAAAAATAAAGAACTGCTGCCGAATCCTGAAGAATTGCTGCCGAATCCTGAAGAACAGCCGCCGAATCCTGAAGAACAGCCGCCGAATCCTGAAGAACAGCCGCCGAATCCTGAAGAACAGCCGCCGAATCCTGCTGAAGATTTGCTGCCGAATCCTGCTGAAGATTTGCTGCCGAATCCTGAAGATTTGCTGCCGAATCCTGCTGAAGATTTGCTGCCGAGTCCTGAAGATTTGCTGTCGATAAGTGAAGAACTGCCAAAGCCCGAGGGGTTGCCGAAGCCAGATGTCTGGGACCAAGGTGCAACTGACGCAGGATCCATAACCTTCAACATACCTAGGCTGAGAGACGGCACTTCTTCCAGCAGTTTCTGGAATTCAGGTACTGTTCTCAGCTCGCTCAGACAGAACGATGCATAGTTTCCCAGCCAGCCCAAGAGCTTATCATGTTCATAAAGATTTCTGAAACCGAGACCTATCATAGATATCACCTGCAGTTTCACTTTTCCATCTTGTGGTTTATCGATTGTTTTAAGACGATCCGTGAGACGTTCATATGCCTTTGCTCCTAGCCCCGGTACTCCATACACGTGAGCGAAGATGTACATCTCCATATGGCAACTCAATGGGTCCTTGCCAGTTGTGGTATCACCATCATCAGAACTGGATACTTTCGTGACATTGGCACTTGCTAAGCTAGGCTCATCCATCTTTTCGGGATAGTCACCTCTATACGCCCATTCTATGAAACGTAAAAGTGTGTTGTCGGAAGTGTCGTGGAATTGATAGATGTTTTCCTTGCCTTCCTTGATGTATTCTAGCCTACCATAGGGTTCATTGCTTTTTGCTTCAAGTAAAGCTTTGTGGATTTTGAAGGTCCGTTCTGAATTCTTTGTGCCAAGTTCTACGATATCCGAACTGAGAAATCTGTATGTGATATTAGAGCCTGCATAGTCAATCTTGAGGATCACGGAACTCACTCAGAATATGGTATTTCTGACTGTATAAGAAGGAATCCGCTCGCCATGATGAGATGTCCTGAAGTCCTCAACGATTTAATTTGATGAATGAGAGATTGGTAGCTTTGCTAATATTCAAGACTGATTCCATCCTCCGGGGGGTCGTAGTGTATAAATAGAGCAAAATAACATATATATTTTACATAGAAATACTAGTTTTTCGAAACCATAGGCAAGGGTTGTTGGTCTTGTTGGAGCACGGCTACACTAGGATGAATATGGCATGTCGGCGAATAACAAGAGCCAAGGGCTAGGAATTTTCATGCTTTGATGCACGTCTTCTGATACATAACTCGTTGAGGATTTTGATCGCTTTTATGCACAAAATCCCATAGGCTTGTAAGGTTAGCTGAATGTGCCCATGTCTTGTCGATATATGACTCCGGACTCCGATTCTCGAGATTTCCTCGTGTTAGCGTTGTAACAGATTTCTTGGCTTATTCCCACTCGAGACAGCTTATCCTGCGTCCCAAAAAATCTGTCTCATCAGGTAGCTTTCTAAAAATGAATCATTCTACTTGAGAGTTACCGAGGTGGGAGTCAAAAGTGATATACCAATGCACGCTAGAGGGCACTAGAGACGTATATCATAATTAATTACAGCTAATTAGGTATGAAGCTCTCTTATTTGCCGGGTTCAACTGCTTTGCAGCTCTTATCTGGCTTATCTTTGTATAAAAACGTCCAAAATACGTCAAACTTACACGTTAATATCTAGCGTATTGCTATCTGTCGGATAAGCTGGGTCCTTGAAGTCTTATCCTGGGGTGGTTTATGTGCGTATGATTCTGCACTGCTTACGCTGATAGGACAAGAAGTTTTGACTAACAAGAATGTATGTCTGTGTTGCTCCTCTGGGTGTATTTACATAAGGTTGAGAAGGCAGTTTATATAGACAATTCTGTGAGCATGACTCGTAGGGGTTCAACACGGCGGTTATGGAGCAAATGTGATAGGTGGTGCAGGGTTTCTTTGAGACCAATAAGATCTCCAGATCGATGCGTTCTGACCAATTCCTGGTTACTCAATGTCTGAAATGTAGGTACCCGAATATATGCTCTGAAGTGAGTGGCTGACCCTCGAGATCAAAATGCCGATCTTTTCTGCCAGGTTGGATGTCCGGATTATCTGACAACGGGCTGTGTGACGAGTTGGCAGAGCCTCCAGTCCGCAAGGCTAAGAAAAAGATGTTACTAATGTTGCGCTATACGCATGCCAATATGTGCTCTGTAGCGGTGGCGTATTGTTTGGTTATTGCTCTGGCAGGTTGAAGGCACTGGCTCTCGGCATAGATTGCTCAGTCTGTTGCAAGCTGCAAACTAAACATGATGCCGCATTAGGAATTTCTTGTGACAGTGGGCGCATGGCATGATAAATTCTGGCCTATGGTCGTTGCTACTAGTGTGAACTGTCCCACCTGCAAGCCACTCAACCTGGTAATCGCTCAAACAATGGCCCCTTCAAGTAAAGGGAGTAGCTATCTTCATAGCTATCCATTTGTTAAGTCTGTAATAGGGCTTGTAGACAGCACATTTTGAAGTAGGAATGAACGAGTGTCATAAGCCAGCCATCCTGCTTGGTGCTGGGTTGGATTGGGAACTTGGGCGGAGTCTCACCTGAAGGGCAGAATTGATGTCGTTGCTTCAGCGCTCTACCGCTAGAAATAACCAAGAGTAGAGTCCAAAAATATCTGCCAGTATATATCTCAAAGCCCCCTAGACGCTGTCATTGGGACCCTAAGGTAGTGGTACTAGCACCGCTGAGTACGAGGTATTACCAGAAAACGACGCACCGGATGAGGGACCGTGCTAGATGGGACTTCGCCCTCAAGGCAGGATATGATATATCCACCCTACTTCACAGCAGGTGGAGGAGAATACGGGTGGGATCGTGCTGACTCATACAACCGAATGTTATCTATCACTATCTGGGGCGGATATTAGTATGAAGACGGGGTGCATGACGCCCCAAACGCGGAGACTTGGGTCCTGCTGGAGAATCCGGGCCAGGAAATTAGTGTGCCGGCGTTTTTGCGTACCGCGGTACTGCTCAAGCGCAGACCGAACGACAACGGTAAGTCTTTATGCACCGTTACAGATGATTACAAAATCTCGAAGTTGGAGAGCTTCAAGAGGAGCATCTTGAATGCCCGAGGCAAGTTTCCTCGAGACCAACCCATCATCTTTGACCCGAATGCCGCTACTCACGAGTCCGCTTCCACTCACGGTCCAGCAATCTTACTGGGATTATAACCGGGTTAGCTAAAATAACCGAGCTTACTACATTGGAGACCGAGAGGGATACAGGAAAGAGTGGTGACGCTGAAGTCGGAGGAAGTGATGAAAATGAAGAGGGAAAAGAAGATGATGAAAGTGATAGTGGTGATTATGATTGGCCTTGTTCTTATCCTCATTGATATTCCAGACCTCTGGGTCAGGGAGCAAGCCGAGTCCTACTTGTTTTCTCTCAGCTTCTGCTGCCTTCTTAGTATTTCGACAAACGCCTCCAGATGCCATAATAGACGCATACTATCCTGCTGATGGGATTGCTAAACATGTCTAGAATCTTGAAGCCATGTTTCAGATCTTTCATCGGATCGAAGCATGCACCGGCGCATTTCTCTATGATAAGTCGAATGAGCGGTCCTCGGTGATCTCCAGGCTCTCCGATCTTGCGTACATTGGTGTTCCAAACAATTTTTTCCAGCACATCGGTCATATCGTACCTATCCGGATCATGTTGGCCACTTCCGTGTCTTTGGAGGAAGCAATACATAAGAGTATCTGCATAATGTGTCAGTACTAATACTCCAACATGGGATGACTGAGCTAGAGATGATGATAAGCGTACTATCAATGCACCAGAGCCACAATTGGTCAACTATCAAGACAACAGGCTGTTATCGTCCTTCTCTGCGACGGTATCTTGTGACCACTTGGTCTTCATTTCGGGAAGCTGTGCTATCAAGTGTATCGTAAAACGATTGATATCTCCACTTCACCGTTGTCACCAGACTCGACCGACTGGATAGTCAGTAGGCACCAAGTAGTCCATTGTCAATTTTAACTCCAAGTTCTGGAACTCGTCAGGAAAGGGAATCCCACAAGCACCATAAAGTTCTTTAGGGATAAAGACCGTTGCGCAGTAAGCGCATACATATAACATGGCCAATGAGCTCGCCGTGTCTGATGCAGTACTTTTTAGCCCTTCGTGTAGAGTAGATTCCCACAAATCGAATACTGATGCTGGAGGAAGCCCCAGGGGCTTTTCATAACTTGATGGACTCTGGTAAGGTATATAGCCCAGGTATTCACGTGCAACACCAAAACTTGTGCCTGGCTTTTCGATAATGTGCTGGCCATGGCCAATTTTGCATTTTCTGAAGATCATCAGAACTCCACCGCCTTGGTTTCATTTTCTATCCCTTCTTAAACATAAAGACGGATGTCTCGTTTATTGTAGGAGTCCATGCGAATGCGAAGGGGGATATTCAAGGAAGAGTCGATAAGTCCCATCACAGGGAAGAAGTCACGTTTTGAGTAACAGATGTGTAAGGGGACATCAACAGAGCAGGTTGTGTCCATCAAGCTAGAGAACAACGGTAGGACCGAATTGTACCATTCACTCTCCGAAATTTCATTTATTGCGTCAGAACAACATCTGTCAATATATTCACAGCTACTCCTCGAAAATCCTCATAGTTCATATCCAATCTTCCCTCTTGACTGACTTGAATCAGAGGTAGAGCTTTGTGGAGCAAGGAATGGTCTTTTGCAGAAACCTGGCATGACAACGAAGACGGTAGGCGAGCGAAGTCAACGGGGGTAGGGTATAGGAAAACGACCAGAACATCCGCATGGAGATCCCGGGACAAGCGTGGACTTTCTGCTGTCATAGAGGCCAGTAAATAGGACATTCCAGAGCCAAATGCTCCCTCAATGCAGAGCACGCTTTGTTTGTGCTTATCTAGTCGAGATATTCTTTGGTTTGATAAATCCATAGACAATCAATGTCCTTCGAAGGCTGAACGGTGCGTAAAGGTACGCTCTGAAAATTCGGATTTCCGTTGTAGGGCTATCATTACTTTGTCTTTCTTCGAAGTCTCTGGCATATCCATCTTGTCTTCAGATGCTCGATACTCCATCGAGAACAGATTTAGACTTTCATCACATTATTTGCGAGAAGCCACGGTCATCTTGCGGTGTTAACAGGAAGAGAAACGAAGACCACTCTTATGCGTCTCAAGCCTTATTGATTCGGGGAAGTATAAATTTCAATCACGACTGCTGCAAAGGTGCCCGATCGAGAATCCAACATGTCGCCCACCAATCTGACTCAATTCCAGCAATGCTTATATGTGAGCAGGTATTAACACTCACGAATGACCTTATTGCCGTTCCAGGACCGAAGCTGATTAGGGCTTCTCAAGATTAAGGCTTATCACCAGGGTTAGCGTTGGATTCTGAATGCATCAGAAGTGCGGGGACGAAATCAGCCAATCAGAGGCGTGATGAGAAATGATCGAAAAATGCACATGATATGGCGTCACGATCTTTTCATGTTTCTCAATTCTCGGTTTCTATAATTTTCAAGATTGTTCATAATCTGACACAGATTGAATCCAGTGACTCAGTGAGGTCCGGCCCTCATGGGCTGCTTGGGTATGATCACTCTATCCATGACTTCTTCAGAGTCACGCCATGCCAGGTACTACAAGTCATATCAGTCAAGTGTTCCAGACGCGGAGGTCACGCCAGAAGGTCCACTGGGCCGGGTGGATCAGCCACTCAACCCTAAGATTTCTCGCGGCAGTCGTAGGATGGATGGTGTAATTTTGAGTAATCTAGTGAATGGTAATATGGATCTTGCTAAGACGGCGATCGGGAGACTTTGTCTCGCCCTTATCTTTGCTTTGCCATGGCGGCGTCTAACAGGTTCTCTTGTATCTTTTATCTCTATTTAGATAACGACCGCCAGCTGGCTGATCGCCCTAGTACCGAAGCGGCTCTGGAGTGCAGCCAGCCAATCAGCGCTGCGTACTACGCTCCACAACTGCCCCGTGACTGGCTTCTGCAGTCTGTGATTGGCCAGTTATGACTAATCAGCCTTCGCTGCCTCAGGACGCTCTGCTGCTGGTCACGCCTCACAGCTAAGCCCAATCACCGCATCAACGCTTCTTGAGTCACTCAAGAACTTGCCTCGATCATATTCCACAGCCAACTTCCATCCTTCTCTTGGAATCATCCCATCAGACTATACCATCATAGGTCCGACTCCGTGAATCACCCTCACGCAGTATACGTTCATCCATGATCTAGCTCCCCTTATCTACTGTCCTGCGATTCGTCATTCGAGACTTTATCGGAACCTTGGAGCTCACACCCCCCCCTTCTACCAACCTTAACCGATTTCCCTCGAACGAACTCGAACTCGACGCGATCTCGAGCATTTACTCATTCGTTTTCTATTGTCTGTTCGATTTTCCACCCATTTGCATTAGATTTCGTCGCATGGTCCTTGTTTTTTGTTTGGGTAATCCGACAAGACTACTACCTCCGGCTACATCCATCCCGCGCTCAACGATCAACGAGTCTAACAATAGAGTACCATCTACCCGCATTATTGAGCTGCCTACATATATTTCGCTATCCTTACCTCTCGCCTGCGTCGCCTACATATCCTGCACTTGTCTGTTTCTTATCGAATACCCACTCCTATTCGGTTGTATTATCAGACGATTCTCCATGGGCAACACTTGCTCCTCATCAGCTAGTACTTTGCTGTCTCGGTAGCTGTGAAGGACGGAGAGAAGCGGAAAGAGGTTTATAGGTGGCGGCTTGCGGACAACGATAGCAAGAGTGGGCTCATCCGCTCAACTCGTTGATTCATTATGGCGTCTGCACAGCCTGTTCCGGCTCCGGTAAGGCGAAATCGGGATGCTTCTCACGCAGAGGTGCCGATAGGACGCTATATACGACTAGAACAGATTGGTCGAGGTAGCTTTGCAACTGTCTATCAGGGAGTGCATGCCGTATGTCTCTTGAGTCTATTCGACGTGATTTGATGTTGTATTATGTACTGACTATCCCCTGTACAGAAACATCGATCCTACGTTGCTATCAAATCCGTCAACCTCTCGAAACTCAATAAGAAATTAAAGGAGAATCTCTGGACGGAGATTGACATCTTGAAGGGCCTCCATCACCCGCATATTGTCGCCTTGATCGACTGCCAGGAGTCCACATCCCATATCCACCTGGTAATGGAATATTGTGCCCTAGGAGATCTATCTCTTTTCATCAAGAGACGCGACACGCTTCGGGACCACCGGTACACGCGAGACATGATCGCCAAATACCCAAACCCGCGGGTAGGGGCACTGAACGAAGTTGTCGTGCGCCATTTTCTGAAACAACTTTCTAGCGCGCTAAAATTTCTTCGAGACCGGAATCTTATACATCGGGATATCAAACCCCAAAACCTCTTACTTTGCCCGTCACCTTCGTCATATCGCAATGGTGGCGCTCAAGTAGTGCCATTCAAAGGAAGCGATGACTCTTTCACCCCACTAGCCGGCTTGGAAACTCTTCCAATGCTCAAAATAGCTGATTTTGGTTTTGCCAGATCCCTGCCATCGACGTCTTTGGCGGAAACGTTATGTGGCTCTCCTCTTTACATGGCCCCTGAAATTCTACGATATGAGAAATACGATGCCAAGGCTGACTTGTGGTCTGTTGGCACGGTTTTGTATGAGATGGTGGTCGGCAAGCCCCCCTTTATGGCATCTAACCACGTCGAGCTGCTCCGGCGAATAGAACGGCACAAGGACAAGATTCGATTTCCCGACGAACTAGAAATATCTGCCGATATCAAGTCTCTTATTCGAAGCCTACTCAAGATGAATCCTATAGAGCGAATGAATTTCCCTGAATTCTTTGATCACATCGTTATTCAGGAAAGCATCCCAGGTCTTGTGGGAAACGACCTTGTTCCGCCCGCACGCTCTTCTTCCGCCACGGATCAACCGGATGCTACTCCGTTGGACGACAACAGATTTTCTGATGTGACAGACACTACGTCACGGCAAGGGGATGTCAGGGAACCTTCTATAACTCAATCCCCGCTGCCACCAGCCTCTCGACAATCGAGCGGCCCTCGGGCCGACTTGGACTCTTCTCCCCGACCGGAGTCCCTCCAACGAACTGCTAGCGGAGACAAATTGTCACGGACGGGCGATGCACAACGTGCCGCGGGCATAGGTAGACGCCCAGGCCCTATTTCACATGTAACTGCACCAGGCCGACAGGAGCTGGTGGATAAATACCAAGGCACGCTCGAGCGGCAACCAAGTCGCAATTCACATTATCCATCACCCGTAATAAAACAAGAAGAAGATCCAACGATAAAGGACGAGCGCGAACGCGCTGCTCAGGACATCGCCTTCGAACGTGACTATGTGTTGGTGGAGAAGCGAGCAGTGGAAGTCAATGCATTTGCCGATGAGTTGGCTAATAGCCCTCGAATAGCGCAGCCCGGGCCTCGTCCCTCTGGTGGTATAGTGCGACGAGCCACAGTTCAAAATGTTCATTCGTCAAACAATCCCCCAGCCTCTCCTAAAGCTATACAATTCGCTGGACGTGCTCGAGCGGATTCTCACACGCGCCAAAGCTCTTTTGAGCGACGATATGGCCAGAGCCCCTCGTCTGCGACGTCGGCTATTTCGAAGGCACTGAACATGGCCAGTGGGCGGCTTTTTGGAGTGAGCTTCTCGCCGCCCATTGGAAAGGGAGGACGATCTCCCCCGCTGACCTACAATCCATACCCCACGTACCCAGCGGCGCAATACAGTTTATTGATGGCTGGTGACGGTACTAAAACAAACACGGCGATGGACGAAGATGCGAAAACTGTTCAGTACATTGAGGACTGCGCTACCCGCAGTGACGTTGTTTATGGATTTGCCGAGGTCAAGTATAAGCAGCTTATTCCGCTCACTCCATCTGTGCAGACAGACTTGGATAAGGGTGGTGATCAAATCTTCTTGGAGTCTGACGACGGCGAGTTGACACCCGATGCCGTGGTCACATTATCTGAGGAAGCTCTGGTGTTGTACGTGAAGGCGTTGGCTCTCCTTGCGAAGTCAATGGATATTGCAGGAGCTTGGTGGGTGCGCAAAAACCGAGGCGAAGTCTTTGGCGAGACGAGTCACGGCGTATCTACAACTAGTGATGCCGTGGGAACGCGAATCAACAACGTCGTCCAATGGGTACGCAGCCGATTCAACGAGGTGTTAGAAAAGGCAGAATTCGTTCGGTTGAAACTCATCGAAGGCCAGAAGCGGTTACCACCTGATCATCCAAGTCATCCAAGCAACCATTCTTTGGAATCCAATTCTGCAGGCACCTTGGGTACCTCTGCGGATCATGTTGTGGTTAGCTCCGGCGTGACCGCGGAGAAGCTGATGTACGATCGTGCACTTGAGATGAGTCGAGCGGCGGCTATCAATGAGCTTACTGGAGAGGATTTGCCTGGTTGTGAACTTGCATATATGACGGCAATTCGCATGCTCGAGGCGATCTTGGAGAGCGACGAGCTGTCACCGCCTAATAAGAGCGGCGACCGGTCCGGTGATCCAGAGAAGATTGTCCTTGATGGGGTTCAAGTTGAGGATCGAAAAGTCGTTAGCAAGCGTGAGTACTCCAACCAGTATTTTATATATGTATGCTAATGATGTTGGTATAGTCGTCTCTAGTATTCGTTCTCGTCGGGCATCACTTCGTAAGAAGATGACCGTTATGGCTAAGCACTCTTCGACTCCATTAGGCACGTCACCCGGCAAAGTCGCTACGACAAAAGTGCGACCGGCTTCTCCTGCGATTGCCGGAGTAAGTCCACCTCGGTGATTCCTACTGTGTCTACCACACTATATCGCATTCCTGCAGTCCCGGTTGAAACAATATCGAAACGTCGTTGACTTGCATTGTATCCTGCATCTTCCTCATATTCACTTTTCGTTCCTATTTATGTTTTCATGACGCATTTCAGGAGCAGGCATCCTTTGACTACATTCCTACCCTTTCTTTCTCTTGTCTTTCCTACGTAACGAGGAGAGCTATATTTCCGTTCAACCTGCTAATATTTCCAAGCGTCATGACGGGAGCGGTTTTTGAATTTCTTCTTTGGAGTTTAGGCGGTTTCTCTTCTTGTTCAATTTGTTTTCGTCTCATCATATATTCGGGGGTTTATCGTCTTTTTCGACAAGTCAGAAACCAGACTGACTTCAAACATATCATATTAGTTAGTCTTTTCTTTTCTCCCATGGGATGTTACGGGGTGAAGATGACGACAGAGGCGTTTTATTTATTTATTTATTTTTATTTGGTTGGTTTTTAGGTGTTTTGGGATGGGATAAGGATACAACAAGATTGGTATAGGATTGGTTGAACTTTTTGTTGATACCTTTAGGAACGTATCATGAGAACGAAATTATTTGCAATTACTCTAATTGCAATTTGATATCCCTGACTATTACATTTGTTCATGTTTGCACATGAATTGGTATACTATTGAGCTATATGATAATCACTACTCTCCATTAATTTTCTTTTATCAGAAGCTGTTGAATGTCCCAGTCATCTATGGTAGTCCATCCACCTAAAGAAAAGAATAGACCCCTCAAACTTGCTGGATAATCGGTCTGGCAGCTGATGCAGAAAGTCATTCTGCATGAGAAAAAGATGACTTGGGTTGATGCATATGTGCTGCGTGGTATGATTTATATGTATGAAGAGAGGGGAGAAGAAAAAGGGAAAAATGAGAGGAAAATAGGGTGGATTATGTAATCAGAAAGTCGGGAGCCGAGGTTGGTTAGTCTCTGGTATCTGGTAAGAATGCTGGGGACGCCCAGATTGTTACTCATAGCTGCACATACAACGTAAGTTATGATTTACACGATGTTGTTGTTAGTAGGTCAGAATTGCTTGATTTATAACTGAGCGACTCTATTTCTTTCGCGCCATGTGTTCGCTCAGTGGTTGCGAAATGCTGTCTGCGACTCTATCACACGCTAATCTACAATAGGGAGGTGGTAGTTTGACACACTGAGTGCTGCCTCCAGATAATCCACAATAATTGCTTCGAAAAGGACACTTTGATTTTTGCATTCTGTTCACCAGAATATGAGTACAATTCCTCCATCTTTCAATGTTCGGCATAAAGAGTCTTGTTGGCTGTTGTGCCTGATCTAGAATGCAAATAGAGTAGAACAAGCTAACCCGAACAAGCCTAGCAAGATCTGGCAGTCCTTGTCCCATGTAAATTTAAACAGAGATCCTCTACATTAATTTTCAATGTACATAGATCCTGTTAGGAATTGTGGGCTGTATATCCCTCAATCACCGCTAATTGTTTCTTGTACAGTCTTAGTGGGGGAAAACTAAATACGAACCCCTCATTAGGAGAGGATCCGGGTCTTTTCTATGCCTCCTCTCGTCAGCCTGTCGTCTGTCTTGCCACGAGTCTGCTGGTACTCGGCAAAACCCAAAGCTTCTTTTCTGAAGGCAACCTCCGGCTCTGTTCTTCGTTCTTCTCTTTCGACTTCTTCTTCTTTGAAGGATACTCGTTCGCCGTTATCTACCGCTTCGCGTTCACCGACTCCCACCACTATAACTACATTTACACGCTCCGGATTCCCCTCCATTGTCGCTCGATCTGCGACGTGTCTACCTCAAATCTCGAAAAGATATTGCTCTTATCGCAGAATGTGTCGCTCCAGACATGCAGATGAGAGCTTTGGCTCGACAAATACCGTCGGTCGTGAGGTGTTGCCGACCAATGTCAAGCCAGTGCATTATGACCTGACGCTGGAGCCGGACTTCGAAAAGTTTACCTACGAGGGAACTGTGATTATTGAGTAAGTCGACGAGAAACGGACAAGGAAGACAAGAAAATTGCTGACTTGGCAGTCTCAACGTCAATGAAGACACAAACTCCATCTGTCTCAACACCAACGAGCTCGAAATCCATTCCAGCCAAGTTCTCGTCGATGGCAGCGTCATCGCCTCTTCTCCCACCATTTCCTTCGATAAGGATAAACAAGTCACCACCGTCAGCTTCAATGAGACCATCCCCGCCGGATCGAAGGCTCAATTGAAGCAGACATTTACCGGTATCTTGAACGATAACATGGCGGGTTTCTATCGTTCTTCCTACAAGACGGCCAACGGCGGAACAGGGTATATTGCTTCGACACAAATGGAGCCTACAGATGCGCGTAGAGCGTTCCCCTGTTTCGATGAGCCAGCGCTCAAAGCCGAGTTTTCGGTAACTTTGGTTGCTGATAAGCACATGACTTGTCTCAGCAATATGGATGTTGCTTCTGAGTCGGAGGTCGACTCAAAGATTACCGGTGGCAAGAGGAAGGCGGTTAAATTCAACAAATCACCGGTCATGTCTACCTATCTGTTAGCTTTCATTGTCGGTGAATTGAAGTGCATTGAGACAAACAGCTTCCGTGTCCCTGTGCGAGTTTTCGCGACTTTGGACCAGGACATTGAGCATGGACGTTTCTCGTTGGAATTGGCCGCTAAAACTCTTGCGTTCTACGAAAAGGCTTTTGACAACGAATATCCTCTCCCCAAGATGGATATGGTTGCCATTCCGGACTTCAGTGCCGGTGCTATGGAGAACTGGGGGTTGGTCACTTATCGTGTTGTCGACTTGCTTCTCGACGAGAAATCGACTAGTGCCTCTGTCAAGGAACGTGTTGCCGAGGTTGTGCAGCACGAATTGGCTCATCAGTGGTTCGGTAACTTGGTGACTATGGACTTCTGGGATGGTTTGTGGTTGAATGAGGGATTTGCCACTTGGATGTCGTGGTACTCGTGCAATGCTTTCTATCCCGAGTGGAAGGTCTGGCAGACCTACGTTATCGATAACCTTCAAAGTGCTCTCTCGCTTGACTCGCTGCGAAGCAGTCATCCCATTGAAGTGCCGGTGAAGCGCGCCGACGAGATTAACCAGATTTTCGATGCGATCTCGTACTCCAAGGGTTCGTCCGTGCTTCGTATGATCTCCAAGTATTTGGGCGAGGACGTTTTCCTCCAAGGTGTGCGTGACTATATCAGGAAACACGCTTATGGCAACACACAGACCGGCGATCTTTGGGCTGCCTTGGCAAAGGCTAGCGGTAAACCCGTCGAACAGGTCATGGACGTGTGGACCAAGCATGTTGGATTCCCAGTTGTCCAAGTCACTGAGAATGCCGACAAGGGTACACTGAACATCAAGCAAAACCGTTTCCTGCGAACTGGCGATGTCACGTCCGGGGAAGACGAGACGATCTACCCTGTTTTCTTGGCTTTGAGGACAAAGGAAGGCGTTATCGATGATCTTGTGTTGGACAAGCGTGAGTCAGAGTTCAAGGTGCCTGATCTTAATTTCTTCAAGGTCAATGCTGATCATTCGGGTATTTACCGAACATCATACACTCCCGAGCGTTTGGAGAAGCTGGGACAGGCAGCCAAGGCAGGATTGTTAACTGTTGAGGATCGCGCTGGTATGGTCGCCGATTCTGGTGCATTGGCATCTGCCGGATACCAAAAGACCTCGGGCTTGCTGTCTCTTCTCAAGGGCTTCAACACCGAGTCTGAGTTCATTGTCTGGAATGAGATGCTCACTCGGATTGGAAGCTTGCGTGCAGCGTGGTTGTTTGAGGACAAGAAAACTCGCGACGCACTTAAAGCGTTCCAGCGCGCTATCACCAGCGAAAAGGCGCACCAACTCGGATGGAAGTTTTCAGTCTCCGATGACCACGTCCTACAACAATTCAAAGCTCTCATGTTTGGAAGCGCCGGATCAGCCGGCGATCCAACCATTGTCGCCGCTGCTCAAGACATGTTCAAGCGTTACGTCGAGGGTGACCACAGTGCAATCCACCCCAACATTCGCGGTAGCGTGTACAACATCGTCCTGAAGAACGGCGGCGAGAAGGAATACAACGCTATTCTGGAGATCTTCCGCACTGCGGCTACATCCGACGAGAAGAACACCGCTCTCCGCAGTCTCGGCGCCGCCGAGGATATCAACCTCGTGCGCAGAACCCTTGATCTCGCTACAAACGGCGAAGTCAGGAACCAGGATGTGTACATGCCTCTTTCCGCACTTCGGAACCACGTTACTGGTGTCGAGGAGCGATGGAAGTGGTTGACGGAGAACTGGGACACGATCCTGACCCGGTTCCCGCCTTCATTGGGCATGCTGGGTAATATTATCCAGATATCGTCTGTTGCATTCAACACGGAGGAGCAGTTCAAGGAGGTTGAGGCTTTCTTTGCTCCTAAGGATACCAAGGTAAGTACATTTATTTATCTCTGTTGGTGTTAAGAAATATACTAATTTGAGGAATAGGGCTTCGACCGAGCTGTTAGTCAGAGTCTGGATGCTATCCGGGCCAAAGCCCATTGGCTGAAACGGGATCGTGAAGATGTTGAGCAGTGGCTCAAGACGAATGGCTATTTTGATGTTGGCCAGAAGCTATAATTTGTCTAAGCATGATCAAAAAGTAGCTATAGAATAGCTTGCTAGCATTTATATGAATGCAAGATACGATGTAAAATATTCATCGCGGTCTAATTGGCAAATAGCATTGATAGATCTGATTGGTCGGTTGCCTACTCACGTAGCTGCTTTCCTAAAAGGGAACTATTTCAAGTGCGATTACTCTCCCTACCTTTCTAGGACTCATACTATCAATGATTGCAATTCAGTCAATTGAATCAAGTGGTGAGCAATGCAGGAATACCCAATTGCTCGCATGCTCGTCCTAAGACGAGGCATCGTATAATGACGCACTAAATCAACCTTGGAATGAATGCGTGATGACTGTATACCCAAGTGAGGTGGTGCCCAAACGATGTTAGATATATTCCTAGTCTGCCTCGTCTCGGTGAGCATTCTCTCCATTCTTTTCGTTCTAGGTCAGTCGTCTGTCTGTTACAACATTGGAACAAGGCTGTACTAACCCACAGTCTCTGACTTCGTCTTTGGAATGATGGTGGGAAGTCACTGGGTCGGCGGGACGTCAACAGAAACAGCAAAGTGGATAATTCTTCCACCCACCAAATCCAGAAAGCAATTCGTGCTGGTCTACTCCGCCTCAATTCGTTGCTCGATGAGAATCTGGGATTTGGCTTGTGCTGTCACTGCTGTGAACGCCTCGTCACGCGCTATGACTAGTTTGGCGATAAGACTGTTTTGGTTCGGGACTCTATCCTTGGAGGAGCAATCAGCCTGACTGGAACTGTGAACTTCGCCCCCGGCATTATGTTAGACGCAATGGATACTACGCTATCCCATCAAGGTGATATTTTGTTCTATGAGTCACAACCAGTTAAAACCGACAAATTCGATCGAAAATCAACTGCTCGTTTTCTGGCCTCTTCTGGATACGAATCTCAACGTCTAAACATACGCTGGTTTACACGTTTTCGAAAAACCCTGAACCCGGGCAGTTCGTTTTCCCAACAGTCTTCCCTGTCTGTTTTTCGCGGATCGGTTTGTCTGTGTGCATTTGGCAGTGGCTGTGTCGCGATTACTCTCCTACACATTTATCAAAGATGGCTTGACTGAATTCCGGTCATGGCTACTTCAATTCATCCGCTGGGGTACACCCGGGTGAGGGCTGAGTTGATGAGCCTTCATGAGGCATTTTCCCCAGGTTATTAGGTCATGAAATAGCTCGCTCGTTGCCCCAACATAATACACTCAGTGGAAATCTCGAACCAGCGGCCAACCACAACATGGCCGTGCCTTTCTTGCAAGCCCGTTTGCCTCATTTCTCGGCCACTACGACTTTCTACTTGCTCCCAATTCAAACAAAGTTCGTAACTTACGTGTACAGTCGTACATCCGTGTACATATTGCTATTGAACACTATTCCATAACGAGGTCCGCTCAACAACCCTGCCTCGGAGTCCCACCAAAATCACAAATCACAATTATGAAGCAACTGGCGGTTACCCAAATCGTTTCCGACTCAGCCAGCGATGTAATTAGTGAGAACGACCCTTTCCATCGTCTCTCAACCCGGCCGCCGTCCCCCTCGACTTCAGCATTCGCCAATGAAGCGCTAGGAACGGACCTGATGATTCCCGCCAATCTCCCCAGTCGAGGATACCATACATATTAGACGAAAAAGCAGACTCAGAGAGCGGTCCCGGCGGTGTCGGTCGCAAAACCGGGAGATAGACAGGACAATACCAGGGTATCGTTGATGGTCATTTAGTGGGTCGAACCGTTCCGGATTCGTGAGTCCCTCCTACTAGGGCATTGGAGTGAGGCAAAAGAGAGCAGCTCCGATTTTGCTCACGCTTTGCCCGGGACATGTTGTGTTGGCCATATCACCATCGTATTTGACTCAATACTTGACATTACTCCTTTGAGACCTGTGTCATATATGACTCGAACTCATTGGACATAGCGCTTATAAAGCCTATCATTTTCTCCTTCATCCCCGGTTTCCTCTTCCATCTTCCTTAATGCATTCTTCATATATATATATATATATATATAATCATTTAGCCTGACGCTCCTTACCGGACCTTGGAACAAACCACAACAACTACGTCTTCGTCTTTAACGCCTCATCATCGGCATAGACCGAAAGACTCCAAGTATAGTGTGCTATTAGCAAGTACATCACCTCATGTGGATTCAAAATGAATCCTCGATGATGAAACTCAGTTGAAGTGCTGATTTGCCCTGATAGTAGGCAAAGTGCATGGTTTGACGTACGTGGTGAGCCCGACTACGCTTATCTCACGTCGGACCTGACATTCCGGATCTCATTAACCATCCTGTCACTCCGTCACTACACTACAAGAAGAGTACTCAGCTTTATACACTATCCCATTGAGTTGGTAACGGTATATACTCGTCATGGACGCAGACTGGGACTTATTTGACCGCCCTATGGCCGGGTATGACCCCTACCCCTACCGTTATTCTGAAGCAGAGAACCTGTACACTCTGTCTACACTGAGCTACCCTACGAGAGAAGCCAGTGGTATGGACCACATGTTTCCCTCCTCGAGTGATAATCAGATATCGAACAACGGCAGATATATCCTTCACTCGCCGCAGGGCACTATTTACGAGGAGGAGGCTACACCAATGGTGATATCTCCCCGTGTGGAAGAAGGTATTATACATCGCCGTAACCCTTGTGATTTACTGACCTATACTAATCTTGGAAAAGATATCATCAACATGCAGAGACAAGAGTCGTATATATGGAACCCGGACACCGATTATATGTTGGGTAATCCTTCGTACCCCCGAGTGCCAGATCATCGTTTCAATGCGGGATACTCATCTCCATGGAATCCCTTACAAACCGAGAGCGGCCACGAAAACACGTATCTAGCTGTACCTGGAAATCGTGGAAGGAATCGAACAGCGAGATCACCAGTCTCTACAGCAAACACACCATATACACCATCATCTTTGGGCAGCCGTAGTGAAGCGGATCGGGGGCATGCGCGGGCGGGACGCCGCAGGGGGGGACGAGAACAGGGCATGAGGCTTGCAGAATCCACTGTACAAAATGTTCGCGAGGTACGTGGGGTAGGAGCATGTGTGAGGTGTACAGTACTACGAGAAAGGGTGAGATCATCTCCCGTTGACCCTTATGTCAGTTTTAGTATCTGATGGAAGCAGTGCTCGGGCGGTTCACCCTGCGACACATGTGCTAAAACAACAAGAGGACGCAAATGGGCTGGCTGTATACGCTCTTTCAAGGAGTTGACTAATCTACTCAATCCTGGTGAGTTATTTTGTATAGTGTCGACGACTCTTTTCTTCGGTGGTCTAATACAAGGCTGTTCCCATAGACATACTTTCAAGCCGATTGCGGGCTGAAGTTCTTACAAGATGGATAACCGCGAATACTCTAATGCCCCGAGGGCGAAATGAGTTTGAACTGCCATTAAGCTTTGGATTCGGGAAACCCTTTATTGGCTTTCGCGGCATCGAATATGACCCTAGAACAAGTGAAGCATTATGGACTTATACAATTGGCCAAGGTGACACACATTCCGAGTCTGCCCTATATAGCAACAGCCTATTTGTGTACCCCGTCAACAGTTCCTCTCGCGAGGTTCAAAAAGAGGTGTGCAAATGGTTGAAGCAAATACTATGGAACAGCGAAGATATGGAAGATTGGCTCAAAAAATGTTTTCCGGGAAGCAGGGTCGCATGGGCACGCGAGCTGCTTCAAGTGGTTTGGTCGTACTCCATGAAATCCCTGAATGTGGGAAGTCTCCAGGAAATTGACAATTGCTTGTTAGAGGCATGGATGGCATGCTTGATCGTGACCATCCTCTCGTTAAAGATTGCGATCCCGAAACCCTTCCTTGACACTATTGTTCCCAACTTAGAGTCTGGGAGTCACTATCGTGTTCCATACCCGGATACTTCTCGTGCATTGAATAAATGTGTCAAGAGCTTGTTGTTTGACATATATTTGAAATTTGTGAAAAGGATCACATCGGCCCTGGACCAGTTTAGTCAAATCAGACCTGATCAGATCACTGATCCTCATTTATGTCATATGAACTGTATTTCAATTTTGATTATGGTTCTGACATGTCAGATCCAGACGTCGTTGATGGACAACGCCCGGGTATCCCTTGAAATCAAAAAAGAGCTGGAAGTTTGGGATGAGACTGAGACTCCTGAACATTTGAAAAGGGTAGAAGGAGTGTTCAAGAACACACTTCTGTTTGTCCGTCACAAAAGGAGAGAATGGTTCAAGGAGAGACCTGTTGAGGAGCATGCTAGTTCACAAATGTCGTATCTTTGTGATGCCTTCCGAGATGTTGGGGAGAGGCATGGTGACGGTATGTTCATACTCTTTCTGTCTACCATTTGTATGCTGACATTGCTTGATATTGGTAGCAATCAAACAACACGTCAACATCAAGTTGGAAGCGCTTAGGGATCGACGTGCAGATTTCCATAAACAAAATATCATGCGAGTGTTTGCTTTTTTCTTTCGTGAGGGATGCAAGGCTTAAGCGACAGCTCATCAATATTTCACCATATACAGACCGAGGACTCGCAGCACCTGTCCAACAATAATTGATGATTTCGAATCACGGAAAGACATGTGCTTTTTTTTAAAGCTAGAGCGTATTCAATATAACCGATCATAACTGATATATTTGATTATTCTATGAATCAGATGAAATGTCCGTCAACTAAATAGTCCCGTATGCTCGATAGAAAAATCAACATAGCAACAGGGTGGAAGTAGACGCAGTCCTGCTAAAAACTGTTATGGGTTTGATATGCCACCGAACGAACTAATAAAAAATAAAAACGTCTATAGCATGGACTGCTGTAGACGTGGTTATGGTGGGTTTGTCTTGTCTCTCTCGTGAGGGGACCAATTTACGTAGGAAAGCAATCGATAATGTCGTTCCATTTGAACACGAGCGAGATGTAGTGAGTATTCGCATCATTAACGAATATTCAAAACACCTGCCTCGATAATCGTGTTCGCTGGAAGTCGTATGAGTGTTAAGCAAGAAAGAGAAAACAGAAACAAAAACCAAATGAGAAATTCTCTTCTTTCCCGCACTTCTCCACTACACGGTCACGTGACACAACTTGCTTTTTATTTTTTCGTGTACAAATAATTCTCTTCCCTTCTTCTTTCTTTTCTCTCATCACACATTTACCTACGTACGCATAATCAACCTCCAATTCTTGTTTCTTTTTCATAGGAATAATTCTATAAGATGGCAGGTCATATTGGCGAACCAGAGTGAATTGAGAAGATTGCTTGTCTTTTTGAAAGGCGAGTGGTCTTTCTCTTAGGGGCAACTGTTTCTGTCGTCCGATGCCGTGTAGAAATGATATGTACTTTTGTACGTATTATTTTCTTCATTTGAGAGATCGTTGGATGAGTCCTCTAATTGCTCCGACATTCTTTCCCCTTGTTTTGTGTCATGAGATTGAGATTTTGGAATTGAATCTATTTATCGGATAATATCAAGCCGAATCTTTTCAGAGTACGTGGATCGCAGGCAAAGTGACTACGCGTAACGACCTATATCATGTAGTGACGGCTGATTGGCGAGTACAAAAGTTAATGCGTGCCAATTATAGTCCAATGGGTAAACCACAATTAACAGCTTCAATACTAAAGTATTCCTGAACCCTGGCCGTGCCGCGTTGAGGAACCATTGGTCTGGAACGATCACTAGATAGCCAGGGAACTTGATCTTACGTTGAGGCTCGACAGCGACCAAGAGTTGTGCCTCCCCCCGCATACATTAGCGTTCTCCGGCAGATTGTGATTCAGCCTGGAATCCGATCTGCTTCCAAAGAATCGGTAGTGTAGTTGATCGCCCGACGCCGATGAAAGCCCAGGAGACAATATGAAACTGCGATTATCATCCACCACCAAAAGATGCCATGAGTATCCGGTATTGGAATCTGAGGCGCTTGTTGTTTGATGTGGAATACGACTCATGTTGATCGCTCATTCGACCTTCAGGGTTAGTTGCGCGTCAGGGCCACGGACTGCTACTGTCGACCCTGACTTTCGGATGACCTCGTAGCTAGCCACTCAAGTCATTGAGCCAGGAAGAATTGTTGAACGCTTCAGCGTCCGGTCTGATGACAGATCGTATCGCGTATAACCGTTCCTAAAAGTTAGATTCACTCAACAATCATCAAGATTCTCTTAACCCCTCGTACATGCGCTGGTATTTGAGGGTGTCAAGGCGGAGTAGCCAGATCGCGAGAATTGAGCGTCGGCAAGCTTGTCGTAGAGCATGCTGGGCATGGTCGGGCATCAGTTGCAAGATGCTGGCTAATCCCTCAACGGGATGCTGCTGACTGGGGAAGGGCGTGTCCGCGTCGAGTCAGTTTCTGTTCATGTCTTTTATTCTATCGGAACGAGGAGTTGTTTTGGCTAGGCATGCCAAGACTTGATGACTGCGCAGCACGTGAGTCTCCAGCTGCTTTCTTAATAAAATAACGACCATATGTAACGTAGCATAAAAAACGTTTGAGGAGTAGCAGTGGTATGAGGACCTATTCTTGTTCGATCTTTGATTTTGTGCATCCTGGATAGCTCGGGAGAAATATCCTTCGAGAATGTTGTGAGGAGTAAGGGATTTGTGGCGTTTGAGAACTCGTGGAGAGTTTCTAGTCTGGTTAAAATTGGTTAGAAGAAATCAATAGACCAATACGACGCCCAAAATAACGAAATGTAGCCCCATCTGTCAGTCGATAGTCGCTCAGAATCAAAACCTGAGCTAGACCGTTGTAGTGTGGAGTTGCCCAGCCGCGTCTCTCCTTAGACGAACTAACTATCATTCTTCCATCAGCGTCGTATCTCGTCTTGGGAGTGTCCTTGCGCGCAATTGACGACATGACCTATCTTTGATTGTGTTCTATGATGAATTACTGTCGTTGTTCAATCGTTTAATTGTCTCCTTTGCTCTTTTGTCCGAAATTATCACCCTCGTTTGCTGCTGCAGTGCACATTTCCCTCCCGCATTCGGCTTCGTCAATCTCGAGATCACGAACCGTGGCCGCAGCTCTTTATTCACGATTGCTATTTTTCTTTTTTTTTTTCTTTTTTAAAATCGATGAGCTGTATATCATTTTACCATGGCTTCGATAATAAACAAGCGTCAGCAGGCGCGCAACGAGAGAGCGTTGCATGAGCTCATTCGCACAGTTCCCGGGAATGATCGATGTGCGGATTGTCAGGCTGGAAATCCAGGTAAGTTTTGCTCGAGAGAAATCGCATCTCCACTTACTAATAGTTATGTGTGTCGATAGGATGGGCAAGTTGGAACGTAAGTCTCGACGCCTTTGTCAACAATACGCACTGTCGTCCGTATCGGATATTCTAACGTCAATGCTACAGTTGGGCGTGTTCCTCTGCATGCGATGCGGTTCGCTTCACCGGAAGATGGGAACACATATATCCAAGGTCAAATCGTTGAGTATGGACAGTTGGACGTCAGAACAGGTGGAGGTAAGATAATTTCTACCAACATCATGGCCAGGCATGCGCTTATTCCTGAATTATAAATACAGAACATGAAGAAAAGGGGAAACGCTATCGTCAACAAGGAGTATAACCCGCGCAATATCAAACCCGATATCCCCGTCGACGTCGACGAAGCAGATTCCGCAATGGAGAGATTCATCCGACAGAAATACGAGCATCGCATCTTAGAAGACGGCAAACCGAAACCCCCGAGTAGAGATGACTCCGGATATCATACCCAAAAGTCCCTAGACGAAAGTCCACCCCCACCTCCAATTCCCCCGAAAAGTGGCAGAAAGTTTGGATTCAACCTACGATCTGTTTCTTCGACGAGCCGTTTACCTCGTTCTCCTGATAAATCATCCATATCGTCACCTAGATCCGCTACGCTAGGTGGTCCCTTATCCCCGTCGCTATCGCTCAATAAGCAGTCCCGAGTATTCGGTACGAACGTTGGAGAAGCTGATGGTTCTTTTGAAGCGAAGCTGGATCAGCTTAGAAGCATGGGATTCCCAAACGATAAGCGGAACTCTTCCGTCCTTAAAGGTGTTGGAGGAGATATGACACGCGCGGTGGAATCTTTGATTCGACTTGGAGAAGGATCAGGTCCACCGCCTGCTGCTCCCCCAAAGCCCTCGACCGCGATGAGTCAACCAAGTCCTTCCCCTCCCAAGACGGAGGCTGACGATCCTTGGAGCATTTCACCAAACGTGAACAGTTCGGCTGGTGCACGGGCGACAGCAGCACCCGCCAAATCGTACAATCCATTTGATGTACCTACCACGCAAGCCTCTGGTACCACTGGTCTCGAAGGCGCATTCCAGAATTTACAGGTTGCACAACCCATGTCTCCACACACAACTGGGGGATATGTTAGCTATCAGATGAGCAACAACATGGCGCTCACACCACTGCAGACATCGCAGTCGTATACAAGCTCCCCGCAGCCGTTGAGCTACAATCCATTCTTCCAGACCGCCTCGCTGACGTCTCAAAATGTCGCGAATCCATATTATACTAGCCACACGGCACAGTCGACACCGATTCAGCCATCCCGCAGCTTCTCGCCGGGTAATCCATTTGCAAACTCGCTGTCAGCTCAGTCTACAGGCACCCAGCAGCATCTATCCGCTGTTTCGCAGTCACAGAGGTTTGCGATGCCTCGGCATGCTAATACTATGCCTGTCTTCTCTTCTTCCTCCGTCTCCATCCCTTCGCAGTCTACGGCTTCTTATGTGTTTTTCTCTCAATCACAACAGCCCAGTCCTCATCAAGTGTCGAACACCAATCCGTTCGACATTAACTCTAACACCCATAACCCATATCAAAATTACCCGACCAATCACCAACAACCTCAGTATCAGCAGTTTCAACATCAGAATCCTTATGCGCAATTCCAACAGAACGTCCCACAGCAACCTACCAGAGCGGACAAGAATAGCATCTTGGCACTATACAACCTTGCGCCCGCAGCTGCTCCTCCAATGTCCACCATTCCGGAGCAGTCTCAGGTTCCGCAAACGCAACAGACAGTGGCCCAGCAGCAGAATATCATGCAGGCATCAAATAGCACATCTACAAGTCATACCGCGCAGGGCATGTTCCCCACAATGCTTCAAAGCAGTGCGACAGGATCAGGTCACAGCGTGCAGAACAGCAATCCGTTCATGCACTCGACTCCTCAGCAGCAACAACAACCGCAGTTGCAACCGCAACAGCCGCAACAGCAGCAGGCAAACCCCTTTGCAATAATGTCTCAGTCAACGCCAGCAGCTCCAGCGTCATCAAAAGGCCTGGGAATCGGTCTGGGTTCAAATACACACAATCCATATCAACAAATGGCCCCCCAACAGCCTCAGCAACCACAATTAAACAACTTTATGCCTCGAGCGCCAATACATATGAGCAAAGCGAGCGTCGACATCAACAATCTGCAGAGTGGTCGACATAGTCCTGACGCATTTGCAAGTTTGAGTGCAAGATTTGCTTAGTCCACTCTTTTTGTCTCCTACTTTCTTTTTTACTTCGAATATATATATTCCGTCTTTGCTTATTGATACATTCCAAAAGAAAGGGCATATTCATCTCTATGACATACTATAATACATATGCACGATCTATTTTCCAGGGTACTGCCGACATTATGAATTGTAACATAAGGCAATTCGAGAGGAAGTCGAACCTTTGACTATGTATTTACTACCTGTACATTCTTTTATTCCACTTTTTGTCTTTCACTTTCTGTTTCTGCGCCTGCGCGTGTATTACCTTTGGGACTCCTTGATTTTTTGCATACGAGGCGTTGGTTGCGATTATGACTGATCTTGTACTATTTTTGTCTGCTATCTTTTGTCTCGTCTAAACAATGAACAACGAACATTCGGAACGAGCGCAATCATTGTCTTCGAGCTCGTATGATCATAGAGTATCCTAGCAATGCTGCAAACATCATCTATCCTCCAAGTCAATAATCAAAACATGGCAATATAACCACAATCAACCAGGAAAAATCATCACATACCGAAGAAGCCAAAAAACAATATCCATCAGACGCATGCTCTGATCTCCGCCCAATTTCCATGAGACGAGCAGTCACAGGCCCACCCACGAATTCAGCAATGGTATCACAAACCGCTAATGTAGTGAATAATCGGACAGTCTTGTCCGAGTCGACAAGATAGGTTATTAAACCTTGTAAAGCTGGCTCAAGGCCTTCGCCGAGCCCGCAACCTGCCATTGCTGTTTTCATTTAATGGTTAGTTGTAAGGTATAAGTATAAAGAACAGAGGAAGAGGAAGAGATGGATACCAATGACAAGAAATACGGCTGAGGGGGCTTTCCAAGCTGCGAAGAAGGAGAGTGTAAGTATGCTTAATGCTGATCGGATCATGGTCAGATCGATTACGTGCGCTGAAAATCTTCCGCAGCTGATCTTCGACGTCCTACTGCTATCTCCAATCATAGTGTCTGCGGTCGTAGTCTTGGAGAAGATTGACATAATCAAAGGACATAGTATAAGCGTCGCGAGAATTGCTCCTGATGCTTGACCTACTCGTAGCCAGGTTGTTTGATGCAATGGCCAGAGGAACTTCTCGGATGCATATTGAAACATGAAGCCTTCGCTAGCAAAGGCGATGCGTTTTAGGATGTAGGTGATGAAGCAGAAGCGGGATGCTGGATGTCTGAGAAGCAGAACAGCGGTCTTCAGGATTGTTGATAGTTGTTGGTCATTGTTGCTGCTTATCGGCGAAGATGGTGATGAGGCTGATGATGATGAAGAGCCAAGTAATGGGGTGTAGACGTTTGATGAATCGCTCACAGAATCTGCATCTGTGGAATCCATTTCTCCCGTTCTGTCAACCATGAATGTTTCCTTCTTGCTCTGGTTTGGCCAGGCGACCAGCATGAGTAAACATATGCAGTCAGTCGTAATGGCTACCCAGAAAGGAACGTATATGCTATAGCCCATCAGGAATGTCGCTACCCGAGGACTGATCAGTCTATTGATATGAGGTCCTGCAGCAAGTAGATATAGAAACTTGGTTCTGATGAAAACTATTAGCTCATGTTTCTATGTAGCGGTATGCAATACAAACCGTTGCGAATGACCTAAGCTATCCGAGATGATGGAAAATATCACCGAATTGAAAACTCGTACGCCTCCGCCGATGAATAGGAATATCGATGATATCCAGACCATCTGCGGCGCAAAAATGATGTTGTATTTACCTATAATTCTTAGCTTTTGAATAACTCGATCTGCCCAGGAAGGATGCGACTCACAGACAAAAACGATCCATACCAAACCCATAAGACTTCCAGTTAAGGACAAGAACAGGACGAGTCGTTGACCATACCGATCAGCCACCGATCCATACCATAATGCTGTCAAGAGGCCTAGAAATACAAGTGAGCTTTACTGGTTTATATATGTGATGGGTCTCAATATTACTCACCTGGTACCGCATCAAAAGAGGTCTTCCACCCAGCGATTTCAGCAAGCTCATTCTGAATAGGGGGTATTTTACAAGAAGATTCATCAATATCTTTGAACAGAGTCGAGTGAACTCCGGTATTCGTCGTTCGAAAATATCGATCGCATATCGCGATTTCGAATAGTCGTACTGTGGGCACTTCAAGGAGTTGAATGGCGAAGGTGACGAGGAGGTACAGAACGAATGTTGAAGCGATGATTGCTTTCATTTTCATGTATAACTATACTGAAATTTTAAGTTTTCGGAGCCATAAATTCTTGTACTCGGGTAGTTGAGTTAACATCGGAGATTTATATATGCATAGGCTGCTACTGTGCAAGTTGAAGAAGTCAGCCTCGTCTCAGGCTAGTTGATTATTTCCCCCCCGCGTGCCTCCCGACCAGCTGTGTACATATGTAATTATCGTATTCAAGAGTAATATTTTACGCCTTGTATTACGGTTATAGATTATATTAGGCTGAGATTCTATTTCAACTATGATCTGTTTATTGACGCTGACTTTTCTTACAGATGGTTGGGCTACTTTACATACTTAACAAGTTGTCAGCGCCTAGAGAATATTTATAGTTATACTGATACGTATCGCATCCCTGTCTACCTCCCGACTTCCAAGAACTTTGCATAGGAGATTGACGACTTCTAGACCTTGGAAAGGATGGAGCACGCTGCTCAATACCGAAAATACAAAGAGATTGTCTTCATTGAAAACCTCGAGGACTATAAATCAGGCGGTTTCCATCCAATCCATATCGGCGACCATTTCAAAGAAAATAGATACCAGATCCTGAACAAGCTCGGTCATGGACGCTGCTCAACTGTCTGGCTTGCAGAAGATGTGTTGAACAAGATTTGTGTTGCAATCTCCATTTCGCAGGCTCAAATCTCCCAGGAATCATCAGAAAACGATACGTCCCATGAGAACACTCAGAAAACAATCAGGATACTCCAGCATTTGGCAGACGGCACAAAGTTAGAAGAAAAAGGCAGATCCAATGTGCTACTTCCGCTGGATATATTCAATCTGAGTGGTCCTAATGGAACGCACTCTTGCATTGTTACACACTTGCAAGGTCAGAGTCTGGCTATGGTCACAAAGCGAGATCTTGGAAGACTGAGTGAGGTTCTACCATTACCAAAAGCGAAAAGGGCTATTTCGAGCTTGTTAAAAGGATTTGCTTACATTCATAGTAGGGGAGTCTGTCATGGAGGTCCGTCTCATCTTCTCCGGAAGGTTCGCATCTAACTAGTAATAGATCTACATCCTGGCAATCTTCTTCTTGATCTGCCTGATCCAGTATCTCAGTCTCTGGGAAGGATCAATTCAATATGTGGACCACCAAGAATCGTCCCGATCGAACGACTTGACGGCAAGGACCTAGAGCCCAACGTCCCCAAATACGGCGTCGAAGCAGCCCTTGGCAGATTCTCCGACCTCTCATTATACTCCGGAGACATGAAAGTCGCGGATTTTGGATGTGGCTATTTTACAAATGATCCCCCCACGGAAATCGACTTCTTTGGTCCGTATATCGTGCCGGAGCAGTACTGCACAGGCCTGATTGGGACTGCTAGTGATGTTTGGACGGTGGGCTGTGCTATTTGGTTGCTTCTTTCGGGACGTGATATATTTGGAACAGTGAATGATCCCCCTGAAAAGGTATTTTCGATTATGACAGATACCCTTGGCGGGCCTCCAGAGTTTATATTGCGAGCATGGAGGGATAGATTGCCGGATGACGACTTACATATTTCTATCCATCCTTCAACGTCATTGGTACAGAGAGTCCAACAACTTCGGACTGGTAATGAAGAGCTATGGATGAAGGCCCGATTAAATGAATTCTCAGAAGAAGATGTCGCTCTTGTAACTGAATTGCTGACTTTGATATTCAAATATGATCCTGCTGACCGACCAACATTGGAGTCTATTCTACGACATCCAGCTATGAAATTTTTTGGCGATGTTATTTGATTACGCTCTCATCACCCGCTTCTCAATATTCTGCCTTTCTATCTCGTGGTGATCTTTCCCCCGCATCCTGTGAGGATTGCATCATTCTTCACCATACCCACAGGTTGTCGTTGATTTAAGCTTGATCTAATCTTGGGTTTGCGGGTCCCAGATCTTAGATAAGGCTCATGAATATATTTGAACTTCGTGTTAACATGACTACTTAAGTCACTCTGCAATTCAATACTTCGTCAATATGGTAGACGAAGGTTCAATTTGTTGTCACGTCTCAATCACACGGACGGTATGATAATGATGTAGAGTTTTTGTCCCCTCTTTTCCATATCACTCTTAAACGAGCTGAGAACTGAGAGTATCTAGTTATGCATTAACACGAGGTAACTACCCAAGCTGTGGCTCATTAGTTCCACTTCAGCTCGTTGCATAGTTAAGGATTATCCCCAAAGCCCCTTCCCCGGGTTGGTGTGAGTTGACGCGAGCATCTCTTACGTTTCAAGAATGGAATATTGCCCCGTGTATAGTTATTATTTTAGAGTATTATTTGCTTTGAAATTGTTGTTTGGAGAATTGACTTATTACCTAAACAGGAAATTCTTTCATGGTTGGAAAAAATGGCAGTATGATAGAAATCTAGTATATCAAGCGCTAATGATACGGATTCAAAAGCAAATACGCATGGCCAACCAAAGTATAAGTGCTGGAAGGATCGAATTAGCAATATATGAAGTAAACAGATCCATGGGTGCAAACGACCCTGTCCCCGTCACCCGTGGATACCTCGCTTCGCCTTACTCAGTATCTCCGCTCCATATCGCAACGCCTTCGACATATCCCAATGATAGAAGGCAATGGACAGCAACATTACTGGCACAGTAACGACGAACCAAACCCAAATTCCCAGATAAGGTCCAGTCGCGAATTGTTCAAAGTTCATGCCAAAGAACGACGCCGTGAACGACAGTGGAACATAGAAAAAAGCCAGCATAGTCAACTTGCCGACGCGCTTGGCCTGCTCGATTGCTCTCTTGGACTCGGCAATGTTGGCGTTGTTCATGATTACCGTCATGCTGCGCTCACATCGTTGTGCTAGATTATGTGCCTTGGCTTGTAGGAACTTGAAGTCTCGAAGGAGAACATCGGCCGCCTCTCTGGCCTTTTTTTCTAATTCTGTGTTCTCTGGTGTGTGTGGCCATTGGGCACTACCTCGGCATTTGATCTTCTCAATAGTCTCTGCTAGTCGGCGCGAATGAGCTTGTAAGATTTCAAGCGTGTAGAGCAAGTTTGATAACGAGACGGTTTCTGTAGCCAGAAGGGCCTCGTAGTTCGTTTCGGAAGCGAGCTTATTCTCCACGAGATTGAGAAACTGCAATTCCGATGCTGCGGAGTACTCAAAAAGCTCATGCAGTGCGTAGAAGGGATCTAATTTCATCGTCGCCCAATCCAACGATTTTCCATAGTCCCGTCTGAGAAGCGATGCTACCTGTGGTGCTTCTCCACTCTTCCCTTGCTCTTCATGAGGAAATATGTATTTCTTGGACTTTAGTGCGAGTTTCGCTCGGTGACGTATTGTTGGTAGAAAGTTGGTTTTGCATCTTGTTCCAGGGGGATCGACATGGTCATCTTCATCGAGCCAGGGCCCTCTGATGCTCTCCAGAAGGTCGTTACCAGAGTCAAAGAGCACCAACGCTGTGTCCCCTGTTAGTCTCCCAGTCGTTATGTCATTCAATTTATCAAAATTACTTACCAACCCATTGCTTGCTGGTGAAGTTTAATGAAACTGAAATATCCTGCTCAATAACAAAGTGCTCATCATCGAGCACATAATACCTCCTTACAATTGAATCACCAGGTTTGACGTTTTCCTCCCGATTAAGTTTCAGGTGGTGCCGGTACCGTTCCATTTCAGTAGTCCCGTGTTCTCGCAAACGATCAATATGTTCCTGAGCATTTCCTTTTGAATACCTGCGGCCAATGGTAATAAAACGCAGAAATATGATATTCTGCTCTGTAGAGGGTAAGGATGGAACTGTATAATAAGGTTGTCGAGATAGGAATGAGAGATGGCGCTCATAGTGCTGCGGGTCAACCTGGATCAAGGATCCGATGGTGGTCAGCCATTCAGGTGTTGGGTAGCCAGCCAAGAATAGTACGTGGGATTTGTTCTGATTGTTGTTGCTGTTATTAGTAGTGCTGCATCTCCGTGATGTTGCACTGTTAGTACGCGGAAATGCTGGAGTTGACTGCAGATGTTGGGATAATTGTGAAGCGGTATCAAGGTGCTCGACTTTTCTATACACATTTGCGCCGTTGGCCGTTCGATGTTCTGATGAATGCTGTAGGGTATATAGCGTCACCGGTGAGGGTGAGGCTAGGGTGTTCACACTTGGCGATCTGCTTGCACTGATATTTCCTCTGCTATTGATATGGGAGCTGAGGCATGTTGGAGTAGCTCGTGATATCAAGCCTCGTTCTAAGAACAGGTCTAAATCTTCAAAATTCTGGCCGGGATAAGCAGACTGCCGAGTCGTTTGCTTTGCATGAAAAGATATCGCTTCTCGGTATTCTTGAGGTGTTACTGTAGCAAAATTTCAGTCTCTCTTTGTATTTCTAGATCTGATACGCATCGTATGAACATACATTCAGGAATTATGCCCGACTGGCTGGTAATTGTCTGTCCTGACACTGACGGTGCCACCGCTGGTGGCCTGAAATTGTTGTTAAAATCTTCTGAGGGTGGGCTAGACATAATGCTATTGCTCCTATCCACTCTATGCATCTCCATCGTTTCACTGCATCAAAGACCCGTCTGCATGGACTTGACGATTTATAGAAAATATGCACCTGCAAACCTAGTTAACTAACCGGGGTAAAGTGGCACTACTGTGCCCTGCGCAGCCATCTATTTCCTTCACATTCGTATATGCCAAAACAGAGCGACCAATAAGTTCAGTTCTTCAGCATGATGTGACATGCATGAACGCGTCAAGGTTTGCTTGGCGCTTTCTCGTAACCGGTGAGGCTCAGACTTTCCAATTTCCAGGATGCTGAGCACTTTACCCGGGGGAGTTAGGGCTAAATTTGCAGCAGTGTGTATGTAACGCTAGGTAATTGTATTACTGATACCATACAGTTCTACTCCGTATACAGACGGTGACCGCTAACGACAAGCCTAGTCATGATCTGTGTAACACTTGACTCGGAAAACTTGACCTCCGAGGTGCTTTGGGCTCGCACTAATGCATTGATACGTTGGTGATTTCTAGGCCATTTTCAGAAAGGTTGCCCTAGAACGTCAGTCCAGTTTAGGAGCTGGGTTGCTTTGAATGAGGAGACGTTCCAAGTGAGTGTGTCTCTCCCAAGATTGACGTCTGCTCCGAGTCCTTGGGAGCTAGATACCGGTCCAGAGCGTGTTTTCCCTCTATAAATTTTTATTTTTTAGCTGAGACGGCAAATACATGTGTCTATAACCTACCTCATATGATTCGCAGCACTCATTCCTAGGAACCACGCATAACTATACTTCAGCCGCAGAACTACAAGCAAATGTCGCGGCGTCGCAAATTCAGCCACGTGTTAAGGTAGTCGTGGGAATTTTTGTGAACTTTTGTGGTCAAGATGTCCTCCACAGGCCCATCGACTAGCCCTGGGAGCAAGTTACGCGAAATATATCGCGGATTGATTGTTCGGACAATGTGTGCTGTGCCCTACCCACCTTAGCTGATCATCTTTCGTTCTGTTTGAACTAATTTATAGCATGGGGTAGTTTTATTACAGTCCCCGGGATCGGAACTCCTCCTTTGGAAAAATGGAGTAACGGTGATGGCGGTATATGGCTCACATCGATTCCGCCAACATCAGCACCTGATATAGCTGTGTACAGTTTCGAGCATGGAGTCAGGCCGGACGAAGATTTCTCATGGCAATCATTGTTCGACCAAGGCGCGGAATTATTGGATGTACTGATCAAGCTAGGAGATGTCGCTGAGGTATGCTTTGTCTGAGTTTATACTTGGTAAACAAAGGATAGGAAATAACCCTAATGGCCGTTTCTGCATTAGCAGACGTCGAATTGTCCCATAATCCTGATATCACATAGCTTGGGAGGCATCATTGTGAAAGAGGTATTCTTGTGAGCTCGTGATTGACTGTTGTGTTTTTAATCTGACGAGAAAAAGGCAATGAATCTTCTTCACCAACAAGCAACAGATTTCCGTCCGCTATGGCGCTCTATAGCCGGTGCAATATTCCTAGGCACACCTCACACGCAGTCCAATGACCCCATAAACTGGCAAAACGCTGGTGCAATTCTACGCTTACACTCGAAATCTAAGAACGCCCGAATACCACCTACAGCAGAGATCGCAAAAAGGTTGGCGAAGATATCGCTGTCGTTTGAGCAAGCTTTTGATCTTATCCCGGTGCTTTCTGCGTACGAAACAAAGCAGACAAGGATAGGGGGATTCTTGTCCAGCAAGGCTGTGGTAAGTAATGACTTTTGTCAACGCGCTAAGTAATGCCTAGGGGTTCTTAACGTTGATGAGAATAGCTTGTCGGGCCGGAATTCGCAAAAACCAATGTTCGATATGAGACTCCAGTGCCAATTGATGCAGATCATGATAAAATCAGCTGTTTGAAGATTGGAAGCACAGAATTGAACTCTATTTGCAAGTTCCTGGATGAGACCATCCGTCAGGCTCTTGTGCGTATTCGGCGACCTTCTGATGATTGTACGTTCAAGTCTCTTGGTTTACACAAGGTAGCCCTTGCTTACCGATAATAGATGTCATACCTGCGGCGCTAGATCAAAAAACTGTTGCGGATGATGAACCGAACGAGCTTGAAGGTTTGTGTCTCCGCCCTTTCGCCCCTTATTTGGATGGTATTAAGCCGTTTCGTACGCATCAGAGATCAGCAAAGATGCCACTCACGGCTCGACATCCCTGGGATTTGATATCATCCCGCTGGTTTCAGACTTCTCAGTTGAGAGAAATGACCCACTATTACCTTGCTATATTATGCCTCCCCATCCGCGTAATCGAGCATTTTTTGGACGAACCGAGGTTCTTCGCGAGATTCGTGAAAGACTTTTACCAAAAAAAAGTGATAAAGATGGCATCGAAGTTGACGACGACGGTTACGAAATTGAACCAACACCGGCCATGTTCGCTCTTTGCGGGCCAGGAGGAATCGGGAAGACGCAAGTAGCTACAGAGTTTGCACACACGTCTAAGGATTGCTACGACGCAATTTTTTGGTTGCAAGCAGATGAGTACTCAAAGCTGTCGCAGGGATACACCGACATTGCCATAAAACTTGGTCTTGTTCTCGAAGATTCAGTAGACGCACGAGACCCCGTCGTCGTGCAAGAACTAGTCAAGGGTTGGCTTGTGAATCCACTCAAGACCTACAAACAGCAGGAAGACCACCAATTTGCAGGTGAATCGGCTCTCGCAAGATGGCTTCTTGTCTTTGACAATGTCGACGACCCAAACATTCTGGATGATTTTTGGCCGCTGGATTATACAGGTACCGGAGCTGTATTGATAACAAGCAGAGATCCTCTGGCCAAAAGGTATATCTATTCTGAAGATGAACCAGGAATCATTCTCCCTCCTTTCACGGTAAAGGAAGCTACCGATTTCCTGCTGAAGCTCACTCACCGAGAATCAGAGAGCAAGAATGAAACAGATGCTGGTACGGCGGTTGCAGAGCGATTAGGGGGCTTACCTCTTGCTCTTACGCAAATGGCAGGTGTTATAGAGCGTCGAGACTTGTCGTTTGCGGAATTCTTGCGAATCTTCAACGAAGAAGAAGATGTGAGGTCAAAATTCTTCAAAATGCAAATCGGAAATGGAAGCATGCGAAGCAGCCGATACCAGCATACTCTGGACACCGTCTGGGCACTGGAAAAATTGAACAAGAGTAGCTCCATCTTATTAGACGTCTTATCTGTGCTCGACCCGGACGGCATCCCAGAGCAGATTCTTACAGGCTCGATGACTGAGCTGGACGAGGCGAACATTACAGATGAATATCCACGAACCATAGAAGGATATCAGGATGCTCGCACTGAACTCCTGCGGTCATCGCTGATTGCGCGTGACCGGGGCGCAAACCGAATTACAATTCATCGACTCGTACAAGACGGGGCTCGTGCTAAGATGTCTGATACAAGATTCGAACAGGTATTTGCGTTGACCTCGAAGCTTTTGTATGCAGCATGGCCTTTTGAAGATTTTAGTTTTGGACACAGAATCAACCGATGGAGTAAGTGTGCGGAGCTATTCCCCCATGTTGTCCAGCTACATGGTTTTTCTGTTAGATGGAAGAACATGATAGCAGATAGAAGGCGTGTGACAGAAACGGACGTTGAATTTCCCAAACTCTTGGTCGATCTTGGGAGGTGGGTGACGCCTCAAACAAATGACCTGATACTGTTCCTCGGGCAGCAAGTAGGCTGACATTGATACTAGGTTTAACCACCAACGAGGAAACTCCAGTGAATCCACAAGATATCTCGAAACAGCCATGGATATATACAAGATTCTACAAAACCGCAGTGAGACTGGTCCTCTGAACGAGGATATCAACAATACGATCAAAAGGATGGTTGCCGAAATCCACCACGACCTAGGCTGCATTGCTACCGAGACGAATCAGCCTAACACTGCTCTAAATCATTTCATAGCCTTTAACAAAGCTATGATTGAATTTGCCGATGGGGAACCTCAGACTAAAGACATGAGCTTAGGAGTCTCGTGGAATGAGTTAGGTAATGCTTATATGATGAATGGGGAATGGAACAGCGCCGCAGATTGTTTCCTACGCTCAATGGAGACATTGAAGCAACTGGAGAATTTCAGAAAAGTAGATCTATCGTTTCCCCAGATAAATCTAGGATTTTCGTACTGGCTGCAAGGCAGGTTGAACGAGGCGGACGAGATACTGTCTGATATTTTGGCGGCGAGAGAAGAGGCATATGGTATCAATGATAGGGAATCTTTCATGTCCGTATTTCTCCTCTACCTCCTAAAAAATTCCAATGACTAACAGCATTTTGACCACCTCAGGACCGGCAAACTCCTCCATGCCTACGGCAATGTAAAGGCATCTCAAGGTAAACTCACTGAAAGTTTTGAGTATCATATTCGTGGGTTACAGCAGTATAAGTCGACTATTGGAGGCAATCACCATCGAACAGCTGACCTTTGCGTCAAAGTATCTGATCATTATGGCCGTTTGGGGCAGTATGATACCGCAATGTATGTCTTCATCCTTTGTCACTCTTGCAAAAAATGCTGATTGTAATGAAACATAGGTCACTCCTAGATCAAGCTCTGAAAATATACGGAGAACGTGAATACTACGGCCCTGAGAAGGCTCGTGCTCTATGTAAGAAAGGAAAACTGTTGGCTGTGGTGGATAAACTCGAAGAAAGTAGAGCATATATGTCACAGGCACAAGTTTTATATCGAAAGCTGAAGAGCAAGGAGGATACACACGACGCTACGGATGCAGATTTCGATGACCTTATTGTTTTCTGGTCAAAATAAGTAGAGACATGTCAGTATGGATCTCGAGACCTTTTGGAATATATGAATTTTGATTTTTCGATGCGATAAATTCAGGACTAAGGATGCTTTCACACAAATTCGAAATCAAGGGAATAGCTTGCTTCCCGCAAGAACGCTTGTAGGCCTTCCAGCTTTAATGAGACAATCACGAGCTATATCCATAAGCTGAAGATCACGGTCTTTTTCTTCGTTAGCAAGATGCACAATTCGCGGACGTTAGGATTTCCTACTTGGAGCGCCGAGTAGTGAGATTGCAGCTGGCAAATGTTCAACATTGCCAGTGACCTTTGAATGAAAAGGAACCTCGCCAACTTGAGACAGCATTAGTATTACTCATGCAAGCACAAGAAAGAATGAATCATACTCGGGACGGTGAACTCCGGTGCTTGCAATATCGGAGACAAGAATAGCATCGGGACCCCAACTGGATTGAAATATCGGCTGAAATTGTCACCATTGATTAGCTGGTTATATCCGAGGTCCTTATTGATTGAAGACTCGTGACTTACCCCAGAGGCTCGTCACGGTACCGAGGAGAGAGATTCTCGATCGGAATGAGGATGATGGTGTTCTGTGTCTCTGGGCAAAGAATCTTTTCAGTAAACCACTGCCGGTAGATAGCCAGGCGATTCAGAGCAGTTTCATGCGCTTCGTCCGTGATGTGCGATGAAAGTTCCCTTCCATAACTCATGTTAGATTCTCCGCTCCTCATGATGCAGAAAGGTGGGCTGACCATTGCCATTTCACGGGTGGGCTAACATATGGCCTTTTCCCAAACTTGTCATGGTAATCCTTCCGAAACTGATCAAAATGGTGATAATCACTGTAAAAGAAGGAATCTCGGCCAGCCTAGAATAATTCTTAGATATTGACCTCTTGTAAAATTGCCAAAAATGGAGAAAGGGGATGCACGTCTTTCATATACTCTAACAAGCTGGCGCCTTTTGCGTCCGCCGGCGGATTAGCGTCCCATACTTCATCGAAAGACATTTCAACATGTTTCACCCCGAGGGATTTCTCAAGATCAATGACGAAATCGTCGATCAGCTGCTTTTGATGTTCGTTGGTGATGAGAGATATATAGTTTGTAGGATAGATGATTTGTGGTGGTAGCTAGTATGTTATTAGTGCGAAGCTTCGACAGAAACTTTGTGTAGATATGAACTGACAAACGAAGTGGCATTGGGCAGTAAATCACTGTACCAATGTGTAGCAAACTCCTTGCATGTATCAACACTTCTCCCGAAGAAGGTCGGGACATCAAATGATCTATACCATGAGCAAATTGGTCAATGAAGTTGATCCGAGGCGGAATGGGTACAAACCTGAAACTGGGAATGTATCCATTAGTAGGAATAACTCCATGGGTAGGACGATGTGCAAAACATCCATTCCAATGGCCTGGTCGTCGACCACTTCCACTAGCTGCAAACAACCTCCAGTCAGTTTTCGTATCATCTCGGGCCCCCCAAAAAACAAAAAACAAAGCAAAACCATACTGTCAGATCCAATAGCCACATCAACCCAGTCATATGAAGCGACAGCCACGCCACTACCGCTACTACTTCCTGCTGGTGATTGATAACCATCAGCTCGTGGATTCCATGGCGCTTGATAATCGATGCATTCAATAGGCTCCTCTGTGGCAGCAAAGGCAGCTAGCTTGGTAGTTCCGAGGATATGTGCACCTTTCTGCCGAAGTATTTCAATACATGCTGCTGTCTTGAGCGCTGGTGGATACAGATCATGATATGCGCGGTTGCAAACAGATGTTTTGATGCCTTCGACTTGAAAGATGTCTTTGACGGCTATTCTCCACCCAGCAAGAGGTTTTCCTTCCCCGGCATTAGGGGTATATCGGAAGACCTTGAGGCGTGATGGTACGGCAATACTCGTAGTTTCAAGACCTTCCCCAGCAATTTCCAGCTTCGATAGTTTACTATGAAGCTATCTTAGTATTGACAATGTTTTCAAGCCTGAGAATGCCAGAAAACTTACCTATCTTCTTCCGCCGGTACAAGACCAGTGAGAAATGCGCCCTGAGTGTCATCATATAGCTTCCAGATATGAAAGAGTTGGCCCTGGCAAACGTAGTAAGGTCCCGGCTCTGGCTTCTCACTCGATTTTGGAGATACTATCATCTCAATCATCCTTGTGCCATATTCGGATTGAAGGACCTCTCCTGCAGCAGTGGACAGAGAGAATGCAGTCGACGATGTGAAAATCACGCCACTTAGGAAGTCGGTACAAAACACGTCGTCATCCTGACTGAATTTGGCAATGCTTTCTCTCAACCAGTCTGTCTCGATGGAGTCGCGACCATCATCAACTGGAAAAACAGTGACAAAATTAGGAACATCTGAACCAGAAGAGGGGAGTCCCTAGGTTATACATGTGAGATAAATGTATCATAGATAAAAGAAGCGCCACTGACCCGTTCTGATTGTATGGCAATAAAGCGACTGTCTCCGAGGTTGAATGCTTGATGGATCATAGTACGATCCTTGTAAATTACCGTCGTATTCGCAGCCTTCGTAGGTTTGATGATCGTCATTGCTCTCCCGTTATCTGTAAATCTGTCTTAATTGACGAGAGAAAATTTGGTTTCCGTTGAGATAGTTCAGGGTACTGAATATTGGCGAGTATGAGTCATGAGAAGTGGTGGAATTGTTTTTCTTTATAGATGCTGCGGAACCTTTCAAGGTTGGAGGATGTTGAGATCACCTCCGCTACACCGCTAGAATTTATTTGATTTTTACTGTTCGGACTGAGCTGCATACAATGAGGCAGTGTCGAATATGAGGGTTGTAATTACAAGGACGAGGACATTCTGAAGCGGCGGTGGAAAGTCACGATAGTTTATTATTCTTTGTAGACTTTCCAATGCTTACCGATCTTTGTACCAACTGTTTCCAGGTCAAACCAGTTGTGCCACCCCCGGTCAAGCAAGGCACCAGCTAAAATACCAGTGATGATACATGTTTTTACTGTGTTCATCCTCTCCACGCTGTTCAACAGGGCATAATTTTGCAGTATTGGGATATCACTGGAGGCAGTAATTGAGATTCCCAAGGCTGTTATTTGCATGAAATGTACCGGTTACTAGCCTCAAAATCTGCCACAGTACTACAGAATATTCAAGATTCGCAATATCCCTCGCCAGAAAATTCCCTCCTTGCATCTAGGGCTTCGTGTGTACCTCTCGGCAATGTAGAATGACTTAAGAGTCGACGAAAGAACCATTTGCACCCCGCCCCAGCATATCTCTCAGTTCAAATGGGAGCTTATCATTGAGTTATTCCCAAGTGGCCCAGATATGCATCTCGTAGAGTCGTAGGCATGTGTAACATGGATTACAGAGCGGGGTAGGATTAAATACATATGAGGGGGTTCTGAATTTCCATACAGGCATTTCATACGAGTATTTTCACTCATACGACTTCCAAGTTTGATACAACTGTCACTGTGAAGAACTTGAACCAGGAATCAGTATGGATGATCCCCGCAGCAAACTGTTATTCATTATAATTCCACAGCCTATCAACCATTATTTGACCCCCTTCACAGCATCAGTAAGACTGGGATCCTTTCCCTCTCAATTTCCATAGATTGCTACAGTTTCACCCTTAGCGAATCCGTAGGCCTTCTGGTCCGGGATATTCTTTTGAGGTGGCCAGTGGGTTTTCCATGGCTGGGATCGCTTTTCCTTCGTTGATGTGGTAGTGACAGCAGTCAAGGGGGCTAGTGAGCAAACATTAGGTGGAACCGAAAGAAATAAATCTTCAGAACAACCAACTGTTGAGGTCCTGAGGGACTCACTGTTGTTATACTCTTGAGCAGGCATTTCGTAGTCAAATAATTCCTATCTAGCAAGTCAATATAATCATTTTACAATCGTAGTTGGAAAGTCATACCGGGTTTCAACATGTATGATTGATATTCAGTATCAGAAAACAGGTAGACCGCATAGAGGCAAAGGCTGGGGACTGTTAAGTCGTTACGGCGAGAAAGAGTGCCATCTTATACTCGTTATTTGGGTCTGAACAGGCAGGATTTCAGACTAGGCTGATTGTCCGCCGCATGTGACAGAATAACCAAGGCTGAAAGCGGTTTCATCTTCTGGAGCCATTAGTTCTTTCCCGATTATACTAGCTGCCGCAATATGGCTCTGGCGTGGCGGGTTCAAATGTTGTTATAGTGTGCATTGAATAATTAGACTACTTATGATGTGAACTTCAAATCAGGCTCGGTGCAATCTCTGTACCATGACAGAAGTGCCATCCCTGTTGCTCAAATGATTGGCTTGTTACACAGACAGTAATGAATAGGTCGTATTTCATCTACTATCCACTGGTGTGTCCTCTAGCACACTTTAGTTGCAAAACACGTATTTACGGAATTAAGAATGCATATATTTTGATTCGTCAATACACCAGTTACAGCCAAAAAATTTCTGTATTTATAGATTAATACTCAAAATAAGTGGGACTCCTGAGATAATAACCCTAGAACTGTATTATATAGCCAATAGGATTTTGGCGTAGATGCAATTACATATTTTTCACCAAAGTGTGCTAGGCGACACACCAGCGGATAATCAATATCCAAAATGTAGCTTCAGGAATTTGTCCATATAACACCCAAGTTTCCTTATTTGCGACATAATCAGCAGGGAAAGAAACATACACAATGCCGTCCAAAGAGAATGGAGCCTCCCATGTTTCCACTTCCATGTACTTCCTAGCGTCCAACGAATTATTCAAATCTGAGAAGCCATATGCTTTCCGATTTACTCTCGCGGAACATGGTCTACCATCAAGCATTCCTCAGACGAACATGAAAATGGAGCGCAGAGATGATATCATCATTGACGATATCAGAGGAAACGAGAAGATGTACACGCTCGAAAAGAACGGGTTTGAGGTCATCACGCATACCAGTCAAATTGCATACGAAGATTACTATGAACCGGAAAAAGTGAAATCATATTTACAAGAACTGGAAGAGGTGCTCAAAGATCGTTTAAAAGCGAGCCACGTCCAAGTATTTCGTTATGGCGTGAGCACTCGACTCCCAGAATATCAGAAATTGGGTAGTGCATCTACTGATTCCTCATAGCTTCGCAAAAGGCATTCCGAGTTTCCCGTTTCTACGGGCGAGGCATATGAATATGATCAACCAACCTCAGTGGCACATGTTGGTATGCAATTGCGTTTCTCACAATTGACCTAATAACCGACCAGATCACATAGACACTACGCCGGAAGAGTTGTCGAAAGAAATAACCCGACAATATGGGGAAGAGGCTAATTCATGGTTGACCAAACGTTGTCAGTGGATAAAGTGAGTATGAATCCCATTCCTTATAATAGTCATTGACTACAACTCAGGGGTGATCACAGCATCTGGAAGCCACTCAAGGGCCCCTTGACCGACTGGCCACTGGCAGTCTGTAATGCAGCCGTGGTAGACAAAGTCAATGATCTCGAAGCAGCAGATTTACTATACCCAGATCTTGCCACTGAGAATTATCAAGTGTACTATAACCCGAATCATGAATGGCACTACCTTAGCGGTCAAGAGGTATCGGAACTTATGGTCTTCAAACAAGCTGATCATATGATGCAATCCTCGCTTCCGGGTATGCACATTAGCTTACAATTCAATTAGGCATTCGAACTGACATCACTCAAGGTGTTCCTCATTGCTCCTTTCCAAATCCCTTTACTCCTAAGGGTGAAGCACCGCGGGAAAGTATTGAGGCGAGGGCACTTGTTTTCTATGATGACTGAGAATTAACCCCTGTATTTACCAAATTATAGTTGATTCATTCGTTGCAGCAGAGAATCTCTGGAGGTATCTGTATGTCAGTTTTGCAGCCTAATCCACTCTCCATTTATGGTCATCAACACCACTTCGAGAACCCCAGACAGTCTATAGAACTTTAGCCTATGCGCACTTTTTCAGAGCAGAGACTTACCTTGTGCAATGTGCACCACGCATAGCCAACAATAAAAGCATGAATGTACATGTATCCTATTGTACCCGGCATATGTTTTAGGTGACTCCATTCCATAAAGAATGGCGCATGTTCAAAAATGGTAAATGAACTTGAAATCACAAAATGTTGAGCACATAGCTGCCCCATGCTGCTCTCAAAAATGCTATTATTAGCACTCGACTATCTACCTTTCAAAATAGGAGATGCAATACTTACCTGGTCATTCCAAGCTGCGTAGTATTTGTAATGTTCCACCATTCAAGGCCGGATACCACGATGAGAAAGCCTAGTTCCCATAGGACCAGAAAGTCCGTGGTATAGTTACATACCCAGTTCAACACACTCCTAACATACAAATAATAGTTCCGGGTTCTGAGTGCAGCTACCAGATCTCTCAGGTAATGTCTTGCCGTATCCCTTGACCACCGCGTTACCTGATTCAAGTACGTAATATCGTCGTTGACAGTAGTAATAATAACCGCATCTGGCTGATTCATAAAAGCTGTATTCCATCCTCTATTGACAATCCACGAAGTAATAAAGCTGTCGTCTCCCGTTCGTAGCAGATATTTACCTTTCCAATAATCATTCACGAATTCATGTTTGAATGCTTCATCTTGTAAAATCTCGGTCCTGTAAGCAACAGTCCTTCCGGATAAATTTAGGACTTGGCCACTATGGAAATAGGCTACTGCCGAATGTAAGATATTCCTTCGAATGAGATTCAATGCGCCGTAGCTCTCCCAGACGGTCAATCCTTTGCTATTGCGGTGACCCAGCCGTGATCGGACGTATTGCATGGTATTCACTCCTCCAACGCAGGGATCTTGAAAAGCTAAAGCGAGCCTGTTTAGTGTTTCTGTAGACCATCGAGAATCGTCATCGACCAACACGACAAACTTTGTAAATGTCTCTGAGATCCCTTTGAGAAGTTGAAGGCGAATATCAGCACGCTCGACTGCGTGTAATCTGACTCGGTCATCTTTTATAATCCCTTCTAGAAGGTCTTTCATTCGGGGCAGTGCTTTCTCTAACGTGACTATATTGATGGCTCTGGGATTGCATTTAAGCCATGACTGTAAGGTTACTGCGTAACCTTCCTCTTCGCCCAATGTTGCTGATATGACCGTGATATCCCTTTCCGGAATGCATGTGCTTTGCACTTGTTTCTGAAGAGCAGACAATCTAAGGTTGAAATATCCAATGTATTGAATGATATCGAGGAATAAATGGGCATATCGTGAATATCTGCTCGGGTAACTTTAGCTCTAATTACATTTCTGAAGTTCTCTACTTAGACTTGTTAGGATTCCACTTACATTACCACTTGGTACAAATAGATAATAATGCTATCCATCCTGAGGATTATCATAACCTGAACAAAGATCACAAGCGGTTCGTTTCCATTATGACTAGTCGCCCAGAGATTTCTCTAGTTGACAATATCATATATGCAACCTTTATATCATATAGACGAATCATAGACTAGATTCAATACCTGTATTGAATACCGGATGGAAAACCGTAAGTTGTCACTGCATACGACAATACGTATTATTATCATCCCTCCTAGTGTGATCCTGCGCATGTTTCTGCATTCATAGCGAATCCTGTTGGGCATTAGTTTCTGGGCATTGCGTGTACACGCCTCAAATAAAAACTTGGCATTACTTTCAACATGTAGAATCTTGAAGAAAACTACACACTGTTGCCTATGATACGATCTTAGTGGATCTATGGATAAATTCCTCCAACCTTAGAGAACAGCGGCTCAAAAGATGACGCAACTAGAGCCACAGAAGCGTGAATCAACAACGATACTCGGGTGGAAAATGTTGAATAAACCCTAGTCTTTACGAAGAGGCTAAAATTGATTTTTATTGGGTAGGTATGCTCCAGACCTCTGACTTAGGGCACCAGCGGGAAACGTGGCATGTAGGCAAGGGCCATGTAGATGTTGAGATATACATAGCCAGACAGTATGTATTGAGTATTGGTCTACATAAGCCAATAACCTTGCATCTCATACTTCATCTGTTAGATTTCAAAGATAGCTGATCAACTGACTGGTTCGTAGATAATTTCCCACAGTATCTGGGTGAGATTACAGTATGAAATGCATGTGATGATTACCCCAAACCCTAACCAGTTAGACCACATTAAACATGGTCTTCCCAGTCAATATCTTGGTTGGTCGACCAACCTGCTCCCAAAAATTGTTCACGAGATGAACCAGATCGAGATCGGACCCTGTAATTGCGGCATATTTCAGTTTGTTTCAATATTCAGTGTAGGTAGAACATCATACCAGGTGTACCCATGATGGAGCCGGACACCGGGAGATATTCGATATTTCCACTGATTCGTGACAAGTATGGAAGCTGGCCGACTAGAAAGATGGATTAGCCTATTCAGCTTTATCCCTAAAATCAGCAGAAGCGACAGACATACTAGGTACAACTATCTCTGGAGAGCTGAGAATAGGAGATAAAAGAAGAGGATCCCATAGATGTTGCCCCGCTTTCACGTCGGCAGTAAACTTGGTATCAGCAGTCTATTTTTCCAGAATTATAGCAAACTATTCGGAAAAGGGGATTAACTTATCTGGGCCACTCATCTCTATAATTAGGCTTAACTTCTCGTAAGGGCATGATGGCGATTACCCGTTCATTTTCCGGTAGAAATATCTTCTCACGTAGCCAGTTCCTGTATACCTGTAAGCGATTCATGGCGTCTGTATGTTGCTCGGGTGTGACATCTTTTGCTGGTTCCCTAGGAAAAACACAGCCGGTCATTAGCCGAGACCGACTGAGTCATTTGATTAGAATTTTACCATAAATCTATGCCATGGGGAGGTGGCATAAATGGCTCCTTCCCAAATCTGATCTTGTAGTCATTATAAAAACCTTCTATTTTCTTCCAAAAGTAGAAAATGTAGGATTGAGTCGCTACCTGTATGGGTCGTCAGTGAGAATCTTGATTAGAACACATAAAAAGCATACATCTTTGTGAAGCCATTCTTCGAGTGTGTTTCCGGCAGCTTCGATTGGTGGTTTCTGATTCCACAGATCTTTGATAGACAGCCTCTGAACAGTGGTGCGAAGGAAAGATTCCATATCTTGCGCAAATCTGTCAAACACGTCCATTTGCGCTCGGTTTTGAGGGGTGGAATCTGTGAGATAGATAAGAGAGTAATTTTGCTGTATGCAAACAGTTTAGTTAGTTCAGCACTTTTATTGACAAGTTCCCATTTTGTCGAAGGAGAGATCAGGATCGAAACTCACAGTTCCCCTTGTTTCTTTCAATTTATCACCGTACCAAGCGGATACAATTCGCCCCAAATCTGCAACGGCTCTGCTAAAAATACACGGAGTGTCAAATTGCCTCAATAACTGTTAGAACTAGAACCTGAGGGGAAAAAAAAGAAGAAATAGAACATAACAAGTTAGGGGTATCCGCTCACGGTGCCCCGGACCACATTCCTTCAGTCGATATCATCCCACAAGTAGGGCGCATCGAAAAGCACCCATTAACCTGAGCTGGCATTCGTCCGCTGATGGTAGCTACAAGTCCGTCAGTAAAATCAATTTAATTCTTCATATTCCAGAAGCATATACAATCAGTCCCAATTGCACAATCCAACCATTCGTAGGCTGCCACAGAAGATGGCTGGCCACTACTCCCTCCCGATGGAGACTGATATCCATCTCCTCTGGGGTTGAAAGGTGCCTGAAAATCAACACATTGTGTGGGTTCCGCGGTCCCAACCATGGAACACAATTGTGAAACCCCTAAAAGTACTGCTCCTTTATCGATTAGTCTCTGGATGGCCGGTGCGGTGCGAGTAGCGGGTGGGTAAAGCTCCCGGTATGCCCTACTTCCAAGCGAGGCCTGAAGCTTTCAATATCGAACATATCTTTGACTGTGATGCGCATACCGGCTATTGGTGCACTTTTTAGTGTGTCACTGGTAGTAACCAGACGAGATGGAACAGCAATGCTTCTCGAGTAGTGTCGACTACATTGAACAGAGAGCTGAACTAGTCTTTCATTCCGGGTGGGCAAAATTTGAGGTTTGAAAGACACCAGGAATGCATTTGTATGGTCTTCATAAAGGCGATATACATCCCAGAGCTTTCCCTGGCGGAGGAGGTATGGGCCTGGTGGAATGTTTCGTCTGTAATCGCTAGCGATAGGCGTTTGTATGAAGCTGGTCCAAGACGTATTCCAAGCTGCCGGGAGGATGTGAGCTCCTAATTCCTCTCCCACGAGCGAAGCCTTCTCGGCAGTCCGTCCGTAAAATATGATGCCCTTCAAAAAGTGAGAATTAAAAACATCATCTCTATCTAAGGCGAATTGAACATAAGCCTGGACAAAATCTCGGGGGCATGAGACATAAGTTTCTAGGAGTACGACCATGACCAGTCCACTCTTTCCTGATAGCTCAGGTATAAAATCCTAGATTTATTCAGCTTACACTTCCATAATCAAATCTGGAGCTTTTGGATGGAAAGGCCATACTCACATTAGCACTTGGATAAGCTGCATACTGACAGTCATCAAGACTGAATACGCAAGACTCAACGAGATCCAAACCCTCGACTTCCATATTGTGTAGATATAATTACACTATTCAATCTAACACGAAGCGTAATTCTGCATGCACATGAAAGTATGATGCCATTGCACCTTGTATATGAGAGTCTGATATTATTTATTTCCTGACCCTTGAACAGGTAAAAAGGCTCGCTCCGTATTAACCTATAATTGCATAACAGGTAATGTAATAAGGACCATACCTAATTAAGTAATTTACCAGCATTCAAAACAACTAGTAATGCTAGTGTATTACCAGTGAGAAACCTGTTGAATACATGACGACAATGGTGAGGACTGGTGTGACCTGGACGCGGACGTCAACAGCGATTCATCTCATGTAGATTGATGTTTTGCGCGTTATATGATCCTTAGTTTTTAAGAGTATGAGATTGATTTCTCACAGCAGGGACAAATGTGAAGATACCGGTTGTCGGCTTGAAGCATTTATTCATATTAGATAGAAATAACTATATATGTACCCTGAATCAAAAGGCAATAAGGATCCATACCTGCGCCATCAGTAAGAAAACACGTTACTTACTCCCATAAACCGCGCTCATAACTAGGATTAACAGTATAGCCCCTCTTTCGACCTTTATTATTCCAAGGCCACCATGATGACCAAGACGAAGATGAAGATGAAAACCATGATCGTGGATCGAATCGGCTCCTCTTTGCCGGCAGATAATTTTGTACGAAACTGGGTATATATTGAGGTCGTCGGTGAGTGGTAAGAGGGTTTTTAAACCACGGTGGAAGCAGTGATGCCCTCTGGGTTGAGAGTGAGAATGGTGATGATGTTGTAGATGTGAACGGCCATGGAAGAGAGGAGAACCAGGAGCGGTGGGTGGTGGTGGTAGTAGCGGCGTTGCGTATCGGTCGCCAAAAGAAATTGAACGGATTATAACTGCTCTTTGCATGCGTTTGCTTCTCAAATCGCGAGATTATACGGTCCAATTGCTTCTCACGACGGTCCGATTGTCGTTTGTGTTGGAGTTTGCGCCATTCTTGCTGCTCATTTGGGTCTAAACACCAAACGACTACATCGCCTTTCCGCCGCCAATCATCATGCCATGCTGTATTCCATGTCCGCCAGCATTCACCATACGAGCTACTGCGAAGTGCCGTACGGATTGTTGGCTCTAGTTGCGCGAAGAAAACAAGGTAATCCGGCCACTGGTGATACAGAGGCTCCTTAAGTGGATAGGCTTTTTGATGAGAGTAATAAGCTGACGGTGGTGATCGCGCTGGCAAGGTTGACATGTATGATGGTCGACGAGGGACGTGCCAAAGACCGCCTATCATGTGATGTTGCAAAAACTCGGTAGGATTGGCATAGAATTGGTCCGCTTCATCCACGTAGACCTTCTTTTGTGTTTCGTTGAGCCCGACAGGAGGCTCGCATGAAAGCGCCCATGCCTCTATAGAGGGAAAGACCAAGTGCGACCTCCAAGGAGTACTGTGACAGGGCATTAGGAAGCCAACTGTCATGTTCTTTGGCGGAACGTGTACGGGTTTATCTGATCCGCCAAATAATGGATGTGGAGCGAGCGGGTAACCGTAATCTTCCTGATGGGCATCGTGTCGTGCCCGTAAGAATGAGAGAACATCTATCGGGCCGGGTGCGTGGACTAGAGTGGTATAATATGCGATGAAGATATTGGCAAGGACGAGAAATAGCAACGTCAACCTGCGCGGCAAGTGAGCGTTGTTTGAGGATGAGATAGCAGGGAGGAAAAAGGACACAAGCGGCTCGGCCGTCAGAATATGCAAAGCAGGGAGCAATGGATAGATAAACCTGACTTCCTTGTGTGAAATGATTGAGAGCACGGCCGGCATAACAAGAGACACTGTTGCTAACTGAAACTTGATCGATCTTCGGTGACTAGCCCCTGCTGCGTCACCTGGACGCAAGGACTTGTACAGCCCGATGAGACTAAAAGGGAGAGCCGTAGTCAAAAGTAATGGATATCCCTGTGAGAGATAATAGTGCCAGTCATTGTGGCCATAGAAGATAGCAATAGACTGGGCAACGTTGACATAGAGAAATTGGAAGATGGGAAATGTCCAGACGCCGTAAAAGAGACGATCGATCAGGACCGAAAGGCCGAGGACAGCGGATCTATGAACGCAACAAATTAGTAGTTTGAGCTGCATCTAGTCTTTTCCGGAAAGACTTACCCGCAGAAAAAAGACTCTCTAACAAGTATTATAACAGCCGATCGTGGACATTGGTAAGCGGCAAAGGTGGCCAGACAGGCCCATATGATAATGTTCGTAGGGCGCAAAACGCACGCTAGCGCTGCAAGTAAAAGACATTTTCGGAGGCTGGATAGCGCTACCGTTAGAAACATGATGGTAAATATGTCTCCATCAAGCCCAGGCCATCTATACCTTGACTGTCGACTCGCGCTTTCAAGAGTCTCATCCAAACCTTCGACTTCATCCTCCTCTTCTACCGCCTGATTGTCAAGAAACCATTCCCACGGCCAGAAATATAAGGCGACTACCGTCAATGTAGTTTCTGCGGAATTCGAGAATGTCCTTGTTGAACAGAACCATTGCCAGGGGCTCAGGGAAGTCAATGCTAGCTATGAACGGAACCTGCATGTTAGCACTGCCTCTCATGCCCAGATAGGGTACGAGTTCATACTGTAGCCCATGCTCCATAGTTATCATATCCATATACCTTGCTGGCCAGCTTCCACGTGTAATAGTCTCCGGTTGCGGCGATGATAGCTTGTGCGACCTTCGGGGCTACAATGAGCAAATCGGCTGCGTTCAACGAGGAGAGTCGCGCAATCCATGCAAAAGAGCCGGTAATGTAATATACGACGGCAAAACACAGGGGGTGGATGGAGGATCGCAGTTCATGTTTCCATTCCTGGCCATTGCACCACGATCAGTTGCTTCCTAACCCTAGAGGTAGAGAGTACACACCCATGTGATCCAGGCACCGCTGTCCTTACCAAACACGACTTGCCATGCCGGCTCTAACGATTGAAAGAACTCATCGGGTTGGAAGAAAGTGCGCACACTGAGCGCATTCAATATGCGGAATGCGACGAGGAATAGCAAGATGTTATGTGGCGTCGCTTGATCTTTGGCGCGCCGTCTAAGGCGATGGACGGAGTCAGCCAAGGAAGTATCCGTGCCGCTTGACGCAATAGACTGCTCTGATGCTTCCATGGACATGGTACCGGATCACCTGCATGCCGGAGCTGGTGCGCAGTCAGATGAGGTCGGCAATAAGCCAGCGGGGGACGTCGAATCGACAAATTAATATGGAGCGGTGGGTGTCTAAAGGTCGATCTGATAAGTCGCGACGGCTCTGGCTGGGGAAAGCTAGGGTAGAGGCGGCGGCGGCAGCGGCAATCCACGGGGCCCCACCAGACGTAACTGTTTTAAGTGCAAGTCACACGAAGTATATACAACCCATGATATGAGTGCTTCATAAGAAGAAGATTTACTGGTAATGTAAAAGTAGAAGGAATATTCATGGTGTTTTTGGAGATGTGTTTCCGATTTCGATCATAGGTTGGGGGGGAACTACGTAATTGACGACGCGCTGGTAGACTTACGTAACTAGCCTAATCCGGTTAGAACCGTGCTGTATCACATGATCTGACGCGCTACCGCACTCTCAGCCAATCAGCAGCCAGGGAAATGGAATGACATTCCATAGTGGGTCATTACAGCCAATCACAGCTCACACACCGGGCCGGCTCTCCGTTGGCCGGCCTGGGAAGATGCGGCGAACGGCTACACCTGCACTTAGAGGTCTAGTTTCCTCGTCATGCCCGTGGACGGTGGGAGAATGGATCGTGTCCCTTATTTTTTCGCCTTCGATTGGTTTTGCTCATATACCACGACTGGCCTCTTTATTTCTTCTACTTTCTCTTTATCTGCTTGAGGGCTTTCCCACACTTCTGTCCTTGCCGTCATCTTGCAGTTTTTCCTCGAAGATAACCCCACCATACATCGACTATCATCACGATTCACTCACACAAGATCCATTGACCGTTCTTTTATGTTAAGGAGACAAGTTCAACACCTTTCCTAGGTTTATTGCATCATGTCGCCCATCGCAATTGAGACCCAAAATGGGAACGTCGCTGCCGAACAACACGATTCCGTCTACCATGTGGCATCCACCGACGCCGCAATCGCAGCTGAGCATGAATATGCTGCTCACAACTACCATCCTCTCCCCATCGTTTTTGCTCGCGCTTCAGGCACTTCCGTCTGGGATCCCGAGGGCCGCCATTACCTAGACTTCCTGTCTGCATATTCGGCAGTCAACCAAGGACATTGTCATCCTGAACTCGTCAAAGCTTTGGTGGATCAGGCATCCAGATTGACCTTGAGTTCGCGTGCTTTCTATAATGATGTCTTCCCCAAATTCGCCGAATTCGTGACCAAGTTTTTCGGTTTCGACATGGTCCTTCCCATGTGTACAGGTGCCGAAGCGGTGGAGACCGGTATCAAAATTGCCCGCAAATGGGGCTACAAAGTCAAAGGAATTCCTGAGAATCAAGCCATTGTGCTTAGTGTGGAGAACAATTTCCATGGTAGAACCGTAAGTTGGAGGATGTTGTAGAGTGCTTTATCTATTTGCCCCTGATATTGATTGGTGATTTCGTAGTTCGCCGCTATTTCCATGTCTTCAGACCCCGAGTCCCGCGACAACTATGGCCCATACTTGCCCAACATCGGACACTGTATCCCCGGAACCAACAGACCAATTGTCTATAATGACAAGGTTACCCTGCGTGAGGCTTTCGAAGCGGCTGGCTCTAACCTAGCTGCGTTCTTGGTTGAGCCAATCCAAGGAGAAGCGGGTATTGTTGTCCCCGACGATGACTACCTACGTGAGGCTCGCGCTCTTTGCGACAAGCACAACGTGCTCCTTATTTGCGACGAGATCCAAACAGGTATTGCCCGTACCGGAAAGCTTCTCTGCCATGAGTGGAGTGGGATCAAACCTGATCTCGTCTTGCTCGGAAAGGCGATCTCTGGAGGAATGTATCCAGTGTCCTGCGTCCTTGGCCGCAAGGATGTTATGCTCACAGTTGAGCCTGGTACTCATGGTTCGACTTATGGAGGCAACCCCTTGGGTTCTGCCATCGCTATCCGCGCTTTGGAGGTCATCCGCGATGAGAAGATGGTACAAAATGCCGAGAAGCTTGGTCATATCTTCCGTGACGGATTGAAGGCGATCAACAGCCCTTTGATCCAGACCGTTCGTGGAAAGGGTTTACTGAACGCCATCGTAATTGACGAGAGCAAGACGAATGGTCACTCAGCCTGGGATCTGTGCATGTTGATGAAGAGCAAGGGATTGTTGGTATGTATTCCGGGATCTCGATGAGTGATTGGTGTCAAGTTTCTAATTTGAGATGAATAGGCGAAACCAACTCATCAAAACATCATTCGTCTCGCACCCCCGCTCGTCATCACGGAGGCAGAGATCAAGAGCGCTCTTGACGTCATCAAACAGTCTCTCGAAGAACTTCCCACTCTTTCTGGTCAGAAGGAAGACGAAGTCATTCCTCCTCCGGAAAAGAAGGTCAAGATCGGTGTCGATAATTAGACGATATCTATCGATGTGCTCAAAACGCATGCATGGCTTGTAGCTCGAGTCCGAGCCGGCATGCGTGAGCCCTGCCTACCTTTGCCCAGGAATCATTTTCTGTTGAGTAAAGTGTATGACAGCTAGACGGAGCATTCATATTGAGAAAGAACATAAACCGACTCTGGTATGAATATATCACGCTCACACTTTTAGCTGAGTGGGTTTATTTCATAAGGAGCTCGACCGACTGGCACGCGCCGTGTTGTCCAGTTTATGTACCTTCTATCACAGGGGGCTGTGTGCGAGGGGTCTGAGGCGGGCGCAGAAATACCTCACCTTAAGACTCGGTGGATATAGAGTGTCAGGGTATCGTTTAAATAGCGCATAGTACTTGCATGCCAAGCGGCGGTGCATGTCTTAGAAAAGTTATCACTGATTTTATTTTATACATTTTTGTCTTGTGAAATTTGCGTATATTCTTAATTAAACTATTCTATGTCCTGAACCCTTAAACCCGCGTACAAAGACAGCGCTTGGGTATAGTTACTATACTGAGTCCACAGATGAGTCGGTATACCACTACACAGGGCGCCCAACAAACAGAATTGTCAGTTTCTCGAAAAGACCGACCGCTACATTCCCAATAATTGTCAGACCGTAAACTGCTCGACAATACGACGCGACGTTGACATAGAATATTCAACGATGTCAGCGTAGTTACGTTCAGGCCTCAGTTGAGGGCCTAAGGCATCGAACATCCACCACCGAATGGCAAATACTTTACAGCTACTCAATTGGGCCGAATATTGAAATATCAACAGACGCTTGCCGGTCTAGAACTTGCTGCACACAGTCAACCATATATACGGCCAGCACAACTGCATAAAGTGTCCTTCCCAAGTCCCGAGGGCCGGCTAACCGGCATCTATTCTCGCACACATCACAAATATTGACAGTATATGCTGTAGTTACGTACAACGAATGACTTACCCCGCGGTGGAAGTTGTCCATTTATAATCTCGTTTGGCAATGCCGAAAGGGGAGATAGCTTCTCAGTTGTGACTGGTGATAATAATGGCCCATGGAAAAAAGAGTAGATGGTGGAGATGTCTTGGTGCGGAATTAAGATATTGGTCGAAGCTTATCTCTGCAGAGTAAGAGATGAGTACTACGCCGGGAGACTGCGACTGTGCGTGGCATTTTGATGTCGAAATTTGCGATATCACGTTGTGGAAGTGTTGTGTTGCCGCTTTAAGTAATGACTTTCCTATCTAGGAAACTATTTCATCGAAGGTTGTGATTGGATGGCTAAATGTGGGTCAGTCATCGGACATAACAAGCCCTAGCTAGATAAGCTTGTGTCGTCTATTTAGTTATCTGATGGGCGAATGATGGATGTGCTGAGATAGAATTGCCATTTTATCTTTGAGAAAGATTACGGATGATTCATTTCGAGAGATGTTTTTAGAAGCTCATGAGCTGGCTGAAGAATGCTGGGTCTGAAATTGAATTTGTTGTGGATGCCGATGGAAAGGAGACTGTTTTGCATATTAGGACCTAACTCCGGATACAGACAGGCAGTTGATCCAATAACATCCGCAAATATTGCAAGAATACCAAAGATACAGCCCTATATTTCAGGAAGCCGAAGACAGAGTTCATTTATTGTTCCTCCCCGTGTCGTTCACGTTGCTCGTTGCGCAAGAAGCAAAGTTAGGGCTTAGTCGGCCAGGGCGGATAGCTGGGGTAGTAAGCAAGCTCCCCCAGACGTACAGCTTCACCTTCTCTCTCGTGAATTGGTCGGGCGAGCGATGTATCCGTTTCCGCTACATGATACTCTTCTAAATCGACATGCTTGTCCCAGCATCAGGACTATCTTTTTGAGCTTGCTGAACCTTCACTGCACTGGTCTCGCTCGCACGCTCGGCCGCTGTAGCAGTAATGCAGCGGTATCGAACACACAGTACGGCAATGGGCACACAAACTATCCACCAGGTAAACATGATGGGGAGCGCGCGATATGACTGATTGTCACACCCGTTGCTCCAAATCTGAACCAACAATTGGTACGCTTCATGTGAAGGGAGTGCATACGCCCACCGAAAGAACGTCGGATTTAGTTCAAATGGACTTATGGTACTTGCAACGTTGACCAGTACCCAGGTAAGCACACCGAATGGTATGAAGGAAACAGGAAGGAACGTGGTCATTATCTCAAAGAAGAGAAAGTTGATTTTCATATAGAGCCAGTAAGCCATCCAGCTAAGCACGAACTGACTAGCACCCACATCCCAGTCTTCCTTGAAACCCCAAATATAGCCTGTCGTACACAGAGCAGCGATGAAGGTGTAAAATGTTGCGAGAGCTGCTCGAAAAAGCGCGTTTATAGCCCAGGGTAACCGAGTAAAGACGCGAAATTGGGCTGAAATACCATTGAGAGCTATAATGAAGAAGAATTGCTGCAGGATTGGCATCACCATTGATATTGTGTTGTAAAACACCCTATTACCTAGATTGGTGGATTGCAGGTTAATCTCTGTCGCCTGAATAGGGTCCAAAAACGCATTTAGGACCTGCTCATTTTCCAGGTCGACAGACCCAATAACGTACGAGGCATTGTGGAGGTAGTATGCGGACCTCGTCACCTGTACGAGAGCCTCAATGTTGGTCAAAATATCACCCTGGGAAAACGCTGGGTACCGTGCTCCATTCCAGATGAAAGTGAGAGATTCCAAGTTCGTGCTTCCAGTCCCGGCTCCAAAACCCAAAGCTGCAGCCAAACTTGCCGTTGCTCCATGGTTGGCATAAATAGCAGCCCAGTAGGTACCATCGCACACAGCATTTCTGACGTGCTGTGTGCTAGGGAACTGTTCTATGGGTGACTGAGACAGCGTCGGAAAGTACAGATTGGCCAACAATACCTCCATCGTAGTCGACAAACAGGAAATTGAAATTGTGAACACGATTGGAACTTTTGAACAACGTAGCATAGACGTACGAAAGTTTACCAAGGAAAAGTAGTTGAAGGAGAAGAAAGCATATTGCCAATGCTTTCAAGAATGACTTACGTATCTCTTTTCCAGAACACTTTGCGACCTTGGCAGGTGATGCGTCAGGGGGTCTGCCGGTTGACATCGCGCTTCCTTGAAACACTGCTTGATCGTACAACTTGGTCAATTAACACCGGCCGCAGACCTCATTCAGAAAACGCGACGATTGCGGAGCTGCAGATGGGAATGTCTTAGCTTTAATCAGACCTTCTGAAGATAGTTGTTGCCCATCACTCCGAGCTTACGAGTTTGCGGCCGCTAGTGCATCCATCTTAAGAGTACTGCGCCCAAAATAGGAAATACGTAGGGAAGACACAGACCATGCATTGACCGAGCTTATTCATCATGCTCCATAGCTTGAAATACTATGACCTAAGTTAATTATCCGGATTGTGATGAGAACAAAGATATGGGTGGGCTGGCATGTTATGAAATTCTGCGTAGACTCCACGAGAACACCAACCTACTTACTCGGCATGCCCAGTTTCTGGTGCGGAGGTCTGCGGTGAAGAAGATTTCAGCCCAGTCTACGAGCTCGATGCCACTACTCTTCCAGGAAAGATACAGAATGCTATATACCTAGGTATGGTATGCCCAGACACGGCGCACTCTCTGGTGGCTACTGTAAATAAGATCTAGGTAACGATAGAAATATACCTTTGCGACCAACCGTGTAGCCGGACAACGGGACAGAAACTCTAGTACTGTCATACCAGTAAACAACTGCGCAGATTACTGACAACATTGAAACGACCGCCCAGATGGCGGTTGCATAGGAGTCGGGACAGTCACTAGGGAATGATTTTGTTCTTATCTAACTACCATGCGCGTGATTATAAGTGATTTCCTTCCAGCATTGTGTGGCCTCTCCTATTAGCATGTTTCATTCACGTAGAAAATGCTAAAGAGAAGATATGAGGCGCCGTGCCCAATCACCTGAGGTCAGGAATTCTCATCAGATACCTAAACTCCCTACAGGTCATTTCGAAGGAATGCAATGCTAAGATGGGAATCCTAAAATTAAACCAAGTTAAACGAGATGTATCAACACTTCGATCACCTTTATAGGATCACTCGTGGTATGATCGAACCCAACTGAGTAACTAGCGGCTGACGATCTCAGCTTTGAACTTTCGTCGTTTATGGATGGCAGCTAGCGTTAGGAAGTTAGGAACAGACTGAGCTGAAGCTGAAGCTGATGATCGTCATTGATCATTTCCCTTGAATAAACCTTGGAATTGTGAGATGAATGGAAATGGGGGCCACTGGCTGTGTTCGTCCCAAACCCTTGTGGTTCTATTATAAGTACCTGGATTGTCTTGTCAAATACTCAAGTCAAGTTCTTGATAGCCAGATTTACATTCACACTCAAGGAGGCGCAAACAATGCATTTCCCATTTTACGGCGCAGCTGCGCTACTGATAGCCACCTTATGTCTGTTTGGGTCTCCTGTAGCTAGCGAGACTTTTGACCGATCGGAGGCAGCACCGGAGGGTGAGGACACCCAGGATCATGGAGAATGAAGAGAGCAAATAAAGCTTGCTAACCGTCAGCATCAACAGGATGGACGTCGACGGGTGTGCCCTCCGAAGATCAACCTATTCGTCTTCAAATCGCCCTGCAGCAGAACAACTCCGTTGGCTTTGAGCAGGCTCTCCTTGCAATTTCAACACCGGGTGATCCTAGCTACGGAAAACATTTCACCTCTTACGATCAAATGAAAGAGATGCTGCTTCCTTCAACAGAAGCCGTATCCGCGGTCCGGGACTGGTTGACGTCTTCCGGGGTCACTGATTTCCAGAGGGATGCTGACTGGGTTACCATCCGTACATCTGTCAGGGTCGCTAACTCCCTCTTGGACGCCAATTTTACCTGGTATACAGGTGGTCAACAGTCCGTTCGTATTCTCCGTACCTTTGAATACTCGGTCCCAGATAACATCGCTCCTCACATCAGAATGATCCATCCAACTACCGGGTTTGGCCAGGTTCGTGCCAATCGAGCTGCGTTCCGCTCAATGCCTTTGAAGTTCGGAACCAGCCTTAATTCAGCTGCCAGCAACATGTCCGTCAATCAATGTGGTTCCGTTACCACCCCGAGCTGTATCCAAAAGCTCTATTATATCCAGAACTACACAGCTGACCCCGGACGTGGAAGTAAGATTGCGTTTGTCAGCTTTACGGAACAAGTGGCTCGCTATGATGATCTAGCTATGTTTGAGTCTTACCTCGCTCCTTACGCAGTGGGCCAGAATTTCACAGCCGTGGAGTACAACGGAGGAATAAACGATCAACATAGGAATGAGACTGGAGAGGCAAACCTCGACCTTCAGTACATCGTTGGTCTCGCTGCACCCCTGCCTGTTACCGAATACATCGTTGGTGGTCGTGGCGAGTTAATTCCAGACTTGACTGAACCGGATCAAAATCACAACTACAATGAGCCCTTCTTGAATTTCCTGCTTGATATCTTGAAAGTTGAGCAGGAGGATTTGCCACAAGTTATCTCAATCTCATATGGCGATGATGAACAGGTCAGTGATTCTCCCGAGCATCCCTGTTCCAAGTGCCATTTCCGTACTGAATAATTGCAGACCATTCCAAAGGAATATGCTCTCATTGTTTGTAACCTCTTCGCTCAGCTTGGAAGTCGTGGTGTTTCAGTGCTCTTAGCAGCTGGTGACTCTGGTGTTGGCTCTGCATGCCAGACAAACGACGCAAAGAAGCGCGATCACTTTCCCCCTCAGTTCCCTTCAACATGCCCCTGGGTAACCTCTGTCGGTGGCACAAACGGAACCCATCCAGAACAAGCTGTGTATTTCTCATCTGGCGGATTTTCTGACCTCTTCCCTCGGCCTTCCTATCAGAACGACGCTATCAATGCTTACCTCGAAACCTTGGGCGACAGACAGGCAGAATACTTTGACCTTCTCGGACGTGGTTTTCCAGATGTAGCTGCGCAGAGCGTCGGTTACGTGATTGTGGATAAAGGTAGTCCAACCATATCGGATGGAACATCGGCCGCGGCCCCGGCATTTAGTGCTATCATTGCTCTTCTGAATGATGCTCGTCTCGAGGCTGGATTACCTGCCATGGGTTTCCTGAATCCCTGGCTGTATAGTGTTGGGCGGCTAGGGTTGAATGATATTGTACACGGTGGAAGTACAGGTTGTAATGGGAAGGATCGCTTCGGGGGCCCGCCAAATGGAAGTCCGGTGATACCATATGCTAACTGGAACGCTACCCAAGGATGGGACCCAGTCACTGGACTAGGAACCCCAAACTTCGCGAAGCTGAAGGAGCTTGCATTGGGCCAGGTCTGTATCGGGAAGTAAATCATTTGACTTCCTAGTCGTACTACCATGTATTGAAGTTTCATTTACACTATCGCCTAATGAGTCAACACCATTCAAGGAGCTGGCTCAGGGTATAGGCTTCCTTCTTTTCCCAATTCGCGATGGAGCATCCTGTGCACTTTCTCCATCTTAATTTTACTGCCGGGATTTCCTTTTCTTGCAGAACTTATAAACTTCCGATGGTGAATAAACATTCGTTTGTTTGGCAAAATGTATAGTACTTTGTTTATAGTATTGTGGCGCATTGATTCATCATACGCAAGAATAACAAACAGCCAAGGGCTGCAGCATCCACGAGGAGGACACAAGCATGCCTCCAGTCCACCCGTAAGCTCTGTTCAACCTTCTTCCAATCCGCCTTGCTACCGGGAAGGGGATTTAGGTAATATGATGTGGTTCATGGAACTGAATGCTACAGTCAACATCAAGATTTCTCTGTGTGAACTGTCATACAGATCCATAGAGCGTCTCCAGTACAAAGGCGGTGTTGCTCATCGCGTGGAGAAAATCGTTCCAGGGGAGCTCTCCAAGCTGAAAGCTTTGAGATGGTTGGAAGGAACAATGTAGAGAAGACTTTGAACGAGCGCTTGTCTACTTTGAACACTGGTTGTACGTCGCCAGTCTTGGCGGGGAGCTCCGAATTTATGACGTTTGCGCATTTTGCGGACTCTCCTCGAGACTTAATTTTAGTCTTAGGTGGCATCTGAGTTATTAGTGCGATAGTCTTTTCTGTCCGATGTACCAACTCAAACTGGATTTCTGCGGGAGACTGCTTCTTCGGCTCTACCCATTCAGGAGTCCTTTGTATCGTCTTGGAAGTTTTCGAAAGCATTAGGTACACAACAATTTCTCGGGTCATTCAACGTTTTATGGGGACGTACGCATCTACCGCATGCCAAAACCTATCCAAAATTTCCTCTACCAATCTCATGATCTCAACATTCTCTCGATTCCATCGCTTCTCGACTGGATAATGAAATCGACCATCTTCGGTCGCTCCAAGTTCACCTAGAGATGTCCCTTCAAAGGACCTAAGAAACACATCCCAGCTACGGGTCAGATTGATGTAATATTCATTGACTTCACCCTCTCGCTCAGCCCATCCGTTTTCGAAAGTACTGGCCCGGGGTTGATAGAGTCCTATTTTATGACGACATTCGGAGAGAACTACCAAGTGTGAGATAATACCGGCAACTCGAGATGATATGAGTTCCTTTTTTTTTCCAATCACTCTGAACTAGACGCTCAAGTTCGTCCATAACCACCTTGCGGCCAACTTGTAGGATTTGGCTACCTTCGTCCCAAAGCGTGGCAAGAATCCAAAGTAGCTCGATTCTCCCGAGTTCGTATCCTAATTATTGAAGTGCCCGGCTCCTAAGGCTCTCGAATCCATAACGATCGCAGGGTGGGAGAGGCTGGCGCTGCCGTTCTGAGCAATGTAAGGGGACCAATAATGGACTGTTTCAAGAAAAACTACAAATGCACGGATGCCTCATATAATTCAGTGGACAGAGGCTTCTCCGATGATATCTTATGATGGAATTTTAAAAGGAGTCCGCGTAGATTGACAACGAGAGAGTGAAGAGTGTTCCAGATTTCAAGTTCCATATAAGCATCGGCAACAACATTTTCCAAGACACGGTTCCAGAACAGCGGGCGGATGTATGGTATTATTATAGGGTGTTTTTCGCCATTAATGTTTAAGAGGACTTCCTTGCGGTAATCCTTATACTCATTGGCTACATCTGCAAAGTACGCTGGATCTTTTCGCAGGACTAAGAGATGATCCTTAGCAGCAGAGCGTTTACCATCAATAATGGCTTCGAGTGGAGCTAAATCGAGGCCCGCGGGAAGTCGATAAGGTGCGTCAGCTGCTACAGCGGCTAAGGAATACCAGTCTCCTTCTTTGATTGTAGGCTCTGGCAGCGCAGAAAAGTCAGTAATCATAGATCAGCTATATCATGGAGGATTTGGCGGGCACACACCAGTAGAAATTCATAGATCCGCTGTTGTGTTTCCAAGATTAGGAGTCCGTATCCTGGGTGCACCCGTACTCCAGTATGAAGCCAGTCGAAGGCTTCACTGTGATCTCCCATGATATTAACTCCTCATATTTGCTGGTGATGTGCGACCTGCAAACATCATGGTATATTCGTTGAGGAAGGCCGAGCAGATGGCACCTATTACTTTGACCGAGTTGTGAGGACTCCAGATCAGTGCCAAAAAAAAAAGAAATGTGGCACATGTCGAGAACCAGAGTTAAGGAGCAGGAGCAAGGGCCTCGGCTGCTCTTAGTCTTTTAGATTGATATTTGGCCATTGGTATGCTTCTCGCGCATCCTCGTGCTTTCCTTTTTGAAAGCTTCAAAATTAGGTTGATGAATCTTGGACATGTTGGGCCAAGAAGAGAGAAGTAAAGGTCTCCAAGTCAGCAAAGATCTTGAAAGCCCTTTGACGGCTCTCCCGACGGACCTCTTCCGGTTTTGGAGAAGAGTTTAGTTTAGAAAGATTCGGGTTCAGGTCCATAAAAAATGACCTTAGGTCGCTCTAAAGCCTCTAATCTATTTTTGAGAAGTCGACATTGCGATCCACGTATTTGGCAGCCTCATCTTGGAATGAAGCGCCGGATATGACACCAGCTCCAGAAATTGGGGAGGTAGTATACTCTATTCTGCACAGGGAGAGATCGATTGTTTGAGGAAATATTCGAGCATTGAAGTTGATATTTTGGACGACAAGATCTTGGCTGGGTTACTCCGCATCGCGCTAATCCCTGTTCGGCATTGGCACAACAACTCTGGCCTGGAGAAAGCGGCGGCAAGTAAGATTATTGCCACGCACTCAGATTCCCTATTACCAGCAACTCGCTAAGCCAATTAGAGAATTTTGGTTCACCGATCCTTCGGAGTTTGGACTTAGGCCTTGACTTACTCTATTTGTCAAGCACTTCGGAGTACGTACGTACAACGGGTACTCCGTCTGTCTACTGTTCGAGGGAGAACAAGTAATTATTCCGTGGCCAGTCAGTTAAATATTCGTGAGTTTAACCAGTAAGCAGCATGTAGAAACTTCCTAAGCACGAGACATACATACATCGGTACTTCGTCCAGTGTCCGCAACTTTTCCCTATTGCGGTCCCACTTGGCCGCTCACAGCGAGGTCAACCACAACCAAATCAACTAACGCTAGCAGGAAGAAACTATCTGGCTATCTCTTACATTAACCAGAATGCCGATTAATATGCAGCTTGAGCCGTGTTTTGCCCTCTTTCATTCTCCTCTCTTCCTACCCATCTTCAACTCCGTGCAATGATATGCCCGACATGAAACCATTCTAGCTTCAGTAATCCCTCATCTAGTCTAGGACAACATACTCTAGATGCTCTAAGTGACTGGGCCCTGTCTGCACGTTAATTCTCGATGTTTTCGATGCGATCTTCTTGTAATTGACAGGAGAATGTCTGTTCCCCAACCGAACCCGGCGTTGGCTGCTGAACACCATCGGGAACACCAGGAAGAAGCCTCGGCAGCACCAGCAACTAGCGGCGAGAAAATAGCTCTCCACAAAATTGACGCTACTTTGACTCGCACATCTAGTATATTCGCTGATAGCAGCATCGAACAAGATGAGGGGCAAAAGCCTGGTGTTCAGAAGCGCAAATGGTATCGAAAGTTGAACCCGCTGCGACTGCGCAAAGTCCCTTCCGTCCCGGAGGAACGAACTGTATGTCCTGAATATGGGGCCAATATCCTAAGTGTTATTTTGTTCCAATGGATGTCTCCGCTGATGAACGTGAGTCTATCCCAAAAGCCATAGCCTGGAAGCATTTCAACTCATCATTCTCTCACAGACTGGCTACCTTCGGCCTCTCCAACTTCAAGACATCTGGATAGTGAATCCCAATCGATCTGTTTATCCCCTCAAAACAAAACTGATCGAGTGCTTCGAATGGCGTCATAAAAAAGGCGGAAAGTATCCGCTGCTGTTCGCCATTTACGATACATTTTTGTTTGAATTTTGGCTCGGTGGCGTGTGCCAGCTATTCAGTGCTCTCTTCATGGTCTTCTCGCCTTATATGACACGCTACTTAATTGCCTATGCTACAGAGGCATACACCGCCAAAGCGAAGCATCAGCCGGAACCCAATGTCTCGCACGGAATCGGATTCGCTATTGGCATAACCGTCATGCAGATATGTCAAAGTCTATGCACCAATCAGTTCATCTATCGAGGTTTTCTAGTTGGTGCACAGTTAAGGGCAGTGCTGATCAATGTGATCTTTGATAAAACAATGAAAATTTCAAATCGAGCCCGAGCCGGTGGTAGTCTTACGGAAGCTGTTCGGCATGAGGGTGGTCTCAAGACCTTTGAGGGTAGCATAAGCGGACAAGGCTGGAGTAACGGGCGAATCATCACCCTGATGAGTGTTGACGCAGACCGAATTAACACTGCAATGGGCATGTTCCATCTCATGTGGTCGTCTCCAGTGATTATCATCCTCGCTATCATCCTTCTCTGCATCAACATTGGCTATAGTGCTCTATCCGGATTTGCATTGCTACTTCTCGGAATTCCATCGCTAACTATAGCTATCAAGAGTCTTTTGAAAAGGAGAAACTCTATCAATAATCTCACTGATCAACGTGTTTCGTTGACCCAGGAGATCCTACAATCTGTCAGGTTCGTCAAGTTCTTTGGATGGGAAAGTAGCTTCATGGAGAGATTAAGAGATATTCGCCGCCGAGAGATCCGTGCAGTACAAATTCTTCTAGCAATTCGGAATGCTATTCTCTGTGTCTCACTGGCAATGCCGACATTCGCATCAATGGTCTCTTTCATTACATATTCCCTATCTCAGCATGTGCTCACCCCGGCACCGATATTTTCTTCATTGGCCCTTTTCAACTCTTTACGAATGCCATTGATGTTATTTCCCCAGGTCTTGGGTCAAGTCACGGATGCATGGACTGGTCTAAAGCGTATTCAAGAATTTTTGCTCGAGGAAGAAGTTACAGAGGACATCGAGTGGGATGACAACATGGAAGATGCTATTCAATTAGAAGGTGCTTCATTTACCTGGGAGCGCACTCCTCCTGACGAACTGGAGCAGAGGGTGGGAAAGTCTAAGAAAGATGGCGGAAAGAAAGATGTTCTCGTTGAGACACCAGAAACCCCTGAAGACGTCATCCCCTTCAAAATATCAGGCTTGGATTTGTCTGTAAAGCGAAACGAGCTTGTCGCAGTTATTGGAACAGTTGGTTCTGGAAAGACATCACTGCTTGCCGCTCTAGCGGGCGATATGCGACTGACTGAAGGGTCGATACGACTCGGCGCGTCTAGAGCGTACTGTCCCCAGTATGCCTGGATTCAGAATGCCACCGTTCGAGAAAATATCAGTTTCGGCAAACCATACGACGAAACTTGGTATAACACGGTTGTTGACGCATGCGCTCTGCGTCCCGATTTTGATGTTTTCCCCAATGGAGACAGTACAGAGATAGGAGAACGCGGAATCACTGTTTCTGGCGGGCAGAAGCAACGTCTCAATATTGCACGCGCAATCTACTTCGATTCAGATATTATCTTGATGGATGACCCTCTATCGGCAGTAGATGCGCACGTCGGCCGCCACATTATGGACCAAGCTATATGTGGCTTGCTAAAGGATAAATGCCGTATCCTTGCAACTCATCAGCTTCATGTGCTTAGCCGTTGTGATCGTATCGTGGTCATGGACGACGGCCACATCAATGCTGTTGACACATTTGACAATTTGATGCGTGGCAATGTGCTCTTCCAGAGATTAATGTCTACCACTACACAAGACCAAGAACACGACAAGGTGAACGACCACGCCGAGGAAGAAACAGACAAGATCGACAAGGAAGAAGTAGCGCCGGCCAAGAAGGCTAAATGTGGGAGGCAAACAACATTGATGCAACAAGAAGACCGAGCCACTACTACCGTTGGATGGGATGTATGGAAAGCGTATATGATGGCATCTGGACACATCCTATTTCCGATTTTTGTCGTGTTGACGATCATCCTTACAAACGCTTCAAATATCATGACAAGCTTCTGGTTGACGTACTGGACGTCTGGGAAGTACAATTTGACTACAGGCCAATACATAGCTGGCTACGCCTCGCTTGCAGCACTGCAAGCAATTATCATGTTCGTATACTCCACGGTACTCAGTGTTGCAGGGACCAATGCTAGTAAAAACATGCTACAGAAAGCCGTGACGAGGGTGCTGAGAGCACCGATGTCATTCTTTGACACCACACCTCTAGGTCGGATAACGAATCGATTCTCAAAGGATGTTCATGTTATGGACAACGAGCTCGGCGATGCAATGCGCATTTATGGTCTCAATATTACTATGATCACAGCAATTATCATTCTGATCATTGTTTATTTTCACTACGTGAGTTATCTTCTATTTCTATAACAGGAACATCAAAGTCATTTTGCTGACCGGTTTGATACAGTTCGCCATTGCATTTGGACCTTTATTGATATTGTTCCTCGTTGCAGCCAACTACTACCGTGCATCAGCACGGGACATGAAACGATTCGAATCCGTTTTACGATCTCACGTCTTTTCTCGATTCAGCGAGTCCATTTCCGGAGTTGCCAGTATCCGTGCCTATGGCTTACAGGATCATTTCAGTCGCAGTATTAGCGATGCAATTGATGAAATGGATGGCGCATACTTTCTCACATTTTCTAATCAACGTTGGCTCAGTGTCCGACTTGATGCTGTCGGATATGTCATGGTCTTCGTGACTGGTATTCTAGTAGTGACATCTCGATTCAATGTCTCACCCAGCATCTCAGGTCTGGTGCTATCTTATATTCTCGCAATCGTGCAGATGTTGCAGTTTACCATTCGTCAACTGGCTGAGGTCGAGAATAGTATGAACGCCACAGAAAGACTGCACTATTACGGGACACAACTTGAAGAAGAGGCACCCGTACACTTTGGCGAAGTTGAACCTGAGTGGCCTACGCAGGGCAGAATCACATTCTCGGATGTCCAAATGCGCTACCGCGCCGGTCTCCCTTTGGTTCTCCGCGGCTTAAATATGGATATTCGCGGCGGCGAGCGAATTGGTATCGTTGGACGTACAGGAGCTGGAAAGTCTAGTATCATGTCAGCGCTATTCCGAATTACTGAACTATCCGGTGGCAGGATCACAATTGATGGAAAGGACATTGCCAAAATTGGTCTACAGGATCTCCGTTCGCGTCTGGCTATTATCCCGCAAGATCCGACTTTGTTCCGAGGAACGGTACGATCAAATCTGGACCCATTCAATGAACATAACGATCTAGAATTATGGGACGCATTGCGAAAAGCCCATCTGATCGGCGAGAAACCAGAGGGAGGAAGCGATTCCGACGAGACCGACGAAGAAAAGAAGCAAACAGTAAAGAGTCAACAGCAACAGCAACAGCAACAACAAACCCAAAATACAAACCGCATCCAACTCGACACTACCGTTGACGAGGAAGGTCTAAACTTCTCCCTAGGCCAACGTCAACTCATGGCGCTCGCACGCGCTCTAGTCCGCAACTCACGCATCATAATCTGCGACGAAGCCACTTCGTCTGTCGATTTTGAGACTGATCGCAAAATTCAACGGACCATGGCAACAGGGTTCAAGGGTAAGACATTGCTGTGTATTGCTCATCGGCTACGGACAATTATTACGTACGATCGGATCTGTGTGATGGATCAGGGCCAGATTGCGGAGTTGGATACGCCCCTGAATTTGTGGAAGAGGCAGGATGGGATTTTCAGGAGTATGTGTGATCGTAGTGGGATTGTGAGGGAGAATTTTTTCGTGGTTGATGTATAGACGTAAGCTTTGGACATTTCAAGGTTGGGTATATGTCAATTCTCACAACTGATTTGGGACACATAGAAGGAAGGGCGTTGTATAAAAAGTTACTTGTTCATACTCTCCCGAGGTCCTGATTAGAACATCAATTCATGAAAAGTCTGTTTGATAACTACTCAATATATACAAAAGGCTCATAATCCCCAAGACACCCATTTTCAGATGCAGCCTCATATCCTGAAACCGTCTTCTCGAGCAATCCACTCTCAAACCGAAGGATAACCTTCGTACCCAGAAACAAGCTTATTAATCCTTGCTGCGCCTTTCTAAATAGCAAATCAGTCGCTCCTTTGAGCGGTAAACCTAGCATGGCTCCGGGAAAAAGGATATGAGCATAAAGAGAAATTGTTCTTAAGGAAGTGAGTTTTGTTCCTGTCGAGACAAGCATTGCTAGGTGGGATAGAAGTTGAAAAATGGATGATTGACAGTTGTGTATGATGAGATACTCAAAAGAAGCCGGGAGATCAGCAGGTGGAAGACCCAGGAAGCGTTCGTCTACTTCCAGAAACGTCATTTGCGTGCACTCCTTGAACGAGCCGTAATTGTAGCCATCCCATTCAAAAGCTTCAGATATAAAGTCGGTCTCTAAGGACACTCGCAGGTCTTCTAGGTTTGATTGTTGGCAGTCAAGCGCCGAATATAAATCAACGGGACTGAATTGTGGCTCCTGATCTTGCCGGCGTCCCTGTCTTTTGCTTCGGTTAGTAAACGAAAAGACTTTCAGATCTTTGCAAGCACTGATTAACACTTTGAGGTGTGGGGCGGTTAGATAACTTCGCGTGAACGACACGAGAGTTATAGAAAGGGATCGAGGTAATAGTATTGATGAGTTATATGATCGATCCGACCGTGAATTCGTTGGCGGAGCGTTGTTGTGGCCAACGCAACCACTGGCTCAGATTTGGTTTAATCTAGGTAGCAAGAGAAGTAGTGGCGTGATACCATCGAAACTTACTCCATCTTTTCTGGCGGCTTCTGTCGAGCACATGAGACACAAGCTCTCGATTTTCGATAGACATGAATATTCAGTTGTAGGTTGTTGGCCAAGTGCTGTAAGTAAAGCCATGCTGTGTTTGTTCACATGAATGGTGAGTTCTGTCAGATTAGTAGTATAGGAGACAAGTAATGCGGCCAGAACGGTTGTTGGTGAGTGTGGTGCAGCTAAGAGTTCCGACATTTCATGAATCTCCTGGAGTCTGTCGGCTACAGGGCTGAGATTATCAACATTGTCTCCGTACTGGCCGTAATGTCCCTCGGAGTCCCATTTTGATTCTTGGGTATTATACAGCTCGGAAAGAAGTATTCGGATTTCTCGCACGGTAGTGCATCAACCTTCAGACACCGAATCCATGCTGCTATCTGCGGAGAATCGATGATCGTTCGCGTTAGAAGGAACAGCGACAAGGCGCCCTGTACGCTATCGCAATGTACTAGATCGATCTCACGATAAAGAAGCGGTTGAGCTATGACAAATATTGTCTTGCATACCGTACTCAAGGCTCTGAGGTCCGAATCGTCATGATAAATTGGATAATGTAGGCGACGAGCTCCAGCGGGAGGTTTGAGAAATTACTCATGACATTGGTATTTCCGACTACTGTCGCACCTTTTTTCCCGTGTATGGGAGAAAAAAGAATCAGTAGTTTCTGTTGAAATCTCTGAAATTTTCACATTCTCGTCGAGATCTACCTGGGAGCGGTGGGGGATGCTGAGAAAGCGATCAGCCAAAGCACAGGCTGCGGTTTACTGGTCGAGCGTCGCTAGTGAGATTGCTTCCCCTCTTTTGACCCGAGTGTTCTGCCATCTTATTTTGTGGTTCATGGGTATTTTGCAATTTTCTCTTGAGTTGCGTTCTAGACTGCTTGGAGGCTTGGAGTCTTGGGAGTCTTGGGAGTCTTGGAGAAGAGCGCGTTCGTCACATGATTCAGTTAGTCATCCAGGGGCCAGCGTCGCTCTGATTGGCTTGTGTGCATCTCCGCAGTCTCCACTCAACGTTATCTAGGAGCCTTACCCAGTTGGGCTTAGTTCGATATTCTTGCTCTTTCTCTGTTTGAATCTTCAATCTTCCCTCTTTCTCTTTCAGAAAGCATCCTTCGTGATAGAAGTCTCTGATACCCTAGGCGACTCTTGTCAGTGCTGGCACCGACAATGAATGATAGCAATGGATACGGAGAGCAAGGATTGTCAAAGAATGCGGGCTGGAATGCGACGAATGGTCTCAGCACCGACCCTCTTTGAAGTGGATATCCTCACGCCACATCATTCAAGACATGCTGGGGTTTGAGTACGGAGAACCCTTCAGAGTTGATGGTTGAGGTTCACCGGTCGACCAAACCTCAATTGACCTTGGATCCCGTTTCCACAAAGATGAGAGACGGCTACCAGAAAAGACTATCAAAAGGATGAGAAAGGTAGCACTACCATGCCTCTGCCCCTGCAGCAGAAAGTATCAACCCCTTACTTCCATGGTTGAATTAGGGTTTCAGGTCTCGGACCAGCTGTTGATCAAGTCTAGCAGACTAGCTTTTAGGGAATCAGCATGGAGAATCGAATAAACAAGTTTTTTCATTCAGATGAATCGATTGACGGCGCCGATACGTGTCTGTGATTGCATCAAATATGCACCTAAGTACTGGACTTTTTAGGATTAATAAGTTTGAACCGCCATTTGAGGAAATAAATCGATAATTCAAAGACTGCGACAATGCAAATGGCTTTTTCACCGAGAATAAAGGGTCGGGCTGTCCTGGACGGGAATTTATTTCGAAAGTGTAACTACGAGTCATGCCTCCAATCAGATCAAAGCAGAGAAAAGAATCTTTAAGTGGGCATTTGGCTACTTTTCAAAGGGGTCTGAGTAGCACAGGGTGATCTCCAGACATCTTCTTTTGCGGGTACAGAAGCGGTAACATACAGACTGCATGCAGCCTGCGGGCATCAACGCACTTCCACTTCCACCTCTATTTCCATTATATTTCTATATTATTGCCCCTGGAACTCTGCATGCGACTTTGCCATATTCTCAGATTGATTTCTGATTAATTCGTGGTTAGCAAGACAGTCATAGGCTCGTCTGATAAACATAGAGTCACCCGTCTCCTTCCTTTCATCACTCACTCACTCACCACCACGTCCACCGCCCCTGGAATGCGACATCTCGGGTTGCTCAGCACACGACACTGTTACCCTTCAAGCGAGGAATGCCCGAGACACAAAGAAGCTTTAGCTGCAGAAGTGTAACTCTACAAGTAAGTTTCGGCTATTTCCCCCTCCGCATGACTTGCTGTGGGTGTGCCTATCTAGATATATCCACTTATACTTACGGGCCAAAGCAGGCCGTTGGTTCGACCAGCCCAGCATTATCAGCGACTCCTCGCCACGAGTCGCTAGTCTACCTTTCCTTCGACGAATTTCAACACCTTCAAAAGGCCTGAATAAAACCAAAATCCTCTCGAATACCTTACACGTGCCTCTTCTGTTTCTTTTCACGGCACGACCTCTCACTAGCCCGTTGATACACAATGTCGCAATCCACCAAATTACCAACAGAACCGGTCGTTGGGGCCACAGTTGTCAGCGAATCCAACGGTGCACCAAGGCAAAATAACAATCTGCAAGCTCAATCGCCGCAGAATGCATTGTTGACAACCTCACCAACAATCACTTCAATCCTAGAAGCTACGGCAGAATTCGACCCTCACGTGGGCGCCAAGCCATGCTCCCCATTCTATTCACACGATGTCAACAACTCGCTCGAGTACCTCAAGAACGAAAGCACGATAACGGCGCAAAGATATGGCTCAAACGACTTGGAGAGTGGTACGCCTTCTACACCGCAGAAGCGATCGTTGGAAGTTCACGGGAGGTGTCGACCTTCAAAGCTGTGGAGACAGAAAAAGAGGAAATGCGACTGTCTGTCGTCGCTGACCAAGAGGCAACGATTGATGGTCAAAATTGCACTGGCATTGTTTATTGTCGGTGCTATGATCGGAATCGCGATGGGCATCACAGTTGCAGTTGGCGGAGGAGTTTGGAAGTCGGCCAATGTCCGTGGGCCTTTTGGGAGGTAATGGTCACTCCCTGAAAATGATGTGATTTTCTGGCTTTCTGTAAGAGCAGTAAATGTGCTGCATTTAAGATATACCCTGTAATGATTAGTCTTTTGCTTTGCTCTGATTCTCAAGTATACGGCGGGTTATGAGGTTCGTTCGGTCCCAGACAAGCTGGGAGTACGCAGGTGCCTGAGCATGCTATTCCAATGAGCGTTTGCGTCTTATTATGCATTTTTGAATATGAATCATGGTTGGATCCATACAAGTACATACACAACACCATAGGATTATTCTACCAGATGCAGCGAACCGAGATGTTTCTCAGCTGTTCGCATAATTGTATTTCCGCACCCGTGTGAATATCACGTGACTTATCGCTATATATTCGCCGCACAGTTTCTCCCGCAAATTTTTCTTTTCTTTCTTTTTTATTATCATCGAAAAGCTAACAGAATCAGCCACGACCATCGTTTAGTTTTTTTTTTCCACAGCGATGTGTTGCCATGATCCTTTTCCAGGGTCAGTGATTCTGGAGACCAAACTACTCCTCGATAGGAAGTTTCCTTTCCGTTGAGTTCTCTTCAGTGAGGGCGATGGATGGGGAATGCTGATGACGGGATACATCCATTCACCTTCAAGATCTGTAATGCATACATACAAGTATGGGGAAAACTCTTGGTGGCTTAAATAATTCATTCGCCAGTAAGCTCCTTTTGTAGTGTATTGTGGGCTTATTCAATTCGTAGACGCGAGCTCAGTGAAGGAGGCATCCAGTCTGGCCAGAGTGACAGATCCAGCACCTCGATTGTCGAATGCCAATGTCAACAAACGTCGTGCTCAATAAACAATGCCAAACATTTGTTTTATGGACCAATAATGCCTTGGCCTTGTTCTATGGAATTGTCATGTGTACTACAGCGCGTTGAAAGGGCTTCAACCGGAATGTGATGTCCATTCCGGCTTGTCGAGCCGTGATGTTGGATTTTCCAATGTACTACCCGAGAACAAGACCGCAACGTGGGTTCTGTCAATTTCCATGGAGTGTAAACCGGATGTTGGTCATTCTTCATCGCATTCTCTGTGATCTTACGCGCAAGATTGAGATTCATTTTTGTTTTGGTCCTCCGCGCTGGGATACATTCCTCCTCATTCCGGATGGAATGGAATATCCACGATGTCCTTGGGAGCACTAGATAAAGCAACCAGGCCTGGCAATGGAAGACGATTCTTTTCTTCTGATTTTTTTGGTTAGCGACAGCGTCAACGACAACGACAACCGGTAAGTCGTCATTCGTAGGTTTTTGTTTTTTTGTCCTTCATTTGAATCAGTCGCTCTTTTTACTTTTTACCGTGCCTCCTGTTCCCGTTACGATACGACCACATCAAAAGAGATGAAGACCGTCTATACAGCCATTCCGTTGGCCCTTTTGGCTGCCGTCGCTCAGGCTGACTCGCAAGCCGCCGGAGCCAAACAGTCTCGTGATCTCGCAAGTCACGACGACCATGGTCATGAAAACGGTGGTCATGATTTCCTAGGCGACGACAGTGAGAAAGGAGATTTTCTCGGGGATGCTCCCGATCATAACTTCCTCGGAAGTGGCTGGAACGATCCTCACAAGCATTCTCACGGTGGTCATGATGTGCCATCTGCCGGAGGTGAAGATGATGGCGACCTCGCGCCTGGCTTCGTTTCATCTCCGAAGGACTCCCCATTCGGCGGACCACACAATTTCAATGAACAGGCTGGTCCAGATACCTTCTCTGGATTCAACGACAACAAGGATGGTGTCAACAATGACAACATTGTCATCACTCCAATCAACAGCTACCAAGCAGCGCAGGCTCAAGAGCAAGATGATTATATCTTGCCTCCAGGCCATCCAGGTCCTCCGGACCCTCTTGGTCCTTCATACGGAGGTCCCGGTCATGTTGAGCACCAACCTGAGCAACTTCCGCCCCAGCAGCACTCGGAGCCAAAGCAGGCACCTCCTGAGGAACACCATGAAGGACCCTCTCCTCCTGCCTACAAGCCTGAACCAAAAGAAGTGGTTCCCCAACCGACTCCAGCGCCTTATACTCCTGCTCCGGTCCTTGTTCCAGCACCAGTCCCATCGGCTCACGAGTTACTTCCTGAGAGACACGAATTGGATCCCCCATGCCCTGAAGGAGAGGATGGTAGCCACCCCGGCCCTGAGCCTCAGGGTGCTGATAGTTACGCATCACCTGTTGCGCCCAAGGAGGTTTCCAAGCCTTATCCTGGAGGAAATCACCCTGAGGGCAACCTTGAAGGGCACCCTGAAGGCCATCCGGATGGTTACCATTCAGTCCCAGCTGGTAACCCGTTCCAGCCGCCTCAGCCGCCTCAGCCACCAATTGTGCAGCCACCTTATCCCTTCCCTCATGCTACTCCTAGTCATGACGATGATGATGATGACATATATGTGCCCCATCCAGGACCTCATCCTGGCCCTAGCGGTCCTGAGGATCACGGCAGTTACCCTGCTTCAGCTGGTCATCCCACTCCTAGTGATTCTCAGGAGCATGGCAGCTACCCCGATCATCCTCATCCTGATAGCTATCCTGCTCCTGCTCCTGCTCCTACTCCTTACCAAGCTCCTGGCGCAGGTGATCACAGCGGCTATCCCGCGCCTGTGGCTTACCCCAGTCCTAGTGCTTTGGAAGGACACGGTGCCTACCCTGACCCAGCACCTTCTCATGAGGATCATCCCCATGGCTCCTATCCTCTGCCAGATCATCACGACGACTCTGGCTCTGACACACCATATCCTGCTCCTGGCGGTTATCAACCTCCTCAGGCCTACCGCGAGCCTACGCCTGATCAACCTAAGACTCCAGTCCACCCTGATCCTGAAACCAAGCCTGAGCCCGCTTACACACCTGGTCATGAGTACAGTAAACCCCCATCTCAGCCATTTGTCCCTCATCCTCAGGTGACCGCATCCAAATACCCATCCTCGATCAGCATCCAGGCATCTCCAACTCCATCTTCGGCGCGCCACGCTTCATACGCACTCTCCTCTCACCATACAGCAGCTCACTCTACAACTTCTTGCACTTTTACCAGCACTGCTAGCAAGACGGGAGGCCCTAGCACTACTGCCCCAAACTCCGTTTCACCTTCGGCTTTCACTGGTGGTGCTGGTAGTGTGGCGGCTCCTGGAGGATTTGGTGTGGCCGTTGTCGGTGCTTTGGCTCTCCTTCTCTGAGTATGTCTCAATCAAGCATGGGGTTAAGGGTAATACGCTCGTTCAGCTACAGATGGTTGTATCGTTTTTCTTTCGGGAAAGATCCAGCACGCAGATGATTAGATCATCTATCCACTCGTTACCAAACCTACGATATTTAAAGCGTCCTACTTTAGTCTTTCATTTATGTTGACGAATACCGCACACTCTTTTCCTCCCCAAAACAATATGTTCAGCTGCTGAATTACATAATGTCTACTCGAGCTTATTATACTCGTGTCCTATTCAATTTTTGTATTTGCTATTATTATTTTTGCTATATTATACAGTTTTGGTTGTCTTTAACATCTACTCTTAAACTTAATCAAACTAATCAAACAAAAAGTATACTTGCTCCTAATAGTCTTGAATGCTCTCTACAGCTTAAGCCAGCCCTGGACTATCGACAATGTTTGATGCTAGATAGTCTTCTCCCCTCGCAATAATCGACTCGTCCAGAAGGTCTTCATACTTTTCACTCCTATCATCGCCGACATCCATCCCCAATCACTTTATTCGGAAGACAATCATAAGATATATCACCAGTTACTCCACAGCTGAATTTCCTGGTGACCATAAGTTCAATCTAGCACTCTGACGAGACGTCCCGTAGTCTCTTTCAATAAGAATAGTATCATTTGACTGACTCACTGGCTACAAGGTAACAAAGGCTATCCCAGTAACCGCTGAGGAACTTGGGCCTTGTTCCGGAACTCGTTGCTACGGCGTAATGTTATCACTTGATGAACTGGCCACAAGAGGGTGTGCCATTTCGGGTAACCGCTGGACGCCATCCCATCCCGTTCCTGACCTTAGGTCCAGCCATGGCATGATGTTCTAAAAACAGGTCAACTAAATATACACATCAACCGCGTGTAAACTTGTCCTCCTACCTATAGCCTGAGGTAAAGAGACGCGATCCACCTCATGGAAGATATTCAATCTGTAATGTAAAATAAAAAACAGTCGATCTGTATGTATCAATGTTTACAAACTCGATACATGACAGCTACTGAATCGGTATGTCACGGTATAATTGAGATCTGATCAATATCTGATTGTATATTGACGCCTTTCCCCTGAAGAAAGTGATCCATGTCAAACCCCGGGTAAGATATGAACTCAATATAGACTTGAATAGCTTCAATGGCACCCTAGAAATAGTACCTGATCGCTTATTCTATGGTCATTGTATGAGGATAAGATATCTAAGTGGAGGTAGGTCAGATCAGTAGGTGACACCGGCATCCAAAAATAGGATCAATAAGATTATACGATCCCTTCAGTGGAACAAGTATGAGTTCATTGAGTGGATAATGGGTACAGCTCATGTTTATATTTAGATTCTTGTACCTTAAATGCAATATAAAGCATGCATTAGCGAGGTGACAGGACGGAGATCTAAGAAGAACAGCTGAGCAATAAGTGTGTTCGTTGCAAGGATATATCAACCTCCAGCAAGCGGAGAAGGCGTAATCAGGTAAGTGAGAGGCAAGAGATGGGGCAAACATACTAGTAAATAAGTTTTGGCAGACATATAGTGAAGCTAGTTTGCTATAATTAGGTCTTGTTCATTCAAATCAGGACGAGATGATTACCGACAGTTCCGGGTCCTTTCAGGGTTCGTTGGATTATGGTAACACTTTATGCTTGATCAGAGTGGTAGTGGTAGGCACTAGATTGATATCAACACTAAAAAAAGAACAGACACAACGTTTAAATATAGCATGTGGGCCGTTTTGGCAGGAATGAGTTGAATAGCGACTCTATTCGGCTTTTTTGATATTGACCTGACCTCTCCGACGCTCCCTGATTGGTCGAGTAGTCAATGTACCAATTGCGAGGCTTTTTTGACGAGGGACTGCTAAAACTTATGAGAAATATGGGCTTTATCTAAAAGTGCAGCATAAGAACATAGTTTTATGACCCGAATAGCAGAATATTTTTCATTTGACAGGGGCAGTCAGAACCAGGGACATGAGGTGAGGTCGTAAAAAAGCGACCGGGCCTAAACCAATCTCGGAAGGCAGTGGAGCCGGAAGTCTATTATTAGAACTGAAATCGAACACATTGTTATTGTTCCTTGTTCGTATTATGCCTCTCGACTTCTCAGGAAATGTCGGGCGCGTAAAAGAGAATTGAAGAGCCAATGATCTCATAAACTTGGATTATTCGTGCGTGTGACAGCTTTTTATCACTTCTTTCAAATAATTCTCAATCCGAGTTTGGTGTTCTTGCGACGAGTCGCTCTACCTCATTATCTATCCATAATCTGGACATTTCAAGCTGGTAAAAATTCGGTGGCAGGCCTACACTGGCGACAGGCAACAAAAAAAGAATACAGTAAGTTTATTTTCGTAGTTGAAACATCCCAGTACATTCAAGTCACTGGCTTCTTTTGCTAAATTGTGTCGTTGATGTAGCTGCAGCATGAATCACAGATTATCAGGAGTCTAAACTGTTTTCGGTAAGGTTAGTGTGTTTCCAAAAATGGCATCTTCAGGACTCTCGAGCCTTCATACCATTCCCACGGGTCGTCCGTAATGGACATCCCGCAGATGTTGTTTGCTTACCCAGGATTTCATCAACCGAGTGACCATGGGAAAGGGTCGCTGTCCACAACACATCGTGCGGTCGTAATGTCAATAACGTATAGGTGAATAGTTACAGATTAAGCCTTTGTATTTCCTGAGATAGAAAAAGAAAGAAGCGTTCGGCTACAGAAAGGATTACTCCATACTCTGTTAGGGCAGTTGCAGGACGGAATAGAAGTGGAGACCTCATACCCTCTCCTCCACACAAGGGAAAACAAGCAAGCAATGCAAACTGCATGCAACACTCTGGAAGCGCTGCCTTCTTAGTGTTGAGAACACTGAATACTTACTTGACAAGCTTAGCATGCTGATAGTAGGTGTGTACTACTGCATAAGGTTCTATCGATTCGACGTCGCTTCGGATATCACATGATGAATCTTCATGCACCGAACTGGCCCTTGAACGGGATAACGGACCAACCCAATTGAACCTTGGGAAGAGAAGCAAGGAGGAGCTCGAGAAAAAAGGATTTTCTCCTCTTCTACCCCTCATCACCATAAACCCTAACGAAGATAAGGACCACCGGTTAGAACATGGACTCTTTGCGTGCTGCAAGTCCACACTACACATCAGACATAAATACAAGGATTTGAGTCCTGATTTGAACCCTGCAATTGCAGTTGATCCTTGTCGCCGATGCAGCGGATGTCTAACCTAGTTGAAGAAACTGCAAAGGATGTATGTATATGAGCCTAAATCTGTCCACGTAGAGTTTGGAGCGGTAAATAGCGTTATATAGGCCTTTAATCCTGAAGATATTGAACTCAATGCCCTGGTTCCTTCATTGGGCACTTTGCACCGACGTTTGTATTGCTTCATGGCGTCTCTTCAAGCTCGATCAAATCGAAGCTCCTTAAGGATTGCTTCGTATACGAGGACATTGAACAATAGTGTATTTACTCCATACAATCGGCCTTAGTCCAAAAACAGGCTGCGTGACCGGCTCGCTGGACCAGTGGGCCTTAACCTTTTCTGAGACTCACGCTAATTTAGTGCGAAGCAAGTCGTGATCCCCGCATAAAGTGGGTCTCGATTTTGGCCAATGGCTGTCCGTCGTTGGCGTTTCAAAAGTTTGTCCCGGCATTGATGTCGTGACTAGCCCCAAAATAGTAAAGCGCAGGCGGTTAATTGTCGATAGGAACTGGAGGACTGCTCAACTCGCATGTGGGGCCATGACTGATTGATCTTTTGATGATTACATACGTATCGCATACAGGAAACTTGGACTCGTTTACAACTTTACATACTCCGTAACCGTCTGTCATTCCATTGTCGCACACAAACTGGAGCATTCCGTAGGGAGCAACAATCCGCATATGGGAACGATGGTAGGTGAGTATGGTCGGTCGCAAATGAGAGGCCGCATCTCGCAAATCACACGTCACACACACATTGCGATGCAGATATGCCCAGTATTTTCAATAGACCCGAGCACTGATTTATAAATCGTTTCTATAGTATTACTTCGTAGAGCTACGAAAATTTTTTTTTTTTCCATCTTTCTTTTCTCTCAATGGTTCACGCAATGGTTGACTAACAATATCCAGAGAGGCAAACAACCACACTCATTTGGTGAGGATTGGGCTGAGACGTCCCACTTTCTTGCATACACCAGTTGATCTCGCCACGTCGTGACCAGGATGTTGACTTCTGCAGAATCCAGCCTGGCATCTATCATTGGATGAAACCTAGATTGTGCTCAGCTCTCCAACTCCCCTTCGTCCTGGTTTATCTACGGTGCCACACACTAGGACGTAGTCAATTCATTAGTCTTCGGATATTTTCAGTACAAATTTTAGAGTGCTCCGTAGGCGCAGCACTGCTTACGAGAAGATGTCTTTTTAAAGGCTATGCTGCTAGTAACTACAACTAGATTGCTCAGTGGCTGATCGTGTTGGTAATCTTGTCTACGGATATGTCCCGCATACGTACAAGCAGCGTAATGTATTGTAACTTATTGGTAATTTATTACTCATAGACCTGTTCCGGCCCTACCTAGGTAAACTAAGCCCCCCTTAATCAGATTAGTGCAGCTTCTCGAAACGCCACATGCCGCACCGTTATTGACTACCTTACTCCGTACCAAGAAGTATGAGACCGGTCACTGGAGGTAGTTTATGTGGAATGGCGAGTTCGTATGGATTAGTCGAGGAAGCTTCTCATGAATCGACCAAAAAACACTTACCGAATGAGAATCACATTCTTTGCGTAACAATACTAAACCTTTGTGGCAAGTCATGTACAATGAGTATAGTTTGCTAATGTAATTCTTCTAGATTATGTTGGTTATATTGTCGGTGAGTCAGTGCTCGTTTACGAGTCGTTTCTACGAGTCATGACGATAACAACATGAAGTCGGAAAACAAGAACGGCGTGAATTCGAAAAGAAAAACAAGCAACTAAGCCTCCTGTCTTCCAACTCAGCTGCACTTTACTGCAGGATTTCTTCGACAAGATCTTCACGTGGCTTACTGTTAAAGAGGCATAACATATACGAAGCTGATAGCCCTCTCAAAGTCCCCTCTACAGATAACCACATAAAGTTTACTATACAGATAAGTGGTTCCAACTCGTATGTCCCTTCCCAAGACAAATTCACTGCGCTACACTGACTCGGCTCGGTCATGACTCGTAATTGATATACTATCGTGCCATGTCGGTAAAGTATATCAATGGCTGGCGAGTGAATGCACGATAAGTCATGTCGGTCTGTTGGCGATGGATAGTCTAGCACAGACCCGAGGATTTGGGACTGTGTGAGCAGCTAGAGAAGTCAAATGGACAAGCACTAGATAGCGTCCAACACAACAGGATATGCGTCATGAGCTGATTTGCTCCATTATTAGAATATAAGTTACATACATGAGTCGCATAAACCAACACACAGAGACATAATAAAAATTTCTAAAGGAGCATAACGCCTGGTAACAATAGATGTAAAGTATATGCATCAGTTGTTCCTCTACCAGTTTCCGTAATTCCGTTTTTTTTCGCCATGACAATTCAAGAATTTCGCTCCTAACGAAAAGGGTACAGAATCGAAAAGGGAGAGGGCGAAGAAAAAAAGATGCTCGTACAAAGGTAATACCAGTGTGCAGATGGACACTGTAATATTAACCATTGTTTGTAATGTGGAAAGCAAACCCAGTCCGACCACAGTAAATACCAGCGAAAGCTATCATCCGACAGAAAATCCGCCAACTCCCCCTCTCACGCCTTGAACAGAAGGAGAAAGGAAACCATCATAATTCGTAACAGATGCAGAATCACAATAAAGCGCCGGAGATAAAAGAGACGCCAGAATTGAAGAGACGCATGAAACCTCCAGGGCACCATGTGAGGGATGTCAGTGTAGATATTATTGAATAAGTGGGAAATCGAGATGATGTCGGGGTTGGTTGGGCCATAGCCTAGATGCAAGTATTAGGTCACTTTTGCAAACTTCATCTGCATAACAACGGCATTTCGAAACTTTAGGCTTCGGTAGTTTTTCGTCGTTTTCCTTTGGGAGGTGGATCCAGTGGTGTTCTCTTATAAGTAACTGTGCGGGTAACAACCTGTTTCACACTGACTGGCTTTCCGCAGGCGCTACGAGGTGTCTCAATATAGCGAAGTTTCCAATCTGCTGGTGAAAAGGGTGATCGCAGTGTAGTTGCACTCTTTGGAGAATTTGTCGTGGGTGATTTGAATGAAGTCTTAACTGGTGGCAGTCTCATGCGCCTTTTGCCATTTGCGGATTTAGCTGAAAGTGGGACAACGGGTGACTTAGCAATTGGTGATTTAGCGATTGCAGCAGACTTGGGCGTAGCCGATTTGAGGTCAGAACTTGAGAATGAAGAGGTTGTTGCTGTGGTGGGTTGTGATATTGATCCTGTAGAAGTATATTTGTCTGAAGGATATTTGAAGCTGACCCCCGGGCTCACTGGACTTGTAAACACCGGCGTGAGAGCCTTCAAGAATTCAGTGTAAGCGAGTGGAGGTGTGATTGGCGTTGAAGCCGCATCTTCTTGTTTAATGTTGCTAATGGCAGACAATGAGCCACTTCGTATTTCTGATGGGAATGTGCAGCTCCTTGGAGTTTGTAAAGGATGAAGGACTGGTTTGGCGGCAGGTGTCATGATGAATTGCAAGTGACGAATTTTCGCCGAGGTGTACAACGGGATGTCGAACAGCCTTAACAGCCGGAGATAAATCTTAATCAGCTGCGAAATTGTACCGAATCACCGCGACACAAGATGTTTGAATAATAATGTGTAGACACGACCTCGACTTTCAAAGGAGTGTACGGACGTGAAGGAGTCTGGATAGAGGGGGGCTTCTTTTGCAAGGAGAATCAAGTGTATTTGAGGATGACAGAACGAGGAAAGGAGGCTTCGGAACTGGAGACGTAGTGTTGAGCGAGTCACAAGGGATGATCATCCAACCACATCAACGATACTTATTGCGACCGACGATGGGCTGTGTGGGCAACGAGTTAGTTTATTATACCCTGGTAGTTTCGGGAAGGGAGATCTATCGTACTGCGTGTAATGTGTTGACAGCTGTAATACACGTAACAATGAATTGTAAAATTGGTAATACCAACCCGTAATATATACAGTATCAAGGATATCCGCGCTAGTCCGGAAAGATCTAGATCGAAAATAGCGGCGCCAATTCGCGGTCCGCGACACGAGCGGTTGATCTCCTGAAGTCAACAAATTCTGAGCCGAGTTTGGTTCGTTGAGTCAAAGCTCAAAGCCTAAATAGCACAGCGATTCCGTCGCTAAGAAAGAGACCTAAGTGAATAGGATCTAAAACATTCTGATAACTAATAACGTTGGCGCGGCAATGGGTAATAAAACAAAGAGCTGAAAAACGAAAATGACGAACTGACTCAGCAGTTGGTGGTAAAAAGAGAAGAGACTATAAATGAGAAATAAGGAAATGTGACAATCAGCAAGTAACCTGCCAGAGGTGAGTGATAAATGGCAATAGCTGAGAGATGTTGAGTATCCTTCTCTTAAAAGAGTTGAGTACCCAGGTATTCTCATTATATATTTTAAATGTGTACTCTGTTCGTTTGCCACAGCGTGTGAAAGGCAAAGAGTGTTTCTTTGGGAAATTTCCCGCGCGCCGACCTGAAACACGCCTCAGATGTTGCTCCCTACCAATGATAGATCGTCTCGCGGCTTTCTATCTGAAATTGTTCCGGACAGGGGATCCGATGAAACAACGAAAGCAAGCTTAGACGTGATCTGATTGGCCGTGGGAATGGGCGCGCGGCTATATCATGAAAAGATTATATGGTAGAACCGCCCATACTCCAGGTTGAATGTCAGATATCGAATTCCTGGCTATGGTTCGTCGTTTAACAGTTCTTCATCGTTCATATCTCGAAGGGCCATATTTTGCACGTCTGACTATCAACTCAGACATATCTAATAAGCCAATTGATGCAAAGGAGAGAAGATAGTTTGACGTCTAGTTACTGAGGATCTAACACCCTAGGGTTATGCAATGGCTTCGACAGCATCCAAGAAGAGTCGAGAGATGCTCTATAGGCATCATCTATGAGACTTGAGCGGCTATATCATAACTTAACTATCGCATGAACAGTTATTGTTTTGAAGAATACTTCTTCTCTGGTACACCTCCTGCAGTGTAGCTCTCGGAACTAAAACATATGCACCTACGCGCCGTCATGACCTCAACTACGAAGATGACATCCGATTAGTTGTACTTGCATAGAGGATTTCCAGATTTGAAGCTTGATTAGCTCAGTCTATGCATGTTTCTCTTGCTGCTCAGCTCAAATGAGAATCTTTCATTTCAAACGAGGTAAGAGGATCGAGGCATTCGTGAAATCGTACTTGACATCGAAGATTCAGGGTTCCTTTTGCGAATTGACGATTAATTGTCTTTCATTGATGGCTGTTGCTCCATTAGCTTCGCGCTGGTGAGTGTACATACTATTGAGTTATTGAAGAGAACCCTTTTTCGCATCCGCCAACTCTACCATGCTCCTTTTGCTTAGTCGCTGCTTGAGACTTTCATCCGGGTGCCTCTTCAAACTGTGCAGACTGCGTTGCGGATGATCTCCTTCACAAGAGTTCAAAGCCAATAGCCTTCCGAGCGCTGTCTACCATGAAACTTAACCTACCTGAAATAGCATTTATGCCTCGATCATGCCGATCCTAAGCACATGTCTCCTTCCCAGGGAGTATAGGTGAGTTTGGACGGAACTGGTCGATAAAATGTCTCCCGGCGTGATGATAGAATAAAAAGACAATCAGACTGCCTTATTCAGATTTTGTTTCTGGTTCCGGAGTGAAAGCAGTTATTCGTTGACGGTTAATTAAGTGTGTTGTCGGGAATTGAATGGAACTGGAACAACAAATTATCCGGAGAGCGTGTGATGCCAAGACATCGGCCGTGAACGGGACGCTATTTTTAGATCCCACAGCTACGTATTGTAGATCGCCAATCTGAATCTCAACATGTGATTTGACGGCTTTTCCTTCGTCGAAACAGACCACAGTCTACTAGCGGCCTGTAGGCTGCGAATCAAATGCTTACGTAGTAGCATTTGCCATCATAGAAACAAGAAGATTGCTCTAGGCATTCCTGCAACAGTTGTGATCCCGTGATCTTCCCCCTCTTCGCAACCATCGAAGCGCTTTCTTTCTAACGTCGTCAGCCCCTCCCGCGTAGTTCAGACCATCCAGTCGGTGAGCTAACCAACACCCTACACGGCCACAGACTCATCGAGGGACCGGACCAGATATGTCTCAAAGAACTTTCGCTGCCATCGATGACTCCCTTTCATTGGAGACGCCCCGCGTCTCGGGAAGCAGTACCCTCTCGATATCCGCACTGGCGCGATTCGAATTTGAAGCCGGAAAGGGCAACGATGGCACAAAGATCTTGATGGTCGAGTGGGAAGATGATGATATTTCGAGATCGTCGACGGGTTCTTGGCATGTTTCATGGGAAGGCAAGACAACTGTCTTACCAGCAGATGAGCAGACGACGGAGAACACCAATAGGTTCTATTTCTTGCTACCTCCAAAGACAACAGTGCCTCCGGTGATAGATTTGACTTACACGCCACATCCGGAATCAGCTTCTACTGTTAGACAGCCAGAATCTATACAGATAAATCCACTGCCTGCAATATTTCCTCCAGAGCTTGGTGCTACTGCTCGAACTGCAGGGAAAAAAGGAGTCTTACATACTATATGGGCCAAAAAGAGACTTCAGGTTTTAGATAACGAGATAAAGTCTGAGTCGGCGACTAATGTCGAAGGCATTGCCTTACAGATGGCGATTCAGGAGAAGGAGTGGATTGAAGAGAATTACGGTGTTTCAAGTCCGCCATCCGTAATTCAAAAAGCTTCTTCTTCCGATCAAGCCATTTTTTCTACGCCGTCCTCGCCGCTTACCATGGTTTCACCCGGTGGTAGCCGATCCTTAGGTGAGAAATTGAAGGGTCTGAGATTGGATACTAGTGAGACGACACCGTCTAAAAGGAGTGAAGGTAATAATCTATCATCTGATTTCATATTGTTATCTCTGATACAAGACTGAACATACAAATCAGATTATAAAAGTGATGGAAGCGGACAAACAGGAGACACTGATAGATACCACCTCCTCTCCCCCCAAACTCGCGACGTTGCAGTATCTTCCTTCAGCGCTTTTTCTCATGTATCACAACCTGACAATGAGGTCCAAAGTTATGTCGCACACAATCCGCCAGCCTCTATACAAAAGGCCCAGAGCAATGCTGGAGATTTCGTGTTCATGAGTACTTTGACTCGCACCGAAAGTACTGACTCGGCAGATGGCCTGTTCGCAAAGGCGCTTAGTCCTCGTACTCCGGATTTACCAGTCAGCCCTTTTTCTTTTTCTAGGTCAGATACGATGGCCTATGTTTCCAACAGGTCATAGCCTAGTAACTAGTTACCCCCAAAACTGAGTTACTCAATTCCTGTTTTAACCGTTAGCTCCACCGGCAATGCATAGTCTTTGAGTATCAGTCGCCCGGTTGTCTTTGATATTCTTATCATTATCATATCCTCCCATGCAGTGGCATCAATGAAGCTGTCAGATATCGTTACCTGTATATACTACACGCCATCTATTACCTAGCTCCTCGACTTTCCTGAGCTCTGTTGCCTATCATCTTTTTGATACCCTTGAATAATGACACAGTTCTGACATGATGGTCACAAGTAATTATCTTTGATATATGTGAACCAAAGGTTAACTACCAACTATCCTTACATTAAGTTACAGCAGAATATTTATCTCCGTCCTAGAGTTCAGACCAGCATTTTCAACCACTCGCCTGCGCGAGCTCATCTATGTGGGTATTTGGATCCAGAAACATGCTTCAAATGATTTCTTGAGAATCTAGCGAAACAAGTACCATAAATGTACATGTAAATGAATATAAAGTAGCACAAACAGAAATGAACCAAGTGGCTCTGTAGGTCATAAGATAGCACACATCATCAAAGTATAGTATAAAACGTAACAACTATGACTGACCTGATTACCTGCAACCAAGGAAGATAGATAAGAAGAAATAATAAGTCGAATAGATCAAGTCAATCGAGATTTACTGCCTCTTTTTGCTATTTTGGCGGCTAGTCCCTCGAGTAGCGACAGGAGACTCGGGACGCTCCTTCTTGGACGAACTTTCTGCCCCCTTTTGATTGAGTTTTTCAAACTCTTGTGCATCCTTCTTCTCCGCGTACCACTGGCCAGCTTGAAGAATCAAGACGCCGACCAAGATGAGAGCAAGGATAGTGTTGCTGGCTGCTAGAACTTTGAGACTGTCCTCGCGGCCGAGGACTTGCTCGGCGTCATCGTCGGTTCCAGCAAGTTCAGCGCCATATATACCACCGCTCACGAGGCGGAGACCCTTGACAATGTTGGCGATGTAGACCGTGACACCACAGACATATAGGACCAAACTGGCACCATCAAAGAGCATGTTGGACTCGGAAGGTTTGTACAGTTTTGCAAGCATTCCAGCAAACCCTACAAAGATGACGATATGCAGAATGCGCGGGATCAATGGTGGGGATGCATGGAGAAACCGGAGGTGCGCTTCAAGGTAATCGTAGTGCGACGGAGGCGTAGGTTCGCCAGCCCATAGCAATGGGTAATCGTAGGGGAAGAGAGAGAAGACTATTCCCAGGAAGAAACAGATCGCTACATACCAAGAAATTTAATTAGTTCATCATGCATTAAAGGAAAGGAAAGGAGTGCTCGATGAAAAGGACACTTACGGCCAACGATGAGGAAGGTCGCGAACGACCCACTCTTGAGAGCCATGATGAGCCGACGGAGACTCTACAGAGAACAACGTAGGACACTGGATATGATCGGAAGAGTATTTCCGAAGGATTGCTCCTTGACTGATGCTAGAAGAGAGAACAAGGAAGAATATCTCTTATTGTCGGGGGGGTTGTAAATGAAAAATACCATGTGGAGCTGTAGCGAGCTCTGAGAGCCAAGAGTTAGATAAGACGCCAGCAATGCCATGAGCGAATCATATTCCGTATTCTTTATCTGGTACTAAGCCGCATTCGCCAAAGGCATCAATATCGATGCCTGAGGTCACGAGATAAACGAGATAGAGTGGTATTCGCTTATATCTTGGCGCAAACAATCACTTTCTGAGCTACAATTGTCGAGTGCTACAGATTACCACATTTACAACAGCCGCACACTTCTTATTGCTACTTACTGTGTTCAATTGCTGTGAAACGATTCCGAATTGTGGTGATAATGGCCCGTGGGGCCCGTTTTGCGGCTTGTCAGCTTAATAAATGGATCGCAAGCATAGCGACAGGGCCTTGCAAAGACCTCCGGCTTCTGGCTTCTTCTCATGAATGTTTCCCCACTATCTCTCCAGCTTTTGACTTTTGATAGTGCAGTTCCGGTACCAATATGATGTCTTTTGATCAATATCTTGATGTAGGTATCGACTATGCCATTGGTGCTCAAGGGCGACTCGAACATGGGGCCTCCGACAACTTCATAGACCTGAAGTGACATGTCGGAGTCGGAACACGATAGAACCGCTAGGACGTGACAAACGAAGAAGTGATCTGAGAGCGGATTTCGTGGCAGTATCACTCCTGCCAAAGTACTCGATAAATAATCATCTAACACGGTAGTGGAGCACATGACGCGGCGCGGCGCTAATGACTTATTTCGACGGCCATTATAGGGTTGAAATGAGAGAATATGGGGAACTGCTAACTAATTCCGACAGCATACGTATCTCATATACGTCTTCTGTTTGCCAACAGAATGCTACAGTACATGTCAAGTCGCTAACGCGGGTCAACCAGGGAGAAAGTGGTTCGACCTGTCCGGCTCAAAAGACTTACTATGGGCCGGGAAGCTCGGTTCTTCTGATTGAGAAACGGTGGGGTTGTCGAGTTATTGACTAGTTGTAAAGATCTGCAGCTGCATCATGGGTAATTCTCACTCACCATTCGGGCTCGATCTTCGCTCGAAACTGTAGGCAAGGTTGTTGGTCGAGACAGAACATCCCCAACAATATGTAGGAGTGTATATCTGCCTGTAAGACGCTCTCTCCATTGCTGAATCAACCCATCTCGGCTTCAAAGGGTTCAACAATAAGGATTCCAATTCAGTATGAGCTCACGGGCGTCTCGGAGTAACTAATTGCCAACTAGTAGCCCGTAATTTTAATACTAAGCCAAAGAGGTTCGCGGTGGCCAAGACGGACGCTTCAGGAGGGGAGCAGAGATCATTGGGAGCCCAAGGCCCGCCAAAAAGCTTGACTGCCACTCTCCCGACCGGTCGGTGCTTGCCGCTTTGTTCACCTGCCTGTTCTATCTCTACCCATCTCTTACCCTCCGATAACCACACGCTTTCTTCTCTCTTCCTCGCTCTCTCCATCTCTCTAGCCTGTTTGCCTGAAGTCAAGCTGAAATTGTTATTTATTCTTCTCTCTTCTATTCTTATCGCTCTGTGCTCAGCCGGTGATTCCAACAAGACCTTGCCGCGTGTACAACTGCGACGACTTTAACATTCCCCCGCCCCAACGACATCTTCGGTCTTGGCTGTTAACGAAGCAACTCTGTTTAGTCCTACATCCTCCAGGCACGATCTTCATAGGCAGAATCAAGCTATATCGCACGTGTATCCGCCCCTCCTACCAGCCGTTTGCCTTTCCTGTTGTCGCGTCCCAGGATCATGATTCTCGAGAACCTACGCTGAAAATCCCTCGTCCTTCGTTTCGCGTCCCCGATCGACTCCGCTCAGGTGCATGTTGCCCCTCTCATCGTATCTCTTCCTCCTCGTCTTAAGATAGGTTAGCGAACATTGGGTGGAAGTGGAAACCCTATCAAACAATACCCCAGCAAGAGAGTCCATCAGTGTTGCAACCCCTCCTGCTGGATGACTTCCTGAACGGGACAGTCACTCCGGCGCGAGTGATATACCGACTCGACTTCCGAGGAATATTACAATATAATTATATCTATTGTATGGATCGCTGCCGAGTGTCATGTCCGCCGAACTCTTGTCGGGTGCAGACCCGTTATCACCGCGGAACGGATGGGTGAACAAACTAACGTCACGCTTTCACAATCGAAAGAGAAATATCTCGGAATTCTATGTCCAACCGGACGACCCTTGGAGGGCGTATTTTCCGGGTGATATTATTAAAGGCACCGTAATTCTTACAGTCATCAAACCGGTCCGGATAACCCACCTTGTTGTATGTCTACACGGCTATGTGAAAGTGTTCAAGGCGACTGTTTCTCCCGGAGAGATTGGTCCAGATATTGGCTTCGTGGGTCCTGGTCGTGGAAGAAGAGCTGGAGAGTATATGGGAAATGGCCTCGCAACCCTGTTTGAAGATGAGTTGATTCTTTGCGGGGACGGGCGCCTCAAGGAAGGAATCTATAAGTTCAAGTTTGAATTACAGCTTCCTCCATACAAGCTCCCGAGCAGTCTAAATGTATGAATAACCCCCCATTGTCAGCAACTGCATCTCTTTTTCTGACAGGTTTGATTTTTAGTTTGAGCGTGGTACCATTTCGTACACTATTACGGCGACTTTGACTCGCCCAATCACAATCAGTCCTACCATATCCTGTCATCGTCGAATTACTGTTCTCGAAGATATTGATATTGCAAATTTCCCCGCACCAAAACCCCGAGTTGTATCGCTCGAGCCTGTTTCGAAGAAGTCAAAGGCTCGAATCAAGCAGAAGACCGCGATTGGCGATCAAATCCAGGAACCAACTTTATCAACACTTGGAGTGCAGGAGACATTGCCCCCGTTAAGCCCTGCGCCGAGCGAAATCAGTGGCTCTAGTCGTCGAAGTACAAGCAGCCAAAGTTTCCGCATTGTTCACAACCCGCACCGGACAGCTAGCATACGGAGCAGCGAAGCTCGCAGTATATCCACATCTCTAGCAGAGAAAACCATCACTGCCACAGCTGAATTACAGAGATCTGGTGCATTGCCTGGCGATACTATTCCCATCCGAGTTATAATCAATCATAATCGTCAAATTCGAAGTCCTCACGGTATTATCATAACTCTATATCGACAAGGTCGTATTGACGTCCACCCTGCTATACCACTTGGACCTTCGGATGCTGAAGGCAAAAAGGTATACGAGGATTTCATACCGAAGTCGAGAACTGGCCTAAGTGGACTTTCTCTTGGAACGAGTAGGAGTAACAGCGTTTTTCGCAAGGATCTTTTTCAGACATTTGCCCCGGTGATTATTGACCCTGTCACAATGAGCGCAACGGTCAAAACTTCAATTCGAATACCCGAAGATGCATTCCCCACAATCACCCGTGTTCCAGGAGCAATGATCAGCTTCAGATACTATGTCGAGACAGTTATTGATCTTCGTGGAAAGTTGACAGCTCAGGATCGGTTTCTGCCATGGTTGAACATGGGTTCTGGAGGAAATTTTTCTCCCGGCGGCAATGCCATCAATGTCCCAGGTCACCAGACTGGCGGATCAGCAGCCCCAAACTGGTCCAGCAATATTTTAGATACTGACGCTATTCGACGTGAAAAGGGAGTAGTAGCTATGATGTTTGAGGTTGTGGTTGGAACAAGGGATTCAAGTCGAAAGCTGCGGCAGAACACGGACGAAACCCTATCAGTTATCCCCGATGGTACTAATACATTACATCCAGCCGTTCATGGCATGGATCACGATGTTGATTATGGTGACGGGTATATAAACGGCGACGGTCATTACGATGAAGGCGACTACTATGCAGAAGACGGATATTATGACTACGAAGAAGAAGCGACTTACTGGCCTGATCACCCCCCAGCAGAGGATCAGCATTACGGCCCACCGGAGGAGCGTGTGCACCAGCCCGACATGCGCGAACCAGACGACGAGAAAACGCGGCTGCGGCAAGCTGAAGCGATGTTGCTACCTAGTCGGCCACCTGGAGAATCAAGCTCTGCACCTCATGCTAGGATTTCTGTGCCCACAGCACCTGATATCCCTGAGGATGATCATGCCTTCGATCATGGCGCTTTTCCTGACATTCAGCTTGAAACTACAGCGCCGTCATCTGCTATATCTGTCGATACCGTCATCCCGGGGCCTAGTCGAAATCGCTCATTAGGCAGCCCTGATTGTGAGCATTCAGACGACAAACATGAGCTTGAGAGGCGTCGATTAATGGAAGAAGCGAGCGCCCCCTCATCTACTCAGGATGGTAGCAGTCTAACCCCCCCAGGGCCCAACATAATACCTACGGCGCCAATATTAGAGGAAGATGAATTTAGCAACTTACATGCGGAGACTGGCGAGTCTCTCCCTTCCTATCAGCGCTAAAGCGGGCGTTCGCATTGTATATGCCGGGAAAGATTCTTGAACGAAGAAAGGATGCTCGTGCTCTTCGCATATCGCGTTTGAAAAATAATTTTTTGTATTATGACGATACCACTGCCGTTTGACATCTTATTTTATACTTCAGGTTTTCGGCGTTGTTGAAGATTTTATATGGTGAAATATAGCCCATATTTTAGACTTGGGCATTTGCATTGTGTTTTAATGCATCGGGACTGGAGTCGCTTATTCATGTTTGTTTCATGCTTGTACAGATGCAATCTTGATGCCAGGATTAGCAGTAGCTAATTATTTCGTAAAGATATAAATTTATGTTTGCTGATATTGATATTCCAAGAGTGACCGGTAATTTCACCTACAAACATTTGAGAAGAAGAGTTCCACCAAGGGCAATGTAGCAGCATTCCCCCCGGCACCCAAAATATCCACTAGGTGTCTATATCACACTGTTGCAACTGTGGATGATAATTCCAAGGCCCCTCAACTCCCGAGATCCTCGAATTAAATGATTTTATTAATATATAGTATGAAGTAGGTTGTTCAGATCATGTGATGTCATAACGCCATCATGTCTGATGTCAGGGTAGAGCACCGGCCAAAAAATATATAAGGAAGCAGAATAGCTGAGGTTAATTTGACCTCCAATTTTATCCTCGTCCTTTTGACGACTTCATCTGAAGCCCTCCAAACGTGCAAACAATATACATCCACCAAACATCCCAAGCTACACATCAATTTAGAACCAAAATGTCTGGAGACAACTCTCGCCGCGGTGGCACTCTTTCAGAGATGGCCCCAACTGGTACGACCATTCCTAATGATGCCGGTCTCCAGAACACGATTCCATCAAAGGCACGTCCAGATCAGCAAAGTGAAGATCATCGATTCAGCTACGACGGACTTGCCCAGTCAAGTGTCGCAACTGCCGCCGATAACGCCACTGATATGCCCCGAAGCACCCGTGATGTAGGCCAAACGGGTGAAGTGATGACTGGAACTGGTGATTCTCTACCGGCGGAAATCGAAACGAAGAATCTAAGTATTCAAACCAACGACCCCGGTGCCAAGGGCCAGACCCGCACGCTCAAGCACGCTGTGAAAAATCGTGGCGCGTTCGATAAACTAGTTGGGGATGATCCCGAGGGAGCACAGGCTGTGGGAGAACCTGAGCAGAGAGCTTAAGTCACTCATTGCAGGAAGCGAGAATATCCACCGATCATGCATGGCTACTGAGGAGCCTGATTTGGGTATATGTAAATATATGTTGCTATTAGTTGTCATGAAAAATGCTACTCACTTGTACAATAATGATATTAAACTTATATCATCTACGTAAAACTCACAGAAGAACCGGTGAGTCCTTGGTAGATTTCCTCCAGAACGTCTCGTTTGCGTTTTCTTGTATCCGGTTCGTTGTTGTCTTCGGTGTCGGTTTCGCCCTCAGGTACTCGAGATACCCACGTTCTTATAGTGCCATCGCCGTGAGCAGAAAACAATTCCAGGCCTTCTCCAGAACCTCCATTGCCTCGCCAGGCTAGAGCATTGATCCTTCCAGCGGTCAACGCGCTTGATTTGCCCACCCGATGGTGGCGTGAAGTTGACATGAGTCCGGAAACTTTCAGTGTCTTAATGAATGCCCCGTCCCTTATCTCGAACATCAGAATCTCGCCACGATCTTCTTGATCGTTGAAATTTGGCCATAGTACTATCTCATGTCCAGACTCAACGAGGTTACTTGGCAAGATGAGCGGTATTCTTTCGGCGAGATGCGAAGAAGCGCTATTTCGAAGCCGAGGACCAAAATGTACGAGTGTGTTAGCCCCAGTTGTCGCATCCCATACACGAAGACGCGAGTCTTGACCAGCAGTAATCAAATGACTACCGGTTGAAGTCCACCTCACTCCGGTCAATGCACCATTATGAGCACGCCCCCGACGAGAGAAAGCATGATGTTTCACGATAGAACCCGTAATCCTAGCCTGCGCAGACACTCCCGCAGTATTATCCATGTCCAAGGACCCAATGGCGGAGCTTGTACCTGCTTTGCGAATATCGAATATGATTGCTCGATTATCTGTCGACGCTGATGTAAGGATATACGGCCGATGAGGTGCCCAGTCCACAGATAGTACAGCCGAGTCATGGCCGAGAAGTGTATGAGTTGCTAGTCCGCTCCTCAAGTCGAGAAGACGAATAGTTCTTTCTGACGTTCCCGCTGCAATCAAGAGCGTCGAAGCTGGATGCGATGAAAGTGAATGGCAATATGGAGTCGCATGTAGATTGAATGTATGCGCTGGTGTAATCACCCCATTTCCAACAGCCGATAGTTTTAGAGTATTATCGCGAGACGTTGTCAAAATCGTCGACGGTGTGGGATCAAATGGGTAAATAGATATCGACGTCAGCGCGTGGGTGTGAGCGAGCTCGTGTCGGGTTCTTGGACAAGTTAGCAGATTTCAGGAGCAGCCATAGAAATCTTAGCGTACTTATCCACCCAAGCCTTGGGTTCGTGAAGATATTGTAGTTCCGCGCCTCTGTCATCTAGGTCCCACAAACGAATGGATGGGTCAGCACCTCCCGATACCAGACTATTACTGAGGTTAGCAGATAACACAGCATGCTTCATGGAGATTGCCTACTATCGCCCATAATACTTGTCAATTGCAAGAACATTAACACCCGCTTTATGTGCGAAAATTTCACTGCCTCCCTGTGATGTAGAATGCTCGTCTTCATCGGCACTCTTGAAACTCGTAAACTGGAGGCCTGGTGATGGTTCAAGGAGCTGTATCAGACGAGATGTCTGAGCTATATGAAACTGCCGAGTTCCTATAGACCCATGGGCCCTGTTCAGCAGAAAAGAATTCATACATCAGATGTTAGGTGTCGTAGACTCTGACATCTGCAAAAGCGTTTTGACGGTGATATCATCGGAAGTGGAAGTCAAACATTAGTCTCGGCTGAAAGTAATTCCGAGCCATGCTTATCGTGAAGTCTTATCGGACTTGCTAGCCTTTCCGAACAAGGATCTCGAAAGATGTGTTGATTTTGTTAAAGGTTGATAGCCAGTGTCTGCAGTTGCACTGAACTCATAACGGACATGCCACCCTCGTCGATTCAGATAAAACACAGTCAGGCCAGAGGGCTTTCAACAACGCAATCATCCGAGGAGAGTCGTGATGAAGAACCGAGAAACCCACGTCGTAGAAGACGAATAACCGTGTATGATATCGTTGCGGGTAAGCTATCATTTTGAAAAGAAAGATGGATCGATGGCCCTAACAATCCCAGGCAGAGTAAATCGGCAACGGTTCATCTCCCACTCGTACACTTCTCGATTCAGACGTAATGTGTCCTCTAGCCGGGCTGTTCGACCGTCGAATGATATCGTATCTCGTTTGGAAGGCGATGAAGCCCTGGATGACTGGATTGACGAAAATTCTCTAGACGGTGTTCCTCTTCCTTCGTCCGATATGCTCGAAGCAATCCAATCATATGCAGGTCATTTCTACGCGAACACTGTTGACAGTCGTCGTACGGAACATTTTTCCAGTATGGATGGGACCGCTCTCATTGCAATGGGAGTCTTATTGGAAGAGATGACAGAAGAATTGCTTGGACAGACCGGAGATATGGTATTGGTGGAACGTGAGGATGACAGCAACGATGATTTAGGTTATTACGCCAGCGAAGCTAGTATCAGCAGCGTCCACACCGGAAGGGTGAGTAGAAAGCGGTCGGCTTCGGTCATGAGTAGAGGTACATCGAAGCATACGTCTGGGACTGAGGACGACTCTAGTAGTTCTCGCAAATCAGGGAAGAACAAGAGGCCTCGTCTCGATAAATCGGTTGTACAGTCAACGGAAGCCGAGACGGAATAGGTTGCGGACGTGATGAACGACAGTAGTTGTTGATTGATAATGTATTCAATTTTTGATTGAGACGAAATCACAATTACTCCAGCGGGAACGTTCTTCTCAGGTGACGCGAGAGTCTTTTGCAGTTGCCCGTCACGGTTCGTGGGCCGCTCCTTCCTGTGTTGCTCCCGAGCCAAGCAACTTCACCAAAGATCGAGCTCCCGTCCTTAATATTTCCTCCACTCAATCTCTTGTGACGAATGACGAATGGAATTTGCTAAAACAAATCTCTGCAATCGACGGTCGAGTTGTTTTGTATAGTATTTCCGAGACAATGGCAAGTTTACACGTATAACTCCATAATATTGTACGACCTACTGACAGCACGATATAGGCTCCCCGAAGCAAGGCGATTTCGTCTGAAGTGAAACAGCAGATGATTCTCAATCACATACGTTCGACTCGTACTTGCCATACACTCAAAGACTTGGAGAAGATGCTACCTTCGGTTGCCAGTATAAACAGTATCCAGGTGAAAGATTTTATCATTGGGTTGGTGAATGAGAACAAGATACGCGTGGAGAAAGTCGGCAGCAACAACTGGTACTGGAGCTTTCCAAGTGACGAAAGACGCGCGCGTGAAAACCTAGAGGAAAGATTACTTCGAGATTTAAATCGTCTAACCAAACTTGTTGAGCAACTCGAAGACGAACTGCAAAAGAAACAGACTGCAGCGAAAGAGGAGGAAGGGTCTCGCGAGCCCATAGATATTGAGACAGAAAGACGGGCTCTCATGGAACGAAAGTCTAAAATGTCCAGTGAAATCGAGCGCCTCCAAGACCAAAAGAATGCTTTCGAAAACAACGGGGTTTCTAAACTCAAACAGAAGACCGAGGAAATCAAGAAATGGAAACTGGAAACAGAAATATGGGAAGATAACATCAGCATTATGGAACAATACCTTTGTAAGCTTGCCGGTGGAGACCGCGGACTGGTCGAGGCAATCAAGAAACAGTGCTACGGTGACAATTACGAGGACGATCATGAGATATCAGAGTCTGGGTGTTAGATGGCGATGAGTTCGATAAGAAGGCTAATTTTAAATGCTTCAGAGGACAGTGTCATCAATATCACTTTTCTAAAAAAGTCATCACTGGGCATGTGTTCCCACTTCATACATTTGGTTTCGGAGGAATGATTCCATCCACATAGCTAACTAACTAGGGATTTGTAGGTATCTAAACGCATTGGTTTGTTTACATAGGTACAAGATAACGCCTTAGATAAAGCTCCAGGGCCGTCCTATGAGCTCCAACCTTGTAAGCATTCTACTCTGCACCATTAGTTAGCGGGTCAGTCAGGCATGTCACACGCAAGTTATACGTGGTGGGTATTTGATATTTTTTATTCTTGTCCAAACTTCGGTTTCTATCATTCTCCCTCTGAGATATACCAGATATCTCATGATCACCAAATCCAGCTAACAGTGAAAGACTGTGATCTGAGCACATGGTACTGTCGGGTATAAAATAACTAATTGATACATTTGAAGGAAACAGGAGATACGAAAGGAGAGACTGAGACTATACTATTAAGACAGGATTCCGCCAAACCGATAAAAGGAAGAGAAATTCATAGAAGTCATTGAAGATGTTTAAAACCGACATTTAGCATATGAATGAACGCAGGACAAGCAACCTAAATCTTAGGAATTGTCGCAACTCACAAAGGGAAAAAGATGCGAAAGGAGTAGTAAAGAAATCGTTTGTTGTTTGAAATGTCAAGAGATCCCAGAAAACACCATGAAAAATCTAATCCAAGCACTGCAAATCGGGAGATCCAACTTATCCATTAGATCATATTCCCATTGATTCTCATCAAATCACCGCTTTCTTTACCGCGTTTCAGAGCCTTTGCGAGCATTAACTCTCGCATCCAGTCAATGCGCTCGTCTCTGGTCTTAACAGCAAAGTGATGTGACTTGCCGCCGTTCAAGAAGAGAGCCTTCCGGTCCACACCTGACTCCTTGTCCTTATCTTTGGAAGGCACGAGAGAGAATGCAAATGCTGATTCATCGGCTGCAGTGTTGTTTCGCTTGAGCAAAGTTTTCTTAAAGGCTGCACTCAGTTTAGAGCTCGAGGCGAGTGATGAGCAAGCGACCGCATAGTCATCCACATCAATGCACTCGAGAGCTCTAGAGTCCCGCCGAGAATCCCTCTCGTTCTCGAACATGGCTAGTTGAGTACCTTTGAGTGTGAAATGGTGTTCTTCCCATTCATGGCGAAGGAGACGAGTCGTCTTGCGTTTCTTCATCCAGCCACTGTGTGCAAAGTCGTTTGCCGTTCGGGGAAATAGACCTGTACCTTGTAGGTCTTCTGGTCTTTCAATAACGGCCACTTTGCCTTCTTCCACGCGTCCCAGGGACTGTAACCCTTGCGTGTTGATAAAAGGATGGTTCCTGCGTAGTGGGCGATCGTTCTTTGTCGATGAAGGGCGGAGTATAGGATCCGGAAGGGGAACCATCCGTTGATGACCAAACCTCATGTTTGGAGGTACAGACTGGGTGATATCACGTTCTATGGGACCAGCTGGGATGGCCGTCACTGGCACATCCACTTCAGAGAAAGGAGTGCCTTGACGGTAAATATCAGCACGATAGTCATCGGAAGTCCTGTAGTAGTTTCCAGGAGAGGCTATCTGGTCGTAAGCGTGGGGATATTGCTCATGAGGGAACGTTGGCTGATTCTGTAGAACAGATGGTGTTATTGTCCTTTGTGCTGAGAAAATCGAAGATGGCTCATGTGAATTAGGGATAGTCAATTTGGGAAGAGTGCGCAAGTTTTCCGTGAGATTGGGACTCGATTTGAATGAATCAGGAGTAATATCTTGGGGTGGTGAAACCGGATCATCGACGGGTGAAGTGCAGAGGTGCTGGAGATTAAGGTACTGGCGGATGCTTTCCTGTGGATCACGGGGTTGGACTTCACTGAGCTTCTCCTTGCTCAAGGCAAATTGTGGAACTTGTTGAGGACCGAGGAGGTCTGAGGATGCTACCACAGATGGAACATGATCGGGGATATTCAGCAAGAGATTGGGAGCAGTTCTGGGATTACCAGGATCACCGGCCACGATGACATTGCCGTTGTGAATACTGTCTTTGGGTAAATCCTGGGCTAGTCGGGCTAATAGCTGCTGTTGTCTCTGCCACTTGCGACAGTTTTCTCCTTTAGAACATTTGTGTTCCTTGGGGAGTACTTGCTCAATTGCCACAATGGAAGCGGAGTCACCTGGTCGGATTTCTTCCGGTTCTGTGTAAGAACGCTGATCGTCCGATTGGTAAGCCTGTTGTACAGAGGACGACGACTTTGACTCGTCTTCGCTGGTCCAGCTCTCATCCCCAGATATACCAGACGTCCGATAGCCGGCGGTGCTCATCCTGGCACTATCACGTAGAGTTTGGATTGAGTTCATGAGGCGACGGCGCTTGCCGAATGATTGTATCTCGAGTTCCTTAAGATCTTCAGGTCGCAGTTCAAGAAGGATTGAACCTGAGATGTCGTTCATCAGGAACTTCTCCACAAGACTGTGGTCAAATCCTTCCGTATGCATCCAAAAAGCGACCTCCTTAGGTGTCCATTTTTTGACTGCTTCTTCGTTTTGGTTAGATACCGCATTGTTGATGGAATTCGCCTGCCTGGGCTGGGGTCTTTCTCGGGTGGGGAGGTCGTAGGTCTTTTTCACGGGGGCTTCTAATTTTAGTGTCTCCGAGAAAGTTGCAGTCGTCGGCGTCTTAGCAAGGACAAGATCAACTTCCATAGTCGATTTCAGGTCTGTCGAGTCCATTGACGCTCGGAAAAGATGAGGCCCGCTTGGCCCTTTCACAGTAACATCATTTTTATTCATGTGATTACCTCCCAGCATGTGCGAGTCCGGTGTACGAACATCCCGATATGTTGATATTGTCGTTACACTGTCGGTAGCTAGCTGTAGTGTACGTTAGAATGCGTTGACCCAAAGGTGATTACCTCAATATTCAATCTTACACTTCTTCTTGGGGACTCGTCAGAGTAGTCAAAATCATCTTCATAATCGGACTCGAAATCAGTATCAAAGATCTCTGTGGCCTGAGAGAGTGGCCGAGGATTTGAATGCCTCGGTAGGAAGGGTGCTGGGTATTTTGGTGGCATCAGCGGAGCTGATCTTTGAGCTGGTTCGTAGGTCTGCTCCTTTCAATCAGTACAGTGCTTTCTTTGTTTTACGTCTTCGCCACATCGGAGACATGCTTACCATTTCGTCGGCCACAGTCGGCTGGGAGCCGATGTGTCTAAGGAAATGAATATCCAAGTGTCAAAGGTTATGTTAATGTGCAATAACAGAAGCTGATGTTAACAAAGTCTTGGTAAGAACAAATTCAATGATATTATCACATAAGTTCGGCGTTTAAGAAGAAGAAGCGCCTGGAAAACACGGGGTGCGTAGTCTTATGTACATCCATCAATGAGCGGTATCTTTTGGGTCCGGCCCCTCACTGTAGGGGCGAGGAGCGGTGGGAGGATTCGCCATTAAATGTGACGAGGTGCACTGGCATGAGAAATGGCTTACATCGGCCGCACAACAGAACAATGGAAATTTCAAAGCTGACCAGCCAACGTACTGAAACGTTGGCTGCGACTTGTCGGCGGCAGAAGGCGTGATTTCCTTGGCTAGAGTTATTGCTAAGTTAGCAAGGTTCAAGAGCAATGCGGGCATTCTGTTGGACGTGTACGGGGGAATCTTTCCGGATTACTCGAAAAATGTGATTTCACTAAGGTAGCGAGCGCGCTGAGAGGACGGTATGAATTGCGCTACTGCCGAGACGATCAATTCGGCACACCTCGACAGGCTGTGATTGTTTCTTGAGGTCTGCTTAAGCGTCACGCTAAAACAGCCCCTAGATGTGATCAAGTGCAATTCGGCTGCTTATTGGCTGTGAGGCCCACAGGAAAAGGTAACGTTCCGCGCCGCTTCTTCTGTTGACCAATTGCCCTAATTCTTCCCTTTTTGGTCTGCGATATGGGATAAATATAGACCTTTTGGAAATTTACTTGACGAGAACTCTCCAAATTGCTAAATATAGTTGGTAAAAAAACAGTTTTGTCTGTTTGGGAAACTGTGGAAATTCTGCAAAGGGTTGCATGATTCCCGATCTGATGTATTGTGTCACCATAATTAGTATCAGTTCCAGCCGAACTAAGGCATTTGATGCCAAGACAATTATCCTAAAAATAACCAAAAATAGATGATTTACAGAGCTGATTGGTAATGTGATTCGTGCTCGGGGAGCTGATCCTGGGAACAGAGCTATATCCGGCCTACCCAAGAGAAAACATCTGTTCTCGAAATACGATTTAGTGAGTTACATTGGGCACTAACCATGGCTTCCATCGCATGTTCGTTACAGCCGAGTTGACACAAGTCATGTCAACTGTCTCATGTGCTGATCTGATCGAACTTGAAACTATATACTAGATCCCTGATTCTAGAAGCTTTAGCTGCGATACCCATAGAATACAACCCAAATGCCTAGCAATAGACTTAGACTTCACCCCTATTGCTCTGTTAATTGCTAGGGAGAAGATAAGTAAAATAATGATATAAACAGTGTTTTGTAGTTTGTACTGATCAGACCGCCACACATCATTTAGGTGTAAACGGGGCCCGGACCATACTTCCCAGAGTGGCACATGACCTGTACAGCATGTAGGTCCTGAGTATTGTACAGAATCCTCCCGAGCTCCATAGTGATTCGTATGCATCCATCTTATGTAACACGGTTTCTGGTGGGCCATTCTTGCGAACCGACATCAACAGATAGAATGAACATTTGATCTGTTTCAGGTCCTACAGCAATTCTTGTAACAAGATCATGCACGAGATGTCTGTATGCTTTGGCAAAAAGCAATTGACTCAAACTATGAGCTCGTCATACATCAAGTCTATGCGGAGATTAATGTTTGAGCTATGAAAATATGCTGCTGGTCACCATGCGATGATGTCCGCTTTTGGTTACTAGGACTATGCAGTATGCACTCCGTTCAAGACTTCGAGATGCATACATCATGTGTTACTAATTATGTCTACTTAGGCAAGTTCTTGATAACTAAATTTAGACTAAATGCACCATGACGAGTCATTTTGCATAAAATTATTTATAGATAAATATCTAAAAATGGTACATTTAGCGGTACCTTGCATATGCATTAATATGCGTGCTGTTAAAATACTCGAAAAAGGAAAGTTTGAGAGCAGGAAGAAGCTCAATTAGCGGCGCTTAATTGTTGCTAATTAAGGCGCATTTCTTCGATTTTCTGCAGCTAGCACTATCTTATCACGTTTCCCCTCCCCCACGGATGCACGGAGCACCTTTAGACCGGCCAACCACGGATCCACAGTTGGCTACGGGGCTATCCGTCCGGGCAGCAGTGGGTCCTCCATCTAATCCACTCATATCGACCCTCATGCAGCCTGTCCCACTATGGCTTCATCTGATGACATCCAATCTGATCAAGAAACATGAAGCTTGGCATGACACTAAATCAAGGTTCCATTGTGATTAGTCCGTGTTTTATTAGCTTTATTTTTCAATGTCATCAGGCTCCTTATTATTGGTCACTCGCCAATTTACTAGCCAGTCAATGGCCGGCTCTGTTGATTTGGCCCAATTAAGCTTGTCGAAAACAGAAATTTGGTCAATAAATGCGGTGACAGTAATGGCCATTTCTGGTTACTGTCGATGAGATTTAGACCGGTAATGTGGGCAGAAAAACCCGACCTCCGCTAGTTGATTGGGGACTCGACATGATGATTGGATACTTTCTTTAATTACAATGACTATACGAAGCCGTTATCTGCGCCGTAATTTGTCACCGTGCCTAGTTGATCAGGAAGCATGAAAACATAACGTTTCCCACGCACTACATTGACATTCCGCTCTTGATACCCACGAATCTCGTTCTACAAATAGCATGAGCGGCAATGGAGCGCTTGACTAACCATGCCACCGGCGACAATAGAAAAAACGAGCGCGGTTATTCGAAAATCTACGGAGTAGAAGCAAGTCAAAGCAAAGAATCAGCCGGACTTTGGCGGCATTCTGGTCGTAGGAGCAATTTGTTAGTCCGTATGTAAATACTAGCCTTAGTGCCGATCTCAGCCAATAACAGGTCAAGATGGCCGTGCCAATACCCTGTCACGACGTTAAAGTTCACGGTTGATCCACAACGACCAGCCATTTTTCGCTCAAGCAAAAGCTCCCTGCTCATCCTCGCATTAGTGCTAGTATGCTCCCGTCGACGCTAATACCTGATCCTAGTCTGCATTGCAGCGTGAGTGACCCAAATTTAGCTCTTTTCCTTCCTGCATAACTAGAAGAACTAGTGCAGCTTGACTGCCATTTGTCAGTGACCCTCCTGCCCCGTCAAGATGCCTCCATCTAGTTACGCCCCACTCGCGTTAGCTTCTGCGTGCTCTCCGAACTTCTACAAATCGCATATAGATCGTCACTTGCATAATTCGATGAGCAAAAAATAGAAACTCGTGCTAGAGCTCTGGAGCTTTGTATTGACTTCAGAAAGTGTAAATATCTACTCCAAGATACCCCATCATCAAAGTTGTCAAGCAGGCCTCAATTGAATCGACTGGCTTTTGATCAACACCATCACCAGCAAGCAAAGACTGCCGGTACAGCTTTGTCTTTCCCTCCGGACTTGGAAACATAGCAGCTAGCATTCCTGTCCTGCCTTACTATCTGTTTATGTCCTCGACCATTTCACCTTGACGGTGGTTGCTCTTACAGAACAATAGAGATTTATCAGTCTCTTCAATATGCCTTCCCAAAATATGTCATCTTCCGCCATGGCAAGACCAGCCACCAAACGATCCTCTGCCTCTTCAAGCAGAGCCTCGGTACAAGATGCGGACAGACAGCACAAACGATCTCGCGATGGTACTTATCACAATGTACTATAAACCAACATGACTCAGATACTGACTGAAACTCATAGGCTGTTACACATGCCGTTTGCGACGAAAGAAATGCGACGAAGGTCACCCCTCGTGCCGCGCTTGTATCCATCTCGGAGTTAAATGCCAGTATACAAAACCCTCATGGTGGTCAAATATAGAACAGCGCAAAGTACAAAAAGAGCGACTGAAGAATAAAATCAAACAAACAAAATTGAACGAGAAGAATAACTCCATTCCAGGTATTAGCCATTCCACTACTTACAGGAATTTTGACTTTCGCAAATACTAATCTTCTCTTGCTTAATTCCAGGTCAGCGCAACCGTCCACTTCCCCTACCACTTTCATCGCCCTATTCACCCGTACACGATTTCAATCGACCATTCTTCCCTGGAACCCCCCTCGATCCCTTCGGATCCCAGCTCCCTACCCCGGCTTTGGCTCCTACACAATTTGGTCAACTGGGCCCATATGAGGTCGACGTCAGAACCGAGCGCCAACTATATGTGAACGATGTTCCAACTCGAATCGACACTTCATTCTCGACCTTCAACACATTTATGCCGCCGCAAATGCATGCGACACTTCCACACATGCCCAATGACGAGTGGCTTCCCCCAGTTGGTCAAGCTCCAGTCCAATTTCCATACCATGGCATGGGCCCGATGCCTTTTGTCCCGGAAGGCCAGTCCTTTTCTCAAATGCAGTTATCTATTCCAGTCTTGGATGCAGACCGACCTTTGCTCAACCATTTCGTGGAAAAGGTCTTGCGCCTCATTTTCCCGATACTCGAGGTCCACCAAAAAGGCCACGAACGCGCGCAATCCATCCTGCAATCTCTAGAAACCAACAAGTCATATCTTCACTGCTGCCTGAGTGTTGCTGCGATCCACGTGAAAAGTACAGTGGGCGTTATTAACGAAGAAGTCGATCATGATATTATGAGACATCGATATGAGGCGGTCGCACAACTTTGTCAGTCTCTCAATGAGGACTCACAGCACGAACAGATTCTCGAGGCTACGCTTGCTATGATCCTGTTCCATTGTTCCGTTGGGGGACCGGATGATCACCTACCTGACATTGCTTGGAACGACCATTTCCATGCTGCCACTAGTCTGATCAACAAGTTGGAATTGCCAAATGCCTTGGTTCAGAGCAACAACAACACAGTACAGCCCCCCTTCAACATGACATTGGCTTCTTGGATCGATATCTTGGGGGCAACAATGATTGGTAAATCTCCACAATTTGCTCACACTTACCGCACCAAGCACTTGAGCGGAACCTCCTCCGGCCTCCGAGAGTTGATGGGTTGCGACGACCGTGTAATGTACCTGATTTCGGAGATTGCTTGCCTTGATGCACTGAAGACAGAAGGCCTTGTTGATGACCTTTCCCTATGCTCACATGTGTCAGCACTCGGCCAGCAACTTGACGCTACCGACTATGTCGACAAGTCACTTGAGCACCCCTACTCGGCTCTTAGTGGAGGTATCCGACCAGACCAACTTACCAAGAACATGACCGCCATCTTCCGTCTTGCTGCCCGAATCTACCTGTGCAGCCTCGTTCCTGGATTCGACCGCAATCAGGCTAGTAACGTCAATCTCGTCGATGCTGTCAGATATTCATTACAATTTATTCCCAGTGGCCCGGATGGCTATGATCGATCTCTTGTATGGCCTTTGCTCATCACCGGTGCCTTTTCTACCCCCTTCAGCCCCTTCAGACATACACTACAAAGCCGGATAATGGAAATGGGAGACCAAGCCGAATTTGGTAGTTTTGGCCGCATGTATCGGGTGCTGGAGGAAGTGTGGCGATTGTCCGATGATCCAGTCACACCAATTCCAGGTCTCGACGGTACATTGCCATCACCCACATTCCCAACTTCTGGAAACGATCTCCCCGTGTCTCCAACCGGAAGTGTCTCGGGTATGAGAGAGCTTAAGAAACGCGACGTGCACTGGCGGGATGTGATGACGCGAAACGGGTGGAAATATCTCCTGATCTGATTCGTCCCAAGGGCTTGAATATGTTGGAATTTCAAATCTGGAGACATAGAGCGATCTCCTGCGGTGAACCCTATCTCATGCGGTACCACCTCAGTAATCCATCAGAATGAATCCCCAATGGATCGGACATCTATGCGGAATCCTTACCTAGAATCATGTGAGTATAGTCCTCCGCATCAGAAGGATAAACAAAGCTGATTTTACTTAGTTACGCTCCATACATATCTACCTAACAAGTGGGTGTTTCCCACAGTTCTTGCCGGTTCAAGAATCGAAAAGAGAAACGCATGAAGATCAGAGTACTTCATGTTCGGGTTCCGATAATCCTGTATATGCGCAATAACGCTAATGTCCAATTTTGTATTCTTGATAAATGCGGGGCATTCTGTTATTGATTATTGTCTGTTTGGCTGGATTTCATCGACCTATCAGAAGTTTCTCGTGATACCCCTATCTTTTGACCTCTTTCGTTTCGTTGCCTTCATGTTTCTTCCTAAAAGAGTTGGGTTTTTGCTTTAAATGCAGGGCGGGCGGCGTTGTTGTGTGCTCTATTTATGGTTGGGTCAATGTGGATAATTTCTTTAATGCAGATAATGGCTAGTTATGGTTATAGAATACAGCATGTATGTAATTATAACTTTGATCATTGATTGCTTGATTGAACAAATTACCATAAGACTTTATCCAACCATAGAAATAACTATAGAGATCCAACCATCTCCATATGCAGCACTCCGCGCAACTTCCTCCAACGGCGCGGACATTGGTAAAACTACACCATGCAATACCGGCTTTGCCAAAACCGGTATCCTCCGACTGGGGAAAAGATTTGGTAATAAGGAATGCAGAGCGGTTCCGACTGTTTGCGGCTGCATTCGTCCTACAGAGCCTGTACCTGTACTGGAGGAGGCCTGAATTGAGGGTGAAACTGGGGATTGGGCAACCTTAAGGGCTGGTCTGTCTGCATCAGGTGGTAAGGGGAGGAATATTCGAAGAGGGATTTGACGAAATGGTTGCGGTAAAGGTGGGAGAAGGAGATTGGTGATTCTTCGGTAGGAAACAATGTCATCTGGGGACAGGTCAAGCATTAGACCGTTAGGCTAAATGTATACAAATAAAGGAAGGGTTAACTTTAACCTACGGTTTTGAATGGCTGACCAAAAGCCAGCGGTGTCCTCTTTGGACAATGTCATGATCCCTTTTGCGTCTCGTATACGAAGTGAGTCCGCTTCTTTGACACTATTGATAAAAGCGTCATGCATGACAAGTCCGTCGGCATCAAGTCGTACGAGGTCCTCGTTGGGCCAGTTTTCGAAATGCAATGTGAGTCTCCATGGTAATCGGTTCGAATTAGAAGTGTCATATTCCTCTTGACCAGAGGAAGGTTGGATATTTTGACCACCGACCAGAATTGCTGATTGCGTTAAATTATTGTAGTCAGTTGTGGAAGATTGTGAGATAGGTTCGGCCCCGGCATAGAGATCATAAAGTAATCCTAGTGGATAGTGCCATTTTAACGGGACGCCTTCAAACGAGAACCAGCCGAAATGTGGCTCGCATTCCGGATGAATAAGGGAAGGTCGGAAAAAGGAATGAAGTTTTGGTAGGAGGAAGGGAAGGTAAGACATCCGAGGGTATAATATCTGGACACGATCAGGACAAGTGTTCTGGACAGAATGAGAATCTTTGGTAGCCGTACCAGGTAGGGATCAGACTGATCATAGCTCCGACATTCTGAAGGGGCTAGAACAATCTCTAAAGGGAGTTTACCTCCCCAGACCTTCTCTTGTATAGAGTTGAGATGCGTCTGATTGGCGCCAGACATGGCTCTGCAGGAACGCTCCTGTAGACCGGCTTTGGTAACCTGAGATTCACATTAGTACCCATATATCAATGATTATTGGGCGGCAGCAAGACCAATTTAGATAATAAACAGAGACTTGCCGAAAATCAAAATAGGAGAAATGGAACTCACAGGCTACAACTGTACTACTATGATCGATGGAAGCTGAAGAGAGAGCGAACAGACGAAGAAGCGGTGAGAAGCTCGGCATAGACCATGACGACCCCTGTTAGAATTCAGTCTCTGGATGACTAATTGTCGAAAGTTACAGCAATCTAGGCGCTTTGAAGGGAGATCGTTGAAATTAAGACTAAGATTACTGAGATAAAGACGACGTCAAACGAGGAAGCTTCGACGATCCAATCGACACGTGGGGCGGCGTGGGGTGGTGGGGACTGCAACGGCCTTAACAATAAGGCCGGCTTTTAAACGACAACAGCTTGTCCTCACCATAAACTGACGGAGCTTTCGGCAATATAGTTTTCTGCTGAACCATGCTTGTAGCCCATTTTCAAATATTTTACAATCATACGAACATACCGAGTCACACAAATCGACTCAATCTGAAAGTTTTCCAACCTGAACGGCGATCTGAAAATCTTCCGAGTGCAAAGCTGCGCAATTATGGATATGAACCCTTGAGATGCACTGTCAATGTTCCTCCAAGTTGATTCGGCCGACATGGGAATTAAGAATTCTCCCAAAGTCCTACATTGACGGTTAGACTGCACAACCTTAATAGCTCTATTCTTGAGTCAGTCCTCGGCTTCCTCCAAAAAGAAGAAAAATAAACACACTCTTTATGTCGCACTTACTGGATGACCGTTAGCTTAGTGCGACCACCATTTTTTAAAGTCTATTCGGTACGCTTCAGATTCCATGTGCACTTGACCGGTTTACGATGTGGATACTCCTAGTTGAGACCGATTCGTACCGCCCCAGACTAACCAGGATAAATGATTAGACTCAATGAGGGAAGGGTCTAGTCCGACCATGATACGTACTCCATGAGTTGGACCAACCGGTGCTCTGCAAAGTATCTTTAGTATATGTGAAGTGGTACAAACATGTTGATAATATACCAGGTATCCTTGCTCCGCCGACTGCCTCATCCATGGAAGTTTATTTGCATCTGTTGGCTATTTCCTCGAATTTGAAATTGATTAAAAACACTCTGGTCCAGGGGCCTAGACCAACAAGCCACAAACGAGGCTTTGGGATTACATCTACAGTCCTAGTGTATATGACGGTCTAGATTCCAAGCTTACCTTTATCAGCTTACACTTGTCAATTTGGACCTTACATTTCCGGTCAGCTTGATTAGGGCTTTGGGCATTTCATCGGAAAACACAACGACGCGCGAAATCAGCCGTTGAGCGGTTATAGCAGAACTAAGGGTAAATTTACCCTTAGCTCTCCGCCAGACAACTCAAATCGAGTATTGTGTGGCTATAACAGCTTGCAGCAATTGTAGCCACACTGTAATAGCAGGTACATAGGATTTACTGTAAGACACACTTGGACACCCAGCTCGGAATTGCAAGCCTCATAGACCATTTTATTCATTGAATATAAACTTGTGATAGGCTCCCGATATGCAACTTTATTAGTGCGGTCTAGACTTTGTATCCTACCTAGGTATGAAATGTTCCGTCATATTTGTTCGGTTTCCATCAAGAAGCCTCCAAGGGTTACCAGTAATTATCTACAGGCATATTCCAGGATTATACCAGTATCGATTTCATATTTTCGTAAGCCCTGAAGCTTATACTCCCCACCAGTGCTACGTACCAGCCCTCCAGACCTAGGAAATTTACAGAGCTTACCATGAATGGAACGCTAGCTAAGTGAATTAAACAACGAAGCCTCGGCATCCATTATATAGCGCATTACGTTACTGGAGGCGACGCGGCCAAAAGTGTCTACTTCCAAGGTTTTTGGAGAAGTCATCGGGCATGGACATGGCTGGGTATGATCAGGCGTCCAACAGCTCAATAGCGTGTGGTGAATATCATGTACTTATGAATTCCGGGTCCAGGTCATGCTAAGATCGTCAGCTTTTTTGGATGTTGAGGCTGATAAAGGGTAGAAACTACTACGGGCCTATTACGTTCTAGACTGATCGAATTAGTCGATAGATACATATCATATGTTGATTTCTACGCATTTGCACGGACCATATACATAAGTCCCGTTGTATACCTAACTAGTGGGTTGTTTGTACTAGGTACGTATCAATGACTACACAGAGTACGTACATATATGTATGAGTCTAGAACCTTGAAAAGGATTGACGAAGGCAGGTGGAGCTTCGGCTTTAATGGTTCGGGAACGGCACGGGCCGTATCTTATGTAGGTGGATTACTTTTGTGTAGACACCAACTTGGTTATATAGACATACGCCTGTCATACATAGTATGTATTTCGTTCAGTAGTCATGTACTTAGCAGCTACTGTTGAAAATACTCACAGGGGCTACATATAATAACTTGTTGGGCTTTTGACCAACTAGACCAAAAAGCTGCGCGCATACTAGATGATCTAGTATGGATGTAAATAGCTGGCAAAGGTGATATGTGATGTGAGGTGATATTCCCAACATAACTTGTGATACCTTTTCTGTAGGTTGTAAGCATATTTATAGGTTCAAGTCGAACGCCGTAGTTACATAGCTATTCGATAGATGGCAGTGGTAGGATCATCAATCTGAAGTTGTGATCCATGGAGACCTAGTCAAATGACGCTAAAGCCAGAAGTGTCTTGAGGAGCGAAATGAGACACTTCTGGTTTAACGCGAAAAGAGTATCTTTCGATTTTTTTTTTCAAGCGAATTAGCGCTGTTACCAATGTAAATTTGAAGGACCATTAGTGACAGTCAGGCGACCCAATATGTGGGGGGATTGTGCATGGGACCATGTGCGTAGTACATACCGCATCATAATAATCAGACAAAGAAAAACTAAAATACCTCCAACCGGAAAGCGAATTACTATAGTCAATGTTCACGGACCAAGTTAAGCTGCGCTGATATTCATACTGACATCCAGAATTACCAAGCCACACATCATGCATCCTAAAAATGTGATAACTCTTCCTGCAACAGAGCTACAGATCTAATCTCCGGATATGGGTTGCGTTGCTGCCTAGACTGCTAAAGTTATGTGAGCCACTGGCATGCTGATCAATCTGCCTTGTTGGAATAGAGTTTGCCATGCTTGACTTATTTCCGAACGAAAGTGAGATCTTCGATTGACAAGATCAGACACTGCTTCTATCTGTTGTCAACACAACAGAAGACGCCACTTGAAGTGCGCCTCGGTAAATAAAAGAAATGGAGCGTACCTGACATGGATGCGCCTAGACTCCTCGACAAGAGACTTGAAAATAGCCCATGCTCACCATAATCGCCTAGATTTCAGATTAGAAGCCAGCCAGGTTACAATGGCGCTCCCGGCATTGTGACGCAAATGTCGCAATAACTCAAAATGTAGTATCCGGATTGGAGAAGGAGCATAGTATTCCACAGTAAATTCGGAACCGGCCTGAGGCAAGATCTAAAGCTTACACGCATTGATCATTGGCCTAACACCTCGACTGTAGTAACTCTTCGGATAGGGTTGGTTTGCGCAGACACTCGTCCTATCCCTGTCATCCCAAGGCGAGGCCAGGATCTGCCTGCAGAAGCCATGCCAACATTGATCTTAGCTTCTTAGTTGTGCACCTCAGTACCTTTTCTCAAGTAAGCAAAGAACACTAGACTTCGAGCGAGTATATGCTGTTATTTCGTGAGTTATCGCTCCCCGTAGAACTCACCTATAAATTCGGCTCGGTCTTCCGTCTTCGCACCTGGGCTAGCAAAGCACCTCTTCCACATTCCAACTGGTACCAGTGAGCTTATTTTGCGCAGCTTTATTATACCTCAAATCCACTCCATTCTCTTTGTTTAAACAAATTTGAATCATGTCTCGCACCAAGAGTCAAGCCAACGGCAAAGCCTCTCGGTATGTTTCCTCCACTCGCATCGATATGTCGTATGTAGCAAGCATTAACAAGATGGTAGATCTTCCGGCGGTCAACCCCTGAACGCTGAAAATCTGACTCAAGTACCAGCAGTAAAGAAAAGGGAGATCGGTCTGCAGAAATATATCCTCAGTCTTCCTCACGAAGAGCCATACTATCTCCCGGTGCGGATTTCAGACCGCGAACTCCACGGGACCCGTTTGGAGGAACAAATTGCCGATATTGAGAAGTTGATGAGGTAGGAGATCGAAGGTTGATGGTGTCACTTGAAGCACGACCTATTGAATTCATGGGAGAGTTCATTTCTGATGAAGTATGCATGGGTCATGAAAGGCTCAAAAAACATTTGTATAATTGATATGTATCGGAAAGCGTACATAAAGTCGAGTTAACCCAAAAATCCACACAATCTATATGGTTATCTATTTCCAAAACTCAATGAGCTGGGTGGCCAGCTCTTCATATTTGACGCTTGGGAACTCGTGTCCAATGTCGAAATATGTAATTTGTGCGTTCCCTTCCAGCGCATGTGTCACGTCCTCGACGGTATCGTCTTTGAAAATGACATTGTCGGTTTCTCCTAGTACAACTAAGACCTTGTCATGGGCAAGACCGGTGCCAGCGCCTTCTCGTTTGCGTTGAGAAAGGAAACTGCCCAGCCTCTTCCAGTTATCTAGCTGTGATTTCTGCAAGATTGGGCCATGCCTCATACTGGAAATAAATGCTGGAATAAATCCGTCGTGATTCTCTATCTGCCAAGCCACGGCTTCTGCAGTCTTGAGCGACGGGTAAGTTCGGGAAAGCACTTGTTGCGGAGAAGCAGTAAGTTCTTCGGTAAGGGCAGCTTCAACACCAACGGTCTCATTCTGCGAGCCATTGTCCTTCTTCGGCTTGACCAGCGGACCAGCTTTCAGTCGTCCTTTGACAAGGCTGCTAATGACGCTCTCCGGGAGCAAGCCCTTAGCATTCAGAAGACGAGTCTGCCAGCCAACGTGAGATTCGCGCATCAAGCCTGCCGGTGCAAGAAGAACCAGAGACGAAAGCAAGTCGTGGAAATGCGAAGCGAAGGCGGCAGTAATACCGCCGCCGAGTGAATAACCAATGAGAGAGAATTTGCCGGATGAAGAACCAGTCCACGATAGAGGCGATGAAGCAAGAGCTAGGAGAATCTGGGTAGAAAACAGTCGGTCATCTTGAGGAATATCACCGGGGGTATCAGAAAACCCTCTTCCAAAGCTAATATATTGTCAGCCGACTACTTTCCTTCACCTGCTTCAGCAGGAGTGAATGCTTACAGATCGAAAGTCATCACCCGACATCCCCTGTCAACCAAAGAATGAGCTAGGCCTCCCAGCGAGACGCATGGGGTGGAGATCCCATGAACAAGGAGGACCTTGTGTCCATCCTCTGGGCCCCATTCGTACACTCGGATCGAGCCATAAGGCGTAGAGACATCGCGGGCGCCAGGCAAAACATCTAAAGGAAGCACTGGCAATTCTCCATCCTTGTTCAGTGCTGCAGATTGAACAGCCTTCAAAGGTGATGGGATGATCTTTGGTGGAGACCTTTCAAATGCCCATATTGCGCCGAGAGCCAAACCTAACGTAATTGAAGTCCCTGCAACAGCCAAAAAAGGTCGCTGGGTTTGAGGACTTGTAACCGAGTCGGTCACAAAGTCGGCCGTTTGCTTGAAGAAGCCCAACACCATTATTTCACCAATCCTCCGCGATGTTGAGACTCAACAGTTAGCAGAAATGTAGTCAAAGAAGAAACAAAGTAGCCTAGGTACTCAGGAGCCAGCACGACGTTCACGCTAACGACCAATTCGGCTAATCAGATGCCTCGGCTTGACGAAAGTCGCACGAGATTTCCTTATCAGCCAATCATCTTCTTTACTCATTCCAGGTTCTGTTTATCGCACTTCAATTCAATATCTTATTGGCCAATCATAAAATATCATATCCACTCTACGTCATTTGCATCAATCTATTCGTGCAAAACACAATCAATACGGTTAATTATACTCAAAGATAAACGGTCACTGCATATATATCGTATCAAACCGTATTGCAGTTACAATGTTATCAAAATTGTCTGTTCAGAATCATCTTTATGATACAAATTTAAACTCTTAAATGGTTTTCTGCGATTTGCATGACCATGGATACTTATCAAAACTCAAGGGGACGACTGGTCTCCTCTACCATGGCACGAGGCCTTGCATTAAACTTTCGCAGATCGATGAGGATACCTAGGTATGAGCTTACAAGGTTGGATCAGCGCAACCACTCTTTAACCAGCAGGTACGTACGATACAACATCCAATTTACACATCATTATTCCGACAGACTATGCAGTCAACTAAATACGTACTACTAGGTCCGGAGAGTATTCCATCTGAGACTTGAGTTATTTGTCAGCCGCAATAGGCATCAGCTGAAAACCGAAGCTTACGTGCTCCACATTTACCAACAAGTCTGATGATTTTACGGACGTATAAATGCATGGGAAGCTCTAGGCCAGAGATAGGGTTTTCGAAATTCTGTGGCAATTCGTGTACAGAGAGTGCGGGCGAATTGAGAGCTCTACAACGATCATTTACATTCCTTCAGCATCAAAGTCTTGTGGCTGAATATTTGGACAATGGAACCAAGAGTCTGGCTGATTACGGGATGCTCTTCAGGTTTTGGGTAAGAATTTCTGCGTCTAGTGAAAGTATACATTAGCGATATATGTCTAAGTCTGAAAAGAGAGCAATTCGTTCGACAGAATATAGCACGCGGTGACAAAGTCATTGCTACCGGCCGTAATGCAGCCACCAAATTAGCTCATCTAAAAGATACGGGAGCCGCAATCCTAGATCTTGATGTGACCATTTCGGAGGCTGAGATATTTTCCAAAATCAACGAGGCCCATCAGATATACGGTAGAATCGATGTGCTTGTGAACAATGCCGGTTATATTGAAAGCGGTGCCGTGGAAGATATATTGTATGTATCATTTTATACACTGATTTCCTGGATATGGGATTGACAGGCTTGTATAGTATCGATAGGATACAACGATCTCTAGACACCAATTTCTTCGGCTCATTGAAAGTCACCAGGGCCGTTCTTAGTATTATGCGGGAACAAAAATCCGGTGTGGTGGGATTTATTGGATCTATGGTGATCAATTATTCCTTGCAACATATTGGTTTTGATAACTTATAATCGACAGGGCGGATGGACTGGGTACCCTGCTTCTATTGCTTATAGCTCAAGCAAGTTCGCTTTAGAATGTGACTCTTGCATACATTCTCAAACTTACAATCAGACTTTTCTAACTTTTTCTAGGTCTTGCAGATTGTCTCCAAGCCGAGTTTGCTGCATTGTTCGAAAATTGTGTGCGGTTCATTATCTTCGAGCCAGGATACTTCCGCACTGAAGTCTTTGCGCCCACAAAGCCCTTAGTACTTCCTGCCAACATCCCGGGCTATGAGCCGTTCAATCAGGTGTTGGCCAAGGGGTTAAACGAGCTATACGGAAATGAGGCCGGTGACTTGGTCAAAGGGGTTGCCCGTATGATTGACGTTCTGACTGGCACTGGAATGGCAGCTGGAAAGGAATTGCCCCCGCGTCTGCCTTTAGGCACAGATGGTTTGGAGTCTATACGTGCCAAATGTCAAGCTACGTTGAAGATATGTGAGGATTGGGAAGATCTTATCACTAGTACCGATGTGGTGATCGAAGCAAAGCAATAGACAGGACGTTGACTTATCCTGCATATATACCTATTTGCTACTGGTTTAGGGCTAGATCCTCGGCCGTTAGAAATGGCACGTCCACTGTTTGAATGCTCTATATCAGTCTATCATGGGTCCATAAAAACAGCTCTAGCGATATCGTTTAATACCACCCTTTTGGGAGATCCGAAAAGTATACTATTTTGCTTGCACATCGAAGCAAGTTATTTTGCCTTCAACCCTAGAAAGATGATGAATGGGTGGGATTGTGGAAGTGCCTCTTCTTTGTTTGTGGTAAGTGTTCACCTTTCAGTAATAATAGATTTTCCATACAAATCCTTAATAAGAATTTAAGGTCGCGGATCACTTCTTTAAAAGTCGTCTCTATAGGTGCATCTTCCAGGGTGTCGAAAACTCTTTTGATGTTTGTTTCTTTATAATGGACAGAAATGGGTTAAGGGATATATTACCGTGACAAATAATATACCCAGTCTTCGGCTACGGCGAACTTGGCCCGGATTCTTATTGTCTCCCAATATCATTCGGGATCAAATTGGAAAATAAGAGCAAAATGATTTTCTTTTCAATCTACGCATCGACGAACGCCTCTCCTTTTATACACGTTGCACCTGCCACCTCGGAATCATCAAATATCCAACGACAAATTCTCAATGAATGCACCTCTAATGGTACGAAGTGGAAAAGTAGAGATCAGTCATTGTGTATGGAAGTTGGACTCTAGTTCTGTTATTCCTTCTGGCAAGACTCGTCACCAGCGAGCCCCCTTGTGACCCCAGTGACCCTATCACACAGCTCCTCAGACACTGCAAAGATGGCCGTGAACAATGCTCAAAATACAGGCCGCTCGATCCGGTTGCAACGCACGCTTCGTTTGTTGACATTGTCCCTCCCACACAGACTTGGACGAAAGTCGTGTACGTCAAAGCTATACCCAACACCGTCTTCCATACGAAAGTAATACCAACGACCACAATCGGGACTACGACGCAAGCAGCTTTTACCACTGTACCCGTATATCCAGCATCCACGGTTATTGTTACTTATACGGTTTATCTTGCAGGTGCTCCACCAAACTGGATGTAGACACGTCAAGATCATAAGCTTGTCGGCGAAGAAGAATCCATCCTTATACTAGTGCTACAATTGCCCCGAGTTCTAGTATACATGCGAGCCCTTAGCCATATGATCTTTGAGCTACATCAGCTAATCTATATATCAAAATAGGCTCTGGTAGATCTTTCAGTACGAGACGAAGTCTCCCTTCTTATGCGCCGGCATCTTCCAGAACCGCTATTCCATCTTCTAAGATAACAACCTCTCCTTGGATATCTGTGGTCTCTGAAGATGAAGCACAGTCAACAGCAGCTCTGATTGCTGGAGATACCAAATATGCCGACGACCAATATACACCTGGGGATGAAGTTGATATCGCCATGAAGCGTGATGTTGTCCCGGGAAGTATGGCATCTGCGTGTTCCTGTTTAGGCCGGTTCGGTCCTGCGAATAGTATTACAATAATCCGGACAACTACAGTTTCCCCTCCTAGGGTAAGTAAAGCATTTCAGTGTCACTAAGGAGCATGGTCTGGTTCTATTTTGAAAAAAAGGACTACGATACCATTTCAATAATGCTGGGCATGACGACAGTGACCAGAGGTACAGGTGCTTTCACGAAATCGGTCACCAGTACTATTACAAGTTACAATACGGCTTTTGTTACTCACACAGTGACTAAACAGCAATTCGTTAACGCTGATGGTAACCGTATGGTATTAAGAAGGAAAACGGAGAAGGGGAGAAAAGGTGGCTGGAAATCCCGAGAGGTATACTAAAAATCGGTCAATGATTGCTCTTGTTGTTATACCTTTTTCACAACATTGAAGTGTATACTACCAAGGCACACATTTGACAGCGTCATGTAACTACAGCTATTTCGACTTAGGGCTACTCAGGAAGTATACCGTACCCTAACCCTAGTGACATTTTCAATCGGACTAAAAAATGAGTGTAGAAATGAAGCAGGTGGAGGGCTTGCTGACTTGACATTCTTTCCGAGAGAATCTCTCGAAAGATTTGACACTAATTGGGCTTTGCTCGTGGTGTTGTTGACGGCTCTTCCCATGAATGAAATTTTTTTGGCGGTTGCGGAACGGAAGCTTAGCTCCACCTTAAGGGGGAAAAAAAATATGAACTTCACATTTCACCTTCAACAAACGACGAATTATTGCAGGTTCTGCAATGAATTGAGCAAAATGCTATTCCGCACTTACGAAACCGTCTGTACTCTGCCGCTCAAGGCAGATTTATTTGCTCAGGCGGTTCATCCTCAGGAACCAATTGTATCCGTGGGATTGAGTTCTGGCCATGTCGAAACATTACGCTTACCGTCGGCCGGCAATAGTGAAGAAAACGATAACAATGAAAATGATGATGACGAGGATATTGAAGGATCGTCACGTTTATCAGCGGCGAATGGTGGTGGGACCGGTCATATAGATACAGTCTGGTCGACACGAAGACATAAAGGGAGCTGTCGGTGTTTGACGTTTGGGATTGACGGCGAGACACTTTATTCTGCTGGGACGGATGGCATTGTGAAGGCTGCAAAGTCTGAGACGGGCGTTGTCGTGAATAAGATTGTCATTCCGCCTGCCAAATCGAAGTAAGTTTAACTGTTTGTCTCTGCATAACACGTCTAACAATCGAGCAGGAAGAAAGCACTAGATAACGAAATCGACTCCCCTTCATTGATACACGCGATTTCTCCTCAGAACCTGCTACTCGCCACCGATTCGGGCGCTCTCCATGTCTACGATTTACGTATACCCTACTCCCGCGTCTCTGCACGGCCTGAACAGACATACCGCCCTCACGGCGACTACATCTCCTCTCTCACAGCACTCCCACCGTCAGACACAAGCACTTCTGGGTACAGCAAACAATGGGTAACGACTGGTGGTACCACGTTGGCCGCTACAGACTTACGTAGGGGCATCCTCCGCAAGAGCGAAGATCAAGAGGAAGAGCTGATCTCATCCGCTTACATCGGCGGTCTACCTAAAACCGGCACCAGCGTCGGCGAAAAAGTTCTTGTTGGAAGTGGCACAGGTGTCTTGACACTATGGGAAAAGGGTGTCTGGGATGACCAGGACGAGCGAATCTACGTTGCGCGCGAAAGCGGGGAGGGTGAAGCCTTGGAGTCGATGGCTGTTGTCCCGTCTGACGCTGGGTACGGCAAGATGGTTGCTGTTGGTCAGTCCGATGGCCAGATCTCTCTGGTTTCCATCGGTCGGAACAAAGTCATGGACAGAGTCCGGCATGACGAAGTTGAAGGTGTTACTTCTCTTGGATTTGATGTTGAAGGACGCATGGTCAGTGGCGGTGGTCAAGTGGTCAAGGTCTGGAGTCCGAGCATATATAACGAGGGATATTCTTTTGCCGGGAGCGTGAGGAAGTTTGACGGCCCGAGCTATGATCTCGACAGTGACGAGAGCTATGGTAGTGACGAGAGCGACTTGGTCAAGGAGAAGAAAATCCGCAAGAAGAGGAAGAAGGACAAAGGAAAGAGCAGTGATAAGGAAGTTATGGGATTCGCAGATCTCGATTGATCTTTTTCGAAAGTGAAGGTGATATTTTGGCAAGTTACACAGCATGGCATGGTGTTCATAGGAGTCTTTTGATTATGCAATGTATACTTGTATGCTACCTGGGTGATATGGTTTCTGTTCCCTGTCATTGTGCAGGTGTACATTAGAGATCCATGAATGATAGGTAATGAAGACCCTTACCCTGATATGTTTATGCATCATCCCATCCTTAGAATTTAGTGTCATGTGGATAATCAAGTTCAAAATCTCCATCTAGGCAATATATCCTCTCTCCCTCCTTCGTCTTCGCATCGACTTTCATGGTAATATTGCCCTATACTTCGTAATTGGACTCAATTACATATAGCTGGGGGCAGGGGGATTGTTCCAACATACTGTGCCTACAAGCCAGGGTATAAAAGCCTCGATGCTGATTATCGCAAACCCTTTTTTAGGCGGGTATCCCTTCCAATTTGGCTGTTCAATTGTCTCCATCGCATCACAAATGCTAAAGTGCCATTTGCCCCTGGGTCGGTAGAATTGGTTTCATGGACATACCAATTGTGACATTGCCAATATGCTTGATTTGAGTACGCTATCGTAGCTAGCTATCTCGTACAAGAGGTGCCTGTCGACAGGTAATATTGAGCATAAGGGGGAAAAAGGAAGAAATGAAGCAAAAGCTCTGGCTCTCACTTCTCATATAAATCTCTGTGCGGGGGCGCCTTTCCCTGTCCAGCTCCGACATCTAATGTTGATATGACTTCCCAATACGGCGCGGATAGGGTTATATGGCTCCGGGCCCTATTTGTGAACTGAGACGGGAACACAGAGCTATGCCCAGCCGTCACACCAATTTCATGTTGGTTCATCAGAGATGTCCGAAAGGAACATTCCTAGGGCAGTCAGTAGCTAGCTTACATCACTCTACTACTGGAACTTACCATAGATGTAGATGTCTATATCTTCTTCACTATAGTTGCATTGTTAGACCATATCAAATACTCTTTGGGGAGTCCTTGCACAAGCGGCGGTGCAGGATGGACGTAGCTCTTACACGAGTGGTGGTGTGGGATGGATCTCTAGTCGAGTAATTTGGAACAGATCTGTAGGACTGAACTCGTCGCAAAATTTCAGACTGAACTCTCCCGGGATTACCCCTGGGATTGATACTGAGGTGGTCGTGTTAGTAGTCTGCTGATGCGTTATAAAGGACTGCATGAAAGCCAGGCAAAGCCATTGATGATTAGCAAACGTACATGTTCCATGTTGAAAAGTAAAGGACTTTTGTGGAGGAGATATTGGAGCAATAAGTATCCAGCGTTGATCAGCAATAAGATATGGTACTTGGGGAAGAAAGGGAGTAGAACAGGGCGATACCCATTCTATTCGATGATGTCTAGTTGTTGATAAGCTAGCTGGGCCTCAGACAAATGCCCTAGCTTCTGAAAAAGGGATCTTTCTCTATCTGCTTCATCTGAAGTCATTCGGTCTTGTCTTGTCGCCAGGAGGGTCTTCGGTAATTTTGGTAACAAAGGTAATAAAGAATGTGTACTACTGGATACTGGACCTCGCGGCGCCTCATGGAGGACGCGATGGAGGTAGATCTGGCGACAACAACACGCTCGGGACGCATCATAACATCCTCAACAAGAGAACAAGAAGCCATGGGGAGCAGTGATAACGTAACCAAAGTATCAAAGAAAACCTCGGCCCAGGTCAATGGCACTACTGCAGTCAAGAAAGCGGTTCGTCGAATTGACGAGGCTCAATGCGGCAAGGATACTAAAGAGGATATACTTTAGAAGATATGCCTGTTCTTGGAGAGCACACACCATGAGTTCAGGACCCTGAAAGATGTCCGTCTCAAGTAGGAGACTACTATCAGAGAGCAGCATGGGATGACCAAGGAACAGAGTAAAATGATTGAAAGCTTGCAGGGACAATTGAGGGCAATTCAGACCCAGTCATTAGAAGAATGCAAACAGCTGATGATGCTGATGATACTGATGATGCTGATGATGCTGATAGTGCTGATAGTGCTGATAGTCCTGATAGTGCTAATAGTTTTGATGCGTCCAACGGCCCAGGGCTTCACTATCGCAACGGAAAAAGAAATATGGACGTGAAGGACCTTGTATTTGGGTTATGTATGACGCGGAAAGTCAGATGAGGCTTGATCTAGCCATTGCAGGTGTTTCTCTACATATCACTAAGGATTCAGATGGTCGATATTGGCGACGAGGCTCCGTTGAAAGAATTCCAAGCATTATTCATGGAACACGCACTAGAAAAGGAACTGGCTCTGCAGACGCTCTTCTAAGCATCTACAAATCCTCGATTCCAAAACAGCCGTGGAAGTATGAAAAAACAAGCTGAATGGATTATCCTCGCGTACATGTGGGAGCAGGCACGGTTTCGCAACCTCAACATTCTTGGAATGGATCCGGGCTACGTTTGGGTACTTTGGCTGCCAGAACAAGTGTCACTCAGAATGTCTGAGTATTTGCCCAATGAGAATCATCCGTGGGTCAAGCAAGCTAGACAGAGCCTGCCCAAGCTACGACCGCGGATTATGGTGCGGTATTGTACCAATCAGTGTTATATAAAGGAGCGACTTCCCAAGGACTTTGGGATCCTTGGACTTGGTAAGAACAAAGTAATAGAATGTTTATTCTAGTGAATCCCCTCAGTGTCATTTCTCTAGTAAATTCCTCAGTGACCTTGTTTGCTTGGTCGTAGCGCCGAGCATCGCCATCTATCTTGAGCGCAGCTAACATCCTGTTCATACAGTCATCGGCTGCCGGTGGCCTTGAGCGCAGCAATAGCCTTTGCGGCAATATCTTCTGCCTCCGTCGTCATGACGTTTGTAAAATTGTTATCCTCATTCCAATCCTTGAAGAGTTTGTGATTCAAAATTGCCTTTCAGACTGGTCAATCTCGGTGGTGAAGACGTCGAGGTCGGCGCCCTCGCCAATACGAACACAGTCAGCCTTGTTAAAGTCGTGCACATCGACAACTTTCGGTCTTCCGTTTTCCATGATCGGGTTGCCATCGGCTCCTTTTACCCGTGTCGGACTGACTTTACAGACTTCCCTCACAGATGTCGGAAATGGATAGGGTAAGGTGACCCGCGTAGGCCGCACGCAAAGGCTGGCTACGCAGCTCGAGCAGAGCTCTTCCTTTCTTTCTTTCCTCATGTTCAATATTCTCACTCAACAGGCACCTTTGTATGCAGGATTAGCTAAACTCGAATACAAAAGATTGGCAACGTTACAGCGAGCATAGTTCCTGGTGTCTTATCTCGATACCTTGGCTACAACCTAGAACATTAACCCCTGTTCAACGTTGTCTACAGTGCTACACTAGATATATGGCCCATGGTTCTGTATCTAGCCGAGATATCTACTAAGCAGGAAAAGGCTGGGACGCCGCAGCTCATGGAGTAAGCACTAACGTCTAAGTGGTAGGTACTCCGTATGCATTTATGATAAAGGCAGTCCGCCCTTTTTGAATCAATTTCAATGCTCATCAACATTGTTATATTCCCCGAGGAACTTAATACCCTATCATTTCTGCAGAATCTAAATCGACTGGGCTGGCACCATTTCAATGCCGTTCACTGATATTGGCACACCTCGACCTACTGCAGTCTGATTATAGGGAACACGTTATCGAATAGTGTCAGAGAAAGCACACCACAACCTGTGCTAAGTTGGTTCATTGTTGGAGAGGTTTGGCTTGGACGGAAAACCCAAAAGAAAGAGATTGGCAGCGATTCTGGAGGACTAATTAAAGCACTGGTATATGGGCGAGGAGGTAATGTCAGCAAGATGGAAATTTCTGAAGTTTGAAGCAATTTCTCGTACTTGTGAGGGCTCAATTCAGACTTCATTCTGGTAGCTAAGCAAAATAACTACTTCCATACTCTCTGCCTCGGGCTCTGGTTCCGTGCTGTAAGTCTACACATCCGTCACAGTACTTGTTCTTTTGCTTTTTAAGTATTAGTTAATTCCATCAACACAAGCATCAAATTTGAGGCAACCCAAGGTACGGAAAATGTCACCTGTGTATGAACGTTGAAATGTCATGTCGGATGTAGAGGATGTGATTCTCTTTCACCTGCCTCCTGACACGCCCATCTTTCACTACGATCCGCAATGCCCTCTGGAAATTCTCCTGTCTCCATGAAAAGACCATTATAAAGAGAACCTGAAATGTTGAAGAGAATCAAGTATTGGGCTGGAGCAGGTAAAAATTCTGAAAGATGAGAGAATGGCTATGATCAATGCTATAAATAAGTAGACTCACCATCTCAACAGCATTACAGAGCTGCATGCTCCCTTTTTGGCATGTACTGGATAGACTGAGTGCTTCATAGATGTCCCGGGTAATCAGTAAGATACCACACTTACTGAGCAGCTCAGTAAGCCCGAGTCCTGGACTGAAATTTACTCTGTGAGCCTGACTGTGAGTCCACTCACAAAAGCGGCCGCTGCTAAGGGAGAAAAGTCCCAAAGAGCAAAGGAAATATGGTACGTAGAGATACCTAGGTATAAAACTGATAAACATACCGAATATCGTAGCCGCTGCAAAACCTCCCCGACGAGGGTTGCGGGGGAAGACCGACGTCGGGTGTGGGGAGAAAACCGAATACTTCCAGGCCTCTATGATATCTTGGATTCTTTCTTTCTAAATTCTAATTATACCTGATCATATGCGTACAGGCATATACCATCGACTACTCCCAGGTATCAGTAACCTTCATATCAGATCAAGCGTCATGGATTCCTTTGTGTACAATGCCAACCCTGGACGGGTTGTCTTCGGATCAGGGACATTGAAACAACTACCGGAGGAAGTCGAACGACTCAATCTCTCTGCTCCTCTTCTCCTATCCACACCCCAACAAGTGAGCCAAGCCGAGCACTTGAAACAAGTCCTCAATGGCAAGATTGCAGGCATATTCACCGAAGCTACAATGCATACACCCACCGACGTAACGGAAAAAGCACTGCAATATGCCAAAGATATAAAAGCGGATGCAGTGGTCTCAATCGGTGGTGGAAGTACCATTGGTTTGGGCAAGGCAATTAGCATTCGTACTGGATTGCCGCATATCTGTATTCCTACGACATATGCTGGAAGTGAAATGACGCCGATTTTGGGAGAGACGGCAGATGGGGTGAAAAAGACCAGAACTGATCCGAAGATTCTTCCCGGGACTGTGATTTACGATGTTGATTTGACCATGACCCTCCCCGCGGCAATGAGTGCGACGAGTGGAGTCAATGCTATTGCTCATGCTGGTCAGCCAACACACGAATTCTCTCCGTATTGAAAAGATCTAACAATTGGTAGTGGAAGCACTTTATGCACGCAATACAAATCCCATCATCAACCTCCTGGCCCTAGAAGGTACCAAAGCGTTGGCATCATCTCTCCCAGAGATTGTGGAGAACCCATCTTCACCCTCAGCACGTTCCCAGGCCCTCTACGGAGCATGGCTATGCGGTACCTGTCTCGGTAGTGTCGGGATGTCTATTCACCACAAACTCTGTCATACTCTAGGCGGTAGTTTCAACCTCCCTCATGCGGAAACGCATACTGCCGTGCTTCCTCATGCCATCTCATATAATGCGCCTCGCATCCCGGAAGCCATGAAGAAACTAGCCGACGCACTGCCGGAAAGTAATGGGGATGCTATTCATGGCCTCAATGTACTCTTATCGAAACTCAAGGTCAAGAGAGGCCTGAAAGATTTTGGTATGAAGGAGGAGGATATTGATAAAGCTGCGGATATTGCTGTTAGCAACCCTTACTGGAATCCCAGGGAGATTGAGAGGGCTCCCATCCGCGAGTTGATTCGTAGGGTGTGGGCTGGCGAACCAGCAAGAGCTGATCTGTAGATTAATTGACCTAGTATATACCATAAGGAAGATAGCCTCCGAGAATGAAGCTGTTGTGGAAATGGCCTCAGGTGTCAACCGAAATATATGATCCAGTTGTGGGGCTGGATCCGCAGTATATTTTCCTCTTAAAAAATTTCCAAATGAATTGTACCCCGCCATCACGAATATACATTTTGCAGATAAGCGTCGCGGGAGTTTATTATTTTGTCCATGCAATGATGGCGTCAGCTCCGATTCTCTCGACTCCAGATACGCATCTACTAGAAGCCACAGAGCCTGTGGCTAAACTCAACGATTCACAATCTCCCCGTTCCGATGAAGAACTCTCCATTATCTATGATATTGAACGAACACTGGCTGAAATACGCCAAACTCGGTGGAAACGTATCGCCCTTCAGTTTCCTGATGAAATGCTCCCGGATGCTCCACGAATCTTTCAACTCTTGACTCGGGGGTTGCAGAAGAAGAATGTGAAGTCGAGTGGTGATACCGACCCAAAAGTCGCGCAAATTACGGACGCAGATTCGGAAACTACACTGGCCGAAAAGACATCTCAGCTAGGGTTAGAAGAGGACCAACCCCTCGACAACCTGCCACGGAGATTCTATATCTTGGCTGACACTTCTTACGGCACTTGCTGTGTTGATGAGGTTGCCGCGGAACATGTCGATGCCGACGCTGTTGTACACTACGGACGAGCCTGTCTATCCCCGACGTCACGACTACCTGTGATCTACGTTTTCACACACAGACCTCTTCCTATTGAGCCGCTCGTCAAAGCGTTCAAAAGTACATATACCGACCTTACCGCGAAGATAATTATAGCTGCCGATGTGACATACACGGATCATGTCCAAGACGTGCATGATCGACTTGTGCAGGAAGGATATACCAATCTTTTCGCGGCCCATGTAGTACATAATCCTGCATCTGCCATTCCAAATCGCACGGTTCCGGCATCCGTCGAAGAGAGTGCTGATTCGTTAAGTGAATGGGAATTATTTCATATCTCGGATCCGCCTACCGCTCTCCTACTCACTCTCTCGTCGAAAGTCGCGGCCATACATATATATCCAACGGAAAATGTCGATTCTGAACAAGACATAACACCACTTCAAGCGTCTACCACAGCAGCGTTACGTCGTCGATACGGCGTCTTGGTTTCATTGAGCACGGCGCCTATATTCGGTATTCTTGTCAATACATTAAGCGTCAAAAACTACCTTCATATCGTAGATCATGTCAGGAAGCAAATTGCCGCTGCCGGGAAAAAGAGTTATATGTTTGTTGTTGGCAAACTCAACGCTGCAAAAGTCGCCAACTTCAGCGAGATAGAAGGGTGGGTCGTGATTGGATGCTGGGAGAGTTCTCTAGTGGACAGTAAGGACTTTTGGAAACCAGTGATCACACCCTACGAGTTAGAGCTCGCCCTACAGAGTGATGATACTCGGATATGGTCGGGCGCATGGAGAAGCGACTACCAGGCCGTCCTTGATGCCTCTTCCACACCTGCACCGAATGCGACCGCCGAGCTAGATGAAGTCGACGACAACGACGGCTCTGAATCCGAATCTGCGCCTCCCGAATTCGACTTCAGAACTGGTCAATTCGTCACTACCTCCCGCCCAATGCAGTACACGAGCAGTGGCAGCCATAGACGTGCAGGGGGGAATAGTACGACTTTGGCGAAACGGGCAAAAGGCGACCTCGCTATGATCGGTAACACGATATCTCCAGGGGCGGAATTCTTGCGGTCGCAAAGGACATGGAAAGGGCTCGGAAGCGACTTTGAGATCAAGTATGAGGAAGATGACGAGGTGAGTGGTTCGGCTGTTGTAGAAGGGCGTAGGGGCATCGCAAGGGGTTATGCGGTCGGCGATTCCTCCGATCGTCACTGATAGATGTCTACCAAACACATGATGTTAAGTAAACGCGTGGAAAGTGTATTGTAGTACAATGCAAAATGATCGCCACATTACCGTGTAGTAACAGAGTAACATCAAGGGTAGAAGCATCAGATGGTAGTTGAGCTGTACGACAAAAAAAAGAAAAGATGTCACATGACTCCATACTAAATCAGGATCCAGGAAAGGAAGGCTCCACCCAGACTAATCCGTCCAAAGTCATTGAGACTATCTGATCGTGGACAGTTTGTGACCACTGCTACTCCTCCTTGAATACTACGCCCCTCTGTCATTCCGACACGATTCCTCCTTGCCAGATGTCTGTCTTTGTTTCGCTGCTCTCCGTCAAAAGTCCGTTCTAAACCTCGTCTATTTCCCCCGATAATGCTTGCCGACGCACCCATCTCATTCTCCGAGCATCAATTACCTCCGTTTGCTCAGTAGCCTGAGTTTTGAAGTTGAGAGCAACGATATCAAGCATACACGCTTTGAGAGCGCGTTGATGGAGAAATATCTTTCAATGGATTCACATCTAGATCTAGACGATGATCATAGTTCCATCTCAGCCGCATCTGAGACGCGGCTATCGACATTTGAAAGAGTACTATCGACACATACTCCCATCTTCGAGTCGCTTTTGCTACAGATTCCTACAGAAACTATTTTCCAACTATACCACACCTCCTCCTACCTTCGAAACTTTCTACAGTCGTACCCGACAGCATGGAAATTCTTATCCTTTCGTTTACTCTTCCCATCAGGCTCACAAAATCGACCATTGTTGATGGGCAGTCCCGATCCTGCTAGCTCGCGTCAGTCGCGACCCTACGCTTTGGATCAGTTGTTGATGCTGGTCGTCATCCCTATCAGCCCTTGTTTGAAAAGCCTGGAGCTTGACAACACCGCCGTGTCTGGGCAGATCCTTATATCCACCGTCCTTCACTCCCGACGAGAGACATTAGAACATCTATCTGTGCGGGGTTGCAAAAATGTGTCTCTCAAATACCACATCATTCCGTATCTCACGATGTATGGTTTGCAATACGATGTTGATATGGGAAATTCTGGTTCTGTGGCCAAGCAGAAACTGGCTTTGAAGAGCCTCTATACTTATCGTTGCCGGCACCATCGACGTCGTCCGTATCTTGGGACTTCCTTGGCACGTCGTGACTCAGACGCAGAGCCTACACATGAACTTGTCAACCTCTGTCACAAACTGGGAATATGGACCGATACCGCCTGGTGTACTACTCCCGCAGGCCGATGTCTTCGACGGCGTGGATATGTGTCTATGAGGGTCCCACATGGCGCCCCTGAAGTCTGGGTTGTATTCGATCGTCTATGGAGGTCGAAGAACTGGCTTGGGCCGATGAATTTGCGAAATCCACAGGATAGTAAACGGGATGGGAGACTGTGGGAGCAAGAAGAAACGGGATACCACGGCGAAGCCTTAGGCACGGGAGATTGGTATGGCGTTGGTGATGGAAAATTCGTCCCCGCTCATTTACGGTATAGTCACAGATTCTTCGTTGAGAGCATCAAGTGCGATAATTGCTCAGAGCCGATAGGCGAGCGATGCGAGCAATGCAGCGTCATCATGCATTGTGTCGGGTGTCGGAAAACACTGTGTGCGAGCTGTGCATATAGCTATCCCTACATCCAAAGCCAGGTTACATGGTCACAATCAGCATTAACACCAATGACTAACCCCTTGTGGTGGGCACCAAATGCCACAGTTTCTCCTTGCAACATGCATGATCCACCACCAGACTCAAATGTTGATAATATTCCGAATCCTGCTGCTTCAATTCAATACCCAAATCTGACCTTCCATTGGTGCTGCACAGAACCCATTTTCTCAGGTGGTGGAGGTATCAGCGTTGGGACGACGACACGTGATGTTGATGTGATTCGAGCGGCGCCTCTACCGAAGGCTCGTGGGTGGGAAGACCCAGAATTTCCGGGTTGTGCATCCCACAGTCATAACACAGAGAACTCATCAGAAACCAGCACTTCCGAGGGTTTACACCAACTGATTGGGCCACAAGACCGCCAGGTATCGTCATGCCCTCGCAATCTGTGCGGTGACTGCTATAATTCTCCTCAGTGGAAGGTACAGTGCAAGAGCTGTTCGAAACCGCTTTGCAAAGAACACGACCTTCGCGGATTACGCTTACGCATCTGCGGATATAAAGAGCTTGCTGTTGAGAAAGCTGCTTTACAATCCATACCACTCCCTGGACCTTCAAGAACGAACAGTTCCAATCCATCAACTCAAGCTGGGCCGTCATTCTTCAGACCTCGTATCAACACGGCCGCTGCTTTCATGTCACAATTACAATCGCAAGGCCCGACACCCAACATGGACCGCGATTCACCTTCTGCTTCAAGCAGTGTCGCAGGAGACCACGTTGGACAAGGGGTAGGTGAGATGCATCCGGCAGCCCTACAAGATTTCATTCGAGCGCGGGGACATGCAGAAGAAGGTATGGCAACAGGACGGCGCGCTGGACGCAGCCGATCGCCAACCTATTCAAGCCTGTCTCGGTCATCTTCACGTTCTTCCGTATACTACGATGCTGCCGCTGAGATCACCAAATGGCAAGGGTGCCGGTCATACTTTTGTCCTCAATACAGGCCTTTGGGAGACCAACGTCAACGATGCCCTAGTGTCTTGAGGGAATGCACAAATTGCTCGATCAACGTGTGTCAAGACTGTGTCAACAACAACCCACCTTGTTCCTGCTCTTATTGCGAGGTCAACTACTTGTGCCCAAACTGTCTGAAAATCAGAGAAGAAGATGGTACGTGCCGACGCGTTGAGGAGGAAAAAGCTAGAAAGGAAGAAAAATGGAAGCGAGATATGGAAATGCTGGAGGACATACTTGAACGAAAGATTGCCAACGAAGTTGCCGAGTTTGCTGGTGAATTTCTGGATCTTATCTCTGATGGCATGCGTACAAATCTGCTGAGTGATTTCCACCGTTCATTAGAGCAGATGTCTGCGCTGGCCCAAGGTAATATGGCTAGTGATCCCGCACATCATCCTCTTTCGCAGCTTCAACAGCAACTACCACAAGCAGGCTTGCTTCAGACGCATGATGAAGGTGATATTGAGCATGGTCAATTCACATTTGATCATAACAATTCAGACGAGGATATGATCAATGATGAACTCATCACCCCGATCGCAGACTGATTCATCTCGCTCTGAAGGATCGAGTCGAAATATCATAGTATTCGCAATCTTTCATTCACTGCATTCAGGCGCAAATTGTTAGGGCATTGAAAGGCAGGGCAAGGTTTAAGCTGACACTGCAAGTTGCATCCCAGTTTTCTCTCGCATTCAAAATGTCGTTTTATGCAAGTCGCATTCTACAACAGTCCTTTTTCTGAGACTTTACTTTTATTCCATTGATTGAGGGGATCATCATGAATATACATGCAGGAAAAGGCGTTCAGTTAGGTGGTTTGAAAGCCACTCATTGTTTCTCACAGTATTTGCATTTTCCATTGTTGAAGGTGAATTTTCCTCATTGATACCAGTATTCTATTCGAGGACTCTTTTATGTTAGTGCTTTAATCCATGATATCCCAGTCTTCCACGGTTCTCGCAGTATAATATGTTCGTATGTTCATAATGTACATCCATAGTATGATAATATACACGCAGCATCCAGTCCAACTGGATCAGTGTTTATTTGACTTCCCCTTCGAATGACTTTTCCGCACAGGCTGGGTTAATATTCCAAGTCCCTCCAAAACCCTCAAACCAACCACAACGCCCAACCCAATCACACACGCCACAGCCAATCCATGAACAGCCCACCAGATATGCTGCACTCCAGCAGGACACATCTGTATCTCGTACCGCCACTGATTCACTTCGGGATCTGCATCGAACCACAGCGATAATAGGGCTGCGTTACCGCCGTATTCGCCCATCATTGATCGTAGGGTTACTTCACGGATTGATGGATATCCGTTTGTAGAGGTTGTCGAAGATGGCGAGTAACACATTGCATCCCAATGCCACGATTTCGCTCCTTCTTCTGACTCTGCGTGTGTGTCGTGTTTTTGATCTCGATTAACGAAATGCACAACATCGCACCCTTCATGATCGTGTCCCGTCAAAATCAATCCACGTCTTCCCATCCCTCCAATCGGCGCAGAGGAATCCCCACTCATACCAAATAGTCCCTCGAGAATTCCATTTGTGCTGACGTGTTCACTCAAATGGTTCTGTTCACGGAGTGCATCTTTACGCCATCGAGGGATGAATTCGCCCTCTCCGGAATCGTTATCAGGGGTATCCTCTTCGTCGAAGAAAGTGAAATATGGACCGTCGATGCAGATACCATCACGCTTATAGAGAGGGACATGTGTCAGTAACAGAGTGAAGGAGGTCTGATCCTCGACGGGGTAGGAGCGATGAGCGAGAATGTCGTTGATATATGTGTAACTGTCTGATTGAATAGATGGGTCCATTGCAGGACCGTCAAGAGTCAAGTCATTCAAGTTGATGATGTGTAGAGTAGGTCGCGCAGTAGAATTCTGAAGATCTTCCAAAGGATGGGCAAATCTGACATCCCAATTCGCTCGTCCAAAGACTCGCTCAAAGCGCTTCAGTCGTGCTCTTGACACGTCGCCTGCGTATCCGATATCATGGTTTCCAGCAACGTTGATAATCTTATTAGCCCATGGAGAATTGTACCTCTGCAACGTCTCCAATTCCTCACTACCCAGTTCTTTTCTGGCCGTTTCTCCAGTAATAGTTGTATCATCGTCGACTCTTTGCCCCCCCCGAAACACGCGCTGCCAAAACCGCCATCCACGATTCTCAAACTCTTCATCTGTCACCCATTGACTCCCTATCAAGTCCCCTAGCACAGTGACGTGCGTCGGTCGACTCCACCACGACAATGTCCTGTAGATATGCGCTAGGTAATAATCATTTCCGAGTAGATCAAGACGTTTGCGCGCAGCACGAAAAGCAGATGGTATATCCTCCACGAAAATCATTCGTGCCGTATCTCCGATAATTGCAGCAGCATCTTGTAAAGAAATCGACGTTTCGGACAACAAAGTAGATTGGACATTCATCCAATGCCGACGTAACCGCGGGACGAATTTATCCTCCGGCGAAGGAAGGGAACTATCCCCTTCAATCTGCGGATCGGCAAGAACAAGCAGACGAAATATAGCAGATTCCGGTATATCTTCCCTTCCAACATTCAAGGTCGTCAAGTTCCAATCAGCCCCATGCTGGTATAAAGTATTTATCACGCTGTTTCCCGTCCATGACCGCGACAACCGAGACGATTCTTCGCGCGTGGTGCCGTCAATGGGTATGCTCGATCTCGGAAGAGGGAATGCGCATCCTTGTAAGACCGGGTACAAGTAGAGACAAAGCGCCGAGGAGATAGATAGAGGTATCAAGACGGTGACGAGGACTTTCTGGAGGACAGTGCGGAGGGTGGACATTGAGTCGAGGTTGCGGATTGCGGAGATTGTTTCGGGACCGTCATGAATTGATTCGTTATTTTATACTGAGGGATATATATATAAAGAAATGTTTCAGCTGAATGAATAAGATATTGCCGATTTGAAACAAGATGCATGCATTGTTGCGCTCTCGTTCAATTTTATGAATTTTGAAGATGCAAGTTCCGAGATCTGCAGATGCTCCGTATGAATTTCCGCAAAGATCCTCCGCGTCAGGGGTTTGACAGCAACATGCGTTACATACTATGACTTGTACAGGCATAAGACTATACGATGGTCCTAAAATTTTAGGGAGGGGGGGGATAAATTTGTATACAGTATACAATTCAGACAACATTTCCATTATCAGTATCTTAATCTCACATGAAAAAATCTCAACATGAATTCCTCATATTCCATCATATGTTCGTGCATAGTAATTAAACAATAAATGTGCTATAACAAAAAGATGATATTTCGAGCGAAAGGGGGGTATATGTAAAGATGTAAAAGGTCCAGGAAAGTGAAGAGTAAAATGAAACACCGAAGAAAGGAAATTGAAAGAATGAAATTACCACGCCTCATGTATTTCTCCTATCGTATGTAAAGGTATGATGAGGCGCGGTAGTCGGAAAGTCGAAATGGCCGGAGACAGAGGAAAAATCGTATGAGAAAGAAAGTTTTAACATCCGAGTAGTTCTGCTCATGAGAAACCCTGATTTAGGAGGTCGTGCTAGAAATGTCATCTGTAGGCCGTGATAATAGATCATCTGTAGGAACAGCCAAGATATCCTTTTCTGGGTCTACCTCATTGCCAACTTCCTTAGCAAGGGCATCGTCATCATGGAAAGGTCCAACGCCATTCTTGTCTAAGCTGAGTCCTTGAATCTTCAATCCACCATCAACATCTCCTTCGTCGGGTTCCACTTCTTTGTTCTGCGGAATCTTAGGCAGTTCCGGTTCCATCAACGCGGGAGGTCGCTGATTCATCATCCGTGCCTGTTTCAGACTGATTGTCTTCTGCTTGTTGGTCGTCTCCACAGGTCGGCTTACATCCCGTTCAATGGTGGCTTTCATCAATGCCGCCATCCAGAGACGTCCTTCTTGAACGCTGTCCACTTGGAAATAATGAATTGTGGGCCGTGTAAACTGTACTGTTCGAGACGTTCCGCTCTTTGGGGGCACTAGCTTGAAAATAAAAGGACCGTCTGAGGATTTCGCAGTGTCAGGACGATTGGATGCTTTATCTACTGGGGACATGATTGAGCCTTCTGGCGAAGTAGGCGAAGCCTTAGCGCCTGTGATGGTCGCATGAAGGGCAGTCAACGGATCATTATCAGCACGCAAGACACGATGCGCAGTTATGTCGATGAGTCCACGTTCTTCCGTATCATTTTCTGAATAGTAGTAAGACAAGCGACGGCCACGCAGCACGAATAAACGCGGCTTCCATGTCGTCATCAGGTTTGCCGAACGCTTCTTCATCCAACCACTAAACTCACAGCCCACCATTTGTTCCTGCGGGCTCTTCTTCTCCAGGCCACGCATATAAGCGCTAGTGTGCTTCTTGGTCTTGCTGCCGGTCTTGGACGGCACTCGCGGTACGGAAAAGGGCATGGTGCCGTCGACAGTCTTGCCGGAGCCGTCTGTGCTATGGCGCTCGGAGCTCTTGGAGGTAGCCGAGGGTGTTGTAGAACCAGTCCTGCCAATGCCGAAAGGAGTGAAATCTTTGATGGGCGATATCGGTGGCGTTGGCTCTTGGGTGGTCACACCGTTGGTACTATCAGATGTGGTGCGAAGCCCAACAGCACGGCGGAATTTAGGAGCGACGTTGCGGATATGAGAGAACGGCATTGGCGAGGAACGGCCAGTTGTCTCCATGTCATTCCTCCCCGCAAATGGTGAAAACGACGGAGGGGTGCTGCCGACTTTTCCATCCAGCGTTGTCGCAGTAGGATCTATTACCTGACTTCCAGTGCTTCGAACCCGACTTCCGTGATAGGCTTTAGACGCTACGGATACCCGCGACATTGATTTTTGAATAGACTCACTACTTCCAAATCGAGAATGTCGGCGATGAACAGACTGTTCATCCACGTAGCTAGATTGTCTTGAATGGCTTATGCTTCCTCCGGCCGAATCGCGTTTTCGTAACAACTTGCGAGTTCGCCGTGTTTCTACTTCTCCGCCGGAGAAATACCCGCGGTCAAGAGTCTCAAACGGCATTGCGATACGGGGAGGGTTCTCCAACGACGTGTTGGCCTTGTCCAGGAAGCTTTGTTGTAGCATAATATCCTCGTCGGTTGTCTCTGCAGCGGTCTCGGGCCGGTTTGCATAGGGTGGATGTCCGCCTGTCATAGTCCATGATCGATCAAACGAACCTTTCTTGGCATGGCCGATGCCACCTTGGCTGAGATTGGGGGATGAGTCCATCGATGAGTGACGACGAGTATGATTGAATTCACGAATAGAAGCTGCTGAGGGACGACCTGACACTTCTCGACCAAGTATGCTATTAGCTGAAGGCGAGCCTGGACTACCTTGAAGGATTGATGACATGCGTCGAGGTGGTGCCATGGAGGTGGTCGGCCGCTTGTCGCCAGAAAAACTGGGAATCCGAGGGAGGAAAGTCGAGTTTTGTCCCGCACGACTGGCAGCTCGCTCCTGTTCGTCGGGAGGAAAATAGCTGGATATCGAGCCTGACTGCTGTGGTTGAATGCCTTTAACTTGTTCTTGCAGAGCTTTGATTTTGTGCCAAGTTTTCAATCTCCGTCCCATGACGCCGAAATCGAATTCTTTCATTAACAAAAACTCCTGGCCCATTTCCAGTATCACATCGCCGGTGATCTCTTGTTCTTGGAATATATCACAGTGCCGTGCGTCAACACCTAAGCTCCGTAAGTAGCGGGCCGTCTCAATATGATCCCATCTGCGGACCTCCTCTTCTGTAAGGTGTCCTCCCTCTTCCTCGTCGGTTTCATGGCCATTAATGTACGAGAGACGGTGGCCAACATGGCTGCTGTATTCGCTTCCTGAATCGGTGACAGTTTTGGATTCCTGTGTTACACTGTGACGAGGAGTGTTAAGGTCGGTGATGTGTTCGTCAATAACACTCAGTGTTTCGTTCATCACCGGGGAATCGCCGCCTTTCAGGTGATTACCGAAAGTTTGGCTGATTGTGCGCTGAATGGTGGTTGCAAGCGAAGGTGACGATGGTAGCGGACTTGAAGTTGAGCGTTGGGGTGGTTGTTTGAGGACTGGGGACGTGACTTCCTCCATGCTGTTCAAAGGAGCATCAGGCGACTCGGCCACGCTAGCACGTCGTGAAGCTTGCGGGGTTGTTTCACCTTTTCCTTCCATATCGATTGGTGAGGCAGTCACTCCTTCCGCACTAACGGCTCCTGCGCTATCACTAGCACTGGGAGTTTCGGAAGCAGTGGATGAGGCGGTCGCAGGTCGTCGCACGTTCAATCTGGGAGGAAGGGTGGTGTAAACTGGACAACAAGTCAGCTGCAAGTGTCGCGTGTTATGAGAAACATTTGTAAGTACCTCCTGGAAATAGGCCCGTCTTGCCCGTCGCTGCGTGCTTTCCCAAATACCATCCGTCGTTGAAACCCTCGTCCAGTTCGACCAATTCCACCTTCTCGCCACGTCGCAAAGTGAGCTCGTCTGGTCCACGAGCATCAAAATTATCTGTAGACATTAGTAATTACGTTTAGTTAGTCGTTCCGGTATTGAATAGTTCCAGCGCGAGGGACGTACGAATCACAAGTAGAAAATCGCCGGGCTGAGCCTGGCGAGATAGAGGTGTCTGTGCCATGACGGAAGGCTTCTCCCAGCTGAAGGTGAGGTGCTATCTGATCAATGCTTGGTGAGTCGCACAGCGGCCACAATTCTAGTGGAATGACCGGGGAGCGACATGGAGCACAGGTAGGGAAGACACAGCCGGGTTCGGACAGAAAAGGTGAAGATGGGATGATGATTGATTTGTGGTGTTTGGACTGGGACACTTTGGACGGTTCCGAAGGCGGTGGCGCTGAGTCTGGCCAGAAGCAGCACACTCTGAACGCGGGGCAGCTGAACGCACCCAGCAGTCGAACTGCAGTGATGCAAGCAACGTTGACGAAGGAGGAAGAACGACAGAGAGCAGAGACGATGCTAAAATCTGACAGGAGCGAGAGTCCGACAGGATTAAATGGACGAGCGTGGATTCGGGCAGCGGGAAAGAGAAAACGATGATTTGGTGCCTGGGAGCCTGGACTAGTGGCCGTCAGGCTTTCCTTCCGGCACTAAAACACTTAGCATCATCATCATCATCATCACTATCTATGTACGGAGTACTATTGTTCCATTCCTCATTCTCCATTATATTGCTTATATATTGACTGTCAAGCCTGTTACTACACTTGTACAAACAGTGTTATGCTCGGCCTCTTGTCTCCTGTCTACATCTACTGATGCGCAAGTCATACTACTCCTCTGTAGAGCAGGATATACTTGCATGAATTCTGATCCTTTTGGGAAACATGGCGGATCCACGTGCAGACTATTGATTTTTAACCTTGTCTCTGTCTATACAAGCTGGATATATTATTATTCCTCCGTGATGCCACACAGGGGAAGAAAACAGTTTTCGGGTGTTAGGCCGAGAGTTAGTCAAGTATCAGTCTCAACCTGTGAGGAGCTGCCAACACGGCTGTGATGTGTTTGTTCATTACACGAGTGCCGGTATGTACCCGCTATTTAAGCACCAAGTCGCCGTCGGTGTCACTGTAACAGTCTTTAGACTCTGTGACTGTGGATATAAGGAAAATGGTGAGATCATTAGTGAATGCCTGATTGGCAAGGCACCGATGTACAATCGAGAAGAGGATTTCGTTCGGTTCTATTTTTGAATTGCAATATTACTCAGCTGCGTGTCCGTATCTGCAGCCCCTTTCGAGATTTCCGTATTGTCAATGGAGTAGCGAGTCTGTTTGATGCATCGCAATATGTGACAGGTCAGATCACGACTCCGTACCCGCAAAACGGCACGGGTAGATCTGATCTGGCACTCCAAAGCGAAAGTCGGGAATCACCAGAATTAAATATGACTTTTTAGATGCATGCCATGTTCCAGTGCTTGGAAAATGAATATTACTGTCAAATTGAGGATCAAAGATTGAAGTTTGGTTGTATGTTTTGTGTTGGGCCAGCCTCGCCGAGATTTCTTTTACGGGACCCGCTCCACTCCGCCTTAGATCTTCCTTCTATCGCCATTCCAAACTTCGGCTTTCATCCTTTAACTCTGGCATTTCACACTTTTACCTCAACCTTCAAGCAATATAGCCAGCGCCTTTTCCAGTTAGTCGCTGATATGTATCAGTTTTCTCTCATTTTTAGCCACGTTTTATAGAGAATGCTGACACTGATATCGCATCGCCCGTGGACCGTAAGGTTTTTGGTTGACTCCTTTGAATGTACATTGCTAATACGCCGCCAACTTCGTCAACATAGATGACTATCAGTCCGTTCTAAGAGGATTAGCACAATAGTCCAATCTTGCTGAATTTCAATACCATGTCCTTGCCGCATCATGAGCCCGGCGCAAAATCCATCGGGGCGACCCTCGTCTATAACGTTATATGGCAGTCAATTCGCATCGTCCAACTCAACAGCTAATCGATTTCTTGGTGCGACTCAAAGACCATGGATGACAAACGGTGGTGGTCTATCACACCCTGGACGATCGTATCCGAGGAGTCCGGTGAATACTCAAACTAGACATTCTAACGCCTCTTCCCGACAGTCGTCAACGACAACAAGAACAACACAGCCTCCCGCGCGTATTGAGACCAGCGATCATCATTCTACGGCTCATCCATCAGATTCCACGATTGCTCAGCCAACGCAGGCCGGTCCAGTGTCGCCCGTAACTCCCGGCACAGGTTACTCAGAAAATGACATACAGCCGCCAGCGGCGAAAGTGACACGGCTTGACAATGCAGTTCCAACCGCATCCTTTCCCACTCCTGAGCCCAGTAACGCGTCGCTTGCCAGTCCAGTTGTTGCCGTCACAGATCGAGTGAGTTCTCCCAGCAGAGATGTACCTGCATCGCTACCGGGGGCAGGAACCCAACCTGCCCTCACCATCAAATGGGAAGATACACTCCCTACCACAAGCCCTCTCAGCCCGGCTGTCGGCGCCTCTCCCGTCCAGCGGGCTGCACCTCCACCCCAGCGTCAGCCTCAATATCAAGCTCAACCTCAACCTCACCAAACACGTCCAGTTCAACAGCAGCCGCAACAGCAACCGCAATTGCCACAATCATCTCTTCCCCATAAAAGCCACCGAATCTGGCAACATGCGAGAGAAAGACTTAGAATGTTTCTAATTCAGCCGTCCAGAACTCACCCTCTGTCGGAGACCGTGGAATTGCCCAGGGTGCGCATCTTGCAGGATGCCTGTAGCGCGGAGGACATGTTCTATCTAGCTCTCCATCAGACCTTTTGTCTCAGCTCTGCAGATCCGAGCCAGTTAAGGGACGGGGCGGAGCATGGAATAAGACCGGATCTTGATTTCGATGTGGTTGCGCAGCTGCTGGTCGACAATAAGAGACTCTCCAAGGAATTTCTTCAATGGTCCATAGAGTATCCAATGCCTTTTCAGGCTTTATTGTCATCTAACGATTATAGAAATGCCCTCAAGCAGGTTTCGAATTGTCTGTCTACAATCTCCAACCATTGGCCTGTTTTTGAAAGGGAGATTCGGGCACGCGGTTATCCGCCTCAGGTTGACGAGTTAGTCGTCAGGCTAGGCGTCGAATCCCCCGTATTTCAAACAATCGTTTTCACAGCGGTTTCTCGACGTTTGTTTGGAGGCCGGGAAGAATTGTTCAAGGCCTGTATATCTGTCTTTGAAGAGGACCAGAGAACTTATAACCAGCGTTCTGCGCTTCCTCCTAATGCAAGAGGGCAGGCTATGTACAATTACTTTGAGAGGTATAGACGGCTTTGTGCATCTCATGGCATGCTAGTGTTACCAGAGACTCGTCGTGTTCACACGGCATCTACACCACCCTCTTCTGCTCAAACTCCAGCTCCGATGACAGTGACAAGCCCAACCATGCCAATTCGGCAAAATAATTCACAGCATCGTGCATCTATAAGCGTCCCTCATCAACAACCTTCGAATCCCCAACCCATCACCCATCCTCATCCTCATGCTCCCCCTCGTCCTCTTCCTGCATCTCGCCATCACGTGTCACCAAACATGGCACCACACGCCGGTCAACAGCGCCAACAACAACAGGTTCCTCATCAGATTAATGCTCTGCCTACTGGTGGTGTTCAGCATGTTCAGGCTCATCAACAGCATTCATACCCACCGCAGTTTTCTGGTCGATTTCCTTTACCACCTGCTCATTATACAATTGCGTCGCAAAGCTCTGTACCAGTGGCTACCGCGCGGGCAAACCAGATGCTACCTCCTAATATCCAAATGCAGCCATCTTTTCCACCTGTCGCCAACAGTATGCAAGCGTCACCTGCTCCGCCTACTCAATACTTCTCTCCCGTTATGGGTGCCCACATGGTACCTGCTCATCCTTCACCAGTTCACTCGCCGTATTCGACAACGCAGCCTTCGCCTAGTACTGGAGGACAAGTTCCATGTCCACCACACCCTCAGGGACACCCTCAGCCAGTTCCCTCTGTTCCTTTACCATTTCCAGTGCAGCTTACCGGTACTCCATTCACCATGTATCCGCCGATGTCCTCCCAAGTCCTACATCCTCATCTTGCGACACCACTGCCAGTCCGGCATACCCCCAAACCTGAGCCTCCAGATGTTATACAATTCTTTACGGGTTTTTCGGTTACTCCACAGAAACTGCTGTCCAATAGATCTTCATTCACCTGGAAGTTCACGTTACCAGATGAAGTACTGCGTCTCAGGCCGAGCCTCGTTAGGCGACCGAATAATGGTGGGTTCATCCCGTTATTATCAGATGGAAATATGTCATTTCGTCTCCGCTGTATCAAGTTCCCCGGAAGCGAAAACGTGGAATCGATTTCTCTGTGGTCACAGGCTGAAAGTCAATGGCCTGATATTGTATACATACACGTCAACAACAAAGAGATCCATCGCTCACCGAATGCAAAAAATGCGCCGATAAATATCAACTCTTACCTAGTAAGCGGCACCAATGAAGTCAGAATAAATGTCTTGCACAGCAGACAGCAGCGCGCAGCAGACACTTCGTACTTTGTTGCAGTCGAGATCCTACAGGTGAACACCCCTGAAAGCTTTCGCAAATTGGTTAGGAAGTTGCCGGCTCAGGAAACGCGTCAACAAATTCTGGCTAGACTATCATCAAGCAATGCTGATGATGATGACGTGATGATCGTGGATGACTTTATTTCCATTAACCTGCGTGATCCCTTCACTACACGAATTTTCGATATTCCTGCTCGAGGGTCATTGTGCACACATAAGGAATGCTTCGATCTCTCTACTTTCCTGCAGACAATCGCAGCTAAGCCTTTGTCGGATAAGCATAAAATTTATATCAGATGCCCCATTTGCCGAAAGGATGCACGACCTGGACTTTTATTGATCGACGAGTTTCTCAGCGAGGTGAGGGACACACTCTCCAAGGAGAACAAGTTGGAGACTGCAAAGGCCATTCGCGTCAAAAGCGACGGTTCTTGGTCTGCTGTTTTGGATACGGAGAGCGACAATCGCACCACCGGCCGGAAACGAGACCGAAGTAGCTTTGAGTCTGATAATATCAAGGATGAGAGCCGTCCTCACACTGCTACTCCACAGGGGTTTCCGCACTGAAGTCATGACTTGATTCGTGGCATAGTACATATTTCACATATTTTGTTTTATCTCACTCCATAGTTAATTGCTTATCCAGTCGACTGTTAGGAGTTCTTTTGTTTGTCTCTGTCAATTCTATACCCGAGCGATTGTCTTTGGCGTTTAGGGCGTCTTCACTTTTGAAGTTTGCATTCTGTCATTAGCAATCAATTGACAGATTATTTTGGTTTCTTCTATATAATGTTGCTTAGATCGTTTACGCATATAACTTCAAAGATCACTTTCAATTGCTGATTGACAATACTAAGGCAACAAGGCAAAATCATGATCATGCGCTCCATGCAAGTAATCATATCCATCCGGCACCCATTTCACCTTGGGATTTAGCGAACCCCAGTCGATTTTACCCTTGACACTCTCCGGCAGGATAATCTCCAAATTACTTCTGTACCATTTCGGAAACAAGACCGTCACAATCATGACCCTTGGATCATCGGTCTGATTTGGTCGACCAGCATGCCACAATCGGAAGTCTCGAATGATCAACGATCCCTTGGGCAGTGACGGTTGAACCGGAGGACGAACTTTTCTGCGCTCTTCTGTAAGATCCTTGCGTATACCGGCTTCTTCACCGGACATATCGTCAATCGAAGCATTCAGATGCGTTCCCGGCCACACCTCTGTGGCCCCATTACGTGGCGATGTATCAACAAGGTTAATATTCACGCAATACCCAAATGGCACTCCACGCGGGAAATCAAAATGAACATCGATATGCGGAGGTTGACGATCCGTAGCTTTAAATGCAGTATTCGCACTGTGAAATCTGAGTGCCGGTTTAGGACCGAGCATGCATTCAACTACCTGAGCTGCGAATGGGTTCGCAATGATATCTGAAAAAATGTATCCATCTTCCAGAACGGGTTCCTGTTGGATGTTACCTGTTCCAGGGCCGAAGTTGCGGTGAGTGCTTGATTTGGCGTACAGGGCCTGGGCTTCGGGGATCATGCGACTGTTAAGTTTGTTGAGGTGAGAGGTGTCGACTGCATTGTTGAGGACGACGATGCCGTCGTTGTGTAGGGCTGTGACTGCTGCTTGGAGATTGTGGGATGTTAATGTTTTGGTGCTGACTTCGTCCGGTGAAAGATGGACTGTCGTTATGTCATCTTGGACTGTAGTTGTGGCCATTTTTATCTGTGGTCTTTCGTTGGAGGGCATGTTCGTCAACTGACCCTTTCAAGTTAAGAGTAGGACTTTTCGAAGAGATGTACAGTCGATCAGTTTCATACCAATTGATGCATAGACAGACGCACAGATTTTTCAAACAGTGTCTGATCTATCAGCTCACCTGGGTAATATCCATGGGATTGACTGAAAACTTGGAAAATAGCCCTAAGTGACCCCGCACTTAGGATGTATCCGCAACCAACACGAAGTCTTGGATACTTATGAGATAACAAACTGTAAAATTTGAAGATAATTCGTGATAGATAGTAGTAATATATACAAGAATAGAAAGGAAATCATCACCCAATCCCAAGTCCGCATTTCTCATCCACCAACTTTGAAAGGTCAGATACCAGATCGCCTAACAACCCTCATGATGCGATCATCGACATTATTATAATTATACATTAACTCAACAGGATGAGACAATACGGAAGGTATTTTCACTTTCGTGCTCTTCGAGCGTGATTGACAAGATTCTCAATCACTCCCTCAAAAGCTTCCTTTTCCCCTATGAGTCCATCTGTTCTTTTGACCCAATAGTCGAGCACGTCCTTTGCCTTTTTAGATGCCGTTTGGAGTGACTCCACGTGCTGCTCAAGTTCCGAGTCTGTAAATCCATCCAATGCTGCATCTGTAGTTGCGCACAACCGTCTTACTGCGAACAGGTCTAGCTCTGGAGGAGACGGTTGGCCTCGACGTCGATTTGACTTTTGTCGCATGATTGTAGAGTTGACTGATGTTGTAGAGCCGTTCTGCGGGGCATCGCCTTGTTTTGATCTGTCTGTTGCTTTTGAAAGATTGCGAGCAGAAGTACTGGAGTCTTCCGGATTGATGGACGGCAGTATAAGCTTTTTCTGTTTTGAGGCTGGTAATATCTCGTCCAGGTCAACTGGAACGCCGAGAGAGACAAGAAACAGGCGTCGAATGCGAGATTTGACCCAGTTCGGAGGTTGTAACGGCGGCGGTGCAACTAATTGTGACCATAAAGAAAGTGAACGTTCGCTACTGAAGATAGCTGTAGAATCTGATATCGGTTCCAATGGTGGTAGGGATGAGACTGTTTTTGTTTCGGGAAATAGGGTATTAAGAGAGTCATTAGTTGTGGATAAGAGATCGGATAGGGATGTCATGGAGTTGAAGTCTAACAACGGCGGCTGTCCATAGGTTAATAATCTACGTCATGATCAGATCCAAAGCTTCAGTACTCACGAGAGGTAGCGGCGTTGAGGGTTGTAAAACTTCACCCTCTCCCGATTCAGCTCCACCGGCGCCCTCTACTGGTTCACCAAATCCTTCGTCAAAATCGCCAAATTCATCATCTGCTGGCGCATTTGCACCTTCCTCGAATTCATCAAAGTCATCACCAAAGTCGTCATCGCCTTCTTCATCTTCATTTTCTCCTTCACCTTCATTGAGCCGTTAGCACGGGTCATATTGTATGCAAGAAGCCACTGTAGCAGTCTCTAGGAAAGGAAGCACGCTGCGAAATTGTCCAGAGAGCGGGTGTTGAGCAATCCAGGTCCAAGAGAAGAGCTTAAGATTACCACAGGCTACTCGACAATCCCGGCGTGTCTAGTAGATGTCTGGCTTACCGGTCGTATCATGCACGGTCTCAATAACATCGGGCAATGCATCGCTTGGGCTCCTGCGGTGGGCGTGAAGTCCCGGCGATCCTGGTTCCTTGGGAAGTGAATCTACCCTGAATAGTCGAGTTTCAGGGACTGACTGGTCCGAATCTTCCCTGTGCAATTCCTGTGGCTTTTGTTCGTCTCCGGTAGTTTTCAGTACGAGATCGGGAACAGCATCTGCTTTTCGTTTGTCGTATGCGTCAGTCCCTGGGACTTCCCCGTAGCTTGGTGTTTCGTCCACTTTGATAACCGTCGTCCGTGGTATGGGCGTCCCACCAGGACTGGTTGGTTCTCTTACTCTCGAAGAACTTCGGCTCCGTGAACCCTCTGGGACGATCTCTACTTCATCAGGGACGGCATCTTGTGTCCTCTTGTCGTATGCTAATGTGCCCGGCACCTCTCCATGACGAGGCTCGTCGTCGACTCTTTCAACGCGGGTTATGGGCACGGGAGAAGCTGCTCTGGACGATTTTCTGGAATGAGATTGAGGCTCGCCTTCGATAGCATCTGAAAAATGATCATCTTCGCTGGCTGTAGTGGGATTTGTGAGCAAAGAGCGGTAACAGAGATTACGGGACTGGCGTACCAGACTCCTGAGCACCGGGATCCTCAAGCTCAGGACCTTTCTGCGGGGGTTCCAGATGTGAGCTGGAAGAGCTGTGCAGACTATCCGACATTGAGACTGACAATCTGTGCATTCAATCGTGAAGGAGTGTGGAATGTCGGTCAGATGGAGAGGAAGGGACACAAATAAAAGGAAGAGCTGAACATGAGTCGTTGACTTAAATAAACTGGTCGATTGCGGCCCAGGCTCTTGATGTAAGCCTTACTGCCTGAGGCTGTGACCCAAGAGGGTTGAGGTGCCTGAGGCCGCAAGCTGGAGCTCGGACCAATACAGCGCGTTGGAGAAGAACCTTGGGACCTCATATCAAATAATTGTCAACTATCATCACTCATTGACTGTACGCCACTCTTAAATACTGTCCGCATAGTATTTATCGAAGACTTGCAAAACAGCTGCCTACGTCGTAGGGCATTCTCGTTGTCCCTGCGGGCTCATTGCGCCCTTGTGAGTTCTCCCTGCAAACTTCAATATTCAAAGTCTGACAACAAAAGCGAAATCCTGTCTTCTACTAGTATCCTTTAATACAACCATATCAAAATGTCCGGCTTCTCTTTCAACGCGCCATCGTCCACTGGAGGCCCCGGTGGTGGGCTTTTCGGATCGAAGACACCAACGACGACTGGTGGCAGCTTGTTTGGAAATACAGGAAATACATCAACCGGCGCTTCAACTCCGTCGGTATTCGGCTCGACCACTCCTGGCACTACGGGAAATAGTCTTTTCGGTGCAAAGACAACAGATGCTGGAAGCGGTACTAGTACACCAGCCTTCAGTTTCGGTGGCACACAAGGTCAGAACAAGCCAGCAACTCCGTTTGGCGGCTTGAATCAAACCCCAAACAAGACGACAGAGGCATCCGCTACTTCCCAGGCACAGACAGCTGGTGGATTATTTGGTGCAAAACCTGCTGAAGGTGGTAGTCTTTTTGGTAGCAATACTCCGGCACAGACAAAACCTGGTTCAACTCTGTTCAGCACAACGCCAGCCAATCCACCTCCAAGTGCTGGTGCAGCAGCCGGGTCAGCGCCAGCTCTGTTTGCCAGTCAAAAACCATCGACTTCACAAGCAACAACTACTGGATCTACTGCGACATCTCAACCACAGATCACTAATCTATTCGGCGGTGCACCTTCTACAGGTGGAAGCAACCTGTTTGGCGGTGTTAACAAGACTCCTGCGACGTCTGAGGGCGGAAGCAAGCCCTTATTTGGCGCTGCGCCAACATCTACTACTACTGCGCAATCATCCACCGGCCTATTCAAACTTGGTGGTGCTAATGCCGGAGGTAACGCACCTGCTTCTCCTTTTGGGGCTGCTGCTTCATCTGCACCATCGACACAACCCTCGACAACGGCTGCGTCCGAAGCCACCCCCCAGAAGAGTCTTTTCAGTCTAGGCGGCACATCTACTGCTACTCCTTCGACGCCTGGTGCTGCTCCTTCTCTTTTTGCTGGCGTTGGAAAACCCGCTTCTACCACTGCAGCTAGCACTCCAGCAACAACGGCCGCGGCAACGACGGCACCGAGTGGCGGACTGTTTGGCGCGAAACCGGCGGCGACGAGCACAACTACAACTACAGCGACACCCGCTCCTACAGCAACTGTCGGTGCAACCACTACTGCAGCTGCAGCTCCTGCAGCTCCCTCAGGCCCCGATGCTGGCAAAGCAACGCCAAACCTTGGAGCTTCGACATTCGGACCCACGCCTCCTGCTCAGTCGCGCTTAAAGAACAAAACAATGGATGAGATTATTACGCGATGGGCTACCGATCTAACAAAATATCAAAAGGAGTTCAAGGAACAGGCTGAAAAGGTGGCAGAATGGGATCGCATGCTTGTGGTTAATAGTAACAAAATAGCGAAACTGTACGGGAATGCAATTGACGCGGAGCGTGCGACTCAGGAAGTCGAACGTCAACTGGCTTCGGTTGAAGGACAGCAGGAGGAGTTGAATGCATGGCTGGATCGATATGAGCGAGAGGTTGACGAGATGCTGTCGAAGCAGGTTGGACCGGGCGAAACTCTTCAGGGACCCGATCAGGAGCGCGAGAGAACGTATGTATCCTACACCATATTTGTTAAGTTGCCTGCTAACGTGACGTAGTTATAAACTCGCGGAGAAGCTTTCTGAGCGCTTGGATGAAATGGGTAAGGATCTTGGAAGCATGATTGAAGAAATCAACAGTGCGTCATCTACATTGAGCAAGACGAACAAGACTGATGAACCTGTGAGTATCCCCTGTATCATGTTAGCATAATGGAAAATACTGACTTGATACACCAGATCTCTCAAATCGTCCGAATTCTCAACTCGCACCTCTCTCAACTCCAGATGATCGATCAAGGCACGGCCGAGCTTCAGGCCAAGGTCAGCGCGGCACAAAAGTCAGGACAGTCATTGGGCTCGCGACTGAGTGGTTACGGACAGAATGGTAATGGCATTGGGATAGGCGGAAGTGCAGCTGATGACTTTTATCGGTCGTACATGGGTCGTCGGTGATTTTCACACACAGTATGTATCTTGATTTGAAGCAAAGGGTGTAGAGTTCGCCTTGATATGGGTTGGTGTTTAAACCTCTTTCTACGTGTAATTGAACATGAACACGGCATGGACTTTAGGTCAGGTAAATCAACTGTCTAATTGGACTGACCGTTTGGTTTTAAATGATTATCCGATCATGGGATCAGCTATGTTCGCTAAATATAACTACAACTTATCCCCCGAGGGTTCAGGTAACCCTCTTACGGGCTTGAAGAATATCGTGAAAAGCATGCGCTAGCCAGCACCCATGGATGCCTTCCGTGCGCACAACAGAGATGAAGAAACATCACAAAAACGGCAACCGATTACCTATCTAGGCAATTAATCACTTTTGTCGTCTCATCAAGTCGGCGGGCAGGTAAGATCATGTGTCAGGCCGAATCCGAATTAATCCATGCTTTTGCGGGCAGAAGGGTAGGTCAAGACGAGAAGATGGAGCATTTGATTCCGATCTGTTCTGCCAGTGCGTGTGAACGTAGATGTCTCCGTGTATGAACGTTGTTCAGTGTCCACTATCAGTGTGACATGACATTGGCAGCGATATTGCAGCAGTATCCATCGCATCTATTCAACAAATACCTTATAGAATGAATTGGGGGGTTGCAGGTACATGTGCCACTACCTAGATAAGAAAGTACACCTACAGAATAGGCTAAATACAGCACAAAACACAACGCCACAACAACGTATTTATTGTCCACATACTAGTCCATTTACTTGCATCAAAATCATACATGCATGTATGTCTGTATGTCTGTATGAAAATAGCCGCACGGACCCTGACATATGCCTAATCCCTGAGATATTGACGTGTGACGAGACATGGATGGCCAGCAGATGTATGCATCTGTCTATACCCAAGTATGCTCTGTATATTGGGCTCTTGGTGGGGTTGGCGGTTTGATAGAGGGGTAGATTACTTTATTGATGCTTATTGAGCCGTACAGTAAGCGGATACCGAGGTAGATACATATAAACTTTCAAATTCAATAACTTCATATTGAATCCATGGTTCAGTAAAGGCTTCTAACCACGTAGTACGTAGTAAGATAGGCCAAGTCACGTCTTTTGTGGCTATGCTTGCTTCTGTCATAGCATGTCTGGGATGAGTTCGGTTGATTTGGGAATCATTTCAGTGTTGGCTGGTCTATTGTGTCTAACCGCGAGGACATTGCGGTAGGTGTGTATACATTATGTACAGTACATTGCGTGTCACCAGATCCGTATACGTGCTTGGGAACGGTATGAGAAACGTATGTATATCTCGCCACGTGATGTTAGAACACATGATTTGACAGGTGACTGACGCTGCCTCAGGCTGCCATGAGGGTTTTATGCTTCGCTAGTGTTCAAAGTCGCTCGACAGCGTCGACACTTGACAGGACAGGACGAAAGAAACAGGAAAAGCCGTGCCAAGCTTCAACTCGTGGTAGTGCGCACTACGTAGCATTTAATAAATGAAGATTAGATAAATTCGTCGGAGCAACATGGCCAGGAGAGGATATAGTCTTATCAATGCCGGATCCTTAGGGTTGTGTGGTACATGCAACTCCGCAGGTAGCATATACTAGCAAGCATATCGTGATGTCGGCAATCTTAGCACGCCGCCAGGAGTCAACCTTGGAAACCTGTTTTTGTCCCCAGCTGGAGAATACTTCGATCTCGTTCAGGGCATATTTTTACTCGGATTCATTGTGCGATATTCAAGATCCTACACAAGTATCGCAACTTGCAAGCATCCGGCTGTCTGTCTACAGAGTCTACAGAGTCTACGGCGGAGGCTACACCGGAATATTCAGTATGTATTCAATCAATGAAGTACTAGCGCTCATCGCCATGTGGTAAAATCTCTCCACTCTCAACTTTGTTTTGGCCCCGTAGTCTTTGCAGGCAAATTGCGCTGGGGCGGCCACGCTGCGACAGGGATTCTCTTGTTATTTCCGGTCAAAATGCCTTTGTTTTGACTAGCCATTGGACACCAAAGGAAACAAAAGGATCAAACTAGTAAGTAACCACTCCATACGGAGGTAAAGAGAGTATTATTGAGTGAGCCCTAATTAGGGGTACGAGGTGACCATTCAGGAGGCGGGTAGAGAATGAGGGAAATAATATCCCGGACTACCATAGCAAGTTGAATATTAATCTATTGCCGGACATGGCCGGTACGTTTCAAAAAAAAAAATCTCCGGATTTAGCAGGTCGATATGTGAGTTGATACTACTAACTCGATAGGGATGTACACTTGCGGCCCAACTGGCAGTAAAGAGTACCTTTTTCGGGCTAAACGCGGCAATTTAGAAGATACATTCATACTTTATTTCTGCTTTTGTCTGTCTATCTACTATCGGTTCTCGTGTCGATCGGACGGTTTCTGACACGTCGATCTTCTTATACCTCGAGTTATAATAAGTGTATGTATACCTATGTATGTATGTATATATGTATGTACATATGTACATATGTATGTACGTATGTAGTGTATTCCGAGAATACACCGATGAAGCTTCAACTTCAGCCTCGTTGATGCAATAGAAGAGTCAAGAGGCGAGATGACGATCTTGCCAAGGGGCGGCAATACAAAGTCACGCGGGAGGTTTAGCGAGTGGGATGTCAGCAGAGATGTCACGAATCTTGTCATCGTAAATGTCATACGGGAATAATGAACGAGGAGACTGAGATGGACTAAAAAGCTTGGTCGATGTGGCGCCGCGGTGGAAGAGACAAGGGGCTTCCACGTTTCTTCCGTTTTGGCCTAATCTATCTGTATGCTACATAGTAGTACTAGCTTCTTGATTGTACGTCTTCGATGCCGTGTACTCTGGATATGGGAATGCTATTAAAAATAAAATACCTCGAGCGGTGAGGTGATTACCTTCTCTGTAGTCTTGTAGCTTACAGTAGACGAACCTTGTTGAACATGGTCAGGGATGCGGTGGCCTGCTAAAGAACAATGATGCAATAATAATAATCATCAGAGATAAGTTGACATTCATAGTTCTGCTAGTAGACACGCTAAGCACCAACCGGGACTAGCGTTGAATTCTTCAGGATTTTTAACTCTAACCAACCACGTTTTTGCCTCTATTCACGATACTTGACTAACGGAGTATGCGCCTGGCTTCCGGAGGCTAATCATGCAGCCCTGGTTCTGCCGGTAGTCACTTGTAAGCTATCTTGTAACTGATTACCAATTCATGTGGTACGGCCGGTGAGAATACATACTCTTCTTCATACTCCCTGTACTCCAAAGTAAAACCGACGTTACCCAGATACGAAGGAGCACTCCGACGGCGAATATTCTGTAACCGCACATGTAACCGCACCGGGTTATGCTCGTTCAGTCTCAGAGAGGCCAGAGAGGCCAGAGTGGCTAGAGAGGCTATACGTAGATAAAGTGAAACCCTTACGCGGACTGAGACAGCCCACGCCGGCAGAGTCGAAAGTTTAAAAGGGATTTGATCGAAGCAATCCCCGTCGATTCCGTTCCCTTAATAGTTGATACGGAGCCACTGAACCGGCGGCTCGGTGCCAGTGGGACGGATCCGGATGCACACTTCCCATCCATTTTGAATAACTAGATGAATCGTCGTCTGATTCAGCTACTGCGTACGTACTTCCCAGAGGAGAATGTGCGGGTGGATCGACATTCCGATGACTCCATAGATCGGCTTGATACGGTCGTAGGATGTACATAGGAGTCTCCCCCTTGGCATGATTGTTAGAGGTATCCCAGCACGGAGATGGGTTTTCCAGGAGGCTCTTCAACATGAAAATCAATATGCATAGTATGTGGTATAAAAGTTGTTCATATCCACATCGATACTAAGTAGCAGTAGTAGTAGTAGTAGTAGTAATAATAATAATAATACTAATACTAATACTATGTACTAGTAATGTCGTAATACGCACTAAGAGAAAAGACCCGACACGGACCAATTATATTGTCCGATTTTGTGGTTTGGGTCTGTGGTCTAACCATTTTGGTCGATCCGATGGAAAAGAAGGGCGATTCTAACATGCTGATTGGCTGGGGGAGCGTGTTCTCGATGGAGTAGTTTGTACCGTACTTTGGACTTTGTTAACTTTACGTACTACACACTATGTAGTAGTGTTGGTAGCCAGTATTTGGATTCTCTACTCCGTATTGATGCACGAATGGATTCATATGATCTGGTTTCGAATTGTGATGACATACGCCGCACATGAATCAAGCAAAAACCATCACCGCTGGAGATCATCGTGGAAAAAATATCGGTCATTGGCGTATTGCACGGCCGATCGATTATCTTTCCGACGATTTCCCTTTTGTGTTCCTGTTGTGGTGGGTGGGGGAAGCACACTAGTCCCAACGAGTATGTCTGCCGATTGCGAGTTGAGACTTTGGATGCCAGTATTAAAAACCGTTATGGCTTACAGGGGTATTGACGTACTTACTCTGTCGTGGTACTCCGTACATACAGGTACATACACTATCTGCTCAACTATCAGGTTAATAATGGCACTTATACAGTAATTATCGTTTTTTTATAGTAAATATCAGCGACGGGTAGAGGCTGTTGCATGTACCGATACATGTGGTGACCTGATGCTTGGCGCTGTTGGCAAGAATCCCACGTCACACCTTGTAATATATTATTAAGGATCTTCAACAATAGCCCGCTCCCGGCATATTACGCAACGAGTACCAGTACCTATTCGATACATACTACTATAGTATACTATATTAGTAGTACCAGAAATCAGCCCTGTAATGCTCTTACACTGCTATTCCATGTCGTTGTGCCAGTCTGTTCGCGCGATCATCATTGCCACTAGAGGCTGAGTCGGCCAATGGTGGGTACCTGGGAGGAACAGCAGACGGTAAGATATAACCAATAAACAACGTATGGTATGAACTGCTGACTTGCACCCTTTCCCTCCTTCCCACCTTGCTTGGAGTCCCCACTGACGACGCCTGACTGGCTGATCTGGCGGTCCCCCTCTTGCAGACAGACATTCGGCAACGAGGTACTATGAGGAAGCATTCTCTGGAGTCAGAGGATAGGATACAATGACTATTTCGTCTCTGCGATGGTATCCGGGTACTCTCGCCTCTCCTATATGCCTGTTTCTGTTCAATAGTCGGCGGTTGAAGAAAAAATAGAAAAAACAGAAAGAACGAAAGAACGAACGAACGAAGAAAGGGAGGAGCGAACCAAAAGGGAAAAGGGAGCGATCCTATTGGCTGGCCGATGGCGCTTGGGACAGGGAAAGAGGAACCCGACCTTAGCTCAGTGGGTTCCTCTCATGTACGGAGTGTTTCAATACGCGGCTAGTGAATGCTTAGTATCATTCCTGTTATTAATCCGTACGGCTGTAACGCCATTACACTTCGCTCCTTCCCTAGGTTCCACTTCCGAATGCTAACCTAACCTAGCCTAACCTAACCTCCTCTTTCTTACCAAACCGTTCGTGCCCCGATCCATTTTTTTCCTTCTTGCTCCTCGCAAAGGTGAAAGACAACAAATATCGCTTCATCCCAGCCCTGTTCCACAGCGAAGATTTTTTACCGTTACATCACTAGGTGCAACAAACCGCAATCACGGGACAACGACACGGGAATTTCGATGAGTCCGACTTGAGACTCACTCGCTGACTCTTAACCTGCACCTGGAGGAAACTCTTATAACACCCCACGATCAATTCCAACTCGACCAACATCAAGACATGATTTTCGTTCAGTATCGCTAAAGTGTGACCGCTTGACAACCTCCATCGAGAATCGCTGTAGATTAAGGAAAGGAATACCGAGCTGTCGCCTTTCCTTTACCTCGATTTCTAAACCGGTCAAGGACTCTTCCCTCGTGTCTTTCCAACATCTTTTTGCGCCCGTCTCGAACAAGAACAACAACAACAACAACAACAACAACAACAACAACAACAACAATATACTACTCTGGATCAACAAACCAACTGGGAAGACGCGACGCGGGCCTCAAGCGTTAGCCGCTCTCTGTGTGTGAGGACAATTAGAGGTACTGGTAATTCGATGATGACTACTGTCTCTGGTGACATGCAAGGCGCTACTCCAGTGCCTGTAGTACCTCATCCTGTTGACAGCGATCGCATGCACTTTGCTTCGATATCCTCTTCGTCCTCTTCCATCTCCGACGGCGAACCTGAGCGCGGTCGGTCAAGACTGGAACGTCCCCGAATGGCCAGCCGAAAACCCAGTGCGTCTATCCTCGTGCCACGAGATCACCCAGAGATTGAGATTGAGGAGGAGGAGTTTCCGCCAGATGATGCTCGTGCCATGAGTCCTCGACGTGACTCTGCAGACGTGGAACGTTTGGGAAAGGAAGCTCGTCAAACTCTGCAAGAGTGAGTGAATTTATATTCTCAATATGAGTGAACAATTTGGTGACTGTTCTTAGGCAAGCCAAAACTCTACAATTATCCCTCCAGGCTCTAGCGCAACGAATCGAAGAGGTCAAAAACGATCACGACAAGCTAGAGAGCGAGAACCGGTACCTACAAGACTATATTGGAAGCTTGACGCAAACAATATCCAAATCTGAGATCACATCAACCACTGGGAAGTCGAAGAAGAATCGAAAGTAGCTCACCGACCACGGCGGCGTTTTATGTGGAAAAGCAAGAATCACTAAACCCAACAAACGCAGAAAATTGCACCAGAAACCAACTTCGAGCGATTCGACATTGCGTATGGATTCTACTACTGAGCATTCGTCGTCATTACAGTGATACCACAAGTGCAACATTTTTTTTTCTCTTCGATTTTGCTATTCCACATACCACAAGCGACCGCTATGATCATATCGGTACTACTACTACTACCACTACTGCGACTTCCGGTTTACCCATTTCTCTTCTCCTTTACATCATCGAGCTCGTCACGACTGATGATTTCCACTGATCTTTTGCTCCTGCGGAGCTTTCATATCTCGTTATTTCTAGCTTGGGTGGCAATCTGTTTGACCTCAAATTTATGTTTGGAACGTCGATGATTTGAGTTGCTAGACAGTCGTCGTTTCGGCGTTTTATTGCATTGCACGTTCAGGCGTTGATCATCGTCGGTGTGTTGAATCAGGGATTTGACTTGGCGGCGTATTGTTTTCTCCTAGGCGGAAAGACTACCCTGTCATTTGCCGCTTTCGTCATATCCATGTGTGCCTTGTCGCTGTGCCACAATGGATATGCAAATTTCTTTACAGGCTAATGCGAAGTTCTATTGTTCTTATGAAAAAAAAAATGAAAAACAAAAAAGAGCAAGCCACTGATTATACATCATATGCTGTTTGCGCTTGCAACTGCATGGTTCCTTACTCGAGGTTCATTTCATTATTCCGCTGCCGCTTGATATCACAGTGGATAGCAATATGCTCTTTTTCTTTTTCTTTATCTCGCCTTGATGAAGACGAACTTGATTCCCCCGATGACGTCGACCTTTCAGGTGCCTATCTTTATTCTCTTTTCTTTTTTCTACCCTTGCAACGCCACCACAGCCCCGGAAAACGCTGGGACAATGAACTCGGAGCAGCAGCACGTGACATGGCGCCTTATTTTCTTCTACCTTGTACACAATATCTTCTTTTTCCTTTTTCCTCCGAGAGCATATTTCTTCCATGGGAGTTCATTGGGTGGTGGGTGTTGTTTTCTTTTTTCGATTGTTACTGTTTGTTTATACATATGAGCATGTGCATGCATAGCGCAGCGGATTGTTTGATAGTTCGCATAGCATTAATGAATATTGCGAATGATATTTTCAGTATAGGAGTGGTAATGTCTCTTGCTTGATGAAGATTCCCCTGAGACTTTTATGGATAACCATCAATTGTTTTTTTTGGACTACGCATGTGTATGATGAAGCATGAACCCGCTCATGCTTGGATACTTGATATCAGACACCTCTGCACCTAGACAGTGAATCTGTATATCATATACTCGTCTGACTGACTCATCTATCCCCAGCCCTGGATGTCTCTGTTCGAGTCGTGTCGTTGCAAGATCCCTTCTATATACCAACCGCCACTAGAACGGATGCAACGAATCCTCGAATCGGGTCTCGTTCCATCCCTTCTTTTCGTCAAGCAGGAAAAGATGGCCATTTGGACACTGAGAATCAACTTGAGTACTCATGCTTACTGTCAAATGAAGCTCCAGTTCCGCTTCCGCCGTTACCAACATCAGGCCAGCAAGATAGGTTTCATACGACCAGATAAGACTGGACCCAGATCAATCAAGTCACATCATATCGCAGTAGCAATGGACCACCGCATTGTATTGTATCAATTGTATAGTATTGTATAAAGAGAGGGAGGAATTCTGATAGATATGGAGGAAATGTAATAAGGAGACTTTGCATACATTACTTGCGGAATCAGAGCAAGAAAAGGAAACACACAAAAAGCGAGTTAAAACCAGGGGCCAAAAAGAAGAAAAAAAGAAGAATAGAAATTCGAGGAACAGGAATAAAGACAAAGATAACCATCTCATAAAGACCCGAATCGCAGGGGAATTAATCCATTGTTGACGAGAAGGAAGTCGAAAAGATAAAAGGGTAAAATAAATAGGATATTCTTCGGTTTATCATATTGTTCTCCTCTTTTTTCAGCCCTCAACATGAATATCTTGAATCACGGTTCCTGGTCATAGAATGATTGAAACTTTGGATTTTCTTTAAAAAAATCTTGCTCCCTGTTTTTCAGTTCTTCTCCTTTCTTCTTTTCTCATCTACCAAGTTCTCGCGTAATAACCGAACGAACCCGTAGGCAAAGGGGAAAGGCAGCAGAGAAAAAAAAACAAACTCCAATCCGCTCAAAAGGAATCTGACACGGACAAACCTCTCATCCTTTTACATCTGAAATCCAAACTCAAATCCACTCTACGGCACGAGTTCATGATTCATATGTTTTCTTTTTTATGTTGTTTATGAAATTTACTCGGCAGCAGGAGCTTCGGTTGAAGGGACGGGAGCTTCCTCCTTCTTTTCAGCAGCAGCAGGCTCAGCGGCGGTCTCGGCCTCAGAAGAGGTCCAGAGAGTCTACAGTATGTTAGTATTGTACTCATATATAAGCAAACATTGGTGCTGTACATACCAAGTTGTCACGGAGGAGCTGCATGATGAGAGTGGAGTCCTTGTAGCTCTCCTCACTCAAGGTGTCGAGTTCTGTGACATGTGTCAGCGAGAAATTGTAAAATACGCTTCAATGCGAGTTAATAACATACCAGCAATAGCATCGTCAAATGCAAGCTTGGCCAAGTGACAGGCTTGGTCGGGAGAGTTGAGGATCTCATAGTAGAAAACGGAAAAGTTAAGGGCGAGTCCGAGACGGATGGGGTGGGTAGGAGCAAGATCCGTCTGGGCAACCTCGGTGGCAGCCTTGTAAGCCTCAAGGGAGGCATCGGCGGAAGCCTTGCGGCGGTCGCCAGTGGCGAACTCAGCCAAGTAACGGTGGTAGTCACCCTTCCTATTTATCCATTAGATCTGCGTGAAAATACACTAGCAAGAAAACTTACATCTTGTGGTAGAAGACCTTGGATTCACCGGTTTGAGCAGAAGGAATCAAGTGCTTGTCCAAAACTTCGAGGATGTCTTCGCAGATCTTGGCCAGCTCGGTTTCGATCTTTTGACGGTACTCCTTGATCAATGTGACCTGAGACTCGTTGCCTTTGGACTCCTCCTTTTGCTCGATCGAGGTGACGATCCTCCAAGAGGCACGGCGGGCACCGATGACGTTCTTGTAGGCGACAGAAAGCAAATTCCGCTCTTCGACGGACAATTCTTGGTCTGAGGAGGCAACGACTTTCATGTTCTCCACCATTTCTGAGAAAAAAGTTAACGCGACATTGCCGAGATAGCTACGAGCAGAAGTTAACGAACCTTCATAGCGCTCAGCCTGCTCGGCGAGCTTGGCGAGGTAAACGGCATCTTCGTGACCCATTGTGATTGATTATCTAGAAATTAGGCAAGTTAGTAAACTGTAATAAAAAGTCTGGTTTCGAGTGTTGTGTGTGTTGATGAGGCTGAAAAAAAAAGTAGTGATGGTAAATGTTTTCATTTGCGACGTAAATATGATACGTAGCGTAGCCTTATTCTACTACCATCGACCACTAACCACACTTTCGGAGTTAAGCCATTTCGTCGAATCACGATAGTTCGCAACATCTTGTAATCTTGATAGGGCAAAAAATGAGGCTTGTTGTGTGGAAGAAAGTAGAATGTAGGCGGTCGACCTCCTACGTCACACACTCGGGCCGATCCACGATCACCGCTCTCTGGCTGGCCCGTCACTAAGACAAGCGAAGGAATAGAGATTGCATCGCCCAAATACGCCCGTTTGGTGTTGAAATTTTGTCTTGCGACAACAGCACTGAACAACAGTAGATATCAAATCGATGTGGTTTTTTCGAGTCGATGGCTCAGTCGTCGACGATGATGGAGATGGCCGTGGGAGGGGCGGAGCAGGGGGCACAAGAAAGAGGGGGATGGCGGCTCACCTGAATGGTAACGCGTACCGACGAAAAACAAGACTGGTAGAGAGAGTATGTGCGGATAGAGATTGAGAGAGAAAGGGTATCGAATAGTCGAAAGAAGACGCTGTTGGAAAGGAGAAGAGGAGGATAGATGTAGTTGGTAGATAGAGTAGAGTAGAGAGATGGTTGTGTTTTGGGCAAAGAAGGCGGATGAGGTTTGGGTTTGGTTGAGGAAGGAGCGTTTGTTTTGTTTGTTTGAGAAAGCCCACCCCCTTTTGTGGGCCTGTCATTGGTCCGTCTGCTAGGCGGCAAGCGACCCTCAATTTCTCCAATTCTGCTTTATTTGTCTAATTTCACCATTATCACGTTTCAACTAATGTCCTAGACTCTGTCTTCAGCTATGGTATGTGGTACATGTGTACAGGGCTACGTTGTGGTTCATTTCTGTGGCTCTTGACTCTTGAGTATCGAGTCTACTGACCATCACATCACTATCTCCTGTCGGGTCTGTTGATATATCCGAGCACTGTTCTTGAATTATGTGCGCGCGTGACAGTCAAAACGTGAACAGCCAACAGGAGCAACTCGCTGATTATTTGCTCGAGATAAGAGACTCAAAACTCCGCCGCATCGTGGATCAGACTAAGCGCAAGTCCGAGGCGTAGAAGCATTATTACGACTAACCTGCCGCAAGCCATATTTCGACCTCCGTAGCCAGAGTCCAGACTCTGACACTCCTTCTGTAAGGGCTTTCAGCCTCCTAAGATTGCCATCTCGTCCGGCTTTTGCCTCACATTTTTTTCATGGTCAATACGCGGCTGTATCAAGGCGTATACCCTCCCAAATGTCAGAATATACAGCCGTTGGACCAATTTATACATCTCCGGGGAGGAAATCAAATGCATATGTAGCGATATATTCTCGGTATCACACGAAGTAGTTTGTGGTCAGGTGATCCACATCCAAGCTTGTAGACAAACAGTGCAAACAAACAATCACCTGATGACAAATCGCTGCCTCAGGCTGCGATACCTCGGAGCCAGAAGGGTAAGCTAACGTCATGCCACCGCCTGGACTATTTTCATCGACTTTCGATTCTGCAATTGATCATCACTTCCACGACAACCTGAACATCTCCTATCAACAAACATCCCCTCTATCTCAATCTCTATAAACACTCACAATGTTCCGTAACGCCGTCGCAAGACCTGTCCTCCGCGCCAACCAGCGATTGGTCGCTATTCGCTCGTTTTCCGTTGCTCCGGTTAGAATGGGCGAAGGTGATCTTGGTGCTCCCAAGGCCGGCGGATCTGCTGCTGCGTGAGTTTATTTATTGATTATCGCTATATTCGTCAATTAGCTGACCGGGTTCAATAGCGACTCTTTCACCAAGCGCGAAGCTGCGCAAGAGAACCTATACGTCAAGGAGAAGGAGCTTCAAAAGTAAGATATCAATTCATTTGGGTGCAATATATCCAGATGCTGACGGTTTGTTCTTCTAATTAGGCTCCGAGAGCTCAAGCACAAGCTTGCCGAGCAGCGAAAGCACCTCGATGAACTCGACAAGCACATGTACGTGGATATCTCATCACCATTCAAACCTCCCGTTCCTAGAAAGGAACATATTAACTGACTTTTATCAAGTGATCAACTCACCAAGGAACAAGGCGGCGAGCAGAACTAAATGCTCAACGAGAAGATATAATCTACTTCATCGACCTACAGCGATATTTGATTCGATTTTTCCAGACTTGATGGAAACTCAATCACTGCATACTCTCCGCTCTGTCTCCTTTTGTCTCAATTGATCTGAACAACTTGTTACCGTGTTCAGTTTTGTGTATAGTTGGTAGCCTTGAGCAGAAGAATTAACAATGAATTGGCACTGCTACCATGGACATCATGTCTAATGGTGGCTAATGCATCACTATCGCGTTTGAATGTAATCGTACTTTGCAGCAAGTTCCTAACGATAATCAATTCTATTGTAAAAATAACGACGTTTGCCACTGATACCAAGCCCGTAATACGGCAAGTCCACCGGATTGTGTCTCAACAGTGCGGCCTCGACCCCGATCATTCACATCTCTTACCCATCTATGGCTCTGATACTGTCCAGCAGCTTGTTCGGCGCGTGAAAGCGGTTTGCCCATTTTTGAGGGTATTGTCGAGTTATTGCTATACTCGCTGTAGTCATCTCCAGAGAGAGTTCGTAATAGACCCTTAAGACGGTCCGAATCCCGGCCCGCTTCGCCATGATTCACATAGTCAATAGCTCCTGGTGGTATGCTTGACATTGGAACTTCCATATCAGCCTCCGCACTGGGAAATGTTACTCCCCACCACATGCCGAATTTCCCCTGCTCATTTCTTGTAGCAAGTGCGGCTCGAGCATTATGCTCAATCCAATCCCCATACTTCCGACATCGAGCCAAATGCCATTTATCAAACAGATCTTGTTTCTCTTCTATCGACTCCGAAGGCTCAGCGAACAGGGCAAGTAGTCTGACTTCTTCTGGTCGCAGCACATGACAGAATTCAGTCAAGTGATGGAAAAATATCCCCTTGAAGGTATGCCCATCCTGTGAGCAGCTACTGTGAGAATCGCAGGCTTCTTCTAGAACACCGCCCCGCCCAAGACCGGACCAGTTGCGACGATTGGTTCTTGGCCATCCTGTAGCCCGCATCACACGCTCAATCAGCTCGTGTCCGTCCTGGAGATAATCTTGATAGCTTGTAGCGAGCCATAGTCCCCTCAGTCCGCTGAGAATAACGCCCTGATTGTATGTGAATACCATAGGATTGAGCACGTCGCATTTTTTCGTTCCTGGGTTCTTGATGCCTTTGTATCCGTGAATATGGAACCCATCCGCATACAGACCACCAGTGCCAGTCATGTTCGAATCCTTAAGCCACTGGTAGCTACGCACTGCGGCAGCAAGATAACTGGGGTCGTGCACACGATAATGATCCGAAGACACAAACGGTGAACCAATAGGATCGCCCGTAAAATACAGATACATCCCAATGCTTGCCGAGATAAACAACTCATTCGTAATCGCATTCTTGTATGGCTCAAGGTACGGACTCCATATCATCCCACCTTCACACAGTTCGCTATCCCAGCCCGAAGAAGCCAGCTCATAGAATACACGAGCTCGATGCGCTGCAGGCACGCGAAGCTGTTTTCCGTGCCATTGCGCTTCAATCGTGGAATTTACGGTCTCATAATGTAACTCGGAATGGAGATTCTGGAACTTGATGCTCTCCAACCAACCGAGTACCACCCATAGCATGTCGTCAAATGCTTGCATTCGGACGGCGAAAGCGTTTTCTCCAAAATAGAAATTGGAGACTTGATCAAAATAGCGGTTGATAAGATTCTCGTATGCAAGCGTCTGTTCAAGAACAGAACTGTTCGAGATTGGCGATGAAACTAACTCCGGAGATGTCATTGTCAATGACGATAAAGTGCCAGATATGTGAGTACCAATGACTGCCGCAGTCCAGTCAATAGCATCCGGCCATGTACCGAGCCATTGCTCAAAGTAACTGTCTTGCATGACATCAAGGGCATATAACATATCCTTGAGAGTTTGCCTCTGTGTGGAAGATGCCGTAACAGCTTGATTTGCATCGTCTGTACTCAGTATGGCCTGTCGCAAGTCCGGCAAAGCGAGAGATCTTCCAAGGAACAGCGCGAACAGCGGCTGAACCACCGCAAAGAATATCGTCATCATCGTTATAGTCGTACAGTGTGAATTCAGTTCAGGACGCCGTACAACACCTCATGAATACAGTCTAGTAGAACAGGTACATTGTCTCTGTTGATTGATTGCCGCATACGTCGCTCAACAACCCGCTATACTCCCACGGAACGAAAGGACATCGGGCCACCACTGGACCGAATGTTGAATTCAATGAAAAATATCATCGAGAGATGAGAGAATAGAATAAATTATGAAAAGTAGAGATACGTATAAAGGGATATATGAATGATCCCTACAGGCAAAGCAAGTATGTCGCGTGCATTGCGGGGAAAGTTGGCAGTTGGTACGCAAGAGCCTAAAGATGGGCTGGAGTTGCGACGCTTGGCTCCCCAAGAGCGCCAACGTCAGCCATTCGCGGGTCTTCAGTCACTACTGTACTATGTTAATCGATTACTCTAGCAATCTTATCAGGTTGTAAAGTATCTCAGTAGTCATTATTGCGTATTTTCATCGTTAAATCCAAGTACATAAAAGCAATGGTTGGTAATCATATTAAATCTTCTAGGGCCTATCGCATATTTTGCCTACCATAGGCATCTTTTTGTTAGGACTGGATTATCTGTTAGCAAATCCGCGTAGCAGAGAATATGATATTTGACATACATTTTGTTTTGGTATTTTGCGTGCCGACAAGACTCCCCATATATCGTGAAGCCTTCTCTAGACTTTGCAAATTGGGGAGACCGCCGGCGTATATACAAGGCTGGCTCTTGTTTGTGAGCAATGCCTCGTATGTAGTATTATTCGGAATTGAACAGGAATTCTTGATCCATTCGCGAGTTGTCGCATTCCTCCGCTAAGGAAGAGTAATGAACGCATCGCTTTATCCGCAAGACACTTTTTTAATCCTTCCCATTGTCGGCTCCAGGGCTGCGACTGCGCTCGCGACTCCTGCTGCGTGCTCGTCCACCGCGCCCTCCTCTCTGATTGCCACCACCTTTGCCTTTGTTTCCTGGAGGCGGTCGTACAAAGGCATAGTCCACACTGAGGGTCTGGTCGAGTAGTTTGGCGCCATTGAGGGCGTCGATGGCAGCTTTTGCTTCGGGAAGAGTCGAGTATTCGATTAATGCGTATCCCTAAAAGGAATCAAAGTATTAGCATTGTCCGTTTGTAAACGAGATGGGCAAGAGAACGTACCTTGACATAACCAGTACGACGATCGAGGTTGAGGTTGAAGTTCTTGATCTCTCCATACTCAGCAAAGAGATCAGTCACATCCTCTTCGGAAGCCTCTTCGTGGATATTCGTAGCGATAATGATCCATCCTTCAATACTTCGGACTGCGACAGCTCCGGCTTGCGTCTTTGCTTCTGAATTTCCTGATTGTGATGGAGTGGTGTTGTCTCCCACTGGAGGGTCGATGTCCATTTCAGCTGATGCCATGGTTATAAAATCTGCCTTTGCGCCCGCCTTTATTTTATGAAAATGGAGACTCTGTCTGAATTAGGTATGAAGTAGAATGAGTTGAAAGGTGATGTGAAGGAACCTCGTACTTTTCTGGTGCTACGATGCAGTGATCCAATTGGGTTGGGTGGGATGGCAGACGGCGCTTTTCCTTTTTCGGTTTGTCAAGCCTCTCTCTTACAGCATGGTCGCTTTCAAGCATAAAGGGCGGATTTACTTTTGAATATTGATAGAAATAGATAACTGATAATTGTCAAGTCGTATTTCAACTCTGAGTTAAATATGTACAATAACCTGTGTCGTCAACAGGAATAGGTATAATGGAGCAAATTCAGCCGTCATAACACACAACGTAAGAAAAAGAAAAAAGATAGACGGAAAAACGCGAGGATAGGAGATTTTGTCTAATGTCACAGGAAGGTACGTTTATCGTCGATTGTTGCGTTGCATACCGAGGATCTGTACCATACGAACGAATATGTTGATGAAGTCAAGTTCGAGACTGACGCTCTCGTTGACTGGGTCACGTCGGACTACACCCCGCTCAGCAAGACGAGCGTGGTGCAGGATTCTCTGGACATCATAGAGTGTGAAGCCGCCAAAGACAGCGAGACCTCCATAGAGCCAGATACGCTCAGACCACATCAGTGTACGAGCAGCAGTAGCTGGGAGAACGAGAGGAGCAAAGCCGGAAAGAGCAACAACGGCAACACCTGCAAGAAGAGGACCGCCAAGGTAGAGGTACTTCTCTTGCTTGGCAGTGGCACCAACGAACGCGATAGAGCCCATCATACCAACTGTGTAGAGACCGGCACGAGCGAGCAAAGCGGGTGACAAGAACATCAAAGGCGACAGAAGAGCAGCCTGAGTCACGTTGAAGCCGGTCCATAGAGCGTATTTGAGCATGTAACTGTGACGAAAATGTTAGTAAGAAGCCATTTTACCAAAGGTTTGTCGGGGGTGAAGCTCTTACTTTTCAGGAGGAGTGTACATTGTGCCGTACATAGTGCCGATACTGGCAACCAGACCGAGACCAACGACAGCCCATGGGTTTGAGGCCATCAAGCGAACGGACCACCCATTGGTGTGTAGAGCACGAGCAGCGATAGCAATGATACCAAGACCTAGACCAGTGTGCATGAACGTCTCATTCAAGTATTGTCTCTCGTAAACCGGCATGCCGCCATCGTCGCGAGTCTCGCGGTTGAAGATCAAGTTTGTGGCCACGATAGTTCCACCTACGATGGCAACTCCATATAGCAACTTCTGTGTCAGATTTCCACGGTCGACTTGATAGGTCTCCTGCATATATGTGCGGCGGAAAGCATTCCGGAAGGTCTGTCGAGTTCGTGCGAGGATGGAAGATGGACGTGCGGGAGTCGAGGGTTTAAAGACCGGAGAGCTCTGGATTGGGGTATTGTGGAAGTATCGAACGGTTACGTTTGCACTACGAGGTGCAGCTTGCTTCAAAGCCGTTGTGACGGCAAATGGTCGCCTCAGCATGAACGCCATAGCTGTGAGAAGTCAATGAAACGTTGACCGAGATGAAAGATATCGTTGATGACCTGGGTTGATGAAGGGAGATGGATAATCCAGGTTTTTATATCGAAGCCTCAATTTCGTCCGGACGGAGTTAGCGGTGCTCTCAGTGACGTCCATTCCGGTAACCCGAACGTTCCAGAAGTGCTAATCACATTCGTAAGAGAACCCCACGTGATAACTACTTGAACTAACACAGCCACTTTATTACTAAGCCTGCTGCCTAAAAGTATAGTTTCATGCCTCAGGCACCAAAAGTGGCGGCCCCCTTGGCCTTATCGATAATCAATTCGCGATCTTTTTGCGAAACTCCTCTACCAGTTTCCACAACAGTCTTAAACCACCCAAAAGATGTCACTATTAGAAACCATCCACCTTCCTCATGTGCCTGAGAATCTTCCAGTTCATGTTGCACTTTACAAAGACCTGAAAAATGCCAGCTTCCTACGGGAACAACTTATATCCGGAAACGCAGAATTTCAATATGCTTTCGTGGATGCCAGCACGGTAGGCGGGACTTGCTCAAATTACTTGATCTGAGGGTCTAATTCATGGGCTAGATTATATCAAGACGACACATCTTTGCAGCGGTGTTTAGAGCTGTAAATGATTACCTGAACAACCGATTACGATCACACAATGTTCATTCGGAAATAGTTGTGTCTCTCGGTCCTAGTAATAATGTGAGTGCTCAGAAACATGACTTTCATATGCAACCAAGCTGATAGTGAGCAGATTGCAGAAGCATTTCGCAGGTTCGGTATCACCGACGATACTAAAAATCTACTTGTCGTCAAGCTCTCTGTAACCCCAGAAGTCACCCACGAGTCCGTCGCAAAACATTTAGAAAGCTCCGTGAAGGCGACATCTGTTCCTTTTACCGATGAAACTATATCGTCAATGTCAGACCTTGCAAAGATTCGGAAATTATACAAGCTCAATCAGCTGGCTTCAAAGTCTAGTGATGGTCAGACCGATGCCGTGAAAGCCTTGGAGCCACTTATAATTGGAGCAATAGCTATTCGCGGGGCCACATAAGACCTTGAATATCGATAAAAGTAGAATAATACAATCAAATTTGATACCCAATGTTCTTCGGCAGGAATTTCCATGATCCATATACACTTACGTCTTTCGTAATGTTGCTCAAATCTAACGTCAGGTCAATGGAGGGTCTTGGCAAGTTCAGATTGTCATTGCGATTGAAGTCCGTTGGCTGTCATGACCCAAAAGAATGTGTATATCACCTAAAGTATAGATAAGGATAAAGGATTGATCTATATAAGATATAGGTGAAGTTGAAGTTGATAGGGCTGAGATGTTTACATTGGTTGCGGTTGCCCCGCCAGTCGTCTCAACTAGGAATTTCCCCAACTTTGCCAAGATTTATCCTCAATGTGCGGCACGCCACCAGGATCAACACTTATCAAGAAAACACACTCCTCACGTTTTAGACCGCATTCTTCGACAACGAAAGTAATGACCGGTGAATAGCATGAAGGACTGATATTGACAGCGGAGGACGTTCCGGAAGTGAAATCACTCCGCCATAATGACTTCAAGACTGGATCACACCATAGTGATTCCATCGTCCCCGGAGCAGAACTGGGCTCGATCTGTGTCTCCATGCACACCGACACGTCTTTTTGGGCTTCCTCCCATGAGTATTTCTCCTCCTTCGCTGCCATCACCCTCCAGATTGTTCGAAGAGATCGGTTTGGGACAGCAAAAAAACCCACCATCACCGAAATCGCCGTTCTCCAGCGCTGCTGGAAAAACCGCTACTTCGAAAGCCATTACCGAGAATCCGTCAAGGAACGAGTCAAGCTCAAAGAGAGGGCGACCTGGAAGTTCAGAAGCTAAGACGGCCGGAAGTCGAAAGAACTCAAAGTCGCAGGAAACGCGGAACAAAATCCTCACAGGCCGAGTCGCAAAACCTACGACGGTGTCTAAAGCAAAGGCTACAGCAGCCTCGAAATCGAAAGATACAAGTGTCGTGAAAGCAAAAGCTGGAACGAAAAAGAGCAAGCCGGCCAGCCAAAACAAGAAAGATAAGCTCGCAGAGGAAGCGGAAGCAGAGGCGAAGGAAGTCGCGGACGCGGAGGGACTCAACCTAGAAGAAGCTCTGAAGCGTAGATCAGACTGGACTCCTCCAAAAGCTTTGTCTTTGGTTTCAATTGATGAAGATACCCCGTCTCAGGGTAGTGGTACGAAACTCAGCTTCGGTGACGTTTTACGCGATTACCACTACAACCGCGAAAATAGCTCCTGCGAACCGGCGCAACCGAGCAAGGAAGGCAACCCTACAAAAAGACGGAGACTAGAGGTATGCTTATTTGAATATCTTGACTATGCACTTACACTAACAGATGGAATAGCTCGTCGAGTTCGAGGTCTTACAAGAGCGGAAACCTATCCAACAGAAACAAATCAAGGATGCAGTGAAAACGCGAAAAACAAAATCGAAACCGAAGAAACAGCTGAATACAATTACAGCTCGTGTAACGGCTCGCTACGAGCAAATTGGCGAGCTGGAAGATCTATTCGTGTATAACGAAGAGTCGTCCTGCGAGACCAGCGAGTGTTTAAAGAAACCTACAAAACCGAAGAAGGAAACAGCTGGAAAACAAAAAGAGCCGGAATACATAATACTTTCCCCCGACGCTGCGACAAAGTCTTTGAACGATCAGAATTTTCTGTTCGGGACGTGTAGTCAATTGGAACGAGATGATTCTCCTACGTTCTTTGAAGAAACGCAGACAGCGATACAACTCTCGGAATGCCTTACTTTTAAGAAGACTGCTTCCACGATAACAACAGCTTCTTCGGCCATGAGTATTGCGACTAGATTTACAGGCAAAAAGAGCCACTGGTCAGAGGCAGCTAGAGATTTCAACGGTGCTGTGGTCCAACCAGAGATCATAGATATGACAGATTCGCCTACTGTTTCTGTTGCCCTCAGCCGGCTGTCGGAGGTCAAGCATGACGCGCCAAAAATGGCGTCCCTCGTTTCCTCCCAAAGCGTCTCGGCGACGAACTCGTTAGTCCCCAAGGATGTTGTTACGGCCAGCAAGCCTGCAGCAGATGTACAGCTCGCCTCTTCTGGCCCTGAGCCTAACAAGACCGAACTCGCAGCTGGACCTTTTAGAAAGACTGCAAGCCGGTTGCCAGAAATGCCCAACTTCAACGGCTACACCGATTCAGAGCTCAAGAACCAAGTCTTATCCTACGGTTTCAGTCTCAGAGCTGTCAGAGGGCGCAAAAAGATGATCGAACTGCTTGACAAGTGCTGGCAAAGTAAGCATGGCAATACAGCAACTGCTGCTATTGTGGAAACATCGTCGTCGGCAGCAATCAATGAGACAGTGTCTGTTTCTGCTGCCAGACATTCAGACACTCAAGTTAGCGACAAGCTACCAACCCGAAAGAAGAAGACTACGCCATCTAGATTAGAGCCCAAGACAACCAGCCGGGCTGGAAAGAAGAAGGTATCCGAGAAGCCATTGGCAGGAAAGGCTGATAAACCGGTAGAGAAAGCCGCTTCGCCTATACCTGCATCGACCTATAATATGGTAGATGAAATCGAAGACTCCGAAGAAGAGATTATCCCATCACCAACTCGGATACAAATACAACGTCAGAGCAGTAGTCGCCAAACTACTCCTGCAATTAGTTGTCTTCCTCTCGGCACAAAGAGCAAACGGTCATTGAAATCTACCAAATCCTCAACTTATGATGAGGCTACTCTCCTAGAGTTACAGAGCTCAATCACAAAAGCCATTCATCTGCAGACTCGGCCCCGAAGGTCCTTGGGCGGTAGCTCTTATTCGCCACAACTTACCTGGCATGAGAAAATTCTACTTTATGAACCTATCATCTTGGAAGACTTTGCGGCCTGGCTGAATACTGAGGGCTTTGCATTGGCCTGTGAAGACCGAGAAGTTGGCGTAGCACTTGTTCGCACCTGGTGTGAGAGTCGAGGCATTTGCTGCACATTCCGGCCTTGAGTGACTGGTAGAGTGTTATGAACTATGGCATTATCAAGCTTAACTTGTTATATATGTTATTACTGTGGTATACTATTTCGTCGCATAGCGATGGCGTTTTGAAGTTTCAGAGCCTATTTACGAAGCATGGATGGAGGGGAGGGGTTTCTGTCTGCATTATCTACCTAATACCATGGATATGAGATATTCCAGCATTATTTGAGACATGTGATTGCGATACCCCTGAAAAAGACCCAAATGACCCTAAGATATCAACCTTGCTCGCGTTCCTCGCGTTCCTTCTCGTGGTAATCACTATAAGTTATCGGCCACTCTACCGTAGGAATTCGAATGTAAGGCGTTGCAAGATCCTCAGCAGAAAGATGGAAGCACTAGAAAGTAAATTCAACGTCTGCAGGTTCAGTCCGCTGATTCTGTTCGCCTGTCGGGGTACGAAGTCCAGGATAGTGTATAGTGATCACTTAATGGTTCTGTGTGTTATCCGGGTTACCTGGTGGCTTTTTGCTGCTGTTCAACCTTCTCTTGCTGCGGTTCAGCCTGCTGAGCCTGTAGGTACAGCAGGCGCTGCTGTTGAGCTTCCTGGAACAGCTTTTCAGCCGCTTCTTCCCGTTTAGTCTTTTGTTGCGTCTGTACATTGGCCCGTCGTAATGTCGCACCTGGCCTTCTACGGCGCCTTGAAGTCGGATAGCTCTCCTGTGTCTGATTTTGGAAAGAGACTGGTGAAATTAGCCTCAACTTAATGGAAATAAAATTTATCATATGTTTGATCTGTTGAGCTCACAATTCTTCGGCTGTGGTGGTACTGTCTTTTGGCGTTTCACTGCCTGCGAGGACTCGCTATCATTTCCGTCAGTTGGTGCTATTACATGTGTTAGCAGAAGGATCATCACAATAAAGAGGAAAAAAAAAGGGGTTTATATACATTTCCGCTTCCCCGGAGTCCCTCCAGAGCCACTAGCTTGAGCAGACAAAGGCGACAAAGGTTCCAATCCGCGGTTCATTCGAGCCCAATTTTGCATTGCCCGTTTCTGTGTCGGTGGTCCATAGCCTGTAATCCCAGCAAGCGGATTATCCAACCCTATAGATATCTTAGACATTGCTCGAAATCTGGCAAGTTCATTCAAGGCAGAATCGAGTTTGACTTGTGTCTCCTGAAGTTCGTTGACATGGATCTGTTTGCCAGTGACGTGGTCCGTAAGACGGCATCGTTTGGCGTCTTGGATACAGTTCGCACAGGCTGTATTTTCGGGATTCATTACGCAGCGCTTTTTCTTGAGCTATATTGTGATTTGTTTTTGTTAGTATTTGGTGTGACTCATGCCTTTTGGTTCTCTGCAGCAAATTTCAGACGAAGAAAACCAGGTGCAGCGAGCCCTAAGCCCTAGCCCTAACTCAATTTCTCCGAAGTGAAGAAAACTCACCCTACAACGTCGACAAGCACGAGCATAATCCTTTTTTGGATTATGTTTCGGACCCTCGTTCTCACCCTCTTCACTATCATCCTTAATCGCCCGCTGTTTCCCCTTCCCGTGCTCTTTCTTCTTCTGCCGCTTCTTCCGAGTCTCAATCGCTAGTTGATCAGCTATCTGATCAGAAAGTGAATCATCGCCGTCATCGAGGTCTCCCGGGTCATAATGGCGCTCCTCCTTTCTGGTCCGTGGGATTCTGACACGCCTTGTCCTAACAGCCTCCATATATTCCTGTCGTGCATTCTGTTCGACAGCTGCCTTTCGTGCTTGGTGATTGGCAAGCCGATCTCGGGCCTTCATTAGATCGTCCTCTGCATTTTGGACTTGATCTTGTGCCGCTCTTTTCGCGGCTTCGATCTTATCGAGTTCTGATCTGCCCTTATTTCGTGCGTTCCATTCCCTGGTGTATTCTTCAGCTTTGTCGTTGGCGCGTTTCTCGGCGTTGCTCTTTCTGGTCTTGAGATATCTGATTCGTTTCTCTGTGGAGTTGATGTTATTAACTATTTTTTTGACTTCCGCCTTTTTCCATTCTTCCACTTCTTCATCTAGTGGACCCATTTCGTCGTTGTCGTCTACTTCGTCCTCATACGGTTCATCTTTATAGTCTCCGTCGTCGCTGCTGGCGTCGTCCGCATTATCTTCATTGTCCCCATCTTCTGCTTGCTCATCGACCGAGTGCCCTATAGGCTGCAGCGCTTGGTATCCTGCAATTGTGTTATTTCGATGGGGTGACACATAGTCCGGATCCAATTCATAATCGCCATCACTATCAATATAAGGCCATTTCTCGTCCTGTTCATACTGAGTGGTATCATGGCTTTCCTCAGTGGAATTATCCCGCTTACTACGCTTACGCGCGGAGGATTCAGCCTGATTGCTACCGAAATCTCTCTCCGTTCGTTTTCGTGTGTTTACAGTCATTTTGAAATGATCAGATTTTCTTTCATAAAATATGCTGTATGTATTCACAGATTTGATTTTCCGTATGTTTTTTATCTAGGCAGTACAATATGCGAGTCAGGACGTCTACTTTATATGACAACAGGCTCTGCATCTGTATCAGAAAACTTCTGCACAGGTCCGGACAAGATCCTTATATCTTGCCTTGATTAGAAGGAAATACATTCTATCTGCTTTGTATGGTTTGTGAACATCAATAAAAAAATGTATCTTACACAAACACCTCAAAGCATCTCCGGAGACGCAGACAAAGATATTGAGCTACGGCCGTACTTTATGTCAATGCGTGAGGTTGTTTCCCTTTGAAAATTATTTGACTTTTGACTTTGAGCATGGAGACTGGTAAACAATGCATTGTTCAATTCGTTCATGTAGACAATCGATTGTCTACGGCCTATATTTCCGAAGTTGGTACAAAAGAAGAAATCCTTTTGTTGCCCTAAGTGTTTATTCGGACCAACGCAGACCTGACTCGATATCTGTCACGTGAAGCACGAACGAAAATCAAAATTATAGTTTAATTAGAGTTCCGTTTAGTTACTCCATATCAGGCTCCACTGATCGAGATTAAGGAGTCAAATTGGTTCATGATGTTGGGCTCAAATCTCGTCCCGATTATTATGAAATACTTAAAATCCCGCAATCGGCAGATCTCAACACAGCCAAGGCGAGTTATAGACGTCTAGCAAAGACGAAGCATCCCGATTAGAACCCTAGTTCTTCTGCTACCTCTGAATTTTAGCTGGTAAGATATGTCCATCATTTCCTATGATACTAACACTACCTAACAGCACATTTACTACCTTCAAGAAGCATACTCAACCCTCATCGATTCCATCAAGCGTAGGAATTATGACGCATATTATGCTCCTACGACCTCGTCACGAACGGCGAATGCATCTAAAATGGACCAGGCCGAAATTAGACAATGGCACATCCAACTACAAAATCTCAAGAGTTCAATTATTGACGCAGGAGAATGAGTTGTATAATGAGCAAAGACATTTACGGACGTTAAACAGAGAGCATTCTGATTTACAAAAAGGAATAGAGGAAATCATAAGACAACAAGATCAAGCAAAGACATGGAAGGCTTATTTCAGTTCCTTTCTTCTCGGACTACGGCGAGAAACAGAAGAATAGAAGAGACGGCGAGATGTCGACCGGCTTCAGAAGATCGCGGCGCGAAGTATCAAGGAGAATACCATTAGATAACAAAAAGAGTGTATTCGAGGCTATGAAAGAACCATCAACTCCATTAATGGAAACATATGTTCAATAGAGGCTAATATTGCAAGGGAGAAGGCAAGAGAAGAACAGGAGAGAAGAAGAAAGGAGTCAGATGAAATCCTGCGCGAAACTATAAACAGAGTGAGAAAGGAGAAGGACGAATTTGGCGAATACATGCACCAAGTTTTCGAAGAAATGAGAGAGGCACAAGCCCAAAAACCATCTCAGCAAGCCGAGAAAGAAAGGACCAAAAAGGACTCACACGCAAAGATTCGGGCTGAGAACAAACAGAAATTTCGTACTACTCACTGGTAGTAGTACTGCTGCTAAAGGAGCATGTCTTCACCAAACCAAGTTTGGTGGAGTCGCATTGAAGGTTCCATCGTCTGCAGCTGCTGCTTAGTTCGTACTCGCAAATTTGCTTTTCAGTATCCCCGTTGTTCCAAGTTGGCATGTGCTTCATGTAGGGATTCTATCAAGGGAAAAAGGTCATATTGGGACAGCAGGTCAGGGTTCCATAATCCATGATATTCGGAGTTTTCTGAAGATGACTACTACGACAATTTCTATTAGAATTGGTTTTGAATCCTCTTTTTATGTCTACTCGCATTTCAACTTGGGATCGGCGATGTTTCAGAATGCTTTTTGTATTTCCTGATACAGCTCTCTGAATGATGACTAGTTTAGGTATGATATGGGTAGCTATGTTAAACTAAGCTGTTTCATAACAAGGCTTGGGAAAGAGTGTGGCAGGCCATTGCTGCATAGAATGGAATTTGATATCAACCTTGAGATAGATTGGCATACTAAGCACCCCCAACACAATACACGAACCAAATTGCTCTGGTTTTCGTTCGATTGAACTAAAACGAAACATTGGCATAGAAAGAATGTGAACTCAGAAATCGAGAGGAACGTATTGTGACAACCAGCATTGGGAACACTCTGGCGCCTCCTCTTCGAAAAGAAACTCCGCCAATATTAACAAAAGATTATCCCTAAATGCCAACTTGACCAAGCACAGGTACTCAAAAGATGGGGGGGGGGGGGGGAGAAAGAATCAAAGCGCACGATGGAATGAAGAAATAACTCAGATCATATCGAGTAAGATGTCACAAAGCGTAGAATACAAATAAACCCGCTAGAGATAAAAGAAACCGTCATCACAGTCATCAGATACAACATGTCCTCTAACGAAGAAGCCAGTAGGAAGAAAGTAAATGCCAACAAACAAATGACAAGTATGCAACACATGACTCCAAATATCATGGTAACTGAACGATATCACCCTTTCATTCAAGTCGAAAATAGTCCAAGACATGCAAAATGTAGCTGTAAAGACCGCCGAAGAAGGAGAATAAAGAAACCACCAGGTGAAGATTGCAAGTCATTAAGAACGAGCGGGCCACTGAATATCAACGAAACACAGCTCTCTCGGCAACCGTTTCGAACTGGATCTTATTCTGATACCGCAATTGCCCGCCATGTTCTAGCCAGGGTTGAAGATTTTTGCACTGGCTGACGTTGAAGTATGAGAGGTTTTGACATCCATCTGCAACCGCTTCGACTCCTACACCTGTGACTCTGACACAACCTCGGACGGACAATTCTTGGAGAAGCAATAGATGTAAACTTAAACTCCTGAGCGAGGGATCTGAGACAGCAGAGCCGCAGAAAGACATATTCAGTTTCAGCAACTGCGGGCATTGTAAAGCCAAGACTTCGGTGGCGGTGTCGGACAGAGCACAGCAAAATGACTATCCAGTATTAGCAGAATCACAGCCTCTATAAAACTTAAATAAATATTTCACGTACCAAGTCTAGCTCCTGCAGATTCTTAGCCGCATTTGTCAGACAAACAATAGCATGGTCTGTCAGGTAAGTGCAATCTGCCAAACAAAGTTTTCGTAGTCTTGTGAATTGAGCATTACCCCAGTATTGGAACCCCTGATCCGTAATAGTCGTACACCTCGTCAAATCTACCTGCTCAATGCGAGGAGCAGCATGAGAAGCAATATGGTGCATTGAACGGTCGGTGACATGTTTGCAATAAGATAGAGTCAGTTTCTTCAGTTGTGGACAGCCATATACTGCACCTGCTGCAGTCTGTATAGTAGGCTTCAAGTTGTTTTTTGCGGCTATATGGTTGTGCTGGACCAACGTCGCCGATGGGACGACCCATCCAACCAGTCTGGCGAGAAGAGTATCGCTCACTTTCCTGCAGTTGCTCAAATCGACTTCTTGCAGTCCTGTCGCCTTTCCTGCCATTTCTAAGATCGCCGTCGCTGTTACATCCCACACACTCTTCATTTTCCAAGCTCGTACATTGTGTCCGCACGTCTTTACCAAAGTACTGAAGCCTTCATCAGTAATGTGGAAGCAATTATTAATATCAATATAGAATGGTCGATCTTTGATGAAAGGGCAAATGATAGTGGAAAGTACGTCGTCGGTGACCTTGCGGTTGTAGATGCTAAGATCCAGATATTGGCAAATGGTTGGCGACTCCGTTAGGATCTTGGACCAGTGAACGCAAACGGCACGTAGACGCAGTAAATGATGCAGTTCTAGGAACTCAAATATGCGTATAAGTACACTATCCGGTAGAAACCCACGGTTTCCCTGCTGTTGCTGATATAGTAGGCTCGTTGAGCGTGGTCTCGTAGGTGTGCCGTTCATTTGAGACGAGGCTTTGAAGGAACTCCCAGGCCGCGGTTCCGTTGGAGTCGTCTGTCTTGAACTATCTGCACTAACAGTTTCTCTCGGAACGATAATGCCAACGGAGCCTCGGCGCGATTTGAGCTTTACATTATCAAGTCCAATGTTGAGAAAAGGATCGGGATCCGACGGACTCAAGACTGGAACTTCCTGATCTCCATTCGTCTGATGGGTATTATCCAATTCAGACTCGGTCAATGTTACTAAAGGCATTGATTTTCTTCGAAGATTGGTGACTCTGAGTTTGTCATCTATTGTTAGCTGGTTGATCGGCGGTGTTGGGTCTCTCGCGTCCGGCATCAAGACATCGGTGTCTGTAGTCGATTCGAGTCGCTTTTTTGCCGTGACCTCAATTTGCTGCCGCAAGTCATCTGGACACTTTTCCCAGAATTCAACCAACACATCTCCGCTGAGCATAAGACATTCCACTGACGTAACGGATCTCACTGTAGCGGTCCGACGAGGGGTCAATGACAAGCTAACGATTTCACCAAAATATTGACCTTGCCGAAGCCGAGCCTTTACTTCAAGGCCACGGCTGGCCTGGTCGTCCGAACCTCGGGGAAGGGCTTCGGGGTCCCTGTTCTCATTGAGAACTTCCACCTCGCCCCGAACAATAAAGTAAATTTCACGTCCTAGAGAATCTTGCTTTATTATGTCGGTGAAAGGAGGATAGGACCGAGGCTGGAGTTTTAAGCCTAGGTAGTGAAGAAGGTCCGGAGTGAGACTGGAGAATAAAGGCATTTCCTTTAGTAACGAACGCACATTGACCGATCCGTTTGCGAGGGCGCTTGAAGAAATATCGGCGATGCCTGGGCTCGGTGACTTGCGCTTCTTATTTGCATTCAGAATCTTCAAATCATTTTCTTCACCCGGCGAGAGTCCGCCAGAATTGCTTTCTCGCAGGCGCTTCGAACCTCGCCTATTCATGCCCGCGGCCTTTTCAGTCGCATCATAACGCTCTTTATTTTTCTTTTCTAGAATCGCCAACCGCTCCAAAGCTTCTTCGCGAATAGCACGTTCGACATCCGGAAACCGGGGGAGGATTTTTCGGAAATCCTCTTTGGTAAGCACGACGAGCAGACAGCGACTCCGTGCGATGATTGTTGCGGTACGAGGTCGGTCCATCAAAACACCGATTTCGCCGAAGAAGGCGCCGGGTTTCAATTCTGCGTGCACACTCTCTCCATCGCGGGACGTGACTGCAACGGCACCCCTCACGAGCCAGTACATCGCTTTTGCCTCGTCCCCCTCGGTCAATATATAGTCATTGGCGGCGTGGAGCTGCGGACGTAGATGCAAGCCCACTTCGGCGAGGAAAGAATCCGGGGTAGATTGGAATAGAGGGAAATTGCGAATGCGCTCAATCAAGTCTAAAGGCATTCCCTGGATCTGCGACGAGGCCAACGGCGATGGACGAGCTGGTCGGTTTGGATTCAATGCCGAGTCGAACGAGTGTATCAGGGAGACGGCCTCCGGTATGGGAGCAGCAGCTTTGGTGGAAGTACCACTGCTGGAACGGCGTATTCGCCGCATGGCTGTTGCTCAACTAAGCTCCAGGCCGTTGCGCAGCTTAGTCCTTCTTTTCTCGGCTATTGCAGTAATTCCGTATATATACGATATATCGTCGATTCTCGAATTATTCTTCCAATCGGAGCTCAGTCGGCGTTGCGAAGATTAGGGTATACACATGATGCGACAATTGCGCACGAGGGTTCAATGACGTCGACGACGGTGGCATGGACCGTTGTGAGGTTATGTCAGATTTGGAGATGCGGAGGACGACCGATCGCTGGTAGACGAGTTAGATACGAGCAACAAGGATGATTTTGTGTAGGGAGGTAGTCGATAGAGATCAAAGACTGACTGCAGAGGGTGAGAGGACAGGAGAGAGGAATCTTTTACTGTGAGATATGAGTCGGGGAGAACTGAGGAAGGAGCGAATGGCGCGGGTGCGTTTAGTGATGGCGGGGAAGGAGCGAACTGTGAGCGCGGGAGATCCACCACAGCCAAACTCTGAGTGAACCTCTTATCCTCGACAACAACAACAACAACGTTGAAGGACTGAGAACGGAGGAAAAGAGGGACAGATGTGGAGTTCTGAAAAAGATACAATGTGTATCGCACCACCCTGAGCTGGATGTGTTATGAAGTGGATACGACCGGCTGGTATATGGGTTAGTATCGTCAAATGGCCGTGGATATAGCAGAATTCCATAGGCTATACTGCTTAGCACAGTCGTACCATCCGCTAGAGACGCGACGAAGAAGATCACGAAGGGGTTTGTCAGTTTAATCAGGCCATCAATGGCAAGAAACTAAGTGTTGTCTAGATCGGACAGGTCACCTTCTCCTTGACGTTCTGGGATAAGGTCACACAGCTGAAAAAAAAAAATGGTTTAAGGAAGGCAATGAAAAGTCCACTGACTCGGGCTGAAAGATTTAGCTCGTTGCAATAGGCCACTTTCTATGCCGATGAGATCACCATAAGCTACTGTGATCGCCGTGTATCGATACTAACGTTGATAAGTTCGTGTCATTAGTCATGGTTCAGCCTGGTTGAGAACTTGAGAAGCTCAGGCAATCGCTGACCATTGCACTTTGGCCGCTGTCGGACCAAGACATGGCTACGTACAATACCTCGTGTATCGTACTACTAACCTCAAACTACAGTTATTTTTAACCCAAGTACCTAGCACGGGGAGAACAGAAAGAGATGAGACTAAGGCAAGGCGACCCACGAGCCTCTCCACCGACTTCTGTTACTTACATGCAGTATTTGCCAGAATATGCTCCGTGTTATTGCACATTTTACGTACGTACTTTCTACGAAAATCCTAATTGGTTAGAAAATCAAAAAGAAATCCCTATCAAAAAGCGATAAAAATAAAATGCACGCAAATGTCAAGCACCTGCGCTAGTATTTTCTAGAAGTCTTCTAGAAGAAACCTTGTCTTGTGACAGTTTAAAATAGATGAAAAGAAAGATCAAATAAATGAAAATTCCCACTTCTGAGCATTTCTCGGCTTCTTGTTGGCCTGATCAAGCAACACGCACGTGCTGGGACCGCGAATCAGTCATACCACTAACGGGATCCTTCCGTGGGTCATCCTTCCTTTTGTCATGAAGAAGTGGTGCCTTTTTGTGGTTTTCCCAGGCTAGAGGGATTGACGAGGTGGGATCAAATGGGGGCCATTCTGCCATCAAATGTGCAGGCTCTTTCCTATTTCTACGGCATATATACATATTTTTTGATGCGACATTGTATTTGGAATCGAGTTCATTATTATACAAGCTCATTATTGTCTGCCAATTGGAGTCGGCGCCAGGGATACCTTCAGAAAGAAACCAGGAGTCGTCTAACCATCGGCCCCAAACAGGTGAAACCGGCCCCCACCGACGTTCTGGGAACATGGCATGCATTAGCCTACAGCAGAGCAGCGATGGCATTTGACTGTTCCTGAAAGATTGCTGGCATCATCCAATCCGCGCTGGTCCCCCGTAGGCATGGATCTCGAAACAAAATGTGGGATGACAGAATTGCTCCCACTGAGGAAAGTCACGTGTCAATCGTTGCCAAATTGATCCACGTGCGCGGAAAGACTTGCCTTGCCAGCTTCTCGAGTTTAGCCGATCATTGAGAGGTATTGCCGTGTTATGTGCAACTCTGAAAGCACGACTTTAGCACTTGCTCTCTCCAATGCCATACCGCCCGGAAGCAGTTATGCCAATAGATCCAGAATTAGACATAGGACCGAAGGATCTTGTCGTGTGTCTAGATAATTGCCGTTTCGACTGAGATATCATCCGCTTCCATCGTAGCGCGCGAGCTCTCACACAAGCTTGGAAACTTCGGAATTGCCTGGCCCGAATAGATACTGTATGTATGGCGGACGATTGCCCTTCATTGTAGCAAGAGCGTCCTGAGTCAGTCCGTACACTAAACTTAGCTTAAGTCCTAGCTTTGTTGTGCGGGCGGCGGTGTAGATATCGTGACGAGCTAAAGAACGCGAACAGCATCAGCAGAGTACTATAATGATGTTGCAGTGTAAATGGTCCTTACTTAGCAAGCTATAGATTCCTGAAAACGACAGGCCAGCAATGACAGTAGAAAGGAAATCTCGACGGTCACGACGAGCGCAGTCCACAGTCTCCTCAAAGAGAACAAAAGCCATTGCCCCGACCCCCAATTTCGTCCCCAATTTGAATCCATCAAACACTCCACCAACAATTGCCTTGTAATTCTTCGTTTTGTGGTATTGGAACCATCCGGTCGACGTCGTCGGGAATCTGTGAGCGTTTTCCGCTCGGAACTGGTAGGCTGCTTTTCGAGCTCCGTGGTTTGCGCCAACGCCGAGTCCGACCGAGAAAGCAGTGAAGGCTGTTAGGGGTAGGCGTTTATCAATATCCATGCCCAGTCGGGGTGGTGTAGTCGAGTCGAATAGCTTGTACCAATGTAGAATCTTGACCAGACCGGGTTCTTCACCCCAGGTCCGATCCGTATGAGTTTCTGCCATGTTGCTTGTAGATAATCAATTGGATAGAAAGACAAATTTCTTTCTTGAGAGTTCAAAGTACAAAAACAAGACGGGGATAGAGGATAGACCGACAGTCGAGTTGTTTGCGATGATCATATGACAAAGCTAAGCCAAGCCAAAGCTTGACGGTTCTCCACCCTAACCCGTTTAGACTTTCTATCCGCGATACTCGAGAATTATATCTTTGAACAACACCCCATTCTCAAGCATTCATCATGGTAAGTGTTGTGCAAAAAGAAAATACCTATCTTGTTCCTGACGCCTATATTCTAACTGACATGTAACAGTCCCCAGATCCGTTAAGCTGGACCTTACGGTTCAAAAAGCACAAGACAACCGTAATGCTGATGCTTCCAGCCCAAGCATCAATCCAATCCACAAAAGAGAAGTTACATAGCGCACTCAGATCGCGCGGTCTCTCACAGATAAACGGCGATCCTATTCCCGATGATGCTTCACAGATAGAGTTCGGCACACCTATCGACCGAAATGATCTCGAGAAAGGCTGGGTTCGTATAGACCCTAAGGTCGATGAGAACGGCGATAGCGAAACAAAGAAACCGAGCGCCGGACGACCGAAGAAAGGCGCGCTGACTGATAGTCTACAGGCAGCTAACATTCGCGATGGTCAAGCTATTGCGTTTCGGTTTAGGAAGGCTTCTGAGGGCAAGGACAGCGATGAAGATGAGGATCTCGAAGATCCCGGATGGGACGTGTCGATTCCATCGCTTGATGATGAAGAGCTTCAGTAATCAATTCTGGATGCCCACTCAATGAAAAAAAAGTCCCATTTTTATGCTCTAAGTGAACTGGTGACAGGTTCCTGGTGTTGGTGGCGCATATATTCGCAGTTTACACACTGTTGTACCGTACAATCTGCAAAAGAGATATTTATTTACAGATTTTGGCTGCTATTAACCCCTGGGCACTGTTCATTGCCATAATTTTGAGTAGAAAATGCTCAAAAAGTGCATGGAATCGAGTATCGTTTAGAGCACGTTTCATTTCAATTGCGTCGTAGCAGAAAGTGTGTGGAAATTAAATTTAACACAATAGAGAAAGGTGGCGCCCCTCGAGTAGATCTTATATACACGCACTGCGGTAGTTGCCCGGACAACACGAGCAACATCACCAAACAGAACAAACAGGCCGGCGATCTCCATCAGACAGGTTAACCTACACTCAGGGCTGCTCCACTGGAACATTCCTTAAATTACACTCAACTTCTCCTCAATCTGACATCGCATCGTCATCTACTCAATTCAACTGTTCGACCTGAACAGTGCAACGCTCCCTTCTACTCCTCCGGCACAGAGGAGGTACACGATACACCACCACCAGCACATTCGACACTGCTGTTCCTGTACACAAGCAGCACAGCTTGACCGGATTTGCAAAAATAAAAGACGCTCAATCTCGGCATGGCTGCATCTAGCGCCGCGTCATCAATTTCGGTGACGGTCAGAGTGCGCCCCTTTACTATCCGAGAAGCTGCTCAACTCTCTAAATCCGACGAGACGCCGCTTTTCCTGGGTGACGGTTCGCTGGCTGGCGTCCCCAGCACCCCGAAACTTGCTCAAAAGGGGATTCGGCCAGTAATCAAAGTCGTTGACGACAAATGCCTGTATGTATTTGTCTTATGTGAACTTCTCATATTGTCGCTAACAGAGGAATAATAAACAGCGTTTTTGATCCGCCCGAAGATAATCCCGTTCAGAAATTCTCTCGCAGCGTCGTACCCAACGGCAAGCGAGTCAAAGACCAGACATTTGCCTTTGACCGGATCTTTGACGAGAATACTACGCAAGCCGAAGTCTACGAGGCTACAACACGAGGTCTTCTCGACAGCGTTCTAGATGGGTACAATGCAACAGTCTTTGCGTACGGTGCTACGGGATGCGGTAAAACACATACCATCACCGGCACAGCTCAACAACCCGGTATCATATTCTTGACCATGCAAGAACTTTTTGAGAGAATCGAAGAACGAAAGGAGGAGAAAGTGACGGAAATTTCGCTTTCGTACCTTGAAATCTACAACGAAACTATCCGAGACTTGCTGGTTACCGGAGAGCGAAAGGGTCTGATGCTACGCGAAGATGCTAATCAAGCAGTTTCGGTAGCTGGACTATCGAGTCATCACCCGCAGAATGTCCAGCAGGTCATGGACATGATTATGCGCGGTAACGAGTGTCGTACCATGTCACCCACAGAAGCCAACGCCACTTCATCTCGGTCCCATGCCGTTCTTCAAATCAACATCGCACAGAAAGATCGCAACGCAGACGTGAAGGAACCGCTGACCATGGCCACTTTGAGTATCATTGATCTTGCCGGAAGTGAACGTGCAAGCGCGACAAGGAACCGAGGTGAGCGGCTTCAGGAGGGAGCAAACATCAATAAGTCTTTGCTTGCTCTGGGAAGCTGTATCAATGCGCTCTGTGACCCTCGGAAACGGAATCATATCCCTTATCGAAACTCAAAGTTGACCCGTCTGTTGAAATTCTCCCTTGGGGGAAACTGCAAGACGGTAATGATTGTCTGCGTCAGTCCTTCAAGCCAGCACTTCGACGAAACTCAGAATACTCTCCGATACGCAAACCGAGCCAAGAATATCCAGACGAAGGTGACGAGGAATGTGTACAATGTCAATCGCCATGTGAAAGACTTCTTGGTCAAGATCGATGAACAGATGGCTCTTATCAACGAGCTCAAGGCCCAGCAAAAGCAGTATGAATCAATTGCTTTCACCAAATTCCGAAAACAAACCGAAAAGAAGGAAGCTGTGGTCCGCGAAAGCGTGGCTCGCTTACGGAATGCTTACGAGAACGCCGCAGCAGAGCGACAAGAAAAAGCAACAAGCATGCTCAAGTTGAGACAGGTTAGCCGAAGAATTGCTATGCTATCTTCTTGGATTGCTGCCTTTGAGGAAGTTTGCGCGTCGTGCGAGAGCGAAACGCCTATGGAAAACTTGCAAGCCATTCGCAAATCGGCACAGGGTATCCTCTTCGAATTGGAAAATACTCGTCATCATTTCAACCAACGAATCTCAAAGAACAACTGGGATAGACCTATCAACACAGCACTCGAGCATGGTATCCAACAACTCAAGGAATTCGATATCAGTGATAACTCGGATATCGCCAACCTTACACGTGAGGCGGAGTTGCTCAGGGCGAATGCGGAACGCGAAATGCTGTCTCTAGTCGCTGAACAAGACAAAGCTGGCGATGTGTCGACCGTACAGATGCTCCTTCAGGCACAATTCGAAATAGTATCTTCGATTGAAAACATCATGCAGCTCACGGAGGCAGAAGCTGTCGAAGCTGGCAAGAAGATACTTCACAAGATGCTGACTTCTTGTGTTGCCTCTGTCTCAAATGTCGTCAAACCAGACGGCAAGATGCCTACCATTGAGATGCCTCCTACGCCCAAGGCTGACACTTCGTTCCGCCGTAGGAAGTCTAGTCTTGTCGCAATTGCCCCCAAGACTCTGCGGCCAGTCACAACTATTCCTCCACATGTTCCTACTTCTCCAGTGAAGAACACGCCGCGGCGACGCAAGCTTGGGATTGCAAAAAAGGGAGTTAGCTTCACCCCTGTGAAGCCGCCGGTTTCCAAGACCAGCAGCAAAAGAGCCGTGAGATGGAAGGATGACGAGGAAGACGGATCACTTGCCGAATTCGAGAAGACGCCTCAGAAGGCCAATACAAGCGTGGTTGAATCCTCCGATGAGCCGACCCTCCCCAGAATCTCCCCAATCCCCAGAGACATTGCAGTCTATGGTTCCAAGCCTGATGAGTCGCTTCGTTCTTCGTCTCCAATTCAACCAGCACCAGAGCTGGTAATACCCAACAAAAATAATCGCTTCAAGACTGGATTTCTGTCAAAAAAGCCCGATTCGCCAGTGCCTCCCACGATGACCAGCCTTTCATCAGACGAGCATTCGCCTCTCCGCAGCATTGAGAACAGCAGCTTTTTGAACAGGCCAACTGTGGAGAGACCGTCTCGTATCGCCGTGCGATCACCTAGTGGGAGTTACCTCAGCAGCAGCCCTTCCTCTGACAATGGGAAAAACTCGTGGAAAGCCGACAAAGAGGATGCGATGAGAATCAATGCTGCAATGCGTCGTATTTCCGGAAGTCAGTTCAGTGGCAGCACATCAAGCGTTCCGGTAAGCAGGGCACATCGACGCCGAAGCCCTACCGCAACAGGGAATATTGGTAGCTCACCACCGGAAAGCGCATTGTTCTCTGCTTCTGAGGCTAGACGCATGGTCAAGAGCGAAAAGAGTCACGACTTTAGGCCCAGTGTCCTCGGACCACGTGCTGTTTCAGTCACCAAAAATTCTCGACGGATTACCATGGGCGGTGACTTGCGACCTCGCGAAGTCAGTCTTGGAAGTCGTGATGCCGTTAGATTGAGCATGGCACCCACGAGCACAAGCCCGGAGTCACGCTTTAGTCTTGGTCCGGCCATTCGAGGAGGAGCTTTGAGGTGAATGGAGGAGGACGATATTGTATAGTTTTTATGTCTCCATGGGTCTTGTTCAACCCTATAGATCCATGAATGTTTTGGATGACGGCGTTTGTGTTTGAAGGCGTATAGCGGGATATGGTCTCGGCGTATACTCGTTTGGTTTTCTTTCCTTTTACTTTCTCCTTTGTGTTTATACTGTTTGTTCTCTTATTGTTTGTGTGATCATCAGGCATTGATCCTATCCTTTAGTTCTATCAGACTTGTGAATATTCCATTTCATTGTCAATACATCCACAGTCTTTCCTTCTTGAGTAGTTCTAGAAGCATTACCGATTGGTCAGCGAATAAGGTTGTTCGGCGATGACGCCACCGCTGAATTTCTAAGCTTCAACTTCACAACAACAATTATTGAGATTTGGTTGTTCTTGTTTCCATAATCAATTTCCATCTTGGTCTCAGATACCAGCTTGTGGCGCCACAGACATATAGCTTGGGTACATAGAGCTACGAATCGGCTTGACGAAGCTCTCCGATCTCCAAAGGCTAATCAGGTATTTTTATCTAGAGCTTTCTCCTTTACTGATTGCCACCATTCATCCATTCTACCTGATATATAAGTCTTATATCGTACGTTCAGTTCATCCTCATTTTATATTCTATTTATCTCTAAGTCAAAAAGTTATGACTTCGTTCCTCTCCCGCCTATTCCGTCCTCTATCTACGACCTCTACTCCTGCTTACTCCGTCACCCCACGTAACGCCATCATCATGCCGGACAAAGCACAAAAGGCCACATTAGCCGCAGGCTGTTTCTGGGGAGTTGAACACTTATATCGCAAACATTTCGGGAATGGGAAAGGTTTGATAGATGCCAAAGTTGGGTATGCGGGTGGACATGCAGATTCGCCGACGTATCGGGCTGTGTGTACTGGAAATACAGGCCGTATGCTCACTTCCCTTTTCCCTATCTTTGGGATCGGGTATGCTTATAGATGATGATGGCAGACGCCGAAGCATTACAAGTGATTTTCGACCCCTCCATTGTGACATACCGACAACTCATCGAATTTTTCTACCGCATGCACGACCCCACGACCGAGAACAGACAAGGACCAGACGTGGGTACACAATACCGCAGCGCAATCTTTACCCACGACGAGGAACAGGCCAAGATAGCAAAGGATATTACAGATAAAGTCGCGAAGCAGTGGTATAAACAGCCACTTTCGACGCAGATTGTGCCTGCGGGACAGTGGTGGGATGCGGAGGAGTATCATCAGCTTTACTTGCATAATAATCCTAGTGGTTATGAGTGTCCTTCTCAGTAGGTTTTTTCTTTATCCTTGACCGTGTATGTGGGCATTCCGGCTGACTTCTTCTCTAGCTTTTTGAGGAATCTTCCTCCTCTTTCGGATTGACTCCGATCTAGACTGTAGTGATGGGAGTATGAATATATAGCAATCTACTATAAGTTGTCTGATTGTTGTTAAGAATCTCGCAATTAGACTTTTCAACTACATGTGGTGTTGTAAGCATATCCCAAAAATCAATCTATCTCTACCCCACTATCGCGATAAACAAGATGAAGGGGAGTCTCAATTCAGAAAGAAGCATCAGAACAGAACCTTATCAAGGATAAATACCCTCATATGCAAGATGATTAACCATAAATAAGGTAATATGATAGATATACAGTATTCAAGACCGGGCTGCTTGGCCGGCAATGCTAGCATATCTATCCTCGCACTTCCTTCCGACAACGCCGATATCTACAACTACCTACATATCTGGCATCCGAATACAATTAAATCGGTGTATATCAAGACGTATGAACCTATCACCTACTGTAGAATCATAAAATGGACATCTTTATCAGCCAATATACCAAACACTTCATCCATGGCTGGATTTTTCCTCCAATCAAGCCGTCACTTCGATATATAAATGAGGTAGTATATATCCACCCGGAGGACCACATAGCACATACCTAGGTAATCACCAACACTATATGAATAGGCATGGATGACCTGGCCCCGGTTACTAGGCAGTTCTCCATATAGATAAATGGTTCAACCGGGCCGGTGATGATATTCCCCTCCTTTTTTGGGGTTGAAGGTGGTTATAGTTACCCGATCCGGAAGGGATATATATATGTAGCCGGGTACCTAGTAGCTGTGGTACAAGTTGATCAACTTAATTATATAGAAGTTGGAAATATACTTAATACAATTCTCATATTTGACTTATGCTCTACGCGGAAGTTTATATACGGTTTGAATAGAGTTGGGTATTTACGTTCTGGATGCCGGATCGAGGCGGTAGGATTTGGTATTGAATATGTACTTTTCGAGGTCACCGCTGGCATTGAGCCGCAGTCTAAGAAACAGAGTTGTGACGCAGATTTGGTATACTCATATTGCTACGTATAGCACATCAAGTCCTCGGCATCATGATCATGTCGGAAGTACCAGGCCAACGCCGACAGATACAACAGCAATTGATATCAAGGAGTCTACGAAGATCATAAATGAAGGGGCAAAAGAAAGCTATAACAAGACAGATTCTACATCAGCACTGTCAATCCTACCATTAAGCGCGGTCATACGGACCTTGGCAATTACAACGCTCACTTCTGTGCCGTTCTTGTTGGGTCCTGCTCTCGCTGCTCTTTCTGTGTTGGCTAACTCAAAGTCACGGATCCTTGATCCAAATAAGAATGTTATTGTCAACGCTATTCTGCGCAAGACGATTTACTCGCAATTCTGTGCTGGTGAGACGCCCACGGAGGTTCGGAAGACGATTGCAGATCTCAAACGGTTGGGATTTGCAGGCGTGATTTTAGGATATGGTAGGGAAGTCGTCATGGATGGGACTGAGACATCGATGTTTGAGCATCAATCCGGAAAAGATGTTGCAGAACAAGAAACGTCTCAAAGCGAGCAGAACCTGCGAGAAATTCAAGAATGGAAGCAAGGCACAATGCAAACAGTCGATCTCGCCGATGCAGGGGACTTTGTAGCTTTGAAGTTCACCGGTGCTGGCCGAGAGGCACTTCGACATCTCGTTCAGGGGTTACCACCGTCTCCGAACCTGCAGGAAGCTATTAATGAGATCTGCGACCGTGCCAAAGACCGCCAGATCCTGCTTCTATTTGACGCTGAGCAGCATGCTGTTCAAAACACAATTGATTCTTGGGTTCTGGACTTACAACGGAGATACAACAAATTCTTCACCATCCAGGGCAAGCCCCGAGCACTGATATACAACACATATCAAGCCTATCGCCAATCAACGCCAAAGACGCTAGCAAGCCATCTCTCAATTGCACAAAGGGAATCGTTTGTGATGGGCGTCAAGCTTGTCCGGGGCGCATATCTCAACAGCGATCCTCGACGACTTTTCTGGACGACCAAACAGCAAACAGACGATGCCTATGACGCTATTGCAAAGTGTCTCATGACCAGGAAATATAACGATCTCGTGGAGCCGGACCGAGGCTCGTCTTCTTGCGCCTTTCCTCAGGCCGATCTAGTCCTGGCAAGCCATAATCGGGCGTCGGTTGACAAGGCCCGGGCTCTTCGCGATGAACAGTCCAGACGAGGTGAGCCATCGATCCAGATGGTCTATGGACAGCTTCAAGGCATGGCGGATGATATTAGTTGCCCGCTCGTCCGACAGTCCATGATCACGGCATCCCGAGGCCGGACAGGGGAAACCCCTAAACCGTACAAATATCTCGTCTGGGGCACTGTGGGAGAATGTACCAAGTATCTGCTTCGAAGAGGTCATGAGAATAGAGACGCGGCATCAAGAACCAAGGATACCCGGACGGCTATGTGGAAGGAGCTGAAGCGGCGAGCCTGGATGGGAGGGATGTGAGCCTCAGGCTGCACATTCGGATGGCCCGATTCGGACTGTGTGTGTGTCTGTTTTCCGACAAGCCAAAACTGAACTTATCAGTTCGAGTCTCCGAGAAGCCACACATTCTGATCTCGTCAACATTCACATGTCATCAACATCTTTTATCCCTCACCTGATCATGGCATATTTGAAGCTGCTTAGATTCCGGCCCTGCAAGTAGATATTTGAAGCTGTTGAAGAGAGATCGGCGAAGTGATTTCGGATAGGTAGTTAGACATCTATACAGAATACAGGATCATTTCTTCAGATATACCCACTTACAGTTGATGTTATGCAGGCGGTCCGAAGACAAGAGACACTCGAGAGAGATGTAACCTCCTGAAATCCCTGAAGCTATGCCCGACAGTAAACAGCAAACAGACACAGCGCAACGTTACGCTCTAATTTCCCCTGACTGAGTAGTATTTTTACCGCCACATTCACTGTACACCAATGGGAGCCTCAGTGGTGTTCTGATACTCCGGAAACACCTATGTTCGCTGCCTCCCTGAAAGTCTTTGTTGTGTGAACTGAAATGAACTGAAATGAACTTAGGACAAACGGAATCACTTGACCTACGTTTGGTTGTCAAAATCACCAGTATGTGAAGATTTTTTCTTTCCTCCGACCTCCCACGGCCACCCACGCTTTTCCTCTCTTCTTACTCAAACCATCCTCTTCTAGGATCCTATTTAAGCCCATTCTCTCTCTCTTTCTTCATTCATCCTCTTTTCACCTCTTGTCTCTTGGTGTATGTTGAAAGAGATATCTTCATCTTTTGTATCTGGTGCATATCCTCTCCTTGTCAAACCCGGAGAAGCTGGTGTGACCGGATATTCACACACCCACAAAGCCTTTGTTGGACTCGTCCTTTTCTTGGAATCCCTGCGTTGCCTGTATTATTTCCTGTACCCATCTACTTCCTCAGACGAAGATATCGCGAGAAAAAATCAGCTCAAGAGCTTTATCTCGGGAATCTTCATACTTAAATGGATCAACGCCTTCCTGTCGAGGTCCCCCAGGGCCTCGATGCTCATATGTACTCGGCATTGCATGAGTTGAACTACGTTTCTGAAGGTGTGAGTAATTCGAGTTCAAATCCCTCATCATACGAGGACGAAAAAAAAAATCACGTTGGCAGACCAAAGACTGACTTTCAGTAGCTTCGCAGCCAAGGATGTCATCGCCAGGCAAATCAAATGGGCCAATTGAGCATGTCATTCGTCAACACTTACTACGACGCGATGGCTCAGATCCAATCGACCCCGGCCTCCCAGCGTCCTCTGCAGCAGCAGACAATCCAGGTAAGCATCATTCTTTGAAGTTCATAGTATTTGATGACACATGATAAACTGACTTTCATCTCGACGATCAGGGTATGATCCCTCTTCCCGGTGCCAGCCATAGACGTGGTCTTGGGGTCACGAATGGCCAGTCAACTGCTATGAGCGTTGAACAAGCTCATCCACAGGCTGCCGAAAATGATCATCGTCAACGAGCACCACAGCACCTGCCAGTTTCTGCGGCAATGTCTGTCCCTGAAACTAGCTGGGCGCAAATTGCTTCGGCATCGTCCAGCTCTGACAAGCCTCTGCCACGTTCGAGCCCTGCGTTGACCAGAATTCAACCCCCTGAACAACCTCTGCCCCATCCGAGCCCTGCTTTGTCTAGGATCCAACCCCCTGAACAACCTCTACCACGTTCGAGTCCTGCTTTGTCCAGGATTCAACCCCCTGAACCACCCCTACCACGTTCGAGTCCTGCTTTGACCAAGACTCAACCCTCTGAACGAGCTGAATCTCGCGCAAACCAAAGTGTCAAGCAACATGCAGCTCCCTGTCACAATGGTGGCCAGATCACTATGCAGACTGCAGAGATGCTCCCCACTGGCGCCGCAAGCCAACAAAATGACAGCGAGACTCATGGTATCCTGGAGGATGGCAAGGCAGGTATTGTTGTAATCAAAGGACCGTTTCGCAGCATTCAAAACGTCCTAAGTTTTATTTCCACCAAAATCCATGAAGGGCCGATCTACGATATGTCCATGAACAAGGACCAGGAAGTGGTCGTTGTTTTTCAGTATGCCTTGCACGCTCAGATTTTTGTTGATCGGAACACAGAGTGTCTTGCGACTCGTCAGGAATCGGTATTTGGACCAGGAAATTGGACGGTCGCCCTTGGTAACCCAATGGAATGGACTGAGACGCTTAGGCGTATGGCTCACCCCCATCGGGAACGCCGGCGCTTGACGTTTGTCAAGTCGCGTTTGTTCGCCGATCACACAAGCTTCCAAAAATGGGTTCGTGAGGTGCAGGATGTGGCTGGTCACGCCAATGTCGACTTTGTATGGGCGTTCAATACTGGAAATGGTAAGTTAAAACTTTCCTTCGCATTGCCTTTTCGAGGAATACTGACGTTTGTCGAATAGCCACTGCTGTCTTTTTCAGTGTGGCAACTGCCCGTAAGGTAATGCAGACTTTCTTGAATTGGAAGTTGAATCGTGGTTGCTACCACGAGTTAGCTGTGTCATACTCGTCCGATCCGTGTGAAAAAGACCTCTTATTGACGACCCAGTTGCGCTACCACATGATACCACCACACCGTGCGTTCAACAGGGTTGGACCCAACGGTGCGGCGGGAGATCGTCCCAGCAACGGCCGTCCGTACTATCAGTCGAGGAAGTAGTCCAGAAGACAATGGCGATGTGGTTGGATTGGTGCTGGCCTGTGGTGTTGTGACCGTCCTCAACCGTCGTAAGTTTAGTTCCTGTTTTCTTTTTTTCTTTCTTTTTTTCTTTTTTTCTTTCTTTTTTTCTTTCTTTCTTTCTTTTTTCTCTTTCTGAGAGCCGAGTCTATTAAGACATTTTTGTTTTGCCTAGTCTCGAGAGAGGTGTCTTCTCGCAAGACTGAAGGATCGTCGAGACCTCGTTGTTGGCTGGCCAGCTGTTCGAACTTTTTTTTTTTTTTTTTTTTTTAATGATATGACTCTTTTTCTTGCTTTTGTTTGGAGATGTATTGGTGACACTTATCTTGGCGAAGCGGTGTTGGGTAGTACATACTATTGTCCTTGGACGTTGTGCAAGCGATGAGATGGGTCGAGCGTCAAGCAGTGGTTGGTTCTTGTTTTAGGAGAAGATAGTGAGGTAGACTCCAAAAACCCATGCAAATATGTTGACGATTGAATGTATTACATAAGGTGAGGTAGTTGCCTAACATACAGAGTCAACCATGTTGGGAAAGGGAAGGAGGACCCTATCAAGGGACTGACTGACTTGAAGGGAGGAGATAGCCATATGGACCGAGCAGTCCAATCAGAGCGCAGTCAGCATCTACATAGTGAAAACGCCTGTTTGCTTTATCTACGGAGTACACCGAACGTTTGATTACTAACTACAAGACACGAATAAGAGGGTTAGGGTTGGGGGCCAGTACCAACAGGGCATGCTCGGATCCAATCCCTGCAAGTCATGACTGCTGCTATCACCCTGGCCTGACGTCTGCCGTTGGTTGTAACATAGCAATTGGGGGCGGGAAGAGACACTAAACGCATATAGGGGAAAATGTATACGCGTCGTAGTTCAGTCGAAAGTCACTTGAAGTCATACGTAAATATGCGTCGGAAGTTGGCGATATCCCTTGCATTCAGTACCACCGTACGGCGCGTCTACCCGCATAACCCGGGGGTTCATATGCGCGCCAGACAGATAGGCGTACGCCCATCTTTGGCGCGAGGGTTCAAGAGACGTGAGATCGTAGTGGCATGCCTCCGACGGGTCGACAAGCAGGCTGGCAGTAGCGAAACAGACGAAGAGGCGACAAGAGAGAAACAGCAAGAAGAAGGATGAAGTTCATTTCATCTAACTATCCTATACTAGGCTTAGCATGTCTCACAGCGCCGCCAACTGCAAAGACAGGGACAACCCTCAGCTCCCGATTTGGCAAGTGGAATCGTTCGTGCCAATAGCCTGCCCCTCCCTCTGCCTTGGTAAGCGCACCTCACATGAGAACCCCGCGTTCATTGGCCGCCGTTATCAATGTCCCACATGAAAAAGACAGTGCTCCCACCAATCAGAAGCCATAAGTATCTTCTCGCTTAGACTCTCAGCCAATAACCAGGAATAATCCAGCCGAGCTAGGCCTGTTCCTGATTAGTCTCGCTATCGGATAGTCGGACGGCGAACTCAACCAAGACCTTGCCTGAAACTAGCACGGCTCTGCCTGAATTTCCTGGAGTACCGGTTTCCTACTTTAATCCTGCCTCATCTCCTCGATCCTGACTATCCTGACAACCTGTAACGTCTTCATCCTTTTGGGTGTTTTGCATTCGTTATAGACGCCACTCTCTTTCGTCATCTTATAGTCAGTCGTTATTGGCCCTCATTACGTTTTGCCGTTGCGCGCCCGCCCGCCCCTTTTCCTTGTCCATACTTGTACCCCAGTTCAGCCTCCATTTGTTCTTGCTCTCCGGTCACGCGTGGATTCCCCGTGAAAAGTAATATCGTCGATTTCACCTTTTGGCCTCGTTTGTCGCTACGATGCTTCGTCTCGCTACTCTTGCCGTTGCAGCTTTGACTGCTTCGGTAGTCTCTGCTGGCGCCAAATGTGGTAGTGGCGCTCAGTGCCCATCTTCCGCACCCTGCTGTTCTCGTAAGTGCCGGCTGCTTCGATTGATGCGACGAAAACTAATTGAGATGTCGTCTTGTAGAATACGGCGAGTGTGGTACTGGCGCTTACTGCCTGGGCGGCTGCGACCCCGTCAACTCCTTCTCCTTGGACTCTTGCACTCCAGAGCCCATCTGCCAGAGCAAGAACTTCAACTCCTTCGACAGCATGGACGACCTGGCCAGCAACACAAAATACCTTGGAAACTCTACCGAGTACGACTGGGTGTACAGTGGTACCCCAATTGTCCACGATGGAAACCTGGTCCTCACCATGGGCAATGGCAGTGTCGGTACATTGGTAGCCTACAACCACTACATCTGGTACGGAAAGGTCTCAGGAACCTTCAAGACTTCTCGTGATGCCGGTGTTGTTACTGCTTTCATCTTATTGTCCGACGCGAAAGACGAGATTGATTATGAATTCATTGGTGTGGACTTGCAGACTGCCCAGACCAACTACTACTTCCAGGGTATTCCAGACTGTAAGTTGTCTCCACTCTCTGTACTGAACGCGAGACTACGTACTAATAGTGGTTTCGTAGGGCACCACGGAGTTAATGCTACAATCGATTCCAACTCTTTCGAGAACTTCCACACATACGAGATTGATTGGACTCCGGACGCCGTGACCTGGTATCTCGATGGCAAGTCTGTTCGTGTGCTGAAGAGAGAAGAGACATACAATGAGACCACCCACCAGTACATGTTCCCTCAGACCCCTGCTCGTCTCGAATTGTCTCTCTGGCCTGGTGGTCTAGCATCCAATGCCCAGGGTGTCATTGAGTGGGCTGGTGGTGAGATTGACTGGAACAGTCAAGATATGCAGAATCCTGGATACTACTATGCCATCTTCAGCAACATTAGCATCACTTGCTACGACCCTCCTTCTTGGGCCCCTAGCGTCAAGGACGGCAATGCCTACATCTACAACAATATTGCGGCCACAAACAACACCGTCCAGATTGTCAAGAACAACACTGTCTTGGCCAATTTTGCCGACACTGGTCTCAATATGACCGCCAGCTTTTCTACCTCTACAGCCTCGGCATCCCAATCCAGCTCGACTATCGCAGACAGTGTTCCTGGCCAAAATGGCGGTGACGGAGCTCACTCAGGCGCCGGCTTCAACGGCACATCGTCGTCGTCCTCATCATCGACATCGGAAACGTCGTCTAGTGCGCCAACATCCACTGGTTTCAGCCAAGGTGGAGGCTCCAACCCCAAGAGTGGCACAGTTTCTGTCAACGAAAACATGCTCCAGAGTTCAATCTTTGCTGTTCTCGTTGCAGTCGTCGCTTTGGTCGCTTTGTAATTTATCTAACACATGGTTGATGTATATTTATCTATACACGAGAATTGTTTGTCGTGTTGTCTCCCAATACCCGCCTTTCTGAACGCCAAAGCTTGACTTATATGGCATAATTTTCTGACCTTCTTTTACTCTTCGATCTTCTTGACTTTCCCATTTATTGTCTACAATGCCATGCATTTGTGATACTGTAAATATTTCTATGATGAATGTTATTTGATACTTCCAATAATTATGCTTTGTTCTGCAAAGCGTTGGTCCCTCTACTGACAGTCTGGACACAAGTGGTTGGTTTGATAATATGACGCAGGCGCTCACAAATGTACTTTCTTTTTGGCTTTGAATAAAAGATACTGAGTCTCAACTTGGCATGTGTGAGATGGTTTAATGAGAGGGCCGACTGCTGGAGGTGTCCAGGGCTTGTAAAACACACTTACGCAAACAGGAAATTCTTGCTTTTTTCCTATTTGAGTCATCTCTCTAGGCCAAGTCCACAACCCCAGAGTTGTGATATATTGGTCCGCCTGCTGTTCACTTTGTGTCAGCTGCACCCAGATAATCACTGTGATCAAGTCTATACCAAACAATTGTTTTGAATACTTCCCAGCACACAAGGGCACACCTATCGTCATGACGATAAAGTCACGCAGCCTAATAGATTTAGGCTTCATTCCCCATCCTTTCTGTTTGTCAAGCCTCCTCTTCTTTCTATCTCTTTCTTTTCCTTCCTCGACTCTCCCTTCTCTCCAAGTCCTTCTTTACTCACCCTCGATCCTTTTTCTTCCCACTCCTCTACCACCCCCAGTCTTTCAGACACCTTCGATGAACTTCTTCAGATTCGTCACCCTTGTCGTTCACATTGTGGCGACTATCTTGCCTCAAGCTGAGCTTCTCTTTGGTCTCCTCGTTCTTATTCTCTTCCTTATCGTCCTCAAAGAGTTCGTGGAGTTGGTTTACGATCTTTTCGAACAGTACTAAGCCAACAAACGACCCTTGAGTCATTCTACCCCTGTCATTAAGACATATCACAACTCCGAACGACGGATATCCAAGTCCCTGCCTCGTCGGGGCCAGGGACAAAATGTGTCACTTCGGGGCATATCATCATAGTCTCTGCCAGCATATAGACTATGAGATCATCACCATGTGCCCAGCAGCTCATATTCGTCAGGAGTTTGCCCGTGTGCCTCCCTTGACTAATTACTCAACTGTGCCCATGAATCCTAGTCCTGGTGGCAATCCAGGTCCTCTTTGTATGCCTACTATACCTGTTATTGGATCTGGAATGACTGGGAACGTCATTCGGTTTGTCTCTGTTCCACAGCATGAGGTTAGTCCTGTGTATCTAGCTCAGAAGGCGCGGCTGGCCGAGATTCAACGACTGCAAGCACTTAGACAGCGAGCAGAAGCTGCAATTTATGGACAAGCTGAGGTTGGTGGACAGCCAGGCATCTATGGAGTTGCAGCACCACAGGGAGGGGAACAAGGCGCAGCATTGCCAACTGCACAGCAACCTCCTGTCCAGAGTGAGCCGCACGATCAATCATCCACCACCTCGATCGATTCTGAGCCTCCAATTGTGGGATTATGTGCCAACTGTACTGCAGCCGTTGAGCACGTGAGGTTCATCAACCGAACTCAACCCAACTATGGCCTCACAGAAGATGAAGTCATGAACGACAATGCCTGGCGCTTCGTTTGTGAAGCTCAGTGTCAAGCCGAAAAAATAGCCAGCACATGGTTAGAGAACGTGAACTCGGAAAACGGCATATCCAGAATCGTTGACTCTGTCGACGATACCAATTTCCCATCTCACCTCCCGCCGCCACCTTGGGCGAATCCTCCAAATGGTCCTAAGCAGATCATGATCAATGAGATAGTGAAGGAGATCGTTTTGCGAAAGATGAACGAGATGATCATTGCGAATAACGAAGAGGTGGAAGCAATTCGGAATACCTACCGTCCCTATGGTGCGGCTTTCTATGCTAATTGTCCACATCGGTTCGTGAGCCATGAGCCGATTACTGACGTCTTTGCAATAGATGAGAATAGCGACGGCCCGCAACGTATTCCGCCTTTGTTCCAGAATTCGGAGAATGGTGATCGTCCCACACCCAAGAAATACAAGGTTGATTGGATAGTGGAAGGAAAGATTCGCAAAAGAATTCGTAATCGTGCCAGGTCCCCTACCCCTGCCTCACGATCTCCACATGCACCTAGTCTCTTGGACAAACACGTTGAATCGACGATGGATGTTGATGAGGATGCCAATGAGGATGCGGAATGGGATCTCGAAGAGGATGTCGATGAGCCTGTCAACGAGGGCAATGATCTCGACAACTTCACGGTGACGACCGGCACGAGCGTTGATAGCGAGGAGGAAGAAGATGATGATCCGTTCACGGTTCATCGGTGCTCCACCACAGAACCAAGTGACTATGTGAGCACCCCCGGAATGACAACTGATACCGGCCGCAGCTCGCCTTCTGGTCCTCCAACTCCGTCTACCTCTGGTCGGTCCCGCAAGCGTGCGCGAGTACAGGGTCCTTTGCCGGAACGTTGGCGAACTGCGTTACGTCCTCGTCCGCGTATTCACAGCGAGTCAATGGACGGGATGTACCTGGATTGAGAGTTCCTCATCGAACGCAGTCATTCGAGGTATCTCTGGCAAGAAGGGATATACTCACGTCTTCAAGGTGACAGTCAGATTAAACAGATGGAAGCAAGAAAAAGATTATAAAACATACAAAAAAAGAATGTACAAGTAAAAAACAGGATGCCGCAATTGCCCACTTTTTCATGTATTTATTGAGGTTCTTGGGTATACAGACTTGGTGTCCACTGAGGTGGATGTCGACACAGCCTGTATACTGGTAGATAGGTAAATTCAGAAATGACAATATTCCATCTTAATACTCCAGAGTATGACTCCAAAAATACCTAACATATAAACAACTTCTTAAGCAGGCGAAGACCACTTAGGTAATAGGTATATACTTTGTCGGTCTCAAACACGAAGCGTAATGTTGTTCCATGATGCTCGTTGCTTATAACAGCATAGACTCCACCACCTACTTTCCGTGATACACGAAAAACCGGCGGACACAGTGGAGTCATGGCAGAGAAATTCTCATTCGTATGAGCCTTGGAAAATTTGCGCTAACACTCTGCCATGGAATCTTTTTGATACAGGTCCAAGCTTTGAGATGTTCATTATTCAGCAAATATTCGAAAGCTTTAGTTGCGTTACCTCCGTTCCTATCCCCGAAAGACTCCCCAAATCTTTTACATAGCGCGTCAGTGGGGACGATTCATCGTCGACTAAAATATTTAAAGTGAAAGCTTATCTGCAGGTGTCAGCATTATATTTGATTTAGAGATCACTGGAGTGTCATTGCTATAGTGAACTAGTACCCGCCACTGGTATTCAGACACAAGATGGAGCCGGCTACACAAAAAGTAAACTGGACGCGACCAGATGTGCCATTTAAATTACTGGATAGCTGGATCGGTGTGACAGACCCGAAACTGAGAAAGACGTTGCAGAATCGACTCAATCAACGCGCTCACAGTCAGTCTTGACCTCACTACGGAAGCCCGGTTAGGGCTTTGTGTGCTGACATGCATAGGACGCCGACAGCGAGCTCAACGACAGCAACAAAAGCAACAACTTGTTCTTCAAGGAGCACCAAAAAAAGAGTCTAAACAACTATTGACATCCACATCCAATCCTCCTCGCTCACTCAACCATATCAGCTTTTGCTCTGCTTGCGGCTCTCAAAAGCCAGACATTGCTCTTGAACAACTCGAAACCCTAATTCGCTTCGAATTCGCCAACGGCTCCCCTAGGGCCGACCTGCTGCTCGGACTAACGCAGCTAAACATAGTTCGCGCCCTGTTCACCAATAGAGATATCCTAGGCTACAAGGCCAGCGATATGCATGACGATGCACTATCAGCATTCAACCAGTACCTGAATCTGGGACCTGTGGAATCCCAATTTGTCGCCAAAGGGACAAATCCGGAGTTACCGCCGTCATTGCAACCGACTATAACCCAGTACACGATCCCTCATCATCCCTGGCTGGATCTTATCCCGATCTCGAAGCTGCGCGATAACGTGATTCGAGCGGGTGATTCTATCGACGATCTCAAACTATGTCATGATATGTGTGGTTATCGTGTCTCGACGACGGGCATTGTAATTTGGAAAGAGCCATGGGATCCGTCCGGATATGAGGTTACGGAGAGGTTTTTGGAGCTTTGGGGGTGGACTGTCGAAGACTGTTGGGAATTGTTTGAGTCGACTGACAGATGGCGAGTGAAGCGAGGAGAGAGGCCTTTATTTGCATCACTTCGAAAATTGACTCCATATATACCAGGCTAAGTAGGAAACATGATATAATATAACTCCTGTATAATACTAACTTGACGAGAACAACAATCTTATATACCGCGCACGAATCCCAGAACGCCATGTGTGCCAAAAAGATACAAATCAATGACATGCAATATGTCCCTTAACAGTGTAAACAGTCGGATATCTAATGCTGACCACAATCACAACCTTCTCCTCGCTTGCGGAAATCTCCATGATAACTGTCCAGTTGGTTTACGCGGATATCAGCCCCAAGCGGATCACCCAACCACGATAATGAGGCTTGCTCTTGCAATTTCTGAGTGACAGCTTCGACGTCGAGGTCAAGATAGGCAGCTAGGAAATCACCCACTTCGGTGTTCTCGTGGTTCCCGTGTAGTGGCCATGCGTCTTTCGTGGATGATGCGTAGATGTTGACGTCGACACCTGAGGAAGCAGTCAGTCAATATTCATTTTAGACGCCCTTTGCTCGTATCGAACTCACCTGAATGCCCGTGGGTAGTCCACCCCACCTGGGCACGTCGGCTTATAATATCGGCGAACAAGTAGCTCGATGGAACTTCATTGTCAGGCTGAAGCAATGAGCCAACTTCTTCATCAGTAGCATCCTCGATTCCAAGACCCTCCTTCAAGAGTGACTTGCGAACATAGTCACGCTGCTTCTCGAGAGTATCCTTCTTGCTGGACGAGCTGAGATACTCATTCAGCTTCCGCCCCAGATACTCAGAAGAGTGGCTAGCTTTCGCAAGAACATCGGGAAGCCATTTGTATTCAGGGTATGACTTGTGCAATTGCCGAGCAACTGCGAGACCACCAGTTTCATGGTCAGAAGTGGCCACGAGCACAGTCGGGGTATCCTCTTTCTCAATAAAGTCCAACACAGCTGCAAACGCCTTGTCGTACGCGAGGACCTCATGTACCTGGGCGGCAGGATCGTTTCCGTGACCAGCGTGATCAATTCGTGAACCTTCAATCATAAGGAAGAAGCCGTGTTCGCTTGACTCAGTTGCCTTTTTCAAAGCAGCCAGCGCAGTGCGAGACATCTCCTCGAGAGAAGGGTATGTGTCTTCTTGGAATCGACGATCAATTTCATAAGGAATATCTCTTTCTGCAAACAGACCCAGTAAAGGGAGTTTGGCATTTTGGCCGACGTTCAATCCATCAAACCCATTTCGGTCTGAGATGTAATGGAAGCCCTTGTCCTGCGCGACCTTGGTAAGATCCCTATCATCTGCGCGACAACCACCCTCGACTTCTGCCGGTAAGAAATGGCATCGTCCACCTCCAAGAATCAGATCGACCACCCGGCCCAAGGGATGTTCGCCAATTTCTTGCTCCGCAATCAAATCCTCATACTCACGTCTGTTAGCATGGGAAGCGAAGCAAGCAGGTGTCGCATCAGTGATCCTAGTAGTAACCACTAATCCCGTTTTGTAGCCCGCAAGATGTGCTGCCTCCAACACAGTTCCGCAAGCCGTGTGGTTGGGTAACACAGAGATTGCACCATTATAACTCTTGTGTCCACATGAAAACGCGGTCGCACCGGCAGCTGAGTCGGTAACTAAACTCGACGAGGAACGTGTTCGCGAGGTACCGATATGATGCCGATCCAGAACTAGAGTATCGTTTGCGGGAAGACCTAGCTCGAGTTGGCGGAAGCTCCTGGTCAAGGATAGACTCGTAGGGCCCATTCCATCCGAAACCATAAAGACTATGTTCCTTTTCCCCTCGGGTTTACCTCCTGGTCCCGGTCCCCAGCTGAGGTCGTCTGGTCCAGGTTGCTGTGTGGTTACCCTATGTTGATACATCACTGCAAGGATGACAACAGCCATTGTTGCTACGAGCGACCAGACAAACAATCCCAGCTGTCGCCAGAACGACCAATCTCTGCGTGAACCATCTTGAGAGCGATGCGTGCGTTCGCCTGTCAATAGAGCGTCTTCTTCGTCCTCGTTTCGGATTGAGGAGTGCTCGGAGGACTGGCGTGGAGCGAGCAACGGCTCCTCGCGTGACATGTTGCCGAAGCCGGTGGGTCGATATCAGTGTAGCGTCAGTCTGTATACGTCCAAGTTGCCACAGAGGAAAAAAGAAAAAAATCTATAGAAGACTAGGTACAAGAGGGATGAGATTGCGAAGTACGTAGTTCAGCGTGAGGAAGATGTGAGAACGATGGGAGAAAGTAACTCCGCATTGGATCGTCGGGATGAGCTTGTGACCTGACCCATAAAATAAGGAGTCCAGCTGTATCAGTCTTGGCGTTGCATATTATTTACGTTGTCTTCTTGTGAATCCTGAATTATTCGCATTGCCCTTGCTACATTTTATTATTTATTTTTTGACATGTCTTTTCCGGATTAAAGGGAGTTTCTATAGTACAAATGCATAATTTGACCAGTGCCCTATCGAGCACTCCACCCCACTGGAATCATAGCTGCCGCGACTTCAGTGACGCCTCGTTCGGTAGCAAGTAGATTGAACTGTGCTGACGCATTGCGAGTGTCCTGGACGTCGACCCTGATTCCCAAAGAGTTGACATGTCTCTTCGTTTGAGGTGACAACGGGATAATGCTCGATCCTAAGCCTATAATCAAAATATCTATGAAAGAAATCAGCACAAGCATACAAAACTAGAGTACTTCCACAGGATAAGTTACTTACCAGGCCGAGGCCAAACCAGACTCAACAGTCCCCATGCTTCTTCCGGTAACTCAAACTGCCCCTTCTCATTAACCATGGATTTCCTGGGATTGTCCGTATTCTTCAATGACTGCCATGGCCGCCAAGCAAAAGCTTCCCCGGCTACAAGCAAGACACCATCGCCATTGGTAATTTTCACACCGTTATCCAAATGAAATCCATCATCTAAGCATGCATCAACCGCAGTCGCGGGAGTAGGAATATTCCCAAAAACATTCAGCTCCGCGAAATCTGTTTGGGTCTTTTCGTCGGACCGCGGCCCTCGATCGTGTGTTTGTGGCTTTGGGGGTTGCGAACGAGGTGCGACCCGAGAAGGTCTGTGAGGAGTGATGTTGGTGTTACCACTGCTGTATTTGCGGTATGATAGCCTGGAGCTTAAAGAGTGGCGAATTGGGTGGGATGGGCCGGAAGTTAAGACATAGTCATTTGCTATAGACGTGCGCAAGACACGTAGAAGCTGTGGAGATGGAGAAAGCATGGTGGGAATGATATTGCGAAAGTTTGGAGTGTTGAGCTGTTGAAGATGAAAGTTGGATTAGCAACTCCGGCGAGTTGATTGGGATGATTCAATAGCTCGGCGCTTGTCCGCTTTGGGCTAGTCTCTCGCTGCTTTACTCTAGTCTCCACAGTAAGGTGACTGACCTACGACATATCAAAGACATTATCTGGGGGATTTCTCGATTTGGGCTTTATCGAACTGTGTATATGATGGACATTTACAGATCTCCTCGGACTGGGCAGAGCATTGATAATACCATTGGCCCCCGGAAGTACATGAGCAAAGGTCGCCGCGCCTGTGATTTCTGCCGTTCGAGAAAGTCGGCATGTCAGATTGAGGTCGCTCCACCATGTCGTATGTGCAGAGCCCATGGTCAGCGATGCGAGTTTACCGATAGAGTAGTGCGCAAGAGACGGCGAGTTGTGCAACCTGGAGAGGGTGACCGTGTGGCAGCATGGCAACAAGCACCTCGATCATCCGATACGGATCTGCTGTGGCCGCAGAGTTTAGATTTCTTATCCATGTCGATGCCAGAAAGCACATTTCCTCAAGTGTCATCAAACTCTGATGACCGCGGTATGCTAGGTGTGGGACTGAACCAGGAATCAAGCAATCAGCTGCATGCTGCTTTCCTATCTGGGACAGAGAATGCAGACCAGTTTACGCTGGATGACCTCATGTTGGGCATATACGAAGGGAGAACCCCGTCTGATGTCTATCAGGGAACAGGAGATGGCCACAACTCTCTTGATCATGCCCTTCTTACACCTCAAATTTGTGGTTTGACTGGTGATATGGATCCTTACGTCTTGCGCCACTACCGGTTCAACGATAAGTCCGAGTTTGCATTTTCGAAACTGGCCATTCGCAGAGTAGAGGAAGGACCAGTACCCGTGCAATTCTTGCTATCGAAACCAGAGCTCAGTGCCGACTCCCGATCCCAAACAGACCTTCGAAATGAATCAAGGTCGAGCGAGACTCCATCGCGGTCGGATGAAATCGTTCCTCAAGAAGTGGGAGAACGATTGATCGAACTGTAAGATCATTGACTAAATACGTCGTTATCTGCATTATTAAATTAACTAACCCCATGAAAGCTTTTTCCGTTTCATAAACCCACAATTTCCAGTTCTCTCCGAGACAAATAAGCCAAGTCCCCAGACTTCGCCGACTCATCTGTTGGCAGCAATATACTCCATCACTCAACCCTTTACTCTATTTGACGATTACTTATCTATCGAGCTCGCCTACAGTCCACCTTCTCCGCAGACTCTAACTAATATCGCATGGCGCTCTTTCAACGACGAGATTGCCGAACCAACTATTCTTTCTCTGCAAACCGCCCTCATTCTATTGTTACAGCCACCGAAAAATCCGCTACTGCTCGAAAGTCCATTGAAATGGTCACTGCTCGGACTGACAGTCTCAATGGCACAAACCCTTGGCCTTTACTTAGACTCTAGCCCGTGGAACCTGCCCGCTGAAGAAATTGAGACTAGAAAAAGATTATCCTGGTTGGTCTGGGCAGTTGATAAGTGGTTTGCATTTTCACTGGGCCGACCAAGTCATATTTCACGGAACGACTGGATTGTTACCGAGTTGAATGCGTCGAGTGATGTGACTGATCATGGCAACGAATCCTACGTCACGCAATTTTCCAAGCTCACCAATATCTTGGACACTGTTTTGACGGAATTATAGTGAGTCTCATTGACATCATGAATTCTGCGAAGCAGACTAACACGAATATTTACAGCTCGATACGATCAGTGTCCATTCTTGCTAAAGATTCTCAGCTTGTGATTTCAACGGCTCGTCCCATTATGCAGACTCTCGACGAATGGCACAAGACTTTTTCGCAAATTGAGATCAGAGGAGATAGCGAAAACAATGCGGAAATTTCCAACGTTTCAGCTTCGCTTCATATAGCCTTTCACGCCGTAAGAATACTGGTTTTCCGTGCCTTGTTGCGACCATTCAACCAACCGAACCAAGAAGGCACCTCTGACAGTCAACACTCAGATGAATGGCTCGCAGCACAAACACAAATTCGCCGTAGTGCCCTCGCCGAAGTGACTTCAGTACTCAATCTGATTTCGTCCTTGAGACAGGAACATTACCAAGCATTTTGGGCACCATGTACGTCATTAAAATGGGCACCCATTGACTAGATTTCTTTTTTCTTACAGATTTAGGGTCTAAAACGTGTTTTGCGCTCATCACAAACCTCCTACTTTTGTTATCAGTGACTGCGAATCGTGCTACTGGCAGATCACTGCGAGTAGCCGATGTGTCCGATCCAAACGGTTCACAACAACCCTCGCCCGAAGAAACCGTACTTGACGAGTATACGGAATGTCGACAGCTGCTTGATCGGGCACGAACCATTTTCAGATTACATGCAAAAACTCTCGATATGATACGGTTCGCCCTTTTGCGTATTGACGCTGTCTTTTGGGTTGGATGGGAACGGGTTCTCGGCTACAAATGATTATAAAAGACGTGGCGAGGTCATTTGGATATGTGCACATGTATATATTCACAGTGGGCTCTAAACTAAACCAATGCCCTCCTGAAACGGATCCTATTAACGATGTAATCTCGACTTTACGAAGTTCTTTGTTTTAGCAAAGAAACCACTTCGCTCCTCCTCGTCGTCCATACCTCCAAGCGACTCTTTCCGGTCAGATTGCAGATCCACTTCTGCCAGATTGACGAACTTGGTTCTCTTCAGAACCTTCCAAATGGCAAACAGCCCGACAAAAAGCACGACAATGATGTACGAAAATACAAAAGCCACCGGCTGCCAAGGAGTGATAAATGTTCCGTAACCTTGAATCAGCAACAGGAAGATATTGAGAAAGGTAATGAAGTACGCGCCCCAGGGGAAAAGGAATGCGCGGAATGGAAGTTCATTTGGACTGTGGCCCTGAAGCTTCCATGCACGGCGGAAGCGAAGATGAGTGACGCCAATACATGCCCATGCAATGAATGCCGCCGCGCCTGCAATATCGAGGATATAGGTGAATGCTGTCCCAGCGCCACTTGCAACATTGACAAGTGCTATAAGCCCCATGAGGTTGGACAATATGGCGGCATAGATAGGGACGCCTTTCGAAGTGGTCTTTCCCAGTATTGCTGGGGCACGTCCCATTCCAGCTAATGAGTGCAACACTCGAGAGGCAATGTAGATGGCAGAATTCATAGCAGAGAATGAGGCTGTCAAAATGAACACGTTGATCAAATCTGGAGCTGCTTTCCAACCGGCATTTTGCAAGGCAATACTGAACGGGGATTTGCCTGTCTTAGATCCTGCTTTCAAAAGGCTGGGATCGTTTGAAGGCACGAGAATGCCGGCGAAGAAGACCATGCCGAGGAAAATCAGTACAATACGGAAGATGGTCTGCTGGATTGCCTATATTACGTTCTCGTTAGTCAAGTCGATGACTTCCAAATGGTTGAGGTACATACCTTTGGCACATCTCTCTTTGGATTTCGGCTCTCTCCCGCGGTGATAGCAATCATTTCAGTTCCGGAGTAGTACACCGCAGCCAGGACAAAGGACTGACCGAAGCCATTGATGCCATTTGCAAAGGGGCCGGGATCGCGCCAAAAGCGGAAGCCAATGTAATCCCCTCCAATTGCACCTGTATTGACGAGGATGGCTAGAAGGTATCCAACAAGCACGCAGATGACTTTCCAAACCGCCAGCCAGAACTCCAACTCTCCGTATATAACGACACCGAAAAAGGAGATGCATTGATAAATGAACCAGAATATAAGGATCCAGCCGTACGACGGGACCTTGTCGGTCCAGTATGTCAACACGACGGAGACCATATTGTACTCGGCCATAAGATTCGCCACCCACTAGATGAAGGAAACCATGATCAGTCTTCGCTTAACGTTTGGCCATGTCTGTTACGGGTAACTTACCATATACCAGTAGTTCCATCCCAGTGCGACGGAGACGGCGGGATCAATGAATCGTCCAGCCAACTCAGTAAATGCACCGGGTGTCGGATAGAGCGTGGCCAGTTCTCCCAAGCTTTGCATTACGAAGAACACATCAAGACCAATCACCGCAAAAGAGATAAGTGCACCAATCTATTTTTGTAATCAGCTTCGACCCGACACAGTAGTAGAGGAGATGCAGCATACCGGTCCTGAGTATGAGATTGCGGTTCCCGTTCCATACCAAATACTTGCTCTGTATACGTAGCGAGTGTCAGTTTCGTGCTTCAATAATATGGTATTGCAAGCAGGAAGAGAGGGACCTACCCGACAACACCGCCCAAAGCAATCATTTGCAAATGACGCTGTTTGAGTGCCCTATGCAGGCCATGGTCGACCACGACACCGGGTCCACCAACACTCTGGATGTCCCCCGCGCTCTTGTCAATGGGGCTGCTGGAGACTACAGCCTCATTCTTGAAGTAGTCGCTGTCCTTGGTGCTCTCCATTGCTTTACAACAGATTTATACACGTGTGTACACACCGGTTGAAACGTCCACCGTCAGTGATTGCCACATGGAGTTCGGAGAGGACAGAGACCTTTTTTTATATCGGTCTTCGTCGATATGATGCCTCAACCCCAGCTCTCAGAGACTCACAGAGTGGTGCTGATAAGGGCTGTGGATGTACCCCGGTTTTTGTGGGCCAGATAGGGCTTTTGGATGCCACCAATGAAAAACGATGCCGACACTAACCCTAATCGGATGGGGCCAGGTGTGTGCGCTCTTCAAAGGCAATATTAATGTTAGGGTTGGGGTTATTATATTGCCTTTTCTACAACAATTTCACAAAACCCAGAGTGGTATAATGGTAGCTGTCTGTGCTGGGACTAACTTTTTGACTTCCAAGATGAGAGTATGCTAGCACTTTCAGAGAAATACCCTGTCGTAAGAGGTAGCCCTAATGCCCTAGAAGACATGTTCAGTGAACAAAAGTACTGAGAAAATATACCTAAGATTGTATATTTTTGTCTAAAACCTAACTAACTTACAACACAATCTAGAGCATCGACTTCTGATTTAACTCCTTCAACGATTCTGCAGCCAAATCTACCGCATCCACAGCCATTCCAATTCCAGCCTGAAATCCCGTACCCCCAGCACCGTAGTTATGTATAACAATTTTATCAGATATTCTCTCCTGTTCAACTCTTGCACCTCCTTCTCGAGAGGGCCGCAGGCCAACGACAGCTCCGATAATCTCCACCTCTCCGTTCAACAAAACCGGCAGCAATTCACCAGTCCTCTGCAATATAGATTTCGTCTCCTCTTCTTTAACGTTCGGAAACGAGTTTCCTTTTTGCATATATCCGCCAAGGATTACGCTACCATCTGATAACGGGCGTGGAATCACGTACGTCTCGTACCCGTTTCCATGGCGCATGATATTCTGCTTCACGGATGGAGCCTTGACCAGCAGAATCTGGCCTCGCGTTGGGTAGCATTTAGCATCCGATACACCAGATAGTGTGATGGCAGAGTTTCCAATACAGTTAAAGACCAGTTTGGTATTCTCGGATAAGAATGCATCCTGCAATCGAGAAGCTCGGCGACGGATGAATGGGACAGAGCCATACTCCGGCTCTGAAAGGAGAGTCTTCAGATGCTGGCAGTGAGCAGGTGCGTTTATCGTGACTGTGGTGAATTTGATGCCGAACGCTACGGCCTTTGGAAGCTCACTTTTTGGTATAATCACAAGCTGTTTTTGATCTATTAGTTCGGTATGTTTTTCAGTCAAGGAAAACCTGAGAGCAATGCTTACGTCTCGTAGGTACTCAGTCATACTCTGAATTTTATCTGGTTGAGGCATCTCGTCCCAGTACTCCGTAGACTCGGTTTTCTCAAGATACCTCGCTTCCGTGACTTTCTTGTCAATCATCTCCATCATAAGAGTATACCCCGCACGATCCCAGCGTAATGCATTAGCATCACCACCGGAAATTCCTGAGAAGTTTGCTCCTGCCCTGCACATTTTATCTTACATCAGTTCATACGATCCATATGAGTTAGGGGCCAGTCCTTACCATGGTGATGTATAGTCGATAGACGTATCTCCAGGGAGATGTTCAGCGATCACTGTTACATATTTTCCATATCCTCGCTTGGATAGCTCGATGGCGACGTCAAGTCCAATAATTCCCGCCCTAGGTGAATCGTCCACTGGTGAGCACGGAAAAAACTTCAAGATAACCCTAACCGACACAATCAAAGGCAGCGCTTTTACTCACCCCAAAATCACGATACTGTCTCTCGCCATTGGAATCTTATTTGATCTAGCTTGGTGACTGTCTTATCTCAGTGATTTTTCTGGAAACTTTTATACTTAAGATAGCTAGATCATACGATATATCGAAGTGAGATAATTTGCATTCTGATTGGCGGCATCCGTGTGGATGACAGGACCCGGAGCAACGGACAAGCAAATCCCCAGCTTGGATAATTGCATTTGTAATACCAAATCTTCAATTCTTATAGTAAATTATTGGAGAAACGAGGAATGAGACGAAGATAAGGAAAAATTACGTCTGCGTAAGCTTAAGGGCAGATTATGCCTATCGGCAACAATGCACAATACAACATGATTCACTGAAGAGAGAACTTTTTCTATTGCTTCTATCTAAATTGCCGACGAAAGTGGCTTCATCATCTTGGAATGAACATGGGACAGCAGCTGAGCCGTATCTTTGATAAACTCATGACTTCTGCTGAGCCCCCTTGACGGATGATTGTAATGTGCAAAAGCATGAGGAACACCTGGGTACCGTTTCATGCTGACTTGATTTCCTGCAGCCTGTAGCATTCTTCCATAATGTTCCGCTTCGTCGCGTTCAACATCATATTCAGCTGTTACAATATGCGCGGGTGCTAAATTTCGTAGACAAGGTGAGAGCACAGGTGTCATGCGCCAGTCCTCCAGAATCTTGGAGCGAGTCTCGGGATCATCACTGATGTAATATTTCAGAAACCATGACTCGCGTTCCAGAGGAGACCACGGAAGATCAGCGCAAAATATTGCGCTGGGGTACGGACAAGTTTCAGGTGTCAATCTGGTAGGCTTATCTGCAGATATAGGGACGTATCGCATGTCCGTGGCCGGCACAATCATCAATTGCAGTTTCAGATCTATCTTGGGTATGCTATCTCTAGCAAAATGTGCCAGGACAGCAGTGATCAATCCGCCGGAGGAGAGACCACCTATTGAGGCGGACGTCGGGTCGATGTTGAGCGTGTTGGCGTTGGAAATTGCCCATTGTAGTGCGGTCCAGCAGTCGTAGATGGCCACGGGAAAGGCAAATTCAGGGGCAAGACGGTAATCAACATCAATCACAACAATGCCTGATTCATTGCATACAGATCGACACCATGCAGCCTCTGTCTTGAGACCACCGAGGACCCATCCTCCGCCGTGGAAGTTCAAATGCACGGGGAATGGACCTGAGCCAGAAGGCGTGTATACGCGACAAGTGATAGTACCCTCCGGATCTTGGACGGGAACTATGTAATCTTGTACGTTATGTACATCGGGCCCTGAGAGGAAGAGTGTCCAATAAATATAATGCCGCTTAAATCAATGACGAGAAATAAGACAGAGATATATGACTTACGTACCATCCCAGGTTGGATAGGTAAAGCTATATTTTGCCGGACACTGACGAAATTCCTCGATGGTTACCAAATGCGCTCCCACCACATCTTGTCCATGCTTAGTCCATATTTCTTTCCATTCTGGATCCAAGTTGTGTAGATATTTGTCGGGGATTGCGTTGACTGATTCCTGCATGATCTGAAAGCCGCCTGGCTGGCGACTGGACTAAACGAGCACAATGAGATCAAAGCAAGGCAATGTGAAAAAACAGAAAAGCTTAGGTAAATGCACATTAGCACTTGCTTCTTGCTTTTGAAAGCCATCACATTGTTCTGATATCCCATGGCAAATCCACAGTCGGCACGTCGGCTTTTGATTGGCGGCATCCATTCGGCGAGCGAGTCCTCCTATCTCCAGGGATAGACTCCGCTTATGCCTAGCTCAAATGTGCACGCTCCACATCGATAATGATCGATTATTTGCAGTGATGTAGATACGAAGAAGCTCTCGGGTTTAGTGGCAAAAAAACAAGATATGCCCTTTTGTAAAACATGATTGATAAAGGTGTTTTGGACGGCGAGCGCGAGAGTCTAGAGTCTAGAGATGATTGTGATGACGCTAAACTATTTTCGACATGGTCTCCCGCCGCTTTATGAAGCGTAAGCTGACCATACATCTTCACCTCATAGCAATTGACGATTCCCATTGCGCTTTGCTGTAGGAAGCAGTATCCATTATATGGTACATCGTCAGCCGTTACATTGCAGTATTGGCAAAGTAATCATGATAGGTGAAATGAGTACTGCTTGTCAAGAGGACATGGCTATAAAAACCCTGGGGAATATCTCTCTCCCAGCTCAATAAATCATGAAATCTCATTCAATCTCACATTTTTCAATTAGATATTTGAAAATAATGGCTCCCACTGCTGTCCTCATCACTGGTGCCAACCGTGGCATCGGCAAAGGTATTCTCGAAATATATCTCGAGAAACCAAATCACACCGTAATCGCTGCAAGCCGTGATCCAAATCTCTGTTCGACTTGTCCAAGGCAGAAGGAACCACTTTGCATGTCATTGAGATTGATTCGACTTCTCCAACAGACTCGGCCGATGCTGTAAAGGGGTTACAGACTGTCGAGGGCATCGGGCATATCGATATCCTTATTGCCAATGATAGTATTTCCCTTTTATGGCCCCAAGGTCATCGAGGTCAAGGTTGAAGATATTCAGAGACATGTAGATGTTAACATCTACGGTTTCATTCGGCTTTACTAAGCTTTTCGACCTTTTCTCAAGGAGGCCAAGGATCCAAAATGGGTGACTATTGGATCAAGCGCTGCTTTCTTAACAGTAGGCTCCAAACATGCCATATCAAGTATGAGACGCATTGATCGCTAATTCCGTCGATAGTGAGTCTGATCAAAAGCCAGAGAATTTCGTCACTGCACTCAATATGTGACAGCAATTTCCTCCCCATGAAAAATGCGGCATATGCCCCTACCAAATTAGTCCAGCATTGGTACATCAGAGCAATCTCGGCTAAAGACACTTGGTTGACCGCATTTCCAGTCGATCCGAGTGAGTCCGGCCTTTTCTCCATTGACATCAGAGTCCATATCTAATTCGAGCTACTCCTCAAACAGCTGGGTGCAGACGAAAATGGGTAACCGAGGCGCTCATGCGGTCGGCGTTGAAAAAGCCGTAGTAAAAGTCCAAGATAGCACTACAGGTATAGTCAAAATCATCGATACATCTACTCGGGAGACGTACAGTGGAAAGTTGTTCAAGCCTACTGGAAATGAGGAGCCGCGGTAGTTGGATCACTGTTCGACATTATCCAGGATTCTGAAATGGACATTTATGAGCCTTTGCATTAATATCAGCCTTTAATTGTATAAGCAAAAGCATAGCTGGCTCAAAATCCTTGACAAAAGCCATATGCAGCGGCGTCCGCCCTGTTTTGTCGTAGGTGTCAATATCAAGCATCGCTGTCTTGCTCATTGACGTCCATATTTCCGCGTTGCAGAAGCATTCGCAGGATCTGCTCGTGGCCTCTTTGAGCGGCTATGGGGAAAGCACCAATTCAGTCCTTTTCTTTTGAGATCGTGATTACGCCTACCAGGGAGTCGTCCTTGTAAAGAGATGGGCGTAAATCATGACCGGGGTTTGAAGGTACCAGGTCAGAGTCCGAGGTTATACGCTGCAATGATGAGCTCTTAGTTTGGTTTCCATCTGACTCCTGTGTGCCATCGTGGTTGTGCGCTAAAGTACCTGAAAGTGTATTCCACGACGCCGCATCCCAAGATGTTCGGTTCCTTGTCTAGGTCAAAAGGGGCAAAATTTTGCCGAAATCCCGCTATGTGCCCTGACCCGAACGCAATGTCGGTGCTCTCTTGATTCATTAGTTGGTCAACTGTGTTGAGATTGAAGCTCATCTCCGGAAACCCTATCTCATCGCCATTGAACAAGCCCTCTGCTTTAGACGGTACTGGCGTAGTACCACTGGATGTAACTGCCTGTGGCACGGATTGGGCTTGAGAGGATTTATTGAGGCGCCGAGTAGTGCTTACGAGGCTATTTTCTGGTTCTCGTCTCTTCTTTTCTGCAGGTCCATATTAGTGACACGAATGCCCATGTAGCATAATCGGAACGACTCACCACGGAATTTACGCTACGCCAACCTATTCTGTAGCCAACGTCGTTCAACGAGATCCGGCTGAAGCTCTATGCTCATGGCCACTTCCTTTTTCTAGAAAAGAAAAATCCATATCCTTCAAAATATCAGCAATTCAGAAGATTTATATTATCGAATGTTGGATGGATCAGATGAATTTCTGTGCTTGAACCGCTAGCGATTCGGGGAAGGAATATAGCAATTGATAATACCGAATCCTAGGAGACGAGCAATAAAAAATCCGATTATTGAGTTGACACTGTATTCATTGCTGATACCAAGTGACAAAATGATATGAAATCTATTTACAACCCAAGAATATACTTTTTCCAGAGTGATATGACGCGATAGTCATAGACACCACGCCAACTATTAATGCAATTCGTGACAAGGGACGTTCGAGGGGATCAACATGGGTAACAGGGTATGAGAAACACGTATACACTCGGAAAGTCAGGCATCATATGGTCAAATTTGGTATAATCCATGTAAGTAGTCAAGACCATACTACGGCTCATTATGCGAAGGTGAGGTCGTAAGAACAAAGCATAGCAGAAAAGGTATCAAAGGTATTAAGAGGGAAGAACAAGTGGGAAAGTAAGCAAGAAAAAAAGCATCCATGCTGAGTTGAAGACGGCGAAAAATTGCCAACCAGCCATATTGTATAAGATCAATGATGAGGATTGTGGCCGTCAGAGGCTCAACTTGAACGTCGAGCAGATGGCTCTCGGCCAGGTTCAGCACTTCTTTCCTCCTCTGATTGACTAGAGCTATCATCAGACGTCTTTGCACCACGGAGCTCTGCAGCCCTTTGCGCACGTATCTGTTTGCGCCATAAGCTGGCATAGCGGCCATTCAAATCTCGGAGTTCATCGTGAGTACCACGTTCAGTAACTTGTCCATCGTTCAGAAGCAAGATCTGGTCGGCATCCGTGATGGTGCTAAGTCGATGGGCTATAACAAGCATAGTACGCCCTTTTGATAAGGTGGCCAAGGCATCTTGAATTTGCTCCTCGGTTTCCGTATCAAGCGCAGCGGTTGCTTCATCCAGAAGGATTATGCGGGGATTCTTCAATATTGTACGAGCAATAGCCACACGCTGCTTCTCTCCACCACTTAATCGGAGACCGCGCTCTCCTACCTTGGTCTGGTACCCGTCGGGGAATCCAAGGATCTTCTCGTGGATGCTAGCTGCGCGACAGGCTTCATAGACCTGCTCATCAGTCGCGTCCGGGCATGCGTACTTCAAATTGTACATCAAGGTCTCATTGAATAAGACGGTGTCTTGGGGTACAACACCAATGTGGCGACGCAATGAGTCGATAGTCAAATCCCGAACATTTTGGCCGTCCACGCGAATGGTACCCATTTCAGCATCGTAAAACCGGAAGAGCAGACGGAACACTGTGGATTTACCGCCGCCAGATTCTCCAACCAAAGCAGTAGTTGTGCCTGGGCGACATTCAAATGTCAGTCCATTCAGGGCCGGCTTGCGGTTGTCGTACGCAAAATGGACGTTGTCAAAAACTATTTCGCCATTGCAATGAGTCAGTGGCTTCGCGTTGGGAGCGTCGCGGACCGTTGGCTGTTCTCTAAAAAGTTCCAACATGCGCTCTGAGTTGATCAACGCCGACTGAATGGATCTGTAAAAAGTCCCAAAGAAGTTCAAAGGCCCTTGTAATTGAGTCATGTAGACCAATAAAGTCACAAAATCGCCAACTTTGCGTTCCCCTGTAGACACCTGGTAGGCCGCAATGAAACACGTCACTAACAGACCCAGCATGAAGACGGTGTTTTGACTGGTATTCATCAAGGTCAGCGAGAAGAGCACGTGGTACTCGGCCTTCTGGAAATCGCGGACAGCGCCTCGGTACCGCTCGAATTCATAGGATTCCGCATTGAAATATTTGACTGTCTCATAAGATACCATGGAATCGTTCCTGCCAAGGTGGATTATGTTAGATAATGGGCAACGAAGGGACAGCCGAGCTCGTTATGCACTCACTTAACAGCATCCTCCTGACGAGACGCATTCACCATCTGGCGCCTAATCTCAGCACGCCATTGAGCCATGCGAACAGTCACATAAAGGTAGCAAAATGTGACGATAGCCACCACTAGGGCGTAGTACGGATCGAAGATCACAAGGAAATAGCCAATTGCAACACCGAGATCGATTAACATAGGCACAACCTGGAAAGTGACCTGTTCAAGAAAAGTATTGATCGAATTTCCCTTGCTCAAGGCCGATAGGACCTCTCCAGTCTTTTTACCCAAGTGAAAATCCAAGCTCAAGCTATGTACGTGCTCGAATGCGGCTGTCGACAGTTCCATATAGGAATACTGACTAACCGGTATCCACAAACTAGACCGCAAAGATCCGATGAGGCCCTGGTTGCCTTGCAACCAGCGGTAAAAGATGTACAGAAAGATCTGGAACCACGGTATTGACATTGCTTCACCTTCCTCAGCTGCCAAAATATCCGTGATAATGCCAACTTGGCGAGGTACCAACACATTGACGACTCGTTGCAGCAAAATAAGACCAAAACAGATGACAACTATAAATTGGAGTCTGCGAGACTTGGACGGCCAGAGATAGGGGAAGAAAAGGGAATATCCACTAAGATACTCCCACCAGCTAGTCGAGGGCACGGTTGACGGTCGCACCCACGGATCGACCGGCTTTTGTGGTGGTGATGCATGCCCATTGGTATGTGTCGCACCATATGCAGATCCGTTAGTACCTGCAGCTCCCTCGCTCAGCAGACCCCTGGTCTCGGCAACATCGCCGGCCAAGCGTGAATCAGCCTTGCGACCATGTGAGCTCTGACTTGTCGACATAATGTAGAGGAAAGCGAGTGCCAAGAGCGTGACGACGCGGATTCCATTCGACGCGACCTCAATACCTTCCCATCCAGTCATGCCGTTTCTCCAAGGACCACCTCGGGGATCTCCTACGATTGGCTCGCGGTGCGGATTGGTGTATATGATTAAAGAAGCTGCCCATATCATGGCATCGAGAGGAATGGCCAACAACCATGTAGCGAATTGGGTCCCTTGGGGTGATGGCTTTGCATCAACTAGAGAGATCAAAACCAAGGCATGTACAAAGAAACAGCCAACGATGTAGATCTACATGAGTTACGAAGATGAAGTTTAGCTGATAAAGGCAACGCATATATAGACACGATGTGAACAACTTACCACCGTTGCCTGGCCTCGCCACCAGTGTTCGGAGCGGTCAAGTATAGCATGAGTGACGTTAACCGCAGCATCAACAATAAAGGTCAGCAAAACAGCTGTCGAGAGCCATTGGAAGACGACTCGAAATCGAGGAGAGACGTTCTGGTTGTTTCTCATTACAGCCATCGTACTCCGTGTCCGCTTGGGTAGCGGACGTCCTCCGGGACCACATGCTGGTGTGGTGGTTGGTGTTAACTGCCTGGCAGATAATATTGAACTAATAATGAAGGCGACCACAAAGGCCAACAAGAGAGCAATTGGTGAAATCACCCTCAGATACTGCAGGAGACTATGAGCCGTTTCCAAAATGTCCGAGGGGACTGCCATGTCGGACCATGCCACCGAACTGGGCACGGCCATTGCTTTTGCGGATTGTCTATCCTATCCCGTGCAGGTAATAGTCGTAGCACAACGTTCAGCGCAGTTCCATGTCACTCAACCACACACTAAAGAAACCCAGACTTTAGGTCACACTCGGTAGCGACAGTAAAAGGACTGTGTAATGGACGCGGTGAAAAAGAACTTATAAACTCGGGCGGCTCAGCAGATGGCTTTTCCGAATGAAGGAAACAGAATAAGCCGAGCAAAGATCCTTGGTAGCAACTTGTACCTTGTACCCCCAGATGATGCGAGAATCAATTAAGAGAACCCAATGTATATTAATTTCATGTAACGAGAGCTCGAACGTGGCGTGGACCGGGGGGTAGCTTTAGAAGCGGGCCTAGATGCAGCGTAAAAAAAGAGCACCAGCTTGATTAGACAACAGACGGCCACCAATAAACGAACGGGAGATGCAGATGCAGAAACTAGGACGGGCGAAAAATTCGAAGAAAGATAGGAGATAATAACGGTAAAGATATGGAAGCATAAAATGAGAAGAATGGGATGCAATTGACGGAGACGCACGACCAAAGGCGACCGTAAGGCCAATCGTGAAAGGAGTAGGACAATGGAATGAAATAGATGCTGCTAACCCCGGAGCAGAAGTACCTAGACAGCAAGTACCGGATACTTGAGTACTTGATAGGAGTTGGGGGGTAAAGAGCAGCAAATATTTGTTCCTGCGGCCACACACACACAGAGGGAGAGAGAGGTTGGAGATGGAGAGAAAAAGAAGTTGAGAGGAGAGAAAAGAGGCAGGTGACGATGCTTGGTCCAGACGGAAGGAACAACTTACGGGAGGCAAAAGTTTGGGAGGGTGCGGGACGGGGTCAACCGACTTTCTCCAACGACAATTCCACAACTTCCCTCTGCTCTTTCTCTTCTCCTATCGCTTCACCTCGTCGATCGAGTCTGGTTCATTCAACCTTCATTCATTCAATCTATGTGAGTCGCGCTGATCTAGCTAGTCTCCACACAACTGACTCGGTCGCTGTTCGTCGAAGTCGGCTCGGGAAACAATGATTGGCGGGCTGTTCGGTGGCCTGGCCGAGTCTTTAGGGAGGGTTCAGCACAAAAGTCCAGGTCTAGATCCCCCCAATAAGAAGCAAGACAAAGACTGTGATTTTCTGGACACTGTACGTACTTCAGAGCCCGGAGCGCACACACCAGATGCTCCGATCCTGGCTCTACTTCGCCTCTTATTTAGAGCACTATACACGCGTCAGATTGGCAAAGACACGTTCAAAACCCTGGGGTACTCCTCACCTGAGTGCCGATTTAGGCAAGTCCCGTGAACACTGAAGAATGTGGATTCTGGGTGTGGGAGTGAGAAGTCACCTAGTCCACACACTGAATCAATTTTCTACTGGGAATCTTGATCTGACAACAGCACGACTCTCAATGACTTTCACACTCACACGAGGCTATTTCTATCTCGTGGGCGAAACGGACTGGACGCACAGTTTTGCGTCCATTCACAGGAACGACAGATATCAGAAAAAGGAAGAGAGTGAGAAATAACTTCTCTTCTCACCAGCCAAGGATATCGCAATGATGATCTAAAAGGCGGCATGACAGAGAAAAATCAAACGCTACTCGGAAGGACACGCGAGCGCTGGCTATCGCACGCAGATATATATATGCACTAGACGGTAGTGGTACTAAGATTTTTTCCCTCTCTCCTTACTGCAATCATACTAGTCATGTTAAAGTCATACGAGATACGTATTCGAACTATCTTCAAGCGTATGAGCTGTCCTTTACAATTCATACACGGAGTGGTTCACCCCGTTCCCATCCTGTGCAAATCTCAAAGATGCCAAAGGTTTATGTGCTACGTGGACGCTCTGCACATCGACATGAGCCGAGCTTCCTCTTTATTCCGAGACGAGATTGCGGTGGAGGGCCGGGGGCAATGAATCCATCCTGGTACGTATCGTTGTAGAATGTTTACTCATGTTGTATCATATTGTAACTACGCGGTACCAGCATGTGTCATGTCGGATACACTCAAGTTTGACTCGGCATGACTTCACATCACAGAGTCTAGGCTTTCGAGCTCGATCAACAGGGCACACGTTACGCTTCATTTCGTAGTACTTGAAGTCGCACTGACCATACTCGGATATGGCATACATGCAAATTCAGGCCATAATGCTTAATTGATCACATTATTATCGTACCCTGTCTTAGTGGTGACTGTGAGACCCAGACACAGTCCTGGCCTCCGGTGCTCCGTCCATGGCTATTAGTCGATCATTCATCGCCAACGCAGTCAATTCAAAATTTCAACAACCTCATCATTTTCGGCTCTGTCAATGCTCATAAGCGAAGAGGCACAATTACATACTACAGCCTGAATAGGCAATTGGAAGATACAAGTCGTCGTTAATTTTGTCCAAATGACGTTAGAATCCTTCTAGAATCTGATCATCTCCAGATCAAAGATAGGAATTTCCTTGCTTTTGCCTCTTTTCTCGAAACAGAAAGTTAAAATAAGAGCTTTTTTTTCCAAGGCGATTCCAATTCCGCGTCGTTACACCGCGCGCTTTAGGGGAGTAGATTGCGGAACGTCCCGAAACCTAGCATCATCCCAAGCTGCCGGAGTTCCACGCTATTGCCCCGGGGCTCTTATCGGCCGCGCCTTGGCCCAGTTTGAAATTCGCAGACACTACGTATCTACGAAGTAAAGTACCTAAATGTGAAATATCTACACTTCTACTAAGTTACCGGAGCCAAGTACCACATGTGTAAGTAGCAAGTTGATTACCGGTCCACATGGCTCTACATAGTCACCCGAGGAAGTCGAACAGATTGGACGGGGCATTCCGGTATTCTGTTCCCTTGGGAATGTCATCCTGCATGTATGCGATGCGGTGAGATGGATGACCAAAAAAGCAAAGAGACGGAAAGTCAGATAGATTGAGTGGATGATGACAATGGGATTATTTCTTTCGATTGATTGAGTTGTCTTGAGTGGAATATGGGGAGCGGTGTGTTAAGGCTGTCGACCCTAGAAGCTTAGCTTCTCCATATGTATTCTCAAATAAATAGATTTCAAGTGATTTGAATCAGGTAGGCATAACTAAGATATTGATCAGGGCGTATCAGGTATGATCCTGGATGGGTTGTCTGTACCTGTATCACAATTCCCGGGCCATTGACGGAAAAATATCCCCGACCATGAAAAGAGACAGTAATACAAGGATCCTGTTGATTAAACGCACAACATATTTGGTTGTCGGGACTGCCATATAGCACGAATAAAGAAGGATAGATCCAGAACTTTATGACTTAACCGGCCAAGACTAAATACTTGATTGGTGTTTGTCTGCAAGCCGTTTCACACACCGCTTCATTTTCTTTAATCTACTCGATCAACACGGGATAAGGATTAAAAAAGTATCTGGGGCATAAATAAAGTCAACTAATACTGCACACTATCCTCTTCCTTCACATTTCAGTCACGTCCGTAGTCAAGAACATCTGTCGTTATCGGCATATTCGGCTTTTATCCCGAAGTACAGCGAGTGATCGAAGAAACGGTGAACAGAATTCAGAATAGCTGGGTATGCTTACCTACCTATTTCGGACTTGATGGAGGCACTCAACACTACGGGGGTATGCAGGTTATCTGCAGCTTTCAAGCAATGCAGCCGGTTATCGGGGTTGGATTGAGTACATACCTCCTAGTTAGACGTACGTATCAAACACGGTAAGATTTGCAGGGGATTTTCCCTTGCTCAGAAATCCCACAATGTGTTGTTGTTTAATCCACGACTAACAACGTAGTGCTTGTATGAGTTATTGTAAGTTCTAGACTCGGCTTCGCAGGGGGAATGATTTACGCCAGAGTATGCACCCTTCATGCAATACAGGGATCCAAATTTCTAGGTACAGAGTACAAACGGTCATATTGTTCAAAAGATGTAAGACGAAAGCCCTGTGGGAAAAAGAGAAAATTAGGGTTAGTAGATGAGGTCATTGCACAGCGACCACTGATCACAGGGCGACATATCAGATCCCGATGCTGAAATACATTTTTCTATGATTACCGAATCAAAATTTACTCGTTACTAATCTAAGATCTTGTCGGTAGTTGTCTGTCATCGGCTGAATTGCCTTGTGTCAGGCATCCATGCTGTTACCGAGTCTCTCCCTTCACAGGCACAAGTCTGACATCTCGTATTTCGATCAGATCTGATCGTGCCGGAGGTCAGTTGATTCTCATATGAGCGATTTCTGCTGTTGGTTATATATCCGAATTGTAACCCCTTGCAAGTCAGCATACATATTCGTCATCGAGCCTTTCAAGCAGAGCAGGACAAATGCAAAGGAAACTCTGCCTATAAAGAGAAATGAAATGCACAAGATTGATCTGATACGATAGATCTAACATGACGCTTAGGCATAAGATATCTGCTCGAAGCAGATGTATATGCGGACGGTAATGCACATATTGATGCTCCATGTCTGTGAGATGGTATTAATTTCCAAGCTTCGTATCCGATCCCCTGTACATACCATAAAACATATCCCTGACTGTCAAAATCAATCAGTCACATGAAGGGGAAGACACCACTTAGTACCTTGGCATAGTCGCACAGTTCGAAAATATCCAGACAGCTCGTAACTGACACATGGCGGATTCCGAGATATTCTCTTCCCTATAACCGTAGACGGCCGACATTACGAATGTTGAGATATCCCGGAAGAATAAGTTGATGTTCATCACTTCTAAGTATCGGATGCTGTAATGGTAGTGTAGTATACCAAGGCAAATCAAAAGATGAGTCGATAGAGTTCCCATAGTTCCGGGCACAGCTCAGTCTGAGACATACCTCATGTAATCGAGAATCCGTTGACCTGGCTGGACCGGTAATTGATAGATATCAGACGCATGAAGGCTACAAATTTGGATTGTCATGTGAGGGTATACGGCCTGATCTGGGGCAAGTAACACTCAACTTGTCGAAGAAATCCTCAGTCAAGTCAAAGTGAGGTGTCTGACTCTGGACGCGTAGTTGACAAAGTGGGGCGGCTGCGCGGCCGCTGATTGCCTGTCTGGCTGCCTGAGGATCCACCTCCACAGTCCGAGCTCTTCGAATCGATTAACCGCAGCCTTGGGAAAGCTTCCAAGTTCCCACTCCATCGTCTATCCATCAGTCCATGACCTGCTCATGCCGCCTCTCGCTCTAGGCCCTGTCGCGTGACCACATCTTGCCTCTGTGTCCCTCCCTTCCTAATGGACCGGCCATTCTAAATCGAGCCCTGCACAGCCGCCATGAGAGATCACAATGGCTGATCCACCAAATGATTCAGGAACCCCTCAATCGCCACGGCCACCCCCGCCATCATCGCAGGGTCAGGCGCACAAGGTCTACCAGAATCGAGCAACCAGTGCTCTGGCAAGACTAACTCAACCATTCTTTACCGGATCACGTTCCCCGAGCCCATCAGATGTCTCTAATCGCGTACCCGACGAAGATCATCATGTGAGATTGACAAGATCAAAATCCTTGTAAGCATGCCTTACCGATAACAGTCCTGAACCTCCGGCCCCAAGATGTCATTGGAAAGCAGTGTAGCTGACTGGAAAGTAAGACCTGGATCCTCTCAGACTGTCACCCATCGCACCGGCCTATCAATAGCGTCGCTGGACATTTCCCCGCAGAAAACGCATGCCGTCATCGCTGGCCGAGAAATTTTCAAGACGATTCGCGTGTCTCAAGACGGCTCCTCTGAAGAATTTAACCTCCGCGATGCGATTATCAAGGCTTCGTCTAAGAAACAAGCTCTGACCGGTCTGGCCTCGAAATTCAAGGATCAATTGGCTATCAAGGATGTGAAATGGTCTCATGGAGAGTTTGATACAGTTATTGCGACCGCTGCAGCTAACGGTCGCATCATTACATACGACCTGCAGCGAGCAGGGCTGGAACTCTCAAGGCTAAATGGCCATAATCGTCAGGTCCACAAATTAGCATTCAATCCACATCGGCCCGCCTGGCTTTTATCGGGGAGTCAGGACAGTACAATTCGTATGTGGGACTTAAGGTCAGCTTCTCCTGCAGCTACTATTCAGAGTATATCTCGCTATAGTAGTAATAGCGATGCAGTACGCGATATTCGATGGTCGACAGGCGATGGCACCGTCTTCGCGACGGCGACGGATAGCGGAGCAATCCAGTGTTGGGACTATCGACATACCAAGGCCCCACAGCTGAAGATCACAGCCCATGAGAAACCATGTTATGCTGTCGACTGGCATCCCGACGGGAAACATCTCGTGAGTGCGGGCACAGATAAACAGGTTAAAGTTTGGGATTTTTCTTCCTCAGCGGAGCGCAGACAGAAACCGACTTTTCAGTTTCGTGCTCCTCAACCGGTGGTGAACGTGAGATGGCGACCAGCCAGTCGGGTCTCGGAATTTTCTGATGACAGAAATTGGCAATCAACGCAAGTGGTTACGTCGTATGATAAAGAAGACCCCCGCATACATCTCTGGGATCTCCGCCGTCCACACATACCCTATCGAGAAATCGATCGCTACGAAACACCTCCTGCCGACATGCTTTGGAAGTCAAACGATTTACTTTGGACTGTTGGCGAAGCAGGAGCGTTTACTCAGACGGACATTCGGTATGTTCCCGAAGTCGTTAGTCGTCGGCCAATGTGTGCCGTGGCCTGGAGTCCGACTGGCGAAGTTGTTGCAACTGTGCAGAAACGGCCTCGACGCCGGCCCTTGGCTACCAGGAATCCTGAGTTTTTCGGACTTGGTGATGAGAAGGAGCGGGTTTTCGAGAGACATCGGAGTTTTGCAGATAGCAGCGCCCTAGATGATATTGCAACAACGCAGCCAAAACAACAACGAGGAATGGCCTTGGGTATTTCAAAGTCGCTGGGGAATACCCCTCCAGATCCGGTAGACAAAATTACGGTCATACCTCTTGGAGACTCGTTATCAGGCGAGCTTCCGACACCCAATCAGGTGGGTATTGTTGGACGAATCGAGGGTGTTGCATCCGATGAGATGGTTTTCCGCTACTTAGCTGAGCAGTATGCGGTATTGATGAAAGATAAAGAAGTCAGTTTACGTCCCAGAAATCAAGTACAAGCGGTTTGACGGACCTGGACTGGAATGCGACGCAAGCCGAGATGGCAGGCCAGCACAAGCTTGCTCAAACTTGGAGTATTGTAAAGTACACCGTGCTCCAGGAAATCGAACATCGAGCGGAAGAGAGAAAGCGAAAGCCCAAAGAGAAAACAAACCAGGTCCATAGGTCTCCGCATGCACATTTCAGCGACCGAACTCGCCTGCCTGACGGACCCAAGTCAGCCAAGGTTAAGTCTCACCTCTTTAAAGGAGTCATGGAAACAGAAGCTCACCGACGCGGGGCGCCGGAAATTGAGAGCTCCTCAAACGTGACTACTCCTCTTGCGCAGCCACTTCCGGATTCTCCTTCTGGCGTCATTTTTCCCTCGGTAAGTCATGGAGAGTCCGTGACAGACGATCTCATAGATTTGCAACCTTTACCGCCTTCCGTCATGAGCTCGCGTTACAGTACTAAAAACCAGAACGAGACAAGTACACCGCGGATGCAGCGTCACGAATCAGAATCAAGTGAATTTATGCCCTTTTACTCAGGTAGTTTCAACTCAGAGCAAGTGCGAGAAGGTCAGGTTGATAACTCCAAGGACGACCAGAGGACTGCGCCTCGAGCTATAGCTGGTCGCGTCGATTGGCATCGTCACCGGTCTAGTGATGCAGCAGCGAAGGAAGGATCCGAAGACGATTATGAGCAAAACGTTGAGAGTCGAAAAGCTCTTTTACGTGACTACAAAGCCCCACCAAAGAAGGTTTTGAACCTGGAATCTCTTGCTAGTGAAGCAAGTCGTCCGACACGTCCTGGGACTTATTTTCGGCACGACTCTACTGAAAGTTTCCCAATGTTCTCAGCTTCTACGGATAGCTCGCAACGTACAAAATCGGTGGACATCTCGTTATCTCCTCGAACAAGTGCACTTGCTTCCTCAAGGCGGGGTAGCGTTGGCTGGGAGACCGAAGAGGATGCTATTATCGAAGAGGATGAACCTGCGTCCTCTAAAGCTGCTAGCGTCCCTGATTATGGATCCTATCAAGACAGAATCGTTTCCGATAATTCGTATCCCGACGAGTCCCACATTCATCTTCAGCGTCCGTCTAGTCCTGCTCCAATCGTAGCGGAGTCAGACAAAACTGAAAAGGACCAACGACAAGAGAAAACCAGTGATACTACTGCAAAACAAAACGAAGATTTTCGGTTACCCCTTTCTCCTGAAATCTCAGCAAATAAGCCTTGGGGCGCACAAGTCATTCTTAGAGAGGCAGTACGACATTATTATAGTACAGGCCCTGTTGATACCCAGATGGCGGCTCATCTCCTTCGGATGGTGCATTCGCTCTTCTATGACTGCGAAACAATATTACCGTACCACGAATGTGAACAAGTCTTCAAAGCATATAATGAACAGCTTATTCGACATTCGATGTACGTGGAAGCTGCAGAACTCCGAAATTTCTGTGTACCAATATACCCGGCGGTATACGAGTACTCTCAGACAGATACATACATCAATGTCTATTGCTACACTTGCAGAAAGCCTTACGAGAATCCCGTCAAAGATAACCGTCGATGTCATAAATGTCGAACCCCACAACCTCCCTGTCCTATTTGCCTCAACGTGGAGCCGCCTCTTGAATGGACGATAGGCGAGTCTGATGGAGGTGATGCCGAAGACTCGGAGGTCCTCTCCCAAAATTCACTTCAATCCGATCAGACTGAACCGATCTCGGGCCTGGAGATAGAATATTTTGGTCAACAGTCCCGCAACTCTCACCGAATTCCAGGCTCTAGCTTATGGTCATGGTGTCAAGGCTGTGGACATGGCGGGCACCTAGCCTGCATGAAGAAATGGCTCAGCGACCTTGAAGCGAGTGAGGGCGGTTGCCCAACCCCTGGCTGCGTGCACGACTGTGGACCCGGACCACGACGTCGAGAGCACCGTGAAGTCATGCAAACGGTAGCATTCGGACGCCGGATTACTTCCAACACTGCCAAGCGTGACTCTTGGGTAACCGGCGAAAGCAGAGCAGTTGAGAAAGTTCGCGGCATGTTATCTTCGGCTACAGCAGCACAGGGATCATCCGGGGAGATGTCGCTGGGAGGCGCCGTGAGTAGTGGCGGTAGTGCTGCGCTTAACACGTCGTCCGGTGGTGGAACAATAGGATCTTCGAAGAAAGTTAGACTGGTAACTCCTATTGAAGAAGGTTTGTTGCATAAGGATATTGATCCTCTGATGCGTGACAAGGAGTCTACGTCGGATCCTTTTTCGGGTTAAATCATGCTTTAAAATGCATTAACTTTTGGATTTGGGCCGTGTTTTGTATTTATTGATATACCCTGTATTATATACAATGTTCTGAGTGAAATATTATGACTCGTATCGAAGTCATCTTCAATAGATCCCAAAAAGTAATTCTCCGATGCATCCGTCTACATTCTCACAAAATGAAGCTATCGACAATCAAAACTTTCGCTTCTTCTTCGTCGGAGCTTTACTCTTCGCATCTAGCTGCCTCTTTAACTCTTCTCGTTTCTTATCTGCTTTCTGTTCTGCAGATAGCTCGGGTTCCGGCTCTGGCTTCTTCATGCAACTTACAGGCGACGGTGATTTAAAGACGGATCGATGTGGTGATGGTGTTCCTGATGGCAACATTTGTGTCTTCCTCGACTTATTGGGACCAGAGTCAAGATCGTCATCCGTCTCTTCATGTTTGGGTGATGTTGTTCGCGTGGTGGCTTGTGGTTTCTTTTTGCCACCAATGAGACCTAGCTTTTTACCCTTTTTAGGAGTTGATTGACGCTGGGAACGAAGATGGCGTTGTTGCAAATCGTCATCTTTATCGGAAGGAGTTCTTTCGAGGTCAACTTTGTCAGGTGGTTCTGGAGATGGTGCCCTCTTGGGTTCTGGTTTTTTGCCGCCTATTTTACTTAAAACTCCTTTCTTCTTGGGAGCATTCTCAGTAGGACGATCTTTCATGGTTTTAGGCGGGCTTGGTGTTTGAACACGTTCAGGTTGGGAATCTGATTCAGTCCCGTCATACATCTCATGATCTTCTCGCGGAGTCGGAATTCTATGTCGTGACCTAGGCGTATCTGGTGTATCATCAGAGTCTGTCTCATCCGCAACGGCCCCTTTTCGAGAGTGTCCCAAGGCAAAAGCTTTTGGTGCTCCAATACGGCCCATCACCTTCTTCGGGGATTTTCCTTTCTGAACAGGTATTGTCCTACTATCTAACCTATCGTCCGACTTGACATCCGCATCTGACTCAGTGGTACCAACTCCGAGATCAGATCCGCTGCTTTTGACAGGGTTTCTGTCTTCTTCGTCCTTTTTACGCTTGAGATGGGGCGGGGTCTCTTGACGCTGAATATCGACATTAGTAAAAACCTGAGATAATCATTCTCTGGTGCAAAGGTACCTGAAATTCATCTTCATCTTCGGTGCTCAGATCCTCGTCTGCAGGCTTCTGTTTATCACCACCTGCGTAAATATTTGGAGGACTGTTTTTCCTTTTAGTCGCCGTTTGGGATCTCTCTGGCGATTCTGATGCTGAATCAATTCCATTACCGAGATTTTCCCACCATGCGACATCTCTTATATTTGTGCTGTCCAAAGAAGTACCGCCATATGCAGATGCAAGACCGCTCCCAAGATCATCTTCCTCAGCCGGACTACCTCGCCATTTTTTTTCCTCGAATTTTGTGGCTCCCTTGATGTGCCTAATCAAGTCTGATGTTTTCAGTTTAGTATGCCGAACACCTGCAGTGCCCGGAAACATTGAGGTCAATTGAGAAGGATCAATCTTGTCAAAGATTTTAGACAGAACGTTATCCTTCTCTCTAATATGTTCCAACAGAGATTGTTCCCGCTGTTCGTGATCCTTTTCATTCTTCAGGAGCGGAAGAAGCAAATATCGCGTGACTGCTGATGGGGGTTCTTTCGACAGCATAAATGACCATTTCAATGGGTTCAGTCCTCCAGGCAACTTTGTGTTAGTTGATACTGTAATCGAGTTGGACCTCCGCCCCGAAGTGACGGCTACGGTAGTATTCTTTGCTCCATCAAGGGCATCTTGAATCTTTCGCATGAGCACGTCATACTGATTTGCATCTTCACTAGGGTCAATACTCGTCTCCGTGTCTTCGGCCTTTTGCAATATATGTTTGTGTTGTAAGTTTTCACGCCATATGTGCGTGAGATCGGTGAGATAGAAGTCATAAGACTGAGACGTGTAGATAAATCTGTATAGCAACGGTGGCACGGATATATTTCGCGTGGGTAGACTGTGCCATTGCGGCGACATTTCTTTCCGCTTTGAAGTTTACCCTCCACAATAACTGGCAGTTTTAAAGTCATTCAAGAATCCCGGGTGCAGTGATATGGGAAGAATATTTAAGTTGATATTCTTATTGATACTCTTGCTGCGTGGTGACAGAAGTAAACAGTGACTTCCAGATAGACCCACTTTCAGGCGCCTAATTTCGACTGGCGGCTACTGTCCAACCATATTAGAGAGGACCATTATCAGCCGCCAACGTCACGAAGAAGAATCTCGCAACATCCTCAACTCTTTCTCATACAATACTTATCATCATTGCTGCTAGACTACTTACTTCGCACGACAGTTAGCTATAACTCTCTCTATACTCACGATTGATTCCCGCGTACTCGCTATGTCGATGCGTTATCCCGATCGCTCAGGCTATAAACGAGGCCGATCTCGATCTCAATCGCCGCCATGGAAACGTTCCGAAAAATTCGCTCGCAGAGATGATGCACGACAATCCGGCCACTGGAAGAATGACAGCGACAGATCAGGTCAGCGGGGTAGAAGGGATCAGGCTCGGATAAACCAGTTACAAGAGGACGAGCAAGTGCGCGAGTGGGTTGCTCAGGAGGATCTTTTCGTTCTCAAACAGGCTAAGAAGAAGGCAGAGATTCGTGTTAAGGAAGGTCGCGCAAAGCCTATCGATTGGTTAGCTGTTACCCTGCGTATAATCGACCCGACAAGGAACCCCATAGACGATGAGATCTCCGATTCAGACCTGGATCTCATTGATCCGGAGGGCGTGTTCGAGGGCCTGTCGCAGGCTCAGCTCATCGAATTAGAGAAAGACATTGACACATTTCTGAGTCTTGAACAGAGTCAGAAGAATCGCGATTTTTGGAAGGTGAGTCAAGCTATTTACATGGAAATAGCTCTTGCCACAGTTACTAATATGCAAATAGACTATGAAAGTTGTTTGCCGTGATCGTCAAAAGACGTCAGCTCCTGAGGGCCGTGTTTTAAGTTCAGTCGCAGCGGATATCAATAAGATTCTCAGTCCAAAGAGTTATGAGCAGTTGGAAACACTCGAGGCTCAAGTCAGACGTAAGCTTGACTCAAACGAGCCGATTGATACAGACTATTGGGAGGAGCTTCTACGCAGTCTTACCGTCTGGAAAGCCAGGGCCAAGTTGAAGAAGGTCTTTCAGGCAGTCATAGAAGGACGAGTACAGGCACTTCGCAAGCAACAAAGAGAGGAAGCAGAGTCTGTGCGACTTAAACTTGCTCCAATCGCACCAGTTGTTGGTGAGCTTGTCGAATCTCGAGAATTAGATCTGGATCCAGAGCCATTGCTCCAGCTGAGACCTGAAGATAAAGCCCTTGAAATCATGGACGAATCGGTGTTTTTGAATCGAGTAGTTAGTTCCACTCTGCTTGACATTGAAATATTTGATGTATCAACTAACTTCGACCAGGCCCAAGAACGAAAAAAGATCCTAAAAATGGGATTTGTACCATTGCGCCAACGAGGCGCAGAGAGACCCACTCAATCATTGACATCTCAAGCAAAGAAGTCTGAGTTAGCGGACACTCCTGCTGACCGGTTTTCGTCTTTGTCCAACGAAGACTTTTCTCAGGCCACGAGGGCCTTGTACGAGCGTGAAGTTGCAAGAGGTATAAGTGAAAACGAGGAGATATTTACTGCGGAAGAGGCTGTGAGCGGTACTTCACAACTCCCGTGGGCCCATAAGTACCGTCCTCGTAAGCCGCGGTATTTCAACCGTGTGCAGATGGGGTACGAGTGGAACAAATACAATCAAACACACTACGACCACGATCATCCTCCACCAAAGGTTGTCCATGGCTATAGATTCAATATTTTCTACCCCGACTTGATTGATAAGACAAAGGCGCCAACATACCGCATTGAACGGGAGCACGGACGGAAGCGTGGCCAATCTTTCGTCAAAGCAGGAGAGGAAGATACTTGTCTCATCCGATTCATTGCAGGACCTCCTTATGAAGATATCGCATTTCGTATCGTTGATCGAGAATGGGATTACAGCGCTAAGAGAGATAGGGGTTTCAAGAGTAGTTTTGAAAAGGTAAGTTCAGCTTGCAGCTCTCCGTTTTTGTCCACCTTTGGATCCTGGCTTACCGTGTCTCCAGGGTATCCTGCAACTTCACTTCCAGTTCAAGAAGGTATGTGTTGATTGGTTTCGAACTCTCAACAGTTGTTGGCTTTGGTCACTAATCTGCCCTGCAGATATACTATCGAAAATAAGACTGCCCTTTCGAGGAAAGCATCTCTTGATTGTTTAAAGCAAGACGCGTGGTTTCAGGGACGCGCATTTGGCGTGCATCATCGAATTGTGATCTTTTATATTCAGACCTTCTATCCGAGCCGACGTCGGTATGCCAACCCATTCGGTGCAGTCCGGACGATCAACACGCGTATATTGTCTAGATCGGGATATCGGAGCGAAGTCTGCCTTAGCTCATTTGTCCCTCCGATATACTTCTTGAGAGATGCCTAGTTGCCGATCCAGCTTGATTTTATGAGTCAAGCTGAATATTCTTCAGCCACATTATTTCAAAGCCAACTTCCATCGCATGCTTTAAATGCGTTGTACAGTGTCAATTCTTAGATATCGGAATGCCGTTTTTTTTCACCCGCCCATCAAACCTCTTCCAGCCAATCGGATGGTGGCCATGCATGCTGACCGACTATCCAAACTGTTGTCGGAACTCCAATTCCCTCGCTTCTGGCCCAGTTGTATTTCCACTTCAAAGACGTGGCCTTAGAAGATCTCTTTAGCGTTAGTATTGTGTGGGGAGCCTCGTGCTGTGGTACTACCAGACTAACTCGTGAGTCGCATCACTTCCGTTTACGGCCACCCCATGATCAAAACATGCTCCTTTTACTCAGAGTCCCATTTGCTTTTATACACATACAAATGGTGCATATGATATTGTAGATTATTCGCCGCCTCCGCTTTGAAAGAATTCGCATACGCTGCTAAGCGGTGTGTGGTGATTTAGAGGGTGAAGGCGCCTTTAGGGTCTGCTACGCACGTAATCATGATATGCAGCAATGCAGGTTTCCATTAGGGCTAGGCTCCCTAACCATGTGGGAGGTCCATCAACTTCCTGGCCAACAATGCCTCCTTAAGCTCGCCTTTGGTAGTATGTCTCCTGCTTCTATTTTGGATCGTCTTGTGTTTCCTTGTCAGCCGGACAGCTCCAACTCCCTTCGGCACCTGGAGATATAAGAACCCCTTGAACCCCGAGGATGATGGACAACAGCCGACATCAACATCGTGGCGATCCCCAACAAAGACATCCCAGGCCAAATTCAGGTAGCCCGTTGATATCCGCGAGCTCGTCGCCGAATCTTGCTGGGACTGCTGATCATACAAGAGCGCATTTCGCTGGAAACGAGCCTTTCTCTGACTATTACGCCCCTCCAAGATCAGAATCCGCATCCAACGACCCTCACCTTGAGCCAGCGATGTTCGTGGTAAACCCATGGGAACCGTCCTTTCCTGATTCGCTTGCAAACAGGCATTTCATAGCACAAAATCGCACTTTTGACGCGGGATCGCACGGCTATCAACCAATACCATATCCACAACATGGGCACTCTCCATTTGCAAGCGGTTATTCAGCTCCGAGTGGCTTTTTGAACCTCAACGCGCCTGCATACGAGACGTCATTGCTCAACGTAGACAGCGGTCAACCGGTACTGCGCAGAGAGACGCCGGTTTTGCATCGCGGGTTTCGTCCAATAGTGCACGGTCAGATGATACATGACTCGCAGTCTCCTCCGATAGGTCATATACAAGGAAACCATATTCAAGGAAAGGAACCGATACACCCTTTGTCTGTTCATCATCCAAGGGAAAGCTCTAGCTCTGTTCATCTCCCATCTGCGGTAACGCGAACAAAACGAAGTCATCAGCAACCCGCTAGGAAATCTTCAGTCGAAGACGTTGGGAATCACGACAGACCTTACGCTTATCTTCTATATGAGGCACTTCGCTCTGCGCAAGATCACAAAATGTCCTTGCAAGAAATATACCGGTGGTTTGAAGAGAATACAAATAAAGCGAATGACCCTCAGTCTAAAGGCTGGCAAAGCAGTATTCGTCATAATCTGTCTATGAATGAGGTAAGTTTATGACGTGAGTGTCAAATCTGGTGCGAGTATTGACCCCCTGTTCGATAGGCGTTCATCTTGCACAACGAAACTCCGGCCCGAGGGAAGTCAAAGAATAATTACTGGACACTTACAGAAGACGCCCTCAAGAATGGGGTTCAATCGACGACTCGTTACCGCAACAATGTTTCGAAGAGACCTTTAATACACGATGATATGGACCAACGAAGGGATACTGGAAGAAGAGGAGGAAATATACTAAGCCACCCGTCAAAGTCTCGTCGTATCAGTCAACATCCAGAGGCCGATCCATTTGAGCAATTTCGGTCCAGCCATGGATATGATATTCAACAGCAAATAAGTCAGCAGCAACCGGTGGAAGATACGTCTAGGCACAATATGTATTACCAAGATCCAAGCATATTCGTTCCTGTGGCCACCCAGGGTTTGAATCCAAGTATAATCGTCACGTCAACTGTTGCGTCTGACGGCTCTCAATATGGTTTTGTAAGGAGCCATAGTTCTTCTAGTCAATTCGGTCACGACTTTACACAATTTGATACATAGTACACACAGATTCAAAAAAGTCATACGATTGTACATTTTTAGAGAATTATGCATGCCATATAGCATAGATATGTTAATGTGGTTATGGCGACTCTCATTATAAACTTGGAAGTTTGAATACCGTGATAGCCCTGTACCCTGACACTGCATTTAACGTGCTGCATCTGGGCATATCCGTGGCCTCTAAAGTCAAGCATCCTTCAAAGGCTCAATTACTTATTTGGAACATGGAGTACTTAATTGTTTCGTGGCAAGGTTTAAACAGATACATGCTACTTTTGCTGTAGATTGCCCCTTTACGCCCTCTCTCCAGAAATTTAGAATTCATCAACTGATATTTTACTTTTCATATCGGTAATAATTGTAGACAATCGGCCCCATGAAAAAGAAAATCCGGAGACCATGGAAAAAAACTCGCCCAGATTCGCCCGAGGTCATACCGCGCATACAAACATGCAAAAAGACCCTTTATGATTTCAAAAAATCTGTTGCAAGATGAGAGGGTATCGTCTTGTCTGGTAGTGACCTTAATAATTATCCGGCCAAAGGACCAGTAACACCCCTCTCACACAATCATTTCTTTATTGCTGATTTTTGTTCCATAATTTTAAACGCTACCCAACCTCACAGATTCATTCCTCGGATTGATTGATTTAGCGCTTACGGGAGGCGGCTTTCTCTTTTTCTTGGGACTCCTTGAGCACCTTCTTGACGATCTTCTGCTCCTCAATCAAGAAAGCACGGACGATGCGGTCCTTGACGCAGTTACCGCAGCGAGAACCACCGTAGGCACGAGAGACGTTCTTGCGAGGACGGGAGATCTGGGAATATTCACGAGGGCGCAGGGCGGGGACCTGGATTTTTTTTGTTAGACCTATTCTCTCCTTCTGAAGTAGATTGCGAATTGCATCCAATAGCGAGCGTCTCGAGTACGAATTGTCGACTTGAAAACCCCGAGATTGTATGACAAATCCACTAGGGAGCACTCACACCAGGAAGCTTGACACCGCAGTCACCGCACTTGGGAGCGGTACCCTTCTTCTTGATATGCAAGTAACGGAGGTTACCACCGGGGGTTTTGATGATTCGGACACGGTTGGACCTCGTGTTGTACCTATGTCACAAAAATGCGTGAATTAGTATTGTTTTTGTTCGCTTCGACTGTCGTTGGATATCTCGTAAATGGAGCACATACGGGTTCCGTCGGCGCTGTTGAAAAACGTTCAAAATTAGCATCAATCATTCATCCAAGCACGATGACTCTGTTTTCAAGCAAAACTCACGTATTGCAATCTAGTGTTCGCCATTGTGACTGTCCTCGAATCTGATTGTCGATGTTCAAGGAATCAGCGGCGTTGTCGTTGTATCGTCGTAGTCGTCGAAAATTCCAGGTCGGGAAGATCGAATTGTGTGGGCTTTTTCGCGACCGCACTAGGGCTCATTGGCGAATACGCTAGCCGTATCGGAACTAGCGCCGAGCCAGTGCCAAGAGTCGCATGAGTTATTTGCTCAGTTGCTACCGCCTACCAAATGAGGAATAGACCGAACGCCAAAATCGCGACGTTCCAGAAAGGAAATTGGAAGCTTTTTATCAACGATTTGCCATCAACCCTGCCCGTTGCCAGAAGGAAGTTTTCTTTTCTCCTCGTGTCTTTCTTCTGGGCAGTGTATATCAATAATTTAATCTTACTTGAACTCTGATTTTGCTTTTGCGACAAGCTTTCACACGCCAAACGCTGTCGCGAGGAGCCGAATAGCTTCCAACCCTTCGATGCAGCGGTTCAACCCAACTTGATCTCGTACCTCGACGAAGTTTTGACTTGCATCGATAATTTTTTACCATGGCTTCACTTCCACCTCCTCCACCTCCGGGATGGGGCCCAGCACCTCCTTCGATGCCTTTGGCACCCCCGCCACCAGGGTATCGGCCGCCAGCCGATCCCAAAGTCGCAAAGTTTGCTCAGAAGAAGACAGAATGGTTAAGAACTCAGCGCAACAGGTTTGGCGAAAAGAGAAAAGGTGGTTTTGTCGAATCTCAAAAGACAGACATGCCTCCTGAGCATTTGCGAAAAATTGTCAAAGATATTGGTGATGTGTCGCAGAAAAAGTTCAGCAGCGATAAGCGCAGTTATCTGGGAGCTTTGAAGTTCATGCCCCATGCTGTTCTCAAGTTGTTGGAAAATATGCCTATGCCTTGGGAATCAGCCCGTGAGGTTAAGGTTCTGTACCATGTCAACGGTTGCCTGACTCTCGTCAACGAGATTCCGCGAGTTATCGAGCCCGTTTACCATGCACAGTGGGCGACTATGTGGGTTTGCATGAGAAGGGAAAAAGCAGACCGAAGACATTTCAAGCGCATGCGCTTCCCGCCATTCGACGACGAAGAGCCGCCGCTTTCGTGGTCCGAAAATATTGAGGACGTCGAACCTTTGGAACCCATACAAATGGAGTTGGATGAGGTCGAAGATGCTGCCGTCTACGAGTGGTTCTACGACCATCGACCTCTTCTTGATACCCCTCATGTAAACGGGCCGAGTTATAAGAAATGGAATCTATCGCTACCACAAATGGCAACTCTCTATCGATTGAGTCATCAGCTATTAAGTGATGTGGTTGACAAGAATTATTTTCACTTGTTTGAATTAAACAGCTTCATCACTGCCAAAGCTTTGAATGTGGCTATGCCTGGAGGACCTCGGTTTGAACCTCTATACAAGGATATCGATCCGAACGATGAGGATTTCGGCGAGTTCAACGCCATTGACCGAATCATTTTCCGTTCCCCAATTCGCACAGAATATCGCGTAGCGTTCCCCTACCTCTATAACTCTCTTCCACGAAGCGTTAAGCTCTCGTGGTATTCGCATCCGCAAGCAGTCTATGTTCGATCAGATGATCCCAATCTTCCCGCCTTTTACTTCGATCCCGTTATTAATCCTATATCGTCACGCTCCGTCGCACCAAAGAATATCACTGTTTCTCACGAAGATGAAATCTTTGGCCCTGGTAATAATGAGGACGATGACTTTGAGTTTCCAGGCGACGTTGAACCTTTCTTGGCGGATGAAGAGCTATACAACAGTGATACCGCATCTGCTATCGCCCTCTTGTGGGCTCCTTATCCGTTTGATCGCCGCTCTGGTAGGATGGTTCGTGCTCAAGATGTGCCATTGGTGAAGCAGTGGTATCTAGAACACTGTCCGCAGGGCCAACCTGTCAAAGTCCGCGTCTCATACCAGAAGCTTTTGAAGACATATGTCCTCAACGAGCTGCATAAGACCAAACCTAAAGCTCACAACAAACAGGATCTTCTGAGAACACTTAAGGGTACCAAGTTTTTCCAGACTACGACAATTGACTGGGTGGAAGCAGGTCTTCAAGTCTGCAGACAGGGCTTTAACATGTTGAACCTGCTTATTCATCGAAAGAACTTGACTTACTTGCACCTTGACTACAACTTCAATCTCAAACCGGTGAAAACTCTGACCACGAAGGAACGGAAGAAGTCTCGTTTTGGTAATGCTTTTCATCTTATGCGAGAGATTCTGCGGTTGACAAAATTGATTGTCGATGCGCAAGTTCAGTACCGCCTCGGAAACATCGATGCATTCCAATTAGCTGACGGTATTCTTTATGCTTTCAACCATGTCGGACAGTTGACTGGAATGTATCGTTACAAGTACAAGTTGATGCACCAAATTCGGTCTTGCAAGGACTTGAAGCATCTTATTTATTATCGTTTCAACTCCGGCCCAGTCGGTAAGGGTCCAGGTTGCGGCTTCTGGGCTCCAGCATGGCGTGTATGGCTGTTTTTCATGCGCGGAATCATCCCGTTGCTCGAGCGATGGCTTGGCAACTTGCTTTCTCGTCAGTTTGAAGGTCGTCATAGCAAGGGTGTTGCTAAGACAGTGACAAAACAACGCGTGGAATCTCATTTTGATTTGGAACTGCGTGCTTCAGTCATGGCCGACCTCATCGACATGATGCCCGAAGGAATCAAGCAGAACAAGGTCAACACGGTTTTACAACACTTGTCTGAAGCGTGGCGGTGCTGGAAGAGTAACATTCCATGGAAGGTGCCAGGTCTTCCAGCTCCCATCGAAAATATTATCCTCCGATATGTCAAAGCCAAGGCTGACTGGTGGATATCCGTCGCTCACTACAATCGTGAAAGAATTCGACGGGGAGCTACCGTGGATAAAACTGTCGCGAAGAAGAATTTGGGTCGTCTAACGCGACTGTGGCTGAAAGCAGAACAGGAGCGACAACATAACTACCTCAAAGATGGTCCATACGTATCGTCAGAAGAAGCTGTTGCGATCTATACCACAACTGTTCACTGGTTGGAATCCCGCAAGTTCTCGCCAATACCCTTCCCAAGTGTATCTTACAAGCATGACACAAAGATTTTGATTCTGGCTCTTGAACGTCTACGGGAGTCCTACTCAGTCAAGGGCCGTCTCAACCAAAGCCAGCGTGAGGAACTCGCTCTTATTGAGCAGGCGTATGATTCTCCTGGTACCACATTGGCCAGAATCAAGCGGTTCTTGTTGACACAGCGAGCGTTTAAAGAAGTGGGAATTGACATGAATGACAATTATAGCGATATAAACCCTGTCTATGACGTTGAGCCTATCGAAAAGATCACGGATGCTTATCTGGATCAATATCTGTGGTACCAAGCTGACCAACGCCATCTGTTTCCTTCGTGGATTAAGCCTTCTGATTCTGAGGTGCCACCTCTCCTGACATACAAATGGGCTCAAGGAATCAACAACCTGTCCAACGTCTGGGAAACCGCTGATGGCGAAACGAATGTCATGATTGAGACAAAACTCTCCAAGGTCTACGAAAAAATCGATTTGACTCTGCTCAACCGACTCCTTCGTTTGATTATGGACCACAACTTGGCCGACTACATCACCTCCAAGAACAATGTTCAGTTGAACTACAAAGACATGAATCATACAAACAGTTATGGATTGATCCGTGGTCTTCAGTTCTCTGGTTTCGTCTTCCAATACTATGGCCTAGTTATTGATCTCCTTCTTTTAGGTCTTCAGCGAGCGAGTGAATTGGCTGGCCCTCCTCAGAGTCCCAATGACTTCTTACAGTTCAAGGATCGTGCTACAGAGACACGGCACCCTATCCGTCTCTACACGCGCTATGTGGACAAGATCTGGGTTTTCCTACGTTTCAGCGCAGACGAATCCCGAGACCTTATTCAACGTTTCTTGACCGAGCAGCCAGACCCTAACTTTGAAAATGTTATCGGTTACAAGAATAAGAAGTGCTGGCCACGTGATTCCAGGATGCGTCTCATGCGTCACGATGTCAATCTCGGACGGGCTGTTTTTTGGGACTTGAAGAACAGGTTACCGCGATCCATTACCACCATCGAATGGGATGATACATTTGCGAGCGTGTACAGCAGGGATAACCCAAATCTGCTTTTTTCTATGTGCGGTTTCGAAGTCCGTATACTTCCAAAGATCCGCAACCAAAACGAAGAGTTCCCTGTGAAAGACAGTGTCTGGTCTCTTGTGGACAACGCGACCAAGGAGCGAACTGCATATGCCTTCCTTCAAGTTACGGAAGAAGATATTCAGAAATTCAATAATCGCATTCGCCAAATTCTTATGTCCTCTGGATCGACGACATTTACCAAGATCGCCAACAAATGGAATACTGCCTTGATTGCGTTGTTCACCTATTACCGTGAAGCTGCTGTGTCAACCGTCAACCTTCTGGACACGATTGTGAAGTGCGAAACAAAGATCCAGACACGAGTGAAGATTGGCTTGAACTCTAAGATGCCTTCGAGATTCCCTCCGGCCGTCTTCTACACGCCAAAGGAGTTGGGCGGTCTTGGTATGATTTCTGGTTCCCACATTCTCATTCCCGCAAGCGACAAGCGCTGGTCTAAGCAAACTGATACCGGGGTTACTCATTACCGCGCGGGTATGTCCCATGACGAGGAGACATTGATCCCCAACATCTTTCGGTACATCATTCCTTGGGAGGCGGAATTCATTGACTCTCAACGAGTGTGGATGGAGTATTCCCAGAAGAGACAGGAGGCCAACCAGCAAAATAGGCGTCTGACACTTGAAGATCTGGAGGATAGCTGGGATCGTGGTCTTCCTCGAATCAATACACTGTTCCAGAAGGACCGAAGCACATTGAGTTTCGACAAAGGCTTCCGTGCTAGGACCGAGTTCAAGATCTATCAGATCATGAAGAGCAATCCATTCTGGTGGACTAGTCAGAGACACGACGGCAAACTCTGGAATTTGAATGCTTACCGTACCGATGTGATACAGGCACTGGGCGGTGTTGAAACCATTCTTGAGCACACCTTGTTCAAGGCAACGGCTTTTCCATCGTGGGAGGGCCTATTCTGGGAACGAGCTAGTGGCTTCGAAGAGTGAGTACCCCTTTTTTCATCACTGCTTACCCTTTTCCCATCTCATTTTGTGAAATTTTGATCTCTTGAGCCCCTCTCTCGCTCAATCACGATATCACGTGACCTTTCGCGGTCATATGGCTTGGCATCGCCAGATCCTAACCCTACCTATCATCTCCCCGAGCCCTTCGCCTTCATATCGATCATATCCAATGATATGTTGTCAAGCCCTTCACCTCTATCTACGCACCTTGAGATCCTAACTCTAACTAGCCTCCTGAGCCCTCCCATATCTCACTCATTGACAGACTGTCCAGCATGCTAACTGCTTTCAACTTCTAGGTCGATGAAATTCAAAAAGCTCACCAATGCCCAGCGTTCCGGTCTCAATCAGATTCCAAATCGTCGATTCACTCTATGGTGGTCTCCAACAATCAACCGAGCCAATGTGTATGTTGGTTTCCAGGTCCAGTTGGATTTGACTGGTATCTTCTTGCACGGAAAGATTCCGACGCTCAAGATTTCCCTGATCCAGATCTTCCGTGCCCATTTGTGGCAAAAGATTCATGAGTCGGTTGTTATGGATCTCTGTCAGGTCTTTGATCAGGAACTGGAAGCTCTTGGCATTGAAGCAGTTCAGAAGGAGACTATCCATCCTCGAAAGTCATACAAAATGAACAGTTCATGCGCAGACATTCTACTATTCGCAACAAACAAATGGAATGTAACTCGGCCATCTCTTCTTTTCGATACCAAAGATGTTATTGAGCCCACAACGACGAACAAATTCTGGCTTGATGTTCAACTACGATATGGTGATTACGACTCCCACGATATTGAACGTTACGTACGAGCGAAGTACCTGGATTACACAACAGATAGTATGAGTATCTATCCCTCGGCTACTGGCTTGATGATCGGTATCGATTTGGCCTACAATCTTTATTCGGCTTATGGTCAATATTTCCCCGGTTTGAAAGCGCTTATTCAGCAAGCTATGGCCAAGATCATGAAAGCAAATCCCGCTCTTTATGTGTTGCGTGAACGTATACGCAAGGGTCTGCAGCTCTATGCTTCTGAGAACAACCAAGAGTTCCTCAACTCTCAGAACTATTCTGAGCTGTTCAGTCCTCAAATTCAACTCTTCATCGATGATACAAACGTCTACCGTGTTACAATCCATAAGACTTTTGAGGGTAACTTGACCACGAAGCCAATCAATGGAGCAATCTTCATCTTCAACCCCCGTACCGGTCAACTATTCTTAAAGATCATTCACACGAGTGTTTGGGCTGGTCAGAAGCGTCTAGGTCAATTGGCGAAGTGGAAAACGGCAGAAGAAGTTGCAGCACTCATTCGCTCCTTGCCAGTTGAAGAACAGCCGAAACAGCTTATCGTTACGCGAAAGGGTCTTCTTGATCCTCTCGAAGTTCACTTGCTTGATTTCCCCAACATTTCAATTCGTGCATCTGAACTTCAGCTTCCCTTCCAAGCTGCGATGAAGGTCGAGAAGCTTGCAGACATGATCTTGAGAGCTACAGAGCCACAGATGGTACTGTTCAATCTCTATGATGAATGGTTGAAATCGATTTCCCCTTATACTGCATTTTCCAGATTGATCTTGATTCTTCGTGCGCTTCACGTTAACACTGATAAGACCAAGATCATCCTTCGACCAGACAAGACTGTTATTACTCAAGAACATCATATCTGGCCAACACTCTCTGATGATGATTGGATCAAGGTCGAAGTCCAGTTGCGTGACCTGATTTTGAATGACTACGGCAAGAAGAACAATGTCAATGTCCAGAGTTTGACCAGCAGTGAAGTCCGAGACATTATCCTCGGTATGGAAATCAGTGCACCATCATTGCAACGTCAGCAAGCGGCCGAGATTGAAAAGCAGCAAGAGGACCAGAAACAGCTTACAGCTGTCACCACTAAGACTCAGAATGTCCGTGGCGAAGAGATCATTGTGACAACTACCTCACAGTATGAACAACAATCATTCGCTTCCAAGACAGAATGGCGAACTCGCGCTATTGCCACGTCCAACCTTCGTACTCGTGCCAACAACATTTATATCTCATCCGATGACATTCGTGAAGAAGGGTTGTACACATATGTCATGCCCAAGAACATTCTGAAGCGCTTCATTATGATTGCCGATCTCCGAGTCCAGGTAGCCGGTTACCTCTATGGTAGATCGCCTCCTGACAACGATCAAGTCAAAGAGATTCGTACCATTGTTATGATTCCTCAAGTCGGTAATACTCGTGATGTCCAGCTCCCACAACAGTTGCCTCAACATGAATACCTCAAGAACTTAGAACCATTGGGTGTAATTCATACGATTTCGGGCAATGAGCCATCATACATGACTGCGCAGGATGTTACTCAACACGCACATCTCATGAATGCACATTCATCATGGGACAAGAAGACAGTTACCATGACTGTCTCTTTCACGCCTGGATCCGTTTCGCTTGCAGCATGGGCCTTGACTCCTCAAGGTTACAAATGGGGTGCTGAGAATAAAGACACTAGCTCTGACCAACCGCAGGGCTTCTCTACAAGCATGGGTGACAAATGCCAGTTATTGCTCAGTGACAAGATCCGGGGATACTTCCTGGTGCCTGAAGATAACGTATGGAACTACAGCTTTATGGGCAGCTCTTTCAGCAGCGTTGAAAAGCGATCTGTCTATGTCAAAATCGATACGCCTCTTCGCTTCTACGATGACCAGCACCGTCCTTTGCACTTCCAGAACTTTGCGGAGTTGGAGGACATTTGGGTTGATCGTACTGATAATTTTGCCTAAAATTTGATGAGCTCGGTACAATGTTGCCTTCGGTGTGGATTCGTTCAAGGCGTTTGTTTGGAAAAGTTTGGAAGAAGCGTGATATTCTTTCTATTAGTTTTGTGTTAATTTGCATCGGCAGTTTCAGTTCGTTCGGTCAGTGCTTTTGTGCTAATGGACGACCATGTTTTTATTACTGTAATCAGAAGCTAAAAGAATGGGTGTATAGTACTATGGGACACTAAGATACGAAGTGATTCCTGTTTCATATGAGGAGTTACTGTATTCTATGTAGCTGGTTATATGTAGTTTATGTCTTATCGCGGTGCCTGAGTTTCGGCGTACCAGCGCCTGCCGAATTGACCCCACCTCCGTTGCCTTTACAAAAAATTATTGCACCCCGCAGTGCATGTTGACTCATTGAACATCCGCCAACAACTTCCATTCTATTTCAGACCCTGTCAAGGTGACAGCAGGATCATTGGAGTCGCGTACTTACAACGATTGAAACCGCGGTCACAGCCATTACGCCAGAGCTGCTGATCAACCATGGCTGAGCCTGGATCCGAGACGGTCCTTCCGATCCGTGAAGGCGAAGGAGGGAAGAAAGCTGCTGCAGAGCAAGAGATCAACCCTTGGGACGTTCAGGCTGGAACAGACGAGAACGGAAACTCACTCGCATTCGACTATGTTGCCATCTCACAGTACGTTTTATCTCACACAATTGCGCGGGGGCAAAAAGAATGACACACATTCGATATTGACACGAATATAGAAAGTGGGCGACGAAACTTATCGATGACGAGCTCCTTCAACGGTTCGAGCGTCTGACGGGTCACAAACCACACCGCTGGTTAAGGCGAGGGCTGTTCTTCTCTCATCGCGACTTCGATAAGATCCTAGACAAATATGAGGCGGGAGAACCTTTTTTTATGTATACCGGACGCGGTCCCTCGAGTGATGCGTTACATCTGGGGCATACGATACCCTTTTCTTTCACAAAGTGGCTTCAAGATGTGTTTGATGTTCCTCTAGGTACGTTAACTGACAATCCATGAAGCTATAGCGAGTGAGACTAACAATGGCATAGTGATTATGCTTACAGGTGAGTAGAAAGGATGCGCGAGAATCTGGCCGTTACTCGTGATATAATTTTATTTACTGACACGACAAAGATGACGAAAAGGCGCTTTTCAAGGATAAACTCACATTCGAGGAAGCGCACAGATTCGGATTACAAAACGCGAAGGATATCATTGCTTGTGGCTTCGATCCTAAAAAGACATTCATCTTTAGTGATTTGGAATATGTCAATGGCGCGTTTTTGATGAATACCTGGGAGTTCTCCAAACTTATTACCTTCAACCAAGTGAGAGGCGCATTTGGATTCAACGAGAGGTCGGTTTCCTCTGCATTTTCAGATATAGATCATCCTAACATTCGTGTAGCACCAATATTGGACGAATTATGTTTCCGGCTGTGCAATGGTAAGTCACTCTTGACTCCAGAATCGATGCGACTTGCTCATGCACTCATCCAGTGTGGCTTCATTTGCGACATCATACCCTGAGATCTGGTCCGATCCGCCTGCAAAAGAACGAACAAAGGCAATTGCTAAGATCCCCGTCTTGATCCCTATGGCTATCGATCAGGACCCTTATTTTCGACTTGTGCGAGAAAATGCTCATCGTATGCGATTCCCTTCGCCGAAACCAGCATTGATTCACTCGAAGTTCCTTACTGCCTTACAAGGCGCCGGCGGCAAGATGAGTGCCAGTGATCCCAAGTAAGGTTATGTCCGCGAAATCGTTCGCCCGGGTTCTAACGTGTGAAATAGTTCTGCAATCTTCATGTCCGACACGCCGAATCAGATCAAGGTGGGCTTGATTGCTTGTTGCATCGGTAGAGACGTCGTAAGCTGACTTCGGTTCGTAGAACAAAATCAACAAGCACGCGTTCAGCGGTGGAAGGGAGACTCTCGAAGAGCATCGGCGGTTGGGCGGTATTCCGGAGGTAGACGTCGCGTTTCAATGTTCGTGAACACCTGGCTTCACTGCTCGACTTCATTTGCTCGATCACAGAAACACTGACACTGCAAACACAAACACAAACAGATCTTTCATACTTTGAAGATGACGATGAAAAACTCAAGAACATTGAGGACAGCTACCGACGCGGAGAGCTACTCACCGGCGAACTGAAAAAGATGGCCATCGAACTGATTCAGCAATACGTCAAGGAATTCCAACAAAGGCGGAAAGAGGTAACAGACGAAATGTTGAAACAGTACATGACACCACGTAAGCTGGAATGGAAGGGAAATCCAAACCCGAAGCCGAAGCCGAAAGAGACTGCTAAAAAGGAGAAGGAGGAGAAGAAGTGACTGGAGGAGGTACGTACATACATAGTTTACTACCCACTACGTAGTCTAGAGGACAAAATGAAGTTCTTCAAGGCAATTTTGTTATGTTAGCATAAGGAGGTGGCAATCTACATACTATAGCCGGTTTTCATGAGTTCAGGAAATTATCAATGCATGACTGTCAGCACGACTGCGGTTCACCGACCACCGGCATCAATCCGGATCGTTGAATGAACGCTTCTTCTCCTTTTACGAACTCCGTCATGCTATTATTATGCTCTTGACATGCCTCAAGCATGCTGCTTGGTTGATGGATATCGCATACTACATGCTGAGATTTTTCTGGAAAGGGTCATAACGCCAACTCAACATTATTATGACTGCAGGCCGGCATAGCAAAGCTGGCCCAGTACCCTAAGTACGCAAGACCCTAACAGACCAACCGCTAACAATTATTCTTCCTAGACATATCACTAGTAAGCACGCCGGAGGGCACTTGGGCACTCCGGACGGAGTAGATATCCAGATACTCAGCAGTCCAGGCAACACTCAATGCCATCTCCTCGGAAGATGTGAATACGTATGCGCATAAAGGGGTGGCAAGAAATCGACGAAACTATCGAAAAACCGCATAAACGATTTGAAACATTTGTCTCAAGAAAAAAAAACCTTCCCGAAACCAATAAACAAGGCTATAAACAAAGTTATCAACAAAGCAACCATAACCACGTCACGATACGGAGTTTAGGTACAAATCAGTCATAGTGTAGACAGTGTAGAGCCTCTATTTACTTATTCTCTATTGTGGCTTTTAAAGTTTAAACGGTTTAACGGCTTCGTCGGCCTTGAACTATATATAACAGAGAATTCGCGTTGCTCTAATACATATCCGGAAACTAAAAATTTCATGCATTATTGATATTCAAAGAGCTTGAACTTATCATGGATACGATAACTACAGTTCCGTACTGGCCCGGAGAATAGTTTTAGTGCTATACAATCCAGTTTTATTGCCAATAGATCATGTTTTTGGCGGGGATGATTAGCACTGATTGATAGAAATAATCCGGAGTTTTATTAAACTATTGATTTCTACGTGCTACGTTACATACCCTGGATGTATGCATGGATGTATGTGCTTTGGTATACAGTAGAGTTTGGGCTATTTCGATGCTATTGGAATTTGGTTACATAGGACACACACAGTTTTTGACGCTGATTGAACCTTTTGAGTGAAATACGAAGTGAAAGCGCCGAAGTGAGGCGTCCGGATTGGAATGACCGGGATCCTTCAATTGAGTCTGTTCCACGTGCGTAGATAAATAATAAGAACAAAAGTATTGACCAAATCAGGTAGTGGCTTCGTCCAGGATTATAGGGTTACGCCGTGATATTTTTTTTTCCTACTAGGGTTGTTAAAGAAATTAGGGCAAGCAAATAATAACCTTAAAATGTTGTGCAGTCCCGAGGGGATGGATATGGATACAACACCATCAGAATCTACCACAACATCTCTGTGTGTATATTGTTAGCAAGATTTGCTATTATAACTGATGTTTTATTGTAATAACTAACGATTTATTAAGATTGACTTTCGGTTCCTGGCATCCAATCTCTACGGATAACAGATTCGTTCGAATAGGAGGGCTGTTGGTTTATTAAATCAATATAAAACGGAGCAGGCGCGGGACATTTAATTAGCATCGGAACCGGCGACGACAGGGACAGCTTCACATGGCGTCTCGATCTGAAGACTCAGTCCGTACTAGTACAGATTCTAGAATGGTACTACGTACACAAATAGCGCGTCATGACTTAGGGGATCGGAGATATATGACGGTACTAGTATGTTAGTGCCTCGAATGTCATGGCTCGCTTCACGTTCCAAAGACCTGGGAATACCATTCATTTGACTAGCAACCGTAACCAAATTGCCGGAACTGTTTATTGATCCGTGCCGTAGGACGAAGAGTTTTTTCTAGACATGAGAGCCATATGCTGGCTCATAAAAAAAAGCCATGTCGCTGATTGAAGGTAGCACAGGTTCAATTACCATAATAGTGAGTAGTCTAGACGGCGAACGTGAATCGCTGGAAAAACTTAAACAGGATCTGCGAGGATGTACGTAGTGAGCCGATCGTATTGTCGTACTACAAACCCTTACTAGTAGCCCGTATGTTGGTTACAGCAATATAATAAGGATTGCCGAAAACCCGCTTCGACTCAGATTCAGCTGCGCCGCGTCCAGCCCAAGCAAATTAGGGCGCGGCTAATTTCCCGCAAGCGAAGCACGGGTTTGAACTCGAACTTTTAAAGCGATCGCATTTCATCACTTCGTTAGCAATCACCACAACTACACCATATGGGTGCAAATGACTCTCTGAAGCGAAGTCGATGCTGTGCTGTGATGCTCCACTATCATGTGGATTCGTCCCGTTACTCCGTAGTTGCTTTTGTAATTTTGTTACATGTCCGAAATCTGTCAGGAGTGCATGGCGGCACGTCATAGTAACGGCGTTGTCCGTATCCAGACTCAAAAGAGTCTGGATGACTAGTGGTGATCGGTAATTTAGTAGTAAGCACTAACTCCCGAATCAAGAATTCGAGTCTGTACGGGAAGCGAGGTGCCGATACGTAGTGCCAATTCTTACAAACTCGTTGCGATCGACAATGCATTGGTCTGGAGTAACTGTACGCGCTTGCATGAAATCACCTTTTCAGTCATATGGTCTTCGCAGGCCGGGCCACCCAGGTCTGGCATGAGAATCTGGCATTGGCATTGGGCGATTCGTTCACCAACCCACGGTAACAACAAGAGAAAAGACCCAATAATGGGCATTTGGCAGGCCATTTTGCACGGTTCAGAAAATAAGCATACATTGCATGGCATGGCCCTTTGAGCGTCGAATGCATCAGAGTGGAGCGAAACTGTTGACGAAACTAAATCCTGATTGACGGTCGAGTCGCTAGGTACGGAGCAGCACATCTGATCCGGTTAGTATGGGGCTTGAATTGCTCGACTTTGACAATCCACATCGTCTGCACTTTTCCTTGTAGGGAAAAGACGCCGCAAGTGGTCGGGGAGACATGGAAACAGATCGTGGTCAGACGGTAAGACCTCTTCAGGCAGATCCTTGTTGGAGTCAGTCAACGGATGTAGAGCACGTTCGTGATGCGTTCCTGTCACGGTGAGTACGAAGTACAGAGATTGCTGACCGTCGGTAAAGGCGGCGACGCCGGTGTAGTTGTTCGTAGGAAAATTGAGCAGTGAATACAGAATACGTGGAGATGAAGCTCAGATGGAAATTGTCCAGGAAGTGAAGACCGAAGGGAAGATGAGGAGAGAAGTCGAGACAGAGAAAAGAAGGTGAACAAAACAGAACAAAAAAACAAAAACAAAACGGGAAGGTGGAGTCGCTAGTCACGGCAGTCGCAGCTGCCTCCCGCACCGGACCCGCGCACCTTCCTCAGCAGCCAGTCAGCGGCCCCGTGACATTTTCCCCTTACTTCGTCCGTCCACCTCCGTTCACCTTCTCCATCTTCTCGACACTCTTCAGCCATCTCCAATAAATCGCCAAGGTCAATGCTGATAAATCACACTTACGAGGCGTACGAACCGGCTATAATTCGGCCCTATCGGATGCGCTGAATTCTTGATAGCCGTATGGAATATGGCTGGCGAAACTGTCGCTCGTCAGTGTACTACTCCTCCGTATCGTGACGCCGACTTCTCATCTCGTCTTCAACATACAATGCTTTCTGATGTCTGAAGATAATCTGATGCACCCAAAAATCTCGAGTCGTACATTACTCGCCGTGCCAATAGCCTTGCAGCGGAAAAAAGCAAACCCACAGAAATTTAACCGGTGCCGCCTATCACTTTATGCAAATGCCCAAGGAACTCCCGTCATTGGAGGGCTCACATGGTTGACTCGCATGGCAGCCCAGCAACGGTCCACCTCTAACGGCGCCGAGGAGCCAGAATGCGGATGAGTATATTTTCCGGCCGTTGATTAGCGTCTTTCTGGGACTCCAACCGCCTGCCCCCCTGCAGCATGATTATTATGCTACGGAATTGTCTACCACCTCCACCAGCCCATGCGAATCTCGGATTCATGAATGGCTGGCGTATCGGAACTAACGTGGTTTGACTCTCGTCACCAGCCACCTTCCAATCAATGTATTACCTGGATTGGGCTTCGGAATCTCCCGTATGGAGCTCTCCCATTGTTGATTATGGACCCTATCGCCTTGCCAAAATCTGATTCAGCCATGATCCCAGCATGTGACGTTACCAAGGATAGACTAGGAGACATCTCCCCCCCGTGCCAGTGTCCGCACGGTAACTCGAGGATATTGGTCTCTCCACCTTCATCATTAGCTTTCTTGGGAGCGTGAAAAAAACAAAAATAGTCGCAATATCCGTTGACATGAGAAAGAGGGAGAAAAAAAAAAAAAAAAAAAAAAAGGGAGATGGTACAAGCGCGAGGCCTTGAACGGAAATCGTTGTGGAGACTGAGGAAATTGCATCGCGCACGATCAAAAATACAACATTAAGAAGCGGTGATTGAAAATGACAGACCAAAGGCATGACAGACTGAGCAGAGAACAGCTAAGTTACGTAGCGTAACTACCCTTCTCAATTCTGCTGCTACTACTGTTATCGAACGCATTTGTCCACCCTGGAGACCCACCTGTCAACTTCTTAGTTTCTCTCTTCTGGGTTTGGCTCGCAGAGTTGGCGCACATAACTAGCCCATATCCTTCAACTTGCACCTACTGTACGTACTGGCAGGGTGCAACTGCAGTCCACTTTCGGAATACCCAATTACGAATAGGGACAAGACATCCTGCTTTGGCCTTAGCTTCGACTAGCTGTCCCGAGTGCGATAATTCCTTTGTCCAATGCCTAGAGCACCTTAAAATCTTCACTGGTTAGCCCATTGGTCTACTAGAGCTTTACCAGCGGAAAGGATTCTCAGCCTGTCGAGGTATCTGGAATCATTCACCTGCTAACCCTGCTTTCCAGTACCGGAGTCCACATCCCCGATTAACACGCCAATCACGACTCCACCTAGCGACTCAGCCAGAGTCGATCGCTGCCATAGTATTGCCAAAATACCATGAGTAATGATTCTCAGCTGTTTTTTGCTGTCGAGACTCAGGAGTAAGCCTCACATACCTTCATCGCAGTGACCGTGAAATCCTTCTTCATCTACCCCTTTTTTGTTTTTCATGCCCCCGCCAACGTCGGCCCTTGAGAGAGACTCGACACCAGTATAAGATGCGTTGCGCGTCTGACTGACCCGACCAGCGACCGTTGGAGCTCATTGGATGAAACCAGCCATCTACCGTTTCCTCGGTGTATCGGCATCACTCTGAACAAGGGCACACTGAGCCACAGTTTCATTTCTCGCAGTCAAGCTCTTTTTGGTCCTTACCAGTGTACTAACACCTGGGTTACAGATAAACAGCGTATAGTTTATACCCTAAGGGAAGCGTGACGGAAACCTTAACGTCACCCTCCATATACTTCACCTACTTCCATACTGGTTTAGCGCTTTCTTCAAGGCGGGGTCTCGACCTTTTATGCTTAATATCTGCAAGGACCGTTTCTGTCTTCTATAATAATATTAATATTCCTTCGGCTTGAAACAAACAACCCTGCGAATCAAACACGAAGCGCCGACGACAACAGAACAGCACAATATCAAAACGCCATAATATTCGATTTGAAGGCCCTGCTCAACTGGCGTAAAGAAAAGACCTTCTTTTTCTTCCCATTGTTTATTCGGAAATTTATGAGGCCTGCCAGAGCTGCTTCAAGCTCTAGCAGGTCCTAGGGTGAAAACCGCGACACTGGCGGATCCGTATCGAGGTTACTCGCTTGATTACTCTTCACAAGACCACAGCAAATCCCAGGAAAAACCCGGTTTGCTTGTTTATCACACAAGCCAACCGCAGGTCGTGCACCATGGGGCCCCTACCGACATGCCATATGTGCCCCGTGGTGCGCAACAACCTCAACAACATCACGTCGGTTCGCCAGCTCTGAGGGAAACAGGAGGCCTCCAGGATGTTCACCACCAGCCGCTACTTCTCAACCCGCATCAGATGGTTCCATCACCGATGTCTTCCCATTATGGCTCCAGTCCACTTCATTTCCAAGCGCATCGTGCCAACAAGCGACCCCGATTAGACGGAGGAGACGGCAACGAAGACGACAATCGATTGGATCTCCAATTTCAAATGCTCAAACCAGATTCTCATCCAGAAAGTACGTCCTCCCCGGATATGATGTTATCGGCCCATGGAGACAGCCAACAGCGAGCCACGGCACACACTTTTGCGCTCCCACCGCCGATACATCAGCAATCGCAACAACACCATCATCATCGATTACCAAACCAGGCGCTTATGCACACAATGCAACAGCCTGGTGGCGATGTCAATTCAACTTCTGTACCTTCAGGCTTGCCGAGTGTGGTAGGACAAGCAGGCATGCCTGATCCGGCGCCTCGTCCACGTGGGCCAAAGCTTAAATTCACCCCGGAGGAAGACGCGTTGTTGGTGGAATTGAAAGAGCACAAGAACTTGACGTGGAAGCAAATATCTGATTTCTTTCCGGGCAGAACCAGCGGGACTCTACAGGTGCGCTACTGTACAAAGTTGAAAGCCAAGGACACAGTTTGGACGGATGAAATGGTAGGTTTGATCTCTTGTTTTCCACCTGAGCAATATGGCTGATAGATCTTGACTACAGGTTCAACGACTACGGAACGCAATTCAAGATTATGAGAATGACCGCTGGCGGATAATAGCCGGCAAAGTTGGACACGGTTTCACTCCGGCAGCTTGTCGGGAAAAAGCAACGGAGTTATAATCGATCAATCTTTTGATATACGATTACGTCTATCTACACGAGGATCCTCGACAATACACCACGAATCATAGTTTCAAGAAATTTTCACGAGGAGTCCCTGATCACAGTTCAATAGGATATGACTGTGGTGTTTTGTTTTTTTTTGTCCTTTTCTTTTTCTCCCTTATCATTTTTCTCAATCTGGCCGTGGAGTTTGCTCTTTTAGTCTGCATTGCAATGCTAGATTACTACATCAGCTGCGTCTCTTTTGTATATTTTGACGAGAAAATCACCTATTGTTCATGCTAAAATCTCCATGTCTCTCTCTCTTTTTCTCTCTTTTTCTCCCTTATACTTCCTTCTTCTCTCAGGCATATGGTTCGAATTTCTCTCCTGTTTCCTCATGTACGATTTCCTTCTGGTCAAATGGTGTAGCATTAAGAACTTTTGTGTGTGATGTCTCAAAACGCAATGAGGGTGTTACAGCGTGCCTATTTTTAACGATTATTTTTGTTTCTACTTCTTCATATGGAAACAGCGTGTCTTGGATACCATTTAGTACCCCAGGTGCCTATGATTCTTTTTTCTGTCTATATATACATATCTTCTAAATGATCTCATGAGCTGAAGTTTGTCTTCAGCGAGAAACCGAACTACTCGTGCTTAATATAACCTTGGAAACTTGGAAGACTAACAACAAACAGGATTATTGACAGTCAGCTCCACAAATTGTGATACGATGTGCATGGGTAGAGTGCTATGAGGAAGATACTCCCTTACTCGAGTCGACTAAGCCACCTTGGCTTTTTACAATGTGGCGAATATTGGGTGAGCATGTGCAACAGATTGTTTGGTGTCATGCTGTGCAAACTGACTCCAAGACTAGGTGCTGAGGATAACGCAGGACAACCGGCAACCTGAGTGCCTAGAGGTCTGTGGCCTCAAGCGTATGTCTATTTGCACGTACCCGAGACCATCCTCCCATCCTACCAACAGTACGCAGCGGATTGGGCGAGGCATGTCGACAACAACAGTCAGTTTTAGAAGGCAACAAGAGCTTCACCTGGGTCAGTACTACAGCGACGTGAGACTGCCGGTTACACATGGTACCATAAGCAATCCATACGAACTCGGTACTCGTTATCAGGTTGGTCTTGCACAGTTTTTGGAAACATGTTGTGCTTCACAACCTTCACCATCACTGGTTCGGGTCACCCCCCCTACTATAGTGACATCTGGAATGACTTTAGGTCAAATGTAGTAGTGTAACCATTTTATCAGCTGGAGCACTATATATTCACTTACCTAGGCACACTTAGTCCAACGTTTTCCGCCTCTCGAACACAGCGAGAAGAAAACTTGTTTAGTTCATGATTTACCTGTGGGTCTAAAGAGCTAAATTTACTACCGAGCAATGGATCCAGTGTCTGCTATCAGCTTCGTATCTACCATTCTCGCCTTTGTCGACTTCTCGTGGAACGTTGTCAATGGCTCTTACTAAGTTTGCCAATCCGCTTCTGCGACAACAACTGATAATGTGAGACTTGGTGCGGCTCTTGCGGACCAACAAAAGGTTACAGATACTCTGCAACAGGATGTGAAAGGCAACAGTTCGCATCTTGAAGACCTACGGCAACTCGCTGCAGCCTCCGCCAAAGTCTCTCGGGAGTTGTCGACGATCCTTGAAATATTGAAAAGAAAGGAAGGAAATAAGGTGTGGCGCAGTCTTGAAGTGACATGGAGAAATCTGCGGAAGGGGAAAGCGGTCGCCTCGATTGAGAAGAGCCTGGACAGATACCGGATACAGATTCTTACGAGACTAAACATTATTGTAAGGTAAGGCAAACCTTGCAGACCGAGCCCTCATCTCGATTCTTGTGGATTGAGCAAATCACAGTGAGCAACAATCGTCAATCAGGGCCAAACTGGACGAAAGTTCATCTCTATCTAGAAAGAGTTCGGATAATCTCATGACCTTGACCAACTCCATGCAAAACTTGGAGATGAAGTTGAAGAATGCTGACAACGAAAATTCTTTATCGGAGATTCGTGGTTGTCTGTCTTCAATACTCTCCCCTCTATGCATTCTCGCTTGGATACTGTCGCCGATGCTGAGATGGGTACATTTGCCTGGCTACTGGAAGATGATTTACTTGAGATCAAGGCACACCAAACAGACAATAAATATCCGAGTTTGGACTGAAGCAACAAGTTCGTAGGTCTTTTTCGGAATAGCTCAGAGCAGGAGAAGGAATCTATCATATCTCCGGGAAAGCAGGGTCAGGCAAATCAACTCTCGTGAAATTCCTCTGCCAAGACCCAAGACTAATGAGCAAACTCGAGGAGTGGGCAGGGGACAAGAAACTAGTATTTGCGAGGCTTTTCTTTTGGTCTTCCGGAGATCAGCAAGAGAGATCCTTGGAGGGATTATAGAGATCACTTCTTTTTGAGATTTTGGATTAGTATCCAAGTCTTATCCAGGAAGTTTTCCAGATCAGTGGACTAAGATAAATTCAAGTTTCACTAGATGGGGTGGCTTGAGGATTCTATTTTCTGAATTGAGGAGGGCCATGGAAGTATAGCAATGAAGGCAGCTTTCCGCATCATCGGTTCTTCTTCTTCATTGATGGACTTGACTAATACGAAGGCGATAGCAATGATCACTTGGAACTCTCCAGGAAGCTCAGAAATGGACCGTCTCGGTTGATATCAAAGACTGTGTAAGCAGCCGACCCCATACGGAATCTTTGGACGTCTTTGAGAACGACCTCCGAATGCACTTCATCAACCAACACATGCTGATATTCGTCATTATGTCTTTGCAATGTTCGAGCAAGAGTCGTGCTTTAACACAGACAGAATATATCGCGAAATTGTTGAAAATATCATCGGCAGAGCTGAGGGTGTCTTCCTGTGGGTTCGTCTTGCGTTCCGCTCGCTTCTGCATGGCTTTAGGCATCGACGGCCACTTTCGACTCTCAAAACAAGAATAGAGGAGATGCTGAAAGAACTTGATTCCTTATTCGATAAAATCCTTGTTAGCGTACTTGATAGTGACCGGGTACGGTCCGACAAAGTGTTCGTGATGGCCGCCTCTTATGAATATCATAATAGACTTATGTTCTCGTGGCTTGATGACCTTGAGGATCCAGATTTACCAGATTTCCCCTTCAGCCTTCAGAATAAAGCATACTCCGACAATGGAATATGTGACTGACTTGCGATCGCACGTCTTCGCTTGGATGGCTTATCTAAAGGATTATTAGTAATGGCTCCCCTGACAGATACGATACGGAATTTACAATGACCCAAAGAGATACATACTTCCAATATAGGGTTTAGTGTTTTCAGCGTACGGTGAAAGACTACCTGAATGCAAGATATACAGAAATCAAAAGCCATCTGGGAAATTTGACGTCAAGGATGCATACCGTCGCCTCCTTCTCGCACAATTCAAGTTTGCGAGGACCATGTATGACTATTTCAGTCGCCAGCATATGGCGGAACTCCCCTTAGCGGTTGCTTTTTAAAATTCTTTCAGACAGTAGTGGGCCAGGCACCGACACGGTTTTTTCAGGAATACGATAGGATCCTCGATCATCATCGGCATTATCCATTCTCATATCCACCTCTAAGAAAAGTGCATAATCCTGGGGTCATTTCCTGGAGCCTAAACCTGCATGACACTGATTTTGATTGGGTCAGTATCCATTTCCTTCATTTCGCATCCTTCATGGGACATCAAGAGTATGTAATGGACCGGGTATTGACGAATCTAGTATTAGTCAATACTACCGCAGATGGGCGAAATCTGTTATCAGCTATTTTAGGAATGAACTACCATCTGGTTCGCGACGTACTGAAATACGGCGCTTCTCCAAGCCATCGAGTTCCACTTCGGAAATTGAACACGGAGAACTCCACAGCGTCAATATGGGAAAATTTTCTTTCATATGCGAATATACTAGGGGATTTTCGTGTCGCCTCTGACGGTGAAGAGAGTATTTTCGTGCATGGAAGAACTTCTCAGGGCCGGTGCAGATAGTAATATCTATTATCTTCTCAAACTGCCTGAGAAAAAACACTACAGTGAGGGACCGAAGAATCATCCAGAGGCGAAGAACGATGACAGCAATGCTTTCATGACTTTGGAGGATCTCACTGTATGGAGGCCCCCACCCCCCGAATATGGATATCCTATTGGAACTATCTCAAGAGGAATGGGGTCTGGAATATGGAACAAAACCCTGCAAGCATTATCAACCCTCGCATTTTGGACCAGAACCTCAAATGAGGTCGAATTTCAATATCAGCGTGTTGGTTTTGAAGACATAGGAAAATACATCGTCCAGAGCGTCTGTGTCATGGGAACGGGGGTTCAAGAACAGTTACCAGGTATGATTGCGTGCTAGAACCTTCTAGATGTATTTCTCTTTGCAAATGATTACGATTCTCAGTCCATCAATATATGCCTGTTGTTATTGAACTCTTGTAGGAAAGTAACGCTTCAGCCAATCATGAGCCGACTATCAACATGACTAAGCAAACTACCGATTTTTGCGAATCGGATGCAATTTGATAGGCGCTAAACCATATCGGGCATGGATGACGGGCCGGAGGGATGGGAAACCTCACGCAACTCACACCTCACCCGATCTCTATTCGAACCTCTTCTCTTCTGCAACGGCACTCTCCTCGCCAATTGCTCTCCGCTCCCACACCATCTAGTCATTTTGAATTGAGGAGTTTTTCTGTTGGTCTTGTGAATTTAGGTCGGCACAATGTTCGCTTCTCGCGCTGTCTCCGCTCTCACCAAGCGCGCTCCTGTCAGGGCTTTCACCAAAGCTCGTCCTTTCACCTCGTCCGTCACTCGCTGTACGTAACCCCGCTGCTATTCGAGAAAAAACACGGCTTTATATGCGTCAATTGGGTTTTTGGTTGTCAATTGAAGAGCATAAATATTTTTTATGACGTCAAAGTGCATTGTTTTATTAAAGCCGGGGTCAGCTAACAAAGTGTTTCTGTGCAGTCAGTGATAACAAGCTCAATGTCCCGGGAAAGATCATCCCATACGAAGGTTCGCCGAGTTTCCTTGCATATCCTACCTTTTGTAAATATCTCGATATGTCATGGACACTGTTTATCTGTCCAGACCTCGACTCTTTTCTCGCACACAATATCCGAGATATCACCGTGCCCAAGTTATATGGACCCGAGGCTAACTCAGATATTTTTGATGCTATATAGAGGTGAAGACCGAAGATGACCTCCTTCCCCCCGGTACCAAGGCCGGTCAGGTCCCCAGCGATCTCGAGCAGGCTACCGGTTTGGAGCGTTTGGAATTGCTCGGAAAGATGCAGGGCATTGACGTTTTTGATATGAAGCCTCTTGATGCTTCCCGCAAGGGTATGTTTGTTTATACCATGTCAGATGAGCGAGATGTTAATGTGGCATATAGGAACATTGGAGAACCCCATCATTGTCAACGGAGCTGGTGATGAGCAATACGCTGGTTGCACTGGCTACCCTGCCGACTCCCACATTGTCAACTGGTTGACTGTAAGTTGGCCCGCTAGTACTCATGATAGTTAGTACGTACTGACAACGATAAGGTCTCCCGTGAGCGCCCAATTGAACGCTGCCTCGAGTGCGGCAACGTCGTCAAGCTCAACTACGTCGGTCCCGACACCGATGCCCATGGCCGTAAGCACATCCTTACCGTCCACTTCATAGGACAAAGTCACTAACACAGATTAATACAGACGACGACCACGCCCATGGTCACCACGCCACTTACGAGGAGCCCAAGACTTTCGCAGACTACGTTAAGCCTGAGTACTGGTACCGATAAATTACCAACCCTTTGCATCTGAAAGGGCAGACTTTATTATATTCGTGAAATGTCATCATTGGTTTTGGAGTTGCGTTGAACATATTAAAGTTTGCGAAAACATCCTGACACCACAAGAAACAATCGACCTTTGTTTTTATTTCTTTTGTTTTTGTTCGTCTTATCTGTTCAACAAAACTTCTGTAGTATAGTCGAGTGAGGCGGATGGAGAATAGATCAGGTTTTGTTAGATTGTTCTTTAAACCATTGGAGTAGATATAGACGTTATGCTGTATGAACTGATATCTGAGGTGTTATCAACTCCCAATCGCCGCCTGCTGGAAATTCATGGATGATAACAAAATGTATAGCGCTCGGAATGGATGGATTAAAAGCAATGTGATTATAATTCATGTTCTATTATTCAACTCAATATTCTTAAGCTGCTTGAATAGGTTGGAGATATATGATCTCTAGCGGATTGATAACTATTATAGACATATGGTATATGTGCTACCAAAATAGTTGGTATAGTTTGACCGGTCTCGATATTGCGACCAACGGCGAGAAAGGCGCCATCTTGACACATTTCTTCGCCCTCCAGAGCAATTTTCACCATCTACCTTCCAAAATACCGAAGTTCGAGGTATCGGAGAGGAGGATAGACCAAAGCCGCCCACGAGAAGCCAACATAGTTACCCATCTAAACAAGAACGTTAGTATACGATGAAGACATAGTGGTAGAACGAAACATACATCAGCGCCGTAATCGCCAACCAATTTAGCCAGCGGTCCAATATACCAGACTTGAGCCATACAAATGACGGCACCTGCCCAACCGACCAAGAATGCCGTAAATGCGGCAAGACCAATGGGCAATTTACTTGGATCATCCCACGCGGCCCAGTTATATCCGGTCTGACGACGGAAGATGTATCTTTCTTCGAGCAGGATGGCAAACCAGATCGCGACCCAGTAGCCCATCAGAGCTAAGAAATTGGTGAAGATTTCTGAAAGATGACCCTGACCGGCTAGAGCGCAGACGGTATAGATTATTACTGCGATGGTGTTCCATACAATTCGAGGTACCATTTCGGCGTAACGGCCAAGAATTTGAAAATCAATACCGGAAGAGTATGTGGGTGGAATGGTGTTAGAAATCAATCCCAGCGCCACCAAGACAGAGCAGAATTTGCCAAATCCACCGACGGGACTGAATCCCTCGACAATTAGGGCACCAGCACCGGCGTTGTAGGCATCTGAATATGCGGTGTCGGTAGCAATACCACTGGCCAGACCGATGCCGACGACAAAAGCCATGGTGAAAGATAGAATCAGCCCGATGAAAGTTAAGCCGAAGCTGACTACCTTGGGAGTGGCGGGTGGATAGTACACGAAAAAGTCGGCGGCAAGAGGAGCATATGTGATAGCTGCACTGAGACAGATGGAGAAGAAGCTGAGCCTGTTACCGGTAACTGTTAAGCTGTCTCCCGCAGATGGAGTCTCGAGATCATATTTCTTTGCAGAGACGCCGTAAAGGATGCATACTACGATCACTTGGGGAAGGAATGCGTAGCTTAGGCACAAGGTTAGTTTGATTTGTTGCTTGGTAACGCAGGAACATACCGTTCATAGTAGTGGAAGAATTTGATTCCGAATGTGGCGATAAACCAGGTGATGACGGCAACGACGACAATGCCTTCGATTGTCAGCATTATTGCATGTATCAGGAAGAAAAGCAAAAATAATAACATACCAACTGCTACCGACATGTGGTAATTCGGCGAGACTGCCGATAGAATCTGGCCGCCGACTACGCAGTCAATTAAACCATATCCGATCATTTGAACAATGTTTAGCAAGACAATGATTTTGCTAGGCCACCATCCCATTGCATAACGGCCAAAAACCTGTTCACATTATAAGTATATTTAATGTAGATCGCAGAAGGTAAGCAAATTTTACCAAAGTCCGGTTTCCAGATATCGGGCCCCAGGTAGCAGACCATGCAGCAGCTAGAGAGCCCACAAAGGCACCAAAGATGGAGCATAGAGACGAGTCAAGAAAGCTAAGCCCATAGACGGCCGGACCAAGCATGCCAAGAGTGATATTGTTCGCAGCAAGGTTGATAGAAACCCACAGCAGGAAAACCTGCAGATAGGTCATCCAGGTCAGGGCATGGCGCTCCTGCTCCTCGACACGTTGAATACCGCGAGCTTCGATATTGTACTCGAGAAGCTGCTTCTCGAATCGTTTCATGTAGCCCGCGAGACGGCGCCTGACATGCGAATGCCAATTATGAGGAATCTCATCATTGACGATGGTTTCTGAAGCCGTAGTATCATGATTCTTTTCGACTGGTCGAATTTCTTCAATAGGATCAGCTAGGCTGATTTCCGGGCGTTGTTGTTCCATTCTGCTTCAACAAAGCCATTGTTAGTAACAACGGATTGACGATATTCGCCGTATATGCAATTGATCCATTAATGCATGAGAAATCAAGTCCAACAGGCTTGACTCCTCATGCACTGAATCATAGAAAGGAATGAAAAGAAAAGAAATAGAAGCGTGCATAAGTTCTTTCGCTGGAATTATCCAGATCAAGTTCAACCGTATATTCTCAGAACGGAAAGGCCACAGTAAGAACAAGTCACTCTCTGAGAATAAAAAAGCAAATGAATTTGATTTTATCATTCTCCGACTATGTCTTTCCTGCACAACCCATACCGAACACCGGTCTTTATGCATGCAAGTTTTACCTTGATACCTTGATCTCGCGATGAACCCGATTTTCTGCCAGCATTCATATTTGCGTATTTTCTTTTCCAATGCCCTCTGAAAGAGATTGGATGGATAGAAAAGGTGAGATGTACTGGACGAACTGAGCTTAACCTATGACACACGCGGGGAGGCGAAATGAGTCAGCGAGTTGCGAAAAATGACGTTGCGCCGGCTGTTGATCTAATTACATGGAGAGCAGATATATTGCACATACCTCTGTAAATAAGCAATAAATGGGTTTCTTGAGCTGTGAAGTATTCCGGTCGCTTGGGGAAAAGAAGAAAGGAAGAAATTTCTTGAAGTCAAAAGGCGCGGGCGATAAGACCCAACCCCGCGGAAAGCTTATCCTTCCTTCCTGATTAGTCCTTAGCATCTACACCGAACTACTTCAACTTCACGTCTTTTGTTGTCATGAAAATCCATTTCTGCAATCGATCGCTAAACGATTCATCGCGTACTAGTACTATCATAAGTCCCTGGTATCCATTCGCACTCGGAGTATCCCAAAAGAAACGCCGTGATCCCAGACCCGAAGCGTGATTTCGTCGCATCCTCCAACGCCAATGAAGAAAACCCAATTGATCATCTCTCTTTCGCCTCTTTTTGAGGTCTTGCGCTCATTTAGACTTCAAGTTGTCATATCCAAGAGTCCGTATGTCCATTAATCATCTCATTTTCACAGTGTTTCGGCGTGTTGTTGTTGTTGTTGTTGTTGTCACATTCAATGGGGCGATATGTGCAAAAAAGCCCTTGGTCGTATTCAGAGGTTCTTGAAATGCTCCTTGGCATATTGTTCGCATGCCTGTATAACATACTACGATGAGCATCGACGCGACGCACTGACCCAGTTCATAGCACAGAGCAGAGGACTGTCCTACCTTTGCCGGTTTCCCAATTTTTTGACCGATGACTTTCCACTTGTTGGCCTCGTATTCCTTGATCGCTTCACGCAACGCCACGCTCTAGTCACCGTTAGCAAGGAAAAATGAGAGTAGTGAGGCCGGAGTATGTACTTCGTCTTCACCGAATTCAGCGTAGTGCATATCCTAGTATGACTGTCAGTTTCGGTTGTCGAGAGCTATGGGGATGATGTGCACTTACTTTGTACCAGTGTTTCTTCACGCTTCCTTCTGTTCGAGCTGGAAAGGTCTGATAAGAGGTTAGACTGCGATCTGGCCCAGTTTTCTTCTTATCTCACCTTGGCAATCTCACTCCAGCTCTTGCCCAAATCCCGCAATTGTTTCAGTCGCTGCTCTTCCTCAGCGGTCCATGGCGTATTAGTTCTGCCCTTTTTCTTTGGTGGAGGCTCCGCCAATCCTCCAGGAATATCAGACATGACTGGCGCGACGACTGCCGAGCCAGGAATAACTGGAATACCCGTTGCTGTTGTCGCCGATGGAGGTGTGCGTCTTTTTCTTGCATTCACCTGCTGGGATTGAAGTTGATGATGAGGTTGGGGCAGAGGGGGAGTTTGCGCAGCGGGAGTAGTAAGAGGGTAAGCGGATGTGGGTGTTAGACCAGTCACAGATAAAGCTGCCTGCTGCTGCTGCTGCTGTTGTTGTTGTTGTTGTTGTTGTTGTTGTTGAGCCGATGACCGATTGAGCGCCGAGCCTTTGACGCGTTTTGACATCGGAGAGGATCTAAGGTGAAAAGAGTAAGTTGTTTATCAGTGGTTCTGTTTCGTTTCTTTGTTCGTTTCAGTGTTTGGTGAGCGTACAAGAAGACTACATCAGTAGACAAGTCGAGATGATACTCTACCCGGAGATACTGACGGAGTACATCATGTGATACACACACCACTAAACCAAGGACGATCGATTTCAAAAATGAAAAGAAGCGTCTAATGATAAGAAAAACTGCACTCACGACATCATGGAAAATACGGTTGGCGTTTGGCGATGATCGGAGATCTGGAAATTCATCTGGTACATAACACAAAAAGGGTGAAGAATAGATCGGAGGGAAAAGAAGATACAAAAGGGGGTTCAAGGGCGGCCTTGTTTTGAAGGACTCGAGATTAGACAGCAGCGAAAGGGCCTTTTCGGGGGTTACACAGGTGGCAACGGAGGGAGAGTTAGTTACGAGCTGGAAGCTGGGTTGTTAAGGTTGACTGGCGCTCGAAGGGACTCTGGAAGAAAAACCTGAGAGAGACAGGAAGAGACATTCCCCGGCCGATCGGACGGAGGCAGCACAGCCGGAACAAGTGTGACGAACGCTTGGGGGAGAGTAAAACAAAGTACGTAGTAATCCGAGTTTTTGATGGGAGTACCACCGTAGTATATACACTTGAGGGCGGTTGTAATGGGCAACGATGAGAAAACAAACAAAACACAGCGCTTGTCAACAGAGATGATCTGGGTAGTATTGAGCCCTTTCCTGTCGATGTGACTAGGGAGAGTGTAGGGTAGAGCAGAGTAGATAGAGCAGAGGGAGGGGTTGAACAAGAAGAGGGGTAGGCAATGGCTGGTTGCTTTGGTCACTGGTCATGCAGCGAGCAATGTTGATTAAGACAATAAACAAATCCACAATAAGATCTTGCGCTGAGATGATCGTCAGGCAGTAGTAGATGTGACGACAGAAGAGATGCATTGGCGACGTTTACTTAAGGTTGCTGAGTCCAGCCTGTTCTTTGAGAGACGTCAAAATGGCTTTGTTTAGTGCTTAGGCTCTGGGGTCTCTCCGGGGGCGGGCCTTTCGATGGGTCTGGGCTTAATCCCACGGGTTTTAGCGGATGGTTAAGCCTACACTCCAGACCATTGGACGGGCTAATGTTAGTGTTCGTCGGCAAATCACACTCTTTCCGTGCACTTCCAGGCGCGTCACAGGCATCGAGTCAAGCCGGTTATGCACATAGCCCTGCATGTCAGTTGCAATGTAAAGATCTTGTACTCTGTGACAGGACGGTCGGAGATGGAAATCCATTTCCTCGCCGTATTTACCTCCTTTGTGGTCGATTTCGTATTTCTCGGTTGATGAGAACACTTGCAGATAAGGTCATCGCGATGCTGTGCTGTCGCCATTGGCAGTAATCACCATCCCCGCCCAGAGGCTCGAGCATAGCCTCCGGTCAGCTTCGTAAGTCCTAAATCCGCCGGAACATTGCTCGCGAGATCGTGAGGCGATCTGGTTTCAAACAACGGCTAGAAATTTTGCTAGAACGTGCGCTAGCCATAAATCCCCGACGTTGTTTGTCTGAGATCAATGTCATTTTGCATACATCTGAGAAGAATGTGGGGGCATGGCATGGGTGAAACGCCGAGTGGTGATCAAGTCACGGACCCTGTGAGAACTAAACGGTGTTTTCACGATCGAATCGAACTCTGGCCTAGTTGTACTGACAATGACAACGAAAGAGTAGGTACCTGGATGACTGTGCATAGCATCTGAGTAACGTCTCGACATATTGCTGAGGAAATTGAGTGAAGAAAGAAGGGTTAGGCAGAAAGGAACAATTTGGCAGTTTCACAGTGACTGCGCTAGGCCCGATCCGGAAACTGCCGTCGCATAAAATGCGCAAACGCTGATTGGCCAATTCGAGGCACGGTCAATCAGGGAAGGAGCCCAGGGACACCCTGTGTCGCACCTTCCTCGGCGGCACAGCACAGAATCCGCCTAGTCTCGGTTTCACCATCTTCTCGTCTTCTCTTCTTTCGTATCCTACTCCATCGTATCTCTCGCGATTTAGCCTTATCAATCGCCCACTAAGACTGGCACGGTCCCTTACATTAGTCCCAGCGCACTGGAAACATGGCAAGTCGCAAGAAACTCCAATTGAAACCTCATCGGCCGAGGAAGCTGTCAGCGCTGCCTCGACACCCACTCACATGGAAGCAAACACTGAGACCGTGCTTCTCGTGATTCATCGCCATGCGACTGGCAATTGACGACACAGTGACCCATCCCATGAGGGGCTCCATTGCATAACACGAAACCACAGTCCCCGTGGGCTTGGAACAAGGAGAACAGACTACCTGTTCGAGCTATACGATCTCTAGCCTGAAGAGTGTTAGACAGGGGTAGCTTACTGTTCCTAGACCTCCCAAACCGGCAACTCGCTGGGGGACCTTCCAAACTGGGCTTTTAAGCCTCCTGTTTACCTCAGACGCGGCTTTTATTGGGATTATGCCATACTGTCTCAAGACATATGCCAATATGCCAGAAACGGGGGGTTAAGATCAAACACTAATCCAGCTTCGGAGATCTAAACGTTTCTCATCCACACTCCATGCACCACAAACACGGGAACGGAGCTGTCAATTATTGATGCTAGAATCAATAGTGTGTCAGCCTCCAGGAACACGGGGTCAATTGACTTGTCGGTCAAAACTCGCATTCACCAATGCAGTGAGCTCAAGGAAAGACATAAAAAGCGCGTCCCCGGAACATTTCAAAGCATTGTTTTCTCTATCTTTCATTCAGTAGGCTGGTCCACCGTTGTTTCTTTCTTGCTCTTCAACATAACCCACTGGCTGGGTCGTTTCGTGCATTGAATATTCTCTCTGTCTCTCTCGGTTACTTGGAGGTCTTGACGATCCCATTACCTTAATCACTAGTTCGACTGTACTACTTAATTACTGTCTGCTTTCTTTGTTCTCGGTGTCTCCAGGTCGCCTATCCCAGCAGCTCGGAAATCGAAGTCAGCAAGCTATCATCTTTGAATATGGAGCAACGAGAGTACCGAGTGCACAAGCACCACCGCCGCGTGTCCTCCACCGGCGGAGGCAGAGCATGGACTGAAGAAGAGGTACGAGTTACGCCAAAGAGAATAAACAAGCTGAAGACTAATGTATTACAAACAGGAGGCTTATCTGGTCCGAACTAGAATGCACAAAATGCCATACAAGCATATCGCAGCGCACTTGAAGAAAACAGAACTCGCCTGTCGCTTACATTATCATCAAATGTCATATGGAAATAACGGTCGCCGACGCAGTGCTTCTGTGTCGTCGATCGGATCATTCAACTCGGTCTCGCCGGGTGGAGAACTTTCAGACAACACTCGCCTGCCCCGGTTGTCTCCGGTCTTGTCTCCTCGCTCTAGCCCAGAGCCAAACTCACAGAGAGTGTCCTCAGATGATGCTTCACCGCAATCACATCGTGGACCAATTCCTATTCTCCCCAAGCCAGATAGAGACAATACACCGACTACGTTCGAAATATCTATGGCACGCAGCTACGAAACGAATGTGGTAGGCTATCGCAAGGAAGACCAGCAGAGCTATATTGACATGTCTCATTTACATGCCGTATATGAAGCGTACTCGGCTTCATTTTGGTCGAAAATAGCTACAGAATATTCTCGCGCCGCACCAGAGATTTCTCCCAAATTGGCTGAAAAGGCATTTATGGGCAATTTCTCTCATACCATTGCTTGCGCGCATCTGCCTCCCACACCCAATGTCAGTCCGGCAGCATCACCAGAGCCACAGCAGCGCGATTATGCATCAAATTCTTTGCCACCCATGAGCCGAGGCTTCCGAGCTGTCAACGAACCCCAGCCGGAGCGTGCGGCTGGTGTTCAACCAGAAAGCACGCATAGAAGCTTGGCTGACCGGTGCTCGGTTTCAGCCTTGTTAACTGTGGAGAGAGAAGTAAGGCCGTCGCATCAATAGATTGTTTTTTTTTTGTATGCACGGAGGCAAGATTGAGTTTTACGAGTTGTACGGATACAGGAGTTTTGGATGTTGATGTCATGTTTCATATATATGACTTGGTCTGTCTGGTATTAGTTAACGGCTCTATCTTATGAATATCAATTTTCATGGGCATTGTTCACATCTTATTTCACGTGTAGATTTGTTTTAAAAATTTTATCACTATGTCCTTACAAAGCTGCACCAGGCGCACTGGGGGCTTTGTACGTACTCATCCCAACTTCGACTTGAATAGCCTCATACGAATTAGGACTTCCATACTTCATTTCATTCAATCAGTAACTACTTGCATAATATTATGATCTCGGAAATATATGAGCTCCAGGGGTCATCCACTTCCAATATTCCCAAGGCAACCCGTTTCAATAACACATCTACATAACGCTTTATATCTAAATCAAACCCCATAAATCTCCCCAAAAAGTAGAGCTACAAATGGTAACTCGCTGAGCACAGACATGTCTAAATACGTACAAAACGCTTACCTAAATAGTCGAGCAGTTCATGACAAATACTAAAACAGGAGGTTCTTGTCTCAACATTGACTCTTGTTGTTTATGATTCGAATCAGGGAGGGTTTCGATGGGATGTGTAAGGGAATTGTTTCTGATCAGTGATATTGGGTAGGTTTGATTTATCTGTTACTTATATAACCATCAACTATTGATTTGCGAGCTTTGCGAGATTTACGAGGACATTAATGTTGCTGTGTTTATGCGATTTAGGTGGTTCCAAGCTTATAATGAGTAGGAGGCCTTTCCGGACATAAATCACTATCTCGAGAAGGGCACTTCAATACACTAGTCTATTTGAGATATTGACAACCAGGATGCTCTCCAGTCTCATATTAACATATTCAAATTGAGATCAATTTAAATATGATCAATTTAAATATGAAGATGCCTCTCATTATTTATAGCCAGGTTTACTATATTCAGTCAGGATAAGGATAATAGCTTAACTAGCAATACTAAAATCAGTAAGTTACATATATACAGATATTGATGACTACAACTAATCGCTGCTTCTGCTTGTTATGAGTGAAAGAGGGACTTTATCTAGAGATAGTCTTCTATCCTGGATTTCGTGATTGAAACACGTTGTTGCTAAACTCCACTGCTTGAGCATATACTGCCAGGAGATGGAGAGACATCTGGTTCTTCAAACGGGTCATTGTATGTTATGAACGAGTTCAATGACGTTCTGCCACTTCCGCACGCGTTTTTCCAGGGCATGGGAGTTGTTGATTTCATTGTAGATAACGGTATTTGAGGAGGTCGCGCTTTTTACAATCCCACCATAGACTGCCCCAGTCGGCGTTCTCATTCTCGACTAGAGCGGTAATGGCCGCAAGGTTTGCCTCGATATCTACTGGAGCCTTGTTTACCAGATGTCTGAGAGTATGTTTGTAGCAACACTCTGAGCACTTGTCGAGATGTTTTTTGGTCTTTGATCTTCTTGATTTCATCTTCTTTATCCGTTTCGTTGAACATTTTTGCGGCGAACGTTCTTTGGTCCGTGGTACGGTTCGAGAATCGAAACATAAACGACATGGTACATTGCACCTTGTTAGTTCTCGACTCTGGCGCCGCCGGCTCTGCCTTTTACTTATTAATAGACATCCTGGAGGACGCATCCAATCTGGCGTCGATGTCGAGCGCGCAGAGTCGAATTTCGCAGAGCTCAACCGACAGTTTTCCAACACCGGCGGTGGAAGGTGGCATTACGCAATGAGCCTTCCAACTTTTGCACATTTGAACGGTGTTGGTTGCCGGTTATCTCCGTCTGTACTGCGACGTGAAATCGTCTGGTTAGACCGGATGGAAAAGAGCATGGATATCCGCCGCGAAATGTTATGACCGCTCGGCTTTGCGAGTTCATGTCTCGAGCACTACCAAGTGGTTGATACCCGCGACATTCTCTCGAACCACTAATTTATATCGTCAAGAAAACAGGACAAGGGCGGCAGTGGAGGCATGCGACTGCCGCCGTGAGAACCGGAACTAGATCGTTCGACCAAATGCGAGGTGGGAGGGTGCTAAACCGCAGCCTCTTGACTGGTGAAATCGTGTTTGATAATGACTCTGGCAATTTCTTCCTTGGTGATGTCGCCGAATGAAGCGAGCAATCCAACAGCGTTTGTCATGTTATTCTGCCAGGTACTGGAACCTGTCATCTTTCTTGGCCATACCACTAAGTAGCGGTGTCGATACTCAGCTGCGGTCCTGAGCAGTTCACATGCCCACGACCCACGTCTAGGTAACCAACAACGAAACTCCGCCATCCAGTTGTTGCGCGCTTCTGTCCACGCTTCTCGATAACGAGCGCGGAGTTATCTCGAACGATTCCTGATTTGCTGTGCACTCAGCGACGTGAATGGAATGATGTTGTCGTAATTTACCTGGTGGTTTGAAAATGTATAGAATGCTTTTGAGTTTTCTAATGCGTTTGCTTGTTGGATATAAGGTTTTCTAAATGCCTGGATGGTAGTGCTTTTGTGCACCACTGGCGGACATTCGTCTGATAGCAAGCGGATGGTCGAGGAACGCAAGCGCTTGATGGCTAAATTGTCGAATGTTGAAATTTTCGGAGGTTTCCCTGTATTGGAGATAGAGGGAATAGATAGATAAGCACTGAAATATGACCCGAGCAGAACAATTGGACAGAAAAGGAGACCCCCCTTAATGTGATTTCTGGTAAGTGCATTGTGAGCTGTTCCGGAGCTCATAGAGCTGATCTATCATCTCCAACAGGAAGAGATAGCTGATCACTAGTGAAGCAATATGATAGGGACTGTAAGGCTGGAAGCAAGAAGAAAGGAGACAGAATGGAGGAGGAAGAGAAGAAGGGAGGGAGGGTAGACGATGAAAGAGACAGGAAGGAATAAGTGACGCGCAGTGCGTTTGTACATTACGCAATTAGCGAGATTGAAGCTATTGTCAGTGACCTAGGTGCCTCACAGCCTAAGGCATAAGAACTGAAACTGGAGCCTATCTACCAGATCACCACGTGATGATACTTAACCCTAACTTTGGAAGAAGCAAATATGCATACGAGCTCGCCGACAGAAAAGTATTTGGAATAATCCGCAACCTCAACGAAAATCTCCCCGCATACCAAAATAAAAGTGGATATGTTATGCTACGCCGTACTTTCACGCATAGAAACGGGCATGACTCATTATCCATGTTCAACGAAATGAGATGATTAATGAGCGCCAATCCCGGCATGCTGATTACCGCCGTAGTTCTAGTTGAACATCAAAATCAGCACGAACAGGAATACGGGTCCCTTAGATTGGTCATCTGCTGAAACGGAATGACTATATAATGACAAAAGGTGCTGACGCGTTGCATTATTGACCACAGCGGGTTCTAACAGGAATGGGGGAGTGTAATTAAACTCTTGACGCCTTTGCGACAGGTCCAGCGTCGGCAGTGGTTCGCGTCAATACTATCGAGTCATAGATGTGATCATCTGCATATGCAAATATCCGAGTTGCAAGTATCCTGTAATCTACCTATGCATGCATGCATTTGTAGGTATGTGTGTCCATGTGGCAAGCATGGACGCTGAGAGTGTCAGGCGCTAAATACGTTTATTGGAGAGATCATATGCAATGGACATGCTTGATACGTATTTGGGTACGTAAGCCATATTGCGGAACTGATACGTGGGAGTCACTTTGTACTGTCCATCTGAAATCTGAAATCGAGATTAGGGCTAAGCTGACTTTGGTTGTTACATCATATGTGGTGTTATGATCACTATTGTTAGAAGACCGGCCGGTTTCTCTGATGTACCTTGACACAATGATGAAGTATTTTAGCCATGTTCTTCTCTCGATCGACATTGTAATTTTCAGTGACTGGTACTTCGTTTCATACGCATGTATCCAGCCTACTATTTTTGTACTTCTGTTAACTTCAAACCCTGATTACACGCTCTAAGCCATGATAAGTAAGACGCTCCCTTGCCCAAATTGGCTCCGGTGGAATTGAATACGTGTACGTGCATGCGGAGTTCTCACAAAGTAGTCCTGCGGATTTCGGGTAGGACGGTACAATTATTAAGTTACAGGGTCCAGAGGTACCATACTGTATTACAAGAGGTACATTAGCGTAATTTCGTTAGGTACCCAGGTCAACCTAGGATAGCACAAATACTCTAAGTTAGCTAACAACATGACAAGATTTCGTGTCGCCCGGCTAACTTTCCACGGAGACTGCAGCGCCCGGACGTGGAAATCGCTAAACTAGAAAACTTACTCCGTTAGCGCAAAATTGTACAGACCTCTTAGAAGCTCAAAATGAGGGAGAACTGCAATTTCTTTCTCTTAGCAAGTCCTGACTTGAACTAATTTAATGTATTTCTAATTTATTTAAACTCTGCACTATGTTTTGCTTAAAATAGAAGAGAGGGCTCTGGATCAACAAACAAGGTTTCGGGTTTGTATTTTATCGATGTTTTGGGTAATCGTTGATACGGTCTGTAAGCTGGAATACAGGCTTTCGATACATGTATTTCGTTACTCGTCATACGTGGTTCGAAACAGTAATTTTGTTTTTGAACATGTTTGTGATATTCTTCATATTATATATATAGTAAGGAGTTTAAGAGGGAGATAAACTCGTAGAGCAGTGGTTAGAGCAGCACAATCCAAAAGATACTCCGTAAGCCAGTTAGCTCAGTATGGAAATAGCACTGCCCAGTGCCCATCCACTATGTGGATGTCACTAACGAGGAGCCTAAAACCCGAAAGAGACGGAAAAGGACATTCATTCAGACTATCCCCAGTGCCCCACGGTGTCAGTATGCTACAACATGATTCTGGTCGTGGGTCTTCAGCTCTAAAGTTGATCGCATGTATATGTAACTATGTATGGTATGATATGTATGCTGAGCTTAGCCAAACTGATGCGGATTAGCTTCATCGAGAGGGCTAAATCAAACCCTCAACGCCACGCCATGCCAAGTGATGGGCTGGCATCATGAGCCATGATTAAATACACTGTATCTGGGTAATATTTAATATAAAATCAACCTTGAAACCATGCATTCATTGTATTGGGGGCTAGGCAAGCTAAACAGGGTTGCATCTCCACATCTCACAGTAGTCATACGCACCCTGGTTAGAAACTTAGAATGGCTCAGCGTCTACGCTTGTCAATGAATCGAGGAAACGGTCCAAAGAGTAATTAAAGCGCTTATTTGCAGGCTGTAAGCCATTTCCTATTTAGCTTGCCTCGTGCTTGAGAAAGCTAGTGAGATTTAAATGTTTATTTCAACCAACATATATACGGAGACATACCGAATCTTTATCGCTGCAGGTGCTTAAGTAGCACAGTACATCATATTTCCACGCTTGCGGAATATATTTGATGTCTCTGAACCAGTCATATCGAAACCGAGGAGATACAACCTTGCAAGAAACGGTCTGCCTTGCATATTCCTACCCAGGTAGGCGGGTACTGCGGCTTTCCAGCTACTATTTAGTTCTCCAAGGATCCTGAAATTTATTTTTCGCTCAGCCTTCCAGAAGGTTTGTGCCATCTTCTAAATTCCATACTTGTATCCCCGCTTATGGGGAAAATAGTCAAAGTTTGGAACAGAAGCATTGACACAAGATAAGAAAACACTATTCTTGTCTATTTCAAAAGAGGATATACGTAGAAGTGTCGGCAATCCACTTTCTGCGCTTACTTGATTGGATCGTTCGGTTATTCCACTTGTATTTGCCTACCTAAGGAAAGAATAAAGCTACGCCTAGCCACGCCAATCATCTCACCCCACTGGCTAGAATATTTATACATTTGAATGCCTGCTCAGTCTTCACCTTTTTCTACCGCCTCTCCCCAAAGCACAGTTCATTGCAACCTGTTCCTTATTCACTTGCCAACTTTGGAGCAAATCTGTGAATAGCGTCATGCTTCTATCACCTGCATACTCTGATACATTCGAAATCATGTCTGGCCCCCCGGAACATCCTGGACAACTAGGACGAGTTGGCGATTATATGGACCCGGCAGACCCTCGTTGGTCTGATATTCATTCCGTACGCCCTCCTGTTTTGATATCTGTTGAATTTTGATTAACAAAATCTTCAGTCTCCCTTCCTTGGGGTATCTCACCCCTACCAAACCTCACCACATGGATCGGTCATGTTGACAACCAACAGCTTGGCTGATAATGCATATATTCAAGCACGATCGAGTCCTGCGTTGAGCCATCATTCCCAGGAATATCCATACATAGACGAGACTGCTGTCTCGCAGGGGCTAGGCATCACAAGCCCATATCAAGATTTTATTTGCGGTCCACCATCTTCACCAAGTTTCAACTATCAGCATCTCCAGCAGCAGCAGCAACCGCAACAAACAATGGACTTTTACAATTACAGCCCGTCACCGTTCCCCGTAGAACAGCCAAGTGACAAGCGCCCGAAGCGACAAGTTACATCGACTACTCTCCCATCACAACGTAATTCGCCGGTGAGAATTCTACCGCATCCCGATGGCCTACAACGACTTGAACACGAGCGCCGTGGCGGACAAATGATAGATCCGCACCAACTAGAGCCCCAAAAGACTCGACCTCTTGGTAGAGGTCGTCGGGACCCCCAAGCTGAGGAAGAAGATGCGTTTGTTGAGAACCTTCGAGCGCAAAATTTATCGTGGAAAATAGTGGCCGAGATGTTTCGCGAACGATACGGCAAGAATACTAGCGAGGCACGGCTTCAGATGCGCATGTTGCGAAGGAGAAAGAGTGCGGCGGCGTGGCAAGAGACCGATATGAGTATGCATCTTATCTGTTTAAATTCTTTGTTTCTATCATGTTTCTATCAAAGAAGTTCTGGACAGCTAACCTTTCCACAGATTGCTCCACTTCACGAGGCATATAGGTGAGGGCAGACGGAACAGATTCCGAATAATTAATTGCCGACAAGAAGGTAAGACATTTTCAGACAGTGAGACGCACAAGATTAAATACTAAAATAGAAGATGTGGATAGTGGCAAGATCTAGAAGCAGGTCAAACCGAAGAGCAGTACATGCAATTGAAGCTCTCACACGACAACGGCTCGAAAAGCGGGCAAAGAGAAACTTCAAAGATCCGGTTATAGCTACCGAACCACAATATACACGAACAAAAAATCGGAAAAGACGGCTGGATAATGACGGACGACACGACGAAGAAGAATAACATTCGATTATGGAGCCCTCCGTTCGTATCGAGAAGAGCGTGTGATAAAAAGGAGGCTGGGAATAGCGTCATGCTATTGGTGGAGCTAGCCGCCAGCGCATCGTTTAGCCCTTTTCAGATTGGTTCGTTTATTTGTTGTTTGCGGAATTACGGGCCGGTCTCCATTTACAGAATACTATGGATGCATTGTGTCGGTTTTTGGATTTTTTGTTGTTTATAAGGTCTTTTCTGATGTATATATTATGATACCTTTCTTTCTATTTGACTACACTTCACTCACTCTATATAATTCTTGCATTTCGCAAAAAGCAAGACGCCGTAATTGATATTGAGGGTTCGTATTACAAATACCCACGGACCCACATATCTATTCGGAGAGTGACGCTATTGGCCAATGACAGCCTTTAATGATCCGCCCAGAGCTCAAGTTAAGCAATTCCAAATAAAGTTGTATGTGTGACTGTGGCTGTAATTTATCCATATGTATTATTACATTCATTACGGAGTACTTTGTACTCCGTAATCCGTATACCTCCGTTACAATATGTATTGAACAAGGTTGCAAAGATAGTTGCGTAATTAGAGTCGACACAAGAGTCAGCTTGGGCGCCGTGACAGTCGGCTAATGTATTGCGAAGTCATTTTAGTTGAATGCGTGTAGTCTGTGACTGTCAGACAGCTGAACCATTGTGCCGATCAGGCGTCCAATGCTAATCAGACCGTGCATGATTAGTGACTACATGCGTGGAGGGGCACAACATGTCAGGGAGGTAAAGCGAGAAGAGGCAAAAACTTGAAATATGAGTAGCATCCCTCTACGGATTTTTCGAGATACGACTGAATCACATGCCACTTGTAAAGCGAATTAGGCATGGCTTGGGTTACCCTGTAATGGAAGCACTCTAGAAGGGTTCTAGAAACCTTCCAGCACATGTCCTACATGATGAGTCAGTCATGTGATAAGGTAAGTTAGATATCGTTGCAGCACGTTGTATCGTGGAGGTGATGATCGGTCTAAGGCTCGGCCCGACAAATAACCAACATGCTCGAATCGAGATATGCTTAATTGAATATGTTATGGCGATAGGTCCGGAGAGGAGAACAGGCCGGTCATGATAAACCACAGCCAACATCTGTATTCCGCCATATCAAGGGCTGTCACTTTCCTGACTACCTACCTACATACGTACTATGCAAACAATGTTGTTGCCTATACCTTGTAACCTTGTAACACTAATGCACACTTAATTCAAATGTCACCATATCCCGATAGAAATCAATACAAGCCGAGACTGCAATATTATTGTGACTACATAGTGATATCTGATCGGGTTAGAATTCTGTGTATTTCTCCTAAACCCGTTTAAACCCCGAAAGGCCGGTGATAGATCTTGACTTACTATGAGACCTGATAGTTAGGTCATGCCACGTTAATTAACATACCGGTCGGCTGGAACCGCCTCGAGATGGTCATAGAAAAGAATGTAAGTTACAGTCTAAATCATGCAGTTAATAGCCTCATTTTTAGTTAGTACGTACGTAGTTACGTATTTTCATAACTAAATCCCGCAGTCAAAGCGAATCCGAATCCGAGCGGTAACAATGTAGATCAGCGATGACTGTCAGATTTGTACTTTTTTAGGGTTGCGGAACCTAGCTTTCCGTTAACTCGGCTTCTGGAACGTTGTGAATTGCCGCCCTGTCGCAGGTGAGCTTAGTACTCCATCTCGCTCTTTGAGGCTGAGTATCTAAAGGCTCTGCATATAACATGAGCGATCGTCGATACGTAACTTAGAACATATGATCCTTTAGCATAGATCCGCACGATAAAAAGCACGTGCACAGGGTTCGTGCCCTATTACTATTTTTAGTTTGTACAGATGTGCTTGTCGAGGCACATAGCCCCCTCATGATCGACTCGAAGTGATTCCTCCCGCCCCATAGTATTTGCTGATGGTTTCGTCGGAATCACCGTCTTCTATTGCGGAACGAGATATCCCGAGTGAGATCATAGATTCAAGATTGAAGTCTGGGGTGATAGTCGACGGAGCAATTTTGATCTTTCGTAATGTAAGCCCTAGTGAAGTCAAATTACGTCTATAATACCATAGATCGATACCCCGGCGGACTTCGGTCTCGCTTTGTATTAGTGCTCGAAACTTTATTGGCTGTTCTAGATATTCTGTTCCAGTAATACGTGTACTCTGTATTGTAAGTAAATATACGCTTGGGTGCATAAGCCTCATTTCGGAGAACTCCGTGCAGCGATCTATCCTAGACGCCAACTAGTGCCCAACCCGGAACCTAATATCGAATTATCTACCGAAGTCACCGAAGGTCCGAGATATGGGAGTGAAGCATCATATCTTCACACTCAGTACATACGCTCATACCACCCTACCACGTAGTAATTTTGAGCAAGCGACGATCTTCACGAGCAGGAATCTTCAAGCTTCTAACTATGAAATTGATGGCCCACAGATATTTTCAGCTGGTTTTAAGGTTCTCTTAGCCTTGGACGATAGACTGATGTTTCGATCAACTTTCTTAACTTCATACAGCTTTTCACTTGTCATTAGACACTTTATTATTTTGAGTGATCTCTCGAATCGGCAACTGAGTATTTGTTTCCGCTTCTTAGTGGGCATTAACACAGACGAATGGCATAGTGATCTGACCAGAGGATGCTTAGCCCAATCCTGGATATTTGAGTCCGAGTGTTCTTCTACTGTTTAGCTGACCGAAAAATCACTGAAAGTGACATCGACTCATTCGGACCGTGTGAAGGTCATATCCTCTTTCACTTCAATCTCAACTACTCCAGATATTTCTCAAGAGGTACATGTCTTTTTAATAGATTGTATATTTTCCCCCAATGTTCAGATTCCTCACCCATGTTGGAGCTCTTTGACCATGCAAGTGTCTTGCTAGAGGGTTCGGATGGACGAACTGGCGTTGTGATTCTCTTGAAGGAAATTCCCTGTGAGCGAATGAGATCTCACTTCAATCGGATTTTGTTGACCTACAACAATGAGATAGGCAGCAGATCGGTAGTTCTTCATGGATGGCTTTAAGACTAAGTCCGGTTTGATCGTCTCTACCCCGTTCCAAGGTGCCACTCGGAAAAGAATCTTAAACGACCGAACGGCCTTCGCAGACAGACGAACGTATTTGCGGCCATCTCTACATTCTCACCTTTGAATATTTCAATTATCAGCATTCCGTCCGCTGGCGCCGGTGCATGCTTTCTTTGTGTGCAACACCATCGGCTGCCGCATAGGTTTGATATTAGGTTATATTTAGCCTCGGCCTTGGGCCCAACTGTGATGACTTCTTGTTACAGTTCAGAGACTTCCTTCTCTGAGCTTATTACAAGCGCGACATCATTAATTTTCACGCAAACGATATAAGCGCTACGGTCTGCATTGCGGTGGCGCAATATGTAGTTACAATAACATCATAAGGTTGCTTGTGACACTGGCGTCCATACGAATCCGCTAGATGCCTTCAACCGTAAGATATCAAACCAAAGATCAATTCTTTGGATTGGGCATTAGACCGAGGCTTCCGAAGGGCAATGGCTTCCAAGGTTCTCTTGTTTCATTTGAACACTATTGTTGTAGTGTAAATCTCCAAAGTCATCATCATCAGGCAGTTATGGATATTCATTCGAGTACTATAGCGGACATCTGGACTGATTCAAAAAGATAAGACATGTAGTTTGCGGAGCGAATATATACCTAACGTTAACCCCTACCACCTTGGTATCGGTGTTTGAGGCGACATCAATCACCGAGAAAGACGCTGTCTCCCCGAACGCGAGTGAAGTCGCTAGTAAAATTAAATAGACAAGTAATCAAACGGTCCAGTGACGGCACCATATTCAGCGATATTGGAAATATCCAATGTTCACATCGCCTCCGCAGCATTCCGGTTGAGATGCATCCAGAGAAGTACATTTTCTAGTTTTCTATGAGACAATCTTTGAGTCAAGAATTCAAATCTTGAATAAATTAATTTATTTGTGCCTGAAGCGTGTCAATATTCTACCTTTTAAGTCCGTTAAGGGACCGACAATCCCTTACTCTATCTGTTTCACGTCTCCCGAAAGGAATGATTTAGGGCCCAGCTTTCCGTATTAGGGTTGAGCTTCAAGGAGTTCGTGCGTCAAGCTCCATACGACTAACGCAATGCAGTAAGCATCTATGAGCCTTAATTTAATCTTCAGCCTCTTTTTGAAGTTCTTTCTTTGCCGCCGAGAAATGTGCAAAAGCGTCAAACCGGTATGAGACCATTGCTTCCCATGAGGGTTGGGGCTATACGAGATTAACGAGACCCTAGTTTGAGCTATCTGTATGCGCATGTCTTGATGTAGCTATGTATATATTCACGATCAAATTCCCTGTTTTGCATTCATTCTACACATCCTCCATCTTTACAAATTCGAATATTTTCTTAAGATACAACGGCGGGCCGTTTTTGATTTCGCTTCTCGACACTCTTTTTATTGGTGCTAGCCATCTGTTTCATTCTCTATACCTACACGGAGATTTTTCAGTACTTTCATTCATCATGATGATTTCTGTTTACCGAGCTGTGCTCGCTTGTGCTCTCGTTCTCTCGGGCGCCACAAATGTCCTGTCTTTCCCTCTGGCAGCTCGGCAGAGTGCTATCACTGATGTAGACATTCTACAGTTTGCCCTAACGGTGAGTTATTCAAGCCAATATTGGCGCTAGAATCCATTCTGATAGGGAAGAATAGCTTGAACATCTTGAGAACACTTTCTACAAACAAGCCCTCGCTAAATTCACAGAAGTTGAATTCATCGCTGCGGGCTTTGATGAGAATTTCGTTAAGAACTTGAACTTCGTCGCCCACGATGAAGAGCAACATGTTGTCTTTTTGGAGACAGCCATTAAACAAGCTGGTGCAACCCCTGTTGCCGCTTGTCAATACAATTTCCCCATAACCGACGTAACGAGCTTTGTCAATCTTGCAACGGTCTTGGAAGGTGTCGGCGTTTCGGCTTACTTGGGTGCGGCCACCGCAATCTCTTCAAAGGAGATCCTCAATGTCGCTGCTGCAATTACTGTGTCGGAGGGTCTTCATCAGGCAATTCAACGTGCTAGTCTTCTTGACGTGGTCTCCGCCAATATCGCTGGTACCCCGTTGACGCCTAACGCCATATTCACTATTGCCAGCTCCTTCATTACAGCCTGCCCTTCGACAAATGCCGCCTTGCCATTCAAGGCTTTTCCAGCAATCGCAGTCAATGGTATCCCCAATCCTGCTCAGGCAATTCCTGTTAACACAGTTGCGAGTCTGGCCATGCCTGGTCCTAACCCCCCGGCAATTCCTGCGACTGCCTTCGTCACCTTTGTCAGTGGTATTGACATAATTAGTGTACCTGCCCAGGTCGTTAACGGAGCCATCGCTGTCACGATCCCTCCGCAGGCCTCCGGTCAGATATTTGGTCTCCTGACGACTGAGTCTTTGACCGGAACTGGTACGCTTCTCGATGAAACCAAAGTGATTGCCGGCCCAGCAATCATGGAAATCCAGCCAGCCTCGCCTTCGATCGATTTTACTGTCCTGTGATTGATAGCTCGGCAGAGATAGGGGGTAGGAGGTGTGGTATTATAAATACCAGGGATGTTTGAATTGGCCATGAAATTTTGTTTTGTTTATGCGATTATCATATGGATAACCCAAGTCGTCTGTCAGCATAAGTAGATGAATATCGAAATGAGCTGCACGGTGCTAAATTTAAACTCAAAAGGAACCAGATTAGATCAGATTCAGTCTACTAAAAGGAAAATCTGTAAACTCTCATAGAACTGTAAATGAAGTGCATGTGGAAGAGGAATGACTATAAGATATCTATGACATCGATTGAAACAAGACGTGAGCTCTCCGACTATAACTTGACTTAAAACCTTCAGCTAAAGTAAATTCCCTTCTCCACGGGGCACCATATGTCTAATTCAGTTTCAGTTCGTTTGTTATAGAGCTTGTAAACACATGAAAATGCTCAAGACTGATTACCGCGGTTAGCCAGCAAAAAATCCTGCTATACAAATTTGTCTTCTGCATCAAATATCGGAGGCACCAGGGCTTTAGGAGGCTATCCTTCCTGAGAATTGAACCTCTTCCGAAACTATACTGTCGCGATCCAATCCACTTCACCTCTTCCCATCTTCGATACTCCAGATGGAAGGATCACCTTCACCATCGAATTGGGCGGCACAGCTATCTTCAACCGCAATTCACCACTTCCAGTGACTGACCAGCGACACTCTAATCGGTCATATGGAGTATCATACACTGCTTCAGCAGACGTAACCGTCCCACCTGGCAACGGGTGTATGAGGATCTTCCGCCACCCAGGCTCCAACGGACTCACACCAGCGACAGTCTTATGCAGCCAATTTATGATAGAGCCCAGTGCGTAATGATTGAAACTCGTCATCTCGCCCGGGTTGATAGTTCCGTCAGGCAGCATACCACCCCAGCGTTACCAGATGGTCGTGGTGCCCATGCAAATTGGATATATCCACGAAGGACAATTAGATTCCTAGCATGCGATATGCTAACTGGTGGTATCCATATTTGGTCAGGGTGTGTGTGTGATGACAGGCGTACCGCCAAAGCCTTTCAAGACCCGGAACTGGGCTTTTCGAACTAATCGAGCTAATCATGCCCTGCAGCAGCGGCCTGCTGAGGGTCGTCATGGAGATTGAATACTACGGCTAGGCTCAGCGCGGTATGGGTGTCTCCGACCAGTAGGCCGGTCGGAAAAATGTATTTAATTTGAAACTGGGATTTCAGAGCGCGATAGTCGGCTTCGTATCGTGATGCGTTTGCAGACTCATCTACGATTGTACTTATATGGGGAAGGATTTCGGTAACGTGAACAAGGTATGCATCCACCGCCAACGTTCCGTCTGTGCAAGAATTACCAGGCTGGCCCCGGCGGAGTGGTGGGATCAAGCCAGTCTCCAAGTTGGAATAAATTTTCGTCCCAGAGACGGTCAGGACCACGCTGAACTGCGCGATCCAGCCAGCTGCTCATGCTGGGATATTGGAGGCGGAGAATGTCAACATCTCCATAACTTTGATACAGAGTTCAGGAAACGAGTATGGTGGCATCACCCAATGCCGCTTGCGGAAATATGGGCCAGAGAGGTTCGGGGATGACATTGGGAACGACAAAAGGGGATATGGCATTGGGACGTGATAGCTGCTCAACCGAGAGATCTTGGAGCCAGTCACCTAGCATACCTGTTGTGTTGTAAAGGAAGCTTGCAGAGGGAGCAAATTTTTGGATGTCTCCTGTCCAGCCCAAGCGTTCCTCACGATGTGGACAGTCGGTCGGAACGAAGAAGAAATTGCTGCGCATGCTCCATGTAGCGTTCTGATGCAGTTTATTGATCATTGGAAGGGAGCAGTTAAACTACCTTGTCCGCGTAAGGTCAGTATGAATGACTTCAGCAACGAGACTATCCAGCGTGAGCGGAGTATCAGTGTCTTCCGGGAGCCATCCATTCACCTGGACGTAGCGAAAGCCATGGAAGGTAAAGCAAGGCACCCAGTCACACAAATTTCATGACCAGCTGAGATGATCTCATCAGTACATTTGGCCACTTGCAGCGGACGTGATCCCCAGTTCCTTGTGCTCGAGAACTTCTGCGTGGATAAAGGTGGTAGAATGGCCCCCTAGTTTTTTCAGGAAGCGCATTCGAACCTGGGCGATGAGGACCTGGCCAAAATCAACTATAATTTTACCAGATGGTGTGCGGATGATTTCAATTAGCTTGACCACCTCGGTGACGTGAACAGGTGGAGCATTGGATGAGACGAGCTGTATCTGTGGAAATTCGACTTCCCTTGATGTGCTTCAGGTGGATTCTAGAATTGAGGATGGGATCTTCCAATTATCCTGCTCATTCTCCTGACCTCGCCATCGTACACTTCGCTACGGATAATAGCTGACTGGTGACACTTCCAGCTCGACTCAGTAACAAGAACGAGGGATACTCTGCAACAACGCTTGCGGTGGCCGTAAATCTCCACGGCCGAAGGCGTGAGTTTAAATATGTGGGCAAAGGGTACCCAATCGCCACAATCTCCGATGGCTTCAAGGTACTCCACACTCCAGTTGAAGTCTATCTAGCTTCCTCTGTTCGATCAGATTTCGGTCTAGTGAAGGTCGGCCATTCTGTCTTAGGCATGGATAAATAGAACGCCATTACCATCGTCCATGCTCGTCAATTTCTCTATACCTTCCGTTGTTATTAATTACTTCTCTGGGAATTCCTATTCTCCGCAGAGAAGGAAAAGCCTACTATCGAATTGATCGAGCAGACCGAAGAACGACGACTTGTCTACCTCGCCAACGAAGAAGATCACGCGCTGAACAAATGGGCCAGCGTCAAGAAGTATCCATGGTCTTTCTTCTGGTGCAATTTCGCTATCTGGTGTATCCTCTTAGTCAGCTTTGAAAACCAGGTCTCTGGCAATGTGACCGGTATTCCAGAGTTTATTATGATGACAACTGGGTGCTTGAAACAAAATGGTAGTCAGTTTTTAGTGGTGGTCCTGTCGCATCCGCTGTCGTGGGCGCACTCTCCTTTGGTCAAATTGCCGATACAATTGGACGACGATGGATCATCCTTTGCGCCTTGGTGATTTCCGTCGTCGCAGTGACTCTAGAGTTCGTTGCGACAACAAACGAAATATTTTTTAGCTGCAAATTTTTGAATGGCTTTGCATTGGGTGCCCTTTCCTCCGTCCCTGTCACAAACGTCGGAGAAATCGCACCCCTTGCGCTGCGCCGTATGCTCACCTGTGTGACGGCAATGGCTTAATGCGTCGGCCCTCTCATTGTCGCCCTTATCACCAACACCGCAGGCACATACTATAATCGCTGGGCATACCGTGCCGTCTTCGTCGCCCAGTACGGCTATGTCGCGATGGCCTTCGCCGGCATTTTCTTTATGCCCGAGTCACCGTGGTGGCTTGTCTCGAAGGATCGTGAAGAAAAAGCTCTCTCCAGTCTCAGCCGCTTCGGACACAGCGATGTCGAAAAGAGTAAGAAGCTCGCTTTCATCAAAGTCACCCTCAAACAGGTCCGCCTCGAAACCGAAGGCGCAACCTACTTGGAGTGTTTCCGCTGCTCAAACCTCCGCAGGACCATCATCTCTATTGCCCCACTTACCATTCAGGCGCTATCCAGAGTCGTCTTTGCAGCCGGGTACTTCACATACTACATGCAACTTGCTGGCTACAGCGACTCGATGAGTTTCCGCTTACAGATTGTGCAGCAAGTCCTCTCTACCGTTGGTTATATCATGTCATGGCAACCCCAATCACACCGGTGCCATCCGAGGCACTGCAGCCATGATCCTCATCTACAGCTGGTGGTACAACTTGACCATTGGCGCGGCTGGGAACACAATCCTTACTGAGTCGTCGACCTCCAGACTGCGCGTCAAAACCATTGCAATAGGCCTGGCTCTGCAGAATGCGATTTACACCATGTAATCTTTTGTGCTGCCTTACCTTTTCAATCCTGATAAGGCGAACCTGGGCGAAAAGCTTGCGTACATCTTCGGCGGGTTTGCGGTATTTTGTTGTTACCTTAGAAAACAACTGCTGATGATTACTACCGAGCTCGATGACAATAATCAGATGCCAAATGTCTAATCATATTCGCATGGTTTCTCGGACCTGAAACGTGCCGGAATAGATTCACTCGATTCCGAACACAGTAGATGAATTAGACGACGCATCAAATCAGAAGAAGGATGACCGTGGAGCATCACTACATTCTTTTGGACTTAGGGTTAGGCTCCTTAAAATTACGACTAACGTATTAAAGGTAAACTAGCTTCAGGCGTCCAATTGTGGGGTTGGTACTGGAGACTTGTATGCGCTACGTATTGAAATATCAGCACCCTGTATTCTGTAAAGCTTCATTGGAGTCGCGTCCTCAATAGCATTTGACAGTACTGTTTTGTAAGGTATGTTTTACTCGTGTATTTTAACATGATACATCTATGAGTCTACCGTAGGACGTAGTACTTATCTAACAACTCCACACGGATAACCACATCCATGTAGTTGAACCCTAGAGGCTCAAAAGAGATGCCAAAGGTATTTGCCATTCAGACACAAGCCTTCGCGCCAGCAGAATAACTCCGCAAACTGCTTCTTGTCCTCTTTTTTGTTTAACTCTTGGTGAAACCTTATCCCGGCCCACTCCTACTACATGATTTCGGCTCTCATTTCATGTTACAATGAATCTAAAAACGGACTTAAACTACTCGTTTTGGAAGTAGGCCAGTGATTTGGGTACGTACTGAAGATCCGTAATCTAGAATCGTACCTGCCTACGACGCTATCATTGATATTCGACACCGATCTACGGGGTATTCTGCTCGCTGCACTGAATCTTGCTGTAACCCCGTGAATCTGGAAAAGATGTACTTTCCAGCTCAGGAAGATAAAATGAGATTCCAACAGATCTCATGTCATCGTTGGTGGTTCTCCACATCGGGTTATCAAGCTGCCAAAAATAGGGACGGGTCAGTATTCGAAATGATGCCATGTTTTTGTATTGTGACAGATAGGGATATTTCTATCGGACCGAATAACCGTTTGACTGGAGTTCCGGAGTCGCTTCAAAGACCGATTCCGACTACCTCGTTGAACGACTACGTCCATATTCTGATTCGTGTTCTTGGCCTTTGATTCATCTATGGATACTCAACAGCAAGGTAAGTTAACGTTGACTTGAAGCTTTCCAACCAGGAAGGCTCATATTAGAAGCCCATTACACATTCATACATGTTAGTAGTACTAAATATTAGAATCCAAGGGTATCTCGGTACCGTTCATTTCTTGCCTCTGGAATAATCATAGAAGCTCTAGAAGCTCTAGTCTTAAGAGTCAAGAATGTCTCCCACACGAAACAGATAATTTACCAGAAGTGCTCCCAGAGCAGAAGACCGCAAGACCGCAATATTCCACTAGTCTTACAATGCTAAAATGCTTATAAACATAATAATCAGTCTAAATCTACCTTTAAAGGTACCATCTTAGCGATGGGCGCAAGATGTCGTTCACAACAACAGTTGTCAGTTCATGAACTATGTGGCGTATGAGTCCTACGGATGGAAAGCAATTAGTTCCTGAGTCGATAATTGTGAAATTGAGCAACATAACTTCGAATACTGGGTCTATTAAGTGAGAAGAACGTCTCATTTCCGAGAGTGTACGGAGGCAGGAAGAGGAAAATCGCTCTTGTTAACATTAAGTGTGTCGAAAAATCCGGGGAGTTTGTAGTTGGATTAGAGAACTATGAATCGCTCATCATCCTCAATGCCCATGAAAGAAGCGGTAATTACAAGAACACAGCAGTTTCAAGACTAGCCGGCTGGAGATTTGAAGGTTGAATGTCCCGCAACGAAAATTTCCTAAAAGGGACATTAGGGCTAGGGCTATAGTTCGAAACCCCTAATTGAGGCATCGTCCGCTTTCTCGTTTGATGGCGTAACACCATGACAAAGCAGTCTAGAATAGTGTAACTAATCAAGAAACCATTCCACTTGTCCATCGGTACTTAAAAATCTCTCCGCGAATGAAATATGTGTGTAGAACTTGAAATCGAGAGCTGCCGCTGATGAAATGAACTTAGATCACAGATCCAGTACGACAAGATCCCGATGCCTAGAAATAAAACTTTGCACCGCTTGCACGAATCTCTCCAGCTCCGACTGAGGCATCTCCAGTATGATAGCTATGAAACCGCGTAGAGTGACCCAGAAACCTGCTTCGAGCATCTCAAGCCAAAATAGAGTTTTCAGCTCTGGGATCTCTTCAACATCATCCGCACATTCAATATGTCGAGGACCCTTCGCGAGGAAATGCGCTGTGAGGAGTGTCCCTATGCCGGTGAAGTATATCCTGGTATCATTTGTCACCTCATTAAGCTGCTCTCTAAATGTATTCCCCGCCTCTGTAAATGCTTTTGCTGTTTCCGGTGTAAATACCGTAGTTAAACCGATGTAGCCGACATGGGTGACAAGTGTGTTATTATTGAATGTCCCCGAGTGAGAAATGGAACCAATCAGTCGAGGATCAAATCCCGCCATGATATCCGCTCTACCGCCGAATGCGCCGAATGCAAGCCCGCCACCCAGATATTTGCCAAAGGTTTTGAGGTCTGGCTTTAGCCCTTGTAGTCTTGCAAGTCCACCATCTGATATTCGTGAAGTCATCACTTCGTCAAGGATGAAGAGTACTCCCGCCTAAGGTATGACCTTGTCAACGCTCAAGTTCAGAGGATATACAAAGGAAGATCTCGTAAGATAGGTGCTCACATCTGACGCAGCTCGCTGGATGCCATGTAAGAATTCCGAAGTCCCACAAATACACCCATTGGAACCTTGCATTCCTTCCACCAAAACAGCAGCAACTCCAGGGCTCTGAATGGCTTCCTTAGCAGCATCCAAATCATTGTACTTCACGACAATCCACTCATCGATGTCAACGTTGTTTGGAGCAGGCTTCCCGCCAGAAAACATCAGGACTCCGCCGTGATAGCCTCCACTGAAGGTGACAACCTTTTTTTTCCCAGTGAATTTCCTCGCTGCTGCTAGAGCATGTAGATTAGCCTCCGTGCCGGAATTAGTAAGTCTCATTCTGTCCAGTTGAAACCGTTTGCAAATCTCTCTGGCGAACAATCTTTCTTGAGTTGTTGTAGCTCCAATGTTCATTCCAACATTTTGAATCACATCATTCATAGCAGAAAGGATGGTTGGGTGGGAGTGTCCATAAAGCGCTGCCGTAAACTCCCCAGCCATATCAGTATAGCTGTTCCGGAGTTAGAAATATGCTTTTATCTTCAATACATTAAAATATCCGAGTGCTCACGTATTTCCCTCTTCAGATGTAACTTGATAGGCTCTTCCGGATTTCATATATATCGGAAAAGGATCTGTGTGAAGTATAGTCCTTGTGTTGCCGCCTGGAAGGACATTGACAGCCTCTTCATGAAGTGACTTTGATCGAGCGTTCAATTCAATATACCGCGACTTAGCCGCATCGAGGGCGGCGAGTAGATGTACTTGATCTTCTGACTGCATTTCGCTATCATGCGGGGGCTGGAAATTCGGTGTTTGGGACAAGGATATCGCTGGATACCCGGGAATCGAAACAGTTGATGCGGTGCTGAAACAACTGCTGCGAAGAATTTTACTATGACGAATGTGATTTTCTATTGATAATTATTATTATGGACTAAATGAGGTGAACCTGTCCCGTTGAGACGAAAGATAAGAGGGAGTGGTCAAAATACCGAACAGCGAACTTTAGATAAGAACCGACCCCAGGTTATAGCGGGGTTCGACAGTGACCGAGTTCGCCGTTATTATGAGGGCTCACCGCCGGGGTCACTTTGGGACTTATAGTCGGTCTGAACTTCCCTCGAAATGAATGTACGATATCCAAGGCCCTACCTGTCGCAGCGGGGAACGATGTGGGTATGGCGCTGCGACAGGTATCAATATCAAATCTGGTCACTGGGGTTAGGGCTAGGGTTGAGCACAGCGGGACAACATTGAAACTGCCAAACTGGCATAGTAGAGGCCATGTGATACACGTATCAAACGGAAATATGTTACATCGACAATAAAGACTAATGGTGTAATTGTTTTAGCTAAGTATATACCAAATACAATACATGGCTGGTTTACAATCTGGGAGAGATCCTGCTTGGGTGCGTGCCCTACACGTCTAGCATGTGAACTTGAAGATGGACATGATCACCAAAATGCAAAAATTTGTGATGAAGAATCTCAATTGCCAGGTGAATTTGATAAATTTATGGATATTATCTAGAAGATGGTAAATTGCAAAAACAACACGAAGTTTGAAGACTGATATGGCAGGCTCTAAAACTGCTCGGTGTACGATGCCAAACATTATTGTATGATTAACAGTTTCATCAATAATAGAGCGACTCATCAAATCCAGAAGCAACATGAATTTCCACGGTACCGGCAGTATATTGTTCTTTGATGTAGACAAGGTCCAGGTACCCATCGCCGTCCCAGTCAATCATTTGCCAAGTACCATTGTCCTCAACGGAGAAAGTTGTCGGAATGCTCTGCACAGTTGTCTGGTAATTGGAAGCGCCAGAGAGGATAGTCACCTCAACGTAGCCGGAGGAAGTATTGATGTTTTGAATATAGGCAAGATCGTTGTTTCCGTCGTTGTCATAGTTAACAATCTGCCACGTGCCATCATTTCCAATGCTGAAGACTGTTGTGACCTCCTTCGTCAATGTCTTATAGCTTGATGCACCTGACGCAACCTTAACTTCAACTTTGTTGGAAGGAGTGTTGCTATTCTGGATGTACACAAGATCCAGTTTGCCATCCCCATCGTAATCAATCATCTGCCACCTTCCATTGATTTGTGCATCATAGACAGTCTGAGTCTGCAGGATGAGAGTTTGATAGTTCGAAGCCCCTGAAGCAATTTTGAGCTCCACCTTTCCCGATGCCGTGTTTCGATTCTGAATATAGATCAAATCCGGGCTTCCGTCGTTGTCGTAATCAGCAAGTTGCCATACTCCATTTATCCCGGGCGAGAACACGGTGTACTTGTTGTAGGCCAGGCTATCGTAGTAAGAACCTGACGAGGCGATCTCGATTTGGACGTTATTCACGCTCGGGTTGTTTGTCTGAATATACGCCATATCGGCTTCATAGCCGCTTTCATAAGAGACCATCTGCCATGTACCATATTCCAATGGAGCTTGAAAGTACGAACCATGTTCCAGGACTCGAGCTTGGTAAGGCGAAGCTGACACAGATTGAGTATGCCATGCCAGCTGGAACAGCGCTGGAAGCAGCGCGTGACGAAACATGACGATTGTAGTGACTAACTTCAGCACAATTGCCAACAGGAACCAAATATATGAAGCTCAGGCTTGTCTTCTACCATAGAAAATACCTTGATAAATCATTTGTAGAATCCAACATAACTGCAACCGGGTGTCTCGAAGTGGGCCTGTCGAACCCGGTTACTTAAAAATCGTGTCCAGAGGGTGTAAGTTGAAATTTTCACTGCTACTTGTTTCTCTCATTCAGGGGTCAACCAGGAAAGGAATATCATATACTTCAATAGTCGAGTCGCAGGATCATGTAGACTCGGTAAAAGCAGCCGATTTTGTCATCAATCATCTCACAGAGGCGTTTCCTGGGATTCATTTTAGCCCAAACTGGGTTCGCGGGATCTGACCGGGCTCAGCTGTAAACCTGCCCATAACTACCTAGGCATGCCTTCTGGCACAGTAACGTGAGAATTATGCAGGAACCGGGATTAAAGGCAATCTTCCACGGTGGTGGCTAGCTGATACTTTGTATGATCATTTTTTCGTTGAACTGGCCGCCTTCGGTTCTAGCCATATTCCGCCTAGTTGCTGAGAAGCTTGCCATTTTAGCACCAGTAATGGAATTTGATGAGCCTATGTTACCTCTTTAGCGCTGAAGTAAGCATTTCTAAGTCGGCTGTTTTTCCCAGGTGTAAGGGCCGTATGGACAGTAATCACGTAGACATCACCCACTGAGTGGAGCCAGTGCTTATGTGTGGCGACAGAAAGAGACTTAGAGCTATAGCTCCTTTTCAATGAGATCTTAGCGTACGTGCCCGACACGAATTGAGTAAAAAAGGGTCATAGTTCGTGATGGTTAAAGCTAGTACTCTGGAGCCCTAGAAATCGTGGCCATGTTACCCGAGGCCTTAGGTAACCCTAACCTATAAATTGAGAGTAGTTAGCCGAGCGTCATGCAACCCCAAGGGGAAAGAAAGCTTATAAAGCTTGTTTACATTGCTGGATCGAAGATTTTACTTCGAAATAATCTCGCGAGGACAATCTGATCTCGCCGTCTCGGTGATGCCGAATAACCATATTTGAGGGAAAGGGGGAAAACGTTAGCTCAGAAAACGTAGTTAAGTGAAGTGGATAAATCTTGAGAATTTCAGGACATAGTGAAAAAAAAATCGTTTTTATAGCTTTTGTATGTTTGAAAGCACATGCATGGGGCATTGATTCTCTAGAAAAGAAGTCAGCGTTTATATTCTGATATGATATGTGTAAGATTCGATCTTCCTATTCCTAGCTACGTAAGTACTGAGTGCGAAAAAGCTGGTGAAAACTATTGGAATTCGGCTGTCAGAAATCGAATCTACTAGTGATTAGCATTAGTAGAAAGTGGCTTCAGGGCACTGTACTATTGCGAAGGCTGTCGCAGCGCCGCTAAAATCTGCTCCCTTTCTCCACACGAAGTCCAATGCCCTAATTTCCCGAAAAGGAAAGGGACACGATGAATTTGATGAATCCTGCCGACATTCATCATGGGAATTACATATAGTGATGGTATTTTGAGTCAGCTTGGTTTTTGACACTTCTGATTTTTTATCCTATTTTCTGTCACTCATTTGTTGGCTTGATGAATTTGAAATACCACTTACTATGTGGTCGTCGCTCTTTACTCCATTGAGCATATTGCTCATTACTACATTCGTTTCAGGTCTCTCAGGAAAAGATGGTGTCAACGGTCCGAGTGATAAACTCTGGACCATCACGGTGACAAGCACTAGCTATACAACAGTTTGCCCCTGTACCACAGGCGTCCTTTCTCTTCCAACGGAGCTCACTTCATTCCCAACCTCCAGTGGTTTTGAATACTCCTCCGCCTCACTTGTGTCAATAACTACTTCCAGCTACTCATTAGGACAGAGCTCCTTAACCCCTGAAGAATCGGGTGCCGCCAGCACGTATAGTCCTTCCGTTACATCACACTCATCGAGACCCAGTCAGTCTTTCGTATCTTCTTCTTCGGCTGTGAACCAAAACTCGTCCAGCAGCTCACGTTATATACATGGGTCTACTGAAACATCCATTCCTTCAGTATCTGGTTACACATCATCTCCTTGTACTAATACAATTGTGGGTTCTACACACATTCCTTCTGGGTTCCAATCCTCCTCAGTCATTCGGCCTTCTGCTTCTTCTACACCAGCACAATCCATTGGCCCTCAATATTTGTCATCGACGATACTGTCTCAAACGTCAGCAGCATATGCAAGTACGGGCTTGTCTGGTAGCTTCCAGCTGTCATCTAGTTCCTCGGTCCCCATCAGGTCTAGCTCGAGTGCGCGTATCACGCCCTCTCAAACAGTACGATCATCAAGTGCTATACCGCACCCATCTTCGACGCAAACGCCCTTGATTTTATATGTTGAGCCTAGTCAGTTGGTTCGCAAACGGCAAACATACAACAGTGCAGTCCTGATTGGATCCGGGTCCTTGACAGCCAGCTGTGCAAATGCCGATGTCTTCCATGTCGATGGAACAAGTCTCTACGATGGGGACTTTTTGGTTTCCACAAATCCAGGAGTTCTTCAGACTAAGTTCATTGGATCGCAGATCCCCGGAACTATCAGCGGTAGCTTCTCTGTTGCAAAAAATATGCTTGCGTGGACGAATGACGCCTTTCCTGCAGGCCAGGCCTTGTTCTGTGTCTCAGATGACATTGTATACGCAGTATTCGATGGCAATCTACCTTCAGGCTGTACGCAGGTCTCCATCGCTGCTGTACCATACTGTAAGTTGATTCTCCCAGTAAACGAACTGTTTGTTTCCAACTAGTTCTCAATGGCTGATCCTATTTTGCGCAGCTTCCATATGTTCCGGAGGCACTGCTTCAAGCAGTTTTCATCCAATTACTCCATCTCCTACTTCAACTGCAACCAGCATCCCTACCTGTGCTGCTGGTTCGGATCCGGAGCTTAGTACTACCGTTCTTCCTGCACTTGATCCAAACATTGATTTGTCCTCCCTCCTCAATTTGTCTCCTTCAATGTACGCAACGCTCTATTATGCACAGCCTTATGGTTCAACTATTGTGCAGGTTGTCTACACTATGCTCTACTCACAGGTCACTCTGGAGAACTCTCAGAACATTGATACTGTTACCTGCTCTGGGGGTAACACTATGACCATAGTGACTAAGACTAAGGTGGCATATAACATTATCAACCAATGGCCTCAGTCAGACTTGATCCTGATTACCAACACGGCAAGCTGTAACTCCGCGTCTCAAAGAGGAGTTTATACGGTTACATCGTATACTACGGATGAGTCCAATCTCACTATCACACTAAAAATCAGTGCAGCAACCTGGACCGATGTGTCTGAAACAATGCAGATAAGCTATGGTACTGGCGACACAAATTCCCCAAGTTCAATCTCATATACGCCTTCCTGTTCAGCTCCGATTGCTACTACTACTTCACTTGGCTCCGCTACCAGTACCGATGTTTCCTACGTCGATCTTACCCCAGAAGAAAAGAATATTGTGGCCTATCTCACGAAGAATAATACGTATGATGACAATGGCAACATCGCGGTTACCATGCCGGCTTCAACATCAAATTTGACAGCTCCTTCCTACAATCCTGCATCAAACTCGAGTGAACAAGCGGCTCTGGAAGATGCTCTTCAGACAGCAGGGTTGCCATCTCCCGACTCCCTATGGCATAAAACTGCGAATAACCTAGCTGGTCACTGCTCAAATGGTGTATACGTGCCCCCAACAACGGTTTTTACCAAGCGCGATCTACCCCTGATTCAGCATAACGCCGCCACCGCTAAGGATTCAAGACGTGTCCTCGCAAAACGCAGCGGTGATATCAACGACTCAAAATGGTGGAAGTATCTCTGGGAAGGCGGATGTAATGATATCGTGGATGAGATTATTAAGGCCATTAATAAAGAAGCTGGAGAAATTGTTGAACTGATCTGCGCCATGAAAGAGCTTTACGATGATGTTGACGAAGCTTATCAGAATCGTGATGCTATCAAATGCGTGTTCACCGGATGCTATCTAGAGGAGACCATTGCCACTTATTGGAATTACACGTACTCCTGGACTGCGGACTTTGATATTCCTCCTCAAACCATCGTATCGTCGCGTGTTGGAACTGTCAAGTGTGTCGACTGTTCGCTAAGCTTCTCTGAAGTTCAATTTGTCGGCAGTGTCATGATTACCACTAAAACCGGCGCAGTTGAGAGCGCTTATATGACTCCGACAATGAGTTGGACAGCGGATCTTGTCATGAGTCTTGATACTACAGGCGCTTGGTCCAATGAGTGGGACTACACCTTCTCAACGCTGAATTTCAACAACCCAATTACAGTTCCAGGAGAGTTCACGATCACACCTTCCATGATATACAGCTTGGGAGTCCAATGGTCAACTACGGATGCTGTTAGTTTCACAGGTGGTGCGTCTATGAGCGTCAACAGTGGTAGCATGTACCTCGATTTCAAAGAAAGCACGGCTACACAGATTTCCAACTGGTCACCACATGTTCAGTACACCTATCCCGTGTTCACGACTGCGGCAACAGTTTCATTCATCCCAATCATGAGATCTTCTCTATCTATCGCCGTCGAAATCCAGAATCAGCCCTACAAAGCACAGCCAATCTATATCAACACCGCCTCGGCGGTAGGATTCAACGCAGCGCTGATTGAAACAGACGGTGGCGCGTGCCCTGCTGGTCAACTTATGATGACATCCTACACGGATGTCAGCAGCAATGTTTCCTTCTCCGGAGGACCTTCGCAAGTTCTTTCGAATACTGGTGATGTTGCTGGCCAGATGAAGTGCTTCGCCGTTCCCAATGATATCCCGACTGTAGATGAAGTGAACTCCCTACGCAGTCAAGGTGCTGCATTCTGCACATCGTACCTCAGTTATACCCCCCCAACAAAGGTCGCGTACGCCGTCACTACTACGACCGGTCCGAGTACGACGCACATAACTCTTCCCACGACAATTTCCACCTCATCGACGGTCTATGTGTTCCCAACCATCACGAGCGTTTTCGTTCAAACTACTACCGTGAACCCGACCTCGTACGTGACTGCCAGTGGTTCCCAGTCTCTTGGTGACTCGTACATGCGCAAAAGAGCCCTTGAAACTGCTGCACCTATGAGGGTGAATAATAACCCTATAAAGCCCACGCAACCTCCTGCTGCACACCAACTGTTGGCACGAACAATCACCTCGACACCAGCTTTTGTATCTACCTGGGATGCTAGCAAGCTCTCACTCGGATGTTCACAGGTTGCTACAGGAACTGTGACTACAACATTTTACAGCTCGACAACAACTGCCTACTCAGGTGTGGTCACCAGTACCGCTTATAGTACTGTAGACGTTCTCGGAAAACTCTATACTAATACCTTCGAGCGAGTTGTGGTTTCGTATACCGCAACGACAATCACTGGTGCTACGACTGCTACAGCAACTGCTACAACAGCAAGCAGCTGTCCGCTCCAAACTCAAGTCTCTTGTTTCACAATCACTGGCACAGGACCTGACCATATCAATGGAAAGCAACTTTACATGTCTGATGGCCAAGCTTCCCCGGTTTGGGGTGGATGGGGAGCGGGTTATGAATTGGCGACATTCTATCTGACATGCTCCGGAGATCTCGTCGCACTGCCTTCCATGAAGGTTCTGTCGACAGCAGCGGATATGTGGATTGAGTTCGGGAACTTCACAAGTAGTAGCTCACCTACGAATCAGAGGTGTATCCAAGACACAGCTGCCGGTACATTGAGTTGTGGTGCTGGATGGTATGCCATGAAGCCTGTTGCGACAACCATCAACGATTTCAGAGCCTTCAGTGGATATTGGCAGCCTATCTGGAGCGATGGCTCGAACAATGACATACTGACACCAATAACTTTAACATATAACAACGCAACCTGCCCGTGTCAGTACTGATCGACTGTACATCTGTGGACGAGGGAGGTGGTCTGGAGATTGATGGCTGTTTATTCCCGAAAATCGATCGATAATTCTTCTCAATGTGGTATCCTAATACATATGTTACATATTGAATCTAATTAGAAAGCAATCTTTGTTCGAAGAGTACCCACACGTATAAACATCTGAAATAATGTACATATCACTTGAACTAGTATTGGCTACGCGTATAAAGACATTTCTTTTAGTATCCGTCGAAATCTTGCGATAACGAGCATAATTCTAGAATGCAACCTGCCAATAGCCGGGCCGGTTCTAGTAGTAACCGCTCAAGGAACGCTTCTGCGGTACTGTGCTTTGAATCCTAGGTCTAGCGTTCGTGGTAGTGGTATTGTTGGATGGACTATCTGTGGGAATCTGGAGGTTGGTATGCTCTAAAATGGAGCGATAATTGCTCTCTCCAAGAATCTCCTTCAGAGGCCCCTTTTCCGATAGTTTCTCCAGCACAGAATTTGCGATGCGTGCTCTTTTAACCCACGCGTTGAAGTAAGAAACAAGCATAGCATTTGTTTTCTCGACACGTAATTTGTATGGTGAACCCCTTTGGATGGTGTCTGTGGAAAAGTAGGACCTATCGAGTTGCTGCTCTAGGTGTTTTCGGCGTTTTTCTGCTAAACTGAAGTCCCGAGTCCTCACACTTTGGTCATCAATGAATTTGCGTAAATCCATGCAGTCAGAACAGGTGCAACGGATATTTGTTTTGGCTTTGAAATCCGCTGGTGGAGGGCTAGCTTTTTTGACAAAACCATTCACATAGGATTTCAATAAACCAAAGAGGAAGTCCTTTTCTCCAGCGGTCCAAGATCGTTTTGTCTGTGCTATATCCTCACAAATCCCCATCGCTACAGGGAATAGAAATTCATGAAAAGCGCTCGCCGCTGCATCACCCCTGACGTTATTGGCATATCTGGCAAGAACATTCATCACACCATCCGTGTCGGTCTCCATAGAACTGGCTAGCTTGATCAACTTGATCACTAATGTGGGAGAAATGCAGATATTCTTCCACCCATAACTAGTGTGGGAGTTTGTATGAGCTCCACTAAAGCTCAGATTTGATTCGTGTTCAATCTTGAAAGACTGGATAGCCTTTGGAAACAAGCGCCTTATCATTCCAGCTATCGCATCCTCATGTGAATTTTCTGCCGGCAAGCACTCGTTTGCAGATATAATGAACGAGGCAATAAAAGTAGTGTTCTCCAAATGGTGTTGTAAGTATTCCTCGATTCTACTCATTGTTAGTAGTGTAGTTACTGGGCTTAAGGTGTGTCTTACTTCTTCGTAAGTGACCCAGATACAGGCAAATTAGATAGCGATTTTGCCAGCTTTTGTCCATCAGACTCCGAACCTTCCAGTTGAGCGGAGATTGCATTGAGAAACATCACATTTTGCCAATCTATTACCTCATTCGAAAGCGATCGGTTCGTCTGTGTACAGACTGATTGGTATTCTTTCATAATATCGGACAATATGTGCAATCTTGGTCCAGATCTGTGCCCGTATTGGTCTGTGCCCTTGATCATCGTGTCCAGACTAGAAGATAAAGTCAGTAAAATAGCTCGATCAATGCTAACTGTGACTTACGGCTTGCGTATGGGGGTTATTCCATGATCAGCGATAACCTGGGCGATCAAGGCTATATGAGAGTCTGAGAAGTAACCAGCAAGCAATAAAGCCCGACCAAACAGTCCAAAGTCGGTGAGTTCCAACGCTCTCTTCATGATTAGATCCTGTAATTTCTCGAAAGTGTCATCGCTCGTATAAGATTTCAACGAAGTTAGAATGTTTAACACATGTGTTACTCGTTTCCGAGTCACAACTCCGTCCGATTGTTCATTTAGTATATGTTCACATTTCCCCATTATATGTCTGCTATTGCCTCGACCACTTTTCACCTGTTCGATTTCAAAAAGAAAGCTGACTTTCTTTGGAATAATCAGTATACCCTGGACATCGACCGTCAGAAATGAAGAACGGAAACGGGAATCAACTTTCGAATGCTAACTTACTGTCTCTCGGAAAAAGTGAGTTGCATGAGCACCTTCGTTGCCAGTAAAACCTTCAAAATCTTCATCATCCGGATCCCGCTCAAAAATATCACTCTGGACTATCATGCTTTCGGGGAATGACAGTTTTGCTCCGACTACTACGCCTTTGGTATCCACGACATGCAGTAATTCAAGGCTAGACTCATACACCTCCTCGAGATTATGAAAATCTTTACCGTTAAGTCGACGGCCACGGCCGTAACTGCCGTAGTAATCGTCGTGGTAATCATCCTCATATACATCTCCCGTAGTCGTTTTCTCGATATTTGCCAGGTAAATCTCACAATCGTTCTTGCGGCAGGCTTCCTGTAACTGGAGAAAGCGATGCTGATCAACTCCCTTGAGTCGAGAGGGTCTGAGCTCTGCAATGGAATACTTATGATCGAGTAGATATACAAGTGCTGGAGGGCAGTCGTCTTCAATATGGTCGCTCCAACTCCGTAGATTATGCATCGAATTCTCAACGGCACGAGCCCACGAAGCAAGCAGCTTGCTGAGATAGCCCATCTCACTGTCACGAGCTTTTACGATCATGGCTGATGGGCGGTGTATCATATTGTAAACAAGCACAATTCTATAGCCGGATACAACGGGTTTCACCTCGTGCATGACGTCGGCATACCAGGCAGCCCATGAGAAGCCAAATTCGGAGTTTCCCGCCGTGCTGAATATCATTTTTTTATCCTTATGTGAGGCAACCACATCACCTCCCTGATGTTTTGAGGGAAGACTGACAACGAGTGTCGCAAACATGCCGTCTGCCTTTTCTGAGTCCTGATGTGGTAAGAAAAAAGCGCCCTCTTCGTATATGAGCAATTTATACAGCTCTGCCTTGACCTCCTCTGGGTTTGCGGTAAGGCCTAGGCCCGTAATAGCCTCTTTTTTGAAATTGTCAAGTTGCGCTTTCCAAAGCGGGTTCTGAAGAGAAAACTGATTGGCATCAAGTTGCCAACTTTTGCGCACCGATTCATTCACCAATGTCTCGCTTCCCTTGCCGTAAGGGCTCATTCTGGAAGATTGAATCATAGCCTTCACTTGATCGGGTGTGACAGGAAGCCCGATGGCTCCAATACCAGGAACGTGAAGACCAGGAATAATAGCAGTAGATAGTTCTTTCGCTGTTATGAACGTGCCATTTGATTGGATTTCTGACAGGGTATCCAAGAGATTCCCTTTCAGTTCAGAAAGATCCTCCATGTCCTCGCTCTCGGAAGTATCATTTTCACCCTCAGAAAGACTGACCTTCATTTCCTTGTTCGCGCGAATGTCATTTTCATTCTCAGAAGTGTCAATGTCAGAAAGGTTGATTTCACACTCGATTGGCTCCATTTTAGTTTTATTCCTTAATGTTCATGTGTATTGATGGGAAGCTAGAGTCTCAGACATCAGCTAAAGGGGTTATCAACCTCAAGATGGAGGGGTTGCCAAGAGTTAAAATCCTACGGATGTGCCCATCACTTTCCCCTTTTTTCACTGACGCGTATCAAACTACCATAGGGTTAGGGTTATTAAATCTAACTTTATCATGCTACAAGTACAACCTTTAACACTCTCATTGTGTCTAGCAAGTTTGCGTGCGAGGAATATTATTTGAAAATATTTGATGAATGATGAAATGGCATACCAATACGAATCTATAAGTGCCGGGCTTTGAAGCACGTCGGGTAATAACACAATTGTAGCACATGTTGCTGGCATGTCGGGAATAACTTGCAGGGCCGATGTATTTCTATAACCCGGCCAACTTACTACTTATTCCGGAGAATGGCGGTCATGATTCTCAAGAGTATCATCCGCAGACACAGAAATCCCTCTCGCACCCCAGCGAGAACGAGTATGTTCATCGCCCTCAGCCTCAGGGTCCAGCGGCTCCTGTTCCTCGTCCTGGTTGTGGATCCTCTGCGAGTTCAAGATCTTCCCAACGAACCAACTCTTTCGAAGATCATCTGAATCGACAATGCCGCCGCGTCGGAGTTTCACTCGTTGACGTGTGTAGTATACCCAGGCAAAGTCGAGGTAAAGTAAGGTCTGCACAACGCCGAAGAAATCGGCGATCGGATCCCAATAATGCTCGGGTCCAAAGCCACGGACTAGCCAGTTCAGGATATACAAAGCTCTGTATGAGCCGAGAGTGATCAAATAGTATGAATCAATCACCGTCGGAACGGTTGTTTGGCGTAGTAAGAGAAGTTGCGGCAAGACGCACACGGATTCGAGAATGATCGAAAAAGCCCAAAGTGTCTATGACGGAGGATCGGTTAGCGGTTAGTCAAGTCTAGAACTAGCGCATTGCAGCTTGAATCATACCTCTGTGAACCAGAAAGACGGATAAGACCTATGACTTGCAGCCGCCCAAATTAAGAGCGAGATAGGTGCGCCAATCAGTGCACCTAAAACGCACCACGCGGCTAGCTTCCATGATCTTTCCCGTTCGCGTGTCCGGGGAAAGAAGTATGTCATCAATACGATAATATATATGGACGAGAGGATATAGAATAGCTTAAAGAATATGTTGTATGCATATTCCATTGACCACTGATGAAAGATATCGAGATATCTCGTCAGGAAGACGAGAGCGTATAGAATCTGCGTAAGGAGAGATACTCCTAAACAATCAATTTAGTTAGAATGGCCCTTATTTCGAAATTTGAAGAGAAATTGAGAGATCGACTATTTCGTACCCTCGGAGCTACGATTCCGATGAATAGCCCAGATCAAGATACATTTCGACGAAATATGCGCCAAATCGCCGAGGATCCGAAACACATTCATAGGCATGATGCAGTGTTTCGCTGTAGCGCTATGAACAAACTCCCATGAAATGTGCTGGTCGTATGTCAAAACCAGGAGCTTGAGCGAAGTGGCATAACCGGAGGTCGGTGGATATACACTCTTCGGCAACTACACAGAAGTGCGCGTGGTTGGTGCGATAGAATCTCTGCTGAAGAGGATATAATATTGTAAGAAATGGCACGAAATATAATTTCAGGCGAGTCTTTGCAGGTATTAATAGTTGCTTAAGTGGCAGGTAACATGAAGCTCGGGGAACGAAGGTAAAGCCCAGCACCTCACGAGCTAGGCTGCGACGCCACGTCAGGGCAGGTCATTTTGACCAATAGGAAGCTACAATGCGAACGATGCACGTGACAGTCCTTGATCATTCCTTATGATATTTGAAACAAGTAGGCTTACTGTTTTACTAGTAGATTTATGTAATAGACAATGTGTACTCACCGTCTAGACGTACCTGCCAAAGAGAACTAGTCTTGATCATAGATGAAGGTGGAATGAATGTGAGAAAACTAGGACAAATAGTCTTGAATATTGCTATGAGACCTGAGAAATAGTTTTAACTGCCGAAAAGACAGTTTCGGTAGACAGCAGTGTTGTCGTAAGCATGCAGTCTATCCATTTGAACAATGCTAACTTTTCGTTCATTATCACACGTAGAGGATGATCTTCTGTCTGAAGAAAAGATTTTCCGCTTGCTCTCCATTGTATCAATGTCCGTTCGATATTTCGGTTTTACCGTCCTCTTTATTTCATTTCATCGAGACATTCCAACACTAAGTATCCTAATCCGAACATGTTCGCAGCATTTAAGCAACGAGCTCAATGACACCACCAGCCTCCTTGATCTTGCGCTCAGCTTCCTTGCTGACGTAGCGAGCCTTGACAACGATGGGGACTTCAGGAAGACGGCCCTTTCCGAGGACCTTAGCGTAACCCAAAGAAAGGAGATCGAGAACGATGGCCTTATCGGAAGGAGCGTTACCAGCGACATACTTCTCGCGGGTCTCCTCGGGGACGAGAGACCAGAGCTGTAGTACCATAGTTAGCGCGATCCCACTATATTTTTTATCCTCTCATCACACAAATATATGATGTCTCTGAGGAGGAATTGGCGGATGGGATTTATTTACCTTGTCGAGGTTGATGGTGGGCTTCCAGTAGTGGTTGCGCTGGAGATGGAAGTGTCTCATACCAACCTTACCGAAGTAACCAGGGTGGTACTTGTCGAGGTTAGTACGGTGGTGGTGCTATATCCAAACATGTTAGCTATCGATACTCCGTTTGTTTTTCCTTTTCAGCAAAAGATTCATACCTGACCACCGGCCATACCACGACCACCCGGGTGCTTCCTGTGCTTTCCAATACGACCATGACCGGCGGAGACGTGACCGCGGTGTTTCCGCGTCTTGGTGAGTCTGGTAGGCATGGCGGCGGTTGTTGTCTGTTGCTGTCGACTTCCAGATTGCAAGGAGCAAGAATGAGAGGCCGCCCAGATCAGATTGGATTGTGTGTTCTTCGCTTAGAGCCGAATCAGGTTAGCGCATAATTTTTTGTGCGCCAGAATAGAGTTGGTGTGGGTCTGAGAGATTATTGGCTCATGGATAGCGGATCCACTAGCCGGCTTAGGCTAACCATTTTGAGAGAGGGGATCTGTTCCCCCGCGTCCTTCTTTGCGACCAGAGCTGCAGCTTATATCAAAGACGACTGTCCTTATTTGACCTATGCTCTAGCTTAGTAGCTCGGCCTACCACCGCTCAGGGATGCAAGCTCTGATATTACCAACATGCGACTCATCAAAAGCAGCATTGAACACAATGGCTCCGGGGCCGTTACACTATGCCCCGAGGAGCCTGAAGATATGGTCTGTTGTTCCAAACCAAAAAAAATATGTTAAGAAGACACTAAATTTGACTGTCTTTCATTACAGTGGCATGCCTATAATCTCATCCGGCCAAACGACCTCCTGCGGGCCAGCGCAATTCGCAAAGTCACCACAGCACAAGACAGCGGCACAACAGTATCACAACGAGTACATCTCATGCTCCAAATCCGTGTAAAGGGGCTAGACTTCGACCCAAACAGTTCACAGTTACATGTAAGCGGGCAAATCATGAATGAGACACAGCATACAAGAATAGGGCAACATCATACACTCGACCTGGAATTGCATCGCAATTTCACGTTAGAGAAAGAGGTCGGTGCGGAGGGGGAAGGGGTGGGATGGGATAGTATCGCTATTGATATGCTGAAGGATGCAGTGGATGAAGGCGGGAAAAGAAGAGCGGAAGCTGTTGCCGTTGTGATGCAGGAAGGACTGGCTCATATATGCTTCATCACACAATTCCAAACGATATTAAAACAGAAGGTTGAAATGTCAATTCCGCGAAAACGCGCTGGAGGTGGGGACCATGATAAGGTTTGTACTGCATTTCTTCTTGAAAGATCCAATAGAGCTGGACTTAACATTATACAAAGGGACTATCAAAATTCTTTCAAGTCACCTTAGACACACTGCTCCGCCAAATAGAGTTCAATACAAATATAACATCCAGCAACAATAACGACGACTCGTCGAGGCCGATCCTCCTAGCATCGCCAGGATTTGTCGCAGCAGGCTTCCAGAAGTATATTCAATCCGCCGCCTCGACAAACATGCCTTCTTTAAAGAGACTTTTACCGAGTATCGTGGTAGTGCACTCGGCTTCTGGATATCTCCATTCTCTCTCCGAAGTTCTTCAGTCACCGTCCGTCCGAACGCTGCTGTCAGATACCAAGTACGCACGAGAAACAAAGTTAATGGACGACTTTCTAGACCACTTGCGCAAGGACACCAACAAAGCAACCTACGGACCTCGAGAAGTCGAACACGCTGTAGACCAAGGCGCTGTTGGGAGAGGTGGAGGCGTTCTCATAATCTCAAACAGATTATTCCGTTCGCAAGATGTGGCCGAGCGGAAGCGCTGGGTTGGGCTAGTTGATCGTGTGCGCGAAGTTGAAGGCGGAGAAGTTCGCGTATTGAGCTCAGATCACGAAAGTGGGAAGCGACTCGAGGGATTGGGTGGCGTTGCTGCACTTTTGACATTCCCAGTTGCTGAAGAAGATTTTAGTTCTGATGATGATGATAATGACGCGCATAACGACCAACAGCATGCTATTGAGGCGCATTAGTGAACAATAGATAGATATAATAAAATATATAACCAAGATTTTATATACCATAGCAAACCCGGTGTTATTGCCCAAGTTCCTCGAGGAGAACATCGCTATATGTTGGGAATGGTCTCCCATTTTGTGCAATATCTCCCACAATCGTACGATTCACTTCAACATTGTCAACCAAAGCCAACCATACTATCAAGATCTCTCACGTCTTGCGTTGATAGAGGCAAGTCGCCAAATTCGTCTTCTACATCGACGTATGATTGAGGATATGATTTTTCAGCCAGAAGGGTCTTCGTATCTTGGTTGACACATTTCTCCGGTAATGAATGGAGATGGCCTCTTTGCTGCAAAGAAGACGACGCTACTGCCACCGACTTTTTGAAAGCGTCCACAGATGGCGCGCTGTAGATCGATGCACTGTTCACATTTTTATTGATATTAGGGCATTCCAATTGCTGCTTCTGGACAGGCTGTTGATTTGGTGCCCAGACCTTTGGTGAAGGCTGATGGGCGGATGTGCCCAAGGTAGTATTCCGCGATGCATGGCTGAATTTTGTCGGAGTCAAATTGTTGGCAATATGGCTCACATATTGTGTATTAACAGTTTTGACATTTGGTAGAGCATGTATCGGCGCCGAAGAAGATTGAACAACAGGATGCGTCACTGGTTCTGCATCTAAACCTTTCGTCTTATTGAGATCATGCGAGACCGCCGTCGGCTTGGGATTCTCAAAATTTTCAAGAATGGTAGGATCAAGAGTTTGCAGCAGAAGAGATGTGTCGTCTTCGAAAGACTCGCTGAGACTGTTCACAGCGGGCGGGGCCTCTAACATACTTTGCGCTGGTACTTGTGTTTGTATAGCGTTATGTGTTGTAGCAGAAGAGTTCAAACTTTTTTGGCTGTTCTCTATGCTTGCAATATGCTTTTCCAAATCGATGTCATCCAACAAGTCATCTCCGAGCTCAGTTTCAAGGTCACTGAAGTCTTCCGAGACGCAATTAACTGCTTCTTCTGTCTTACTGGGTTGTTGCTGCTGTTGTAACACATCCGCCTCCTCCTGTACAGGAGAAATGTGGTGATCACCATGTCCATCATCTCCAGACTCATCCAATTCCTCTCCTTCCGAATTTTCTGGCTCCAGGTTTGTTCCAAAATCTTCCGCTTCTTCTTGGATTTGTCCTTTCACTTCATCCAGCTTACTATTCCTCCTCGCCCCAAGGAAATTCACCAGCAAAGGCTGACTAGCCGGAATCTTGACCGTATTCGGATCCGGAATCCCCAATCTTCTTCGTTCTTCACGTTGTTTAGCTTCCTTTTCAGCTCTCTTCTTCTTATTCGCTAACTTCCTTTTCTCTCTTTCCCGGAGTTGTTTGGCTTTCTTCTCTCGCTCTTCTTCCCTTTCAATCTGTTCGATTTGGGACGCGGTAAATTCGAAGCGTTTGTTCGATCTTTGGTATCTTCGGCGCACTGTCCGAGACTTTTCTAGGATCCGGCGTGGTTGTTGCTGTTTGTGCTGGCCGTGGGTGGGCATTGCAGTTTTCTGCTTCTGTTGATATGTCGCTAGCGGCGTCAGTAGCGACGACAGGTCCGATATAACGAGGCATCGAAAGAATATAGATCGTCTGTATCAAGAACAGGGGATTGATGTGATTTTAAAATCATTTGTTCTACGGAACAGAAGAGGATAATTGTAAACAAACATTGTCTGACAAATGATTGGCAGAAACAGGGGCAGGCGGTGAATACTATACTGGTAAATGGCATTGGATTGTTCACTAAGAAAAGTATACTACATATTCTACAGGAGCTCTCTACGATTGTGCAAATGGTCATGCTTTTCTTTTTTTGAATGTTTGAAATTTGATTGCACTTCTGTTTTATTTGCCAACACAGAACCCATGCGATACATCATCAAATGAAGCTTCAAATGATAACCCGGTATGACATTCGGAGATTATCATCAGACTTCTTCAAGAGGGTTTTCACTTGAATAGCATTGCATGTAGCCCAGTCGACATCGTAAACCACGGTTGTCGGAAAGGATATCGTATAACCGCTCTCCAAGCTCAAATCATGTGGCAGCACGTCTATGTAATCGTCCACAACCGCCCACCAGATTTTTTGTACCAATTGGGGATAAATTGGTATATCGGAAAAGAAGAGATATTTAAGGAGGATAAGTTTGGCGGATTGTTTTCCTTCTTGTCGAGTGATTCTCAAAAGGGAAAAGAGAAAAGGTGACCATGAATTTTGAAAAACTCCAGGGATGGAACAAAGAAAAAGAAGAAAATGCGAGAAACCAAGTTATTCATTCACACATGTGGATGTAAATTAGATAATTTACTCGTCATCTTCCTCCTCCTCGTCAACGGTGGTCTTGGCAATACGGTCCAAATCACGTTGGCCGCTCTGGGTGATCCGTCGGCCACCCTTCTCTTCGTCAATCTCAACGACACCAATCTTCTCGAGGGCCTGGAGTACTCGGCGGTCGACCTGGCCGGAGGCATCAACGTGGTGGGAAGGGCGAGAGCCACGGTTCTTGGGGGATCCATGGACCTTGCGGAGACGGCCAACGCCGACGGTCTTGCGGAGGTAGATATGACGAGCGACAGCGGCGGCGCGAACGTAGAACCTGTAAAATTCCGATTAGAGGACGTTTTAGTCATGAGAACGATTCGGTAGCATACCAGTCAGCGTCCTGGGGAGGGAGCTCGTTGGAAGCGGAGGTCTTGACAGTATCGACCCAACCTGTGAAGAGTCAGAATTTGCTACTCATAACAGTGCGTCATATTGTAACTCACCAGGGATGGCGAGCTTTCCCTGACGCTTCAAGAAAGCGGAGTAAGCGCCGATGAACTTTTGGGCCTGGAAAATGGGAATGTTAGCCTCGATGTCTAGAAACTTTATATCAAAATTTCTCTTCAATGTCCGTATCGCATTTCACATTCTCTCGTCTGTATCTTTGGTGCCAATTCTGCGTATATCATAGATCCAACGTCGTATGTCAAACACCCAATGAATATCTTTTCAATCCCATAAGCGTGTCCGACAATCTCTAATCCTTATGCATCCATTTCTTCCCAGATTTGCGCAAGCCCAGGCATAGACGAAGAGGTGCGAAAAACCGATAGCCAGAGAAATCGGCAAGAATCCTTCTTCTCGCGATAGTTCGCCCACAAGAGAACCCGCAAAATCTTCCAACAAGAAAGAAACATAGAGTAGGGTGGCATCTTACATCGACGTCCCGGACTGTGACACCACCCATATTTGCGACTTTTTTTATTCTTCGTTTAAAAAGACTTGTCGAAGAAACGGAATACGAGGGCCGGTGGTTCGTCGAAAAGAAAGTGTCGTCGTCGTCTTCGAGATTAGAGACATTAAACTGGTTGCCGAGTTTGGGTGGTTAATTGATCGCGAAGATTTGTGGGATTACCTAAGCGGATTTTGTGCGGGAGCGGGTTTCGCTTGGCCTTTTTCAGTTAGATTGAGTTTTGGAGAATGTGATTGGTCGCTGGTTTTGAGCTTCCCGTATTGGCCTGGTTTGTGAGGCAGGTGTTGGATGTCTGATACGCTAATCCCATTCTGGACGACCTTACTAATCGGTGAATCCCCGGAAAAACACAATTGCCGATCCCAGGTTTGGCACAATATCGACAGCCCTATTTTTGGATTCAGGATTGCTATTTTGCCACTATATTGTGTATATAAAGAGGATCAAGATGCGTAGCTAGCTGTGTTTTAGAGAGGGTGCAAATCAGAGTCAATTTATTCCTCACCCAGATTGTACGCTCCTATCAGAGCCTAACCCCGTTCGGACTAGTACCAAAAGATTCCAATAGCAGGCAGATGTCACGTGGCTTCACGTTGTGTTTTGTAGGGATCTGCTTACTCCACTCTCTGCAAGCAAGGCATAGGACAACCTTGGTGGAATGAAGACTGCAAGAAAGCTTTACACAATTACGCTCAGGCCTCTGCTCAAAGACAGACTTCCGCAGGATAACTAGATGGTCTCAACGACAATTTTGGCGAGAGAAGCTCTCTACGGTAACACAAATGAAGGATGTCTTTAATATGAGTAAATGGGAGTAAATGGCATAAGTCCACAGGCACCTTCCGAAGCCCTCCACTGAAGAATCCACTGAGACCCAATAGCCTCCCAGCAGTTACTATACATGAGAAACGAGACGTACTAGTCCGTAATCTTCTCCAAAACTTGGCTGAGGTAGGAGACATACCTCTGGACTCCCCAGCAGTCCCTACCACTAGTCTCTACTTCCCAGATATAATAATGACATAGATGGAGGAGTCAGTACTTCAGGCAGGAAACATAGCCCCTGGCTCAGACGAAATCCCAACCTGTAAACTCAAAGTGGCATGGCCTCTGATTAAGGATAAGGTACTAATGTTATACCAAGAGTGCCTAAAGATTGATTATCACCCAAAATGCTTTCGACATGCAATCTTAGCAATTATCCAGAAACCAAAAAAGACTGATTGGTTCTTACCCAGATTATACAGACTGATTGCTCTCTTATCAGTTCTTGGCAAAGGACTTGAGCGCTTAGTGGCACAGAATATGGCATGGATCTCTATACACTACAAAGTATTAGCAAGGCAATAGTTTGGGGCTCTCCCACTAAGATCTATAAATGATCTGACCACATGCCTAACACATGATATTGAACAAGCACTAAATCAAGGCATGACTGCCTCACTCCTTACCCTAGATGTCAAGGGCGCTTTTGATGCCGTTCTTCCTAGTAGACTCATCCACAGATTACGTGAGCAGGGCTGGCCCATCAATCTTATTCTCTGGATTGCCTCCTTTGCTACTGGGCGATCAGTCCAGATCCAACTCGATGGAGAGATTGGCCCCTCAACAGACATTGCCTGAGTCTTCCACAAGGATCCCCAGTATCTAGCATTCTTTTCATGCTCTACATAGCGCCCCTATCCCATCTAGGAAACCCAAGGAACAGATTTAGTTACATAGATGACATAGCTAACCTAGCAATCTCAACATCTCTTGCTACTAACTGCGAAGCCTTATCAGACTCACTACAAGAAGCTCTAAACTAGAGCGCTATAGAGGGTATTACATTTGCACTATATAAATATAAGCTTCTTCACTTCTCCCGACATAAAGTAGACCAGGACCCAACCCGCACACCTTCAGTAAAAGCTAGATCTATCACAATCTCAGAAAATACTAAACGGCTATATCTACGTTGGCTAGGAATCCTCTTTAATAAAAAGCTAATATTTAAATAGTATATTAGTAAAACAGTATCTAAAGTTCTCACTGTGACTAATGCCCTTCGCTCTCTAGGGAATACTATCCGAGGAGTCAAACCTTATTTACTATAGCAGGCTGTATTAGCCTGTATACTCTATAAAGTATACTATGGCGCAGAAACCTAGTGGCCAGGATATACTCGCCCTGGGCCTTTCTAAATTTCAAACTAAGTTAGAGAACATCTTGAGAAACTAACCAAAGTAATACTAGTAGGCGCAAGAGTAGTCCTTCCAGTTTTCCACATAACCCCAATATCTGTTCTATACTGAGAGTCTGGATTCTCTCTGCCAGAAATTGAACTAGATTAAATAGCCCTCCAAACATCTGTCCGCCTATGGCGTCTTGATCCAAACCACCCACTCCAAAGACGCGCAGAACAGATAGCCAGAGACAGTCAACAAACCAGTTGATTTGCCCGCCGAGTGCTGGCGCTCCCCAACTCTGAATAAATAAACCCTCTACAACATGCTCCCTGGTACCCTCGCGAGTCTCGTGAGAATGCCCAAGCTCAAATAGGAGCTCCCATAGGACGCACTAAGGAATAGGCAGCGGCTGATTTCGTAGACTTCCAACGCACTATCCCTAGCTCAGATATTGTAATCTTTTTAGATGGATCTAGGCTAGTAGATGGATGTGCAGGGGGTGGCTATATTAGACTTTAAGCATATTATTAGTTCCTCCACTCCTTACTCTTATATGGACATGAGAAAGAAGTCTTTAACACAGAAGCAGAAACAGCTCTAGCTAGTGCTCAAGTAGCAATAGCGTACCCAATAGCTTAATTTGCTACTAACCTATGGATCTGCCTTGACAATCTAGAAGTTGCTACACGCCTTCTATCTCCCTCTACAGGATCTTCCTAAGAAATATTTGAATCCTTCCGCACCCTTGTAGCCGCCTGGCCACTCCATAAAAGACTTTCTTATACCAAAGGTAGATCTATTTAAATCCGATAGGTCCCTAGATATGCCAAAATCCCTAAGAACAAAGCAGCTAATCTCGCTGCTAAAGAGGGAGCTGCCTCTATCTACTCCACACAAGTCCTCATACACCTCGCTAAAAAGATACACCAAGACTCAATCTCTATCTGCTGCTCAGTCACAATGGCAGAAGGTAGCACCATAAAGTTATCAAGATCTAGAAATAACTACTTCCCCTAAGCACTCTGGAGAGCTTCAACTCAACTAACTTGACCTTAGCTGTATTATTATAGCCCATACTAGACATAAAGACTTTGCAGACTACTATGAATGTTTTAACTATGATAATGCTCACATTCTCTGCCAATGCAGAGTATAAAAAGCACCTCTGCACTTCTTCTTCTACCATATAGCTAAGAGACGAGCCCCTCGGCCTCCTGGGCCCTCTTCTGAAATTATCTCTTTTCTCTTAGGCACTACTAAAGGAGCACAAAAGCTAGTCACATGGCTAGCAGAGACCCACTTCTTTGAGGATATCTGTCCTTGCCAACCTCTCCTTAGCACCTAGCTAAGATAGCCCTACTCTTCCTTTATATTTCTTTTCTCCTTCTTTCTTTCTCTTCTCTTCTTTCTTTCCCTCTCTGCAAAACTTACTGTTCAGTTATGATAGTGGTGGAGTAATAGGTCATAGAGTATAGGCAGACCATTGCAGCTAGCAAATACCTAAAACCCACTCCAAGTGGACCTCCCTGTAAGACCACGGCAGCTATGGAAACGCGCCAAAGAGTCTCTTATTTGTACATAAATCTGATAGGACCTGAAACCCGAGGCTTACCCCTCGGCGGCCTATGTCCCAGTAGGGATCGGTGGGAAGCGTGCGAGTCACGAACCACGGCCGTTAAATACACACACACACACACTCTCTCTCTCTCTTTCGTTCTTGGGGATAAGTCACAATATTAGGAATCAAGATATCTTCATATTGTCAGGCTCATTAGGCCGCTTCGTGTTCGCACCTTACTACCGTCTATGCTTCGTGATACGGACCGTAGTTAAACCAACAAGAAGACATACAAAGACAAAAGATTTAAAAGTCGAGAGAGCAGTATGCACTACGCTTCTTGTTGGTGTTACCATATAGAGCGTGTTGAGCCATGTCATGTCTGACTCTCTTCCATTTTCGGTTCGATTTCACCAGATTCTCAGTGCCTGACATTTGGCTGAAAAGGTGGTCCTAGGTTGTTCCTGGAAAAGACGCGAATATTGGAGTGGGGATTGGTCAAGCCGGAAAATGCGTATCCCATTACCGGAAGATCTCGGGGATAGGATGACACACTCAAGTCCAGCTGACCACGATGCATTAGAACTTGGGCTTTGAAATTACATCGAGTGGCCTAGCTATCCTCCCAGAGGCTGAATGGCTATCTGATTGGGTCGCATGTTGGAACAAGCGTTGTACTTTGTGGGCGCATGCTCCGGGCAAGTTGGACGAAGAGGAGACGAGAAGGATATACCACATGAGACTAAATGTCCGTTGCGTTATCTATGGGCGAATCCGGGCTCTAGATTTAGCTGCGTGGATATTTTATAGTGCAAGGTTCATATGAGCGGGATTAAGTATTACCTCTTTCTGTCCATCCGAAGCAATTTAGAAGGGACCAGGCCAGCTACATTGCCACGATCACAGGAAAGTGATTCTCATCTCGTACCCGTATCTTATGACTGACCTATCTTAGATCAAGTTTAAGAAGGATAGAGCGCATGTGAAGATGTCTGGCGGCGATGCCCAGTTGTAATTATTGGATTATGCAGGGGAGACTTGCTTCTGACATCCACTCATTTGAAAACTTCAAGTCCGTTCTGCCGCGCTAGTATACCTTTAGGGATTTCATCTCTGAAAGACACCATGGATGGATCTAGGTGTTGAATTGAGCTACGCAGAGCCAATATGCTGTCACTCACATTCATGTCAGCCGAACATATCGGTTCCGTCAGTGTGGACGTGATAATAACCGCTGGATTGTTATGTTCAAGAGACCATTCACTACCTGCTGAGGACCTAGCTCGTCGATGGTTAGAAGATCATGAAGTGAAGGTCGAGCTTGTTGCATACAGGGCTATCTACGTCGCATCACTGTTTCATTCAATAGGCTTGTGGTCCCGCTAATATGAGACCCATCTGACCGCAGTCCCCTTCAGCTGCAATAAAAATTCGATGTTGAGACTATGCTGGCGCCATAGGCTATGGAAAACAAGGATCCTTGTGCAATTTCCACCTGGATATCTACACCAATGAGAAAAATCTCGCAGGTAAACCACAAAACTGATGCCTACCAATCGAGAACGCCTCCGTCATTGCCAGGATAGAATGTGATAGTTGACGAATAGGCTCTACCGCTCGATATCCTTATACGAAATGATCCCAATCTGTCACTTTCCTATTCAAGGAATTACCCTAACCGTCCGTGCAGACTGGGCGCTAAGAGACAGTCTCGATGTGGAGCCTAGAAAAGCTTAGACACCCAAGCTGGATTTATCTTTCGCTTCTCTTTCCTATTATGGCAATACCAAATTTGGTATGTCCTAATATTTGTGATGACAAGAATGTCCTGGCTCTACTATATAAGTCTACCACGCCACTGGAGAATGTAGCAAGATCTTCTCGTCACTAGTAACCAGTCTCTTTACCTATCTCCTGCATAACTGGAGCCATGACAACCATCTCCCTTGACAATATGATCATGTACCAGTATCCCAAGTCCAAGAATCCATCCAGATCGCCAGCCATTCCCCACGGAACATCTTCGTTTCCGTCACACGTCACCCCTTCCGTGACTCGGCCTTCCCCTAGTCCCCCCTGTGCATCTCCCGTCCAGCCTACCGTTTCTATTCCTCTTGGTGAAGAGAATCCACCTTCGATTCCCTGTATCGATCTGTCTACGACGCAAATTCACTCTTAATCTGGTGGCTTCTATCAACCCACAATATGTGCATCTGTGATTCCGATACGAATAAGGAACACGACATGTGCAATATCGCGATTGACCAGGATGAATATCGAAATAGTAAGCGTGGTCTCCTTCAGACACTAGATCTTGGGACTAATGATGTGATTTTCCAGCAGAGAAAGAATATTGCAACACCTATGTTGATTGAAGGGACGATACAGCCGAATTTGCAAACGCTCAGAAGATCTCTACATCTGGAGTTTCAACGCCAGTGAGGCTTCCGGAAACAGATATCTTCTCAAATTGCTCAAACGAAGTGGTACGCGGTAGCACCGTTCCAGAGAGCCCAATATGGGAAATACCGCCTGATGTTGGAAATGAATTCGCCGTCCCCATCGAACCGTCTTGCTTGAACTTCGTTGATCAAGAATCAACTAGTGCCGCCGTGACCATGCCAATTTCTGAGACGTGCCTCAGAAAGTCAACTATCACATCCCTGGAGGATAAGGATGGCCAGCCAATTGTACACTAAACCTCTCCAATCAATGGAATTACCGCGACAGACTTTGTAGCGTCTCAACCTCAACGGACAGATAGCAGCCAAACAACGGCGTTCAAAAGGAAGAACAAGTTACAACAGAGGCATTGCACTGCAGTAGGGACAATGTCAAAATCTTTATCAGTCATAGTCCCTCGTCGAAATTTCCGGTCTAGCAACACGCCTCGCACCCGACTGCGCTCACGTCGTTCTCCCTCAACCGAGAGCACAGCAAGCGATGACTCAAACGGTAGTGACTATCAGGAGTCTGAGCATGCAGTAGACCAGATAACAAACGACGTGCAAAAAGCTTGTCCAGCAAAAAGACGGAAGCGGGCTGCCACTGGCACAGAGTCTTTCTCCCCACGTCAGGAAATGCCGCAGGGACGAGCTAATTCAATAGCATCATTACCGAGTCAGTCAAGTCCTGAATCTATGCCGCAGAAATTGTCTGGTTTGAAGAAAATCCGTATTGATGGCTGTCTTCTCCGTAAAGTGTCTTTGGGTCGAGTTGAGTATTGTTGCTGGTTCACAGAGGATCACGGCACGACTGCTTGCAGTCCTTCCGTATCCGATTGTTTAGCATCATTTCAAAAGCAGACCAATAAGCAGGATCAGTTGACCAACATGGCGGACCTCCAGGTTATCAATATTAAAGGCTTCTTTACCCGGGAACTCAACCTTTATGGCGATATATGGTGCTGTTCGTTTAAAGAGAGACATGTAGTGCCACAGAGTGAAAAGTCATTTCACCAAGTACAACCATCCTTAGATGAAGACGGCTTCATGGAAGAGAAGGAATATTTCCACATGACCATCTCGGCGAAAGGCAATGAGTACAGCCGTGAAGAAGACGAATTGATAGTCCGACTCAAAGAGGTCGAGAAGCTTCCATGGTCGCGTATTGCGGAACGTTTTCCAGGAAGAACAAAAGGCACTCTTCAAGTACGATACTGCACAACTTTGAAGGATGAGAGGCAGAAAAGTCACTTAAGATGTCCGAAGCGGAGAATTGGTCTACTAAAAATTGTTACAGAGAAATCCCAACAACGGGTCCAGAGCCTATCCTCCGGCCGCAGATATAGCTTACAGCAATCACGACAGTTACCTGACCGTTACATTGCGTAGTAGAGTTCCCAGGTAAAAAGCTCTTCTGCAGCGCCGGCCATATTACTTTTTCTTTGGCTAGCTTTCAGATTCTGTAAAGTCACTTGGCGTGGCGTGCATTATCGGTCTCAATCATTTTCCCAGATCCAGCGCAGTCACTATATAAATACCACCTTTATTACCCACAACAGATTGGAGCAGACCAGGATTTCACAAGGCGTTATATAGTACTATCCTTATATCGTTTTATCAGACACACTATTGGTCAAGACGTGCAAAACGAAAGATCGACTGTAGTTAGCCGGACTATACAGCGACAATGAACGCAGTGATCATCCTATTTCCTAGGAAATAGGGCTTAGCCAGATAGTTACAAGCCTATAGTGGTTTGATACATTAATAACATTCCATGCAACCCAATAACGCTTCAATTTAGGTCAATAATACGACAGATTCTTGAGGAAAGTCCCAAATGAGGCTCGAAGAGTGGTCGTAGTACCACAGACACGACTTGGGTTTCGGCATCCCAGGATGCTCAAATCCTAGTTCGTACGACTACAAGAGGCCTCCATCCGCACTCCTCGAGAAAGAATTCATTAAAGCAACATAAAAATTCTTTGGCCCATCAGCGCTTTAATGACTTGGAGTGCATAGACTCGGAAACACTTCAGGTGTCCCTCGTCTCTCTAACATCTGCTTACTATCAACTTGAAAGCGGTAGGCTGCCTGCTTTTCTGAATGGAAAGAGACCAATTCAATACACTTGTCTCCGCGCATGATACCGAACAAATATATACAATCCCAACCAATAAAGTTTTTTCCACCGGATTTTCGACTTGGAAAGTTCTCAGCTTCAGCCAGACCCTGCAGTCCAACTTACTGACGTCTCTCACCACGAGAAGGTAACTTTCCACGAGGGACGAAATGAAACGTCCTGAAGCGGCAGCAATGAAACATTTCTTGGCGGGACTATTTAACTAACGAGCAAATGATTTGCTAAGTCTTTTACCTTTAATTTTCCGCTTATCACCGCTGGCATGCCAAAATAGCCCTGTACAGTTTCCTTCCTCAACCCATAAAGCACTTCTAGGATAGCGTGTACTGCCATGACTCTAGCTTCTCCAATTTGCTGTCGGTGACGGTGACATAAGTCGGATGGCTCGAGACAGATCACGTCTTATTTCTACAGGCAAATTGTGATGCAGTGGATGTGTTGGAGGTTGATTAATGATACATAGGGCAAGCATACAGCGACCATATGCGAGAAGAAATACATACCATTGGCTCTGGTTAGGATGCAGTGCAATGAGGTATCTCATTCCCCATTCAAAGACAAAAGAGATCTGTTTTGAACCCTAATATATCAAGTTATGCTAGGCTTATTTTGGTTTAGTATCAATATGGCTCCGTATTGAGCTTTGCTTATTACAATACCAAAACATCAAAATGTGTATCAGACTTAGGGCTGTTGACGATAATGCCAATATGCCGATATCGTATCGTCAATATCATTAGACGATACGATATCGTCAAAAATTTAACGATATCGTCAATCGGCAATGAAATTTACTCTATTTCTCAACTATTTTCTAGCTAATATAGAACTCTTTAAGTAGCATCTCTATTAGTACCACTGCCTTGCTAATACAACGTTAAATACATGTACATCATGTATCACCAGGCTAAAACAAAGATTATCTGTATGAAGTAGAATATGCTGAAGTATCCACGCTGCCCTTAACCACTACCGCTTAAACCCATCACAAATCAACATCAGCATTCTTATAGTATCTCCCTTCAGCAAATGCCTTCGAATACCTAAGAGATCCCTTGCTGCGCTAAACATCCTCTCAACAGCAACTTCAGAGGCAGGTATTGCCAGGTAATCCCTGGCTACTGCTGCTATCTACCGATACTCATCCTTATGTATTCGCCACCAATTACATAGCCAATTTTCACCAGTATCTATAACATCAACTGGAGGAGTTTCAAAGTACCTATCAATATCAGAGACTAGAGATTGATCTCATGGCTGCAACTTCTTTAGCATTCTTGATTCCACGTTACTCAGTTCTCCCGAAGACTGCTGTAGTACGATAGAACAATGCTTAGCATCGCTAACCGCATATCTCTGATGGAGTTTAGTGCGGATGTTTCCTAGAATCATAGTGCCTGCATTATCTTCTTGTAATTCTCGTAAAATTAATTCACCTTTGACTCTAGGATCCAACATAAGAGCAATGTAATAGGTATTACAGTCATCCATAAAAGAGTAGTATTTTTCATACTTTATCATACCCCTTTTCACTGCAGCTGCGATATCTTGATCTAGTGTTGAAAAGTCACCATTGCGTTGACTTGCATCATCAAGTAGTTTGTGTAGCTCATAGTAAATAGGAATGGCAAGGCTGATCTATAGATTCTATCTTGAAATAAATGATGTAAACTCATTAAATTTTTCAAGTACTTGGTGAATCTGCTCGAGTCGGGATCAATCGCTAGTAGTAAAGGGTGGAAGTTCTTTCTGAAGCTCGAGAAACTTATTGATTTGTTATTTCAATTTTAAGCTATTATTGATCATTTGAAATGTTGAGTTCCATCGGGTAGCAATATCATATTCAATGAAACTCTCCAGGAGATCATTTAACCTGCAAATTTCCTTCCATTTCTACCGGCATTAAGGACTTCAATTAATCCATAGAGCGAGGATCCTGAGTCTTCCTATAGCTGACTGATTGCTAATTGGGCTACCATCCTGTAACCTATCACAAGCAGCTTGTGCTTCATCTATATCACTCAACTCCAAGGAATGGAGTATATCCTTCACAATAAGGTTAAGGATATGAGCCAAGCAGCGGACATAGCTATCCAAGCCATGGTAAAGAAGTGTTGAATTTGCTTCTTCCCTAAGTCAGTCTTTTAAACTGAAGTATAACTCTGATGCTATAGTCTCATTATTACTAGCATTGTCGCTAGTAATAGAGATAAGCTTTCCCTCAAGACCTAGATCAACAAGCATATTCTCTACCGCATTTACCAGATTCTCCCCACTGTGAGTGCCTTAAAGTTCAGTAAACTCTAATAATCTCTCCTGATACTCAAATTCCTCAGTCAGCCAATGACCTATAATCCCTAAAATAGGAAGTTGGTTTTGGCTCATCCAGACATGTAGCGACAAAGCAATAGTTTTACAAGTTAATGCCAGCTATTTTTCAGCTCAGTATGCTGTGTTTTGAACTCTTGCACAATCTAATCCCTTAAAGTGTGGAAAGAAGTGAATAGAGGCTCAATTCCTGGGATATCTTGGAAGATTTGTTGAAATTCTGGAGTCTCAATAGTAGTAAAAGCTTTCATGTTAGTTACAATCTAGCGAATAATATTCTTCTCAAGAACTTCTTGATGAGTAATATTCTCTTTTCCACCTATGAAACTCCAAATGTCTGGTTGATTCTTCGTTGGCTGTATATCAGATGTTGGAGGGTAAATGTTATGCTTTGTCAAGTGCGTTTTCATATTACTTGTGATATTTTATCTCTGAGAGTCTGATGTTTGCCAGTGGCATCTTATCTTCGTCTTTTCATCAACATATGCACAACGAATCTCTTGATCGACCAGTCTCCTTTTCTTAGTCTTCTTAATCAACCATGGGCGATCAACAGGTGTGATCTCAAAATATGCCCACATCCACTCAGTGGCAGGTGCTGCTCGTTGACGGTATCGACGAAATGGGTTATAAGATATAGTTGAAGCCCCACTGTCTATTAATCTTTCTTGTAATGCTGGCAGTTGTGATGCTGACTCAGAAGGCAAGAGTTCACCATCTAGGATACTAGTGAGGGTATCCATGTCTTCTTGGCTTACTAGCGGCAGAGCAGTAGCGATACTAGCGAAATTGCTTGGTGATTCGCTCAGTCGATCAATTCGATCCTTAGGTAAAGCTTCATCGTCACTTCCATCATTTAGAGCTCGGTAGTTAAGACGTTTCTGCCGCGTACACATTTGGATGTGAATAAAACGAGATATCGTGATGAATAAGAAGGCTGATGTAGATTTTGGTTGTCAATAATTGATAGTCGATTGTGAACAAGGAGAATTTTAAGGAGGGGTAGTCTATCAACTCGAAATAATATCGGGCGTGATGTATCGGAACTTGCTGTGCACTAGCACAAACTCAGTTAAGCTTAATACTCAAAGATATCTTTATAGTGGAAATATTGATATTGACCTTATTCTGCGCACACTCTTCTATCTACATCTTGATGGGATTTTTGGACACTATTTATGCTTGAGAATCCCATATAGAAGATATCCAGACAATCTCAATAGAAGATTCTCGATAGAGAGCTGTAAAACTGATTCGTAGGCTCAATCTTGTGTCTTCAATTCTCGAATTTTCCTTGTGCCAATCTTGTAGGCTTTCCTTGATTAGGTTTAGCTTACCTAATCCTCGACATGACTAGGGATTTGTCATGTCAAGTGGGTCTGTCGATGCGACACTAAATTTTTGTCAGAATTGACAAAATTCCTTGTCAACTGCAGTGGGGCCCTTTACACGCTAGTAATTTATGACCAGTCTATAGCTTACTCTATTGGTCATAGCAATTATTATCTTATTTGATTGGCTGATAAATTACAGTTATGTAATATTGGCGGTATTGTCAAAGATGACATGACAAAGGGGCTGCATGTCAAAGTTTACATGACACTAAATTTTTGTAATTTTCCAACACCCTAGACATGACGTATTGGAATCTTTTGGTACTAGTCCGAACGGGGTTAGGCTCTGATAGGAGCGTACAATTTGGGTGAGGAATAATTGACTCTGATTTGCACACTCTCTCAAATCCCCTCTAGATACACATCCTGATCCTCTTTATATGCAAAACGTAGTGGCGAAATATCACGGATTTACGGAGTAAATAACAATCCTGACTCCAAAATGTAGTCTGCTTTTTGGCGCTCTTGTTCTCGCGGATATGTTGCTTTTCCGAGGATTCAAAGATTAGTAAGTACATCCGGATTGGGATTAGCGTATCAAATATCCAACATGATGAGCGAGTCACGTGATAAATAAAGAGTATTGGAATCTTTTGGTACTAGTCCGAACGGGGTTAGGCTCTGATATGAGTTGTACAATTTGGGTGAGGAATAATTGACTCTGATTTGCACGTCTTCTAAAACATAGCTAACTACACATCTTGATCCTCTTTATATACACATCATAGTGGCAAAGTAGCACGGATTTACGGGATAAATGACAATCCTGACTCCAAAATGTAGGCTTGAGTTTGGCTCTCATGTTCTCACGGATATGTCGTTATTCCGAGGAATCATGATTAGTAATGACATCCTGATTGGGATTAGCGTATCAAATATCCAACAAAGAGACGCAACGCGTGTAGCAGTGGCAGATACTATTTACTACTCAAAGACGAAGATTATAACCTATTTAACAGAGCCTTGCATCTTGATGGTTAATGAGATCTATGGCTAGGTGAGCCACTGTCAATTCACACAGTCCATTTGCGTACCGGTGATGATTTTGACGATATTGACGATATCGTCAAATAGTTGACAATATCGTATCGGCACACCTAGGATTAGACGATGCCGATTGACGATACGATATCGGCAGATTCTAGGTTAGACGATGACGATAGACGATATGGAAAAATGATGCCGATATCGTATCGTCAACAGCCCTAATCAGACTCGTCTTACCTTACTGCGAGAATAATAATAAGGGGAACTTGTTGTTTATATAGTAACCGTCTCGTCGCATCCCCCCACCCTGCCGGGTTGGAGTCTGCCGGAGCTCAACGTCCAATATTTCAGAAATCTCAACGCTCCATTTTCCAACGTCCAAAACACCGCCAAAATGACCGCTGAGGAATATAAAGAGGAGGAGAAGTTAATCGAAAATGCTGTCAACGCGTATAAACACGGAAAAATTAAAAATATCTCGCATTTAGCGCGTGAATTTGGAGTCCCCCGAAAAAAGCTCTCTCGCCGGATCAACGGCATACCCTCTCGCTCAACACGGCCACCAACGAACAGATTATTATCAATTGATCAAGAAAAAGCGCTTTTTATATGGCATCAATATCTAGATAACATGGGCGCCGCACCTACACCCCGACAAATCGAAGAAAATGCTAATTATTTGATCATGAGAGATTTTACTGGTCCGGGAGAGCCACGGAGAGCCGGCAAGGACTGGGTTTACGAATATCTTAAGCGCTTACCAAAAGAATATCAACGGGTTGTTCAAAGACCTCAAGAAGTCGATCGTACGGCTGCTGAGCATTATGGCCAGGTTGAACGGTGGTTTATTGATCTAAAAATCACTATGGATAACCTCAAAATTACTCCTGCGAATCTATGGAACTTTGACGAGACTGGATTCATTGTTGGACAAGGAAAAAAAGAAGCAGTGGTTACGGCATACCCAAAAACGTCAAAAAGGACATCTAGTCTGTCCTCTCGAGAATCCCTCACCGTCGTTGAGTCTATAAACGCTGAAGGAAAGGTTATACCACCGTTAATTATCCCAAAAGGTGAAAAGCACATGGAGGAATGGTATAAGCATATAAAAGACGACGATTGGCTTATTGCACCAGCTTCAAGTGGCTTTATCACCGATGAGATCGCATTTGAATGGTTACAACATTTTAATCGGTTTACGGACGATGGGAAGAACTGGCGATTACTGATTATGGATAATCATACAACCCATCTTACCATACCGTTCCTTGAGTATTGCAAAATGTGTCGCATTCAAGCATTCGCTTTTCCTCCGCATTCTACGCATATTTTGCAACCGCTTGATGGAGTCCCATTTCAACAATATAAACATGTTCATGGACGAGTGGTTAATCAGGTTGCTCGGCTTGGTGGCTTTGATTTTGATAAAAACGAATTTTTTGAGGAGCTGCGTGATATCCGTTTACAAACCTTTACGACACGAATAATACGACACGGATGGAAAGATCGAGGAATTTGGCCTTATAATCCTCGCGCTGCATTGGATAAAATGGTCCAACCCGAGGATGTGATTATTGATGATGGGAATACGTTAAAATTTTATAGCGAAGTGGATGATACTATTCCCAGCTCACCAACCACTAAATCGATCTCACCTCCTTCATCCGTGCAAAAACTACGTCGCTACGTTAATAAGATCGAGAAATCGCTCGACGGTATAAAGAGTATTTTGGATAAGGAAAGCCTGGGTCTTGTATGCCGTATGAAAACAGTTAATCAAGGCAGTCTTATAATGGCCGATTTGGGTGAGCTACACCGTGAGAACTTCACAAGGATTCGTGACACCGCCGAACGCAAGGCTGCGAAAAAAAAACCAGGCGCCAGGTCAAAGCGGTTGGTGCGCTTTATGTAAAAGATGCGAATCGCCAGATAAAACGCCGTCATGATGGAGATTTAATGAAAATTCATAAACGGTATATACTTGGAGAGCGGCAACCGGAGGAGGAAGATGCTGCAACAGAGCCTCAAAACTTGGGATTTTTTATCAATACTACAGTAATAGGTAAATCGTGTATGGTATTATCAATTTGTCTAGTTTTATATATGAAATGTATGGCGTTGGTGGACTGAAAGACATTTTACACAAATATTGGACGTTGAGCTCAGGCAGACTCCAACCCGGCAGGGTGGGGGGATGCGACGAGGACGGTTTATGCCTTAGCTTCCCACCTTCAACTCTAAGTTATCCTCTCGATTTACTAGAATCCGCAATACAGTCCCGTGGTATCGCTCAAATCTTGTCCTGAGTCTCTATTTCAGCTTGCAACAATGGCCAGCAAAAACAGTATCAAATTTGATATAACAGAGATCTGTGCTGGGTGCAAGAAAAGCTCCACTTCTCTATCTCAACCGCTGAAGTGCTGCGCTCGATGCAAAGAAACATTATACTGCTCACGTGAATGCCAAACGGCAGACTGGAAAACTCATAAGAAATCCTGCAATAAGGCACCTCGTCCTTCTCTATCTGGCAATATGATTGACTCGGAAAGAAGTGGACTCGACGATTTTACTTACTATAACACTGTTGCCCACACCATTCCAGGAGCGCGGGAACTGGCTAAGACGTTGAATATCTCTCTTCCGACAGGAGACAATTGCAGAGAGGGCATGGCGTAGGTGCCGAATAACATTTATTTTGAGCGCCAGGTTGCTAAATCTTAATTATTGGTTTTTTAGGTTGCCGATCCGACGTTTAATTACTACTGGATTAGATACCCTTGAAAATCTTCGTCTGCTATTCGGTCCGAGTTGGCAACCAGATCGACATTACGAAGAGGAACGGTTACTTGCCCTCATACGACCTCCACGTGGATCTCCTAGCTATGCGATGTCTTCTCTACTTGATGATAGTTCTTTACCATGGTCACCTCGTCCAGCAAATGAGACTGAGACGGAAAAGCTCCAGGAAGTCCGAGACATGCAGGACTTGATCAGAAGACATCTTGGATGTAGGAGAGAGCCAACAATAAAGGATATGCAGGGCATCCTCCGGAACTATGGGGCAAAGTGGAGCGAGAAGCTGACAGTGTATCAAACCGCTGTAAACGCTATGGATCAAGGAGTCAATGATATCAGAAGATAATGAAGGGTACAAGTAAACATCAGATTGGTAGTTTGTTACAACAGTGCGTCGTGATAAGTATGGCATTTATTTAGGTGTTTTCAAACCTTGCTGAAGGACTAGTTGAAACTAGCGCGCAGGTTTCAGATACCAGTATTCTGTATGTATGGTGTCCGTTTCATGATCCTAGATTCGTCGCATCTCGGTTAGCAGCGCAGATCGGGACTATTTTCGAAGTAAGGAGACTCGTCCTGAGAATAAAACGATCTATAGCAAAGCGACCGATATGATAATTGTTAGTTTAACTAGGTCCTGGTTATGAGGCCAGGATTGTAGTAAGGGTAGTCCAACAGCCCTACAGTGTGAGCTCAGGAACCGGGTTCTTTTCCTAATTCAAAGCTGACCCCTCCAAAGCGTAGGGTCGCGGATAGTGTATGAATGATTGAATGATGTTTGTCAGATAATCCGGATATCCAGCGAGGCAGAAAAATCAGCCTCTCCATCTTGAAGGCCAGCTAGCCACCTTAGGATATATATTTGAGCACCTAGATTTCAGCCTAATGTTTACTCCTCTTGATAGCTCACAAATCACCCCGCCAATATGTCTATATAAACCCGGCTTTGGAACCTCATGTATTCAGACAGACGGAGAACTCAAGACATACAATCTTGCTACTCACTTCTTCTTTTACCATCCTTGTAAGCTACTATTCAGGATTGGCCTGAAGTAAACCTAGCAATCCGACGGTATGAGAAGAGGATGCTCGTCTGAAACAGCTGAGAGAAAAGACAAACTGCCATGGCCTCAAGTCAAAAGGCACTTCCCTGACTGGACGGAAGGGGCGATCCGTTACTCCACAACTCTCAAGAATTCGGCCTCGAAATCGACCGTTACAACTGTAAATGATGAGATCGATGGGAGTGCTAGCTTCTCGCCTGCTTGTAGACAGCATTCGCCTCTAGTCAATATAAGGGCAGAAAGCTCAGCTGGGACGAAATCGAGAATCAATTTGCACTACTAAATCCATACCGCAGCAAATCGTCGCTGCAGGTGCACTATTGTAAATCGAAACGGTAGACGGAATAGAAATTCATCGAGTTGAGTAATCTCGAAAAGAGGCGGACGGCCATAAGGTAATCTACACAGCGAAGGGAATCGTCTGCCTCCGATGAGGGTTTTGTCGTGCTTATAAAAAGAGCCTTTGTGCGCTGGCTAGCAAGCTCTTTTTACTTTTTCTTTTCTCATGATTAGTTCTTCGTCCATAGGCTACCCTGCAGTTTAGGAATGAGCATCATCACAACAACAAGTTTCTCACACGCATGTGACGATGCCAAACTGCTTGAATTGAATGCTATCTAGCTACCAAGAGGTGCTTGTCTACAAGCAATATTGAGCATAGAGAGAGAAAGAGAAGAATCAACAACAAGCTCCCTTCGCTGCGTCTCTAATATTCTCTTGTGTGCGCGCTTGCCCAATCTGGCTCCGACGTCTGATGTCGTACGTCTTTCCAATCCGGCCGGGATAGGGTTCGGAGCCGTGTAGCCCTAACTGTAGACCAAGGGTAAAGCGCTGGGCTGAGCCGTAGCGGAGCAGAGGCGTCATATTGGCAACCGTAACGGAGCGGAGCCGTCACACTATGTTGCGTATGAGTGCATTATAACGATTCAAGCGCTCTTAAGAAGCTGAGAGTGATACTTTCCGCTCCACCTTTTGATGATCATCTAGTTCGATATCGATTTAGATCGGTCAACTGGAGAGGTCACTCACAGGTAGAACCCTGTTTCTGATATCCAAATCAACTCCGTAAGAACACAGCAATGCCTAGAGACCTGGCATTAGACTGACATATCGAGGACACCGAGGACAAGACCTTTGCCTTCTTTGTCCTAGGAGCCCTTTTGTATCAGAGCTCTTACTTAGCCTACTCCGACTATACCTGACTTAAAATGTCGGACTTAAAGCCTAGATCCTGTGACACGCTACGCTACCCACAAACTTGATGCCCGAAAGCCCAAGGAAAAGCTCACCACCGAATGGATGTAACATTCACCCTTTTACCTTATTTGGAATTTCCGTTTAGCTTGTTGTTATGCATAATCGATGTCTCTTGATTAATTATGAGACCCTCGTAAAAGGTTTTTGTGAATTCACCTATTTAAAACTCACGGTTCTTGATGTGTTATTTTCGGTTGATAAGTCAACTCAGTCGTAATCTTTCAGTTAGATCTAATATTGCCCGAGAGATTGTAAAACTTGTAGATTGATATATCTAGTTGCCAGATATATTGGAGCAGCAAGCATCGTACACTCATACTCCCAGAAATTTAAAGATTTAAGCAATTATCGTCATGAAATAAGAACATAAAACTCTTATCCTGGTGGAAACTTTATCATTGCTTCCCGTCTTGATCCATTCTCCTTGAGCAGACTGTATATTCTTTTGAGAACGGGTTTTAAAACTCACGAGGAGTCAGATATACGTTCAAAGGCGGCTTCGACCACAAAACATAAGACTTATGATCCAACCAATCAAAGTCGGGCTCGGCCAAACGCATCTCAAAATTGAAGAGAAGGCGAGCCAGCACAAGTCTCATTTCGGCATATGCCAAACTAGCAGAGAAACAAAGTTAGATTCCGTTAAACAGAAACATATTTTTCAAGATTTAGCTCAGAGGCATTCATTAACTTACTGTCTTCCAATACAATTTCTTGGCCCATGAGAGAATGGGTTGTGAATTCCAAAAGCATCGTTGGCAAATTTAGGATCCTGAAGGTAGCGCTCAGGATGATAACCGAATGGATCAGTCCATAATTTGTCATTGTGGTATGCAGCCCAGTGCCAGACAGCAACGACGGTCTAGATTTTTGATAAGTTAGTGCAACGTCAAGGAGATTGAAAAATAGGATTAGAAGGACTCACATCTTCTGGGACGAATTCCCCTGAAATGGTAGATCCGCCTTTGGGGACCTGACGAGGCATGCCGAATGGAACAGGTGGATAGGCACGGAGTGATTCGTTCAAGCAGGCAAGCATATATGTAAGAGAGCTTACCGATGTCAAGGTAATCTCCTCGCTAGACTTGAAAGTAGTGCGCACTTCTTCAGTCACTTTACGAAGGGCCTCTGGATGGGTAAGCAACATGTAGGTAACACCACTCAACATCGTCGCAGTCGTTTCCGAACCAGCGATGAGGATGCTACTTCCATTGGCTTCGAGGTGATGAATTGACAGATTCTATGCAAGATCAGCCCTCATTTGAAAAGCGGAGCTCCCGTGCAAAGATTCTTACCCATTCATCTTTCTTTTGTAACAAGCCCTCTATCAAGTCCAATCGCTCAACGCCAAGATTGATACGTTTTTGGAGCTTCTTGACCAATCGATCTGTGTGCTCGCGACGACCAGTATTGAGCAACTTCACGGCCCAAATAAGCAATGATTCAAGACCCATATGTTTGACTCCATTAATAATACCAAGAAACTTGATTGAATCATTAATTGCCGCTACCCAAGGGTCATATTCTCCCCGTTCAAGGGATCCAAAAGGCTCGCCAAAGACCAAATCACCAATAACGTCAAACGTAGTCCAGTTATACCAAGACACCATGTTCAGCATTTTTGGGGCTGGTTTTCCTGTTATGGGATCTTTGACGTCCGGATCAACACATCTTTCGCGGAGCTTATCGATCAGTAAATCGATATAACCGCCAATGATGGGCTCTTGCTCACGCATGGCACGATCACTGAATCCGTGCGATAATTGACGGCGTAGAATCGCATGATACTCACGGCCACCCGAGCTAATGCTGAGAACTTCTCCCTTGGTACGGTAAAATGTGTGGTACTTATCCATTTCCTCAGCTCCAGCAGCTGTACCGGTTCGATGACCGTAAATGTCCTTCCAGGCTTGTGGGGTTTGGAAGGACAGCTCGTTGGGCGCGATTCGCACAACGGGACCATACTTTTGATGCATTGGGAGCACATCAAAAGCAAGCGTTCCCTTGTTCATTTTAATAACATATGCAAGACGTGTAGCCCGGTGCCAGAAGGGACCAGGGAAGCGCGCCAGGGGGTGGAAATAGAGATTATAGATCATCCATGTAGTTGGTATAAGAATAATCTGCGCGGTAGTTCAGTAAGAAATTTAGTATATTTCACATATTCAATCCAAGTTTTAGCATACCATGGTGGAAGAGAGAGCGATCACATCCACCATTCTGAGGTTGAACGCAAAGGTCCTTCCTACATCCAGGAATGCTTCCATGGTTTCTTGTGTATCTTGGACCGCTGGATACCCAAAAGTCCAGGTCTGGTAGGAGGAAGAGAAATGCAGAGGCTTAACTTGTATACAATGATATCTGCACGTAGCGTAGCTTGTAGTACTACCAAGTAGGGGCCTCAATGGTTGCAACAACGAAGGTGAAACTGTTCAATCGCCCAGTCACTAGATGTGTACAACTCCCTACTAACAACTCGACCAAACACCGAACAAGAGAGAGGGGAAACAAATTCAACAGCCAAATTGGCTGTTTTACGTTCACCGGGCAGGCTATCAGTGGATAGGCAGCCAAGCTTAGCTAGATAGAGACTTTTTACCATCCAAACTCAAATCACAATGGACCCCAGTCCAGTCAAACATACAACAGGAACCAAAACCCGTGTGCTGACAAAAAACATAACGGTAACCTCAATTTTTGCCCGATAATAGTGGGCTAAAAAAATACTATCAATATTGAATGTACCTCTACAGTAGTTTTGCTTAGTCGAGAATGAATATAGATTCGGTGGCTGCGAGGGATCATCCGATCATTGCTCAGCTTCCGACTGGCTGCCGGGACCGATTCGGAAGACCCTCAAGGGCTACCACATCCGACTCGGAACACGGCCGACATATCAATGTGGTGTACTACTGCTCTCGCCCTAACTGTTGCTGATTCTGTCCGAAGAGATTCTGTTATTCTAGTCACTTTCTAGAATCTTGTTTCTTAGATAATTGAGCGTTGCTTCGAATTTTCATTGCATTGACGTTTTGCGGAACACTCGGACAGTATTACTGGACAACCGTCAACAGGGAATAGCCCCTTGAATTACGAGAGCACGACTCTGTGTAGAGTTTGAGATTCACGTATACATCAGTTTTCTAACTAGTAAGAACTATGAATCTCTTGTCAATTACTTTTTTCCCACTTTTCTCTGATTTAGTCACAGTCCGCCCTGAGTTCAACTTCTTTGGGTTTGTTGGTCCATTGAACGATCTACCATCCACTTGATCCAACACATAAAAATGACTACTCTGATAGCTTTATGGCAGCTCGCCCAGCCAGATAAGATAAAGTTCTGGGCCTACGTTGGACTTTCCCTGTCGGCGGTACGTCCCACGATTCATCGTCCTGCCTCCTATAGCATGACACCTGCCCACAAATAATAATCAATTTTGAAGGTGTCATGTCTTTATATCGCAGCTACAATTATCTATAACATATTCTTCCACCCTCTATGCTATTTTCCTGGCCCATTCATCCATCGTGTCTCCCGCGTACCATGGGCGATTCGCCATGCACGCGGCGAACAGGCCTTCCACACTCAACGACTTCATGATCGCTACGGACCTGTTGTGCGTATTGCTCCTAATCATCTCTCTTTCACTGATCGGCAAGCATGGAAGGATATTTACTACCATCGTATTGGCAATGAAAGCGGTGCTACTGAAATGGCAAAATCTACCGAGTTCACACGAAATGTCAAAGGTCAAATTACCACCATCGTTAACGCTGACCAAGAGGAACATCAGCGATTGAGACGCGCACTTGCTCATGGTTTTTCGGACAGCTCTATGAGGCAGCAGGAGCCGATCATGCTCAAACACATTGACATGCTCGTGAATAGACTGCGACAAGAAAGCGTGAATGGTCTGAAAAAGTCAAATATGGCTGAATGGTATAACTGGACAACTTTTGACCTCTCAAGTGACTTAATTTTTGGCGAGTCATTCCACTGTCTAGAGACGGTCAATTACCATCCATGGGTTGCTACCATCATGAAGACTATCAAGTTCCATGCGTTCATGATAGCTCTTGGCTACGGTGGACTGAGGGGACTGGTGCAATTAATCCACAAAGCTGGCGGATTTCTCGCAATGAAGACGATGCGGGGTTATATTGATAGTATGCTAAAATCAAGACTCAGTATGGATCAAAGTCGCGACGACTTGTTCGAAGGTTTGGCAAAGAGACGGCACGAATGGGTATGTTGTTCTTACAGAATTATGTGTTCCGAAGCTTGAATTGACTGGCTAACTCTCATCGTTCCCTTTTTTAGAATCTATCTTTTGGTAAGTCCATCTAAGTTTGCAAAATGTGATACTGTACGGTAGCTAATATATAGATTATCAGTAAGTCGTTGAATTATGATTATCTCGAAATTTGTGGCTGCCACCATATTATTGGCCGCAAAAAAACACCAAGGCTATTGCTGCAGATGCATATCACGTATCTTGATACTAACAATATATCAGGAAAAATTAGGTGTAAATGCAACCGTCTTACTATTGGCTGGATCCGAAACCACTGCAACCTGTTTGTCTGGTACTACTTATTTCCTGCTTACGCATCCCGAAGTCTTGAAAAAAGTGACGAATGAGATACGAACCTCTTTCTCTAGCGATACGGAAATAAACATTCAATCAGTCAGCAGGTTGACATACTTGCTTCCTGTGTTGAATGAATCGCTGCGTATGTACCCACCTTTGACTTCAGGTATGGTCCGTAAAGTGCCTACGGGAGGTGCTAGAATCGCAGGACACTACGTTCCAGCTGATGTGAGTTCATGTTCAATGTATTTTTTCTGCTCAAACACTAAATATCTCATGGTTAGACCTTGGTTGAGGTTCAACATTGGTCGATAAATCATAGCAAGGATAATTGGGTGGATCCTTGGTCTTTTCGCCCAGAACGTTTCATGGTTGATGCCAAAGTGGCCAAAGAGCGCGGTGATCTGCTAGATGCAGTTCAGGCATTCAGCATTGGGCCACGAAATTGCATTGGACAAAAGTAAGTACACGCAACATCTGTCTATCTTCTATTCCTTTACTGTGAAAGTCTGTTTCTGGCCCTATATAGCGTGGACTTAACTGATACAATCATGAAAATCACAATTTAGTCTCGCAATGACCGAAATGCGTCTCATTCTGGCAAAGATCTTCTATAACTTCGATATGAAACTTGCAGATGACAGCCATAGATGGATCGAGAGGCAGAAAAACTATAATGTGTGGGATCGAATTCCGTTGAATGTTACTCTGACTCCTGTTGGAAACAAATAAATTGGCACAGTCGCTCACAAAAGCTTGCTTTTTAAGGACGGTGGTGGTAATAATATGAAGGCTTTGCGAGTCCTGATCAGCTTTTAGACAATTACTAGAATCAAATTATCTTTATCAATGTCGATGGATAATAATTACATAAGAAACAAACTATCGGGATATTTACTTAGCTTGTTTTTTTAAGAACATCAATACATTTGTAAATTTTCAAGATAGTTACCAAACAAGTGTTTATCTTATAACAGACTATTGAATAACTCCACTATGGATCGATTCAGACAACTATCGCATTGCACAGCATCCTGGAATAGAATTTGCATTCGACCTCAGGCATCGAGCAACAGCCCATGCCAGATTGATGACAGTAAACAAGCAGATTTCAAAGCGGCCCCAGAGTCATTTGAATGCCTTTATTTGACGATTAGAAAAATTGACCTAAGAATTCGGGCTCGGAAAGCGCATTCGGGAGTAATGCAGTCGGAGTCCATGCACCAATCGGAGGGAGCTTGATTTTTCTTTACCATCTGAGCAATTGCTATTGGGCTGAGATCACGCATTGCAAGACCTTCAGCTAGATGAAATGCAAAGCAACTTTAAATGTATTTCTTTCTGTAGCTACAGATCTATTAACATGTCCATATATTGGTTTACAATCAGTTGGTTTTCCATTTAACTGGGAGATGACTAGGTGATGTACCGTGCGTCGTTACAGCTTCATTTTATCTCACATATGGAGGCACAGATCAGAACGTCAGCCTTAAACTTATCAGTGATAATGGATCTCCTTCATAATCAAACAATGCAGCTTGCAAATCTTGTGAACCACAACGCTTTAGAGTTGCTCAGCAATCGCAATGCCGTCTGGACGCTCATCACCCTTCTATCGTTTGTAGCATGGATTTTTCTGGGTTCATTTGGAGAGCCTACCAAGCTATCAGACCCAGTACCTGGTGTATATAACACTGTTCAGTTCTTGACCAATAATGAAAGATTCATGAAGCGTGTAATGTTAGTTCTGCTGCTGTCCCCAAATTCATTTTAGCCCCACTGAGGTTGTTTCAGTATCAGATTGTTTCTCAACTAATGACCGTTTGTCTTGCCAATAGGAATCTGTTAAGCAAATGCAACATCGCGAAGTTCTATCTTGGAACAGTGCCGGTCTATCTCATTTCGGGAACAAAAAACATACAATCCATATTTGGTAGAGATAACAAAGTGGGAAGTGAGGACATCTTCGTTGAAAGAGTTCTGCCCACTCTTTACAAGATGCCCAAGAAGGATGTAGAGAAGTTCGCCAATGATAAGTCCGGACGTGGTCACAATCCTGCGCCCGGCACTGAGGATATGCCACAGGACCAGCGATACTGGGCTAAATACGAACACATACATACGGAGTACCTGGCTCGTACGCAGAATTTAAAGCCCATCATTGAGGCATATAGCAATCAGCTCATGCAGGACCTAAACAAATACCCCACTGACAAATGGACCACTATTGGCATCGTCGAAATGTGCCGACGAGAAGTGACCAAATGTGCCATGAGCACTCTGTTGGGCCCCAAAGTCTTTGAGCTGAATCCAAATTTTCTAGAATCATTCTGGGAATTTGATGATAATGTGTTCATGTTGACGCTGGGCTTTCCGAAGTGGTTGAATCCTGGCCCTTATAAAGCACAAGACAAGTATCTCTCCATGATCGAGAAATACGTGGTTGCTGCAATCGAGAACTTTGACTGGAATGGACCTGACATCGAGTCCAGCTGGGAACCCCATTTCGGTGCTCGCATTTGTCGCGAGACCGCAAAGTGGTTCAAGGAAAGCGGCTTTCCAGATGTTTCTATTTCTGGTGCCCTTGGAACCCTCCTCTTCGCGTAAGCATTTCCTGGCTTGATTTTGACCAACTTCAACAGCATATTGATTATGATTTTCTTGACAGACAAAATTCCAACACTATCCCGACAACAATGTGGATGCTTCTGGAAATCCTCAAGGATTCATCGTTACTACGTGCTGTTCAAGAAGAAGTAGCTACAACATACTCGAAAGACCCCGAAACTGGTAAACCTGTGTGCGATCTTCAGAAGCTAGTTATGTTGCCTCTGTTACAGTCCATATTCACCGAAGTCCTGCGGTTACATATGAATTTCAACATCATTCGTCACACTAAAGAGCCCATCACAATGGACGGATACAAAATCAAGAAAGGGGCCATGTTACAGGTGCCCATGATGGCCGCACACTACGAAGAGAGCGTTTGGGGTTCGACAGGGAATCCTGCTTCAGAATTCTGGGCCGAACGCCATATCAAATACATCGATGATAAGAAAGAGAATGGTGAAATTGAGCGTAAACGCGTTTTCGCCATGGCTGGGCGGCCGAGTTCCTACTTCCCTTTCGGTACGAGTCTATCCTACTTTCCTTCTTTCTTCTCTCCTTTTGACTCTCGCTTTCCGTTATCACTGCAGATTTTGCATGATGGTATACTAACCCCTCTTCCTTTTACTAGGCGGCGGACCACCAATTTGTCCCGGGCGACATTTCGCGAAGCACGAAATTCTGACTACAATAGGAATGTTAGTAACCAAATTTGACATTGAATTCGTGGAGTGGGTGAACTTCGACGGTTCTCCTTCTGATCGGCCGGCGCAGAATAACCAACAGTATTGTGGAGCGGGCTCTATGCCACCGGACCGTGAAATGAAGATCAAAATGAAGCGTCTTTGGTAATTTCACTCCTGACTATGATTGATATTTAGAGGTTGAGAATCTGACACTTGTTCATGAATGTATTTCGGGCTTATGGGTTTATCTTATTCTTTCTCTAGTGGGCGTTATGGTTATGCCCTGCCATTCACCCCTTTCATCCAACATTCACATTTAGCCCGAAAATTAACATTATTCCTTAGCTTCAGCTAAAAATTCAGCAATATAAAGCTTGGTGTTTCAATAATCAAGAATATGATAGGTCACTTTGAATGGGTTTCACAAGCATGGTAGGACCAAGATTTCTTCCACACGAATTTAACCAGAAATTACGATATATACTCGCCAAAGCGATTAACAGAAGGATGAGAACAAACGACTACAACAGTAATATAACTTTCTCGTCCTGTACTCCTACCCATCATATCCTATGTAACAATAAGTGAACCGTACACACTAGCAACGGAAAATAGGAACTCAAAGAGATATTGAAAATACCGAAACATACCACAGGAGTTCAGCCAACCGCCGTTTTACCCAATGTGTCTGAAATATACCCTAGGAAATTGGAAGTAGAAATGAGCGAAGGCATCCACTCCTTTCTATTTCAATTCCCTGACCCTTTTGTAGGTCCGCATAATTGTCCTACCCGATGAATAAAGGTAGGCAGACCCGTTGATGATGTAGCTTTTGCGTAGACATGCTCGGCGACGAACTTTCACTCTGCATATCTTTGTTAAAGACACTTTTTGAATCAAGCACAATTTGTTCAGGAGCCGACGTGGTAGATATCCGGCTCCATAGACCAACAGAAAAGATCGAGGAAATGAAGTGGAAATGTGCCTCTGCCTTGCAAGCTAGGCAAAAGCCTATCAGGTGCCGCACACCTTGAAGGTGAGGCTTTTCAAAGCCATCTAGATTTGGAGAAAGTTCAATTCCTAGGTATTGTAAATGACTATACCTACTGTTTCATGTCAAGCCCTCATAAACTCAGAATTTAAGTCCAGGTCGGGGAGAGTGAGGTTCGCTTTGATGTACTGAAGTACCGGGATCGATAGCAAGGCCTCTGTCCCTAAGTCCTTTTACCACACGACATTCCGTAGCATCGTTTCTAGTGAGACAGCTGACCCGGTCACAAGTTCTACTGCTGATTTGGTCCAGGATATAGTTTTCTAACGAACCAGTAGAGGCCGTGAGATTTGGGGCATATTACTTGAATCTGAGAGGGAAAATTATTTATGTGTTTTCAATCATCTAGCTGTGTATTTACATATCCATTCTATCTGGGTTACCGAACCCAGTATTGTCGTAGCCCCATTCGTGACTTAAACCGATTTGGACGTCCTTGAGACGCTGTCGATGGGCTGTTCAGTTCGTAACATAGCTATACGGACCATCCAATGTCTACTTATATGTAAGGATCTGACTCTTAAACGTGATGAGAACTTGTAAACTACTGGAAAGCTAGAAACTAGGATAGAAACAAGAGGACTGCTGATTTCCTGGATGAACTGGTGGGCAGGATGAGCTTCTTATAAGCTCAATCCTGCCATCCCGGACGTTCCTAATCTGCATGGCGGTGACCTCCGTACAAAGCAATATAATGAATCTTTCAATGTACAAAGATGAAGCACGAAACGGAAGAAATAAGACAGCGAACAAGACACGGAAACAGGATGCCAAAGAACTTGTCGGATTGATGGGTTTACTCCGGCCAATCCTGAGCTATAAAGAATCTGTTTGTGCGGTAGTTTTACAAGGATAGTAAAAGAAGGATTTACTAGCAAGATTGTATATGCTGAGTTCTCTGTCCGTCTGAATATATCCGATTCCAAAGCTGGGTTTCTATAGACATATTGGCGGGGTAATTTGTGAGCTATCATGAGAGGTAAACATTAAAGACTATATTGAGCCCTGATAAGATAGCTTCTGATTTACTGAAATATAGATGGCTAAATACATGCCCTGAGGTGACTGGTTGACTTTTAAGATATTCAGATTATCTGACTGTCGGTATAGCAATCTTACCTATCTCGGCGCGGGAATGGGATATAGTTTATCCGTGCGCTATAGCGTACGGAGGATAACTACATCTCACCACCCGCATCCCCGTAGTTCTTAGGATTAGTCGCAATATTAGGAATTCAGTATTACTGGCTCACTCAGCTTGTTGGATTAGCTGTCCTTCTTAGATCTTGCGATCTAACGAAGGTAAACCAACACTGACACACCCTCTCAGCTGAAGAAAGCACTGCTTTCAAAGCTAGAGATAGCTTCATACATCATCCGACATGTCATTAAGCGAAAGCAGTTCCTCGATATCCGGGTTCTCCATATCCTTTTATTGGGGAGCGAGATAGCGGTCAATATTTTCTACTCTGATTTGATTAATAAAGTTTTAGTGTTCCTGTGACGGCTCCGCTCCATTACGGTTGCCAATATGACGGCTGCCAATATGACGCCTCTGCTCCTGTAAGGCAGAGAGAGATGGGAATAGCTTCACAGACGTATTGGAATCTTTTGGTACTAGTCCGAACGGGGTTAGACTCTGATAGGAGCGTACAATTTGGGTGAGGAATAATTGACTCTGATTTGCACACTCTCTAAAATCTCCTCTAGATACACATCCTGATCCTCTTTATATACAAAACGTAGTGGCGAAATATCACGGATTTACGGAATAAATAACAATCCTGACTCCAAAATGTATTCTCGCGGATATGTTGCTTTTCCGAGGATTCAAAGATTAGTAAGTACGTCCGGATTGGGATTAGCGTATCAAATATCCAACAAGACTGTCAGCGTGCTACACCCGTGGATCTCCCTCCGGCGCGGATCAACTATGATCCGAGAATCATGTGATCTCCGTAAAGGGGTCAGCGCAGCTGTAGTTAGCTTAGATAACCAATAACAACAACTAGCACATTAACAAAGACGGAATCGTCACGTGCCGCCAAGGACAGCTGCTTAGTCATCAAGCGAACCAGGCACAATGCGCATATGTATGTAGACGATTCCTAGACGTAGAGAAGTAGCGAATAGCTACTTCATCAATCAGACCCTACGTTCTACGTTCCATTAACGTATGTCCATCGTAATGGCTACGGATCGCGCCTCATAGTCACGCTCTTTACAACCTCCCTTACAGCTCCGCTACGGCTCAGCCCAGCGCTTTGCCCTTGGTCTACAGTTAGGGCTACACGGCTCCGAACCCTATCCCGGCCGGATTGGAAAGACGTACGACATCAGACGTCGGAGCCAGATTGGGCAAGCGCACACACAAGGGGATATTTAGGGACGTAGCGAAGGGGGCTTGTTGTTTATTCTTCTCTTTCTCTCTCTATACTCAATATTGCTTGTAGACAAGCAACTCATGGTAGCTAGATAGCATTCAATTCAAGCAGTTTGGCATCGCCACATTCCTACTTGCTAAGTGCCTTGGTAAAGCTGTTAATTATTATATCTTTTGTATGTATATAGTGCAATTAGATATCTCTCTTCTGCACCTCTTATCGAACCTAGTGTTACGGGCTAGTTCCGCCTAATGCTCACTATAAGGGCATGCTTGAATGGAAAAAGTAACCTGAGAAAAGGAAAGAGAAAGAAAACAACAAGTTCCTCACGCGCATACAATCTTATATGGGTAAGGGGAATCAGGAAGAATTCCGGAATTCCGGGTTTAACGGATGTTGAGTGTCCGGTTGTGATACGGACTTCTCTCTCGAGCTCCGGTTCCAACGGATATCGGGTGTCTGCTCGTGATCCGGGAATAGCTTCATGTTCGGGTTTACTGGGATTCGGAGAAGCGTGCTGTTGTCAATATCCGTGAGGGCTTCGCCCGAATATGCTCATGAGGTCAGCTCATTACATGCAACGTTAAAATGTTTGCAGATTACTATACCTATACATGCACATTATGTACAGCAGGCTGAAACGAAGATTATCTGTATGGAGTGCAATATGCTGAAGTACCCACGCTGCTCTTAACAACTACCGTTTAAACCCACCATGAATCAACATCAGCATTCTTATAGTATCTCCCTTCAGCGAATGCCTTTAGATACCTAAGACATCCCTTGCTGCGCTAAATAGCTTCTTAACAGCAACTTCAGAGGCAGGTATTGCCAGGTAATTCCTGGCTACTGCTGCCATCTGCCGATACTCATCCTTGCGTATCCGCCACCAATTACATAGCCAATTATTGCCCGTGGTATCTATAACACCGACTGGGGGAGTTTCGAAGTACCTGTCAATATTAGAAACTAGAGATTGATCTCATGGCCGCAACTCCTTCAGCATTCTTGATTCTACATCACTCAACTCTCCTAGAGATTGCTGTAGCATGGTTGAATAATGCTCAATGTCGCTACATGTATCTCTGATGGAGGTTAGTGCGGATAGTCTCTAAAATCATAGTGCCTGCATTGCCTTCTTACAATTCTCGCAAAATTAATTTGCCTTTGACTCTAGGATTTAATATAAGAGCAATGTATTATGTATCACAGTCGTCTATAAAAGAGTAGTATTTTTCATACTTTATCATACCCTCTTCCACTGCAGTTGCAATATCTTAATCTTGTGTTGAAAAGTCACCATTGCGTTGACTTGCATCATCAAGTAGTTCATGTAGTTTGTAGTAAATAGGGACGGCAGGGCTAATTTATGGATTTCATTTTGAAATAAATGATGTGAACTCATTGAATTTTTCAGGAACTTGGTGAATCTGCTCAAGCTGGGACCAATCGTCGACAGTAAAGGGTGGAAGTTCCTTCTGAAGTTCAAGAAACTTATTTATTTGTTGTTTCGATTTCAAGCCATTATTAATCATTCGAAATGTTGAATTCTATCAGGTAGCAATATCATATTTAATGAATTTGTCTGGAAGATCATTCAATTTGCAAATTTCTTTCCATTTCTGTCAGCGTTGAGGATTTCGATTAATCCATAGAGCGAGGATCCTGAGTCTTCCTATAGCTGACTAATTAGTAATCAGGCTACTCGACTCCAAGGCACGGAGGATATCTTTCACAATGAGATTGAGGACATGGGCCAAGCAGCGGACATAGCTATCCAAGTCGTGATAAAGAAGTGTCAGACTTCTTTCTCCCCCAAGTCGGTGCCTAAGTAGCTTTAGCATTCCTAATAGCTCAATTTGCTACAAATCTATAGATCTGCCTTAACAATCTAGAAGTTGCTACGCGTCTTCCATCTCCCTCCACAGGATCTTCTCAAGAAGTCTTTGAATCCTTCTGCACACTTGTAGCCGCCTGGCCACTCCGCGAAAGGCTTCCTTACACCAAAAGCAGCTCTATCCAAATACGATGGGTCCCTGGACACGCAAAAATCCCCGAAAATGAGGCGGCTGACCTCGCTGCCAAACAAGGCGCCGCCTCAACCTCTTCTCCTCCACACAAATCCTCATATGCCTCGCTAAAGAGGTATGCCAAGGCTCGAGCCCTTACTGCTGCTCAGACACTATGGCAGAGCGTGGCACCGCAAACGTACCAAGACCTAGGAATCACCACATCTCCCAAGCACCCAGGAGAGCTCCAACTCAATCGACTAGACCTCGGCCATATTATCGCGGCCCGAACTGGACATGGAGACTTCGCGGACTACCATAAACGATTCAACCATAATAATGCTCATCTTATCTGCCGATGCAGAGCACGAAAAGTACCTCTGCACTTCTTCTTCTACTATTAGCTAAGCGACGAGCCTCTCGTCCTCCTAGGCCCCCCTCTGAGGTCATCTCGTTTCTTCTAGGCACTGCGAAAGGAGCACAAAGGCTGGCCACATGGCTAGCAGAGACACATTTCTTTGAGGACATCTGCCCTCGCCAACCTCCCCTTAGCACCTAGCTAAGACAGCCCTACTTTTCCTTTCTATTCCATATCTCTTTCTCTAATTCTCTTCTCTTCTTCTTTCTCCCTTTGCAAAATTTACTGTTCAGTTACAGAGGCGGTGGAATAACAGGGTTATGGAGTGTAGGTGGACCATTGCAGCTGGCAAATACCTAGAGCCCACTTAGAAGTGGATCTTCCTATAAGATCACGGCAGCTATAGAAACGCACCAAAGAGTCTCTTATCTGTATATAAATCTGGTAGATCTTGAAGCCCGAGGTTTACCCCTCGGCGGCCTATGTCCCAGTAGGGATCGGTAGGAAGCGTGCGAGTCACGAACCACGGCCGTTAAATAGAAACACACACACACACACACACTCCTCAAAGACAAAGGTTATTAACAGAGTCCTGATTATTAATAAGACTTATGGCTAGGTGAGCCACAGTAATTCACACAGGCCACTTTGAGCATCGGTGATGATTTTGACGGTATCGTATCGGCACACCTGGAATTAGATGATGCCGATATCGTATCGTCAACAGCTCTAAAGTCTTACTGACGTCCCTCACCACGAAAAGGTGACTTTCCACGAGGGACCTAAAGAGGGAAGCCAGCACGAGGGTTAATATCCCCAACCCTCGGCTATATGGCGCTAGCCTAATGTGGAAGCCGATGTCTACAACTCTGGCGGGGAATTTGTTGGATTATGTCAGTTACTCTGAGGTGTAAATGTCGATATACCCCCCGATTGCCAACTGGCTCACCAATCAGGGTGAAACACATCTTTCAGAGAGGGGCTTCGATTCTTCAATATAGAGGACAACGGCCCATATTAGGAACAGCAGAAGTTGGGCAGAGAGGGCAGATTGAAAATGAACAGTAGAATCTACGAATATTGAAAATAGACAAGATTCTATCTTTTTTGTTATCAAGAATATTACATTCCTGTAGAATATATCGGATTGTGAGTCAAACAATCCAACAGAATCCCGTGATATAATTGGAATATGAAATTTGAAGCACCTCCCGATAGACCGACGAACTGCACGATAAAGGAGTTCAGAAGGCCTCAGGGCATTTGAATTCACTATGCTAAAAATGGCTTGTTCAAGTTAAACTTCCGATATTGTCCAAATTCGCTTCAGGTGGTTTCGTAAAGAGACCAAAGCCCGGAGTCCATCAGGTCCTCCCGAGGCTTGCGAGTATAAGTTGCCACAACTTATTGCGTCTAAAATGCACTTAGCGGTTTCGTCCTCCAAGAGTCCTACGTATGCGTCCTGTTTGTCGGTGACGCGGAGGTCGGGAGGTAATCCAAGAGCTTTTTCGATCATCTCAAACTGGTGAATGGTTGCTTGAATGAAGATTTTTATTTGCAGATTTCCCTGCTGGACTGAGAACCCGGCAAGCTGTAATTGAGGAAATATCTGCAGATCAAAGACATCTCCATTGTGACCACTGAAAAGCTTTCTGCTCAGACACGAGAAAAGCTCTTCATATATCTGTACTAATTGCAAGTATGCGGAAATGAGATTGAGAGTGAGAATCAGGCCGGGTCGAGAACCAGAGCTGGTGCCAATGTTATTTTTGATACCGTGACAGCCCTTATTCCTGGTTCCCGTTTCAGAGAACTTCTTACATTCATCCGATGTGTAAGCCCGTACAATCGCAAAGAATTCTGAAGTATCGCTCAGAGTGTGCCCAAACAGGTTTGTTTCCGGGTTCCTGATGTCATCCTTATCCAACATTGACGGTTCAGACCCTGTTGCATTGGCCGCTTTGGAGCCGCCGTCGTTCCGTCTGAAGAATGATTGGCATTGCTGGAGGCGTCTAGCTAACTTGAGATTGAATTCGGATACCCGGTGGCCAGATTCTACAAGTTGTGGCGACAATCGGTGGTCTAGGTGCAATGTGCCCTTGTTGAAATTCTCCAGAGGAAGGGTGCCGCTGTCGTAAGCGGAGTCAAAAATCTGGGGGTTGAAGTCGCTGTAAGCAATTTCATGTTGGCTGCCCAAGTCTTCGTGCAAAATAGAGTCGAGAAACATCTTGTCGGTGACGGATAATGACAGAGAGTAGTTATCAGTCACAGAGACGTCTGACTGGCTTAGCGCCATATTGACATCGTGCAAAGCGGTTGCTGTAGGGCTTTCCGATAGAGCGGCGGTTGATGGATTTGTTGTTCTAGGCATCAGTAGAGGCTGCGAACCTGACTGCGTTCCAGCGCGAGACTTAGGCTGACCCATTGATCTATAATAACTTGTGGTGCACTGGGCACCTTGACGAACACAGCGACTGCAGGGATCCGATACATTTGTTCGAGGGGGACATCGCAATTTTTGACCTCGACAGCGGTCGCATGCTGTTCTCTTGGAAGTAGATAAAGTTGGTTCTGTTGAAGGAATATAGTTCGACATTGGTCCTAGATCATTCCACGAGGGACTTTACAACCCAAAGACAAAAGATAAAGTATGAAATTGATCGATAATCGTCTGGTATACATGCTGATCCAAAGCTTGTGAGCTGGGCTTGACTATCATATAGCATATAAATTACCTATTTTTCTCCGATTCGACTAGAAGTAACGTAAAGAGGTTTCAACCATAGCGGTATCAATATATCCCTAGATGCTAAGATGCTAAGGAGCTGGAGGATCTTTGTGCCTCCGTCAGCACTGACATGGTGCGTATTATTGGAAGTCTAGTAATTAAGGCCCGCTTGGCCTGATTGGGTAGTGCCTTGGGATAGAATAGAAAGAGGGGGCCAAAAAGGCCAGGTAAAAACTTCACCCCCAACTGTAGTATGGGGTTTCTCCGTTTCCATCAGAGCTGAATCTCACCTTGATTAGCTTGCTGTAAATAGCTGGCTATCTAAACAAGGTTTGCTAGGGATGCCGGGACCCACTTTTCACAGGCCTGTATTACATGAAATTCATGGGCCGTTACGGTAAATTAGATTTCTGTAATACGGATTTTACAGTTGCAAATTAGAAATATTATGAGCATTTTTCTACATAAAAATTACTAGGAAAGGCTATGATTACAGTATTTTACATATTTAAAGAAAAAAAAACCAAGGTTTGTTGATTAGGGCAAATTAAAAACACTTGAAAAAGCAGTAACAATCCCCTGAAAAGCTAATCCCTCTCCCCCCAATCCTTCCCCAATTTCTTCCGGAAAGTAATATGGCAAAGCAGCTTCTTCTGCTGTACATTTTATACTAGAAGTAGGCTCTGAAGCAAAGGTCTTAACAGATTCAAGAGAATTGATATATTGGTTAAAGGATTCAAGCTGAAGCAGGCGCTCTTACTCAATTGATTCCTCCAAGAGAAGCTTCTCAGTCGATAGATCTTTTCTTTCTTTAACTCGCATCTGGGATGAGTTGATTTAGATATATAAGAGCATCTCCAATTTTTTCATATCAAGCCAATTCCGTAGAGTTGTAAATTGAAGCTTTAGCCTTGAGAATGCTCGTTCTGCAGCTGCTAAATTAGCAACTATATGAATAAGATGAGAGACGTAGGCAGAAAGTATTGGAGCTACAAATGAAGCTTCAAGCCAGTAAGAACCTGGCTTTTCAATAGGAAATAAGGCATTATAAAAGCGATCTAATCCTTTAATATATTTGATAAATTCATACCATGCAGTTTTACCAGTTGCTTCGTCTTTTTGTAATTGTAAAGTTGACTCAATCGACCGTAAATTTAAAGCTGATATATGCTTGTTTCTGTAAGCTGGATTCAAATAATAAGCGATCCAATGGAGAGGTGTAAGCTATCGCTTGATTCGATTTTTCCAGCCATTGCCGTTGAGATAGGCCTCCATATCTACTGAAAATGAAGTAAATTTTGAGATCCCTTGAAGATCATCATGTAAGCTAATCTATCGGCTTGCTACATCAATAATAGATGTGTTAAAAGCCTCAGATTTCTTTTGTGAAATATGTAGTGGCAGCAAGATTTTGCATAAATCAGAAAGATTATGCCAAAATGTTACATCAAGAATATCACCAACAATCACAATAGTGCTATCTTTAGCATTTAAAGGAGTTTATTGAGCCCACTTTTTAATTGCTTCTTCAGAATCATATATGGAGGCTAAAAGATTATATTAAGTTCCCCATCATGTCATAACTGAAGCGATAAGAGCCTTCTTTTTCTAATAAATCTTTATTTGAATTGCTTATAATTTAGCATATTCAAGTACAGATCCATGGAAAAAGCTAACAATCCTCGAAGCCTTCTTAAAAAAGGAAGATATTGAGTTGTTTGAAGTCTGTAAAAGATCTTTAATAATCAGCTGGATGCCATGCGAATCACAAGGAATCATAAAGGCATGTTCTAGCTCAGCTTTTGATCTCAAGATCTCCCAAACTGATAACATTGTAGCATAAGTGTCTGTTGATATTGAATTTATTTGCTTCCAATCTAGTGTAATTTTTAATAAATCTATCAAGAGCTGTTTCAGCTTTTGATAAATCTAGTCGACAATTGTTATAGCATCAAGCTTGCTGTCCTTCATATCCTAAAGATGTAAAAACTAAGATTTTATATTTGACATAACTATCATGACAATGACACGATGATCACTAATAGTTATTGTTTCATCAACTGCTATATTAAGGTGTGGAATTGTGCGAAGCTTCTCAATCATCTCGTCATGAAGGAGGTTATATTCTATAGGCAATAAATTGTCAGTGAGCTTTTATTAACTAGAAGGATTATAATAAGAATTCAAAGCTTGGAATAGATCTCTCATCTCTTCCAATTCAAATAAAGTAAAAGGACGACCGCCAACAAATATTGCCCTGGCAAGCGCACGATCAATCCCCATTTTTAGTGTGCTTTTAATGTTGATTGTAGTTTGCAAGCCTTTTAGAGCTGCGAATCCAAGAATTTGAAGAGCTCTTTGACACTTCCAAATATGCTGCGTTTGACGCGATGTATTTTTAGCGGATGTCGCGCTGCAACCGCGACATCTTACTTGACCGGACTAAAAATCAGGAAATCAGCACATAGTTTTTATCAACAATATTATATAAAATTTATATGTAAACCTACTATTTTTTGACTCGGTATTTCTTCAAAGACCTTAGCTCTATGCTCTGCTTTAATTTCCGGTAGATCTTCTGTCATTTTGGTGGGATCGGAGAGCAATATAAAAAAATTTATATACAAGGAGTTGAGATGTAGCTTTCGACATATATATTTTGATGTGGAATGGTGTTGAGTTCCACTGCTTGGGTTATTTTGCCAAAAACCCGCTAATCTAGGGATCTGATTGGCTGGGATGGTTCTGACCGCCTTTAAAAAATCACGTGATTGTATTACAATTTACAAGCCCCAAAATCGCGGTAATCTTGTAATACATGTAAGCCCCTTGGCTGTAACGTATTTCAACATCCCTAACCAATGATGGACAGTTAAGGAGGTCCACTATCTCTAGGCCAATGAAAATTTGAGTTCGTAAACCTTACCACATTAAGACTAGCGCGTATGGTTTAGCCGTGGGGAAAATCGTCGAAGGTCCGACGTTACCAGCAGAATCACTACTGCAGACGACAGTCAACTACTTCTCCTTTCGCATCCCGTCACGCGCAAATTACAATGATTCCGAGCCAGCTATCTCTTTGGGTGTGCTGCAATATTATATACCTCTTTCCTAGTTAGCATCATGCCTTCCAGGCGCCAACATCTCAAATCTCGCCACGGTTGTCTGACATGCAAGTCTAGGAAAGTAAAGGTACGCATAGCAGCTAGCCATTCGAAACCGCAGAAAGCAATACATATGTGATACGGAAGATGAGCCTGATATGAGGTCAATAGTGCGACTTTCAGAGACCTGTGTGCAGTCATTGCTCACGAAGAAAGGAACGATGTCGATACACGGAAGATGCACCAAACCTATCCCATAATCGACTCTCACATGCATACCGTCGAAATGCTATGTACTCGTCCGAAGGCCATTTATCAGCTCCTCTATTCACCAGTTTACCGAATCTCGAACAGATTTTGTTGCATCATTTCTCATCTAGCGTCAGTCTCACGTTGTCAGATCGAAGCGATTTCCAGGAAGTCTGGTCTCATCATGTTCCCAGAGATAGTTACGATTATCCACACTTGATGCACAGTATTCTGGCCATATCGGCTCTTCACTTGTCGCAGACAGCAAACCCCGAGAATCTTGCTGATATTAGATTCTACGCGGCGCTGGCGACTAACCATCATGTTACAGCGTTGTCCCTTCTCACGCCTCATGTTACTGGTGTCACAATAAACAATTTTGATGCCATGTATGCAACCGCCATGCTTGTCTTTCTTTACGCACTGATGACGCTATCGGACTCTTCATGTCTCTCGCAACACATTGTAGCACTCTCCGAATTGGCCAAGGGAATTCTAGCCGTAAGGAGAGAAGGCGAAGAAAAGTGTGAAATCAAGAAGTCCTATTTGTTGCGCGATTATTGCGCATGGGACCATCCACCGCCACTTCCAGATGGTTTGCATCGAACAGTGCGAAATGTAGAGCACTTAGTTGCCTCACTTCCCGAGACTAAAGAGAAAACGGAAAACAAGACCGAATATCAGCAGGCCATTAGGATCCTCAGTTGTACTCTCAATGCTGTCAATCTGAATCGTGAACATCCAGCGATGGTCTTCATGTGGCTGACTCTCGTCAATCGTCGTTATATCGAACTTGTGGAATCTAAGGATACTATGGCTCTCATGATCCTAGGTCATTACGGGATTTGTATGCTACAAGTGAAAGACAAATGGTGGTTCGCAAAGTGTGGGGCATATCTCGTTTCTGCAGTGCACCGAATCCTCGATAATTGACGTAGATAGACCTTATTGCAGCATATTGAGCCAAAGGATGATAAAAATCGCCTCTGGTAGCAGCTTCTCATCAAATCGCAGGAGCGGATTGTTGTTGGCTTTCTACGCAAAAATTTCGCATGTATATGCGTCTCACCTCCCATCACCTCAAGTCGTACATTTAGGACGACTGCATTGTCAATTTATCAATATTTCGTCTTGAGAAACCCATTGAACCGGAATGACGGCTTATACAGCTGAACAAGTACCTATGGCTGGTAAATATATACCAACCATTTCGTCTTACTGGAAAGAACCTCAAGGAGAACCACTATGAGCCATTGGCCTTCATATCAGGGAGATGAAACATCAGTTCGCCTGTGGACGTCAAAACTGAGTATAGACGTGTTTTCTAACCCAATGCACTCGCGACATTTGATATTCAAAGCAAAAGGGCCCACAAAGCAACAGCTACTGATCTTGTATCAGCTCAATACTCGTACAGCCAACATCAACTAGACCTCATCATCGTGCCGAAATATCTACAAAAAGTCTGCTTACAAGTTGGCAACTGGCTCTCTACTCCTGCGTCGAAGGCTATTTTGATTCTTATAACTGGAGTCATTATTAAAACTCATGTAGCTACGTGACTCGGTCACTGTATTATTACTCTAGCCGTTGTTTTATGCGCCATTGAGCTAAGCGATTCGACTGTTCAGTGTGTGAGTTCTGGGATAACGTCTCATCGCGTGCACACACGCTGATTCTGGGTTTTCAGGTTGGTAGGGAGCACTTGATGGTACGTACCTTTCCGATTAGGGCTTCTGTCCAAAGCAACGAAAATGGGTTGGCTGGGAGATACTGCCAGGAATGTAACTACATAGCCAACTCAGAACGCAGTAGTTGGCCAGGAGGTCCTTTTTTAGATTACAAGCGCTTAGTTATAACTGACCCGCTAAACAGTTTCTAATGGATCTTTCATTAGTTAGCTCATTCAATATCAAGTAAGAACCGGCGAAACGCCGTGTTTCATGATCTAGAAATGTTGTATCGCAAAGTCTCATTATTGGACCTTGCCAAGCGCGCCAGTTGCAAGATGGTCATAATGAGCCCCAATCAATTTATTAATGATTTATGGGGCTACTACTGAATAATGGAGATCTTACATTCCCTACGTGATCTTCAAATTTTAATCAAACCCAAGGCCAACGTAGACAGTCAATGTCGGGATTTACCAGCAAGGCGCCCATACCAGGGTACGCGTATAAATCAAGATGCAAGGTTCCCAGGCCTCGTTAGAGCCATTTTTTCGCTTGGAACGGTCCCCGAATTTCCACTACTACTTATATCAAAATTGGTACTGTCATCCTTGGTGACATGATGTCAATGTTACTGCCACTATGTTTGGCAAGATGATCTGGAGCATGTTTACAAAACATTCCAACATACAAGCTACAGGGGCTCATTTCTCAAATATTTCTTCCAGAGCAGTTACTCCTTCCTTTCCAAAAATCGCTTTCACGACTCAAAATCAAGGGCTGCCACCATCTCGTGCACTACTTCAAAAAAGTGATAAATTATCCTGCACAGTCTACCATCATGAAGTATCTCGCTCTCACTGGCTTCCTCGCCGCTCATGCGGCTGCACTGAGGAACGTCATGTATGTTGACCAGTAAGTCGAACCTATAACCATCCTTATTATGTGTGTTAGAATCTCCTGCTCTAACAAGTATGTATTACAAAGATGGCACATTTCCAGCCTACCATCAAGTGATCTTGTGTCATCGGTGACATATGCCATCATGGCATTCGCACCATCGGAAAATTTCAACAGCGGAAGCACATTTACACCGTTTGAGTCAATTAATACCTTTAGAGCTCGTTTCCCCAGCACAACAAAGATTATGGTTGCTATCGGAGGCTAGGGTGACAATGCTGGCTTCTCGACAGCCGCTGTTAGTGAGACCTCACGATCTACTTATGCGAAAAACGTCGCGGCCATGCTAGAGTCAACCGGCCTTGACGGCGTTGGTAAGCATATATTATCTATCAATTATATTTAAGACGATGGCTGACAGTCTCCTTCCTCGCTTCACACAGACCTTGACTGGGAATATCCTGGAGGCAACGGAGCAGACTACAAAACAGTTCCAAACTAGCAACGTGCCGCTGAAGTGAATACTTTCCCTCTCCTGGTTCGAGCTATCCGTGATGCCATTGGTGACGACAAGATTCTCTCGATCGCAACTCCAGGACTCAAGCGCGATATGATTGGATACACTGCTGAAAATGGCCCTACGGTTTTCGGCGCCGTCGACATGGTCAATATCATGAGCTATGATTTGATGAATCGACGTGACAACGTTACCAAACATCATACAAGCATTAAAGACTTATTGGAAACAGTCAATAACTATCTTGACATTGGCATGAACGCAACAAAGGGAAACCTAGGTATTGCATTTTATGCCAAATACTTCACTACCGACCCATCCTCTGATTGTGCTACTAACCCAGTCGGCTGCGCTATGGTGGAACTTGAGGATGCTAATGGTCAAGACACCGGCAAGTCTGGTGCGGTGACCTTCGAGACTAGTCCTGAGGTTTCAAGCTTCTCCATTACATCGTCATGGAGCAGAGCCAAAGCTAACGGTATAACCGATGAAGACGCTGGTAGACAGTATTATTGGGACAGTGATGCGCAGCTATTTTGGACTTGGGACACTCCAGATTTGATCACTCAAAAATTTGCCGATATTATTGCCGCGACAGGTTTGGGAGGTGCCATGGCATGGAGCTTGGGTGAAGATAGTCTTGATTGGAGCGAGCCTAAGGCGATCAACTCTGGTGTTGCAGCCGCACCGTAAGAAGCGCAATATCGAGTGAGAACTTGTCGTCTGCTCAAAATATCTATTTTCACTATGATCAATCTTTAATTTCCCCGTATAGGTTCGCTCTTGGCCCTTCAAATACTTAATCTAGATTCCAAAGAGTGTGCTCCCGGTATACATTGTGCTATTTACTATAATTACAACTGATATATCTAAAACTAAAATACTCCTATAGCCCGGGTTCCATGACCTTGGGAGTCTTAGGGCAGTTGAAACCCTTCTTTCATTCACAGTCATTCGGTCATTTTCCCCGGCATTCTAACACTCGCTGTGCATTTGGGAACGAATATATATGACAAATAGCATCATCAATTACGGCAAAAACTAGCCAAAGCACTAAGCTGAAGCTATGACCATAAAGCAACATGCCCAGAGCTTACTATAATTGATAAGCTCACTATGGTGCATTTATAGTCGACGCTTAAGAATTGTTGAAAGAAGGCCCCCAAAGATCGTTTGAACAGACAGTGAGAATAAAATACCATACTAAATACAATAATCTAATGAAAAATAGCTAAATACAAGTAACGACTACGCAGCAAAATCTGAGCCGGTCGTATAATTGATATGATGCTGTCGCCAACATCTCATCTAATAGAATACAAGGACATTAAAACTTACTCAAGATATTTTGAGTATAAACCCACAACTCCAGAGCCAGTTCAGGACTTAAAGCAGTCTTATCCAGCCTATCATTACTCAATCTTCCCACAGGCATGTAAAATCCTCCATTTACTAATTCATTTTTTGTGCAACCAGCCGCGGCCCAAAGCTGACTTAGGCGACCTTGGGCTTCTTCCATAAATGTCACTCCCAAGAACAATAGCACAATGGTGGTGAGTAATCTGAGATGCCAAGGAATTGACGTTGTCAAGTGTGTGTTGACAGCTCCTGGGTGGACAGAGATAAATTTGATATTTGTATTGGCACATTGGCGGGCGAGTTCGGCCGCGTAGATGATATTTGCGAGCTTGCTTTGCCTATAATGACCATTTAATAGCCTTCCAAGTGGGGAGAGGAGTAGGTTCACGCTTACCCATATCTGAAAGATGATCCCATGAACCCCTTCTGTGGGGTTCGAAGAGTTGAGAACGTGATACCATTCTTTGGATGACTCATCCAAGCTGTCGACGTCAGGCACAGCACACGTACATCCGATCCCGGCAAACTGGCAGTCTTCTTCATTAATGGTAAGAGTTCTTGAATGATCATTGCATGGGCAAGATGATTGATGGCAAAATGAAGCTCAAAGCCGTCTGAACTGACACCGGCGGGAATAAACATAACACCTGCATTGCACCTGAACTGCAGTCAGCCGTCGTCACTAAATCCAAAAGGTATCCTACTCGGCGGACTAACATAAGAACATCCAGTCTATCATGTATAAATTCTTTGCAAGCTGTCTTGACGGAAGACAATGATGTCATGTCCATTTTGACAAAAGTCAATCTTACCGAAGGCTTTTCTATCTGCACTTCATGAATCAATTTCTCTGCCGCTTGATGGTTACGACCAGTAAAGTAGATATGTGCTGGATTGTGCTTTGCAAGCGAGGTTACTGAAACTCTTCCGAGTCCAGAAGTTCCTAATACCCCAAGTGATGTGATTAGTGCTCTGATCGGTAAAGGATATAATTCATATCAATTACCAACCTCCGGTTATAAATATAACCTTTCCATCAAGGTTTGGAATATCCTTCTCCGGGTCGAAGTTCACAAACTGTTCGAGGTTGGGCATAGAGAAGTTGTTTAGACGAAGCTGCTGAATCACTGGTTTGAACTTGACTGGCGTATGACAGTTTAGAGAGATGTTTGGAAATTTGGTGTTGGTAGATCAAGATGTAGGGCGTTGCGATAATAGCATTCATTTCCAAGATGTTGCAATCCCACATATTTATATTGCTTCCAAGATTCCATGAGCACAGCTGCTTCGGAGTCATCTTAACGCCGTGAGTCATGTCCGAGCAAGCCTTTCCAAGAATGCACTCAAAGGGAGGCCTGACGCTTGTAAGCAAAGCCATTTGCGCGATAGCTGTTTCATAGATGAAGTTGTGGCTTTCTTATCCGATAACTCCGTAGGTACTGAAATGTCTCTATAGTTAGATATATGGTCTGTCATAGCCTATAGCGCTGGGTATGGACAACAAACTTGATTAATAATGATAATAAGATATAAAATATCCGACAATGGGGATGGTGTGCAGAGTCCCATGGATCAGGCCTGACTCGACCCACTAGCTAGCTGTAATAGGAATGATGTATATGCAGGGTAAGCTGTCAACAGAAGAGTCTAAGCCAACTACCGCTAGAGTTGCTCTCCATCGAGACTAGTGTAATGCATGATAAGCAGGCTAAACGATGGTCCCTCCAATGACATTTGAGGTTATGCAGGGTAACCTGTTAGTGCAAAGCTTCCCAAGCTTGGATTCCATCTTGCGGCCCCGCTCGCAACGTCGCTTCTTCAACGACTCTCACAATACGAAACCTTTCATACACACGCCTAAACATCTATGGTGGAATAATCAGATCTGATTCCGGAAATCAACTACTTGTGGCTGACAGCTGCTATCGGCTATGGAACACTTGTTTACTTGCCCTCGTGCACTTCGCTCATCCTGCATATCGTAACGTGACACCAGCGAATAACACGCAACCCTGGAACCTCTCCTCCTAGTCCATAGTACCTACCATGTTACCTGCAGAGGTATGTGTAAAAGTCAAAACTGGTTAAACGTCCTTGAATCAACCACTATCCTAAGACACCCCAGTAGTGCTATTAGGTTGAGCTGACCAAAGCGATTAGGCCCGTATTCGTGGCGATGACTGGACCGGGACTACGGATCCGGTTGAGCGACGCCGACGCCAGAACAGGCTGCATCAAAGAGCTTGGAGTACGTTTTTATTGGCCAGTATATTTTATGCCAGGTGGGCGATTGTTGCGGGTACTTGCACGAAATTAGGCCGACGCCCTACCGGGATTGGTGTGATCCAATAGAGCGTCGTAGGCTGGAAAAGGGGGCAATAGTCCTGCCCTAAGAGTGGAGCTTTTAGCGTTCAGCTTGCCAGCTTGCAGCTGCGGATTCTCTGCAAAATCATACCATTTAATGCTTTGGAAGTTGAATTCTTAAGGAAGAGCTCGGTAAATCCGTGACAATCTTATTACTAGTTAATTAATGTAAGGGGTTTTCTTTTTAGCTCTCTCTTAAAAGAGTCGTTTGATATTATTGAGCCAATAAAGAGGACCTAAGGCTATGTATCTTGGGTAAGTCATAAAATGAAATCTGTTCCTAATCTAAACAGTGAGGGAAACGTTTCAAGTTTTCGAAATCTGATTCTTCTTTCTAATGTCCTTGAACCCCGTAAACCAGCTTGCCGCAAAACAGCCCACTGCCGACCCGGCCGTCAAGTAAAAAACGCGGTCGACGCTCTATGAGTACGCTGCTAACACACCAACCAGTTCTGTTGCGCTAACTTTTGCTCGAAAGCCTGTGGCGCCGGCATTGACAATGGCTTGTGGGTTGACCGAGGGCGCGTACTTGGGAATGAGTTCATGAAGGCTGTTGGTGAAAATGGTGTCAGAGAAACTGAGGAAAATGGCGCCGACGAAGGATTGACTGAACATGAGCAACGCCATTGCGTTGGGGATGAGCGGAAAAGCTAGGGTGTTTTGAACGGCAATAATCGGCTGGATATGAGAAGGTCAGATGCATGATCCGTTATGTAAGGGAAGAAGAAGACTCACGATTTGTAGAGCAAGACCGCGACCAACACCGGCGATGATCTGGTAACCAATCCATTCTCCGGTCGATGTTCCAGGGAAAAACGTGGATAAAAGGCCATTAGCAATCGACACGAGGGCCGAACCGATCGGAGATAGTAGCCTATTTTGCCGACTATGTGTTTGTTAGTAATAGGAATGCAAGGGATGTAGTTATAAGTTGACTGACCTAGGACTCCAGAGAAAAGCGCTGTTATGACATGGCTCAAAACAACTGGAAGGATGTAGACACCACTTAAAGTTGGAGATACGCCCTTGACACCCTGGAAATAAATTGGCAGATAATACGAAACACAGACTAGCTGCCCCAAAAGGAACCCATATGCTAAACAGCTCGACCATATAGTCCTCTTCTTGACCATTGAAAACGAGATCATCGCAGCATCGCCCTTGCGGTGCTCCCAAAAGAGGAAAGTGATGAATGTAGCACCAGCGCCGCAAAACAACCCGATCACCTGAGAACTATTCCATGCATACGTGTTGCCGCCGTATTGAAGAGCGAGCAAAAGCTGAATTGCAGCGGGCGCGAAAAGACAAAAATCCGACGAGATCGAGTTTTGGTGGCAGCGTGCGAAGCGCGGTCATGAAGGGCGGCTTTGGCGTTTGTTCGGGGACGTGCGAAAAGACAAGAAGGATAGCAAGAAGACCGCCAGGTTATCTGACACTAGTTAGACACCCACCCCCTTCGTTCTAGGGGGTAGTCATTGTAATATACAGAATTCGTGCTTATAAGCAGGCTCACCGCGTAGGGCAGTTGGACCGCCCTTGCTCACTATCCTATGCTTAGTGATACGGGATATAGCTAAACCAACAATTATTAAACGTGCACAAACGGAAAGAAAATTCTGCATCGAGCTTGCGGAAATGGATGACGAAGTGGAGGAACATAATGATATTTATGCACCTCTATTTTCCACGCATATACCTGACAACATGTGAGTTACCATGTCACTGCTACGTCTACATATAGTGTATTTCATTTCTCTGCTAATTGATTCATAGTTGGGACGAAGGAGGTCTTGATGGTAAGGATAGACCTTTGAAGTCTGATCATAGTTTTCAGCATAATGATTTGAAGTGAACTTTTCAGGGTTCGAATCGCACATAATTTATCAAGTAGAAGGGGTTACTTGCGGGACTGCGCGTTTATGAGGTAGTCATCTATCTGAACTATAGAGCCGGACATCGCTCAAAGCTTAAAGTAACCTGGCTGTAGCACTTGAAAGACACCATCTGGATCATACTCCTTCGCAACATTCTGTAATTTAGCGACGTTTGCCTCTCCATAACCACGAATAGGATCTTGGAATTGACTTGCATAATTCATGTAGATATATCGATGATCGAGTCCCAGCTCCTGAGCTCTCAAGTTGGATGCGACCAACCACTTAGAATATGCTTCAAATAGGATATCATCGCCAGCTGCGTCTTTCCACATGGCACTTAAGGCGACAAGCATGAGTGGCTCTTTCTCGTGTTCTAATCCCAGCGCATTACCATCTTTATCGCCCATGTGTTCCATCATAGTTGTGGTAATGATCTGAAATGTCAAGACCGGTACAATACCAGCCACTTTCTGCTTTATAGGATCCAAAAGTTGTGCCCAGAGGTCACTGATCTCCTGTGCAAGTCTTAGATCCAGGCGAAATGTTGAAGTCCAGTAGCTTTGACGCAGTCCATTAGGGTTCGAGACACTGTGATCTTTAATGACGTTGACTATAGTTTTTGTTGATTTTGTCTCCTGGATAGGCCCTTCGATTTCGAAGAAAGCATTGAATACTGCTGGATGTCCTCCTCCATCTGCTATCGGCTCAGCGTAGTCCAGCTCACTCACGCAAATAAAATTGTCCTGTTTCTGAAGGTAAACAATACTGAAAAGCATTGTAGCACTGGGATCCCTTCCTCTCTCTCCAAAGTTCACAAACGCCTCGATAAGACTGGCATTATGAGCACCGGCATGCACTATTTTACCTATCCACATTAGGCCTCTATCGTGAGGATAGGTATTCAATTCAAAATTGGTCACTATGCCAAAATTGTTACCCCCGCCTCGAAGCGCCTGATACAATGCTTTGTGGGAAGTTGGAGTAGCTTTAATTATGTCTCCTGAAGCTGTGATAACTTCATAGCTTGCAACATTATCGCATGCCCATCCATGCATGTTACTGAAGAAGGAGATGCCTCCTCCGAGAGTTAATCCACCAACGCCGACGTCCGCTATACGACCGCCAACGACGGTCAGATTTTGGTTTTCTAATTGGCGATAAACATCTCCCCATCTGTTTCCTGGGCCCACAGATACTGTTGCCCGATCTCTGTTGACTGTGATATCGTTCATTGCGACTAGATCAATGGTGAGACCACCTTCTAGATTTGACGCACCGGAAAACGCTGCGTGGCCGCCTGATTTGACTGCAAAAGGACAATTGGATCTTCGTGCAAGTAGTACGGCGGATGCAACATCGTGCGAGCTTTCGGGAAGAAAAATGCACGCCGGCAGTGTCTGAGACTGCTGAAGCGACCAGAAGCGTGACAACTCGTTTTTATACAGTCTCTCATTAAAGAATGTAACTTGGGAACCAAAATTTTCTCGTAAGTTGCTACACTTCAATGATGTTTAGTCTAGTATAAAATTGGGAGACTTTTCATTGACCAGGAGTAGTAAGGAAAAGAAGGATGAGAAAATCAATTGAAGGGACATTGGTTGCTTACAGCGCTGGAACAACCTGTAATCAATCGCGGCTGTGACTGTAGTTCGAGTTCATTCACATCGATACCCAATGGCGACTGTTGAAATGCGTCAGATCCAAAGCATAGCCCCGCGAATGCGACTACTTTCAGTGTCGCAGAGAAGTTCATTGGCGGTATTGTGGTTATTCGCCAGATTGAATTGCTTCTCTTCTCCCTTTTCTGCCCATAAAGAAGTCGTACTTTCTATTTATAAGTGTCCCGATTTGGCGTCTTCAATTTGGTGTATGCTTGAACGACTAGACTTGGATCTATTTTCGACGAGTCTCACCGTCCTAAAATAGAGCTAGAACATGCCAGTGCTACGTCAAAATGCCCTGTGAGTCACAATTGTAGTAGGTAAATCAAATGAGGTCTGGTAAGGAGAGAGCAAGATAGAAACAACCGGGAATATCAGCTACTCTCGATACAACAACAACCAAAGAACTGTTACATAAAATGCGGAGTCTTCGGACGGTCATTGGAAAAGTCAATCGTGCTTGTATTGATCTTCTCCCCATTGCATCCTTTTCCCAGTGCATGACTCGGTGCACACCACGGTTTCCACAGTCATGAACAGAGCCACAGTTAGGAAAACATACCATGATTTGTTCGATCGACGTCCGAACGACCCATTGGGTTTCGGTTCCAATTCCTGTGGATATAATCTACTAAATAGCATGCAGTCTGCATGCTATTGCAAGGATAAAACAGTAAGTTAAACTAATACCCCTGTTCGGAGCAGCGATACCACTTCCGGGTCATGGTGAGCATCGCCAAAATGCTAAAACAGATATTGATACCAGAAAGATTGTGCAAGAACGATACTAAACAGTGGAAAAGCACTGTTATAGCCCCCAAATACAGATTTTGGGCCTGGAAAGTCCCTACCTATACACGTATCGAAGTTAGAGATGGGTTTTATCAAAGGTTTGAAAATCAAAGAATTTGAAATACGTAGTTCCAAAGTAAGAGTATCGACTTCTCCAATAATTTCAAAATTTGTTATCTTCGACCTGAATTTACATTTTCCACAGTGTAAGACCTGCGCTGATGAGATCTGCTAGTAGTTGGAGTTATGAATGACATTTGTTCGTGCGTGGAAATTGGTGGGTTAGCACATATCATCATTGTTGTGTATCGTAATACCACGTACGGTTCTCGATCGTATTGCAACGGACACGGAAATTCTCAAGCTTATTGGCCGGATCTCCGAATACATCGTGCTATATGCACAGGCCGATCAGCAGCTCCGACTTGCTGAAAAGTAACAAACAGCTATCACAGCCGTTCCACTTCGTCCTTCGGAGTCAAAACTGTTAGCGCTGTGAGTCTCATGTGGCAAAGAGAATCAAACAAAATCATGGGGCTGAAGTGTGGACGCTTCATAATCATGCTCCATGGTATGTTAGTCAACTATAGGCGCTAGGTATATCCCTATGATCGTGTGCCGTCGTTTGTTTGCCTTCTATGCTTCTTTTATAATTCAATTCACATTCATTATCTGGACATCGACTTGTCTCTAAGTTAATTCATCACTTTGATCTCGAGCTGAAAAAGTGGGTTTCTCACTTCGCGCATGGGCAACATGCGTACCTTGAGAAGCTTGCTACTTTGTTCCACTCTGGCATTCGCGAAAGCTGCTCCTAAGCCTACTTGTAATTATATTGCGGGTGATGCTGGCTGGCCAACTCGATCGGAATGGGACCAACTCAACCAGACTATAAGTGGTCAGCTCATTCAAACAGTTCCTATGGGAAGTGTCTGTCATTATGAGCCGTTCGGAAACTACAATGAGACGGAATGTAACGAATTAAGGAAGACTGGGATTTCCGGCATTGGAAGTTCAAGTCTGGGAGATGGGACAAATCCAGTACGATCTACTATTATAAACACCAACAGCATGATGCTAAACATGTATAGCGTCACTCATCCATCCGAGATAATGAACCCTTACTATCAAAACCGGTCGTGCGATCCCTTTACCTCACCTGAGACTCCTTGCGAGCTCGGAAACTATGCTTCTTATTCAATCAACGTTACTAGTGCACGCGACGTTATTGCTGGCATTCAATTCGCGAAGGAAAAGAATATCAGACTGGTAGTCAAGAACACTGGTCATGAGTAAGATAGAGACTCTTTTACACTACTACAAAGGCTGCAATTTGTAGCCATATGTCGTACTACGCAGTGCTAATATCGTGTTTTAGCTATCACGGCCGATCAAGTGGTTCGAACAGTCTCGCACTCTGGATGTATAACCTCAAAACATCCGAGATCATTCCTGATTACAAAAGTTCTCACTACTCTGGACCTGCTGTAAGACTTGGAGCTGGTATGGGCGTTGGTGAGTCCTACATGGCTGTACACGAACATGGCTATCGTATTGTCGGCGGTGAGTGCGGAACAGTCGGAGTCGCTGGCGGTTATTCACAAGGAGGTGGTCATTCAGTCCTAACTAGCGAAAACGGACTGGGATCCGATCAGGTCCTTGAGTGGGAGGTCGTCACCACTACAGGTGAGTACCTGATTGCGACTCCGGAGCAGCATTCGGACTTGTACTGGGCTTTGAGTGGCGGAGGCGGTGGCACATACGGAGTCGTCGTTGGTGTCACAGTCAAGATTTTCAAAGATGGTCCATTTGCTGGTGGTGCGTTGGTTTTCAATAACACCGATACACCCGGAAACGAAGTGTTCTGGAAAGCTATTGAGCTCTGGTATCAATACTTCCCGTCTTTTACTGTCAACAACAACACGGTTCAGTTTGTGCTCTTGAACAGCACCCTCGATGCTCAAGCAATTAATTTGCCCGGTCAAACAGTCGATGATGTAAACAAGCTAATGGCTCCATATCTCGCTGAGCTCGATGCCCTCGGTATCCAATATAGTTTCAAGACTGAGTATTCGGAGACATACTATGACCATTTCAATAATTATTACGGTCCACTTCCTCACGGAGCTGAGCCTGTGACCACTATCCTCTACGCCCGACTCGTTCCCCGCAAGGTTGTTAAGGATAAGAAGGCCAATGCCAAGCTTGTTGACTCACTGCGTTCTGTTGTTGAAAATGGCAAGTGGCTTATTGGTTGCGGCGTTTTCAATTTGCAGAATAAAATTCACCCAGATAATGCCGTTTTGCCTGCTTGGCGGGATGCCCAGGCTGTGTGCATTGCTAATGGCTTCTGGGACTTTGAAGCTCCTGTCGAAGAGAACTTGAAACTCAAAGAGGAGTTGGCCGATTTCCATGCTCCGGCCATGGACGCAGCGACTCCTGACTCAGGAGTATACATGAATGAAGTTGACCCTCTATATAAGGGTGATTGGAAGGAGGCGATGTATGGAGTGAACTATGAGCGTCTCTTGGAAATCAAACACAAATACGATCCCGATCACCTCTTATTTGGACACATGTCTGTTGGAAGTGACGAATTCTACTTCGACAAGCGCGGCAGATTGTGCAATGGTCAGCAGGACACTAATGTCAACCTCGATCTGGGCTTAGTCAATCAAGCCATGGATTGGATGGGAATTCATGGCCTATGAATAGAGCAAGATTTAGTCAAGCGTGTGTCCATCTAATCCCAATATCATCTGTAGTCTAGCCATTCTTGCTAATATCAAGTCTCCAGTCCTGTGGAAGTGTCTCAAACCAGCCCTGTTAATAGTAGGTTGTTGCTTTAGAAATCACATATAAGAGTAAAGCCTATCCTGTAAAATTAATTGCTTTAATTGCTGTAACCTATTCAGGTTGCTAGGCTGTAATAAATAAAGCCTGCTATATTAATTACTGCCTGTAACAACTTTAGCAGTTGCGCAGAGGCCTATAGCAAAGCTAGTCTCATCGAATTTATACATATCTTCAGATAGGATTTCATATTCTTGTATAACGTCTCGTACGCGGTCAAAATCCTCTCGGATTATCTTAATATCCTCGCATTTTGCTCGCTCGTAGTTATATCTTCGTGAAAATTGTCATTTTACTTCTGGATGCCGGTCAATAAATCGATAAACTCATTTCTCACTAATATGCTCATTTCCATGTTGAGAAAGAAGAAGATCAGCCATATCTTGTACGAGAGATGGCTGGGGGGTAATCCACGTTTATCAAAATTAAGAATCCATTTGAGAAGAGAATCCTGTTTATATTGGGTCATTTTATGGCCATTGGCGCGTTTTTCAGCTCAATATTCGATGCCGGCAAGTCGATGGTGAAGAGTAGTATATGAAATATTATAGATTCGTACAGCTTCATAAATAGATTTGATTCTTCTATTTTTTAAATCAGCTATAGCAAGCAGTATCTTGCCCTCTTCATTGGCCAACTTTCGCGATTTTCTGTACGATTTGGTGGCATGGTGACGCGTTGAAGATTGGTGTATAGAAATATTTGAAGTATTTTGACGCGCTCTGGGAAGGCTAATCCACTCGGTGTCCGATTACGTTAAAAGTGATCCCGTATAAGTTGACTTGTCTTGCTGACTCTCTCAGTTGTAATCAAGTAACTTATGATAAACAGCTATGAAGAACAGGGCTAGATACATGGCGATGAGTGTGTTTATATAGACCAATGTTCCTACCAATTCCCTACCATCTTGTGGTATACTTTGTGGTATACCCAATCGTTGTTCTTCCTCAGTATACCATTACCCTATCATCTCGTTGGTATCTCGATGGTATATGGTCTCATGATTTGCCATGCTGTTCCTTGGGATGGCTGGTCACCGTGTTACCGTTATGTACTTAACACCTTTCCTAAATGTTCACTAGCTTCATGCAAGTTGGTTCCGTAGCATCACGCCTGAAAGTGGGTATATACGCTGCCTAATCCAAATTCGGGATCGCGGTATAATATTGTTATCACTAAGGAATACATATCCTGTGTTCGTTCGGAGATGCTTGAGGCCATAAAAGGGGTTAGCTGAGCTTGGATTCGGAGGCTACCTTACCCCTAAAACCGCCCCAGTCTGATGTGTTCGGAGGATGACTGGAAGATACTCTAACTTCCACACCACATCTAGTCCGAAATAGCTGGACATACCTAATTGGATATGAAGCAGCAATTATATACCAGAAGGTAATCTCCGCTGGGTTGCCGATTACATGTAATGCTTCAAGAAATCTTTCCATTTTGTAATCATATATCACAGACACCCCAGAAAGATAATTGAGTTCAGCATGGCTACTGAGACTATCACAGTGCAGGCCGTCATCAACGCAAACATCAACTATTTTCTGGAAGTAAGTGAAGGAGGAACCGATGTCATCTACCCAGGAACAGCCACAGACAAGCTGCGGCCACTCAAGTCCGTGATTATGCCAATCACAGATTTGCGAACATGTAAAGACGAGAATTTCACATTGGACACGCATGGTTTCCAATTTGTGCCCCACAAGACGAAGGAGAAGACCTACGACGATCAGGAGAGAATTAAAACAGTTGTTTATGATGAGACTGCAGCACTGTTGAGGGAGGTGTAAGTTTCCTTACATTCTCAGATCTCCGGTCGTTTTGAACAAATTATTACCTTTGCCTGCTTGACCTGATTGAAAGCGTTGGCTCTGATACACAATTTTTAGAACAGGGGCGACTCGTGTTGTCCCATTCTCTCACCTGATTCGAAAACATTTAGTAGATACCGCCGTTGAAGCCGCAAAGAAAGCCGCACCAACAGATATCATTCCGATTATGACTCCATCACTCTTATGTCATATTGGTAAGACTACCAAAGGCTTATGGACCAAAGTGTAATCATATTCAGACGTACATGATGCTTACTATCCCTTAGATCAATCATACGATGGTGCTAAGCAGGTCCTTGAAGATAATTTGCCACCCGCCGTGGCCGAGTCACTCTCGAAAACAAGATGGGGCATCATCAATGTCTGGCGACCCGTTGGCGGTCCTGTCAAGAGAGACCCTCTCGCAGTATGCGATGCACGTTCTTGTGCGGAATCAGATCTTCGCAAGGTCTTCGCACAACTGCCGTCACAAGGTGATGGAAGCACGGTTTCGGTGGGGGCGGGCTTTGAGGTTTTCAATGTGGCTCATAACCCAAACCATAAATGGTACTATGCATTGACAATGACACCAGATGAGACATTGATGATCAAGTGTTTTGACTCAAAGACGGACGGACGAGCTCGAAGGACGCCACACACGGCGTTCCAGACAGACCGTGATGAAGGCCCAGCACGACAGAGCATCGAGGTTAGATGTTTAGTTTTCTGGGAGAATGATAGTGCCGAGTGAATAATGTATACTGGTTTTGCTGAAATCCTGAGTAGGACCTTGGCTTTACTTGAAATAAGGTAGTTAGCGTACACCAATATAACAAACTGTTATCCAAACTGTATGTCGAGCTCAACGCAAATTTAGTACTCGTATTATTGTGTATTCGACGCGGTTTAAGAGGGACGAAAAAAATGAATTACTAAAGAGTGAGCTTTAACCAGGAAAACTACGATATTCCATTTATGTGATTTAGTCGAACTTTCATTAAACTTTAGCAAATTTAGATATGTGTGCCCTTGAACATGATGATTTAGAATATGCGAACTCAGCTATGATTGACACAAAAGATTATAAGGTATCAATGTGTACACACATTCAATCTTTATGGATCACCGGTGTTTGAAGTCAGCAGAAGCAGAAATCATTGGAAGATAAGAACTCGGACATATGACTAAAGTAATTCGAAAACCTGGCCAAATATAACAAATTTTGATAAATCATTCTAACCAAATGCTTACACAAGATGTCTATGACTCTTCCGCTGTTCTCACAGATTCTTCACTTGAAACCTCTCCCTGAGCGTTTCTCCATACCTGATAAGTAAGAACGACACGAGGACGAGCGGCAGGCAAACAACGGCAAGCAAGGTATTTCCCCAGCCGACACCGAATTTATCGTATATACTCAAACCAAAGAGTGGCAATAGGCCGCCCGCAATAGATCGCACTGCCGTAATTGCTGCGACAGCAGAAGCAGCATAGATGGTAAATGAATCGATCAGGTACATTTGCAGCACCATATATAACAACAACTGTCCAACGCCGATGAAAACCGTGCCAATTATGGGGACTATCCAATGTAGACGCAATTCCGCGGTCCAACCATATATCAATAAACCCACCGGAAGACACAACACTGCGAATGGCAAAGGTGGAAGTCTGTACTCTGGTTTGATGATGCCTTTCTTCTGGGAGCCCGTTAAATCAGCCTCTGCGTTTTCCTGAGCGGCCTTTCTTTTGATCATTTTGTCTGATGTCGCACTGAATATGGCAACCCCGAGGAAAGAGCCCAACCCCAGCCCAAGAAAACATAAACCGACATTGCTGGTAGTGAATCCATAGTATCGCTGGAAGACCTCGGTAAATGAAGTGAATAACAAGTCTGGAAGTAATCAGTATAAACCACGAATTCGATTATGTAGAAGAGCGAAGGAACAGTGCGACGTAAGGAACACTTACACATATACCCGTACGTGATAGCGATGAACAAGGATGTAATGATCACGATCGGGGAAAGCGTAAGCATCTTCAATGGACGAACGATGCTGCGTAAAAAGTACGCTCTCTGTGAAAGACCAATATTGAGCTTGGATTGCAGCAGCTGGTTACCCGTTACTGTACGGAGACGATGAACTTTTCGCTCGAGGATGACCGTGTGATAGGTCTCCTTCAAGACAAACATCATGAAAATCGAGATGACGGCTCCAGAAATACTTAGAAGCCAACAATCCCAGCGCCAGCCAAATTTATCCGCAACGATTCCACCAGCCATCGGACCAACGATAGGGGCGAAAAGAGCACCAACACTATATGCTGCTACCACGGCGGCCCTTCTTTCTTGTGGGATCATATCCGTGATTGAGCCACCTCCAATTGTCGCAGGGCAGCAACCAAAGAGTCCATTCAAAAATCGAAAGATGATCAGAGCTTGGATATTCGGTGACAGAGCGCATGCTGTTGCAAAAATAGTAAAACCGACGTTACAAACATGATATACCGGAACACGGCCGTAGATCTCAGACAGAGGTGCAATTATCAGTGGACCAGCAGCAAACCCAAGAATGTATACTGACACAACGAATGCGGCAACCTGCAGGTTTTCATTTTGGAATTCTGTCATCAGCTGGGGTACCGCGGGCGCGATTATTGCTGGAAAGCAACCAGCGTCAGCTTGATAGCCCTCTTTTTTGGAATTAAAAGGACAGTAGAAATCTTACAGGATGCAAGTGCAGTCAAGAAAGTCATTGCACTAATTAGAAAACAATTGGACATGGAGAGCCAACGAGGCCAATTGTAAGGGTATTCAGGATCTTCATCTTGATCCCACCATATGACATTCGGGTCCGGCAGACCATCATTCTCTTCGATGGCCGACAAGTTAGAGGCACCATTGCGCTCAGTGAGCAATGGTGTTGTTTCATTAGATTCGAGATCCATCTGGGTGTTTGACCTAACTGAGGGCACGTGACTCCTTCAACGAGGGATCTATGTGGATGTATCAAAAGCTGTGTTCAATTCCTGCGTCTAAAACCAAGTACTTCGCCTAGAATATTCGGTCAACTGAATGTTTAAAAATAATCATCAGCAAGTACTTGACCGCTTTAGCGTTACCGACTCTTGGGCCGTATCAGCTGTCTGTTAGATCGAGAGTCGGACGCTTGACCTCTAGAAGGCGTTTAGCATCATTCTGTTCGAGTAAAATTACGAGACGGCTAATTACAGGTTGTGACAATGGTAACCATCTATGTAGCGCTGGTAAAATACGTTATATTACGGCTGTAGCACCGCGGATCGTACTGAAACGATACACTCAATCGGAGCGGAGCGCGACATCATTCGTCAATTGTCTCCGACCCGAGCTGGAGAACTACAGAAATAATACCCAATGTTGAAAAATGTTGGCCAATCAATGCTCCCCGTTTGGAGCCTATCCTATCAATGAATAACGGACCCCTTCATTTTCATCTTCATTCTTCGGGGCAGCGAGAGCTTTTATTATATTCGGTTCTGCGCGTACTAGTAGATAGAGATATGTTAACGTGTCCTGACTTGATTGTCAATATGTCACAATATGCGATCATGGTTGAGGGCAAGCTAAATAACACCCGAATTGTTCCTGATCTGCCACCTTTCATTGTGATATGCGTCAACTCGCCGATTCAATGTATGAGCTCGGAATCTATAGCTTCGGCGTAGCGCGCCATACTGCAGGATATGCATAAAATATGTTGTGCTGTACACTGGTATATAATGGGTTGCATGGTTGAGATATCTAGGATTTGAGCGAAAAGCTCTGCATTCAATAAGCGTACTTGCAATATTCAATCTGGGGATATGTGCTGAAATTAGTTCAGAATCACGTAATTTACTATATTTGGGTGCCTCTATTGCAATGCAATTTATCTATAGGAATATCTTTTTTACAACAGATCTGATCTTTGTTGCGTGGAAGAAAATATATGTTTATCTGGGACCAACCCCAGCTATGTGTACAGCAAAATCAGGTAGCGGGTAGAGACTGGCAGGTCTGCATGGGGACTGCATCGTATTACTCCATCGCCCAGTACCTAGTAGTCCACAGAACTGGTCGTTACAAGCTGTTCTGAGCCTATAGACTTGAGGAAGAGGTTAAGCGTAGGTATAATGACATTCGATTGGGACCGATCTATTTATTCTGGTTTTCGGCATAACAACTTTACCAAAACTCCAATATAGACAAACGAAAGATGGAAATTTCTCATTGCATTTAAATGACTTTCTCTAGTTGGCTTGCCCATGGACTATCTACGTCCTGCCCCGTGCAACCACCGTCCTCCGTGTGCGAAGTGCGAGTCAGAGAACCGAACTAGATACCGAGGTAACGAATTTCAACTCTCCATAGCTTCTTGCACGTTTACCAAGCTGCTTGTAGTGGCGACTTTAGTCGCAATCGTTCTGATACTTCTTGATCCAATGATCTCCAACACCGCAATATCAGAGGCGACCTCTGCACCTAGCCACGAACGAAACTCGACGGCCACCAATGAGTCGACTCCATAGCTACTGAAAGTTTTCCTGTCATCGATATCCTCCGCAGGTGTTGAGATGAGATCTGCAAGCTTTTGCTTGATGGCTTCTATGATTAGTTCAGTGGCAAAGGCAATGGAACTGCAAGCAGAAAGACTATTCGCAAGACTCCTTACGCCTTCGCCGTCGCCCGTATTAGTGTCACCAATTGCGTTGTATTCTTCGAGAATACTTGAAAACAATGCATGATCCAGATATGCAGGCTTGGCCATTGCTTTACGACGGATCGCAGCTGCATTGTCCATACCGACGATGATCTCGCTTTGGTCCATCTTAACGCGACGGCTATCGTCATTTTCCTTCTCACCAACTGTACCACTAACTGACGTAGCTGTGTTTTCTGGATCACAGGCATATTGCAAGACTGTGAAAATATCTTCTTCTTTCAATTGCTGAAAGGCAGCTCCTCTTAAAAGTGTATCGATATTAGAGTGCTCAGCAATCCATCCCACTCCAGATATTGCACTGAGATCCAGACTTGTTGCTCGCAAACCTTGGGAGACCCGATAACGAGCAAGTTCGTCTTGAAATGTATTACCGGCTGCATAATTAGCTTGTCCGTGGTTGCCGACGACGCCTGTGATGGAGGAGAGCATGACAAAGAAGTCAAGGTCGCGTGGTAGTAGATTATGCAAATTCCAAGACCCATTTACCTTGGGACGAATTGCCGCTATCCAGTCTTCGTGATTCATATTAAGGATGGATTTATCCTGTAATCAACGAATTACTTAGCTGCACATGGCAAATGTAAAATCAAGCTACGTGGAATCATACCCTTAGTACCATTGCACTTTGAATGCAGCCATTAATCTGTGGCATGTCCTTACAGGATTCAAGGAGCCGGCGCAGATCGTTTTCACTGGCAATATCGCAGGCGTCAGATACGACTCTGCATCCTCCAAGCCGGAGCCGCTCCACGAAGGCTTTCGTTTCCGGTAAGTGCACACCCGATCGGGAAAGAAGAATGAGGTTTCTTGCTCCGTGCGAGACCATCCATTGAGCAATAACCTTTCCGACTCCTCGTAGACCTCCTGAGATGATGTACGACACATCTCCGCGGAAAGAAAATGGCTTAGGGGCCTCCATTGCAGTCTGAATAAAAATGTACTGTCAATATTATTGTAGGTATTGGAAAATGTGGAGGCGTATTGAATACTTACTGGAACCATATCATTGTCTGAAGCAGTAAGCACGATCTTTCCCATCATGTTTCCTGTCTGAAGTTTGCGGAAGGCAGGTAGAATGTCCGAGAAGCTGTATACTTCCAGTACGGGTGGGAGTCTAATGGTCCCCTTGTAAAGCATGTCGATAGCTTCTGCTAGGAGCTCGCCGGAATAGCTCTCACGATGCTTGAATAGCGTCAATATATCCACGGAGAAAAATGCGATGCTCTTTTTCAGGGCTTTCATATGCAAGCGGCCGTTGGCATAAATATCTTTCTTGCCAAGTTCAACAAATCTGCCCAGTGGTGCCACACAATCCAGTGACCTGCGAAGTGCTTCACCCGCTAAAGAATTAAGCACCACATCGACTCCACGGCCATTAGTGGCCTCCATGATCAGAGTATCGAAATCCAACGTTCGACTTGAAAATATATGATCTGCTGAAATTCCGTAGTTCTCAACGATATGCTGTCTTTTTTCTTCGGTGGATACCGTGGTGAACACTTCAGCACCGACCATTTGTGCGTATTGAATCGCAGCTTGGCCAGTTCCTCCTGCTCCACTATGAATAAGAACCTTCTCACCAGAAGTGAGATGTGCCAGCTCACGGAGAGAATAGATAGCCGTAATGAGATTCATGGGGATGGCGGCTGCCGCTTCGAATGACATGTCGTCGGGAATTTTCGTTGCTAGCGCATGATGTACCTTGCAAGACGATCTCATATAACCTCTTTCTCTGCTCCATACACCAGCAACTCGGTCCCCAACTTTGATTCCTGTCACATCAGAGCCAACTTCAGTGATCCAACCTGCCCCTTCGATACCGTAGACATCCTCGGTCTGTTCGCCGAGGCCGACAACAACGTCTCGGAAATTCAAGCCGGCTGCAGCGACTTTTACTTCAACCTCATCGGCAGCAAGAGGCTTTGTGGCGTCCACGTCGTCCACAAAATGGAGAGTTTCCAGTCGGCCTGGAGTTTGAGCTTTGAGCCTCAAACTACGCTTCGTATTGCTTCTGAATGGACCCAGAATTATTTGGCTACCAGGAAATGTATGCTTTCGGCGGAATTCATTGACTTCATCAAACTCGGATATCCGATTTGACCATATTGTACCACTGCGAAGTTCGTAGTCGGCATTTGGAATAGCTCTACCATCAGAGAAGTGATAGTTGAAAACTCGTTGGGCATGCGTACTATCAAGCTCATCATTTCCTGACCGCACGATGTTCAAGATTGAGAAGTCAGTATCTGAACCGCCCTTCTCCCATCTTGCCGTTCTCAGAAATCCGCTAGCAATGGCCCATTGCGGCCTAGAAGAGTCCGAAGAAACCCAGAAAATACGAGGAGAAACCGTGACAATGTACTTCAAGTGGTCAAAGGTCTTCTCATCCGTTTCAATCAAAGATGCGGTTTCTCCATCAGATAAGACAATGCAAGTGAGATCAGATAGATCGAATTCCTTGATCTGCTCCAAAGGGGTTATCTCACAGTTTTCAGTACCTGCTTCTTTAGTAAATAGTTTGGCAAGCAGCTGACAGAACTCAGACTGCTTGGTCTCGGGAAGTTTGACAACCAGCAGCTTCGTAGCCATTTTGGTCAATGTCAGATCATCGGTATTTTTCAGGTCCAGGACTGGTTTCCACGTAATTTGGTGACAAGGCTCCAATGTAGAGGATAGCTGTCGACCGGGAACAGTATGATATTTCAGACCTTTGATATGTAGTTGTCGTTCTGAGTTATGTTCGTCGAAGCCGACGATATCATTTCTCAAGCCATGCCAAAAGTCCTTGTACTGATGCATGCATAATTTGAGCGCGTCACCTGCACGGCTACTGATATTCGCAGAGATCCATACTTCGTCGAACCAGCCTGGGATTGTAGGTGATGGTACAGTACCATTCCCGAGCTTAGCCAATATTGTCGGCAACCCCATGTGTATCACTGAGTCTAAAGCAACAGTATGGTATGTATGGGGATATACATATCCTGCGGCGGTTACAGAAGTCAAATCTGGATTTCGCACCACTCCCAGCACATCATAGCAATCCGGCCCTTCACTTATTGAAATGTCACTCAAGTTTTTGTAGCGCGCTTTGAAGTCAAAACCGGCTGCTCTAAACATGCCGTAGACCCAATCCGAATCCACGTCAATCTTGCAGTTCTCTGTTACCCGAGCCAAAAGTCGTCTAGCGGCGGCATCCTCTGCTTGCATTTTATTATCCTTGTCGATACTTTTGGTAGACTGCTCATATTCGATGGATATCAAGCCCTTTGCATGTACACGCCATGTATTGGATTCCTCATCGTGTGACATGATCGTAAATTCTCTCCAAATCTTGGAGACAGTCTCACTACTATCGGGCATCCACTGCATACTCATCGTCACTTCAACACCATCATCCGTTTCAGGGACAATCAAAGTTGATTTGAGTGCTACGTCACGTAAACGGAATCCTGTCACTTTGAGGGCCGGGTCTGCAAGTTGCTTCGCGCCTTCGATTGCCATAACCACCCATCCCGCCCCAGCACATACAATTTGTCCAGTAATCTTGTGCTCCATGATCCAGGGAATCTCCTTGGTACGGAAGAACTGTCTCCACTTAGGATGCTCGGAGTCCCAATCAGGAACTGGCGCTCCTATGAGATCCATGCGAGGAAATTGACGGTAGCGATAATTAGAGCTCAAGCGACTTTCAAGCAAGAAGTTTGACTCATGACTGAATTTGTATGGAGGAAGATCCGAGAGCATGCGTGTCGTTTTCGGCTCAATTTCGTTTACTTCATCTAGACAGATATGATGTCCTCTGCACCACAGAGCACCCGCTGTTTCGATGATTGGTCCCGCGCTCGGGGTTTTCCGTTTGACCGTAGCATGATACAAGCTTCCAGCGGATAAAGTATTCTGAAGGGTTTCATTGACGGCGCTTTGCATGGCAGAATGTGGACCGATTTCGATCAAGTCATCGAAAGCGATACCACTTTCGTTACACATCTTTAGAAGTGCAGATGTAAATTGTACAGGTGATACCAGGTTCTCGGTCCAATAGGACGGCATTTCTAACTGCTTGGAAGAAACAGATGAACCGGTGACGGAGGAGATCATCTCAACGTCAGACCATCCCGTGAGCTTCCCGTCGGTATGAAGATTGCCAAGGAGACGGGTATACTCTTCCGCTCCGGCGACCATGTGAGAGGAATGGTAAGCATTGGATACGTTCAATTTTCGAGCAAAAATCTTTTCTTCGTCCAAGATGGCCTTGAGAGCATCAATAGCATCGACATCCCCGGATAAAGTTTGATTTGATGGGGAGTTGTAACAGGCAATAGTCAATTTTCCTGCGTTTTCATAGTCCCGAATATATTCTTTGGCTCTTTCAGGTGAAAGGGCCACAGCTAACATTCCGCCGTCTTGACCGGATATTTTTGCGGCTACAATACCCCGGAAATAAGCCGTCTTCCAGGCTGCCTTTCTTCCGATCTTGCCAGATGCATAGGCAGCGGCCACCTCACCCGATGAATGACCTACAACACAACGTGGCTTAATATCCCAGCTGTAGAGTAGGTCCACGATTGCAACTTGAAGGACTGTGACCAACGGGAGATTGAGAGCCAAGTCGTCCCTGTCCAGTGTTACTCGATGATCTAACAATTCTGTATCACAGAGCTTAGTTAATATCACAAATAGAGATTGGGAAATGATGAACTAACCAGTCAAATCCCATGGACATCCTAATTCAGTGAAGTATGCAGCGGCGTCCTCAATGCTCCTTCTATACACGGTAAACTGACTGAGAGCTCCGATCATGCCATCCCACTGAGCTCCTTGTCCAGTGAAGATAAGCGCTAAATTAGGGGTTTGACTCTTTGCAATTAATGTAGTGAGAGATGCCATTTTATCCAGAAGTTCTTCGAGGTTGCCAGCAGCAACATAGCTCCGCCAGTTGAACTTAGAACGGTGGTGACTCAAAGTAAAAGCTAGCCTCCTAACATAATCAGGGTTTTGTGACCTCTGGGGCAAAGAGATCTGTAGCCATTCTCGGTAGGTTTCGGCAGTTCTTGAAAGGCCCTTTTTATCGAAAGTTGAGAAGACAAAAAGACGCTTCCTGATGGCATCGTTGACTTCAAAATTACTGGATTTTTTCTCACTTGAAGCACCGTTGGGACAATTGTCTGATCGGATATTTATCTGAAGTTCCGCATGGCCATTTGATTGAGTTACCATATGGTCCTTCGTTTGATTTTCTGAATGGCCGTTTGTCTGCGCCACCGCATGGCCATTATGTTGAGCTACCATGTGGCCGTTCAGTCCATTTGCGATTTGAACTAAGCTGTTCTCATCGTCCATCTTTTGAGTTTCTTCCAAAGCTACTGTTTGATGGATTGCATGGAGATTGTGTTCGGTGATGTAAGATAACGTGTCATCAATGACTGCGTGTGCATTTGCACCTCCGAATCCAAAAGAGTTTATTGAAGCTCTGCGAATACCCTTGGACGGCCACTTCATTGTCTGAATGGGAAATCGAATGTTTAGCTTCTCAGCATCAATTTCTGGATTCACTTTGACGAAGTTATGATTCTTCGGAATAATTCCTGTCTCTAGCATCTTGACCACTTTGATAACGCTAAGGATTCCTGCTGCACCTTCGGTGTGACCCAGTATCGTCTTTACTGCGCCAACAATAAGTGGCGCATTTCTCTTTGCGGTTTCGAAAGCAGTGGATAAGGCCTTAGCTTCAGTTGCATCACCTGCTTTTGTTCCGGTACCATGAGCTTCGACAAAGCGTGTACGACCTGGATCCAACCCTGCTTTATTATATGTAGAGCGGATAAGAGCTGTCTGTGCCTCGAATGAGGGATTGAAAATCCCAGGTGTCCTCCCATTTGAGCTTGCGCTAGATGATCGAATGACAGCTCTAATAATGTTCCCGTCGCGAATTGCGTCCGAAAGTCGTTTTAAAAGTATTGTGCCCACGCCTTCACCCCGGGCATAGCCGTTTGCCCTCGAATCAAAAGTGTAGCAATATCCATCCGAACCTATAGCGCCTAGTTTGTCTAGCCCCATAAACTGAGATGGATGATCTATCAAGGTGATTCCACTAACAACTGCCTGAATTTTGTTCGTGCTTAGTATTCTGGATTTCTGACACCAAGGGCGAAAGTCCAGGGTCAACTTACCATTTCGGAGTCATGTAAAAGGAGATCTTGGCAGCCAGTATATAGAGCGACAAGGCTACTGGAACACGCGGTGTCAACAACATAGCTGGCTCCTTTGAAATCGTAAAACCAACTTATACGATTTGCTCGAATTGATCGTTCCACTCCTGTTTCTTTATATGTAGGAGCCAATTCCATATCTGAGTTACACATAGCGGCAAAGTCTTCTCCGCATTGGCCAACAAAAACAGATGTGTTGGTCCCAATCGCCTGCTCTAGTGGTATACCCGCTGATCAAAAGTAAGCATTCGTCACAACCTAAACCATATTCAAGTAAGCCGTCCCGGTGTGGGTGAGTACGTACAGTTCTCAAGGGCATGGTATGTAGACTCCAACAGCATCCGTTGCTGTGGATCCATTGAAAGCACTTCCTTTTTTGTCAACCCAAAGAAAGCGCTGTCAAATGCTTTCGTGTCATCTTTGATGAAGTAGGCCGCTTTTGCATGTATCTGGCAAAGGTAAATTGCTACTATTCATTCCTATCTGAGGGAGTTTACACATACTGCTCCTTGACGAGATTGATCGGGATGATAATGCTTGTCGTTCAGAAATGGGGACGGGGACGGCCGCCCTTTCAGCAAGACGTCCCACAATTTCTCTGTATCAGTTGCATCTCCCGCGAACCGACTGGACATGCCGATGATGGCGATCGGCTCTGATGCGGTAGCAGAATGCATGTTGAGAATTTGAAAAGAAAAGCGAAGAAGTAATGCCACACACTTATGAAGACACAACTGTATTTCGTCGAAGGTGAATCTGGTGAGTAGCCTCTGGTGCATTCATTCACAACTTCACGAAGATGAGGAGTGCTATCATGAATTGACCCTAGATTACGTATCTTCAGAATGTTTATACGGCCCGGAGTATGGTTAGCTCTTGCGTCCATCAAACCAACGTAGGTGTCAAGGGCACTGAGCGAAGATTCTTTCCTAATAGATCTCATTCAATTGTTTTACTTGTGTAATTGGCTTTTGGATACATTACGAAAAGTGTATGACCCAGAGTCTTTTCAGCTAGTTACGATACACCCACATGCTATGTAAAATGAGATACGGCCTCATTCGGTAGGAGTTACCACGTTGGGCTGCACTAGTCAGCACGTGCCGGTTGGACTCGGTGCAATCAGCGGATTTTCGGATCATCATAAAACGATGCGACTGTTATTCGGAGGGCTAGAGTACTAATCGGCACCATGTTGGCTTAGTCGGTGTGCTTGGCGCCATTGAGGCGGTTTTTTAGAGTATCTGACGTTCCCACGTCCCAGCTCTTGCTAAGGAGTGGAGACGCCTCTCATTCAAGATAGGCAGTTGTCAGTTCCAAAGAACCATTTTTACAATTTGTGGGAGGAATACACGAGCTGGAGCGTTAAACAAATAATAAACAATCTAGCAAGACTTCAGCTACCAGATATCAGCAACCAGATCACACATAAACAAATTAATGAATCGCAAAAATGGTGCGGCAACGAGTTGCAAGTATGTTCAACTTACGCTTAAATGGAATATATTTGAAAATAACATCATGTAGGTCCTTATGAGAAACGCCTAGCTATTCGAGAGGATCTTGGCTACTTCAACTCCGCAGCCGTGGGAGGGGTATACGAGTTTGATAATGGCGAATTCGAAGTGAAATTGGCTCACTCGTACATGCCAGCTTTAAAAAGTTGTATTGAGACATACCCTCAGATGATGATGGTAATGAAAGGCAAAGATACCAATGAGCCTTTGTGGGAGGTGGTGCCACATCTGAATCTGGCAGACCACGTCTCGATCCTTACTGAACAAGCCATTGAGGATGAAGGCGAAGCCGCCGTCATCGAGAAAGTCTTGCCATCTATCGTCGATCAGAAGTTCACTGATCCGTCTTCACCTCCATGGAGGCTTGTTGTGCTGCCATTTTTGTCTACGAGCAATCCTCGTTGCTTCATCGCGTACGTCTCCTCCCATGCGACAGCGGATGGTGGGTCCGGATGCGTCTTCCATCGGACTTTCATGAGCGCTTTGCGAAAGTTCGCCGCCGTCCAGCTGGATGATACCGTGATCAAAGCGTCTGAGGCATCGCTTCCCGAACCTTTTGACACTCCTGAGAGGCTTCCCATCTCCCCTGAATTCATGAAGTCTTTGGCAAGCGCCAACGTCGTTGATGGTAATACTTGGACCGGCTCCCCCGTTTTCCTCGGCCCTGAAGGATTGCAAACTGGACTGCGGATTATCGAAATTGGGAATTCCCAAGTAAAGTCTGCTTTAGCAGCCTCACGTGTACATGGTACGAAGCTCACGGGCTTGTTCCATCAGCTCGTCGTGAGGGCATTAAGCAAGGCTATTCCAGTCGAGAATGGCACAAACTTTGCCTCACAGACTGCAATTGACATGCGAGCCGCGAATGGCTCTACATTAGCGTGGGGCAACTTTGTGTCGGGTCTGTCTCATTCTCATCAACGTACAGACTCATCTAAGCCTATATCTGACGAGACTTGGGCCAACGCCAGAGTCATTTCTGATAAGCTTGCAGAGTGTAGTTTGCGACTAGAGGACCAAATGATTGGTATGATCAGATTCGTCCCGGATCATCGCGCCTCTATGACGCAAAAGCTGGGAAAATCTCGTGACGCTTCTTTTGCACTGAGTAACCTTAACGCGTTCGACGGTGTTACTGAAGGAGGTGTATGCAAAATTAGCAAATTCTTGATGGCAACATCCGCCGCTGTCCCCAGCGCAACCCTTAGCTTTTGTATTGCTAGCGTCAAGGATGGTAATTTGACCTGTGTCGTGACGTGGCAGAAGGGTGCTCTGGGATGCCTTCCGGAGCAAGAGCATACTCTTCTCGATGTTATTTGTTCTTCTATCAAAGAGGACTTTGAAAGTTTGGCTGCATAACTACAACGAATACGTGCTTACAGGTAGCCTAGAAGCATCGTTGTGCAGCCAGGCATGTTGATAACAACTAAGAAATTAGATAAAAGAGGTTTCTCTTGATTGCAATTCGTGAAATTAAGTTCGCATTAGATAATACCGTTACTCATTAGAATGTCAACTTTAACCATCTACTAGGAGTAGTGGACGATACTGCTCAAATTGGTTAAAATGTATTCCAGTGTTTCTTGCGATGATATATTGCTGTTGTACAGTAGTTTAACTGTTTTTCACTACTTATGACGCCTTCATACGCCTTCATACTCTGGATGAGGTATAGTTTGTGACCGGACTATGGTTTTTACCATCCTACTGAAGAGAAAACCTAGTCTGGCTTCTGTTTTCTACGCCGGAAGCTTTTTGAGCCCATGATTCGTGGCATTGAAGTTGGCTCCGAACAAGTGGCCACGGCGACAACAGTAGGCCCGATCACTATTGGCGTAAAATGAACAGTAATTAGTGGAGACGACGATAGCAATCAATCATCCAGAGCGAACGGTCGCAAAAAAAGCATGGACAAAGCGTTAGAGCGTAAATGATAATCGGCTAGAATCCTGCACGTTTTGGTTCCAATACTATTCGGACATGCTTGTGGGCCGTTTCAGCAAGTACCAGGTACCCTAAAATCCTCCGACTCACCTCGTTCGCCCTTGAGTTCATCGGATATGGGGCTGACACCCCGATAGGCCGATGCATCCCACTGGAAAAATTAAGGTTATGAAATCAGCCCTCGTTCCGAACGTGCATTCCAGTGGGCTAATCGGACCCAATACTAGAAAATGGGTTCTGATTAAGCTCACACAGTAATATCAAAGAGGCCGAAAGCTACCTACTCGCCATTAATCCTTTTGCAGATAAGATCTTATATGATTATTTGGTATATCTGTGACCGAGATACTGGCTTTCACGGAAGCAATGTGCTCTCATTAAGATTTGCATGGGTCTTTTGATGATCTGTTTCCGTCATCACCGGCACAATAGCACAAATCAAGCCTTTCAACAGCGTAACCAAGGTCTCTCCTTTTGTACCAAGTCTTTTACCAGCGGACGATCGGGAGGTTGATTCTTCATTTTAAATAATCCTTCCCCCTGTTTGGTCGATTCACTCAACACTACCATTAACCATCGCCATGACTTCGAGGCAGAGTGAGCCTATTGCCATTATTGGCAGTGGTTGTCGGTTTGCTGGGGATGCCAGCTCGCCATCCAAGCTCTGGGATATCCTGCAAAAGCCCAAAGACCTTCGACGCGAGATCACGGATCGCTTTAACATCAACAGTTTCTACCATCCAGACCCATTACACCATGGTCACACCAATGTTAAACATGCATACCTTTTAGATGAAGACCTCGGAGGCTTTGATGCCGAATTCTTCGGTGTCAAACCCGTTGAAGCCAAAGCCATTGATCCCCAACAACGACTTCTAATGGAGGTAGTATACGAGGGATTGGAATCAGCTGGCATGGATATCACTGATCTGAGAGGCAGTAACACCGGCGTCTATGTCGGTGTGATGGTTGGCGACTATGGGACAATGTCTCTCCGTGATATGGACCAAACCCCGACATATTATGCCACCGGTACGGGAAGGAGTATCCTTTCCAATCGAATATCATACTTCTTTGACTGGCACGGCCCATCCATTTCTATTGACACAGCATGCTCATCCAGTCTGATCGCGATCCACATGGCCGTACAATCTCTTCGAAGTGGCGAAAGTCATATGGCAGTTGCTTGCGGGTCGAATTTGATCCTGGGTCCAGAAAACTTTATCATAGAAAGCAAGTTGAAGATGCTTTCTCCGGATGGTCGTAGTCGTATGTGGGACGAAGGCGCCAACGGTTATGCTCGTGGAGAGGGTGTAGCCTCCGTCGTGCTAAAAACTCTCAGTGCTGCCATTGCGGATGGTGATCATATTGAATGCGTAATACGAGAGACTGCCACAAATCAGGACGGCGCTACAAATGGTATCACAATGCCTAGCGCCACGGCCCAGGAGTCCTTGATTCGATCCACCTATGCGAGAGCAGGATTAGATTTACGAGTTCCCAGCGATCGACCACAATATTTCGAAGCTCACGGCACTGGTACTCCAGCCGGCGATCCAATTGAAGCTGAAGCGATACACAATGCCTTTTACAGTTCCTTAGATGGTGGCGTGAAGCTGAATTGTGAGGGCCTTCCACTTTACGTCGGGTCCATCAAGACCGTCCTTGGACACACCGAGAGCACTGCAGGTATTGCAGCTGTCCTCAAGGCATCCGAAGCCATCCGCCATGGAGTTATCCCACCAAATATGTTATTTGAGAAACTTTCAGACAGTGTCAGGCCCTTTTACCAGGGTTTGGAAATTCCAACGGCTGCCAAGAAGTGGCCACAGGTTCAGGAAGGTCCCCGGAGAGCTAGTGTAAACAGCTTTGGCTTTGGTGGCTCGAATGCTCATGCTATTCTAGAGAGTTATAACGACAAGGGGTCAAACGATTCTTATAATCAAACTCTATATGGTCCTCTGGTTTTCTCTGCATTTTCAGAGAAGACACTTCGCCAGTCCTTATTTGCCTATGCCCAGTACTTGGAGACTGACGGCGCGTCGCTCAATATAGCACATCTGGCATATACCCTACGCAAGCGACGGACTGCTTTCTCTTACCGGCTTTCAGTTCCGGCGTCATCGATCGAAGACCTCAAACAAAAGTTACTGTCCAAATTGAAAGATGAAAACACTTTAGTTGGTATTAAAGCTTTACCAAAATCTAAAAATGGCAACGCAAAACTTCTGGGTATTTTCACCGGTCAGGGAGCACAGTATGCCCGCATGGGTGCTGAGTTGATTGAGAATAATCCAGTGGCGCGACAAATTATTCTGAAATTGGAATCTCACTTGTCTAGATTACCACCCGGGGACCGTCCTACCTGGTCTCTCGAGAAAGAGCTCCTTGCTTCACCTGAGGTGTCTCACATTGACGATGCAGTGCTGTCTCAGCCACTCTGCACTGCAATACAAATACTACTCGTCGACATGCTTCGAATGGCCGGTGTTGAACTTGATGCAGCTGTCGGTCACTCATCTGGTGAGATCGCTGCCGCGTACGCAGCTGGTTATTTAACAGCTAGGGATGCCATCTACATTGCTTACTATCGTGGCTTACACGTCCAATCTGCGGTAAGCCCCAACGGTACCAAAATAAATGGCGCCATGGTCGCAGTGGGGAGCTCCAAGGAAGATATGGATGAGCTGTGCAACGATGAGATGTTTCAAGGGCGCTTAAATGTCGCAGCTAACAATTCAACATCGAGTGTAACTGTTTCTGGTGATGAGGATGCGATCGCAGAACTTCAGGTCATCTTGGACGATGAGAAGAAATTCAACAGAAGACTTCGCGTTAATACCGCGTACCATTCCAACCACATGCTTGCGTGTTTCGATCCATATGTTGCATCACTCCGTCGATGTAAAATCACACCGCAAAAATCGAATGGTAAATGCGCCTGGTACTCAAGCGTAACTAATAGGCTAGTCGATCACGATATGTCTCTTGGGGATGTTTACTGGGCGGAAAATATGACGAAGCCCGTCTTGTTCTACGACGCTCTCATTACTGCGCTCGCATCTGATTCGTACGACGTGACTCTGGAAGTCGGTGCTCATGCAGCTCTTAAGGGTCCTACATCTCAAACAATCCAAGAAAATCAAGGAAATGATATTCCTTATTGTAGTCTACTCGTTCGTGGAACGAATTCGCTTGAAGCTACCTCGGCTGGGTTCGGGTACTTGTGGTCCTATCTCGACAAGTCACTGGTCGATCTCAACAGCCTCGAAATAGCGATGAACGGCGGCAACGATCAATTCAAAGTTGTCAAAGGTCTTCCGACCTACCAGTGGAATCATGAGCGTAGCTATGTCCATCGAACTAGAGCGTCTCGAAAAATTTATCAGACGCAGGAACCTTTCCACCCAATGTTGGGCCACATCACCCCGGACAGCGCCCCTCATCAAATGACTTGGAAAAACCTTCTACGCGAAAGCGAAATGCAATGGCTATCCGGACACAAAGTTCAGAGTCAAACAGTTTTTCCTGCTGCTGGTTACTTGTCATCTGCTATGGAAGCCTGCCGTCGCCTGGCTGATTCTCTCAACCAAGAAATCCGCCTGATCGAAATTCGCAATTTTGTTATCCATCAAGCTATTGCCTTTGATCAAGATCACCCCGATATTGAGGTTTTGATTCAGATGGCAAATGTCACTCATGAGCGTAAAAACAACATCTTGGCAAATTTCACTTACTCGGCAGTTCTCGGCGCTGGTGCTGACGACTTCACTTTGGCGGCCAGCGGTGATGTTGAGATCCTTCTTGGTGAACCTTCTACATCGCTTTTGCCTACGCGCCCAGCACCACTTCCACACGTCATTGACGTTGAGGCGGATCGTTTCTACGGCGCCTTGGCTGATCTAGGTTACAACTTTAGTGGTAGATTCCGTTCCTTGACTTCACTTCAAAGAAAGCACTACCGTGCCACTTGCTTCGTGAAGATGCAGCCATTTGAGGAGGGTGAAGTGCCTTTGCTGATTCACCCAACGGAGCTTGACGCCGTATTACAATCTATCATTCTTGCCTACAGCTATCCATATGACGAACAATTACGTACAATTCACTTACCCACCTCCATCCAGCAAGTCAGAATCAATCCAGCACTTTGCAACGCAACCGCCTGGCAGCAGGGACAATTGGCCCCAGTGGACTCTGCCATCGTTCCAAGCAAGCCGGATGAGAGGGGAATTACTGGACACGTTCAACTCTACTCTTATTCCGATCCACACGCTGCTATCCAGGTCCAAGGCGCAAGTTTCATGCCATTCGGTGGAAGCACAGCAGAAGCTGACCGCAGGGTCTTTTCCAAAGCGGATTGGATTAGCAGCCAATTAGATGGGGAGGCCGCTGCCCGTGAAATACCTCTCGGGGAAAGTCATTGTAACATGGTCATTATGCTGGAACGGATCGCAACCTTCTATCTCCGAAAGTTTCACCGAGAAGTGCCTGCTGACCATCCTATGAGATCCGAATTCACAACCAAGTGGTATCTCAATTATGCACGATACATCACAGAAATGGTAGAAACTGGTAAACACAAGTGGGCTCAGAAAGAGTGGCTAAACGATACCATTGAGGACGTCAAGAACTGCAGCAAGGACTTTGCTCACATTCCAGACGTCCAGATCATGCATCTTGTGGGAGAACAGATGCCAAATGTGTTTGAGGGAAAGACAACCATACTTGAGCATTTCAGAGCCAATGACATCCTTGACCGTTATTATGCTAGTGGTTTTGGTCTACGAGAGTCTGGGCAATGGGTTAGTCGAACTGTGAAGCAACTTGTCGAACGCTTCCCACACATGAACATCCTAGAAGTTGGTAAGTTATATTGAGCCTTTTCGGCAGAAATCGGTTATCTTTTATGTTATCATTAGTGCTGACCAACATCAGGTGCTGGAACTGGTGGTGCCACCAAGGCAATATTCAAGGAAATCGGGTCCAGCTTCAGATCTTACACCTACACAGATATCTCAGCAGCCTTTTTCGGAAATGCGGCTTCCATTTTCTCACAACATAGAGATCGCATGATATTCAAAACTTTCAATGCTGAAAATGATCCTTTGAATCAAGGATTCACTGAAGCATCTTACGATCTGATCGTCGCATTTTTTGTCATTCACGCTACTAGCGATTTGGAGCGAGCCTTGCGCCACATTCGTCGTCTACTAAAGCCAGGCGGTTTCCTTGTCGTCGGTGAAGGCCAGGAAGGTATGAATGGAGTTGCTAGCAGTGGCTTCATCTTTGGTACACTTCCCGGCTGGTGGCTCGGAACTGATACCGGCCGTGAACTATCGCCTCATGTCTCTCCCCAAGGCTGGGTTGACCTCCTTCACAAGACTGGATTCGGTGGTGTAGAATCCCATTCCCCAGATGCATTTGAAGATATCCTCAATGTCTTCCACTTTTCAGCCCAAGCTATTGACGATGAAGTTAGCTTTCTACGGAATCCTCTTTCGACGACTTCCTGGAAGCCGTCGCACATCCAAAAGTTGGTGATTGTTGGTGGTCAAACACGAAGGAGCTCCCACCTCGCTACCAGCCTAAAATCAATCCTTGAACAGTTCGCTGATCAAATAATCTCTTTTCCTTCCCTTGTCGATGTCAATTTTGATGTCGTCGACGCTGATTCAACGGTGGTGAGCTTGACTGAACTGGACCATCCCGTTTTTAAGGATATATCAGCAGAAACTTTCAACGGATTGAAACATATGTTTGGGTCCGGGAAAACACTCTTGTGGATTACAAGTGGTCGGCGTGGTGATGAGCCATACTGCAATATGACTGTGGGATTCGGCCGAACCGCACAACATGAAACACCTGATCTGAACCTCCAACAATTGGACCTTGAAGATCCTGAGAATGTCAGTGCCGAGGCCGTAGCCGAGATACTGCTTCGCTTCCACGTCACAAAGGACAAAAAGGAAGAACATCTCTGGAATCCTGAGCCTGAGTTGGTCATCACCAAGGATGGGTCCTGCCTCGTCACGCGATTGAAACCTATTCCGGAGCTCAATGACCGGTACAATTCGGCACGTCGACCCATTGTTCAAGAAATGTCAACAGCAGACAACAATCTCACGTTGACTTTCAATGAAACTGGCTGCTTCCTCAAGAAACAGTCCAGATACGAGGCTGAACTGATTGAGCACAGCAATCCCAAGGGCCTTGTTGACTTCCAGACTACACATGCGGTTCTTTCTGCGCTAAAAACTCCGGTGGGATACAGCTATCTCGTTACGGGTCAACAAAAAAATAGCAATACCCCGTATCTGGCACTGGTCTCATCCTTGTCTTCAGTTACTAAAGCTCCATTGACGTGCGCTATCACGTACGACAATGCCGGCGTATCAAATGTAGAACTGCTGACTAAGGTTGCCGCTCATCTTATTGCCATGAATATCGTCAATCCTCTCTACAATGGTCAAACTCTACTGGTTCATAACGCGACCGTGAGTGTTGCACAGTCAATAGCTACACTGGCTTCTGAAAAGGGTGTTCATTTGGTTCACACATATGACTCCTCGTATGAGAAGGTCCCAGAGACTTGGATCAAGCTTCACGACTATCTCAGCACTCCAGATATCGATGAAATTCTGCTTACTGCACCTTCCTCGTTTGTCAGCTTTACCGAAGAAGATATCACTGAGAACGAAAAATCCTTGCTAGCGACGCTTCCTGCTGACTGCCTCGTAATGACAACCAAGATGATGTATTCGTTGGTTGCATCTGCTTCCCACGTCCCAGCTCTGCCAATTCTCAAAGAAAGCTTGACAAAAGCTCTTCAGTACGCTCAAAATGAAAACAAATCTACATCAGACGCTGAATCCGTCACTCTCGAGATCCTTGCCCGTGAAGGACGTCCTTCACAGCCATTGACTATTATCGACTGGAACACAAACTCTTCACTGCCAGTGCAACAGGCTCGATTAGACACCTCAACGATGTTCAAGGGTGCAGATAGTACTTACTGGATCGTCGGAATGTCTGGAGCTTTAGGTCTTTCCCTCACTGATTGGATGATTAGCAAGGGTGCCAGAAACGTTGTCCTAACAACCAGAAACCCTGATATTGCTCCGGAATGGCTGGCCGCTCACAAACGGAGAGGAGCTACAGTCGCCGTCTTCTCATGGTAAGTAAAACTTTTACGTGTTCAGTTCAGCAATCACCTTGCTAACTGATTGATTTTAGTGACGTGACAAATGAGCAAGGCATGAACGAAATACATCGTAAAATCCAAGATACCCTACCACCCATTGTCGGTGTCATGAATGGAGCCATGGTGTTACGGGATGTTTCCATTCGCAACATGTCATATAAGGAGCTCACTGATGTCTTGCGACCCAAGGTCATTGGTAGCATCATTCTTGATAAGATGTTCTATACTACGGATCTTGACTTTTTCGTTCTGGTTTCATCCATCAACTGTGTCATTGGAAACCTGGGTCAAGCTAATTACGCAGCTGCTAACACTTTCATGTGCGCCCTTGCGGCTCAGAGACGTAAGAGAGGACTTCGCGGAGCCACCGTCAACGGTGGAGCTATCATTGGCGCTGGATACATGGAGCGTGAGTCTCGTAAGGCTCTGGACATGATTGTACAGAAACTTCACATGATGCGTCTCTCAGAGGAAGATTGGAACCAGACGATCTGCGAAGCCATTGATGCTAGTCGCCTAGAATCACCACATGGGCCAGAAATTACTGCAGGTCTTTCAGATGTTCCATTCGACACGCCGAATGCTCCATACTGGTTCCTGAATCCTAAGTTCTCCTCTTTCATCGTTCAAAGCCCGACAGCAGTATCGGACAAAGAGAAAGAGAAAACTACACTTTCTGTAAGGGATCAACTCCAGAAGTGTCAAACATTCGACCAAGTCCAGAAGGCTATTGAACGTAAGTACAATATTATCCGATTCATTACCGATACACCACTGACTAGGTTTCAGATGCGTTTGCTAGCCAATTACGACGAGTTCTTCAGGTCACGAGTTCAGACGAGGAAATTATGGCCGCTCACGGTGCCGACATTGGTCTGGACTCTCTTGTCTCCGTTGACATTCGCTCATGGTTCTTGAACACTCTTCAAGCCAGCATCCCGGTGTTGAAGATCATGGGTAATGAGTCGATGTCGAGTCTTGTCTCATACGCAGTGAATGCACTGCCTCCGGCTTTCATTCCTGGATTGGCTGGTGGCCAAGACGACGGAGCTGCTGACAGCACCGATGAAAGCTCTCTACCTACTGAATTTGATGCGGATTCTATCCTGAAGGTGGACTCCCAAATTACCACAGCACTCACGACCCCAGAGCGTAAGGCTTCACCTGCCGGGCACAAGCAAGATCACAAGCGCTCTGCAGAAATTGATTGGCAAGCGGAAGCTCGTCTCCCGGTATATGATCTAGACATCCTTTCATCAGCCACCGGTTCATCGCCTAAAAACCCACCAGATGTCATCGTTCTAACAGGTGCAGCTGGACTTTTGGGACATCACTTGCTGAACTGGTTCTTGGAGAAGACACCTGCCCGCAGAATTCATTGCCTTGCCGTTCGGAATTTGTCCACTCGCCTGGCAAAGAAAGAGCTTTCAATCAACCCACGTGTAATCTACCACGAAGGTGATTTGACTTTTCCTCTCCTCGGACTATCTGAGAAGGAGGCCACTAATATCTTCGCGGAGGCCGATGTGGTAATACACAATGGCTCTGATACCTCACATTTGAAATATTTCCCAGACATGCGTACCGCCAATTGCGGTTCGACAAGGGACCTTACTCGTCTGTGCCTTCCGAGACGTATTCCTATTCATTACGTGTCCTCTGTTGGTGTCTGCGTGTTGTACAACCAGCCTGCCTTCCCACCAGTCCCAGTAACTGGTCCTGACTCCTTGCTACCAGCGCCAGATGGCACTTTCGGATACATGTGCTCGAAGTGGGTCAATGAGCGATTTCTCGAACAGGTCCACGACACCTATGGCTTGCCGGTCTACATCCATCGTCCCTCTACAATTATTCGCGAGGGTGATGATGCGACAAATGTCAGGGCGGAACTTGACTGGGTAAATGCACTCCTGCACTACGCAAACAAAATCGAGGCTGTTCCACAAGTGAAGCACAACAAGGGCGCTCTTGATCTCGTATCTATCAAAACGGCTTGTAGCGATATCCTCAACGCGGTCCTCGATACCAGCAACCCAAAGAATGTCACTTACGTACACGAGGTTGGCGATATTGTGCTGCCGTTGAATGATTTGAAGAGCATCTCCCGTAAGGGCGGAAAGCCATTCGATATGCTGCCCATTGAGCAATGGATTTCAAAGGCAGTTGCAGCTGGTCTACATCCTGCCGTTGCTGCTCTCATTGAAATCATGGATACCCCTGGAGCCCCCGATTACCCCAGACTCCTGAAGACTGTCCCTTCCGCCTAGAAAATAGAAATTATGCTTGTATGCTTATCGTATGTTGGAGTTGCAGATTTGATGTCTTTCCTATGTATGTTGACTTTCATGTTTATGTGATGAATCAAGTTTTTGAAAAGTAAAGCACTCTAACAAACTGTTTATCTAGATCCTGAATGCCACTTGTGTGTTGTGCAATTTAAAACATAGATTATGTAAAGTAAGTTTTCAAGCCAACTGATCTTTTAATTTAGTACATAGGCTTGATGAAAATAGTAGTTAATTGTGAATTTGATAACTGGTATTTGGGAATTCTCAGACGGATTCTAGCTGAAAGAAAAAATGGAGGTTTAAATTAACCCAGCACTTTACGTCGACAATTGACTTTTCTATAAGATAAAAGAGAGAGTATACCTTAATTATAGTCTTATTGAATGTTCGATGCAAGGAATAGTAATTCGCCGCAAACCACCATCCAGGGACTATATCTTTGTATGTTTCGGTAGACATCCTACCTATACAATTCATACTTCTCCTTTCCATACCATTTATTGTTGACATAATTGTCTGTTTACTAAAGTACGTGCACAGAAGTCCTCTACATTTGCAAAATCTTTGAGTCAGGGAGTGGTACTATTCGGCAGTTTCCTATGTATATACCTGAAGTGAGACAAAGAGTTGAGGATGTTTCCTCCACAATCTTCCACTTTGTAAAATATTATAACGCAATAAGCTATTGTAACATCGATCGACAATTTGCTTTGAATGTATGCTAGAAATATCGTTGTATCACGTAAATCATCATAGAAAAATCCCTTCATTTATGATGAGCTTCCTCCATTGGTTCGTCCACCTTAGTGTAATTCTTCTTAACACTCATCCATGGTGTCAAAACACTTCCAAAGACAGAAAGTGCGGCCATTGAAGCAGCTACCAAGAATGCTTGGTCCAAAGCATGATTATATGCTGCGAGAACTTGCGGAAGAGCCTCAGCGGATACGATACTCTTGATGTCACTTGCCCCGGCTGTAGTGATAGTAGCTGGGTTCACGGATGGCACATTCTGCTCAAGAGAACTGACAAGTGAATTTGCAAAGATTGAGTTTCCGACACTGACGAAAACCGTTCCGCCAAGTGTTTGAAGGAACATAACAACTGATGTACCAATAGGTATATCCTTGGTCTGCAGGGCTGCCTGGACGGCCACCAGAGGCTGTCTTGAACCCAAGCCGTATCCGATACCGAAGAGAATCTGATAACCGATCCATTTTGAGCTAGGAGTGTGGACATCGAAAGTAGAGAGGAGGCCAGCTCCGACGGAAGAGAGAATCGCTGCTGCGATCATGAATGGCGTGTAGTATCCCAGAGCTGTCACCAGGCCGCCAACGACTATAGCCATTATGATGGTCGAGATCATCATTGGTAGGTTTCGAATACCGGATTCAATGGCTGACACCCCTTGAATCGCCTGAAACCAGATGGGCACATAGTATATAATCACGAAAAACGCTCCTCCAGTACAGAATCCGTAGAGACAGCCAGCCCAGACGGAGCGGTTGGCGAAGATACGCGGGGGTACCGTTGCAGCTTCTTTCAGACGGGCTTGCATGAGTAGAAACGCTATAGTGAGGACACCAAAAACCACCAACAGAGCTATAATTCGGCTATTGCTCCAACTGTACTCCGTGCCCCCCCATTGCAAAGCCAGCAACAAGCACACCACTGCTGGCAGAAAGAACAGAGTACCAATGGGATCTAAAGCCCTCAGACGATCGATCCAAGTCTGAAGCTTTGGTACATTTCGCTGTGGATCTTTGAGTATCAGGAAGATGACCAAAACTGTGAGGCCGCCAATTGGTAGGTTGATATAGAAGCACCATCGCCACGACTAATGATAATCAGGTCCATTAATTGAAGCTATATTGGTAAAGAATTATCATGTGGGTTCAACACATACCACGTTGTCAGTAAGGACACCTCCTATGATAGGACCAGCTACTGAGGCAATACCATACATACCGCCCGCCAGGCCGATGTACGTTGGTCGCTTTTCCAGTGGCGAAGTATGAGTGATGACGAGTAACGCGCCAGAGAATATACCAGAAGAACCACATCCAGCAATAGCTCGTCCGGCGATAAAAGTAGCAGATGACGGTGCGACAGCGCAGATTAGGCTACCGAGCTCAAATATTCCTATTGCTGATAAGAAAACCCATTTTATGCTCCAGAATGTGTAAATCTTGCCGAACAGAAGTTGTAAGGAGGCAGTCGTTAGCAAATAAGCTATGAACAAGCACAAATCGATAAGCTATGTTGTCTATTCAAGGACGAATAAGTAATAGTCGCCCGACTTACCACTTCCGTACCAACCAACGTCTAAAACGCTGTCAAATTCGTCTGTTATCCTCGGAATAGCGGTGGTTATGACTGAATTGCTGTATTTACGGTTATCATATTGGTTTTCCCGACCGCCAAACTTCGAGTTGAGAATGAGGGACATACTCTAGTGCCATTAAAAAGACAGCAAGACACAAAGAGAACAATATAAGAAACATTCTCACGCCTTTGGGATAATTTGCGTCATTCTTCTCCCCGGCCACCGATTCGAGGGACTCTGGTGTATCATTTTTTTCAGAGGAATTCTCATTTCCTGGTGTAAGTTTCGTGCCATCTTTCGGAATTTCTGACAATTCTACAGACGGCTGCGACGTGGTTTCGCGAGGCGTCTTGTGGTCAAGCAGAGGCATGATAAGGATTGCGACGTGTAAAATGAGGTTCAAAGGTGACCAACAAATTACTTTGCCATTTGCGATGCTGAAATTCGTAATGGCAGCTTCTGCTAAGTATCTGTCCGCCTATGATTGCAGAATCGCATGCAACCAGTGACACTAACATAGCCTTGTCAATAGCCTCAAGGAGCCCGGCTTGTACTTGAAGAGCACAATGAAAAGATGATCTATGCTACGTTTCTGGGCGAGTGTGTGTACGGAGCCTCGCTGTAAACCCCGTGTCTTTTCCGCCACTGGTGTATGGGAGAGATTCGGAATGACGCATTTCGTTCGGAGGAGAGCTGCCAATCATCGTCGTTCAAGACTCTCCAGGAGCAGTTCCGAAGCGACGATGATTAGGCCTAATTATGTAAAGAATGTACTAGTAGTAACAGCATAAGTAAGCCAGGGGCTGCTGCACGGTTATTAGGGAGTATTTAGTACCCCCCACTGGAGATTACAACTTATACTGAGTAGTTACTGACTTGTGATATGAGGGTCCTTGGTATCATCAATCTACACTTACAGAACTATAGTTTGTACAAGCGTGACAACTGACATCTGTCAATTCTTAAATTCACCATAATGAGACTAGTGTACGAGAAAAGTGGACTAACTAGTGTATACAGCCGTCCGGGTCTACGAAAGTCTAGCCTAATATCTTAGTGAGAAACTGAGTGTGATGGTGTATTGTATTGTATTCTGTATGTCTTGTGTGTCTAATCAAAAGAAAGTAATTGGCATAGGTTTGCCATACATAATAGTGCAAGATTGTGCACGCTAGTTTAGCGAGAGAGATTCTTGGCAATTCCTTATATCGAGGAATAGTTGACATCCAATGAGAGCAGGCGAGTGGATTTATGCGCTGCACTCACCATATTCGGGATAGCCGTAAAGTAATCCTGTCACTTAGTGTCTCTACGCTTTGCCCCCGTTCGGTTTCGGTTTCCTATTGCGGAGCGCATGCATCAGGTCAAAGTGCTTAGTTGCAGCTTAACGAAGTGCTGGGGAAAGATGAGCAAAAACAAACGAGGCGAGAAAAGCGAAAAGTGCATAGAGAAGCGCATATAGAGAGGCAAAGAAGTAACTTTGACAAGGGGAAAAAAACGTACCACGAAAATTTCCAACTGGTATGGTATCTAACCTAGCTAGAAACATGTGCTGACTTGCGTATGATTGATGTTCGCAACATTTAATAGGTATCTACGGAGTAGGATGAAATGTAGTACCTCCGGGTGAGTTTACTAGAAGAAGATTCCCGATCTGGTTCATAATCCTGTAATCGGGGACCATCGTTAGAATCCGACATTTTATATATACCGATTCCAATGAGATGAGCTTGATGCTGTAGACAGCCTCGGTTCAATCTAATTGTAGCGACACCAATAACACGAACGAGCTACGTCTTCACAACATGGCAATTCCGCAGACGCAAACAGCAGTTATCCAAACAAATGAAAAATCAACACTCCCGTTGACGGTATCGGAATCAGTGCCAACGTTTCAACAACCTTCAGACCAATATGTCCTTGTTCGCGTGCTGGCCGTGGCCCTCAACCCAACTGACTTTAAGATGGTGCAGTATTTTCCGATCGCAGACAATCTAGCTGGCTGTGACTTTTGTGGAGTTGTAGAAGCTTGTGGCAACGAAGAGACTTCGCAGCAATTTCCGCCTGGCACACGAGTATGCGGCGCAGTCTTCCCTTACAATCCACAAGCGCGCCAAAGTGGTTCCTTTGCGCAGTGGGTGATTGCCGACTCTGGTTTACTACTGAAGGTGCCAGATGGATGGAATGATCTTGATGCAGCGGCGGTGGGTGGAGTCGGCTGGGGTACTGCAGTGCTGGCTTTCTATGACCCAGATGCGCTGGCTTTGACGGGTCGTCCCACAAAGAAGAGCGATGAAAAGGAGCCAGTTTTGGTCTATGGAGCTGGTACAGCATCAGGTACGATGGCTTGTCAGCTCCTGAATTTGTAAGTTCAGATCCCTTTTTTCCGTTTGCATGTTCGATACTATATTCTTGACACCATACGTCCTGGTAAAAAGACAAAGAATAGAGACGTAGAGTTCAATAGAATTCCGCGCATTGCAGGCTAACTCCAATATCGTACATACTTGAAGATCTGGCTATGCTCCAATCGCTATTGCGTCTTCAGCTTCGGCGGATATGGCTATGAAATATGGCGCAATTGGTACAGCAGACTACACATCTCCCTCATGTGCGGACGCAATCAAAAAGCTCGCCGGCGGAGCTCCAATTAGACATGTTCTCGACTGCATTGCATCAGCGGAATCCGCAGCCATGTGCTTTAGTCTTATTGCGCGTACCGGTGGTCGTTATGCTTGTCTTGAAGGCTTGAATCCGGCATGGAAAACACGTCGCACTGTCAAAGTCAAGGAAGTCATGGGATTCGAAGGTCTCGGAATCAAAATCGATCTGGGGCCGACATCATATTCGCGCGACGCAAACCTTGCCCTTCGCAAGATCTGCTGCGATACTACCAAAGATATTCAGATAGTAATGGATGCGGGCTTATTAAAGCCACATCCTGTTCGTGAGGTTCCAGGGCAATGGCAAGGCATCATTGATGGGTTAGCTATGCTTCAGCGTGGGGAGGTGAGAGGGCAGAAATTAGTGGTTAGAGTTTCCAGTACATAAGTACAGAACTAGATAATCTGAAAGAGATAAACAGAATATCTCTTTTTTTTAAAAGGGAGAAAAACAGAAAGAATCAGTGCACGAAAATTTTCTTCGCATCTTTTTGTGTCTTAACGAGCAAAATTGCCGCCTATGCAGAATTACATATTTCAAGATCAAATACCGCCAACTCTAGCATATTTTTCTTTTTCGAGAAAGGTCTGCATTTCTATGAAAGGGATGTCAAGAATCCTGATTCGTGCCTCTAGAAGGCTTTGCACAAGAGCCACTCAAATGTAGTCTTTGATTTGCTGTTCTGCCCATTCCCAAAATTTGTACGTTCCCCCTGTGCCACCCTCCGACTCGAGCTTCGTTGCATTGATCAGATCTGGTCGCAAAGGATAAAATCGTCCAAATGGAGCCACTACCGAAATAGCCGAGGATTAGCAATACCGTGCGAAAAGATGATTGTATATTAGGAAAATTAGAATGAACGATATCACATACCCCATTCTCCAGATTTCTCCAACGTGATTTCCGGAGACAAGCCAGCAAATAACTCGGTGTATGCTCCCATAATAGGAGGATAGCCGACTACCTTGACAACCATTTTCAAGGCTACCGGTTGATCGCGAGCAAGCTCGGAAGTGAGATTTCCTGGATTAATCGGTACGCTGACAATCCCATCGGCTTTATGACGCCGAGCGTACTCGACTCCAAGTGCCCACGCGCCGCACTTGCTGATTCCGTATCTCTCGGTTGCTGGTTTGGGCTCGTGGTAATCCAAGTTATCGAGCGCTACACCCACATCCTGGGCACCAAAGAGCTCCAGCCCGAATGAAGAAAGCCAGACCACGCGAACCAAATTTGCTGGCTCCGCTTTCGCTGTCTCTATCAAGAGAGGTGTGAGTAGTCTGGTGAAGAGATGTGTTCCAATGCAGTTGACACCAAGCGCAAGCTCATGACCTTGAACGGTTTTGGTGGCTTCTGGTGTTCCCACCATTACGCCGGCGTTGTTGAAAAGAACATGGAGCTTTGTTTCTCGAGACAAGAAAGTCTCCGCAGCTTTCTTGACTTGACGAAGATCGCTGAGATCGAAATGCAGAAAATGCAATTGACCGGTCGAGCTTGGCTCGGCTTTCTCGATTTCTTCAATGGCTGTATTTGCTTTCTCCTCAGATCGCGCAGCTATCCAAACTTTTGCGCCTTTGGAGTAGAGGATACGAGCTGTTTCTTTTCCGACGCCGGTGTTCGAGCCAGTCACGAGATATACCTTCCCACCAAGGTCGGGTACATTCTTTTCCGTAAAGTCTGGCTTAGGAGGACGAAATGCAGCCCATGTGCTTCGCAATGACGGACCTGGTGCCATTCTGTTCAGACGGTTGGTATATTGTCGTGGGTCGTAATTGCCTTATGTAGGAATTGGGAAGCACATACGGTCCAATTAGGGCTACAGGTGGATCCTACAGTTAGTTATATATATGGCTGACTAAGCGAATGCGCTAAACCCAATTAGGAAGGACGTTCCAGCACCCTTATAGGAAATAATTGGCTTATTAGCTTAAGGGTATTACATGGGGCCGATACGCCACTAGGTGTATTAGACGCGCATTCGCGTTCGCTTTCGGAGTCGGAGCATTAACCGACCCCTACTAATCATCCGGGGTCGTGCGTATAGCACGACCCCGACAGCTCAACGAGCAGGCGGGCTCAACGAGCAATTTTTTTTTACTACTACCGGCGCACTTTGAAGCCTCAAAAACGCACAAAAAACGTATGTTATTAACTACTTGGGTGTTGTAACGATTTTCTAGGCTTTCCACAACCTCTATATCTTCTTTGAATAATCCCCCGAGCCAGGCATATTGCTGTAAGCTCTGGCATAACTTTTGAGCCGTAAATCTTCTCAAATTTAGCATGAAGCTTCTCCTCGTCGCGATTTTTAGTAATTCGCTTCATTCTTGCAAGATCTGCTGCGTAGACGACTCCTCCTTTGGCCAGTAATTTGTGAGAAAATTTAGTACGCGATTTGCGTTGAAGTTGACGTTCTTTTATCTCCCGGAGCTCACGTTCGACCTCATGGAGGTGATAAGCTTGTTGAACCGCACCACAAGCTAATCTTTGCACTTTTTCTTGCAAATTTGATATATCTGGAGAGTCGATAATCTGACGTTGAAATGCTTCTGTCGGAACGTGAATATCAAACCCTACACGTTTCGGCACCGGATATAGTTAGTCTGACGCGGCACATGCGTGCCGCGTATATCTAGTTAGCTATCCCCCGTCCCCATTACTCTTGGGGATCAGTCACAATATTAGGAATCAAGATATCTTCATATTGTCAGGCTCATTAGGCCGCTTCGTGTTCGCGCCTTACTACCGTCTATGCTTCGTGATACGGACCGTAGTTAAACCAACAGCTTCAAATTTCCGAGCAGTTTTAGGCGTGTTACCGCTTGAAAAATCCGATTCTAATAACGACGGTGACGGAGGTGTTGCCGGAGGCCTAAATTCAGCCATATTATCAAGAACAATAGCTGGTTTGAAAGGCACAATTCCAGTGAGTCTAAATCCGTGCTGGATTGTTCGTAATTTGAAGGTTTTCTCACGAATCGTATGCAAGGCAGTAAGGAATTCGACTTTAGTAAACTTGCCAATACCGGTATATGAAGCGGCAAAAACAGCCTCGCTATGCCAGTGCTTAAAAGCATGAAAAACACCAACGTCAAGAGGCTGCATAAAATGACTGGCATGAGGTAGTAAAAAGAATACAATAATCTTCTGTTTTTCACAGAAATTCATGAAATCCCACGTTACATGAGATCCATAGCCATCACAAAGTAATAATCGATATTGACCCTTTATTTTTCGAAACGTTTGTCGATGAAAGTGCTGAATCCATTGGAAGGCCAATTCATCGCTGATATAGCCAGAATCACTCACTCCAATAGCAATGTTTTGATCGTAACTAGTTGCGTCAAACCAGCCTTGTATAATATTCTTTGCAGCAATAATGATGAACGGCGATATCGCGAATCCGGAAGCATTTATGCCCTCAACAACGCTCACATATTCTCGATTTGTGTTAATTGGTACAAAAATCTTCTTCTTGACTTCGCGAGTAACGATATACTGGTTTCTTCCTATACCAATTCGGAAGCCCGTCTCATCAAAGTTATATATATCTTCCGGTGGAATCCCGAATTCGGTAATCTTCTTCTCAAGGCGAATATACCAATCTTGGATAGTTTCAAAATCGTGTGATTGTTTTCTCTCAACGTCTAATGCTTTAGCACGACGTACACGATATTCTGGATGACGTGAAAAGAATCTTTTGAGCCAGTGTTCGCCTAATGGAGAAGCATCAGGCTGGCCTTCACGTAGAATCGAATTGGCAGCATTAAGCACCATATCACGGCGGGGAAAAATCTCTACTTTCTCAAAGGTATCAATATACTGACAAAGTGCTATTTCCTGAGATTCCGATAATCGTAAATTCGTTCGTGCGCGCGTAGAACGTGAATTTCCACCATGATAGCGATTTGAGAGCCGCTGGCAAGGAACGTCGAATTCACGAGCCAATGCAGATAAATTTGGTATGGTTTGATTGGGAATAGATTCTATGGCTCTTTAAATTCTTTCCTCTATCTCGTGATAATTTTTTGACATCCTGTGTGTGAGAAATAAAGCTTCAAAGTGCACAGATACCCGTGCCGCCAAGCCCGCGACCACACGCTGCGCGTGTGGGTGCATGTCACATAAGTGCAATAGTCAGATAAATACAGGTTTGTATGGGAATTGCTAACAAAACTATATCCTATCCTCCACCCAACGAATTAAATTTGGATCAGAGCGTCTCGGGTAAGCCTGCTCGACCAGATTCAATATAGTATTACGATCAATCGCCGCCTCGTCGCTTGTTGTAAGGGGGAGGCATTGATCCTGTTGGTTTAGCTACGTCCCGTATCACGAAGCGTAGGATATCGTAAGCTAGGGCGATCCAACTGCCCTACGTGGTGAGCCTTGCTATATAGCACGAAATGTAATATTATAAAAGACTGACTCCCGAAACTAGGGGGGCCGGGGTGCCTAGATACATTATATGGTGTTGGTCGCTCTAGCGCACGGAGAATAGTAATCCCGGCCAGTTCGCGTACGAATCGACGGCGTGCTACAGCGCCGTATAGTGATTCGTAAGATCGCTATTCAAACAGATCCTAATGGCGCATTTCGTAGCTACTTGAGCCTTTTCCTCTCAGCCTTCTTTTCCTCAGTTGTAGCACGCTTTTTGATGGTTCTATTCACATCTACTACAGAGAGAATGCCTCCAACTTGCACCTGGCGTTTAGTTTTTTTTAGCGGATTTGCGTTCATTGAGCGTTTGGAGGCGGTCAATTTGCTCTTGTTGTTAGGGCACGCCAATGATTATGATTTAATCGTAATCATAATCAAAATCATGATTAAAATTGTCACGTGGTAATATAAAATGCCCAGTCCGACAATCCTAAGAATGGATATATACTTCTGTATCACTGTAGTCTGAAAGCAGGCATCATCGGTAATAAGAACTTCTAGTAGTCTTATTATAAAGCTCATTCTACACTATATCTGCTCATTTAATTAACTATTTTGGGACGTAATAACATTGTTGCTAGATCCAGGACTTCATTTATTACTTGGGAATGACTATAACCTCTATATCAATATCATCTTCCAACGTTCCTTCCTCAATATCCTCTGTAGTTTCAAGCCAAGACTTATTATCTTGGAAAGATTTTAATACTGTTAGCATCTTAATAGTTGCTGATTAAAGAGCATAGCGCCGTAGACCTAAAGATCACGACCACGAGAAAAGAGACGCTCTACACCAACTTCTGATGCAGGGATAGAGACATATCGACGAGCGATCTTAGCTATCTAAGGATATTTAAATCGATTTGTTCTCTACCAGGCCATAAGCTATTTAATATCTTGTTCTGCAGTTCTATTATCAAGTACAGGCTCTTGAATTGGAGGGGACTCAAGCCAGTCATTTATCTTATTGATTTTAGAGGTTGCAGAGGTTGAGTAGTGTCTTCTTTGAATTTCTTTGAGCATGCGTTGTCGATTTGATTCAATTTGCAGGCGACCTACAAAGCTAATTGTAGGTATTGAAGACAAAGGCGTTGAATTCTAGCAACTGGAAGGAAGTGTAGGTTCTGGTGCAGGAGATATCTCATTAAAATGAACTCGCAAATTGTTGATCACATCGATAGCATTATCTCCAAGATGAATCTTTAAAAGCTCAGTCTTAATGTGGGAATCTAGGACAGCAGCAGAGTAAATAATAAGAGTCTCTGCGTCCATCTTCTTCGTATATTTGTCCAAGGCCTTTCGCCCTACTCTTGCTGTATCTTGAATCTGTATATCAATGCTAGCATAGGCACCTTGCAATTTAATAATGTCATCAAAATGATCATCTAAGTCCTAATAAATCTCTGCAGATTGGAAGATTGTTAGATTGGTCTATGAAACCAAGAGGGTCTTCTTATAGAGAGGAAGCATAACTTAATAAATGTTTCCAAGAAATATCCATTCGAGCTCTGATAGTACTAGAGGCTCTAATGGCTTACACTCCTTGCACATGCAATTGATTGCAGACCGCTCTCGAATTGCTATCTCAAGCATTTTTAGAAGTGCATTCCATTGAGTATCAACATTGTAGTCGAGGGCGACAGAGGCATATTCCATATATTTATCAACTCGCTGATCGCTAGCTAGTATCCACATAACAATTAATCATAGTCAAGGAGTTGCAGACTGTGGTATTTCCTCAGTTTGGAATGTTTCCCTCTTATCAATGCTTATCTATTTAATGACCCTCTTTGCTTCTTGGTGTGAGCCTACTTTGAATATCTTTAGCATTGATTTAGCTATTAAATTCAGCACATGTGCTAGGCAGCGGACAAAGCTCTTATCACCTCTAAAACACATTAATTTGCGGTCTTCACCTAGCAGATTCAATTTTTGAACTGAGTCAACAAATCGCTGTTTTAGGAGCTTGTGAAGAGAGCAGCAGAGTGTAGGGTTATTACTAGCATTGTCGCCACAGATAGCCACGAGTTTCTGCTCTAGATCAAAGTTTTGAAGTACTTCTTGAATCTCTTTAGCCATGTTTTCCCCAGTGTGGGAACCCTTGAGATGACCAAAATGAATAACGAGCTGGCAATCTTCGAAGTCCTCTGTAGCCCAATGGCAAATAACGGCAAGAATATACTTCTTATTAGATGTCTTCCAAACATCAAGAGAGAAGGAAACAGTCTCAGCGCTAGCTTTTAATTCCTCGTACATATGGAGCTGACACTTTGAGAACGCTTGCTTAATTCACTGGCGTAGAGTTTGATGGGAGTTGATTGGGCAAGGCGCATTCATAGCAATTTTCCACATTCTTTTCCACTTTTTATTATCGACTATATCAAATGGTTGTTGGGTATTGATAATCCACTCAATGATAGCTTCGTCAAGAGTTAGACTCATAGTAAGACCAGCGTCTCTTGAGTAAGTGATGCCATGAGAATCAAGCGTTGTTTGAGAAGTATCTGGCACAGGAACTCTACCATCAGGATAAATTTTATGATAGCTTTCAAGATGGGTCCAAAGATTTAAATTTGAGCCGTTCCGGGAGTTATCAGTTACAGTGTGTGTGTGTGTGTGAATTCATACCCTGACCCCTCGCCGAAGCGATATGCAGGATACCACTATCTAATCCTTATCTATGTCTATGTACATCAATCCATTACATAAAGACGAATTTAGAGCCTTGTCACGGCCTATGGTGGCCAACATACCTAGTACTCTGTCAGCGGCCCTACAGCGCCCGGCTTTGAAACCTCTGTGATGCCTCTGCAAAGTCGAGTACTGCACCTAAGATACTACCGCCTTGCATATCACCCTCCTTACCTTGCTTACCTTGAGATCCTCCTCCTAGCATGTCCGAGATATTGTTAAATGCAGTCTCAATCTTCTTCCATAGTTCTTGTCGTATGGTCTTCAATTTGGGACAGTGAATTAGGATGTGAACCACTGTTTCTATCGCTCCACATTCACACTTGTCATCCTCTCTATGGCTATGTAGTTTGCCATGTGTTGCTAGCCATGAGTAGCCAGTTTGGAGTTGGGTGAGCAGGTAGGCTCGATTGCGTGGTAGCGAGCCATACATTCTCCAGGTACAAACTGCGGGTAGATTTCTATCTATCTGCCGAAGGTGGCTACCGTTCTTGGACGTCTTCTATCCCCGTTCCCATTCTTCTTGGATTCGGTTGCGGATGAAACCTTTTTCTCATAAGAGAAGATGTTGGAAGGGATGTTCTTTGTCTAGGCTAACTGCTTTTTTAGCTAGTTGATTGGCCGCCTCGTTTCCCGGGTCACCACAGTGTCCTGGTACCCATTAGAGTTGGAGCGGAATTCCCTGTGCTTTTAACTCCCAAGCTGATTGCTGAACTGCTTAAATAATCCTCTGGCCTGACTTGTTCCGTGCATTCGAGATAGCCTGTAATGCTGACATGCTATCACTGAGGATAGTTGCTGGTTCCTGTTGGCTTGCTGTGGTGTCCTAGTTTTCTAACGCAATCTTAAGGACAAGGCTGATAGCATAGTATATTGCCATGAGCTCAGCTACATATACTGACCAGTATTCCATGGAGCCAATGCAGACTTTCCGGTATTAGATGATGTGCTGGTTCTGATCTAGAGCTACTGCTGCAGCTCCTAGAACATTCTGTTGGCCTGATGCATCCGAGAAGACTGTGATACCGGCTGCTTTTTGTCTAGCAGATGCTTTCTCTTTAGCTTTGTTGTGGTCTGCTTCAATGTCGATTTCTATAAATGCTGGTGTCTGCCACGGTGGTGGGGGTGTTGGATTAATTGTCTCCAGAGCCTGGAGTTGAGTGAGGTTCATTGTCCGTAGGGTCTCTGCTAGAGGAAATCAAGGTCCACTTCCTATATGGTTGCTCCGCGTTGCTGCTTGGGTCACTACTGTATGGCCTGGGTGATCCTCTGGAAGGGTGCTAAGACGGGCAGCCACTATTTGGGCACGTTATTTAAGTCGTAAATTGGTTAGAAGCACATAGGCTTCCACCTCTAGGGCTGCCGTGGACGCCATCTTGAAGGCAGAGAGAATATGAATAAGGGCGGTTCGTTGCACAGTTCCCAGCGTTCTCAGGTGTATCTTATCCTTTAGTGGGTTGTGCCAGACGGTGGATGCATAATCCACGATTGGTGTCACGCATGCTTGGTAGATTTGTCTCATCTACTCTGGACGGAGGTGTCTTAGTCCCCCCAGGGCGATATTCACCTGGGTTGCTCGCTTGACTACTTGCTGCACATGTTCCTTCCACCGCATCTTCTTGTTAAAGATCACGCCTAGAAGCTTTACTGTATCGCTTGGCTTGATTACCGTCCCATTTATTATAATCTGTCCTACCCCGTGCTGTCTTTTGGACCTTGTTAGATGGATTAGTTCTGTTTTCTTCACATTAAACAAGGATCCCGTTTGTTGGGCCCATGCCTCGATGCGGGGGATATCCTCTTCCTGAATCTTTCTGATATTGTCTTCTGCAGACTGACCGGCTCGCCATCGAAAATAGTCGTCAATAAACGCTGACGCGCCGCCATAGTGGTCGACTAGCTGGTCGACTAGGTCGGAGTTAAAAAATCCAAATAAGATTGGGGACAGCGGGGATCCCTGTGCCAGACCAGCATGCTCGAGCGGGGAGATCTCCGTCTGAAAATCATTGAAGGAGATGCCGGCGTACCTGTTCTCCATGAAGCTCCGGATCCAGCGCCTGGCTACGGTTAGGATGCCTTTGGCCTGTAGACGGGTGTCAAGGCTTGAATCATTCACTCCATTGAATGCTCCTGTGAGATCAAATGCTACCAGCGTGATCACCTTTGACCATAGCCATGCACGATCAATCGCGTTTACCAGGGTTAGGAGCGCTTGTTCTGTGTTTCGTCCTGGCCGGCCTCCAAACTGGGTGTCTAGAAGTAGTTTATAGGACTTAGCCCAGAATGACAGTCTGCGAGCCATGACGGCTTCTAGTATCTTCCCTAGGGTATTTAGTAGAGAAATAGGTCGGTATGCTTCTAGTACACCATAGTCTGGCTTCCCGGGTTTCCTCAGCACTATGATTCTCGCTTGCTTCCACTGGTGAGGATAGTGGCCTAATTCTACTGATCTTGCAAAGATGTACGTGATCATCTTCCAGAGATATGGCCATAGATGTTTCCAGACAAGGGTTATAATCCCATCCTCCCCCGGGGCCGTCGTTCCCTTAGCGGCTTTGAGTGACTGATGTACCTCTAGTTCGGTGATTGGGTACCATGGTATTCCCTCTGAGGGTGGTACTGGGTCTTCTATTTCTAGGTCTGCCATCTTCGGGAAGAAGGTTTCTAGAAGCACTCTGGCCTTTGCATCATTTTCAGTGATTTCTTTAGATCCCACTTTTAGTGGCGGGATATTTGTATAGGGGTCTCATGGGCGCATGTATGTTGCTACTTTCTAGAGGTGGCCTTCTTGGGCCTTGTCTAGGAACTCCTTCCAATAGGCGGCTTTGACCTTCTCGATGGTTCTAGTCCATTCTCGTCGTTTATAACACATGTCGTTGAAGAGGGATGTAGTAATTGGGTGGCTGCTGCCTAGGGTAGCACAGCTGCTCTGCCATCTCCTACGAACTTGGTTTACTATAACCTGTTGGGATTTGAGCTCTGGGGTGAACCATCGTTTCGAGTAGGGGGATGGCTTCTGTAGAGGCACCTGTTGATCAAGGACTATCATTGTTGCTTCAACTAGTCAGTTAACTTCATAGTCGAGGTCTGCGGCGGAGCTTATCTTAGGTCCTTAACCAAGTAGTTCCAGCAAGGCTGAGCCGATTTTATCCCAATCCGCTCTGTCATATGCTCTCTTTGGTTTTGGGTTTTTGTTACATTCTGGTCGTAGGTCCCATTCAGAGTATGTTCCGTGATAGTCTGAACCATAGTTGTCCCGATAGAGTTGGCATTTCATAAGTTTTGCAGGGTCATTAGTGAGCGTCAGATCAAGGACTGATGCCTTCCCTGGGAGGCTTGGTGACCAGTATGTTGGCGTGCCTGGGGGTAGGCACCATTGGAGTTTATATGTCTGGAAGAAGTTTATTAACTCTTCCGCTTGAGATGTAAAAACATGGCTAACGAGGCGGTGGCTCCATGCCGGGTGATGTCGATTGAAGTCTCCAGCTAGAATAAGCCTTGTGGTCTTATTAGGCTCCTTGGTATACTCTTCAATGGTGTTTTTAATCTCCGCTAGTATTAGTTCAGCAGCGGTTGTGCTAGTGGCTTGGTGTGCATCCAGTGGTGGGATGTACACTGAGAAGATAAGGAACTGTATCTCCGCAGTTCATATTTTAATTGCTACCAGATCTGGGTGATTGCACTGGATTTGGCGATAGGAGGAGGTCAAAATTCTTTTATTCACATAAATCAGGCTGCGGTATCGGGTGGATTCATTGGTATTTAGGTATGTTGGTTGGTATAGCCGCCAAGCACTGTGGTTCACATGGGTGCGGTATGTGGTAACTGATGGTTCTTGGATCAAAAGTAGATTAAGGTTCTGGCTCTGGTGGTCATTAATGAGGGCTTCCATTCCTGCCCTAGATTTCTAGACGTTCAGCTGTAATAAACATAGTGTTGATGACATTATTGGGAGGAGTTCAGGTTAAGAGGTGCTTGGCACCTCTTATGTCCAGTAGGATGTTCCCCATTGCAGTCTACACACCTTGGCCTTATGCCTAGAGGGCAGTTATGTTGATCATGCTGGCCGCTACAGTGGCCGCATTTTACCTGTTCTTTGCATGACCAGGCTAGATGGCCAAACTTCTAGCAGTGGTAGCATCTCTTTAGTTCAACTTTGTAGGGTTCCACACTTCCAATGTATCTTTGTCCAACTAGGAGGCCATTATTGATGATTGATTCTGCGGCCTCCGGTGTATTCAGCCAGATGCCCATCGATGCGGCCTTTCCCAGCGGTCTATCCTTCTTCTTGAGCCATGCAATATCCTCGATTTCAAATCCTTTCTCGGCCAGGTCATTCTCTTCCATGATCTTCTCAATCCCTTCTCTCTTTTCCTTCTCCAAGTCAAAGTCCTCTGTTGGCACTCGGTAAACCACAATGCCGAATCAGGGTTTGACTAGCCTGGTTTCGTTCCCCAATTCTTCCAGCTATGCGGTGTTGTTCTGGGCTATTTCGGCCGACTGAGCATCTCTGAATCTAATTACATAGCCTGTTTTAGTGGTGCCAACACCTGCTACCTGTACATCTTTGGTAGATTCTGTGTTTGATAAGGCGGTCCTGATATGTTTGTTGGCAGTATCAGTAGGCAGGAACCTTATGAAGTTGTCATTGTTATTTCCATTGTTATCCGTTGCCTCTGGCTGTGCAGTACTGATCTGGACGCAGTTCAGTTCTTTCTAGGGTCATGGGAGTATATTAATTGTTAGTGGGATTGTGGAGGCTACTTCAGCCCATGGGTTTGGGGGTAGGATTGTAGTTGCCTGGTTCTCAATCTGGGTGCGTAGCGCCTGAATCTCTTCCTGTAATTTCACATTCTGTTCTCTCAGGGTGATTTGTTCTGTTTTGATTTCACGGACTTCTGCCCTTGCTAGCTCGATTATGTTGGTCTGTTGGGTGATGACTTTCTTTAGGCTGCTAACGAGGCTCGCAACCGTCTGGTATGTAATTCTTTTGCCATCGTCCAATGAGAGAAATTCAATCACTGGAGCTCGTAGGGTTTCTGCTGGGTGGTTCTATCTCCGACCTGGGGCTGTTGGGATGGCCTCATTCCGTGCAGAGTTTTCCGGGCGTATGCGGACCGCATTCGGGTACTGCCATCAGGCCGTTTTTAGCTCCCGTTTGGCACACCTCCTCGATCACGGTCTTTGAGTTCATTCTATTCTGACCGTACAGCTCTCCGCATTATTCCTACGGAGTACAGTTCGTCTCTTTTGCAGGTCGATTATGTTACAGAGCCTTGCAAAATCAGTTTCCCTAATGAACTCATTCTCTCTCTATCAATCCCATACCTGAAACAAACTAGTTCGTATACGGTTAAGCGTTGATATATTCCTGTTCTAGAATGTTCGATCGTATAGTACGAAACACTGTTGTGACCAAACCTCTTCGTAAATTACACGTATCATTGTACCTGGAGACAGTCTGGAGTTTCCTATCTCATTGAGTGTGTGTGTGTGTGTGTGTGTGTATTTAACGGCCGTGGATCGTGACTCGCACGCTTTCCACCAATCCCTACTGGGACATAGGCCGCCGAGGGGTAAACCTCGGGCTTCAGGTCCTATCAGATTTATATACAAATAAGGGACTCTTTGGCGCATTTCCATAGCTGCCGTGGTCTTACAGGGAGGTCCACTTCCGAGTGGGTTTTAGATATTTGCCAGCTGCAATGGTCCACCTACGCTCCATGACCCATAACTCTACCATAATAGTAATCAAGCAGTGAGAGTTTAAAAGAAAGAAGGAAAGAAGGAAAGAAGGGAAGAAAGAGAGAAAGAAAGAGGAAAAAGAGAGATATAAGGGAAAAGTAGGGCTGACTTAGCTAGGTGCTAAGGAGAGGTTGGCAAGGACAGATATCCTCAAAAAAACGGGTCTCTGCTAGCCATGTAGCTAGTTTTTGTGCTCCTTTCGCAGTGCCTAGAAGGAAGGATATGACCTCAGAAGGAGGTCCAGGAGGATGAGGGGCTCGTCTCTTAGCTATATAGCAGAAGAAGAAATGTAGAGGTGCTTTTCGTGCTCCACATCGACAGAGGAGATAAGCATCATCATGATTAAAACGTTCATGGTAGTCTGCGAAGTCTCCATGTCCAGTACGGGCTGCAATGATATGGCCAAGGTCAAGTCGGTTAAGTTGAAGCTCTCCAGGGCGCTTAGGAGATGTAGTTATTTCTAGATCTTAGTAAGTTTGTGGTGCTATGGTCTGCCACCGTGTCTGGGCAGCAGAGAGAGATTGAGTCTTGGCGTGTCTCTTTAGCGAGGCATATAAGGACTTGCATGGAGAAGGGAGGGTAGAGGCAGCTCCCTCTTTAGCAGCAGAATCTGCTACTTCATTCTCAGGGATTTTAGTGTGTCCAGGGACCCATCGGATTTGGACTGATCCACTTTTAGTGTGTGGAAGCCTTTCACGTAGTGGCCAGCCAGCTGCAAGGGTGCGGAAGGATTCAAAGGCTTCTTGAGAAGATCCGGTAGAGGGAGATAGAAGGCGCGTAGCAACTTCTAAGTTATCAAGGCAGATCCATAAGTTAGTAGCAAATTGAGCTGTTGAGTATGCTATTGCTGCTTGGGCACCAGCTAGGGCAGCTTCTGCTTCTGCATCGAAGACCTCTTTCCTATGTCCATATGAGAGTGAGGAGCGGAGGAACTGATTGTGTGCTTGAAATCTAATGTAACCTCCTCCTGCACGTCCATCTACTAGTCTAGATCCATCTGAAAAGATTATAATATCAGAGCTAGGGATGGTGCGTTGAAAAGCTATAAAATCAGCCGCTGCCTGTTCCTTACTGCGTCCCATGGGAGCTCCTATTCGAGCTTGAGCATTCTCACGCGTCTCGCGAGGGTGCCAGGGAGCGTATTGGAGAGGGTTTATCTGCTTAGAGTTGGGGAGGGCCAGTATACGGCGGGCAAATCGGCTGGTTTGTCGGCTATTACTAGCAACCTGTTCCGCGCGTCTTCGAAGTGGGTGGTAAGGATCAAGACGCCGTAGGCGGACAGTTTCGAGGAGGGCTATTCGATCTAGTTCAATTTTTGGTGGAGAGAATCCAGACTCCCGGTAAAGGACAGATATTGGGGTTATGCGGAAAACTAGAAGGACTGCTCTTACGCCTGTTAGTACTACTTTAGTTAGTTTCTTAAGATGTTCGCCAACTCGGTTTGAAGTCTGGGTAGGCCCAGGGCGAGTACATCCTGGCCACCAGGTTTCAGCACCATAGTATGCTTTGTAGAGTACATAGGCTAATACAGCTTGCTATAGTAAATAGGGTTTAACTCCTCGGGCAGTATTCCCTAGAGAGCGAAGGGCATTAGCCACAGTGAGGGCTTTAGATGCTGTTTTACCGACATGCCATTTAAATGTGAGCTTTTTGTCATAGAGGATTCCTAGCCAACGTAGATATAGGCGTTTGGTATTTTCTAAGACTGTAATAGATCTAGCTTTTACTGAAGGTGTGCAGGTTGGGTCCTGGTCTACTTTTCATCGAGAGAAGTGAAGAAGCTTATATTTATCTGGTGCGAAAGTAATGCCCTCTACAGCACCCCAGTTAAGAGCTTCTTGAAGTGAGTCTGATAAGGCTTCGCAGTTAGTAGCAAGGGATGTCAAGATCGCCAGGTTAGCTACGTCGTCGGCATAGCCAAATTTGTTCCTTGGGTTTCCTAGACGGAATAGAGGCGCTATGTAGAGCATGAATAGAATGCCAGATACTGGGGATCCTTGTGGAAGGCCACAGGCAATGTCTGTTGAGGGGCCAATCTCTCCATCAAGTCGGATCTGAACTGATCGCCCAGTAGCAAAGGAGGCGATCCAGAGGACGAGATTAGTAGGCCAGCCCTGCTCACACAATCTGCGGATCAGTCTGCCAGGAAGCACGGCGTCAAATGCGCCTTTGACATCTAGGGTAAGGAGTGAGGTAGTCATGCCTTGATTTAGCGCTTGTTCAACGTCATGTGTTAGGCATGTGGTCAGATCATTTACAGATCTTAGTGGGAGAGCTCCAAACTGTTGTCTCGCTAATACTTTGTAGTGTATAGAGATCCATGCCATATTCCGTACCACTAGGCGCTCGAGTCCTTTGCCAAGAACTGATAGGAGAGCGATTAGTCTGTATAATCTGGGCGAGAACCAATCAGTCTTTTTTGGTTTCTGGATAATTGCTAAAATTACATATCGGAAGCATTTCGGGTGATATCCAATCTTTAGACACCCTTGGTATAGCATTTGTACCTTATCCTTAATTAAAGGCCATGCTACTTTGAGTATGCAGGTTGGGATTTCATCTACGCCAGGAGCTGTGTTTCCTGCCTGAAGTATTGACTCCTCCACCTGTGACATTAATATATCTGGAAAGTAGAGGCTAGTGATAGGGACTGCTGGGGAGTCCAGAGGTATGTCTCCTGCCTCAGCCGAGTTTTGAAGAAGATTCCGGACTAGTACGTCTCGTTTCTCATATATAGTAACTGCTGGGAGGCTGCTAGGTCTCAGTGGATCCTTCAGTGGAGGGCTTCGGAAGGTGCCTGTGGACTTATGCCATTTACTCATATCAAAGACGTCCTTCATTTGTGTTATTGTAGAGAGCTTATCTCGCCAAAATTGTCGTTGAGACCATCTGGTTATCCTGCGGAAGTCTGTCTTTGAGCAGAGGCCTGAGCGGTAATTGTGTAATGCATTCTTACAGTCTTTATTCCACCAAGGTTGTCCTATGCCTTGTGTTAGGGTCCTCTTAGCAGAGCCTCTATATGCTCCTTGAATTGCAGATATCAGTTTTTCGGCGAAAGCATCAAGATCTTCTTCTGTCGCGGCTGAGCTCTCGGTGCCAGCGAGATTAGAGGCGAGGAGCGAAAGGAAGGAAGTGTGATCTAGTGTGTCAAATCTTAGTTTCTGAGCTGTTTCCTTGTATCTCTGATCCCATGGAACAGTGGTAATTAGTGGTTGATGATCAGAGGTTGCATCTAAGTGGCTCGCTATGCTAGCTTTGGCTCCTGCGAGTGTCAGAGGGCTTAAGGCAAAACTGAGGTCTAACACGTTACCCCTTTCATGTGTGGGACAGTCTATGTCGGAAATGAGTACTAGACCCTGGAGATCCAGCCAGTTGATAAATGGCTCTGCAAAAGTTGTAGGGCTGCGTTGTAGCGAGGGTTGCCATCTATTGTGTAGTAGGTTGAGATCGCCTGCAAGTATTGTTGTTTGAGGGAAATACGCCTCTGGTAGGGTTGTAAGAGCTTTTGCGGCTTCACCTGCTCTAATGCAGCCTACTGGGGCATTATAGATATTAACTATTAGAGCGGACTTTCCTGTGGGCGAGAAAATCTGAAGGAAAAGGAGATCCGAGGCCTCTTCAGTGTCAGATGTGAAGGGGCGAAGCTGGGAAGTCCGAATGCCTTTCTTCTTTCGGGCATAGGTGAGGACTCGTGGTCGACCACTTATTGCCCAACTGTCAGTTGGGGAGAAGCATTCATATGATAGGTGTTTTTTGGTAATCTATCGGCTAAGATCTTTGAATGTATATGGTTCTTGGATTAGGATAATATCAATGTCGCTAGTGTATGCTAATGTGAGAGCTATTTCGTGTGCATCTGGCGCGTGCCCTACATTTAACTGTAGGATTTTAAGAGGCGCCTTTTAAGTTGGATAGTGATAGATCATAGCTCCTGTTCGAGAAGAGAGGCGAACTGGTTTTGTGGTTGAGGGGTTGTAAAGCGGACTACACGAGCCATAATTGAAGGATCTTCAGTTGGGGCGCGAGGTGGGGGGGTTACTGAGCGGAAAGGAGAGATAATCCCATGGGTTGGAGGCTGAGATGGCACCTCGTCTATTGCTATAGGTGTTTCTTGTGTGCCTATGAAGAGCTGAGGGCTACATCCTCCTTCAGTTCAAGCTTTTGCGAGGTTTGTGGCGCAGGATTTGCGGATCTCTGCTTATTGAGCTTTAGTATGTTTAGTATTGCCTCTAGGGCGCAGGAGGTATTCTAAGAAATCAGCTGGATGTGGTCCATGACAGTGTATGCATCTAGGAGGGCATTGATGAGGTTCCAGGGCTGTGCAGCGATTGGCATGGCCCTTTTCAGTATGCTCTGAGGAGCCACATAGCCGGCATCGAGAGGGGCGGGCACAGGATCTTGCATTATGCCATTTCCAGCATCGTGTGCATTAAATAACTGTTGTTTTCTTAGGGAGGTGACGAGCATTGGTGATAGTACCAAAAAGACATAGTTGGATAGGTAGTGGTGTTTTCATGCCTTCTAGGAAGTTCACAAACCAGCTTGAGGAGGGAGTATCAGGGTTGACAGCGCTTGAAGTGGTCTCGCTAATAGATGTGGGCTTAAGCCCTGTAGTTTCGCTTATTTCTGAGGACAGAAGTGTAGGATTGACGGGGATTAGAGAGTATTGGCCATTCAAGATTTGGCCAATTTTCCTTGGCACATTGGTAACTCGATATGAGACCCATCGGGAGCTGCGTTCTATCTGGCAGTTAACAAAGAATGCAGAGATAATCTCTTTCTGGGCCTCAAGGGCTAGGAGGGCTTCCGGAGATGAGGGACATAGTGCAAAGCCAGTCTTTGTGGTTTGAACTTCTTTTAGTGCTGCACTGTTTGAGTTTAGTTGAGACCTTAGGCTAGAGTAGATAGCGTAGGCTTCCATTTTTCTAGCTGCATGATCAGCTGGGAGACGTACGAAGAGCCGATTGTCAGGAAGGGGTTGTTTAATCAGAGGCATAGGCTTTTTAGCAGGGGCTTTAGAGTGAGTGGTGGGAGTTGATTTGGCTGGGGCATGTTGGGTAATAGTCGCATAAGTTGACTGTTCAAGACCTGAGGGGGGGCGTGAGAGAGGGGGTGAGGGGAGAAAGAAATTTGGGGTGAGGGAAGGGGAAGAGGATAGGGCAGGGGGAATGGAGGTCGTCGAGATACCGCTAATGTAGGCGTTGAAATGTGTGGGCTATTGAGGCGAGGTCATCGCTTAGAGCGGTGAGGGCTCTCAGTAGGTGAGGGGCAAGGCCGGCGGTTTGGCTGCGGTGTTTGTCGAGGAATGCAGCTATAGGGCTGAAGATCTTCTGTCCTTCAGAAGCTCTTGTCGTGGCTGCAAACGTGGATTCCAGGAGGGCTGTCTGTAGAGGGCCATCTGTACCAGAGCCTTTACGCGCCATGGTGTTGCCAGGTGCGTTGAGGCGCGTCAACGGCTGCGCTCTTGGGAGCTAGGTAGTAGAGAGGGGTGAGGAATTTGAGCCTCTGACTGTTTGATATGAATAATTAAAAAGGAAGTCGCCTATCAACTCGAAAATGTGTCCTCCTATCTCATTGAGTGCATGAGATGTGACGGCCTTGCAGACAGGTGTCACGTGGCGAGAGGGGTTGACGAGGCTGAATTGCTTCCTGACAAACCAGTCCACTGTCCTGTGCCTCTCCCTGTATCATCATGTTCTTCGGATAAGCTGACTTGCAGACGGCTGGGATATCAGGATCGAAAAAATCATGATTTGGCCACCTCAATTCACCGAAAGCTATCCATAATCGGCCAAGATAACATCCGGAAATCGATCCTGCCGGCGGGTGGCGAACATCCTTCATTGCGAAGGATGTCTAACCCGAACGACTACACAGTCGGATGGATATGTGCATTAAGCACAGAATACGTTGCCGCACAAGAATTCCTCGATGACGAGCATGCACCGCTGGATTTCGTGTCGCCTAATGACACTAACGACTACACATTGGGCAGGCTTGGAAAACATAACGTTGTCATAGCCGTGTTACCTGACGGTGAATATGGAACAGCCTCCGCTGCTACTGTAGCTACAAACATGCTCAACAGTTTCCCAAACGTCAGGATCGGCTTGATGGTGGGTATTGGTGGTGGAGCACCAAGTAGAAAGCATGATATCCGTCTTGGAGATATTGTGGTTAGCGCGCCTCGTGACGGTGAGGGCGGTGTCCTTCAGTACGACTTTGGTAAAACGATACAGGAGCAGGCCTTCCAACATACACGTTTCCTGAATCAGCCTCCGACGATACTACGCACCGCAGTCACGGGGATCCAAGCCCAGCACAAGCGGAAAGGGCATCAGATCGAAGACGCTATTGGATTTGTTCTCGAGAAAAATCCAAGATTACGTCAGGAATATGCACGGCCGCAACCAAACACTGACAAGCTCTTTCATCCCCATGCCATTCACGACTCAAGAGGCTGTGGGTTCTGTGTTCACGATCCATCATATGTGGTCGAGCGACGCGAGCGAGCAGAACATGAGGATAACCCAGCGATCCACTACGGCTTGGTGGCTTCTGCAAACCAGCTGATGAAAGACGCTGTAATCCGTGACCGACTTGCAGCAGAGAAGGGCGTTCTCTGTTTTGAAATGGAAGCAGCGGGCTTGATGAATCATTTCCCATGCTTAGTCATACGGGGGATTTGTGACTACTCTGACTCTCACAAGAACAAAGAGTGGCAAGGATATGCGGCGATGACTGCGGCTGCTTATGCTAAAGACCTCCTCTCTCGCATTTCGCCAAATCGGGTGGAAGCTGAGAAGAGAATCAGTGATGTGCTTTCTTTAGGTTAGTCTCTAGTGGACCTTGCAAAGCTCTCTATTAATGAGATTCATAGTTAGAAAGGACATAAAAGAAGTCCATACTACTGCTCAAAATACAAAAACGGCAATTGAGATCCTGGATAATGACCGACGGCGCGAGAAAGTGATTGCGAAGCTGCCGTATGCCAAGGGCTCCACATTCGATTCTTTTGATGGAGTTCTTGATCCACGATGCCATCCAGAAACAAGAATTGCCCTACGTCGTCAAATTAGAGAATGGGCCGAAAATGGACAAGGGAAGTCAATATTCTGGCTGAAAGGAATGGCTGGAACAGGAAAATCAACAATTTCTCGAACAGTAGCCGAGTCCCTTCACATGGAAGGAAAACTAGGAGCCAGTTTTTTCTTTAAACGAGGGGAAGCTGATCGAGGTAGTGTGACTATGCTTTTTACCACTATTTGTGCCCAACTCTTAGTAAAGATTCCGTCACTGATCGCTCCTGTCGAGATGGCAATTGATGCTGATCCCAATATATCTGATAAATCGATGGGAGAGCAATTTGAGAAGCTTATCTATCTACCTTTATCACAGATTCGGCATCACCTCCTCCAAACACCGAAACTCATTATCGTGATTGATGCTTTGGATGAATGCGCGCAGAATGGAGACACTCTCCTTCGCCTCTTATCACAAACGAGAGAGAACTGGTCACCAATCTTACAGATATTTATTACAAGCAGACCAGAGCAGCAAATTCGATCTGGATTTGTAGACATACCAGAAGATATACGCGAGAATATAGAGCTTCACGAAATATCCCAGGCTATCATCAAGCAGGACATCACCACCTTCCTCAAATCGAGATTTGTCCAAATCCAGGAGAAGTATAGGAAAGATGGCCTGCTACTTCCTTCTAACTGGCCTGGCCTAGAGGCGATGTCAGTGTTGGTTGAAATGGCTGTTCCGCTCTTCATTTTTGCTGCTACCCTGTGCCGCTTTGTGGAAGATCCAGCGTGGTCGGACCCGATAGGCCAGCTGCAAAAGGTTCTTGAGTATCGAAATATGAAGAGTGGCTCTGAGATGGACAAGCTAGATGCCACTTACTCTCCAATTCTAAACCAGCTGATCAATGGACGTCCAGAAAAGGCACAGAAATCACTGGTGGAGCGGTTTCGACGCATTGTAGGCACTATTATTCACTTAGCGGAGCCCCTTTCGCGGTCATCTCTCGCATCTTTGCTCAATACCGACAGCCAAGAGATTGAGGGGCAGCTCTCATCTCTCCATTCTGTCTTTAGTGTGCCATCCTCTGCGGACTCTGCGATAAGGATGTTGCACCTCTCATTCCGTGATTTCCTGATTGATCCTGATAAACGTCACACGAATTCATTCTGGGTTGACGAGATGGAAACCCATAAGATGGTCATGACCAAGTGCCTTGAACGAATGTCTCAATCTGGGAGTCTTCAAGAAAATATATGCAATCTTCCGGGCCACGGGACACTCCGTGCTGAGATCGATGGCAGAATCATAGCTAACCACTTACCACCAGATATGCAATATGCTTGCCGCTTCTGGGTACACCATTTGAAAGAGAGTCAGACCCGCATCAATGATAGTGATCCAGTTCATGAGTTTATACAGGATCACTTTTTACATTGGCTGGAATCATTGAGCCTCTTGGGAAGAATTGCAGAGAGTATTCACCTAGTGGGGACATTACAAACTATTGTAGTATGTATCTCCAAGTTGAATATATGCGATTCCTTGTTCTTACAATCTATCCAGAGTGATGAAGACACGGCAATATGCAAATTCCTGGATGACGCAATGCGGTTTATTCGAAAAAACATCTCGTTGATTGATCAGGCGCCTCTCCAGCTCTATGCATCGGCGCTTATTTTCGCACCAAAGGGAAGTGTAATTAGGAATAAATATATCGATAAAATCCCCAATTGGGTTCGAGGATTACCAGAAGTGGAATCAGCCTGGAGTGCAGTGCAGCAGACCCTCGAAGGCCATTCAGGTTCAGTTTTCGCAGTGGCGTTCTCTCCCGACGGCAAGCTGGTGGCCTCAGGCTCCGTTGATTACACAATCAAGCTGTGGGATCTAGCTACTGGCACTCTGCGGCAGACGCTTGAAGGCCATTCCAGTTCAGTTCGGGCAGTGGCGTTCTCTCCCAAGGGCAAGCTGGTGGCCTCAGGCTCCGATGACAAGACAGTTAAGCTATGGGATCTAGCTACTGGCACTCTACGGCAGACGCTTGAAGGCCATTCAGGTTCAGTTTTCGCAGTGGCGTTCTCTCCCGACGGCAAGCTGGTGGCCTCAGGCTCCGATGACAAGACAGTTAAGCTATGGGATCTAGCTACTGGCACTCTACGGCAGACGCTTGAAGACCATTCTGGTCCGGTTCAGACAGTGGCGTTCTCTCCTGATGGCAAGCTAACAGCCTCAGGCTCCTATGACAAGACAGTTAAGCTATGGGATCTAGCTACTGGCACTCTACGGCAGATGCTTGAAGACCATTCAGGTTCAGTTTTCGCAGTGGCGTTCTCTCCCAACGGGAAGCTGGTGGCCTCAGGCTCCGTTGATTGCACGATCAAGCTGTGGGATTCAGCTACTGGCACTCTACGGCAGACGCTCAAAGGCTATTCTAGTTTGGTTCAGGCAGTGGCGTTCTCTCCTAACGGCAAGCTGGTGGCCTCAGGCTCCGTTGATTACACAATCAAGCTGTGGGATCTAGCTACTGGCACTCTGCGGCAGACGCTTGAAGGCCATTCCAGTTCAGTTCGGGCAGTGGCGTTCTCTCCCGACGGCAAGCTGGTGGCCTCAGGCTCCGTCGATTACACGATCAAGCTGTGGGATCCAGCTACTGGCACTCTGCGGCAGACGCTTGAAGGCCATTCTGGGCCAGTTCTGGCAGTGGCGTTCTCTCCTGATGGCAAGCTAACAGCCTCAGGCTCCTATGACAAGACGGTCAAGCTATGGGATCCGGCTACTGGCACTCTACGGCAGGCGCTTGAAGACCATTCTGGTCCGGTTCAGACAGTGGCGTTCTCTCCTGATGGCAAGCTAACAGCCTCAGGCTCCTATGACAAGACGGTCAAGCTATGGGATCCGGCTACTGGCACTCTACGGCAGACGCTTGAAGGTCATTCTGATTTAATTCAGACAGTGGCGTTCTCTCCTAACAGCAAGCTGGTGGCATCAGGCTCCTATGACAAGACGGTCAAGCTATGGGATCTAGCTACTGGCACTCTGCGGCAGACGTTTGAAGGCCATTCTGATTTAGTTCGGGTAGTGGCGTTCTCTCCTGATGGCAAGCTAACAGCCTCAGGCTCCTATGACAAGACGGTCAAGCTATGGGATCTAGCTACTGGCACTCTGCGGCAGACGCTTGAAGGCCATTCCAGTTCAGTTCGGGCAGTGGTGTTCTCTCCCAAGGGCAAGCTGGTGGCCTCAGGCTCTTATGACAAGACGGTCAAGCTATGGGATCCGGCTACTGGCACTCTACGGCAGACGCTTGAAGGCCATTCTGGCCCAGTTCAGACAGTGGTGTTCTCCCCTAACGGCAAGCTGTTGGTCTCAGGCTCCTATGACAAGACGGTCAAGCTATGGGATCTATCTACTGGCACTCTACGGCAGACGCTTGAAGACCATTCTGGTCTGGTTCGGGTAGTGGCGTTCTCCCCCGACGGCAAATTTCTGGAGACTAATCAAGGACGACTTAATACTGAGTCTCATCATGTTCGCAGTCTATCGCAAACACCAAGCAGTCTTCATAAAAATATACTAGTGACGAATGAATGGCTGACCCGCAATGATTTTAATGCCATTTGGTTGCCTGTTGAGTATCGAGCAACTTCTTCCGCCGTGTACGAGAGCATACTTGTTATGGGACATGCTTCAGGTCGAGTTACATTTCTGAAGTTGATCTAATGGTGTTTCATTCATGATGTAACTACTCTAATATTTTCAAATATCTTTTTTAAAAGAAGGGCCTAGGAGGACTCGGGCTCTAATACTGTATGTAGTTAAGTTGCCACTGGACTTTTCTGTTGCATTTGTTACAATTTGTCGTCGTAGTTGTCAAAGTGGGTCATACAGGTATCATACAAGAATCTTGGTCATATTACCGTTCAGTACCAGTTACACCAGATGTGGTTAGACGATAGCTAACTTTTTACAGACTAGCTCGTTTCACTGTTGTTTGAAATAGAGATTTGAAAAGAATTCGAATGAGTTCCTGAGGGAAACCGATTTTGCAACGCACTGTAACTGATGGTAATTAGACGAACACCTGCAAAAGAGACGAACTGTACTCCGTAGGAATAATGCGGAGAGCTGTACGGTCAGAATAGAAGGAACTCAAAGACCGTGATCGAGGAGGTGTGCCGAACGGGAGCTAAAAACGGCCTGATGGCAGTACCCGAAGGCGGTCCGCAGACGCCGGAAAACTCTGCACGGAATGAGGCCATCTCAATAGCCCCAGGTCGGAGACAGAACCACCCAGCAGAAACCCTACAAGCCCTAGTGGTTGAATTTCCCTCATTGGACAATGGCAAAAGAATTACATACCAGATGGTTGCGAGCCTTGTTAGCAGCCTAAAGAAAGTCATCACCCAACAGACCAACATAATCGAGCTAGCAAGGGCAGAAGTCCGTGAAATCAAAACAGAACAAATCATCCTGAGAGAATAGAATGTGAAATTATAGGAAGAGATTCAGGCGCTACGCACCTAGATTGAGAACCAGGCAACTACAATCCTACCCCTAAACCCATGGGCTGAAGTAGCCTCCACAATCCCATCAACGATCAATATACTTCCACAACCCTAGAAAGAACTGAACTGCGTCCGGATCAGTACTGCACAGCCAGAGGCAACGGATAACAATGGAAATAATAATGACAACTTCACAAGGTTCCTGCCTACTAATACTGCCAACAAACATATCAGGACCGCCTTATCAAACACAGAATCCACCAAAGATGTACAGGTAGCAGATGTTGGCACTACTAAAACAGGCTATATAATTAGATTCAGAGATGCTCAGTCGGCCGAAACAGCCCAGAACAACACCGCATGGCTGGAAGAATTGGGGAACGAAACCAGGCTGGTCAAACCCCGATTCGGCATTGTGGTTCACCGAGTGCCAACGGAGGACTTTGACTTGGAGAAGGAAAAGAGAGAAGGGATTGAGAAGATCATGGAAGAGAATGACCTGGCCGAGAAAGGATTTAAAATCGAGGATATTGCATGGCTCAAGAAGAAGGATAGACCGCTGGGAAAGGCCACATCAATGGGTATCTGGCTGAATACACTAGAGGCCGCAGAATCAATTATTAATAATGGCCTCCTAGTTGGACAAAGATACATTGGAAGTGTGGAACCCTACAAAGTTAAACTAAAGAGATGCTACCACTGCCAGAAGTTTGGCTATCTAGCCTGGTCATGCAAAGAACAGGTAAAATGCAGCCACTGCAGCGGCCAGCATGATCAACGTAACTGCCCTCCAGGCATAAGGCTAAGGTGTGCAGACTGCAATAGGGAATATCCTACCGGACATAAGAGGTGCCAAGCACCTCTTAACCTGAACTCCTCCCAATAATGTCATCAATACTACGTTTATTACAGCTGAACGTCTAGAAATCCAGGGCAGGAATGGAAGCCCTCATTAATGACCACCAGAGCCAGAACCTTAATCTACTTTTGATCCAAGAACCATCAGTTACTACATACCGCACCCATGTGAACCACAGTGCTTGGCAGCTATACCAACCAACATACCCAAATACTGACGAATCCACCCGATACCGCAGCCTAATTTATGTAAATAAAAGAATTTCGACCTCCTCCCATTACCAAATCCAGTGCAATCACCCAGATCTGGTAGCAATCAAAATATGGACTGCGGAGATACAGTTCCTTATCTTCTTAGTGTACATCCTACCACTGGATGCGTACCAAGCCACTAGCACGACCGCTGCTGAACCGATACTAGCGGAGATTAAAAACACCATTGAAAAGTATACCAAGGAGCCCAATAAGACCACAAGGCTTATTCTAGCTGGAGACTTCAATCGACATCACCCGGCATGGAGCCACCGCCCCGTTAGCCATGTTTTTACATCTCAAGCGGAAGAGTTAATAAACTTCTTCCAGACATACAAACTCCAATAGTGCCTACCCCCAGGCACGCCAACATACTGGTCATTAAGCCTCCTAGGGAAGGCATCAGTCCTTGATCTGACGCTCACCAATGACCCTGCAAAACTTATGAAATGCCAACTCTATTGGGACAACTATGGTTCAGACCATTGCAGAACATACTCCGAATGGGACCTACAACTAGAACGCAATAAAAACCCAAAACCAAAGAGAGCATATGACAGAGCGGATTGGGATAAAATTGGCTCAGCCTTGCTGGAACTACTTGGTCAAGGACCTGAGATAAGCTCTGCCGCAGACCTCGACTATGAAGTTAACCGACTAGTTGAAGCAACAATGACAGTCCTTGATCAACAGGTGTCTCTACAGAAGCTATCCCCCTACTCGAAACGATGGTTCACCCCAGAGCTCAAATCCCAACAGGTTATAGTAAACCAAGTTCGTAGGAGATGGCAGAGCAGCTGTGCTACCCTAGGCAGCAGCCACCTAATTACCACATCCCTCTTCAACGACATGTGTCATAAACGACGAGAATGGACTAGAACCATCAAGAAGGTCAAAGCCGCCCATTAGAAGAAGTTCCTAGACAAGGCCCAAGAAGGCCACCTCTAGAAAGTAGCAACATACATGCGCCCACGAGACCCCTATACAAATATCCCGCCACTAAAAGTGGGATCCAAAGAAATCACCGAAAACAACGCAAAGGCCAAAGTGCTCCTAGAAACCTTCTTCCCGAAGATGGCAGACCCAGAAATAGAAGACCCAGTACTACCCTTAGAGGGAATACCATGGTACCCAATCACCGAACTGGAGGTACATCGGTCACTCAAAGCCGCTAAGGGAACAATGGCCCCGGGGGAGGATGGGATCATAACCCTTGTCTGGAAACATCTATGGCCATATCTCTAGAAGATGATCACGTACATCTTTGCAAGATTAGTAGAATTAGGCCACTATCCTCACCAGTGGAAGCAAGCGAGAATCATAGTGCTGAGGAAACCCGGGAAGCCAGACTATGGTGTACCAGAAGCATACTGACCTATTTCTCTACTGAATACCCTAGGGAAGATACTAGAAGCTGTCATGGCTTGCAGACTGTCATTCTGGGCTGAGTCCTATAAACTACTTCCAGACACCCAGTTTAGAGGCCGGCCAGGACGAAACACAGAACAAGCGCTCCTAACCCTAGCAAACGCGATTGATCGCGCATGGCTACGGTCAAAGGTGATCACGCTGGTGGCATTTAATCTCACAGGAGCATTCAATGGAGTGAATAATTCAAGCCTTGACGCCTGCCTACAGGCCAAAGGCATCCCAACCATAGCCAGGCGCTGGATCCGGAGCTTCATAGAGAATAGGTACGCCGGCATCTCCTTCGATGATTTTCAGACGGAGATCTCCCCGCTCGAGCATGCTGGTCTAGCACAGGGATCCCCGCTGTCCCCAATCTTATTTGGATTTTTTAACTCTGACCTGGTCGACCAGCCAGTCGACCACCATGGCGGCGCGTCAGCATTTATTGACGACTATTTTTGATGGCGAGCCGGTCAGTCTGCAGAAGATAATATTAGAAAGATTCAGGAAGAGGATATCCCTCGTATCAAGGCATGGGCCCGACGAACGGGATCCTCGTTTAATGTGAAGAAAACAGAACTAATCCATCTAATAAGGTCCAAAAGACAGCACAGGGTAGGACAGATCACAATAAATGGGACGGTAATCAAGCCAAGCGATACAGTAAAGCTTCTAGGCGTGATCTTTGACAAGGAGATATGGTGGAAGGAACATGTGCAGTAAGCAGTCAAGCGAGCAACCCAGGTGAATATCGCCCTGGGGGGACTGAGACACCTTCATCCAGAGCAGATGAGACAAATCTACCAAGCATGCGTGACACCAATCGTGGATTATGCATCCACCGTCTGGCACAACCCACTAAAGGATAAGATACACCTGAGAACGCTGGGAACTGTGCAACGAACCACCCTTATTTGTATTCTCTCTGCCTTCAAGACAGCGTCCACGGCAGCCCTAGAGGTGGAAGCCTATGTGCTTCCAACCAATTTACGACTTAAACAACGTGCCTAAATAGTGGCTGCCCGCCTCAGCACCCTTCCAGAGGATCACCTAGGCCATACAGTAGTGACCCGAGCAGCAACGCGGAGCAACCATATAGGAAGTGGACCTCGATTTCCTCTAGCAGAGACCCTGCGGACAATGAACCTCACTTGACTCCAGGCTCTGGAGATAATTAATCTAACACCCCCACCACCATGGCAGACATCAGCATTTATAGAAATTGACATTGAAGCAGACCACGACAAAGCTAAAGAGAAAGCATCTGCTAGACAAAAAGCAGCCGGTATCACAGTCTTCTCGGATGCATCAGGCCAACAGAATGTTCTAGGAGCTGCAGCGGTAGCCCTAGATCAGAACCAGCATATTATCCAACACCGGAAAGTCTGCATTAGCTCTATGGAATACTGGTCAGTATATGCAGCTGAGCTCATAGCAATATACTATGCTATTAGCCTTGTCCTTAAGATCGCGTTAGAAAACTGGGACACCACAGCAAGCCAACAAGAACCAGCAACTATCCTCAGTGATAGCATGTCAGTATTATAGGTTATCTCAAATGCATGGAACAAGTTGGGCCAGAGGATTATTTAAGCGGTTCGGTAATCAGCTCGGGAGTTAAAAGTACGGGGAATTCCGCTCCGACTCCAATAGGTACCAGGACACTGTGGTGACCCGGGAAACGAGGCGGCCGATCGACTAGCTAAAGAAGCAGTTGGCCTAGACAAAGAACATCCCTTCCAACATCTTCTCTCATGAGAAAAAGGTTTTATCCGCAACCAAATCCAAGAAGAATGGGAACGGGGATGGAAGACGTCCAAGAACGGTAGCCACCTTTGGCGGATAGATAGAAATCTACCCGCAGTTCGTACCCAGAGAATGTATGGCTCGCTACCACGCAATCGAGCCTACCTGCTCACCCAACTCCAAACCGGCCACTTATAGCTAGCAACACATAGCAAACTACATAGCCATAGAGAGGATGACAAGTGTGAATGTGGAGCGATAGAAATAGTGGTTCACGTCCTAATTCACTATCCCAAATTGAAGACCATACGACAAGAACTACGGAAGAAGATCGGGACTGCATTTAACAATATCTCGGACATGCTGGGAGGAGGATCTCAAGGTAAGCAAGGTAAGGAGGGTGATATGCAAGGCGGTAGCATCTTAGGTGTAGTACTTGACTTTGCAGAGGCATCACAGAGATTTTAAAGCCGGGCGCCGTAGGGCCGCTGACAGAGTACCAGGCATGTTGGCCACCATAGGCCATGACGAGGCTCTAAATTCGTCTTTATGTAATGGATTGATGTACATAGACATAGATAAGGATTAGATAGTGGTATCCTGCATATCGCTTCGGCGAGGGGTCAGGGTATGAATTCACACACACACACACACTCTGTAACATAATCTCTTTTCCTTTCTCTTGACAGTGAGTACAAATTCGAAGGACATCTTGATATGCAAATCTTCGCGCCTTGTCCTCTTTTTTGTAATAAAATTTGTCTAGGTCGATATTCTCAAAGTGTTCATAGTAGGGGCTCCATCTCTGTCGGGCACCAGTCCGAGATTTCCTCCCCCAGGTCTTCTTCATAATATTAGGGATTTGAGCTGATACATTTGAAGCTGATTCAGAGGGTGTGACAGTCTCTTGAGAGGTTGAAGGAGTAGAAGATCTCTCTCGAATAGGATGGTGAGTCTCAGGAATTGGAGAGGTAGAGCGGCTACGAGCAATGCGTCGATGAGGATTATCCAATAAGGCATAATTCTAGCGGATTACAGTTCAACGAGATCGAGGAGTGTCATCGATCATGTCATCAATTTGTGCTTATATCTAAAAATATTAGTTTTTTTTTTCTCCTGAGATGGTGACCTGACTTGCCTTATCCCTCGACGTGTATTTAATTTAATACAATGATATCTGCCTGTAAGTATCTTGTTGGGAATATCACCTCACATCACATATCACCTTTGCCAGCTATTTACATCCATACTAGATCATCTAGTATGCGCGCAGCTTTTTGGTCTAGTTGGTCAAAAGCCCAACATATCTCAATAAATATTGAAAGCTCAAGGATTAATTCATATATGCCTTGTTGAATCAAGACGTTCTGGAATTATGGTAATAGGAAAGGTTGAAGAACACGCGGTTAATAAGACGCGTTTAGAGATATCTTGTGCTTGAAGGAGGAAAACTGACTCTGTTGTGTGTGTCTCTAGGAACCTAGGTTCCTAGGAGCGGAGATATCTAGCTACCAGCGCGCTAACTACATCAGGTAGGCGGTGCTGACTATCTAAGGGCAGGATCCCAACACAACCCCCCCAGCAAACCGCTAGGGCACGTAGAGAAGCAGAAACTTAGGTTTAATTATTCACATGTCTCTATGCTCATGTTTCTCGAATTCAAGCTCTGCCGCTCCTTTTTATATAAATTGGGTGGTGATACAGCCACACCCCAGTTGGATCCATACACACCCCCTTATGTTCGAGCCACACCCCGTTGGCTCGATCAGGCCACACCCCCCCCCTAAAAGCGGTTTAGAGCAATTTTGATTAGACCGTCCCAGTGAATTCTGTTTTGATTCATCATTTATCCCCTACTACTATTTTAATGATTCTAATAATACACTGTTCCACCGAGCCAGAGCCGTTGCTTAGCATATCTCTAAGCCCTAATATCCTGGCAATTCGTTCTCATCGCCAAGCCACCGCGCTGACTGGCCACGTCCACGTCGCTGGCTCCGTCTGACTGGACCCTCTGAGGCAATTTGCGAAGCTGTTGCGGTTGCATCCTGCGAGACCATTCCTCTACTAGCAGTCCGACTGTTGGCCACAATGCTCTCTGCCCTAGCTTGACTTGAATATCCTCCTCGTCCCCCACGACCCCTGCCCCTGCGGCCTCGACTTCCAGTATTAAGATTCCCCTGCGCAATGACATGCTCGAATGCTGATAGCTCTCTCCGTGTTGAAGAATCCTGTATTGATATAGCCTGAGAGGCTATTAGATGGTTGATTGAGCCTCTGGGGCGACCACGACCTTGGACCACCGCCAGGTTGAGCACTATTGTATGGGGATCAATTGGAGGCAACTCTTTGGAAGAGTATAACCGCCAGTGCTGGTAGAAATGATATAGCTGTAGTGGCTCCTCACTATCGATATAGTGCTTAATTATATGAATACAAGGAATGCCAGTGGTCCGTTTCGTGATTCCAGAACACTCTGGGTTAAATGGCTTCTTTGTCGGGCCAAGAAAGTCATTCTTCATTTTAAGAACCTTCCCAAGCGCAAAACTTGATACTCTACCGCGTACAATGCGAAAGAGACTTTGACGGAAGCGAAATTGATACCGTACCTTATCATCCTCATAAGTCTGCTTGATTATAACATGTTAACGGGTCACAGTACGGTCAAATGATTCAAATGTCTCCAGGAGATCGTTTGTAGAGACTTGAAGGTCACGTTTTAGTGTCCAGTGGGCTGATTCATTTTGGGATGTGATTAGCTGGCCAAAATGCTTGACGTCTAAGAGATGGCAATGAAGGAATCGTTGAGTAATATCATCATTAAGCCACTCTGAATTAATGTAGTCCATGACTTCCTGCCAGATATCACTGCTGTATTCAGCTTTAAAGGCATTCACCGCTTCGTCCTTCTCCTCCTTAGTCTTCGCGTACACAATCTTGTTGAATGACCCGAAAAAGTTCCTCCACTTTGACTCAATATGAGTCTTGTACTGTGTGACATCCTTCTTTGCGGCGGCTGGATCTCCAGAATAGATTATATGAAGCACTTCATTTGTAAGAATAGGACGGACATGTGTAAGAATATTCTTTTCAATATGCCAAAGACAGATGATATTATTTGACATTGGAAAAACAGTGGGGATTGCATTCATTAAGGCCATATCTTTATCAGTCAGGATACAGATTGGCAACGGGAGATTTGCTTGAGCATAGACCTCAGCTAAGCATTCCAAGATGAACTTGTAGCTCTCTTCCTTTTCATCTAACATAAAGCTAAATCCTGCATAAAACGTCTTATTGCATGCTGTACAACCCACAATATCCAAGAGCGGTATCTTATATTGGTTTGTTTTGTAGGTACAATCCATAAATAGAACGTTAGGATTTTGGCAGAGCATCTCGAGTGAAGTTTTATGCATATAGAATATAGCAAGTAGTATATTTGTATCACTTGTTCCATAGTTGATTATCCAATCACCATTATCTGGAACAACACTAATAAGGGCCTGGACTGGTGTCTTGCCATCAAGGAAATCATCTCGCAGTTTCCTTTTCTTATTGTAGATATCTCTTGGCTTGATAATCGATTCTGGATTATCTTTATAGAGGGTTGATAAGATTTGATTCGTTGACATTTTTAAATCCAAATAAGACTTAATTTGAGTCTCCTTAGATTCTATCTCTTCATGGCGTAACAAAGCAAGTGTTGATCCAGTTGCTAAATGGTAATTATGCCTCGGATCTGTAAGATCAAGACACCAGCAATCTGCGTGCTTGTCATGGCGCAAGATAAGTCTAAATGGGCATCCTATACACTGTGTGCTTATCTCTCTGACACGTGTCTTTTCGTTGGTACGCTCACGATATACTCCTCCGCGGCTGTACTGAAGGTAAACTCGGTGAATAGGGCCACCTTCTTTTGGCATTTTGGATCTCTTTGTGATCAATGCATATTCATAAGTCTTGGTAAAGCTATTAAGGAATTTCATAGCAGCATCCTGGGTCTTGAAGGTCTGGTCAGTTGAAGGAGCAGGGATTCGAGTATGTGGTTCGCAAGGCTCTTTGGGAGGTGATGGCTCAGGTAATGGCTCAACACCATCCTCTGAGCTTTCGTAATCGACGAGACGCGATGTCATGGTGAATAGCTATATTGATATAGCTGGATGTCTCTACTCAGTAGCAGAAGAGAAGAATGAGGCCACTTCTATTATGTGCGCTCAAGCTAGTCCCAATACGGCACCGCCGTCCCAAACGGGTAATCGCATGTTACTAGGGAATTCCGTGAGGCTATTCCTGTCAATAGGTCCTAATCCTAAGCTGCTAGAAATGGGCATACAAGAATCAGGATTGCTAGTAAATGTAGCAGTGTAACAGCACAACAGGGTTGCCGTGACGAGTCACGCCAGCTAAATTGACATATACATTTTGTCATTTCCCAGCTCTCTATCTCTCCATTCCAGCTCTGTAATAGGTACGACTCAAAGACAGGGAATCAGAAGTAAACTGGGTGAAAGTTTAATTCACTCTAATAAGACGGGTTAGACGACCTATGGAGAAGAAAAGAAAAGCAGGATCACCATAGTCCTCATAAGACTGAACTGAAGGACAAATTCTGCATAGAAACAATGGAAATTTCCAACAAAGTTTCATATTGAGAAATTTCAAAAGGAATGTAACAAATCAAAGAGCAAAGCAGACAATGACTGGCTTTACTCAATAATGTGCCTTTTGCTGGAATCCTTATCTATATACCCTGACCCTAAGCCCTAAGCCCTGACACTAGTCCATTCTCCATCTCAAAAGTCAGAACCCCGCGAGGGTCGAGGGCGCGTTTTGAGTCACATGATCATTGCTTTAAACCGCTTTTAGGGGGGGTGTGGCTCGAACATAAGGGGGTGTGTATGGATCCAACTGGGGTGTGGCTGTATCACCACCCAATTTATATAAAAAGGAGCGGCAGAGCTTGAATTCGAGAAACATGAGCATAGAGACATGTGAATAATTAAACCTAAGTTTCTGCTTCTCTACGTGCCCAGAAGTTGCTCTTTGAATATGGCGTGGCATGATGCAATAATTATTGATTAGAAAAGTTCGCGGTTGCTTAGCTTCCCTCCGAGAATCTCTTTCTTTCACCCTGCTTCCACGGAGTCTTGAACCAAGAGACTAAATCCTTTGAATTATTAATTCTCCGTCTTGAGAAGGCTGAAGCATGTCATGTGAAAAAATTGGCACTAAACTGTCAGGGTACTTCACTCTACAAAAAGCAACGAAAGCACGACCATTTCCTAATTAGGAAAGAATGCAGTATCCCCGGGACGTTTAGCAGCCTTCGAATCCCTGCATAGTGCCATACACCCCTACGTTGGCTCGCAAACTAAGTAAGTGCTAGTAACGCGCAAGGCACAACTCATCTATTATCCGCAGGGTTAGTTATCTTTTCAATTGGCTATTTTCATATCGGCGTGTCTAGCTTAGAAACCAGTGTGTTAGATTCGGCCCCCCCTCTTTTGTACTGTCTGCGCCGCATTTTCCCGCTTGTTCTTAAGCTTAAGAGCTGTACCTCAGTCATGATTAAATAAAAGACCGAAGTCGAAGTATTTCTAACATTGAACCTCGAGTAAACGGACCCGCGAAAAAAAATGAGTCAACTAGTTTCTTCGTTTTTATCATCTTTAGGCAATATCTTGCCTTTTCAACTCGACACTACTCCATCGAAATGTCCATACATTGTTCACCAAGGCAAAGAAGAGGAATATATATGTGGTGTGATGAGTCGGTCTGGACCGCTGTGTGCTAAACATAGAAAGCGCAAATTACAGGTGCATGATAGCAATGAAGAAGCAGAGGAGGAGGAGCAGAATGATGACTCCTTCATGTCTGATCTCTTTTCTCGTCTGGGATTTTATACACATAGTACACGCGAATCTACATCAGAAGCGGATACACCGATACGCCCGACTACTGAACGCAGTAACAATCAAGGACGCCGTACATGCGAATCTACACCAGTAACAGATACACCGACACGTCCGAGAACTGCTCGCAATAAGCCTAGTTTGCCTTCAGCAACGGAAACACCGAGACGCCCGAAAAATGCACGCAATAAACGCAATTCTACTTCAGCAACAGATACACCGACACCTCCGAGAACTGCACGCGCTAAACGCAATTCTACTTCAGCGACAGATACAACAATTACTGAACCCAATAGTACTCCGAGACGTACACGAAAACCTACCCCCAAAGCTACGCCTAAATCAGCTTCTACCCGTAACCCGCGCAGTCCTCTCGCTGGAGCTGACTCTACACCTCTTCCTTCAACCGGACCTAGTAGTGATGGTATTGAAGAGCTCACTGACCGGCTCAAGGACTTGAATGCTGGAGATGAAGATGACATGGATCTTGATTTATCAGACGCCGATTCTGTAATCGCTACCCAGAGTGTTGTCAGTTACGGTCCTCGTGACCCACAACACCGAGACTATGATAAATACCTGCCTGATGGCCTTCATGGTTCATTGTATTATGACATTGTTATCAAACATCTATCGACGAAGCTATACAAGAAAGATGGGCCAGGCTATGTTTATATCCTTCGAGTGACGCCAGTGACTCCAGACAAGGATGGTGCAGAATCAACAGACAACAAGAAAATCATCCTCAAAGTTGGAAGTTGCGGAAGCATACCGGAACGGCTCAAAACGCTGTCTGAAAAATGCAAACACTATGAATACGAGATTATCAGGGACTGGCCGGAAATAGGCCTAATAGACTTGTCATACAAGGCTGAGAAACTGGCTCATGCAACATTGAAGCACCGGTCTTATCAGTCTAATTGTTTATGCGACAAGAGACACACAGAGTTCTTCAGAGTATGCCCTGAAGAAGTGAAGGACGTATATAAGTGCGTTAAGCATTGGGCTCATATCATGAATACATACAAGGATGAACTATGGCGTAATGCATCAAACAGAACACGTTCCTGATCTCGTTGATTTACAAGATATGCTGCTGCTCACGGAGCGGCGTGTGGCATGCTGAGCAACAAGCATCACTACCTTTTATTTTTAGTCCTTGCAAGTTCTTACATTCTGTCGAACATTCTAATATAGTATCTATACTTTGTCTTAGGTCGCATATTACTTATTTGGTTGCTGTCAACAAGTAGTTTTCCGGCTGTCACTTTGTAGTATGAAATGACACCGATTGCTATTCTGTTAACAAGGAGAATAATACGCTGTTGGCTTTTAATTCTTATCACGTTGCATTTTTGATCTATAATACCTATTGACTCTGTGTTATAGATCTCATCTCCCTCTAGAGTACCAAGGTATCTATGTAAGTCGAAGGACATTAGCACTGCTTTGGGAACTACGATTAGAGGACTAAGTCAAAGTACCTAAAAGATCTTGAGCAGACAGACCTCTCTCCTAAGAGAGAGTTAGTCAATTGTTGATTGTTCTTCGCGCTGATAGACCTGTCCAACAAAATCTTAGGAAAACATTGAGCACCCGGCTTTCACGGAATACGAAAGCAATGCGCAATTAATACAAAAGTCAACTGCAAAATTCGAGACTCTCCTTCATCCAAAACCGCCGACAAGGCTCCCCCGGTCTCGACATTACCTTGAGAACAGCATATCCAAGCCTGTCTTGATTATAATTAATCAGATATATCTAGGTACATATAACTCATGGTTTACGCTGTATACATTGTAGAGTGATATCACCACCCGAGAGGCGCAAGAATGGGCACCATATCCTCAGCTTCGTCGTTGTGATATTTCCAACCAGATGCAAGTTATTCCACCAGACACAACTAGACCTATCAGTATTCATGCATGTGGCATCTTGGTAACTATATTCAGCCGGATCGTCAAGAACGCGAGTCATATACTGGAACGAGTCGTAAAACACGACAGTTGCCTACACGGAGTCAGGTCGACTAGAAATAAGAAGTATTGATATACTTACATCTTTATGCTCATCTCTGAATTGAAATAACATGCTATTCAGACCCTCATTGTACGCTGTCGCCATCTCGGCATGACGCTGGAATTGTTCCGGCAAATCGTTCTCTTCATGCACCTGTGGACTGCGGGTTGATGGTGGACAGTTCACAAAGAGGAACTTTCGAATTCCGTTGGAATAAATTTGTTCGATGAGTGATCGATATCTATTCATCAGTCTGGATACAAACACAGAAGGATCGTCGTTATGCGCGAAACCGTAATATACACTTCCATCATCAGTAATCTAGGAATAAGAACTGTGAAAAGATGACTTACTCGTTGACCCCAATCCAGAACGAAGCGACTGTATTATCCGCCGTCCAAGGCGCAGATGCTGGCCTCGAAGCATAATATAATTGAAAGGCGTCTATTTGGGAAGTCATATCACCGAATCCCCAGGTAGCTAGTGAATTATCAATTGTTGCACCGGCGATGGCTAGACTGTATGTTAGGATTAAAGTAGAGTTATATTGTGTGGCCAAGTATTAGAAGTCATCTCCGTCGACTCTCGAATAAAAGTAGTGGCATACGGGGAGTAGTATTTCCCATCGGATTTGATGCCGAGGGTTGTGTAGAGCTGATATTGAAACCCTGTCGCGGACCAGGAATCACCACTAAGTAGTCAGTGTCATTATCAAGTAGATGTTAGGTATAACCTGAGACTTACAAGGCAAACCAATACTGACGGGTTCTTTGCTGACAAGACGGAGGGATGGTCGTTTGCATGATTGGCCTGCTTTGTATCAATTTGATCATTTGAGAAAACCGAAATAGAATGATTTGCGAGCATCAAAAGCACATGTTAGAGACCAGGGATTATATAGTCTGATAGAGCGGTGTGACATCCTCAGACACCAAGCAAGGAGGACAACACCAACTCGGCATGACCGTTTGTGACAAGCAAATGAATCAATTGATGGAGGCAGTAATTATGAATACAGATGTCTAATTAATCACTAATACATTACAGTAGTAAATCATCATGGCTTATATCCCCCATCATCCTCCGGTGAAGGATCATGCATAGTAATTGTCACATCAACCTGCTTCTGAATGCCAATAGGTCCATTCCGCAAGTCCTGACTACTTTCACTCGACTTGACGGCGTCGATACTGTTACGACTTTCAAGTATGTGGTGGGCGCTAGCCCCATCGTCGCCGTTATTCCTGCTGGAAAGCATACTTCGCAGACGCGAGTCGGTTCTCCGATGTTGACTATTATTATGTGCTGTAACTGTAGCGGTCCCTCGTCGAGTCCCAGTGAAGGCTGCACCCAATTCGTATTCCAGTGCCGCAGCCAAGATCGAGCACTCGTGCATTGGAAGGATGAGGAGCATATAGCAACCCATCGCCTATCCTGGCTTCAGTGATGACTTTGTGTAGCAAGTCAAGGCGATCCTGTTCTTGCTCGTCGCACGGCCACATATAGATTCCTCTGCGATATCCGTGGTATGTTCGTCCATTCTCTGTATGCGGCGGGTGTTTTTCAGGAAGACTTTTCTCGTGTCATGTTGTTAGCAATCGGCAAAAACTCTAAATAACAATTTCGATAGCGGGGTTATGTACACATAGTTGCAAGAGCGACTCGATATTTTATCCTCCATTACAGACGAGCTTCCAGTGGAGAAATTCATGCACAATGAGGCGAGAAAAAGTGATGTTCAAGATCGTCTAGGATTATTCGTCCGAAATAAGACCAATGAGAAAGCTGGCTTATTATACGAATGGTGCATAACAGAATGCGAGCTACCTGTGCCTTGCATGTAACCAAGTGAAAATAATAGGCTGTGGGAAGTATCGGCATTTCGTTGATTTAATTACCGGAGAATATTGATACATTGCACATCCAAACAAAGAACCAAATTTGAATCTGGTCCATCAGTCATTATTTATCAATCATGTACTCCGTACGATGTACTCAAGGAAGCGGGTAGGCAGACATGAGTTAGATTGGATCCAACGTTCTTTGCTCCGATTTTTTTGTTTGGAGTTTACTCCGTATATCTTGACATCGTGCAGCGACTATTAGAGAAGGGAGCGATGGCTGCGCAATCATAGGCTAGCAGAGGTGTATCATGCCTAGATTGAGAAGCAATGCATGCAATAGGCGCTATTAAAATAGCCAATAAACACTATCTCAGCTCTGGAGTGTGAAGAAGTCAATCAATACTACTTGAGCTTCTTTCAGTGAATTTCAAGTGCCACAGTGTCTCTGAAGCGTTTTATCAAACATGTTCAATCGAAAGGCCTACGGCGAGTAGGGCTCCACAGCTCGCCGAGCCCGAGCTGGCCGCGAGCGAATCATCCGCTCTGTTGCGGTGTCAAGAGAATGCTGCCTACGACGCTGAAAGTCTGTTTCTGGGGATGGCGAGAAGCCGGCATCTCGGCCAGTATTGTCACGTAAAGCCGTGGCGGACGACTTTGAGGCCGAATCCTTGAGAGCGGTAGAGTATTGAACTTGGAGTGCACCCTCCGTCCGGTCGGGGAAGTGCTTTTTTATTTGCGACCATGACAGATTTTCCTCTTCTCTCAGCCGCTTCAAGCGAGCATTTTCTTCCTCAGTCCACTTCTTCCTGTGCTTGTGGTTTCTTCCAGAGCCTGCCGCTCGCGTGTTCAAGTGATGATCCCGTTGTTTGGACCTTGGCTTTCCAGTGGTCTCATCCTCTAAGGACTTGTGAGATTTCCATTCCCGTGTGCTATTCATCTCATTTTGATCGTGATCTTGGTCAAGCTTGTGGTCAGCTTCCCGTTGAGAATGATCCGAGTTCTCTCTTTCTTCCGTCCACGAGAAGGAATACAGAATCTCTGACGGATAGATGTCCCAGCTGAATAATCCTCGCGAAACAGTACTCAAGTCTGGAAGTGACAGCCTTGCTAATTTGGACCTGATTTCTGGTTTCAACTGAACACTTTTCGTGACGGGCAGCTGCTTTCGTCGTTTCGTGGGACGGTCTGGGTCGTCCTGTGTTAGGTCAAGGTAATCCTCATCATCCGAGTCGTCGGATACATCGCTTTCATCCCACGAAGCTGTTCGATACGTCGACGTCCTAGGATGCGCGCGATATCGGCGTTTGGCCGATCTATGTGTGCGTGGCTTGGGAGGCTGTCCTGCAGGTATAACCACCGCAACTGTATTATTTTCACGTGGACGAGTTCGTTTTTGTTCAACAGACGCCGGTGGTGACGGGTCTTGAAGACAGATGGAGGGTGGGTCTTTGGTCGAATAACCACCCTCGCAGTGTAATCATAAAAATTCCAGTCACCGGCATCGTCGTCTTCCCTCCTGAGATAATGACTAAAGGATCGTTCATAGTAATGGAATTATCTACACATCCTTAGGCGCAGTCAAGAAATGAGAACAAAGCGTAGGAAGGAGGGGCGGGTTCACATTCTCACTTGGCGCGGTGCGGGGGCAAACTCTTTTAGATGGCTGTTCTGAATCGTACTCCGGCGTGCTCCGTCTCTTATTGAACTCTTGGCTGCTGCCACCGCCAGTGGATTGCAACGCAGGTGCGGTGGCCGTTTCTGCTTCGGTTATATGAGCACCCGAAAGGTGAGTCTGTTGATCAAGACGATCGTACGAGGGAAGAGCTCCAAGTCTGGTACTCTGTTGTCCAGGCTGAGGATCGGGAGTGCTTGCAAAGTGGTCCCGTATAGAGTCTGATTCTTGTGATAGCTCATCGAAGGACACAAAACCACTATCACCACTATCTTGCCAGTCGTGTGTTAATGCACAGGGCGTCTCGTCACCGAGAATTGCCGGGTCGATTGGAAGAATTGTTTCCGGTCTGGTGGGATGTAATATAGGCCCATAATCAGTTACGAAGGGCGGCGTGATTTCATTATTTGTGTAGTCATCGAAAACAGAGAGCCAGCTGGTGGAAGGATCAGTGTCATGCCGGTCAGGATGGAGCGGTAACCGAGGCGGTGACGGAGACTGCTCTTCTTGTAGTCCCAGTGTAATAGGCGTCGGATCCGATATAGTCGTGATATGGGATCCTGCAGAGGCACTGGGAAGTTCCTCAGGAGACTCCGCATAACGGCTATGAGAGAGTCTGGAAGAAGACTGCGGCAGGCGTGAATGTGCGCATACCTCCGCTGGTGGACGGGCCGGAAGGGGGTGAACAAGGGCATGGGCATGGGAACGTGCCCTAGTAAATGAAATCTGTGAATTTGGAGAGGGAGGGCAAGCAGAACTTGGGGAAAGGGGAAATTCAGTGATGGATGTTGGGGTTGGGTATCGTGAGGCAGGCTTTTGATGGTGCAGAGATGGGGCTTTCCTGTTATGCGATCTCTTATAGGGCCGGAAATTATCCACGTGAAATCGAGAGTTTGCCATGTTCAGTCAAAATCCTGAGCTCTGTGTTCGATGAGTAGGAACTGAGGAGGGTTACAAGTGCAGGAATCAATCACCCTTTTATGTCGAGAGGCTCTGGAAAGTACCATATCAACTGAGAGGACCAGAGTCGCATCTTGGTTCTGATCTTCTAGCCTAAGACAGCGTCACGCACCGATTTCCATGACCACCCACCGCCCCTGTGCATATAATTCGATGGAGTCGTGATCCTGCAGCCCCTGTCGAATTTCCCATTCTCCAATAGAATGGCTCAATACCGAATATAACCTGGGTCATGCCTTCCGAATGAGTCTATATGGCCCTTACAGCGTGTTCGAGACTCGAATCTAACACCACCATCATCCGATCTGGTTACCACTGTGGATCAAAATGAAAGCCACCCCATTGGCGCTAGCGCTGCAATGGGTTGTGATACGACGATAGTACACGCTCAATTTCTGGCAATATAGGACCCTAAAATGAAAAGGCAGGCCGGCGTGAGCTTCAGCCACGCGCGAGGCATTTTTGCCATTGGCTGCTACGTTGAGAGCGTCCTTGTTGAAAGGAAGGAGACCTCGTCATCAGCTGAAAATCAACTTTTGTTAACGTCACAAGGTCACAAGATGCGGAAAGTGCGGCCCCTGTAACATGGGCGAAGGGTTGCTGTTGTCACGTACTGTCAGACGCATTGTTTTTCGAAGTAGACCAGCACAGCGCTGTCCAGTGCTGCAACAACATCTCATACACGTCTTTCCTCGTTCTCTCCTCTTGCGTTCTCTCTTTTTTTTCCCCCGACCAATTCAACCCGCGAATTCACTTTTGGGATCCTAGCGAGGTTGAAGTGAACCTAGGCAGCAACATTGTTCAACAGGCAAGAGCAGCGATCATCTCGCTCTCATTCTTGCTCCACCAGAAGCAGGGATATGGCGGTCGATGACGGTCTCAAAACTCAGACTTGACAAATATGGTTGAATTGGAGTCCAATCATCTGCGCTGGCCGGGCTGGGTGGCAGCGATTCTAAGGAGCTGAGACATCGCTGACGTGGCTGGCGCGAGGTCAACGCGACGCTGTGCCGTTCAGCCGTAGATGTGTTTGAGAAAAAAGACTGAGAAAAAGAAGAGAAAAAGAAGAGAGGAAGGAGACGACGAGGTGAAGTCGTTCGAGGGACGCACCTGGGTTTATATAGACATCGCGGACGGCGCTCAGGCACGCTAATCCCGGACGGGACTGGCTGGCGCCGCTAGGCCTGGTCGGGCAGTCTCATTTACACACCCGGCAGGCGGTAGACGGCGGCAGAGGAACGGGTGGCCAGGAGCGGTTTCCGGCGCCCCGCTTGCCGTCTGTTAGAATACTTCAGTTAAACCTTATCTACTATAGTAGGCTATATTAGCCTGTGTACTCTATAAAGTATACTATAGTAATATCACCATTTGTGGGAGGGACGCTGATTCGCGCGTCCGCGACGCGTCCCCCAAATCAGGACTAGCGCTTCCGCAGACGCTAAAAAGGGCCTCCTTCCGGTTTAGCGTGATCACTTCGGGTCTAGCGTCGTTGATGGGGGACCGCCTGCAGTATATAAACCGCGAGTGCGTCGCTCAACGACGACGGCCGTTCTCCTTTCGCATTTTCTCTCGCTTAAACCAACAACGACGGTGCCGAGCCGGCTGAACAAAACTAGAAGGATCCGGTGTCTTACCTAGCCCCACTGCATGCAGCACTGTGCTTCGCTCAGCGACGGTGGATGCTGCCATATTGGTCGACGGCTGGAGATTTTTTTCGCAGTATCAGGGGCCGATCATGATGGAGCTGCAGATGCGACGAGAATTGGATGCAACCCAAGTCGTCGTCATTCTAGACAACAGTGGACGATCGGCGATTCTTCGCGAATCCGTTACCAACTAGTCTTCGGAAAACAGCTGAGGGGAGGTCCTGAGATGTCCGATGCTGTGCATGCGACTCAGCAGCGATGCCACTGATGAACTCAGATCATGCATCGTCATCGTGGTTGGCTCTGCGGTGAGAAATGGCTGTCTAATGCGACAGTACAGCCTCAAAAAAATGCCTCACAGAGGGACTGAGGACCAGGGGACGGAAGGAAGATGTGGCCAATGAAAAACTCACCGTATATTCAGGTGATTGCTTTGATGGAGAAGATGAAGACACAGCGAGTCAGCTGTGACCGACGAAGGCTATCTATAGGTTGGGTTTCACATCCTTTTTTGAAGTGTTGATGGTTAGAAGAGTCGCCCGATGTGACAGTGGCGTGCAGAAGTCGTCTCGCTGAGGTATAGCATAGGCTTATAGATGGTAGTGCTGCCAATCAGAAAATTCGCGCTTTGGAGAAGCTGATTTCGGATATTGCAGGATATGTCAGCTGCGACAGTCAAGATGGCCCGCTGCAGAGATTAACCTGCCGAGAAGAACCGGATAGGTTTGGTCTTTCTATGCTCAATTGTCCTGCCTGAATGTGAATGGGATTCGCCAGGGTTGAAATGTCGGCGTGTCGGTCGTGCGATATAAGACTAAAAAGAGCGATTGTCCCCTGTTTCCTTTTTGTGACGCTTAGGTTGCTATTCTCATCTCTCATCCTCTCCCGCCTCCATTTGTATTTTCTCCTCTTCCCATATCCATCAATTTTCTTCCCTCCTGCAATGATGATCACATTAGACGAGATTATCCCATATCAACCTCCCCTTCCTCCCAAGCCCTCTATATCCTCAAAACCCCTACCACTGCCGTCAAAACCACCCCCATTGGTCCATCCTCTACCTGTGACGGTCAGTAATGAGGTTATTCGCAAAGTTCGGTTTACGTAGTCACATGCTAGGGTTACGTAGGGGGGTTCGTGTGTTGGAACTCAGAATGAACTAAACCAATTTGGGAATAGGACAAGATTTGCGTATCAAGAAATTTCGAGAATTGGCATCACATTCCGACGCGATATTGAACATTACAAATCAACTTTACAGCCTATCTCTAGAAAGTTCGATTTGCACAAGTGTCGACTTTTGGTGATATCACTTCTATGGAATCTTGTATATAAAAACAGGTTCAATACTCCTAGATAGTGGTTTTAGAGGAGTGCCGGAAAATAGACCTAGTTCCTTATACGTATTGTTTAGTGCTCGCCTTCGCTTAGTCATCGCTCTAGTAAACCAACGTTCCGACATCGTGATTCTGTCACGTGATCACGACACAATACATCTTGTTTGCAGATAGCCTCACATTCCTAGCTTTTTCTTTCTTTCTCCATGTTTGGTATTCTTGTACTTAGCTTCCAATATGACTATTGAATGAGCCCTTACACTACCACAGAAGCCCAGTTCCCGAGTTCAATCGCCCTCTTACTCTGACAAACCTCACCAGTTCAATCAGAGATTTGTCCCAAACAGTCAAGAGCAGGCATCTCCAGATCCCTCATACAGAAATGTTTTTGACAGGGAACTCGCAGACTGGAGTGACACGACCATCTACACGACCACCACCGCTGTTATGAGCACAGGCCTGGAGACTCCAGGGCAGGAGATACAGCATCTCACTGGTAGTGAGAGCTTCGCAAATGGTTCCAGTAGCCTATTGTTTAGTGAGTGGAGGATCTGCCTAGCTTTTTTAATAGGTGTTGAGGAAATATTGATGTAGGCGGGCTCCATTCTAGATTGTCCAAGCGACGTGCAACCTGCAAGCCATGATAACGGAACCAGTTCAAGTATAGCGGCGGTGACCATACAGCCTGAACAGTCTCGCTTGGCGCACAAAGAAACGACAAGATTGATATGCGATCCAGAATCAGATGGTGTCCATGCTTCTTCAAGTAGGTAATTTGTTTAGCTACTAATGCCTTCACAAGGATATAGAACGCTGACCCATTCGTCAAGTTTTTGGAACACAGAGCGAAGACACTGTTCATATTGATATCACAAACACACATCTCAATGATACAGATGTATCGCACGTGAGTAGTTGGGATACGAATTCCCAGCTGGCAGAGATTCCGACACAACTACCCAAGGTTGATGTTGATGAGAGCCAGAGCGCCGTCCGTGATAAAACGACTCAGAACCCAGATACCTCCCCTTCCAACATAATCTCAAGCGCGGGCCTAAGGACTAGTTCTGTGGCTCATATTGATGACAATGACCAACAAAATCCACGCTCCTGTGATAATGATTCCTCGATAGATGGGCCAACCTCCGGCTGCACTCGAAGTCTAACACTATCAGCATCTGAACAAATATGAGCCTGCACATCTAGAAATGCAGCTACAGCACAACCTCCTAAACCACGCACACGGAGATCAGCCAAACGCCCTCATCAGTCGTGCCTGAGGATGCAGACGTATTGAACGGAGCCACCTGACGAAAGTGATAATTCCGACGACTTAGACAATCAAGATTACGTTGACCGACCACAACATGTAGACGACCAACCCCGTCCCACAAACAGACCAAAACATCAACCTGTCACAGATAGTAATTTAGTGAAACCGGAAGCGGATATCGCGTTCAAAATTGGAATCCTGTCACTTCCAGACTTAAAAACTGTTCAGCGAGGAGTGCTCATCTGCGAGTTCTTTCCGTCACAGATTATGTGTTCCTTCTCGTGGACAGTAGATCGAGAGCGCTCAAATCATTGTCCACCAGAATCCGACCATATGCCCGACCGAGGTCACGATGAATGTATAATAGATATCACACATGAACGAGACGTTCACACGTCCTCGAAAGTTGAAACCACAAGAAAGTTAAGATACAAACAAAGGAACAGTCACTCGAACGCTCGAGAGGCAAGCTCTGGAAGAAAACACAAGCGCAGGAAGAAGTGGACGGAGGAGGAGAATTTTCGCTTAAAGCGGCTAGGAGAAGAGGAAAATCTGCCATGGTCGCAAATAAAAAAGCACTTTCCCGACCAGACGGCGGGTGCAATCCAGGTTCAATACTCTACCACTCTCAAGGGGTCAGCCGCAAAGTCGTCCGGTATGACTCCAAATGATGAGGCCGATCGAAATACTACCTTCTCGCCAAATCGTAGGCAGTATTCTCTTCGGTCCCGGCGAGCTGTGAAGCGTTATTCGCCGTAGGCATTTTGTGACCGACATATTTGATAGAATTAGGCCATGGAGTTTCTTTCCTGGCTGTTCGAGGATTAGACACCACGCAAGTGCCAAGACACGAAGTCATGTATCGTGCATTCTGATTGGGCAATAGAATTCCCGTTAGAAGGCAAATCAGCCAATCAGAATGAACCTTCGACTCCTGGGAATAACCTCGAACTGCCAGGCTGCCTCCAGCATCCTGGGTGCAGACGTAGATGAAAACGCTGCAGATTCTCTGGTGAGGGCTTCGCCTGAACCATATCAATATGAGGTCAGCTCATAACAGATTCTTAGTTTCACGATTCACCCGCAAATAAGTTTAGTCGGGAATGAAAATATTTATAAATCAAAGTGATCAAACTATATATTGAAACCCTCGATGGATTAAAGAGATCCATTACTGATGCGGTTTTACCACACAGAGAGCATTTAACTATGCATATTTATTAAGGTGCATAACAGAATGTCAAACGCTAGTATGCTGGTCTCTGTATTCTGAGTGGCCCTCTAATTTGTGAGGGCAATCTTATCTTCAAACAAATGGCTAACGTAATTCACCAGCGAAGCGGCCACCCTAGCGAAGCGGCCACCTCTCCCGAAAATAACTCTCTATATTGATTTCAAATCACAATTTCTTAACCACATACAAATTATATACAAAAAATTAAGTACTACTTTGATTAGGACATCGATTAATTTTATGTCCTTCGACACCACAACCACTGCAGCGAAATTGGCGGCGTACGACTGCTTGAGAAGCTGGGAGCTCCGGCTCAGCCGGAGCAGCAGTAACAGCTTGAGATGCCTCAATCTGACCTTGTATAAGTGCTTGGACTTCATCTCTAGTAATCCCTTGCTCAATAGATATCTGTTTATTAGACCTTTGGCGCTTTTGCTTCTCTTTCTCATGTGCAGCCCGTAAATCATGATTTTCTTTCCGTATAAGTAGAAGATCATTTCTAGTCGTTTCATAGGCTTTTGATATACGTAGAATTGCTTCATCAATAACCTCAGATGAACTTCTTGTACGCCGGCCTATCCGCTTCTTAATTGTGGTCATTTGGCGCTTAAATTGACGTGGATTTTGAGGAGTTTGTAAGCAGGATGATTGTGTATTGCTTGATCGACTTGGAGGAGGTGTTGGTGTCTTCAATTGAATATTAAGTTGTTGAGTAACTCGATCTGGATTGAAAGGCACTAATCCGGTGGCTGCGAAGCTATTCCAAATAGTTTGAGCTTTATATGCCACCGTACGAGCCTGTGGAAATGCCATTAAAAAGTCCATTTTGTCGATATGGTTGAATCCAAGCCTCATTCGCTGCTCAACAAGCTGCCCATAATGTCGTTTTAAAACTGGAAAACAGCCAACATCAAGAGGCTGGAAAAGATGCGAGGAATGAGGTGGCATGCAGATTGGAATAATATTATTCTCAATGCATGTACGATCAAATTCTTCAGTCAAATGGCTTCCATGGCCATCAAGAATCAACATTCTATATGATCCCATTGACCGGCCATTAATATAAGGAATAAAATGGGTTTTAAGCCATTCTAATCCTATTTGATCTGTAGTCCAACCATTCTCACTAATATTAATCCTCCAATCACTTGGTAGATCATCAAACCAGCCCAATCGTACGTTTTTCTTTGCCTTGAAAATAATATACGAAGGAATAGCCCAACCAGTTGAATTTGTTGCTTCAATTGCAGTCACCCATTCTCGATTTCCAGGTTGTAAAAGCTTTGGCCGAGCATATCGATCGCTTCCGGTAATAACCTTTGCAGTTGCACAGAGTCCCATAGCAAAGCCAGTCTCATCAAAATTGTAGATATCTTCTGGTAGGATCCCATACTCAGATATAGCATCTCGTACGCGATTAAAATGCTCCTGAATAATCTTTGGATCTTCGCATTTGGCACGTTCATAGTTATATTTCCTTGCGAATTTGGAATCGATCTCTGGACAGCGTTTAATTAGACGGGTTATCCAATTTTTTCCAACTTGTGGTTTGTCGCGTTGTAAAAGAAGATAATTGACCATTTCTCGTACAAGAGAGTGCCGGGGGGGTAATCCACGTTTATTTAGATCGAGAACCCATTTGACAAGCGAATCCTCCTCAGATTGAGTCAATTTATGGTGATTGGCGCGTGTTATTTGTCGATATTGTATACCGTTCATGCGATCTTGAAGAGTGGTACGAGGGATTGTATAGATTCTAGCAGCTTCACGAATACTGCGAATTCTTCCATTTTTTAAATCGGAAATAGCTAATTCAATCTTTCCCTCTATCTGAGCTGATTGTAGAGGATCTTTTTGGCGAATTGGTGGCATTTTGATGCGTCGAAATATGAAGAATCAATATAGAGAGTATACTTCACAGGGTATTATAATACTTCCACTACACTATGTCAGGACATTGATCAAAAGCCGCCGAAGGACTTTCAGACCAGGTAGTACTACTCCCTCGTACGTGATCGATCCGTAGAGAGGTAATACCACTGTTCACAGCGGTCATGTGTTTTCTTTGCATAAATCCTGCAGTTATGCCGAACAGGCCACAATCCTGCTTTTCGACGCATTAGTACTGTTCAGCTGTGTGTATAACTCAAAGACATTCCCATATACTTCCTTAGTGCATATAACATCGACCTTCAAGGGATAACTTCTCATTTTTGTTTTTATTCGTTTGACTGTTGGTCTGAGATAGCCTAAGGACCGCGTTTCTCGAAAGAGAAGCAGAGACAGCAAGATGAGAAATTTCACAGTTAGTTATGACAGTTGGTTTGCGGTACCTTCTCCTCCAAGTCTCATCCCTTGATATTTGTGAATCCATTGTACATAAACTCAACCTTGGAAGCTTTTGTATATGAACTTAAAGCAAGGTGAAATGGGTTTATTCACTACTATTCCTAATTCGACCGATATCTTTCTATCCATAGTAAACGAACGTCTCCCTCGTGACTCCAGATACATAACACATCTAGACAATAAGTTGACATATCCTTACTGGTCGCATTGAGCACACTTCGACTTCAGCCAGCTCTTCCTGATTGATGGTGTATTCAATAAGACCACAGGTTGCTTGTCATGTCCTAGACACTGTGGGTGACAACCTCTCCAGCTTGCCATGTGTTCTCGAGTCTTTTGTCGATGACATCGGGGTTGACATTTTCTCCAGATCCCCAAGTAGCACTGGTTCCTCTGATTATAACAGTAGTCTTGCGGTCTGGTTCTGTTACTGATCATGTTAGTTATTATATGTTCAAAGTTATAGCTCAAGAGATACTATACGGAGTGGTGCAGCCAGGCTTACTCCCAGAAGGAGGACAATGGAAGCAAAGTATTTCGAGAAAAACATCTTCCCTCTTTTCTTTAATCTTCTATAGATAGGTCGACTTGGGGTAAGGTAGAAGCGAAATATCAAGTCTAAGGTCTGTAATCAAAGTTGGACCCTTGGAGAAGAATGATGAGTTCTTTGCGATGGTTTATATACCCACCACCGAGCCATATAGCTGTGCCAGTACAAAGGGAAAGTCGAGTCTAGAGACGCAGCAATTGGAGGAAATATAATCCATGCAAATTACCTAGGTAGCAGGGATGTCACAACATCGGTGGCATAAAACAGACTCGTACCCGTATAGAGGTACGTTACACAAATGGTTAGTTAGGGCTAATACGGTACGGAAAGAGGCACAAACACCAAGTGAAAAGATGGTAGCCTCCAAAAGTTCTTGTCAAGCCCAAATTCTGGGTTGTATTCCACTTTTGGGGGAAATGATAGGCATTAGAGCTGAATGCAGCGATCCACGAGCCGAGCTTTCAGGAGTCCTGCAGATCCTAACCAGGCGAAGGTCGTATTACGTTGGCATAGACATACTGTAGTCAGCCTTTGTGTCTTTTATAATCTATTGCGGCGTGCAGATCGATCCAGCGGCAAAACACTGCGCCTGATACCTTTTCAAATCATTCTGTAAATGTTCTGAGGAGCCAACGCAACCTTCCTGAGTGCGTGAGTGTAATAGAGAAATAATTCGGTCCTAGGGAAAGGTTATGGTGTCTTAACCCAACATTTACCGGGACAATGTCACCATCAAGGTCAAGTTTCAGGTATCAGGTTTTAAGTGGTCTTCAATCAGAAGATGATAAGGAGACACTATCCTCCGCCCATCGCTGGGTCGGGTGGGTGGGTGTGATGTTGCTAGCTACCATCGCTTTACTGGTTAGCTATTGGGCTGGAAGGCGAGTGTTGACATTTATCTCGTGCTCAAAGGAGAACTATGGTCTTCTCAGTATCGTGTATCATATCCGCTTGCTATCTCTCTTGCTAAGTAGTTCTTCTGCTGCAGCACCTCCTGGAACAATTCCTCAGGTTTGGGAGCACCAACCCATCTTCTCCCAAGATCTGACACCTGAGTCAGGCAGTGAAGTTGGTGAAAAACTGCAATGTTAGCCACGACAGGGGTTACTTGAGGATGATAGACAAATCTCCGACCAACTAGCATCATTTTAGTCTCATTTCGATCATGCTGAAGGATTGAAATTCTTACTAGGTATGACTGAGCTCCAAGCAGCTTCGGGTAAGGATACCTTTTTGCATTATTTCTATATTCTTTCAGTCAGCAATCTGACCATCAAAATAGCATACACTTCGCGTTGGGTATTATACGAAGTTGTATCAGCTCAACGTACTTAATGGGATAAACACGTCGAAATCCTTCGATGAGCATATAACCATAAACCCTGAAGATGTTCGTATGCGACACTGCTTTGACTATCTCCGCCAGGCGCTGATGTGCGCGGCCGACACCAATCTTGAAAAGGTCAACCCAGAGACGCACATCACAACCGGTTGGGGATCGGACAAAGAGTGCGGTGATTACTAGCGGATTTTTGCCTGGACAGAGCAGTGGGCTAATTCCTCCAACACGGGGATCATTTAGAGATATCAAGTATGGTGAACCCTTCGCATTTATGACCATGTATCAATTCAAAATCACCCATGGATCTTGTTAGGCTTATTCAAGATTGAGAGGAATGAAGAGTAGGCAGTTGCTGTAATTCTAACCCTCAGGTAATGGGGCATACGGTATTCATCACTTATTCAGAACCCCCCATGTGTACAACAGTAGCACTGTTCCTCATACCATTCCGTATAATCTGCTCTTTGTCTCTGGTAAACCTATCTATTTGGTCCCGCATGCGGAAAATCTGAGCTCCGTCTCTTATTGTTATACGAGCTAAGGCTGCACCCTGGGGTATAACTATGACTCTACTGCCCGACTCGAAGCTGTCTTCCTTTCTCCATCAATTTTCAACTGTTCGCCTCTCACTGACGGCTCATGATATCTGTTATGAATGGTTTGAACGCTGTCTAGATGTGTGTTTGAGTAGTGGAAACCTGGATCTGGCGCTCGAAGCGTGGGTCCGCTCCCAAGATGTCCCGGCTGCGTGGGCTGCATCACATTGACAATGGCAAGTTGACGTCCGTCGATTATGGGCGCAGCATTTGCACGATAAGGCAGTTCAGGGTTGCTCTTGCGGTAGGGAGGAAAAAAGCATAACATTATCTCGGCATATGCTCGCAGTACACCTAAGTTTCTTATTATCATCTTCACAAATACGTCGATTGAAATGAATATAGGGGAAGGTGTGAATTAGATTGAATAGCGAATTTATCAAACATAAGAACTATCTGTTGTACATAAAGAATTACAATTGCATTGTGGTATTAGACGCTGGAATGCGCTTCCCTCATCTTCTGTACCTAAACAGATGAAAGTGACCTGATTGTACATGTAGCTATAAAATTGTTCATTATCTGATTAGTGATAGCGACAACATTAAAGAAATATTCTAACAGAGTCAGCTCTATGAATCTCAGCAATAATATAAATGGCACCAGCTAAAGATGTCTATTGACTATTGTTGAGCATAGTGGCCATGAGGGGGAAGTCTTCGAGAAATACATGGACAAGCTGCATCGCTATGACCCAATTAAACAAACTGAAATAGAATTAAAGTAATATTCGCCCTAGCAATGCCTGAAAAATACATATTACAAAACATACTTTCTATGACAAAGTCTTCCGCTCAGACAGACTTGCAACCACATCCTTGACCCGAGGAATTTTCTCCTCAAGAACATCGACGACTTCAGTCCACATTGCCTTCTGCAAGATCTTGCCTTCATCACTCGTAATATACTTGCCAGCTCTATTGTATTTGTCAGCGCAACCCCATTTTCTCTTCTGGAAGGTTAACTCACGGCCTGTAATTTCCATCTGCAGACCACCACCGTCCGTGTGAATCCTCCCCTAAAGTGGATGCGCCAACAAGCACGCGAGCACCATTTTCTGCAGGTCTCAAAAGCAAATAAGAGCCGATGCCCTTGATAACGACGAATAGAGTGCTGTCGAACTCTCTTGCAACGTCACTCCGGCATGCACCAGGACACGCATCATTAACAATCACCGTTGGTTTGCCTTTGCCATTGAGACAGCGATATGCCAGCTCTCTTGTAATCCACATCATGAATAGCTTGGAGGCCACATGCTGCTGATACGGTCCCACCCCAAGGTCACTGTTGTATTTGTGGAGAAGCTGATCTTTGTCTTGAGGTTTCAACTGCACGTCGATGTGTCCTGTCGATGTGACTACAACTAGATGTGCCGGTGAATCTGCATTTTGGGACGCTTGCAGCTTTGGAGCGAGGAGGATCGCTAAGAGCGCAGTCCCAAGAGTATTGACTTGAAGATTGTTCTCCCATCCCTTCTCAGACAGCTTGAAAGTGCGATTCATGATACCTGCGTTAAGAACAGCGACATCGACCTTTCTCAAGCTCTCAACTCGTTTAGCGAATGCATCGATGCTTTCGAAGCTAGCCATGTCCAATTGCCATACTTGGACAACGCCTGTCCGCCCTGTCGCTTTTTCAATTTGCGCTTTTGCTGTTTCGCCCTTCTGTAGACTCCTGACACCTAGAATGACGGTTGATGCGGCGAGTTGGACGTATTTGAGGGCGGTTGCATAACCAACGCCGGAGTTTGACCCTGTCACGATGACGGTCTTGCCTTCGAAAGTCGTTGTGATTTGCTTGGGTGGGAAGAATTTGCCTCTGAGAAGAAATACGACACCGGGCATTTTGGAAGAAATAGGGAACAATTCTTTTTTAATGAGTCTGATCAAGCAAAGAGTATAATATGATGAATGTGATGGAAGTCATTGTTCAAGGTTGATGGATTTTGTGATTTAGCTGCTCCGTGGCAGCGATCGAAGTCCTTATATATAGCCATAGGGGGATTAGTCGGCAGCGGATACTCCTACTGCTGCTCAGAAATGATAGCATGGTGATGCATCGAGGATTCCGTAAGAGAGCGTCTTGCTATATTGTGCTGCCAAAGGAAAGAGAATGTCGGGAGGCACGGAAAATCCGATGATACCCCATACTTTAGCACTACGCCTAAAATAGGTTAGGCACTTCAATTCCGGTGGTCATAAGCGAGCTTATCATTTCGGGTCGGAATGGCCGCTACCGTCTCGTATTTTCCGACCGACCTCCCCTCAAACATCAGCTCGTCCATCTCTGTGTACAAAATTGCAGATCAACACGGATGTTCCGAACCATCATTGATGATAAATCCACGGGTAAGGAGGCGAGCGTGTCTCAGCTGCACCAGCGCCAAGGTCAAGTGCACTTCTGCTTCGTTGGACGCAGAATCATGCGGAAGATGTGAAAGATTGGGCAAAGTGTGCATCTATACAGAGCCTTCTTCTGAGGCAAGACGAAATGGCAAAGGGACCTCGTGAGTGTCACAATTTCATCTGATGTCTGCATGGTCTCGTAGGATTCGAGATATATGAGAGCGCTTTGGAACGGCGTGCACATAAGAGTCACTTGAGTGCTTGATGACGTGCCTCAATTCAATCGCTGAACTCGACCTAATGACTGAAGTGGACTCGGTGATTGAGAACACCTTTCCATATTAACCAGGTATTTCATCGGCATAGTGCAAGCTAATACGTCCTCAGATCTGTCAAGAGACTTGAGGAGAAGCTGGAGCTGTTGTCCACACAAGTAGCTACTTTGACACAACATGTCCACTCAACCTCATTTCAAGGACCCCGAAGTAATCACTCTACCCTTGAGAATCTTCATTCCAGCCTTTCGTCCTCACGCGACCGGATAAGCGGAGGTCACTTTGCGTCTTCCGGGTCCCTGCCCGGGTCTAGAGACGTTCATAATGATAGCTTGACCAATGTTGGTCTACGCGATCTTGGAGGCCTAGCATCTGTGGATCGTCAACTTGAGACTTTCCGACGAGCTTTCGTCAACTATTTCCCATTTGTGGTTGTGCCTCCCAAAGTCAGCGTGGAAGCTCTTCGAAACGATAATCCATTCCTTTTCTTGTGTATTATCGCTGTTACTTCTTTTGATGATCCCATACTACAGCGCAGACTAGGACAGGAGATCAAGAAGCAGATTTGCGATCGCTTAGTGATGGGTCATGAAGCTAGTATGGATCTTTTACAAGGTCTTTTGGTCTTCGTAGCTTGGTATCATTACTTCTGTGTGCCTGGGAAGCATCAATACTTCCTCATGTTACAGCTCTGTGTTAACATGTGCCATGAGTTGAGACTGGACTTGAATGAGAAGGGAAAGAGAGGTCTAGAGACAGCCCAAACTCAGGGGAGAGCACGAACTCCGGCAGAGATGAGAGCTCTTCTTGGTACATATTGTTTATCATCTACGTATGCTCTACTTCCACAATTACAATTGTTCTGAACATCGAGCTGACTATCGACTCTAATAAGTTTATCAATGGTGCTGAGAAAACGAACGATTATGCACTACACATCGTATATGGACGATTGTTGCACATCTCTCACACAAGGGAGTGATGTTCCTAGCGATCAGTTGATCGTGCCATTTGTGAAAATCCAGGTTCTTCAAAGGAAGATAAGTGACACTTTCTGCTACCACGATACATCTACCTGCGACATAAGAGGCGAGCGCGCACTCCAGATCACCGTTGATTCTTTCTCTCGTGAATTCGATGGACTAAAGAAGGGCATTGGCTCAACAAATAGAAATGCTATTCTGGTGCAACACCTTCACTTCCTGGAAGTCTGGATTTATGAATTCGCCCTCTATAATGAGCTTTGGCAAAGCAATTTCGTGCCTGCTCGACTCACTCGACCAGAGACTAACCTCTCAATTCAGTCCTCAATGCAGCGGACTAAGATGCTGCGGCAGCTCGTCGCAGCAACTGTCTCATTCCAAGATTGGTGTCTGTCAGTTGATAATGCCGACCTACTTCATTTTCCGTTCTCTTGGTGGGCAGAACTCTCTTACGTCTTGATTGTTCAAGTCAAGACTGTTTTCCTCGACTCTGAGACTGGTATCACAGGACAAGAACAGATAAATTTACGGCAATATGACCAAGCAGAATCGCTAGAAGCTGACTTCAGAAGAGCTGCTGAAAAGGAAGTCATGATACCTCATATGCTGGATATGTATATGGGGAAACTGGCTACGTTGACCACGCAGGTTGTTGATGATGAAGGCTATAGGGACATGGTATATAATTATGGAACTGTGCTCAAAAGCATACAATCTGGGTATGAAAGCCGAATTGGGGCTGAGAATAGGCCTGCTCTGGGGCAATTTGAAATACAGCAAGAACAGTCATCCCTTTCACAGCTATCGTATCCGGAAGTTAGGAGTACGGACATGCAAGGATCGATGCCGCCAGCAGTTAGCACAAATCATATGGAGCTAGAAATAGGCGACCCGGACAGTTCTTCTACAAGCCAACTGAACTTGCAATTTGGTTTAGCCCAACCTGGATTTGACGACTTCGTATGGGACACGATGATGAATGATTTCTCATTCTTCACGCCCCAAAATGGTCCATCTGTTTGATGTCTCACCGAGGTTGACTCACACAAGCTTGGAATTATCATCAAAACTGTATCGATACACTGCTTTCGAGCCACTCGAGGGTTAACACCTGCAAACTCTCATACATGCGGCACTCCACAGTCATGTGAGGTTGGGGGATGCGAAGGAGCCATCAGCGGTGGAGTAGCGACTTGCTAAGTGTGGTCAGCCAAAGGGATATTGAAAATGATTGTATTGCAGGACTTATGAGCGAATGGAATTCTTTACACATGTTGGACTGATAGCCGTCCGATACCTGTAGACTGAAACTTAACTAAAACTTGTTTTAATAGTATTATTTCCTAATATATGATAAACTATGAAATAATGTTGTTGCTCCAATGTGTTCAAAACGTGTATAGTGACAGAATGGTGCCGAGTCAAGTTTACGCAACGAACCACGTATTGAGAAAATGCCCCAATATTCCGTTTCGGGTTGCTTACTTTTCCTTTATTCCGACTAACCTATCAATCGTGCCATTTGAGATGCGCACCGTCCTCGGCTGCTTTCACACCACAATATCTGGGTATCGATTAGCGGTCAGAATACTTCATCGAAGACGCGGATTCAAAGGGACTCACTTGTGCCATCGTTCCTCGATCCGAGCGGTTCGTTTTTTGCTGTGCTTTGACCTTCCGAAGTCCAGAGGGACATTCGCGATATCTTCATCAGTGTTATCGTCGGGGTCGTCGCTGTACTCGGGCAACTGCGATGGTATGGCCGGAGTCTTATTGTGCCTGGAAGCGCTGGTGGGAGGCTTCCGTGGTCGTTGTGATGCCAGTGGATGGGTTTCGAAGCCAGATTCCGGCTCAGTCATGGGGTCGAGTAGCCATCCTCACAGTCGTCGGCGTCGTCAGAGTAGTCAGACTCGTCATTGGAAGATGAACTGGGCTCGTCGTCCCCGTAGGCAGTGTCATCCTCAGGGCCGTAGGAATCGGGGAGTGGAAGAATCTGATGGTGAACTCCAGTCTTGACAGCCATAACAAAATCTGCGAGAATGAGTCGAGGGACGATACTCTCGACCGGAAATCGGGTGAGGAAGAGAGAAGTGCGAATGAGGGCGGCGAAAACGAGAAAGGATGACGATGGAGAGAGAAGAAGATTCGGCCTCACGGCAGGCGGCTGCCGCCCGTAGGCCCCCGAAGGAAAGGGAGGCCAGTTTTGACTTCATCGCGAGCAGGCATGAAGTCGAAAAAGCGCCAAAAAGCATGGGTTAGGACTCAGGAACAAGGCACCCCACCACAAAACCACGTGATGATCTCTTGGCGGAGTTACGGGCACGCACTGGGAGACCTTGCGGGCACGGCAATTGGCAGAATCCTGGAACGGGACAAGGCGGTGACGGACGGATTGTGGAATGGACGCAGGTTTCGACAGCGGACGCGACCGAAAACGGGCGTGTTGCCACAAATCACAATTGTTATACTATGTAAAGTACTAAAACCTAGTGGCCAGGCTGTACTTGCCCTGGGCCTTTCTAGATCTTAAATTAAGTTGGAGAACATCTTAAGAAACTAACCAAAACAATACTAGCAGGCGCAAGAGCAGTCCTTCCTATTTTCTGCACAACCCTAATATCTGTCCTATATCGAGAATCTGGATTCTCTTTACCAGAAATTGAACTAGATTAAATAGCCCTCCTCGCATCTGTCCGCCTATGGCGTCTTGATCTATACCACCCACTCTGAAGACGCGCAGAACAGATAGCCAGAGACAGCCGATAAACCAGTCAATTTGCCCGCCGTGTGCTGGTCCTCCCCAACTTTGAACAAATAAACCCTCTTCAATATGCTCCCTAGTACTCTCGCGAGTCACAGGAGAATGTCTAAGCTTGAATAGGAGCTCCCATAGGATGCATAAAGGAATAGGTGGTGGCTAACTTCGCAGATTTCTAACACACCATTCCTAGCTCTAATATCATAGTCTTTTCAGATGGATCTAGGCTGCAAAATGGACATACCAGTGGAGGTTATATTAGATTTTAAGCACATCATTAGTTTTTTTATGCCTCGCTCTTATACAGACATAGGAAAGAAGTCTTTGATGCTAAAGTAGAAGCTGCCCTAGCTGACGCTCAGGCAGCTATAGCATACCCAACAGCTTAGTATGCTACTAACCTATAGATCTGCCTTAACAACCTAGAAGTTACTACACATTTTCTATCTCCCTCTACAGGATCTTCCCAAGGAGTCTTTAAATCCTTCTGTACTCTTGCAGCCATCTAGCCACTCTGTGAAAGGCTTCCGCACACCAAAAGTAGATCTATTCAAATCCAATGGGTCCCTGGACATGCTAAAATCCCTAAGAATAAAGTGGCTGATCTTACTGCCAAAGAGGAAGCCGCCTCTTCCTCTCTCCCTCCACACAACTTCTTATATGCCTTGCTAAAGAGACATGCCAAGACTTGATCCCTTTCTACCGCACAGTCACAGTGGCAGAGTGCGGCACCACAAACATATCAAGACCTAGAAATAACTACATCTCCTAAGCGTCCTAGAGAGCTTTAACTCAACTGATTTGACCTTGGCCATATTATCGCAGCCTGTACTGGTTATGGGGACTTTGCAGACTACCATGAACACTTCAACCATAATAATACTCATCTTCTCTGCCAATGTAGAGTATGAAAAGCACCTCTGCACTTCTTCTTCTATTATATAGCTAAGAGATGAGCCCCTCGGCCTCCTGGGCCCCTTCTGAGGTCATCTCTTTCCTTTTAGGTACTCCGAAAGGAGCACAAAGGCTAGCCACATAGCTAGTAGAGACCTGCTTCTTCAAGGATATCTACCCTCACCAACCTCTCCTTAGCACCTAGCTAAGACAGCCCTACTCCTCCTTTATATTTCTCTTTTCCTTCTCCTCTCTTCTTTCTTTCTCTCTTTATAAAACTTACTGTTCAGTTACAATAGTGGTGAAGTAACAGGTCATGGAGTGTAGGTGGATCATTGTAGCTAGCAAATACCTAAAGCCCACTTAGAAGTGGACCTTCCTGTAAGACCATGGCAGCTATGGAAATGCGCCAAAGAGTCTACTATTTGTATATAAATCTGATAGATGATTTGAAGCCCGAGGTTTACCCCTCGGCGGCCTATGTCCCAGTAGGGATCGGTGGGAAGCGTGCGAGTCACGAACCACGGCCGTTAAATAAACACACACACACTCTGCTCTGCACTTGATAGGGTTCTCCAATTCAGTACCTGGGTACTTATTTATTGTAGTGAATCCAATAAAAATATAATAATAATGCATTATATAAGTTCATATGTGTACAATCATCCCAAGCACCAGCCAAATCGTCCTAGAATCCTTTCTAGAGGCTGTTCGTCCAGTATCCAGTGTTCATTGAGAGATCCATCTATGCTCGCGCCTAACCTTATAAACATAACCCCTTGACGCCACAGCTAACCACGCCCAAAGCAAAGAAAATAAAAATATAGATAATTAAAAGATCACTCCAGTGTCGTACTTCGCTTAAGCCCAACACAATAACGAACAAACAACGTATCAATAAAATGATCATGCCGAATACCTGGTGGCCGGCACTGTTGGAATTCGTCAATGGCATCCTGAACGCCATACCCTTTCCTCTCAATCAAATAGCTAACAATCAGAAAACCCGTCCTGTTGAAGCCATAGTGGCAATGCACCCCTATCAAAGGACGAGTAGGATCGCTAACATCCTTACCGGTCTTTTCGGTAATCTCTTTCTCCAGTTGATCGACCAGTCCAATAAAATCCCGAGTTTCATCGGGAGTAGGAGGGATCTTGGAGACCGTCGGATGTTTGTGGTAGTGAATACCCCCCTTTTCCAGCTCATGGGGGTCATACACTGGGTTCTCGTGGCTGATGTCGATCACGGCATGTATTTTGCCGCGCCATTCCTCCGAAAAGTGGACTGGATTGTGAACCTCGTCTACTCCGCGAAGCATCTTCATAGCAATAAATGTTTTGGCGATGGGGGCTGAAGTTGGAGGAACTTTCTGCCACTTGACCAGGTTCTTAACATCCCACTTGCCAGAAGTGTTCAGATGCTGCAATTGCCAGCCCAAGCTTAGACGATGATCAATATATTTTTGCACAAAGTCTTGGATCAATCCTGCTAGCGTGCGGTAGGTGGCACGGTCGTACAGAAGAGCATGAGAAGCGGGGGCTGGCAGAATTCTCGTCCTGACGACTTTTCCTTTCGTGGACTGGATGTCCGGCTGTTGCTTCTCTGAGACATCAAGTCCGTATATCTCTTCATCAGCCCGTGCATCTGTATACGCCGAGCTTCGAGTGTCGTGCACCCGTGCCGCGTCGGGGATGATTGCATCTTCGGGTCCTGTCCGCGTTGTCGAATCAACATCCGAACCTCCCATGAAACGAACGATTTTCGCTACTTCAGTAGCCTTTGTGACTGCATCTGAGTCACCAGCAACGAGCAAAAGAGGTACCCTGATATTTGACCATAGTGTCTTACCAGGCATCCCGCCGATAGGTTCTCCATGGCTGTTATACACGGGAAGACTTCCCCATGCCATTCTTCTCCAAACATCACTCCGACTCTGAGCGTTGAATCGTAGTTGTAGCTGTTTCGTATCTGGATCGGCCTTTTCACCAACAAACCGTCGGACGCTCTTGCTCTCGGCACCGCCTCGACGGTCCCAGAGACGCCACATATCAAATATAGGTGTTGGTATATAAAGCAGTTTCCGAGCAAGTGCTGTTTCTTGCGCAGTTGGTGGAGAAGCTTTGGGGCAGATGGCAATGACACCCTTAATATATGGTTTCAGCTCCTTGCCCACTGTGGAGCTAGATGATGCTAGTAACGCAGACAACGAGCATCCGAGGCTGTGAGCAATCAGAAGGACACCTTGGTTTGCGACTTTATCGCGATGTTCCTCAATTGCAACTGCAACGAGTTCCGCTAGGGCTTCGAGTGAGTAGGCTTCCCAAGATTTAGGGGCGAACGTGGACAATCCACATCCAGGCAGATCGATCCCGAAGCATGGTCCAACGTTTGACAGACTTGTCAATAGTGGATGAAATTGGGCGAGACTTCCGCCTAGACCGTGAATAAATACGAGCATAGGAATAGGTGTAGGTTCCGAAGGAAGTTTATCCATGTGAGGATGTGGGCTGAAAAATGTCCTTATGGCTGGGTATGTCGCAACGGATGTGGTGTAGGAGAGGTGTGCGCAATGTTTCTTCAGTAGACCGGGGTCAATATATTCATCTAGAGACATCAATATCAGCTTCAGCCGTCCATGATACATTGGAGGAGGGTGAGGTACCATTAGGAGAGAAACGTCGGTATCCAGCCGCTGGCTGCTTCTCTTCCACCATCGTCACCTTTCGTGACGGCGACGAGTACCCGTCACTGTCATCTTCGGACGACGTCACCGTCACATTGGTATTTTTGCGATGATGTCGTTCCCTCACAAACAGTTGAGCGGTCTCAGAACGACGAAATAGATGATGCGACAGAAACCCGCAGCTGGCCATTGTAGCAAGACAGGTTGTCCAAAACAAAAGACCAGACAAGTTTATCCGTACATTATTGGTAACGGAGTCAAAATCCCAAAGATATATTAATTGTTTATATATGTCATTCGTCTGGCCAGGGATGTAGACCGCAAGGGATTGGAGGGAGACCGAAGGAATAAATGACGAGGATAGCTGTTTGATATCAAACATGATATCGATCCGTGCCCTAAAACAGAGTGAGGCGACCCAGACCCGGAACCAAGGGGAAAAGCAAACAAGAATATAGAATAGATGTGTCAGACGGGATCCGATTGAGCCCAACTCTAGCCTCTAGGAAGCGGAGGATGGCGATTAGCGGCGCGCCTCTAAGTATGGAATAATCAGCAGCCCTTTTCCTGCAGGAATCCCAGCACCCAGGAGTTCGGGATCGCAAGACGAAGGGCTAGACTTGTGGACTTCCTAATTAGAGATTGTATTTGCGCCAGGCTCATCGGGAGTGGATCTCTGAGACCGTTTCGCAGTTGCGTAACGTTATTCGTTGGCTTGTCCAACGGGATCCGATCGATTTGTATTGAATAGGAAAACGCGGAAAGAAAGCACGTAATTGGCGATAATGAGCGACACTATAAGGAGCGAAATAGAAATGGGGTTTAAAACCTGTCGGTAGATAGAAATTTTCGAGTCCCACGCAGAGGACGGGGTGAGGCGTGAAGCAGAACGAAACCCCCATGCGATGGCCAGCGCATTGTACGCTGTAAGAATGAGCGATGGGCCAATGACGGTCTTAAACCGAGGATGGTGCTGGTGTCGCTGGCTGAGATGTTGTGTATGGAGAAGTAGAAAGATGAAACGGGAAGACTTTGGCGGAAGCGCGATGAGCGGGCCGCAGAGACTAGCCTGTTGGATTGCGTCACTGCTCAACCTTGACTTTCTCTCTTCTTGATCATAATCATCATATAGAAGGCCAGAGATGTACGACTACTCAGCCTACAGGATTCACCGGAATATTCAATTCAGTCGGTCAGTCACCGGACCAACAACACCAAACGCATATAAACCAAAGAACAAAACACGTCGTGAATCCACAGGCGACAGGACAAAGACCTCCTTGCTTATTCCATGGGCATTGTGATACAAGAGTCGGTGAGACGTTGCTTCGTTTGACAATCCTTGATCCTGGCAGTGAGTCAATTGACTCAAACTCTAGAATACCGGATCAGATGGCTGACATTCCGGAGCTGATTACGGGGGAAGCACTGTAGGACTATGTGGATAATCTTCAATCTAAATCGGGGCGTTTAAACAAGCAAACCCGCCATGTGTGGCTTGAATGTCTTCAGATTCGTCTACTGTCAATTACAAGGCTCATTGCTTTTTCCATCTCATAGGCACAGGTTATGTAAGATCAGATCAGCCAGGGAATAATCGACCTCGATCAAGCCACGTGAATCGGGCCAGTCTCCCCCTTTATGGATTCAGCCCCTTTTCAGAGATTCTATCCGTCAGGTCTGATTTATCTTCAAAGATCAAACAATAATCGACTTTTCTACTCCGTATGCTAGGCTCCAGCTGCTCGATTAATCAAAACAAATCAGTCATTGCCCCATGGGAGGCATCCCCAACCAGCTTAGCATACTTAGCCATCACACCCCGTGTCACCTGCGGCTTGGGTGGCTGCCAATTCTTCAATCGCTTCTCCAACTCCTCCTCTGAAACATCCATGTTGAGCTCATTCGTCTCTGCATCGATGGTAATCACATCCTCGTCCTGCACAAGAGCAATTGGGCCGCCAACCGCGGCTTCGGGCACAATATGTCCAACAATGAATCCATGACTCGCGCCAGAGTATCTCCCATCGGTGAGTAGAGCGACGTTTGTGAGTTTGGCTCCCATCAATGCGGCACTGGCTTTAAGTTGCTCTGGCATTCCTGGTCCGCCCTTGGGACCTTCGTAGCGAACAATGAGTACTAGGTTCTCGTCGCGAGGAATCTGGCTCTTTGCGAGAGCATCGTTTAGCTCATGTTCTTTGTTGAACACACGAGCTTTTCCTGTGAATTTCAATCCTTCCTTACCAGTGATCTTGGCCACTGCGCCTCCTGGAGCTAGATTACCACGGAGAATTCGTATATGACCAGTAGGCTTGATGGGGTTGTTCAATGGCCTGATAATGACCTGGTCCTGGGCAAGTGAAGGAAAAGATTCCACATTCTGAGCAAGCGTCTTGCCAGTCACGGTCGGGATATCACCATCCAACAACCCCGCAGCAATCAGGAGTTTCTGAACGGACGGAATACCCCCGACTTCATAAAGATCGGCCATGTAGTGTTTACCACTCGGAGCCAAGTCAGCAATAAACGGGATTTTGTTGCTGACTCTTTGAAAATCATCCAGTGTCAGATCAACCTCGGCTGTTCTTGCCATTGCCAAAAAGTGCAGAACCGCATTTGTACTACCTCCTAGGGCCATCGTCATAACCAGGGCATTCTCAAAGGACCGCTTAGTGAGAAGCTTGCGTGGAGTAATGTCCTGCTCTATACAGACGTGGATAGCATCAGCGACCTTGACACACTCGCGCATCTTCGTGGGTGACTCAGCCGGCGTCGACGAAGAACCCGGCAGACTCAATCCCATAGACTCTATAGCCGTAGCCATAGTATTAGCCGTAAACATTCCTCCACAGGCACCCGCCCCGGGACAAGCGTGACGTTCAAGATCCTCAATAATTTCATCCTTATTTTTGGTATTGTCGCCTCCATCATCCGGTTGGCGAAGGGTATCGTAAGCATAAGCTCCTGCCGCTTCGAAGCAGCTGGAAATATTGATTCTCTTTCGTAACAATTCGGAATATCCCACAGCGATTGTTCCGCCGTAAATCATGATAGATGGTCTGTTGTGTCGGGCCATGCCCATGATAACACCGGGCATGTTCTTATCGCAACCTGGGATGCAGATATTTGCATCATGGTATTGTGCACAGGTAACCGTTTCGATACTGTCAGCAATCAGTTCTCGGGTTTGCAGAGAAAACCTCATTCCTGGATAAGCAGGCTTATGTTAGCATACACCTATCCATTTGCCAATTTAAACATATATATCAATGATGATGTATTCCTTACCCTCGGTCCCCATAGTGATACCATCAGAAACACCAACAGTATTATACTGCCATGCAATGGAGCCCCTATCTGTAATAGCTTTCTTGACAGTCTTTCCCAAATCCAATAAATGCATATTACAAGGGTTTCCTTCCCACCAAACCGACGCAACTCCAATTTGGGGACTCTTTTTCATTGCATTTCGATCGGGGACGCCGGCAGCGTAGAGCATTGCCTGGTTCAACGATTTCAGTATTAAAAACAAACAATTGATTATTTAGGAGCTGGTACAGACCTGTGCCGCAGGTGAATCATGTCCGCGAGTCAGGACGGTCGAATATCTGTTCAAGATGGGTGTTCCATCTTCATGTTTTGAGCCTGGAGGGGCGGGGGAGTAGTTGATATATTTTGGCTCTTCAGGCATTGTTAGATGGTAAACAGTGTTGAGCTGAACTGAACTCAAAACAGTGTTTGCTGAGCTCAGATCAATGCTTTTGAGCAATGTAGACATCCAACTAAGAAAATAATAAGAGACTAAGATCGGCCAGAAAGCCTTGCCTTATGACAAAAGTGCGGGGTGCTCCCCGGACATCGGCAGGAGCTAATCAGAACGAATCCATTTCTCATCAGCATTTTCTCACCGAACACTGCGTGGATATTAAATCTAACATGGAATCTGCTCAGGCTATGCTTCTCCTAAGTTCCAATGCCATTTTTACTTGAACCATCTTAGTATGTGTGATTACATCCGTGAACCGAGATATGTCTTTCCCGCGGGAACGACCTGGATTGTGAGTAATTAGAAATTATCAGCAGCATATCTCAAATTACAACATATCGAGTAGAGAGCATAAAGCGGAGAGGTACCCTAATCAAAATCCAAACAGACAATCAACTCCACAGTCTCTTGACCAGCAAAAGAGGACAAAGAAGTCGAAGAACGAAGATCAAGACAACAATCCAAAACTAACAGCAGCACCCACCCCGGCACCGGCCAACGGAAAAACGCCTCTAATCAAATTAAGAAACGACCACTTCTCCAGATGGCCCACGAGTTCCCTCTCGGCTTTCTCAAATTTCACTTCTCCCCCTTGTTTCGCAGCTTCAACAGCGGGAAGATCATGTTCGCCCTTCGTATACGGCGCAATAGCATTATTAACAGGCGCAATTGCGAGGAGCGTAAACGGAGCAATCATGACATTTAACCCGGCAGCAACAAGATAAAACACCCAGCCGCCGTGACGCCTTCCGAAGCGGTCACTGTGAAGTGCATACGCGACGTAGGAGTATAAAAGACTAGATGTCACGGCCATGGATGGGAAGACTTTCTTCCCAAGGTCGTAGGTAAACTGCCATTGATGCGCAATGTGGGATAGGGGAGCTCCTAGAGTTATTGCGCTGCGATTGGTGGTGATGCGAGCTTTGGGTTCTTTATGCTTGAGGCCGATGGCTGGAATGGTGAAGATGGAGAGGGAGAGGATACCGCCTATATCCATGGCCCTGGGGTTAGAATTGGTTTGAATCTTTAGGGATTGTTTTACGTACCGGAAGCGGCGGCGGCGGTCAGGATAGCTGAGATTTGTGCTGTCTTGACAAGAATAGAGTCCGCCATGATGAATTAGACTGCGTGATGGAATTAGTTGAATGAGTTGGAGAGTCGATGCGACTGAACAGGTATGAATCTGAATATAGAGTTGATATAAAATTCAGTGGGTCAGACGGAATACATGACGCTTATATCTGCCAGACATCAGGTGGTCCTTCACTTGGCCAGGTGGAGCCTCAGACAGCATCATTCTGACCTCGCACGTTGGCGTCCTGCGATGGATTATTGTTGGTATTGGTATTATGTACATGTACTACATAGAAAAAGCTAATAATAATCCGACATCTCAGCCCGATTCGGGTACGTCTCCTAATGTTTCTCTGTCAATCGTTGACCACGTCCTGGAACTTTCAAACGTGTCGTTAGCGACCATGTCGCTCAATTTATCCTCCTCCAGTTCATCATTATCAATTGTTGTCTCATCTTCAGAGATATGTTTCTCCCGCTCCTCCTTGTCCTCTGCCACCACAAATCCCACTACCTTGCCGTTCGAACTTGATCGTGGTGCCTCTTCAAGAACGTCGCCGTTCCAAGGTTTACACTGCTTCACAATCTCACCACAACGCAGACAGGTCCAGCCTTCGCCCTCTTCAGCTTCGAGCTTTTCTGTAATACATACAAAACAATATATACACCCGCACGGAATTGTTTCGTAAGGATTCGTAATGTCGGTTTGCGCTGAACCAATAATACCACCTGAAGACGAACCAAGAATATCAGCTTCCGAGGTCGATGTCGGATTCTGATCATGATAACAAATCGCACATGTTCGTTCTGGAAGAAAGGCGAATTGTCCCTGTTTTTCTGTAATAGCCCCACCACTATCATCTGATGCTTTGATTGTAGCCATTGTTCTCTTCCAGGCTCTAGATATCCAGCGTCGCCAGCGACCGATTCCAACGAGTGGAAGAAGGAACAATAAGAATTCTGTAAATGCGTGCCACACTAATTGCCGGTTGAGATATTCGAATGATACCTCCCGACTGACCTGGTTCGATGGGGGTGCGAGGCGGATGCGGAGTATTCGGTCGATCAGTGTGCGGTATCGCCCGTTCACAAGAAAGACTAAAAAAGAGACGAATGCTGCGATGGAATGGGTCGTCGATACGAGGTTCGTTATTCTGGACAAAAGTTTGATATCGGTTGATGGCTATTAAGAAATTAGTACGTAAACATATAAATAAACGCCGGTTGTTATACCTCATCGTAGCCATTTTCATGTTCAATCAACCAACTTTCCCATTTCTCCCATGCATAACGCCCTCCAACGGTAAACAGACCATGAAGCAATTTCTGCCATGTCGTAGGTGGTTTGGGGACGGCGGATGTGGATCGGCTATCGACGTATTGAAGACCTTGCAGCGATGCGCCGTATGAAGCGTTATGGTCCCAAATGGAGAGTTTGAAAAGAATAGCCCGTAGCGCTAGTTGGATTTCGCTCGACCATTCCTCGCGAGCATGGGACTGTGAAATAGAGAGAGATTAGACAAGTAAAAGAGTGCACTGACAATGTTCATACCCCGAAATATTTCAATGCCTCTCCAACTTGACATTTGAGCAAGCCGAGCAATTCTTCGTCTAATAATTCTGCATCGACCTGACCAACCCGGAAAATAGGTTTCGTACCATCCCGGCCTTTGACCTTGTCCCAGATTAAGAACCCAGACTGTGTCAATCTATTCAAAGGATCTGGTAATCTCGCGGAATTGATATGCGATGCACGCTGTTGTTCGACAAGGCGGGTCTGAGCTTCCAACTCAAGACGCTGGCGACGCTCTAGGACCCTCTTCTGAGCGGCAGCGAAGTCGGCGGAAGTCATCGCTGTATCATAGCGAAGTCAATGTGATGGAGGTCCAGGTCCTGGTAGGTGTCGTTGAATTGACAAATCGTGATGACGACCACTGGTTTCTTGCACAGACGGCAGGATCCAAGAGCCGCGCGTGGGCCGAGGTTCATTGTTAAGTCTGCACGTGACCCAGATGATTCCATTGGTTGTAAGATGCAAAATATGCAAACAGTACCCAAGTCACCACCTCGACATCATTGTTGGTACGTACATAAACTCGAGACAGGTCCGCATAGTTTTTATCCTTGCCTAGAGCGTTCGTGACGTGAGGGTTTGTGCTTATATCGGATTCGAGCCTACTGGCACATCAAGACAAGGGTAAGGTTGAACCGAGCACATCCTCTAGGCCTGTGCATGGCTCACCCGTTTACGTATAGAGTCACAAACCGCGTCGGACAATATGTACACTCCGGTCTATACTCCGATACTGCTGTCTTCGCTGAAAGCGACGAATCGATTCGCTCGACTGCAGGGTCTGCCTAGTTGGTATCCACGCTTCTGCGAGTTCTGGATTCGAGCAAAGATTCGTGATAAGTTTTTAAATAGGTGAATACCCACGTGGACGCTATGGTACAACCTTGAACGGTGGCATGTCCGAGACACGATAACATCCAATGGTAGTACCTGATACATATCAAGAATTCAATACCAAGGTGGGGATATCTTTGTAGCTTACTGGCCAGTGAACTGGAGACTATGAAAAGACGAGTAAAGAGCTTCTAGAAGGTGTTAATTACAAAGAACAGTACCTGACGTGATTGGAACTTTCGAAGTGAACGACGGACTTATACCGGATCCTTTCATGAGAAACAACGCCGGCACGTGTTGCCCGCCGTGCCTGTCTAGATCGCGGGTTGAGCCGACAGCCGAGCAGAATTGAAAGAACTGAGATGTACGTACGTATAGAAGTCTTAGAGATTGAGATCCATGGCATAGGTTATATGAAATATCTTGACTACATCGGAAGTGGTGGAGATATACTACCTCTCGGCGCCAATCCGGTTGAGCGGATTACTACGCTTGTCCGGTGGAGCCTGAGGCAGCGGACGAGTCACAGTGGGCAGCCACGCAGCGTGACCGGCTGGTCTGCTCTGATTCCTCAGGCTGCCAATCAGCCTCGCTAGTCATGCAAAGAAGCTCTTCTGGAGGAAGCTTGGGATCAGCCAGCTTCTATTCGCTGGAATGCGCCTGCTTTGTCCAGGATCTAACCGGGATGGAGAATTGCCAATACGACAACAAGATGTGCTAATTTATGTCTCCCACGTGCAGACATAGCAGCTAGAAGCTGTAGGTTGTAACTACGGCGTCGTATGAGTATGCATGCGACGTTGGCGAAATAAAAGGTCCCTTGGTCGCCCTTGCTGATCCTTTCCCTTCCCTCTTTTCTTTCCCTCCCTTCGACAACAACACCATAGCAGTCTTTCATCATCACATTCAATTGCTTGAAAATGCAGTCTGCTCTCCTGTTGCTCGCCGCCGCTGGTGCTGCTGTGGCCCAGTTGGCTACCGTCAAGGAGCCATCTCGCGCTGACATTGCTGCTGCCGCCGCCACTGTCGTCCCTTCGTCCCCAGTTTCCAACGTTGAGGGTCTTGCTTTCAAGCGTTTCTATCAGGTCTGGTTGGAGAACATTGTACGCGGTCCTTTTGCCCCGTCTGATCTACTTCATCTGACCGTATCAGGACTACAGCAATGCTTCCGCCGACGCCAACCAGAAGTACTTGGCCTCCAAGGGTATCACCTTGACAAACTTCTGGGCCCTCGCTCACCCCTCAGAGCCCAACTACGCTGCCGCTGCTGCTGGTGATATGTTTGCTATGGATACCGACGACTTCATTCAGATCCCTCAGAACATCTCCACCGTCGTCGATCTCTTGGACACCAAGGGCATTTCTTGGGGTGAATACCAGGAACACTTGCCTTATGCTGGTTTCCAGGGCTTCAACTACTCCGACACCGCTGCCAACGACTACGTTCGCAAGCACAACCCTCTTATCCTCTATGACTCTGTTGCCGGAAATGCTTCCCGTGCTGCTCAAATCAAGAACTTCTCGAGCTTGTGGTCTGATATTGCTAGCAACACCGTCCCTCAGTGGGGTTTCATTACTCCTAACATGACTAACGATGCCCATGACACCAACATCACCTTCGCTTCTGTCTGGGAGCGCGCCTTCGTTGAGAAACTCGAGAACAGCACTGCATTCTGGAACGAGACCCTCATCTTGCTCACCTTTGATGAGTCTGGTCACTACCCTATCCAGAACAAGGTGTTCTCCGTCCTCCTTGGTGGTGCTGTCCCCAAGGAGTTGGTCGGCACTACTGACGACACCTTCTACACCCACTACTCTACCTTGTCCACCGTTCAGGCTAACTGGGGTCTTCCTTCCCTCGGTCGCTGGGACTGCCATGCCAACATCTTCCAGATTGTCTCCAACAAGACTGGATACACCAACTATAAGGTCGACACTACCAACTTGTACTTGAACTCCAGCTTCTACGGTCCTCTGTCCACCAATACTTACTCCAACTACTCTTCCGTCTGGCCTGTCCCTCTCACCAACAACGACTCTTGCGCTGCTGGTCACGGCATCCTTCCTTCCGTCAAGTCTACCTGGGGTGGTAAGGCTCCTACCTACAACTACTCCAGCCCCTTCCCATTCGACACCCAGTCTCACAAGGACATTAACGTTGCTTTCTCCCGCAACGGCTCTACCTGGGTCTCTGGTGTCAACAACACCATCTTGGCCGGTGTCACCTCCAATTCTACCTCCTCTAACTCCACTGGTTCCAGCACTAGCTCTTCTTCCACTCCCACCCATACTGGAGCTGCCTCTGTGAACGGTGCTTCTGGTGTCCTGGCTCTTGCTGCCGGTGTTGCTTTTGCCTTCGCCTTGTAAATTATATTATGATGAACCAGGACAAGCATTAGGCTTGCCGAACGCTTGTATCACAGCTTTTCGATGCCGAGAATGTTTTAATAAAATGGTCCTTACTTTTACTCAATCTTCCCTTTTAAATGTAAGCGTAACCGTCATCATAACTCATGGAAATGCCATCTATTGATCATATTCATCATATAATACATAATTCATATCCTGTCTGCCCGGAGTCCTGGTCTTAGTAGTTGGTCCTCTGTACAGGCACACCATCATCGCCAGGTCGCCGCTCCTGAATAATCTTCATCTTATCTTCAGGACCACCAGTTCCTTCAAAATCTTTTGCTTCGCTCATTCTATCAGAGAGGAGTTAAATATTAGTGTTTTGCTCAAATAGAAGGAAAGTTTGTGTGTTGACATACCGTCCCCTTGCATCAATCTCACCCCCTTCCTCGGGCGGAATCTTCCTGCTACTACTGCCACCGAAATTTGCCTTTTCGCCATATCGTACATCGGCGCCGGGGAAGTCTTTTTCGACGTTTTCGTTGACGCCGGATTCGGTTGCTATGATCATTTCCGTTAGTACTGGACGCGAGTTGAGGGGAAAATGAGGTGGTTGAAGATATCACGTACTTGATAGGCTCTGGTTACCGGCCCCTTGTTTCTTTTGATAGGAGTTCAGATCCCGTTCAGCTTGGTGGGCAATATCTGTGAGGTCTGACATGTTGGGAGTTGATATCGATGGAGGAAAGAACGTTCAATCGGCTTCGAAATGTGTTTATAGTATGGTTGAATCGAAGTTTGATTTCTGATGATAAGAGTCTGGTCTGCAATGTATATAGAAGAAAGACGGCTCTATATAAGTAGGTCGCGTGCAAGATGGATTGGCTTGCTGCATCATGACCGAGTATGCATCATGGCGATGTCATTCTCCACATATTTTCTGGAGAAGAGTTACCTGCTTCAATGGACAAATGAGGTTGATTGATGGGTACTATAATGACTAATCAGATCAATCCATACGTGAGTCAGCAACCCAAGGTTTAACTATCATAGATGAGAGGAATATGCTCTAAGACAACAGAGGACAGTGAAAAGATACCTCACTGGGCTAGAAATGTAGTCTACACAGTTAGCTCGAAATGACTTCCACTACATAAACTTACAATGAGTGCTTTCTAATCAATGCTAATTAATTCTGTACTCTTTAGATGATGCGTGTGCGTGATTCATCGTGGTATGGCCAAGCGGGCGACTATTGAGTGACTTCATCCCATCATCATGCCCTAATCTCTAGCCCTAATCTGCCTGTTTAGAGCTAGTTCCATCATGGGAAAACCATTCATCCGTTCTTGCTGACCGCCCGGCGATCATACGCGGGGAACAATTGTTTTTGGTCCTTCCTAAAGGGAAAGAAGTGATAGCTTCATTGACCTCTGCTTGTTCTTTATTCTTGTCCATTATTCGTGTTTGGATACACTGGTGTGAGACCAAAGCTTATAATCAGCCCAACTTTCGCTTCTCTCATCAAAATAACCTAGATTCTCTCGCATGATCTGGGAAACAATCTCTCAGTCGATCGCGGTCTGATTTGCGCCTGCATCGGCAAGCGACCATGGCCGATGCAATAGAGGTTCCTGGGGAGACCAATCCTCTCACTGCCCAAAATCTACTCAACTGCCTTTTAGCTGCGGCTAGTTCAGTTCAACAGCAAGTTCAGATTGGTGCTCAGCAACTGCAACACTGGGAGAAGCAAGTGGGCTTCTACCCTCTACTTCAGGTTTGTCTGTGTACCAGCAGTTTCGTGAATTGATACTTACTTGAATTGCAATTCTAGGAGGCTTACCTGGATCACTCCCTCCCCCTGGAGATTCGATACTTGGCCATCATCCAGTTGAAGAATGGTATCGACAGATACTGGAGAAAGACAGCTACCAAGTATGTTTCTCTTGAAGCCTGACTCTTCTGGTGCTAACAGAAACGCAGCGCGATCAAGAAAGAAGACAAGGAACAGATCAAAAGCAGGGCTCTTGAGGCAGGCATCGTGGAACCGGCACCTCTGTTGGCTCTCCATAATGCCTTGGTGATTGCCAAAATCCTTCGTTATGAATTCCCCAGCGACGAATGGTATCTATTTTTTATGCCCTACCTGAGATTTTGTGTGCAAGTGTACTGATAATTATGATATGCAGGCCCAATGCCCTTCCATTCCTCATTTCCACGCTACGTTCGTCCGCACAACCCGGCGCACCTCCCTTACAATTTCCGCGAACTCTCATAATATTACTACAAATCATCAAGGAGCTTTCCACAGCTCGTATGCAGAGGGTCCGAGCCAGCTTACAATCAGCATCACCCGAGATATTCCAATTATTGGGTGGTATATACGTTGAAAAGGTCAACGCTTGGAGTGCGCTTCTGGAATACAATCGACTGGACGACGCTTCGTTACTAGAGCTACTCGAACAGACCTTGATATCCCTTAAAGTCATACGACGACTTATCATCGCTGGCTTCGAGCATCCTCATCGCGATAAAGACGTTCAAGGGTTCTGGACACTTAGCCACACACAATTCGCAAACTTCTTTGGGTTTTCAGAGACTATGACAAACCCACCACGAGTTAACACATTGATCAAGAAACATCTGCTGCAATTCTCGAAATTGCATGTTGAAATGGCCAAGGTTCACCCGGCAGCTTTTGCACTTCTTCCAGATTGCGTGGCGCTTGTTAAGTCCTACTGGACTGTTGTTTCTCGGCTCGGAGAAGTATACGACGCCGAACGCGCCTCACAAAGCCGACAGGAAAAGGACGCAGACGAAGGAGATGAGAAAAATGTCATCGAGACTCTTGGCCTGAAGGCGCTGTTGCTTATTCGAGCATGTGCCAAGATGGCATTCAACCCAGTGCACAGCTTCAAGTACCAGCAGGCCCAGGATAAAGAGGAAAGGAAAGACTCCGTGGAGCTGATTAAGTCTCAACTTTTTACCCAAGACTTTGTCATCATGATCATGGAGCTCATTGTTTCAAAGTTCTTGAGACTTCGCAAGGTGGACTTTCAAGAATGGGAAGAAGAGCCTGAAGAGTGGGAGAGGAAAGAGGACACCATGTCTGAAGCCTGGGAGTTTTCTGTTCGACCCTGTTCAGAAAAGCTCTTTTTAGATCTAATTATTCACTTCAAGCCTCTGTTGGTTCCGCAGCTGCTCAACGTCTTCTATAATTTCGCAAGTACGTCTTATACCCTTATCGTATATGACCGATCAAGACTAATATTATCTGCTTAGACCCCCAAAATCAGGATATCCTAATGAAGGACTCACTTTATTCAGCCATTGGACTGGCTGCAGCGAGTTTGGAGCAGCAGTTGGATTTTAATGCCTTTATAGAAAGTGCATTGGTCCCAGAAGTGCAGATCAACGAACAAGGGTACAAGGTTTTGCGGCGAAGAGCTGCCATTGTCATAGGGCAATGGATGCCAATTCAGCCTGAAAAGATGAATAGGCAATACGTGTATCAGATTTTCCAGCATCTATTCAACAAAGCAGATCCCGTGAACGACCTCCCTGTTCGCATTACCGCAGGTCGACAGCTAAAAAATGTGCTCGATCCCTACGAATTTTCTCCTCAAGAATTCCTACCATATGCGACGCCAATTCTTCAGAACCTCCTTACTTTGATTCAAGAAGTTGAGCTTTCGGAAACAAAGATGGCATTGCTGGAAACAGTACGGACGGCCGTGGTGAAAATGGAAGACCACGTAAGCGTTCATGACATATCAGGAATGGAATGCCTGGACTAACTCGATGAGTAGATATTGCCATTTTCTGATCAAATAATGTCACTTTTGCCTCCTCTCTGGGAGCAATCGGGTGAGGAACACCTCATGAAACAGGCCATCCTTACTCTTCTTTCGTCCTTGATGAATGCGCTCAAAAGTGACTCCGTCAAATATCACAAAGATATGCTTCCACTTATACAGAACTCGATAGAACCTGATTCGGTGCGTTGATCCTGTCTCTTGATAAGCGTTTTCATTTTATTGTTCCTAACAGCAGCAGGAAACTATCGTGTATCTATTAGATGAAGCACTCGAGCTTTGGGCGGCAATATTGACGCAAACCCCAGCTCCAGCATCTTCAGATATTATCTCACTGTTTCCCCGATTACTCCCCATATTCGAAGCAGCTACAGATAGCGCACCATTGGCGCTCCAGATTGCCGAGAGTTACATACTCTTATGTCCTCGAGAAGTGCTCCATGATGAGATACGCGTGCCCTTCCTGGCATCTTTGGAAACACTACTTTCGGCAGTCCAGCGTCAACGTCTTGGGGTGATTCCTCATCTCGCAGAAATGCTTATCCGTGCGACTGAGCACATAGACGGCGGTAGCGAGAATTCGTACAATGTCATCGCCAAGTCTCTTCTTGACAGCTCGTTCTTGCATGCTATTTTAGATGGTCTCCATTCTGCCTATGAAGCCAGTCAATCCACGGGACCAAACAGGAAGACATCACATATCTACGCCAATCTCGAGACGGATTACTTCAGTGTTCTAGCAAGACTGGCGCTAGCCAACCCAAGGGTATTCCTATCAGCCATATCAGCTGCAATCTCGACATCTGAAGAACAAGTACTCTCCTGGCTCCTAACGGAATGGTTCTTTCACTACGACAACATCGCGCTCGTAACACAAAAGAAATTACACGTTCTCGCACTCACGCAACTCCTAGCAATGAACGCGACGCAAGCACCTCCACCAACCTATCTTCTCAACCATCTCCAATCCTACCTCACCGTCTGGACCGACGTCGTCACCGAACTAGCAGAAGGTTCCGATGAGCTCTCAGCCTTGAACAATAGAGACCCGCACGCAGCAAGGGACTACCTAATCTACTGGAATCCAAACTCGAACACGACAGACGTCACCAATAATAAAAATGAACCACCCGAAAACGCACGACGCAGGCAATGGGAAAATTCCGACCCGGTTCATTCCTTCAATATCCGTCAATTCATTCAAGAGCGTTTACAGGCCGTTATGCATGCGTGTGGTGGCGTACAGCGGTTTCATGAGGAGTGGCTGGTGAATGTTGATAGGGATGTGGTGAATGCGTTTGGATCATTGGGAATTCTCTGATTCTACGTATACATATGACGGTCGACGTTATCTACTTACATTGCATACATTAACTCGGGTTGAATAGGGATGACATAAACAGGCGTTAGACTTTCATGTAGGTATCTTGAAGCATTCTTGATTGTTGATTAGGTATTAAACATAGCCCTGGATGGGATCTTCGACTAGCATACTGAAAAATGAGTCCCAAAATAAGTAATATCAGCGAATGGGCCAAATCATTTATTCATAAGAATATCAGCAAGGAGAGATAGCAAGCGTCCTAAAAAGGAGTACGTATAATCAAAGCCACGAAGAGTATTTGACACGAAAGAGACGTGCGAGAGAAAAAGGGAATTATTCAAACAGTTTCAATAAGGAATGATAAAAACATGAAGCTAAAGTATTACACCATCGGAAGGTAGGATCAACTAGCATTGTCCAGGGAATTGACGAGACGACACTGGGTTAGGGAATACGTTAGCTGCTAATTGACGCTTCATGTCCCATTCAGGAGCACCCTCAGTAGTCCAAGTCCAGTACACCCAGCCGGTGTGTTTTTCATATGCATCTAGTTGAGCTTCGATGAAGCGACGAAGGTTGGTGCGGACGTCTTCCGGGAGAGCAGTGACTTCACCCTGGGAATATCTATCACAGCTGCCGTGGAAGGTACTTCCAGATCCATAGCTTCCGTCCCATCGAGCACCGACTCCACGGCCATTGAGGTATTTCGCGCAGTCCGTCATGGCTCCGGTCCATTCACCAACGATTGTCCATTTGTCGGTAGCAGCGACTTTGTCTCCAAAAGAACATGCGGTCTGGGTGTGGCCGTTGATGTCGAGTGAGAGGAGACCATTGTCAAAGACCTCGTAGTGATGGGTGTCCATCATCACGTTCCAAACACCGGAACCAGAACCCATGAATCCATTCCAGAAACCGATATCCTGGAAGCCATCATGCAAGGTTAGAGCGGTATCCTGGTTGACTTCTCTGAGACGTCCCCAGCTGTCATAGTAGTATTGTTGTAAGGTCCAGACGTTAACACCCGCATCTCCCATAACTGTCATGGGTTCATTGAGCGCCTCGATTGAAGTAACGACATCAGACTGGGTAGCGTAACGTTCAGAAAGGGCCCTGATTGCATCCAGAGTGACGTTGATTTGTTCAGGAACTTTATCCCAGTTGATTGAGCCGCGACGTCCACTGTTGTCGAAACCGTTCTGTGATCCAGGGGCTGATAACCTAGCTTCAGCATGATACATTTGCCAGTTTAAAGGAAGAATAGTACAACTTACCACCATGCAAGTCCACAATGACCTTCAAGCCTGCATCACGCGCCCAATTGATGGCCTGGTCTAGCACACTAAGCTGACCCTGAACATAAGGTTCCCCGGGCTGGGGCACAACAGCCCAGTATCCGATAGGGATTCGGACATGGTTCATACCGGCGGCACTGATCTGATGAAAGTCGTCGACGGTGATGAATGAATTCCAGTGCTGAGACAGGATGCCCTGAGCATCAGCACCGAGGGCGCCGGACAAACACCACTCATCCACGGCACCTTCTCCTGCCTGTTCGAAGAGTGAGGGTGTAATCCAAGGTTCTAGGACCAGCCATCCACCCAGGTTAACGCCTCGAACTTTGTCGGAGTTGTAATTAAAGGCCAGATCTCGCGATTCCACGCGACTGTAATAATAATAATCAGAATGTTATCATCATACAGGAAAGAGAAGAAATCTTACACTCCTGGTGCTGCCTGAGCCAAAGCCATAAATGTGGCAAGTGCCGCCAGGGTAATGTTTTGCATCTTTGAGAATATCATGTTGGCACCGAGTCAACAGTGCTGAAAGGAAAAACAGGTATGTATGTGTGCGTGTATAGATATGTCGAGAAAGAACTGCTTCAAGTCAATTGAAGCTGGCACAACACGATGGACGACCGACGATCGATAGACTCAGATCTGAGGAACGACTTGGCGATATAAGTACTCAGCGGGATTAGCCAGGTGGTATCCGAAAGCAGACTGCCAGAGCACCATGCGAGTGAAGTAGAGGTTCGGTAATAACAGTGAAATGACCTGTCAGAGCGGCGATACCCAAAAAAAAAAAAATAAGGTAACCCCGACCCCTCCAACGGAGATACAGAGATCTGGTGGATGTCGACCTCTGTCGAGGGCGTATACTGTGCAACAGGGGCGAGATGTTTAACTGTAACAGTGGAGTAGACTCGGCGTCTGGTTGAAAGGTACTGGCGAAGAGAACGGATCGATTGGTTAGCGATATAATCGAGTGTCTGAATTCAGACAGGAAGAGAGTGGACGAAGTTGAAGCTGGAGAAAGACAGATCCCGTGACAAAAGCAGTAAAGGCAGCCACGACTCGGTTACCCGATTAGGAAAACCCATTGTATAAATTTCTTACCAAGTTAACTAGTTAACTAACGTTAACTTGACGGCGAGTCAGACTTACATAATACACTGTATAACTTACTTAGCTAGCAAAGGTCTAGATAGAGACGAGGAATGCGGAGACCTCGACTGAGGTGCCCTAAAACTACACATCATCGAGATGTTGCTACTAGCACCTAGCCGCATAAGGCATTCAATCCACCCACTACAAGCTCGTATAACGTGAGTACAGAGATACGGATGTTTTCGACAGGAGAGTAACTCTTTAAGAAATATAAATGCACTGCAACATGGGTCTCTCGCCCATGGATATGAACTATACAACTAGGTGCCTAATTCAGGCACCTCTATATCTGGAACGGGAGTCAACGACCGATATTTGATAGACCATCCTGACACGCGCATACCGAGATCTTGCTGATCCCTTTGAAGATTTAAGCGTAACAAAATACCACGGGATCAACATATTTTCCCTTGATAGTCTAGGCTTTCGTTATTCACCGGTAGTTGTCGAACTTGTGTCGACGACACGAAGAATGTTGCCTGTTTCATTGAATGGTTGCTTTAGGGCTAACCGCAGCATCTGCCTTAGAGTTCAGGCACAAATACAATACAAGACAAAGAAAGGAAGGACAAGTTCCGAAAACAAAACCAAAAGAAAAAAATAAAAAAAGAAACTACATTTCTTTCTTATATCAGGCACCTATGGTAATGCATTTCAAGGCACAGGCTACGTACTTGGACAATATCATTGCTGAAAACAGAGAGTGACAATGTTCCGCATGCGACTTCTTGCTATGCGGATGCCTCAGGCATCCGCTCAGCCGGAAACAGTACATACAACCTAAGTACAGTCCGGACTTAGTTAGAAGAACGTCTCCATCTTCCCCATCTTATGCTCGAGTATCTATCTACAAGAAAAGAAACACGATCAAGTGATGTTTCGTGTCTCGTGTCCAATAGCCAGTCGCGGAGATGTAGGGTTATCTAACAACCCCCCCCGGGCCCCGTCAGCGGCAGTCGGCGCGGCAGTTGGCTGGCTGAACAGGGCCACTAGCTGATCGATATTGGAGTCGCTAAGTTCGTAAGAACATACGAGATGGAACGTAGATCGATAAACGGGGGGTGGCGGACTGGGCTAGATATATTAGGGCTGTCGCCGTGTTATCGCCGGAACCCGAAGGATCATGCCACCCTCGGATAACATGGTGTAGGCCGGAAGAGCAAAATACCTCAAACTCTCGCAATAGCATCGACTCACAGGCCGCATCCTTCGCGGTTAGCGACCTCCCCGTAGGCTAATTTGCGGGAGATTGTTGCCTTACAACGATCGTGTGATCTCGCTTCATGGATTATCGCTGGTTGGCTGTCTATGACATACGCCAGGGGGTTGGGTCAATCTCGTATAAATGCAGGATGCATCCATAATTCTGGAATAATATTGATTGATTATCACAGTTCTCTTATTGACAGTGGAGCGGCTTTTTCCACGTCGGCTAGTCTCAAACACACAGCGGCAAATCAACCCCGTACTTCCCCTTTGACAATATCCTGCAAAGCCAGAAGCGACCAAGTCCAACATGCCTGGCACTCAAAGTAGCTGTCCAGTGGAAGTGCCGATAATCTCGGAGCCGACTCCTTCGGCAGACGCGACGAAATCAACGGCATCATGTCCTATGAAGTCGTGGCCGCGCGCCATCCAGCATATCGACCGGAAGGACTTGTATACCAACCTGGAAGACAGAATACACTACCTGCACACTTTCCTGGACTTCAGTTCCAGTACGCGTGCCAAGCGAACTTCTTGCAACCTGAGCCTGTGCTGATACGTTGTGTAGATGACATTGAAGCGCTCATCAGCGGATCCAAATATATCAAAGCATTAATACCGGCGGTCGTCAATATCGTATACCGCAAGCTTCTTCAATATGACATCACGGCAAGAGCCTTCCAGACGCGAAGTACAAGTTTTGAAGGCCCTCTAGACGAGTTCCCCAGCGAGGATAGTCCACAGATCATGCATCGAAAAATGTTTCTGCGGGGATATCTGGTCAAATTGTGTTCGGACCCGAGTAAGATGGAGTTTTGGGAGTATCTGGATAAAGTTGGGTATGTTGGGACCTCCTTATTCCTTTCACAGCGATATATATCCTAACAATACTTTGCAGTATGATGCACGTCGGTCAAGGACGGGAACATCCACTGCATGTCGAATACATCCATATAGGAGCCTGTCTCTCGTTCATCCAAGATACCTTCACCGAGGCCATATTGTCTCACCCTCGAATGCAACTGCACCGAAAGATAGCCCTGGTCAAGGCTTTGGGAAAGGTGATATGGATCCAGAATGATCTTTTTGCCAAATGGTATGTGAGAGATGGTGCAGAGTATGCCGGTGAGACTGCACCAGCCAAGATTGAACAGGAAGGATATTTGCATGGAAAGAAGATTTTCAATGAGTCAGATGATTCTTCTGTAGGATCTAGTGATTAGGAGAAATAGAGACGTTCTTGCATACTTGTCTGAAAAGAGAGGTTCTTTGTTGTATGAGTTGGAGAGTGTATGGTGGTGTGCACTGGGAGTTACCGTCAAACGACAACCCCAAACAACAAATCACAATGATTGTGCCCGCCATGTTTACCTTTTCTGACTGCCTGTCTGGGCATTGATATTTCCCCTTCAGCTCTCTTGCACTTCCTGACAGTTTTCAAACAAGTCGCAGCAAGTGTCTTTTCCTCTTGTCGAGTACAGTTGTCATCGCCATATCCAGTGTGCTATTCGAGATCCATCTTCTCGACATCTAGGCATTTTGATCGTGTCTTTGTGTGATGTGGCCGAGGAATGTCGCGGACGACACGACACCGAACTTCGCTCATGCACTTTCCAACCCATCAGATCCACCATTGCCTCCACGATATGCCCAGTGTCCTCCATCCAAGCCGTTGACCCCCGAGTCTGTCTCCAGTCATCAAGCGCCGCCAACAGCTGAAGATGTACCAAACTCGGAACCATATTCCTTTGAATGGGCTATGGATCCATATAATCCAGACAAATTCCTGCATCCTCCCAAATACACCAAGCAAAATCTCATGTGGGCAGTCGAGTTTCAGATTCTGAGTTCCGAAGAGTTCCATCCGACAGTCATCTTCACTGCAAGGCTCCACCCAGAATACAAAGAAAGAATCGGTCTGGCAACTGAGCGGCTAACAACAAACGAATGGGCACGCGTGGTGATGTATATTCCAGATCCCGGCGTATACTTGATCGAGATTAGGATCATACCTAATCGTGCAAAGCTACCTGTGGCACTGTGTCGTCATCAGGGGCTTGTCGCTGTTTTCAAGGAAGAGGATATGGCGAATGTTCCTCTTGGACCTTTTGAATATAGAGTGCTCTATGGTGATGGCCATAGTCGCCGGGCTCAGGTGCAGAACATCACTGCTGCAGAATTGGGCGACCAGCCAGCAAAAAGGGATAGAGGATGGAGGGGGAAAGCTGATGTTAAACACAAGGATTATTCCATGTTCCAATGGCAGAGTCGTACTCCAGCACCTGAAGGTTGATGGCAGAAACTGGAATCGAGAGCATGGACTTATTCGTGTGTGGTCTGCGGCATTTGCCATGGATTCAATGTTTTAGATACAACTGGGGTTTATGGATGCAAGCAGTTTTCCATAGATGGTCGGAATCTGACTTTTATTCATGAAGGCTCATCAATTCTTACTTATGTAGTGTCACGTTATTTCATAACCTGGATGACTTTTGGAGCTGGATCTCAGAGGTCAAGATTTATTTGGCGAAATTCCAAACAAAATTAAATCAGAACGGAAAAAGAGGGAGACATAATCCGAATAACATATATTTATCCAAGCAGATTCCTGCAATGCAATCACCATCCAACCAACAAAAGGAGTATAGTCTCTCTCAATTTCCACGACCTCTTTCTTCCCTGAGAACATACTCTCGTCCAGGACGATAGAATAGAACATCCATGATTTGATTATTGTCGCCTTTGTTATTATAAATTGTCTACTAAATTTGATTAGTAGATTTTCCTCGGATATTCTCTATGTTACTATTGTACTTACCTTGACACAACCGTACCATCTACAACTGAATCAACACTGTGGACTTGAACGGCACGATGAACCATTGGATATGGTCTCCCTTTGAACGATACAACAGGGATATCGCCGGCGTGGATAAGTAATGGTCCGTTGGATAGTAAAATAAGATCACATCGATCTTTCTTCGATCAAGTTCTGCTCAAAATGTCATGATGTATAAAAGACCCTGCATTTCTTTAGGGCTTAAGAGCAACCTCTCGGGTAATAACCCTAATTTATCAATAATGTCAACTTCGGTCACTTTCACAGTGATAGCAAGGAACATGAATGGCCCAATCCCAAATGACATTAAAGCCTAGCCCATGAAAGCGAATAGCCTACAAGTCTTGATTTGGATTTCTATCTCGATTTAGGTGAGAAATGGTATTTATTTTTGATTCCCACATACCTGGCATATCAAACACTAACTACCCTAGTACCTATTGACTACATGCATGAATTATTTCAAGAGAAGCGGTCTTCTGAACACTAGAATGGAGAACAGAGATCCCCTCTTTATGGAAGATTTCTTGTTTACAATCTCTTCTCGACGCTACCCATCCTGTTCTCCTTATTGTAACATTTCTGTTAATGACCTGGAAAGCACTATCCATCGTGACTGCATCTCCCTCGTCAGTGATGTGCGTCATATCGAATTTTATGGTACCAGCCTACCAGGGTTCTTTCTGAATCGCCGTTCTTCTGTTTCGTTTGAATGGACAACCAATAGTGGACTAGACATTCAACTAAGCTGCGTAAACAAAGGATACGAGGGTAGCATTGCTCAACTGCCGACTTGATCAAGATAGCAGGATCGACCCCAGATTTATTAGATTAATAGCAGCTTTATTCTTGAAGAGGGGTCTACTCTATTCTATAAGGTTAAAATGATGTTGACCTGAGAACTTCCTAAATGGAGATGTCCCGGATGCAGCCAATCAGACAGAAAGAACGCTTCGGCCGTAGACCGTAGCCCTAGCTCCCAGCGACGTTGAATGACTTCTCCTAAACAAGATTATTAGAGACTCTGGAAAACTGACTAGATAGGAAAGATCCTTTATTCAATTGGCATATTATAGAGTTTCGAAGGAACATTCTATACGGCCGTTACGGATCTCCAGCTATTCTCTGCACTACCCCTGAAGAGACACACCTGCAAATTGGGCAAATTATCAAACTAGACATGACGATATACTTGTAGTCATAGTGAGATATTATCTCTCAAAAGTATATAAAATGAGTTATACACCTGCTCTCGTAGAAAAGAATACTAAGTCCTCTAGAACTCTCCCTTCTTGTCTCAACGAGTAGGAAAAATGACTCTAATAAGTTCAATCCTGAACGCTACCGCTTTGGTAGCTAGACTTTCTCAGAATGTCACAAATGGCAAGTACTGTTGACACGTTTTCTACTCCATGTTCGCTGAATAAAGACAATGCGTTTAGGTGGTTCGGTTCTGGGTACTCTAGATGCTCCTCGGCTGCCGAAATTCCTGACAAACAATGTAAGACCAAGCCCTGAAGACCACTCTTTGATGGAAATATTAACGTTTACGTATGTCTAACCCCTTCCTCGTGGCTATCCCTGGGCAAATCATACAAGTCCCAAAGACGATGTACCCAATACCGACGTGTTTAGGCATTACAATTTCGACATCATGGAAGGGTGGATGATGGCGGATGGTGTTAACAAGACAGGGTTGTACATCAATGGTCAATTCCCGGGTCCTACTATCGAAGCAAACTGGGGTGATACAATCCAGGTAGACTGTCAAACCCTTATTAAAGCTATTAAAACTAATGTGTCTTGCGCTTAGGTTACGGTCACCAACCATATTAAAGACAGCGCCGAAGCCACCTCTATGCATTGGCATGGGCTGCTCCAAAGAGAGACACCTTGGTTCGATGGTGTCCCGTCCAGTAGGCAATGTGTTTTCCACAACTGTTCCTCGTGCCAGCAGACAATTGATTTAGTATCGCAGTGCCCAATTGCACCCGACAAGTCATTTACATACAGCTTCATTGCTGATCAGTACGGCACAAGCTGGTATCACTCGCACTATAGTGCACAGTATGCGGACGGAACATTCGGAGCTATGATCATCTACGGACCTGAACATGTACCATATGACATTGACGTCGGGCCCATTCTTTTAGTTGGCCCAACGATCTATTTTGATTCCATAACCTTGTACAAATCATGACTGATATGTATATAGACGGACTATTTTCATACGAGATACTATCCCCTCGTCCAGAGATACACTGGAAGCCAGGACGTACCAAACTCGGACAATAATCTCATCAATGGAAAAATGAACTTTGACTGCTCTCTGGCGAACGGCACAGAATGCGTGCCGAATGTCGGATTGTCAAAATTCAAATTTGAGTCTGGCAAAGTTCATCGTTTACGTTTGATAAATGCCGGTGCCGAAGCACTACAGAAATTTACTATTGACGATCATGAGATGACCCTCATAGCGGCTGACTTCGCCCCGATCAAGCCGTATAAAACGAAAGTTGTTACTCTCGGCGTCGGCCAGCGTGCTGATGTTCTCGTGGAAGGGAAAGATTGCTCCGAATCTCAGAAGGCGTACTGGATGCGCAGCGATATCCCTGGCGATTGCAGCCACGCAAACCAGGCACACTCCTTAGCTGCTATTTACTATGATGATGCAGACACAGACTCTGTTCCACAGTCAACAAAGGTCAATTACAATATTTCCTCGCAGGGTTGTGTGGAAGACTCTCTGGAGCTTACAGAACCTTTCTTCCCCGAAGCTCTTCCTACAGAAATCACTACTTATCAGGATATCAACATTACATTCGGTGCCAACGCCACTGGGGCTATGGTATGGTTTGCTAACAACATCTCTTTTACTGCAAATTACAAGTACGTTTGATCTATCCACACATCAGGTTGGTTTATTTCTAAACACAGGGTCGCCGCAGTCACCCTCTGCTTCTTCTAGCAAAAGAAGGAAATACATCTTACCCATACGATCCCCAATGGAATGTCCTCGACTTTGGTAAACACAAAACCATCCGACTCTATGTTCGTAACTTCACCCCTCTCGCTCATCCAATGCACCTTCACGGACATAATTTTTGGGTTCTAGCACAGGGAAAAGGAGACTGGGATGGCACCGTCACCCGTCCTTATAATCCTCAGGTTCGAGATGTGCAGATAGTGGAAAAGGGATATCCCTACGAACCTGCATATATTGTTATTGAGTACAAGGCAGACAATCCGGGTATCAGGCCTTTTCATTGCCATGTGGCATGGCATGTTAGCGATGGGCTGTATATCAACTTGATGGTACGTTGTCACTAGATTCTTAATAGCGACACAAGAGCTTACATTGTCATACAGGAAAACGCTGATCTCATCAAAAACCGGGGTATTCCATATACATCTGCCCAAACATGTCGCGAATAGTGGAATTACACCGGCCACGAGATTATAGACCAAGTTAATTCTAGAGCATGAGGCCCTTTCTGTTCTGCATTGGACATGAAGTTGTGCTATATATATAATTCATAGTCCATCCGTTATCTTAATCTTAAGGGTGCTGAGTCGCCAGCTACATGATTCGATCATAAAAATCCAAGGATGCTTTATAACTTTGAAAGCATGGAAACGGACGGGGGTCAAGCACAAGTATATCTACTATACAAGAATCAAAAATCTCAAATTGACAAATGCAACACTGGAACAACAGCGATAAGGAATGCATGAGAGAATAACCCTACATGTTACCACCAACATAGTTTGCCCTACCCTAAGAGGAGGTAGCTTATTTTTGCCAACGTTGGATACTTAGTATAAAGAGTCTTATGGAATAAATAAGATATTATCTCTGAGGAAAAAAAAGACGGCGTACGGCCGAAGAAAAGACCCTTGTCTGGCGTTCTTTTAAACATAAACTAAGGGCTCCACTCAATAGGGTGGCTTTGCTACGGCCGAAAAGTCAAGGGAGAGTTCCATTTCCCTATTTAGGTAAAAACACGTTTCTTGGATTATTTGCAAATCAAAAGTTGAAGAGTTAGTCGTTCCACTACTATGTCTCATAACCTAGCTTTTAAGCCTATGTATTTCAGCATTAGTTTTGCCACAATACCCTCTGTAGCTGAAGGTATCACGTCAGAGGCGCGAACGCCATGATTCAGCCCTAACTAATCTCCGCTAGCTAGGTAATCCATCCCCGGAGTTCTATAGAATATCATGATGTGGAACACTTTCTTGCTACACTACGTATCGAACATATCTGTTTGGCATGGCCCTGCGGGACAGGAGTTTGCCTTGGAGCTTGTTCAGAATATCTACTTTCTGTTTCAGACACTTGGGATATGTATGTTGAAAATATCAAACAAGCGGCCAATGATAATCCAAACAAGTTAGGGCTCTTGTAGACTTTCACTAGTTCCCAGCGAAGCATAGGTCGAGGGTAGGTAAGGTAGCTGAAAAAACAATGTGAAGTGGGGAGATTTTCGTTCTTAAACCTTACAGTATCTTCAACTTTTTCTCCTCTAATTCTCTTCTATGGTCTTCTGTTCTGGGTATGATCAAGGACTAGCCAAAGAAGTCGACGATGAAATAGATATTTCATAAATCATTTATGCGTCGACCAAAAGAGAAATAACCCATTCATATGTTGATACCAGATTTTTAAGATTACGCAGAGAAGAGAAAGTGGGGATCGAAGCAATGAATCAGAACAACAGAGAAAGCTCAAATAACAATTGGAGAGGATCATCGCCAGACACCATCAGCAGTTCAAATACTAGCAGTAAAATCCTCGAAAAGCCAACCCGTGAGAAAGCCCGTCGCCGATACCGAGTGATTACCTCGTGTCTTGAATGTAGACGACGAAAGCTGAAATGCGATAAACAGGTACATGCTGTTTTGATGGCAAATGAATCTCGGTTTTCTGACTATAGATTACTAGGAGGTCTGTATGAATTGTCGGTCACAGAACCGACAATGCGTTTACATCGCATCGTCCGAGGGCAACGACTCTCAATTACGTCGGAAACTGACCGAAATGAAGGATGCAAAGGACTCTCTCGAGAAGAAAGTGCTACTGGGAAGGATTGAGGATCAAGAAAAAAGACAAATCCGGCTGCAAAAGCTTTCTGGGGCCCCAATTGCAAGTTTGGAAGGTGAGGTCGGCGGTTACGGAGATGAATCCGATGTAGAAGGATACCTTGAGCCAACGGCACTTGCTATTCCAGACGCGGCGTATGCAGAAGACGACTCAGAGCATGTTAATGATCTGGGGGTCTCATTGGGAATGATTCAACTATCAGAGAGAGTGGGCGGGCTTTATCGACCTAGAATTGGTGATGAGGTGCGGGCTATATTCTCATTGATCTGCTTTCGTTCTTTCTAACGTCGTTTATCATTCAGCTCGGGCAGTCGCTTCAGAACCAGTTGCCCAGGAGTCCGGCAAAGGCGAGTCCCGTCTACCAGAGCCCGGCTTCCACAGCCTCGCACAGCTGTACTTCCAAGTCCGGCATATCATCAAATGTACCCTCAGTTTGCATTTTACTGGGACAACCAGCGCCAGATGCCGATTGGCTCACGTTCCTACCTACAAGGGCCACAGCAGACAAGTTGCTTGAGCGGTACTGGGTATCGGTTCATCCGGTAGCACGCACATTGCATCGACCGACTTTCGCGCAAAGATACGAGACACTCTGGGAGCTTATCGATACTGGGACCAATATACCAGCATCTCTAGGGGCCATTGTCCTGGTGGTAATGCTCGCTGCTTCTGTGAGCATGTCTAAAGAGGAAACTTCGATATCATTTACGCAAGAAATGACGAACCGTTTGAAACAAGGTGCTGAGCTTGCGCTGAGCAAGGCAAATCTGCTGGTGTCTAACAAGACCGAAACTCTTCAAGCATTTATTACTTATCTAGTAGGTCCCTTTAACTCCTCGCTTATTCCGGTACTAACCTGCACCCAGCTTCCACTATGTGTTGACGGGATATCTCGCGCCCATTCGGCCTTGGTAGGGTTAGCCGTTCGATTGGCAGAATGCATGGGTTATCATCGTGACCCAACAGAATACGGCTTTTCGACTGCAGAGTGCCAGGTTCGGCGCCTTATTTGGTATCAAATATGCTATCTGGACTGGAGGACAAGTGAGGTACAGGGACCACGGCCATTCATTCAGCCAAACGGATATTCAACCAAATTACCGTGGGAGGTTACCCCTTCTCAGTCCTTTTCACCCAGTTCCAACATCGATACTGGGCCTCGATGGAATGACATGATTTTTTCCGTAATACGTTTTGAATGTCAAGAAATGCATCGCATCTGCCTTGTGATTCGGAAGAAGGTCGATCTTAAAAAGTTGACCATTACAGCAGCGATATCTAAGTTAGAGAGGTTCAGTAAGGACATGCATGATAAATACGACAGCGTTCTTAACTCTACTGCGCAACAGCCTTTACAACATGCGGCAAGAGTCACAATGGATCTTTTCATTAGCTTATTGTACCTCAATCTTCTCCATCGATATATGAACAGTGTCACATACAGAATTCCCGATCGTTTACGCCAGATCGTGCTCATCAAAGGCGCAGAGGCGCTGGAGGCAGCCGTTGAACTCGAAACAGCAGAGGACCTCCGATTATGGGCATGGTATACTTCAGCATATCAGCACTACCACATGGCTTTACTACTACTGTTCGAGGTCTTTACCTTCCCGCTACGCAAGGAGGCGGATCGTATCTGGCGCTGTCTCGACATTATCCTTGCAGATCCGTTGAGTAGTCTCACTGATCTTCCTACGCTCGGAAATCCACCAATATATCACGAGTTGATCGCTCATAGAGACGTGAAAGCTCGCTATCTTCTGAATTTAATCATTAGGCGGATGAATGAATACCGGGAAGTGCGGAAGTTGAGATCTCCGGTGACGCTGACCGATAGAATGATCTTAATCACGCCGCAGAAAGTTGGAGATGATTCCGATCCTACTTTACCACTGAACATTGGGCACGACCAGGAGTCTCAACCGCAGTCGAATGAAGCGCGAACACATTCGGCTGCTCATGGTGCCATTGAGAATGAATCATATTCTTCTAGTGAAGATATGCGGTCTTTGCCATTAAATTCTTTCGAAAATCCAGGGTATCAAGCTAGTCATGATCAAAGCTCTAAACAGCCGTGGATATCACCGGGTCTATCTGTATTTCACACACCTACGACATCCGTACCACGGGAAGCCTATCACTTTAATACTGTGTATCCTACTGGCAACATGCTTAAATTACCGAAGTCCAGCCATAATCATTACATGACCCCTATGGATACACTAGGCTACAATGAGAGCTATCCACATCAAGGAAGCTTTTTAGATCAAGGTTATCAAGAAGAGTTAGAAATTGACTGGGTATGTCTGCTCCACACCTTGAAAACCAAAACTAACCACAAACTGATGACTGATACAGGCGTCATGGGAGTCAATGTTTCCGCCAGGAGTATTACGGTAACCTTGACATACCTGATGTGGACATGCAAGGATACGTAATAGAAAATCAGTCATATTTTTAGCCTCGGGCGAATAGGACAGAGACGCATTGCACAATCTATGACTAATAATGATACACTGAAAGGGGTTTCCTTCTAAACCAAGGTGTTCCAACTGAAAGACTGAATGAAAGCCGTCAACTAAAATTGGCAAGACATAAGAAACAATTCCAACCCATAAACCGAGCATTAGATATGATCAGGCGGGAACGAGATCAGAAGTCATTAGAAGTCGTTCCGACCAGCCCTCCATGCTAGGATTCCATAGCCTGTATATGCAGTCAAAACAACTATCTGCGGAATAAAAGTCAAGAAGAGATAAATCACCCAACTCCCTTGTGATTGATCGAACTTGCTAATAACGGAGGTATTGTCCTTGTCCAAATCAAAGCTACACAAATTTGTATATATGACTCTGACGAACAAAAGCGGAGTAACCAGGACTAACAAAACCGTATCAGGGATCGTTGTCTTCTCGGTAGATCTAGCAGTAGTTGGAGATAAACTCGCTTTTTGATGCTGTAGTCGAAAAAATCGTAGACTAACTACCCCAAAAAGAGATATTGTCACGAGCAGAAAGAGGATTGACGAGATCTTGGCCATTGTGATACCATTCTGATAGTCACTCAATTTGACTTGACCCGTTGAACTGGCCGGTGCTCGGTCCACACCACCGATGATACCAAGGATCAATCCAACCATGATCACTGGATGGAGGAGGCGAAGGAACCAAGTTTGCACGGGACCATCTATGGCATGCTGACGAGGTGGGAGGGGATGGTGTATAGGTTGATAAGAGTAGGAATTTGATGGATTGCTGTTTGGGCTTTCCACAGACTGCATTGGTAATTGTTCTCTTGATCGGTGCAATGGTGAAGACCTATTAGCGAATGACAGTGTTGCTGAAAGAAGCGGACCAAGTGCGATTTGATTGATGATTTGCGAGGCCATGATCAAATTGGAATTGGAAGTCGTGGAAATTTCGTTGACCAAGTAGATTGATATAGCTGGGCCGACAACCTTGGCTTATAATTTGTCAGTATGTGGATATATTCAGGCTGGACTTCATACAGACAGGCAGTAAAAGCATGTAGGTACAGCCATGCTGTTGACCGTGATCTTCTGGTGAGACATAGAAAGTAGATTGAGAGGTAGGTCACAACTGGGAGCAACAGAAGGTATGTGGCGAGTTCTATAATAGACAATACTTCATGCGGATCCATGGTGTATATCAGCAAAGAATATAGGGGCAATAGTCTGTTCCTGTTGTCGTAGGCCAATATATGCTGAGATGTAAACGAGTGACTGCGTAGTCTCATGAGAAGATGATGGGCAGACCATTGAAGTCACCTTTCTTATATGTTAACAGGCCAATCCGTCGTCTACATGGGTGAAATCTGGATATAAAGCACTCGGCCGTAATTTCACACCCTTGATTTGTGTCCTGTATGAGTTTTCATTACTAGGATAGTCTCTTGACTAAGAGAATTTCTAGCCCCATTTCCCGTCTGGGATGAGGAAGAGAAAAAGGGACAGCAGAAAGCAGAGTAAGGAGAGGCAACTGACTGATTCCCCGGAAATGAGTCTCATCTTCAACCGACAGTTTGATGCTCTAGAAACGCCCTTGAGAAGACCGGTGTAAGCATACTTCCCATTAAGTATTAGCTTACTCTTCCAAAGACTGTAGTTTACATCGAAGCGTGAAGTCGAGATTGCAAGATTCATGAGAAAGATCAATCAAAACTTAAAGCGCATTTAATATAAAATTTTAACAGTAAATCACAAACAAATGCAATGGCACATAAACCTTGGAACCGAAATCTAGCACTAGCTCACGGCGATTCTATTAACCCAACCTATCCAATCGTCGTTCCAATCTCTCCCTCACGCGATCATGACGTTCGTGATGATGATGTCCTCCATGGCAATCTCTGACCACGCTCTCGACTGCATTAGCGAGCAACGCACCTGCCACACCACCGCCAATTGTACCCAAAGTGCCATGGCCAGAGTCTTCAGCAAATTTGTGGCCTAAAAATGCTCCCTACGCTTTGGATTAGATACAAACGATCACGAGGAGTTACAAAAATAAGAAACATACTCCAGTTGCTCCGACCACGGTTGCTCCTAGGCCCCTTTCACTTTCCTGCGGCATCTGAGGATCTGTACCTCGGTACAGATCAGATTGGAGGAGTTGTTGTTGCTGCTGCTGCTGCTGCTCGTAAGACATGTTCTGAGGCGTTTGCAGGTGATCAGACGACTGGATGGTCTTGTCCAAAGCAGTCGTTAGAATCCTTGAACATCAGATCAGTTTCAAGTAACCTTACCGGATCAGAAATTGCTGTCGACATTTTGTTACTTGTGTCATTCGTGGTATTTTCCTTCCATAGCTCAGGATTTTCAGTGCCGTAATAATCGCGGTTTGCCATTGTAGCTGACTTGGTAAAATAGTAAGTTCAAAAAGTCCGGCAGTTAGGTTAGAAATATTTATTTCGATCTGAAAACAAAGTCAGGAGATAGTAGCCGCACGTAGGTTCATATATACTCGATTATAAGTATTAAGGATTTGTACCTGAAGAGTATTGTCTCAGGGCTATGTACAAGGGCCAGGAGACTACGGCCGAGAGCCTATCCTGCACAGCTGGCTCAAACTGTCAATCTTCTGCACCTAAAGAGGAAAAAAGTTTGATCCAATCACGAACCTAGGATGCATCCGTTTCTGTTGAACTGAAATTTTTTCATTATCTCGTCAACTGATTTAGTCTTGTTTCGACATCTTGTATACCTTTGTTGGATGAATCATCTTTTGAGTGCCTTCCTGAACGGGCAATTCCACGTGATTTGAGGAACCCTATCCTTTCGGACGTTCATAAATAGCTTGTCTTAGCATGTCAAGGAATCATCTTCTAACAATAGTGGGTAAGGGTCATTTCTAAGACATATCTAGGTATAATATAAATTGTATGCTAACAGGGGACTCGTAGGTACACATGGCCAGCCATTTGCCAATTTACCTATCAGTTGACATGATTGTTTAGAATGTGAAAATAGGAAAATGAAATTATAACCAAAACCCATATAATAATAATAACATAATATATATGTACAAATGAGTGACGCAAAATAGTCGTCAACACGGGTCTAGAGAGATAAACAGAAATGCAATTGGAACAAGAATCGAAAGCCAACACGGAACACAGGAGTTCCTCTGATGCACCTAGGAAAGGGAAAGAACCATAAGATATAGCCTCGCACTTAGACTGAGGCAGCCTGTTTATTCGGCCGGAATAGAGTCTCGACTGATTCCGGCCGCATCTCGACAATCTCACCCTTTTGAATGTCGTTAGAAGAGACCGAAGCACGTAAAGCACCAAAGACGTCCTTGAAAGCGTAGCCAGGGTGGTAGACAGCAAATACAAACACAGCGACAGTAATCATTCTGAGACATCGCCCACCGTCAGTATTTACTTGTATAATCAAAATGTTAAAGACGCAGACTCACCCAGACTCCAAAATGATGAAAGGGACCTCCTCTCTCTGTAAATGGTTATTCCATCCTCCAGCAAGCTCAACAACACGATACACGCATCGTACAAAAATAAGCACAAAAGTCGCAACAGCCGCAAGCAAGAAGCCGCGAAACCGGCGACTGTCGCGAAGACTACGGAACTGGACGTTCTTCATATGAGGGGAACGGTGGACGCGCCATGAAAACTCGAGACACAGTACCGCAAAGAGGACGAGAGTTACTATTTGGAAAATTAAACCGGCGAGCATGATGTTGTTTCCCATGGATAGAGTGGAGGGTTTTGTTGCTGATGACGCTACGCCTCCGCCGCCGCCTTGGAGTGCCAGTGAGATGAGGTCGCAGGTAATGAAGATGCGAGTGTACCATGCTGGGCGGATGCGAGAGATTTCTTCGCCGTATACAATAACACTATAGCCATAAAGTTAGCTTGCAGCAAGACATGGTTAAAAATCAAACGTACATTCTCGCAAGACAGAGATATAGTCCGGCTGAGTAGAAGGCCGGTCCCATTGTCAAGCACACAATCTGCACCAAGAATCTACACTACCCTTTAGCAAACCTTGGAAGTTCAGTCCAATAGTCAAACCTGTAGGATACTTACCTATTCAGATCATAAGGATTACTATGAAACAATATCCGACCAATGTACCCCACAACCTCTGTCGATGACCCAAGGGCATAAGCAGCCAAAAAGCTCCAAGTTCTCAACCTCCAGCCCTGAAAGATATGCACAATAAGGGAGAAGCCAAACAAGGCTGCAAATATGATGTTTGCTGCGAGGTTGGGAGGGTAACTGAGACCTGAGCCGTCAGCGGGACAGTTTGGTCCTACTGTTGTGCAATTGGACCACATTTGGATAGCTTGATTGGACAGTGATTGGCGACTTTTAAAATTGAAGATGTTATTATTTGGTGATATCTATGGTTTGACTGAGGGGAAGCGAAGTGCCCTTATGTACTTGTCGATGCCTGTTACGATTCGAGCTGGCTACACTGTAGATCTGAGTTCATCCGGATCAGAAGCCAACGCCCGTAAGCTCGTATGCAAACAACACGACTGTATTACTGTATCTAGATATTGGTGGGATAGTATCGAACTTTACTTGGACTATTCTAAAGCTTGACTGTGTACAATGTAGGGTTTACTATGGACATGGGGTGTTCTCGGCCGTAGCCCTAAATGCCCCCGGTCTTGTGTTACTCCGCGCTTTGTGTGTGCTCAGCTCTACCATCTGACTAAGCGCAGGCTTGGCAGCTGGAGACTCGGGGGGAACAAAAGATTCGAGAGCGATGACTTGATGTTCAAGTATTGTTAAACTCCATGTTTGTTACTTGTGTTGCCTGGGTTCTCGTCAGAAATCCGAATGTCAACCACATACGTGAAGCGCTTGATTATGGACGCGACATCTACATACTTCATACTCACGGAAAAGACACAAGTGCTAGCGAATTTCGAGTACTCGCAAGCTAGTTAATAATAATAATAGCATTGCGACAACATAACTCGCCTAGACTGCTCTGAGCCTTGGGAGATTCCAGCGGGAAATCCTCCTACAGGGCGTTTCTCTGATAAGAACCCAGGTGTCCAAGTCAAGCCTCATCGCATTCCGACAATATCTGAAGATGAGAACCTTATGTGCGATCGTTCGAGATAGGAATGCGATCCTTATCGATTGTCCGGTTCTGATAAGTAACAACGATCGGTGCCTGAGAAACATGGCACAACTATCTGATTCTGCACGACTGAAAGCTAAAACGATTGGCCTCAATAATTGGCACTGATATTGAATTAAGTGATTGACAAACGCGGAAACCTTGAATAGATCTTCAGGAGGATCGTTACTTCCGACAACGATGATTGGCGAGTCCTTTAATGATGATCTCTCAGTAGACTGATTAAAGCGCATTACATGCCGTTGCGCGGGCCGGTGTTGTAGAGTCAAAACTGGCCTTACAATGATATTGGCTGACTCGCTAGACGCATGACAAAGTACTGCGTAATATCGATGAAAGTGTTGTTATTTTGAAACTGTGCCCTAGAAGGTTGAATGTTTCTCTTCGTTTACTGCCGAACCTTGTACGTACTATGTACAGCCGTACAAGGAGAGGAAGTCTATCCTGACTCAGCGCTCGCTCTACCAGAGTCTAATTATAGAAGTACGTAAGCAGACTAACACTCAGACATTCAGCCATCAAATAAGCGTATTGAGCGTAATACCGTGGCTGAGTCTCCTTTTGCTGTCACCGCTGCTCGGTTGCGGCTAGCACGTACCAGACAATTTCCTCATTCCTACTGCGTACCTAGGTACGAACAGAATGGTATGAATATACGGTCAAGAATGATGACCACCTTGACAATACTCTGGTGAGCAATCAAATCCTAAATGAATTAACGGGGCAGTTAATGCGAATTAATTCGTGTTTATTATGTTTTTTTAATATACGGTTATGACTCCGAAATTACCATATTAGCTCATATTATGGCTAATATGGAATGGGACTTGGCGATGGAGTATGTGAGACACGCCACTCTTGGGAATGTTTGCCCTGTTGAACGAGTCTCAATCAGACGTGATCTTTGCGAGCGACACAAACGCCGTCCATGTCTTTGACAGTGTGCTACTTTCTACAGGGCCGTATATCTACTGTCAACTGTCAAGGTGTCAAGGTGTCAAGGTGTCACCGCGTCCGTTGAGATGCAAGAAAGGGGAACACAGGCACGGGCCAATCGGAAATTAGAAAACGGGCCGAGTGGGGGTGCAATTACCTGATCGGGGCTAGCCAGGCACGGGGCCAGCACACAAGCAGCACGCAGGCAATTTCTCGCAATACAAATACACTGAATACGCTCTGTTACAGGCCAAATACACAGCATATTCTATGTAGACGGCAGGGTAACATTGGCTAGGCTCCATCAGGCTCAAATCTTATTGCTGGCCCCGTTCAGCTGCCTGTAAAACTGAAGTCTGATTGGCCTCGAGCTGCGCCTCTCCACACCGCTAACGGTGGGCCTCACGTGTAATGCAGGTGTATATTTTGTCCATGCAGCCAATCAGCATGCGGAATGGGCTAAATTGTAATGTATCGTAATCGTGGTACTTATCGCGAAGGGGGAATCCAGGCAAGAGCCGCAGCACCTAGGGCAGCCGCCTTCCCAGAGAGTATTTCTCTCGTCTCCTCCCGTGCTTTTCTCTTCTTCTTCTTTTCCTTCTCTCTCTTCACGCAACACTTGCTCTCCAACCTCACTCCAGTCTCTCTTTGGAAAATAGGGTCCTTTGACTCGTGTCGTTCTTTACAACAATCCTTGCTTCAATTGAACTTCCAGTTCATCATCTAACTACAACCTCTTCAACGTTTCGATTTTAACGATCGTCACCAACACAAACAAACAACATCAAAATGAAGTTCCTCGCTGTTGCTGCTGGCCTCGTCGCCACTGTCTCTGCCTACACTTATCCTACTCCCTTCAACCCAACTGCCAGCGGTGCCGGTCCTAGTGGCAACCCCATCTACCTCCCCGACACCAGCAGCCCTGTCACCTTGGGTGAGGCTTACAAGATCACCTGGGAGCCCACCACCCCTGGTCCCATTGCTTTGGTTCTCTGCAAGGGTCCTTCCACCGACTGCGAGCCCATGTTGACCGTCGCCGAGAAGGTCCCCAACTCTGGTGAATTCACCTGGACCCCCAGCGGCCTCGACCCCTCCGCCACTTCCACTGGCGGATACGGAATCATGCTTATCGACTGGACCACCGAGGCTTACCAGTACACCACTCAATTCGGTGTCCTCGCCGGCAAAGCTCCTGTTGTCTCTGCTTCTGCTTCCTCTTCTACTGCTCCCGCCGCTTCCGCCACCCCCTCCACCACCACCGTCATTATCCTCCCCAGCAGCAGCGCGGTGATCAAGCCCTCCACCACTCCCGTCTGGAGCACCGTCGTCAACTACTCCCTCAGCACCACCGTCATCTGCCCTGAGAGCACCAAGCTTCCTCTCGGCACTGGCACTGTCTCTGTCCCCTGGGCCACCAGCACCGGCTCTCCTAGCGTGCCCACTTCTGTGCCCAACACTGTCCCTGCTGCGCCCAAGTACACTGGTGCCGCTGACCGTAACATGGTCAGCTATGGTACCGTTGGTGCTATTGCCGGTCTCGCCGCTCTTTTGGCCTTTTAAATGATTTCTTTATCCTTCTTGTAGATGTTTCTTCTCGAGTCCTGCCCCCCCCCCCTCCAGTCGGAGGTGACAGGTCACTCAATCTCTGATTTCATTTCGACTGCATCGCAAGCAAGCAACAAACCTGTCTATGTCATACATTAAGTTTATGTACATTTTCGTTCGGGCGGCGTGGTATAGTCGTTGTAACGAATGGAGTCATGAGAATTTAATCCCTTTTTTTCCCCCTCACAAAATCTTTTGTGTACGTCTACTTGTGATTAATGTCTTGTATATCTCTAATGAACTATTTATTCTCACTTTTATCCTGACGTCGTCCCTAGCTGTAAAGGTCGTCGCATTTCATGACGGTATAAGATCATAAGATGGGGTTTCCGTAAAAGGCAAGACATACCTAAATTAGGCAATTACGTCAAACTTTCTGTTTCGGTAAAGAAAGAACTTTCTTCACTTCAATCGATTCATTTCTTGCTATGTATACCTATTTACAATTATCAAACACGATAGAAATAATAATAATTACAAGAATGATTAGTACCCCTTCATATCGAAGTGAAAGGGTATAGCGCCGTCCCTACGAAAGGGGAGATAAAAGAAAGAGTATATCCGACGGTTCGAACTACCACTTTCTCAGGGCAGGTCCTCTTTTCTTTTGTATGGTTCATTCGTCATTAGATGTGTTCCTTTTCCATGGGTTGGTGAGAGAAGGACGGACTGATCAGGTGATGAAAAAGTCCTCAACTGTCAAGGGTTTCATCGGCCAGGTTGTATATTCATCCGATGTGTTCTTAGGTGGAGTCTCCAATTCATCCTTGTTGTGATGACCAAATGAATCCGTCTCGATTGATCTGTTTCTGGCCGGCCTCTGATGAACTGACGACGGGCGAGAGCTACGTTTTAGTTCGTTGTCCAGTTTCTCCAATAATACTGTTTCAGGTCCATAACGAACAGCACGTCCAAAAGCTACTATCATCGCAATTGAGAGCTTTGTCCACATAACTATCGTACGATTGATGCCATCAAGATTGTTGTTCGTCGGATTGCCGCTGGCACGTTTGACGTCCTGCGAACCGTGGCCGCATGCATCACACACATGCTGTGAAGACCGACGTCGAGTCTCTGGTTTCATTCGCATCCGTAACGAAGAAGCAGCGTTCATCCACTCGTTTCGCTGTTCAGATCCGAAAAGGAATCCCAAGACCCACCAGGATAGTCGGCTGAGTTGTTTGGCGGTCTTGGTCCATATTCCTGCAATCAATGTTCGAGCAAAAGATGACTTTTTTCTTTCTTGGCCGACACCCGTACCGGCTTCCAAGTCAACATCACTAGTTTTTCGCATAGATAAGGATACACTGTTATATGCCTTTGGCGTGCTGTAGCTACTGCGGACGTTCAGACGATATGATCCAACAGGAGTGCTAAGCCGAGAAGTTTGGCTGGTTGATTCATCGTTACGTTCTGCTTCCTCCAGTTCAGAATACAGTGTTGTCGAGAATCGTTTAACATCAGGTCCCGACTTCCTTGACAGTGGCGAATCCGACATGTCGCCATCCTCCAGCTCCGACATTGCATCTTCATATGCTTGATAATGCTGTGTACGACCTTCCAAGGCAGCCAATGTTTCTTCTTGCACAAGTCCCGTGGCAACTTCTGTCGCACCTCGTTCGTAACCAGGACTGTAGATCGAAGAGTATGGTCCGCCGGAAGTAGAAGGTCGGTGTGGCGATGTGGGCGTAGGAGTAGCAGTAGTTGGCAATATCAAAGGTTTCAAAGTGCATGTCCCCGATGGAAACCGACGCATATTCCGTGGCCGTCCTGTAGTCTTGCCCTGCAGCTCTGGTGAGAATGGAAGAGGAACACTCCATTGCGATGAAATTGGCGATGGGTGAGATGCCGTAGACGAACGTTTAGACTGGGACAATACTGATGAAGCAACAGTAGAATCATCGGAAATCAGGTCGGGCACTTCTGGCTCTGGATGGGTTTCAACACTCGCCTCTGGAGTAACAACAGAGCTCGGATCGACCAAGGGCTGGTAGGTAATGTCTTGACGTAGCGGCATCGCCGGGAGCATGGATTTTGGTCGAGACAGGCGGGGACCAGGACTGCGGGTGGGCGACACTTCTGGACTTCGAGGTTCTACTTTTGTTGGAGACTCTGCGAGAAGTTGGGTCAAAACATCAATGCGTCTTTCCAGGCTCCGATTCGTAGACCTCAGAGATTCAACGTTCCGTAACTTTTGCGCCTGCAAATCTCGCTCATGCTCCAGTTCCCTGATACGCGCGACATAATCCTCCAGCTCACCTTCCAGAAAGATGATCCTGGTCCGGAGCTTGTTTTCAATTTCCGTTCGACGTCCTACTTCTTCATGTACTCGGATATCGAACTTGTCCTCCCATTCCGCGACCTCCTGCCGTAACACTTTGATTTCAGCATTCAATGTTCTCACCTTGGAGACATGAGTTTTAGTATATGACTCCTGCATTGGGCTCGATTGGTTTTGCATAGCCGCTAGCTGTTCTTCAAGATGCTCGATATACCTCTCTGTTGCGTAGTTGCTCGCCCTATCTCGACTATTGCTTCTCAATCGGTTGGTGTTCAAAGTCGACAACGGCGATGACCGGTTGTGCTGATTTTGGGTAGTCATCAGGGGATCCGCGTCATTGTCCCTGAAAATGGAATATGGCGACAACCGTCGAAAGGATGACGGGGATGTATACGAATATCTTTGATTTACAGAGTGGTCTGAAACATCGAGCGGCGGTCCGAAGAGTCGTGACAAAGAAGGACGACGTAGTTTTCGGCCCCTTTGAGATGAATCATGAATTTCTCGTAAAATGCTGACTCGTCTCCGTGCTGAGGCCGGAGTCGACCCGGGCGTTCTATTGTCTTGTTGTCGTTGATCAACAGCGTCGTCTGGGGAAGCGGGTCGGTTTTCTTTGTCAACCGAGATATCAGATGCCGGAGATGTAGACCGCCATGTCGAGAACCGATCAGACACCACCTTATTTGGCGAGATTCGAGCACCTTGAAAACGCGCGTTTCGCAATTGCAACCGTCGCGTCTGAAGATTCAATGGCTCTGGTCTTGCTGGTGGAGACGGCGGGGAACGGACATAGACAGACGGCGGACTGGACCGAGGAGAGCTGCGAAAAGTATTGTTGCGTCGGGTGGTCGATGATGGGGATAGATGCTGCAGAGATTTTGAGGTTGAATCCATGGTCGAGCAATAAGATTCGGAGTATATCCTTTGATCATATGGTAAAAGGGCTACCAAGACAGCATTCCGAATTCTTTGTACCGAGGAATGCCGAGTGCCAATTGCAACGACCAGTGGAGATGCCGTTTCGTTCAGGAACGGGACACTATCGTCATGGGGCAGGAGCTCCGAGAATAATGTTATTATAAAAAATATCAGTCGTAAGGAGATAGAATAGTCTCCAAGAAAAGGAGCTGGAGACGGAGTAAATAAATCGTGAACAATTGACTGCGAGTCACAAACCTAAAGGAGATGTTTGTTTTTGTCCCCGCCGGTTGCTCCTTTTAGGACGGAGAAGCTGCGATCCACTGCGACCCGCTCTGCACGTGAGTCTATTCAAGCTGAGGTCGTCATCATGGTCAATCGCAAATAATAAGTGATCTCAATGTAGAAACAAGATAGATGCACTTGCGTAGACAGAAGTGCAATTGGTTCCTCGGAGTGGAAATCTGGGGTATGTTGCATGCAGTATACTGTCAGGTCACGTGATCGAGCGATAAACCGATAAGGAATTTTCAATCTGCCTGGCTGAGTTTCCTCACGACTTTGTCTCCAAGCTACAAGACCAAACTATATCACACTCTACTCAAACCATCATGGCTCAAGCTCCGTTAAAAAAGGCAAAGTCCACTACCGCCAAAAAGTACGTTTCCACATTTCCCTTCTTTTTTTTCCCCTTCTCCATCTTGACTAACATTTTAACAAAAAGATCATCCTCAAAAGTCGGTCCTCGTGTAATCGCACCGAAGAAGGCCGCGCTTGCCAAACAGCGCAAGACCATGAAGAAGCTTTCATCCGGCTTGATCAATAAAACCGAAAGAAGTCTGGCGGAACGTGCGGGGCATTTGGAGCTGTTGGCGAATGTGAAGAAGGAGAAGATGAAGGAGAAAAGGGCTGAATATAAGAAGAAATGATCGACGATAAAGAGGATTTCGAGATAGTTGGTTAGGGGTTAGGGATAAGGGAGGGAAGAGGTCGATTGAATGTGCGCAACGTTCTTAGGGATGCTCGTTCTGGCTGCACATCTGACCTGTGTGCAGTGCCAGTAGAGAGGTTCGCATACGATACCCAGCGACTCGGCTTTGAGTCCTACATGACATGGCGTTTGATTTTATAGCACGGCTGTACATAGTTAATTGATATATTATGGAATAGATTGAAAAAAGTGTTCATTGGTCCAATGCTATACTATCAACACCAAAAAAAAATAAACTATGTGCTATCGAATGAAAAGGTAAAGAAAATTCAACCAGATCAGATTTTGCAAAAGCAACTTCTGAATGTGCATAGATCCGGTTGAATGTCAATATGAAACTCGCTTGCCCTGGGTATCTCGAATCGGTGTCCTTCGGTTCGGGTTTTATTACAAAAAGACACATAGCAAAATTTAACACAAGAATGAAGAAATGTGGAAAGAGTAGAATGAACAAGAAGGTAAAACAGCCGCTATCATATCGTGAGTCATCATTCAATGGAGAGACAATCAAGCTTTGGAGATCATAGTAACCCGAATGGGACTACCAGCCTCCTCGATCAATTCTCGACCATGTTCCATCCATCGTTGGAATCCAGCCTCGGTGGGATTTTCTGGGAAATCATCCCATATCTCCTTTTCAGTATCCGCATATCGCGACCACTTGCCTTTCAGGTTGTCGGTGGCTGACCATGCCGGAAGTTTGGTGAGGACACTGGTGTAATACACATAGAGGATTCGACAAAGGAGTTCGACGCGATCAATGTAATGTTGCTGGCCGGGATCTGGCTGTTTGCCTCCATCGCCAAGCCGTTTCCACCAAGAGACTCGCCAGCGCAGTGACAGAAGAATATGTCCTAGCTCTTCCAAGAATCGAAGGTGGGCATCCAAGCTGATCCGTTTCCATTTGATGTTGTAAAAATCACGCTCAAGTTTACGGAAACCCTCAACTTCGAGTAGACGACAAAATATTCGGGACAATTGAGCGGCAAGTAGAATATCTCGACGATCCTGGTTGTTGCTAACATCCATCATCTTCTCATTCGCGTTCCCATCCAGGGAGACAAAACTGTAGGATGCCCGGCTGGGCATGTTATTCCATTGCGAGAGGAGTTTCTACGAAATCAGTAAGAGGAACTATACTTTATATGCGAAGGGAAAACTTACATAAACATTATTCATCGGATCGCAATCCTTCACGCAGCTGAGCCAATTCTTGGTCTTATCCTTCGAGTCGATGACACGATGATCAATGAACTCTAGGAATGTCGATTGAGAATTGTCATTGTACTCGCTCAGATTTTTGAGGAATTTGTATGTTTCCCCAAGGTCAAGCACGTAAAGAGATCCCCAAGACTGACTGGCGCGTATATTGAATTTGCCGCGTCGCTCACCGAGGTAAGTCAGTAGCTCTTGGAGATCGAACGCTGAAGGAATCTCGATTCGAATTCGCTGCTCGCCTGAGGTAGATGTGGGGTGATTGATTGCCCGTTGTGCTGTAGATCGTTAGACCTCTTTACTTGTCTTCGGGTACACGCACGGTTCACTTACATATGTAGTTGCAGGTCCCGTATTCAACTATGCTAGCAAAGCATGCTCGAGCGCAAGGCTGCTCTTGTAGCGTAGGACGACAAGCATCGCAAGGCGAGTTACCGTCGCACTAACCAAGGATCAGTAAAGTGACATTTCAAGACGACGACTAAGTCTGTCATACCTTGCGTTTGTTCAGCCGACACTGAACGCACGTGTCCTTGTTCTTCCGCCGTAATCCGGCATTGGCTCTGCCTACAATGGTCAAGGGGCCCTTTCGACGAGCACCTCGGGGAGGGCATACAAAGTCTTCCGACGATATAGCCCCTCCTAGTCCATCTTCCTGGACGATCTGCAGAGGTCTTGGCTGTTGAATCTTGTCAATGTTGACGACAGAGGAGTTCCTCTGTTTGCGCCTGCGGGCGACCGACGCTGGTTGAAGCGCCGAATGGGTGTGACGAGAGCTAGTAGGATTTCGTCGCTCCTGCTCGAGCGACATTTGTGGGATATCAGATGTATCCTCACTAACCATGAAACCATTGATTTTGGGAAATTCAGGTGATGATTCCAGAGATTTGTCTGGCGAGACGGGTTCTTCCCATTCTAGAACATGTAACTGCTCGTCCTTCACATCGTTCTCGGCATACAAAGGCAAATCGTTGTTTGCCATGCTACTGTATGAGTCGATAGACACAGCAACGCCTCCAGTACTGTGTATAGAAGGGCTGCTTGCTCCGGTTTGAGGCTCTGGTTTAACCGGTTGCGATCGGCTATAGACGGATACATCATGCGACATGGTCGCAAAAGCATCAGTCAATTTTGTACCAACTGACATGTCAGTGCTGGGGAACCATTGGTGATTCGTTGCTGTACCAGACATCGGGTTTTCCGACTGTGCCTCTAGCGGTGGTGAAATAGGGAACTGTGTCGGTCCGAATGAAGCTGTATAGCTGATCGAATTACGCCATCCATTGTGTTTGTTGTTGCTGTTGTTGCTGTTGTTATTGTTGTTGTACGACACTGACTGGCGCAATTGTTGATAGGCAGACAAGCTACGTGCCCGTTGATAGCCCGTTAGTCCAGTATCCATCCCCCGTTCACCTTCGCCGACAATCACGGGCGCATTTGGTCCAAGCGCGGCCTTTGAGTATTGATTGGAGTAGACTGGATCCATTGGCATCACGAGGCCATTGGTATGGGAAAGTTGGAACTGAGACCACGCATTATCCGGGAAGGAGTTGTCATCAGCGGACGGATGCGTCCTGGGACTGAACGTTCCTCCAACGAAGTTCACACCGTCCGCGACACCGACTGGAGCATTGCTAAAGAACAAAAAGGTCTTGGGTTAGATAATCTGGACATCATGTGATAGATGGGACTGATGAAGAGACGAACCTCAAGTCGATACTCGTCGCGTCAATGACCGAGGGGTCAAGACTGTCGCGACTGGGCGGGCCCTGGGCAGAGAGAAAGTCGAACAATTCGGCATCCCCTTCGTTGGAATCCTGATACGAGTCCAATTCTGGCAGGTTGTCAAGAGCATTCTGGTCCCAGGTCAAATCCGAGAAGGTGTTGTTGAAATCCCATGAGCTGAGAAAGTTGGGATCGACGCCCGGCGCATTATCAGCACTCCCGCAGTCCATCAGGCGATCTGGCGTGGTTAGCAAGGCCTGCGACTGATATTGCCGAAGGCTCGATGTACTTGATTGTAAATGTTAAAACTCCTTGAAGTGGTAGCTCTGTTCAATCACCAGGATGGTGTAATCGAAGAGGAGAAAAGCACTTCCCTTCAGACTGTCTGAGACTATCCACTTCCACACCAAGCGGGGTTTAGTCGGGTCTTTCCTGCCTTTTTTTCCTCTTGGTCTGCGACCACGGAAAGCCTGCTGGGCCCTGGCGATGGCTCCACCGGGGCGCCTCTTTTGATTTGGCGGGAAGAGTCCTCTATAGAGGATGAATAATGGAAATTGTTGAAATGGAGAAAAAATACGCACGGGCAGAAGACTTAAATGTCGAATCGCTGCCTGAGTAATCAGGCGTGGGGACCAGTCTGCCAAACGGACCGAGCGGAGTTTCCCTTGTCAATAATCCCTGATTCTTTGAATCGAAAATGGAATTAATAAACAGTAGATAGTACTCCGTAGACGCATAGAAGAAGATGGGTGAAAATGCGAAATACAGTCGAAAGAACGTGTACAATGATGATTGTCGATATACAGACAACTCGATTTTGTATTCTACGGACTCCGATTGTTACACACCAGAAGATTTCTCTATTTGCAATCTTGCAGGAGAGCGATAGAACGAATGGTTTTGATCTCGTATTCATTTGAATAATCAATATCGCTGCCAAGCCAGGATGCGTACATAATGTAACAATATGTATGCGTCTTGTTTTTTAGTGCCAGAACTCTAAGGCTCACTTGCGCGGCTCGAGGCGGAGACACGATCGACTTGTCTGCCTATCAACTCCACGGAGGCAGAACAAATGAAAATGGATACACTGTGTGACTCCAAAAGTTGCCTTGAAAGCATATATTATTGATTTCAGTACGGAGTACATAGGGCGTCACAGAGCAAAGCCATAAGGGAAAAAAAAAAAAATTCCCCCATCAGGTGGCCCGCCCGGCTCTTTTTTGCCGGGCGTTGGGGATATTGGTGACCGGAGTTTTCCATTCCGCAGGGCGTGCAAGTGCCGACTTCTACACAGTAGATTTATGAATGGCGGAGCGTTGAGATTTGCGCGTAAAAATGGTATAATACCTTTCTGGGCAAGACGCGCAAATTTGCAGTTCAAATTTGCAGAGCTCGTAGCTGCCTCAAAAGTCGCATCGTAGAGCTGGGTATCTCGGTCGGTCGCTCCTTCCTGGGTACGAGTATCGTCAGTAATCCTTTCCTTCTGTTCTTCTTCCTCTTCTTCCTCTTCCTCCTCTTCCACCTCAAACGTCTAGTTGTGTTGTGTCAGTCCACCAACCGTCATACGACTATCATGAGCAAGCATTGACAAGAAACATTCGCCTTCCGCAAACTGGATCTTCCTGCTGTCCGACAATCTGAACCTGGCAGTCCCGTGGCGTGATAAGCATTCGATTTATTCGTCCTGCCTATCTACCGCAGCAGTGAGAATGCCAGGATACGGTATCTATTAGTCACATCGCACCCTTGATGCATCGATATCACTCTGATCTTGGCGACTACAATGTGTTCCATATCTATGGAGGAATCACCTTGCCGTGAGAAGACAGCACGCGAATTTATAAGCCGCATAACTAGTAGACACCACTATATGTCTGGGGTTGCATCGATGCAACTTCAACTCGAACTGAAGAACTGGATCGTCACTGGAGGGGTTTTTCTGCTGACGAAGCCCATGTCTCGACATGCACCTGGCATCTCACCGGAACGCAGTTTCAAGTAACTGACCGGGAGTTGCATGTTCGTCACGAGGATCGCCCAACTGCCGAGCAAAGCCCAGACGGGCATATGTAACAATGGCTTCGGCGAAGCTACAATCGTGTACTTATGCGACGGGTTGTTCACCTGGCTGAGGCGACTCATAAGAACAGCAGCCGTCGCGAAGAAAAGGCGACGCATTACGATGTGCAACTGATTGCTTGAAAGACTTTCTTCAGGGTAAGATTCCGCCTGGTGTTACTCGAGGTTCACCTGACGGTGTCAACGCAGTCTCACCGAAATCCCGGAATAAAAAAGGTTTCTTCGGTCTGGTCGCCGAACGGTGCTTAACAACAGCTTATCTGAACATGTTCCATTAAACACATAGCCATACAAACACGGAACAAACTTGGTACGTTCCTACCGTCTCGCCGCTCTACTGGATAAATTTGACGTACCGATATTATTTTCCGGTTAATTGCCCCGCATTTACAGAAATGTCTGTGGATTGGAGCCCTACAATTGGACTTTGCCGGGGTAGCTTTTTAGCCTTGTGGAAGCTCGGTGAAGACATTGAAACGGCTGTTATAAGTTCCAGGCCTGCTGCGTCTTTTCCTACATTTTTTTTTCTCCTTCCGTTATTTACTTGTTCTTCTTCAGAAGAGCTGCTAGATCGCGAGAATATGAGATTTTGAGCAAAAGAAACAGCAGTGAACAAAGGGACCTCGGCAAGATTAGGGATCCCGGCTGAAACAATTCCTGTAGACCATATGATCTTTCTTCGAAAGATCACAAATTGTACATACAGACAGGAAAGAAGACAATTTCGCAATTTGGTTTATTTAGACAAGTGCTATATCTGGTACTTTCATTTCCATTGCGTATCTGATTGATCTTCCCAGTTTGTTTCCTCAAAGCCATGCATATCCTAGTAAGTTCCAACTAGCAAGCAGATAGGGTGCCAGGGTAAAGACTGACTAAAAAACAGGTCGTGAACGACGATGGTCCTCCGTCGCAGAAATTGTCACCCTACATCCGTCCCTTTGTAGACGCTTTAGAAGATGCTGGTCATCGGGTCTCAGTGGCCATCCCTGCCGCGTCTCGGTCATGGATCGGAAAAGCACACATTATCGGCGCCTCGTTGACGGCGACATATGTACACCCAGACTCTTTCCAGGAAGACGGGACATGGGTCGAGGAAGATGCAACAGAGGACCACAGCAAGCCAGCAGCAGTGACAACAAATAGTCATCTACCACCAACGCCAGCCGCATCAACCGAACATTTGAATGTCACTGGTTCAGCACCGGTTTCTCCTGAAGATTACTGGGTAGTAGTCACCAACGGCACACCCGCCAGCTGCACCCAACTAGGCATCTATGAACTCTTCCCAGACCGCGGGCCAATCGACCTTGTGATATCAGGTCCCAATCACGGCCGCAACGCCTCTACAATCTACAACCTTTCCTCAGGCACTGTCGGCGGCGCTCTGGAAGCAGCCACCTGCGGTAAGAGAGGAATCGCACTATCATTCGGAAGCAAAGATGAGCAACCCCGCGAAGTAATTGCGGCAGCGGCGAGGTTATCGACCCGGGTGATTGAGCATCTTTATCGGAACTGGAGCGACAAAGTCGAATTGTATAATTTGAATGTTCCTATGAGAGAGGATGTGGAATCGAGGCCAGTGAGGTATACGTCCGCTTTGAGGAATGAATGGACCAAGGGGAGTCTGTATGCCGAAGTGGGTAATCATGGAACTAGCGATGAAGACGGGGATAAGGATACATTACAGCGAAAAGGGAAACCGAATCGGGTACGACAGTTTCAGTGGTCGACGGAATTGTCGGATATCAAGAAAAGTCTCGCTGAGAGTCTGCGGGGGACCGATGCTAGGACCGTGCTTGATGGATATACCAGGTGAGCATTGACTTGGAAAACCAATCGAAAAGGAATTATCACTGATACGTATGCTTGTAGCGTTACGCCCTTAAAAGCGAATTTCTGGCATCCTTCTGGGTTTAGCGGGGATTTGCAACTTGATTGCTAGCTGGGTTTAATGAAAGAGGGTTTTTAGACACGGAACTTTGGAAGGTTCAGGTATTTCATTGCTTAAAAGACTTCGGGATATTTATAATTAGATGCGCTTGTGAAGCGCATATTCCTCTTGACTGGCACACGTTATAGACATAAATCAAGCAAGCTGCGTCAAACATACAAAGACTGGTGTGGAGTATCATTTATCAACAAAACATCAAAGAAAAAACCCCTGGTCATCTGAACTAAATCAATGTCCTTGCAGCCTCTCCAGCGCCACCTTCAATCGTCGTGGCTTGCTCAGCCCTCAATTTCCCCTTTGCAGTACCACCTTCACCAACACCCATACGACGTGCAACGTACCGCTGCGCAACGACACCGGTCGACAGACTCAATGATTCCTCCAACCACTCCGAAACCCATTCCCGTGGATCCACGCCGCCGCTTTCAATGATATCCTGAATTGCCTCGGGGATCTTGGTGCGCGTATCATCGTCTGAAGCAGGAGCAGATGCATCGAGCCAATCGATCCATTTACGAGGAATAGTCTGTGAGATTGTGCTGAATGCGATTCCATGAACAGGATCGTGCAGGTAGACAGCGAACAGGATCTCTTCTTCGTCTTCTTCCGCGATTTCGACTACGCCACCGGCGGATTCCGATGTACTCTTTTCCGCTGTCGGGCCAGCTTGAAACAAATCCTTGGGAGTGATCTGGCTAATTGCTTGGATCGCAAGGAATATGTCGCTGCTTCGCACGGGATTGGATTCACTCAAAACCTCAGTCGCTTGCTTAGCGGCTTCTTCAAGTCCACCTCGCAAAGAATAGAATTCTGTCGCGTAAGCTTCTGCACTTGCGCGAGCGAGTTTTGTGCCTGGCACGACTCCGGGGACGGCTGCGATGCTACGAGGGGTGCCGGGTGTGATAGTCCGCCACCATGGCCCATCGCGCCATCCTGTAATTGAAGATTGAAAGCCGAAATCTGTTCCTCGACGAGGAGCGGATTCTTGACCGCGTTGAATGACGAGGAGATCACCGCCTTCGACTTGTGACATGACTCGCGCGAATACCGAGTGTATTATGGGCTCAAGACTTGGGTATCCAGACAAGTCGTGCGTGATGTGTATTTGTAGGCGTTCGTGAGATGAGATTGGAGGAGCTAGTGTGTGAATAATCGATGTGAAGGTTGGTAGAGCCAAAGTCCGCAGTTCTCCTCCTATGTAAGATACGCAGTTAGTTGGCGAACGGGAATAGCATAACCGAGAAATAAACATACCAAGACCTCTAAGAGCACCCACGTTCCCTCTCACCTGTTCCGCCCATTTCTGTGCTTCTTCGTTTTTCTGAATCTCCTTCACGGCCGCTTCTGCCTGTTTCATCGCAGCGGTAGCTGTTGCCGTTGCTGTCGACAAGAATCCTCCCCACCATCCTCCGCCGGAGCTCTTAGTCTCTTCTTGTGGTGGTACGACCGGGGCCTTTTCTGCCTGTTGCTCATCCTCAACAGCGGCAGCGTGGGGTTGTGTAGGAGGCTTCTCTTCACTTGTCCGACCGGAAGAAGGCTTCGGGCGACGAGCTTCTGCTGACAGGCGGGGGGTGCTGGGTCGCTGAGAAGCGAGATTCTCTAATTCAGCTAGAGGATCCTTCACGACAGCTGTCGTAGAGGGTTCTGTGGAAGCTGGCTTTGTGGTTGTCGTGGTTGGAGGGGCCGAAGTCTGTTCTGAGGACTTGCCCGTCGTGTCGATACCGAGATCATCAAATTGAGCTAGCAGCTCATCATTTGTGGGTTTGGTACCTTTTGGAGGCATTGTATGTATCTTGATGCGAGATCAATACAAGACGTAGTGTGCACGCGGGAATGCTTCAACTAGTCGCGTATCATGTACATGTCAACTGTAAGTTATGTAGAGTAGAAGCTGTCGTTGTCCGGGAGTGGAGCTACCTATGATCTGCGCCAAGCTTGGTTCTTCCTGAGGCATCCTCGCGCCTATTTCTCCTTTCCTCTTCTACATATGCCTCCAAGATGGAGCGCTCATCTCCATCATGAGCATCTAGCGGCAATTTTGGCACTCGGCCAAGAGTCACCTGGCAGGAAATCGGCAAGCATGATGCTTGCAATCAGTGATGACGTCCATTGAAACGCGAACAGTAAACACAAACCACCCTCTTCTCCATTTCTTTCATCCTATTAATCGACGTTACACTTTACAAAGTATGAATACGTCCAACTTAGTACAATTGCAATTAATTATTCGACTATAAATTTAATCAGACACCACATGGTTGGACGGTAACGCACTATTGGGACAGGCATACTCATGGTGGAGCGACAAGTCCATCCGAACTTGGTTGATTTCCAAGTCTCTACAGCATTGCTGTAGTTCAAAAGCTTGCAGGGCTAATGCAAGGATTTTGGGCCATCCCATCATCTACGACAATCTACGCGAAGTGACCTGCGGTCTCTGCCCTAGCTCGCTCGCAATTCCGACGCCTGTGTTCCGTCAAAATGGCTGAGGGTGATTGTCCTTTGAAAGCATTCAAAGTAAAAGACAGGACGCTCTGGACGATACTTCCAAGCATAAGCCAAACTGTCCATTCGCTTGAAGTACGGACATGTGCATTTTCATGCCCTAATCCATACGCTCTTTTCTAATCGTGGCATATATCTTGTCACTTGACATACCAAACCACTAGTATGCTAAAAGCCATCCAGCTACATTTATACCACATAGCCGGCCAAATAACTAATGACACTGCTCAGTGCCTTGATGATCAAACGCCGCGTTCACCAAACTTTGTGCCGCGAATTCTTACCTTTGGCTGGGATTCTCGGCACTGTTTGGGCTGTGGCAGCGGATAGAAGTTACACCTGAAGCTCAGCAAACCGCCCAAGATAGAGTTTTGCATCGGGCAGTCCTCACGGGAACTCATGGCATATCTCTATTCTTCTTGTTTCACCGTAGGGGGAGTGACAGGGCGGACGCTGCCATTTGGCAACATGTAAGTAAAGGATTACTGTACGTACTACACTGCTGTACGCATGATTTTTTTAGCTTTTAAAATACGCGGCTATGGAGTTGTTGGTGGAAGTAATCCAAAGTCTGGCGTATGCTACTGCGTGGGTGGATAACCACGAGTCCACATCCACATCTCCCCGACTTTCTCACCATGACCCAGACATGCTGTTACCTAAGCGGGGTTACTAATAATTAAATACAGCCGCCGTTGAAAAATGCATTCACCAGTTTTGGAAGTATACGAGCAGCGGAGATGTTGGATAGTTTTGATTGGACTAGTCCGCCCCTCTCTGGTCCCTAAACAATTCATTCTATCATCTCCATATGGCCTGTTGCGCAAATTTTGACAGGAATTCTAGGCATGTGATCCTGTTGACCGACTGTCGACTAAATCTCTAGACAATATACTATATAGCTAGCACCAGATACCTGAAATGCGGAATTCAGCAACTGAATCACAAGATACTGTCCTCCTTGCTCTTTGCTATATTCCGAGAATGACCACCACGGCCCGAAAAGCAGGCTCTATTAAAAAGTATTTGCGAGATGGCGACCGCTTTCACAATCGGAAGCCAAGGCTGGGGAGATTGATCGCAAGACGCAGTCAGATCCTCAACCCCTGTTTTCCGTGTCTGTGAAGCGTCAAGCATCGTCTGCGGAGAGTCCATGGAAAAGCTCGGCAGCTTTTCATACCATCTTCGATCCAGAAGATAGCAACTACAAGGTGTATACAACGGTCGTATGGCCACTAATCGACAATATACTCAAAGGCGAGAACTGCAGCTTCTTCGGATACGGCCATTCCGGCAGCGGGAAAACACATACAATCTTAGGCTACGACTTTCAAGATACTCAGCAGCTAGGATTGTGCCTCGCCGCAGCCAAACAGTTATTCGATGCACTGCAATCCCTCAATAAAGAGAACAAGGGACAGCAGCTGGGCATCGGACTTAGCGTGTTCGAACTGCGGAACAAATCAGCTTTTGATCTTCTTAATAACCGTGCTCAATGCCATATCAGGGAAGGTTCTGACGGCAAAGTCCATGTTCGCGGAGAAACAGAAGTGCTGGAAGGGGGCAAGGTCCGAGTTCGTCCCATCGTTCAACGACCGTGCTGGGAATTCGAATCATTTAAACGAGTGCTCGTTCAGGCGCTTGGACAGCGTGCGACCGGATCATCGAGCGTCCACGACCAAAGTTCCAGGACCCACGCAGTGCTTGAACTGGAAATTGTGAGTCAGGTATTGCTAGACTCGCGACATGCCTTGTATGACCGGCAGTCTGAACTTGTGCCAGTGGGAAAACTTGCTACAGATATTAGGGTTGAGGAGGAATCGAAAGGCTTCATGCAAACACCAGATGGGAAATGGGCACCCAACCCGGATTATAAGATAAATCAAGAACGCATAGACGCGGCCGAGGCGGAGAAAGATCGTTTTGAGGCTCGAGTTAAAGCTGCTGAAGAGGATATTGAAACTGTGCTCAAATTGAGTGGCTCTCCATGCCTAGGGGCTAAGATGGTGTTTGTGGACCTGGCCGGTGCGGAGTATTACGACCGCAATGCGACTCAAATGCAAACCATAAAGCAGGCTGCTCAAGAGCGTCAAGAAGGCCGACAAATCAATTCCGACTTATTGGCACTGAAGGAAGTGATGAGAGCTTGGGCTCAGAATCAAAAGAGAATACCATTTCGCTCGTCAACTCTGACTATGGTACTTCGGGAGCATTTTATGAGCACGAGGAAGGGAAACTCTGGTATTATTGTGACCCTATCACCAGCAACGGAACAGTATGAAGCGACACTCAATTCCCTCAAATATGCAAGTCTAGTTGGTGCAGCTGTTGCTTAATATACTACAGATCAGTGAGGTATGCATGGATATAGATATAACTAATGGAGAAAGTGAGAAACACCGAAACAAATGAAATTTCCTGCATGTTTGCATCTGTCTCGTCGCCCACATGCATGACTCAGGTCTCGTCAGAGCCATATGTAGGTGTGCCTTGGGAAATAAACCTCTCCTGGTTGATTGTAGAGCGCGTGGTAATTACATATCTAAGTATCCAGCCATCGGAATCTCAGGATGCCGAATACGTATTGTGATACGTAACTCGCATACCCTGAATCTTTTGATTGCGCAGTCACTACTAGGTAGTCAGTGATGCCTTCTATGGAACCTGGGGTCCTCTACTGAGAGATGGTTATTGAGGACATTGCTTGTAAGACTGTCAGTTGATGGTGAATATAAAATAGAGAGTACATGTACGGTCACTTGCTCCGCGACAGTTGTGAATAGTCAATTGATCCATATCAGTCGCTATAAATAATGCCTTCAGCCCTGAAGAATAATCATATCTTTTCTCCTATTGGCCGCACTATAGTATGCTTCCAGGTCAAATCGGGGATAGCGTCTGGCAAGATCCGCCGCGGCTTCGATCTTTTTTGTATTCTCAACACTCCCTCCTGTTTATATCTTCATATTGTCGCGTTGATTCCTCCAGTCAAAGCAGTGTGCACAATTCTCTGTGCTCTCCTATACTTCCGACCCTCGTGACGGCCAAAAATTTCTGTTGTGTCCTGCAAACGCCCTACACTATTGTACCACACAATATCGTGCTAGATGCTCTAGTTTGGCGCTAACCCCATTTGAATTTACTACTTTTGCCTCAACAGACCAGACAATCTACTATTCTTCTTTGATCGTCAACTCTTCTTTTCTCCGTCTTATTCCTTTTCAGACTATTCATCTGTCATATGTTCCTCTTCTTCTTGATCTCTCGATTATCCTCATTATCAGAGTACTCTGTCAACTTCATTTCTTGATCCAAAAATCGTCAACTTAGACAAATCTAGTCAAGCTTTTCGAAAGACTACGTACTGTCTACAACACCAGCGAGCCTGAATCGTCACAGTGGCTCGCATACATCTTTTACAAATTCAACTTTCTATCTCCTAGTGAGTACGCCAATTCTTCCCTGACATGCAATTTTAGCGCTGCATTCTGAATTCAAGCAAGATATCGTCCTCTGCATCATCTTGCGCATTTCCTGTTTGCTCGGGACAGTTCATGCTTTTTTCCGAAGAAAAAAACATCCTACGGTCCGGAGTCCAATTTATTCGAAACTCTTCTTCTTCCCAAAATCTGCACCGTTATTTCTTTTACCAGTCTCTTTTTCTCGGTCATCCTTTCCCTGCTTTACTTTTAATCTGTCATAGCTTTTGCTTCACTCTCATTGGTCACTTGGTTACATAACCCGAGGAACAGCACATATTGACATCAAAACTTCACAGATTCAACTTATCGCTACGAGCGATCTTATTGTTGGTGGCTCTTGAAGCCTGCCACCTCTGTTCTCCGTTTCAACTCATTTCTTTGTCGGATACACAACGACAAAATATCCGCCATGGCTACGGCCGTGAAGCACAGTTATGATGAGGAAACACAGTCTTCCGATTCAACCAATGATGTCCACGGTTCACCACCAATTAAACGTTACTGCTCAGAACCATCTCAAACTTTACCAAACTTCAATAACAGTTCAGTTGAAGTTTCCCTATCTCCTCCAGTCTCAGTACACCATCAAATCAACTGTCCGTGGTGCTCAGAATCATTCGATGCTCCAGAAGACGGCGTCAAACCTGATCATGATACTTTGAAAGAGCACATTGCGCTTGTACATCCTCGCATTGCCAATCTTTCCGCACATGATGTTGCGCGCAAGGACAACGACTCAGACGACACTATGACTGTTCGCAACGTTGCTGCCGTCACAGCTCCTGTGACTGAAGTGGACTTAACACCAATAGGATCGGAGACTCCTGACATTGACTTGAATGCCGGGGCTGCCGATTCTCTCGATAGTAAACTGCATGACCTTGAACGTCAGCAGGAACGGGCACGCAACACAGAAAAGAGCCTTATGGCATGTTGGAAATTGCATGATGCCCGCAAGTTCAGCCCTGATTACGACGATACCACGGCGGAACTTGAGGAGACCTGGGGCTATGTCTTCGACGACTCAAAGGCAAACAAAAAGGCCAAGGGTAGGAAACGAAACCGCCCTAATCCATATCTGAGCACTACAACGAAGAAAGGAGAGTTTCTGGAAGTTACTCCCGTGGAAGAATTCCTCATCTCGCTCAACGACTATGAATCCATGTCCACAGACCAACTTTACGCTGCATCCCAGAATGTTTACCATGCTCTGAAGACCTGGCAAGATGAGTGGATGGCTATTGAAGAACTTAACAAAAGACTGAGCACCAAAACTAAGAAATCGGCTAATCCCCGAACATTGGACCCGCCTAAAGTATTCCAAGATAAGAGGGAAGCAGCGCTGTATGGCTACAAGTATGATCATTCGATACATGATCCCAAGAAAAATGATGTGAACAGCGAAACGACGTTCAAATCTCAAGATCCTTTTATACAAGGCGGTTTTCGACCAACTCCGGCTCAGTTACGCAAGATGCAAAGCGAAGTTGGAAAGAACAAACCCAATCCAGACGGTTTCAAGACCATGACGAGACACGGACAAGAATATATTCCTCGATTCCAAGATCCACCATTGGTTCCATTTGAATCGCGAGGATCAACGACTCGAAAGCGTAAATTACCTCAAGGCGAGGTCGCAGCCCTGAGACAAGCAAGTGTCCACGATAGCACGCCAGCTTATGACTCCGATCTGGATGGACAGCCTCTCAAGCGTGTCACTCGTTCTGCTGTCAGCAAGACAGTCGAAAAACCTCAAACCAAGACAGCGCCACCAAGTCCAGGTCCACGTGCTCGTGGTGGAAAAAAGCGCGGAGGAGCGTCAAAGGCGAGCCAGCTCTCCAAGATCACTTCTGAACAAGTTATCACTCAGACTGGAGACACGCCAACCGACAGCACCCTCTCAACTGGAATTGAAACCACTGCATCATCAGCTCCTATTGTTACTCAGGCCCCTTTTATTGGCTTTGTCTCTGCTCCCAGCCCAGAGCAAGCTGACATCGCATCCGCGCCCAAACCGGCCCTTGCACCCGCAGCTCCAGGAGCACCTCCGGCCCTCGCTGCTTTGCCTTCAAACCTTATGGAACCTGGCGAAGAAGTCACCGAAGAAGAACTCAGACGTCGTGAAAAGATCGCCAAATCCAAAAATCCTCGCCGAACAATAGCTATGCTTGATCATTGGTCAAAATTTCATGGGGACGGACGAGTCCGCAATCCTAAGCGAACAAGAGAACAGATGGAAGCAGATAGGCTTGCAGAGGAACAGCGCAAAGCAAGCGAGCAAGGAAAACCTGCGAAGAGACGTAGACGCAGGGCCGCGAATACCACTACAGTCAGCGACGCAACAGTTACACCAATGATAACAACTACCGCTACGGTAGCAGGTGTCTCTCTGCAACCTGTCTCGATCCAGCCAGCTGCCATGACGACAACCATTGCACCAGTGGTTTCTTCGTCTCCTCCACTTCCTCCTCCGGCGGCGCGATCGCAGGGTTTCCCAATTCCTCCCAGTGAGCCTCATCAGCCTCAACCCTCACGCATCTTTTCATCTTTGCATCCAGATCCCATTACCGGGCGTATTCCTCAACCCCCATTGAATCCCAATCCTACTCTACCGGGCCTACCTGAAGTCAATAGAAACACTGCACCACCTCCTCTTTGGACTGCTCCTTCACAATTCTACACGTACGGAAATCCGCCGCCACCGTTGCCTTATCATCCGTTTGGACAGCCTCAGTACCCACATCCACATCCACCTCCACTTCCACTCCAACTTCATCAGGCCTCCCGTCCTGCTGCTGATCCCACTGAACACATGCAGCCTGGTGCGAATTATCCTTATGCTTTCCGGCCTTTTCATCCTCCTCAAAATGGACCACAAACTCGACGACCTTGAACAACCTCAATCTTGATTCTTGTCACAACTCATTGAACACATTGATTGAGCGAAAACGAATGAACATAAATTCTTGGCTTTGCATGGCTACTATTTCTTCGCCGATATTTAGCACATCGAATTGAAAAAGATGACTGCGATTCTCGTCGGTTTTGTAACATATCGCTTTTTTTTTCCTTTTTTGTTCTCACTTTCGCATCTTGTTTTGTGCATTAAGCGTCCTGGTACAATGCAGGAGTTCCGGACGGTAGGCAAAAGTTGGGAACTTTTTTGCATTTGAATTCTGGCATCATTCCAGGTTCGACGCATAAATTCTGTTACCATTGCCTTTCAGGGCTAGTCCCGTAGTTACTCATAGAAACGTTTTAATATCATGAAACTGATCGTTTAATGTCGAAGCGTAATGATTTTACAGTATCAAGATATAAGCAGTTATCCACTAGATATTATTGGCTCTTAAAAAACGGTTGGTAATCAGTAACGATAGTGGATAAAATACATAAGTATCACGTGATCTGACGCTGACCTCAATGTCGTTTCTAGCTCAATCTTTCCTTCATCATTGCGCTCGTCCATCAAATACTTGTCCACGACCTACGCATCAGCATCTATAATTGATCCCGTCTATATCTCTACTCCCGGAGAACAGGTAGCGCCGATAATAATCAAATTTTTCGGTCATAATGGGTAAGAAGAAGCGCGGTCATCCGGATCTCGAAGAATTACTCGCCCGACCTTGGTGCTACTACTGCGAACGGGATTTCGACGATCTGAAAATCCTAATATCGCATCAGAAAGCGAAACATTTCAAGTGTGAACGATGTGGGCGAAGATTGAATACCGCTGGAGGTATGACAACATTCCCAGCGAGATTAACAGTTCGGCGTGAGAAACTAATTTATTTTCTATAGGTCTTTCGGTTCACATGAGCCAAGTCCACAAAGAACAGCTAAGTGAAGTCGACAATGCTTTACCCAACAGATCAAGTCTTGATATCGAGATCTTTGGCATGGAAGGTGTCCCTGAAGACGTCATCCAAGCTCACAACCAGCGTGTCCTCGCACAATTTCAGCAAGCTGAAGCTGAGCGCCGTGCAGCTACGGGAAATCCTCCACCGGGAGTTACGAAAGATGGTGGTGCAGCGAAGAAACCAAAACTGGAGATTTCGGATTTGAAGAAGCGTTTGGCGGAGCACAAGGCGAAACTGGCTACTGACGGTAAGCCTTCGGAGGCAAGTAGTGGTTCAGTCACACCTGTTGGAGCTGGACAGAGCGCAAGTCAAAGTTCTAGTCATACTCCAAGTGGTTTTGTGAGTGTTTGTTCCCAAAAGCGAAACATTTGAAATTTTCAGTGCTAACTAGATGATTAGCAGAGTCAGACTTATCAAACCCCCCCTGTTCAACAATCCGCGCCCAGTGTTCCAGTACCCAATCAATATCCTTATCCTGCAGCACCCTACGGTACCGTTAATCCTCCTTATCAACATACTCAGAGCCCTGTGTATCCAAACTTCCCGCCGAATGGGCAACAGGTACCACCAACCCCACAGCCATATGGCGCTCCACCCTATGCTTCTCCGCCCCAGTTTCAACCTGGACAAACACCATACGCAGCAACTACTCCATCAACTCATCCATATGTACAACAGCAACAGCAACCCGCAAGGACACACACGCCTCCCCATAACCTACCACAATTTCCTCCCCGTCAAGGCAGTCTTCCCACCGCGCCTGGTCTTCCGCAGCGGCCATCCTTCAGTGGCACGCCAGCGATCGCGCATCCATTACCTCCAATGCAGCATCCACTTCCTGGTATGCCCTCTCCCTCTATTCCTCAAGGATATGGCCAATATTCTCCACCACAAACCACTACACCAGCCGTATCTATCGCACAACTATCGACATCAGTTGACGAATTAATATCCGGAGCTGCTAAAACAGCAGAAACTGCACAAAGTCAGGGAACACCGGCACCAACAACTGAAAAGCAGCCATCTACACCAGCGGAGGAAAAGAAAGGGAAAAAGGAAAAGGACAAGTCAAAGACAAGGTTGGTGTATTCCGACAACGAGACAAGCCCCGAGGAAAAAATGGCAAGTTTGCCGAGATATGCGTACTCTCCTCCTCATCTAGCGGGGAGGGAGACTGTTCTTAGCGATGCTACTGTTCCAGCAGTTGCCCGTCCAACGACGAATTCTGACGATGTTCTTGATGCTTCTGGTTAAGGAACGCCCTCTCTCCAAGAAGACGCAAAACCCGGACGCAAACTATAACTAGTGGGTCGTTCTTGGACAAAACAAGCTAAGTTCGACATCACTATATCAAATAAGTACCACCTTTGTTTGAAGAGAAACAAAAGCACACTTCTTTTTCCCTGATGTGTTTTAGCATGGCACAACAAGTGCTGGACTCGAAAGTCTCGGAAGTCCCACACGTATCAAATATACAATCGTTGGCCAGAACGCGAGAATTGCACAAAACGTGACTTCCATTTCTCGACACACATTTCATACCCTTTTACGGTCATCTGTCGGTGAGTAGGGGTTATACTTTGCCTCTTCCTTCGCAAAGCTGATTGATGAATATCATCCTATTCGTTGCCTTCATCCCTTGTTATACTCTCAGCGTGTTCATGCGGGTGTCTCTAATTTACAAAACTCGTCATCCACGTTGAGCTCATACGATTACGAGTGAGGCTTTTTCGTTTACCGGTGTATCGTGCGTACTAAAGGTTGGTTCCATGTTCTTGACCTGAAAGGTAGGCACGTCCTTTCATCTATTAAAAGCGTCCTGTTCTAGATTAATACATATGATCGTTTTTCTGTCTTTGAACGTCGTATCCCTGTAGATGAGTGAGAAATAACTGTGCATTCGATGCATGCATCTTCCTAGTATGAATCTACCCATGCTAGTGCCTGCTTCATATCTCCAAAGGTCCCGTTATACCATCCATGCAATAGTCCGATTATAAATGCTCTATGCAGGAGATCACGGGAAGGTTAGGTGGGGCATGCAGACGCGGAGTGCGGGTCGGTCCGCAAGCTTCTGTCGAAATCGAGATCTTACCTACGGAGGGCACGAGAAACAGAAATGCAGATGAATGTTTGGAGGGGAGTAATGCTTCTAACGATTACGGATAGGCAGATATCTAATTGAGACTACGTTATTCCTTTGACAGTCGTTCAGTAGATCGCTTGTAAAGAATTGAATTCCTCAAATCGATGGGGAACGTAATGACTAAGGTCAAATCACAAAGCCACATACGTATCAAGTTTATAGTATACTTTCAATTGCTGGACAGAACAGTAAAATAAGTAACAATCAGCAATAGAAGAAAGGGGCAATTCTAATGGTCAACGCAAATAACAACACGTGACTTCATCGGAAGTTGTCATCCCCGACTTACACTCCTAAAGCGGTCCGAGGCACAAGTGGGACCAATCCAATCGTAAGAGCGAATCCACCAACGGACTCCGTCAACATGCAACACCTCTCAACTTACACAAACCTCATCTGAAGATTATTCATCCTTCACCTCTCTACTTTTTCTCTTCAGAAAGTATAATATCCGAATTGAACCCCACGAGACTCTAAGCAGAAAGTCAACGTCATAATGGTTTGTATTCTTGAGACCTTCTGTTCCGTTGTGATGATATCATAAACAGCTAGAACAATCAATCAATCAATGCTAACAAATGCGTAACTCATAGCCCTCTCAAGACTTCACCATCACCTCCGCCGGCGCCCTATCTGCCCTAACTTCCCTCGGTGGCATAATTGGCTACGCGCGAACTGGCTCCATCCCCTCAATCGCAGCCGGTCTCTCAGTCGGCGCACTCTACCTATTGAGCTTGGTACGACTACGAAACAATCAGCCCTACGCTGAAGAGATTGGATTGCTCGCTTCGACTGTTCTCGCCGGTTCCTCTGTGCCCCGCGCGCTTCGATTGCGCAAACCTGTTCCTATTGCGCTCAGCGTCGTTGCGACGTATGGATTGATTGTTTTTGGATTGGCGTTTCGAGATAAGAGGGCTACTCGTCTTTAGGGGTGTGCGAATATTGCGATGATATGAGGCTATCCGTGTATGAGGTTCTTGTCTCGTTGGTGAACTATAGTATCAATCCGTTCAATTCCGTCTTCATTTTGCTCTGTATCGGCATTGCCGGTGTGATGGCGCTGGGTCTCGAGCCTTGCATTGTTCTCGGCCCTAGGAGAAAGATAATGCCGTAATATAGATCTTCTTGATCCAAAATGCCAAAGTAGTTTGCACTGCAAAGGCCGGAGAAAGACAGGTGGAGTTGTTGACTCGGATATATTGGGCTGAAATTAGATTTGTAGGGCTAGACCTGTTTGTCAGAGGATAAACTCACTCCTACGGAGTCCTACGGGATGATAACGATGATCACTTCATGAACCTACATCCTAAAGAGCAATGCTCACAGTACAGTACATTACATCTAGTACGAAGCCTCACAGAAGCTAGGCCCCACTGCATACAAGATAATCTCCCCTATATAGTAATCAATTTACCAAAGAAGAGATCGGACTGGCGAATACCAGTGAATCTGCAGTCTAATCGATCGAGTCAATGCTAGGAGTATGAGCTACGTCGTGAATAGTTCGTCTAGACCTGTCTGTTTTACCTTTCCAAGCTAGGGCTGGGGCGTCACAAGGACACTACATGCAGGCTGCTATACATACCATGCAGTACTAATGCTGTATGGACTCAGTAATGATTCATTGTGATTTGACTGATTACTCTGTTCTTCTTGTGCTTATAAAAGCAAGAAACATATTTCACACATCGGATTTTATTCCGATTACCATTGAATTACCAGATAGGTGATAAAATACGCAGGATCGGCGCAAAAACTCTTACCGCCACCTGATCAAAATACGACGGCGTATTAGAGAACCCCACTTAATCTACGAAAATACAACGATAAGATTGAATTGTTTTGATCTTTCCTCTCTCTTCTTTCTCATCTTCTGTTTTTCGCTCGTGAGTTGTTGTGGTCGTTGCTGTCTGGTTGACTTTACAAGGGTTTACTTGCAGTTAGCTTTATATACCCATCGTTTCCTTGTTCTATCATTTGGATACTGTTTTAATGTATCTATACGAGTACCTAAATACAAAGAGAAGTTGATTCGCTTCAGTCAAGATGTTGCGAGAAGGGCCCAAGCTGCCGGTTAAGCAAATCACTATATTAGGTAAATTCATATTATCTTAGAACTTCTTTGAGACCGACCAATCTGCTAACTTATGTAAAACAGCAATATGTCGATTCGCAGAGCCTGGTAAGTTGAGGCACAAACATGTTGCATGAACAAAAAAATCTAAAGCACGACTAGTGGTATATACATCGGTTCTGCCTTATCTAGTAGGTTCTCTGTATTCATTCCATGGCAAATCTATACTTACCGAACCACAGCCCGAGATGATGGAAAGCGTTGGTGTCCGCAAAAATGAAATAGCAAAATGGGTCGGCATTTCATCCGCCGTCGTCGCCGGTTGTCAATGCATCATGGCCGTTCCCTGGGGCACATTCTCAGATCGATTTGGGCGCAAATACACGATACTACTAGGCCTCACATCAACCATGATATTTTCACTTGTCTTCGGGTTCTCGCAATCTCTCACCATGTTACTTGTCTCGAGAGCGTTTATAGGCCTTGGAAATGCTAATGTTGGCATTATCCGGACTATGGTTGCCGAACTCGTGCGTGAAAAGGAGCTTCAGCCACTCGCATTTAGTATGATGCCTTTGGTTTGGTCCATTGGCAGTATATTCGGTCCTGCTTTTGGAGGAGCTTTGGCCAATCCTGCGGTTAAGCATCCGGAAATTTTTGGTAATTGGGAGATCTTTCGGAAGTATCCTTTCGCTTTACCGAATATTATCTCGGCGATACTCTTCATCATTGGCATTACTACGGGATTTTTGTTTCTTGAGGTGAGTATCGGAAACAATTGGTGGTAACAACTCGATGATTGACACTTTATAGGAAACCTTGGAAAGCCGAAAACATAAACGCGACTATGGTCTGATTCTCGGCCGATTGTTGACTCAATCGTGTTCTTCAAGAAGGTCACATCCTTATCAGCATGACCATCACGATTCAACGGTAAATGAGCGAACAGGTCTACTCATCTCGGACGAAGAGAGTAGGAACAGCTCAAGTCATGAAGGCGACAATACATCAAAAGCTCCCACTTACGGGACTGCCAATACTATAAACGATGATAACCCTGACTATGATATCGTCGAACCCAAAAAGGATGCTTCGAGTAAATTCAAAACCATTTTTACTTGGCAATCAACCCTTACTTTGATGGTGTATGGCATGTTAGCAATGCATAGCATGGGCTTTGATTCTCTTTTTCCTGTTTTCTTGCATCATCCCAAACAAGATCTGGTCAATAATCCAGATGTAAATCTTCCTTTCCAGTTCACCAGTGGTTTCGGACTTGGTAGGTAGATCTGTCCGATATGACTCCATAAATACTAACGAACTCTTTCAGGGTCTCAAAAAATCGGTATATTATACACTCTCAATGGCGCAACTGGCATCTTCGTTCAATTCGTCTTCTTCCCCATGGCTGCACGCCGCTGGGGTGTCCTCCGCTGCTTCAAAGTAGTCGCAATATGCTTCCCATTCATCTACTTCATTACTCCATTCCTCGTCCTCATCCCAGAGTCCATCAGCATGATAGTCATCTATTTACTTCTCATGATCAAAATGACTCTCGGCATGTTCGCATTTCCCTGTACAACCATATTACTCACCAATACGGCATCCAGTCTCAAGACTCTGGGTACTTTGAACGGTGTCGGGGTTAGTGTTAGTGCGATTGGTCGTGCTGCAGGTCCTGCGTTGGTGGGAGAGGCCTTTACAGCTGGGGTAAAGGCGGGGTATATGATTGTTCCGTGGTGGATTTTGACTGCATTAACGGTGATTTCGGCGATACCTGTGTTTTGGATCGAGGAGAAGGATGGATTTACGCCGGATGAGGAGGACGACAATGATGGCGACGAATGAGTTATAATCCTCTGACTGGAAGGAAAAAAGCGTCAATGATTCATGGTTTATGCAAGTTTTGATGTTTATGATCTCGTGGTCGATTTCAGGGTCAGAATGTAAAGGAAGATTACAGAATTGCATGGCGTTTGGTTTGCATTTTTTTATGGGAAAAGTGTGGCTTTTAACATAGTTCTGCTTCTTCCAAGGTTCTTCTAGATACATTAATGTATATACACTTTACATTTCATTCTTGGATACCGAGGTACCTAGGCGTGTAAAAAAAGAAATGTGATGTAGATATTATTAAACGAAAATTTGGCCTATATTCAAGCAATCATCTACAGCCTATTTCCAGCTTGGATACATAGCGACTTATCAACCGTCGGTAGAAGACCTTATATACAACCTCAAACTCAGAATGACTTCAACGTCTCCATTTAATCTTTTATCCTGCAAAATCATGACGTTCAACATATCGCGCTGACTGTCTATCCAAGCAGCTTAGTCGCTTCACCAATCCGGTCTTGGATAATCTGACTCCATCGCTATAATTCTGTTAGTGGACGGCTCATATGGCCCGAAGAGAAAACTTACTACCGCATTTGTGATATTACCCGCATCCAAGCTCTCGACCAGACCTGGATAAGTCGCCCCTGCGTAACCGGTCCAAAGACCCGGAGCAAAGACAACGTGTTTAAACCAGGGCCGTCCGTCCAATCCACTCTCGTACAAAAATTTCCTCTCCAATATCTTGTACTTAGTGTTGATAGTGCGGACCTTGAGCCACAGCTGTAGCCTTTTCCACCAGTGGTACCATGGCTGTTCTTTACCTAATTCGGACTCAATCTTGGCCGCATATGCATCAAATTCCACCGCTGCATCATAGAGGCTGGAAATCGACCTTTCTAATGGTCCAAAGCTGAAATGGCTTTTTTTGGGAAGGTTGTCTGCATGCGACTTGAGTCTATCCACATATTTCTGGAGATTGACCGCGTAGTCCGTGGCATTGAAGCCCAAAACTGGCTTTTCAGAAAAGTAGGCGCCCATCAGTGAAAATATCTTGGCAGCGGTGAGATGGTACTTCCAACCGGGGTCACCAAATCGTCTCATCCAGTCAAAGCTATCGTAGTTAGAGTGATAATGGTAGACGGCATTAGTCTTCCCTCCTGTAAATCCAAAAGAGACACTAGGGATACCAGCAAATTCTTGGAAAGCCGTAAAGTCGCTTCCACTGCCAAGTGAGGAAATGTAACCGCCCCAAACATCCAATACTGACTGGCCCTTGACGGTCTGGTTGGGTGACTGAACTGTGCTCGTGACTTCGTACACGGCCTTGTTGAGTAGGGGACTGCCACTGACATCGAAGTTCGGACCAGTGGCTGCTACATCAACATTAATGTATACAGCATTTGCGACCGAGAGCCAAGGCAAATTCTCCTCCACCCACTCGGTGGATCCGATAAGACCATACTCTTCGCCGTCCCAGCTAGCAAATATGATCGTCCGAAGAGGTTTCCATCCTGCCTTCAGAGCCTCGCCAAAGCTTCGGACGACTTCGTTGAGCGCGGCTGAGCCGCTGTTGGGATCACCGGCGCCACCTGCAACCCAGGCGTCGCGATGGTTACCTAAGATAACCACCTCGTCTGGAATAGCACCTTTGATAACACCAATAACATTCCACAGAGGAGTTGTAACATAGTCTTGATTATTGTGTAGGTTGATAACCACATCATCAGGAGTCGGTCCGACGTTGTAGTCGACGCCCTTATGAGCTAAGCCGCCACCTTGCCAGAAGTCATTGAAATCAGCTGCTTTGGGACCGTGGCCATTGAGGGCTTTAAGAAGTGGCAATGCGTCAGTGTATGAGATTGGGAGAGATGGGATGGATGGAATAGAATGCTCTGGAGGCTGTCGCTCGACTCCAGGCTTCGATGCGTAACCAGGAGTGGTTGGGTCACCCGGTGCAATGCCTTGAGCCGGTAATGTTAGCATTTGGCATATTGGAAGGAATTCGACTACAACATACTGAGAAATTGGACACTGCCCCTTTGAACTGCGCTTGGGTTCCTAGCAGGCCCAGCAGGGTATGCTTCATACCCATTCAACTCCGTGATATCGCCATCTTCTTGGGGGTCTGAATATATCACCACGCCAACGGCACCTAATTCCTGTGCACGCTTCACCTTGAGGCCACGGAAGATCCCGCCATACTTGACAATCACTATCTTGCCTTTGACGGAGATATCTGCGTCGATCAGGTCTTGGTAGTCCTGATAGGTACCGAAGTTTGCATATACAAATGGAGCAGTGACGTTTCCTGTAGCTGAATAGCCATGGAATGTTGGAACACGATTTCGCAAGCCACTTGTACCGTCCTCATCCAAAACATCCTCCTCTAGACTGGCCTCATAAGTGACTTCATAATTATCAGATCCCTTTTTCTTCAAGAGCGCAAGCCGATGATCTAGCGGATAGTTAATGTAGACATCGTAGCTAGCAATAGTTGTGTCCTCGACACCAAACTCCTTCCATTTCTCTTGTGTCCAAAGCACTTGTGAGAAGTTGCCACCAGCCAAATGTGGACCGGACGTGTAGTATTTACTCCATTCTTCAATCTTCTCTGCCGTAGGGGTCTCATGCAAAACTGCGCGCAGTTCTGCGTTGGAAAGACCACTTCCATGAGGCCATGATTGAGGATATGGTTTGGACCATGGTCCGTAAACCCAAGAAGCTCCGTCCTCACGGGGAAAGAGCTTAGTTGGTAGAATGAATAGAGTCACAGCTACTAAGAGCACCAGACAAAGGAGAGCAGTGCATGTGCGACGAAGCGCATGATGAGGGTACCGGTGTCGTGTGGGAGCAGTCTGGACGACCAGCAGCGGAGTTGTCTCCGAGGCAGGCATGTTGAGGTCTGCTTTTTCCTTCATCGCTTCAGTTTCTGGGCCTCGAGAACCTCGAGAACGATACAATCCCGCTCACACCTGTGAATACCTGGATTATGGAAGAACAATCCAGCTACATCAGATGTTTGGGATGGTCAAGAATGTTGTTATTGTTGTTGTTGTTGTTGTTGTTGTTCGGATTAGCTATCTGAACTCCGAAGGCATCAATCAGACAAGATAAGAGGCCTGTGACGTGATGGGTCCGCCCGTTCCTGATTAGGCAGGTGGTGCCGTAATATACGTAATATACTCCGTACGCTGATCACGGCTTACCGGTCTGGTACGAGAAATACCAGCACTCACAGAATCAGTATTTTAACATGAACAATACGGTAAAATAACATATTTCGTTTCAATGACGCTGCAAACAACTAAACAAATACCGTATTCGCCCTTTCACCTAAGATGCAACTTTGATTACGACTTGGTTGAATTTGAACGAATTAAACCCTACAGCTCGACAATAGTCATTCTTGCCATCTGTCATGTCATACTTCTCAAATTTGCGATTTGTGATATACAATCTGTAAGTTACGGTCGTCATCAGGACTGCCCTAAGCCCTAGCCCTAAGCTAGAGTGACGGATCTACCTAGGAAAGCAAGAACACCTGAGTATTCATGCATAAACCAGCCTTTCTTTGCTGCTGTAATCAGTTTTTCTATCCACGGATGCTTTCTTGAAACCAGGTGCAAAAGAGAAGGGTGAGAAAATCGATATATTTGAATTCTTGCTTTCAAGACCGTTTCGCTCATTTCTCAACAGAGCCTCATAAAATACAACGGTGTCCTTTTAACTACCATATAGTTTGATATATAATATTGTTCTTGGTGAGGATGTATCTTCCCGTCATGTATAATTGTTGTCATGATTATTCTCATCATCCTCGTTCACATGGATCTGATCATTGTCAGCTGGATTAAGTCTGTTTCCGATATCTGTACTGGTTCTCAGAATCTGGCGAGCATCTTGGCTATCCACGTTCATGTCCTTCTTGATGAGTAAAACAGTCAGTTCTGGAACAAGTACGGCTTGCGCGTATGCAGCTGCCCCGGCAGCTTTGATAACCTTATCCGTCGCCGCTAGCTGACGGAGCTTGCCAGAGTATTTCGATGTTACATAATTCAACCTGGGAATCATGTTGTTAGCTTGACGATTGCTTCATACACTGTATGAGACGAACATTTTGCTTGCTCCCTTGGGACCGTAATAACCGCAAGATAGCCTCTCTACACTATCATCCTCCAATGACATTTTGAAGACTTTGGCCTGCCCATCTTTCAGGGTGCTTTCAAAACGGCCGCGGAAGAAAGTCGTAGGATTAGGTACCAGGAGACGCTCAAATTCCGGAAGATGATCTCGCACTCGCTGGTCAAATGTATCCCAATCAATTGTGGGATACTTATTATTCGTCCACTCCTTTTCAGCTTTATTGACCTTGTGACTCTCACAGAATAGGCGGTCATCTCTTAGACGCCGATGTGGTTGTACCAAATATTCGCCAAGCAAATCAGAGTCGACTGGGGCGTTGCAGTTCGGACAAAGTGATTTGCTTGGCGTCTTATCATCTTCCGACAACGATGAAGGCGGAGAGCTAAGTGAAGATAAATCGTCATCGAAGTCCAAGTCAAATTCTCTAGCAGTAAATGCAGAACTGGGAACGCTTGTGAGAGATTGCCCAGGAGGATCCTTAAATTGGTTGACCGGAGATGATAGACGGTCATAGAGATCTTCCTCGAAAGCTGCAGGCATACGGAACGCGATCTCTTCCTTGTTTTTGGAACTGTTTGCAGTTGACCCGTTCGTCCTTTTTTGCGCCTTGCGAGGTGTCGGCGGGACGTCAATGTTTCTTGGACTGAGAAACGCGTCCGAGCCTTTCTCTGCGTCGAAGTCCCTAGGCATTTTGAATTCACCATACTTTGCTTGACTACTCGAATTTCGGCTTCTCTGTGAAGATATGCGATCGAACCAGGCGTCCTTATCATCTGCCTGCGAACTCGAAGGCGGGTTGTTGTTCTTTCCTTCATCCCGCTTTCGTTTGGCAGCACCTTCCTGTCTGACTTCCTTAGCGACTTCAGATTCTCGTTGATGGTTTTCCTCTTCTTCTCGTTCCTTCGACTCCTCCTTCTCGCTCTCTTCCTCGCTGGAACTCAATGGCTCATCGTCAGTGGCGGGTTCTGGTTTCTGACTTTGATTTTTCTTCTCTTTCAGCATATCATCATTAGAAGATCCCCGCACTATAGGTTTACCCCCGACTTGCGTTAGTGGCGGCCCGGCGGTATGGTTTCTCCTCGATTGACCGACACGTCTGGACGCAGTAGACATCTTATGGAATGGGCTTTATTTGATGCGAACGACAATTTCCAGATAGCGTTCAATTTTTGGGGTCCGTTGTAGCAATTTCAAGTCAAGCAAGTGTAGTGAACCCAAGTATAATTGACATATCGTATCTTCCTGGTCAGATGTATCGCATCTCAATTATTGTCAAACCAGCCCATCATAGATTGCGCCCGGTTTATTGTAAGTCTCAATCTCAAATTATCATAACCTCCCAATATGTTTTCGGCGGAATGATGAGAACTGGTTTGTCGCAGGGTTACTTCGCGGTCAACAGAGATCTCACAGGCACTCACACTGGATTCTGGCCACAGTTGAGTCAACTCTCAAAGGCACATCAAATTGTCAAATGCCTTTCCTAAATAGGAAGTTCAACGTGCAAGGCATATGTCAAGTAAGCGGAAGCTCTAAACGCTTAAGAAGTGCTTTCAAATTACTTGCGAAGTACTTTGCGAAGGAGAACGGGCTTTGTAGGAGCAATGCTTCCCCACTTTCGACGCGACGCGTTTTATCTTCACGTGCTTTCTTATCGTAGAAATTGAGAGAGACTATCTGATCTCTTTATTAAATATTGTGGAAGACTCGTAACAGAGAAATAAATTTAGATTAAGTAGACGCCTTATCTCTAATGCTCGATAAATCGCTGTTTCGCCGACAAAATCAAGGAAAACATCAGAAAAGCGTCAAAATATTAGTATGCAAGCTTAGTACGACACCGACTGCAACAAGTATAACAAGGCCACACATGCACTTATTGACAGCGAAATTCAATTGATCCTCGCCTTACGCCACAAGGTAACAGGCCAAAAAGGCAGTCAGGTGCAATGAAAATAAAAGTTTCAATATCGTGTTTTCTTCTCCCTCATTCAAAGGTCATATGGATCTCATCCTCCTCATGATTCGTACCTTCGGCCCAGGCGTTATGTCCAAAGTCGACGGGCATTGTTGCAGCGGAATGTAGGGGCGGTCGATTCGTTGATGAGAGGTCCTCTTGGTCGTGCAGTTTGTTATTACTAGTGTTCTTATAATTATATTCATTATCGAAGTTTGCGCTACGAAAGGGTGGTGGAATTGTTGGTGTCGATGTATCATGATATGCGGTGTCGAAAGTCAATTGAATGTCTTCTTCTGCCTCGTCGTTGTGCTCATGGATGAAATCTTTGTGTTTTGCTTCTGGATCATTGGTTGTTGGGGAATTGAATGATGGCATTTCGGGTGTACTCTTTGAGGTGGATGGGAGATTGTCAGCTAAGGTGGCAGCATTGTTTTCACTTTTGGATGCTCGTAACTCAGGTCGATCAGCATTATGGTTATTCAAGTCCAATGTAATCGGCGGCAAAGTTGACTCGAGTTGCTTGACTTCAATCTGTTCTGAAGCCAGCTCTGCCCTGATAGCGTCAATATCGAAGAGGACGCTGTCGCGTCCTGACGATGAATTGGGTGAATCAGGATGAGGTGTAGGGTCTCCCTGGTCCGGGTCGTATGTTTCCCATCCTTTCTTTTTCGCCAAGGTTGATTTCTTGAAGAGACCAAATCTTTTCTTGTCCGGTTTCTGTTCTGCTTCCCTACGTGCTTCGTCAATCTCGCGAATAAGTTCCCTCTGTCGCTCCGCATGATTCTCTGGATCTGGATCTTCGATTTCCGCAAACTCATCACTGAGCACCTCCCAGCCAACCTCGCGTAGTAACCTGGGCATTGCTGCACGGTAGTTCATGTGCCCGCTAACCAAGTCTGTAACATTAAAGTTCTCCATGCCCGGGATGCCGAGAACAGGCGCCAGACCAGCCACACGCATGATACCTCCACTTGTAGCCCTGAATAGATAGCCGAGGATCCAATCATTGGACGAGTACCCATTCACGAATCTGCCGACAACGACGCTCCGTACTTTCAGATATTCGTCCTTGTTGGCCACAATTGGGGCACCGAACATATAGACATTCTGGACCAGGCCGTAAGCTCCCTTCTTGGCAAGTTCTTTGAGACATGAGAATATCACCCTAGAGCCAAGAGAAAAGCCAAGGAGCGTAATAGGTCTCTTTCCAAGATTGCGACTCATTATAGAGTCAGCGAGAATTAAACCGGCAGCATTAGCTCGAACCAGGGAAACATTCCAGGGATTATCAATGAGATAAGCGAGTTTGGTCAGGACGATGGGTAGTTGTAAAGCACCCATCAACGCCGTCAGGATGGTACTACCGAGGACCTGCTGTAATCCCTGCGTAAGAGCCTACGCAATTAACTGTTAGCATTCATTTGAATTCGTATTTTGAATCGATACCATACCTCTGTCGCTAGAATATTGATGGTAGAACCCATACTCTGAAGCATTTCCGGTTCCCAAAAAACGGAGTACAAATCGCCCATGATGGGATCAACCGTACTGAAAGGCAACCGGACATCATCGACTTTACCCGTCATCCACCCTGAAATAGTGACGATAAGATTGACCCGTTGATTGTTATGTAGCGGACGATATTCAAAGGTCTGCACAGCACCCGTACGTCGATTCGAGGCTCTCAGACCAGAGTAGCTTCCTGTGAGTGTTGCACCAGAAGCAATCAGTGCAGTACCACCGGCTCCTCCCAGAAAAGCACCAGTCCCAGATATCCCAATGGTTGTAAAACCAGCTGCCAGACCAGCACCAATAACCGGAGCCAATAAACCTGCCGACAGGCCAATGACTAACCCACCTCCAACAGTCGCCAGACCCATAATCACGTACTTCGACTTTAGTGCCTTCTTACGTCGCTGTTCCATGTGCTCTGATTCATCCCAGGTCTCTTTCTGTGTGGCTTGCTCCATTTCAAGTGCATCAATTACTTTCTTTTCAAACCGGCATATCTGCATCCATGAGATCTTCATTGCCTCCCCGACCTTCTCAAGTAAGTAACGGGATCGAGCGTCATAGTTTGCTTCTGCGATAAGGACAAGGAATAAATCACAGAGCACGGTCCAGCGAAGATCGATCTCTATATTGGCTGATTTGGGCATCTGAGAAGGTGTCTGAACGGCCGGCACTTCGTCACCTTCCGCACCGTAAGGCGGAGGAGATTGAGTTTCCTCATAAGCAGGAGGTGACCCGTTTAAGGCGGAAGAACTATTTCGTTTTTGATTTCCAAGACTTGGCGAGTTCAGTGAAGGAGTCCCGGCAGCTGAGCGCCCTTCTTCAGCCATCGGATTCTTGACCCGGGAATTCTTCATAAGAGGGTCGACAAGATCTGCTGCTTGCACTCCGTGTTCAGCAAGTTGTTCAATCATGACTTGCTCTGCGGCGTCAATATCCATATGGCCAAACAATCGCATCATTACGCCTTGACCCCATTTCTTCATGGAGTCCACGGCATCTTGCAGGGCCTTCTTGGAAGACTTTGTTGTAGGAATCTTTTCCACATCACTGGTCATCTGGTATATAGAAAGGCGCACAACGCCAACATAGGCAATACGCTGACCTTCACTTAGGAGGTCCTTTGTAGCCTGTAGTTGACTGAGCGGATCGCGAGTGTCGTCATCAATACCGGCTGAGGTTGCATGGTTTTCTTTGAACAGATAACTCGTATCTTCGTCCATACTGGTTACTGAATGAGTATCTTCATCAAATTGCACACGCGTATAGCCGCGACTAGCGGCACTAGCACCCATATAATCATCGTCGTCTAGCTTTGAACCTTTTGCGACTAGTCTGCCGTAGTCATCATAATGATCCATCTCACCCAGGGCAGGCATGGCCTTCCACTCTCCCTCGCCATCACTTTCCTCCTCAGAGTGTTGTTCGGTGAGTTTCTGATGAGACCATTCTGAAGCACCTATCGAATCATTTTTGGTGTGGGCACGTTTTTCTTCCTTGGCACCCGCTGATGGCTCTTGGTTTGCTGATTCGTCAATGGCGAATTCTGTGATATTTTGCGACTCGGAACCATCGTGACTTTCCATAGTAACGCCTAAACCAGCAAGAGAACCGGCAGACTGAGCTCCCTCCCTCTTAGATCCATCCTCCCCCTTGTTTATTTCGGCGTGGTTATTCGTCGTCGCTGGAAGGTCTTGCGTCGGAGGCGAAGTATTATCGTTGGAAGCCGGTACTTCCGAAGCATCCTGAAAGTCTGATGAGGTGGATTCGGAACTTTCTGAACTAATTCTCTCCTTCTTTGGTCGAATGGGTAGCCCAAAATCATCCACTTCACACCGCGTTTGCGCACTGCTCTGTTGAGGGATTGGGTTTGTATCAGGTACTGTGCCTGATTGCGCTGAAAACATGATAATGCCTCACGTATTTATATAGAAACGACTCTGATCTCAAACTTCTTGATACTGCGGTAAAATAATTCGCACGGGAGTCGTTGAACGATTTCGCTTCGAGCAACCCATTCGCGCAAGCTCATTAGCAAAACACAATCCGAGCTCTTGCAGACTATGAAATTGTATTCAAGCAGATAAATCAATATTTCTGTTGTCTTCCTTGGTATATCGCGCCTTGACTAACTGCAGGGACGTGGTCGGCGAGGAGTCACGAGCAAGGACCACATGAGACGACTGAGGCGGAGAACGTAAGTCAAGCTCGACGAACAGGTGGACAGAAGTCATAGGATCTCTGTTGAGTTCGTCATTAATGCTCACAGCTTAAAAGGACTTCAAAACGCCTATTCCTTTTAGCTGAATGTTGCGACAAATGTGTGACAGAGGTAGTCGCATGGGAGAAAAGGAGTTCAGAGCCCGTGGGGAAGTCAATTCGCATGGCTGACTCGTTCGCCGCCTTCTGATTGGTTCGTTTTCTGATATAACACCTCAACGCCGTGAGCTTGGCGAGTGTCCACGAGTCGGATATGACGGGGGTTCTTTAACAATATACATTATTTCAGAACAGACTAAAACTTGCTGAAGACTAACCCTAACAAAGCGTGGGTATATGGACCGATCTACAAAAGAAGTGGCGGCCTCAGACCTGGGTCCGACAAAGGGTTAGGGTTATCACGGGACTCTTTGTACCTTTTATTCTGTTACCGAATCTAAGCTCCCAGCTATAGACTCGTATTCCAAGGTAACCAGGCATTACTTCCTGAATACATTCTTGGAATGTGGCTCGTTATAATTGTATACAGTCGACTCTACTCACAGTCCACAACTCAATTCCGTAACCCTTTAAAGGGTAAAGGCCCCCTTCCGCCTCTATGTTTATACAAGTCACCAGAACTTCTCTCAACAATGTCATAACTCTCGTTTCCAAGTGATACTAAAATATTGTCAAGTTGTCAACTATCGGGTTCGTCAGCCATTTCCATGGCTATCTCGTAGACCCTCTTCGAACATTTATGGCCATTAGACTTACATTTGTGAATGGATATCCCCCATGTATGAAATGAAACATCTTTTGATATACTCCAAGATGAGGGACTCGTGATGACATGTACAGGCGTCAAGTAAGTGTATGGAAGGTAGGTTGAGTTCTTAGGAGGTACCTAGGTTACTATAAACCTTGTTCCAACATAGTAGCCATCCATACCAACGTCCCAAATTCATCTAATCTTTCACACCATTCTAGCGTTTCTTTATTAGCATTGAGAGACAGCCCAGTCCCAGTGTCTTCCGTAGGACACTGTAATGAAGACACCAAATCCTTGATCCTCAAAATATCTTTATACGACTTGTTACCAAGGAAACGTTTATACTGCCTCGCCCACTCGTGGTTTGATGCACACGACCACAAATCTCGGGGACATGGCAATGGTACGCGCTCATATCCTCGACAAGGAAACCCATTTCGTTGGGCTACCGCAGCGCCGACGGAGATTTCGGAGAGTAGGTCGATTCCGTAGAGGAGGCAAAATGATCTATAATGCAGGTAAAACAAGAAACAATTCGTTAGAGGCACGGGAAAAAAAGATATGTACGAACCTTCTGGTACTTTCATATAGAACCCAAGTCGAGCGCATTTGGCGAATATCATAGGGGGCTTCAGGGACGGACTCGTAATCACAAAGTATGTGTAATTGCGTCCCAATATCCTAATACTCCTAACTGTGTTAGAAATGTGTTTCCCTTATGCATAGGACGCATAGGAGATGAGTAACAGAAAAAGGGGCCCGAAAAAGTGGATGACCGTACCGCACATTTGACCAACATAGAATTTGTAGGCTCATCATATTGACTACTCGCAGAAGATGCAGCCTCTTTGTGTACCAAAACATATATGATAGAAGCTTGGAACGCAGCCAAAAGAGCTTCAACATCATAGGTCGTATGCTAATAGATTGTTATAAGCGGAACGAAGAGCAATTGATAGACAAAGGGGAGTTACCTCTCGATGCAAACGACAGAGCTCTTCGTATATCTTGCTTCTTACAAACTCACTGCTTGTTTCACTCTTGGTGAAGAACATGTGCATAAGACTTGCGCAGATTGCCAATGACTCCGGCAAACACGAATGTGCCCCGGAATCAGAGATACAGTCCTGTACTGACTGATCCCTCAAGACACACTGAGGATGAATAAAATGAGGGAGGACTACTCCACGAATCATCATCTCTGGATAGCATCTTATTTGGCCTCGAAGAACCTTATGTGTCAGGGTCTTTGCTGCTGTAGTTGTAGGAGATGGAAATGTTGACACGCTATTCCTCTGTTTGTATTGTCCTCTTCTCAACAGGGGCGAACGGGATGGTAGATTACGTCTTGAAGTTGATGCTGGACCATTGACTCGAGGTGTAGTTTCACTGATTATATTGTTGGCTGTGTCAGCAGAGTTGAGTGCCGAGACAAAACTTGACAAGTTTTCAGATGTGTTAGTACTCGATTGAAGAGTACTAGCTTGAACTGCACCACATGCCCTAATGTCGAAGCCAGAAGAAGTAAAATTCGTGTCAACAAGCGATGTATGAAGAAGATCTAATAGATCACCATTTTGTCCAACGTCATTCCAATCAATAAGTTCCGTGGGCTGAAGGAAGTCTCCTAGAGATGTGGCATCGGTGATAATGTCTGAGTGGCGATATGATGTATCTGAAGTAGAATCTCGGTTGTTCGAAGGACAATTGGTAGTATCAGGTAAAATATTTAATTGGGGCTTATTCCTGTCCCTGATTCTTAGCGTGGGATAATGACATGATAATCCGCGATCGACACAACGTGAACATGGCAAGGCAAGAGAACACCGAGCCTTGGATGATCTGCATTGCTGACAGGCTTTTCTGCGTGTATTCGGCATCTTAAGTGCTATTTCCCCTTCTTCTCCGGAGATGTGATGAGATGTAAGGTAGGGATGTCGTTGTTGCAGAATAGGCGCTTTGTCAGCAGGAATGATGAAAATCCGCGGAGATTGAACCAATCAGAAGCTGGCAATCTCCGTTACTCAGAGCTCCGCAGTGAATCAACCCTCAAAATACACATAGCTATGTGGTGATTGTAGATTATATTCACTCCCATATGTTGTTGAAATTCAGGTCTGTAAAATGGAGAACGGATGGAGGCGAGTGAAGGGATCCGCTGAAGTAACCACCCAAGTGGGCAATGGCTATAAATCAGGGAGTGAATCCCTTACGGAGAATAATTAACAGTTTGATCTGATTATCGGCGTGGAAGAGCATTTGGAAATAGACTAGAGACATTTCCATTACTTTATTAAGCTACATCCACCATGGCACCTATCCGCGTTGGATTTATCGGGCTCTCTTCAAAAAAGCAGGATGCCTATTTGGGACCAGGGTCTTGGGGTGCACTGGCGCATCTTCCCTACTTGCTCTCTTCTCCGGATTACAACATTGTCGCGCTTGCGAACTCGTCTGAAGAGGCAGCTCGTAAAGCTATCAAGGCCTATAACCTACCAGTGACAACCAAGGCATACGGTAGCGGAGAAGAGATTGCCAAAGACCCAGATGTTGACCTCATAGTTATCAGTGTAGTGGTTATGAAACACTATGAACTCGTCAAACCGGCCCTTTTGGCCAAGAAACAAGTCTTTGTCGAATGGCCGTTGGGAGCTACTCTCGACGAATCCAAGGAACTCGCTGCTTTGGCGAAGGAGAATGGTGTCAGAACAATAGTTGGAGCGCAGGCTCGCGCAGATCCGCTCGTGGCAAAAGTAAAAGAGATACTGGGTTCAGGACAGATAGGCGGTGTGAGAAGTTCTTCGGTCTTGGGGTGTTTCAGTTCGATATATGCCATGGACGTGTGGTTTGAAGGTGCTGAGTATTATTTGGACATGAAGAGCGGCGGGAACTCTTTCATGATCACTTTTGGCCATTGTAAGATCTGACAGTTAATTGATCGTGGTATGATATGCTAAAGCAATACGCATGCAGTTTTCGATTCCTTTACCGATGTTCTCGGCGAATTTGTCGAACCACAGGCTACCCTCAAGACATTCAAAAACAAGATACCGATTGTAGGCGCCGATGGACAGATAAAATTATCAGAACATCCAAAAAACACCCCAGATCATATCCTTGTTCAAGGTGTCCTTAAGCAGAGCGGCGCAGTAGCTTCGATCTGCTATAGAAGTGGAAAGTCCACTGTGGATGGCGTCGCCATTCGGTGGCTGATAACAGGCACCAAGGGGGAGATAGAAGTTACCGTACCTGAGGTATATTGGCAAATGTCAGATCCAGGAAGGAAGCTGCGATTGAGAATTGGAACCGACGAAGCTATCGACGTTCCTTTTGCAAACTATGAAGACAAGACCGGTCTCGAACGACTGAGCATTAACGTGGGGGGGTTGTATGATGCGTTCTTGAGAGATGATCAGTCCCGTTATGCGACATTTGGTTCAGCTTTGGAGACTCATGAATTGTTGGATAAGATTTTGAAAAATTCCGGTTCCAACACCTAGATAGAACGTTGATCTGACCTGTAGTATTAGGTTTTCAAGGTCAGGATTACATAGCTCTAGCTCGAATTAATTCTTCCCTATCCGCATCTAGATAATACGCAGGTTTTGTGACGATTAGTGTGTTTACTCATCCAGTACTCAGGCTCTTCACGCCAGAGGGAGCTTCCCATTTACGTAGTATAAGATGAAAAATAAAGCTTTTCGATAGGATGAAAACCAAAAAATAACGCATTCAACCTGAGACAGTGGCTGAAAAACAAGCATTCGCACGGACTCGCAAGAGTGGATTCGATGTTCTGAATCCCGCGGCTGCCGTGGTCTTCGTCGGCGAACGAATTTGGCTGCCTTCCGCGCCAAAGTTAGAACTTCTCCCTTTCATCTGTGGGTAGAGTCTGCTTGATACTTGTTTATCTCTCTATATCCATTCATTCTTTATATTGGGCTCAATCTTTCAAGATACTTGACAACGCAGCGACAGCCATGTCCGAAGACGAAGTCCTCCTTAGATCGTTCAGCAATGATGACTTCGTAGATGGACTTGCCGAACCTCTCAATGGGTCACAAAACCTCCAACTGACTGCGCGACCTCCGTTTCTGTCTAGACTACCCTTTTCCTCTTTAATATCCAATTTCTGTATTTTCCTGATAAACTGTCAACATGCACATTGCAATGCGCAGCCCCGCTCACCCAGGGCCATAATCTGCCGATATGTGAAACGACCATTCTGGGGGCTGGTCGTGCTATTGTGAGGAAATTCTTCCACTTACTCAAAATCATACTAATCGTTAATACATCGGCTCAGAGGGTTACTAAACGTCTTCTCCATCGGCCTAAATTGCATTTACATTCTTTTCCCCGAGGATTTCGACGATCAAACTGACGCTTGGCTTCTTCCCAATAACCGTTTAGCGATATCGTCAGACTGGGACAGACCCGGAACCCCCCTCAGCAGATGCCATTCTCATAACGACTACTGGCGGGACGTTCCCCTAAAGTCGGCACTCCTTGCTGGCTGCATTGGTGTCGAAGCAGACATCTGGTTGTCAGACGGAGACTTGCTTGTCGGTCACAATGCGTTTGTGCTTAACCGCCATGAGACTCTACGTGCCTTGTATCTCAATCCATTATTGGATATTTTACATCAGCGTAACACTCGGAAAAATACGCTGAACTTACCGGATAATTTTGACGCCCCTTTTCCAATGGCCGGTGTGTTTGCTTCGGACCCGGCTCAGACTTTAGTCTTACTGATCGACTTCAAGACGGACGGCGACAAACTCTGGCCTTACGTTATGGACCAATTGGAACCGCTACGTGAATCAGGATTTCTATCGTACTTTAACGGGACTGTTATCCATGAAAGACCCATCACCGTTGTTGCCACAGGCGACGCCCCCGTACACCAAATCATTAAAAATGATACATACCGCGACATCTTCTACGATGCTCCATTGGACAAACTTCCTCTATCGCCGTCACTCAACCAGGACTCGCTATCACCGAAGTATGATTTCACGAATAGCTACTATGCCTCGGTAAATTTTGCAAATGCGATCGGCGGCTTGTATCGAAATCAGTTTTCGCAAGACCAATTGACGTTAATTCGCGCACAAATTGAGGCGGCACATAAGCGTGGTCTCAAGGTTCGCTATTGGGGAACACCAACCTGGCCCAGAGGGTTGCGCAATCATGTGTGGCATGTATTAGTTCGTGAAGGCGTGGATCTCATCAATGTGGACGATTTGACAGGTGCAACAAGACAGGACTGGCGCAAGCATCGAAGTTGGCTACTTTGAGTATCTCATTTGTGATTAGAAGTTTTCCTGCACAGTAATTTTTTGAATTTCCAGCTGGCTTTAATGTACTGTTTCTTGAACAGTTTTCAGAGTGTCCACGGGATCATCGGTGCTAAAAAGCTTGATGTTGCTTGTTTTTCTTAGACTTCTTGGCGTGCTCCACAGTCATCTATAAAACAGTTCTTAGTACGGAGACATAATTACGTACGTATCGACAGGTAAACTAGATAGTGAAGCCAGTAATTATGCTTTTGGTACCGAGTTGAATATGGTAAATTATGGTATCTATTCATATTTTCTGTTGCCATTGTTTCCGAGGTACGTACATAACAAACATTGTACCCAAGTAGGAGCCTGCGATTTACATCTTTAGTTTCGTCCAGTCGAAGGGATTTTGAACACCACCTGGGCATTTAGAAGTATTGCTTTTGTCGGAGAATAATTTGTCACGATCTGGTAGAAACGATCCTTCTGTCCAAAGAAGTGAGTGCCTAGGCAATTTCATACGTGTATTGGCTACTACATGTATACGCATCCATACATACTCTTATATCCAATAGCATATTAGCCGACATTTCCCCTATTTGGATTCAGACACTAACTTGATGCAGTGTAACAGAGATGTCTCTACTTGTCGCGTCGCCTCCCCCCACCCTAGACCGGGTGGTGGTCGGCCCGGACTCAAGGGCCACCCGGACTCAAGGGCCAAAAAATATGAAGTCTCATGTAAAATGTTTTACAGTCCACCAACGCCATATAAATTGCATATAAAAACTAGACAGGTGTTAAATATAAGCATTGTTCACCTATCTCCCTGAGTATCAAAGAAAAACCCGCTGTTTTGAGGCTCTGTTGAAGCCACTTCTTCCATCGGCTGCGGCACGCCAACGACATGGCTCTTATAGATTTTCAACAAATCCCCATCATGACGGCGTTTTATGAGGCGATTCGCATCTTTTACATAGAGTGCACCACTCGCTTTGACTTGGCGCTTTGTAGTTTTTTGATTCTTGCGCGTTGCTATATCACGAACCTTGGCAAAGCTCTCACGGTGTAGATCGCCTAATTTGGCCAAGGTGAGACTGCCTTGATTAACCACTTTTATACGGCGTGAAAGGCCTGGGCTTACTTCGTCAAGAATATCCTTTATACCGTCAATCGATTTTTCAATCTTATTGACATAGCGACGTAGTTTTACGGCCGTTGATGGTGGAGATATTGATTTTGTAGTTGGTGAGCTGGGAATAGTGTCATCCGCCTCGCTATATATTTTTAGTGCATCCCCTTCAGCAACAAGTGCTTCAAATGCTTCCTCTGGCTGAAGCATCATATCAAGTATAAGCCGAGGATTAAGAGGCCAAATTCCTCGCTCTCTCCAGCCATGCCGAATCGTTCGTGTGGTAAATGTCTTTATCTGGATATCACGTAATTCTTCAAAAAAGTCGTTTTTATTAAAATCGAAGCCACCTAAGCGTGCAATCTTGTTCACAACCCGTCCATGAATATATTTATATTGCTGAAATAGCACTCCATTGAGCGGTTGTAAAAAATGCGTAGAATGAGGTGGAAATTGGAATGGGCGAATGTGCCAAATTTCACAATATTGCACGAACTGTATAGTAAGATGAGTTGTATGATTATCCATAAGAAGTAACCGCCAATCCGGGAAGGCCCCAGGCCTAGAGAAGTGGTCAAAGTGTTGAAGCCATTTGAATGCGATCTCATCTGTGATAAATCCATTCAAAGCAGGTGCAACTAGCCAGTCATCATCTTTTATATGCCGGTACCATTCCTCCAAATGGACCTTGCCTTTTGGAATCAATAAAGGTGGTATAATCTTTCCTTCGGCATTTATACCCTCAATGACAGTAATTGATTCTCGAGAGGACAGGCTAGATACCCTTTTTGATGTTTTTGGATATGCTGTTACCACCGCTTCATCTTTTCCTTGTCCAACAATGAATCCGGTCTCGTCGAAGTTCCACAGATTTTGAGGGCGAATTTTGTATTGTTGTATAGCGAGCTCGAGGTCAATAAACCAGCACTCAACCTCACCATAATGCTCTGCAACAGTACGTTCCTTTTCTTAAGGTTTTTGAACGATTCGTACATATTGTTTTGGCAGGCGTTTGATAAAATCGTGTACCCAATTTTTTCCGGCACAAGGGGCCTCTCCTAGACCACTGAAATCTTTGCCGAGCAAATAATTCGCACTTTCTTCAATTTGCTAATTCGTAGGAGGCGCACCTATATTATCTAGATACTCAATCCATAGAATAAGTGCCTTTTCTTGATCTAGAGATAGTAGGCGCCTCGTAGGTGGGCGTGTTGAGCGAGAGGGTAAGCCATGCCACCGACGGGACAGTTTTTTGCGAGACACCCCATATTCACGCGATAATTTGCTAAAATTCGGCTTTTTTTCGTGTTGACACGCACTGAGGGCCTTTGCAATCAATTCCTCCTCTTCTTTATATAATTTAGGGGTCATTTTGGCTCTGGTTTTGATGTTTGTAAATGCCAAGTTGAGATTTTGAAATTTTTGGCCCTTGAGTCCGGGTGGCCCTTGAGTCCGGGCCGACCACCACCCGGTCTAGGGTGGGGGGAGGCGACGCGACAAGTAGTTATTAGTTCACGTTAGGTACCTAAATCCTTCTTGTAGAATAAAGAAATTGAGAGAAGACTATAGACTGGCCAAGGAAGAATCAGAATGCTTGGCTTCTTCTTGGGACAGGATAACTCGAGACAGAATCTCTATCTATTTATCTACGTGCAATCCTTCTATATCCACGGATATGTCGACATAAGAACTAATACGATGATTTTTTTTGGGATGTTTCCTAAAGGAACCTTCCAAGGTTCAATATATGAAACAGAGAATTGGGGGCGTTGTAGGATTCAAAGGTTTCCATGTCAGCAATTCTTCACCCTATATACCTAGGTAGGGATCTTCCAGCCCCTACCATGCAGTTGAGAATATAGGTACAATATGATTGCTATTCAACTGAGGAGTAACTTCAGCAGAGGCTTTCGAATATCTACCTAACTGAGTGATAGCTGAATACTTCGAGCTATATTCTGAAGCCAAGTACCCAATTATGAGTCAAATGAAATCTGCACCGGAGTTTGGAATATTGTTTCTAAAACGAAGTTATTCTTTATATGAAGTGTGAAAGGGTGAAATAGGTCAGTCTGGAAAGCATGTAGGTATCGAAATTTGATTTCTTCCTTGTCCCTTGAGAAGTGGCGGGCCTGAACCTCCTGAGGTCCTTACGATATTGAACATCTTAGAGTAAGGTACTCAATGTCTCGGCATTAGGTAAATATGGAGATATAGAGTAGCCTAATCTGATTTAAAAAAGCATTACTGGAACATGTAAATTAAGTAGCCCTACTTTCTGTTCCTAGATGGCAAAGCCTATGGCTGCCATAGAGACAGAAGGTACTAGCCCTCCACCTGTTGTATTGTCTCTACTCTGGATCAGCAAAGAGTTTTGTAGATGTTCTTGAGGCTGAACATAGCTCAGTAGAAGCTGTCCGGGATGATTATCCTGTATGCCTAGGTATCGAAAACTTCAGGCTACATCCATTTGATTCTGAACCGAATTCAATGAGGTCTATCCCACCCAGCATTCTGAAAGTTGCTTGAAAAGGCATGCAACACATAGTCAGTAGCTTTAATATTAGGGCAACATACAGTAAGTTAGTCAAATGCTGGATTGTAAATGCCTCCTGACAGTTAGCCAATCAACTAACTACAAGGTGTTGGGTTGTAAACCTTCCAAAAGCGGAACATAACTACATCTTTTAGCTTAATGGAAGATTGCAAAATTCGTTCAATTTCCTTTATTAGAAGTAGTCGCACTAACCGATATATGAGAGCAAGACGATTGGTTGTTAATATACAGATTGTGATTAGTCGCGGCAAGGTCATGTCATAGTGGTCGGCAAACTTGAGATCACCTGGAGGAACTATTTGCACCTCTTCCTCTGTCAACCCCACTCTCTGATGGCACAGCCTTTGCTAGTATAAAGTCAAAAAGCTATTCGGGAACATTTACTACAATCGCTTTCGGTCAGTGTCAAACTTGAAATTCATCTAATTAAACTTTGTGGCATTCATTTTTAACGAATTTCCATAGCACTTCCAATATGCCAGACTACCGTTACTCAAGGCTAGAAAATGACTCGGATGAGGATGAACGTCAACAGAGTTTCGCCGAACCTCCGAAGAAGGGCAAGGATACTTACCGTGTAAGAATTATGATTTCATGTGGAATTATATTCATGATTGTTGTTGCTTCTTGGGTAGTATACTGCAGGGGGTCAGCACACTCTGGTTCTCATCCAATATGTGTCAAATGGTACGTAAACTGCATGAAACAGTACAGGAGTCCTGCTAAATATTAAAATAGGGGTTGAGATAATTTAATGTTCACACTCGTGATTTTGGTGATGATAGACAACTATCAGGATGTATTAGGATGATATACAACTCTTTTCTGATCAGGTGTTTCACACCTTATCCTTCGTATCCAAAACCTTGGAGTCCTGGAACTATACGATCATGTTTACATTGGAAGAGCTTAGTATACAAGGAAAAATACTCGGAAAAATACTCCATGAGGCTCAAAACTCTCCGAAGACGGTAACGTTTCTGAAATCGGAGATTCATGTGAAGCCGGCCGAACCCTACTCAGATACCTCGCTACCTGATACCTAGAGGAGACAACCGACAAGATACGCAGCCGAGGAAGGACGAATCAGCTAATCGATTGCTGGCAAATATTCTGATTCACCCAACAGTTTAGTCATCAGGCGACTGAGGGGTCTGATCAAAGTAGACTATCTTATGTTCGGACTTTCAGATGTTGTGAACAACTAGTTGTGTAGAGTCTCCCAGTCCAGGATGGTGTAGGTAATACTTATCAGGGCGGAGTCTCTGCCCAGTATAACCTTGGAAGCTGGCTGCGATAGCCGATCGGAAGATAGTGGAACGCTCCAAAGAGCCTCAACATCAAACCATGGAAACCAGTGCACGTGGTCTGTTCCCGGGATCTTGGTAAACAAGCCGATGCTTCTTTCTGGAACGATAAGAACAATGCTCGACGCCTTATTGTGCTGCAACCCGGCAATTGAGCAAATACCGAGAAAAGCCGCCGCTTTCCGCCTGCTTTACCCCATGAGTTTCGGAGGATATTGCGACAATGAAAACAAACAACTTCTTTGTTGAAGAGTTTAAGGATCAAGGCTAACTTTGAGAATTACATATCCACTAAATACTATCGCAACCACAACTACTTTGTCAGTTAGTGTAACTGTACGATTGCACGGAGTCACGGAATGTGCGGGAAAACAATGACGTCCTGACTTTCAGCTCGGGGAAGCTAACGATTACTTCCTCTCCCTCGGATTGGATATTTGCCTCGCTTCCATCGCTTCGACAGACTACTCTGTACAATGAGCGAATAGTCTTACAGGTCTTTGCATTAGTCTGTCTTGGTCTATATGTATGTGTTCATGGAGGCTCAACTTCGACAGGATGACCAGTAGCCGCCCCATGTGTACCCCGCAGTCCTGTGAGATGAGAGCTTGGCTTACCTACACGGTCGATAGGCTAACTATGTGGCGATGCAGATTGAGGTGGGTCTTGAAGAAAGACATCTGTAATAAGAGGAGCGGAATCATTTTTGGCATCAACCAACTATCTATCGCAAATCTCTGACACGCTGTCAACTTATCAGATACGTGTGTCAACAACCAGGAACTTGGTTTATGCCTGCAACGATCTCAGTAATGAACGATACCGGTATGCTTTCATCATGTCACAGAGATCTTCTTCTCTGCTAACATTAGAACAGGCGTGGCGAACAATGTCACCAGTGCTGCCGGCGTCGGTCTACGACTCGCCCTACTCCTGAACGCTGTAGCATGCCAGGTCGCGAACCTAGGTGTCGATATCCACAGTATCTCGAAAGGAATTTCGCTCTTTTCGAATAGTCTCAAACAACTCGGTCAGAGCCTGCAGGCCGAACACTCGGTTCATACGCGAGAATGTCTCGATACAGCACGTCAGATCAGCGATCAAGCTCGAACGGTATTTGAAGAAGTGGAGGATATGCTGGAGAAGGTACAAAAGGCCGAAGTAGAGCTAGAACAGAAGGATGTTCCTGTGCAGCAGCGTTTCAAGGACTGTTTCAAGAAGCAACGTGTCACGTATCTGTTGGCTCAGTTGGAGTCGCTCAAATTGAGCCTTATGGTGATGGTACAAATTCTCCATCTGGGTCGTTTGCGGGAAGTTAAGAAGTTAGTCTTATCTCAATCACAATGTCAACAGCATTCCGGCTAACTTCAGTATTTTATTAGTGTCCTAAACACTCTCACCAATGAGTTGATCGTCCAAGAGCGAGCCGAAGCGCAAAACATGCTAATCGTCAGGTACTGGTCCATAAAGAAACTCGATAGGTTATGGGAGCTAGCCCGGCAGGAAGCAAAAGAAGATCGACGCTCAACAGTCCATTTCGACTCTGACGAGAAGAAAACGACGAGCTCAACGGACAGCCCGCCCTTAACAAAATTGCCAATTATCGCCCTCGGAGTTGAATCATCGCTCAGTTCGATGGAGGAATCACCCAGTGACATGCTCCGACTCACCCAAGAAGTCTTAGATGCATTACTGAGTCGCTGGATTAGAGTTGAAGCCGGTCAGAGCGCAAGACCCCCACCCCAGGCCTATGTATACTCTGGAAGCGACGATGAACTATCCGATGACGATAGCATTGATCGAGACTCTATGCATGGGTATTACCTTGAAGGGGTAACCACAGATTGGCGAAAGCCGCATTCACAGGAAGCTCGTGTACAGGCCGCTCAGTTACGGAAGATGTATTCCGATAAACAGGCACAAGTACACAGCGACTCTGATGGTTCCGAGGATTCGATAGTCAGGAATGGAAAGCACCATGCTTACAGCAGAAGAAAGAAGAAGAAGAAGGCGTACACCAGCAGCGAATATGACGATATGCCAGAACAGGCACAGATGGATACCAATACCAACCCTACCACATCTCGACCATATTCGTATTCCAAGACAAATGCAGTTCCTGGATGTGATGCTGAAAGCCACTGGCGACACACAAGTGGATCTGCAAAACCTCAACAACCTACTACTCAGGCCCAGAGTCGGCCAATTCCAGTCCCGCAAGCGATGAAAAACAATTTGAACATGAATAACAGTGCACAGCTGCCTCGTTTAGCCACATCACAACCGACTAGAGGAGTTCCTTCAAGCCCGTCAACACGTAATGCGTCTCCATCTTCTTACTATAAGCCGCCGACACACGGATTCCCAACCCCGGCGTCGAGCTACACTCAGCAACATCCTTACTACTACCCTCAACAACAGCCACAGCAACAATATCGACAGTACAGTAACCCAACACCAAACTTTGCGCGAACTTTATCGGATAATACTCTCCTACACCCACCACAACACCAGCAACCGCGATACCTAAAGCCCCATCTACAATCGCATCGTCATCGACCCTCACGCCTCAACAGGACCTCGAAAGGAGGGAGCAGCGGTAGTAGCAGCAGTAGTAGCAGCGGCAGTGGTGGTAATCGAAGTCCTTCGCCGTACAACCGTCACAAGGACTTGAAGCGAACTGCCATGCGTGGAATACTCGGTGCTAGTGCCATAGGAGGATTCATGGATGCCTTGGAGGCTTTCAGTATTATTTGAATTCTCATTTTGTTTAACATGATGACTGTTATGCTTATACTTATGATTACGATTATGATTGCTTGAGATTTGGCAAGTTCTGTATGACTGACTCTCTGTTGTATGATATTTATGCTGGATGATACCTATGATTGGGGTTAAGTATGATTTCACTAGATATTTCAATACCTTAATCAACTACTTTGTACAATTGCAGACTTGGCCGTCAGAAGAGATGCATAACGTGGTAATTGATTGACCCATTCTGTTGCAATATAGGTACAATCTCGTAGCACCGAATGGGTTACTCAAACCAGATGCTACCCCTTAAGGGTGCATTTTTCATTGTATCAAATTCCAATTTGAAATTCAAAAGATTGGCCATTAAAAGAAGGGGGAGAATACCTTGATACGTCATTTGCGAAACGCGTGACAATCTCGACTTGGTCGACCGACGTTTGGCATTCTTGATTGCAATTGAATGAATTGAGCCTCTTGTTGATTCTCAATAGATCTGTACTATGACGATCTTTACAAAAAGATGGGAGTTGCACATCCAATAAACCCTATCTAACCTTCTAATCTACCTGGTGATAGTGTGATCTAGTCCGTCCAGAATGCACACAATGTCGACGAGTCTCAGGCATGTCCTGGATATCGAGACGAACTTGAGCTCGTCTTTAGAATTGAGAATGTGTCTACTTTTTGAGGCCAAGCAAGCCAGCACCAATTACAAGGGAGGAGCGGCGGATGATGGAGAGAATGTTGAAGGGCAAAGTAATCCATGACAATACAATGTTCTGCGCGTATGTGGCGCGTATGTGTGTGAAGATGAATCGGTGTATGTACGGGAAACAATATGGAAATAATCAAAAGGGTATCAATGTGTTCAAAAATTGGGTAATTGGAATATACCGTGCTCGGGAACCCAGTCGAATTCCATCTCCATGGGGAACATGCCATGGCCAGTGGCAGTGGGATGACCAACCATTTCAGGGGAGAAGTGTTGATTCTGTAGATCTATTTGCTGCTGTTGTTGCTGCTGGAAAGCCCAGACACTCTGAGAATTTAATTGGTACTCATTTGTTCCTTGAGAAACTGATGGGGGTATCCAAGGTGTCGCTGGTTGATTGTAGTGAGGGTAGTATGTGTTTGCGGTCTCCGTCATGGGACCTTTAGTCATGCCACTGGTTTCTTGAACTGCGGTCGGAGTATGATAGCCACCGAAATGGTGAGGTTGTTGCGGGTTCACAGCTTGCGGCTGCTGGTGGTGGTGGGCTCGGTGCTGCAAATGTTCTCCAGTATGCGAGAAATTCGCTCCAGGATACGCGACAGGTGTTGGCAATGGCACAATTCCTCCATGCCAAGCATCAGACACGGTGGATGTTGAAGGACCGACATTGGCCGTCGCTTCACTACTGTTACCAGCATTATTGCTGTTTTCGGCTTTGGATTGAACTCGCTGCTGTTCTTCCCGCTCCATGCAGTGTTTCTGAAACCGTTGCAACCAGTCTCGTGCTTTGCCTCCTACAACAAGCAGCCATCGTGCTGGAATTGGGTATTTAGATCCGGCGCTCGCCTCAGTCAGTCTTTGGGCCACTTCTTCCAGATAATCCTCGACCTTGACAGAGTCGGTGCTAATGACTTCGCCTAAAGCTCCGGACTTGATAGAAAAGAATATCTTGAGCAGAGCCATAAGGCCCAACACGGTACGCGAATAGGTCAAATTGGGCATTTTTCGCATTGTATGCACATCACATTCCAGAAAAGTGTCCAGCAACCCCTGCGCAGCGTGCATCCACTTGATGGTGAGGTCAACTCGAATCGCACTTAGCCGTTCGGCCGGCCGTTTGAGGAAATCATCTCCGTCCGGCGCAGGGAGGGTATAATATTGTCGTTTTATAGCGCCTGGGTCGCGATATCCTTCCCCAATACCAATCTCATAGACGACTAGCGTTGTGTACTGGCATTCGAGTCTCATTGGAACTACCAAGCAAGTCAGAGGATGAATAACACAACCTTGCAGAGGTACTTACTAGTAAGGAAGTCGGGGTCAATGTCTTCTTTCCATTCTTCCATCTTCTTATCAAACAGTCGAAGCACGCCGTTCACACGAGTCTCAGAAAGCACAGCCGTCGAGCTTGTGTCGTCGAGGCCGAAAGAGGACAAGGCCTCGTCCGTAATGACCTGAAGACCGAACCAGCTGGCATATCGTCTATCTGAATCATGAGGAGAGCAAGAGAGCAACCTCACACACTCTCTAATCCAGTCATTATAAGCCAGTAAATTAGGTCGGCGTGTTCGCATAGCCACACTGTCAGAGTCAGTACACAAATCGAAACGACGGTAAAATATGAACACTCACTTTGAAGCTAGATGATAGCAAGCTAATATCGCACGAGCTTGTTCGGCCATCTGTTCGTCAAACTTGGTCTTTGGTTTAGCTTGTCTCTGACCCGGTGTAGACTTCCGAGGAACACGCTTTCTCGATGCAATACCAATCTCCAAAGCCATGGTGGCAGCGATATGGGAGTATTGGTACGCTTGAATCTGTGATGGTGATTCCGGAGGGAGGTAATAAACATTCATCAGGACAAGTGCCTGCACCATTTCTAGTGACTTTTCCCCCTTGAAAAAGAATCGAGTTGCATACATGCTTAACATCTCATGATTGAGGGTGTTTCCCAGTCCAACATCAACTGCGATTGAAGTAGCTGCCATGATGGCTAGAAAAAGTACGGGTTTTCTAGCACGTAGGTGGTGGGCGGTCGTATCGGCCGGGAATACCATAAAAGGGAAATAAGCAAGTAAATCATAGATAAACAACGAAAGCAGGTGCTCCGCTGTCTTTGCAGAAATGATACCGCGGTCAACAATATCCGGATCCCCAGCTATATCAGGCAAACTCGAATTCAGAGTCAACGCTGGGGTGCCGTGTAATGAAGAGCTTCCATCACCAGACATTTGCGAAGCAGAGACACGACCTGGAGACCGCGACGTATCATGAAATCCCGTACTGTATGAATTGTACTGAATATCCTGATAATTAGGGGCTTGCGACCTCTTCACAACTTCGGACCCAAAATCTACATCGTCCGTCTCTTCATCTCCTCCCACACTCTCGGTGTCTTCTTCATCCGGAGTCTCCTCGACAGTCAAACGTCGACCTTTCAGCGCTGTGCGCATTGCAGCCATCTCCTTCTCCAATTGAGCCACACGGGTATCTGTTCGCTTGCGAGGTCGACGCCGTTGCGGCGCGACAAATACACAGGCTCTGTTCGCCTTTGCACATCGTTGGCACTGGTTGGTGGTATTTGCGTCGGGCAAGCAACGCACTTTCAAAGACCGGCAGGATTCGCAAGAGCGGTTCAATTGTTGTGAGGGAGTCGATCGGGGTTCCATCTGGCTCGGTGCGGCTGCGGGTGGAGGATTGGACATGCTCACATCAACGGCTGGCTGCATACGAATGTTGCTGGGCGGGCTCGAGCGAATGTTGCAGGTAATTGACAATCCACACGTATCTAGGGCTCCTCCAGACTGTAGGAAATCGCATTAGGACAAATGTTACGGCAATTACCACGACGACAAAGAACAAGACAATGGTCTGCCATGCTCAATTGTGCGATAGCCGCAGTAACCAGACGGGACTTGAAATGTGGTCAGGCTGAGTTCAAATGTCGAGCGTCCTCAACAGATGAAAATAAATCATCGTCGCATGCATTGTGAGAATCGAATATGCGTTCTCATGGCGTGTGTTGATCGGCCTGAGGGGGTTGGAGAACTGTCTGGGCCTGGCTGGTGAATTGCAGCCTTAAACACAAGGCAGAATCGGATAACCGTCTCCGCTAAGCTTTTCTTGGAAAGTCTGAACCTGAGGTTCAACCAATTAGAGACCGTTACCAAAATCTAGTTGTGGCCCACTCGGGAAATTTCAACCAATGAGTGCAATTTCCCGGTTTTGATGTGGAACACTGTATTACATAACCAACGCCATAACAAACCAACTAACGTAATCGGACACCCACCCGCCACTGACACCCAACCGCCAGTTTCTCCCGGAATACGCGCTCTATACAAATTTCAAGCCTGAATTTCTAACCCACATATAAAATACATACAATTTTTTAACTAGTAGTACGATTTGAGCATCGATTGATTTTATGCCCAATAATCCCACATCCACTGCACTTCGGTGGCGCTCGTACGCGTGGTTGAGAAGCCTGAGGTTCGGATTCACCTGATACAGCCGGATTAGATCGAGATGCCTGATCTCGACTTATTATTAGTTCCTGGGCTTCCTGTACTGTAAGGTCTCCTTCGTGAGATATTTGCTTTTTAGATCTTTGACGTTTTCGCTTCTCCTTCTCATTTGCAGCCCGTAAATCATGTACCTCTTTCTGTATAATCACAAACTGATTCATGCCAACTTCGTATGCTTTAGCTATCCGATCAAGTGGGCTCGTTTTATGCGTATCAATCCGCTTCTTTATTGTTGTTATTTGGCGCTTAAATTGACGTGCATTTTGAGGTTTTTGTAAGCAGGATGGTTGCGAATCGCTTGATCGACTAGGTGGGGGTGTTGGGGTGCGAAGTTGAACTGTAAGCTTTTGATAGACATGATCTGGATCAAACGGTACTAATCCAGTTGCTTTGAAGCCATTCTGAATATTTTCAGCCTTATATGCCACTGTACGAGCTTCTGGAAAAGCTGTGAGAAAGTCATATTTATCAATATGATTGAATCCGAGCCGTACACGTTGCTCAACATGCAGCGCATATTGCCGTTTTAAAACAGCAAAACAACCCACATCAAGAGGCTGTAAGAGATGTGAAGAATGAGATGGCATGCAGACTGGTATAATATTATTTTCAGTGCATATTTGATCAAATTGAGGTGTCAAATGGCTTCCATGGCCATCAAGAATAAGCATCCGATATCTCCCCTTCGTGCGGCTTGTCGTATGAGGAATAAAGTGCTTTTGAAGCCATTGCAACCCAATCTCATCTGTTGTCCAGCCATTTTTACTGATATTAAGTCTCCAATCTTGTGGAAGAATCTCAAACCAGCCTTGTTGATAGAAGGTTGTTGCTTTGAAGATAATATATGAGGGCAAAGCCCATCCTGTTGAATTAACTGCTTCAATTACTGTGACCCATTCGCGATTACCAGGTTGTAATAGGTATGGTCTTCCATATCGATCACTACCTGTAATAACCTTTGCAGAAGCACAGAGACCCATAGCAAAGCCAGTCTCATCAAAGTTGTATATATCTTCAGATAAGATCCCATACTCTTGTATAACCTCTTGTACGCGATTAAGATGCTCTTGGATTATCTTAATATCCTCGCATTTTGCTCTCTCGTAGTTATATCTTCGTGAAAACCGTAGTTTCACCTCTGGATGGCAGTCAACAAATCGATAAACCCACCTCTCACTGACGTGTCTATTTCCGCGTTGAGAAAGAAGAAGATCAGCCATATCTTCTACAAGAGATGGTCGGGGAGGCAATCCACGTTTATCAAGATCAAGAATCCATTTTAGAAGAGATTCCTCTTCATATTAAGTCAATATATGACTATTTGCGCGTTTCTCACCTCTATATTCGATACCGTTGAGTCGATCTCGGAGAGTTGTACGAGGAATTTGATAGATCTCTGAAGCACGTAAAACACTGCGAATTTTGCCATTTTTTAAATCAGAAATAGCAAGTAGAATCTTGCCCTCTTGTTCCACCAATTTTTGTCGATTTTCTGTACGAGTTGGTGGCATATTGACGTGTTGAAATCTAGTAAATAGAATAGAGCGCGTATTCCGGGAGAAACTGGCGGTTGGGTGTCAGTGGCGGGTGGGTGTCCGATTACGTTAACTAACTTAACATAGTTACTGTAACTATGTACGAAGTCGTCCGTTCTATTTCGTTGAGACACTTGAAATCAAATATTTCCAGGAAAATCTATCTTGAATTCCACCATCGAGGAACTGGCCACGTCAATGCTCCAGCCATATCATATACCCAACCAGTCCATCCTCTTGCCTGCACAGCAGCATTGACAACGGTCAGCATCCGTCGAGTGAAAATATCTGCAGGGTCCATATCATGTAGACAGCACTCCCAAACTGCTCTCTCTTCCGCCGTGTCACCGCTTTGAGTGTCAAATGGTGTCTTTAGTTCGCCGGTCGACTCATCGAGCTTTAGCTTTGGCCCCGTGACAAGGGAGCGCCCGATACATGCCGAATCTGCAACCAAATATGACGCCGCCTCCACGACATCCTCAATTTTGCCCAGCGGAACGCCCGCCAAAAGCGCCCGGACAGGCGCTTGCATGAATGGGGTATCCGTGTAGTACGGACAGATGAGATTCACACGGACACCAGCACTGACGGGAGCTGTTACCCGTAAACACCGAAATAATCCCAGTACCCCATGCTTCGAGACAGTATATGCCGCCTGTGTTACCAGTGGGTGTAAACTTGCGACGGATCCCAGTAACAGGATATGCCTGTCTCTTCCCGACTCTGAGGTAACGGATTCCTTCTGACAAGGCATCGAACCAGGATTCTTCGGCAAAAAGAACAAAGCCAAATGGACTGTGTACATGACTCCCGTGATATTAACATCAAGTGTCTTAAAACTCGGAGCCGGTGGGCTGGGGCTGTGCAAGTAATCGACCTTCGGATTCTCAAAGACCCGAGATTCCTGGCCATCGTTGATGCCTGCATTTGCGACAACTACATCGATTCCACCATGTGGACTTAATTTTAGAGATTCGCGAAAGAAGTTCACCTGCGAAGTCCAGGATGTGACGTCCAACTGGATGAAATGGACGTTTTGATTGTTCGTCTCCTGGCGAATCCGCGCTGCAAATTCCTCCCCAGACGCGTTAATATCGCCGAGTATCACATTTGCTCCGCATGATGCCCAACGAGCGCCGAATGCAGCTCCAAACCCTGAGGCACCGCCTGTTATGAGGATCGTCTTGCCCTTGATGCGGGCTGGGTCGTAGCTGAGGTCCATTTGAAACTGATTCTTGAGATGGGCCTCTTATGCGGGTGTTATTATGAACAAAAAGTTCACTGTTATGATTTTTATCAGTACGAGAGCCACCAAAGTATAATCTCAGGGGGAAGACTGAATGAGGCCAGCTGAACTGGCCGGATTATTTAATTATCCGAAACCTGTCAGCAGATAGGGCTGATTAATAACTAGTGGATATATGGGGGTCAGATTTCTTACCGACATGTCTGAGACACCATACTAAATCCAGCCGAGAAACGCCAAGGTGAAAATATCCAGAATTACATACGGGTCAAATATTGTATTATTTTACTAGCGTACTTATTTTCTGCCGCTCATAAAACCTTCTTTATGTAAGCCTAAGAGAGCTTGGATTAACTTACTTAATAACTACAGTAGTTAACTAGTGGATGTTAGGCCATCTCTGTTTCATATGAGCAACAATTTTGAATATAGCCCCAGCCCTAGGAAGTATTATACACCTTTCTTAAGTAAAGCCTGCAGTTGATACAGCGTCCTCTGCGAGTTTCTTCGCATGAGTTCAATCTCATCGATTGCGTCGGCTAAAAGGATGCCTTTAGAGACTCGAGCCTGTATCCAGTCAATGATAACCTTCCTACGGCTAAAGAAGACGCGTTCCTTATTATCTGATCTCCAGCGACATCCGTACGAGTCCTCGAGAGACTGGATAGATGGATTGCCATGAATACCAACATGCCACTCCTCCCAAAGCTCTCGCACAGTCTGTATCGTACGAGACATCCGGTAGAAAGGGGGAGATCCGGACGGCTCGTTGGGTAGATGAATGCCCGGAGGGTGGTCTTGTATAGGATTAGGAGTAACTTGGAGTGATTGTACAACAGTATGTGCTGTATTTTGTTCGGTAGATTGAGAAGTAGTATTACCAGGTGTACTGGGTTTTTCGTCTGAGCCAGTAAGCCTTGCAGTAAATGTAACCTCCCCAGAAAATAGCTGATCCATCTGAGACTGTATAGCACGAATTGAGTCCTGTGTTTGCTGATGGTTCAATTGTATAATATGCTCTAGGTTCTCCCCAATAGTTGTTATACGATTAGCCACAAGAGGGATAGTTTGGCGAAGTTTGATTTCATGAGGTGTTTCGCTTGTACGGACCAGATCAATAATCTGTTGGCTAAAGGATTGAAAATCAGAGCGTTGGAATAGAGGATGAGTCCACATTGAATGACCTGGGAATTCCTGTTGCAGAAAGACTGCATCCTGTATAATAACCGTACGAAAAGAGCTAAGAAGCTTGAGAAAGCTTTGAGCAGCTAGATCATCCTGATCACACTTCTCGACCCCTTGTTGAACAAGGAGAGGTAATGGAGGCAGATCTAGCTTACTCAATTCCACCGGATTCAACTCGGATGGGGAAAACCAAGCAAGCCATTGATCAATCCATGGCCAGAGAGCTCGTACAAGGGTCTCTGGAGGTTCAATTGCAGCTCGTGGCAGATAATAATTGCCTTGATCTGTAGGCTTGAATCCAGCAAGTGTACGAATAAATGGTCGAGGAAGCTCGGAAAGATAGCAATTACTCATACTATCCTGGTTCCAATGCCCAGCTCTTCGGATTGAATTTTCGTCCACACCCTGTAGTTCTGCATGCCTTGCACCACTAGATCGTCCAGAATGAGTCTTCTTTTTTGAATTTAATCCAATGCTCTGAAACACCTGGTTAATCCATTTCAACTGAGTTTCGTACGAGAAGGAGTGCTCAGAGTCAGACCCTTTGAATAAGACAAACTTATACCACTGCTGCCTTTGATAAAACTGCGGCACCGGCTCATGCATAATCTCCCATCGATGAAAAAGATAGAAAGCAGTATGACAGATCGTACAAAGAAGAGGATCCTTATGTCGTACGACCCCCATATATTCAAGCCGGCCAAATTGATTTGTCTTGCCATTAAGCTTCATCAGAATCATCGGCCAACATGGGGTTGGCCCCTCGTCCATACGAAGTGTGAATAGATCTGCTAGTTCTAGATGGCGCCGATCTTCACCTCGGAGAAGCATATTATGACCAAATAAGAAATCCACCGTGGTACGTAGATAGGCCTCTTGCGCCTGGGGTTTCCGGCCTCTTGTTTGGTCAGATAACCATCCTGCCCAGCAGTATCGTACGATTGCTCTGATATTTTCTGATGTGTAGCCATCCTGTAAAGTATTAAAACCTCGGTCTGTGAATTGGGTCCGCTTCCGTTGAGTCTCATCAAATTGGTGGTTTTTAATCATAGCTCCGACTAGATGGCCCCTTGGATTAGGGTAGGGATTCGTACCAAGAGATTGCTGGAATCTCCAAAGATCAACAATGGCACTAGTGTAAGCCTTTACAGACGGTAGTCCGAGAGTTTGTACAACGGCTGCGCCCTGGCTATCCGTACGATTTCTCAAGTATCGCGATGGCCGAATCGGACGGTTAATGACATAGTGATCCAGAAAATAGACCAGCTTCTTTTCGGTAACCACCTGGCCGTCAGGAAAGCCTTCTTTTGTGCAGAAATCAATGAATTCTTTCTGCCTGGAATCGTACTGCCTGGTGGTTGCTGCCGGCCGGTTTTTCTGAATCCGGTGCGCTACTTTTTGACTGTGCAGCTGTATCTTTGCGTGTAGCTCCAACTGGCGGTCTTGCTCGGCCAACAAGCCATTAGAAATAGACTCCATATTCACGTAAGGGAGCTGAAAATCAATTTAAATAGGAGTGGTATGAGTAATAAGGGCAACAATATAGGTGATTGTACGTGCAAATCCTGGGAAGTCCGGAAACCAGGTTACTCGGACGCGTACCGATTATCTCATTGACCTCGCGTGGAAACTGACCGCCTCCCTGACCGCCTGCCTGTCTAAATATGCCGTTGGTATGGTCTTGTACGAGAACTAGTCCGAACGGCTACAGATGTAAATTTCTGGTAATATTTCTCAGCTAGGGGTGACCCCCATATAACCGAGGTATATGGGGGTCACATTGCGCCAAGACCGCATGCTATCCGCGTTATCTGGCTAGCCGCGAAATGTCGCGGGATTACTTGAGGTTTGCTACCTAGTAGTAGTACGAGCCCTAAACCTCATCGGGCCAATCATGAATCAATTTCCAGATAAGTAGATCACAACCAGCTGCACTATGCCCGATACGTCGAGATATACGTAGTAATTAAGAATTTGACTCCATTGTATCCTGCCAGTCTTCGTTGAATAACAGTGTGTATTGCAATGATCCTGAGATCTAAAACTCTAGTTCTTTGAATGAATTATTCCCTGGGCTAGGAGCTGGCTTTTGGGTAACCTTGCTCCTGGAATCGTTCCCTGGTTCTTTATCCTGTCCTGTTGTTGTCGTCTTCATAAATATAGCTTTTTCTGTATTGAAAGACATTCAGAAATGATGTTGTTTAGCGGTCTGCTTAACAATCATGATCCGTATGTATGTCTTCCATTTTGAGGATTGTTTGCCCAAGTTTCATAACTCCTCCGTTTGGCACCATTCTGTGAGACAAATTGATTGTCTCCCATGATCCAAATAAATCAGACGCATACCCGCCCAATGGTCATGGCCGAAGGGATTGACCATACTCTTGCATCAATTGATGACATTGTGATTGAATGAGTTATGCGGGGATATTTGTTCTGTATGATGCAATATTGTTCACGGTATCCTCTGACTGGACTCTTTGCTCATTCTCGATTATTGCCTCAAGGTCGCAGTCTTCTTTCCCTTGCTTCCAGTTTGTGGCATGAACTTTTTCTTTCGAGTTTGTAATTCGAACACACAATTTTGGTAGAAGCTTCTTGTATTAAGCACCCCACTCTGTGGTCTGCTTTTTTAAACATGCTCGTCGTTCGTTAAGTCTCGAAGCGCGTTGGGATATGTTAGCAAGGGCTTGGATGATGTTTTGTTTTGATGTTCATTTCCCAGTCCTATCAAGAATTTCACATTAGTGACTCATATGGCTTTGGAGTATCCCGTGAAGGAGTTTCAAGTATGAGAGTTTGCATATAAGTCGCACATGCTTTTGTCGAGCTAGGGCTTCGTCATGTGAAGAACCTTGAGAAGGACGCGTGATAAAGACTTCCGAGAAAAATGAAATACATCGCTCCTGAATCACCCTAAGGATTCATATGCATATATGTCCTGGTGACTCCACTGACCAGAGCAGGAGCGGCCTCGTTGGTTGGCAAAATAATGCGCATGTCTATTGGCACTGAAAAGTGGTGTAAATGCTAGCTGGGTAGCATGGCGAATGATAATTCGGAAAAAAAAAAGAGTAAGGAGAAGAGGGAATCTGGGCTGTATTATAGACGCGGTTCAAATAGGAGGGCACCCAATTTTGGAAGTTGCCCAGTTTCTGTTGCTCTGATATATGGACAAGGTGATGACCAATCCGGTGTTCTTTGATGTTGCCCAATGAAGATGTCCCTTTTGCAAGAAAGGAGATCCAGTCAAATGCGTCCAATTGGCTTGAATTCATGCATATTACAAAATCGTGTTAACATCCTTTATTCTTGACGATTGGTTTTGTCTTCTATAAACAAACACAGTTGATCGTTCGAAACTCAATTGCATGGGCAAACAGGGGCTTAGGGCAATTGCTTCCGTAACCCTAATTAGCGTTTCCAGTCTTGAGTGGGTAGTTATCGTCCTAGAATCGATCAATATAATAGGCCAAGAAACTGTCAGAGATAAGTAGGTAGGTAGCGAATAATGATAAGAACAGATATAGGTCGGGGTACGACTGAGTCCATACTTATCTAGGGATGCTTCCCGGAAACCGTAACCTGGAAGTTAGTCCTAACGTTGGAAACATAATATCAATAAATGACACCTTGTAAATATAAGGTCTTCTTTCGACGAGAAAACATGAGAAGTCAAGACCAACACAAACCGACACCAGTGTTTCGCCTCCTCCAATGAAGGCAACCGAGGTGGCCTTATTGATGGGAGGCAGAGGACGTTTCCTTGAATCACTGCATCCCTAGAGTATGCCAAGTTGTTTTGTTTCAGTGCTCGACTGGATCAATCTGTTCGGACCCTAAGGTGGACTAAATACTTAGTGGTAGAGCCAGGCTGTGTTACATGATTGACATTGGTGGCGTTACATTGTATGAACATATTGTACCATGAGAGCAGGGAGGATGCCAATTGTGTCTTGTGCCTGGGAAACGTGAAGATATGATCAGATCTTCAAACCCAATCTGAAGAACTGCGTCGATCGGGATTGATGTTTTGTTTGTTACAATACGTATAACATTACATACCGGATACACGGTATCTATCGCCAAGAGATGCCAAGAAGGGAATGACGCCAGCCAAGCAGATCCCGGATTCTCTGGGATATCCCGATCAGGAAATTCATCACGTTCTGCTCAGTCAGGCCGGGGCGTATTTTGTGCCATGCCATTTAGTTGGCTTGTAAATATTAAATCAATCAATGACCTTCGTTTCTTTTACCAACGGGTTGAAATGTATGCGTAAGTCTGAACTGCAAAATTTAATCATCTGGGAGATTTTGAACGCGTGGACTGGAAAAGGCTGCTCATGTTCGGATTGGCTGACCCACTCTCCGTATGAATTAGTAGCGGGGAGATAAGATCGAATGATCAGCCAATCAGGTCTCCAGCACAAGCGATGTGTGTCAGTACAGTTGCATCTATTTATACATCCCATTGCTGTTTATGGACGTTTAAGTCGATGCATTGAGATTGTAAATCTCAGCCTAATATCGTGGAGTGAGTGCATTTGGCGGCTGTCACCAGCTTGATTGATAGAGAGTAGTTGCTTGGCACGTCGGTACGGCTTAAGCCACTTCGATCCACCAAGGGGCGCCAAGAGGTGGTCGGATAGGCGTGACGCGTACAACATACTTTATGTTCGTTCGTCTGTCTGATGCGAGTTGAAGTGTGTAAGTTAAACTATTTGGATAACTGCAGATGACATGTATGCCAATCAGATGGCTGTATGTATTGGCCATATTCTGAAGCAAAACAAAAGAATAGCATGAAATAATATTAATTGTAGGAGCAATAAGGGTAGTTGCAGCGTGGATCTGTTTGTAATTACGTACCAGCCCCTGTTTACCTGGTCGCCAGCGTACGTATACCCGTATGTTCGGAGTACGGGGTGAATCCTTGCTTGTATTTGCCATATCTCTGGACTTATCTTGTCTGCCACGATCGCTTTCTTCCTACAAACGTCTCTGTATATACTCACAGCTAGTCGGTCTTTACTCATTGTCAAGTTACATTTTTCTTGTGCAGCTTCTGGCCATTCTTTTTATATAGGACTCGCGATCGTCCATTTCCCTTCACTGCTCGAAGTCCGCCGTAGAAACTTATCACTGCAGGACGTCGACCTTGACCCTCCCTCGCCGACTTGGAAGTTGCCCTCTCCTGCACTATCTTATAGGCTAAGGATAGCCTCGGTGGGCTGTTGAAAGTCCTTTTTTACTTTCCTGATGATTCTATCCTCATATACAATGCGCACGTCGCTAGTAATATGCGGCCTAATAGCGGCTACCGCAAACGCCGCTGCACTCAATGCAAATTTCATGGAGGAGAGGAAGAAACTGGCCAAGGAGTGGTCGGGGAACGGAGGTGATCCAGCAGCCAAATATTTTCGTAAGTTGTTCCTTTGATTTGTGGGTTTGTTTGGTATTTCCGTTCGGAGTATTCTATACTCCTTGCATGGATAACCCTGTTGAGCACGTTCGGCTGACACATTCTATGTAGATGAAGCATCGTGAGTTTATATGTTCTTGACTGATACTGTAGAAGTAAGTCCATACGTACTAACAATACATTGTGTTTGATAGATTCAGCTATCATTATGATGGTCGGTATGTATTGACTCACAAACACTGTGTGGTATACCCTGTATACTGACCCGTACTAGGTTCACCGACAAGGCTCTCGATCGCGAGGAACAGTCTGCACATTTATCAGCCCTAATCACGACATATCTGTCCTTCATGGACGAACTTGATGTAGAAACCTGGATTATGCACGGCACATTACTAGCATGGTGGTGGAATCAGAGGGTAAGTTTATGACTCTTTTTGTCGTTCATAGCGTTTGTCCTTAACCATACCCGCAATAGATATTCCCCTGGGACGACGATCTGGATGTCCAGGTCTCAGAACCAGGCATCCACTTCCTCGCGGAAAACTACAACATGACCGAACACCATTTCGAAATCCCCGGTGTCCCTGGTGGGCGCAAATACATGCTCGAAATCAACCCTCACTACGTCATCCGCACCACCATGGACTGGCGCAATGTTATTGACGGCCGGTGGATTGATACATCCAGTGGACTGTTCATCGACATCACCGCCGTGCGTGCGGATGATAATCGGCGGGCACAGGGTGAAGTGGGCGCATTGATGTGCAAGGATTCTCATCGATTCCAGGAGAATGAAATCTTCCCTCTGCGACGAACCGTCTTCGAGGGAGTCCCGGCCAAAGTGCCGTATGCGTATACGAAGTTATTGGCGGATGAATATGGGGAGAAATCCATGACGAATCCGCGATTTAACGGATATACATTCTCGGAAGAATTTCAACAATGGATCAAGAATTCGTACGTCTAGACGGGCCTCCAACAAAAATATGATACTGACACTTCATATAGGGAGGTGGACACAGTCATTGAAGAACACGAGAAACAGCCAGAAGGAAAAGAAAAAGTCAAAATCGAAAACTCTATACAACGCGTCGATAACTCGACGTTTAATTCGACGACATTTAATTCTACAAACAACGCAACATAGTCCTGATAGCATTTCAGCAATTTCGGGATTATCTTTCTCTCATCTTTCAATTTATCTTCGTCTAATGGTTGGATGCAAGCCGTGTATTGCATTGCTGGTGTTTGTGCTTGATTTCTCTGGACATATCCATGGGTGACCATTTTTACATATATATCTCTTCTGTTCGGCGCTTTTGTACATACATGTTGGCGAGTATATACTGTATTTGATGTATATTGCATAATCATACCACTTATGTTTGCATCTCTTAAATCTGGTGCATGATATACTGTAGTCGCTGTCGGATTTTCGTTCAGCTACCTACGTAGTATGCTCTACTTGTCATAGAACACAAGAAGACACCGGATCTGTGGAATTCTGCCTTATCAGGTGAGAATATTCGGAGCTGACTCGCTAACTTACTAAGCGACAAAATAGGAGAGCGGTCTTTCTTGATCTGGAGTAGCCCCACCATCAGCTATCCTCCACGACGACTTCAACTTCAATCGAGTCGATAATTCTAAATCATGGGAGTCGCTACTGTCGACAAATGCTTTCGATGATATACTATACCCGAGTCGGCGACTGCCTCAGAATAGGTGGTCGTTAGATCAGTTCGTCTATCCTGCGACGTTGGTATAGCACCGTCCCTCGCCTTTTTCAACCCCCGAAAGAGCGAGCGAGCGAGCGAGCAAAAGAGCAACCGAACCACACCTCGGAACACAGTCCTAAACGGGGAAATCGCACGAGCTTGGAAGAGGATATACATTCGATTACTTGCATGAACTAGATTTGCAACATGTCTTCCGATGCGCCGCCTCATGCGGCGGGATACACAACTTATCCATCGTCCTCCGCTCCCTCTGCCACTTCAAATCCAGATCGAAACGCAAATCCGGCTACGTTATCCGAAACATCCGGCGCGGTAGCACCGGACTCGAATCTAAACCCCCGCAGCTGTGTAACCTGCCGCCGTCGCAAAGTTCGCTGCAACAAGAGGGAGCCATGCTCCAACTGCGTCAAAGCGGGCATTGACTGCATCTTCCCAGGTCCCGGTCGCGCGCCGCGGAAACAGCGACGTCCGCCCGATGTTGAGGTGTTGTCGCGATTAAGGAGACTGGAAGGTGTTGTTGAAAGTCTGGGAGGAACAGAGGCGATTGAGAAACTGATTGCGGCGAAGCTGGCGGCTGATTCAGACCCTACCAAGACCGCATCGCACCCCCAGGCGCCTGCTGGTGAGAGCGTAAATCTTTCAAAAGATTCTAGCGCATCTACTCAGGCTATTTGGAATCTATCCTCTACACGAAACAGTGAGGTATACGAAGAATTAGGACGATTGGTTATTGATGATTCAAAAAGTGCCTATGTGAGCGATCGCTTTTGGTCTAGTGTTGGCAATCAGGTAACCTCTTTTTCTAACTTGGGGCAAGTATAGGGGATTGGCGCAAACGCTAATTACCTATTCAACAGATCGAGGAACTGGAGGGAATTCTAGACTCCGAGAGTGAAGAGGACGTTGAGAATATGACTTCGCCCGAAGACGCTTCGCAATCGCCTAATACTTACAGCCACGATGCTTTTATTTTTGGATATAATTCACTTGCCAAAAGCTTGCGCAACTATCATCCTTCCCCAACACAGGTATTTATTTTGTGGAAGACATATGAGCAAAATATCGCTCCATTATTGACAATCGTTTACAAACCGACCATTCGCAATCTAATAGTCAATGCAGCGATGAATCAAGATCCAGTAGACAAGAACAGCGAGGCACTTTTGTTCGCTATTTATTTCGCCACTGTTATTAGCATGACCCCCGAGCAGTGTCTGGCGGAGATAGGTGATGATCGTGATTCTGCGATCAATCGATTTCGCTTCGCGACCGAACAAGCTTTAGCAAGAGCAAACCTTTTGAATTCCCGCAACATCAATCTCCTTCAGGCTGCTGTCTTATTCATATCGAGTGTCCACAAAGTTGATAATGGCAGGTTTGTCTGGTCAATGTCTTCTATTCTTCTTCGACTAGCGACTGGCTTGGGTCTGCATCGAGACGGGACCAATTTCGGGTTGACTCCATTTGAGACAGAGATGCGCCGTCGACTTTGGTGGCATATTGTTATTGTGGACGCGCGAACTGCAGAGGATCATGGTACCGAGCCTATGATCAATGAATCAATGTACGATACGAGGTTGCCTCTCCACATCAATGATGACGATATCAGTCCAGAATCAAAGACTTTCCCCTCGGAACGGGCTGCTTTTACTGATATGACTTTTACTCTCATCCGGTGCCATGTTTCTCAACGGTATCGCCATTTGATCCATTTTTCTACGGGCAAGAATTCTGTTGGACCAACCCTTGAGGAACGCAAAAGGACGGTTGAACGGTTGCACGACACCTTGAACGAAAGTTTCGTCCAGCATTGTGACATGCAAGAACCATTCCAGTGGGCATGCGCGACTATGGCCCGATTGGTTGTAGCCAAGTTATGGCTTGTTGTGCATCATCCCATGATTAAGAACAATCTAACATCATTGTCTCCCGAGGACCGTAACAGAATACTATTGACGTCGATTGAAGTAATAGAGTTCACCCGACTGATGGAGACGAGCGAGTCAACCAGACGCTGGAGTTGGCTATTTGGGTCTTATGTTCAATGGCATGCAATTGCTTTTGTGCTTGCGGAACTCTGCGTTCGACCGCGGTGTCCGGGAGTTGATCGTGCATGGCTTGCGATCGATTCGACTTTTCATGAGTGGGAGCGCAGAGCGCAGGGGAAGAAGGGACCATTATGGCGACCTTTGAAGAAGCTCTATAATAAGGCGCAAACGTTTCGCACAAATACGTATGGAGCACGGGATATTGGTTGTACTACGATGCAATCGCCTTTCAAGGGGTTAGATCAAAATATACCTACCATTCCACTAAACCAACAACAGCCTTTGCCATCACAAATACCGCAACCAGAGCAGCAACAATGGAATACTGGTACAAACAGCAATGGTCCATACCACCTAGATGGAAAATCGTCTCAATTTTCTAGCCCTGGACAAACGTTCCCCGATTCAGGTCAGAATGTTTCCACGTCCGCAACTTTCAATCCAGCACCGCCAAGGGATAATATGGATACAGCCAATAAAGCCATTCCCCAATTTAATCTCGATTTCAGCAAGAGTATACCCGACATTATGAATGATTTCATGCCTACATATACCATGGCGATTGGAGACAGTTCTGCTGACAACATCATGAACACCAACCCCATCAACACTATTCCTACCAACGGTACCAATAATACGAGGACCTCGGCATTCCCCCCTTCTTCTAACGCACTTAATAATAATCTCAACCCCAACGATAACGTATGGTCCCAAGAACTGCCGAATGCCTTTGGTATGCCGCTGAATTGGGACCGACTTGATGATGTGATGCGTGACTTTCAACATGAGTTTGAGAAGGCTGCTGGGCCTGACTCCGGTAACGGCCAGGTAGGGTTTATGTGATACGACTTAGATATCTAAATATAGCCATTAACGAAATTATATTCCGTTTCTGCATGTAGTACTTACCAGGGTTAGGGTTACGACTTAAAGTGGGGATTGAAAGTGGGTCACAATGTTGTCCGATGCAGCCAATAAAATAGCTCAATATACAGAAGACACGCAGCTTCAACTCATCTTCCGTCCAGCTCCATCATACCTTTGCAACCGTACGTCGAACTCAATTGAGCATTACAAAAGTGAACCATCGAATACAAGTTCACGTTCAACGAATATAACAGATACAATGGCTCCAAAACGGCAACAAGCCACTTCTTCCAGCGCAGCTGCATTAACTCCTACAACAGGCTCCTCAACACCCAGCTCATCATCCACATCAGCAGCGCCAACAACGACAACGGCAACAGTCCCCCTGAGCCCCAAAGCCTCCGTGGCCGAAATCGCACAACACATTCTTAACCGCTACTTTGCGCAGACATCGCAGCGGACGTTTCTGCTTGATGCGTTTATGGTTTATCTAGTGCTGGTGGGCGGAATTCAGTTTGTTTATTGTGTTGTTGCTGGGAATTATGTTCGTCCTACCACTCTGTGAACGACTCCAACTCAAGTCTTGAAACTAATATGCGGTTGATGAATATAGCCATTCAATGCCTTCCTAGCTGGTTTCTCGGCTGCCGTCGGTCAGTTCGTGCTTACTGCTAGTTTGCGGATGCAAACCGCTTCTTCCTCGTCGTCGACAAATGTCTCGCTTTCGTCGAAAGGGAAGCTTCAAACTACTACATCTGAGCAGGACTCGGGTATACAGGAGATTTCTCATGAACGGTTCGTCTTTTTCCCCAAAAAGAATATTGCGAAATTTGGTGGCTGACGTGTGTTTAGGGCATTCGCGGATTATATTTTCGGAAGTTTGATATTGCATTTTTTCTGCATTAATTTTATTAACTAGACGGACATCCTTGACAATTCGAGTGTCCTCGGCGCTATGAGATTATAAAAGAAGGAAACCCGGAATGTATGGCTCGCGTTCTCTGGTCAGCTCCTTTGTTGCATCACATATATGTATGTTCTTTGTCGATTGGAATGCGTGGATATTTAAATATCTTTAAACATGATGAAGCATTGTTATTCGTTTCTGTCACGGTCGTTCTTGTGGAACTTTTCGAAGGTCATTCAGAAAACTTGATTCAAGTTTCTATATCCATGTCTAGTCTTTGTAAACGCCCGAATATGCTCTGATAAATGTACAATCAATCGTGGATATATGTAAAGTATCATTAACTTGTGCTTAAAAGGCCCTCCCTCCAGGCCGCCGCACTACCGCCGGCTTCTTCACTACGCTTCCACCACCACTACTGTTACTTCCCGTAGTCAACCCACCTCTCTTCCCACCCACAATCACTGGCCTCTTTACAACAGAGGATGGCCTCGTAGCAGGAGAAGCAGTAGCAGAACTGGGCCTACCAATCCCAACACCAACTTCAATTTCCCTCTTCCTCCGCACAGGATCATTCCTTTCCTTTTCACGCTCCTTTTCGGCGGCTGCACGTTCCCGATCAGCGGCCATTTGCGTCTCGATCTCCATTCGACGGCTGAATTCGTGTTCTGTAATGCGCTTTTCGCGGTGGGAGTAGCCCTTTTCTTTGACCGAGTAGAATACGCCGCCCAGTTCGGCGAGCCACTACTAATGTTAGCTTTTCTACCTACTAAAATCAAAAGGGAAAAAGGGGGCTTACGTGAGGGTCCACTGCAGTAACAGTAGACATATACTCCTTACTCGTCAAAATAAGTTCATGATAAACCACATAATCCGGAACATAACCCAATCCATAAAGCGCACTAGTCGGATGCAACTGGACCGTGACACTAGTACGCAGATTGATAAACTCGCCCAACCCCTTTTTGCGGGCTGCTTGATGATAATATCCCGAGCAAATACATTTGCGAATCAGGTCCCAGTCTGTACCGCAACTGACAAGGGGCATTTTTTGCACGGTCATGATGTCCTGTAGTTGTTCGCGGATCTCTTTGGCGCGACGTAGGGATTTGGAGTGGAGGAAGTGTCGGACACACCAAGCGTCAGAGTAGCCATTAGCTTTCCATTGTGTGTATACATGTAGTAAAGTGAGATGGTCGGATTCCGGGACGAAGAACTTCTCTCTGGCTGCGTCAGATTCTTCTTGTCGTTCTTTGGGGCGGAAGAAAACATTTGGTACCGAGAGCATAGACACAATTGTCAATACCTCTTCGCTGCATCCATACTCTTCAGATGCAGTAATCAATAATTTCGCTAATGACGGATCCATAGGAAATGGAGTCATCCGACGACCCAGTGGCGTCAAATCTCCCAGATTGTCCAACGCTCCCAGAGACCACAATTCGAATAATGAAGTGGATATCGTCTCCTGTGGAGGAGGATCCATGAAATCAAAGTCTAGAAGGTCTTTGACCCCAAGCGATTTCAACAACAACACTGTATTAGCCAAGCTGGTTCGCTGTATCTCTGGAATGGTCTGAATATAGAGCTCGTTTTTGAATGCTTGCTCTGTGTATAGCCTAAAGGCTTTACCTGGACCCGTTCGTCCGGCTCGTCCAGCACGTTGGCCTGAATTCGCTTGAGATATCGGCGTAATCTGAAGTGTATCCATACCCATACGGGGGTTGTAGACTTTCAGTTTAGAATATCCCGAGTCAACCACATACATAATTCCATCGACAGTTAAACTCGTCTCGGCAATATTCGTTGCCACAATGACTTTTCTGACTCCGGGTGCGGCTCGTTCGAAAATCTTTGCTTGCTGCTCTGCAGGCATTTGGCTGTAGATGGGAAGAATGCTCAGCTTTGGCGGATCATTTAACATCTTCAGTCGCTCTTCGACTAGTTCACATGTAGCTTCGATATCTTCTTGTCCGGTCATAAACACTAATATATCGCCCGGTCCCTGAGAGACGTGGATTGCAAGAACCTGCTTGACAGCACTGTCCACATAGTCTTCACAAGGTGAGCGCGAAAATTGAATATCAACGGGAAAGGTACGGCCGGGGATGATGAATTCTGGAGCACCACCAAAAAACCGTGAAAATCGTTCCGAGTTCATTGTCGCAGATGTGACGATCAATTTCAGATCTCTCCTTCTGACCAGCACTTTCTTGATCAAGCCCATTAGGACATCTGTATTCAATGCACGTTCGTGCGCTTCGTCCATAATAATGCACGAGTATTTGTCGAGATCGGGTTGGACCAGCGATTCTCTCAGCAGCACACCATCCGTCATATCTACTCATGTTAGCCACTCATCAAGCAAGGTCGCAGGACAGTACTTACATTTTATAACAGTCTTGTCGCTCGTGCAATCCTCGAATCGAATTGCATAACCGACAAGATCCCCCAAGTCGACTCCCATTTCCTCACTCACACGTTTGGCTACACTCATAGCCGCCACTCGACGAGGTTGCGTACAGCCAATCATACCTTGTTTGCCATATCCATCCTCGTACAAAAATTGAGTCAACTGGGTGGTTTTCCCGGATCCAGTCTCACCAACTACAACTATGACCTGATTGTCTCGAATCACGCGGAGCAAATCTTCTCGCACGGCAAAGGCAGGTAGATACTCTCGCTGCTCGCGCAATGTCTTGCTTTTGCTGAAAGCACTAGCACCGCCTTCATCCTTCCTCAAATGCTGGGAAAATTTGTTCGTGTTCTTATAGACGTCTTCGATAGGAGCTGCCACAGCGCTATCTCCTTCATCTTCCTTTATACCAATTAGATTGCCCAATGCCGTCCCGGCCATCGTGGTAGCTTCCTGAGCTTGCTTTTGTCGTTCTCTCTGCTGTCTCCGTTCTCTAACGACTTTACTCCCCTTCCTACTAAAAACGGCCATATCACTCTGCGGATCCCGCACGGCAGATATAGGTTCTAACTGCTTTGTGAAAATCGTACGACCGTCGAGAAATGGCGGGCGCAAATCGTGCACCAACAAGTGCACTCGCGTTCCTTCATCGTCATCGGGAGTAAAATCGCCGGTAAACTCTCGTCGTTGCGCGACACCGGACGTTAGCATACGGTTTGTCTCCCAGTTGTCGATATCTTGTCGCTTTGCGTCCCGGAGCGGCGCTGGCAGGGAACTCTTCTGCCTTTTGGCAGGCGGCGGCGCATCATCTCGGGCCATTTTGTTCGATGTATTCAGCGCCTATTATTCTCCAGGTTCCAAATTCAAATATCTTGACGATATTTTGTGTGGTAGAGTGGTTTGGTTGTGACTGATCTGGTTAAGTTTCTCGAGCAATGGTTAGACATTCCAGACAAACAGTGCAAACTACGGCGGCGAATTTAAACTTTTTAGTCCTAACCTATTTGGTATTAATTCCTTCCTACCTCCTTTAAAGTTTCATCAACCTGAGCCTAAATTCTAACCTCATCTCCTTAAACTACGCATATCTGGATTTAGGTTATGGATATTTCTCTGACACTACTTGGATTGATGCTATGTATTCTAGCATGAGGTAGGAGATAATTGACACCCATGAAGGCAGCCGACTCTAAACTGCCGAGACACTCAATCATGTACTTTCGACGACACTACACCCTCAAGCCTGCCTCCAGAATATCTCTCAGTCTAAGAAATTGACCCTTTTCTATCGCTTCAACCCGTTGATCGATTTTTTGAAGAGTAATCCCATTCCCACATCGGAAAACTGCTCCAATGAAATCATGTTTTAGCGCATTTTGTTCGATCTCGGTATCCCAGTCTGGTCGTAATTTGCGCATGTGTGCGCGGCACACTCGTCTCAATTGAGGGTTTTCGTATTCCATCAGGTTAACCGAATACAGTTCGCATTTGCCTTCATTGTCTAGGTCATCATCTTCGTTTCCCCTTAGCTCATATTCCTCGTCGTCGCTTTCGTTCCCATAGTCTTGTCGCTTTAGCTCTTCCTCTCGAACTGAGCCCATTAGAGATTGGGGCTCTTTGGTCGCCGTTCACAGTGGCATGACTGATACACATTCCCAGTCCAGCACTGCGATGATATGTCCTTAGTCGTCAATTAGAAAATTACTGAGCAACAGATCTTCGTGCAACATCACTGATCGTTCGGGCGGACTCTGGAGTGAAGGGAATATCTTAGGAAGTAGATCAACCAGTCTATGAGCAAGCTCTAGGGTGTATGCAGCCTCTTCCTCATCCCACTCGTCTTCGGCCTCTTCTTTAGCTGCAGTTCTGATCTTTAATAATGATCTCTAGGTATAAGGAAAGCCATTCATAAGTTGAGCAGAATGGTCCTCGGGCAACACAACGTAATCGTAATGTTTATCCCAGAAGTAAAGACGAGAAACCATCTCTCCTGGGTGTACTTTTTGCTGATCTTCGTCACCAACAGTCAGGGGTCTAATACCAGAAAATGTATGAAAGAAGAGTTGTGCTTGTAACTCGGCTATATTCTGGACAAGAGCCACTTTTTGGAAGGTGGTCGATGTCCGCCATCTCTTATATGCCGAGACACCAGGCATTAATTCCATCAAGATCCATTCAAACCCTATCTCATTGTTGCATGAGTCGTCGAATGCAATCACTTCGGGCACTGGGATATTTGTCTCTCGGCGGAGAAACCGGAGCGTTGTGACTTCGCCCTGGGTTTTGCTATGCGGGTAAACAGGCAGCGAGACCCTTATGAGCAGCTGGACTTTATTTGTCCGGACTAGATAGAGCTTGTTGAACGCTCCTTCAGCGTAGAATAAAACGTCGCAAGCTGCTGACTTCTTCAGTCGCAGTTTTTTCCGACACACATTCGTGATGGCATGCAACACTGGCTCGCGAGTCCATACTGGTGTAAGGTCCCATCTCTCATCGTATCATGCGAGCCCATTTCGAGCATGACTTGGCATTTAGTGAGGTATTATGTGTGGAGCTTAGCGGCTTTTTGATGTGCAGTAGAAAGGGCTAAAAGGAGGTAAATAAATATTAATCGTGTATAGGTTGGGGAGATGGGGAGCAATCATCAAGGCGATCGATGCGTGTAGATATATGTCGCACAACCCCTACCTAGATATTCGGCAACCTTCGAAGGACCAGCAAATCCTACATTTAGATTCACAAGGAATGTATCTGAGAGTTCCGTATCAGCTTGAAATATTGGCAGGATGCAAACAAACAGAACAAAGAAAAAATCAGAATGGTAGGCCAGTAGCCTTGTATCAACTGATTATGCATGCTTCGAATGAGACCGCCTTTTCCTTCGTTATGCGGCTAGGAATATCAGTCAACATTGGTGTGGTCCATGACCGGTTCTTAACTCAGTCTCAATTATGTTTTCTGCTCTAGTCTCTCAATGGATTGGCGCTTTATTTACACGGAATCAATGACTTGGGGAATAAATGTGAGCGTTCAACCCCGTTTCAGCTGTGCAGCATATGCTTGATTGAGCGCCTGTTGTTTGAGAATGATGGAGATATAAATAGACGAGATATTTCCACACTCTCTAATCACTTCTAATCACTTTCTAATCGTTCTGTATCATTTTCAAACTTGACTCGGGTGAACTACCGCATCGTTATTAAATCTGGTTTATACTTCTTTATCCCTGGAGGATTGCTGCTATATATAGACTAAGGTCCTTAGAGAATTCATTGACAGTATGCCTGATGACAAACTTCAAGGATTTCCAGATTCGCAACATAAGATATATAGAGACCTTGATTTTCGATTTGATATGCAAGGACTAGGTGTTTGGCCCTCAGTTGTGTATACTTATGCTCATTCTTATCTTAGTTACTAACAATAATGAGTGGAATTTACAAATTCAGGCTGGAAACCCACGACAAAGTCGCTTGTAGAGGACGCGCCAAACACAGTTGCAGGTCTGGTCTTAGTTTCTCGAGATTCACCCCTCACACCGGAAAAAATACGGCAAGCTTTTAGAAACACTTCCATATACCCCCAAAAAATTGCCAAATCTGAGACGACGCAGGGCTATTTGTACAGTGCCTTGCAAAATCAGTTTCTCTCATGAACACGCTCAATTTCTTTTCTAATTCATACTTGAAACAAACTAGTTCGTATCGCAATAAGACATTACTGTACACTGGAATAATGGCACCGAGACTAGCAATGTCGCAACTCATCCTCATTCGTGATATGTTAGTTAGCGGTGAGCCATTCACTGAAGCTGCCGGCTGGAGTGAACGGTCAGTCAAAGAATATCGGCTCTAATCTACGGCTATCTGGCAGTGTCAGAGCACCTCTGAACCGTGTCGGTCGCTGAAGAAGCATCACGCCAGTGAGACTGATCAAGGACGATTCGATATTGAATCCCTCCATGTTCTCAGTCTGTCCCCAACAACAAACAGTCTTTATAACAATATACTAGTGAAGAATGAATGGGTGACTCGCAATGATATTAAAGTTATTTGGTTGCCTGTTGAGCATCGAGCAACTTGTCTCCATGTCTATAAGAGCCTGCTTGTTATGGGACATGCTTCAGGTCGAGTTACTTTCTTGAAATTGATCTAATGTTTCATTCATACTGTAATTACTCTAATATTTTCATATATCTTTTTTAAGAGAAGGGCCTGGGAGGACTTGAGTTTTCCATACTGTAGTTAAGTTGCCATTAGACTTTTCTGTTGCATTGCATTTGTTACGATTTATCGTCGCAGCTTGATATTTCTCTCGGTCACTCGAATGTTCTAGATTGTGAAGTGCATTCAGTACCAATTCCACCAAATGGTGTTAGTCTGTAACTAATTTTTTATAGACTAGCTCGTTTCAGTGCGTTTCCGATAGAGATTTGAAAAGAATTCGAATGAGTTCATGAGGGAAACTGATTTTGCAAGGCACTGTACATGACCGGTCCTAATGTACATATAAATACCTAAGCTATAAACAAAGATATCGACCGCAACTCCTTTCGTTGAAGTTTGTAGAATTTGTGATAATGCAATGGTCAGCGATATCCGGAAAAAGTTTTACGCTATACTCCTCAAATACTACAAAAGATGCAATCGACACCAGCCCTGTTATCAGAACCGAGGGTTGAGCCGGTGTCTACGGTTGTGATGTACATCTATTTACTATTGTGTTTCTACGATGATATTAATTGGTATTGTTACTGAGCGTTAATACGGTTATTTGATATTCAGGTGAGGTTACCTGTCCAGTCCCGATCTACTTTTTTTCAGACTGGTCAACCCCTGATCTGTTGTGCATTTGGATATTTGATATTGCTCTCTTTGATTGAACAGTCTTTTGCCTAAGATTGAAGCTAAAGTGTTGTAAGAGTAATAGTAGTTGTAGGTGACATTACTTGAACTGTGCAATTATCCAGAGATCTGAAGACTGATGCATGCTGTCGACCTCGTTGACAGTATCCTAAGAGATTCAAACATTTCACCAAGAAATACTCGTTCATATTGTTGCTTAAGGAAAGAATACACCTTCCTATGGTATTTACCAGAGCGTTACAACCTCTATCATCCCATTCTTATGAAGAGCAATGCGATTCGAGATTATTTCCTGTTTTGGTAGTTTGCCCAAGTATCTTAGTAGCTATCCATGTTGTGCTCCTATCGTGGACTTGATAGATTCTCGAGATAGAACAGATACAATCTACAAGTCTCAAAATAAATTTAAAGTTAATAAGACTAAAAATTTCCGCATACGCCCGATGATCTGTGTATGCCTTAACAGCATGCCCTAAACAGTCTACTCACATAGATACCTGAAATATGAGGCATCAACACGCCAAGCCGGCACACCCCGCATTGAAGAAACACTCGACGACGCTTTTCCATACAAATGCTTTGATCCTTGAGAGCATTAGACGTCGAATCTGAGTTCACAATGGCTTCACAGCAGCAGGTCAGCGTGAGGAGACAACAGGGTCAGTCTTGTTTTGAGCCTTGATGCTGTCGAATGTTTAGGAGAAGAAGCTATCTAACATACTTTGATAATGCAGAGCTCCAGCTCCAGTACTCAAACTTCAAGAATGCGCTTCAGAGCATGGCACAGAAGATTGGCGATATCGAACAAGAGACCGAAGAGCATAAGTGAGTCAATTATTATCTTCCTTTTGCTGCCAGATTAAAGACAAGACTCAACCCCGCCGTGCAAGGTAGAATATGGAGGAGATATCAGGCTAACCACCGGAATCACTCATGCAGACTAGTAATCGAAACCCTCGAGCCCCTCGCAGCGGATCGCAAATGCTTCCGCCTGGTTAACGGTGTTCTCGTCGAGCGCACAGTTGGAGAAGTCGTACCCTCTCTCAAGACGAATGCGGACGGATTAAAACAAGTTCTTGATGAGCTATTGAAACAATACAAGGCTAAACAGACAGAGATGGATAATTGGAAGGTGTGTCTACTCTTTCGGTATATATCTGAGTGGTCACTGATCGTTCTATTTTTACAAACAGAAAAAGAATAATGTCCAAGTTGTCCAACAATGAGAAATGGACACACTTTTGTCCTCCATATCCATACCCTAGGGTTAGCTAGACATTCGATGAGCGCACACTACCTGAGCAGAACCGCGAGCGAGACAAGCTTGAATGAGATACTCCGACAAGCACCGGAACACATAGAAAAAGACAATGACAACATGAAGAAGCAGACTTTGGTTTCCGATTGAACCCAACGAGGGAGGGGGTTTCCGCTCTTGACGTACCCGACTACCGCCTAGAATTCTACGATACGACTGATGTGATGGTAGAGAATATGGAGAACGATGGCGACGATTCTATGAAATCAAGGCCCGTCAGTCAAGGATGCAATCATGCCTGACAACTTGGCAGATATTCTGATGCAACTGGGAGGTGTCGACTCGGAAAGGGGTAGGGATAATAGCTAGACATGATGATACTGATCGTTTAGTAATTAATGAAACATCACGAAGAAAGGTCTAGATTCTCGCATCCATCCTTTATGAGATCATTATTTATTAGCCCAACAGTACGCATATAATAATACCAATCTATTAATATTGAGGCCGTTTTGGTGGGGGAGGTGTGGTTGTGAGCCTAAGTCTTAAGGTCCTAAAGTAGCCCTAAAACAGCCCTAAAACAGCCCAGCCCAATGAGGCAGACAAAGCAAAAGAATCTATCGAGGGCCTTGCATCATCTATACAAATCACTGTTGCTTCTTTGCTTTTCATTCAACTTTTGAATCGGTCTGCGCTACTTGCATTAGTATTAGGCGGAGTTTTTTTCTATTCCAAGTAGCGACGTTCCTCCTCATCCGTACTGTCGCTCCGATATCATTTACAGATTCAGGTGCCAACCATATGATGCCTGCCATCTTATTGGGCTTCACTGTAATTGGCCCCAAGATCTAGGTCGGAGGCCATGTCTTGTGTGTAACAATATCTGACTTACGTTCGGGCTGTAAGTGATTGGTTTTGCTCTCGTGGTGATTTGGTGGTAGCACAGTTTGGCTTCAGAGCGTACTGTTAGCCAGCACTATTTATTGTCTCAGATTAGGGCGTGCTGAGACTCAGAGGGCTGAGACAGGCGACGAGGTTGTCGTGGGCTCGACGTCATGCTAATGAGCCATCTCAAGGCATGTCTTGATAGATTGTGCTACGGTGTAACTGATCTGCTAGACATGTCACATTGAGGATAATGCTTTGAAATATGGTCTAAGTACAACCCCCTATTCTGACGGTCACCGAAGGAGGGGAGAGGCTGGCTTGTAGGCCGAGAGCTTGGTGAAGGAAGAAATGCTAAAGTGCAGCACCACATTGTTGTCCAGGATGAAAAGAAAGGCCTAAAACGTGTCAGTCAATGTTAGCGGTCGTGATAGCCTCTGGTGGGAGCCATCTGTAACAAGGATGTTCAATCCATCAACACTTGATACCTTTTACATATAATAAACATGTAGGCTGGTGGTTAAGGAAGCTGGTGTTACCGTAAATTACCGTATTGATATCTGGCATTGTGCGGGCGGTCATGCAAGATCGCCGCGTGGTATTGTTACAGCCGTATCAATCTTACATATGCTCTCCGCCGAAAACAGCTCTTGCTACGACCGTTCCGGACGATCCGTTCGCACGCCTGCATGAGTGGGAGTTTGCAAAGTGTTATTTATTTGCGGTCATGATAAGCGCTCGTATCGGTCGCTGTTCATGGCTCTTGAGACATTGAAGCTGTAGAAACGATCCCTAGTAAACAAACGACTCCACCAGTTAGCACGCCTTGTCTCTGTTTGGATGCGACGAGCGCTGAGTGGCCGATTCGCGTCTTTGATGCACGTCTGTGGTTCGCCAATTGACATTTAATCTTAAATAATCCCCGGTTGTTGACGTCGCGCAAGGCTGAAGAAGGAATATGATCGTAGCAACAGCTGAACTCCAAAATAAACGAGAGATGAAAAAGAAGAGAAGGTTGTCGTGGAGAGTTACGAGAATTAATAATCTGTATTCATCGTTGCCTTCCACTTTGACAGACAGGCTTTCCCCCCCACACAGTGTCAAGGCCCCCTCCTACCATCGCCGGAAGCCAGTTAACCAAGCTAGTTATCTTCCCTACCCTACCTCAAACAGTACTTCTTCCCACCAACCATCTACGACTCTCTCATCCAACTTCTGCTATCTGGACAATTCTTCTGATGTAACGCGCTCGCTTTCATCAGATAACTGACCTGCAGAAAATCCCTGTCGCTATTTCCGCCGAACTCGCTTCCCTACGACGTGGTTTCGCGCGTTAGTCGCCTTAGCCCGTTGGCGCGCCTCACGTCCACACCGCCAGAGGACCCATCCTCAAGCATCATATGCTACTGCTTACTACTACCGACAGCAGAGTTTAATCCGCGCCTCAATCCCCCACGCACAAACAGATCTAAATCAAACTATATTGGGCTCCTGCGAGGTAAATCGCTGCCCAGCCAGCCGGACTTGTGACGCAGCGCTTGCAGCCATCCTCTGTCTTAGACCCGAAAAAATCGCGCGCGCACACCCACACCACCCCCCTCTGACGTGGTCAACTTGCCAACAGAGCATCCCGATCTAATAAGTCCCTATATCACCGTCAGAAAGACCTAAAAAGATGTCTTCGGCCTCTCCTCCCAAAGAACCGGATGTGGAACCTGAGACTCAGTCAGGCGATGACCCCGAAACAATGGACCGCGACAATCAAGACCCAAGTGGACAAGGGCAAGAGTTTGAAGTGAAGGAGCAAGACCGATGGCTACCAATTGCAAATGGTCCGTTCTTCTTTTGTTATCCTATCGCTCTTTTGGTGTTCCTGCATCTGGCTCTATACCCTATTGCGCAATGCTTATTTCACCCTCCCCTGCTTCGCGCACCGTCGTTACTGGTTCCTTCTGCGTGCAGGTGCCCAGTTCCCAATCATATTTATGCGGGCGTTGTCCTTTTAGGCCTGGCCTATTTGTTGATGAACCGTGCGATACCTATATTGTATACCATTTGCTCCTCGCTTGTGGTTGTGATGCGCGACTCCCACCGTCTCATTGGTCAATGTAGACCATATTGAAATTTCAGTTTTATACTCTCCCAATACTTTAAGGTGCAAACTGGCTAACATTGATCAACTTCAATAATAGTTGCCCGCATCATGAAAACTGCTCTTCCCGAGAACGCCAAAATTGCAAAAGAAGCAAAGGAATGTATGCAAGAATGTGTCAGCGAGTTCATTTCTTTCATCACCAGTGAAGGTGAGTGCTTTATCCGTCTTGAAGTCGCAAGCAGTACTCCTAACCCATGAGTAGCATCCGAGAAATGTCAACAAGAGAAGCGCAAGACAGTCAATGGCGAAGATATCCTATTCGCGATGACTTCTTTGGGGTTTGAGAACTATGCCGAAGCCTTGAAAATTTACCTTTCCAAATATCGTGAAGTGAGTTTCATACTCAGTCCTTTACCCATGTGCTGGTGTGTAAGAAAAGCAGAACTGAATAGCTAACACTCTGCAGACGCAGTCTGCTCGTGGGGAGAATCAGAACCGGCCTACGAGCAGCGGATATAATGCTGGTGGACCAGTCGGTGGCTCAGCCAGCGGAGCTCCAGCTGCCCGCGGCGCAACAGCTGCTGCCCCTGCTGGATTCGCTGGTGCTTCAGAAAATCCGAACAACATCCTCGCTTCGAATCTAGATCCTTCAGAACAAGATAACTCCGGCTACGGTTACGGTTCCATGGTCGGCCAGGGGCACAACGGTGCTGGAACGGAGTTTCATTGAGTGTCGATAACCTACAGGTCAAATCACGCGACACGGAACAACATACGACGATTTGAGGCTGCTTGAAATCTTAGGGTTTTTTTTTTTTCATTTCTTTTTGTCTTTTTCTTCTTTTTGCTTTTCTCTTTAATTCCCTGGGATAGTATGAAGATTCTCGTTTTCTAAAATCGGATCTTCTGCTCTCATGTACAATTGACAGACAACAAGAAAAGGCGTTATAGTTGACCCCGCGGACGATGCGATTTATTGTTATCAATTGGCAACTTCACGCATACGAAGTACTCTATGTACACAGCGTATCTTTGGGTTTATTGTTCTGGAGGCTTGAATGTTGCTCTATTTACTTTTCGGTGCAAGGAAGCTTAGAGTGAAGGACGACGCTGGTCCGAAACAGGCGCTTACGGTATTAGGGAATCATGGACAATGGGACGGTTCTATTATCTATTATCATCCTCATCGTTTTTCTTTCTAGGGATCTATATGTTTCGTCTTAGTAGTATTTCTCCCAATGCTCTGATATAAATTATAAGTATCCATTAGTGCGGGGAAGTCACGTGGTAACTGAGTATACATTAATATGATTGGACACTGACACGTTCCTCTCCAAATATTCGCAGAACCCGGTCCGTGCCTTCTCCATATTCTGATCGAACTTCTTCTCGGTACCGAGCATGCCAACTACCATGCTGCTGTGTGCCTCAGAATACTGCCAGTCGTCATATCGATAGCAAGCAATGGGGTTGTCCTTGTCGACGTCAATAATGCTCGTTACGCGACTATGAATAGAGTCACAATATTTCAAAATAGATTGCTCAAAGTCAATGCAGTTCTACACAATTTATGATCAATGGCTTCGGCTGAGAAAGAGACCCGGCCATCTCCCGGCTGCAATGGCATAGTGAAAAGACGGCCAGGTAGGTACCTCTCATCTTCTTCCCGTGCCATCGGAGCTAACGTCCGCTTCTTTCCACGTCGACAGGCGCTGCTTGTGTCCATTGTCACCGCCGAAAAGTCAAATGTGATGCGCAATTTGTTGGGTTTCCATGTTCAAACTGTCAATCTTCAGGCAAGCTCGATTGCCGCATACATGAGAAGAAGAAACGGCCTATAACTCGTTCTGCGTTGAATCCGGTTCCCATTCTTAGTCGTCCGCTCCCGCCTCTTGAAGCAAGTGTCGCGACTTCGCGTTCGCAGGGGACCGCTACCGACTCCCTATGGGTCAAATCACCCGGTGATTCACAACGGCTTTCACACCGTAGTACAGTTGGTGGGGGTGTAGTCGATCGTTCCGCAGGTGCGGCTGGTCCACAGCATGCACACGGAACTCTCCTACATCATACCGCCCAGTCCCCGCCCAATCCTAGCGACGATAGGCGGGAAATGGAAAATCGTCTAGTAACGCTGATAGATCAGCAAGAACTCGATTCTCGTGAGATTCAGCACGGTGTTCGTGCCATTTATGTGGGTCATGATGTCTCCAACATGTCCTTTCTTCTTCGTCAGCAACGGGGAGATGAGATATCATACCATCTGGCCGGCAACGAGATACCGCGACGTCGTTTGGAAATAGGGCACGATCAATTTCTGCAGGATGCTTTGACCTTACCAGAGAAACATATCGCAGACGAATTGGTGGACGCCTATTTCACGCACGTCAACCCAGGTTATCCTATTGTTGAGGAAGAACTGTTCATGTCTCAATACCGTAACCGAGACCCATCTAATCCACCACCAGTGTTGCTCCTTCAAGCCATCCTATTGATTGGTGTCCACGTTTCTCGAGATAGTCCAGAGAGGGAGGAGCTCAAGAATGTGTTGTATCGCAGATGTAAATGGCTCTTCGACAATCGAATAGAGCGGAACCGAGATATATTGGTTCAAACAGCGTTGTTGTTGACGTGGCACTCGGACGCTATTGACGATGATGTTTCTGCCAACGCTCACTATTGGGTTGGAGTAGCAGCGCGAATTGCTACGGGATTAGGAATGCATCGCGACCCCATAGCAAACAAATTTGTCGCCACTGATCGCCGCACCTGGCGCCGTGTATGGTGGATTCTTGTTCAGTACGATGTGCTGATTTCCTTATCGTACGGTCGGCCACAAGCAATGTAAGTCAGAAGTCTCCTGACAGATTTTGTACATTCGACTGACTTGTATCTAGTAACCTGGAGGACAGTGATGTACGTCCCTTGACGCCAGCAGACTTTGTTGGCTGTGGGCCCCGTGTGCAGATAGATTTCGTGATACATTTTGCAGGGCTGTGCTCCATGATCTCATACATCATTCGCGAACGGTTCGGCCTGACAGTCAGCATGGAACGCCGAAAAGCCATACTACCGGAAGCTGACGAAGCGTTGGCAAATTGGTCGCTGAGTCTACCAGATTCTCTTCGACTTCGTGGTTCTATGGACTCATGGTCGGCTATGCTTCACCTCACATACAATAATTTCCTAATTTTACTGCATCGGCCTCATCCTAGAGCGTCCGCCTATTCAGAGGACTATGGCCCACACGATGCTGAAATATGTAGCGCCGCCGCGGGTGTGATTACTTCCATCTTTGAGGAGCTTCGACAGAAAGACTGCATCAAATACCTATGGTGTTCCGGGGTTCATACCCTGTTTACAGCAATGATCCAGGTGCGGGTTGAGCTACGATTCTCAAACCCTGTACTCGCCATCAACGCTCTTCGGCGGTTCGACTCCACGCTGTCATCACTTCGCTGCTTAGCGGAGTACTGGTATAGTGCTGAGACGATTCTGCGCCTTTTTGAGAACTCAAAAAAGCTTCAGCAGGATCTTCGTCTTGTCCACGAAGAGGCACCGGGACAAGTTAGGGCCCCTAGGGATAGCGACATATCTGCTGAAACGATGTCTAATTCTACAACGGTACCTGTGGCAGCACCGACGATATCGCAATCACATACTCAGGATGGTGTAGACGATAATGCTATCCATAATGGAGATGGGAATGAATCAGTAGATCATTCGACAGTCTCAGGGCCCCAGGGCCAGAGCGAACACGTTCCTGGTGGGCATTATCAGTACAGTGGAAACGTACTCGATGGATCAAATGACATGTCAGTGTCCCACCACGGAGACGGCTCAGAGCACTCGCGCGAGTATCTGGACTGGAAACAACTCTTCCCATTCGCCGGTCTAGAAGAACCTGGGCCCATGAACGTAGAAGGGTTGATGGATATAGAAGAGGAATGGCGGCAGTTATATTTGGAGCCACAGATGTCGGATTTGCTTCAAGAGAGTATTTGGCCACCATGATCAGTCCCATAGATCCGACTGCCATAAACTCAACGAAATTATGTCGATGCCGCATTCGTCACAACCCTAGCCATGATATTAGCATATAGCCTACGTTGACCGTGAGATTCTTGCATTTATGTACAACCTAGGCCATACATTATTGCTATCCAATGTTCATGCTACGGAAATCTGCATGGTAGCTCTAGCGAGTGAACAGGGATTACCATTGGACCGTCACTCTCGCTTAGAAAACCGACAGAAGCTGGAATGATATCCGGTAACATCTTGGGAGTATGTTTGGGCGATATTGATGATATACACAGGAAAACAGATCTCAGCCTCTTTGTATCCTAAATCCTTGTTTGCCAAAACCCCGCCCAATGTTATGCGGCAGAATCCGTCGTGCTAAGCTGACTCACTCGCTCATTATTACCTCGGAATTGTTTTGTACCCACGTTCTGAGCTAACTTACTAATATCGATAAGCTCAGAAATCAGACAAAGCAAGGGCTCTTAGGTTGAAAGAAAGCTCAGCAGAAGTGGGCACTAGTCACAGTCCGCCGGTCGAGCTTAGTCTCTTTCAAAATCGCTATGGCCGGTGAAAGATTCGGCTTTGCCCTGACTGTCTCTGGACCTTTTGGGCCTTTTGCGTCTTTGAATGATCTATCCCAGAGTTTGCAGGCATCTTCTGCACACAGGGAAGACAACTATAGGAACCTAGAAGACACGACTGCCATCACTACGGACAATATCTTCCAATATAACCCGACAAGTACTGTATCCATTTCACCACAGCAGCAGCACTTGGCGTGGTACGATCAAGTACACCCTATACCGTATCCCAGTTCCTCTTCCAACATCTTCAAGAAAGAGTCTCTCGATGACAAGCGGGATACTGATAACTTCGAAGACGACAACGACCGTGATCAGGACGATGGAGAGCAGGAACCCGTCGAATGCATCGAATCCGAAGAACAGGAGTCAAAGAAACGCAAATGTAACAAGCCCATTTTCAGCTGCCGGGAATGTGTGGGCAAGGAGATGAGAGTAAGTTCCGGTTTTGTCTCAACTCATTTCATCTTTTCATCTATACCCTGTCTTTTATATGCGCCATGCAAGGAGATAACCCCACTTTTGGGGTGTCCTTTGTCTGGCAATTAGAGAATAAAGCCTGACTGGGATTCCTGACTCCCCGGTCAAAGCGCATCATGTATCCCATTCTGTGACGATTCCGGGAAGTCCAAAGTTGGATGAGTCTTATTTCCTGTCAAGACACACTCCACTGCGTATCTCCATGGTTCGTGTATCGCTTTTAGGGCTGACCCGGAAGGATTCGGGATATGGTTCACACACCTTTCTATAGATTCTAGAAGGGCTTGGCTTCTTAGTCATGGCTCTCTCTTTTATGCTACATGCAGTAACACATCATACTTGGATGGCTCTGACTAATTTACTGTGATTCTTAGTGTGATCGAGGACGGCCTCATATTTGTCTTGGTAGTGACCGACTACTGACTGACTGGATGCAGCTGTCTCTCCTGTATCCGAAGAGGAACCGAGTGTGTCTATAGAATTAAAGCCGAGATAGTTGAGTACGTTCTCCCGTGGGCGATTTCAGGCGAGGACAGTGTAGAACTGACTTTTCATATGATATCAGGGAATCTCTTCACAAACCCACAAGCCGTCGGAAATATCAATCCAGGGCGTCCAGGCAGCAGCAGCAACGGCAGAAACAGAGTTCCAGTGACTATGTTAGTCTACTATTGTTGAAACTACTTTTGGGACCCTGGACTGGTTGGAGATTATTTAGGATGGTTCCCCGGCATCTTCGAATGGGTCTAAACCCGCCTTGTTCACGCACCAGGAGACCACAGATCTTCTGCTTAGCAATCCACCATACTCTGAAATAGGATCTAATACTACCACAATATCTGGGATTGGCTCGGAGTATGTTGTTTCTCCCGCTTTTTGAATTCCTTAGCTGACTATTTTGAAGGTACCCATTTAGCAACTACTGGGCTCAAAATGGAGGTGTTGTGAAGTATTGAGGGTCTTTCCGATGTACTGGCATTGTGTAATGTTAATTCAATGTGAGGGATTGGAAGAAAGTGAAGCTCAAGAAAAGCAATGGATTGAAGCGGGAAGAACATTCAGCGGTCCGAGTAGTGTTGAGAAGTATGCTAAAGGAACACTAGACGCTGCGTATGAGTCGATGCGAGCCTTGTTTGTGATTCATGATGTCCTCGGTGGGCAGAGTAGTGTCTGGTGGTCGTTCTGTCACCGAGCTTTCTCAACTTCGGTACGTCTGCCTTTCAGACCTTCTCTCCTTCATTGAAAGCATGGTTTCTAACTCCTTACAGATCACCATAGCCCGTCTATTGAAGATGCGTGACAGCGCGAAAGAACTTCAGAATAACTCCGATGCAACTTCGTCTAGAAGTTCAAGTCGCCCCAAACGAAACATCTCGCTGGATCCTCTCTGGGAACGGGCACGAACCGATGTCCATCGTATGCTTGAACTACGTCTGATTCCGACTGATTCTGGCGATCAAGCTGCCAAAACTCGAGTAGAGGTTTTGAGTAGCTACTTGTGATTTTAGTTGACCGGTATACCCATGGATATATTCTACACTTAATACTCAGGGGTGGCAACTGTGTATATACATCTAATCTAGCTACATTGATCAACCAAAGACAAACCGTCTCCAGTTCTCCGCTAGTATTCTGGTTCCGTCCTCAAGAGACCAACCCTTCACACGACACACTGTCCTCACAACCTCCTCCAAAAGATCATCCATTCGCTTTCCAGCAGTATGTAGGTCGCTTTCGATAAGGATACGCTCATCCGGCAACGACTCCAAAGACGTCTGAACCCATTTTACAGACGGCCCTGTAAAGTTTATAACAGTCGAGAATGAAAAATAGACATCTGATGGCACAGAAGGGCGTAAGAGTTGTCTCACTGCCTCCGGAGATCCGGAGTATGAGTGCATGCATATTCGTGGTGGATATGGTAACGGTGTTAATTCGGTCTCCTGACCACTACCATCAACATCCTGTTCAGCTTCTCTCTCAATCTTTTCCTCATCGACTCTCTTTTTCCGCTGTCGACTACTCTCAACCTTTCGCTCATGACCTTTCCATAGCTCCTGAAACACTTCAAGAACAGCTCCATGGCCTTGCACGCTATGCACTGAAACAGCACGACGCAGTTGACCCGCAAGCTGTAATTGAGCCTTTAGTAACGCCTTTTGATGCGCAATTGTGACTCTGTAAGGTGACAGTTTGCGCCCTTCGCGTGAACCAGATGTAAGTCCCGCATCGCGGAATTCAAGTTCTTCTTCCTGCCATGGCATCGGGAGACGAAAGGCCTTATCAAGACCAACCTCGCCTACAAGAGCATTGGGATGAGCCGAAAGACGGGTTTTGGTCTCTTCGAGTAGAACTGAGAGTGGTTTTGGTGTTGGCAGAGTATTGAAGAAGTGATTGTCCTCCTCTTCATTTCCCATTGAGCCTGTGAGCGCATTTCGATAGTGTTGTATCTTTATTGCTTCTGTCGTCTCTGTTTTTGATGTGGCTTCTTCATCTGCCTCGACACGTATCTGATGGGCAAACCAAGGATGCCAACCAAAGCAAGGGACGATTTTCCCATTGCCTTGTTTAAGTTCTTGATGATAATCTCCAAGTCTCTTTGCCACTTCATCTACCAGTTCCTGGTCTTCTCCACGCGTGGACATGACAGTCAGAGCCGTTGCATTCATATGTGGGATGTCTGATATTGATGTCATTGTATCGGTGGGGTGACAGTGGGCATCGAAGACTCCCAAATTCCATGGGAAGGGAAGATTGTTTTCCACTGTTTTATCTGCCATTTTTGTATCATTTATTTTGTGACACGCCCCTTCAAAAATTTGTCGTTATACGTTACATATGCCGTTATGAAAATGATTGAAATAGTTGGCCTTGATACTTGGTGATAACGTAACTTAACTAACTGGGCCGGATTGATGAGTAAGCGAGATATTAACCTCAACTATTCAAAATCACACGAATCTTCACCCTCGCCTGACTCCTGGCGCTTCTTCAAAAAGAGGTGAGCTTCGATACAAGCTAAAGGAAAGATCCAAACCAAGTTGTGCCATTGGACGACATTATCGAACCAGAAAGAAGAAAAGGTAACGGAAACATTCTGATAGCATGTTCTTCCCCTTGCGTTGTTCTCAACTCCTCCTCAGAATGCCAAGGTTTGTCCAAGTCACACTATTGTCTCATTTTTACCAGGAAGAACGGAGCAATAGGCGAGCTGATTGGAACAGGAACGGGATTGTAGAAGTTTGGCACATAATTTCTACCATACGGACTTGAAGAACTCAAGAAACATAAATCAGATGAAACTTCAAGGAAAGGCTCAAAGTCTCTTGCGGGCGCCTGGATGACGCGACTACTGCTTTAGAATAGTGTAGGCAATTGAGCCCTCTGTCGTATTTCCCCCGACATAGTCGGCTTGAGTAGTTCTGCTGAGGTGCCACTGTTGATATCTAAAAGTGATTCAGGGTTGACATCTCGAACTCATATAGGATTTATATACCAGAGGAGGACAAAGACGATGTGCAGGCATCAAATCCTTTGCATTGTCCAAGGACATAGTCTGCCCAGCTTTCCGCACTATGGGCAGTGTAGTTGGCGTTATGGCCAGCAATTACACTTGCTGGGAATAGCTGTGGACCTGCCATCCAGTTCAGTGGCCCAGGTAAATTGACGCGCGTGAATTGGGCCTCGGATAGGGCAGTGGTGGACAGCCCGGGCATGGCTAGAGAGGAGATCACCGGCTCGGTGGACAGATATATTACTGGAAAGAAGTCACAGTTGGTCCTCGATACATGTATGGATGGAAGGAAAAATGGAGAATTATATAATACCTAGGTATGATCAATGTAATCAGTTCTTTCCGGACTGTCAACCGGTTATCTATAAGCAAAGTTGGCCAGCATTGACGGTGTAGGCGGAAGCCCGCGTCCTGTAAGCATATCTATCCATTCGAGAAGCTTTTTAGATTGCTGGTCATTGAGTAATCGTTGATTATCATATTGTGCTTGTTTTGAGCCTGTAACATTGCGGAATCTTCTCGAGAGCGTTGAACGATTAACTCCAAAGGTTTTTGCAGTCAAACTGAGATTAATCTTTTTACCTTCTTTTAAGGATTTCAAATAATCAAGTGCAAGATCAATTGGAGCCATATTGACAGAGTTATCGCGCTTTGAAATATTGATCAACTTCCGCGTTTTGAGTCGATATCGTGCATCAACGACTCTCTAGCTTGGTATTTCATTCAATTCCGATTATCTTCACTCTTTATCATCTCTTCGCGATGTCCCTCAGGCATGCGAATGTCGTACCTTGTCTCAATAACATCGCTTATTACTCGAAAGAAGCGGACCTGCTTCCAGCTAATCCTGTCCTTGGCATTCTCCATTTCACTTTCCACAGCGAAGTCGACGTCTCAGAGTCATCGCAGGCAGCATCGATACTATGGCGGAAGTCCCTCAAGTTTGTCTCGACAATTTTTGGTTTTCAAAGCCTGTACTGGGCCCCAATAATCCACAACTCGCCATGTCAACAAATCATTGTTTTGATCCAATGGGATAGCGGCCGTGGTTGGAAACTATTTCAATTTTCCCTAGGCTTCAGCATGATGTTGGGTTATGTCCAAAGCGTCTTTAACCGCTGTATCCAGCTTGCTCTCCCCTCCGATCTACTCCATTTTGACAGTGTCCTCGAGATGATCTCCTTCCAGTTCCCTACTATGTTGTCCACTTCTCAGATTGATATGGAACCAGTCTTCAAAGACAAGTGGGAGACAGAATTTGTCCCTTACCTCAGCACTTCCACTGCCATGGCTCAATTGTCACATGCTTGTGGAGAATGGGTTGAATGTTTGCTGGTTTAACTACGGTCCGTATCACGAAGCATAGACGGTAGTAAGGCGCGAACACGAAGCGGCCTAATGAGCCTGACAATATGAAGATATCTTGATTCGTAATATTGTGACTGATCCCCAAGAACGAGGGGGACGGGGATAGCTAGCTAGATATACGCGGCACGCACGTGCCGCGTCAGACTAACTATATCCGGTGTAAAAACGTGTAGGGTTTGATATTCACGTTCGGACAATGTTCTTTTGGAAACCAGATACACAGCTGGGTAACAAGGACAATATCGCGGACCAGATAGCAGAGATGGGGAAATATGCAACAGACGTGGTCTCGGTCTACACAAGCCAGCTAAACCAAGCGTCTTCTGAGACTTTTCAGCTACAAGCATCGGATCTTCTTCAAGTCACTGTGCAGTCTCAAATTAGCCACTCAGCCTTCCTGTCGGTATAGCAATCTTGCCTATCTCGGCGCGGGAATGGGATATAGTTTATCCGTGCGCTATAGCGTACGGAGGATAACTAAATCTCACCACCCGCATCCCCCTAGTTCTTAGGAGGAGTCGCAATATTAGGAATTCAGTATTACTGGCTCAGTCAGCTTGTTAAATTAGCTGTCCTCATTAGATCGCAAGATCTAATGAAGGTAAACCAACACTTCCAGAATCCTGTAAAGCCTGAATTCAACTTGGACGATTCTACATTACGAAGAGAGGACCTACTCTATTCGGAGTCTATAAGAGAGGTAAAACGCAACGAGCGCATCGCCTGTGGACCCGCTGGTTTTTGGTACCCCATGGGACATATTTCTCAGCATAACCTACACCAGGAGAAATATGACGCAGAGATTAATATGAAGATGATCTCTTTCCGCGCTCGGATTGGAAATGCACCAGTAGATAGTCTATTTGAGGGTCTCGAAGGAAGCTGTGGGCGTTGGGGGACTGTCCGCAGCTCTTCTGGGGCAAAGAGAAAAAGAAAGAAGAAGAAGAAGAGAATAGTGACAAGATTCTACTGTTTATAGATATGTATGCCTTTTCTGACTGGGTTTAGGAAGTTCAAAAGATAATAACACAGATGTCCTTGAATATTTCAGAGTCCCAACGTGAAAACAAGGAATTTCACCCCGAATTTCAACGAATCATTCAAGAGTTTTCAGACGAGTGTGGTGATGCTATACAGGACTTATCCTATAGAAGCATTATCGGCCCATCTCGACCTTTTATTCGTTCGAATATGGATATCACTATTTTTGATGTCTCAGAGAACGAAATGGATCAACGATCGTTTGATGCTTTTTCCAATTACAAGGAGTAAGTTTATGAGTTTTCTGTGCGCAGTCTTTCAATTTCTTGAGAGGCTACCTAACAAGCCAATGTTAGAACTACGTATCAACCGCAAGATTCCATGTCGCGCCACTCCCCTTACTCTGCTCTTATACCAGGGAGCCAGGGATGGGTCATTAATGACCTTCATTCTTCATCGTCAGATCAGAGCGAGCAAAGCAGGAGGGCGCAATTCATATCAATTTTCAGCAGCGATAAGAGAGGCGCTCAAGAAGAGTAGTACAGCGACTTTGCCCAACGAGCTCAAACCCAGTATGATCTTTTGGGCCATATTGTCGATTTGCTACGGACACTATCCAAGCGCATCACTATTCAGTACCTGGTCTTGGAAAAAGAAGATCCCTGGACAATTGCAGACAGGTTGGAAAAATCGAGACGTCCACCGTCGCCAGTACCACGGTCTATTTTTGACCTACCCTGGGTTAAGAATCAGTCAAAATAAGCACGTATATGTCTTCTACGTTATTAGTAGTTGCCTGTATCCGCATTAGACAATAGAAACATGTCGTAATATATACTGTTGAACTTACTTAGGTATTCTGAAATCTTAGAAAGTTAACGCATACCTATGTAGAGATTAAATTTCAATCCCAGGCTGACCTCGGAAGGCTTTCGTACCTAGGCTAGGTATCCATGAATGTTTTAAATATGGAAGTCTTCCAGCTTTCTAGTAATTAGGTAGGTTTTAACAAATTCAGGATAGCCATATACAATATATATCACGACCCCATATTTAGTTGTCTCATTGTCTCAACTCTGGAATGCTTCAGTGATTAAGCAAAGTACCTAGGTAGAGGACATGAACTTAACAGCCAATGCTTTGCGAATTTTGTCATTTCGGTTTCATCCAAAAACGAATATTAGTCAAGTATGAGCTTCGACATCATGCTGGCAAGACCATCCTCATCGGCAGGGGTGATACCTGGTGGTATCAGGTTTGCTATACCACTCGACCAATCGTACGATGATAGATACATGGTTTTTATAACATTAGTATGCAGAAGAATAATAAGTTGAATGAAGTGGCTCACCAGTAACATAGAGAGAAAATGAGTCTATCAAGATAGCACTCAATCAGTTAGCAACGAACAACCTCAGGGCTTCCTTTTTGGCAGACTAAAAGAGACGGCCTAGCTACTCATTTCTCAGATTTGGGCTGCTACCTACTACAAGCATCTGCATAAGCGACTAACGATCCGGTCTCGTTCCGAGTCGCCACGAGGAGCCGGCCCACGTTGACCAGTACGTGATTGTTGCGCCGAAGCTCTGATTGCTTCGATAACATGGTGGCTTCGGTTGGCTACATACACTCATCAAGGGCGATGATAATTGTACCGCAGTTTTACTGAATCTACCGCGCTAAATTGAAATTTATACGAAGCCTTACACAATCCCTACACATAAGTACAATTTCTTAGCTCTACTAGGTAAGTCAAGTCTCTACAAGCCTCTAACCAAGGTATAGGCTACCACAGCTTACTTATTTGCTTCCTTATTAACTAATTTACTCAAGGGCTAACTTACTTAGGCGTATATTTATATAAGTTAGAATCTCTTATATAAACTTATCTCTAGGCTCACTCTAGACCAATCTTGCTGATAATTAGAATTAATACAAAAAATCCACTCATCGTAGGTAATTAGATCTTGTAGTACTAGTCTTGTAGTGGCTGGCTGATCTACAGATTGTGGAGAGCCTTGAGATTCGAGAGCTTTTGTTCCTGGGGTCAGACATGGGTGTCTTGAAAGAATAGAGCACTCACCGGACAAAGACTCACAGCAGGGTTGGTTGGTTCATGGAATGAATGACTGTTAGCCATCATGACCTGGCAATAGTAGATGTCAATAACCAAAAACTCAGCGGATAGACCGAGAAGGAGATCAGAAATATGCGACCAATCTTACTGTATCATCTGAAAAGGGATCATGACGCTTGCAAGACCACTTCCATCCAGCCGCAAAAGGAGCTCTGCGTATTGGCGATTACGGATCGCGCGACACTTTTCAAGGCATCCAAGCCTAGAGTCTGGGTGCGCGGCTTCATCAATAGCAAATACCTCTGGAGAAAGGAGAAGATGCTTTACTAAGCCCATATTTTGGGCAAAGCGTACCCGTGATGCTACTAAGAGGCAGTTGAGTGATCCAATGTCAGGTGTGCGGAACTGCATGTCGTTTAGGGAGTCTTTGTAGAGCTCTCTCGGCGCTGCCACATTCCAAGTGTTGTTCACACAGGCGCAACTAAAAAGGTCTGATACCAGTTCAACTTTTTCGAGGACAAGTCCGATAATTTTCGGAACTAAAAGAGGATTTGATCTCGTAGTCATCGTGAAAGAAGAGCGAAGATGTTGGGCTCGATGGGGGCAAAGCTCCAGCTGGGGGTTAGTCAAGCAATGAAACTGCGATTCCGAATTTGCACGTCTTGCGAGAGATCGAATCTAGCTCCAGGAAAAATGGGAGACGTCGTTGTCATTTGATGATGCGGGTGGTTGCTTTCCCCCAAAGTCCACTCTGGGATAGCGTGATTGTAGAATTGCTTGGCTTGAAGCGGGTCTGGGGAAATCCAATCGGATGTCCTTAAAACACGATCGCTCCCGAAGTTTCGCCCAAGGAACCAAAGTCTCCACCAGAACCTTCGCTTCCGCGCCAATTCCGACCACCTTACGGGTTCAAGTGTATCGACTGAGAACCGTGGACGTTTGATTTTGAGACTTCAAGTCCTACCTGTTTCACAATATCGCGGCAAATCAGAAGCAGAATGGCAGACACAATAGTATCGGCGGAAGCCATCGTGGAAGTTGACACTAATGAAGGGGACTCAACTCTTGGCGATGATATATCGACATCTAGCACATCGGTAGTATCCAGTGTTCTGCAATATGAATGGAAACATGGCCGGCGTTACCATTCCTACCATGCTGGCACGTATAATTTCCCAAATGACGAAAGAGAACAGGACCGACTGGACATGATCCATCATGTCTTTTACCGACTGCTACAGGACCGCTTGTTCTTAGCGCCTATTGATCCAAATCATGGCCTCCGGGTCCTGGATATAGGCACTGGCACAGGCGTATGGCCTGTTGACCTGGGTGATCAGTTCCCTGGCGCCTCTTTGATCCTCGGTAATGATCTCAGTCCAATCCAACCAAGATTCGTGCCCCCGAATGTGAAGTTTATCATCGATGATGTTGAGCAACAGTGGACCGAGTCGCAACCATTTGACTACACTCACTGTCGATACATGGCTGGTTCGATCCGAAACTGGTCCCGTCTTATTCAACAGTGTTTTGAGAACCTCAAGCCTGGAGGGTGGCTGGAACTCCAAGAGTCGGCAAATACGTTATATTCCGAAGACAATAGTTTGAAGCCAGACAATGCGATGGTAAAGATGATGGATGGCCTGATGGAAGCATGCGAGAAGATCGGCCGTACTATGAACCCAGCGCCATCAATGAAAGGCTGGGTTGAAGCTGCAGGTTTTGTAAACATCAACCAGCGGAGATTTAAGCTTCCTATTGGCGGCTGGCCAAAAGATCCAAGATTAAAGGAGATTGGAATCTTCATGGGAATTAATTTTGTGGAAGGCGTAGAGGCTTTTACCGTAGCTCTATTCAAGGATGTTCTGGGCTGGACACAGGACGAAGTACAAGTCCTCAATGCCAAAGTGAGAGAATCTGTTCGACGAAGGGATGCTCACCCGCTGTTTGATTTTCTGGTTGTCACTTCACAGAAGCCAACTTGATTGATGGGAAATTCGATAGCTGAATAATAAACTCTTGAATTAGTGCTTTTCTTTAAGGATAGCAGCCAGTGATATGCAAAGGTCACATCTAACGTACTACGGGCGCATTGATCATTTTTAAATAGAGCCCGGAATCTCATTTCAGCGTAGCAATTCTAGCAAAAAATTTTTTTATTTGGCAAGAAGTGACTTGTCACGCCTCACCATCGCAAAAAGAAAAAGCACGGAAAAGGACATAAATCATAGACAATTGTACACACCTTCAGCATCCCCAGGATTTGGTGATAAGGCGATGTAGCCACTTGTCAAAGTCTGGTTAGCAATACCGAATGTACCTTGGAGATGTTTCCCGATCAGACAGTCAACTGAGCTGTCCAACAACAGCGGAATCCGAGCTTGGTGGATTTGTTCAAACCCTTGCGTTGAACGGTACCACGCACCACTTAGTCTGCAAAGATCGGCAATGCGATCCAATGCAGAGAAGCCTTCTAGCACACTACCAAACGACTAGCGTCTTCCGGGCCAAAAGATGACACTTCATGGTTCCTACACAAGTCTCCTCCAGGGTGCTTTGACCTTGGGTGGACAGGAATGGCACGGGTTGGTGGGCAGCCGCATATGCATGCCACGGTTCTGGCCACTCTACTGGGTCGCTGGTGAAGCTGCTGCTCACTACTAGGAGTAGGGTTGTGCCAGGGCCGGGTGATTCACTAAAAGAGTATACTTGGCAATTCCTTTGCAAGTCAAAGTCTTTGATCCAGAACTCCCCGACACAATCTCGCAGCTTTCCTGTAAAACTGAGAATCCTCCTTAATTCCTGCTCGCTGTCTGTATTGCTCCTAATAATCAATCGATGATCGACAGGGGCTAAAGGTACGGATTCCAGTGCCTTCGTTAATTGCGTTAATGATTCTGGTGCATGAAATGCTGGTCTGTGAGCCGCCGGTTGCTCACCCGATAGGGATCCCTGATTGGTGAGAGAGGTAGAATGAAACCAGGAACCATTTCTTGGGAGGTAGTCGAAAAGTTCAGTTGTATTGTACCGCTGAGAGTGCCAATACCCAACTGGCGGTGACTGCCCGTAAGGGAGTCATCGGTAGGTGGGAGACATACCGCTCTCAGAGCTTGAGATTTCACTGGGAATGGGTGCTGTAATTGAACAAAAGTACTTAGAACTCCGATGCATGAATCTGATGCGAAGTTAGCTCTTTTAGTGATCAGAGCAAGGAAGCAATGATCCGTATGCGACCTAAATTTATCGATCAATTTGGTTGGGCATGATCAGCTGGCATTGTACCTTCACATGTCCTTAAGAATTATCAGCTTGTATACAGCCATCGATGTTCTGTAGGCAGCGTATGTTCTATGGAAACGCTTCATGATGGTGTCACAGACTTCGTCCGAGAGCATGTTCTTTGTATAACATTGTGTAAAATCAGTAAGAAGTATGAAAAAGGATTCAAAGCTGCTACATAGATCATTGATGTACATGAGGTGTATTTAGATGACAAATATCGATATAAACAGGATATGGAGAGAATAATAGCAGACACTTGTAAGATTGAAAAGTTGAAGTGGAATGACTATGCTGATAACCCTAAGGAGACCACCACATAACCCTAACCCTAATCATCGGTATTAAGCCCTAAATCTCCAAGATTTTACCATCATCTCGGATGACATCTGTCGCATACCATCGGCATGTATTTGGACAATTATATTTATTAGATAAAAACTTACATTCTCTACAAGCACAATCATTGGCTATGAGAGCCATTGTTGATGTGAAAACAAGAAATCCGCCCCCACAAAAATTTCGTGTCACATGTCAAAGAAGTTCAATGGTCAGACAATCCTGCTGCTCATTTTCAATTTTCCATCTACTTACCACAGTGTTTGGGTTAATTATGCGCTTAAAAACTGATACAGGTCGATATAATCTCGGGAATTGAAACGCACGTTACACTATAAGCGCCTCCCTCGTCGAGCCTGGCAGTGATACATCCGATCACGGCGGGTGTTTTTAGTCGTGTTTAATGAAAATATTGACAGATTTTGAGCATCATGTAATAAGACATTGTGGAGCTCAGGAGGAAATATCTATATTGATTGAATATTGGTTATGAGGTGTGTCCACTATGCCTCTCTCTTTTGCCCATACCTATGGGATCTCATGCAATGAGTCTGTCTCAACCGTTGAACATCTGCTAAACACACTCCAGGTCCATCTTGTTCCAATTAGCCGTGGAAAAAAAGGGAAAGATGTGGGCAACAGCACTATCAGACATCTTCTTCCTCCCGGTCCTCCTCCTGGTATCAATCCCACTCGCCCTGTCCGCTTCTATCACCACAGCTCTAGCCTTGATTACACTCTTTATTCGCGCCCTAGTCGTATATTTTGAACTGAGCATTGCTTTACTCGCAAACTTTTTCCTGTTTCCGGCGCATTCACCGGCAACGGGTTCGCTTCTTGCTCTTACAGAAGGGACTACGCCAGGTATCGAGCGGACGGCCAGAACACCAAAGTATAGTAGTCATATCGGCGCACAGCAAACGGGATTCACAAAATCGCGAAGGGGGTCATTATCGTCAAAAGACGGGGTCGCAGAAGATTACTTCTCTCATCATAATCATTCGGTTCGTTGAGTTCCAGTCCTAAACACCCTATATCCTACTTGCAATCGGCTAACAATGCAGAAAGCAACACGGCTATGCTCCTATACACTCACCTCACGAGGCGCTTTCCAGTTTCATCTCTAATAATGCCGAACGCGACTTTGAAGGCGTGGGTGGCTGGCGGACACCTCTTACACGAAGAAAACATCATCAAACATCATCCGTGCCGTCCCTGAGTCGCAAGAATAGTAGTGAAGAAGAGTTGTTACTTGATAATAATGATGATGAGGTTTGGCTGTCGATCAATAAGCGTTTAGAACTGCCTTCTAGACGTTCGGCTTGGAAGACTCATTCCTTAGTTTGAGTGTGGTTAGCTAGCGAAAGTCGCAACTTGGCTATTTGTTTCACTGAAAAGTAGTCATTATGGTGAACTTTATTCAAGCTTGTGTTGTTGTATTTCACTGGGTGGATAGCCGTAAAGCAGCTTATTCGCCATTAAGAATAAAAGCAGCAACCGCCAATACGGCTTGTTGGCCTAGTGGTTAGGGCGTATCCTTTACACGGATAAGGTCACGCGTTCGACCCGCGTACGAGTCATATTTCCCTTTTTTTCTCCTGTAGGTCCTATGACCATATATTTTTATTTTTTGAATCATACCGATGGTTTCAATTGATGCATTGAATATGAGTGCATGAATAGCAGGATATCGTTTCGGCAGCTCCCACATAGCTTGTAGAGGCGGACAACCTCATTCCAACAAAGCCTCGATGCTTTGAGCTATGTTATCTACTTGGGTGGGGGTTTATCTAGCATAGTCAATCACTATCTCAGACTGTTTAGCACATATGTCTTGTCGATGTTTGAAAGATTCCATGTATGATGTGACAATCTATTTTTCTTTGATATGTACACACGCCTAATCGAACTCATTATAGAATTGAGAATGATTCGAGAAATTTCCGAAAGTAGAAGTCTATATTGAGACCTGGACCTTGAATGAACAAGAAGGCTGCTCCTTTTAACTCCTGAATAACCAAAACAAAGAAAATCGCTTTCAGCTAGGAAGACAGTAAATGTCGTAAATTAGAAGATAAAGTGTCGGAGACGATCGCATGATAAAGCATGCTGTCTATGATTGACGTTTTGCTTCTCTGCGTCGTACATCCTCCATTTCCTTAAGGATTATATCATTAAACTCTTCGTCACCTTCGAGATAAAGGTGGTGACCGGCATTCTTGACAATGTATACTTTAGCAGAGCCATTGTCTGCCTCGCGTTGTTCGGGAGTAGCTTCCTTCAATATCCGACGCCTTTCTTCTTCTATTTTCTCTTTGGCTGAGAAACCACCAGCAACGTCCATCCAGTCGTGGTCACCGTACATAAAGATCACGGGTATACCGTTCTCTCTCAGTGGCTGAGATGCAGGCGACGCAGCCACAGATGCCGCAGACACGTCAGATACTGAAGTCATTGCTACAGGGGAATCAGGTCGAATGACCTGTCGGCCTATGCCTTGGATTCGGCGAATTAAAGGGCTTCGTGCGAATGCTCCTGGCGCCAAAAGATATGTGAGGGCGTACTCGCCGCTGCCACGAAGTCTGAAGATGGAATATGTGTAGTCATGCAAAGCTGCAGCTTCCGCATATGGTAAATGTGAGAACCGGCGGGACGTCCATCGCGACACCAAACCAGGGCCGAGTGGACCAGACCAACGAATGAAACTGAAAGGCGAGACATTGGCATCCCAGAGGTAAGTGATAAGACGAGGTAGCCGGGGAGGCATTCTGTTATTAGTACCATTGCCTTCTGTCGAGTCAGTCGGCATCGCTTCATTCACGGCATATGGATCTTCCGGGATTCCGACTGGCGAAACCAGAATCAGCTTATTCAAGCGGCCCGGATATTTGAGCGCATAAGCCGCAGCTATGTAGCCTCCCATACTATGACCCATCAATGTGAAGCGATCAATCTTGCGCTTGACTCGCCACTCTTCAAGAGCATCGATGAACCAATTCTCCGCTTCAGTGATGGCTTCTTCACGATCCGAGGCCTTGATCTTGAAAGGTGGACGTGTACTACGGCCCATGCCTAACAAATCCAACGCATAGAGGTGCCAGCCCTTGGCACGACTCAGAGGTTCGAAATTTCTGTAAAAAAATCCTAGGCCAGCACCATATCCATGTAGCATGACAAGATTTTGGTCAGCTTCCTCGCCAATACGCTCGACAGAGAACTCATTGAGTGCTCGATTTTTACCGCTCAGTTCGACCATTCGTGAGCGCCAGCGGCGGGGTCCATAAGGATCGTTGTTCGAGTTGACAATCTCGTCACCGGATTGGCTAGGATCAACTGCCTGTAGGCTGTCCGTTGCAGTGGGTGAATTTGGAGCACTTGCAGTACTACCAGTTTGTAGTTGAGTAGGGGCTTCTTGAAGATAGGGAATAGTTGAAAGTACTTTGTGTTCGGCCACTGCAGCGGGCGCCTTGTGCCACTGTGAAAATGATCAGATCCAAGTCTTGACACCCGATTTCGTTCAATTGCAACTTACCCATTGATGCAATGTTTCTTTCATGCCCAGAGGCAACCAAGAAGATGATGCGGGCGCCATCCCATGCGTCACGGAATGTGGTAGTTTGCGCCCCGATTCTCTTGTATCCTGCAATCCCTCATTGCCCATACCGCCATGAGCCTGGCTGACAGTTTCTACCGATGGCATTGTGATAATAGTATACTGGGAGGAAGGTCGTCGAGCGTCAATAGATAGGTTCCGAAATATCGGACGAAATCGGTTCAATGAAACGGGTACTTGTAGCCTCCGCGAGGGAGATCCTAGCGACAACTGCACCGGCCGAAATCGCGTTGGAGACACCTTGAGTCTTATGTGACAAGAGTGACAGGAGCTCCCTGCCACTCACTTCAAATACACCTCAAACGTGGTGCTTTAGGGGGGCGTATAAATAGGAAAAAGAACAGATAAGCGATGACGAAAGTAATTCCCTCGTGACCTATATGGTAGCAGGTCTATAACAAAGAAATCTCGCGCATTTGGTAGTCGATTAGTCCAAGTGCGGTGGTAAGCAGGAAAGATGTCGTTGAGTGAAAGTGATCGAGGGGGCTGTTTTGTGTTGGCGGCCATCGTAATGATTTGTGAAGCATGAGTGATCGGAGACCTCTGGTTGGCCCGCGGAGTTAAAGCCGGACTTTGGCGCCTGCTTCTGCTGTGGCTCATTCGTCCCTTCCTCTTTCTGCCATCAGACCTTCGGATGAATTGGGAAGCCGGTCGCCGGTCGCCACCTTCCTTTACATCCGTTGGCTGTTGCAGCCTGATAATTGGGGCATCAACAATTATTCCTCAGCAGCACCAAACTAAACACCTGACCTGACATCACTTCATTGTTGAGCCTAATTAATCTGATCCCTGCTTCACAACCCACTACGGTTGTTTGAAGAAGCTCGTACTCGACTGATGCTCTGGCTTCCTCGGTGATGCGATAAATGGTTGGCCGCCGGGCCAAATACATAACAACCCATTGGTTGTTTGGTCTATCACCTGCAGCTGAGCCCAAAAACAAACGTACTCAATTTGTTCATCCGGACTGACGACGGCAACAACCGTTACTTCATATGGCTGCCTCTCGCCTCGATCAGTTAGTCAAGGGTGCTCCTCCGCCAGAGGCACACCTTCCCTTCAATGACTCTCCGGCACCTTTCCCCAAGTCGTACCTTGAAGGCTCGAAGACTGCGACGGATTCCCGCCCTACAACACCGGACCCGCTCTCTACGTTACCTTCGTCTCCGCCGCAGATATATTTGAATTTGTTGATACTTGAGAGTTCTTTGCGTGCGCAGTACTTGGCACTGCGAGAGCGGCGTCGTCAGAACACCTTCTTTCTCCTAATTCTGGCGTTATGGATAGCGTACTTCTTTTATGCATTGTTTATGCGACCTAGAGAAGATGGGAGCGGCGTGGGAGGCTCAGTATATTGGATGGTTGAGACCGCCGAGAAGGTGGCATTCATGGCCGGCATTGTTACTGGCATTTTGGTCTGGGGAACCGGTCAATGGGAAAGAGGGATGCGATGGCCAAGGCGCTGGTTCGCTGTTGCCAATCGAGGTCTAAGGGGTATGAATACTAAGATAGTCTTGATTCGCGGTCCGTGGTGGAAGGAGCTGTTATCATTACTCTCCTTCATCTTCCCATACTCCTCGCTATTCCAGTCACCGAAGAACTTTCAGTATGTTGAGCTACCTTCATCCGAAAAGCGTGCTGCCAGACAGCACCACTCCGTCCACAACCACGAGAGCGACTCGGCTTATATTGAAGAGGACCTGGCGCCTGGCGGGGACTACATTCGACTGTTACTCTTACCGAAAGCATTTTCCCCCGAATTTCGGGAAAATTGGGATGAATACCGGGCAGACTTCTGGGAGAAAGAAAACGAGAGACGGGCTCAACTTCGCCGTATAGTCCACGAGAGAGAACGGCAGCGAGCCCGCCAAGAGGGTGGTTGGCTGTGGTGGTTACCCTTTAGATGGCCACGTTCGCGCAGACATCTTCAGTCCCATCACCATCATCAACACCATCGACAAATGTCTAGTGTTGCTAAGACGCATGAAGGCCGAGTTCGCCGTAATACTCGCTCCAACTCGCAATCAATTCACAACCGGACCCTATCTCGTAGCTCGACTCCCGAGGGCAGCACGGCTACTCCGACAGATATACAAGGTCACAAGCGCAAAAAGAGTACGAGGCCGTCCAGCTCACGAGGTCCTTCACCTCTGACTCCTCAGGTCTCGAAACGGGACTCCACCATATCAGTCTCTTCCACAGCGTCTGACGATTCCTTTTTACCAGCGTCCAGGCATAGACGGAATTCCCCAGAAGTCAATGCAGCAGCGGAAGCTTGAAGACATTGGATAAAAGTCATATTTCGTGTGTTTCTTCCATGTATACAGGCACAATATGACGCGATAAAGCAATGTAACTATGAGATGTTGGAGTATGATTACGAATTGGCAATCCCTTATAACTATGCCAAGGTATCACCATATCACCATGTTAGAGCTGTCGTAGACCGTGTAGTGCAGTTTTACGGGCACAGCCGAGGCGGCGAGATAGAAATATTTTTCGCCTCAGGCAACGCTTAGAAAGTTTCCCCCACCGCCCGCAACAGCCAAAATTCTCGCCCCTCCGTTCCACCCTAAGAAATCACACTCTTTTGCACAGTCTTAGGAAAATACCCTGGGGTGTTCGGATTCCAAGTATCACCTGAGCACTCCTTTTGGATCTCGGTTCCTTTTCTCGAACTTGAGATCACACTTTGCCGCCGGAGAACAAACACACAAACACTATCTCCGAAACTACTTATCGATACTAACGCCCTCCATTGTTCAAACCTGTTTTGACGCCACCACAGTTTCGCACACGGCTCCTTGACGAAGACGTTTTTTCCTGATCTGTGTCTCCAACTGATAGATCTTGGAGCCTACACGCTTTGTGCTTGTTAGAAAAATTTTCCACACGGGATACTTGACACTACACGACGGGTGCTGTCCTTCACTGGATACAGTCTCGAACACGGTCCATTTTATCAGAACAAACGGTACCGCAATAAACTTAGGTCAAAATGGCGCCCAAGAAGAAGGGGAATAAGAGACAGGAGGAGGACTGGGAGGCCGAGCTCGGAGAATCAGTCCCTGCTGCGACCGAAACACCTGCTGAGGCAAATGGCGATGCTGCAGCTAACGGCGATGACGATCAGATGGGAGGAGGTCTTTTGGCCGCTTTGAAAAAGAACCGATCGAAGAAGGCTAAGAAGGGCAAGGCACTCGACAATGATTTCGTGGAAGGAGAGGACCCAACACAGGCGGACACAAACGGCGACGCTGCTGTTGATCTCTCTAGTAAAGCTCCACAGGAGGCTACATTCGATGATGAGGATGATGTTTTTACCGGAAAGCCTAAGAAGGGCAAAGCTGCACCAGCTCCTCCCAAACTCGAACCTGCTGAGGAAGCCGAAGAGGGTGGTAAAGTGAAGTCCAAAAAGGAGAAAGAAAAAGAGAAGAAAGAGCGTGAGAAGCAGAGGAAGAAGGAACAGGTGAGTTATTATGCTTAAACTAGTACTACTTGAGGATTTAACGGAACCTAGCTCTAACGTTCACTATCATTTCCAGGCCGCAAAGAAGAAAGCTGCTACACCCGCTGCCCCTGTTAAGGAAGAACCGGTTAAGGCGGCTCCCGAAGTCAAGGCAGAGCCTACCCCAGCCCCCGCTGCCAAGATAGAACCTGCAGGCAAAAAGAAGAAGATCCCCGCACACTTGGCCGCTATCCAAAAACAACAAGAAGCGTTAAGGAAGGCACAGGAGGAAGAGGAGCGGCTAAGGGCCGAGGCCGAAGCTGCAGAGGCTGAACGTATTCGAAAGCTCGAAGAGGAAGAGAAAAAGAAGGAGGAGGCCCGTCAACGTAAGAAGGAAAAGGAAAGGGAGAAGAAAGAGCAGCTGAGGAAAGAGGGCAAGCTTCTCACCAAGGCCCAGAAGGAGGCCAAGGAGCGCAATGAGCTGCGTATGAAACAGATGTTGGCTGCCGGTGTAGGCCATGTTGCCGGTCTCGAAGAAAGGGGCGAACCATCCGAGAAGAAAAAGATGGTTGTGACGAACCGTAAGAAGAAGGGACCGAAGAAGGACGAGGTAGATCTGGAGGCTGCTGCCGCGGCCGCTAGAGCACAACGGGAAGCCGAGGATGAAAAGCGCAGGAAGGAAGAAGAAGATTTGGCCAAGGCTCAGGCGGCCAAAGATGAAGCGGATTTAGAGGATGATTGGGAGGCAGCTGCTAAAGCAGAGGTTGGGGATGATGTGAAAGACAGCTGGGATGCGGAGTCAGACGAAGAACAGCAAGATAACAAACAAGTTGACCAGGAGCAGAAAACTGCGAAACAGGCAAATGGCACCGCAAAAAGCGAAGACTCAGAGTCAGAGGAGGAGACTTCATCTGACGAAGAAGACGAAGAGGCTACCGCTGCCCAGAAAGCTATCGCCCAGAGAAAAGCAGAGGCTGCAGAGCGACGCAAGAAACAACACGAAGAAGCTCTTGCTGCTCGATCAAAGGACAACCTACGATCTCCTATTTGTTGTATTTTGGGTCACGTCGATACAGGAAAGACTAAGCTTTTGGATAAGATTCGACAGACCAATGTCCAGGAAGGTGAAGCAGGAGGTATCACTCAGCAAATTGGTGCTACTTACTTCCCTGTTGATGCTTTGAAGCAGAAGACTGCCGTCGTCAATCGGGATGGTTCATTTGAATTCAAGATTCCTGGTCTTCTTATTATCGATACCCCTGGTCACGAATCCTTCTCTAACCTTCGTTCTCGAGGTTCATCTCTTTGTAACATTGCTATCTTGGTTGTGGATATTATGCACGGTCTGGAACCTCAAACTTTGGAATCCATGCGTCTCCTCCGAGACCGCAAAACGCCTTTCATCGTGGCATTGAACAAGATTGATCGTCTCTACGGATGGAAAAAGATTGATAACAATGGTTTCCAGGAGAGTTTGGCTATGCAGAGCAAAGGTGTCATCAATGAATTCAGGTCTCGTGTTGAACAGACCAAGCTTGCCTTTGCAGAACAGGGTTTCAACTCTGAGCTCTACTGGGAGAACAAGTCGATGGCTCGCAACGTGTCTCTTGTACCAACTTCTGCGCACACTGGTGAAGGTATTCCTGATATGTTGAAGCTTTTGACCACTCTCACCCAAGAACGTATGACGAACTCCCTCATGTACCTTTCCGAGGTCGAATGTACAGTGCTTGAAGTCAAGGTCATCGAGGGTCTGGGTACAACCATCGACGTTGTCTTGTCCAACGGTATCCTCCGGGAGGGCGATCGCATAGTGTTATGTGGTCTGAACGGGCCTATAGCAACAAATATTCGAGCGTTACTAACGCCAGCACCGCTTAAGGAACTTCGACTAAAGTCTCAATACGTGCACAACAAGGAGGTCAAGGCAGCTCTTGGTGTCAAGATCGCTGCCAACGACTTGGAACATGCTATTGCCGGTTCAAGGTTAATGGTTGTCGGTCCCGATGACGATGAAGAGGACTTGGAAGAAGAGGTTATGTCTGATCTTGAGAACCTGCTCAGCAAGGTTTCCAAAGATCAGCGTGGTGTTTCCGTACAGGCATCTACTCTTGGATCTCTTGAAGCCTTGCTTGAGTTCCTTAGGGTCTCTAAGATTCCCGTCTCTAACATTTCTATTGGACCTGTATTCAAGCGTGACGTGATGCTGGCAGGTACGATGTTAGAAAAGGGTCTCAAAGAGTATGCAGTTATGCTCTGTTTCGATGTGAAGGTCGACAAAGAAGCTCAAGCGTACGCAGACGACGTCGGCGTCAAGATCTTCACAGCAGATATTATTTATCATCTGTTCGATGACTTCACCAAGCACATGGCAGAGCTGAACGAGCAGAGGAAAGAAGAATCCAAGATGCATGCAGTATTCCCTTGTGTTCTCAAGACCGTTGCTGTTTTCAACAAGAAAGATCCCATTGTCGTGGGTGTGGATGTTGTTGAAGGTAGCCTGAGACTGTTGACACCTATTGCAGTTGTGAAGCAGAACGCAGCTGGCCAGAAGGAAATCATTCAACTTGGAAGAGTGTAAGTTCACCCACATTTGAAATTGGAAGCATCCATCTAATATATTTTTTAGGGCCTCAATTGAGCGTGACCACAAAGCCATCCAAGTCTGCAAACGTGGCCAACCATCTGTAGCCGTCAAGATTGACGGAGCCAATCAACCCGCATACGGCCGACAATTGGAAGAAAGCGATACACTCTATTCTGAAATCTCACGAAAGAGTATTGATACACTCAAGGAATTCTATAGGTCTGATGTCACGATGGAAGAGTGGGCCTTAATCAAGAAGATGAAGCCACTTTTTGATATTCCTTGAACAGAATACGATCAGATGAGATGACAAATCAAAAATGTGAATTAAGGGGGAAAAGTCTTTACGCTTTTTTACACTTTTGTGATGTGTATGTAGTTGTGATTGATTCTGATTATATAATTTCTACTTCATCCTATCCTACTCTCTGCTTCCTAAAGGGAGACTATCCAAGTCCTGATAGACCTAATCGTTACCTTCCCATTTTTCCACTTTCCCTCCCTTATTCGTCCAATCCAACCAACTCCCACGATATACCCCCAACGTATCAGGATCATACCCAGCCTGCACAGCCAACTGCGCCGCAGCCTGCGCTCTCACTCCAGCCTTGCAATAGAATATAATCTCCTTCTTCTCTTTACCCGCTGTCTCCGGCGAGGAAGATTGCTCAAACCCCGGTTTGGTATATCCGAACCTCGTCTCGAATTCCTCAGGGGGCAGGAAATAGGCATCTGGTTGAGAGGCTAAAGGCACCGAAACAGCACCTGGTATGATCCCCGTTGCGGCGAGTTCGGCAGGTTCGCGGACATCGATGAGGATTATGTTGGAGGGTGTTGAGGATGGGGATAGGGAGAGTTTTGTATTGATCTGGTTTTTTCCATTACGAGGTTTTAGTTAAGTGACAGAAACAACAGGTAGTATGAAGAAGATTGTTTGTCATACATCATCGAATCCGATCTGTTTGAATACTGGCGCATTCTCAGAGCTGTACTTGCGATGTTGCTGTTGCTGTTGTAGATTGAATCTGCTTTGGTAATGCTGCGGTGAGCAGTATTGAATCTTGAGTAGCTGATATCGCTCTGTCGAGAAATTCTTGACTCTTTGCGACGCAATCTGAATATTTCTCGAGCGGAAAACAAAGCTGCTGCTTCGTGAAAATGCCGAAGCTCCAAAGACCGACCTTGCCCCGCGGCGAGCTACGCCTACTGCAACATTTGCCGACATGGTAAATTGAAATAGATAGTCAATGGCATAGAATGAATTAAACGACAATGGACTCGTTGTGATCGAGAGTAGCTGGGAGGTGAGGTAGTCAAGATTCCATAGGCCGCTGATGTCAGTTGACAGTCCCGCCAAGCCGATGCCGCCGCGGCTTACCTAGGTCATTTTTTTATGACTGGTGTGTAATTATCTACATGGAAGAACGTGAGGAAAGCTGAAGGCTGTATGATTTGTAAGAAAAATAATGGATTTGAAACTATGTACTGAATGAATTTTGCATCCCTAAAAGAAAAACAAAGGATTTAAGTAGTCTTGCCGTTTTGGTGGCACTTACCGAGCTCGCAACAGAATGATAACGCGATTCAAGGACAGGAAAGACGAGAGAAGACATGATAGGAAACACTCGCATGTGCTGTCTAAGACTCTATATAAGTAGCATCTGCTGACTCAGATGCATATGACATGAAAGACCGCCTTCAAATAGAAGAGTTCATTAATTAAAACGTATTTGGCAATGGCGCAACTTTTTCACTGCGACTATTGTCCATGTTATTACAACAAAAATGCACTCATTTTCGCTTCATCGACTGCGATGGTATGGGAAATAAAAGCTCGAAATTGCACATGTGGTAAATGGGTCGTCATTTATTTCTCCCTTGGGGTGAAGGTAAGATAGCAGTCATCCTATTTGTGTTAGTATATTAATGACCTTGCAGCGCAAAGAAATGATGGACATACCTGTGGGAAAATTGTGGCAAAGACCTTGATCTCCTCAGATTCAGGCGTGATTTGGTGTTTCCAGTTAAGATGCATACTAGCCTTGCCAATCAAACCCATGAGGTTGTGGGTGGCATATGTCTGACCGAGACAGTAGTGTGGGCCAGTTCCGAAAATAAGCCAGTTCTTTGTCTGATTCTCGGCGGTACCAGTGATCCAGCGATCGGGGTTGAAGCTGTCGGGGTCTTCGTAAGCCTCGGGGTCACGAGTTGCTGGATAAATCGATGGAATGATCATAGAGCCCTTAGGAACAGTGTAAGTGTCGGTAATAGGGAAGTCTTTCTTTGCCATGTAAGGGACCATGATAACAGGAGGGCGGTAACGGAGAGTCTCCTTGACAACAGCACGGGTGTAGGTCATGTTTTCGAGCATATCCATGGTCAAAGGAGCGTTGCGGTCGCCATTTCGCAGCCTGTAGTTTTCTTCACGAACTTTGTCAAGAATCTCGGGACGGTCGGCCATGAGCTGGAACAGCCAGGTGCAAGCGGCACTAGTGGCATCTTGGGATGCAAAGAGGAAAGTAAACACAGTCTGGGCGATTTCGTAGTCGGTAAAGTCACGGAGAACAGACGCAGGCTTCTCAGAATCATCCACAGGGATACCCTTGGCAGCCTTTTCGCGGTATTTAGCAGAGTCCAATTGAAGCTTGACCCAGCCATCCATGATACAAGTAACTTCGCCACCAGCGGCAATGTGAACTTTACTCTTAGCAGCGCATTTGGAGAACTCCTCCAGGACCATATCAGCGGCCTTCTTGCCGTACCAGGTCTTGGTGTAAGGAATGATAATGGGGAAGTTGACAAGCTCAAGAGCGGCAGTGATTAGGAAGTAGTCATCAGCAATCCTCTTGACCGTTTCATTATCAATGTGATCTCCAACGAAGGTCTTGCAAGAAATGGCGGTCATGAACTCTCGGAACTCGGGCATGAATTGCATGGGCTTGTAGTCATTCTTAGCGGAAACTTCGGCCCAGTGCTTGAAGTACTTGTCGTAGACTTCATCTTGACCAGGTAGGTATAGCGAAAGTGCGTGACGGGTAAAGAGGCCGTTCAAGCCCTTACGGAATTCGACGTGGGCCTTGCCGTCCAAAAAGACCCAGTTGGTAGAACCCAGAAGCTTGTGAGCAGCATCGACGACACAGGGCTTGACATAAGCGGGGGAGTTGAAGATCTTGCGAGAGAGGTCGCGGTTGGATGCGATCACCACGAACCTGAGCGCTTTCGTATTAACACCTCAGGTGGACAACAGCGCACGGCGGCATGCGTAGATGGAATTCAACCTACTTGTGGAAAACTGAGACACAGCTCAACGCACCGCTGTCCCACTTGGCCTTGTATTCGGTGAATTTGGGAAACACGGATTGGAGAAAAGGACCCATGAAGGGAATTTTCATTGACGGGCCGACGATTGAGCCTTTGAGGTAGATGTATTTCACTGCGCGTAATTAGATTGTGTAACTATACGCGAAACTTGGATAACATATCACGCACCTTGATCGTACACGATGGCTGCGAGAAGCAGATAGAGGAGGCCACTCCAGATCGTGAGGCCATTGACAAAAGAGTACAAAGCATCCGTGGGATTGGCGAGTTGAGCCATGACGCTGGAATCTGCCACCGGGGAGGCGAAGCTCCCATTGAGCTCGGCCATGATGATTGCAGGACGTTTCTAATAAGTCGAAGACACGCCTGGCTCGAATGCTTGTGTCTGGAGAATCGTAGATGACACAAGGAAAAGGTTGGAGTTTAAAAGTAAGGAAGTGAAGAGTGGAGAAGAAAAGGAGGCGGCCGCGCCAAGACTCCAGGGATACTTCCTACATTGTACACCTCCAAACTAACTTAACTACCTAACTAGTCTATTACGTACTGCGGATATGGAGATTTTCAATGGTATTGGCCAATATCATGGTCTTGATTACACCTATCTATGTATTGGGTGATGTAGTTAGTTACATCAACATGTAGCCACTGACTACCAGTATCAATCCCGGGGCATCGCACTTCGATCATTGATATGTATTGTCCTTGTTGCTTCCGCACTCGTGTTCTACAAGAACAGCTTATTCAGTAATTGAATTGCAATTCCCATCCCATGCTGTACATCTATCAAAGAGAATATATCATAGAGAGTACGAGATGTATTTGCTCAAAAGAATGCAAGATGGGCTGATTCGGCATCGGGTCTTCCGGACGAGGGCTACCTGGATCACATGATATATGCTTGCCCTATCAGAGCTTGCAGATTTTAAGCATAAAACCCATGCCGCTAGTCCTAAAAGAGAATGGTCCATTAGATCGCACGTGTCACATATGATCGAGGCTCCAGCACGTCTTTCCTTGATTATTGTTGCTGTTTGGGAGCTCTCGCTATGATACTGCAAAAACCAAATGGAGTCGTAGTAATGTACACCAGCTATCATGCTATGGAATCAGCGTATCCGGACTTGTTCAACGTCCAAAGCCAAACCAGCCACGGCGTCCTTCCATACTTGGCGCCTCTGCTTGTTCTATTTTCTCGCGGGGATATTGAATATAATTCCATGCAACGTCCAAGAAGAGCGGCTTGACAGGAACTGCGCGCATATTCGGCGGGAAAGGAACCAGCTTGCTGAGGTCTAAGTTTTCTACTGCGTATTCATCCATTCTTTCAATCAAAGGCAGCTGGAAGCGGGAAGGATCCTGCTTCGTTTCAGATAATCTGTCAAGGCTAACCAAACCTCGGTATTTTGCTTCGAACCCATGAGACGTCATAGCAAGAAATTCGATCTCCTCGGACGAGACATCAAGTCTTGGTGGACCAGCCTTTGCTGTGACACCTTTGCCGCTTTTCTGGATAGTTGCGGCAAGTTCGCTGCTCCGGGAGAATAAAGCGAGAGCATTCTTGGTGTTCTCTTGAAAGGAATGAGAGCGGCCAATAGCGAAGCATCTGTTGTAATGATAATGAGTAATCGTAAAGAAAGAGGGGAACCAGAAAAGAAAATCCGAAACCTACCGCAATGCCCTGAAGTAGTTACGCTTCAGCTCCAGTTCCTCAACAAATTCCAAATCGCCCGCCACACCGGGTAATTCTTGTACAAAGTCCAGACTTTGCAATACAGAATCGTATAGTGCCACCTTTTCACGGAGTTGCGACAAAATCTTGCCTCCGCTTTCTTGACGCGCTCGTTTTCGCCACTCGTCAGCCTTGAAATGCTCACCGTCGAGTAATAGCCCATCGTGGTCGCCGCTTAGAACACGATTTCTACCAACTCTCCAGCTAACAAGAGAATAATTGACCGCAGTCCGAGTGACTTGCAGTGCCTGCATTCTCCGATCTCCCCTATCAGCCCCCTCATTGACAAGATCATCGATAGCCGTTTTGGTGGCATCAACAACTTCTTGACTGGCTAGGATGACATTGTCGTAAGCGGCTGCCTTCTCCTTGGGAGATGTGGTAGGTCGCTCCTGTAAGAACGAAGTAAGCTTGGATTCGGCTGCAGCTGCAGCTGCAAGAGCTTGCGCTATAGATGCATCTTCGATAGGTACCGAGCGTGACCTCCAACTGATCGTTTCTGGCAGCTGTTCGATTTCACCATCTGCCAGTCTCGTGGTACCCGCAGCGTCCTCCACCAGACAATTCGGATCGGCTTTTTCCAGCTCAGCACGAACCTCACTGTCGCCTGGAAACCTCTCAATCGCGAGTGAAGGCAAAGGCTTATTGCGGGAAATCTTGAGCTGGTATGCGGCGTACCGGAGTGAAGTATCAATTGTGACGGATATGATTTCGCGATATGCTTCCTTTCTCTCTTTCTGACTGAGAGCAGAGTATACAATTCGAGCCATGCTGAATTGTTGAAGGCACTGATCCCATTTCTGTTTCTCCATGTATAGTCCACCCAACAAGAGAGCAAGATAGCCACGAGCCTCCAGAAGATCGATATCTGATGCGCCCGAGAAGGAACGGTCTTGTAAAATGGACACGAGTCTTTCAGCATACCGAGACGCTTTGGTCAACCTGCTAATTATATGGCGTCGCGTAGGTCCCAATACACTTTTTGCTGACGGGTCAGCGGAGTGGACAGCTTTCATATGCATTGCCTGGGCCCATGCTCGTTCAGCGCTCAGAATGAGTAGGTGGGCGGCTCTAGAATTACAATTAGCAATTCATAACTAGAAGTTTGTAGCTGAACTCAAATAAATTCCTCGCAACGTACTGTGGATTAGATGCAACATCTTCAGAAGTTACAGGAGCTTCAGCACTGTACTTTCGACCCTTGGGTGTTGTGCGTCCAAGCCTCTTCCGCACAGTATGTAAACGACGAGATGTTTGTGCACGGTAAGTATTGTAGTCCCCAGAAAGCAGGGACTCTTCACGACGTGTGAAGAACAAATTTGTGATCTCCATTGTCTTGCTGAAGAATGGTTGTTGTAATTTGCTACTGCAGACTGAGTATGGCGGGGAATATCGGTGCCTGTCGTCGGGTGTGTGCTCGGGTAAACGATCGGCCGGCCGCCGCGGACAACTTCTGACCTCGAAGCTTCAATATCAAAATGTTTCCAGAGGCAAGCGACAGGCACAAGCTCGTGTACAACATCTCCCTTTCTCTTTTCTCTTTTTCGACATTTTTCCTAATATAACTTATATTTCAATTGTCAGATTTATCAGTCATTAATCGTTCGGTGCTTCTTGATCACCGCTTTTTCACAGGTGCAAAACACGTGAGCTGATGTTCCCTTCAAATTGTCTGCATTTTCAGCTTAGCTGATTGAAATGGTAGTCAGACTCTCAAGCAGGCTTCGATATGTTCCTCTCGATCCCTCGAAAATATTGCGCATAAATATATTTCCACACCTACGTGTCCGATCGAGTAATGCTTGAACGAGCAGTAGGATGTCTCGAGTTTGCCGGACAAGGCGTGCTACAAAAGTACTTGACTGTCTTTCGCAGCCAAAAGTCTCTTGACCCCAATTTCTGGAAATGTCAAATCTCTGACACCGATGTGCGCCTCTGGCAATCCGGACTACACCATGAAGCTAAAAACGGTCGACCGGCCCCTATCTCAACTCAAGCTTCGCCTGACTTTTTCCTCGACTTTCTCTATCCTCGCAGGTGTCTTGTGAGCGCCGCCGCATGGGTTTCAAAGCACAAAAAAGGGCATTTGAATATACAGAAAAGACGCCGTGTTTATAATTTTATGAGAAGTTACTGTCAGACGTCACGCTCACGCAGCCACTGTGCTTCCGACAGAGCCTCTCGTGTCAACATTCCACGAACCCCGAGACGGACACATGCTACCGCAGCCTCATCCTATGTACCTAGTATAGAAAACATCGGTCCGAGTACAGTGCCACGGACCAGGTTACATCGAGACTACGATCGGGCATGGGTACTATGGGAGACGGGCGACCAGGAGCGGAAATCAAGATCACAACTCATGGCTTATTTTTCGACGTCGGACAGGTCTCTCGATGTTGAGCGAGCTATAAGCCTGCTCGAAGGCATTAATGTGAATGAACGCCGCGCGAATGACTATGAGAACATGATTCAGCCTCTACTCGGAGCAGGCCACCTGCCTGCAGTTGAACGCTTATGTGACGACGCTGTCTCGAAGGGTGTCAAGATAGACGTGTGGTCTTTGGCCACTAAAATTGCTATTCGGCACTCGAAATGGCCAGAATTATCACATATATGGAATAAAAAGCATGAGGGGATCTCTCAAGCGTTGCCATCCATCCTAGCTTCGCTTCGTGACCTACCGGGTCTTCTCAATTTGTTCCTCGATTACCTGCAGGAGACTTCAACGTCATCTACCGACTTGCAATTGGCTTCAGATATTCTTGGTTTCGTTTTTAGGTCGGACAAAATCATGCGAGACATTATCGTGGAGAGTGCATTGTCTTTAACGCGAAAATCAGCCAACCTAGGCTTTCTTCAACAAAGCCACTATGAAACTGCCATTCAAACTCTGCTCAAAATTGGGACACGCCCCTCCAGAGTTTTATCTATGATTCTTTATCGGAATTTCCGGTGGCATCTGAGTTCGTGCAGACCAACTAAAACGCTCATTCACCAATTGTTGGAAATGCTCGCCGCAATGAAAACTCGTTACGGAGTTCAGTTTCTTCTTGATGAATTCGCACATTTCTTTAAGCAGCCATCGATAGGAGCGTACAATTTTGCGCTCCTCGCCTTTTCTCGATCAGGTGATGTAGCAAAGACACAAGAAACCTTCGACGAGATGGTAGAGCTATACGGAATTTCCACTAAGAACCCCAATGTTCCGCACAAGACACCGCGGACGCCGAGATGGGTTGGAGCGCTTATCCATGCTCACGCAAGATTGGGTGATTATCCGTCAGCGGAACAAGAGTTTCATAAAATTGCGCACGTCTATAAAGTACACCAAAGTCGACAGTGCTGGAATGCACTCATCTCAGCTCATGCCAACGCTCGTAATTCTTATGGGGCCTTCAGAGTTTGGAGGCGAATGAATCGCAAAGGTATGAAACCAGACTGGTACACCTATGGGACATTGATGGGTATGTGTGCTAGGTTGGGTGATATTGAGAATACGATAGAGTTGTGCCAGATGGCGGAAAAACGGCCAGGCAAGATGCCTGCAGCTTTGATGGATACGGTTGTCGAAGCCTATTGCCGCAACCAACGCTTTCAGGAAGCGGAACAGATGGCAGAAAGGTGTCTGGCTTTGTCTCTGGATGGTTCGCGCACCCGAATGTGGAACGTCTTGCTATGGTCTCACGCCTTTCGAGCAGATCTCGACTCTGTCTCTCGAATCCAGAATCGAATGAAGGAAGCAGGGATAGAGTTTGATGAAATGACTTATGCTGCTATGATGCTCTGCTTTGTGGTTATCGGACAACCAGATTCAGCTCGGCGTCTCCTTCGAGGCTTACAGCGCGGTCGACGTATCCAGGCTTCCGAATTTCATTATACGATAGTCCTTTATGGCTATGTTAAACAAGGGAATAGAGATATGATCTATCTCATCAATAAGGAAATGGAGCAGAGATTTAAAAATCCTAGCATGAGCGCTCGTATCTTGATGTTGAGGGCCACCCTCCAAAGAGATACCTTTGTACTACCTTCTCAGGCAGATGGTCTGGGAGACTCGGGATATCGTTTGGCATTAACCGAGGATCTTCTTTACAAGGCCGTGTTCGATTTTGATCGACGGCAATTCGCCAACAAATACCCTCGCCCAGGAACCAGCAGCTTACCGGTACATGAGGCCTTCCCTTCACTGCTCTACGAGCCAGTGCTGCAAGCTTATAGCACAGAAGGAATGCACCGCCGGACGCAACAGTTGCTCAAAGAGTATGCAAAGGATGTCGAATCTGCCATGGCTTCAGACAAACGCATTGTCGCGCCGTCTTTGCGCTTCTTGTCCGTGTTAATGGAAGTGTACTCACAGGCTGAAAATTTCGAAACGGTGCAAAAGTGCTGGGAACTAGCCTTGGAAAGAGCGGGAAGAATGCTGATAAGATCCCCTGTCTCGCCAGTTCTGACACCTAGACCGGGCGATGCGCCAATTCCTAGGGGCAATATCTCCCTGCCTGGGCTTCCGTCCCTGTCGATTTCTGACTCAGGGTCCCAATCAGCTTCTAATGACCGCAGAGATTCTCCAGATAAAGAGTCACACACCACAGAAGCTCCGACACCTGAATCTACCGACAAGCATGTCAGGACTCCACGTTACCCTTCAGAAGAATCTATTATTCCATCACAACGGTACATTCTGTCGCGACACTTTACCATATATATGGGAATGGTGGGAAAAGCTGGTCAAAGTTCGAAGTTGCCCGAATTGGTTGGCGACTATCAAAAACGTGGATTCCTCATGTCATCTCAAAATTGGCTCATGTATGTGCGGACTCTTGCCACGTCGAATAGCGCGCCTGATCAGCTCGAAGCTTTCTCTACTTTCGAGCGTATTTTCATGCCTCACTTTCCAGGTTGGCGTCTGCTGGCTCGAGGAACTCAATTGAGACCCCCAGGCGTTCCTAGCACAATTGATCTGATGGACAGACGCCCAATAGGCAAAGACACGGAACATCTTGGGAAGAAAGGTAGCCGATTGTGGACAAAATTAACTCCCACGTGGATGCATCCTACATACAATGTCATGATCTATCTTGCGGCGACATTGAAGGACTTCAGGGAGAGGAGTCTTACCGAAGGCAGAGAGCAATTAGACACTCTTTCTTCGGTAGCACCGCGGACCCTGGAAGCTATTGCGATGATGCCACATTTGCGCGAGAAATACCAAGGTGTCCTCCTGCGGAACCAAGTTGAGCAAGGCGATCTTAGCCCTTGGCAACGTCGAAAATATGTGTGGACTGGTGGAGTCCTTGGTGTAGGTGGGAAGAAACGTGCAGCAGAACTTGTTGAAGAAATCGACACGCTTTCCGAAGAATCTGAATTTGAATATGACTCGAGTGAGGTTGGTCAATCGAACCAATCACAGATTCTCGACATTGATGGAGGCGAGCCCGAGGAGCACATGGAAACTACAGAACCCACGATTTCACCCCAAGATGAGCACGACATTGAAGTGGAAACTCTCATTCAGTCCAGACGTCGTGAACTGCGCACTGATCCTCTTCGAGAAGAAGAGCTTTCGGACAGAGGGAGTTCATGATCTGAGATCAAACAGCAGCGACTCCTTGATATATGGTCAACTATCCGTTGTTCTATGAACAGTCCTTGACAATCGCCATCGCCAATGCTGTATATTACTGTGTAAATAAAAGCTAGAAATACTAGCGCTCATGTATATTGATTTTCTTTTTTTCATGCTGCGTACATCTCTTTTAGCGGTGTTTGTACAAGGCATTGCATAGATTTAGACAGTCCATGTATATCATACTAAATATCCACTATAAAGACCTGATCTCTGGCTTCCAGCTCTCTCACGAGAGAACATAGATTTGTCTATGGCGAACTCGCGATCTAATTGGTTGGATTCAACCGCGACTTTTACGCGTCTCACGCGTTTCAATTCTACCACTTTTGGAATAGCGCGGGAAGCGAGCCCTTTGACTTGGAGAAGGTCCTTTCCTCCAAAACACTCCATCCACACTTGCTTACTTGCAAAAATTGACCATCAGGCCTTTCATTTTTTGATTTCTCCATCTCTCATTACTGGAGACATACTGTTTGAACACATTCCGAATTCAAAGGACTAACTGCGGCTTCTCCTCGCCTAGAGGAAACAATTTTCCAACCATGGACGGATTCAGGTTGCCAGAGGATACTGCAGAGGATCGTGTGTTGGCGGTCACCGAGTTTTTAGATCCTAGTGAGTTTGAACAGACTTTTTCGCTCAGATGCAAAGTATTAGATTGCTAATCGTTCCTGACATCTTCTAGCTGATACTCGTGCTCGAAGGTGCGTTCCATTCGGCCTACATCTGACTTGAGGATATTGGGATATTGACAATATAAATGGATAGTTACCGTGCGGATATCGTGTTGATGCTCAATAGAGGTCTCCGGAGATTGATAGTGAGTGGATAGGCGCAGAAGATGACATTTGTTTTGACTCGAGCTGACCGATTGATTTTAGGTCAGCATCGATGAGGTACGATCGCATAATAGAGATCTTGCACAAGGGTACGCTCCCTACTTATTTAACATGAACGTCAATTACTAAACTCGCCAGTCTTCTTATGTCACCTTTCGAATACACGGAAGCATTCAACAAAGCCTTGAAGAATGTCATCAAGACTCTTCCCAACAGGCCAGCACGAGAGACAGCCGAGGATGTGGTTGGTATACCTTTGGAACTGGTTCTTGAACATATACTGAAATGCACAGATGTATTACTGTGCTTTTATCGGCGCTTTTGGTGAGAACGCTTGCAACCCCCGAACGCTCGGGTCCTCACACCTCAATCGCATGGTGTCGCTCGAAGGCATCGTCACAAAATGCTCGCTCGTTAGACCGAAAGTGATCCAGAGTGTGCACTACAGCGAGAGGAAGAATAAGTTCTTTGCGAGGAAATATAGAGATCAGACCATGACAGCCAGCGGCGCCACAAGTTTGAACGTATATCCTCAAGAAGACGACGAGAAAAACCCTGTAAGAAACCTCAAAGTGTCTTCCTCGACAATTTTTCTTATGCTAACATCTCTCAGCTCACTACAGAGTTCGGATACTGTACCTATATGGACCATCAAACGATCTCAATTCAAGAAATGCCGGAGAGAGCACCGGCTGGTCAATTACCTCGAGGTGTGGATGTCATCTTAGACGACGACCTGGTTGATCGCGCAAAGCCAGGTGATCGTATCCAACTAGTAGGAATCTTCCGCTCCTTAGGAAACAGAGGTGCAGGCTCGGGTTCTTCCACTTTCCGAACAGTCGTTCTCGCAAACAACATTATTCAGCTGTCATCAAAGTCTGGTGGTGGAATCGCACAGGCAACACTCACAGATACTGACATTCGCAATATCAATAAGTGGGCTAAGAGCAGGAAGACCAAGATTTTTGATATGTTGGCTCAATCGTTAGCCCCCTCTATCTACGGACATGAGTACATTAAGAAAGCTGTTTTACTCATGCTTTTGGGTGGTATTGAGAAAAATTTGGACAACGGCACCCATCTTCGTGGTGATATCAACGTTCTTATGGTCGGTGATCCATCAACGGCCAAATCACAGATGCTACGTTTTGTCCTGAACACAGCGCCACTAGCGATTGCCACGACCGGACGAGGTTCATCAGGTGTCGGTCTCACTGCAGCCGTAACAACCGACAAGGAAACCGGTGAGCGAAGACTGGAGGCTGGTGCTATGGTGCTTGGTGACCGTGGCGTTGTCTGTATCGACGAGTTCGATAAGATGAGTGATGTCGATCGTGTTGCCATCCACGAAGTGATGGAACAGCAAACTGTCACAATTGCCAAAGCAGGTATCCACACATCGTTGAACGCTAGGTGTAGTGTCATTGCTGCTGCCAATCCAATCTATGGCCAATATGATCCTCACAAGGACCCTCACAAGAACATCGCTCTTCCCGATTCGCTGTTATCTCGTTTTGATTTACTGTTCATTGTTACGGATGACCCAGAGGATAAGGGTGACAGACTCGTGTCAGAACACGTCCTGCGTCGCCACCGTTATCGCCAGCCAGGTTCCGAAGAAGGTGTTCCAGTTCGTGAAACAGCAACGCAGACTCTCGGTGTTGGAATAGAAGAGTCTCAAGATTCCAACCAACCGACGGAGCCCCTAGAGAAATACAATGTCATGCTACATGCCGGTATGGCAGCAACGAGTAAGAACGGCAATGTTGAGGTGTTCAGTCTACCTTTCATCAAGAAGTATATTCAATATGCAAAGTCTAGGATCAAGCCTGTCCTGACAAAGGGAGCTGCGGATCATATCGTTGCCACTTATTCGGCACTTCGCAATGACGACCTTACCGGCAATCAAAGGAAGACGTCTCCCATGACAGCTCGTACACTTGAAACATTGATCCGTCTATCCACTGCTCACGCTAAAGCTCGATTGTCAAACCGCGTGGAGGAGAAAGATGCAAAAGAGGCGGAAGCCATTTTGCGATTTGCTCTGTTCAAAGAAGTTGTAGAAGATGCAAGAAGAAAGCGACGTAAAGTGACTACAACCGACTCCGACGAAGAGTCTAATGAAGACTCGGACGAAGATAGCGAGGAAGAGTCAGAGTCCGTTGCAAGTCGGGCAAACCAACGGCCCGGCAGGCGATCAGGTCTCAGATCTACAGGAACAGTTGACGATTCATCTGCTCTTGAATCTGAAGCTCCTGCAAGCAGCCACCCAGAGAAGCCACAATCCAGTCGAGCTACCCGCGGGGAGACACAGACCGAATCTCAGATGTCTGTCGCATCATCTCTTCCCGCCTCACAACTTCTCCAGTCACAGACAGACTCTCAAGCTAGCTCGGTCGCGCCGATTCAACCGGCACGCTTGAACATTTTCCGCCAAACTCTTGGGCCTCTAATGTCTCAAGTATTTGTCAATGACGATAGTGCGGATTTGGAAGCTCTGATTGGCGCTGTGAATACATCCATTAGAGCAAACCAAAGCCTGGGTGAGCGTAACGTCTTCCAGAGGCATGAAGCTATCCAGGCTCTGAAGGTAATGAACGAAAGAAACGAATTAATGTAAGTCCATTCCTAGACAAGTCTCCATTGTCAATTTCAGACTTTGCTAATCATGTTCAACTTGCAGGTTCCTTGAGGAGGATGATACCGTCTACAGAATCTAGTTCTAGGATATTACTGGGATTGTTAAGTGTTATGATATCTTTGCGTAAACAGTGGTTGGCGATTGGGTTGATGGTGTTGGGTGTCTTAATATCCATTTTTACCCGTTGATGGGCTGTTTTCACGTTTATTGAATGTATTCATGAAACTAATTATCTACTACATCCTCCAAAATGCGAGCACCCCGTCTCATTTCACATTGTCATGATCCATTCACTGGACTCAATCTACAGAACAAGGCAACCAAAACAATTCAGCATGTCTCCCATCTCCACGTGAACGAAGCGAGAGCAGAGGGCTTGCAAATAACCCTTAAATGCTTTAGTATAAATATCCTAATAATTGATGTTGGCTGCTTAAAAGTAATGTTCCACTCAGAGTTCCATATGGAAAACTGTCATTCTCTACAGGCCCCCCGATCCTCTGAAGTTGTTGCACAGAAGAAATAACTGTTACGTTTGTTGCAAGAGGTATCACACCTGGACGAGCTCTTGCGAGGCATGTGTGCTTAACTGGACGTCTGTCTCCCGACAGACAACCATGATCTGAGTGCACCTCATGATCTAGCGGACACTCCTTCCTCAAGAGCTCGTTTACAAGGGTTACAAATTCCCCTTTTCACAACTATGATTCAGTACACCTCTTTGACACACCTTTGGTCGGCTAAAGGCCGCGGAACCCGGACAGCAGTTAAGCTCCGGTACGTTGTTATTGTCTCCCAACGACGTGAACGACCTGACTTGTAGATGTCGAGAATACGTAGCTACTAGAAGGTGTTGCCAACCTCGTCCCCATTCCAATATCGAAACAATTACTACCGAGTTCATCCAAAAAGCTATCCGTTCTGAATATCTTTTGGCCTACTCAGAAAGTCCTGCCTTTGAATGGAAACGCAAGTTTCGCTCAGCGTAGGTATCAATCGCTTTCTTGGCCAGATGAAGGTCAAGGTCGTGGTGAGGTGAGAACCACAAGCATACCCAAAATGTGGTAGATTTGGCCTTTAGCCCGATTTCCACAGAATTGGACTCGAAGTCCGTAGTATTTATTAGGGTTGGGAAGGCTTCCACCCACCACGAGTTCTCTGCCTTTCTCTTGTAGAAGGCATAAAGTCTTCAGATCGAAGCAATATTGACTGATATGAGACCTTGCAACGTTGCGAAGATGATTCTTGGTCGTCTTGTGGTCCTTTCATGCTGACATGTAGCGGAACGAAATGCTGCACGGCTCGCAATTGTAATCGCCGTCACCTATTTCCATCTTCCTGACACGACATATTTCAGCATATTTTTGGTATTTGTCTTTGCTTTCCAGCTTATTCAGCTCACCTTCCTACGTCTTCTTGGCACGGTATAGAGGCAGGGTCGTCGACATCGTGGGAGCTTTGTTTATGCTGGCCACATAGAGAAGTTGTATGTGGCTCTCCAAAGAGAGGATTGAAAAGATGATTGAAACAAAGATCGAGAAAGAGGACCTTAGAGATCTACCGTCCTTTCTGAAGCCGACAGGCTGTAAAGCGAAATCACAGGCATTATCACAAGCGAGTGTGTCGGGACGTCCATAGTAAGCATGCCTTTTAGGGTTTCGGTATGGCCTGCAGAACGGAGAGCATGCAGCCATGCATCGTCATCTTTCCGGTACTAAAAGGTCTTGAGGTAATCCCAGATTGTAGGTCTTTCTGTGGTGATGATTGTGCCGTGAAGGTAATAGTTTCGACATCGGTTGCAGTTTACTTCCCAGCCCTAACAAGCAATTCACATTAGTGTGACTCCATCGTATCGAGATGACCGTACTCACATAGTTTCACGACAGTGTCCTATAGAGGAGCTGTCATGTAAAGGACACTCTAAATGGTATCAACATGACTCTGATGAATAGAATCGATCAGTAACTAGTCTGTCTGTAAATCTTCGACGATCTGTCACGAAGGTTGTCAATGTGACATAACCGTTTAACATGACCATAAGGCTCTAGGTACACTTGATAGATACTTTCCAGGTCTGTCTTTTCCTTTGGCGGCGGAGATGGCCTCGATGAGTGCTGGGCGCTCCGTTTCTTGAATTTCAGCGTCTGCCATGATGAAAGCTAGGAAGAGAAGATGAGCATATACAGCTCATATAAGTCAAAAAATTGGATTTCCCATAACGGGGCCTGTTTTCTCAATGGGATGTGGATGTAACTTCCAAGTTGGAGAGGGAAATCCAGCTGTATTTATACCCGTCAAGTTTCAGCAAACGGCAGGTGCTACTCCCGATCTCGTAGTTTCCAAGTTGGGAAGGTAGCAGTTTCTGTCATGTGACATTTTGATCTTAGGGCTATATAGCTATCCCTGGATAGTAGTTTCATCTTGAACTGTATAAATATAGAAGCAAGGGCACTAATCACCAATGAATCACCCCTTTTAGAACAGCTTCGAGCTATATCAACTGGACCTGGACTGCCGTCTACTTGTTATAGCCCGGCTCCACTGTACTAGAGGCTTTTCTGGTACGAATGCTGCCTAGGTACGTCCAGATCGAATCTAATCGGGAGCACATACGTTTGATTACTACCTGTCAGGGATGTGAGCCCAGTTCTGGCCCTGTGGATCGGCTTCCTTAATAGGTATACTTGGTTTCCAACAATCCATCTGCCGCCTGAGTGAAGCAGCAGAACAGGCAGCTTGCATTTTCATAAAGGCGCTAAACCGACTCTAAAGCTGAAAACTAATCTAGAAGTGTGTATAAAACAGGTACCCGGAACGCGTGGTTAGCTTGAAAATTTTCAAAATCGATGCCGAAGTAATCCCCGTAACCACGTCATCAAATGATCCAATCTATCTCTCTCAGCAATTCCGTCAACAAAAACATCGTCAGACAAATTGTTGAAAAATTCTATATAAGTCCTCGGCAGTGGAATAACAGCAGCAGCATCCGAATGAACTGAAGCCGCCTCCTCTTGATCACTGTGTAGCATTCTTCGAAGATAATCTGTACCCTTAGGAAGTAACCGAGATAATATATCCCCATCGACATGCATGGAAGAAGGCTTTTTCACTTGAGGCTCGATATCGGCCCATGTCCAGCGTCGTTTTTGAGCAGATAATAACGGGGATATGGTTGGATCCATGCTGCATAGGTTTTGGATGAAGCGGAGGAGGCGCCATTCTTTTTCGGTCAAGATTGAGATTCGATAAATCGCGCCGTCCATCGTAGTACCGTATACAACTGATGAGGAGGAGGAAGGACTTCGGAGAGACGGGTCTCCAAAGGCATTAAGCCGGATGATTGAGAGAGGCAAATGAGCTTCAGCGACGGCAGGAGAAATAATTTTATCCATATCAGTAACACCGGATTCCGAAAAAGCGCTTATCGTGCCCCCTCTATGACTGACAAGAGTCAATTTATGGTCACCGCCCATGTACTGATGAGAGAGGCTTTCATGCCTCACTCCATCCTGAGCATATAGCTCTAATTTCTTATTCACGACTTGCAGTATCACAAGTGATTCTCTTGCCGTGCTCACATAAAGCAATGAACCCCGTACTGTGATAGAGACACCCGGTGAGGTCAACTTGAATCTCGCCGAGGCTGCCCATTGCTCTCCATCATTTGGTAATCGCGGCGCAATTGGGATAATGTCATTGCCCGCGGCCACCATAACGGTGGAGTCGCCATAGGCAGCAACAGCACGAACAGGGCCATCGAAACTGTGTATATACTTCAATGAGCAATCGATTTGTTCAGAGTTTGTTGGATTTCGTTTCGCGTTGAGGAAGACCACACGGCCTTTCTGCTCTTGCGTCTTTCGCGCAGTTCCAATCACAAGGAAATGGTATTTGTGTCCACCAGTTTCGGGGATCCAGTCAAGTATGCATGTTATTCGCTCACCGGACGATCCAACTGGCTTTTGAGATTGTGAGGAACCGAGGGATTCAAGGTTATGTTGATATGAGAGCAAGTGGGAATTAGATGTGTCAAAGGTCAGGAAATTCAAGTGAGGGCGCATGTATCGTTTGACAATGCTCGTGTCCGGGTCTGGTGCCGAGTCTTTTTCCAACTCGGTTGTGATGTATGCCACCACAAGACACTTCAGATGTGCCGAATATTCGATTCGATTGACAGTTCCAGGCAGTTCGATCATACGTGGCACAGCTTTGGCGCGACTGTCCAAGCTGCAAACAAGAAGTTGCTTGTCGCTGATACAAACCAAAGAACCCCCTAATGTGTTTGAAGAGGGCGACTGGGATGAGTTTACGATTGTAAAACCCTCTATGCTTTTCTGGGTATAGGTAGACTAGTTTCATTTCGTTAGCACATGTGCAGACTCGAGAAGATCAGTCGCTCACATTATTCTGATCAGTGATCCAGATCCGTTGGAGATCAAAGTCAGACGCATTTCCTATTCTGATATCTGAAATGCACCAGAAGCCCATTCCACATGTGACCAGTATCGAGCTTTCTTTTTTCAAGAGCCTAACAGCTGTCTGGCCGAATCTTGTTTCAATACACTGGTTGATACCTAGATACATGTCAGACAAACACCGTTAAGTAGCTCTGCCTTAGGCGCCTTACTCATTGTTTCGAAGACAACGTCAAGAGCAACAAGCAAACCACTCCGAAGACCACAGTAAATCACTGCTTTTCCCGTTTTGACCCAGTCAACCAAAGTAATGCTCTCTATAGCCTTTGATATATGTTCGTAAGGCAATACGAGCATATACTCTCCAACACGGACCATTTCATTCTGCTCGATTCTGTAATAAGCAATACGTCCATCGCTTGTGCCGACAAAGACATATGTAGCATCTTTCAGAGTCTCGGCCGTGATAGAAATGGGCTCATATCCAACATCAACCGTCGTTCCTGTGAAATCGATGTTAAGTGAGTCGTCATTCAGCATTACCTTGCCAACCTGAATAGTTATGCCTTGCTCAGATCTTAGAACAACGGCGACCAGCCCCGATTCTTCATTGACAGTGGCAACGAAAGCAGTTTGCTCTAATGGGAAATTTGACACACAATTCAAGTGGGATTTATTGAGCAGCATTGACCGTACGGTATTTGGAGTGACTTGCACCAGAACCCCAGTTAACGTGTGGCCTGCCGCTAAGGTATGCACCGAAAGGTCAAGGGCCAAATCCGAACCATCAACAGCATAAATATCCTCACCGTCGTCACCCTCATTCCGGGAAAGATGCATTAATACTGAAGACATTGGATCGGAAATCAAGAAATACGTCCCTTCCTGGGTCATATCTGGGATAACCCAGATTGACTGTGCCGCAGGAAAGTCTTCCAGAGAAATAATCATACCAATTTGAGCCTCGTTACCATGTCGAAACTCGTATACGGCACCGCTGTTGCTCGACGATGCTGAGCATACATATATCTTAAGATCGTTGTTCACGTTTTCCATGATATGTACTTCATTGCTTGCATCTCTTTGAACTGGTGGGACTATGACAGTGTCGAAAACGGGTGCCCAATTCACGAATCTCTGCACACATGTTGGATTCTGTCTTGCGATTTGAATGAACAAGCCGCCGTGTCCAGTATTACCTGCTGCGATAAGTAGATCACCACCATGATTAGGGTGGTTGAAGTCAATCGTATCAAAGGCGGCGTCCACGTCGCAATCCAACTGTCCGATTACATTGATAGTCCCGAGGTTGCCTTTGTTGTCTATCTCAACGTAGGTTAGACGCCCATCTTCTCTGCACAAGAAGACGTCGTCGTGGGATTTGTCGTATTTTGAATGTCTGTATGGACGAGCCCATTTCGCCCATATGGAAGGAGAATTTGAAATCAGGTCATAACAACGATGTTTCGAGATTTTGAGTTTGGAGCCCAGAGCGTTAGGAACGAAAACTATAAATGAAGGTGTCACGAGTAGAAAAGATGAGGACTTTGTGAGTGGAATGAGTAAATTTGGCAACCTACAAAAGTCAGGAAGCTGATGGATTACGGGTTTTGACCGTGCCTGCCGAATCCCTTTTTTGGTATCCCAAATGTATGACACTGCATGAGTATCAGGTCCTCGAGCCACTATGAGCTGAAGAATAATGGTGTCATTCTGCTCTTCGGAGGGATATAGAAAATCCATGAACAGGATGTGCCCTTCCAGCCGATAGAATCGCTCCTGTGTTGTCTTATGTGAGAAAAAGGGTAAGATAAACGAGACTCGAGAGCATACTTCAGCAATAGGGCTTAACGAGCCCTCCTTTAGTTGTAATCGAAGTTCTTCTTGTGGTTTGAGCATGAAGACACCGAAAAAGTCTGTAGGAGCTGCAACAGCCACTGCGCGAGACCTATATGTGAGATATGTTAGACTTTGTTGAAGCAAACCGTGCTGAGCATTGTTTACCTAGGATCAACAGCCAGGTGGCGGCCAAACCTCTCGGATATGCTCACATCTGACGGCAAAGCTCTGCGAAAGTGAACAAAGCGCATATCATTCTCAGGGGAGGTGTTATGACAGTAAAGGAACAGTAGCTCCCTTGAATCAAGTGTCAGAACCAGTATGTGACCTGGCAAGGTATCAGATTGTCTATTCTCTTGCAAGAAACCCCACTCGGAATCTAGCTTGATCTCCGATTTCACGCCAGAATCTTCATCAATATTGACTGTTTTTGCAGCGACTACATTGGCGTCAAAATCAGAATTGACCTTCACATCTTCTAGGTAGGTGTCCATGATGATTTCACGGACGAGCAACGACCTTTCATAGACGAAGACAACATCATTATGACGCCGGCTGCGCAGCCTAGCAGGCAGTGCAAATTTTATAATGGGGCTTGGTACTATTGTCTGAGAAAGCAACCCGATCCTTGGCTTTGAGGGATTCATGATATCAGACGCCTGCTGCCTCTGGGCATCGCTGCCCACCGACTCATGGAACCCTGTGGGATGAAGAGCAGTAGGGTTGCCATGGTTACTTGCCTGAAAGGCCATAGTGAGGTGACGTGTCCAACAAAGGCAGAATGACAAAGTATTCCTCGTAGATTATTCACAAGTCACGGAGACTGTGATCTTGGAGGGCTGAGATATTGCCATCAATTTGACGTTACATCAGCTACCCTCTCGAGGCTCAGTTTCAATAAATGAATAAACACACAGCAACTATTGAAATTGTCAGCTAAATTCAACAGAGGAGGACAATAATGAACGAAAAATGAAATGCTCACAAAGGTCCGACGAAAGAGTAGCTGTATATTGATCTGCCACTATTCCTGCACTCTATTTGATATTAAGTTTCTCCACCAGTCAAATTTATAGCATAGAAATGAAATTGTAGAAGGAGAAGTGTGTTGACTGTAGAAGGATGTTTGATGTTTCGACATGCCATCATAACTTTCACCAATCACATGCGATTTCTGCCTGAGGCAGAGACCACACCCCAAAACCAAAAACAGCAAAGCGGCTGTTTCAACCCTCTCACACCTACAACAGCTATCATTATCATCGACACTTATTTCTGGCAGAAGACTGGAGTTTATACATTCATCGAGTCACGATATTGACGTTCTCCGCTATAAATACTATATCCACCCGGCATATTGATACAGCAACCCGAAGCTATCAAAGCTCAATCAAGTAGACCTCAAAGTTGCTCCAGTGCAGTCAGGAGACGTACTGTTGGTCTCACTCGTCTGATTTAGTAGGAAGGTGCTGTCGCAGTATGAATGAACAAAAATCCGAGAAAATTCTGGATGGCAAGGCTTTAGTCGAGTCTATGTATGTCGATTCAAAGGAGACAACAGAAGAGTTTGAAATCAAACAGAAAGCCATTGAATCTGCATGCCAAAGACGGGATGTGAAAGCTTTGGTTGAATATGCCACCTCTTCAGGTGGACTACTGACAGATACCCTTCGTCAAACTGCATGTATGCTTTCGACCCTCTTTTGTTATAGACAGCCACTTATTTCTATGAGAACAGGGCCCATATTATTAGGCTATTATGGTGAAAAGGAAGTGCTCAAAGACCAGCCGGACTGGAAAGGCCTACCCCGACACGGAGATGAGGACCAGATCAAACTTGATGTTAACAGATCCTTTGTCTATTATCCGCAGTGTTAGCGAATCTTTCCTCGGCAGGCAAAATATGCATAGCTGACCTATGTTTCATAGGTAACGAAGAGGAATTGGAGAGAAGAAAACAGCAACTGTCAGATCTCATCACCGAGACTCTGCGACGATATCCAATGCTCTGTTATTTTCAGGGCTACCATGATATTGCACAGGTGCTGCTATTGGTCTTGGGTGCTCAGCTTGCACGCCCTGCTTTTTCAAGAGTATCTTTCTTGCGTATACGAGATTATATGCTTCCGTCGTTGTCTCCGGCGTTGAAACACCTTCATCTCATCCCTGCCATATTAGAAGTAACAGATACGAGGGTACGCAAGCATTTAGCGGGCACTCAACCCTACTTCGCCCTAGCAGCGGCACTAACGCTATATGCACATGATATTGAGGAGTATCGAGATATTGTACGACTGTATGACTTTTTACTTGCTCATGAGCCGGTTGTCGCAATCTACTTGTTTGCAGCCATCATTCTCAGGCGAAAAGATGAACTTCTGGAGATACCAATCGACGAGCCGGAAATGCTACACTTTACGCTATCCAAGATGCCACAGCCTCTCCACCTAGAGAATCTAATATCTTCTGCACTGGAACTGTACCAGAGACACCCTCCTGAGTCCTTACCGTTTCGCGTTTGGCGGCGACTTCCGCGACACAGCGTTCTCAAAACATCTCGGACGGTTGGGGAGAGAGCTTCTCTCCAAGAAGCTGAGGATCACTTTGTCGCACAAACGAAAGAGCTGCGACGAGAGGAATTCCGGAAACAGACATATGCACTTTTATGGCGATACCGGAGACCTGCGGGTGGCATTTGTGTTGCGATTTTGATCGGTCTGGCATCGATATATGTTCGCAGAACAGGGTTAGAAGGACAAATATGGTCCTATATTGGCAGGCTCAAGCATCATCTCTCTCGTTGAACGTTCAATGCGATTCTTGAGTCCACGCTTATTTGCTGTGAACCATCATTGATGGGTGTATTTATATAGTTTAGAAAGGAGTGATGAAACGGCTAAGATAAAAGCCTAACAGTATCATTCGATTTAACAAAAATATCTTAAATGTTGATATCTTGTTTACATATCATCTGATTTGTAGGGAAAGCTGTTATGCACCCGGCCCGCCAGAGAAACCAAGTGTACACTTCGGCGACCACTCAGAAGCTCCGCTCCCACGCATTCATGCTCATGCAACAACTTCAACTACCTCCCAACACTGTCGTTTTCGTCTCAGATCGTCACTCTTTGTAACATCTTTGAGGCACTACTCCGAATACTGTCATAGAAAGCGCAGAGACTCTGTTTAATCTTGCAAATGGCCAATCAAGGCTACGACGTCGTGGTGGACGTTGATGCGGAGGTACGAATCACTTTCCCTCTCAAGGAATATAGCATGATTGCCAGCCGAAATGTTACTCGGACAGGAGTTAGATGAGGGATATTAATCTTTTGACTAGGGCGATCTCGGTCACACCGATCTCCAAGAAGATCTTGAATTCCACCCATCGAGTACATGGCAATTACTCCCCCATCAATAAATGACACAGTTTTCTAACCACGCGAACCAACAGATTTCGAAAATGACCCACGCAGCGCCAAAATCCAGGCCGACTCACAACCCTTCCTAGGCAACGATGGTGGCCCATCTAGAGGCGGTAACGGAGGAAGCGGAGGAGGTATTTCATCAGGCGGCGGAAAGCGTCATCTCTGGACAATCCAATACTACAGCCAGTTCTTCGATGTGGACACAAACGAAGTCGCTCGCCGTTGCGTCGCTGCCGTATATCCACGCTCAAACTTTCTGGATGTTCTGGATGGTAATCCGGATCTGTACGGACCATTCTGGATCGCCACGACGGTTGTGATTATCCTTTTCTTAACGGGGACCATATCGCAATACTTGGCACATGAGCACGATGAACACTTTGAATACGATTTCCGACTACTTTCCGGCGCCGCAGGACTCATATATGGGTATACGGGAGTCATTCCCATCGCGCTCTGGGGCGCGTTACGCTGGTTCGGCAGTTCGAGCGCCGACCTTATTGAATGCTGGGCTCTTTACGGGTATGCGAATCTGTTATGGATCGCTGTTGCATTGGCCAGCTGGAGTCCCCTAACGGCATTGAATTGGGCTCTAGTTGGTGTCGGATTTGCATGGACGGTGTTCTTCCTCCTCCGCAATCTGTATCCGGTGCTCAGTGCAACGGATGCTAAGACGAGCAAGATTCTACTTATTTTGGTTGTTGTCTTGCATGCAGGTTTGGCTATCGCTATCAAAGTTTTGTTCTTTGCGTAAGTTATCCTTCGTTGTTATGCAGTTCGTTCAGGACCACTTGCTGACAAGTTTCTTTTCTGTAGTCATGGCAGCCCTGTCTCAAAGAAGAACCACCACGATGACGATGACCACAAGGATAAGGATAAGGGCCATGATGACAGGAGACGTGTGCTTTTCTAAAGCTGAAGCGAACGACTATCAATACAGAGGGGAGGTGAACAGAGACTTCAGGATTTATATGACGTGATTCGTATTGTTATCTAGGACTGCTTCTAGCGTGTTGGTTGACTTTCATGTACAATATTCACCAATGATGTTGGCCCAATTTTTACGCATATCTACACAGAATGGATACAATCAGAGGGCATGAACCTCAACACCACCAGCTTCATACGTAACGACAGTGGACTCCATTCATTCGATATTATTATCATCATGAGCCACGCCTCTCCATTCCCATACTACTCATATTCAGACTATGATAGCCATTTCCCTCCAACAAAGTAGAAACTGGTTTAAGAAAGTATATGTTCTTGCATAATTTCTTCTCATTTCACTTTAATTTTTCGCTTTGTATTTTGTATTTGTAGAATATCGTATAATCCCACATTGAACCCCCGGTGAAATTATGGAAAAGACGCCAGCAAGAACGACGCAGAAAATACAAGCGTTTGTCTGATTTGTCTGATTTGGAGGAATGACGAAGGGATAGGGAGAGAGAGGAAAAAGAGAATTTGGGGCGAGTTGTTTATTTGAGCTTCTTCTTGGGGCGGAGCTGGTTGGAGTGACCGCACTTCCTCTTGCGGCAGTTGGTGGCACGGGGGGGAAGACGAGCCTGTAGAGAAGAATGAATATGAGTATGGTTTTGCGCGATTGTTGTATAGTTCGGGAATTGATGACAACGTACATAGCACTTGCGGCAGATGGACTTCTCGCAGTTGTACTTTGAGGCAAGGGCCTTCAAGGAGGGCTCAATGATACCACCACGGAGACGGAGGACAAGGTGAAGAGTGGACTCCTGTGAAGCAAATCATCCGTCAACATATATTCTTATCATCTCGCTTCCAATACCATTCTTGCCGAAATATAACATATCGATTCCTCCACAACGGATTTCAAGAAGTACCTTCTGGATGTTGTAATCGCTGAGAGTGCGGCCATCTTCAAGCTGCTTTCCGGCAAAGATCAAACGTTGCTGGTCGGGGGGAATGCCCTCCTTGTCCTGGATCTTGGACTTGACATTGTCGATGGTGTCCGAGGATTCGACCTCGAGGGTAATGGTCTTACCCGTGAGAGTCTTGACGAAACTATTTCAACCTGTCAGTCCACCAGTACATAGCTTCTTTCGTTCTCTCATTGTTTCAATGCGTATGCGATCGTGATAAGAGTCTTTCGTCGAGTGGTGATGAAGTCGGATTGGGAGGATGGATAAGAACCTACATCTGCACTGTAAATTGCAGAAAGTAAATCGTTAGCAATCATGTTCAACTAATTTCGTCATTCCATCTGGAACAGGAATATACATACTGGTTGCGATATTCGTCGATGTCGTTGCGTTCCTTGTCGTCGATCGAATAGACGTCCGTCAGAGCAAGAGTCGCTCAGTTGAAGACGTTCAAACTTCCCGGGCTAAGCGAGGTGTGGGCCGATGACGAATTGGGACATAGGGTTCGATTGCCCTAACCACAAATCCGTATTGGGACTAGTACAGGTGTACTTAGCGCCTGAGGCTTGTAAGGCTCCGTCCGATTATGATTGGTCTAGATCTACATAACAACTTAAGCTTCATCTTGGGACTTCCTTTACATTTATCTCATTCATGGTTCCAGACATCTTCACCGTGTTCTTCCGCGCGTCTCAAGTCATATTGGAAATTCTCCAGTTTGCCTTCTATGCGGTTCACTGCAAGAACTAGTGTCTTCAGTGACAGCCCGGCTAGATCTGCTGCTGCTTGATAGAACTTGCGAGCCGTTTTGGGCAAGTCCGATTCCGTTCTGTAGATTCTGTATGAGTAGCCAGGACGAGGGGTCTTTTCTTCTTCATTTTCTGAGCTTTGATCGATGTCTGTTTCTTTAGTTTCTTGTGCTCTGTCATCGGGAATGATTTTCGATAAGCGAATGCTAGCAGTCATCTCACGGACTTTCTTGTCAATCGCTTCTTCTACTTCAGCGCCGGTCTTGAGGTCAGGACGATTGTCAGTTTCGCTGGGTTTGAGTGGAAATAGGTCTGCAAGTGGATGAGGTGCTTTACTGAATGTCAATAACCGAGTTGCAGGGAAGTTGTAAACAGCATCACGACTGACCTTTTTTCTGGTCAAGCCAGGTATTTTGATACCAATCCAAGTAATCATCTAGTTGATTCTCTGTCATGTGAAACACGTTCCCTTCATTGACATTAATTTCGTCTCCCTTTGCTAGCCGCCCTGGAACTTTGTCCAAGCTTTCGAACTTCTTCTGCGCCGCTGCCCACAAATTCCAGTCAATAAGCTGCGCGGCTGGCTCTGTAAGTACGGTTGGAAAGCCTTTGGTTTTGCTGAAAGGGAATATTAATTTCGTGGCAACGATGATGAGACCTAGCAATTGAGCCTCGGGGTAATTTTCTGCCTTGAGTGTCCATTTCTTCCCTGACGAGAATGTGAAGCGGAACTGAAGGAGTTGTTGCAGTCTTCTGACGACAGTGTAGACTTCCACTATGACACTGTTAGCACAAATGAAAACTAGAAATAGAGGACTATGAATTTTTACAAGGCAAAGCTAGCTTGCGAATGAATTGAAATAGCATAAGTGGCATGTTTAACGGCGGGAATACGATGTTGTATTCACGCTTATACATAGCCACCATTAGATTCACTGTCTCGTGGATGTCGTCACTCTCTGGCATTACCTATGCGACTGTTAGCTGAGAATACAACAACAGAGTCAAGGACTATAACTTACCTGTACGCTGAGGCCTCTCGTGTGTTGCGGCGACAGACGATCTCTCATCTCCTGCGGAACAGACTTGAGAGCTCTGATGAATGGTATTTCATTTCGAACAGCATATCTAGATAGAGTCAATAAAGATCAGAATTAAGGCCGGTAATTGATCTTACTTGTATATATCGCCAATGCTTACTGGCAGACGAAGAAGCAAACAAGCTAGATAGAGAAGTCCCAGTGTCTCCCTCAAAAGGGGACTGTCAGTAGACTTTCGAGCACTTATGTGAGTGGCATCTTTCTTCTCGATACTTGCAGCTGGAGTTTGTGAGCTGAAAACTCCGCCGTCCGAGCCATCATCTCCACGAGGCTCGTCAAGTGAGAGGTCAAATCTGTCTGTCAAATTTTCCAGTCGCAGGGCCCAGAGATCCTTCACTAGCTTCTGAAAATGAATGAATCAGTAATGATATAACTTAGCAGGTTAATGGGGTAATGAGATACTTCTATATCAGCAGGAAACCCCTTTTGAGTTATGAGCGCCTGACATTGCTTCCATAGAATGAGCTGATATGCAAAGATAAAAAGACGATACCCTTGTCGTCCAGTATACGCTGTATCGTTATCAGTAACTCTGCTTCGAATCACGTGTGTCTGGGAATCACTCACTCTTTTGAATTTTCTCTACAGCCGCCTTTTTTATGCGGTGAACCGTTCCTCGCTTGTTGTAATCATCAGGATCTTCTTCGACTTGACGACCCTATTGACCGATTTAGCGAAATTTTCACATTAACGCGCTCTCTTTTCTTGAGACCGAAATGCATACCTCTTGCTGATGGCCACGCCTACAGAACCAAATACCGTTATCCAGATAGTAACGAGTTTCTCGACATCCGTCTTGGCCGCACGGCCCGCGCTTGATATATTCCATGTTGACGCAGAGCTGTCATGTCGAATGCTTAATGAGCAAGCGCGGCTGATTGCAGTAGCTATCCTGCATAGCTCAGCGAATTAGTTTGCGCATGATTGAAGTTATTGTTGATGAAAAGAACTGACTGCGGGTATCCACCTTGAAATGGCAGAACCGGGTAGGCGAATCACAACGCCGCGCAATTAGGAGCGCCCTACGACTACAAAGCATCTACTCTGAAAGTAATTTACGGCATGGATATAGATCATGGTATATCATCTGACTTTTCTTATTTCTTGTTCGTCAATCTCGCATCGAGAGGCGGATGAGAGAAACAATCAACTATTATCCTGTTAAAAAGGCACATCTGTTCATGGTCGTCGTAAGAGCGAATCAATGCAAGCTCCATCCAATCCACCAAGAAGACGTCTTGCTCGACTTATAAGAGATGGAAAGAACGAACAAGCCGGAAAAAAGCAGTAGACAAATATAAAGCTTTTCCGGCGTCAGTGGCGAGAGATGAAATTGCCAATAAACATCGTGAAGGCATAAAGATTTTTGACATGAAAAAAGGACACTAGCTAAAGGGAAAGAAGACTCAAAGGAACAGCTTAACCGCTCTTGGGACCTTCCTTGGCTTCAACGGCAACCTCTTCACCCATAGCAGACATAACGACAACGTTGACATCCTTGCCCTCCTCGGTGAAGAGCTTGTCAATCCTCTCGCCAATCTCACCGTCAGGCTTCTTGACATCGTCCTTGGTGTTGCCAGCCTCGTCCATCAAGGAAAGGAAACCGTCGTCGGTAACGTCGAGCTGAGGGAACATCTGGTTAGTTTTGTTGTTCTGTCGTGAGATTACTAGAGCTATATGGCACTTACAAGCTGGAATTCCTTACGGGTGACGTTGGGAACGTCCATGTTGTGGGTGGAGGGAGACAAATCTTCGAGCTTCTTTCCAGTGAAGATGTCAAGAGCAACCAAGTGGACCTTGGCGTGACCGTGCTTGCCAGTCTTGGATGTAGACATGTCGACGATCTTGCAGGGACGACCCTTGATCACAACGTAACCGTTCTTACGCAGAGCAGAGCACTGCATAGGGTAGGTAGCGGAGGCACCGGCATCGGCGCTGTCGAAGGTGTGCTCATGCTATTGAGAAGACCGCACATGTTAGCACACGGCCCGAGATAAGTTGTGATGGAAGAGATTGTGTATCACAGGGCAGAAGAGGGGGAAGGCAAGATCGAGGCGGGGCTCTCAGATCGCAAAGCCGGCGCGGGGCAATCATGAACATACCTGGGAGTCGTCGGCCATGGTGACAGATGAGATATGAAGAATTCGTTTGATGGAAGAGAAGAGGAAGAGAAGAGGAAGTGAGAGATGAAGAGGAGGAAGGCCGCGGTTTAAGGGAGTGAAAGGAGGAGAAAGGGAAAAAAAGAAGCGATGGGGGTGGGACGGGAAGCAAATTTGGGCAACCGAGACCAGAAACTGTTTTCTTCGTTTTTTCTGCGCGCTAGACCGCTTTGGGCGTGTGCTGTGGCGGGGATTTCTGTTGTATACACCAGCTTCACCAATCCGCTCGATTGTATTTGAAGGAACCGCAACTCGGCCAATTGTTTCTCACTGCCCTTAATAATATGTCTATCAACTCGTCTTTTGTTAATACAGCTGGACATGTCGAGAGTGGCGAGGTGTCTCGGCCTGCAGTGGTGCAGCCCTGATATACAAGCTGCTGCTCAGCCATACGAGCAACAATGCCAGCGAAATGCTCGCTACAACTTCTTTGCTTTGACCTACAACTAATAGGTCCATCGGCGCTTTTAGTGACTTCAGTAAACAGCTCATCTCATCTTTATATTCAACTCCGTGTCTCTTGAAGGATATCATGAGGATACTCGCGTATCATCTGGCTGCAAAATATTCTGTAATCAGCACCTATTTGGACCCCTTGATAAAATATTGAGCTCTCATATAATGAGCTCTCATGGAGACTAGTGTACTGGCAGATCTAAGTAAAAAACAGAAGAGAGGTAGTCGTCTGTATATTGTCAGGCAACAAGGCAACAATCCATAAAAGGAATAGTGGATTATCCCGTCAACATTAATCTGGAGATAGCTGAGCTACGTATCAATATGCTTCCACATCGATTTTATGTCTTAACATAGGTCCATTGCCAATCCCCTCGATAATTATACGACCTTTCGATGACTTCGTAATATTGATCAAATTGTCATACGCGCATCGCGTGGCCTTTAAGGATGTGGCTTGATCGCCTCTCCGGCCATTCTACACCGTCAGGGACACTCCACCTTTTCCCAATCGACACCTTCCCCAAACCACAGACCATCACGGACTTCCTCTCAGAGCTATCGACGAATTTACACCCGCGCTCTTCGTCGACATCCCTACTACTTACGCCTAATGACTCTACCACCTCCTTACCAAGCACTGCTCGACATATCTCCAATGGAGCTCCACAAAGGTCGGTGTTCGTACGCACACCTCCCGGAGAGGTTGTCAATCCGCTGGATGTCTTGAATAGTATTATTGGGAAGAAAGCGGCAGATAACATATCGGGAGTCACACCTTCGAAACCAGCTGAGTTGGTGGAAACCATCGATTTTGGAGATTTGAGTTTAGAAGAGTTCATGACCCGCGGGCGGGAATCAGGTGGTCTTCTGAGCAGCGAAGCTGGCGTAGGGACGATTGAACAATGTTAGTAGCGTTCGGTTGTGTTAGGGACCATAACTGACTAGAAATCACAGTTGCAGGAGATCGGGACAAGTTTCAGGAGCTTCACAATGCTATTACGGTGAGTAATGGCAATGTTCGATGCACATGGATAAAACATGCTGATGGTTCTAGGATTGTGATGAGGTACTGAAATCCGTGGAATCCTATCTTTCCGATTTTCAGACCGAACTCGGCATTGTCTCCGCCGAGATTGAAACCCTTCAGACCCGATCAGTCCAACTGAACGCTAAGCTAGAAAACCGAAGAAATGTCGAACGGTTGCTTGGCCCAGCAGTCGAGGATATCAGCATATCTCCAAACACAATTCGCACGATAACGGATGGGTTGATAGATGAAAACTGGGTCAAAGCGCTTAATGAGATTGAGACTCGTAGTGCAAGCATTGAAAAATCAAGTGTCTCGTCCCTGAAAGCTGTGGACGATGTTAAGCCACTATTAGTTGACCTAAAGAACAAGGTAGTTTTGATCCTCGAGCTGCATGATTAAGTATTGACAGAGATACAGGCAACAATCCGTATCCGTGATTATCTGGTCTCTCAGATCAAAGCCATGCGTTCACCGAATATGAACGCTCAGTATATACAGCAACACCATTTGGTCAAATATAAAGACCTCTATTCTTTCTTGACCAGGACACATCCGACACTCTCAGAGGAAATCACCCAGGCATATGTCAATACCATGAGATGGTACTATTTGTCAAACTTTACTCGTTATAGTCAAGCTTTAGAAAAGCTAAAGCTTCACGCATCCGATGCAAATAATGTGCTAGGTAGCGACCCATCGGCGCAGAGAGGAACAGGAACAGGTCCAGGGGGCAGAGGCATCTCGCATGATCCTTTCACTATTGGAAGACGGATTGATGTCCTCAAAACCAATAATCCTATAGCCATCAGCTCATACATCGCTGAAGAGGATAAATCGGTACACGGTTTTGAGGTGCCGTTTCGACATTTTAACCTTGCTCTAGTCGACAATGTGTCGGCCGAATATTCGTTCTTAACGGAAATGTTTTCAGTCAGATCGTACCAACAGATATCACGAAAGGCAGCTGAAATTTTCGATCCTGTCTTTGCCCTCGGGCAGAACGTGACCAAACAACTCATTGAGAACACTACTGATTGCCTCGGTGTTCTTCTTTGTGTCCGACTCAACCAAAGGGCAGCATTTGAACTCCAACGACGGAAGGTGCCTGTTGCAGAATCCTATATCAATGGAATCAATATGCAGCTTTGGCCACGATTCCAAAAAATCATGGATTTGCATTGTGACTCTCTGAAACGCCTTGCTTCGGGCGCCGCCAGAAGCTCCGTAGGGGCCTTGTCTCTAACAACAGAAGATGCAAAGCAGTCGTCAGCTCCACATTACTTAACCCAACGCTTTGGTCAGCTTCTGTATGGCATTTTATCATTGAGCAACGAAGGCGGTGATGACGAACCGGTCTCGATCAGTCTTAGTCGGTTACGAGGCGAATTTGACGCATTGTTAACGAAACTCAGTCGAGGATCGGGTGATCCAAAGCGACGAGAACGCTTCTTGTACAATAATTACTCTTTGATTTTGACTATAATAAGCGTTCGTCATGTGCCCTATTCTTTGAGAATGATTTGCTAAATGACTTTTAGGACACAGATGGTAAATTGGCAGAAGAACAGAAGGAGGTAAGTTTAATCTTGGACTGAAAGGAGGCAAAGAAGTATCGGAACTGACTTTCGATTCAGCACTTTACGAAACAACTTAAGAATGCGTCGAAACGCGGCTGATTCTTCTGCAATGGGATTGACACATACATAGATCAAACTGAATGAGCGTCGGATATACCAATATTGAATATAGCATGAGATACCATTACTTCAATTAAGTCTAGACTTCCCATTATCAAGATTGCTTCTCAATGGGGGCATGTAGTAGACGTACAGCTAACATGAATGCCCAGAGCACACGTAGGCCACCTTTGTTAGCTATAGTTACGCTAAACTCCTTGGGAAGATAGAGAAGGTATAAAGTTAAAGTAACCGTTCAGTTGCCATCGACTAGGGAGAAGCATCAGTTTTTAGGATGATGTCTTCAACAACAATAACTATCTTATCGATAACAGCGATAAGCCCTGATAAGACACGGATAAGTCTCCGACGCCTTGAAGAGACATCTTGACCAAACAACAACTGTATATATATTTGACATGTCCGACTTAATCCACCGTTATCTAGACAGCCTCAATCAATTTTTACTTATTATTGATACAACTCAATCATTTGTAGCGCTCTAGCGCACGGAATACCAAACCAATGGCCCTGACCTCTCCCCGCAGACAACTCTGCCGTCATCTCCAACTTCTCCAATGCCGACGTCAACAATCCCACGACTTCTCGACCAGTCGAGAGCACAATGCGGATTTTACTCATGCGGTTTGTCCTACTCATATCTCTACATGATACTGTTCTATACTGACGTGGGAAAATTGATCAGGTAGTTGGCGGAGGAGTTGTGGGTCTGGCGATTGCCCGTCAACTCGCCGCACGACAAGGCGCGAGCACGATCCTACTTGAAAAACATGATGCCGTGGGTACGGAGACAAGTAGTCGCAATTCAGAGGTATACCTCATCTCTTCGCACAAACGAATTGGATACGAGAATCCTTACGAAAGACTAGGTCATCCATGCAGGCATATACTACCCCTCCAACTCCCTAAAAACTCGACTATGTATCGGCGGTAAAAACAAATTATACGCCTACTGCGCCGAAAAACAAATTCCGCACCGAAATACAAAGAAATGGATCGTTGCACAAACGGATAGTGAATGGGAAGCATGTCTGAATCTGCACGAGCATGCAAAACAAATCGGCGTTCCGACGAGGTTTGTCACTCAAGAGGAAGCAGCGCGTAGAGAACCTGATGTACGCGCTGAAGCGGGGATAGTCGAGTCTCCGACGACGGGAATAGTAGATGTTCATTCCTTGATGGCCTGTCTTCAAGGTGACTTTGAGAATGCGGGAGGTGATATTGCCTTCCAGACGGAGGTCACACGTATTGAGTCGATTGAGAATGGGAGGGGAGGATATGAGATTTTTGCATCGTCACCTGGACAAGACGAAGAGTCTTCTATAACAACAGAGACAGTCATTAACGCCGCCGGGCTCTATGCATGCCATATAAACAATATGATCCTCCCATCCTCTCGACACAGACAACCTTTCTACGCCAAGGGGACATATTTCTCCTATGGCGTTTCCCATCCGAAGCCATCAACCTTAATATATCCGGCCCCGGTACCAGGTCACGGCGGTCTAGGAACCCATCTGACCTTAGACATGGGCAACAGAATCCGTTTCGGTCCAGATGTAGAATGGACCACCAACCCAACAGACTACAAACCGTCACCGGCACGCTTGCAACAAGCCCTCCCCGAAATCAAACGGTATCTGCCTTCCATTGATGTCAACGCCATTGAGATTGATTATTGCGGCATTCGACCGAAACTAGGTCACGGAAGTGCGAATACCGCTGGAAAGGGGTTTCAGGATTTTGTGATTCAGAGAGAAGATGGGTTTAAAGGGTTTGTGAATTTATTGGGGATTGAGAGTCCTGGTTTGACTAGTTCGTTGGCTATTGGGGAAATGGTTGAAGGATTACTGTATCGATGATTTCACGGTTTGGGGTGGAAGTCATGTAAAGTGCAGGTATACTTAGGATTGTACATCATTGGGTTATTCGTAGCTAGATTACTGTCGTAGAGCCATATATACAGACATAGACATATACTACATATTTCAATTCTCGTAGTTCAGGCGATGGAGTTGGTACTCACCATTGCATCTCACCGACATCTGATCTCGACGCTGCAGCAGGCGTTAGGCTTCGACGCACGAAGCTGTGAAAACCTTGCCCCGGCTTGCCGCAGCATGGTCACACTATATCAGTTGGGAATACAGTTACTTGGAGACGCAGAAATCACGTTTCCACCAGTTTGGCCCACCCATGCTTTGATAGAATTGTGTCATGAACTCATAATCATCAATCATGCACAACACTCAATCGACGTCCATCAAAACATCACTCATAATATGAAGCACATAACTAAACCTGCGTACGCTCCATTTCCCCGTATCCTTGAGCAGACCGCCATAATCCAACAATATCCGTCGCGCCGATTGATAACCGCCCTGATGCGGAACACCGCGGACATAGATCGTACCACCATGACGGATGAAATTTATCGATTGGTCGTCAATTGTTCTCGAGCCTGGGTTGCTGCTTTGTGGCTCCATAAAGCCTGCGAATCCCTCCGTGCCGACCTGTTGCCAGTCAATGTCTTCTAATAGTTCGATTGAGGTGGCGCCTGCTTGTGTTTCTGCAGAACGTGGCACCATGTAGATGTACAATCCTAGTATGAGGGCAGCTGAGAACAAGGCGTGCACAGACTGAAACATGGTATCGTCAGATGCCTTACGGTTAGATATTTCTTTGAATATTTGTGCTGCGTGTAGACATGCGCGACGAGCAGCTGGCGTTTGTGTCCAGGCTGCAATGTCGTCGAGTGCCTTTCGAGCGGGAGCTGCCCCATTACGGCCAGCGGCTAGATCGAAGATTTGAATATCAGCTGTTAGATACATGCACATGTGATGCCACATGACGATACAGTTCGGGTTCATGTGTGAGAGCGATTCGTGGTATGTGTTCATCAGTTGCACTTGTAACGATGTCAAGCATCGCGCTCGACTATCCATGGCATAGCTGTGGCATGGGGCGAATGGGTAGCTGGGTCGCTTGAAGAGAATGCGATGATATGCCTCCGATAAGCGTAATTGAAGCATTGCTAGTACTCCGTGCATACAAAATTCGTCAACTGGTACGTCGAGGGCAGGTAACGCTGTTGTTTCAGATGGTGATTTGACCATGGAAGTAATGATTCGTTTGCCGCCACGAATATGTTGCATCCAGCGAGACGAACAGTTGGCCTCGAACAGTGATTCATGGCATGGAAGCACAATCTGAACTGAATCTGGCACTATGATCGGACTTGTTGAGAGGAACGAGGAAAACCACGAGTCAAGCAGTAAAAGTCCGACAATAAGACTACTCTAGTTAGATAGAGTCGATAATGATAAAGATATGAGCGGCTACCGTTTCGTTGACTCAACCCTGCTCCACGCTTTCCATCTCATTTCAAGATCTGGCACTGCCTCGAAAAGTGACATGTCTAGCGACTGACCCTCACCGGCAGTGAAAAGTCCATGACGTTGTGCAATCTGTATCTGTCAGTAATGCTAGCCAAACACATTCTTTATGTGTTTCCATACCGATATAAGATTGATATAAAGCATCTGGGATTGTTGTAGGTGCGATTTCTCCTATATAGTATCGAGTAAGTTTCACAATCCAAAGGATCAACTGCAAGACTTACGCCAGTCATAGCGGCCAAATTAAGCATAAGCAAAGCCGCTGCAAACGTAGAAATAACACCAGTTGACGTCTCGTTCCCGATGGCGCATTTAGCTAACTCCAAGCTTATCCTTTCCAACGAGCAGGCAAAAGTCTTCGAAACGAAACTAGTTGTACCCTTGGTTCCTAGCATGATCATGCCAATCTGACACATAACGAAAAGCAGGGGTAATTTGGTCTTTTTCGCACAAAAAGTCGGCACATGGACAAACGGTACTAAAGGATGAAAATGTCGAAAATATAGATCAAGTGCCATATCCAGGATTTCGGCCGGTGGGAAACTTGGTATTGATCCCGAACCTGTGGTTGACGCGGTGGGAGACAAAGCGGCATCATTGGGAATTACAGAATCGACACTCGAAAGGGGTGCAGGTGACAACCCAAAGGCATGTTGAAGCTGCAATCGGCATTCTTCGTCTAGACCAAACCTGCTTCCGGGATAGTTGCCGGTTGACGGGCTCATGGACTGCCAAGGTGGGATTGAAAAGAGATTATCAGAGTCGTAACATGAAGCATCATGCCAAAGGGAGTTGATCAAACGCCCCACCAAATTGGTAGGCGCCACCCAACTACGTTCAACTCGTGCAAAACGCTCGTTCGGGATATCGTCGACGGCCTTGTTAGGTTCCATTGAGCGACTAGTGCGCCGTCCGGACGACATGAAATTCTCGCCCATTAGATTCATATTCCGCATGAAATCAATGGAAGAGCTATGATGAGAGACACTATCTGCTCGTGGTTCCAACCACAGTTGCAGCATTTCACTAGGCATCGCATCGAACGTAATAGGGCGCTGGGCTTGCTGTTGCTGCTCCACGGAATCAAGGGCAGAGATATCACCCCAGCCAAAGTAAGATTGTTGCTGTTCGTCCATCATCATTGCATTTATCTCAGGTTCCGTACGCGATTGGTGTGCAGAGATATCCGCGAGAAAATCTAGGTTAGACGAGAGTCCCCCCGGAGGCGTAATCTGGACGTCCCGCGGCGTCGGTGGGAAGACGGGAACATGGGCTCGATTATTAGCTGTCCCAGAGTCTGGAGCATTCACAAAATGATGTTGTGCGTCATTGTCCTGGGGGTTGTTCGCAGTTGAATGCAAGTTGGCCAGTGAAGCGCGGCGCTGTTGTTCTTGTATTTGGTTAGGATCGGCCGAAATATGGAGATTTGAGCTCAGATTAGAGGCATCTGGAATCATTGGTGTGGAAGATATGATAGCACCGGTTGCATCAGTAGTAGTAGTCGGAGGGATTGATTGTGTTGCTGTTGTATTCTTTGCAGCGTTGATACTTGTGGGGCCGTTGGCATTTTGTACATGGCCTTTTGCATGGCGACTCAGGACGTCACTGTACATAAAGTTAGATATGAGGTTGACCTTAATTGAGAAGAAAGAGCAGATCTCACCTACGAGAGAACTTTTTGTGGCAAACGGTACATTCGTACGGACGCTCCTTTGTATCTACTAATGTTAGTTTTTCTCAACAGACCGGACGAGGCAAACATACGGGACCGTTCATGACGTTTGTAATGTTCAGTCTTCTTGAATTTCCGGTCGCATATGTTGCATTTTCTCAAGACCATGGCGATCTAGAGATAATGAATAGAGCTGGAATGGTGGTGTTGCGGAGGGAAAAAATGGAAGCGGGAGGGCATTGGAAAATGCGGAGGATGAGTGTCACTGTGGAGTCGCAATGGATGGCCAGAAATGAGTAAGATCGATGGCATTTGTATCAATTATAATTCGATGGATAAACTCAGAATCATATGAAGAGCAGAGACTTGGAAAGCATGGATTCAACATCAAGTAGAGTTGGAGCGGCACTTGGTCCCGTGAGGGGATTGCCGGTTATGTAATTACAGATTCCGAACTATGTATTATGAATTTAACCAATCATATTCGATTGAAGGGCTACTTTATGTATGGTATCGTATCATTCAACAAGTCAAACTGGCAAGCTGTTTTGAGAACTATCAACTCATGACTTTGAATCCATAGAGCATAAATGGGCTGCATATGCTTATCATCAACAATCATAGAAGCAAAATTGGAACTTCTACACGCCTCAATTACCGAGACCAATCGGCTCAAAACATCCACAGCATATTTAGCATATATTAATAATGTAGGGTTACTGATCCGGATTCCGGACGAAATAGTTAACAAACCCCATGGGGTAATTTTTCACCGAGTCACCGAGTCACCAATCAGGCACAAAGGATTCATTGTTCTCCTCCCCGGCATTGTGGCTTCTCCCCGCTACTTCGTAAACTCGGAACAAATACCGAATATATTGCATACAAGGAAATCATAAGAGAATTGGATATCAAACTGTTGATGAACAAAATCAATGAGAGTCCCTCTCAATACCGTTGGTAGGTGCAATACCATTAGTGGGAGCTACCGGTTCAACAACGCTATCCTTCTCGACTCCAGCGCCGGCGTTGGTAGTTTGGCTCTTGGCTAACTTGACGAGCTCAGCCAGTTTGTCATCATTGTAGTAGATTTCCTGGCGCTCTTTTCTGGCTTCTTTGTCGGCCTTGACCTGGGCTAGAATATCATGGATACCGGGGTAGGCGGAGAATTTGTCCTATAAAACTGTTAGTCAAATGGGAATACAAGCAGAAAGTACTTTCGGGGAAGGACTGACCGGAAGAACATCCCAGACTTTAGGGTCTGTTCCTTGGTTATGGAAAGTGCCGCATCCGACTCGTGCGTATTCTGTGAAGAGGAAGCTGCGACTACTTTCGACCATGATAGTCATTTGATCTTTGCTCGTGTCAGCATGTCACGCCTAAGATTGATTGAGCCAAGACAAGAAAACTCACTCTCAAGAATTCGTCGGGGCTCGTTCTCCTGAATACGCATCTCGTACTGATAACCCTCACTAAACCCTCCATGAGGCGTATGACTAACTTCAACACTGCCACCACCTGGCAGGAAATCATCAGATCGTCCCAGTCCATTGCCGTAGAGACTAGCTAGGAACTCTGTAGCCGAGTTGCGGTGGAAATACGGTAGCCGGAAAGTGTTTGATGCGACGTCCCACCGAGGTCCGAACCAGAGGAAGTCAACTAATGATGTGTTTGGATCACGAGATTTGGCTGTCAAGACACAGTTGACTGATGGGTCGGTGTGGTCGATAGAGGTTGCGTTTTGGGATGAGAATTTTGTCAAGTCGTACTATACGAATCAGCATTGGAGTATTTTCGCCGCAAAAAGGAAAGGGACAAAACCTTATATGGAACGACATTTCCATGCCATGCTACCAAGTCAAACGGTGTATGATCTTGCTCAATGGCATTATACTTTCCATTCGCTTTGTTGACAACAGTCCACTTCTCGTGCAGGTTATCGTCAATGTACGCAACCGGATACAAGAAATCACGGGGGTTAGCTAGACCGTGACCTCCCAAAGGTCCAAGGTCAGGTAACTCCCACATCGAACCCCAGATTTCTGTGATGTAGCCACGAGCCTCCTTGTGCCCTGGTCCCAGGCGAATAGCGAATCGGACACCCCGTTGGATTACGCATATTTCACCTGGCTGCAAGAAAAGCTTACCAAACTCCGTCTGAATATCCAGATTTCCATGTTGTGCAACAAGCAGGAAATCTCCGTCGAGGTTACAGAACGCACGATGATCCATATCAGCATTGATCATAAACACATACAACGCAATACCTTCTCTGAGGTTAGGATCACCGCTCCCGCCTAGTGTGTGTACTCCATCTACAAAGTCGATTCTCTCGGTTTCTGGAGGGAGAGGGAATGGAGCCCATTCGGCTTGTTCGACGAGGGTCTCGACTTTGGGGTTGATAGAGAGGAAACAATTCTCAATATGTGCTTTTGTCTCGACGTTGGTCTTGTAACCATCTGCAACAGTCAGTATAATCATCGTCCTTCACTAGAAGAATGGAAGAAGACTCACTGTGAGCGGCTGCCGGACGCACACGATACATATAAGTGCTAAAGTTCGCATGTCGAGGAGCAGTAAAAGCAGAATACGTGATACCCTCCGTATACAAGCCGAAGCGAACCTCTTGAGGATTATTCTGACCAGCAGGTAATGTACCGGGGATCACCTCGGATTGGAAACGGTTTCCCCATCCAGCCTGGTATTCGTAAGGATCATTGTCTCGAGTAGGCTTTCGTGTCTGTGTATCGGTGTAGTGGAAGACTTTCTGGAGGTCTTTGATGGGTTTTCTTTCTTTGACGGGTTGTAGTGTAGTAGCAACCATTGTGCTAGTGAGGTATCACAGATAGAGTCAAAAATATAGTGTAATGGTTAGACTAAGTATCAATATGGATAGGTCAGGTCAGGCCAGCTGGTTGTCAATCCTTTATGACTCGTGAAAGCATTACATGATAGTCTCCCTGAATGAACGACTATTCCTCCACTCTCCTCCCACTTTCCTTCTCAAGCCATCCCATTATACGTAGTGAAAAACCTGCACCACAAGACTGTGCAAGAACGATGCCCAGCTTTCGAAAGCTCCTGGAGCTATAGTGGGGCCTTCTCCAGGTGTTTCTTGATGTTTGTAAGGATCTGTAAGCTTTAGAGAACTAGGGGGTGTTCTCGCTGTATATCATGTGGGGCCATTATTAGCCCTAATTCCCTTTGCTACCCTCCAGTTCCAAGGGCTTACAATAAACAATGTATGAACTAGTTCGATGTATTTACATCTATTTGTACGACTAGATACATGTAGTAATTACAAATTCTTGACAGCCAACACATCATCCACCATCTTTGGTGCAGCTCCCAAGTAGTTCTCCGGATTACACAATGCCTCCAGCTTCTCAGCGCTCATCTTAGACGTAACCTCTTCTTTCTGCAATAGACAATCCAGCAGAGACTTGTCCTGCTCAATGCTGTTCCTGCATGCTTCATATACAATATCATGCGCTGTCTGGCGTCCAACGTATGGAGCCATGCCCATCATAACAGCCTCGGCAACAATGAGTCCACGAGTAGAATGTAGATTCTGCAGCATTTGTTGGGTGTTCACTGCAAGACCAGAAAGAGCGAAATGAGTTTGAAACAAGGCGCCAACAGCAACCACAAAGCTTTCGGGAACAGCAACCCATTCCAAATGCCAGGGACCGGACGCACGCTCAAAATCAGATACCATTCCATCAAGAACCAGCCCCGCATTGGAACGTAAAATTTTACTTGCAGCCAAAATGACTTCACTCGAGATCGGGTTTCGTTTTTGGGGCATCGTGGAAGAAGCTCCACGGTGAGGAACGAATGGTTCGGACACTTCACCCAATTCATTGGAGCTCATGATAATAATATCCAAGGCCAATTTGCCCATTGAGCCACCAAGAAGAGCCAGAAAATTGGTAATCTCTGCAACACCATCCCGAGCAACATGCCATGTAATCGATGGGTCTGTCAGACCCAATTCCTCCGCCAAAGCCTTTCGAACACGAAGTCCATCATCCCCCGGGCCCAACGAAGCCAACGAACCAGCCGCGCCACCAAACTGAGCCATCAAAGCTCTATTCTTCAACTGCTGAAGACGCTCCAAATGGCGCTGAAACCCGGATAACCAAACAGCACATTTATATCCAAACGTCACCGGTAAAGCATGCTGTAGGTGCGTCCTTCCAGCCATAGGCGTATCCCTATACTTCTCCGAAAGCTCCCTCAGAGTCTTGATAACGTCTCGCAGTAACCGCTCAACAACCACGAGGCCGTCTTTCATCTGTAGCACACTCGCCAAATCCATGATATCTTGCGTCGTCGCTCCCCAATGCACATATTTACCAGCCTTGTCGCCGCAGAGAGCACTCAATTGTCGCACAAGCGGTAAGATAGGATACCCGACAATCTCGGTCTCGTGGCGTAATCGCTCTAAGTCGAGTTTGGATGCTACTGCGTTATGAGTGACCTCTGCGCCGATTTCGCTGGGGATAACATTGCATTTGGATTGGGCGCGGGCTAGGGCTGTTTCGGCATCTACACATCGTTTTATGTAGGATTCGTCGTTGAATATCTTTTCTCGTTAGATCAAATCTTTTGCTAAGGGCAGGTTCGCACTCACCTGTCGAATTTCTTCTGTGCCAAATAAAGTCCTGAAAATAGCGGAATCAATGGCACTGACAGAACCCATAGAACGGGTTTGTGGCTGTCGCAGATATTTTTGCAATGCATTAGAAACTGGACTTAATTGAGCAGGGAGATGAATTGGCAGAGCAGACGCCTTTGTAGGCGCATAATGCCATTTCCCTGCCCTTACTACTCGATTGATGAGTGAAGACGACATGTTTTCCTACCAATTATGTGCTGGTATTGTTCAGACGATGGGAAGAAGGGACGAAATGTCTCTACAATAGCTACATTATTATTTACGTCTCCACTATGGGGTACGGGCCGTTTCAGTAAAAATACATTCCAGATACGGAATACAATACAAGGCAATTCAGTCATACAGCAGTGTATTTTGTCTTGAATATGCTGATACTAAATCCTCTTGATTAAACAATCTAAAGTATTAGTATTTTCTCAAATATTAACGTGATACCGATTGTACAACTCCCTGTGACTTGATTAGACTCATAGAATTGTTTACACAATACCGAAATATGAATACCAGTTCCTCCAATTTTACCAGGGAATGCCCCATCTTGTGGGGCCTCCCGTGCGGGGAAGATGTAGCTTATCGACTTTTTTCTAATTAAAGACAATCAATTGTTTTGATTGTATACACAGAACTTGATGTACGTTGTATGACTATATCGTGTTGATTGACTATATATTGGGTGCTATATACTTCATATCGCTTGAGTAGATCTTTCTAGCTATGTCACAGCTTTGTGGGGTTTGTTTACAGTCTCAGTTTGCGGGGCCAGGTACTTCAGCTTCTCCGCAACTGAATGGAAATGCAGATACAACAATTATGAGGATGGAAATTTGAGAGAAGTATTACTCTCGAATGAATAGTGACGCCACACCGAGTCCGGTACTATACGTAATAAGTGGTTAGGTATCGGTTTGCCAGCGGAAGAAAGATAGAACATACCTTGCACACATAGACACAATACCCAACTCCTTATCCTGTCTCTCCAACTCAGCAAACAACGTAGCTGTCTGTCGGCCTCCGGTCGCCCCAACAGGGTGTCCTAGCGCAATAGCACCACCTCTAGGGTTAACTTTGGCCGGGTCCAAACCGAGTTTCCTTAGAATGTATATAGTCTGACTAGCAAACGCTTCATTGATTTCAAAGACATCGACATCCTTCTGTTCAATACCCGTGTATTTGTATAACCGGGGAAATGCGTAGACGGGTGAAATGCCCATTTCATCTGGTGCGTTGCCAGCTACTTGAGTGCCGACGAATCGTCCGATGGGCTTCAGGCCGCGCTCTTCAGCCCATGAGCGACGTGCAAGGATGACGGATGATGCACCGTCTGAGATTTGTGAACTACAAGGATAGTAGTTAGAATATCTAATTTAAATCCTACAGAAGGAGTGGACTTACGAGTTACCCGCCGTACTTCCACCATTCTCCTTGAACGCAGGCTTGAGTTTAGCAAGCTTCTCATAAGTCACGCCATGGCGAATACCCTCATCAAGAGCTATGAGTCTCTGTCCCTCTTCTTTCGTCTCCTCGTTGATATAGCGGGCATTAATCGGAATGATCTCCTTCTCAAATAGTCCGCTCTTCTGAGCTTCGCTTGCCCGTCGCTGACTCTCCACGGCATACTCATCCTGCTCCTGGCGAGGAATACCATATCGCTCAGCAACGTTTTCAGATGTGACCCCCATAGGCATAATACAGTCCCTAGCATCCTTGATAGGGGAGTTTATCAATGTCGGTGAAACATCAACGGGGATACCACGGGTAGTATAACACCGAGTCATGCTCTCCACACCACCACCCATACCGACATCGATTTGTCCAACCATGATAGCATGAGAGATATGCGTGATAGCTTGTAAACTGCTAGAGCACTGTCGATTAGTGGTATGGAAAGTAGTCGAATTCGGAAATCCGGCAGCATTGAGAGCCATGCGACCTGTTTTGGCGAAACCGAGCTCTGCAAGTACGTTTCCAATGAGGACATCGTTTACATCCTCGGGCTGGATTTTGGCTCTCTGTACGGCTGCTTGCATGACCTATTACAGATTAGAGAATGATCACCAATATGCTAGTGACTTGGACAAAGATATACCGGCATCAAAATCTCTTCCGGCCATAAGTCTTTGAATCCGCCCTTGAAAGCGCGAGCAATCGGACTCCTCACAGCAGACAAAACCACGACATCGTGGGGAGTCTTGCGTAAGACCTCTCGACCGACCTTGGTGAGCATATATGCGTTGGGTTTGTAATTGGACTTTGAGTTAGCAATTGAGAGTACGAACATATACAAGGAATGGACGAATCTTAGAATTGTGAAGGTCGATGTGAAGTGAAAAGGCATGAAGAGAGATGGAGAAATGATTACGACAGTTTTATATGTATTGTATTGAACACAGATAGCTATACAGTGACCAATCATTGGCTCGCATCAGCACAGTTCAATGTATTGTATCGTACAGTCCAGCCAGTTTGTGGGGTCAAGCCTGCGGAGACTACAGAGTATCGAAATAATAAAATAATACGCAAGACTAGTGCAAATATGTGCAAATATTACTTGTATTTTAACAGTGTATGGGTCGTACATACACCGTAACCGGCCCGACATTAACCCGAAATTACTGTCATTCCTCGGCTATCTTGACCAGTTTAGCTCAAAAAGGAAGGTACTAGCGAGTTCTGCCTGGTAGGCAGCTATGAGCTATCCTGAATATATGCTATGAAATTGAGGTATAAGAAGGGGAGTGATTTCAAGTTTCATTGTCAGATGTCTCTTCTCCTGAGAGGAGGTATCAGACATCTGGCTACAATGGGTTCAAGGCAAACGACGCGGATAGAACTGCCAGGGTATTCCCTGCGCCTGGACTACAAACCACCAAAGGTGAGGAATACATAACCTGGTGGTTGAATTGTAACTTACAAGTAGTAGAGCGCGAACAGCATTGAAAGTGCGGTGTTCCCGAATGCTTTAGACTATGCAGATATTGAAGGTGGCTATGTTGGGTAAGTTTCCGAATGTGTACCGGGCAAGTCATGGTGAATCAAAAGGTGAACTTACCATGGATTCACTAGCCATATCAATACGAAGAGAGAAATTATCATGATGCAGTTGATGGACGCCATTGCAGAAAAGCCCGAGTGGGATCGTAAGGTATTTCTCCCCTCTACTCGTTCCCCCGAAAGGGGAACTGTTCGCGACTTGACTGACAGCGTGCGAGGTCTTTGACGAAGAAATTACATCCAAGTGGCGGAACGAGATCTTGAACTCGGACCAGGATGTAACCCCCAAAATGATGGATTGGATTGTCAAGGAAATGCAATGGAAAGCAGGCACCCTCAAAAAGGACGGGTTGATCTCTGTGTTTGATATTGGCGTCGTCCGCTCCGACAGTGCGGTTAATTCTGAGCTCCGGAAGGCCCTGCTTGAAGCGGTAGCCCCTCTGGAAGATGTCCCAGATAACAAGAAAGATTATCATCCGGGGTCGGACATGAAGGTGGTGGATTTGGTTCATCCATCACTCTTCCCGGTGGTCTATGGCCGCACACGTATTCTTCCTGATAGGTTGATCACCGTTGAGGACTGCCTAGATAGTATTGGACAGGGAGAGCTGCTCCCAATTCCCTCGGAGGAAGAAGCCGAAGGTCCTCAGCCTACGTATGGATGGAGACGCAACTCACCGCCGCCTTACAGCCGGAAATTCCAATGGCTTCCCTGTGATGTGAAATTCACCGACGAGGGAGGGTGTCGCATTGTTTCGTATATTAACAATGTCCACCCTGTGAAATGTCGGCCGCTCTACAGTGTAGTGGAAAGGATTATTGCAAGTGCGATCCCGCTCTGGGACGAGAGCTTAACCGAAAGACGATCCTATGGGGATGAGCAGCGGATTCCCTACACCCAAGTCGAGTATTTGGAGAGCAGTACCCCAGAGCCTGAGCAGAATGAAGAAGATGGTGACAATGAGGATTATTGGGAACGCTACGAGGAATGGGAAAGGTCCCGTCCAATTAAGCTTCCTGAACCCGGCGAATTCAAACCCCCAAAGGCGCCATGGAGGGGGGAGGTGCGCCTACGGGACAAGTTCCGTGAAAAGGGTCTCCAGGTCATTGTAAAATTAGCAAACATCGAACTTACCCCGGAGAAGCCGGAATACGATGGCGGTTCGTGGCATATCGAAGGACAGCTGGTAAGTTTTGCCTTTGTCGTCCAATCAAAACTTGTTACATATAATGAGGAAGAGGAGGTTCTAACATCATTCAGAACGAAAGGATCTGTGCGACGGCGATATATTACTACGATAGTATGAATATCACCGAAAGTCGACTTGCCTTCCGCCAGCGGGCTTCTTCAATTGATGATGTGCATTACCCCCAAGGACAGCACGAATTCCTCCAGGCTGTCTATGGATTTGGGCCAGAGGTGGATGGCTACAATAACGCCCAAATCACCCAAGACTTGGGAAGCGTGGTGTGCCGTGAAGGGCGGTTGGTTACATTTCCTAATATCCTGCAGCACCAAGTAGCTCCCTTTGCGCTAGCAGATCGCTCAAAACCTGGTCATCGCAAGATACTGGCGCTCTTCCTGATTGATCCCCACTTGCGCATCATTTCGTCAGCGAATGTCCCACCCCAGCAGGAGGAGTGGGATAGAGAGTGGCAGGAAACGGTCCACAAGGTGCTGTCCGAGAGACTCCCCGCTGAGCTGCAGAACATGGTGGCAGAAAATATTACCAGCTACTCCATGAACATGGACGAAGCCAAGGAATACCGGCTAGAGCTAATGGAGGAGAGGAGCGCAACCCAAGCGGAACGAAACACCACATTCGAGACGGGAAGATTCTCCTTATGTGAGCATTAGGAAGGCTACCTAGATACGTATGTATGGTAGTTACCTAGGTAGATGAGTTTCAGTACACATTCGATTTGTCAGAACTATATACTTGTGCCCGAAAATACACGTCTCCAAAATCCATTTTCATTCTCGAACGGGAGCATCGCTGCTTTTCTTGGAACTCAGGATGAGCTAAGACAGTTTGGAATAGGAATTGGGAATAGGACAAGATTTGCGTATCAAGAAATTTCGAGAATTAGCATCACATATCGACGCGATATTGAGCATTACAAATCAACTTTACAGCCTATCTCTAGAAAGTTCGATTTGCACAGGTGTCGATTTTCGGTGATATAATTTTATGTAGGTTTGTGTATAATAGCAGGTTCAAGATTCCTAAATAGCTGTGCTTAGAGAGAGTGCCGGAGAATAGACCTAGTTCTATACATACCTTGTTTAGTATTCGCCTTCGATTAGTCATTTAGCCAACCAACGTTCCGACAAAAGCTGTTGGAGCGTTGGTTGGCTAGATGATTCAGTGATATTTGTCACACTATTCCTAATGATTTCTCTAGCAAATGGATGTTCCGGATTATATTTCTTCGTCTCGTCGAAGACAACATGCCTTGCTCGAACGACCTTGGTCCCTCGTGTCAATCCTTATATATTCCTTCGATCGAAGCAAGTACACGTTCCCAACGTAAAGTTTCTTTCCATACGCCATTTTCATATGGGAGTCTCATAACCGATTGCGTTTGTGGGCGTCCGATTGATGATATATATACCATTGCTTGCATAACATACGGCCACATTCCAAGGGTCCTTCAATAGTTTACTCTCGAAGGAACTGAGTGCTAAGCCGTTTCCTAGAGGTCTCCTAGGTTTCCGGTTGTCGTTCCATTCAATCAGATCAACCCTTCCTTCCTTCTTCAGACCACAAACATCTTGTTTCTCTGTCACCAATCGTCGGGTCAAACCATCGAAGAAGAGTCCATATTCATCGGCCATTCCTTGTGAGCCAACGTTGGTATGCATTCCTGAAACGTACCATGCTTCCTTCACCAATATTCCCTTTCTTTGTCTGCTAATCGGGTCGGTAGGATAGTAATTGTTTCCGCCGGCCCAAACATCTTCACCGAGCTGTTGCCAATGAGACAGATTCGTTCCTGATTTCCCATATTGCAAAGCCGTCTCAAGTCGTTGAACCGTTATCCAAAATCACTACATCCTTAAGATCTTTTTCGAATCTGCTACCGTCGTCGTTGTTTCAAGGTGTATTGCCATGCTTGACCGTTCGAAACGCGGGCCTATTGATATCTGAACTTCATCCTCGTCATATACGACGTTCGATCTTTCCGGTTCGCTACTCTTCTTTTTGTCATCGTCAGATTCCTCTTTATCGTGATAATTCGTCGGTTTAAGATTCCTTTTCACTGCCTTTAGTGCCTTTGCTAGTGACGTATTTCTGCGTTCCATGCTCCTGAACTTTCTGGCAATATTTTCATTCTCTTTCCAGTCCTTTGTTCTTTTTCCTCGATAACATATGGGCAATCCTGAAAGTCGTATTTCTCTCCGCACAGGCACTTTCTTTCTCTGTTTCTCGACTGTCCTCTCGATCGTTGACTTATTTGCTGATTGGATTGCCGAGTACCTGTTTGTTCTTCTTCCTTCTCAGGCCGATCCGATTTGCCAGCAAAGAGGATATCGACCATGGAATGCCCTGGTCAAGCAGCTCTGTGTGGCGAGACATAATGGATGTCGCGAAACAATAGCTCAACATTCGAATGGCATCTGAGTTCAGTAAACAAGAACGTATTTGATCTGCGTCTGCGCAAGTCTCACATGAAGCTCATCAACTTCAAGACTGACATTGCAGAACGCCTATCTCTACTGTAGGATAAAATATTGCTTGGGAACTGTTATCACAGGTTGTATCCGACAGTGCGACAAAATTCTTGAGCTCAAATACCACCCTGCATTGGACCCTGCTGACTTCACATTGTCGTAGGATCCTACATCGACAACACAATAAATCAACCAGTAACATGGAGAATCGTTATCATCCAAATCCATTTACCACAAGGCTACTCCTGCACTGCCCATGTAGAACAATATTGTGACCTGTGTTATAAATTACAGTACAGTATCACAGGCGGTTATTTACTGTCGTGACAGGTAAGTGACAGTGTCCACAGTGGTATGTACATTATCATCATTGTTGTGCATTTGCCTATTAGCACCACAAGCACTTTCACATATCAACCAATAGAGACCTGACTTGCTGATGCAGTGAGACCTGACAGGAGAGTAAAAGCACGGAAAAAAGTGGTCCTCAACGCACAGGCTACATCAACAGTTATACAAGGCAGTCGCTCAATGATACAGTCGATTGCAACACTGTGTGGACAACTTCGACGTTGGACTCGCAACTGATGACATCAACCCTGAATGCCAATGATCATGGGTCCCAGAGAGGGCTTCATACACATGAGCGAAACCCTGACTCGAACCTCTCTCAACAGCTCGAGGCCAGAGTCATTCTTCAAAATGTGCCAATGGCATATAGGGCCTGGGGCAGCATTTCCTGGGAGGGCAACAATTGTATTGTTGTTTGCCATCCAGTCTTCCTCGACACAAACGTGTTGTCATGGTGGTCAACTCTGTTGGGGAGGGAGGGCCAGGCATTTGATGTTCGACGGTTCTTCGTCATCTGTATGGACACAATTGGCAGTCCCTTCGGAAGCGCGAGTCCGCGTAAACTTTTGCGGGAGTGCTAGAGGACCAACATTCCCATTGACTACGATTCGTGATGATGTCAGGTAGGGAGACCTTTTTTCCTTTGCTATGTGTCTGTAAATGTCTTTGACTAATCTGGCTTCTAAATCCATTCTATGGTTCTCGAAAGTCTCGGTGTGCGACAAGTCTGTATGGCAGTCAGACTCTCCATGGGCGGTATGCATGACCTTGACTGGGCTTTCCAAGGCGACTTCCTGAGATCAATTGTTCCAATTGCAACAGCCGGGACACAGAGCGATTGAGGAATCGCTTGGGCAGAGGCTCAACGACAAAGCATCTTCAGTGACAGAGATTACCAAAGCGGGCGGTATTCACAGCACAGGCCACCAATTCAAGGTCTCAGGGCGGCCGGAGTGTGCGCCTTGTTGACTCTTCGAAGCAAAACTGTAATTGAGAGATTAAGGTATTCCTCGTTTGGCACCGAGTTGATCTCTGGGAACACTAGCGATATCGGGTGGTCGTCGGAGACAATATTACAGGTGCCATCAAACACGCAAAAATAGAGACTTCTTGGCCCGTCAATTTGATGCAAATTGTTATATTGTGCTCACGAGGAAAATGGACACACATGATGTTGGACATGGCCGGTCTACGGGTGAATCCGTCCAGGATGCACTTGCCACGATACAACAGCCAACTCTCGTTGTTGGGATGACGTCCGACTTCCTTCATCCAATTCAAGAGCAGTACGAACTCGCAGAATCAATACCAAATGGTCGACTGTGTATCATTGGAAGTTCAGACGGTCATGATGCAGTCCTGTCGAGTGCAGCTCAATATCTGAATAAGGCATTATTGGAATTTCAGAAAGAAGTTTTGTCTGACATAGCGGAGACTAGCATCTAACCACATTACCCTAATATTTCATCCTCTAGTAGGTCATCACACGAAAGACCGGAGAATGTCTCTAAGAATTTCCACATCGTATGCCTTGCAGGCCAAGGGCCTACGCTCCAATCTTCTACTCTACCTATGATATAGCATCCAGTGTATTGCAGTTTGGGATGGTTAATTGAAACTATATCTATCCCTCTTAACTAAGTAAGTTAGAGAAGTATTTGCGGTGCAAATGCCATGAGGAAATAATGTCTCAGCTGCTGGCTTCATCCTAATCTGAAGTCCATGAAAATTGCAGCAGGAGATGGTCAGGTCCTCAACCCAACCTCGATCATTTGCAGCTCCAATTCCACTGAAGTTTTGCAAGATACTAACTGTGGTATAAAAGACCTCGGACAAGGTGAATTGTTCTATTTTCATCGAGTCAGATCGGAGCCCTTGTTTCCTACATTGTTGAAAGTAACTTACGTCCAATGCATATACGGGGACCCCTGTTAAATGGTAGAAAGACCCAACCCAAACGAGGTTTTTCCCAGCGCTCAGGCCGAAAGTAGTCTGCGTCTAGACCGTAAATTTCCTTTCGTCGATGCATAGAGTAGACATTATACATAACTATCTGACCTTTCCCGATCAAGGGAGGTGATTCGCTGCCAGGACCACCACCAACAGGAAGAATCGTGTCTATGTTCGCAATTCGCACGTTGGAATGCTCGAGTGGGTATAATCGGAGGCCTGTAATCAGACACGAGTAGTCAGTATCGTGGAAAACTCGATTCGAAACCAGCACCGCCCACATTCATTCATGACATTTGAGAGATACTTCATTTGTTTGATCTCTTCTAAGGAAGGTGGACAGCCTTGGAGCGACGCGACTTCGCTTTGTAAATGTTGCGAAACGCTTTTGTGACATGCCAGAAAATAGAAAACGTTGCTTATCAGACCAGCAGTTGTGTCCCTGCCCGCTAATAGCACACAGAGTAACTGATCACGAAGGTCCTTTGCACTTCTGGATTTCCGAGATAATTCCTCAAGCACGTTATATCCGTCAGATTGTTTTCCATGTCTAGCTTGCGCACGATACTCAAGATTTTTGTGAACAAAGTTGTCCATCCATTGGTGACATATCCGTACGCTTGTATCAAAGTGCTTATTTCGGTAGAGAGGCAAGAAGGCCCCGTATGGTGTTCGATCGATCAGGCCACGTTGTGCATAGTCGAAGGTGTCGACAAAAGCCCGGCTGTCCTTGTCGTCTGGGTTTCCAGCCGATCCACCGAAGTCCCGACAAGGAACTCACTCGCAGTATTCATGGTGAAATCGAAGAACAGTTTCTGAAGGTTCACCACCGATTAATCGTGAGGAATAAGACGGAGAAGTTTTCTGACATGTCTCTCAAGTAAATCAAAATCTGCGACCTAAGATCGCGTAAAGCTTGGTCGCAACAGACTGCATCAATGCTCCCATTGTGCTCCATCGGTGCAGAAAATTCCCTGCCCAAGGAGTGACTGGAATGCCTTCTCTCGCCGAATACCCAGGTCAAAGTCTTTGAATTTCGTAGCGAGGATAGCCTTTATGTTTCCGGCTCAATCGTTGCTACGATGTGTACAAAGCCCATTACCGAGCTGAACGTATACCCATATTCCTCGAAGCGGACTCTTTCCGCGGTCAGGATCTTTTTTTTTCGAGAGTTGTGGAAGTTTTCTTTCAGCAGACCCCATCCTATCAATCTCTCGGATTGGTAGTAGTGTTTTGGTGGCATGCAATTATGCTCGTTGACCAGCTTTGATCTTTTATAGCTTCAAACAAGTATTTGAAGAGAATAATAAAATACTCAGTATCAAAGTCGCGACAACAGGTTGTGATGTCATCATCTTTCTAAAACGGTTTCAGGTACAGCACAATAAACCTCAGTTGATAAAATGCAGTCAAAATAACGAGTAACATATTTTTGGTATAGATCTTGCCAGAGGATAACGTTTATCAGTCTCTATACTTGATCACGTCTCTACCTATCAGAAACGACGGTATTCACCTGTTGATAAGTACTGTCCTCCTCCGAACCCAACAAGCGAGATGGTGCCCCCATGATTATCTTCAGCCTGAGCAGCCTCGTAGTCTGCCCTTGACGTTATATGCAAGTTTTGGAGATTAACGGAAGCTGTCAAATACGAGTATTGTATGTAAGCAAAACGACAACCAGGGACATCTGTGAAAACTCCTGTATCAGTTCGACCCCTACATCTCCGATCATCGGCCTGACATTCATTCCGGGTTTAATCAACTTTGCCACGTATGCACACAACTCCAATGAGCGACGCTACAGTAATATCCGCCCATGGTAGCATTGACAGTGTTTTGTCGCTATATCTCTCAATAGTCTTCTTTAGCGTCTATCAAAAGTGTCAAATATTTTTCATCAAGGCTCGGCGGGGTGTGCGGCTTGGCCCAAACCTTATTTGCTAGCTTGCATATTTTAGTGGGTGTCCACTAGGTATTTTATACGTAGGACCTCACGTTGATCTGCGAACGTGAGTGGGACTGGTAATTGTATGTAATACTATGTATTGTGTACGTCTTATCTTAGGGAAGGGAACTCGGACAGGTGTCCATACAAATTATAGTGCAGATGTGTGTGCGCTAGTTTAGCTTGGCAATCGCTGTAGGGAGGGAAAGTCGTAGGCCAGTGAGAGCCAAGTTGTGGGTTTTATGCTGCATATTCCATATCAAGCCTAGCAGTAATATACGGTAGACATGATCATATTGTTATGAGCTGCCCTCATATTGATGTGGTTCGGGCGTAGCCCGAACCAGAGAATCTGTATCGTTTTCATTCGCTTCTGCACCCAGCTTGAAGTCATACCTAGATGTCGAAGGTTCATTCCGATTGGCTGATTTGCCCTCTGAGTGGACGCTAAATATCTCAGCCAATCAGAATGCACTATACCTGACTTCATGTCTTGGCACCCGCGTGGTGTCTATGGCTACTGGGATTGTGGCATGCTTGATATGTCTTCTACGTTCCAAAATGCCTGTAAGTAGGCCGTGTTTTCGTTACTGTTGTCGCATATCGAATGCAATGGATCAGAAGGCACGTCAAGGAGAGTCGACAGACATGGCTCATCGTTGTCCAGCTCTATAATCTCAGCCGGGATGTGTCAGACATAGTTAATCAGAGAAAGACAAAAGATGCTTAATGTTAAGAAAGAAGTGGTACTTGCGGATATTTTCCAGGTATTTATAGCCCAAATATCTCTTAAGGCTAGCTTTACTGAACAGAAGAGTCGAGCATCCATGCCGGTATCAACTGGTAGATGGTCTTTGAAAAGAAAGAATGCCTAGCCAATGGTTGCACTGACCGGAGTCATGATATAACCTCTGGACCAATCGTTGTCCTGAGCGGAGAACTAAAAACACTAGATCTGCATTAGCTAATCGAATGGTAGTGACAACTCACGCACAATATAGGTAGGAATTGATTCCGCAACCTGTAAGATCTCCCTCATTTCAATGTTTTACATTGCTTTTTACTGGCTTTGACCTGGTGTGACTATAGAAAAGAGACGAGTAAAAGGTCTCGGGACTCAAGTGCCGTACATACAAATATTCCTCTATCTAATCATTCCCAAATTTTTGAATATATACATAGATAGCGTCCAAAACAAAAACATATTCAAATTCTAAAAGGTCTTTAAATTCTCCGCAACCTTGAAAGGAGCAGCTGTCTTGCTCTTGACCTCGTCCACGGTAGCACCCTCGGCAACTTCCTTCAGCGTGAGACCCTCGGTAGGGTGTACATCGAACACAGCGAGATCAGTGATGATCTTCCAGACACAGCGAGGCCCAGTGAGTGGGAACGAGCATTCTATAGAACGTTAGTTAGTTATCATGCGTCGGATCTCAAAACGTTGTCTTACCTTCTAGAATCTTGGGATTCCCCTTTTTATCGACATGCTCCATGGTAACGACGACCTTGGTTTGGCTGGGGTTTGCAACAAGATCCATGGCACCTCCAATACCTTTAACCTTTCCGGGGAGCATAAAGTTTGCAAGATCTACACAAGTCAGTAAGTACGAAAGTCAAGGTAGGAGAGAATAAAGGTGAACGTGCCTCCATACTGGCTGACTTGCAAAGCTCCAAGCATGGTAAGATCAATACGACCAGAACGAATCATACCGAAACTTTCGTGGGAACCAAAGACAGATGCACCAGAAGCAAGAGTAACAGTCTCTTTGCCCGGGTTAATCAAATCAGGATCCTCTTCACCGGGGCGAGGATATCCGCCAAGTCCCAAGATACCGTTTTCAGACTGGAGAACAACCTCAATTCCCTCGGGCAAGAATGCGGGAGCGACAAGAGGCATACCAATACCCAGGTTGACGTACATGCCATCTTCGAATTCCTTGGCAGCACGCTTGACAATTCGTTCACGTCTAGCAGTGGCATCGCCATTACCTATTCTCATTATTAGCACAAACTCTCCCAATCACAGGAGTTTCTCCCATACCAGCTTGCAGCAGATCGTTGGGATCCTTGGCGAAAGTGAGTTTCTCAATCTTCTTCTCTTCCGTGCTCTTGATAACCTTGCTGACGTAGATACCCTGCAGATGAATCTCTTCAGGCGCAAGTTGCCCAACCTCAACAATCTCATCAGCTTCAACAATGGTGACCTTGGCATTTTTGGCCATGGCCTCGTTGAAATTGTTTTGAGCCTTGCGGAATTGACAGTTACCGAGTTTGTCTGCTTTGGCTACCCTGACGAATGCATAGTCGGCAAAATATGATTCTTCCAAGATGTATTGTTTTCCGTTGAATTCGCGAGTTTCCTTAGGTTTCGACTTTTCGGTAACGGTGCCGTCTTTGTTGTAACGGACAGGCAGTTCACCGGACTGGACTGTTTTTGTCAATCAGAGTGTTGAATAAAGGAGCAATAGAGAGAAATCATACCAATAGTACCATAGGCAGCAGGAGTGTAGAAAGCAGGGACACCAGCGGCACCTGCAGCGCATTTCTCGGCAATTGTACCCTGAGGAGTAAGCTCGAGGGCTAGATCACCTTCCAGATACATTTTTTCGAAGACCTTATTTTCACCAATGAATGAGGCAATCATTTTACTAATCTGGCGCGTCTCCAACAGTTGACCTATTTGCAACAAAATCTATAAGTTCACCATGTGTCTGTAAGCTATTTCCGGCATTGAAGTACTCACCTAAACCGACACCAGGCATACCCGCATTATTGGAGACGATTGTAAAATCCTTAAGCTCCGGACGATCACGCACAGCATTAATCAAGCTGCTAGGAACACCTGAGAAGCCAAATCCACCGACCAAAATCATGGTCGAGCTTTTCAAGTCCTTGATAGCTTCTTGAGCGCTGGGGACGATTTTATTGATTGCGCGACGGGACGACGAGGATGAGAATTCTCGCCGCCATAGCGGACGGACAATTGAAGGACCTGCAATTCTGGCCTTCATTACCAACATAGTATTAAAATTATATGGTCACCAAGGAAAAGAAGAAGGGAAGAAAGAAAGAAATGAAAAAGATGGGGAAGATGGGGAAGAAATAAGCTGCAGAGAGCTTCGGATAAGGGCCCAGCCGGTGCGGGTTCCGATGATCGTTTCGGCTGGTGCGCCGGCACTGTTTATATCCGCTGTTACTGCTCAGTTTTTCCTGAAAATATCTTGGACATCCCTTTGATGGAAGAACCTTGTAGAAGAAAGATTGAATTGGCTTGCCAAATATACATAATGTCATGTCGAAGTCACTTAACTACTGTCTATAGTGGCTGGCCCCATAACAATTATCTCCACATTCAACAGCAGTCTATCTCCACAGAAAGTATGACTACGTAATATGGGATCTATAAAATGATAAAATTGATCTGATTCCTAAAAGTTCTCTTATGGCTCGTTGTGTTTAAGCTCATATAACAACATGGGCTCTGTATATTTTCCGGTTCTCACAGATCAAGCTCGAGTTGATGGAGTGGTGACTATCAGTTGGCTTTTCTGCTTTGAAGCTCTCTCCTCAGTAAACTAATCAAAAATCTTGTTGCCGGATTTTTGATTCTAAACAGCGCTAGAAGTTTGCAGATTCAGTCATCAGTAAGCTATAAGCTCCGACGTGTGAGTAAGACGTCTTCAGAACCTTTTCTCTTCTGCTCATTTTCCATGTTCGTGAAAGAGGGTGTACTTCCGCTTTATAGATGTATCGATACAGTAAGTGCCAACAATCCATAACAGCCCCGGCGTTTCCTCTCTGGCCTTGACCGTTCCAGTGAGTTGTTCTTCGGACATCAAGCCGAATAGGTAGACAGTCACAAAGAGAGGGCCGATCTTAAGGTACAATTACCTATAGTTTATAGAACGTGATGTTTCCCCTCGGATTTTCCCTTTCTTCGCGGAGACTTGATTATGCCATAAATATTGTATTGAAAATACTGAAAATTACCGATAAGATAGCAGCGGGCGGGGTCTGGGTAACCCCACGTACTCCGTTTTACGGAAAATTACCATGTTAACAGCCCTAATGCGTTTGTTGATGATCGCAGTAGTTGTTCAATTAGTACTGTACATTTGACAGAATGTACTAATTTATGCGTAAAATTACAGCAGTATAGTGTAAACACCATTAGTGAGAAGCTGGTTAGATATAAAGGCCAAAGCACTCCGTAATTATAATTGACTTGATTTTGTGAAGAGTTACTCTTCGATTATACGAACATAGTGCGAAGTCCAGACCATAAGCATTGAATATCCGATTGATTTACTTAGGTACTGATATAATTTCTATTCAAGAATCAACATGTCCTCCAGCACGGTCCTTCCCACACCAACTCTCTCAGAAAAACACTCCGGTATCCCCTTCCGACTCTACGAAAAAGCCCAATACGCCAAATCCTTAATCTTGGACATTGCAACAAAGGAACAAAGTGAGAGAAAAAGGGGGCCGGCTATACCAGCTGGTGTCGAGAAAACCACGTTCCTGAAAGCTCTTGACGAACTGTCGGGCCAATTGGGGAAGGAGAATGTGGAGATAAATGATCAGCCGTTGAAGGATGGATGGTATATGGAGCGTAAGTGTTATAGTTCCGGACGAAAATTTATCTGATGGCTGACAGGTTAATAGACCCAAACACTCATGATGCTATGCACGTCTTGGATGAGGAGGAGCTTGTAGCATCTGCTGTTGTGTATCCTGGCAGCACGGAAGAAGTACAAAAGATAGTGCTGTGGGCGAATAAGTACAAGATTCCAATCTTTCCTATCTCAATTGGCAGAAATCGTGAGTTTTCAATCTACGCAAGCCCGTCTTCATAATCAGCGCTTATGTATGGGATACAGTTGGATACGGCGGTGCCGCACCTCGTGTTCGAGGATCAGTGGTCATTGATCTCGGTCGTCGAATGAACAAAATTCTTGACATCAACCCCGTTGATCATACCTGTCTTGTAGAGCCTGGTGTAACCTTTTATGCTCTTTACGAAGAGATCCAAAGACGCGGTTACAAACATCTTTGGATTGATTGTCCGGATTTGGGCGGTGGTTCTGTACTTGGAAATACCTTGGATCGTGGCATTGGATACACTGTTTATGGAGATCGTACGTATGCAGCCCATTGAATGTGGAGTACCATCGTTGATATATGAGTATAGATTGGGCGTGTCATTCCGGTCTTGAGGTCGTCCTTCCAACCGGTGAACTCATCCGTACAGGTATGGGAGCTATGGCGAATAGCTCTAGTTGGCAGATCTTTCCATACGGATATGGACCAATGGCCGAGTATTTTTTCCAACCCTCATCGATATAACGACTTCTAATTTATGCTCTCAGTGGCCTTTTCTCTCAATCCAACTATGGTATCGTTACCAAGCTTGGAATGACCTTGATGCGTAACCCTGGAGGTCATGAGAGTTATGTAGGTTCGTCCACCTCATATCATTAATTTATGCTAATAGGATCAGTTGTATACGTTCCCCAACGAGGAAGATCTCGCACCTTTGGTAAGCAGATCCGGCAGGAATGTCACGGCAAGATACTGACGACAGTATAGGTCGACATCATCCGCCCCCTTAGAATCGGAAATATCCTCGAAAACGTCGCCCAGCTCAGGCATGTAGTCCAAGCCATAGCCTACAGCGGCAAGCCACGGAGCAGCTACTTTCAAGGCGAAGGCCAAATGACCGACGAGCAGGTCCGAGAAATCGCTCGCAAAGAACTCAAATACGGTGACTTTACATGGCTGTACTACGGCATGTCGTACGGTCCGAAGGAAATCCGGCAGTATAAACTGGACATCATCCATAAGGAATTCTTGAAGATTCCCGGCGCACGTCGCATCGATCCCGCGACTCTACCAAAGACAGACTACTTCTGGTCTCGTGATCGCATTGCAACCGGTATCCCCGATCTTGAAGAGCTGCAATGGGTGAACTGGTACCCCAATGGAGGCCACATTGCCTTCAGCCCTGTATCACCTGTACGCGGACCCGACGCGACTGAACTCTGGAGAATGGCACGGAGCCGAGCAGCAGAATTCGGGCATGACATATTCCCCGCGTTTTGCGTCGGACTACGAGAAATGCATCTCATCGTCGAATGTGTTTTCAATCGCGATGATCCTGATTCACGCAAAATGGCTTTAGCCTGTATGCGCGCAATGATCGATGAGGCAGCTTCCAAGGGGTATGGAGAGTACCGGACGCATTTGGTGTTGATGGATCAGATTGCGAAGACATATAATTTCAATGACCATGCATTGATGAAGTTTAACGAGCGGATCAAGGATACTCTTGATCCGAATGGGATTTTGGCTCCGGGGAAGTCTGGGGTGTGGCCTGCAAGATATCGGGGCCGTGGGTGGGAGATGTCCGGATTAAGTGAGCGGAGTGAAGGTGATGGTGTTGCTCGTGATACGGCGACCAGACTATAGCACTTTCATATCATGAAGGAGCGATGTCGAATATATGTGGAGAGGTATGAAGAGCGTGAAGTTGGAGATGTCAACAGATCACATATGTGGGGCCTCGTCAAGCTTGAGCTTCAACTTGTGGGGCCCCAGAATCTATTTCTTCAATTGTTCAATAAGTGTTATTTTTTGAGGCAACCACTTGATTATTACATACTAAATTCTCAATCATACTGCTATGATATTATTACTAGTATAACGATACAACATGTCCGGCATCAATCTAGCACTGCGCCGGGAGTTACTAAACAGACAGTTACCGAGGCAGCTGTTGTTTCCAGTACTAAGGTCATATACAACTGCACCAACACGACATATTGTATTCAAATACAACACGAATAAGCCAGTTACATACAGCAAACCGGTGTTTACTAGATGCATATCGACCTCCTACGGTGCCAGCAATGCAACCTCAACCGGTAAAAGCAAGCTCCCTCTGGCCGGAGTACGAGTGTTGGACATGAGCCGAGTTCTAGCTGGTGTGAGTCTTCCATTTCGAAAACTTGCTCAAAACCACTTGTTTATACGAATTGTGTGGTCTGTCGGCACAGCCATACTGTACGCAGATTCTTGGCGATTTAGGGTACCAATTGACTCCCCAATGCGAGACGAAAGAGCATAGCTGATTCTTGTATCTTCATAAAGGGCGGATATTATCAAAGTCGAGCACCCAGGACGAGGTGATGATACACGAGCTTGGGGTCCGCCGTTTGCAGAGTACAAAGACGGTAGAGAAGGCCCGGGCGAGAGCGCATATTATCTCTCCGTAAGATAGTTCTCATTTCACGAAAATTGGATTTCTCGCAAACTCATTCAGATACACTAGGTGAATCGGAATAAGAAATCACTGGGCTTATCGTTTGCCCATCCAGAGGGTGTGGAAATCCTCCACGAGCTGGCGAAAAACTGCGATGTGCTCGTTGAAAACTACCTGCCCAGTTCGCTCAAGAAATACAACATGGACTATGACTCCATACGGAAGATAAACCCTCGGATGATATATGCTAGCATCACAGGCTATGGTCAGACAGGCCCATACAGCAATCGCCCCGGATTTGACGTCATGGTCGAAGCGGAGTTCGGGTTGATGCATTTGACTGGTTCACGAGATGGGCCGCCCGTCAAGGTCGGAGTAGCAGTGACCGATTTAACGACAGGCTTGTATGCATGCAACTCCATTATGGCAGCTTTGTTGGCCCGTGCAAATACGGGCGAAGGCCAACATCTTGATGTGTGCTTGAGTGATGTTCAGACAGCAACTCTCGCTAATATGGCAGAGTCTGTACTGATAAGTGGAAAGCGAGATAGTGGTCGATGGGGTACTGCCCACCGTAGGTTTCCATTCTCCTTATCATTTTCCAGACTGGACGCCTCTCTAACCAGGAACCTTGTTCGTTATAGCATCTGTCGTTCCGTACCAAGGCTTCAAAACAGCAGATGGAGATATCTTTCTTGGAGGAGCCAATGATCGCCTATTTGGCATCCTTTGCGAGAAGCTCGGCAAGCCCGAATGGAGCAAGGACCCTAAGTACGTCACCAATAACGAGCGTGTACGCAATCGAAAAGAACTCGAAGATCTCATTGAGGTTGAGACAACGAAACGCACAACCCAAGAATGGTTGGATATTCTTAAGGGTTCTGGTCTTCCATACGCTGCTGTGAACGATGTTATGGGAACTTTGAATCATGAGCATAGTACGTCTCTTTCCCGAGCCCATTCGGAAAGCCTCAGGGGTCGTAATGTGAACTCATACTAAACTTGTGAATAGCAAAAGCTCGGGGTATGGTGCAAGAAATCGACCACCCGTCATGCGGTCCCATCAAAGTTCTCAGTCCGCCTGTCAAGTATTCGAATGCTAACCCAAGTATTCGTTCCCCTCCGCCTTTACTCGGTGAGCATACAGATGAAGTCCTGGAATATGTAGTGGGCTTGAAGCGAGACAGGATTCAGAGTCTTAGAGCGAAAGGGGTTGTCGCATAAACGAATTGACACGAATCATGCTGTATAAAATCCCAGCCGGAATGTACGGGTCCCTTTCCTGATTTACTGGTGATTGCATAAATTCCTGTATATAATCAGTCGATAGAAATAATCCTACCGCTGGTATGGCCGTCCGGTTTAGAGTATGGTCACCACATAAACTGCTCTTGAAATTCCTTTGATGGTGCAGCGTTCCATGAGCTCAGATGCGATGAGTTGCTTTCATGTTGATTCGTAGGAGCGGGGATATGAAAGTTCATTTTAGGTCTCAGCGGCCTATTTCCGCTAGTACCGCCATTGACAGTACGACGAGAGTATAGATTCGAATCTTGAAATTTCCCATTAGCCTCAGACGGCAGTTCATCGATTGGTGATTGGGCGTTTGGTAAATTTTCCGCACTACCGGAGTCCACTCTAGCGTTCTTTCTTGACGATCGGCGCCTCGACGGTCGTGAGGAACGCCAGTGGTTTTCATTCGGCAGACTAGAGCTGGAAGTAGATCTGATACGATGGAAGTCTTGCTGCCATTTCCGTATACTCTCGGCATCTCGTAATGGAAACGACTTCCAGTGCTCTACCCCTCGGTTGCGTGCATGTAGCATAGGGAAACGGTTAGGCGTTCCATTATCTTGAGGTACATCATCGACTGGGAATGCATTCGGCGCAGATAAGATTGATGTAAGTTGAGCTTCATTCAGCTGAGAGAGTACTTTGAGCAGCACGTCTTCTGTTTCATGAAGACGCTGCTCTAAGGCTTCAACATAACCCTTGGGTGGTCCGCTGTTGACGTGTTAGCCTCATGAATTTTAGCTTCACTGAATACAGAAAACATACCGTTTAAGCTGCTCAGGCCATTCGCAGGTACGGTTGTAGCTCGAACATTGTTCACATTCCGGTCTGCATAGTGTTAGTTCAAGAATACTGCTTTTCTATCGGAAGTCTTAAGCAGACCTTATTCCACTACACTATTTGAAGCGACGTTAGCGAGGAGATGGGCCTTGACACGTATCGCATACATATATGTATGATACGTACCTTTTGTTTTCGAGACCGACACGGATTGCACGCAATTGTTATTCGGGATACCTTATTCTTTTCTGGTTTCATTATAGCTGCTTGTAGTGCATAAATTGATGGGTGATGAACGATAATGGCAAGAAGGCGGAGATGCCGCCTTCAAATCCGGAATTTGAGGCCTCAGGCATCAACATCGGCACTAGCTTCTCCAATCTCCGCTCCAACATCTTCACTAATTTTTATATCACGTCTGCCGTTTGTATGGGGTGTTAATTCCATACAAGTGAATAGCCAGGACAACTCGAATCAAAGACTGATTCTGTGCTTAGATATTCAGAGATCACCCAACTGCATGATGAACATACCCATGCGAATCCCGAAGTGAACGAGTGAAATGATTTCACACGTTGCTGATGATTTGACATTGGGCATAACAATCATATTATTTCTGAGTTGAGCCTCCATTCAATCTCAGAATGCAAGCAGCAGACCCTCCTTTCGGAACATCTGAGCTCGGCTTTCTCAGAGTCCACTCCAACGACGAAAGCGAATTCGTAGGAAGCTCAAGTGGTGTCTTCTTTGTCAATACCGTGCGCCAGGCATTTACGAAAAGTCTGAGACCTTTGGAAACAGGGGCGGCACCAGGATTTCCCACACCGGAAGATACATTAGTTGGGTCACCAAAGCCGAGCAGCGTGGGTAACGATGATGGTAGAGATCCAAGCAGACTTCTAGAACTCCGGGCGAAGTGGACTTATGACCCTCAAATTGCGCGGTATCTCGGAGAGGCACCAGGACTAGAGGTTGCAAGCCAACTGATGATGATATATTTTGAAAGATGGCACCCTATTTTCCCTGTCCTGCACGGCCCTTCATTTTTAATGACAATGGAAGCATTCTATTCGGAGACCCGCACCAGCGGTGAAGGAGAAGTATCAAAGCATCACAGAGCTTGTTGGACGGCAATATTTCAGGGTGTTTTCAATATAGCGAGTATCCTCCGACCAGATCTGCAACTTGCACACAAGTCAAAGATTATATCTGCCGCTGATGCAGTCCAGCTGGCCAACGTGCTTCTTAATCGCCATGACATATTGTCCTTTCAAGCTATTCTAGCTATACAGTTATATCTCATCGCTAGCATGTCTCTTCGCAGCGCATCTCTACTCGGTGGGACTATTCTACGAGCAATTCTTCACGCAGGGTATCATCGCTGTCCCTATCGCTATGAAGAATTCGATGTATATGATCGTTTTTTGCGAAAACGTATATTCTGGTCTTTCTATGCTATTGATAGGTATCTAAGCCAGGCGCTGGGCCTACCTCTTGGTATACAAGACTCTGATATCGACGTATGCCTTCCTGCAGTCGTCGACTGTCATAAACCAGGAAATCCTCTTCCGCTTCCATCGATGTCTCCAGGTAGGGCAGCGGAGGGACCTTCTGAAATAGCAGGCAGCAGTACACTTCAGCACAGCTTAGTGGATCAGTGGTCTATTGAGAACTCATATAATGGAATATCACCGAGGCGAGAAATTACGTTGGCAGCCTTTGTCTTTTATGGAAGACTCACTGGCAGGGCCCTAGAATTGTTTCACAAGTCCATTCATGCCCGCAAGGTTCCCCGAGACGCTGTTTCATGGCTCGTATCCGATGTCTTTAGATGGTGGAACGGCCTTGCAAGCAATTTAGAGCATGTTGCTGGAAGGAATTCAACGGTTTCGACTGAAGATTTCTCCCCAAAAATAGGTCCTCTTTTTTTCGTCCTCTACAAACATCTTATCCTCTGCATTAATCGCCCATATCTATCGCGTGAGCCTTCATCATCGGGTTTTTCCTCTGGTCTTCAGATGTGTCTCGAAGCTGCGAAAAGTATCCTGTCGTCACTCAAGACGCAGCTCTCAAAGGAGCAGGATTTCTTCTGGCCCGGTCTCTTATCTGCAGCTTATATGGCAGGGTTGGTAATTGCATTTGCATGCCAATTGGGGCAGTATTCTATCTTCAATGGTTGTCAGTAAGTTTAATGAAGTCTCAACCTACTATCGCACTGCCTGCTAACAAAATACAACAGGGAAATCAGCGACTGCCTCGACATTTTGCAGGCCATGTCTCGACAGTGGGAGATCGCAAAACACTGCCACACGGCATTGTCAATATTACTCAAGAATATACAGCGGCAGGGCAGAGATCGCGAATCTTCCAGCTCGAAACGCCTTCATCAGCCAAATTCTCAATCTACTCAGCCCAAGCGGCGCAGTAAAAGGCGGAAGAAAACCTCTGCTGATCATGAAGACGATCATACAGCATCTCAGTCATATGACAATGCCAATTATCAAGCTCAGGAAACACGAAATGCCACGACAGCCGTGGCACAACAATCCACCGAAATATCATCTAATAATATATCCAATACGCTCCACGTCTCTTCGGAATCTGCTCAACTATACCAGCCGCCAACAGACAGCAATAACATCAGTTCCTTCGAAGACGTTACACTCGCAGTGCCCATGATAAATGACTATTTCAACATCGAAGGAATACAATCACCCGACGAATCATCCTTTTTTACGACAAACTTCGATCTTAACATGACGGATCTTTTCCAAAACTCGACGTGGGATCCAAAGCTTTTTGATGCATTTAATCAGGGATGAGCAAGAAGAAAAGAAAATGGCTAAATCAAGCTGAAACACTGAATTCTAAAATCATCTCTTAGGACTATTCCATTAAAGAAGGGATAGGAAATCGTAATTAAAGAACTCAAAACTTCTGCAAAAACCTCAAAATACCACCTCCGATCTACTCTTTATTCATATAGAAAAAAGAAAAAGAGCCAGATCAACCCAATATCCTTAATCGAATAAAAAGCACACCCCCATTTTCTCGTATTCAAGCCTAATTATTCCTAATATAAGATAATAAAGGTAAGAACATTTGAGAATAGGAATACCATTTCCCTAATCACACCACAAGCACCCACCTCACTCACATCACAGTAGTTTGATGGAATGATTTGACCTAACTGCAAAAAGGAGAAACTTTTACCGAGAAACCGGGGATATCAGAATATGGAAAAAAAGAAAAAAAAGAGATAAGGAAAAAAAGTCATACTAAAAAGAGATAAAAGGGAGTAAAAATGGGGGGAAAAAACAACCATAATCGTAAATAATAACATGGAGTCAAATCTTGAGAGCCTCAAAGTGACATGGAGTCGTTCACATAATCACCAGCTAGTCGAGGATAAGATTATGATTTGTTCTCCTCGGAGGACTCTTTGGCACCTTCCTGGGGCTTGGCGTCGCTGGGCTCGTCAGAACCCTTGTTCTTCATGTATTCATCATAAACGTGTAGAGCTTCATCAACCTTGGCGCGCAGAGCGGATTCATCATCGATGCTGTCAAATGTTAGTATATGTAACAAACGAGGAAAACGGATAAAACAAAACTTACAGGCCAAGAAGTTCAGCATTGTCCATCTCAAGCAGCATACCAGTAATCTTGCCAGCAAGCTCAGGTTGCTGAGCCTGGATCTTAGGGTACAAAGCCTCACCAAGCATCTGCTTCTGCTGTTGAGGGGGAGCTGCGCTCAAGGTTTGTAAGGTAAGAGACCCAGGTGCTCCTTCTGGGGCAACAGGAGCTCCAGCCGGGACATTCTGGCCACGTCCACCGGGACCAGGTCGAGGAGGCATACCACCACGACCCTGGCCAAAGCCAGGACCACCACGTGGGCCGCCGACGTTAGGGGGAATGCCTTGAGGAACTTGTCCACGACCGCCAGCACCACGGCCGAACTGAACCTGTGCCATTTGAGGGTAGGCCATACCGTTAGGAATGCCTCCAGGACCAGCCTGCATGGCACCAATAGGGATACCTTGGCCGAAGTTCTGAGGAATCTGCTGGTTTGGTCCACCAATACCACGACCACCTTGTTGAGGGAAACCGCCAGGGTACTGGCCTGGTCGTCCACCAGGGATACCGGCCATGACCATACCAGGTTGAGGAGCGAAACCCAAACCACGTTGGCCAGCGTTGGCTGGAAGGAAACCTTGCTGTCCAGGTCCGTAAAAGACGGCTGGCTGCATGTACTGTACATTCATATTAGTATCAACCGAATCACAATGGTCGCTTATTCAACTTACAGGTTGAGGCATTCCAGCGGCAGCGGCAGCTTGTTGTTGTCGGATAGTGTTGCGAGCCTGGATGCTTGCTTCGAGCTTCAAGGTGTTAGTAGTAGTTTTAAAAATGTATGAATTTAGGTTAAGTTCTTACCTGGCTCTTGCGGACATCCTTACGTTGGGCGAGAGCGACGTAGAGAGGCTTGCCATTGACCATTCTCTGGTTCATCTCAGTGACGGCCTTGGAAGCTTCGTCAGGGCTAGAGAAGCAGACGAAACCGAAACCCTTGCTCTTTCCAAATACCTTCTTCTCGGGCTTCTTGGTCTCGGTCTTCTCTTCATCTTCGGCCTTGACCTTGGTCTCTTCCTTCTCGGATGCTTCCTCGCCCTCTTTCTCGGATGCTTCCTTGCCCTCTTCCTTGTCGGAATCGGAAGAAACGCCAACAGTATCACGCATGACCTTAGCGGAAGTGATGGTACCGAATGGGCTGAAGAGCTCGCGCAGCTTGTCATCATCGACGTCATCTGTGAGGTTCTTTACGTAGAGGTTGACACCCTGGTACTTGGAAGCCTTCTCAAGACGAGCGGCCTCGTATTGACGGCGGAGTTCTTCCTCACGCTCATGTTTCTTCTGAGCACGGCCGACGTAAAGCTTCTGACTGTGGAAGTCTTTGTCATTCAACTCATCAACGGCAGACTGAGCATTTTGGTGGTCAACGTAGTTGACAAAACCGAAACCACGGCTCTTTCCACTGTCGTCACGGCTGATGGTAGCGGAGGTGATATCACCGTATTTGCCGAAGAGCTCACGGAACTCCTCGTCGGTCACCTCAGGGTCAATGTTCTTGACATAGACATTGGTGAAGTTGGCCTTCATTTCCTCAAACTTGCTCTGACGGTCCTTCTTGGATATGTGGTGACCGACAAAGACCTTCTTGTCGTTGAGCAACATACCATTGACGTGCTTGATGGCATTGTTGGCAGCCTCGGCAGTCTCGTAGTGAACGAATCCGTATCCCTTCGAGTTGCCGAATTCATCCTGAGCAACCTTGCAGCTGAGAATGTTTCCGAAGGCGGCAAAGGTATCGTGCAAGGCCTTGTTGTCGATGGCAGTATCCAAGTTCTTGATGAACACGTTACCCTGACCAGTCTTGCGCAAAGCGGGGTCACGCTGAGACCACATGATACGGCATGGACGACCCTTGATCAAAGTGTAGTTCAAGTCCTCGAGGGCACGCTCGCCATCAGCCGTGTTGTTGTAGTTGACATAGGCATATCCAAGAGAGCGACGGGTGACAGCGTCACGGCAGACTCGGATAGAAGCAACCTGTCCGATAGAGGAGAAAAGCTCGAACAGCATGGCCTCAGTCACGGAGGGGTCTAGCTCGCCAACGTAGAGAGAGGCGGAATGAGGCTGGTTGGGATTGGGAGTGGTAGCAGCATCGCTGGTCGCGGTGTCAGGGGCAACGTTGGTGTTGACAGTGGTGCCGTTGGAGTCGGCAGCGCTGTTGGCGTTGTCAGTAGCGGGGGTTGTAGCAACTTCAGCAGACATCTTGAGGATTTTTGAAATCGTTTCCTGTTTTAGAAAATCCAAAAGTATCCCAGTCAGCAATGAATGATCGCATCAAAGACCTCGAGCTTTTAGCGGTATAGAGTCGAGTCTTTTATCTGTCATAAAAGTTGTGACGTACAGATATGAAAAAGCTGAAGAAATGCAGAAAATTGACTCTGTCCGAGATACGAAGAGCGGAACTTTCTCAGGGTCTCGCCTGCAAAAAAAAAAAAAAAATTGAGAACTGCGACGTAAAGCAGCACAGTTCACAGACCGGACTCGAGCAGAATCGATGCGGTGATCACGAGAATTGCTTGTGGGAAGGAACCGACGTTTGGCCTCTTGAACACAAACACACACAAGTCACGGCTTTGAGATCGGGGGGTTGAAACAGTATTTTTCAAAGATTTTTCGCTTTTTTTGTCTTTTTCTGGATTTTTTAGCAGGATGAAAGAGAAGAAGAACTAAGAGGAAGGGGAAGAAAGATGCCAAATCCTTAGCAATGAGGGATGTGGCAGGTTGGTGGAGGAATCAGTCAATCTCTTTAAGCCAAAAGAGGTTGAAAGGGAAATTTTGTGAGCGGCTAACCTGATTGGGACAACTCGGAACCTGTCTCGAACAAAATTTTTCGCAGCTGGCTGGAGTCACGTGAGTTAGCGAGGACTGAGGGAAGAGCTGCAAGAAAAGTGGAAGTCGCCGACAAGGTCTTATCTAATCGTCACATGGTAACTAAGTGGCTCCCACTAGTTACATGGCCGGGCCACTTACCGATTACGTTATCGACTCGAACTCTGTAGACTCAAAAAAGCATGTTCATTCCTCTAACTATCTCCATGAGTGAATTAAACGATGGCTCTAAAATTCTTACAAGAATCATAAGGTGATGGATCGCATAAATTAAATATGAAACACAGAAGCGGGATATATCATGCGCCAAAGCTATGCAACAAATGATCTGAAGCATTTCGGTCATGAGCTGACAACAATAGAAGAAAAAACCTCAACTCAAATCGAACCCAGCACCAGAATTGACAGCATATAGGAGTTTCTGCCGCAAGACTTCGGCACTGGAGTAACGCGGAAGTTTCAATAAGTTCACACAAGTACTCGTACTGGGTAGTCTATCTTGGTCGTCACTGGAATCTCGAATGCTGAAGCGGGGATTCAGATGGCTGAATCCTAGCAGGGGTGCCCGTGGAGTCGAAGTCACGAATTTCAATACCTTCTGACGATCCTCATTAGACAACTCTTGCATGACTTGCCAGAAAAGTTGGATGGTCGGATGTTCCTGGTTGTCGTCACCAATAGTGTATACTCCACCATACAGCGTGTTGCGTCTCAGATCAGCCACGTCGATTTCGCCAGCATCACCGCCGACGAGTGTCTGTAGTTCTGACTGGTTAAACATAGATAGCCATGAGGGTTGGATTATGTCACCAAGGCCCTTGAGGAAGGCGTTTGTCTGGGGGGCAGGTTGGTTCTGAAGCCTATGACGAGCAATGTAGGATATGTAGACGAGCCGATTCTGGTTAGTAACGGAAATGTTAGCGCCACCAGGCTTCAATTCTTTCGTGATGATACGAGGTTTCGACCCAGGGACAGGAATCGTATCCGTGACGGTGAAATTCAAGGCAAAGTCTTCAACGTCACCAGGGTAATTTTTCAATTGAAGCTGTAATCAATCGTTAGCAATCTGGCAACAAGAAACGCAAAGGATGCAAGCATACCAGCCCTTGATATAATCCCTCATCCAGGTCCCTGAGATCGTTCAAGTTAGCCCTATACGCTGATTCCCTCCGAGCAGACGTTGAACCCCCCGTCAAGGCCCACTTGAGAAGAAAGAATCCCGCAAAATGAACATCAACAAGGATGCCTTCGTAAAGACACTTTCCAATCACGCGGCCCAGAAATTCATAGCGCTTGAGTAGATCTCGCACGCCATCCACAAATTCAGGACTGCCTTCCTTGCAGCCCATCTGCCGTAAGACTTCTTTGCGTTGCTCCACTGCCACAGGATTGGGGTAAAGTAGATTCTGATCATTTTCGACAAAAAGATCAAGGCCGTTGGACGGCATAAATGCTTCATTCGTAATACTAGTCAGAAATTCTTTGGTAACTCCACCTCCATCGATTCCGGCCTCCGTCGCACCGAACTTATCGATAAAGCTAATCTGAATCGGCTCTTTGAGACCTTCCCCCAGGTCGTAGAATTGCTCAAATGCGTCGTCAAAAACACTATCCCGGTGAATGCTTGCATGATGGCGACTGAGTATATCTCTTGCCGCGGCATTTCCGTCAAGTAATCGACCCATAGACGCAGCAGAGACCGACATGCGCCAAGAATCAGGATCAATGAAGCCTTGTCGTCGTCGCATCTGATCGCGGTAGATGAACTCTCGGAATATTTGAACTCGTGTAGCAAACGGAATGAAGAATGGCATGTGCCTCAAAATCTCGAGTCTTGGCGCAAGTGCTTCCAATTGCTTTCGGCGAACTGCTTGTTGCTGATGGCGCCGGAAAGCTTCAATACGTCGCGCCTGTTGCGCTCGCCCTGTGCCGATTATTCCAAGTGACTGAGAAGGCATATCATCCAGATAGTTATTATCCTCGGTCTCCTCATCATCTTGAAGCTGGTGGCGGTTTTCTTCCTCGGCAACGACTGCTGAAATAAATCCTTCCATATCAAAGCGCGATGTCATCAGCCAGTGACCCTCTGGAAGGAATTTACGACGAGAACTGCATACAGTTAGTCAGTCTGAACAACAAATGAGGAATGACTTCACAACTTACTCCCGCTCATGTATCATTCTCAGGAGCCCAGTAACCAGGCCTCTAAAGTAATCAAGTGGGATCCCGGTGACTCCAGGTAAGCCCTTTTCCTTGTTCCTTTGTTCCAACTCTCGTACACTCGGTAGAGGTTCCTTTTGGTTACTGGGAGAAAAGTACTTCATAATACTACCAGTACTTTCAGTATCTTGTGTCTCGTTGAGATCGGCCGCGTTCCAGTACAATGTAAAACCTAGATTCTTGAGGAAGATCGTCAAGGATTTCACGTCTTTCAATAACAACGCACTTTCCCGCGTCCAGGAGGCTTTCGTGTCCATGCTTGTTAATACCGAATCACTGGAAAAGAACTCTTCATCATCCATGACCTTCAACAAGAAGGTATAGAGCTCCAAAAATAATAAGATGATTGTCCAATCCTGATCGCGTTGTACTCGACTTGTCGCGTCTCCGGATGGCGGGCGTAGCAGTGGAAGGACTCCATTTGAATCACTACTGATCTTGGCGAATACCTCTGTTGCGTTGCTCATTTTCCAGAAGTATTTGATAGCTGGAATTCTAAGGGCGGGTTGCGACGTCGACGGACCTGAAGAGGTAGATCCTAAGTAGAGCCACATGCGAATATCGTCTCCACGTCGAGGGAAAACCCTCAGAAGGGTCAAAGCGTATGAAGCCAAAGCTTTTGCATCTTCTGATACGAAAGAACCCGCCTCATCAGGACCATTTTGCATTTCGGTAGGCCGTACTTTGTACAGAAGACCTGTAATGCTACTCTGATTCACAAGACTGTTGATTTGTTCTTCAATAAAGGGGTGCAGGGGCGGTTGTTGCGGTTCATCGGTATCTAGAGAATCATCCGGTTCTATTCGCCTTGACAAATATGAAGTGACCGAGTTCAAGAGGTTAGAGATCACTTTGACGAATTCAGGCTCTGGAGCTTCTTCCACTGAGCTTCCGCTGACTGCAGACCGACGGAAGAATATGAAATACGCCAAGAGCCATATACGAGATTCTAACTCATCATTGCTAAGTTCTTTCCCTATTGTGCCTTGGGGGTATGAGTCGAGTGATTTCGCCAAGAGTCTATAATTGATTTTGAAAGTTATGGCATCTAGCCGACCAATGTAACGTCCGAGATCCGGGACAGTAAGGTACTTGCGAGCAAACCATTCATACGCGTCTGATGTATCTGCCGTGATGGGCTGTAGCAGTGCGAGGGTAGTGGTAACCAGCTGATCGACCGAAAATCCCAGTTTCTTCGATAGCCCGTGAACGTCTGTAGTCAACGCCGCCATCACAGTATAGTATTCTTCGGCAAGTCTAGCCATTTGTCTCGGGATGAGATCGATCAGAAAGCAGAGTGATCGAAGAAGCAAGTCACCGGGTAGGTGAGAGTGCCTGGTCGGAGATGCCAGCTTCAGCGTAAGCCTTAACGTAATCTTCGCTAGGCGGGCAAGAAGCAACGTCCATCCCTCTTCATCTGCCATTGTAGACACTTCTTCAAATGTTTCCCTGAGAGCATTCAAGAAATACAGAAGCCGCAAGGCATCGCTGTCATTCGGAACTTCAAAAAACTGCAACAGCAACCTAAGTTGCACCCGACACTGGTCCAGAGATGAGTATGCCACAGCCCTATGAATTTGATCGACATCATCATCCCCGAAACCCGTTTTCACGCCATTTCTGTTCTGTTCATTAATATCCCACTCCCCTCTCCAGGCATTGCGAGTCACTCTTCTGCTCAAGTAGCCCCGCCATGTTCTTTGCAAAAGACGAGCCGAGTTAAGCCGTTCTCTTTCCAGTTGTCTGGCTAATCGTTCCTGCTGTGCGATAGCGAGTGTATTCTGCGGACCGTGTCCATGCGGGGGTTGTCGGCTGGATCCTGGAGACGAAGCGAAAGGGTTGACGTTGCGGCCGGAGAGATTCACCTGCCTGGGCCGGCGAGAGCTCCCGGTAAAAGACTGGAACATGACTCTTTATCGACAAAACGAAGCTGCCTCAAAAATAGCAAGCAGGATGATAATATCGTTATTCTGATTCATCGCTCTAAAATATACAGTCGAGCATTTTGATGATTGTAGCGGTAAAAGGAGGACGATGCGTTTGTGGTTGTTGATGAGACGAAGTTGGAGTTGGGAGCTATGTCATCGTAGATTATGTACCTTAGTTATCTCTAGGGCCGAGCCTTAGGTAAGTTAGGTACGCCATCCACCGCGGAGCCACACCTATTTCAACTTTCTTTCTTTGCCACATAACACTTTTTCACAGAACAAAAAATAACACGAAATTGTTGTGAATCACACAAAGTACAGTGAGATGATAAGTGTATACTGATATCCTTTGAAATATATTTGGATTATTAAATGTTATAGCAAATATCACAGTTCTCTGGTTGCACCCTCATCCAGGGGCCCGCTCAGGAGAATACTCGAGAAGAGATCTAGGCACTTTGTATTTTGCCTCCTGGAGCTTTCAAAGTTGGATTGTTGAATGACTAATTCGATTGACGGTGTGCTAGGTGGTGCATGATTCTCTGTTTCAGCGTATGTCGACTGGTCGAGAGTAAAAATCAAACGCCGGGATATTTCCATTACAAATATTTTGCGAGTATTTTTGTTTACTGGCGTATAGAACCGGTTGCCCGATATGGAGTGCCTGGCGAAGTCATCACAGAATATAAGCAGCTGACAGCTCTTCTTCCTGACCTACCCACAACTTCACAATTTCCCTAGCTAGGGACGCGAAGCGAGGAACCGCACAAGCAATCTGTGCTCCTGAGAACTGGAAATTAGACTATTGCGCCTAAACGAAGCTCAATTATAATCTATGATAAGCGCCAACGATCGGAGACGGATCTCAAAGGACCAAAGGGCATAGACGAAAGCTCCGTTAATTTTACCCTTTTGCTTCTACTGAACACAATTGCAAAGGTTCTCTTAGATAGCCACCTAGAGTAGCGTCTTCATGCAAAAAGCGGCGCAGATAGTGGCCTGTACGAAACAATGGCCAAATGAGGACCGACAGTAAGTTTATCCGACAGATTTCCGGAGATATCTGTTCTATCTAACAGTTAGGTGCCAGGAGATCATCATTTCACAGAATTCTGGCGAGCTATACGTGACCGTTGTCTCCTACGATGATGACTGGATACGATACATCAATCCTCAAGTTATGAAACCTCTTGAGATTCATGGAGATGCGTCGATTTAGTCGATATCGCCTTGATAACGCCGAAGAAATGAAGATAGTAGCGCCGTTCCTTCTCGGGCCACTTCCATGAAAGCATCGTTCTAAAGTACGTTTGATATTGTGAACCGGAAATTAAACCATTTGCACCAAAAACGAAGCTCCTTTATGGCATACATTCCGGTTGACAGATATGAAAGAATTCATAATGCCTGATGGGCGAGCCGGCACCCAAGGGTAAATAGAAGGGTTGGAAGTCGCTCCGGAAGTTCTTCGGTGCCATACGTTTCTTTTCCTTCAGGCAGCATCCAATCGGTAGGTACGAGTCATGGGCATATACCAACAGTATGAAATGCTGTACTGAGCTTAGCCGTACCTGATATTATCAACTTAGCGTTGAGACGAGCCACCGAATGTTTCAATGATTTATTCTTCTGATTGTGTAATGTACATGCTCTAATCGATTTCCAATGTAATTCCGGATACCTTGAACGCCAATCCTGCTGCCGCCAGTACGCTGGGCGGGCTATAGATGTCCGCATATGTTATAGACGACTTCTGAGATCGATCTCTTTCGCTTCCACCACTCGCCGAGAGCAAGATTGCACAAATCATAGTCCTTGCTTCTTCAGTTGTACTAGAGTGCGCCCTCCCTTAAGCTTCTTCTTCCGCCTGTTCTGCTCATCCCGCTTAATCACCTCCTGTAGGTCGGCCTCGGCCTTAGCCTTGAGGTTGTTTCGTTTCGATTTCCAATGGCTTGACCAGTCATCATGTTCTCGAGGATTGAGATTCTCCCACAGATCCAAATAATCTTCTCCGTTGAATGCGCGGTCCTTGGATATCGTCAAGCCGTTTCGGACTTCTTCAGTGGTGTATTTTGTTCGTGTTGGGAGGAATGATTTTGTAACGAACGGAGTGAGCTAATAAGAAGTTAGTATCAATGTAAGGCAATAATGGAACAATCAATTGACCGACCTTAAAGTCATCTAAGTTCTCGGGAACGACATATGTTCGCAATTTACCGGGGTCGATAATGTATGCGCTGGTCTTCAGGAAAAAACCCATAGAGCCCGTGCGATTACCTTTGTAGTAACCTCGACCGACTTGCTTTGTAGTCAGGCGCAATCGCGCCATCAATGGCTGAGAAGGCTTCATTCTACACCCCGATATTGAACAATTGACACTGTATTGGCGTGGTATCCGGAGTTGTTCTTGTCGAGACTCTGGATAAAGAGCAATCACTCAAAAGTTGATATCCGTGCCAAGACCGCCCAAGGAGAATCGGAGCTGGAAACAGCGCTAGTGAGGTACCGCCCGGCAGAATAAAAATCTTAAGGGAAGGAACAAAAAAATAATTATCAGCCCCACTGGGTTTCATGACGGCGACTTCGAAGTGAACAATTTCTTCTGAAGTTCTCTTGCTCTTTCCGGCAAGAGTTTACAGTTATGGCGGGCAGAAAATCAAATATTTTAAAGTCGCGCAATGACACAGTTTCGAAACCGAAGCAAAAGAGAAAAGCAAGCAAAGGTCTAAATGCACTTGCTATTGCGGAACACCAATTCCCGACCAAAGCAAAAGTTCGAGCCCATCGGTACGGTGAAGTCGAAGATATTCCTAAGCGTAGGAGAAACGATGAAGAAGAAGATGTTCCCGATACGAAACGTCGCAGGACAGACGAAGACGGCGCGTCCGAAGGGGATTACGGAAGTGATAGTGAAGGTCATGAATGGAAAGTAGGCCAGGTCGATAGCGAGGACGATAGTGACATCGACAGTGATGAGGCATTGGGTAGTAGTGACGAAGAGCGTTTTGAAGATTTCACTTTCCGCGGGAGCTCTTCCAAACCGAACGCCAAATCCGTACGAAAATCTAAAACTGTCAAGCGCCAGAAAATCGATCTCTCCGAGGGTTCTGATCCTGATGCCGATGCTGACTCAGACCAAGAAGACTATGACGATGATTTGGGAGAAGAAGCAGTGGACTTGGCTACTGCTTGGGACCTCAATGGGGAGGACAATGAAGACGATGACAAGGTCTCGGCTAAGACATCCAAAAAATCTAAAAAACCACAGTTGGTTGATGGGTTCTCGGATGATTCCGGCTCCGATAGTCTTGGAGAGGGCAGTAGCGAAGAGGAAGAGAGCGACAACACCGATATATCTATGTCCGATGATGAGGAAGACGACAAGGGGGATGGGCTTTCCAAGCTTCAAGATTTCGTCAGCTCTCTGGCAACCAAAAGTGCCGGAGCAACGTCTCGGCAACGAAAGGTCCATGGTCAGGAGAATGCTGTTCCAACAGAATATGGACTGACTTCCACTCGAAAATTGAACGTGTCTGATCTCTTGTCTTCCGTGACGGATTCGCGGCTCAAAGGGTCCTTGAAGCATCTAAGCTCAACTTCCACAGCTCAAGGTGTCAAGTCAAGCGCCCCGGGAAAGCTGACTGCACCTTTGGCTAAAAGGCAGCAAGATAAGATAGATCGAGCTGCAGCCTACGAAAAGAGCAAGGAGACATTGAATCGATGGATAGATACAGTGAAAGCAAACCGGGAAGCCGAACACATCTCATTTCCTCTACCTAACCCATATGAGCAACAAGTTGCCAGGCTTGGGCCAGTTGAACCCAAGACAGATTTGGAAAGCACGATCAAATCAATCCTCGTTGAAAGTGGTCTAGCGACTGATGAGAAATCTGCCGAGAAGCAGTTCCAGGCAGCCGAGGAGTTGGAAACTCGCAAAATGTCACTTGAGGAAGTCCGTGCTCGAAATTCAGAACTTCGAAAACGTCGCGACCTGCTTTTCAGGGAAGAAGTTCGAGCAAAGCGGATCAAGAAAATCAAGAGCAAATCATATCGTCGTGTTCACCGGAAGGAGCGCGAAAAGCTGGAGGAAGTGGAAAGGCAGGCTTTGATCGATGCTGGCATTGATCCTGATGAACAAGAAAGGGAACTATATGACCGCCGGCGAGCAGAGGCCAGAATGAGCACAAAGCACAGGGACAGCAAATGGGCAAAGAGCATGAAAGAAACTGGGCGTACGGCCTGGGATGAAGATGCCCGTTCCAGTATGCATGATATGGCCAGGAGAGACGAGGAGTTGCAGAGACGAATTGAAGGGCGAAACGTCAAGGCAGACGGTGATGACTATCTAGGGTCGTCAAGCTCAGAATCGGAAGATGACCATGACGAATGGGATGAAGAAGCTGATTCAGATGTCGAGGCGCGAATTCTCAATAAAGATCTAGATGCTCTCAACGATTTTGATGATTCGGGATCAACTGGGCCGCATTCGAAATTGATGGCCATGAGTTTCATGCAAAAGGCCGAAGCGGGACGCAAACTACAGAATGATGAAGAGATTCGAAGATTGCGTCGCGAAATCAATGGGGACGAAGGAGATCAGTCTGAAGAGGAAGAAGGAGGTCGAAAGAAATTTGGCGGTTCCAAACCAACAGAAAAACAGAGTCTAGCTGACACTCGCAAGAAAAATGAGTTTGAGGAAACCGTCGCTTCCGATGACGAAGACCTTGGCACTGAAACTATAGATATGCAGGAGCATGGTACCAGCAAGCACACCAAAGGAAGCAGCAAAACAAAAGGAAGCGTTGTCGCCAAATCCGACAAAACGGGTGTATATAGGCCAGCTATGAGAGATTCAGACAAAGAAGTTGAAAACCCCTGGCTGGTACAAAATACTCGAGCAAACAGGAAACGTCAAGTCAATAACATTGACGAGACTATAAACATTTCTGTTGGTGATCAGGAACAAGCGACTGTGAGCAATGCTAGCAAGGTCTCGGGGGTACAGAAATCACAAAAAGCCAACAACCTAAATTCTCACAACAACACTCAAGCCAATGGATTGGACAGTGGCAGTGATGAGGAAAATGCCCCGGTCTTACTCACAAATCACGATCTCGTCAAGAGAGCGTTTGCTGGAGATGATGTTGTAGAAGACTTTGAGCGAGAAAAACAAGAGACTATCGAGGAAGAAGGTGACAAAGTCATTGATAACACTCTACCTGGCTGGGGTAGCTGGACCGGTGCTGGTATCAGCAAAAAACAGCAAAAGCGCCAGAAGAAGTTCCTCACTAAAGTCGAAGGCATCAAACCAGAGCAGCGCAAGGATGCGAGACTTGGACATGTTATCATCAACGAGAAGCGAGTCAAGAAGGTAATCATATTCAGTTTTCTCATATGTTCATCTGAATATAGACTAACAATACTCGTTTCTAGAACGTGAAATATATGGCCACACAACTTCCACATCCCTTCGAGAACAGACAGCAATACGAGAGATCTCTCCGTCAGCCCATTGGTCCTGAGTGGTCTACTTCAGACACTTTCCACGAGTCTACCAAGCCTCGTGTGCTTATCAAGCAAGGCATTATCAGACCCATGCAACGGCCTCTTATTTGAGCCAGTGTATTGTTTGAGTGTCGGGGAAAGCTACCAGTCGTCGGTTTTGTTCTGTATATATGTATATACCCTGGTGCAGTGCACACTTCAATTTCTGGTAGGATAGTCAAGGCCTGTCCAGTTGCTTATGCAGGCGCGCAGACGAGATGAATTCACTGTTCCTATGGCCCACTCTCTCCTCTAGTGCCTAATATCTTGAGTGTCTTGCGCATCCGTGATATGCCCTAACAACTGTACAGAAGGCCGTCCGAACTAGCGCTACAATACAATATACCAAGGCATGGATGTCGCACCAGAGGTCGCGTGTTTATGGAATGTACTTGGATCGCTTCCACGTAAGCTAAAAACTGGGGGTGGAATGCTTTACCATGTTTATAAGGATAGATGAAAGCGGACTGTGAGCCGCTTCTTGTACGACGACCAAAACAAAACCCTAAAAATTCCGTTCTTTGACAGTCCGAGTAATAGAGCACGTATATACGATTTTTTCTTTTTTATCAGGAGCTGATTCGGGGTATGCCAGTCATCGTCAGGTATGGGGATTGGTGGGGAGCGGACCTTCTCATTGGCCAAAGCACATACCTCATCTCCTGCTTGTCTTCCACTCTGGGTTTCCTTCTTGCTTCGTCTCGCCAGGGACAGGATCCTACTTTAATCTTTACACATTCCTGAACTATTTGCAGCTGTCAGATCCCGATTGGTCTTATATTGGTGAGTGTTTTGATGATCCAATGCATGATGGCATGCTGCCTGCCCTCAAGTATCTATATTCAAGACATCCGGGCACCGAGGACATGTTGATTTATCCTCGAAACTGTTTGCACTCGTTTGAACGTGGTTGTCATCCTACGCCACTATTAATTTCCCTCGTTCTGAACATATGGCTTCTTGAAAAGGAAGAAAGTCACTCGTTTACTCAATGTGCTTCGACTAGACAACAGTCTGCACGCCAAATGACCCTGTCACTCGCTTGTTATGCATGAAAAGTCATTCGTTTTGATAAAAAACATTTTGTTCAACATTTGCAAAGATGATTTGTTATAGTTTTGTCATTTTTAATACTTTACTAATATGGTTTCTGAACATTCAAGGCATATATTGCCTTCCTCCGCTCATCCCATCACCAACCACATATTCGGTATGATGCTATCTTACATGCATATATTTCATTGCTGATAATGATATCAGGTTCCTAAAAGCCCCGGATCAGTGATCCAAAGCACTGCGAGCTTGACGACTCTCTATCCTCCAAGTACAGCAAGGTTACTTGATATTCAAACAGAAGGGGTATGCATATGCATAGCTATGTGCACGTCATCGAAACGATACTAACGATATCTCTTAGGTATACGAGTCTCGTTTAGAGTCTGACGGACATCCATCTCTACAACCTTTTCCATTCCCCACCATTAGCATCGAGCCGATCGAAGGATTTGGCGACTTTAGTGGCTCTCGACCTTTCATCCCACTTGCTACAGCTCCACCAGCAACAGTCACTGTAACTTCTACAGTTTACTCACCCAGTGCGAGTCGATCTGTACAAAGCAGCAGTGCCAGTCAAAGATCGCCTACAACAAAAGCCACTGCTTCTCTCTCAAGAATGGATGGGCAAGATGTCTTCGAGACAGTCTCCTTGGATGCTGTTCCTACAAATATTCCTGTCAAGGAAGACCATCCCGTACCGAGAGTTGGCATTGTATGTAATATTCTGCCTAAGATGACTTCGTTGCTGACCAGATTCTAGTTGAATACAACCGCTCCTATTGAAACCAACAAGTTCTATGCAAACTTCTTTCTCGGAAATCAGACCACGTCCTCGTTCACTCAACCTTATTCCTTGTCATGGTCAAGGGGTACCGGAAATGCCGGGAGCTGGGGACTGGCCATCTCCCATACCGACCTGGATCAACTAGTATATGGAGGTCCAAACAATAGTCTTCCTGGAAATCCAGTGGAATATTATCTAAACCCTATTGGTCTGCAGTCTATCACTCTGTCTGCACGTGAACTGGGCCCTTCTACCGTCTTGAATACCGACCAATTGACTGGATTCTCTGCAGATGTCATTTTGCAACCTTCTAACCAGTCCAGCCCAAGCATTACTTTCCCTGTACTGCAGGGTATGGGCTTTGTGACCGGTATCTATACAGGACTACAGCCACTTGTTCAGAGCTGTATCACATTTCGGGACCTAGTGTGTGTGGGACCTATACGTCAGGGAACATATAAGTACCGTGTCACTCTGGCGGATGGAAAGAGCTGGCTATTCTATGTAACACCGGACAGTGACAACGGTGTTGATCCAGGTTTTGACTTTGCCGGTTCTAATACCGCCATCCAGGGACCGTCCGGGTTTTCTGGCATTGTACAGGTTGCAAAAAACCCTCTGGGTGGCGCGGGAGAAGCTGTGTACGATAAAAGCGCTGGTGTCTATGCTAGATCTGCCAGTATTACTGGGGCAGTCAAGGACTCTACTGGTATATACAGATTGACATGGGAAAAGGCCGGAAAGAACGCTACAGATACTCCTGTTTTGATGTTCGCCTTGCCCCATCATGTTGAATCATTCGATGGACAAACAAAGTCTGCTGTGCAACCGCTACAGTTGCGCTCTACCACGAAAGGCAACATGACAGCCGTGGCATCGGACAGCTGGACGATGGTTGAAAGTGATCTTCCGATTGGTATTGACTTTGCGCCATGGTCACCGTCCCTCGGCAACGTGGACGGCCTTTCAACAGATGTTCAACAGACTATTAAATCTTCTGCGGAAAGCGAGTTGACTCCCGACGTAGACGGGCAGAGTAACCTGAACAGCATGTACTACAGTGGCAAGGTCTTGAGCAAGTTTGCTACTCTGGTATATACCGTTCATACACTGGCAAACGACCCAGGACGAGCTGCAGCTACACTTGATGGTCTCAAGAAGGCCTTTACCCGCTTCGTGAATAACGAACAGCAGTTTCCCTTGAATTACGATAACTCCTGGAGAGGAGTAGTATCTAGTGCTGCTTACGCGACGAACGACCTAAATCAGGATTTCGGTAATTCGGGCTACAACGACCATCATTTCCATTACGGATACTTTATCCACGCAGCTGCAATTATCGGTGCTCTAGATCCCTCCTGGCTTAATGATGCCAACAAAGCATGGGTGAACATGTTGGTTCGCGATGCCGGCAATCCTGCATCCAACGATCCCTCGTTCCCCTTTTCACGAGCCTTTGATTGGTACCACGGACATTCGTGGGCTAAGGGGCTTTTCCCTTCGGCTGATGGTAAGGATCAGGAGTCTACATCGGAAGATGCCATGTTTGCGTACGCTGTGAAGATGTGGGGAAAGACTATTGGTGACAAGAGCATGGAAGCCAGAGGCAATCTCATGTTGGCTTTGCTTCGACGATCATTTAAAAACTATTTCCTTATGGAGAATGATAACCTGAACCATCCAAGCAATTTTATTGGCAATAAAGTTACTGGAATCGTGAGTATTCTTTCTTGCTTCGTTCAACTCGGTGATAGCTAAGGGTTGTATGCAGTTGTTTGAAAACAAAGCCCACCATACTACCTATTTTGGTACCAATCTTGAATTTATCCAAGGGTCAGTAACTTCCAAGTCACTGTCGTTCAAAGCTCTTACTGACTTGTCTACAATATCCAGAATCCACATGCTCCCCCTTCTACCTTCATCCGCATATACTCGCAACGAAACATTTGTGAACCAAGAATGGGACGCCATATTCTCTCAAAGTGCCTGCACACCAGCTTCCACTGTATCTTCTGGTGGCTGGAAGGGAGTCTTGTACGCCAACCGCGCAATCGTCGCTCCCAAAGAGGCGTATGATTTCTTTAACCAGCCGAATTTCGACATGAGTTGGATCGATGGCGGAGCTACGCGTACATGGTATCTCGCTTATGCTGCAGGTAAGTTACTCTTCGCTTTGGCGTAGCTTGGCGAGTTTATTCAACGAATCTAGGTCTCAATGGTGGAAACTGAGTGGGACTGACTCACTCGTTGAACGGATGGATAAGACGGGGGACTTCGTGAGCATTCTTTCTTCTATTGGGCGGTTATGTCCTAATCACTCCCTTCATTTAATTGTGCCTGTTTTCATACATAAAAAGATAATTTTTCTTAATCGATATTGACATATGCCAATACTCGATAGTCGATAACTACTACACACATACATAGGGTTGATGCCTCCTAGGGCTATATAAGTCACGTGATAGGTAATGGCTTCCCCGCAGGTTGTCATGACAATACATAAATCATGTATTACAGACCCCGGCCAGTATGGGTCAGTATGTGTGACATGGTACGCAACACGTAAGATCGTGTATTATTAATCTATGATTCGATGCGCAGAGCGGAGCTTGGCAGACCCGGGGCCAATAGGAGAGCTCGGATATTGAGGCTGTGCAAGCGCCAAGACTGCAAGTCAGCATCATTCAAAGAAGCTTGGTTCATCACTCTTTCTTATCATCGTGACCATATATCGCTCACCTTAAGATTCAACAAGCGGTCACACCAGGAACGCTAGCCCTTGACTCACTGGCCGCTTCCTCGGATCATCTTGCACCACTTGTGACCACTATCAGTCCGAGTACTTGGCACCTAGACTGCCCAGTGTGGCTGTACTCTCTTCTCCGCACGCTTCATCGTTAGATCTTGGGATATTGCATCGATCAATTGGAGATTAATATACGATCAGTATTTGTTACAGACACAATACGGCATTCCGTCAGAGGATCCAAAGATTGATAGGATTAAGGATCTCAGTCAACTGTTCTTATTCGTCGGACCAGCAACAGGCGTACCAGAGAAGAATGAATCGAAGTAAGCATGCCTTTGACATTGTACCTTCGAAGAGTCCAGACGGACTATAACCACCCCTCCGCGTCCCTGACACTCCTATCTTCCCCTACCTTACATAGTCATCATCTCTTGTTGACCTATAAGATTATATTTGTCATTACTTCACTGAAAAACACATCTCCTTTCCTTCCGGATCATTGTCTTCCTCCGCGCTTTCCATGCTCAGATACTACTGCCCGATACCCATGTCCTGGATCTGCAATTGTCGTTAATCGGACTGGAACTTGATTCGCGACCGAACATCCCTGCCACTTGTGCATAATTTGCTGACGCCAGTGACCACCACTTCTACAGCAACTTCCTCCTCTTCTTCGCAAAGAAACATCTTTCGAGAGTTTCGGCGAGCCGGCTCGTCCTACCGGTACAACATGACACGAAATGGTTCAACCGATGTGCATGAGCGTTCGCTGCTGCTCCATCCTCGCACCTATTCCGAAAGCTATCACCATACCGATTCGCCTTACCGGGATGATCCACGGTTCTGGGTCAGGTGGCCTGCGCAGACTGCGCATCTAACTTGGCTCACTCTTGCGAGTAACTATGTCAACGTCCTGTTGGTCTTTGTACCTTTGGGTATTGTCGCCGGTGCCTTGGAGTGGGGTGCTGCGACGATTTTTACCTTGAATTTCCTCGCCATCATGCCGCTGGCTTCATTGTTGAGTTTCGCAACCGAGGAACTTGCCGCTACCATGGGACAGACCTTGGGCGGCTTGATGAATGCGACTTTTGGTAATGCCGTGGAACTGATCGTGCGTTGATCAACCCGTCTCGAATTCTTATCGAGGACAGAGAGCTAACTACCTTTATAGGTCAGCATTATCGCGTTGAAGGATGGCCAAATCCGCGTTGTCCAGGCAAGCATGCTCGGAAGCATCTTGTCAAATATACTGCTAGTTCTTGGGTGCTGTTTTTTGATCGGAGGTATTCGTTACCCTGAACAAGAGTTCAACTCTACAGTGGCCTCAACCATGTCCTCCTTGATGGCTGTGGCGTCGGCCTCTTTGATCATTCCCGCGTCGCTTTTCGCAGCTATGTCAGATTCCTACAATCCCGAACCCGATACGAGGAAGAGCATTCTTCAACTTTCTCGCGGCACTGCTGTCATTCTTTTACTTCTTTATGTTATGTACTTGGTCTTCCAGTTAAAGACGCACTCCAATTTATTCGAGGAATCGTCTGGCGGCGACAACAATGTTGAGAGTCAGGTACCTGGATCTGAAGACGAAGTCGAGGAACATATTCTTAGCCCATTGGCGGCTGGCGTGGCTCTAGTCGTTGTCACAATCTTGGTTGCCGTCTGTGCGGAGTATCTTGTCGGCAGTATCGAGGGAATCGTTGAAAAGACCGGCATGACCAAGACATTCATTGGCCTGGTTCTGATTCCCATTGTGGGCAACGCTGCTGAGCATGTTACTGCTGTCGTTGTGTCTTACAAGAACAAAATGGATCTGGCGATCGGTGTGGCAATTGGCAGCAGTCTTCAAATTGCACTCTTTGTCACTCCGTTCCTTGTCATTCTTGGTTGGATAATGAACGTGGAAATGACATTGTACTTCCATATCTTCGAAACAGTCTCCTTTTTCATTTCTGCTTTGGTGGTCATTTTCCTTATCCAGGATGGAAAGTCGAATTATCTGGAGGGTGGCTTGTGTCTGGGAATGTATGTCAACCACTCCTTCCTTTTGAAGCTCTGACTCTGTGAAACTAACAATTCATTAGGTACGCCATTCTGGCAATTGCCTTCTACGTCTATCCTGACACTGATTAGTTGACCCATTCTCGTTACGAGAGGCGTCTACTTGGAACGTCTAAACTGGAGGATGAGGCTTTTTGTCTGTACAAATTGGCAATGTATGGATCTCGGAATGAGACGATTTCCTTGTAAAATGTATCTAGCAGCTGATGATTTACTAACTTTCGACGAACTATCACTACCACTACGAAAAGTTTGTATATATCTATCCTTACGAACGTGACTTTCCTTTGGTGTACTTTGAATATGAACAGATTATTGGCATCAATATTATGCCAAAAATCAGTATTGTAAGTTTGTCTTGACAACAACATTGAACACTTATTTTTTCTTTTTCTTGGAATCAAAAAACCCTGGTGTATAAGTGGAAATGTAGAAGTAGCTAGTAACAGCCAATTAGGAGCGAGATCAGATGAGGGTCCGGAAAAACATTGTCCCAACGAGAATCTTGGATTAGCCCGCAATACTTCATCAGAAGCTCATTCAAGGACAACGCAGATCGAGCCACACTAGGCACTCTGCAATCGACATTTATGAAAAACTGAATTATTACCTGCTTTTGAGTCAAGGTTGTTGTGTGATCTATAGCGGTCTACAACCATGGCTCCACGCATCAACCTTTTCACCGCGAGAAATGCTCTCCGCCAACAATGCCAATCGCTCACCATAAGACCTCGCCAATCTACACAATCTCCAATCAATTGGTCGAATGGACGAACTGCATATATCACAGAAAACTCATGGCGGTTGTACTCATCAAAGTCCGAAAAGGATTTCCCCGAACACGTCGAGCAGCCCAAGGGTCCTACTCAGGATCAATTACCTCATGTCAGCCAGGAGGCTGCTGCCATTGATAAGATTCTCAGCGGGAAAAAATGCGATGGAAATGCACCTGGATCGCCAGAACTCGAGCAAGGAACTCCAATTGAGGAGGTTAGCCGAATCTCCCGTCAATTAAATGAAAGAGGATTTCACTAACATCCTATCGCAATTGTAGATGATGAAAAGAGACGAAGACGCTCTCAAATACGCACCCAAGGTAATCCGAGACCAGGCCAAGAAAGGAACTCGATCATATTCCACATCCGCACGACTTTATCAAGAAGTCACACAACAATCTACAGGAGCAGCCGCCGAGGATCCATCGATAGTCACGGTCGCAAATATGATTAATCTTGCAACGGAACGAGCTGCTGAAAATCTTCCGGGACTGAAATTTGGCATGCCTGCGCCTCTTCCCAAGACGGAGAATGTTAGGAGTCGATATGATCCTGTTGTTGAGCAGTTTACTAAATTGCTTATGGAGGATGGGAAACTTAGTCGTGCACAAAAGGTAATTATTCATGATTCTATTTACCTTGAAGATGACTTAAATAGCTAATACGATCCTAGGATATGGAGTTTATTCTCAATCATCTCCGCACCTCTGCACCCCCCAAAACCGACCCCAGACGACGTCTCCTTACATCTTTACCCAGTCCTCAGCTTCCCCTCAATCCCGTGATATATCTCAATCTTCTAGTTGATTCCGTTGCTCCTCTGATCAAGATTCGTCAACAGAAAGGTCTCGCTGGTGGTGGTGCATCAGTGCCCATGCCAGTGCCTTTGGCGATGCGCCAGAGACGCCGAACAGCTATCAGATGGATCTTAGAAGCTGCAGAGAAAAGAAAGGATAGTAAGCTAGCTCTCCGTGTTGCTAATGAGCTTGTCGCTGTTGCTGAAGGTCGAAGCGGCGTGTGGGACAAGAGGGAGCAAGTTCATAAGATTGGTGTTTCGGGTAGATCCAACTTGCAGTTGAGGGCTCCTTCAGGAGGACGGTAAGATGTAATTAGTAGTCATAGTTTGATTTCAATGTGTACGTTAATTATATAAAAATGTATATTATCAGCAACTTTTCTTTCCACATCAACAAAAACATGAAATTCATACTCCTTCGATATCGGCTCTGATTGGCTGAGCATAAGGACTTTCTGATTGGCTAAAACAACCGCAGCAGCCGCAACCCATTGACCTTCCTCCTATTAGCCAGTCGTTCGACGTATCTCGTGAAGATGTCAAAAGGATTCCAAGCAGTGGAGCCAGGCTACAACTCCAACACACACATCTCACAGTGACGAATGCCCGCAGCCGATCAGACAGCACTATCGAAACTGGCTAATGACGAAAACGAGGAACGGATCAGATCCCGCTTTCGGTTCCTCCTGAGTTGTCACCGTCGTGGCGTCTCAGAGCATAGAGCTTGTCCCTCTCGAGGCTGGTCCTCTTTCTTCTTTTTCACCCTCTTCATCTTCTGCTACTCGAGCTACTCGACCTTTTAACCAGCGGATCTTACCGAATACATCTTCGACAAGTCTGCGTCGCACAGCAGGGATCAGTTACGGATTTGTCCCACATGACGATACAGCTAGTAGCATTAATAGTGGAAGTCAAGATCACGAGGGAACTGGGTTTTCACCATTACCTTCCCAGAATTTAGAACGGGCGCAGCAACGATTTATCAAGTCTAACGGCAGGGCGGCTACCGGTTTACGACCTCATATTCTCTGGGCGGAAGCTCTTGAGAAGAGAAATCGCGGACTTGATAAATCCTTCCGATACGATCTCGCCAATATGAAGTTCTCGCACAGTCTTCAGTTTAATTCGGTCCCGGACTGGAGTGCTTATTATATTGCATATGATAATCTCAAGAAATTGTACGTTCACTTTTACCTTAATGCTGGTGATACATGTACTAACGAGCTATGGGGATGTAGAATCTACAGTCTGGAGAAGCAGATCCATCACCCCGACACTCATGGCGCAGCTGATTCCGAATCCGCCCCCCTTCTCGACACCTCTGTGGACACCGATACAATCTTTCGGCGTGCTTTGGATGCGGAATTGGAGAAAATCTGCTCCTTCTATCAGATCAAAGAACTCACTATCTTCGGAGAAGTGGAGGATGTTCTCAAGGAGCAGGCACAATATAAAGCTAGTACAGATGGAATGGTTATGGAGCCAGTCACGGAAACAGTGATCAAATCTCGGACATTGAGTATTGGCTCACGTCCACGAACAGGGAGTATTCTACATTCGTTAGGGTTGGGACCGAATCGGCGTGAAAGTACGATTAGTGGTGCATCTGTTGGTGAAGATGATGAGGATGATGAAGATGATCGTGATAGCGACGATCTTGAGTCTCCCGTCGAAGAGAACCGAAGACCGGCGTCCCGAACTCGATCACACACAGGACGATATCGGGATCTTGTCCATGGTGGTGATAGGTCTGACGGGTTCACAAGCGAAATGGGTGATTCTCGATTATGGAATCTTGGCAACTCGCGACACGAGGAAGAGCAGCATGATCCACATATCTTGGATCTTTATAATGTGGGCATTGCCTTGAAGAAACGGGTTATTAGCGTCTATGTCTCGTTGTGCGAATTAAAGTCGTACATACAACTCAACAAAACGGGATTTTCCAAGGCGCTGAAGAAGTACGACAAGATCCTTGATCGCAGTTTACGAAGGGTCTATATGAACGGTACTGTTTCGCCGGCGTATCCTTTTACCGATTCAACGGGAAATCACGTGGACGAAAACATTCGCCGTATCGAGCATGTTTATGCTGAAATCGTCACAAGGAATGACTTGTCGCTTGCAAGGAGAGAACTCCGGCTTCATCTGCGGGAGCATGTTGTCTGGGAGAGAAATACCGTATGGCGAGAAATGATTGGCATTGAGCGCAAAGCGCAGGCAGCAAATATGGGTATCCGTCGGACTCTGCTTGGTGGTGACCACGATCCGTCTACAGCACAACGTCAGGGCGATGTTGAAAGCAAAGGGAAAGAAATCGAGACACCTCTTGGTCGTTGGTATTTCCCGGAATGGATGTGCAGTTTATCTTTCTTCTCCTTGGTTGGGATTATCATAGTTTTCGCCATCTTGCTCTCGGTACCCATCATGGAGAAACCCGAGCAGCAAAATTGTCTGGCGATGCTGGTGTTTGTCAGTCTGTTGTGGGCAACGGAGGTCATCCCGTTGTTTGTCACGTCGCTGTTGATTCCATTCTTGGTTGTGATACTCCGTGTCATGCGCTCAGAGGAAAAACCGCATGCGCGATTGGCACCAGATGCAGCGACCAAGGCTGTTTTCGCGTCCATGTGGACATCGGTCATCATGCTCTTACTTGGTGGGTTTACCATTGCAGCAGCGTTGTCCAAGTATGATATTGCTCGTCGTATGGCCACATTTGTATTGAGCAGAGCGGGGACGAGTCCTCGCATTGTTCTAATTACCAATATGTTTGTCAGTATGTTTTTGAGTATGTGGATCAGCAACGTCGCTGCTCCAGTACTCTGCTACTCTATCATACAGGTTTGCTCTCCTCTTCTTATAGATTGGGCTATTGCTAACTTGCCCAGCCACTTTTGCGCAACTTGCCTTCGGAGTCAAACTTTTCAAAAGCACTCATTCTAGGAATCGCATTAGCTGCAAACGTCGGCGGTGCAGCCTCACCAATTGCATCGCCGCAGAATATTATCGCATTGGAGAATATGTATCCCGCCATAAGCTGGGGAACATGGTTCTTCATCTCGATCCCCGTATGCGTTCTATCCATCCTGGCGATTTGGGTCATATTACTCGTTACATTCCAACCCAGTCGTGGCACAACAATCGTGCCTATCCGACCCGTCAGAGACCGATTTACAGGCACACAGTGGTTCGTTACTCTCACGACCCTCGTCACGATTACCCTCTGGTGTTTCAGCCACCAACTCGACACTGTTTTTGGCGACATGGGCGTAATCGCAATTATACCCATGGTCCTCTTCTTTGGCAGCGGTATTCTCACAAAAGAAGACTTTAACAATTTCCTCTGGACCATCATCATCCTTGCCGCGGGTGGCCTCGTGCTGGGGAAAGCCGTTACATCTTCTGGATTATTACATACAATTGCCGGCGCAATCACCGAACGAGTCGCCCATTTCAGTCTGTACGGAGTACTATTGGTATTTTCGGGACTGATTCTAGTAATGGCTACATTCATCTCGCATACGGTCGCAGCATTGATCGTGTTGCCGCTTGTGCAGCAAGTGGGTGTTGGAATGGAGAATCCGCATCCGAATTTACTCGTTATGACGAGTGCGTTGATGTGTTCTGTTGCCATGGGATTGCCTACGAGCGGATTTCCCAACATGAGTACGCCTTTTCCCTTCCTTTTGTTTACAAGCAGCTGACTAATGTGTGTAGCGGCTATTATGATGGAAATCCCTTCAACGGGGCAGCGATACCTTCGAGTCAGTCATTTTCTTACAAGAGGTATACCGGGTAGTCTTGTTTCGTTTGTGATTGTTGTCACGGTTGGATATGTTTTAATGAGTATAGCTGGATTGTAATTTTGCTTCTAGATATATATTCGATTTGCACATTCTTTTTGTATAGAGGGGGCTACATATTGTTTTATTAGGAAGAAAGCAGATATGAATATCCGAAACCTCCTTCATATCGAACACTCTCTTTGTCTTATTTTGCCCTACTTGAATGGCCTGACCAAAATTGATGGAACCCAACAGTAACGCATAACGATGGCAATACATTATCCTATAGATTCATTAGTGCTCCTAGGCGGTGATTCCCCCCAAATATTGAAGGTCTGTCGTTATTAGCCACTACTAGTATCTCATATCTTGGCAGTACGATCGCCTGAAGCTAGGCGAGCTATAGGAATAGGTGACCGAGTAGACTGTATTGCTTTAACTCTTGAGCGCCTATAGGCATTGGCCACTGCTGGTATCCCATATCTTGACAGTGCGATCGTCTGAAGCTGAGACAAGGTACTTTGAATGATGAGAGTAGGTGACTGAGCAGACTGTACTCCTATGGCCTTTAAGGGTCTGTAGGCACTGGCCAGTGCTAGCATCCCATATCTTGACGGTGCGGTCGTCTGAAGCCGAGGCAAGGTGCTTGGAATCATGGGAGAAGGCAAGTGAGTAGACTGTATTCCTATGACCCTTGAAGGTTTGTAGGCATTGGCCGGTGCTGGCATCCCATATCTTGACAGTGCCATCGTCTGAGGCCGAGGCGAGGTGCTTGGAATCATGGAAATAGGTGACTGAGTTGACCCAGCGGTTATCGCCCTCAAGTATCCCTAGGCAGGCGCTCCGACCCTCCTCCATAGTTAGCTTTCCAATATCCACGCTAGTTCTTGTGTGTCTCAATTTGAATTCTTGCCATGCTCTTAGTAGAGCTAAATATTAGTCCTGAAGCGTAGACTTGGAAGTGGATGATTCTCAATCGCTAAAACACAACTTAGTCCGCTGTACTGATAGGGAGCTCCGGATAAATCCCAAACATGTGCTAGTACAGATTGGTAATTAAGTCTCAAGAAACAATTGTTGGATTGGTGAGTTTGCTCCAGGCCAATCCTGAATAAAATCAAGGGAAAAGTCATAGGAATGCAAGTTCATGTGATGGCTGGTGGCTCAGCGCGTCGGCTCGTTGGTGCTCAAAGGATCTTTGTGTATGAGGAACTGTATTGTATGGAGATGCCTAGAGTCCATTATCCTTTTCGTAACTGATTATACTTGTCATACCGCAGGTTTACAAGAATCTGCAGTATCTCCCGTTTTGTATACTCTAATCATTTGGGATGTGGATGGGACCCAAAAGTAGAAGATCCGCTTACAAAGATTCCCTAGGGAGGCTTTGATCAAGCTTAGGTTAATTTGCCCACTGCCAATGCCATTTCGGGCCAATGTCGGACCGAACATTTGTGGGATTGTACGAGTATGTACCAAACATACATTAGTAAGAAGTAAAATACAGGAACTAGCCATATTTACACTAGTGCAAAACAATGAAGGAGGTTTAGAATTTCTGTAATCCAGTCATACTATCATATCATTAGCATGATCCTGATATTACGCTACCTAGCAATGATACGGATAAATAAGACAAGAAATAAGACATAGGCCAGAGATGCGACCTGTCAAAACGAAATCGCTCAATTTCACATAAAAAAACAGAGAAAAATTTCTTTCGAGATCTGTAGGGAGTCGTGAGATAATCAAGTGGTCGTACCGTTCGTCGCGTAAATCACTTGCTGTGAATATAAAATAAAAAAAGTGTGAAAGTCATCAGCTTAGTTCCTAGGAGCTATGAGTTAGGTATGTTACTAATGATGGCAAAACTGACGGCATATTCCACCATCATGTATGTATACATCAGGGGGTAAAGGGGTCAACTTACAATAATCCCAGAGTAAGATCACCATGAATCTTAGCCTTGAGCTGAATCTCAATATCCAAATTCAGATCAAGACGTAATCTAAGTTGCTCATCTTTACCACCGTCCTCGTCCTTTTGACCACCCCCCAGAACACCGCCCAGAGCTTTACCGGCTGAATCAGTGACCCCGTTTACGGCTTTACCAGCGGTGTTTTGGACCATGTCTGTTGCGCCGTTGACGGTGTTGCCGACGTCGCCTACACCTCCAAGCGGGCCTAAGGCGCCGTTGTCTTGTTGTTGCTGGCGTCGGCTACCGCCGCTGCGGGCACGGTTGCGTCGACCACCTCGTTGTTGACGCTCCATGTCGCTTCGTTCGATTTCTTCGGTATCTTCGGGGTCTTGATATCTTTGTACCCGTCTATTGGGACGACTGCGTCTTTGACGACGCGGTGGTTCTGGTTCTGGCTCGGGCTCTTCTTCTTCTTCTTCTTCCTCAGGCTCTTGTTTCACAGCCTCCGGTTGTTTTTCCTCTTCTTGTTTTGGCTGTTCGTCTTGGTCTTCTTCCTGTTTGGGTTGGTCTTGTTGTTGTTGCTCTTGCTCAGCGATAGGCTTCTTATTAAGCTTGCGTGGCTTCTTCTGTTGTTGGGGAGCTGAAGAGCCAGCTGAGGAGTTGTTTTCCTGAGCGAGGTCCGGGTTGTTGTTGGCTTGTTCAGATGACATGTTGGGAGGAAGAAATCAAATAGAACTTTCTTAAGATGGCGAGGGAGAGAAATCTTATATGATGTCTTGGAAGATAGATGACAAGATATAGATGCACTCGAGGGAGATGATCCCTAAAAAAACTATCTCGACGTCAGACACGGCAGACAGACAGGCGTCATCATCTCCACTGCTAGGCAGTGACAGGCCGGCGCCATGACGATATGACGTGTGGGCTGTAACAGATCTATGGAATATAAAAATATGCTGAGTCTGAATGGACATGTCTAAGTCTGGAGGTTAAAGAGATAGAAAGTAAGGAGCGGAGAACCACGCATCACCATGTGGGTGCCTCAGGCCCTGATTGGCTGTCCCGTGACGTCACCGACAGGGGTCTTCTTCTGGTTGACATTTCCTCTCTCAACCTTCCCATGGACTGTTTCTCTCTCTGCCTGGTTCTAGGCAAAGGTACCAGTCGAGTACCTGATGACGATAGCATTCCATCTATTTGATTCTACGAGAAGGAAAGACTGAGTAAGACGACACTCAGATCTATTAGATTGACGGAGTGAGAGAGACTGACAGACAGGACAGTGGACCAAAGGATCCGTGCTCGCGAACCACCACTCGGATTCGACACGGAGATATATTCATCTTGTTACTATTGACAGATGGTGGGCCAGGGTCGATCGGCTGTTCCACCTGAGACTGTGGCTGGTCTGTGTCTGCCGTCATAGTGCACCATTGACTCCTTTTGTGCGATGTCATATCAACTGCGACGTTGTGGCGTGGCTAGACTGTTGACAGGTATAACGTCATGAAATAGGCAGGCATCGACCACGACAACGTGGGATTCGACTCAATGGCGTAATGCTCGAACTAAGTGACTTCTGTCATGACGTTAACCCGTTCCGACCCTTTATCAGCCTGATATTCTAATAAAAGATTATCCGTCTCGCACCGCTACTTTCACGCGGTATACTGGCCAGAATACATTTTCCATAACCTCAACACCATCACCACCATAGTCAACTCAATATAAGAAATTGCAATGTCAGCCCCCACCGCAGAGAAGCAAAAAAAAGAGGACAATCCTCCTCAAGAAGAGGACGACTACTATTCCGAAGGCGACAGTGACTACGACTACTCAGACGATGACCCCGATGAGCCCATGACCGAGTCCGATGCCGAGAACGACGGACAACTAAGAAGAAAAGCTCGCGGTCGTCGTCGCAATGACAAATACTATGGTGATGAAGATGATTATAGCAACGAATACGATGATGATGATGATGATGATGACTATGACGACGACGACGACAATGCTGTAGCACCTTACGGCGGAAGTGCCATGCGAGATCAACAACAGCAACAAGGTGGTGGAAAGATGGAGCTTGCCTCGGATGCAAAGAAGGGTATAGATGACGAGGAGGGTTTGAAGTTGAAGTTGGAGGTCAATTTGGATGTTGAGATTGAGTTGAAGGCTGCTATACATGGTGACCTTACTCTATCTTTACTGTAAGTTTTTTCTCTGAAGGGATTGAATCATGGTCTAACTGGGTTAATGCAGTGCTTAAAACTATGTCGCTATGACTGGCATATCGCCGATAATCAGACAAATCAAGGTGACACTGCGTTATCTCGCCGGATTCACTCGATCTCCCAACAATACTAGACACGACACCGCAGAGTCTCTCTTACAATCAAGCTATTCAGCGAACTGTACAGATTCTCATGACTAGGGCTCTTTTACCTCTTTTTCCCCTGTTCTCTTTCATGTCATTTGTTTTATGTAACGATTTTGTTCTCATGATAGCGTTTGATGTTCTTTTCTTGACTGAATGCAATTAATTCGACCGTATCAGATGCGATAACCTTAAACGGACTTCGGGTTAGAATATGGTTGCAGATACTGACTCTTAACACAGAACTGTCTACGTACTATCAATGACTGTCAACGGCTGAATATTTCTGTCAATAAGTCATTGTGCATCTTGTGTATTTCTTATGGTCTTTCACTGGAAGCTCATGTCTTCTGATCCGCGTTTCTTCTATAAGCCTCAGAATAGGATGCTATCCGTAAATTACTCGGGCCACCTGCTGTAGAAAAATTTGGCAACAGAATTGCTATTTCAAGATATTTCAGATTGACCCAGAACGCCAGCTAAGTAATCGGAGAACAAGTGGAGCAACCGGGTGTCCTGAGCAATCCCGGGGGCGGGATCTTTCAACAGCTTAAGGAACTCAACCCCCTCGAAATACTTCTTTTCAACCTCTTACTTCAAACCTGATAGATTGATCTTTATCTACTGAATCCACTTTATGAATAAGAATATTTGACTACTGCAATGAGCACCACAACTGGCTCGAATGAGCCTCGCCAATTCCAAAATGAAAACAGCAAAGACCAAGTCCAACAACAACGCATCATCACTCACATGAACAACGACCACCGCAATACCCTTTCCCTATTCCTTGAAGTATACAACAAAGTCCCCTACAGTCAAGCGCAAACCGCTCGAATCGAAGAAATTCGCTTAATCGGTATGACCATCTCGACCGCCGACAACCCCAACAGCACCAAGTCATCACGAACGAATTTCCTCGTTCCCTTCGAGCCGGCCCTAAACAGATACGAGGATGCTCGTCACAGAGTTGTGGAAATGCACAAACACTGTCTCAAGACTCTAGGTCGCTCCGACATCACGATCCAGGAGTATCGCCGACCTCGTGGTTTGGGCGCGGTCCTGTTTACCATCTGTCTAACAGTCTTTATCGCATTCTCGCGTCGCTCAAATTTCCAACCGGACTCTGCACTGTACTCGAACGTACTTGGCCATTTCCCAGGTTTCGCAACCTTTTGCTACAAGATTCAACCTTTACTTATTAGCGTGATGGCCGGAATTCACCTGAGCGAAGCTGCGTATTTGGCGGTCTACAGATTGCGTCCTCATAGTGTGCCGTTTGGGTCTCGGGTGTGGTTCTTGTGGGTTGTGAATGATTTTATTGAAGGATTTACTACGTTGCAACGCTTTGATGCGCTTATTGAGGAGAAACGGGCTTTGAAGGCACAGCATAAGTCGAATTGAGTAGTTACTATCCAAATCGAATTGTCTTAGTATAAATGCATGAAATAATCCATTTCAGATACCAAGAATAGTCACCTCACGAAAGTAGCGGAGTAATTATTTATATAATGCCTCAGCAACAGTCTTGGCACAGCGGAGGAGCCCACGTGATCTCCTGACTAACTAATTCCGGTTAGAGCGAATAGGGCACACTAAGCGAGCAAGTTCTCGGTAGCCACACTGCGACCACGAAATTGTCCACCGACTATCTCGACCACGACAACTTTAACGACAACACCCAGCGCGCTGTTCCGGTGAACGACCACAGCTATTCGAGGTTAGTGATTGAATTATTTGCAATTCATTTTTTTGTCAAGTCCGGCTTCGTTGCAATTATCGATTCGAAAGCGTCTTTCAGGGTGTATTTTTATCGGTCGTGCGTTGTGTTCCCAGGGTATCAAGAAAGACATACGACAAGAGCAGAACAGAAAGATTCGAAAGGAAAGAAACTTTGCCCTGGTGGGAATTGCATATTCACGGCCGATATATTATTCTTGAGATTCGACTTTCGATCGATTTGCAATCACGCAGGAATTTTTTATCGTTCGTTATAGGGCATCATCAACTAATCTGACTGAATACAGTGGTCCTGTCCATCAAACGCCAATATGGGTATTTCTCGTGATTCCCGCCACAAGCGCTCGGCCACCGGTGCGAAGAGGGCCACCTACCGCAAGAAGAGGTACGAATGATCTTTACATACCTTGACAGGAAGCAGGATTGACACAATACAGAGCTTTCGAGAAAGGTCGTCAGCCAGCCAACACTCGTATTGGCCCTAAACGAGTTCACCTTGTCCGCACCCGCGGTGGAAACACCAAGTACCGTGGTCTCCGTCTCGACTCCGGTAACTTCTCCTGGGGATCAGAGGGTATCTCCCGCAAAGTTCGCGTGATCGTCGTCGCCTACCACCCTTCCAACAACGAACTTGTCCGTACAAACACCCTCACCAAGTCTGCCGTCGTCCAGGTCGACGCCGCCCCCTTCAGACAATGGTACGAGGCACACTACGGCCAGCCCATCGGCCGAAGACGCCAACAAAAAACCGAGGCCACTGAGGAGAAGAAGAGCAAGAGTGTTGAGAGCAAGCAAGCTGCCCGATTCGCTGCCTCTGGTAAAGTTGAGCATGCTTTGGAGCGTCAGTTCGAGGCCGGTCGTCTTTATGCTGTTGTCTCGTCTCGTCCCGGCCAGAGCGGTCGTGTTGATGGATACATCTTGGAGGGTGAGGAGTTGGCATTCTACCAGCGTGCTATCAGGAAGTAAAAGTGAGAGTGGATATAAAAATCTCACAAATGAAATTTATGTTTTAGAACTTCCTCAAAATAATCTCTTATCAAAATTCCCTTTTTTTTACAAGAGGATATCGCATGCAACGGCTGGTTTTGTGTGCAACAGGGCATGGGTGGTATTTGGAGTTTTGCAATTGAGCAATTCCTGTCCAGAAACAATACAAAAAAAATGGCATGTTTATGATCTGGGCCATCTGCGGATGATGCAAAATGACTGTCTGTAGAGCTCAACTGTCTTGAATGGAATGATTTCTTTGTCTTCTTCATTTTTCTGTTCGTAAATGGTATTATTTTTAACCTTCATCACCCCCAAGCTCTAAAATCATCCAATCATAGTTCATACTGTCTAGACCACGTAGCCATGGGTACATCAAATACTTAGAAGTAAACGCCTAGCTACAACGTCTATAACATCTTCAACTTCAAACCAATACCGAGAATTTTCTCTAGTCATCATTTTCATGAGCAGTGAACCACTCTGCTGAACAGCAGAACTAAGACAAAATTGAGACCATCAACACATCAACACCACCACCCAAAGACAGAATCAAAAATGACCAAAACAACCAAAACCCGAATCTGCGTGATCTCAGACACCCACACCCTAACACCCCACCAATCCTCCAACACTCACTACGCCTACAGACACCCCTTACCCAAATGCGACATCTTCCTGCATGCAGGCGACCTGACCAAAATCGGCCGACAAGCCGAACACGAATTCATAGTAGACATGCTGAAACGGGACGTGGATGCCGAGATCAAGATTGTCATTGCTGGAAATCATGATATTTCGCATGATAGGAAGTATTATTCTGTGAAGGGGGTGATGAGGCATGGTTCAGCGAGGCAGGAGAATGTGGATGATGTTAGAGCGTTGTATACGGACGAATCTGCTAGACAGGCAGGGATAGTATACATGGAAGAAGAGGTTCGCACTTTTACTCTGCCGAAAACAGGTACGAAGTTCACTGTGTACGCATCTCCGTATACGCCTGAATTCGGTGGGATGGCTTTCTCATATGAGAGGGACGAAGATAGATTCAATCCTAGCTCTGGGCCGATATCATCTACCGTCAAACAGTTTGTGCCGGATTTTCCGGGGGTAGATATTATGCTTACTCATGGACCCCCAGCCGGGATATTGGATAAGGTCTACATGGGGATTATGAGTGTTGGATGTGAGAATCTTCTCAAGGCGTGTCGGCGTGCGAAGCCGAGGTTACATGTCTTTGGACATATCCATGAAGCGTACGGTGCTGTGCGGCGTGATTGGAGTACCGACAAAGACACCGAAGTTGAAAAGGAAGACATCGAGACGGTTTTGGAGAATAGATGCCGTTATATCGACATGTCCGCTGATAGTGATGCGCCGCTCAGTTTTGGGAAGGAGACGTTGTTTGTGAATGCGAGTGTTGTCACGTTGGAATATCATGCTGGTAATGCGCCGTGGGTGGTTGATTTGGATCTACCTGCTGCTTAATACCTGTCTAGTACCTAATACTCTAGTCTAATGAATGAACGATAATTGGAAAAGATAATAATGTATTTGAATATCCACCATTCGACAACTATTTGTTTATACATGCAGAGTCGAAAAAAGTTATTTCCAAATAGATATATCAGAATGAAATCGAAGAGAATACATCGAAGACGCCGTGTCTCGACTTTCCCGTGAGACTGGTATCAAAATACTAAAATAAACATGTAAGACATCAAAAGAAAATAATATGATGAACAAGACGATTGAATCAAGAAGGGAATAGAAAGTGAACGATTATATGATTTGAAAGAAAGAAAACAAATACAATCACTCCTCACGCAAAGACTCAGCTAGGATGCCATTACCGCCATCGCGGACGTTGGCACGGCTTGTTTTCTTGTTGATGCCCTTCAATAGACTGAAACGCTTTTTCACCGAATCGCGAACACCTGAAGTCGAAGAAGACGAAGACCCGTTGTTATTGACATTATTACTGTTGCTCTGGTTATTGGAGACACCAGCTGATATCGTCACTGTAGCCGCGAGACTCTTGTCGGGATACCCGAATATTTCCGACGTATTAGGACGATGGTCAGATTGAGATGTGCGAGGTAACGCTGTTGGTGCCGAGTCCCATCCACCACTGGGCAGGACAGGTGTGCTCTTTTTCGACTCCAGTCTGTTCTGTCGTGTGCGAGATTGACTTAACTCATCATGCGATTTGGTGGATTTATTCGTTGAACTGCGAGCTCGTGAGCGATCTCTGCGTTGCTGGTCTACCTGTTCTTCGGTAGGCTCAATTGTTGATGGTGTCGCTTTCTGTTTTGGCTTTGCATCACCGCCAAACCAGCTTCGTCGTTTCTCGCTTTTACCGCCACGGCTAGTGGCACGGGAATGCACTGTTACCGCATCATCGTCACGGTCTTGAAGGTTGATAGATTGACAACTAGACTGCGCATCGGCCAATTGTTTTAGATCTTGTGATTGCTGGACAGTTGCAACAGAAGCCGATGCTTGGTGATTGGATCTCTTGAATGGGTTAGCGATACTGATACGATGACTCAGAGAAGGCTTCGCGGTGTGTCTTCGTTCACTGTTAGAACGTGACGTGCGTATAAGTTCCTGCTCCGGACTGAATGACCGCCCAGCAAGATCCGAACCATGTCCATTGGCATGCGGAGTGGAGCGATTACTTGAGTGATTGGCGCTTTGAGGAGGAGAAGGAGTCTGTGTATATGCAGCTAAAGACGCAATCTCCGGTCCGAAGGCGGCCTCAAACCTAGCAAGAAGTTCAACCTGGGTCGCTTGATGAGCAGGCCGAGAATACAGCGACAGACAACGCTTAATCGAAAGTGCGTGATCGATCAAAGCTACAGCAAGCGCATTCTCTAGCGGGTCAATTGGCTTCTGCTCAGTCTCATTGTCTTCTTCCTGCCTTGCTTCATCATTTTCATCATCACTGGCCAGGAAAGGGCGATATATCGCAACGCAGCTTGAATGGGGTGCTCCCAAGTCAAGAAGTTGTATCAAAGCTTCTGTCAAATTTGACAGTGACGAGTCATCTCCCGAGATGGCATGCTGTTCGAGCAAATGCAGTTCCTGGGTTTTGCGCCATGTACGCTCAATAGCCGTCTGCAAAGGAGTCAACTCAACCACCTCAGTAGCCACAATTTCACTTCGGCGAAGGATGTTAGGGAAGGGTTCCGCTGTAGTGAAGATGGTCTTTTCAACCCATTGCTCCTTTATATTCGAACCACCGGTGTGGCGTTTGGAAGTATAGGAGAATTGGACAGGTACCGATATGAGTAAGTGCTCGCGAACCGAGTGGGGCACCTTCGAACGCTGATACACGGGATGCATAATCTCTCTATGAGCACTGACGCTACTGATTTGCAGGAATTGGCCTTCGATATCCTCAGTTTCGCTAGACGATGTGAACTGCGCAGCAGGATGTAGTTTCTGCATGCGATCCGTGAAAGACGCCATACGCTCGTTCGGCAACCCCTCAAAGATAAATTGCTTGTCTCGTAAAGTTGGAGGGAAACCTAGACCTCTATAACAGACACGGAAGTACCGCGGGAATGGTTTTTCTTCCTTGGAGATCGATTCATATATCTTGGCCATGGATCCCTGCGCTCGAGACAATTTGGTAAAGTCCATGACAATATGCTCGTACTGTTCAATGAGTTCTTTGTAGCAGGCAAGCGCATGTGTCCACGCTTTTCCATCTTCAAAGTGTTGAATGATCTGGAAGTAAAGAGCCTCCTTTCTGTCAAATGCGGATTGTTCCGGATATGCCGGATTCGCTAATGCAGGAACCATTCTTGTCGGTTCCCATGTATAAAGATCAGCATGAAATTGAAGGGCAAGTCCAGCTTGTGTATAGTTGTGCTCTGCAGCTTGAGTCTGAGCCAGCTCATGAACGTATCGTATGAAAATATCCTCCCTGTCCATATCCTTCATGAACTCCATAAGTCGCAAAGTGTGAAGACTTTCGGTGATGCCACCACTGTTGCACGCTACCAGCAACTCAAGTAGTTCATCTATTGTGCCTATCAAGCCCTTGACATCGGTCGCCAGAGCTTCGTCGGAGTCTTCGATCTTTTCGAAAAGGTCAAGCAGCTCAGAAATAAAAAGCTTTTGTGTAATACTCTCGTTCATATGCTTCGACTGGAAAATCAGATCAAGACTTGTGACTATTTCCATTTCGATGATGGATAGATCTTGATTGAGGTCCCATTCACTGATGATCATGGTCTGCAAAACTTCCACAGCGACCCGGCGAAGACCCTCATGAACACTAAGGCACAATTCAATGATACCAGGAACAAGGCTCGGGACATATTGTACCTGGTAGCCACCGAGTTTGTGCAGTCCATATTTGACTCTTTCGTCTTCGCTAGTCTCCCATCCAATCGCCTCCCAGGCGTGTCGTAAAAGTATAGCGCCCTGTTCACGAACGTCACCACCAATCTTCCACACTGCCCTGCGCTTTTGTTCCGGAAACGTTTCTAGAGCAAGCGCATCGCTGGATACAACTTTCAAGAGAGTTGTGAAGAAAAGCTCCCACAACTTCATATCAAAGAGATCAGCCTCATCTGGTTGGGGGACGAATGAACGGATCAAAATAGAGGATAGGATTTCAAGATTCTTGACGGCGGCGCGGTGATTGTATATGTGCAGACTTAGCCAGTCCTCAGGATAAGCTTCGCAGCTTATTATAGATCTCTGTGCCTCTAGTGAGTTGAATACGAACAACGCCAGGTCCTCCAATTTGAGAATGGGTAACTTTGGTTCCTGGATATTTGACAGGGCGGCCATCAAACCGGCTAGCTCAACCAGTGCTTCATCGAACCTTTGTTTGCGCTCAGCGGCCTTGACTTGGAACGGGAATGATTTAGAATAGAGCATGGAAAGATATTCAGTCTCGTCAACTCCCTCTAATACAACTGCACAGTAGGATGAGGTGATTTTATGCATAAATGTATACAGCTGAGGAGTGGGCTGTTTCGAGAATTCCGCCACAATTGAAGCACAGAGACGTACTTGATCACGATACTGATCAGAGACTTCACCAGTATTACCCCAGTAGGGGTCAAGCCAACTAGAACAGCAGGATATCAAAGTATCTCTATCTTCACCAGAAGTGAAGATATCCAGTCTCGTGTAGTTTTGAATCAAAATAAGCTTATACAAGATGAGCATGCCCTTGATGTCCTTGCTGGAGTCCATGAAGCTCAACGCAATCATGATTATCTCATCTTTAGGCAGGACATTCGTAAGCTCGGGAAGCCATGTATGAAAGTGTTGCACCACTAGAGTTTTCGTTCCAACCAGGACCGGTGATGGATTCCGCATTAAGGCATCAAGAGACTTAAATATCGAGTGCAGGTCCCGATTAAATGTCGGCTGGACCTTTGTGACCCCAATCCCCTCTTCTTTGAGCTTCTGCTGTTGGCGGGCGTTGATAATGAATTTTAACAAGTGCCGTCCAACCTTGAACGCTGCACGAAGATTCCGCGACTGTTGCGGGGTATCATAAGATTGTAGAAGTCGCAAATAGCTTCGAATCAGACATGGAGTCGCAAAGGGAAAGTTGAACTGATTTTCTGTGTAATGATCCACGAGTGGGCCAAGGTTATACCGTCGATCGTGAGTAATACCCAACACCGTGACCAAGGCGTTAAGTATCAGATCCTCGTATTCCTCACTTCCGGAATTTTCGACCAAAATTCCAAAAAGGGCATCAAAGACATCACGTAACTGTTTGACAATCTCGATTTGCGGAACGAAGAGAACTCGTCGAAGTAGCTCCAAGACCTCATTTCCGGTTTGCTTCTTCCAATTGATGAGACCCAATATAATCTGGTCTTGAGAGTATTCGGTACTGCAGAGATTTGTCTCAACGTGAACAGTAGATAGCGGGCCTGTCACAGATTCATCTGGGACAGAAGAATTCTTGTGCAATGAGCTCCAAGGTAGGTTAAGGTATGCTCCCCTTCCTTCCTCATCTACGCTCGACGTTACCTTGTCATAAGCATGAAGAAGCAATGAATGAGGTCCGTCATGTATGAAAGCTTGCTGATTCCACAAAGGTAGCCAGCAGAGTGCAAATGGGAACTCCGGTGCATCGGCTATACTCATGACAATGTGAGCTCCTGGAACCTGCTCCGTTGGTATATTTAGGCGAATAGTCTGGTCCCACGAAGCATTTCTGTCCGTGACAGTTGTTCTCCAAGCAGTGTGGCCTGTACTGTTGGAGGATGCAAAGATACACCGTTCCAAACGAGATCCGTTGGCATTACGAACCTCCAGGGTTAATTGAAGGTTGCGGAAGCCGGTATTGACAGGAACAGACACTTGTCCGGTTTGAGGGTGATTGAGCAGAGCTGGCCAAGGAAATCTGGCACGAGATATGGTCAAGTAGATGTCTGATCTTGCCTGAGCTGGAGCGGCTGCGAAACCCATCCTCCTTGTTTGAGTCACGTTATGCATCAATGTGGGATTGTTTCGTATGAGGGCATCGGCATCGGAATTTATGAATGGATAGAAGTGAAGGTGAAGTTGGGAAGCTTGGTAACACTTGGAATACCGACCAGACGAGCTCGGTAAAACGCTTCGAAGAAGTTCATCGAAGCCCTCAGAGTCGGTCCCACTTTCCTCGCTGTCGTCACCTAGCGGTGACCAAATAGTGATTACTTGCTCCGCATCGATGTTTTGTCGGATGATATGTGCAACGTCTAATATACCTGCTCCCACCGTACGTATGACAGTCGCATCTTTAATCGTGGTATTTTCAACTTGAGAATTAGTGGTGGAATCTGAACTTCTCGGAGGAGTTTCCCTGATGGTTTCTGGCTGTCCGGGGCGTGGCGATTTAGCAGTCCAGACCATGCTGCGACGGCCCTTTACGCTGCCCTTGACGCTGTGCATGTTGGAAGGACTGCGATTCATGCTGCCGTCCCGAGAATTCGGTGTTCGCGCGGTATATGGAAGGGAGGGACGAGGTAGTTCTGCTGATTGTACCATGACAACGAGATACAATTGAGCTTCCACACCAGCACCGTCGCCTACGTCTGCGGCACATAGCTCCGTGAACAAAGTTTTCAATTTGCTGGTATGAGCTAGAGCCATAAAGCTGTCTGCAGACTGAATCTCCAATATGTAAGTCTCGGACAAGGGCTTCAACGTGCCATTGTCTGCTTTCGTTGATAAGTACAAAGACAGAGTGACCGGACCGGCATGAGAACCAGCAATTGTCTTGATTTCGAGGAGGAGGTGACGAAGTGCTGATGAATCTCCCGTTTGTCTAGGATCTGCGTCAAACATACTCATCTCTGACTGAAGTTTGGTCAATTCAATTGCCGAATCGTCTCCCGTAAGCAACTGGCCGTTTTGTGTTGGATCTCGCACAATAACCTCACCCGTGAGCATCTTGTTCCCGCGGACCAAGTTCCACACAGTTGTCTGCCGGACAGCACTCTTCTCCTTGGAAGTGAGTACATTATGAAGTAGTTGCCGCCTGGCTAAATCAAGATCTAAAACGACGTTGTACATCGTCTCCACCACACCGTATTGACGAGTCAGGAGTAGCTCGTGGAGATTTGTTGAATGCCATTCCCGCAGACACGAGGCTATCTCATCGACTAAAGGTTCCTCATATGATGTCGGCGTCTCATCTCCAATTTTTAACATCGGGACTGGAGCAGCAGGCTTGGGGCCATTGGGGTTTCGCGCAACGACTGAGGAAGGTGTCAGCGGGACAGAGCCAGATCGGTAGGTCGCAGCCGAAGCTGACCGTTGGGTGTACCCGAAATCTTCAAGTATGTCAGCGGTCTCCTGCCGATGTTTGACGACATCTTCGGGAATCCCCTTTTGGTGGCCGTTGATCCCATTTGCCAATGCACCATCTACGCTGTCCAGCGCCCTGCGACCTTCCGCATCTCCTAGATACTCCCGAATCTCCACACAATTCCTAGGAAAGATACCGGAAAACACTCGAGCTTCTAGCGTTTGGCCTTTGACGCTTGTCAATCCAGCCAAAAGCGAAGGGGGCGCAACGAGGTAGCCTCGAAACCACGAGCCATTGACACCCCCTTGTTCGATTATGTACAATTCATCTCCAAGTTCGAGGGGGAGATCGGCCGGCGAAGAAGGTTGGAAGGGATAAATGGCAACTGCAAAAGCAATGCGAGGCAGAGGCCGCCAGGGCATGTCTACTCCTTGAACAGATTGCTCGGTCGTTTCGGGTCCGCTAAAGTCGGATTAGGCCTAGAAACTGTAGATCTAAAGAGGAATTTTGATGACGGCACGACATGCAGAAACGATGGTTGATTAGAGAACAGCGATCTAGGAAATGTCGCGTGGGAATGTCCCCGGAATGTTCGTCTGTACGCGGCGCTCGTCGGTGGGATGCAGCTGAAATTGGTCTTGGCAGCTAGATCACAACTAGAACTGTCATGGTCAGCAGCCCAACAAATATTTTCTGTAGTAATTATGTGCACGTGTGGGATTTGTCAAATGCCCATATTATTGCTGTTCGTCATCAGACAAGTGCAATTGCATACTGTTGCCCGTGTAGTCCTACCCCAGACGTGGTACAGATTCCGGACTATGTGTATGGACTTTATTGCAGCACGGACAATGCAGCCCCTTTCGACAGATTCCACAGCACGGCGGGATCCTGGCGATGGGGCCCTGGGATGGAGGAGCGAAGGCAAAGGAGAGTTAACTCACAATTTACAGACGGAATCAGACTGTTCATGTCCAGTGTCCGATTGGCAAAGGGCCCGAGACTGGTAGAATAAGATGCAAAGGCATTGATCAGATACACAAAGAGAGGGAGAAAGAACAGGCCGCGTTTCTTCTTAGTGAGCTTAAATTAATGGAATCATAGATTACGGTAATTGGGTTGTATTGGGTTTAGTGGTTCAGGAACTGGTGCCATCTAGAGCCATCGACTGGCCTAATCCCAGCCCACACTGGGCCACCGCCAGCGCACAGACCCTCCCTATCTTCGATTAATTACATATCGGTACCTATCATTACACTCGTATTTTTGACATGATACTGTCAATGATCGTTGAATTGAAGAAAATCGAAACCTGGAATTCAATCAAGCATCCTGCTGATAAATATATACATTATAGATATCTTGTCCAAAGCAAGTAAGGCTGCTTTTACAATGAGACATAGGAGTAAAAGACCTTATAGAATCCAATATCAACAACATAGTCCCATTAGGACGCAATACGAACAAACCAAGAGAACAACAAACACCCCAAAATGCATGCGCGTAGAACAAGTACAGGGTTTCATAGATCGATCATACACCAACACTAGATAAGAACTGCTAACGACGGAAAAGCGAACTTGCTTCATCCCGACTCCAGTCAAGTTCCACCTGGCCTTCATAGACGCTGTCGGCGATCTTCATGAGGCGATCATAGGTGTCTTCATACCTGGTAGCGCACTCGTTGAATACTTTGACTACAAGGCTGCGGCTGAGCCCCGGGTCGTCTGCATCGCCAAAATGTTTCTCAACACGTTTCTTGAGGAGGTCTGCGCCACGTCGTAATTCCTTGCTATCATGAGATGACAGCAATTTCTTGACCACAGGTTTTGAGTGGCTGGTGCGAGAAGCAATATCCGTGGGGTTGCTCGAATTCGCGAGCAATGATTCTGTCGATTCAATAAAGTCCAGCAGTTTTCCTAGAGGCCGTCGAATGACCGCGTCCATATAGAGTTTCATATGTTCATGGTAATCCTGAATTGCCCGATCACGCCATCGTTCCAGGACTGGAAGACCGCGAACATCGACCTCTTCGAAATAGTGATTCATGTTTTCAATGAGAAGGATGTGATAATTGAGAGCTTCCTTGTCTTCAGGATCGCCTACCCCAGCAGTAGCGCCGCCGACTTGGCCAGGGGCTTCTTTAGCAATAAATTTCAAGCTTTCCCACATCGCACGGTTGATCTTGTTGTACGCCTCGTTGACAGCTAAGCGAACATCGGAGAAGTTGGAGGACGATTGTACCGCAAGCATGTTCTCAACCGCTGTAGAGAAGTGAGGGAATGTCCGCATGAAAGAAATGACCCCTTTTCGTTTATTAATCTTGACTTTCGTTTCTTCAATACCCCTAATCTGTTGGTCAACGAATCGATTAAAGAGACCATTCAAACGATTAAGCAATTTCTGCAGCGTGTGGACAATAAAGTCCTGATTCGTATCTTCGAACTCGGAGATAGTCGCCTCAACAGCAGCCAAAACCCCAACTCCTTGTCTGTATGTATTTGTATTAGTCATGATGAGATAAAAACACCGTTGGCTGTGGACTTACAGTTGATCAATATTCAACACCCAATCTACAAGGTTCTGAATATCAGTCCCCCAAAAGGAAAAGATACCGTCAATAACCTGTTCGACCCGTTTGGCAAAATCACGATCTGGGTCGTGCATTTGCTTTATGCTGAAATCTGGGATCTGTCTTTCGCCAGGATCACTCGTAGCCACTATGTCTGGGAATTCCACTGTTGTAAGCGAATTTAGGTGGAAAAATTGCACAATGAAATTCTGCTCCTCCGAAATCATCTTGACCGTTTCCTGTAGTGCGCCAGTAAAAACTTCAAATACGTCTAATCTGCCTTGCTTTTCACCAATATTCTTGGGTCCTTGTTGAACACGGACGGTTTTACCTCTCCTAACGGTCAACTTACGCGCTGCGCCAGTCAATCCCTCGCCTTCTTTTTCTTTCTCATGATGGGTGAATAGTATTTCACTCTCTTCGCCGGAGCTCTTCTTGGCCGCCTTCTTCCAAGCCGTGAGATTATCTCGCAACTCATTCTGGTACGGGGTCTTGGAATCTTGCTCATACAAATTGATCAGCATAACCCACTCGGACGAGCTGACTTCTCGCGCAAACAACATAAGTGCGGAGTACATCCAGAGATCCTGACGCGCTGCATTGTGACCAGTGCTGTCGAATTTCAGATTGCCGTTCATAAAATTCGATGACGTATTCACCCGTTTTTGTTGACTAGACTTGAATGCAACAGACATGAATTGCCTAAGACGTTGTAAGAAGTAGCCGGACTCGGCGCGGTATTGGTCTTTCTTCTCTCTAATCGCTCGCATTTGACCAATTTCAGTATCTGCATAGACACCAACACTACTGGAATCACCGGCAGCATCAGCCATGCGCTTCTTGTTCTGATTAATGTCGCAGTCAATAGTCAACATTGCCTTGTAGAGCATTGACAAAATCATCTCTGTTTGATGGACACCATCTTCGCTATTTAGCGACACTTCTTGCAGGGGTCGTAGATCATCGGCCGAGATAGAAAGCGTCTTGAGAAGATTTTGCAGTTCGCTCTGGAGAAGCTTCTGGTTGGCGGTCTGGACCTGAAGACCTTGAGACTGTGCTTCAATGAATGCAACATCATCATGCAGAGTCTATCCATGCGAAGCAGATTAGCGTAACTCATTAGTCGAGGTGGACATGCACTTACACTAAGTTCATGAGAATAGAGAGTCAACAGGCCGTCCAGTTCCTCACATTCTTCAATTGTTCGATCAATGAGCTTAGCTAATTGATCGATTTTACCTTCTTGCTGTTCAATATTACCGAGCCAACTGGTGGCTTGAACGCGTCCAATCTCTCTCCGAATATCCGCCTCAAGATCTTCGATTTTTTTCTCGTCGCTTAGACGTCCATGCCATCCCAGATCAGTGAGTATTTCGTCAAAGTAACCTTCTGTACCCTCGACAATATGGACCTCAACACCCAAGGCTTGACAGTATTTCGCGATGTTATCTTCACGACGACGGCGGCGCCGTTCTTGGGCGGGCGAGACAGACCTTGATCTGATTTTTTCTTCGACTGTTTCCGGCCCCTGGTCGGCAGGGGCTTCTATAGTCACTTCAGGAGGAGGTGGGGGAAACTCATCAGTGTTCACGCGAGTGATTTCCACCTTCGGTGGCTCTTGAGCCGGAGACTCTTGCAAAGGCGTTGCCTGATTGCTCACTGGCTCCGGAGTTGCAGGTTTTGTTGATTCGCTGCTCAGTCCCCGTAACAAGGGAGCTGGAACGACACTCGTAATGCCATCAGGTTCGTTCGTCTGCGTCTTCTCCTTCGCCAATAGCCGCTCACCAGCTCCTCCGGGCCGAGGCTTGAAAGCACCATATGCAGTAGCAGCCCTACGAAAAGCGCCAGCAATATCCTTCCCTGACTTCTTTTTGATCATAGGTCCAAGACCAGGACGGTGAGCTTCTGAGTCCTCCGTTTCTTCCGGAATTGGTGGAGTAGGCGGCTTTTCAATAGTAACTGAAGGCTGTGAGGGTTCTACAGGGGCTTTTACCTGCAAAGGCGATTCAGGTGTCTCTGAAATTGAACCTGGGACCGGAGAAGACTCGACAGTCTCCGAAACTGCCTGTGAAAGAGGAGCATCCGGCATTGAGGAAGTTGTGGTGGGTGCGGGTTCAGGTTCATTTGCTTCTCGTGAGATGTTGACGGAGTCTGTGGAGACATTGTTTTTGATGCCACTGGACGACCCCGATCGAAGGGCTGGAGGGAGATCTTCAAGGTTCCTCGAGGACCGATTGGAGACATTACTTCCTCGTGAGGGTGGCGCATCACCTCTACTAGATGTTCCTGACAGCATGCTATTATCCAAAGATAGAGATTGATTGGTTAAGGGTGGAATTGATGGAGCTGATCCGGAACCAGATGTGCCAGGGCGCAGCGGTTCTCTTGCCATATCCAAGGCTGGATTAGAAAATACTCCGTACGGCACCTTTTCATCCTCAGGTTGAGGCGGTCCTCGCTGTCGAATGTTGGCAGGGCTATTTTCTCGACCTTTAGAAACAACTTGGGGAGTCTCTGCATAGAGTGGTTTCGGTGGTCTATCAGTTTCAGATACCCGACTATTGAGACTCGATGGAAGGTCGTCGCGAACCCTTGGTAACTGTGGAGGCCGACCTGGAGACGGGGAGGGCCGAAGCGCCGCGTCGCGACTACGCTGAGATCGGAGTTTTTGCTCCTCGGACAGAGGGGGCCTTTGTTCATTCCTTCCTTCGCGGCTCGGGGCACGATTCGCGGCCTGACTTGGTTGAGGGCCTTGAGAAGACGGCGTGCTAGGGCGTAGTGCCGCCTGGCCAGCATCTCCAATCAAGGCTTGCTTTTGCTTCTCATCGAAGCCAATCAGCTTAGGAACTCGGCCGCCGGTATACTTTTTGTAGATCTTGACTAGGCTGGCGATAAAGAAGTCTCTCTCCTTGTAATTCGATGCTTGCCAGTAATATGGTTTCCCTACAGTCACGACAAATCCAACATTTGACGCCCATTGTTTCTGCTGCTGTTCAGTCGGAGTAGTGGCAGGTAAATCGCTGAAACACTGTATTGAAGTCAAGTCGTCCAGCATCCATGTTTTGCCTATTGAAAACGTGCCATCGTTGTTCTCGCGAGCCTTATGCATACGAACGCGGCCTGATTTCCGCAATGCGACAATGATCAACCGAGCTTTCTTATTCTCGGGCGGGGAGCTTGGTGGTGCCGGGGTCGTCGGATAAGCTGCATCTTCAGTGATCCGTATGTGGGTGATATATGACTCGGTTACTAGGAACATATAATTTAGTATCATGCATTACCCATTGCATTGTATCCAATGCGACGATGTTGCACATAGGAAGTATTGGGGGAAAAGGCCAACATACAAGCACCGTCGCTATCCTGTTTGGAGAAACAGCTACTGATGATTCTCCGCTTTTCATCTTGAAACAGTTGAGCTCTGGACGTTGAGCCATCCCCAGTGGCTCCTTTGTTTTCATTGCGAGCATCCGCCTCTGGCCTCCGGGGTCGCTCATAACCTCGAGGAGGTGGTCCACCTATTGTTGCCATTTCGGGAGGATTTGTCGTCTCCTTCAGGAGGCGCCCAAGCCTCCTCACCGAGGGTATCTGTCAAGAGCTGCAATGATTTGTTGATGAGATAAGTCGAATCACGAACGCATCGATGCGGAAGGATATGGCCGCTCCAGATCGGTTGGAATATATTATGATTGTAATTGGTTGCAGAGATCACAGAGAATCGAGGTCTGGAATGCGACCCTTGATGTTGTATGTCCGTAAGTGCTGGTCTTCCGCAGTCTCAGCGAATAACGGCGCTGGCGGCTGTAAACTGAACGAAACTCGCTCAGATTACTGGTGGAAGGGGCCCCCACATGCTTTCAACGTCATTCAAAGCAGTCTACCACAGCCTGAAGAATGCTCTCTTCTTCTTCCCTGACGATATATGGCCTTGTAGTTGCTCCTGGCTATAATTGAAGACGAACGTCAAGCAATGAAATCAACTGCGAAGATGGATGAGCTGGGGATGGCACGCTCCGACACACCTGCGACAGGAACAAACAGATGAAGGCCTGGGGTATCTACTGTTTCAGCCAATGGCGGCTTTGTTTCGCTCACCGCCCTGCCAAGGGTGCCGCACTTTCACATTTCTGTCGCTTTTTTTTTTTTTTCAATACTTTGATATGATAGCTGTCGCAGTTCTTTCTTTACTTGTCACTTCCCCTACCTTGTCTGGACCTTTAAGCAGTCAGATTTGCGAGCATGGCATCGAAGAAGCAGCAAAAGCTAGCTGCGTCTGGGAAGAAATCAGCTGAGAAGACTAAAGCTGTTGTGACAGAGGTATAGAAAAGTTCTCAAATACTTTTGGCTTCGTACTGATTAGTTCTCTTGTCTAGGAATCTACCAAGCAAGTGCCCGAGGATCTTCTCAAGGCTATTGTCTCATTTCTCAACGGTCACGGTTATGACTCCTCCAGCAATGCTTTGATCAAGGAAGAAAAACAACGGAGCGGGAAGGTTATTTCGGGTTCAAGCAAGGATGCCGAGCCATCGTTAGTGACCATGTACGAAGCATGGAAGTCTTCCTCTATCTCAGCGAAAGAGGATGAGAGTGAAGAGTCCTCTTCATCAAGCGCGGACGATGTTGAGTCCAGCTCCGAATCTGAGTCTGAGTCTGACTCGGACTCAGACGTCTCAATGGACGATGCGCCCGCGCCGAAGAAGAAGAGCAAGAGTCCTTCGCCATCTTCCTCATCCTCTTCATCATCATCATCATCTTCTTCTTCTTCTTCCGAGTCGGACAGCGATGCGGATGACGAATCTGGACCAGAAAGCTCACCACCTAAACCGGCAGGCACGAAGCGCAAAGCCGAAGATTCAGCTGAAGATAGCCAAGCATCTTCGAAGAAGGCCAAGAAGGCCAAGAAGGTAGATGTTTCCGAAAGCTCATCAGAAGAGTCCGAATCATCGGAGGAGTCCTCAAGCGACAGCTCACCCGAGGACTCATCTGAGGACAGCTCCTCTAGCGACTCTGAATCGAAATCCGACTCTGCCGATTCCGATTCTGAATCAGAGACCGAACGTAAGACATTGAAAGAGGCTGCGAAGAAACCATTGCCTGAATCCGACGGAAGTAGCTCATCCGAATCGAGTGATTCCGAAGACTCGTCCTCATCTGAGTCCGATTCCGAGCCTTCTGAGGATGATTCCAAAAAGGCGGCAACGACCAATGATATGAGCGATTCCACAGACACAATAGCCTCCACAAGTACAAAGTCGGGCCAGACCAAATCTCAGAAGAAGGAGGCCGACATATCCTTCAATTCTGTCCCTCTTCCCCCCGACCCTCTGCCTAAAAAGAAGCATACCGGAGCTCGTCCCACACGACTGGCTGCAGCCAGTGCTCTTCCTCATAACCATCCATCAAACGACTATGTGGCTTACGCTTACGCCGAACGTGCCTACAAAGACTTATCAGTCACCCGTGGCAAGGGCTTCACCAAAGAGAAGAATAAAAAGAAGCGCGGTTCATATCGCGGGGGTCCGATAGATATTGGTCCATCCAAATTCAGCTTCAAATTCGAAGATTAAACTCGTCCCATTGAGCGGACTCTTGCGAACAAATCTCTTCAATCCAATCTGTTGCTTAGATCATTGCTATTCATTTTACGTTCAGTCATTATTTTAGCGGTGAAGCAAGGCGTGGCGGACTTTTTTTATTGGAGTTCATTCTCTTTCTGTGATCTTAAAAGTTCTCAACCAACAAGGCAGTGTTTTTTTTCCTTCTTGTTTTGAATTCTTAGACTATTATCTACCTAGAAGGCTCCCAGGTAGCCAAGTTGGTAGTCTAGATTTCTAATATTTGACAACAAAATGCAAGAAAATGGCTTCTTATTTATCCTCCCCTCGACCTCCACGATTGATTCTCGTCTAGTCGTCTCCAGCGTCGATCCCATCCACTTTCTCTTTCCCTTATCTCGTCCACCTCACTCAAACTCCAGAAAGGCACCTGAGATCTTAATTTAGCACTGGCTGATTTATTCTCAGGGCTTGGTCGCTCATAGCCCGAAAGCGCAAGAATTCCTTCTCCGGTTGTAGAGTGCTGGCGACGATGACGCGCAGAATTTGAAGTTGATGCGTTTTTAGAAAGGTCATGAGCATCAAAGTCAAGATAGTCCTGATACCAGTTTCTAGTATTATCACCCAAAAAATCATCAGTCGAGCCAAAATCGAGGCGTACTACTCCATCAACGACACCTGTGTATACTGTTGAAGAGGTAGGTGAAGGTGATGACATTGTATAAATGGGACCACGATATGTCCCATAATTGCGGTTCCTCGGCACATTTGGCGGATGATGAGAGAGGAAAAATGAGAATTCGTTTGGTGGAGCGTCGTAACTGCATGATGTGGAGGGTGATGGCTTCGTTTCGTAGTGGCTGTAGTTGTGCATGCGAAGGTCGAATATATTCACGACTGCTTCGGATCCTGAACCTACGAGAAAACGGTCGTACAAGGGCTGGATGCAATATATTGGATTGCTGTCCATGATATCTATGTATTCGCGCTCGAACATCTTGGGCGAGCGAAGGTCGTGGAGTCTACCAGAGTTGAAGGTTAGTATGCTCTACATAAGACTCTGTTTCTTAAGAGAAAGTAAAGGACGTACCTCACTCTACTATTCCCCCAGCCAGCTAAAAAGACTTCTCCATGAGTTCCTCCACCATATGATTCGACTCCTAGAGGCGCAATGGCACCTACTCGTGCTTTCCTTCCCGGCCATAGAGAACGATGATACGCATCTTCGAAAGTGAGTTCACGATGAGTCGAAATGCGATCTTCTGCCAAGTCAGACACGACAATTGTATCTGCAATCTTCCCATGTCCAACCGCTAGTCTTGATGGGGCAAGAAATTTGACAAAGTGACGCGGCGTCCCTTCTTCGGTTTCGCCCTCGAGTTGTGCGAACGGAGTGACTTGCGGATCTTTCGTTGTCGTTTTGTACAGTGAGATATTCCCGTCAAAACTATGTACAGCAAGGATCGGATCTGAGCCTGTGCTGAGATCCAGGCTATGTATTTCAGTATCATTGGTGGCGAATGATTGTTGTTGGTGGTAGGTTGCAGTGTCGGGATCGATCGCAATATGGGAGACGTCGCCCCTTGCCCGTGCATAGATCAAATGCTGCTTTCCAGCAGATATACTTTGATGATCTGGCCTCAAGAGGTGGAGGCCGCGCACATCGTCGTGACTACTGACGTGCTCCAAATCGTTGAAACGCAGCCACGTCTCATGGGCACCTGTCCCTGTCTTTTTGATCCTGAGAGCAATCTCTGCTGCTGCTCCCCAGGCAAGTACATCTTCCCTATCTTGCCAGCGCTCCCCTGTCCATACCTCATAGCTATCCACCGTAGGTCGATATCCTATCGTTGGGCGATCATGTCTTTGTGTGTCGCGGATGCCAACCACCTTGGCGGTATTCGATGGGACAACGAAACGTGCTACCACGGCGCAACGATCAAGAGCTCGGGATCGCGATGTTACAGCTTGTACGACATCCTTCCAAAAAGGCGGAGTATCTCCGAGTACTGGAAATCGATTTCGGATGAAGAGGCGGTAAATGCGATCGTCCGCAGTGATAATCTTGTACAGACGCTGACACGTTTGCGACAGACGAGTAAGAGAACTTGCTGTGGGCAAGAATGTTGCAATATGGTATATTATTTCGGATGGCAAGTCTGCCAGCATGGTCCCTATCAATATTCCAATGTCGTCGTTAATTGTTGACAAAGTTGAAATATGGCGGTCAAAATTGCTTTATCAGCACAAACGTCACTGTGGGCTTATCGATAAGCGTCGGCCTTATCGCCCATCTCTTATCTGGCTCAGCGCGATAAGCCCCTCATCCTCTCCTTTCGACAATCTCATGTTGTGCCCTTGTTCAAGCCTTTTCTAAGTCTGGGTTATTTTCACAGCTCAGACTAATGTCGAGATAAAAATTAGAGACAAGTGGAGTCAGTCCAAATGGCAATTTCATACATCCAGGTTCCTTGCATTCTCGGTGCACTATCTCTTCTTATATACAAATACATTATATACCCTGCGTTCCTGTCTCCTTTAGCACGAATTCCCAGTGCGCACTTCACGGCTCCCATCTCATCGGCATGGATTACTTGGCGACGCTTCATAGCAACGAACAATCGAACCATACAAGCGGCACACGAGAGACTGGGTCCAGTCGTAAGATTGGGTCCTGCTGAAATCTCTATCAATTGTGTAGATGGCGGTATCAAGGTTGTTTATGGCGGTGGTTTTGAGAAGCATGAGTGGTATCCGAGAGTATTTGGTTCGCTAGGGTGAGTAGTCCTTCCGAGTTAGTTGAGGAGATGTTGACATATTTTCGAGTTCAGAACAGTCAGTATGTTTACTATGACTGGCAGCAAAGAACACGCCACTCGGAAACGAATGTTGTCAAACATTTATTCCAAGTCGTATCTACAGTCGTCACCTACATTGAAACTCATATCCACCACAATGATATACGACCGGTTGCTACCGATTCTAGAAACCGCCGCATCCGCGAAACAAGCAGTTGACATTCACGAACTCAATTCAGCAATGACCATGGACTTTGTCTCAGCTTATTTGTACGGACTTCAAAATGCGAGCAATCTACTTCAAGACGTCCCTTTCCGGAAATATCTCCTACATCATTACCAATGCAGGAAACCTTTCGAGTTCTACTACCAGGAGGTACCGAGCCTTGTGACTTTTAGTCAAGCCATTGGACTACCTATCATCCCACAATGGTGTCGTGATGCCACCCAGATAATGGATGACTGGAACATGGATCTGTGCGACAAGGCGGAGAAGTCACTTGCTTCTAGCGATCCGCGGATCGAGCCCACAGTTTACAAACAATTGAAGATATCTATGATGAAGCAAATGAATCTTGGAAAGGAAGACATGGCAGCGAATTCAGAGAAACCCAAGCAACAAAAGATAGATATTGCTTGTGAGACTTATGACCAACTCACCGCAGGGCATGAAACCAGCGCTGTAGGGCTTACCTACCTGTATTGGGAGCTCTCAAAGAACCCCCATATCCAGGAAGAGTTACGCAAGGAGCTACACACGCTCTCGACTCGGATCGATGGAGCTCCCGTATCTGAAGCTGCGAAGCAGCTCCCAAGAGCCAAGGAGATCGACGCCTTACCCCTTCTACATGCAGTTATAATGGAGACCCTTCGACTACATGCGCCTATTCCGGGTATACAGCCCCGTGTAACACCGGCGCCATCCTCAACCCTGGCCGGAATCCACGACATACCACCGAATGTAAGGGTCAATGCACAAGCATATTCCCTTCATCGCAATCCAGAGGTGTTTCCCGATCCTGAATCATGGCAACCACGCCGATGGCTCAAAGAGTATAATTCCCCGGAGATGGAGGAGATGAGAAGATGGTTTTGGGCCTTTGGGAGCGGAGGAAGAATGTGTGTTGGTAGCAATTTTGCTATTCAAGGTATACCCTCAGATTGCCTTTGTGACTCTAAACAATCGTGCTAAGCATGTGGAATATCAGAGATGAAACTCGTAACGACGGCGATATACAGCAACTATAAAACCACCATCGTGGACGACGAAGGCATTGAAGCTATCGATGCGTATACCGTTAAACCGACAAGTGACAAATTAATCTTGGAGTTTGAGCGGGTTTGAAGTAGATTCTATATATCAGTCAACCTTTGAAGATAACTGCGACGTGTTAGTGTCTTGAGCATTGGGAATGACTTCATGTTTTCCGTCATACCCCTGCTCTCTCGATGCATGGTCTCCTCAAGAATAGCTGCCAATGCAATTCGCCTCTTGAGTATCACGGAACTGTCCCAGGTGGGTATTTCTATAACGCATAAGCTAGGGTTTGCAGTCCTCGTTATAAATCCAATTCATCTAGGACAGGGTACTCATTAAAAGCACACAAAGCTACCTTGATCATGAGCTGGAGCACTTCGTAAATTTGTAGCTAAGTAGATCAACCAGGCTTGACAATGAGATTTTCATTTTCTTCAGCGACTTGATGAGTTCACCGAAGCCAGAAGAGGTCTTCGGAGACGCTCCGAATGCCCCTCCAAAATTTATCCCACCAAACACCTTCAACTTGACAACCTAGCATTATAGGACCATATTTGATTGTGACTTCCTCACCAGGTTTCATTCACATCTGATACTACATACGATTCCGCTGTGAGCGCTTACGAACATCAATTGCCGGGGGAGAAAGTTCAAGATTGAATATTTGAACATCGACGTCATGCCCGACAAAGACGCAGGCACACCTCGGGTGTTCATTGCACGACATGGTATGCCACGCATTTATCCCTTTGATATTCAATTGCGCAAGGTAACTGATGTCTGGATGTTTCCGACCAAACAGGAGAAACCGAATGGACAAAATCCGGCCAATATACCGGCATCACCGAGCTCGAATTGACGCCTACTGGAGAGACACAAGTACTCAATTCCGGTCGTGTTCTCGTTGGCGCAGGCAAACTCATTGATCCAGCGCGCATTGCACGAGTATACGTTAGCCCGAGAAAGAGAGCACAAAAGACATGCGAGTTACTCTTTTCATCGTCTTCATCAATAGACTCAGATAAGGTGTCGACGACGGAGCGACTGGCGGAATGGGGATACGGTGAATACGAAGGGATGGTGACGAGTCAGATACGGGCTCTGAGAAAGGAACATGGTCTTGATAATGAGAGGCCATGGGATATATGGCAGGACGGTTGTGAAGGGGGAGAGTAAGTGACTTCAAAACGGGTAGCTTATTGAAGCACGCACTCATGTATATTGCAGGTCGGCGCAGCAAGTTACGGATCGTTTGGATGATCTGATTAAAGAGATTCAGTCATTTCACGTCAACCATATGCATGGGGAGTCTGGTCCGGCTGATATTGTGCTGGTAGCACATGGACATCTGTTGAGAGCATTTGTGAAACGGTGGTTGGGTTACCCTATGGAGTTTCCGCTGTCATTGATGCTGGAACCAGGCGGCATTGGTGTTTTGAGGTAAGTCTTCGAAATCTACCATGGAAACTGCAGCTTTCTCTCCGTTTTGGTTCAGACTGACACGCACAATAGTTACCAGCATCATAATGTCGGAGAACCAGCACTGTTCGCAGGCATGGCTTTCCCAACTCCACCATCGAATTGATTAGAGAGAAGGTATGAGGGTATAGACGGTATAGATTTATTCGGAACAACATAGAATCAACATTTATAGTATATAACCGCAAAAAAAAAAGATATTTGTACTGTACAGTATTCCTCAAATAATTATACACTGTAGTGAAGCATCCAAATTCCTTCGGACTCAATTGGTGCCCACTCTCAGATCCAGCCCGAAAACTCCAGTATATGCGACGAAAATAAGACCTCGTTTGAATTGAATGTGTCGAATGCCTCTAGCCCAAGCGGCCCTCCCTCTTCCGCGGGCCCGAAACCTTGGGGAACATTCTCATCAAGTGATAATTGACGGCGTTGTTATTGGACGTTTTGTCTTTCTGTAAAAGGAACAGTATTCAGTAAACCGCCATGAACGCTAAAAGATGAAAAATAAGACGTACGCGTTGATCCATGCATGCTTTTAGTGATTCCTCCAACCCAGAGCATCCTTCATTTCCCTGTCCGGCTGAGGCCCAGCAATCTGTGAAGTAATGTGTTAACAACCCTCAACTGTAACATGTATATACCAAATGATTATCTTTATCCGGAATAGGTGAACGCACTTAGCATAGAGGACATGATCGTAACACATGAGTTCTGTTGTTGTTGGTTTGGTCGTCGCACTCGGAGGTGTTGAATAGTCTGCAACCGCACTGGGTTCAGGCGAGTCGAGGCACCTTTGGCAGGCATTGCGAAGATGCGGGAGTCTGCAGCTCTTCTCTTATAACGAGAGTTTGTCGACAGAAGCCTTCGGATGGATGAGAGGTACTTGATGTCGAGTGGGCTTGTAGCGAGTCTGGCCGAAGTTTTGGCTGCCAAGACCAAAGAAAAGGACAACTGCGCACGGGCCAACTCGGCGGCAAGTGGAATCATCTCCGGCTGATAACTGATCATTGATCCAACTTCAACATCTACAACTCATCAACTTTTAAAGATCTGAAGATTGAAGGTCTCTGGTCAGTCGCAGTCATCCATGATAAGAGTTCCTCGCAGCAATTTTTGTTGTACTCAGTGTACATCATGTCTTCGAGCACAGCGACGTCTTCCGTCTATCACTAAGCACCGCAGAACCTTATCGGCATCATCGTCGCGAAAGGATGAGAAACCAAGCAATGGCTCTGAACCATCTGAGAGCAAACAGGAAGGCGCTCTATCTCGCAGACTAGCGGAGATGACGGAGGAGTCACTTCTTGAAGGTGGTCGATCGGCACATAAAAACCTACAAGAAGCGGGCTTCTCAGATGATCTAAAACGAGCTCTAGAAGAGAAAATCAAAGCCGCTTCATTCAAAAGTGAAAATGCGCAGGCTTTTTCTGTTTTGAACACGCCGGTAAGCTACTGAGATATGCGGGAATTGTATCTAGAGACTAACGAATCAACTGAAAAGACAAGCGCAGGAAAGGGTACTCGCGATCATGCCATGGCAGCACCCTGGCGCGGAACAGAAAATGTTCAAGATACGGCACTTCGAATGCTTGACGACGCTAAAAAGCCGATACGTGTTCCATTTAAGATTCCAAATCCTGCGATACCCGTCAACGTGAATCTAAAGCCGGGGGCGAAGGTTCGCCACTCGACCGGTAGTCGTCTTGCAAGTGCTCGGGACAAGACACAAACGTATGCTCTGAGCCAGAGCTCAGGCTTGTCAGATAAGGAGAGAGAAGAGATAAGGAGCCAGCTTACTGCGCGATTTGAGGCTGGTGCGCGATCACTACCGATGACATTATCAGGGCTATCGTCGTTGGCAAATGAGCGTATCGAAGATGCCATTGCGCGTGGCCAGTTCAAGAACCTGCCGAGAGGAAAGGGCAAACATACAACGACGGATCATAATGCGAACAGCGCTTTCATCGATACAACTGAGTATTTCATGAACAAAATCATCCAGAAGCAAGAAATTGTGCCACCATGGATAGAAAAGCAGCAGGATCTTTCTCGAGAGATAGACCGTTTTAGACAGAGACTACGGACCGAATGGCGGAGACATGCAGCCAGGATTATTTCAAGCCAAGGGGGCTCTTTGGAGGAACAACGGAGACGCGCAAGAGGTTATGCGGCGGCAGAGGCTCGACTACTAGCCAAGAAGAAAACCGAGGCGTCGCTTACATCTTCAGGTGTGGATGATGCTGTTGTTTTACCTAGCTACTCGCAGATCAGCCATGATGGCCGACTAGCTGGAGGACCACCTCGAGCTGTACCCGTGCCGAGTACGGAGTCAGCGCAAACCGAAACGGATGCGGTTGTAGTTTTAGAGGACACCGCATCATCGGAGGACGATTCTCTGCCCCATTTACCTCCACTGAGAGATCCAGAATACATGTCTATTGAGCGAGGCTGGCACGAATTACAGATCAAAAGCATCAACGATTTGACACGGTCATACAACCTCCAAGCCCCACGACTCGCACAGAAACCGTATTTGAATCTAGAGCGGGAGTTGAACTCGTGCTATGCAGATGTAGCTCCCTCGCTGGCCGATGAGCTTACTTTGCGAGCTACTACACCTCGAAAAGCGCCGAATACTGTCCAGAAACCGTCAGGGGGTCTGCTGGAAGATATAATACAGTCGAATCAGAAAGTACGCGTGTACGATGAGGACCGATCCAAGGGATATGGATTGAAAGAGTTCTGGCGAGACCTCTGGAGAAGAGAGAAGGCGACTTGACCTAGAAATGTACATTGCGCCGAAGATAGATATAGATCGCATGTCTGGTTGTGTGGGTCTTGGCTGGTATTGCTGCCTTTCAAGTACAGAAGAAGCTCCATGCAAAGAAGAGGGCTACATTCAGCTATATGTATCTGTATTGCCGTGGAAAGGAACCCTGGAAGAAGAATGATAGCTTCTTCAGGGGCATCATGGCCATAAAGGTTATCCAATCAGATGCATGTATATAAATATTGAAACTGCATTCCGATTGGCCAGAATGAACGGAATCTGTGGGCCGTGCACGTCTTGGCGGGCGCTTAAACAACGAAAAACATTGGATGGCCGCAGTTGATTGGCTGACGACGTGCAGCCTCGATTTGCATGCATCGACCAATAAGACGCTGTCGTCAGGTGATTCCTCCAACGCGCAGAAACATGAACGATTGGCAAGCAGGACGGTGAAAGCTGCAGCCATCCTCCTCAATTTCACATCTTCACACCTAAAGTCGCCAATCACTGATCGCAGCACATCTTCAAGCTCTGCCGATTTTCTGCCCATTCCCCCAATGCGAACCGGCAACTCGTCCATCACAAGTAAACCGTCGGTACACTGGACTCCACTATGCGCCTAAGAACACCAGATGAGGGAGTTGATCTCCCCTCATATATCTAGCCTTTATGTCGAACCCCTCTTATCCATCAAACTCATGCGGTTTCGAGATTTGACAGACAGGAGGTCCGTCGTGTTCCATTCCGCCCAAATGAGAAGATCGAAATCCGCATAAATCAGCCCGAAAGTCCACCATCTCAGCAGCATGTCAGTATTCTTTTCTGCTCGGGATACTTGGGTTTCGCTATTACTTTTCAGTTCGCTACTTTCTACAAGGCTGGTACTTGCTCGGCCTGTCGCTACTGGTGATTTTTCTGCTTCTATTGTTACACGCCGGGCTGAAGACTCGGATAAGGGTCAATTACCTATCCAAATAGGTGGAATTGCAGCCAGCTACGTGATCTTTGATGCGATAGTTGTCTTCCTTATTCTATTTGTAGGAAGACGACTACGCAGAGCAGCTCATACTTCGAATTATTCCCTTGACATGGTAATGCTGCAACCTTACAACGACCCTTTCGCCCAAAGCACCGATCCAAGTCCTATTTCCGGTTACTCAGTTGATACACAATTCCCGAGTCCAGTCAAACCTCGCGGGTGGAATATGTCGTGGACAAGCGTGACCAAGGGCCACAAGGCCCAGGGTTCAGTGACTAGTAGTGTTGCTACTGTTGACGAGGATGTTGTCTCCGCAGACAGACGACGAGCACAGGAACAGATGGAATTTCTGTATGCGGCCGTCATGGAACATGATGCTAAAAAGGCCTCGGCTCATAACTCTCCAGTCATGGAGTCTTCGACTACCCCGATCGCTTCACCCAAGGGATCACCACAATTCGCAGAGACAACTACCGCCAATCAATACTCATCCTTCCCACTACAAGCTACACCTTTGTCTCCGAGACAAGAGAGCGTCACAACCAACAAATCCCGAACAAGCAAACGGCTATCTAAACTTTCTAATCTCTCCATCTTCAGTCCCGGGCTACGCTCATCCAACTCGAACAAACTCAAATCACCCCGCTCTGTCCGTGATCTACCCATCTCACCACCTCTGAAATCACCGGATCCCGTCCAAACCGCCGCCGTAACAGCTACAGCAGCTACATTCCAAGACAGCGCAGCGCCAATGTCACCACGAATCTACAACCCAGGTCCACCACCAACAGCGCCTTTACCGGGTACAACAGAATCAAACCAGTTGCCCAAATTCACACTGCAACCCATCAGTACACCAAGCAGTATGCGCGCCAACGCTCCTGCACCGTTGAGTATCAACAGTAGTAACTCGACCTTACCGTTCCGTCAACAATTCAATCCTCCCATGAGCGCGCCACATACAAAGACCACCATATTGGAAAGACCGCTTCATGTCCCCGGTGGACCGCGAACGGGTATGCCGACGCCGTATAGTCCGTATATGCCTTTTACGCCTGTAACGCCTCTCACGCCGAGTCGGCTTGTGACGAAGCGGGATAGGAAGCGTCTCGATAAGTCGAATGGCCTCAAGGTGTTGCATGAGGATGATATGGTGAAGAGTGATGAAGAGATATGGGGGTAGAATTTTTCTTCTTATGTAGGATGAATTCCCCCTATTATATGATTCTGTGATTAGTGTTTCTGGGTTGGAGTCGTTCTTTGGGTTCTTTTCTTATATACCATTTTACAGTCATATGAATACAGGGTACAGGTCTTACGCTGCTTAATGAAAATTATTAATTGTCTATATTATTATCATGTAGCTATATACGCCAAACCAAAACATATGCATAGGTATCATCAAAATGCACAACAACAAAACTACCCTCTTGAATAGTATGTATTCAATCACTCAAAATCATCAATAAAAGTCCCAACACCCCTTTTCCTCGCAATATCCACCAAATCCCCCCCAGTCACCAAATCCATCAATCCAAGTCCCACACTCTTATACACCACATTCCCACTTTCCAACCATCGCTGCATACTCTGTTCACTTTCTTCTTTCTGTCGATCAATTCCCAATCTCGCGGCATGTCGCATGATCATCAATTCGCCGATTTCAACGAGTTGATGAGGTCCCAAGCCTGCCTGGACGATTTCACCGGCTTCCTGTAGACACATTTCGAGACTGTCGACCAACACGACTCCGCCGCGCTGGGCATGTTTGTGATAATGATGGCCGTGATGACCGGGGGGTTTGACTTCATGTTTTAGAATGTCAGGGTGTAGTTCAGTCATGTGGGATTTGTACGATCCAATAGCCACGACGAATCTACCCTTCCGCCGTCCCTCGGTGGATGTGAGGAATTCAGCAGGGAAAAGCGGTTCGAGTGATGGTGTACAACAGAATATAACATCTGCTTTGCGCACTGCTTCCCGACAGAGACGGCTATACTCGACAAAATCGCTGCTAAAGGCGTGGAACTTTACATTGGACCGCCACGAGGCGTTTCCAGGCGCATAGATGTCTCTGAGTAATTTTGCGGCACGGTCGAAGGAGCGATTGATGATGTACACACGTTTCACTTCAGGCCCACGGAGTAAGAGTGCCAGGCGAATGTGCCAGTATGCCTGTCTTCCTGCACCAAAAACAGTGATGGTCTTGACGTGTTTTCGTTTGTTGAAACCCAGTAGCGAGGTAAGCGCGGTACGGAATGCGGTCAAGTCTTGTGCACTGATCAAGCCGATGGGAAGTCCGTCCTGGCCGACAAGTGTCAGTGTTCCTCGAGGAGAAGAATCGCGGGCTCCAACCGCTGGCCATGCTTTGCCAGACACCTGTTGTACGTTTCCCATATACGATTTCGAGGCCCTTGGACTACTACTCCCTTGCGAACTCAATGATTGCTGATTTATACTTGGCTCACCGGCGTTAGATGATGAAAATGACGATGTTTCAACTTCACTATCATCCCCACCACCCTCACCATCATTCGATGGCGTCAACGACATGGAGCTCACATCAGCCGATAAGGAACTACTCGACCGTCTCGAAGAATACTCCTCCAACGCCAACGAAACCTTCGCCGACTGTCTCGTATTCGCAAACTCCTGCCCAATAGTCGTACACCCTCTCTTCTCTCCAAACGGCGACGAGGCCGTCAACGGTGAAGACAGAATTTTGACCCCGGTCATCTTGCCTGTACTCGCCGGCATGAAGATTGTGGTTCCGCCATCGGCGCCCGTTATGGCTGTTCGGTGCGGTTGGTAGGATGCTGAGCAGCCTTCTTCCTGGCTTCCGGTTGAGTATTCGCGGAGGGCTTCGGCGAGGTTGTGTTGGAGGGTGAGGACGTCGTCGCGAGAGAGGGAGAGGAGTAATGTGCGCACTTGGGCGCCGGAGAGGATTGTGAGGGGCATTCTCGGTCGTATTACAGTGAGTTTTGAAGGTACGTAATGGATGAGTAGTAATTGAATTGAGTTGAGCGTATAGCAGAGTATTTATTTGTTTACTGAACCTTGATCGGAATCAACGTGGGGTTTATCGCCGTCCCGCAATCGACCTGGTGCCTCTTATGTCCGGTCCGGCGTAGAAATCCAAGTCTAGATCCTTTATCTATATTATACCGTATTTCTTGATTTGATAGACCAAAAAAGACACTAAATAAAATTACGCAAAACTGCATTAGTTTGTGGCAAGACTCTCGTTTATAGTTTAACATCGGATGATATAGGCAGTATATTCGCCACAGCTAAATATAGAACATCAAAAACAAAATGGGTATATCAACCAAGTCTATATGCTGGTACCATAGAAAGTTCAGGAATTTTCTGAGAGAAACCAGTTCGACTTCACAATGCTGGCTGGTTCCAACTATCACGATTGATCTTCATGACTGCAGATTGCTTGTGTGGGAAGGTGACTTCTCCTTCTTTGTAGAAGCCTAGTTCCAGTAGGTAAGAGATAAGCCTGTACCATGTTAGACAAATCACTGTAGTATGCAGTTGGCGAAAGAGGGTCTCACTTTTGATTGTCCACTCGAGGCTCCAACAAGACAGTCTCCGTACGTGGGTCAGCCAGCCAGCAATAATGTACCAGCGAACTGAGCCAGATAGGTACGCGATGAGCACCACGGAACTCATCTTCACCAACCAGCACATGCAATCCTCGATCGTAATTGCCGACACTGTTCAGCAGTCGCCCAAACCGGTCCTCCTTAACCCAGTATACCTCAAAATAGCCAAAGGGCTTACCATTCCAGCATCCAATGACCGGGAAACTATGCCGACTGTTGAGTCCTTGCTTCAGGAATTCTTCTATCTTTGACTTTGACCCGGCTTCACCCCATGCTGCATTGACACGTGGGACATTCATCCATTTGTGTATCAGGTCCACATCAGATGATCCCTGCGAAGGGCTGATCGGGCCTCGACATGACGCAGTCGATGCGCTATGGCTGTGATGCAGACCGCTCGTTTTCACCGTGTTAAGTATTGGTACGCGAAACGAAAGGTACTGTCCCACACTCGGGACATAGCGCACATAGAATGTCTCTCCCTGATGTGGAGGTCGTTGCCGGAGAGGATGCCGAACACCGTTTGTGAATATGTACTGTGTCGGGGCTGGTGGAAAATAAGTCGGTAAATGACTACCCGAATGGAAGGGTCCACTGATCGTATTAAGTATGTGAATGGGAGGAGGATTATCGACGGAAGCCGTCAAACTGGCATCCACGAGCCGAAGTGTCTCCAGATTTGGAGAAGCAGGCCGAGAACCATAAGGCGAAGTGACAGGTGACAACGAACCAGTATTCCCGGGCGATATATTGGCTGGAGTCGACGTGAAAATAAAAATGCGAGGATCCAATTGCCAAAAGCTTCGACGACTCGCAAACATTCGGGAGCAATGGGCCGGATTTCGAGCATCGAGTGGCTCTATTCCCACTGATGAATCTTCATTGGCAATTAAACCCATGCGCTCTAGTTTCTGCAACAGATTTCTCCCTTTGAAAACGCCCTCTCTTTTGATATTCACCCTCCACTCGCCCTTTGGTCTGCCCGACTCTGCTGTACCCGCTGAAGCTTCGGTTAAGAGATGAAGATCCGGCTCTGGTTCATGAAAGTACCACCAGAGCGTCGCCCAGAGCATCATGGCGATTTGACGGGACGGCGAGACGGGAGTTTTGAAATCGCTAGGATCGTTTATCGAAGAAATAAATATGCAATCATTCCGCAACGTGGGTTTTCTGAACGCAGAAATGCGGACTTTGGGCTCTGACGCGGTCGTTTTCTCTGCATTGGTATCGTGATTATTATCATTATCATTAGTATTATTCTCTTCGTGCGATTTGCGCTCCTCATTGGCATGGTCCTCCTCAATCAATTTCTCGGTATGAATAACAACCGTCCATCCGGGAGGAAATGCCGGATTGTGGACGCAGGCATCTATTTCCTTGAAAGTTACACCTCCAAAGACTGGCGTCACCGAAAAGGTATGTCCGTTGGGGAGATGGCATGTTGAAGAAGGCATTCTGCCAACTGATTAGGTGATTATGCCACTGGCTTCATGGACAAGTCGGTTGTCTGTGTTGATTGTATTCCCCAGGGAGCAAAAAAAACAAACACGCACAAAAGAAAAATAGAAAAAAGGAAGTTGGTCGTGCTTGCATCAGACAATCAGACCGGTGACGTTGAGGCTAGTCCTGATTCAGAAGGAGGGGCTCCAACTTTAAGTTGTTGATGCCTGAGGCATAGTTCTGGGAATCATCTCTAAGAAGTCATGTTTATCCATGGCATAGCATTACTTGGAGTGAGGGAGTGTCTTTGTATCGTATATTTGTAACTAATATATCTCCACTATTCTGCTTTTAATCTACTCAGAAACTGCCTTAATGCTATACCTAGGTAGCTAGAGACATGCGACCACAAGATAGACCCCAAAATACATTTAGCCCTAATTCCCCTCCCGAAGCCTCGCTGTCGTGTGATCAACTCATTCAAGAACAAGGGTGTGATAGCGAAACTAAAAGATGGTGTGCCCAGATGGTATAGGCATGTATAAATTCAACCATCATATGCCACAGTAATAGCATGGCTTTGGTTCCAGGGCGCAAATGTTGTCATGCGACGACTCTCAATACTAAGAATTACCCAAAATGATACTCTTCTCGATCTAGGTAGTCCTGATATCTTGTTCGTGAATCAAACCCAATTATCAGTCATATTTATTAGTAGATGTATAACATATCGAAACAGGTATAGATCCTATATAACATCCACGGACTCCACAGTATTCAGAACGAAGAAAAACCATTGATCATTACTTCTCATACACCATATATCATATGGATCCAGAATGGAAGTAACGCCGGAAAAAAACCCCCCCCAGACAAGAAGATAAACATTTCAAAAGGTTCAATAAAATAGACAAGTGAAAGAACGCCAAGCCATGCCAGATGCATTGTATAAGGTTGAAGAAATGAAAGAGAAAAATGGGTATAGAAGCCTTTTTTTTCCACCTCTTCCCACGACTAGAATTCATATTCCTGTAGTGTTCGAAAATGATTATGAATGTAAAACTCCTGGATGAGACACGACAAAAGAAATAAAGTAATAAAAAGAGGAAATGCGAGAGCCAGCTCGGTCAATTTCCGTCAGGAGGAATATCCTGTGTTCATGCAGCAGTGCGAGAGATGCGACCGTTCATGTAGGCTCCGGCGGCAGAAGCGAAAAATCGAGCCATCAGGCCACCGCCTGAACCACCCAAGCTATTGCTGGTCTTGATCTTCTTGCTCGGTTGCTGTGACATTGCTGGTATGGAGGGGCGTTGTTTTGGCTGGGACTTCATGACGTTGACATAACTATAATTGAGCGCTGAGCTAGCTGGGCTGGCATTTCCGTCCACGACCATGACTTCGTCCACGGATGATGAGCAAGTGCTGATACTTCCAGGTGTGCTTCGTACACTGGGTGCGACGCTGGATGATCGAGATGATGGTGCCAAGGAATTGCTGGTTTCTGTACGTGACAGGGCAGGGACATCCTTGACGGAAGGGGGAGAAATGGAGCGGTTTGCACTGCGGTAGAGAGAAGTGCGATGACGAGGGTAGGGGCTGTATCGATCACTATCCTCGACCATAGACAATGGAGAATTGCGGTTTACAGCATGTGGTTGTTGCTGATTGGTTGTAGTGGAGGTAGTGAGATACTGCGATTTTCGTTGAGACAAAGTTCCAATCTCTCCCCTCATTTCCTGCTTCTGGCGGCGGAGACGGGCAGCTAGAGATTCGGCCGAGGCGTTCAATCGCCACCAGTCATGGTGATGGTGTTGGGCCATGGCTTCCTTTTGCTCTGCAATTTCATATTGTCTGCGAATCTGGGCGAGAAAAGGCTCAAAATGCTCAAACAGGTCCTCTTCATTGACGCGAGTGTCCCAATCAAGAAGAAAAAGAAGTTGTCGCTCCATCAGGTTGACTTCGGCCAACGAGAAGCCGAAACCCGGGTACCCTCGCACAGCGGTGTAACGTGCCCAGTGCTTATTCTTCGGACTCGAATCATTCAAGTTCTTGGCAGCTAGGATCAGAGAAGCTAGAAAGATACGATGAACGGTGCATCGCATGCCTTTGGCCACAGGTGGTAATCGAGCGTGGAGACGAGCCAGGAAGACTAGAGAAGTCATCAGGGTTGGCACCTGAACCTGTGATCGTTGCACAATGGACGAGATAAAGACTTCTAGTGGTGGAAGAGGTGGTAGATTGTCGGCAGGGTCCAGGGGCGGAGAGCTGGGAGGGGTGGGTTGTCCATGTTGGTTCATGGATGATACAGTCACATGGCCTTCGCAGCGGATGACTTTGGATGTTTGTAGAGCAAGGTGGGTGATCATTTCCCGTGACACGGGGAGCATCACGAACTCGTTCAATGCGTCTCTGTTGTACGACTGCATCTTGGTGTTGAAGTTGGTGTTCATATTGTGCTCCATGGTGACTCGAAGCAAGCGGTTAGGGTTAGCTGGTTAGAGACGGAGCAAGGATCGAGGATGATGAACGAGGCCAAGGTTGGCTATTTGAATATTTTTCTGATGAGACTTTTTTCTTTTTTCCAACCTGACTAGCAGAGAACAGGAAAGTAGTCCAAGAAAATAACAATGCAAAGATAAAAGTAGAATCCAGTAATACCGAATCCAGAAAGGTGAGATGCCGGGGCTCTGGTATCGAGGCGATGGTTGCCGAAGATCTTTAGCCACAAAAGCGAAAATAAAAGTAGTCAAGGGAGACGAGATTAGGTATTGCCGAACGAGAGACAAAAGTCGAATATTAGTCTTTTTTAGAACCAGAGTTGCTTGCGAGATCCTGCCCAGCTGAAGCAATTATTCCGTAATTCAGGAATGTGGGCTCAAAATTGTTGATGTTGTCGTGTCAACCTTTTTGAACAAGGGTTATCGATAATTGTATAGTGCCGAAAACTGAACGAGGGGCCTTGTTAAAATATATTTTTTCTTGTTATAGTTGATGACGGCGCTAATCGAATTATGATGCAGTTGATCGTTGCACTGTTAGAGTAAACTTTGCTGTAGTGTATGGTGTCGTGGGGGCTGCAGTTGTTGCAGCTCGGGGAATGATACCGTAGGATGCAATGGTGGACGGAGTAGAAACAGGAAAAAAATAAATGAGAGGATGAGATATTCTTTAATATGAATTCAAATGGTAGAAAATCGGACTTTGAAAGAAAAAGACTAGTAGATAGTATTATTGATTAGATGAGGGAAAGTGGTGGTGTGCATGTGGATGGACCTCGTGAAAAATGTGAGGTCGCAGGCAAGTAGTTATATGCCACACTTTGTGAAGCCGTCTATACTATGTCGGCCATATGCAGGATGTATGATCCTCAGCCCAATCGAGGGAGGGCGCTTGGTGGCTCCGGCCAACGCTGCAAGGACAACTGCGAACCAGTTGTTCGATGTGGAGAGGTCGAACTCAAGAGAGCCAAATGGGCCGCAGCAGGGGGTGGATAGCAGTAACTACGCTGTGGTGACTGTATCGTTAAGTTACTATGTAGTACATACCTGGTTTCCCAGGTAGATCGAAAGGACTCCAGGAGGCGCCCAGTTCTATCTTTGTATTTCTAGGTGGACATTCTGCGACGCGATTCGCGGAGAGGGGTAAAGGTTCTAGGGTCATCGATGGAACGACAGAAATAGGGTCATGCCTCGCGCTCTTCTAAAACACATTGGAGTGATCAGAAACAGATCCCTCGACCTATTGTAGTCCGGAATGGCCCAAGGATACAAATGTTTCCAATTTAGGGCACAGCGGCTTCTGCAGCCAATAGCCGGCGCGGTGGGACCCCTGAGGACCATCACCCGCGACGCCCTAATTGTGCCTGTGTCATGGGTTATGCGAGGAGTCTAATTCTAGTCTTGTGGCTATCTGGTTGGAATTTAGCACTGACTCTTGCTCTTGGCTCTGTATACAATAGTATACATACTGAGGAATTGTATATTAAAAGAGCAATCCTCCGAATGGATCCGTGGTATCACTGGTATCACTGGACACTGGCTTGGCATCCCCAGACTATTTTCCTATTCTTCAAGGGATCAACAATAACGCCCCGGGTCGGAATGCATTTATTGATTCATCTGTAACCTTGATTTCTCTTCGTACATACTGCCAAAAGACAAAAAGAACACGAATCTTTCGAAGCGAACCGTGGCATTACATTTTGAAATCGGAGAATCTCTGTTGCGACCATCATAACCAATCATCGTGGGGCCAAGTAACGACTCTGGTGCAGGCGATGACTCACGAATAATCAACATCTTCAGTTTATGTTCGAAACAATCCATAAACAACGGATCAACCGATGTCATCGGTCCTTCTCGAAATTTTTGGGATGTGTATACGAAATACGCAATGTGCGTAGCCGCTGGGTACGTACTACGTAGGGATTCGTGCCTTGGTAGCATAGCCCCCAACCCCAGGTTACGGAAGGGTCGTTTCTGACATGAAAGGATCTAGTTTATGAGCCAGTAGTGGCCCGCTCCGTAGTCATACACGCATACAATGATGGGGTGATCATGTCAATCTTGCTACGATGCAGTGATACGTAGTAAGCGACCGCTGTTTATTTTACCTTCCATTAAACACCTAAAGAGTATAAGTTAATACTTTGAGTCGCTAGATTTGATTCACAAATTCACGATGTAGACGAGTCGATACGTTGGGCGGGCAAACGTAAATACAGAGAAGGAAGGCATCAAGTCCTAGATTGGGGGGGACAAAGGCACTGACGACCACCTTGCCTTTGTGAAATTCTTAGTAGAGCTTCCTTCATTCATCAATCATGCCTTCATACTGACCGACCTGTGAATAGGCAAGAATGATCAATATTCTCATCCTTGAGAATACCCAATATCCACTAGGTAACAATGTTTCATGTTCCTCGCGCTCAACAGGAGCTGAGCCTGGCAAGGCGAGAAGACAACCGCCTAGCATTCATGTAATGATACTGTTCTGATTCGGGTAGAGAGCTTCCGGGGCGCTACAAGAATCGCGCAACTCGGCAACGGCAGAGGTCTGGAATCAATTGAAGATTAAAATAAATTGAAGATCAAGATCAATTCGTCGAGAGAAGAATGGTGGGTCCGATCTATGCAGCGGCTAGCTAGGACGGATTGGGTTAGTCTGATGCATCATCCGGAATGATATGCCCCTGATTGGTCAGTGTTTATTGAGTATTTTTAGCTGATATAAATGATAGTTAAAGCCAGCTCAGCTATCAAGAGCTACAATGTACAAAATGATAGAACTCGAAGTGCTACAAGGCAGCTCTTAGTCCGGGCCCTCTTGCTCACCATCACAGCAGTGTTAGTCAGAATGTTGAGCTCAGGACGGGGAAACTTGGTGGAAAGAACGCGGTTCGCAACCCGCAGTGCGTACTACGTACCAACGTTTAGGCATCGAGAATGCCTCGCTATTATAACATCTCAGAGACGAAGCTGATTACTAATTGAAGAAATCCTTTACTACTTGCTTTGAGCTCGAGTGGTGTGAGCATTGAACTCTCTGTGCCGGACCCGATAGGCTGAAGGTCTAAACTACTTCAGGCCTAGCGCCCGTGCCCCTGGCCCTCTTGTCTATCAACGCGAAAATTTCCCCAGGCCGAGATTATTTTATAATTGGAGTTGTCTGCTGCCCTCAATTGCCAAATTTTCTTCATACAACTTGTGACGTCGTTCCTTAATCGCGGCACTCGCACTTCGAGAAGCAATTGTCTTGGTTTCAATCTCCACTCTTTCTCTTTCTCCAAAATGGCAAACGCCAAATCAGCCTCCTCGCGAGGTAAAGGTACCTCGACCCTCACCGTTTTGGCTGTAGTCCTTGCCGCCTTCGCCGCGTTGTTCTACTACGTCGAGCAGCATCTGGACTCATTCTACATCTTTGACCCGGCTCATTTACATGATGTTTCGCAGCGAGCCATCGCGGCGCATGGTAACGACACGCGCGCCGTGGTCAAGTACATTGTGAGCGAATTGGATGAGAAACTCGAGGGAAAGCATTTGAACTTTGATGAGGAGTGGGTATTCAACAATGCTGGTGGCGCGATGGGTGCCATGTACATTATCCATGCCAGTAAGCTTACCCCTTATCTACCGATCTGAGCCTGGAACTAAGTAAGACTGTGCAGGTATTACTGAGTATCTTATCATCTTCGGAACCGCAATCGGCACCGAAGGACACACCGGCCGCCACACTGCGGACGACTACTTCCACATCCTCCAAGGCACCCAACTAGCCTACGTCCCCGGCTCCTACGAACCCGAAGTCTACCCCCAGGGAAGCGTGCACCACCTACGTCGCGGCGACGTGAAGCAATACAAAATGCCGGATTCCTGCTTTGCGCTGGAATATGCCCGTGGCTGGATCCCGCCCATGCTCGGGTTTGGATACGCGGATACGTTCACGTCGACACTTGATTTCCCTACGTTGTGGGCTACAAGTCGGATTACGGGTCGGGAGATGATTGGTAATTTGTTACAGGGGAAGCTATAGTTTTGAAGATGGTGTCTGTATGATATTGCGGTACATACTATTCAGGGTTATTTGTATAGTGGTGAACCCATTGCATATTGGATATATTCTTCGCTACGTATTATCCCCTTCCTCTCGCATTGTACGTGCTCGGCTTGCATTCATGCGCCACGTAGGTACCGAGTACTTGCATCTCCCCTGCATCTCAGGAATGTGACACGGCCATGAAAAGCTTACTTACGTATTGATTGACGGACCTGGGTATTGATACATACATGTACATGACGCTCAAGTACATCCAGCCTCTGCACGTCAAGACGGATATATGCATCAATTAATAATATTTCCTATTCGCCCGAGCAGAATCGGAAGGTATGCGCCGATGCATCTGTACATATATTGATTGAATTTTCCAGTGTTTAGCCACACTCGGAATCTGTGGTTGACGCAAGGGTTAAGTTGAGATTTTGTCCCGATGAGCTCCACATTTCTAGATGTACAGTCTGGTCGAGATTATGGCGGGATATTTTAACGATTTGTCTTCATTGAGAGTGTTGGAAGTCTAGACACGTCTCACTTGGATTGGGAGTTTGTTCGTTTACGAACCGCGGTTATGATAGAGACTCATATATCAGTCTACCGGTGGGACTGAAGGTGGAGAAATAGCAACATTGATAGATTTGTATTTAAACTTTTTGGTCTATACAACCGCTACTGCTCCACTCGGACAAAATACCAGTATTTCAAGATTTCAACTCAGATCCGAGCGGCGAAAAGTCCTCATTCTCCCTAGGGGATTTTTCCTGGGCGACTAATGCAGAGATCGGAATTTTGTGTTGAATGATCTGGAGAAGGTAGCGATTGATCGAGCTCGTAGGTCAATAGTCCGAATCTATCGAACGATGAGACTTGTCGATTATTAGCTGCGGTTTCCGTTCCCGTTTCGCTCGAGCAGGAGGACCTCAGGGTTGGAGGGAGAACTCCTTTTTTGATCCAAACTTCATTGCTACTTTTGATTCTCGGAGATCAGGATAGGATGCCGGCAAAAGACGAGAACTATCTAAAAGTCCTCGACCAACACTCTACATTTGTCGGGTTTACCTATTTTTGGAACTTTTCAGTAGTAGGGTTAGATTATTGATCACTTACGCCAAGTTGTTCGCTTCAATTGTCGTCTCTACATGATGTTTATGGGGCTATGGTGATCACAGCTAAATGTCTGTACCCTCGTGCCTGCTAAAGATATGAGTCGATCGGTATTAGCGCAACTCTAGCTGCTCTTCAACCGCGCCCTCTCTGTCATAGCCTCGAATCCGTATTCTGTGATATACCACTTGACTCTGAAATGAGGATACTCTCGTAGAGTTGGGTCATTGGCATGTCTAGCTAGGGCTAGGCGAACTAACCCTAACTGCGCGGATCGCTTGCCGATCCGGGGCTAGAAATCATCAAACCTTCCTATTTAGGAAATATCTTTTTTGTGAATACTAATCTGAAAATGCTATATGTAATAACTTAGGGCTACTTACTGGCACAACTGTGTATTTACTTGGAAGATGCAGGCTTGATCAATCTACCATGTCAGTTCGCTGATTCTAGTTCACATGACTTGTGCTTCTTTGTTCGCCTAGAGAGACAAAGACCAGCATGTCAATTGGCTCTCATACAACCCACAGATCCATGTATGGCTGAATCGCTGGCTTGCTACTGCTCGAAAGAGCACAAAAATCTTTGCAGACTAAGCCTAGAATAGAACTGTGGATACAATGGTCCATAACCGCGGCTTAAATGCGGCTACACTATTGCTTTGGTTGAGTAGCATAGCTAGGGGCAATGCGCGATTCTTTGTCTCAGCACATTATCCCACTTTTTCTTATTATAGGCTACATCGAGGTCCTATTGTCAAGCGGCGCCACCCAACATCTCCTTCTTCCTTTCTCTTGTTCAGCTTTTGGTCAAATGTCAAGATACTATATAATCAATGATGTGTCTCATATGACACCAGCTGAAGCAACATGAAATATTCTGCATTGACGTGGGTCGTAAACAGCATTCGACTTCTGCTACACCTCTTAGTGACCACATCAGCAGGAAAGACTTTTCTCGCCTCTGTCTTTTTGTTTACTCTTACCTTTGGCTGGTGCAAAGTTCGATTCTGGCGAGACCCTCATTCGGCTTTCTTCGACGATACCCATGTCTACGACCTCAAGTATAGCTTGACGCGAGAACATGAAGCGCGACAATTCATCTCAGCATATAATGCCCAGACGGACGGTCCTCCTGCTTTGAAAGCTTCTCCGACCCCGGTCGTATGCGTTGCCGTAACGACAGTCAAGAGAGATGGAGTCAATTATTTGGATGCCTCTGTGGGATCACTCTTGGCTGGACTGTACCCTCAGGAGCGCAGCGCGTTGTCCGTCAATGTCCTCTTTGCGGACACCGATCCTCGAAAACATCCAAGTTGGGAGCAGCAGTGGCTCAACAGTCTTGTCGATTCAGCCGCCTCTTATAATGTATCAAATGAAGTGATGGGCAGGCTTCGGGAGCTTGAAGAAAGTCGTAACTACTATGAGAAGGGCGTCTAGTTAGTGTCCTAGTTTTCTTGCAATTTATCAATCGACTAACTTGTTCAAGTGACTACGTATATGTGCTAGAGCGCTGCCTCCAAACGAATACCCCGTACATTGCCATCTTCGAGGACGATATCATTGCTGCAGATGGGTGGCTGGCGAAATCGCTCATGGGTTTATCGACCTTAGGTAGCCGTATCGGATCGGAAAAGACGGAGAAGGACTGGCTATACATGCGACTCTTTTATACAGAAACATCTCTTAGTTGGAGTGAAGATGATTTCTGGTACCGCAATATGCCCCTGGCATTCCTGCTCATGTCAAGCGCCACATTGGTTATACTCCTGATCATTCGACGAGTTTCTACCTCCGCACGTCGCTTCTTGAACTGGCCCACGATTGCAGTGATCTGTCTCGTGAGCGTCCCTGCATTTACTGGCCTGGTTTATATGACCGGCAAATACAACGTGATGCCTCTTCAAGGGGTAGTAGAGATGAACAAACACGGTTGCTGCACCCAAGGAATGATATTTCCACGAGATCAAGTACCAGACTTGATAAGATGGCTGGAAGAACACAAGTCCGGACAAACCGATACGTTGATAGAAGAATACGCCGACTCTACGGGGCTGCGGAGGTTTGCTTATGCGCCCCCTCAACTTCAACATGTTGGGTCAAGGTCTAGTAGAGATAACCTGGATATCAACACGAGAAGTACATGGGCTTTTTGGTTTGAGGAGAATGATCCTCGTGTACTTGCCAGGGAGCATGAGAGTTTGGTCCAGGGTGGGAGGGTACCGTGGATATGATCATGTCATTGAAATATTAACGAATGTATGAATAAGTCGACTTCTTTATTTGTATATATCATTATTTAGTCTGTTATTCATATCGCTACCAAACACAAGACACGAGTGTACGGTCTCTCTAAGACATACAAACTAGCATTTTGTCTTGATATTTAGCAACTTCAGTACATCTATACTCAACATGACGATCATCTGATCGATCAACAAACAACAAATCAGAGAGCAGATGACTGCAAAGTCAACCCGGGAATTTTTTTTTTTTGACAAATCTTCATATAGGAAAATGCATCAGAAGAGCTTCAAAAGATTTAAGAATCAGATTAGGGCTTACTTTACCCTAACGCCGATATTACAGTAATCTTTGCCGCATATAGACTAGCGTGGTGGGGTACGGATCTTATCGAGTCAAAAATTCTCAAACTCAGGCACTCTCGATAAGCCTCAACCAGTAAGTATAACGACAATGGCGCCCACACTGTGCTTCAACTGCCAAACCTCCCGCGCCGTAATAATCCGCCCCAAAAACCGCCACAAACTCTGCAAATCCTGCTTCATCTCAATCTTCGAATCCGAAATCCACGAAACCATCATCTCGACCTCGCTGTTCAAGCGCGGGGAACGAATCGCCATCGGCGCCAGTGGCGGGAAAGATAGTACCGTATTAGCCTCTGTGCTCAAGACACTCAATGTACGATATGACTATGGACTGGATTTGGTGCTGTTGTCTATCGATGAAGGGATTAAGGGGTATCGGGATGATAGTTTAGAGACTGTTAAGCGGAACGCGAAGCAGTACGATATGCCGCTTGAGATTGTCGGGTATGATGAGTTGTATGGTTGGACGATGGATCAAGTGGTTGCGCAAGTCGGGAAGAAAGGGAATTGTACATATTGCGGCGTCTTTCGGAGACAGGCACTCGATCGTGGAGCGGCGCGTTTGGGTATCAAGCATATCGTTACGGGCCATAATGCAGATGATGTCGCAGAAACCGTCATGATGAATTTGTTGAGGGGCGATTTACCGCGTTTGTCGAGGGGGACGAGTATTGTTACAGGCCAGGATAGTACGGATATGAAGCGGAGCAAACCCCTCAAATATGCATACGAGAAGGAGATTGTCTTGTATGCGCATCACAAGAAACTGGATTATTTCAGTACGGAGTGTATATATTCGCCCGAGGCGTTCCGTGGGAGTGCGCGAACACTTATCAAGGATCTGGAGAAGATACGACCAAGCTCTATACTTGATATTGTCAGAAGTGGTGAGGATATGGCGTTGTTGGTGCCGGCGGAAGTCAGCGGCAGTGGCAAGACTCAAGCCTCTTCCACCGTCGATGCGGATGATTACTCGACTGGAGGATGCGGTAATCATAATGGCCGGTCTAGCGGCGGTGAAATGGCAGCAATGGAAAAGCAACTTGCGGCAAACGAGGCAGCTGAAGATCATGAAATTGAGATAACATTACCAAAACCGCAGTCGAGCAATAGGCCCAGGAAGGCACCACAAGTCAAAGGAAAAATGATCCGGGTTCAAAATATTGGCAAATGCGAGCGTTGTGGATATATTTCGAGCCAAAAGGTCTGCAAGGCGTGCACATTGCTCGATGGGTTGAATAAGAATCGGCCCAAGACTTCGATTGAGGTTGGATATGAGGAGGAAGAGAGTAGCTCGACGTTGATGCGGCAGATGGAAATTGTTCAGCTGACATCTGGTTGATCGGTTGATGCGTACCGAATATTACTATGGGTATAAATATGACGACGTCTAGTCATCAACGATCAAGACGTCCGGCTTAGTCTGAATTCCACAGCGCCATATCACCTAGATGGCAGGCCGGCGCAACTATCTGGACGATGCTTCCAACCGCCGAGCCTTTATCGCGATGCAGACGAAGCACTGCAAGTATATCCCTCTCGATTCGTCAAGGGGCGTACGGATTGTAACGGACCAACGTAAGTCTGTTGTTTAGGTGGAATACACATTCTATAACTATATACATATCATACACAAATTCAACCTCGTCACCTGCGTCGCCAACATTTCTCCCACGTATTCGTAACATCGAATCCCAAGCCCCAGAATTCCATTCCACGCTTTCAGTCGCACTTAATCTCTCACTTCCTCCCCCCATCGTCATCCTCCTCCCCCTTTTCCGTACTCTCAAATACCCCCCCCTTCTCCTTCTCCCTCTCAGCATCAAACCTATTCTCAACCGGTAAATCCATCCCCACCCTCCTCGCCGTCAACCTCACCCTCTCTTCCTGATCCATATCCATGCCCGGATTATACCTCGCTAATAACGTGGCATACATCCGCTGCGCTTTTGCGTATTGCACGAATTGTTCGACACGTTGTATTGAGTGTATTGATGTAGTGGATCGTTCGAATTGTGTGCGGAAGCGTTGTTTTAATGGTGATGTTGTTGAAGATGAAGAAGGGAGGGAGATGTGTCGACGGGGGAGTTCGCGGAGGAGAGCGCGGTAGAGTTGGCGAGCTCGGAGGGGGAGGTCTGTCATTTTGTTTTTATTTGGTTCCGAGTTTTCAATCTGGTGTCGGTAATTGAAATGGGGGAAGAGTTGATAAAGGCGTTTAAGTTGTTTGAGTGATGAAGTAAAGAATTAAAGATTTAAAGTTGCGACCAAAATACGCTAGTGATGCCTGAGGCTACCTACTATCCACCAATAGAATCGACGCATTTATTTCTCGAAAAAGACATTGCTCAACTCTTGCCTTGTATATAAAACCGCTCGATATGTTAAGCCCAATGAAGAATACAAATATATGGCATGGTATGTAAATATAAGCAATAATCCCAGAACAATACAACACCGATAACAAGGGGGTATGATGGGTATGATATAATCATCAAAAACATGAGACATGAATTAGAACGACTTGAAATCGGTCGAGGCAGAGATAAGGCAGTCCTAGTGTATTATTATGTACGCGGTGGCAGCGAGAAAGTAGGTGGTCAAGGGTCGAATGACAGTTGATACGAGTTCGTGGTCGATCAAGGTCGTAGCCATCGAGGTCCCCACGGCTTGGTTCTGTCAATTGCACCTCCAGCAGGTTCCACTTGCACGCTTCGAGTATACAGTTCCTAAAAGACGAATATCAGCAATATTCTCAAGGCAACAAAACGACAGGAAATACCTCTTCATCAAACATCTTCGCATCCAGCACCAACCGTTGCACCTCTTCGTTCCTCTGAATATACGGATACGGCGTGCGTTGGCTGCGCTGAATAGCAAGAACAACCTCACCCATAATCTCAAATTTCTTCCAATTAATCCGATCCTTATTCTCGCCGACAAACGTCTTATTCCCTTCCTCTGCCGATACCAAATCACGCCGATGAAGCGGTAAGAATGGAATCCGTTCTCCGAACGAATTGTCCCATGCAAGTCGATACGCAAAATGACTCTTCTGCGTGCTCATCAATATCACAAGGCGGAGAAAGTCCTTTTGGACGGAAAGTGGTATTAATTCTCTTGTTTGCGCTAGCCGTTGAACCGGTGTGCCGTTTATACCTGCCATGACTGCACCAAGGGAGTTGTAATTGTTGAGACGGCGGAGTCTCAAGGCGATGTTCATGAATTTCTCCATAGCCTTTGCACGATGTTTGGCCTTGTCGCGGAGTAATATCATATTTGCGACAAGACAGGCCAGGTGGTTGAATTCTTGAATCATACGATTCACATTTTGTAGTGTTTTGGAACTCCCCTTTTCGGATCCAGATAGACTAACGTGCCGTACCAGATCTCGTGGTCTGAAAGAAGTAAACATCGTCCAGTCGATGCGGGTGAGTTCCCGGGCGAAGTCGTCATCTGGAATCTCCATGAATTGTCGCCATTGTATCTTGGTGAGTACACATCGAGCAGTGAGTTCCAGACTCATTGCTTCTCGCTGTGCATTCTCCAACGCCAACATAGCTGAAGACGCTTGTGTCATGGTAGAAACCGATCTCCCCGTACTAGAGACGGTGGATATCGTGCCCGAGTCTCTTGCTGGGTCGTTCGTCGGATCGTCCGACAGATCCAACGTGCTAATATTATTAATAACATTCTCCGAGAACGAAGAATGCATAAATGAAGTCGACGGTGACAAGTGTGATGACCCAGTCCCCTCTGATGATTCGCCGTCTTCTCCATCTCGAAAAGGCCAACCGAGATCGTCATCTTCCACACGGTTTTCTAAATGGAGACTGATTTCTTTCGCGGCAAACATGTACACATGACTATCCTCAATGGATTCGACAAAGTCAACTAATCTTTGCCGCGTTTTGGGATGTGCAAAATCTCCTGGGTATTCCGAAGCCCATTGGGCGATCACTTGAAGTAGCCGTAATTGTTCGGAAGCCCGAGTCAATTGAGGTAAATCGCTTTGTTCGGTAGTTTCGAATCGAGCAATGAGAGCATTGAGTAAGGTCGAGGGTGCAGCGAATTTCCGGTATAGACATAAAAATATAGCACTAAACTTCGCGTCCTGTTTCGACATGGGTAACGCGATGAGTCGCTCGATCAATTCTTCAAAGGTGACTCCCGGATCACTGGGCGCCGTCGTTTCGTAGATGCGCTGTTTCTCCGGGGCATGATTCTCAGAGCTGGCCGGTCTGCTTCGAGAAGCAGCATCATCGGTCTCCTCGTCCATATCCAAGAACGAACTGAATGCATCTGCTGATCCCGCACTGTGACGCCAGGTTGTCCGTAGAGCGCTGCTCTGGTGCTGCTGCTGGTGGCGGAGAGGAGAATTGCTGCTGACGACGCCGGGGGAGGAAGTTCTGCGAGAGGAAGCTGGATTCATCCGTGTTCCAGACGGAGGGGTGTTTGGTCGCACGGGGTGGGAGTTACTGCGGCCATTTCTCGAACCGGGGACATGGAGAGCCACGGTGGATAGGCTGTTCTGTCGATGGGGACGCGGTTGGTGACCGGTCCCGCCGACTTGGACGAAGCGGTAAGACAAGCTGTGTTATGTTTTTGCTTTTTGCTTTTTGCTTTTTAAAGTAAAAAACGGAGCCCTTGTGTCTGACTGATGTGTCAAAGCTATTAACCCTGTAGCCCAGTTTAAGCTAGTAGTGGCAATGTTGTGCGGGTCGACAATGCAGTAAGACACGGGACTGGACCTCGACTGTATTAATTGAGTGTTGTTCAAGACTCTGAAAAGGGCAATGGTCAGAGATCATATATTTCCTTACCTAGGTAGTTCCGGCGAAGTGGATCGCAAAAATAGGAGGAGCTGGGCGACCGTTGGAAAAATAGGGCGTGGTGCGACGCTTTGTGAAGTTTAACAATGCCGGCACTAGCGAGACTGAGGCTTGGCCTTATTTGTTCCGCCCACTTGTCTGTCTCAGTATGAGTCTGGACTGTATATCAGGCCACCTCTTAGCTTATATTTGCTAGGAAGAGGCTATTCTGATTCGTATACCTCGACTCAAAAGGGAAAAAAAAATTGGGAATCATCCTTTCTCCGTAACTGACCGACTACGTTGGGTGAAATAGCGAGGCTTGGTGGAACCTTGGTGATTCCCCGGATTCATACTCTATCACCCAATCTACTACTCCGTACTCATGTTCGACAATAGCCAGATCGATCAACCGCAAGATGAGCCTCGGTAATGTACTCCGATCCGTTCGCATTGGTCGTGATTTTGCTACAGTTATACAAATCATATGTGCCAAGGGACCGCGAATGTGATTCACCCGGCAGCCTGCATTTCAATTGAACTAGCATAATAAAATGAAGTCTGCCATGTGAAGGCAGAAGACGCCCAACAATTCTCTTCTCACGGTGAAGAACGTCAGCGGTCTGTATTCGTTGAGTCGGAGGCTTCGATCACTGTAGGAGAGGTTCAGAGCACATGCTCTAACGCGTGTCCGCAAGATAGCTGCACTGATGAGCTGTCGAGTATTCTCTCCAGTTCGGTGAATAGAATATCGCAGTCCATTTATCTGCGACTGGGAATGCCAATTCATATATGTCAGGTAATTGAAAGGTCCTGCTCATCATCCCGAAACATCATTTGCCCAATGAACTCTGATCTTCCAGGAAGAGAGAACTTTATACTGTGGTGATAGCCGGGTGTACCGACACTCACAGGTTCTCTCGTTCTGATTCATTGCTCTTGCTCTTGCAAGTAAGCGTCGGTTAAGAGGATAGCAGACCAAGAAAGATCGCAACAAGCGCTGTTACTCGCAGTGAATAGCCACGATAGGGCTAAGAAAGTACAGAGTACTTCTGATAGAACTACCCTCCACGCTCTCCAGCGACCAAAGCCATGAACTTCACAAAACCCTCGGCATCGGCATCTGTGCACTCCCCGCCTTCACAACCCTCTCTCCATCTCCTAATTTTCGCGACTCCACGGTTGAATCCTTTTTCTGCAGTCCAGGTTCCACGATTATTATTGTGATGATGGTGGTGATTATGCGCCTGTCGATCGCCGCGATGATATGTGCTGTGTTTTGAGTCGGGTGCGGTTGCATTCCATTCTTCCTCTAGAGTAGTCTTGTAGATTTCTCGTAATCTCGAGCGAAGGTTGGGATATTCCGCAAAAAGCTTTTGTATCTCTGCTTTGGGAAGAGGTTCTTGCTCTTTGGATTGAGTGGTGTTATCTTCCTGCTTGGCGAGATTTCCAGGATCCTCAGGCTGCGCATTCTCCGCAGAGTCTTCGGCTGCTGGATCTTGCTTCGGTGCACAGTATATTTTGTGTGATTTTGTACAACCGAGAGAACAGCTTTAGATAATAGTTTAGATTAGTTTTTTGTACATAAACAATAAGATAGGAAACATACCTCAACAGGCCACAAGTTGGACACTTGTATTTGGATGGCTCTTTCGAGCATACTTCACAGACTGGCATCGTGTCCGACGATTACTTTTCTCGTGCCGTTGAAAGTTGCTTGACTTTATGATATGGTAGTGCAGAAGAAGAATGTTGATGTCTTCAGGTATGACGGTAATCAAGTATTTGACGGCAAAGAGCTTGTCAATTTTTCGGCATGCATTATGAAAGGCTGGCCCGTGCATGACTCTCATTCAAAAAGCGCGTATCATTTCGGCCGTCCTCAGTTTTGAATGATCTTATCAGAATTGAGCATGTTGAATGTTTTAGTAAATAAATTGAGATACAAGATGCAGTGTAGATAGGTTAGAAAGCTCTAGTATGTATGATTAAGCACCTCACGTGCATTTGACGTCAATGCCTTCCGGGCAAATTCTCGCGGGCCGGTTTGTAATCAATTATTTTCCTTGACAAACCTCATCGCGACCCAGAAACCGTCAACACATTCCAGTGATTGATTATACAGAGTTATACATAATGTCAGCACAACAAATCTCACGGAGTCTTCTCCGGCGTACAGTTCAGCGATCACAGAACTTGACGGCGACGATTGACACTGCTCGATTCACCAGCGCACGGAGGTCAATTCACTATGCGCGAAGCAGCATCTCTGCCATAACACCATCTCAAAGCCGTCGCAGGCCGGTCTTACATCCTAACCATCAGACTTCGAACCTACCGAAGATCAATGGGCCGTCCACGGGCAATAAGCGGTCTATATTCATCCAGACGGAGTCGACGCCGAACCCGGATGTGAGTCAGTCTGGTGTTGGACTATGCACTTGAATATCTGATTGAAAATGTCTGACTGGGTCTTTTTGATGGTTGCAGGCTCTCAAATTCCTACCTAACCATCGCGTTCTTCCAGAAAACTTCCCAACTCCCTTCTTAGAGTACCTGTCGCCGAGGTCGACTCTCGCTCCGCCTCATCCTTCACCACTAGCAGCCAAGCTACTCAATGTTGAAGGCGTTTCATCCGTTTTCTATGGACCCGATTTCATTACTGTGACCAAGCAAAGCGACGTCAACTGGGCTCACATTAAGCCCGAAGTCTTCAGTCTGATCACCGAAGTCGTTACTTCCGGCGAACCGATTGTGAATACCGTTGAACGCACCTCTGGCGCCCAGGATGCGCAAGAGGGTGGCGGCGAGGATACTCTAAGCTACAACGAAGAGGACGACGAGGTAGTCGGTATGATCAAGGAGCTATTGGAAACTCGCATCCGACCAGCTATCCAGGAAGACGGAGGAGATATTGAATTCCGGGGATTTGAGAATGGGATTGTCCTGTTGAAATTGCGAGGAGCTTGTCGGACTTGTGACTCCAGTACCGTTACGCTGAAGAACGGTATCGAGTCGATGCTTATGCACTACGTAAGTTATACTACTCCTGTCATTTCCTGGACTGTTTCATTGACTCTCCGCTAGATTGAGGAAGTCCAAGGTGTGCAGCAAGTTCTGGACCAAGAGGAAGAGGTCTCGATGCATGAATTTGCCAAATTCGAGGAGAAGTTGCGGCAGCAAAAGGGCCCAGGAGCTACGACCTCTTCTCCACTGGATAGTGCTCCTGCTTGAGATCAGTAGTTCTCTGTCTATAGCAAGATTCTGTAGTATGTATTGATAGAATGACACACAGCTTTTTCCTGATTATGTTCATCTCTATCCTGTCGCCAATAATTATGTTCGCCACTTATCCATGACGGATGAAGTTCGCCTTGCCACTCTGCTTCCGCCGCGGGGACAGGAGGTAAGGGCCTGGATAAGGCTTGGAAGCTTTGTACCATACCCCGCCAATCGCATGTACTACCATAGTTCAAGAAGGGGGATATGCATTGAGTCTCATGATCTGCCCCGTCATGTCTTTGCTGGTTACCTCTCTCATAACATGTGATTCTTCATCTTCAGCTCATATCAAGCCTATGATAATAAGAGACAATGGAAAGCTCAAAAGTTATTCAGCTATACCTATCATAGTACACCGTACTATGAATACCCCTCCGCGCCACAGAGCCTTGGTTGCGCCACCGGGATGCATTCCTGCGTATCCTACAGAGTAGTGAACGGCGCTTCATGCGTGTCATCTCGATACCCCGGATTCTTCGTTTTCCGCTCCGACCTCTCTGACTTGGCAATCTTCTTTCTGTCTTCTGTCCAACAAGGTGTTTCATCCCATCTATTCAATAGCCTATTCAATAGCCTATTCATTAGCCTAGACATTCACACGGGATTTGTGGGGTTTGGCTGTCTCCCGCCTTTGGATGAGATTATGCTTCTTTGTGTAGAAGTGTATGCATGCCTCTATTGACGTGTTATACATAGTATATCAGACTTGGTAGTTAGTAATGAGACAGTGCTAGATTAGTCTGGGTTAGAGTTAGGCTGCAATTTACCCCGGAAAATGGGCGTGTCAATTCAGTCAGGTGGCTGGGCGAAAATCCCGCAACCTTAGCCTGCGATGCGCGATTGGCTGGATGATCTGGAGAAAGCCTCAGGCCTTATAGCGGCGTGCATTCAGTAGCTTACTATGTACTACGTAGGTGTAGCGGGTACTCGGGATGCCCTGCATGGCACTACTTGGACCGCAACATAGTATCCTACACAGTATCCTACATAGTAGACGAGGATGCCTGCATCGGTGTGTATGAAAACTGAATGCAGACAAGTCATGATAAAATAGCCATGTCGACGTATAGCTCTAGGATATTCTTCAACTCATTAGTACGCACGTAGCACTTAACTCCCCAGGCGAATACAACGTAGAGGATGCAGGTGGGGTTGTACTTGACAATGAATTCCTGTATGTAATCTATTGCATCCAGGGATCTATCTACCAACCCCTGAGTGTCTGCAGTGTCTGGAGTGTCTAGAATTTCTGGAGTTTTTGGAGTGGCTGTCGTAGAGTCCAATGATCCTGTTGAGTGGCATGCTTCTTATAATGATGAATCTTTGTGCTTGGTGTGTTCAATGTGGGATATGATGATGTTCTGGACCTCTTCCCCACCACTGAGTCGTCAGAGTGATACTGCGGGGACAAATGCAGCCAATGGAGAAACACAGCCCAGTCAAAGCGGGTAAGAAGGATCAACGCGATTGGCTGATCTGGACAAGCACCCCGGACTTGCTAGTGTCCCATACAGAAGGAGCGACTGAAATGGCATCGCTCTTTCCCTTTGGGCGAGCAGAAAGTGACACGCACAGAGAAAGAGCGACAGAGGTGGTCGCGCCTTCCCCGCCTGCTCGATGATGCCGCTGGTGGTCTTGGCACCTTCCCAACGATAATCTTTCCTTAATGGTCTGCATGGAATGCCTCATCAATTTCTATGAGCGATATTTCGTCCAACATTATTCTTCACCTCTTCTACTCCGTACATCCTATACAACACGCACGACAGACAGCCACCTCAGTAACACCGAGCTGCCGACTGTCTGAACGTCGCTCGTTCTCTCCACTATCAAGTTGATCAACTCACCCCGTCCTGACTAGCCGAACGGGCAGACACGGTGCACGGGGCTCTAGCGTGCTGCGTTTGCTCCATGTTAGCTAACCCCATTGCTTCTGGCTCTGATTCTCTCCTCACTCGCTTTTACACGGGAAACGATACATTGGTCAGCTTCCATTCAAAAGAAAGGGGAAAGGGGAAAAAAGGAATACAGGAATACAGAAGGTACACTGCAGACCGACGTATCTCTCGGTTGCGGAACATCCCCATCCATCTACCCCATAATCCATCCATACAATCATCCCATTTTCCTTTCTCCAGGTCTTACAAGCCTGCCGCGCCACCACATCACCCAACTCGATGCCACACTGCCTATTATTTGCCCCCCCCCCCCCCTCCTCCTTCTTCTACATCTCTTCTTATTTTCTTCTTCACGATTTGTTCTATTTTTTTTTCCTCTTCACTTCTGCTTATCCACTCGGCTCTAATTCGTTGGATGAATAAGGAAAGAAACAGAGACCTGTGTGCCCTTCGGATCGCCAACCGACGATTTACTAGTCCATCTCCAACCCTCGTGACACCCGTTAAGTTAGGGGAGCGGAAGCTTCAACCTCGACGGGTTCGGGTTTTTTTCCAGTAAGTGTGATGTTTTTTTTTCGATTATTATCGCATGGAATCTTTTCTTTTCTTTTTTCTTTTTTTTTTTTGTTTACTATGGTATATTCGTTCATTAATTCGTCCGCGATCTACAGATTCTCCAAGATCTGAAAATGCGCTGCTTCTGTGGTGGGCATCACCTGTTGGCGCCAGTTTGCAAGTAGTAGCGCATTACCAGAACCCGCGACTTCATTTCCGACGCTGTCCGCTTCTTTGTCTGGCAACGAGAGCGCTCGGATTATATTTTTCCGCGCATTTCAAAATTGCACATTCGCGCGATAGACACATACACATACACATACATTACACATCTTAGAGCGACCTACAAGCGCGGGTGTTTAACCAAGCGCAGCAGAGCCGCAAGCCCGGTCGTTATCTCTTCGTCGTCGCAGGTCATCGACAATCGGAGAGCAGGAAAAGAATTTGTACATTCGTTGATCTTGTTCCGGATAGATTACAGGATAGATTTGTCACTCGCGAGGTAGAGGGGTATGCCGTTATTATCTGTCTACTCAAGGCTTCCGTCTAACATCCGCTGTATAGGGCGTTCGCTTGTATTTTCGACCATTTTTTACTACGAGACCCAGAAATCGTTAGATTGTATTTTCTCACTTTTCAGGTAAGAACAATTGTCTCCCCGGAGTGATGCGAATGTCGTTCGCTAACATGACTGATCTACAGTACCCCTCCAACTTTTGCATTGCCTCGACTGAGCCTAGCAAAGTAACACATATATTCACCCAAAATATCTGATTGATTTATTTCGCATACAATTATCTACCTCGCCGGAGTCCATCCTGCATAATCTGCTAGGAGCACATTCCCTATACATTATTTCCCGAGAGCTTCGTTATCATGGCCGCAGGAACGGATACCCCCATCCTGCCCTCCAAGGCTGCGGCTAACTCCGCGTCTGGCACCAGCGCGTCCGTCCGTCTAGAGAAGGGTAAACCCAGTATTAGACGTTCTACGCCCGATTCCGAAGCTCTTACTTCCTCTGACGATGAATTCGAGCATCTTCGCCAGGTAACAACGGCTCATACTGCACCCATGCCGAAACCAACTCGTCGCACATCTTGGCTCAATGAAGTTCCCCAAAACCTGCCCCGCAAGGCTTCCTTGACGACAGCTGGGACTGTGGTGTCCCCCGGCTCCATCCCTTCCTCATCAGGAGCCGAGCAGCAGGGTTGGGGTAACGCCACTAGCCCTAGCCTTGCGAGCTCCATGTCCTGGGGTCATGGAAGCAGCTTTCCTTGGGCTACCGGCATTTGGACCTCTGAGACAAGAAAGGAGCCACCATCGAGGTTGACCGAACTGAGCCAATCGCCGACAATGCCCAGTATGGCAGTTACTACGAGTTCCGCCGCTGATGAGATCTTGAGTCCTACTGCACGGTCTATGGCCGGCGAATCTTCCATTCCATTTACGATTCCCCTTCACCCCACTCCCAAGACCTACCGATCACAGTCTTACTCGGTTGGTCAACTTGATCCGGAGACCATGAACTTGATGTCGACCAAGACGACCAATCACTTCAATGGACTGCGTCAACGCCCTGGAAACCAGGCCGGAGGACTCCAGCACCGAACTTCTCGGCCTAGTATGCTAGAAGATCTTGGTCATGACCCTGCACTCTTGGGCCGTGTGCGGGAAGACGACGCCGATGACGAAGACAATGCGAATGATTTGAACGACGGCCAATCGTACACTTCCAGCCAAGCACGGACGATCGAACAACTAACACGGGAGAATGCTCTTCTTCGTCAAGCTGCACGTTTCGATGGAGCTCGCGTGAGAGACCGTGCCGTTTCGTCTGCTTCCGTCAACAGCAACTACTCTCTCCAGAACGGCCTGCACAGTTTGCATCGTATCCAAGGCAGCGTACCAGAAGAGTCCGATCTAGCTGTAGAGGATTTGGATGAACTCGGGGACATTCCTGGCTATGGTGGTCTTCGCAACAGCGCTCGTCGACGACTTTCCGAGCATTCTGTCAACCTTGAAAGACAGTTTGCTGCGTTCGGCTCGGTTGAGAATAGACCTCTAGAAAATCTCAAGCGAGCTCACTGGCAGACTTCCCTAGGCTTTGGTAGTTTTGGAGAGCTGCCGCAGAGCAGACGCCATTCGTTTGCTGATGTCCCAACTAGACATGGTTCGGTTGGGTCAATCGGGGAAACTCCGTCGCAGCTGGGGTCACGGACAGGTCTTCATGATCGTGAAGACAACTTTGCTAGTGCACTTGAAGGAGCTCTTGCTACACCAACAGCCGAAAACCGTAAGTATCTAATCAACTCTCAAGTTTAGCCATTTCATCAGGAACCTCTTTTTTTTCCAACTTTTTACTGACTATACTCAAGCTTCATACTATTCGTCTCGCGATTCTCTTCGGGGTGACCTGCCTCTACACCAAGCTTACAACGTGCCTTCAGCGTATGGCCGTCCACATTCAGGGCTATCGCAGCCTCATCAGAACCAGCGGCTGTATATCGTGACATTCAAATGCCATCGTGCGGACGTTTTCTATATACAGGAAGACACCGGGCTCCAAGTCAATCCAGGCAACTTGGTAATTGTTGAGGCAGACCGTGGTACAGACCTCGGAACTATTCAACATGCCAATGTCACCTGGCAAGAGGCGAGGGAATTGAAAGAGAAGTTTGCAGAAGAGCATTACAAATGCTTGATGATGTTTTCTCGTCAAAACCAAAATGGGGCATCTTCTGTGGTCGGTTCAAGCTTGGGAGGTCGCAGTGCTGTCGGTGGAATGAGTCCGACTGGCACCCATGGAACACACGAGCCTCAGTCGACAGAGATCAAACCCAAATTGATCAAGCGTCTCGCGCAAAATCATGAAATATTGACTCTTCGTGATAAAGAAGGAAATGAAGCGAAAGCCAAACGTGTCTGCCAACAAAAGGTTGTTGAACATAGGCTCAACATGGAGATTCTTGATGCAGAATTCCAAATGTAAGATCTACCTCGTTCCGTTGTTTTTACAAAGTTTTCTGTTCGTTTTGCTGACTTGCTTTAGGGACTGGAAAAAGCTGACCTTTTACTATTTCGCCGACTCGTATATCAATTTCAATTCCTTGGTAACGGATCTTTTCAAGATTTACAAAACTCGGATTTGGATGTCTGCAATCAACCCAGCTTCCTTTGTTACACCGTCTGCCGGTCTTCAGCCTCCAGGAGTTGGGGCTCTAGGATATAGTCAAGAGCCTCCGATTGATCGGCGACACCCCCATGAAAGTCGAAACTACAATCTCTCGCACCTATCCCAAGCACCCCCAAATATCCGTGATGCTCTGGAGCGAGGCGACTTTGCTGGTGGGAACGCGATGCTACGCAATACTTATGTCGACCCATATCAAGGGCTAGGCTCAGGTGCTCGGCAACATGACGCAGGTTTTGCGCAGAGCAATCCATCGCATGATCCCTTTGCGCCGATCTCACCGAATGGTTATGGTTTTCTTGATCCAACGGGTCCTGACTACCTCAGGGCAGCCTCCAACAACCAACGGAGCGAACATCCTCAAGCAGACTGGATTGGGGGTTTCCAGGGCTTGTCACTCAATTCTTGATACAAAGTTTGAAAACCTCTGCAAGAGTATCGACTTCCTCTTTTCTTCCTTTGTACTACTTTCCCTTTTTTTTTTTTTCTCTCTCCTTTCACATTTGAAGTTATAAAATTGTCTAGATTCTCGGTTTATATTTTCAAGGGTAGATTAAAGAGATCTACAACCTGTCGCTCCAGATACCTCATAGACTACGGTGAAACTTCACTTTTACACTTTCTTCAATCTTGTATGATTCGGCTGCGCTGCGACTGTGGATGATGTCGATTCTTGTTGATGTCAATGTCTCATGTTATGTTTCATTCTTATATCTCTCACGAGTGGCGTTTACTTCTAATGTTGATCTATTTGTTAGTTGCTAGAGAAAGAGATTGATGGGTCACGAGTCACGCCTGGGCAGTGAGTTCGTCTTGGAAGTTACAGCCTTGATAAGAGTTTCTTATCTCGGAAAGGAAAAGTTGTTTAAACTCGTTGATGATGAATGAAATTTCAATACGGTCTAGTCCAGTTCATTTAGAGAAAATATATGTAGTTGAAGCTATCATAACTCTTCTCTGGTAACCATCGTTCATGGTGAGCACAAGACAACCAATCATATTAATTTTGAATTTCCGTCCTAGATCACGTGATGTTCCCCACTGCTTTCTAATTTAAGCTCTTATGATTGGTCATAATCCGCACACCCTCGCCTAAAATTATTAGCGTCCCACACACAGCGACCGACCATCTTGAAAGACCTTTGAATCTTTTCCCACTCCGTCCTGTTGAGCTGCGAAAAAACCACGACAACGACGCCGACAATCGACAGCCCAAGCCGACAAGGTATGCAATATCTATTCCTTTAAATTGATTCAGTACAATTAAATCAATTCTGCATTATTGTCTTGTGTCTAACTGAGCTGTGTATGATAGATGGGTGCCTTGAAATACGTTGAGGAGCTTCAAAAGAAGAAGCAGTCCGATGTCCTTCGCTTCTTGTTGCGTGTCCGTTGCTGGGAGGTGAGATTCTACGATCTTTGATTTTCTTTTGCTCTTTCTATTTGAGATTGCTTTATCGGAAACCTGCCGGGAATATTGGAGATCAAAGGAACAACATGACTACGGTCTAGGAAAATGCTTTGCCTATTTTCGAATGATTCACGGAATGATACCCCATTGATTCTCATCTCATGGAGTATTAGGCAGTCTGAAGATTTCCAATTCCTCTTTCTTTTCAAGAAACGAGAACCAAAATTTCCGCTCCGGTCCAGGTGGATGTGTGGCACATCAAAATTGAAGCAGCAGGCATTGTTTTAGTTGCTTGCCTTTTTGTGTCTTGCTATACACTCGTTGAACTTTGCTGAGAGTGCATTAATATAGCTCCGTCAACTTAATGTGATCCACCGTGCTTCCCGCCCATCGCGCCCTGACAAGGCTCGTCGTCTCGGATACAAGGCCAAGCAGGGATACGTTATCTACCGTGTCCGTGTTCGCCGTGGTGGACGCAAGCGACCTGCTCCTAAGGGTGCCACCTATGGTATGCTTTGATCTCTCGGCAAGTCGGAGAACGGATGAAGAAGGCTAACTGGATATATAGGCAAGCCCACCAACCAGGGTATCAACCAGCTCAAGTACCAGCGCTCTCTCAAGTCTACCGCTGAGGAGCGTGTTGGTCGTCATGCCGCCAACTTGCGTGTCTTGAACTCCTACTGGATCAACCAGGACTCGACCTACAAGTACTACGAAGTCATCTTGGTTGACCCCCAGCACAAGGCCATCCGCCGCGATCCCCGCATCAACTGGATCGTCAAGCCTGTCCACAAGGTTAGTCACCACCAGAATAAGTTTGCAGAATGATCAGAGACTAACAGTGAATACTTTTATAGCACCGCGAAGCTCGTGGTCTTACTGCCACCGGCAAAAAGTCCCGTGGTATCAACAAAGGTCACGGCTACACCAAGACCAACGCCGGCCGAAGAAAGACCTGGTTGCGCCACAACACCCAGAGCTACTGGCGCTACCGCTAGACGTGAGGCAATTAAAATTGGGTGGTGGACGATGGAACTGTGGTATTACCTGGTTATTCTCTTGCACTACTGCTTATGTGTCGAGATGTCTCTGGGAGACTATCATAGTGACAACAAAAATTCATTTTCAATTATGATTTATTCTACTATTACTATTACTCAGGGTTTCAGCGTGTTATGATTGGTTTTTGTTACGACAGGAGTCGTCTTGTGTCTTGATCTTCAAAGTGTGACGACTGAAAATAAATTAACGTCAATTGATAATATCACGTCTGCCCTCTAAGATGATTCTTCTAGACCTAGAGACTCGCGCTAAGTGTTAGAGATCTCTCCTACTGGCACAGTATGAACATGTCTTACTTTAAAGCTGTCGTACGTAAAGTTCCTTGACTCTGACAAAGACCGAAGACCCACCACAAGCCCGGCTAACTACATGTTGTCTCATACAACCTTCTTCGGGGTACATACACATCTCTTAGTTCTTTTCGAAATCAGGATTTCTTTTTCTTTTTTATTCTGTTATGCGTTTATCCTATTGGTACTGTTAAGTGGCACTTGGAATGTTTCACTTCGATGTGCTCGCTGTTGACTGTCTCTTATCCTGGGCCGGACCCTCCTGGTTAACATAGTTTCGTCTTTTGTATTCTTACCTGGACGCCCTTGTTCGATACACCCATCTCGTTTCTTCGTACATATACTGTATCGATTGAATTACAGCAGCTTTATACATATCAGCCTCGTACAGAAGCCATCAAATCGATTAAAGTGGGTGTGGTCCCTCGCTGTTGTTCCGAAACTACCTCTGCACCTTGTTTGGCTTCATTTGTCTGCATGCGGCATTCTTGCTCGCACGATCACAACATCAAGCTTGACTAGGCTAATACGATCTATCGAGTATATATATGATAACTCTGAGCTAGTATCGACAAGGAAACAAGAACGAGCAAAAGACGTACGAAGGAAGAGATAGACATCGTCAAGGATATCAACATCGCAGATATATGCATCGTCCACATGCCGCCGTGGCCCTCTCGAATCCTTCCGAGCACATCGTCTCCGAGCTCACATTCCAATTCGGTTCATGCATCGCCTCTGCCACAGCCGCCGCCATCCTTCCATCGCAATCCGAATGATGTAGATCGAGCTGCATTCAATACCGTAGACTACAATGTCCCCGTCCTCTTGCCTACGACGTCGTCGACATCGATATTCCGGAATCAACGTCGATCCCACGCCCGTTCGAGCAGTCAACCGTTCCCTTCTTCGTTAATGAATCCACATGGTCTTCGGAAGCCTGAAAAGAAACTGACAAAACGGGACTTTGGTCTTGATTTGGATTTTGACGATGATGACGACGATGATTATGATGACTACAATGCTACGGTTCGAGCGGACCATTTGCGAAGTACAAGCGATGATATGGCCACGGGAAAATGCATGACATGCAATTCCACTTGTCGTTGGCCGCGCCATGTTCAAGTCTTTAGGTGCACCATCTGTTTGACGGTTAATGATCTCGAGCCACGCCCGGCTACAAAGACAAGGGATCATTACAACCATGTGGAAGACGATGATCATCCCCCGCCTCCGCCACCGAAGGATGGTTCACCTGAACATCCACCACCTGGTATGTGAAATTTTAATTCTAGGATAAAGTATTTGTCCGTGTTCTTACTGTTTCAATAGCTCCTATATCAATCAACGAAACAAAGCGTATTATCGAGAATTGTCTGGTCAGGTTTCTTTCAAGTCGTTTGTGCGGCAACCAGGATGCGAAATTTGTGCGGCCGGAGCAGCGATATCGAGAAAACAGCAATAGAAGACCGAGCACACAGACGGATGAAAAACGCTCTGCACGCTCGGAGATCCCAACGGGTTTTACGGACACTAGATTTCTCTCACCCCCCTCTAATGGTGCAGGATACATGGAACGACCCGATGGACGCACCATGCGCGTTCGCTCGAGCTCAGATACACCGCCCATGTCACGGAGAAGAGGTCACTCTGCACAAGGCAGGGAAAGTTCACCTTTGCGCCTGAATACAAGAAGACCTGATTCCAGAGGACGCTCCGAGGGCAGCCGGCCGTCGATTTTCCGGCTTTTAGAGGAATATATAATTAGATCATTTACGGGTTGCGACTGTCTTAACAATTCTTTTATGACTGCTAGTGCGCTCCGTTCCATGTCTAATGCAGGCATCGAACAACCGAGACAACCTGTTCAACAGCATGAGAATACACCACCTCCGAAGTCACCGACATCAGAGACAGTCATGTTTCCAGAGATCGACCCCAAGATGCTGCTTTTGGGCGATTTGGCAGAGAACTCGTCTTGGTGGATGGGCGGCCGGCCGCGTCGTCAGGATATTAAGGTTGCAGGTCCCAAAAAGCGAGAAAAGTCGCCTCTTCGGTCAAGGTCTGTGGTGACGACGAAGTCGCCGAGGATTGACTGGGAAGGTGTAGCTGAATGGTATCAGCTTGTGGTGCATGTTGGGGAAAACTGGAGGGAGGTGTGGAACAAGTTAGTCTCAGCAGAGCAGGAGCATGGTCATGAAGGTGAAGCAAAGCCAAATTCAGCGGTGGACATCGGTTTGATCGACAGAGAAATCGCCGAGGCGCGAGTGCATGCTCAAAAGACCTTGATGAAAGCTACGGAGATTTTACTGAAGCGTCCTCGACGACCGCTGCGCCGACCGGAATCGGCCAGGTTCCTGCTCATATTACTTGCCAATCCTTTACTTGTATACACAAGCAATAGCGCGCCAACTGGAGTGGACTTTCTTTCGCCGGACGCTGTTGCAGGCAGCCAAAGGTCGATACCCAACTTTAGCAGACGATATGGATCTAGTGAACGAAAAACAGGGCCACCTTCGAGTAGGTCGCAATCCGGAAGTCTTGGCCATCATTCTGGTATTATAAAGAGGATTCTAGGCCTTCTCGGAAATCTGCCAAACGACTGTCATCACTATTTGGTTGGATGGTTCTCGCGCTTCTCTAAACATCAGTTTGAGATGTTGGTAGGTCTTGTCGGTCGATTTGTCACGTATCGGCTGAGCAGACAACCTGGCCATCAACGAAGCGAATCAGCACAAGCTATTAATGAATTGGTTCCGAATATTCCAGCAGGTATCGAGAGCTCCCCTGCTCATTGGCATGCAGTACTACATGATTCGCGCTCTTCAAACCAGGCGAACGAGGATAATGGTCGTCGACGGATGATATACAACACTGAAGATTGGCAAATCCGAGCTGCTGCTCGGGTAATGGCACTACTATTCGCAGCAAACAATCATGTTCCACACTCAATACACAAACGTGACGCTCTCCTGCCTCAAGACTACAACGCCGCTACAGCTCCTCTCATCTCTCAGCATAGACAAAGTGGTTCCACCATGATCCCTTTAAGTACTTTTTATAACACATTATTGGATTTTTCAGACCTTGTCTCGGATTTTGAAGCGTGGGAGGCTCGAACTGCTAGGTTTTCGTTTTGTCAATATCCTTTCTTCTTGAGCATCGCTGCTAAGAGCCGGATTCTGGAGCACGATGCTCGTCGTCAAATGAATATTAAGGCCCGGGAGGCCTTTTTGGACAGCATTCTCAATCGTAAGGATGTCAGTCAGTATTTGAACCTGAAGGTTCGGCGAGACTGTCTTGTGGAGGATAGTCTGAGGGGGGTTAGTGAAGTGGTTGGAGCCGGGTCGGAGGATATCAAGAAGAGTCTGCGTATTGAGTTTATTGGTGAGGAAGGAGTGGATGCAGGAGGTCTGAGGAAGGAGTGGTTTTTACTGCTTGTCCGGGAGGTTTTTGATCCTAATCATGGTATTTATCCATCCATGTGTTATTGGAGAGAACTAGTGGGCTAACGTGGCTAGGACTTTTTGTTTATGATGACGACTCCCAGTTTTGCTACTTCAACCCGTACTGCTTTGAGTCTTCGGAGCAGTTCTTTTTAGTGGGAGTTCTTCTGGGCCTTGCAATCTACAACTCTACCATTCTTGATGTTGCGTTACCACCCTTTGCATTCAAAAAGCTTCTCGCCGCAGCACCGTCTACAAATATGCCGGCATCTGCGCAAAGACAGCCGCATACCTCATCATTAGACGATCTAGCCGAGTATCGTCCCGCTTTAGCCAAAGGCCTACGCGCCCTTTTGGAGTTTGACGGCGACGTCCAAGAGACCTTTTGTTACGATTTCGTAGCCGAGGTTGATAAATATGGCCAACACATCAGTGTCCCTCTCTGCTTAAACGGAGAAAACAAACCCGTCACAAACGACAACCGCCACGAATTCGTCAATTTGTATGTTCAATATCTACTTGATACAGCTGTGCAGCGACAATTCGAGCCGTTCAAAAGAGGATTTTATACCGTCTGCGGCGGGAATGCGCTTTCACTGTTTCGTCCGGAAGAAATTGAACTGATGGTCCGCGGTTCGGATGAGCCGTTGGATGTACCTACACTCCGAGCAGTAGCCACATACGAGAACTGGCCAAAACCCCTACCACCACTCCCACCATCAGGAACCGACCACACCTACAACAGCGACAATAACAACACAGAAACCGAACCCGCCGAACCAACAATATCATGGTTCTGGGACTTCCTCGCGCGGTCCACACCCACAAACCAGCGAAAACTGCTCTCCTTCGTCACAGGCAGCGACCGTATCCCCGCCACGGGTGCCGCGAGTCTGAGTATCCGAATCTCATGTCTCGGTGAAGATTCATCTAGGTATCCGATTGCGCATACATGTTTTAATAAGTTGGGTCTGTTTCGGTATGGATCTAGGCAGAAGTTGGAGAGGATGCTTTGGGATGCGATTTGTAATAGTGAGGGGTTTGGGTTGAAGTGATGTCTTCGTTTATATATGTGGGGGTGGATGGTGGGTTCTTTGTATAGAGATAGAAATAGAGGAATAACACCAGTTACTTGTCTGTATACAGCATGCCTTATAGGCTGTTCAGTATTGAAGATTAGCTCTGTCATTAGATTAGGGCTAAGTCAACCCGGAGCCCAAGATATCAATCTTGTTAGTCAAGACAGAAACAAGATATCATTAGAATTGATACTATCTTTCCGTAATGAGGCCCCTCTTGCCATGAAACTAGACCTTTTAACTTGATCTGATCCCTCAATCTTCTATATCATGGCAGTATTTGAATATTCACTGATCGATGCAGCTCTGGAACAAAATGCTTCATCTTTCCTAGGTCTTGTTTAATCTTGGAATATAAGGGAAGACTTCAGTTGTCTGAGCCGCATAGACGAAACGACGAACATTGAACTTATGAAGTAGATCAATATTGCTTGGAATCGATGAGCCTTTTCGGTTTTAGTTATGGCTTAAATGTCGTCAGACTCTTTGACTTGAGTATATCTATGGATGCATTCGACTTATTACATACAAGTAAACCTTCTACAGAGGGACTAAAGAGATATATGAATCAATATGATATACATGGAAACAAAGCTATGCTTATCAGTATGTATTAAATTTACTGAATAGGCCTTTGTAGTTGACATATAGAAACTTCAACATTGCCAGGACTGAAGGCGAATGCTTTGATATTCTCAGGTTAGAAAGATGACTCCCCAAAGAGGAAACGAGGGGAATTCATAGCCTTATGTGAACAAATCGAGGAAAACATCTCTTTCTATTTTTCTTTTTCTCTGGTTTGAACAAAACCAGTACGTAAAAGTATCAGAGACTAAAACTTGGTGGCTGATGAATCAAACCCTAATTATTTGGATACAGTTTACCACGCAGGGATGTATCCCGTGACTCTGTAATTCAGCTCCTTGCATAAAATCTGAGCGAATTTCGGCACATGGATGAACAGGTTCGATTGTGAGACTGGTACGGTTTCGAATTCAGCCTACGGAGGACATGTTTGCTATGCCGCGAGGCTTAGAGCATGCAACCACGTGTTTACTCATTGTGGCTGAAGGAGTAGTATCGACTATGTGTTTCAGTGTCAAATTAGGAATCGAAGGCAAAATCTAAACGCAATCGTAAGGTATCAATTTGATGGTAGCCTAGTCATAAACTTCTCTCCCATAAAATGAGCATCACGCCCAATGACAGATAACTTCATAGACAAAACATCATAAACAGACACGAAATCAATCCGAATACATGATATGATGCTCGTCATCTTCTCATGAAAGAAAAAAAAAGTGTTTATAAAATATGTGCACAGAAAGGAAGAAAAAGATCCTAAGTCGAAGTCGAAATGCAGTATTCGTAGCCCAGCCACAAATTCGTACAGGCGGCATCTAAACCTGGATTTAAGGCCAGGAATTGAGATGCAGAAACGCCCATGTCCTCCTCGACTTCGAGGCAGTAGTCACCAGACATGACAAGGACGTATTTTTTACAGTTTGAAACGGCGCCGGGGTAAACGGGACCGGTTGCAGTAGGAGAAGCAGCAGATGCAGGAGCTGAGGGCGGTGTAGGTGGAGTTGTTGTAGTCGTGGGAGTAGCAGGTGTCGGAGCCGGTGGAGGAGGTGGTGTAGTCTCAGTAGGCTCTGGCGCTGGAGGGGTAGTGGTGGTTGTAGGGGTCGGAGCAGCGGTAGCGCTGGTGGCAGGAGCAGTAGAAGAAGGAGCGGGGGTATCGCTGGGTGAAGATGAACTCGAGCCGCTATTGTTCGCAGGCGTGAAAGAGCCCTGTGCAGCGGTCAGAGATCCAATAATGTTTCCGTTGCACTGAGTGGCGCCGCTGGACCATCCCAAGAGACGGTTGGCAACATCAGAGGAGTAGCATGCAGTGGCCCCAGCCGCACCCAAATTGAGATTATCAGGAACAGAGCCTGCGTTGTACAGGCGTGCTGCTATATAGTACTTGGTCGCGTCGGTGGCATGGTATTTGGACTCCGCCTGTTCAATCAACTGTTTGAGACCAGGTCCGCCATTCGCACCCTGATCCAGAGTACCCTCGGTGCCATCGGTGATCATTTGGAGGATTGTGTCAGACGGGCAGGGAGAAATAGGAGTTCCAGGATTGCATGTTCCTTTGCCGTTATGAGACTGCATAAGGCCAGGATTGTTGACACCATAGTTTGTAGTCTGTACACGAACACAGCCGTTGCTCTCCTGCATGACAATGGCGAGAATGAAACGAGCATCAACGCCGCTAGACTTAGAAACGGACTGGATTGCATTGTAAATATCGTTGATCTCCTCTTCGGAATCGTTCTCCGGGTGGCCCTGAAGATTCCCACACGAGGAGAACATGATGTTTTTGTTGGTATTGAACATGTCATCGAAATTGGAGACCCAGTCGTGGACGGCTGGCCAACCATCCGAGATCTGTCCATTGCCACCAAAGACAGTGTAAGAGGCACGCTTGTCTAAAGAGTGAATGTCTGCTGCCGGGGCAACATCGCGAGAGGGAAGGGATGGAACTGGCGCTCCGAAAATGAGTGCAGGTAGGCTGCCGGCAGCCAAGATCTGTAATAGTTGGTTAGCCTTGTTTCTTCATGATAGTTCAGGAATACATACGAAATGAATGAGAGACATGATGTCCGAACGAAATGAAAAAGGAGTGTGAGGGAGGAAGAAGTCTCGCTTGCTTACCAAACGAAAAGAAAAAGAAGAAGAGCCTCGCGGGGGGAGGAGGGGAATTTATCTTTTGCCCATGACTCCATATGTGGTTGACTCGGTTGGCGAATCGACTGACACATCGATTAGTTCCCCTCACATGAAACATCGGACCAGTCCGTTTATGCCAATTCAGCTGGCCTAATATGCTGACGGAGGAAAAATCCGCAGATCTAGCCAGGGGCAAACCAATGATAAGCACCGCCGCCGTGATGGGCACGGGCGATGAAACGACGGGCTGGCCAACACCAACTGGCCTAGCCAGGGTCAGACTTATCAGCTTAGTGCATGATTCCCCGCGTAGCAGTGATTGGGCCTGTCTCGTATATTAGACTCCAGGAACCAGGAACAGATCCACTGAGAGGCGAAGTCAAAGAACTCAGTCAGAAAGCAAAGAAAAGATGAAATTTCGGAGGATAAATCGAGATTACGTTAAATGAGTCACCTGATATGATTAGTCATGCTCTTTCCTGACTGACAACCACACGTCAACTCAAGACCTTCATGAATGACTATCTCGAACAAAATGTCTCTATTTTGCTGTGACTGTCAACTGATCAGAGTCTGGCTTGTTGAAGGCGCCTCACAATGAGCGCAGCCACCGGACAGCGTCCAAACTCCTGCAAGGGTCCTCCCTTACACTCCGGATGAAGAAATGCTCTAGATCGGTGCAACAAAGCACAGCAGCGCGAAATCTAGCCGACCTGTAATCGGAAATTGAACGGTGCATTTAATAAACGCGGCAAGAAAAGCTGACTCCAATGCTGAGGGGCGCACAGTGGCCATTCTTCCCGCCCTCTGCCGGCAGACTGAGTCGACTGCAGCGCTAGCATTGAGGCCTTCTCCCCGTGCATTTCGCTTTCCTGATTCGACACTGCTGGCAGGCTGTCGATGCGGCGAAGGCAACAGTACCGGCTTCTGTGCGGGTGTCTGTCGGAGAGACCAGCTGTGGTACTGTTGAATCAGGTTAGAGTAGTAGTTTGAGATTCCGACCTTGCCCCTTGTTTGCTTCACTTACCTTGGTCTCTTGTCGTCAGGCTAGGAAATTCGCAATGAATCTGCAGACGCCTACAACTTTCGCAGGAGTACTAAGAGCAATGTTGCGTGTTGTTGCACATTATAGACCAGGGTGCCCGCAGGAAAAGTTGCATGACCTGCAAGCGGTGCAAGGTGAGCAAACGTCAGAACTGCTTTAGGAACAACTTCTGAGTGGCTGGTCATCCAGGTCCGATGTATTGGTCATTCAGTACCGTCTAGATTCCCAACATTACATACAAGTGGGGTAGATAGTATGGCAGGCAAACTGACTCTTCGGATCGATCTCGTCAGGGAAAGGAGCCGAAGCTTTTTATATCGGGCAGACGCCGTGATTTCTACCCATTTCTGCAACTGCAACAAAAATCGAACATTATCTCAATGGCATCGAGGTGTTTCTTGCCACAACAGAACGCAAATGGTATTCCTGTTCATCACAAAAAAACCATGTCGGCCCACAAGAACATCATCTTATTAATCGCAGATGACCTCGGCCGCGAAATGATGAGTTGCTACGGCAGCAAATCTATCAAGACTCCTCATCTAGATGCTCTGGCTGCATCTGGCTCCAGATTTGATCTCGCATTTGCATCAACAGCGTCCTGTAGTGGCAGTAAAACCACAATCTACACAGGGCTACATACCCATAACAACGGCAGTTATGGCCTGAACCACGACAAAAACGGATTCAAAACCCATCCTGATATCGAAACTGCACCACACATCTTCAACAATATTGGACACAAGACCGGTATCCTGAGCAAAGTTCATGTTGGCCCGGATAGTCAATACTCCTGGCAAGTTCGTTATGAATCGGACTCTCGCAACGTTGCACATATCGCGGACAAAGCCCGTGAATTCATGTCGGATGCAATTGCGGAAGATAATCCTTTTTTCCTGACTGTTGGATATATTGATCCTCATCGACATGTCCCTCATCGCGGCGGGTTTGGTAATGTCGAGGGCAATTATGATCCCCGGTTGAAAGACCGTACGTTCTCGCTAGAAGATGTGGTTGTCCCTAGATGGCTCAGTGACTTGCTGGAAGTCCGACAGGAATTCTGCGAATATTACCGATCTATTTGGAGGCTAGATCAAGGAGTGGGGATGATATTACAGTATGTCAAGGAGCTAGGGCTTGAAGATAGTACAATGCTTGTGTTTATGAGTGATAACGGACCGCCGTTCATCAATTCAAAAACGACATTATATGACTCTGGCGTCCATTTACCGTTTTTGATGCGCGTGCCCGGCCGTACAACTGGCATCGCGAATCCGAATATGATTAGTTGGACAGACGTACTGCCAACTTTCCTCGATTGGGCTGGTCACCCTGGACGGCAACCTGGAAAGGGCTTCTGGGGTCCCCGACGAGGCCGCTCATTCTTATCCATTGTCGACCATACCGAGGTGGACGAAACTTGGTCTTGTGTCTTCGGATCACATACTTTCCATGAAGTCACAAACTACTGGCCAACACGCTACATGCGTGATCGTTGGTACAAGTACCATCGCAATGTCTGTTGGCGGTTAGAATTCCCATTCGCAATGGACCTGTACTCCTCTCTCGTTCGAAGGGATGCGCAATGACTGTGACCCTTCATCAGGCAAGCCCTCCATGATTGGCCAACGCAAACTCAACGACTATATCTTCCGACCACCGGAAGAGCTTTATGATTTGGAAACCGATCCCTTGGAAGTTCACAACCTGGTAGATGACCCAGTACACCGAGGAAAGTTGTTGGAGATGCGAGCTGCCTTGGAACAGTGGCAGAATGATACCGAGGATCTCTGGTTGTGGAGGGATGGAACGAGCGTTTGGATGTATCGAGTTCAGGGGTATCACCGTGAGGGATTGAGGATTCCTGATCGCTTTGATTTTGATCCGACAAATCCTGGGAACAGAGATCTGGGAATGCCTATTGTCGAGTTGGATACGAGTAAGATTACGAAAACGCCTGTATAAGAATCCTGAAGCTGGAATTCGCGTTGGACTCAATGCCGTCTGAGTAATACACTCGTAAGTCTAAGAAAGCTGAAGGACAAAGAGCTTATACTTCGTATACAGAGAATTTACAGTATGGCAACTTTCTTGGTCACATAGTTCTTTTTTCCTTTTCTGACAATACCCACTCTAAAGGCTCATATTGTCAACTTTCCTTCACTCTTCATCTGCCTAGCTACGGCCACTGTGTGCTTGACCGTCTCACTACTCAACCGCCAGTAAAGGTCCATAAGCTTCTTATGCTCCTCACTACCATCTTCTACTTCAGGATGGTGCCACTCATAAGTCGATACCATATACATCTCTCCCTCTTCAACGCCTTGTGAGAGAATATTTGTAATAGAAGTCCCAGTCGACGGGATCGTGAAAGCGATCTGTAAAAGTCCTCCGTAAGCCCTAACCCAAACTCCAAACCCCAAACTCCAAAAACATAGAACAGACAAACCATAACAGGTCTTTTGAGGATCGCAACTTCTTCAATCTCCCCCTCCACTCCGTCGATGGTGACCATCCTAGTGAGACCGGTGACTTGTTTCGTTTGCTGGTCATGATCCTCCCGGACGACGCGAGAGCTGGTGATGGCTTTGACGAATGAGACTGGATTGCGACATTTGTGTTCTAGGACTTTCCAGAATTCGGCGGATGTTAAACGAACGCTGTCATCCTTGGGGGTGTTGATAGGAACAGTGGTGGAGGTGTATATGACTACCATGTTGTCTATAATTGAGGAAGATGAGAGATGTAGAGAGGGATGTGTAAGCAGTATGGAAAGAGAGCAGGAAAACAGGTCATTATATAGACAGCGCATCGGACAAGAATCAGGTACTGTTTATGGACGGATATAAAGCCTGCCCAGGTGGTAAGGATACTTTGAGTTCCAAGGTTCGAGCACTTGAGATATCTCCATGAGAAAAGCCCCATCCGACTGCGCAGCCGACCCTGCAGCCGACCCTGCATTTACCAAACATGGGCTAGTATCTGGTACCATGTCTCTCCCAACTGCATAAATAGCAGGAACAGAACGTCCAGAGATCAAGTCTACTCCATCTACTACGCAATCTACTTCAGTATCAACCAATTCTGTCGAACAAAATGAGTCCTCTTCAAATTGCTCTTATCCTCGGTTCTACTAGACCCAATCGTATCAGCCCTCTTGTTGGCAATTGGGTCAAGACAATCCTCGAATCGAGCGGGACTTCGAGCCCACAATTCTCAATATTAACAGTCGATATCCAGACGTTCGATCTACCCGCTTTCAACGAGTCCGTCCATCCCGCGCTGATCAACGACCTATCAAAATTCACTAGTCAATCTGCGCGAAACTGGAATCATGAAATTGCAAAGTACGATGCATATATCATTATTTCACCAGAATATCATGCGGCCATTCCGGGCTCCCTTAAGAATGCGTTGGACTTCTTGTATCATGCCTGGACCGGAAAGCCAGCGATGATTGTGACATATGGCATCATGGGGGGTACCTCTGCCAGCGAGGGACTTCGTGTGATTCTCGAGAATGGGTTCAAGATGAAAGTGTCTTCATTCGCGCCTAGACTTGAATTTCCTGGTCGAGATCCCACGAAGAATAATTCAAGCCAGGCGTTGATCGAAGCTATGCAAGGAAAGTTGTCTGTTGAGACGATGAAGTTTTGGGAGGGTAAAAAACAGGAGATTTTTCAAGGATTCAAGGAAGTATTGGAATTTGTTGCAAAGTAGACTTTCGTCTACGAAATTATCATGGGAAAGATAGTTGTTTACCAAGGAATATATGCACTTACATTTGAAGCCATCTGGTACAGATAATTATAGAACTGCACTATAAATTTGAATGTTAGGGAACAGTTTGGGAATTCAACCACAGAAGATGAACCTACCGGATAATTTCCAGCGGTTAGAATAAACTTTCAGGTAATGAAGGACCGATTCGACAATATCCATGTTAAATAGTCGGTCGGATCGTTCAGTATATCGCAGACAAGAAAGGGCACCAAGGTAGAAGCAGTGATGGGACCAGATGGGAATTATTGCTGCATAATGATAATGCCATGTTGGGAACTGCTTGATACGGTCCAGTACCATCTGAATAGCCACTGTCAGAGCCGGACAAACGTCAATCGGTCTCTCTTCATGAAGAATGATCATAGCACTAGCCAGTCAGAGCTGAGACATTGATCAATTATTTCTACCATCCTGCACTTACTTGACGCAAATGGCAAGAGAAGAACAATTCTTTCCACGTCCAGCCTCCCCTTCTTGAAGCACCGCTGATGCAAATGTTGTCAATTTCCGATCCAGGTCAATGCAATGGTCAGAACTGGAAGGTTGAAGAGGATGTGCCCAGCGATCCAAAAGGGCTAGTTCCAACAGGTAACATGCTTGAACAAGTCGAGTGAAATATTCCAGTTGCAAATCGTCCTCGGCGGTATGGTCGTCAATAATGTGCAAATATAGATTTCCAGGAATCAGCGTATGACTTTCAGAGAGAAATGGGTCGGCCCGTTGCTCCTTTGTAACCGGAAATGGTGGTACTGGAGGTGCCGGACAAGTAAATGCACCGCATCTAACCGGGTTGTCTATGGCTGCCGCCATGATGACTCTGAAAAAAGATCAGTCAAGCACCCAAGACGGACTGGGTTAAGAGTTCACCTCTCAAGAATAAAGAGACTCCACCAAATCCGTTTTGAGCTTGTCAGCCTTGTGCTGTGACCACCGCCATCTCGTTCCAGGAAAAGCCCGATATGATCAGCGAGTAAAGTCGAAGAGGCAATAGTCGTCAACGCAACATCTATCATGGCCTGTAGGTACTCATAAAGCGACAGAAGTAACCCTATTTGCACTAGCTTTTCACTGTTTCTTCGTTGTGAGACGAGAAGAGTAAAGAAACCCTTGCATCTGAAGTAGAGTTCGTCCACGTTCGAAAGGGGTTCATTACCGCATATTTGAGAAAGTAGATAGCAGGAATAGAGTAACAGAGACGATTCGCTATCTTGGGAAGATAGTATACTTGAGATACTATCATCCACTTCACCGGGTAGAACCACTGGAAGCCATTCATTCAGCGTCTCTAAGTAGGGTAGACATGCCGAGCGTAAACCTCGACCTCTGGACGTCAACGTTGCCAGTGTAACATTGGTCAAATGAGCTTCAATAAAATCCGTCCACGTTGATAGTCTCAGATTAGATGTATATTCGAGAATCCGCGGAGACTCATAGCGTGGGATGTTGAGAGGAGCACATGGTAGTACTTCGCCTCCAAACCTATTCCCATCTTCGGTACTGGCCAATGGCTTGTCGTACCGACAATTGATACCGATTCTATGATAGATCAGACATCTGGAGCTTATTTCAAGCAGCGCACACTACCTTAAACACCGCCCGCAACCTGGAATTCCCTTGTCACACTTTTTCTTCCTGGTGCGGCAAGGTACGCAGGTCATTTTGATAATAAAAGCATATCCATCTGCGAATTGCAGAGAGAAAGGACATGTCGAGCGTCGAGAATGTTATTGAGGTTGAAAAGAATCCGAGTTCACGATTATCACGTGACCTTATATCCGGCCGGTTTTACCGAGAGCATTTCCATCCAAATTAAGGTACCCTCAAGACTCCTTCACCCCTTGCCTGACCACATTGCGTTAAAGACTTAAAGTTCAACGATGGTCATGTGAACTGGTTGATCCGAGTCTATGGTTGTCAAATTGTGCATCTCGTACCACAAACTCACACCGGATGTTCCCATCTGTTCGAGTACAGTCATCAATTCTTTGCTTTTTTTTTTTTGTTGGTATTTTGCTCTCGTACAAGTCTTTGTATGCTGACCAGAAATTGTCACCGAAAGCCATGATCGGGAAACAGAGCGTCTGAGTAAGCCATCAATAGAGTCAGCAGAAAGACAGCTGTTCTATTCTCCTCCTAGAGATGATTGTCGCTGTTGGGTGATGTTGAGCTGCGTGGGCTGGCTTGGTTGAAAACCGAGAGCGTGGCATGTTGTTTGTAATGTGTATGTACGGAGTACGGTAAGCGTATTTCAACCCCGTATCAATGAGTGGCCCGAGCAAGTGACGTATGGGCGTCTGTAAAACGGTAACTTTTGTATGAAATTCCGTACTTTTCTCCCAGCCAAAACACTCAACAGAACATTTAAATACTTCTTCTTCTTCTCCTCCTCCTCCTCCTCCTCTCCTCCTTCTCTCCATCTTCCCATCCAGCCAAAAATATCGATATCCTCCTCAACAGTCCCAGGTCAGTCGAATCGCATCGAAACAATTGAGTTGCTGCATGATATCCGCCCAGACCCTCTTTTCCCCCACTTGATAACCAAAGCGGGGATGCTTTTATCCTGCTTGCCAAACAAACTGACATCACCGGGTTGGGCGTGTTCGTTGCTAACTGAGACTGTTGCATTAGAAAGAGGTTTTTTTTTCTCTTCTCTCGCATCTTCCTCAAGAGTTTTCGTTTTCTCATCTTCCAACCCATACACAAAGAATATCTTAAACAGAAGAAAATTGTCTGTCACACACCGCAAAAATGGCGTCCGTTCCCAAGACTATGAAGGCTCTCCAGTAAGTAAACTTCTCAGCGAGCAATTGTCGCCCCTCCAGTTGCTGAACACCGGTTTTTTCACTTGCAGATACTCCAAGCCAAAGGAGTTCAAGATCGTTGAAATTCCTGTGCCCACACTTCGCGATAACGATGTCCTGGTATGCGTCCTCGGAGTTTCTGATCTTGCTATCGGAGTTATCCGTAGCCATTGCCGTTGCACCGATTGAAGCGACAACCACTAACTGTGCTACTCTGTGGATAGATCAAAGTCAAGGCTTGTGGTGTTTGCGGAACTGATTTGCACATTCACGAGGGTGAATTCCTTGCAAAGGTATTTCCCAACTCTTCATTGCGTCGGAGCCAATATGCTGATAGCCTCGTGTCTAGTTCCCTCTCGTTCCTGGTATGCTTTGTTTCCAATACAAACGCTTCCCCGGTGACGGCTATTAATCATATTCGTAGGTCATGAGACCGTTGGTGTCGTCGCTGCCGTTGGACCCAAGGTCAAGGGTTTCGAGATCGGAGAACGTGTCGTTGCTGACAACTCTGAGCTTTGCGGTGAATGTTTCTACTGCCGCCGTGGTGAGGAGCTGCTCTGCGAGCATTTCGAAGCTCATGGTGTTACCATGAACGGCGGTTTCGCCGAATACTGCGCATATCCTGGTAAGCATACCATTGAATCGTCCTTGGTGTTGATCTGTTCCTAATTGGTGTTCAGCCGGTCGTGTCTTCAAGATCAAGAACCTTAGCGATGTCGATGCCACCCTCCTTGAGCCCGCTTCATGCGCCGCACACGGACTGGACAAGATTGCCCCTAAGATGGGCTCGTCTGTCCTTATGTTCGGTGCCGGTCCCACTGGTCTTGTCCTCTCTCAGATGCTGCGCCAGAACGGTGGTTGCCACGTTGTTGTCGCTGCCCCTGAGGGTTTGAAGTTGGAGTTGGCCAAGAAGCTTGGTGCTGGTGACGAATACATTGCTCTCTCGCGCTCCAACCCCGAGGTTCAGTTTGAGAAGCTGAAGAGCGAGAACCCATACGGATTCGACATTGTCGTTGAGGCCACCGGAAGCGTCAAGATCCTTGAAGACTCCATCAACTACGTCCGTCGTGGTGGTAAGCTCGTCGTGTACGGCGTGTATGCTAACAAGGATCGCGTCAGCTGGCCCCCTAGCAAGATCTGTAAGTTCCCTCTCTCTGTAAAAGGTGGCATGTTGCTAACGTTGTATAGTCGGCGATGAGATCACTATCCTAGGTTCCTTCTCAGAAACCTACAAGTTCCCTGCTGCTATTGACTACCTTGACCGCGGCAAGGTCAAGGTCGACGGTATTGTCAACAAGACCTTCAAGCTCGAGCAGTGGGCCGAGTGCTTGGAGGCTATGCGTAACAAGAGCGCCATCAAGGCTGCTATCACTTTTGATTAGATCTGTCAGGTATCCTTTGGGTTAGACATCTGTCAAATTTTTGAAATTCTTGGATACGTTAGCGATAATGATAAATGAAAATGATAATTGAATTGCAAGTCGTAAGAGGAATAAAAGTAAAACCCGGGGTGAATCGTTTTATATGGCGTGAGGACCTTGGACGAGTTGGTCACGATGATCGCATTATTGCTGCTTAGTGAGCTTAGTCACCTCGCAGTAGCTCGACTTAGTGACATCACGAATACTGACCCACTTAAAAGATTCCTTCGACTCCAACAACGATACCTTCACCAGAGCTGAAGGTCACGAATCACAAAACAAAATGGTAAAACCACTCTCCTTCAAAGGCGACAAAAAGACCAAAAAGCGAAAACACCGCGACGACGATTCCAGACCACCAACCACCTCCACGGACCTAGTCACCCAACAACAACAACCAGACGAACAGTCATCAACAACACAAGAAGACCAAACCTGGGTCTCAGCCGATGTACCAACTGACATAAACGGTCCTGTAATAATCGTCCTCCCATCCACCCCGATCCCGACATGTATTGCCTGCGACGCGAACGGGGCCGTGTTTGCGAGCGAGTTGGAGAACACAATTGATAATGATCCGCGGACCGCAGAGCCGCATGATGTGCGACAGGTATGGGTTGCGACGAGGGTTGCTGGGACGGAGGGTGTTAGTTTCAAGGGTCATCACGGGCGGTTTGTCTTTCCACCTCCCGCCTCTCTTGGTTGCGTATGGGGGTATGGTGTGGCTGATGGGTGAATAGATATCTGAGCTGTGATAAATACGGTATTCTGAGCGCAACGGCAACGGCAATATCGCCTTTTGAAATGTTTGTCGCTATGCAGGCGCCAGATACGCCTGGAATGATGGCATTGCAGACGCGAGGCGGAGAGGGGGAATCGGATACATTCATAACCATTTCCGAGAAACCTTCGACCACCGCCAAGAAAAATAATGATAACGATGGCGATCAAAAGAATAGACAGATTGATATCCGCGGCGACGCAAGTACAATTACGTTTTCATCTTCGCTTCGGATCCGAATGCAGGCTCGTTTTAAACCGAAACTCAAGGCTTCAAGGGAGAGTAAGGCGAAGGAAAAGATTTCTCGAAAGGAGTTGGAAGCTACAGTGGGAAGAAGGTTGGAGGATCATGAAGTCAAGAGGTTGAAAAAGGCGAGGAAGGAAGGGAATTACTATGAGGAGGTGTTGGATGTTAGGGTTAAGGGGAAACATGATAAGTTTGCATCGTGATCCAGTGACTGCAATTGATTCGGGAGTATGTGGAGGCGTTGGGCTCGAATATAGGTATATGGATATCTGGTATAATGATAATGGTAGATGACTGATCATGAACAAATGCTATAGCTCAACCTCCTCTTCCGCATGATTTTCGCCCGCTGATACAAGAGAAAGCTCATTCCACGTCCCTTTCAGAGCTGCTCGGTATGCACGAACACGGTTCTGATATGCTTCACTGCCTGCTTCTTGAGAATCGCCCAATAGATCGGATATGGTTTGCTGGCTCTCTCTTTTGGCCTCTGTTGTCGTAAGTTCGGAGTCGGTTTGTGATTCATCATTTGTGTGAATAATGGAGCCAACGGTGACTTCATCATCCTCACGAGTAAACTTTTCGCTACTGGAATGGGTCGTCGTTTGATAAGAACTTTGAGATTCTTCTCCTAGGACCTCGTTGGCATCTCGTGGCATAGGGCCAATGTCAAATTGAACTTTGTCTCCCATTGCCTGCAACTGGAGCCTGGCCTCACGCATTATTGTATAACGAGCTCTTTTACTTTCATGCGCTAGTATATCTTCTCCTCGGGCCCCGCGCATATGTCGGTCGTGGACGAATTTCTTCCGCGAGCACAAATGCCCAAATAATCCTTCTATGGAAACTGATTCATTCCAATTCTTTCCGTCAACCGTACAAGGAAACACATCCTTGGGCTTGAAAGCTTGTACAAGCTCACAGAGTTCCGCATAAGAAGAGTGACGAGAATATGGAAATGTCTATTCTCGTTAGCATACGCAAACCCAAAACTCTTCATGGTATAACATACAATGGTGGTTATGTCTGGATACTTTTCCTCAAACGATCTAGATTTGCCCGTACCCCTTGTAGTGCTGAGCATAGAGGCTAGATCTTTGAGTGAAATATCAGCGTCATCAGCAAGTCCAAACTCGTCCAGCGAAAGTGCTCTATGCTTCGACATGAAAGCCAGCCTCAACAGCTCTTTTGTTTGCGACAATGCCGACTCATCTTTGATGTGCTCAGACAGTAGGCTTTCAAGTTTCCGAAGTGTGAGTTCATCAGGCAGCTCAAGTTCATGAATCTGATACAAGTCTCTTTTTCCTCCTCCAGCACCAATTTCTGGCACTTCTATCCCGGTTCTGTTGTCACGGGTGACAATGGGCGTGATGTAGACCGATTTCTTCGATTTCATTGTTTTACAGAAAACCCCAGGCTCGCAGCTGTGGATTCGCACAGAGTCATCGGACGTCAAGCAGCCAGGGACAAACTCGTTTCCCAATTGAAATCCGCAGAGAAAAGTGGTTGTGTCGAAGCCTGGGGTGCCATTGCCACGGGATGCGAGAGACTTATATAGACTGTATTGATATCGATCGACATGGACCTATACATCATCAGCTCATATCCCTAAATCAATAAAGACGCATCTCACCTTGGAATCCAGGAAAGCAGACAAAGCTTGCCAAACTTCTTCATAGCCAAAGGTCCACGCTCGAAGATAGAAGATAGTATCTTTAGGATATCTCTGCACCTGCTCTAGAAGCTCTTTGACACCTTCTGCTTTCGATGGGAAGTATCTGTATATATTTGACTTGACGGCAAATGTTGTATCGAGGTAAATATTGTCAAGAGTCTTCAGACCACACGCATAAGGCACGAGAGCAGGATGTCGAGTCAATGAATTAACCCACCAGGACTCCGCTTGATTTAAGTCAGCATTTATTCCACTGCAGCAATCTAGACATGCAACAAGAATGTGTATGAAAATACCTCGAATATCTCCAGTATAAAGTATAGCCTTTCCCTGACCCTCAATCAAGAACATCACTGCGCCTGCGCAGTGATTAGCATCCAGGAGAGTCACGCGAATACGCTGTAACGGGGTGAGTTCAATCTCCGTGGGTGTATTGAGGGGTATCGGTCTCTTGAATCCTAGTTAGCTGAAGGAAACCAAATATTTGCAAAGGATTCTGACATACCAGGATCTTTGCCAGATGTCCATAATGCTGCTTTCTAGCTTCGAGTATGCCCTTGGAAAAGTTCATGCGATGGGGATATTTCTCTAATCGTAGGAGCAACTGCAATAACTCCATCAGTCATACAATTTCCAAGATGGATAGAGCGCGATTCACTTCTCTAGACACAGCCGAGCAATAGATGAACGGTGACCGCAACGATTCCAGTCCCTGCAAGTGATCGCTATGCACATGACTGAGAAAGCAGACCAATGGCGCTGGCTTATCTGGTACTTTGCGAAAGTAGTCAACTATTGGCAATCAATCGGTTTAGTGCTCTAACCTGCCTGGCTATGGGGGTTGAGAGACATACTCCTGATGGACGGGAATTCTGGAGAAAATGGTGAGCATGAAATATGTATGAGTTTTCCGGCAGTATTCTTTTATCTTACCTGCGATGATCCCGTTGAAGGTTGACATGCTTTATTTCTGAATAGATCGTCTGATGGAAGACATCTTGAGGTGCGAGATGAGATGATAGAGAACGAGGGAAAAGAGAAGGAAAGAAGAGCAGCGGAATGAAGTACTACGGCACCTGCCTGTTTGGGATGCCAAGAGATGTATGTATGACCTCCCACCTCACTTTGCGATCAGACCGTATATCTACTCTTGCTCATTATTTACGATTGCTCAGTGACGAACTCGTCCAACATCCCTGCAAATGTCACATCGTCATATATCTGCAGAAACGACGGATCCAAAGCCATATCGTTCCCAAATTCGAACCCGCTCATATAATCCTGTCCAGAAATTGCTGGTATCTGCTCGAATAATCCTATGAAATGATGAATATTAGTATACACGCCGACCGACCCAAGCAGTAATAGCCCAGTCCTACCATCTGAAGGTACCAAACCTGGAAATTTCGAACTCTCCGGCTCGTTATTCAGTACACTGCTGATAGTTGTCGCTGCTCGTTGTGCTTCCACAGATCGATCAGCAATCTCCTTCCATATCCCTTTCGAAACTTTCAGGGCGTCTAGGATATCGTTCCGCCGATACACAGCGTAAGGATTCGTCGTGATACTCTCATTAAATCTACTCAAAGCAAAGCACAGTATCATCGTAGCTTGCAAAACCTCATGATTCAGTACATGCGCAACCCTCCACCGAATCGCAAACATGAGCCCTCCCGGCTGTAATTCCTCATTGATTCTTCGCTGGTGATCCAGAATTGCTAAGCCGGCGTTGATGCATAGCTCGTTTGATTTTGTGCTTTCTTCGCCAGTGGAGCCTTTTATGAAACTCCATCGATGGAGGAGATAGACGGCCTTGTGTATGAGTATGTCCAGATTAATTCGGCTCAGCAGAGTGATGGGATTTTCTGCAATTGATGACTCTAGCGGTTTATGTCGCAGCCATGTAGGTATAGAATCAACAGCTTTCTCGATCTTCGCACTGAGTATGGATCTAGTGGCAGATGACGGCGATGCTGTTTCGGTTGCCTCGTATATCTCCGCGGTCACCTTGATGATAGCATGCCTATGTATAAGATGCGACAGCGGAGTACGCTCTGTCGAAGGCCGTTCGGGCGGGTAATCAACAGACTCGAGTCCGATATCACTATCCATCAAAGACAAGGGCGGACGTGTATCACACTGAGTATCTTTGATGATACGAGGCAAACCCAGTTGTATGCTTGTGAAGAAATCCATCTGGTACAAGGCCATCCAAGTTCGTCGCCGTAATTCTGCCTGTAACGGCCGGATATTGGGCCAGTGAGATGGGTCACGATGTAGTCCCGTTCGAAAAGCGATACGTATCACGACACCCATCAGGATCCAGTTGCCGACGTATGTATCGACACTAACGTTCTGTTCAAGGGCAAAGTGTAAGGTTAATGTTTCGATGGTGTACCTGCTCGGTCGAAGATAATCGCCTGCAACAAGACAGTAGATGGTGAGAGCTCGGTAGGTCTCGAGCATATCGTTTGACTCGACGGATGTAGCTCCAAGCGCTTCATTATCTTGTTGTTGGAGATATGCAGACATGCTCATTACACTGAACAACAGTCCTATCCACATAATCGGTACTATCGAAGGATCTCTCCAAAAGTTCGCATACTATAAAGGACGAATAAGTATAATGATGCCAAACAAGGAGCTCCTTACCTCTGCAAGAAAGGTATCCCTGTGCAGAACAACTACCCAAAATATCAGCCAACGCCATAGACCACTATAAATCCCAAAACCTACCCGGAGACAAATCCACAGTATTAAAATATTGGCCGACAAGCCTATCAACAGCCTTCCGCGGAGGCATCCTTGCCAATATCTGCTCCCTCGAAAAAGACGTAGTACTCGCAAGCAGCGAAATCCTGGACGGTGGCGCACCACGCGTAAAACCCGCATCAAATGGTGTCGATTCCCGACTTATAGGGCCAATTGACTGCTCATCCGATAAATCGTCTTTGATGCTTCGAATCTACGCATCCCACCATTTAGATATTGAGAAACTGTCCGTGTTGAGTTTCAGACTTACTTCCTCCAAAATCGTGACCCAGTGCGAACTACCAATATAAACCGCATCGTGATCTGTAAGGCTCAATTTCCCCATACTTTCTGCCACACGACCATCTGAACGATCAAGCCGTACGCTATCATCTTCGCCGACTTTCCCATCTGCTGAGTCCAGCAATGGACGAGATTATTGCTCCAAATCTCTCATCTCAGCAACCAAACTCTCCAGACGAGCAATTCTTTGTCTAGCATTTTGCCCTCTGAAGCGAGGTCTGTAATCAACTGCGGTTTTGCGTTGTTGCTCTGTAACGCTGTAGGTGCATGCTTCAGAGTTGCCGCGGCGTATGCATGCGTTACATGGCGATTGTCTATCGCAACGGATTCTGGGTATCTTCTCAATGAACTGCCGTTGATGGAAAATAGGTAGACTTACTTGCGTCCCCTGCAGTAGTTGCAGCTTAATATGGGTTTGTCTCGTCTTCGGGATGACTCCGCCATTGTGATATTAGAAGGTTAAGGGTGGATCTCGTTATATATGAGACCATGAGATGCATAGGTGTAACAGGACGGTCAGATTTTTAGGTCTTTGATATTATTGAATTACTCGGGTACATCTTTGCGATTCCGAAAGTAATCCACGCTTCATAGAACTTGAAAGTTCCTGGTGAGGCTGATTGACGCTTGATAAGTAGTAGGAACACGTGACACGCGTTCAGTGTATATATATACTCGTTTATACGGTACAAGAAAACTATGAAGCAGATAGAAATGCATGTTCAAATATTAGTACGACATTGATTTGTTTTTGCACTTTTTATATCAGTAAAACTGACAGAAGTATGTGTACGGAACAGTCCAGTATCCACTCCAGATTACGGCTCCAGAGGACTGAACTGATCATACTGTCTCAATCTTTCTAATAATTAGACAGGAATTAGACGCCTTATTCTTCTTACAGAAGACTAAATAGATCCTTGGCCTTGTCTAGGGTTTGCTGCTTGTGTCATTACATGTCCACAGGGTTAGGGTTAGTAGATTGCGGACGATCGGACGGTGGTCACGTGAGAGAACATCTGAGGCAGTTGATTGGTCAATTGACCACTATACAACCACCCTCCGTGATGAGAGAACGTCTATAAAATGCAGCTCGTGGCAGGTATCCCCTGATTGTGTGAAAAATGTGAAAATAACCACTTACCTAGAGTATCTGCTTCGATAGCAACTTACCGGCACCGGGCTTCATATCCTTTGTCTCAGAACACTGCGTATAATCCTTTCCACCACTCGACCCGGTACTTCGACCGCAATATATAAAAAGATGCTGGCACCCGAGAGAAAAGCCAACGATGACTTTGTCTACCATTCGGGGTTGAAGTTTGCACTGTTGATGACCTCCATCTACATTTCCATGTTCCTGGTGGCTCTGGTAATAAAATGCATATTGACGCCAGATTACCAGCATACTATCTCCCCGTTTGGTTCCAGGCGATCAAGGGCGACTCGGCCGTCGAAAGCGGCATCCATATCCTACCCTTCATACTGGCTCTCGTCGTTGCAACCGTGCTCACCGGTGTCCTCATAAGCTGTATTGGCTACTATACACCATTTTTGATCCTCGGCATCTGCTTGGCGGCGGTCGGTTCAGGGTTGCTCACCACCCTTGGCGTCAAAACATCGGCTGGCAAATGGGTCGGTTACCAGCTCCTGTACGGGTTCGGTCTCGGGGCTTGTTTCCAGACTCCTAATATGGCTGCGCAGACAGTATTGCCTCGCAATGAGGTTTCGATCGGTGCTTCGCTTATGCTTTTTGGCCAGACACTATTCGGCGCTATTCTCGTCTCGATCGATCAGAACGTACTCGACGGCCAACTAGCTAATCGCCTCGCGGGCATCGCGGATATAACGCCGCAGCAGATTGAGAATGCCGGTGTGACCGGTATTCTCGCGATGATTCCCTCGGAGTACCATGAGGCGGCATTGGAGGCGTACAATGCCTCACTGCGTGTATGCTTCCAAGTCGCGGTTGTCGTGGCCTGCCTTGCGCTCCTTGGCGGACTGGGCATGGAGTGGCGAAGCGTCAAGGAGACGCATACGCCTGATGATGAGTCTGCGACGGAGGAGGGTAGGGAAGGGGGCGAGAAGGATGGCAAAGTGGACGATGGGAAAGAAGAAGTTTGAGTCGCTTAAACAACCTGGCGCTAACCCTAATTCGGCCCCTTGATCGGAACTGGCCAACATTGTAATATGTATATATTTTCTAGAATCGTGATGCAATATATTGTTAGATTAGGCATATTAGAATAGGCAGCCATATAATTTCAAATTGTTGTAATTTCATGGCATTTTCCGGTGAGGAGTGGTGTGTATGTCACATGGAATTGTCTCGTCTTCTTAGTAAGTGTCTAAGACCCCAAGGTCAAGATGCACCAACTACGTAGTCCATAGGGTTTCTAGGCAATCTGTTTGGCCTTATGATGAGTCCACTTGTATTCTCACGTGCCATTTCAAGTACGTAAAGTTGTAAAGCTGAGCGAGCCAAAGAATTAAACCTGACAAAGAAGATCTCGCTAGATCGCCTCTCTAAGCCTTAGGCAAAGCATAAAGATTAAAGAAAAAAGAAAAAAGAAAAAGGACAATAAGACGTGTCGAATGTGCATGCGACCTAGACCCATGGCGAGAATCCCACATCAAAGCGATTGATTCGCTGGCGCATCGTTAAGGGAAAAGAAAAATACATACATATATACACATGTATATATGTAGGAAAGCGTGGAGTCATGCCAACAGCGAATACGTAGCGCCAATGAATGCCCGCGGGGGCCTTCAAAGTGTCTCCAACAGCAGACTTGGCTAGACGTCTATTACTCTGTACTTTGTAAACTAATTTGTGGGCAAATACTAGTGTCCGACCTGTCAGAGCTGCAGTTGCGATGAATGCGCTGGTCACTTGCGAGTTGTCCATCATGCCTGCCCGTTGTCGTGTCGCGCCCTTTAAAGCGCCCATTTCTCTGCTGGCTAAATGTTTATCTTTTCTTTTCTTCCCTTTCCAAAATTTTCTGCTTGCTTTCTTACATCAACAATCCATGCGCAAGGAGGCAAGGCCTGGAAAGTGAATTAAACGAAGGAAAGAAGAGAGAAGAAAGAAAGAATGTCGGCAGTTCCTGAAGCGAGACGCGCTTGACTTACTTCACTCTGTTTGACCATTCTGCCTCAGAACTGATCAGTTTAAATCGATCATTTGATTTGATATCCACTCTTTATCGCCTGTACTGGAGTCACGGTTTGCGCTCATCTCTTCCTGACTCATCGGCGCTTTCCTGACAATCCGAGGCCTGGCACCTAGAACCCACCTGGATTTGCCTTCAAATCAAATTCTCCTGACGCACATGCCTGCTAGCGATAAATTGGACAAATTTGATGCATGCAATTGCTAGTACAGCTGAGGCCCAGAAGACTAAAACAGCGGAGCTGCGGGAAGATAACCCCCGGTGGCGGCGATTGACTGGCTGATTGATTGATCTGTATTTATTTGTTCCACTCTAGAACACGCCTTGGTCAAGGCCGTTGGCAGCTGTTCTACAGTTGCTACCTAGCTGAGTATGTTTCAAACCCCCTTCGCTCGCATATTCCCCTTCCTCAGCAGCCTACAACCCGGTCTATGACAGAGTGTTGCCTAAATAAGCTTAATCTGACTCTGCATAGCACGACCGCCGAACTACTACACCCTCCACAACATTCGTTCAAGATGCACAAGCCATCCATCGCAGAAGCTGTCTACAATGCCACGTTTCCTAGACCGAAACCTACCGACCCGACGTCATTCTCTGTGCATATTGCGCGGAATCTAGTTCCAGAAGTGAGAATTGAAACACAAGCCTTCTACGGACTGCTCGATTCCATTGAAGCGCAATACCCCGGGCTCGACTATTCGTATGGCCCCCATCGTATGAGATTGAGCCGTTTTCCATGGCACCGCCGACTGTTCAGGGTCTTTGACGAGCTGGGTTTGACGAAGGCGGAGATTGCGTCGCTCTGCCGGTGGGAAGGGACATTGTCGGCCCGCCAGAGGTACGAAAAGGAAGAAGGCATCAAGGTCCGTGACACAACTGCCGATAGCGTTCGTCCTGCCACCCCCGCACCTACACCGTCCGCACGCTTCCACACAGAGACGGAACCATCGACCCCCGCAGACGGCCCTGTTACACCGGATGAGTGCGTTCAGGACCTCCTGCCACCAGTGACAACGCACCAGAAGCACGAAGAGGACGGGGATTACAGCGATGAAGAAATGGAGAGCTACGGAGTACAGCTCAACCAGCGTCTCATGTACGCAACGGCTGCCCGCGAGCAAGGCCATAATATCCCCCTGGACGAGGATTGGGAACAATGGCTCAAAGAAGCGCGCGAACGAGGCAGCTACGATATGATGGATGTAGTACGAACTGGTCAACCACTGGAGACGAGATCAAATGGCCCTGCTGCTTCGATGCCTGCACTAATGAATCAACTGGCAATAGCCGCGCAACAACCGGTATCAGTCCATCCAGGTGCGGGTTATCGTCGTCCGTCGACTAATCCGTCGGGGGTTGCTCAATGAATACAACAATCCGAATACCATCTTCTTCTATTTCGGAGGTCATGGTAACCGGTTCTTAACTCACTTAGCAGCTATTCGTTCGATCAGGCGCGTTTTTGGCGTTGCAAGGCGCGCTCTTCATATCTGGTTTGGCGTTCTTTTACTTCCTTACTCCAACTCTTGCTTTTAGACCATTGATTTACCTTATTTTCTGTCGACTCCTTTCCTATCGACATTTTGTTCACACAAATACCCTTGAATTTTTTATGTTGCTTACAATCCAATCATTGTATTTCTTTTCACATTATTACGCTCAATATCCGGCATGTTGACCGTTCTTCAGATTCATGGAAAGCAAAAGCTCCTAATTAGCAATGATATTCTTAATCTAGAATTACTACAACCAAATAGCATTACTTTTTTTTTTTTAATAGTCAGGACGTAGTTGTTGCGTAGATGGAAATAAATAGTGATCTCCACCCAGCGTTATCTTTATCGATCGACCTTCCCCGCAGAAGCTTCACCTCTACCTCCACCAATTCGATACAATCAACACAATCAATTCCAATGCACCGCCAAAACATGCCAATTAGCAAGGGGATACGAAGCTGACTCACGTATTTCAAGGAAATGCCAGCTGCATCATGATAAAAGCAATATTCTATGGCAGATTCGACACCCAGGAAGGTGAACAGCAAGCATACAACAGAGAGAATACTCAAAAGAATTTTCATGAACTGACATACTGAAAGGTCCCAAAGTCGTCCACCAAGTCCCCGACGGTGCCATCGTCCCCTCGCCCACAGCCTCACCCCAACAAGCACCTTTCTTCACCTTCTCCGACATATCCTTCTTCGTAATCCCACGACAAGAACTATGCGGCAACCTCTTACAAGTCTGCACAAACGGCTACCGCATTCTGGGGTACCCCATATGCATGAAATCAGCACAATACGACCGGAACGAATTCATCTTCAATTTCTGTTTTGTCTTGGCCGAAGAAGAGGATTTTAGTAAATACAAGAGCATTGTGCAGAAACTTGCGGATTTGATGCATGGCTTGGAAGAGCAGAGTTGTTTTTTGAGTCGGGATTTTTCCAAGAGTGGGGAGGGGAAGGTTTATAGTCTTTGTGAGACGTTGATGGAGGATTTGAATAGTTATAGTGAATGCATGATTCCTATAGGTGAGTGATTGCCTGGGATGGGGGTTGGTGGTCTTGCTGACCTGAGGTGGTTGCAGATAAGTTGAATACGCTGAACTTCAAGCTTTTCCCTGTTTATCCTGCGCCGCCGCATGTGAAGGCGTGGGATGTACCGCTGTTTACTGTTCGATATGAAGCATTCCTGGATGAGAATTGGGATCTCACTCTTCAAAAGGTAGACTTTATTCCGGATCAGCTTATCACGGAGGAAAAGGCTGATAAATCAGATCGTCCCCTATATCAACGGCGTCAACAGCGTGCGCATAATCTCTATCCTAGCCGACGTCGAATTATCCCTAGCCTATAAAGCGATTCGGCACTTGATATATTATGGATGCGTCTTTTTGTTGGACATATTCTCCTTTTCGGCTATATATGCGCCTACAGCTTCTTTCCACTCGAGTATTGCTAGCGACGAAGGCATGCAGCAGGAATGTGCTCGATATGTAAACACTCGCTTTGCGCCAACATCTTCACTGCGCATGGCACCGGTATCACCTTCTTCTTCCGACTACCGTGGTGATTTATCAGGATCACACCATAGACTCGAGGATATGGACGATAATATCTGGCCAATAATTGGTGACACTGATGACGACGATGTGCATTCGAACAACTACAACACTCATAGAAATAAAGGAGGTTCTTCATTCCTATCTGAAACCCGACAACGCCCAAGGAAGAAACGGAAACATCTCGACGGAGTGGGCATAGTAGAACTCTACGCGAGCCTACGACAGGGACAAAGCGTCAAGCAGTGGTACACGCTCTATGCACGACAACTCGGCAACGTCGATATCCGACGATTCATCACATTCGGTATCATCAAGGGATTCTTGTATCGTGTGCACAAATATGCATACGGACCTCGACCGGAAGGGTTCGTATATACCTCGTCACATGCAGATATAAAATCCCTATCAAAAGCATCATCAGTCAAAGGCGGGATTAGTATAGGTAGCGGCTTAGGCTCGTCCATGAACTCCGCTGGTGGAGCCACGACTGCCGGGGAAGATGCACTGGTCAGTAGAGAAAGTTCAATTCGATATGGTCGAATCGATGATCAACAACAGCAACAAGCTGGCGCGATGTCAGGTTCTTATCAAAGTACCAATAACACCCACAGTAACCGCAGTCACAATAGTCACAGCCACACCAACAGTAGTAACAACATCCGACTCGGTTCGGCGGGTACATCATCCTTTGACCATAACAATAACCACCCACTTCACCACCATCACGACGATCAACAAAACAGCGAAAACCACTCCACAGCAAGTGAGGACTTGGACATCATGGACGGCGAAGAAAGTAAAGAAAGAGAAGGCGGCACAGCTCAGGAGGCGATAAGATTTCATCAAAATCTCAAAGTGTTGGAGAAATATTTGGATGGTCAGCATTGTTTTGATGAGATTTGTACGGAATTGGAGATTAGTGAGCGCGAGTTGACGGCGAGACTGAGAATGGTTCCGTGGGTTGTACACATTATTCATCGATGATTATAACCTAATGTCAAATTTTTCATTGCGGATTATCTCGTGACTCTAACAGAATAAACATGATAACTAACGCCGAGTAGTAGGGCATACACCGCTGACATTGGGAATATGCATTTCATCATTCCACCAAACGCCTAACATAGCCATGGACCCCTCTTCCCAACCAGTGTCAAAAAACAAAGTCATAAAAATGTATGTACACAAACTGTCAGCCCGAAAGAAAATTCAGAAATCAGCGTAGCGTGACGTTGAATTATGTTGGAAAGGTAAAAGATTACTCCTGCTCCTCATCCCAACCCTCCAATTCAGCCTTCTCATACTCAGCCATCGTAACAGGATCAAAAATACTCTCCTCCTTTGACGGAACAGTAGTCTTGCTATCCTTAAACACAGGCCCAATACAATCACGCCAACGCTTGCGACGATCCATAAGCGTACGAGCCATGTCGCCGATACCGGGTCTTCCGACTCCAGCGGCACTGACGACGTGGCTGCCACCACCTGCACCGCCAGGTCGGTGTTTGGCTTGCGATCCCTTCTTGCTTTTACCCAGTGTGCGTGTGCGTTTGAGGTATGCTTGCTGCACTTGAGAGTCAAGGTCGTCGTGAATAGTGCTGTATTCCTGATAGGCCATTCGTTCCTTGGCGATTTCCAGCAGACGAGTCTTGCGTGCTCCGTTGATAAGCATTTGTTTCTTGAGCTCGCCCTGTAGTAGACGTAGTCGCTGCGCGATATCGTCGTCGTAATGAGCGTCAAAGTCCGGGTTATCATCAGCACTTAAGAAGCCAACGTAACGCAACTCGGCTTTGAGTCTTTCATCCAACTGTGCATGCTCCAATTTCGCTGCGGGGACTTTGAATCCGTTGGGAGATGCATCTGGGAAAGAAGTTGCAGCTGGCTGGGGTTGAGGCTTTGACTCAGATTCGCCAAGTGGATGATCCAAGTCCATGAATGAGTCGCCCCCTAGAAGCCCGTTCATCGAGGTATCTCCGTTCGTGGTACCATTCGTGTTGTTCTCATCGGGGTCCACTCGGTGTTCATAACGTAGAAGAGAATAGAGACGACTGACGAGCGGTCCAACCGACACCTTGTCCGTCTCTGCAACTTCGTCTGTGATTTGGTCGATGTTACCTCTGCCTTGGTTCAAAGGAAGTTTGTCTTTCTCGTTGGGGTTGTCAATGTTCATTGCACCGTCCTCCTCTGCCCATATCTCGGTATAATGCTTCTTGCCGCGAGGTGGCATCACAAAGGGGGTTGTGCGGTCACCCTAGACGATGTCAGAAATAATTACACAAGGTATAGGGACCGTCACACTTGCCTTTTCTTTCAAAAAAGCAATGTCTTCCTCTGTCAGAGGACGAACAAAAGGGTCGACCCAGGTCAGGAAAGTGTTTGCATTGACTTGATTAGTTGGCTTCGCATTACTGAAATCTTTGTCTGGTGGAGTGCCTGCCATCATATGAGATAGGTCACTTGGCGGGAAATGCGCGACGCTGTAAATCTCCCTCTTCATTTCATCAGTAGTTTCAGGAGTCACTTCACGGATATGATAGATTGTGGGATCGTCGAATTTCAATGGATTTGGTCCAAATACTTGGAACTGAGGGACCAGCTGAGCAGGCTCGGGTTGGTGAGAATCATCGCTGTCTTCTTCAAAAGAGCCAGCTGCGGCTTCCTCATCTTTGATAGTAGGTGAGGCTAAAGAGGGAGGCGAGAGCGACGATGTGCTACCTGTAGCAACGGCATGTCGAGACTTTTTAGACGAGGGAGAGGTAGCTTCACGACTGCGTTTACGGTCTCCTGCAACTAGTCAGTAAGGAAAATAAATACTATTAATCTCAAGTATAGACATACCCAGTTCTCCTCCATCCTGGCGGGTAACTTCGTGAGCACCAACAGCAAGAGGACGATCTTCCTTGGGAGGGCGTTCCTTGCGCTTCTTCAACTTATTTCCCTTGGAAGCTCTACTCGGTTCTTCATCGTCATCTGCTTCACGTTTCATCTTCACTCTGTCCTCAGCATCTCGCTCTATTTCTTGTTCGCGTTGATCTTCGATCACGTCTTTCTTTCGCTGTGATAGCTCGCGCATCCCTGCGTTGCACGTATCACCCCGCGTATCAGCTAGCTGACTGAGTGTTTTGAGATTCTCGCTTATGAGTTCCAGAGTCTTAATATCGGGGATACTGCCACCCCCACCAGACTGCTCAAGAATATCTGAGTATTGAACGGTAACACCAGCGAAGAGTTTTGAAAATTCGTTATCGAGATAGCCAGAAACAGTCGAGGCGGCGGTAGCGGTGCTTGCGCTCAGTCCAGAGCTTGGAGTTGTGTTGCGGCTTCGCGACTGACGCGAATCGCGCCCTTTGCCTTTGCTCTTGTTTGCCATGGTTCTGAACTAAGTCGGCGACGATCGAATCGTCGGGGTATGATGGGAACGACCGTCAATAAGATAGGTGGGTGACAGGGCACATCCTCAGACTGGGGTGGAGTGGATGCACCTTAGTGAACAACAACCTAGGCGGAGCAAGAGTCAATATTAGTACAGGCTAAGCAACTGTGATGAAGCGATGAGATTCCAGTCACACGTAAAAAGACAAGGAAAGGCGCAACATCGACAGCAGACAATTGATGAGTTGCGCCTTCTTCGATGGTCGTCTAGATATGGCTTATGTAAGCCATGATTGTTGCCGCCCGCCCGATCACATGACAGCCAGCAGCGCGACGGGCGTTTGAGAGCCAATCAACGTTCGAGGATCGGCGCGACAGACAGAGCCACGCTAGTCACTGATACTAAGTCTTGATTGGATGAGACGGTAGCTCTATCATCGTCAACATCGACTTCTCTTCCACAACTTCGACATCTGGGTTCATGATCCTCTGTTCTGAATTGGGCGAGACTGTCTAGTTTATGATACACAAAAAATTTTGGTAGCTTTGATTACAACTCCGCTATTCGATTTTACTTACTATAGACACTAATCGTCACCTTCCTCGCCAAGGGTTGGACGTCCAAGTAATCGCTTTCGTATACGGCATGATACTTATGACAGGGTATACATGATGTCGCAGTTCTTATCGAGAGGAGACAAATCTCGGAGGAATTCCTGCAGTTATGCAATGCAATTCCTACCACCTGGAAATCTACTATCTAACCTCCGATCTAGATCTCAAGCAAGGGGTTCCGTCAATACCGAGGCAGCAACGCATGCACACGACACGAGCACTTACATTCGCAGCTTCATCATGCTGCATACGTATTTGAAGCTTATCAAATTTGTCAATTCTTCATGTTTACGCATTCAGGGCTAGAAAACAGAACTGCCACGGTATGGGTGTATGATCGTCTTCTGGCATACACAGTCATCCCAACATCAACCTGTCGGTCCAGCTCAGCTCAAGGATTAACCGGGAACAAACCATGTTTTCATCCGGAAAATCAAGATCATCTTCACGATCAACAGAACGAAAACATTACATACTTCTAAAGAAAGCATTCCCAATTCCGCAAACATGTGTTTACCAATTTGTACATTCCCTTTCCCCTTTTCGGTACTTCCGGAATGGGATCATAACCCTAATTCCGAGAAGATTAAGATACCTAAGATCTACATTATTCAAAACAATCGATTGCTCCAGAATCTCATTTCGATCATTTCTTTTCTCTTCAGAATATCAAGTTTTATGAGTTGCCATGCGATGATGTTGACTGATACTAGCAAGTATACATTTCTATAGCATCATTGCCCTTATGCGCTGTATAAAAAATGAGTACTACAGCAGTTACACTCTTCGCAGGACCAGGGACACTGCACTGTGCTCCTTCACTTCACAATGGCAACGTGAGTCCTCCAACAGAAGAGCACAGCACGGTTTAACCTAACCGATATCAAGGGAAACATTCTATTCAACTACGTAATAGATGGCACGATTCGGACCCTATCGAACACCAACTCTCCAACCCAACAATCCTTCAAGGGACTCTTATACGTCCCAGACTTCGACACCAAAGATACAGAATGCACCAACATCACAGCACCCTACATCCCCCAAAACGCAACCCGCCTCACCGATTTACCCTTCACCAAAAACACAAATAATACAACAATCGCACTCGCGCCCTGGGTAACCCGTGACTGCGCACAAGCATACCTCACAGCATCGCAAGAAGCGAAAGTTGAAGCCCTAATATTCTACCATCCCGAAAGCAGAGACTCGGTAAAACCACCGGCGGCAGATAATTCCATGTGGGATTTGGGGGATAATGGGCAATGGAAAAAGGAGTATAATTACCCTGTTTATGCGGTTTCGGGTCCAGCGGGGACGAATTTGATGCATCAGCTTTCTCAGTATTCTGGCCGGAATAATGGGGTAGGTGGTAGGAATGAGAGTGAAGTGCAGGCGCAGAGTATAGAGGATTGTGCTAGGCTGTATACGTTGATTGATTTGGGTGTGTAGCCAAAGTTTATAAGAAGGAGACAAGCTGACGAAGTGCAAAGAACCTGAACAGTCATCGACTGTTCCCGGTATATGGGTATTTGCCCTAGCGATTCTAGGGATGATTATCCTCGTAATGATATTGGCATATATCGCTTTACGCCACTTGCGGAGGAAAAGAAGAGAGACTCTACAGCGACGTCTGGTTTCGGGGGAAATTGATCTAGAATATCTGGGCATCACTCGACTTGTCGTTCCTCCACATATACTCTCATCGTTGCCGGTGTATGTCTATCCAGTTATTGAATCCGAACCCGAAACCACACCAGAAAAAACAGAAGAAGAAAAGAACAAAACCCAAGAATCACAAAACACGACAATGACCATCATCACAGAAACTCAAGACGAAACCCTCACCTCCATCCTCGAAGAAATAACACCTCCTGCACCAACCCTCGGCAAACGGAAACGCAGACACCACACCCTAACCTTCTCCCAAAACACATGCGCTATCTGCCTAGACGACTTTGTCCCTGGATCATCACTCATCCGCGAATTACCATGTACACACATCTTCCACCCCGAATGTATCGATACATTCCTCATGCGTGACGGGAGTACATGTCCCCTGTGCAAACATAATGTGTTACCAGGATCATTTATTGAGGAGCAGGTTAGTGGATTGTTGGTGAGGAGGGAGGAGAGGGCTAGAAGGTTGAGACGATATCGGCGGCGTAGTCATGGTGAGAATCCGGTGGGGAGTCCGGTGGACACTTCACCTTCATCTGGGGGAGTTATGGATCGGTTTTGGCCTTGGTTGCATAGGGATTATGAGAATGGAAGGGGTGTACGCAGTCGGCCGGACGGTGGTGGCGAAGTATCTGAGACGGACTTGCAAGTCCAAAGACCGCCACCTGTAGGCATTGCGAGGGGCTCAGAGGAGAGTTATGGCCCGGAGAGAAGGGAAATGATGCAGAGAAGAGCTATGGTGTTGTTGGGTACACCTGTTACTAATCGTGCTTAATCATCATCATCACATAGCGAGCATTAGACTGTTTTCACGTCCAATTGAAATCTTCATGTATATATCTTGATTTCTTACCAGTTCCATCTTATTTGAGAAACATACTTCCATTGCATCAGATCTGGGTAACATCGTAAATAAAACAAGATAAGAGAATACCAGTCCAGCAACTCGAACGCACATATCCCTCCAAGATAATTAATACACAAAATATTGCTGCGTCAAAGGCAACGACGTCGCCGGTTCAGCCGTACAAAGCTGTCCATCTGCTTCAACAGTCTGTTTAACATTAGCTTCATTATCACCAACCAACACTAAAACAGGGGTAGAGACATACATATCGTTCCGGATCGACTCTCATCTTCGGCATCACATCGTTGAATTTCATATCTTTCTTTCCGACATTACGGCAATTCCGGACTGGTTCGATGCGTTTGCGGAGACCGTATGTTTGTACCACGCCTTGGGATATGGATGCTTGGGATACGAACATGATTGATGTTGAGGGGACGAATGTCTTTTATTCTGTTAGAAGTTGCTCGTATGTGGTAATGTAATAGACTTACCCCGAATTGTGGTCTCATGATAACCGGTTCAACGGTAGGGATAGATGCATTCGGATCCCCCTGAAAGAACATCAGTAAACAAGCCATACATCAGGATACGGTACACACCATCTGAGCAACAGCTATCATGCCCCCTTTAACAACCAATTTAGGCTTCGTGCCAAAATTTTCTGTCGTCCACAACACCAAATCAGCCAATTTACCAACTTCGACACTTCCAATCAAATGGCCCATTCCCTGCGCAATGGCCGGGTTGATGGTATATTTACTGATGTATCGCTTCACACGGAAATTGTCGGCTCCCGTGCCTTCATCTTCTGGTAACACGCCGCGTTGTTCCTTATTCTTGTGCGCTGTGTTCCAGGTACGTAGGATAACTTCGCCGCAGCGACCCATTGCTTGCGAATCAGAAGACATCATGCTGATAGCGCCTAGGTCATGGAGTACGTCTTCTGCTGCAATGGTCTCGCCACGGATTCGGCTTTCAGCGAAGGCTACGTCTTCGGGGATGTTTTTGGAGAGATGGTGGCAGACCATGAGCATATCCAGATGCTCATCTAGAGTGTTGAGAGTGAATGGCCGCGTAGGATTGGTGCTACTTGGTAGCACGTTGGGATGCTCAACCACTGAAATGATGTCAGGAGCATGTCCACCGCCAGCACCTTCGGTATGGTATGTGTGGATAGTGCGGTTCTTGAATGATTGGATCGTCTGTTCAACGAAACCAGACTCGTTCAAGGTATCGGTATGAATCATACACTGAATATCAAACTCGTCGCACACTTCAAGACAAGTGTCGATTGCAGCTGGTGTACTGCCCCAGTCTTCGTGTAGTTTCATTCCTGCTGCTCCGGCAATAGCTTGTTCACGTATACTTTCCTTGCCACTATCATTGCCTTTGCCAGTAATTCCAAAATTCACCGGTAGAGTGTCGCAAGCTTGGATCATTTGGCGCATGTGTGTTGAGCCTGGGGTGCAAGTGGTGGCATTGCTTCCCGTACTAGGTCCTGTCCCGCCTCCCAACATGGTCGTGATACCCGCAGAGATAGCTTCATTAATCTGCTGAGGACAAATAAAGTGAATATGCGTATCGAATCCGCCAGCAGTCACAATCTTGCCCTCAGCAGCAATAACATCCGTTGACGATCCCACAACAAGATCCGGATGAACACCATCCATGACATCAGGGTTGCCGGCTTTGCCAATTCCAACAATCATTCCATCCTTGATACCGATATCTGCTTTGTAAATACCCGTCCAATCAATGATCAAAGCATTGGTGACGACTGTATCCACACATTTTTCGTAGACTTCCAGAAGACTGCCCATGCCTCACGCAGCGACTTCCGCCGCCAAATGTACATCATCTCCGTATGAGTAAGATCTTTCTCAACTTTACCCACAGATTTGTCGCACCCAGCCGTACAAGGTCGCCGGTAGTCGGACCAAACATGCGAATGTATGCCTCCCGCTCCATTGAGAAAGGGGATATAAGTCCTGCGTCTGCCGTTGGCTCTGGCTCATGAGCGAATCCAGCTTGCTGCAATCGAGTTAGAATCTCTTCTGTACGGGTTAGATCTACCTTGCCAGATGCAAGGAAGTTGCCGCCGCTGATGATTTTGTTGCCGCCGATTTCGACCAGAGTGACTGTCTTGGTGTCGCCGGGCTCGAATCGGATGGATGTACCAGCAGCGATATCCAGTCGATAGCCATAAGCCTTTTCACGATCAAAATGAAGTTGAGGATTGGTTTCAATAAAATGATAATGCGAACCGACCTACACCATCCGATCAGCTTATGAATAAAGAAGAGCCAGTCAAAATACCTGAATCGGCCGATCACCCTTGCTCATAACTTTGAGCTTAATTCGTTTCCGACCTTCACTAAGCGTGATTCTCGAATTCTTAACAGGGATAACAACCCCAGGCTGATTTCCAGGTTCATAATCAGCTGGATTGGCTGCAGGAAATGCATCCTTGGGTGGGACAGGCAGGAAACTTCCGTACAGAGCCTTTTCAAGATCCCCGTCGTCGGTACTGATGGGGTGATGCACTGTTACCAGGTAGGTGCCTGTAGGAAAGGTACCTTCAACCTGTAATTCTACGAGGCTGGAAACGACTGAAGGGAGGACATGGCGGCGACCTAGCATGGTCTTACCGATGGACATGAGATCGGCGACGGTGTGGTTGCCATCACGAATGAGCTGATCAATTAGTTGGCAGTTCGTAGAGGTGATGTCTCAACATACTTCTTGCAAATTAGACGAAATCAAAGCCTATCAGAAATGTAAGACTGGGAAGACTAAAGACTACTGAAACGCGTTGTACACACCGTAGCTTCGGCATGATTCAGACGAACACCCCTGGCAAGCCTGCGTTGGGCCAAGAGTCCCAGCTGCGATATGACCAGTTTATCGATCTGCCACAAGAGTGATTAGAGGCTTGGACATGGTTTCTTCAGGGTTGCGGGGGGGAGTAACCCACCTCCTTCGGAATAAGCTGCATGGTGTACAACCAGTCGGCTCAGACTGTCTTTACCCGCGCCAACGAGAGGTCTGAAGATTAGGTAACAGTAACGTGCTTGTATAACTAAATGACAAGCCTTATAGGCAAGTTTATAATAGAGCTGATCTTGAGACGGTTTGAGGATGAATAAAAAAAAAGAAGATATAAACAATTGAGAGATGAAAATGAGAATGGACGACATTCTGATTGCGGGGGAAGAAGATTTGTGGTTGGCCGCAAAGATAAGCTTATCTCGAATAGCTTCACATTGACTAATACTCAATAACGAATAACTTAATTAACTACCTGAACAACATCACGCCTGGACTCTTAGAAAAGACAGCAACACCAGATAAAAACCCATACAAACCCCCAAATGCAAAAAAAAGAAAAAAAAACAACAACAACAACAACAAAATAAAACGAAGACACATTTTGTGACAAAGTACAAGACAGGAAGGTTAAAAGACCACTATAATCGGATTTGTATACGGATAACTTGAAACAATTCTTTGTGGATGCCTTAGTTTACTCGTCCCCACCAACTTCACTCTTGCGCTTCTTGCTCTTGCGCTTTCCATCAGTCGAGCCTCCAATGGATTTTCGCGATGAAGTATCCTTCTTAGGAGGCGTGGATTGCTTCTTCTTCTCGGGAGAAGCCTTCTTGGTAGACACTGGTGAAGCGGGGGTCTTGAGAGCACCACCACGACGACGCTTGCTGGGAGGAGGAGTAGGTTCCTTGGCAGGTATGTCGGACTCGTCGGATTCTTCAGATTCAGACTCGCTGGGAGAGTCGGTCTCTTCTTCAGCCTCGGCCTCAGCGGCAGCGACGCTCTGTTGCAGTTGGTTGTCGGCCTTGACGTTGTCGTCCTCTGGAATAGGGAGACCGGCCTTGTAAGCATTCATCTTGGCGCGGTAGACGGCAAGATTGTCGTTGTAGAGCTTCTTCCAGACCTGTTTGACGTTAGCTTCCGGTTACGCAACACCTATCAACAAGTGAGAATACTTACAGCCTTTTCTTCATCAGACATGTTGCTCCAACGAACGGTACCCTCGTCAGCGACATCCTTGGGCTTAGCATCAGGACCAAGCTCATTGGCAATCAATTGACGGTTGTGCTGCATATAGAGAAAGTACGGCGTCAAAGCACGCTTGGGCGCATTGGGATCATGAGGGGCACGCTTGCGCTTCTTCTTCTCGCCAGTTTCGGATTTGCCCGCATCCTGACCGAGTGCATGTTGCGCCACAGCGCTACCCAAGAGAGCGTTCTCAAACAAGCTGCTAGCGAAACCACCGGCGAGTCCAGAGGTGAGACTGTTCTCAGCCAAGACAGGTCCACGGTTCAGGATAGTGTTTGTATGATCAAGATAGAAGCGTGACAAATCCGACACGGCCGACTGCAGACCCGCGAGGCCGATGATGAACTGCGAGTATATTAGTTGCTTTTCTTGGTAGAGTTAGTGGTCGCCCAGTGAAAGGATGCTGCTGCTGGCTCTTTGGATTTTAATGGCAGCGTTCACTAGACTACTCGCGCCGTTGCTAAGGGCGCTACCGCGTTGCAGGGGTAGCGCCTTTGCGCCGCGGCAGAGCCAGAAGAAAAGCAATGAGGCGAAGCGAAAAACTGGTACAAATGTATGAAATAGGATCTGGGACTTCAGAAAGCAGAAATTTGAAACGTAGGATGTGTTTAGAAGAATACAGAAAATAAAAGAAACAGCGCGTGTTGGAGGAGCCGTAGTGGTTGGTGTGTATCGGGCGCGAAACAACCAAAGAATAACAATAAAATAGCGGGTGTGCAAGTCTAAGCTGGGCGCGAGAGAAAGAGAGAGAGAGGGGTGGAGAAAAAAAAACTTACTTTGTCGCGAGCACGAGAAAATTCGTCAACATTGACAGTCACAAAGGCATCCTTGGCCTTGGATTCGTCCTTGCGTGACATCTTTACTGTATAAAACCTGTGGTATGCTAGAATGTTGACGCGTCCACGCTTGGGTGATGCTTGGGAAGAGACGAAAGTAAGAGGGGGGAGTGCCGGGGAGAGAGGAGTAAAAAGAAAGGGAAAAGTTTTTTTCTTTCCAGGCCGGACTTGGGGGGCATGGGGCCACTAAATAGTAAAAAGGCCTAGCCCACCCACAGAATGCTTTATTGATTTTTAGGCGGGAGTTTGGTGGGTGGGCACTGCCCGGCGGAAAGGGGGAACCGTCACCCTCTGAGTACAGTGTTAACCCCAAGAATTGGGCTTCGTGCTTAGCGCCGCAGGACCTGCAGTCCAGGCGCCAACGCTTGCTTCAGAGACTCCCTGTTTCACCCGCTTTCATTGGGTGGCAGAGCCCTGCTTGCTCCGACGGCTCACAATTATAGGCACCGTGCAGTGGTCACTAATCGCGGAGAGAGTGCTCGCTGTTTGGTTCTGCATGACTATTAATTAGCCACTGACCTGTCAACACAGAAATCCCCGACACGAATTGTTTGTAACATGAGCTGCATGCTAACTGTAGACTATAGTCAGCAGCGATATTTCGGTTGCTAGGAAAATCCACATTGCTTTGTATGTACTCCGTACTCGCTGTTTGCTCGGGAGTCCGGCAGTCCCCGTACCCGGCAACACCACCTAATAGGATAGCCTAGCCCGTTGGCATTCTTTAGCGGTTACAGAGCACACAAAGAGCATTGACCCCGCCTTGGACCCGTAACATGCCTTCTTAACATTTAGACATACTTGTCGCGTCGCCTCCCCCCACCCTAGACCGGGTGGTGGTCGGCCCGGACTCAAGGGCCAGAAGATATGAAGTCTCATGTAAAATGTTTTACAGTCCACCAACGCCATATAAATTGCATATAAAAACTAGAGAGGTGTTAAATACAAGCATTGTTCACTTATTTCCTTGAGTATCAAAGAAAAAACCGCTGTTTTGAGGCTCTATTGAAGCCGCTTCTTCCGTCGGCTGCGGCACGCCAACAGCATGGCTCTTATAGATTTTCAACAAATCTCCATCATGACGGCGTTTTATGAGGCGATTCGCATCTTTTGCATAAAGTGCACCGCTCGCTTTGACTTGTCGCTTTGTAGTTTTTTTGATTCTTGCGCGTTGCTGTATCACGAACCTTGGCAAAGCTCTCACGGTGTAGATCGCCTAATTCGGCCAAGGTGAGACTGCCTTGATTAACCACCTTTATACGGCGTGAAAGGCCCGGGCTTACTTCATCAAGAATATCCTTTATACTGTCAATCGATTTTTTCAATCTTATTGACATAGCGACGTAGTTTTACGGCGGTTGACGGTGGAGATATTGATTTTGTAGTTGGTGAGCTGGGAATAGTGTCATCCGCCTCGCCATATATTTTTAGTGCATCCCCTTCAGCAACAAGTGCTTCAAATGCTTCATCTGGCTGAAGCATCGTATCAAGTATAAGCCGAGGATTAAGAGGCCAAATTCCTCGCTCTCTCCAGCCGTGCCGAATTGTTCGTGTGGTAAAAGTCTTTATCCGGATATCGCGTAATTCTTCAAAAAAGTCGTTTTTATCAAAATCGAAGCCACCTAAGCGTGCAATCTTGTTCACAACCCGTCCATGAACATGTTTATATTGCTGAAATGGCACTCCATCGAGTGGTTGTAAAAAATGCGTAGAATGAGGCGGAAATCGGAATGGGCGAATGTGCCAAATTTCACAATATTGCACGAACTGTATAGTAAGATGAGTTGTATGATTATCCATAAGAAGTAACCGCCAATCCGGGAAGGCCCCGGGCCTAGAGAAGTGGTCAAAGTGTTGAAGCCATTCGAATGCGATCTCATCTGTGATAAATCCATTCGAAGCAGGTGCAACTAGCCAGTCGTCATCTTTTATATGCCGGTACCATTCCTCCAAATGGACCTTGCCTTTTGGAATCAATAAAGGTGGTATAATCTTTCCTTCGGCATTTATACCCTCAATGATAGTAATTGATTCTCGAGAGGACAGGCTAGATACCCTTTTTGATGTTTTTGGATATGCTGTTACCACCGCTTCATCTTTTCCTTGTCCAACAATGAATCCGGTCTCGTCGAAGTTCCACAGATTTTGAGGGCGAATTTTGTATTGTTGTATAGCGAGCTCGAGGTCAATAAACCAGCGCTCAACCTCGCCATAATGCTCTGCGACGGTACGCTCCTTTTCTTGAGGTTTTTGAACGATTCGTACATACTGTTTTGGCAGGCGCTTGATAAAATCGTGTACCCAATTTTTTCCGGCGCGAGGGGGCTCTCCTGGACCCCTGAAATCTTTGCCGAGCAAATAATTCGCACTTTCCTCAATTTGCTGATTCGTAGGATGCGCGCCTATATTATCTAGATACTCAATCCATAGAATAAGTGCCTTTTCTTGATCTAGAGATAATAGGCGCCTCGTAGGTGGGCGTGTTGAGCGAGAGGGTAAGCCATGCCACCGACGAGACAGTTTTTTGCGAGACACCCCATATTCACGCGATAATTTGCTAAAATTCGGTTTTTTTTTTTTGTGTTGGCACGCACTGAGGGCCTTTGCAATCAATTCCTCCTCTTCTTTATATAATTTAGGGGTCATTTTGGCTCCGGTTTTGACGTTTGTAAATGCCGAGTTGAGATTTTGAAGATTTTGGCCCTTGAGTCCGGGCCGACCACCACCCGGTCTAGGGTGGGGGAAGGCGACGCGACAAGTATAAGTTAACTATAGGTTGGGCAATACCTTGAACTGGCGAAATTCAAATCTGAAGATTGGAGATGTCTATCTGTATACAGCTCTTTCTAAACACAATAGGCTGTTCACCACACAGCTAGCTACCTAGTATATATCACAATCGTATATAGGAAATACAACAGACAAAATATCTTTCTGTTCATGCACCACAATTCTAAAACTTGTAGACTTGCTCCTTGTTGTAGCCAAGTTCCTTGAGGTACCCTTCCAATTCACCCTGGTCAGAAGGACTCTTCTTACCACCGCTAATGGCCTTGTACAATCCCGGAGGTCCGCAAACAAATACCTTGATGTTCTCTTCCTTGGGCTCCGGCAAAACAGTCTTCAAGAGTTCCTTGGTCACATAGCCCTTGCCACCAGTCCATTCCTTGGGAGGGCTATCAAGGAGATAGAAAGCCTTGAACCGCTGAGGATAGGTGTTCTCCAAGTCGTGGAGCTCCTTCTTCAAGAGAATATCATCCTCGCCGACGTTTCCATAGACAAGAGTGACCTTGGTCTTGTCGTCGGGGTTCTTGAAGATAGCGCGGATCAATTGGTACATTGGGGTGATACCAGTGCCACCGGCAATCATGGCAATGTGGTTGTGCTTGTTGGGTTGCCAGGGATACTTGGGAATAGGTCCCTTGAAGTCGAGGCGCTGGCCAACGTTCATACTATCCAAGTGCGAAGACATGGGTCCATTGGGGTAATGCTTGACAATGAGGTCCAAGTATCCAGGTGTGTCTTGGTCGGTCAGTAGCTTCCCACGAGTTCCTTCTCAAAGATCCAGCATTGCACGTACCTTCATCTGAGACAGGAGTGTAAGGACGGATGATAGGCTTGCCCTCAGGTGGTGTGTACTTGGTGATCAACGCAGCTAAAAACCACCATATCAGTTCTGTGTCTGTCACATAAATAGACAAGACGGAGCTTACACGCAACATGCAAACCAGAAACAGCCTCCTTGTCAGGGAACTCAAAGCGATATCTCTTGGTATTATGGCTCAAAATCTCAATATCGCTGAGCTTTAAATCGACGAATCCTTGATCGCCACCGGTAAACACCTTGTCGCGCTCCTTGATTTCTTCCGCAGTCACCGGTTTGCTCTGCATGTACCTGTACACGCCCGTACCAACACCGAGCGCACCAACGACAAAGGCGATGTTTTTCAAGTTGTTGCCCTTTGCAGTAGCCTCGGTGGAGTATTTGCGGAAGCTCTATGATTCAATAAAATTAGCATATGGCTCTTTGACTCAGGATTTGTCAGCTCCTTTATACCTGTCTGGCAGGCTGCGAGAGCCTGAAGGCGGATCTAGCGAACATTGTGATGATGGTCAAAAAAAGGAAAAGAGGTATAAAAGAATGATGCTTTGTTTTCAATTGGCAAAACAGTGATGATATCCTTCGGTTGAGGATTGGGATTGTCGCAGACAAGAGCAAAAGAGAAAGCACTTTGTTGCGGCCAGCCGTAACTAGGGCGGAGTCCGAGGCCATGACGCAAACTCCGTGCCCTTTCCCGACTAGGTAGTAGGACTAAGACTGTTCATTATTGCATATCTGAATATTTCAGTATATATATATCCTACGCTTCGGCTTCTATTCTAGTTTGATTTCCGACATTTTGAGTGTCATGGACAAAGTACAGGTTCAATCAACCTTGTAAAGAGAGCCTGTATGTGTAACCGACCATCTACAGATTTTGTTTACGGGATAATCGGACTGGATGAGAGAAGAACCTTTGATCAGCCTGGTATAATCAGTACGAAAATGATGAATCCCTATCAGAGGATGCTTTTTAACCCGTCACAAGCGACCGCTTCATAGCGACCAGGCCCAAGAGTTCAGTGGAACATTTGATATCATTCGGAATATAAGAAAAGGACATGAGAAATATGAAGCCATCAAAATTACCCATAAAGAGCAGCCAGCTTTTGTTTGTGCGAACATGGACTAAAATCGTCTCATCTGTAAACGTTCGTATGTTTGAAATTCTTCATTGAAATATTTTTTTTGTAACAAACATAATCGAATGCTATGGCCATTACACAATCATTGAACCGCAAATCCTCAAACCCCAAGAGAAACACAGCATGCTTATGCGAAAGTAGATGGGCGCTTGTAGGCGAAGACCTTTCCAGATTGGGGAGGGACACGGTGGGGGAGAGGGAACTTCAAGCCCTTGGTAAGGAGCTGCTTGATGTAAGGGCGGCGGATGCTCTCGTTGTTCTCGATCTCAACGACACGGAGGATCTATTGACGTTAGTGGGGGGTCGTTGTTGTGGTACCAAGTGGACAAGAAACATACGTGAATGGAACCGAATCGGGCGCGATGGCGGGCAGCCATGTCCTGGTACAAGGACTCGACGGCATCAGTTCGGCTGAGCTCACGGAACTCCTTGTACATGTTGTGGGTGCCGGAGCGGGAGTCGTAACGCAACCAGATACCGAAGTTCTTGACCTTGGTGGGACGCTTCTCGGTGATCTGTAATCAAAATTAGTTCTGCCATTCTGCACGAATGGATTCGTCGATCGTATGGTTCATAATACATACCACGTTGAGGCTGACAATCTCACCGTTGGCCTTCTTGACCTTCTTGAGCTTGGTGAGGAAGTACCAGAAGCGCGACTTGGCAACAACTGTGTTGGGAGCGAAGATGCGCATGCGGTACAACTTGGGCGTCGGGTTCGCCTCGGTGGGCAAGTGGCGCCCGATGACCTGGTACTCGTTGAGACGGCCTATATATTGTCAGTGTCTAACCTCTTTACCAGTAATTTGCATTCTCGGAACGATAGCCCAACAGCCCGATTCTCGCTTGTCAGTCGTGTTGAAATCGTGAGACAGCCGTAGTCCCCACGTCGAGGAGATTGAAGAAGATATCTGTCGGTTGAATTGTTTTACGTGACTGAGGCATCTTTTTTCTGGGCGTGTTGCTCGCGTGGGCGTAACGTCTCGAACTTCAGATAATTTATCGCAACCCCAAAATCCTAAATTCAACTGCAATCGATCCAATTGTCGTCGTCTCAACCAGTACTATCCTCCTTCAAGCGGTATTCAATTTTTCGCACGTCGGTATTCGTTTCGATGACAAGTCGAGAATCGAGCTGAAAAGTGGTACAGAATCGCAGGATCAACGCAGAAACAAATAAATTAAACGTACCCATCTGTAGAAAAATAATTAGTACAAATAGATCTGATCAGAAAACAACAATAATCACTCACTTTGTGTCGTTTGTCGTGTTGAGTCTCCTGGTGAAAAGGATATGCCGCTGACTTGTCTCCAGCCGAAAAGAATTGTGAAGTTCTTGGGGTGCTAGGGCTGTGGCCCTCCGCTTAAGCGAATCTGAGGCTGAGATCCGGTCTAGCCGTTTCGGGGTGTTACAGCCACAAATGCGGGATGGGGCTAATCCACCAATCACAGCCTGTGGCCCGACTTCCTTGAATAACATCAACCGCCAAGCAGCTTCCTAGTTCATGGTTTGAAACAGAATATAGAGGATAGATTTCTATTATGGCTTCCGTTTTTGATGATTTTAAGGCAGCTCATACGCTCCAGTCGGGACCTATCCTGGCCGCTGCTCTTACACCAGCTGCAACACCAGAAGATCCCCATCGCCTACTGAACTTTGTCCGTGTCACAAACAGCGCCAACTCCGAGGGTGATATTCGCCATCATCTTCTCTACGACAGACACACGGGAGTCAAGCTGAGCAAACAACAAGGCAATGCTTGGGTCAGTGTCGTGAACGCCTTTTGGGTCACTGCCGTAGAGTTAGTGAAGATTGAAGAATACTCCCCACGGGGAAGTTGGCTAAAGGTGTTTGAGGCCTGGAAGGAGTTTGTCAATCAACTGATTAGGGGCTATTCAAATAATCATTTCCCGTCATGGACGATACCTTGTCTATATATGGCTGGAAAGTATCTTCGCGCTTTTGCCATCAAGGCGGATGCATCGGATGCATCTCAGAGTGCAGGCGGTTATGGCAATGGGTTCCAGGACGATGTGGTGTCTGCGGAGAAGAATGCCAATCTTGAAGATGCAGCGAGGACGATTAACAGAATGTTTACTCTCTGCCTAGGTGACCGGTAAGTTGATTACAGCAATTCTGGGCACGTCAGGTCTGATAGAAGTCGCAGGGCTCCTATTGAGGAATCACGAAAATGGGGAATCTACGAGACAACGAACCTTTTGTTCAAGACATACTTCAAGGTACGTACTATCTACTTGTCAATATTAACTTGATTCTGACATAAGATAGTTAAACCAAGTTGGGCTGTCAAAAAGTGTGCTCCGTGCTCTGGATGCATCATCAGCAGACATTCCACAGCCTTTTCAGTTTCCGAAATCTCATATTGTGACTTTCAATTATTATGTTGGGCTTATTAACTTTTTAGAGGAAAACTATAAGGAGGTATGATATCATCCGTGGTGTCCGCTAGCGACAATGGACTAATTAATCTCTCAGGCCGAAGAAAGTCTTACTCAAGCATGGCTTATGTGTAAGAAAGACGCGTGGAAGAATAAAGAGTAAGTTAACTGCGCGAGTCTGAATGCGTAGCTATACTAACATATTACAGATTAATCTTAACGTATCTAATACCCTGCCATCTCGTCACCACCCATCGCCTCCCCAGCAAACAACTCCTAGCCCCATTCCCACGTCTAGAACGCCTCCTCCGACCGCTATGCGACTGCATCCGACAAGGAAACCTCGTCGGCTTCGACGCCGCCATGTCAGCCGGCGCAGATGATTTCGTCAAACGTCGGATCTATTTGCCTCTTGAAAGGGGTCGAGATCTCGCTCTCCGAAACTTGTTTCGAAAAGTTTTTATTGCTGGAGGATTTGAGCCTGCTACTGCATCAGATTCAGTGCCGATTCGTCGCACTCGTATACCGCTAACGGAGTTTGCGGCTGCTTTGCGTATTGGGAATAAATCAGATGATAAAGCGCGCATTGATATGGATGAAGTGGAGTGTTTATTGGCTAATATGATATACAAGGTGAGTCGATCCTTTGGCTTGTAGTCGAGCGCAAGCTGTGTATAGCTAACTGGTATGATTGTTTCTAGAATATGATGAAAGGCTACATTTCGCGAGAACGTGCTACCGTTGTGTTAAGCAAGTCTGGTGCATTTCCGGGCACAGGGGTCTGACACCCTTTGGTTAGATAATATGATTCTTCAGCGCAGTCTTACAACTATCGCAGTAAGAATCATTACTGACGACAGACCCTATCAGCAAACTTCCACCAATCTCCGCATGGTCAGATGCAGCGTCCAACAATGAGATTGCAGATTGCACAGCAGAGCCATGAGTTTCAATAACGAGTTATGCTCCTGAACAGATGCCAAGCTATCACCAAATAGCCATCATCATATATGCGAGCAGCCTACCTTGCATCTACATATGCTCCAGGCTGACATTCATGCATGCTACTGTGACTCAATTCTGATTGAGTAATGGACATTAAGTCTACCTTAAGCACCAATTTACCTACGTACACATCAACTTGTAGCATTACGAGGATACATCTACACCTCGAATGGAATCAATCCTATCATTATCCAGAATATATTGATTCATTCTCCCTTATACCGGATATTCAGTACAGTCAGACCTAAAATAAAACCCAATCAACATGACTCATGGCAGAAATATGAAAAGCAAATTGACAATCTGGATACAGAAATCATTTAGCCCCGGAATCCGCACAATATAAATGAAATAGAGCAAGAAAAAGAAAAATGCAACATCATAGATATAACCAACAAGGTATCACAATCTGGTTGAATGGAGAGCCAGGTTTGAGTACGAGAGGGACTTGTAAGCAAACAATAGGAAAGAAGAAATGGGTATCGGCTTCATCTTGGGATGGTGGTGAGATATATTACAAATTAAGTTGGGTAGGTAGAAGTTGATATGGTACACACAGGGACAATTTGCTGGAGATCCCAGTTAATAGAGATGGAGACGGCCGAAGAGGAGAAGTATTTATGTCTTCCTGCTCAAAGTTGGAGAGGCGGTAGCAATATCATCCTATGCCTATATCAGCATTCAATCTCTCAAAGAACCGAAAGGGACGAGAGGGAAGGAAGGGCTTACCATATGGTTACACATGGCCACGAACAAATCAAAAAATACTTTCCCGCCTTTTTCCATCTCCATTTGCATAGTACCACTCCTTTTGAATGTTGATCTGCTCCTGATTATCAACGCAAGGTAATGGGCACGTAGCTGGCTGTCGGTCTCCGGAGTATTTGCATACGCATATCGAGCACTAGTCAGGATCGTGCTGCAGTGTATGCCCGACTGGAGACCTTGTTTGCGGAGAGCGAGGCGTTTGAGTTCTGGCAATTTGTACCGTTCTGCTGCACAGCTATGACAAGCCATTAGCCAACATTTAGAACAGGAAAAGGGGGTGAACGTACTACATGGCAGTATCTTTCAATATGATGCTCCCATCCTCCTGATGAAGGTATGCAGCATCCTTCCCATCCCCGCCATCAATATCCATCATATCATCCTCCAACAACCAGGTATCCCGACGCTTATTGTGTATAAGTCGGGGATAATAATCGCCCTTGTAGAGATATTCGAGAACCGAGGATAGAACCTCGGGTCTTTCATCCGGTAGGCTGATTTGCTTGTTGTGAGCTTGTAGGAATTGGCCCCGGCAACAGGCAGCAAAGAACGGTGATAGGGATAGGACGTCTTCGTGGGCGGCGAAGAGGCGTTGGTCTTGTCCAACGCAGATTGTGACTACGGCTGAGGTGAGGTTTCTGTTGATGTAGCGGATACCCTTAGATTCTTGTCTCTTTTTGAAGTTGGTAGGGAAAGGACTTACTGCTCTGCTAGAGGAGAACTGTGCTTCCCATGTCTACTTTCCGATGAATGACCTCCGGCAGCATGCTCTCGGAATGATCGTTTCATACTCCGGGATGTCGAAGTTGAGGTCGACTTGCCGGCTCGATATTTGCTGGTGAAGCTTTCAGAGCGACCATGTGATGACTTTTTGACAAACATTTTGTCTTTTATCAGATGTAAATGAGCGGTGTGTGTGTGCTCGTCGATAAAAATCCACTGCAATAATGATAAATATGACTATTGCATGGTCGAGAGATAGAGAGTACTAGCCTGAGACTCTCCTGTTGCAGACTTGAGGGTGCAAAACCATCCTGACTATAAAATCCACTTGAGGTCTGGTGAACACACACAGGGCTTTTATAGTCGAACAGACCAGGCTAGCATCCAGGCAACGCTATTCAGCAGGAACAAGGAGGGATGGATAGCCAACGCGCGAAACGCGCCGTCTCTTGGCCCCCCTCATCGCCAAAGTTACGCGTGGTCACGTGAATCAATGATGCCTATTGTGGCCAGTCACAGCTGGCCAGGTGTGCCCAAAAAATGACTCACTGGGCCGGAAATATAAGCTATCTACTCTGTATTGATCTAGAATTCTAAATCATAAAGAAAATTGTCGTTTTAGTCTCCGACTAGTACCTTGACCTAGGCGAAACTGGTAGTTGCACGGAGATTCTGGGATATGACTAGTCAATTCGGATGTCCGAGTAATGCCTACAGGACGGAGACGGATAAGTGTACGTATTACCGGAGACTTTGTTTGTTTCGAATGCATATTTGAGAATCCTCTTAGAAACAATGGTCAGATTCGAATAGTTCCATGAAGTCTGAGTCAAACTGTAATCCGTGATCGAGCGCAGATAGAGATCAGTTTCCCAGTTCGGATTTTCGACGGAAAAAGAGGTCTCTGACCTGAATTTTCGGGTCTACAAGGCTCATCAGTACCGACTAGTACTGCATTAGTACTGTGGCGTCCCATGTACTTGGTAATCCCCGCCTAGCGGGACATTATGGAAGCACTCCTGCATATCCCGTTCAGCTACAAGCTCCAAAGCAGGGTGGACAAATCCTCTGATTTGCGCCCTGGACTTAAGACCCGGGTCAAGCTTGATAAGAGATGACGCCTCATTACACTAAGCAATTAGTTGGTTTCATCTTGGGCCAAAGATTTGTACGGTTCCCTGGCTAACCTATAAGTCATGTTCAGAACACAGCCTGCTTGATTCGTCTGCACAAGTAGAGAAGATCATTGCTATAAACACATCGTGAGATCTCTCAAAGACTTTAGAATCCAAAAAGTAGAAGACAACGCCGGGGTTCCTTCTGGTCATGACTCGTAGAAAATAATCACCCAAAACGCCTCTACGCCGTTCCATTGCTGTCTTCGTAATATAACGTACATCAGAATATAACTTTCCGAGCGTTCTTCGGATGGCTCTCGCTCGGACAATAAGGACATTTGAACTTGTTGCCCTTGCTGATACGTTGAAGCGATTCCAGTGCAATGACGTGGCCGCATGGCATCATCATCGGCGGGTTTTGATCTGTAGTCTGTTCTTTGGAGACGGGGCACACGAAAATCGAATGGAATAGATACGAGCGAGGTAACGGTATTTCGACCTATTGGACATGGTTAGAACTGTGACATGTGATGGATAATCAAGATAATATAAACTAATACGTACCGGCAGTTCGTCCTGCGTGGTCCACTCGGTCCTCTTTGCCTTCATGATCGTCTGCAGTTTCAACAGGGTTGGAAGAGCAATGGCGCCAGCGGTCGCCGCAATGTAAAGGGGCGAGTCTGCAGACAGACCAAGTAATGAGCAAAATTCCCGTGTAAATGAATGAGCAACTTCAGACCAAGCGGTTGGGTTGTTGAAAATATGTCGATAAGGTGATTCATCAAGATTTGGCCAGAAGGCCATAGCAGCTATTAGTTGCTGAATCTCCTTCAAGTACCGGGGAATAAAAGACGAGAATTCCTGCCTCGCATATTCCAGTGCAGCTCGTCGACCGTAGGAACTTGGCGGGTACTGTGGTTGCCTTCCGCCATGGAAGAGCCACACGAACTGAAGGCGACAAAGTTCAAACTCTAGGTTGCTTCCTCGGGTCTCTAGGGGCGCTCTATGGTCCCTTGCCCATTGGATTGCCGGCAGTAGGTTCGAATTTTCCCGAAGCTCGTGCAGTATGTGGTACATTGTAGTGAACTCTTCGCGGATTCTGCCCGATTGGATCTGGTCAAGTAGCGATGACGCACTATCCTCGCTGCTGGTCGAGCTTCCATCAGATTCGGGCTGTGCCAGGGACTTCGCCTGCGATATTTCATCCAGGAATGTAGATGCAACTGAAAATTGACCTTCGCGGAGTAGGTGCATGGCTATGGCTCGATTGACGAGACTGGGTGAATTTGAGAGGGCGTCATATTCGGTACTAGGAAGGGGACGATCCTTGAATAACTATAGAACTCCTATCAATACCTTTCCTCTCATAAAGATTTCCAATTCATCATACCTTGTCTAGTGCTTTCGTATACTTGTTGAGACTGCTATGGGTCTCTTTCAGACTCTCGTTGGTCGCATCGAATGACGCCTTGACCGGATTCTGTAGCTTAGCGAGTGTGATGGAAGCTTTGGTGGGATCTAGAACAAATGCTGATAATTAACCGAATTCCCGAACATTATGAAAGACAACGGTGAGGTCTTACCAGCAGCTATCGAGTCTCGGGCTTTCTGCAATAAGTCGATTGTAGCTTGGACATCGTTGATACTCTTGGCGGCTTTCATGCGCTTCCACGCCCGCTCATGCTCCTTCTGCAGCAAATCCATGGTTTTACCATGTACCGAAGCAGTTGACTCTCCTTTTCCATGAGAGTAATACCCAAAGGACGATAAAGAGAAGTTGATGGCGGAGGGTCACAAGATGTTCCGGGCTTGACTGGCTGGCGGAAAGCGGAGAGTCTTTTCCTCTTTGGGACTGACTGACGTCTTCGGCGCTCTTTCCCCCTCGGCTCCATAATTTGCCTACACCGCCCGCTGGAGCTACAACAACCACCACCAGAATCATGTTTGTCTATGACTAGTCGCTGCTATCTACAGGCACGTCGGTTGCTCGATTTGAGATAAGCACGCCTTTTGAAAGGCCAAAACTACGGTTCCTTCACCAGAGATGCTTTGTTCTGTCTATTTGGGATCCGTCCAGGGACACTTCCCTTCGTGGGCTTTTCTCTTCGCCGTTCACAGGTGACCTCAACCGTGAAGACTATCCTTCAAATTGCCCTTTGTGCTTCGAGAAAACCCCCAGGAAGGGCCTGCCACGGAAATGTCGGGAACTACCCTTGACTCCTACAATACTTCCGCTGCAGCATCCCCTACCGGTCAAAATAGCCAGACTCGTTACCAATCAAACGAACCTCTCCCTTCGGCAACGAACGGCCATGTCGCGGTCGACCAGTCAGCACGGAAAAGACACCAAAGAGTTGTCCTAGCTGACCCTGTCGCCCTCATGTATCTTGAAGAGGACCCATCGACGACTCTGTTACATCGCCGCACGCGCTTGCAAGGATATGAAATCTATATTGTCGAGCAATGGGCATGCTCTCGAGTGCATCCGACCCTCATAATCACCACTTACACAGGCGACCCTACGCATCTTATATATGTTGGAGTTCTAGGCGTCCCGACGGATAGGGACAGCTGGTCCCCCCGTCTGAAACTCTACTTTGATGCCGTGCAACAGTACCATGCTGTAGCAAAGGAAACACCTCTGGGAACCTTGATGGTAACGAACTTGAGTGCTTTCCCATCAGCTCTTACAGTTATTGCAGTGCCAGATGGCGACACACGAAAAAACCGTGACCATTTTATTGTAAATGAGAATCTGAAACGTCTGGGATGCGCTGGACGTGCAAGCTTGAAACTCCAAGAACCGTCCCCGGTAGTGGCAGCTAAGTTTCATCAGTTGTACAAAACAAGTGACCGTGTGCCCTTGTATGTCGCAGTGACCGAGCTCGTCAAGCAATGTCAACTTGCGCTTACTATTTTCGGGAAACTTGCACCGGAGTATGCAGACGGACTATTATGCGATGTGACAGAAAAAGCATTGGGTGACTGGTGGGCAGATATCGGTACGGATCTGTACAACATTGAACCCAGTGACGGCATATTAGGTCCTACCACTGTTGCGGCGCTGCTGGGCACATTGATGGGTGCGCGGAATCGGTTACATGCTGTTGGAGCACCAGTTCCAAAGGACGTCTTTGATTTGTCTAGCATGAAACGAGGGATCGGAAGCTTTCAGAAATCGCAGAAGCTTGAACGCACGCGCCGACTGGATCGCGATACACTAGACAGACTTCATCGAGTCAGTCAGAAACCGACAAACTCTGAACGTTGGGCTGGTGCCGTTAAATCCACCGTTGCTGAACTTAGTGGAAAAGGTGGCGAGATGGTTATGGGAATGGTGGGTCGAGAAAAAGGCGGTATATCCGATATCGAAACATTAGATTTGGAGCGATTCGTCCAGCTGGTGCACGGCGAAAGAGCCCGATGGCTGTGGCAGGGAAAGCCGCGAAAAAGCTCGCTCAATAGCGGACTAGATAGCGCGTCACGTCCAGAAGATCTTGTCTTCACAACGGATGATCAGGGCAGTTACATTTGGGCTGGTCGCAAGCGGTCTGCCGGCTTAGACTCGGGTGCCGAGCGTGTGTCGCAAGATAATGACAGTACGAAACGCCTTCAAGAACCTGCAACAGTTGTGGAAGAGAAGGATTCCAATCTAGGGCGCATCGTCTCGCGTAGTCTCACGGAAAAGGTATCTGATGCTCGTGCTGGTTTTGGCAGATTCAAGGATGCGGTTGGCTTGCCCAGTCGTCGCTCCCATCAATACCAAAACCATCACCGCCATCGGCTAAAAGAGTTTATAAACCCTGATATCTCTGATACTGCCGTTGGTGAGGACGATATCGAGAATGAGGTTGCTACTGTTGATCAGAAAGATTTTGGCCATACACCAGGGAAGAATATTGACGCCCAACAAATAGACAGGCCAAAAAAGGCTCCTCAAGACAGTGACTTTTCGATACCCTCGAGCAAGTCATCGAATGTCAAAGTGGTGCCACCAGAAATCCATGTTGTACCGGATTCTCCCCCACACTCAGAAATGGACAAGCGGAGCTTGTCACCCATACCTGCACAGCACGAAGAAACCATAGCGGGAGAAAGTGAAGAGCAAGAGGATGAAACTAAAGAACTTGAACTTACCAAAACTAGGTCAACCGAGGTGCTGAGTGAACAGGACGCTTCAGAAGGGACGGTGTTCAGGTGCCTCCGCCGGTCACAGAGTTTTCCTGGAGAAAGGACCGACTATTCAACCTTTGCCAGAAAAGGCAAATGGCCTCGTCATTTATCGTTCAGCACGGTAGAAGAAGTCATCTTTGTTTGGGATGGTTTCGATACCGTAACAACAACCGAGTGGGACAAAGAACCTTCTAAATCCCTGGACGACGCGATTCTTCGTGAGTGCATTCTCCTGTCCGATGCACAGACTTTCAGCTCCGGAGTCTTGGATCTGAACCGGCAAACAGTCCCTTGGGTTGAGAAGCAGGTCACTTCGGTGGAGCTCCTACATCGTAAAACCAGTACTCTTCAAGAGGAATTGGGATATCTGTATCCGGAGCGTCTAGAAGAAATTCAAGAACTTCGAGAACGCATCAATCAGCTATTCGGAGATGAAGGTTCGCGGTTGACCGAAGAGATGAAGAAGATTGAGCTACTGGGGGCGAAGCTGGATTACGAATTGAATGTTCTGGAATCGAAAATTGAAGATGTCGAGGAAGGCCTTCAGGATTTCCAACGGAATGTTGATGTTGTGGAGAACCGAATCAAGGGTCTTGTTCGGGGAGAACAAAAAAATGGTACCTCGTGGTTTTCTTGGGCTGGCCGGAAATTCGGTCGACTATGATACATATCTCACTTGCTTTTAAATTCATAAATTTCACTGTGTATATTCAGGCATCAATGGCGGGCGGTGAGCCATATTCCTATATATTTATTATACGATGGAGTCTACGAAACTGCACTACCTTCTTATCATATCAATTGTATTGTACATTATACCAAGGTATATACCTCTCAAGCGCAAATAACCGAATCCGGCCAGCTTTCTGCGCAATTGCAATATGAAATACAACAGAGTAGAGAATCGTTCTCATCCAGAGAGATAAAGCCCAACAACAGTCAACCAGAGAAATCCGTTTTTTGCCTTGCTGATCCGATCCATCTCACTATCACAAAAAATTGCTTTCCCAATCTTACATGCCAAATCCACCCATACCGCCACCTTGTCTATTGGCAGCCTCACCCTGCATCTTCTCGCTAACCTTGATATTGACTTCGAAGAACTTGGAGACGCAGCGATCGAGGCAGACGGATTCGCCCTTGTTCAATTCGCCTTCTCGGTATTCGGGGGGAATGCATTTCTTGGTGCAGGATTGTGTTAGACTAGAGAAAGGAAAATAAATGTCAGCTATTGTTGTAGTAAGTATAGCAAGTCAAATAACAAGGCCGAGGGATGTGGTAAAGTAGGCCTCTGTGCAGCATGTATTTAACTCTGATCTTGACTTCCAGACGTACCGATTGAACAAATCAGAAACCATCTCGACTTCTGTTTCTGCTGCAGCAATCTTCTGTTCCGAAGAGAGCTGGGGACGACCGCCGAATAGGAAAGACATGGTGACGTCTGTATTTGAGGTCGCAAATAATTCTATATCACTATCAGCATCCAAACTATTGACTGGAATATATTCACAACATGCTCTCTCAGAGACGATACCTTTATCAATCGATAGAAGGGCTATTCAGGCTCAGTTGAAGGTGACTTGGTAATGAATTGTATCTTGTCCGGAGAAAGATTGCAGCGAAACAATTAGGTACGAAGAAGCTTGGACCACCCGTGATCTCTTCCGCTCGCCGCACAATTTTCATCTCTTTCCGACTCTTTACATGCTACAACTCGCAACTTCATACACCATGCAATCCATTGGACCCGGAAGAGCCTCTCAGAGGCTTCTAGGTAAGTTATTATATAGGTAAGCTTTTATTTCGTTCTTCTTTTCTGCTTATGCCCTACATCAGGATGAAACACGCACCTAATACAGAACCGCTGCGAATGACACTTGCAATTCTTTACAAGTAATGATCATAACAGGACTTACTTTTCTGATTCAATCTTTTCCTACTCGCGAAATTTATGAATGCTTGATATGACGGATTCGCTAACTGTCTATCATAGTAGTCGACACTCAATCACCAATATATCGTTTCCCCTTAGTCTACAACATCCTATTCCTCATATTCACTGTTTGCAAAGAGCATCCACTCGATGGCATAGTACTCAACCTCCGACAGAACCTGGCTTCGATAGCCGTGTGCAAGAAATTCAAGCTGCTGTCTCAGACGCCTATCCACGTCTAGAAAGTAATGCAAACAGGCTTAGCATTGAGCAATTCCGCAACCTATATGACCATCTTGAACCCAATCAAGTGGTCGAGGAGGACAAAGTCGTGGTCCAGGGTAGGTTAAGGCCTCACTCAGGCCCTTCTTTATGGGATCTACATGTACTTAGAGAATTTTCTTTTTTACGTAGGCAGAATACGAACAGCCAGATTGGCAGGCAGCAAATTGATATTTTTTGATATCGTCCAAAATGAGCACAAGATCCAGGCAATGTGGAATCTTCGTATGTCCACCGATGTAGCTCCTGAGAAGTTCAAGCAATTATATCGTCTGCTTCGTCGCGGAGATGCTTTCTGTATGTAACCCCTAAACTAACCCAGCTTGATTTTTTCATATGGACTGAGACCGTCAAGCCGTGACTGGAAAACCGCATCGGACTGGAAGAGGAGAGCTCACGGTGCAAGTGACGGAGCTACCGACACTTCTATCTCCTTCTCTACACGATATCCCTACCGACACCAAAGAACATGGTGTTTCTGGTTATCCTCGGCATGTTCAGTTTCTCGCCGATAAACACACTTCGGATATTATGCGAATACGGTCCGCGATCATTCAGTATATCCGTCAATTCTTTGTTGAGCGGACTTTTATGGAAGTCAATACGCCTATTATGGCCAGTGAAGCTGGTGGTGCAACTGCGCGTCCGTTTGTTACCACGGCAAACGAGTTCCCGGACAAGTCGTTGTATTTGAGAATAGCGCCTGAGTTGTGGTTGAAACGGTTGGTAATAGGGGGTTTTGATAAGGTTTTTGAAATCGGGCCATCGTTTCGTAATGAGGGTATGTATACATCTGATAGTACTATGCGACTGCACAATATTAACATGTCGTAGGCATCGATAAGTCGCACAACCCCGAGTTCACGACATGCGAATTCTACATGGTGTACGCAAACCTGGAAGATGTCATCTCTATAACCGAGAACCTGTTCTCCGGTCTAGCAGAACATGTCTCACAACAGAAAGAACGCATGAGCTCCGAAATACCAACACCAAGCACAAACTTCTCAATCCCCTTTCGTCGGATAGATTTCATTTCCGGGATCGAGGCTGCCATCAATCGCCCCTTACCAGATCTATCCTCCCCCAGCGCAGAGCAAGACGTCAAAAAGCTCTTCAAAGAACTCTCCATCCCTCTCCCTGACCTTCCCACCCTCCCTCGTCTCATGGACAAACTCTGCTCAACTTACCTCGAACCACAATGCGACGAACCAACATTCATAATCCATCCCCCAGAATGTCTTTCTCCGCTCTCAAAATCATTTATACAGAATAATCAGCGTGTGGCTGCTCGGTGTGAACTCTTCATCCAGGGAAGAGAGTACGTGAATGCCTACGAGGAGGAGAATTCGCCGTGGGAGCAGAGACGGAAATTTGAGCAGCAGAAGATCTTTAATCAGCATACGAATGAGTCTACAGGTGTTGACGAGAGTTATTTGCAGGCGATGGAATGGGGGTTGCCACCGACGGGGGGATGGGGGTGTGGGATTGATAGACTTGTTATGCTGTTTACTGATTCGAAGAGGATTGGGGATGTGTTGCCTTTCAGGACTTTGAGGTCCGTTTAGTAGGTCAAGGGCTGTGTAAGATATGTGTATTATTATCGGCATTGTGGGATGGCTTGACGTTAGGGCTGCTAGGTTTCCTATAGCGAGCGACTCTGGAAGGAATAATTGATATTTACACATGATTTGCCCATCAACTAAGTCGCTCGATATCAAGAACGATCCTGACTATTAAGGAGAAGATTCTTCCAGCAAATACCTAGAACAATGTAACGCGGGGAGGTTTTTATAGGCCACGGAATCTGCCGAACCGTAGATAACCGCTGTTGATTTTCCATTTTTCAACATTTCACGACACGCGAAGTTTTATGTACAGTACGCTTTTACGACTAAGCGATCAAAGCGAAAAAAAATCGGTTCAGTCATGTCCAAATCCATTCCACAGGCCCAGCCTGTCACTGTAAGCCTTCAAGATCTTAACTCAGGTGAGTGAGGGGCAAAAATCTTCTATCGAACAATGAAGACCCAGAATTGATTGAAACTAACATCCTCAACCAGGATCTGTACCCTTCGAGGCATTAACAGAAGCATTCGGACCTTCATCCCTAGGAATAATTGTAGTCAAAGATCTACCCCCGAAATTCAAAGAGTTGCGTGCCCAGGTGCTCTCGAATTCATCTTATCTTGCTTCCTTGCCTCAGAATGAACTCGGTATGTTTTTTTCCTTCTATACCAAGATGTGGGATGTTAATAAAGACTAATAATGAAAAGAAAAACTCGAAAGCCCCCAATCCAAATACCTCGTAGGCTGGTCCTGCGGCAAAGAAACCCTTCGTTCAGGCCACTTCGACACTCTGAAGGGCTCATACTACATCAACTGCGCATTCTACCAAGATCGTGCGCTACAAAATGCGCCAGCAGATGAATTTCCAGATTTTCCACAATATACAGCACCAAATATCTGGCCCAATCCGGAAAAGTTGCCTACTTTTCGGACCGCGGTGGAAGATTTATGCTCCTTGATCATTGATACGGCGGCTTTGGTAGCGAGGGCTTGTGATCGGTATGCAAGTGTTAATATCGAGGGATACAAGGAACGGTATTTGGAGCATGTTGTTAAGATGAGCTTGACGACCAAGGCGAGGTTGTTGCATTATTTCCCTACTTCTCCAGCACAAGAGCAGGATGGAGAAGAAGATGATGATTGGTGCGCTACGCATGTTGATCATGGTTGTCTTACGGGTCTTACGTCGGCTATGTTTATTGATGAAGCTGAACATTTACCTTCTGCTTCTATATCTAAAGATTCTCCGCTGCCGGAACTTTCTTCTTCTCCAGATCCAAAGGCAGGTTTATACATTAGGTCTCGTACCGGAGAGATTGTCAAAGTGAATATCCCCAAGGATTGTCTCGCGTTCCAGACTGGTGAAGCTTTGGAATTGATTACTCAGGGGAAATTCCGTGCTGTGCCGCATTTTGTCAAGGGAAGTAGAGCGACCAGCGATGGAAGAAGGATTGCGAGGAATACGTTGGCGGTCTTTACGCAGCCGAATCTGGGAGAGGAGGTACAGAAGGGGAAGACGTTTGCGGATTTTGCGAGGGAGGTTGTTGAGAGGACTTATTAGCCTGATATTTCCGCAATGTAAATTTGTTAGTTGTTGTAAATGGGTATATAATCACTATAAGTCAAGTCTAGGACGTTTGAACTGCTGATTCTTCACAAGCAAGTTATCATTGCCCCTGATTGGAATCGGCAGAGGTTTAAACGATTGAATCAGAACAGCAGGGTCCCCAGTCCAATCATTCTCGTCGTCTTCATCGTCTCTGTCTTTAACGCCACCATCTCCATGGCCGAATTTCGTAACACCAGGTGGTGTATTCGTAGCAGGTACCTCCACGGCAACCAAATCCATTTCGTCCTTATCGCTCTCCTCCTCAGAAGAGGTATTAACCGTCTCATCATCACTCGAACTTGCATTCGCACTAAGGTCCATATTCAACCCACTGCTAACCAGCGAACTCATCTTCTGCACCTCCGCAAACTGAGACTTGGTCGGTCTACCGGGTTGTCTGCCAGCATTGCGAGGCAGTTTTGCCGCTTCCCAATCTGCCTGCGTAGCCGTACCGTCAAGTATATTAAGTACTCCCTTCCACATCCGCGGTTCCCGAGCTTCAGAATATCGGCCAACTTCATCTCCGTTCAGAGTGTCGATGGAGAGTGCTTGGACTCTGTAATCAGCCCAGAACCAATCCTGGCCGTCTTCCATACGGTTATCGGTTTTGCGAGACCACTCCCGGCTGGCGAGCATGCCGAATAGGTCGAAATCTAAGGATGTATGGCCGAATAGGAGCTCCATAGCTGTAGGCTCGTAGCAGCGTCCGATTATCATATCATGTGAAATTTCAACACTTGTGCTGGGTCCGTGGGTACGGTACCAAGCTCCATATTCGCTCATGCCGACCTGTTGAAAGGCATCGATTACCTCTTGCCGATTGAGTGGTAGACTGCTGTATTCCCCTGGTTTGCGATACGCTCGGTTCGGTGCAAGTGAATATACGTTGCCGCGCACGCGCACAGAGTATGATTTGGCGAGATTGGGAGATTGAAGATCTTCGATACACGAGTTGAGTCTGAACTCTATGCGCTTGATGACCATCACATCCGTGACACTCGACAGTCTGTTGACCGTTGCACCTTTCGGTTTGAGTCGCACCGTATCGCCAACGAGAATCATCTCAGGCCCGAGGAACATCCCTCGACAATGAATCGACGCATTAGGCCATACGCCCTTGAAATGGTATTTGTTGATCATGCAGACTGAAGACATCACCGTCATTGCATGTTTGATTGAAGGATGCCATTCCCTCTGCGGTAAACCCTCAAGCCAAACAGGCCACGAATTAAACGGCCGCAAGACATAGATGTGCACATATTGGTATTGGAGTGAAGCGCTTTTGTCGTCGCTGTTTGGGTCCGGGAAAGTCTCCACGCGAAACCCAGAGTAATTAACTTCCCATTTCTTTTGCGTAGGCTCAATAAGGTCGTCCAGGACTACTGGGTCCTTTTCTGGCACTTCACTGACCGTCCCCGCCCTCCACACAGGATTCCCAATAAATAGGCTCTTCTTAGGAGAATAGATCTGATACGACCGCGTTTGCTCATTGTATTTGAGCTCGCCATTGAGCTGTGGAATCCAAAGAACAATCTCCCCCACACGAGGAATATATGATCCTTGCAAACCTACACGAACTATATGTTCTCGAACGAGCTTATTCTCTGCTCGCCAGTCCATGCTTCGCGGTTCAGAGATGGGTTCGTCTATTTCATTCTCTTTACTGAGTCTCGTCACTGTCTCTCGGAAGATATCTGGGACACCTTCGGAGTCCAGGATTCGCCTTTGACAGAGTAGTTTTGGAGCCCCTTTTGGTGGTCTGCCTCTAGCCCAGCGACCTGGACCTAAGTAATGATGTGTAGTTGCTTTGAAGAGTTGGCATTAATCATACAGATACCGAAGAGAGAGGGTTAACTTACATGTACTTGTCCCAGATCCACTGGCACTAGTTGGAGGCCTCTTCTTCTTGCAGCATTCACAAGGACACGGCCCTGATTTACCACTTACCAACCAATAGAAGTGGGGGAAGAAATTTTTGGGAGAATTGAAACAGGACCCCGAGGGATGTCCGTAAAGAAATTTATCTCGCTGTGAAAGGTTAGTCAACCGTATCTACACAAAATAAGAGAAAGGAGCACTCACGATCTTAGGGGAACTAAACCGTGGTCGATCCAAAAGGACATATTGATCAGGCAATTTTTCAAGGATATATTGTTTTCCTGTTCGGGTCAGTAAGATATATTGGGGTCTCTTAAGAAGTAACAAGTCGAGGAATAATACCTTTAACAGCCTTACGGTCCTTTTCCATCCACATCATAGCCAGCTTATGACGATAAAGCCAATCATCTTGCTTCCTCCAATAAGCCTCCTTGGGCCAGGCGTTTTGGTCCCCATCACTGCTACATTCTGGCGCAGAAGGCAGAGATATAGTCTCGAGATTGTTGCTGCTATTCTCGGGTGTTGTTAAATATGACATTTTTTTTTCCTTTTTGTATATCCCTCAGAAAAATATAGAAATTGTTGTTTCCCTTTCCTCTGGTTCCATTTCTTATCTCATGCCCTTCATGAGTGCGTTGACAGTGAGAGCTTTTAGAGTCAGTCTTGACTCTTCAAGTTCTACCCTTTCGACGAGGATGGGTCATTGCATCCCCAGAGGAGAATAAGCCTTTTTTTATTCCAGAAAAAAATATTGAATGATTGAGAAAATTCCTGTGAATCAAACAACAGAAAAAAGAAGCTGTGAAATGTTGTGGCGAGTATTTTAGAAATTGGTTTGAATAAACAAAAGGTGATAGTTGAGACGAGCCTAGATATTTGGCAGGCACAGGCGTTGCCCGATGTGCTGGGTCATTTACCGCCTTATAATTAGGGTTAGGGTTAAAATTTGCTCTATCTAGTTTATTTCTTGATTATGTACATTACATCAATTTGCGCAATTCCGAGGATTCATTTAACTTAGAAATCCCTAGCTAAGCCAATAGTACATGCATACAAGAAGGTTATTGAGTATAGGTGATATATACTAAGCAAGATGACCATATGTCATTGCTGGTAAAATAAGCACTGACTAGCATATCGTTCTGCCATAATAGTACATCTCATGCCTCTCCGCTTGGAGTCTCTGGCTCAGTTGAAACCTCTTGTTCAGTCAACTCCTGATAAGGAGGGGGAGCAAGTTCGCCTGAAACTACCCACACCTTATTGAGCTCATTCTCAATCTCTTCTCTCCGGCGCTTCCATCCCTCGACATTGTCGAGTCGTTTCCGTAGTTCCTGCAGCTCCTTTTCAACGCCCATCTTCTCTTTCTCCGTGCCAATCCTGTCGAACCCCCATTCGTCACCGCTCATGCCAAGGCCAAGGGTGAGTTGGAAGGTGTGGTATTTCTTTAGGGAAGCGCGTGTCGAGATTGTGATGAGCGTGATGCCTTTCTCCTTGGACCGTTCATACAATAATCCTTCCACGTCGGATGATACAGCAGAGGTGCCTTCGTCAATGAAAGCGTATCGTGGTTCGTGGTACAATAATCGTGCGAATGCCATGCGCTGCTTTTCGCCGCCACTCAGGACATCCTTCCATTCCTTACGGCAATCCAAACCACCTTCACGAGACGGGAGATATCCCAGGTGAACTTCTTCAAGGATCTTGCCAAGTTCTGCGTCCGTTCGCCCGTTTTCGCGCATGTCGACCTCGGTATGGGGGTAAATAACCTGGTCGCGGAGAGTGCCAACACTCAAATAAGGTCGCTGAGGCAAGAACATAACCCCATCCATGCCAAAGTTCCTCGGTCGGCTAACTAGACCCCGGTAGACTGGCCATAATCCAGCCACAATGCGCGCGATGGATGACTTGCCCACGCCATTGGGCCCGCAAATCAGAAGATGCTCTCCGGAGTGCACAATAAACGAGAGGGACTCGATAAGCTCATCTCCACCTTGTGGGTAGAGCGATGGCGCAACGATGGGAACATGCTCTAGGCGAACGCCATCAAAACCACTGTGGACAGTACCCTGGACATCAGAAAGAGAAAATAGCTCAGGGTGAGTACCACGAGGCTGATAGTAAGCATTTGCATGCACACGGTGCAAGGCAGAAATCAGAGTATAGACGCGAGAAGTATAACCGGCCAGTTCAGAAATGTCTTTGATGCTGTACATCATTCGACCTCCCGCATCAGCTAAGGACAACATCAATCGCTTATTGGTAATAAAATCCTTCATACGGCCCCGTTCCCGGACATCCTCCCCGGTCAAGTCGCTCAACTCTTGAGTACCGCCGACACCTCCCCATGCTGGAAGGAAAACGGGAATCGACGTCATGAGATATCCAAAAGCAGACCACACATACTTCAGGATCATATCCTCGAGCATGTTGTAGCGGATCTTGAGGCTATAGATGCCTTTCATCCATCGTTGGAGATCCTTGAAACTTTTCGTCAAGAAGACTTTTTCGATATCAGCGCCTCCGTAAAATGCGATTTCTTCGGCATTGGCCAAAAGTCGCGAATGCAGTCCTCTAAAGTCACCTTCGCGCTTGCCTTCGACGGCTTTCAATTTGCCAAACGGCGGAGAAAGCTTGCGGAGAACAGTGGCGGTTGTGAAATAGCCGCTCAAGATACCAGTAAGCGCTAGAGGTCCAAGGCCACGGTAAAGTTGATAAGTAAAGAAAATCAGATCGACGGTCGGTTTACCTAGGGACGAAGTCAAGGCTGCAGCAGAGGCGCAGAAAAGAGTCAAGTCTTGGGTGATGAATTGATCAGCTCCTTGACCCACCGCCCCGTCAAGGTTCGTTAATTTATAGTAGTTTCGATGTTCGTTCAGGTATAAATCATGGATATATCTCGTCAAGCGCGTTCGGAAAGCGATGGATATCTTGGACTGAAGGAATTGGATCATGGCATTTGTATACGACGCAAATGTCCCGATACTGCACCATTTGAGCAACCCCCAGAGGAAGGCGCGGCCTTTCCCAGCCACTAGGTCTCGAACAATCTCTCCGTCCAATCGTGCAACTAATAACGAGAGGTAGGTTCGGAGTAGAAGGAAAATACCATGGCTCATCAATAAACCTGTTTCTTTGGAGTGCCACCGCGGGTTCATGATACTCATAAGACTCAGAAACTGGTGCAAGAAAGCAAGGTTCAAACCTGGTTTTGTCGACGGCGGAGGGATCGAAGAGATGGAGTCGACACCCCCTATTCCAGCGGCTCGTGGAGGATTTAGAAATAACCTTCGATGGGCGTCGAATGTGGTCGGTTTCGTTGGATGTATAGTGACCTTGGAGGTCATATTATCCTTATACGACACATATATGATTCTTGATCCGTCCTTTCCCCGCAACCCCGAATTCCTGCGCAGCATGCGTCTACCTTGAGCACGTTCCTTGGACCGTTTGAGTAGCAGACTGTAGCCGCCATAGCTTGATCCGATGATAGCTATTATCAAGGAGAGGGTCGCGAGTATCTTGCTGGGTTTGGATGTCCGTTGCAGGCGACCACGTAGTAGCTGAATATAGCGTCGATAAAGAGCAACGAGCGGATCTTCCGCTCGTGGTAATGTTGAATGCGCCGCCATCTTGACTGAAGGACGTTCGAACCACGCAGTGAAGCTTGTCAGTGAGATGACCGCCGGCGGTCCAACGAGCTTTTCCGCATGCTTTGTTTATTTCAATTAGTCGTAGAGGGACGGTTGCAGCTTTCTGCTCACAATAGTAACTCACATTCGAGATAGAGAAGGTAGAATGAGTTGGCCTGGGGAGTTGCAGTCGTGGTTGCGACTCTCGTGACGTCGATGCATGTGAAGAACCTCGGGCCGTGCCAGGGCACGTGCCTTTTGATCGGGCGTCATCAGGTGACCTGAGATCTTCTTCAAGACATTCCCGGCAACATTCTTGTGTATAAGATCAGGTCAAGTTGATGAGAGCTGTGCAGAAGCCTATTCTCATCAAGGGCTAAACTTGTCGCACGGTGTTGTGTCTGGACTTGCCGTTGACATGATTGGCCGACATAGCAAATCGCCGAAAAGCCTGAACTACTTCGCAATTCAAGCTCACACCTTATGAGCCCTCTTACATGCCTATCAAGCGGGGAACAGGTAGAAGATCGTCTACGGCCACCACATGATTTCTGCTCCGTGCTCGGTCGCTGCAAATCGCGAGGCGTAAGATGGATCGCCCGGCTGTAGATCAGTCATCTCATCTATCCGATGGAGTACTTTTACGGAAGATGCAAATAGTACTCCTCCGCATGTACTCTGAGCGATCACCATAAGACTGTCACTATGCGGACAAATCCAAGCCAATCCTTTACCGCCGACCCCGACTCCAGCGCTATCGTCAAGATCGCATCCTTCAGCTCCAACTCGACTTATTGACTTACCAGAAAAAGCAAAACTAGGGTCTGGCTACGTGATTGGGCAGAACTTGGGACCCCTAGCACATAACAACTTTTGCACAAGGGTTGGTAGCACAGAAAGCCCGGATTCTGTAGGCAGAACGGAGTAGCTAAGCGCATCCAGCCTACATTATCAGTGGCTGGCCCTTGGCAAGTTCTATTATTATTCTGCATGTGGCCTCTCGCATTGACCAACTGTCCGCGGAGTCTAAATATCAAGCTCGCAACTTGATGAAGCTGTAGCTCGCAGGTTCTTCTCACAGCCGCAGCTCTTCCATAGCGTAGGAGCCCATGATCCATAATGTCACTGAGATAGAGTGCCTCACTGATGGATAGATATGTTTGTCTTAAGAAATAAAGTAAAATTGGCGAGATAACGACCGACTAAGCTAAGCTCGTGGTAATACTAGTACCGATCAGTCGTAGGCCGGGCGGTATGGTAATTACGACTTGTAAGTAATAATAGTGAGGAGGCGCGAAGAGCCCAGCCCGATTCGCTCTGACAACCACCACCCGCCAGACTTCAACTCGGTAAGGATGGCCAATACCGCCAATTTTTAACTAATTATCTGCTCGTCGCTAACCTGCTAAGTCAAGTAAACTAACTAAGTTCACCTGTCGACTTCCGCGTCGGGCGATCCCACCTACCAGCCTGCCCAGACCGAGACTGTCTCTCCTCTCTGGACCGGTACCATATCGGACCTTTAATCGACCACCTTCGGTTCTCTGAGTCAGGTGTAGCTACAATCACTCTACAGCTTCCTTTTACGCATAATCATTTCTGCTGGCCCCCGATCAGAAAGAGAGCGATAGAGAGAAGGGAGAGAGATTGAGAGAGCCGCCGCCTCATCAGCTCAGGAGTTGATGAAAGACGCAGGTTCGATGTCGACAACCGCAGTGCAGACCCTTCCCGGTAAGCAACATTGTAATACATATAGCTCTGGAGCTACCACTACCTCAGTCGCATCATTCCATATTAATTGTTTACTTCGTCTAGGCCGTGATTCCGCATCGTCGCAGCCCTCCGCCGATGAATTGAATCAAACACAGCTACCTGTGCCATCCGATCATGAACCGTCTGCCACCAACCCATCGGGTTCTCAGAACAATCTAGCCGCATCCTCCTCGCAACCAAAGAAGAAACGTTCGCTCTTACTCGTCCCATCGCGGACATCTTCCAGGGGAAGCAAAAATCAATCATCGGAAATGACGACTGACACCGTGCCCGATGAGTCGGTAACGATAGCAAATTCGCGTACCAATCTCACCAAACGGCGCAGGGATGCCAGCGAGTCAAGCAGTCGACGGTCGCAACGCAATGAACAAGACAAGAGTCAAGGTACAAGGAAGGATCCAACTGAGGAGTCGCACCATGCCAGATCGGAACGGAAGCCCAAGACTCAGTCAAAGTTCCTTGCCTTCTTGAATTGCTGCAGCCCTTCAGTGTCAGATAATGATAATGAAGGCCCCGATCTTCCTGCAAAGAAGGCCGAGCCCAGACAGCCGATCTCCTTACGACAACCCGTGGAGAAACCCGTCTCAACCGGAACGGAATCGACGCCTACAGAGTCGAAAGAGCAGGAACCTCTTGACGAGAAAACTAGAGACAACACAAGTTCACAGCCGACAGAAGAGACTATTGGACCTAGTACCTCTGTCTTGACTCAGCCCACCACGCTACAATCAAGTTCACAGGAAGCCTCGGGAGCGCGACAGGAACCAGCTTACCCCTACGGCGTTGTGCCAGACTTGGCCCCCTTACCTGAAGGTAAGAAAGACGACAACGAGGATGTGATTGAAGAGGAACCCGAGAATGAGACAGCGGAGGAGTTGCTACATGAAGATCATGATATCACCGTGCCCGAGGCTCCGGTGATTCCTGAGGCAGAAGATGAACACAAATTGGAAACTGGCGAGGTTGTCGTCGCTCAAGCACCTGCACCAGACGTTCTCCTCCCTGGGCCTCCTCCAACTCCTGGAAAGCAGAGTGCTTGGTTGCTTCCTCCGCCGCTGCCACACTTGCGAGGGCGGAAATGTTTAGTTCTTGATCTGGATGAAACACTTGTGCACAGCAGTTTCAAGGTTTGTTGAGCTTTCTACTTTCTGAAATGACAAGACTATTTGCTCACACTGAAAAAGGTCCTTGAGCGAGCGGACTTCACAATCCCAGTCGAAATTGAAGGCCAGTGGCACAATATCTATGTCATCAAACGGCCGGGTGTCGACCAATTTATGAAACGAGTGGGTGAGCTGTATGAGGTAGTAGTATTTACGGCATCAGTTTCAAAGGTAAGAGGTCGCAACAATCTACGTTTTGACAGTTGCTAAGTTTATCTTCTAGTACGGCGATCCTTTGCTGGACCAGCTAGATATTCACAATGTTGTCCATCATCGTCTTTTCAGAGACAGCTGCTACAATCACCAGGGCAACTACGTCAAGGTCAGTCTCCTTATATATGAGCGTCGATCGTAAGTTACTAACATTTCAAAGGACTTGTCACAAGTTGGCCGTGACCTTCGAGAGACCATCATCATCGACAACTCTCCTACGTCGTATATATTCCACCCTCAACACGCCATACCTATCAGCAGCTGGTTCTCAGACGCTCATGACAACGAATTACTCGACTTGATCCCGGTTCTGGAAGATCTCGCTGGTACTCAAGTACAAGACGTGAGCCTCGTGCTCGATGTTGCATTGTAATCATGTTGGTGTCTCGTTTTCAATCTTGCCCTCCATTTTAAGCGTTGTTTCGTTATTTACCTCTGAGCTACATACATTCCTCGAGCATTGACCTTGCATCGACCTCTCTTCCTTAACCCCGTTTGATTCTGTCTCTCATCTCCGTCCTTGATCATAGCGACCGTTTTAGATCGACCACCGTGAAAGATTGCACCCCTATCCCGAACGTGGTTCTACATGTGACACAGCGACTGGAAACCGTTTACATTCAGGTTCCCCCTATTCCCCTCTTACTACATTCAGCATTGTTGAGCAGCTCTCTATTCCCTTGATTTATTTTGTCCTGTATTTCTTTTCCATGTTGGCGCATGTTTGCCTAGTGCATTTTGAATCTTACTGGCGGCTGAGACCGTATTGTTTGGCCTTGTTAATCATTTCTGCTCCGAGCGAGCTTGCTGTCTGGCCCTTTTTCCTTTTCTATCATTTTGTGATCCTCTTGAGCATTATATGGGCGTCTGATTCTGGTCATCAGTCAAGATCTGCTCAGCTTCATGCATTCAATCTTTTACTCCTGTTTCTTATCTCTCTGTCTATTTCCCTTTCCCTTGTTCTGATGTTTTGAGTTATAACTGCACGACCATATTCCCCCATATTTCTTGTTTTCTTTCCCTGTTCCTTATTGTCTCTGACTTGATTAATCAAACTGATTGTTGTCAAAAAAAATTTTTTTTATTATTCTTCTTCTTTTACCCTCTTTCTTCATTTATTTTGAAGGTGACTCTCAGATGTTGAGGGTTGACTAGAAACTCGGACAGTGTTGTACAGAGACATTTATATAATGTACATGTCCTTCACTGTTGCGAACTGTGTGATGTACATACATGAGTATAACACAATCTATGGACAGCTTTGTATGTCCTTATCTTTAGATCCTTTTTTAAGTCAAATGTTCCCTACAGAAAGCGGCTCTTCCCCGCATGAAAAACAATAATTTCCTTCCTGCACGTCATCCTGAAACTCACCACTTACATCCTTCAAGAAACAAGCCCTCTCACAAGAAGACCAGGCAAGATAAGATAAATAACACTTTCAAAATGAAGGACCGAAATGGCTGGGACGGAAAACTGAGGGTTGACGACTCCGAGAATCGACGAGCTGTTCTCACGAACCCAGAAGCTTTGGAGGACCCTGATTACTCGGATGAGGATGCTCCTCCCGTTGAAGAAATTGACGCAGATGAGGGTATTCTCTCTTTTTTATGTCTGTTAACTGGGATTACCTTGTTGATCTTATCTCTCGTATAGATCTACTCGAGGACGAGGATCCTGATGCCGAAGTACGTTCTAGCCATACTGCGGGTTCCATCTTTCCAAGAACCAGCGCCTCTACAAGAATCGGTTGAGTCCGGTTTTGCTTACTGGTGACGGCCGTGAAGGATATAGATCTAGTGCATTTACGGATATCGAATATCGCTGCCTTGAAGCTAGAACGATTCACCAAGCTCGCAGTAAGTTCCATCCATGCCTCAAACTAAAAGCGCTTATAGTCTTACCACCGTTATATCCTGCAGAGATTGTGCCTCCGCCAAAACCAAATCAGTCGCATCGAACTCCCCTCCAACCTCGGCCAAACTTTGAAAGAGCTCGATCTCTACGATAACCTGATCAGTCACGTCAAGGGTCTGGACGACTTGACCAATCTCACTCTACTCGATTTGAGTTTCAACAAGATCAAACATATCAAGAACGTGTCGCACTTGACGGAATTGACGGATATATTTTTTGTGCAGAATAGGATTTCGACGATAGAGGGGCTTGATGAGTTGGTACATTTACGGAATTTGGAGTTGGGAGCAAATCGGATTAGGGTTTGTTATTCAAAACTTGTTCGAAAATGAGCATGGAGGCTGATTTTGAGTAGGAGATTCAAGGTTTAGATAATCTTCGGGCATTGGAGCAGTTATGGTTAGGAAAGAACAAAATTACGGAGATGAAGGTATGCCCATTTCTCTCTAAGCTCCTCTCGCTTCCATACGTGCTGAGGTTGGATAGAATCTGTCAAGTCTTTCCAACTTGAAAATCCTCTCCATCCAATCCAACAGACTCACCAGCATCACCGGCCTCAGTGACCTCCACAGCCTCGAAGAACTCTACATCTCCCACAACGCACTCACCGACCTCTCCGGTCTCGAATCAAACACAAACCTCCGCGTGCTCGACTTTTCCAATAACCAAGTCTCCAAACTCGAAGGAATATCACATCTCACTCAAATAGAAGAAGTCTGGGCATCCAATAATGGCTTATCGAGCTTCGAGGAAGTTGAGCGTGAATTGAGAGATAAGGAGAAACTAGAGACGGTGTATTTTGAGGGAAATCCGTTGCAGACGAAGAATCCGGCGTTATATAGGAATAAGGTCCGGCTTGCGTTGCCACAGCTTAAGCAGATCGATGCTAGTAAGTGTGCTGTAGCACCTATTATAGGAGAGGAGCAAATTGCTAACGAATGTCTAGCTTATGTGCGTCTTTCTTGATGTACCAATGGCTGTCGGATGGATAGAGCTGCGAAAACGGGATGTATTAATGAGGTTACGTATTGATATAGGCTGGATTCTCTCGTTTACAGTATTAAAAGTATCATAGGTGGCGTTCCGAGTATAGGCTCCTAATCATCAATGGACCTTCTTATCATTCTTCCAAAAGCGTGAGAGACTGGTTGGGTATCATAATGTTCACCACTTCAGAGCAGGAAATCTACTCATCCAACAACGCCAATAAGCTTCCCTTGAGTTCCACTGCCTTCTTCTTCTTCTTCTGCTGCTGCTCTATATCCTGTCCACCCCGTAAATACGACGTATCAATCACTCCATCCGCAAATACCCTTCTCGGAGCCCCCGCGGCAATCACATCATCTATCCGCGCATCATTCTTGATCGCGGAATGATTCTTGTCGTATGAATAGCCCATGTGATCATTATTCCAGGGATTTCCTCCAATTCGTTCTTCATGTTCGGATTGAGTTCCTATACTTGTGTGGATGTCGCAGGTGACGTTGACGTTAACGGGATGCTCATGAGCCGGGCCATAGTCAGCGCGAGGAGGTATGGGAGATGTAGGAAACGATATCGTCAACGGAGATGCATCGACAGCTTTGGAAGCTGCTTCGGACGTTTCATAGATGGCCAAGATATTGGATTTGTCACCTTCCTAACACATTCTATCAGCCCCATCCATCTTCATATTCGCATTCTAGGAAAGAGACTTACTTTACTAGGTAAGAAAGTAGCAACCTCCCCAAACTTCTGCAAAGCATCTAGCAGACATCTCCGTTCAGCTATGTTGCGCAATGGCTGGCTAGTCTTGATATCGATTTGGCGGGCGAGGAGTTTGATTGTAGCACGGGGTGTTTGGACGATGCGTCGGACGGGAGAGTTCATTATGAATCTAGTCTGGAAGAGTGATCATATCTCTAAACCGAGCCGTTACAGTTCAGGGATGAAAGTGATGGGTTCACATGCTTTCTTGTTGGTGGTTTGTTGTAAAGTTGAAGGTGTGGAGAATTGGAGATCTCCGTTTCATCAAAAGAGTGATTACATAACCCTAACCCTAGTTAGGATCCAGAATAGATACTAAATGTAATTAGCAGTCTACGAAGTAGTCTGATTACTATACTCTCCTATATTTTGATTTCAGGAATTACTATTTGCACATTGATCATCATTCATCTATCATTGCAGAACGAGCTATCATACTCGTCACACCCGATACGAGCGTGTCTATGCGAAAATAGGAATGTAGATACCGTACTAGAAGAGAGTTAGCTTCGCTTTCTTTGCAAGATATTGCAAGATTACATACGTTAAGAGGATCATTGAAACGAAGTCCCAAATCCAATCCATTAATAGCATCAATATCCGACTGCTCCAAACTCCATCCGGTAACGTCCAAATTCTGACTGAGACGGGTCGGGTCATTACTCTTGGGAATGACGGCAATGTTTCGCTGGGTGGCCCATCGAAGCAAAATTTGAGCCGGGGTCTTGCCATGTTTCTGGGAAGTAGATTTGATGACATCGTGGTCGAAGAGCTTAGGTGTGTTATGGGCGCTGCTCATGTCCAATTCGATAAAGCTCAGGGGTCCAAAGGAGGAATATGCGGTGATCACGATGCCTTCGCTTTGGACATACTTGATGAGTTCTTTCTGTTGGAGGTATGGATGATGCTCAATCTGGAGAGTGGCAGGACGAATGCGAGCATGTCGCAATAGGTCCATGATAAGCTGGACGCTGAAGTTGCTGATACCGATGCTGCGGGAGAGTTTCTTGTCGACCAGCGACTCCATAGCTTGCCATGTCTCTTGGATAGTAGCCTTGCTGAACTCGACCTTGCCGTCGGGAGCGGTCCATCCGGGAGGATAGCGCTCAGCAGGGTCGACCCATTTGAGTGCGACGGGGAAGTGAATCAGGTAAAGGTCAAAGTAATCAAGGCCCAGGTCATCGAGTTGCTTGCGGGCAATAGGCTCGACTTTGTCGCCGTCGTGGAATGTGTTCCAGAGCTTGGAGACGATGAATAATTCTTCACGCTTGACGAGGCCGTCCTTGATAGCCCGAGCGATACCTTGGCCAACTTCTTTTTCATTTCCGTAGTCTATGCGTTTCTAGCGTTAGTGTTTCTGTCCAGTGCGCTGAAAGTACTATCGCGGAATTCTGCTTACCGCAAGCTCCGTCGAAAAGACGGTAACCAGCCTTGATAGCTGCATAGACCTGGTCTGCGCAAGTGTCGTTGTTGACTTTCCACAGTCCAAAGCCCACAAGGGGCATGTCATAACCACTGTTAAGCTTGACGGTGGGAGAAGACATCTTGCTTGTAGTAGGTACAATCTAACGGCAAGAAGACAATTTTTTTTTTATAGAAGGAAAGAAGGGGAGGAGTAGAAGGATAAGAAATTGAATATATTTTTTGAAGGAAAGAAAAAAGAAAAAGACCAGCGGGGAGCTCACTCTATATCTTTCTTCGCATTTCTCTACCACTCCACATCCAACTTCCTATTTTCCGACACTAATCCTCCGTGAATGCGCATACTAAATACGTATGTAGCAGCCCTACCTTAGCCAAAATAAATAGAGGGGCAAGTCAGCCAGCAAGCAACCACGCGAAGCGGGGTGGAGGTGACAGCAATCATAACATGTAGAGAATGGGAGCTATTTAACCCGCGTTCTCCAGGACCGGAGACGACTGGGCCATTCACCGGTCTAGAAGGATATGCTATGGACACTCCGATTGACAATTAATTGAGGAATTCGTCTCCTGTGGGGATCGAAGAGGTTGAATTTATCCGGTGTGAAAATAGCCGGCCCTCAGTGCGTGGGTATCACGGCTAAACTCGTTGATGATCGGACTTGCAGTTTTCCCTCTTGTTTCTGGGTTTACAGTCGATGGGGCCCATCATACGTTATAACGGATAATTTGAGGGAGTGGAAAGTTTTTGCAACTCTGTTAGAGAAGGGGGTTGCGTAGGATTATTCATTATTAGCCACCGATCTGGGTGTAGAAGAGGTGGCTCGTGATATACGTAACCCTAAGAAGTCCGGATTACTCAGATTTTCGATACTGTACGTAGATGAAATGATGTATTGACCTCCTCAAAATTGGTAAGCCAACCCCGGCTTTTTAAATAAGTAGAGTAGAAAAAGACACAAGAAGAACGTATGTGAAAATTACTTAAATGATATTGCCGAGTCTGTTTCAGCTCTGAACGCCATCAAAAGTAAAAATAAGTATCCTTTAGAAAAGACATGGAAGATGAAGTGGAAAAGAAAAAGAATAAAGAAAGATCATTAGAATCTTGAATCATTACACGGTTTCGACTGCATTAGACTCTGGATACCGTGTGTTTCCAGTAGTCGTTCCTCCTAGATGACTATCACCGGGGTTGGCACTGCCGACGAGCTTGCCAATCAACTCGTCAGGAGGTAACATCCCTTCCAAGCTGCTGTTCTGATGTTCACGGGAAACTGGTACTTGATGATGATGATGGGAGTGATGACTATGATGGTAGGGGTTGTGATGGTGATGGTGGCTGCTCGAAGGAAAGTGTAGATGGCCATAGTTCTCAGTGCTGATATCGTGATGAAGAGATGGGCCTGTTCCCTGTGATTCCCACATGGAAGGGGCCTGTGTATGAGAAATACCATGCATAGATGGTGCTGTAGTCCCGAAGATGGAGTTCAGGACATTGTTGTTACTGTCATGAATGGTCTGTGATGGCATGTACTGATTACCATGCCCACCAAGACTGTATCCCGAAAGATGTGAATGAGAAGATAGCGAAAGATCATGAACGTTGAATAATGGGTCGCCTGCAGAAGACATATTTATACTACCGCCCTGTGTACTCTCCGGCGCAAGACCAGTGAACGAATCGAGTACCGACGTCACTGATGTCTTGTCCACTATACCATCGTCCGCTTTATTGATGTCGCTCAAAAAGTCATATGACCCTTGGGGACCGAACATATTAGTGACGCTATCTTGAGGGTCTGTGTATACCGGCCACTGTTGTTGCAGACTAGCCGCCGTTTGGGGTTGCTGCTGCTGATGGTGGTGATGATGATGATGATGTATCAGGTTACCATGAGGGTTGCCATGATAGACACTGTCTTGCGGCTTGTTGGATAGCAACGACTCCAATGCAAGAGGTGGTAGATCAATACCTGCTGCTGCCGCCGCCCGTGGGCTATTAGTCGTACTACGCCCAGCTGGAGGAATAAGACGTCTCCAAGTCGTAGTACCAACTTCCCCAGGCCGTGTTTGACGAAATTTCCACAGGAGGATCGCCATTCGCTTACGATCATCTCCTCCCTGTGGATTGGTATTGAAACTATTCGACATGTGACGATGACTACTTGGCGTAGCAGTCAACTCCTGAATAGCAGATAAGGACCGGAAAAACTGTCTTGTATGATCATCTGCGGCCAGGGGAGCTTCTGGCTGACCGGAGCTTTTGGCCATTTGTTTCTCTTGTGTTAACTGAGTGAACAGTTTCGCCCACCATGACGACTCGAAGAATGGTTTGACTTTTGTGGATGATGCCTTTTGAAGATCGTGGTAGGTTTCTTGCATCTTTTGTCCTCCTTCGTAGAGAAGCGTGCTACAAGCCCAGTCTTCCATCTGACTGACAAGAGACACGTCTCCCATTGTAGGATGGGAGAAATCAAGGTCGAGTTGTATACCTAACCGGGAGCCGGTAGGTGGAAAGTCAGTCATAAGCTGAAGGTTCACCTCTAGCAAGATTATGTCACAGTCCAATGAAGACGTGGGATCGTCGACGAGGGAGGAAAGATAAGGAAAAGACGTGCGCCATCCTGCCAGGTTCTCTAGAGGCATGGGGAGTGCTACCGGTCGGTGTTGATCCCCCTGGAGACGGGTGTAGACATGCAACGCTTTGTCAATTCGGTTTGTCTGCTGCGGTGCACTAACCCACATGTCGAAGTTGAAGGCATGGATTAGATGAGAATTAGTATCGTATATGTTGGATCCCAGTGTGATAGGAGTCGGAAGATCTCCATTGTATGTATGAGAAGAAGCGCTATAGTCAGGGCATGCAGAATGTGGTTGGCTATTGAAACTTCGTGAAAGTTGATAATCAATAGACGTCCTATATTCGGGATTGGTCATTGGAGGTTGCGAGTTGGGCGCGTCTGGTCTTTCTCTGACAAGTCTCTCCCCTGGACATAATGAGCAAGCTAGTCATGATTGTACTCTAGTACCACTTACATTCAGGGTCACCCTTGAGGAAAGAATCTAACACCTGTAGGTGACTTGAGACTTGTTTCCTTGTACGCCGTTTCCCAGTCAACTTGTAGATATATTCCGCAATCAACTCGTTACGTCCATATGACTTGCCACGTTCCGACCACTTCCTACGGCCCATGGGAGGGTTTGCTTCTAAGGCTTTACATTTGGAGATTATCAGTATTCGTAACGCACGCGGACGATGTGGTTTATGCTCACCTTGCTGAAACGCATCTTCCAATGCATCCGACCAAACTGGCTCTCCATCCTTGCCAGTATCACGACGCGGCCGTGCTCTATACTCCAGGTATTTTTGAGACTTTAGATAGCTGCGCTTCGGACGCATGGTTGGCATCGAATGAGCCGCTGACTGAAGCCGTCGCAGCTTCTTGGCCTGCAAACGCGCTGCGAGAACATGGCTATCATGGAGACTGGTACTAGATATCGAATGATGGAAAGGGATAGGAGCAGGAGGATACTTCAAAGCCAACTGGAGAGGATCACCGCGACTGCCAGCATCTCCATGCATGGTACCATCAGCGTATGATTGTGCATTGCCTGAGGTGTGTTGGAGAGCTCTGTGAGTACTTCCTCCTCCAACCCTATCAAATGACGATTGTGTTTGGGGTGCGAAGGACTCGGTTTGCCAGTCAGCCATGGCGTGGACCAGGGCGTCGTTCTTCGCAAGAATGGTACTGGAATTCCAAACAAGAAGAGTAAGAGGTCCAGTCACAATGCTAATGGCCTCTCACATACACATCACAAAGAGGGCACACACACTCGACGGAAAGGAAAGATGTCAAGAACGTAAAATGCTACAAGAGAATGTTGGAAACTGGGAAAGAGAATGTGCGAATGCCAGAGCAGAAAAGATGGTGTTTATAGTAGACCATTCTCTATTATCCTGTCAAAGGGCTGGCCAAGATGGGCCATAAGAACCCTACTACACCTAAAGGACTGTCTGATAATACATGCTTCCCCTTTAGAGTATACCCGCTCTCTGATCGCGACGGAGGCGGGACCGTGACTTCAGGGCCGGCCATTTGCAAGAACTGGAGAGGAGAACCTTAGGACAGTTGCTTGTCCTTACTGCCTTGATTAGGGCTCACATAGAAGGGCATAATGTTCGAGATACTGAGCCAAGCAAGGGGTCACCAGACGGCACGACCCAGTCAAGGACCACTCGGAGAATTTCAGCCAATACTGAGGCCATTTAGCGTTGAGATATCAGTATAAAGAACATAAAAATACCGTGATGGTGGTGTGGTGTTGACGCTCGGTGGCGATGGCGGTCGAGGAATGTCAGTCGGCCAACAATCAGTCAAAGTCTTGTCGTGCAAGAATGTTGCGGAAATTAAAGGCTAACTGACAAGAATGTAGGTCATTCAGGTACATTATAATCCTGATCTGTGTCCGTGTTCAAGGTACATAGAAGTGCGAAGGACGTGGTTGTTGTCTCAGGAGTACGCGGATAAGGAGGAACATGGGAACATCGGATTTGTGCCTGGATTTGTTGTCTAAGGCGGGAAGCACGAGGTTCGCTGCAGGTAGTGCATATTGCAGCAGCCCTAATGAAGGAGAACGTGTTGAAGGAGCATATGCGAATGAGATCCGCCACGCAAGGGATACGACAACCTGCACTCGCAGAATTTCGACTTTCGACCATCTTTTTTCCCTGTATTCAACCCTATCGGCAGGCTCTAGACAATTATTAACCCTCGTCCTCTGCTGCCCCTACAACAAACTTCTTCCTTCCTGTTCCAGTAAGACTTTGCAGTTTTTGCCTATCCAATTGCTGTCCAGTCTTCTTTTCAATCTTACGAATCTCCTCCTCGGCATCAATTGCTTCTGCAGAGGCGTATTCAAGCACCAACTTTCGGCCTAAAAGATGGGTATTCTTCAAGGCATCCATGGCGTTCTCTGCCTCGCGAGAGCTTACAAAATCAGCAAAAGCGAAACCACGAGCTGAACGATCGAACTTCTTCGGAACTCGCACGGACCGAAGCTGTCCATATGCGCCAAACAAGGATCGAACGTCATGTTTGGTGGCTTGGAATGGCAAGTTCTTGATGATAATCTTGGTTCTTCTTGCAGCCACTTTCTTGGCATTGTCTTCTTGTCGTCTAGTTTCTGCTGCATCCATGCCCCTATGAGATGTCTTTACCACAAGCTTATGTTGATCCAGAGTATAACCATCCATAACAGCCAGAGCTGCCTGGGCTTGCTCCTTAGTCCGAAACTCGACAAAGCCAAAGCCCATACTGAGTGTTTCTCCCGGTCGTTTCGGATCGGTTTTGGTTTTAACTTTAGCTGTCAGGAACCCATCCAAAGATGAGAAGACTTCTGTAAGGCGTGCACTGGTTGTAGAAAAGTTCAAGTTTCTGACAAACAGTGTCGATGTAGGCAATTGAGGCTCGTTGTCTTCCGCGGCGAATGTATCCGCAGCCGAGAACCCTTGGTCCTTAGCTTGCGGTCCCTCGACTCCTGAGATCAAGGCCGATCCTGTGGGTGGTGATTCGAACAAGTCCTTCGGCGCACGTTCGAGGAACAAAATAGAATCGCCCAACTTTCGATACGCAAGTCCCTTGAAGGCTTTTGAGGCTTCGTCAGGTTTTGCGAACTCAACTATAGCGATCGTTCCGCTGGGAGGCATAAGTAACCGGGTTAGTTGTCCGAAAGGCTCAAACAATTTTCTCAAATCGGCTACTTTGACGCCATAAGAAAAATTCTTAACTAAAATTGTAGTTGTACCGCGCTCGCGTTGCTTGAAAGAGTCTATGTTTACTCCATTGGCGGTAAAGTAAGCCTTCGTTTCCTGAATGACATGTGTTTCTGCATGTGCCTGTTTAACAGCAGCATCTGAAGACGTAGGGTCGAGCAAATCCGACTTTGAAACGCCAAGTCGGTCTGCAATGGATGACATGACTGCATCAGACTGAAATAAGTCAGTATGGCTCGTTTGATGATTGGGCTGAGGTCTCTTACATTCATATACAGAGAGTTCCAATTAAAGGTAGACGAAGAGGCTTCCATTCTTCGCTTGACCTGTCTCTGTTTCTTCAAAGGTAACTTGGATAATTCGTATTCATCGATCTTATATGACTTTTTAGCAGATGCCGGTAGGATATGAAGTAAGCGACCTTGAAAATCCTTTCCGTCGAGGTTCTTGTACGCATCAATTGCGGATGAAGGATCAACGTATTGTATGTACGCGAAACCTTTGCTGGAAGTTGTGCGGGTATCGAAGGCAACATGGATCTGGTAAATGTAAGTCGCTGATCACCAAAATGGTCATGAAAAAAAAAGCAGAGTTGGATATATTCTGTGCTCTTCAGATTCCAAGAGGCATCTACTAAAATACTCTTTCCTGTTCACATCACATATGATTGCATATCAGATGTCCCTATCAGGATGATCATCATGCGAGCGAATATCTCGGATTGTTCCGGGGTAAATGAAAGATATATGGACTCACCTCGTCTATCTTTCCGAATGGAGCGAAGAGGGTTTCCAAATCTGCTTCGGTAGCATCGTAGGCGAGATTACGAAGGAAGAGTCGACCGGAAATGCGAATAAGTTCAATATCGGCATTATAGTCCTTCTCTTCGGCAGGTTCTTCTGCAACTGGGGCCTCTTCAACTTCGTCACTATCTTCTTCAATAGGTTCAACAGTGCTACTAGCCGATGCAGGAGGCTGCGGGCCTGACGCGGTCTCTTCTTCCTCATCCAGGAGACCCAACAGTCGACTCGTTTTCGAACGAAGCCAATCCATGTCGGACTTCGGCTGATCTTCTTCTGCGGAGGCTTCTTTGTCTGCGTTGTCATCTTGATGTTGTGCTTCATCCCCACCTTGGGCGGCTGGCACTGCTGGTGTTTTTGAAGCCGGGCGTGGAGTCTCGACTTCGTCCATTTTAGACTTTTTAACCGGTCGAGATGGTTTGTCCTGACTAGCGTCATTTGTTTTGACAATCGCGGGCTCCGACGAGTCTATAATGGTAGGAGCAGCAGAAATTATATCGTCGTTGGCCCAGGTCCTTGTCTTTGAGGAATGTTGCATCACATTCAAAAACTCCTGAAGTTTAGGATCATCTTTTGAGGTTTCATCGCGCTTCCGTTTAAGGTTACTAGCATTGGATGTGCTATCATGGTCGGAATGGGTCCTATTCTTTGTAGGTTTGCTTTCTCCAGCCTGCTCTATGGTTAGCTACATACATGATCATACAATTACCTTGCAATTCATCATGCGTCAGCTCGGATGGAAAAAAGGCAGGCAAAGAATTTAACACTCACGGGACGAGCTATTTCCACGGATATCTTGGACATCCTTAGAAAAGTTTTATTGAAATATTTAGCAGCTTCCTTTGCAATCTCTGCATTTTTGAATCCCACAAAGCCAATTCGACGATTGGGGATAACATGAGAATCCGTTACATGGAAGCGAGAAGAGAAGTGTTTTCCCAAGTCTTCATTCGACAGGGTGGGAGGAATGCCAGAGACGAACACTCTGGTATTCTCCATCTTGTTCAATTTGCTTGGGGAAAAGAATCGCGGGCGCCGACAACGACGCGGGAGAAGAGAAAACGAAGTTCAAGATCAGAAAAAACCGGAGAAATAATAATTTTTTCTGCCGTCCTCAAAAGCGGTGAGAATTTGCCTTTGTTGTCCCCAAACAGACTAGCGTATAATGTCTCCGATAATCCCATATTGTCCGAGTGAAGACACCAAAACAAACTCACTTCTTGTCTCTATTCCATCGGCACATACTTCCAGAATTCAGTTACCACTCTCTTTGCGATCAACCATGGCGACAGAGAAGCAGGATAAGCTGGCGGGTAAGTCATAAACACCTCACCTCATGCGAGACTCCAAAGCAAACACATTACGACTGACGAACATTGATGCAGTCCATGTCAGATCGGTCGATATGGTACGTCGCATACGACACCACAAGTTGGAAGAGATAAGTTATTGATGGACTGATTATTATCATAGACCGAGGATATGCAGCAGGAGGCTATTGAAGTTGGTACGGAAATCGAAAACTGCGCATTTGAAGATGGCAGGGAAAGCTAACTTTGAGTAGCAACGGAAGCTATGGAGAAATTTCACATGGAAAAGGTATATTGCTACGGGTGGAGATAAATTTATCTCATTTGAGGTCAGATGCTTACGTATTCACTGCTAGGATATTGCGCAACACATCAAGAAAGAGGTCGGCAAACACCATACCACCTTATCCATTTGACCTGACCTGACGCTTTACAGTTCGACTCACGCAAAGGCGCAACATGGCATTGCATAGTCGGTCGCAACTTTGGCAGTTTTGTAACGCATGGTTAGTTCTTCGTCCATTCGACTTGTCTTATCTTGTTATAGTCCCTCCACTAATACTTCGAAACGCCAGAGACGAAACATTTCATCTACTTCTATCTCGGTCACTGCGCTATCCTTCTTTTCAAAACCCAATGATATCCCCACCGTCAAACCTCCGAAATGTGCGATCTGCGGTAGCAAGAACATTCTGTAGGAGATCCAGGTGATTATGGGACGGAAACAAACGATGCGTTATACCCGGCCGTGTCGGCGTTTAGGATAGTGGCTTGTGGAAAACATTCTCATCTTTACCGTTGTATGTGTGTGTTTGTGTTGAAATAGTTGTTAGATATGTAATCCGGATACCCACGCCTCCACTTCTGTCCCTTTACAGAACATTGCTAGTCCCCCACTGCTACTTGATGATTTATGCAGTATTCTATGAAAACGAATTGTCCATGACCAAGATGTTAAATAATTGACACAGAAATAACTGTCCAAAAAAATGAATCGATGTCTGAACGTCATGTGAGCGCCAAGTAGCTGCGCCACAGCGCTTCTGACATTCTGAGCTGCATATCATTGGTCTCTCACTTCAACCTCCATATTAGACATTCAACCTCAAAAAACTCTCCTTTGTATTCATACTTCAAAAAATTAGATTGCAAACGTATAAGATATTAAACTTCGCAATCATGGCGATTTGCATTACATTTGGAATGCATGGTAATACTATTCCGTGTGTTTACATTCGTTCGGAGTTCTGGCGACATACCTCGATTCGAGGCCGTGAAACAACAGCTAGGTATCGAAGCTAATTACATTGATACAGAGTTCCAATCAAGACTTGAAGGATATGAGAATGTACGAGCACAGTGTCGGAACTGTATGTTCATCTTGACCTAGTCGGCTATTGCTCTCAGTTTGTTCGGGATACTTACTCTCTGCAGGCGGAAACTGGGATGCTCATTGCGAGACGAGATGGTAAGTGCTGCCTTTTTCCTGGCTTTTTGAACAATCTATTAATCAGTTAGATAGGCCATTCTTCACAGTTTGCTTCGTTGTGAGTAATATTCATGTCTCTTATCATCCGTACTTGAAGCCCTCGGCCATCTGACATTCACATAATAGCCTCTGATTCCATTATCGACACACAAATACAAGGTCAGTTCGTCAGTCACCAAGTGGCGCCACCGACCTAATAATATGTAGGAAGTACGATGTTACCGATGCGGATTCAGTCAAGATCTAAGGTTCGCCTTCCACTACCCTCTCAGCTTTGCATCTGCCATTCTAACATGATTCTTAGTATGCGCCCTGATATCAACCCGGGAACACAACCTCCACCTGGCATGCCATGGGGTCCGGCATATGGGCCTCCACAACCACCTCAATATGCATATCAACCTCAACAACATCCCCCGGCTGGATATCCGAGTGGTCCACCTGTGGCGTCAGGAGGGAATCAGGATGCTGGGCATGTATACAAGTAGATTGATCGCGGCAGTTAGGAATTCGGTTGAAAGGAGTTTGGAAGCGTGGACTCAGTTTTCCTTTTTTTTTCCTGGTATTTTTACCCTTAGTTATTTTCACGTTTCAATTGAAATGAAATTGATAGTTATTTCGGTTTCGTTTTACTTGATTCGGCCATTGTGGTTGACTTCGTTCTTTTCGATAAGTAGCTTCGTTATGGCAACCTCAAAAATGGACCCGCCGCAAAGACACTAAGCAACTCAACCATTGACAATTTAGTCTAATTAACATCTTCCCTAAACACCAGACAACTTTTAAATACAATAAAATGAGCAGACATCACTGTCGAGACTTTATATGTCTTCCATCCCCTTCCCCATCCCCTTATCACATCTTCTTTCTCCCCGGGAATCCCGGATTAGTGGAATACTATGCCCGATTCTTGTTACTACTACACTCGACCCTCAACCATGCATCATCAATACAATTCAATATTGCAGGGTGCTCCTACGCCGGATTCGAGACAGAACATTCATCTCTGGAATATGACAATGGCGGTCATAAATTATACGACATCGCAGAGCAAGTCGATTACAGTCTTGAGCGGCTACAGGACTATATCAATCAGACCGAAGAAAAACAGACAAAAGCAAAAGTGATTCTCATCGGACATTCATTCGGCACCTTTGTCATTGCAGAGATGATGAAACGGATATATACATCTTCTACCAAGGATCAGCAGCAAAATTATGAGATTATAGGAAACATACATCTATTCCCACCAATTCCGGATATAGCCAGAAGTCCTCGGGGAGTTAAAGCAGCTGTACTTCCCTCCTATTCCTCTTCGTGTTTCCGAAAATGGAAAGAATCTGACAGTCGAAAAAATAGGGCATAGTGAAATGGAGATATCTTCCGGGCATAATATCCTACATCGCAAAAGCCGTGTACAATCTCCCATACAGCTTGTCCAATGCAGTTGTGAGATATCTTACTGCATTCCCATCGGACTCAGAAGCTTTGCATACTACTCGCATGTTCTTTGGGAGTAGGAATGGCGTCGCCCAGGCTCTGTATTTCTCCCCGCCTCCCCAGTACAAACACATATGCCCCAAAGGAAGCCTATATGCTGATGTACACTCCAGATACTTGGCCCAACATGAATTCGATGAAATCAAAACCTCCCGCTGGGAAGCCGCTCTCCGAGCTATCGCATCTCATCACCAACAAGAAAATCAGCAGGGTAAATTCCCAATCCGCATCTTCTTCGGCGTAAATGATCACTGGGTCAACAACGAGTTACGAGATGCATTTATATACAAATATTGTGACCCGAACGGCCCACTGGCGTTTGGAAAGGAGGTGTTGGATTTAAGGGCTAGGATTGATCCGAGTGTGGATGGGGATGAGAGTAGTGTTGTGATTCCTCATGACTTTTCTATTGGTACGTCTTTCCCATTCACGATTCTTAGGTGTAAGTTGAGGAAAGGTGTGCTAACTGGTCGTTGTAGGACATAGTGAGCATGTGGTGCCTTATGCGGCTGAGTATGTGGAGGAGATTATAGGTATAAAGGTATAGAACAGAATATAGAACATGTATATTAGCTTCATTGGCGCATAGCATAGCATAGCATTAGCGTAAGTATTCCGAGACTGATCGAAGTCAGATCAAGTCTTGACAGACAACTTCTCATCCGGCGTCGGTGACGCTCGCGATGTTCCACCACTTTCCTCCCTGTCCACATGAATCGCATTGACCGGCTTCTTCTTCCCCGTGGCATCCAACCACATAGCCCGAACAGTATACACAATACTATTCCTGCCCTCATACAACGGGAAAATCACCACTCCAAACGCAGTGCAAAACAACCAAATGATGCCAACAACAACCCAGCCCGTGAAAAACTTCTTACTAAAGACATACCCTGATCCGTACATGGGCATGGGCCACAAAATCAGCAAACACAATGTCATTATCACGGTGAGTGTGCGTGCATAAAAAGCGGCTCGGTTGAGTTTTCGGGTTTCTTCTTCGGTCATGTCCTGTGCGTTAGTTGTTTCGCCCGGGATCAGTTCTAGATCGACGTGCGCGTCTGCGGCGACGTCGGAGTCGTCAACCTTGCGGATGTTGCGCATTGATTCGTAGTCGTAGTTTTGTTGGCCAAATATAAGAGTAAGGATGGGGATGAAGATGAGCGGGCTGAGGAGGGCGACAACGTTGCCTGCAAGCATGGGGTAGCTGAAAAATGTTAGTCGGGGTCAAGGGAAAGGAACGTTAGGGGGAAACATACTTGGATCCGGTAGTGGTGACGTTCATTTCACCATACAGCGATTTAGTCGTTACCAACCATGCTATCAAAGCACAAGCTAGACCCAGTGGAGGCGACACTGCAGCTGCAACCCAATTCTGGCCATTCCACAATAGACTCAAAGAACCAGGGATAACTGCGGACGAGATGATCACACCCATAAGCAAGTACAAGTATCCCATTCCGACACCTGCATAATAGAGACCCGTAGCAAATCCAGCCATGATCAATGCATAAACAACACAGGCCATATGAGAAATCCACACAAGCCTCTTGCCCTTTGCTGATGGTTGGATGTATGCTTGGAAGATATCATATGTAAACACCGAAGAGACAGCAATCAATTGCGCGGAGAACGCAGAAGTCACGGCCATAAAGACCATCAATGTTGTAGCAACCGCACCGCCGTAGCCCATCATCTGCACTGCGGCATACGGCAAGACAAGACCAGCAGTGACGTCAGTTGAGCTGAGGAGCGCATCTCCCTGCAAAGCGAGCGCCGTCAGCCCCATAGTGGTAGCGCAGAGCCAGGGGATAGCGAACCAACACAAACCCCCGATAACGTATCCGGGGAATGCGTGGACGGGACTAGCGGCAATGGCCTTGTTATAGTACCCATTGTCCAGAAAGACGGTTCCAAAGTTACCAACCAGATTGATGACGAAGAAAATGCCACCTTCGCGAGAATGCATGGTCAGATAACTACCACCGGAGTTGCCATCCACTGGGCGAGCTTTGGCAGCTGCCGTCAAGATATCATACACCTTGCCAGGTGATCCCAATGTGGGGCTCACTGCATATGTATTGAACGCAAATGTGAAAATAATCACGACAATGACAATAGTATGCAGGTAGTCAGTAATAAAAGTTGCTTTAATTCCGCCAAAGACAGTATACAAGACCACACCGATGGGAAGCAAGAAGCAGGCTGCCGGTGTCGACATGCCGGTTAATGCATTGAGCACGGCAGATCCTCCAGTCAACAGCATAGCCGTCACCAGAATGTTAGTCATGAGACAAAACACGATAAACACACAATGCACCACGGTGCCATATCTAGCTCGAATAACTTCGAGAAAAGTGTGAGCATTGGGTGCACGCCGTTTCAATTCAATGGCCAGAGTCGCAAAAAGGAGAATCTGTACTGTGGCACCAGCTGCATAGTAAAATGGACCAGATACTCCGTATTCGTAGGCGACAGTGGACGATTGTAGGAGAGTTGCAGCCCATGTCCAGCTACTGACAACTGCCGACGCCACCAGACCAGATTTGACAGTTCGACCAGCAGTGGAGAACATTTCTGAGGTTTGGACTTCATGCTGGTATCGTTTCAAAGCCCATGTGATGAAGATCATCAACAACGCAAAGGCGAATCCCAGGCCGACCACGATACCGTAGCCAAAGCCCTGGCTGAGAGGAGCAGTAAAGTGAGCCTCGGCCATTTTTGACTTTGCTGATGAACTAGAATAATGCAGAATGAAGTAACATGCTTGGACGATATCAAGACGGAGGACTGATATATATGCCAGGTAGCTAGCTAGCTCCCACACTAAGACCCTGGTCGGAGCCAGACTCCGAAATCGCAGGCATACTTCATAAAGACAAGATCATAGTCGCAATAAATTAATTAAGATGATTTGAAGACTGGTAAGCATGCAGATAGCCATGGTTGGCTAAAGTAAGAGCGCTCATACTACGGCGAGTTCCGACGAGTCAGACGCAGACAAACGTCTCGAAATTGCCAGATCGAGAATACGCTGCTGATAAGGATTTGTCATTGCGATCGAGTCATCGTGTGACGAGCGTCGAGGTCCGGGGAATTAGTCGAGGGAGTTTTGGGCTGGTGGTGAGTTTGTCTATGAAGCTAAGAAAACTGAGTTGTGGGCCTGAGGCTGCAGATCATCCCTGACAGTGTGGAGTGAGAGTTTTGATTGGCTATTGATCGTTCTTATCAGAGAGTATAGTCACGTGATGTCTTAACTCATTACTGATTGGCCGACTCGAGCAAGATAGAGAGATAAGAATGGGCGCTCGGAATGATGCAGCCTCGTATTTCTGGCAGCCACTCCCCTCGCACTTAATTTCCTATCAGGCGCCGGACTCATATTCCCTTATCAAGCTCTATGACCTATGATATATCGTCATGTTGTTCACGTACCAGCATTATGAAATTGTTTGCCGTGATTGCGTTTGGGGGTCATACAAGAGTTCGCGCGCTGTGTAAGGTTCTAGATTCGACCACTTCAACCATCTGCGGAGAGAACGAGCAGAAAGGACAACTCCATTAATGGAATTCATGCGATATAATACAGATTGTAATTTTCCTTTCCTTTCCTTCCCTTCCCACCGTGGCTGATGACTTGCTTGAATGAATTTTGTGCAGCAGACAAAAGAGAAACAGGCTGTAAGCTTCATGATCTTACGAGAACAAAAGCTTCGCCACAATAGCGCCAGGGAATGGTATTTCAATCGGATACAAGAAGGTTCGGAAAAAGTGGGATCGAGAAAAAGGGGTATTTGTGTGAAGCAGATGAGGTAATATCTGCGAAACAAGAAGTATGGTAGAACGGACTGGCCTGGCGTAAATAATCCGTTCGGTGATTGGTAAGCAATCGACGAGTATTATCGTTATTTATGAAGAGAAATTGCGAGTGATCTTGGCGATAACTGCACAAACATCAGCCCAACATCCATATACCTCATAATTTTTTAAAGAAACATACCATGCAATCCAACAACAGAAAAGATAAATCCCAAACTCAATACCAAAACAACGACAGGGTCAACTCTGAGACCAGGGCTCTCATCAGTGTAGAGCTTCAACATAGTCCCCGAAGAACCACCGGCACCAGCAGCACGGGTAGATGCTGGCCGCGCATTACGCAGCGATTCCTTGTGGTCGGCAGCAGCCCGGCGACGAAGAGCAGTACGAGGACCACCGGGGGGAGTAGGTGATGAAGGACGGTTGGCGGCCGAGCCAGATGAGACGGCGGCACCCCCAGATATGGCGGATTTGCTGTCTGGGCCAGATTCGGTGCCGGATGCAAGAGGAGATGAAGCACGGGGGGATGCCTGTATGCACATAGATCAATTAGCGATGGATAGTTCTCAATTGCTCCTTCGGGCGATGGTTCGTCTGTAACCCCTTCAACTGTAGTTGCTGAGGACACTATGGATGCCATGGGCCAATGATGTATCGGTGACTGCTTACCATTGTTATAGCAAGTCTATATTGTTATTTATTATATGAATTGACCGCAAAGGAGTGACGAGAAGGAAAAACTGATGATCGATAGATGTAACAGTGAATGGGGACGTCGTGGAATTTGAGGTTGGCAAAAGGCCACGGGTCACGCTCCGGGGGACGCTAGTCGTTTCTGGTTAGACCAATATGTTAGATGTGACCCACTCATGGGATGTCTCATTTGGCTTCTCATTTCTCGGTCTACAACAGAAGGAAACAATTCGATACAAGCTATTCTTGTATCGCTCTTGTCAACTAATAGTGGGTTATGCGGGCTCAGTTGTCTTAGCTGGTATTGTGATTGTGATACTGCAGATGTATCAACGCAGAGGTGGAGGATAGATCTCGGTCAGGGACATGCGCTTCGGGATCTACTACAACAGAGATCACTATCGAGAATGCGGGACGAGTCTGTCTTTGAGTCTGACCGTGTCCCATTGTGACTCTGTACTGCTCCGAATACCTACATTTGCTCATAGTCCTGCAAGGAGAATGCAGAGTATCACAAGATATGGAAGATATAGATCTTGCAGTGACGATCTTTCAGAACTGAACAGACAGAGTCCAAGGCTACAGATGATATCTATGCCACTACGCTTGGCCTATGTCGGTGCTTGCTCCTGGTGTTGAGCCTTTGGGTGGAAAGTGTCAGAAAGACCCAGCTGTATGACCACCTTGAACGGTTACTCTCGGAATCCACAAGTTGCTCCAACCGCCCACCGCCCCAGGATGATCTGGGCACTATGTTTGGTCACTGTTTTCAGTGAAAACCGTATGCATTTTCCCAACTACTATTGTACTGTTATGAGTCACTCGGTAACTGATACCAGCCTTGCTTCGATCTCTTACCACGATTGAACCTTGCAGTCTGCTGCAGAAGAGATTTATAGTGCTATTAATTGTGGCTATCTGAACATATACGAAATACGTGATCATATAGATGGTCATGATTGGTAATCACCATGTAACAGCTTCAACCCTGCTTCGGCCTGGTTTGCTTCGATCAGCGAATTCGCCAAACTGGTGAGATCCTACGACGTGCAGTAAGAGGGAACCTATGATGTCAATCCAATCTTCACTCTATGAAACTATAAAGGTGTGATGTGAATGGGTATGGCTTCCGCGGTGTTCGGAATGAAGTCGAGCGAGTCTAAATGTTTAAACCCAGCTGCTCCCCGATCTCACCATCCATTCCATCATCAATATCATCAATAATTGCATTCATCCACTGTTCAAGACTATTGGCATCATGAAGCTCAAAGCAGCAACTCTTCTCGCCGTGATTCTGGGTATTACCGCTCCAGTCAGCGCTGATTGCGAGCCAGGCAAACAAGAAGGAGTTCTCACCGGCTACAACGAGGAGTACCAGTGCAACACCTACCGCACGGGAAGGCTGCACTAAAACATCGACACCATTCAGCAGTGTGCGCAAATCTGCAAGGATGCAGGTAGCACTCACTGCTCCTATGGCCCCAGGCAGAAGCAGTGCGTCGTGGGCGATGAAAGTGGACGAGATGAGGTTCGCTCTAGAGTCTATTACATGAAAAAGAAACTTGAAGACAATCCCCTCCCGGGGGGCGAAGATGGAGACGGCGAGCCCTTTCCCGAGGACTGCGAGGCCGACAAGGAGGCTTGCGAAAGCGAGAAAGCGAAATTGGACTCCAAGCTGAAGGACTGTGAGGACAAACGCATAGCCTCTGCTTTCTCATTCAACTCCACAGTGTGTGTAAGTTGAGCAGATTTTCTGGTATCTTACTACTCAGAATAGCTAATCGTATTAATAGGCCGTGACGCCAGAAAGGAGGTCAGCGTTAGTGGCAATACTTACAGATCTTCAACTGCTTGGAGCGAATATAGTATTCTACCCCTAACCTGAGCCTAACTAATCAGTAATTCAGGGAATGATAATACTGCAATAGCCCCATCGCTAGTACCATATCATGTTTCTCGCTATAAAAGGAGCTTGTATCTTAGTTACACAGGCCTTAAAGAAGTATTATACATACATATACGTATCTACTACTTGCTTCCTATTCCAGCCCTTTATTCGGATACACGGCGCCACTTTCATATGGCATATCGGTCTCTAAGGTGCGTATTCCCAATTTCTCTGCTTCTTCGTAGCTGAACGTGCCGAACTTTAGGCAGTTTAGTGACATGCATGCACAATAGGAAAGGAGTTGCGCAAAAACTTACAGTATCTGTTACATCAAAGGCACCAAGGCCAGGTGGCGGAGACACCTTATTCAGCACATAGTGCAAGGTGAATGAAATAACGTAGCCACATAAAAATCCGGTGTAAGTAGCTTGAGTCAACCCAATCGGGATGTTGTCCGCTGTTTTTGGGTTTAAACTGGCCAGGCCTGGGAGGAAAGGCGCTGTGCCCACAAGCCAGGAAAGGAAACCTCTCCAATTAACACCGTGCCAAAACCAGTATATGCTTTGAGAAGATGGTTGGAAGAGGTCAGTTAATTTGACCTTTTGGTGGCGCACGAAGAAGTAGTCGCAGGTGAAGACTGCAATTAAGGGGCCGAGGATGACTACATACAACTTCTTAGAGGTTTTGCCTGCATAGAAAACCGACAGACACTTACCTCCGAAACTGGAAAGAACTGCGGTAAAAGTTGTAGCCTTTGCTATGATTTGCCAGGGCTGAATCAAAATTGACACGATCATGAAAAGTACGAACCCCGTCGAATATTGATATACCGGGGGAGGAGGCCCGCGGCATCCATACCTCCGGATATTCCGTTTTCAACTGTATTAATGGCCACCATCGAACATGTCAATCCCAGAGAGACAAAGAAGGTTGCAGCGCGAATCTTGGGGTTATGATAGTCTCGGTCTAGCCAGGTTTGAATGATGTTTGGTGGGTTCCATAGTACCAACTCCGTCACATCTCCATACAGCTTGGACGCCGCCGATGTGCCCAGTAGCCCGAAAACGGGGATGACATTTCCAAAGAACAGCAGGGCAAATATCTGGCCCTTAAATTGATTGCCTGGACGACGCGCAAAGCGAGAGAAATCGCATTGACTCGTTGAGCCAACTACTGTGCCTCCAATGACGGTTGTAATTCCATGAATCCACGCCCAGCCTAACTGGGATCCGCCGTTGACGGTGACCCCTGTGTGCACCAGTGGTCCGGCACCACCAGCCGCGGCCATTAGGCCGATTGACATTCCAATCAATGTAATGGCACTGATTGTCAGCGTATAACGAAAGGGAATGCGAAGTTTATGGGGCGGTATGTAGAGGAACGGGATGCAAACTACAGTTAACAGTAAGCAGTTGGAACTATTCCCAGAAAGCCAGAATGAGGGACGCACTGATGTTGAAAATCACAAGCCCGATAAACTCCTTGGTTGTCATACTGGCTGATGCAGGGAGGGTATTCTCCATGTTCTGATAGCCGGAGAATATGGACGAAAGAAGGGTGGAGACGAGTTGGCCACCAGTGAATGCCTGAACTCCGAACCAGACTGCATTATATTAGCATCGGTCTGAGTTACCTAATAATCATCTATTACTCACCACAGCACAGACAGACACGTATGATCAGCGGGACATAGGACCCCCGTAGACCGAAGGATTGACGCGCATTAACTGAAAAGCCAATATGCCAGACTGCGCCGATCCTAATGTCGATTTGTTAACATAGATAGTAAAGGAAGAAGTGGCGAAGACAAGCCATCCTAAGCTCAACACAACTGCGATCTGGATCAACTTGGCCACAAAGTTACAGACTATCGCCTGCCAAACGCTGAGGCCCATAGACAGCAGCGCGGAAACGCCCTGCCAGCCAAAGATGGTCACAAAAGCAGTACTCCAAAGACCGACGAAGTCGAGGTCTTTCCATGTTCGGAGGTCTGCCATGGATTTTCAAACATTAGCAATCCAGCTTTATCCTCATTCTTTACAACGCGTACCGACAGGCAAGGGGGTCAAATCCAGGTTCTTCCAGTGATTGGGCCCGCCACCCCCCTTAAGCTGGAGGGCAGCGTTGATGCTGCTCCAAACACCCATTTTTCATATGCCGAGTTCAGTCCGGTGTAGGTGTACATAGTCCAGCTACAGCATCGTGGAGGCTACTTATTTGTTTTGCGTAGGGCTGCGGAAACGGTTCCAAGTTCAAGGCAATTCAAGCACGCCATATGCAGTGATGATTAGCCTTACAAGAGATTCCACATCAAAGTTTTCAGGGCTATCTCGGCACCTTAGGTTCTGTTTCTCGGTGAGAACTGCGGGTACTGTAGCCAAAGTGTCGGAAAAATTCAATATAGCTTCAACTTTAAAGAAAAGCCAGGACTCTGGCGTGATTCAGTCCAGGAATGACCTATATCGTTGGATAAGGACAGTGCCAAATCCAAGTCTTTGCTGTCAATAAGCTATTTCTTCTATCTAACAGCATTAGACTTCATCATGCGTACTCTGGTTGGCATTGACGTCGGTGAGTACCTAACATATCAGATATTCTATATTTACTGAAGCCAATCTTGATTCCAGGCGGCACAAACACAGATGCCGTATTGATTGATGCGGATACAGCTCCCTCGGACCCAACGGGGAGCATCCTAGCGAGCTGCAAAACACCCACAACACGCCACGTTGGCGATGGCATTTCTCAAGCTCTGCAAAATGTCCTAGAGCAGTGGACTGGTGAGGAACGTCGCAGGATTGTTGATAGCTTAGTCAGGATCACCATTGGGACAACGGTAAATCTCTGCCCCTGAAAATCTAGGTAAACTATAGCACCTACCTAACTAAAAAAGCAATTCCTGAATGCAGTCGTTGAACGTGACTCGCAAAAGCTTTCTCCAGTTGCCCTCTTACGTCTGTGCGGACCTTATACTCGCGAGTTGCCCGGCTTTGCAGGAATCCCGCCAGAATTGCGGCGAATAATTGAGGGCACCACTGTGTACCTTTCTGGTGGTTTAGAGTGTATGTTCCTGAGAAGCACAACCTGGAATGACCGAATATTAACCCAGAGGACAGACAACGGAAACCTCATTGAGCCCCTAGATGAGGCCGAAATCCGGCGTACAGCAGCAGAGTTACGGTCGCGCCAGCTGTTGAATGTCGCTATCGTTGGCGTTCATACATCAATTGACTTCACATTTCAGCAAGAGGAAACAGTAGAGCACATATTAAGAGAAGAACTCGGTCCCTCTGCGATTATCACGTTGTCCCGTGACATAGCTGGTCTTGGCTTGTTAGAAAGGGAGAACGCGACTGTCATCAACGCGGCCTTGAGGCCATTGGCAAAAGTCACTGTTTCGAATTTGACACAGTCTCTGACTGCCTTGGGGATTCGGGCACCTGCGTATGATCCCTCATACGAACATGCTAACTAGAACATCCCAGATTCTTCACTCAGAACAATGGCGCCCTTATTTCAGCTTCTGAGGCTAAGTGCTTACCGATTCTTACCTATCTGTCTGGACCGATCAACTCCCTAACTGGGGCCGCTTTCTTGTCCCGCGGACAAGGTCCATTCCTCAAGGACGTCGTTGTAGTAGACGTTGGGGGCACGAAAACTGATACCTGCGTTCTGCAACCTACGGGCCTCCCACGTCCTGCAGCAGCCTTCTCCCTATTATCCGGTGCTCGAACAAACTTTTCCGTCCCAGACCTTCGTAGTATAGGTCTCGGGGGCGGTTCGATCATTCACGTCGATGAAAAGACGGGGAATGTCAGGCTAGGCCCGGATTCTGTCGGGTATCAACTAGAGACTCGGTCCAGAATATTTGGCGGCCCTGATCTCACTGTCACTGATGTGGTGGTTTCGGCGCAAAGACAATCGCCAATTCTGTTGAAGAGCACCGCAAAATCAATTGAGGTTGCCCCGGATGTTTTGCGTAAAGTGGAAAAAGAGATTACACGCTTACTAGAAACTGTTGTCGACGAAAGCAAAACAGAAGGAGGTCCAGTGAATATCATTCTGGTTGGCGGAGGCACATTCCTAGTCTCATCGTCTATCCCAGGCGTGGGCCGTATTTACCGACCTAACTATGGGCACGTTGCAAACGCAGTCGGTGCGGCCATGGCGCGCATGTCTCATAAGATCGACCAGATTGTATCTATTGGCCTGGAAACGACGGAGGAGAAAGTGTTGTCACGCCAATGCGATCGCACTATTGAAGAAGCTCGACTCAGGGGTGCGTTGAACCCGCAGATTGTGGAGAAAAGAACCATGCCTCTTTCATATTCTTCAACCAGAAAAGTGAGAATTATCACTACCGCTGTTGGAGATGCTGCGTTGAGTCCTTCCACAGAGGATAACGAAGATAATGAGACCGAGTCTCCAGTCGCGCTATCACGAGCCCCTATCCCGTCAGAAGACCAGGCAATTACTACAGAGAATGAGCCTGAACCCACAAAAAATGCAAGTACATATCGCCCGTCCGTTGTCTCTGGGAGATGGAAACTTTCTCAAGCAGATCTGTATTTTTTATTCGAAGGATGCGGCATTCTAGGATGTGGCATTCTAGGATGTGGAGGCGGAGGTGACCCCTACCCGAGCTTTCTTTCTTCACTGGCCTTACTCAAAGCAGGACAGTCTGTATATGTTGTAGATCCAGGCACTATTCCCGCCAACGGGGCCGTGCCTGCAGTTGGATTCATGGGGTCACTAGATATACTGTCCGAGCGTTTTCCTTCTGGAGAGGAGTGAGTTGCCAGGCCATGCAATGAGTGTCCTTCATACTAAACCGGATATCAGGCTTAAATACTCGGTCCAATCGGTCACGCCACAAGGCATGGATTCTATATCAGGTGTTATTTCGTTGGAAATCGGAGGGTCAAACGGCTGTTAGTTTTGAATTCCCCGATTTCATCAAAGTTTAAGATGCTTACTACAACAACAGTCCGCGGGATCCAAGCAGCTGCATGGACACAAATACCCGTAATTGACGCAGACCTCATGGGTCGTGCATACCCTAACCTATGGCAGACGACTCTGACTCGAGCGGGCATCCCAATAACGCCGTGTGCTGTATCTGATGCAAAAGGAAACACGCTAATCCACCACCGCGCAGCGAGCCACCAGGCAGTTGAAAATTTCCTTCGACCTCTATGCGCTGAAATGGGGTATGTTAACTTGACTTCCTAGCTTGCATGTGGCACGAAGCTAACATTACCGTAGAAATGCGGCGGGCACCTCTTTCGCGCTACTGAATGGAGACCAGATTCGGTCGAGTACTGTCCATCATTCACTGTCTCTGGCATGGAGAGTAGGGCGCGCAGTATACATTGCCCGCCAAGAGAAAACCGGTGTGGTCGCTTCTATCCTAGCAGAATATCCTGGGCGACTCATATTCACTGGAAAGATTGTTCAGGTTAAGCGCGATATCAGCGGGGGTTTTAGTCGAGGGTTCATAGACCTTGTGAGATCTCACGCAATTGAGAAAGACGACGAGCCTGTTCGCGTAGAATTCCAGAATGAGAATCTCCGCGTCACTACTCTCCAGGGCAAGAAGACCCTGACCGTTGTCCCTGATCTCATCACGGTTCTTGATAGCGAGACAGGAAGTGCGGTAGGAACACAGGATTACCGATACGGACTGCACGTTTTCGTGATTGCCTTGGTGGCTTCGCCACAATGGTCTGAACAGGAAGGGTTAAAGATTGGTGGACCAGCGGCCTTTGGGTGAGTGTATCTTGTCCTCGGTGATGAGTTGCAAGAAGTTTGACTAATCTCTTTGAACAAGACTGCCCGACGAATATGTCCCGGTTGCTCAGTATAGACCCGTAGAATCTGTAATATCCGAGTACGAAGACAAAAGGGGGTAGCTCAGAATGCCGTGAAAGTTATCTATATCCCTCGGGCTTTTGGAAGTGCACCGTACGAAGTTGTAAATACTATCAAGTAAACATCGTCTAACGAGTCAATACCTATACTTAAAATCAGCCTTTAATGGCGTTATCACAATGGGTCATCACGCAAAAACATCATTCAAATTTTCCGGAGACTTCGCCGATTATACGAGCCCCATACTTATACTATATACCAGGACTGAAGATTCTCCCATTGAAGGTTTCCCAAAACCTATTCAACATGGTGGTGGCCGAATTAACTTCGCTATCCGCTTACCAGGAGGAGCTCCAAAAGCCAGGAGTCGTGGTAATTGACTTTTATTCACCATCATGCGGTCCCTGCAAAGTGAGTATTTGATAATATCTTCTCTTTCCTAGGGACTCTATCGGATCTAACCAGTATGTAATGCCAGGTCGTGGCTCCTCTTTTCGATAAATTGGCCACTGAAGCAGTCAATGCCCACGTCAGATTTTTCAAAGTACGTTTAACTCCGCTCTGCTTAACGAAGTATCCGTGCTGATAGTGTACAGGTCAACGGGCTAAATGACCAAGGCTCAAAAATCCAAGAAGCTGCTCAAGTCGTCTGGTGGCCGACGTTTGTAATATATAAAGAAGGGCAGGAGCAATGGCGTGCCAAAGTGCCGAATCCGCCTGATCAGCATCCCATCGCGGGTTTAACGAGTGCATTAGAGAAGGCGAGATAGATGGATGGGAAAAGGATCAATTCCTCAATGCGCTGACTACCAGTATATTGACAACACCATCGGTCGTAGAAGGGCATTTATTTTCTATTTTGTAATTGAAAAAAGAAATCGAATAATACAGAAATCGATCGCAGCCATCAGAGTAAGGGTATAAACAAGGGTGTGGTATCATAGTATCAAAAAAATCCGTCAGATCAGTCAAAACTGGTGAGCCGGTCGCCAGATTGGTTTGTTCATTTGCAGTGAATTCGCAGAGTATTCAAGGGTATATGTATGTTATTTACGTGTTGTTCTTTGGAAAGCGCTGCACACCATGCTGTAGACGGTAAATATGTGCTCTCCGAGGGATCGTAAAATCAATCAATCATCATGCGGCTAGGGACGCCTTCTCCAGGGACTCTGGTACCCAACTCGGTGGCCTTTTCGTCGTCGGTAGACTTGCGTGGTCTCATAACATGTGGTTTGAGTCCCTTGTGGAAATTGATTGTGCACGCGATGGCGTTGGCGATGGTTGCCAGAATCAAAAGGATGGTGATGACGGCGAAAAAGGTCAATGATCGCCGAGCGGCAATGTACTCTGGGGCTCTGGATGGTTGGTACATGCGTACGAGCTTGAAGAGGAAGTAGGCCAGGCCACCGAAATAGAGTAGCTGTTTAAGTAAGCAAGGGGTCTGGGCAACGGGTTTGTGGTGTAAGAGTCGAAACTTACAATGACAGCGCACATGCCAAGCGTGTTCTCTCGTCTGGTAAAGTATGCCGCAAAGAAAAGAATCAATATCGTCACTGGAATAGCGGCTAGAGTCAAGGCAAACTCGACGTCGGTTTTGCCAGTTACGATGACGACGAATTGGACGGTAAATCCTAAGAAGAAGAAGAAATCAAACTTCAACAAGGCGATGTAAATCTGGGCCAAGTTAGCGAAATGAACCTATGATGGGCGACGAGAAAATACCTGATAAGTCAGATAGCGTCGCTTCATTCGCAAATCGGCACTGATGTGTTTATAGATGGTCCATGCGAACTCATCGTAGAGTTTCCAGGCCACAAATATCAAGAAGGTCGAGGAAAATGCGATTATACAAGGAATCGCGATCATGATCCCTTTGGTCTGACGCCAGAGATTTTCCTCCTGGGTTGCCTGCTCAATCTGCAGACCACCGTAGATGAGCAGGCCGATGTTGCAGAAACATAGTCCAATGATTTGAATTGTGTTTTTGAGACGCAAGGCATCGTAGACCAGAATTAACTCGTAAACGAAACCGAAAATGTACAACGAAAGAAAAGTCGGGATAGTCTTTGAGGAGCTGGCGGAATCGGAGAAGGAATGGAGATGAAGCTGGAAATCGGCAAATACATAGCTACATCCAACATTAATACTCCTGAACAATATCGAGTCCCCAAGGCACAGAAAACTTACGCTTCCAGACCGAGAATAACAGCTGCCTGGATCACGGCAGTCATGACAAAGAGCCATGTCCACTTTGAATTTGGAAGATACATCCTGCTCACTTGTTCTGATCCATGGACCTGCCTATAACCTTGACGTTCCGGAAAAGGACCTGTCGAAGCACGGAAAGAGGTATCGTAGGCTCCTCCGAGCAACGAGGCTCGGGACTGCGATGAAGGAATTTTGGAAACTTGCTCCGCCGACACGGAGCCGGATCCGTTGAAAGAGACGTTTAGAGTGGAAGAGGCCGTTTTGGCGGTTAGTATATCCTGCCCACTGAGTCGAGTGAGACAGTCCCAGTTGATGATATAATAATTGTTGCAATTGTGTCAGGCTGTCAGGAAGAGATGATGTTCGTCCTTTGTTGACAGGTTGTAGTTCTGGCGTGGACCGATGAAACGGCAGTATGGAGCACACAGCGGTCGGGGACTCTCTATGCGGGGAGATGCCAATGCCAACCAAGAAAAGACTGAGACAAGGTTCGAAGTGAGCGGGTGACGATACAGCAATTTGATGTTGACTGCTGTTCGAAATATCACTCAACAGCAGTGAATGCAGCGCAATAGATGGGGTGAGGTTGATAGCGATGGACAACGACAGACTGGCTAGTGAATTATTAAAAGTAGAGGATGGAGAAAAGTTTTGGACAGAGCTAGATGCCTCACTGCCTCAGGCCGGGGGTTCAGTGGGTCCCGTTCCACTCTCTGTCTGATGTTCCTGGATCACTGATTTCCATGTATTAACTCAACCAATTTATTGAATATCGTTTGTTATGCGATCGGAATACAGACAGCATCAGCCTTTATAGATACTCCAGATGCAAGAGCGTCTCAGAAGACGTGTAACACAGGTTGGCGTTGGAATGTCGAACCCGGTCTTGCGGGAGGCTGAGACAGTCGGAGTGACATCTAATCAGAGTCCTAGAAAATCGCTGTCTTAGTCTGCATTGACTTGCGACATTTATTATGAGGTGAACCATGTCAACATGCCAAGCCAGCGAGGTCGGGATTTGCTGGAATCCTGAATACATAGTACTCTGTGGAGGAAACCCAGATGAAGCATGAATCCATTCAGCCACCAGTCCAGTCTGTATGGTGAACTATGGTCTGTCAGTCTGGGCAAGGCTGAACTGTGCCTCGCTCCAGCCTCCTCACGACTTAGCCACTTTACCTAACCTACTTCAGTTTCCCAGACCTGCTCTATTCTGTACTCCGTACAACATGGAATTATTAATTATTCAAAATAGTTAACCTAATTCTAATATCTTAGCAAAAGAAAAGAACTGTCACATTTCACAGCGTCCCCCTTTTCTTAATTCATGTGTCACGTGTCACCTCGATGCTGAGAAGAGTCACAAGACCCACTATGAATGCCTGAGGCAGCCATATTTATATGTCGCTAGAGCGAACCAATCAAAATTTATAGCAGAAAGGCGGTCACCACATAGCCGGCAGAAAAATACCACACTACAAAAAAAAAAGCACAGCTGACTCGCTCACCTTCCTTCTCTTTTCTCTTTTCTCTTCTCTCAAGCGTCGCCCCCTTCAATGCTGCGTTTCTTTGCTACAAACAACAGAAGTAAAGCCAGTCCTCGGACTTCTTTACACACTGTTTTATCAAAATGCAAATGAGAAATTCGGAGTATTCTTCAACCTTTCCATCGACTCTTTCTCTCTATATAGAGAGAAATGAGTCGAGCTGCCCGTGAGGGTCCAGCGCGATAGGTAGCGCTCGCATAGTGTTTACACTTTAAACGGCATCAGAAACTTCGAGGGATTTTTTTCCCTCATGGGAGAGCCGGTGCGAAGATTGTGTGTATACAACACTTTAGTGCAATACGCAGCATATCCCGACTCGTTCTCTTTTTTCTGCCGGTTCAAAGTGTTACTCCTTTGTCATGAAGGACCTCTTTTGAGCGGGTGGATTGGAGGATGGGATATCATTCGATTCCGATTATTCTGTTGGGGGCGACGCTTCACCCTTTTTTTTTTCTAATGTGAGTTTGGTCTATTTATTGTTTGAGCGGGGTGTTTTCTTCGCTAGGAGATCTTTGCCAGAATACTACTAATTATGTTGTGATACCAAGGGCCTTTGTATATAATTTATCTGCACATGTATAGCATGAGCAAACTCGACACTTATGACCCAGCTGTGATCTCAGTCTTTTCGTCTGATCTACTCGTAATAGTCGATGCGCCAGACCTGATGTAAGCCAGCATACGTACATGGCAGTGACGCCCTCATTACTGATGTAATTGAATATGGAATATTGATACACTTCTAAATCTTCCATTACCAGTATTCATGAGTAGAATCAACCAGATAAAGCGCCAAATGAAATATCATTGCGCCTCAGATTATAGAAACAACAGGTTGTTCGTAACTAGCGGCCTGGTCTGGATCACGATCAACGCTCGATACGGACCATTTCCTTCCACGGTCACCAGTCTTTTGAAAATATCGTAGAATAACCATTACGCCGATGCGGAAATGAAAGCAATTAGTCCTCCTCACCAATCTGTAGCAGAAGTGTTAGTGAGGCTTTGTCAGAATACAGACGGATGAGACAGACCTTGGGAGCAAGAAAGAACCGCAAATGACCACTGGCAGCACTGCCAGAACTGCCTGAAAGACTATATTCCACCTGCAGAGGCACTTCCTGAGACAGGCAGAGCTTAACTTGATGCGAGAGAGCGGTGGCCTTGCAGAAGTTGACAAGGTACTTGAGAGAGAAGGTCAGAGCCACAGGCTCGGTGAGTTGGATAGAGACGTTTTTGTTTGGGTCCTCAACATTGGTGTGTTGGCGGATGGTCACGGCGCCGTTGCCGATATCACCTTGGCAGGAGAATTTGATTCCTTCCTTTGTGGCCTCGATGACAACTGAAAGAAATATTAGTATCAACTCAAGGAAGGGAGAGAGCAGAAAACATACCAGACTCGGATAACGCATTCAAATCCCGGCAGATACGCTGAAACTCGACAGAAGGCATTTCAACTGTAGCGGCATAGTCTGTCTCGGGAATAGCCAGATGTTCTTGATCAATATCCATAAGCTTAATATCATACTCGCTCAGACGATCGGTCTCGGAGCTCTCGAACATAAGGTTGACCACGTCTGGAGAATCCTCTGCCTTCACTGTCAAGATATCTTCATTCTGAGCGGCTCGTAGAACCTTTGTCAGCGAGAGAAGGTTGATACCCAGAGCGACGGTACGATCGCATCGGTATGGGCTGAAAGCCTCTGCGTTCAGGAGCATGGACACAAGCGCGACGTGTGAGTTGTCCATGGCTTGGAGAGCGATTCCGGAATCATTACAGTCAAAGTTGCAGTCTTGAACGAGGTCTTTGATGGCATCGACGACCTGTTTTTATCGTGGTCAGTGTATCTCTACCACTGTTTAAGAGGGATACATACCCGTTTGAGGAGGCCAGCCTGTTCTAAACGCGCTTCAAACACTGCAACACATTAGTCTTCAATACTGCACGCGATCAATCAGGAATTCAACCAACTTTTGAATGTGCTGTTCTGTGTACGAGGCGTAACTTTGCTTCGTGATTATCTCGAGAGATTTGATTATGATGATGGAAGAAATCAGGTTGTAACTTGAGGTGAATAAGAGACTCGAGACAGGATAGTGTGTAGTAATTGAAAGTTGGAGTGTAGTGTAAAGAAATCACTGTGAGGGGCGCGTTGGTGGGGATTATATTGGCCTGTGTGACGCGTTTCGCGTCGTTCCTATGTTACCCTTTTCAGCCTAGTGTATTGTGCTGTTATTGGCCAATCTAATTTGTACTCTCTACACATCTTCACATCCTCATCTCAACCTCAATGTTTATTTTGTTAAAGACTTTTATCACGAAGAATAATTTGTTGACCAGTTACGCCAGTCACCTAAGCCTGAATGACTTCAAAAGCTGAAGAAATGGAGGAGAGCACTGACTATGCTGCCTGTTTAGCTTGAGCCTCTGCGCTATCCTATGGCCAATCAGGTTCATGACTCCTCGACCTTCAGTAGAAGGAGGAGGGAAGCAAGTCTAGAACCAGGGTATCCGATCTGTCTGTCTAGTCCATATGGTCTTTGAATTTCATCAGAAATATGACGCTATTTCATGTTGCGCACAGTTACCTTCAAGCACAGCCTCACCTCCAACAGGGGTCACTAGATGCAGCCATTCAGAGCTTGCATTGAAACAACACAGCCCGCTCTAGTGCAGTGCAACATCGATTGATGATCATGGTATCTGCACTAGCCATCCTTCAATCTAATATCAAGCAGTGCAGGAATCAAATTCTCGGACAGCTTTCTCGCAATAAATAAAGATCAAGGCTGTCAATGGTTGATGTTTCTCTTCTACCACCATCGGCAAGATGGATCCTCTGTCTGCCTTGGGTGCTATCAGTGGAGCGCTTCAAGTCGCTCAAATCATTGGCCAGACCATCGCCGGTCTCTCGTCTCTTCGAGGAAAATACCAACATGCAGACCTCACCATTCGTTCAATGATAGGCGAATTATCTACAATCAAATCTGCGATCACTCAATTGTACGACTGGACAAAATACAATGTAGAAGTCAATTCGAGTCACAGAGAATATGAAGATTCTCTCGCTGTCGCAATTGACAGTTGCAGTGCGATTATGGAAGTGATTCGGGACAAAGTTGCTGAGCTGACTGCTGCCAGTGCGACTGGACAAGCCAATATGCCCACTCTCACATTTAAGGCTCGCATTCAATTGCTATGGAATGAAGATCTAATGAGAAACCTTGAAGAGCGATTACATAGCCAAGTTCGTGCCCTTAACCTGTTGTTACAGGCCTGTCAATGGTAAGATTTGTATGAATCGGTTCTACGATCCTTTCTGATAATCATAGTCGGTCTTCGACAGAGCAATTGGAACTTCTCCGGAAAGTGGAAAGTCGACACATAATCCAGAAAGTGGCCGACGATACTGTGACTCTTCGGAGTACGATCAGCAGTGTTGCTAGCTCTCAAGTTGACAGCCTTTCAATCAACAGCCGGAGGTTGTCGTCTGTTGGTGATACGGAATTTGAATTTGATAGCACTTTGATGGCTACTCTCCCATATCAGCGTCCGCGGGTGCAGTCTCAGGTTGTTCAAATGCAACCAATTCTGCCCCAAGTTGAGGCGAATATAGACTTCGAATTGCGCCGAGGAGTGTCTATCAGCACATCCAATTCGGCGAGCGACGAAGGTTATGCCAGTAACAACGTCACACCGAGCCAATCACTGTCACCGAATACATCGCTACATAGAGGCCAATCTTTAGGCCCAAATGATTTGATCATGCTAAATCACGGGCGCAGTAAAAGCGTATCCTTTGGAACACAACAGACGCAGCAAAATCCTGATGTCCGTCGTTGGGTGTCTACCAGTGACGCTACTACATTGCCCTCCACCATAGGGTCAAAGCGAGAGAAGTTTTTGTCGAAGCTGAAACGGCTAAACACATCTAGTCGAGCAACACTATCACCCTCACTGCGCAATGCAACCATCAACCCCATTGTAGGATCAACAAGGGCCCGACGAGGCCGTGAAAGCGGATTTACCACGAGCATCGATCTGAATACACAAACTGGACGCAGTGCCCCAGACATCGTCAAAGCAGCACAGTCTGGTGCACGCTATGATGTTGAACGATTGCTAGGAAACGGTCATGATATTGAAGAGATTCATCTACATACCCGACGTAATGCCCTTATGGTCGCCGCCCATTGTGGTAAGGACGATATTGCTGCATTGTTGGTTCAGAACAATGCGCAGCTGAACCGCTCAGACGCATCAGGTTCGACGGCGCTTCACCTCGCAGCATCTCGTGGTCACGTTAGCGTTGTGGAGCTCCTTGTCATGGAAGCAATAGATATCGAGGCGGAAACCCGGCTTGGAAGAACAGCGCTTTGGGTTTCAGCCAACAACGGACATTGGCACACAACGCATACATTACTTGAAAGCCGTGCAAAAGTGAATGCTCGAGCTGATAATCAAATGACTGCCCTGCACGTCGCGGCTCGACAAGGAGATGTCGAAATTTCCAGGTTGTTAGTGAGTTACGGTGCAGATATTGATGCAAGAGATGCGTCCATGATGACAGCTCTACATTATGCATGCGAAGGTGGCTATGTAGACGTCGTGGAACTTCTGCTCAATAATAAGGCGGACATAGACGGCGCGGGGAGTGAACGGAAAACGCCACTAATATGCGCTGCAGCGAACGGGAAGCTGATGGTTGTCCAGATGCTTCTGAGACGGAAATCGAAATTCAGAGCTGTGGATGAGGGTGGTATGACCGCTCTTCATTGGGCCGCTTATAACGGACATGTTGACATTGTCGATTACCTGGCCAGTCAGTCGCGCAGTTTCCTGGTATTAACCAATAGACAAGGGAGAACTCCGCTGCATCTTGCAGCTATGAATTCGCAGTTCGCTGTCGTTGAATTACTAGCCCGGAAAAATTGTGTTCTGTATGCTAGATGCGCGGCTGGTCTGAATGCATTGCATTACGCTTGCAAGGCGGATAGCATTGAAATTGTCCGGCTGCTTCTCACATATGGAGTGGACATTGAGAGCGAGATCGCTGTCACGCAGCAAAGACCAATTCACATATCAGCAGGCGAAGGATCGGTAGGATTAGTCAGACTGCTGTGCGAAAAGGGCGCATCTCTAGAAGCTCGAGACGCCGAAGGAGATCGAGCATTATGCGTGGCTACTAGACACGGCCATGTAGCGGCAGTACAGACTTTATTAGATTTCGGTTCTCCATTATATCTCCGCTCTGGTGTTCGATCTTGCGACTCGCCGCTCTGCTTGGCTGCCAAGGGCGGCCATTTACCAGTTGTCGCGCTACTTATCAGAAGCGGAGCACCTGTCTTGAGTAAAGATGAATTGGGATGGACACCATTTCGCTATGCAGCATGCTATGGACATCCAGAGATATTAGAGGCGATACTCGCAGCCGAGCCGTCAGCGATGTCTCCTCTAGAATCTACTAATTTCTCGCCGGATACGGTTGGCATGGCTTCGGGAAGATTAGAATTTGCCCCAGACGCGAATATCTCAGCAGATCGGAAGAGACGAGTAACGGAGATACTCAGTCGGTCACGCCAACCATGGACAGATGGAATGTTGAGATCTCCAGCTGGAAATGCGATCACTCCTGCCCCTCGTGTGGAGTCCGACTATGACCATTACACTGTTTCAACGCCAACTCGTCCTGCGAATGCACATCGTCGTACTCTCTCGATGACACCTAATATTCCAGCTCCGAGCGAACTACCTGGGACTTTGGAACAGGGTCTTCCGAGTAGTCGATCCGCGACACCGCCTCACATGCACCGAGGTGAACAAGAAGCTACCGCCACGTTATCTGCTGTTTCCAATCAACCCAGAGTCTTTACCCAAGACACCCCATCTCAAGGATATCAATTTCACACCTTCAATCCTTCTACAATCTTACCAGCCGACAGACTAGCACAATCATTAGCCCAACTAAATTTTCAACTTGACGAAGCGGAGACCACTTCTTCTCACGCAGAAGTAGAAGACGAAGAGGAGACACACGAAGAAGAAATTCCTGAAATAGCTGAACTAGAAGGCACACTTCCTCCTCCTTATCATGCTTATTCTTCGCCTATGCTCTAGGAGCAGTAGCCATCAAGCGTCATTGTGACTGCTATATACCAGAGACATAAATATAATACATATACGACGTTACGATCAGTACTCCTGATCTGTTCTTTCGGGCTTTCTGGATATTATACCCATCGGCGTTGGGATCTGTTTGCAAGTATTCTTTGGATTTAATGGTATCTTTTCTTGAGTGCTAAAAGAATCAAAAGTTATACCTAATAATATAATCCAGTCCATAATACGAGAGAAAAATTCATAGCCATAATCAAATTACAAATCATGTATTATGCCTCTTGGCCTGCTTATCCACATCCCAAACTGCATTTGTATCACCACCAACTCCAAGCCCAGCGGTACTCTCATCACTCTCCTCACCATAATAAACATCCGAATCATCAAAAAAAACAGCCGACTGACGCCTCATTTCATCCATGACACTACTCCGTCGATGATGAGACGGATGCGGATCCGACAACGACGATAACGGGTGACCACGACCGCTCGGAACTTGAAGATAATCTTCCGACGATAATGCCTCTTCATTCCCTTCCGTGGACGGTAAAGTGACTATTCTCGTCGCTTCGTCGAGTTCATCACCTTCTCGTGTCTTATCGTCGTTATGGTCGTGTCTCCGCGAAAGCAAAGGCGAAAGTTCATGATTCAATCCACTCCTCGAATTCTTCAATAATCCCAGCATAATCAAATTCTCAATCTTCATCCGATTTTGAATAAACTGTATCTTTGGAAACGCGCTTTGTTGCCCCACATGTATCATACGCGCAAGTCTGTCGGGGGATGGATCAGACAAGATATTCCAAAAATCCGAAGGGATGGATTTCGGCCATATGGTGATTGTCCCGCTGAAATGTTGGAGCCAGATTTGACTCCAGTCTTGACCTAAGGGTCTCGGGAGGAGCTCCAAATGCCGAAGGACGCGGAGCCATTTGTTTAGGTCGAGTTTGATATATTGCTCTACCGCGGAACCCAAAAATCCGCCTCGCCAGCCGCGTCCCTTGCGATGGGTGACGGGACGACCGACTGATCCCCGAGAACTGAAGAAGAAGAGATTTATGTGCGGGTTTACCTGAGAGACGATTGTGAAGTTGACGTTGAAATGCAAGTTGAGTGCTTTGACGGGGATGTCTGTGCGGAGACTGCCGTCTTTCCATTTGTGGCCGAATGAGTAAGGGGATAAAGTGTTGTCTTTATTTTTCTTCATCAAGACCACGGGGTTGAGGATACCCGGTACCGCGGCGGAGGCAATTACTGCGCTCCAGATGACGCAGTCTGGGGAGGTGAGATAGTTGGCCAGGATGGTTGGTGAATGCGGGTCGGATGGGACGCAGGAGACGTTGAGAATTCGCCCTGTACGCTCAAACGCTTCGCGAAAGGTCATGGAACCTCGGGTGAACCAACTGCACTGTCTGGCCCAGTCAAGGGTATCAAATCGAGCACCCGTCTTCCACCAGCGTTTGACCCATGCGGGGAAGTTCTCATGACATGCCTTGATGCGGTGCGCCAAGGCTGGAATGAGCAGTTGCTTTAATTCTTCATCTGTCCTTGTAGCTACCAGGGCTGCAACTAATGCTCCTCCTGACGTTCCCGTGATGATCTCAGGCAAAACGCCATTGTCTAGCAGAGCCTTGACCACACCGAAGTGGTAATAGGCAAAAGTGGCTCCGCCAGATAGACACAGGGCGGTCCGTCCAAAGTTTGTGTCTAGATGGCGGAAATGGCGATATTTCACTTCTTTGGTCAGGTCGCGCGTGTTGAGTAGCCACTCCAGACATAAATGTACTTCGTCAATATATTCCTGCACCAGATGTTTGGTGCCTGAATATGCCTCACTGTAGAGCCTCGGGTTCTCAACGCCAACAAAATTATTCTTGACGCACGCCTCTAAAAGTGAACGCAAATCTTCCACAGCTTCATTCGGAAGATGTCCATTCTGCGTCTCGTTTTCAACCTGTCTCCTCAACTGTCTGAGCTGTTTCACAACTTTCCTCACGGTCAAGTGATCGTAGTACGCATATTCGTCGTTTTCCTTCCACTTCTCATTACCCAAATACGTATCCAACTCGTGTGCCGCTCGCAACCAATCCTCATAATTGTGGGTGGAATGAAGTGCCCTCCGCAACTTCTCCCGTCGACCGGTCCAGGTGACGAAATGTTCGTAGAGATATATGTACAATCGGGTGAATACATATACAACACTCAGAATCGCAATCCATGCAAACACCGTCACCAAAAAAGGGTACTTCAAAAGCGCGTACAGAAACCCTTCGCGCGTTTCGTCCTTGCTTCTTCGAGGCGTCTTCTTTGGTGTGCTAGATACAGTACGCGATCGGAACGGTCGTCGTACCCGCTGCCGAATCGGACGCCAGTCATTAATAGCCACTAGAGGCTCGACTTCGGGGGCACTCAGCGCCTTTTCGAATGCTCGAAGGTCATTATCTGTGATGAACTCTGTCTCGTAGTCCGGGAGAAGGGACGGATCATATCCCGGTTTGAGTGGAATTGGATGTGAGGACGTTGAAGACGAGGATTTGTCGCCGGCGCTCATTGTCATCGTAGAGGAAGGGGCATGGTGTTTTGGTTGTTACTGTTCTACCATGGCGAGAAGGGGTCGTCGCATGTCGTGAAAGGATGTTGAGTGAGTGAGATGACGTCGTCACATGGTACGCCACGGCTCAGTGGGGCCAGCCACGATGTGGAGCCGTGGCTGGTAAACCCTAACCCTGTTATCAGTTCCGTTAACTTACCTGAGATTTTAGATTAGACAGCCAGCAGTACAGAGTACGTCAATGCGCATTACAGTCAGAAAGAGAGTCTAAAGGACATCCGGCAAATACCAAACACGGCCAAATACATTCCCTTCAACCTTGATTCTCAGCATATCCACAGCTTGAACATCAATGCGTCATCCAGATAACCTTCTGACAGAACCATCGTCATTCCCCATAACGAGATGGCGATATATTCATGCTTGAAGCCGAATGTGGTGTGATACTACGGATTAGAGTTGGGGATTTCATTTATTCCGTCGGGGCCGTGATTGATTTGTTGCTACGTCAGAGGCTCTATAGCAGCCGGCGGATATGGCAATCGTCAAGAGATAGAATCCACTCTTAACAAGTTGTCGCTTTGGATATACACCAACCGGTCTATTCCAATTCAGACGAGTAGGTAGTGGTTGCATGAATATCATCGCGGGGTGCTTTGTACCCCTCCATTCTTATCAGACAAAATTTTGAGGCGATAAGAGATCGGCGTAGAACAGTGGCAAAGGGATCACCGACTAGTACATAGTTGCGGTCAGTACCTAGGCTGGTAAACCAAAGCAGTCATGTGTCTTTTCTGCTTTCGTAGTGAGCATCTCACCTTAACCGGAGAGTCGAAGTCCAAGCCAGATACGGAAAAGTGGCAATTCGCATCAACTATCAGGTTGGCTAAGTACGTCGATCATGCGGTATGTACGGAGTACCACTAAGTTCACTAACCTGAAGTAACTTACGTTAACTTAGTTCAGTTAACTTAGTATCATTGCTTAACTAATCGGTTACATGCGGGAGGGTAGGTTATAACGGAACCATGCAAGGAATATTTTATCTCGGATACAAGGAATATCCCGGTCGAATGCGGAGACCCTAACCTCTAGCACTAGCTAACCTCGAATGTCGTAAATGAGGTTATTCTCAGATGCATCCACTTACAGAGTAGATGAACTGGTGATCTGACCATGAGTGAGGCTTTGCCTTGGACTTTCCCAGTTGGAAGTTGGGTTATGCTCCACTCGACAGTCAAAATACCGTGTCACTCCAAAAATGCTCCGGACTCGGAATAGCATCACAACGGACTTGATTGGTTGACGTGTCGAGATAAAGTTGCGCTGATGGAACGTGCAGGTCACGAGACCTCGACTCAGACGACTCTTACCTAAGTATTTGCGAATATGTTAAGTTATAAGTTGACCAAAACGATGACCTGAAAGACAATCCGACTGATCCAAGACACCAAGATGCTATTCACAGCTGAGATGTCGCTCACCGCCAGTTGATCAAAGTCTAAACCTCAAAATATCAACAGTGACCCTTGGTTCATATTCAACATCCATGGATATTTCCCGTTCCGAAGGGAGGGTAGATACACCAATCAGGGATACAGAAAGATGAAACTGCTGTCCTCGGTATGAGAGAGAGACTGGCAAGAATTGCAGATCCACCAAGGAGATGTCCATACGTATGTATGGATGTACTATGTATGGATGTACTATGTATGGATGTACTATGTATGGATGTACTATGTATGTATGTACTATGTATGTATGAAGGGATATGGACCGGCCAATCACCCCTCAACCCCGGCAATCGTAAATCAATTGGCATTGCTCATGATGCGTATATATATACTTTATATAATATATATATCATATATATATACATATATAAGAGAATAAGAGAATAAGAAACTTTCGATGCTCGTCCTTTCTGTTGGACGGCACAGGTGCAGACTGCAGGTGACCTGTGTGAGAGCGGCCAATGATGAGCGCAGCAAGGGCCTGCGTTCATACCAATCAGTCGCCCCCGAACGAGCCGTTGTGCTTCGAGGCGGCACAATTGACCAGTCGGCGAGTCGGGACGAGAGACGAGTGATGCGGGGCTAGCTGATACTCTTGGTGATGCTTTACAGAGTAGCTGATATTTCTATACAAATCCTCCGTACAAATACGTACTCTGTAATTGTGTCGTTTTGACTGATTGGCTAATGTACCCGTGGTTCATCTTATCGCGGGCTGTTTGACGATAGAGACGACCCACGGTACCGATCTATAACCGTCACAGTATGTATTCTACACTCCGTACAGAGTACATAGTACAGAATAAAAGAACATCGAAATGTCAGGGTGCACCACGTTCCACCCGTGGCTGAATACAAAAGTAACGTGCCAGATTCTCATGGAATCAGCTGCTGTCATTGGTCGGCCGCTGACTAGCTAACGTTAAGCGATACGTACGCGTGGACAATATCAAATGGACAACTTCACGGCCTGAGAGTCGAATACATATGTGTACGCCTATCTTATTGACGAGGCTTGACGATAGTAAATACAATACTTTGACACGGACCCCGGGTTCTATGCAGATTCAGTCAAAAGGAAGCTGACTAAGCCGAAGAGGATACGATGGACTACGCAGTAGATAACCAACAAAATACCAAAGTATGTCAACACGGATGTACAGAGAGAGTACAGTATGAAATATCGTAACTCAGTCATCCGATCAGCAGAAGGATTCGTCGAGCTGCAGCACATCGGCACGGGGTCTTCGTGTGTCGAAAGCGACAGAGAACCCTTTCTGCGAATAAGATGCCCGTCAGAAGCCACCCGTGCGTATTAGCGAGAGCGCTATCAACACCGGCGGAGACACTAAGCTGTGGAGGGGTGTGTGCACGCCATACTATCAAATCTTTTTGCTGGGAGACACCGAGGACGGAGTGCATACATAGTACGCCGTACATAAAATAAATAAATCTGCATGATAAGTTATGGATACCTAGCTAACTCCACTGTCCATGTAACTCTTTTGATTCCCTATTTTTCTTCGCTCTTCTCCTTTATGCGACTGCATATCACTCTTGCAGATATATACTACACCCATATTCTGTCGCAAATAAATATACAGCCCGCGTCGCGCTAGGCCAAAAAAACTACCCCTCCCCCCTGGCTCGCTCGACATTTGTTTCTGCTTCGACTTCAATAATAGCGTTTCGTTCTGCTTACGAGAAACGCAACATATTTTTTATTTTTATTTTTATTTTTTTCTTTTTCGTTTCTTTTTTTTGGACATCTCTTCTTGATTTTCTGCTGGCTGAATATCTCGCTTCTGGTCACTCCTTCAGTCTGAATCAGTCATATCACTTCTCTCCTGCCGGTTAGTCGATCGCGAGAACTTCGAAACCTTCGACTGCAAGGGCGAGACAACGAAACAAGGCACAGCTAGTCAGCTCCACGAGACGAACACCAGATTCAACATCATCTGAATTTATCACTTAATCCTCAGCGCCCTTTTTTATATCCTTGCCGAGACATCACACTCGAAAGCGCAGGGTCTCGTGAACAACGCGGAAGGAACCTCGTGGGCGCTTTTATAAGCAGGTACAGCCTCGCTCTGACTCTTCCTTCCACCTTCTTTCCGGTTTTATGATTCTGATTTTTCCTTCCCTTTCCCCTCTCCTCTTCTTCTCTTCTTTTTGCTGACGTTGTTTTTCTCTTAGATTTATTACACCTGGCAGCACCAGCGAAAATGTCGACGGGACTCTACGGCCGTTTCTCCTGTTTCCCTTGAGCGCTCGACTTCCAGCGCTCTGTTGGCCGGATCCTGTTGCGTCGGGTCAGGCAGATATAATCTCCCCATAATGGAGAAACTCAACTCGGAGGATGGTCAACTTTTCATAAAGGTTAGGCCCACTTCATAGCGGCCTCCAGGCCACTTGCTTACTCTTACAGAATCTCGCCAGCTTCGTGCGAACTCATGAAAAGGCCTTGGCCAACGCCCTACAGCTGAGACGCCAGTCCGTCCCCTCCAACAACTATGCACCATCTACCTCATCTACCCTGGCCGCCGCCCTTTCCTTTGGCGCCTTGAAGTTCACCTCGCAGAATGTGAAACCAGCCAAGCTGACTCTCACCCCACACCACCTCTTTTACCTCCTCTCCCAGTTCGAGGATCTGTCCATCGCGGTAGGCTCCATGAATGTTCGCCTAGAGAACATCCATAATGACTCTTCCTCCTCGTATGTGTCATTCCTGAACCAGCCGCGTCGTTCCCGCGGTGATCGCGACTCTATCCACTCCGTATCCAGTGTTCGTAGTGTCATGTCGGGTATGAGTGCTGTCTGGTCTTCCTTTGGACTCGGATCGAAAGATTCTGCCACCAAATCTGAAAAGGCAAAGGCTGCTTTGGAAACCGACCTTAAGTACCTGTATTCTGCATTCACTAAGATTCCCTGTTTGCGTCTCGCTCCGGACCGTCGAGCACGTCTCATTCGCGGCTACGAGGAATTTCCCCTGGATACGGCAGTCCCGCTACACGCCTTCAAGAATCTGAGTGCTCTGGAAATCATTGACATCGACTTCCGCTCCTTCTATGGTTGGGATAGGCTGTCTGAGCAACTGCGGACATTGACCTTGAAACGAGCAAACATCAACGACCCTGCTGACTTGGTGACCAAGATCGTTTTGGACGACGTTGACAAACGTCGACGCCGCTCGTCTAAGTCTCATCCTTCCCCCATCCCTGGCGGCAGCATAACACCACAACCGGTTTACAAATATGATTACGCTAGTAACACTAGTAACGATCATAAACCCGTCTCGGCTCCGGGATCTCCTAGCGTTAGCAGCAACCTGGCGACCAGTACGAGCCCCAAGTCTGTGCCTATGCTTCGCGCAGGGTCTGAAGGCGAACGGGGACATCGTCGAACCGGCAGTTACTCTCCTACACGACCACAGACCGCGTCGCGACAGCATACTCAAAGCCGCCACTCTCGGGGACATTCGGTCAACAAAGTGGCACGGTCTAGCTCGGGCAGCTCAAATTCCAGTGAGGTTTCTCTCCATGGAAACCGTAGCTCTTCAAACCTCTTAACTGGAGTCTTGCCTCCGAGCAAATGGCGTTTCCTGCGTCATCTCGGACTGGCTGACAATTCTTTGACAACCTTGTCATCGGACTGTTTCTTGCCAGTTGCCAACACATTGCACTCACTTGACTTGTCCTCGAATCTGTTCGCGGAAATCCCCGACAGCTTACCCTCGTTGGTCGCACTACGAGCCCTGAACCTCTCCAACTGTATGATCAACTCACTGCGATCGATATCAAAGAACCCGCTGCCTGCCATTACCGCTCTCAACCTTCGCGGAAACCGATTGTCGTCGTTAGCTGGAATTGAGCGACTTCTTTCTCTGGAGCGTCTTGACCTCCGAGACAACAATTTGACGGACCCTACTGAAATTGCCCGACTGACCGGCCTCCCTGAAATACGAGAGATCTGGGTCTCGGGCAATCCATTTACCAAAACCCATTCGAATTACCGGGTCACAATATTCAACCTCTTCCGTCGCACTCCTGGATTTACCGAAGACATCTTAATTGATGCATCAGGCCCAGGATACACTGAACGAAAGCAGTTGGTAGACCGCGCTGCTGAGCCGGAGGCTGCACCGGTTGTCCGACCGGTCGACCCCGAACCTGCGAGAACAGTGAGCAAGGTACCAGCGCCAGTCCGTCAGGAATTGTTGTCCCAAGATACTGCGACGGCGGCGGCGGCGGCGGCAGCAGCAGCAGCATCATCAACAACAACAACAACAACAGAGACAACAGGGAATACACAGCACAAAAGAGGCAACCGTCGACGTATTGTCGACTTGTCTCGAGAAGAATCCGTAACGCAAGTTTTCACTTCTCCTTCTTCTCAGGACAAACCCTTACCTCCTGATCCTCCAGTTCTGGTTGATCCATTCACCGCAAGCGGGACGAGACCGGAGAATGCAACACCTGCTGATGTTGAACCGGTAAAAAAGCCAGTCACTCAGTCTGTGTCTCAAGACCAGAAAGTTGTACCGGCTAAGCAGGATAGTAGTATAGATTGGAACACCAATTTCAGTCTGGGCGGCGAGACCAACATCTTCCGGCCGAGACTAGAAGCTGTCCCTAACAACAATAACAACAACAGTGGCTGGCTTAGCGTGCTCCATGAGGGGAACTGGCAGACGCAACCTTCCAGACCGCAGGCGAATATGTCGGCTGTTCCACGGACCGGAACGGTGTTTGACGCATCTCTGATTCGACCGGATACTGTCAGTCGTCCTGAGAGTCACTTGCTCGTCAGTGGGCGGACAGTAGGATGATTTCCAAACTTTCCTACATACAACATTGCCGAGGCGTCGGTTATTACATATACCCATGAATTCTCAAAGAATCCTTATACCCTTGTCTTTGGACTATTGACTGTATAATTTGCATATGCATTTCCGGAGTTGTTGTTTGTCTTTTTTTTTTTTTTTTGCTTCGTTTTCTGGGAGGGCATGTTTTGATGATTTAGTTTGTTGTCCATCTTTCCGTCTTGTTCACAAAAAATAGTTGTTTGCCTTGTTACTATTTTTCGATTCAATTGTTTTAGACCGTGCGTGTTGTTCCTTTTTGATAGCTCGTTCTTGTCTCCTCTCATCGATGGATGGTATTATCAGGATGTTCGGTTGGGCTATCTGATTCTGCGTTACTGCCTGCTTGCTATACAGAGAATTGCTTTGTATATTTAGATATGATAGCTATGAATGATGGATTCTGATACCAATACTACCTTAGTAATATTAAGTAAGTATCATTCAAGTACCTAGCCCGAAGAGGTATCCAGCCAAATCTATGCAAGTGGCTCAGTGGCTTTTCTAGGCGCCTATGATTTACAAATCAACTCGTCTTATTCTTCCTAGCATGATGAAATATTTAAAATTCGAGCATTAATCATATCAACTAGCTAGCGTCTGTTTCTTTTTATATCCCATCCATCTGCCCACTGTAAAAGTTTTGTGGTGTGGTTGTACCTGACTGGTCTCCAAATTGTGAGTCAAAGCGGGCGATCAGTTCTAGAATAATAAATACATAGTACAGTTAGATAGAAGTGGACAGAGGTAGATAGTGAAGTAGGTATCCATTATCAGAAGAGGGGGGATAGAGGGGCTTTTTCTTTTGTCCCAAGTTGTCGAGGAACAGAATCTAGAACCTGATGGGTTGCGTGTTAGGGTAATTCGCCCATTGTAATGAAGGTACGCGAGTGTCCGTTGTCGGATGTGGTATGGCTGTATGGTCTGTCGTGTAGAGAGTCTGGATAGAGGTGGTAGAGGATTGGGATTGTCTGAGGATAGAAGAATATGTCGGTATCAATATCGATTTGTATGAGATGGATGTATAGAATTGTTAGTAGTAGAATGGATTTAAGGAAGACCGACCAGCGCCTTCCTGTTGGTGATTAATGCATTAGATTATTCATCCGCCCCTCCTCCACCTCTTCTCTCCTCGTCAATCAATTCTCCCTTTTCATCTCTCTGCTCTTTTATCACTGCAACTTCTGGTCTCCTGTTTTACATTGCAATAAACTCACATCGACTACCGGCCTAACCCCTAACGTTCCGTGCCCGACGAATCCACGCGTTTGTTCTGGCCCTGTCTGTCGCCGTCTACCCGCACGCGCGCCCTTGAACCACCAAGAGCAAGACTTGTCTGTCTTTCTTCTCCTTCTGCCGCCTACCCTTTCGACTTTTTACTCCTTCAACACGCCACCCATCGTGATTGATTCCATCGTCCACAATACTCAAGGCGAAAGAGGAGAAGAGAATATTTGAGAGTGAAAGAAAAAAAAAATTTTTTCACACGAAAAGCTCATAGATTGTTTGCCCGTCGATTCCCTATCGATTCGAGCGAGGCTAAGGGTCAGGAAGAAAAGGATCTCCAACCCCGACTTTTTTTTCTCTCTGTTAACTGCTATTGCACTCCTACAACTGCTTACTATCGTCGTTCATCACACGTCTTCGGCGCAGGATTCGATTGTGTCTCGATCGGATTACCTCTTGGTTCTCACCCCATCTCGTGTCTGTCCATTGCAGAGAAAAAAAAAATTGATTCGGGCTGGTTGAGGACTTGAGAATTCTAACTTTGCCATTACTATCTTGTCTCTCTTTTTAAAATCTATCGAACGGAGCCAAAGTTCTTGTTATCGAGGCAGGCCTACTGGCCTATCTTTGCCGACGTTTTTGATCCAGCTGTTGCTCGCTTTTCGACTCCACATTTATCTGGGAGGCTTTATTTCTTCTTTTCTGCCGAGTCTCGATTTTTAGGTCAGTCGATTGTTGTCTCTTTGCTTAGGTGGCGCGTCTCTTTCGCGTTTTACGCCCAGCCGACCGACGTATTACTAACACCTCGCAGATTGGTCGAGCGACATTTTCTTACTTCGTCGTTTCTCTCCTCCTCCTCTCCCCTTCCCCACCTAATTTCTCTCATCACCGTACGTCATGGCTGATCAAGACGTGGATTTGGATTCTATCATTGATAGATTGTTGGAAGTGAGGGGCAGTCGGCCTGGAAAACAAGTGCAGTTGCTGGAGTCTGAGATCCGTCATTTGTGTACCAAGGCTCGGGAAATTTTCATTTCACAACCCATTTTGCTCGAGCTCGAAGCGCCCATCAAGGTACGTTCTTTCTTGGGAATGATGTCAGAATCTCATTTGGCGATGTAGATTTGCGGTGATATTCACGGTCAATACTACGATCTTCTACGTCTGTTCGAATACGGTGGCTTCCCTCCCGAGGCAAACTATCTCTTCCTTGGAGACTATGTCGACCGTGGCAAGCAGTCCCTCGAGACCATCTGCTTGTTGCTTGCTTACAAGATCAAATATCCCGAAAACTTCTTCATTCTCCGCGGGAACCACGAATGCGCCTCGATCAACCGAATCTATGGCTTTTACGATGAGTGCAAGCGCCGATACAACATTAAGCTGTGGAAGACTTTTACGGATTGCTTTAATTGCTTGCCTATTGCCGCCATCATTGACGAGAAGATTTTCACTATGCACGGAGGTTTGAGTCCAGATCTCAATTCAATGGAGCAGATTCGTCGTGTGATGCGTCCTACTGATGTAAGTTGTTTCTTTGGTCTCTTTTGGTCTCTGGTTAGGTCATGTGAATGGGGGTTAAAAAGAAAAAACTCTTCTACAAAGGAGGACGAGCCCTGGCTCAATCTGACACGCTGACTTTAATAGATTCCCGATTGCGGATTGCTCTGTGATCTTCTTTGGTCGGATCCTGACAAAGACATCACTGGCTGGAGCGAAAACGACCGAGGCGTTTCGTTCACGTTTGGACCAGATGTTGTGTCTCGATTCTTGCAAAAACACGATATGGATTTGATCTGCCGGGCCCACCAAGTCGTCGAGGACGGTTACGAATTTTTCTCGAAACGTCAGTTAGTGACTTTGTTCAGCGCTCCCAATTACTGCGGAGAATTCGACAATGCCGGGGCGATGATGAGTGTGGATGAAAGCTTGCTATGTTCATTCCAGGTTTGTACCTTGTCTCTAGAAGTATTGTGGGCTGTGCTAATTGAATTAGATTCTGAAACCAGCCGAAAAGAAACAAAAGTACGTTCACGGGGGTATAAGCACTGGCAGACCCATCACTCCTCCGCGAAAGCAGAAAAAGAAGTAAATACGAGCTTTTCCATGTGCAGCAGGTTCGGACGGAAATAAGAACAGCAGATTGACAACTTCGGTTCAACACGCCAATTCCTTGATTCCTTATCCTAGCGATTCGCCTTGACCGACCGACTCAACAATCGACTTTACGATCGTGTATTCTCGATTCGACCGAACGACCAGACTATTCATTAATTACATCTTGTTTTACTATACTCGCTATCCATCGATCTGGTCCCGTAATCGCCTCCCTCCTTTTTTCTTGAGTCGGATCGCATCAGGTCTATACTAATGGTAAATGTTTTGACCACGAAAACACGAATTCCTACCACGCATGAACATTTGATATAGTCGAATAGTTGTTATTTGGACTGAGAAGAGAGAACAAGAGAAGGGGTTTGGTGGGTGAAGAAAAGGAAGAAGAAAAGATGAAAGGAAAAGGAAATCTGTTGAATTCGCAAGTTACTCGGCGATGAGTGTATGTGTGTGTGTGGTTCTTTTTATGCTCTCAAGTGTGTGTTTTTCTGTGTGATGTCATGCGATCGATGCAAGTGCATAAGATATGGACATGATGGATATAGGATAGGATAGGAAATGGGGATCAGCTCTTGGTTTTTTCTTTTCGACTGATTTAGCATTTTCTTTTCCTTTTTCTTTTTCTTTTTTGCGCGTGTTGGTTTATTTATTTATTTTTTTTCTTTTCGATTTCATCTCTTAGGTTAGGTTAGGCTGATTTCTATGGCATGCAATACCATGTCATGATGCTTCAAATTCAATCCGATTTAGCTACCAGGTACCGGCTCGTACGTTGTAACCTGACACTGAAGAGACTGGTATGTACTTCTACATACCATCCACCAGAAATCTTCTCTTGAGTCTTGAATAATTTTGATTTGTATTTGATTGTATGATTCGCTTCCCAAAACGACACTAACATTGTAAACAGCGATAGAAAAGAACAAGGGAACAGTACGTATCAAGACAGGAGGACGAAGCAGAAGACACGATTGGGATAGGTTTGGGGGGTTTATCTAGATTAGGTAGCTGTAGGGTTTGCTTTGACGGATAGCTTAGTGCTAGATCACGACAAAATGGTTAGATGTGATAGTCGAGAAGGGGATTACACATATTGCGAAAGCCATCTGATAGCTTCTCCGTATCCTGCATCATATCAGTAACCCTTCCTCAAAACACCAAAGGGAAGAAAAGAGAGGGGGGAACATACCCTGCCTCATAACAACGCTACACATAAAAACCTCAATAGGCCTAATCCCTTCCAAGGGAACCTTCCCTTTACCCGTCGTCTGCCACAAACCCATATGATGACGCAACTCATCCTCACTCACAGCGTCGGGGTGATCAATCTTGTTTCCGAGAATGACAAAGGGGACTTTGGAGAGTTCTTCCATTGCAAGCAAGGCGTCAAGTTCGGCTTTGGATTCGGGGAAGCGTTCGTGGTCTTTAGCATCGACTAGGAAGACGATGCCGTTTACTTCGGGGAAATAGTCTTTCCAGAGGCGGCGGGCTTTTTTTTTGGGCAGACATTAGTTAGGAATGATAGGAGGGATGGGAGGAGGAGGTACCTTGTCGATGACCACCGAGATCGAAAGTGGTGAAGCGGTTATTTCCAATGGCTAGTTCCTCGGATGCTTTGTATTGTTGTTAGTTGGTTCACTTCCTTCATTATCATTCGCATTGATGAACGTACTTGGGTGAGAAGTAGGTTGGAGAATGGCCACTCGATCATTCTGTTATGATCGTCAGCATCAACCCATACAAGCCCAGACTGAAGAATGTGTATACCTTCAACATGTGCAACAGGGTAGTCTTTCCAGCATTATCGAGTCCGAGGAACAAAAGTTTGGCATGTTTGTTGAGGAGGCCCAAGGATGCCAGGATGTCGTAGACTATAATATAACAGTTATCAGTTAACCGTCTTCTTGTCCCGTCCATCTCCCTTCATCCTTGCATTGTGCTAAAAGAGGCGATGGATAGAATCCTACTTACACCAGTTGATAATCCACATGATGTCTCTCAATCGTCGAATAACCTCGTTCCTTTGAAAAAATCCCTCTCACAACTCAAATTCGTAAATCGTTCGTCTATCGTCGTACTTCGCAATCGAGGAAGAGGAAGAGGTCGTTGATGTTGTCGCTGACGTTGCCTGATAAGAAGAAGGAACCTTGGAATAAGGTCGAGTTAGTTAGCGAGGTGTCGGACGTTGATTTGTCCAGACCAATAAGATCTTGACTAATGTATGCCTTGTTTATCAGGCAGAAAGATTCGGCCCGTCTTATTGCATCAACAGATTGCCACTTGGTTCACTTTCTGTGGCGAGACGAGAATTATGTTATTATTTACTGGAGGTCACTGTTGAATTATATTGATCGTTAGGTCATTGACATTCTTATATACACTCGTAATGCGATGGGTATATATCTGTATAAAAGGACTGCTCGCTTCAATCAACCAACCAGTAATGCAAAACCAAACCAAATGCACAAAAGGATATAGAGAGAAATAAATGAATTAAATTTATTTTCATCAATCAACCACCTTGACGCTGTAATGTTTGACTTAACATCATGCTCTGACAGGAATTTATGTTTAAAAATGATAAGAAAAGATGTTAGTGTATGTACATCAGAAGTTTAAGAAAAGAGCACAAATATCAAGAGAAAGTTCAATCTCATTAAACAGACAGCATCAATTGGGTATCTTTGGTAACACCGTATGCTTTAAACCGCTCAGCCACTTCAAGACCAAGCTCTTTCATGCGTTCTGCACCTTTGCCGCGTGCTGCACGTCGTTCGGATTGTTCCTTGGCAGCTGCTTTGCGACAATGTTGGCGCCAGAATTTTTCCTTGCGTTTTTGTCGTTTGCGCTCCAGCCCTTGAATGATATCAATGGGTCCGCGCGTGTGCAGTTCCCGACTGCGGGAGGATGGTCCGTCTATGGACTTTCCTGAAGGAGATGCCTGTTGAATGGGTTGTCTAGACTCTTCTAAGCCTGTGAAGAATGGGTTGGGAGTGCGAGGTAAAGACTTGGTCCGGCCGTAGTGAGGACGTTGCACGGGTCCCGTAATATTGACGCCTGTCCTTGGAACGGGGATAGAAATCGTAGGCAACCCAGCAGCCAATGCATGGCGAGGTTTGGGAGCGGGAGATTTCATGCGCTTCGGTGAAACCTGTCCATGTGCACGTGGAGCAGGTGAATGAACACGTCGAGGAGATGCTCTTGTCGTCTTCTTTTTCAATGTTCCCTTGGATCTGCCGCGTAAAAGATCCTCTTCGATGCGTGCAGCGGTCGCTACCTCATCATCCTCGGCGTCATCCTCATTCTCTTCCAAGTCATCGTCATTGTCTTCAGGATCCGTAGTTGGGAAACTAGGGTCAATATCCTGTGGAACTGGAATGTGCTTTTTGCGACGACGTTCTTCGATGCATGATATGTACGCCGCTTCTAGAGGGCGATCTTCATCGAGTGTTCCACACACAAAATCAGTGCTATCCGGCAAGTCCGGAGTCTGTGCTCGAGGAATATTGATTGGACGGCGACTCTTTCCCTTGGATCCAGCCATTGACGATGGAGGTCGACTATATTCATGTTTCAAAGATTCGATGGATGTAGTGGAATTGCGACGATCGACGGCCAAACGGATAATATCCATATTGTCAGCGCTTGTCGCTGCGGTAGTCGTTGAGGGTGCCCAGAACTCGTATTCGGAATTGTCATCACTCTCATCATCCGAGTCAGCAAATCCAGCCTCGTTATCTGACTCATTGCCGTCGTCAGAAGAAAAGTCGTGGACTGTATCTGCATCTTCTTCCTCGTCGTCCAAGTCTACCGTGTCGTCTTCGTCTCCATTATCCATTTCATCCTCTTCCTCTTCTTCAGCAATAGCTTCGGCCTCAGCTTCTTCTCCCAATTTCCGGATGGCCATTTCTTTTTTCATGCAGTCGGCCACCGTAATCTTTCCCTGATGTTCAGTCGCTTGGGCTACCCATCCGTCTACCTCTTCCAAGGAACTTGCAAATTCGTGAAAGCGTGTCTCTTCGGATGGCTGAAAATCACCCAAACCAGGCATGTGAATGCTACCAGGCTTCTTCACAGGCGCCGGTTCTGTAGCACGGATCGGAGTAGCATCGGCTTGTTTCGAGTCCGCGGAGGAGCGGCGGCATGTTGGTGGAGGAGAGCGATTTGTGCGAGAGGTGTACGATTGGCATCTCCTGTTCGCAGGTCTGCTCTCGCTTTGCCGTGAAGGACAAACGAAAGTCAACCTTGATTTGCGTTGGGGAGGGTTCGTCGCGTCGCTATCTTCCGTTTTCTGCTTCTCAACTTCTTTTGGGCGTACTGGTTGCCGAGCTGTACAGGCAAAGCTGATACACCGCTTGCGGCCTAAGTCAGCCTCAATTTTTGATTCATTAGGATCAGCAGGTGGCGAAGCTGTCCTTGATTCCAAGACAGGAGCTAGGTGAAGTGTAGATACGTGTGGTGGGCTGGAGGTATTAGAATAGGCTGGGCTGGTGAGATCGCCGTCGCTGGTCAATTCAGCCGTAGAGTGGCCGCTCCCATTGCTCATAGGATAAGAGGCTTTTCGGGTACGATCGACGGGAGGGATTTCGGGACTCTTCAAAGCTCGGGTGAGCAGAGATTCCTTCTTTTCCGCTACCAAGGGAGGTGATTTGATGTATATTTGATCGTTATTAGGACGGTTGTGTAGACGGTTCTGATCGGGAGGCTCGTCACAGTCGTCCACCACTTCAACCTCTTGCCCTGCGGAGACCACCGAGGGCTGATCTGATGAAAAGACCATCTTCAATATGGTTTGTAGCTTCGGTATTTGACGATCACGACGCTGATGGTGAGTCATTATGAGTAGTAGAAGTTAGGTTTCAGAAGGTGTGATATCGAAAGTCGACGTATGATTATCGGACAAGGCAGAGTAGGCAATTTGGTGACGTGAAGTCGTCAAACCGAGCCGACGAAGAACCTCAAAAGGTGGTTTGCTGTTAAAAATGTCCCAAGCAGGACGCAGATTGTCATAATATGGAAGGCAACATCTTGAAGAAGGGTTGCAGTATGAGTTGGTTGGGCTGTCGAATGTCACGGCGGGAGGAGAGAGTTTGTATGGGGCAATTTGGTGGAAGACAAGTTTCACGCGCGGGATGAAATTAGTCTAGGATATGCAGCGATGTGCAAGCGCAGAGATCCAAGCAGACGTGTAGCCAGAAAGAAACAGAATGAGAAGGGAGGAAGTGGGTTTGTGTGTTGGGAAAAGGGAATAGAAAATAGAAAATTGGAGATGGGGAGGAGAGGAATGATGAATGAGTGGTAAAAACGAGTTGGGGCAAGGTTGATGCAGGTAACGAGACGGTATTGCCTAGTGACCATTGTCCACTGTCTAGCGCTGCCTAAGCCGTAACTTTACGGGGGGCATACACGCTGCGAAGAATTTTCCTTACCGGCTTGTTACGGGTGCCGTACAGGCAATGGATCGCCACGATGTACTCGATCTGGCTAGTCTGGTTTGTATGTCGACGCTTTACCGTTTCAGGAAGATCCTCGGAGGAGCTCACCAATAGAATTTCCCGTCAAAGCCACCGCCTTCACTGCTGATTTCTTACGTTTCGTTTCGTACCGTACGTGCCGGTACCTGTTGGACAACGGGAAAAAAACTGGAGACAATCAGCCAACTCATCCTCACTTGCTGGTTTTCTCTTCCTATGCGGCTTTTTTCTCGTTTGTCAGTGCCCGGCCTTTTGTCCACTTTTTCTTTGCTTGTCGGCTCAACAATCGGGATACGTATTCCAACTTTCGAAAATTTTTCAATCAATTGCCTGTCTTTTCGTGACGACGCACAATGATTCATCGCGGCCTGCAAAGTTCAAACAGTCAAATGTCACGTGATATCGTATACGTGAATCGTGGCTGACACATACGGATGACCGTATTCCGTCACGGTAACCGCGTCACAGACCTGAAATATTACCGATTCCAAGCCTCACTGGAGGGGGCGGTGTATTACTATGATTCGCTGATCGAGGGCAGTGCCTTATGTAATCCAATATTTCATACAACTTGAATAACTACGTTACCGTAACTTTTCGGCCTCTTAGCGATCTTTAGTTACCTCATCGTATTAATCAGCATGGTCAGCTGCATTCACCGTATTTACGATGTACGTAAGTACGTGGCTATTTTTGTGTGTGTGTGTGTGTTGAAGCCTTGACGGCGCTTAGCAGAAGCTGAACAGTGCTTTAGAATATACTGTGGAGAATCATTCGTATGAACACGAGTCAGCACCTTAGGTAATTGTTCTGTTTATATCTGAGACTGTGCAATAACGCAGATGATTCCTGAAAGATGTCGATTTGCGTTCCCTCGTGGTTGGCCGAATGCGGCGGCGTACATCTTCAGGTTTCCACTTTAGGCAAGTAAATTCGATGCCGCTCGACGATGATATCGACTCTTAATTCCTTCAAATAAGTGGTCTATTGACATGACATCACGAGACTCATGGTCACATCTATTGTAAGAAATATACTCCGAAGTAGATCTCCGATTGATCGTTGTATCGAACGCACGGGTCAATTAGGTTGACATCCAATTAACGTTGATATTCATAGCGGTATGCTAGCAAGTTTCATATCTACACAGGAACCCTGGAACGGTTTGTATCACGTTAAATAAGCATATAGAAAAGCGGTGAGTCCCTATGAAGTTGCCCGAGCCCTAAGCGGACACTCCTATAACCTCTTCCCGATACAACTTTCTGTTACTACGATCATCCCTCACCGAGAACAATTTCAGTAGAGGACTTACAACGATGCATAGAGAATATGTTATGCTGTTCCGGCGCAGCAAGTATCATGGCATGCATCAATCTGACAGTATCCATGTCCAAACAGCAGAGCGTGAACAACACATCAAGTGACAAGCTCCAACTTTATACCTAAGAAACCCATGCCTCGGAGGAAATCCACTTTGATTCAAGACCAACAGCTATGCTAGGGATTCGGGAAAGTTTGCAGGCATGCCTGCATACAACGCAAGCACGCTAAACTAGACAAATACTAAACACGACTGACCAAGACCAAACAGTACTTAGCCTTGCAGATGTAAGCAAGCCGATCAATCCATGTTATGCATTGAATGGACCAATAATTGCATTTTGCGATCGGTTTAGATTCTTTAGTGGAAGGCTGCTACGATGCACGTACCATGCCGATGTACGTAGCGAGCTTGCTGCGGCAGTACAAGCGCAGGATCAAGAAGCGGGGGAGTATTCGAGGACCCTGTACATTACTACATAATACTCATAGGAAGGGCCAGTAAGTATAGTACTTACTGCTCAAGAGGGATCTCTAGCTGAGTAGTAGTCAAGCGGAAGAAGCGGTCAATTCAAAAGACCCTGTAGTCTTTCTACAAGTGAGACCTTTAAACGTAAAATAATCGAATTCCCTGGAAAATCTCCACCACATACTACTGCGTAGAGTTTGTCCCTGAAATCGAACCCAAGGAAACAGAAACGGTTAGGAAATTACTAACTTATTAAGCTTGTAATTGCACGCATACATACCAGCGAATTTGCAACAAAAACCCCACAAATTCCGTACAGAAGAGCCAAGTAAAAGCCAAGTTTGGACTGACCGTGACGACTGTTAGAGAGTGATATAGAGGACCCCCACGGAATCAATATGTTTCATCCAGCTCATACCACGCGACAAGGTCATATCATGATGCTGCTCGTGTTGATGAGAGTCCGTGAGGATATCCATCTTGGGCGAGGTGCATGCTGTGGTCAACTCTCTAACTATGCAAGTAAGTACATAGTAAGTACAACGGCTAAAATACAAGCCGGCGTGGAAATTAGTCTCGGCTGAAGGGGGCTTTCGTACGCAGTACGGTATTGTTGTCAGGTGAGGGATTTTTGTTCCCCATTGAAATTCACAGAGCTTTACCGAGATACGTATAGCCGAGGCGTCCAGGGAAGTAAGGATTTGTAAGGTGAATGAAAAATGCTGAGACTCATGGGTTACTGGATTTGGCAGGTCCATGCAGATGTGTACACACCACCACTATGTCTCTGCATAATAACATGACTGTAGACCTTCAAACTCAACGACCGGCGATATAATGTAAGACTTGTAGTTGGTTACTTACTCATGCAGATATAATTGAATCGAGTCACGAAGCTTTAAGCTAATCTCTCAGGTGACACATTAGCACATCCAATCTGCTGTCTTTCACTAGCCACTTGTAAACCTAGCATTTACGAAATCATTCGACCTCCCAATAATGACATCCCTAACTAACCAGTATTGATTCCCGTGTAGCGGGTGAATGTTCCTGAAGGAGGGGAGCCACTTACGTGTAGGATATCCACGGAGTGCGTGTGTGGATGGACATGCTTATGATATTTAGGGCTGAAAGGCACAACATGGATTACTCGGAAGACGACTCCAGTATTATTGATGATGGTGGCAGCACTGACGTCGTTTATTATCTTACTTAGGCAATGCATTTCGAGTCGATCGTCCATGTGGTTATCCTGTATTGTCACACGGCATGGTAGGGGTTCTCAATCCTTTTTGGCGTCATATATCGAAGTATGGCGCGGAATTAGATGCACTCTATATTGATACCCATATATTCATGGGTAGTTATATAGTTAGTATACTACTACCTATGTAGGCAGGATGAAGACGACGTCATACCTGCCAGGTAAACAAAAACCCGTAGCCCTAACTGCCAAGCAAAACACCAAGGCTCCCAATGAAACTGAATGAATATCGGAGTGGTAACTATGTAGGTTCGCTTTTATAGAACAGACAGACTCTCATTTCCGGTACGATCGACTCAATCAAGACCCAAAATATCTCCTGAAATCACCACCTGGCGCCCTTGACTTTATAGCAGCTGGCCCCTATATCTACTACGTATTTCGCTCCCGAGTATCTTTCTAACATTTGATTCGATCGATGAATTATGGGAACAATTGTATAGTATACACAAGGACAAAGAAAAGGTGAAAAGAATGCAGATACATCGCTTCCCTGATGATACATCCGAACACCAACCCTGTGATCAAAATATGTACAATAAAAAAAATAGACAGGTAATAATAAGATATATAGAGTGTTATACCGACGCCGGCTGAGAAATAAGAGAAATAAGATAAAAAAAGAAAGAAAATGAAGAATCTGGTTAGATGCTGGTTATTCGTTGCGGTTTGTTATTCAGTGCCGGTCGATGTTTGATAACCGTTTCAAGCTCTCGGAGCATATTCGTGCTTGCGTCCGCCCTCTCACGAGCAGCAGCCTGTCGAGCTCTATCCTCCTTGACGCGAGCGATGCGCTCTTCTCGCGTTAGGGATTGTCTCTTTCGAGACGATGGCATAACGATCGCTTCGAAGATTTCCTCCGCTTCAACATCAGCAACGTTCTCGGCCTGTGACGAGAAATTTAGGTGGTTCTGCATCTCTCCGTTCAGAGCCATCAGGGCCGCTGTTGGACTTCCGTCTACTGCTGTAACGCCGCCTAGGCTGCTTGTAGGCGATAATGGTAGCTTCAGTCGTTTGATGATGATCGTGAGAATCGATCGTATGACGATGATGAGGGAAGGCCGTTTGGATGCTCCAAGGAGTTCATCAGGGCTAATTTCCCTGCTTCCCATTCCTGTAAAAGGCCTCGAATATCGGCACCGATGGATTCGTATTGCGCCATCAGTGACGCTCCGACGTCCTGCTCGCTTGCGTCCTGCGTCAAGCTTTCGTCGGATTCTTCGCGCATAACGTGCATTTTGGCGTGAAGCGCTCGGATGCCTTGTGATAATGAGTTTAAGCGTCTCGCTTGCGCTCGAAGTGTATCACGGCCTGTAGATGCAGATGGTAATGGTGAAAGAGGCGGGATGGGTCCTATCTCTTTGTCAGAAGTGTGACTTGGTAAGAAAGTAAAAAGTTTCCAACCCACTATCTTTTTCGTTGAGTATATTTGCAATCTTGTTGGCCGCTTCATGGGTCACTGCGGCTAGGTCCCTCATCTCCTCAACCGCAGAAGTCCATGGAGGAATATCGCTACCACTTCCATCTGCCTTCAAAGCCAAAAGACAACACAGTATGCTCTGCCTCATAGTATACAATCGGCTGAATGCTATGCGGAGCCACTTTAGCGAATACTGGTCTTCGCCTGTGGTTTCTGAAGACGCGGAACGCGCCTCGGCAAGTTCTGCCATGGATATTTCGTAAATGTCATAGTATTTTTCGAGATTGGAAGGGTCTGTGAGGAGACCGATAGTATGCTGTGCCTGAATATATCGATCGAGAACTGCGGACAGACCATCGGAAACAGCGCGGCGCAATCGCAAGCACCGACGGACCTGCGTAGATTCCTCTAGTCGACTGACGGGTGGTAAGGGCGTGCTTCTGTATTACAATTGTTAGACACATATCCCCAATACATGAAAAGAGCAAGGAACCTACATTCGATATCCTCGGGATACAAGTTCCACCTCTTGTATGAAAAGCACTGACGAGGAAACTAGCGAGTCGAATCTTTGAGCGCCGTTGATAAAGTTGGATGCTCCCTGAACTGCTTGTTGTCTCACAAACCTCAACCACTGCCGTCTAGCAAAGGCATAAAAGACTGCTCCAACAAGGGGTAGCACGACAAGCAGTGTTACTATTCTTCGTGGATTGAATCCTGCACCCGTCCGTGACCGACTCCAGTGAATTAATCCGACTATCGAAAACGACGTTACTGCAGTGACAACTGCCCCTGTGAGGCCGACGGTGTTTGAAAACGATACCGTGTCATGACCGGGTATATTCGATTGCGCATCTTTTGCCGCAGTCGTATGTGACGCAGCATTATATTCGTCCAGCAAATGCGACGCGACTATTACGTAGCCGAATTGTTCGAGGAATCTCTCGTTGTCTCGCTTTCCAATGCGTGAACTGACTGCCGACTAATCCCAGAAACACCATGTTAGCCCCCGCCTTAAGGAACTCCTGCACTAAGATAATGGGTTCGACATACAGAGCATGTGTGATATATCCTGCCAAACACTCCGCTCCCCGTTTCTTGGGAGGTACTCTTGTCGCTTGCCACAGCAAATTTCTTCCGGACACGACTTCCTATCGACGGTATTCCTTTCGGTGCGAAGTTCTGTGAATGTGCATCCCCGTTGGTCTCGACTTGTTGCGGCGTCCAGTCTTGATCACGCTCGCCTTCCCCTGTTGAATCAAACTATGTTAGTAGCGTTTCTTGAATCCACGGTAACTGGAGCTGTACCTTCAAGATAATCTGCCAACGGCGAATCCTCATAGACCAAAGATTCCATGGTCCGTGGACATCAGCGGAACCAACGTTGGTCGATACCATCCACAGACCGCTGGCGGCAAGGACGTATTTAGAAGCGCTCAGCGGAGCTCGTCTGAAGGATGTCCGGGAACAAAGAATGCAGGCGAGAACAATAGTAGACGTAACTGAAATTTGAAGATCGTCGTCCGGTCTTTGTTGTTGCTTGTATTCGCACCGGATCCCTGAGCAGAACACGCAGAGGTAGCGGCGAGTAACTTAAGTTTAAGGGGAGATCTGGAACCGGGGCTGATGCGGTCTAGCATGGAATAGGCTTAATTGATCCTTCTTAGTTGCAACGGCGCGAACCACTCGTCTTTGCTGAGGGGATGAAGGTTGAAACCACAAAAAGTATGATCAGAGGCTGTGCCGTGCATATATGTCAGAGAGTCAAGAGGGAGCAGTCTGTCTAGTGGCTCAAAATAATATACATGAAGTTTAGATGATGAGGCGCAAGGGGGACCGTTTACATCATACTTGTACGGTAACCGCAATACGGAATTTGGCCACGTGCGCAGATCTTGTGAGCTTCTTCCCATTTGCATACCGTATCGAGCGCGTATCATGTTCTTCTCTCCGGTCGTTCTAGGCATCATCGTTGTACTACAGCATCATATAAATTAGGATTCTGTTCTTCCGTAGCACAGTAATCCCGAGGAAGATCTACCAGCATAAGCATACGCCTTGCTTCCGCCCGATCCGATTTGAGAAGTCTTAATCTACCACGCTCGCTCAACTGTAATTGTATGGCCCTTGCGTGGACTCCCTGCTCTCGGCCCGGCCATGCAACAGTGATGCCCGGCAATGGCAATCGATAGGATATTTGAGTCGTTGTTTGGAATTTTCCGATTCCGCGTGTTCATCGCTGGGACCAGAATCCTTCAGTGTACTCCGTCGCAACGGTTGTAGATGTAAATAGTCCGCCGCGACGAGAAGAAGAGAGCATAACTAGTGTCGGCGGACCAGGCACTGATAGTGCAGGGGGAATGGCACAGTGGTAGCGCGTAAGGCCTTCTCTCATTGGCTGGTCTAATGATCTCGCACTAACTGATTTATCAGATCTGATTCCAGTACCTCGATTGAAGTAGTGAGATTCCAGAAGGGTAAGTCAGTCCTCGGAAAAGGATTGCTTAACAGCTGGCTAACCCTAACGAAGTCCAGGGTCCGACTCCCTGTTCCCTCATATCTTCTTTTTTTAATGCTGCAAGTTGATTGCAAAATTGTTGAAGTTTAGCCAAGCGGGGAGCTTGCTGGTTAGGGGCGTGTTGCGGGGGCAACCGCATCAACACATCCCAATTGGTGCGTACCTAAATAATGACATTCCTCAAGATATATCTCCATGCTCTTTATTCAAAATTCCCATACTGAGATCGCGACTGATTGTGTTCATTTACTTGTTTCACTGCAAAATTATCTACCGTCATCTTTTACGTTAACATACGATACTGGTAGTTTCCTAGAGCTTCCCCCTTGAGGCACGACGATTGACGACGTTGTTGGAGAAGTGACCGGATGGCCGCGACTCATCAACGATGAATAGTCTTCTAGAAAGCCCCTGCCCGGCCGGATCTAGGTCCGGCTTTGGCAACGGGCAATATAGCAGCCTCACCGACGCCTACGAAGATGATACACTAGATACCCTAGAATATACTGCAGCAATTCATCTTCCACAGCCGCCACGTGCTACATCTCTGACAAAAGCAAAGCCCAGGAGAGCGTTGAGAAAACCGCCATTCACTATACAAGAAGACAACCAGTCGAATACGACCGGCAATACTGCGAGAACAGCAATGCAAAATAGTTTGAAACGAAAGACCCAGGATCGGAACTCGTCGATACTCGCTCAACCAGCCCAGCGGTTCCAGCGACCACGTGTCAGTTCTACAGCCGGTTCAAAGGATAGCTCCTCGCAGCGCACACGGATGATCGAGAGCAACGGGGATCGCGAGGTGTTAGGACACAAACCACAGCCAGAGGACAGGGTGCGGCCAAGCCAGAGGCCCTCTGGATATGATAGCTTGAAGAAGGATGTTCGACGCCGTACAGTGTACATTCCGACAGAAGATACGACTGTGCCAACGGTTTTCATGAGTCTTTTTAGTCCACTGAAATCAATGGACACTAATCCCAACATTTCAAGCTCGGCTGATGAGACAGTACCACTTTACAGCCTGGAGGCACGCATTGCGGAGAAGAAACAATCCAAGGAATCTTCAGTGGGACAGCCTAGAAAAACGCCACTTCAACCTAGCAAGAAGGTCACTCAACAACCTGCAATAACAAAGGATGTCATGGGGAAGAACGGAGGAAAGGAGAACATCCCTCCGGGTTTCTTCATAGACAAGAGCAAGGAAATTCAAGAGAAGAAACCACTTTCTCAAACTGATACAAGGTCAAGGGAGCCGCTGAAGACAGCATCGAATGCTATACAGAACAGGAAACCAAATGTGGCCCAGCTGAAGCGGAGTAAAGGGCCAGCTCTTAAACCCATTGGTCAAAAATCTTCAGTGGTTTTATTGACAGAGGCTGGGTCAAAGGACCTAAAATCGTCAACGGGAAAAGCAGACACCAAACGCACCAACCTTAGGAGCCGTTCTGTTCTTCAGCCATGCCAATCGAAAGAATCTCTGACAGAAAACCGTCCAACACCCCCTACGCGGCTCTCTGTTCCTAAGATTGGCCCTATCAGCATTGATCAGCAATTTCCTGTGCTCAGCAACGACATTTCAAATCCAGCCATGTACGAAGATAATTGGCTCTCGCATCAAGAAGTCGTCATTACTCAGCTAGTAAATGGCCTGTTCGACTCCGTTGGGGGCAAATTGCACGCGCATGATCCGGAAGTACTTCGACATGAGCTTCTTGACATCTATCAAAGCGATGCGTTTCTTTTACTCTACAAACGCATTCAAGCTTCGATACTTTATGGTGCTTTGGCGCCTCCTAAGGACATATTACGCCGGGGCAGCCGACTCCCGGATGATCTCGGCATGAAAAAGTCGTTCCTGAACTTTTGGTCTCAGACCTACGACTTGATTGCTTTGAGAGCGGCGGCAGAGACTGTGGTCGGACGAAAAATTACTTGTCAGCTTCACCGGACAAGCAACGGGCCATCAGGTCTTTCACCGAAGCAGCAAAAGGTGCTGAAACGCTCCATAGAGACGTTCTTGGAAACCTTTCTTATCCGGAACATGGACAAGAAAGGCAATGAAGGTACTCAAAATGACGCCGTGGGAGCACTATATCGGCGCACCCTTCTTCGGAGCATTATGATTATAACTCTTCTCGATAAGGCTCGCTTGACATCGGAATGTTCACTACCACGACGTCTCTTTACCGACTCCTCCCCGCACAAGTCCTCTTCGGCAGCATTGCAAGCACTGGCGAACCTGTTACTTCCTTCAATGGGAGATATCAATCGACAAGTCAATCATCTGAACTGTAGTCTGCTCTACAAACAGCATCAGCTACAGGACCACGACTACCGGATTCGTAATCTAGCTGTGGATCTACGTGATGGTGTTCTTTTGACGAGACTAGTCGAGATCCTACTCTATCCAAAGTCCTCATATTCTCGTACCGGGAGAAAAGGCTCTGATAGTACAACAACTATCATTGACGAAGTAGTCTTAGCAGATGAGACTGCAGAATGGTCACTTTCCCAGAATTTGAAGTTTCCCTGTGTCAGCAGAGCAGCCAAGATTTTCAACGTTCAAATCGCCCTTGACGCTCTCGAAGGGGTCATTGGTATCGACGCACTTGTCAAGGAGATCAATGCAGAGCACATAGTTGACGGATACCGCGAAAAGACCATTGCTTTGCTCTGGGTACTGGTTGGGAAATGGGGTTTGGCGGAAATGTTGGACTGGAAGGACGTAAGGAGTGAAATCGTGCGTCTACAGAAGAAGCTTGTCCTTTGCCGAGAGTATCAACCTTGCAATGTGGACAAGTTGTACGACCTCGAGCTTGTATCACACGAGGATTTGCTTATCAAATGGGCTTCGACCCTCGCGCTGCTGAAAGGACTACAACTTGACAACCTCACGACCAGCTTTGCGGATGGCAGAATATTTGAAAGTATCGTTGACGAGTATGAGGTCTTTCTTTTAAAAGGACAAGATGGACATGGAGATTCGATCACGGGAAAACAGCCTAGAGCTGAGCTGGGATCGTGGCAATCACGCCTGCAAGCTCTGGGATGTAGTTCTCAATTCGGTAAGCCAGGAAGACCATCCAAATTGGAGTCGAAATATGTATTGACTTGTGTTAGCATCTCTCGTTGCCGGGTCAACTTCTGCATCTCGCATATTTGACCGCGATTTTGTACTCGGTGCCTTGACTTTTCTATGCTCTCGCCTTTTGTCATCAACCAGGCGCATTCGAGCGGCTATCGTTATTCAAAAGGCGTGGCGGCGTATTACGACTGAGGAGAATTCACGACGTCGTGTTCTTGCCAAAGAGATAGCCGAGCAATGTGCAGCTGTTGCTTGCGCTCGCGAACGCATCTTATGGGCCAAGACTGTGATAATGACGCGGTGGAGAGAGCGAAAAATGAGTAGAAAGCAGGTCACTTCAAAGGGTAAAAAGCCCAAATCGAAGCCTGCACGGCGGGCGAGGTTCTGAGTATGAGCGGGGGAGGCGGCAAGAGTACATTCTTCAGAAGAACAGAAGAGCAAATTGCATTTTTCAGCCGGCGTTATTGAGACAACTGAGGGTTTTATCACAAGATTGACAAACTGAGCATTCATTCGGAGTTTTGTGCTTTATTCGCAGTAGGTCCACGACCTTCATTTGCAGATTCGACTTTTCATTTGTTGACCCGATGATACCCTCATTTGAAGTTTGTGAAGGCTATACATTGATTTTATTTTATTATGACTTATGGATATACGAAGTATGAATAAACTTCTACTGTCAAGTTATATAAATATGATTTGTTATCGGTAGTGGAGATGATCTCCCCCGCCATCTCGGGCTGAGCGCCGAGTTTTGGTAGAGCAAATCAATTCCATTCAATCTAGGTGACGACGCCAAGATGCTGAGTCTAGTGAGCTTCGTATTAATCTAATAATATTAGTCAAAATGTCGGTGACTCACTAAGATATTGAACACTCTGGCAAGTTCTACGCCGATGATATAAGGTTGATAAACCCGATTGACCTATTTCGAAAATCTGTCAATGCAATCAATTGCAGTCGGTAATCTTTAACCAAGAGAGTAAGGCCAATATGAAGAACAGCCAGGCTACAGGGTCTTTGACCGGCGCAATCGAGTTGGAAACTCAAACCATTCAAGAACGAAACAACCATACCATCAGCTCAAAAGATCAGAGAGTGGATAATACTACATCAACATCCAATGCAGTTCGAGATGCCGTCCCTTCAGAGAGAGATGCAGAGTCACAACAAGATCAATTTCCAACTGTGGTTGCGCATGCACTCGAGAAATGGAATGATCCGAGGGTGAATATAAGTAGATTGTTCGCTACGTTTTGGAGTTTTGTTATCATGGGTGCGAATGATGCTGCTTATGGAGTGAGTACTCATTCACTTCAAAAACAATGCAATTACCAAGCTGACAGGCTCTAGGCTTTGATTCCTTATGTAGGTCATACGGACTGTTCTGCCAAATCATACAAAGGTCTAACAACGCACAGCTCGAAACATACTACAACCTCAGCTACACAATCATATCCCTGGTCTTCCTCTTCCCCCTGGTCGGCTACGCCGCAGCCGCCATTCTCAACAACACCATCCACATGTACCTAGGCCAACGCGGCGTGGCAGGCCTGAGCTCTCTAGCACACGTCCTAGCCTACGTTGTGATCTCAGTGCATCCCCCATACCCAGTTCTCATCATCTCCTTCATGTTCGCCGGATTAGGTAATGGTCTCGCGGATTCTGCTTGGAATGCTTGGATCGCGAATTTGGCTAATGCGAATGAGTTGTTGGGATTGTTGCATGGGTTTTATGGCCTAGGGGCGGTTCTGAGTCCGTTGATTGCGACGTCGTTGGTTACGAAGGCGGATTGGCCGTGGTATACTTTTTATTATTTGATGGTTCGCCTTTGTCCTTCCTCTTTTTCCCGTCTGGATTCAATCTGACGAAAGAACAGATCGGTGGCGCCGTAATTGAATTCGGCGCTACACTCACAGCCTTCTGGACCGCAGATAAACATGACTTCCGTAAACATACCGCATACAGCAGAGACCAGCAGCAGAAAGATAATATATTGAAGCAAGCTTTATTCTCAAAAGCGGCTGCTCGAGTCACATGGCTTTGTGCCGCTTTCCTGTTGGGCTACGTCGGCACCGAGGTCGCTCTCGGTGGTTGGGTAGTGACCTTCATGATGCGAGTGCGTGACGGTGGTGCGTTTGCGAGTGGTATGACTGCGACTGGTTTCTGGATTGGAATTACCGTCGGCCGAGTAGTTTTGGGATTTGTTACGCCGAGGATAGGCGAGAGACTTGCTATCATAGTAGGCCTCCCATTTACCGAGACGCTTATCCCGTTCATTTCCGCAAATACTAATCGTCGATGATCATGAACAGGTCTACCTAGCCCTCGCAATGGCCTTTGAACTCATATTCTGGCTCGTCCCGCAGTTCTACGTCTCTGCCGTCGCAATCGCCATCGAGGGCTTCTTTCTCGGTCCCCTTTTCCCTGCCGCCGTCGTGGCTTCCACAAAGGTATTACCGAAACATCTCCATGTTTCGTCAATTGGCTTCGCGTCTACTCTGGGTGGAATAGGGGGTTCTATTTTCCCGTTTGCGGTTGGTGCGATTGCGCAGTCAAAGGGGGTGCAGGTTTTGCAGCCCTTTGCGCTGGCGTTGTTGGTTGCTGTTCTAGGGTTTTGGTTGCTTTTGCCTAGGATGCCGAGGAGTAGGGAGTAAGTTCGACCAGAGATAATAGGTATATTCATGGAAGGACCGAAATTGTCGGAGAATCTTTGCTTTGAATTGGCAACAAAATGAGATGAAGTGCTGTTGCATTCATACTAATAATGTACGTCAGGGGTGTCAAACCCGACCACAATAATCATCCAAGCTTGACTTGTTCAACATGAGTAGATCAAATCATATAATAAGATATTTCTCCGTGATCTTCCGAGCACCCGCAATATTTCCATTAAGAGCATAGATATTCTGCAATGCAACAGCCGCCTCTGGTGAGAAATCTTCCACGATGAGATCTTCTTCCGGCTTGTCATCCCTCGCGAAATCTCGGACCTTTCCTTTTTCTGCTCCATTCTGTTCATTTTGAGACGACTTGATCTGGTCACCCAACTCCAATGCACGCTCGTAACACGGCACAGCTTGGTGCAATAAACCAAGGGAGTGATAAACACGTCCATAGTTGAATTCTACTTCTTGCTGTAGAGTTAACGAATGAACACTGTTTTGTGTCTTTTCGTTGTCAGCTTTGTCACCGTTGTCTTCGATCTCACTTTTAGAGCGTGCTCTTCGATACAAGGACATGAATGATAGTCCTTGTAAAATCAGGTAATGTCGGTTATCCGCCTGCCTTTTGAGAGCATGGTGGATATAACATAGTGCGATGGGTAGCAGAATCCCTGGATTATCGGGATCAAGTGCAATTGCTCGATAATAGTAGTTCAAGGCCGGGTAGAAACTGTTCCCTGAGTAAAGGATATTTCCATATAGAACCAAAAGAGCGACGTCCATGTCATCTGCGGTTATGGGTTCAGCGTTCTCGCCACGCTTGGTCAGAGACGCTGTCTTTGGCGGATTCTTCGAGTTCCGCGTTACGATTGTCATTGATTTATTGGCAACTCCTGACTTCGATGTCCATGTCTTTGTTAAATAATGATCTTCAGGTAAGGTGGAGTCCATGAATTTAACTTGTCGGAGCATGAATTTCATGCTGGGCGATGCATGAAACAGAGATCTATTGGGGTCACCGCATATGCGGCTCAACATTGAAAACAGTCGGTATGTATCTGTTACGAATGGGTATTCTTTGGTGAACCACCGCGCTTCGCTGACAAGTGTTTCCTCATCATATGCTCGAAGAGCACATGCTATCAAGAGACAAGTATAAGTAAAGGTCAATAAACGGTCAAGTAGTATACCTTCGACTTACTAATCCAGCAAATATGAATTTGCCGTACTTTGTCCTTGGAATGGTACCAGACGCTGGCGTCTGCAGCAGCAGCCAGGACATCATACGCTTCGTCCTTATCACCTTGTCCAGAAACCACGAAGGCGTATTCAAGAAATATTTCAAACCATTCGTCAAATGATATTCCGTAGTAGTCGTTTGGAATGCTAGTCGGAACTTCATCTGCATTATACTGACCTATGACCGACTGTTAGCTGATACCGTTGTGGGCATCTCGAAATGCAATAAAAATCCTACCAATCCATTCTTTCAATCGCTCAGCCACCTCCTGCACCTCACCCATGACTGTTTCTTTCTTCCTGGCCCCTTTTTGCTCTTCCCGCGAGTACCCAAGAAAGATCATATTCTTCTGCAATGGATAGAAAACGCGATTAGTCCGAAAGTCATGTAACAGCGCATCAGCAATGTCAAGCCAATCCTCCGTCGCATCCGTATCTCCATCCCGCATTCTCGGTCGTAGATCGTTCATCTTCGAATACAGATATTGCACCTGCTGTGGACGGTTCGCATCGCTGTCCTGCAGCGCTTCGCGCCGAGATACCTCATTCGCTAAATGCCTGGGTACGATACGGGTTGAAACGTGAGCATCGCCCTGAAACTCTTTTGCAAGCTGCGCTATTCGACGATCCTTACGCCGCCTTCGATTGCGACCTCTAGATTCGCGTCCTAATAAGACTGCCTGGTTCACGAAATAGAGAGCCCGGTCCCTTTCACCCATTGTTTCATAAAGTTTAGCCAGATTAACTCGAGACTGTAGGTTTGTGGAGTCATTCTCTGCTACCGTAAGATAGCAAGATTCCGCCAGGCTGAGGTCAGAACAGGCAAAAGCACATTCTCCCATAGCTAGGAAGAAGCTAACATCGGCATAATCCTCAGTGAGCTGAAGCGGTCTATAGAAGCGAAGGGCTTCTGGAAATAAAGCGGAATCTTTTAACGCATCTGCAGCCTCCCTGTAAAGATCCGCGTAGTCAAACACGGTAGAAGACTCTGAAGTATCATCGGGATTCAGCCATTCAAAATGTGCCTGCAGATTTAACTCATTAGCGATTTTCATAGGCCGTGATGGGTATTTAATTTACCAATGCCTCTTCAAAGTAACGCTCGCCCAGTTTCAGGCGAAATGTGCCTAGTTTAATGCGCAATTCCATCGGGAGCCCCAATCCGTATGAGTCTATCGGATAGGCGTTTGGTATAAACCCGTCAGTCTTGATACGGCGAGGTGAGTCTCCAGCGTCCCATTCCCGATCATCATCAATATACTCATCCCAGATCTTGTCATCCTTCCGGCCGAGGAGCCACCTTGAAACCGATGACAAAAGTTGCAATCCTGCTTCGGGCTCCCCAACAAACGCATACAACTCTGCGCAAATGTTCACATCTGACCAGGAGAATTCCATGTTTTCATCATTGTCGAGGGACATGTAATATTCAATACTCTCCAAGTAATATTGAAGAGCTTTCCGAACATCCTTCATGTCAATGTATGTTTCGGCCAAATGTCGCAGAGCTCGGATATTATGCGGAAGCTCTTTGAGTATGCGTTCATATTCGGTTGCGGCTCTGCCGTTGTAACCTAATTCACGGTACGCAGCGGCTCTCTGGAAGCGGGCATTGTAGCTTTTCGAATCGATTTCAATGATACGGCTGTAGCAGTAGATCATATCATTTAGAGTCTTTTGTCTGTCCTCTCCAGCTCGGTCTTGGATTAGTCTTGCGACTTTGTGCCACACTGTAGGATCACGCGGCCTGGTATGGGCGCCGCTGAAGAGAGCCGATACTGCTTTGTCTTTTTCTCCTCGAGCGAGAAAAATTTCAGACAGCAGTGAATGAGCCGCAAACATTTCAGGATTCACAAGGATGGCTTTCTGCACCAAGTCGATTGCGCGGTCATAATCACCGTCAATGAATGCTTCGGTAGCCTGAGAATGGAGCATCTTGAATTCTGGACTGGGTTCAAGCGGCCGCCTTGGTCCTCGTTTGATACCTTTGCCTCCTCGTGCGCCGAAACGGCCACTGAATGGTCCATGACCTCTGCGACGACGTTTCCGCGGAGGAGGCGAAGCAGCATCGTTGGGATCATAGCCATCATCCTCTTCGCTTTCGGCATCAGTAGAGCCTTCATAATCCTGATGCCCCCCGTTCCATACTGGATCATCATTATCGTCATAATATTCATCGTCAGACTCTTCCTCAGAGCCGCTTAGGTCGACTTGTTCTTGGAGTAATCTCCGCTGGCCTATTGACATAGACGCCGTGTTAAGGGGACCATGTTGGCCAAAGTCCTCAAACGCCACATCCCCAGAGCCGGGTTCTAGGGGAAGATAGCTAGAGTCGAAAAGTCGAGGATCGATGGCGGGGTCTAATGACGGCTGATCTTCTTGGTATGAAGAATCCGGGTAGTCCCCGACGCGACCAAGATAATTTTCAGAGCTGGCCATTGCTCAGGGTGGCGCGCAGTCTGGCTATTTGACCATTTGGACCTTGTAGGGGAGTTTATGGGAGACAGTTGATTACATTTGAAATTGTTGAGAAGTCAAGCAAGTGGTGGCGCAGGAAGAGGAAGGAAGTTAAGTTCTTGATGGAAAGAAGAAATACTCGATGATAGACCTCGCCAGCAGCAACCAATCAGAGCCTGCCGTCAGGTACCCACCTTGAAATGGATTTGTTTAACAAGAAGAAAAGAACATAGAATAAGAAACGAAGAGACGGTATGCCAACTATGGCTAGATTTATTTCATATTCGTTCGCGATGGTAGTGGCATTCCGTGAGTCATCTAGAATTGTTGGCTACCTGCCTTATTTGGGACACAAACCATGTGTTGAAGATGAAAATCAACATCAACACTCGATTCCGACTAACCTCAAGAGCAGAGTTGCAAGAGAAAGAGTAGTTCCAGGCCTCTGATTAACCACAGTTGCTGCCTGAATAATATGGCTCCCTCTAGTGTTGGAACTGGACAGGTTTATCAGTTAAGAGCCTAAGGCCGTCCAAAAATAAACCACCCACCACTCACCTTTCCCCCCTGCGCTTATTTCTTATTCCTCTCCACATCTCTTCTTCTTCTTCCTCCTCCTCCTCTGCCTCTGCTTCCGTTCCTCCCGCTGCCCAAGATTTATTATTCTTCTTTCCTTTCTGCTAGTTTATTTTTTTCTTTCCGTGTTTTTTATTATCCGCCTAGGACTGGCGCTTTGTTGTGTTTGACACACGCTGCCAGTTATCCGGGTGCCTCTCGTTGTCTCGCTTGCCTCGTTCCAACGGTCGAATCTCAAACATCCAGTGCTCGACTTATTCTCGTGCAAATACCTAATACGTTCTGTGCAGCCACTGGACTGGTCTGCACCTAACCCTAATTCCTGCTAAGAAGATTCAGGCACCTTTTTACCCAGATTTCTTGCGATCGAATCGTCGATTGATCCTACGAACCGCGTGGCCCAAAACCGAGTACCCGCAGACGTTCAACGTACTGTAATTCAAACATGGCCAGCCACATCATCGGAAATAGAAACAGCACTCCGGAGGCATCCAAAGCAACTCTGCGTCCTCCATCATCCGCCCGTAATCTTGGCGGTTCTCATCAGCTGCGAGCCTCTGCAGACATGTCTGGATTCCCGAGCCCGCTTTCGACGCGCAATATCCGTCCTTCCTCTGAAGTGTTTTTCAACCAGCAATCGCAAGGTCAGGGCAATCCAGATGATGCCCTGGATCAGGCTGCTCAACAGTGGATTGCCGATATCGATCAGTTTGAGACGACCTTGGAAGAAATGGCAGCTGCAACCATTGATCAGGATTTCAAAGACGAGCTCAGTGCTATCGAGCAGTGGTTCCGCGTGTTGAGTGAGGCTGAAAGGACTGCAGCCTTGTATGCTCTGCTGCAACAGACCACTCAAGTGCAGATTCGCTTCTTCATCCAAGTCCTGCAACAAATGGCCAAGAGCCACCCAATGTCCGGAGTTCTCTCCCCGGCAAACTTTGGCGAGAAAGGTCAGTCGGCGATTACCCCATTTCTGCTGATATTGTTAACTGACATTCCTCAGATCCTATGTCCAATCGCTTGAGTGATGCAATGTCCAAACTCACCACCGCTGATGGCTCACGTAATTCTTTGGGGCGTCCTCCCCCGTCGCCCGGCGCGAAACGGAATTCTGGCCTTGATTCCTCTACCATCAATGCAATGTTCCCTGACGCAGCGGCGGCAATCGCTAAGAAGAAGGCTGAATTCACCCAACAGACTGGCAACGCTCCCGCTTCGAACCGGAACAGTGCTGTCTTTGGCGGTGATCGTTCGTCCCTGGTGGCACCAACCATCTCCGCCCCTGACAGCAACACGAACTCACTAGGTCAACCGCCGTCCTCTCCATGGGCTCAGCGAGCACCGGAGTTGCAACCCCCAATCGCTCGTCCCAAATCCTCCTCTGGACAATTGCAGCAGCAGCCAATGGGCCAATTCAACCAACCGAATGCAGGAGGACTTCGCTCTCCGCATATTGGAAATGTGCAGAATCAAACCATTAGTGCCCCAGAAATTTCTCATGAACCTCCTCTATTGTCGCCTTACAATATTGGAAACTCCAGCTGGGCTTCACTTACCAACACGCCTATGGCACCGACGTTTAATACTCAACAGACTGGTGCCACCCAAGCCGATATGGTTGCAAATGCAACGGCGATGAAACTAGCAGCCTTGTCAACTGTGAATAATCGCATTGCATTGGATGACGCTCGTAAATATCGTCGTGCTCGGTCGAACGACGGCCACGGGAAGAACTCTAACACCGGCCATCTTTCTCCTGGTCTAGGCCCTAGCATACCTGGGGCAAACCTCGTCATGGTCAACGATGCTGGTCAGGTATTGAATGCGCAGCAGATTGCTGCCCTTCAAGCCCAGCAGCAAGCTGCGTTAGCTGGTCGTCGATCTCGCCCGAGCTCCCCTGGCATTACATTGCAAGCTCCCCTGGGCCAAGTTGGATTCACGTCTCCTCAAAACAACGGATTCTTGGCAGCTTATGATCCCAACAGTGCTCTTCTAGGAAACAGCCTGAACTCACTGGGACTTGGGCAGTTTGGAATGGGATCCGAAGGCTATCTTTCCGACCACTCTGAGGTACAGCGTGGGCGCTCACCACGGGGCCGACGTGGAAGCTCAAAGCCGCCCGAGGATCCCACCGACCCGAATCTGCTCAAGGATATCCCGGCTTGGTTGCGCTCTCTCCGTTTGCACAAATACACGGATAATTTGAAGGATCTCAAGTGGACAGAGCTGATTGAACTGGATGACAAGGGACTTGAAGATCGTGGTGTCAATGCCCTTGGTGCTCGAAACAAGATGTTAAAAGTGAGTTCTTTTTTGTGCATTCCTTAAATCTGAGGACGAATGGCTGACAACTGTTTTTTCTAGGTCTTTGAACAAGTCAAGGAAGCCAAAGCCGAAGGCAAGCTCGATACAGCCGCGTAAGCTTGCAACGTACATTTAGGGTTCTATAATTCATGAATGTTGAATGGAACGAATTGATTTTCTTACTCCTGGGAGAGTTTTAGCATGATTCAGCAATCAGCATACATAATATTATCGAGAAGCGACACGCAAGGGTTCTCCCCTTGTACGGACTATTTACTCTACTGAAGCCAAAAATTGAAACCTGTATCTATTTGAGTTGTCTGTATTTGGACTATGTTATGTTATGTGATGTGTGACGTGACGTGGAATGACCAATTCGATTCGATGTTTTTTCGTGTGTAGGATTTGATTTTGATTTTGATTATGATTGTGTTGGAAAAAATATGCTGGTACATGATTTTGTGATTTGAAAGCAGGTAGATGATATCGAACTTGATGTTTTGCATGAAAGAATGGCATGTATTAATGATGGTGGTATTCGTACTGTAACAAAAAGTAATTATCGGAGCTCAATACCGGTCTTGGCACATAAGTTACTGTCAATCTCAACCGACGTAACGAGCTCAGTAACATCTCCTCTATCATAAACAACAACGGCGTCAATAAACAGAAATACGCTGAGAAGCAGTGACTGAAGCAACTTGTTTCTTTTTTCTGCCATTTAATTGAGACAATAGAAAAATGCCACCTACAAGACAGGAGCTCTCCCTCCTCATCCACCCACTCGTCCCCGAGGCCGTTCAACACAACATTCGAGTAAGCCCATCTCCTTCAATCCCCTGAAGGGTCAATAGCTAATCAAAAAGGAATAGGTCCTATCCCAACTCCGCTCCCTCACAGCCTTCATCCTAGGCATCTCAGCCGGTATCCTCGGACTCCAATCCACCGCCGGCTTCGCATTCTATTTCATCGGCACATTACTCGTTTCAGGTCTTGTTCAGATCTTCCTCCTTGGTCCACCCTCATCTATCTCTACTGGTGGCGCAGGCGCGTATTATCCGGGTGCAAGCGGCGGTGAAATTGACGGGATAGATGATTTTGGGAAGATTCATGTTAGTGGTGGGAAACAGGGGCAGGGGAAACCTGTGTTGAGGAAAGGTGCTTGGAGGGACGTTTGGTTTGGTGGTGGTGTTATTGGGGAGACTTTGAGTGGGTTTGTTCTTGGGTGGGCCGGTGTGGGTGGTGTCTTGAGGTGATTTATACATTTCCCTCGGGGTTTAAGTTTGGATAAAGGAGAGTATCGGAATTGAGGAGGATGTTTGTTTATGTATATATGTTTTTAGATGGAGAATGCGTTGGTGAAGATTCGGCGTGAATGGATTTTATGGATCTCATCAGGCTGACCTTGGAAGTCTTGATGCTACTGCAACGCAGTAGAGTTCATGACTCATTATCTTCCTCATTTTGAATCAGAGCCGAGTCTAGCCAACTTCACGCAAACTGCAGGGGTATCAACTGTGGTTTAATACCGAACCCCAAAAGCGTTTTAGAAAGAACTAGTCACCTAACAATTCCATCTCATAAGGATGGTGAGCTTCGGCAACTCCACATCAGCGACTTTCATTATCAGGTAGACGATAGTATCGACGATAAGCACGTTTGCTTGGTAATATACATCATATAGGCCGTTTCGCTCCCTGGCTCCAAAAACTTTGCAATACGTTGTCCGATTATGCGTATTCCAACAATTACCACCGCTGAAGACCAGACCTTAGGAGCCCTATCACAAACGCAGAGTTGTGTAGTCAACTCATGACGACTCATATATTGACAGTTCGATATCTGCAGTCATTTTATCAATTCAACTGAGACCGAAGATTCTGGAGCGACAACGACTTCAATATCAATGCCAATCTTAGATATCTGTGGTCATTACTCGACTATCCAGTGAAATTGCCTTTGATATGCGAGAGTCCCAGAGGCTGTAATTATTCTCGTCCCTCATGCTACCTTCGTGGTTTATTTCACTTATATAGAAGTATCATCCAATTTTCATACTATTTGATTGCACTACGATCACGATTCTTCAACTGAGCACTCCGATACATCTACCCATTTCCCGCCTCCTGATTGGCTAATAACCCAAATTCTCGAATACGCTTCAGTGGGGACGGACGGGTGGATCGACAAAAGTAGTCCGTGCGTATGATGGACATTGAGTTAGGGTTTGTCGTGCCCAGATTAGGAAAGCTGGATTCTTTATTTTTTTTTTGGGCAGAGAGTACGTATCCTTAGCACTGTTTAGCGAAATGAATGCTTGACTACTTGGATGTGTAAGCGGTGATGACGTGCTAATCTTTTAAGAGAGAATATCTGTCCAACACTCCAACTAGCCAACTTGGCGTCAGTCCAATCTACCACATTTTAGATACAGCTACAAAAGTAAGAACATAAGAGTCGAAGACGAAACTCGTATGATTGCCTATATGACCAGCAAGCTCCTACGCTATTAAATGGTATCCAAATTCTTGCACTTCAAAATAATCAAAATCCCAACGCATGCGAAGTTATCATCCTTCGCGGGTATGCTATGAACCAAACCACAAAATAAATCAAACCCGAAATTAAATGCCCTCTATCTACATAAGACAGTCTACTCCTCAATAAATTTCGCAGAGCCATGTTCTTCAATATTGGAAATAGCGCTGTGTACAGCACTCGTGACGTCAATGTGGATGAATGGTCGGTTCAGACCCGATACCAGAGCGATGTTGTTTCGCTTGGCTTGGTATGCCGTCGTAGTGTCAAGTTGCTTGATGTAGTCATCGCCTTCGTTGCTGCTAATCTCGGTGTCGTTTCGTTCGCGCACTGTAGCAGATTTAGGACGACCTTCTTCCAGGTCGTCGACCTTGGCGTGGCTGTTGAGCCGTTCACGTTCAGCAACGGCAGCGGCAGAGCTCCTGCCACCAATTTCAGCAACGCTGAAAATAGGTTTCCAGCGTTTGAACCCATCGGGAGATGTTGGGGTTGGGTAACCAAATCCAGCAGACGTAAGAGCGCGCTTGGTCCAGCGGTTGTTGATATTGGCAAAGTGCCATTGAACCGGTTCAGGGTTTGCGTACAGATCCAACTGGTTGCGGACGTCAATGAGGTTCTGAATAGATGTAACATCGACATGATCAACGCTAGAAAAGTCCAAGATAATAGCACGCAGTGTTGGCAAATCACTGGTGTCTTTGGCAGGCTTTCCTCGTCGAGGACCAGGGTCGTTCCAAGGACGGTCACCAAGAGTGGGATAGCTTTCGAGATTCGTGCGACGAGTCTCCTTGAAGATGACCGAGACAAGATAGTCGGTCTCACTGTTTGCGTTCGGGTAGACGAATCCTTCCGAGAATCGATAGATAAACACTCCTGGGTAAGGATGTTGGACAGAAATTCGTGGGTTGGATCCATCACCATGCGTAACTGGCAGATAGACATTGCGGTAGGTATCATTCACATCGTCGTCGGCTACGGTCTGCTCGGGAGTAGAGCCCAACGGTCCATATTTGCCCTGCTCATCGATCAAGTGGTCGCCAATGACTGAGTGCACTCTGACTTTACCCAAAAAGTCTCCACGCGCTTTGACGAGACGCCACAGTAGCAAGAAAACGGACATGCAGATAGTAGTATAGACACCATTCTCAATACTGGAGAACACAGTGACGAAAACACCGGCAAAGAAGACGACAACCTCCAAAGGAGAAACCAGCCAAAACTGGTAGACAACATTAGGAGGAGTAATCAAATCTCCGACAGCGTGGATGATAACGGCTGAAAGGGCGGCCTGTGGGATGTACCAAAAGAGTGGAGGGAGAGCATAGATGGCAAGCAGCACCACAATGGCAGTGATAAGACCAGCTAGAGGAGTGCGGACACCAGCCTTTGACTTGATAGCAGTACGGGAGAAAGAACCAGTCGCAGGGTAGGCGCCAAGGAAAGGTCCGAGCAGGTTGGTGACACCAATAGCAACCATTTCCTGGGAAGGATCAATTGTGTAGTTGTTCACACGACCGAATGACTTGGAAATCGAAATGTGTTCGATTAAAAGGACAATAACCGCAGATGGAAGGTAGCTGACAAAAGCCTTGATGATGGAAGTGTCAATTGTCGGAACGGCAGCGTGTTTGAAACCTGCCGTTTTTGTTAATTGTGAGACCTTGGGAAATGATAGGAAAGGTATACATACCACGAGGAACGTTGCCGAGGACACTGAAAGCAGGATGTTTGCGGCGATGAATGTTGGTTGCAGCACTGATCATAGTGTAGAACAAGATGACAAACGCTGTCCGAAGTGTCGAGATGAAGAAGAACATCTTGGCTTTGTGTGGCCTCTTCCTCGCACCGTAGTTGCACGCAGACCGAATACCATACAGCATGACAAGAGCCGTCAATCCCAGAGCGGCATCCAATTGAGTCGAGGGAAGATGTTTTAACGAGTTAATAATGTTCATGTAGGTGGCACCTCTTGTGTTGAATTTGTCCTTTTCTCCCATCAAGTTTTTGATTTGACCGGATGCGATGTTCAAGGCGGAGCCGGTCATGAAGGCGGTAATTGCAGTCAACGGAATGAACTCGACGATCCAACCCCATCGGATCAGCCCGATAAAGGTGATGATAGCCCCGGCTATGATAGCCAACGCCGAAGCAATGACTGGACCGGGGATTTCTGGATGTTCTTTCTGCACTGAGATAATGACATTTCCAGTCAGGGTCGACATGACAGCGACAGGCTGTATAAGGTACGTTAGCTTTGCCGTCACAAATAGCAGGGTTCCGACGTACACCTATAGTGATATCTTTGGAAGTAGCAAAGAACCAGTAGATCAATACCCCCATGAATGAGGAGTAGAGACCGTACTCAACGGGTAAATCGGCCAATTGAGCGTAGGACATTCCCTGAGGAACAACCACGGCGCCGACAGTGATGCCTAGAAATCACACATGTGAGTATACTGATATCTTGCGGAGAGAAGAAGACATACCAGCAACCAAGTCTCCAATAAACCACTGCATGTTGTATCGTGTGATCCATTTCAAGAACGGGAAAAGAGCAATAACATAGTTGAAAACGTCGTTCCAAGTTGGGATCTGCTCTCGAATCCAGCCAGTTACAGTAGGCTCGGGTTCGATGTAGGTCTCTGCAGTGCCAGTGGTGAAGACGGATTCTCCCCGAGTGACGGGATCAGCTTCTGAGCCCAGAGGATCCCGGTAGGGAATCTTGATGCCGAGTCCCTTGGCCAGGCCATGGCCAATCTTGGTAGTCGTGCTCGACATTTGCGGTGGTCGTGTCGTAGAATATAGTTGGTAGATTAGGCCGATGCTGATGTTGTATCAGTCTATATAGATAGGGGGCCCTCCCCAATGCAGACGGCAGTATCAGCAGGAAAGATCAGGGAAATGATAGATCTAATCTATGCCGCCATTCCGAAGCAAAAGAGATGATTGTGAAGAATGAAACGAAATGGCGAAATTCAAAGGGGGGAACTGTCGCTATTTCAACTCGTTCGCGGGCCACAGCTCTTCGTATGAGCAGACAAAAAGACGACAAGACAAAGAGTAAAAGTTAAGTAAGAATAGAATATATTAGCTTCCGCCTCAGACGCGGAAGAACGATGTCGTGATCGAGCCCGAGAGCGAAATTTTGGCGTGAGGCTAATACGATATTCACAGAAACTAAAATGAGGATGGACTAGGTTCAAGGGTGAATGAATCCGAGTCAATGCACTGGCGACTTTTCAGATTTGTTTCCAGGGGTCTGATTGGGCACAGGCAAGATCGAAGGTCAACGGATTCGGATGATTCGTGAAGATATCTGATGGTGGTGGTACTGGAGGAGAGAGATGAGAGGAGGAGGGAAGGTGAGTGATACATGGCCTGGATAGATGTACGACTATCAGGGCATCCACGTGTGCAGTTGCCATCTTTTCCTCCGCGGACTGGTGCCATGCTTTTCAGGCCCAGAGAGCGCGACGACATCGCAAATTGCTTAGTGATCGCGTAAACGAGGAGCAGAACAAGCAGAAATCTGATGCCAAGCCTGCTGCTCATTCGGCAGGGACGATGGCGTGATCGACTCCACCGATGATGGAAGAGGTACTTTGCGTAATACCGCCGTCTTCTGATTTGCTAGCGAATTTGTGAGCAGGCCAGAAGTCCCCAGTAGACGGACATGTTACTCTATTTTCTTAGCAATTTTCTTTAGCAGGGGTAGTTAGGGTCGGGGTTGCTCAACGCTAGCAAGATGCGGACGACGCTAGGCGCAACCCTAACTCAGCGGCAGCGACGTCCTACTGGTCTCTGAATTGCAATATGCACAAGCTATTGCGTGATCGACGGGATCTGTACTTCTGTAGAAGCCTTTTCCTAAGTCCCGGAGCACACTCTGATTCTTGATATAGATCGTTCAGGGTCCAACCACAGTACTGCTCTAGACTCGGGATGGTTTATGGCTCAGTTAACGATAGCGATACGGCCATCCCCGTGGAAAACGGGCAGACTACGAACTCTTTTACAGAAGTAGGAACTGCAACCGAGCTTGAAAAAGAAATACCCAAAGCCATGCATTCTAATAGGATAAGAAGACAAGGATGCAGACGCCTATGATACTAGTAATAGTGCAAAAGAGGTAGTAGAGAGAAAAACAGGAAGGGACAAAGTTCATCAAGAGCAAAACCCGTGACCGGCATGATTCAACATAACAGGGAGACCGAGAGTTCTCGAACTCTCATCTTCCATCCCGAACATTAAGGTAGAGAGAAGGAAAGGAAAGGTGAGATGAGACGAGACGAGACGAGACGAGGTGAAACGGAGTGAAACAATCCTCAAGGCTGAGACTGTCCTTGCCGCCCGACTACTTCCGATTTGAGCTGAAACTTCGAGAAAGATCGCTGCTTCGCCTTCCACATGACAAGATGCCAGCCATGTAAACAAAAATGCACGGCACCGCACCGCCCACATGACATAATCGCAAATTTTGTTGTTGCCGCGTCAACACAACACAGGTTTCAATAGCTTCTTTCCCAATTCCTAAGTCACTTTCAAGAGAAGTAAAGAGAAACGAGTCATGCACCTGCATCGCAGGACGGGTACCGACAACATGGTTCAAAGCCGAGACATCTCTCTCTCTCTCTCTTTCTCTTCTTTACTGAGAAGCACACTGCACGCGCTCAGCTCCCTGAGGAACACCGTCTTCATCTTCATCCTCATAAGCGGCTCCATGTGCTCGTGCGTTCTGGCTAGGATCAACATCTTCTAAACCAAAGTCCTCAACCATCGAGTCTGGTGGCGGTTGCACCTGTTGTTGACGTGGTGGCAGGACTTGTTCAAGGAGATGAACGTTCTGTAACTCGGAGGCTTGTGGGAACTTGACGTCGAATTGGATGTACAAGTTACCGAAATCGTGGTGACGGAACGAAGGCATACCCTGGCCCTTGATGACTTTGATGGCACCTACAGAGAAAATTAGTCTGATTCAGCGTATATAATTCGGAATATGTGAACATACCAGGTGTGATAGGCTCGCCAGGCGCAATATTGACAGACAGCCACCTATCATCCAAATGCTCAATGTTGATTGTACCCCCGGCCAAAGCAGTGAGAAGGTCGATTTCTGCATGATAGAAGAGGTCGTCATCCCGGCGTTGGAACCGAGGGTGAGGCTTCTGCTCAATCTCAAAAACAACATCACCAGGAAGAACACCAGGCATCTGGTCACCTTCGCCCCGGAATTCAATCTTGTGGCCGTTCTTCACACCCTTATCAACATGCACATGGAGCACCTTGCGCTCGACAATAGTCTTCTTGCCATTACACTTCTTGCAGCGGTCCTTTTCGCGGATCATCTCCCCTTCACCCTGACAATCGGGACAGACAGTCTGGAATCGCTGAATCATAGGACCCATCTGACGCATCATAGTCTTCATACCAGTACCGTTGCAGCCAGTACATTGACGAACGGCACCTTCCTTTCCACCACGGCCATCACAACCAGGGCAAATAACAGACTTTTGTAAAGCGAGCTTGGACACTTTTCCTCGGTAAATATCCTCCAAGCTGACTTTGTGAACGTGGTTGATTGTTCGTGCTTTCTTTGGGCCAGATTCGCGCATACCACCACCAAACATGCCGCCAAAAGCACCTCCGCCACCGAAGAATTGAGCGAAAAGATCCTCGGCATTCATTCCGGCACCACCACCGCCTTCCAAGCCTTCTTCACCATATTGATCGTAGACCTGACGTTTTTGTTGATCGGAGAGAATCTCATATGCATGTGAAAGTTCTTTGAATTTGTCGGCGGCTTCAGGATTCGATGCATTCTTGTCTAAACTACAGTTAGGCCTGTAGATCGTATCTCGGACGAAAGCGAAGTAATAGACATACCAGGATGATATTTTAGTGCACCCTTCTTGTATGCAGTTTTCAGCTGGGCCTCAGTAGCCGTAGGGGGAACCTGCAGACAAAGGGGAAAAAATGTCAATAGACTATTCTGACTTCCAAGTACAAAATCCGCGATAAAAAACATACCCCTAGAACATCATAGAGTTTCGTATCTTTCACCATGTTGGCTATCTATCACTTTGCGCAAAATGAGCGGAACAACAACACTCCGAATGTCAACAAGAAGGTTGTGAGAGTAGTAGTGGCCGATGTGAGGGGATCACGAATTATCGAGCGACGGACTTAAAGATGTAAATAAAAAAAAATCGATCTACCGATACGTATGTGTGGTAGATGAAGGACAGCAAGTCGCTCTGGGAACGAGGTCTGGGGGAGATTGATTTTTCCAAATCTGAGTCTCCAGTGAAAGCGAAGGGCGCCAAGCTTCTTGTAGATCGTACCTTCTTCGAGGGGTTGGTTCTGGACAGGGACGCTTTCGATCGGATTTTGACGTTTTAATTAGCGTTTTTGATCTATCGACGATCACGAAAAACAACAGCAGCAAGTGAGTCAAATAGAAGAGAAGACCTTCACCTGCTCAAATAAATCTGAAGTCCGTCGGACAGCCCAAAGTCAGATCGCATTCAAGGCAGCCCAAAGAAGCTTAGCGTGGGCTCCAGGCAAATTCCGACCGATTCTATGGGTTTCCATCACTCTTTTGTCCTTCTTCCACAGTCTTCTCTCTGTCGGAGTCAGCCATCTTTGCCACTACTGTCCAGGCCATTGGACACGGTTTCTGAGCGTTTGTCTCTGATTTGATTATATTTAATTTTTTATGGTTCCTTGTACGGAGTATTTAGTCAAACAAGGCCGATTCCAGGGACATGCATTTGTCAGGAATTCTATTCAATGGTCTCAGCCGCAGTTGGTGTGGCGGTGGCTGGTGCTTATCAGGGGTCTTATCGATAAGCCTGCCCCTCTCTCAGCCCTTTATGCAGTGCACTATGCATTGTGCACTACTACCCATATGTATCTCCAGAAAGGGGAAGTTTTCATACTCTGTATACTTCTAATATCAGCATTGTAAACTACTATGTCATTCTTCACTTTCGACATCCTGACAGGTATCACTTCGTAGAAAGTTTGCACGATATGACAAGTGGATCCAATATCGTAAATCTCTTTTCTTCAGGCCCCGTATCTTGATAAGAATATTCCGAGGTCAAAACACCGGCGACCTCCCCGCTCTAACCTGATTCTTCTCACATTCTACCAACTACCTAGGTATACAGGTATAATTCAAAATGGAAACCGATCCAGGATTCATCGCTGCCGTCGAAGAAGCTCGCCAGGGACAGGCCGAAGGTGGCGTTCCTATTGGTGCATGTCTAGTCTCCAAGGATGGCAAGATTCTAGGACGCGGCCACAACATGCGATTTCAAAAAGGAAGTGCTACTTTACATGTAAGCCTATGTCCGTACCATTGGCAAGAAGTGAATCGATGTCTGATCTATGATATTAGGGTGAAATCTCGGCCCTCGAAAACTCAGGTCGTCTCCCAGCTTCTGCATATGAAGGTGCTACTATGTACACTACCCTCTCACCCTGCGATATGTGCACAGGTGCCTGTATTCTTTACAAGGTGAAGCGGGTCGTGGTTGGCGAGAACAATAATTTCCTGGGTGGTGAAGAGTACCTAAAAAGCCGGGGAATTGAGGTTGTTGTTCTGCAAAACGAAGAATGCATCAAGTTGATGACGGATTTTATCCGTGAGAAACCTGAGTTATGGTGAGTTCTTTTACTCGCTGTTCAGGCTTGAACCGATGCTAATTCTGTTGGGGCAGGAATGAGGATATTGCGGTTTAGTATCGGTTACAGATATATCATATGGATGGAGCATTTTGTAGCGTGGCGAGGTTCTTTTTCTTCATCATCTTATTCTACTAAATCATATAAAACTTTTCTCACCGAAAGTGTCTATGAATCTCTTCGAAGAAGAATTTCAGGTCGTCCGGATTGACGAATGGAGTAATTCCTAATCAGACTGAGTCAGCAATCGTTATCCACAGTAGTCCTGCAGGCTCACTTACCATGACCAAGATTAGCAATCCATCCCTTCTTCCCTCCCCCAAAACCCTTGACCATATTCTCGACAGTCTTGGTAATAGCATTTCGATCACCATACAGAATACCAGGATCAGCATTACCTTGCAACGCCACACGACCTCGAGCCACACTATATGCCTCAGCAGGATCATGCAACCAGTCCAACCCGACAACGTTGTATCCACTCTCGCAGAGGTCATCAAGTGCATACCAAGCACCCTTCGCAAAGACGGTCATGGGTACACGCTCCAAACCGAGCTCTTGTAAACGCTTCGGCAGATGCTGAGAAATATGCCGGAGGTAAGGCAAAGCGAACTCTTTGAACGTAGCAGGCGACAATTCCCCGGCCCACGAGTCAAATACTTGCACCAGTTGTGCGCCAGCAGCAACCTGCAAAGCGAGATACTCAACGCATATCTCTGCAATCTTCTGTAACATCGCCTTGCTTTCGTTGGGGTATTTGTAGATCCATTTCTTGGACTGGATGAACAATTTCGTGCCGCCGCCTTCTACCATATAGCAAAGGAGAGTCCATGGTGCACCACAAAACCCGATCAGGGGGACCCGCCCCTTCAACTTGAACCGGGTCAATGTGATAGCCTTGTAGACATAATCCAATTCTTTCTTAACATCGACATCTTTCTTCAGTATTTTCTCGTATTGTCCGTCATCCGGAGAGATCAGAGGTTCGGGGAACGACGGGCCTTTCTTATCGATCATTTCGACAATCATTCCCATTGCTTGGGGGATTACGAGGATATCGGAGAAGATAATCGCTGCATCGATGAGTCCTGCATATCGCTCAACGGGTTGTAAAGTGAGTGTGGAGGCAATTTCGGGCGATCGACAGCATTCGAAGAAGTCGCGGTTTCCTTTGGCTTCATGATACTCGGGCAGGTACCGGCCGGCTGTTTACACGATGAAACATCAAATCAGTTTGCGGATTGAAGCGCTCAATGTGAAAATACCTTGTCTCATCACCCAAACCGGTGGTCTCTCAACGGTTTCGCCTGGCCATATCAGTCAACGAAGCTTTTCGGAATAGTAAAATAGCTCAGTTGTTACCTCTGGCGGCCCTCAATAGGAGATCATTCTTCAATGGCTCGAACTGCTCTTGCATTTTGTGTATGTAGCTTTTCCCTAGGTTGTTCGGAGGTTACTATCGGAGTGAGCTATCGTAAATTCTGGAATACGATTGACCGGACATATGTCAGTCAGGCTTCGTCGGAGCCATCTGCAGCAGATCCTGACCGGGCGATTCCGAGGTAGAGAATCTCAAACTCACGGCGGGGTGATAAGGGTTAGCCCTTATCTAGAAGCTCAGTGATACCGACCAATCAAAACGACCAATTTGGTAGAACTCAATAGCCTTGGATCTATCGACGTATGTTGCTTTTTTTTCCCTTCTTTTAATACATCTAAGACTGATTTATAACGTACTATCTATCTACCGTCCCCAGTTGTCCTCTTCCGAAGATTTTGCAAGCTGTACAACCTCTCGCTAAATGCCTTTTGGCTTTTGGGCCACGAAGACTCATCCACACCAGCGAGTACCTTTGCTGTGCCCTGCGCATTGATGTTGTTGACAGCCTGGTTCGCTACAGAATCAAGGACCAATTTCCCATCCTTCACTTTAACCGTATAGCCTTCGACAAGTACCGGAGATTCATCGGAATCCTTTTTCCAGTCTTTTATCGAACCCGGTTCATGGCAACTATCGATGGAAACGAATATCATATTGTTTTCGTCTAGATAAGTCAAGTCGAGAACGTTTCCTGAGGCTTGAATCGACTCTTGAGGCAGTATATTACCACTGTCCTCTAACAAGAAGCTCAGAAGTTCGCGAGACCTATCATACAAACATCAGAATAAGTTTTGAGGTAACAATAATTCAAATGCATTCACTCACCCATCAAGAGCCACAAAAATTGCAACGGATGAATTTCCTGCAATTTTCACTGCCCAGATATCTCTTACAACGATCTGATTCTTACCTTCAGGAAGAACTGATAGTTTGTACAGAGATTGGCCATTTCTCCAATCCCAAACAAAGATAGAATTATCGCCTCCTCCAGAAACTAAAAGGTGCGGCAAGGTCGGTGGTATACAGAGAGTGCTAATAAAAGACTCATGGCCCAGACAAAATGCCTCGATAACGTGTGTCTGAGGAGGCCCACGAGACACACGAATCTGCTCATCGCGGTCTGCCGTCAATATATAACTGTGCGAACCACTAGCTGACGTGCTCGATGGTACGACTGCGTAGACCATATCGGTAAGCGTAGAAACATGTCCGGAAAGCACATCTCGTTTCGCTGTAGGATTGGCGGGAGTATTGTCTTGCGCTTGCTTTTGACGAAGTTGTTGACGCAAAGCATCCAAGTTCCTCTTAGTATGCACGACGAGAGGGTTTGCCGCCGGTTTGGATGGCTTCTTAGCGCGAGAGACTAGTTCGAATTCGCCGCTCTCGCCGGGTAGTAAAGGCATGCTATATACATCACCACCTTTATCGGCACAGATGATGGTGTTGCCGTCAGATGAGAATGCTACCGCGCAGGGTCTTCGAGGTACTGGTCTGTGTTTTGTTAGGATCCGGTATTACTAGAATAGAAACCCAAGTCCACTATCCTTACCTGTCACTTGATTCCGTCAATACCCCTTCCGAATTGAGCTCGAAGACTCGCACATGTTTATCTTCTGCAGTCACTGCAACTACATAGCGGCCTGATGGGGAAGGCACGAGGATAGGAACAGACAGCCAAGTTGCGCTAAACTTGTTGTCCTTTCCATTTGCCTGCTCATCCTTTTCGGTGCCCGTGGAAGAAAGTTTTCTTTTCTTTTCTGGCGGTCCTTCACTACTCTCAGTATTGTCATCATTCGTTCCGGCTTTTGCAGAATCGTTTGGCTTAAGTTCAGGCCATGTCGAGATCTTGCGACCATCGCTAGCAGAGAAAGAGTATATATTTGGCCCTGCAGATGCGACGATCGTTCCACCAATATGCCGGATGCAAGTGAAAGGATACTGCGCCGTCGAAAGCATTGGTGCTGATGTGCAATTGAACGGCTAATGTACTTTGCGATAGATCGAGTGCGATGTATGGCGGAGGCGCTTACAAAAATTGCGGCGGAAAAAAAGAGAAAAAAGCTCAAGCCGCAGCATTCAAATGAGAAAAGACGTATTGTAGCACGTTCTTCTGGAGAAATATTGAAGCTCTTTTCATGATTTCATCTCTTGGCGCGCAAGCTCAGGCGATACCACCTCATTGGTGGCCGACCAGCAAGTGGGTCGGTTAGCCGAAAGCACCACAAGTTCTGCCAAAAATCGAAACACACACATTTTTATCCCGATCCCAACATCAACTGTCCAAGGAGACAACACCAGAACACACAATCATTTTTCAATTTGCCCTTAAATATCCTCTCTTCACAAAAATAAGAAGACATGGGGGGCAAATCCGCAAGCAAGGCCGCTTACTTCGATAAGCTCAAGGGCCTCCTCGACGAATACAAGACCATCTTCATCGTCTCCGTCGACAATGTCAGCTCTCAGCAGATGCACGAGATTCGTTTGAGTCTCCGTGGCGAGGGTGTTGTCCTTATGGGTAAAAACACCATGGTCAGTAATATCAGTGCAATTGGTAGTCATGCAACAAGTTACTGATGAAGAGTTGTTCAGGTCCGCCGTGCTCTTAAGGGCTTCATTGCTGAAAACCCTGAATACGAGCGTCTCCTCCCTTTCGTCAAGGGTACGTTTTGTTATCGCGCCGATTATCAACTTCGAATATGAGTTTGTCAATATGCTAATGCGAAATAATAGGCAACGTTGGCTTCATCTTCACCAACGCTGAGTTGAAGGGTGTCCGTACCAAGATTCTCTCCAACCGCGTCGCCGCTCCTGCCCGTGCTGGTGCCATTGCCCCTGCCGATGTCTTCGTTCCTGCTGGTAACACCGGTATGGAACCCGGTAAGACCTCTTTCTTCCAGGCTCTCGGTGTCCCCACCAAGATTGCTCGTGGTACTATTGAAATTACCACCGATCTCAAGCTCGTCGAGGCCGGCGCCAAGGTCGGTGCCTCCGAGGCTGTTCTTCTCAACATGTTGAACATCTCTCCCTTCACCTACGGTATGTCCATCACTCAGATCTACGATGATGGTCAGACCTTCGGTTCCGAGGTTTTGGACATTGAGGACGAGCAACTCCTCAAAGCTCTCAGCTCTGCCATTACCACTATCTCCACCATCTCTTTGGCCACCTCCTACCCCACTCTCCCATCCGTCATGCACTCTCTTGTCAACAGCTACAAGAAGGTCTTGGCTGTTGCCATTGAGACCGACTTCAGCTGGCCCGAGATTGAGGAGCTCAAGGACCGCATTGCCAATCCTGAGGCTTATGCTGCCGCTGCTCCTGTCGCTGCTGCTGCCACTGGCGGTGAGGCTGCACCAGCTGCTGCTGAAGAGAAGGAAGAGTCTGAGGAGGAGAGCGGTGATGAAGGTAAGTCTATTGTAATTTATTTTTCGTCTACCACGAAACTAATTGACCTTTTAGGATTCGGTGGTCTCTTCGACTAAATTGTCTGAAAAGGCATTTTTGTGTTACGGGATACGAATGAAATGTACTTGACATAGGTCGCATGAATCGATACTCGTGATAGATTAACGAATGAACTTCATCAAAAAATTCGAGGATAACAAGGACACAGTCGAACGATCTTTCGTAGACCCGGTACAATACTGGATCTACGTCAGTATATCACATTTAAGGTTGGTCTCTTTGATTCTTCATCATTCCTTCATATACACATGCACGGAATTCCAGGCGAATGATTATACCTTTTTAACCCCAAGCTGTTGTTCTGCAATGGCTATGAAGATTAAAAATAGCAACAACAACACTCTAATTTTTTGCTGACGCCCAAACCATTACCCTTGTTTATCTCTTAATACACTTTCATTTTTATGTGAGTGACTTGGCTAATTTGAGAAGTAATCATTCTAGATTCGAACAAACCCCCGACGAAATTTATCTTGTAGTTCGGCATCATTACATGTGCCTTGCTCGTAAACTCTTTCTGATATGTTTGGTTCTCTGCGTGGTCACAACAGATACTATGTCTGAAAAGACGGGATGGTCGATATTAGATGCTCGAAATCATGACTAATATACGAAAATGGAGATTTTTTATCTAATAGCAATCCAGGTCACTTCAATTGCAGTCTTCCACCTAGTACGAAACCATAACCCACAGTAGCGATCATGGCGATCGCATTGAGATGAATCGACATGGCGTGATTCCTAGAGAAAGTCTTCTTCACTTTGGCGACAAACGCGTCTGTCTCTGCAGAATCATGACTACCCTCAGCCTTGACATTATCTCCATCTTTCTCATCTTGAACCTCTGTATCCACTTATTCATCAGTACCTTAGGTTTCATCACATATGACAACAAAAAAGACGTACCTTTCAACACCCTAGCCTTCTCAACCATCGCATCACTTGTCCTCGGCCCAAAGATGTACCAATTTAACCCAGCCATCACCGTCGCCAACCCCAACAATAGATTCCCAACGTCATTAACAGCCGACAACTGCAGCCATGTTCCCGGCGGTCTTGTAACAAAAGTGAGTACCGCGAAGCCAAGCTGACACCGGAAATAGACCGGGAACAAGCGTTTGTTGAGGTTATTGAAGTTTTGGGGTGGAAGGGAGCGGAAGCAGATGTTTGTGTTGATGAAGGACTATGAATTGTAAGTTAGTACGATTGTGATCTAGTTACCTAGAGTCATTGGGGATGGAAGACCTGGTAGAGTTGACTGCCCAGAAACGTCCCGTATGCTAGGATGTGATATGGCAGCGGGTTGAGCAACGTCGACAACATGGCTTCTCTTTACGTACAAGCAAGATAGTAATGATTTTCAGTGTGAGCATTAAGTACAATCTTTTTTCTCATTTCGCAAACGAGACTTGAAGCTCTATAGAAGTCCCCTTTATACTGCAGAAATTGTATACATGTTGGTAAGCAAATCCTCGGAAGGATATCATAACCGGTGCTCGTTAATAGTTGCCAACCGACCAGATATCCTATGATAACTCGCATGCACATATCTACTAGGTCTGTAATCCAGAATTTCGTGAAGGTAGACAGTCCAACTTCATATCTGCGGTTTAGTCCCTACGAAAGAAGACCAAAAGTGTCGTATTGAGTATCAAGCCGCATACGCACCTCTTGTCGTGGAATTTGCAAAGGGAAATTTTAACCTTAAATGGACCCATTTATTATAAGAACTCGGCTTCTCATTCGTCAGTCTAAAAATAGGGGGTTTCAACTTTAAGATTTTCACGAAGTCTGTGGGCACGACATGTGTATGTTATCAGACATACAACATTCTCTGCTGTTCCTCATACTTGATAAGCGAAATGATACGGCCGCGCACCGTGCTGCGTCTCGTTCTATATGTGTCGCATACTTGGTTAGGTAAGTCGTATCCTCTCAGCAGAAGACAATCAGACTCATAATTAGAAAAGCCCTTGCCATTCTCTACGCTGGCCTACCTAGCTTTGCTCGGATCGACGATGGCACTGAATATGCAACCAGTGTGCTAATCAATGACGGAAAACTGACTCGAGTTTATGGGCAAGTCATATTTCTTTTGGTGTCGAGTCAATTCTATATCCATATCCTGACAGTCTGTTAACAGGGTACATGAGTACTTTCCTTATGATGCTGCCGAATTTACTTCCAACAATGACTCTCGGAATAATCTAGCTTTGACCTTTAAAATAGACAGGGAGTCTGACTCGCTGGTCATTTGTGACACGGGAAAGATCTCTTTAAATCGATTTACAGAATTGACGTCTCCAGGCGAAGAAAGCGATGACGGGTCTCCTGTCAGCCTATCTGTCTCTGCACCAGCGGGCGATACGGATGGTATTAGTCTGCCGTGGTTTGACAAGGCAGATGCAGTCATGATGTTTCATTTCATACATCGTGACGAAGCACTGGTCAAGCTGAACGTGGGATTCGAAAAGGATAAGAAGAGACTGGATGTGTGGCCAGCTGGAGAGGACCGTGTACGTTCTCCTCATTTTATCTGATGATGTTTGAATCATTAATTAAAGTATCACAGTATAAGAAAAACCTTCTCTCTCTAACCCTCGACAATGCTGAAAAGGAGAGTACTACCCGTATCTTAACGGCGAGCGTCCCTCATCCTCCCTTATCATTGTCGCCAAGTCCGACATACCACGTTCGACTTGCTATTCTGGTGGTCCTTGCACCGTTAACACTTCTCTTGATGGGCGTATATGTGGGCCTAATATCCCTGATTTCTACAATTTTCAGACTTCTATTTTCACTTTTTTGGGTATTCGCACTGTTGTTCCTGGGTCGTTGGGTCTATAAAGGTAGACCGCCTGTAGGTGAGTTCATTCAGGAGATCAGGAACGATGCAAAGGCTCTTGTGAAGAGGGTGCGAACATGGAGGAGTGGACAGTCGTCAAATAGAGGCAAAGACGAGGAGCAACCGCCTCTAGACAATGAGGAAGTGAAGCCGGATCTGGAATTTGAAAAAGCGGATGTATCTTAAAAGTTAACAAGGAATATAAATATCAATTTACTGAAGGTGAGCTTCGATTTATCGTTCCCGCATATCATAAGTGGATTCTAATGTAATCGATCTGTAATTACAGGCATGACCGTCTATTCTATGTCGATTTGATCTTTTTCAAGAGTTCTCGAAACTCTTCAACGATGGATTGCTCCCAATCAGCCCTTGTTTTCTTCGGTGTCCAACCCAACTCTCTTCCAATCTCTGCCTTTGTCCTGGTATTGCTTGCAAATCCCAGTTCACACAATTGCTCATCACCATCGGCCCACTTTCTTGCCGCTTCCCCAAGACTAATAGGCCAGCTGTGATTTCCTTCAAGCTGAGTTAGCAGTGGCAAGTAAAACGTATGCATATTTGACATACCCGACACCACCCAACCCTACCAGCGCAGTCCGGGACCCTGGAGCAGCATATCGATGATGGAGTTGATGCAGGATCGTCCCACGGTCGACAAAATCTGGGTCGCGCCCGAACGGGATCAACAGTATCGGACTGGATGGAGTCTCGGGACGCTCTATGCAACGGCGCTATTGTCAGCACGGCTCCATGGCGAAAAAGCAGCGCCGTACCGACGGGATAGTGGTGGTGGGCGGTCTCGATCTTCCCAGCGTTGTTGCCGACTTGTAGTCCGTGGTTGTGCGAGTTCGAGAAGGTGGCGTGGTATTCAGCAGGAGGCATGACGACTGATGATGATTTGGAAGGCGTATCACATTTAACAAGAGCCTGCTCTTTCTGATTAGCATGAATGTCCCCTTTTAAGTCGGACGTACACTCGTGTTCTACCTAAAATTCCGCCCATTATTGCAATACGTATGGGTGGTCTCCGCTTGGCAGTACGCCAATCCAAGGCTAGTTGTAATTATCTGTTACCCGTATTCAAGAAACAGGCAATGTTAAAAATTGATGACCTGTACGCCGTATACATAGTACATATCCGGTACAATACCATACATGATACGGTGAACCAGATGCTTCGGAGTTCACTTAACAACGTAGTTTAGCTCTTGGCATAGGGTTTGAGACAACATAATCAAAGAGAGTAAGACCCCGACACCGGTTTTGCCTCTGAGTGTAACGATTGCTCAAGCAAATCAAACCTTTGAAAGGGTAGCTGTGTCTATCTGTCGATGAATGTGTAAAATTCCAAAAATGGAGAAGAGGGGAAGATAAAAATCAAGAATATTGGAATGCTTTCTTGCTTGAACGGGATGTGTCTCTGGGAGGATTCCCAGGGTATTTATACTTGGGATCCTGCTGCCAGTACATGCGAAGGTAACAAACCAACACAAATATCTTTCATAGAGATCCGATAAATATGTTTTGCACAAATGAAACAGGAGGTTGAACATGGGAAGATTCCTATGTCAACAGAAACGAATCAACCTAGTTAGGGGATATGGCCTGTATTTATAGACAGCGAAATCCCTACATGACGTATACAAAGCCATATGACAGAGCCAGCCAATAAAATAATAATAAAAACAAAGAACGCCGATTGATATTCATGCGCTTTGACAGATATTCCCATTCAGCCCTAGTTGCCTAATTCGGAAACTAGGGCTTAGCCGGGTGTGGCTGTCACAGCACTTCTTCTGGATACACCGCAAGAGCGGTACTTTCCAACAATGAAAAAGTGGTAGAATGTCTAGTAGGATGAAATCAAACAGAGGTTTGTAACAACCTGTAGGAGCTTGCCAAGCGGGACATGCGAGGTAAGTTGGACACGATTTTATTGAAGCACAACTCCGTCCAGCCATTACTCGATCTCTTTTTGATAAACAGACCTGCAAAACTGTCTGTTGGTTTAATTACGGTCCGTATCACGAAGCATAGACGGTAGTAAGGCGCGAACACGAAGCGGCCTAATGAGCCTGACAATATGAAGATATCTTGATTCCTAATATTGTGACTTATCCCCAAGAACGACGGGGACGGGGATAGCTGGCTAGATATACGCGGCACGCACGTACCACGTCAGACTAACTATATCCGGTACCGAAACGTGTAGGGTTTAGTATTCACGTTCCGACACTGTCCTATCCTCGATTTCCGGATAAACGGACCTGTGAAACTGTCCTATCCTCGATCTCCATTCGTCATGTCAAAAAAAATTCAGGAATCAGCTGCACCGCAAAAACGGCGAGAACAAATATTGATGGAAGTGGTTGTGCGTCTAGTTTGTCTCTTGGACAATCTCTCATGAGAATCCTAATTCATCGACACAATCATTTTCATACGGTGAGAGAGAAGAATCAACAATCCTAGCACAGCAGGTTCGAGGTTGTTTGCTCATCTGTGGAAGTCGTGTCACAGCTGATTCGGATGGTCCATTACTAGGCCTGGGGTACGTCGATGCAGATGTCACAACTGCAATGGTGCAGAATTTACACTACAGCTGTACGCCAGGACTGATATCATTGACACGGCAAATTCAGTGCAAGGACATCCTGACATTGCAGACCTCTGTCAGCCTGTCATTAGGCCATACAACTAATATGCTCATGCTTGGCATTCGCAAATTACTGCCATGTTATTGCCGCATTTGGTCAGTCTTTCAGCAACTTTACACCGCCTTCTGTTAGCTTCAGTCCTGGCTTAGAAAAATATCATCATCCCATCCATCATCTTTGCCATCCAAACTGAGTATCCGCACCTATCTACGTACGGCTTGACGGTAGAAGAACATGGGATAATTAAAAAAAAAAAGTACCGAAGTAAAAGAAAAAAGATATGAGGGGTACGCGAGTCGAACGCGTGACCTTCTGGAATCACAGTACTTCGCAGTCGAAGTATACTGGAATCAGATGCGCTACCACTGTGCCAACCCCCCTGCACTATCTGTGCTTACGATAAAAAGGGCCCAGCTTAGTATCATAATCCTTTTCCCCGTACTGTCAGACATCTTGGCTGAGCAACAGCAAATTACAAAGTCCCATGCCCCAATCATTTACATTTTTATCTATCAATACACAGAGATGCCGAGGATTTACATTGTGCCTTTGATTATCCCGAGGCAACCTTGGAAGTACCGTTAACATTCGACACCGGAATGGGGAGATATGTTGCGATGAATGTTGGCATCCATTGAAGCGATGATGATACCACTATTTGTACGGTGTATATCGTCAACCGACGGGTTTCATGTCAGGTGCGTTTAGACGCGACATTGGAGTTGAGAAATAAAGTATTTTGGTAGCTTTATACTGATCATCTATCATGGGGAGGACCGCATTTTGCTGGTTCGAGCTGCAGAGCATACATACTCAACTGCTTGAGACGGGACCTTCTGGCTCCTTTCTACTCACTCTAGACCTTTACTTTTTCCAATTGAAGAGTTACGCAGTGCTCGATGCTCATATGGGACTAGGAAAGTATTCATAGTTAGGTATAAGAGAGACTGCAAGAGCATGAATAACCTCTACTTAAGGCTACATATTCACCGATTAGAATCATCAGCCGAACGACCAAACCTCCCACCAAACCCTCCAAGATCACGCCGGAAAAACTTTCCAATATTCTTCAGATTCTCGTTCAACTGCGTAGTTGCCGAAGAAGGGGTAGAAGTACCAGTTGCATCGAACCCATCGTTTGTCACACGTTGTCCTCCTTCAGGACCGGGAGATGTAGGGCCAGAGCCCGTCATTGTGGCACCAGAGCCAAGTGGAAATCGCTCAACACCGTCTCTTGCAGCAGAAATGATAGCAGAACCAAGAGTGGATGGGTCAAATCGACCGGGTCCCGTGATTGATGTGGCTGCAGTTGTGCCTAGATTGCTTAGCCCTTGAGAGACTGTTGATCCTGCTCCACCGGGGCCTGAAGTCGGTGCTGAAGGCTGCAAAAATGCAAAAAGTGGATTACTTTGTTGTAGATTAGGAGCATGGCGCTCGGAGGCTCGGTGCAAGTTGAACAATTCCACGAGTTGGCTCTGGTCTTGCTTAGATCGTATACCCTTGACTTCCAGGATTCGACGGAAGTTGGGTTCGCTACGATCGGCGATGTGGATGAGATACGCTTGAACCAGGGCTTCGGGTGGTGACGGACGGACTTGAACCGTCTTCAAAAGACAGTCAACTTTTGTAAAGCTCGAGTTGACTCGCTTCACGAAACCGGGAGGTGTAGGAGAAGGAAGCAATGACGTTAAGCCACTCTTCAGAGTGTAGAGATCGAGTAACATCTAAAAGAAGTTAAAATCATAGTCAACAGTAGTATATTATATAAATAATACTGCGTTACCTGTTCAGCGCCAGATTCAGACACTGGTCGACATGAATAGACTGTAGTGATAAAAGTGTTCGATATAAACTCAACGATATGATCGGCAAACGCTCTTGCATACTGTTGCTTGTGAAGCGATTGCAAAATTTCTTCCGCCTGCGTCTTGGTCTTTGAAAGTAACTCTCCAACGTAGGGGCTCTGGTCGCCAACATTCTCCAGTTTGTTCCAAGGAAAGTTTCGCATTTCACGCCAACACGGCTCAAGCTGCACTTCAAGCTTGCGGACAAGTCCTCGAACAGCAGCGCTGGCAATCCCCATGAAAGCATCGGCTTGACTTTCGAAATCAACAGTGTTTCTGAACTTCTCGTCAATACGACCCTTGATCTTCTCTTCTAATTGTGTGCTAGTAGTGTAGCAATAATCTGCCGTATTCAGTACCAAAATAAGATCTTCAATTGAAGGTATTTTGGACGGCGTGTGAGTCGTCGCTCGTTCACTAATGTAGTGGAGAAGAACTTGCTGTGCATACTGGTCTAGGTATTTCGCAAAGACTTTCGACAACTCGGCCAAACTGCTACCCGTAGAAAGCTTTGCGCACTGTGCAAGGGAATGTCGGTAGAAGGTGAATAGCTCCGTGGAAGATGAAATGACAAGCTGCGCATGGAACTCTTCATCCTCGCGCTTCAGCGGTTGTTGTCGGTACTTGGGCAGCAAAGCAGCCAACTGTTTGTCTTGTGCTTCAACCCACACTCCCAGGTATGGCTCGAAAGCTTCGGAAATGCTCTGTATGGCAAAGGGAGATTCGACAGAGGATGCTACTGTATCCATGGATGCCCTTGAGGTTTGTGCAAATCTTCGATCGAGCGAATGTTCGAAATCGAGTGTTTCCTGTAAACATGAAAGTAATAGGTTGACGTCTATCGTCTGTCCACTCCGGACAGATCTTGACAGAATGCCTTTGAAGTCATCTCGAGTAGATTCACAGAAAGTATTCGCTAGCACTTCATTGACCCTCCATGATGCCGGGAATATATTTGCATGCTCTTCATCGTATGTTTTCATCATCCTCTTAAACCAAGAGTAGCGACGAGATATGTTATCCAATGATCCAGCTTCCTCATTGCCACGGAAGACCTGTCGATATTCACGAAGTTGTGTATTGCAATACCAGGTTGTCAACCTCGACCGTGCATTATCACCCAAAGCATCCATAACCAGACATGCTTCCGCGAGCATCACTCGCCTTTGTACGACCTCGCCTTTGGCGAATGTGATTTCAAAATCCTCGCAGACCTGCTCGAGTAGCTCACGTTGAACATCTGCCACATTTCTACTCAAGACAGCTATCTGATCTATTGATCTATATGACTTGAAGTGCGCCATGAGTTGAATAACAGCCTGGAGTAGCTGCGCGCAATCACGATACTGCCGTGTCTTCGCCAATGCTCGTAGTTGTTCGTAAGCGGTCGTCAACATCTGCAAACGCTTCAGCGCCGTCATGGAAACAGTTAAATTCTTCTTCGCATTATCCAGTTGCTTTATATCCGCAGTCATATCGGTAATCGATTGCTCTGTCCTAGACGCACGTTCCCGCACATCGTCTATCTTCTTGAACAGCTCAGACAGATCCGCCTTGGCGGCCTGGATACGTTGCACACTCTCCGCATTGGAAGTGACCTGCTCCTCTACCAGTCGCGCAATGTCGGTGTCTAGCTCGTTTTGGTATTTTCGGAGTGCTTCGGAGGTCTGCGAGACTGAAGAGAGTGTGGATGGGTGGGAGAAGATGCCGTTCAGATGCGCAATGGGATCATAATCGACTACCGCAGATATTAGAATATTTCACGGAACTGTAAAGAATTTCTGTAACATACCTGCATCCAGAGGATCTGAAACTGACATATCGTTGACGGACATGTGGCTGGCAGTCGTCGTCCGACAGGTTCATATGATAGTCGATTGATCGTAGCGTGGCTACAGCCTCCGCAAGCCAGTCAATTGTCGGTCACCTAACATATGCGGATGGTAGCACTTGAATCATCAACAGGGTATCATTTCAGAACATGAATTAATGAAGCAAATAGATCTGTAAAAAGGTGCACGTTGTACGGAGAGCTTCTTGAGGAGCATGTCCGACCCAGTGGAGTGTCTTGGCAAATCCCGAGCTAAAGCTATGTAAAGATAGCTACGTCTAGCAAACATGAAATATCATGGTGGGATTTCCTACGTAACTACGAGCTGTTACTCCAAAGTTGTGTTTGATTTGTCTTCATAGATTGAGCTGGATTGTCTAGTTGTGAAAAGACCCATTATCAAATACTAACTGTCAAAGTAGGAACCCATCTTGCTTCGAAGCAATATCTTGGTACATATTTATGATTTCCGCAACAAAAGTAAAAACAAAATCACCAAGCTCCGTCGAACCATGCAAATTCATCGCCATGTTACATATAACCTTTGTACATCGTCTTAGATGAAAAATAGCCACCCTCAGCGCCACAATTGACCTCAGCTCAAGCCACCACATGTATGGCCAAAAAGGAAAACAGGATTATCAAAGAGAAGATTTGACCCTCTGAGAAAGAAAAAGATGTAATATATGCGATGAAAGATGAACTCCCATCCTATGACACTAAAGAAACAAATGCTTCTGCCGGGATTTGGTTTTGTGCCTATGAAAGAACTATTAGTCTATCATGCCTTGCTTGGTCAATAAAGGAAAATGAGACTCACCTTTGATTCCTCGAAAGCTCGCAGAGCTCCTTCAATACTCCAATTATGCTGCACAAGGGCCCGTTGAGAGAACTCCAATTTCAGCTGCGTTGCAAAGCTGAGCTGGAGAACTAGCTGTTCCTGTTGAACTTGGGCATCGGGTTTGCCTGGTGCTGGCATACCATAACCTTGCGGTGCCTCCGGATGAACTGGTGGAGCACCAACGGCTGGTGCGGTGTCGATTTTGTTGTTGATATCCCAGGCATTGTAGCCGCCGTATGCTCTAAGAGTAAGCATATCGCTGATAACTTTGACGTTCTCAGGGCCAGGACTGGGCCCAAGGATGAAAGTGCGGTCAAAACTGCGAGTTTCAACTTTGCCACTGCTGGATTCGTTGAACTGGCCATGTATCATGATAAGGAAACCTCCGACGCCAGATGGACTCTGACCAGTGGCGTCGGGAAGACACGGAATCAAATGACACTCAATTAACCACTGCGCCGGTTGATCAAGACCAGGGTGTTCTGTCTGAGGCATGGAATTCCATACATCTCGAATCTTCTCGATACCAACGTACATGCGGTTCATTTGGGCAGCAAGATGATTTATCTTCTTTAGGTTGCGACTGCCTTTGATCCAACTGTCCCAGCCGGGTGTAGGAGTTGTGATACCGTCCTGTGCCGAACGTGGGGCGACCGGGTTAACATTGTATGAAAAAGATGAGTTATTGTCGTAGTAGAGATTTAGGGTACCATTCCTATCTTTGTCGAAGCCCAGGAAGAAGTTCCGAATAAATGTCTCCGCAATGTTTCCTTCGTCCTGGAAAAAGGGAGGCTGAACGGGGATCGGAGCCCTGCTTTGCGCAGCAACCTCCTCATCGGTGCGAACTTGTATGTTGTTGAGAGTTTTGAGTTTTGGATACCACTTCATCATAATGTCTTTGAAGCTGGCAACTGAGCTGAAAGGATTATTCGTCAAGTCGAGAAACTCTAGCTGGCGAAATTTCCAGCGCCATTTATCTAGAGCTTTCTCATCCTGGAAATTGTTGTTGGAAAGATCGAGTGCTTTGAGATTCGGGAAATTCTGCGAGAGCGTAGTTACCGGGTTTATGTTCGTCAGCCCGTTGTTGGCGAGGCTGAGATTTTCCACTGCATCTCGGCTGGCCTGTTCGGTTGGAAATTCCAAGGTCCAGACTTTCATCAAGGCTTGGTAGAATTTGGTTTCACTCGTAGGCGTTTTGAAGAGGCCCATATCGAGAAGGATAGGATCCGCTGCCAGGTTTTGCAGATTCAAGATTTTGTTGGCCGGAAGGAATCGGTTGCTCAAGAAAGCTTTTAACCGCTTCTTCATCTCTTCCGTAGATATTGAGGGTGTTTCTTCATATTTTTCCACAAGGAGTTCAGCCCCAGCAAATGTATACCCGTTAATCTGTGACATCCTGTCTCCCAAATCCGGTCGAACACTGACTACAATAGTGTCTCCCTCGACGCGGTGCTATCGAACGTTAGTAAGGCGGAAAAGAATGCGTATGTTGCAGTCACCGAATGATGGAAGTGAGAAACAAATCCCGAGTAGTATCGATGGCAGCTGAGAATGTCCGTTTTGAATCACCAGTACACCCCGGATATACGACTTTGTGCGGATACTGCATCGGTGACCGCTAATGCTGATGTTGCACATACCTTGATTATGTTTTTGCGGCCGTGTTTCGTTGTGGGCAACTTCTTTTCGAGCCAGTCAACGAGACTTCGGACACCCCCGTCGGAGTTCGAGGCGGCTTTGCTCTCTTTCCAGCCAGTAATACTATATTCTTCAAAACGTGACTTAGTCGCTCCTTGTCGGATATTGGCCTGTGAGCTGGCATCGCCGCTGCTAATGGCTTTCTGAATTCGGTCGCGGTCGAGTTCCATTCTAGACGATAAATCTCGTGTATGCGCTGGGTGACCATGTCCACGAGCGCGTTTACCAACATGGCCCCGTTGTGTGCCGGCACCCATATCAAGATCGCCATCTCGGTCTGTCCTCGTAGGAGCACCACGTTTCCGAATGCCGCCTCGACTTGGCCCACCGGGGCGACTGGGCGCTGTTCCCCTAGACCTTGCCATACTCTGATTGTTTCTTGAAGACACGCCTAACATAGGCATGATCAGAATCAGAGGACAAATCGGTTGTTCAATAGAACCGGGTGGGGGCCGACGAAAGATTAGATGATATGCGACGTAGTTCTGTAATGAGGAAGCGATGAAGAAGACGATGCTATAATCGGGTATCAATAAAGAGAAAACGGTCAACGTCGAGAGGAAATATGGGTTGAAAAAGTGTCGTCTGATCTTGCAGAATTTTGTCGCGGGCTTGAAGGCTTCTAAGCCCCGAAAAATCACGGTCGTAGCTTATATCGAGATCATTCAGTGTTGAATAAACAGAATAAAGGAGCTAATACTGTGTGATATGGAAGTATTCAGTTGGTAAAGATGAGACGAAGGTAGGAATAATAGAGTGCGAGTGGCAGATGAATGTGACGTTTTGTAGGCAACACTAGGCTCCGGACAAAGGATTCTCTGGAATCACGTGACATAAAACGTGCACTAATCCGAAGAAAGTAAGAGGCACATTGAAGACCCACTACCTTCCCGATATGGGATCACTGTAATCGCAAGCTGGCCAGATCTCGAACTCCATACTTCTTCATGCGCCTTCGCATTGTCGCTCATTAACCACTCCATACCCGTTGATTGCAATTGCGTTCCGTTCAACTGTCTTTACATGATTCTCTATTTTTGACAGATTCCACCAGAAGCCCTCATTGCAGGAGCTAGCTGATGCTTTCAATTGTTTGGTGATATATAGTTCCAAGCTTACAGAGATGCCCGCCAAATCACGATTTACGAGGCTTGATGCGTTCGCAAAGACGGTGGAAGATGCGCGCGTGCGAACAACATCTGGTGGAATTGTCACTTTAGTGTCCTTGGTCGTCATACTCTGGTTAGTATGGGGGGAATGGGCTGACTACCGCCGAGTGGTGGTGCTTCCAGAGCTAATAGTCGACAAGTCACGAGGTATTTTATTAGACAGTTTGAAATCAGGCCTCCTTCAAATACTGACAGGCGTGTCTTGTAGGTGAACGAATGGAGATTCATTTGAACATGACCTTCCCTCGACTGCCGTGCGAACTATTGACATTGGATGTAATGGACGTTTCAGGAGAGCAACAGATGGGCGTCGTCCACGGTCTGAACAAAGTACGACTCAGTCCGGTTGCCGAGGGGGGCAAAGTTATAGATGTTGCGAAGCTCGAACTGTGAGTGACACTCTTTGCGTAATTGGACATCCTCTCAGCTGCTTACTGGTTGAATTCCACTGCAGACACGCCCAAAATGAAGTCGCTGTACACCTTAACCCCGAGTATTGCGGCCAATGCGGAGGCGCACCACCTCCACCAAATACAAACAAGCCAGGATGCTGTAACACCTGTGAAGAAGTTAGGGAAGCATATGCATTGAAATCGTGGGCATTCGGCAAAGGTGAAAACATCGAACAATGTCAGCGAGAAGGTTATGCCGAGAAAATCAATGCCCAGCGAAGGGAGGGATGCCGTATTGAAGGTGATATCCGAGTGAACAAGGTGATTGGCAATTTCCACATTGCCCCTGGTCGTAGTTTCTCAACCGGAAACATGCATGTCCACGACCTGGACACATATATGGACAGGGAGCTATCCGATAACGAGAAGCACACAATGTCGCATATCATTCACCAACTGCGATTCGGACCTCAGCTCTCAGACGAGCTATCCCGACGTTGGCAATGGACCGACCACCATCACACCAACCCATTAGACGACACGCAACAATTTACAGATGAACCAGCTTATAACTACAACTACTACATCAAAGTAGTCTCAACATCCTACCTGCCCCTGGGTTGGGATAGCAGTCAATCCGACCAACTCCACGGAGACGATCAATCCACTCCGCTAGGTCTCCACGGTGCTGTACATGGTGCAGCAGGCAGTCTCGAAACGCACCAATACTCGGTAACATCACACAAACGATCCTTACACGGCGGCAACGACGCTGCTGAGGGCCACAAGGAGCGTGTTCACGCCGAAGGTGGTATTCCAGGTGTATTCTTCAATTATGATATCTCACCCATGAAAGTGGTCAATCGTGAGGTTCGTCCAAAGACATTTACGGGGTTTTTAACGGGTGTTTGTGCTGTTATTGGTGGTACATTGACTGTTGCTGCTGCCGTGGATCGGTTTTTGTATGAAGGATCTAGGAGGATGCGAAAGTCGGCAGCACATACAGAATAAAAACACAAAAAGCAATATGAGAATCTATGGCTTGTCTTATATTTATGTCTACTGCATCTTATAACTATTTTGTTTTGCCATGCCTATTTACTATTGGCATTTTTGTCATGGGGCGTTCATTTTCGGACACCTTAGGAGATCGCTATACAGAGCATCAAGCACTTACAGCCTTAGAAATCATTGTCATCCAGAATCCAAAAGAACAAAAACCACGCAAATGAATAAACGAGTGCGTCGTTTCAGTTATTCTCTAGAAAAACGCCATTTATTATAGAGATTAACACCAACAATAAACAAAAACCATATATCCTTTCGATCTCAAAACAGGAAAGAAAAGAGAAAAAACTCCAAGCGACATAAAAAAGACCCCCAATAACGAGAGTACGCTGGAAACCCCACCCAAAAATGAAACCGAGTCAATCAATCTCTCTGTGCCCTTTCTTTTTTTCTAAAACTCCGGTCTATGCAGATGAGTTAATGGTAAATAATGGGGTGATTTGGTAAAAAAAATGTAAAAAAGATAAAAAGAATGGATGTGGGAATATGCTGTTGGATTAAGGTTGCGGATGCAAAATAGTTGAGACCAAGTGTATGAAAGGGGTATGTATGTATGTATGAAATGATCGCATATTCTTTGACAGGTAACAGATAAAAGGAGAAAAAAAAACCGATGGAGGATGTGTTGCTGTAAAAGAAATTTGTAATGATTGAGGAGGTATGGAAGGAAAGGTCAGTGTAAATCAATACTGCTGATATTGCTGCTGGTGGAAATATTGATTCTGGTGTTGAGGAGGCGCAGCTGGCGGCGTCTGAGGTACCACTTGACCATTCCAGGTATGCCAATCTGAGCTTGTGGCCGGACGAGGAATCATCTGTGGTTGATTGAAGGTATTCTGATTCAAAGTATCCCAAGTGTAGCTTGCACCGGGCATGTTGTATACACTCCCAACTTGTGACTGTTGCATCTGCTGTGCTTCATACATTTGTTGCTGTTGGCGCTGTGCGATTGCTTGCTGGACCATTTGGTTGCTGAGGCCTTCTTTCATATATCTCCTTTCGCGCTCGCGAGCATCGATGGCTCCAATCAGTCCAGCGGGGCTGACTGCAGGCTTCACGTTGCTGTTGGACAGATTGAAAAAAGCTGATCCGGTCATACGAGCCACATGTTCCTGTTCTCTAGCCGACAAATGCGACGAAAGATCAGTTTGATTCAAGATGGCGTTTGATCCCCAAGAATGCGGACGGGGTGGTAGATCGCTTTGATTTAACAACATTGTCGAATTTCGAGAATGAGGCCGAATGGGCATGTCATGTTGATTCAGGATCATTGTCGAGTTTCGGGAATGTGGTCGCGCTGGTATCTCGGTCTGATTTAGCAGCATAGTCGAGCCTCGAGAGTTCGGCCGAGGAGGTAGATCTCTACCGTAAAATGGTTGAGATGCACCTAGTGTCCAATCCCCTGACCGGGGTCTAGCAGCTGGGCTCCCAATAGGATAGTCTAGAGGATGGGAGTTGGAGGTCGACCGATGATGAACAAACTGTTCAGGCGTCACGGTACGACTCGCAGGAGATTCTGGTCGATAGTTCGCTAGACCTGGCTGCCAAACAACACTTCTGCGCTTCTCATCCCCAGCAGGTGATCGTGACAATTTGCGGGCATGACCTTCTACTCGATCATCACGACGGGTAGGCGAAGGGGAATTGGAACCGAAGTTGTTCAGCACGTCGGACATACTAGGACGTCGGGTGTGCAAATTGTGCGCCATAGTCGGACCAAAATCAATAACCGGAATATCAGGGTTTTCCTTGGGAACTTCCTGGTTGGCAAGGTAATGCGCGTCTCCGATAGTGACCTCCTGCTTATCCAAGCTGGAACCGCCCACCGTTTTCAAGACGCCCATTCGAGGACGAGGAATGGAGACTTCTGAGCGCTTCGTTTCGGTCGACTTGCGACTGGCATAGTCTGGGGTCACTGATCCGTCATCGTCATACACGCTTTCAGTATCGACTCGCGAAAGTTGAGGAAGTTGAGCCACAGTCCTCTCGTATGTGTACGATGGCTGCATCGGCAAAATCCTACTCAAAGCGGCTTCATCAACTGTATGTTGCAAATCTCTCAAGGTCGGGTCAGTCGACGCAGAGGATGGTTCCTGGGAGTCCATCTCAGAAATATAGCTATGCTGAGGAGGAAGTGGTTTCCTCTTGATAGTTTGAGATGTGTCTAGGTGAAGGTTTGGTGTCGTCTGAGAAGTCCTCTGTGGTAATGACTGCTGGATCCGGGTATCGGTGGTTGTTCCGTGGACCGGAACAGGAGGAGCTTGTTCTTCAACAGGATGCGCATTTGTGTGTGAAGAACGTGCGTCCATATGAACTGGCGAATCACTATCATAGCGCTCATCTGAGTAGGGGTTCTCCTGGATATCTGATATGGTTGTTGTAACACCACGTAGTTTACTCACATCGGCGAGTTGAGCCAGAGTTGAGCTAGACATACGGTTATTGGCTCGTCGTAATTCGCTTGAAGCTTGAGGCCGACTAGAGGGAACCTCGCCTGGTTGATGTGAAAAGGCTGGTGGAACGGCCACGGGTGCGGGAGGACTAGACCGGAATTCCTGTGCAAGGTTGTCCGTACGAGGTACATCATGTAGTTGTGCATCACCATCAGAGCCACTTCCATTCGAGTGCCGCGTTGAAGGGCGATCGTGTGTAGCTGTTGGATCCACACCGTGAACAGGGGGCTCAGGTGGTGTATCTTGAATCGATAGACGCGAAGGAGCAAACGACCTGCCTGTCGAGCTCGAAGGAAGGAAAGCAGTCGTGTCCGATACTGCTCGATAATGCCCGTACGGTGATGATGACCCAGACTCGGTGACAGGAGATTCAGCCGTAGACGGGGGAGTTTCGATGATGGCCTCTGCTGACTGATTGAAGCCAGAAGAAAGAGGAGGTTCTTTAAATCGAGTCTTTCCATGACGGCCAAGAATGCTTCCTCTTTGACGCGGTCGACCAGCGCTGATGCTGCTCGCGGGACTGTTGACAGTGGACATTCGCTGCCCAGTTGCCTCTCTAAGCTCCCTTCTCCATTCCTTTTCAGACCATCCTTGGCTTCCAGATTTATTGATCAGATTGACGACATCAAGCACATCCAGATAACCGTAAGGCTGGTGTTTCGGAAAAGCGAACATCAAACTCTTCACATTATTCGTATCTGCGATGAGTCGACTCGGCCGTCCATACAGGCCAAACGTGTCGAAAACAGGGAAGAGAAACCGTAACATAATTTCCAGACCAGACACGGCCGGGTGCAGTTCTGGCATGATGAAAATGTATCCCTCTGTACTGGACTGAGGCTGCGAATGGAACATGATATTGCCTTCTATCTTGATCAACGTCGACTGATCAATCAGGGCATTCGATTGAGGATAAATGGCAAAGGCTGCATAGGCATCAGTAATGGTTGCAATTGGCTGTGCCTTCTTTGTCTTTCTCGTTTCGTAAAACTTGATGTCGCCAGTCAAGATTGGTGTAGTACGATCATATGCAGACCGCTTCTTGCCGGATTTGTGTAATTTCTGAATGTCTTTGTCACTCGGCGGAGTTACGACAAACCAGCAGCGCCTCCATGGTGTTCCAGCCCCAAATCTGACTCTTGCCCAATCCTCGTATTTGTACCGAGAACGCTCCATGATCATTCGTATGTTATTCAACTGCCTACCTTTTCCGGCGATGATAGACCCCGTATAAGCCTCGAGTAGGGATGTGTGCTCGAATAGAGCCAGTCGAATACCGGCAGTCCACTGAGTAAGTGAATGAAAAGAATTGAAGTGGAAAAGGTAGCGGTTTCTGCCGGCTGTCGAGACGCTCAAGATATTCTGTAACGGTTTGGCATTCTTGTCGTACGTCGGGAGTGTCTCAAGCTATACGAGTCAATATCAGCTCCATGTCGCAAGGAATCCTGCAACCCATCATACGCACCATTTTTATCGAGGCATCCGTAAGGTTAATGAAAGTAGGTGTCACGTCCTGATTTTCGCCTGCTGCGTCCAGCGCAGCGGCATCCCAGATTGATAGCACGGTTCCCGTAAGCACTCCGAAACATTCGACCCATTTGCGATCTGCACACGGACGACCCTCTATGAGCGAAGTTAGCACGATACATTCCGAGATCAACAGAAGTCACAAAAAGACATACGAGTGTCCAGATCATTGAGTTTGAGAAAGTACCCTTCTTGGTACATCTTATTCGAATGACTGTTCATAAAAGTGAAAATAGGCAGTAATTCCGGCAATGTATCTTGCGCGATCTCCGTCACCGGAGGCTGATACGTAAAGACCATCGACGCTGGGCGCGCGAGACTCGCCCGTTCTGGAGCGGCCGCCCTTGTTTTCACGATGTGCAAGCCATTTGGAGGAGATGAAGTGGGAGGGGTAGCATGCGGTTTGGCGAGCTTCGATTGACTGCTGGAATTTGAACCTGAAGAACTCTGTGACTCTTTTGTGTTTGATTCGTTCTTCGAGCCAAAGGCCGCTATAAACGATCGAACTGTAAAAGATGCAAGGGATATCCATGATCAGCGCAACGGTTACGGGAAGAGGACCGGAAACGTGCGAAAACACATGGCTTTTTTTTCTTGTCCATGATTGTCTGAGATGATAAGATTAGATTTGAATGCTTACCACGCGAGCGAACCATGCTGAAGATAGCTGTGGCCTAGCCCTTGGGCAGGCGACCTGTCGACAGATCGAATCTCCACCCAACAGATACCACAGATCAGAGCGGAAGAGGTTGTTGGAATGGACGAAAGGTGTAAACCGGAAAAGGCCGGCAAGATTGAAAGAGCGAGTGAAAGATGAATAAACAAAGCAAAAGAAAGAAGCAAAGCGATGGCGTTGTGAGGATTTCAGGTAGGAATGTAGTAGTGGCCTTTAGATCTCGATGGAGATAATGTCTTAGATATAATTATCCCACCTCCGTGCTGAGTGATCGACACATCGGACGAATAACGAGTTTCAACGAGCGGTTTTGCGATGTTCGAGAGACGGCGACGTGATTATCTCGCTCCTATGACCAACAAGCGAGAGATACCAAGACCACAGAGGGTGGATGGGGAGTGGTTAGGAAGTAGTGAGCGAGTGAGTGAGTTGTACACGGTTGTCAAAAAAATTGTCTGTCCGCGGGAGTGAGCGGATGACGTCGCCCCAAGCGATCCACGGGTTAGCAGTAACTTACCGCTAATCATCTAGACAATAAATAATAATACAACCTCATTCCTATTCAAGTCTTTTGACTGCGCACAAACTCAATAATCTATCCTTGGCCACGGACAATAGCCATCAGAAACAAAAAGAATAAGGGCTATTTTACGTATTAGACGCTACAATAACTGGACGATTATCGCATGTCTCACTTCTGGCGTCTGGCGCCAAGCTGGGTGTCTTCGATCCAACCAGACACGTATATTTTGCAACGGCTCACGAGGAGTATTCTGGGCCCCCAGACCAGGTGATCCAACATGCTGGTCTCGGAATTTCACTCCTTTTTTAAAGTTGTGAAGCCACTCCAGGGGTCAGGACTCAGGAGAGTCTAACATATCGCAACGAATACATCCAGAACCCACTAAACCCGGTGACCAAAGGCAATAATTATGGGGACCCTTCGTAGCTTAAATACATAGTAGTAGTACTGTGACCTGTCAAACTAACGGAGTTAAGTCGATTACCTGCTTACTCAGAGTATCCACAGACTCCATACTATTCGATACGGGTCGGGACTTACGCGTACAATATTCTGAATCATCAAGCCCTCTTGAGGCTGGCAAAGCCTCACATGGGATTTCCCCGACATGCCATACACGCAGTGTTTGAAAACAAATCCACCTCTACAGACAGATCACCCGGTAGAATCAAGGGTACGTAACTACTTAAATTCGTAAGACGGAGTAGCCCTAGTTTGTCAAGCCACAGACGCCACACTGCATAGTTTACAGAAGCGTTACGGCATTGTGGTAATTTTAGCCGTTAGTGTCTGATAGTCGTGGGGCCAGCTGCCCGATGCGTCAACGGCACGATGTATTTCTTTCGTCAGGGGCTGTATTTTAGGGTTAAACGTTCAACTGCGGACTCTGTCGTACATCCAAAGCGCTATGCTATGCCTGTCATGAAACAGAAAGAACTAGTATCAAACAAAACCATCGCTCAAGTGGCATGTCATCAAATGTATCATTGAGATAGCCCCGGATCAACAAATGCAAACCCATCGTTACTCTGCACAACATCATCAGCGCCAAAGCCGAACAATGTGTTATTCTCGTGATGAGGTGCGATATTCTCATTTAGAGAATTGAAGAAGGCGATATCGTTCATTTTTTCATCAAATTCGTTATTCATAATATGCGAATCGTGAAAGAAAGGCGGTGCTGCATCCGCAGACGGGAAAGGGTCGGGGTCATGACTGTTATCGATCGGCGTATCAAACTCCAGCCCGTAAATCCCAAATATAGTATCTGTATTCTCTTGAGCTAGCCGTGCTCGCTCCATGATTAGGTTGTCAATATCCCGTTCCTCGTAGCCGTGCTTGCTGCGCATGTGCACAAAGAGATCAAATTCTCGATAGAATCGGTACTGGCAATCAGAGACAAGACAAGCAATGTGTCGACCGCTTTGGTCGGCGTATCCCTCGCCAGTGAGCAGTGTCATGGTCGAGACGTCATGATTCGTCTTGCGTTTACTTGGTTCTTTATTCAGACCAAGACGCTCTCGACGTTCGGCTTTGCTATTTTGCAGTCCCAAATGCGTCGTGCGGACGTGCTCCTCCAAGGCGATTTTGCTGCTGTAACGCTTTCCACATGCGTCTGTTCCAGTCCATCCCTCCACCTTTTTCGAAGTCGACAAGTCCGTCTCACCACACACGAAGCGTTTCTCACCCTCGTGTACCGTGCGAACATGAACGGCAAGATTCCCTTTCTTTGTAAAGCTTCGTCCACACCCGGGAACCGTACACGGGAATTGACGTCGTTCCTCCAGACTAACATCACCGTGGGAAATCTCTAAGTGACGGCGGAGTTCTCGAGAGCTCTGGCATCTAAGAGAACAATGCGGACATTCCGGGGGATGCACAGATTTGATATGTGCCTGCAACTCCGCATAGGAAGCAAAACTCAAATTATCACTCGCACATTCCGTGCAGGTAAACCGACTCTCCGAATGAACCCGATTTTCATGACCACGTAGATGCGCCGCTGTATCAAAGGCCTGGGAACATCTCTGACCTGTGGCTGGATTAACATATTGGCAAGGAAACGGTTTCTGTTTAAGATGTATGGACATAATATGTTGCGCTAAGGTCGCGTGCTTGCGGAATGTCTCGTTACACGGCGGGTATTCAGTACAACGAAACTTGTCTCTTCCGTCGTGAGCAGCGAGATGTCTTCGGAGTCTGGTACCTGTCACAAAGGCTTTACCGCAACCTCGACGGTCACAGACATAGTCGCGAACAGCAGTATGGGCACTTTTGATGTGATGATTCAGATGAGAGACCCGTAGAAACGTCTTCTCGCAATTGTCGTAGGTGCATTGGAAAATACGTTCATTATTATGGGATCGAAGATGTTCTTGTAGCCTTGCTGGTCTGTTGAATGCTTTTGTACAGCCTTCGAATGGGCATAGGTGTGTCTTCAGCTCGGAAGGGTATTTCGAAGAGGTTCGTGAGAAAGGAGTAGCGGGTGTCTCGTCATCGGGACCATCGTCTTCGTCTTCTTCATTCTCGGTATGGAATCCCGATGAAGCATCTGATATTACGTACTCTGAGTCTGTAGATTGATTAGAGAAGGATAAACAAAATGACAGACGCTTATTTACCTGATGTCTGTTTAACAAATTTTGATGGTCGCTTGACTGCTGCATCGCCTGCTTTGCGTTTGACAGACATCTTCAAGGACTAGAGTTCAAGTTATCGAATTATCATTTCGTGCGCTTCCTTCAAAGAAACAAGCAGACTGCCAATTGTGTAATATTTCAATGAGTGTAAAGTTGATTGCGATGTTGACAAAAATAATTATTTTCGTGATGGTGGAGGCGGTGAAGGCCAATGCGTTTGCTGATTGGATGATATTTAGTGCGACGAGATCTTTTCTCCGTCCTCCGCGGATTGCGACGACAAAGATTACTTCGAGCTCAGTTTCAATCGTTCAACCACGTCGTGTAGGACGACTCCTTCTTCAAAGGTCACAGTTCCTTGTCGAAAAGCTCCTCCACGACGCATCTTAGTGTTTATTCGTCATAATGTCCGATTACGGTGATCACGAAGCTGAGGATACCGGGTAAGTTGTCAACAAGAAAATTTCTGTCCCTTGGATCAGATACCTTCCCCTTTATTCAGTCGCGCACGCCGCTCAGGAATAGAGTACTGATTTCATTAGCTACGACTACGATGGTGGCGAACCGGAATACGATGACAACGAGCCTGAAGACTTCCTAGAACCAGAAGATGTCGAACCGGAAGGTGACGAAGCTGTTCATGGGGCCGAAGACGTATATCAGGATGCTGTTAATGGCGAGCGAACCATTATATCCGGCGACCCTAATGCTGGTGGTGGTCGAGGAGTGATGGAACAGCCTCGCGAGAAGAAGATACCCAACGACCAGCGCTCGACTACACCATATATGACCAAGTATGAGCGAGCTCGTGTTCTGGGTACCAGGGCACTTCAGATTAGGTTTGTGAACACTCGTTTTGTTTTTAGATCGTTGGTGCAGTTGTCTAATAGTGTGCTTATAGTATGAATGCTCCCGTTTTGGTTGATCTTGAGGGCGAGACCGATCCGCTCCAGATTGCTATCAAGGAACTCAACCAGAAGAAAATCCCTCTGATCATTAGGAGATACCTTCCTGATGGATAGTGAGTTTCTCTTCGTTTCTTACGTTATAACACTTTATCTGACTTGCGTTTAGCTATGAGGACTGGACCTGCGAGGAACTGTTGTAAATTGGTATGGTCAGGCAGTCAATCAGTCAGTTTCTTATTTGCATAGCGTTTGGTGTTGGTGGCTTTCGAAAGGAAAAAAAGAACAATAAAGAAACAAACAAAACAAAGCAAGAAACAGTTCACGTGGTGTTGTGTGAAAAAAATATACCTCGAGATCAAGGGTCAACAACGGGAGCTTGTTACCTTCAAGAATTCGCACAGCTTGGCCAATCTGCAATATCGGAATATCTTGCAATGTATTCTGCTTTAGGTTGTTGTCATTTGGAAATCGCGGAATCATGTCATAAATGTAATATCAGCGATGAATATGGTACATGCAGGAAGTCTATCAATTGCCTTTCTGTTCATCCGGGACACCTATACTCGGTAACCAGAAACATCAGATAGAAAGCAGCATGCTGGTTATTCGCACTGCTCATGATATTTTTCTAACAAGGGCTTGATTCTCGAAAACTTCCATCTCAACAGAGCCGAAACATCCCTTGTCAGATAGAGCTCAATATCATGTTCACATAATCAAACTGGATCTACCGTATTATCCTTCAGGACACATCGGAACTTCCGTAGAAAAGAATCGTGCAGACAAATACTACATGTATATCCGCTGATTGTTAAGCAAAGGCATTAACAATTTTGATATGATTTGAAATCCATCTTGAGTGGCGAGAAAGCCATGGGCCACTTTTTTCCGGCTGATCTACTGTTGGCCCCATCGCATACCCTGAGGCCATTCGTAATTCCTTAATAAGATGACACCTATTCTGTACGGATATGTCGTTGAATAGTGTTGATAATGCTGAATCTCGGTTACATTCACTAATCATCAAATATTTCTATGAGTCAGTAGAGTTGAGAATAAGCGGGGAAGTGATCCCTTTTGACTATTTACCGCCTCAGGCATCGTGGTGGATAAGACGGCACATGGCCACAAAACCTTTTCCCAACAACTTATCTTAGATCCGCCAATCACAATATGCATCCGCCCAAAATCCATGCGAGAATCGATTTTGTGTGTTTGTGTCAGAACGGAAATTCCGACTTAATAACTAGAGAAGTTCATTTCAATCTATCCGAAACGGGAAGGTGGTGACTATGAAGCTGGTCGCTTACTGGTCGCCACGGCCTGGATGCTTATTCCAGATATCGGAAATATTTTGAGAAAATCTATGATAGTGTGTAGGTATGGGCCCTGGGTTATATGACTCCTTTTTCTCTCTGTATCAGTAGTGGAGGCTTCGTTCACCGGGGAGGAGTTTGAAATAGAGCGCCTTTCCCATCTACTTCTCGCCTAAAAAACGTCAGCATACACACTAAGCCACGACGCAACTACGTACAGGGATCGAAAATCTGGCTGCGATAATTGCTGCAACCAACTCTATCTACCGGACTTGTTTCCGAGCCTCGGGCGCCCATGTCACAAAAGATCCAAGACCCTAGCTACTGACTGCCAAAAGAAATATACATAATAGCGCCAAAAACCCCGCCCTATCTAATCAATCAAAGTTTTGTGACAAGATTATTTAGCTTCTTACCGGCAAAAGGTTTCTGGGAGGGATCTGAGTGAGAGTGAAGCAGACGTTGGTCAAAAGGTCTTGTATAGACTTTTGAGATGGCACAGGATACTTCAGCAGAGGGTCTTGAAAAGGCTATTGAGACGTCAGATACTTCCGTAAACGGAAGTGAGAGTGCTGTGCCAAAGACAGAGGAGATCGCTCCACACGCGAATACCGGTTATCATAATGCAGAGCTCGATTTTGATACAGGCTTCAAGGCCTGGTCGCAAGTGCTTGGGTCTTTCTTTTTGTTTTTCAACTCATGGTATGTCTATGCGTATATCCTGTTAGCCAGAAAAAGCTGACTTGGGAAAATCGTTCTAGGGGGTTGATTAATACATTTGGTGCTTTTCAGGTACCTACACCTCCTCTCTTACTCCTCTAATCCAGAATTTGCTATAGATATGCTCCCGAACATCCAGCTAATGATGCATAGACTTACTACGAAGACCAAATTCTATCTCACGAATCAGCATCCACAATCGCCTGGATTGGTTCTATTGAATCTTTCCTTCTCATGTTCATAGGAGTCGTTGCAGGTCCCCTATTCGATGCTGGATTTCTCTCGGTAATGCTGGCCTTCGGTAGCTTCATGGTCGTCTTCGGTTATATGATGACCAGTCTCGCCTCTGAATACTATCAAGTCATGCTAGCACAAGGTATCTGTGTCGGGATTGGTGCCGGATTCCTATTCGTACCATCAGTAGCCATTTTGCCGCAATATTTCCGAAAAAGGCGAGCTCTCGCAAACGGCATTGCAGCTTCAGGTAGCAGTTTCGGCGGTGTCATCTATCCGATTATGTTCGATCAGCTCCAGAGACAAGTCGGCTTCCCCTGGGCTACTCGAGCCATCGCTTTTGTAGCTTTGGGGACATGTACGTTTTCGTGTCTCATACTACGTGCGCGTTTTCTTCCAACCGAACGACGAGATTTGATCCAGCTCTCTGCTTTCAAAGAAGTTCCGTACACACTATTTTGTTTTGGAATGTTCTTTGGATTCCTAGGTTTCTACAATTTCCTGATCTATGTTCAACCATGGGCAATTCAGAATGGAGTCGTGAACGCAAATTTAGGGTTCTATCTAGTCTCTATCCTGAACGCAGCCTCGATCTTTGGTCGTATCACGCCAAATTTGATAGCCGACTACACGGGTCCAATCAATATCCTTCTACCGGCTGCAGGTCTCACAGCACTAATGGCTTTTTGCTGGATCGCTGTCAACTCAGCTGCGGGTATCATTGTCCTTGCCGCTCTATATGGTTTCTTTTCCGGTGGCTTCGTCTCTCTACCACCCGTCGTCATGATGGCCATCACAAAGGACTTTCGGGATCTGGGAACTCGATTGGGCATGTGTTTCAGTATTTCTTCCTTGGCCCTTTTAGTCGGTACACCGATTGGAGGCGCTATTCTGTCTGCTGGTAATTCATACCTCGGCGTGCAGTTGTTCTGTGGAGCATGTCTTGCGACTTGTGCTGCGTTTATGGTCGTTATTCGATTTATCCGTGTTGGATGGAAGTTGACTGCTCGAACATGATACAGCGTGTCCATCGCAATTCACGAAGTTCAATTTCTATATATCAATCCGCGAGACGGGGAGGAGGAACTTTTTAACTGCATACCATGGCGTCGCTCTGTTATTCTTTTAGATTCATTTTCCGGCACAATCTTGTTAACTGCATAGTACATTCTATGGTGTCTATTATGCATCACTCTCAGTGTTGGGAGACAATCAGGGACATACGTCACTGCATGAGGCATATCGATAGCTTGATTTCGGGGTTTGACCTGGGGATTCGATTATGCCTCAGATATTCACACAAAAGCATTAATGTATATTATCGAAAATAATTTCGGTCAAATCATGGTTCTTTTAAAGCATTATTCAATGGGTGTGGAAAGAACTTAGATATACATGAAGACACTTGCCTCTTGAATTCCTCGACACCAGTAAATGTATACGTACAATATCCACCATAGAACCTCGTAAATCAGTTATCCCATACGCCTGCCAGATGAATCTATATATGCAATGTTTTCATCTCCTCTTTATATCATGAACGTGATACCTACGTATCAATAGACATCCTCCGGATTCACCAAAAAGTTCTCACCATCTTCTCGAACGTGTATAAGATCTTTATCCCTACTACAAGGTTTGCGCATATCGAACGCATCTTCGCCTTGATCGGACATTCCGGTGGGATCGTCTTGGTAGTAATTCACAACTCGTCGGAAGACAGAGTACCTGACAAGTACGATTAGCCAATAGTCCAGAGAAAGCCTTCTTGTTTTGTTTCTGGGCAGGAAAAAACGTACCCCATGCCCTTATACATATCCACCGCTACTCGATTCGTCGCTCGAACATACAAATCCACAAACCACGCGTCATTGATATCAGACGAATGCTCCAAACTCTCTGTCAACCGTGTCGCATATCCCAGTCTTCTCCATGCCGGCGCAACAGTTAATACTGTTATATGACCATGCCAAGGTGTGTAATGCTCCGAATTCCGCATTGCCGCCGGTTGTTCCTCTAATTTCCCCATAACTGTGTTTGTTGCCGTCAGCATTTTTGCACTTTTTTTGTTTTAAAGCGGTTACGACTTACTGTAGCCCACGATGCCCGCATCTCGGTCTTGAACGACGCTGAATAGCGACGGCCAGCGCATTAGGTAATTCAGGTAAAATCCCAGGTCATAGTTTTCGGTAAGAGCGTCGAGATTGGTCAGGTTCAAGGAAAACATGTCCATCGGTGTCATGCGCCGTATATAACTCATTTTCGTTAGTTTTTGGTTTGCTCGGATGATCGTTTCTGTTATAGGTCGAGGTCGGAGGGAATGCTATGCTGCAGATAACAACGCCCGATAGAATGATTGCAAATCTCGGTTGATTATCTAGCAATGCATTCTCTGTATTATTTGAATTTCACTATCATTAGAGGTAATTTGTTGATGAAGCGGGGGGAGTCCGGCGCTGACTGACCGCCTTTGAGTGTCTCACGGAAAAGACGGTAGACTGTGCACCTTCATCTTTAATCCGCGAATGTACCGTCAACAAACACTCCAACCACCGCGTTGCTTAGACTTTTTGCGCTTATGCAAGGGAGCAATGCAATACGACTCATCAGTATTACAGATCAAGAGATTATTTTGACAACAGCCAACGTGCCAGCTCAACAACCTCCTTTTAAGGCCCGATTTCTAAAAGGATCCATTTCCCAATACAGAGAGGTATTAAACTGACTCTTTCCGACGTTCTTGAGATTTGGTTCGCCCCTATCGCCTGTCGTTGATCTCGGACTTGGGCTCTAGGCCCATCTTTCATAACTGAAGGCCATGAAAACCGAGGATCGACTGTGATACTCAACTCCGATAATTCCAATACTTGTGTGTACAATTCCGTTGTTTCTTGTGTACAGAAATCGAACGAGGCGGAAGCCTTGCTACCGCGAAACAAATGTCGACACCGTCTTCCCCAGTCTCGCCGAGACATCGTCGGCACCCATCAAGTTTCGATATGACGCCAACCATAAATGACGCAAATGATAACGGCTATTTCTATCTTCAGACCCCTCAATCTCCGGGCTCCCTATCCGCAGACGGGCAGCATCTGCGACATTCTATATCATCCAACAGTGATCGGCGTATGTCTGCAGTATATATGGGAGCCGTGGATTCTGGCGGGGGATTGGGAAATTTGGCAGACGAGCTGGCTGATGCTTGGGGTGATGGCGAGGGATACGAATATGCCTCGGGAATAGAGGTCAATGATCAAATGAACAATATACACGACGACAACCATTCGTCCGGAGAACAGACACCCCGCGAACAGACTTCGCCCAGCGATACGAATAGTTTACAGCCTCCAAGAAATAGAGAGAAACAAATACAGAATCGGCATCATCGACGCACAGAATCTCAGTATGATGGTTCGGATTATGGAAACGACTCGGATTTCGAAGAGGGAAGCGAGTTCTCTCCTAATTTCGAGAGGAGACTGGCAGGAATTGAAAGCTTGGCTAGACGGGGGATAGAGGAAAATGGCAGTTCAAATGATCAGATTATACAGCGATTTGTTGAAGGTCTCAGGGATCTGGGTGCTCAAAGCGGAATCGAGAATGGGGCTGCAAGGTTTGCGTTACTACCATCTCCAAGAGTGGGTGAACATACTAACGTTTATGCAGATTGATCACCGCTCATACATCTATCACATCACATCTCACGCACCAGACTCGAGCATTACAAACATTGATACACCCCCTTTTATTCTCTCATTTCCCTTTGCTATCCCTCGAATCCATGGACGACCTTATACCCTTGATTGACGAAGGCCTCCTCCCAAACCTACCACTTCCCTTCTCCACACAACAAACACACAACTCTTCTCTCCGACCGCAGTCCGCCTCATCCTCACGGTCCTCACAGAGTCAAGCAGCCACATCCGCAGACCCACTTCTATCGCTACAAGCCCTATTAGGCCAAACATCAGACTTAACCCTCACCCTCCGAACCCTGAGTGACACCCTCCACGAATCCCGCCAATTAACATCCACAGCCTCCCGCCGCCTCCGATCAGCGCGGGAACTAGTCGCAGAAATCAAACGCGAGGACGAAGATCGCGAAGAGGGTCATCGCTGGATAGAAAGTGGGCAATGGGACCGCAAACTCAAAGAGCGCGAGGCAGGTCGAGTCTGTGGAGAAGTTGTGAGTGGCTTTGAAGCGGTTTGCGGTGAATGGAGGAGGAAATTGTTTGGTGCTTCGGGGGCTTCGTCTGCACCTGCAGCTACTGAAGCGGCGGCTTAACCGATTCCAATTCTATGCGGGAAAGAAGGGAGATTTGGCAGATACCATGAACGTTTTTACATACTATCTGATGACGATATTGCTTTTTTTTTTCTCTCTTGGCTTTTTTTCTTGTTCCATTTGCATTACGACGGATTTACACTGTTTTGTTTTCTGTTGTTTATAATCATACATCATACACATAGATATCCCCCTTGATAGCAGCTTTGTTTTCAAGTTCCGTGGATTTGAAGGTCACTTGCGTTTTAGACTCAGCGTTCGAGTACGTAATCAGTTGGATTATGAAGCTACCAAAAAAAGCATATATCGATACCATGTTGATTCATCACCCAACATCCATTCTAGGTCAGTCTAATCTCCTGCTTCGATCATCCATATAACATGATAAAAGAGTAAGGGGGAATGGGGAAAACACGTGCAAAGGGGATAGATACTTCAGGAGAAAAATTATGCGGAGAAGGGTAAAGAGAAGAAAAGTCTGAATCGAGATATCAAGGTCTTTCCCATAAACGTCCTCAAATTTCGATCAAGAAAGGGAGAAGATGGAAATGATGCTACTATGGACATGGTCACATAAAACATGAGAGAAACCAAGTAAAGAAACTAAAACCGTACTTTTCGCATGAAACCAAGAAAGAAGAGACAGACCCCAAAAGTTTATTTGAATAAACCTCCGTTGTCGTGAGAAATGAAAAGTAACGACTGGAACAAAAGTTACTGTTGTCCGCGCTTGTGAGGAGGGACCCATTTGCCACCGGTTGGTTTGCTTTCTTCGGATCGCTCGCTGGTAGCTGCTGAAGGTCTGGGAGCAGGGGCACCGCTTCCTTCACGCTGGTGACGAGGGATGTACTTCTCGGTTGATGCAGGAGGGGCAGCGGATCTGGCTGATTGGGCTCCGGCACCTTGACGCATGGCGGGGGGAACGTAACCACCGGTCTTGCGTGGTAGGGTGGCAGTAGGTTCTTCCTTGGCTGCGGCAGGAGCCGCGGTGGGAGTAGCAGCAGCGGTCTCTCCTGCGGCCTCCTTGGCTGCGAGACGCTCTCTCCAGCTTGCGCCAGTGCCGGCACCACCACGAGGAGCCAGGTTGAGTCTTGGTGGGCCTCTTTCACCGCGTTCAGCGACAGGTTCAGCACGAGTGGGTTCAGGAACGCCGCCGGCTTTGCGAGCTGCGCGGCGAGCTTCAGCTTCCTCTTCACGTTGTTTCTGTTTGACGGCGATCTCGTCAAGTTTCCTATAGCAGAGTCAGTTTAGTATACGGTCAGATTTGTGGGAAATGATTTAGGTAAGCACATACCTTCTCTCTTCTTCTCTCTGAGCTTTCCTTTCAGCCATAATACGTCTCTGTTCCTCCTCGCGTGCAGTACGTTCCTCCTCTTCACGCTTAATACGCTCTTCTTCCTCCTTTCTGCGGCGTTCCTCTTCCTCACGTTCTGCCTTCTCACGACGACGACGCTCCATGACCTCCTTGATACGTTGCTTCTTCTTCGCCTCAAGTTCTCGCTCGGCGGCTTTGCGGCGCTTCTCGAACTCTTCGTGACGCTTCTCATTGAGACTATCACGGAACTCAGTGAAGACTGGCACAAGACGGCTCAATCGGTGTTTGAGAGCGACGTCAGCCTTGTGTTTCAATTGAGCTTCCTTCAACGTCTCCTCCTTTTGAAGCTCGTAGACCTCCATATCATGCTGTTTCTGTCTTTCGTAATCTTCCGGAATATGTTTAAGCTCCTCGCGACGGAAGGCACGTTCTAAATGGTCAATTCGCTTAGCTGTGATACGGATGCGGTCATTGAGCTCGTTCTTCTCCTTTTCAAGTTGGGCCAATTTCATGGCACGGAGACGGTTGCTGTCGAGCTCCTCAGGGTCAATCTCATTGATATCAATGCCTTTGACGCCGCTTAGTTCTTCAAGCTGCTTCTTCAGTTCCTGCTTACGAATGCGGTCTTGTTCATCCTTGAGACGCTTCTTTTCACGTTCACGATGCTCATCCAACAGTCTCTGCTTCTCAGCTTCCTGGAGTTGTTGAGTGCGGATTCTCTTGCGAGTTTCCTCTTCACGTTGTTTGCGCTGAAGAGATTCTGTGGCAGCCTCCTTCTTCTTCTCGATGATAACACGACGGGCCAAGGTCTCCTGGTGCTCCTTTGCAGCACCCTCCAAGGCACGGGCATGTGCACGCTGCTTAGCCTCCAGGCGGCTTGCAGTATAAGAAGGATCAACATAGAGACAAGTAACATGCAATGTCTTGGCCAGGCGAGTAAGCTGAGAACGAGCGATTTCAGCCGGTGTGCTCTGCAAGCGTTGAACAGATCCCACCTCGCTTTCGGCGGATCCCGCTGCACTACCTGGGTGCAGAGCCTTAGCAGATGAGAAAATATCGGAGTCGAAAGTAAGAACACCAGCCACATGATCAACACGGATGGCCAAGTCGCCCTTCTTGCAACCGTTCATGATGAACTTTTCAATCATCGACTGAGTGACTTGGAATGGGTCGGGAAATTGGGCAAGCTCATAAACGAATTTGAGCTCAACAGACTCGTACACTTGAGAAAGCTGCTGGAAGAGACGAGTGAGGATGACCTGTTGCAAGGGGACAACATACTTTTCCATCTCAGGATCAGCACCAATCTGTTTAAGGATAGGAGTGATCTTCTTGCAAATTGACAATGGATGGAAATCAACTTCAAGGATGTTGTACAAGTCACGGATCTCTGGGCGAGCACGCTTGAGTAAGCCCTTGTTGAGAGCGTCTTTGAAAAGAGCAGCACGAGTGGGGGGCTGGGCCATGCCGAGCAAGTTGGTAAGACGAGCATTCTTGTTCTTCCTCACTTCATCTACGTCGACTAGAGCACCACGAGAGCGAGAGGTGCTGATGACAGGAATTGAGAGAGCAGCAAGCAAAACAAAGGATGCAGCCTTGGTCATATCCGCCTCTGTGACAGAAGGGTTGTCCTTCTTGGCTCCCTGGCCTGTGGCGAGAGTAACAGCAGACTGGCGCAAGAGGTTGTAAAAGCGGTTCCAGGCAGCCGCATGGAACAAGTAGTTCTCGCTCACCAAGAAGATACGAGCGAGCTTTTCGTAGTAGTTGGCCATCATAACGTTCTTTGCAGGTCGCTTGCTGAGGCTCAACAGGGTGTGAATGTCCTCCACACTACGGAAGGCTTCCTGCCATAATTCCAACTCAACGGCCACATTAAGCTGCTGGAAACGAGTATCCAAGTGGCGCTGAAGAGTATCCGGATCGCTCAGGTTGATAGCATGCATCTGAGTGGAATATTTGGCGGCATTCTGAACGTGGTTGCGCAGAAGTTCACACAGACGACGGAATTCGGTCTTGCGAGTATACTTGAGGCAGAACTGGAAAGCCTGGAGGGCAGTCGTTTGATACATAATCTCGAGACGAGCATTGTTCTTCAATATCTCGAGCACAGTTCGGTAGGTTTCCCACAAAAATTTGAGCCACGGGGTAACGATAGCACGGTCGGTACGGTCCTTGGATTGTTCGCCAGACACAGTAGCCAAAAGAATAGTCTCAGGAGTTTCAATGGCTTCGAGGTCGTCGACGTTGGTCGAAGGGGCAGTCGACTCGAGCGATGACTGAATTTCGTCGGCCTTGGCTTGAGCCTCGGTAACCTTTTGCTCGGCGAGTTCGATGAAATGCTTGAGAACAGTCTGCTCGAGAAGGAGTCATTAGATCAAGCCATTTTGGTAGATTATTTCCCTGATCGCTTACCTCGATGGTTCCCACATTGGTGTTCTGCGCGATGTTCTTATACTGATAAAGACCGTCCTTGGCGGCTTTTCCTTTGCGCAAATCGACACAGAGTTCAACAAACAGGATCATCACCGGTTCCAAAGACGCGACGGGGCTGCTACGAGTTCGTTTCGAGGTAACATGTTCGTGAAGAACCGTGAGCGCGGCAGGAGCCTGGCCCACAGCAATGAGTTCCCTAGCCCTCTATACATCCAATACTGTCAGTAAAATGTTTTCTTTTGTCTCAAAGACATTCAGAAAAAGAAGGTATCATCCAAATCCGAACATAGAGATAGCAGGATCGTCTCGTCGTACCTTGAGGACATTTTCGGGCTTGATATGAGGTGGAGGAGGCATGGTGGGCAGTCTGCCCCTTAGGCGAAGTGTTTATTTTTTTTTTTTTTTGAGTAAAGGCGATCGAGTACAAAGTCAAGGTTGGTGATCAGCCGATACACTCAAATCAAACTGCAGCAGGTATCTAGAGATACAGTCGAATCTGTCGAACCTGGCTGATGCAGCGGGGTGAAAGGCCGTGACGGAACTTTGAGGCAAATTCTGGTTGGAGCCGAGAGTAGCGTTGTGCGATTCCCATCAAAAATGTTTGTTGCTGCCTTAGGCAGCAAAGAGATGCCAAGCCTGACTACTCCCAATACAGGATCAGTAATCATGTGATTAGACATTTCAGTGCGCTAACCAGGATAAGACTAGCATTAATAAATCACGTGCTATGGTTCTCTCATACTTTTTTCTTTTTGTGCTCGACGGAGCATCGGACAATAACTGTACCTACAGCATCTGAGTGGCGTTCCATTAGACGATGCTTCTACGGGGTAATGAGCTATTTGCTTGCCCTGAACAGGCTGAAATGGATACAACCACGCATAAGAGATGCTCGCTTTTCGATATCGGGAATGTCGTACTTGTTTCATGTTTATCCACCATTTTCCCTGATCAATTCTTCAGTTTTTCTGCAATCAAGATGAACCCTTGAAAGTCAGACCGTTGGACTAGGAGTAGTCTAGCCTAGAAGGCGTAACATCGACTATCCGCTTAGTCGCCGAACTAGTGGCTTCACCCCATTATGATTGGACAGGGACCCGGTGTGGATTTGGGGTTGGGGATCGTAGAAGAGCAGATTCAGATGCTTCCATAATGCGCAGAATCAGATAAATGAAGACTCCAGAATATCAAGGAGAGAGGCGATAGATCACTTGCTCGATCACTCTCCTTAGTGTCACTCCTCCGGTCTTAGATAAGCCGACAGACAGCGTGAACCGACAAACTTCTTCAGATTTCCCTCTGGAATGATTACCGTATCAGGACTAGCGCGACAATAGATGCCTTAGGCCAAGGCTGGCTCCCTTTCTCTGTGAGCATCTTCCCTCTGGTTCTCCCCCTCGCTGTTTCGCTCTCCTCTCCCTACGGCTTATTCCGCACCACACTCGCTCTCACAAAGTTACCTTCGTCGTTTTAGACTGAGAGCGCACATACATACTAGTCTGCCTCCCGGTCCACCTCGTGTCCTGTGTGTCTTGCTTGCTCTCTCTCTCTGTGTGTGTGTGTCTCCTCGCTCCCCGTCAACAATCAATCCTGCTATCTTCGTCGCTCCCTTCTTCCTCTGCGTCCCTGCCGCCGCCTCCCAGACACCTCACTCTCTTTTCTTCTGTCTCACACGGTTGCAAGGCCGATCGTCTCTCCTGCGACAATTGCAGCGACTTCACGTCCCGTTTTATCGCTTTCGGCTGTGAAGAATAGGAGAGAAATAATAAATTCCAGCGTCCAAAACGAGGGTCAGGGATACAACGTCGCCAAAGAGAGTCGACTGTCCGCCGTTTCCGAGATCACCACCATCGACCAATTTTCAAGATGCCTACCTACGAACTCCGATCAGGCGGCGATGTTAAGAATAAAAAACAGAGCATGGCCGATCTGAAATATCGTCGCCTAACGGAATTGAATAGTCGCTTGAAGGAAGACTTGGACCGTCCTCGCGTCAAGGTGTCCGAAGCTGCTTTATCGTGAGTCTTCCCCCTGGCGTCGTTGAACAGCTGATACAGCTGTGAACGACCACCACAACCTACCTCCCCCGCATGCGATCCAGTAATAGTGCGTTTCTACACACATCAATTGACTGATGACATTGTAAATAGTCTTATTAATTATTGCAACAATACCCGTGACTTTATGGTTCCTTCCGTCTGGGGTCAGGTATGTTTCATGTTTCCTAGGGTTCTCGCATTGAAGTCAATAGCTCATTCCATTCCAGGTTGATAAGAAAGAAGACCCCTACGCACCTCAACAATCCGGTGGCTGCTGTACCGTGATGTAAACGGATCGAGTCGTCCTGCCGGTTCCTCATCATAAACCATCCTATAACGATGACTCGACCGGTCCTCGCTATTTTCTTTTTTTTCCATTCAGCGACCTCATCGCTTCTTCCTCGGTTCTTTCTTCATACCCCCTTTTGCGACGATAACAATATTTCTCTTCCTCATCGCCCTCACAACTGTACACTGTTACGCTCCATGCAATCCATTCGATTGGCCATTGCATTATTCGATAAGACGATCGATCTTTCAGACCATGCAACGCATGCATGCAACACGGACTAATGAATCCCTGGACCTTCAACTCTATATGGTCTGGCATAATTCAATTTCAAAACAACAATTATTATATTTTCCTATCTTGGTTGGTATAAGTCTGGTGGCGTCCAATTTCTTACTTTGCTTTCCTCTTCCTGATGACGAGACATTCGATCCCGACCGAAAAAAAAAAGTCCTAGAACTGAAATACTTTGAAAGTTGCGCTGGTTTGATCGTCTGTGTAGTTCGACATAACGCAAAAAAAAAAATGTACTGTTTTTCCTTTCCTTTCCCTTCTGTCCGTCTTCCAGGCGTGATCTCTACCTTTTGACGGTTATCCTTTTTCTTTTCTTTTGTCCCTTCTTGCTGATTCCCTTTGATTTTCCTCCTGTTCTTTCGATACGATTGAGTATCGTTTTGTTTCAAGTCGACCCGTTAAAGCTGGAACGAAAGCAAACATGGAGTAGTACTATCTATTGTCATTTACGGCCGTGGCAGTTTTTCTTTTCTTTTCTGATTTTCGAAGGCAAGAGGGCGCTCGATTTTTGAACTTTTTACATATATTGATTTCGTTGTATAATAGATTTATTTCTTTTATTATTATTGATGTTACGTTGCAGTTGATCGATATGAATGGATCTATTAGGAAGTAGTTGAATAGTTATTGCAACAGTTTCACCCACACATATCTACTATACATGCCGTTCATAACTTCATAACTACACCAAAACATTGACATGATACCCTAGCGACCCCTACGAAAACGCAGAACCAACATCCAATCCAACCAAATACCCCAACCAAGGGCCCAACCCCATCCAAGCCCTTCTCCTCCCCCCCAATTTTTTGGCTGTTGTCGCCATCTGCAACTCATTCCCAGCTTGTCCATCCACGTGCCCAGAACCCAAAATATCACAAATCCAAGGATTCAACTCCCGATTCAAAACCGTTCGTCGATCATTAGCCATTATAGCACCATAAATATGCGACGAACGAGACGGATCACGACATTGGCGAGCTCGTCGTCGAAGCCATTCGCGAATACCATCTGTTTCCCAGAGATAATTGTTAACAGGGGGAGGGAATTGGAGTTCTGATATTGATAATGGAACATGGCCACCACCAACATCACTGCTGGTGTCAGGGACTTGGTCTAGATGCATTAATTTTGAGAGGATGTTGTCGACTTTGAATAGTGTCAGCGCGAAGTATTTGAGTTCTTCGGCGGCGCTGAATTTGTAGACGAGGGGGTCATCTTCGCGGATTTGGGAGAGAATAGAGGGATAGTAGAGTATGCGCTGGACGCGACAGGTGCAGACGAGACGGGTAAATATGGGGTAGATACGATCAAGAACGTCCTCTTCTTCGTCCTCGGCATTGGGTCCAAAGACTTCAGAGTAATCGTTTGCGGTAATGGTGAAGATTGTGAAGAGTAGGATGGCCTGATAGGTAGCGATTGGCCAGCGGTGGGATGAATATTCTTTCACTGTCCAATTATCCTATTCGACACAAATGAAAGTAAGCAGAAGAGTCCATGTAGAGTAGAAACGGGAAAACGAACCATTTGCGTCACAAAAATAGCATGTAAATGCGCGTGAATCAACCACGCAAGTCTCATCAAGCTCTTTTCCTCGGTCATCCTTAACGTACATATCACCATAGCAAGGACCAAAATCGGTGGCTCTGTCTCGGGACTAAACTGCGGTCTAGTCAAGAAGGGCCACTGGCCATGGAAATGCGCAAAGTAGAGGTTGACGTAGTATTTGGCGTCGAGTTCGTTCATGAGTTGGATCGTCTTCTCACTTTCCAGTTCATTTAAAAAAGGGTAAAAGTCACTAGCTAGAAAACATCTTGATGTTCTGTAGACATCCAACACTCGCAAGCTTGGCGGGGTTGAATCTTCTGTCGGTTGCTGTTGATGCTGGTTTTGCAGTGCCTTTGCATCACTTATGTTCATCAAATCGTGCTGGATTTGTGCTTCGCGTTGTCGTACAGCAGTCCGGAGACTTTGCATTAATGTTTCTTCATTTTGAGACTCTGTTTGGTTTGGAGTTAAGGGTACAGCAACCGTAGGAGCAGGGGCCACTGGTAGTAGGGGTGGTGGTGGTGTAGGAGTATTTGAAGAAGAAGCTGTCACGGAATTGATCAAATCATTCAGACCAAGAAATCGACCTGGTAGATCAGACTCAACACGTCTGCGTTTTCTTCCATCCTAACCAAACTCTTAGCACTTTGATTGTGAAGCATCGAGTAGGAAATGCGCTTTACCTCTTTTTCCTCATACTCAGTTCCTGAAGGTACACTCGCACTTCGACTTTTTAACTTGAGACTCCTATCAAAAGTACATTTAAACCCTCTGTTGCGACACCTTGAACATGGATCGTTCTTGTCACAACGCGCTTTTAGTTGGTGACACCAATCACAGGCCCTTGGAACCCTGGGAGGAGGTTCAGTTCTGTCTTCGCAATGAATCTTTTTATGGCGTCGAAGAGAGTCACTGTAATCGATCGTTAGTATCTCCCTGTATGCTCTCAAACTCGATAGAGACAGAAATACCTCCTGGTAAACCCGATATCACATTCATCACATACAAAAGTCAGTCCTTCTTTGTGTTGCGCTTCATGACGAATCAAATGCTCCTTGCGCACATAACTAGCGTCACAGTCTGGGTCAGAACATTTGAAGCGAGGCGTTCCGAATGACATTTTTCTTGTAAGCTATGGTGTTATTTTTACACTGGCATAGTTGGTCTGAAGAAGTTTGCCTGAGCAAAAAAAAATCTTGCCGAGTGGGAGTGCCGAGTGGGATAGTCGAGATTCAATCTGATTGGACGGATATTTTACGTCACATGCTCTGTTTTCTTCATCTCATCCTAGCCAACAACAACATATAATGTTTGTATGAATATAAAAGCATCAAAATGACAGAACCAATAGCCCCTATTGAACAAACCAGACACCCAAATACGAAGGCAGACGCATCGCGTGAAAACACACACCTTCCTCGAATCACAATAACATACTGCACGCAATGCAAATGGATGCTACGCGCAGCCTACGTATGTTCACCCCCCTTTTTCCGGTATGCTAGGAAATAACTACTAAATCGAACAGTTTGCCCAAGAACTCCTCTCAACGTTCGGCACAACCATAGGCGAAGTCTCGCTTAGGCCAGCTACAGGTGGCATATTCACCGTGACTATCGTATCTACTAGTAGCACAGAAGAGACATTGCTCTGGGACCGTAAGACCAATGGCGGATTTCCTGGTAAGTCTTACAATTTGCTGCTGTTATTTTGTTCCATAGTGTGTAGCTGATCTGACTTGGGAGTGGCAGAAGTTAAACAACTCAAAGCCCTGGTCCGCAACATTGTCGATCCAACTAGGGATCTGGGACATGTTGATAGGGCGCTAAATAAAGCGAATAAAGATAAGGAAGATAGTACCGTTACGAAATCAGAGAATAGTGCTGAGAAACAGCAGGTTGGTGCCGATGCTACTGCTGCTGCTTCCACTGCTACTCAGACAGATGAGAAAGAAGAGGATCTTCCTCTCAAACCTCAAGAGCCATGCGAGGATTGTCAATAATAAGAATAAAGAATATTTTCCTTTTATAGACTTCGCAAAACAGTAAACTCAGGTAACTTCTAACATGAAGCTATATGATAGTCGCTTAGGCTAACCAATCAGACTGCAGTTAAGTTTTAGATTTATTAGCCTAAGGCAGGTAGATACTGCCTCGTGTAATATCGCAGGCTTCAAGTGATGAACAAACGATCACCTTGTTCATTCAAGCTGACTTGCTTCAAAAAAGCTCTCTGTACAATCTCGGAGCGGGTCACAACTTCAGAACCTCTACACTGTGTTGCATGACTCCTTGAGAACCGGAAAATATACCGTTCGACCAAACACGGAGCCCCGTAAAGGGTTCGGTAATTTATGTGGTTTTTGTAGGCTATTTCCGGCTGACACTACTGCTCCAGACAACTGTCGATGTCAACACCATTCGTCTCCAACCCAATTCATTGATTTATCATGATCCAAAAGGGTATCCTCGACCTACCTAATGAAGTTCTAATCTCCATCTTCGAACTCAAAAACCCACAAACTGGTGATTACCATCGCGATGTTATCCCAAACCTTCGGCTCACATGCCGACGCTTCTGTGTCCTGAGCTCACATCTTCTTCTTCGTACGGTGACTGTAGATATCAGCCGACCAGATACCCTCACTCGGCTGCAAAGCATAGCTGCTGATCGCAATATTGCCCGTGGTGTGCGAGAGGTGTACATTCGTCTTCACTTTTATCATCATTGGGTTGCCGCGAGTCAGGAAAATTTCATGGAAGCGGTCGTGTCTGAATGGTTGCAAAGAACTTCCTATATGCACGATTACATCCGGCCAGAAAAGGGGGTTTTGGGTATTGATCAGATTGCATTGTCTTTTCTTAATGGACTAGACAACTCTAGGCAGGACAATGACGATAATCGGGACCAGAATGGAGGAGACACTCTGGCGAAGAACGACAAAACGTCGTCGTCTGAAAGCGAAAGTTTGCGATCACAACTCGTCTGCTCTGAAGCCTACAAGCTGTATCAAACCCGATTCCAAGCCCAGGATCAAATGATGCGCAAAACAGATTTCGCCACAACTCTCGCCGAATCCTTGTCCAAACTGGTGAACTTCACCAACCTAGTCTTTCATGACGGCGCAGTGAACAACAACTACGGCCCCGGAGCCACAGTTTTGCTAGATGTCCACGACTACCTCGGTCAAGAAGAAGCACTTGTGCGCGTCTTCTCTCGACCCATGATTTGGGAAGATGTGCGTTGGATACAACCACTCCGCGATTACTGGGATGCTGTGCCCCTAAATCTACTCGTCGATATACCCCTAGCCATTGGTGCAAGAAAGGATATCTATATCAATTACCTCTCATTCCATGTCTCTGCTGCACCGAGTTATGCCAGCTTCCCGTCAGACCAAACCATACTCGCTTCTCTGTCAGCCGCTATAGATCATATGGCTGTATTCCAACTCATATTCCAGCCTTGCTGTCGAAGCAGTTGCGGTCCATGGCTCGACAACAACAACGAGAACCATACCTCTGTCAGCTTATTGTCAAGAGCAGACTTCCAATCATTAGATCGCTACATCGGCGCTCTATTAAACAGCAGCAATCTCGGCTACATCAAAATCGACCTTAGCGAGTTTTATACCAGTGCCGGGTTCAACTCCGATCTCGATTTTCCTGACCCCGACCCACTCGGGGATTATTGGTATTTCAACCCGCAGGCTGAGATTTGGTCTATCTGTTTGAGACAGGTACCTACCACATCACGGGTTGTGCAGAAACTTGCAGCTGCTCTCTGTGACGATGAGGATGCTGATTTGGGTCTTCATTATATTACGTTGCGGGAGGGGACGTGGAGGGAGACGCTTGATGTGCTGCAGGCAAAAAAGGGCGGACCTAAGATCACCATTGGATATCCGGTTTATGATGGAAGAGGTACTTTCTTTGCCGATTAGGTAAATACTGGAAATGAAATGTATCATAATCAGTCGTTGGTTAGAAATTCCAAGTCAGTGTGTTAAAGTGCTTTGGTCTCTAGATGAACTAGCTTCTGATAATTGCCTTGAAACTGTGAGGCCTCCTACTGTAATACAACCTAGACACGTGAACGTAAATAGCATCATAGGTAAGTTTTATCAATGCCTATTCAATTGATATAGAGATTTCTATATAGACAAGATCATAACAATCCAAGAAAGGGGATATATCAACAAGAAAATGCACGCTCAAATCACAATACCCGCCCTGACTCGGCACTGTACAGAGAAATAACGAACGAAATGACGCCGATGCAAAATACCATCCAATGCACAACAATATAGCAATGGTATCATCCGCCCCAGTTTCGCTTCGTTTTGAAAAATATCAAGTTGGTACAAATTCCACACATAACGAAAGTCCGAATCGTAGATCATTACATCCAACAACGATCGCCTATTCATCGTTAAGCTTCCTTTTGGCGACCTTGTCCATGTCCTCGCGGAGAAAAGAAAGAGTAAGGAATGAAACTATCGAATCACGTCGAAAGCGACAGATAGTTGAAACGTATATCGACTCGGCCCTGAACGCCAATATCCAATTCTATAATCCGATCAATCATAACCGCAACCAGCCGAAATCCCAAAATGCTCGAACGCTCGATTGAAGACCTTCCATAATCCCAAGTGCACCATTCTACCCATCCCACCGATCTAGGACTTCCGTCTCCAAAATGCCAACCTTAGTCGGCTTCTTTTCCGTGGAAGTTCGTGACGAGGCGCAGATGTAAGTTGCTCATGCGAACGATGTGAAGTCCGAAGTTTCTCTTCCGCGTGGTCATGATCGTTACCACTGTTTCCCAGAATTGCCGTCATCAAGTGGTGAGATTTTCCAAACTCCTCAAACCCCTGAGATGAGCGTGGTTTCGGAGGAATAACATGACCGTTTGGTTGGAGACGTTTTCCATACAATCCCGATGAGGATGGACGCGAATGATTGTCGTCAAGCGGATATACATCACTTGCACTGCTCAATCCACTCCCGCGGCTTTCCTTGTCGTCGCTGCTATCTAATGTAACAAAACTGGTTGCATTTGTAGCAGGGGATACAGGGGTTGCTACCGTATTCGTTGTAGTACTTGCGCTCTGCGTTCTTGTGTCCCTGCCGACACCATAAGAGCTCGTTGGACGCGATGCTTGATCAGACGAAGATGCTCGATCATAGTGGGCTTTACTGTGTGTCATCAAAGTGGCGCCTGATGAATCACCCGTATTGCTGTCACCATCATCGCTTGATTGAGACTCTGAAGACGGTTCATCCTTAACCGTTCCATTGGCTGAAGTACTGAAACCCGCGATCGTGGTTTGCGACAAGTCTATGTGATCATTTGCGTAATCCTTCTGGACGGTCAGTGATGGTGCTGTGTTTGTAAGCTCGGGAGGTTCATCCAGAATAATGTGAGCATTCGCATCTCGATCTGTGGAAACATCGTTTTCTTGTACCGTAGAGACCTTGAGGCTCTCACGTCTGGGAGGACTAAGAGATCGGGGAGAACGTTCCCCGCTCGAGGTAGGCGTCATTCGTGTTTCTTCGTCATTAGCCACCTCTTGCCATCTGGCTCTGTTCAGTTTGATGTGTTTGACAGTGCTGATTATTTCCGGACAGAGCCCAGCAACTCCCTCGAACAAAGGTAAGGCAAAGATTGACATAAAGTTGATTTGGCCAAGTGACAGTTTGTGTATGTTGCCTAGTTCAGGTGGTCCACCAAAGAGTGCCGTTTCCATACCAATTTCCTTTTCCATCTCACCTTGATGAGCGAATTCCTCTTGTAGGAGGTTAGTCCACTGTTCTGCGATCTTCCAGGGTCGGGCCTGAGGTAATTCGGTTAGAAATGTGACTGTATCAACGCTAGAGAAGTACGCACCACATTGCTGATGTCAGCACATTTAATAATCAGCCCGCACACGAGAGTTTTGTAAGTGTCGCGATCCTGTGGTGTCCACGACGTAATGTCACTGTTCTCTTCACATTTGCGTTGCAACTCAGCCATGCGACCCATAAATGTGAAGTGTACGCCCATGTCAGTTGCAAGGATCGAACTAATGAGCAATTTCCGCATTTTGGCATCGTGAAAAGCGGCAGGCCAGTGACGACGTAAAATCTGGGAAAAGGCAGCACAATGAAATGCTTCCAGAACAGAGCTGTCGTTATATAGCTGGGCAAGCGGAGCATTCAGTTTGACTAGGAATACGTTGTTCACGCCAGGGTGGCCGACATCGTGACCGATTGCTGCGATCAAGAGTGACAAAGCATCAAAAGGTGTAATCAGTGACGCTACTGGGGATTTCGAAGGAGATGTGTTTGTGTTGGATATGTCGTAAGTAGGAAGGGCGCCAATTCTGATGAGAATATAGAAAACCGATTGGAGAACGTCGACTGCATGGCGGAAATTGTGATAGAGAACAAATGAGTTGTACGCTGCCCGACTGGCAAGCAAAAAGGTTTGGAGTTCGCCTTTTGTTAACCGCCAAGGTCCTACTTCGGGCATTGTCATCGCATGTCCAATCATCGTGCATGCGGCGTACACAAGTTCGTCGTCTGTAAGGTGATGAACCGGAAACCTCCATACGCCAACCTCGCGCTCTATCATCTCTTTTCGTTCGGCCGAAATGTTTAGTTCCCTAAGTCTCAATTAGAATAAGAGGTATCGAAGGACGCTGTGAGAATCTACTTGCCCGTATTGAAATTCTTCAATGACCTGGTCAGGATGGCATATCGACTCGAGCAGTTTCGATACCCTGTCTTCGAGTTAGCGGTGTCACCCAGTAAATGACGACGAAACCTACATTGCCTCCCGTATGTATGAATATGGCTTTTCGGCGTTAACACCAACCCACGATTGCTTCCTAGATTTTTTGATAGATAGAAACCGTGTCATTTCTTTTCGTGCAGTTCGACGAACTCGATAAGCATGCACAAGAAGTCCTTGAACACGAGCCTCCTGTAACGGTTGGCATAGTACATCTGCAGCGCCTGCATCTATACAACGTGACGGCAAACTCGGCAACGCTAGCGATGTAGCGCACAGCTTCTGCGAGAGTTGAGAACACTGTAGTTTTTCGGCCTCTTCCCCCAAACCTTCTGGTGTTCGCATCATGGCAATAGGCGTTATGAGTTTGGGACCATCTTGTAGTTGCAGATCTGACGCCAACAGGGCTAGTAATTGAACTCCGTACGAATCAGAGTATTCCGAAGAAAAGGTGAACCGGCCAGAGAAAGGGGTCGCCGAATCCAGCGTCAAGCTTCCTTCAAATTCGCGACTTTCCTGTCGCCGCGCTCCACCTGTAGACTCAACATCGATAAAAGCAAAAATAGGTGTGCATTCTGGTCCACTTCGATCGTTCAAATCGGCAAGGGCGGCTGCAAAGGTTTGGTTGGAGTGACAGAGGTAGACTGCCGATTGATGAGAGGTTAGCCTATTTGTGATGGATTGATATTCAAGATGGTATAGATCCAACTTACTTCGCTTGCAGACATTGAATAGTACTCTCACTGTCGACTGTAACCTCTCTGGTTCATCTGGAAAAATGACGGCAAGTTCACCCGCAGCTTCACGCTCGAGTAACTCGTCTCTATAGACCCATCTTTCCGTCCCAAATCGGTCGTCGATATAGACCGCATCACATAGATCAACAGACATGGTTTGAAATGTGATTTGTTCCGTGGGTCACGCTGCCCAAGTGACGCACGTATATGTTAAATCCAGAGGGACATATAAGGACGGACCCTACTCATCCACATAGGAGGTCCTCATGCAACGTAGATAATCAGTTTGATAAGTATATATTGCGCACCACGATATATCGAAAGATTGTTTAAGCAGCACGACTCATTGCGCGGCAATTCTGGTGTGAATATATCGAGTCGTACCAGCCGTAGAGTTGATTTTCGTATGCCCAAGCAGTCCTCCTGAAATTTTCGTTATAGTCGACTGCAGTAATCGTGATGAACGTCTGGAGCCGCAAGGTAAGCGCACGGGAAGTAAGATGGTCGCCGAATGCAAGTGGGCGTGTGTAAGTGTAACGCGTATAGAAGTAGTCCGAAAAGATGATGTGGAAATCACAGGCCCTGATAGAGGTAACACTTGAGTATATGTTGAGATAAGGAAACTAGCTGAAAAGAGTGTGTATTCGTGTGTATTCGTGTGGGATAGTGAAGATTCGTCTGAACGGTAGTTGGTATAGTTTTGTGGTTGGAATTGATGCGACCAAGAAGTCAAGGGAATTTAAATGCGTGCAAGTAGTAATGGTAGATAGAGGCTGGTAAGGAAATCGGACGAGTACACTAGCGAGGATTGAGACTGTAGATAGCAGTAGAGAGAAGTGCAGATAGGCTGTAGTATGAGGGTGAGAGAGTGAGAGAGTGAGAGAGTGAGAGCACTAGTTAGAGTAGTAAGAGCACGTAATGGAAATCACCATACAGAAGAAGGAAGGGTCAGGGCCCATCCAAGGGAAGGTGCAAGTGGTCACTGCAGGGAAGGCAGGAATGAGTTGGAGGGTGGGGATTGGTTTAAGGAAGGAACGAAGGCGAAGATAAAATTGGCAGAACAGGAAAGGGCGAACGCAGGCTCAAAGTTTGGAGAGGATCCATTTTGGAAGTTTTTGCTGGGTTTCCAGAAGGTCTGCCGGGGCGGGGCGGCCACATTGGCCAGAAGGGCTGGAACGCGCTGCTGTGATTGGCTGCTGGTAGAGTCAGCAAAGATAAGCTAATACGTAGTGTTACCTAGTACACGTATATTACGGCTGACTTATCTATCTATCATACGTACTACTGTATGAAGGACAGGGAGAGAGTTTGTATGGGCTGAGGTTGGAAGATACGAGTGGGTACGGAGTACCTGTAATATTACCCTGTCATAATCCCTGATTGGACAATTTGACCGATTGCTGTATGACATTATCCGTGGTAAGCTAGTCAAATACGCAATACATCGACCCATCAACCATGACGGAATCCCGAACACGGCTTTCTTCTCCTGTAGCAGCCAATGAGCGTGCGGAATAATTCTCCCTTTGCAGGGGTGTCATACCAGCTAATACCACAGAAAATAGCACTCAGGCAATACTTCTGTCGATAATAGAAGGTTACAGGGTCAGTTAGATTAAGGATATAATAACTCGGACTTCCCCGTTGTTGCTAATTACCAATAATCGTCATTAGTTCGCTAGCTAGTCATTACGTATCGCTGTTAAGACGTTCCGCTCGGCGTATGCCATATGGAGAGATGGAGAGAGTGGGCCCAGATCTTAAACGGCAAACAAGCTTCAGCGATTCGGTCTCCGTATTGTCCGTATTCAGTATTCAGTACGTCGTACTCCACGGTCAATGATACATCTGCCATGACTCTGCATCACAATAAGTGGTAGCCTGACGAATCGACGCAAATTCTACGCCTCAACAATCTGATCATTCAGATATCTCGAATCTCGGCAATAAACGAAACAAATGCATCAGGCGAAGCGAAATAAGAAGTGGACCTCAATCTTATCCACTTAATTGAGGGGCCGTGTTATTTCTTCATTTCTTTTTTCCCTTCTTTTCGATGCTTTCGTCTAGTACAACGTATAAAATCCTTCTAGAATCCTTCCTGGTCCGAGTTCGTGTTGTGTACATGAGGGTTCAGCATATCTGCTACATCAGAAATACTCGATCTGAATGTTGAGTACCCATATTAGGCTTAGAAGGGAATCATTTCCGGATTGATGCTACATATGACGCGACTGAAGTCGTTTGATTGTTCGGGTCGACACATCATAAACAAACAAACGAGTTTATTCCCACGTTTGCCTGATAAAGAATCTGTAAAGACCTTGAATACTTAAATTCTCCGTACGTGTTCTTGTCATACGTCGAGTAATCGACTCCAAGTCATTAGGCTTTGGCCCTTAACACCAAATGTAAGAGAGTTCAGCGCGCGCACGGGGCCAAAGAAAACTAGAAAGACAAAAGACACGCGGTACGGTAATTTACATGAAACGAACTACGTACAACTCAATCGACTCACTAGTGAATTCGGTGAGACGCTAATCCTGCATATAAACGCCAATCACCAATCATAGTCGATGCAGATCCTGGTTTTTGGGTCTACAGGCTTGGTTCCGTCCAATCAGTGTTTGACTCAGCCACGAGGCACTCGTCACATCTCCGTATGTACATTTCTCTGCCGTATATAATACATGTATTTATTACATACATGAATCATGATACAATGGTCTGATCCCATTAAGCCAATCAATCGGCGCGAAATTTATATTAAGAATTCCCGAAAATTCCTAACCCCATATGTACTCCGACCTTTTGAATTTCCGCAATACAATTCCGATGCACTTGGAATACAGACAATCGCCGGTTGTGACTACATATGTTACTCGATGACCATGTGCTGGGTACGTACGTAATGTATGTGCTTGGGTAGTATTCAAGAGATAGCTGCCCTAATGCAGCAGAGCGCATGGTATGTCACAGCACATTAAGCACCAATGCATGCAGGGGACGAAAGGCGAAAATCAACATAACCGACCACACAATTGCACTTACTGTATGCATGTTGTAGCATGTTACCCAATTACTCTATGGTTACTAACTGATGATCGCCCAGACATACTCAAAACAAGAAAAGCCTGCGAATGCAGCTAAAACGCTTAGTGTGGGAAAACTCAAATCGGAGACTTTGAGGAAAATGGCACTAGTCTACGGACTACGGAGTATTATGTTGAGTGCGTTTGTCACGTTCAAGTTTCTGTTCAAGGAAGATGTACCTTTCGGTACACTTCGCTTAGCGATATAAACGTTGCAAGTATTCAGCTTCGACAGGAACTTTTCTCGGTATTATCCCTCGGTCAGATTTCTGATATACTTGACCTATATATACCACCAAATCACGATCTACCTATCAAAAATCCTTTGTGAATTGTGCATTCTCGTATTTGCGTGCACATCCAAGCCACTTTCCTGGGGTACTGTACATACATACACCGTGATCAACTAATTTAGGGCATTGGATTTTGGGGCCGAAGGGCTGCCAAGATGGCGCCGTCATCTATTTCCATTCCTTTTACTCCATAGCGTTCACACCTTTTCAAGATGCCGGGCGCCAGTTCTCGGATGCTGAGCGGATGGATAAATGGAATTTCGGATGAATACTGTCCGCATTTGACGCTGAGTCGCTGCCCAGGGACTAGCGGTCCGTCTTAAGCTACATTTCAACGTTCAGGCATGTTGCAGACGGTTTCATTAGGCGCCGACGAAAGTTGTTGAGGTGTATTTTTTGTCCTATGGATATTTATATCGGCTTCCGTGGGAGACAGCTAGTCATGTGGCGTCAGCATCTGGCCTGACGCTATGTGTCTAGGTGCATACAGGTACCTGATCTCAACCGTTCTAGATATCAGTGTACGGTCACCGTCCCATTTCATTGCTATCTACCATGTAGATAGGTACGAGTGGTCATGAATCAAGCTTATCTGAATCCACGACTCGCATCGAACAAGCAAAATTCTTTGAAACAATAGAGTAAAACCCGACATGTCCAATCTCCGGCGTTGGGGCCTCTTGATTGACCTTAGACGATATGACGATTAAGTTCGAAGTCTATTCAAGCTCTATCTAGCCTGATCATAGGCAGCAAGAGATCTGACTAAGATTCGGAATATACATACGTAAGTTACATAGCATACTCCATAGTTAGCTATCAGTTCAGACAAGGACCCAACGCAAGGGAACTAGACTGGAATTGGTACCTTTACCGTGCAGAAGTGCACTACATACACTAGGCCTCATGTCTCGAGATCATACGTAGATTAGTTCACTGTGGTCGATTAGGCATATAACTATGTACGTAGCAAGTCTATCCTCCGAACTCGGCAATAATCCTCCTCGTGTCATCCAGTATCGACATCTCAGATCCTCCATAACTAAGTACTACGTACATACCTCTGTATCTGTGTACTATCTCCGTCCTGAGCTCCACAGACCGTGATATAGTTACGTACTAGCTAACTAAACCTTACGGCCCATTTGGCCCCCAGCCCTAACTAGCACTACCTAGTTGCGTATTTCCGACAGTGAGTCAAAGGTCACAGCTTCTATGTCCGTACATACCTATACCTAAAAGCTAGCAGAGATACGTAGCCAGTTTCATACCAAACCTTAAACACCCAATTCCGCCACAGTTACGTGTATACGTAGTCAAATCAAGGTCACTGCCATTCAGGAAAAAAGACTAAATTTAAAATCCTCTAGACCGGTTGGAAAGAAAAAAGCTAGATTCAGCCTCTTGCAGCCTTCTCTGATCTCTATGCCGGTTTGAGTATATGGATGAAATTTTCTCTTTTGGCCCCATTTCCTTCTTTCTTTTAAATGTATGGAGTTTGGGGTTGAGTATTCTGTATTCTGATAGTAATTTACTATCTTAAGAGAAAAATTGCATACTCTGTTCTGTTAGTACCTACTACCTACGGGTGAAGAACTGTTGTCCGGTGGTCAGAGGTACAAAACTCACCCAATTACTTATCTAAGGTATTTAAAGGTCATTAGGATATGCATAAGCTATCATCCAATCCATCAATCTTCACCAAACTCGTCAAAATAAACCGGATAGATCCAGACCTCAACACATAACAACCCTAGCCCTACCCTATACCCCACCTAGGTAGTAAGATACACCAATACGATCACCACATCCTTAACGCCAAACCACGCAACCAACCTACCTAACTAGCACCCTTGTCTAATGATTAACATAACAAACTAAGAACTGAGTCTAAGAACTTAGCAATATTAACAACCTTAACACAGCTACTAAGTTCTCTCCCCATACATTCCAAAAATTGGAGACTTAACTCTTTCGGGTTTTTACTCAGATCACGCTAGATCCGCTTAGCCAGTAATTAGCGTGCATCCCTCTATATATGGTATGATACGGACATCAGATGGCTTTCTTCATGTGTTCTGGGTTTTTATGTTGATCATCTTCAGTCAAAATGTTCGGGATACTACATTGTTTCTCATGACAATCATGACAATCATGACATGCAGCTATTAACTCGATGATACGTATGACGTCTATGGTCATATTAATAATACTTGATCGACATTAACTTAATCATCAGTCCTATTTAATCTTACTCAAGTTATGTTCAAGGTTGAATACAATCAATTCTTCTCGCAATTCACATCTAAAATAATAAACTAACTTGGTCGAAGAAATTCCTCGGGTTCTCTACAAAAGGAACGCCGCGTACAATGAGGATATAGAAAATAAATAAAATGATAAATTCCAAAACACAATGCCATCTTCTTTTCTTCGCACCAAAAAAAAAAATTCAAACAAGGTCAAAAGATGAAAGAACTAATATTGTACAATTCATCATTAGATGGGTTGGTGCCTTCTAGGCGAGTAACAAGTCAATGTGCGCTGACACTATGAAAGTAAGTTCTTCAAAGAAGGGCTTGCGCTGGCTCCGCTACCACCATTCGTGCTTGGCCCAGCTTGCCCGCTAGGTCCAGGTCCAGTGTATCGTCCACTGGGTTGCGATGCGTGTTCGTCAGTCGTGCCCGGCTGTGTATCGGTATGTGGATTGCCTAATGAAGGCGCCGACGCGTAACGATCAACAGGATACATCATCGATCGCGGTGGTCCAGTATTGAGTCCATGCGACGGTGATGAACGATGTAGAGTTGCGTTCAAATCTGGAGGAGACATGGACGTGCCAAACGGCCGAGCTGGCGGTGCACGAGGTGAGAGCATCGACGGTACGCCCATGGCAGAGCCGACATAAGAATGCGTTGGTTGCGGCGGTGGCGGAGGTAAGTTGGATGGCATCGGTCCATAATGTCCTGGTGGTGGGTGGTGGTGAGGAGTTGGAGGCAAAAGGGGACTTGGACCAGGACCAGGACCAGGGCTTGGATGAGCATGAGACGGTGCAGATGCAGGTGGAAGTGAAGGTAAAGTCGTTGCTGTTGGTGGTGGCCCGCTCGCATATCCGTTCAATTGAGGTAAAGGTCCACCGGCATATGGAGCAGGCTGACCATGCCCGTATCCATTGGTCTGAGGTCCTCCATGACTACCCAAACGCTTGTCATAACTGCTGTACCACTCAGGCCCTGATGGAGCTGGCCCCGGAGGAGGAGGCGGTCCAGGACGGGTTGCCAAAACATTCGGTAAAGGGCCGGGATTGCCGTGAGGTGCGTATGTAGGATATTCTGGCTGTCGTGGTGCTGGCAAAAGCGTGCCTCGCGGAGTTTGTGCTGTGAAAGCTCCGGCAGGGAGTGTTTCAGGAGGCTGTAATGCTGCCGCAGGCTTTTTGATATGACACTTGTGGCATTCGTAAGCCTGCTCACTCTGCCTAATGCCATCCCCATTCACGTACGAGTTTGATGTCTGCGATAGAGTTCGTGAGTGCATGGGAGGCGCGCCGTTCATCAAATGATTCATGCCGTTGCTCATCATATTGCTCATAAGTGGATACTGCTGGACGGGCCACCATCGGGGACTGCAAGTGGACCTGCAATATATGCAGGTTTTGTATTCGACCTGTGGACGTGGAGGCTCTGCGTGTGTACTAGGCTGAATCACTTCGGCTGGATCTTGGATGGTGGATGTGGAATTCCGTCTCTCGGACGCACTAGTTGAGCCAGCATTGTTGATAAGAGATGCTCGCCGATTTGCATGACCGGATCCATTGCTCTGCAACATGGATTGAGCATGTTGCTGTTGTACATGTGCCGCCTTGCGAACTGTGCCTGTCATGGTGAGATCCGCTTGCTTATACGTCCGTACGTACAGCTCCAAGGCAGTCAAATTATTCTGTTCAGTGGGCTCGCTCATATCATGCACAACAGACTGGACGGCGTGATTGGGACACCAGATGCATGGTGAAACGGAGCCACTCTCACCACCCATCTTCATGGTGATTGTCGAATCCCTGCGTGAGCCTTTGACTGGTGTCACGTCAAATCCAAAGGTGTAGCCTGCTTGGTGTGCACATCCCACGTGGAACTTGGCATTGCAACCTGGGAAATGACATGACACACATGCTCCAATGGATGTCTTGCAGATTTTGCATACCTCGCGATAACGCTCTCGGGGAATGAGTCCAAAACCTTCCGCTGGTTCCATCTCCTCGGCTTTTCCAAACTTAATCTCTGGATTCCAAACTGCGCAATTGACGTGAACCCAGTTGTTGCCAACAGTCCGTTTCAATGGCTCGCGTGGATGAATAGGTTTACCGACAGCCTCTTGTCGTTGCTGATACAGTTTGATGGCTTCAACCACCATCTCCTTTTCCATCCTTTCCTTCTCCCGATCGCGTTCGGTTTTCTTTTTATGACTCGAAGACTTGGGAGCTTCCATCAGCTCTTGCTCTGTCAAAGTAACAGGACACAAGACACATTCATATCGAGTTGAAACTATTGGATTGCGGTCGTTCGAACACATATCGCAAAGCCATTTTGGATGAGAGCTATCTTGTTCCACTCCGTAGCAACTGCGGTGGACGGTAAGTCGGCAATCTCTGCATGTAACGCTATATTCTCCAGTAGGATCGGGTTTTCTGCAAATGGCACAAGGTAATATTTTCGCACGAGGCGGATCTGGAATGATTGGTGGAGGCTCCACGGGCTTTTCGACAGCCTTCTTCTTCGGTGGTGGCTCCGCAGAGTTTCTAGCTGATGCGCTGGCACTATCTTTCTCTGCCGCCGTTCGGGCCTTTTTCTTGGGTGGCTCTACTGCTGCTTCAGTTGCGGAGGGAGTATTCGCCCCAGTCCCTGTCGGAGGTGTAGCTATGATCTGTGGAGTTTCCTGTTGAACCAACGCTTGAGCACATAATTCATCATCCAGCTTGCGACGCCAAGCTTTGTTCCCACTTGCCTGTAGCTTCTTCGCTAATTCATCTGCATCCTTGTATTCGATTGCGTATTTCCTCCACAAGATTGCACATCGATGGCACAATGCTACCGCGAGCTGAGGACCTTTGTCTGCCTTCTTTGACGAGGGCTCCGCTGGCACGGTCGCACCAGGGAGCGTAAGTGGCGCACGACGCCATTGAGGCGAAGAACGAGTCAAGCAGAACTTGCATTGGAAGCCGCGTTTCTTCTCGCTTGCCTTTTCATTGTCGAATGCTGAATCGTCCGCTTCATCGGCAATATCGTCCAGTAATTTAGATGTAGAGTCTGCACGTTTCGCCTCCTTCTTTCCATGACGTCCTTCGTATGAACCCCATACACGTCGTCCTTCTGGTGTCTTCTTCCACATGTAATAATAACGAACGACATGTCGGGGCTCGATGTTTCCAATGTGTCGGCGAATATTCAGCCATTCAGATCCATATTTCGAAACACCCTCGACAAAAAGAGCCTTTTGATCTTTGGTAAGTTTTGGCTCTTTCAGATCCTTGTAAAGATCTGCCTTTTTCAGGCGTTTGAGTGCACTCTCAACATTGAATTTCTCGGAGTAAAGATACTCTAAAGCCTTGTCCAAGAAGTTTGTATGATATCGTGGAAGACCCCTCTCCGCCGCGAGGTCTCTAGCTCTGTTCATGTATTCGTCGATGAATTTCTCGCGCTCTTCCTGGCTCATTTCGGGCGCTGGACCGTCATCTTCTCCTCTGGTAGAGGGAATCTCACCAGGCTCGGGCATCTTAAAGAGTAGCTGTGCAGTGCGAACTTCTTTGTCGTTGATCACGATGGGTTCATCCTCGCCTCGGGGAATGTAACCCGGGGGCTCATCCATGACCCAGGGACGTTTCAATCTCTCCTGTCTTTCGGCCTCAATAGCTGCTTGAACTGCCTTGGACTGTTTGCTTGATCCGCTTTTGCTCGATTTGTTTTTCTTTTTGTTGTCGGCACACTTGACATACTCGACAGGTCTTCCGTACCACGGACTGACAACAGCCTGATGACGGGTACCAAGGCGAGAGCTTGCTCGAGGATAAATGCGGTCGTCATAGTCTAAAGCATCTTCCAATTGACAATGAACGCCATAATATCGATACGGCCACATTTTCGCCTGGGAAATTTGAGCAGCTGTGGCGGGTGCTGGTTTCTTGTCCTCGTCCGCCGCAGGACTGCTTCGCTCGGTACCAACGGCAGCATTGTTGTTGACTTGCTCTTCCTCCTCCTCTTCCGGCAGATCCTCTTCAATGTCAGGTAGAGTTTCGCCAACCAGGGGAGTATTGCGAGCTTCCAACTTGCGCTCCTGTGCTCGGCTACACAAAGCACAAGCCCATGCAAATCCGCGTGCTGGCTTCTTGACCAATTTCGGCCTCACGCAGTTCATGTGGTAGGTGCTGTGACACACAGCACAGTCCACCGAGTCGACGCTGGATGATTTGGTTAGTTATTGTTTTTGTCTGATAACAATGCAAAATGAGGATAACGCACCTAGCAGCATACAACCCACACTTAGTACAGGCTTTGACCGCACCCGTAAGCTCCTTCTTCCTGTTTGTCTCACACAGCACAAACTTCCATCGCTCGTCAAGAACTTTCTTAACGTGACTCGGTACATTGATCACCTCCTTCGTGGGAACGACCTCGTAATAGCGGAGCATGTACCGATCAAACATCTTCTCGTACCAAAAGCAATCTCTTTGCTTGCGATACTCTTCAAGGTTCTCGATTTCAGATACGTGCTTAATAGTACACTTGCCTCGTAGGGAGGAAAGTGGGCACGGATCGGAATGCATTGAAGCGAAAACCAAACGGGGATCTGGGACTCTGCGTTGAATGTCTTTTGGTCTGTAGTACCAGTTGACCCTAATCATTTCGACGGGGCCGGTTGGATTTCCTTTTCCTGGTAGGAACTCCATAATGCGACCCAAGTAATATGGCTCACCTGGGGGTTCGCAAATCAAGTAGACATGATCTTTGTCGCGTCAGCATATAGATACTAACAAAAGCAAAGAGATACGAAGCTTACCATTCACTTCAAGAAACGAGCCATCGTCAGCTTTCAGTTTACCATTCCTCAAGCGCGCACCAGAATTCTCAAAAGTCATCATGTTCGATAGTCGGATATCATGTTTGTATCCAGACGTAGTGTGAACGCGTTTAGCAGATCCGTTGGGATTGGCCCCCGTAGCACCACTGGGTGGCTGCTTTCGCTTTCGCGCTGCTGATGAAGCATTATTATTGCTGGTGCCGTTTGTGGAGAAACTCGAGGTGCCGGGAATAGAGTCCTTGGCAACACCATTGGCTTGAGAGCCGTTGGTGGCAGTGTGGCCCTTTCGGGTACTGGCAGCTGGGCCTTTTTCGCTGTCTGTAGCTGCTGAAGGAGAGCCGTTGACACTTGAAATGCCATTTCGTTTAGCAGAATGCACAGCAGACTTGGCGTTGGACGCAGGACTTGTTAATTCAAAGTCCATTTCAACATCTTCAGCATAGTTTGGACGTGCTGCATTAGTACGGCCACGCGAGCGTGTGCTGTAAGGAGCGGCCGCATTGCTTGCGGCGTCAGTAATTGAGGTCATTTCTGAAGACGTCGAATTAGAGACAGTCATGGGTTGCGACTGAGCAACGGCAACATTGGAATTAGCAGTCTTGGCCTCTGCGGGCCTTTCAGTGGTTGTTGCAATTTTGGTGGCTGGGGCGGCATGGCGAGATTTGCTCCGTGCCGGTGATGATGGAGAATCAGTATTGTTGGTATTGTGTGCGTTTGCAGGACCAGGACCAGCAGAGTCAGATTGTTCAGCCGAAGGTGGCATAGACTCTGTGGACTGACTGTCCTCGGACATGACTGGTCGTGTTGTCCTATGAACACACTGACATGAACACTAAAGTCAAATACGCGGTAAGTAAAAGTGGGTTGTGAAGAAACACGATGCGATGTGGGGTGGAACAAGTAATTTGGAAGGGAAAAAGGAAAAGACTTGGGGGTGGCGGACGAATGACACAAAAAGAAAAGAGTGATGAGGTTGAGATCCGGCGTCACCAAGGAATAATGTAAAAAATGCGGGTGACGGATAGCGAGGGATTGCAGGGAGGAAAGATGTGGCGAGGGTCAGTGACCACCAGCTTGGAAAAAGGAGCTCGAAAGGTGGGCCGAAAAATCACTAGCAGACTAGCAAACGGGGACGAGGACAATAATAATGATAGAGAATCAAGTAGAACAGGCCGAGTGAAACAGGAGGCCGTGGTTGTTGTGAATAGAGAGGGCATAAGAAAGTTGAAAGCGCGTGGATAGTACGGGGAGAAATAAAATATGTGAGGAGCCACTTAGTACGAGGTAAATCGTACTAGTCTCGAGTAGTGTGTGTACCTAATCAGGGTGCGAGCATCACGACAGACGAGATAATCAGGGAGCAAGAAATATTGAGAGAATGCAAGCCACCAGCGGCTTGGGTCTGATCTACGCCGGCGCGTGTGGAGCGGGAACGCGGCGAAAGGAAAAAAAAAACCCCCTCAATCGAGAATGATGGGAGACGCAACAATGAAGAACGACAATGAGGGCAGGAGAAGGAATCGCTAGAAGGTGTAGACGTTGATATCAGAGGGTTCAGCGAGTAGGTAAGAAGAATAGTGAACAGGATGAACGAAGCAGGAGGTGGGAATAGAGAAAGTAAGTAGAAAAGCGGGAGAGTCCCTGTGCGTTGGAGGGAAGACAGGAGACGAGAGAAAGAAGAGAAGAAGAAGAAGCAAACCTACGAATAACTGGCTCAAGAAATCGAGTTGATGAATCCGAGATGACAGATGGTGGATTTGGCGATAATGGAGAAAAGTCGTGTGGTGAAGGGGTGACAAGGATATCAGATTCGGAACAAGCGACTGCGTTGGGAAAGAGTGGAAGGAGACGGTTGAATAATGAAGAAAGATCTAGAGGGGAAGGAGGAACAACAAGAAGATAGAGAGAGAGAGAGAAAAGAGGAAGAAGATTAATCAAGAAGGAGAGTGAAGAGTAAGGAAGAGGAAGAGGATGGAGACGTAGGAAGGTGAAGAAGGGAATGATCGAATCAAATGCGAGGCAGAAAATAGAAAGAAGTTCCGCCCAACCTTCGATGGAGCTTATTGCCTTATTTGCCTGGGAGCCTTAGTCAGTCTAGCCCCGATAGTCAGGATACTAACGTCAAAGGGCAAACGACTTGACGTGCTTACTTTGAATATTCAATAGCCAGGGCTCTTATTGTTATCCGCTCTGTTTGTTCCTTGAGCTTGTTGTATTAAGTCTTAGGTGGTGTTATTGTAGGGAACACGTTGATTGATGGTGCCGGTAGGGAATGACGATGGTGATAATAATAAATAGGACAGCTTGGCTCGCCCGGTCCCTTGCTCGTGAATGGACGGTTCTACCCGGGCTGCCGGAGAGATAATATTGCAATAATCGAGGCCAGGAAGATAGATCTGGAACAAGGCGACGGAATGCCGGATGAGGAAGAATAACGAGGAGACAGCAGGGCACGCGATAACGGGCAAAGAACGCGGGTGGTACAATGGAAGAGTCTCTTTTGCTTATTTTGTCTCAAGTCTTGACTAGTCAGGCGTAGCATGTGTTGCCATCGCTGGCCTGCGGAACCAGGAATGCAGCTGCCAAGACTACGTGATAGACACGCATTGATGGTATTGGGGATTTCTCTCGATACAACTACGGAGATGTACGTATTCAATCATATTGTGCGATTCTGACATTCTGTCAAGGCCTCTACAATAGTGCTTGACAATGGCTACCGAATAATGGGCCAGGATGAAACAAGAGTCGTAGGTCTGCATAAGAGAAGTAAAGTGGATGTGGATGCCAGATGGCAACGCACGGCCAGCCGTCACACGTTCCCGTCGACTGGGATCCGTTTGCTGGGTGGTGATTCGATCGTTTGTCGGTTGAAGAATTTGAAATAGAGAGTAGTCAACTATTGTTATTATCTATATATCTTTGCTGAGTACCGAATGAATAACAAGCAGAACATGGAGAAATAAATAGGAGTGGAGGATCCTCACAATGCGCAATGAGGATTGACCTGCATGATGCCAAGCCATCGCCTTGACGTCCTATTAGAGCCGTGGCCCTAATTGGGATGCACAGCAGACGAGCATTCGTACTTACGTACTTGGGAAATATATTCGAATATGTGCTCAACAGCTCGTCAAATCAGGGCCTAGGTACGACATTGACAGCTTCCTGTGTTCAGTGGGCGATCGCATCTCGTCGGCTGTACCGTCAACTCGATTAATCCAACGGCCAAAGAGCCCATTCTCCGGTTCAAGCAATGCGACCAGTGCGAGCCGATCTCCACCGGAAAAACTTCAGTAAATTCCACCTCACGCAAAAGGGCGCAGATTCAAGTACGTGGTAAGCGTGTACGTAAGTCGAAAACCTGAGTGCGAAAAGCACAAACGCGAGTTGGTGATAGGCTGAAGAGCGATCGAGGTTGTTCGACTAGCCGTTTCCACTTGCCCGGGGTTATTGACCCCTTCTTGGACCAATCAGCGAGCGCCATTGACAAATTTTGTTCCGTGTTGGCGGGCCGGCGGCTGTTTTACTTTGCCACTTTTCTATATATCAGGACAGCATCGCATTATCTATGACTCGAGGATGGTGAGCTTTTGAGCCGGCATTTGTGCTTATCAGACCTTACCAGGTGGGCAGGTCTAAACCCAGGGTTCAGGGTTCAGGGTTCAGGGTCAAGGATCTATGGCGTTTGCCCTGGTCAAGTGACCTGGCCCTAAGCAAACTCTTGTCTACTCTCTATCTGGGCTAGCCACTTCATCACGCGAGGTTATTTTGAATATGGTCTCCGTACATATGCAGAACACATAGTGATTACGTTCTCGAAGAGATGATCCAGCCTGTCATTTATGGATTTTATACACGCGTAGAACCTATTGTATCGAAACCCAGACGTAACCATTGTAAGTGCTACCACACAGACAAGTCTCGTCTGGCCTTCCAGAACCCAAGGTCAATAAAAACCGCGCCGAGGCTAAGGCCCGGAATAGACTAGCCTGGGTGCCCACTCATATATATCAAAGAGCAATTCAACGAACTTAAGCGGAATACGACGGTTTTACGACCGGATTTGCTCTTTTGACTGACTCTTGCGGCAACCTCGGTAAGACTTAGTGCTGTAGGCTGACCGGTTAGCAATGTGATGGCTGTAGTGGTGGTCTGCATGGACACGGGCTTTTACCCTCAGTGTCAACGTGTCATACGTGGGCAGTCACCGTCACCGCTTGTCGTCGGCGCGCAGGTTACTGATCATATTCTAGTTTTATTAACGTACGGGGTATAGTTATCTGATACAACTGTGGCTACCGATGTTACTTACAGGCTTACTGTGTACTGTGTACATAGTACTAGTAGAGTCTGTAGACAGTGGAACTAGGGTTATGATTGGCCGCTCCATCCGCAATGCAGCCTCAGGTGTCTATCGCCTGAGCCTGCCTTGTTGCCAAAATATCCGAGCGCAAGCAGACCAACATCAAACATCAACACTGTTTATTGACGTCTCCATCTAGGCTATACCCGGCTCTTTCTTGGACAATATATTCATTGCCGATACATAAAACATGATTTCCTTTTGACGATTTGGCTCGTTCGGTCTGTATTTTGTCGCGCTGCGAGCGATACTATGTCTGGACCTCCTGTCCAGAGTCATGGCTTTCAAACCTCAGTGGATACCGCCCGTCAACAGACAACAACCATCGCTGGATTCAAGCGACCGCGCCAAAATTCGGTCTACACGGAACCTGCGACATCTGTGACAACCTCTATTACTGCCGCCGCCGCTGCTGCTGCTACTGCTGCTGCTCCCAGATCAACAGGAACGAGACACAACAACGATCCCCCCAGTCCCAAACGGCGGCCGGTAAATTTCATTCGAGCGCCGGCAGCCACTCACGAGATACGCATCGCGGCTAGCCCGATTCGATCGACTGCTAATAATAATGCTGTCAGTGCAATCCCGTCCTTGGCACCGCCGCCTGCCCCAAGCCAATCAGCAGCCACCAGCAACCCCCTGCTGTCTCTCCAACATCCTAAATATGGCCTGCCACCGGCACTAGTCGCCAATTTTCAGGCTGTCGGCATCCACAGTATTTACCCATGGCAGGCATCCTGTCTACTTGGTCGCGGCCATTTGACCGCCGAGAAAAATCTGCTCTATACAGCGCCTACAGGGGGCGGTAAGTCGTTGGTAGCGGATGTATTGATGCTCAAAAGAGTTATAGAGAATCCTCATCGCAAGGCTATTCTAGTGTTGCCGTATATTGCGTTAGTGCAGGAGAAGCTAAAATGGCTTCGTCGCATTGTTCAGGACGTCGAAAAAAATGTCGACACACCCGATTCTGCGAAACAGAAATGGAAACAGCCATCAAAGGAGATTCGTGTCACCGGATTTTTCGGTGGGAGTAAATCACGAGCTACCTGGGCCGACACTGATATCGCTGTTTGTACCATTGAGAAGGTGTGTTTGCCATACTCCTGTAGAAGTTGCGTATCTCATTTTTCATTTTTTCTTTTCTTTTTTGGATATAGGCAAATGCTCTGGTCAATACGGCCATCGCGGAGTGTAACATCGATGACCTGGCCGTAGTGGTGGTGGATGAAATACATATGCTGGACGATGACAGTCGCGGTTATCTGCTGGAGTTGATGGTCACGAAGTTGCTGCTGTTACAACAAGATATTCAGATCATTGGCATGAGCGCTACTCTTTCCGTGAGTGCTTTTAGCAAATCCGGTGTAACTAAAGCTGACGAAGAAGAATACCGAACTGCTTGCTGAATGGCTTCGCGCTTCTTTTCATGCTTCAACGCATCGGCCAGTGCCGATCGAGGAATACTTGGTTTACGAAAACTCAATTTATCCGGCCATTAGTTCCAAGGAATTCTTTCAAACTGCCACAAAGCTACAGTCAGTACAGGATACTGTACCACCCTGCCGACGGATTGACCAGTCCCCTTTTAAGGCGTTGAGCCATCCTACCGCAAACGCAATGGTATCACTGGCTATTGAGACAGCTACTGCGGGTTTTGGAGCGTTGGTATTTTGCGGCAGTCGACATGCCTGTCAGATGAATGCACAATTGATCAGTGAAGCGATGCCTTCACCGTCGACACTAGATTCGGAGCTTTTGGAGAGGCGACTGGATCTGTTGGATGAGTTGGGAAGTCTGCCATGTGGATTGGATCCTGCTTTTCAGAATACTATCATCAAGGGGGTTGCATTTCATCGTACGGGACCATTTTAGTCAGATGTATAGAACGGATGCTGATATTTCTATTAGACGCCGGATTAACCACTGAAGAGCGTGATTTGGTTGCCGAAGCATATGACCAGGGCACCATCAAAGTGATCGTGGCCACATGCAGTCTTGCAGCGGGCGTAAATCTGCCTGCCAGACGGGTCATTATGCAAGGTGCCAGGATGGGTCGTGATATCGTCGGGCCTGCATTGTTGTATGTTTATCATAAGACATCTTCTACTTGCAGAGTATACTTACCAATACAGACGACAGATGAGAGGACGCGCAGGACGCAAAGGAAAGGACACCGTTGGTGAAACATACCTCATCTGTCAACAGGCGGATTTGGAAGCAATCTCTGAAATCTGGGATGCCGAGACCCCGGCTATTGATAGTTGTTTGGCACAGGATAACAAGGGTGTCAAAAGGTGAGTCCTGTGACTCATTAATAGGAACTTTATTGATACGTACGATCCTAGGGCACTGCTAGAAGGCATCGCTACACGCCTGGTATCCGGCTGCGAAGCAATCGACGAATTCATGCGATGCACACTCCTCTGCAAAACACGCTCAGAAGCCGAAATGGAAAAACTAATTGACTCCAGCTTACAAGAACTAATCGACACAGAATTAATCCATCTCCGCGACGACGGCAACAATTCCTACGAATCGACAAAACTAGGTGCCGCTATTGTCGCATCTTCTTTTGCGCCCGATGACGGAGTCTTTGTATATGAAGAACTCAAACGGGCTCTTCAGGCCTTTGTCATGGATGGCGAGATGCATATCTTTTACATGTTTACGCCGTTGAGTGTTGCTATGAATACGAATATTGATTGGCTTATTTTTCGGGATCAGTTGGATCTTTTGGATGAGAGTGGCATTCGGGCCTTGTTGTTTGTTGGAGTACAGCCTGGGTTTGTGAATAATATGTATGTTCATCAAGCAACGAGTGAGTGCATTGCTGACGCAATATTACCAAATGATAGGGTACACACTGGACGGAATTTCAAGGAAGATGATCCGAAACAACAGCAGTTATCTAGAATATACCGTCGAGCATACGCCGCATTCCAATTGCGTGATCTTTGCAACGAAGTCCCTTTATCGACTATTGCAAGCCGATACAACGTTCCACGAGGCATCGTACAGACCCTAGCGCAAACATGTCACGGATTCGCAGCAGGGATGGTAAAATTCTGCCAAAGAATGGGGTGGGGTATGCTCGCCGTTGTCCTTGAGCATATGCGCGACCGACTTCAAGCCGGAGCCCGCGACGATCTTCTCGAAATGGCTCAAGTGACCCATGTCAAGAGTTGGACAGCTAGATTATTATGGGAGAATGGGTTTCGGAGTGTACGGGCATTAGCATCTGCGGATGCGAAGGATATTGTCCCTGTTCTCATGATGGTATTTTTTTTCCCTCTTCCTCGTCTTCGTCTGGTCGGTAGTAGTAAGTTTTGTCAGGCTCGATCTCGGAAAAGTCAGTCTCAGACGAATACGGAAAAAGAGGTTGAACGGCATGCGGCGAAATTGGCTCGTAAGGCAGAGGCGATTATTGCATCTGCCAATAAGATATATGGTGAGTCTGTCCGCTCTACTGTTTGCCTCTGGCTGACATTGTGTAGAACGCCAAATGCAGGTTGAGATTGATGAGTAGTCAATCTCGGCTCAATTCTACCATCATTTAAGTGTGTATATATATACTGGACAAATATCATACCCCATTAATTGCATTCTGTGCCCCAATCCCATCCCCTTTATCCGTCCAATCCAACAATATCCCATTTGGCGCACGTCCATACAACCCTTCACAGAGCTGTGCCTGGGCACCGATACTACCCGTCCCCGAAACAGCATTCGTAGTAGCCGCATCAGCGCGATCGGGGATATCAATGCCCAAAATGTCTTCATCTAGGAAATGATTGACGATATACATACGACCATCAGCACTTGCGCCTGAGGGACGATTGATACTACAATCCGAGAAAGTGGAGTCCGTGACGTCGAAGGGTGTTTCGAAGTAATACGAGAATTCGTCGAGGATGTATGGGACTGAAGACATATCTGCGCCGTAGTCTGATCTCGTCAGTTCCCTTTCCTCTATTCTGAAAGGTCAAGAAATACCTAAGAAAGCAACAACCCTCTTCCCCTGATCAATCAATTCCTGCAACGTGGGCCACTGTCCCATCGGCAACACACCGGGACTCGTACTCGGCACAAACGCATACCCATCAATCCCACTCTCTTCAAACGCCGCACTAAAATTCCCAATTCCGACATTATCGCCATTCGTAACTAGAACCATCACAACCTCCTGCGGGTGCGAATCCAGCCAGACTTTAATCTCTGATAAGAACCCCGAAAGAGGGCCAGCGTCTTCGAGTATACAGCTCGTATGACACATTGTTAATTCATTGAGGAAGTAGTGTGTTTGGCCCTGCAGGAAGCGAATGCCCATGTCTAGTTGAGCGGTTATGTTGATGTTTTGATTGTCGCTTAGCCCACTGCCGATGAAGGGGCTGTCGTGGGCGCCGATGAAGGTTATGTTGGAAAAGGGGCGGCTGCAGTAGGCGGTTTGGCCGTTGCATTGGGCTGCTGCTGCTGCTGCTGCTGTGAGCAGGCTAAATGCTGTTGTGAGACGCATCAATATTGTTGGTTGTCTGGGTGTGTTGTTAGATACTGTTTTTTTAATGGTGTATATAATCTCGAGGTTTAGTACCCATATAATGAGAGATTTGAATACATCCTATCTTCAGACCATCTACAGGATACATACGCATATTTATACCCTATAGCTTAATGCTGACCTACTATAACAACAACAGTATAGCACGCGTCCCGCTGGGTTACACACCGACCACCTCTTCCAGCCAGTCATATGTAGCAATCGCGTGAATCAATAGATAGAAAATGGTTTAGGGTTGATCATCAGATCCGCGTAGATCAAAGTCATTTGGCTGGAAATACTACCTTGATTGATTAGTATTGTGACTATGCATTGGTAGTCTGCCATGCAGATTGTGTTTTGAGCAGAGGAATGTGAGAAGTATGCCTGGCGATTGGTTGCTGGATAAACACGTGCTGGGATTGATTGAAACACATATCTTTGGAGCTCGAGGGCACTGTCTTCAAAGTGCATGATAGGTATTCCGAGTATTTCTTAGTTGAGACTCAGATTGATGTTAAAAAGAGGTGAGATGGTCCATCGACCCCTCATGATTTCGTCCTGGCCCGAATGCAACCATAGATTGTGGGTGGCAGGGGCCAAGGTTCCTGAAATGTTCGTATCCAGATTCCGAGAAGCTTATTGCACTCTACCTGAGTAGTGATTGCTCTAGTAGAGACTCTGGACTTTCCATAGATCCATACAGTAGTATATACTCCGTACTGGACAAAAGATTTGAATGTGAAGAGTCGTCGGTCGTCGATTAAGGCTGAGTGTGGCTTGTGCTCGATGTGGCGGGACTCCGATAACACAATCCAAAAAGGAAGGCGGTGACCAAGCTGCCAACCGACCGGCGAGCAAGTGGGCAACCGCCGACTTGTATACAATCAATGTTTACAGACAGCTCTGGTTGACTCTAACAGCTCCCAGTTCCGGTGGGTACGTCCATATCTGAGCACTAGAGCTCATAAGTAGTGCTATTCACACCGTCTGGGCATCGATGCGACCGTCACCATCACTCCAATCAGCACATCAACAAGCTCAAAGTCGATAGCCAACCATATCAGGTTACCATAGCTCTGAAACGACCTATCCAAGAACAGCCGAGAGCCGCGCGATCTCTTTTGACCTGTCCTGCGAAGCAATGAACATTCGACTGCACTGCCGATGAGCTCCACGAACGAGGGGAATGATGAAGGCGCCCGCGAGGATGAGCTTGATCTCGGCCAGCAAGACGACGACCTTCCTACCCATGTCAATGGGCAGTCCGAGGACGCGGATGCGGACAAACTAGAGAACGAAGACGCGGATGAGCAAAAATCGGTGGATGATTTGCCCTCAGTGAATGTGGATAATCAGAACTATGATAATCAAGATGAAGAAGGTACTCCTCATCTTCTACCACAGGCACCAGCGAGCGCCGACGAGCTCTCGTCCATACCGGACGATACACCATCTTTGCATGTGAGTGATGCTGAGCCAAATTTGTTGGCAGTTTCTAATCGGCTTAGGGATCTCTTCAGTCATCACCGAGTAGTAGCGCCCTAGCCTTTCGAGCCTCTGCCAGATCGAGTCCCGGCCCCGCGCACCGTCCATTCGACCTACGCTTTCAATCGAGACTATCCTCGTCATCATTCAGTAGTCCACGCCCATCATCTCCATTTGTATTACATACACATTCTCGCAATTCGTCGTTTGCCAGTCAACCCCCGCTTTCCAGCACTCCCGACCTTGAGCCTGACACACCCCAAACTCCCTGGGAGGTTGTACGATGGACAAAACTGCGCAAGATTGCAGCGCAATCATTTTCGGAAATAGGTCGACGGAATTTTGGACGGCCAACTTGTATATGTGTGTCGACTGCTATCGTATTGGGGACGTCCAAAGGCATTGTTCTTGTTTTTGACTATCAGCAAAATCTGAAGACTATCATTGGTCCTGGAACAAAGGGTTCGTTCTTTTTCTCTTCTTTTTGGATTTATAATGGTCACTAATTTATATATAGCTGTCGAAGCTGGTGCTATTACCTCCTTGGCGATCTCGGCGGATCATACAACTGTCGCAGTAGGACACGCAGAAGGTGAAATATTCACATGGGAAATTTCGAGGGCTTCGCGGCCATTTCTTCATATCCCGCCGGTACCGATGGCTCAACATGTCCATGGGGGTGCTCCTGATGGTCACGTAGCCGGTGTTGCTGTCGTTCATATCGGTTTCTTAGGCACCAGACGAACCGCCTTGGTCTCTGCCGATGATCGCGGCATGGCGTTTTCGCATTTGGCAACGCGAGGTATGGGTGCAGTTGCGAGGACGGTCAAGACAACTAGAATCTTGGGACGATACCCAGAACCTCCTTCAGAGGAAGTCAAGCCAAGAAAACCCAGTTCTGTTTTGGCTTTTTCACCTCTGCCTCTAGGCAACGTTGACCAGTCAACGGATGGACTTGGCTTGGTCGCAATGCTTACTCCATATCTGTTTGTTATCGTTTCGACCACTCCCGTAGCACATACTCAGTTCAAAGCGCCACGGCCGAAGGAGGTAGGGTCTCACTGCGTTATGAGTGCTGCATTAGCATGGTTCCCTGCAATCAGATTAAAAGGGAAAGAGGAGGTATCGAATACAAAACTCGTGTACTGCTGGTCGAATGTCTTGACTGTGCTTGACGTTCATGAATCAGATGTAGACGGCGAACTATCCAAGGATCGCCCGCCCGTCCTCGAGTTTCGTCCCAGAAGCCGCTGGCGGGCGAACGAAGCCATTGTTGCCGTACAGTGGTTGAGTCGTTCTGTTTTGGCTGTGCTGACTATAACTCAGCAGTTGTTGATCCTCGAAGACAGGACTCTGCGCGTGACAGACTCTTTTGACCTCCTTCACAAGCATATTTACCACACAGATATCTTTTCGTCTCACCTTCGTACGTTGGTGGAACAGTATGATGAAGAGAATACGACAATGCATGGAGTCGTTGCAGATGCTTTTTACCATAGCTTAAAGGCCTACAAAGGTCGCCTGTTCCTGCTAGGCTACAATGAGCTGTCCGTGGGAAGTCTGTCTAACTGGGCTGATCGATTGCTTGCGTACATGGAGACTGGTGACTTTGTCTCGGCAATTCGACTAGCGACGTCCTATTATCAAGGAGATGCAGAGAAGCTGACAGTTGGTCTTCCCGAAGAAGACGACTTGCGACATTCTGTTGTTGAAGAGAAACTACTGGAGATGGTATCTGCCTCGCTCAAATTTGCCTTTGGAAGGAACGAAGATGCAGGCATCGAGCGTGTTCAAAAATCACAATTGGAGGCTCTTGCTGACGCAAGTATATCTGCGTGTGTTTGCATGGAGAACTTTGATTACCTCTGGGACGAGGTCTATGAATGGTACGAGGGACACGATTCGCAAGGGATTTTCTTGGATGTCCTCGAGCCCTTTTTACGAGAGGAAAAAGTCAGATCTATACCCCCGACGGCTCTGAAAGCTCTAATCAACCACTACTCAGCTACTTATACTTCGGCTCGTCTGGAGGAGGTGATTTGCCTTCTTGATCCTACGACTATGGACATTGACCAGGTGACTACGCTATGTAAACAACATAACCTGTATGATGCCTATATCTATGTTTGGAATCGTGTGCTATCGGATTATGTCGGACCATTGGAGGAGCTGTTGGCATTTGCGACCCGCGTGATTGAATCTGCCGCGGATGTTAATGGCTCGAATTTTGAGCCAATTGAATATGAGAATGCGATGAAGGTATTCCCGTATCTTTCGTTTATACTCACCGGACGCACATATCCCACCGGGGAAGAAATGAGTGAGGATCAGGCAGTGAACGCAAAGCGAACATTATACACCTACCTTTTCACAGGAACGCATCTGCCTGGTTCGAAGCAGAAACCATTCGGTGCGCTTCGCACAGCCCTCAAATTCGACTCCTCCAGTTTCATGAGCATGCTGAATGAGGCGTTTGAAGATAGTTTCTTGAATGACTCGGCTGATGTCGGGAACGGAGAATCTGAGCAAGGCTCAGGACTGACCATTAATCGCCAATTCCTCGTTAGCGTTTTGTTAGATGTTATGAGCAACAGCGAGTTTGGTCCTCACGAGACCATCTTTCTCGATATGTTCATCGCGAGAAATTTGCCAAAGTACCCTCAATACATTCTACTTTCGGGCTCCACGTTATATCAGGTACTTGAACGACTCTGTCGATGGCCTACTTCAGAGCTTGCAGAGGACTGTCAACTTAGCGTGGAATATTTACTATCTATCTACCATCCGCCTGATCTTCAGAGTCTGATACCTCTTTTCAAAGAAGCGGGTTATTACCGTGTTCTGAAATCTACCTATCGCGCAGAGAAACAGTATGCCGAGCTTATTGTTACTTACCTTCAGGACACTAGTGAGCGAGAGGACGTCTTTACGTGTATATATGAATGTCTGCGATCAAGAAGCGCGCTGAGCGGTAAACAGCGAGAAGAGGTCATGCAAGTGATCAAGAGTCGGGCGGGCGAGCTGGCGCTTATTAACGTCTCGAAAACTGCGCGCACCGTTCAAGAGCTTATACCTTCATTGCATGCGGTTTTCCTGAAGTCGCTGGAGCAAGACGATTACAAGCAATACCATTATTTGGAGACATTGCTAGAGCCACAGGATTCTGATACTGATGTGAAGGTCGCCCCTGCAGAGCTAGACAGGTCAATGGTCGAACTATATGTACAATTACTGTGCCGGTACAATCGATCTCATGTGGCGGATTATATTGACACGCTCCGAGTCAACGAATTGCGGTTAGACGAAGTTCTACCTGCGATAGAAGGAAGCGGTGTTGTCGATGCGGCAGTTGTACTTTTAGCACGACAAGGGCAGGTCCGCAAGGCCATGGACCGTCTGCTGGCGTACTTGAGCACACTGGAGTCCGGCTTGATGGGAATTCTCACCAATGCAGAGGAAGCACCCGATGTCGCTGGTACTTTTGAGGCTGTTGGAGACCTTCTCGAGAGCGTGGACAAGTATTCCGGTGTTGGAATATGGTTGTGTCAGGGACAAACAAAGAATGCGCAAGCGCAACCTCTTCGTAATGGTCATGCGGGAAGCAACAAACGCGCTTCTGTTATGACACTGCAGGAGCCGCTGACATTCGAGGAGAATCTCTGGCTGGACTTGATTGGTGCCGTTGTAGGGATGGCGAGGAACGTCTCATCGCTTTTACAAAAGACGTCTACACCCGAGAAACTGAAGTCGTTACTGCTATCTGATAATCAAGATAAGGCGGCTGATGGTGACGTGGAGCTGATCTCCTCATTCCGGCAATTAGTCCAAAAAGTCTTTACTGCCCTGCTAACCAGCACGGCAGCTGGAGGACCATCACCCGGTGAACGAACGGGCGTATCGTTCCTACGCATTCTCCGCGCTTTCCTTACCCAAGCGGCAACTACATCCCCCTCACTATCCGAACTGCGTTCCGTCCTTGCATCTATATTCTCCGCATATACATATGAAGAATCCTTACTATCTCTGGCAAACGGCATGCTAGACAAGGATCTCTTTGTCCATGTCAACGAGGTGACTAAGCTCCGACAACATGGCTGGCGTCCTAAAGGACAGGTATGCGAAATTTGCCGAAGACGTATCTGGGGTCCTGGAGCCGGTGCATCTCAGTGGACAGCATGGGAAAGAAGGCTAGATGCCGAAGACCGTCGACGACGAAGTGCGCGACAAGTTGATAATGGGGGTGTACTCCTAAAAGGAAAAGGCAAGAATCGAGACGAAGATGATGGAAATTTGACTATCACCGGTAGCAGTAGCGGTGGTGACGCCGACGATGCATCGCTAAACGACACTACTGAGAACACAGCGGGATTTGTTGGATCCGGACCAGTGGTGGTATTCGCATGTCGCCATCTTTATCATCGGCCTTGTCTAGTGTCGAAGATGAGAGATGATGGCGAGTCACAGTCACACCAAAAGCAAATACTTGATTCTCATGGACACGAAACGACTCGGGAACTTGTATGCACGACATGTACATGATGGCCGTACCTTAATTTCTTTTTCTTTCTTTTATCTAATGTTCGCTACTTGATCGGTATTTTTGCGTTGGTTGGTTGGCTGTATGTTATCTCATTAACTTACGATGTAACCTATCTAGCATGGATATATTGTGTATATAGTTTGCATCAGGTACTCATACGGGGTAGTTACCTAGTTACGGTATATTTACAAGATTCCTTTCACATAGTCCAATGACCAAATCCCTAGTCCCGTTAATCGACTACTACCCAAGTGACCACAGCATAACCGTCCAACTTACGACCTCATCTATATCATTATCCCAAATTTGAAATAAGCCCCTGGGGATCTCGATCATGCGTGTGTGAGTGTGTTCAATAGTTAACTTAGTGCAATGTCGCGGTTGAGTGGTTTTTTTTCTCAAATGCAACGTTATTTCGGAGCCGGGACACGGCTCTACCTGCATGAAATTTTGAAATTAGGGTGTTGAGAACTTTTTCGTTCCTGTCAGCGTTTTGGTAGGTATCACGAAGTACTAATTAGTGTGTACTATTTTGTTTGGAGAAGTCACTCATGGTCGACTTGATTAATATTGATCATACCGAGGTAGGTATGGGCTTCAATGTTCTGAAGAAGTTCATCTGTGCAACCCCATAATTACTTGCCCGTGGATGGTTGCATAGTTTTATCAGATCTCACTGACTCTTTCTTATTTTTAATATATTCATTATAAATGACACAAGAATGGATAGATCTCAATATGGCAAACTGCGGACACTTAGTCATTGAATCTCAATTATACTTTGTACGGAGTACAGTAACCTTGGGAAGCAATGAACAATCTATATTGAGGCTTTTCCAGTACGTATGTTGCTTACTTGCCGTGAAACATTAGCGTTGCTTAAACAGTGTCGCTAGACATGCTTAAGGACCACTAAATTACCGAGAGAGCCTCTCGGCTTCCCGACGGTATCCTAGAGTCTATCTGCTCATAAGGTAGAAGAAATAGAATTGACATGTTCTCGGGGATTATCGTCCTTTCTATTCTTGATCTCTTCTTCAATAAGTTACATGTACTCCCGTATGTACTAGTTAATGATTATTATGGTATAGCCATCTGCCCGGACCACGAGTTACACGGCACACGCTTCTTGGGAACGATAGGTATCAAATGACATGCCCTGGATCAGTTCTTCCGGTCAATTTGACATCGATGGCCCGGTCAGATAAGGAATTTAGATATGTACTGAAAAAGCCACGCGATAATTTGACGTATCTTGTCCTACCTTAGGAAGATTTATGGCTCTGGTGATTTTTACCCCATGAATTTTAATGATTGTTCATATCGGCAGTTCGTTATTTGGGAGCGCAGAAACTGGGGCGACCCTAGATAAAAGCCATAGCATTGATTATGACCAGGGTCAGGGATATGGCGCCACATTATGATAATTTGATGTTTCGTGGCACCATGCCACGTTGAGAACAACAACCTTCTGTTTTCGTTATAGATGTAGTATCATGTAAACTTGGCCGAAAATATCATGAAGTAACAAGAACTTTGTCTGTGGGTCATCTCATCCTGAACCCCCCCAAAAAAAACCGTTCCTATCGACGCCGTATCTCAATTGGTGAAGTTGAGTGATAAGCTGACGATCCTAGTTGTTAGCGTCTAGTGACTGCACGAGTGGAGTATCCCATCGTAGCCTCTCAGCCAGTTGATCGTGTTTCGTTGCTACACTTAGTTTATTCGAGAGTGTTTATGAAGATTAGTCCAGGCACCTGCTGTAGAGTCGCGCGCGGTAATAGAGCATATGCCTAGATGGGTAGGTGGCATAGATGACTTCCTACATCAGCCTTTACATGCAATTTTTCTTGGATTATGGTATCAATGTGACTCAAGACCACGTCAGGCGTATTCATTGAGATTATTGTCTGAGATAGATGGATATCTATTGATTGATTATAATATCTATCTACCAAATGTCGGGCAAATGCCAGAAATCAACTCTATCCAAAGCTCGGGGTATGTATCGAGTAGATACAGTAAATCATGCAAAGGACGCTGACTAACCCACAAAGCCAAGTACGATACGTAGAAAAAAAAATCCAAAAAAAGACGGAGATAGCATCCCGATCAGAGTTAGTCTGACAACTACTGCAAGTGCTTGCCGATCAAACAAGAGGCCATTGCAAGTCATAGCCTATTTACTAGTATTTTGGGGGACTCTTAGGGCACTATTCCAGGGAGACTTAGGGCTAATCACGATCCCAAAACCGCATCTATCCGCCCCGATTGGCCAGTCACTACGGCATGTGAAACGGAAACAAGCGCTGATATTCTTTTCTTCACTTCTGGATTTTCACTCGATTGTTTCATATATTGGTCAATTTATTATCTTCTTAGTTTCAGAGCAATCGGATTGCTCCTCCGTCTTCTGTTTCGCAATTTCATTAGCAGTCCCGACCCATCTGGTCCCATCCTATTTGATCGTCTTGGTCCAGAACCCTAGTCATCGGATCTGGCCATGCAGAGGCCAGCGTCAACCGTTCAGTGCTCGTCATGGTAGTATTCTGTAAATAGTGTACTTTATGCATACTAGTACATACTAGGACTCGGTAGGTAGTACTCTATGGCCGATGATACTTCGTCTGCGCTGACTCGCCCCATCCTAGACACCATCCCCTGGCTAGCAATCTACTATGTGCCGGAGACTTTTTTCCCCCCTCTCTTTATCGTTCTTCGACCTCGTCCAATCGCTCCAGACGCTTGTTTTCTCAGTATACATGTGGGGTACCTAGTCATATTGCCCTAGCTCATGGCTCTGGCTTATGGTTTAGTCTCCTAGGCCTGGCAGATGCTAGACTCCTATTGAACGTTTCCTTCATGGCCTACATCCATGGATGTCTGTATCAAAAAATTTATATAACGGGTCCAGACCCTGTCCTACTCGGTGCTCTTCTCTTCCTTTTCTCTCTGCGCCTTTCACGCTGTGCTTGATCGTTCATATTCACTCCTTCAATTTTTCATCCGAGCCTGGTGCTCTGACAGTCCACTCCTTAGTACTGTTGTCATATTGACTCCTCTGACGAGGAAGATTACATTCCCTTACAAAAAATCAATTTGATTTTTGAAAAATACAAACACGTTTCAACGGTTTGATATTCAGCCATTCCTTAAAACGCCTCGATCAACATGCGTGCTTCGACTCTTCTTGAACTGGCTGCCCTTGCCGGCTTGAGCAGTGCTCAAACTTATTCTCTGGTGGACAACTACCCAACTGGCATGGACTTTTTCTCCAAGTTCAGTTTCTTTACCGTATGAGCCCCGTGCCCTCATGTGCCATCTCCTCATACCTGCTGACAGTCTGACTAGGACTCCGACCCTACCCATGGATTCGTTGATTATGTCAGTGAGACCACCGCCAAAAGTGCTGGCTTGATTTATGCGAGCGGTAATGGCACCTACATTGGTGTTGATAACACCAATGTTGCCTCGAGCAGCGGTCGCCAGAGCGTGCGTCTGACCAGCAACGCTGCCTACACCAAGGGGTTGTTCGTTCTTGATCTGGCTCACATGCCAGGTTCCGTCTGCGGTTCCTGGCCTGCTTTGTAAGTTGTTGAACAAGCTGGGAAAGTGGGATGGTAGATCTAACATTTAATAGCTGGACAGTTGGAAGCGACTGGCCAAACAACGGCGAAATCGACATTATCGAAGGTGTCAGCCAGCAAAGCGCCAATGCCATGACCCTACACACCAGCAACGGCTGCAGCATCAACGACTCTGGATTCACCGGCCACCTCGCCACAAGCAACTGCTACGTCAACGCCGCGGGCCAGGCCAATAACGCCGGTTGCAGTATCGATGCGACTACTTCTGCCACGTACGGAGATGCGTTCAATACCAATGGGGGCGGCATATATGCCATGGAATGGACTGATAACTACATTCAAGTCTTCGAATTCAGTCATGCCACTGCCCCCGCTGATATCAACTCCAATAGCCCTGACCCAAGTAACTGGGGTGAACCTGCGGCTCGCTTCCAGGGTAACTGCGATATCGACTCTCACTTCAGTCAACATCAGATTGTACGTTGACTCTTAGCAACTAAGCTTTGCTGCGATAACAACTAACCGCCATCTAGGTCTTCGATATCACTTTCTGTGGCGACTGGGCCGGCAACGTCTGGAGCTCAAGTACTTGCTCCAGCTACGCAAGCACTTGCAACTCTTATGTCCAGAACAACCCATCTGCTTTTACCGAGTCTTATTGGCTTATCAATTCCCTCAAGGTCTACCAAAGTTAGACGGCATACCTTCTGAAATACGGAAAAGAACACAGTATTGCATCTGTGCCATTTGATATTTTTCTTCATTGCATATATACGCTCGAAGTTTGTTTTGTCTGATATCCAAGCCTGAACAGGATGTTTGCTTGTACATGAGCAGACTGCCATATACATACATGAGTGTACAAATCATCAGCCTTGGAGCAGTACATACCTGTACAACGCTACCAAGTTTGTGTTTTGTCTTTGGCTTTTTCTTCTATTCTCAGAGATGGCAAGGTTGAAAACTCAACTAGTCGCCTCTCTACTTGTTTTACCTTCGTTGTGGATATTTTTTATATAGTGTCTACTGTCCTTTCTACTATACTCTTTAATGTAGTAGACCTACTGAACAGTGCGGGTATTTTTGTATGACTATTCATCGGACCAAATCAATGTCGGTACCCTTTCAGGCTTGAGGCTTGTTACCTTTGTTTGATACTGTGCCATATTCATCCTAAAAGTTATCTCGAATCCTTCGTCTTACTTGGGCGTACATGTTCCACCTTATGCAACTATTAGTTGTCATTAAGAGTTTATTCGCAATGCTTGTTTGGAGATATTATGCCTACATCTTATCGTTGCTATAGAGCCATTTAGAGGGCATCTCCTGCTTGATATGTTTCCAGCAGTCTCTTGGGTCTCGCCAACTACTTTTCGAGTCATCGTTTATAGGTATAATCACCAAATTTCACTTGCTGCCACTTTCAAATGTTATCTTTCGAAATGATTCGTCAAGCTCTCATCAGACTGGCCCTTGGCTACTTAACATGGACCATTGTGGCACTGTAAATCAATTACCGATATACATCTTCTATAAACATACCTCTAGTCCACATCATAGTCGACTCTCCAAACCTCCTGTGGATGTTTCTACAAGCACGCCTCTGGCCTGTACTCGATCGTCTTCCCATCGATTGGGCCACATTTGGTCGATATGGACGTCGAGGATGGCAATTCGCAGATAAGGCAGACTCTCATCTACGATATGGTCCAGTCTGGGCGCTTGTTACACCGGTGAAAGTCTATATTCATGTTACTGATGCTGATGTGGCTTATGATATGTTTAATCGACGCAAGAATTTTCCTAGTCCGAGTAAGATGTACAGTAAGTTCAAGAAACTCTTGCGATTTTTGCAATTACTAATCAGGATCTGGGTGTACTAGTTATAGAACTGGCTGAGATATACGGGCCCTGTATATCGACTGCACACTGGACAGAATGCGAACACCATAGGAAGATTGTTACGAGCCCATTCAATGAGAACACCATGGAGTTTGTCTGGAAGGGGAGGTCGGAACAAGCACGCCAAATATTGAATCGATAGACCAGCGAATCGTCTCAGCAACTTTGGAATTTTTCAGAAGGTACTCGCGCACGTTCACTGAACGTACTGGCTGCAATGGGCTTTCAGCATTCTTACAAGTTTCATAGCGCCAATAAAAACAATGACATCGATACTGAGGAAGATGATTATCGAGGCACTTTGAAAGTGGTGCTAGATAACTGCGTTATGCTCATGGTTATTGGACGCAAGATACTCTTTTACCGGTTTGCGCCAAAGTCATCGCAACTTGTGGCAAAGGCCTCAGCTAATTTCGAGAATACATGCTCCAAATGTACTCGGAGGAGAAGGCTGCCTTGGAAGATGGGAAACCTGGCAAGGGAGGTCTTATGACTTCATTTCTTCGCACGGATCAACAGCTAGGCAAAATTTTCGAGGGTGACAGACTTGGTGGTTTGACAGTGGAAGAAATTTCTGGGAATATATTCTTCATCAACTTTTCGGGATACGATATTATGGCAAAGACTTTTGCTTACACCATGCTACTTTTGGACTGCGCATCCCGAGGTGCAAGAATGGGTGGCGGAAGTACTACGGCAGCTTGTACCTGCAGAAGGACAATGGGAATACGATACCTTGTTTCCAAAGCTCAAGCGGTGCAGGGCTGCTTCTTCCCCACACTGAGTACTCATGGATAGATATAGTTTGAGACCCTACGTTTCTTTCCACCATACATGACCCTCGCAAGTGGACTAATGATCAGCCACACAGTCTAATAGTTGACAAAAAGACAATCATAATTCCGACTCACACAGGGGTCATAACGGTATTACTCGCGAAGTCACACACATCCACTATACTGGGAAGGTCCCTTGGAATGGAAACCGTCACGATGGATGTCTACCCCTACAGCAGACTTGAACATGACACTCAAACTTTAGGAAGAAACCTTCTTCAAACCTACCAAAGGAACTCTTATCCCTTAGTCTGACGGCCAAGAACTGGCCAGGTGCCAAGTTCTCACAGGTTGAATTCGTTGCTGTTATTGCTCGGTCGTTGCGAGATCATCGGTACACTGCTGTTCAGTGGCCGGACGAAAACTTGGAGGACACCCGCAAGTGAGTTTTGAATATTCTCAGCGAGATTAATTTGGAGATTTTATCAAAGATAAAGGATTCTGATCAAGTCCGTTTAGTGTGCAAACGTCTCTCGACAGCTAAGATGGTCAAATTAGGGTTAGAATTTGAGTAGAAGTAGTTAGACTGACTAAAGGATTAATCAACACTTGTATCCAATCATATTTTGAATATCATGTGAAAAAGCGGTCAGATGTGATCACCCAATCAAAAAGCAAAGAAATTGACAGTACCTGACTGATAGCGGTGAGTACTGGCAATAAAAAAAGATAAGCAGAAATTTTGTCAAATAGCGAGTTCACTTTCTCAACTCACGTCGACGTCTTCGTTTTTTCCTTCCTTTACATTCTGGCCAAGTCCGGTCATTGAGAGGAATCGAAGCTCAAGATGCCGCGTAAAGCCATTGACTCGCGCATCCCCGCGCTCATTCGAAATGGCATTCAAGAGAAAAAACGAAGCTTCTTCGTCGTTGTCGGTGATCGCGCCAAAGACGCAATCGTCAACCTGCACTGGATCATGTCTGGCGCCGACGTGAAACAAAACAAATCAGTGCTATGGGCCTATAAGAAGGATCTGATCGGATTCAGCAGTCATCGCAAGAAACGAGAAGCCAAAATCAAAAAGGAAATCAAGCGGGGCATTCGAGAGCCAAATTCCGAGGACGCCTTTGAGCTTTTTATCAGCTTGAATCAGATTCGTTATGTTTATTATAAGGAGACCGAGAAGATTCTGGGTAATACGTATGGTATGTGTATTTTGCAGGATTTTGAAGCTATAACGCCGAATTTGTTGGCGAGGACGATCGAGACCGTGGAGGGAGGTGGCATTGTTTTGTTGCTCTTGAAGGGAATGAAGAGTTTGAAGCAGCTATATACACTTTCGATGGATATTCACTCGCGATACCGAACGGAAGCCCATGACGACGTTGTTGCACGATTCAATGAACGTTTCATCTTGTCCCTGGGAAGCTGCGATTCGTGTCTTGTGGTGGACGATGAATTGAATGTTCTACCAATTTCGGGAGGTAAGAATGTTACACCACTTCCGCTGCCGAACCCTATCGAAGACAACAAATCAACCGCGCAGAAGGAATTGCAGGAAATAAAAGACAGCTTAGCAGATTCTCAGCCTGTGGGGTCTCTCGTCACACTCGCCAAAACGGTTGACCAAGCGAAGGCTCTACTTACTTTTGTTGATGCCATCGCTGAGAAGACACTGCGAAGTACTGTCACTCTTACCGCGGGTCGTGGCCGAGGAAAGTCTGCCGCTTTGGGTGTTGCTATAGCTGCTGCTGTTGCTCATGGATACAGCAATATTTTCATCACATCTCCCAGTCCGGAGAACTTGAAGACTCTCTTTGAGTTTGTTTTCAAGGGTTTCGATGCATTGGGTTATCTAGACCACGTTGATTATACTATTCTGCAGTCGACGAATCCAGCTTTCAACAAGGCTATTGTTCGTGTCAACATTCACCGAAACCATCGCCAAACCATCCAATATATTCAACCCCAGGATGCGTATGCTCTCGGACAGGCCGAACTATTAGTAATTGATGAAGCTGCTGCAATCCCTCTACCACTTGTGAGAAAGCTTTTGGGTCCTTATTTAGTGTTCATGGCCTCCACCATCAATGGTTATGAGGGTACTGGTCGGTCACTATCACTAAAACTTATTCAACAACTTCGCGAGCAGAGCCGTGGTGCTAGTCTCAAAGATGCCGATACAGATATTGCAGATCGCTCGACGGGGAAATCAGCAAAGCATACAGAGAAAGGTGTCATTGGTAGCAGAACCTTGAGAGAAGTCACACTCTCCGAACCTATCCGTTATGCTGCGGGCGACTCTGTGGAGAAGTGGCTTAACAAGGTTCTGTGTCTGGATGCTACTCTCCCAAAGTCGAAGATGAACACGCAAGGATGCCCTCATCCATCTCAATGTGAGCTGTTGCACGTCAACCGTGACACGCTCTTCTCTTTTCACCCCGTTTCCGAAAAGTTTCTCCAACAGATGATGGCCTTGTATGTGGCCAGTCATTACAAAAACTCACCAAATGACCTTCAACTGATGAGTGATGCGCCTGCTCATCAACTTTTTGTTCTGGTCCCGCCCATCGACGAAGAAGCTACAAAGCTTCCTGAGCCATTATGTGTCATTCAGATTGCCTTGGAAGGTCGCATCAGTCGGGAGAGCGTTATGAACAGTCTCAGCCGAGGTCAACGTGCTGGAGGTGACCTTATTCCATGGCTTGTCAGTCAGCAGTTCCAAGACGAAGATTTCGCGGGATTATCAGGAGCTCGTGTTGTTCGTATAGCCACGAATCCAGAATATCTGAACATGGGCTATGGATCACGAGCGTTGGAACTTCTTGTTGATTTCTACGAGGGCAAATTTGCAAATCTCTCCGAGGACGTCTCGTATGCTTCGGAAGAGATGGTTCGAGTCACAGACGATCAACTTGAGAATGCCAATCTCCTGGATGATGATATCCACGTACGCGATATTCGTTCCATGCCTCCGTTGTTCGGGAAATTGTCTGAGAAGCGACCCGATACCCTTGATTATGTCGGTGTCAGTTACGGTTTGACACCGTCGCTGCACAAATTCTGGAAACGAGCGTCCTTCAGCCCAGTCTATCTTCGGCAAACTGCGAACGAGCTTACGGGTGAACACTCGTGTGTTATGCTTAGAGCGTTGACTGCAGGATCTAACGACATCAGCTGGCTGAGTGCATACACCAGAGATTTCCACAAACGTTTTCTCTCTCTTCTTTCTTATCAATTTAAAGATTTTCCGGCTGTCCTGTCGCTTAGCATTTGCGAGTCCGCTACTGCTGGGTCGAAACTAGACCCATCTTTTTCGCCATCACCTTTAACAAAGTTTGTACTGGACAGCGCGTTCTCGCCGTTCGATCTCAAACGCCTTGACAGTTACGCAAACAACATGCTCGATTACCATGTTATTTTGGACATGGTCCCTATAATTGCCCAGTTCTATTTCCTGGGCAGCCTTCAAGGCAAAGTTAACCTGTCTGGTGTCCAACAATGCATCCTGCTTGCAGTTGGTCTGCAGCGAAAGAATATTGATGAACTAGAGAAAGAACTAAATCTACCTTCCTCTCAGCTTTTAGCCATGTTTATCAAGATCATCAGAAAGATATCAACTCACTTCCGCGGATTACTTGAAGGCGCCGTCGCTGCAACATTACCTGAAAAGGTGAACACCGCCGATGCCTCTGGTGCTCACGACGATGTCGTCGAGGATAAATTCCAGCCTCTTGAAACAGGCTTGGAAGAAGAACTGCGCGAAGGTGGAGAACAAATCGACAAAGAACTAAAGGAGAAACAACGAGCTTTGATTGATGCTCTCCCCCTTGACCGGTGAGTTACACCTAAGCATCGATAATAAGCTTATAACAGAAAAAGAATAACATAACTGATCAAAAGTCTCCAGATACGAGATCAATAACGGAACAGCCGGTTGGGAAGAAGCTGAGAAACAGATTCGTAAAGGCGGCGCAGCTACTGTGAGCGTTAAGAGTACTAAGTCCTCCAAGCGCAAGGCAGGTGAAACCGCACGAGAGATATATGAGCAGGAAATCGATTCCAAGATCCAGAAGAAAATCAAGAAGGGGACTGAGGGTAGGAAGAAGAAGTGAAATGACTTGGCGATGAAGTGAACAAAAAAGTATTCGTTTTGAAAATCGGGTCATTGCATATGGTGATAGGCGTTTCTGCTTTGATGATTGTTTTCTCTGGGATATGAGACCATTCGGCGTTGAGACAGATTCAAAGGGCAATTGGCTTTTCGCTTACTATATGTATGACATGTTGTAAATAATCAATATACATATTTAAACAAGTCTGTTAATACATTCGGTAACCTTACTCGATACAATTGATAATTCAAACTGCTTAGTATATTCAAGTCCTCCTGCCCTGTCTACACGCTCACACGGGTTCCTTGTACCTAGGTATCATACAGTATAGGCGCAATAAGCAATTAGAGCTCATCATGTGACACTTCCTCTTCTTCTTCTTTGATCACACCCTCAGGCAACTTACTTTTTGATCCTTCACCGAGTCTAATAGCATCAATCCAACCTTCGACACTGTGAAGGCCGAAACCTTCCTCCGAAGAATAACGACGCCACCAGCCTCGTCGGCCATTGACTGCAATGATCTCCGTGACGCTTGGCTCAGAAAGTCCCAATTCGGTACGTAGTATCTTTGCGTGAGAGTTAATTGCTGGTACACTGTAAAAGGGGAGATGGTGACCAGTTAGTTTATGCGCGAGTTCTGAGACGCTGGACAATGCCTCCTTTGCCGGTGAAGGGAGCTCGGCATCAGCGGACTCTGTTTCTGGTAGGAGAATCAAGATGCAGGTGCCCGATTTGGAGTTGAGGCAAGTTGGTCCAAGATCCTCAGGGGTAGAGAGCTGGGCGACTTCGGGAGCCTTGACGGGGATCTTGACTGGTTTCTCCTCCGGAGCCACTTCCACCTTCGGACTCGGCGAGTCTGTGGATTTATCGCTATCAGTAACAGTTGAGCTGGACGATGAGGTAGGCTTCTTCGGTGAGCTCGACTTCTTTCTCGGAGCGGCTGGGGCTGGATCGGGATTCGGTTTTGCGACCTGGCTGAGGAATTCGAGCATGGGCGCTTTCTTCATTTCGCCTTCATATTTAATCGGCTCCGAGGCTCCGTTGGGTAGGAGTACAAGAGTTGGGAATGAATTAATGCCGAATTGTTCAACTGCCTTAGATTCTTTGCTTCTGATTTGCGCAAAGTTGATACCCCCAAGGAAGTCAACAGCCAGAGAACGCAGAAGTGCTCCTGTGGTCCCCTTCTCGGTAAAGAGTAAAGCCTTCGGAGACTCATCGGCTGATAACCAAGTCTCATAATCCTTGTCTGTGAGCTTCTTGACGTGGTTCGGGATCCTCTCAACCACCGCATCGACAATCGCCTTTGCAGATCTCTGGCCTTGGTAGTCTTCTACTCGCGGCTTGCCTGGCTTTTTACCAGGAACGATGATCTTCAAGGTTGGAAATCCCTGGACTCCCATTTGTCCGCAAAAAGCTTTATTTTCGTCATCGTCACAGTTGACTGCCGCTACTTTGGCTAGACCTTCGAGGTTTTTGGCGGCCTTCTCGTAGGCGGGTTTGAGGTTTTGGCAGTGACCGCACCATGGCGCATAGAATCTATCATCGTTTAGAATCGAGTATTTACCGGTGTAAATGCGAAATTACGTGAGGGATACATACTCTACAATCTAGAAGATTCACTCGTTAGCTGCTGTCGCAATAGTGATTCGAGGGAATTGCATACTGATGTGTGGTTAGACTTGTTGATTAGTGAGTTGAAGTTCTTTGCATCCACCTGAAGCACAGGTGAGCTTTTAGTGTATAGTCCAGCAGCTGATGCCCCTCCCAGCAGAGAGGCAAGCAACGCAAAATAGAGGTGATTTGGCATGTCGAGATAGAGCACGCAGACACTGACACTGGTAATATTCACAGATCAACAATTGCAGGCAAGTTTATGCTATAGTTGTTGCATAATACATTGGTTGATTTCAGGTAAGAGGAAGTATATAATGAGGAAAAGTCAATGGTGGCCTCCGAAACAGCCTTGTCTCTTGCAAGGTGTCCTAAAGGATGAAGCTCTTGGCGGGGAAGCCGAGGAGGTCTTTCTCCGCACTTGCTTATCTGATAAACAAGCCCCGACTGATTACGTCTGACCAAAAAAAAAATGGGCATTATTGATTTTTCACCCTCTTCTCAGACTTCATCCTCATATACCAATCGACTTTCAGACTAGATGTACCGAATTACGAGCTTCGGATCATGGCCCTCACCTACAAAGGGGACATGGCATATCTCCCTCAAGAGATATTCCAGATGATCATCCAGCACCTGGAACCTGTCGATCTCGTCCGTTGTCGTCGCGTATCTTCCTCGTGGTATCGAGCGTTTACGAATCCAGTCAGTCTTGCCCAAGTTCTCAAAGTCACTTTTCCGCTGGCAAAAGAAGTGAGGGAGCTCGTCGGTCAGATCAAAGGTCCAATACCCTACGACACGATCTACAACGACCCCCCAGAAAAATGGCGATTAATTTTCGATAGAGTCACAGAACGCTATTATCGTTTGACAAATGGAATACCTCGCTCGGTACAGACAATCGATTTTCAGGATACCCGAACTGCTCCGGGTGAAGATGGATATTTCAGTGTTCCACACTGGAACAGTCATTCAAGTCATCCTGGATCTTTCATCGACATGTTATTTGAGCCTGTATTTTGGACATATAACGAAGGGTTGGTTGTTTATCCGGATGAGCGTGGACGGTGTTTGATGCTCTTAGATGTGGAGACTGAAGAGCAGTTCATGGTCCCATTCGTGACTATTGATAAAGTCATACGAAGAATGCGTCTACATGATCGATTGCTTGTGATTGAGTGGGCTGAAAGTGAAACCTTCCATTGGTTAAATGACCAAGATAGTGTTCATCGTCACTTTGCCACGTCTTTCGAAGTCAATGCTGTTGGACGAGGATGGGACATTGTCTTCCGCAATGAATGGAAGATTATGTTCCTAGGCCACCCCTTGGGCGAAAGAGATCGCTTCTTTTCATGTCACAGTCGCAGTCATTATGCGATCTATACCTGGCAGCCGAACCGCAGTCTTTACACCGCAGACGAAGATGCACCCATCGAGTCTCTATCTATTTGGGATATTTCCGCAGCCTCTGGTTACAGACCATCGCAGGATCCGACAGGAAGACCAAAAGACAACGGCCCAAGGCAAGTTGCCAGCTTCGCCTTTCGAGACCTTGAATTCTACTCGGTGAGGCAAAGGGGGCTCCCAGCAATCATGAGAATGGACATTGACAGTGACTCGAATTCCATCTCTATCACGGAGGTAAGGGATAATGCCCATATGGACTTCAATGTTCTAGAATATGCTCCTTGGACGCGCATCATAACCATACCATTCATTGGTCAAGGTCCTGCATGGCAGCGAGAGGTACAAACTCGGTATCCTCCGTACCGTGGGAGTTGTAGCATGGAGATTGCGCCCTGGACAGTTACAAAGCCATGGCCATGTTACTGTGCTATTTGTGAGAGTATTGATGAGAAAGCGCAGGTATCTTTCTGCATTTCGTACGCTTCATCCAAGGTCCAGGCAGGCTTTGACAAGACTTTACTACTACTTACTATCCATACACCCCATGGAATCAGGACCCTACCTCAAGAATTTTCCCAACAGCTTTCGTACACGGGCAAGATCTGTGGCGATGAGCGCTTCGTCATTGGCGAAAACGACCTCAACCAATTAGTGGTCATGAAGTTCTAATGTATTATATGATTAAGCGTTCTGCATGTATTATTAGATACCACTCTTATTGAAATGCACACTTTCACTACGAGCGGTTCAACCTGCGCATTTGGTGATCTTAAATGTCAATTACTCGAGTCCTTGTCCGCTGTCTGGGTGTTCATCCAGGACTCGATTGCATGCCTAGTAGTAAACTATATTAAGAAGAACTTGTATGAAATTTTAGACAAAGGAAATGTTGCTTGACTAATAATACTGAAGTAAAGTGATTTTACATGCCTAAAACAGGTCTAGGTATTTATATGAACAAGTTTGAATCCGGCATCAGCTTTGACAAAGATCATGTAGGAAGTGTCTACTGGTCTTCGCTGGCAGCAGCACCAGTAATAATTTCAACCAACTCGCCAGTAATGGCGGCTTGACGCTGTCGGTTGTACAAAATTTGGAATCTAGAAGAGAATTAAGTCAGTTTGATGACCTCACATAACTTTGAGACGCTATAACATACTTCTGGATCATTTCACCGGCGTTCTTGGAAGCGTTCTCCATAGCATTGCGACGAGCCTATTTAAGTCATTAGATAACTGCGAACGAATGGACGGGACGAAAAGACCGAACTTACAGAAATCTCACAAGCCAAACCCTCAGCCATGGCCCAGAACAAGCTGTTAGCCAAAGCATATTCGCGGAGGTTGCCCAAAGCTTCCTCCTCAACCTCGAAAGCGGAGATGTTGGCTGTTAAAAAGAATGTTAGTTTAACTTGTGCGAAATGCAAGTAATTAAAAGCAACTCACGGGAGTTGGTGATGGCTTCCTCGGAATAAGCATCCACGGTGGTAGGCTCGTAGCTCTGTGCGTTCAAGAACTTGTTGTGGATGATCTTGATGCTACCGTAGTTTGTAGGAAGCAGAGCAATCTGATCGGCAATTGCCTGAGCATCGGCGAAGGTGGGAATGTCCTTGCAGACCTGAGAGAAGCTGAGAACGATGTTCTGAGCGTTGGAACGACCGAGCTGGGCCTTGGCCTTCTCTCCGAGGACGACGAGATCAGCATTGGGGTTCTCTAGCAACAAGCGGCGAGTAGCCTTGCTAAGACCAGAGTGGATACCACCGCAGAGACCTTTGTCGGAGCTGGCGACGATGTAAAGGGTCTTCTTGTCTCCCTCCTCCGGCTTCGTCTCGGCAGACTCGAAAACGGTGTTGGACGTGGTTCCGTAGACACGAGAGTCCTCCATAGCCTTCTGGGCACGGGTCAAACGGGTGGAAGCAATGACCTTCATGGTGTTGGTGATTTTCTCGATGTTACGAATGGACTTGAGACGGCCCTCGATTTCACGGAGAGTAGCGAAGTTGGCGGCATTGGTGGGAGCAGTGCTGCTACTTGTTAGCAGTTGAGTATAACATTTCTTTCCTCAATTCCATCGACGTAAAAAGGGTCTTCTTTCGTAATGTCATAGTTTTTGCGCCGCGAGACCTCATTCAGAAATTGATTGATCCCTCCGAAGAAAAACACTTACCGAGCCACAACGGTACTGCCAGCCTTCAAGGCTGGGCGAACAGTGCGAGAGAGCATTGTGAGAGAAAACTGAGTTTATATGATGAGAGTAGAGCCGCAGTGACGGGGCAGCTGAATCAATTGATGCCAGACTTCGCAGCAAAGATCGGTCGCGGGCGTTGAACGTCAACGAGGTCTTCCCGGGCTGCTTCGGAGCCAACATTCCATTGGCCCCATCACGTGATCTGCCGGTATTGTAGCCTCAGGCACAAGGTGCGGATAGGCGCAATTAAGAAGTGAAGTTCTTCCAGTTCCGAGTGGTTCAGCTTACTTCCTTCTTCTTCACTGCCACTTCATTTCTCTTCTCGTCTCTTCCTTTTATCTATCTTCGCCATCACTAGCCCTACATCGTCCCTTTTTTTTTGACGCTCTCTTTAGCTTTCATTTGCTTTTATTGATCTAGTTATAGCTTGCTTTCGTCCACCACTGCGTCTTCCGTCAAAATTGCGTTTTGCCGATTGTACTCTCAGTTCCTGTTCGCGTGTCATCCGCGCCTAGGGCGACTATCATCTTTCATATCATCACCCAACCTTTACTACTCGGTTCATTTTCGATTCAAGAGTTCACTTCGGACAATGAGTTCCTCGGACGATGATGCTCCGCTCCTCAAGGCCAGCCGCCCTTCTGGTTTGAATCCAGGCGTTTCCATCCGCTTCGGGCCCATTGACAATGAGGACGTAGATATGAAGGACGCAGCCAATGGTGTGAATGGGCACGCCGTGGGCAAGAGAAGGGCGCGGGTCAGCGCTGGCAAACAGTCCTACGCAGAGGCGGAAAGCAGTGAGGACGAGAAGCCCTTGGTATGCAGTAGCTGCCATCTACCTTGCCAAAAAAGATCGTTTGTTTCATGTGCTAATAAATGCAACAGAGCAAGAAGCGCCGTGTTTCGACCAAAAAGCAGGATGATTCAGACTCCGAAGAGGACATTCCTCTAGCCCGAAAAGCGAATGCTGCTAAACTGCCTAGAGCATCCGAGACCGCAATTGGCGAGGAGTCGGATTCAGATATACCTATTGAGCGCAAGCTTAAGAAACAAAAAGCGAATATTGAGAAGAAGGCCGAACAGGAAGCCAAGGCAATTCGCAAAGCTGAGGCTACGTCACTAAAAAAAACTTCGACAGAAAAAGCAGCCGCTAATGGCAAAAAGCCGAAGGCAAATGGAGTAAAGACCGAAAATGGAGTAGGCACTAAGAAGATCAAAGCAGAACCTTCGACGCCAGTGAAGAAAGGGAAGGGCAAGGCAACTCCTGTCAAGGAGGAATCAGAAGACGTTGAAGCAGCCGAGGAGGAAGAGGAGTATCGTTGGTGGGAGGATCCAACCAAAGGCGATGGTACTATCAAATGGACAACCCTCGAACACAACGGTGTTGTTTTCCCACCTCCATATGAGCCTCTGCCCAAAAATGTCAAGATGAAATACGATGGCATTCCTGTTGTCCTAGAGCCGGAAGCTGAGGAAGTTGCCGGTTTCTTTGGCTCTATGTTAAATTCCACACACAATGTCGAGAATCCGACCTTCCAGAAGAACTTTTTCGATGATTTCAAAGCTATTTTAAAGAAGACAGGCGGTGCAAAGACGCAGAAGGGCGAGCCCATTGATATTAAGGAATTCAGCAAGTGCGATTTCAAGCCGATCTTTGAGTACTACGACGCGAAACGTCTGGAGAAGAAAGCTATGTCGGCTGCGGAAAAGAAAGCCCTCAAAGCTGAGAAGGATGCAGCTGAAGCACCGTACATGTATTGTATGTGGGATGGACGCAAGCAGAAGGTTGGCAACTTCCGCGTTGAACCTCCAGGTCTCTTCCGTGGTCGTGGCGAGCATCCAAAGACCGGCAAAGTCAAAACACGTGTTCAACCCGAGCAGATTACGATCAATATCGGCAAGGAAGCAAAGGTTCCTCCGCCTCCTGAGGGACACAAGTGGAAGGAGGTTAGGCATGATCAAGAAGGTACTTGGCTTGCTATGTGGCAAGAGAATGTCAACGGAAACTACAAATATGTTATGCTTGCCGCAAATTCCGATATCAAGGGCCAGAGCGACTACAAAAAATTCGAAAAAGCTCGTGAGCTCAAGAAACATATTGATAGGATTCGGGAAGACTATCGTGTGGGTCTCAAATCTGAACTAATGGCTGATCGACAGCGCGCAACAGCGGTGTATCTAATCGACAAGTTCGCTCTTCGTGCTGGAAATGAAAAGGGTGAAGATGAGGCGGATACTGTTGGGTGTTGCTCTTTGAAGTACGAGAACGTCTCACTGCGACCACCCAACACGGTCATTTTCGACTTTCTCGGTAAAGATAGTATTCGATTCTACGATGAAGTCGAGGTTGATCCTCAAGTATTCAAGAATCTTAAAATTTTCAAGAAAGCACCAAAGAAAGAGGGTGATGAGATTTTTGACCGATTGACGGTATGTTATTAGATGAATTTGGGCATGGCCATATACTAAGAGCGTTTTGCAGACGTCAGCGCTGAACAAACACCTTTCAAATTACATGCCCGGCCTGACAGCTAAAGTTTTCCGTACTTACAATGCTTCTTACACATTCGCTACCTTACTCAAGGACATGAAGGCGGAGGGCACAGTTGCGGAGAAAGTGAAGCAATACAACGATGCCAACCGTAGAGTTGCAATTCTTTGTAACCACAAACGGACAGTCACTGCAGGGCATGCGAATCAAATGGAGAAACTTGGCGACAGGGTATGTTTGTCTGCTCGGATTGAGAAAATTTGAAACTCTACTGACATTTGGTAGATCAAAGGCCTTCGCTATCAGAAGTGGAGGGTTAAGATGATGATGTTGGACCTTGACCCAAGCCAGAAGAAGAAAAAAGGCGCAAAATATTTCGAATTGGATGATGATCTTGACCAGGCATGGATTCAAGAGCACCAGGCATTCCTTGTGGAAGAACAGAAACAGAAGATCACCAAGAAATTTGAGAAAGAAAATGAGAAGTTAGCCGCTGAAGGTGAAAAGGAGATGAAACCCAAGGAACTAGATGAACGACTTGCAGTGCTCAAGGACATGGAGAAGAAATTCCAAAAGGAGAACAAGACCGGCAAAGTAGAGGCAGAGGGCAAGGGACAGACGATTGAAAAGCTTGAAAACAACGTCGCCAAACTCGAACAGCGGATTGAGACAATGTCCCTTCAGGCTGAGGACAAGGAGAATAACAAGGAGGTTGCACTTGGAACTTCAAAGATTGTAAGCACCCCTCGATCCTGATGTAACATTTTGACGTGCACTAAATAATTTATACAGAACTACATTGATCCTCGTCTGACGGTGGTCTTTACGAAGAAGTTCAACGTCCCTATTGAAAAGTTCTTCTCCAAGACTCTCCGTGAAAAGTTCGACTGGGCTATCAAGTCTGTTGACGAGGACTGGGAGTTTTAGAAGAGTATTTTTCTTTTTTTTTGGTTTTATCCCTGCGTTTTGCGAGGTGGCGATTTTCTTTTTGTATTCTCCCAATGATTTGTTCATCTATTGACCCCTGGCATCTGTACCAACATATCAACCCAGAAACCAAAATACGCCCAAAAAAAAAAGAAAGAAGAAAGAAAAGAAAAAAAAAAAAACAAGAAAAAAGATGGGACCGGAGAGAAATACTACGAATAAAGGCCATTGCAAAACTAGCTACGACTTTGTGTTGGAGAACGCTTTTCAAGAATTTTCTCCAGTTTGGTTATTGTTCAACTGGCATTTACCTAGGCTAGGTACTTGAAAATCTTATCTAGCAGACCAATATAGAACAAATATCATTATCTTATACATACATGGTGGCGCCGAGGATCACCAGATTGATTTCGAGTACAAACAATTCTCCTAATATTACTAGACTCTTATATAAAGATGATAAAGCTATGCAAGGCGACCAGATGTCTGGTATATCAAGAGAAGAATGACAGGCAGAAACGAAAAGACAAGGGTGAATGATATTAATAATACATAAGGTGCGATGGTGATGATGATATCCAAGGTATGCACAGTATAGAATGATGGGCAGTCAAAAGAAAAAGATAATGACAAACTGCAACTATATGCGAAGAAGAAACAAGAAGAATGAACCAAAAGAAAATCCAACCCCAGAAAGGATTCGTATCGGATCAAGGCCACCATCCCATCCTTTCATATGAAGCTATAACCTCCCTTATAGAATCCGAACTAAACCGGGGATACTCCAGCTGAAAGCCCGTAGTAGACTCAAACAACGACCCATCAATACACAAATCGTTATCGGAAAGCATATCAATTTCAATGAACGGACTGATGGGACCGGGTCTCGTAATGCCTTTTTCTTCCAACATATCAGCCCATGCCTGCAGCATTTCTTCATTCATCTCGTCGACGATATCGTTTAATTTGAGTCGAGCCAATTGGGACACTAACATGCCTGCAAACGTGACTTTGAGATCAAAGACTTCTGCGAGCGCGGCTCCGATTTGGTCGCGGGTTGTATCTGTATGATCGACAACGTTGAAGATATGCGGCGCATCTTTATTATCCTTTTCACCAGCGCGCCATTCCGCCGCCGTCCATAACGCGCACGCAGCATCCTTGACATGTAACGTATTGAACTTCAAATCCTTACTCTCCAATTGATCAAACCCAGTCTGAAGCCACTGATGCGTCCTGGCCAGCGCAATCGCAACCGCCGTATAACCCCTATCGTATTCACCATATATATGCGGTAACCGCAACGAAACCCAATTTAACCCTTCGACACCAGGTAAATCTTCTTCAACCTGTAATTGCCATTTTGCGAGATTGTGCCATGGTTTCTTCTTGTCGTCTTCCTTGGCCGGCTTAGAGCCGCTTTTGTAGATGTATGAGGTTGACGCTTGCGCGTAGACTTTGATGTTGCGTTTGGCGACCTCCTTGGCGAGTCCCATGCACATGGCATGGTTGCGGAGTTGGTATACTTCTTCTGGCTGAGAGGGCCGTGTGTCGGCGGCGCAGTTGATTACGTAGTCGAACTGTTTGCCGTCGGCGCGGTCGAAGATTCGGGGGTATGACTCTGTCGACTCTGTTAGATTTATCTCCATCCCTGTCGAAAAGGAAGGGATGGCATACGTTCGCGACTGGCATCGGCCTGTACGAATTGTTCTTTGGAACATGCCTGCTCAAACTCCGGGGCCAGCCATGCCAACTGTGGTAGCAGTTTGTCCACGATCCGTAGCTCCGACGCAAGATTATTTTTGTGTATATGGAGTGCGAGGTGACGGCCGACGAACCCTATAAAAATCTCTGTTAGTTTTTGACCTCGTCTCATAAGACATCTTTGTTGATGCTGCTCCGGCATACCCAGCCCACCGATAATCAGCACTGCAGGCTTATCTGTTGCCATGTTGACGTCTATCGAAGTATTTCAAGCTTGTTCAACAGAGAGACGGTTTCTTTTTTCTTTTTTTCTTTTTCTTTTTCTTTTTTGAATTCCTTGTTCTTTTTTTTTCTCTGCAAATTTCTTTCCTTTCTTCCGGGCTTGTAGGCAGTAAAATGGATATAATAAGCGAGCAACGACGGTTCGTTGTGCGTCGATGTTGATCAGGCAGTAACTGGAGCGCTATAATTAATAGATGACCTCAGGTACTAAAGGTACGTGATAAGGCAGTAGACAAGCAATCCCCGATCAAACAGGGTAAGAAAACAACCCAGCAAGAAAAGCTGATGAAGAAGGAAAAGGAGAGAGAAGATGATTCGAAAGGCAGAAATCGAAAACACGAGCAAGGAAACTATCTATGGAGCAAAGGTCTGAGCGGGTTGATGTTATTATTATTATACGTAGTAAAATAAATAAATAATAAATATATGCCGGAGGCTATGTACTATGACTGTTAGTTCATTTTTTAAGTCTCTTCTCTCCGTCTTCGATTTGGATATTCTAGAAAGACGAAAATGTTGTGCAGACAAAGCCCCTCTTTGGAGGAGTTAGGGGTAATTGTCCGGTCACACCAGCTGAATATATTCTCGATATATTTGGTGGATCACATTCCTGTAGCCTAAAGAATCCTAAAACAACTGCCTTACAGACGAATTCAAAAACTCGAGTAGTTCAAGTGCTATAAAGCATACAATACTATGTAGTAAACTACGTAAATGAAAATGATAACAATCCCCTGACCCTCCTCTCTCGGACATTATTAACGAGCGATCACCACCAAGGGGACGACCCGCTCGAGTCAAGAAACTTCATTATTTTCTCTTCAATTTTCGTCTGCTCCACTGGCATACTTACTTATCACTTGCTTGAAATACGTTACGTACTTCCTTTAAGCCGGAGTTTGTGTGCTTTTCCTCCGTATCTACAGGCCGAGTTGATGATCGTTATCGTGGTCCGTCATGTCCCCTCTTAGTTCTTACAGTGCCCGCATTGGAGGTTTCAGTTTGAGTCTGTTACAGACACGTCGGTGATTGTATCTAACTAACTAATGAAAACGACACAGTATGGTATAAGTAATAACTAGTGGCAGAGGAGAAAAAAAAAGAAAAAAAAAGCCACAAAGGATCACTGGATTGTTTATTCAGCCCCCAAATGCCGAAGTGCAATCTTCAATTCTTTTATGGCTGTGGGCACATCGTCAAAACTCAGTGCCGATACCGCCCATCGCGCATGTTTCTGTGCTTGTGTGATGGCTTGATCATCTGCGGTTATATCGTATGACGATGTTTGAGGTCCTGACGGAGTAGAAACCACTGGGGCTGGGGCTGGGGCCCGGGCCGGGGCCGGTACTGGTGGTGGAGGAATCACTGGCTGTTGAGTGATATTTCGAGGCAGCGGCGGCTGTTCAGACGGATCCACCGCGTTGGACATTTGTACAACTGCAGGCGGAGGAAAAGATTGAAAGGCAGCAGACGGGTTAGTGAAGGTTTCTGGCGTATCGGGAAGAGCGGAAGGAGTCTGTGGGAGCGTCAGATCTGAAGGAGCTGATGGAAGCTCCAGAGCCGACGGTGCAGCTAAGAGATCTTCTGTTTTGAAAGCATCGGTTGTGGAAGGTGGGCGTGGCGGTAGTGAGGATGATCGCGACGGATGAAGCGATTCATCTAGTATCGATTGCTGCGCGAGACTTCTTTGTACACGATCCGCTTCGTCAGGCACTTCTTCTACAGAAGGCTGACGTTCTCGTTCCGTAGTATTACCCTGAAGAGCTCGAACTTCAGGATCATCAGGGTTCAGCGCCTGGATTTCGCTATCCGGCGTCTGGCTTTCTTGGACGGGATTCGACAGATTCGGATCCTCCCCATTCTTTATAGCTTTGGCAATTCGAACAGCGTGGTATTTTGCGAATTTGATCTTTGATGCAATGTCGGGATCGACTTCACCCCATATCTGACACAATTCAAAGAAAGTGGCTGCAGCGAGGAAGGTATCGGCGGTTTGTCTGATAAAATAAGCAATTCGTCAGCATATACGTACATCCTTGCGTTCCCGGATATGCGGCAACTGACTTGGAAGCCTTGTTGGCGCGAACTGCATTATCAGCTCTATTAAAGACCTCGAGCCCAAATTGCTCAACATAAGCCTGACCAGCAACATTATCCGTTATAGCGTCGTTATCGGGATTCTCGTTTTTAAACTTGGATTCCAAACATCAGTATGTATTTTCTTTTTGCGCAGCTGTAGCGGGCGAGATAAATTCGTACTCGTTCCAACTTATCCATCAAATCGGTTGTGAACTGCGTCGATTCGGCATTTGTCGTATGAAGGCCCTTGGATATAATCTGGTTGACGACCCAGTAATTACCTGCATCGTAATTCAGACAGTGTCAGCTTAAATATTGTTGCTTTCAAACTAGGATCACTCGCGACCAGAAGGGGGACGAAGAAAAGAGAAGTACCAACACCAATATGCAATGACCGGTTTTGCGCGCTCGATCTGTGCGGCCCGAGTGACGAAACGCGCGATATCTGCGGATTTCAAGCTGTCTGGAATTGTAGTCGCCATGGCTGTGTATAAAAGGAGAAGAGAGTACGTTGGGTTGTAGAAAGTAACGTAGCAGGTTGAGGTAAAGTCAGTGGAAGCTGGTGTGGGGTTGATTCATGACGTTCCACCGTGCGGAGAACAGATTGACCAGCCCTATCCACCGATACTCATTCGTTAAATACAATACCAATAAAATTGTAGTATTTTCCATAACACTCTTGTCTAGCTACTTGTAATCCATTCTCCAATCTCAACTCGCTCCTCACTCAGAGCCTCTACATCAACGCAGTCTGTCACTTGTCCAACCGGTCCTCCAATCCTCTCAATCACAATCCATATCCCTCTCTTCTCCGCAAACTCTGGGCATACATCAAAATCAGGAACTCTAATCCCGGAGACTGCATCACTATATTCACCGTTCTCGGATGACGCCAGAATCTCTTTGTACGGTCCCTGACCAAGCTCAACGGTCATCAACATAGGCGATGAAGTGATATGGCGTGTTCCAATGGTAGAATTCCGGCTTCGTGCAATCAATTTGAGTCTCGTGAGGCGCGGTACACTTAATGGGGCGAAGATGCGGTCGATACCCGGAGGTAAAATGCCAACGTCGGATAGTACAGCCAGTCTACCTGCCGCTTCGGACGGCAAGGCCTTGACGTGGCATTTCGTGGTGGAAAATACCCAGATATTGAACTTTGCGACCTGATCAGGAAGGAATGTTGAGCAAACTAAGGTGTATGAGCCGGGCCGTAATTGTTCGGTCTCAGCAACCACGCAACCGGGGCGATAGTGGCCGCTGTCCGTAACAATGTCACGCTTTCTCACTGTCGAGACGCGTTTGCCATCTGACCAAAACAGCTTCGAGTGAACGGCCAGATCTGGCTTCGGTGTCTCCAGAAGTATTAGAACATCCGCTGTGTCTGATACTTGCAGAACATGTTGCGGGTTGGACGGGTATCGTGGTGACTCCGTATTTCCCCCTGCAGTAATAGGACTCCATTCACTTCCCATTTGGTAGGTATGCAGAAACTTGTCTTCGGCCGGTTTGAGCATAATTTCATCCCTTGATAGCGCAGAAAGTGTGAAATTTTGAGCAACCAACGGCAATGACTGTTCAGCCACAACAACCGTATATGTCGAATTTGCTTCCATGTCAATCTTCGCCAACGTGTTGGGAGAGTCCACAAACGGCCCGCGATAGAATGCATCGTCACTGACGAAAATTCGTTGCCCTCCCTTTTTCGAAACGTAGATACTGATAAACCCCGACTCAACACTCGGGCTTGTTGCATTCGTGGTACGAAAATGCTTGCTAAGAAGCAACCAGACTGGGCCTCCTGCCACTGTTGAGATCGAAAACTGCGGACTATTCGCAAAGCATGCAGAGCTAAATCGAGCCTTTGACAAGTCCCACGTAAAATGAATATCGTGCCTAGTAGTAAAAAGACCCGGGTTCCAGTTTAGGTACATATTGTCGAAATTCTGGAAGATCTGATCGTAATCCATCCAAAAGCATCCAGGCAGGAGAGTATTGGATGTTGTATCCACTTCATTTTGTGCAGAAGGGCGACTATAACTATGAGGAGTCCTAGCGCTGGAATCTGCCCATGGATTTTTGATGAGCATCTGACGATATCCATCACGTTCGGTTAGGTCAAGGACGGCATAGTCATGTCGGCCAATGAGCCCCTGAAGCCGCTCTTCACGAGAATTGAGTTCACCCGTCCCAAGGGTCAGAACGACATCACCATACTGAAAGGCGCCTCGTATACGTCTCCACAGCTGATCGGGTGCTACATCTTCGTGATGGAGAAATATCTGCTCCGGAATCCAACCGGTGAGTACCCATAAATCTGTCCCTGAGTTGCTACCGGGAAAGTCGTAACCGCCACGAAGCTTCAGATATGCTTTCTCAATCAAAGCGGGCCAAAAGGATTTCGGCGCATTTCGGTCAATTGCAAACAGAGAGCGTGATGTCTTGGATGAAGGAAGTCGGTCGTCAATGACCACTTTTCTGTAGCAGCCGTTGAAATAAAGTCGGAATATGTACTTTCCGGATATCGACTTCCGTGGTATCCCTTGATTATAATCAAACGGGAATATTCGATTCTGAAATAGCTATATCCAGATTTCGTTAGTTCTATACAGTATCGACATGGATAAATGACGTACGCAGTTATAACCCCGCTCAAATCGAGCAGTCACCGCGCAAATGCTTGCGATTACAGAGCAGTCTGTGGTGATATCCTGCACAAGGTCCATTACAACCTTTGTTCCGACACGTTTGGGTTCGTCAGAAGTAAGACTGCCGAGACCACGCTCTTTGATGAGCTCAGCAGGGCGTTTCCAGCCACTGAAAACCTCTTTCTGGAGTATAGAAAGCCTCAGAGTCTTATCCCTATCCGAAGCGGTCAATCAACGGTATTCCTTCGCTGACAGAATGCCTACAGTTACGACTCACTCAAATTGCCCTTCCTCACCAACCAATTCAAACTCATGTGGGCTGGGGTCGTCTTTCCAAGGTGGAAATATGAATCCATTGAGTTTAGCGCTCTCCAAGAGGATGATTTCCTCTCTCGTCGAAAGTGTACGCTTAGAGACTGGCTCCTTCAGCAAGGAATTTTCAACCTGTGAGCTGGATGGTTTCCATGCTTTGTCTAATTTGATATTCTCTGCTCGGCAAAGCCAATCTTTGCATTTTGAGTCCAGCCATTGCTTTTCCCGAGGCGTGTCCGCTAATTTCAGCGCACGCATGTAATTATCGGCTGCTGCAATTGCTGCTTCCAGTGCCTGGGATTGAGATCCAGCGTCGGATACTTGACGTTCATATTTCTGCAAATAAAATAGTTAGTGCGCATTTGATAGCGGAAGAACCGAGAAAAGAATACTATAGCTCTGTCTAGGTGAATGTTTGACGTGCGCTTATCGGTGGACTCTGACATGGTAATGCATGCAACGACCACATCCACCTCAACGTACTTCGTAGCTGCCGACCATCCAGAGATGCAAATAGTGACTATTACTATTGAGAAAAGAGCTGGTTGTAGCTTTGAAGTGCGGTTGCGAGATGAAATGGGGAGAAAGAGAGGCACAAAGAATATCTACAGTCGTCAGGCAGCTTATCGATAAGCAGGATGACTAATCGAGGGGGTTATTTCTCCGGAATCCCCCCTCAGCATCTCCATCAAGACTCAGTCAAGCACCTAGTGAGATCAATCGTTGCTTACGGCCATTTTGACTGTTGTAAGGAATGTCTACTACGCTGCTGCTGTCTTCTGAGATGACTGTTTCCGGGAATATTCCAAACCTTGTCCGAATATTTAAGGCACTTTGCAAATGGGATGAATTATTTGACATACAAGAGGCGCATGACACATACTCTGATACTACGAATATCACTAAACGGCCCGCGGACAGTATGAGTCGAGTGCAAAGATTCATTCACATAAAAGACATTCTCGAGGAGCTGCAGACGCGAGACCTACAGGAACGACCACATGCAGATTCACCCATGGCATGGATGAGATTATAGACATTGCGAGTAATAGGAGTTGATCGCAGTACATGTGTATGGGCTCACACACTGTGTTGGACCTGTCCAACCCTGTCCACCACACTGTCCCCATTGGGCAACTGTACCACTACTACCACCACTACCACCACTACCACCACTACCACCACTACCACCACTACCACCACTGCCACCACTGCCACCACTGCCTCCGCTACCGCCACTACCACCGGTGGAGGAACCAGAAAGCTTGCTCTTAATAAAAGCAAAGGCCTGATTTCCGTATTCTGCGCCATATCCTTGATGGGTTGCTGCGTTATTACCGTTACAGCAATAGGGATCCGAGGAATCGCAGTAAGACTGTATCAGACCAGCTGAAGGACAGCTAAAGCCCGCAGGTCTTTCATCAAACTAAAGGATGAAATTAGTCATGTTTCCATAGAATCACGTTAAGTGAAAGGAACTAGAGGGATTCTCCTTACACCGCCGGCAGCACAGGTTCCAACCTCATATGGCAAACCTGCTCTGAATAAAGGGTCACCCATAAAAATCGCCGCTTTAACCATGGACACAGCAGATGCCGACAATTGAACTGCTGTATTGGAATACCCCTGGTTGGGATCTCCACCACCGCAAAGAGCAACGTCCATAATCTCTGCGCCTTGGGAGTATCCGACCAATACAATCTCACTACTTGGGCACTGTGAATTGAAAGAATTCACAGCAGATGCGACGGCTGCAATGCCTTGAGCAACGGAGCTTGAATAACTTATACCGCCGCATGAAGACTGGCCACCACATGCAGGGTAACTGATGGCTTCTGCGGTAGAGCCTGGGTAGTTGTTCAAAACATCGTTTACGACCGTGATGGAGGAACCGTAACCAGGAGAAACGGTTGTTTCTCGGGCACCGAATACATGGATGTTAGGGCAGTTTGCGCGATTCTCCACGGGGATGGAGAACGCCCCTCCAACCAATATGGAGAGTGCCAGACTTTGAGAAAGCATGGTAAATGGTAGATGATGAAGAAGAAGTTCGTTTCCAAGGGCTTTGCTATTCGGTGTAAGTAGAAACAGCCTCGTGGAAACAGTGGGTGAGCCCATTCATATATGAAACAGCGCTGCCCCCTTCCCGGATAAAACCAAGGTGAATTGAAACATCATCATGCAACTGTAGATATATTCGACAAGACAAATCACTCGAGGTCCCTCCTTTGGCCCGAAAACAAGTCCGTATCGGTCCATATTATAGGACATCTAGATCATATCTGAGTAAAACGGATTTAGCCGCAGCGTATGATAGCAATAAGCTGTCGGCTTCCGAAAGAAACGTTGAAGAATGACAAACGAGACAAATATAAACATCACCCTGCCCTGTCGATCTCCCCGCATTTTTTCATGCCGGTAGTGGAAGTCGGGTCTGACTAGGATAAACAGAAGCTGGTGCATCAATTTGGCCCGGATAAATGAATGCTTGCATTTGGCGATACCTGTAAAAGGGTCATTGTGGCTGGAGTACACCGCCCGACATTCCGCACAGAATGTCTTGTTTCAGGTAGCGGGGGCCCTATATCGATTTTCTGTTAAGTGTGCTACCTCGAGCTCAGGCTAAAGAAGAGAACGTTTCGTGGATGAAAGAACACACGAGCGGAGATAATTGAGGAATTACTGCAATAGAAGCTGACATCAATCGAACGTCAATTGAATATAGTCTCTACGCATCCCGAAAACGTGAGTGTAAACAAGTTTGTTGTACGTCTTTTCCAAGTACGAGAACCCTGAGAAGGATGTTGATACGGATTCTGAGAACTAGGTTAGAAGCGAATTTCAGTACGGTCAGGTTGTTTGGACTTCCAAACTGAATCGAGGCCCAAACACGGTCCGGCTGAATGACGGAAATCAGCCACGCGTGAAGCATGTAGTCCGCTACACGTATACCTTTAGGATACAATAGCAGCTCACGTCGATCCTGCAATGGTTCCTGTTGAACTGCCACGAACAGAGAAGAATCCGAGAAAAGAATATATCTGGCTGGAGTCAGTACATGTATATTTCCCAAGCACTAACATTGATGAGCCCAGTCAGAATCAACTGAGCGCCACAAGCAGCAATTCGGCGTGCATCGCATATGCCCTGAACACATTGCAGCTTCTCCATGAAGGGAAGAGAATATGGGTGTTATTATCGACAACAAAAAGAAACTGAGATGCGTAAGAGCAAAATACCTTATCGATAAGAAGCTTCTGAAACAGGAATAGCGCGGAAGCCCTGCACAAGCGGAACGGCAAACGGCAGTCTGGGAGCTTTGCCTCGGCTCTCTCGGTCAATTTCCATCACTCAGCGTCCCCGGCTATTAATTTATTTGTTCATTGCCTTTTGATGTCTATGCAATGGACCCCGGGGTCTTATTACCCTTCCCTACCTTCTTCTGGCAAGGTCCGCTACGAGTTACGGATTGAACCCTCGAGTCTGATCTTGTTGTTCTTTGTCTGTTCGGTCGTGGTCACCGTTTGAAGACCGCCGCTCTTCGCCTCATGCAGAGTACCTCTCTATATTGTTGATAATAAAGACTCATCTTTACGTCTTTCTATATTTATATCCTCCATGACTGGACAGTCCAAACCAGCACGCCTCTCCCCATGGGGAAGTGCTGTCGCAGGTGCAACTGGCGCTGTGCTCGCCAATGCCCTAGTATATCCGCTTGATATGTGAGCGATACTCACGATTGATCCTCTACCTTCCCAGTATCTAACAAATAGTGCAATCTAGTGTTAAAACCAAGATTCAGGTTCAAGTCAAGAGTCGGAAAGACACGAGCAGCAACACTGAGGCCACACCCCACTATGAATCTACGCTAGACGCGATCAACAAAATCTTTCAAGATGAGGGACTGACGGGTCTATACAACGGTATCAATGGTGCCCTTATCGGAGTCGCATCCACCAACTTTGCATACTTTTACTGGTACTCCGTTGTTCGTGCTTTATATATCGCTTCGGGTCGCGGGTCGAATACCCCCGGAACAGCTGTTGAGCTTTCGCTCGGTGCAGTAGCTGGCGCCATTGCACAGATATTCACCATCCCCGTATCCGTTGTGACGACTCGCCAACAGACGCAATCAAAGGATGACAAGAAGGGACTACTTGAAACTGCTCGCGAGGTTGTTGATGGTGAGGATGGCTGGACTGGTTTGTGGAGAGGTTTGAAAGCCAGTTTGGTTCTGGTCGTTAATCCTGCGATCACGTACGGCGCATACCAAAGACTCAAGGAAGTTTTGTTCCCGGGCAAGAATAATCTGCGTCCATGGGAAGCATTCGGTGAGTTCTAAATCTATCCCCGTCTTGTGATGATCCGGCAACTCTAATAAAACATTCAGTGCTCGGAGCAATGTCGAAGGCATTGGCAACTCTGGCTACGCAGCCATTGATTGTCGCTAAGGTTGGTCTACAATCGAAGCCTCCACCAAGTCGTCAAGGAAAGCCATTTAAGGGCTTTATCGAAGTGATGCAATATATCATTGAACACGAGGGAACATTAAGTTTGTTCAAGGGCATCGGTCCTCAGATTGTGAAGGGTCTTCTTGTTCAAGGATTGCTCATGATGACCAAAGAACGGTAAGCTGGTTCACCAACTTTTTGTGTGTGTTATTCTTGTCCCCGCCGAATGCTAACACAATCTATATAGAATGGAGCTTGCGTTCATTCTACTCTTCGCCTATCTTCGCAAGTTCAAGGAAGAGAAATTGAAGAGGTACGCAGAAAGAGCCGCCGCGACCGCTAAGACGAACCTTCCAGTTACGCTTAAATGATTTATCTACTTCGGGGTGTTTTGTTTTTCTCATTCATACTTCTGTAGAGTTTATATGCAAATTTTGGGCTGCCGCCATATGAGCTGGGACACGCTGTTTCTTTCTTCTTGGATTGGATGTAGATAACGTGTTAATAGAATAGAGGTTTGTTGTATCAGAGATATTGGACAGGATTCGAACAGATCAGGGACATGAAATACTACATTAACCGAGGGTGTAAATATCAAGGCCGGCGGACCGCAACCCTAACCCCCAAACCCGTTGCCAAGATTGCGGCAGAGTCTAACTGGTTTCTCCGCTGGTCGTCCATTGCAACAACAACTTTACCATGGCTTTATCCATATCTTCATATTACCAGTCAACAGCCCTGTAGCCTGAACCCTGGAATGGGATGGTGGCCATTTGGGGCATCTGGGTCCACTTCAGATCCAGAGGATAAGAACTCCAATGACTCTCACCATCATTCATCCTCCGACCACAAACAAGAAGAACAAAAACAATCGTTCATTCCCCCGTTGTTGATATCGCACTCTTCTTCCTCCTCGAAATCGACTACAGATTGGAATTCAAGTCTCAATGCCTTTGACTGGAGTCAATTCAAAGAACCTCAAAACCTAATTCCGACTGCCCTCTTGACAGGCGGTATATTGTTTGTTGTTTACGTTCAGCGTCGGTACCTGCGTCGCTTTCCCGAAGCTACTGATATCACGTCTTCTTATTTCCGCCAAAGATCGCTTCTGGGCCGCGTTACGAGTGTTGGAGATGGCGATAATTTTAGAATGTATCATACCCCTGGGGGTCGGTTGGTGGGATGGGGTTGGTTGCCATGGATGAAGGTGCCGACGGCTAAGAAGGAGTTGAAAGATCGAACTGTACGTTCTTAGGTTGGGAAGTTCATGACATTGTTTGAATTGTAATACTGAATCTTTCTGGGATAGGTTCACATACGTCTTGCAGGCATCGATGCGCCAGAACTCGCTCATTTCGGCCGTCCAGCCCAACCATATTCTCACGAAGCACACATGTGGCTTACATCTTATCTCATCAACCGACGTGTACGCGCGTATGTACATCGACCCGATCAGTACAAACGCGTCATCGCAACAGTCTACGTACGCCGGTGGCTAGATATCCCTCCCCTTCGACGACGGGACGTTTCGTATGAGATGTTGCGTCGCGGATTGGCAACAGTATACGAAGCCAAATCCGGAGTCGAGTTTGGCGGTACCGAAAACGAGCGCAAGTATCGTGAAGCCGAGAGATTGGCCAAGAGTCGAAAGTTAGGGTTATGGAAGGATTTTTGGAGACAGGGTGGAGTGGATTTTGAGAGTCCGAGGGCGTATAAGACGAGAATGGGAAAGCTGGAAACATCGTCGGTAGAGTCATCTTCTCCAGTAGAGAAGAGACCGTCGGGGTTTATATCTTTGCTGGTTGGGAGGATTTGGCCGTTTGGGTCCAAGAAGGATGGTAAATAACATATACCCTTGATGTCTGGCTTATAACCTGAATGATTACGCTAGAGTAATGTAAATCTGGAATGATAATTCTCGTTTATCTTCGTCGTATATTTAAGAACCGTGTTGACATAAGAGCACTCATTCCATATGGTTATCCTGAATCATCGTATATCGCAGTTCAAATAGGCACATGGGTACATATTTACAATTCCACATACACAGGGCCAATTTCGCCAATTTTCCAAATTAAGTTGACCTGATTAAGCGAACCTCCTCTCAATCTCTGCAAACAATTTTGGACTAATCTCATCACTCGAATTGCCCTCTACTCTCCATAACGAACCCTGCCTCTCATAATGCTCAATAAGCGCTTTACTAGAATCCTCGAATTTCCTCAAGCGCTGCTTCCATGTATCTATTGAATCATCCGCCCTTTGCGTTAAGGGTTCACCTGTAATATCATCCTTGCCCGCGATTTTGGGTGGGTTGAAATCTGTATTGTAGACTCGTCCCGAGGGTGCGTGGACCCAGCGTTTTGTTATTCGTGAGATTATGACCGATGGAGGTGTGAAGAGGTGCACGACAAAGTTTATGGGGAGGATTCGGTCGAGGCTTATGGCTTGGACGGCGGTTCGAGGGAAACCGTCTAGGATGAAGGAGGCGGAGGGTGCTATTGATGGTGGCCGATTATATTGACTATGAGATGAAGATGATATCGTCGGGGGAGACGCAGAAGAGGATTGTGTTGTTGTAGGTTCAGAGGGCCGCAGCCAGCCTTTCGTAACTAATTCTGCGGATATAAGATCGAGCATGACAGTATCAGGGACAAGATTCCCAGCTTGTATGAGCGCTTCGGCTTGAAGGCCTACCATGTACGAGTGCTGTTAGCATCGGTCCAAATCGTATGACATTGCACTCACCTAGAGCAGTCTTCTTGCGAACATTCTCTCGTAATAAATCCCCCGAACTTATTGCCGCCAACTGTGGGAATCGCGCAAGTAATCTCTCTGTTTGTGTGCCTTTCCCAACACCAGGAGCTCCGATGAGGATGATCCGAGCGGCCTTTTTGAGCCGCTTTGTGGCCGACGTTGTCATGGGAGTCTCTAAGTATGTGTTGATTGCTATAGAGATGTGCGGTTTGGGCCAATTCGATGACAGAATGACAGACAGTCGCCGACAAACGAGTCTCAGTATGCGATTACTCCGAGGTTTGGCTGCTGTTATCAAATAAGCGGTTAGTTGGCACATGCGAAATCCTCGGACAACGTTATCTCAGACCCGAAGATTCTCATAGATGGACTAGCTTCCATAACTAGTCGATTGAGTCAAAGAATCTAAATTCTTATTGTAATAATTCTTACTAAAAAAAGTCATTGAATATTTCAATAGTATGAAATTTCTAAACTATCTTTCACCCTAGATTTACCAGTGTAATGGTTGTATGTCTTCATTATCAAGGTATTTTTCTTTCGCTTCCTTTGCCAAGTGTTGTGCCCTCTCAAATCCAGTGATTTCAAAGCCGTTTTGCAGCTCGTCCACCAAGCACCTTAATGGGAAACAAAGAGGCTAGCTTATATCAAAATCACTTCCAGCAGGCATAAGATACTCCAATCTCAAAGGAACATCCACAATAGTTCCTAGATTAGTCAAGTTGCCTGGTGGAAAGGCAACCTGGAAAAGATACGGCGCTCAACCTGGGGAATAACTTATACCACACTCTAAATATGGGTTAGTCTTACTTGATCATGTGATCTACACGGGCTAGCGCGTTACTGCAGGGCAGTCTCTGATTGGCTACTATTATAATACTACCCATTCTGGCGAAGACGCGTCGTTGTCGCGTGTTTAATTGTATACAACTAGACTACTAGACAATCGTGCCATCTATCAGACTTCATGTCTACTGATTCCCTCTTGCGACATACACAATGATGCGACAGGACTTCCACAGAATTGACCCTAAACGGAGGGCTGTTCTCGACCACAAAAAGAAGCAGTTCGCGGCACCCTCTTTCAAGCAACAGGACTACCCCCACCGTCTCAACTTTTACGATGTGCCTCCAACGGCAGAGATCACGCTGGAGGAGTTTGAGCAGTGGGCAATAGACAGATTGAAAGGTAAGGTAGCCAGTCGATACGAGGAGATTACTCTGGTTAACCATTGATTCACCAGTCCTGGCGGAAATCGAAGCTTGTTCCTATCGCAATAAATCTCCACAAGAGACAGAAGCACATATCGCACCGGTTTTGAAGAAATACCTTAACTTATCATCAAATTCATCAGCGTCCGGTGGCGTGGTTAACCAACAACTAAAGAATGAGCGACAAAAGGATCATTATTCGCACTTCATTCTACGTCTCGCATTTTCCGCAACCGAAGAATTGCGTCACCGATTTGTCCGCGCGGAGACAATGTTGTTTAAATTTCGCTTCCAGAAAGACGACAGCAAGGAGAGGCGCGCGTTTATTGAGAGTCTCAATCTCAACTGGGAGCCTGTGAGCGATGAGGAAAAATCCGAACTTGCCGAGCAATTGGTTACTTCTACGCCTGGTTTACGACGCGCAGACGATGAATCTTGGTTCAAGGTTGATTGGGAAAAGGTGCCTGAATTAATTGAACGTCGAGCGGTGTTTATTCGAAAAGGCAAGGCATACGTTCCTCAAAGGGAACAACTAAGTATGATTGTCGCAGATTTCACTGCACGATTAGAGAAGGCGATGGAGGTAAGTGCCGATTTCGATACTAACACTCGCTTCAAGGCTAAAAAAAGGATCTAGTTGACAAGCCGTGCATTGCCTCGGCTGGACGAGGACGACCGTCTAACCCCAATTCTTAATCATCTGTCCAAGAACTTCGGAAGCGCCGAGTCTGTTTACTCCGAAGGTGAAGGTGTCGTCGATGGCGCGCCCATCACCGCAGCATCTATCGATCCTCTATCGCAACACTTCCCGCTATGTATGCGAAGCCTGCACATGACCCTACGGAAGAATAACCATTTGAAACACTTTGGTCGTCTGCAATACTCCCTCTTTCTCAAGGGGATTGGCCTAAGCCTTGATGAGTGCATACTATTCTGGCGTCAGTCCTTCAAGGGGTTTTCCGATGATGAGTTCAACTCCAAGTATAAATACAATATTCGTCACGTTTATGGGGATGTTGGAGGTGACGCCAATCGCCGTGGTCGAGGTTATCCGCCATACTCGTGTCAAAAGATTCTTTCAGAGAGTGCCCCGAGCACTGGTCAAACTCATGGATGCCCATACCGACATTTCTCTGTTGACAATCTTACTGCTTTGCTTCAATCAACCGGCGTCCACGATAAAGACCTCTTACGCGGCGTGCGGGAAGACGTTGAGAAACAGAGATATCATATCGCTTGCAACCGAGTATTCGAATGGACACACAAGGCCGACATCAAACGAGTGAAAGAGGATGGCTCGTGGAATCAAGCCGACTTGGATACCATTGTTCATCCGAACACGTATTTCAAGCGGAGTTATCTTTTGAAGACTTCGGGGAAGCCGTCTAAGGAGACCGCTTGATCAACCAACCTTCGTATATAACTGCATGAAAACAGGGCGTAATGGATTCGACGGGCAGGACTCTATTTGTAAGAACTGAAGGATGTATATTCAATTCTTGATTCTGGTAACGAGATAATGTGACTATTCTTGACGTATAAACAAAAAAATTTTTTTTTTTTTTCAAATAATGAATGTCTGTTACATGAGATGTAACCTCTGCTGATTCCCAATTCATCAAAAAGGATCGGAACGACCTTTCCAAGCCAGGTGCCCAGCCATGGGTTATGTTTTCGTCTACGCTCGACGCGAAAACAGCCTCGCAAATAAAATGTACACGAGGCTGTCGACAGTAATGTGAATTGTTGTTGTCGGCGATGTTTTTGAAAAGAAGGAAAGAGGAACGAAGAAAAAAACTGCCGGAGCTCATTTATGGTGGAGACTGGACGCTGCGGGAGACCATAGTAACCATAAATGCTGCAACCTGGCTTCATGGAGCGCCCACAACATGAGCCCACGCCCCTCCGGTTGATCGAAGCACCCTCTACATATCAAACCGCTACGGCGTTGCCTATCCTAGGCATCGGTTATGCTTTGAGAAGTTACATTCAAGTTTATATCTCATAGCTTTTAAGTGCTCCTAGGCACTGCTTTTCCTTTCTGTTGACTCTCAATTCCTCCCTGTCCTTGAACGATTTCTGGTTGTTTGTTGCTCCGCTCCCTAGAAGGTCAAGATGGATTACGAGGCGTTGAAGGACCAGTGGAGCGATGTTGAGGATCGTGATGGTATCAGACTCAGCTGGAACACCTTTCCAAGCTCGCGCATGGTTAGTTGCAGCTGGAACTGTCGGATTTCGTTGATAATTGCAGGTTGATGCTAACTGTCCTCATGTAGGAGGCATCCCGCTTAGTTGTCCCCATCGGAGCAATGTATACGCCCCTCAAAGAAAAGACCGACACCCCATTATTGCAATACGAACCTGTGACTTGCAAAGCTCCTTGCAAAGCAGTCCTCAATCCTTATGCGTGCGTTGCAGTCTCACTATAACGCAATCATGATGCTAACCGCTTCGCGCGATATTGTAGGAATGTCGATATCCGAGCCCGAATCTGGATATGCCCTTTCTGTTTGATGCGCAATCCTCTTCCACCACACTATAAAGATATCACAGAGAATGCTATTCCCCCAGAGCTTCATCCTCAGAGTACCACCATCGAATACCGATTGGCGCGTCCCGCTCCCGCTCCTCCGATCTTCGTGTACGTTGTAGACACTTGTCAAGAAGATGATAGTCTCCAGGCTCTCAAGGACTCCCTCATCATGAGCTTGTCCCTGCTCCCGCCAAACGCGCTTGTTGGTTTGATCACATACGGCACTATGGTATGAGATGTCCGCTTAGTATTTTAGCTTGAAGGGGACTAATGGGCCAAACAGGCGCAAGTACATGAACTCGGTTACGGTGAATGCGCCAAGTCTTATGTCTTCCGTGGAAGCAAGGACTACGCCGCCAAACAGGTGCAGGAGATGCTTGGACTGCTCAACGCTGGAGTTCGTCCCGGTGCTCCCCAGCAACCTGGTCGCATGCCTCCTCCCATGGGTCCTGCCGCTCGCTTCCTCCTCCCCGTACAGCAGGCCGAGTTCCAGATCACCAACATCCTCGAGCAGCTACAGCGTGATCCATGGCCGGTTGCGAACGATAAGCGTGCTCTGAGATGTACCGGTGTCGCCATTAGCGTTGCTGTTGGATTATTGGAAACGTCGTTTCAGAATGCAGGTGGACGTATTATGGTCTTCGTTAGCGGTCCAGCAACAGAGGGCCCTGGTCTTGTTGTTGGCCCAGAGTTGAAAGAACCTATTCGATCTCATCACGACATTGATAGGGACAACATCAAATATTTCAAGAAGGCAGTCAAGGTATGCTTCATATATTCGGTACTGGTCTATGATGTTATCTAACAGCGGCTTTAGTTCTATGACAATATTGCTAAACGTGCGGCACATAATGGTCACGTAATTGACCTCTTCGCTGGTTGTCTTGATCAAGTCGGCATGTTGGAGATGAAGAACATGGCCAACCATACTGGCGGTCATATACTGTTGACCGACAGCTTCACATCCTCTCAATTCAAACAATCGTTCGTCCGAGTTTTCGATAAGGATGAGAACGATAATCTGCTTATGGCCTTTAATGCATCTCTCGAAGTTCTGACCACAAAAGAGCTCAAAGTCACTGGACTTATTGGTCATGCTATTTCATTAAACAAAAAATCTAGTAGCGTCGGAGAGACCGAGTGTGGTATCGGTAATACTTGTGCATGGAAGATGTGCGGTATTGACCCTGCTGCCAGCTATGGGATCTATTTCGAGATTGCAAACCAAGGTGGACCGGCACCAATGCAACAAGGACCTCAACGTGGCATGATGCAATTTCTCACATATTACCAACATTCCTCTGGTCAATTCCACCTACGCGTAACGACTATTGCTAGGAACCTCAGTGGTCCAGCCGGTGACCCGGCTCTTGCTCAGTCATTTGATCAAGAAGCAGCAGCAGTCCTCATGTCCCGTATCGCTGTCTTCAAAGCCGAGGTTGATGACGGCCCAGATGTGTTGCGTTGGGTCGATCGTATGTTGATTCGGTTATGCTCCCGCTTCGCTGATTACAGAAAGGATGATCCAACATCATTCCGCCTTGAAAAGAACTTTACTCTCTATCCACAGTTCATGTTCCATCTTCGGCGAAGTCAGTTCCTGCAAGTTTTCAACAACTCTCCTGATGAAACGGCATTCTACCGACATGTCTTGAACCACGAAGATACTGGCAACTCTCTGATCATGATCCAGCCCACGCTCGATTCATACTCTTTGGAGCACGAGGGCGCTCAACCTGTCTTACTTGACTCCGCCTCCATCCAACCTACTCACATTCTCCTTCTTGATACATTCTTCCACCTCCTCATTTTCCACGGAGAGACAATGGCAGAATGGAGGAAAGCTGGATATCAGGACCAAGAAGGTTATGAGAACTTCAAAGCGATTTTAGAACAGCCCAAGGAAGATGCTAGAGTGAGTAAATGTCTTCCCTCACTGTCGTTACTGTGCTAAACCAATGTCCGCAGGAACTGATTGCGGACCGTTTCCCACTACCCCGATTCATCATTTGCGATGCCGGTGGCTCACAAGCCCGTTTCCTCCTGTCAAAACTCAATCCCTCGACAACCCATTCTACTGGAGGATACGGTGGCGGTGTGACAGCACAAACTATCTTTACAGATGATGTGTCGTTACAAACTTTCATGGAACATTTGATGAAGTAAGTAAAATCTTCATCTCACAATTATTTCATTTCGGATGCTAACAGAATTACTAGACTTGCTGTGTCAGGCACCAACTAAACACGGAGTGCAGTTCCATAAACGCTCGTTGGCGATGAGAATCTGTGTGGCTGAGTGTACCTTTAGCGGTTCTTTTCCATCCGTCATTTTGTTTTACGATACATTCGATTGATAAATTTTCTATTGTTTCAACCTAAATCGTAACCTTCGCAGGTAGACAAGTGTTGGTTAAAATTAATAAGTTCTATTGTCAATAATTTGTAGGGGCCAATTCAACCGCTCCATAGACCTAACCGCTTTTGGCATGGCCTCGCCAATTCCTTAGATTAGATCACGTGCTTCGGCTAGCACACAACATTCCCTCCCAATAAATTTCCACACTTTTAAAAGTCTCAAGCTTGCGAGCCTCTCCTACAAGCACCATTCACTTCCCTCTCTTTCTTTCTAACCCGAGGACGATAGACTACCTTACGCACCCTCGCCATGCGTAAGTATCATCTCCTTGGTGCGGCATATTTTATTGCCAGGCGATTGCTGACATGAGAAATCTTTCTCTTTGAATAGCTCCCAAGTTCGACCCCAATGAGGTGAAGATCATTCACCTTCGGGCAACCGGTGGTGAAGTCGGCGCTCAGTCTGCACTTGCTCCCAAGGTCGGTCCTTTGGGTTTGTCGCCCAAGAAGATTGGTAAGGAATTCTCTGTCTTTGTTGCAATTTGAAGATGTTTTTTCGTGATTGCTAACTATATGAACAGGTGAAGATATTGCCAAGGCTACCGGTGACTGGGTTAGAGCTTCCCCCTCAAGCTATTGTTGAGAATCGGGCCCGAGCTGTGAACTAACAAGCAATTTCGCGATAACAGAAAGGTCTCCGTGTCACCGTCAAGCTCACCATCCAGAACCGTCAAGCCACGGTCTCTGTCGTTCCCTCCGCCTCTTCCCTCGTCATCAAGGCCCTCAAGGAGCCCCCTCGTGACCGCAAGAAGGAGAAGAACATCAAGCACTCTAAGTCCATCCCTCTCGACGATATTATTGATATTGCTCGCACCATGCGCTCCCGCTCTCTTGCCAAGGAGCTCCGTGGAACCGTTCTTGAGATTCTTGGTACCGCTTTCTCTGTCGGTTGCCAGGTTGATGGCCGCAGCCCCAAGGACGTCAGTGATGATGTCAAGTCTGGCGAGATTGACAGTATGTTTTGAAATTCACCTATATAAACGTTTGTTTACTAATCCATCGGTTATTAGTCCCTGAGGAGTAAACGATTGTTGTCAACGATTTTCATTCCAAAAAAGTTGTTCTTTTGCACCAAGACTCGGTTGAGATACCCCGAGTATATCGTGTTAGATATGAGAAATTGATGACGATCTGATATCAAAACAAAATAATTCTAATGAGTCATGACCTTTCCCTTCGATAACAGTTATCGATGTTTTCTCCTTTTCGTTCTGTCTTGCTTCATATTCTGTCTCCCTGCAGTCCCAAGTCCAACCCCAATGAAAAGGGAACGACAACCTTTGCCACACTCTGGCCATTACCGTCCGATTTCTATCGGAATTACAAGCTCCACGGTAACGGCCTATTTTGACGCAAAGAAGATAAAATTTCTTGACCTGTTACTCACCGCGATATCTTTTCGGAAAGGATTTCTTTTTCGAGGTGGATATAGTGGTCCATCTTTGTTGGTCTACATGTCAGTTGTAATTTGAGAAGAATGTAGTATGTGCGTAGAAGGTCTTGATGTATCTTTAGTTTAGGATTGGAATTGATTTTATTCTTACATTGTCTTGCGGATAGGTCTTGCAACGATGTCTCTTGAAATTAGGGCTTGGCCTTCCAAGATAACCCTAAAGACCTTCAATATAGGTTTACTTGTTACCTGCCCTACTTAGATCCGGGCTAGGCTTTGGGAGTAGGGCTATCCATTTACCTATGAACCTGAATTGGTTCGCGTACCGATACCCCCGGTGGTGCTAGATGACGAATGCCCGTTTGGACAGGTACAACTGACTTCCGAGGCTTTTCATACCTATTTAATGACACCCCCCTACAGGGACTGACTAGCTTTTTCTTACAATGAAGACGTGAAGATAGAGTCTGATGAGAATTATCATCAACATATCCAATAGAATTTCACACACGACGTCCTTGCTAGACTAGATTAGTGTCCATCCTTCACACCTTCTCAACATGATCAACATTCGACTTCGGGTCATCCGTCACCTCTTGCTTTTCGTTTGCAGTCGGGTATGCCACTCTCCAGACAGTATACCAAGGGCGTCGGAACAGACTAGCTAGAGCTTCAATTGATTTTCCTGTAGTATCCTATTCACATATGTGAGCCTCTCCTTTCCTTCTATCGGAGGGAGGATTATACGTACCAGCCTGGCAAAGAACACCGTACAAATAAAACCATAGAACACAAAAGCACTCCATTTCTCCATCGCAGCTAGTAGACTAGACGTTTCCCGCGAAGAAGCAAAATAGAATAACCAATGAAACGCCATTGAAATCGACATATTCAGGGACCGAATGGGAATAGGGAAAATCTCAGGTCCCAGGACATATGGAATACTGAACCGACCGATACTCCACGCAACAGCCTGGAAATATATGGCGACGATCGCACCTGTGGATGCCCGTGAAGCACATGGTGTGCTGTTGATATGTGCAACTGTCATACCCTTGGTAATACGCGAGTGTGACTATCTGTAGACAGATGCCCGTCATGAGCGAGCGACTGCGTCCGATAAAATCCATTACAAAGATACCGAATAGCATCGTACTGACGAATTTCACAATCGCGTATATTCCAGGAGCGAGGAGGGTGGACTCGGTGCCCTTGACGCCGAGATATCCAAAGATAGTGGGTGAGTCCTGAGTAATTGCGTTTGCGCCAGATCGTTACGAGAATAATGTGGACATGAAGATGAGGAAGAATCGACGCCTGTTCACGACAGGGATGAAGGTTTCTTTGAGTTGATCTCACAGCGTGCTGTTACAAACGGGTTCGACCTCGTGTAGGATTTGGATTTCTATGGCCTTGATTTCTGAGAGGATCAAAGGGTGGTCGGCAGGTAAGTGTCTGATCTTGCACAATGTGGCGATTTCAAGTTATCGTCTGCCGGTTGAGAATAGCCATCGGGGTGATTCGGGATAGATGAATGTTCGTATACCCCAGATTGTTGCTGGGACGAGTTGTAGAAGGGTGGGGAGCATCCATTGTGTTTGTTGGTTCCTGTATATGATTTGGCCACGCCGTAGTTGATGAACAAGCCGAAGGCGACGCCTACCATTTGACAGGCGGCGTACTGAAGTATAAGGAGACCACGTATAGCTTTTGGGGAGATCTGTTTGAGAATAATGAATGTGAATAGCATATTTCGAATAAGGATTCTAACAAAAGCTGGTAGGTTGACCAGGAACGCCGCATGTAGTCGTCATTTTAAGTGGTCTGGGGGAGTTGGGGAAGTGATACAGGTTAGGGCTTACTGGATAACTACGGCTTTCCTTCCGACGAATCTTGTCTACTTCACACAGAGCAGACAACTAGCCTGGGTATCAACATTGAAAATTAGATATTTATATTGAGGATCGACATCACGTCTTAGGTATCTATGACTCTACCGTCAATCTGGAGTAAATCTGATTTACAAATACTTCGCCTCTGTACCAGTACTATTCAAAGGTTTTCACAATAGAGACCATCTCTCTCTATAGAAAGGTATTTTGCTACAAACATTGAGAGTAGTATGGGTTCACTACTTGACAAGTGTAAGGCGAAACACAAGTTGTGGGACCAGTCCAGCCATTTCCTCCACACTGCCCCCAGTGTGCTGCACCGGTGCCTGAACCGGCGCCAGTCGTAGTCGTTGTCGCGGGACTTGAGGTGGTTGTGGGTGTCGAAGTGGTGGTAGTGGTGAGAGTGGTTGAACCACCAGCACCAGATTGCAAACCAGCAAGAATACCATAGTAAGCAGGCTTCTTTTTATAGTTCGAATCCCATGGGCAAGCATCACCTTGGCCTGAGAAAGTTCCAGGAACCCATGAATGCTTGTCCGTGAAGTCCCAGAGTGTGATACCGACGCACCCCTTGGTCTGAACGCAAGCAGTAGTGGTGGTCTGGTAGTCGGTTGACTGCTGAGTTTGGAGAGCGGAGGTATCTGGAAGAGTCATGCGGATATCAAGTTCGGTGATGGCGACATCAACACCGAGAGCAGTGAAAGCAGCCATGTTTGCTTTCTGGGAGGCAAGGCTGGGTGTCTGTCCCACAATGAAGTGAGCCTGAAGGCCAACGCCGTCAATACGGGCACCAGCCGCCTGGATCGATTTAACTATATTCTGGGCACCGGTAGCCTTTGCCCCAGGGTATTCGATGTTGTAGTCGTTGTAATACAGTTTAGCGTTAGGGTCTGCGGCGGCAGCGGCAGCAAAAGCAATTGGAATGTATGCCTCGCCGATGTGTTGATAGAAAACGTTTTGACGATATGTACCGTCTTCGTTCAAGGCTGGAGACTTCGCTTAGCTCGAGGTTCAACGGCTCTAAAAGAGGACCTCGTAATAAGGCGACATACCTTCATTGACGACGTCCCATGCGTAGCATTGCCCCTTCCAGTGAGTGACTACTCCGTTGATATGCTCTTTCAATGCAGCAATCAGAGTTTCATTGGTCCATGAACCCGAAGTAACTAAATAAATAGCGCATCAGTTTCCTGCCCAAGGCCTTAAAGATTGAGAGATGAATGTTGATGTATGCTTGCTTACTATATGACGGTAATTGGTTATACCAGACGAGATTATGGCATCGCAAGTAGTCATTGTTAGTCTTGGCCAAACTCGCGATCTGGTCGCCTTGACTGAAAGTGTAAGAACCCTGTGATGGCTCGGTGGGTTGCCACTAAATAGGTTATTGATTAGCTCAATATCACAGGGTTGAGAGGTGCTGACGCTTACTTTCATCGAGTTGGCGGGTGTGATTTGGCCAAAATCATCTGTCTCTAGATTCGGCAGGTATTGAGAGTCGCTCAAGTCTCCATTATCAACCGCAGTACCAAAGTACAACAGACCAGCTGCTTTTGCGGCGGTATTCAGTTGAGCATGGGCAAGATGCCCGGCAGCTAGGGCTAAAATAAGCGGTTTTACTGCAACCATACTGATGTCCTCTTCCAAGAGTGTTTCCTGAACTTTGTGGTTGTACAATTAGAAGTTCAAGGAATAGCTTCGTCACAAGCTGAATTGGCCCTTATATATCAGCGTCGAAATTAAGGCCCGCGCTCAATAGCATGCCGTATTTAGCCTGATTCGAGCACTTGTTTCAACCATAATTTTTTCGATGTTTCATCAAATATGCTTCCATCACGATGGTCAGAAGACATATTAGCCGATTACACTTTTGGATAAAGTCTAGAAACGGCAAAGAGAATCCAGGCGAAAGCATGGACCGAGATTCCCCTGGAATTATTGCTGTTATTAATACTTCCAAAGCAGTTATGCACCCCGCCGGCAGTTGAACCCCATAATGGGGCCTCGGGGAACACATGTAGCTCCTCCCGAGGTCTTTTTAGGGCTTAATATGTTCTTATAACTTTATCCAGTCAAAAGATTTGCGCACATAGGCTTCAGATTGCTCGCTCTTTCTATAGCATAGAGAATTAGTAACAACACCTCTCGTTAGTTTCATCAAGTGATTTCTGCTTGGGATCAAATAACTGAAACACTTGAGACTTTGAAATGTGAGGCGAGGACGGTCTAAGCTACTCCACTTATAAGTTTTAAGCATAATTTATTCGAGACGATCCGATATTCCCCTTGGACCTTGATATACCACCTTGGAACCGGCTCTGTAGGGCAAATACTGCACCAATGAAATGTGCATTCTCTCACGTGCTTACGTCTATAGGCTATACTCGTGTCACATAGTATGTAGTCAATTATATTCATCTCACAACCAAGACAAAAAGCCCTAACAGCCTGAAGAATACAGTCCGGTTAAAATCAAGAAGAAATTCTTGGCTCGTACCGCTGGCATATTGGCAGGAATATTGTGCTGGGCATGTTGTCTCGTGTTACTCTTTCAGTTTCTATAGACCCTGCATACTCGTGCTCTATTACTATCAACACTAGATGTTTCGATAGTGGAGTTTGTTTCTTCCAATCTTCACCAACGTGCCAATATTTATCTCGAAAATTGGATTCTTGGCTGAGTGAACTTAATCCGCTGATGAAATTATTCATATTCATTTCACCCGGTCTTTCTTCGGAAATGTTGAGGAAAAACCAGTGGAATTAGTCAGTATCATATGACTCTGTTAACCCTGACTCCTGATCTGCTAGAGACCAATGTCATCACCAAATGTACCAACAGGCTGTGCTTTACATTTTTTCCAGTTTTATCCAGTCTACTATTTATATTGCGTCAACTTCGACCTTCCACACACGCTTTTTGGACTCATCTCATCCTGTTCTGAGCCAGCCGTTTGCAGTTGAACACCCTCGTCCTAATTATTATATACGCGGCAAGGATTCTCAACAATCATATTGTACCACTGGGTATCTGATAGCCACTTTCACAAAGCCTTCAACTCTCCTCGAATATCAATCTTTGGCGCATCAATCGGCAGATGCACAGATTTGTTTGCAGGATTGACATGAGGCCAACCGCTCCCCCAAAGCAGCGAGCATGACGCTGTATCAGCAAAGCTTTGGATAACACTTTGCATGTTGTGGAAATCATCTGGACTGCGACAATAGAGAGCGGATATCTCAACATAGACACGGCCAGACTATAGCAGCTCTAGAAAAGATCTGAATTCGGAACTGCAAATATCCGCCGGCTCGGCGCAAGCATTGTGGTCTGCAATTATCGTGACAGTTGATTTCTTTATCATGAAGGAGAAATTGCTTTAATGCAGTCCATGCCTGGAGAGGTAGCTGCGCAGAAATACTCCAGCCGTGAGTCTTGGCCGCATATGATTGCGCTACTAGGAGAAATTGTTCTTAAAGACTTGCTAAATCAGACTGGTTGTCTCCATGGATACCATGAATACGCCAAGACCTGACCCCGAGTTGATGTAGGACATCAACATGTGAATTATCTAGGTTGGTCCAACTTTCGTCCATGCATATCGTCCCGCGGGCAAGTATATGCGCGTACTCCTTGCGAATGCGAGAGAAGTGGGCCACTAATCCATCGTGTCCATCTTCAATTGAGGCTTGGACTAAGACTACCTGATTCGTCAGGCTGTTTTCGACCAATTCCCCAAGAGGCGCAGGTCCATGTGTGTAAGCGCGAGTGGATCGGAATGGGTACCATTGAAGATCGAAGCAGTGAATGTGGGTGTCCCACGAGCCCGATGGAAGGCTCACGTCCATATCAAGTAATAATTTCTGCCTTCAGCTTATACTGCAATGGATAGTATGTTGCTTCCATTCAAATGATCTTTAAACCTCCATATGTTTAGGGAAAACGCAACACCGCATACTTTCGGCCCTCGATCAGACTAATGCCGCTGCATACCTACTATTAATCTCCGTGCCTCCATGACAACACGATCAGCTAGCTACAAGTCCCTCTTTGATCGTTTATGTATCGGTGATTATCCGACGCAATGCCCGAAATTGCAGAGACAAATATTGAAGTCCGGAGTTTTTGCGGGGGTGTATCAGAGGCGAAGTGTATACAAAGTATACGACGTAGAGTATATATAAGGTATAACAGGATTGAATAGATTGACAAGATTTCGAAAAAGTGCATATGTACTCGTACATATGTCAATAATTTTGAATCGTCGTCCAGAAAATGACCCAATCAGCTTCAATCACCGACAACCAGCAGGATAGTAAGGGGTAGGTACAATGTACCTGCTGGGGCGAGGACTCTCAAAATGGCACTGGCTCTGATATCATTACCTATCTCTCCTACAATCCTGAGTTCAGGATGAAAGTTGAGCAACGTCTGAGACGGAAAATTGATCTTCGCATCCTATCCATGATTGTCTTGATTTACATTATGAATCACCTCAATCGCAACTCTATTACAAAAGCTCGTCTATATGGCCCTCAAAAAGATCCTGATCTCAATGGAGCGGAGTATAACACTCTATTTCCATATTTTCTGCAGGCCCTATCGTGCTGCAGCTTCCCTCGACACTGTTGATGACGAAGTTGAGGCCATCTATATACTTGGTGAGACTTTCTGCTTTCGGTAACTAGTTATTATTGATTGACCTTGTTTTGACTTATGTAATCGAGTCAACCTGCACAATGCTTTGGGGGATCATCAGCGCATGCACAGGGACCACCAATAATAAGCCAGCATTCTCCTCGTCAGATTCTTTCTCGCACTTCTTCCCAACCCTGATTCAGTAAATTGGATTCAAGAATAATACAACGGTACTCCTTCTGACCTCCCCGCCCTATGTTGTGACCTTTATTTGGGCCATTGGTTGGGCGTGTGTAGCAGACAGCCGCCAAATTCGCTTAATAGCAGCTGGCATTTCTCAATACTGTGCAATTCTAGAAACAGTTTTGCTCATATCTGTTCCCGGTTTTTGGGCCAGGTATCCATTTACCTTCCTCACCTCCTGTGGTGCTTTTAGCGTCGACGCGACGACATACGCTTAGATCTCATCAACAATCACCCAACCTGCCGTGAAACGAGCCGCTGCAATCGGACTTGCAAATACCTGTGCCAATATTGCTTCACTGTTTGCAAATTACTTTTGGCTGGATGAGTATAAATCCATGTACAGGGAGTCCTGGGGTTGCGTTTTGGCTTTTGAGGTTTTGGGACTATCCTGCATTCTAAAGTTGCGCTTCATTTTCCAACGCGCCAAATAAGAAATTTGATAAAATGGTAGCCGGTACTAATTTTAATAATGTGATTGCTATGGCACGGATGGATGCTACTACGAGCATTGCGGTTTTGAATGGCTTTCGATATGTTGTATAAGTTGGTTCGACTAGGCTGGATGGATAACTTGTCTATAGAGCTTGATATTGAACGTTCACCATATACTGTACCTAGGCGAGAAGAAGTAACACGTACCTAATATTAGTGATGCTTGAACCATAATGCTTCGTGATATTTCGCTGGCATTATAAGACGTGGTGGACCTTTAGACTCAAAAAGACCAGATGTCTACCCTACCTAGGCTGGTCCGTCTGATGATACATTTCTGCACTAGGCTAGGAGATCAATAATGAAATACATATTAGGTAAAACCGTACGTAAATATCTCTAACACCAATGATGGAACAAAATACATCTATGTTGGAACGGCGACAAATATTATTGACAAAAGAAAATCAGAATACAAAACTCAGTTCTGTCCAAACAAAGTAGCAGTCATCGATCGATCTTTCAAAGACGATGTATCATTAGTTCATTAATCACTTTATAGCTTGCTCATAGAGACAAAGTGAGGAACGTTCTTAGCTGTAAAGATGTCCTTGTGGTCAGCCTTGATGATGTCGGCAGCCTGGGATAGTGAGCTAGTTAGTTATAAAGCTAGAAAACAAAATGGGGAGTTTAACTGACCTTCTCTCCAATCATGTAAACGGAGTTCTGGATACGGCAGTCAGGAATAACCGGGATGATAGAGGCATCAGCAACACGGAGGTTCTTAATTCCGTGGACCCGGAGTTTGGGGTCGACAACACCCTGGTGGATGTTCTTGGAAAGACGGGCAGTACCGCAAGGGTCTAGATGGAGAACATGTTAGCACGTTTATGGATACATGTTAGGAGGAAAGAACTTACGGAAACCAGTCTGGCTTCGGTCCAAGACAACACGTCTCATGTCAACGTCAGACTCAAGGGGCATCTTCCAGGGATATTCAGCAACAACAATGTCCTTAAACCCAGCACCCTTGGTCAAGACATCGTATGTCCACCGGATACCTTCACGCATGGCCAAGATATCAAGGTCATTGCCGAAAAAGTTGAGGTTGATGTTAGGTTGAGTAAGAGCGTTGGCGTTGTTGAGAGTAACTTGACCCTCGGACAAAGGACGAAGCAAATCGACAATTACGGTCATGTGGCTTCCCTTCTCGGGCATGGGGTAATGCCACTGGAAGGCACTGCTCCAGAGAGAGACGAAATCGAGCTCGAAGTGAGGCTGACCAGCAGGTCCGAAGGGATCAAGGCCACCATTAGCAACTTTGGCTTCGCGGTATTCAGGGTACTTGTTCAAGCGCTCGTCAATACGGGGGAAACCGACAAGCTCCAAAAAACCGGAGCTAGCAGGACCAGTCTTGTCCTTCTTATAGCTAGCAATGGCGGCATCATTGAGAGGACCTGGGCGAAGGATGTGGTCGTCAAGAGCGTATCCATCCTTAAGCTGAAGGACGAAAGGAACGATAGGGTGATCCAGCAAGTGCTGACCGACGTGAGGAGATTCGATCACGGGTTCAATCCCGTGCTTGGCCAATTCGGCAGCAGGCCCAATACCACTGAGTAAGAGAAGCTTAGGGGTCTCAAAGACACCTTGGGAAACAATGACTTCGCGGCTAGCATAGACGCTAATCTCGGTGCCGTAGACTTCGCTAATGACAGTAACGCCAGAACAGACCTTGGTAGTTGGGTCAATGATCAACTTCTTTGAGTAGACTCCGTAGAGAATAGTCACGTTGGGCTTGTTCTTGAGATACAAGAAGCTACCCTGGCGCTCACCCTTGTAGATAGTGTCGACACAGTGTGTCAAACCACGCATCTCACCAGAGTAGATGTCCTCAGTCAAGACACCACCCTTGTCAAGCCAAGCCTGAGTGAGGGCATCACGGAAAGGCTTCATCTCAGGGACCAAATCGGCGTGGGAAATGTTGACGGGGCCGCCAGTTCCGATCTTCTTGAGGTCGGAAGAGTAGAGATTCTCGTCATCGTGGTAGGTGGCACACTTGCGGAGGTACTCAACACAGTTGTCCCAGGTCCAGTCAGAGCCACCGAACTGCTCCCAGTCGTCGAAAGTGGGCTTGGAGCCAGGAATCCAGGTGAAGTAGTTGGCGCATGTACTTCCACCGAGAGCCTTGCCACGGGTGTTTGGTTTCTCAACTCGCTCGTAGTCGTCACGCTTGATCATGGTGGTCTTGTAAGCCCAGTCATATTTGCTGCCGCGGAGGGTGAAAGCTTTTGATGGCGTGGTTATTTCCTCAATCTGGTCGGGGTTGGGGATACCGGCCTCAACAACCAGAACGCGGACATTAGGGTTTTCGGCAAGTCGACCAGCAACAGCATTACCGGCGGTACCACCACCGACGACGATGAAGTCGAAAGTATTTCCGTCTGCAACGAAGGCCATGATTAGGTATTAATGTTGTATTTTTTGTTTGTCGGAGTATGATTTTGTATAAAACCACCAGGGCTGATGCTCTATAATGGAAATTTTGCTTTTCGAGTGAACTTTTGATATTTGATTGATGATCTGACTGAAGCACGACACAACCGGCGCTCAATCGCGGGCTATATATGCCTTTCCTTCTCTTTTGTCTTTCTCATAAATGAAGTCATAGATGAAGCCATTCCGTCAGATGTTCCTTGCCGCGTTCCGTGCGGCATCGTCGTCACTCGAGTCCGCTGAGATGTTTAGTCATATTCCTGAGATGCTTACTGTTACTAAAAAAGGCAAAACTAGCTGAAAAAACTCTGAGGAGTTGAGTAGTACCCGGGGAGTTAGTGGAGTTAGTCATTAGTTGAGATCTATTTATTCATCCTGCAAAAATATGCCTCTAAACTATGACGCAAGCGGCTCGAGATTTGTAGGGGAAAAGCCCCGGAACCGCGGAAGCCCTAACTTTGCTGACGGCTTTGCTTCGGCCCATTAGTACCCCTTCCTAAAGAGGAAATACTATTTTACGTACATCAGAAAATACCGCAGTTGCGCCGACGATAACCTCAAATAACGGTGTAAACAGTTTGTTTGTGAATAGACTGGCTTTATGGGGTATTAAATCGGTTCTCATCCCCAGAGGGGACTGTCTACTCAGACAGACAGCCATCCCTTGTAAGGACACATCAAAATAATAACACATTCATAATGTCTAATCCAAAGTTCACGACCGCCGAAGGTGAGAGATTCGATACATTGATTGTCCTTCTCTAACATCCTCCAAGGTCATCCCATTCCAGACCCCTCTGTCAGCCTTACACTACCTACAATTGGAGGCGGTGGCATCACCACACTCGGTGACACAGTCCTCCTTGAGACGCTTGCACACTTTAATCGTGAACGCATTCCTGAACGGTGGGTTCAATATTCCCACGTCCACGTGTCTTCAAGCTGATATCATACAGTGTTGTTCACGCCAAAGCCTCCGGAGCGTGGGGAGAGTTTGAAGTCACCAATGATATCTCTAAATACACATCTGCCAAATTCCTCAACGGTGTTGGCAAGAAGACTCCAGTGCTCTGGCGACTGAGTACCACTGCTGGTGAACGCGGTGCGGCAGATACCGTCCGTGATGTTCGAGGTTTTGCTGTCAAGTTCTTCACAGAGGAAGGTAACCATGACATAGTTGGAAATCACATTGTACAATTGGCCTGTTGTCCCGTTTGCAGTTGCTGGTAATAACTTTCAGCAGCCTGTGTTCTTTGTCCGTGACCCGATCAGATTCCCATCCCTCAACCGAAGCCACAAGCGAGACCCTGCAACGAACCGTCCAGACTGGACTATGGTAAGTACTCTAAAGCTACGCCGAGTCTCTCATAATGCACGAGCTAACGTATCTAAATTTCTCAGTTCTGGGACTTTCATGTCAATCAACCAGAAAGTGTCCACGCTTTGATGCACCTTTTCGGCTCTCGTACAGTCCCGGACTCTATCCGCCGCATTACAGGTTTCGGTGTACATACCTTCAAGCTCGTCGCAGCAGACGGCAAGATACGCTACTGCAAATTCCACTTCAAGCCTACAGCTGGCGTCACTTCATGGTCATCACATGATGCCACTCGTATGGCCGGTGTGAATCCCGACTTCCACGGTCAGGATCTCTGGGATGCCATTGCTCGCGGAGAGTACCCGGCCTGGAAACTCTACTTGCAGGTGATGGAGCCTGAACAAGCTGAGAACTACGGCAGGGCTCTTTTTGATATCACCAAAGTCTGGTCTCACAAGGACTTCCCCTTGATTGAAGTTGGTCAAATGACACTGAATAAAAATGTACGACCTGACTTTAAGTGCAAATAAGTAGTAGACACTGACCAGGACATCCAGCCCGAAAACTACTTTGCTGAGATTGAACAAGCCGCCTTCAGCCCTGCGAACATGGTCCCCGGTATCGCCATGACACCGGATCCCAGTAAGTAGCCAACAACTTTCCTGTCTCTTGGGCATTTTGCTAAGAGATTACCCAGTGTTGCAAGCGCGTATGTTTGCCTATGCTGATGCCGCCCGATACCGTCTCGGTGTCAATTACACACAACTTCCCCCTAACCGAGCCATCTGCCCCGTCTTCGCCCCCTTTGAGCGTGACGGATATGGAACTATTACTCGTAACTACGGTGGTGAACCCAACTACGTGCGCAGCACATTGAGTACCGGCCGTGTCAGCCAACAAGCTGTGTATAACACGCCCATCACCGAGCGCATTGAGCGTAACGCGATCTTGGCCCAGAATGAAATTCAGGTTGACGACGACGACTATATCCAGCCACGCAAGTTCTGGATTCGAGTCATGGACGATAATGAGAAGAGGTTATGGATAGCCAATGTTGTGGAGACATTGGAGACTGTTCCTCCTCAATTACGGGATGCTGTCGCGGCCATGTTCAGCAATGTTGATGCCCGTATTGGTGAAGCTTTGACCGCTAAAGCCAGGAATAACGCCCATATATAACTGATACGAGGTCTCTTATAGTATTTCTGATTTATAGGAAGGGTCTTTTTTTCATGGACTTGGTGTTTCGAGTTGGGGCTTTTCTTTTCTCCTTCTATTGTGCTTGCAAGGATAAATCATGACACCTTTAACGGGAAAGATATAATTACTATCACTATATATTCAGGAATAAAATCTGATCTGAACCTAAAGGAATCTACATGTACTCATCGCTAATCCAAAGAAGCCACCAAGAACGCGTAAAATGATCAGAAGCGACCTCCTGCATCGAGCTCCACTGGCGGAATAGGGAGTTGTCCATGAAGAGACTCCGGTGAGTAAGCATGCTTCAAGCGATTGCCAGTTACCATATAATAATCCGGTGGGTTTTCAACCCGACCAGAAGCTAGTATTGTCTTTTTTGTGCAAACGACGACGGAATATGAATCCTCCCAATATGACCAGAATGCCAACTGCAGCACCAATTGCCGCTCCAACTCCGAACCCGGCTTTGCACCAATACTGAGGTCTGTTGAAGATGTAGCTGTGGTATTTGAGGCTGTTTGTTGTAGTTGGTGGTGTCGATGTGACACTTGCGGTGCTTGTGATACTAACGGATCCTGCCTTGGAGATGCCGGTTTTGTCTAATAGACGTAGCTCATTAGAAGGTAATTCAGAACAATTTCAAGAAGCCGTAGATATATGCCCAAGTATCTTGGTAGCGTTACGTACCTGTGAGGAACTGAGAAAATTGATACTGCTCATAATTGTACGAGGTCAACCTGCAACAGTGGCATTGTCCAGGAAATCTTTTGTCCACACAGAGCTCCATTTCTCCCGCGAAATAGGTGGTGTTTCTCCGTCGATGAATGTCTGCTCGAAGTTACCGCCGAGTGCGCCATTTGGGGCTGTCCAGAAGCTCTGGACCGTTTCGGCGGATACTATGCGAGAAAGAAGGATTGATGCGAGGAGCTGAATGGACCGCATATGTAACATGTATATAGTTGAAAATAATGTTTGATGAGTGGAAGGAAGTCATACAGCATCCTTCAGAGCAGGAATATGAGCATGGATTGTCGGAGGGATAGGAAAAACATATCGGACAGTAATGAGCACTTGGATGTTATTCGACTCTACGAAAATAGATGTCTTCATAACCAGTTCCTCCGTAGCATGGTACGAGCAGGATGGCGAATCACGTTCTACAATCGAGCCAAAGGCTCAACACCTCAGCTGCTTTGCAGGAGGAATGGTTGCCCTCGGAGCAAAAATGTTTGAACACACGGAAGACATATCTGTGGCTCGCAAGTTGGTAGATGGCTGCATTTGGGGGTATGACAGTGCGCCGTTGGGTATTATGCCGGAGGTGATGTATATAGTTGCCTGTGAGGAGAATGAAGATTGTCACTGGAATGAATCCAAATAGTTCCGTGGAGTAGAGATTGCTTTGACTAAGCAGTCGGCAAAAGCTATATTCCGACATCTCGCACTAGGGGCGTCAGAGGTTGATGATGGCAGACATATCCTACGGTAGCTCCCTACGTCCTCTAATGATGTCAACCGGTATAAGGACTGACGGAAATACATGTATCAGACCCGAAGCAATCGAGTCAATATTCATCCTATACCGAATCACCGGTGACCCAATCTGCTCAGAAAAAAGCATGGACTATGTTCAATAACATCATTCAACACACCGTCACAGACATTGCGCATGCAGGCCTGGACGACTGCACGATTCCTCATCCATCGGAACAGGATCGGATGGAATCCTTTTGGCTGGCAGAGACTCCGAAGTATTTTTACCTGATATTCTCGGAGCCGGATGTGGGTAATTTGGGTGAGTATGTGTTGAATACTGAGCGCATAAATTACGGAGACCTCACTGATAGATTGAAGGTCATCGTGGTGATACATACCTGACAATGTTGTGAGGATACTGTTACAATAGGAAATTTAAAACAGAGAACGAGCTGATGGCAAGATGTAATTCTATTGCATTAGCTAAAACAATGCTTTTATGCTGTCATTGTATACTTTGCCATCAATCCCTCACTCGCCGCAAAACCTTCCGATTGAGATGCTCAGGAGCAACCGACTGAATCCCCGACAGATGCAGCGTCAAATTCAAATCAGCCAATATACACCTGAGCACATGCGTCACGCCTGCCTCACCCGCAATCGCCAATCCATACGCATACGGCCGCCCAATAAGCACCATCTTCGCTCCAAGCGCCAATGCCTTTGCAATATCCGCTCCTCCGCGCACGCCAGAGTCAAACAACACCTCAATCTGATCACCCACCGCATCCACAATCTCAGGCAGGACATCCAACGACCCAATCCCGCCGTCTTGCTGTCTACCGCCATGATTCGAAACCACGATACCCTGCACCCCAGCCTCGACCGCACGTCGCGCATCCGCCACACTCTGAATACCCTTTAACACAATGGGACCATCCCAGTGGTCCTGAAGGAACTTGAGGTCTTCCCAACCATGACTTAGTCCCGGGAATATGGTATGCGCCCACTCAGACGCGGCTGTGGCCATGTCCTCTTCGATCTCTACGCCATGTCTCTCACGAAACTTTCGTCGAAACACGGGGTCAGAGAAACCCAGCTCGACGCCAATCTTGTCTGCGCGCAAGAACGGGTTGTACCCGTTATTAAGGTCTGACGGCCTCCAGCCCAGAATGTATGTATCCAACGTGACCACAAGCACGGAGTAACCAGCATCACGCGCACGTTTGAGCAAACTCGCCGTAATCTCATTATTCTCATTCGACGGCCAATATAGCTGATACCAGCGTTTTCCATCTCCGCTGGCCCGCGCAACATCCTCAATACTAGTAGCAGCAGCACTACTAAAAATGTAGGGAACATGCTGCTTCCTCGCAGCCGTAGCAGACGCAAGCTCGCCATCCCGATGAAAGATACGCTGCACACCAATCGGCGCAATAGCAATCGGATAATCATATTCCTGCCCAAAGAGGGCAGTCTTGAGACTCGGAAAATCGGATTTCACGAGTCGTGAGGGAATCAGTGCCCATTTACGAAAGGCCGCGCGGTTATTGTCATCTGTCTCGCGGAGTCCCGCAGAACCCCAGATGTAGCCGTAGCTGTCGGCTGGGAGGATATCCTTTGCTAGGGATTCCCAGTCGTGAGGGTTGAAGCTGATGGCGGGTTTGACGTTTTCGAGGCCGTTGGCGAAGACCTCGTTTTCGTAGGTGAAGGGGGTTGGGTTTGCCATGTTGATTGTAGGTCTGTGTTGATGATGTTGGGATTAGAAAAGCGCAGGTGGTCGAGGAGGTATTTATGCTTTCTGGCATGAGACTCACGTCATCTTCAAATCGATGTCAGCGCGGGCCGATGCGAGAGTCAACTCCATTTCCGAGAACGTCATTTATCGCTGGATGTCACTGGCACCATCAATGAGAATCGTATCACACATCCGTCTTAAAGACATTGGCTTCGATATGCGATTTTCATACATCTAGCTAGGTACATACGTAACGATATCCGGGAGACATCTCTCACTTCCAACTCAGTTCCCGTAGGAGCTCTTACTGTGCATGCAGTCATTTCCAGCTCATAACTATATTTCCATTCTCATATCTGAATATTTTGTTATCGACCATCAGATCAGATCTTAAGAATCACGATCTATCGGCCGAGTACTGGGCGGGCTATCATTGACATCATGTCCATGTACCTACCCGCATAACCCGCAAATGCCGCTCTAACTGAGATCCAACAAGCACTTTCGAGATACTACTGGGTTATACTGTACGTACCTTGACTTGAAATCAAGCTCGCCAAGCTTCTCTTTCACTCATGCAGTTAACGTTAGCTACAGCTTTCACGTAATCCGCAGTTCGGCCGGGCCACTTTATCTTGATAACATACGATTTGGCAATGGCTTCATTCCGCTCTACCTCTCGGTTTGCACTGAGTTTTGCATAGGACCAATGCTTGGAACATATCGGGGGAGTAAGTACTTACTATTCTATCCCTCATTCTCATCTTCGGAACGCCTTCGTATGGTATCATCCCAGGCCTATATCTCTCGGGCAGGTAATTTCCCGCGAATTTGATCAACTAGATGCCCCCTGAGCACTTCAGCGATGACCGATATCCTTTTCGCTCTTCTGGCTTTTCTGGTCATGAAAGAGAAATAGAAATAGACAGATCAGTCTCCGTCAATCATCGTGCATTTGTCTTAATGCAATGGCTCCAACATCACCGAGATACGTCCCGTCCCGACGTGCAGAAACCTAAACCGGGGGGGAGGGGGGTTTGAAAGTGTATCAACAATTTCTTCATGATACGTTTCAGACTGGCGACAGTTATCCGCGGCGGGAGTTCCATTTGGCAGGTTCCTTATTTCAATGCTTCATTATGCTTGCATATGCAGGTATGTCACGATACGGAATCGACTTTATTTTGTTCACTTAATTTATGCAGATATCGGTTGTATCTACTTACCATCAGTGCAATGAACGAATACAACTGTAACAACCTGCCGGATATTCAGCATACCTATGACAGCAGCAGACAATATTCACTTGCATCAGTACTTCCTCAGGGAATTTTGCATAGTACTCCGTACAATCCTATGAAATGACTTGGCATACCTGCCAAGTCAGGACACATTAGGGCTAGGTATGCATAGGAATAAGGCTCCACGGAACGGTTGGTAGGTCGACAGTAGATATGTGAACTGGTAACAGGCCAAGAACGGTACCGCACATAGACCTGTCGACAACACAACAGTACTAGTAGTACTCCGTAGACACAGCCGTATGGAGTATTCCGTACAGATCGTCTCTACTAACGACTTCAGATGTCGATCCTATGAAAGGCGTGGGGAAAGTGGGCCACGACTTTACAGGTTTCCATCAAATAAATACTATAGTACGATGTACTATGTACGACGTACTATGTACTATGTACTATGTATACTATAGTAGACCGGGTTCTTTGCTAACATGATTAATATATTGACGGGTGAATGAATGGACTGACCGGATGCCAAGGTTCTGCAGGACACCCAAATGGCCGTCGATATTATATGCGCTTTGACTTGTTCAGGGAGGGTTCGGAGATTGGTTGGTATAACCCGACTGACTTACTCGTAAAACAAGAATGAATAGACAGAGCATGCGTCGTACAACTATTTTATTATTTGTCTGTTGGTTATTCTTCCGAGCATGTCCTCTTTGTTCTGCGCGTGAGGCTGAGCAGCCTTAGGAATGAGGCAGCCATGGAATCATGGAGGAAAATAGAGTTCAAGCCTCAGACCGAGTCCAGAGAGTGGTGTGGCTGGGGTGAGACTCTGTCCAATCTCCACACGAGCTTAGCATAGTCACTCCATACGAAGTAGTTACTCCATAGTACTCCATAGTACTCCATCGTGCTCCATCGCGCTCCATCGACGGTGCTACTTTCTCACAGCAGATACATATCGAACGGCCTAAATCTCGGGATACTATCCAAGCAAGAAATGTTCTTCCTCCATTCACTGAATTAATAGATGACTGGCTGGCATCGAGAGAATGGATGGGTGGATGGGTGGATGGGTGGATGAATGAATGAATGAATGAATGAATGAATGAATGGGGCCGAAGACCCGCTGGCCCACAGAAAATCAGAGCTCGTGCCTCATCGGCTCGCCCACCCAATAGCGGGGAGCCAAGCGGGCACAGTGACCGGATCGGCTGGCGCCCACCTCCACAAGGGCTGGCGCCACAGGATCCAGTGTTTACGTCGAGTCTGATCAGGACAGTTGTTTAGTCATGATCAGTCAGCCTTATCTCTGCTTGATGCCGGCCGTCCATTGTACTGTATGCACTCGCCTGTAAGCGGAAAGAATACTATGTATAGGTGCATAGTGAACTGTCAAGAGAAGATAATGCATTCGATGGAACGGATGGAGACGGTGGAGACGGTGGAGTGGGGCGGTGGGACTGCAAATCCACCGATGAAAAAGCAAAGAAAGAAAGAAAGAAAGAAAGAAAGAGCAAGGAAAGAGCAAGGAAAGAGCAAAGAAAGAAAGAGCGACCGCCGGCAGTCAGCTAAGTATTCGGGGAAGGTGCGATGGGCAAGTGCAATGTGGCAAGTGCAGACGTGCTTTATCGTCTGCCAGGGAACCGGGTGCATAGATGGATGCCTTAAATGTATGTATGGAGCACGTATGGAGCACGTATGGAGCACGTATGGAGCACGTATATTAAAGTCAATACAGAGGGTCTCACTAAGGCATTAACCTGAAATGCGATCGAGGGGATGCGATCGCCGCCCATTTGATGACGACTAGAATAGCGTGCAGTAGCGCCGTGGGTTCGTTTTAGTTACTCTAGTATTAGTACTCTGTAGTGTCTCTACGATAGACACCCCGTATACTCTGTACGGAGGACGTTCGAATGAATTGAGAGATTCACGTGCTTTGTGGATTATTCTACTAATTATTCTGGTATTCTGGATACATATTTTTATATATTTATATTCATATTTATAATTTATCTATTTACATTCTCTATTGATTCTACACGAGTACGTATTTGTTAGAGATATCGGATCGGATCGACCTGTAACGGGCAAGCAATTGCGGCCCACTCGCAGGATTCCACCAGGCAGCCCTGTATTTATTTACTACATAGTATGTACTCACCATCCCAGTGAGTGGATCTGCCCAGCCGTTGTTTCTGATCATGGATTTATGCCTGTGTTCTTCTCTTTTCTCTTCTTTTCAATTTCGCTCTCTTGAGTACTCGTTTGTTGTACATTGCTGGAGCGTATTTTCATAATTAGAACTCCTTCTCTCGGTGTGCGACGCACTGTGACTGAGTGGCTCCTCTTCCCCGGATACCTGCATCCCGCCATCTGACTGGTCCGCTGGAATGGCTGCTTCGCCTTAGCCGCTGACCCTCCTTGCATTGACACTTGGCTGCCAGGAATTTACACTTGATCTCTCTTTCAATCTCTTTCAATCTCTTTCTTGACCCCTTCTGGAAGACTGACTCGCTGACTGACGGACTGACTCCGACACCTTGTCCAACGATTCACACGTATTCGATCACTGTCCATCAGCAGATTGGGCTTCCCAAATGTCCCCACGACCGACCACTTCATGATGCGGTGTCGAAAACGACTCAAAAAAGATCACGCCTGTGGATGAATGATTTGAGAGGTGTCATCTAGAAGATCTATCTGCTAGTACACTATTCCGATTATCGTCGAATAAATACGCCTATCGAGAGATCGATAACAACCTGAGCAATCTCGACCACAGAACCGTCGGTTCTGTGAGTGCTTGACGACCGATCGACAGACCGACAGACAGACAACATGCTGCCCACCATGGCTCTCCCGTCGCAGTTTCATCCGCACCATCACATGGATCGTCGCCTCCTCGGTTACGACATGCTGCTTGGATGTCCACCTTATAATCTTCATGAACACACCAACGCCAGTTCCTTTCAACATCGTCCCTTCCTCCAGCAAGATTTCGACCGAGTCGCAACGTCTATCCCGAGATCTCGAAATCAGTATCCCCATCCTGTGCAGCGACCGGTGTCGCTCAATCCAGACACTGTTGATGCGACCAAAGTGACCAAGGCGGGCGAACATACATTGAGGAGAAAGACGCCGAACGGAACGCTAGCAGCAGGTTATGACGGCACTCCTGGTGATAGAGCAATCCAGCCGCCGGCGGCAAAACATATCATAGTTTCATCCCTCGACTCTCGACAACAACACTCATCATCGCAGCCGGTTCCCTCGGCTGACAGCTACACATGGCAGCCTATTCCCGTTGAGCACGTATCACCACTGCACTACCAGAACTTCCCCCCTGCTTTCCAATCGGACATCAGTCAGAATCACACCAACAATAACAGCTTATCCGTCGACAAATATCAATCAAGCGCCACAGGGCCGAGCTGGGTTCGGTCTCTGACCTTCCAGCCAGGTGTGGACTCTGTCCTGCATCAAACACCCCCCGTACCTCAGTTACCTTACTATCTACAGAATGGCCCATCAATACCCACTGTCTTGCCTTCATCGCTTCAATCGCCTCTCGGCCCAACTGCACCCGTTGGGACTGGTCCTTATGGACCGTACTGGCCGGACGGTGCGTATATACCATACCGTCCTGCTGCACAGAGGGATTCTCGTTTCATTGGCCCGACATTCTCAGCCGACACAACCTCCAACCATTTGTTCGACTTGCAGACTCCTATGCTGAATCAGTCTCCATCATACCCGGTATCAAATAACTTCCCTGATTCTGGCTTCTCATGGAATCAGTTACCATCCAGCAAACATGACCTTCTTTTGCAGCATAGTAAATTTCCTCCGCGTCACTCCCACCACCCTTCTTTGGGTAACAAAGACCAGCATCGCAATAATCCACCCTACCATGTGCGCGCTGCCAGCGGGTTGAATAATGCTGCTGCTAGACCTCTTTCACACACTACCTATAGCATTCCTCCTCCTCCTCCGTCTCTCGCGGATCCGCAATCTCGCGTGCAAACCGCTGAATTCAAGAAAAAGGTTCTAGCGTGGGCTCATGGCGTATACGTTGATCTTCTTGCCTGTCTCCACCATGCAAGGAAAAACAGCGTCTCAAACTCATCTGCAGACGGCAAGCCACAGCGAAACTTGAAGCCCGCCATCTTCCCCAAACCCCCCCGACAACCTGGACTGGATTTCTCTGGTCATATCGGCATGCCACGCCACAACAGCTATCCCTCGTCTAGGTTTGACATGCCCCCTCATGGATCGGGTCGCCAGGTAAATAATCGACAGTTCAACAATATGCCCATTTCTGGGCTCATGTTCGATCAGCACACTCACAGTAATTCACAGTTTGACGGTTTCCATACCATCCGCAAATCTTCTGCTACTTCCCTAGCGCAATTAACGGGCTCTGTTCCGTCCGAGAACACGACCATGGCTAGCGCTGCCTCTGCTCTTGAAATGCTATCTCATTTGTGCAATGAAAGCAATTGGGAGTGGATTGACGGTATGCTGCTTGGTGGTTGCTTGGCATATGGCCTAGGAGATTATCAAAAAGCGACTCGTTGGTATTCTAGGATTATTGCTCGAGATTCCAGGTACGTGAATCGGTTCTACATGTGTGTTCCGGCTGCTAATAATTATCAGACATGTTGAGGCTATCAGCAATCTTGCCGCAACGTTCCTTGCATTGGACCAAAAAGATGAGGCACTTCAACATTGGCTACGTGCCGTCAAGTTACGGCCTAGCTATTTTGAAGCCGTTGAACACCTGATCAATTTGTTATGCACTAGTCATCGTGGAAGAGAAGCCGTGAACATTATAAAATTCGTCGAGAACAGTCTACGTGTGCCACGAAATGGTGATTACTTGCGATCCGACGAGCATGCAAGCGAAACTGAAAGTGATGCCGAGAGCACAAATTCGTATGATCGCGTTGCTTTCGATTACGACAATGATCTAGATCATGCTTTGACCATGAGGATCAATCTTAATGATTCTATCTCGGCAGGCTTTGCGTCAAGTGGATTCGCGATCCCAGGTTCGGACAATGGTAGAATCCTTGCACTCGTCCATGCCAAAGGTAATATGCTCTACGCTCTGGGTGATAATGCAGGTGCCGCCGCTGCTTTCGAGGAGGCTATCTTGATTGCTTCAGGCCGCAGATGTCGCGGAATCACTGGGTTGATTAAACAGATTGTCGATGCTTTCTCCCGTAACGGATACGGTCGGTCTACTGGCGATGAGGATTTGAGCGGAAATCCTCTTCTACTTCCTCCGGAAAAGGCAACTCAAACCGCTACTCTAGTTTTCCCGCCTTACGGATATCCTCCAGGTCTTGAGTATGTGGCTGAGGGTTTGGCACGGAAAGCTGCAATCTCGACTACCAGTAATTCATTACTTTCGTTGGCTAAGATATATCAAGACGGCATGTCGAGTATATCTACCAGGGGTATTCCAAGGGGGGCCTCATCCGGTGTTAGAGATATCCTGGCTTTGTACTATCTCTCGTTATCCCTCCAACCTAGTCCATCCACCGCGAACAACGTCGGCATTCTCCTCGCCAGCCTCCAGCATAATGGACCGGCCAAGGTACGGCCACGCAGTATCACCGGGAAGTCTTTGATACCAGAAATACCCGGTGTTGCTCCTGATAGTGGGATTGCGCTTGCTTTAGCATATTATTCGTATGGATTGACACTCGACCCTAAGCATGCGCATCTGTACACGAATCTGGGCAGCTTGTGGAAGGATATTGGCCAGCTTCACGCCGCTATTCGCATGTACGAATTAGCTGTCCAATACGACGGTAATTTTGACATTGCGCTTGCCAATCTAGCCAACGCCGTCAAAGATGCCGGGCGCATCAACGATGCTATCGTTTACTATAAAAGGGCTGTCAAAGTCAACCCGGATTTTGCGGAAGCAGTTTGTGGACTGGCGAATGCTCTTAATTCTGTATGCAACTGGACTGGTCGAGGGGGTGTTCTCAATGGATATGGCTTTACGGATCAGGTGCACGTTGACGATAAGGGAATGCCTCGAGATGTTGAAAGCGTCCAAGTCGGCTTTGGGTGGATGAAGCGAGTGGCCGATATTGTCGATAAGCAGTTGAAGGATGGAGAGACGTGGGGTCGGGGTATGCTCACGACGGCTGCAATCGAACAACTATGTGCCCAAGTATCGTCCATGGCACAGTATAACGGCAACGCGCGGAAGTTGGTTTCATTGTTACAGTCCTGGGCTGGTCAGAAGTGGGAAGGATCGAGGATTGTTAGACTTGTGGAGCGTATCATTCGTTCCATCACTTGGCAATGGTACCAGGATTTTCATGTTCACGGCAAAGAATATCCACTGTCTAGGTATAGGCGGCCTCAGCTACCGGCTGGTCTGTCGGCACCGAACGCTCCGACCGTGCTTCCTTTCCATACATTCACCTGCCCTCTTTCTGCGAAACAGATTCGGCATATTTCGCAACGCAACGGTCTGCGTATTTCTAGTGCTACACTCCGCTCTCCTTGGCTGCCACAAACGGTGTATCCTCCGCCAAATCCGCCACAACCGTATTTGAAGGTTGGATACGTGTCGTCGGATTTCAATAATCATCCTCTAGCACACCTTATGCAGTCTGTGTTTGGATTCCACAATCCTAATCGTGTCAAAGCTTACTGCTACGCGACAACTGCCAGTGACAACTCTACACATCGTCAACAGATTGAGCGTGAAGCGCCGCAGTTTTATGATGCGAGCCGTTGGCCAATTGACCGACTGGTAGACCAGATTGTCCGTGACGGAATTCACATTCTGGTCAACCTTAACGGATATACTCGAGGTGCGCGCAATGAAGTCTTTGCAGCTCGTCCAGCCCCGATTCAAATGTCCTTTATGGGCTTTGCCGGTACACTTGGAGCCGAGTGGTGCGACTACATTCTCGCAGACGAATTATCTATTCCGCGTGACACATTGAGCCCTGGAAGACGCGAGTACCGTATTGAAGATCACATCTTTGAAGATGACCATGCGGAAGAAATGGAGAATTGGATGTATGGCGAAAGAATTGTTTATACTCGAGACACGTTTTTCTGCTGCGATCATCGACAGAGTGCGCCGGACAACGATGCGCCGCATATTGCATGGGAGCGAGAACAGGAGAGACGATGGAAGATGAGAAAGGAGCTTTTCCCGAGTCTTCCGGATGATGCCATCATTCTTGGGAATTTCAATCAACTCTACAAGGTATTCTACCCACCATATTTTTAACAGGAAACAAGACTAACACAACCAGATTGAACCGACAACATTCCGTACATGGCTCCGTATTCTGTCCGACATCCCCAAAGCAGTTTTATGGCTATTACGCTTCCCCGAACTCGGCGAACAAAATCTCAAAGACTGCGCCGTCAAATGGGCAAACGAAGAAATCGCCTCACGAATAATCTTCACCGACGTCGCGCCAAAACAAGCACACATCGCACGTGCACAAGTCGTCGATTTATTTCTCGACACCCCCGAATGCAACGCCCACACAACAGCAGCCGATATCCTCTGGAGCGGAACACCAATGCTCACCTACCCACGCTACAAATACAAAATGTGTTCCCGCATGGCATCAAGTATCCTGAGCAGCGCACTACCCGATACCGAAGCAGGCCATCAAGCCCGCAAAGAACTAATCGCCATCTCCGATGAAGATTATCGCGCAAAGGCGAGTCGATTATGTCGCGACTTGCATTACCCTTCTTCTTCTTCTTCCTCCAAAACTGGTAGGGGTGAAGGCAGACTGGTCGAATTACGTAAAATGCTATTTACGCATCGATGGCAAAGCAGATTGTTTGACACGAGGCGTTGGGTTAATGATTTGGAAAATGCATATGAGAGGGTTTGGAGTGCTTGGGTCAAGGGCGAAGAGGGTGATATTTGGTTGTAGCTTTTTTTTCCCTCTTCTTTTCTTTTCGTCTTTTCCATATACCCATGGGTTTATGTTTTCATCGTGATTTTATTTAGTTGATTGATTGGCTTGGCTTGGCTTGGCTTGGATTGGATTGGATTTTTTTTTTATTCCCCCTTTTGCGTTTTGGGCATGTATGTTTTGGTTTATATGTATGGGTCAGGTATCATCTGTATACTCTCGTATTTATTTTCACTGATTGATTGCACGCGAAAACGGAAGTGCATAGTATTCTTTTCTCTTGTGAGGGAGATTCGATCACAGGTTTATATCATGTATACATTGCTGTCAGCATACCTGCTTCATCCATGAATTAAGACCAGTTTCGTGGGCATCATTCATTTCATATTAGACTATATTTGTAGGTCGAGAACTAGCTATAATTCAACAACGATTCCTGAGCCCAATCAAAACTGTCTAGCCATTGCATAAAGTCTAGCGGTAGGATGTTGTCGTCTGGTTGGTAGGCATCAACTCCAGGGCCAGTGATGGATACAGCTGCGGGTGTTGGAAGTGTGGGATGATGGCCTGGTCCTTCTGGTGTCGGGGTATATGATGTGATTGATGGTTCTTGTATGATTATCGCTTGTTCTTGTTGATGTGGTGGAATAGACGGGGGAAGCATCATTTGCCCCGTCGAGTGCGAAGGATAAGCAAACTGCACAGTCTGCTTCTCCTCCTTCCCATCCTGAATAGCTCGTTTCTCTCCATTCCCATATCCGGGAACAGATTCTTGCTGCTGCTGCTCATCATACTCATCCGACGATAAAACTCGATCCAAAATATTCCTAATAGCATCTAACCCCCTCCTAGCAATCCCATAATTCCCATATCGAATATTTAGTGCTGTCTCCAATAAAGAAGCGAATACGCTTAGATTTTGAATGATTTCGGACCTGGGAAAGGGTGTTGTGTTTGGTTGCGCGATGGGCTGGAGACGATGTTGTTTGCGTTGAGAGCGTTGGAGGAGCTCTTGCGCTAGAACTCCGGCGCATGGGAGGCCAATGTAGCATAGCTATTTTTGATACACACATTAGTTGTGACTTTAAGAAAGGAGAAGGAGGACGTACATCCCAAGAAGATCGAAAACTACTCGATGACGCCGGTGTCCTCGACGAAACTAACGATAGCAACGTACTCAACATTTTCCGCGCGGCCTGTATCAATTTATCCTTTCGTTCGGGCATGCGTCTGATCTGTACGGAATAGAGTATAAAGTCATTATGGAGGAATTCGAGATTGATGATTTCGAGGAAATTGCAATTTGTGTCCTGGTTGCTGTGATGGAAGTTTGGGCGCCATTCGAGTTTTGATGGAAGGGATTGGCGGAGGTGGTCGTGTTCGGCGCATGTTGCTCTATTTTATGTCAGTCTATCCTTAGCAGGATGAGATAGGAGGACGGGGGAGGGACGTACGAAACTCGCTGTTCTAAATCGTCAGAATGTGGTGAAAGTGATAAGGCTAGAACCTTTTCTCGGATGATAGCAAGCATGATATTGACTCTTCCACGAGTGCCCGAAGTGACTGTATCGTCTAGATTCCAGCCGTCGGCACCAATGTGTCGAGAGAGATCATCTTTTCCCTCGGATATTTGGCAGATTGTCTCGTACGACAGATCTAACGGGTACTGTATATCACAATATCCCCATGCGATTCGTGGAGGCCGTCCGAGTAGAGTAGCCAATTGCTTATCCAGTGCAAACCCGGCTGACATTGCACGTTTACGAATCTCAAGCAGAAATAAAGGGACAGACGGGTCGGGTTTGGGACGGTGTAAGCCCAGAGCAAAGACTATTGTTGATAGATCTCCCAGTTTTCGCCAGGTTCGGTAGTCTATACTCATCAGTTATCTTCCTAGTCATCAGGACATGAAAAGAATTACCGCTATCTCCATGTACTTCACCAAGTAATATAGTCTGCTGCAACAGAAACCAAACCAAAGGATCACTCAACGTCCCCACACTATCACAAAACCCCAGACAAATCTCTGTAACCTCAACAGCAAGCTTTATCAACTTTTGCACATCGATAATCGACCCGTCCTCCGCCCGAAGCACTTCATGATCATCCGGAATCATGAGCGCCGCAACGCCCACCCACGAAAACACCAATCCAATCGATTCCCATCTTGCGGCAATCGACCTAAAGTATTCAGTAATCGTCATGGATGCATGCGTAGTAATAGGTTTTGCGCTATTTTCAAACAGTCGTTCAGACCAGATTAGGAGTTTTGTTTGGGAGAGTTTGCTGCTTCCGTGGCGCCATTCTTGACGTAGTGAGTAGACTCCGGCGAGTGCTTCGTTTACGAGCTTTTGACCGAAGACCCAGGGTTCCATGATTGTGAATCGGTGCTGGATTAGTTTTTGGTAGAGCAGGAGATCCTCGAGTAAGACGAGGATTCTGGCTCCGCATTCGATTTGGTCTGCGTCTGCGATTGCGGATTCGGATTCGGAGTCCACGACGGCCATTGTTTCGATGCCGGGTGGTGACTCGGTGTATCGTGATGAAGAATGCGCTGGAGTCGAATATGTCTGTGACGATTCAGTCCCTGATGCTCCACGATTACTACTACTCTCAGTAGGTTCGTCAAACGCCGCCCAGAAACTAGAAGGACCCAAGAATCCGGTCGAAAACACTGATTTCCTGAGCTTTATCGTTGTCTCGTCAGGTACGCCAGCAACAACCTCGCTTTGATCGGTCTCCTTTATTGCCTGATTTTGAGGTTGATGCTGATGTTGTTCATGTTGAGAATCTACAGCAGGAATACGATATCTCTGCAGAAAATTGGTCGATGTTATCCCCCTCTCCGTCAACAGGGACGGTTCTCGCTTCCTTTTCTTCTTAAGTTCTGACTTTTTGATGGCCAGTCGAGGCTGTGTCATAGGCGCCGGGTGGTATATACATGTACTCTGTTGACCTCTCTGAGTGCATCGACCACAGATGGGGGTTGCATGGTCACAACGTAATTTGGCCTAGCCCTAAGTCAATACATTCTCCTCCCCTTTCAATTGGGTGTAGTAGACAGAGATACCTTGCGACAAGGCTCGCACGATGATAGTTGGCCATTACGCCTTTTGGTCGTTGACATTTCTTTTAAATCAGTGCTACGCTTCAACTTCACGATTTCAATTTTTTGCCTGGTTTTACTCCGATATTGCTCAAAGTGAGGGAAAAGAGAGATGCGATGCTTGAATAGACCTGATATCGGGCTCGGAGTTGGAGACTGTGCGCTTGAACTCCGAAGGGTCTTTGAGCGCGGAGTGATTAATAAGCGTAGCTCGGTATTAACTAACTTAACTAACATAGTTAATTAAAGCAGATAAACTACCCCGAGTGCCTATGTCGCCGCAATGGAAGGATTTCTTGACTCTTTCTTTCTTTCTTTCTTTCTACAATTTTGATGCTATCTCGCTCTCACTTAGAGATGATGATGCTTCTTTCATGGCCTTTACATATTTACTCTTGCTATCTGCAGCTTCCAGGCTCAGTGTTGGAATCTTACTGTGGAAGCTGATGGCATGGAAGAACCGTTGAGGTTCTGTTGCGTGTAGTCAGAACTGGAGAGGATCGATACGATGATTTTCTATCTCGCACACAGCAGCTTTGTTTATTCCTGCCTCAGTCAGTTCATCTGACTGTGTCTGCAATGCAATACGGTAACCTTCACTCACGATACCAATCCAAGGGTCTGGCAGGCATCGCCAAGAACGCGATAGAAAGACATGTCTTAGAGTTACCTGACTAGCTCCATGCCAACAAGACATGTCTCAACTATCATACCACATTACCAACTATCTAACACGACCAAACTGCAGTCTTCCAAGGTTTTTCACCTTCGTCTGCTTAGCTTCTCAGCAAGCCATTGTCTTATCTCCTCCCGGAATTAGTGGAGAGAATGCTGGCGCATGATAAAAAAGCCGAAAAGGCATGATTCGGACAATCTAATTCCAGACTAATCATTTGCTGTTTTATTTGATGATTATCTAGCCAAGCAAATAAGTACTCACTAGCTGAGTCTAGCTTTAGACATGACTTCGCTTACTTACTGCTAGTCAAAGCTATCAGATGCATTTGACAAAGGGCATCACGCCAACGACCCTAACCGGGTAAGGCCGAGATTATCACGCTGTCAGTGTCTCTAGTCGAATGATATATTATTCCGTCGCGTTCCTGTACAAGACTTTGTATATTCTTTTTATATTTCTCCGATAAGATAATTGCAGTGCTCCATACTACGTATCGAGTTTTTGTTCAGGGTGTGCCACCGTCATGAAGGCAGGAGATCATCAACATCCAAACCCCAAGATATTACTGTCTTTCCGATACAGTTGACAATGTCTCCATCACGGCCGCAAAAAAGGCCCAAAACTCTGCGCAAATGGACTGTGAGATTGAGCGCGCTGTTTACCATCATTGCGACGTTGTTGCTACTGCTCGTCGAGCAACCATACTCTTCAATAAGAGATCTTAAACAACATCACTTACCATCAGTTCCCGACTATAGTTTGATAAGATCACCCGTCTCATTATTCAGTGCTGAGTCGGCGGATATTTGCACTCCCGGGTATATATTCTCTATCCCAGATGGCCGTTCCCCCACGATCGTTGATCAGAATGGCGAGTTGATCTGGCGGGAAAGACGCAATTCATTGACGCAAAATCTTCGCGTCCAGATGTTCCGCGGTCAGGACTATCTCACATATTGGATCAAAGAGCCATATAGCCATGGCTCATATCATATGGTAGAAACTACCACCGCTAATAAAGTGCTTAGACAATGCTAACTGGTTGATAGCTTGATTCTAGCTATACGACACGATATATCGTGACCCCCGTCGGCAGGATGATTGATTCCTTGCACGATTTCACGATAACACGCCGCGATACTGCTCTGATAGCAGCAAACTACAAACGCCGAGCCGATCTCTCCGTCATCGGTGGACCAAGAGACGGATGGATTCTGGATGCAGTATTTCAAGAAATCGACATCGTCACGGGGAACTTGCTGTATGAGTGGAGGGCTGCTGATCATGTGTTTATCGCAAATACACTACAAGCACTTGAGGATGGCGAAGGAACAGAGGACCACCCGTTCGATTACTTCCATATTACCGGCGTTGATCAAGGCCCTTCGGGTGCTTACCTCGTCTCAGCGGGGAATATGCGCGCGGTGATGTCGGTTGATGCAACTTCTGGTCAAGTTCAATGGAACTTGGGAGGGCACGCCAATGATTTCAGGGCTGGTGGTCGTCCGGTTGTTGATTTCGTATGGCCACATAATGCGCGATGGGGTGAGAATGCAACTGTGGCAGTGATGGATAAAGCGGATTCAGGTACAAATGATCGCGGCATGGTTATTCAAATAAATCCGCACACGGCGCAAGCTGTTGTACAACAAACATTCAACAGCCCAAAGGAGCCAAAGGGCTTTTCTGCAGGAGACATTCAGGTCTCGGAGGGAACAGGGAATGTGCTCATTAGCTGGGCCGGAGGTCGCGGGTTCAGTGAATACACCGCTGACGGTGAACTTTTATGCCAAAAACACATTTCGGATAAACTGTCTGGTTTTAGGCTTCTGAGATCTGCTGCTTCATCTCGTGTCTCTAAACACACATGGACCGGAAAGCCTCTAACAAAACCCATCATCAAAACCTCCGTACGCAGATTACATGTCCAGTGGAATGGAGCCACTGAAGTCGCCGAATGGCAACTCCAAGCCCGCAAGCAACTTCTTCCATCTAAACACAATGATCTCCAAGACCACGAAATCGGCCGCTTCAAAAAGACCGGCTTTGAAACTTCATTCACAGTGCCTCCGCTCAAAGGAAGTAGTGGTTACTTCCTCCGCATTGCAGCTCTAGACCAGCAAGGACAGATTATAGGCTATTCGGATGATGTCGAATGGCAAGAGGCCTGGACTGGCAGCGATTTGTCTCAGTCTCAGTTTCGATTTTTGGCTGGGGTGTGTTTGTTTGGCGGGTTGTTGACTCTATTGAGCACGCTACATATTCATATTCGATTAAGGAATCGGGAGAGGAGGATCTTGTTACCTTTGCATAAATTATGATAATGAAGAATGAATAATGAAGCAGAAATTTCAATTTCCAAGGGCATACCCTCGACGCTAGGAGTATGATCTATCCCCATGAATACTACGTAGGGCGTGCTTGGGAATCATCTAACCTCGAATAGGAAAAAGCACATCCCGTATCTGGGAGGACGTCGGCATCCATCAGGATGAGCTTCGCCGATTCATTGGCAAAATTTCTCTATAAATGGCCCGTGATGCTTATTTCCTCAATTTTACTTTCTTCTAATCAACTACTAACATACCGATAGAAGTTCTTTCAAAAATGTAAGCTGCATACAACCCTCATAGACCAATCTAACGCTAACTAACGTGAATATAGGACCTCGTTAATAACAAACCTCGGTCTCGCAGCCAACAATTACACTTCTGCGTTCATCCTCTGGAATTGGGCATACGCATATCTGCTCACGTCCCCTCGTACTCTCACAATCCGTGCCGGACTTGACCACAACGAGAATCCACGCTTTGATCTCGCCAAGTACGGCGAACGCGCTGTCACCGAGGGTAAATTGACCCGCAAAAGGCTTCAGCAGATACAGCGAGCGCAATCGGCGCATCAGAATTCCATTGAATCTTTTGCTTTGTTTGCTAGTACTAGTACGTACTCTCCTCCTTCCCCGGTCATGTCATTTCAGTTGATTTGGGTCTGATACTCTTGGTAGTGGTTTTGATGAATGTGGCCAAACTTGATGCTGAAACTATTAATCTGATTGGTGCGCTGTATTCCATCTTCCGTGTGAGCTATGTAAAGGCGTATTACTATATTGAGGATCGGCATTTGAGTATTTTGCGGTCAATTGTGTGGCATTGTGGTAACTTTAGCTGCTTCTATGGGATTTGGTAGACTGGCAAGTCTCTATAACTGTCAGATCCATGTATGAACTATCTATGAGATTGAGTATGCACATGACAGAATACTGTACAGTTAGTTTCGCCGCAAAGGCCTATGCAATAGACATCTTCATACCCCCATTCGCACAAACGACACTACCAGTTGTCCATCCACTTTCCTCAGTACACAACATAACAATCGTCCCCGCGATCTCACTCGTAAAACCCGGTCTTCTCCCTCCCATACCTTCTCTAACCGTCTTATCAAATCTCTCCGCATCATCTCCCGCAGCCTTCAACACTGCCTCTTCCCCATTATAAGCCGCCAGGGGCGCGGCATCAACATAGGGCTGATTGATTTTCCAAAACTTCTCACCAGCCTGCGCATACATGTCACCCCACGCAGGGCCCGGATTAACGGCGTTGACAGTAGCCCTGTCGTACAACTCTCGACTCCAGCAGCGCGTCATTGCTTCCAAGGCCGCTTTCGTGCCAGCATACACGGATTGACCCTCGTATCCAATTGAGGAAGAAACACTAGACACATTCACAATCCTTCCTGATCGATCCGTAGGCAGAAACGGGGCGAGAGCTTGAGTAAGTAATAGTGGTGCCAGAACATTGACATTGTACACCCGATTATACTCCGTGATGTCTATGGGACCCTTTGTAGCATCGTTGAGGAATTGATTGGATCCCACACCGGCATTGTTGATTAGGATATCAACTTGTAGTTCTTTGCCGTTACTAGCAGCAGGACTTGGTGAGTATGATTTGTAGAATACCTTTGCGGCATCGACGATCTTTGGTATAGCGTTGACGGGATCAGTGAGGTCTGCTTGTACACTGGAAATGTGGATTTTGTGGGTTGTCGAAAGCTCAGAGGTGATTTTGTCTGTGAGTGCTTTGGATAAGTTTGAGGTGTAGACGATTAGAATGTTGCAGCCTTTGGCTGCTAAGCGTCTGACGACTGCTTCTCCGATTCCTGGCTCTGTCAGGGTCGATCTTTATGCAAAGGGTTGAATGGAGAGATATACCTCGAGAGCCGCCGGTGACGATACCCAGCTTTCCTTCGTGAGTTCTGTATACCATGGTCTATCCTTTTCTATAGTTTCTATGTGAGAGAGTGTTTACTGTTGATGTGTCGTGAAATCTGATGACTGATGGGTAAGTTTCTCGGCGAGTCTCCGCACGGAGTTCTCCCCACATTACGATGCCCCCTCACGTGCAAACTACTCTAAAGACATCTATACAGACATGGATGTATTCCTGTTTGTGCATGAGGTGGACAAATCAACTATCTCAAAGACTTCTAAGGAGGTACATTTTTATCTGAGTGGGTTGCATGTTGTGTTCCTCGGAACATAGTACAACTTTTCTGTGAACCTCTCCCGCCAGAATAAGTCCATGTTTTTTCACAGACAGGACTCATTGATATATATTATTACGGCAATGTATAGTCTTAGTCATCGAACCAAGTGACACATTAGGTGTATCAGCAACTTTCTGGTGGTGCTCCCACTTCAGCAAAAACTTCCAGTACGATGCCACACGATGGGATACACAATCAATGATCCGGGACATCTTCTAATGCAAACTCGCAACTTCAATCGCCGTGTTAATATATGGCTTGAAAATGCACTGAAAGCTGCCCACGTCACTTCTAGAGTTGGTGAAGCCGGTTGGTAACACCAAGATAATATCCGTGATCTGAAACTCCGGTGATGTGTAGCGTCGGCTGTTGCACCGAGGGCATCGAGGATACGTACTTGTAAAGGGTTGCCGGTGAGAACCAGTCCTTCATATTTCCAAAGTAGTATCCGTCATGTCAAGTCTGATGAAGACGTCTTGTCCAAAGCCAAGGAGTCTCCTCCTCCTCGTCCTCCTCCGAAGGGGCCCCCACGGATACTGCAGGACGTGATCAGGATGTTTGAGTTATCGGAAAGAGTATATACGCTGCACTCTGTTCACGATGCTATTTGTGACTGTCCTGCATCATGTGAGATTATATCTGATGATGCATTGACCATGGTGATTCTTGGTTGCTCGGTTGCGAATACAGCCCTGAAACGGCAAAGGGGACGGATATTCTGTACGAATCGTTCTGGGAATGTGATCGCAGTATAAACTTCGACAATCTTTTTCAAAAACAGAAAGACCTATTGTTGCTGTTGTGAGAAGCTATACGCTTCTGGACGGCCCTGAGGATCTTAGAGCTCCCTACAATCCCGGTTAGCACTCTCCCTATGAAGGGCGCATCTTCGCAATAGCTCTCAGACTCTGTATTCTTTCCTCGCATGACATAAGGGATCTCGGTATAGCAATCCAAAGAGTAGAATTAGTACGCACTATTGCGGATGGCCAATGGCTCTAACGACAGGATTATGTCCTGGCCTTGAAACCGCTGAAAGTCTCTTCGTCAGTATCTCAGCGACGGATCCAAATCTTGGCACGCAAATCCCTATATGGATCAGAGTCAGGGGTAGATACTACCAAAACAGACCCAATATTCACAATAATCGCACCCTATGTTGCAAGGCTAGAAAGCCCTCGATATCAATCAGTGATTGGCTAGCTAGTTTCGTTACGAGGATATGTGATCTGTCCAGAGTGGAATCAGCAAGTCCGAGACAGCGCACGATTCAGCTCTTATCGAGTATGAACCCCGGTGCGGCTGTTGGGTTTTTGGCACTAGTGCACGGAGCTGCTACTATCTACATTGCTCCAAGAGGTGATGCGACGTAGTACGCAGACAAATCACATGCCAAAGGGCCATGGATACGAGAGTCTAATAATATGGGCCGTGCAAAATGTTCTAAACGTGCCCTGCGACAAGCAGAGATGATGTTATCTGTATCCTTGTCACGGCTCGATCTAGTCTAGTCTCTCAGTGCCGCCCTTGACCCCGGCTAAATGTGAAATGGGAAAGTCGGAGCCCTGGGTCAAAGAGTCAGACTGGTGGGTTAGTGAAGTCTGGATCACAATCCCGAATATCAGGAGACCCTGGATGAGAACTTTTTGATATTCCTTGCTATGTATATCATATCATATCATATCATATCATATACTTCGGAGTCCAAACCTCAATCTTACCCCATTGCCACGCGACCTCATCCCCAGATAAACAACGAGGAAAACGTAATGCCAGATCCCACTATTGAGTAAGAGAAACAGATAAAATATGCGGGGGAGCCAACGATATCACAGCGGTGACAGGTATAAGATCATTAGGATGCGCGATATATTCTTATTCTCCTTCCTATCCTGAAGCAGATATGAGATCCTGGAGAAGATAGATAGAGCGGGGCGGCTACACACGGTTAGCGGTGGGACTACTAACTAGTGCTGCCAAATTGGGATTTTTCTCTGGTAATGGATTGCTGAACTGTCCATTTATGCGATTATTATGTAGTATTCGAGATGTTACGCTCATATGTTTATCTATGTGTATATATATAAATATATATACATTCATATCATCTATACAGACGCAATATGCGTATAGGAAGAGAGTCGGATAAGCTGAACGGCCATCTATCGGGCCTCTCTCTATGGACAATGATCCCAAACAAAGCAAATGGTAAAATTCCACGCTAGAAACAAAAAGGAAGGTCCTAGAAGGAAATTCCCTTCGATTCTTAGTGCAAAGTCAAAAACCAGACGGAATCAAGCTTCGAACGACCCATTTGGGCTGTATTGGCACGAAGCTTCATATTCTCTGGGCGTGCGTTTGTGGCGCGAGTAGGTTCGGGATATTCGGAATTTGGCGCTGATTCTATACAAGTTTTTATGAGGTTTCTCTCTCGCTGTTGCTGTGTAAGTACGTACGTACCTTTTTTAATCAAATCTACCACGTAGGAAGAAAGTGTACGGATATTGCGGAATAGGCACTATTGGTTGAGCAATAAGAACGCGATCTAGTGCGATGAATTGAGTCAATTGACCATTTCCAACCCTCGATTATCAATCCTTAGCAAATTATATGTGTGTGTCAATTTGAAACGACGCTTTATCGGAGCATGGGCATATATAATCATAAAAGTGTGGAGGTCTAAAGCCGCTCTCTGATCACTATCAGGTCTTCTAGAAGGCCGACTTCGCGGCTTTACCACGTGTCTTCTGGCCCGATCCGGTGACATTTGTAATTCTGTACGTACAGATTTCCATAAAATGGCAACGCCATCTTTACGTGGTTAACGAAATTTTCTTTTCCTTTTTTTTTTTTTTTTTTTTAATTTTTTGCTGTAGTGGCCACTGGTTGGCTTGGTAATTCTACGGTCAGCCGCAATGGATGGCGACGTGGGTCACAATTTGACCTGATTTGGTAGTGTCTCCTTACGTTACATTCAACCCTTTTGCTGCTGTTTATCGGCGTATTGGAGATTCATCACCAGAGACTATTGAATACGCAGTGGATACATCCATCATGCAATTATCCATAACGGATCCTGCTTCTTTCGTTGCCAACTGTCCGGAGTACACTCGATACATACTGTGTGTACTTTGCTGACTGTCCTTCCGGAAAGCTACCTTGTAAGCCCACGGCGTTCGCCGAACCACTTTTTCTCCTCTCTCGGATGAGCCTCTGGATCATAGTCCGGGTTTGGTTAGAGCCTGCCCAGGGACGCCCTCAAAACAAGCCTTTGCTACTGGCTTGTCTGATGGAAGTCTTAAGACCCTAAGATAGCGGTTGCCGTGCTAATTGGTTGTCGGCATCTGTGGCGTGAGAGAAAGCTTTCTTGGTTGAATAATCGCTTAGTGGCCCAGAGTGAGGTTCCATCGCTCTCTTAGCTTGAAGTTTAATACGGAGTAGAGCGCAATGATAAGCTCACCAATCAACCAAACTCTTCCATTGTGATCACCTTCCCGATATTCCCACTAGGGTACTATTTAGTAGTATTAATGCAGCACCGCTCGCCCGTTTGAATTTTTCCCATACTCTCTTTTGCTTTTCTCCCTTCTTCTAGTAGCTGCCAAGTCAAAAGTCTGTCTGTGACAAGACTTTTTTCTTTTTTTTTTCTGTTTCCTTGCTTGTCAATTGATCACTGATCCCATTGATCATCATGGCCCAGCCTGCCAGTGTTCTTGGCGATCGTGGAGATCCACGTCTCCACGAGAAGGAGCGCGACATTGCCGATGCCTTTGAGGCCCGGGCAGTTCGCGGAGGCGTCCATCCTCAGCATCGTCCTCTTCACGATAGCTCTGTCACCTTCGAGGAGTACAATTACTATGCCCAGCTATCTCGTGCTGAAGAGGATACCTACACCGACCACGACCGAGAGCGTGGCTGGATTTCCCTCATCTTCCCTTCCAAGTCCGATGCTGGTGAAGCGGTCAAAGATGCCGCTGCCGTTAATACAAGCGACAAGAACGTCACTGCTGGCATCACCGATGATGAGTGGACCAATGCGTCTCGTGCCCTGCGTACTGCTACTCGAGGTGCCATTTTCTACTTGATTACCACTGATATCCTGGGTCCTTTCGGTTTGCCCTATGCTTTTGGAACTATGGGTTGGGGGTGAGTTGAAACGTCAAAAAAAATCTTTTAAAAAAACCCCGCAATTAAATGCTTATTTGTCTAGTCCTGGTATTGCTCTGTACACTGTTTTCGCCGGTCTCGCCATCTACTCTGGTTACCTACTTTGGGACGTCTTCATGGGTTTGGATTCCTTCCACTACCCCATTCGTCACTTTGGTGATCTCGGTTTCCGTCTCTACGGTCCCTGGATGCGCTACTTGATCAACGTCCTGCAGAGTATCCAACTCATTCTCAACGTTGGCTTGATTGTCATCTCCAACGGTGAAGCTCTGTCACAAGTTGCCAAGTTCAAACTCTGCTTTATTGTCTGCTGTTTAATCTGGGCCATTGTTGGTTTCCTTGTGGGTCAAATTCGTACGCTGCAGAAGTTCGGCTGGATCGCCAATGCTGCTGTCTGGCTCAACTTGATTTGCATGTTCATCAGTATGGGAGGTGCTGCTAACGGCCCCCCTAACTATGCAAGTGTCAGTTCCTCTGCTGGTCAGATTATCAATGGTGGTATCTCTGTCCAGAAGCTACCCGACAATTCTTTCCCACCCGTGCAGACGTCTGGTGGTCTTCCCCACTCCGACAGCTTCGCCGGTACCATCAGCGGGGCCATGAACGCCGTCTTTGCTTACGGTGGTGCTATGGTCTTTCCTGAGTTCATGGCCGAAATGAGGCGTCCCAAGGACTTCTTGACCGGCATGTGGGCTGCCCAAGCTTTCATCTACTTCTGGTACATGTTCTACGGTCTCTTTATGTACGGATACCAAGGACAGTACGTTGTTAATCCCAGTTACTTGGGCGTCAGCGGATACGCAGTCCAGACTGCCGGTAACGTTTTCGCTTTCTTGTCTGCCGCCATCGCTGCAGCTCTTTACGGCAATATTGGCGTCAAGGTCTTGTACAACAGTATATTCGTCGAGCTCTTCCGCTTCCCTCCTCTCACCACCAAGGGCGGTAAGATCGCATGGGTTGTCCTCATCCCCATCTACTGGTCCGTTGCCTTTATCCTCGCCGCTTCCATCCCCAACTTCAGTGGTTTGACATCCGTCGTTGCCTCTTTCTGTATACTGCACTTCACCTACAGTTTCCCTCCCTTGTTCGCTATTGCATTCTGGGCCAAGAAGTTCGGCATGCAGGAAGGTGAGGGTTTCCAACCTGAATCTGGTGAAGTTGTACGCCGCGACTCTGGATTCCGTCGTTTCATCCGTGGATTCTTCTTCCCCGGCTTCGCGACCAGCAAGTACTTTTACATGAACGTTTTCAATATCATCTACTTGCTTGGTGCTCTTGCTCTCGCTGGTCTTGGTTCTTATTCTTCTATCGAGACTTTGAAGGATGCATTCGCCAGCAGCGTCACCACCTCTTTCACTTGTAAGAGCCCTGTGGACAATTAAATGTCCGCTGAATTGTCCCGTTGACGTGCTATGTTCTGGTGAAATGTGTCATCGATCTAGAAAAGAGGTACGGTTTGTAATATTCAATACCATTTAATTTAATTGCTTTCAATTATGTATTCAGATCGTCCCGAGGTACAAAAAGTAGGGCTTTGTTCATCACGTGTTCATCAATGTTATACGCGGCCTTTCATTGTATCGCCCTACCGAACGAAGTATGAATGCGTATCTAGGTAGTAACAGCCTTGTCGAAAACACTACTTATGTAGGTAATTGGGTCGATGTATCACAAGATCGATCCCTGTCCTACCTAGGTAGCGATACTGATTCAATCGACGGTCTGAAACGAAGTATCATTTTTGTATTCCGAGGTTCTGTCAAGAAATAACCTTGGAATTCAATTGATGAATGAAGGTACCATTAAATTTAATTCGAAGAATAGTAGGGTTATTGATTGCTAAGGTGCAGAAGCTTAGAATCTAGAGTGTCCATTGATATCTGAAACTTGTCCCAAATGTTCTGCAACGTATCATACTGTACGAATGACCCACACTCAAATCGCCCTTGCACTCCTGTCTCTCTAAGAGCTTCCCCGTAATCCTCTATAGAAGGGAATCCAAAGGTAACGATCAACCCTCAAAGACCACTCTTTACTAGAAGATAACGATGCTACTGCGACTGGGTACTGGTGGCTCTAATACCGGGGCCGAGTGAAAAGGGCCATCAGAAATTCGATCCAAACTCCTTGAATTCACTTAGACCCTTCACTGGTGTTGCAGCCGTCGAAAGGTGCAGACTTGTCTTCCATGTTTTCACATCTTCAACCTTGACGGGAATCTTCGCGCTGGACACTGAAGGCTCATGTCTATTGACTGCTACAATGTTTTGCTCTACACGCAACGCTAAAGCGTTGGAGTTTTCTTCAGGGGCGGCATTTTCTTCTGCTGCTGCTGCAGAAGCTCCAGTAGATGCCTGTGCAATAAGATGTATAGACAGTTTCGCGCGAGTTGAAGAACAGGGATGGATGTACTGGTTGAAAAATTCGAGTATGTCGTTTTTCGTAAGTGGTTCAATGTTTTCGACGTCGCGAAAGACTGTTGAGATTTGGTCGATCGAATTAGTCAATCTACAGGGACGTAAAGTAACAGTGAAGGTTACATAGATTGGAAGGGTTTGGAAAGTAGCATAACGTACCTTGCTCAAAGTCAAACACCTCACTCGTAATATGAGTCCAAAAGCGCAATGTTTCTTGACCCAAGTTCTTCAATTTCTCCAAGCGTTTGTTGATCAATCCGATCTTATGCTCCTCGAACGTCTCGTCGGTCATGGCGCGCAAATCCCGCTCAAGCTTCACCAAAAATGCATCACAGCGCTCTTCGAGGTACTGACAATCCCTCTCGCTCTGCAGGAGGATGCGCCATGTGCCGACAGTCACATAGATGCCTGAATCCGAGTTGACGATATATCCGAGCTGCTCTTTTGTGCGCAGCGTGTTAAAGCACGGCTCGTTGGCAATCTGGCCGAAAAGTAGCAGCTTGGCTCGTTGCGAACGATCCGAGACAGAGCCGACTGAGATGATATACTCGAGGCAATGATTGACGTTATCTGGGTTCTTCAATACGCGCTTATACAGGTAGTTTGCTCCGCTTGGTAGCGCAATCGCGCGGCGTGACGGCCACTGGCTCTCTGGTAATCGACGTGGGCTGAGTGTTGATTCCACAAGTTTTGTAATGTTTAGCGCGTCTTGTTTATACAAGTTGCCATGGACAAGGATCTCAATGTGCATCTGTCGCAGCAGCTCGGGAAAGTACGAGCGCATATCCTCGGCTGTCACTGCTGGAAGCTCCTCGAGCATTTGAAAGGGAGCCCAAGATCTTTCGCTAATCAACATGCGGGAGAAGGCATTGATTTGTCGGTACGGATCCCTGTAGTCAAAGTTCTTATACCCTTTTGTCACTCTTTCCTTGACCACGTCGAATAGCTCTTGCTTGATTTCCAAATCGCGTACTCCCAGTAGTACTTTCTCCAAAAGCAGCGACATCTTGTCATTGAAACCGTCTATTTCTATATTTAATCCCTGTGCGCTTTCGAATAGATAATAGCTCAAACCGGCTATATCTGCGTCGTAAACGTATTCATCGAGGCTATCTTTGACCAAATCAACGTATAAACGGGTCATGACGGCATTCATAGGCGTGAGCGAGGCCACGGGGGACCGAAGCAAGAGCTTGATATTGGCTCTGGGCACCCAGAATTGATCGTCCTTTTTGAACCAAACTCGAACATTGTCGTCATGGCGGATCAGCGTAGGGTACCGAGCTGGTTCTGTGACATCCTTTCGTTCAACCTCTAACCGTTGCGGAACAAATTCGTTCACAGCTGGCAAGTGAAGTTTAGAGGGCCTCTCTGTGGCCGGAGCCTGAGCAGCGGCCCAGAGATCCTGCATGAGATCTTCAGGAATTTTTTCGAGCTTGTATTCGGTCTCGTACCATTTTTCATTTGCGTCCCAATCTCCCGGAAACTGCTGATCAACAACAAAGAATCGAAAATTATCAGGACGTAGATGGGATAGGCCGCGCTCGATGTTTTCCGGATCAAACTTGCGAATGAGGGAAGGGCTCAGTAAATGCTCGCGTGGTATACCAGCTTTCTGCATGAGCTGGGCCAGACTGTTCACAGTTTGGAGTGGAGGGCTTTTCTGCCTGAACTTGAACTCCACCTCAGCCAAGCGGCTCATTTCGTCCGAGATCCAGGCAAGTGGTGGGCTCTCTTTCAGCATAGCAATATACTGGAAGATGATTTTTAGGACCTCCCGGTATTGCTGCACGCCCTTTTCAGTGAGTCGGGTTTCAACGCGGAAAGTTGCTGTGCCGGGACACTGAGTAGAAGCCTCAGCGATCAAAAAGTCGGCGAGACCCAGCTCCTTCAGATACGCAAGAGCACTGCCAGGGCCCTCATGGCCAATCAGATGTCCCAGATATCGACTGGGGTGGGAGGCAAAGAGTTCTTCTTCATCGGGGTATGTGAAAGCCATATGTAACAGTCTTTGTTCCATCACCGGTTTTACAAAGATTTGAGTCATGAGCTGCGGCTCATCCAAGGCTGGTATACCGTCCCACCTCAAACGGTGCAGGTTCTTGTTCGGTACGTCAGAGAAGAGCTCCCGAACCCAGCTCTCTAATTCCTGCAGTGACTCTTTACCCAGAACAACGAGCTTCATACGGTTGGCCGAATAATGAGCCTCATGAAACTCGATGAAGCGCTTCCGAATATCGACGCCCCGCGACACCGGTTCCTCACGCAAACACTGATAATTGCCGGCGGCGAATTTGTGGATGGGGTGTTTGTCACTCGAAGTGCTGCCGCTCAGTTGTATCAGCCGCCACGTGTCGCTTTGAAGATTTTTCTTATACTCTGAATCCACAGCACGGAGCTCGCGATCTAGGGTATCGGCGAGAAAGAGTGGCTGGATGAAGAATTGTGAGAAACGATCGAGAGCGCCATACAGAGGAGCCTTGTCTTTGGCGATTGGAACATTGGGTTGCTTTATATTGGCGGATGAGCCTGGATGATTAGATGTTGAACTCGCAGATAGTTCGAAATAGTAATTGGTCGATGTCGAGGTTGTGTAGGCGTTGGAGTCACCACCATACTTGGTTAAATACGTGCTATACTCGTTCTCTCCTGGATACTAGGCGAAGCAATGTCAGTATTTGTCTTGGTTCAATACGCTATTGGGGTTTCCAATATGTCTGTATATCGGTCGCTCACCTTCTTCGTACCCATGAAACAGAAATGTTCTACCGCGTGCGCGGTCCCCGGCAGATCATCTGGATCGCTGAAGCTACCAACGTTGACATCCATGGCAACAGCAGCTTTATCAGTGTCTGGATCGTGGATCAACAGAATCTCCAACTGATTGGGCAATTGGATCACCCGGTACGATCGGTCGTCCAACAGCGGCTTCTCCATTGGTTGTTGTGACTGGAAGCTGGAATTGCTGCAGTTATGCTTTATGCTAGCAGAGGCGGCACAGTTGAAAAATGAAGTCTGGCGATGGCACTCTATGTGCGAGTTGGCTCAGTTTGAGAATTCTCATAACAGCCCACGAACCGGTGGCGAGTCAGTCGACGGAGGAGTCCACCCCTCCCCTCCCTCCTCCCTTCAAAAGCGCTGAGTTTAGGACCGGACCGGATCAGGGGAATCTTACGGGAACGGGTACGGTATGCATGGGACTCTTCCAAACAAATGCGATTTTGATCTAAACCCGATCGAGAACGTAGGGGCCCACGTCAACACTCCACATTGAATGGAGTACTCCGTACTAGGGCTGCGGGCCCCGGCAGCGTGGGGGTCCACAGGCCCGCTTCAAGGTCGACGCCAAAAATGCCTATGCTACCTGTCGGAAATCAACTATGCATAAAATACTGTATTATACTAGCCCCATTCAGTGGTCTCCCTTTTTGGCATAGTGGTCAGAATTTGCAAACTGTCACTACCTACCTAGATAAAGAGGGAGGGTTGGTTAGAAGCTTCCGCTGGCTGACTAATAAGTTGAGAATCCCCCGATACAAAAAGCTCGCTTTGTTTCACAATGTGCCTCTCTTCCTGCCTGCTCTCTCTCTCGGCAGTTGAATAAACACTGTTTGCGTACACCCCTCACTTGACAATTATGTCTTCCATCGACGAGGCTCTCATCCACTCAGTCCCCATTTTATCTTCAGTCGAGCCGCAGAAATTATCAGGCAAAGAGCCTATAACTGTGGTGGAAAGCAACAATGAAAAGTTCGCCGAACAGCCATTGGAAAATCCTATTGGAGACAGCAACCCAGATGTCGTCCTTGTGGACTATGAGGAGAACGATCCGGAAAACCCTTTGAATTGGCCGCCAATGCAAAAATGGCTGATTGTGTTTGCTGTTTCGTGGATGGGTTTCGTCAGGTGAGAGCGTCTTTTTTTTTCGCCAGTCTCTGAATATCTGCCGTCGTCGACTGACCGAATTAGTGTCTTTGCGACAATGACCATCACGCCCACGGCACCGCAGATCTTGCAAGAGTTCCATTCGCACAGTACGTTCGACCAGACCTTGCTCGTCACGATTTGGGAGCTCGGGGAAGGGATTGGCCCGTTTTTCATTGCGCCGCTCTCCGAAAGATTCGGCCGGCTTCCCGTCTTCCACATTGGAAATCTCCTCGCGCTCTGTTGCTTGATCGCCTGCGCTCTGAGCGTGAACATTCCTATGGTGATTGCGTTCCGATTCTTAACCGGCTGCTTCCTGTCGATTCTCACCCTCGGGCCCGCCATCGTCGGGGATTTGTTCCAAATGGAACAAACCGGCCTGACCATGGCATTGGCCACGGGAACTCAGATGATAGCAGATTTCATCTCACCTCTGGCAGGAGCGTATATCGCACAGGACCTGGGCTGGCGATGGTCGATTTGGCTAGCAGCCATCGTGCTCGGGTTCTTCAGCTTGTTATTACTGGTCGTGCTCCGGGAGACATATGCAGTCGTCATTCTGAGGAGAAAGGCAGAGCGGCTACAAAAGGAGAGCGCGGGCGGCAAGAAGTATCGTTCCAAACATCAGGCCCGTGTCGATGCATCCACCATATTCGAAAGCGTCATGAAGCCGATGCACATCCTGTCAAAGTCTCCCATCCTCATGCTAACGACGAGCTACATGGCCACAAAATACGGCTTAGTCTCGTTGATCATTGCCACAATCACGGAAACCATGGAGTCGACGTACCCTACCGTCTTTAATAGCGGCTCTATTGGCTTGACATTTTTAAGTCTCGCCATCGGCAACACCATCGCTTTGATCTTCTACAGTCTCACTTCCGACCGCTACGTGATCTATGAGCGGGAAAAAAAGGGCGACGCATTCAAGCCCGAGTCTCGGCTGTTGCATCTGCTTGTTGCCGTAATCATTCTTCCTCTGGGTTTCCTCATCTACGGATGGACATTGGCGTTTCATGTTCATTATATCGTGCCGCTCATCGGAACGTGTCTTGCGGGGTTCAGCATGACGCTTTCCACCTTACCGGTCGAAACATACGTGGTAGATGTTTACAAGATCTATGGGGCATCTGCTATAGCTGCTGGTGTAATCTTCCGAGCGACTGCTGGGGCTTTTTTGCCATTAATTGGCCCTCCTTTATATCAAAGCATTGGGTTGGGTTGGGGTAACTCTATTCTAGCATTGATGGCAGCCGTCTTCATTCCCCCTTTGGCCTTGCTGATGAGATACGGAGACTGGTTTCGCAGCAAAGAACGATTTGGATCGTCTGAACGATAGATTGATTGTCATCCACAGCAAACGTTAACGTACTCGATCAGAAAGCGATATATACCAGTAACTATGCGATACACAGAATCTCTGTGTTACGACCCATAAGACTTTCGGCTTGAGGCTCAGCAACTTCGCTTGCACAGAGAACTGCCAGCAAGTGTCACGCAATAAAGTTCAGGAGCTGAGAGGGGACAATAGGACTCTATTAAAATCTAGCGGTACAAAAAAAGTTTTATATAAGCAGCAGTATTTCTTTAGTAAATAGGAGAGTTTTCTACTCAACTTGAATAGTTATTTTTTTTATACTAATACTTATAACTAGACTACTTGAAGTCGCGACATTCAGTCAAAATAAACAAACACTCTAGCTTCAATACTCTCTCGCAACTGCTTGTTGTCACTATTCCGAGGATCTCGAAAAGCCGTATGGGGAACTCCTGCATTGCAGTGTCAAGAGTCAAATTCTCTAGAAGATACTAGAAGATAGGGGTAAAAGTTCCATCATACCTGCTCGGTTCTCTGCTTCGGAATCTGCCTGTACAAAGGCGATTACCTCGTCGACTTGCAAGCCGTGCCAGTAGTACCATTCGTGCTTCTCGTCAAAGTAGATGCGAGTATTCTCGTTAGCAAAATTACGACTAACGACATCCATTGCAGTGGTCTGAGATGCGTAGTCTACTGTACGGCGGTCGCAAAGCGTGAGCGGAAAGTCATATAATGGCCCTCTTATTGGCTTCCATAGGCTGGTGAAATGGAAAGTAAGCTCCTGGACATGGTTTTCTGGGAATCTGGGACAGATATATATATATACTTTACAACGACGAATCTTGAATAATCCTTGGGGTGGATGTTGAACTGCTTAATACCGCATTTTGTAGCCGAGGAGGCCGTCATATCTAAAACGGATCAGCGTACGAAGTTCAAAAAATTATATAAGTGCGATTAAGAGCACGTACCAATGTGCACATAATCACTCGGTTGGTTTGTCTTGAGATGGTGTCGTTCTAGATTCTCAGACATCCAACGAGGGTCACGTTTGCGAATCTGGCTCCGGTCAATTCAGCCTTTTTGAGCCCTTTCTTTCTCTTCAGGTCTTTTGCTTACTGCGTGCTCTAGGACTTCAACTCGCGCAGCATTTGGGAACAAAAACTGGGCAATCGACTTGTATTTGGGATATAGGATTTCTTCTACTTTGTTGCGATACCAATACTCCTCAGGGGTCAAAGGACAATCGAGACGCAGCTGAGCAAACCCCCACTCGAAGAACATGTCTCTCGACGGGATGCCCAGACTCCGAGCATTACGGATCTGGACAAAATGATCATCGGCGGTTGTGTTTGTTGGAGCAAGGTCGTAGTCGTAGTCGAGGTACAAATGATATGGTTTCACCAGCTGGTGCTGGTCGTCTCTGGCAAGATACTGGATCTTCGCTTTGACCGAGTCATCAGAGTCAATAGTGGCCATTGCTGCTATGTTGCTCCCTTTAGGGCTCTAGGCATTCATTCAACGACAACGTTCTTGTTTAGATATTACCTAGGAAACGAGACGCGATTCCAGTAATATAAGCGGGTTTGATTCTTTGTAGTTTTGCGGCAAAAGCCGGTTACTGCTTCTCGAACCGGAGGAAGGGCTTCCGGCTCCGTGCTGGAAGTCGAGTTGTGGCTGTAGGCCCGACATGTAGCATGTCCGTCAGCATGGGTGGTGATGATCGGTCACGAGCACAGATCTGTAGAGTTAGCTAAGGGTTGACAAGAAAACTAATCCAATTCTTCGAGGTATCTAGATACCTAATCTCTGATTGTTTCCATCGACGTTAATATTTCGTGATGTTTGCAATCAGCACTAGCACGTCCTGGGCAAATACACCGTGCCGCGTTGCCGAGCGCGTCACACGACAATGGTCCATGGAGGACTATCGAGATAAGGCATCCATGTCGACATTGATATTTTGTTGATATTGTGATAAAGCACTATCACGTTTTAGGCAAACACATTGACCATCGGCGTCTCAGCCGCAATGCTACCATGGACAAGGGATGGGACGATGGTGATAGATTCTAAGATATTGGGTTTGCAATCTGGATGGGCAGTATCCAGATGCCTGCTGCTGAGTCGTCTTCAAGGACTGTGACCAATAGCTTCTAACCACGACACACCTTCACCGGGACTGCCAACCCCAGCGAGTGGTCTCTATCCCCCACATGTTCTTTCATATACGGCACCCATCCTTCAGGCAACAAGCCTTATACTTGGCAAAAGCTTGTCTCACAACGCGGTCGATGCGGCCTGGGCCCACTTCCCCGCTCAGCAACCACCTATGCGGTTCGGCGACTATGGAAAATAAACAGGAAGATACCGGAAGGCCCGAGCTTCACGGTCCTTGCAATCCGACAGCTATCTAATTGGCCAGTAGACCTACGATACAATGAACTAAAAGTGTGGGGTCGCATCTCTAAGCAATGCTTAGCCCTCGGGTGCTCCCGTTGCTGCGGGGCTTATGTAGTGGGCCTCCCCCACGCTAGTTCCTACGGGTGTAAGATTGCCCGGAGAGTCACATGCTGCAGCTGACAGATTAGTTAAGAATTCAACTAGCTGTATTCAATCTGATTCCCTTGCCAAACTGAATTACAACATATTTCGAACTGGATATTTAGTCATTTTAGTGCGGCAATAAATGAGGCATTATAAATGTTCAAATATTATTTTATCGTCTCCCAGTATTAGACGCTGTTCCGAATTGGGCATATATCGGCACTGCATACATATCCCTGGAAAACCGTTAGCGGCCTTTTCAGCGTCAAAACTATACACAGAATCCCAAGCCCATACACGAAGCAAAACAAAAAAAAATCAAATAAAACACTCAACACAAATAAATGAGATGTGAATGTGTACTGCGGGCCTGGAAGAGAGTAGAATGCTGCAAAGAGTGTGACTGACTAGTAAAAGAGACTAATGTATAGAGAGGGAACATATGACGGCTGGGCATGGCTCTGGTTCCTGTCTCAGTTCATGGATAGCGCTAGGAGCCGTGTAACCCTATCCGCGCCGTATTGGGAAGTGATATCAACATCAGACGTCGGAGGTGGATAGGGAAAGGCGCCTTGCACAGAGATTTACATGAGAAGCAAGAACCAGAGCTTTTACTTCATTTCTTCCTTTTTCCCCTTTATGCTTAATATTACCTGTCGATAGGCACCTCTTGTGCGAGATAGCTAGCTAGGATAGCGTACTCAAACCAAGCAGATTTGGCAACGTCACAGAACACAGGCACCCAGGATACGAAAAAAGAGGAGGCAAATTGGGGGCCTAAAATCCACGTTAATCAATCAGGCAGGTAGTCTGCGTGCATGAGGCCTATAAAAAAGCAGAATTGAATTGGTCAAGGGGATTCGTGCTCACTGTGAATACTGTACTAAAGGGACCTGTATGTGCTGGAACTGTGTGAGCAGCCCCATCTGGAATACAAATTCTATGCTTTTTTTGCGAACACACCGCGACGAGGATGATATCACAGTCTGGGAACAATGGATCATGGGTCGAATGGGCTGCGTGAGGGGTTCGCTGGTTGGGATGGTTGATCCAAGTGTTCCTGCGATGATGACAGGCTGAATATCATAAAATGACATGACCATATCCAAGTCATGCATGCATTTCACTGGGATACTATTCCTGCATATTCCTGCAATAATAATATCACGCGGTCAGCTGAGATACTATTCCTGTGATGAGAACACGCAAGTATCATGGAATGGCTGTAGTCAAGTTATTAATGCATTCAAGTGGAATATGCACGCAATTAACCTTGGAACTTGGATTATATTCCTGAAATGACAACAGATAACAAACTGAGTATTATAGAATGGCCATATTCAAGTCACCCATGTATTCAACTGGGATACAGCCGTCTATTTAAACCCCCCTCTCCCCCCTCCCACCACCTCTATCATTCACGGATACTACGAATCGCAGACAAGACAGCCTTTTACATTATCCACCCATACTTTACAAGCAAACACGCGCTCTTCAAAAAAATGGTAAGACAAATCTTGAATCATACAGGACAGATCTAACTGGGTTCCAGTCTCAACCCACCGGCACTACCACCACTCAGGAGAGATCTCAGCCATGGCAGGCAATGCAGGAAGTCCAAACCCTATTCAAGCCGGCCATGTCTGCTGCCAACGCCGAGTCCGGCGCGGACGCTAGTTCGCAGAGGGATATGCTTGGAGAGAAGCCTTTGAAGCTCAATTTGTTTAGGGAGAACTTGAATTCGGCTACTACCAACATTGCGGATGTTGTGGAGGAGAAGCATTGAGAACTTTGTTATCATTTATCATACTACGAAGCTCAATTTGATGAGGTCCGCCCTGAACTCGGCGAGTACCAAATATTGCGAATGTGGAGGATTGAGAAATCGTGTTATACTTGGGGGACTAGCCCCGTTTAAAGCCAGATACTACCTAACTAAATGTCACTCGTTTATCTGAAACTACCTGTTAAACCTACTTGAACGTAATGCTGCCATTTTAGATAGTCTCGATGAAGCCATGCAGTGATCTGGAACAATGATGCAGAGTCATCCACTTTGAATTGGAAGTTCTTTTGCTTTTATGCTCGATAGCATGGTGTGTGGTGGGCGCAGGCAGGCCACGCGTCAAAAGATAGCTGTGAGGAGGTTTCGGCGCCTTCCAAGGACTTGACAGTGTATCGTCAGGGCATATACTTAGTCGATTACATGTATCATGTATTTTCTGATCCCATACGGCATAGCCTTGATGTATAGCACGGCGCAGTAAGACGACGATCTCGCCCGCCTTGACAAATTGTAAGAGCAAGGATGTAAACCTATCTTCTAACCACCCATCAGCCCACCTCCCATTACCGGCTACATACTGTGAGGCGCCGTGCATATACGAAGGGTGTTACGAGAACCTTGGCTTAACCACCTGCACGTTACCCCTCCCCTCCTTGGATCCGGCCTGTACATACGTACATACAGCCTGAGGCAAGGTTCTCCACTGTAAGCAAGCAAGCCATCGGGCCCCGAGTAAGCGAATTCTCTGGACACATAAGTACCGCGGGCTGAGACGCTTTCAGTCGCTATAGCTAGGTAGCTGCTCCCTCCCGAAAAAACCCTGCTGCTAGGATCATTTATTCTCATAAGAACAATCAACCCTTTCTCTCAAGACATGCTCGCCGTGGTCATCGGTTCCGCTCTTCTCGTATCATGGATCATTGCATCAATCCATGGCAATAACAATTCCGGCTTAAAAGACATCCCCAATGCTCATTTCTCTGCCCCCTATTCACGCCGGTGGTGGCTGTCGATCCGATGGCGAAAAATGGAAAATCGTAGCCTAATTCGTCTCCATCGTCGCCTCGGTCCAGTCGTTCGGATTGGACCGCGTGATGTGAGTGTGAATTGCATCGATGACGGGGTTCGCACAATCTACAGCGCCAAGTTCGACAAAGATGCGTCCTTCTACCATGCATTGGCTGACCAGTAGGTTTCCTGAAGAATTCGCAACTTTTCCGAAATCAAAATGAGAGAAAAGGCCAGGTCTAATCTAGCACAGGACCGGTTTTATGGTTACTATGATAGGTAACGACGAGCACAAGAGGCGTAGACGGATGCTTGCCCACCCTTATTCCAATTCGTACATTCTCAACTCTCAGACGCTCGACAGGACCCTCTCTCGCGTCTCATGTCGCCTCAGAGAAGGAATGGCAGCATGGGCAAGCACGGGCACCTCTGTTGACGTCTACCAGCAGGCTAAATGCTGCCTGCTCGACGTTATCTCGGGCTTCCTCTTTGGTAGCGAGAACGCAACTGATACTCTACGAGACCCGAGCTTTCAGGACGACCTCACAGCGCTAGCCAAAGCTGCTGGCAAAAACCTTCACGTGAAAACCAGCCTCGCCTGGCCGATGAACTATTTTGCAAGCTTGGTTGGCGGCAACGTGCCGCCCGACCCCGATTCCAGGAGTCGATGGGAAGCGTGGCTGACACGAGTTATCACAGACTCGTACAGGAAGCATCCCACCAAGCATTCTTCCACTGCGAGCCTCTACGACCATTTTTACGATTCGTTTAAGATTGCCGATCCCGACATGCCGCTTAACGACATGGCTTCTTTCATTGCTGTCGAGTGCGACGACCATGTTTCGGCGAGCCACATGGGCCTCGGATCGCTATTGTCGTATACCATGTACGAGCTATCACGAGCTCCGGACTGGCAGCGCGCGCTCCGGAAAGAGCTCCTCACTCTAGGCGAACCTAGCAACCAAAGCTTGGCCCATCGCCTTGCAGATTTACCAGTGCTTGACGCCGTCGTGACCGAGACCATGCGAACCCGTGCACCCTGTCCTGGCCCCTTTCCTCGTGTCGTTCCAGAGTCTGGCTGTCAGCTCGTGGGCAAGTTCGATATCCCCGGCGGCACCATCGTCAGCTCCTCTGCCTGGGCCCTCCATTTTAATCCCATCCCTTTTCCGTCTCCGGAAGAATGGCGACCGGGAAGGTGGCTTGAAGCAGACAAGAACACGCTCGCCGAGATGCGGAAGTGGATTTGGACATTTGGAAGCGGCGCGCGAGTGTGCATTGGCACTCATTTCTCCATGCGTGGTAGGTCCCATCCTGATGTCCGTTTCATTATCAAAGAAAGTGCTGACGATGCAAACAAAAACCAGTCATGAAAGAGCTTCTTATCACCATATATACAGATTATGAGACTTTCCTGGATGAGGAATTTACAGGAAACGTGGAGCAGGAGGATATCTTCTCATCGTCGCCTCTTGCGGGTTGTATTAAGCTGAAATTTCGCCGGCTCACATAGTCCGACGTCTATGTATATCCATGCATGCTTCACGACAGCTGATTCCTCTGACAGGTCAATATTACTCCTGTGTTCCAAAGCAGAGTGATAAAGCACTTCAGGCGCGTTGTATGAAATTCGGCAAGGGAAAAATTTCACTGACACATTCATTGAAAGTTGGATAATTTCTGTAATTGAATGCAAGTTCCCACAATCTATGGTTCAAGATTTAATTCTGTGCCTGAACCAACTGGGTTAAATTCGACATGTTGTTCAGACCAACACTTGGGTTCTGCGCGCTATGTACCTAGTAGGGTAAAGTAATATCCTGTATTTCAAGTCGAGCCACTGTCCGGGTAGTTTCACAATTTATCAAGTACTCCATGTTCACTCAAGCACCAACTGGTAACCTATTACCCTTCCTTGAATGTAGTGTTTAGTCTTTCTAGTCTAGAAGGTCTAGCTTCTGGCTCTCTTTAAGCTAATATTTACTATTAACTCTTTGAAAAAAGCTGCTTGGGTCTATTACATTAAGCCTAGTTAGTATGTTATCAAGTGTTAGCTCTGTGACTAGGGACCTATTAATATTTATTTGTATGTGGCCAATCCTCTTATAAAATAGGCTAGTACATTATTTAGTGTTGGTTTACCTTCATTAGATCGCAAGATCTAATGAGGACAGCTAATCCAACAAGCTGACTGAGCCAATAATACTGAATTCCTAATATTGCGACTAATCCTAAGAACTAGGGGGATGCGGGTGGTGAGGAATGAATGATGTTTATTACGCCCGGAGGGACTAACCCTAATAACTAACTAGTTAGGGCACTAGTACACTAATTACATAATCCATTTCTCTCAGATCCGACATGAACTCGCGATAGCCCATATTTTGTTCTCGTAACGTGTCTGCTTGGTGTTTGGGTCCTTCGGATGGTGTTTTTAGGGGTTCCCTGCGTGTTGGCTAGTAGATGATCTTAAAGGTTATCTTCTCCAAGTGTGCAGTGTCCTATCTTCGGCGGCTGCAGCGAGATCTACTTAGGGAGGAAGAGTTAGGGAGGGGGGTGGTGGTAGGGGAATGTCTTCACTTTTCACTGCGTTGATTGAGTTTCGGATTCAGGTTCCGGTTCCAATCTTCCTGTAGCGATTGCGTGCTCGATTGCTGCATGGACGGCCTTCATATCTGGATGCCATCGATCTGGATCTGAACGTGATTTTCCGCCCAGGAAAAAGGATAGATTTCCTCGTTTTGATTCTGTGCATTGATTCATGCCTTCTCTCATCGCTGTCCATTGCGTGCAGCGGAATAAGAAGTGTTCTGTTGTCTCGCTTGCTTGGCCACAGGCACAGAGATCCGAATCTGCTGCACCTATCCGATTTAGATAGCTGTTAAGCCAAGTATTGATTTGTATTCCTAAGCTAAGCAAGCCTAATAATACATTGTAGAGGTAGCAGCATGTCTACCTACATAGACCCTCCACCTTACATCCCCTTCGATCCTTTTCCGCATCCTTCGCGGGGCACAGCCGGTTCCGTAAGTCAATACCAGTTTGCACCTTAAGCCTACTACCATAGCCGCCCTAAAGACTCCATCCTCGATAGCCATCTTCAGAATCCTATTCTCTCAGTAGACCGACACGCGCGTCCGTCCTCTCGAGCCATATAGAAAGTGTCGTAACTGCAGTCCGCCCACCCTGTCTTCCGTCGCTTCCATTATATGCTGCGCCCCACAGGTTGTCAAATCTGTTTCGCGCTACCTTGTAAGATCTCTCTAACAAGGCCGAACGTGTCTCGCAGGAGTTCGCCCACTTGTATCCTCTCTGTACCCAGAACAGCCAAGCAACACAGTGTTGTCCCTCCTACTAACCAAAGTACCTCGTCGTTCTCTGTGTGGGATCAAGCATGCTGGGTCGTGCTGTATCGTTCGTGTGTTGGTTTTGACTGTGTCGTTTCTGTGTCCCCAGACCCAGCGATATCCTCCTTTCAACAGAGCAGCCCAAGAGCACCCCCAGGGTGTCCTATCCCACGACCCTAGTGTCCACTGATTGTAGGATCGGTTTCGCGGTCGTGTGTCGGGTGGTTTTCAAAGTGTTCCCTTGTCGCCTGTGTGTGGGGTCAGGGCTCTGAGCCCTCGCTCCAACCGTAGCCCGAGCCAGCGGACAGTGCTGGCCGGTGATGACTCTTCTTAGCTCTGTAAATACCATCCAGGCAAGGTATTTACAGGTTCCCAGCCGACACCACGGGGAGGTGAGAGTCGTCGCCGGCCGGGTGGTGAGGTGTAGTTATCCTTCGCACGCTATAGCGCACGGATAAACTATATCCCATTCCCGCGCCGAGATAGGCAAGATTGTTATAGTACCAAACGGTACAGAGGAGTGATTCTTTAGTCATTGACAACGCTAGTAATTTTTCAAGTCTTGGCGGTAACGCCACTTACCGAAATACTTTCAAATTACATACTACTTGTCGCGTCGCCTTCCCCCACCCTAGACCGGGTGGTGGTTGGCCCGGACTCAAGGGCCAGAAGATATGAAGTGTCATGTAAAATGTTTTACAGTCCACCAACGCGCCATATAAATTGCGTATAAAAACTAGAGAGGTGTTAAATACAAGCATTGTTCACTTGTTTTCTTGAGTAGCAAAGAAAAAACCGCTGTTTTGAGGCTCTGTTGAAGCCGCTTCTTCCGTCGGCTGCGGCACGCCAACAGCATGGCTCTTATAGATTTTCAACAAATCTCCATCATGACGGCGTTTCATGAGGCGATTCGCATCTTTTACATAAAGTGCACCGCTCACTTTGACTTGGCGCTTTGTAGTTTTTTGATTCTTGCGCGTTGCTGTATCACGAACCTTGGCAAAGCTCTCACGGTGTAGATCGCCTAATTCGGCCAAGGTGAGACTGCCTTGATTAACAACTTTTATACGGCGTGAAAGGCCCGGGCTTACTTCATCAGGAATATCCTTTATACTGTCAATCGATTTTTCAATCTCATTGACATAGCGACGTAGTTTTACGGCGGTTGACGGTGGAGATATTGATTTTGTAGTTGGTGAGCTGGGAATAATGTCATCCGCCTCGCCATATATTTTTAGTGCATCCCCTTCAGCAACAAGTGCTTCAAATGCTTCATCTGGCTGAAGCATCGTATCAAGTATAAGCCGAGGATTAAGAGGCCAAATTCCTCGCTCTCTTCAGCCGTGCCGAATCGTTCGTGTGGTAAAAGTCTTTATCCGGATATCGCGTAATTTTTCAAAAGTCGTTTTTATCAAAATCGAAGCCACCTAAGCGTGCAATCTTGTTCACAACCCGTCCATGAACATGTTTATATTGCTAAAATGGCACTCCATCGAGCGGTTGTAAAAAATGCGTAGAATGAGGCGGAAATCGGAATGGGCGAATGTGCCAAATTTCACAATATTGTACGAAATGTATAGTAAGATGAGTTGTATGATTATCCATAAGAAGTAACCGCCAATCCGGGAAGGCCTCGGGCCTAGAGAAGTGGTCAAAGTGTTGAAGCCATTCGAATGCGATCTCATCTGTGATAAATCCATTCGAAGCAGGTGCAACTAGCCAGTCGTCATCTTTTATATGCCGGTACAATTCCTCCAAATGGACCTTGCCTTTTGGAATCAATAAAGGTGGTATAATCTTTCCTTCGGCATTTATACCCTCAATGACAGTAATTGATTCTCGAGAGGACAGGCTAAATACCCTTTTCGATGTTTTTGGATATGCTGTTACCACCGCTCCATCTTTTCCTTGTCCAACAATGAATCCGGTCTCGTCGAAGTTGCGCAGGATGGAGACACTCTCCTCCGCCTTCTATCACAAACAAGGAATAAATGGTCACCGAGCCTACAGATATTTATCACAAGCAGACCGGAGCAGCTAATTCGATCTGGATTTGCGGATGTACCTGAAAACGTATGCGAGAAAATAGAGCTTCACGAAATACCTCAGCCGATCATCGAGCAAGACATTACCACTTTCCTCAATGTTGGTTTAACTACGGTCCGTATCACGAAGCATAGACGGTAGTAAGGCGCGAACACGAAGCGGCCTAATGAGCCTGACAATATGAAGATATCTTGATTCCTAATATTGTGACTTATTCCCAAGAACGAGGTGTGTGTGTGTGTATATTTAACGGCCGTGGTTCGTGACTCGCACGCTTCCCACCGATCCCTACTGGGACATAGGCCGCCGAGGGGTAAGCCTCGGGTTTCAGGTCCTATCAGATTTATGTACAAATAAGAGACTCTTTAGCGCGTTTCCATAGCTGCCGTGGTCTTACAGGGAGGTCCACTTGGAGTGGGTTTTGGGTATTTGCCAGCTGCAATGGTCCGCCTACACTCCATGACCTATTACTCCACCACTATCATAACTGAACAGTAGGTTTTGCAGAGAGGGAAAGAAAGAAGAGAAGAGAAAGAAAGAGGAAGAAGAGAAATATAAAGGAAGAGTAGGGCTGTCTTAGCTAGGTACTAAGGAGAGGTTGGCGAGGACAGATATCCTCAAAGAAGTGGGTCTCTACTAGCCATGTGGCTAGCTTTTGTGCTCCTTTAGCAGTGCCTAAGAGAAAAGAGATGACCTCAGAAGGGGGCCCAGGAGGCTGGGGGGCTCGTCTCTTAGCTATATAGCAGAAGAAGAAGTGTAGAGGTGCTTTTCGTGCTCCGCATCAGCAGAGAAGGTGAGCATCATCATAGTTAAAACATTCATGGTAGTCTGCAAAGTCTCCATGACCAGTACGGGCCGCAATAATACAGCCGAGGTCAAGTCGGTTGAGTTGAAGCTCCCCAGGGCGCTTAGGGGAAGTAGTTATTTCTAGATCTTGATAACTCTGTGGTGCCACCTTCTGCCATTGTGACTGAGCAGCGGATAGGGATTGAGTCTTGGCGTGTCTCTTTAGCGAGGCGTATGAGGATTTGTGAGGAGCAGGAGGGGTTGAGGCAGCTCCCTCTTTGGCAGCGAGATCAGCTACTTCGTTCTCAGGGATTTTGGCGTGTCCAGGGACCCATCGGATTTGGATAGATCCGCTTTTGGTGTGAGGAAGCCTTTTGCGGAGTGGCCAGGCGGCTGCAAGGGTGCGGAAGGATTTAAAGATTTCTTGGAAAGATCCTGTAGAGGGAGATAGAAGGCGTGTGGCAACTTCCAGGTTATCAAGGCAGATCCATAGGTTGGTAGCAAATTGAGCTGTTGGGTACGCTATTGCTGCTTAAGCACCAGCTAGAGCTGCTTCTGCTTCTACGTCGAAGACCTCTTTCCTGTGTCCGTATGAGAGTGAGGAGCGGAGGAACTGATAGTGTGCTTGAAGTCCAATATAGCTACCCCCTGCACGTCCATCTGCTAGCCTAGATCCATCTAAAAAGATTACAATATCTGAGCTAGGGATGGTGCGTTGGAAAGCCATGAAATTAGCCGCTGCCTGTTCCTTAGTGCGTCCCATGGGAGCTCCTATTCGAGTTTGAGCATTCTCGCGAGACTCGCGAGGGTGCCAGGGAGCGTATTGGAGAGGGTTTATCTGTTCAGAGTTAGGGAGGGCCAGTATACAGCGGGCAAATCGGCTGGTTTGTCGGCCATTACTAGTGATCTGTTCTGCGCGTCTTCGAAGTGGGTAATAGAGATCAAGACGCCGTAGGCGGACAGTTGCAAGAAGGGCTATCCGGTCTAGTTCAATATCTGGTGGAGAGAATCTAGACTCTCGATAAACGACAGGAATTGGGGTTATGCGGAAGACTGGAAGGACTGCTCTTGCGCCTGTTAGTATTACTTTAGTTAGTTTCTCAAGATGTTCTCCAACTCGGTTTGAAGTCTGGGAAGGCCCAGGGCGAGTACGTCCTGGCCATTAGGTTTCAGCGCCATAGTATACTTTATGGAGTACACAGGCTGATACAGCCTGCTGTAGTAGATGAGGTTTGACTCCTCAGACAGTATTCCCTAGAGAGCGAAGGGCATTAGCTATAGTGAGAGCTTTAGATGCTGCTTCTCCAATGTGCCATTTAAATGTTAGCTTTTTGTCAAAGAGGATTCCTAGCCATTGTAGATATAGCCATTTAGTATTTTCTGATATTGTAATAGATCCAGCTTTCACTGAAGGTGTGCGGGTTGGGTCCTGGTCTGCTTTATGTCGGGAGAAGTGAAGAAGCTCGTATTTATCTGGTGCAAATGTGATGCCCTCTGCAGCTCCCCAGTTAAGAGCTTCTTGAAGCGAGTCTGATAAGGCTACACAGTTAGTAGCAAGAGATGTCGAGATCGCTAGATTAGCTACGTCATCCGCGTAACCAAATCTGTTCCTTGGGTTTCCTAGACGGAATAGAGGCGCTATGTAGAGCATGAAAAGGATGCCAGATACTGGGGATCCTTGTGGAAGACCGCAGGCAATGTCTGTTGAGGGGCCAATCTCTCCATCGAGTCGGATCTGGACTGATCGTCCAGTGGCAAAGGAGGCAATCCAGAGAACGAGATTAGTAGGCCAGCCCTGCTCACGTAATCTGCGGATCAGTCTGCCGGGTAGCACGGCATCAAAGGCACCTTTGACATCTAGGGTGAGGAGTGAGGCAGTCATACCTTGATTTAGCGCTTGTTCGACATCATGTGTCAGGCATGTGGTTAGGTCAGTTGCGGATCTTAGTGGGAGAGCCCTAAACTGTTGCCTTGCTAATACTTTGTGGTGTATAGAGGTCCATGCCATATTCCGTGCCACCAAGCGCTCAAGTCCTTTGCCCAGGACTGAGAGGAGGGCAATTGGTCTGTATGATCTAGGTGAGGACCAATCGGTCTTCTTAGTTTCTGGATAATTGCTAAAATTGCGTGTCGAAAGCATTTTGGGTGATAACCAATCTTTAGGCACCCTTGGTATAGCATTAGTACCTTATCCTTAATCAAAGGCCATGCCACTTTGAGTATGCAGGTTGGGATTTCATCTGCGCCAGGGGCTGTGTTTCCTGCCTGAAGTACTGACTCCTCCACCTGTATCATTGATATGTCTGGGAAGTAGAGACTAGTGGTAGGGACTGCTGGGGAGTCCAGCGGTATGTCTCCTGCCTCAGCTGAGTTTTGGAGGAGATTGCGGACTAGTACGTCTCGTTTCTCGTGTGTAGCAACTGCTGGGAAGCTGTTGGGTCTCAGTGGATCCTTAAGTGGAGGGCTTCGGAGGGTGCCTGTGGACTTATGCCATTTACTCATATCAAAGACATCCTTCATTTGTGTAACCGTAGAGAGCTTCTCTCGCCAAAATTGTCGTTGAGACCATCTAGTTATCCTGCGGAAGTCTGCCTTTGAGCAGAGGCCTGAGCGGTAGTTGTGTAAAGCTTTCTTGCAGTCTTCATTCCACCAAGGTTGTCCTATGCCTTGTGTCAGGGTTCTCTTAGCAGAGCCTCTATATGCTCCTTGGATTGCAGATGTCAGTTTTTCGGCAAGGGCGTCAAGGTCTTCTTCTGTCATGTTTGAGCTCTCGATACTAACAAGATTAGAGGCGAGGAGTGAGAGGAAGCAGGTGTGGTCTAGCGTGTCAAATCTCAGTTTCTGAGCTGTTTCCTTGTATCTCTGATCCCATGGTACAGTGGTGATTAGTGGTTGATGATCTGAGGTTGAATCTAGGTGGCTCGCTATGCTAGTTTTAGCTCCCGCGAGTGCCAGAGGGCTTGAGGCGAAACTGAGGTCTAACACGTTACCCCTTTCATGTGTGGGACAGTCTATGTCAGAGATGAGTACTAGACCCTGGAGGTCCAGCCAGTTAATGAACGGCTCTGCAGAAGGTGTGGGGCTGCGATGTAGCGAGGGCTGCCATCTGTTGTGTAGTAGGTTGAGATCGCCTGCGAGTATCGTTGCTTGAGGGAAATATGCCTCTGGCAGGGTTGTAAGAGCTTTCGCGACTTCGCCTGCTCTGATGGAGCCTGCTGGGGCATTATAGATGTTAACTATCAGAGCAGACTTTCCTGTGGGCGGAAAAAATCTGTAGGAATAGGAGATCCGAGGCCTCTTTGGTGTCAGTTGTGAAGGGGCGCAGCTGGGAGGTCCGAATGCCCTTCTTCTTTCGAACATAGGTGAGGACTCGTGGTCGGCCACTTATCGCCCAACTGTCAGTTGGGGATCCCAAGAACGAGGGGGACGGGGATAGCTAGCTAGATATACGCGGCACGCACGTGCCGCGTCAGACTAACTATATCCGGTGCCAAAACGTGTAGGGTTTGATATTCACGTTTCGACACTCAAATACAGATTTGCGCAAATCCAGGAGAAGTATACGAAAGATGGCTGGTCACTTCCTTTTGACTGGCCTGGCCTGGAGGCGATGTCGGTGTTGGTTGAAATGGCCGTTCCACTCTTCATTTTTGCCGCTACCCTGTGCCGGTTTGTGGAAGATCCAGCGTGGTCGGACCCAACAGGCCAGCTGAAAAAGCTTCTTGAGTATCGACAAATGAAGGGTGACTCTGAGATGGACAAGCTAGATGCCACTTACTCTCCAATTCTGAACCAGCTAATCCATGGATGTCCAGAAAAGGCACAGAAATCACTGGTGGAGAGGTTTCGACGCATTGTAGGCACAATTGTTCATCCAGCTGAGCCTGTTTCACGGTCATCCCTAGCATCTTTGCTTAATATCGACAGCCAACAGATTGAAGGACAGCTCTCATCCCTGCATTCGGTCCTTAGTGTGCCATCCTCTGCAGAATCGCCAATCAGGATGCTGCACTTCTCATTCCGTAATTTCCTCATTGCCCCTGAAAAACGTCACACGGATCCGTTCTGGGTGGAGAGACGGAAACTCACAAGATGGTCATGGCCAAATGCCTTGAAAGAATGTCCCAACCGGGGATTCTTCAAGAAAATATATGCAACCTGCCGGGCCAAGGGACACTACGAGCTGAGATCGATGGCAGAGTCATAGCCAACCACTTACCACCAGATATACAATATGCTTGCCGCTTCTGGGTATACCATTTGAAAGAGAGTCAGACGCGCATCAATGACAGTGGTCCGGTCTATGTGTTTCTACAGGATCACTTTTTACATTGGCTGGAATCATTGAGCCTTTTAGGAAGAATTGCAGAAAGTATTCACCTAGTGGGGACATTACAAACTGTTGTTGTAAGTATCTCCAAGTTGAATATGTAGGATTCCTTGATCCTAACAATCTATCCAGAGTGATAAAGACACGGGAATATGCAGATTCCTTGACGACGCAATGCGGTTTATTCGAAAGAACATCTCGGTAATTGATCAGGCGTCTCTCCAGCTCTATGCATCAGCACTTATTTTTACCCCAAAAGAAGTACAATTAGGAATAAATATATCGATAAAATCCCTAGTTGGATTCAGAGATTACCAGCTGTGGGATCCGGCGACTGGCATCCTGCGGCAGACGCTTGATGGGCATTCTGATTCAGTTTGGGGAGTAGCATTCTCTCCCGACGGCAAGCTGGTGGCCTCGGGCTCTTATGATGAGACAGTCAAGCTGTGGGATCCAGCGACTGGCACTTTGCGGCAGACTCTCGTAGGCCATTCTGGTTGGGTTGGAGCAGTGGCGTTCTCTCCCGACGGCAAATTTCTGGAGACTGATTAAGCACGATTCAATATTGAATCTCTTCATGTTCGTAGTCTACCTCAAACAGCAAGCAGTCTTTATAAAAATATACTAGTGAAGAAGGAATGGCTGACTCGCAATGATTCTAATGCCATTTGGTTGCCTGTTGAGTATCGAGCAACTTCTTCCTCTGTGTACGAGAGCATGCTTGTTATGGGACATGCTTCAGGTCGAGTTACTTTTATGAAGTTGATCTAATGATGTTTCATTTATGGTGTAACTACTCTAATATTTTCAAATATCTTTTTTAAAAGAAGGGCCTGGGAGGATTTGGGTTTCTATACTGTAGTTAAGTTGCCACTAGACTTCTGTTGCGTGGCAGCTCACAAAGATATTTCACAAACATGAAACAGGAGATCGTCATGTTGTGGAGGTTTCATATGTCAACAATTGGTAATTAGCAATAATAGTCTATAGTGCTCAAACAATATGACAGATTAGTCCAGGAGGCATCTCGGGTCCCTGGCATTCAAATTCCGCTCTTTGTCCAATATAACTAGCCGCGTCAATGAATCGAAAGGAAGCTTGGGCATAGTACCTCTTGGAAACACGGAAATGGGCCATTTTCATCAATGATGTTTCAGAAATATCTGCTAGTGATGCCTTTGTTATTTGTCTGCAAACACTGGATCTTGTCCGGCTTCTGTCTTAAAAGGAGCCATCTTGGTGTTATTTATGAGTCATACATCACATTAGCATGCGGTTCTAGATTCTGTAGCTTGAGAGACTCTTTATTCTTAGACCCTTTCATCTTCATTTGGTACGTGATCTCGAAACTTTCTTGTCAAGGTATCGAATGTGCCATGTTGAGGCTGTCACAAAACGAATAAAGAATGGGTGGTGATCTAGCGACACCCCCACGTGACTCAGTTATACGGATTGGATAATTTTCACGTGTCATGTGATCAGAAAATCAAATTTCCTTCCAAACATTGCCATATTTGGCAATGGAATCTAGGGTTAGGGCTAGATTAAAGCGGCGCTCAATGGTCTTAAGGCACTCAGGCATGCAGTCTTATTATCACATAAGATGCAGGTCGTCAAACATTTGCATCCTTTATCTTATGGCATAGCGACTCGATGGCCTCAAATCAGTTATTAGCGTCCCTCCTCCAGGGCTATGAAAGCTCTGGAGATGATGCAGAACCTCAAAATAATCTTCACAATCAAATTCTACTTCCCCCTCGTCTAGAAGAAGAAGTATTTAACTCACCTGATACTATTATTGAATTTATCAACAACTTTGCCCAGAACCACGGCTATGCGGTTTCCAAATAGCGCTCAAAGAGAGCTAAAAATGGCCATATCAAGACTGTGTTTGTGAAGTGCTCTCTAGGAGGGGAGTACCATGATCGTGTGGTTGAGTGTACGCGATAAGGGAGCATAATACTTACTGACTGTTCCTTCTCTATCGTCCTGCGACTTCAGCAAGATGACACTTGGCTTGTTGATATCAAAGAAAAACGCCATAATCACGATCCGTCGCCAATATCCACTCATTCAGTCCATCGTCATCGTCAAATACTTGAATATGCTACCCAAATCGAAGCCCAACTAGAGAATGGAATTGACACACGCCATATCATTGCTTCACTTAGGAAGAAGTGTGGAGATAATGTTGGGATAAAGGACCAAGATATATACAATTTCAGATACAACATGCGAAAGCACTTCTTAAATGGTTGAGAGCCAATTCACGTCCTTCTTAGCTTATTCCCGGAGACTGGAGACTGGGTTGTCAATTACCAAACCTATGATGATATTGTCACAGCTGTGTTCTTAACCCATAAGAGCTGTTTGGATTTACTACGGCTTTACAATACTGTGCTCTTTTTAGATTCCACTTACAAGACCAATAAATATCGAATGCCCCTTCTTGATATTGTTGGCTGCACAGGAACCAATAAGACATTCTGGGTCGGATTTGGCTTCATGAAAAATAAAAAGGAGAAGTCTTATTCATTTATTCTTAAAAGCCTTGAGCAGGTAATCTTCCGTATGGGGCTAGGGCATCCAAAAATAATCATTACTAACAAAGATCAGGCCCTAATGGGTGCTATTGAAGCTATATTTCCATATACACGAAATATCTTATGCATTTGGCACATCCAAAAGAATCTGATGGTTAAGTGTCGGCCAGCTCTACGCCAGGAAGTCATTCGAATCGATTATGAGGGCAAGGGTATGAAAAGCACCCTAGTTGATGAATTTAAAGAGAAGGTTGAAGCTCATTGGGTCGCTTTTTGGCAGGACTTTATAAAACTCGTCAATGCATATACTGAGGAAGAGAAAGATGCTGAGTGGAATAATTTCAGGGCTAAATACAGCCATAATATGTGGGACACGGTCTTTGAATATATCAAGAAAGAATGGCTTCAGGAAGATACGGCAAAACACTTTTTAAAATGCTATACCAATGAGTATCTGCATCTCAACAAGCAAGCAAGCTTACAGGTTGAAGGTGCCCATTGGATTATTAAACGTGACCTTGGAACTTCCACAATGGATCTACTTGGAGCCACACTATCAATTGAAATGACAATTGAAAAACAACACCAAAAAATATGGCAGGAAATTGAGGATGAGCGCGTCCGAATAAAGATAGATTTCAAGAACCTGTGGCTTTTTAAGCATGTTTTGAAGAAGGTCTCAAGTCATGCACTGAAAATAATCCATAGTATCTTTGAAAGATACCTCCCGGAGAGCGCCCCTGATAAAAAGCCAATTAAGCCCTGCACGGGTGTGACTCGACGGACTCTAGGGATTCCTTGCATCCACATAATCAAGGAATACTATGAGGCTGACACATCGATTGAGCTTTTTGAATTCTGTCCACATTGGCGGCTGCATACCGACGAAAACCTTTCTCCTGTGGATCCACGAGAATTAGTCCTGGAGCCAGAAGTAATCAGACCACGTGGCCGTCCTCCTGGTGTAATTAACTGGCCAACTACAAGCGAGCAGAGCCAGTCAGCTAAAGATAGATCTACTAGAAGAGATCCCTCTGCATTTGAACATCTATTGACTTAAGAATCAAGCCGAGGACGAGGAAGTGGCCACGTACGTGGTAGCCGTGGAGGAGGACAGGCAAGGAGTGGGCGTGGAGCAAGACAACGAGGTTGTGGTAGTTATGGAGGAGGACAGGCGGGTCGTGGGCGTGGAGGAAGACAGCAGGGTGGCGAATGTGGTAGCGGCTCTGCAGGCACTAGTGAAGTTAGCACTCAAAGTCATGAGAATGATGATAATGAAATTAGTGAGAACAGGGATGATAAGACCAACGAGAATCAGATCAGAAGAAGCAAGCGACGTGGCCGTGGCCAGCCAGCGCCATGGCTAGGCGATGAGAATGAGTAACAGGCAAGGAAGGTGCAATTTCTTTTCTGAGACAAGAATCTTACTTTGCTGAAATACTGTATGATTAGACTAGCAGGAAAAATGACAATTGATAGTGATGTGATAGACTTAGCCCTAACCCTAGATTCTATTGCCAAATATGGCAATGTTTGGAAGGAAATTTGATTTTCTGATCACATGACACGTGAAAATTATCCAATCCGTATAACTGAGTCACGTGGGGGTGTCGCTAGAACGACACCCTGGTGTCGCTGGAACTAGGGGGGTGTCGCTAGATCACCACCCTAAAGAATACGGAAGCTTCTCGACTAAAAGAAGCAGAATGCAAAAAGAGTATGATATCCAGAGTTTAGAGGCATTTATATAAGGCATTGGTAGTGCCCTCCGATGGATCGCACAAACCAGCCGAGACTCTACCTACAGATCGATCAATCCCCTCATCTGAACAGCTACCATGTCAGAACCAGAACTGAGCTCATGAACCCTTATGCTAAGCCAGCTACCGATGTGGCCCGTCTTTTGGATGCAGTGCAAGTCCCCAATATTCTCTGGAGCCGGCTACCACTTTGTCTATTCGCATGGGGAAGTAGGTGAAATTGTTTTTGGTCGTGTATCTTAAACACCAAAAACTAAATTTCTTACTAGAAAGTTGAGTTTGTGATTTCTGATAATCACATCGAATCGCCTCCAATGCCCTGGTTGCAACCAGCTTGCAGTTCTGCCTAGACCCTAACTGCGATGAACTGCGACATAGTCGGCGACACCGTATTGCTGAGGTACATTTTCATATTCGGTCTAAATGTCCCGATCACAAGGTGCTATCACTGTTTACCAAATCCAGCATGCTTTGGTGGCTGCCAGAATTTGAGCTACGCCCTCCCCCTGCAGATGATCCCGACTTGGTGCTTACCAACGATCCCCGACCGCCACCTCGCCAGGAGTTCGTCGGATGCACAGGCTCATGGTCTGATTTGTATCCTCTTTAAGATCTTAAACCCGAATTCATTCACTGAGGTTTTGCTCTTACTGTTTTGTCGTGATGATACCCACGCCAATGGCTTCGCTGGGCTTAATGGATCGACCTCATGTCGGATGAGACTAAATATGTGACTCTCGTGAAACATCTCTGACCTCGGTTTCAAAGCGTTTGGAAAAGTTTGAATTATCGCATACCTGGTGTACAGGGCCTCGCAAAATCAGTTTCCCCCCTGCACTCATTCGAATTCTTTTCAAATCTCTAGGAAACAGCATGGAAACGAGCTAGTCTATAAAAAGTTAGTAAGAGTCTAACCACATCTGGTGTAAATGGTACTGAACAGTAATCTGACAGATACCTGTATGACCCGCTTTGACAGATCTCATAAATGATTTTTATGTTGCTTTGTTCCATCTTCATGTACTGGAAGCATCCTGTTGGAATAAGCAAGTATTCTACAGTAACGGCTCATCTTCTTTCTCTCCTCATTGTTGATTTCTCCACTAATTTCAATGTTCTTAGACCAACCCTGGAGGCGAGCGTTCTCTTGATACTAGAAGTCGTCCTAAGCTTTGCAATTCATCCCAAATAGTACTATCTAATTACTAACAAAATAATTCCCCGCAACTATCCCCCCTTTCAGCCCTAGCTCTCTCTCATGCTTTTCCAAATCAAACCACATCCTCGCCACATTTCCAACTTTCTTCCCCCCTCTTTTGGCAATATACTTGTCCACATCCAGACCCTCCGGCTGCCGATACAGAAAGAAACAATACCGATGCGGTGAACTCGGTGGCGGAGGTGCAGGACCGATGTAGTTTACTATATATGATTCAGGCCCAGGAGGAGAAAGTCTGCCGGTTACTGGGTCTGGTTTGAGGTTTGGTTGCACCCAGTGTAGGATTGGACCTAGACCGCGCCAGGATGGGAAGGGGGCGTCGATGTCGATTGCAATCATGAGGTAGGTGTCGTTGGTTGTTGAGGAGGAGAGGTAGGATTTGGGGAGGTGTAGTTCTGGAGAAGATTGGGCGTCTAGAGTTTTTGCTTCGTCAGTACATAAGACATCGAGAAAAGTCGTGGAAAGGGGATGTACCGGCTTTGGGTATCCGGACACCGGGTTTCACGTCCTGATGCGACCCAACCACCAATCCAAGGACGAGGGTCTTGTCCTTGTGGATTTGATCTAGATATTTATCGATATTCTTGTACGACGGCATTTTGGAACACGGGGTACAATCGATCAGGATTCTGAGATGGCAAGGTTAAGAGTGAATGAGATTCCTTAGGACCCGTCCAGCCAGGCGACCCTTAAATAATTTCTACATCGCATACCATTTCAATCGTTCAATAAGATCTACAATCATGCTCGGACACATTTCTTTGTTGTCATTCTCTAATTTGATATGCAGTGGGTATGCAGTCGGGCTAATGAACTGGCCGAGATATCCGGATTTTGTGGGGTTAAGCTAACTCCGACAGCCCTAAGGAGTACGAATTAAGTGATTGGCTAGGAGACGTGCATGTGTAGAACACTCAGTCTAGTACTACATATGTATTCTGTATCTGATGATATGTATATGTTCCTGTAAAGGTACTTATAAGCTCGTGTACTATACCGGCCAATTCTGATCCGCCAAAGCTAAAACTTTTCAGATTGCCTCCGTTTACTAAGTTGATAGTACATACATACATGCATCGAATCTCAAAGCAAGTGAATAGAATTGTTTGATGGACGTATCATCCTCTCCTACTCCTAACCCCTTCTAAGCTTTCCCAAGCTTTTCAGGTTCGAAACTTGTCGTAGTCTAAGAAGACTTCTCCAAATTCATGACAGGAACCGACTCCATCATTCCCCCATTAGCTTGTCCCTGAATAATAGTCTCCTTGATCGGGCCAACATAGAATTTCTTTCCACGCACATACCAATAAACCATGGCACACAACAAGATAAACGCCATAAAGACAACAGCATAATTCATGGTTTCGCCAGTAACAGGTCGGGATGTCGGGAAGAAGAAAATAATAGAGGCAAACACAGTCCAGATAACAGCCCAGAGATTGACCGCAGTAGAGAATTTGCCCATATGCCATGGGCCAGGCTCAAACTGGTTAAAGAGGAGTTTGCAAACCACAGGGATAATGTAGGACCAGTCGAGAGCGATGGCGGTGATGTTGAAGACACCTAAGATGGCGGCGTAGTTACCGAGAGCGATTAGGTTGATAGCAATGCACCAAAAGACGGAGAACCATACGGCGTACAATGGAGTACCCGTCACCGAGTTCACTTTACGCCACACACCGGAAAAGGGCAGCAAACGGTCACGAGAGAAGGCAAAGACTGTACGGGCAAGAGCTTGAGTAGCAGTGAAGCAGATGAATTGCAAGAGAATAAAGGCGCAAGAGGCGTAGACGAGACCACCTTGTTTGCCGAGACTGTTGTAGAAGATCTGGGCCACGGGTTGTTCAATCGGAGAACTGAGGATGGAAGCTACATCGCCCATGCAGAAACATAGGACAATGTTGAACAAAAATCCGAGAACGTATACGGCGCCCATGGCAAGGAAGATGGCCCATGGAGCTTTGATCTCGGGATTACGGATTCTAATCAATTAGCACGTATTCAAGCTACCCAGAGAAGGAAACTTACTCTTCGGCAATATGAGCCGTAGCGTCGTAATCCGTCATAGTCCACGAAACAGACAAGAATCCAAACATAAATGAAAATCCCACCGGTGACCAACCCGAATCCGGCTCAACGTGCGTAAAGACATACTTTGCATTATGCTTATTCTCTGTTTGGCCAACAAGGCAATACAGCAAGTCACCAGCACGAGCAGATGGAAAATAACATACGACCGAGTCATCTTCTCCATCCAGCCGGTGGGCAATGAATTGAGAACACCACAGAGAACAGTCAAGGCGGCCATGACACCGACCGTTTGTCCTGTTGTCGGAAGCCATTCGAAATCACGACCCATGGAGACTGCTGCAAGCAACATTTGAGCCGATCCATACTCGGAAGAAGCGATACCAGCAATCTGACCGAGCAGATTGATCCAGCCAGTGTACCAGCTGATAGAAGGCACCCATCGTGGAGGTACAAGACGAGAAACAGTAAAATAGAGACCGCCGCTTGTGGGATATGCGGATACCAATTCAGCCACAGACGCCGCAATACACATACATCCCGCACCGGATATAAGCCAACACCAAACCACCGAGGCCGAGCCACCGGCATAAAGCGGGTATGAGAAGGTAGTCGCAATGGTCGCGAAGAGACCGGAAATACTGAAAGCGAACGAAAAGGTGGATAAATAACCGAATTCGCGCTTGAAGACCTGTTTTTTTTTTTATATACTAGTATTAATATTTTTTGAACAACGATATATAATTTCACTCGGTCCAATTTGAAAAGAGTCTAGGGTTGTGTGCGCGCATTGGGCATACCGGTTGATAACCAAATTGTTCCGCTAAAGCCCTGTCAGCAGCAGATAATTCATCGAATTGAAGAATGCGCTTTTCAGGGCTTTCAACTGGTACAGGTGCATCGGGCGAGACGGTAGCATTGTTCTTGTCCAGAGACGGGCTTTCGCTAGTTGAAGTCGACATTTTTTTTTTCCTTTCTTTTCTTCTACCGAATTGAGCGCTTGTGGGTCTTTTTTTTTTGGAAGAGGTGGTGTCGCGTGCGGTGTTTCCTAGTATAACCTAGGGTATAGAAGAGTATACTGAAATATAACCAATCTAGACGTTGTCGCGTAGGCAGATTTACCGCCACTTGATGTACCGGACTATCCTCTTGCGTTGTGATAAAAGATCGATGAGCGTCTCCTGGTCCATGGACTTGCCTCTGGAAAGAGACTGACTGGGTAGGAAGCAGATATAGGTCGCGTTGGCAAAATGGTTCTACTCCGTTGAATGGACAGAGCTATCTTAAGTAGAAATGGATAAATAATCCTAGCAAGAGGACAGGGGAAGGGTAGGCAATTAAGAGCTGAGGAAGATAAAACGAAGAAAAAATTTTTCTGGTCGCAACGACGTCTTGGAGTGGAGCACAGGGTTGTTTTACTTTGGACGTTTAGACTTTATTTCCATGATTTGTATCTGGAAGACGCGAAGACTTTCCATTTCTGGGGGCAAAATCCTCGAGTGATTGGTGTTAACAAGACTCGCTAATTTAAACATCCTGGAATGGCGCGCATTGCAGCGGCTCGCGGTGCTTGGCGCGGGTCTTAGCCGCGTGGGTTCTGGACAATCAGCCAATCAGCAGTCTTCGATTGGGCAGCGATGGGGCCTCAACCGGGAATATGTGCACCAGTTGGTATCCACCCTCGTGCATTAACATGTGCAATGACGCAGTTGGTCTCAATTATTCTTGACTCTGGCCAATCAGAGCACCGGAAAGCATATCCGACTCCGCTCTTCCCATATCTGATTGGCTGCTTGTTTATCTGGTCTGACCTCGGGACTCGAAACGGAGAACACCGGGTCTCACGTGACCATCTCCCGTCCTATCGTGTCGTTTCTATCAGACAGGGACTCAGGAACTCTTTGCCATTCTTGCTTGGCCGACAACTCTAGTTGAGGATCTACTTTCCCGTTCTTGGGGTAAATCTCAACGACTGTTCGTTCGATATGAGTGGCTTTGGCAAACTCATTTCTCGAGATAAGGATGCTTACCTATCAGTCAGTGCGGCGTCCGACTTAGGGGCTGATGCAAGATAAGAAACTCATACCCTGTGCGATTGGTGTCGTGGATTGACCGTATGTATAGCAGAATCATATTAATGCCCATATTTTGGGATTTGATATCTTCAAGAGTTAAAAAGTTACCATGTAGTTAGTGAATACTACTCCAAATTCATCTCCGCGTCTTAGCCAGTCTCTGCCCCCTCCAAATCGTACCAAATCTCGTTATCGCAAAGTTTGCTGCCAGGCCTCCACCTCCACTTATCAACGCTAGCAGTGAGAAAAACCAACCTATTCCCATAGCGTCAACGAGTGGCTGCATAATCGCGACAGCTACGGCCGATAACACACAGCGCGTGATATTTGATGCCTCAGCTGCTGTGCCGGGATTCGATGGGAAAAGATCAACCAATAGAGCATTGAAAGTCTGTTGAAAGCAAGTGCAGAGAACCACCAGAGTAAACTGAAGTATCAACGGCCGACTCTCATGGACATGTCTGCTCACTGCCTACCCCTATCCTCCTAGCGACAGGATATAAATTGCAAGCAGGACCCAGCAACCACGGGCTCGAGCCTTTTCAATTGGGAAGTTATCCAGATCATTGTTTCCAGATACTGGATCAATAGGCTGGCTAATCTTCTTCTCCGTGATGGCGTGGTTATAATCCATCAATCTTCGTCCGTTCAGATATCCTCCCAAAACGACACCGACTCCACCCGGGAGGTATACCAGCCCAATCGTGAGTTCATCTGAAGCCATAAATGTCCTTGAGTATGGAGGGGTTGGATGTTTGGACGCAGTAATAGACGGCATATGGCGAAGCGGCCATCCACAAAACCACCGCCGTATCTTTCTAGAAGAGAATGGCAAGGCAACCCATCGGATTAGAAATATTGCATTTGCGCTTGCTTGGACCCTGCCCATGTTGCCGATCTGATGGTATCCCGAGCTCCTCCTCTTTTACTTCAATTATTAGTCGACCAATATATTGTCTTCCTTATACGATTTCTGACAAGATCATACCACGTCATACTCCAGCCTTTTGCTGGGATACTACCGTTTCCAACTAATTCTCTCGCCATCTCCGGAAACAAACACCCCAATAACCATCAAGATGGTGGCACCAAATATAAAGAACGCCCAGAAAACCCATTGATAGTTCCTGCTACCACCTAGAGCAACCAAACCATCGATATACGGGTCCAATACATATAGCCAGACTTGCCGCTCCCATCATCGGTCCTAACATGGATCCCCCTCTCGGCATGAATACATATATCCGCAACACCCCCATAAGCAACAGCGGGGACAGAGGACGCTCCCAAGCTCTGCACGGCTCTGAGGATTAAGGGTGCCGAGTGGCTTGTCTTGTTCAGCGCAAGACCCAAACTCACAACGGTGTAATTGAGTAGGTGATTAGATAGATTGGCCGTCTACCGAAAGTATCTAAGTTGGTGGCGAAGAGGAAGAGGTGAGATTGCTTGGAAGATGATGCATCTTTCATTGCGACCTCTTCCATAATAATTGGGTCTTGGTAGCCTAAGTCCATCTTGTTTAATTTGAACGTTTACGTTCCGAACCTCAAATTTGAATTGAGTCAAACCATCATTCCATCTCATCTAGTTATTTCCCTGCTCCTTTAATTTTTGTAACTAGTGACTCACCATGGGTGCTTTATATCCTGTTGTTACATCCTACCCAGCTACGAGAAGCTTGTCTAACAATCTATTTTACCCTGCTTAAGCCAAAGGATAATTGTAGCCGCAATGGCAACTCGAGAAAGAGTTTGGGATAAACCAATCCCCGTTCCTGAGAAATTGGGTTCAGAGCGTCGATGAGAACGCAGTGAAACGTATGTCAATCCCTGAGTTCTTTTCCACCTCATCTTGCTTGCCTGGTTCCTAATCAATGTGTCCTTGAAGTCTACCAGAACTACCATAAGAAAGCGAAATCCTGGGCATTATTAGATGTGGACAGAGCTACTGGACGCGCATTGCGCATTCTGATCGAACAGGTAGATGGATCTTACCCAACGTTCTTTCTCAAGGTTAACAAAGCCGTATTGATCTTAAAGTAAGTGTACTACTAACGATTTGCTATCAGTCTACACAAGCAGGTAACCCAGAATGACCAAGGAAAGGCCATGGCATCCGGAGAATTCATATCCATGAAATCCTTACAGGACAAATCACCTCGCCTCTGCCCTACCCCAATAGCCTGGGGAACATTTGCAGCGGACAAAGGACACCCATTTCGACCTCTGCGAATTCGTGGAAATGAATGAAGAGATTCCTGAACCCCAAGAACGAGGCAAGGGACTAGCTCAATTACACAAAAATGCACTTTCTCCAAATGCAAAATACGGATTCGCCGTCCCTACTGTCCAGGGCACAATCCCTCAGTACACCGAATAGACAGATTCATGGGAAGAATTCTTCACACACTCAATCAAATACGTCTTTGAGGCAGAACTAAATGCTCAGGGAAGCGATGACAACTCTTGAAATTTTGATTCTGGAAGAAGCGATTATCTCAAAAAATTATTCCGAGATTGCTTCGTCCATTCGAAACGGGGGGTAGAAAGATTGAACCCCGGTTGATTCATGGCGATATATGAGATGGGAATACTTCCACGAATTGTGCATCTAATCTACCTATGATCTTTGATGCTACATGCATCTATGCTCCGAATGAGCGTAAGTCCATCTTTGTATCAAGGTATGGGATACTCCTGACAAGGACTGGCAGTGGAACTTGGCCCTTTGCGACCCATGCGCCACAGAATGCGTGATGAATACGTCAAGACGTATTTTAAATATTCCCCTCTACATGCTTCTCCCATGGACAACACTGGACTGTGCAACCTTGCCAGGTGGAATGCGATGAGAGTAAATCATGCACCAGACGTCTCTACCCTACGGTCAGCATTTAGCACAATATATGAACTAACCTTAAAGGAAACATATTACTTGAATGGATTATTACCGGGTTATACCCCAAGAGACCAAAAAGACACAACAAAACAGGTATGAATATAAACAAACATAACGGTAACAAATTACTGCGCTCTCCCCTTCCCTTTCCCAGCCGCCGAGCTACCATATAAACTCGGGAACTCCTGCTCCAGCTGCCGTTGAGAATTCTCACGACTCTGCTCCTCGGCAAGACTCAGTTGAATAGCAAATTCCAAGTCATCCATTTCCTGCTGATTGCTGCTTTCAGCTGCTGCTGTCTCCGGTGGCGAACTAGATTGTTGGCGACGTTTGAATTTGGATTTTGCGCCTTTAGCGTATTTGATTGGTATTGATGAGGTGTTGAATGATGGTGGCGACGATGTCTGCTGCCGTGCGTTAGGCGAATGTGGAGTTTCGTCGAGTAGACTTAAGCGAATTGCTTCTGCGATATCAGGGGCAAGTTCTTCCTCGACGGTCTCAAGGGCTGGTGAAGATGACGAAGAGAATTCGCGAGGTGGATAAGAGCTGTCAAAGGCAGCGACGGTATCACTAGATACACTGCTGGCCCGCGTGTTACTTCCACTCTGCTTTTGATTGAAAGCGTCGTTCAGACTCTCCTCGCTCAATAACTGAGCATAAGCGATAAGCTCCTCCTCAGTTGCGTCGGGGCCAAGTAGATCAGTTCCAAAACGATAGCTAAGGTGTTCTCTCTGTTTTTCGTCTTCAACGATCTGCCGTTTCATCTCGTGATGCTCATCTTCGATGAAGTCTTTCAAGGCACCGCGGCCAGTACTGGTGAAGCGCTGACCTTCCGAGGATGAGTTGCTGCCTCGGTGAGATCGTCGTCGACGACGCTTGCTGGTCTTGTACTCGTCGGCAGCGGATGAGCTATACGACCAAAAGCGAACATGCGTTCCAAGAGAAACGATACCTCGTAGCACGGTTGGATCCGGATCGAGGCAGATTGCGCCAGCAGCGAAGTAGTTATTCCCAACACCTAGGATGGATGCTTCAGCCTGAATGAGGCGACGACGGGCACGAGACGAAAACCTAGAGTGCAACGTGCGAATGGGCCGAAGAGTCGATGCCAAAGGATCCCACGCTTGAACCAACCCGTCATTCCCACCATGGACAAGATAGAGAGATGTCAAACCAAGACATGAAACTTGAGGCGATTCCGTCTGTATTATCCGAACCGGTGAAACAGTGTTGATCAAGCCAGGAGTACGGCTCGGTGGTACCCGCATATTCCAAACATATACAGATCCTGAATCAGTTCCCACAGCCAGAAAACGAGCCCGTTGTCCTGGCACACCGGATTCAGAAGCCGAAGCTTGCATACATGGTAATGGTGAGGAAGCAGGTGAAGACACATTAGAAGCACTTGACATTCCAAGCAGAGGATCTTCCGCGACTGTGAGTTGTGCCAAACTGGACATGTCCATTGCTGCAGAAGTCAGCCGAAGAAACTTGGGACCACCGAAAACGAAGTCGGTTGCTTTCCATTCAGTATTGGCAATAGTCGAAACACTGTGGCTAGCATGGCTGGCAGCTCGAGACCGAGGCTGACTAGTTGGCTGAGACGACTGTGGAGTGGTTGGTCCACCGAACAGGGAGGGCACCACTGGCTTGAAGCTCGACAACTTCGGAGAATGCTCAGAGCTGGTTGATATAGACACTTTCTGACGGACATGACGACGGACTGAAGCAGACTGGTCTTGATCAAACCCACAGCTGATGATGAAAACCTGTTCTCCGGCGCCGTTCAAATCATCACCAGCAAAATCGACCTTTAACCGTCTTTGCATATCCCAGCCTTCACAGACTTTACGGAAGTGTTTTGGCTTGAATGCTAGATACTTCTCAATCTCCCTTGTTTCTGCAGCGATTTGGCTCTCACTCAGGCCCATTGAATCAGTAGAAGATCGTGGGCTGTAACTACCATCGACAGCGTCTCGGTTAAATGGATCAGGGCGAGCGACACGACGGGTAGACTCGATGAGTTCCCAACGAACACTACGGCCAGCCTTCCATGCCCTTCTTTCCAAAACCTCAGGCAATGCTGGCTGGTTGGATTCGGGAGGAGTTGGAAGCTCTGTCAAGTAATAGACTTCGCCTAAAGCATTCAAGACTGTAGCCCAAATCCGGCGAGTAGAATATCGTTTTTCCGAGAAGTTTTCATCTACCGAGATGGAGATAATTGGAACACCGGGACTGAGTACCCACCTGGCTGTAATTTGGCCAGGGTCGAACCGCCGTTCATGCAACAAACTGCTTCCAAGAGAGTACGCAGTCAAAACACCAGAAGTAGAACCACACAATATTCCAAATATATTGTTTGTTATTTTCAGGATGTTCGGAGACCTGGCGATCCACACCGAACTAACGCCAGTGGTAAAACTTTGAATGTCAGGAATACCTAACGCGGGTTCCGAGTGTAGTTCAGAACCGCCGAGAAATCGACCACGTTTCTCATCCGATGATACGAAGTAGCTGCGGCCTCTAGGACAGCCTTCGCCGTAGATCATGCCATATGGTTGGCTCACGTCCATGGAATTCGGTACCCCAACCATATCCCCCGCTCCCAAACCATACTCTGCTTCGCCGGAATACAAGTCTGTGAAATGATTGAAAAGTGGATGACCGTAAAGACCCCACGGACCTGTCTTCCCAGCAGAAGGATCACTCATTGAAGCAACACCCTCCTCCGCCGCTCCGTGGATGAACAGGGGAGATTTCTTGGCATTCGTAGGTGTAAACAAGGCATCAATATGAGTAATGGGATACAGAAGCTGGGAAGTATATGTCGCAAGCGCTGATCCGCTTTGGATTCCCCCAGCACGAGCATTGTGCTTTCCAGATGAAGGAATCACCGCTGGCTTTCCTCGACCAAGGGACCGCAACAGTCGTGTCCGGAGTATATACTCACTGCGCCACGATGCCAGTGCAGTCAATCTAGTGAAAGAGCGTCTGGACGAGTCCAATCCTTCAGATGTAACATCTTCGCCGATACTGTAAGGTCCTGGGAAGTAGCGCCCAAACGCGGTTCTCCAGGCATGAGGGGTAGTGACTAGTGTATGGAATCGACGGGATACGAACGCAATCGCCGTGAGAGCAGCGGGCGTAAGATGCGAGAGAATATGAGTAAGAACCTCTATATTACAAGTTAGCCCTATAGCAACGAATTCCGAGATGTATCATGCCAGCGTACCATTTGGAAGTTCCGCGAGAGTTTGGCGGGGTTTGGGTCGCAAGACGTAAACCTTTGATTGATGCGATCCCGGAGAAGACCGAAACACGTCTTCTAAGGAATTCTCAGTTTCAACACCACGAGGAACTGATGATGGTGAAGATACAATGGCTACATCGTCGTCGGTGCCGTTCAATCTTCGTAGTAATGCGTCTTCGCTGGCATGCGCCCCAGCGGGAGCGGAAACTGGCGGGTCGCTCGACGCGACCTGGTCTCCAACATCTTCGCGGAGAAGAGTGTCGAAGACCGGTTCATCGCATCGATCGTCATTGCCATGCTGGAAAGATGTTGTAGGTTGAGGAGTAGGGACGTCTGGAGAAGAATTTTGCGAGACGACAGCAGGCTCTGAGGGCATAAACGTTTTCGATGTAGGGTTTGAGCAAATGAAGCACGACTGACCAGAAATTGCTGAGTCAGTCGGTGGTAAGGTTAAAGCGGTGAGCGTGAAAGTGAGCGTTTGTTGAAAGCGATGTCAGCAAGTAACTGAGCCTTGAAGAGGTTGGGAGGGTTGGTGGTTGGAAGAGATGAAAAGGTAAACGCAGAGGATCAAGTTTGCAGTGAGTCAAGCCAGTCGTTGGCCACGTGAAGCTGACTAACCGCGGGTGTTAGTTAACTTATTGGTGTCTGATCTTCACGTCGTAAGACCTGACGAGGAAACTTGAACAAAAAGATTAACTAATGTATGAAGTATTTCGTATTTTCTCACAGATAGGCAATTTCAAGGGAAAAATCCATATCGATGTACATGAAAGAAGAAGTTGTAGACAAAAGTGAACTCATGCCTCAGGCATCAATCGATAAGCCGATAAAGCAGTCCTTTTGTTTAACACGATTCGTGGCGAACGTATAACTCAACAGAATCTCAACTAGCAGAAGCCATAATTCCTATGGCCATCTAGTCATATTTCATCTATCTGCATATCATAATGATATGTCACATCTGATCAGTGGCGCTGACAAGATTCAAGTTGCAGCTACTTCTCCAGGCAGCACCGGCAATTCATCAACTTAAGGGTTAGCTGCTCCTGTCTCAAATCTCAGTTTTCATGCATGCGATACACACATCAAAATGCCACCCCTAGGAGGTAAGCCATCACTTAAACTATGCCCTGTATAAGCAGAGATGCTAAGCATAGAACAGACGCCGACACAATTCGCATCCTAGTCTCCACAGATAACCATGTCGGCTACAATGAGCGCGACCCAATCCGGGGCGACGACAGCTGGAGAAGCTTCCACGAAATCATGTGTCTCGCCAAAGAACGAGACGTCGACATGGTTCTTCTGGCTGGCGATCTCTTCCACGAAAATAAACCATCCCGAAAATCCATGTATCAAGTCATGCGCTCATTACGCGCAAACTGTCTGGGAGACAAACCTTGCGAATTAGAGCTGCTCAGCGACGCTAGTGAGAATTTCCAGGGTGCTTTTAATCACGTCAATTATGAGGATCTTGACATTAACGTTGCTATACCTGTTTTCTCGATTCATGGGAACCATGATGATCCATCTGGTGAGGGTCATTTAGCGGCGTTGGATATTTTGCAGGTATCCGGGCTCTTGAACTACTACGGACGTACGCCAGAGTCGGACAATATACAGGTTAAACCTGTGCTCCTACAAAAAGGTCGAACGAAACTTGCTCTCTACGGATTGAGTAATGTGCGCGATGAGCGGCTGTTTCGTACCTTTCGGGATGGCAAAGTGAAATTCTTTCAGCCTTCTGTACAGAAAGAGGACTGGTTCAATCTGATTTGCGTTCACCAGAATCATTATGCTCATACGGAAACGGGTTATCTACCAGAGAATTTTCTGCCGGAGTTTCTGGATTTGGTTATTTGGGGCCACGAACACGAGTGTCTTATTGATCCAAAACTGAACCCGGAGACGAATTTCCATGTGATGCAACCTGGGTCTTCGGTGGCTACGTCTTTGGTTCCAGGTGAAGCCGTTACTAAGCAGGTGTCGATTCTTTCTATAACGGGGAGGGAATTTAAAAGCGAACCGATACCGTTGAAAACAGTGCGTCCGTTTGTCATGAAGGAGATTGTGTTGTCTGAAGATAAAACAGCAAAGAAGTTGGCACGAAAGGAAAATAACCGAACTGAAATTACCCGCTTATTGATGACCTACGTTGATGATCTGATTGAACAAGCCAAAACAGAATGGTTAGAAACGCATCAAGATGACATTGGAGATGATGAGGAACCACAGATTCCTCTACCACTTGTCCGTCTACGTGTAGAGACTTCTACGCCGGAAGGTGGTAGTTTTGACTGCGAGAATCCACAGCGTTTCTCCAATCGTTTCGTCGGTAAGGTAGCCAATGTGAACGACGTCGTCCAGTTCCATCGAAAGAAAAAGGCATCTACGACTCGCAAAGCTGGTGATTTAGATAGCGAGGCAGCCGTGACGCATCTATCATCTCTTGATACAGTCAAAGTCGAACAGCTCGTGCGTGAGTTACTTACTGCACAGTCGCTGACAATTCTTCCTCAGAATCTGTTCGGTGATGCCGTCTCTCAGTTTGTCGACAAAGACGACAAGCATGCCATGGAAATGTTTGTGAACGAGTCACTCGACAGTCAGATCAAGCATCTCTTGACCCTAGAGCGCGATGCAGATCTCGATGATGAGGACGAAGCCCATCAATCGTTACGGAACGCGATGGAGAAATATCGCGGTCAAATGGAAGAAATGTTCGCCAAGGGAGCAGTGAAACGAACACGGGGACAAAAGAAATTCAAGCCCAAGCCAGACGGTTGGGACTCGGAATTTGATGGTGCATGGGAGGATCAGCCTGGAGCACTGATCCATTCTGATAATGAAGGCGGAGACCCGATTGAAGAAGACGTTGCTGAAGATGGAACTGAAAGAGCAGCACCCTCGGGACGAGGTAGAGGAAGGGGTCGCGGTGGACGCGGTGCAGCAAGTACCACTCGCAAGACTGCTACTACTACTACTACTACTACAGCCGCCAAGACTGGTACGACCTCACGGGGTAGTAGAGGCAAGAAAACCGTCATATCAGATGACGATGAAGACGAAGACGTGATCGTGGTTGAGGACTCCATGGAGGAACCGGAAGGAATCATATCAGACGACGACGACGATAACTCTCAGGCACTATTTGTCCAGCAGTCGCGCGGTAAGAAGACAACAAGTAGCGCTCGGAAACCGGCGGCAAGTACTACTACCACGGCAGCATCGCGAAGTCGGGCTAAAAAGGCCGCCTCTCCGGTGCCGTCGTCGGTAACAGCAGGCGCGTCTTCCGTGAGACGCGGCGGAGCAAAATCAACGCAGCAGACGACGCTGAATTTTGCTTCGCAAGCCAGTTCGACGGGTGCAGTGAGACGGAATGCTGCGCGTACAGCCAGGGCAGGATTCACGGAGATGAGTGATATTGAGGATGACGATGACGACGATGCATTTGAGCCTGCCACGATTACTCGGAAACGGCGGTAGTGAGTGTGTCACTGTCGCCTTACTGCATGCATCCTTGGTAGATAAAATATGTTCAAGATGCCGTATCTAGTCCCTGCTTATCAAGACTTGGTTATCGCCGCCATCCCTGTCTACATATCGATAAGTCATCATCAAGAATTCTACGATAGCAACCTCCATACATCGGAATCAGATATTCGTACCTTTATTTACGTACATCAGCTGAGAATACTACGTTCGCCTATGCTGATGCCAGCATGATTGGCTCTCGAAAACAGAGAATAATATCACGTGATGAACTGTTTCACATAGAAAAGGCTATATTGGCCAATCACCAGTGAGACTCTGCAAGAGTTCGATCGACAGGGGGGAGTCGATTCTCCAGTCAAAACACTCAATTCAATGCAGTAAATACACATGAAAACCGTGTAAAAATGCATCGAGTACTGTAACCAACTGTAGCCAACTGTGTACGTAGTAGTTGAAGCGTTCACCGCCGCTGACAGCCCCTTTACCACCAGCCAAGAAGCATAAGAAAACGAGGCTTGAGCGACAAGAAATTCAAAAGGCCGAAAGGGGAACAATAGCCATGAACCACTTGGCGTCACTAAGAATGCCAGCGTCTTCTCCACTGACGGCTCATAGTCCAAGATGTTAGTGGGCTCTAGTGTCGACAGAGTTTCAGACTCTGAAGAGTCTGAGAGAAGCGTGTCTCATTCAGCACTGCCCAATTGCCCTTTGCGAATAATGCCAATGCTTGGGCGGAGACGCGGTGGAGCTCTCAGTGAGACTGTGGCACTAAGCTGGTCCTCAGTCCCCTCTTTCCGCCTTCTTCCTCCTCCTACTTCAACTTCAATATTCACCACTGTCTCATGTATCCTCCTGCCATCAATCGCTCTTTCTCTGTATTATTTTTATTCAATATTCTTTCTCGTCCCTCGTTCGTCGTTTAGCGACTCCGTCTATTTCTTTGCGCTGTCTGCGCTGCCGTTCTCTACCATCTTCTAATCTCCAATACCCGATACTATTTCTGTTTGATACCACGTATTTTCATCACAATATCGGAATATCGACACCATGGTTGCAGTGCGTATTTTATCCAGTATCGGCAATTCATTTTATTTTCTAACACCAAATACAGTCCTACGCAAAAATCTTCGCTGCCGTGTGCGGTTTGGCTTCCACCGCCGCTGCCGTTAACCCCGTCACTGTCCAAGGAAAGGACTTTGTCGATACTGTCACCGGCGACCGTTTCCAGATTGTTGGTGTCGACTACCAACCTGGTGGTTCATCTGCCTTCAAGGGTACGGCCGACCCTCTGAGCGACAAGGACAGCTGCTTGCGCGACGCTGCCATCCTGCAATACCTTGGCGTATGGAATTTCTTGTTTTCTTGAGCTGTCTGTTGGATCCACGTCGCTGACAACAATACTAGATCAACACTATCCGTGTATACAACCTGGCTCCCTCCGCTAACCACGATGAGTGCGCTTCCATCTTCAACGCCGCCGGTATTTACATGATCCTGGACGTCAACTCTCCCCTGGACAACGGTTCCCTCAACCGCGGTGCTCCTTGGGAATCCTACAACCCCATCTACATGGCCCAAGTGTTTGGTGTCATTGAGGCGTTCAAGAACTACCCTAACACCGCTGGTTTCTTCTCCGGTAACGAGGTCATCAACGAGGACAGTGTTGAGCTGGTTCCCAACTATATCCGGGTATGTGTGCTTAAAAAGAAAAAAAGAAAAACAAAAAGAGTTACAAACCGTGCGTTACTAACTGTACCAGGCTGTTCAACGTGATATGCACGACTACATCAGCAAAAACTCCAACCGTTCTATCCCCGTCGGTTACTCCGCCGCCGATGTCCGACCCCTCTTGGTTGACACTGCCTACTACTTGTCTTGCAACCTTTCCAACTCCACCAATTCTCGTTCCGACTTCTTCGGTCTCAATTCGTACTCGTGGTGCGGTGATGCCACCTACCACTCTAGCGGCTACGATGTGCTCACTCAGGATTTCGCTAATATCTCTATGCCTGTTTTCTTTTCCGAGACTGGTTGCAACAACGTCAAGCCTCGTGTTTTCAGCGAGATTCAAGCCATCTACGGTCCCGACATGTCTCAGGCTCTCTCTGGCGCCTTGGTGTACGAGTACAGCCAGGAGGCTAACGACTACGGTCTTGTCAGCATCAACAGCAACGGATCCGTTACCCTCCTTATCGATTTTGAGAATTTGAAGAGTCAATACAACAAGCTTGATTTTGGCTCTATTACCGCACACAACTCCAGCCAAACTTCCATCAAGGCTCCTACCTGTGATCCTAAGCAAATCACATCCAACATCACCAAGAGCTTCGATGTCCCCGACCGTGTTGCCGGAATTGACAAGATGATCCAAAATGGCGTTACTACCAACGTCTCTGTTGGTGCCTTGGTTTCCGTCTCCTCCACCAAGATCAGCCAGACTGTGTATGACTACAAGGGCAATGTTGTTTCTGGTATTCAGTTGAATGTTCTCGACAAGGGCGCTGTCAACACACCCAGCAACTCTAGCACTGTGACATCTAGCTCTCCTTCTGGAACGAGCACTGGTACTAGCGCCTCTGCTTCGTCTACCGGCAAGGGTGCTGCCAGTTCAGTCCGCGTAAATGCTCTTACGGGTCTTGGTGCTATGGCTGCCGTGGCATTCTTCGCTTTGTAAACAATTTTGCCTTTTCGATTCGTGATTCATTTTGGTGAAACCAGGCGTCAGTTATGCTCGAATGGGAGTGATTCTTGTATATGTCTTGGTTGTACAACCCTAGTAGCGTATATCACTTTGTAGTTTTACTGAAGCTTATGTTCTTATGCTTGATCAATGCATCCATCATTCATGCTACATACAAATTCATATTATTGTAAAGTATATATATCCATTGAGAAGTCAAGGAGAAACAACCTTGGTAGTCACATTGACAGTATCCCTATTCAACTTCACCCACCACTGCTCCAACGCATCCATCGCCTCCGTCTGGATCCTCTCCACCAAAACTGGATCCTCTGTCCTGCCCTCCCTAAACTCCCTAAACGCCCCTTGCACGACTCCATGGTCCCTCAACCCACTCACATCATCATGTCCATCAGTCGCAACCTTCTCCTTCCCCATCTCAACTCCCTCCTGAAATGCATTCAACCTCGCCAATAACCTCTGCATATCCCTAAAAATTCGATCAGGCGGCATTCTTTTCAAGTCCACCCAATCAAGACCCTTCAATCTATATTTCCGTCCAACTTCGACGGTAGCGCGAATCACGCCCTTTGTACGGAATTCGTTATTAGCGACGATACATGTCCGATTTAGCGCTTTTGCTTCCCCCTGTAATAATCGCGTAATTCTTGTTGCGCCAATTTCAGCTAGAGAGGCGTATACCAGCAACGCCAGAAAGGCAAGTTGCATATACCCAATCATATTCACCATGCACGCTACAGAGCATATCGCGGACATGGTACCCGTCAACGTCCAGAACCAGTGTAGACAATTCGATTTCAAGGTCCGGTTGAATTCCCATGTACTGCGCGCCCATGCTTCCATTGTATCTTGTCTTCCTTTGAAGACCACCGTGCCTCCCGCGGGTCGTTGGTAGATTGCATATCTGGTTGTGGCGTCTTCCTTGATTGAGATCCTTTGCGGTGTGACTAGCGATGTTGTCGAGATTGCGAGTCCGGCCAGCCAGTGCGTACCGTAGAAGAAGAATAGTGTTAGAGCCCAGATATCGGCGCTCAGGACACCTAGCACGATACCCGCGACGATGATTAGCCCGTTGACGAGCGAAATCAAGTTCAGAGCTGAACAGCCCAACCACCTGGTCCATTTCGACGGACCATCTTTGATACTGGCGGAGTCGCCATCGTCATCATCCATACAAACAACCATAAAATCATTAGCCGGTCTACTCGAAGCCTTGAATGCAATCACATCCCCCAGCCACATATTCCCCCAATCCAACGGCAACTCCTTAAACACCATATTCGACACCACGCTCAACAGCTGCGTATCCCGCGTACACAGGGTGATGGCCGGATGAATAGATTGAAAATTAGCCGTCAAATGCTCCACTAGCACTTTTAAGGGGATCAGACTTGATCCCATCATCATTGTGTGCGGCCATGTGAAGTAGTTTCTGTCGAATTGGGTGTAGAGTCGAGCCGCGCTGAGGCTGGCCCGGGGGTTGTGTAGGACGGCGGCGACGCCGAGGGGGTCGAAGGTTACATCCGTGGAGTTTTTGAGGGTTGCGTCTGGTCTATTTGGTAGAGCTAGGGGGAGGAGTTTTCGGTCTGATGTTTGGTCTGTTGTTTGGTCTGTTGCAGTTGCGGTTGCAGTTGCGGTTTGGAGGAGGGTGTAGATTAGACCCAAGTTAGACGCCATGTCTCTCGCGACATTTATCGATGTTGTCCGTGATGTACGTAATGCTTGAATTTACGTATATCCGTGGATATCTGGGTAGCGATGGTGGTGGTCAAGGTGCGGCGGCACTGCGGCTGAGATATGCCATCTCAACACCTAGCGCACGGTCCAGAGCGTTAGTTCGCTTCATTCTGGATGCTTATTCTGACGTTGGTCTTGTTGCGACTAGAAGTATCTGTATGAATCTCGAACTTCTGCGATTATATAGCCGTACTAATGTGATAAACTGCCTACGAATCTAAGATCTAAATCTTGATTCATGAACCATGGGTACAACATACCAAAGAGATCTTGGTTAGGCAACTTAGCCGAGTGTATGTGGATACCTGTCCAGATACGGAAGTAAGTCTACCACTGGCCTCAAAGGTGCCTGGTCTGACTTTACAAAGGCAGTGGCATGGCGCCTCTTATAGTCGGGGGGATATGGAGTCGCGAACGCTCACTTTATCTCGGCGCAAAGTACGATTCAGTTCTTCTGCTCGTATTCCATGTATCCCGTATTACGCCCGTATTCCCTTCGTAACTATCCCGGAAATCACGCTTCCGAAGCCCCGAGCTTCTTGTCTCGTACACAGTCTTAATCATTGTACTGAAAACGAACTCCTCTTTTAAGCGCACTACGCACTGCGAGCTCAGTAGAAGTGGCTCGTTATTTCCGACCCTTTCCGCGGCGTAATTTGTGATTACTGAAATTTGGTTGTTCGCAACGAGTCAATGGGTTTGTGCCTAGGTACAAGCTCCTTCTGTCCGTACTGATACTGCGTTGATCGTCTAGTACGTATTTATCTTTGTTGGCTATGGTTGATGGGGCTCAATTGGTCATCATATAGCTGACTTTGTGTCTAACTTAGACTAAGACGCAGAGCGACTTGGTCGGTTCGGATTTTTCTTGGTCTGCGGAAGAAGGCTTCCACTAGGGTTCGCGGTGATGACTTCGGAAGTACCCCCAAGAACTGATACTTCTATATATTATGACCATGGATATCCCCGTTCAGACGTTCATACATGTAGGTGAACCCAATCAGATGAGAATGTTACTATTGGTTCTGCATGGTAAACCTCCAACTTAACCCGACCTCAAACGCGGGGTTCAACGTGGAGTCTAGGTTATATACAGACAACACATGATCGAGTCCCAATTTTAGAATAAAAGGTTCAACGGGGAGGGAACTTTGAACCTATGGGGAAAATCGAGTATTTACAGTTCATGGATTATGGAATTATTCCATGCTTTACCGGGATCACCTACATCGCATAAGCAATGCTATTGATATTTGGAATCAAGATTTTATTATTCGGGGATGCCCCTCTTGATCAGAGGTGATCTCGGTTATCCCGTCCAGGAGCAGTAACTAGTCAACGGAATGCCTTTTTTAAAGTAATTCGATGACTCCTATCACATCCCCAGCTGAGCACAAGCCGGGGGCGATGACAATCGAAACGATTCGCTGCAAGATCGACAACGCTGTACTCGCTGCCAGGGTACCTAGCACTTCTCCATTCTTCTCTATTCTCTGTCAAAAACGTTTCAAGTCTCACTACGCGTATTCCGCATGCCCGATTGGGCACTTTGATGCATCCAAAGCACCACGGCCGGGAAAAGCAGGGACACCGATTTGTCATATGTCTCCTTATCAGGCGCAACGATGCCGGGAGGCAGAGATCACGGGATCCGTACAAAAGTCCAGACCCATCAACCCCAGTACATAGCGTGGCCGAAATTAAGGCGTTGTCCTTTTTAGTTCTTCCGAGAGCAACTATTCCTTTTGTGTGGAGGGGTCACCTTGGAGTAAACAGGAGCAAATCGTGACTGGCGCGCTTGAATGGATATCCTTGAAGGCTCTTTTTCCCTGTATAATAAATGCAATTGATCAATAGCAGTGGCTTCTTCCAGAGTCTAGTCCACGCCATTGCTCATGTCTATTCAAAGCGTAGCTTTGATGCTGTGAAACTTGTTCCCCAGTTTGCGGGGTAAGAATGCATGGACATTAGAATCGTCCATTTTTATTGGTGAACTTGCTTCGGCATCGGATTAGCCCGTTGGAATGATGGGATTCGGACGAGGGGAATCTGAAACGAGGAGGGATTCAGATAGTAGAATGGTACTGGAAAGCCGTGTTGAGAATGGTCTCCGTACGATATCTATCCGTTGCCCCGGAAGGATTTTGCTCTGGATGAAGAAAGATTGGGAGTCTAATTGTGGCGACTCGATACAACTGACTCCATACAAGCGGGGAAGTTGGTATTACCAAGATTGTCCATGATGGACAATATCAGAATGCACCCAGGTATCATTAACATGCTTGCATGAACGCTTCTTCTTTCAAGAAATGCGGCGACCAGCACGCATTGGTAGCAGCATATAAGTTACGCATTACTATTATTACTGCTTGCAGAGTAATCGCATGGATCGACAACTAGGATGTTACCATACATGTATCAATACACGGATATACGGTAAGTACGTAAATACGATCATCCCGTGCGGGGTTAGTGTGTATGCAACCCCGCCAAAGTCCCGCTTTTAAAATAGGGTCTTTCCCATTCTGGAAACGCTCACCCGTATCACTGGGTAATACAGTCCGTACCGTACCACAACTGACGTAACGGAGTTATGGAGGAAGCAGGCGTCTCCCTCTGGTATAAAGCCAGTGCTCCCTCCCCCATCTTCCTGCCTGCTCTTCTTCTCTACAAGCCTTCGCAGACCTCGCAGTCCTCCACAATAAATCATGTCTCTCTCCACAGAAATCACTCTCCCTAACGGGATCAAATATGAGCAGCCCCAAGGCTTGTATGTTCTTATCTTCCTTATCTAGTGTTTGAAGCATCCTAACTTGGATATAGGTTCATCAACAATGAATTCGTCAAAGGTGTCGACGGCAAGACCTTCGAGACCATCAACCCCCACGACGAAAAGCCCATCACCTTCGTTCACGAAGCTACCGAGAAGGATGTCGACATCGCCGTCAAGGCTGCTCGCGACGCCCTTAGCGGCCCCTGGAAGCACATTGCCACCACCGAGAGAGGCCGCTTACTGACCAAGCTGGCTGATCTCTTCGAAGAGAACTCGGACATTCTCGCCGGCATCGAGTCTCTAGATAACGGCAAGGCAACACAATTCGCCAAGGGCGACGTTCAGGCTTCTGCATACTGCCTCCGATACTACGGTGGCTGGGCTGATAAGATTGTTGGCCAGACCATTGACACAGACTCCCAGAGCTTCAACTATACCATCCATGAACCCGTTGGTGTCTGTGGTCAGATCATCCCCTGGAACTTCCCTCTGTTGATGTGGGCATGGAAGATTGGTCCTGCTGTTGCTACTGGTAACACCGTAGTTCTTAAGACTGCCGAACAGACCCCTCTCTCTGCCCTGTATGCTGCCACCCTCATCAAGAAGGCCGGGTTCCCTCCTGGTGTCGTCAACATCATTTCCGGCTTTGGTCGTGTTGCTGGTGCTGCCATCTCCTCACACATGGATATTGACAAGGTTGCCTTCACTGGTTCCACCTTGGTTGGACGCCAGGTCTTGCAGGCTGCGGCCAAGAGCAACCTTAAGAAAGTCACTCTCGAGCTTGGTGGCAAGTCCCCCAATATTGTCTTCCCTGACGCCGATCTAGAGAACGCCATCTCCTGGATCAACTTCGGTATCTACTTCAATCACGGTCAGTGCTGCTGTGCTGGATCTCGTGTCCTCGTCCACGAGGCTATCTACGACAAGTTCTTGGAAGCGTTTAAGGCTCGCGCTCAACAGAACAAGGTCGGCAACCCCTTCGAGCAGGGCACATACCAAGGACCCCAGATCTCCCAACTTCAATTCGACCGTATCATGGGATACATTGACGAGGGTAAGAAGGCCGGCGCCAAGGTCGTTACCGGTGGTGAGCGACAAGGTGACCAGGGTTACTACATCAAGCCTACCATCTTCGCCGACGTCACCAACGATATGAAGATTGTCCAAGAAGAGATTTTCGGCCCTGTCTGCACTGTCCAGAAATTCAAGGACGAGGAGGAAGCCATCAAGCTTGCCAACGACACCAGCTACGGTTTGGCCGCTGGTATTCACACCAACGACCTCAATACTTCCATCCGTGTTTCGAACGCGCTCAAGGCCGGCACAGTCTGGGTTAACCAGTACAACACTATTCACCACCAGACTCCATTCGGTGGATACAAGGAATCCGGTCTTGGCCGTGAGCTTGGATCCTATGCCCTCGATAACTATACCCAGATCAAGACTGTGCGCATTCACCTTGGTGATGCTCTCTTTGGCTAAGTGTCTGCCAATTGTAATGAATAGTCTGCTGTTAGTCATGATGAAAATGTATTATCCATGATTCGTCTTTCCCGAGAATTTCATTAGTTAATCGCTTTCCCGAGCAAATCCATCCCACTTCCCTCGGTATAAAATCACCCCGAACCCGTCCCACCCACAACCCTGTAAAAAGCACTGCCCCCTTGTGGAGAACTCAATATTGTGTCTTTGTACAAGTCCCAAAGTATGGCTGACACATTCCCTGTCAGCAACAATAAGCTAGCTACCTACGGATATAACTGTAGTACTCAATCGGAAGTGCAAGTATCAACAGGGAAGATATTTATTTTGTATCTGTATGATTACTGAAGGGGTGAGTAAGCTACTAACTAATGTGTGTACTATGTACCTAGGTAACTACCGTATGAGATTACGCTAGGGGGAGAGATGTGTATTGTATGTTTACCATACATACAAACCGGAGATCAGAGCGAGTATTTATCTTTGAGTTTTTGGGTTTTTGTTTGCTTTAGTACGTACGGAGTATATTAGTTCCTCTTTCTCTCTTTTTATGTGTGTTTTGTGTTTTGTATCAATGTACTGGCATACACTCGAGTGTTTCAGTGATACTGTCCTGGTACTGTTTGTTCCTGTGTGAGCAGGACGGTCGTCATATAAACAATGTGTTCGTATATGGATAGATTTCAGAGCTTGTAATATTCCAACTATGAAGGGTATTATATGTCTATCTGTTTATATACTATCCTCAGTCCTTCCCAAGATATGTTTGTATAAATACAACATCTTTGCTACAATATCTTCTTCATCTCCAGCGTTGTCTGTTGTGGGACAGGAAGAACGGAGCTCACTTGCCGAATGTCTTCGACTATCGTACCGGATGAACTCAATACCTGTCTTTGAGAAGCCAGTATCAGACTTGTGCCAGTTGGCCCTCTGCTCATCGTGCTCAATTGATTGTCCTCGACGGTGATGATGATGATGATGATGATGATGATGGCAGAGCATATAAATCATCTCCGAAAAACTGACTCCGAGCCCAACGGCGCAGACGCAAATGAGTCGTATCCAGAAGGAATTGAATGATCTCAGACTTGGTAGGAAGATTGGCGTGTTACATATCTCGTAGACTTTTCTGGCTGGAATATCGTACATTCCCCTGCGATAAGTTCGAAGGTAGTCACTGTCAACCCTTTTTGGTGTCAGGAAAAGAAGACGATGTCTGGCCTCAATCTCAAACCCCAACAAAAACACAGCGGTCTCATATCCCTTATAATCCCATCTCTGGGCCGTTCGCGCAAACGCGAGTACTAACTCAAGAACTTTTGTGCTGTAGAGGTTGTTGTTGTTGCTGACACATATCTCGAGTACACACCATGGTCTGCGGAGGACTACTAACAAAGCTTCTGTTTTGCTTCCCTGGCCGATTATGCAATGTTTTGTGTGAAAGGCGGCGTTTAGGAGGAAGTGTGGTTTTTGTTTGTGGATATGGGATTGGGTAGATGCTTTGGACGAAGATTTGTTGGTGGTGGTTAAAGGGTGGACCTGACCAGATTCGTGACCAGATTCGTGACCCGGTGATGATTGCAATATGTCGTTCCAGGAGGTGTAGATTGGTAGAGACTTTGATATTGTATTGGCCTGATCTTGTAGTCTGTTTATATGAGCATTTCCCGCTGGGGATGGACTCTCCAGAATCTCTGTCCAGAGAGGTGGTAATGTGGCAGTTGAATAGATTGCGAATATTTCATGATTCAGACTTACTCCGCCACCTTTGTCGTTTTTTGCGCAGGTCCGGAGTAGATCTGATGTGTTGCTGTTGCTGTCATCGCTTACGGCGTGTATATGTATATGCTTCGTGATGCTGCCATGGTGCGGGGAACCAGATATATTATTGAAGGATGATTTTGGTTTTAGTGCTTCATATTGATTCATTTCCCTTATTCCTCGGACAAATTAATATGTTTTCCAACATATAAACATCATGGCTGTCATCGAATTCGAAGAGTTGTGTTGTGTATGGTGACATCCGAGTCTGTGGTGGTGATGCGGGGTTATGTGAAGAATGCCGTAGTTGCTGGATTGATGCATAGATGTTGCGTTCTGCCTTACACTTGCTGGTAGGGAGAGAAATGTTGGTTTAAATTAGACAATCTAGGGTGAAGATGAGTCAGTTGAGAAGATAAAATTGTACACGTGACGAGGCGCAGTACATACCACATATCTATTATCAGGCTCCCAAGTCATGTGTCGGTCTACGATATGAATGTTTCAATACAAATATCCGAACACTACGCAACAGAAACCTGAAGTACACAGCAAGCTATATCATAAATGGCGCGTAAATTCATAATTGGTATATAGCCTCAATCTCCTAGATCGATGCTCCATCATCAACCAAGCCAACAAGCACACGCCATACGCCATGCAGACCATTTCCTCATTTAATAAAAGTAATAGATAAGAGATCGTGGCCGCGTAAGATCAAAACGGAAACGAGTCGTCTGGGTATTCTACAAAAAGTATTCACTACGTCCTGGTCTCGACGAAGGAACATGTCGCTGATCATCGCTAACAGCGCTGAAGAGCTTGAATGTAGGTTTGAGGTCTTCGCGGATTTCGCATACTGATGCCAGATTGCCGCATCGGTAGCAGTAGTTTGGAGCACTCCAGACTGTGACGACGTTTTGCTTGGCGAAGTGATATTTGTAGCCTTCGTTGACCAATTGATGCGCTCGTGCGATTAGAGTTAGATCGTTGACGTGGCAGAATTCTTCTGCGACCTTGTTCCCGAATAGCCATCCTGTAATCCAAGTCAGTCAAAATTCATATTACCGGAAAGACAGCAAACTGACCAGCTCCTCGCGGACTGACGGCCCATGTTTCTACATCAGCTGCATCTTCTGGATCCGACCACACAAGATCACAAAAGGCACCCTCATGCGGAATTTCTTGTGCTCGAGCAACGACGCGGACTTGATCCAGTGTTCTGATCTCCGGACTTAATCCACCGTGCACACATAACACCTTGCCATCGATGATAGCACCCAGCGTCATAAAATCAAAGACCTGACAGCAGGCTTTCCACACCGATGCATTGCCGTATTTCTGAAAGCATTCTTCGTAAAACCCATAAACTTGTGTAATTTGTCGTGATTCGTGATTCCCCCGTACTAACGTTATACGGTCGGGATATCTGATCTGTTAGTAGCTGTCTTAATCCATGCAGACATAAGGGCAACAAACTTGGCTTTAAGGCATAGTAAAAGAGTCAGAGTCTCTAAACTAAAATAACCTCGATCGACATAGTCTCCCAAAAAGACAAAATTCCCAGGAGGAGGACCAGTAGCTTCTTTTGACGACCCACTACCGGAACGACCCCTGCTAGATGCTGAACTGGCATCGTCGGAATCCTGTAGACTGCCTGCGTTCCTGATTTTCTTTCGTAATTTTGGGTCTGTTATCGTCGAAGGAGGCTCGATATCGTCGGATGTAATGATTGGAGGTGTGTTTGCCGGGGGTTCAACGTTCGTCTCATTTGGCATACCGCCAGCTACTCGAAAGAGCTCCAGTAAATCGTAGAATTGTCCGTGTATATCACCACATATTGTAACAGGTGAAGAGACGGGTTGTATGTTCGATTCTGCAAAGATGAGTGTCTGACTGGAAAGGAGAAAGGGGGAGGCCTCTGCACAAACCTTCCATCATAAATTCCTTTACAATGTCACATAATTGTTTCATATGATGCTCTGATAGATATTTGCAGTTCTTGGCTGCTTCAAGCCATTCATCTGGACCAGCATTTCGTTTCAGCTTGGCCGGCCCAGGTGCTGGTATCGTTTTGTCTGTCATGGTAAAGTGTTTACTAATTAGCGATCAAATGAAGGGTTTGTCGGTACCGTAAGTTTGATGAATGGATCCAGATTCGTATGACAGGAGAACGACTGAGTATAAAGCAGAAAAAGACACTCAAATCTCGAAACACCCCCAGACATGAACAGTCTGTAGGGTAGCAATAAAGTGAAGATATTGGATGAATGCTGCGGGGAGAGTATCCGTGACGGCAACTACTACGCACTTGGTCTATGCTGGATCCCGTACTATCATCACTACTCTTGGAGTGACACGGCAGGAGGGTACCAAGTACAGTTCACTGGGGCGTGCAGATAGTGAAATTCTTAATTCATATCAATACTGAGAGCGTGAAGGTGGTTTCCATCTATAGACTTCCCAGACTCTGCAAGTTAACATCGAGAAGTGCAATCCTAGACCATGGCACAGTCTTCGGTTGCCAAAGAAGCTGGAATTATCCAGCTACCATTATCTGCGACACAAAAAGGAGCCTCAACAAAGCGCACTCCGAAGGTTCCTGCACCAAGACTGAAGCTTATTATCCGTCGTCTTCCTCCTGGACTTACACAAGCCGAATTCGAGACCGGCTTGGGCGATGATTGGAAAGTAGGACGAGGCAAGATCGACTGGTTCCAGTTCAAGTCAGGCAAGATTTCGAAAGAGTGCGTATTTTACATCCTTTAATGTTCTTTATTGATTCTAAGCCAACCTTACCCTGTCAGCCCTGCCAAACCGTCTCGTCCTGCTCGGGCCTACGTCCACGTGCTATCAGAAGAAATCATCGCTTCATTATCAGAAAAAGTCAGAGCTACCTCGTTCCACGATGCACGGAATACCTCAAATGATCCCGTCCTTCTTGGACCGCCGTCTGTCGAATTCGCCCCATACGCACGAGTGCCCGGAAGTCGTTCGAGGAAAGATGGAAGACAGGGAACTATTGACCAGGATCCCGAGTTTGTTGCGTTCCTCGAAAGTTTGACAAACCCAATCACGAAACCTGGGCCGGTCGAGGGTGAAACCGAAAAGAAAGAGGAAGAAGAAATTACCATCACCCCCTTGGTTCAATATATCAAGGAGAAGAAGGCAAGCAAGGCTAAGGACTCTGCGTCGGGCAAGTCGTCTAAACGCGGCGCCAAAGAGAAGGACACGAAGGTCGAGAAGGCGGAAAGCAAAAAACTCTTGAAGAGACCAGACCGAGAAGCTACGGACTCTACGCCGGCATCGCCTGAGAAGAAGCCGACGACAACGAAAATTGAAAAAGCTACAAAAGAAGCCGTAAAAACTGCCACCAAGCAAGCCTCTGCCACCAAAACCAAACAAGCCTCGGCAAAAGAAGGAACACAACCGGCTGATGGTCCTGTATCTACATCTGAACGCAAAAGGGAACGAGGTGATGTTAGAGCCGCAGCGATGATTCTGCAGCGAGATCTGGGATTAGCACCATCCGGTGGTCGACGTCGTGGAAAGGCTGCCGCAACGAATACAGAAGGTGATCCTGGTAAGGGGGAAGAGGCAAAATCGGAATCGGTTCCATCTACCCCTACAATACCGACTGGGCCGAAAGGCTCCAGAGCAAGTTCAAAAGCGGCCAAGAATACTACGCCGAAAGCCATTGCTACAAAAGCGAATACCACCACTACAACACCAGCAACGCCAATAGAGCCCAGCGCCGCTCCAGCCGTTACGGATAACGGGACCCCGCCAGCTACGAGTACGCCTAGAGTACCAAAAGCAACAAAACAACAGAAGCCTAAACAGCCCGCCGTATCGCCAGCAGCCACACAAGCATTCCTCAAACACGCGAATCCATCGCAGGGAGTTACGGAAGAATTACTCGACACCGCATTCAGCGCTTTTGGTAAAGTGACCAAGGTGGAAATAGACAAGAAGAAGGGGTTTGGATATGTCGATTTCGCTCAAGCAGAGAGTCTTCAGAAGGCGATTGCAGCTAGTCCCGTGACTGTGGCTCAGAGTCAGGTTGTGGTTCTTGAAAGGAAGAATCCGCCTACACAGCAGCAGGCCAAGGCAGCGGCAGTGGTTAAACCTGTTGGAACTCCGTCGCAAGCGTCATCTGCAGCACCTTCTCAACAGTCTAGTGGTGGGACTCCAAAGCGGTCACGGGGGCCTCGTAGTCGAGGAGGAAGGGGAAAGAAAGCAGCAGGAGGTGAAGGAGGAAACTCAGGGAAGCCTGAGACAGTGGAAGGAACAAGCGAGACATGATTGTAGTGTAGACAAATATTTCATCACGAATATGATACCCATGCACGTACTTCTCCCTAACAAGCCTAGTGTACTCTGTAGTTATGATAGGTTACGTGAAGCAAGTCCAGTTCTCAGGACCATACGAACACATTTCTGAAGAGGTTTTGCACACAATACAATGTTTAAAATATTTAAAAATTTCTGGTAATACTATCTTGCTAGCAGTCAAAAAAAGACAATAATAAAGGCCTTTCAGACCTCCTCGACACCCACCAAGTTCAGCCGACCGAAGTCAAGACGCCAAAACAAGGTAAAGATCATCACCACTCCCTGGAATAAGACTTCTCGCCTGTGTATCCACGACGGGACACACAAGAGCTCAAAACTATTCGAATCGGGAGTAAACGGACAAACTTGCAATTACAAGAGTGCCACAAAATTTCACTTTAGGGTATCGAGGACATGGAGGTCATCAGCAAGGGTGGGATATGTGGCTATTTTCGAAAAAAACAGCGGAAGGCGTCTACTAATGAAGTGATTCTTTGAAGTAGAGTCGCTATGAAAAAAAAAGAAAGAAAGAAAAAGTCCAAAAGAGCGAGGAGAGGGAAGCTGTTTATATAGCCAAGTTTTTCAAAATGCGCTAGACTATTTTGGGATAGGTGTTTGCGCAGAGATTTTCTTTCAGTGGATCCTGTTTGCTGTGTTTGCTCAGTTGGGCGTGTTTGTTAATTGTTTCGCTCTTCTCCCGGTGCGCAGCCAATGAGAGCGCTAAGTCATTTTTCTCTCTTATTGTTTTGTCTGTTTGCATGTTTTTTTTCAGGAGCAAAAAGCTGTCCAATGGCATCCTCTCATTGGAGTTTTCATGACAAAAGGATAACTATCCTTTCTTTTTGTACGGAATTTACGGAGTACTCCGTAAACATATGTACTACGATAAAGTCTCTTGGAAGCTGTATCTTCTCTGTGAAGGATCACATCGAACCACAAGGTTTCTGCATGGACATCCGGACCTAATCATGCTCAAGAGGTTCCCAATATCTCCTCTACTGTGTCAACTCGCTTTGGTAAGCCTGGTTCGTAGATGTAGGATGTACAGAGTATCCCATGCGGCTGTAAGCATTGTGGCGTCTATTAACGCAGCAAGCGACGCGCCGTTCAATTAGAGTTTCATACGCGCTTAGCCACAGCGGGTACCATTCTAAATCCGTCTTAATACTGATGGACAATTTTGGGCAACCCCTTCCTCAACAAAGACGAACCGCATTGATGATTATCGACTACCAACCAGAAGTGCGCTCATTACCGGTTATTAAAATATTTCTGGCTAGCTGTTCCTTGTCTTGGATGCCACAAGGTTTGGTTGGGGTGATGGAACTGTCCAGATATATGCCTGCGGTCAAGTTGTTTTCAGATTTCATACAAAGAACATCGACATGAGACGTGTCAGTATGTCATACTTCATGGCATACGGCGGTCCTGAATCGGGTGTAGTGCGTCTGACGAGATATTTATTCTTTTGCCGTCAAGTCTCTCGTCACTTCTTCAGGACTATGTTCGCTTTTGAGTTACTCACATACCAGTGACAATGGCTACTCTTGAGTCTCTTAAAAGAGCTCTTTGGCAAAAAGCCGACGACATGGCAACCGCTGGAGAGCAGCGGTTATCCGATGCTCAATACAGCGCTGGTTTCGATATCTTGATACATGGTCCAGGATGGACCACGTACGACAATTCTATCATCCTGCAACTTCAGGAGCAGCTATCTCCCCTTTTCGACTCACGACGCCATATCTCGGTGCTTGAAATCGGACCTGGCCCGGAGAGTATCCTTGGTAGTCTTCCACTTGAATGGAGAGACCGAGTCGAGACTTACACCGCATTTGAGCCTAATGATCTTTTTGCCACAAAACTCTTGGATTCTCTAGATAACCGTCGTCCTTGGACCAGACTACGTTATCTGAAGAGCCCACCAGACATACGCCGAACCCCGTTCGTTCTAGACAATAACATCCTGAGCGGTGCGAGCGATTGCTGTGGTAAATACGACACTATTTTCCTTTGTCATAGCATGTACGGAATGAAGCCCAAGAATAAATTCATCGAGCAGGTGATAAAATTGCTTGCTGAGGGCGGTATTGCGGTGGTTTTCCACCGCCATGGTGCCCTGGATTTGGATGGTCTGAAATACCATCGAATGAATTCATTCCCCACAGGAGTTGTTTCTGTCCTAGATGAAGATGATGCTCTGGACCGGTTTACTGCTTCTATTGTAGGGTGTACCATGCAGGACGCGGATTTGGACAAGGCTATGCGAATCGAGTGGCGTAAAGCATGCCGTTCTTTGGCTCGTCGCGAGGACTCCGAACCCGGCCAGCTTCTCTTCAGTGCAACAAATGTCATGATGACATTCACCGCACTTACCCTTTCGTTGTTGGAGCTGAATGCTCTCGTACCGTTCGTGAATGAAGATTGTTTCAAGACGATTAAGAGCCACGAAGCTCGCTTTCATCACCCGGCCTCAATTGTAAAGCCAACCGAAGTCCAACAGATACAAGAATGCGTCCATTGGGCTTTGAACCATGGATTGGGTCTGACCGTCGTTGGTGGAGGCCATAGTGGTCACTGTCTCTGGCCCGATGTTGTCGCTATCGACATGAGCGCTTTTAGGCAGGTCCATATTCTTAAATCGCAGGACGAAGATCCCCTGGTCGTAGCGGAAGCTGGCTGCAATACAGGGGAGATAATCCGTGAGACCATGAAAACTGGTCTGACAGTTCCCCTAGGTGCGCGCCCAAGTGTTGGCGCTGGGTCATGGCTGCAAGGCGGGATAGGCCATCTTGCTAGATTGCACGGACTCGCCTGTGATTCCATTGTTGGCGCCGTTATCGTCAGCGTTAAGTCTGGTCACGTCCTCTACGCTGGTAATGTACCAAGCGAATATCGACCAGCTGGTGCCATACGCCCGGAGAACGAAGACGATCTTTTATGGGCAATTAAAGGTGCCGGGACTAATTTTGGCATCATAGTCAGTGTCACTTTCAAAGCTTACACCGCACCTAGATTTTCGGTTCGAAATTGGGTTTTACCAATGAGCGACGACATCGACACTCGGCTCAAACTTAAGGAATTCTATGATCGTATTGCCAAGCAGCTACCCAAGAATACCTCTACAGACGCGTATCTATTCTGGGATCTTGATAAATTGCACCTTGGTGTGACGATGTTCGAAGCTTCGAGTCCCGGCTCAAGTTTGGCAACAATGGTCTCTACTGCTGTAAATGAGATTTTGGGACTTGAAATTGATTCCAAGGCTGTCAATTGCGTTGAACTGTTCGAGACAGACATGTATATGTCCAAGCTACACGGTGGGCACGGCGGTGGTAAAACTTCTTCCTTCAAGCGATGTGTATTCTTAAAGAATATTGGAGAAGACAGCGTTGCAAACCTCATGATTTCAGCCGTTAAGAACCGGCCGACACCTTTATGCTATCTCCATCTACTACAAGGAGGTGGAGCTGTTGCAGATGTCGCGGCTGATGCCACGGCTTTCGGTTCTCGAGATTGGGACTTTGCATGCATCATCACCGGTGTTTGGCCTCGAGACGAAGATGACACCGCAGACTCAGAACGTGTCAAGCTATGGGTTTACAAAACTGCCAGCGACTTGTTATCTTTGGGTACTGCAGCTTACAATACCGACCTTGGACCGGACCCCAGAGACGCCGTGCTCACGGCAAAGATTTTTCGAGGAAGTCTTTCACGGCTAAAGGATCTCAAACGCAGCTTGGACCCGCATATTGTCCTAGCTTACGCCTGTCCGATTCTGGAAGCGCGGCTGGGACCGAAGCTTATCTTTCTTGTCACGGGCAAGAGTGGCGTTGGCAAAGATCATTGTGCAAAGGTCTGGGTCGAAATGTTTGATGGTTATGACAACGAATTTAAAATGCGCGCGGTCAGCATCAGTGATGTTCTCAAGCGAAAATATGCCGCCGCTAGAGGTGCCGACCTTAATATGCTGCTTAATGACCGTGCCTACAAGGAACAACACCGGGCAGCGCTGACGGAATTTTTCCAAGAGCAGGTACGGAATCGACCTAAGCTGCCAGAGGAGAATTTTCTGAATCTCGTGTCTGAACACTCAGATGCAGACGTTCTGCTGATTACGGGTATGAGAGATGAGGCACCGCTTGCAGCCTTTTCGCATTTAGTTCCGGATAGCAGATTACTCGATGTACGCGTACAAGCCAGTGAAGAAATGCGGCGCATTCGCCGTGGTTGCTCAAGTCGTGAGGACGACGGTGACCGTTTCGGCGACAATCGCGGCTCAGATTCAACGACCCTGGAATATCGCCCCAGTTTTGTCTTTGATAATAACACGAACGGAGTTAGCGAAGCCTGTAGGTTTTTCAGGGAACTTTTACTTCTCTTCCTGAACGAGGACTTGCAAAAGCTAGCCGACATGGTGCCCAGGGTAATTGATTTCCCAAGTCCTGGCATTGAATTCCGCAACGTGCTCGGTATTGCCAAGCAGAAAGGCGGATTAGGTATTTGCATATCTCGGCTAAAAGCTCATTTCCCTGGTGACTGGTCTGATGTGGATGCCATTGTGAGTTGTGAGGTCGGTGGTTTTGTCTTTGCGTCCCCATTGGCCGTGGAGGTTGATGTTCCCTTGGTACTCATTCGCGAAGCTGGGAAACTTCCCTCACCCACTGTTTCTGTTAAGAAAACATCCTCATACATCTCGTCTTTGGAACCCAACAAGCCGAAAGAGAAGGTGATTGAAATAGAGCAAAATGCCATTTCTCGCGATGCCTCCGTTGTGGTGGTCGACGATGTCCTCTCCACGGGGGAGACACTCTGTGCGGTATTGGAACTGTTGGAAAAAGCTGGTATCGGGGCGGAGAATGTCAGCGTCATGGTCGTGGCAGAGTTCACAGCCCATCGTGGCAGGCAGTTACTGCGTGAGCGCGGATTTGGCAAAGTCTACGTTCAAAGCCTTTTGGTCTTTGGTGGGCCTTAAGAAATGAAATGACATTCGTGTCTCGAATTGTAACAGAGATGCTTTTCATCTTGGTGTTTACGAATAGCGAGATTCTGTGTAGATAGATATTGACGTACTTTGAATTCAAAGAAACAATTAGAAGTAATTCAATGGACAATTCCTTACATTCCCTTTGACTTATTGATTTAATTTGGAGTTGATGGGTTGAGATGTCTATTTAGACCAGACACTTATGTCACTTCATACTGTCTAGCAAGGAACTATCCAGTATCAAATCAAACAATCTCATCAAGTATCATGAATGTAAGCCGTGGGCCACGACTACCTAGGTAGGTACCAGCTATCCTCATAATCTGAGATACTATAACGAAGATATCCTCTCAAAAGCTTCTTCCCTTTCTCGTCCAAATTAGGATACTGGTTCAAACTAAACATATCCTTCCAAATAGCCCTCACATCATCATACCCATCATCATGCACACCCAAAAGCTCCCTAACACCTTCTTCCAGTCTATATCCGCTTCCGTGAACGCCAACGACGCCGAGATGTACTCATACCACACGGACAGATAAGCAGCATACTCCCAGTCAAGTATACCAACTACCTGTCCATCTCGAACCATGACATTACCTAAATTCAGATCACAATGAGTAAACACATAAGGCTCACATTTCGGAAACTGGGTTTTCAGGTTCTCGAAGATGTAATGAGAGAGATTGTTATATGGTAGGGTAAAGGCATTCCCAGAGTTCCTGGTCAGAGTGGAATGGGCCATGGCTTCCATGTCCATAAAGAGCAGGCTCGGATAACCAGGTAGAGAAAGAAGCGGTCCCTTTCCAAGAATGGTAATACAATACCTAACATTACAGCCAAAATTTTGTCTGGCAAGTGGAATCCTTTAGAGTCTCTACAGGTCGTCGGTGCTACATGCTACATACCAGATTCATTCAAGCAGAAACTATCGTAAGTCATGGTGAAAAGTAAATGATGGTTATACCATTTTCTTATAGCACTAATATAATTCCGAACTCATTAAATATAGACTTTCCCTCGTTCACGCCACTCAAACGTACAATGCAGCAGTAAGAGGATAGCCAAGGATCAAGCCCAAATCACGAATTATGACCAGGTCGAAGGTCCGAATGTTCCATTGGCAGGAATCGGCTTCCATGGGGTCCCTTTACCATCAATCGTCGTGCTTTGCACATTGTTTCCCCACCAACTGACCGATACGCCTGGGAATATGACTGCAAAGAAAATGATGACTGCAGAGACAGCGAGGCCGGAATCTAATGCAGCGGAGAGGACATAGTTGTACTACTCAATCATTAGTACGCAGGGCCAATTGAAAGGGAAAAGATAGGAAGTGAGCACTTACTTTGGCCCACCAGTGGGCATATTTGTTCTTGATCCACTTATTAAAGATGAAGGAGATTGCAAATGCAGATGTATAGTTTATTCCCGTCGCGGGAGGAACGTTTCCCGTGCCCGCGAAGAAAATCGGCCAATGCATATTGCGCAAAAGCTTGTTATCGGGCCATCTTCTTTTGGCAAAAAATGTGACTATGGGCAACAAGGCTCCTATCCAGAACAAGTGCAGCAGTCCCGAATACATCTTGCCTACACTATACAGCCTTGCCGGACCGATAGCACCCCAGATAACACTAGACGAGAAATTGACTGTTCCCTGAGGGCATGTGTATCCATTCGACTGCTCCGGACTGCAGATGTCGCGTACGTGATGAAGCATCCAAAGTAGCACTGCATTCTGTGTCAATGAGCCAACAATGCACGCCGTCAATTGCGCGATGAAGAGTGTGCGGCGGGGGATCTTGAGGTAGAGACCCAGTTTCATATCACTTGCGAAGAGCATTGCCTGACTAAGGCCGGTGTATGCGTAGAACTTGAAAATGAGGAGCACTATAGGCTTTCCTGGGATAAGATACCCGGAGATAATTTCTCCCAGAACCGTCAAGACGTTGCTGTTGAGGTTTGCCACTGCAAACACGGATCCTGTGGGAATAAGATAGAGTAAAGCCATGCCGAAGGCGAGGAATACGCCCCAGACGGGCATCTCCGTATGATATACTTCCTGCACCATGATGGTGAGGGAAAGGACAATGACTGTCAGCACGCCGTACCACCACCAAGGCACATCCTTGTATCGCTCAATAAGGCGTACGTGAATGTCTTTCTTCCGATCAGGTTTGAACGCTCCGAGGATGTCCCGCCAATAATTCAGGAAGATGAAAGTAGGCACACAGGTCATGACTGCAAAGGAACATCCGTACGAGAGCGCGAACGTTACAGGCATGAAGATGGGACTATAAGCCTTATACTCCTCTTCCAAAAAGTTTCCGTGTTTGTCAACAATGCGAGTCGCATTGTATAGTTCGCCGGTGTTGTCATATGTGGAGCTTCCGGAAAAGGGGAGGTATGCTGTGTACCACGTATTCGTATAGTAAAGGATTGGAGTGGTGAGAGCAAATATGACGATCCAGCCAGCAAAGACATTGGCCTGCGCCCAGAAGGGAACTACTAAAGGAGACCCATTGTAGGCAATTTGTGACCAGTCGAAAGTGATAGGCAGGTAAGCGAGACCAGTTGTCATGCCAAACAGGTTATTGACTACGGTGTTGTCTATGACGGACGATAATTGTCAGCTTTATAGGAGATGAAAACAAGGAAGGAAGAACTCACTTGGGGCAGCCCAGCAGATAAAGGCAAAGGTACTCAAGGCCGTGAAGAGGAAGCCAGGGAGCCAATACTGTATTCATCGTCAGTGATCAGTTTGCGTATTTTTAACTGCGCGTATATAGGCAACGGTACTTACCCAGCAGAATGCCCCTAAAAAGACAATGGTAAAGAAACGGTATCTCGAAATCCTCCACCCATCAGCAGAAGGATTAACTCTTGAATGCAGAGTCTGAAACAGCGCAGCATTGGCTAAGGTAGATGGCCAAATCATCTGAGGAGGCTCAACGATGAATCGATAAGAGAGGCCAGCCATGCCCAGGCCGAAAAGCTGCATAGTTAGACCGAGGAGGAACTGGTATGAAACAGGCTGCTTCAAATTGAAGAATGTCGGGGATACTTGGGCCTGGATAATGTCTGTCGCCCAGGATGGCCCGAAGGCTAAATTCGACATGATGGTGACAACACAATGCTCCTTGATGTTGAAGTGATGGTCTGGATTTATGGTTACGTCCCATCGGCCGAACAATTTCACCGTCTTCACAGGAAGGATCCATGCGAGGCCAGTACCCACGGGGAAAGCGATCAATTGAGCCACAAGCGAGGAGATAGTAACAGAAGGATAACGCATGCTGAAGAACTGGTTGATTCCAGTACCGACAATAGTGAAAATGATGCCCACCAACCACATACGCAAAGTGTTGACCGGGGTCGATTGGTCATCGGTATTGGGCACATTAGCTCGTACTTCTGGGAAGGGCGAGTTGTCACTGTCAATGGTGTACACATCCTCAATGGTACCGATGGCCTTGTCTAGGACATTATCGTCGTTGGTGTGTGCTTCTAAGTCATCCAGAGCAGTCGGGGCAGAAGTGCCGCTATCCTGGCCAGCACTTTTCACCTCAACGGCTATCTTCTGCTCACCTTCTGGAGCCATAGTGCTTAGCCCGGTGTGCTATGAAGTTAAAGTCAATTGATGACGAGGTGGTAAAGCACTCCCAAGTCTTGGTCGTGGAATGTGGGAAGGATACAGAACAACCCGTTCTCTCAGCACATTTAAATACTCAGACATAATTCATGGTATGGTGGCAATCGCCGCCGCACAGGGCTCCTAAAGGGTCATGAAGATAACGGGATTCCATTCATGGTGTCGATTCTATCACTAAGGTACGTCCAAACCCCGCAAAATAGCCGGTTGATGATGGCCGGAGATGTAGATAATCATGAAGGGCTTCTCGTGTCCAAATAGCTAAATTCCACAGATAGTATGCATTGGAAGGTCCACGCCGGAGTGATATTAACCGGAAGCGGAGATTCTGCATGTGCTAGTCGGCCGCTTGGGTAAGCACTAGGGCTAGATCCGGTAGGTGGTGGAGTTTAATAATCCTTCGATATCCAAACTGTGGTCTCTTGAAGGTCCAAGCGAACCAATAGAGAAGAGAAGACTATAAGACACTAAGATAAAGCTTGAGTCTGAATAGACGTGACTTAAACGCTCATCCACGTAAACATGTACAGATGATCGTACATGGTTTTCTGGAAGGTCCAGGCGAGAAATTTGTATGCAAAATTTTGTTTTTCCCGGAGCTTAATGCTCCATTTGATACCTATATCTTTAGATTGTGAGATAATCTCGAGTCTAAATAGGAGAGTGAGAATCTCGATCAATAAGCCTTATTCCACGTGATCATGCATGGAAGGTCTTGGCGAACAAATCATGTTCCTGAAAATGGTGGGTAATGTCGTTTTATTGGTCAACTGGCTTACATAGCCCCACAAGAGATCCAGAGCCTTTGAGTGGAGACTCTGATAGATCACCTGACCAATAGGAGGAAGTCTTTACGGCCTTTCTGTTGTGTGAAGGTCAATTGACCGACAGCAAGGCAACATATTCAGTCAGCTTACTCACTGTCTTAACATAACAAGAGGAATGATAGTGCAGCTCTTCTACTCAAAATAAGTTATCTTACCCTGTTATGTTTATCAGTCCTTGCTACGTGCAAAAAAAAAGTCAGCTACAGTCATGGCACTTTCAAAAAGTTCGTCAATTTTAATCATTGGAGCGTACGTATTGGATAATGTCCGGTTCCCTTTCCAGTAGAACATCACAACTCACCATCTACGAAACTTGAAGGGGAACATTCGGAATTAGTACAGCATACCATCTTGCAAAGCGTGGATATACCAACGTCCTATGTATTGACCGGCATCCTTGGCCAAGTCTAGACTCGGCTGGTTATGACTTGAATAAAATCATTCGCACTGAGTATGAGGAAGAGCTCTATACAGAACTTGCCCTTGAGGCGTTGCGTGCCTGGCGACAGCCTATGTGGAATGGTATTTTCCATGAGACGGTACGTTCCTTTGACCTTCAAAAAGTCAGCCGTCATGTAATAAGAGCTGAAGTGAAGTGATTCAGGGTAAATTAACGACAACCAGTGGACATCCGGATGCAGCTCAGAATCTGAAAGAGTCTTACGAAAATCTGGTAAAGGCCGGTGCGGCGGAATCCGTGGATTTTATTGAAAGCAGGGACCAGATAGTGAAGCACTGCCCTCAGTTGGCAGGAGCAGTAAACATAGAAGAATGGAAGGGTCTTTGGAATTCCGAAGCCGGGTGGACGCACGCCAAAAAAGCCCTCGAGAAGATGGCTGCAGAGTCAGAGAAAATGGGAGTCAGGTTTGTCTCTGGCCCCGGAGGAACAATGACAGGGCTGCAACTTGACAACAAGCAAATATTGGTCGGGATTAAAGTCGCGTCCGGTGAAGTCATCAAAGCTGACCGGTACATATTATCTACTGGGGCAGCATCTCCAGGCTTGTTGCCTGATATTCTGTCAACCCAGGTATGGTCGAAGTGCTGGACCCTCGCTCACATCGCACTTACGGATGAGGAGATTGAGCAATGGAAAGGTATCCCGGTTGTCGATAATATGGAGTTGGGCTTCACGTTTGAGCCCGATCCAGAGACCAGTAAGCATAACCCCAGATGGTTGGCGCTGCTTGCTCGTTATTTCGTTCACGCTAACAGTAATCCTCCTAGAATTGATGAAAATCTGTAACGCTTTCCCGGGATATCAATTCCGTGAAGGTAGATATACCGATCCCGAAACTGGCAAAACAACTACCTTTTCCATTCCACGATACGCAAGCGATCATCCAGAGGACGGCATTCCTGCTGAAGCAGCGGATGGGATCAAGCGGTTCATCGCAGCCGTCATGCCTCAATTCTCGGACCGCCCACTTTTGGAAGCGCGTGTCTGCTGGTGTACCGACTCACCAGATTCGCATTATTTGATAGACAATCACCCACAACATTCAAATATGCTGTTAGCCACAGGTGACAGCGGTCATGCATTCAAAATGCTGCCTATAATTGGTGACTATATTGCCGATGCTCTGGAGGGTTCAGAGCGCGGATTGAAGAGAGAGTGGAAGTATGGTGGCCGTAAAGAAATCAGGAATGTTACAAGACCGGGAAATGAGGTAAAAGACCTCAGAGATGTTCGGCCACTCAACGCCAAACTATAGACTGGGATGTTCTGGGATGTGGTCTCATGTTAGTAGTATCACCTGAGTAGCGTTGAAATTATTCGTTGTGATCATAATTATACTCGAACGATTAGCCTAGAGAAATAGACAAAGGTAACTTTTGCTTCGGGATATGTCACCTGAAAAGGGGCATCAAACCACGTGACTGAAAATGTACGTGATAAGAAACACGTGAGAGGCGATAGTCAACTCACTAAAGTCGAAGCAACGATGCTCATTGCTCAGTGAGTCAGCGTTGCGGGGTCGAGACTCTTTTAGACCGCCAGCCCGGCATCGCGAACTCTTATCTTATCCGCTAGTCTTACACTGATTGAGAAAAGAGACCATGGCCACATTCAAAATTAATGACTGTTGGATCAGAATACTAGTACTGCTACGCACTCATTGAACGATGCCACGTCGTCGGCCCCCAGGGCAGGCCGATAACTGCCGAATCAAGCAGAGGGTCCGCAGCGGCTGCAAGACATGTCGCGTGCGACGAGTCAAGTGTGACGAGACTAAGCCTCGATGCCGGAACTGCCTGCGAAAGGGCCTTGCTTGCGACAATAGCGTGCAGCTTAAATGGAAGCAAGAATTTGAAGATCGTGGTCTAGCGTTTGGCCGGCAGGGCAGATGGGGTAAGAGTCAACCACTGCAACTGGAGTCTTCTCCGAGTACATTCGGGATAGAGCGATGCACTTTTCCAATAATTAAATCTCATCATTTCATCAATTCTGGCTACTGGGATTTCAATGATGATCACCCGGAAACCGGCACAGAGTGTGGAGACATTGTCAAGATCGAAGGCATAAGCGAAGATAGTACCGCTGTCTATCTTGCTCCATCGGTGATGACCTGCTCAATATCTCCCACGCCGTGTGCATATCCTAGTCTGACCAAAGTCGACTCTCATCTTGTCGACTACTTTCTTATGCGACTCTGTCCTCTCACGACTTCATCTCGTCTAGCACCATCACCTTTCGCTCAGCTTGTTTTTCCTTTGTTCAGTATTCCAGGTCAGGATGATATCCTTAAAGCCGTTTTGGCTCTATCAGCTCGCCACAGAAGCATCAGCGAACCTCAATGGTCTCGCTCCGCCATGACACTGAAAGGGGACGTCATCCATTCTCTCCGCAAAAGATTGGAGTCATGGGGTGGAACAAACTCCCCGCTAGATCCACAGATCCTTGTCATGGTGATGTTTCTATGTCTCTATGAGATAGTTGACAACTGCGACCATCGTTGGGTTTTACACCTACGGGCCAGTAAAGAGATTATTCAACGGAGCTGGAATGTCAAAGAACAGCCATACCCCAGCGAGAGTCTCGGTGGCCTAACGGCATTCACAGAACGTTTTTTTGCGTTCCAAGACGTAATCAGCCGGACAGCGTGCGGCAACTCAGCCTTATTCGGAGTTGATTACTGGGCCGATACTGACAGACACTCTTCCTTCATCGACTCGTGGATGGGGTGCAGTCCCGCTCTGGTGAGCATACTATGCCGTATCGTCGAAGTGAGCCGTCTGAAACAGAGGGACGATATCTCACCTGACTTTTTGGAAAGAGAATCCGCCGAGTTAGAGCAACAACTCGAAGCAATGCATCAGAAAACCGATCAAACTCTACACGAGGACGACGCACTACTTTTAGCGGCAGAACTCAAACGTAAATCTGTCCTCTTGTACCATCACTGCGTCCTATACGACGCAGGCCCCTCAACACCATTCGTCTGCCAACTTAAAAGAAGCATTCTAGAAGGGATATGCGAACTGGTCGAATCAGGACTCGCCGCCGGACTTGCCTTTTCAATCTTTGTCGCTGCAGTTGAACTTCATCCGACAGATGATCAGCTCTTCTATGATAAGAGGACTGGACAATTTGTCTGCGGCCGAAGGCTGGTGTTGGAGACTTTGGAGGTCATGGCTAAATCGTCGCTGTCGAATATCTCACGTACAAAAGCTGTTATTCAAAAGGTGTGGCGCATGCGGGACATGGCGTTGGAGGAGGATGAGCAGATGTTGATACATCCTGGAAGGCATGTCAATGATTGGACTACGTTCGTTGGTCCGTATAGTTCCAATATCAGTTTGTCATGAGCAATGTAATGGTTGGATGATTGTATCTATCGAGTTATGCTTAGTGGTGTTGCGGGTGTACAGGAGTAGTAACTGAATGACTTAGTGATAACTTCAACAAGTACATATGCTTTAAGGTGTTTGTCTATGAGTTTTATACCTAGGTAGTACCTAAGTTAGGGATTTCACTACCAACATTAACTGGCTACCTACGAACTGGATTACCTTGGATGCTTCTCAACTTCCTGCTCACCCTGTCGCCGCTGTTGCTCACTGAGTAGAACTGAGGACACCCCCGAGATCAGTCAATGTAACAAGCTGTAAAACATCCTATCTCTTGAATTTTGGCCGGCCCAGCTTAATCAATTTATTTGATGTTATTTGAACTCTCCTCCTCGCTAGATTCTTGCCCTAGGCCTCATTCGCACTAGCACATTACCAGCTCCAATACCTAATCCACCGTTAAAGAGCTTTACTTACCTGTAGGAAGGCTTCAAAGTTTCTATTCTTTACGTATTCTCATTTTTAACCACTTCATTTCTCATGGTCATTTTTTTTTACAGGTATCCAACGCCTAGCTCAGAAATTTTCGCAACTCACAAAGCATTGGCCGCATCACAATGATATTTCCTTCCCTAAGTCCTGAAGCGGTGAAAGCAGAGAAGAAGCGCAATGTGGACAAGATGCAAAGATCGCAGCCGCAAAAATAGAGCTTGAACGAAGAAAAGTTCTCAATTTTGATACAGAAAGTGTCAAAAAGCGCAGATTGAGTACGAATGGGCAATATAGGATAAGGGAGCCTGGAGACGACCACTTTATCCCCGCAAACTTATAATGGGCAAAAGCAAAGATATTATCCTCAGACACAGTTTGCGGGAATCCAAAATTGTCGATGCCGATGGAGGAGGCCAATGGGCTTCACAGCGCTTCATCAGTCTCCCATCACTTACACACCTCATGTCATCTCGCGTTTACAAAGCTGTCGTCGGATGTACGTCCTCTCTTTTTACTGAAGAAATCATTACTGACCTGCGTCTAACCTTCTTGCTGAAGATATGCCGAATCTATTGACATTCTATACTCGGAGAACGTCTTCAAAAACCACAGACACTATAACCATGTTGGCTGGACAAAGTTCCTACTCTATCAAAGATTGTAGACTATCCGCTCTGCTCATTTCCAACCTAGGGTATCCATGGGGAGGCGCCGTGTATTCGTATGGCTCTTGAAGCATATGCCGGGCTGAAACCCTTGCAGAAGCTTTGCATAGTAGGAAGAGTAGATGGGTTGGTAGACTCGGAGGAAAAGGACGTGATTGACGCAAACCTGTGGAAGAAAAAAAATTGACTGACTCCTTTCTTCCGCAAATATTCGTTCATAAAGGATGTCGACATTTTTCTGCCCATCATGCAGGAGACTCTAGCTCAACGGGACAAGAATGCAGTCGGGTGCTCAAGACTGCATGGCTTAACAGAGGAGCAAAGGCGAGGTGAAAAGGCTGCTGTTTGTGCTTGCACGTACCAGCCTGAGAGAGTATTCCATCCGGGTAAGACAATATGAAAACAGTTGTACGGTTACCTGTGGATATAAATCATCTATCATGACTTTTGATAAAGTTGTACTATTGATTATACATGACACAAATAATTCATACAGGCGTAACCTGTTCAATAGACCGATCCTTATTCTTCCCCTTCGTACGAACCCGCTGGTCATTCGGATCAAACCCTCCATTCCCCCAAAGCGCCCATTCCTCCGTCTCTCTCATGTAATCCTCTGGTCGAAACGAGATGCCTTCCGTTTTTTCCTTTTCTAACAATTCAAAGAATCGATCGTAGTCGATCCTAGTATGCCATTTACCATCGACATGAAATCTCTCGGAAGCAAGTAAGATGCAGCAACTATGGGCGTGCTCTGCTCCAATACCGTAGCCCAACCCTCGGCGTTCGAGTTCATCTTTTAGTGCAACGACGAACGCGATGACTTCTTCGTAATATGGTACATTTCGCATTGTGAGGCCTGCTCCAGCACTTGAACTTGTACCGCAGTATGTGACACCCTTGACCTCGATGAAACATGGTAACCCTTTCTCGACGAGATCGGCGTATCCTTTAACTTCATCCTCGACGTTGAAGCCCTTGACAAGTGTCAAGCGGAAAACGGTGCGTTGAACATGTCGTTTTTCGCGAAGAATGTCTAGACAGCGTTGAAAGCGCTCCCAGAAATCGCGGTGGAGAGGACGGTCGATTCTTCGGAGGCTGTCACGATTGCTAGCGTCGATTGACACGTATAATTGCGTTACGCGGTTGAGGGTCGCCAGTTGGTCTGGATGTTGCGCGTTGCAGACCAAAAAGCTCGATATTTGTTCATTGTGAAGCATACCGAGGAATTCATTGATATGAGGATAGAAAATTGGTTCTCCGACCAAGCTCAACGCACAGTGCCGAATTCGCATAGCCTCCGCAAATCGTTCAGCACGAACGCCAGGAACACCTTTCAACATCTTGATCTTCTTGTAGTGTCCTTCTTTGACACCGTTGAAGATCATTTCGGGAGGATCGACTTTCCATCGCCACGTCGTTCCGACAGGATTCGTGCCGTGGCGCCAGCAAAAGACACATTTGTTGCTGCATGATAATGATGGCGTGGTTTCCATGCAAAGATGTGATTTGATACCGTAGAAGGAATATTTGTAGCACGAACCACGCCCTCGTAGTGCTGATTTGGTCCATCGACAGATCTTGACTCCAGAGTGAGACCCAACGATCGTGTAACCCTGTTTCGTAAGGGATGCGTAAGTGGGTGATGTAGAGGGCACCATTTCTTTCAAAACTGGCTGACTATTTCCAGCCTTCGACACTGTTGTAAAATCAACAGGCAATGGATCACCTTTGCGTTTCTTTGCACCACCCGCGAAGTTGATGTCCTCCAAGTCAACTATCGTCTGTTTCTTCTTTCTGGATGTTTCACCCTCATCTTCTGCTGCTGACTCTTCATCACTTTCTAATGGGTCGCCGCTACCGGCTACACCTTCGCCTAAGCCTCCAGTCTCTGCTATTTCGAGCAAGATCTCAGTCAACCCGCTTGTCCAGTCTTTCAAGGCATTTACTCCATCAGATTTCGAATCGCCCAAACCAAGAGGATAGGCGCGCTTCTTCCCTGTGAGTTTGGCCATCCAGCGATCTAGTTCCTTCGCTTGTGAGCAGAAGCCCTCATCTTCCGTCGGCCAGCCCTCCTTGTCGCCAAACCCGAACACAGAGTATCCAGCCAGGTTTGACAGCGGCGCAGTATCAATACGAAAGTCATTATGTGTCTCATCCAAATGCGCAAGGAATGTGTCGATAATGGTATCGATATTGTAGGTTGGAATCAAGAAACAGTACACGTATCTGGTATTCGGGGAGTTTGGTGGTGGTTTAGGAGCCGAAATGAAATGGTCCTCAAAGTCAATCTCCGACAAGTCATAGATCTCCGGAGGAAGAAGACCCCATTCCTGATTGCTTCCCGACGATTTCTCTTGTGCTGCCGCGCGCAATTGCTCGGATAGCCAGCGTGCATGTGCCTCGGTGGATGCGGTCAACGAAGCGAAAAATATTACTGGTTTAATGAATGACGGACCGCTGGCTGCACCAGCCTTTTGTGGATGTCTACTTGCACGACGATCTTTATTACCCACAACTCTCTTAGGACCGAGCTTTGAAGTCGGCTTGTCGACCGTGGTAACTGATAGATGATCGAGGATAGGAGCATCGACTTTCTCTCTGGGAATGGCAGATTCAAGACGTGGCGACGGAGGAAGCGTTGAAGATGATTGGCGTTTTGCTCGCCTGTATAAAATGGGCCATCGTATAGAAACGTACAAAACTCCTAGGAAGAAGATGATGGGAATGCGATGGTTGTGCCATGTTTCCAACAATGCTGTCATAACGTCAGAAATTAGGAAACCAATACTGGACTATTGTTAAGTCGTAGGTTTACCTTGTACAAAAGAAGAATCCGCCATTTCCGAAGAACTTTTGGTCAGTGCTGAGAGACGAGGACGACGGTGTATTCGATCTTGATGAAAATTTAGATTGAGAATGGCGGGGCAGGCAAGTACTTCAGGTGCTGTCCGTCGGTCAGCATAGAATGTCCATGAACCTAATGCGTAACAAGTAAATGTCAATCTCAATATGAGGATCTGGAACCCATACGGAAGACAATATCGCGACGACTCTCTCAGATACAGTCTCAAGAGATGAAGATGTTCTTGCTTTGTGTCGGAGGGTTAATCTGGGTGGGGCGGTTTGACAATATTTAATTGGCCCAGTCTTTCTTATCGCGTTATCTTCTGGCTGAGTTAACTGAGTCAACTTTTGGGCTTAAGTTACCGATCAACAACAGTTCCATTTCAGACTCTCGTCTTAGGCCTCGGATTCCATCAAGTCAAGATGGATTCTAAAGACGAGAAGCACGGCCTGCTTGCCTACGAAGACCAGCCTTCTACGGGGTTCGTGGAGAACCCAGATAGCCAGCCTACTATCAACAAACCCCGACCTTTCCGCCTTCGAATATGGTCACTAGGATTCACTGCGTTCTTGGCAGTGACTACATTCGCTTTATGGAGCTCTTCATCTCCTAAGCATTGTCATAAAGTTGTGCCGTTCAAAGGTATAGAAGATCGAGTCCATAAGATTCTTTCCGAAACACCTCTAATCGGTAAGTAAACACTGATTAACAGCAACATGAACATCTAGCTGATGAAACAGACGGCCACAATGACCTTCCTATACTGGTGCGAGCGGTATACGGCAACAAAATCTATAGCTCTGATTTCATCAAGCGCTTCGCATTTGGTAATTTAACCGGCCATGTTGACGCACCACGCTTGGCCGATGGCCAAGTCGGCGGTACTTTCTGGAGCGTGTTTGTGCCTTGCCCTGCAGATGGCTTGGATTTCTCTAAGCAGAATTACGCGGAAAGCGTCAGAACCACTTACGAACAGGTTGATGTGATGACCAGAATTCAAGAGGAGTTCAAAGGTATCCTTTCGGCGTCGCCGAATGGTACAACTGCCCTGGATGAGTTCCGGAGAGGAAAAGTCATTTCGCCTTTGGGTATAGAGGGGCTTCACTCTATTGGAAACTCACTCACGCATCTCAGAGCGTTCTACAAGCTTGGTGTTAGATATGCGACACTGACACATAATTGCCACAATATTTATGCTGATGCAGCTCTAGTTGAGATTCCCGGCGGCGGAATCAAAAAGGCAGATCCAGTATGGGACGGTGTTAGCGAGCAAGGAAAGATCCTCGTCTCCGAAATGAACCGACTAGGCATGATCGTTGATCTTGCCCACGTCAGCGAAGCTACAATGCGCGATGTCCTCGGTGCCGGAAAGGATGACTGGATTGGCAGTCAAGCACCCGTTATTTTCAGCCATAGTTCCACACATGCTCTCTGCCCTCACCCTCGCAACCCAACGGACGAGATCCTAAAACTTGTCAAAAAGACCGATTCAGTCGTTATGGTCAACTTTTATCCACAATTCATTAGCTGCACTGCATCTGACCGAGAAGACGGACTCCCCGATTTCTATCCACCAAATGCGACTCTTTCCCATGTTGCCAATCACATCATGCATATTGGAAATCTCATTGGGTTTGACTACGTAGGTTTGGGTAGTGATTTTGACGGCATCGAATCTACACCCAAGGGACTCGAAGATGTCTCCAAGTATCCGGATCTGATTGCAGAGTTGCTTCGACGTGGAGTAAGTGATGCTGATGCTGCCAAGGTAGCTGGAGGTAACTTGCTTCGGGTGTGGAAGAAGGTGGATGAAGTTGCGCTCAAGTTGCAGACTGAGGGCGCGTTGCCGGCGGAAGATGATATTCCTCCTTTTGGACCTGATGGGATTATTGTATAGACTGGATCGTTATTTTGAGCGTGTCTGTAGAGCTTACTGCATTGGCTTATCAATATTTGTGCCTCATGCAGGACCTGAGTATTACAGTTAGTGTTGCTTCTACTGAAGCGTCGATATATGATTAGGGTATGTATCAATGTTGCTAAGAAGTCTGGACCCCAGTCTCAATCTCCGGTCAATGTCGCTCGTCGAGATCCCCTGCCCTCAAGTCTCAAACACGTCTTGAACGCCTCCCATGCCGTCTCCCCCTGCACGCCCACAAACGCATAAGGCACAATTCTATCCTCTCCCGGCCTAACAGCACTCTTCTCAATCTCCTCCTCACTCACCCACAACCACCTCACGTGCTCCTCCGGCGCCAATTTGATTTTCTCCTCCCACCCCACCGTATCCGCGGCTTCATGCACATCAACCACAAAACTGAATTTCCCAGCCACCAACATCTGACTCTTGGATCCAATCCATGTGTCGATGCGGACTATATCACGGATCTTACTCACGTGCAAACCGGTTTCTTCCAAGACTTCGCGCGCCACGCCGTCTAGGATTGTTTGGTCGTGGGGCTCCAGCGAGCCCCCGGGGAAATCCCAGTAGCCGCCGTAGGAGTCGTCGAGGGCGCGTTGAATGATTAGCATTAGTGGCTCGTTCTGCCCTCGTTCTGATTTGGATGTTGTGGCTGATGAGGATAAGTGTTTTATCTTGACGTATTCTGATGCAGAGGCCGGTAGAGGTTGGGAATGAGAGCGCTTCGTGAATACGAAACCGGCGACAACAAAGAATTTATATTGAGGGTGCGCAAGCGCAAAGTCGGCGAAGGGGACGTCGAATTCAGCGGCTAGGTGAGGCGCGACGGTGTAGCTGTAGAGTGGTGAGCCGGCCATGTTTGTGGCCATTGTAGGGATTTACAACTGGCAGATAGCTTTGATACTTGGGTTTGCGACTCTAGACGAAGTCCTCTATACAGTTAACTACCGTTTGCTGACTTAGGTACATGTTTGTGAGTCAGCGAGTTGATCGTGTAGGCAACCACCTGGGCGTTTCACGATATCCATCAAGGTCTTGGCGGACAAAGTCTAGTTCATGCTAAGCCAGAGATGAAACTACGGAGTAGCCAACTATTGAAACATGCTTGCTTAGTCATCTCAGGCACCATTCATCTTAAGGCATCCCAAGCTGTTTGGTGTCAATGTGCTAGTTGGGGTTATTACAGGTGCGCTGACCCCTTTACGGAGGTCACATGACTCTCGGATTATAGTTAATCCGCGCTGGAGGGAGTAGCACGCTGACATTTGGCGAACGGTCAGGTGACTTCAGACAGAGTTTTGCATGAATCAGGATAAAATGTGGCATTACATCATAGCGCACCCGATCGCCGATATGGCAGATCAGGCTGCCTCTCCCGACCAATCATGTCAATAGAATGACATGGGCTAGTCCTTATTGGTGCTAGCCTCTGTGTAAACTAGGCCCAGAAACCAATCATCTGTATTGAATCCGTTCATGACTAAACCCTTCCTGGCTTAGGACAGACCCCTTGAACAAAACAGGATTCCTCATATTCATTTACTGCTCTGATATAATCTGTCCTCTGTAAGAAGATAGGTGTGAATGGAAAAAACAACAAAAAGACAGACATCTCATCCTCTGTGGAGATCTTGTTCTAGTTCAAAAAAGCCTGCAGCTACCGTGCTTCGGCGTCTGGAATCTTACACTTCCGTAAGTGGCACGCCATTCCATTGGGGATAAAACCGTTTCTGTCCCACTTCCATCCATGCGTCACTGCCAGTGTTCTCGAGTATTCAAGTCTGAGCCCGACGGTCTCCTCTCTTCTCTCTTCACTTTCCTTCGATTTCCTATCATCAACAGGATTCTCCATACGCCTGATGTTAGGTAGATCCTTTTACTACAGACAGAAAGCCTACCCCTCTGCATAGCATCACAGCTCCACCTTCAATCAGCCAATTCCCCACATCCGGAACATCAGCAGATAAAGACCGATACTCAAATGACTGTCGCCCAATCTCTCCTTCATATCGATGTCTCCTGCTAGATTTTTCATGCAGCAACCACCAACCCCAATGGCCGTCAATGGAGGAAGCGATGGAATACTGGCAAACATGTTCGCGCCTCTTACGATAAAGCCGGGCGGATCAAGGCCGCAATCATCTCCCGTGATGACGACTGTACTTCGAGTAAACGAAAACAAACCAGAACCCGCGCGACGATCCAACTCCCATTTAATCCAACCTCTTGATCCCTTTGAACAAGCCTCTCCGGCCCCCGACTCGGAATTGGGCCGTATTTTCTCCCTGTCTCCGCTACCGACTGTTGTGCTCGATGCGAAACTGCGGGTGGCGCAAATCTCAGATAGCCATTTGTCCTTTAGCGGTTATACTCGCTCAGAGGTAATAGGCCACAGCATTTATGACCTTCCGGCTCACAAAGTGCCTGCCGCCAGCACCAGCAGCCTTCACCGCGTGATTTCAAACGCTATCAAGACAGGGGAAGTGCAGATCATAGACGATATCGAAATTGACGACGGCACCAGTTTCGCTGTATACAGTGTTCACATTGCGCCCATTCAGGATCAGGGCAATTTACTCTATGTGGTTCTTACTGCACATGATGTCACCAAGGAATCGTCAGTCCGTCAGAGCAATAAAGAGCTAGCGTATATGAACGAAACGTACAAAATCCTCGTCGATACGGTGAAGGATTACGCTATCTTTATGCTGGACACTTCTGGCTGTGTTGCGACGTGGAATTCCGGTGCTGCCATCATGAAAGGCTACAGTTCAGATGATATTATTGGTCGCCACTTCTCGACCTTCTACGGCGAAGACGATCGAGCAGCTGACAAACCTGGGAAAGAGTTGGAGGTGTGTCTGAGAGAAGGCAAAGTAGAAGACGAAGGTTGGCGATATCGAAAGGATGGATCGCGTTTCTGGGCCAATGTCATGATCACCCCGGTATATACAGCGGGTCGCCATGTTGGCTTTGTCAAGGTCACAAGAGATCTCACAGAACGCAAAGCAGCCGAAAGCCGGCTGATTGCAGCTTTTGAGGAGTCCTCCAAACTCAAATCTGATTTCCTGGCGAATATGAGCCATGAGATTAGGACTCCGATGCACGGCATGTTGATGTCCATACAGATGCTTGCAGCAACGAATGTGGATGAGAAGCAAAAGGAATACATCAATATCATTGAAGACACTGGCTCCGTCTTGTTACAAATCATCAACGACGTCCTCGATTACTCCAAACTGTCGTCCGGCACTTTCACGATAACTCCTGGTGTCGTGGATGTGAAAGAAGTCGTTGGTGCCGTACTTCGAAATTGTCAATCGTCTGTAAAACCAGGAGTTGACTTGCGTGTCCATTACTCGGATCAGTTACCAAAACACTTGAAAGGAGACCCTCTTCGATATCGCCAGATTATTCAGAATCTCATTAGCAATGCCGTCAAGTTTACAGACGAAGGCAGCGTTGAGGTTTCGGTCAAAGTCACGGAGGACCCGCAAGATTCGTCAACGTATGAAGTAACCACCATGGTTGTCGATACGGGTATTGGCGTTCCCGTAGATGCGGCAAACTCGCTTTTCACTCCATTCACACGATTTGCAGACACGAGTCGAAAGAGGTATCAAGGCACAGGCTTAGGACTATCCATTTGCAAGAGTCTAGCCGAGCTCATGGATGGATCAGTGGGTTTTGCATCAAATTCAAACTGTCGCGGAAGTACCTTCTGGTTAGCAGTAAAGATGTCCGTGGTGGACAACACACGACCCGAAAGACGCCGAAGCGAGAACCGATGTGTGGATCTAAACGCCCAAATCCAACAACTAGCACCCCGCAAACAACTTTTGCTGGTTGAAGATAACATGATGAATCAAACAATCATGCTCAAAATGCTCAATATGATTGGCTTCGAGAAAGTAGACACGGCCTGGAACGGCGCCGAAGCGGTCCGCAAAGTCAAACAGAAACCCCTATCCTACAATGCGATATTGATGGATATCAATATGCCGGTCATGGACGGCGTGGATGCTACTATTGCCATTCGCGGGATGAGTCGTGATGTGCCTATTATCGCCATGACGGGAAATGCTCTCAAGGGAGATTCGGATATTTATCTCGCTAGTGGGATGAATGATTATATTGCGAAGCCGGTTCATCGACAACATTTGGTATCTGTTTTATTGAAGTGGATTGGGCCCTAACCTTTTCCTTCTATTGCACGTACCCTGTGCAGACTTGTACATCACATTTCACATATCCTCCTTATCATCCCATTCTTCAGAGAACGGAGTCGGTTTAACATAAAATGGCGTTTTATCGGGGTAGGAGTCTTGCCAACGAGTCGAAAGGCGGCATTCGGTATTTTTTTCAATGATTTACGAGCGCAGAACTCTAACCAATTCTGTCAACTGTGTATCACGATACGTTTCAATTCGTTTTCTGTTATTATGTCTTCTGAGGATTCATTCGGGGTTTTGTTATGTATACCCATTCTGCGGCGTTTAGTTGTCATATACATCGGCATGGAAGTGCCGGAGGATTTACACACTGCATATTTGTATATAATCATGAGAATCGGGATTTAATTGATGCTTCTTCATGTCCACTTCCATTCTACTAACATCGCATACCTAGGAACAGACTCCTAGTCAGATATCAGGCTGTGTATCTATTTAGGGTAGGATACAGAATACATGCATTAGAATTTCAGCTTTCAAGGCAGGTCGTGGCACTGTACTACCCAATATGCGTAAATAATATCAAACAGACGTTGGAAAGTCTATTTTCATCAGAATGTATACAGGACTTTCTGCCTACGGATTTAGCAATCTGCATACGACAGCGCATAGCATACTATTGAATGGATGCACTGCGGACGGCAATCGACATTTCCCCATTAATATTTCCTGTTTAAGGAATATGGAGGGTATCCTTGCGGCCTAACCACCTGCAGGGATGCCGGGAAGGCGCAGGAGTCTTGTTTCAAGAAGAACGGGTGTTTGCATTTATTTTCTGCTTGCTGAAAATGCAGTGTCCTCCTTCTGAGTATTCATATGCACGTCGCTGTATTTAGGCAGATGTCCTGTTTCTACCCGGCTGCACCTAAAGATTCTGGTATACCTTACTTGCATAGTACCTAGGTAGTCAGGTTACATCTCTCCTGAAAAGCGCAAACACACCTGTCTCTCCTGTCTAACGGCTTCCAAGGCTGTGGACGGAAAGTTGCTCAATGTACAATATAACAACATAGCAGTCATGTCCCTTTGTTATACACAGAGCTCTCCTTGAAGGATATGTGTGACTTTTAGTGTCTAGTTTAGAGCTGAGGCTGGGAAGAGTGTCAGCCCCAGCTGAGGGGTGGTGGATGGTATGCATGGATATAGCTCTGGAAAGCGACTGACGGCCATTTTGAGCCTCAAAAGCCTCATTTTCTATATAGAAATACATTGACCCTGCCTAGGTAACCTGGAACTTCTTTCATGATTCAAAATTTCAGAGCACCACCTACCCAGGCCCTAGAACGAACTGATGAAACGAAGAAAATGTTCCAAAAGAGAGCCCTCTATATCCCCTTCACCATCCTCCTCATCACAGCAACCATCCAACTCGCACTCGTCTCTCGAATGGTTGCATTTCTGCACATTCAAAAGACTGAAGTTGACTCTTATCATGTCTTGAGCAACAATGCTACCGACCATACTGCAAACAGAGAGGATTTCTATCTCCATGTTCTACCGGAAAAACTATCCCTGAATCAGGGACATGTCACCAACGGTGCAGCGGGATACGGGTTGGTGCTGAGTATTGCCTCCTTGGTAGCCAATGTTTTTCTTAGGAGGGATGCGTATAAAAAGGTTCGTAGTATCCCCTTTTTACTGGATCTAATGAGTTGAAAGACTGATAATGATCAGCGCCACAAATCCATCCTCCTAACAATAACCATTTCCCTCTCTCTCCTAGTCCTCTTCACCCTCTCAGCACTCGTCTACGTCGTTTCGGTAACCTACCTCACGATCAACAACAAAATCGACATGGACGTTGCGCGCGCCGTTTCCTCGAAAAGCCAGCCATACAACATCGACAGCTGGACGCCCGAAACTTGGTATCGAGCTTTACTTCTACTCCCGCTTGAGCAAGACACGATTGAAAGCTTGAACAGCGCACACCACGAAATGGTTGCTTGGAGGTGGTGGGTTTTGTTTTATCACATTGTGGATTCGTTGGTATTTTGGTGGACGGGGATGGTTTTGGTGAGGGTATGGAGGAAGAAGAGGGATAGTCCTAGTTCTGAGGAATTGGTGGAGTATGGGGTTGGGTATGCTGGAGAGAGGAGGGAGAGTAGGAAATAGGCTGTTTCTCTCTGGATTGAGACGATGGATGAATGAAGAATGGTATATAAACAGTGCTTATGAATTGGGTTATTCTCGGCACGCCTTCCTTCTTGACGATTGTTTCCTGTTAGGTAATGAAGTAAGCAATATACAGAGCCATTCATATAAAGAATTGAATCATTCGCAAGATAAAATACAATTAGAAAGCGTCTTTATAAGGAGGCAAACAAAAGAGTACAGTGCCAGCATCAAGCTGTCCTTCAAATACAACAACGATAATGAAATCAGCCTCGGACAATCCGACAATCACAATCATCCAACACATGCAGACTGCGCCGGATCTTTTCATCTCAGAATGCTCGTAACCTGTCTGCAGAAAAATGAATAAAACAAATGCGAGGAAGTGTACAGTGGAGAAGTGGAGTTTGAGTGTTTAGTTTGGGTGTTTCAGGTGGACGGTTCCTTTATGTGTGCATGAGACGTAGCATATACCGTGTCGAAGAAGGATGCGTTTCGAAATCTAGTCCGTGTCGAATTATTATGTGTGTAGTGTTCCCCCTGAATTCAGTCATCACAGGACTAGGTCGATTTATTCCACTCCATGGTTGTCGGCGCCGGCACCCTCAGTGGTAAAAGAACCAAGTTTCAACCCAGTATCCAAAGCAACCATCTCGGCAAGAATCTCCAGCACATCCTTAGGCACAGTCTTATCATATATCGAAATCAAATCCTTGGGTTGAGGATAGACCTTGAGCGCCTTGTAAAAAGCGAGGGCCGCTTCGACATTGTCCGATCCTTCGGCGCAGAGACTTTCCCCCTTGGCGACTTGACCCATGAAATAGGCCTCCTTCTCTTCCAAGTCTGTAGGGAATCCTTCGTCCTTTGCGGCATTGACGGCTTTCTTGATTTGTTCCCGTTGAGCGGCGCCTTGGGCCTCGGCCTCTTCCTTTGCGGCGCGAGCCATGCGACGGTTGTCTCTTTTTAAAGCTTTTCGGAATTCAGGATCGGACTGTCTTTTGTAGTCGAACCATACTGCATATGCTGTTGATAAATCATGATTAGCAAGGTACAATTTCGTGGAATAGATGATAAGTGACATACCGAGAAAACCTGTAATCACGGTGCCCGTCGAGAGGGCAATCAATGTGGACGTCTTCATGATGGATGTGATGTTAATGTGACTGCGAACTAGATACTCGGAAGAGCAAAGTATAAAGGATTAGGTGGTTGCAAGTCAATCCGTGGATGTAATAATGGATTGAGACGTTGTTGTTGTTTGTTCGGGAGCTCTGCTACAGACTCGACTCGCTCGCGGCTAAAATTAATTTTGAGCTGGTGGATCAACGTTGTTCCGCCGCGGCGTTTCAGTCAGTGCCCACACGTTTACTCCGTATGTTCGGGAAGGACAACAACGTCAACCAAGCAAAAGGAACTGCCATTGCTGCGGCAAGATGGCTTCGCAATTAGATAAACTCATGGACGTCCGTGGTCTCACCCTGAGAAACAAATCGCGCCGTCGACCACAAATCAGTGCGCCGCAGCCCATCACCGGCCCAACCCCGTCTGAAAGGGGACCCTCGGCCGCACCGCCAGGAGGAGGAGGAGGAGGAGGTGGTGGTGGTGGTGGTACTACATCGGATCTTGTTAAGCGCCGTTACTCTGCTCGTTTTAATCCAGTTCCCGACTCGAGTCTTGATGCCCCTCCCATACCGAGTCTGCCGTCGGATTTACAAGTATTCAAGAATCGGGATGGACCGTCTGCTATCCCGAGTGGATTGCAAGCTGGACCAGGTGTCACGCTGGAGGTTGATCTTAAAGCACTGAAGGATCCTTCGTTACCAGTCGAGAAATGTGTGAAACCCTCTTCTCTCATTATATTGCATAAAGATTAATGTTGTCGCAGATGTGGCTGGACTCCTCGCTAATGCTTCTGAGGAGGAGATTCGAGATTATCAACAGAGCTTGCGCAGAGTGAAGAACCGCACGTCGACAGATCTGCAGCAGAATGTGTACCAAAACCGGACACAATTTATCAAAATCAGCGAAGAAGCAGAGAAACTCAAGGGTGAAATGCGTACTTTGCGTACACTAATGTCAGAGCTGACGACAACGCTGGGTCAAACCCACGAAGCAACCGGGTCGAATCAGCTGTTGGATGTTGATGATCGCACAATGAAACGCAGTAATAGAAGCTCAGTTGCAAACCTCGAAAATATGTGGAACCTACAACTCCACGCGTTATGGAAAACAGTTGAAGGGTCTCAAAAGTTCCTCCCCGCCATTCCAGGTCGACACATCGTCCTTGAAAGTGGTCACTGGGTAGAACTTGACTCCGCGACCTGGAAACCGCGTCGACCGGTACATATCGTCTTGCTTAATGATCACTTGCTGGTAGCTGCCAAGAAGCGCAAGCGGATTGACCCCAATAGTCCAAATCAGCAACGTGGTCCGGCTCCAACTAAACTAGTGGCTGAAGAATGTTGGCAGCTTCAGGATATTGATATGATTGACTTGGGGGCAAATCTTGGATCGGGTGCAGCACGCGCCGAAGCAGAGCATAAAGGTGTACCTCACGCAATCAACATTCGCGTCGGTTCTCAGTCTTATACATACCGATATGATCAACGTAACAATACAGCTAAGAACGAGCTTTTGGCAACTTTCCGCAAGACAGTTGAAGATCTCCGCAAAACTCTCCGGTCCGAAATTGAGAATTCAAGTAGAGCCGGTGATGCGATGCGTTCCCTTAACCAACTGGAAGGACGTCGTAAATCCAGTTTATTCGATATCCCGGAGAGTTTCAAAGACAAGCCTGAAGTACGGATCGATGTGGACGGTAAACAACAAAATCTGCGATGGGTGGAAGGCCAAATCGACGAACTAGATATTGACATTGCGCTGCAACACTTTGAGGAAGCTGTGTCGAGTGTTGAGAGGTTAAGAAAGCTCGCTCGGGGCCTGAAAGGAAACACCTTTGCTCAGGACGCCATCAACCAGAAAGTCGACGAACGAGCAACCAATCTGGCGAGCATCCTCTCTCGTGCATTGGTAGACAAGCATTCATTTTCAGTAGCCACAAAGACCCATGTTGGTTGGTTGGCTCGTCTTGGATTCGAGGATCGCGCACGCGAAGCCTACCTGCGCGCTCGTTCGGAAGTCATCCACAAACGTGCACGCCAATGCATCTTTGAAGGCGACCTCCCCCTATACATTTTCCAAATATCATTCGTCTACTTCACTCTTGTGAAAAACACCATTGGCATATATCAACAATGCTTCCCGCCCATGATGACCAGTGCATGCATCAAATGGGCAAAGGAGCATTTAGACCAGTTCAACGCCATACTTGTCAGACAATTGAGTAGTGTACAGCGAGGAACAATGATTTGGCAGAAATGCATGGATACCCTTGATGAACAAGCTGCGATGTTGGGCGAGGTTGGAGTTGATTTTAGTGATTTGATTAAGAGGGGTCTTACTGAAGATGCAAATGGCGTGGATAATGGGCAAGGGGGTGAGCTTGGAGAGCCGGGTGATGCGGAAGCTCAGTAATATTGGAGTTGGTAATGCAGTTATGACTTTTGAATGTGTATATAAAGTAGTATATACAATATTTCTATTCTATCTTATATTTGACACTTGCAGTAGCACCCTGTATCTACATGGGTTAATACACCGACAATTAACCACACCATTAATTTGTTCGTCCAACCAGAACTCTTCATTTCTGATTCGAAGCGGTCACAACCGTTACATTGATTAAGTCGACCGACTTAGCTTCAAATACTAGTCGAGCAGATGAATTAAACCAGAATACTGGGCGCAAGCTCATTATTATAAGTACCTAGGTAACACAGCTCCCCATCAGTAAGATCGGAGCTCTTCAAACTTCTTATGAACATAATCAATCCTACTCTCAAACTCAATGTCCTTCCTTTCCTTGCCCCCCGAGCTTTTGGCGCTGGTCGCCAGTTTTCTCGAAAGAGACAGCGATATCAACTCTCTGTCGCAAGTCAATCGTCGTCTTAATTTCCTCCTTGTCCCCAAGTTATACCGACATAATGTGCGCAATGGGAGTTGTTCCGCGCTGCTCTGGGCTGCAAAACATGGGATCAAAGGCACAGCAGAGAAGAGTATATGGCTCGGGGGTTGCGACGGTAATAATGCCATGGATGATGATGGCTTAACGGCGCTTATGTTGGCAGCCAGAGAAGGGCATGCCGATTTAATTAGGTTGTTCTTATCTGAAAGCCAAGAGAGACAAGAAGTGGACGTTAATCTTAAAGATTCCCTCGGTCGAACAGCGATATCCTTTGCTGCAGAGCATGGACACGAAGCAGTAGTGAGATGTCTGCTTGAAACCGGACCTGTGGACCCGGAGTTAGGAGACAATTTGAACGAAGGTCCGCTTTCCTACGCAGCCGAAAATGGGCATGTAGGAGTTGTGAGACTTCTCCTTGCCATGGATATGAAGGATCTGGATTCAAAGGATATCAGTGGCACAACACCACTCTCTCGGGCTTGCGAAAATGGACATTTGACGGTGGCCAAAATGCTGATAAAGACTGAACGAGTGGATGTAAATTCACGAAATGTGTCTGGCCAGACGCCGCTGTCGCTAGCCGCAGAGAATGGCCATGGAACAGTTGTCAGATTGTTGTTGAAGGATGCTCGAGTAGACGTCAATTCCATGAACTCTCGTCGCCGGACGCCACTATCTTTAGCTTCTGAAAATGGTCATGTTACCGTCGTCCGAGCCTTGCTTCAAGATGGGCGTTTGGGCGATTCAACGGATGGTCACGGCCGAACGCCATTATCTTGGGCTGCCGAGAACGGGCATGGACCAGTTGTCAAATTGCTACTGAAGGTCAAAGACATTGATGTGAATTCAAGAGACGTTGTCTTTCAGACACCTCTATCCCTAGCTGCGGAGAACGGGCATAACACGGTAGTCAAGATCTTACTAAAGGACAGTAGGGTGGATGTTGACGCAAGAGATGCAACAGGCTCAACACCTCTATCCCTAGCCTCGAGAAACGGACATTGTGCAGTGGTACAATTATTGCTTGACACCAAACGTGTTGATGTAGATGCAAAGAATCATAATGGTCTGACTCCCATATTCCTGGCAGTGGTGAACAATCATGAGAAAGTCAAGGATCTCCTACTCAATAGTCAATAGGGATATCAATATTGGCATAATCCAGGATATGTGCATGGTGATCAAGAAGTAGGGTATAGTAATATCGACAATAATATACAATAATAGATGCGACATCACCTCAAGTACGCATCTTATCTGACTCTGCTTCTTCTTCAGCGTCTTCTATTTCATCCTCATCCTCATATACTTCTTCATCCTCTTCTTCCTCCTCTTCCAGTTCTTCTGACTCATTTGAGTCGTTATTCATCGCCGTGGACTTGCGTTTCGATCGTGACTTGCGCGGAATAACGTAACGATATCTCTTCCCGTCAGTGAGTTCTCCCTCGTTATCTTTCCCGTACAAGAACATTGCCTTGGATAATGAATTTTCAGACCAGATCGTGTCCCAGGCTTTTCGATCGGATGATAAAGTACTATCATCCGGTAACACGCCCTGCGCGAATTCTAACTTTTGACCGTCCCCGACTTCGGACGGCAGTCGCATCCAGAATCGTACAGTGTCTGGAATTTCCTCTGGAAGATGGCTCACCACAATCAAAGCTTGTTCAGGTCCTAGGTAGGGTAACGGCAGGCTGGCTAATTCTGGATCTTGTTCGGCTGTCGGTAGGCCGGAATTATTCAAAAGGTAAAAACACTTTTCGCGCATATTAGCCGGCATGCCTGAAAAGGCTTCGTCCAGAATTATAAGTTCCTGTTTCTTTATGATGGCTCGAATGAACAGCACCAGACGCTGTTGCGCAACGGAGAGTTGGCCAAAAGTCACATTGTCGGCGTAATCAATATTATGTTTCGGATGATACACAGGTGTCGATGTTGATCTATTATCCACGGCGGTCGCATCTGTGAGGTTTTCTCGGAATGTTTTCGGAATAAATGACATGTCTATTCCTTCCTCTGAATGGGTAGCCGATTTAGCGCCTTTCACGTCTTCTGCTGAAGGATCTAGTTCTGGTTTGAAATATTCCAAAACTGCGTCGACGAGGGTATCGCGTTCGTAGGTCAAGACCGGCTTCGAGAGGAATGTATCTGCCCATGCAGACTCGATTGACGCACGGACAGAAAGCTGTCGAGGGAAGAAGGCGTGAATCTCTGGAGAGGAATGGCCCATTCGGGCTTGAAGGTCGAATATAGATATACCAGGTACGCCTTGTTCTGGTAAGCGGGATCTACCAAATAGACGAACTGGTTGCGCATATGCTTGCGGATGATCAGATGTGATGACAGACAATAATGTCGTCTTGCCTGAGCCATTGGCCCCGAGAATGGCCCACCTCTGACCCTGACGAACTCTCCACCACAAGCCCATCTTGTTTCGTTTCCTACCTCGCACTATCTGCATCCAATTCCCGAGAACGACCTTTTCCCCATACTGGACATGTACACCCTCCATCTCAATTACCGGCTTCCCGTGTTGAGAAATCTGCGTCAGGGCTGTCGGATCAGCCACCCCGACATTGCTCTTGGAGTATTGGATAACTTTTGTTTTCTTGTCATCTGCAAATTTGTAACGTTGTAGCTCGAATAATCCACCCGGTGCAAATAGCCAACGCAATGGTGTTCTAGCCTTGCTGGCTTCACTTGTAGATATTCCGCAGGCCTTTGTCGCTTGTTTGTAGAAATCCTTCTTGGGTCCACTAAAAGCTATCCGGCGATTGTCGAGAATCAATACATGCGTGATCCAGTCAGGAATGGCATCTTGTGGGCGTAGTGAAATCATGACTCTGGGTGAGCATCGATACGCGAGATTCCGTAAGAGGGATGATATGCTTTCAGTTGTAGCAGGGTCGAGACCCACTAAGCTCGACCGTTAGCCTAACGAACACTAAGTCTTGTTTACTAGAAGTACTTACTAAATGGCTCATCCAGAAGAAGTAGCTCCGGGGTGGACAACAATGCTTTGGCTATTCGCGTACGTCTCGTTTGTCCATTGCTGAGGCTAGACATGGGCAATGCCAAAAGTTCTTGCAATCTGAAATCTTTAATAACCTGCTCCAATTGAGCCTGATCCAGGTTTTCTCCGGCATTCTCGTCCTCTAAAGGATTGAGTTCCGTTTGTCCCGTCAAGTACTGCCGTACTGTCCAATCGGTATCCTCCCGTAGACTTTCATATCTCGCGCTGAGATAGGCTCCTCGTGTGCCGCCTGTTGCTTGTGAGCCTTCCCCACTGAATCCCACATAAGCAATCGCGTTGCTCGGTGATCTCTTCCTAGGGTCCTTTGGTGTAAATTTCCGAGAGATCAAATGTGGATACTGACGTGATCGAGGCGGCACTGCAATGTATCGACCTTGAAGCACATTGAAGAACTCCGTACTATCAGAGCCAATAACGGCCCAATGAAATGGTCCTTCCTCTTCTTGTATTGATTGTTCTTGACGCAACTCCCTTTCATAACGCTCTTTCGCACGCTTCCCGCAAGTCGGCGGGGGAAGCTCCGGCCATTGCGGCGGTCTGGACGGAAGCGTGAAATCGATTTTATTCAATAATGGATGGTTCTCTTGTCCGGAAGCGTCTGAGGAGACAGGGTAATCGCGATAGAAAGTGCCTTCTTTGATAGAGATCAATGGCCTCCATTTGAGCTGATAGAGTTTGTGTAGGTTTGTTTTCTGCTGGTACTTTTTTATTTTTGGTGTCGTGGTTGCATGGCGCAGGAACTGGCGCGGTATCGAGATTGGGAATTTCCTCGATCGAAGTGCAGGCAGTACCAGCATCGCTTTCTTAAGTCTGCTCTGTGATGCAGCCAGATAGAATTGAGACAGAGTTGTATAAAGCTGTCGTCTTTAGCTTTTTGAGTCAATCCGATATCGTCGTGCCAAGCCGGCTACATTCCGACAAGCCACGCTTAGTCAGCAGCCAATCACCATCGTACCTCGGCAGTCAGAAGAAAAACCGAAGAGTACAGGTTCCTGGATTAGTGCCTCAGGAATCTGTCCGATTTACTTCGGCAACCGATCCAACGACCTGCCCTCTATTGATCTCCTTCTTTTTCTTTTTACTCTTTATTTATTGTATTTGGATCTATACACGGAGCCAGATAGACATTCAGGTGGCTGAGCTTCATTGCAGCTGGCTCATGAATTATACATAGTTATGTCTCTTGCGACTACGGCTAATAACCTCACCCCGGCCACCAACTTCCCAGCTTTCTTTAACTGGAAACATTCCACTCCTCTTCTTATAGCAGTCGCTGCTGTCGTAATGACTGCTCCTGTAATCGCTGCAACTGTACTGCGAGGTCGTGATACGTCCGATGTGCCAGAGATCACGTCCATTCCCTCATTGCCGCTGTTCGTTGCGGCTAAGAACCATGCGACCACTGACAGCAAGAAGGTGGCTGTAATAGATCGTACAAAAGGAGAGAGCTTCACGTACAGACAACTGTTGTCAGATGTATCGGAGAAGAAGAAGTGGCTGCTGGAACATTTGTCACTGGCTGATTTGGATCAGAGAAGGATAGCATTTCTAATTCCCAATGGCTATGACTATGTCGTGATGCAGTGGGCTGTATGGGCTGCCGGGGGCGTTTGCGTCCCTCTCTGTATGTTTTCTTACTTCGAATAGGTCGAGATGCTGCGCATCCTTACTTACCTATTTTTTTTGCGCTTGTAGGCACCTCACATCCCATCAAAGAGCTTTTTTATACAATTGGTGACTCTCAGCCCTCGTTGGTTGTGATTCATCCATTCTTCGACAAGGTCCATATAGCTCTACGCGAACAAGTCAAGGATGTGCCCTTCACAGAGTTCAACCCGCTTTCGAGCACAAAGAATATAAATATAGTCTTACTTCCACCCTTCCATGAGTCGTTACCTCTGAACCGAAGAGCTCTCATGATATACACATCTGGCACAACATCCAATCCAAAAGGCTGCGTTACAACGCATAAGAACATCACATTCCAAGCTGATTGTCTAGTCAAAGCCTGGAAGTATACTTCATCAGACCACCTGATACACGTCCTACCCTTGCATCACGTTCACGGCATCATCAACGGTCTGACTGCGTCTTTCCTTAGCGGCGCAACAGTGGAAATGTACCCCAAATTTGACCCAAGAATCATCTGGGAAAGATGGCAGGACAAGGGCTCGTCAACAATGTTCATGGCCGTACCTACTATATACTCCCGCCTAGTCGACTATTTCGATGCGCACATTCGGTCTACGGATGCTGAGACCAGTTCGAGAGAAGGTGCCAAAGCGCTTCGGCTTGTTGTCAGCGGGTCTGCTGCTCTACCAACTCCGATTAAAGTCAAATTTGCAGAAATAACTGGCCAGGTTTTACTAGAGCGGTATGGAATGACTGAAATTGGAATGGGTATCAGTTGTGGTCTGGATGTGTCTCGGCGATTGGACGGAAGCGTGGGCTGGCCGTTACCCGGAGTTCAGGTGCGGCTGACGGATAAAGAAACCAAAAAGATAATTGAGCAAGATGAAGAGGACGGCATGATTGAGATTAAGGGCGATAACGTCTTCCTCGAATACTGGAACAAGCCGGAAGCCACGGCCAAAGAATTTACACCCGACGGGTGGTTCAAGACAGGAGATGTTGCGAAGCGCTCCAAAGAAAACGGCGCATACTACATCCAGGGCCGCGCATCGGTTGATCTGATCAAGACCGGTGGATACAAGGTATCTGCGCTGGAAGTCGAGCGGAAAATACTCAGTTTGGAGAATATACAGGAAGTCGCCGTTGTCGGTGTGACGGATGAAGAATGGGGCCAGCGTGTTGCGGCCGTTATCAAGCTTAGAGATGGCGTAAGTAAATCATTTTCCTGTTTGATCTTTGATTGTGTTTATGTTTGAGCTGAAATTGATCATCCTACAACTGAAGGCCGGCCCCTTGGACTTATCAACCCTAAGAACGCAGTTAAAGCAAGAAATGGCTCCTTACAAAATACCCACGATCCTGAAAATTGTTCAAGGAATAGAGCGCAATGCGATGGGTAAGGTTAATAAAAAAGATCTGCTGAAGAAGTACTGGCCGGATGCGTGAATATAGGAGTGATATCCAGCTTGGGTGTTATAGATCTATATACATAGATTCAGTACCATAAGTTTAGATACTGTATATATAAATTTACACATATAGAATGAATGTCTTAATCAAAGTCTCCAAACTTGTACCATCGATGGATTCTGTGACATCTGGATAAGCTTTAGAATTCAAAGTCATGTTGGTTAGGGCATTCCGTGGATATTCCATCTACCCTCCCATGGCTCCGAAGAACATTACATCAGACTTTTGCTTACTTTTTCCTTCATGAGTCAGATATCGTGTCTAAATGAGGGAAACCGAAGCTGGAAAATAACATTACCCCAAACTGGTCTTCCTCACTCCTAAGAATACTACCCCTACCTACTTCGACTTCACTCTGCTACTGGAAATTACCTACATATATCGCATGTCCGATTCTAGCAGACCATCTGCTCACATGCACTGCGATCAATGACGCCGTCTATCTCTCGCACGATGGGCCTAAATACTACTTTCACCAAACACCAACACAGACAGAGCGACGACCTCCTGGCATTAGGCTGCGTATCTCAATGTCACGATCAGCCATCACCAAAGGCCACAAAGGGGAACGATTATACTTTACGCCTAGACCAAATAAAAACTAACAACAGCGACGACAACATCGATGGGGATGGGCCTTGGTCAAACAATACCATCGATGTCGCGAATTCATTATCTTCGTCGTCTTCTGTGTATTCTGCGTCGGAGGAACCAAATAACAGTACGGAATGTACGGTCAAGATCGCCACGGATAGTGAGACAAGTGCACGTAGTAGTAGCATCGTTTCACGAAACCAGGAGAGCGTCAGGAGTATTGCTAGTTCTGTTGGGGTTACGAGCGTGAGCAGCCATTACAGCCAGAAATGCAATCAGGAGGAAGAGCAGCAGAAACAGAAGCGGAAAAGTGATGAGTTGAAGCATACGCTAAGTTTTTCTTCATTGCGGAAGATAAAGAGCCTTGAGAAAATCCCATTCAAGTGAGTTGATTATCATACACAAGAATGGAGAGTGCGCTGATGGCCTTCAGGTGGCTATGTCGAAAGTCCGATGAACTTATTCAGAGAGGCGATATCGAAACAGATGATCATCAAATTCAAAAGTTGCAAGAAATAACCCCTGACCTCGGAGCGATAATCGTCCAGAGAATGGAAAGACTAGAAGAGAAAATAGACATACTCTTCTCTACCACCTCAAAGTCGACACGAAGCACTATAGATGAGAGTAGCAGCACGTATCAGTCGATACTCGATCCAGACGCCGACACCCCTGTCGAACAACCCTTATACAAGACCTACAACCAAACACCCCTCCAAGCCCAAAAAAAAGAACATACAGAGACCATACAACAAACCGAATTTAAAATCCTCACAGCCGAAATCAACCACCTCATCAAATCCAACAACAACCTCTCTTCCTGCATCGACGCTCTAGGCTCATCAGGTCTGATCGATTTACTCGAAATGCTGAGTTGTTCATTGGAACGCCTCCATTCTGCGATTAATTCTTTACGTGAGCGGCAGCAACAACAACAAAATCTAGACAGTATCAATAACGAGGAAGGAGACAACCAGCTCAGATTACAAATAGACATCATCCAAAGCCTAGGATTTCTCCTTGGTCAAAGGGAAGAGCAACTGAGACATGAACGAAAACTCAATCAGAGCTATAGGGAAAATATTGAAGGATTGGAAGGCATGATTTCTGCATTGGAGGTGGAGTGGAAAAAGGTTAGCCCTTTTATATCGAATTCGGAGTGCATGACGGATTGTATTGGGAGATTGAAAAGGGGAACCATCGTTCGTACTTAGTTAATTGGTATTGTGTCGTCAGATTTGGTGTTTTTCTTTGTGTCGTTGAAATGGAGATTGATGTATCTCGTAGGATCGTCTGGTGAGAGTATCCCAGTTAGGGGTAGGACTTGATTGAATCTCTATTTAGAACTTCCACAATAGTCACAACAGAGTTCGAAAAATGTAATCAGAGCGAATCATAACTGTCTCAGAAAAATGAATAATGTTGAATATTGGCAATGGCAAAAAAAAAGAGAAAAAGACAAAATTTGGACGAAGTGGACTATGACTACTTTCTAAAATTTGCAGAGTGGATGATTGACTTCTCTGTGGAGACGAGATCCTGGACTTCTCCATATCTCGATTACACGAAAAACAATGTAATCGAGGAAACAAAATAAGAAGAAGAAAAATGAATTGATTGTATATTCATACATATCACACGCCAAACCCATCCACGCTATGCAAAAAGTAGAAGATAAACGCAACACCAGCCCAAACCATACACAGACACCAAAAACACGACGACACAGATGAATCATAAACCATACACATACAGCACCCATTAATGCCAATCTTCACACATTATACATAAAATCATCTAGGAATCTATCTGTTCCTATCCAAACTTTAAAAAAGTCTACGTTCTGTTTAGTGTAACACAATAACTTTTGGTACATGCGAAAAATGTCACAGGTGCGAGTATAACAGCAAAGAAAAGATTTATATCATCGAGATCGACTCATGGCATGACTGTCCTCGTTTGCCCACAACTTTCGACCAGATTGTCGAGAGTATCTAAGGTGCTAGAATGAGAGCCAACAATGCCATGCGGCAGTAAAGACCATAACGCATCTACAAATTAAGAGTTAGTATATTCGAGATCAACACTGTAAGGGTCAGACTTACCTGTCTAAAATAGGCTGCTCTCTGGTCAAAGTCGACCTCCTCCCCAATCTCAGCGTTTCTCGGCAATGGATGCATAACAACCATGTGGCTCTTTGCATGTTTCAAGACCGAGTTGTCAACGACGAAGCTATCCTTAAGTCTTTCGTATTCGTTCAAATCGGCGAAACGCTCCTTTTGCACACGTGTGCAGTACAACACATCAGAGCGAGCAATAATCTCTGGAGTGAGCTCCTCCGATTCTAAGACCAACTGGCCGGAAGAAACGACCAATTTGCGTACATCTTCTGGTAATGAAAGAGCCTTGGGAGCTACCAATTGAACACGGACATCATAGAATTGGAGCAATTTGATCAAGGAGTGCACAGTGCGACCGTATCTCAAATCGCCAAGGAAGGTCACAGTCAAGCCACCGACTGTACCAAGTTCTTCCCGGATGGTGAAAAGGTCAAGGAATGCCTGAGTTGGGTGTTCAAGGCTGCCATTTCCACCATTAATGATAGGCACAGGAGAGAATTTGGCGGCAGTATGGGCGCTCTTTTCATCAGGGTGACGAAGAACAACCGCATCACCATAGCAACCCAAGGTGCGGATGGTGTCCTGGAGTGTCTCGCCCTTCTTTGTCGAGGAGTGCTCGGTAGAGATCGCAATAGTGCGGCCTCCAAGTCGCTGCATGGCTGCGTCGAAAGAAGCAGATGTGCGTGTGGAAGGCTCGTAGAACAATGTACACAAGACACGACCCTTCAAAATATCAAGCACTCCCTGTCTCTCAACTCCTAAACGCATCTCCTGAGCCACGGTGAAGAGGAGATGGAGATCAGCACGGGTGAATTGGTTGACGGAAATGACGTGCTTCTGCTTAAATGTCGAGCGCGAAAGAAGCTCAAGCAAAGAAGTCGATGTTTGAGATGAAGGAGTGAAGAGCGGGGGACCGAGCTCAGGGACGTTAGGAACGGTATCAGCTGCCTTTGAACGGAAAGGTCGTACAGGAGTACTGGTCGAGAATCGTCGTTCGATTGCATCAAACTTAGGCTGCACCCGTGGGGAGAATGCCTTGACTGAAGGCGATTGTGGCACGATGCGGTGACCGGACATATCCGAACCTTGAACAGCTTCGGCCTGGATATCGCCGTCGAGACAAGAGGTCTTGTTCTGGAAAACCACACGGTGAACAGATCCCTTCATTGGCTTGCCATTGAATGGTGACCAGACATTGCCACTGTTGAAAACATATGGACGATCAATCTCAACTTCCACATAGGTGTCTAGCTGGTCATGAAGCTCGAAGATCCTCTTGGGGTTGTCATAAAGACGAGTCGTAATGTCATCGATAGTCAACTTATTTTGAGAAGCTGCGGTGAGCAGTAAGGGCAATGCATCGGCAACACCGACTGTGGGACTAGCTTCTTTACCAGCTAGTTGATATGGAATGGTACCAATGGAGAAAACGTCAATAGTACTTAAGTGCTCCCAAAGGGCATTTTGATCCTCAACAGTTGGCAACCCAGTGCAGTCAGGGAAGTCCTTCTGAGTAAGGAAGAGACTGTAGATGGAAACATCACAAGTGACCTTGAGGCCCTTCTCCTTACTCAAAGCGATCAAGTTGATGTCTTCCTTGGAGGAAACGTTCAGGACATGAACGTTTCGGTTGTGCAAGCTTGCCAAGAGAAGAATTGACGCCAGGTCGGTAGCTCTGGCATCGGTAATCATAGGTTTGTTGGCGGGCCAGACTCCAAAGTGGCTGGTGACTGCAGCTACCTTATTGATGTTTCCAGACAAGTGATTGAAGGGAATGAAAAGGGCTCCAACTTCTCCGGTGATATGACCGATTTGTTCCGCATTGGTAGCTGTCGCGGCAACAGACAGGTTGAAATCACAATAGACTCCGGTCTTTGAGTTCTGTTGGGCTGCCTTCAAGGCAACGGCGTCTGTCACAGAGGCATCTACACCGACGGGCATGACACGGATCATAGTGAAACCAGCAGCGATGCAGGCCTTCGTTACCTGCTCGAAATCCTTTGAACCTGAAGTAACTAATCCCGGAACAAAAGATGCTACGTTGATAAGGCCAGGTAGCACCATGGTACGATGGCTGGTTTGGTGGTCAATGGTGAGAATCTCAAGCTCAAACTGCTGAGCAAGCGCCTCAATCAAGATCTTTGCGTTCTTAACATTAGTGACCAGGGGAGTCTGATAGTCAACCGCCATACGTCTAGTCCTGTAACCCTTACTCATGTAGTTGGCAGGACGACGATATCTGTTGCTTGATGGCAAGTTGATGTACAAGTCAATCAAGTTGTTGGCGAGATGCTGTGTCAAAGAGTACTCCGACTTGAGATCCTCCTCCTCTCCATTGAGGAGTTCTAGATACTTGACAGGAATACCATGCTCCTTGATATAATCAGCGGTACCGGCGGTAGCAAACAAATTGTAGCCCATCTTGTGCAGTTTTTGGATAGAAGGAAGCATTTCCAGCTTCTCTTTGAATGAACCAATAGAGAGCAAGATGTTCTTCTTGGGGAGACGGAAGCCTGTTGAGATCAAAGCCTTAAGATAAGCCTCTGCTCGGTTACGACCGAAACAAGCAACTTCACCAGTCGAAGCCATCTCGACACCCAACACAGGATCCGCACCAGAGAGACGAGAAAAGGAGAATTGAGGAACCTTGACACCGACGTAGTCCTTGGGGATGGTGACTGGAGGATATTCTTGGAATGGTATACCCAACATAGCCTTTGTTGCCATCTCGATCAAATCGACGCCCATGACCTTGGAGACGAATGGGAAGGAACGAGAAGCACGAACATTGCACTCAATAACCTTGATATCATTGTCTTTGGCAATGAACTGAATGTTGTAAGGACCAGTGACGTTGAGCGCGTTTCCGATCTTTCGCGTGGCATCCTCGATACGTCTGACTGTCTCGGGGTCCAAATCCTGGGGGGGGAGAATGAGAGTAGCATCACCAGAGTGGACACCAGCATTTTCAACATGCTCTGAGATGAAATGGCCGACCATGACACCGTTGCGGGCTACTGCGTCCATTTCAATTTCCTTGGCATTCTCAATGTACTTGGTGATGACGACTGGGTGCTCGCGAGAGACATCAGCCGCCTGCTTCAAATAGTTTGCCAGATCATCCTTGGAGTAAACAGTGTTCATGGCAGCTCCTGAAAGAACGTAAGATGGTCGCACCAACACTGGATAGTTGACTTTGTCGCAGAAAGCAGTGGCCTCTTCAATGCTGGTCAACTCCTTCCAGGCAGGCTGATCCACTCCGATGCGGTCGAGCATTCGGGAGAATTTGTAACGATTCTCTGCGCTATCAATCATTTCTGGAGATGTTCCCAAAATCTTGACGTTGAGACGGTGCAACGGCAATGCGATATTGTTGGGAGTCTGACCACCCATGGACATAATAACACCGCTGGATGACTCTAGTTGGTAGATATCCAAGACGGTCTCCAGATTAATGTTCTCGAAGTAGAGCCTGTCAGCTTCATCGTAATCAGTACTGACAGTTTCCGGGTTATAGTTAACCATGACAGTCTTGTGGCCTTGTTCTCTTAGTGTACGGATGGTTCTGACAGAGCACCAGTCGAACTCCACGGAGGATCCAATTCGGTAAACACCAGATCCGAGCACCATGACACCATGATCGTTGAATGAGATATCATGTTCCGAACCGTTATAAGTCAAGTACAGGTAGTTTGTAAAGGCTGGGAACTCCGCGGCAACGGTGTCGATTTGTTTCACAACTGGAATGATGCCGGCCTCCACACGCATACGTCTGATAGCCAATTCATTCGAGCTCAAGAACTTAGCAAGCTGACGATCAGCGAAACCGAGTTGCTTGGCCTGGCGAATGAGGTTGACAGGTACATTCGTAGCGTTATACTTTGCGGAGAGAGTTTTGCCGAAGTCACTGAGGCCCTTAAGTTTGCGCAGGAACCACTTGTCGATCTGAGTCAACTTCCAGATATCATCGACAGAGTACCCATTGTGCATAGCATTAGCAATGGCGAAGAGACGCTGATCCGAAGGTGTCTGGAGCTCAGTATCAATTGACATCAGCGCACTCGTCTCGTTGAAACCCAAGTTGTGAAAGTCAACAGAGCGAATGGCCTTTTGGATTGCCTCTTCAAAAGTCCTACCGATACTCATGACCTCACCCACACTCTTCATGGATGAACCGAGCTGGTTGGAAACACGGGTGAACTTTTTCAAATCCCAACGAGGAATCTTAACAACGACATAATCAAGAGATGGTTCGAAGCAGGCACAAGTGACCTTTGTGACTGAGTTGGAGATCTCATTCAATGGAATACCGAGACCAAGTTTGGCTGCGATGAAAGCAAGAGGATAACCGGTTGCTTTTGAAGCGAGAGCAGAAGAACGTGACAGACGCGCATTCACTTCAATAATGCAGTATTCCTTGGAGAATGGATTAAGGGCATATTGAATGTTACATTCCCCGACAACTCCCAAATGACGAATGACATTGACAGCAGTTGTTCGCAACATGTTGTAGTCCTCATCTGAAAGTGTCTGAGAAGGCGCAACGACGATGGAGTCACCTGTGTGGATACCCAGAGGGTCAAAGTTCTCCATGTTACAGACAGTGATACAGTTGTCTTGCGCGTCTCGAACGACCTCGTACTCGATCTCCTTCCAGCCTTTCATACTTCGCTCAATGAGGACTTGAGGACTGGCAGCAAAAGCCTTGGTACAGAGCTCTCGTAGCTGCTTAGGATCTTCGGCGAAACCGCTACCAAGACCACCAAGAGCGTAAGCTGCGCGTACAATGACAGGGAAGCCAATGTCCTCAACGACCCGCATGGCCTCTTCGATGTTGGAAGCAGAAGCGGACTTGGCACATTTCTCGCCAATCGATTCCATGCTTCGTGCGAACAACTCTCGGTCTTCGGTAGTAATGATCGTCTCAATCGGCGTTCCAAGCACCTTCACGCCAAGTGCTTCGAACTCATCCTTCAATTGGATACCGACTTGCAACGCTGTCTGACCACCAAATGTGACATAGATGGCATCTGGTCGCTCGTGCTTGATGACCTTGCGCACGAAGTCGGCATTCACAGGTAGGAAGTAGACCTTGTCGGCAAGACCCTTCGAGGTTTGAATAGTGGCGATGTTGGGGTTGATAAGGATGGTGTAGATTCCTTCCTGTTTCAACGCCTTGATGGCTTGACTACCAGAGTAATCAAATTCACCAGCTTGGCCAATGCTCAAACCTCCACTGCCCAAAACGAGGACTTTTTTGACAGATACGCGTGGCGCCTTCTGAATGTTTTCTTCAATAGTTCCACCAGGGAAGTCGACAGGTTTGTTCAAAGCTTCGGGCGAAGCCAAAACAGTCTTGATCGTGTTGATGAATACGTCAAAAAGGTACTCGGTGTCACGAGGACCGGGAGTGCTTTCTGGGTGGAATTGAACACTGAAGTATGGACGACTAACATGGCGTATACCTTCGTTACTGCCGTCGTTGGCGTTTACGAAGAGTTCCTGCCAACCCTCTGGAAGTGTAGCTGCATCGACGGCGTATCCATGATTTTGGGAAGTGATATGACACTTTCCAGTGACCATACTGGTGCAAGGAATATTGTGACCTCGGTTACCAAACTTCATTTTGATCGTGTTGGCACCAACAGCTCTGGCGAGTAGCTGATGACCCAAGCAAATACCAAAAATGGGTATTCTACCTTCCTGCACGGTTTTTGAGATGTTCTGCACAGCGGTAGCAATCGTCGCAGGGTCACCGGGACCGTTGGAAACGAAGAGACCGTCATATTCGCGTCCTGCAAGAGTGTGGAAATCGTAGTCCCATGGGATGACCAAAACTTCTACGCCACGTGACAGAAGGCATCGGAGTTGATTGTATTTCATACCAACGTCTAAGCACAAGACACGTACCGGTCGACCGGAGGGGTGTTTTAGGGCGACGGCTTCTGGGGGAGTGAAAAGTCGAGGCTCTCGAATAGACACTATGACAAGTCGAATTAGCGTTTCCATCGGAAAACATTTTTACGCGAAACAGGAGACATACCCTCAGCCACAAGGTTCTTCTTGTTGGGATCCACCCATTCAATTTGCTCGTAATGTTGTTTCCATCGACCTGGAGTGGTGGTACCGTTGCTCTCGGCGCCATTGGGTACTTTAGAAGACTCGAGCAACAGACGACCGAGCATGCTACCTTCCTCGCGGATCCGCTTTGTCAGAGATCGGGTATCAACACCATAGATAGCCGGGACACCCTCCTCCTTGAGCCATTGACCGAGTGATGACCGGGCCAAGAAGTGGGAGTAGTCTTCGCCAGAATAGCTGGCTACGACCAAGGCCGCAATATGAATTTGAGACGACTCGAAGTGCTTGGGAAGCTCTTTCAGGATCTCGTCCATTGTGTCCCGTGGAGGGACACCATAGTTGCCCACCAAAGGAAATGTAATCACGAGAATTTGTCCTCGGTAGGATGGATCGGTGATAGACTCGGGGTAGCCTACCATACCGGTCTGGAAAACCAATTCCCCAGCGACACTCTTCTCGGCACCAAAGCTGTAACCTTGATACACAGTGCCATCTTCGAGCTCCAAGGCCATCAACTTTTCGGAGACACCGAGGATGGGGGAAGTTGCGGGGGCAATCAAGTCACCATGACCAGCTGCAGGCATGGTGGGAAGCGGCTGCAAGCTTGTCGCCGACTGATATGAGGCAACCCCTCCGCCTGACGGGCTAGAGGGAGCTGCATTGTCACTCACGCGAGCAGTGCGGGGCGATGCGGCCTCGTGCTGCGGCATCTCTCTCTCTCTCTTTTTTTTTTTTCTTCTTTTCTTTTATATATGAAGTGATTTCAATTCAGAAAGGTCCTCAAAGGACAAAGTCGAATCAGAGTCACTCTACCGAAGCATTAGCAGCTTTCAAGACTAAGCGTCTGTCTCGTCTGCCACTTCTGCACGGGATATAAAAATGGAGTAGAGGGGAAAGAGGGATCAATGAGAAATTGGACTGTAGAAGGAGAAGAAGAGGAGGAAAAAGTTGCAACAAGGTAGGCAGGTACGAGGGCGGGAAAGAAAAAAAGATCGATCGTCAGGTATTTTTCCAAAAATACCACTTGGCGGCAGAATAAAAATTCTGTGTATTTAGACCCACATATGTGGGATGAGATCTGCCGGTAGTGCACTCTGATTGGGCTTCAAGCCCAGGAAGCGGTCTATCGGTTGTGGCTAACGCCAGGGCTGCTTTTGACCGCCTGCATATGCAGGCTTAGCGCGGTAACCGTAATTAAAAAATACACCATGTTTTACTCCTCCCCCGCTTGCTCTTTTCTTTCTTTTTTCTCCGAGTCTTCACGGTCTGGACTTATCAGAGGCGTGGCTTGAGAGGAATCAATTTACTTGCTCATAGTCCAGTTCTAAATCCCCCTATGCGCGACCGATGCAGGAGTTAGAACCAAGCCATTGATCTTTGAATCTCTGCATGCATGGATCCAGGCCAAGATAAGATTTGCTCCTCGGCGATATCGGTTTGTCCTCTTACATCATTCTTGGCATCTATCTGGAGGAACATCCTCCAGTATCTATAGCACTAATTCTGCTTCATTCTAGTTGCACGGATTATATATGATTGAATCCTAGATTGAGAGGTTAGAGTCAGTGTCTGCCACTTATTGAGTATGCCGAAGAGCTTGTTTCATTGTCTAACTTATAGCTTCTGCGGATTGTGGGAACTCAGTCATGTATGCTCGAGCGTCCTGTCTTGGACATAAACAGTGACAAATGGATTTCTGTCTCGTCAAAACTTCCAAGGTTGCAGCTTAGAAGTCAACCCATAATAACTAGCAGCGACAACTGAATAAGCGAGCACAGATGCCAATTATCAGCAGTAAAAGTGTTGATGTCTTGGCACAGACGGTCCAAGCTCTCTGCAGTTCCTTGTCCAATGTCCGTACTTCGGAAGCGCACCTCTACCCAATCAGAAGCTGTTCTTTACTCTGGACTAACCATAGCAGTACTAGTCCGACATTGAAGTACATCTCCAGCCAATCAGTTTCTCGTCTCGCAGCATTCCAGCAACCCGTGTTCATGTGAGTGTCTCTTATCTTCAAGAATGGTCGACCTTCTCCTCTGCTGCCATGCCATAGTTATAACCTCAGTAGGGATCTGCCAGCTCTTGCAGGCCTAAATCTCCGTCACTGATCCAAGTTGACTCTATGTTCAGGGCGTTTTTCCTTCTCATTTTCTGTTCGGGCGGCTTTGCTTTGTTTTTCTTGCTCAGCGTTTTGTTTACAACTCGTTGCTTCACATTCTCTTCTCTTCCTGGTACTCAGAAGTCTCAATGTTGTGATACTACCCCGCATACGCTCCGCAGAAGACAATTGACTCAACATCATGCTCGCCTCACTATTGCGACCGAGGAAACCCCGTCAGCATGTTCTTCGTTCTGCTTCACCTCATGAGACAACACCGTTTTTCAGGCGCTTTCTGCGCGACGACGGTAGTCTCGCTCCAACAGAGCCAGACGACTATCTAAATGAACACGGTCAACCTGCATATGAAGGCGAAGAGACTGAGCCACGCGATGACGACAGTGATGAAGGACATCTACTGCCTATATTCTCGTCGCCGCACTTGGGTGAGAAATGCAGCCGCGCATTGAAATAAAGACCAGGACGGAACTAATAGATTATGGATCTAGATCTCATCCCTGTTTATACTATAACGCACTCCATCCGGTATCTAATTATATCACGATGCGAAACGAGTTTAACTTGGGAGCAGTTGCGGTCTCCACAAATCTCTCAATTCCTCCTGAAGCCGATCCAGCAACAAGTACGGGAGTTTCATTTCAATCGATCCACGCTATATGCATTGATGGCCAATTGCCTTCAATTCAACAAGGAAGCTGACCTTAATCCTGGAAATAGCGGCACCTCCCGAACAAGGGCGCATGTCAGTGAGCTTCTGGCCATCAAGATCCTCAAAGAATACACAACACGAGAGTTGATTGATGCCCTCTCCTACGACTTCTATCCTCTTCAGGGACAAACTCCCATTTCTGCCGAGAATTTGCGCGCTTCAACCTGGAATCAAGGCCAAAATGCTACCGGAGCCACACGAATTTCGTGCCTGGAAATTGCGATTCGAGCCCAGGCTAAACGTTTCATAGCCCACCCGCTGGTCGTTCAGCACCTAGAGGCCATATGGGCCGGTACCATTGTCTTTCACTCGGCTGCCGACAACTTACATCGTTTGAACGTAGCCGCGGCTAGTAGTTACGGTGTCTCGCGCTATGGACCTACAAATGAATCAAGCACCCAGTATGGCAAAAGGAGACAAGCTCCTCAGTCGGAGGAACATCCCCGGAGAGCTGTAACGCTTTACGACCCAAGAGATGCTTCACTATTCAAACTATCTCGACTACGTGTACCGCGTTATCGGCACTTCCTTTCAACGCTCTCGTTCGCAGTTCTATTAAGTCTTTACCTTGCCGTTCTTATCGAAAGATCATTGCACATCACGACAGTTGAGGTTGTCTTCTGGTTATGGGCTGCCGGCTTTATGCTGGACGAGATTGTCGGCTTCAACGAACAGGGCTTCAGCCTTTATCTTATGAGCTTCTGGAATTTATTCGACTTGGGGATCTTGTTGCTGCTTTTCTGCTATTCGATACTTCGTTTATATGTAATGGGCTTGCCTGACGTTCGACAACGGGCGGCGGCCAACCAAGCATATGATATATTGTCTGCCGGGGCTGTTTTGCTATTCCCACGACTTTTCTCGGTTCTCGACCATTACAAGTATTTCTCGCAACTGCTCATCGCGTTCCGGATCATGGCCGCTGACCTCATGGCTGTGTTCCTTTTGATTGTTGTTGCCTGTAGCGGATTTCTAGTCGCATTCTCCTTTTCTTCTGCGTCGTCCCAATCGCCTCAAGAAGTCATTTACGCGCTTTTCCAGATATTGATGGGGTTCACTCCCACGGCTTGGAGCCTTTGGGAGGAATACGATGCTCTTGGTCGGTTCATTCTGACGATATTTCTCTTCATTTGCCACTTTGTGGTCGTTACGATCTTGATCACAGTTCTGACCAATTCTTTCATGTCTATCGTGAAGAATGCACATGAAGAGCATCAGTTTCTGTTTGCAATCAATACCATTTCCATGGTCAAGTCGGATGCACTGTTCTCCTATGTGGCTCCCTCCAATATCCTCGGCTGGATGTTGACTCCGCTGCGCTACCTCATTCCGCTTCGCGAGTTTGTCAAGCTCAATCGTACTATGATCAAGTTTACGCACTTCCCTATCTTGTGGTCCATCTGCTTGTATGAGAAAATGATATTGAGTTCGAGTATCATCGACCCTACCGAGCTGATAGAAGGCAACAGTCGTCTGAGCGGCCGATCAACAGCGGTATTACGTGCAAGGAACGACCGCCAGAGTCGGTTTGAGACTTTCCACCGTCTCACACGGGAACCATCAATTGCCACGTATCAACAGGATCGTGTTTTAGAAGAGCTTTTCCGGCGGCCTTTCCGTCAGCAATCTATGCAAGACGTCAATGAAAGTCCGGATGGACGCCGCAAATCGGCAATGGTAGCGAATTGGATGCAAGGCATGTCAACAATCGAGGAGCAGACGCCAAGGCCACCCAGTACTCTGCGTAGGATGGTTTCGCCACAACACCGCAACTATACAGAAACTAGTCGATCTTTTGTCGCTTCTGACCCGGAGGAATTTACAAACTACGGAGGCCTCCATCCGGTGCCCGAACATCCCACTGTAAACAATACCCAACCCCGTCTAGGAAGGCATGCTTCCCATACGACAGATGTGGAAGGAGATGACGAGAAGTCCAGTGATGAAAATCATGATGACGAGTCAGACGAGGATCGAGGAGATTCGATATCTGACTCGCAAAACGCGAGTCAAACCGCCCGACCCAGCAGCAAGTCTACACCTAAATTCTTCAGCTCTCGACCTTCCACCGCAGTGTACAATTCTCGCAAAAATAGCCCAACTCGACACCGTCCCGCGTCGAGCCACCTACATACTCGTAATATCTCTAGTGTGACCATCTTACACAATCATCCCGGTGACGCCGACGACAGTACGGACGATGCCATGCCCGGTCCATCTTCTGCTGCATCCCCCTTGAAGGGGTTAGAGACAGAGAGACCGGCTCTCCCTCAACGAACAAGCTTCATGCCAGTTCCCAACTTCAACCGTATTGGTTCTGATATGGGCAACGTGGGTGCTTTGCCATCGAGCTTGGCCACCCAGATCGCGACTGATAATGATGTCCTTGGACGACTGGTTCTAGCCCGTATGCAGAATATAGAGGCTGGGTTTCGGGAGGTGTTGAAGGAGGTCAAGGATTTACGCGGTAAACTGGTTCGAGAGTCTAGACACTCGGGTCGTAAGAGTGGTGGCGATGATCTTAACTGAGCAACGAAGGTTTGATGATGACTGGAAACTTTAACCATTTTTACTATTGCATTAGATACCCATATGTTATTTTCTGAGATACCAATTTCAATTTCTACTCATGATCCACTGTACAATCATACGAATAGACATCTATTCTACATACAAACACGATGCCCATATCTCCTCCAACCCCTCCCACCCCGGCTCCAACTACCTAATGTTTCTAGAGGGATTATCGCTCATTATAATTCCTCAACCGAATTCTCCCCGGCCTAACCGTCCCCTGATCCGTCTGCGTACCACTACCCCCATTATACTCAAGCCGTTCTTGCGGTCTCGGATTCTCTTGTCCTCCTTTGAGGAAATCGAAGAAGAGGAGTGTACCGCCCACGACGCCGATGGTGGTTGCGATGGCTAGATTGCGAGGGCTTCTGCGGGGGGTTCCCAAATGATCAGTTTGCTGTGACAAGTTAAGTAGGTAGGGTGATAGAAGAGACTGGGCTCACGTCACAATAGTCCTTCGGGCGGATTTTGGGACTGCTTCTGAGGCGATGGCCATTTTGATAGGTGTGTACGTTGTCTTTGACGAGAGTGTAATACAAGGAGTGTGTTTCTAGAGCTGGTGTGTTGTTTTTCTATCGGTCAGGTAATATGCAGGTAGTATACAGGTTCTGGTTGAGGCAATGGAGATGGATCTAAATTCTGAGTGATATCGCCATCTACTTCAGCAGATAACTCATTTCCGCCATCATTTGCCATATGTCGAGCTGACGTCAATTTCTGTACTAGGTACTAAACCCACAGAATCAAAGGTCGATAGATTTTTATTATTCCTTTGTTCATTTGATTATGTCTATTTTATCATAGATGTTGAAATCTGTAGATCAATCAGATCTATAAGGGAGAGGTCAAGTGACCTTATCTAGCCCTAAAAGCCGGCTTTGATAGAGAGGTGGCAAAGTCAACTGCATGGTACTAGTGCAGCAAACCCTGCGCACGACTATCATAGTATACCAAGATGATCCTGGTTGAGTACGAAATCAATGGATTGTATATTTAAAGTAGTGGGAATATTAAGTAGACAACTTCTGAGAAAGGAACTATTGACCATGGATGTTATATTTAGTATGATAGTATCTCCGAAATACCTCACACAATCTGAGTTCTATTTAAAATTATCCGTGATCCTCAACAACTAAAGCTTGTTGAAGTCACAGTTCGTTTATTTTGTTTCATTTACTGTTTATTTCTGGTGGTTGATGCCTGAGCTAACTCCAATTCGCGTTCATCTATTGTAGACTCCATAGCGACAGTTGCTGAGGATAGATTCTGAAGCTATCGTAGTCAAATAAATAGGCAACAACATGGTGGCCTAAGGCCCCACCCCAGCAACAGTGATAAACCACGCACCTTTCTTACTTCTTCCTTGTTCACTACGTTCCTCAAGGCTGCTCAATATGCACCTGATCTGAGTAATTCAGACTCGCCAATTACAGTTGAACAGTCTATCTTTGTCAGACACAAAGCTGAATCGCCAATGGGTGGCAAGCGTGCAGCTAGCCTACGCATTGGAAGGCTGACTGACCATCCGGGCTAAATCAGAACGCTTGCATTGCAGCCTTGCCCAACGCCGCCGCATAAAGAATTTTGAATCAATGCCTTCTGTCTGTTTGACTCCACGTCGATGAGCAAGAAATATAGAAGGTACTGCTTCATATTATATGAAGCAAGTTATCCGACCTGAGACCTACCTATCGAGGTATTGGCAATTTTCAACTTTCTAATTCACCAGACAGTACTCTTACGGATACACTACAAAGTCACCGTCAAGATGCAAAGCTCAAATCAACAAGCCATCCTTGGCAGCCACTATACTAGTCCCCTTAACAGTACAAATACAGTCGCCCTAGGAGATCCCGACTCTATCGATGGAAACCTACGAATGCCTTTGCTCTTGTTTACCGACGACGAAGCTGACACTCTGGTTTACATCGAGCCGGGTCCTCAACCAAACGCTGAACCAACTAACCACCAATCTCGGCGTTGGGTATTTGGCTCACAGGAAAAGGTGCAAGCGATCCCGCATCGTATACATAGTCGAAAACTGCTGGATACAGGATCAGAGGTTTTGAAAGATCTCTTTCGACCTCGTACCCAAGCACGCGTCCGCAAGAGATATGGCCTTACGGATAACATGTCCCCGGGTGTCAAATACGCTATCGATCTGACCCCCCCTTCTGAGGGTGACGAGGCGGTTATATTCATGACGGAGTTGTCGTGCCCGATGGGTGTGAGGAGGTGGTCACAAATGCAATCGCGATGGTCACTTCCAACATCTTGTGTTAGTGGCCAGGATGAAATAGAATGGATATTAACTGAAATTGAGGCGACGAGGGATCCTATAATCGTTGAGTCAGAGGACGCCACTACCCTTAAGCAGAAAAGGAAAGCTCGTCGCAAGGAAGCCAAGCAACAGGCGAAGCAAGAAGAGAAGCAGGCCAAAGCGAATGATAAACCGGAAGCCAAAGCCGTTCCTCGTAGGGTTATGAATTTTCAAGGAAATCTACCCACTTTACGTGCAGACTTAGACCCGATGACTCCGTACTCAGAAAGCGAAGAGAGTACACCCAACCAGCCCAAGGAGCTGCAAGAACCAGAAATTCCAAAGAAAACAACCAAAAGATTACCCGGTCTACCACTCGATTACTCGCCCATTCGACATCGAACAGGTCTTGAACGCCTGTTGCACGCGATCGAAGGACTCGATCCAAAGCTTGATACGGCTCCCAAACTATGGACATATTTTGCTTTGGCCAAGATCTTAAAAGTCGCTACACATCCAGCAGTCGGTGACCATATTCTAGTCTGGCTGTACACTCAATCAAATACCATGTTCATTGAAGTGAACCCAGAGTTGGCCTATCAGATCGCCTGCGGGTTACAGAATCGCGCTCTTTGTCAGACCTCATTTGCCATTCTGGTGGGTGAGGAGAGCTTGATGGTTTTGGACTCATTGATAGATAGCCAAGTACCCAAACGGAGAGCTCGCACAATACATGGCCGCTTCCGCGAGTCGTTGGATGATACCGAAGTGCAGCGAGTGGAGTATGCCAGCAAAGTCTTTCTCGACCGAATTTTGAACGAGTTTGTCAAACTGGCAGGTACCCGGATGGAATGGGTGGAAGACATTTTGAGAAGCCATTTCACCAGAGTATGGTGGATTGATCTTGCACCACATAAGCAGGCCATTGACGAGCTTGCCCACCTTTGCAAACTGTACGTTCGTGGCCAGATATATCACTGCTTGATGCAGCCATCTTCAACAAGCGCGGAACTCAGATTCCCATCAACGGATACTATGGATTACCCCGGGATTGATTACTACGCTGCCCATTCAGTCCTACCTCGATTCTGCCGAGTGCTCACTCGCGGATTCTGGAAATCCCTCGCAATGATACTCCCTACCCCAACAGAAGCACATACCTGGGCCTGTCCATCACTCAGGGACCTAGCACCGGCTCTATCAATCTTAGAAGATGAGGGCAATGCCATCATTCGACACGTATCCACAGAAGAGTTATATGCGACCCTTGATAAATTCTACCTGGCCGCGGAACAACTTTCATTCGATTTTTCAACCTTCACATTGGCTGTCGGCAACTATCTGGATAGACTAGCGTCTCGTATCGCAGGACCACCACAATATGAACAAGAGCCTCACTCCAACCCGTTTGAAGTTCCCTTTGAAATCGTCGATACGCTCGTCTGCCTACAAGACGAGGAATTTAAATTCCTCCCCTTATGGGCTGGGGGTAACGATGATGGTACTGGAGGCGTATTCGATGATCACTCTGTCCCTATACTTGAAGAAGGAGGATTTTCAACTGCAGGTCCCTCTGTTCGTTTGGGTAATAATGCTCAATATCCTGACGACGTTGCATCTATGGATTCATTTGAGTCTATCCGTCCAGATGAGGCGGCGAGTACTGTTCAACGCGCTTCGCATGAAGCCACGGCCAGCCATGCTACTACTACGACTGCGACTGTAGTGTCTGCCACGATGTCGACCATTTCTGAGTTTGAGTTAGTCGGCGCTGTGCAGGATTTGGATATTAGGAGTACGAATGGATCTGTTATGGCCGATGATGATACTGAAATGAAAGAGAATGTAGACGAGGATGAGTTTGATTTTTTTGATGATGATGATGACAACGATACGATTGGAAATTCACCTGACCTGGAATGATCTATTATGATATTACACTACTAATGATTGCTATCTATGTATACGATCTACCTGTTTAAGTATGTAAGGTACGCCATATGGAATCTAGTGTATGAAATGTCCACGACTTGTTGGGCCCTTTATTTCGATCAGTCCAACTGCAGTCTACTATCGTATTGACCTCTACCTCTTGCTATTACACGTCACGCATTAATACATGTCTCTGAATACCTAGTTATCAAATGATCTGTTATAACCATCAGCTGTGCTCCTATTGGATGGGAACTCGTTTTATTAACCTGCGAACTGTTAGGCTGAGACTTAACATCTGTGCAAAGCAGGCAAAAAGCAACGTATGATAATTTAGACTCCGCCGCCAGCGGCAATGAGGCTATGCCACGGTAAAATCTTCTCGGATTTAGCCCTAATCTGCGCTTGAGATATCCCAGACTGACGAAATACACCAGGCGGTTAACTTTACTTCAATCACAACGGTAGCATCTTCCTTCGGTTTCAGTGTTGACGACTTCGTAGCAGTCACTGGGCTAGTATGGACCCTTTCTCAGGCTCTAGACGACGCTTCCGATGACTCTAAGCTATTCCGCGAGGTTCAACTAGAACTTTTTGCCTTTCATGGAGTTTTGGTCCAGATCCAGGGTCTAATTACGAATGGAGCTGCGCTTTCGCAGGAACAAGTTGACAGAACACGGAAAGTGCTTTTGCAGATGGAGAAGCTGGTGGACAAGTTCCATCAACATATTGAGAAGTTCAAGGGCGGTCCTGTAGATGATGACGGAACAAGGAGGATGGTTCGTGCTAGAAAGAGAGTCTCATGGAGCTTTGCCGGGAAAAAGAAGGTTCAGAATTTTAGCGAATCAATTTTGGGATTAATTATGCAGTCTTTGAATACATTTGTATCCAGTCCAGCAATTTCTTTATATGTAGGTATCGACCAGCTTATAGTCAAAACATGCAGAAATTCGAGCAATAAATGGAGACCAAGAGTCAGAATCTGATGACTCAAATGCAAACTGGAATAGAACTAGTCTAGTTACATAGACAAAGCATGACAAGAACCGTAGGACAAATAACCAATTCGATTTCAGGACGCAGTTGGGAGGCGATATCCTATACCTCTCGAAGTCTGCGGAAGATTTGAAGTAAATATCCCTATTCAGATTTCCTTTCGTGTAGATGACTTGGGCACAGGCACACTAACTGGAACAAGGTCACTTAGGGATTCCTTGATTTTCTAAAACACGCTTTTAGGGATACACCTATGTTGGAAGCCTGTCAACCAGAGACCCATTTGGCTATTTAGCCCAGTACCGGGGGACCCTAAGACCTGGAATCTGATTACGGATGAGAATTGGGAATCGAACACCCGGCCAGGTATGCAACTTGGCACGTCTGTGTCTAGTGATAGCGTTTTCCATGAGCTCGTTCTGGCAATGCTCTCTGAAGAGCCAGATAATACGGGAATCTGCTTCCAGAAGCCACTCCCGGACTGGATATCGTATCCTGCGGGTGCAGAGTTCAAGTTACCGTAAGTGTTTTTAGGCAAATAAATGCATATCTGCGATGTCTAACGTATATACTACCAGGATTTCACCACAAAAATCTGTGCAGTCAAGCTTGCCTTCCCATCCCGGTCAGAAACGATATGAATGTATCAAATCTGAACTTGAATTACCTTAATCTCTCACTACATATCCCACGGCTTACTCAATATCAAAGAAACGAGAATCTCTCCCACCAAGAAAAGAAAACATCCGCGCTGTTCGAAACTAAATTCATATATCCTCCTCCATCCCATCAAAAGAGAAGAAGAAAAAAAAAAAAAACTCCTCCGATCAAAAATAAATCAATCACCGGCCCAACATCGCCGCGAGTCAATTCGCCACCGTCCCTTTAGGCGGATACTCCTTCCCGTCCACAGAGACCTTTGGTGCACAGACGCACCACTCGTCTTCGGGGATGGATTCAAAGACCGTGGGGATGTGTTGTCCGCAACCCCACCAGGTTGTTTTGTCTGTTACAGTCAGTATATTCGCTCCGTAAAGGGGGTCGGTAACTGAATAGGCGGGACGTACGGCAAGTAGAGCAAGTAGCTTTTTTGCACATTTTTGTTTGTAGGATAGGCTTTGTACTTAAGGTGTATATTTGTCCGGAATGTAGGGAATATGCGCTTCTCAATGTCTGAATAACACGTGCCTTGTTAGAAAAACTCAAAGACCGTCGTCGGAATAAGCTATATTCCAGTTCAAAAAGTCGCAAGAAACCGATAATAGAAGAGGTAAGTATGACGTACAAGAACCTACAACGATATCAGGTTGATCGATACGCCCTTCGAGGTGAATAACTGTTCAATCGAAAGAGATACAAAATGTTTGCGATCCGACAGACAGACAGAAGAAAGAAGGAAGAAGAAGAAGAAGAAGAAGAAGAAGAAGATAAAGACAGGGGAAAACTCCCTTGATATGGGCATTTCTATGTGTAATGAGAAACCGGAAAAATCGTATTCTTTGCTGGTAATGGTATCGTGCGAGAGGTAAATTACGCAGATAAGCAAGAGATAAGCAAGCTGATATTGTGATAACGGCGGGGTTCCTGGTAATACAGCGTAATGTCTATGGTATTTAATTTTATCGTACCAATCCGGTTTACAGCGGAAAACATCAAGACAATCATATAATCTGTCATATGGTATGTAGATATATTGCAATATTCAATCAAAAATAAAAAGTCATCATCTCGTAAATCAATCGTACAGCACAACCAGACAGACTAAGCATTAGGAATGCTCGGAATCCAATATTGACTTCCCTCCAAAAACGCCGCAAAGTCAAGATTATTCTGATCCGCCTGCGGCCGAACTCCAATCTCAAGCACATCGCGCGCCACCGCCTTAATCTGACTCATTACCGATTTTGAGATCGCCCACGTCCGACCCAGAGATCTGAATACGCCGATTGTAAGTGTGAGACGATCACGGCGAGGATCCGGCATTTGTCCTGCTTTGACCGAGTAGCCTGCCAACTGCACAATTGAGCTCAAGACAAGAGCGCAAATGAAGAATGGGGTGTGTTTCGTGACGGGCATCCGGAGTGAGGCTAGAGTTGAGATTTCGCTTGCTGCGTTCAGGGCTCTCATCGCGTGAGCATGGTGTGAGAATGCCGGCATTAGACATACTCCCGAATGACCGCAGATTACCTCTGCGGCTACGGCCGGAGACGAGAGTAGGTCTGATCGAGGGAAGTTGAGATAGATTGATGCACCGTTAATCACCATTCGCGCCTGAAACATCATCTCATCCATGGTCCCGTCGGGCTGCATGAGCTCCATCTTTGAATCTGGAATGTGGTGGAACCACGAAGCAATTCGCGCATCCACTGACTCTACCTCTTCTTGTTGCTGTTGGCCTGATGCAGTTGACAACGACACTACTCGTCCCAAGATCCGGACGGCTTCGATGCGGTAGGAAAACGAAGAAAATGTGATATCCTCTTCAGCAAATATTCGGTCGTCGAACTGTTTGATTGTAGGCGGGTAAGGCGGCGCCAATCCATCCTGGTAAATGCGCTCTTCACACGGAAGCGGCACTTCAAGAGGAACCTCACCAGCTGTAAAAGTACTCCGCATACCTAGCGCTGTCAACATGCCTTCAATAACAAACAGCTCCCACCAAGTGCGACGTAGGCTCTCTCTGCGGATGGGGTCTCCCGTCACTGTCTCCGCGTATGATTTACGATGAATTCCAAGTTCGAAAGCCAAATCCACAGCTTGCGCCAAAAGCACTCCAGCTTCTTGACGCTCATTTCGTGAATGGAGGACAATCGTAAGTAAGAGCAGTGCTTGCACCTTCTCAGGACAGGGTTCCTGGTCGACGGTTGCGGAGACAACAGCCTGTCGATATGTTTCGGGAGAGGCAGCTGGCGTGAAATGAGCGCCGATAAACTTGATTACCAGTTCAAGGTATGCAGGTGGAGAATAATTATAGAGCAACCCAGGTGGAGGAAGAATTGGATGAGCGGGATGAAAATTGGAATAAAACACATCAACCAGATATCCATCTCTTCCCAAGGCCATTGGTGGTGATTCAGGAGTCATTGGCGATTGTAGTGTTCCTGCTTGTGGTGTAGTTGATGAAGTGCCTCCAGTACCGGTAGTAGTAGCACTGGCAGTAATCGCCCCTGATATGTCAGGAGGTGTGAATACTGGGCCACCAGGCGTCGTTGATGAAGGCACAGAGCCAACAATGCTTGGGATATGCCATTCGGGTGAGATCTCCGGTGGACGGCCATCAAGATTAAAGATCTGTGGATCAACATTCACTTGCTGTTCCACGGGCTGGGGGTTAGCACGCCGTTTCTTCGATGGACCTTTATACCCCCGTCGTGATGGAGTATATTCGCAGGTGAGCTCTCCCGTCTTACACCGGCCGCAAATCGGTTGTCTGCCGTCGCACTTGAGATGCTTCTGTCGACATGCCAAACAAGCCAACGGCGAAGGACCAGCGGACTTTTGCTGATTTGTGCCTGCATTTGCAGTTGAACTCATCCCATTGATGGGTCCATTCCAATCTTCATTCAATTTTGTCTCATCATTATAGTTCCCGTTTATGGCGATTGTGCCGTGGCCGGTGTTGCCTGTAGTAAAGTCATTGTAGACGTTGGGATCGATCGAGTAGACGTATGCTCCTGGATTCATGGTGGCGGGTGACCATATATCGGAATACGTGTATAGTTCGTTTTGTATCAGTTGAACATCGATGTTCGAGGTGTAGTATTCACAGTAGAATGAGTACTGTCGAGCCCAAGACAACCTCTATGCGAAGACGAAGCATTCGTCACGACGCGAAAAGGGCGCTCTGGAGTAGAATAACTGGCCGACAATCTATCGGACGGCGGCTGAACAGGGGCCGCAATGACTGCGATGAATCTGCGACAGCAAACGAAGTCAGGGTCAGATATACGGTCGGTCGATGAAATGAAGGGTGAAGCCAAGGAGTCTTGAACTCTCGTTTAAAGAAATGGTCGGAAAATCACGTGGACAGGTAGTACCGAGTGACACTGACAACGAGGGGTATCCGAGAAGTTACGGCCGTGAGTCAGTGAGTAGCGGACAATTGGATGATGATGATGAAAGAGAATGAGAAAGATATTCGATGAAAGAGGAAGAGAGAATCAATGATGGAGAGGGGACAATCTAGAAATGGATGGATGGACAACCACGGACTGGAACAACGTTACGGCTTAGTAGAAAACCGTTGCAGATCTGTCAGCCACTTAGCCGTTGCACCTGTATAATGAGAGTCGCTATAGGCCACGCTGTATGAATATGCTCTGGTAGCATTGAACTCGAATAATGTGCTCTGTACTCGCGACGCTTCAAAGCTATTCAGTCAGTATACGCAACAGAGGACGTAGATGTATTTCCTGAGAGAAAGCGCTCAATTGAAACTTTGACGATCGAGTGCTTGGACAGTGGAGCCGGGTGCTTATTGCGACGGCCCTATCGCGACCTCTTAGTCTGCCAGCCTTAGTTGGACAGCAAACATCTCGGACTGAACACGCAGACGCGCAAACAATTCCTCCTTGTCTTGAGGACCGATTATCTATCGATAACACGTATGATTCTGAAAAATTATCATTCGTGAAGAAGGTGCGTTGAACCCGTCGCGCCACTCCCGTCCTACATCCGCAACTGCAAGCTGGCCAGACGCAGCTCTCCGACCACTCCAAACTAACAACCACACCACAGAAGTCTCTCCAATTGACATACAAACAACCTTTCCAACGTCTCAATCGCCTTTAAACCGCTATTTAAAAAATGATCTCCGACGACGACCTCTTCCGTCTCGCCATCTTCCTCGGCTCAGTCGCCATGCTCCTTATAGTCCTCTACCATTTCCTCGAAGTCAATGCCAAAGACGACTCACAGTCTCCTCTATCAACTTCATCGACGACAGCCACAGACAAGAAGATCCCTGTTGGTGCGGATCCAGTTGGTTTTTCGCCTGCCGCTGCGGTGGCTTCGAGAGGGAGTGCTGGGAAGACAACTTAGATTTCCGCAAGAGGGTCGTTTATGGCTGTTGGTTTGATATGAATGGATCCGTATTACGAGGATGGTTTTATATATCTACTCGTTACTGTCAAGAGGATGGAAGGAATTAAAATGATATTCGCAATGTGGTTAAGATGTTGAAACCTTTCCTGTTTAATAGAACCAGCGCCAAACACCGTCCTTGCACTCCTCCTTACCTAAATACTGTAAAAGTTTCTGACCATCCATCCAGAAAAGATATTGTAACAAATCCTCCTAGGAAGAAACATCCTGTGAGAACCAATTGTCCGTTCCCTCCTCATCATCCGTCACCACTTCGTAAAACTCCTCGTCGTTCACGAATAGCTTGTTTCGCACGGGCGTCGAGAATTCGCATCCTCCTTGCTCAAGACCAATACCTACACGTTTGCGTCGCTTCTGTACCGCCCTTAACACCTGTCGTGCTCGGTCCGTGGGTTTCTGGTTGCCGTACAATCTGTTGAATGCGCGAATCGGGGTCGGTCCAACGGGAAAGATGAGGGCATCGCTTTCACTCGCTGTAGTAGCATCAGGCGTGACATGCAAGCCATTCGTAATCAAATAGCGATCGATGTTGTAATCTATTAACAGGAAGAGAAAAGGAAAACGAAGAGTTCATCCTTAATAATTCATTCATGACACAGTAACAGTAACCTGCGAGGAGGTAATCTCTTTCTCACCAGTTCCGTTGACGGACGGCCGATCTCCGTACTTCCATGCCAGAGGTCGGATATGTACTTTTAGCAAATGCTTCATCAGACCTTCGCCGCTACACTCTGTTGTGTAATTGGGGCAGTTCTGCCATTGACATGTTGTTTGTCCAGAGACGTGGTTTCTAACAACATGGCGCTCCAACGTATGGACGTCGTGGAGTTGCGCGGGACACGACGCCCATTCACACGTAAACATAGGATATGAAGGCTCGGGTACGGAGGAAGCAGGAGCAGACACGGAGGTTTGAACGTTTCTCGTAGAAGGCCCAGTCGCGGTCTCAGCCAAGTCTGTCAAGGCAGCTTTCGGAGGCTTTTTGTTTTTGGCGCCGGGCGGTCGGCCGCGACGACCGTTCCTCTGATTAGTGGTCGGTGTACCAGCCATTGAATCGCGCGCACCGTCAGGTGTAGAAACAGAAGGAAGAAGTTGTTGTCCAAGTGCTGCAGTTGTTTGGCTCGGCTGAGGTCGACTATCTGAAGTGGGGCCTTTGGCGTCCGGGTCATCACGTGATGCGTCGCGACGACGACGACGACGCCTTTTACGAGTGAGCTGAGGAGGCTCAAGGAAAATATCCTCGAGTTCAACGACTGGCATGGAAGGCCCGCCTGGGTCAACTAGATCCCACTTGACAGTTTCAAGATCTGAGCGCAAAGTGAACCCCGTAAATGTCTGTATCAGATGCATCAGGTGAAAGTTCAGGGGTCTTTCAGACGGATGGCGACCGGTAGCAAGCATGACATCCCGCGCAATAGATTGAGGGTTATAGTAGACTCAATTCAATGCAGCTGACGGGTTCAGAGGCTAGGTAATATTCGGAAGACGTTTAATCTCACGAAGGACAAACTCGTCATCAGGGTCGAACTCAATTTCAGGTTCGGCCATTTCAGCACGAGAATCAGTGACATTCTGTTCGGCTGGATGTGGTGAGTCCGTGCCGAGATCCATGACGTCTGGGCCAGGATCTGGAAAGCTTGGTCGTTGGGCAAGGTTCAGATTCATATTAGTGGTTGAGCGAGAAAATCCATCTTCGTCGTCACTACTCATTTGAAACATGTCCACAATCTCGGAAAACAGTCTCTTCTTTGCCACTTCAGCCTTTGGTCCGACAGGCGTGTTCGATATCCATGCTCCGTCTGATTTTCGCGGGCGCTGCAGAGACTTTTTCTCTTTCTTTTGCTCTGATGAGCCAGCTGTACCTGTCGATGCACGGGGTCGGGACGCCTTTGCTCCTGGTTGATAGTAAACGATATTCAGGTCAGATGTGGGCACACCTTGAGGTAGTGCTGGTGCTGGAGCTTGGGGTGGTGGAGATTGTTGAATTGGTTGAGACGGTTGTGACGGGGGTGGCGGGGGGTGGTAATGATAGAGGATGTGCAGTTTGTGCAGATTGTGCAGATTGTGAATGTTGTGGAGGTTGCGCCGTAGTCAGGGGAAGAGAGAGACGGAGTTGCATATGATGGAGGAGTATTTTTGCTTGCTTCCGCCTTCTTCTGTTCCTGTCCATTATTGTTGCTCAGGAGCGCGGGGACTGCTGCAAGAAGAAATCTAGCCATGTCTTGTCTATTCAACGCGAATCCGCGAGTTTCCCATTGAGCACAAACATCTGGATATGTTGGATTGTTTCGTAAGAGAAGCATGAGAGAATCTGATGAGCATTGTTTGCCTTTATTTGCAGTGTCTTTGCTCAGGTACTCCGAAACAGCCTTGGCTAATTTCTGCTGGGTTGCCGCTGGCCGTGCAGCCTCTTGTGCTGGACTCGCCTTGGCCTTTGATTTGGACGGACCAGAATTTGATGCACTCTGCTGTGTCTGCGCAACTGGCTGGTTAGCAACAGGCGCAGGATATTGTTGATGCTGTTGATTAAGCATCGAATTAACATTGACTTGAGCAGCTGCCGCAGAGCCACTTTTCTTGTCTTCTGCGCCGCTGTGCAGGGAACCTCCCAAGACCTGGTAGTCCATCCTTGTTCAATTTATTGGGAGTGCTAGTAGCCGGATATGGTTTTGAAGTAGACTGACTCGGAGCAGCAGCTGAGTCCTGCTCCGATGTTGAAGCTATTTGGGCATGCACGGGGGGTTTTTTTTGGTTCTTTAAGATCATCCCATAGCTTAGCGAACAATGAAGGGTCTTTACTCCGCATACCGCGAAGCTTCTCCAGCATCATCCGCATTTCAACAGCCATATCATCGCCTTCTGGGTCTTGCAAATCCGCAGGAGCAGCTTCCTTCTCGGCGACTTTCTTCTTCGCTGATGTTCTCTTTTTAGAAGTGTTTTTTTTTGGCAGGTTTCGAATTGGTTGATTTTCCCTTGGTGGCGCTTGTAGGCGTCGCTTGTGCACCTGCTGCGGCCAACGCCTCCTCTGCAGCCCTTGCGACGGCTTCCGCCTGAGCTTGTACCTCGACTTCTTTCCTTCGCGCCTCCATTTCTGCTTCGGCTGCTCTAGCACGTTCCTCTGCGAAAAAGTATTGCTGAGCATAGAGATCACTGGGTTGATGTACTGGGACCTTTGATGGGCGAGGTCTGAGTGGTAGTTGCCGCTTCTGTCACTTGAGGATAGTCTTGATTGATCGCAGACGAAGTCTCCGGAGCGGTCACTATATGACTAGGATTGAATATAGACGACGTGTTGCTGTATAGGAGCTGTATCCGTGGGACGTTTGTGGATATGAAGGCGCATTCAACGTCGCATTTGTAGTAGAATAAGTAATAGGCGGACTCTTATAAGCAGCAACCTTCCGCGATTGCTGTGTGCTTTGGTTCACTTTCGGTGATGTCATATGAGTAGGCTCGCACTGTCTTAACGCATCATTATTATTCACCGAAGTATTTTGGTACGTATATGGAGTGGCCCATGTCCGAGAGGTAGCGCTAGATGCTTGCTGGGTCTGTTGATTATAGTTCATGATCGCCTGAGTATGCGCCGCAGAATTCGAAACTGAGGTTTGGGATGGGTAATTATATGAAGCCGGAGCACTCTGATAGTGGCTGTTAGGATTACTCGAGCCTTGACCACCAACATTCGACTGCGATGTTCCCGAGTCTTTGATATAATCTGGAGGTAGCGAAGAAGCGTACACCAAATTATTAAATCCAGTGCTTCTCTGCGTATTCTCATCCGTGCGCGTGGTTTGACTATACCTACCGAGGGCAGCTGGTAAATGCGCAAAGCTAGACGGATCCTGACTGTGCTACGCGTCGTTGCTGTTCGAATATGACCGGTTTGCTTTTTGATTATTCCAAGAACAGGTCGCTTCTATATACCCTTGAGGAGTTGCACAGGTTGCTGCTGTTGCTGCTGTACGGGCTGATGGTTTCTTCTCGAGTTCTGTTCGTTGGGGTATCGGTATGAATTATGATAATTGGGATAGGACGACATATTATCTCTTCAAGAATGGCCGCTCACAGCAACGCCTATCCTCTATCATTGCTTGATCAAAGATGAACATTCAACCGCAACGAAAGTGAGAACGCAAGACCTTGAGGATTGATCCAAGAATGGACGAACTGTCGCGTTAAACTTAAAGCGCGGAGGCATCTACAATGGCTTGGCGTTCCAAGAACAGTAAAGCGCAATGGAGTACGCGCCAACCAATCCCAGTCTCCGCTTAGCGTAGTCATGTGACGCACACTGAGAAACATTCGAAGCGCACATTTTCGGCTAACATTTCAAGATCTTAGATGATCACGACGACGCAGACGACAACACCCTTTTACAGAGCCCATTTTTGCCATTCGACACCGGCTCTGCAAAATGACCAAGACATATCACGGTATGTATTCTGATTGAATTTGGCAAATAGAAGGAAGACTTGTCAAGATCATCGATGGAATATTATTGAATGGTTTTGGACTTTGGACGGGCGTTGAATTGCAGCATTTGGAGAATCAAGTCACTGATGGGATTTTTGTCTACAACAGCCGTCGCCTCCTCGCGACGAAAGTCGCGTAAGGCTCACTTCAGTGCTCCTTCCAGCGAGCGACGAGTCATCATGAGCGCTCCCCTCAGCAAAGAGCTCCGTGAGAAGCACAATGTACGAACCGTCCCTCGAACTGCACATATTCTTTCTGCGAAGAACATAAATCCTCGAAGAAGGAGGAACCATGAATTGGATACGACTATCGACATGGAACAATAAATATACTAACATCACATCTTCAGGTCCGATCCATCCCCATCCGTAAGGACGACGAAGTCACCATCGTTCGAGGCTCCAACAAGGGTCGTGAGGGCAAGGTCACCAGCGTCTACCGTCTCAAGTACGCCATCCACATCGAGCGTGTTGTCCGCGAAAAGTCCAACGGCCAGAGCGTCCCTCTCGGCATCCACCCTTCCAAGGTCGTCATCACCAAGCTCAAGTTGGATAAGGACCGTGAAAACCTCTTGGAGCGCGTTGGCAAGGGTCGTGAGGCCAGGAAGGCTGCTCTTTCAGCATGATTATGTTAGCAAGACGGCAGAAATGAAAAATCAACAAAATTTTTTCTACTTCCAAGAAATTTTTTTTTCATGTCGTTATGGTAAAGCAGACGGAATGGAAATAGGGGTGTGTTGTGTGTGCGTATGTTTTTGCTTATCTGCTACATGGTCATGAAATGGGAAAGGCGCGAAGTTTTGAGTCTTCATACAAAAAAGAAAAACGCCGTTGTCTACCTTATGGACTTGGATGGGTCGTTTCAACGAGGTAGACAATCACCAGCTCGGGACTCGAGATGCAGAGAAATTTCTCAATCCTCTGTTTCCCTTATTCTAATGTCATACATACTAGTTGTGTGGCAACCTCCGAAGTTCCTACAGCTGAATCAAAATGAAAAATCTCACAGTTCATTTGTTTGTTTCCCCTCTCTTGTCGAACTCTCGAACTCTTACGAGACGCCAGAATATCTCCGCATTAACCTATAATTTCATGGTTTATGAGGTATACGGCTGGCGTAGATTGAACACCCAGTAACTCCTATATGAATCACAAATTTTGTTACTGGCTCATCTGCAGACTCGTTTTGAGAACTTCAATGATATCACGGGTTTGATGATGAGAGACATATCGTAGTATACTAGCGTTTAGTGGAATATAATACATACTCAAAGTTCGATTCACTCCATGCAAGTAAATACCTAGACATTTGCTATACACAATCACCAACTCTTCCTCCTTCGAGTCTCAAGACTCGGGTCAATCACTTCCCAATACACCTCCCCCAACTCGGCAAACCACACCCCATCCCAACAAACAAATAAATCAAAAACACAAGCACAACACCCAACAAAAACATAACTTTAACATTCTTCCACCACATCCTCCTCCTTAACCCTCTCGACCTCATCCTAAAATCATGCGCACTCCCGCCCAAGCGATCGGTCTTATCAACCAATAAATCAATCCTCTCCCCCCGCTCAAGCACCCGCTCAATATTCTCCGTCATAATATCCCGTACACTATCAATCTCCCTGCGCGCAGAAGCGAGTGAATCTGATGGTGGAGCGGTGTTGAATTGCTGCAATAACGCGCGAAGCTCGGAGTTGTATGCCGCGCAGCCGTAGGCTGGTAGTGTGGAGAAATCGGTGGTGGATGGTGGGTAGGCAGACAAAAATTTCCGTTTTGCTTCGAGGAGGAATGCGAAGGGGATGCGTCGGCCTTGTTCGGCGGTTGCCACGACGAGGTAGCTTAGGGAGGAGTGGGAGTCGGGTTCGGTACTGCCATTTTTACTGCCGCTGCCACCATCTTGGCTGGAGGGTGAGTCGGCGATGTAATGTACAAACAGTCGGTCGTGCGTATATGTGAGTTTTTGGGGTTTGTCGTGTGAGATTTTGGGGAGGATGATGGATGCGAGTGATGAGGCGGATGTGGATGATGCTCCTGGAGAAGAATGTTCGGCTAATATCGTCGTGCCGTGGGCTATACAAGAGCTGTTGGACCCATTAGTTAAACTGATAAACCGTACAGATTTATGAGAAGAAATAGGACGTACTAGAGAAGGCTGCTAGATGGCCTAGATGACGACGCCATCTTGAATTGTCGATTAACTCCTCGTGCAGAATAATTAGTACAGCCTGCTCTAGGATACACTTATATAGACTTCCTGGGTATCAATGTTCGCTTTCGTTGATTGTGAGCTAAGCAGATAGGTTGAAGGCTGTGACGTCGATTATAGGGTAAGTCGTAGATCACTCACGTGATTCATTCAGGATGTTCAACTTCAATGATTAATCATTCAATGTTGGGACGAAAGTCACGTGACTAGCAGAATACAGAAGTTGAACTACGGAACGGTTCGCAAATACCACAAAAATACCAGAGTCTCTTGAAGGGCGTCCTTTTTGGTGAAACAGTATTACGTTTAAGTTCTGACACAGTATCAATGGCATTATTAGCGTGCTTAGTTACTAAAAAAAATAACTTATCGAAACTAGTAAATATTTATAACCTCGTATATTTGATTCTTTTCAATGTATGCTATGCCAGAAATTCAATCAGTCTAGTAACTTATGTTATGATATTGACTCCCAAAAATGCAGCATCTCACGACTCCCAAAAACCACAATCCCCAAATGCGCTTGGAAAAACAGGCAAGAATACTAAAAAGAGTTGGGTATCATTGTATGCTTTTGCGTGTACTTCCCATCTCGGTAAAAAAAAAAGAGCCCGCCTGATGCAAACTGAAAATGGCGCTGAAGGATTGGAAATAAAGTGGTATAGTGTATTGCAAACAAACAAAGGAAAAATTCTAAGGAGTGAAGCTCTGTCGCTGGGAAAGGGGATCATTCATCGGAATTGTTTGAGCTTTGATAAGAGTATCCGTCGTTCTTCATCTGTCTCAAAGCAGCTGCTCGCCTGGAAACGACATCTTCCCTCCGAATCACATTCCTCAACGCCTCGGATGCTTGGATCAGACCATCAATACTGATTGCATGGTTGGTCATTTGATGGTTGACATAGGTATAAACTGCAGCAGGTGTCTGGCAGGTTGTCAGGAGTTGTTGCTCGTTTAGTTTCAATAAAGCCAATGCAACTTGAAACAAGAATGTGCTGCCACCTCCACTTGCAGCTGCGGCGTCATCTTCTGAGACTTTCTTCGGTCCAGTTGTAGTAGCTGTTGGTGTCGCTCTTTCTCGAGTTGTGCTAGTGACATTTAGACACAAAACTACGTCCCAGACACGATACAAGGCTTCGGCGGATAGACAATCGGTAAACACGGATAAGAACCATTGGAAAGTCAAAGCCTCTAGCTCGACACCAAGTTCGTCCAGATGGGCAGAGAGTCGAGGAAGGACTTCTGTAATGTATTGACGTAAGACTTGCTGGTCTGCTCGAGATGCAAGCAGACCGTGGTCATAATAATGTTGAGGCAGGATATTCTCAATCATTGATGTCATGATCCAGAATGCATCCTCAGCCGTTGGCGTAGTCAATAGGAGAGAACCAGCAATGAGATTCATTCCTTGACAATACCCAACCTCAGGATTACGACGAGAGTAAGCTAGCAAAACATCTCGTAGCTTCGCCACGCCAGGTCCGTTCCGGAAGAACACATTGTCGGTCAACGTACGATGAATATCCATGTCGATCTGCGCAACGATAGTAGGGTCGACGTCAACAACATTAACCATATTGACCAGATCGTCATAATACCCAGGGATACGCATCGCTGAAGCCCCGCTGCATTCTGCCCAAATCTTTGGACGATGGGCGACCGGAATACCGGAGAGGACCAACGACCGAAATTCTCGCCACTTATTCCGTCCAACTTTACCCTTGTTGCCCAGGCCTGCGATACCAACAACTTCACCATCAGCCAAGGTAGCTTCAGGCATGTTTAGCGACATGCTGGCACGTTCAGGATCCTGTGCTGCAGCGGCTTCACCTTCCCGACGGCGTTCTGCGCGGACTTTACGAAGAAATTCATTCCATCTAGCCGTTCTTTCGCGCTGAAGGACATCGTGAAGTTCAGTCAACTGCTCCAGTAAAAGTTTGACCGGCTCCTGCTCGTTAGGTACGCTGATCGTGGTTGTCTGTGACCGAGCCGCTACATTGGCAAATTCAGGCGAATCTGCTACAATAGTCGAAGTTGAGGATGTCGGTTGTGAATTCGGACTGACTGACGGCGCTCCAGCCTTGTCAAGAGCAACAGTAGATGCCACTCTCTTAGGAGGTTCATCAGAAGCAGAAACACCAATGATCGGTGCGGTGGAAGGTGTATGTGATAGCAGTTCCGTTGGTCGTGTTGCAATACGAAGATAGTCTTGCCAACGCTTCGTGACTGAACTTTCGTTATCGACTTCATCGACTGAAATTGGGGTTTCTAACTGATCTGGAATCGTTAAGCCAAGCCCTGTCTGCTCTTCCTCTTCACCTTCCTCGGTGAGGTCACCGCTGCGATGGCTATTGATCGTCTCGGTAAGGCTCTTTCTGTTGGCAGTTTTCCTCAACAAAGCAGCTTCTTTTTGTCTTTTTTTCCGCCGCTGATCGTATATAAAACCAAAACGATCCGTCAACAAACCGTCTGATTGGTAGTTGAAGTTGTATTCGCTCAGAGCTGGTGGTCGAGACTCCATAGGAAGAATAGCATCCATTTCAACAGGGCCGAGATTAGTTGCTACCGCACCGTTGCTGCGGTCTGCATTGGGGATTTGAGGTACATTTGATCCCGTGACACGTCGTTGAAGACCTAACCTGCTAGGCGCAGAAGTCGTAGAGGCGTTAGGAAGACCATTGGCCCCGCTATAGCTGTTAATGCGCTTCAAAGCAGCCACGGCGGAAAGCCCATTCTTCCCGGTAAGATTTGATGACGCTTTAGAAATGTTTTTGAGTTTATCCTCCCCTAGAGAAGATGCTCGGCTCCGATCTGCACTGGACGCACCCTGAGCATCCTTGTTCTGAGAGCCACCTGCAAATAATTTGACCGTCCAAGAAGAGACAGATTTGGAGGACTTTCGCGAATGTAAGCTAGATGTGTCTCCAGCATTTGAGAGTTTCACTCCCGCCGGTGAAGATGCACGGCTAGTCGGAGGTTGGAATAGCCTCTCATCTAACCCCTTTCGACGACCAGACGTATTGTTCGATGTAATTCGAGGAGCCCCAGCGACTTCGTCAATATCGTCTGCATCCGTTGCCACGCTACTACCTCGGCTGGTCCTACGACTGTCGCTAACAGTTCCAAAAATATAATCCTGCCATATACGGACAGTTCCCTGTCTCCTCTGGGTACCAGACTCTATGCTCGAGGTTCCCGACTTTGCATCACTATCATTCCGATGCGGTCGAAGTGTCGCTTGTAGATCCGTATCGTCAGAATCAAACTCGCCCACAGGGTCTCGCATGGCCTGGCCCATGAGCCCATTGATACTAGATTTTGTTACCAGCTTATGGATACCATCCGGCTCCGCAGGAGACTCAATTTTCGGCGAGGGATTTTCCAAATCATATAAACGCCGTTCAATATCCTGACTAGAAACTCCAACATCTCGAAGCATTCGCTTAAGCTCGCGTTCTCGGGCATCAGCCCTCCTTCGCAATTTCGAAATCTCAGCATCTCTCACTGCAAGGTCACGCGCGAATTGCCGGACTAGCTTCACAGCACCATTCTTCTCCACCAAATGTTCTATATGGATCGTATCAGCCAAGTGCAACGCCCCTGGAACCTCGGACGTCGAAAACGAATCATCGAATAAAGCAGGACGACCTGATCCCTGCGAGAGTGAAGATGTGAGTCTTTCCAGAGCTGCCTGTCTACCGCGTATCACCGCTCGGCGACTCTCCTCTTCATTCTGGTGTCGTTGCTGTTCCGTCAGTGTAGCAGTCGCCTGTCCAAACACGCCGTCCATATCAGATTGACTGCGCAATTCTTTCGGCGAACTATCCGGCGACAGGGAAGGGAAGGAAGTCAAATCAGCAGGAGTTCCCGACGCAGCGGTATTCGAGGACACGACAGACACAGCCGAGTGTCGTTTCGTAGTCTGTTTTGGGCGAGTTGTTGTTTTCCCATTTCCGTTGCTATTAGCCTTTTGGCTTTTGTGAGATGATGAGGATGTTTGTGACGAGGAGCGTCTTGGTTGTAGTTGCGTTGTGGACGTAGTAGGATCCGCCATGACTCAACTGGCGGTCAAGGCAGTGGGAGGAGTAACGGGAACGAGGGCAGGAATTATGAAACTTCATGGGAGTCAAGAATAGCTGTACCAATTCGAGGAGAGAAAGACGAGAAATGGTGAGAAGTCAGGATATAAGCGAGGATTTCGAAGGATAGAAAGTTGTGTGTATCGTCTGGAACTTTTCGAGGAATGTGATGGGAAGGGATGGGAGAGACCGTTCAAGCACTCAAAAGTTCAGCACGAAATAAGTCGAATAATGTAAATAACTGACGATGTTGAAGCATGGACTTTCTGGTTTCTTGGGATGTGTTTTTGGACATGGTCATGGTGTGTTGTCGGCCCAAACATGCAGCAGCTCGAAGAGTCTGGCCGCTCTTTCCCGCAACAAAAATGACGTGCCGCTGCAGGTCACATGTTTCCCCGCTTAATGTACACGTCAATAACTTGCTTGCCTCAACCGTCAGGCTACAACTTGGGCATTCTCGACATTCATATACTACAACAAATATATATATACGATTTTTTGTATGAGAGATATTGCTAATCAACCAAGCTTCCCAGGCACAAACGGATGCCCAGCACTCAATCCCCCACAAACCGTCACAGCCTGTCCATTCACATAACTACTCTCATCACTGCCCAAAAACAGAGCCACACGCGCAACTTCATCCGCCACAGCTCCTCTCCCCAACGGATTCAATTGACCAATCTTTTTCTCCGTGCCTCTCGCCCGCGCAGCATCGTACATGATCTTGGTCATACCCGTCTCAATAACACCAGGGCAGATAGCGTTGACTCGTACACCCGTACCGGCGAGTTGGTAACAGGTTGTTTGCGCGACATTAATTACCGCAGCTTTGGAGGCGGAGTAATCTGTTCCACCGGCGTTGGAGCGTAGGCCAGCGACAGAGGCGGTGCAGATGATTGATCCGGAGGGAAAGGGTTTGGATGGAGAGGTGATTTGCATCGCGGGAGCGGCGTATTTAGCAGCGAGGAATACACTTATCACCATTTACTGCTCTCAGGATCCTGTAATAAGACTTTCTTCGGAAGATTTTGAGACTCACCCTAATGTATTCGTCCTCAAAGTCCTCATAAACTCTTCCGGCTCAATCTCCGTAAACAACTTGGTCGACCCCACAACCCCAGCATTCGCAAACATGATATCCAATCTCCCATACTTCTCAATTGCATTGTCAACCACACTCTTAACGGACGGCGCATCCCCAGCATCGAACTGGCGAATCTGTACCTCGACACCGGGGTATAGAGACTCGATTTCCCGCTTGTGTGTGGCCAGGTATGTATCGTCGTAGTCGCAGAGATACACAGCTTTTGCGCCGTTGCGCGCAAATTGGTGCGCACTCGCTCTTCCGATTCCGATGGGAGAATTTGCTCCTTGACGATAAGCGGTAAGTATGTATAAAGATTGAATGCAGTCGGGATTGGAATACCGGTTACAATGACAACTTTGTCCTTGACACGTCTTAACAATCGTGATTAGTCCGATATCATGAAGAGAAGCGAGATAGAACATACTGTCCAACAGAGTCCCCCGCCACGGAACGAATGCGTGGTATATCCTCAAATGTGCCTGCATCAGGGATTCCTTCGACGAGTTGCTGGCTGAGTGCCTGCAGGCGCCGTTTAGCGGACGACGTCATTTGATCCAAGATAGCAAGGAATCTAACACTAAGGTGTAGAAACTTGCTCTGCCAGATAACTTATATAAGAGTAAAACCAGATTAGATCACAGAGTGAGCCATAGGTACGTATAAATGTCATATTGAACAAGTCCCAATCCCCAAGCTTACACTAGGAACTAACTAAGCGGGTATGTACCCCAGGTGGAGAACCGAGGCAATCTTCGGTCCTTCAAACTATGGTTCATCTGGCTGTCCGTTCCAGACCTACGAAATACGGGGTAAATATCATACAAAAAGTATCTTCAGGAATATCATCCAAACTGATCCCTCGACTTTGGAATAAATACATACATTCACATATGAGATTGTGACTCTGAGTCGAGGCAGGACACTGGTCAGCAAAAAAAGAAATAGCAACATTTTGAGACCGACACAAGGATAGGCGATACATATATATACTCTTGTATTCGCGTGAAACTGCAACTGCATGCGTTTGCAGGTGTACAGCAGGACGGGGAGGGGGGTTCTATACAGTAAAGGGGACATGTCGTTCAAGGAACAACATGCAGACACACATACACAGGAGAGGGAAGGAGAGATAAGATAGAATATCTGCACGTGGGAAGGAAGCTCTGATTGCTATCAGGATCAAAAAGAAGAATCCACTAAATAGTTCTTCAATTCTGGCATCAAAAATACAAAACCTGAAAAAGTTCTTCAATTGAACTTTCTGCGGGGAATAAATAAGAAAAGAAATGTAAACAAGAAAATGAAAAAAGATATTGAAAGTGGGATAGATAGCAATAAAAAAAGAAAAAGAGATAAGACAAACCCGTCTACGCCTGGAATTAAAGCTCAAAAACTGTTTGCAACCGCCACACGGGGTTGCTACTTCAACCACGTTAATCGTTCTCTTGCCATACAACTTGAATATTGGAATTCAACTTCACGAAATAACACGAGAAGCCGGGGCGTTGATAACACCCTGACTTGGCTTCTTGGATACCGTAGGAGTTTCATTGGGATCGGTGAAACCTTCCATCTCGTGGAGGTGCTCATCCTCGTCTTCCACGATCCTGGTAGGGATCTCTCCAGGGTTATACTGCTGGCTCGTTCGCTCGGCAACGGTCGATGTGCTGACCATTGACATGGATGTGCTAGAACGGTTGTGGACAAGATCCGGCGTAGGCGGGATACTGGAGACACGATTCTCAGCATTGAGATAACCGCTCTCGCTCTCGCCGGCGTCGCTGCCTTCTTCACGAGTGGCCGAGTTGGCCGGCGCAAGGCGAGCTTCGGCCTTGGCTGCCTCTGCCTCCTCATTCTCAGCATCTTGAGCAAGGTGCAATCCTTCAACTGCTGCAGCGCATTGCTCGCTAATATTGCGGATGATAGCAGCAATGGCATCTGTCTTGTCCTTCAGGTAGCGGTCAGCAACATCAGGCATGCTCATCTGCGACAGACGTCGCTGTGCCTTGTCCATGACGGACTCCATCTCAGGGCTAACATTGTCAGCTGCACTGCTGGAGCGGCTGTTGAATGCACTGGAGAGGCGGACGCGAGAGCCAGGTCGGGATAGACGCTTAATGGGTTTGGGACTTTCTGTCATTGACCGCGTAGGTGATGCTGTAGAACTTGACTCTTGGGTTGAATTTTCTAGGGCTTGGTCAATATATTCACCAAGATCAGTAGAGCTGGCGAGGTTGCGAATGATGTGCTCCATGTGGTGGGTTTGGCCATCGATCAGGCTGCGCAGGTGCACCACGATTCTCTGAGCCTCGTCGCGTTGACGGGCAAGAGCCGAACTGCGGTGCTCCATGGATGCAATTTCCTTTTGGTTGCGCTTACGTTCGCGCTCGAGCTCTTCGGCAATTTCTTGCTGAAGAACCAAGGCTTCCAAAGCATCATCCCGCTGCTTCTCGGTGCCAGATAGACGAAGAGTAAGACGAGTAATGTCATCTTTTTGAGTGTCGATAAGGCCAGTGAGGCGGCGGTTCTCACGCTTGTGTCCTTCGATCTTGACCTTGAGCTCAGAAGTCTCTTTCGTGAGTTGTTCAGCAAACGCTTGGAATTTGAGGAACTAGAGCCGTCAGTATTCAAACAATTCATGGTAAGTTATGGTAGAATGCTTACCTGCTGCTTCCAAGTCTCCAATTCTTCGACCAAGAAATTGTTCCGCTTGGTAACCTTGGAAATCTCGGTGTCCATGCGTCCCTTGAGATTGATGAAATCCTGCCAAGCTTCCACAGTATCTCGGGAATATTGATTGCGCTCGCGAACAATCTCGTTCAAATGTCTCATCGACACCTTGGTCATGAGTGGCTTCTTGACAGAGCCACCGAAGATGGCTTTCATACCGGTGTTGCGTCCCTAAAATAATTAGTAATTGTACAACAACAACAACAACAACAACAACAACAACAACCGAGTTGGTAAACTTACAAGTTTCTCACACACGTGGTCAGTCACGCTCATAACAGCATCTTGGTTCCACCAGGCAGGGTCCTGAACACTCTCAACTTCACCCTTCATCACAATAATCTGGCCGGCTGGGATCAACTTGCCGCCGCCATATGCAGAACGCAAATGCTGGGGCACACCAGAGGGGGTGACTTCACCGTTCAAGGCCTGAGTCAAACGGTTGATGAATTTGGTACGCTGGCCCGGAGTGAGAACGTTTGGTGGGCTAGAAGTGAGGACAAAGTTTCGGTCCAAATCGACAACCAAAGCATCTGATGGTGCGGTAAACAAGGAACGGCACTCAGGGGAGATACCGAGAATGTACGGACCGGGCTCCTCGACCAACTCCTTGGCGTGGCGAGCATGCACCACTGGTACATAAAGGCCACTCCATTCATAGACACGAACACAGAATCGAATAGTCTCGGCAGCAATAGTGAGCATGGCGGGATAGTGGCTGACAAAGATAATACGACGAGTCGGGGAAACAGCTGCCTCAATGACGCCTACAATATTAGGGATGGAGAGACAGTTGAACAACGGCCACATGGAAAAGTTCTGAAATCCGGTTGGCGAAGATGGGAATTGATAGCATAGTGCATAGTCTTTCATATCAATTCGAACTAAATCATTCAGGCGAGGAGCGGGGAAGCTCAAGATGCGAGAGACTTCCTCGGCGTGGAATAGGTTGGTGGCTTTGTTCCAGTGAATCCACATGCCACGGAGGTAATCTCCTAGAAGATCATAAAGGGGATAACGAGACAAGAAACTCAAACAGTAAGGAATCCAGTAGGTTTCGTCGGGATTGTCGTAGTAATCGGACTCGGTCTTCTTGCGCAGGTCGCGAATGGTTTCGGCACGCTTCTCGTCGGCGCGAGACCAGACACGCAGTGCGATACCGTACAGAGTGTGGGACGAGTCCTGTTGGAGTACAAAGGAGTGATGAACGCAGTGGGGCTGAGATTTGCCTGTGCATATTTCAACATCATGAGGGAAGCATGCCTGACGAATTCCGTTAGTAGCTGATCATCACTATCAAGAAGAATATGTAGCTTACCCTCATGGCAGCGTGTAAAGATCGCGCAATTTCATTATCCTGCTCCAGCCGAGGGCTGCTACCAAGGATTTCAGGCAGCCAGAACTGGCCGACTGCGCCCTTCATATGCTGGATCTTTCCTTGGATGGGTGCGGGAGCCTTGACCCATTGGGACGGCTCCCGACCGACACCACAGACCATATAGGCATGGGTCAATGTCTTTGGCGTGCGTTGTGCGGGCTTCAAGTTCAATGTCGAAGGAATTGGCTGGGTGATACGAGAATGTAAAGATGAAGTACGACTAGGAATAACGAGAGAATTATCGGCCTGGTCTCTGGTCACGGGCCGGTCCCGAGTGGACGGGCGAACGAAGGATGAGTGGTCTCTTAGTGAGGGAGCCATTTTGAAAGAAAAGAGTGGTAGTCGATGATTCGGAAAGAAACCAGAAAAACTCGGTGTCTGGGTGATGGCCGAAAACGAATCTATTCTGATACTCTCAGATAGACGTCCCAGCGAAAGGGAGCACCTATTTCACAGCCAGCGTGAGGCTATACGCACATCTCCTGGATGACTGACGAGTATGGCCTACAGGAGCAGACAAATATTCAGTAGGAAGGTAGAGGAGTGAAGTACACACAATGAGGGACAGACAGACAATCTATCCACGAAGAGAAGGGATACTCCATACAAAACGAGGAAACAAGATACGGAGAAGAGGGAAAGAAAAAGAAGACAGACAGAATAGGGAGGACGGACAGAAGAGGAGAGCGGCCAGTGCCAGAGCCAGCGGGGACTGAGGGAGAAAGCTGGCCAATGACCGCGAGCATGGGACTTGTGCTCATTAAAAGGTGCCAACTAAGACTGCCTAAAAAGGTTTGGCGCCAGTCTCAAGAGGGACGGGCGGGTCTTGCGGGAAAGGAGGAAACACTGGATAGCTCAGGGGTTCTGCGGTATTATTGGCTGATGATAGATACGGCCCACTTAGGTTGCTTTAGCCTAGCTTTAGCTAGTTTAGCTTAGGCTAGCGTCTGTTGCCAGCCCGCTCGGGATGAGATGCCCCAGGCCCAGACAAGACAGGATGTCGTCTGAAGAGACGACGTCCATAGACAATTAATCTCTTTCAAGTCAAGAGACAATAGCTAACTTACACCGTACAGCTACAAGTATGCTATGCAGGTATCCGAAAACAATGACCAAATATTGGTCTTGTTGATAGAACAACGGAGTATGCATTATTATAATATGAGAATCATAGCATAACACTCGGATATCTTGCCATTGCGATGCGGTGCTCAACCAATAGTTTCTCTATCGGGTAACTCGTTGATTAAGCATGGCGATAGTGCATCGTCGGACTAAATCAAGAATAAAACACCTAGTAGTGTACGAGCCTACGGAGTACAAGTCGATGAGATCTCTAACCTGGACAACGCAGATCTCATCCCTTACTCATGCGTTTCAGATAAGATGCTGTCCAGTTCAGCTTCGCATAAGAAACCGTGCGTATTGAAATACCTAACACCGGAGTATTTATCCTCTGTATCGTGTGTATCGTGTGTATCATCCAGCCCCACTCAAGCTCTCACAGATTCATTTAGCTTTATCCTCGGAGAAAAAAAATCTATCTATTTATTGACTGTCTTGTATGTCTGACTCTGAATAGATATTACTATGTATTGTTCAATCATCCTCTCATCCATGGTTCGGAGCTCTCCAACCCAAAAAAAAGAAAGAAAAAAAAAGGTCCGTTCCGGGTCCCCACTATTGCTTGTCCTTGAATGGCATCGATCGCCGGATCACGCCAGTTTAAGCGTAAAGCAGCGAACTCGAGGAGAATTCTCAATCAAGCTTACTCGTACCTTGCAAGTTGCAATCTTGAGACTACATAGAAAATCAGATCCAACAATAAAAAGGCATCCCATAAGAACTCCAACACGGCTGGAATTGGAATCTGAGAATAAGGAACTTAATACTTCGTACATGACTTGTCACTTTCCGAGCTGCATCCCGGTAATTCCAAAGGTTACGTATCCATCCCTGCTTGCGTACCAAACGCATGCGATGCATCGAAAACTACTGGCCAGATATGTACCCCCAAATTCATACACGTACTAAGTAGTACGTGAGGTCAACCCCTCGATGATTAGACTCATCACATCTCGGATTGATACGTATCCACCCGACATGCATCATACATGACATGTGCATGGTGCAGTAGTGAGGGGTGAATCGGAATCCACTATTCGGGCATGTGGCAAGGGATGTTTATCTTGTTACTTGTAAGTTTACTATGTAAGTTAATTTACGGAGTGTCTTGTTCGGCTGTGGTTTCAAGAGTGGTTATTTTAGACTATTTGCCTCTGTCTAGAGTGACACAGATGTTTCGGGAGATGCGGCTTGGTGTTAGGTATGCTTCTCTATGAAACGTCATGCGGCATCTCAGTGCCAATTGATCGAATCCGATACTTGTGAGTCCTAGACATAATTAGACGAGTACTTTTACGTATATATCGTAACTCTAAACGGTGAACTTGAACTCTTGTAACCTTGAATACATCTTCAAAGTTCTATTTCTACCTAGGTAGAAACATCACTGAAACACATACACCATCCCAGCCCGATCCACACTCACAGTCATCCCATACGGCGCCCTCAGAACAGCCACATCCAGAATCGAATCCAAATGACTCTTCAACAACTGCTGCTGTTGAAGACTAATAACCGTACTACGTGGAGGACGCGAAGCACTCGCACTATGCCCCTTCTTACCGGAAGAACTTCCACTTCGTCCACCACTACCACCACCAGTAACCGTCGCGAGACTGGGAGAAAACTCCGTCGTTACCGTAAGACTCGTCGTAGGCTGCACAGTCTCATAACGCGGTTTTGCAGCTGCCCCAGCCTCAACCACAGAAATGTCCAACCCGCTAACGATACTCGACAGTTCTGGTCGAACAAGATCCCAAAATCGTACTTTTCGATCTGATCCTGCGGTAATTGCAAAGCCGCATTTTGTGCTCTCCTTGCCGTCCGCGGGCATATCGTATCCTACGTGCAGAGCACAGATACCGTTGGGATCACCGAGGCTTGAAGAATTGGGTGATGCTGGGTTTATGTTCGGCTCAATCCCGGCTGCGGATGGGTTGGCAAAGCGGCTAAGCATTCCTTCTGGACGATCTTCGTCCACGCGCCATGCTTCGTAGCTTTTGGTGACTGTGTGCATGGCAGCTAGATTATTCACTACCGAGGTTCGATGACTATTCGGAGTACTTGGCGTCGACGGGTTGCTCCCCATAGTCGATGCCGATGCTGCTCGGTAGACTTCTCGACATTGGACTTTTTCCACGTCCCAGACCGTAATTTCACTACCGTGTACACTGCCTCCGGCCACGCACACCCAACGGCCACGCCCTTTAGTCGGATGAATCTGCAGTCGATGTATCGCCGTGCCTCCTGGGAGACCCCACGCTTTTAGTCTTACCCTAAACCGCAAGTCCCACAAATCTAAGATACCATGTGATGTTCCAATAATAAGCCAACTGTGTTTGCGATCGAAACAAAACACTCTTGGAGTACCGTGGTGAACCGGGTTTTGTACTGTGTATAATGGTAACATAGTCTTCATATCAAGTGCTAGGATACGACATGTATTAGTAGCGATGAGCAACACGGACTGTCCTTCTGAACGGTAATGTTCGATCCATGTTGCATATTCAATCGAGCCGTCATCTCCCTCTGGTAGCTGATACTGCCGGACTATCTGCAGTTTACCGTACCGCACTGTTTCGTTGATGTTCTGGTAATCAACCTTGACGGCGTGGATGCTCCCGTCCGTGGCGGCACTGACAAATGTATAAGTGTTTTCAACGAAGGTCAAACATTTCACCTTTGTTCCAGGAGCATGACGATGAGTCTGTCGCGATCTCGGAGTCAAGTTCTTCTCCAACCGCGTAGTATCCCAAACCTTGACAGTGCTGTCATCAGAGGCGGTCACAAAGAACCCATGATCTGGCGCAACCACCACCCGATTAATCGGTCCAGTGTGTTCACCAAACAAAGCAACGAGCACACCTTCAGGTCTCCAGGGCTTGTCGCTTTCTTCGCCGCTAGCTCTTCGGATTGGACGCCGAGAATCGATTTCCTTGACATATGGACCCAAATCAAAAAAATCCGTAGGGTAATTCTCAGCAAACACGTCGTCTAGCAGCCTCAAAATCCTTGGATCACGACCCTTGTATGAATGCCCGGCACGATATCGTTGTAATGTTGCTTGTTGACCCGTATTACTCTCCCTTGCTATTGCCAAAGGCGAGCCAGAAGACTTTTTCTGCTGCGAATGAACATCCACTTTCCCAAATGCATTCATCGAGTTCATACTCGTTTCGGCATAAGCTTTGGTCGTTTCTTTGCGGTTGAGTAGATTGATAGCACTTGATTTTCTCTCAATTCTGGTCTGAGAGTTGATTTGTGATAGAGACCCGGTTTCGGTCACTACGCTGCTCCGATCTGATGCCCTGTCTGCATCCAACGAAGTCTTTGTTGTTACTCGCTCTATATCCGAGTTTTGAGCGGATGAATCTTGTGAGATTGGTTGAGTGGTTGGTGAGGATGAAGTAGAGGGCCCATCTGAGTCGGCTCTTATGCCTTCTGCAATCGCCAGACTTCTGCGCGCTGGATTGCTATCTTTTGGCGGTTGCGTTGCTGATCGCTGATGCTTCCGGCGTGCTGCCGACTGGGTGTCAACATTCGTTGATGCATCAAGCAGTGCGTCAGCGATCGTATGCGACCTGGGTTCCTCATTTGTCGGACTATATACGTTGTCCGTTGAGACTTTTCGTTGTCTGACGTCCTGGTTTTTATCAAAGAACACTGTCTGTGGCGTGATCCCGTATTGCGAGAGAGATAAAATGTCGTTCAATAGGCTTGGTTCGGTCGCATCAGAAGTTTTACGCGATTTCATAGCGACCCTCCATATGTATTCCCGCAGGACGAGTACTTTGAACTCGTCCTCTGGAGTCATACCGAGATTCTTCAGCCTTGATATCCAATGTGCATCTTCTTCATTCTTCGATATTGCGGCAAGAGACACATTTCTCGGAAATCCCCTGCCAATGATGGCGTCACTGCCAGTGAGACTGAAAGTGCTCTCTCGATTAGCTGCTTTCCAAAAATTACCCTTCTCTGACTTTTGAGCCCATATAATAGCCATATCATAGATGCTCTTTGACAATGGACGTTTGAGAGCATCAAGGATTTCACCCTCTGTCACAGTGATAATATTCGTTTTCAAGAACGGCCGTATTAGTGGAGTGAGTATCGAATGTTTGTCTGCGAATGATAAATATTTGGAGCACGTAATGACAAAGTAAACGGAGGATTCCCTGATCCAGATGCTTGGATGAGCGAAAAATCGCACGACAATATTAAGCAGCTCCCAAGTCGTCGACCGCTGAAACAGGCCCAAATCTGCCATGGCTGCCATGGATCGGATCACCCGTTCGACTACAAAGTCTTCGGTATCTGTAAGCGACGGGACCATCAAGGGCAAGATAAATTCCTCAAGACTTGTGCTTCCAATATGAGTAGCAACGCCAACGACAGCTTCAAAGAATGCACATTTCAGGATCCAGTCTTTATCATTGAGGTAAGTGTTCAAGTGGCTCAAAATAACATCGTTAATCTTCGTACTGCCGAAGAAGACGCAAAGGCTTGACACAGAACCCAGGAAAGCGCGGCGAACTGAAGAATCACTATCTGTTAAAAGAGCTTTTGTGTGAACCTCGAAATATTCAAGAAGATCGGCCCTTGCCACGTCATAGAGGTTATGGAAGGTTGCCTCTTCGGTCCAATTAGCTTCAGAACCGGCTGGTATGACTGATCGCAGGCGTGTATCGGTCCGGAGAGCTTGAATCATGTCCAGAAATCTCAAAGATGATTGCGCTAGTGAGGAGATACAGGAAGCATAGGCAGCTCGAACCATAGGACTGGGGTTAAATGAAGATTCGGCGACAAATGGTTGCAACCTGGGAAAAATGTACTCTGGGAAGATGTACGCGTTGACAGGTGAAACCACCTGGACTATTGATAAAAGCTGTGATAGAGTGCGTATTGCCGCAACTTTAACCACATCAGATCGATCATTGAGCAGAGTCATCACGTAAGGTAGAATACGATCGAGCTTTGACTCGTCCGGAAGTCTTTCAGCAAACGCCAATAGCAAGTCGCAAGCTTTGACTTTGGCGGAGGCCTTAGATGTATTTCTCAGATTAGAGACAACCACTGTTAGGAAGATGAGGGCACCTTCCTGAGGATTCATGTTCGAAGTCTCGTGCTGTGAATTGGGTAAATCCAGCTGTACCGGAAGAGCCTGGTAAATCAGGTTCGCCGACATCAATTTTGATCCATCCTTGGCCTGTACCGGTGGTGATCCCAGGAAGTAGGAAATTTTGTCAAAGTCCAGATACAGTCGATCAATTCGGTCATCAGATTCGCCAAAGTTTCCGGCCTCGGCATCAACATGTGTCCTCCCTGATGCCGGTTCGGTTATGAGAGACATGTATTGATGGAGGAAACTGTAAAAATAATCCGGAAACACTTTGTGTCTCCAAAAGTTCAGATATTCTTCAGCAGAGTATCTGGATTCCGGGTCGATTTGAATCATGTGAAGTATCAAATCTTTGACATTGGAGTCTTCAATCTTTGAGAGCTGGCTATGTTCGGGACTATACTCTCCCTTCCGGTACTTGTATAGCTGGCTGAGCGTGAATATGGGAGCTTCAAGAAATAGTTCGGCGATAACACATCCAACACTGAAAATGTCCATTGCCCAGTTGACTTTCCGGTCTCCGGGTTCTTCACCTGCTTCCAAGAACCTTTCAGGCGCGAGGTAACAGGTACGTCGCCCGGAGGTGTCAAAGTAGAAAGAGAAATCAGCAGGGTTGTCCTCTGGAAGAAAGGTCGGTTTGAATGATGATGAAAAGTCAGAGAGATAAAGCCAGTTCCAAGAAGTCACCAGGACATTCTCTGTTTTAATGTCTCCATGAAAAACTTCTTGGGTGTGGCAGTCTCGAAGTGCACATAGCAGTTGGAAAGCAATCCATCTCTTCTCTATGTCCTCCAGGAAGGGACGAGTACTGTGGTCGTTAAAAAGTGAAGCACCTTCATTCTCTAGGATACTCACCTCAGTCTATCATATAGAGAACTATGGATATATTGGCGAACCAAGTATCCGCTAGTACCGGTTTCAATAATCCGTTGGTAAGCTAGGGCGTTGGGGACGCTAGCCAGCAATTCCCTTTCACCTGTACGAAACGATCAATATCCAGTAACTTCATAGGTCCAAGAGTCAATAACTTACGCGCTATTGCTTTAACATAAGGATCTAACTGCATGCTCGGATAAGGTTTCATGATAACTTTGACAAATGCAAGGCCATTCCGCTGCCGAGCTCTGATGCTTTTCATGAATCGCGCGGAGCCTAGAGATTTCTCATACACCATGTCGGAGAGCTCTGGGACGTCGATGCCGGCCGAGCCGGCCGACAAGGTGGTTAAGGAATAGCCTTGGCCCATTGTGATAGAAGTAAATGGTCACTTCCAAGAGAAGTGGTTATATGTCGTGAAAGTGATCTTGGGCCGTCAAGATCATGATTGGTGAGTATACATCATCCCAGGCAATCGAGAGCTTCGGAGTAAAGCATGTGCTGATAGTGATGGTCCTCTAATTGCTCTCCGTTACCTGAACAAGCTGTTGCTGATATTCACGGTTGATGCTTTTGATATTGACTTGTGGACGTTCCGGGGCGGCGGAGAATGGAGAAGACGTCAAGTGCTGCCTGAGGCTGCGAGCACTCTCATTGGTCGCGGGCCAGTCTACGCGATCGAAGTATACCACGATGATTTACTTTAAATATTCCTTTTTAGAGGTGTATTGCCTTGTGTCCAAAGATGAATCAACTCCAGAATAGTAAATTGAGCATGAAAACTACAAATTCTATCATTATCCTAGTATCTTGGTCAATGTTTCTACGAGGACGTTCGTTTGAAGGACTCTGCTGAACTGTACACCGATCTTCAAACGGTGCAGATGTCCTGTTCCTCACTTAGGCTGAAAGAAAAGTGTCAACCTTTAGATGACGAGCAATCAATATATGCCAAGACGAGAGCTGTCATGTATCGATCTATCATGAGGATAACGGGTATCTTTAAGAAGGATAACTGACAAGATTGTGCATTGCATATGACATAATCGAATGCGAATGGTTATCCAAGATAGAAATTGTAGTGAAGTAATCTAAACATTCATCAGACCCCAAGAAGGTCGTTGGTCTTCAGACTTGAAACACATGTCCTATGGCATCAATGACCGATGTTGAGGATGACTCACGACCCGTCAACTCTGGAACCATCCTAACCTTTTGATAGAGGATGTAGTTTTCCCCAAGGACCTTGTTGTCTAAGAACATATTAGTAGCATGTTTCAGCCATCAACGTACTTTGTAAAAACTTGCGCGAAGCAGCTGAAATGAGTAATTGCTCATAAGGGCTTTCCTAGGGTGGTTCGCGCATTGACCTCACGTATTGAATCATCGGGTAGAGATCCTTAACCAAACAATAAGATTTGCAAGACTTCTAAATGACTCATGAGAGTACGCCTAAGAAGATCATCAATTGATTGCTTGGAAGAAAAAGTCTTCTAGACCGATTAAAGTCTAAAACTTCTAGTCCTCCGAATCGTCGAACTGATGTTGTGATTGTATTCTTCGTGAGTCATCAAGAATGGTAAATCTGCCTTGATCGATCAATGCTGGCTTCTCCATCGTTATAGGACAGACGTGACAAGGTCGAATTTCATAGCGGCGTGGTCCTGCGTAGATGTACAGGACTCATCCCGGGAACCATGTAGCTGAGATGACACCGTTAGATGTACTATATGCGAACCTCGAAATCCCAATTGCCTATACCGCTTTTTCTAGCAGCGCTTTATCTCGGTGCCTGCATGACATATGGACTTGATGCGGTCTAGAAATCGAAGATTAGCTTGGACCCTGGTGTTTAAGAATCTTCCATGCGTCTTCTACCGTCTAACACAGCCCCCTTGTCTCAGCATTGCATGGGTAGGAACAAATGTAGCTGATTCACGTGCTGAATGATCTCACATTGAAGCTAATTGTTGATCAAAAGCCCAGACGTTATAGACCAAGGCTGTGTTGAACACTGGTACCTGAACTAAGGCGAGGCGTTTTAGAGAGATCAACTCCCTTTGTGGATCATGCCCAAGACCCCTTGACCGTGCCCACCGACAATCTCGTGATCGATGCTCGCTGCAAGAGACATCCTGGATGGATTGAGCTCGAATAATTGGTGCAGGCGCTTATCACGACAGTAATTCCGGCGTAGTTCCGCAATGCGTTATTACGGCACCGCCTTCTGTGACTGTTGATTCTCAGGTGGCTGGAATGGTTGGTTGTCAGAACATCATTTAGAATGTCGACCGTAGCTGTTGTTTGTCCAGTACCAAGTTTCTGAGATTTTTCTGGAATTGATTGGCTGTGGATGCACCTTTTTTCAACAGACTAAATTAGTCTTCTTCCCCGCCATCCCTGTTACGGCTTAACGTGGACTCCTCAACAACACATCATCGCACTTCACTTTGGCACGTACATCGAGCAACTGGACTGTCGCATGCGCTGCAGGTCACGTTAGAAAGAAAGAAAGTAGAAGTTATGGCTTACTCATAAACTTCTATTGTCCCACTCTTGGCGAGGCGAAGCGCTCCTGGTGCCTTAAGTCGGAGCAAGCGCCGGGTGAGGAGGAAGCGTTTAAGTCAATTGGTGATTATGAATCCAGAACAAGAAAGTGTCATCTGCATGAGGTCTTTCATTTTTGATGTCATTGTTAACAGCTCTTGTTGGTGTGAGCCTTGCGTCGCTTTCTCGGTGACCACATCAATTCCGTGCAAAGATTGTAGGAGATTTGCGAGAGAGGTACAGCCGGAGAGGCCGGTTTGTACCTGGAGATCGATTTACTTTCGGGGAAATTAGCTGCCGCTGTTAACGTGCTCTGGTGTGGTGTAGGATGCTGATTGCGGTGTTCCCCCTTCGAGTCATAATTTGGTATTGACATTATCCCAATGGCATAACCCCCGTCGAACCGCAGGGCCGCTATGACTGGTAATTGCTGAGCACTAGCTATGCCGTCTGACTGCGTTCTCATTCTGCGATGGAAGAAAAGAATTAATTTTTTTTTCTTGATCTTTACTTTCCGCACCAGTCTAAACAGTCAAAGTTGTTTGGCTGAAGAGAGTTTAGCGAGCCGCTCCAGGCCGGCTGCGCTATTGCCAATCTGCACAAAACTCCATCCAAGAAGACTAAGATGTGTGTTCCTTCGTGGCCGGCAATAACCTCCGGGTGTCCGGCAACACGCCTATTGGGCACCCATAGAGGCCGTCGCAGTGCGATCGAGCAAGCGTCCCGGATCAGGTGGGTCGTACCTGTTGGCGTTCATCGAGAACGCTTTGGTAAATTGTTAAATGGACTGGGTTAAACTCCAAACAAGAGTAGTCAGCCGTGGAGAGAGCTTGACTAGGGGATATACGTACGTATCGTGTGTACGTAGTCCTGTCCATGCTTTCATCGTTCTTGGGAGATAGATGCATCGACCGACGCTTGGTATTGCTCAACATATGTTAGTTTGAGCCCAAAGATCCCAGAAAAGGTAAAAGCAATACGAGACTGCGAGTAACATACTCCGTAGCTCAATCGACGGGCCGCGACGGAGAGTGTACAGTAATGAATTAGCTGGCGACTCAGAAGCCAGAACGAAGGAGGGGCAGCGCTAATTTCCACGCCGACGCGACGTATCGCAACGATCGCTTGTTGGTCAGAAAGAACATGGACATGCGTTGGCATCAAAGCGTGTCTGTAGCGTCTAGATGTCTAGAGTAATGAAGGATGGAAATTGTGAACAGTTTGGTTTTTTGATTTTTTTTTTATCATGGAGGCAAGTACAGACGCAAGGAACTATGGAGCAAATGCGGAAGGAACGACCACGACGCGGGTTAGGGTCACTTCCTTCCCTACAGGAAACTTATGTAGCCACAAAAAAGTTCAACGACACAACAACAACTTCTTCCTCAGTTTTCTTCACAACACCCTGTAGATCCTCTCTTTTCTTCTTTTCTGTCTCTGCCCCTCTCTCTTGATCTCTTTCTTTTCTGTTTCGTCTGCTTCCCTAGCGCAAAGTGGGCAACAGCGAGCTAGAGCCAGCTTAGGAAAGTCACACACCTTCATATCCTCTGGTCGACCTATCAGTGCATTCTTGGGGCAGACGATACAGCAGTCATTCCTCCGAGCAGCTGGCTAGTTATGCAGGCAGGCAGTCTGGTGGCCAAGCAGGACGACAATCTCTGCCACTCAGACACACAGCCGCCTCGTTTAACTAGTCTATCCAGACTGTCGGGTCCGGACTAAACTGCTTCAAGACTCAATTCAAAAATGAGAGTCACACTCAGTCGCCTGCGAGACAGGTGTTTCCCGGCCCGCCGCAAGCAGGCATTTCAAGCCTTTCGCCCATGACCGACGTGGATCCTGGCGCAACTTCAGAACCGTTGGCCCCCCTTGGCCACAGCTGACAGTCTTTTTCCCATCTTCATATCCCACTTGTTTTAATATCTGCTGCACACCAATTGTCAGTCCAGCCCTGTCCCCCTCCCTTGAGGACCCGCCGAAATTCTCTACTGCGTTGCTTTGGGTTGCTAATCCCATCGCATCCCAGCGCACCGCTCCATCCCATCCTGCATGGCACCAAATGTACCTGTCGCGCCTATTCGACTTATGCGAGAGTAACGCCTAATCTCGGCAAAACCTCCTTCGCGCAGAGTCTGCCTTGTGTATGCTGTCATGCTGCACTTTTTTACTCACTGCTAGCTCTGGCAATGGCACCATTAGTCGAACTTGTCCCCAGTCTAATTTTCCAGAGGGCGTCGTCGTCACCTGTTCCTACTTCTGCAAGTGCCATATAATACCAATCCTGGATCCCGCCTTTTTCACCTGGTATCTGATCTTTCAGCTTGTGCAAAATTCAATTTACTTATCTGTATAAATAGATTGTTTGGCACTCGGAGCACTCCATCCATTCTTCAACGAGTTGACATCGCAAACACACCACTATCGAAACACTACAACGACTTTCTTACCAGCTATTATTTCCGCCCTCGACTCAGTATACGCCACCAACGAAGTTCCCGGAATCTTGCGGCCAATCCGCTACTTTTTCCAACACAATGCATGACTCTGTGAAGGGATCGGCCACCGGAGGCCAGCGAGGACGGCACTCTTCTGAGAACATGTTCGGCTATAACGATTCCTACATCATGTCGCCTGACTCGGTGCAAGTAAAAGCAGAAGCGCAAGACTATGCGCATCAGTCAACATTCCTTTATGATATGGCGCATGGCCTTCCTCTTACACCATCTGTCTCCGCGCATGGCTGGCAAGATCACTCCATAGCGGGCACAACGGCCTGCTACAGTACGGCATTGAGCGCTCCGGACTATGGTGGGCTTTCGTTTTACCAACAGCAACAGTACACGGACCCTACGATGGTCAGCACGGCTTCCGTGCAATACCCGCTTTTCACGAGTAGTCCTCAGGTCCAAGGGCTCTACTATCATGCTGGCTATAGTTTCAACCAGACTAGCCACCCAGAATTTGCGCAGGTCCATTCAAGGAGGTGGCCAATGACACCCCAGTCTCACCTTGCCTCACCTGAAAGAACACAACATTCTAGTCAATCAGATAACACGTGGCCATCACCCGCATTCTCCAACGAAGATACAGGAGGGAATGAAAGAGCGAATCTTGAATCCGTCGAGCGATCACCCTCTCAAGAAGCCGAGTCCGTATCTAGTTCCGAGTCGAGCCAAGGCGGGTCATATTATGGATCGGTTTCTCCTAGGGTTCATGTCGCAGAGATGGGATCAAGTCGCAGGAAGAAATCAGGTACTCGAAAGGAGGGCCAGACTGAACTTGATCCCGATTTATGTTGCCCAGTATGTGATAAGGTTTTTACGCGACGGTCGAATTGCAAGGAGCATTTAAAACGTCACAATCCAGTAAATAGACAGGTGCATCCTTGTAATAGCTGTGGGAAGACTTTTGGACGGAAAACAGATTTGAAGCGACATTACTCAACAGTGAGTCTACCACTTGATATGAATACTCGACTTTAACTACAGCTTGTGCTAACCACGTTTTATAGAGGATACATGACGGAGAAAAAAGGTTCACATGTGAGCTGTGTGGCCGTCATTATAGTAGACTCGATACTATGCACAGGTAAGGATCCTTCGTTTCCAACAAAACCAAAACTTGAAGTACTAATTCAGATCTATAGACATCAAAAGGATGGATGTCCAGACCGAAAACATAAAGATAAGGCTGGACAATATGGAACTTCAGTTCTTACGTATACGAATCTTCCTTCCTGACAGCAATACGACTATATGCAATACGACTATCCCACACTCAACTACATTGCCCCAAATTTGGACGAGCCTCTCAGGCAAATCTACCATGAATTTACGGTAGAGATAGTTGACTGTTCTTATTGACGAACTGGTTTTCATCTCATATGCGACTATGATCGGTTATTTACGTTGGTTGATGTTTTTGATCTTGCGTTTCCTTCAAGCATCATCTCCTTTGTTCGACTCTCTATACGCAAAGTGTATACATATCAAAGCACACCCGTCACATCGGGGAATCTGAAGCTGGTCTTCTGAATCGGAGTTTGTTCGGATCTTACATCATAGATAGGTATCACGCGGCATTTGCATATACTCTATGTTATTTAGCTACAATCACAATCTTGAAATTCATCAACATATCACAAAATGCACCTTTCCGAGCTCACTAGACATGTCGAAGCGAATAATAACCCAATGTCAATATTGTCCTGTCCTACCTATGGTGCGTAGTCTGCTCGATATGAAAGCATATCCTTAAACAGGTAAGTCAACCCATGTCTTTTGCCCAGGCTCGGCTCTATCTTAAATTAACTAGCTACATGAATTGTTGTAACTGGGAACGCTTGTAGGTTGTAGGGAGTTACTTAGATACCGTCCCCGCTAAATAACAGTGTTTTGGGGGCGAACATCAGCCAGGCCCTAACATTAAGCGCTGTATTATTACAATTCCTATGTATCTGCTTCAACCCGCTTTTGTTTTCTTCAACTCACTGCATTACTCTCCGTACATATGGAGATGATCATCATTATCTTCCTTGCATGGATATTAGACGAAATAGACGGTACAGTGGTCTAGACCAAAACGATCATCGACAACTTTACCTAGGTACAAGTCATCCTTTAAGTTTCTTAGGGGCGGGGGAAGCGCTTCAATATCAAACCAGCGGGTTTAGCGATTTACTTTTTCCCTTTTTTTTTTCCGATTCAGACCCTGGATTGCTGAGAATGGCACTGGGTTACTACTGCGTGCGTACATACATGCCACTAAAAAGCCCTTCAGCCAGAATCTTGGCATTCCCGACTTGGGCTTGAGGGACTGGGGAGATCTTCCTGTACGTCTGGCTAGTAGGCAACTGTAGGCTATGGAGTAGCGGAAATGAGAAGAAAAGAAATGGAAGGGAAAGGGAAAGGGAAAAAGCAAGGAAAGAAGCTATAAGAAAGTGCATGCATGACTCGCGATCTTCACGATTTCGCACATAGTCCAGACATTTCCGGCATGAAAAATATGAAGTTATGCCGATGGACCACGAATGACGGGTGCTTGAAAAAAAAAGTATATCCTGACATATGGGGGCTCAGGCCATAGGTACTTGCATCTGACTACGTACATAATGGAAAGATTACGCATCTCACTCAGCAGAGTCAGCACTTTAGTTCTAAAGAGGATTGGGACTAGACAGGGTGATAAGAGCTGCATATTAAATGCACATCGCGTGCTTCCGACGTGACATCGTGCAGTAGGGTTCGTTTTCAGGTAATCATGATTGACCATATTTTTACTGGTTATGATATGATTTGATCGGTTTCTATCTCAAATACTTTTTTCCCACCAATAGTAATGCAAATCTTATGTCTGATGGAAGTGCACGTCATTTTGTCTCTCATGTTGATTGGCATTTTGTAAGTTGAGGAAAAGTAGACGCGTCCGCGTTTAGGGAAACGTTATCTCGTTTACTCATTCAGACTACGTCTACCCACAGAATAGGATGTTCTTCATCTTGGATAATATTTGCCTGGATCATTCTCTAGCCCAAGATAATACATACCCAGTCAAGCTTTGAGTTGCGTCAGTCCTCAACTAGTTACTCAACTAGTTAATGCACGGAATTCCCGAGCCAGAAGAGAAAGAAGGTCATTGGGGTAGAGTATTACCCCTTTTAGCATCAAAAAGCCTCATAATCCCTGACTTTGCATAAATCAAACTCGCGCCACCAACATCGACGCTTCAGCCTGATTTTCTCTTTCTGCGAGAAAGAAAAAAAAGGTTGGAAAATGTATCATCCTGGCCAAGGTCAGATGTACCAGCAGACTTGGCATCTGATTAGCTGGGCCATGGAAGCAAATGACGAAGGGGTATGCGACTGGCCGAAAAGAACCAACGAAGTTGAGGGACTAGAAACCCCCTCCAAAAGATCCCTGGCTTCTGGTCAGTGAGGATGGGTTTCGGGGACGCACGTTTTACTATGTATACATAGGGTACGGTATACCGGAGTCCGCAGTCCCCGTGGTAGTCAGGGGTAAGTAGTCTGAAGGTGCGGGGAGGATACCTCGGTTGTTGGTTCTGAATAAATTTGTATGTGTACAAAGAGCAAGCAGGATGTGGCAGTAAGCAGTCATGCGTCACGTCTCAATGAACAGAGAACACAAGCCATAGCAGGAAGTAGACTTTATCGTATTGTTCTTCAATTGAAGATGACTTTTATGTACACTCTGTCCACTTCGTTCTCGTTCGCGGAAAAGGTGTCGGGCTCCGATCCTGTGAGACCGAAGACATGATCTGAAATTTTCTGTGGATGCTCGATTGGACTGACGAGATATTGCTGATATCGGTGTGCTGTCCAGTTAAACTTCATATCAAACATCGAGGACTCCTCCGAAGTTGAAGCGAAAAAGGAAAGCCCGATAACCCTGAGTCACGTGCATCATACCCTATTCAAGCCACAATATGTGGGACTTGTGGCTTGAGAGAGTGGCGGTCGCGAGCCTAATTGGGCAGGCATAACCCCGAAAGTTTGCAAAGAAAGAAAGAAACTGCCCGAAAACCCCCTCTAAGGCGAATATAAAGAGCGTCGACAATTGAGTCGCATCTCATGTTTCTCCTTTTCTTGTTATAACCCACATACTGGCATTTCCATCAACATGAGCGCAACAACAACCGTCACCGAGGCCGTCGCCATCACGGCAGACAATGTTGCTACTCTCTTCCCCGACGTCGATATATCTCTCGCCCGCTCAATTTTGCCTTCGTCAAACGACTCCTCGGTGCGCGCTGGCGGTGATTTAGATGGTTACGATGAGGAACAAGTTCGGTTGATGGAGGAGGTTTGCATTGTACTGGACAATGACGATAGACCAATTGGTAGTGCAAGCAAGAAGGCTTGTATGATTTCCCCCCCTTTCAGTTTCCGCGCCGTCTTGATTTATTTATACTAATGCTAATTCGGTTTGATTTCCCAAGGCCATCTAATGACCAACATTAGTCGTGGATTATTGCACCGCGCTTTTTCGGTCTTCCTTTTCGATTCGCAAAACCGTTTGTTGCTTCAACAACGAGCTGCTGAGAAGATTACTTTTCCCGATCTGTGGACGAATACATGCTGCTCGGTGAGTTCTCTTTGATCCCGCGAAAGTCTATGTCTTCGCATCTAATACCTGGTTTGGTAGCACCCCCTTGGAATTGCAGGAGAGACCGGCGCAGAACTATCCGCTGCAGTTGAAGGAGTCAAGAGAGCTGCCGTGCGCAAGCTCGATCAAGAACTAGGAATCAAAGCCGAGCAAGTCCCTCTCGACAAATTCAAGTTCCTGACTCGAATTCATTATCTTGCCCCCAGTGATGGGAAATGGGGAGAGCACGAGAGTGAGCGCCCTTTCCCCCTCTGCTTCCCGTGATCGAGATCAAAACTAATTTCTTCTGCTTATAGTTGACTACATCCTCTTCATCCAAGCCGATGTCGATATCAACCCCAACCCCAACGAAGTCCAAGATACCAAGTATGTCACTCCCGAAGATCTCAAGAGCATGTTCGCCAACCCTGCTCTCAAATTCACTCCCTGGTTCAAATTGATCTGCAACACTATGCTATTCGAATGGTGGAGCCATTTCGGTACTGAGACTTTTGATAAATACCTGCTAGAGAAGGAGATTCGCCGAATGTGAGAATCTGAGACCTTGTCAACTATTTACTACTATGATACCACTGTTGTTCGGGAGAGATTTGAGCCTGTTTATGCCATGAAAGTAAATGCATGTTATAAGTGATTTATAGTGATGTTTTTATGTACATATCGAGTAAATCTATTGCTGTAAGAATTCCGACACAAATAAGCGGTCAATAAGATTACACGAGAAAATCATCCGTCATGCAGTATTTTATATTCGTAGCCCGTGGCCGTCCCTATCTAACGCCTTCCTCTAAAACCGCCCTTCCCTTTCTTCGACGGCCGAGCATTCTTCTCCCTCCTCTTCTCCTTAAGGTTTCTCGCCTTACGAATATCCTCATTATTCCGTATCTCATTCTTCGCTTTCCTTCCACCTTCATTACCTCCAGCAGCGGCAGCAGCAGCTTCCTTCGCAGCATCCCATTTCTTCTTCTTCTTCTCATAATCACCACGAAGTTTATCCAATTGTTTCGGCGCCTGTTGCTTATTATGCTTATACTTCCGTCCGCCGGAAATAGACGAATTCAGATCTGCGGAAAGAGTGGTATTCTCCATTTCACCGACACGAGGCATACGACCCATTCGTTTACCCTTTTTCCAAGCGTCGAAGCGACCACTACGGAAACTGGCTGCGATCTTCGTACCGCTCTCACCTCGAATCAGGGCTGAGCCGCCTCGGGAGCCGTCCTCGTCGTTGCGACGAGAGACGTATTTCTTGTGTCGTTTGTCCCAGCGCATTGATGATTGTGCTTCTCCGAAACCGGCTTTTTCGTCCGCGGTGAGATCCATTGTTGCGTCGCGGGATGCGAGGGCGAAGTTGGAACTGGAGCCTGAATGGACTCCGTAAGCGCGATCTTCGGCGAGTGATGCGTCAGCTGGGGTGTAGGACATGAAGTAATCTGGGTTCTGGAAGGCGTTGGCATCGGTACCGGAGCCCTTTTTGGATTTATTTTTGTTCGACTGAGAATACTGTGAGAAGGTCACTTCTAGCTCGGACTCGGATGCCATCGACATATTGTCAAGGTTGTCCTGAGGAGCTTCATTGTCGTCTTCATCGGAAAACCCATGGTCCATGTTGACATCTTCCCCCTCATCACCGTCGGCATCAGCAGTCTCAGTCGCAGTGGCTGAGGTTTTCTTCTTCTTGTCCAGCGCTGATCGAACTCGCTTGATCGTCTCGAAAGCTTCATCCGTGCCCTTCTTGCCTCCTCGACGACCACCAATCTCAAAAATTGTTTCTTGTGGTCGGTATCCACCTAAACGAGCAAGCATCTTTTCGCGCTCAACTTCCATTTGATTATCTTCTCCATTGAAGAGAGCATGTAGCGACGTCCATTTATCAGAAGTGACAACTTCTTTTGCACGTTTGGCGCTTTCTAAGGATGCAGCGTTTCTCGTTCGCATATAGAGTTTTTCTCCTCTGTTCGCGACGCCTCTCTGAGCTTGGATGTCGGGACTATTGTCCAGTGTCTTTGTGATCCATTCACAATGACTAGAGAGGGTATCTCGAGGAATGCCTCCAACTACCACTTCTTCCGCGAAATTGACTTCTGTCTCTGGTCGCCCAAGGACCAATTTCCGGCCCAGGAATAGCTGCAAATCAAGAAGGTAAGGAGCATCTGCATCCCGGACAAGACTATAACTCCAACCCTTTTGTCCAGCACGCGCCGTTCGACCAACACGATGAACAAAAACCTTGGGTTGAGACGGGAAATCATAGTTGATGACGTTGGCTAAAATTGGAATATCAATACCACGAGCAGCGACGTCTGTGACAACCAAGATATGTGTGGCTCCATTTCGAAACCTTTGAACTTGAATATTTCTCGCCGTCTGATCAAGGGAGCCATATGCATAAGAGACTGCAAATCCAGCTTCGCGCAGGATGCTAACTATATAATCAACGTGATGTTTCGTAGCAGCAAAAATAATTGTGGAATGCTTGGTTGGTGATTCGGTGTTCTTCCCCGGTTTATTGGAATCAGAACGCTTGCGTTTTTTGTTCCTCTTTCCCTTGTCATCATCTTCCTCGTTTGAGCGTAGAGAAACACCAGTTGGACCAGTGGGTATTTTGATCACCTCATGTAAAATATAAAGTAGCGCTCCCTCTTTATCTGCTGTTTTGACACTGAAGAAAGCGTTCTGCAAGTCGGGTGAGATTTTGCCTTCAGTGTCCAACCGGATCAAACTGGGGTCTTGAAGACCAGCTCTAGCAAACTCTACCAACGATTTCGGAAGGGTTGCTGAGAATAGCAGTGTCTGGCGAGTAGCAGGCAACCCGTGCAAAATTTCGGTCAATTGTGCAGCGAAACCCATCTCAAACAACCTATCAGCCTCGTCGAAAACCACATATTTGATACTAGACAAGTCGAGGTTCATCTCCACTTTCAAATGCAAAAATCGACCTGGGGTGGCAATGACAATATCAGGATTGCCGACCATCAAACTGAATTGTTCTTCCAGACTATCACCACCAACCAACAAAACCGCCTTTAAATCCGTGCCTCGCCCTAACTCTTTGACGACCTTCAAAGTCTGCAAAGCCAACTCGCGTGACGGCGACAATATCAATCCTCGTACCCCGACTTTACCACTATGGCTCTTCAATTTCTCAATCATCGGAATAACGAAAGCAGCAGTTTTTCCAGAACCCGTCCGCGCCATACCCACAACATCTTGATCATCCAATATTACGGGAATCGTCTTTCGCTGAATAGGAGTTGGTACCGAGAAACCCTTGCGAGCAATAGCCTTGAGCAGTTGAGCATTCAGTCCCATGGCCTGAAAACCACCGCCTTTCTTGACAGTACGACCCTTGAGATTGGAGGCCTTTCGATTAGCGGCCGCTTGCGTTGCTGCGATAAACGCTTCGTCATCTTCGCCATCGACATCGTCGTTATCTTCGTCTAATAAATTCAAACTTGCTGATGGAATCGACGTCTGCTTCTTCTTTTGCTTCTTATTTGGTTTTGAATCCCACTCATCTTCGGAGTCGGAGTTTGCATTGGTTTTGAATAGAGAACTTGAAATGTCCAACTCATTCTCTGACAAAGCCGGAGAGGCCGCTCGATGAGGCATTGTGTGTGTAGCCTCTTTGTGGTCAGAGCAACAACAATGATGCTCTCGACATGTGTTTAGACTCTACAGACTTTTTTTTGGCGCTATCAGAAAAATTGATTGATATCCGCAGGCGGTGAGGAAGATCATCAGTATTGCCGCTTGTCACCGCCCTGGGACCGTCCGCGACGCGTGACACGTCCCACCCCGCGATGTCGCCCAAAACAGACATATGGAAAAATCAACACTTGAGACTTTTCATCCAACATCATTGTCAGCGCACTAGAATTGAGAGTCTTGATCTTGAAATGGGTATGTTTGCTTTTGGTCTACTGTGATCTCATACTAACAGATATAGATGGTGGCTACGGAAACTACTCTACCACCTCATATGGCGGGCAAGGTGGTATGGGAGGAGGAGGCTTTATGCCTGGTGAGATGAACAGTCCTGCCGGTGGAAGGGTACGCTTCATATCTCTTATCGACCATACAATCTTCAACAATCCATTAACTAGAGCTCTAGCAAGGCGAGAACCCAACCCTCAGACCGGTGACCATCAAACAAATCATCGACGCAACCCAAACACACCCAGAAGCACCCTTCCAAATCGACGGTGCAGACATAGGATCCGTCTTCTGTATCGGCCAAGTTCGTAACATCTCCACACAAAGCACAAACATAACCTACAAACTTGACGACGGCACCGGCGAAATCGAAGCTAAGCAATGGGTTGACTCGACCACGGCGCGTATAGAAGACGATATGGACGTGGACGGCAAGGGAGTCAAACACAGTACGCGCAAAAAGGTGGAATTGAATGGCTTTGTGAAGGTCTTTGGCAAACTCAAGGTGTTCGGGAATAAGAGGTTCCTCGGAGCGCATAATGTGCGACCCGTTTCGGACGTGAATGAGATACATGTACATTTTTTAGAAGCCACGGCTGTGCATTTATTCTTCAAACATGGCCCTCCTCCAAGTCAGGGCGGTAATAGTGGCGGAGCCGGTGCCGCCGGTGCCTATGGTGCTGATGCTGGTGGCATGAAAGGCGGAGATGATTACAGCGGTGGTCGACCGCTTCCACCCATGTCGGCATCGGCGCGACGAGTGTATAACTTGCTTAGAAACGAACCGCAGAGCAATGAAGGTCTTCATATGCAGAATATCTCTGCGAAGTTGGGCTTACCGTCAACAGAGGTCCAGAAAGCGGGCGATGAGTTGTTATCAGCGGGGTTGATCTTTTCGACAATGGATGAATTCACATGGGCTATTTTGGAGTTTTAACATTAGCTTTTATGCCTGTCTTTCTAATCTATGTTTTCGGGGTTCAATTTAGGTGGGATCAAAGCTAGAGGTATTGTGATCTACCGGCGCTTGTATGCTGCTACTGTTGATGATGATGATACTCGATTTGTAATGATAACCCGTCAGAATAAAAAGGTATGTAGAGGATTCGATGGTCTACAATCTGAGTGCATCGTTGTTCACTAAGTAGTGTGAGATTTTTCCTATATGACTAAGTCTATATACATTTTTACTAGACTAACAAAGTGACAAAATCGATCGTCGTCCTCGAATATCAGACGGTTGAGATCAAGCAACATCATTTCTCTTTCTTGCTTCCTCCACACTTCTCTCCCAGCTCGTCTTTCTGAGAAAGATGATCTCAATGAAGAAAACCAATCCCAATGCAATCGCAACGCCTGTCCATAGACCTGAAATGCCCCATCCCAACCCAAAAGCTGTCCCCATACTGATTGGCATCGCCACTACATAATAACAAAAAACCTGCACGTATCCACCAATCTCTTGTCGACCCAGTCCTCGGAGGATACCATTACAATTTGCTGCTAGCGCGTCAAAGAGTTGAAAAGCCGCGCAGATGGGTAAGATGGCAGCAACCATCTCGATGACTTCCTCATCTGAGGTAAATAGACCAGCCAGTGAGTATCGTAGTAATGATAGAATTAACATGTTGAGGAGTCCGACAATCACGGCACCGGTTAAAGCGACTCTGGCTGCTGTGCGCGCGGCGTCGACCAAGGTAGCACCGATGAGGTTTGCAACACGTGTGCTACCTGCAATTGCCACAGGGAACGGGATTTGAAAGGTGATACTGCTGATTGTACTGAGAATAGACTGTGCAGCAAGAGCCTCCGTTCCGAGATAAGAAGACACCAATGTGAGAACCTCGAAAGCGAGACATTCAGCCTCAACCATGATCAGGCCCGGTAAAGCGAGACGGATCATAGGACCCCAGTTTTGGAATGCTCTCCATGTGAATCCGTTCCAACATTCGCGACCACCGACGAAGTATACATATAAAAATAGAAAGAGGGGGAGAAGGTTTTCCGTAATCGCTACGGCGATTGGTGCTCCGATGAAACCCATCTCGAGCTTCCAGACGAAGAACCAGTTCATGAATGCATTCAATGGTGCACAGATCAGGAGGACGTACAAGGATGCTGTAAATATGCCTTGCGCCTGAACGAATCGTTTCCCGCTTTCGAAGCAGGCATACCCTGGTGCTCCTAGAATCACAACCTTGAGATACTGTCCGGCAAGAAGTGCGACTTCGGTCTCTGGAATGATTGCGACCAAGATTTTATCCGCAAGAAGCCAAATGATGGCAATTGGGATCGTGACTACCCACAGAAAGAACACCATTCGTTGCATTTGGAGTCCAACGAGTTTCTTTCTTCCTGATCCATACGCCTGGGCGCAAAGAGTATCTAAACTGGTAGCAAGGCCTTGATAGACAGCTGATCCAGTGATGCTAACGGTCATACTTGCCAGGCTTACCGCCCCTAGTTCTACAGTTCCTAAGTGGCCCACTGTGAAAATGGATGCTACAGTCAAGGAATACTGAAGAAGGAAAGTGACAATCAGTGGCAGAGAATATTGCCCAATCACTCGAGCTTCTCGCCTCCATGTCGATTGGATTAAGCCGGCTGTGACTGCCTCCTCCCATTTGCGGTCGATCTCGTTATTGACGAGGGGAGCTTGGTCCCCCAGTAAGGCTGACGTCTCCGTTGGAGCTGTGATAGGCGCATGAGGGTCTTGTTGATTTTGACCAGGAGATGGTAGCCTGGCACTCAGCTGTTTGGTCAAATTGCTTACAGCATTTCGTTTCGATGAATCCGGCTCAATAACACGGTTGTCGCTAAGTAGATCTATTTCTTCCGTATAGGCACGCTCCAATTCCTCTATAGTCAAATACTGCTCTTGGCTATGATGCGGCACGACAGTTCCGCGCGACCCGGCCGTGAAATAGGACGGACGCCGATAAGAACCAGCCAGAGAATGAGGTGTAGTGCCTAAGACATTGGTCGCTGAACGCACCAGTCCGTTAAAGTCGTTATCATTGTCGTCGTCATCGTCGTTACCCTGATTCACTCTATTATCGGAATTATAAGAAGCAATATCTCGAGCAATCACAGTCTGAGCCGTTGAAGCGCCGGACGTCAACGATTGGCTGTCCTGATCAGTACGGGCGATCGCCAGCGGAGAAGAGTTGTTCAATGCCATTTATACTCAGGGATGTAACAGTATATCAGAAATATTGACCGGGATGACACTGCCAGCAGGCATCAAGAACAGAAGAAAATTGAAGCGAACGATCAAGAAGACTCCGCAATAAATTCGATTGGATTAGTCAAGATAGTGAGTCAGTCAGGGCTTATCGGTCCCTAGCTTCGTCGAAACTTGACAAAGTCAGCATTGCAGATGTCTCAGTCAACTCCGCACTTCCATAGAACGGCAAATCACGCAATTAAGAAGCTTCGAGTATATGTAAGATAAAGGTTGAACGAACATGTATGTAGGAATGAATAAAAGGAAAATAGAAGCAAAGGTCCTGGAAGACGAGGAAAAGAGAAGTTAGGCCCCGCAACTGAATAAGGTAAGTCCTTGCGATTGACCAATCATATTTGCTGGTTTACAGTATGCCCACTCTGATTGGCCAGATGCTATGATCTGTAGATTGCATCCATCTTATCTCCTTCGCGATTGCACGATTAGCAGACTGCGCGATTGAGAAATGAATATGAATGGAGCTCACAGAGCATGCTAGTCAAGCTATCAGTAAGTCAGTCAAGAACTCTACCGCAAATAACGAACCAATCAGTCAATCATTTATTCACATCCGTAATAGGACTAGCTCAACGGCTTCTCCTCCACATCCCATGATCATCAGTCGACGACTCAAGCTCAACCTCCACTTTTACCATAACTACCCCGGTCAATAATTTGAAGATACCGTGATATGGTACAGTGCTCCTCCGATTGAGGACGAAGATATGGACACTATTCGCCCACGCAAGTTCAACCCGCTCATCAATCCGGTAAATGCAAGGCCGGTTATTGTTGAAAAGTATGCCAGCTCCGACGGCCTCTTCCATGATACTCCCCTCACATGTATTCTCCTCAGTCTTGAAGTAGCGTAGCAGTGTCGATGAGTCAGACCGGCACGTATACTAGGCACTACATCCATGACTCTCAGACTTCCAAGACCCGAACTAACATAGAAACAAAAACAAACAGCGAAGCCTCATCCACAAACCACATATTCCTCGCTCGCCCATTACTAGGACCTCTCCTCTTCGAAAACACAGCATCAGATGCACGCGACCACTGCGCCAATGAACGCACATTCCTCTCCTGGATCCGACTCGCCATATACCTGGCCATAGTCTCCTCGGCAATCCTGATATCATTCCATTTCTCCTCGCAGCCCACTCATATCGAGCGCGTGATCGCTCTACCCATGGGCATTGTATTTTGGTGTATGAGTCTTGCCTGTCTTGCTAGTGGGTTTTCGCTATATGTCATCACCGTGACAAAGTATAGTCGGAGAGCGGCGTTGGTGCAGAGTGGGTGGAAGACGCAGGCGGTGATTACGCTTATGGCGACGGTTATTGTTGGGTGTTGTATTCTGTTTTTGGTTACACAGTCTAGCAAGGTTTGATTACATTGGTTTTTATTTCTTTTGTCCGAATACATCAGTGTATATTACTCTATCATACTAGCATATTTGTCATGTGCTCTTGTGTTTTACATTTGTCTTCACCGAAATCGAGGACGAGTGCATATCATTGATACACGGCATGTCTAAACAATTCCAACCTTGCAAGTAAAGCAGACTCTTATAATATCCTCAAACAGGCAGAAAATTATGGAAAGAAGAGAAAGTGAGAATTGGGGGAATCACTATGCTATATAAAAGAAGATAACAGAAGCCCCTTGAATGTGTACAATGAGTAAACAGTATAATGCAACAGTACGGTGTCTTTTCACTCTAACAAGTTGTAAACAAAAGAAAAAAAAGCAGACGAATGAGAAGTCTATCTGATGAGTTGAAGATCAAGACAAGACAAGAAATGAAAAGAATGGGAAGCAATCTGTCTTCTAGCGGTAAGAAAATAAATACCGAAAAAAAGATGCAGACGGAATTAGTATGTATTTATTAACTGCAAGCTTACCCTTCAAGGGCAGCAATTGCATGTGCAAGTCTCCAATTTGGACATTCTAATCTCACTCCGGAGTTCCGGCTCCATGATATCAGGTGAGTAAGTGGCCATGTAAATAGGTATTATGTATAAACATTAAGGATTAGAGGTATTGACTTTGATAGAAATTCGTCACCGGCTAATCATTCACGATGTCGTCCACGGCCATTCGTCGTCGTTTTGATGGCTGGGGGTTCTCTTCGTTGTCGTTAGCCGTACTCTTTCGTCGCCGTTCAGTATAGACTGGCGAAGTAGTGGTGGTAGTGGTGGTGGTTGTTGTAGTAGTCGGAGTAATAGTACTATGCGGCCGTTGACTTGGATAGGGTTGATGTGGTGGGCTTCTTTCATGTTCTCCAGCTGTTGCACCGGGATACGGTGATCGAAGCTCAAACATGGAGGGTGGAGATTCCTGAGGACGGACAAATTGATGCGACGAGGATGAATGGGGTTCATGTTGTTGTTGTTGTTGTTGTTGTTGTTGTTGTTGTTGTTGTTGTTGTTGCTGCTGCTGCTGAGGACTGCTCAGAGTCTGGTATGCGAATACATTAGGATATGAATCACTTCGCCGATGTGAATGGGTCGAGATATGATGAGTCGCAAACGTAGAAGGAAGAATAGGTGGTAGACGAACACCGGGCTCGGTGTAGGGTTCTCGAAACCCTAATGGTGAAGGACCTGAGGGAGCCACATCTAACCCACGACTAGGGGTCTGCGGGCTTATGCGTGATTGCAATCCCGGTTGGAAATGTTGTTGATACTGCTGAGGCGACACTGTCGGCGTTGTAGTGGTTGGTGGCCGATCATTATAGCTCATCCCCGTAGGCATTTCTGAAACCCTCGTAGGCGGCGGAAAAGCCGCCATATGATAAGATGTGAAAGGATTATTATGTGCATAGTTGACAGAAGACATCGGTAAAGGACCTGAGGATGAGACAGGTCTCTGACTGTGGCCGGTTGAAAGCATTTGAGGAGACGTGAACGGCTGCCATCTTCCTGAAGGCGCAGTTAGTAGGCTGACATTGCTATCTAATCCTGCTGATCCAGGTTCCAATGGCCGTGAGTAGTACAGGTCGGTCATTGGTCGGATTTCTCGTGAAGACGTCTTCGTGTGGCTCGGTACACGTACACTCCCAGCTATCTGGTATTGTTCTCTCGGTGTCACTGAGCTGCCTAGGGAAGGCACTCCTCTTAAGGGCGTTTCTTCGGCCTTGAGAGGCGGGCGTCCTCTTTTCTTGTGCGTGACATCCACACATGTCGCCTGTAAGGTGGTTAGTACAATGACTCCTTCTCTTTTCACTTTCCACATAGGCTTACCGCCTTCCCTGACAAGACACATCGCCTGCATGGTCTGGCAGAGTCACAACCCAGATGCTTTTTCTTACAATTCACACAGGCAGAAGCAACGTGCGCCTTAGCACGTCTCGTAGATTTCGGCGGTAAAGATCGTATGGCAGTCGAGGTTGGCACGCCGTGAAGTCCGAGCTGGGGAGACCCTGATATAACCTGCGATAATGACACTGTAGAACCAATGCTAGGCAACTGCGCAGTAGTATTAACCAGCAATTCTTCAGTAGACAGAAACCGTGATGGTTGTTGTTGAGTAGTCCCACCACCGGGTCCTTCCACAGGAATCAGTGTCGGTAACCTCGGCGGTAGAGTTGGGAGAGTAGTTGGATCTGCCGAACCTAGGTTTTCTGCCTCTTCCACTGCCTCCTGTTGCTCTCTTTGCGTTGTAGCGGTGATGGTATCTGCACTTTGTGGTGCCTGGGTGCCCGTTGGCACAATGCCAGACATAGGGATAGCTGAATAAGATGCTCGAAGACTGGCCTTCGGTGCCGTAGTTGACGACGACGGAGGCCGCAAATGGGCAGAGAAACGGCCGGGATCAAAATCAAATATGTGCGGCCCAAAATGCGTCTTGGAAAACCACGGAGCTGGAAGAAGTAGAGATTGCATTGGAGTGATGCCGAATGGGGGTCTTCGCAGATGTGTTTCCCGAGTTTTCTTCTTTATGTTGATTGTTGTATAGCACGGCTATAACAACTCAGTAGGAAGTAGTGGCGGTGACATGAAGAGGAGTCGAGAAATCAAAAGTTGTAATATAACTTTGAACAAGGTACTTTTGAGCTTTTTGATAGGCTTGCGGGTTTGTATAGTCCAAAGCAACCCAATAGTCGGTCGACCACCAACCAGAAGAATTAATCTTTCGTTTCTTTTTTCTTTCTTTTTGTTCGCAATCCTCCTAGTTCTTCATTGACCTCTGCCGTTTTTGGCAATGAGTATATGTCGGTAACTTACCGTGCGAATCTTGGTTCTGCAGAAAGATGCGCTGAAAGCTCCGATATCAGAGTGTTGGCCCTGCAACCAAAGCGTGAGTCGGCGAGGGGTATTCAGTGTTTTATCAGATAAGGAAATATGAAATAGAGCTGTCAATCTGCTATGCAATATGTAAATCCTTTTCTCTTTCCCTTTCCTTCTGTTTCACCTATCTTCAGACCGAGATCCAGTGCATTGTTAACGTGGTGGGAAGATCGACGAAGCGTCTGGGCAACTCGAGTCTAATGAATGACACGTCGCAGACCTCACCCAAGGAGGTGGTGATGGAATGGGGAAAAGGGTCTAACGTATCGAGATCTAACTCTGGCCCATCACACGGCGGCCTCGAGACTCAAAACGTCGTAGTATGTAGTAGTACTTACTACGTACATACATACTTATGGAGTCGAGAAGGAAGATATGTGGATCACTGGGGCGCCGCCGGCATCTAATAATCAGTAACGGAAGCATGCCCACAGGTTATTTTTTTAGGAACTCATGACACGAGTTATGTACGAGGGAACGATTTGAGCAATGCCCGGGATCTGCAAAGTTTAGAACTGATCAGTGCTAGCTAGTGATCCCCCTTCTCCTGCAGGTCATGACAATTTGTCTGGGAAAACTCTTGTAAGGCCCATATCCCGGGAAAGGGAAGACACACCTTTACAAGCAAGACCTAAGGCCTGCGGCTATTGAATATTTTTTGCTCTAAACTATTCACCGTGCTTCTTTCTGTGTTGTGGTTAGTAGTTACATGAGTTGAGCGACTGGTCAGTGCACATCATCGCATTTCTACCTATCATATGGTTCATTTCAATCTGTGTTCTCTCCTTGTCTTTGGGCTCTACTCTTTTTCCCGATCTTCATAACGGACAGATCCACTCCTTAGTCAGTTGAATAGCGCGCTACGTACTTTGTAAACTTTGGGTGTAGTGACGTGAAGAATGGAATCAGCTTGCTTTGCCATGTTTGGGTCGTCCTAATCTCGAGTCTCCCTTAGCTTGTTCATATGATATATGAGAGAGGGGTGGCTCGTGATTTGACGGGGCTATTGTTTGGAGAATTTGACTACATAAGTCTCCGTATGTAGTTAATAGTTAATCCAATAAAACTAATTGGGAAACATGTACAAGAAAATACCTGTAAATTCTGCGTCCAATTGGTCCAAGTTTAGTGTCCTCTAATTTCAATCTTGTCCTGTTGGGGATGTGGTCTGCAGTCTGGCTTGCAGTAGCTGAACGCTCACCAAGGTGACAGAAGGGCCACCGTTGTCAACGAAAAGCTGTTAAGCAGGGTCAATAGACCCAGAACACGCCGGAAGGAGTTAGATTAGTTTAGTCAATGACCGAAAGAGGTATGTAGTGCACGGCCCATAGACATGGGTTTGATTTCTTGACGGCTGGATGGTGGACACGCTTGTGGAGAGATGCGAACTCTTGAACACTGAACAGGAGTTCAACTAGAGAGACCTAGTACTAGAGGCTAGGCTAATGACTAGTCTGGTCGTTAGTGCGGTTTTAGTGAGGAACTGATTCAATTGAACGCAATGGAGAGCTGTCTTGAATTTTGGCGCCTCCTAAAAAATGCGCTACTAAGTCAATCGGAGAACCCCTCATGGCCACCGGAATATTTTCCAACGTACGATGTACTTGACTGAGCATGCTCTAAGTCTAAGAGTGAGAGGTACTGAAAACATGTGTATGTGTTAAGTTAATGTTAGCGTACGAAGCCCTGCGGATCGACGGTATCGTTCCTCTGGATTTCCGCCGGGCATCAATAGTCCCCTAATAGTCCTCCAATTGTCATCTAAGGAGAAAAAAATTGAGTTTCGATTCCCGATCGAGTATCAGAAGGACAAGGGAAAGTGGAAGATAAAATAAGGCGAAGGAATGGGAATGTTGGTTTGTAAATCGTGGTACAGTACATGCCCCATGCCAAGTAATGCTCCGGCCATCTTCCCGCAGCTGACAATACGTGTCTGGTATGTGAGTGAATGCTGTCACTGGCATTCCTGGTTTCGATGCTCGGTCAATGAAATCAGATGTACCGGATTCATGAAACCATATTGGCATGTACATACCATACGGAGAAATGGAATCAGCATGGCGCCCATGGTCGCGGACCGCATCTCCACAATTCCTTAATCCTTGATCCTTGAAATCTGAGCGATCTAACAAGGCACGCAAGCTAATGAACGTCCCAATACAATAGTCTTCTTGGGATTGTCATACTGTGCGACTGTTGGAATCTGTCCGCCAAGAGAACTTCTGCCTTGTCCATAATCCATATTGGGCAGATACTTGAATCTCAATCCTCACGAGTCACGAATAGTTTCCCGGCGCTTTGGTAAAGGTCCATTGAAAAGGTTTAATATTTCACCGGCTCCAGAGAGAGTTTGACTACGGAGTAATAGTTTGTTGCGCGGTTGATTAGGTTGAATATTCCGAACATCCGTCAATCCTCCTCATTTATCCGGCTACTTTACCTCCGAACGTTGCCCTGCAATAGTCCGTTTTTCTTCCGATGGTGCCAAGTAAAATTGATAAGGCGACGAGCATGTCTAGTAATCCATCTTTCCAAATAAACGTCCACCTAAGCACATCCATATGTTATTCACCTTTCCGGGCCAATGTCGCTTCGTAAAGTTCGTATACAAAACGAGCGCCATCTCATCTAAGAGACCCCACATCTTGTCATAACAGTACGAGGAGTAATTCACTCGGATATTCTGGTTCTCTCCTTTTTTTCTTGCCTTTGCCTTTAAGACACTCGGGGGGGTCTCCAACAATAATTTTTCTGGCCAAGAGCACCACCCCCTGACCAGCAGTATACGGCGCACTCTGTTTCAAGATTGAAGTTCTGACCAGGGTAAAAGCCTTGTATGTGGACTCGTGGAGGGGGTGAGAGTAAGCTGCATTTTCAGCCAGACTTCAACAGAGTCAGGCCGGTTTGGGTTAGAAGTCAAATGACTTCTCAATTCTGCGTCCCATAATCGACCAGACACGAATTTCCCCCACTGTAGAGCGTTCCTGTCAGAACAGATGAGGTCTTGGCTTGACGATCGTCGGATCAGCATTAGAAATTCTGTATTGGGAGTATCGCGATTTTTTTTGGTGAGTCAGACTTTACTGTACTTAGTAAGTACTAAGCACAGCATCAGACCTAAACACTAGGCAAAAGCAATATGAGGCGGATCCCCAGACCGAGGTCACCGAGCAGTTGGAACATCAACGAGGATTGGGTAATAAATGCGTACTAGTTCTGTGGTCAACCCATCCTTATGCGTGACCGAAGCAGCTAGATGATTTACTTTGCAGGACTCCACCCATTAACACAGATGCCCTGTTCGCCCAGCACCATTATCTTTGAACTCGTCGAAAATATAACGTATGATAGACTTTGCCCGATATGGAGACTTATGGAGGTCATAATGTACCCGTCTTATGCTTGGATCACTGCCACGTTCTGTCATTGCGCAAGGAGTTGTGTCATCTATGGCGCTAAAGATAGGAGGATTTCCGAGTCTCTGCGCCGTGAATAATTTCTGCACAGAGAGAGCGCACAAGCATTCTTTTTTCCGTGTGACTGAGCCGGCTATCAGCTCCGAGACGAAACATGTTTCGAGAATCGTATCACATGGCCTGAAAGTAAACAGGGGAGAACCTTGTATGGACAAGCCTGAGGACAGGCACAGCTTACACAGAAATTAATATTCCGAACATTAATGCTGGGGTGACATAACCCGGTGTTAAATTGAGCTCTTCCACGATGCTTATAGTAGTTAGTACTCGACGTGTGGGTCATAAATTTAAATTAAGCCTGAAAGCACCGTCAACCCACTGTGAAGGGGCTCAGGAAGCGTGGCGAACCATAACAGACCCAGTTAGAGGAACCTACTTACGTACAGTACTATAATATCAGCCCATAACACTGGGACCATCTGGATCGGGACTCGGAAGCATGAGACGGCGTCGCGATAGCAAGGGGTGTGATTGCCGCTGAATGGCAGTGAATAGTCGCCTGACACTGGAATAATTGAACAGTAAACAGCCACAGTTGATGACTGAATAAGACTAGTGGTTCCTAGAGCTGGTAGTGTGCACACGGAGTACAGCGTGCGTAACACAGCTTCATGCCTGAGTGCTACCCCTAAATAGACTAGATCCATGCTTGCGCTCTGTGGTCAACGAGACAGCGACGGTAGTAGACGAATGACTATTGAGTCTGTAAAGAGAAGAAGAGAGCAAAGAGTTCTAAAATGGATGAAGAGAGTTTTAAATACTAAGCTGGAGTTGTCTGAAGGAAGTCACGAGTTGATGAATCTACGGTAAGCCACGGCTCGTCCCTTCCGCCTTTCCCTTACTTTAACCTCAACCTCACACCTACAAACTATTTACTTCGAGGCAAATAATCGATATGACAAGTCCGGTGAGCGCTATGAAGTCATGCCAGAGCAACTTGAAGTCTATATTGTGGCTCCTCGAAGATAACTTAAAGAGGTCGCAAAAATGGATACTCGAACATTGGTCAACGACTTGCATAAAGCCCGAAATATAAGCCAATGAAGGGACAGAAAGGAAAGGAAAAAAGGAAAAAGAAATCAATGCTCTTAAAATGCTTGAGGCAGAGCTCGGTATTCCTGTCGCTGTTATTGGATCCTTAGCTGGTGAAAGGCACCTTGCGTCTAGACTGTGTCGAGGCTGCAGCATCCTACGCAGCGGTCAGATCAAATCGCTATGAAGTTCTGTTGCTGACGAGTATAATAGGCAACTGGCTAGTGTTAGGATGTTGCACAGAGCAAGTATTGTGCTACGCTATATGTGCTACGTGATGAGGACACTGCCCTGAGTTACTGTTAGGTATCTCTATTTTTCCTTTCCTTCTTCCTTGATTAGGTACAATGTTACCTATCTTCATCATTGTCCGATCACCTCGATCTCGAAATGCGGTTACGAGTGGCAATCAATGTAACTATGCAACTCGATATGCCGCTAACGATTTTCGTGTGGCCCAGATCTCGATGTGACGATGCTGGATGTTTCAAACCAAATACTATTGTTGCATCCGTAGTCCACCGGTGCTGCGTCTATACGAAGGTACATATGTTCTGCGGACGCCGGATAATTTGCATGATGTAGCGATGAAGTCCACATCCAACCATCCCGGTTTTGAGGAAATGCAAGATCACAGCCACTTGATTGTGTCGAGACTATGCTATTCTCTCCATTGTCGTAGTTTGGTACCAACGGCCTACAATGATCTGTTTCATACTACATCATCTTGAGCCCAAACAGGTTCCAAGGTTCAGATGCACCAACTCCTTTCTACCAACTGCTGATGTTATCTGAGACAGCTGCGCAAAGCATCCATGGCGACGTCTGATGTATATCTACCGTCAATGAATAACAAATTCCGCGGCTACCACACGGTCAATAATGCAAGAGTCCAATATATGATATGCAGAGACCGGAAAACCTGTACAAACAATACCATGATTCATGCGAGGGCTTCACTGTCAATGAGTTATAACATATATACGTGCAATGATGAGGTTAATCTCAACTTTAACCATAGACATACCAGATCCGAGGAAAAGGAAGACATCGGCTCAAGTCCAAGGTGTGACTTCCTTGCGGAGTAGTACGTATTATACTACCTCCAGCTGATCCAGATGGCCAATGCTGGTCGGATATCATAACGTGCGCTTATAGACGGCATCACCTGAACCATAACTGCTCTGACGACTTACAAGAGGACGTCAAAAAGTAGCATTTATCAGTTACAAGTTTCAGAGTTCGGATGACTAACCATCATGAAAAGGATCCCGACCCTATCGCGATTGATATGAAGACATGGTGCCACACTCGGCAGGCTGTATAACCCGTGAGATTCTTGCTTTGTAATTATCAATAGTTAGGGTGGATCTAAGGGTGGGAAGAAAGCATGTAACAGCATGCGGAAATATTATCATTACTCATGTACTCCCACCTTTCCACCCTCCACCCACCATTCATGTATGAGACGACCATTCCTCGGACAATATGTGTCATGTCCTGAGAAGATTCATTCGCACTGAAAGATGAACTCGTGTTCATCTCGGGATTCCTAATGCCTTGAAATCCATGCATTCTGCAGACGAGGATCCCCGGACTTCCGTCGAACCCTACATGTCATACCTACCTCCGTGAGTAACCCTCCGCAGTGATCGGCCATTTCATGTCTGCCCGACAATAAGGACTATGATGGTCCTTGTGACTCTTTGCGGAGAATTTGATTTTTTTCTTCTTTTTTTCATAGCAACCTCGGAATCCGGGGTGGGTTGTTCAAACGGTGCTTTACAAGAAGGGGGCGCGGGTGTCGTGCGACGATTCGATAAGTTATCCTAGTGAGAATAACATGGATCAACCCTCGGTAGCGAGATGCGGTTGTGCAACGCATGGCGTAAGCCATTATTTCTCGAGGTCAAACTATCCGGGAATCTTGGAGCCTGGCTCTTCTCAAGTCCAGATGCATTGCATTGATAGGGTGCATTGAGCATCCAGCGTTTTTATGCTTATGTAGATAAGGCAGTGCTATCAATCAATAAGCGAGAATCAGTCATATTGGAAATCAGACGCAAGTCGTAATACTTGCCTGGGTTTCTTCGAAATATGCGTTTAGACTACCCGTCAGTGATCTAATCAGGACATCGAAATTTTGAGACCTTGATCGTAGTAATACGCAGGGTGGCACTATTCTCGTGATGGTAAACAGCTTGTGTTATTAGAATGAATTAATAATAAACCTAAAAGAACAAATACGTAGCAATAGCCCCAAGTTTCTCCTTCCACGGCTGCCCACGCGCAAAAGGACTCCTCCTCGCAACCTCCAATACCTGCGTGCGCTCCTCAGCACTAAGTCCACCATCAAACCGATCAGAGACCAAATCCATCTCATCCAACCGCACAAACCTTGTGCGTTTGACAAGTTTCCAAAACAGAAACATGACAATCATAACGGGGATTTCAATGTAGTAACTGACAAAGTCGACGACAGCGAATTTCGGACTGAAAGATGACCAGCCCTGGACTAGGACAAGGACAATGTTCAGGATCATCGCGATGATGGGACCGTAAGGGTAGGTCCAGTTTTTGAAGGGGAGGAGATGCTCGAGACCTTGCCTTTTGACTGCGGCGCGGAAACGGAGGGATGCGAAACAGATTGCTATCCAGGATAGTTGATTGGAGACACCGACGATGCTATAAATTTGTTAATTCAGTCACCCTGATACCTATAGACTGCGGAATCAACTCACTTCTGTAACCAAGTCCACAACTGCCCTGCGCCAATGTAACTTGCGCCAAAGCAAAGTCCACTAATGACCGATGTCGCCAATACCGCAACCCATGGTACTCTTTGTCGGTTCAGTATACCAAAGAAAGCCGGGGCGTATCCATCAGTAGCCAAGGTGTAGAGTAGTCGCGAACCCGCGAAGAGGGCATGATTACTCGCCGAAATCACACTGGTCATTACGACCGCATTGATGAAACTACCGGCAACACTGCTTCCGGCCTGCTCAAAGACAATGGTGAATGGACTGGTATGGCTGTTCTTGGAGCTCAAACCGGGGTAATTGTATGGTACGTTAAGACCAATGATCAGGACAGCCAAGATATAAAAAAGTAGAATTCTCCAAAAGACATTGCGCACAACGCGAGGAAGGGTTTTGGCTGGATCTTTCGTTTCTCCTGCAGTGACTGCAATCGATTCAGTTCCTCCGCTGTATCCTAGTCAGCGCCGAGATCTCATGTATTCGATTTTGACAGAACTCACTAAGCAAATGAAGCAGTAACAAACACCGAGGCAAATCCTCCAATGCCATTGACGAAAGGAGCGTCGCCAATATGCCAGTTATGTCCGCCAATATAATGATGGCTGGTGTTTCCGCCGCAGTTGACGACAATACCGAGGATGATGAATATCTGAGAAATAATCAATGAGTTGCCATCACCCTATTGAGGAATATGAACGTACCACTATCGTGACGACTTTCAGGATACTGAGAATGTACTCCGCCTGCATTCGACACATATTAGCATTAGTCTGGAACTCTCCGGGACATTTAACTGAACATACTTCACCATATAGCCTCACGGATATGACATTGAGGCCAATGACCACAAACAGAAAGATCAAACTGATAGCCCAGCCAGGGAAATTATCCGTCCAATACTGCAACAGGAGCTGGAGCGCAATAAGATCAGATGCAGTCGATACCGCATCATTAAACCAGTAATTCCAAGTCAACGCAAACCCAAACGCATCGTCCACAAAGCGCCTATCAACAGTCAGAAAATTTCCCCTCATACAAGAATTACAATAATATCCCAATCTCACCCAGCAAAAGTACAAAACGACCCCGCAACAGGTATAAAAGCCGACATCTCCCCCAACGCCAACATAGTCACAAACACAATCCCGCCAACAATCGCATACGAAATCAGCATCGAGGCCGGACCACCTTTGGCCAGAGAGTTGCCCGTCCCTAGAAACAGGCCAGTTCCAATTGTGCCTCCGATAGCGATCATCTGTACTTGACGAGCGGACAGTTTCCGGCTTAATTTGTTGGCGACGATGATTGGAGGAGTATAGTCGTCTGCTCCATTGTTGTGCATGTGTGCGCCATCATCGGGGCCTGTCTCGTACCCCCTTGGGCGTTTCTCGATGTCGGTATTCATTTTGTGTTTAAGACTCTCAGTCATGACAGGTGCCACCAGAAGAGAAAATAAAAAGAGAACGAGGCTCGCCCATTTTGAAGGATTCCCCAGGTATGAAGCTAGTCTTTATATGGGAAAACATCATCGTTGCAGTGACATCGGCTGTTGAGGTTTTTTTTCTGTTTCTTTTCATACGTAAAAACTATTGCGTGCTTGGGGCGACAACCAACCAGCGGAGACGTCAACCACGCGGCTGTGGGCCAGCTGAATCTGTCAAAAACATCTTTTTCAAAGAGATGCTTCTTTCTTGATGCGATGGGATAATTAGGGAATGAAGATATTTGTTGACGGGTTTATATGAGATTGTGTTTAGTATGGCTGTGATTGCGACTGGATGGGACGAATAGAGGTGATCTACTAGTCCCGATACGGATGCAATATTTGAGATTGACATTGCTCACGATGAGATGAAGAATTAATTAGCGCCTGGGATGGTATTTTAGATATGTAGAAGAATAGACGATACGCCAAAATATACAGAATCATTAGAGTCAGTGTACTTATGCCAAAAGCCCAGTCGCCAATGCCTCCAGATCCTCCAACGTATTGACCTCAAGAGGCTCTTTGGCTGACGATTCGACCTTGTGAGATTTCTTAGATCGCTTACTCTGGCGAGGAGCATCCTCTTCCTCTTCAGGGACATGCTTCTTCCCTCTGCTTGCAGACACCTCCTCGTCACCGTCACTCCGATCCGACTGGAACGGATCAACAAATTCTTCCTCCCCAGCCAACACAGCAACACCATTTTCGCCCTCAGCCAACGCTCGCTCCTTCGCCTTGCGCTTCTCCTTCTTCTCCCGTTTCTTCTGTTTCTCAAGTTCCTTATCCTCAATATCGGCCACACGGTTCCTCTCTGCTTCTGTTTCCAGGAACTTGGCGCGTTGGGTTTGCGCATCTCCGTCGGCGCGGAATTTCCCTTCATCTTGTAGTTCGTATGCTTCATGCGGTACGCCGTCATCGTCGTAAATCAGTTTTGTGCTGTGGCCTTTATATTTGAGGAGCTTCTTCTTGGATTGAAGCAGTTTCTCGCGGCGCTTGGAGTCGATGATGAGTGGTTCGGCAGCGTCGGAGATCTTGACAACTTTGACTTTTTTTCCAAGTTTAGCTTTGTCGCCATCATTGAATGATTTCTGTTTATCGTGCGATGAACTGGAATCGTCTGAATCACTGTCACCGAGAGCATCGTCACCGGCAGCAAAGCGTCGTTTAACAGATAAGAACTCCTCATCCTCATCCGCGTCACCATTGATGCCATTACCCTGATCCACCATCGTACCATCGTCGTTGATAAGTTTCGAATAATGATCGGCCAACACATCCTGATTGCGTCGCTCAAACATACGATCATACTTCGTGCGAACACCATCCTTCTTTTTCGTCTTTTTCTCGCCTTCCTCCTGATCAGAGTCATCGCTCGACATGTACCGCAGCGCACGAGGCTGGTTCTTTTGTAATTTACTATCCTCGCCCTTGATGAACTTGATTCGCGGTGCACCGGGAAGACCAAGACTAGAAGCGAATGCGTCTAGTGCTAGATCCTTGACCTTGAAAACCTCCTTATCTTTCTGCACATGGATAGATTTCACATAAGAAATAAAAGCTTTCTGACCCAGATACTTGAGCTCCGGATCCTTGAAGCACATATTCTGCAACTGATCTTTGATGCTTTGCTGTTTCTTGGCTTTGACGTTGATCCGTTCGATGGGTACCTTTTTCTGCTCAAGACGCTTCAGCATCCCTTCCTCTTCGCTTGGGTCCAAGAAAAGAACTGCACGTCCATTCCTTTCGTAGCGGGCTGTCCTTCCCACTCGGTGAATATAGGTATCCGCATCCTCAGGACAGTCCAATTGAATAACCCAATCAACAGCGGGGAAATCCAATCCTCGAGCTGCAACATCCGTGGAAAATAAAACCGCATGCTTGGATTGAGCAAATCGGGTCGTAATATCGAGTCGTCCACCTTGCTTTTGACGTCCGTGGAGGTGTAGTAGTGGAATACCAGGCTGGAGATGTCGCAGCGATTCATAGACAAACCTAACCTGTTTTCCCGAAGACATAAAGACAATCGTTTTGGACTTGAGATTGCTTCTGATAAAGCTATACAGTGTGTCCAGCTTCTCCGGCAGCGGCGTGATAATATAATGTTGCTGAAGTGTTGACGGCGTTGCGCTAGCAGCAGTTTCATGCACCGCAACATACTCAGGATCCTGAAGACTCAACCGCGCAAGATCAGACACTTTCTTCGTCTGAGTTGCACTAAACAGCATCGTCTGGCGCGTCTTGGGTAAATGCTCAATGATCGCATCCACCGTCTGTTGAAATCCCATATCCATGATTCGATCTGCCTCATCGAGAACCAGCATCTGTAAGTTATACACGTCAAGTTCGGCCGTCTGATCCAGATGTTGAAGCATTCGACCCGGTGTACAGACGAGAATATTCATCCTCCCAAGACGTTCCTGCTCTTCCTTTAAACTTTTCCCTCCAATAACCAATCCTGCTGAAAATGTATGATATCGGCCGACTTTCCTCAATACCTCGAATATCTGAATCGCCAATTCCCGTGTGGGAGATAACACAATAGCGCCCAGTCCATCGTACTCTGTCCACTTCTTGCGATAAAGATTCTCCAAGACGGGGACCAGGAACGCCAATGTCTTGCCGCTACCGGTCTTCGCAGCGCCTAGAATATCTCGTCCTTTCAGCGCATATGGAATAGATCGAGACTGAATATCAGTTAATGACTTGAAATGTGAAGCAGTGAGACCTGACGACGTGGGATCTGAGAGCGGTAATTCGGAGAAGGATTCGAGTCGAATTTTTGGGTCGAGCTCTTCGACTCGTTGGATGATTGTCGATAATTCTGTCTCATTGCGTTTTCGTTTGAGTATCCGTGGATTTTCAATTGATTTCTTGGGCTTATTTGCATGCCTGGTATCTTTAGCCGGTGCCATGGTTGTGTGAATTGTGTTGATTGAAGTTGTCTTTAAACATCTTTTTCCGTTGCATGTTATTTTTTTCTAGGCGGGGCGCTTAGTCATCCGAGTATGGCTGATAAGCATTTGCGGAGAAAAAGGTCTTCTGTTTGGCTTATCGCGACCATCTTTCAGAGGACCCACGTCTTTTAGGAGCTCTTTCAACTACGATCCTACAGTCTACATATATAATAGAAATGGCCGACGATGAGTTGGCCGCGCTAAATGCTCTGGAAAAGGAAGCTTCAGAATTCAACAAGGTGTGACGTACCGCATGGTCCCCCCATAGATTTCGAATTGCGACTGACACACTCGACTCTAGGATGCAGAGATTGATCGAATCCGAAAAGCATTCCCATTAGATGCGTGAGTTACCTTCATCCTCGTTTCTCTTTTTTATTACCTCCATACTAAATTTATATATAAGATACGCCATCCTCGACCTCCAACCCGGCGTCCCTGACTCAGACATAAAACTCCAATACCGCAAAAAATCCCTCCTCATCCACCCCGACAAAACCCAGAACCCCCTCGCACCAGACGCCTTTGACCGTCTGAAAAAGGCACAAACCACTTTACTCGACGAAAAGGCTCGCGAACGACTAGATGAATGTATCGCCGATGCTCGACGATTGCTAATCCGCGAACATAAATATACACTTGATTCACCGGAACTGAAAACGGAGGAATTCAAGGTTGAGTGGCGCAAGAAGACGGTTGAGGTATTACTTGAGGATGAGGCGAGGAGGAGACGGCAGTTGAAAGCGAAGATGCAAGAAGAAGGTCGCGAGAAGCAGAAGGAGGAGGAAGAGATGGAGGCGAGGAAGAGGAAGAGAGAGGCTGATCAGGCTTGGGAGGCTACGCGAGATGAGAGAATAGGTAGTTGGAGAGATTGGCAGAAGGGGAAGCAGAAGGACAAGGAAGGTGGGAAGAAGAAGAAGAAAATGAAAGTCTTAGGATAGGCGTGGTCGATTTGACAACGACACGGCGTTCTGGTTGTATTGGTCATAAGGAGTAGCGTTGAGACTTTTTCTTCTTTTCCCCCCTATAAACTCATATGATGGGTCCTTTGAAATTTATTCCATGAATAAATCTCGATTTTATTTATTCTTTCGAGTACCCTACCATACCTAGGTATACATTCCAGGATTATTGCAACATCAACAGAAAAACGAATTATATCCACCACAACCAATGTAAGGAAATATATTTATATACCGAAAGAAATACTCCCCCTTCAACCAAGCATGCCCGGTTATTTCAATGGTAGAATGTCAGGCTTTTACACCATTGTCACCTGAAAGTTATGGGTTCGACCCCCATATCGGGCGTTTCTTTTTTCCTTTTTCTTTTTTCGGTACCCCTTTCCGCTAGCTTTACCGGGTATACTTTTTTTGCATTTCTTCCAAGTTCTGTCTGTATGAGAGTAAAAGGCATTCGTGGATATTATTATTATAAATAATATATCTCTCTTCTATAGTTAACCAGAGTTGGTCTGGCTGGTGCTTCGATCTGAATTTTTACAATGTTGGTGACCAGGAGGAGTACCAGTCTGATATATATTTGCGACAAATGTGAATAACCGTCCATATGCAGTTTTCTGCCCTAAAAGACATCGAGGTGCGACGCGAACCCTGGAACTTGCTGTATTACATATCAAGCATACGTGTAATCTGCGGTGTAATGGCTTACACTTGATTGATTATCTGTTAATTAATACCATACATCATATCATATCTGCTGATCTTCCCTTATCTCGTAACATATAAAAGCACTCTGGCAATATTATACCACCTGTAGTTGGATGAACCGTCAACACAACACACGCGAACACATCGAGAAGTCCTCGACTAAAGTAAGAAACAAAACGGTAAAGAAACCGAACAAATCGGTGCAAAACCGACGCAGACGAGATTCGTAAAACGACTCTCAGGGGTTGAACCACGGCCTGTTGGTATAGATATAATCGACGCAACAAGCTCGAATGACACAGAGCTGAACTGATGACAAATAAACGTCTACCTGGTAGAGTAAATGCAAGGATTGTATACCATGTTCGAACAATAATTGTTTTGATAGGTGCTGCGCAATACTGCACAGAGGAAAAAGACAGGGCACGTGCTCATCTAAGCCGCGGCAGACTTTGGCGACAATTTCTCAACGTTCTTTCGTGATGCCGCTGGGGAAACAGAGTTCGACTTCCGTAATGCAGGAGCCTTCTTGGTAGGAGTCTGAGGCACTGCCACGCTTACGGTAATTGTAGCTGCAGGCTTAGTAGGCGATATAATGTCTTTCTTCTCCGGCAGTGCACTAGGAGTAGCCGAAGTCTCTCGACCGCGGGAGTTTGCTGAACCGTTCTCGCCGTTTGTCAATGCACGGAACGGGTGAATCCCGTTCAATGCACGACGGATACCAGCGTTCTTCACAGGAATCCTGCTCAAAATGTTAGCTACTTCCTATTTGCTAAGTCAAAGATCAAGACTTACGAAGGCGAGATTGTCGTAGCAGGAGTCCATGCAGGGCCGACACCGACTGGAGACTGGAAGGATAGGGGCGAAGCATGTTCGTTTCCCAAGGTGCGTGAAGTCGCGGGAGAAGGTGTTGAGCCTTGAACGACCTCAACGGAATAATTGTACTCTCCAGCACGATAAGCACGACGTTCGTTGGATTGCTGCTTCAAAAGCTTCTGGGCCTTGGTATCAGCAAAGCGAAGAAGAAGTTTGTGTCCGTCTTTGCCAGCAACGTTATGGAACTCTTCAATCACACGCTCGGCAATGTCACGGGTCTCGAATCTGTAGATGGAGTTAGAATCACTCTATGGTAACCATTGCACAAGTAATTACCGAGCAAACCCAACTTCCTTGCTCACTCCTGTCTTCTCGTCACGACTGATCTTCTCAGATACCACGCGGTAGGGTTCAAAGTGGCGACGGAGGTCCTGAAGCATCTTGTTAGAATTGTGGACTATTTATGCCTCCCCGCCCCCCCCGCGGCAATAACTTACAGCTTCAGACCACTCAATTGGTACATTGGTGCAGTAAATGTTGGTGGAGCTTCTGTCTTCCAAATCCTTGAGGCGAGAGTTACGACTTTTCTACAATAGACATCAGTATGTAATCAAAGAACAGACGTACGATGCGTACCTGAGCAAACGAAGCTTGATAGCCGAGATAGTAGAATCCACGGATGCAATTCTCGCACGACTCAAAGTTAAAAAATTGGACGAATGCGAATCTGGTTTCGGGATCAGCGGACATAAATTGTGCAAGACGGAAGAGACACACCCTTTGCAGAGTCCCGTATCCAAATCCACAATTGCCTTGCATCGATCAATCTCTCCGAAACGAGAGGCATAGGCATGAAGCATCTCGTCAGTGGTCTCAGGAGGAAATCCACGGATGTAGACATTGGTAATACCCTCGCGGTTTTCAAGACATTTAGCAAGGGTCAAGTCAGACTGGTTAGTCCACATGGCAGGGATGGCTCGGGGGATTGGGGGATCCTGCTGGGTGAGCATTTCCAAATCCTGGACAATGTAACCATTTGGAGTCTTCATCATTTGGTATTGAAGACATGGTTGCTGAAGTTGGAGACCTTGCAACATTGGGTAAGGGGCAATCGGAGTGCGCTGATCCATCATTGAGCCATACGAATGGTAGCCGTTGCTCACTCCAGAGTACTCATTCAAGTGGTTCTTCTCTTCAAAGGACCAGGAACCAGCAGGGGTATGATTCAACCCGGAACCTTGAGCTCCCCATGGCATAGAGGGGAAGTTCACTGGAGTAATGGGTGCACCGCCAACGAAGCCAGGGTAATACACAGTTGGAGGGACAGGCATACCCGCCATAGACGGGCCGGGAGGAGTGACTTGACGTTGGCTGAAGTGGCCATTTGGATTCATCCCACCAACCATGATTGGAGCATTGTACATAGTATCCCTAGCAAGACTAGCAAAGTCGGAGTTGGGATGATGCAGAGATCCATTGGCTCCCTCGGCACCCTTGGGGCGAGTACGGATAGGTACGTTCAATTTTCCAGCTGGAGGAGCGTATTTGCCTGTGGATGTTAGCGATGCTTATGCAGCCAAGATTGGGATTCCTACCTGGGTCATAGATGGGCTCTTTCTTGATCTCGGGGGGTGCAACCACTGGAGTCATATTGATCTGGATGGCCATGTCAGCATGCGAATCCAGCAGTACAGTTATGAGCGAGTGGGTGTCGCCATTTTTCGACACGGCGAAGTCCAATAATATGAACAAGGTCACCCAAGGAACTGCTACCTACTTCTGATTTCATTGAACGATTGAACAAGAGAATAAGGAGAATGTAACACTCGGGTTCCTCAGCAGTATCAACGGACCCGACTGAATCAGATGATACCGAGATGAGAAGACTTCGAAGTGCACCAATAAGAAAAGGGGAGATAACAGAAAGAGTGTGAGTAGAATGACCAGGTGAATAAATGGACTTTGGATGAGAGACTGAAGCTGATTGTGATGTTAATGTGAAATTGATGTGATGAAATGAAAGGAGAAAAGAAGAAGATGAAAGAGAAGAACAGAATGAGGGGGACGATGAGAATACACGACAAAAGGAAGGAAGAAGTAAAACTTCCTCTTAAGGAAGGAAGGCACTCATGGTGACTACAAAGGAAGGTGCCTACCCTCTGTGTGAAGTGCTCGTTCATAAGTGCCTGTATGTTAGGGCAACCACAATATGTCGTCAACCAGGTAATAACAAGCCAATTGAAGGTACTGTGAGATGGCTGTCAAAAGTAAAGGGACATGAATATCCTTGCAATTAGAATCAACCTTGGGACCGTCCTAAGCAGGTCACCATCGAGGCATATCGGTCCGTCAGCCTGGAGGTGGCTAAGTAAGACAAGTATAATAAACTACTTGAAAGCTCAAGGGCTGGAAGGAAAAGACTCATGCGTAAATATATGTTTATATTAACAAATAATACCTTTCGGTAGATTTTTTACTCAGACCGTTCTATCGTAAATTAGAAAGGAAACGATCTCACACCAGTGACATTAAGCAGCCAAAAACCGAGTAAAAACAACGGAATAATCAGCAAGCATCGATTCTACCAAAACACCTGCGTACAAGACATGACGCCTCCTGATGAGCAGCTGCATAGGGGCCTTCATTCGATTACTTTAAATATGGACAGCTTCGAAAAATAGCTAAGAAACAGCAATCAATCGCAGATGAAAGAAAGGGAAAGGAAAAGATGATGTTCAATGACCGTATTTATAGTCAATCGTTGTATGAACATTGAGAAGTGAATCAATCTATAAGCCGAAGAGACATAAAAGAAGAGATAAGAAAGTCGTTTCATAGATTGCGCGACATGTCTATGACCAGACGTCCTCCTGGTACGTGCCACTGCTGCGCATGTGTTTGACAATCTCTTCACCCTTCTCGGGTGTTAAGCCACGCTTCTCGGCGATGATCTGGCCGAGAACAGTGTTGACCTCGCGAGCCATGTGCGCGGCATCACCACAGACATAGAAGTATGCCTTTTGCTCCAAAAGCTTGTTGATATAGTCTGCGTTCTCACGCAGGCGGTGTTGAACGTAGACCTTTTCGGGACCTTCTCGGGAGAATGCGGTGAACAATTTGAAGGAATCTCCGAGCTGCTCTTCATAGGCCTGGGTTAGAAATTAGTCAGCATGTGTAGCGCATTGAATAATTCAACAAAAAAAAGCCAAAAAAAAGAGACAGTACCTTCCACTCATCCTTGTATAGGAAATCCTCGGTACTCTTTCTGCATCCAAAGAACAGAACTGTAGGTCCGACTGCGTCTCCCCGAGCAGCCATAGCAGCACGCTCTTGGACGAAACCACGGAAAGGCGCAACACCGGTACCGGGTCCGATCATAATAATAGGCTTGGAAGGATCCGATGGCAACTTGAAGTTGGAGTGTCGGACATGAACCGGGACGTGAATTCCATCGTACTTGTTACGGGGACCAGTGATAGCGTAGGTGAGACCATGGGGATCCGGATTGGGTTCTCCGTGCTGCTTCTGTTTGAGGGCCAAGAGGTAGTTGGTGGTAACACCCTTGACAAGGTGAGTAGCACCAGGAATGCGAACGGACTCGACAACTGCAGTAATGCTAATCTTATCCTTTTGGACGAGGGAAGAAGAAGAGATGGAGTAGTAACGAGACTGGATACGGTTGATGCCTTCAATCAAACACGAGAATGGGACTGCGGAGAAAGGAGTAGACGAAACGCTTTCAAGGGCCTGAGCGATGTTGAAGCATTGGCTGCTGATCTTGTCATGGAAGTAGTCCTTGTCGTTTCCGAGGCGCACCATTTCAGCTTTAGCCTTCTCATCGGGGGCGAATGCAGCGAGAGTGCTAACGAATTGACGAGACACTGGAGCGCAGATTTCCATATAGTAACGAACAGCGGCATCGTACGTGGTGGGCGTAGGGAAAGGAACCTTGGCAGTAACGTCGAGACCCTTGATCTTAATGACAGTGTCACGCTTGGAGTCGAGACCAAAGACCTTCAAGAAGCGATCGACCTCAAGGCCGGCGTTGGTGGGCCAAACCGCAATGTGGTCACCGGTCTGATAGTGCAAGCCGCTTCCAGAGATATCGATTTCCATGTGCAAGCAGTTTCGGTCCTTGACAGTAAACAATTCACGAGACTCGGCGATGGGGGCGATATACGGGTTGTGAGCAGAGTAGGGTCCTTTGCCAGCGTGTTCCAAATGGTTGAGATTCGGTTCACCAAGGTAGACAGCGGGATCTTCAGGAGTCAAGTCTGGCTGTTCGGTAATGGAGAAGACAGGCTCGTACTCGGCCTCACGCTCTTCCAATCCAAATTCAGCAGCGAGTTCAGTCCACATTGGCTCCTTCCATGCGATGAAGTCTTCCTCCATTGTACCGGCACCGTCGTCTCCTTCACCTGCGCTTCCGATTCTCTTGGCGCCCAATTTTGTCAAAGCAGCGTCGACTTGACGGACCATGGCGTTATAATGCTCGTATGTGTTGTTCCCGAGACCGAAAGTGACGTATTTGAGTTTGGAGAGCGGCTTGTCGTCGGCGGTCGCACCACTGGCGAAAGTGACATCCTCTCCAGTGATGAACTGATAAAATTCGACGGCGTTATCGGTGGGTTCACCTTCACCGTAGGTTGCAAGCATGAAGAAAGCAATCTTGTCTTCAGGGAAAGTGTCCAAAAGGTCGAGATCGTATTCCTCGAGGTCGGCCACCATGGTCTTGAGACCGAAACGCTGGTGGCCTTCCTTGGCGAGACGAGACGCATAGTCCTCCGCGGTACCGGTCTGTGAGCCGTAAAAAATTACACAATTCTTACCCGTCTCCTCAAGCTTTTCGATGATGTTCCTGGACTTGCCCGCCTTGGCCCCATTGAGGGCACTAGAGGCAGCGGCATAAGGGTCTTTCTGTACAGCCCAGTAGGTTCCCTTGGTGAAGTAGGCAAATGTCCCTAACAGAAGACCGATCAGGACGATCAGGTCCAGGGTGTCGATTTGCGCCATGGTGATGGACGGACGGCTAGATGGTTGATCTGGGGGGAATCGAGGGCGTGACCAGCCGCGGCCGGGGGAAGATAAAAGAAGCGAATGCGATCTTCTCGCTCCCTTACTCTCTCACACAAACTCTCAACAGTCACACTTCGATGAGAGGATATGTGAGAGTATCACGAGAAGAAGTGATATGAATGAAGTCGCACACTCGACAAGCCAAGGTCAGCTCGGGATTGGCAATCGGTGAGAAACTGGCGGGAAGATTCGATTGCCAGGTGGTCTAATACAGCCACCTCGCCAATCACATGCGTCAAGCGGAGGCGTTCCCGTGCACTAAAACTTGTCGGGTAACGCCCGGCGCCGGACTCTTTCCTAATCTTTCTTTGCTATTGAATTACGAGCCAGTGGAACATATCGCGAGATTGCAGAGCTTGTCAAGTCCTCAGAGCGAATTATAAACAAGACATTGCACAACAAACCCCTCTTTTGTGACTGGTATATCTGGTGCATACATGCAAATTGCCGGCCGACCTATCCGGCCCTGACTGTTTACCTAGGTAAGCGGGTTGGCCGACGTTCTGGATCCGGAGCGGAATTGCCGCTCTCTATCAGATTCTTCAAGGGTTCGAACAGTCGATATGTTCCGAATTATTGCTCCTCCTTTGCTTGAAGAGCCGGCTTCGAATACTGGCATATCTGGTCAAAAACACTAACTCGTAATTACCTTGGGCTCTGTTGAAGCTTTCGGCAAATTCATTGCTTCAGCCCTTTTGTCGGTCCTTCCCAAAGAAGCAATTGGGGCTTGAAAAAGTGGATCACGTGACTAAATCGGGGACTGTGAAGTCTGAGATTCCCACGGAAAACCTTCTTCCCCACACACCTTAAAGCCCCTCACCAGCTCTGGTCAATTGATACGCGCCTAAAGAATGCTCAAAGAATTTCGTTTACAGTTGATTAGGCCTGGAGAACTACACAGGATATATTAATTGACAGCAGGTACCGATTTTAAAAAGAACACAGTAGTGGCCGATCGAGTCGTAAATCTTCTGCAGCCCCCAATTCTGGCCCTCATAACTACCGTATGATAAGTGTCTCACCGCTCTGGGACGGATAGCGCGCATCCGACTTGTACTACGGAGTCCGGCCTATGGTGTGTTTATTTCGCTGCAGAAAATAGAAATTCCGGATTTTTGCTGTTTACGCAGGATGTACAGATTCGTGAATGTTCGAACTTCTTTGTTCTCGATTTAAGAGATTGAAATTTCCCGATCGGGTGCGATACATTTTAGGGCTTAGGGCTTAGGGCTTAGGGCATGATCGGGCGTGAGCCTTTCTAGTGGTTGTGTAGCACGTAGCTGCATATCTAGAGACTAAGCTTAACTCTTTCAGTCATTTATGTATTTTGTTGTATACACTGTACTCGAAACTGCGTCCGACACCACTCTGGGAATGTCCCGGAACTCTGTGACGATGCCAATCTCATGTATTCGAACTATCTAGCGCTGCATACAGAGGTGCGTGTCTACTGAGAATATCAAGCATGAGAAAAGGAAGAAGGGGAAAGCAAACTCGCTACGCCCAATCCCCCGTATAATACTATCCTGTGGGTCGGTTCCTAATTCGGTAACCGTGATGGTTCCCGTCAACACATTCACCGCCCGGCAGTATACCGATCGCCTCATTACGCCGTCACAGCCTTCGCGTCCTATCCAACTGTCACAACCTCAATTGACCCGCAACCCTAGGAACTCCCAATCGGGTAGGAGGTAGCGTGGTCAAAAGTTGACTATTTAACTAGTGGATCAATCATTTCTTATCGCACTCTGGCTACTCAGTACAGTGCGTGGCGTAGTCACTCGTATCACTCTATCTACCTGTAGAGACTGCTATACAAGGTGAGCAATCTGGGGACTCGGTACTTTATAGTTACTGTCGGCAAAAGAAGTAGAGTTCAACATTGTAGTCAATTAAGTATGTACAGGGGATAATATGCAACTCCGGGTATTCGACTTCCACTCCACGACTTCGACAGTCTCCACGACACCGGGGCTAAGTACCAATCAGTTCAAGACAATCCTGTCTGTACTGTGCCCCTTGCGATCATATATGAACCCATGAACATTGACCCGTCGGTTCTTCCCCGGACTGACTACATCCAGTAAGTCTCTGACGCTTTCCATCTGCTTGATGACATTCAATTCCACCAAATGTCGGTTTCGGTCATTGTCTGCCAGGGACTCGAGTTCATGTTGATGGGTTGAAAGTAGATTGCTTATTTTCCTTTTCACATCGTTAGTTACAAGACGCTTAAGATTAAGTTGGAAAGAGAGGGGAGTCATACTTCTGCCAAGGATAGGATGCGTTGGTAACTGGGTCCGACTTGACGATCCCGCATCCATAGTGTCCGCAGACGATAATATGCTTCACTTCCAAAACATCCACTGCATGCTGCACAGCACTCGCCCAGGCCAAATCAGTGCTCAGAGCCATATTGCCCCAGTTCCGCACCACAATCATCTCGTCTTGAAGAAGGTTGTTCAATGTCGTTGTCTCTTCGTATCCGCTATCTGAACATCCGAGCCATAGGATCTGTTGCTTTGATTGTCCAAGACTGGGTATCAGGTTCTTCGGTAAGGGCTCTACTTTATAGTTGCTGCTGACGGGACTTGGTGTTGTCTGTGTCTGTGTCTGTGTCTGTGGTGATTGTGTTTGAAGCTGGGAGAATAGTCGTTGACCCATGGTGGCTGCTGATATGTGTATTCGTGGTTTGGTGGAGTTGATGAATCCGGTACGCAGAGTGATTAGAGAGGCTCGTAATGGGGATGACATGGAGATGGGATAGAATCAATTCTGCATTAATTCCATACAACGAGTTTTATAAATATTATTCTAGAAAAGCTTTGATTACTGTGGTGGATGAGAAAGAAATAGCAACCAAACTTGGCTCAGGAACCTAGTCGGCGAAAACTCGGCCAGCAAATTTCTCATACAAAGACTTCAGGGTTCCAGCACGGTTCCAATTCACCAGCGGCGATATCTCGGCGCATGTGAAACGAGCTGCGAGTCACAGAAAGCGACGTTTCAATCTATTTGCCGCAAACTTTCTCACGAAAGCTAAGAGACCTTCAGGGTTCGCCTTGTCGGCATTCCTGCCCAATACTGCCTAAATGCCTGTATCTACATAGTGGACTGAATCCTTCGATCTTCAGTGCTTCACACCCCGTTCTCCGGGAGGCCGTGAACGACATGCTTGTCTCTTGTACATATCTTGTCTACAGCTCGTTCAAGTTACCAGCTGTCTATACGTAGTAGAGGATAGAAGATAGAAGTCAATGGAAGAGATTGCATAAATCCCTCACCGATCCATCTCCGGACCATCTCCGAGGGAATGCCGTAACCCTAATCTCGGCATTTCTCAGGCATCGGGCAGATTACCGAACAGGTACAAACTACGTAACCCAACTCGCGAACCTATTATGTACCTAGGCAAATTTACATTGCCGCATACCCGGAGGCAATATACAACAGATATATAACATGGGCACGCTACCTCTTCTCATCGTGCAGCTTTGGAGTTCAGCTTGTTCAGGAATCCCTGCCATATACCGCCTACCTGCCTGATTAGGTACTCACCATGTGGATTACACGCGGAATTTCCCTGGTCAACTTCACCGTCGCCTCGTCGGCTCTGGCATTCCAGGTCTTTGTCTTGTATCCATGGCACAACAAGCTGGACGACGAGTTCAAGGAGTTGAAGAAGGAGCACATTCGAGTTCTGAAAGCGTTTAATAAAGAAGCCGCTTGAACCGCTTGAACACTACCGTCACTACCACCACTACGAACCGTACGTACACCACGGACAATCACGGCGCTGAACGAAACGACGGGTTTGAGTTTGTTATGACCCTCATAGACGGCGGATAGACGAGACAAATCACTATGAACGAGACCTAGACTTGCTTTGGGTGGCTGCTGCCGACATTCTACCTCTACACTGTACATACTGCATACTACGGAGTTTTGACAATACCTCTTTGCTTCTCGGATGGGCTGTGACTTGCTTACTTTTTTACGACTTCTACTTCTTTTTCGTTTAACCCGTTTCGACCGACGCGAGCCCTCCTTTTTTTTTTCCCTTCCCTTCCCTTTTCGGGTTATCAACATCGACATCGAGCACTACACCATATACAACTATTCTTAGAATCAGAACCGGGTCCGAGTTTGAGGCGTCATGATAAGAGTCGAGGACTAGCCGAGGGCGGTTACAAAGATGTTTAGATAGATTGAAATAAAATGTTGTTGGTATACATTATTGGAGCTATCCAGGAAATCTTCTATGTATAGTATCTAGGGTGATGTCACCGGAATATTCACATGGAGTATCACGTCTTTGAACTCTATAGAGACAATTTACCTAAATCTCTATGTCAACCAAGCAAGGTACCTACCAGCGATGGTAGCGGGTAGTCAGCACTTTTCTACATTGTATCTGGGTACTCACAGCATTAGGCTACCTAACTACATGTCGTGTCGCAGATTTATTAATTTGCATCACTCTTACTTGTTGTCCTCGTCGACCTCTCGGGCTTTGATCTCGCTTTGACTCAGGAAAATTAAGACGAAAACCGGACCATATTTTCATTGCTACCGCTTCTGATAACCCGTTTTGAGTGGCGAAACATAAGCTCTCGTGATTTGTCAGTGCCACTCGAGTCATTCGACACGTGGAAGTCATACATAGCTCACTGAGGCGGTGCCAAGTTACCCTAACAACACTGGGGGATAACCGTATATCGATCGACTACGATCCATGACCCATGCAAATGAAGACCTCCATATATAGAGGGAGAAGGATTCTTCGTACATGCCTTGTACAGACAGTTCATGTATTGAATTGAATCAAAGCCTCAAGATATGATGTCAGAGAGAGGAAGTTGGTTAACGATCTTGCGCCGGACGAGGATAGGTTGCTCTGGTTGCACAGTAAAAAAAACAGTCCGCAAATCATGGAACGAAGTGATTGACTTTGTCCTTATTTATGACCGGTGCAAATACAACAGGCTGAAAGGAGGCATGCAGGCGGTTGGTGACTCCAGGACCCCTTAGAGCTATCATGCAGAACCATATCCCGTAAATGGAGCAGGGTACTTATCTACGGCAGACAAGCGGACAACAGCGAGAACCTACCCGTGATCAACGCCTATAAGTGAGTTGCGTCTTGGGCATGTTCGTTTATTCGATATTGAGGACCTTGGGGGTTGCTGATATCATGATTTGAGCTCGTTGGGATATTGGATGTAGGTGGGAGGACGAGAACCGAATCCAGTGATGGCTGGCGAAGCCCCTGAAGCAGTGGCTAAGCCTGAGCAAAGAAGATAAAGGATCTGATCTGAACGTTATTCGACGCCGGTCGCTAGTCATAGTGCTCGGTGTATCTAGCAAGCACCCGGCTGCTGGAATCACTTAGCTTTGTAGGTCTTGCAATGTACTCACGGATGATTGAAATGGAACAAGATCGATCAACGCAGACGTTGACGCTACGAGTGATAGAATATTAATGCTTGTAATCCCCAGATCTAAAAGGATAGATTACGTGGCTGAAGAAGATCACCAGTCTTCCCGACGTTCCGCTTGAGTTGATGCGCGCTAGGGGAATATCGTACATGAGGTTCAACGAGGAGATATCGCATAGACCCCACGATGATCTCATGAAACATGATACTTCGGTTACCGTACTGGCTTACTGGTGTTAAATAGTGGGATAAGCTCCCTTGTTTCACCTACCACCGTCTTGTGATCTTGAGATCTTGTTTCGCCACTTGCGCACTTCTCGGCTCGAGCTTGCAACAAAAATGAAGTTGACTTATTTCGCACTTCTTCACGCGCTGGTAGGAGCAGCATGTGCTTACCAAGCGACAACAACTGCAAGTTCCTTGTTCCGTGATCCAAACGAGATTTCCACTGACAAGGGGTAAATAGCGCTATTATGACGGACAGGAAGGCGCTTGTGGCTGTGGCACGAACTCCGGCTTAGATTCCTGGCAGGTTGGTCTTTAAAAGCTTCCCGAAAAACATCCAGACCATCTCACTGACCTATTTCATAGCTCGGCATTAGTAACGGCGTATACACTGCTGCAGGTTCCCAAGCTCTCTACGACACCGCTGGCGCAACCTGGTGTGGCGCCGGCTGCGGAAAATGCTACAACCTGACTTCCACAGGCAGCTCACCTTGCACTGGGTGTGGCCTTGGTGGAGCCGCTGGCGAGAGTATCATTGTCATGGTTACCAACCTCTGCCCATACAACGGTAACCAGCAATGGTGTCCTGAGGTAGGCAGCACCAACCAGTACGGATACAGTTACCACTTCGACATCATGGCGCAGAGTGAGATCTTTGGCGACAATGTTGTTGTCGATTTTGAACCTGTGGATTGCCCTGGACAAGCTACATCGGACTGGGAAACGTGCGTATGCTATGGACAGACTGCTACAGACGTAACACCTGTGGGCTTGACAGGTGGAGGTGGTTCAAGTGGTTCATCCTCGACTTCTCCCACAAACCCGACGACGAGTTCGTCAACTCGGACTTCGACCTCGAGCTCTGCTGGTGCCACGCAGACAGTGTATGGACAGTGCGGCGGCGGTGGCTGGACTGGAGCGACGGTTTGCGCGTCAGGTTCCACCTGTCAAGTGGTGAATCAGTGGTACTCGCAGTGCCTGCCTTCGTAAAAGCCCGCTGGTTGTATATGAAATTCAAAAAGGAGCCGAGTTCTGTATCTCAAATGATGGCCCAAAGATACTCGTTAATTCCCCGTGATCGTGTAAGCTCCGAGGCGCGATTGCCGATAAACCACAGAAAGATCCAATCCTGGAGAGGCAAAGTAGAGCAGCATCAGAAATAATAATCAACAGTCTCACAATATTCTCAGTCTGACTGAAGATCTTGCCGGTGCAGGGTAAGACAGGGATGCTTGTACCTGGAACATGCAGTTCCCACGTGGCGGTGAAGCTAAGAAGACGCGCGTAGAAGAGACTGTCACAGCCCAGAACGGGGCTTCGTGTAGCATATAGAAACTAGCGTCTGGCCCAGACATGTCAACTAGAGCCACAGCAGAAACAACACCAGCAACACTGGACTGACATACAGTCAGTGACGATGGCGGTGCAGACAGAACCGACAGCGGTTGCGATGCAGACTAAGCAGCTTAAGCTTATTTTGATTGCTGCGGCGACTAGCGATGAAGCCCACCGCCCGAAGCTAACATCAGACTAGCCGCCTTAACTCCGTACCTTAGTACCCAAGCCAAAGCATTCTAGCACGAGTCTTATTCAATGTTATGGTCTATATACGATTGCTCAGTTGGCCCAGTCACGTCGGTCATGAATGCTAGTTGCATATGACACTTTAGAAAGCGTCTACAATGTTCAGTTCTGCTGAGAGGTTTGAAGCATTTTGAAAATGCAGCAGCCCAACGGTGCGTACCACCTTTCTGTCCCCAGTGTGATGTTGTCGCACGTACAACACGAAACAACCCCCCCCCCCCCCCCCATCGGTCATCTCTTCAAAACAGTCGTTGTAATCATCAGCCAATGATGGGTTTGTCTAATATCTCACGCTTGAACAGCGCCCCAATCCGGTTGGACGACCGCGCCGCTTCAAACAACTATACCCCTCGGTTCCGACGAGTCCCCTATAACGTCGCACCATACGCCCACCCCTCCCTTGGATCGATTGGCCCCGAGAAATGCATCCTCCCAAACTGTCGGCGACCTACATAGTCGGGAATCATCTGTTTCAGATCTCAGAGGAAGACCTGTGGATACCTCGGGTCGAGGTCTCACGACACTTCAACTGCAGTCACGGAGTCGCGGCCAGTCTCATTCCAAAAGTCCTGAAGCCAATATTGGTCGCCCTGAAGGTGTTATTGAGCGCAAGCCTTCTCTGTCATCTTACGGTCATCATCGCAAAACATCGATTGTCCATGGCATTCAGCATTCGCGCAGCCCCAGTTATACCTCAACCTCCGCTAGTCCTCTAAGTCCGGAAATCATCGCGTCTGCAGGCTCAGGTAGCATGGCCAGTGTATCGCTGGGGTCGGACTACATGTTTCCCAACCGCAATGAGGATACTGAACCACTTCTGAAGCTCCCCAACGGAAGCAATGGCTCGGTGCACTCTCCGTCCAGCGGTCTCAGTACGATTCAAGATGACGATGAACACCTGACTGTGGGACAGACCGTGACGAGGAGTAGCAGTACTGTTCACAAGAAGATGCCGTCAAGTACCAAGCTCCGGCGGGAACAATCTCACAGTCGCGGACATTCGAAACATCACCAAGAGTTGAAAACAGTGGGCGAGTATGCTCTGCATCATCTCTTCAATTCTGTAAGTCTATACATCCGCTGTATCTATACTCTAGCTAACGACTGACTCGGCATTAGTTTGTTGCACACGCGGACAATAAAATCAATCAAAGCATCGTCAAAGTCGGCGAAGTCGACGCACCGGTTGAGGAGGTTTGCGGAGAAGGTGCAGATCCGGTCTTTGACCAGCTTATTTCTGCTTTGGGGCACGTCGCTCGCGCCAAACCAAAACCTCTGATTGATACCATTATGCTATGGCGGAGAGCAAAGGGTGAAGCCGCGAATGCAGCCAAGAATCCTCAGGTAGGAACTTTTTCAGATGTTATTCGCGATTCAGAAACTGATTCATTCCGAACTATAGAAATATCAAAACGCTGAAAATGGACCACTTCTTCGTCGAAACACAGAGCCCGTACAACCCACCAGTTCCGAGCCGGATCTGGGCTCAGAGAATGCCCAGCCAGCTTCTATACCGAAACAGGATGGTATTCAACTTCTGGAACGCAGGGCGACTGTTTCGGTATACCTCGTGTGCAGAGTGTTGATTGAGATCTTTAATCAGAGCACTGTGGAGGCGATTGGAAATGATATGACGGAGCGTCTTGAAGACATTGTCTTTGGACAACTCAAAGCGGTCGATCCGGAACAAATCGCAGCCTCCCCGCTACGTATGGCAAATTGGAGAATATATGGACAGTTACTGGGCAAGATGAGTGGGATCAATTTCACCAGTGTCACAACACGCTTCCTCAACGAGCTTGAACGGTATCAGAAAGAGGCTGCTATGCGAGGCCAATCTCAGGAGCTTGACGCCAAGGCAGAATTGTTGATTCTGGGTATGCGCCATTTCAGCATCAAAACCTATCCCGAAGAAGCATGGATCAAGTCGTGTGAATATATGAGATCATTAGCCCGCCTATTTGTCAACGCTCACGGGCAAAGAGTCAAACAAGCCTATTGCTATATTATTGAAAAAGTTCTGATCTCGATTGCAGCCAATCCTGCATGCGACGTTGGCCATCCTCTCTGGAAGGACTTTCTGGAAATAATAACTCCACGTCTTGCACAGATGATCGCAAAGCCTCGCCATTGGATGTCTGTTTTCCCTTTGCAAACAATCCTGCTTTGTGTCTCTTCAAAGGATGCTTTCGCTAGCCAATGGCTTTCTATAGCACTAAACTTGCCGGCCCGACTCAGAGATCGACCTACGCGAGGGTTAGCGCTTCAGGCTTTATGTCGATTGTTATGGACGTATCTTTTCCGATATCCCGATCCCCCTAATATCACACTCAAACGAGTGGACGAAGTCATCAAGGTTGCCCTACCTCCAGGACGGAGGACCTATCTCACAACAGAGTCGTCTGTAGCCGATCCTTTGATCCAACTCATTCGGATGATAGGCTTCAAGCTACCAGACCTATGTTTCCGTAACATAATCTTTCCTCTCATAAATTCAGACCTTTTCCTTTCAGGAAGAGAACTGAGAATAGAACAAATGGAACCGGAAAAGATGGTTGTAGGAATTCGGTCATTTCTCTCAATCATGTCTGATCTCGAAAATGGCGATCAATTGTACCCGCCTTTCCCAGCTGGTCCTATTTCTACTCACTTTGTCGATATTCCCAACTTCATACTTCCGCCTCGACCGCAGCTTCTGGCGGACCCAAAACCTCGTACCACTATTACGGACCCTGCGGCGTTGTCACGCCCAGTTAATGTTTCAAAACTCAACGACGTAGCGAAGGACTACTACGTACAGTTTTGTGAGATCCTGGGGAAAATAACTATCTTATGTGACAATACTTTCGGTGGACAGGCAGCTCTTGATGAAAAGTTCAGCGGCTCAACTCCCAAGACTCCCATATCGGAGGCGTTCAGTTTCGGCCGACGCGATGACCATGCGAGTCTTGTCGACCAAAGGCAGAGTTTCTACGATCTGCTTCATGTAGCCGTCCAAGTACTTCCCAGATGTTTGTCTGATCATATACCCTTCAACTCTCTCATCAATCTTCTTTGCACAGGAACGGCGCATGTCCAACCCAACATAGCGAGATCTTCGGCAGAGTCTTTGAAATCCATAGCACGACAAATGCATGCTCAGCAAGTCACCATTGGGTTTGCGCGATTCATTTTCAATTTTGATGCAAGGTACTCTACCATGTCGGATGAAGGCATGCTCGGACCCGGCCATATTGAATCTACACTAACACTATATGTTGAACTTATACGAATTTGGATCGAAGAGATCCAGCAAAAGACAAAAGAAATTGCAACCGACCAGGCAGAGAATAGTGCTGGCTCCGGTAGTCGGGCTTTGCAACTTGATCTTTCTAGCGTACTTGCTTATGTCGAGGAGATTGAGGCACATGGCATTTTCTTTTTGTGCTCTCAGTCTCGTAGGGTCCGTCGCTTTGCCATCTCTGTGCTTCGATTAGTTACAGAGTTCGACAGCGCACTGGGCAAAGAAAACACTAGAATCATTCGCATTCTTGAAGCAGACTCGCATCACATTATGGACCTCAATGATGAGCACTTGACAATTGCGGAACGGAGCCGACTGCAGAAAGGCAAGCGAAGGAGTACCTCACAAAATACACTGATTGAGCTTTGCAGCAGCGATGTCTCTTACGACTCTAGCCTTTGGGTCAAGGTCTTTCCAAACATCATCCGTGTTAGCTTCGACACGTGTCCGGTTGCAGTCACTCTGGCTCGAGAAATAGTGTGCGCTAGACTTGTTCAGATGCACAGGAATATCACTGCTCTTGCAGAGAGTCAGCGAGCTCAGCAATACGCGACTTTTGATATGGCACAAGGACGATCTCTAGGCCGAGGGAGGTCCCCAGCAGAAATCATGATTGAGCAATGGAAGCTTTATCTTTTGATGGCCTGCACAACGCTGAGTAATGTTGGGGCTCAGTCTCAGAGCCAGCTGGCAAACGCTGAGCACGCCCGCAAAACATCCAGAGGTATGCAAACCGCACAAGACAAAATTGGGTCTGCCCGAGCTCTCTTTGCATTTGTGATCCCGTTACTTTGTGCTTCATTGGATTCGATAAGAGATGCAATCGTTGCATCGCTGGGCTCGATTAACAAGGCTTTATACCGGACTCTCCTGGAATCTTTGCAATATGCAGTGACGACATGCAATGAAGAGGCGAAATTGCGTATTGGCACTCACAATCGCAGCCCAAGCAGCCCTCGTCGCAGTCGGATGACAGATCGTTTACGTACTGAAGTCACGCACGTGTATAAACTTACATCCACTTTCCTCAGAGAACCAGAGATATTCAATGACGACTGGATCGTCAATAATTTGGTAACTTATGCAAAGGACTTGCGACTGTTTCTCAGTGATGCCGAAGTACAGAACGACTGGGAATTCCAACGCTTGCGTTATCATTACTGTGGACTGATGGAGGAGCTGTTTGAAGGTATCAATCGTACTAAAGAACCATCTCGTTGGATGCCATTTGAGTCGCGAAAATCTGCCTTTTCCTTGATGGAAGGCTGGTGTGGATACTCTCCGAGCCAGGCTCAGATCGCGGCAAGAGAGAATGAGATGAGACGATTCGCGACTCCGCAACACAATGACCCGGGAGACCTAAGGAATCCGGCAGCCTTGATAGAAATAGAGAAGAAGAACCTTCAATCTGCGGCACTGAGCGCAATGTCGTCGTTATGTGTGAGTTCGCCGGCCCCTTATAGTTTTTCTTGAACTGAAGTGAATGAGAGAACTGATATTTTTCATAGGCTGGACCAATAAGTACGACAACGGAAGGCGGGTCAATCCTTCAGTTCGATGTGAGCCGAATGCTAGTTTGGATCGGCAGTATTTTTGAGACTGTTAGCGACAAACTGCATACCATCGGTCGACGGGCGTTGAAAAATCTCATTGTTCATAACAAAGAGTATCCGTTCCTACTTGAACGAATGATAGATTTGTGTTACGGCGTTGACCGGGACAGGCGCCTTACTGAAAAGGCCCTTGAGAGTTATTTTGAAGTCGTCAATCAAGTCCTTATAGAAGAAACCAACTATGCAGTTGCGTTTTGGAGAATACTGGCCGTTGTCATGTACATGCTGGGCAATGAAAAAAGGGACATCCGCATGAAGGCAGTGAAGCTTATTCGCATACTGGAAGAGCGGCAGCAGAAAAATTCTCGACTTCAGGATTTTGACATTAGTCTTTCTGACAAGACCACAGCCGTCTACAAGCTTGCTCAATTCGAAATTTCGAAACGACTCGCATCACAATATTCGGATCTTGGGTTTCTCATATTCTCCGAATTTTCAAGACATTTCACCCGAACCATGTCAACTGACGACCAACGGAATGTTGTGACGGCGATTTTACCTTGGATTCAAGCGATGGAGTTACAAGTTGATCCCAATCAACTACCCACCCCGCGATCATATATGCTTCTCGTCAATATGCTTGAGATCACGATTCATCGGAGCAAGCTTCTTCCTAATGAAGTGCAAGCTCTTTGGCAGTCACTGGCTACCGGGCCCCATGGAGGTAATGTGCAAGTTATTCTTGATTTTATCATCAGTCTCTGTTTGGAACGCAAAGAACAGAACTTCGTCGAATATGCCAAGCAGATCGTGGTTTTCCTGTCGTCTACTCCGGCAGGGTCTAAAGTGATAGAATTCTTCTTGCTGCACGTCGCTCCTAAGTACATGATACAAGAACGGAAGGATGAGGTTGAATCACCGCCAGACAGCCGGGGTTTACCATATGTCGCCAGCCTGAATGACATTTTGCCGATTGGTAATAAACAGGTAAGAAACATCGAGACATACTCGACAGAACATTGATAGCTAACAAGTACTTTGCAGGCTGGCCTGTCGATGGGACAGCTCTCGATGATCTTCCTTGTGGACTTGATCATAGGCCCAGTTACGTTGGCCGTACAAGACGTTATAAAGCTTTTACATGTGGTTCTGATCCTATGGGATCATTACACTTTCACTGTCCAAGAACAGGCTCGGGAAATGCTTGTTCACCTCATTCATGAGCTCGTCTCTTCCAAGCTTCAAGACGAGGTCTCCACCGAAGCGCGACATGCCATTGAACATTTTGTCGACTCTATTCGCAAGAGCGACGCCTCAGTTATCTGGGAGTACGAGGACAACCACGGCAAAAATGAGGATGATGGTACTCGCGTTCCACCTGCTATGACTTTTGTGACGCGACAGGTTGTGCAGTTCTTAAACCTTGTTCATGAAGATATTAGCGATCTCTGGTCCAAGGAAGCTCTGAATTGGGCCACGACCTGCCCTGTTCGCCATCTAGCTTGCCGTTCTTTCCAGTTGTTCCGATGTATCTCGACATCATTAGAGCCAAGGATGCTGGCGGATATGCTGGCACGGCTATCAAATACAATAGCCGATGAAGAGACTGACTATCAGACGTTCTCTCTGGAGATACTCACTACTCTAAAAGTGATTATCAAGTCGCTGTCACCGGCCGATCTTATACAATATCCTCAGCTCTTCTGGACTACATGTGCTTGTTTGAACACTATACACGAGGCCGAATTCAAGGAGAGCATTGGGATGCTTGAAAAATTGCTCGATAAGATTGATATGGGTGATCCCAGCGTTGTGGCTACACTAAGCGGCGCACAGCCCCCTCGATGGGAAGGGGCTTTCACTGGTATTCAGGATCTGGTGTACAAGGGCTTGAAGTCTTCGGAGTCGTTTAATGAAACTTTGAGTCTGCTGCACCGACTGACGCCGTTGCCGGATACTGTACTAGTTGGCGAGAGCAATCGGTTACTTTTTGCGATTTTGGCAAATATACCACATTTTCTTCATCAGTTCGATGCAGAAACCAATGATCCTAAAATCATGGATCGAGCTAATCTGTTAGGCCAAGTAGCTGACCGACACGGTTTTGAACGACTGGCTGCCTGCCTGGTTGGATTCGCCAATGCGCAGTGGAAAAAGGAACAAGACTTCTTGCAGCATATTATTTCAGAGATCTGCTCGTACTACTTCCCCGCACAAGAGGTACAGAGTTTAGTGTTTGTGATGGGCTTCTTGACCAATGCTACTCAATGGTTCCGAGTCAAGACATTGAACATTCTGTGTGTCTTGATTCCCGAAATGGACATGCGACGACCGGAGATTACTTCTCACGGCCCTGATCTGATCTCTCCTCTGCTTCGGCTGCTTCAAACAGAACTGTGCCCTCAAGCACTCGAAGTCATGGATCATATTATGACTGTTTCAGGCAATCCGATGGAAAAGCACCACCTACGAATGAGCATGGCATCATCGTCCTCGTCGCGGGCAATTAGAAAACAATACGAGCGAATACAGAGCCTGTATGGTATTCCAGAACCTACAGGGTGGTCTATCCCCGTCCCAGCTGCACAATCAGCTACAACACGCCACAATGTCCACGCTGTGTTTTACACGTGCGCCGAAGCTGATCGCATGGAAGCGCAAAGAGTGGAAACGCCTGATGTTGAATTCAGTACTGAGGATTACACCGACTCTTACTACCCATCATCCCTGCGGACGGATACCATGAAATCCATCGACACGCAAACCGACGGAAACATGGGCGAGATTGTTCAGCGACTGGACAGCTTAGATGACTTTTTTGACGAAGACGATTTTGGATTCCAGACACCATCCATGAGTTCGTTCTCGGAGATGCGTGGCTATCCGGGCAGCTTTGCGGACACATCGGCGAGTCTTTACGACCAGCAGACGGCGCCCATCCTCAGGAAGTCACTTGCCCGAACTCCTTCAACGTCGTCTTTCCATAACGGTCTTGCTGAGACATCACGACCACCGACTAGACTCGACGGTGTTTTCCCAATGACTTCGCCAGCACTTGGTCCACCACCTACCTCTGCTCCAGGCGGCGGGTTACGGCCTGTGATGCACAGTCGATCTGTAACGTCACCAACCAATCACCTCGCCAGCCATACCCCAACCCTGTCCGCTACTAGCATGGCAGCTTACCCTATTATGGAAACAACCATTTTTTCCGACAGTGAAGTTGAAGAAAGCTTGTCTGATATGGACGAACGCGGCGGCGGCTTGCACCCATCATCATCACGGAATACGCCGGCAACAAGTCTATCTCGCAAAGGATCAGAGGGGACATCATCTTTAGAATCCATGATTCGTAGCGGCATGCGACGTCTCACTGGCGGCACAGCATCTAGTCGTGAAAAGGAACGACAGCGGGATTTGATACGGGCTCATCAGCGAGCAATTGCTCAGACAGCGAATTCTCCGAGGGTACCTAAAGTTCCGGCGGAGTATCTTACGGGGTCTGTGAGTAGTCCCACGTCTCCTGGTCAGGGAGGTACACCGACGGGAGGAGGAGCTTGATGAAGATTATGTATGTAGACTAGACTTGTGATTCCCATTTCTTTTTTGTTTAAATAGATATTGTGTATTATGCATGGCCTAGGACTGGCATACCTGGAGTGTACTATTTCGTCGGCTGAGACGTAAATACTTTTGTATTTGGCCAGTCAGTACATACAATTGAATATTTTTCATGTCCATCAAAACATTGAAGAAGAAGAATATCCTCGGTGAGATGTCGGCCATTTGTCCGAAGAGGATGTTAACCGCTTCCAGCCGTGATTACCCACTTGGGCCTTAGCATTAAGGCATCGATAACCCACCCGGCAGCCTGAGGCCCGCATCCCCCAACTTCTCCGGAATCCCCGCACATTCTGAGTATCCTTCGACTATATCGTTGTCTACTTCGACTAGGTGGCATAGTAACACACAAAGTCCAGAGCCATTTTGTTAGGAATGACCCATTGCAGACATTTAGTAGACTCCTATCGTTCATCGGCAAGAACCGGAGAACCCTAGCAGCTCTCATCAATGTATCTCGACTTCACGGAGCAGACTGTCCCGCGCCTGTCCCCGCATCAAGAACGCATCAGCCAATATCTTCAAGGATCCAAGCCCGTTTTGGGTAAGAATCATAATCAATACAATCACAGGGAAATCTTGGTACCTGAATCAGTCCAAGACTGCGCTTTGTGATTGGGTCTCCCCGCGTTGTATTGTAGTGTTCATACTTCCGGACCTAGGGTCGATTAGTACAAGAGTCGTGTGGTCGCCTGCTCTTTTTCCGAGCTTTCTCTCTCTCAAATTTCTTTCTTTCTTTTTTTAACCCTTTCAGCTTTTACTCTCAAGTTCGACAATTAAGCTCGTTGAATAAATTCTATCCTTGGATGATTGGTACATTGTAGACTCTCACACCACGCTATGATCCCCGCACGAGCTCTCCCTCTGGGGAAATCCATAAAGTCGGGGTCTCACTCGCAACGACTTTTCTCAACTTCGCTGCGACGAGATGCTACATGGGGCTTTATTGGACTTGGTCGAATGGGTGTGTATTCTCTATGCAATAGCTACTGCCTACAACATCTGACTGTTTATACAAGGTTACCCCATGGCAAAGAATTTACGCGCAAAAATCCCTGCATCAGATACCCTGATCGTGCACGATGTCAATGAACAAGCTATGCGCCAATTTGTCGACGAAGCCAAAACCGCCAGCACTGGCCCTGTTGAATTCACTGATAGTGCCAGAACAGTAGCCGAGAAATCAGTAAGTTTTAAATCGCGGTTGATCGGATAAAAAGAAAATACCTTACTGACTGCAATGTTATTCAGTTAAATATCATCACCAGTCTTCCTCAACCGGTTCATGTGAGACATGTTTTCCACTCCATCCTCAAGCCTGGTCCACTACCACAGCTTGAACAAGAACGCCTTTTCATCGACACCTCCACCATAGACCCCGTCACTTCCAAGGAAGTCGCCTATGCCGTCCAAGCCCCCAATCAAGGCCGATTTGTCGACGCGCCCATGTCCGGCGGTGTCGTAGCCGCCGAAGCAGGAACGTTATCATTCATGTTTGGCGCTTCGTCCAAGACCGGCGCATTAGTAGACCGCGTCAGGGAGATTCTGGCGCTGATGGGCAAGAAAGCCTGGCACCTTGGAGAGCAAGGAACGGGAGTAAGCGGCAAACTGGCCAATAACTACATTCTGGCCATCAACAATATTGCCGTCGCTGAAGCAATGAATCTCGGTATCCGCTGGGGCCTGGACCCTAAGACCCTGGCTGATATGATCAATGCTTCAACTGGTCGCTGTTGGCCAAGTGAAGTCAACAACCCCGTCCCTGGTGTCATCGAGAAGTCCCCCGCTAGCCGCGATTATGAAGGCGGATTTGGTATAGGATTGATGCGCAAGGATTTGAAACTTGCTATTGATGCCGCTCAAGAGAGCGGTGCACCGTTGGAATTGGCTGCCACCGCCCGCGGTCTGTATGAGGCTGTTGAGGATATATACCCTGGCAAGGACTTTTCCATCGTTTATAAGTACCTCAGCGATATTTCTCGTCGGTAATCTCAAATACCCTTCGTTTCCAAATTTGTTTCTTTTTCATCAGGCATTTAGTGCATGCATTGGGCGACGGATCGGAACCGGCGTTTGCACATTTCTCATCTATGTCGAATCTTTTGTGATTTATAGTTTCAATTCCAGTTTCATTTCTCTTCAACGATTCTCTCCATAGCATGGGTAGTTGTAAATAGCAATCCTTTGGAGTCAAGTGTGCAAGTGGAGCGGGACGTCATTGACTACACGTCCGAATGTAAATAATCTTAGCGGCGGCTGGAGACTTCCGTACAACAACTTCTGTTCTACTGCAATGCTTACCAAACCCCGCTAAGTACAACTGTCCCATTGTCGAGTTGGGTGACTGAGTATACAGGAGTTCTCAGAGTTCTCGATACATCGAGTTAGAAGTCGTTCTTCGTGGTGGACTGCTTTGGATAGATTTGCACACGTGAGCTGGGTACTGAGAGTACACAACGCCGACGATTCATCGATTTAGTACATCGACGAACAGCACATTTCAGTATTTAAAAAGTGCATACCTATTTGTTTATTGGCACTATTGTACATCATCAACTATGGCCTACGTCGTCCCGATCCATCGTGCCAGCAGCGTGCGGTACGCGCTGAAGCTCAACTTTCTCGAGCCAGAAGAAGATTGTCTCGTTGTCGCGTATGGCCGCCTCCAAATAGCCACAGATTCTGTACTAGATTGCTGACATTGTGTTTATAGTAAAGGAGCTCGTCTCGAATTCTACTCCATAACCCCCGATGGCCTTACACTCACCACATCTCGTGCTCTATATGCCAAAATCTCGATGCTAGCACGACTCCCGACCCCGACCAACTCGACGACAGACCATCTCCTCGTCGGCACAGATCAAAATACATACTTTACACTGAAATGGGACAGTGAGAAACAGAGAGTCCGTACGGAACGGAGTTATGTCGATCTAGCCGACAAGGCATCCCGTCCCTGTCAGAATGGTGACCGATGTCTGATCGATCCAAGCGGGAGATTCATGACATTAGAAATGTTTGAGGGCATCATCACCGTGATACCGATTATTCAGCCTCATAAGAAACGAGGCAAACCGCCGGTTCTGAAAACGTCGCATTACAGTAACCCCGACGAGCCGGTACCGCAGATCGGAGAACTGGGGGAACCTATGCCGACAAGAATTGATGAGTTGATGGTGCGATCGTCGGCTTTCTTGCATGTGGAAAGCAAAGCAGCTCCTAGACTGGCGCTGTTGCACGAAGATAATCAACGGAAAGTGAGGTTGAAAATTAGAGAATTGCATTTCGAAGCGTCTACGGAGGTGGTCTTTCAGGAGACTGAGGATTTTACCGAGGAGTTAGACCTGGGTGCTTCGCATTTGATTCCTGTTCCTGCACCATTAGGTAAGTTTTGCTTCGTATCAGAGATAGGAGATGCAAACTTACTGACAGATAAGGTGGATTACTGGTTCTCGGGGAGACGTGCATCAAGTATATAGATGACGCTAATAACGAAACAATCTCAAGGCCTCTTGACGAAGCCACAATCTTTGTTGCATGGGTCCAGGTAGATGGCCAGCGATGGCTTCTCGCTGATGATTACGGCCGCCTCTTTTTCCTGATGCTGGTCCTCGATTCCCGAAACGAAGTAGAAGGCTGGAAGATCGACTACCTGGGTAGCGCATCGAGAGCATCCGTTCTCATATATCTGGGCGCTGGAATGACTTTTATCGGCTCTCATCAAGGCGATTCCCAGGTTATTCGGATCAGTGAGGGGTCATTTGAGATTATTCAGACCATATCGAATATCGCTCCAATTTTAGATTTTACTATCATGGACCTGGGTACGCGCGAAGGGGATAACTACACCCACGAGTTCTCGTCAGGTCAAGCTCGCATTGTCACCGGCTCCGGCGCATTCAATGATGGCACCCTGAGAAGTGTGCGAAGTGGTGTCGGAATGGAAGAATTAGGTGTTCTAGGTGAAATGGAGCATATCACGGACATGTGGGCTCTGCAAGTTTCCAGTACGGATGAATTCTCAGACACATTGGTAGTCACCTTCGTCAATGAAACCCGAATCTTCCAGTTCAGTTCGGATGGCGAAGTAGAAGAATTGGATGAGTTTCTCGGTCTGAACTTGGCAGAGAATACTCTCCTCTCGAATAATCTACCCGGCGGCCGCATCATACATGTCACAGAAAGAGGTGTGAGTATAGCCGATACAGACAGTGGCATGGTTATATCGAAATGGTCTCCAGATGAGCAGACAATCACTTCAGCGGCATGCAACGATGAGCGCCTTGTTGTGGTAACTGGCGGACAAGTTATTGTCGTTCTGGACATCACTGGTGACCTGAAGGTTCTGTCACAAAAAGATTTCGACAAGGACAATCAAGTGTCAGGAGTGACTATTCCACCGGCATCAACACAAGCCTTCATCGCCGCTTTCCCACAAAAGGCACAGGTGGCTGTTCTATCTTTCCAGGATTTCAAAGAACTTCATAGCCAGTCACTGGGCATCGCTAGTGAGGCTTTCCCACGAGCGGTACTCTTAGCAGAGATTCTAGAAGACAGCCCTTCGACATTGTTTGTTTCCATGGCGGACGGCAGTGTTGTAACATTCTTTTATGACTCTGACAACCATTCTCTGACTAGCAAAAATAAGTTGATTCTCGGCTCTGAACAACCGACATTCAAGAAATTACCTCGAGGCAATGGTCTCTATAACGTCTTCGCTACATGCGAGCATCCTAGTTTGATATATGGTTCCGAAGGGCGGATTATCTACTCAGCAGTGAACTCAGAAGGTGCTTCGCGTGTTTGTCACTTCAACGCAGAAGCCTACCCAGATGCTATTGCAGTAGCAACCTCGAAAGATCTCAAGATCGCCTTGGTAGACAAGGAGCGCACAACTCAAATTCAAACACTACCCATTGAAGCAACTGTTCGACGGGTAGCATATTCCCCGACAGAAAAGGCATTCGGAATCGGGACCATCAAGCGCCGTCTACAAGACGGAGCTGAAATTGTCGAAAGCCAATTCGTGCTTGCTGATGAAATCATGTTCCGAAAATTAGATTCCTTTGATTTGAAGCCGGATGAGCTCGTTGAAAGTGTTATTCGTGCTCAAATGGTTGTTGGAAGTGATGCGTATAATAAACCTATCTACAAAGATAGATTTATTGTCGGGACAGCATATTTGGATGATGAGACAGCAGAATCAATACGTGGGCGTATCCTGCTGTTCGAAGTTGACTCTAACAGGAAGCTATCCTTGTTCCTGGAACATCCGGTCAAGGGGGCATGCCGAGCATTGGCTATGATGGGCAATAAGATAGTTGCAGCCCTTGTGAAGACTGTAAGTCAGATCTAGCACTTGTCTATATCTAATACTGATTGTACGCAGGTGGTCATCTTCGATGTAGAACGGAAATCACAGCTAGGAAAACACGCGCTCAAGAAGGTCGCCGCCTACCGCACATCAACCGCCCCTGTTGATATCGCTGTAACCGATAGCACCATTGTTGTCGCCGATCTGATGAAAAGTATATCCATAGTTGAGAGCCACAAAACCGACGCTTTGACTGTTGAGGCAAAGGAAGTCGCCCGTCATTTCGCTACTGTATGGACTACGGCTGTAGCAGATATTGGGTCAAATCAGTGGCTTGTTAGTGATGCAGAAGGAAATCTGATTGTCCTTCGTCGGAATGTCGATGGTGTAACAGAGGAAGATCGTCGACGACTGGAAGTGACGAGTGAGTTACTTTTGGGCGAAATGGTCAATCGTATTCGACCGGTGAATATTCTTCAAACGTCGACGGTGGCGGTAAACCCGAAGGCGTTTTTGGGAACTGTAAGTACTTGTCCACAAAACTTCAAGCATCAGTGCTAATTACTCTACAGGTCGAAGGATCAATCTATCTCTTCGCGCTCATCAACCCAGAGCACCAGGACTTCCTGATGCGACTCCAAACAGCCATCACAGCTTATGTTGATTCCCCAGGATACATGCCATTCAGCAAGTTTAGGGCCTTCCGATCGTCTGTGCGTGAGGGCGACGAGCCTTTCAGATTTGTTGACGGAGAACTTATTGAGAGGTTTTTAGACTGTGATAGACCTGTTCAGGAAGAGATACTAGGCGTTGTTGGGAGTGGTTATGATTTGGAGTCAGTCCAGAAGATGATTGAGGCCTTGAGAAGGTTGCATTAGTCGGTACGCTGTTATTATGTAGCGACGCTCCAATGGGACTGACAGTGATGAATTACGACCTCGATATCTGATGTATAGCATAAAACATAAGCAGCTATGATGAATATTATCTAGGTATTATACCTTGGCAGTCAATATTCTAAAAACCTCCTCACTCACCCCTCTAAACTCACTCGAAACCCTCTTCCACAACTCATCAACTTCATCAACCTTGATATCCCCCCGCGCAATCCCAGCCCCTAATCCCACCACACCAACAACAGAAGCCAACACCGCACTATTCCACAGTAACTGTAACCCCAATCTTTGAATTTTCTTGCCACCTTTCTGTGCAGATGCAACATCTTTCGGGCTTTGCTTATACACAAAATCCCGCTTAACAGGCACAAAAATACTTCTTAGCCAGAAATTGAATTGCCAATCCGGGTAGAGCATGGTGTTTCGTCCTGTTTTGGCGTCAATGTACCAACTCGTACAGCCCGAGGACCAGACTAGATTCTTGGATAAGGTTTGAATCCAGGTATTGTCCTTCTCTTCAGCGGCGAGTGTCACAGCGACACTCGTTGGTTTGGCCGATGGAGCTCTCAAGGAGAGTACGGAAGGTCTCCGGAGAATAGGCTTCAGTACGCGCAGACTGAAATTAACTTGACATTCTGTTGAGTAAATGACCGACAAATGTCCCGTAGTAGTATTGGGACCCATCATGACGAAGAAGTTGGGGAACGATGAGATGCAGGTACCATAGTAGGCTTGCGGATGGCCATTAGAGACTTGTTGCCACTGCATATAAGAGTCAGAGTTGGGGTCTCATGGCGTGAAGAGCGAGAAAACTTACATGATCATCCAAACTAACACCACCTTCACCCCTAATCTCCGTATTCAGCGGATACAACACCTTTTGCGTCTGAAACCCATTCGCTAATATAATCGCGTCGGCACGAACCTCCCTCCCAGATTTTGTCCTGACCCCGGTTTCTGTGACAGCAACGACAGGATCATCCCATACCAACTCCATGTTATCATTATGCAAACACGAAAAGTAATCTGTATCATTGACTTTGCGTTTACAGCCGATTTCAGTGGTTGGCGTCAATGCAGAATGATACTTTTCCGGTGCTGTGCGTTTCATATATTCCAATCGCTCATTAGTCAGATTTTGACGAATTTTGACGCCCTTGGACAAATTAAACCCGAAGAAATCCTTTTCCATGTCTGCATAAAGCCAAAGACGGTACATGCGCATTACAAGTGGGATGTAGCACATGGTCCATTTGAAAAGGGGGGAATAGACCGGGTTGGGTCTTTCCGCGAGCCAGTGTGGTTGACGCGCGAATTGGGTTACTTTTTTGACAGGACTGCGTTTTGTGATGTAGTTTTTGGTGGTGCTTCCATTTGAAAGAATGGGGACGAATTGTGTTGCGCTGCAACCGTTGCCTGCATCCAAATCTCTTAGTATGATACCAAGGACGAAGGTGAAGGACATACCAATGACAACAACCTCCTTGCCACCCCAATCAAACTCATGATCCCATCTTGCTGAGTGGAACATTGCACCCCGAAACGTCTCCGCACCCTCGATCTCACATTCTCTCGGTATCGACAAAGCCCCAACAGCCGAAACAACTACCCTACTTCTAACCTTCCTGATGGTACCAGTCTTCCTATCCAAAACATCAGACACCCACACCCCATATGTCTCATCCCAAACAGCCTTCTTAACACTTGACTCAAACTCAATATGGTGCACAACATCATGTCTTTTCGCAACATCTCGGAAATAATCCAATATTTCCCTCTGCAACGCGAATTTCTGAGACCAGTCCGGTTTGAGTGCAAATGAGTAAGAGTATAAATGTGAAGCAACATCGCAGCCACAACCGGGGTAGGTGTTGACGGACCAGGTTCCGCCCAAGTCGGAGGTGGATTCTATAATTGTGTAGGATGCTGATGGGTAGGTCTGTTGGAGGCGGATGGCGAAGTTGAGGCCGGACATGCCAGCGCCGAGGATGAGGACGTCTGTATCTAGATCCATGTTGAGCCGATGTGAATATAATAAATAAAAGGAGGATATTTCTAGAATTGAATGAATCTTTGGAAGTTCAGATTCAACTTCAACCGGCGAGCTCCTGGCATATAAGTATGCTTCCCATTTGCCTCGGATTTCGAATTAGGGCAAGTATAGCGGAACTGCCGCCGTTCGGCGATTTCTCCGCAATGCACAATCTGTGTTTATCTGGAGAGTAAACGTATGATACGTACTACTCACGAGTCGCTAGGCAGATCTCCAAAAACACCAGTAACCCCGCGCGATTTGCCGATGCTCAAAACTCCACATATCAAAGTCGGCATACTTTCCTTTGTCCGGGCATTTCTCCACTCTATCTCCGCACTCCAACCTTGGAAGGTTGAACGTGGGGATAAGCGTCTCATTCTGGAGAAAGTAAGGCGATGTAGAAAATAAGATAATTTTTTCCCCCTTGATTTGAATTGAAAATATGTACAGAAATTTGAAGCGAAAGGCGGAAAGAAAGGTGGAGCGGTTCTCCGTCGCTTGCGGCTGGACAGGTTATGTTAATCAGAAGAATCTATACAGGTCTATCGGCTGTACGTTTTGGACAAATGACTTCAGCCACGTCGAGCTCGCCGGTTACCAACCCTACCTACCTCAGCACAGGACTTTTCTCTAGTGTAGGTTGGTATTGCGCAATTATCCAAACAACACAAAAGCTGATTCTTCCACCTAGAATCCTAATGACGACGATATATCGGAAGTGTCATGAGCTAAGACATGGTGGCTGCTTCATCCCACTCCCACTCCTTCAACAGCTGCTTCACCCGGTACTCCGTTGCCCATCCTGTGTCCGCCTCTATACCTCTCAACAAACTCAGAATAGTCCTTCGTTCTCGCGGCTCCGTGAGACACTGCCCCGTGACAAACAGCGGTTGTAGGGAGTGAATCCTTGACGAGGCATCCATACGGGACATGGATATATTACATATCTCATAACTATGTTGCCGAATCTCGCTCTCAATTGATCGATACGACTTTAGTCGATTCGTGACTGTTGTTCGACGAGCCGTGGATTCATGAGGTTTGTTGATAAGCAAGATGATTCGAGCCATGTGGTAGTGCTGCATAGTAGACGCGCACATGGGCATACTATACCACACTTCAGCGAAAGGACAGTCATCATCGATACCAGCTCTCATATGCGGCCTCCGAGCCGGTTCAAGTCTCGCACATGGCTGAAATGTGTCTGGGAGTCCCCTATACCATGCATCCAATTCACTGTGTAGCCTATACCAGCGTTCAAGCAAGGTGTTTTGCGAAATCCCTATAGGTCCTTGTTCATTTGTACCGCCTGCTGGAGATAATTGAATCTGGTCACCGGCGTCAATGAAATTGACTATTTTCGATAGAAGCCATATCAATGCATTCGAAATCATGTCTTCTTTCATTGTACTTTCCGCGTCGGTGTTGCTCGGCATAACGAACCCGTTACTATCGAGGTGCAATCCAGCGTCGGTCCAAAGGAGGAAGTCTTCTGGGTTCAACCTTGTTTGACCTTCATTGATAACTAACCATACGGAATCCGTTAGTGATAATCGAAAAGAACTACATGAGAGAGGCACTTACAAGCAGATATATAATCCTGTCGAGCGAAATTCCAAAACGTAGCCTTCCGAGCGCGCGACAAACCTGGCCTCTTCCGCGGTAGGATACCCTCTGTCGACGAAGACTCTTGTTCTAATGGCATCATGCCGATTTCTGCAATATCAAGAAGCGATTTCACCCCGCTCAAATGTCCATTCCACGCGGGACCTGTCGCATCTAAAAATTCATATACAGAAAGAATCGCCGTTGCCGCCAAAACCTCGTCCGAATGAGAACTGGAAAAGCGGCTGTTCGAAAAGCGCCTCCTTCGTTTCCGAGAAGGTCCTGCATTGTCACATAGCTCAGCTGCTTGCCATTGACCAAATGCTTCGGGAGTGCTAAAAGGTGCTGGACTTCCAGCGTCATGTTGTAACTCCCTCATGAGAAGTTGAATGGCCTTGTCGTAATATTTGGCACCGTACCATCCCCAATCCACATTTGCTGCGTCAGGCCACAATTCCATTGAGGCTTGTTTGGAGCAATTGCCGCCCATGATTGCTTTGGCACCTCGTACTCGGTTGAGTTGTTTGGCAGCATAGGCGCATGCGGCATACTTTAGAAGTGGGTTTGATAGAGCTTTTACGGGAACTAGTGAGGAAAAGTAGAAGTCGAGATCGAACAGATCCATCCTGTCGACGTTAGAATAGAGGTATCAGCGGGTTAGCGAATCAGTTCTCACCAGTAGCCCGGATTCTCGGCAAAATGTCTCAACAGAAAAGCGACTTCGTGGTCAGTCTCGACCTTTGCATCAAGTCGCACATTTGAGAGGGCACTTCGATGTCTCGCCGTCACTGACTGATATGATGAGGACTCTCTCCGGCGCCCAAGTGTTGTCGACAAACTAGAGTCAACGGACGGCGAGCCAGAATTTGACGGATTGAGCAGAAAGTTAATATTATTATTATTATTATTAGACAAAGAAGTGATGGATATCGGAGGCGAAGTCGGAGTCAAGGTGTTTGGTGCTTTATTTGGTGAATGAGGCGTTGTCGACGTCAAGGGAACTCCCAAGTCATTAATACTGGTCAGTCGTAGACCAGGGGTTCCAGGAGATGCTGCAGACGGAAAAATGTATGAATTCTGCGCAGCAGCAGCAGTCGACAATGCGTTCAGACCCAGTGCAGTATCGTTGGGTGTCGACGTTGAGGTTTGGTGGTACCATTCATGGGTAAGCGCATCGTGCTTACTAGAATCATTTGCCAGAATGGAAGCTTCCAATTCTTCTGCTGCTTGCGGGTCTGTACTATCCACGAAGATGACTGCACCATCCACTGTCAATAAGATCCTCAGTCCCAAAAGAAATAGTCCCGTACCGTTCTTGGGAATGTCAACCCACACACTGTCCGCACCAAATGTGTTCTTGTAATTATAAAAACCCCCCAAAGAACCTCGACCAGACTTTTCGTCCGTGATATTGTTGTTCATAGACGCATTCTGCTGATGCCGAAAAACAATCCCTTCGCTGGGCCGACACTCCCTCGACGCCTTGCGGCATTGCGCACATTGCAGTTTCTGCTTACCATCACCATCATCACCACCACCGCTCACTGCCTGGTACTGCTCGTCACACTTTAACTTTCTAGAACGACATGTTAAGCTGTAGTATATGATTAGCTCCTAGATAAGTAAATTGAGAAGGGACTACATTATAGATATTTGTGGGACCTCGCAGGGAGGGGCGCTGATCTAGCTTGTCGAGGACGACTTACCAACCAGTTCGAGATCGCATGCCGACCGTCGATAGACCACGACTACTACCGGTGCATTTGCGAGTTCGAATGGACGGAGAGAGAAGGGTAGACAACTTCTGAATCAAAAGACGTAGGCAGATTCGGTGAGAAAGATTAGGTATCGGACGAAAGGTCTGGCCAAGTTGCCAAGGACTGTTCCTTTACTCCGCACTTACCCCGTGCACTGGACTCGTGATCTGGCCCTAACTTCCAGTGCCATACCGAAACAGATCTAGGCTGTTCCAGCCTATTGTCTTTCAAGTCTGGGGTGAATCAATTGAAGATCTGCAAATAATTCTGGAATTTCTAACATTACTATCATTATACCAACAGGCAATACTCCAGATATGTACAAGATGAAGACTCTGACAAATAACAAGAACCAGAGTGAGAAATCAAGAACTATTCACAGCAAGAACTTGATCATCCGAAATTTCCTCGCATCAAAGAAGATTGGATCACTCAACAATGAGAGGGTATAGATATCAGCGGGTAACATGGTCAAACGCTAGATGAAAAGAGATTTAAAAAAGAACTAGCAGGAGTGAGACTTGCACTCCCGCAGAAACGGCAATAAAATGAGACAAAGAGAGATGATGCTTTTCATAGTGTAGGAACGCCAGATTGACGTTGCCTTATTGAGTCGAAAAGGTACTCGGGTGGCACGCGTCGCATGCTAGTTGGGCGATCTGTCTGGTAGGCTGTCGGAGCCTGGACGTATCCTTGTCGGTATCGTTGCACTTTGTTGAGGATAATGCCCAATGCAACGATCAAAAAGACACAGCCAAGGGCAATGCAGAAAGAGACAAGAACAACAAGTCCTGCCGAGAGACGGGGTGATTCTGGATAACACTCATTAGTCTCAAACTTCAATCCAATGTCGAGTAATGATGAATTACTTTTACCGCTGAATGTATTTTGCTTTTCTGTAAACATCTCTCGAATAGTTCCTGCTTGACCATCTGCAGTCGACGACAATAGGAAAGGTGTCAATGCAGTGCCATTGTAAAGAGCCGCAGAGGCATTCCCAAAATTGGGAATGACTAGCTGCCCAGTGATGAGTAGAATCTGGTCATTATTCAATAACTTGGTGCTCTCATGATTGGTGCTGAGACCGACTACTTGCAAGCCAAGGATCGTAGTAGACGCGCCGAAGAGTTGTCCGGCACTGTTGAATTTGGAACCGTCGTACTCCATCAAAAAGGTCGAGCCGTTTGAGTCTTGGCCAGCTATCCAATATGCGGACATATCTGTAGCGGCAGGACCAAAAGCAGTAATTTCGCCAGGAATCTCAGATGGAGAGGCACCATTGACAGATGACCATGTTTGGGAGGTCGTATCGTACGTTGCAACCCTTGTTTGATTATTGCCCAGGGTGAGATTACCGGCAGCGATCAATTGATTGTCACTGGCCCATTGAAGCGAAGTCACAGAACCTTGCATTCCCACTCCAGGACGACTCCACTGACCGTCAGATGTATCCCATACGCAGACTGCTGGGCATGGTAAAGCACCAGCAGCGTCGAAAACTCCACCAAAGTAGATCTCGGTTGAACTAGGGCGAACGGCAATACTATTTGCAACCGCGTTCTTGCCAGTCAATGCTGGAGGCTGTGCTGTAGCAAATCCAGGTGTCGACAGATTGTAAGTTACAAAGCCGTTCAAAGTTGATGAACCTGCCCTACCGGTAACCGAACCGCCTGCGAATAAAGTGTCTTTGTAAACAGCAAGAGTAGTGAAGGTAGAGTTGCTATCGACCCCTGAAGGAAGACCTGTCACAGTATTGCCATTGGAGCCGTTCAGGAAAAGAAGATTCTGGATGATGGAACCGTCAGACGCTTTGGCAGTAAATTGGCCACCTAGAATCGTGAGGTTTCGTCCGTTGCTGGTATCAAAGTGGCCTACGAGGACCTCAGATACATTCTGTGCAACTGAATCCCGTTTGGATGCCGCGCCACTCGTCTGTGCTTCTTGGATGTTCACGGGAAGGGGCTGTATCGCTAGGCCGTCCGAGTTTGTGAGAGATACGGCACCCCTAGAAGTTATGCCATCTGACACCAAAGAACCGGCAAGGATAGTAGTGTTATTTCCCGCATCAGCAGTTGCCATCAACTGACCAAAGAAGGCCATCGTGTTATTATCAACGTTCTGTAGCCAGTTATTCTGAGATGGAACCCAAACCGCAAAGCCCGATGCCCTAATAGACGAGTTAGACCCAAATGCCAAGATTTGATCAAAAGATCCGCTAATTGCCACTGTAATCTCAGTTGTTCCATTTGTCGAGTTTATTGGAAATGACAAAACGGAAGTGACAGGCCCATTGACGCCTGCTCCAAGTGGAGACCAGGTATTGCTGGAGGGAGAATAGGCTGCAACGTGATTCAGACCTTGCACATCACCTTGACCGGTGTTCGTGAAGTTTCCCGCTGCATACAGTGTGTCGTTAAGCAGGAGCAAGGATGTCACATAGGAGTTCAAACCACCACCGCTGAGAGAAGTAGCGTTGCCACTGGACTTGAAAGATAGAATGTTTCGTAAAGACGAATCGGAAAAATTTCCTGCTGCGTAAGTCACGTCTCCAGATTGAACCAGGCTGTAGATGGTAGCTCCAGTGTCCAGATTGATTCCAATGGCGTCGATACTGTCGGATGAGAAATCGGTGTCTGTCGTATTGGAAGGGTCATAATCATATAGACCGTTCAAGCCCCCTCCAGTAGAGTTAAGTAGATGAAAGCCTACGCGGGATGCCACAATTTCAATATCGCCTTGTCCTGCAACTGGCGTGACAGTAATCTGGGAACGGAATTTATCGCTGCTGGCTTCAATGAAACCAGTATAGATGGTATCGTATTTCTCGAAATTGTTAGTCTGATATATTATGGACGTGTCGAGATTGGCTTCTGGTTCGGTCGACGTGAAAGTAGCCGTGATGTTGACGATGCCTCGAGATTGGCAGGTGCCCGCATCTGAGCAGCCTGGGGTGTAAAGAAGGACTGAGTAGTTGCCGGATTGCTTAATGTCGGGCTTAAAGGTAATCGAGACATCAGACTGGGAAGCATTGGCAATTAAATAGTCGGATGGCGCGCCAGCAGATGTCACGGTCCAGTCACCTGTTGTGCTTGAGGTTGCCGGAAATTCTATTCCGGTACATGCTGGCTCATTGAAGTCATTGAGAGCATAGGTAAATACTTGAGATTGGAAGATCTCGATACCATCAAGACCAGCACCTTGGCCATACCAGTTCAGAATCTGAATCATAAACCCAGACATACCAACAGGATTGACCAGTTCGAAGTCGCGGAAGGGCTCAGACGTGTCGTTAGAGAGAGGGCATGCAAAGTCGCAGAATGCTTTTTGACCAGTCGATGGATCCGTATATGTCAGGTTCATGATGCCCGTGTCCGGCAAAGCTTGGAAACGGAATGACTGAGTGCCTCGACCCTGAAAATGCGTGTTGTACAAGCGAACCTTGCTTGGATAAAACGTGAAGCCCATCTGAGCCTGCCAAAACCCAGGAGAATAGTCGTCCAGCAGCCAAGTGTTGCCGGGTCCCTCAGCAGCATCGGATTTGCAAATGATGTTGCGAGGATCGACAAAGCCAGCAAGGCTGGTTTGGGCATCACTCGTAATGTTGGCTGCAGATAGGTTGACCACCTGGGAGCTGTTTGTGGCCGTTGACGTTGACACATTTCCTAGGCTTTCGAACTTTCCGCCGAAAATGATGTGACCTTCTGAGTTCTTGACGATGGACGAAATCGGACCATTAAATCCGTTAAAAGGAAGCGCTTTCCAACCACCGGTACCGTTCCAGATCATTGCGTTTGTCGAGTTACCGACGCTGTAATCGCCGCCAACATAGACCGAATCGGACTCCTGATCGCACAGTAATGCTTGCACGACACCGGACAGTCCTGACATATTCCGCACATTATTTGACGCCGGGTCATACAACGCTATGCCTTCTGCTTTTGTACCCCCTAAACTTGTAAAATTGCCTCCGACGACAATGCCTTCGAAACTCCCATCCTTACGCGTCCACGAACACATGGCTAGAATATCCGCGTCGGCAGACAATAATGGTACGAGGTCGCCATTTGGTAGAGTTGTGAGTAGTGCTTGAGAGTCATTAGTTGAAGGGGCCGCCTCAGTTTGTTCTAAATATGAGTATATCGAAATCGCGTCGAAGTTACCAGTAAGAGCGACTCGACCTAAAAGCGATAAATCCAGGTTGGGCTGTGATACTGGTGTAGCTGTGAATGCATTGGCGGTAGGTAACTGCCAAGAACTGAGAAGAGCAGAGACCACAACTGCCGTCGCAGGCCTAGACAGTGAGGAAGCCCTCATTGTGTAGGTTGCGACGACGGATCACGAAGCACCTGTTTCCAACCCACGACAGGTCTATCCTCTCAATATAATGGCAAGTCGGTAAACGCTCAATTTTCAAGAAAGGAGGAGTGGTGGGTTCCCTTAATGGTTTCTTTATTAGCGGGTGCTGAACGCGAAGACGTGAGGAATGCTGTTGGAACGACGTGGGAGAAATATGCGTATTGTTCTGGTACTATCTTGGCGTGTGGCAGTGATGACAAAAGCGACTCAAGCGGAGAATTGATTCTGTATCCGAAATCTAATGCACCTGTCAAGCGATTATCCAGAAGTTCTTGAAAATGAGCGAAGAAAGTAGTTGGTTGGATTGGGAATTAAGGCGAGTTTGAGGGCGTCGTGAGTGTTGAAAAGAGCGTGGTGTAGTTGGTAAAAACACACAAACTGATTAGTATATTCAAAAGATAAAGAAAAGAAGAGCGAAAATGTTCAAGCGAATGACATGGTCAAGAGGGGATTGAAGATGGCAATGGCCAGGTCCAAAGCTGATCAATAGAGAGGAAGAATCTCAGAGCGAAGAGAGGATGGAGCGTCCCGTCCCTGACCCAGACTTGGAAGGTGTGCGGACGTGGCTCAGTAATTGCGTGGTACGGCCTCACTAGTGCTGAGGCTAACGGATCTCTGTCTAACTAAATAAGATTGCAAAGTGACACTAGCCCTGGTTTGCGCCAATCAGACAGTTTTGATACTGTACTATTTCAAGACAAGGAGTCTTTGTGCCAATGAGAGGTACAGTATATGCCCCACTGGTCCGAGATAAACAGCCGAAGCCACGGGCTGGCGTAATCTCGTTACCATTCTTGTATTTATGAATCATGCTCCTTTTCATGTTAGGAGGTGCCTCACGACATATAAAGAATGCCGCTCTGAGAGTAGCTCAAAGTCAAATAAGCAACTCTTTGTTGGCTTATGAATGATGGATGCTTCAGTAGAGGACGTCCCAAGAGTTTTACAAGGTTATGCAGCTTGTGGTTAGTGAGATGAGACAATATTACGAGAATACCAATTCTACAATGTCCCGGTTTTTCCGATGCCCTGAGGAGTTGAAACAGTCCTCGGACAAGACATGGTTTGACAAAAGATTGTTGCTTCTCATTGCCTCTAATTAAAGGCGAGGCCGAAAGCGGTTCTTGATCAGCCATTCGATATCGCAGGCATCGTCACAGCTTTAAAAGCGCAGTCAAGTGGTTTCGTGTATAATGATGCTTGCATATTGAATCAAAACTTTCTGATGAATTCGATCTGCGTTATCCGGATCCCAAACGACGTCGTACGTAAGGATAAAGTCGCTTGAGAAGCCATCGATATCACTATCTCATCGGAACGCTTTGAGAATTTGTAATGGTTGCAATCTGACACATCAAAGGTATCGCATCATTCCAGGCTGCGGGCCTGGCATAGTGGCCCAACGATGATCCAGAGCAGATAGGCATTAAGAAGGTTGAATCTCCCGTAAGCCACGGCCCCGTATTTCGATAGAGTCGAGTCTATGTTCTGAGTCAAAAGTAACCATGAAGTAGAAGCAGTTAAGAAACTAAAGCAAAACTCAGTATCCGATGAAAAAGCTACTAATCCAAATATAGTCTAGTTCCTTATTTGGTGATATTCTCCGTCATGTGATCTGTCGGTATAGTCTTGGCACGCTAACCCCCTTTTGGACGTTAAAGTGATGTCGTCGCGCCGCGTCTTTGGAAGGCGCGTACGAGCAAAGAGCTTTTGCATATCAGTTCAAGCTCTTACACCTCCAACAACCACCACTTTTGCTTCATTGATTTGTCATTAAACATTGTATTAGAGTGAGGGCGATCTATCAGTACAGACTTGGACAGTCCTCTTGGAATTACACAACAATTTTGAGTCGCTGCATCGGCGCACCTCCAATATGTGAGCTCATTATTTTTCTGTTGACCCGTTGATTCTTGAAGCTAATATGTTCTCAAGGGAAAGCTTCGATAATATCTACCTCGACCTGTCCAAACAGTCTGGGAAATGCAAACTTGCAGAAAGTGGGATGGGATGGCGACCATCAGGCGGTGGAGATACATTCACTTTGGATAGCAGCAACATTGGAGCTGCGCAATGGAGTCGAGCCGCCAAAGGATTTGAGCTGAAAATTTTATCGCGGACTTCAGGTGTCATCCAACTGGATGGATTTGACCAAGAGGTATCTCAGTCCTGCATTTCACATTTTGATCTTGTTACTAAATCTTCACCTCTCATGCAGGACTTTGAGCGATTGAGTAGAGCCTTCAAAGTTTGGTACGGTGTCGCCATCGAACAACGAGAACATGCTATCCGAGGCTGGAACTGGGGAAAAGCAGAATTCACTAAAGCCGAACTCGCCTTCAACGTCCAAAATCGTCCCGCATTTGAAATTCCTTACTCTGAGATTTCGAACACAAACCTGGCGGGTAAGAACGAAGTCGCCGTCGAGTTCGCTTTACCAGCAGACGAAAAGGCAAATGGCCATATCGAGGGAAGCACAAAAAACCGCGGCCGGAAAGCTGCAGCTGGTCCTGATGAGCTAGTTGAGATGCGATTCTACATTCCTGGTACTGCACTTAAAAAGGAGAAGGCTGAAGGCGACGGTGCTAAAAAAGAAGGAAGCGAGGAAGAGGGCGAAGAGGAGGCCGAGGAACAGAATGCTGCTAACCTCTTCTACGAGACACTTATGGATAAGGCCGAGATAGGAGATGTTGCAGGAGATACATTCGCCACCTTCTTGGATGTCCTCCATCTTACACCTAGGTATGCAGTTGTTATTTCATGTGGGCTAGTGATGCGTACTAATAACTATGTCGTACAGAGGTCGATTCGATATCGATATGTATGAGGCGTCATTCCGTTTGCGCGGTAAGACCTACGACTACAAGATTCAGTACTCCTCGATAAAGAAGTTCTTCTTGCTGCCCAAGAACGACGAAATGCACACTTTGATTGTTCTTGGTCTGGATCCCCCTCTTCGACAGGGTCAAACAAGATATCCTTTCTTGGTTATGCAATTGAAACTTGACGAAGAAGTTAGCATAGAGTTGAACATGACAGAGTAAGTACTTGCAGCCTACAGTGAGCTAAGATCACTATTCTTAAAATCTTCTACAGGGAACTTTTGCGGGAGCGCTACAAAGACAAACTCGAACCGCGATATGAGGAACCAATTCACCAAGTCATCACAAAGATCTTCCGCGGCTTGTCCGGAAAGAAAGTCATCATGCCATCGAAGGACTTTGTCAGCCATCACGGCCACAGCGGAGTTAAGTGCTCGATTAAAGCAAACGAGGGACTTTTGTATTTTCTGGATAAGAGTCTCATGTTTGTCCCTAAGCCGGCGACGTACGTCCAGATCGAGAACATCTCGGTGGTCACCATGTCCCGTGTCGGTGGAGCGATCTCTGCCAGCAGGACGTTTGATATCACAGTCAGTCTGAAGGGAGGACTGGGAGAACATCAATTCAGCAATATCAATCGGTATGCATTCTACGCCCCTTTATTACTAAAGTCGCTTTTTTTCTAATCAATCTCGTCTATACAGTGAGGAACAACAGCCGCTCGAGGAATTCTTCAAAGCGAAGAACATCCGAATCAAGAATGAAATGGTTGACGACGTAAGAATTCCCCCTCCCCCCAATATTATTTGACATACCTAACATTTCGATAGTCGGCCGCACTTATCAAAGCAGCGCTTGAAAACGACGACCTGTCCACTGACGAGGATGTCCGTCCTGACCGTGGCTCCGCCGACGAAGACGAGGAGTCTGTCGATGAAGACTTCCATGCTGACTCCGACTCCGACGTCGCCGAAGAATATGACTCTGCACACGAAAGTAGCGGTAGCGGAAGTGGCAGCGATGCTGAAATGGATGATCCAGATGAAGACGATGCCGTGGATGATGAAATGGACGAAGAGGAAGAAGAGCGACCGAAGAAGAAATCGAAAGTCGGCAAATAAGCCGTTGGTCTTTTTACATATTAGACAGATGTATTCTGGCCCTACAATCGAATCAGGCCACTTCATTTCAGACCAGACCAGGTGGTGGGAAGAAAGCAGGGAGAGCCATTGTATCCTCCAACTCTTCACCACTTAGTTATCACGTCACTCATATTTTCAGACAAAAAGGTTCCCCCTAGAGTTTTGATATATCAGAAATGTTGAGATGCATAGGGTTGGCTATTTCTTCAGTTCTCGTGTGCGCATTTTACTTTCTTCTTTACCAAATCGTTTGGTTATGATGACACAACCCATTCTGCATATCGATCAGAAAAAGTGCGTTCTATAATCTTCATTCACTCTAATCCAACTCTTGGATGGAACTATTTACGAACCTGGCCTGTGGAGTACCTACTTCGAGGTATTTGATCCATGGATGATGGTCCCATATCAAATTAAGCCCTAACTACCTTCTCACCTCGCATGTCATCCACCCACCAAATGATTAACTTAAAGAATCACGGTCGACGAAGGATTTGCCAATTTGGGAACCTTTAAGCAGCCATCAAGAGAGCTTTGTAGATTTGAAAGCTTAGAGAGTAAGGAATGTAACACGTGGCAGGCTTCGGGGGCTGACTGCCTTCTTTATCTCGCTTCGATCTCCTGGGCAGCCGCACTGCCATGCCACTGCCTCGCGGTGAATGCAGTCACAATTTGACGCATTGGCTTGTTCCTTTTTCTTGAAACGAAGGATGAATTACACAGATACCACCAGTAATAAGCCAATCGTATTACAAATACGTACCTAGGTGGCGCTTCACCTAGGAACATAGGCCAGAGCCGCCAAATGTAGCTACTAATCATGTATTAGTAGGGCTCAATAATCAATAAGATGACGGACTAAACCAATCAATCAGATTTAGATATGGTGACATTGAATTAGGTTGCTATCAAGTAGGTATAGTATCTCCAGGACACGAACAAGAAGAGCAAAACAAGACGAGTATCCGCAAATGTTGGTATCTGGAAAAGGAGAAACAAGAAACAAAAGTTGAGAAAAATTGAAATAAACGCGTGAGATCGCTCATAGCAGCCACCACCACCATGCAAACATGAAGAATCGGACCGCGAGGTCCATGATGCGTCTTATATGGTTTCAATTCATATAAAACTCCCAGAAAATGTCATATTAAGGGAAACCAAGTTTGTATTATATCCGGCGACCGAAGAAAGTGCTGAAAAAGTCATAATCATCATCATGAATCACCCGTCATTCATAATATTAAGTATAGTTGTACGCAGATATCGTGTCGTCAAATTCGTTGGTTTGTTGTCATGAAATATATCAAATCGTCTTTCTCGTCATGTCCGAAAGGTTACAAAAATGAAAACGCTGGATTATTGGTGTTAAGAAGGTTAAAATCGTATTATAACGTTATAGGCTGACGGTCCTCCGCTTCTCGCTCGGTTTCTGTGCGTACGCAATGAGCAATCTGAAGCCGGTGCCCCTCTTTTGGCATTCGCGTAATAACCGTCGTTCAGACCAGATGCTTTGATCGGTGGTTGGATCGGAAAGGACTGGTATCTCATAACAACGTGTGTACCACCATCGTCCCACTCGAGCAACAACCTTCGTGATCGACTCATCATTCGTAGCAGAAGGTGACGGATCTGAAAGCAAGTCACCGAGAGAAGGTTCTGTCTCATCTGACGGTGTCCTCGCATGAGGTTGTGATGAGCTTGTTGTGAGAGATGGTTGTGAGGAGAGACCCGTCCCTGCGCTGGGAAGATCGGACAAGGTATTGTTGGAGTTGGAAGACGCCGTGGATCCTCCAATCATCCCCGCAACTGGAATACTGACCATACATCTATTCAAATTATCATAGCCACAAATTCCCAACAGTCTCTGAATGTTATCGCTTGCAGGTTTGAGACTGATATCTGGATCTGCGATGTAGATTTTCTCCTTTAGTTTCCTCACTGCTTTCCGTGTCTTACTACCCACATTCACCAGGTCCAAATCCAAAATGCTCATTTCCAGATAGCCACCGGGACGCAATACCCTCTTGCATTCGGAAAGGATATGTCTCTGCCTATCCTCAGAAGACGCCGCAGGAAATCTGAGAACGCAAGCCGAGAAAAAACCCTTCGAGAATGGAAATGCAGTACGGTCACCAGTATGATGAACAAGATGGTGGTTAGCTGGCGGCTTCCATGCATCAGGATGAGGCGAGGAGGAAGATGATCCAGATCGAATGCTCATATTGTAAATGTTTGTGTTAGGATATGTCAGTGCACAATAGTAAGACCAATCGTCATTGCCCAGCCCATCAAGAATCAAGATGCTTTCTGATTCGCTCTTCTGAACGCGGTTATGAGCGGGACTGAAAAGAACACGACCAAAAGAAAGCCACTTGCTAGTCATAAGAGAGGCAGATCTGAGATTAGTCTGTGCCGCTGCTCCCTCCCGCATTCTTTCGGCCATGTCAAACAACATCGTATTTCGCCGACGAGTTGTCTCAAAGTCAGGTGTATTGGTTGGAGTAGGCGACCGAAGCTCTTCAGGCTGTGGTTGGTTGTCTTCCTCCGTGGGCTTGGCAGGACTGTCCGGTGGGATAAAATCAGAGAGGCTTTTGTTTCGTTCTGAGTAACCAGCAATGAGCTCACTGTAAGAGACCTGAGGCGATGGGGATATAGAAGAGTGTAATGCAGCAGCAATCTTAGACCGCCGTAGGCGTACTGATGCGTCGCTTGACCGATCAGGCGATGTAGCATCTGCAATAGCAAGACTGGGCGTGTCAGAAGCAGTAGAAACCCGTGGAGTGGCATCTGAAGCACTGATCTCCGCTTGCAAAGTCTTGCTCGCCTTCTTGGCCAATTCGAATGATCCTAGCTTCTTGGGTTCTGACACTGTATTTTTATTAGGCGTCAACATGGTATCCAAAAGATCATCGTATTCGGCCCATATGTCCTCTTCATCCACACCGGTATTGGGTTTTCCCATGGCAGCTACAGTTGCAAGAATGGAATCCCCTTCAGATGTTGAGCTGGAGACTTCGGATTGCTTTTGAGGAGAAAATTGCAAGAACTCATTGGTTGCATATGCACCTGACATGAACTTCGCACTTTCACTGATTGCCGGAGCGCTGAAAGGCCCTGATTCGTTGGGTACTGTGTAGAATGGTCCCTGTAAAAGAGGATCTGTCTCGATATTAAGCTTCGACCTGCCAAAAACATTCGGAACATTCGCCTGGGCACCAGCGGTGATCGTCAGAGAAGGTGCCTCATCACGGCTAAAGGGTCGCGAATATGACTGAGCAGGGGGTTTATGATCTCGATCTCTCCTGGAAACGACGCGCGGTATACGTCCAACTGGTGCCAATCTGCTACGCCTCTTTCCCTCCTTCTCTGGACCTTCATCCTCCTTCTGAAAGAAGACCTTTGGACTGGCTGGTCTATTCTTCGGAGGACTGGCACGCTCAGCGTTGAACTCCTTCCAGATAGCAGGGGGTGACGGAAGCAATACACTTGTCCCGTGGCGTGCAGTCAAAGACAGTTCGGAGTTGGTTTCGTCGTGGAGTTTCAAGAAAGCCTCGTCATCGCTTGGAGGAGATTCTTCCACACGATGCAATATTTCTTCCAGCGAATCCGAATCAGCATCAAGAAGCGCGTAATGAGCGACAGGTCGAGTCTTGGGAAGAGTAGCAACTTGCGCCGGAAGCTGCGTTTCAACGACTGTGTTCTTGTCAGACACCGGAGTCTTCTGCTTTGGTTCATTCCTCTGGCTCCTGTGAAAGAAGTTCCATCTCCGGCTGGGTTTTGTTGTTGAAATCTTCGTTGAACCAATGCTCTCTGATTTGGAAACCACTTTGCTGATTTGCGGCAATGCAGAAAAGTTTGAGTCTTCGCTTGATCTTGAAACTTCTTGTGTACTCGGTAATCTTTTCTTGTTGCTCACAATTTGAGCAGGTGCAGACTCATTTCGTGTTATCTTCGGTTTCATTTGCTTCATATTGCCAAGTTGAGAAGGAAGGCTGGTATCTGAACTAAACATCCTAACAGCCGGTTTGTTCTGATCGATTGATGAAATCAAAGACTCGGAGGAGTATCCTCCTGCTATAGGACCGCCATTGACAGTCGAAGAAGCAGAGGCTGATGTGACACTCATCGTACTCAAACTCTGGCCGCTCTGGGTTCGGAAAAGCTCGTCACGATCCATGCCACCTCCATTGATGATAACAGGTTCTAGCCGTTCACGAAGAAAGTCATCAATACCTGGTTCTTGGCGATTGTAGCCCTTGTTGGCGGAAATTGATGTGACATCGCTAGAACTCGTAGACCGTGCTCTGACATCGTTGCTGTTGCCACTGATGCTCGGTTTGCGTCCTCGATGAGCATACTTGCCATAACCTTCATGGCCAGTACCAGCCGTCGGTCCCTTGCGAGACGTCTTTTCTGCTGTACTTGGCTTAGACGAAGTCAGTTCTGCTTTGGATTTCTTGCTGAATAGACTGAACTTGTTCGGTGAAGTTGCGTTGGCTGACCCCTTAGACTCTTTAGGGACCTTGACCAGTGTCCGTGGTGCTTTCCGTGGGATCTGAGGCGTGGTGTCACTGCGAGAGGGGATACGGCTCGAGGCATTAGATTGAAGTGATTCCACAGAAGTCGCAGCTGATCGAACAGGAATCACACGCAACAGCTCTGGGGAGCTCACTTTGTCTGCCGATGCTCGACGTGTGTGGCCGGGATTTGTCCGCAGGCCAGGTAAATTGCTCCGGATTACTGGAGAAACAGCTTGTTCCAACTTATCAGTCCCATCACGGCTCGGCCGTCGAGGTCTGATTGGAGCATTGCTTCCCAAGTTAGGTGATGCTAATAAGGTATTTTTCGAAGCTGGTGGGTTAGGAATGTCATGCTGTTGTTCGTCAACGCTATTGCTTTGCGTTGTTTGAGAGGGTTGCGATTGTTCAAATGAAGCTATTGGCGTAGGTGCCAATGCCTCGTTGGTCCTTTCCGCTGAAGCAATCTCAGCAAGTGCAGATCTTGCATAATCATCAGTAGCTATCGGACCAAGCATGGTAGGTTCTTCAGAGTCTATCTGCGATACAGGTGGTGTGGTTGTCATTCGGAGGCCGGCTGTCTGACGTAGTTGAACGGGACTCTGCTGCTTGAACCTGTAATTTGTTGGTTGAGTGATGCCGGGTGAATACGATGAGAGAGAGGTTGGAGTAGACCCTCGACTACTCCACATACCGGGGGACCCTGAGTAGCGAGTCGAAGGGCTGCTTGCCGACGGAAAAATAGGAGTTGGAGGAGGAAGGTTGCTGGTGTTGATCACAGTGCGGAGTCCAATGAATTCTTTGGGTATTTGTTGAACTTGTCCGTTTTCTGTTGACTTGACCACGTTCGTTCGCGGCAATTTCGTGGCAATAGTAGAAGTATTTTGATAACGTGCCACATCTCGGACAGGAGGATTGGGTTCGTGCTCTGGCCGAACCACAGCTTGAGGCGGAGCTTTCGTGGTTGAAACATCCTTGACGTTGGTGTTGACAGTCGGTCGTGCAATCGTCGTTCCGTCATCCGGTTCTTCTCTCTTAAAGTTTGCTTTTCTGCGAAGAACATTCCGTGGACGATCATTGATGCTTCTCGATCCATCCATTGCGGGAACAACAGGGTCCCTCGTTTTCGCTTTGGCGTTATTAGACGACAGTTGTGACAGACCCAAGCGAGTAGTAGGTGTTGGAGGTGCCGAAGGACGCCTACGAGACGTACTAACGCCAGTCAGTCGTGGTAGCCCCGACGGACGTACAACATCGTCGCTAGAGAACGATCTTGATGGTTTCGACATCGGTCGAGTCTTTGGCTGGTCTTCTTCTAGGGCGGTTGGTCGAGGTCCCATGCGGTTTTCAGATGGTAATGTCGCTGATGTTGGAAGGTGAGATCTAGAAGACGTATATCCAAAATAACCTATAGCTTGGGAACCGTTATGTGGCGAACTTACAACATCGTCGATTGGTCTTGATTCGGGCAATCTCCCTCCCCGAATGCGATCTGTTCTGTATGAAGACATTATGCGACGATATCCGGAATTCCAGCGCCAAGCGAGGTGACCCCATTGATGTCGATTTCGATATTAATGACTGATTTGTTTCGTTCTCATCACGGCGATTCAAATTCCGTGCATATGAACTATGAAGTTCACGATAGCCTTTAATGGTATAGATGCGGACGGAGTTGAGATGAGTAGTAACACCGGACTTTTATGGAATGTCGTCTATAAATATGGTTCCTTGACCGCTCAAAAATTATTTTAAGGCTCAACCTTCACTATGTAATCATCAGTACTGCTCTTCATGTATTTGTATATCAGAGCAGGGCATACAGTTGTTCCTGCAGACTCCGCCACACTTTCGGAGCGGCCTACTCTCCACATTAGCGAGTCGTGGCTAGTGCAGGATGCAGATGAGGCGAGGCCGGTACATAGAACAAGGCAAATGGGTTGACACGTCACTCGAGCTCAGCTTAGTATGTAAAAATCTTATTGTTACTCAGCAAAAAATGTCTTCTGAGTCGGCGTATAGTTCGAGTCGAAAAATAGGTCGATGTTAAGAAAAAAATGAAAAAGATTTTTCCCACACGCGTGGGCTGCCTGACCCCAGGGTTATATTGGCTTTGTACAGGGATTATGTCTTCGGAACAATCGAACCAGGTAAACCGGAAGTGGCGCTCCATGAGCATGCAGAGAAAAACACCTGAAAGAATAATTTGAGCGATCGACGGGGTTTCCTATCAAGTTAAAAGGATGCGCATATGCGTCCGTCCTGAGTAGCTTTCTCATAGGTTGTCAAACAAGCTAAGACCTCTTCTACCAACGAGTCATCATCACCGAAAGCGGCGCGCATCTTGGACCGTGAGCAATGGGCGGTTAAAATACCACGAGTACGTTCTCTCACAGGCTGCAGGCCAGAACGAAAGTTATAGACAGTGCTCGTCGGTTGGATTGGTTCGTCCGTACAAATTAGAGGATTTCGAACGGCCATGCCCCGCTCTACTTGAACTTAGAGTGTCTTGTTGGAGGGATGTGGGAAACGGGACCAGAAGCGAAGTTAGCGTAGCGGGCCGTCGAGAGAATCCGCGAGCAAAATCAAAAATTTTTGACAGGGATCCAGGATGTGATAGGAGCGCGATAAGTGGCGCTGTGAAGAGGAGTGGAAAGACCAAGTTCCGTGCACGGCGTCGGTGGAAAACGATTCAACATATCAACTGTCGAGTGAGGAGTGAAATTGGTGATTAGTGCGATGCATGGATTTTAGTGTATTTAGTTGCATGCTGCTAAGAATAGTCCCAACAGCACGTTACTGGTATTCGACCAACAAGGCAGAAATACCATCTGGCATCTACAAGATGAAGTCGTGATGTTTAGCTGTCCTCGAAGTAAAAGGAAAGTCAGGTGATGCTCCTTCCTCTTCAATCATGTGCGATCACGAGACTCCGAGATTTGCATTTAGTCCAGCATCAAAAGAGAATCTGCCTCGTGGTACTCCGTATGCAGTTACAGTGCGACCGATTCATGCAACGAGTCGGCAACTGAATCTAGAAATCGGTCCCGCTTTTGACGGGTGCTTTGATCAATATGGGTTATATGATAAGTCGAGTCAATATATTGCCCGTTACCTAATACTCCAGGAACTTCTTGAACTCAACTGTCAAAATGTTGATATCGCGAATACACGGCCTCGTCTACCAACATCCTGAACCCACGGATCGTCCTCATTCGCCCATCAATTTTCTGGTTCTGGTTGTCACCAATTTCGAGCCGAACCTTTTTCTGTGACCCATTCTTTTCTTCCCATTGTCTTATCACGAATAACGACGTGATGACTTCCCCCGTCGAAAACAGTCCAAAAGACTCAAAAATTTCACCAAGCGTCCTCAGGCGGCGATTGGCTATCTTTAGGCCAGTCAGATCGTGAAATCGGCGTATGCAAATCTGATTTGGTCCCTAACGTGCATTAGCGTGGGCAGGGCCAGGCTGAGCCTCGCATAACTCTGATATCAGGATCCACTTGCAATTGATTAGAGAAATAGTACGTCTTACGCAGCACCACATTCGGATATTGTACGTACTACCCCTATCGTACTGTAGTACATATTACGGAGAAAATAAAAGGGACCAGGAACCGAACAACATAAATGGGTTAAATGTCCGATGCACAATTTCGGCTTGAAGGGTATCAAGAGTTTGGATAGGCTTCTTTCAACAATGCGGACTCGGAGCAAATAATAATACTAGCTACGCGGTATTTATATTTCCCTTTATGATACTTTACTACTACTAGATGTTGCCACTAGGCCGAGAGTAGTTGCACGGGGCGATTGAGGCGATCTGGCTCAAGTAGACTCAAGCGCCACATTATTTCATTGGCGTATATTCTCCGGAATATCAATATACAAGAGAAAAGAGGGTGTGGAGGAAATGTGATAGTGGAAAGTCCACCGCATTCAATGAAAGTCACCTGATCTGCTGCCATCCAATCGAGGACCAGAAGGTGGCATATTCAGATCACACAACATAGATGATATTGCATGAACTTGCCCTTAAAGAGATGGGCAAATCGTCGCACTGAAAAACTCAGCTTATATCACATAGACACACCTCCATGAACGCCTAGAAACTATATCGATCGAAACATTAGAATACAAGCATAGAAGAATACAACCGTTCCTTTCTCATGTTTTTGACTTGAGAATCATTCTGATTTTTGCCGGAATAGATCATCATCCCTGTAGTAGCGCCATCCATCACGCAGCTGTAGCGAACCGGTTCTTCCTGGCTTCCGCCGCAGCTCTATCCTTTTCACTAAACACGGGCTTAGGTGCGTTGCTTCGACCAGTTGGATTATTGCCCTTGCGGTTGTTATTCTGGTGACGATTACGTCCACCATTGTTCCGTCGCTTGCCTCCCCTTCCACCCTGATCGTCTCCTCGACCGCGCTTCCGTGCTCGCTCGTTAGGAAGAGCTTGGTCCAAACGGTTGATACCCACATCCGAATCGTTCGAGGCTCCTGTTCCGAATCGCTTCGCTCGTTCAAGAATCTTCTCTGCCTCCGTCGTCTCTGATCCAGTTTCTGCAACGATGCCAAACTTCTCCGCGCGAGCTTTGCGTTTCCTCAATTCTTCCTCCACCTCTGTTGGCTGAAGTCCGATACTGTAGTCGACCGCGGGCTTCTCCTCTGCCGCAGGTTGTTCCTGAGGGGCCGACTCAACGTGCAAATCGCTCGTCTTTGCTGGATCTTCCCCGAGTGTCTGATTAGGGACAGCCACGGGATTAGGCACTTGACCCTGACCACCGGCAGCGATAGTAGCGGCGCCAGCTTCCGTCGAAGCTTCCGTGCTTTCTTTCAACGGTGCTTCGGTAGCAGGCGCTTCATCGTCCCAGTCGATGATATCTTCGGCGGTAGCATCGGGTTTGGTTTCGGTTGGCTTGGTTTCACTGGAGGATTTATCGGCTTCTTGAAGACGAGCAATGAGCTCAGCCTTCTTACCGTTGGCTGTCAAACCCCGGCTTTTGAGTATTTCTTGTAGCTGTGCGACAGTCTTCTTTTCGTATTCGGATGCCATTGTGAGTGTTTGAAGATTGTTGTTATCAGGCAAAAAAATGGTGAGTTCAAAGTTGAAGTGACGTCGTCTTGCGCGCAAGGGGCGATAAATGCGACCGAGGGGCGCTAAAGAGTGTGAAGCTTTAGCAATAGATGGACATAGAAAGTAAAAGATAGCTTAGGAGATTTGTAAGAATATGAAGATGGAATGTAAATCAGAGGGAAGATTAAAGAATGAAAGCAATCGCTTAGACAAGGGGTTGTTTTGACACTGAAAGCCTCAAGGCACGAGTCGCTACTTGACTAGTTGATATCATGTCACGTGCAATCGGCCAATCAGATGTTTTGGATTTTCATTCAGGTCCGCTAGCCCTATTTCGGTAACTCACCAAAATAGCCCTAATTTCTCAATCAACTTGCAATAGGGACCAGTCCGAACGATACTTCTTTCGCAGTTGTAGGTCCCTAGACATAAAATGTCTTCGATTGTGTATTACTAAATATGACAAAAAGCCATCAGCAGTAAGCGGTGATTGAAATAGAAGCAATACCACCTCAATATTGCTCTTTTCATGGTGAGGTGAATAAAGAGAGTATCGTTACTGTACAGATGATAGGCTACATACTATGAAGAAAATATTTGAACTAATATCTATTGATGATTAGCGAAAGAAAGTAGAAATCTTCCCGAGAAGCCTGGAGAATTCAAAGGAAATTATGGATGAGCATGTGCTCAATGACTATTCCGCCTCAATGGCAATTCTGATGACTATTACGATCATTTTTAAGACATAGAATTGAGTAATAACTTGTATTATGTGCCAATTATCTGATAAAAATGCGGAATTTTTGCTTGTACAACCTACTAGGGGGTTGTCATATTCCAGTGAGCTCCCGGAGATTTATCAGGAGGAATTACATAGAAGACTATATTTATTTAATCCCCTCACTGGGTAGAATATTCTAATTTCTAACTTACTAAGTAAAATATTTCTTCTTTCCTTTCAAATGTTCATAGGTGCCTGTTCACTCACTGACTGTCTTCAACAAACTGCAAATGTAGCAACAATCAGATGAACTTGTAACCCAGGCCTTCAAATAGCCTGTGACATCTGAGTCAAGAATCTACTGAATTGCCATTTAATATGTATATCGAGACCAGATCAAGGAACCGTGACTGACTCTGATCAGTGACTCTAATATGACTTTTTCATAGGTATTTAAGGTCGTCAATATCCTCTCTCTTAAAGTCGAATTTTGCTACTGTGTATCTTTCTTACTGTGCTACAGATAACTTCCATAATCCATATACTCCTTATAATTTTGAGAACGATCAACAAATACCTAGGCACTGGCCTACTCACCATGGCTGGCCATAGAGCTGTTGACGATACGATATCGGCATCATTTTTCCATATCGTCTATCGTCATCGTCTAAACAAGGATCTGCCGATATCGTATTGTCAATCGGCATCGTCGAATCCCATGTGTGCCGATACGATATCGTCAATATCGTCAAAATTATCACATCACCGATACTCAAAGTGGCCTATGCGAGTTGACAGTGGCCCACCTAGCCATAAGTCTTATTAATAATCAGGACTCTGTTAAAAGGTGACAATCTTTGTCCCTGAGGAGTAAAGAGAATCTGCCGCTGGTACATGCGCTGAGTCTCTTTGTTCGACACGTGCCTCGCTCATCACGCCCGATGTCATTTCGAGTAGATAGATCCCTCTTACTTTGCTTCTTATACTTAGTGTTTTGTTGAGCAGAAACCAGTACTATTATATGTTTTACCTGGTCCGTCAACTTACCAAGATCCCAAAATTATCTTTGTTCAAAATCGACTATCAACTATCGGCAATCGAATCTTATACCAGGTACTCCGAAACTCCTCCAGTCGGTGTTATAGATACCACAGGCGACAATTGGCTATGAAATTGGTGGCGAATGCACAAGGATGAGTATCGGCAGATAGCAGCAGTAGCCAGGGATTACCTGTCAATACCTGCCTCTGAAGTTGCTGTTTGAGAGGGTTTTTAGCGCAGCAAAGGGTCTCTTAGGTATCCAGAGGTATTCGCTGAAGGGAGATACTATAAGAATGCCGATGTTGATTCATGATGAGTTCAAACGGTAGTGGTCAAGGGCAGCGTGAGTACTTCAGCATATTGCACTCCGTGCAGATAATCTTCGTTTCAGCCTGGTTGTACATGATGTGCATGTATATGTATAGTGATTTGCGAATATTTTAACGTTGTATTAGCAAGGCAGTGGTACCGATAGAGATGCTACTTAAAGAGTCGTATATTCGACAGAGTAATTATTGACGATATCGTATCGGCAAACTCAGGTGTTGACGATAAAAATCGTCAAATTAAAGTCTGCCGATATCGTCATATTGGCATTATTGTCAACAGTCCTAGCTGGCCAGAGAAAACTCGTCGAGAACGGCCTATCTAATGAGCAATGGGATGCGTTGGACAAGGGGTGGGGAAATGGGATCGTTAAGGGCTTGAGCAGACTCGACAATTTACGGGGAATTTCTTGTAGATACAGACATAATAGACCATAATCCTGCAATAAGAAACTCCAGGCTGGAACTTGTCGACGTCCGATTTGGTCGTATTTCAGGCATCGCTGACGGAAAGCCTTGTGTTTTTCTCATATTGAAACACCAAAAAGATCCCAAAGACCAAATCAAAGAGGGTCCTTTATTTAGAGTTTCGGTCAAATTGGAGCAGTTTTTAGAAGGACCAGAACTGAGGGTTATATCTATCATAAAAATAGAAGGGCGTGTTCCTGTTCGCGCAATCAGTGAACTTGGGTCAGGCACTTATGCACTAGTCGTGATAAGTACTGAGCCAAAAAAAAAAATGGACTGGACTCCAACAAAAGATGTGTGAAGACAAAATGGAAGCTATTGACTGTGTGGTTGTTGAATTAAAGGATGACATATTAACAATGACACACACACACCTGCATGGCAGTTGGAAGGCAAGATGTAAGGAACTGACAACGAGAAGAAATCTGATCCTGATAACTAGCTGAGAAACTAGAAGCAAGGATAGAAAATAATAGGACTGCTGATTCCCAGGACAAATCGATGGGCAGGATGAACTCCTTATAAGCTTCATCCTGCCAGCATGGGTTTTCCTAATCAGTACAGCAGTGATATCTAAACATAGCAAACAAAGCACCTTTCAATGTACAAAGATGTGCAAAGGAAACAATGAGATGCGTAAAGGAAATGATGCTAATCATAGAAACATGATATCCTCTGGAGAACTAAGAAAAGAACAGTGTGCTTTAATCGGCCAGGATTTCACCAACTATGAGGTTAAATCTGCTGACCAATGAGAAGCAAGAGAATCTAATGTCAGGTTCAGAGCGAGAGCAAACCCTGACACAAGAGCTGTTATACTAAACCCAAAGAATGTGAATCCAGATAAGACTTAATTTTATTTTCTGGCTGTATATCATATTTGGGCCTTTTATTTTAGTTTTGGGTGTAGTGATACTTAAGGGCAGAATGCCACTTTTTACAAGGCAAAGATGAATTTGATGCCTACATACACACACTAAATAATAATTCCACGCACATTGATATCAAAATTTAGTATGACCACCACCTGCCTCAATAATTGCACGGCACCTTTCAGGCATAGATTCCAGTAGATCTTGCAGAAAATCACCTGGAACAGCATCCCAGCTTCTCCAAGGGCTATCCTAAGCTCTGAGAGTGTCATCTTTTCAGGGAAATTAACCTGAAAATAAATCTTCATCCAATTCCACACCATATCAATTAGATTGAGATCAGGAGAGAAAGGTGGCCATCTAACGATATGGACTCCACCTTTCTGAAGCTCTGGTATAGTAGATTGAGCACCATGGCCTGGAGCACCATCCTGTACTAGTTGAAGATAAGGATAATGATGGGTATACTCTGTTATAAGAAGAACTATATGTTGAATATAGCCTTGGGCATTGATTGTACCCCATTGCTTCTCCAAGAATACTATAGGGCCTTTAGTAGTCCCATAAAATGAGCCCCAAAACATCCATCCTATCTTATGTGGGCGCCGCTCAATAACACAGTCTTCATGGAAAACCTAATCCTTTCGGCGAGTAACCCACGTACGTGTATGGCGACCTGGATATACCCATATTTCATCGGACCATAGTATAGCTTCCCATTGACTAGGAGACCAGCTAAGGTGTCCCTGTGCCCAGGGAAGTCGTTTCCATTTATTCTCAGGGAATAGTGGTGGTTTTCTTCGAGCAATGTATCTTTGAGAGCCTTTCGAAAGTAAGGCTGATCGGATTGCCCATTCAGAATAGCCTAGATCAAGATGTAAGGCTAATTCTCTGTAAGTTAGGTATCTTGCATACCGCGATGAGGTGAAAAATCTAATCGGATTGTCAATTTCCTCATCCTTCATTACCAAGGGTCGGCCGGATCTTTTAGAGGGAGTAGGGTGACCAGCCTGACAGACTAGTTGGACCTGACATATAGAGACCCCTAGGTGTTTTGCAATATTTGCATATTTCATATTTACTGAGCGCAGAGTTAAAATCTGTAGGCGCTCATCTCTAGTTAGCTGAAAATGAGGAGGTGTAGAAGGAGCCATATTGCTACACAGACATGTAATAGATTGATGTTGATGGTCTATATCCCCAAATGATAATGCCATGGAGTTCATCCTATTTCTACGTAGTTTGGTGACCCATCATACTAACGTTACTTACCCAAGATACCATAGAAAATCAATAAGGCAAGCGAGAAAGAGCGGCTGAGGAACTGAGATAAGAGCGGGGCCCCGGCGCACGCCTCCAGTCTTGGTAAGGTTTAAATGAGATTTTGTTCCGATTTCCGAGTGTGGAGCCGTCATGCGGGATAGTGGATACTGTGGATACATTCGTGAAACTCAACATCTCTCTCATCTAAGAAAAAAGTCTATGATAGTGTCAGACAGCACAATATCAACCTGTCCTACTGCATATTACCTATTAAACTTCAGACTTTCCGAAGTCTAGCGCAAATGGATACAGAGTCGCAACCACTTCCAGCTGACAACGGGCAAAATTCTATCGCGAAGCGCACGGCTTCCGAAGAAGAGGATGCCACTCATGAGGCAAAGCGAATCAAAAGCCTTCATAATGTATCGACAGAACCGGCTGTTAAACTTTCACCTGTTATCCGGAGGGTTCCTTTTCTAGAGAAGGTATGCTACGACCTTTGAATGTTAGAAAATGTTCTAACTGTTCGAAAGCCTGCAGTTTTGGAAGAACGAAACGGCGAGATCGAATTCCGAGTCGTCAACAACAATAGCTCCAGAGAGAGTACAATCATCCTTACAGGTCTCAAATGCCTGTTTCAAAAACAGCTTCCAAAAATGCCCAAAGATTACATTGCACGTCTCGTCTACGATCGCGCTCATTTATCTATGGCCATTGTCAAAAAGCCTTTGGAGGTCATTGGCGGAATAGCATATCACGAATTTCGGGATCGCAAGTTTGCCGAAATCGTTTTCTGCGCGGTCTCATCTGATCAGCAGGTGAAAGGATATGGATCCCACCTGATGAATCATTTAAAGGATTATGTCAAAGCTACTTCCCCAGTGATGCATTTTCTAACATACGCGGACAATTATGCAACCGGTTATTTTCAGAAACAAGGGTTTACCAAAGAGATTACTCTTGACAAGTCGATTTGATGGGGTATATCAAGGATTACGAAGGAGGAACACTTATGCAATGCACTATGCTGTCCCGGATACGGTATCTTGAAGCAGGCCGTATGCTTCTTAAGCAGAAGGAAGCTGTTCAGGCTAAAATGCGTCTTTTGAGCAAAAGCCACACAGTCCATCCACCGCCTCAGCAACGGGCCAACGGACCCGTGACTCCAATCGATCCACTCTCTATTCCTGCCATTCGGGCAACTGGCTGGTCACCAGAAATGGATGCATTAGCGCGTGAGCCACGCCACGGGCCTCATTTTAACGAGCTTCGTCGTTTTTTGAATCACATTCAAAACCACAAACAAGCATGGCCTTTCCTACGCCCGGTTAATAAGGACGAAGTCCCTGATTACTACAATGTCATTGAATCGCCAATGGATTTGTCGACTATAGAAGAAAGGTTGGAACGTGACCAGTATGCTGCGCCGAAAGGCCTTATCGACGATCTCAAATTGATTTTTAGTAATTGTCGGCGGTATAACGATGCCACAACAGTATATGCCAAGTGTGCAGCCAGGCTAGAAAAGTACGTGTGGAGTCTTATCAAGGAGATTCCCGAATGGTTTAACCTACTTGAGGAATAAATGGTGCTAGTCCATCTCATTCTCTAGAATTAGGTTCTCTTTTGAATGGAACGATAACCTTGCATGTCTAGAGTTAGTATTGGATGACTGAGTTTAAGGCGTCATGCAAGGTGCGGGGTGACATAGGGGAGGTCCTCTTATCTGTACAGCAATTCTCTTTCTTAAGGCTATACTGGTTGTCCAATAGCACGGTCATGGGTGAAGGATAGATTGCCGTGCTACCAGCTTGCACGAATATCCTACTCGGCTATTCTAGGCTAAGCTAAGTTACACCGGTCTTCCTACGTTCATTCCTTGCGAATTCGGTCATCTGGGAATATTTAGTGGATAGCCGAGTATCAACTGACGCTTCCAATGCCACAAACCGATTTGATTGGAGTCGTGAGCTGGCGGTATCAGCGGATAGTCAGACAGTTGGCCATCAAGCAATTCTTGCCGGCAAGGAACTTATTAGGGGATACACGCTCAATTCCAAGGCTAGTCGAGATGCGCATGGAAGGTGGCGTGGCTTCTGGGCGATCCTGAGTAAGGCTACAGAACGGTCAGCCAAGCTTCTTGACGGGCTAGAACTGTTGCATACCCAATTATTTCCCATTTAATCTGACGGTTAGTTATATATCATCAACATCTACTCCTCTGTTTCAAAATAACGCAAATATCGCATGTTTCGGGATATGATTTGAACATCTAGTGATACGAAACTTAACCTCGACTTCGATTATACTAGAAAAGAAGAAAAGACGGCGGTAGTCACCAGCGTAGTAATCCAATATCAAGACTTGGCATTGGTATTCCATGTCGGCGTTCTTCTGCGGCCTGTATTAACATATTAGAGGCTAGGCTTAATAGGCATTGATTGATTGAAAGGAAGTCTGAGATTCGAGGATGGGACAGGTGAATGGATAAATGAAAATAGCAATTCCTCGACAACCATGTAGTCTTACTTACAATCTTCACAATTTTGACCATTTTAGGTCTGTTCACCGCAAACTTTGCATGTATCTGTTTGTCTCAGACAACTTAGCAAATTCCTTTCTCCAAGACTCTATGCCATATGCCATATGTCATGGATCTGGTTTCTGATATCGGATACTTACGGTTGGGGCAGAAATATCTTCCAGATTTAGCATTGGGACATGAAATAATAGAGCATTTGCCTAAAGATTATGTATTGGTTAGCTTTCTCCAATATGAGCCGGAACTGATGTGCCTTTCACCCGACTAAGTCAACTTCTACGAGTTGCAGAAGGTATAATTTCCATTCAGATCACCACCACAGTTGCTGCAAGCAAAAGAAAGGATGATTCATAGTTCCTACTAAATTGCATGTAATGTTTCAGAGCCTTACGCATGATGATGAGCTTGACCGAAGGAAATAGTTCAAAATATATAGATAGATAAAGAGTGTCTTTTTCATCTTCATGATAGTGTACTATCTTTAAATCTGCTATCTTAATAAAAGGAATTTTTTTCCTAACACTTTATCGTTCTTTGTATCTCCTATTTCCTAGCAATTGCCTACCCGTCGCTTCACCTCCCCCCACCCTATTCGGACTACAGCCTCTTCAGGTCGCCGCCTTCTCGTGGGGGGAGGTGAAGCGACGGGTATCTAGATTTATCTTGAAGGGGAACCCGTGACATTCATAACCCTAATTCAACTTTCCAGGTCACCTATCTCCGACATGAGGGCAACCTTACCTCCCAGACTAGGTAGTTACTAAGATATATTTTTCAAAGCTACATTATTTTCCGTTCCAGTGGTAACGGATAGATCCTCCTACTTATTGGAATAAGATTTATATATTGCCAGTAATAGGCTCGAACGTGATTAACCAAACTCCGCTCTTCCTGCCCAGGTGGACCCCGAGAACTGAGGTAGTACTATTATATTGGGTACGACTCATTAACAATACTCATCCAATCCGGAGGAACAAAATTAGACATAACCGGCTGAGCTTCAGCCAACAAGCGATACCAGTCTGGTTGGTTTTCAGAAACCATAACCGGCTCCCCTTGTAGACCCTGAGTAACGTATGACTTGTATTCGTGATATATTTCCTTGAACATGCTATGCACTGCTTCTGCATTGGGCCAATAACCAGCTAATAAATTGGTGGATCGAAGTAGTCTGTTCAGATTTTCGAGGCCGTTGATGGCCACGAGGAACGACCCTACAGTGACTGCTAAGCGTATCTCATTAGCGAGCTGAATCCCAGCCGCGGTGACAGCGCTGACGGCGGTGAAGTGGCATTGACAAAGGCAGTCCAGGTCCGCCAGTTTTTCGAGAGATCTAGTAATGGTTTTAGCCGCTACAGAGCATACATCTTGACTGTTGAGTTCCGTGGAAAAGTTCCGATGGAGATGTAACAGCATGAGATTATAGTGCATTTGCAGTTGATAGTCCCACGAGCCTTCCTCGATGGACGAAGAGAATGTACCAGATTCTAGAGCCCACTGGCACAAGCGGGCATTAATACCGTGCACGTCGACCGTTCGCCGCTGAACGGGTTCATTAAGGGCTAAAATATCAAGGCCGATGTGGGCAAGATCTACCATCCGAATAATAAAGTTTGGGTACAGGCCCGGGTCGCTCGCAGAAGCTGTGTCTGTCATATCTTCGACAGATAGAGGGAGTTGATCAATGTCCTCGGCGCGAACGGCACATGGCCGTCCGGTCTCTATGGATGAAAAGACTTCACAGACAAATGCTGACCACCAGCAACGTCTATATTGTGAAGCCTCTAACGGAGGTAAAGTGGAGCTGTATCGGTGCATCCCAAGGCCACATCCAATGCGGACTGCAATCCCGCTCCAGTACCAGGGTCCACCAGTAACGGTATCGCCGTCACCCATATGACGAGTAAACAAGATTGCAGCCTGCATAAGATATGCTCGGTCTGTCTCATGACGCATGTGAAAGAGCATGCTTGCACGGCGAAAGAGAGTTCTTTTCACGGCATGTCGCGAGCTGGCGACTAAAGGGTGTGAGCAAGCGTGGGCTCCAGCTGTTAGCACCGCTTGAAATAGTAAGAGTGGTGGAGGTTTATCTTTTGATCTGTACGCTGCCAGAAACTCAGGCATAGAGACAATAGGATGGAACGGGTGAACGTGCTGGAAGTACGCATCCACCAAAGCATCACGTATCTCTAAGGATGGGAATGACGAGACCTCCGTCGCAAGATCGTGGGCTAACATACCGCTCCATGCGTCTGGTCCTGGTTTCCATCCATTTTTTGGGCGAATTGGAGGATACGGATAATGAACGACATTGTCGTTTCCGTCCAGATCGTTACCGATGTTGACACCATCTAGTATAATACTATCTAGATTGGTATGCGCTGTTCTGGTATATGGAAGCGATTGCTCTGGTGTAGCCTGACTGGTAGTTCTAGAACCGGATTCATGCATAGATGCGCGATGAAGCCTAACTAGATGAACAAGATTGGAAACAGCCGTACCGACGTAAGCGATACGGAAGCTGTTCAATGACTCGAATACGCCCCATGCTCCTGCGTTGATTCCATGCTTGAAAAAGCGAGCCAATCCACTCCGGGCAAAATTCTCTCTTTCGCCTCCCAATTCTTGTACTGTTGCACAATTGACGAGAGAAGATGGGTGAATGGGAGATGAGGCCGCTACACCCAGTATCAATGGCGTTCTTTCACTTCGCCGAAGGCTCTTTGAGCTATCACAATCTGGAATATCATCACCACGGTCATCAAGCTGAGTAGACTTTAGTAACATTGTAGTTTCAGTACAAGCAGATGAGTGCCCATCTACCTGCCGAGGGCGACCACGGCGAGCTTGCGGTGCCTGACGATTCGGTTTCGCCCATTGAGTGGTAGATCTTGAAAAGTCAGTATAAAGGTAGCCACCTTCCCAGGACTGTAGTGAAAACCATACCGGCATTCGATCTCGGACCTCTCGCAGACGGAGCATGGTCCACCAGATCTGTCGACTATGTCACACCGTACCTTTCGGTAACGACAGAGATCACAAGCCTTTCGCTGTTGTCGTTTTGAACGTCTTTGCGAGAGCGGACGTGATTGTAGTGGCCGTTCTGTAGGTGACTCCATAGCCGTTGGTAAGAAGAATTGGTTAATGGACGTTAGAAAGACATCATTCTAACTTCTTGCGAGGTAGTTTTGACGATTTGAGAATGATAACTGTCGGCTCCGACGTATCTAAATCAAGTGGGTCTAGATCCTTGGTTATCTTATCAAAACCTTAAACGCTCGGAGCCGAAAAGATAAGACGAATACATTCCCGGCTCTTGAACTTGACCGCCATCAACTCTAACATAGTAAGATGAAATCAGCGTATTCAGTGCAGTGAATTGTTGCGGAGCTACGAGAGAACAAAGCTGCGAAATCGTCCCTCTTCTCCGTCCTTCTTTGTCGGGCCATGGTACTGTCTGCTACGTCCAACAAGAGACATAATACATTTCAATTCCAGTCTAGAGTCTCATTGTCAATCGGGAAGAACTTAGCTAAAACAGAAAAAACAAAATGATAATGACAATAAATGAAGCTTCTATGCCGTGGGCAGGGTGTCAGGGCTCTCCAGGTGTCAATCGTCTTCTCGGAACCGAAAGTCGATTACTATCAGTATCAACCGACATGCAATGTGATTTCAATGAGTCCACATTATGTTTAAATTCTCCGCGAATTCCCTTCCTGATTCTACGTTCAATTTTTCAAATTATGCAGTTCAAATATCCCTGATTTTGTTGCTACTATCACAATGACTCGCATCAAAACGGTGGACTTGGCCACCACTTCTGGCGCCTACTATGCCCCGGCAACCCTTGCTCCCGCGAACACAGAAATCATGCACGTCTCCGGACAACCAGGAAGCACAAGCGGAGGCATTGTACCGGCAGACTACGAGTCCCAGATTCAGCTGGCTCTCACGAACCTCCGCAAGGTCATGATTATTGGTGGCGCGACCGTTAAGGATATTCTTAAGCTCACAATTCTCATTGTGAATTATGACAAAACACAGCGCAAACATACTCGACACATACAAAAGTTTTTGGAGGGACACCGTCCTGCAATTACACTAGTTCCTGTCACTCAGCTGGCCGCGCCCAATTGGCTGTTTGAAATTGACGCAGTCATTGCTCTCCCATCAACCTCGCCTTCAGTTCCTCTCCAATTGACCATTGATTCAGCAGAAAAGACTCTGGATGTAATCATCGTCGGTGCAGGACTTGCAGGGTTAACAGCGGCAACGGAACTGCAACGAGCCGGTCACTCTTTCATAGTTTTAGAGGCAAGAGATCGCGTAGGAGGAAAGACGTGGTCTCAAGTGCTGCCTAATGGAGAGCAAGGAGTTATCGATGTTGGCGCTGCGTGGATAAACAGCACGAACCAGAGTAGAATGTATGCGCTGGCAAAGCGGTTTGGGGCAGAGATTCTGGAGCAAAACACTACTGGAAAATGTGTGTTGCAGGATGCTGATGGGAATTGCTCTACCTTTGAATATGGGGAGCTTCCAAAGGTAGGTCGTACCCATGGTTGACTGGTAAATATGTATACTGACTCGTTGATCACAGTTCGACATCGCAATTGCCAGAGACGTTGCCCGAATTCGCGACATGGTCGAGGCAGATTGTCAGACTCTTGATCCTGCTCGACCTCAAAACGCTGAATGGGACTCGATGACCTTTGAAGCTTACTTAAGAGCCCGGGGTGCCAGTGCGGAGGCTATTGCTACTGCTACAGTATGGACTCGCGCCATGCTTGGACAAGATCCTAAAGATATCTCCGCCTTATATTTTCTAACTTACTGTCGGTCCGGTGGTGGCCTGCTCCAAATGAGATCAGACCGTCTAGGAGGTGGGCAGCATCTTAGGATCCGCCAGGGTACACAATTAATGGCCATTGGACTTTCGAAAGAACTTCCTAATGGAACTGTTGGCTTGTCGACTCCTGTCAGCTCTATTACGCAGAGCGGCATCAACTCCGATGTCGAGGTAGTGACAACAAACCAGAAGAAGTATCGTGCGCGAAAAGTGATTACTACTGTTCCTAGTCCTGTGTTGAAGACGATTTTATTCACTCCCGACTTGCCACCTTCTAAGAAATTATGGTCAGAGTCCTCGACGTATGGATATTATACGAAAGCTATGATGACATTCCGGGAGCCGTTTTGGGTTGAGAAAGGTTATTGCGGGCTCACGCAGTCATTCACTGGGCCAGCCTCCGTGATTCGAGATACCAGCAGTCTCCCGGACCAGAAATACGTTCTAACTTGTTTCATGTCCAGCGATCTCGGGCGAGCTTGGGCGGCATTATCGACTCCGGAACGTGAACAAGCCCTCATCAAACAGATTGGTCAATTATTCCAGTCCGGATTAGAAGCATCTCGTGACTTTATCAGCATGGTCACTTACGAGTGGACGTCAGATCCATACTCGGGCTGGGGCTGCCCTTGTCCTTCGCTCGCATCGGGTGTCATGGACTCTCTTGGTGGTAATGGACTTCGAGAGCCGTTTGGAAACTTGCACTTTGCTGGGACTGAAACTGCTATTAACTGGCGAGGCTATATGGAAGGGGCTGTTGAAAGTGGAGAACGTGCTGCTTCTGAAGTTATCAAGGAGTTGACTACCGTGCTCGCGCGGTTGTAGGTACAATACACAGATTAGACAGTTCGATACCATAAGATGATCTATCCAAGTAGTCCGAATGACATAAAATAGCAGCAAGATGACATCAACCCTAACCCTATTGTCATCAGTGGCCCCACAGTGCCAGCAAGGCTTGATTTCCCCGAATATGACCCACGTGGCTTGGACTCTATTCTATTTTGACCTTCTTCTATACTGATTGTTCAATATGTCAGGACACGCAAATTGCAATGTCAAACAACTAAAATAAACAACAAGATGCCGCGTAAATCGTCATCAATCCCCAAGTCGCATTTCCTCGGTCATCAAATAGACCCTTCGCTCGAGACAACACGCATCTCAGGACCAGTTGGATTCCTGAATCCAACACGCGTACACCTCAAACCTACACGAAAAAGCAAAGAAGAAGAAGAGCAAGAGGAATCTGCACAACCCGCGATCAGTGAAAAAGAGCCGAAGAAAAGGGAAAGAGTATCGCGCAGACAACCCAGAATCGAATATCTCTGGCGATCGCGCGACAATCGCAAAGGTCGTCATGCGGTTCACGTCCAATACTCACCAAAACACCACGGACCGGGTCACAATCTGCCCGCAAGCACGAATAGTTTCCGAGAAATACTTTCCAATATATATCGCATGGTGACGTATTTCCCCTATTGGGATGTATCGTGGCTAGTCGCGACTATCTTCACGCTTGGATCCGTGGTTTGGGTCATTAATGCATTCTTCGTATGGTTACCATTAGAAGACCCTTCAACCGAGTTTTCGGGTGAATCTCTTACCGGTGGAGGTATAACGGCATTCATCGGGGCTACGATTTTCGAAGTCGGCAGCGTCCTGCTTTTACTTGAAGCCGTTAACGAGAAACACACCGCATGTTTCGGCTGGGCCGTTGAAACAGTCATGAAAAGACTAGAATCACACGAAGACCCTATTAAAACGACTGTAGTCAGACGCTTTGAATCAAACGAGTGCGAGCATCATCACGCCAAAAGACACTCTTTCCTCCGTGATGGGCTAAAGGAGACTTCCCCCGAGGAAGAGAGATCGTTTCAATGGTTACCTTCCTGGACGGAATTGCGTACTCATTATTTCCATGAACTCGGCTTTTTGGCCTCGCTTGTTCAATTGATTGGTGCTACTATTTTCTGGATCGCGGGATTCACGGGTCTGCCGGGAATTATTGATCATATGAGCTGGGGTTTGACTGATGGTGTATATTGGGTTCCGCAGATTGTGGGTGGGTTTTGTTTTGTTCTTAGTGGGTGAGTTGTTCAGTAACTATGATACAGATCTTATTTTTTCTGTTGCACCACCTAACTCTGACAGGTTTCTGTTCACTATCGAAACACAGCCGAAATGGTATATCCCAGCGCCAAGTATCCTAGGCTGGCATATAGGAGCTTGGAATTTTATCGGAGGAATAGGCTTTACAGTAAACGTCCCTCAGGTCTTATTTTCTTCATTAACTAACAAGGTAAACTAGCTCTGCGGTGCCCTCGGCCCAGCATCCTCATCCTCCGGGGTTGAATATCAGACATGTCTGGCTACGTTTTGGGGCTCATGGGCTTTTCTGATTGGCTCTGTGATACAATGGTACGAGAGTGTGGATAAGTTCCCGGTTGAGGTGAAATCGCCTAGTTTATCTGAAGTTCCGAGCGATGAGACGGATGTATGATATTCAGTATGACTTCTGTCTCAATAATAGATATCTATATAATAATACATGCAGAATTCGACAAACAATTTGATCCGCAAAGAGCACAATCGCATCCTCACCCATTACCTAGAGTAAAAAGAGTCTATCTCCCTTGTCCATGTATCCTGTTCAGTATCAGCATTCCACCTGAAGACTAAAAACAACCTTGGAAGGATGAACTCACGTATGGATAAAATCTGTAATCTTCCCCGTCATCCCCTGCGGACACCCAGGTGTATGCTTCGCAAACGAATGATCTCCCGAGACGCAACTTCCATCCTATCCCTGGTCAGTTCCATTCCCTCTTAACATCCAAACGGCCTTAGAATGGGGTGATTGACTCACCGACTCCTCACGCTTCTCCCCTCCACCACCTTTAATAAACCCTTCATCACCCCAACCACTTCCCCCGCCCGTATTATTTGCTGCCGTTGGGATGGCGCTGGCGCCTCCCTGCGTTGAGATGGGATGGTGATTTGGCATTGTGTCGCCGGTTCGGTTTGAGGACGGTGTTGCCATTTTGTGCGATAGGTAGAGTTTTCTTGTATACGAATTGAGGATTGATCGTGATGTGGTGGGAGTGATACTAGATGTTGAAAATATGTTAGTCAACGTTATCAGCAATGTGGGAAGACTCGATTACGAAACCTGTACTATGGCTATTCGAGTCTCGGTGTCGAGAATTCAGAATCGATATCAATATCACAATCAATCCCTCAAATACTCAGAACGTACACATTATCCAGTCTGATTCATTCCATCAAAATAAATCCGAATGTAATCCCCAGCTTTATCGACGGCGCTGTGGGTGATGTAGTCTCCCGTCATGATTACGTTGAGGTTACCAAATTAGGAAATCTTCCCAATGTTCGGAGGATCAGGGTTTGGATTTGGGAGTGTACCGTTCTTTCCTATAAATGCGAATAGAATATCGATGTAGAGAGTGAATTTGAGACGGGGAGGTTGTATGTTGTCGTATCGTTAGACCTCAATGATCAAGTAGCTAATTGTCTAGGTCTGTATCTGGACGTTGAAGGGAGATTGGAAAGAACGGCGAGGTTGTGGCGCCGTGCCAGATGTGATCATCTAAGTGACAATTCTGTCTATCCAGTGTTGTCGATGGATCACTTCTCAGCCAGGGGAACGCAGATTCTACGAGATTTCCTTTTCGGGAATAATATCTATCTACTCACGTGGTCCGATAACCCTAAATCAATCACAGAGTTCAAGGTACGAGACATTAGCGAACCTGACCAGATAAGGTCGGAGTGCATACAGCTTACAAAGACAAAGCACCGGCCAATTCAGACATATATGTACAATCTTGGAAGCCAGTGACGTCGCTGACCAGAACAAAACGAACGGCCAAATATCTAATGCCCACTACCGCCAAATACCTCACTTGAATTAAGAAATAGAATTAGTAGTAAAGAGTGTAAGAATATGACGAGCGATGTGAGGCTCAAATCTGGGAAACGGAGAGCGAAAAATAAAACACGCAAAACATCTGCAGATGGTATCAGAAATGTAGAAAAAGCAAGCCCAGGCCGGCGAGAATGTAAACCCTCCGTCTCGCGAGGATCATGAATACATGTCGTCGAATCAAAGGCCGGTTGCAAGCGACCGAAAAAGAACCTCTATTGTCGTTAAGAAATGGAAAAAAGAAAAGAAAAAGAAAAGATTCGATGCAAATCCCCATTTTGATTGGTCCCCATTTTAGACCATATGCTTGCCCATTCATCACAAAACAATCCAGGTTGGGGTATCAAAGGTTTCTGACTGATCACAATCTGAGCCAGCAGCAGAAAAAAAAAAGACGCGGAAAAAAAAACGAAATGTTGTACAATAGAAAAAGAAAATCCATCCGAAGCAGGATATCATGATGCGCACGACTAAAACCATATAGGACGCCGAACCGAAAGCAGAAATCAGACTCGCTCCCCAAAGTGCGCCATTTTTGCATGTGCACAAAGAAAGAAAAAATTAAAAAAAAAAAAAAAAAAAAAAACTTTGTACCGTAAGAATGAAGCGACTAATCTTCATCTTCGCCAGATCCGGTCTCCTTCTCCCCTTTGTGGACCTTTTTGTGACGACGCAGATTCGATACAACAGAGAAATGACGACCGCAGCCTTCGACATCACACGCATACGCTATAGACAGTTAGTGCCGATATGATAGAAACCCGCCAAAAAAGGAACTTACGCTTCTCGCCAGTATGGCTGTACATGTGGGTTTGTAAAGATGACGGGCGCGTAAACCGCTTATCGCAAACCTTGCATTTGTGCTTCTTCTGTGCATTGGACGGCATCTTCGAGCTGAACTGTCCCATCATCGACTGAGGACCAGAAGGCGCGGCAGCGCCCAAAAGACCGTTTGGCCGGGGGAGTGTTCGCGAAGGCAGGCCATCGTATTGGTCTGAGGTCGAACTATAATCCGTCACAGAGGAGTCCACTGATGCGACTGAGGCACTGTAGTATGGGTAATTGCTGGCTGACGACATGGAAGACACGGATGAATGTGTAGAAGGGAATCCATAAGAATCTGCTGACCCTCGAGAGCTCCGAGGAGCATAGATCCCCCGCGGAGTCAAATCCTGGCTAAGAGCGACCATTCCACGACTGGCATCGATGGCATCGCTGTACGACGCAGAAGGCTGAGGTATTCTGGCCTCAGACATGCGGCGCGCATCTTGCTGTAGTCCTGGTGCATATCCCATAGAGGTATAATTGGCAGGTGTAAAGTTGTTAATAGGGGTGGCTGCGGTGTATGAAGGGGCAGCGTCAAAAGTGGAGCGCGGAATATCGTGGTGCATGTTCAACAGTTCTGATCCTCCATACCCAGCTGATGAGTAGGTGCTGCCGGCCACCAGTGACGGAGCAGAAACCGGAATACTAGAGTAGGGCAGCGAAATGGCCGTTGGTCTGGCCACGTCCTCGTGCTTGACGGGACTCATACTCATCTGGCTCGCGCCTATAGAGGTGGTAGGATAAACGGGTGGATTCGAGTGGGAAGAAGTGTGCGTCCATGGATCTGTGAACTGAGGCGAGTGGGTGTGGTGCATATTGTTCTGGTACGCATGGTCGAAGCCCCCCATGCCGCCGTACTGGCGGTTCTGATTCTCAATGACCATCGTCATGAGGATGACTGATAGCTTGATCTGGTAGAGTATTAAATTGGCAAGGAGAACTCTCTCCTAATGAAGTCGAAGTCGGAGGGGCGGAGAGACAACAGAAAAGACCAGACGAATGACGTCGTCGGGCGCAGACACGCAAGGCAGGTGCGACGCGGTTGCCGAGGAAGGAGCAAGTGGTGGTACAGACGATAAATAATAATAATAATAATAATAATAATAATAAGACTCAAGCCAATCGCTCCGGTTTTGGTTTTGCGTAATGTATCTCTCTGCTGCGTATTGCTCATGCGAGGAGACTGGGTTCGCATAGGACTGGATAGTCGATGAGCGAGTAAATGTAATTGTTGACTTGTATGTGTATGTATATCTTTGTTGGTCAGGATCTCGCGAAGAAAGATGGAAGAAAAAGAGAACTGTCTTGGGAAGGGGATCGACGTAGCTTAAGAGGAAGAGCATTGTACCTCTCAGTCTATAACTGACTGGGGGGGCCTGTGCCACTGACGACGTTCCGTCGGGGAAGGCTGCAGATCGTTTTGCTGGTGCTTGTCCCAAAAGGGGAAGCCCAAGGAAGGCCCAAAAGGGATTGGATGGAGAAAAGGGGCTAGCGAGCCGTGTCTGCTCGGGCTTTTTGGGTTTAGCGGCTATGTGGAGGACGGGGAGATTTTGCCGTATTGCTCCGTACATTTTTTTACATGTTACAGATTACAGATTACATGTTGCGGATTACATGTTGCAGATTACATATTACATATATTTTAACATATGTAGAATTATTGGCCGACTTATTGGTTCTGCTTACCTTCCGGTCGGAGCAATTCCAGCAATTCAATACGGAGTAAACAGAAAGAATCAGCTGAACAAAGAGCCAGTTAGTCAAGATACTCTGCCGTCCCGGCATCATACTAGTACATACATGATTGCAACAGTGGAGTACATCGAGGGCGCACCAATGCCAGACAGCACAACAAGCCACTGAGCGATAAAGGGGGGGTTGCAAGCTGGCACCACTGGCCGCGTCAGACCAAACAGGCGGAACTCTTGTTTCAGCATTGCACTAGCACCAAAGGGGGAAGTGCGTGTTTATTATGCTACCCTCTCTCTTTCTCTCCCTCTCCCTCTCTCTCCGGCTCTCTCTCCGGCTCTCCCTCTCTCTCTCCGTCTCTCATACTCTGTGTGTATAGCAGATACTCCGTGCAGAGAGTATATATGTACTATATGACAGCAGCATGCAGATGACTAGCCCGTAGACACCCCCGCCTTGAATGGTCAACCCATGCAAGCCTCCCAAGCCTCCCAAGCCCGGCTGCGGGAGATGCCATTTAGCACAGTGGAGCCCCGGCATTTATTGGTGATCCCATCTACTCTTAACTGCGCCGACTAAGAGCTAACTGAACTAACCTCCTCAACTGTTGGTGGCAAACATATGCACTTTTGAGGGGCATCACATGCCCTGTGGTTTAGATAGCCAGGAGGAGTGCCTTGCTTGCACACACGTCATGCGAATTTCTGGAAGGACGACTACCATGGATACGCCATACTACCGGAGTACATGTAAAAATAGTGGTCGAGTAATATCCATCGAAAAAGTTCCAGGAGGGGCGGACCATAAATCCGGGGATGGAGCCTATCCACTCCAATGAACAAAGCGGCGCACACTGTCTGCAAGCCTCTTTTCTTGGTTCAAGGGCTGCAATATCGATTCAACAATTCTGATTGGGCTGCTTAGAGTACAACAAGCCAGTGGGTGACCGAAAAGGACCAAAACACACTTTGGTGGCTTGATGGCAGGCTGCATCGGTGCATTTGACAGGCGAACTACTGATCTGATTCAAGATAAGATACTTCCACGGAGCAGAATTTATGTTTACTGAATACTCCGTACAAATTAAGACCGAGGTTCGTAGCTTAGTATTAGCGCATGTGTGTGGAATCATCTGAACAATTCAAGGAGCATCCGCAACATTGTTTCATGGCGTGAGGGCTCACCCGGCCAACCATCAGCTAACTTTAGGTAGCTAGCTATCTTACCTACGTTACCTAAGCTCAAATGTGAAGAAAAATGTGAAGAAGCGTCGACTGTACAGTGTACAGAGCATAGTGGTCTCCACCATTTGTCCTCTTCCAGAATGCCAAGATCCACTCATAGCGAAGAAGAACGGCCACGTCCTTTTTCTAACTGACACCGAGATTCCCTTGAACAGATAAGCATTATCCGTCTCACTTGACATGCCACAGTGTTACAGAGCTACAGCGAAATAAGCATCTAAACTATGCGCCGTTGGGGCCACATCAAGCCTTCATCGACAATCCCTCACCCCGATCTGCCGCCACCATGCAGTCGAATGGATTCAGCCGCCCCGCCACGGGATGGCTCTTTATAAATTGAGGTTGTATTTGTCAATTGTCACGAGCCTGATTGCCCAGGGACAGGAGGGTAAAATAGTTGTCGCACCTAAACTATGCGATGACGAAGACGAAGACAGAAAAGAGCTAGGATGAATCAGGGAAGCCGCGGACACACGCGTAAGCTGCTTCTTGGCATAAATGCTTGTCACATTAACAAATGAGCGTCGGAGTTTGGCACTGCCCCGGTGTACTATGCACTATGCCCGGAGTACTATAGTAGTAAAGAAAGAAAGAAAGAAAGAAGGAAAAAAATTTTTCTGCAGAGCACGGATAAGATTCCACTTTTTCCTCCTTCCCAAATTTAATGCCTCGAGTTTTGTCCATGAGTTTGACTGAGTTTGACAGAGTTCGACAGAGTTCGACGGAACTGGTGGAGTGCTGGTCTGTGCCGAAAACTCTCTTGTAGATGTAATGCTCTGAATAGGAAACCGGGTTTCCTCTGCTGAAGTTATTCTATTCTGCTCTTTATTGTACTATAGTATTCGAAAATATATCCATTGTTGTAGTTACTGTCTGCTCTGCAATAGATGAAACAATCAAAACATGTTTGATCGCCCTCGTCGCAGATCACAGCATGTGTTCCTGTCCCTGAAAATCCGCCCCTTGACGATCCCTGTCAACGCAGGCTGATCCATCTTGATCTGAACTCGATCCATAGCAAATCTGACGATGCAACTACAACGGTTCACCCACGGCACACCACGGCATTTGGTTACTTGATGGTTTCGGCTTATGAATAACAATAATGACGCTCAACCCGCCAATAATATGTCAAGCACCAGTACAATACAATTTGAGTAAAGTCGAGTCATTAAAACCTTCAGTCGCGCTCTAACCGTGCGCCTCTTTGGGAACATCAAAGAAGTTTAAAAAGAATCGTTGAATTAAGATTTGTGTGCGTGTGCCATGCGCGCGAACCCCCCCCTATTGTCGGGAAACTCAAATTCCAAATTCTGACTCTTTAGTCCGCTTAGTGAAACTGAATAACCATCCGTCCATAAGAGGCAGTGGGCCATGGCATGGTCTTGTCGGTGGAGTTAATTGACCCAACTTGTACATTACATCTACTTAACTTGACTAAGTAGTCAATCTACTTAGTCGTACCATTAAAGAAATTAGGGTGAACCTTGATCTCAATGCCGACAGACCAAATTTGGAGGAAGCACACTGCCGAGGCCAGAAACGATATCATATGCTGATTCAATCCGAGGAACTCACCGCTCTTTAATCAATCAGTGGATTGGTCGGATACGTATGTTCTCTGCATGCATGCATGCTGCTGCTGTAAGCATCACTTTTGACTACGAGTAAGTTAGTTATTGTAGGCATGAACCCTGCCCATAATAAAAAGCAACGATACAAATCCAATAACGAGGCTTGCTATTATTCATCTATGATTCGCCCAGATCGACCTCCCTCCCAATCTGTAGCGTACAGATTTGTCAAACCATCCTGCCCTTCACGTTAAGCCGTGCCAATGAGATCTTGTTATCCTTAGTGTGAGTTTTAGCCCCAGGTTTTAGCCTCAAGCATTGCACGTAAAAGTCAAACTCAGCAAGAGTCCCTCTCGGTCGGATTGTGTGTGTGTGTGTGTGTGTGTGTGTGGGCAGCAGTCTGAACCACGGCTGTGTAAGCACTTGCAAGCAAAGACGGCAGACGCCCCACGCCGTGCCTGAGGTATGAATTCATGCCTGATCCGGCAACTACTCATTTCTCAACTCATCATATTCGAGTTTGGTTTCACTATTGAATTAATATTATATGGCAGACTTGATCAATCTTGTTGATACTCTTAATGTATCAATTTATCTTGTTAGTATCGGCATCTTGAACTGCCACCGTCACTGTTCATGGTGATTGTACGTAGTATTGTACATCCAGTACTCTGGCACAAACTAACCACTCCACTAGCTCAATCAACCTGAAACACGCCGTTCGACCTTAAGAGGGTAAGCAGATAAGGATGTTTATAAGGTTATGGGGGAGACAGCATCCGCTCGCCGAGTCGGCGACCTGACTGTTCTCTTTGCAACTTTCGACCTTCGGAGTACAGAAAGGGGCTTTGTGGCTCGAACTCCTTTTTCTTTTTCCTTTTTGTTTTTTGTTTTTGTTTTTGTTTTTGTTTTTGGTGTTGACCCAAATATTCGACGCAAGGGCTTTACACAAATGGACCAATTAGAGATTGAGGGGAACCGGCCAATAGGGATGGAAGAAAAGATGGAATGTGCCGTCTTGGCGGTATGACATCATTGTTTTGTCCTCGTTCCTCAGGCATGTGACACATCATTGCCAGAGCGGCAGAGCCATTGGTCCACAAGACGATTGCAGTATCATTGAAGGATTCAGGATCTTATTTCGAAAGAGTATGAAGCATATCATCCTGTCAGTGCTGTACAGAAATGTCAGATCTAGGAAAATGACGTACTAAATGAAACTATCCCCGACTCCCCCCAGCATGACGACGAACCTATGGATCAGCGGCACCTGGTCCATGCTCTCTTGACAGAATCCACCTGTGTTGGCTGACATCATGTGTATAGTCAATAGCTACTAATGAGATTATAGCTGGAGTACCATTTCATCCTTCTGTCACGGATCCTGTGACCACTGAGTCTGAACAGTAATTAGGGCTAGAGAGACTTAACGGTTCGAGGCACCGCACCTCACCTCACCTGCTTGGTAGCTAGCTATCAAGGCCATGCTTACTTCATTCCGAACGAGATCTCATGGATAGTGAGATTTAAGAAATCAATTTATTCAAGACAGAGAGAGAAATAGGTATACAAGAACTAACTAGAGTATCACCGCCCCAGCGCCTTCTACTAAGTACATAATGAAGAATCTAAATCACAATCGACAACTCAGCCCTCGATACCCCGTCATGCTCCAAATTTGGGTAATAGGGTACCATCGCATCCGCACTCTGCACGTAGGCATCATTGTACAATCGCCAATACGGCGTACGCACTTTCCGCGCCGGATGGAACAGACCCGCCCAGACGTAGTTCATAACAACGCCCGTTCCGACAGCCATGCGAATCGCGTCAATGGCTTCGATGATACGGTCAATGACGTGTGGACTGGTCTCGAAGATGTTCGGGTATAGCAAATTGAGTAAATGGATCATTGCATCCTCGCAGCCGAGACCGACCACGCCGAGAGCAATGTGTTTGACGACCGTGGCTGCGGTCTGACGATGGACTTGGTCGCGATCAATCAATGCGTCTTCCAGTAGAGGTGTCACTGCATAAACATAGTCCTTGGCCATTTCTCCGATATATTCAAACAGGAAAGACATGGCTTTGAGAACACCGTTTTGCACGTTGAGTTCCGGCACTCGGTATTCGTTCATCAAGGCTGGGAGTACCGTAAATGGAGCACAAGTCTCGGCCACAATGGCAATAGCAACCGCTGTACAAACTCGCGACTGTCGTTCTTGTACTCGCAGATTATTGAGTAAGGTCGCAAGCACGTCTTGTGGACCAATGGCTTTGGCAATGAAACCAAAAGTATTGTTGGCCGCACGACGGATTCCCTTCTTGTGAGCCTTGAGCATATCCAAAAGCTCGAAACAGATACGCATCCATTCTCGAGCATTGACAGATTCCGGACCGCGATCTGCAATACGACCAACCAGGTCAATAGTATTTTCTTGTACCTTTTCATGTCGATTGCGAAGGATAGGGGTAAGTCGAGGAAGGAGGTCGCGAATAGGAGGCTGCATCTGATTGATACCAACCACGGTGACAATCGATCGTAGAGCGCCGAGAATGGATCCGAGCACTTCCGGATACTCTTCACCCAAATACTCATAGAGCAAAACACCGAGTTTGCCCATGAGTGCATCCTCGCCGCACTGCTTCATCACGATAGTAATTCGGGAAACCAGGTCGGCAGCTTGTTGACGAACTGTGGCAGACTTGTGATTCAACCGCCACAAAATAGTGCTAACAATCTGAGGAAGGTACGGCTTGCATCTGGTTCCGAGGGCATTGACAACAGTGCCAAATCCGTTCAATATGACGATATCCTCAACGCTCTGTTCCTGGAAAGCAAGCAGGACGCCATCAATAAGTCGTTCCTCCAGCCTCTCCGAGATATCTGCCGCTCCCAAAGAAGCGATCAACTTTTCTACTGTTTCGACAGTCATTTTTCGGTACGCCTCGCTCTCATCCTTGAGATTGTTGACAATACGTTCCAGGATCTCTCCCACCCCGACTTTTTGGCCAAGATCAACTGTAGTCTCCACGACCTGACGGTAGTTGCGCTTATCCAAAGCCATACGCCTCACCCAGAAGCTTTTGAAGAAATCTTGTAGAACATTCTCCTTTAGATATTGCGCCGTGACACCATCGGTTTGGGCACACTGCGACACCACCTTCAACACAACCTTCTTCATTTCCTCGTCCGGGGAAGAAAATTCTCGTAGCAAAATCTCCATGATCTGACTAGTATAGTAGTTGGCATACTCTTCATCCATCAAAGGGATGATGTAGCCAACAGCTTTCAGGAATCCCGCGAGACCTTTTCCACGCTGTTTCCGGGCACCTGTCCACAGCGGATTGAGGATGTCGTCAAAGCTCTCAATACCATAAGGATTGGCCGCCTCAGCTAATGCAGCAATAGCCAAGCTGGTGACTGTCCTAACCTTGGCTTGTTCGTCACTGAGATTGTCAGCTATACAATCAACCAGTCCTTTCAAATGGGGTAGAATAGCACAGCCCATAAGAATAGGAATTTGCTGCACGATTTTGACACCAGTGTGTCGAGCCTGCCATGACTTTTTACTACGGCAGACAGCGCGTAGGAAAGGAAGCAGAGCCGGTATACCCAACGCTGAAGCAACAACAGCAAATGCCCTAGCAGTGGTGTTCCTCACATATTCATCGACGTGATCAATATCTGGACGCATAGTACTGATCATATGTGCAAGTCCTGCGGCTTTAGCCAGATTCGAAATGATCTCACGACCTTCCACACGAGCATAGTAGTCTTGGTCGATAAGCAGAGGCTCGATAACAACGAGGATCTTATGAGTATATGGCCGAACAAGATCGTCAAGCTTGTATAGAACACGATCGATGACTTTGACTAGCAGATGACGCTCTTGATCTTCAAGCGATTTCTCCATCAATAGCGGGAGGATCTGGTTGAAAAGTGCACCGGCACCAAACTGGCGAGCATTGTCGGTGAGCTGACGAAGAGCGGTCTTACGCATGGGTGGGGTTCCGTTCTTGACTTTTAGCAACAGCCTCATAATCTTCCTTTCCTTCAATTCTTCAACAGACAGGCTGTTCTCATCTGCACCATCAACCAATTTTCCAAAGTATGCCATATCCTCAGCCTTGAAGAATTGAAGATCGCCGACTCCAGGAATATCGGTCGGAAGCTGTTTACCAAGAGTGCGAGCGCTCTCCGGTTCTTGCATCATAAAGCCTCCATATCCGCTTGCGCTAGGTATAGCGGCAGGAGTGGCTGTAAGCTTTCGTGCAGGATTCCTAACAGGTTCATAGCCCGGGGGAGGTGTGAGAACTTGATAGCCTTCAGTAGGAAGCATCATATCCAATTCCTCGTCTGTCCACACAACGTTACGACCAGAAAGAGGAACAAGAGGTGCCGCTACAGCACCCATCGATGGATGCGCTGGTGTCGCAAGGCCTGGCTGACCCACGGGAGTTGCACCAACAGCTGGTGCAGCCGGTGCTTGATCCCAACGAGAGTGTCGCTTGGGAGCCTGTTCGTCTGGTGTGGGAACAGCCGGAGTCTGATCCCATCGCGACTTCTTAGCTTTGACTTTATTCTCCTCTTCGGTAGCCGCCGCGGCGCTTTCATCCGAAGTGACATCCCATCGTTGTTTCCTCTTGCGTCCAGCGGCGACGGCGACGGTCGAGCCAGCGTCGATGTTTTCTTTGTCAGCCTCATCATTCAAGGTTGCTTGGTATTCAACACTTTCACCTGCGGCGCGTTTCTCACTGATGAGCTTCTGAACACGCTCTTCTTCTTTCTCAAGTTCACGGAGCGCCATGACTTCTCGATAAGTCTGGCCTTCAGGTTCGACGTTGGCATGTGTGTTGGCAGCGAATGGATCAGCTCGAGTCGGTGTGAGCGGACCACGGTTGAATCGGCGCTTCTGGTAATCGCTCTCACGGTCGGCAATTCTAGCAGATTTCTCACGGCCAAGTAAGATATCCTCCTCTTCAACACCGTTGCCACTTGCCATTTCGTTGATCAGGTCCCTGCTAGCCGTGTACTGACCAACTAGTCGATGCCCTGTATCTGCATCCTCCATGTCCTCATCGCCATCGACGGGAATGGAGGTATTGTACCCTGAATACTTATCGACACCATTGCGTTCGTAGAGCTCGGTATCAAAACTTTCAGTTAGGGAGGCCTTTGTGGAAAAGTCAGTGCGCTGACTGGATGGGTCGAAGGTTTTTGAACCTTTTTTGGCTGCAGCGACAGCATTCCGCTCGGCTTGAAGCCGCCTAACCTGCTCAAAGTCGGCTGCATTGATTGTCAGCATATTAGATGAGGTCGAGATGGGAAGGGGTGACGTACAGTCAGACATGTTGGCGTTTGACTGTAAAGTGGCTCAAGCGAAGTTCAGAGCTACAGATAGAATCGAGAACGCTACATTCAGCGTGATAACGTCGACAACAGCTGTGCGACGTTGAAAGAGACGATCTGGTGGATGGCTCGATGATGGATGTTGATGGAAAGTGAGCGCACAATTTTTGTCTTGCCGTTGGGATCGTAAGAGGTCCGCATCGAGCAGGCTGACTAAGTAAGTTATCACGTGACTTTGTCTAAATGGGTTGGTCTGTTTCTGATTAGATGAGCATTGATAAAATAGGTGTCTCAATTGCGCTGTTGTCTTTTTGCTGTTGATTTCGTTGCTATATTACTACAATGTCCTCTTGGACTCGCCCTATTCTGGTGATATTATGCATTGATTCACACTGCTTAGGTTCTTTTATTGAGGAAAGAACACAGATCTTAAGGTAAAAGTCAGGAATACCTGGCGTCTTCGGTTTATGATTAAACTGCACTGTATACATGGTTCTCCTATGTGGACAATAATGGCCGTCGTAAATCCTTTCCTTCATCAGCTTAACAATGTCCCTGAAGACCCTCTACAGGAGAGAAACAGTGACTTTTTTCGATGTGAATCTACAATCACTCGAAGCCGGACGCGGTGGTGGAAGATGGAAGATGGATGACGCATGCCGAGTCTTGAATGTTTGAGGTTTCCATCACAAGTATTTTGTGAAAGATATCGGTTGTCAAGTATAAATCTTGATATCTGTCTTCCTAACTTCAAGACCTCGTTCCCCATCGTCGCTCATCGCGCGACATCTTGACATGACCTCCATAGTACTCGTCTTTGTTCTCAATTGGGGTCACACAGTACACAGTAGGTGTGTTCTGGAAGTGAATTGCCTTGCCACTTGAGCGTGACGAGGTAGAGGATGTAGAACCCTTCTTGAGAATACTCTTGGCTGAGCTCGAATTTGTGTACGAGTACATTGGCGCAGTCTGTTTACTAAACTCTCGCATACAGACTGGGCTGAGAGGTGATGGAGAAACAGGTGTCCGTGGCATAGGGCCTGGTGAGCGCAAGGACAGAGCTGGACGAGTCGTGTTTGTCGCAGCAGAAATGCTGAGAGACAACTTTGGCTTGGCAGATCGTGCGGCGTACATTTTGCTTTGCTGAGATGACTCCGGTTTCGACAAGAAATTGATATATAGTCGAAATAAAGGAACGGGAATTATAACGTGTCTCTGAATATCCACCAGGGAGAGCTCAGATGGCAAGTGCAGTATAAGAATTAAGAAACACGATTTGATCAACAAATGTATTTCTTGGAAGAGAGCACGCAGATATCTCTCGGATATTCAGAAAAGAAGGATTGTTGTGTAGTTGTATTGGGATGTTTGTTATTATTTTTGTATATGGACGACTGGACCAGCCAATCTATGCGTGGATTAGAAAGAGACGAAAATAGAAAAGAGAAAAGTAACGTAAAAGAAAAAATAGTAACTGATGAAACAGTTGCTATGCAAGAGCGTCGAAGAGGGATTCTTCGAGCGGCTATATACGTATTCAAGATAGGAGGAAGTGTTGGAGCGGGGTAGACTCTGACCTATTCTTCCTTTTACTCTGAAAAAAGTATCACACAAGCCATTGGAGTCGAAATGCTGCTCTTCGTGCATGGTGACTGACGAATGCGAGGTAATAACCCAATCAATGAAGGTTGGAGTATGTTAGGCGCCGGGAAAATGCAACCATCCCTGCTTGATCACATCCACTAACCTCCAGTCATCGTGACTTGAGTGTTGCCAGCAACCAATCAGATTAGTACAGTCGACATCGCATAAAATAGACATTGTCCGACCATCTCCGCTAGGACAACACTCTTCATTTCTGATCTCCTGCAGATAGATGCGACAGAGTTCGTCTGGTGTTGCTTCAGATTGGTTTATCGACTTATCGCACTATCGATAAGTAACTCAACTACATGCACGCTTCTCCATTTTCGTCACATACGAAGTGCTTACCCACGATGGATGTGTGTTTTCTATTTCTGACTCGTCTCAACTGTAGGTCTGACTACGCCCGAGCAACTTTTAAGAATTAGGCCATGTGTGCCTGATATTGTTAATGTGCTTATTCTGCACGCACGAGATAAGAAGTGCATCGAAGCATTCAAATGATACGCCATTGCGTCTCGGGTGAGGCACATGCAGAGAATGTGATGAGAACTCTGACTTGCTAGAACGGACCTGAGAGCTTGAGGCACATATGAGTCAAGAGATGCTCATTGGGTCCACAAAGCTGGAAGAATGCTTCGGAATAAGTATCCGGTGGGCGTCAGGACGTTATATGAGACCCCGACTTCCAGCGATATCCAAGGATCTCACTTTAGTACATTAAATAGGCAAGACGTGCCAGAAAACCAAGGTCTAATTGTCCAATAGCTGATTAAGCATGGCTTTCTTTCTTTGACCAATTGTCTCAGCCCGATCTGGCCGGCTTTTCTAGCCCTAACCAATGCAATGCTGCAATTTCTATACGAGGCACCATCACAGCAAGATTCAGTTCATCAGAAGCCTCTCAGTCCTGCACGAACACTGACTTGCATTTCGATCTAAACGCTTGAGAATCAGTCCGTCGAGGGGCCCAACCTGAACGGCTCTGTGAGTGGATCTTACGCTGATACCAAGTCTCCTCTTTCTTCACCACTTCCAAGGTCGGTACGCTTAGCGAATGTACGCGGAAATTTGGTGATTCTGACAAAAAGCATAGAGCAAAAATGTGCTTGTTATCGACTCCTAGGTTTGGAAAAGAGAATTCCGGACACTAGTTACTGGTTCCAATGTATACGCCGACACTGCTAAGAAAGCCAACGATAATAAAGCATCATGTGGCGAGCCGATATCAACATGACCTCCAGTAAATTCGTTCGTGAAGAGGAAGAGAAAGACAAAACGCAACAAATAAATAGATATCGAACCCTCGTCAACAATCTTGTCTCAGCAACGGTATACTTGGATGACAGATCATGAATTATCCACCAGCAATGCAGCAACAGGCCGCATCTGGTCGGCGCCAGTGAATATGAATGCGGAAATTATTTCCGTAACTTCGCCGCACATCACTTGTCCGAACACTCGAAATCGATGACAGTCCATGTTTGTGAGTTTAGAAGAGATGCTTTCTTCGACAGGAATATTTCTGAGTTCCAGATCTTTTGACGTAATAAGAGGTATAAGCGAACTCCTCTGGAACAATTGACATAGCCTGGTGAGGAAGAATTGACGCCAGGAATATAGAGAAGAAACCCGAAATGAGCAATGGCTCATTAACTGGCATAACTCTGTCTTGTCTATTTTGGGTCTTCTCTCTCCTTGCCTCGGGTGAATTGCCTGGCCATGGCCAAGATCTCATCTTGTGAAACACCACTTCGAGCTGCTGCAAAAAGAGTCTCGAGTTGCTGACCATCTCCGTTCCGCATCACATCTAGCAATTGTTCCACGGACTGACTGACGAATTTCAGTTCCTCCTGAGCCAGCTCCAGTGCGATTATGTCTTCATCGAGTGCGACCTGTCTGCTTGAATGAATGTGTATGTTGTTGCACGCCTGACAGTGATGTCCGTTCCGGAAGTTTATTGGAGCCATGAGTGCAGTGGAGTCTCTATGGCGTAGGCTGGGGAGGGTTGTAGGGGTAATCGTCTGTTGTGTCTTAGCTACCCTACTACTTGAGAATAAGGGAGTCAGTCAGATCATGTAGATGTACAAATGAAAGAGTGGACACAAATGATGAGATGGGTGTGCATTAACTACCTTGGTTCAGGCAGGTTAGGGGTCAGAGTAATTGGCCCGTTCTTCAGGGAGACTCCATAGTAAAGATCTGTTACGGAGTTGTATTCCATTACCTGGGAGTGGAGGCTATATTACCACTAGCTACTGTTTGACGAATGAAACATCCGCGGTATGATATGGGGTACTCAGAATTAGTTTTCCCGGGTACGGTATTGATACATGCATCATTCACTCATTTCTCTTCTCCCGAGTCCGGGCCTAGGGTTTAGGGTATGCTTGTTACAACCTCGGCAGTTCCATAATTGTGCATGTTTTCTGATATCTCTGTTTTGCTTCCATGAAATTTGAAAACAGGATGTTCCTTATCAATAATCATTTAATGTCAACCATCTACATCATTATAATACTGCTGCGGGGTGGACCCCACGCGCTGGTAGGTTCTTATCAAGAGGTCTCATTCCCTGGGCGAGATCTACTATGCCAACTAATACATCCATGGATGTTCTGCTCAAAACAATTCAGACTTCGAGGATGCTCGCTATGTACAGAGATCTGTTTATTGTTTCCCACTGAAGTGTATCAGTATGCTAACTATATACCTACTTAGCTAGACCTTTCGTCGGCATTCGGTGAATGCTTACGCCGCCAAATTACAGTCGGTACTTGATCACATCAATGGAGGAGTATCCACTAAATAAGTTCCATCATCTGCTAGAACCGGGACCCGTCATCCTGATTACCACCAAAAACAAAGATGGAGACGCAAATGTCATGATATGTGGCTTCCAGGTGGTTGTCCAGCATGAGCCGCCGCTTTTCGCAGTTATAGTAGGGCCATGGGATTATACGTTCAGCGCCCTCCGTTCGACCAAAGAATGCGTCATTTCCGTGCTGACACTTGAGCTAGCTGAACTCGTTGTTGATATAGGGAATCATTCCGTTGCAGAGATTGACAAGTTCAAAACATATGGCCTCACGTGTCCTTCCGGAAAGTCAGCGCGCCTCTTATCAGCGAATGCAAGGCGGATATTGAATGTCGTATTGCCGATACTCGTATGGGTCCAAAATACAACATCTTGTACTCGAAGCGGTTCAGGCATGGTGCAATCCTAACTTGAAGGAAAATAAGACCATACACTACAGAGGTGATGGGACTTTTACAGTTGATGGCAAGGTTCTCAATCTGCAGGATCGTATGACTAAATGGCGGGAGTATGTTACGGGAGGTTCCTCAAGCTCTAGACATTTCTGGTCAAGAGTTTCGCACCCGTTCTCCGGTCGGTACTATGTTAGTGACTCACGTATGCTACTCATGCAATTCTATCGCACAAGAGATACGGGATGAACCACAAGGAGTACATCCGTACTGAACATCATTTTTCATGTAGGATGGTCTATTTCATGGGATTCGGAATCATTTACACTAGTGACAAAAGGTTTCTGAGATTTTAGGTTTGATATATCTAGGAGTAATCTATAGCTATTAGTCAGGGGTGGCCTTGGTCTACCATGAGGTCCTCTTACTGTTTTGGTGTTGCTTATCAAAGTCCCAAATTATATGTCAAGACTTATTTGAGCATTTGTTTAACTATTTAAGTCTAATTCACCTCTACCATTGAGTTATACATTCGCTTAAGCTTTACAACTGGAGGTAGTAACATCGTAATGATGAATTCAAGATATTCTGTAATTCACCTTCAATGCGAACTATGAGCACCACTCGGTGTTTATCTCAGTGGGAATCTATCGTCAGGTATTGTAATGGGTGTTCTACTGTAACGTTCTAGATCGTAACCGGTGTGATATGATATGGAATTACCGTATCTGTAGCCGTATTTTCAATACAATAATGATCACGGTAATAAACTCACTTTAGCGTGAGGCTGAGATCCAGCCACCTCAATTCAGCTAGAACCACTTCGGGAAAGTCTAAATGTCTTCAAGTCCAGTCTGCCCAGAATTTCTGAGAGCTTGCTTCACTATCTCCATGACCTGCCACTAACTATGCTAACGCGAGTCTGAAAGAGTAACGATAGCTCGGCTTACTCCTGGTGCAGGACTGACAGAGGGCCCGCTTTTGTTTATCTTCACTACCTAGGTCCTCTCGAACCTTGGAATCACCTCGGTCGCCTGATGTTCTTTGAAACTTCCCCAGCTGAAACGTGATATTTCGGGCCAGCATTGTCTACTATTACCCAGATTTTAGGGGCACCAACGATCAAACCAAAGATTATTTACAGCCAAACCGGGCGTCAGGTTTGGAGTCAGTTGGAAATCACACAACCCTCATATCAATAAGCCGTAATGGCTCCAATGCTTCAATTCCTTTTTCAACGTAGGGATTTTAACACCAGCGCTCCCGCAGATGCCTTTGACCGGGAATGGTCTCAACCGTCCAATTATGCCTTTACTATTCTTCTTTTGCTGGGAGGAGATTTGATTAATCGTGCTCTTGCACAGCTGGCTGGTGGTTGGGTTACGCCTGTGGCTTTCTCATTCGGTACATATCTACCTTCTAATTGCATAAGGCTTGATTCATTGATGTAGCTTATGCTGATATCGCTTTGCATAGGTTGGGTCTCTTATGCAACAGCTTCTGTCTGTGCAGCTCTCGGAGAGTATAAACTGATGCCCGATGCTGATACTGGATGCTGCATTATCAACGGAAAGAATGGTTACGTTCGTGGAAATAATTCATGGGTCCTTGGTCGTATGATGCGAGACTACGAGTATTGGATGGGTAGACCCGTTGCCGACAAAACTGAGGCTCTGATCGAGGCTCGATGGAAATTCGAGAAAGAAAAAGAAGCACGAGAATATTCCGCGTCGAAGGTTGAAGTTCCTCGACCTTCACAAGCTGGACTGGTAGTTAGCATTTGGAAACCGAACACTAAAGTGAAACACGGCACACCTGGTCATGATATACTCTATTGGTCCGGGATTATTGTTACTATTATTCAGCTGGGAGTCTCCTGTATACCATTGGGTCTGACGGGAGACTGGGGAGTTTTGTTGATTACCGGCGGTGCTACTATTCTTTGCTACTTTACCGGTGCTCTTAAGCAATGGAGAATCGAAAAATGGGCTTGTCGACGTCTGGATCATCGAAGCAAGAAGAATTTCGTCATGACGCGCGGCAATGGTGCTCAGCATGCGATTGCTATCATCAGCGATGGGTATGGCCTGGATTTGGAGGATCTCGCAACTGGCTTTGCCAACGTTGACTCCCCTACTATTTCGCTATTCTCACAAATTTCCGTTATTGTGCTGGGTATCTTGTGGGTGGCGCTGTTGATCACCGCGTCAGGCCTAACAGATGACTCATGGTACCTGATTGCCGTTGGTGGCATTGGTATGCTTCAAAACATTTTTGTCGCGGGTTGGAAGCGTACTCCAGCTGCATACGGCATTCCGCTTGAGTTCGTTGACGTGATTGGCGAGGCTAAAGTCATGAGTACGCTTATGGAACTTGAGAAAAGATATGAGAAGCTTGGCAAAAGCATGTTGGGTACTTTTTTCCCTGGTGATTTGCGTGATAGTGAAGTCAAGGAGTGGGCTGCTATTGCAGAAGAGTGGAAGGAAAAGAAAGCACAGGCTGTTAAACCTGTTGATGCATAACACGACTGAAGAATTCGTGGCTGCATATGTTTTAAGTTGACTTATTCAATACTCGAGGTTCTAAATCCCTGATAGGATACCCCTCCTTCCTTTTATGGAGCTGTCACGGCGATGATACTACTACACTGCTACTTATGACAGTTTGGAGGATGTATCAAAAACAGAGGGCTAAGGTTCCAAAGTTACCCAGGTACCTGCAAGGCTCAACAATTTTATATATACTCATAATAAGTACCCCAATGTTACTTTACTTTGGGATACATTATCAACCTAGACTTTAATCTGGATTCCATCTCCGCGTAGAAGTATCGTATAGCTGGGCACGTACATATGTAGATTGGAGCGTACTCGGAATTAAAACAATGTCAAACGCTCTTCAAATTTGAAATTGCTGAACCATCTACAAGATACCGAAAACTGATCATACCAATACACTAGCCGTTGCGTGTCCTTTCCAAGAAGTGGAGCTTCCACTGTGTCAAACCAAGTGGGCGCTGTGTTTGTAACTCGTGCTGTTGCAACTGAGCAATGTTCAAATGCATAAATTCCGTTTTCGGGCGTGGAAGTAGATAACCCCACTATTGCCGCGCAAGACTGTTCACGTTTCGAAGGTATCTCGTATAACATAATGGCATAGACCTGCGAGTAAGATTCAGCTCAACGGACGTTATTTGGCGGTAGCTCGATAAGGAAGTAGTTGCCATCAACTTTCGGTGCGGCTGACTTCACTAATCTCTAACGATAGCTTATGACACAGCCACGTTCATTTGTACCAAACGGTGGCCGCCCACTATCAAACTGTATCAAAAAGCCCGGGTATTGGACCAGTAGGCCCCCTTTACCGTTGACAATTTGAAGGTCTGCTGTACGCTCGTCTTCTCCATAGTATAACTCCGCCGTCCTGAAGCTCAGCGATGACCTTGGGGCCCATTTGTAACCTTTCTCTCCAGTCGCATAATTGTTGAAGACAAAATGCATCTCAAAAGTATGCAGCGTTTTCAAGAAGAGAGCCATCCTCTCCTGAGCCAAATCTTTGTTTGTTTTGTCAGGGAGGTCCAGGAAGGGCTTAACGTCAATGTCGATGATCGTTGCCAAACATACTATCTCATCGGCAAGTTGTGACGTCTTTCGCTGAGACACAGCATCAGTGATGGGACCATAGAGCATCTATTTTGATTTCAGATCCTTAATACCAGACATAAGACGCTTCAAGGTAGTGTACTCCCTGAGACGTCGCATATTTGCTCTGTACCTCTAACCTTTCCTGTCTTTTCTGATAAGCACTGAATTGCTGATATAGGTCATCTAGTTCAACGGATTTGTCACTGAATAGAATGTAAACTTTTGAATGCCAATCAGAATTGGAATCCTCAGAAGGATAGTTTAGATCAGACAGAAATCCCTCTTGATGGGTCCAGAGCCGCTTGATCCAATTAGACTGATACAGTCGAGAAATGATGGCTAGAATTGGAGAAGTGGAAGGATTACCTTTGCCATCAGTCCAGCTAAAAGTATGTGGTCAGCATAGACTTAATTGCTAAACGACTACTCTCTAGCCTCCCTTTCCAGATTAGGGGAAAAGGCAGTTGAAGGCCAATTGTCTCACAAGCTAGAAACAGAACTCACATGTGTGAAATCGCAACATAGTCGGGCTTTCGTTTACCAGTTAGGTGATAGTCAACAGACCAGAGTGTGCGAAGCCCTTTCACCCATAGGGCAATCGGGATGGCGTCCTTCTCAATAATCCTGCCGATTGCATCTATCCAATTTTCAGCCCCCTTTCAGGGCCCAGTTGTCCACCGTATTGTATTGTGGCTTTGCAACCAGAGTGGTGCCAAGAGTCACCAGCATGACGGGTAACGTACATATTGGAGTCATAATCGTAGAGACAGTGCTCCTTGATGCATTTGGAATGATGGCCAAGTTCCTTACTTGCCAGCCCCGGCGATGCTGCAAGATAATAGTGGCCATCAATATCCAGCTCCTTGAATGTGGTGGTCACATCATCAATGCACCATTTTTGCTGTAGGCGCTTCCACAGAAGCTCAGAGCGACCATGAAGATGTGGAACTTCGCACATAGCTGCTTTCCAGAGAGAGAAGGTCAGTCCGATCATAGCAGTAGATACATCATCCCTTACTGGCCATGGTCGAGACTTTTCTTGCTTCAAGAGGGACTCGTTTTCGTATCCGGGAACACAGAAGCGGTCTAGAATAGACTTCGACCTTTTGAATATTGGCTCCAAAATGGCTTAATCAGTACCCTTTGTCTCGACATTGGCTTTCCATTCAGTCAGGAGCTGTGATAGCTTTGATGTATTGATCATTTTTGGCATATCAGGATCGACCCCATCAACATTCGCATCGACAAGAAAGTCTTCGGTCTTAACATGAACGCCACCAATTTTGAAAAATCCAATGGCCAGTCCAAAGAAAAGCTATGTCTGGAGAACTGCTCAGCAACTTTAATATCATTTCCCTTAGTGTAAAACACATTTGCGTCCAAATAATCTTCTTTTGTGGTGTCATCGCCACCACGAAGTTGCTCTTCGGCCCAACCAGATCGCTGTGGATAATCAAGGAATCCACCACCGTCATACCAATCTTTCTCGGGTGCCTCGTACGGCACAATAATCAAGGGCTTTATACCTTCTAATAAGGGTAAATGCTCCATGTTTCTCAGATAGTTTTACTGTTTCTGCGATCTATCGAAAGTTGGTCAGATAAGAACCTGAGATTGTCCTTAGAAACCCTGTCGTACACTAGGTTATAATGATAACCCAACTACAGGTAATGAAGAGGTGTGAAAAGACGAAAGAGATACTAGAGACATGTCAACGAGTATGAATACTGTTGTTGACCATTGAAAATTCCTTCTAGCATCCACCATTACTGGAGTTTGAGAATGCCATGTGGCTGAGCTGATATCTATGTGAACACATGTTCTCGCCCTCAGTTCTATATTTGTCTAATGCATGAATATTTTCGCGGGAAAATAAAATTCATCGGAGCAGTCTGCATAATGGAAGAACAATGTTCATGTATGTGGTTCGTGTAGTATGCGGGGATAGTGACACAAAATGTTACAAGACATGACCCGCAGTTGTATTGTACATTACTTACATAGAACGCTGTAATTTATCTGAAAAATACCACTTGTCAAGTCTTTACAGCATTGTGTCACATTTGAAACGCAACGTACACGATCTTATCCGAAAAGATACAATGGACATAACAGCCAGAAAAGGGATAAGTTTCCGAAACTCGTTAATCCACAAGTATGTTGAAGCAGCCCATCACCCAAAAGATGTCGGGAAATTACATGCTAGCGAGTACAGTCGACTCAGTCAGTATTGTACTAAGTTACTAGTTAAACTTATTTACCCAAGGAGCTTGGAACTTACCATTGGCAGGAAACGTAGTCATTGGTCAATATCATACTGATTAAAATCTAACTCCTCCGACTCTGTGGCTGGATGTATCTGGCTAGGGACTATACATATCAATCTCTTTAATACTCTGCAATATAGGAGAAAAATGAAATTGGGAATATGCAATTTTTTGGGCCGAATATATCCCAAAATTGTCTGTGTGATCGATGACTATGGAGAGGGACTCTAAGTCTTTAGGGCTATTTTAGGTGGAGACAAGGTACGCAATTTGTGGAGAAGACAAATAATCAGCCACCTACTGAGTGCTGCATTCGGACGACAAACTTATGATTCGATTGAGTATTCATCGTGAAGAACGGAGTGCTTGATCGCTGGTAGTTGTTGCAAAAATTCAATCGTGAAAGTGATACTTCGAGAAGAGAATGAACATGTGGAGCACCAATACATACTGTTTGCGAAGCCGATTAACTATCCCATTTACAAAGATCTACAATGGCAGTCACACAAGGAAACAATATCCTCTGCACCATGAAGGCCCAAATTATCCACGCGTTTGACACGCCCTACAGATTCGAAGATATTCCTGCACCGAATCCGCCACAAAAATTTGAACTCCTCATTCAGGTCGGCGCAGCTAGTTATTGCCATACAGATACGATATTTGCATCGGGGAGATTTGGCGGCAATCTACCCATGGTGAGCTCTCATGAGTTCGCTGGTACAATTGTCGCTCTTGGACCCGATGTTTCTCAATTCAACAACACCAACAAGGGTAACATGGCTAATCTCGAGATCGGAACTAGGGTTGGTGTAGCTCCTCGTCCTTTCAATCCTTGTGGTAAATGCTGGGAATGTCATAACGCCCCAGAGGATCAGAAGAGTGCTGGTGATGGGACAAAATTCTCACTGCGCTGCCCTCAGGCCTCTACGCTGGGGATAAATGTCCATGGAGGGTTTGCTGAATACGCGATTGTGGATTGTCGACAAGTGGTGACCTTACCGGATAGTATTTCATTTGTCGACGCTGCACCCTTGATGTGTGCCGGTTACACGATTTTCTCTGCTTTCAAAAAAGGAGACTTTAAACCAGGTTCCCGGATAGGGATTGTGGGCTGCGGTGGGGGTCTCGGACACGTAGGATTGCAATTCGGTGTTTCTTTGGGCTATCAGATGGTAGGCATTGAAGTTCAAGATGGCCCTTTACAGTTGGCAAAGGATCTCGGGACTGGTGCGAAGATTTTTGATGCAAGGATATCCCAACCTGACGACGTCATCGATGCGATTGACGGTGGAGTAGTGAAAGATCCACATGAGCGCGGTGTTGATGCAGTTATGATATTACCCGAGACTCAGAAAGCTCTGGATTACGGAATGAAGATCCTACGTTATCGCGGCACTTGCATGATGATTTCAACTCCAGCAGAAGGATTCCATGTGTCGTCACACGATGTGGTTCTTCGTGATATCAAGATTATCGGTGTCTTACCTGGACGGAGGGCTTGGCTGCAAGAGATGTTCGAGGTTGTTGCAGAGAAAGGGATAAGGCCTGTTTCCAAGAAGTATGCTTTATCTCAAGTCAATGAGCTTGTTAAGGATTGTGAGAAAGGTCAAGGTGGTAAAGCAGTTGTCGACATGACTCTATAGAAAATAGATACGCATCTATTCTATGTTACGTAGGCAAAGCCAGAGAGCTCATTCTGCTTCATTCTCTACTAAAGAAAGGGCAAATCGAGTTACAATTAAAATACGTAATGACCCAGCTACCTCGAAAATAGCTATCTCAAGCTGTTGTAGTCTTATGAGAGTGGCTTGAGTTTTCGAGTACTCATACTATGGAGCAAGCTTTTCATAAACAAGCTCAAATGGTCTGTATTTCAGATTCTAGATCTATAAGGTAGCTATAAATATCTTTAATCTCAAATTTATGCCTCGAATCGATGGGACGGGTGGGTTTACCGCTGATCCCGGGCTCAGTCTAAATTAACCTCCGCGTTTTCACTCTTTTCGCCGAGGAAAAAACCATTTTCTTAACAGACTCTCTCTTCTTTTCCAGTAGAAGTTGGCATTATCTCAATGTTGAATTTGAGTCTCTCACGCATTCCAATCCCAATATGCGTTGATGCTCTCGGCCTGCGGCGTCCCCTCATCACGTCGTCGAACCCAAAATGTGTTGTTCAACCATCCACTAAAGCAAGGCGGCGCGGACTGCTTACTCTTGCCATTGAAAGCTCATGGTGAGGAACCGTTCCAGAGACGTCTTATTGAATCTTTAAAATCATGAAGTTCTGATAATCGCATGGCTATACAGCGATGACACCTCCGTCGCAATCGTCGAAAAAGATTCCTTCCATAAAAGCTTCGAGACCCCTAGGCACACCGGACATGCAGCTGCAGAAGTTCATTTTCTCGAGAACATAACAGCGGATACACGGAAATATAGAGGAATTCACCCGATTGAAGCGCTACAATCTCACCAAGAAAATCTCGCAAAGCTCGTCCAAAAAGCAGTACGGTCACTACCACCGGTCGCGGAAGACTACTCACCCGAAGATGGTGCAGTGATATCACATATAATTCCAAAGAACAAGAACGGAAAATCTACACGACACCGCCTCCCTAACTTCATTTCTGTGACAAGAGGCCCCGGCATGCGATCCAATCTCTCGGTCGGGCTAGACACGGCGAAAGGGCTAGCAGTGGCCTGGCAGATACCTCTCGTGGGAGTACATCATATGCAAGCGCATCTCTTGACGCCTCGGCTTGTCTCTGCTCTTAATAGATCTGTGCTGACCGATGATTTGCAACCTAATTTTCCATTTCTTTCTATACTGGTTTCCGGTGGTCATTCCATGCTTGTTCATTCAAAGTCTCTACTTGAGCACGAAATATTGGCTACGACAGCTGATATCGCTATCGGTGAAACTCTTGACAAGTCGGCGCGGCTTATACTTCCGGAGTCTGTATTGGAGTCGGCAAACACAACCATGTATGGCAAACTACTGGAAAAGTTTGCATTCCCCGGAGGACCAGCTGATTACGCCGACTACCAGGCGTTGAAGACCCGAGGGGAGGAAGTTGTGAAACGCGATAATGATACTTGGGGATGGTCGTTTACCACTCCGTACGCTAACACAAGGGATTTGAAATTTAGTTTTTCAAGTGTTTCAAGTACCGTAAGTAGGATCATGGCAAACAAGGAGAAAGCAGATGTTCGGGTGACACGAGATGAAAGAGTTGCCCTTGCACGAGAGTCTATGCGTGTTTGCTTTGAGCATCTAGCCTCTAGAACCCTTATCGCTCTAGAGCTATTGCGCAAGCAATTGCGCAAGCAATATAATACCAGTGGTAGTGGCCAGGAAATCGATACCTTGGTGGTCAGCGGCGGAGTCGCTGCTAATCAATTCCTCATGACTGTCCTGCGAGCTTTCCTGGATGTGCGTGGGTTCTCACACATTAAGGTTATTGCTCCGCCTCCGTACCTATGTACTGATAATGCGGCGATGATTGGCTGGGCGGGAATCGAGATGTTCGAAGCAGGCTATTCGACGGATCTGAGCTGCAGAGCAATTCGAAAGTGGACTTTGGATCCCAGTGCAGGAGATGGCGGTATTCTAGGACCAGAAGGGTGGATCAAACGAAACAAACCCGGCCCTTAGGATTTCATTGATTTAGAAGCGTGTATAATAGTAGTGATACCCTTGTAGAATCTAGAGCTGTAGTATACTACCGAATGATACCCCACCGGAGTGCACTTTTTGCAATAAAAGTAAGACTGGTCTATAACGCGCTTGTACACCTTTTCCATCCTCCATGCTATGCATAATGATACGAAAACTCAAGGACATCCCACTGCCCAACATGATATAGCAAGATCCAACGGAAGAAATAGGCACGAGTATCAAATCAAAAGATGTCAACCAAAGGACGTCAACAAAGAAAACCATGCGTATATGAAGAAACTAACAATCAGAGAGTAATGAAGAATAATAGAAGAGTCCGAAAGGGAAACACAAACAGATATCTATGTCAGCCACTCGGTGTCAAATACCAGGTTAAGTTTCATCCCGGTCAGGGCAAGAAAGTTCCATCACGTCGTAAGTCATAATTTCGTATGCCAAAATGAATAGAGAATGCGATAGCGGTACCGATTCATAGTAATGCCAAACAAGGGGGAAACAAAGATATTCACCACGCATGGCAAGTGAATCCATATTGCAATCCACCAAAACGATTGGGTAGAAGAGAAAAGAAAAGACTGGTTAGTCGGGTGCCAAAATGTCTTTGAGTGGAAGCAAGCTTGTCCTGCGGGGATACTCGTCACTGCTAGACTTAGAGACAATACCCGGTTGAACTTGGGTATGGAGAACATCATCCCTTCTTCTTGAGGTGCGAGGCTGTGTGATCAATGATTTCAACCCCTTCTCGAAGCACTTAGTTTATACATCAGCAAATGAACGAATTAAAGTCATCAACAGAGTCTTACTGCTTTTTCGACATCCTGCCATTTCTCTCCAATAGCATTTGCAAGAGGTTGCCAGATTTGCTCCCGACGTCGACTGTACTCGGTCGATAGCTTCTCAAGCATTTCTTGATTCCATTCCGTGCCTCTTCGTTTAGCAACGAGACGCTCGTGCCTTTTTCGGCAAGCGTTCGCCGTTTTGTTCGGAAAATGCTCCCTTTGTATTTGACTCCATCCTTGGCCCCCGGCCCGAGCGGATATAAGCACGGTGTCATCATGATATGACCAGCTCGACGAATGGTTAGCCCCTGATTCGTTGAGAGGGCGTTGTTTACCAAGCTTGGCTCTTTTTGTCGCATTAAAGGGAGAACCATTTTGATGCGGGGAGTCCATCTCCACAATGAAAGGCTCTCTCAGTAGACTTCGGAAAAGATCTGGAGAACTCGGTGGTGAGATGTCGAGAGGCCCGCCGCGGATGAAGCCGTTTGTGATCTCCGCCAAATCACAATCTTGGCCACTCAGGGTTAGAGACGGCGAACCTTCTTGTGATGACGGGGAGAACCGTCGCATGGGGCCAAATGACTCGATGTGCAGTGATCTTGAGGTCCTGTGTCGGGATGTTGTCGATGACAAGTGTTGTGTCGCAAAAGCAAAAACAAGAAAACTCCACTTATACCATGGAGAGAGACTGAATCGTATCTAGCCGTAAATGAAACTGTACTACAACGCGGCTTGGTGTTGAGGCTGAAGGCTGACAGCTATGTTTGTGATGTTCTGAGGTAAACGAATATCTAAACGAAGAAGTTTGTTGGTGGCCGTCCGTGCCTGTTTATAGTCAGGTTGGCGACAGTAAACTAAGCGGCCCAGGACCTATACACACCATATGGTGGATGACAATGCATTATGGGATAAATTCAGGTTTATGAGACGACAACTTCACAGCCTCCTTCGGAATATTACACACACTTTCAAAGCAACATGTGCTATGCGGGTGGACCCCATTTCGATATGCAGATAGGTCTGGTCTGAAGACCACCATAGTCTACTAGTCAGACTGCAGCAAGCATTGGCTGGGCTACGCACTAGTTAGCCGTTAAGTCTAGAGTGATGACAGAACAGGCGAAATCGGATGGTTCATCTCCCTAGCGCGTTTGAGCCGACCAAATGCGGAAAAGCAGCTGAATCGAGATTCGAAACACGAGGCTGCGCAAGAGTGATTCCGTCAAGTTGGACGACCCTTGACCAGGGTTTAGCCGCAACTCTGAAGCCGGTTGGGGGCGATGCATCAGGAATGCAGGTCCGGGGAACGGCAGCGCAGCGACGGGCGTGTAAGTTTAATTTGGGGTTGGCTGTGCCGGCCGCTTGGTAGGCCCGTACATAAACGGGCGCATCATTTGCAACGAGAAGAAGCGGGCTATTTCGATATAGCATGAGAACAACACGGGAAGTGTATCACTAGCTACTCAGGCGTGATGTAGGATGGGTTAAATTTGGAGCCGGTGGAGCCCTCATGAATCGTGGGGTCGCCTAGGAACACACGTTTATTGGCTCGGCTGTTGTTAATATTAGAAATTGGACCCGGCGTGAGGGGAGCCTTACCGTGTGTAGCTTAGGGCAGTTCTATATTTAAATTCCATAGTATGTATTCTTTTTCTTTAGTCGGGATATTTGTATAGATTCAAGATTTTATTCTGACTATTCTCATGTTACACGCAGTATATGCAATCTAAATCACCAGATACACGTTGGTTCCCTGGAATTCTTCAGGGTGAACTTCGTGCAGAGTGATACCTAGGTATGCCCATTCTAACCATGCTCTTGGAAGTCTACAGGACATATGTATGTACCTCCGTGCATGGAGGCGCCTCGGTCGATGACAGTAGTCTTGGAAATATTTCGTAAGCATGAACAATAATACTTCAGCCCGACAATCCGTTAATCTAGGTAAACGCTATCGAGTATTTCGAATTATATACAAGGATCAAAGGCTTTCTGAACTCTTAAGGTCCATCAACTACCTGGACACCCGTAGATCTAGGTAGATAACCTTGAAAGTCGAGTCTAAGTTTGAAGGGACCTGAAATCCTCAATTCCTCATTCAAAGTTTTCTTAGGACGATTATGCAAAGTGTTCCGACGAGAGGCCGTGGTTGTCTCGATATACGGATAATGATTGAATTACGTAGTTCCAAGATATTATAGGTCCAACAGTCGAGGTCCTTTGCGACCCAGCTCCACGCTCAGTGATTTGAACCATGTATGCCTCCAGGGTCCGGTAGTAGCCAATCGCTTAGACAACGACCTAAGATGACTCAAGTAAGGCCGCATGGGTCACTCCTATAACAAAATGATAGCGTGCTTTCATATTGTCATGGCTACTTCAGGGCTTTTGATGCATTGCTTCCTTATGACTATGCCCGAAATGCGTCCGGAATCCTCTGGTGATTGCCGATATGTTGGAGTTCGGCATCCATTTTATTCTAGATTCTGACGCATGGCGTTACATAAATACCGGAGCTGGAAACCATATGGTCTGGAATTTCAGCTTGGCAGATAGTGTCTGGTAACTTTGGTGGCTTTCCAACTGTCTCACGTGTTATTCAATTACAATGACTTCGGGCTTATAAAACAATAGTATATTATTGGATATACCTTATGCAATGTAGAGTCTGGTTTCCTAAACTTCGTGAATTCTGGCTGAGCGGTTATTACTCTGGAATCATTGGTATGGGCATGCCAGTGGAAATGCAAGTGCTTTTCAGCTGCGTAGGCTTGGACATTGGAAAATCATGAAAAATGACAGATGACCTCATGGGCTAACATCGAGAAAAAAACCTAAATGAGAAAACATACTTAGATTATATGCATGACATGTGAGCAGTACGTGTTAAGGGCGCTAGGAGAAAGGGCAAGATCAGATTGAGTTTAGCATACTGTGCAGTCCAAGTCACCAAAGACCAACACAACTCACATGGCTGGTAAATGATGAAATTAGGTTGCTCTAGAAGTGACCACAAAAACGGGTATCACCCACTGTGGGGAGACATGGTGCATAGCGCCGGGTATGTGCCTTGTTCTAATAATAGACAAGCCGGAACCAGTTTGTCGGCGATGCAATCTACAAAAGACACATACATCAGCTTTGCTAAGTTGTCACTAGGAATAGATCAGATCCCAGGCCTTGCACTTAGGCACGTACCTCACAATGGAGGCGGAATGTCGTATATAGAATAACTTGATGAGGCTCTAGAAAGATGTCATGTGTGCTCTAGCTAAGTGGTGAGGTCGAGGCTTGATATCAACACCTCGCCTCAAACGGGCTAGCCCCAATATGGCACCAGGGCAGGCATCTACGTGAGTCAGCTGATATCCTGTCATAACTTGACGAGGCGTTCCTTCCTCCTTTCACAATGGTTGACATGGGCTATGTAACTCGAGGGATAATTGAGAGAATTATATCGAGCCGAGCCGGCATACAGTGCAAAAAAAATCATTGCCGTCTGTCGAAAGAGAGAGACTTACGAATCCTGGTGGGACTACCTACCACATTACATCTGAGTAGCCATGTTCCGGGCTGCAGAAATCTGGGATCCTGACAATGTGCATTCAACACTGGAAGTGGGGGAACACCCAAGCAGATGGATAATTCCTTTATACTGTCCAATGAATGTGTTTATGACAGGGACGCCTGGGCATTAAGAAGGTGCCTGGGTGTCTAGCGGAATGTTACCCCATCATTTCAAGATGTCTCACTCCACGATATCCTGATGAATTCGACTCCTGTGATCTGAAATAAGATATGAGCCGAAGATATTAGCCGTATTGTATAGCACGAAAGTTTGATATAAGTCCACTGTCTGATCATTGGTCAATTAAAGTATATGAAGTATCCTATAGGAACAAAGCGGCGACGTTTTGGCTCGGTCATGTATCCAACTGTCTATTAATGGTGAGTGAGCTTAATTCAGTTGTCTGGTCCGTGCAATTCCTGATAAAGAGACAGTCAAGGTGACTGTGGAGCATGTCTTTATAACTACTCTCAAGAGGGACACACTATCTAGAGTTTGTAGTTAAGTAAAGGGACGATGTAGTAGTATAGAAGCGAAGTAGAACATTCATAAGTACTTATCTCCAACAGCCTGTGGAAGACTTTGTTCCATTTAAAACAACGGTCTATCGGGATTTGAATGCTCGCCTTTTCCTGGCGTCTCATGGTGTCTCCAATGATTCGGCGGCGCCTCCCCCGCATTATAGCATAGATCTATCGCATCTATGGAGTAATGACTGCAAAATCTGAAAAAATCAAACCACTTGTTTTTGAAGGGTGACCGTGGTAAAAAAAGCTATCCCACAATGCTGAGTAAAATCTAGTCCACCGTGCTGCTACTTCACAAAAATACAGGAACAGTCACGAAGGTATATGGGGTAGAAATCCAAAGTAATCAATCGTCTCGTTGGAGTTGAGAAAGAAACACAATAAACTTATCAACGGACCGTGTCGAGCTAGTCCGTATTGGGCTAAATTTAGGATTAGTCATATTTACACTAACCGAATATGGCTAGCGGTGGCTATCCCGTGCTTCGATATTGAGCACGTTGATGCCGACGTCGCAGCCTCGCGTCTGGCAAAACTCGTTGCGGTAGAGCCATAGCTCTTGCGCTACCAACTTATTAACTTGCTTTTCCTGTCGCCCTTGAACTTTTGGAATTGCGTGTTGACTGAGCCGCGCGTTGCCACCTCTTTTCTGTTGTCCAGTCTTACTCTCCTGCGCCTGGGCACCTCCCCCCTGGATTGTTACAAAAAACCCCGTGCGATAGGATCAGTTGCCTAGCGCTTGAAGAAATCATATTCACCATGGCTCCATTGTCTCGGAGACGGACGTTCTCGGCTCGATCGATGGCGCCGCTACGGAACTCACGAAATGGAAATACGACTCCTGCCGATGGACCTCCACAGAAGAAGCGCAAGTACATCCCTGGTGGGCCAGGCGGTGGTGGCAGGTTCATTGAGATAGATGCTGTTGTCGAACGAAAGGCACCACCCGCTCCCGTCGCAGAACCAGTCGTGCCAGCGCAGACTCAACCTTCTCCGCGCCCTCGACGCGAGATAGCTCCTGCTATCGCCAGCACCCCGCTCCCCATGACCACTCCGCCTTCTACTCGCCCTCGAAGAGAACGCACTCAGAGTCGAGGTCGTTATAGTTCTGCGACTGCTGCTGCCTTGGCACTCCAACAAGGTGATGGCTACAAACCCCGCGAGGAACGGGGCTGGGAGGAGTTTCACCCCGATCTGGATATCGAAGCCAAATTTGCAGTGTTCAGTTCTGAAGAGGTAGACGGTGCCGACAAATCACAGCAACCTATTCCAAGTACACAGTCCACGAATGGTATACCTACAAACTCAGAGGGCCACGATTCAAATACAGTCGCCCCTGCAGTTCTCCCCCAAACACCTCCGAAGCGACGACCCGGTCGGCCTCCACGGCGACCTGATGCTATGCTCAGTGCTATTATAACACCTGAACAGCCAAAAGTTGTACCACCTCCGGGCCCGAATCCCCGTGAAAGGTTAACCCTTCCCAAACCAAACTTTCACCTTCGTGACCCGTTTGTTCGCTATGAGCAAAAAGGTGTCAATCAACAGAACTATGTGGATCGTACAATGGCGAGTGTTGGCTATCAGGAAAGTGATTTGTTTGTACGTCACGATCGTCGACTGATTCGAATGGCCGAGGGGGCTATTGAAGAGGATCTAGATCTGGACCCACCCGTGACAGATGGTGATACCAATGCTGCCATTGGTTCATTAGGCGTCGGAAGGGTGGAATATGATATGGACGAACAAGACGAAAAATGGCTAGAAGATTACAACAATAGGCGAAAGGCTGATCAGCTGGAGCCTATCAAACCAGCCGTTTTTGAGATTACTATGACCAAAATTGAAAAAGAGTGGTATGCTCTAGAGAAAAAGATCCCAAAGCCTAATCCTAAGCCACCCCAAACGCAACGTCCTCGGTCAAGCTCCGCGGCCGCTGTCAATGGTGAGCCAGTGGGAGGGGGCGAAGAACAGGACAGCAAATGCGCAGTTTGCGATGATGGAGACTGCGAAAATTCCAATGCTATCGTTTTCTGTGATGGGTGTGATCTTGCTGTGCACCAAGAATGTTATGGTGTTCCATATATTCCGGAAGGTCAATGGCTCTGTCGAAAATGCCAGCTGATTGGGAGAGGGTCTCCAAATTGTATTTTTTGCCCCAATACTGAAGGCGCCTTCAAACAGACAAACACATCAAAGTGGTCACATTTGCTTTGTGCACTCTGGATCCCGGAAGTGGGTATCGGCAACCAGTCCCTCATGGAACCCGTTACGGACGTTGAAAAGGTACCCAAGAGCAGATGGAAGCTTCAGTGCTACATATGTAAGCAGCGGATGGGTGCATCAATCCAGTGCAGCAACAAGAATTGCTTCGTGGCGTTCCATGTCACGTGTGCAAGGCGATCTCAACTGTACTTGAGGATGAAGTCCAGCCACAACTCGGCAATTATGGATTCTCACTTGTTGAAAGCTTTTTGTCACAAGCATGTCCCACCAGACTGGCGAAAGGAACATGGCACAGATGCTGCCTACGCCGAAGCAGTTGAATACTACAAGAATACAATGAATGGCAAAAGATGGGGCGACAGTCAAGCAGCTGCTCTTGCACTTGGGCCTTCACTTCCGGACGGGAGCGAGGCGATAGAGAGCCATACCCATCATGGTCCAAACATCCATTTGACCTTTAATGCAGGAGGCAATAAGCGAAAGCGCACGACTCCCTCGAAACCGACATGGAAGCTGGCTTCCGGGGCACCAGTTATTCCCCAGACCGTACTAAACTCTGTCGTGGCATCGTTGCAACGTTTCTCTGTCCGTCAAAGGAAACAATATGCCGAGGACGCTTGCAAGTACTGGACTTTGAAGCGGGAAGCTCGACGAGGAGCCGCTTTGCTGAAACGCCTTCAACTGCAGTTGGAAACATTTTCGTCGATGGAGATGACTAGGCGAAATTTCGCTGGCATGGGTCCTATTGGCCTTTCGCGCCTTCAGCGTCGTATTGACTTTGCAGAACGCTTATCTTCTGATGTGGAAAGAGTCCGTACCCTCTGCACCGAAGTGAAGAAGCGCGAAAGTGCCAAGCTTGAAGACGTGGAAATGCTCAGCAATATTATTGATACTGTTTACTTCCCCATACCCCCGTTGCTGTGGCCCATATTTGAAAAGATCCAGACGTGAGTCATCTACCAATCATTCTTTTTATCTTTATGTCATGATCACTAACTCGCGTCAAGTCTCGACCCTAGGGGTGTCTTCCGTTCATCCCTACAAGCCGTCCGCAGTCGCTTGGAATCGCGATACTACACAAATGTCTCTGTATTCTCTGCTGACCTAGCACATATTTTCACTACTGAGATAGGCACCGAGCCAGTTGAGGATACTGCAGAGCTTCAGCTTCAAATTAGTGGTCGCGCACCCGAACTCACATTTGACCAACGCGAAAAGAGAAAATTAGCGAAGAGGATCATCAAGTCTATCCAGCCATTTCTCGAGGATGCCATCCGAAAGGAGACTGAACTGAGTGGTTTGCCATTCGAAAAGGAACTTAAAGAGCTGGACAATATCTTCGAGAGTGGCGTTCTGTCACGCAGGATCTCTGTAGTCGAGGGCCTAGATGCGTCAGCCGACCACAACGTGATGACAAACGGGGTGGCAGTTGAGTCTGACAAACTTACAAAGATGGAACACCCAGAGACAGCAGAACATACGCATACTCTAGCAGCCGACCTTGACGTGAACGTTGATTTGCAGGATGCAAATGATAACTACGGGAAAGCGACCAACAATATCATTACCGCACCCTCCAGTGACCGGGCAGCGGATGAGTCCATGGAAGCGTCTGAAATCATTACCGACGACATGGGTGGCGACAAAGTGAAGAAGGACAACGAAAGTGTGATTTCACAACAAAGTGGCCATGTTGCAAGAGCAACGCGAGGTCCATTGACACCGCCTTTGAGCTCACAGGGCGATCAACAGCAGGGGCCACTCGCTCAAGGAGGTATTCAATGGTATATGCAACCTTTCGATCCGATCGGCACGACTATACATGAAGAGCGATGGACTGGCCGTGACGTTCTACGTGGCCTGAGTGAGGAATTAAGTGAGCTTGACGAAGATGAGCTTGAGGGTTTGGGAGGAGATGAGATTATAGATGGGATTAATCGAGAACCGGATAAAGTCAATGGAGCTGCTCCTGAACCTGTGAAGGTTCGTCGGACACGTCGACGCTATCGGGGATTCAGGTAGACTGTTATTATGACGAACTTGGGAGTTTCTTCTGGCGTATCGTGTGGGAACAGAGGGCTTTGATCCGTCATACACACGGTTTTATTTAGGTGCTTTTAGTATGCGATCTGTCATGTTGTTATAGCATAGCCTAGCATGCATACAAGGGTGCCTCTAGCTCATCGTTAATTTTACATGACAAATACAGCGGCAGTGTCGCAGAGTATGGAATCCGAAGGAGATTTACGTTGGTGATGTTCTGCAGTAGCCTCATAGATAAATCCGGCCCCAGGCCCCAAGGCTGCAGCGGTCCAGAGTTCTAAGGGTGAGGTAAATACAATCTTGGCAAACAAATCGTTCTCAGAGAATGATTTCCTCACCTTGCCATGCTCACGGAGGTATGATTTTCATTTTTTTCATCCTTCCAAAGTTTGAATTCTAAGCTTTTACTCCGTACACTTAACGCATTTACTCTTAGCGCAATTTTGAAGGCTCTATCCGACTTGTTGGGATCTGGAGAAGCACGCCAAGACTTGCCACCCTAGCGCGAATCATATTCTTTTCAAACTCCAAACGAACTCGGTGCTTCCTTCGTTCCTCTCCTCTTCGTATCAAAACACTCCATTGAATCCATCACCAAAATGTCCGCCATGGAGTATGAAAATGAGAATGGTCGTTACGACGGTGAGTTTGGACCCAATATTCTTGTAACACCTCTCTTGCACTTAGTCTGACTAATCCTCGACTCGAAGACGACCGTCGCTATGATCGCGACCGTAGTGCTTCACCCCGTGGAGATTCACGCGCCGACCGGGACCGTAGCCTTTCTCCAAGCCGTAATGACGATAGGTAAGGATATCGCGCTTAGACACGTATATATTGAGCTGTTCTCTTTGCTAACATTTTGTTGGGTAGAGCACCAGCAGGCGACTCTCGGAAGAGTGCTCCTGGAAACGACGACGAAGATGAAGGAGCTGTCAACCCAGGATCCAACCTTTTTGTAACTGGAATCCACCCTCGTCTCACCGAAGCAGACATCTCTCGCTTGTTTGAAAAATATGGAGACGTGGAGAGCTGTTCTATCATGCTTGATCCTCATACCAAAGAGTCACGTGGGTTTGGTTTCGTCAAGATGGTTACTGCTGAACAAGCCGATGCCGCCAAGGAAGGCTTGCAAGGTGAGGTGATCGATGGACTCACTCTCAGCATTGAGAAAGCTCGCCGTAGCCGTCCTCGCACACCTACTCCCGGCAAATACTTTGGCCCACCTAAGCGAGGTGAGTTTGATGCGATTTTTGAAATGTCGCTCGCTGTAACTAATATTTTTCTCTCTTCCAAAGACCCTCGCCGAGGTCCTTCACGTGGAGGCCGTGACCGTTACGACGATCGCCGTGGCTACGGCGGTGGTTCTCGTCGCTATGATGACTATCGATATGGTCGCTACGACTCTTACGGTCGCCGTGGTGGCGAGTACCGCGATGACCATGGATACCGTGGAGGCGGTGGACGTGAATACGGCCGGGACTATGGCCGCGATTACGGCCGTCGTGATGATTACCGTGACGACTATGGTTCATATCGAGGCGGCGCTGCTGGCGGCAGTGGTGGTGACCGCTATGGTTCCCGTGAAGAACGTTACCCTCGTGGTGGAGAGGAACGTCGTGGTGGTGACGACCGTCGCAGCGGCTACTATGACCGTGATGCCAACCCTCCCAGCTACGACCAGGCCCCTCCTCGCGAAAACCGTGAACCCTACAACGGCGGTGGTAGCGCTGCCGGTGGTCGATCTTACGAGGGTCGGGGAGAGGAGCGTTACGGCAGCAGGTAAGTTTTTGAATGCCGATTGATCTGGATATGATCCGGCAGAGGAACTTGAGGGTTTGTGTTTTGGCTCTCACCCTTTTTCCCCTTTCCCCTTTTTCTCTTTTTCCTCAGAAGTTTCAATTCTTCATTTGTATTCCTCGGTATATTCCATTCTGTTTCGTGCTGGGCTCGGGCGCGAAGGGTGACGGTCGGCGGAACGCCTTAATAATATCCCTTATTTCATCACCTCTGTGCGTTCGAAACTCAGAAGTCACGGCTTTGGCACGTCTACCGTGTGTCGGCGGTACGAAACATCGCCAGACAAATATTGAACACCACCGACCTGTATCAACTCTTACACATTCTTGTCGTCCAGATTTTGCGCACCGCCATGATGTTTCTATCTACTTGTTTCAGTCCTCTCAGGATACTTACGGCATGTTTTTGGCGACGGGAGGGAACAAAAAAGTCAGCTTCTTAAATACTGCGTTGTAATCTGGACAGCACTGCTACGTTTGCAACTTTCCGGTATCACCCCTAAATCGATAGTCAGCTTATGTGCGCCGTATTCGAAACATTCTTCTACGTAACGACTGGACCAAGATGCGACTTCGCAAAGAGAAAAAGAGAGATCGGATTTTTGCATTAAATCACTTAGATTCACACCAGGCCAAAACTCGCTAATCATCCAGTACAGTTGCAATTTTCTCCTGGATGCCAACCTGATCTCATCATTTATCGTCTCACGGCATCTCCCTCATACCGCTTAATCCTGATCGTCCACTTTGGGGGGGTAGCAATGTTGGCGACGTATGGGAACGGCCAACTTGTAACACGTCAACGGCAATTCTCCCGCTGTTGATTGTACTCAGGAATTGTTTTGATGGTGACGCCATATTGTCCAGGTAGGTTAAATTCCGAAAAGATGAATGACTGACTTGCTATTGGGAAAGGGATGGTCATGGATATCAGATTGTCTTATGAAGCGTGTTTCTAGCAGAATGATTCATGGTACAGACTTCACAAAATTGCGGCTGCAATGATGCTGTGAACATGCAGCCCAGAGATTCCTTTTCTTCTCGAAAATAGTGAAGATATTTCACAGGATCCAGTTCGCTTCAGTTTGTTGTAGTTGCTATCTTGGCTTGGGTGTCTCAAGATATGATAATGTGTAGGCTAGACGGATCGTATCAATATAAGCCTTATAGACTGCACTTCGGTCCAATTGTTGCGTTGCATGGAAGCCTGTTGAACGCACTTCTTCGCCCATCTCAATGCCTTGATGGAGTTTTGGACAGTATGGACCCCAAGCACGCGGAATCTGTATCATTCTTCACAAATGCAATTATTATCCCATTTTGCACCGAAACTCTGAATCGAAAATCCTCTAGTTTGCCTACTGCGCATTGTTCTGACCCTGCTCGACTTCATTACTCTTCTTGATGAGAAATTCACCAAGGACTTTCAACGGGTTCGACGGTCTATACCATGCATCATCAGTACGATTCTGTCTGCGATCGTGGGATTCGAAACATACTGTTCTCTTGCAATTTCTTTCATCCCCTCCAGTAAATACGGTGTAATCTTTTCATTCAAATATATCCGTGCTGGCGCACCACCAGCTACCTTGGGCAGGACATTATCCAGTCCTGCGGCGGCATTTCCTTCTGTTGTTGCTGGTGTTGTTGAGTTATGGGTTTCGGCAGGGTTGCCAATGGGGGTTGTACTCGAGCTCATAGTGGCGGTATTTTGAACGAATCGCTGCAAGAATGACTGTGACTGCTATGGAAACTAATCCTTGTTGACTGCTATATGAAACTAATCCTTGTTGATGAAACCCTTGGCGCAAAACAAATCGGAATTTGATGTTGTTTTTGGGGAGCGGGATTCCCGAGTGGAAGTTGGGACGTAGTGTGGACAAGACTGATATACTGCAAGGAAGAAGGGTGCTTCTCGCTAATTCTCAACTATGTATCGGTCTGAATTGTCGTCAAGCTATCGTATATCATAGTGAACTATTTTTTGATTGATGTTTGTCAAGGTTGATAATCACGAGCTCAACCCGATCTAACCAAGAGTGGCTATATAAGTCACCTGATCTGGCGCCAAAGTCGTGCCTGCTTGAGACGTGTCGCCAGGAACGCGTCGTCCAAACTCTTCATTCGAACCTGCCATGATCCACCCCTGCATTCTATTGATGCACCTCATCTATCGGGATGTGCAATCAAATTTGTCGGACTGGTGAATTTGACTTCTGAATGCTGAAAATGCCTTCCTTGCTTGATTTCTTTGAGACTCGCCGCCCTTCCGCAAAACGACAAAAGGTCTCTCATGGGGTGAACTTCGAAGAGCTGTCGGCTCGAGTTAATGGTCAAAATGTGAAAGAATCATCTGAAACGCTCTCGGAATTGCTTACCTTATCCAGAAAAGACACTGAGTCCACAGACGTGGCTGATCTGTCAGTTGGCAATGACGTCTTGGACAATCTCCAATGCAGTCAAACAGCATTAGAAATCTCGCTACCGCCGATCAAAACTGACGATGACGCGATTAAAGAGTATGAAAACTCTAGGGCTGCTGAAATCGAGGAGTCAGAGTCGCTTTCACTAGAACAAAGGCTCGGGGAGAGGAAATGGCACAAAGGGAAGAGTTCAATCTACGTGGATGCATTCAATCTCGCACTCGAGACAGTGCTGAACGAAGAGGCTCACCTGTTCGATCAGACGGAGCTAGACGTTTTTTACAGGTGGAAAGATCTGAGCTATGAAGCACAGTACTTGTTAGTTGACCTGCGCTACTCTAAAAGTCAGCAGCCGAGTTAGAAAACAGTATTAATGTGTGGTTTTTGTTACTCAGATATGTACGGCTTTTCCTCCGCAAGACCGCCGCCTGGCATCGTATCAATCGTTTAGGTTATTACCAGGACATTGCCGATATGGATCAAGCTGTGGCGGATTTGAGAGAAGTTCATCCTCTCTCGTGTTCGAAACCCTCTGTTGCATACGAGGTTCCTGTCTCGTCCGAACAACCTGATAATTCAATTCTCCTAGGTGATTCCTTCCGATTTGCTGAAGGTATTGAGGAGATTGCAACGTTAGAAGAGGCTTCGTCCCTACTGCTATTAGAGGAACTTAAAGAGATGGCTAAAGAAGCCAAGGTTCAAGGGAAGAACAAAAAGGAGCTTATAACAGCTTTCCTTCAAGCCAGTCAGACCCAAGCAGGTCTCAGATGGGATGCGGGAAAAGGCAACAATAGAGATCGCCACTTTCACAACAAGATTTTGGAGCTTACTGGTGACTGTATCAGACTTTCTCCAGCTCCTTTGAAGTTATTTGAGAGGGTGCATTTGGTCTTTTACCGTTCTTCTGAGTGGACAGAGAAGTCTCTCACTACAATCATCTTAGCGAAGATTTCCCAAAAGAATTTTCCAGAATATATTGTATCTCGATCTACGGCGATATTTCCATCACGGGCAGCTTTGCTTGAGTTTGAAGTTGCTTTAAGAACACAATACGATATTGACAACATACTTGAGTTTAGCGGCACGCCGGCACCGCAACGTCTCCAAACTATCAAAGATCTGAGCGAAAAGGTTTATCCAAGGTGGAAAGTTCTACTTGAACAAGAGCAACAGAAGGAAAATAGTATATATTTCAGTGGCGAAGGTGCTTACTTGCGTCGATTTTCACCCGCTTGGGTGTATACGAGAATCATACACAAAGGCCTCTACCCACTCGGCCGTTTCAAAGAGCATAAACGGGAGCATGAACTACTGATCGATTTGCTTGACCAAAAGCTCTTTCACGCTGCGCGGCGTGGTGCATGGTATCAGAGAAAAGCTCTATTGGAGGAACATTACCTCTGGGCCTTAACTCCTAATGAAGGTAGAACCGAGGAAGCACAAAAGAAGTACTGGAAAAGAATTGCCTTGACCACGTGTGAAGCCGGGCTCCAAGATCCAGATTGCCATGTCATCTATCACTATGACCTTCAAAAAAGGATTGCCAAGCTCGAAAAATCCTTGAAGGTAGTCAAACGAGAACAACACGACTTTGGGCACGTCCTCCTTGTCAAGCCACGGGAAAGAACTGTTGAAGGGATCCGTGTTGAGAAAGAGGTTCCCTTGACCCAGAGTGACTCGAAAGAACGAGGCGATAGCTCGGGAACATCGACGCGTAAAGGACATGCCACAGTCTGGATTCATGAACGAGAAAACGGCGAAGAATGTAGAGTTGAGAATATGTGCTTGAGCTGGTACCGAGACAACGGTTGGAAGGGCTATCATTCCGAGGGCGGTATTGTACGGACACTTGTACGTGGACCATTTCCTTTTTTTGAGGCGCACGATCATGCTAATTGCGAGTATTTACAGTTTGGCTACCTTTTTTTCGATATACTCTTCACTTATGTCCCCAACGTCTTCCAGACGCCTTTCCAAACCTGTCCCTTGGATCTTCATACAGACGCCTTCTATCCATCTCGCGCTTCCGAGATCAATCATCGGCTCGTTCAACTTGCTAACGGCGAGGCCGAATCCATTATACGCAGGGTCCACGAGAGTGAATTTCCTAAACGGACCTGTATCGTTGGCGTAGACTGGACGTACGCACTTGACGACCTCGTGGAAATCGTGCAGTGTTTTAGCGGTGCATCTCTAGCAACGGTGTGCAAAGTGATGGCACAAGAATATCAACAGCGCGGAGGCGGTATTCCCGACCTTTTCCTCTGGAACCCAGACAAGAAGGAGGTCATGTTTGCCGAGGTCAAATCAGAGAATGATCGATTGAGTGATACACAGAGATTGTGGATACATGTTTTGACAGGCGCAGGTGTGAAAGTAGAGCTATGTAATGCTGTGGCTAGGGAGGTCAGATATATATGAATAATGCCTTTACGATGAACATCAACATACAGGATCATCATCGATGGATATGATTGATGAGACGCCGTTAATAATCACATGCTACAGGTATCTACAAAATGAGTAAACAAAAATGAGACGTAATAAAGAAAAGACCAGTAGAACTTTTTTTTGGATTCTCCGAACCAGAGATGTATTGACTGGCTACATAGTAATCGTGAGCTTCATAGCTTTCAGGATTCGAGAAATCGTAGTACCCAGTTACAGATTGCCAATCTCCTGAAATTGTTGTAAACGATATCATGCTTTCGAGGGCAGCCTGGTTCCGGGCGTAATCATGAATGCGTTTCGTACAACACAACGAAGACACTGTTGTATTCTGTTCATTTAAGCAACCAAGGTGCTGGCAGTGGCGCTCTCGTATCTCCAGGTGGGAGGGAGGACACCGACGGTCTTGTAGTAGCGAGAAAGACGGTGGATACGGGACTCGATCAAAATGAGGCGGAACTTTCCATCCTTGTCCTTGCGGTTGCGCTCAAGGTGCTTACGGACAGAGACAGCCTTCTTGATGAGGAAGTAGAGATCCTCAGGAATTTCAGGGGCGAGGCCTACAAAAGTCACTCTGTCAGCCTTGTGTTTGACCAAGCAGAGGCAGAAGATTTTTCTTTTTCTTGTGGGCGTGCTAGAGACACGGATATTGACTATCGGTAATCGAGGCAACGGAAAGCGAGAAGGCACCACAAGCCAGGAATAATTCCTTTTAACAATATATTTTTCTTTCTGATTGGTGACATTCGCAAATGCACATTCGCTTTCCGAGCCGACACCTTTCGTCGATCTACGAGCTGACGAGGGGAGGAATGCGGGGATTCGTACCGTTGGACTTCAAGATACGAAGGATCTTGTTACCTATTGGAAACATTATTTAGTATTTATTCTCAATACATGACGGGCAAAACCATGACTTACCAGTGACGTTCTTGACCTGGGCAATACCGTGGCTGTCACGGAGGACAACACCGATCTGACTGGGAGTAGCACTATGAATGAATGTTAGACTGTGAGATCCTTCCATTACAGAGGTTTCGCGAGAGCGAATGAACGTACCCCTTCTTGGCGAGCTTGCAGATCTGGTCAGTGACCTGATCAGGGGTGGTCTTGAGCCATGCTGGGGGAGTTCTGGAGTAAGGAATGGCCGAAGCGGCGATACCCTTTCCCTTGGAGTGAAGACTGCATTCATGTTAGATTGAGATATATCGCAAAGGACAACCGCATCGAATGTTTCTATTGATTCTGAAGCGTCGCATAGACAGTGAATATTCGCAATACATACCGACCCATTTTGAATGCTGGTTTTGCCGAAGAAGATTGTCTGTCGGAGGCGTTGGGCGACTTGTCGAGTACGAAATAAAAGGTTCAAAGAAAGATCGCGAAGTTCTCGGGGAAACTTTTCGGTGGTGACTGTGTGTGGGTCATGTGATCAGTCTTGGCATTATCGCTAATGGTTGCATTTCCGGCAGAATCTCTACCGCCCACTCCGCTTCATAATTTTGTTTGAATTTTTTCCTTCTGGTCTTTCTCATCCTTACAATTGACGCCGTACGAAGTCAACAAATGTTGCTAATTGGTATGTATACTTTTTGTTCTGCTACTATTTTACCCTACTCGCAGTTTTCTGATGAGACACATCCTAATTGTTTACTTATTTCTGGTACCTCTTGTGTCAGAGGCGCATCGACTTCTGTTGGTGTTGCCTCGATGATCGAAACGGACTTCTGATTTTCCTGCTCTCAATTGCACTATTATTTCTCTTGAATCTTCGAAGATTTCCAGCTAACACGTTCGAAGATTCATTATAGGTTCCAGGGTTTTAGTCTGATGACACGGCAATACTGCTCGTCCGCTGACCAGTCCCCCATGTAAGAAGATACAGTTCCAATGAAATATACATTCTTTCCAATTCATATCGTTCCGTTCCAACTAAACGTATTACTCTTGCAATATTCGTAGCCGTTGTCTAATTTAGAGACCATCTATCATACGAATCAGGATTCTACGCCAAATCTACCATGTGAAATTCGACATTCATTTTTTTATTTAGCCCTTGTACAGAGGCTCGAAGTACAGAGTTGAAAGTGGTAAACCGCCTCTTTGGTTGTCCGGAGTCAATCGTCTCATACAATCTTTAGACAAACGAAATGAAACGCCTCGGTACTTCTATTCCAGCTGCCAATGCACCTTGTTCCCATGGTCAAATATAGCACGGAATCGAGGGATGTCCCCATGCGCAAAAGTGATGTCTTGCGGATAGCACATCCTCTGGTTTCCGCTCTGAGTAGTATCTATGATGTCTTGTCCGAAGGGTTCTCGCCAAATTCAAAACAATATTATTGAAGAATGTCGAGTCATGACAACCGAGATCGTTGCTGTCGGTCACATATTTCGTAGTCAGGAGTAACAAAGTATTTCACCGGCAATACTAGAATCGCCGCGCAAATACTTTCCCCGCGTTTTCGATAATTCTCCAGATCCCGGCAATACCCCAAGCTTCGTTATCAAATGCCTTTCTCCGAAGCATGGAATCTACTAACACCTCACTCAAACACAAGTTATCTCACTGAAAGGACAAAATCGCCCGTTCTGATTCTCTCACTTGAGCAAGGTTTCACCGTGTCTGGCTCAATGGCAGAAAGACTTGGTGATAATCCGGAGAATTCAAAATCCCCAAGCCCGGCGCGGCGAGACTCCCAAACCGTCGAGAAAGTTTCTAGAGCTTGTGATAACTGTAAGTTAAAGAATATGGATCCTATCAGACGTCCTTTCAACTAAACGTTGTCGCACCAGGTTCCAAGTCGAAATCGAAATGTCTGCTGAGGCCTGGGACGAAGACCTGCGAGAATTGCAGATTCTTGGAAATTGCATGCACCTTTAATCGCACCGTAAAGAAAAGGGGCCCTCCAAAAGGATATGTGAATACTCTGGAGCAGAGATTAGCTTCGCTAGAGGGCCTAGTTGCCGAGCTACGAGACGGACAAGCAGAGGCTGGCCATGTATCAATCAACAACACAACTCTGGCTTCTTCGGCCATAAACTCGAATTATAACAACAAGCCAAATGTACAAGAATATGCAATCCCCGATAACATAAACCCTCATCAAAAGCATATATCTCTTCCAGAGAATCCATACAATCGGAAAACAGACAGTACTTCAGAGCGCTCAACAGTTTTGGGTTATCTGTCAGTCGACGAGAATATGACCATGCGGTACCATGGACCAACATCAGGTCTTCATTTGATGACCGCATCCCGAGTGTTTGTGTCTCCTTTTTGGCATTTCTCTAACCCCGGCTTCTGGCCACGAAGCAAACGCACTACATTTCGCACAGAAGACGAGATCGTATCTGCGGCAGATGCCATATTAGGTGGAATTCTTCCTACCATCCCCTTGCAGAATAAACTCCTCGAGTTGGTCTCTCCTTTCAATCTATGTATATCTACCTCTAACCTGGAATGCTTGCGTAGAGCGTATTGGACCTTTGTGCATCCCTGCTTCCCAGTCGTGCACAGAGAGACATTTCTCTTTCAGCTGAGTAAAGACCGTCGTGGCATGCCTCGACAAGGGAAATCAGCATTCGATCAGATTGAACGCCGAATTCCGCAGGTGCTTTTACTGTCGATGTTTGCACTCTCAGCTCGTTTTATTGATAACTGTGAGCCTCGAGAGGACAGTGATCCGGGCGACGATTATGCAATCAAAGCAGAGACTTTACTTGCTCAACATAGTAAGTAATTATTACTCTATGTTTGAGGAACTACTGATTACATGTCACTGGACTTTGCTAACTCTATTAACAGAGCAAAGTAGCATAAACTGCTGTTTGGCGTTAATTATGATGGCCTATCGCGAGATTGGCACCGGTGGTTCTATCAGTTGGATGTACGTAGGAAAGGCAGTTCGAATGGTAGGATGAAACCACATACATATGAAAAAGTTTTTGCGTCCGAGGCTAATATAAACATCTTAAGGCCCAAGATTTAGGTTTACATCGGGACCCTTCTGTCTGGAAAAAAACACAGTGCTTTCGGAATATGTCCAATGTTGAGATGCAGATTCGGCGTTTGATATGGTGGGGTGCTTTTGTGCTTGACAGATATATTTCTGCATGGCAGGGTAGACCTTGTGCCATTCACCAAGATGATTTTGATACTCAGTTTCCCGACGATACCTTGTATGAAAACAGAGATAACTCTTTATCCTGCTTCGTGCAAGTCATCAAACTATGCAAGTCACCATCTATAACGATGCGTTCGCTTTGGCTTGGGACTGACTGATATCCAGCCATACTTCAAGGACGAATACACAAAGCATTCTACTCCGTAGGAATCAAAGACCCCAACTGGGCGACGCTACATGACCTGGAGAATGAGCTTAATGAATGGGAGGCAGATGTTCCAGAATTCCTCGCCATCAAACAGGGAGTGAAATTACCAGTAGCAATTGTTGTGATGCACGCACAATTTTGGAATTGCAAAGTGCTCCTTCATCGTCCGTTGTGAGTTTATGTGGCCCCCTACAGGAGTTGTATGGTGAAGCAAGTTTCTGACACTTGGCCATAGTATCGTGACCAGTCGAAACGAAGCCCAGAGCAATAATCCCTCACTGCTGGCAGCAACTTCGGCGGCTGTTGCAATTTCGAACCTCCTCGAACATTTCACATCCTCTTATAATCCCACCTTCGCCCCGCCATTTTTCAACTACTACTGTTTCACGGCTATTATAATGCACCTTTTTAACCGCGCCACATATCCTGTCCTCTTCTCTCCATCTGCTTTGATGCATTGCATAGACTGTTGTCGAAAGATGAAGAGTATATGGTCGAGCGCAGCGCGGACACTACATATCATTGAGGGTGTCGATCATAAAGTTGAAAATACAATGCCGGATTACTATAGCATCCATTCTGGTGCGTCAGCACCGACCGCAGCTGCTACGGCAATGGTGGATGCCCAGCATCAAGGAGCCGCAGAAGGAGACGAATCGGCAGTACTGGGCTTCTCATTGTCGTCGTGGCCATCTCCAATTGCTGAACCAGACTGGTTGGGTTTAGAGACATGGAGGGGTTGATCCATTTACTAGATATAATATACGAGGTATGAAAGCGAAATAATGTCACCGTTATTTGACTGTCTCGAATCTGTGTTAGATCGTTGAATCAAAGCCTATCACAACCAGGTTTGTCAGTGAATAGAATTAGGGCTAAGTATAAACGTGGTATCACTTACTAAAGCCCATTCGACTTATATTCAGCCAAATAATTTGGGAAGACCCTTCCTTAGGTAGTTCACATTATACTTTACTCCTCATGAGCTTTCTCCAGTAGTTCCCAAGGTTTCTTCTCCATTTTATACTAGCATAAACCTACTGTGAAGTTGCCGTACTCGTCCATGAGGATCCGGAGAAATAGTTTCGTAACGGCCAAAATATCTGGACTGCGTTAACCCCCACATTTCAAATGTTCCTGCTCGTGCATAAAAAGAGATCTACGTCCTCTAGGAGTATTTCACGTAGTTAATTTCGATACTGGTATATTTACAGCTGATATATATTCCTTACTCTGTTTTGAGATACGCACTGACGGCCTGCTTCACAACGAAATCGGATTCAGCCAAATAGTCTCAAGATGTCACAGCACGTATTGCCTCGCCCTGAAGACCCAGCAAGGACGCGGGTCATTATCGTCGGCGCGGGACTTGGTGGGCTAGCCTGCGCTATGGCCATGCATTATGCAGGCTTCGAAGTCATCGTCTTCGAAAAAGTACGCGAATTCCTACGTCTAGGCGACTCACTTGGTTTGGGAGAGAATGCGCTTAAGCTTTTGAAACGATGGGGCTTGTATGAAGAATTGATTGCAATTGGGAATAAGAATCCTGTCATGAATATTAGACGTTGGGATAACGGGGGGATAATGGCGACACAGCCGCTTATGGTTGGTGATTTTCCAAGTTCCCAATTATCATATGTGGCTTATTTAAACTAACCGATTCGCTTTAAACTACTAGGATATGGCAGGCTACATCGGACACCGAGGCGATTATCACGTCGCTTTCATTAACCGAGTAAAGCAGCTAGGAATACCAATCAACATGGGCCACGAGGTGGTTTCTTTTGACGAGGACGCACCGAGTGTCACACTCAGGGACGGGAGGACATTCTATGCAGACTTGATTGCTGGAGCCGACGGCATCAAATCCAGAGCTAGAGAACTCGTACTCGGTTTCAGTGATGCACCCAAGAGTTCCGGCTATGCCTGCTATCGATCATATTTCAAAGGTGAAATCCTCAAAGACGTGCCAGAATGTCAACAATACCTGAAGGAAGATTGCGTGAATATATGGATTGGGGAAGATAAACACCTCGTCCAAAATACACTCCGTGACGGAGAAGAGTTCAACTGGATTATCACCCACAAGGACACCGAGGACATAAAAGAAAGCTGGTTCCAGCCGGGAAACATGGATGATGTGCGCCAACTTGTGCAAGGTTGGGACGAATCAATTGCGTCAGCGGTTAGAGCCACTCCGAGCTGCCTTGATTGGAAGATATGTTATAGAGCTCCATTACCGACATGGGTAAGTAAGAGTGGTAAGATCGCTTTGTTGGGTGACAGTTGCCATCCACATCTTCCAACTAGTGCTCAGGGAGCTTCGCAAGCAACAGAGAGTTCGGCAGTACTGGCATTGTGCATGAAATTAGCTGGAAAGGGCAATGTGGCATTGGCAGTAAGACTGGCATTTTTATTGTCTGATATTCAAGTCAATAGTGATTGACATGACGTAGACCAGGGTGTATGAAAAGTTGCGGTTTGACCGAGTGCGACAGTCACAGTTATCCGGCGAAGATCTACGTAATAGGTGGCACAATGCATTGAAGCACATGCAGGATGGCGAGGAGTTTGATCCAGACGACATAAAGATTAAAGTATGCTTTCACACGCCAATGTCCCCCTTTTTAATGTTGGAGTTATCTGACCGAGCATAGAATCGATGGTTATATCCGTACGACGCCGAGGAAGATACAAGGGCTCGGTGGAACGAAGTCAGTTCGAAGGTACATAAAGAGCTTGATTCAGGTATAAGAACACCGCTCTTTGGCGAAGATGGGCCTCCTCGGATCCTGACTGTACGAGACGCATATGGGAAGGTCAAAGATGTAGCACAAAGCCAGAGCTCATTGCTTACCAGTTTGACTGTCTAACGAAAGGAGCAGAAATCCCCTGCTGAGACGGTTGTCTTTGCCTTTTCCAAGTATGTAGATTCCTGTATATAGCAACGTCCAATCTAATGCCAGATGAGATATGTGCTCTCAGGACTGATGACTCCCGAGCTTGTAAGACTCAGCGGAGTCGGAGTTTAGTCAAACCCTCAAAAATCATGATGGCCGAAAGTCGAGGCCTTTCTGCATCTGATTAGCCCAGTGGGAATAAGAATTTTTGTCGCGCACAACGCTCGTTTCCAAGGTCGCAGGCAAGCTGAATATATGGGCTTTATCATGTACCACCGGCCACACTTGATTGTGCAACATGATATCACTATTGGATTGGGAGAACGTAAAGTAAAATCGCCCTTATAGCCAATATGCGAAGAGTTCCTTGCTAAATGACTCGGCCATAATCGGATCATTTGTCAATCTCATATCGTGATAAGGTGTCTACCCTTAATGTGTAGCCAATGGTCACATAAATGATGTGAGTGTGACAGGTGGCGTTAAAAAGTAAAAATTTCAGGGACGAGCTAGACAGAGTAAAGCAAGGATATTATCAACAGCTTCAGAAAAATTTTGTAAGACTCAACGGCCAGACTCTTCGAGCTTTTAGTCACGTTTAAGTTGTCGACTTTTGTCATGGTCAGTCTGTCGGGAAGGCAATGCTTAGCGCGGCTGCGATTGGACATGTCGAACAGACGCCGCGGCCGAGCGGATTGTCCAGTGAGAATGCAGAAGCGTCAAACCAGCTCGTCTCGTCCCTTTTTCTGCCAGTTGCTTTTTCTTATCAAGCTTGTGATTGGAAGATTTCGAGCTAAGAATTTATCAGAGTGCATATAAAAGAGACGAATAGCAGCGCCAGTCTAGAAAATCGCCGAGTACTCGGCCTTTGACATATTTCTATCGATACAATGGGTAGACGATTTCACGAAAATGAAATACCAAAACCAGAAAACGAGATGTTACGAGATTCAATAAAATGTTTTGTTGCCACCGATTGTCAAGAGGGGTAGTGTGATAGTAAGATCCTGAATGGTTGTCCTTGTGCGCTGTCAGGGGTGATCATCAGGTGATGTAGGTGTGCCCTAATATAGGGTTAGGGTAATAAATCGAAACATGCTCTCTTCCTGAGGTCGTGGACCTTCATCGCCTGGCTAACTCTGCTCCTAGAAAAGCTAGGCCTGTAGAACTCGATACATGGTCGAATTCTTCGAAATTTGATCTTGGTCTCTTCGAGATTAGAGTAGACTGTCTCCCACTTTTCGTAGAGTCTGGTCTTCGGCAAAGACCAATCCAGGGTACCTGTCGGGTGTTACCGAACGTTATGCTACATAGTAGGATCCTTCTATAACTAGTGGCGAACTCTTCATACAAACATCTTTCCATCCTCGAAGAAGCCGCGTCACAAGAGACTTTTAGTTGCTTGACGATCAGTTTTCTATACAAACACAATAAAGCAAACCAAGTTCATTGGTTACCAAAAGCAATCCGTCCATCATTAGTCCCGAAGTGTTCTTATTCTCGGAACCGGAAACGGGCGGGGCCGACGCAGTTTGAAACTTCTTGAAACTTTTCGCTTGTTTCAACTTTCTTTCTTGAATGTGCTATGATTTTCTTTTAGGAACAATGTCCGAATCTGACGATATAGAACAGAGAAGCGAGTATATGTGGGTCAGCAAGGCAGCGTTAGTCACGACAATTGGCGACATCCCATCGCTCTTAGCCAGGTACATATACACGCCAGTTAATCTAATTGAGACCGTTACCCTAGGTAGATGGGTTTAAATTGTACAAACTTCAAAGTGCCAGGATGATATCACCGTGTACTAAGTATGTCGTACGCTATACGAATCATATTTATAAGTAACTATTGTCTACAGTCGTTTCACAAAGCATGACCGTTGACGCGGATTTACGGAGTATGTACAGAGATTCTATATCGTCAGTGAGGACGCAAAAGCAGGAAGTATTTCTCCGTGTATCCACTAAAATAAGCAGTATGGATATGACAAGCATAGATTTGGAGTCATACGTAGCGACGTATATCCCCCCGTATTCGCCTATTTCTACTCAATCCTAATGTGCGTATCAGTGCTGAGAGACAATCCGGTGTTTGCAACTGAGGAATATAATATCCAATTTGATTAACCTCAACTTCCGAAGAGTCTTGTGCGTGCGGTCAGCCTTATTTGTTATTGCTAGGTATGAATATAGATTATAAACTCATTGCGGTATGACGTGCATGACAAGTTCTTCTCAATTTGTAACAAGACAACCTAAGGGAAACCACATATTACTCAATCCAGAATATGGAACTGCTGCTAACGGTCTAGTTAAGCCACGAATTCAATCTTAATTCATGCTGTTATTGTGCTAGAAGAGTCGAGTTGAAAGGATACCTGGCCGTTCTCAGCCACGGCAACACGGTGCGAAGTTCGAATAGAAAAACTCAACTCCGGTGAAGTACGTACATAGCGAGTCTTAAGTAACAAGGTGAGTTATGAGCAGGGATTCAAATATCCTTGGTGCTCAAGGTCCCAACAGAATTTAACACCTGCCTCTCTAAGCAGTGATCACTGATACTGCAACATCGGCATAAAAACTCCACCTACTCCGATATTTCCCCTTGTTATGTCGTTGCGCATTGGAATTGACTCGCCCAGTACTACTATACTTCCATATTTTGGCTGATCTGATCGAGTATGTTCATTAGAATACTCGATGAAAGAGGAACCTTAAAAACCATTGGATGATCTGTGATTTGCGCATTGTCAAGTAGTAAATCTAGGGATTGATTGTGGATAGTGTACAGAGTACTGAACGGTTAGGGTAAAGCTGGCTCGTAAAAAACACGCCGCAGCACGGCCGCATTGAAAAAATTGCTAATAGCCTGAAAAGATCGACGACTCAACCCATGTTCTAGAATCTAATGATAAATTCTCACTGTCGCTTGGGTTTATCAGTATTTACAGTGTACTATCCAGACCGTTGTATGCTTGGCTGCAAAATAGTGCAAAAAGGCTCAGACGGACAATGCGGAAATACACAATGCCAGTAGCTTTAATTGGCCCGTGTCTCCTAATATTACAGTCAAGCGATTAAATACGCCCAGTGGTGTAATCAGTACGGTATGGTATTATGCATTACAAGTAATTTTCGGTATGGGACGCCTGAGCAATTGTATTCGTTGAGCAAGCCCCTTTACCCGCTCGCGCCTATTGGCGAGAAGTCTTGCCCTAAGACTCGCCCAAGACTCCCCGCTTGTCCAGAAAATGCAGGTACTGCCACCATTTACCAGCTGGAAAGATGGAATACGGCGGACTATGTCCTAAAATAGTGTTCTTAAGATTGTGGGACCACTCAAACTAGTAGTAGGCTACATTCATGCAAAATCCATGGAAGTTGCCTTCCTCGGACCCTCCTCTCCATACGTCTTACGGGCTGGTACGGAGTAAGCCCTGGAGACGACCATAGGCCCTCCTCGGTGGGCCGGACGCACGCTATTACTGTTACCCCTGCTCTGGTTAGTCTATATGGGACTTGAGAAGCTAATGGCCATATGTGGATCCGTGCTCCAGACCATGGATGGCTCCATCCATCCTTGTCGATGGACTTTGGTATATCAGTAGTGTCCTGGCTCCTCATCAGTCTTGGCCAGTTTCCTTTTTATATTAGACTAACTATTTCCGCGCCCAAACGACGTTTTACGCTTTTCTTTCTATTTTCCTCCGTTCGTTGGTTACATCATTTCAACAACGCCGTTAACCATTGTAAAGAGGTAATCTTCCTCTTGAGCAGTCGGGCGTGGCTTGACTGCCTGGATGCAGTCTTTCATTAACCCTCGAACCATGAGGTAGCCGTTCATTACCTACTACAGCAAATATCTGGGTTTATTCAAGAGCAGCTCCAAAAACATAGTCAGCGCAACAAGGAACGACTTCACGAATCTATAACCATGACGAGTCTATCGGGTATCTGCCCACCACCTTTCATACAAGAGAGTCTTTTCGCCAACTCGACAGGATGTAAGTGGAGGAGAGAGAAGGAGAGACGGCGATTCGATGTGCTAACGACCTGGTGTAGACATCGGTGGTCGTTTTTGTGAACCTGCTACTGGAGGACAGTCGTGCTGCCTACCATGCCCGATGGCAGATTGGAGATACCCTGATGGTGAGTCAGCATTATCTCTTGGAAAACCGAAATAGCCATATAGCGGCGCATGTACTGACAGGGCCTTCATCAGGGGTGGATTCTACGAATACCGCAATCGGGTGGCTCGGTGTTGCGCTATTGCCCTTAACAGTCTTCCTCCTCGTTACCTGGGCCGTTCTCCCGGTCAAGTTCACAAACCGAAACTACATTAACGTCTGCTTCACCTTGTCCGTCGTCTGTCTGCAGATTCCGTTTATCATTCCGCTGGGGACCAAACCACAAAAATGCAGTGATGCGATTACGCCTAATGATATGCACACGGACTGGTCTTGTGCATTTACAGGCGCCATTTTGTTGTTCGGTGGTATCGCTTGTGTTACATGGAGTCTTTTGCGAACCATTGCTCTTCATCTCCAGGTCTGTTGGGAGGTAATTATCGGTCCCGTCTTTATGTGGGCAGCTTTCGCCGTAGGATTGGGGCTACCCGTGCTTATCCTTATTTTGATGCTGGTTTTTACTGGAGTTTCGTATCGATTCGGCAACGTATGCCACATCAACAGCAAGGATAGTTTGGGCGACTACTGGATCCCACTTTTGGTTTTCTCCGGGTTGGCACTGATTATGCAATTTGTGACCATGGGATACTGCATTCACGTCTATGTCAAGGCTCTTTTTGACCCGGCTGACCCTACAAGCACCAGTAACTCGGGCTTGCCGTCCTATTCGTCCAGCTCTCGTACAGTAACTGCTCGACAGGCATACAGGCGTGTGCGAAGGGTTCTCAAACTACAGTGGCGATCAATGGCTCTTGTGATGGTCATCCTCGCCAACGTCATCTATTTGGCAGTCACCTTTTTGCGGCTCGATAGTGATATGTCTGTTAACGCTGCCAACGCTGCCAAGGCTAAACCGTGGCTGACTTGCCTGGCGGTGTTCAAAGATCCCCACAAATGTACAAAAGAAGCTTCCGCACTTGGAATTACCGAGGCAGCATTAGATGCGGTACTGGTACTGCTCTGTATAGCCAGCTTCTGGAACTTCATCTTCACTGTGCGCATGACAATGTTCCGAGGATGGCTTGAGTTCTGGCAAGGACTCTTTGTCAAGAATGTTGAGTTTGTATCGGTGGACGCACGTTCCCGCTTCGCAGACACTCGCAACTATGAGATGCTCAACCCTTCAAAAGCCATGAAGTCACCTGAGCCCACACCTTTTGAAGTGCGGTCACCTACACCTGCGTACATGCAGAGTCGTGCAGCAGATGATGCTGATGGAAAAGACATTGAACTCCACACTCACTCGCGGCAGACAAGTTACACTCGTCCTACAATGAGTTTCTCAACGCCGCGGCCGCCAACCGCACAGAGAGATCCTTCCTCCTATACCTGGGATGCTACTAGCACTTTTGCTCGATCGAATTCCCAGATGAGTCATCATAGCCCTCGCTACAGATAATACTTTTCTTATACACATACACATTCTTTTTTTTTTCACTTTTCTGTCTACATTCTTATCTATTTATATCTAAACTGCGCTTGTTCGCTTATACCTTACCCTTATTCCTTATTCCAGCATGGCGTTGCCGGCAGGTGTTTGTCATATACCATGATTCTTATATCACTACGGGGGTTTTTTCTGTGTGGATAGTATTGCTAGGGAAAAGTTTAAAATGCCTACATGTATCCTTATGTCCCGTTTTTCTATGTTCGTCTAGCTAGTCTTGACATTATTACATTCATTCAAGCAGTCCCTCCTTAGGTAGGACGTACCCAACGTATAGAATTCATTGATCATCTACAAATTAATTCAATTAGTCAATCATGATCGATCTCCTCGGTCTGTTTTATTGACTATTCTCATATGGGCGCACGGTTAACAAGTCCGAATAATAGAATCGTATTCGACTTCCAGGTTGGGTTGGAGGTAAGAAATTGACTGGGCTAAGCCCCGAGGCCCTCCGACTCTGCCTTCTCCTTTTGAATTCAGGAGTACGTCTTTATAAAACTTGTATTTTCTGATAGAGACATCTCTAAAAAAGAGACACGGATGCGACTCGTTCCGCTAACGTCGTTCATATGTTAGGAACATGACTATCAGCTGAAATTTCCAGAGATCTCGAAAATTAGACTTCGTCGGTTCCGTTCCATAGAACCAGATACGATTCTGAAAATTGGCGCAAATGCCGAACCAGTGGAAGCTGAGACGACCGTGCACAGCCGTTCCATTGTTTGAACCTAAGTACTGTTTGGGCACGAATATGCCTAATACGTAACTATCTGATTATTGTTTCAAGGGTAGGTACTTCATTAGGTTCGAGACATAGAACTTAGTCAAGGAAATAGACTGTGTTCGACCTGCGAACGTAAATCTTGGGAACCTGGAGTTCGAACATATGCCACCGAACTGCATCAGCCTTGTTAAAAAGTTAATTGAGCAAACTATGAACGCCGATCTCCCAAATGTAGAGTTTCGGCTCAAACAGTTAGCTATGCTGCTATTCTCAGTAAATAATCCTATGGGCTCGTGGCCGACGGATCGCTTGCTCATTCCTTAGTAGGAAGCTGTATAGGAACTTTGACTCAAGTCTAATCTTAAAGAAATATCGAAGATCTTTCAGCCGCTTTCTGAGAGGCGTTCATATGCAAAATGATCGTATTTTGTGTGCAACGAACCTCGGATGTACCCTAATAGTTGCACATCGCGACGGATTTGGCTTAGCCCCTGTTGTAGAGACTGGTGGAATGCTGGGGAATTTTGTATCCAAGAACCTGGGTACGCAACGTCATTCTCGTAAATGCAATGGAGTTTGACTCTAATGATTTGATTGATGATTATTATTTGAAAGATGGGCTACCTCAAAACGTTCTTGCTTGACTAATGCCACATGCGTGACGACGAACCTCGGATTTGTAGAGCTTGTTGACGTAGGTACCAAATCAATTTCAGTAGTATATGTGATTCCCAACGATTGGACGATTGTTTCGTGAACTTATGACATTTGCCGCTTCTTGGTACAGACTACAGAACATACGTACAACGTGACTTGCTAGAATCCCGTTCTAACTACAGAGTACGTACGGCCTAATTAACTTTGCATTGAGTTCCTATTCTTCCTTCTGGAATAACGATAGAAAGAGAGATACGTTAGCCTGGAACTAATTACAGTGACACTACACGTTGTTAGCGTAGCACGAGTACGGGGTTAGGGTGTCTACATCTTTGGCTAACAGGCTCCACCGCGGTAGCATTATCTAGACGCGACTGCGGCTGCGCACATTCGTGCTCAATTAGTGAACGGCTGAAAGCTGAAGTAAGTGTTCAGGACCTTCAGTTTCCGTCGTCCCGAAGACTTTCGTGTCTCAGAGTAAGGACGGAGTATTTCTCGTATTCTACAGACTGAACCTGCAAGCGAGGGACCATGTTGGGTAAATATATTGATGTATACTACATAGCTAACGTGCTGGAGAATTATTCAAGGTATCCTGGTATAATCCCCTGCAGACGATGTGATTGGAAGACAGTGAAAAACAGTCAACGATGCTTCAAGTCCGCTTTTCAGAGCCGACGAGAGGGCTGGACATGATAACCTGCATTAGTCTCGATTTAGCTCTGCAGTGTTCTGCGCTAGCAGCGGGGTCTAGTGGGGCTTTTATGAGCCTAAGTAAGAAATTCAGAAGTCTAATTGGAAGCTATCAACAGCCTGCACGCCGTGAAACGGCCTTATAACGCAAATAAGACTAGCGTGCATCAGGGGAACACGGGCCATGCCATGCCGAGGACCCACTGAGTAATTTTTATCGCATGATATCGGTATTACCATACTGTACTGTACATACCGCTGTATCACGATGTATCGCAGTTTACGATCTCGGAAAAGTGTACGTAACTGCCGGCGTCCATGAAAAAAAAAAAATTATTGGAAGTAAAAATTGTCCGTGGGCTACCTCCCCACAAGGTACTGGCCTGAACTGGTATATTCCTGCATTCTGTAGAGGTGATGATCAGCGATCTCTAATGAATTTAGGCATTCATTGTAGCAAACCGAGGCTTTCTCATGAACTTTAACCAGACTTTTACGTACTTTTAAACTCCACAGTCCAGAAAAAGCAAAGTATGGTGAGAACGGGTGTCATGTTCATTAGGGTTTGTGTCAGTTGATTTACCCACTCTTCTCGTGTTAACTCAAGTCTTGAGACGCCTACGTTGCGATATGACATCGTGGCAAAAGAAGAAAAAAAGAAAAGCCAAGGCTAGTAGGTTACATTCATGTAGTATTTACATAGTACTTATCTCCTACGGTCCCAACACTACTTCTTACTTAGTGTTATTCACCATGTTATTCCCGCCAAGTACGGAGTCCTCCGCTCGTATCAGGATGAGACAAACCTGAGGGGAGCGTGTCGCAAGCAGGTGTGGACCGACGTCTATCTGACAGGTGTAGCGGGGAAAATAGCAATCCTCGAAGGATCGATATACCACCACACTACGGACTATTTGGTTCAGGGTCTAAGCGAGCACAAAAAAGTACCGAATGTGACCTGCAGGATAGGGTCACATTGCTTTTTGTACCGGCAACATGGTGAGGCGTTCAGTAGTATTCTACGTAATCCCTAAAGGAATACGGAGTAAGCGAGAGTATGGTGGGAATAGAATGTTGATATTTCTGAGATCAATTAATAAGTACACTTTCGTCAGTTCGATGCGAGCAATCTATGCCCCAATCTTGACACCCTTTCCCACCGTGTCTGTAGGCACTAGTACCACTGATCAAGCTGGATGACATCCATATACCCCGGGAATCGAGATCAAGCAATGAGCTCAGTAGTAAAGCAGTCGGAGTTCACGCAGGCAAAGTAAGGTTTCTGGTTGAAATACAGAAGACGCTTCCAAGATTGGTCAAAGGGACTAAGTAACTACCACAGCTCTTTAAAATATTTACATGAAGCCTTGCAATGCAGGGTCCAACGTTGGAGGTTTGATTTATATTAATCATGCGACCTATGCATAATCACACTCACCTTCCAGAAACCTAGATGAGCATGACACACCAAACGTCTCGGCATCATCTCTGACCTACTACAAACAACGTTGCCTTATTAAGGAGAGCTAAAGGCGTAGACTGAGCTCACCTCCTAGTGGCAGAGACAGCAGCCAACTACGAATAGAATCTAAAAGCCCGAATGTCTGGAAATACCGCGAAGGAATGGCTCTTTTTGAATCCAAACACACACCACCATCTCCAAAGTACCAGATAAGAGACATCGAATGTAAGTGTAACTGTGTAAGAGAAAGCTATGGTACAATAAATTACTCAGCCGCATCACAGAAGTAGATAAGCAAAAGCCACGATCACTGGTTGAAAGCACAGGGGATAGGGTCACTCCTCTCGGGCATCGATGAATAAATATTGTCTTTGAACATAGAAGACGAGATAATAATGGCTGATAGCTTTCCGAAAAAGTACAATAAAGAAGAGCTGGTTAGAGCAACAATCTTCCAGCGGGCCATCGAGAGCAAGACACTTTATAATATGGCAAAAGTGAAGGCAAGCGAGTGTTGATCCGAGACCAGTTCTGGAGTTCCGAAGCTCATAAACGTCATCTGGAGTATGTCGCGCTAATTACCACGAATCACTGACCTTCTGCTAAACGACCACATCATATCATACCATTTCAAATTGCATTACCATGCATCTACTTCAAAACTCTCCTATCGACGATGTCAGAAAGATCATTCAATCAACAACACAAAGGAACAACCCACCTCTGGGAAATAGGTCGTCACAACTGTACGATCAGAAAACTTTCGTCCCGCAAGTGCTTTCAAGGCATTGGTTGCTGATTCCACGCTATCAAACTTGACGTATATCTTGCCCACTCCTGCGGACTGTCGACTACCGCCAGCTGGGCGCGGAATCTTAACATCGAGTACTTGGCCATACTTGCTGCATTCATCCTGTACGTCCTCGAGAATTTCTACACGCCAAATTAGCATAACCCTAGCTACTCGTATGGGAGGCAGCTTTACATACCTTCGTAATCATCATTGTTGATTAGTTCATCCGCTGTGACCATGTTCAACAATTGGAGGATACGACTGGTCTCTAAATCTGCAGATGTTGTCTTGGCAAACATTGACATGGCATTAACGCCCATATCGAGGCCAGCTGCTTGGGTGGCGCCGATGCTAGCATGTGTGATCTTGAGATGTTTATCACCCAATTCCATGCCGTTCAAACTCTCCACTGCAATGGCTGTTGAAGCAGCGTCCACGTATTCACAGAATGCAATGCCCTGATTGATGTTAGCGACTGGACTAATGAATTGTCAATCTCATTCAGTGGCTTACCCTAGATTCATCTGTTCCACTATCCTTGACCAACACAAAGGCTTTCAACTCGCCAATAGATTTCAAAAGCATGGTAACTGGCTCTTCCGGGATATAGAGAGGAATATTGGTTATGCATAGCTTGTTGGGAGAATCAGGGACATGATTCGAAATCACGCTCTCCTGGTGCGGCTGCTGATCCTCTGGGACAGATGGAACTATGTAATCCTTGGGCCGACGCAGCTCTAGGCCTCGAGCACCACCGTTGGCCGTAGCGGCTGATTCGTGTTCTTCCATCGTGATGCCGTCCAAAGCAAGTGCAACAGTAGTTTCGTTGGCGCCCTTGAATTCCAAGAGCGCAAACGAGTGATCCTTTGAAATCTGGGCAGAGACGCATGGGTCGATGCCCTCAATCACGTTCAATCCGTTGAGCTGCAAGTTGAAGAATGAGACAAGAGCCGCTTCGGTTACGTTGGGCGGAAGGTTGTGAGCGAATAAGCGCTTGGCTTGTCGAGAGTTGGCTGGTCGCAGTGCAGAGTTTTCGGTAGTTCCTGCCGCAGGTTGATTCACAAGTGCTTGTAGACGGGATGGGTCGACTGCTTGCTGACGAGGTGCTCCTGGCAGAGGGAACATGCCCGAGAGCTTTGCTTGCTCAGCAGTAACATTGTCGTACCCCGGAGGCTTAATGTCCCATTGTGTCAAGCGACGTTTTCGCTCCAAGACAGACACGACGTTCGTCAAATCAGGAGTCGGCTCCCTCTTTTTAGGAGGAGTTGCGCTCCGTCGTCGTTCCCTATCCCGTCCCTCACGCTCTCGGCGGCGCGGTCGGTCCTCGAAGAGATCGCCCCGATCGCCTCGTTCTCGACGTGGTGGACGTTCATCATGCTCCCGGCGGCGGCGGTCACCTCGATCTCTGTCCCATTCTCGCTCATCCCGTCGACTAGAATATCGGTCTTCGCGTTCTCTAGCTCTGTAATCGCGACTGGACGAATATGAGTCTGCTTCTGCTTCACGACGTGAACCGCGGCCATGATGTGGCGATCTCGAACGTCGTCTTTCACCTCTATCGCGTTCGCCTCGATCTCTTCTTTCGTCTCTCTGTTTAAATATATGATGAGTATGAGGTATCAAAAGTTGTCAACACGATATCAGAGAAGTCCTTACGTAATGATCCCTGGAGCGACCGGAGTCTTAACGATAATATTTTAGCGCGAGCGTATATAAGCAGAATGCGCGTTCGATAATCTTACCTCTGGAAGAATATGCGTCGCCGTTCATGTCGACCTTGTTCAGGCGTGGCAAAGATCGAAGCTCAAAGTCAGCCGCTTGAAACCACCTGGCAAAAAAAAAAGAGACAAGGAGAAATTAAGAAAAGTGAAGTCAGAAGAAGTCGTATAAGCTGGCCTAGATGCAGGCGAAAGGAGAGGAATGGTGGCCTGTCGTTGCTCTTTGCTCCAAATCTTTTGTCTAAGACGGCTGGGGGTCCAGACAAATTCTTGGTAGAGCTTGGCGTTTAGCGCGAGAATTAGCGCGCCGCGTCTATCCCGCCTATCAGAACTCTGGTTCACCTGGATATTTACTGCGGAGCTTCTGGACTGGATTTACGAAGTTCACACCCCCTACTCCTATCTGGAGTCCTCGACCAATACATTCTTCAGTATGGGCTGAGCTCACAAGGGTATTTCGATTTCTTTAGATCACATAATGTCCGCGCATTTCACAGAATGGCGCAAATTGCCCATCAATTTGAGCGAGCTCTGCATCAATACTACATTGAGATGCGGGCAATCTTTCAGGTCAGCGCTAACCATACGAAACATCCCATGAAACCAAGCTTATTGAGTTGCAATTTAGGTGGCAAAAGATCCCCGATAGCGATGAATGGCGGTGCGTCCTCCGAGGACGTTTGATATCATTGAGACAGGACCCGTCGTACTTGTACTATCGCTCTTACGTTCCCCGTATACCCCTGGCGGCAACCTTCAAATCCACACCTTCAGTACCGACAACGAATGGCACAGCAAGCACCTCGGATGAGGCCCGTGAAATAATTACTCATTACCTCAACCTGACCTCCAACCTCACCGATTTATATACACAGTGGTCCGACTCCGATCCCAATTTCAAGAAAAAGGCGCCCAATTTTACAGGCATACGTATTCTGCGGCAGGATGCGTGGGAGGCTTTGGTGTCGTTTATATGTAGTAGTAACAACAACATAGCCCGAATCTCGCAGATGGTGGAGAAACTATGTACAAACTACGGCAATTTGGTGGCCACCATTGACGATCAATCATACCACGACTTTCCGGCACCAGAAGCGTTGACTGGCAAAGATGTCGAAGCGCGGCTGAGGGAATTGGGCTTTGGATATCGTGCAAAATACATATATCAGACTGCAGTTATGGTTTCGGAGAAGGAAAAGGGATGGCTAGATTCACTGCGCAACCCTGAGAGTCCTGCGTTTGGCATGGCACCGAGGCCGGGAGGTGAAATGCGTCCTGGAGGCAGAGAGGGCTATCGTGATGCCCATGAGAAGCTTCTTGAGCTACAAGGCGTCGGCCCCAAGGTTGCTGATTGCGTTTGTCTCATGGGCCTGGGCTGGGGAGAAGCAGTGCCGGTCGACACACACGGTTAGTCGCCTAACCTTGACCGATTGCGTGATATTTGTTGACTAACAGTGGTCTCAATCAGTCTGGCAAATTGCGCAGAGAGATTATAAATTCGGCAAGGGCGGTAACAAGTCACTGACGAAAGCAACCTACGACGCTGTTGGCGCGCATTTTCGCAAACTTTGGGGCAAAGAAGCCGGGTGGGCTCATAGTGTCCTATTCACAGCAGATCTTAGGAGCTTCTCTGACAGGGTAGCTTCTAAAGTTGAAGTCAAAGTTAAGCAGGAAGACGATGTGCCTGTGAAAACGACAATCACATCTACCGTGGCCGTTAAACGGCCGCTTGAAGACGAGGAAACCAAGCCAGTCAAGACAGAAGGCGTCGTTATCCAAGCGGCCGAGACGGTAGTTACCCGCAGGAGATCCAAACGATCACGTAGGTGACGAAAGGCAGTTTCAGCAATGAGAAAAGTGAATCGAGTCGAAATCGTGGCTTCATACACATCGTGATTTGTCAATTACAAGAAAATCCCTGACGTTCACGAATTTTCCATCCACGTGACTGATTGAAGAGCTCATGTGTCGGGTCGGAATGTTGATTAAAATCTGCGCATGCAAGTCATCATCAAAGATCTTCCTTGGCATTGCTGCGATGTTGAATGCCCTTAGTCCTCTTGTAACGGACAGGCGGATAGTTGACACGAGTGATGCGAAGAGTTGGAGAAATTCGCTGTTTGGTGCGGGGAAAAGTGATCCACTCAACTTTATTCGGGGGCCAGAATGCGATCAATCTGGAGGTCGGTGAGCGAACTATAAATAAATGTACTTGCATATAATGGCATAGTCAGTTCTTGTCATATTATACTTCCTTTTCTCCGTGCTATCATAAACAAGCAGCCTCATGGACAAGTAGAACGGGCCATCCGATCCGGCGGAGGTTGTATGTCCGCTATACTTACCAGATTGAGACATGCCGTGGGAGCGTGACCAGACAGAAAATACCGCAACTCCTTACACCTCTGAGAGCGAGAGCATGGAGATGAATTATCCGTAGATTTCAATATCCAGAGAAGGATTGAAGAGACATATGTCTATTGGCATCGTGCAGAATATGGTGAACAGAAAAAAAGGAGATCGGTTAAATACTGAATCAGCCGGGACAAAACGGTAGGCGCGGTCACATGTCCGAGTCATCCAGGAACAGAAGGAACAGCCCGGGCGAAGGCGGTGTGTCACTCTTTCTTTGGGTCGGGGCTAAAACTTTTCGTCCTTTGGGAATAATTGCCGCCGAGCGGGCCTGCCCTGACTGTTTTTCTGGAGTGACTAACAACCTCCTCTGATCTCGTCTTTCGCTTCGTTTCATTCTAGGAGTTGTTCTTCTAGTATTTTCTTTTGGCTAATTGCTCATTGAATGAATTTTTTCTTCTGATCTTTATTTTTTTATTTGTTTATTTGGTCTGGAAGAGGTGTCGCTTGTTGTTGCGTTGTCTTGCTCCCTTTACAAATCGTCAATTGACCCTCAACAAATAAACAAACCGTCATCGCCAATTCTATTTTTTTTCCTAGCGATAATATTCTGAAAAATCTTTACAACATGTCAAAAGTCACCGCTGCCGTTAAGCCACCTTAATCGGAACGCAGAAGAGGAGGAGCTCGCAGTGTCGCAGCAAATCAAGACCAATTTCGTACAGCATGCGCGCAAGGACGAGAGCTCCGGAGAGCTCTTCATGACTGAAGAAGAGTTTATCAATGCTATTGCACCCAAGAACGAAGATTATGTGAGTCTCATACTGTCGCCTCGATAGCTTTCTTCCTTCCATTTATACTTAGTTCACGTACTGATTGAATGTATTTATAGCACAAAATTCGACGTGACCAATATGGGATCCTCTTCCGAGTCGCAGATCGTAGGAGGAGAGGACGCATTAGTTTGAACGACTGGGCCGCATTCGAGAATCTTTTAGCAAAACCTGACGCCGAATATGAGATCGCCTTCCGTTTGTTCGATGTGGAAGGAACTGGCGCTATCAAGTTTGAGACATTCAAAAAGCTGTACGACCAAAACAAGGGATCAGAGACTATCCCTTTTGATTGGAATTCCGAGTGGGCTTCACTGTATATTGGAAGAAAGAAGACCCGTCATGATATGACATACCCCCAATTTGCCCAGATGCTTCGCGGACTCCAGGGAGAACGCATCCGCCAGGCATTTCACCTTTTCGACAAAGATGGAGACGGCTATATCTCCCCAGAAGACTTTCAGCGCATTATTCTCGAGACCTCGAAACATAAGCTCTCCGATTACCTCCTAGATCACCTCCCTACCTTGTGTAACATTTCGACGGGAAGCAAAATCTCCTATGCGAACGTTCGTGCTTTCCAAAATATCATTCGGGAGATGGATATTATTGATGTTATCATTCGAGAGGCGACCAAGAAGAGCGCCGATGGAAAGATCACTCGTGCAGAGTTCCTCAATGAAGCGGCTCGCATTACACGTTTCTCGCAGTTCACGCCCATGGAAGCCGATATTTTGTTTCACTTTGCAGGCTTAGAAGCCCCTAGCGGAAGATTGTCCCTAAAAGATTTCGCAAAGGTGATTGACGCTTCGTGGCAAACTGCTGATCGCGGCCTAGATTCTCTTTCTGGAGGCATTGCTAAGGTGGAAGAAACTGCCAAGTCATTCTTAACAAGCGTTCTCGAATCCGCCCATCACTTTGGGCTCGGAAGCATTGCGGGCGCCTTTGGTGCGTTCATGGTCTACCCCATTGATCTGGTAAAAACCCGTATGCAAAACCAACGCAGCGTCCGACCTGGAGAAAGGCTGTACAACAACTCGATTGATTGCGCCAGAAAGGTCATTCGAAACGAGGGTATCGCTGGTCTTTATTCTGGCGTTATACCACAGCTGATTGGTGTCGCCCCGGAGAAGGCCATTAAACTAACGGTTAATGACCTGGTTCGTGGCTATGCAACGGATAAGGAAACTGGCAAGATCAAGTTGCCCTGGGAGATCTTGGCCGGTGCCTCCGCCGGCGGTTGTCAAGTCGTAAGCTTATCTGTATTTGGCTTTGTAGCGTATGAGCGGTACTGACTGTGCTCGTTTCGGATGTAGGTCTTCACAAACCCCTTAGAAATCGTCAAGATCCGCCTCCAGGTTCAAGGTGAGCTTGCAAAGAGCGTGGAAGGAACCCCCAAACGTTCCGCGATGTGGATTGTTCGCAACCTGGGCCTGGTTGGATTGTACAAGGGTGCAAGTGCATGTCTTCTTCGCGACGGTGAGTATCATATATCTATATGTGTGCCGGACATGCATGCTAATCTTAGTGAATAGTCCCATTCTCCGCTATCTATTTCCCTACCTATGCGCATTTGAAGTCGGACTTTTTCGGAGAATCCCCCACACACAAACTTGGCGTTTTGCAGCTTCTCACGGCCGGTGCTATTGCTGGTATGCCTGCAGCTTACCTTACTACGCCTTGTGATGTGATCAAGACACGTCTACAGGTAGAAGCACGCAAGGGAGAGACAAAATACACTTCTTTGCGTCACTGTGCTTCTTCCATCATGAAGGAGGAAGGTTTCAAGGCTTTCTTTAAGGGCGGTCCAGCTCGTATTCTTCGTTCATCCCCTCAATTCGGTTTCACTCTAGCAGCCTATGAAGTTCTGCAAAAGCTACTGCCTATGCCCGGGTCCGAAGATCACAGTTCACCTATTTCAACTGGCGAAACTTCCTCGGTGCCGTCAACCACTGCTCCACTTCCCTATCTTCGATCACGAAACGCGTTGAAGTTGATTCTTGATCTCGATGACAATTTTGGCCGCATCAAAGTACCCAATAGTGCTTCACTTCCTAAGATATTCGGTGGATCTAAGCAATAGGTGCACTTTTCTGCCGTTGGACGATTACTACACGAAAAAGTATCCCTTCATTTGATCAACTTTTGCGGTGCTCTCGATTCATACTTGTCAATATGCGGGACACAAAAGCTCATACCTTCTATCTCCTTCACCCCTTCAATGTCGATATCCCGATCCGCTATTGCATGACAATGACCGCAAGTTGTCCCTTTCCCTTTTGCATGCCATGACATCTTTTGGAAATTTTCCTGCGATTTTGGGATCTGTACAGATCACGATATACAGTTCCATTTTGAAGTCGCTGCGGTTTCCCTTTTCCTTTTCACTCAATTATCTCAGCATGTTAGATGTACTTTTTTTTTCATATTTCCCCTTACGTTTCGTGTCTTTCAAATAGAGAGATTTTTTTGTATCCAAGAGCACCAGCAATACAGCTTGCTGTCATAGAATAGACGGGCAGAGGTTCGGTGATTGGTGCTTTCGCTTGGGATCCTGCATCAACCTACTGAGTGGTGGTGTTTCTCTAGATAGAAAGAATATTTGGATATGGGTACATAATAGATACAACTTGACATACTTCTTTTGGATTAGTTGATTAGTTTTCCTGACTTGGGCGTGATCTAACCGAGAAAGAAATTATCGAAGCTAGCAAACCGAGGTATGAATCCACTGCACCAAGAATTCGCATAACCGCCATGACCACCGGCCAACCCATAACTGTATCATGCCGACCATATTTCAGTATCTCTTTGCGAATTACACCATGCTCAGGCCTTCATTCTACGACGGACCCGGGATCACCCATATCAACATTCAATCTCGGCTTCATACGCTCAAAGTCTTCATAGCTCATTCCCTCCTGTGATACTGATGCTTTGACCGCATGCTAGAAAAGGATTTCCGTGTGATGCCATGGGATATCTTTGTCGTCTTTTGTATTACTAATTGTCAGACGATAATTCTTGCTGTTGATTTCATTTGCGCGAACATATCGCTGAAGTCGTTCTTTGCTCGGACACGTGTCACGTATAAAGCTTTGCAAATAATTGAATAAACAAGGGATCCTCGCCAGGGATGACAAAATATGAATACACCTCGCTATTCGATACGTAAGGACCAACGTCGCGGAATCGATAAAGGGGGGCAAAAAGAATAGTTCCCCCGAAAACAACAGAAGGAGACTCCAATGGTAGCTGCTCGGATACAGTAATGGCCACTGCACTACCCAGCGATTGATCAAATAAGATAATCTGCCCGGGAGGAACGCGAGCGGAGGTCATAGCCTACTTCACAATAGAGATCTCATCAAGTATCAGGCCATGCTCGGACGGTGTGCCCGTACTTGCACCAAATCCTCGGTAGTCAAATGCTAGGATATGAATCTTGTCAGGGCGACCACTAGCGGAATATAGGACACAGAAATTGGGTATTCTGTGCCCCGAAGCAACATTGCCAGCAGCAGCATGCATATGGATTACCAAACAAGCTTCAGGATCATCATGGAGTAGCTGAAATGCGGAGCACGAGGTGATATCCGAGACAAATCCCGATGGAAGAGCAACGAGAAATCTTTCGTGTCTGCGATAAATCTCAAGAGAATGCGCCAAGCGTAGAGCCCTTTCATCATTCATGTTTCAATTGGAAATGGAGTGACTTGATTCTTCAGGAAATCAAACGCCTCGGGGACGTTGAGATCTTTGAACAAGGTCATTTGTACGGCGTGAAGGTAGATTGCTTGTGATTGGAGTTGGGCTGAAGTGAGCAGTGAGAGCATAAATGCCACATATAGTATGATGATAACTCCTATACCAATTACACTATACTTGAACAGATCGATAGTATTAGTATGGTCTACATTACTTAGACATTTTGTGGTTGAATAAATTGAGACCAATATTATTGAGCCCGGGGGTATTGAAAGGCATTTCGCAGATCCTGAATAAAGCATGATTGAAGGCGGGTACAATTTCATTGATATGGTATTCCTCTTAGTGTGACTCGAAATAGACTGACTCTTTATCATTCCCACTTCTTAGTTCATTCATTGAGATGGAATACTTCGAAGCAAGATCGATCGACCATTGGTCCAAACGCAAAGATCGGCCGCTCCCGCTGTGGGACCGGCCCCAATTTTTAATTTGCGAATGCTTCGCATTTGCATGTTAATAGTATCACCCCACAATCAAAATTCAATGCTGACTGGCTTTCTGACATTAAATTTCTTTTCTTGGCCTAGATTCTCTCCTCTTAAGGTTTAGCTCCCGGATAAATTCATTAACCAATCAACTGCCGATGCAATGACTAAGCAGCTGTGCCAGTTTAACGTATTAACGTAATCGGTAAGCGAAGCGACAATGTAACCGAGCCGACAGTTTCTTTCCGAACGCGTACTCAATATTGATTCCATACTATTCAACGCGTCAACATGCCACCAATTCGCAATAAAAACGAAAAGAATTTAGCAGAGCAAGAGGGGCGGATCTTGTTAGCTATTTCCGACTTAAAAAATGGAAAAATCTCAAGTGTGTATCAAGCTGCAATCATTTACAATATTCCTCGGACGACGCTATATGACAGGTTAAACGGAATTCAACAAAGATCTATAATACGTGCCAATGGACATAAATTGTCTCAATTTGAAGAGGAATCACTTGTCAAATGGGTACTCGATCTAGACAAACGTGGATTACCCCCTCGGCACTCTCTTGTACGAGAGATGGCTAATTACCTTCTTTCACAACGTGGAAATCAACAGGTTGGAGAGAAATGGGTCTATAATCTCATTCAACGTCGCCCAGAGATTGAATCAAAATTTTCACGGAAATATAACTACGAGCGTGCTAAATGCGAAGATCCGAAGTTAATCCAAGAATATTTTGATCGCGTACGAGAGGTTATATCAAAGTACGGAATCTTACCAGAAGATATCTACAATTTTGATGAGACTGGCTTTGCTATGGGACTCTGTGCAACCGCAAAGGTTATTACTGGAAGCGATCGATATGCTCGGCCAAAGCTATTACAGCCTGGAAATCGAGAATGGGTGACTGCAATTGAGGCAACTAATTCAACTGGATGGGCCCTGCCTTCATACATCATTTTCAAGGCAAAGAAATATACTCGGTTAGGCTGGTTTGAGGATCTTCCTGATGACTGGAGAATCAATATCAGTGATAATGGATGGACTACAGATAAGATTGGATTAGAATGGCTTAAAACCCATTTTATTCCTCTTACTAATGGCCGTGCAATGGGAAATTATCGGATGTTGATTCTTGATGGCCATGGAAGCCATTTGACTGCTGAATTTGACCGTACATGCACTGAGAATAATATTATTCCAGTCTGTATGCCTCCTCATTCTTCACATCTTTTACAGCCTCTTGATGTTGGCTGTTTTGCTGTTTTAAAGCGACATTATGGACAGCTTGTTGAGCAGCAAATGAGGCTTGGATTTAATCATATTGATAAACTTGACTTTCTTACTGCATTCCCAAAGGCTCGTACGATGGCATATAAAGCCCAAACTGTTCGGAATAGCTTTACAGTAACTGGATTAGTACCATTCAATCCAGATTGAGTTTATCAACAGCTTACTGTTCGATTGAAGACTCCAACACCCCCTCCAAGTCGATCAAGTGATACACAATCATCCTGCTTGCAAATCTCTCAAAACCCACGTTAATTTAAGCGCCAAATGACTACAATGAAAAAGAGAATAAGCCGGCATACAAGAAGTTCATCTGAAGCTATTGGTGAAGTGTTTACACGGGCATCAAAGGCTTATGAGATGAGTATTAATGAGCTTACAATTACCCAGAAGGAACTCCATGATCTACGGGCTGCATATGAGAAGGAGAAGCAAAAACGTCAAAAATCTAAAAAGCAAATATCCCATGATCAAGGAATTACCAGAGAGGAAGCTCAGGCACTTTTACAAGGTCAGGTTGAGGCATCTCAAGCTGTTACCACTGCTCCGGCCGAGCCTGAGCTCCCAGTCTCTCATCCACCAGTACGTCGCCAATTTCGGTGTAGTGAGTGTAATATTCTCGGGCATAGAAGACCTCAATGCCCTAATCTTACTAGTAATTAATTTTTTGTGTATAATTATAATTTTGGGTTAGAAATTGAGATTTGAATTCAATATTGCGTACGCGTTCGGAGAGAAACTGTCGGCTCGCTTACATTGTCGCTTCGCTTACCGATTACGTTATATGCATTCCCATTGGCTAAAATGGTTGAAATATGAATGTAATATTAGTGCCTGAGGCTTCGAATTTGCAACAGCTGGCGTTCACCCCATCATACACTTGTAGTGTCCAATCAAATAAAAGGAACTATAGCTCTAAGATCCAGTAAGTAGGAGATTTTATAGGTCATAAAGAACCACAATGAAGAAGAATAATGATACTATATTTCAAAATCAAATCTATAGTCATGGTTTGTTTTTTTGTCCCATTGTACCGGCTATAAACACTGACTGGAGAGTGATTTCCAAGGTTGAAGACAATACTTTGGATGGCATCATGAATCCGGCGCACCCCAACCTCCTCCGCCAGGGCTGTTGATCTGCATAATCTCACCAGCTTTTAAACTAAGTGCAGTTTTACCGCCCACAGCAAGCTTTTCATGGCCGCTTCTATCCTCATTCCACTTGAACACAAAGTTTTTGCCCACACTGCCCGGCTCACCACCATTCAAGCCATATGGAGCATAAACCCGTCTGTCACTAAGAATGCTGAACTTAAGCGGAACGCGCGCTTCAATCTCCCGAGTAGCGCCGTTACCTCCATTGAATTTCCCTTTACCACCTGATCCATAATTGATCTCATGTCTGCGAACAATTACTGGAGTCCTCTTTTCAACTACCTCAGGGTCTGTGATCTTAGTATTTGTTGAATGTGCTTGAGTAGCATGTTCTCCATGCCAACCTGGTCCAGCTCCACATCCGCCACCAACGGTCTCGCCGTAGTTCCAACCCGGTTCGATTGCGCCGGTGATAGGATTCTTGCCTCCCATACCCCATCCAAAACTATTGGCACAACCGGAGAAAGCGGCTACTTCGCCAAAGGCTTTGAGGATAGTGTCGATAACGCGTTGACTAGCTAAGGTGCTACCACAAATAGCGACCGCTGAACTAGGGCGGAGAACCGAGCCTTTAGGAATTTTGATAGTGATGGGAGACAGACATCCATCGTTTAGAGGGATCTCTTTATCTATTAGACACCTGAGGGTATATATGACCGCAGAATAGGTGATTGAAATTGGACAGTTGTAATTTCCCCACATTTGCGGTCCGGTACCCTCCCAGTCAAAGACAGCACTGCCAGAGTCGTCAATATCAATAGAAACTTTGAGTATAGTTCCGTCATCGAAATGATCTGAAGCTGTTAGGGGTAGTTGCCGCGTCTGGGCAACTCCTCTGAGGTACTCTTTGATAGCCATTTCGGAACTGGACTGAATGCCATGCATATACCTATGAACAACTGGAAGGGAGAATTCCTGACAGAGTTTCTGTAACAGAATGATGCCGCGTTGATTGGACGAGATTTGTGCTTTGATATCTGAGATGTTGTCATCTAAACGACGAGTTGGACTGCAACCTGGGAAATCTCCTGCTGCGAGAAATGCTTTTCGTACATCTTCTTCGAGGAACCGTCCATTGTCGACAATTTGGAGTGAGAGAACGTTGAATCCTTCTTGCCATAGTTGCGTTGATCCAGGCATCATGGATGTAATACCCACACCACCGATATCTGTGTGATGTCCACGAGCCGCGACGTAAAAGGCAATCTGTCCGTCAATGAACGCAGGGGTGATGACAGTAATATCCGGAAGATGTGTTCCTCCACATTCAGGGTGATTGCTCAGCAGCACATCGCCAGGTTTCAATTTTTCTTTCCAGAGACGATGTTGGTATTGGATGGCGTATTGCATGCTCCCCAAGTGAATCGGAATATGAGGGGCGTTGGCAACTAATTTTCCTTCTGCTGTGAATATAGCACAGGAGAAATCGAGTCTCTCCTTAATGCTTGTTGAGATGGATGTTCTTTGCAAGGTGTGACCCATCTGCTCGGCAATAGCCATGAAACGATTAGAGAAGATGGACAGATCAATAGGATTAATCGTGTTAGAATCAAGGTCTTGGCTTTGAGCATTCCGTTCATTAGTCCTCTCCAAGATAACATGGTTAGGTAAGATGTAAGCATCGTATTGAGGCTCTACAAATATGGTTTGAGTCGTGTCAATAATCAATGCAGGGCCGTGAATCTTGCTCTTCTTAGCAGTCGTGGCGAGGTTGAAGATCGGAACATCTTGCCATTGGGAGCCAATGAATACCGGCTGTTTCGTAGAGGAAGTAATGAAGTCTCTCTGCCCCTTCAAGAGACTCAAGTCCTTGTAAGGTGATGTGCTTGCTGTAGGCGCATTGCTGCGTCCAACTCCGCGCACCTTGATCGAGTTTACCGAGATCTCTCGACTTAGATTGAAGGCATACTCTCTTAGATGCTCCTCAATAAAAGCTCTGCCATAGTCATTATCGGCAGGTTTAGAAATGATCAAATTTGTGTCTGTCCCCCCATATCTCATACTGAGTGACTCTTCGAAAACAACGGTGTTACTATCTGCACCCTGAGCAACTAGATCATCTCGGACTTTCGATTTGAGTTTGTGGATATGTTGCTCAATATCCGAGATAATCTTCATCGAGAAGTTACCTGTAAAAGGTGATGTAGCTTCTGTTTGCAGCTCAGCCTGTGCAATTCCGACAGCGGAGAGAATCGAAGAATACTTGTGTATAAGAATCCTTTTAATGCCCAGTTTGTCGGCAATTGCACAAGCATGCTGGCCACCAGCACCACCAAAGCTTACAAGAGCGTGAACACTTGGGGCAAATCCCCGAACCTCGGTTGCGTTTCTCATTGGGCGACTCATGGTTTCATTACCGACATTCAGAAACCCAAGAGCAACTTCCTCAGGCGTTAAGTTCTGAGACGCCTGCTTGTTGATTTCACGTGTGATTTCTTGGAACTTCTGAGCTGTGATTTCGTAGTCCAAGGGCATATTTGCGTTAGGACCAAAGATTGCCGGAAACGACGATAGAACCAATCTTCCCAGAAACAGATTCGCGTCAGTCACAGTCAGCGGACCTCCTTTGCGATAGCATGCTGGACCAGGGTGTGCACCGGCACTTTCAGGTCCAACAACGAACATACCATGGCGCGCAAAGAGCATGGAGCCGCCACCGGCTGCAACTGTAGCTATGTTTAACATGGGGTTAATAATCTTGCGACCTGCAACAACAGTTTCTGTCAAGTAGTCGTACTTGCCATCGTAGCGACAAACGTCGGTACTGGTGCCACCCATGTCAAAACCTAAAAGGGGCATTCCTTCTTCGGTATCAAAGCAAGTTTGGGCAACTCCAACGACACCACCAGCAGGACCGCTGAGAAGCGCTTCGTTACCACGGAATTTATTCGCCTGTCTCATACCGCCATCAGAGCTCATGAATTCAACCCTTTTGGGAAGAATGCTGAATGATGACTGAAAGGAGGCAATATAATCCTTAACAATTGGAAATAGATAAGTCTCCGAGCATACAGATGCACTGCGTTGCTCATATTTGATTGTTGGGCTTGTCTCATTTGATGTGGTGACATACTGGAAGCCAAGATCTCTAGCTATTTGCGCCACTTGATTCTCGTGGTCTGGGTAGAGGAATGAGTGCATGAAGGAGATAGCCACGGAAGTGTAGCCTTCATTTTTCAAATCTTCAAGTACTTTTCGTGCTTCCTCCACATTCAGAGGTTTGATTATACGCACGATCTCACCACTTGCTGTACGAATCAAGTTTGGGTCAGTGATTTCGGCGGTTTTGTCGATAGGAAAAGGGTTGAGATCATAGTCCTCGATTGTGACTCTTTCATCAATCTCGACGACTTTTTGGTGCAACGCCACCGGTTTTCGAACATTGAGAGCAAATAAGTGAGGTCTGGTTTGGTCACCAATCACACAGATATCCCTGAATCCTTTGGTAGCAATGAAAGCGAATCCTCGGCCCTTTCCTTCTAGCAGGGCGTTGGTCGCAATCGTGGTGCCAATGCGACAAATCTCAATGCTTGATCCATCAATCTTCTCCCCTATTGGGATTTCCCGGCTTTCTAGGATCTCTAAAGCCCTTCGGATGGCCTCTGCAGGTGCATCTGGATAATTTTGAGGATCCTCCGAAAGAAGCTTGAAAACTAGATCTTCTCGGCCACGAGCTTGAACTAGTACATCACAAAAGGTACCACCACGATCTATCAAATTCTTAGTTTGCAGACTCAAGAAATAGCCCAGATGATAGTAACTGACCGATTGATATGTTGATATGTGGTTCGGAAGTCATGTTTACTCTTCGGACTGGTCACGAAATGAGATCGCTAAAGTGGTAAATTTGGTTAAGATTCAACGCTGGAGCCACATCATGCAGATGCAGAGTTCTAAGTATCAAGAGCCTCGTACACAGACGTTCCAACTTTCTATACCTCTCCCTTCTCTGCTATTCTCACGCGATCAAGTCCACTAGACCTTCCCTTTTCGGCTAATTGGAGATAGTTGGGCACTAAGCCAGAAATGGAAATTCCCATCGGAAGAGCTCCGGTATCTTTTTCTGAGAGTCTGATTGGCTGATTGGTATGATGTGCTTTATCTATGAAATGTCGTGCTTATTGCTGCAAATAGTGCAAACAAAAGCGATATCAATCAACAACCATAGATGTCAGCATATGCAGAATCAGCACACGGACACCTTGTTTCGAAACCCATCATATCAAAAATAGATATTTGAAACCGATATCAGATGCATTACACCACTCTGTCAGTGTCATGCTCTTCGTTATCCCGAACAAGATACTTTACTCATTAGCTGAAGGTCTTCGAGTTGCTCATCAATGGAGGCTTCTTTAACCAGCAGAAATGAAATTTCAAACAAACCGTTTTCGTGTCAATATTGGTAGTAGTCCGGAAGATACTGTGGATCTGCGTGAAGAACCCAGCAGCCGCAGGCCTCGTACATATCCGCCACCAGCGTGTAATCGATGTCGAAAGTACAAGAAGAAGTGCAGCAAAACACTTCCTGCATGCAAGACATGTACAGATGCGGGGCGAAGATGCTCATATTTTAATTTTGATTCGAATAGAGCTCAGTCGACTGAAGTTCTTCAGGCACGAATCCAGTGGCTCACGGAATACATTGAACATAACATTCATCAAAGACCCGAAGAAGGCGCAAATTCCTCAGCTTCTGCAGGGAAAGAAGGCTTGAATGTAGAACAAGATGGGATTAGCGATGATAGTCCAAGGTTTTGGGAGAAGCCTTCGATCTCCCTGCTGCCTATGCAGTCGCTACTGAATGGACCCTCAGACAGGAATGGAGACCGAAGGAATGATGAGAAGAGCCCCAAGACAACAACAATACACCCCCTGCATAACAGCCTATCTCCGGCTACTCGAAGAACTTCTGTGGAAGACGGGCAGGAGCTACCTCTGTCATGTATCAATGCGTACTTTGATCATGTTCATAGAGGCTATCCCTTTCTTGACAAGCAGCGTGTTGTTCAAGCGCGAGACAGATATATTGGACAAAATCTGGTTCCAGAGGACGCAGACTCTATGGTAAGTGGCCACAAACCTAATCTTGCGTATCTAATCCCTGTAGATGCGTTAGATGTAGACTTGACTGACAAGGTTTTCAGATGCTGTACCTGGTCGTTGCTATTGGCCGTACTACACTTGAACGATCGGGAAAGCTTCCCCGAACAGACATAAATGAAATTGAGATGCCATACCAGACATTTATCAGCCACTGTATTAAGAAGGAGGACTTGGATTCTGTACGGATACTACTGCTGCTCTGTCTTTACTCCCTTTTTGACCCTCTGGGCATCAAGACCTGGACAATTGTGGGGATTCTTACTCGCCAGGCATTAATACTGGGCCTACCACAGCTGAGGATTGTGACTGAGAAGACATCGGAGGCTTTGGATGAACATTCAAATCGGCTCTTCTGGAGCATCTTCGTCATCGATCGCATGGTTTCGATATCTGTTGGACAAGCTCCTGGATTAGCCGTGCGTGATCTTCGCGTACCATTACCTGCTATAACTGTGGATGAGTTTGCTTCACCTCAACGGGTCGAGCTTTCATCTATGCTTCTAGTCAGCCGACATGTTATTCAACTGCGTCGTATAGAAGGTGAAATCTTGGAACGTATCCACCTCAGAGCGCCTACAGATACTGCTTCCTTAAGTCTTCCCGACAAGGCTGCAATCATCTCCATGCTACGTTACGAGGTTGATAAATGGTACAGCGAGGGCTGTCTGATTGCACAACCGGAAGCAGGCAATATACGAATCCATGACAGCTTGACCTGGCTCAACGCACGCTATAACCAATTGCTGATGATGCTTTATTATCCTGGACATTTTAATCAACCTTACCAGAGTTCTTCGAACGAACTCTTGCTTGACTTCGTACAAAAGAGTATTGGATATAACCACTTCCTCTTTGAGCAACACCAGTTACCGCTCAATTATATCACCCTCTCTAGGATGGTTCAAATCTCATTGTCACTGTGTCATTGCTTCGCTTATACAGCCCTAACCTCTTTTCCAGCCAAGGGCGGAATTGAAAACTGTATAGAAATACTATCAGCCTTTGACAGCAGTTGGCGACAAGCTCACATATTGGCAGAAGCGATGCATAACTTTCTTCTTCTCATCACAACGTTTGAAGATCGCTTTGCAAATAGTACGGAGATTGTACAAGTTCCATGGACTCTCAGGCCAACTGTGGAGCCAACCCTCAAATCGTGGCTGCTCTCTCTCAGAGAGGATCTAATTACCATTTCGAGAAATACACTAGGAAAAGATAATTGTTTCCAGTTTATTGAGAGGTGGGATATAGGGATAGCGAATTCCTATCCTCCTCTGGAGATTTTGAACTAGATGCCTTTGAACTCCTAACAAGAAGTTGTGGTAATCGATTAATTTATAATAGTTTTGATTCATCAATATGTTCCCAAATAAAATATCACGTACTCCTACATGTACCCTATAAGCATCTCTGGCACGAGACACGTCGTGATGATTATCGTTGTACCCATTCAGTCAATAGAGCTCCCCGCCTAAGCCGATACTTCAAGTTCCCCCTCGTTCGCCTTAGCATTCCTGGTCTCAGATCGTTTCCCAAATACTCGGCTGACAAAGTCAATTCCAAATCCAGTCCAGAGGGTTAATGCTATAACAAAGCACAACGCGCTCACCCATCCATGAGTATGAGTGAACTTCGGTGCTTGCCCACTCGGAAGCTGATACTGTTGAAAAGGAATCACCACAGCTTGTCCAACGCTAACCATGAAAGCGAGAGTCAAAGCACGCAGTTGCTGATCGCCACCACATGAGGAATTAACCCAACCAGCTAGGATAGGTGTATAGCAGCCATAACAACCTGAAAGCAGGAACGCAGCCATCTTGAGAGATTTCGAAGCAGGCCACGCAGTGAAAACGGCATAGCAGAAGGTCAAGAGGCAGCCTACCGCAAAACAGACGGGGCTGAACTTCCCTAGCCTGTCAATGACGATACCGGTACTGACCATGAAGACGAAATTGACGGCTCCAAGGCCGGTTGAAATATTGTTAACCTGGGGTATGGAGTAGGTGCCTAGTGACTTCAACCAGATTTGAAAGTACTGCATCACATAGGAACCAGCCGTCAAGGTCCAGAAGCAATAGGCAAGCGTGAATGTGTAAAACTGCCAGGATTTGAGCACGCGGCTGACGACAGATAAATCGAGTTTGCCAACAGGGGCACGACCGTCTTCTTCAATTCGGGCCCTTGCACGCTCTCGTTCAGAATCAGACAGATAAAAGGCTCGCGTACTCTGAGGTGTATCAGGGTAGAAGAATAGACCGTAAAGAGCGACCGGCACAGCCAGAATGAAATCAAAGATAAAAAGCCAGCGCCAAGCTGACATTCCTCCCTTTCCTTCCATGCCCCGGTAAAGTGCAGACTGCAAATAACCTGAAAACATCTGACCGAGTACTCCAGATATCACGAATAAACCACTACGGCGTGCCATCTCGGATCTCTTATACCAACATCCAAGTACGTATTGAACGCCCGGCCAGGCTGCAGACTCAAAAAGACCAACACAGAACCGCAAAGCATAGAATTCCGAGGCGGTCGTGGACTTGGAGAAGCCTAGCACAAACAAAGACCAGGCAAGAAGACATCCGGGCAGCCAGAATCGGGGCCTGACCTTGGTTAGGGTCAAGTTAGATATGGGTCCGCCAATGATAACGCCGATGTTGAAATAGGTATTCATCCAGCTGAGTTCATTTCCAGGCCCGAACTTGAGTTCCTCTTTCATTCCCGATACGTAGGCATTGGAGATGTTGTTTTGATCGAGTTGCTTGATAAAATAGTAGAGACAACTGAAGCTGAGCAAGAAAAAGTCTAGTTTGAAAATCAATTTCTTGTCCGCTTTCGAGGTGCCTGGTTCGTGCCAGTGTAGCCACGGATGTTTGTGTTGTGCTGGTTCGTTCGAGATGTTACTGATAGCAATATCACTGTCACGACTATCTTTGATGGTGATTCCAGCATCTTTGGCATAGATGGTCCCGGCATTTTGAGCGCCATCAGCTGCGTTTGATATCACTGTCGACGGCATTGTACGATATCAGAATTTTTCGAGGTTCTCCAAGAATGCCCAGGATCCGATCTCAAAAATCCAACATTGAAATCATGTAAGAAGAATCGATCTAAAGTCTCATTCGCCTAGACACGAGGACTCTCCAATAAAACAAGCTTGAAGATGGCCATTTCAATCTGTCTTATCTTCTATATAAGAAAAATGAGAGTCATAAGCTAGCAGTCACAACATTCTCGATAAGATTGACGCAAGAGCTATTTGTGAGTTCGGAATAGCCAGTGATATTCATATGATAGCACAGACTCAAGCCCAGAAGGAGGTCGAGGCAAAAGTCCTATCAAAATCATCATATCAAGGTTACCGGAGTGGGGCCGGTCTGCAGGGGAGGACGGAACCCACTGAAAAACGTGGTCGGCGAGATTCCGATCCATATTGCCGGTTTAGGATTAAGGGTGGAGTGCTTTTCCCACATGAGATTGCCGATAAGGCTCCGATAAGGAAAGCGATCAGGAGATGGTTTAATTTTTTTTTTGACGTGATGAAGCAATAAATCGTGGGGATGTCGTACATGAAGCTTTCGAGAGACCAAAGATAGCAAACATTTCAAGGCTCGTTTTTCACAAGAGATCGAGTAACGACCTTCCAAGTGTCAGAGTACCGAGCTTAGCCATTGCCATGTGTGCCGATGTAGTGGAAAATGGTGATGATGACTTCAAGATTGACCGAATTGCTATCATCGGAGCAGGAGCGGCAGGACTGGCTGCAGCTACGTATGTATCTATCACAGAAGTAGAAAACTCTACAGGAGAAGTACCAATCAACTAAAGTGTGTACACAGTTATATTTCAGGTGAACAACAATTTTCGCATATCGAAGTCTTTGAGCAACGAAGTTCCGCTGGAGGAACATGGAATTATTCGTCTGCAAAAAGGGTACCCGGCTTAGCCGTTCCCAAAACCACACCAGACCACAATAATGAGACTCCATCTCAACCCACATCAGTTGATGACGATGGTTTCGTGTCACCGCTTTATCGTGATTTGGATACCAATATTCCTCATAACCTTATGAATTTCTCCAATAAACCCTTTCCAGAAGGTTCATCACTGTTTCCTTCCCGTGATGTTGTCACGGAGTATCTTCATCAGTACGCCGAGTCTCTGAAACATATGATTCATTACAACACTCAGGTTCGGAAGATCACGAAGATAAATATGGGTGAAAAGGAATTTTGGAACTTGGATACGGAAAATTTGAAGTCACACGAGACAGGAACGTCCTTTTTTGACGCTGTGGTCATTGCGAATGGGCATTATAGTGATGTCCACATCCCAGATATTACTGGCATCAAGGAGTTTCATCAACGTTATCCAGAGATCATATCACACTCAAAGTATTATGAAAAACCAGAGAACTTTGAAGACAAAGTAAGTATTTTGGTGGTCCATCATCGCGAGTGTGAATTGGCCGACACTAATTACAATATAGAAAGTCATCGTGGTTGGATTTTCGGCATCGGGGCTCGACATCAGCATGCAAATCGCTCAATCATGTCGACATCCCGTTCTTGTCTCGGAAAAGACACCGTCTTTGCTAGATCCCAGTGAGACAGGGCCAAATCTGAGGATGATGCCTACAATCGAAGAGTTTCTCGTAGACAAACGTGCTGTTCGGTTCAGTAATGGACATGTGGAGACTGATGTGGATTCCGTCATCTTCTGCACTGGTTATCTTTATTCCTTCCCATTTCTGGAGTCGTTACGACAGTCCTTGACTCCAGACGGATCCTACGTGCGGCATTTATATCAGCACCTCTTCTTTATCGATGATCCGACACTTGCCTTCGTTGCCCTACCCAAAAGAATAGTTCCGTTTCCTGTTTCGGAATCACAGAGCGCTTATATAGCTCGTGTATGGGCTAATAGAGCAAAGCTGCCAGCAAACCCTGTAATGCGTGAATGGGAAGCAAGTCTGGTTGCAAGCTGTCCGGAGCCGAGTTCATTGCACGACATGAAGTATCCGAAGGATGCTGACTACATTAACAAACTCCATGAAATCTGCAAAGCAACTGCAAATGGTGTAAATTTGATACCTCCTAGGTGGGATGAAGAAGCTTGCTATTACCGGGAGCATATGGCACAGATAAAGAGCATCTCACGTAAGTTGGGACATTCTCGCAGATTGGTCAAGAGTTTGTCAGAGCTTGGATTCGAATATCCAGTGAATCAGTCAAAGGCTTGATTGGCGGAATTCTAGAGATAATTTAAGAATGTGATATGAATAATTGAGTATGTTGAGTTGACTACCCAGATTGCGTACGTATCTAGCTAGATACATGTTTACTCGCAACCTTGGGAGATGGATCGCCATCATCTTGCCTTGAGAGCCCCTGACCTAAGATTTTATCTTGACTGTGCCGCAGAGTAGGCAGACTTTGTGTGTACTCAGGCAATGTAGAAGCTAGACCCCTGCACCAGTTTTCCATCCTGAGATGATCGTATCCAGTCAGATGTCCAGTGTTCACCCTATTTCTCTTGCAGTCGAGTACCACATATGGATTACAAAAGTCATACATGTCTAGGTAGATTAACTTACTGTCCTAAAGGCGAAGTCATCCACAGGTGAACGGCAACATTCATGATGTGTCAGTAGATTCAGCCTTGTAGCAGACTCCTGCTATGTGACACATCCTCCTATAATGGCCCTGCGACACAAAAAATTGGCTCTGGCGTCTAGAACCTCTTTATTACTGTTCTTCAAACGAATCGATAGTGTAATATCAGTTTCTTTTTGGTTCCAAGGTTACAAAGAAAGCTGTTTTTATGACCGGCATGCCCCGGTCAAAGTAACCCTATGAGCTCATTAGTAGAGACATAGCTATATACATTGAAAAGTATTTAAGAGAGCACACCTAGCTTGATGTTTCTTTTCTCTTCTTTTCTTACTGTTGAGACTATTTTTTTGTTATCTTTACTGGTATCAAATCGTCTTGATAGACTGTTACCTTTTTCATTCCTAGTGATTCTCCAAATTTATCGCTTTGAGGATAACCTGGCAAGCCTATTATTCTATCAAGACTCAGCAGGCAAAGATAAATTCTTCATTTTACACACCGAGCGAGATATTATTGAGTAATAGCATTAGGTTGTTCGTGTTTTATCTCAATATAGGCGCCAAAAATGGCACCTAAAGGGTTCGTTCTCAATCCTCGCCATCTTTCAAGTTTATTGCACTAATTCTAATAGCATATGTCGTGAATTTGCAAAAAGCGGGACTTGCAAATTCAAAAAATGCAAGTTTCGACATAAAAAGGACGACCAGATGGCCCCTCATACCAAAGAAAATCCTTCGTTGCTGTCCAACACCCTGTCTAACACGGAGCGGGAGTTTCGAGCTTGGAAGCATAGTATTCCTGTCAATAGGAAGGCTGCACCAACTGACGGCAGGCTTACTTCGATTTTCCAGAAGGCGTTACAACTGATTGACAGTGATGTTGGTGTTCGTCAATCAGTCATTCAGGCACTTTCTGATGAAAGTGGTCTGCGTTGTATCCAGTCGATGACCGAACAAAACTTTGAACGAATGCCTGGAAGCCTTGAGGAACAGACATTTAGAACCCAAATCCTTCCACTCTTGAAAACAATTTCCCATGCCGACGTGTTGCAATCCCTCATACTAGAACAGTCAGTCGGAACCATTTACAATTTTCTGTTTGGAGTAGGGGGAACAAGAGCCTCAAAGCTACTCAGGTTCTGTTCTGAAGTCCTCATGCACTGCAACAAAAATGAGTCCACTATGGAGTGGCTAGAGGCTTCTTTGGTGGTATTCTCACGGATTGTCGATCTCAATTCCGCCGCTCTTATTCAGGAATCGCTTAAGGATTGTGCAAGTCAGTTCCAACTGATATTTACCGCATGGGTCACCGACCACCCGGATAATCCTTTGCACCAGTCACGACTGCATCTGGAACGCTTATTCCACCGCTTTGATATTGGTATTTCTCTGCCAAATATGACGCAGAAGAAGATGTCTAAGGGCCCGAGAGCGCGAGGAGCTTTCGTCTTCGAGCATGATCCCCCAGGAGGCCGCCATGACAATGACCACAGAGATATATGTCAGATTCGGATTATGCCGACTTTCGATGAAATCTCCAGTCGGCGTGTAGAGTACCTGCCGACGTACGATCCGGCACAGTGGCATGTAAATGGTCCTCACGGGCTTCTGGATCGTAACTTCCGTTTGCTTCGCGAAGATACCGTCGGTCTACTCCGAGATGCAATCCAACTCGAGATCCAGCCTCCTAGAACTCTCTCAAATCACAACCCCAAACAACGCACCAACGTATATCAGGGTGGTAGGATCGCCAAGCTTGGATTTCACAAGATGGATGGATTTCAGTTTAAGTTTGATTTTCCTTAACCAACCCAGGTTGGTAAAATGTCGGCCACAAAACGCGAAGACTGGTGGAAGGTGTCAAAACGTCTGCAGACAGGGGCCTTGGTCTGTCTTATCATACATAGAAACTTTGTGGTTTTCTGTACTGTCATCACCCCTGAGGCACCTGCGTCTAAGCGACAGGAACGGCGTGACGCCAAACGGACATACAAAGAATCGGATTATCTATGGAAGGATTCGAAGCAAGCTTCTGTCTTTCTGCAACTGACCAGTATGAGCGATGGAGGCGTTGAAACGGTTCTGAAGCATTACACCCAAAAGAATTTTCACATCACTCTTGTGGTATTCCCAGGTGTGCTTCTACCGGCATTTGAATCGACGTTGAAAGCACTTCAGTTCATGAAGAGTATGCATAACATTCCCTTTTTTGAACTGCTCCTCCCCAACAGCACTATCATAGTGCCGGGTCTCCACTCGATGTCCCTCCTCCTCTTTACGCGACCGAACCCGGCTTTCAGTTCAACCTGCGCTGCTTGATGAGTGATAACAGTGATTTCTTCGTTCGTGCCGGCCATCCTACCGACTTACAAAATCTGCGCCAGAAATCAAGCTTGGACGACGCACAAGCTTCCGCCCTTGTGGACGCACTGCAACGAAAAATAGGTCTGATTCAAGGACCACCTGGAACCGGCAAAAGCTATACAGGCATTGCCCTCATCAAGGTCCTTTTGGCCAACAAGGAGCATCGAAGAAAAAGGATAGGTTCAATCATCTGTGTTACTTATACAAATCACGCACTTGATTAGTTGCTGGAGTCTTTGGTGCAGAAGAACGTCACAAAACAAATTATTCGCATAAGAGGGCAGTCAAAATCTGAAATCCTGAAGCCTTACAATCTCCGACACCTTGCCAAGAACTCTAGTAAAACAAAGTTGGAAAAGGCTAGCTTATGGAGTGGTCATAATTCTTTGGAAGCTTGCGAGGAGGATTTCGGTCAGCTTGGACTTCGAGGGGGTATCTCGCTGACTCATGTGCTGGTTCACTTGCGCAAAAACCACCCTGAACAATACGATCAGCTCTTCGGGATTGATGACGATGGATTCCAGCTTGCAGATACTTATACCCCCATAAAGGTGCTCGATAAATGGCGAATGACAGGCGCAAAAGCGTCCAACCACAATATTCGAAACGTGAAACAACTCGAATCAACACCCCTATTTCAATTATCACAGTCTGAGCGACAACGTCTCTACACACATTGGCAAAGGGAGGTACAAGAAGACATGCAAGAGAAGCTAATCAATATTTGTCTGTCGCACAATCAGACTAAATGCGATTTCGACAATATTCGGAGCGAGCAATATTTGCGTTGTCTCGGTCAAGCAGACGTTATTGGCGTCACCACGACCGGTTTGGCCAGAAATCTCAATGTTCTCCGGAGACTACAGTCGAAAGTTGTCCTGTGCGAGGAGGCTGGAGAGGTCCTCGAATCACATCTCCTTACTGCTTTACTCCCATCTGTGGAGCATGCTATCCTTATTGGCGACCATTGTCAACTTCGTCCACAGGTACAAAATTATGACCTCTCTCGCGAAAATAAGAATGGTGGAGAGAGGTACTCGTTAGACGTGTCCCTCTTCGAGCGTCTTGTTGAGAAGGACAGTGCCATGGGCTGCAGTTTGCCTTACAGTACATTGCAGACACAACGTCGCATGCATCCGTCGATTGCCCAGCTCGTTCGTGAGACACTGTACCCACAGCTTCAGGATGCTCCTTCGGTGTCTGAATATCCCGCTGTGATAGGGATTCGTAAGAGGCTGTTCTGGTTAGACCACGACAAGCCAGAGGGAAACCCGTCAAATGCGGAGGGAACAGCCACATCACGGTGGAACGACTACGAGATTGAAATGACTACTGCACTGGTCAATCACCTAGTCAGTCAGGGAAATTACAGCAGTAGTGAAATTGCCGTCCTAACGCCTTACCTAGGCCAGTTACAGAAATTGACACAGAAACTTTGCAGTTCATTTGCGATCACTCTAGGAGATCGCGATCAAGATGACCTCGACAAAGCTAGCCTCCAAGAAGATGAAGATCAAGCCTCAATCACCACTGCAGTAAAGGGGACACTTCTTCAAAGCCTCAGGGTAGCAACCATCGATAATTTCCAAGGTGAGGAGGCGAGCGTGGTTGTGATTTCACTGGTGCGCAGTAATCCACAGAACAATTGTGGTTTTTTGCGTACTTCCAACCGGATTAATGTTTTGCTTTCTCGAGCAAAGCATGGCATGTACGTCATTGGTAATTCGAGGACCTCTATGCATATTCCCATGTGGGCGGATGTCATTGATATTTTCAAGAGAAGTGAGAATGTCGGAACCAGCTTGGAGTTGCAATGCCCACGGCATCCCGATACTGTGATTAGAGTATCCGAGCCCGATGATTTTCCACGTGTCTCCCCAGAGGGCGGATGTAATCTGCGTTGCGTTAACCGTTTATTGTGTGGCCATGCGTGCATTCAGAAATGCCACTCCGAAATCAAGCACAATGCCGTTAAATGCCTGGAACCTTGCCAAAAGCCACGCAAGGGTTGCTCTCATCCCTGTCCCAAGAAATGCGGGGAAGAATGTCCCTCTAACTGCACAGAAACCGTCTTTCAGGCAGATAGGCAGCTGAGTTGTGGTCATCTGATGCAAACGCTTCCCTGCTGGCAGAGCCAGGACCTATCAACCGTGCATTGTCCCACGCAGGTAGAAAAGATAGTTCCGAATTGTGAACACAAAGTTCGGGTTGCATGTTACGTTAATGTCAGTTCACCCCAGTACAAGTGTCCTGTTCAATGCGAAAACGTATTACCATGCGGCCATTCGTGCAAGAAACAATGTTTCAAGTGTATCACGAGGAGTGAGTCAGGTGAAGTCCAGACGGAGCATGGTTCTTGTCAACAAAAATGTGGCAGGAACCAAACCACATGCGCTCATAGATGCGAAACCCTTTGCCACGGTGAACAGCCATGCCCTCCATGTCAATCACCTTGTGAAGTTGGCTGTGGACATTCCAAATGTGCGCTAAAATGTTCGGATCCATGCACCCCTTGTGCCGAAGGGAAATGTCTTTCTTCTTGTCCGCATAGTGCATGCTCCATGCCCTGTGCTGCCCCATGTGATCATGTGCCATGCTCGGTAAGATGTGAGAAGTTGTTGAAATGTGGGCATCGGTGCCCATCAGTTTGCGGAGAGGTTTGCCCGTCTGAAAAGTATTGCCAAACCTGCGGCAGTGAGGAGATAAAGAATTACCCAGTCGACTTCATTTGCGGAGAAACATACAAAGAAATCGACCTTGACGACAGCCCGTGTATATTCCCCAGATGTGGACATTTCCTCACGATAGAAAACATGGATGGACAGATGGACATGGGCAAGTACTACGTCCTTGACGAGCGTGGAAAACCGAGTAGAATTGCCGCCACGTCAGAACCGTTCTCTATCAACGACATTAAAACATGTCCTAGCTGTCGTGGACCACTGAGAGACATTGCCAGATACGGTCGCTTAGTCCGTAGGGCTATTTTGGACGAGTCCACCAAAAAGCTGATTTTGTATCTGAATCGGGAGTACGTTCCACTTGCGCAGGAACTTCCAGAACGAATTCAGCAGTTACAGAATACCAAAAGCAAACGGTCCACTTCCTGGCCTGTAACTATCAAAATCAAGGGGAAACGAAATACGCTGGTTTCCGACATGCGAACTATCATCTCTGCAACGAACAACGGAAGGTGGAAGGACATTATCAATCTGCGACAGCGTATCCACACTTACCAGAAACGAGTCGCTCCAGAGGAGCAGCCCTATATCAGGGCTCACCAACTCGCCATGAATGCACGCCGTCGGCAGAAGGCTTTGAAAACTCCCACCGAGATTGGAAGTGAGGTGCTGCAGACTAAAGGCTGGCTTCAAGAAATGGCACTAAGTTTGCGTTTGGATATTGCCTTGCTTGCGGATTTCCTCGAGCTGCGTCGTAGTGCCCCTAAAGCAGGAGAAATCCAAGTCGATATGGATCTGTCAAATATGAGAACCGACTGTCAAACGTTGATCAAGAATGCTTCCGACTCAAATCGTGTTCTTCATCAGACGGAGGGCTATATATTCCTTGCTCAACTCCATGCCTTTGAGAGATCACATACCGCGTCAGCTGATACTGAAGAACAGCATTTGATACTAGGAACTGGGGCCATCAATCAAGCTAAGACACTTGTCAACAAATATACCGGTCAGACCCAAGGTCTCTCAGAGGAGATTGAAGGCGCAGAGAAGATGCTTCGTGGTATGACTTTTTACACCATAGTAACTAATGAAGAGCGCATGGCTGTTATTGCAGCCATGGCTCGTAAGTTTACGGGTACAGGCCATTGGTATTATTATCGTAACGGGTATCCGTTCACGTTTGGGGAATGTGGTGGGCCGATACAGAGATCAGTGTGTCCTGAATGTGCAGAGCCAGTCGGTGGGCAACACCATGTGGCTGCAGAAGGACTTACACGTGCGAGGGATTTGGAGGATTCCTTCGCACAGATAGACTTGCATTGATCGTCCTCGTCAGTCTGCCCATGAAAGATGCATACTATCATATTGACTAAAAAGAAATGTGTCTGTCTCAGGGTGGATGGTCATTTTGTGAAACTTCCCCGTGCCAACAGAATGATTGGATGAAAGTCAGAAAGCTGAAAGGCATATACGTTGTCAATTCTGAGCCGCTGAATACTTGTAGAACGAATGAACAAAGTTGAATGTCAGATCGTCCACCACTGGAGGCCTAAGATTCGATCACCTGCTACTGATAGACTGAAATCTCTGAGCTAGATTCAATAGAGTAACCAGCTGGTTTTTCAGATATTAACCGGAGTTAAAAAGGTATGTAAGGCATAGTTATTCCATAACCTTCTTAACAGGAAGCATTGGTAAGAAATAAGTACCTCGGACAAATTGGTAAATGACTGTAATACCGTTATCCTGGTTTGGCTGTATACGAGAAGCTATAAATATTCGTGGCTCGCCCGTCCAAATCAGAAGATCCCTTTTCCAGTATTCATTCATTTTCAACGGACTCAAGAGTATTCATTTCATTGGACAGTTCACAATGCCATGCCTTGCAGGAAAGGAGATCACCCAAAACGGGTTGGGATTGAGCCCTATGTACTTCGCTCACTGTTGAAAGCATGGTGTAATTATGGCTAATAACCCCATTTCTTATAGGCTTCACCCTACCCGGCTTCAGTTTACCGGATGAAGAAACCTTCAAAGTTCTCAAAGCTTCCATTGTCGCTGGCGCAACCGTCTGGAATGGCGCCATTTTTACGGGACACCAGACAATAACTCTCTCCATCTTATGAATCGCTATTTCACTACTCATCCGGAGGACACGGAAAAAGTGATGCTATGTATCAAGACCGGAGTAAAAGAAGTGGGCAAATTCAGTATAGACTGTTCGTTGGAAGCTCTTCGCACATCCGTTTGATAATGCACTCAAAATCCTTGACGGCAAGAAAAGATTGACATCCTTGGTTGCGCAAGAACCGACACTGCTGTTCCGGTAGAGGAGAGCATCAAGGCACTAGCTGAGATGGAGGTGGAAGGCAAGAATTGGGGGTTTCAGTTGAGCGAGGTGCGAGCTGAAACGATTCGTCGAGCCGTGGCACTTGCTAAAATCAATATGGTCGAGGCGGAGCTCAGTTTATGGGCCACTGAGGTCTTTGAGAATGGGTCACCGCTATCTGTGGGGAATTGACTATTGTCCTTGCCGCACATACACCACTGGGAGCCGGCATGCTGACTGGACAAGTCAGAAGCTTAGATGACGTGCCAGCAAATGGCTATCATCGCTACTTCCCACGCTGGCAACCTGGAAATTTTGACAAAGATCTGTTACTTGTGAGGGAGCTGGACGCTTATGCGAAAGAGAAGGGATGCACAACATCTCAGCTGGTTGAGTGGGATCAGAACTCAGAGTCGAAGACCGGGTATGCCGGTCCTTGTTCCTGTCGCTGGATCAAGATCTGTGAGAAGAATATCCGAGAATGCAAAAATATCGATCTGACGGATGGTGATCTCACCAAGTTGAATTCCATCTTAAAAAGGTACCCTGTGGCAGGGGACAGATATCCTCGCGCTGGACAAGCACTGGCTGAGTATTAGTCACTGAAACAGGTCAAACCTTAAATTTAGGACAAATCAAATCGAAAAGCTTTCTTTCCCTAATCGAAGCCACACTTTCCAAATGTTGTTTTGATAGATACTGGTCCCTTGTAATAATTGGGTTATCAACCTCTGAACGCCAGGAAACTGACCTTCACTCAAGGTTTGCAAACGTTGGTGGATTAACTGCTTGAGATGATGGGGAAGTACAGAAAAAGTGTGCGCAGCGTAGAGATGAAACAACAATGTGCTTATTTGCACGCTTGAGACATTTGCGGACGCAGCACCTAGAATGCCGTTCCCCGAAGCAGAAGAGCAAATTTCCGAACAACCAGAAACAATTGTTCGCATTGACTCGTGGAGCTTTTCGCTGATGGGCGCAGGGGGCGGTACATCGGAGCCATCGAGAGATTTTGTGTACTGTTCGTGTAGGACATCTGCTAAGAGAACGCGAACTAAACGTGTGTTGTTCCAACTCCTTCGCGTATTGTGATCTGGATAACTTATGGATTCGGTATCAACGGTATGCGTATGTTTCCCGTGGGTGATTGGAGGTAGAAATAGCGAAATACCATCCAGTTTACTCATGAGACGCTCAGCCTTCGAAATTGCTAGTTCTGGAGATATTCCATGTCTCAGCATCTCTTTGAGCCGGGTATACTCAAGTAAGAGTTCCAGAAATTGCCACTTAGGAGAGGCACGTGCGTTTTCCATCACTCTGGCTCTGACGTCTGTAGATCTTGCGGAATTCAGTTCATGAGCAAGACAGTCGAGAATAATGAATCAGAAAGCCCTAATAGCATATTCATCTGATCGGATCACTAAACTGATTCCCATCCTGGTATAGAACGAGCCCAAGAGCACCTCGTAAATGAGCATTCGAAGGGACGATGTATCCGTCCCAGTGGATGAGTCTCTCATATACACTCAGAAGCAGCAGTGACATTAATGTTGAGTTTTCCTGCACTTCCGTTGGCGATTGAATAGCAGTAGTGGTAAGCATCAATGCCGAGCCATAGTTGACACGTGCATCATGGAGAGCTAAGGATGACTGATGAGAGAATGAAAAGAATGCTAGCCAAACAGCCCTGACCACTGTAGCTAACAGGGGAAATTTTACTGATCCCGGTGGCCAGAAGACCCGCATATATGTGAATAGATTAGCCTTGTCCGTGTCTGTGACATATTGAGAGACAAAAAAATTCTTTGCATGGATCTCAATTGACGGAAGAAGTCTTGCTGGAAGGGTGCCCGTGAATGATTGTGGACTTATGAGAGAGAGCTGAGCCCTTCGTCGTTTATCAATGGTTGAACTGGTTTCATCGAGAATGACCAATTCGATGGGATTTGGATAGCCCGGGCACGTAAGATTCGCTCGTGAGCATTGAGAACAACCATTTACTTTCCGGTCGCACTATGACTGTAAGCATTGAGTTGGAAGATTTTGAGAGCAATGCATTCTCACCTTTATATCGCGCCTTCGACAGTTCCGGCAGGATTTAGATGGCTTACCGCGATAGACCATTTTGGCATTTGGGCGGGCTTCACACCCGGAATCGACTATCCAAATTAAACAGCCAGTTAAATATCAAGGGGAACTGGTTTGACGAGATCGGTGCTGGTGTGCGAGTTGGGAAGAGGGCGATGTTAAGTTAGCTTTGATTCTTAACTCAGGTTGAGACTGGACAGTTGTGGGTGCCGAAGACGCCAACGTAACTCCGCTAACTCCGACCTTTTTGGCTAACAAAAGCCCGTCTCAGCAACTACTTGGCAGTTCTCCAAATCATTGCATATATGCTCTCCAGGCCCGCGGATCGGCTCACTGATCATCAGCTGGCGTCCACCTCAGGTGTTTTCCAGAGATGATGCTCGCTGCAAGTCACGATGTATGCGACTCTTCAGTAGGAGTCATGATACGGCGTCACTTGAGTCAACGCTATTACCAGCTAGTCATTCCAATGATCATTGTTCTGAGCAGTTGAAATTGAGTATATGCTAGGATGAAATACCTATGTACAATAGTATACAACGACGGGTCGCCTCACCGCGGGAGGACAATGCCGTACAAACGTCAAAACCACCGAGCCAGCCATGAATGGGTATCACGTTTTAAGAGTCAAGCAGGCCATTAACCATTAGAGCCAGGTTAGTAAAATCTAGCAGTTTTTGAAACTTCGTTTGCAGGTACCGTAGATGCTTGTGGAAATTTTTCTGATTTTACCACACTATCCCGTGGTTTATCCATTATGTCACCGGGTGTAGACGAGCTGGATTCGTCATTTCTTTGGTGATCGTGAGATTTTTGGCGCCATACGGAGTCTTCATTTTCAATTTCCTGGAGAACTAGTGAAGAGTTAGTAATGTCTGAACTAGTACTATGGTGGTGCTAGAACTGACCTTCTTCCCACTCCCTCTCCTTCACTTCATCACCCGTTCCCAGCAGTCTTTCAACGTCGACATTCTCCCCGTTATTTACTTTCTGGATCACCTCCCGAAGCAACCGTATCTTTGCGTCGGCCTTTCGTGTATAGTTTTCAAAATCTTTTCGAAGAACCAGCATCTGGATGGCTTGAGAACCTATTAGTGTCCATATGACGACGTAGAATGTCGCAGGATTCCACTCTTTGGATTTCGTCCTAGGAGATGTACTCGAACCGCCGCTTCGAAGGAATTTAGGGATGATAGACTGCCATGTTGACGCCTGAGCGATTTTTGGCATTGCTTCCGCTGTCGAGCGTAGTCGTGCTTGGAATGAATTGTTCATGGTCAATCCGATTTTGGAAATCCGTAATGCCCGCCATGACGGACTGTGTAGGCCATTTATTTGTATACGTCTGTTTGCCGAAGCCGCGAAAGAGCTCATGTTGAGGGTTGCTGACATCTTGGCTTGATATTGCTGAAGTTCAATTTGGTCAAAATCTGAATTGAATGTCGAAATGTCCGGTGCCAAGACATTATTCCAAAGAGGACTAGTCTGGCTCGCAGCAGATGGACCGTCTGGTTGTCCCGGCAACCACCGTTTTGGTAAGACCAACTAACTCCCTCGTGAACAATCATCAATGAACGCACCTTCAAACTCCGCTACAACTCTATGCTTGTCCCTAAAGCGCTCTCGCGCAGAACTTCCATCTTTAAAATTGAAAGATGGCAGCGACAATGGAAGTGATGGACTCGCGCCTAAAGTCCGTCAAAACCGCCGTCAAATCGACCACGACGTGTACGACGTCGACATTAGCCTCTTTACAATCGCTCCTCCAGTCAACGCCGCCAGCTTCCGAGAAGACCAAGGCAAATAGAAGAACTCCCTCATCGACATCCACTAAGACAGTTACACGCACAAAATCCACCCGGTCACGCAATCCTCCAGCGTCAAGCAAATCATCGAAGCCTGCGACCGTTATTCAAGACGAAGAAGCGCTTTCTTTACAACAGAGACTGGTTCTGGCGACCGAAGTCTTTAATACAGCCTCCAAAGCATTATCAGATGCCTTACAACGGAATGCGACCCTGAAAGCTCCGCTGCAGCCCACCTCCCCCAATCGATCCCTCTCCTCACCAAAGGACTTATCACGAAAGCCGACGAAGCCGATGACGACCGTGAAGGGATCCTCGGAGGATGGCTTAACCTCAACCGCTGAGTGTGCTGTCCTCGCTCTTATGACACTGCGCAATTTGAAACTCGAAAATTCTTCCAAGAGCAACAATTCAAATCTACAGCTTGAACAAGGTGCATGTATTTTAGCAGGAAGGCTGATTGCACTAGGGGCCCATGAACTTGCTTATAGGGAATTGAGAGCCTTGAAGAAACGGTTGGAGGAGGATAACTTGCGCTCATCTACCAAAAATTCGAGGGATCATTCCGCATCAGATATGAAAGCAGGGTCTGGAAAAGAAACGACTGCTGAGCTACTAAAATTTTCCAACGCCGAATTTCCAGGACCAGTTCTGGCCTTGATAGTTTCCTTTCAGTCTCACGTTTTGAAACTCATTACTGCAGAAAGAAAGGTTCTGGCCATCGAAAAGACATGTAACGCTCTGTCTACGTCAAGTCCAAGCAGCCCTGCTAATATTATCTTGCGTTCATTTGATGCCGGAAATTTCACCAAAGAAAAGGCAGCGATTCAGTTGCTATCGACTTCTAACACCATTCTATCTTTATCGACTATGTTGCTGAAATCGTCCGTCTCGCCGTCCGATTCGACCCAGACTCGTAGCACACGACTTCATTCAACTCTCAGACTACAGTTGGTGTCAATGGAATACCGTATCATGTCATGGGAATTGTCAGGCCATTCAGGTGACTCAAAACGCGAGTTTCTGGATCCCTTATCGCGCTTTCTTGACGGGTTTGCCAGTTCGGACTTCAACATCGATTCCTCAGAATTTGCAGAACTTAGCGCAACTGTGCAACGATTGCAGTCTATGATCGCGAAAAGCGGAATGAAAGGGGATATACACTCTTGGAAGATTGCATTCAACCTAGGGAAGATAGCTCAAGAAGCTTCATGCTTAAAGGAAGCCCTGACGTATTTCTCATCTGCGACTGAGAAATTGACAGAGGAAGATCCGATGGCACAGAGTCTGATTCGATGTAGGATCGCCATTGTTTACTTACATCTTTTTAAGAACAACAAAACCTATCACTTGGTGATTGAATCACTTACAGCTGCAGCGCTGGGTATGAAGTCGGCTAACAGAGGCAGCGCTAGCGATCTGGAAGCGCTGCTCGTGGAATCGGCTAGGTTGAAGAAAATAGCTATGGCGAAAATTGGGGAACTACTTTCTTCAGATGCTGATTTCCCGAAGGCGATGATGATGGCCACAATTGATTTTCTTCATGCATTTTTACGTTTCCTGAGACGATATATTAATCGCCCACAATCAAATCTCGCCGAAGGCGACACCGGTATACAGATGCAACCACTAAGCAATGCAAAAAATATCGTCATAGCTGCTGTCGAGTCGGCGATTGTGTTAGGGAAAATATCGATTGTGAATCAATTCCCAATATGGGGAGATCTACAGCCGATTTTTTCGGACTCAGCACGATTACTGAACACCTTCGAGGTTTCCGGGTTAGAACATACAGAAGACGGGCTTGATTGGCGAGCTACAAGTGTTAAGCTCTCCAACCTCTTCTGGTCTCGTTATCTCAAGAGAAAGGAGTCAGGGGATACACATGAACAGCTGATTCCATTATTGGAACAGTCTGTCAACATATTGCAAGATTGTCCTGTTCCACAGAAAAGCACAGGATTTAGTGCTTTGAAGCTGGAGCGACTCGCGCATCTTTACCTGGATGCAAAGATGGGAGCTAAATCCCTTGTCTATTTTGAAAAATCCATTCAAGAATATATCGACGCCGGCGTACTTGAACAGCAAATAGCATACCTCTCAGGCAGACCACCTCATGCTTGCTTGCAGGATTCTAATAGTCCAGGTTTTAATCTCACCCGGGTTTTATCGGCGTATCTTAAAATGCAGTTACGCAGACCGGCGAACGACAACAACAGCAAGTTTGAGGGCAAGTCATTAGACGTTGAGGCTCGGGCCTTTCTTCTCGAGTGGCAGTTGGGTGTGCTTGCGGACTTTCATAGCCATGACGCGACTTGCGAGAAGTTCAAAATTCTTTTTCAAGAACTGCTTTCGGAAATGCTATCGCTTTACTCCAGTGACGAATATTTGATTTTCCGTTTACGTGTCGTGCGATTAGTACTCCGCTTTGTACTCGACCACCCAGACTCAATAGAAACTTCAGTTTCTGAGTCTCTAATTCAAGATGCTCAATTGCATCTATCGAATCTCTCCTCTAACACACAACATGGGCCATATGCGCCATTCATCGCCAATTCCCTGAAATTGATTCTTTTGTTTCATGACGGTCATGTGAACGAAGAGGACTTTCGTGATACTATTTCCTTCTGGGCTTCGATAATACAGGAATGTACCAACTGGGAATCCCTTGAATCTATCATTGATGATATCGATATTTTGCTTGCTCAAGCACAAGCAGCTTCGGACTTCGCCGAAGCGCGTGGCTACTGGACGCTACAATTTGCGGCATCCAAGGTTCTTCTGACTATCTACGAAATGCAAGAAATTCGAGACGGCTCTTCTCTGGTTTTGGCCTCATCAAGGTGTGCCTTGCAGTATTGTCGACATGGAGATCACAGAGCAGCTCGTGATCTTCTGGAACGCGTTAAACAGCGTGTGAAACTTGCCGATGCATCACGTTATGCAGCCATTACGTACCAATTGGCAATTGCGGAAATAAATACGGAAGTTAATAACACTGAGATGGCAGAAAAAGCACTTCAAGCAGCCCAAAAGCTCTATCGCAGCAAAGAAGCTAAGGTGGAAGTGCAGAGTAGTCGCGGGCAGTCCAAAATCGCATGGGAGCGGCTGATTGTTGATGGCACGCTGCTCTACTCTCGCTTAGCTGATCAGAGGAAGTGTCTGGGCGTGGCCTTATATTATGCTAAATTGTCTGTTCGACTAAGCACGCGTCTGTGGACCAAGCTGGAACATTTAGCTGGTAGAAAGAAGGATTCGGAAAAGTCAGGAGATATGTCAGATGTGGATCTTGTCATAGATGGGGTCGCGAAGATTGATCTCTCCACTACTGCCACCTCGACAACGGGGTCATATGCGCAAGGGGCGCTCTTTTGGAAGCATGTCGTCTCTCATAATGCGTGCTTCTTGAACCTTATGCGTCTTTCCTCCTATAATGGTCTGTTTCAGGACGCAATTTACTACGGAGAACAAGCACTCAAGGTCAATGAAACGCTCGGGACTTCATTCCGCCTACTTACATGTCAAGCTGAACTTGGCCTGGAATGGGTAAGAGGGAATCATTTGATGGAAGCTAGGACCGTTCTCGACGCTGCGACCAAAGTATCAGAAGGGCTGATCAATACCGTGGAAACCGTTAGACTAAAGATAAGTCTAGCAGCCTTGAGCTGCTCGCAAGGAAAACACAAAGAGGTCTTATGTCTTCTGCGCGAGGCTGAGGCTATGCTTAATCGAATCTTCGAGGGGCGACTTGATTCTTCACTTGATGTCAAAACGTCTCTCGCCGCCCTTGAAGAGAAGATGGCGAGCATGAAGATACGTCAAGCCAGTGTTCGGAAAGAAGCCGAAAAAGTGGTTACTCTTCAGACCCGGAGAACGAGGGCGACGTCAAAATCCAAGGTTGAGGAGAGTTCTACACGCAGAGTTCAAGTCATACCGCGGTCTTATGTCGTGTTAAGAAACGAGATAATAAAACAGCAAATCCATGCCTTGTTAGCCATTAAAGACCTCGACGGAGCATCACGTTTGCTAGAGACCGCTAGGGATTATTCAACTTCTACGGCAACACAGTTCTCAATACAGATCGAAGAAACGCAGCACTTACTTGCCGATGCCATGAAAAGTATTGCTGCACATGCAGTATATTGTGTTTTACCCGAATCCACTCTGTCTATGCCGTCAATTGAAGCGATGATCTCAGCGACAACCACCCCAGTTGGTACAAGCAAGCCTCCAGTTAGAAGAAAAGGGAAGTCAACGACCAAGGAGTTGCGCGAACTTGCCGCAAAGGCTGCTAAGAAAGAGGTTGATGTTGCTGGTATCATGTCCCGAGCGAGAGACGCAATCAGCAACGCGGTCCGAGACGCTGTAACAACTGGGTCGACCGTAGAAAGCCATATCGCTTCAAGTCTCATGGGACGCGTCTCAATGCTTTCTCATGCAACGACACCGGGCCTTGTCGATGAAGATATTTTGGCCCCGGTCAATGCAAATGGTAAGCTGAACTTGAGAGCTGTGCCTAAACGAAATTCTTTTACTAATATTCAATAGAGCTCGGCCGTATTACTGCGTTTGATCGTGATCGCCTGTCAATTTCCATCGACAAGAGTCTGTCTGGACTTTCTGATCCGATGAGCTGGCCTGCGAATGTGTTGTCTGACTTTGGCGAAAAGTCGGACATTATTGCGAACTTTACACAAGACTATGTGGACATTTTACCTAGTGGCTGGAATGTTCTGTCTATCTCGCTTAATACTGACCGCACTGAGTTTATTATCTCTCGGATTTCCCATGGCAGGTCCCCATTCCTTCTCCGTCTTCCACTGAAGCGAAGTGAGGAAGGCAATTTCGATGAAGATGATTTTACGTTTGACTGGGGAAAGAACGAAATGAAGGAGATCATCCGCCTTGCGAACAAGAGTGCTCATGACGCAAAGAGCCGTACGGATAAGAATTCGAAAAAGCAATGGTGGGCTACGCGCGAATCACTTGATCGTCGACTGGAAACTCTATTAGACAATATGGAGAATATATGGCTCGGAGGGTTTCGTGGCATTTTTGATGCCGTCCCGCGAGACTCGACTGTATTGACGCAGTTTGCTGGTTCATTCGAGAAAGTCCTAAATAAGCACCTACCATCGCGACGGAGATCCAAAGACAAAAAGGGACAGATCAAAATTCATGAAAATGTGCTTAGTCTGTTCATTGGCCTCCGTGATCTCGACAAACAAGAAAACCCTGAGGACTCAGTTTTAGACTTACTATATTTTGTTGTCGACATTCTCCAATTCAAAGGCGAGCGAAATGCTTATGACGAGATTGACTTTGACATGATGGTCATTGACACGCTGGACATATTGAACAGCTTTCACTGCAATAGCTCAAGCGAGAAAGGGACGCTTGATCACATGATCTTGATCTTGGATAAGTCGCTACATTCTTTCCCATGGGAATCGTTACCATGTTTACATGGACGTCCTGTATCTCGTATGCCTTCCTTGGCGTGTTTGCGCGAGAGAATCGTTCGCTTCAGGTCGCTAGAAGATTCGTATGAGAATGTGTTTGAGGTCAATCCTCACAATGGTCACTTTATCCTGAATCCGAGCGGAGACCTGAAAACGACACAGAGCACATTTGAAGAAGAATTGGCTCATCGAGAAGGCTGGTCGTCTGTCATTGGGCGGAACCCTTCCGAAGAGGAGTTTAAGGCTGGGTTGGAGAACAAAGATATTTTTCTGTACTTTGGCCATGGAAGCGGTGCACAATACATTCGAGGACGCACAATCAAACGACTGGATAAGTGCGCAGTGGCCTTTCTCATGGGCTGTAGCAGTGGATGCCTGACAGAAGCCGGCGAGTTGGAACCATACGGTACACCGATGAATTACATGCAAGCTGGATCGCCCGCTCTTGTTGCTACGCTATGGGATGTGACAGATAAGGATATTGACCGATTCGCCAAAAGTACGTTTGAGCAATGGGGTTTATTACCAGGGGGTGAAGATGGCACCGATTTCAAGGGCAAAGCAGTACAGGGCAAGGAGACATCGAAAGGGAGGGAAGCGATGAACGCTGAGATGAATTATGGACTATCCAATGGGCTTGATGAAGCAGTTTCACGATCGCGCAACTCTTGTCTGTTGAAGTATTTGAATGGAGCAGCGCCTGTGATTTATGGCATTCCTGTATACCTCAGCAAGTGAGCATTTGATGGCGTTGATGGTTTTGAAGGTTTAAGCGGTTGGTCAGCGCATTGCCGGAGTTTGTCGTTTTTTGGTTCGTATTGAGAGAGTAATGACATGAATTCATTCATCTATCTATAATCTACAAAACACTTAAACTACAGAAGCTGAGATAGGCAGGGAGAAATTTACTCAATTAGGGTAAAATGGCGATAACAATCTCCCCACTCCTCCCCACTCTCCCCTCACAGCGAAAGAAAAGAGCTCCGTCATAGGGCAGTGTTGCCCCTCACGGACGTCCATCTTGAATAAATGCGCTTTCTCCTCTCTTCCGTATCGCAAAACCTCATTTAAAATCATTCCAACACAGCAAAGACAGAAACAAACAATCATGTCAGTAACAACGAAAGCAACAATCGCCTCCTTCGGCGGCAAACTCCTCAAACTAAGCCACACTGCCAAAACCACCAACTGCGAAATGAATTTCAACCTTTATCTACCTCCACAAGCTTTCGCTAATAAAAAGGTGCCATTGCTCATCTATCTGTCCGGTTTGACATGTACGGCAGACAATTGTTCGGAAAAGGGCTTCTTTCAGCATGGAGCGAGTAAAAAGGGGATTGCTGTGTTGTATCCTGATACCAGTCCTCGTACGTCACTTCCCTCAGCTTTTGTTTCGGGTTCAATCAGGATATTTCTAACATGGGTACAGGAGGTTTGAATATCGCAGGTGAGGATGATGCATACGACTTCGGCACCGGCGCCGGATTCTATGTCGATGCCACAAAGCCCCCTTACGATAAAGGGTACAATATGTACAGCTACATAACCGAGGAATTACCCAAGACCGTGTTTGAGTCGTTCAAGGATCAGATTGATGCCAGTCGAGTTAGTATTACGGGTCATAGTATGGGTGGCCATGGTGCTCTTACGCTCGTACGTTCCACTTCCCCGCAGAATCGGAGAGTATATATTCTGATTAGGATGAAATAGTTTCTTCGAAACCCAGGAAAATACAAATCTGTCAGTGCATTTGCGCCAATCTCGAACCCCATCAATTGTCCCTGGGGCCAGAAGGCGTTCAAGGGCTACTTTGGCGAAGACAATCAGGAGAAATGGAAGGAACATGATGCTACGGAACTGGTCAAGAAATGGAAGGGACCATTAAATGTCTTAATTGATGTCGTACGTCCCTCCCATTATTACTTTGAACCTAAAGGCCTTGACTGATTCCTTTTGTGACTAGGGAACCGGCGACAACTTTTACCAACAAGGCCAACTCCTCCCCGAAAACTTCGCCAAAGCCGCCTCAGAAGCCGGCGTGACGGGCGTGAATATTCGCTATCAAGCGGATTATGATCATAGTTATTATACTATGGCTACATTTTCCGATGATCATGTTGAGCATGCGGCCAAGTATTTGTTTGAGTAGTGCGTTCTCCCCTTCCGTTCTTTTGTTCGGATTTCTCAGCGGAAGATGATGATCTCTAACTAGGTTTATCCCCGTAGCAGAAATCGTACTTTAGAAGCAGGCAAAAATAAGGAGTCTCGAATATAATGTCCTTGATACAACTAACGTGGTCTTATAAAAGATGAATACGTAGAGCGATTGCCTAATATACTTGATCAAATATTGAATTCACTCCTGAACATCCCCGAGGTCTTCATTCGTTAATGTGATAGTTAACCTTGGAAACAACAGGGTAGACGCTGACAAAGTCACACTCGAGTCCTGATTCAACTCATAAGTCACCTAACCAAAGACATGCCGTAGCTTTGACCGTTTATATCTCGTATTCTCATTCCTCGCCGCATCGTAGTATTATTCATCAGTTATATCGTAAAGAAAATATATTTTGTGTTGATATTTTGTTTCTTGAAAAAGGAAGAATGTGTTGAGGGCGTAAGCGCCATGCAATGCACATGACAGAATATGTACCAATGAAAACAATAACAGGGGAATCTAAGTGGCGCAGGATGCTTTTTTCACTCTCGCATCAACAGAACAAGGAGTACGGTCCGGTGAGATTAGGATCCGGTTTAGGAGCTAAGGCGCTGGATGAATGACTGCTTGTACGTTAGCACCGAAACATTCAAGTATCAAATAGGAGAACTTACCAGGAAGAAGTTCCGGAATCCTTTAACGTCTAGTGAGGTCAAAGCATTCAAATACTCTCCCACCAAATCCGGTCCCATGCCCATTCCAGGAAGTTCTTGGCCGCGAAGATAATCAACATACTCCGTGCCAGCCTTAGAATAAATTGATTGCTGTAATCCTCCTGCTTCTTGCAGTACATTTCTTGTTTGGCCGTCTTTGGGGTTAAAGCCCGAAGAGCTTGGTAGTGCCCATGACAACGGGGAGAATCGGGTGAACATGAATTGGTTGAATCCAGGTATGGCATTCTGAGATGCATTTGCTGATTCAGATACGCCCCAAGCGTTGGCCATGCTTATCAAAACCGAGAACGCCATTTTTGCCGTCGTCGGGTCCTCGACGTCTTTGACGAAGTGCTCAATGGTGGTAATGACCGATTCGAACATTGGTTGATTGGCTATATCCATTAGCATATCCATTATATGTTATTGTAGCGAATTGATTACACACCTTGGCTAATGAGAACAGAGCCGAGGTCATTATTCAACAAGGCCAACAAGAAGCTGAGATACTCTCGCTTCAATTCTGCCATTTGAATTTCATCGTCTGTTCCTGCAGTGGTCTCGGAGATAGCAGCAAAAACGCGCTGTAGAAAGGGGGTGAGAAGGGTATCAAGGATTCCGTATATCTCTGACTTGAAACCATAGATTATCTGGTCCAGCAATCGTAGGAAGAGCGCCATTTCATCTTTGGAAGAAGTCTCCGTCAGTAATCCTTCAATCCATCTAGGCAACTGTGGAAGTAGTCTCAACCCAACAATTCCTATCACGCGCGAAAATGTGAACCGTGCTGCAGTCCTCACTTCGAAGGATCCTTTGAGCGACTCAAGAGCAATCAATGTCGCCTCAGCCACCTGGCCAAACACATCGGAGACCTCAGGGGAAACCTTAGCAGCGGAGTTGGTCATTTGAGAACCTGGAGTCCAGTCCGAGAAACCACGTGCAAGAGTACCCAGAGCCATAATGTCATGGTGTATTTGCAGTAATGCACGCTCATCGTTAGACTTGGCCAAGGCCAAATTGTTCTCCATGTCAATGAAAACAGGGTTCATCACAGACTGTACATATACCACTTGTTTATCAACCGGAACCAGAGGTATAGAACACAAGATGCCAACAGCTTCAAAAAGGTAAAGCTGACTGGTAAAGATGGCGTCTGCGGAGCTTTCATCTGAAGACATGTCATCACCGTCATCGGCTTCAGAAGGTGGCTCGGCTCGAATAACCAGCAGATCTGCAATGGCCTCGATGACCGTTTGCACAACATTGCCAATATGTATTTTCAGAGCCTTGACTAAGCGGTAGAAAAGATACCAGGAGCGCGTTCTCACCCTTTCCATCGGATGATGTGCAAACTGAAGGAAGTTCTCCAGCACGCCAGGGATAACTTGAGTGTGGCGCTCGAAGAAGCTGCTGTAACGAACACAAATCTCCATGAATTGCAGCTGAATCGCGGGATGAGTGAATGACCTGATATCTATTTACAGGTTTAGCACAGAACATACTCTTTAAAGGAACAGACCTACCAGATTCTACCATCCTGTTCATCATCTCGGCAAGTCTTTCAGAGGCAACATTGTTGGCTTTATTCTTGGTATAGAGTCCGCCAGACTTGACGGCGAGTTCGCCAAACAAGAACATCTCGTGGAGAGCTAAATCAAGATCGCGCCAATCCATTTGACCGCCCGACTGGCGAAGATTTTGGAACGTCGTTCCCACGACCTCCGACAAAGCATCTATATAAAGAGGTTCGTTTGCCGCGGCAACTATTTGCTGGAGATTGTTCAGACGCTTGCGAAGTTCCTGGAACTCGGCTTCTTCGGTCTGGTCATCTTCGTCGCCCCAAGATGACGTTTCGTCGTATCGCATTTTCGCAATGATGGCTTTAAGAATGGGTAATATCATGGGTGCATGTTGGCTCTGAATATCGGGATTCGACTTGGATACTTTACGGGAATAAGATAGCAATTCCGTGACGCACGGAATGATTGTAGAGCAAATCTCGTCATAATCATCAGAAAAGAACCTGAGAACATGGGTTAAGAATGACTGCAGTAGATTGTTTGCTTTTTCCTTTGTTGCAACAGCAACCGCGTCATTATCCAAAGCACGGACAATATCAATGACGGTTATATTGACGAGTTTGGCAACGGTTTCGGCAAGGTCTGTATCGTATTTGGAGGTGAAGCGATTCTCATTCAATGGTGGGCTGTTGGAAAGCTGGGTCACAATGCTGTCCAGATTCAAAAATACAATCATATCAATCTTGTCCTCGGGTTTCATCTTCTTGGCCACGATCTCGGTAAAGACATCAATAGCAGCATCACGAACTTTTTCCTCGCCATCTCGCAACTCAGATTTTTGTGCACGGGATAGTTGTCGGAAAAGGAGATCGAGCATTGTCTGGTTGACTACAAGTCCGATATCAATCCAGCTGACCCAGGTCCCAATGGCCTTGAGCGACATTTCCACAATCTGATCATTGCCCTCCTGCCATTGGGACAAAATCTCTTGCCAAGAGCCAGCAATCTTTTGAATATCTCGTTGACGGATAAGATCCTTCAGTGTATTTGCCTTTTCCTGCTCATCACGCGACCGGGGCACTAGGACATCGCCGATCTCATCATGCACTGAATAGACGACTCGAAGGTAGAAAATGACGCCGAGGGGGTTGTTACGGAGATTCGTGGACGGGTCTGTGGTCGTCAAGCTCAGAAGATCGTCAAAGAATGTTTCCCATCCAGCGCCGTACAGTGCTGAGAATAGATATGTCACAGTTTGAGCAATCTTGTTCTGAATAGCAGCGCCATCCGGGACTGCTCCTTCACTTCCGTAGACCTGCCGTAAATACCCCATCAAACCATCTTTAATGTACTGCAAGCCCTGGAACTCAATCAGGTCGGCCTGGGCAGCACTATTGACAATCTCGAGCGCAACGTGACGAGCCAACTCCGAATGGCGTGGCGTTCGTGTGAAAATAGCGAGGCAGACCTGCCATCCCGAGGGGTCGGCACGAAGCTGGTTTAGGTATTCAAAGGCTTGCTTTTTGACGGTCTGGTCTGCCGACGGATTCGAGGCGATCTCGATGGCGCTCACTACCTATTATTATGAACAATATATTGTATTAGTTTACGGAATGCATTGGAGGGGGCGGGGTAGAATGCGTCATCAGATTGATTACCTGATCTTCCATTGTAGAACAGGCAGGCTGCCTCGGCGAGTCAAGGAGACTCTCTAGGAATCGTTTCTTGGGTTAACGGGAGATACGCAGAGAATCGACGGAAGGGAATCATGTCAGTTGGCGGAGGTGAATTTTATGCCGCCATTCTCCAGGCGGTACCGGACGACAAAAGGCGGGTGTGAAAACAGCAAATGAAGTTTCGGTTTGACTGGGTTATCAGAGAATTACAGGGAGTAAAGTGTGATAGAATGATTCCAGAGAAGATACTGTCCTGCTTGTCTGTTAGTTCAAAGGTAAGGTTGTCATTTATCTCAGCTAGGGAATCCCACACTGTTTTTTTCTAAAAGGGCTTGATAAATCTACCGCGGTTTACCTCCCGCTAAGCCTACATTGGGAAAGCGCTGTAATATCACTTTCGCTAGGAAATTATTAGCGTCCATGATGAAGCAAAAATAGTTTTTAACACCTACAAAGATTTGCATTTTAGCCAATAAGATCTTACGCATCCTCTACTCTTGCCTTATACTCTACGTGATCCTGTTACCTAGCTGTCTCTTACTATAGAGGGTCACTTACTATGCGGCTAGATAACTTAGCGAACTAGCCCTCCAGGCAAGCCCAGGAGTAATCTAGCCCACGTATAAGCCCGCGTATGTGCTCTAGGGGGCCAAGCTGGTTGGTAAGCCCTCGAGCGAGCCCCAAAACAAGTCAACGAGCAAGCTACAATAGCATAACATTGGACTTACTTGCTTAGGGGCTTGTTCAGGGGGCTTCTCAACTAACTTAGCCCTCTCAAGCACAGACGTGCTCATTCGGGAGCTGTTCGGGGGTTTTATTAGAGAGCTCGTACATATGTAGTTTCTGCGAGCTTACATGTATGTACACCCGTGGCTACCGGAGTAATCAGGCTCTAGAACTGATATATTGAACCCCGTAGCCTGGACCCTCATTGGATATGCGATATACCCTCATATTGGTGCTGTATAGATTATTAAACAAGGAGTGAAACTGTAATTGAACAAATACGCTAAGAAATTGTGTGTGTAGGGGTTGTGTAAGGGTTCGGTAAAATTTCATTTTAGCGTGGTATGTTTCCTAACCAATCTCCTACACTCCGGATATGGTAGTTGGTTCATAATTTCATTGTAGGCGTACTACATAACGAAGCCCCTGATGGTGTAGTTGGTTTATCACGTCTGACTGTAATGGTAGTGTATGATATATTTATATATTATGCATGATTGTTGTATATCAGAAGGTCGCTGGCTCGACTCCGGCTCGGGGGATAATTTCTTTTTCTTTTTTTTTGATCTATTTGAGAGTCCTTTCAAAAGTCTAGGTAACTATAATGTCTAATAATAACTATAAACGCTAGGTAGGGTATTTGAGGGAGTGATAACCACCAGCTAGGTTCCTCCTACGTGTAACGTCCAGCTGGGTGGTGTGGATGCATCCAAGCAATGCATATACAAATGCCATCTAGGTAAATACCATCTTCCTTTCCAGGTATCCAATGCTCCCCTCCCATCCTTAGACAAAGAAAGCCTCGGCCCTCGAACCATTGTGGAAACTTGAAAGTGGTAGATGTGAATCTACACACGGAATGTCCTATTCGTATGATCCAATGGGACTGTCAACACCCAACAGAAAATGAAGCGCTGTTATAGATGTGGGACATACTGTATTAGGCCCACTGCCCGGTTAAATTGAGTGATTGATTTATCCGAGCGGGTGTGGGCATCTTGCCCAATTCATGTACCAAAAGAAGTCGAGATCATCTAATTTCATATCAAAACATTGACAAGTTTGCTCAAGTGAATTCTGCAATACGCTGGAATGCACAGATTGATATCTAGATGCCTTAGTGCCTTATTGCCTTACTGTCCGGGGATAGTGTGGGGTGACATCATCACCATGCAATTGCTACAGAATAAATTATATACTCCATCTCTCCCTTGTATCTTCCCCGGATTCACTTCTATGGAATTGCACGGCTGCATGACCGTGTTTGTGAATCCTATTTAGCCGGGACCATCTGATATATCCATTGCACAGCTTAAAGTTCCTGCGGAATACTTGCCTCATTGGTCTGTCGTACTATTTTAGCTGGAATATATTTGAGCTTACCCCTCCACAGACCACCAATTTTATTCGGCGACATTCCTTTCCCCAAACAACTTTGCAGACATACATACCGTCAACATGGCACCCGGGCCGTTGTATATCGGCTTCGACCTCTCGACCCAACAACTCAAAGGCCTCGTGGTCTCCTCCGACCTCAAAGTCGAATATGAAGCCAAATTCGACTTTGACGCCCATTCCCACGGCTTCGATATCAAAAAGGGCGTCATGACAAACGAAGCTGAACATGAAGTCTTTGCGCCCGTAGCCATGTGGCTGCAAGCATTGGATTCTGTTCTGAAGACCCTGAAAGATCAAGGGTTGGATTTTGGTCGGATAAGAGGAATTAGTGGTGCGGGACAACAGCATGGGAGTGTTTATTGGAGTAAAGATGCGGAGAAGTTGTTGCAGAGTTTGAGATCTGAGAAGTCATTGGAGGAGCAACTTGCAGATGCGTTTTCCCATCCGTATAGTCCCAATTGGCAGGATGCGAGTACCCAGAAGGAATGTGATGAGTTTGATGCGTATCTGGGTGGACCGGAGGAACTTGCCCATGTGACGGGGAGTAAGGCGCATCATGTAAGTTCTACCTCGTACGTCTTGGAGTTGAAAGAAGTTGAGAGCTGATGGTTTCGATTTACAGCGATTCACCGGCCCTCAGATTCTGCGCTTCCATCGAAAGTACCCAGAACAATACAAAAAGACATCAAGGATTTCGCTTGTATCTTCTTTTCTAGCGTCACTCTTCTTAGGAAGAATCGCCCCCTTTGATATATCAGACGTCTGTGGAATGAATCTATGGAATATCACGGCAGGATCATGGGACGATCGCCTGCTCAAACTGTGCGCAGGGCAGTTCGGAGTTGATGACTTGAAGCAAAAGCTTGGAGATGTGCCCGAAGATGGCGGGCTTCATCTGGGTAAGATTCACGAGTACTTTGTTGAGAGGTATTCGTTCAACCCTGACTGCATAATCATGCCTTCAACGGGCGATAACCCGTCGACTATCCTTGCACTACCGCTGAATCCATCCGATGCAATGGTTTCGTTGGGTACTTCGACTACGTTTTTGATGTCTACGCCCATGTATAAACCGGATTCCGCAACTCATTTCTTCAACCATCCTACAACACCGGGATTACACATGTTCATGTTATGTTACAAGAACGGCGGATTGGCGAGAGAACAAGTCCGGGACGCAATTAATAAGCAAGTGGGTGGGAACACTGCAGGTAAAAATCCATGGGCGAATTTCGACAAGGCCGCACTGGAGACTCCGGCTATGGGCCAAAAGAGCGCCTCTGATACCATGAAGATGGGTCTTTTCTTCCCACGACCAGAAATCATACCCAATCTGCCGTCTGGCCAGTGGAGATTCAATTACAACCCACAAGACAAGAGTCTTGAAGAAACAACATCCGGTTGGGATATACCGTTGGACGAGGCCCGTGCCATTGTAGAAAGCCAATTCTTATCGCTGCGACTTCGTTCGCGAGGACTTACTACCGCTCCCGCCGAGGGTCTCCCACCACAGCCAAAGCGAGTTTACCTTGTTGGAGGAGGATCGAAAAACACTGCAATCGCTAAGATTGCGGGAGAGATCTTGGGTGGCCATGACGGTGTTTACAAGCTCGACGTGGGGGAGAATGCATGCGCGCTTGGTGCAGCGTACAAGGCTGTTTGGGCAATCGAACGGCAACCGGGCCAGACTTTTGAGGATTTGATTGGAAAGCGGTGGCGTGAAGAGGAGTTTGTTGAGAAGATCGCGGATGGCTATCAGCCGGACGTCTTCAAGAAATACGGTGTCGCCGTGGGAGGGTTCGAGCGGATGGAACAGCAAATTCTGCAGCAAGAAGGACGGAAGTAAATAATAACCTAGATAGTTTTTCTCTGTATTTAGAAGAATAGACGAGATGTCAGCAGATTCAAGAATCATCAAGGGTTATCATGCCAAATGAAGGGACCCTTCACTTTACTATCGGATACAGTCTTTTGCACACCACGGACTCGGGCATACTGGATCTAGTCATTGTCTTTGGATGTTGGTGGGTATTGTTAGAGCCTTACAACAATGTAAACCATATTAACAAGTTGATTTGTACGGTAATTATTCGGCAACTGCGTAGGTTGTAATGGAGGATAGAAGAGGAGACTACTGCATAACTATCCAACTCACTTGAGCTGTCCTAAGGTCAGTCTGTGCTACAGCAATAGACAACATCCATGCAATGTGTGTGATACAGCGCTCCACTATGCATTCACTATTGAATAATGAAATACACCAACCATGTACATCCCTGTAAGGAGAATTGATATTTCGGTCAATAAGTGACTGGCCGGCTGATCATTGCTGAGAACTTGTGTGGTGAGGCGTAAAACGTATGCATTAAGGATGTATTGGAAGGTAGAGAATCGTTGATATAGCGTTCTGGTTACATTGAGCATGGTATAAAGGTAGGTTAGTAGAAGTTGCATATTTAGAATCTGAAGCTTATATTAATGTGTCCAGGAAGAGAATAAAAGCCCTAATGCATATCGAGTGGTGCCTATTTCAATTCACCACTCGGGCACATCCTGTCCTACTACCGAATCCTCGTATTCAGACATCACTACAGTCTCAATTCTGCCTCAGGCTCAACCCATTATGGCTCAACCTACCATGAACTTCTCTCTGCCGAGCGTGAGGACATTTCCGCGGCTCTCCCACATCCATGTCGTAGCTTGTCTTCCTGGTAATTGCTTCAGCCTATACTTGACGAGCCAAGTGAGTTCGGAAAGCGAGTTACAGATGCTAGAAGGTCAAGTGGGCACTCCGACATGGCAACACATCAAAGCAGTCGATAAAGAAACCGGCCAGATCGCCGCCTGGGCCTCATGGAACACACCAACAGATGATGAAATCCGACAACGTGACAAAGAGCAAGCCCAGCTGGAGGCGGAGAAAAAGACCCTGCAAAGTAGCGGCTTTGACTTTTCATTATGATTGTCAGTCCACGTCCAACAAGTTACTGATAAACGGCAGAATCACTGGACGCGCGCGGCGCCACATGACCTACAAGGCACTTTTTACAAAACCGTCTTTTCAACGAAGAGGGATGGGAAATGCGTTGGTCCAGTACGGGAACCTCTTGGCAGATGAGGCAAGCTTACCTATCTTCCTTCAGACCTCTCCGTATAGTTATCCTATTTACACTTAGAATATGAGGACCTGTGAAATCGACTCTGAAAATAACCGCTACTGAGGCCTCTTACGGCGTCATTTCCACCCGTCACTCCCAGAAGCCGCCGCTTTAACTGTCGAGGATTATGTAAGCTAAACCTAATCAAGGAAAGCCTACAATGTTGATACAAGGAAAATTCGAGAATTGAAGACACAAGATTGAGCCTACGAATCAGTTTTACAGTTCTATATCGAGAATCTTCTATTTGAGATTGTCTCGATATCTTCTAGATGGGATTCTCAAGCATAAATAGTGTCCAACAATCCCGTCAAGATGTAGATAGAATAGAGTGCGCAGAATTAGGTCAATATCAATATTTCCCACCATAAAGACATCTTTGAGTATTGAGCTTAACTGAGTTTGTGTGCTAGTGCACAGCAAGTTCCGATATTAACGTCTCATCACGTGCTTCGTATTATTGTTGGAACTTAAGATGAGTTAAGCCAGATCAGGAATAGAAATTATAAATCGATGTTAACCCTCCGTCGGATTCCCAATACGGCAATCAACCCTCATGCCGAAACCCTAGCTCTAACCGGATCCTCAGGCCAACCATCCCGTTGCCCAGCCCGTCAGTGTGAAATCTCTATATTTATTAAAGCAAGCTGAAGGAGGCAGAAGGGATGTACTAATGGACATTAATAGACTATAAGAAGACTATGACTTGCAATATATATTTGTGACGGCTCTGGTTCAGCTCTAGTTCGGCGCTTGCCTTAGGACTTTATTCCCGGGATCGCTGCAGGCTTTGTGATATGAAACTGCGCGTCACGTCGATACTCTCCGAGCGGTGTTTGATCTCTGTATCTAGCACTTACTATGGAAGGGACATGTCTGGTGTATTCCTTACAGGAATCATGTGTGGTGTCTACTTATATGGCTCCAATCCCCAGCTGGATCCCGGCCTTCTTCCGGTCTCCATGCTTAGTTTGTCGTCAATTAGCTACTAGTATAATTTGATTGAGCACCATCACTCTAGAGTCCGTGGTATAAGACTATATATAGCACTAGGCTCTGAGCTACGAACCTGAACCCACAATCCCCAGCTACCAATGGGCCTGAGGTAATAGTCTTATGCCCCACGACGACTCCGAATATCTATCCTGGATCTCATCGTGCGCATTTCCGGTCTCTTGCCAGCGCTGTTACATTGTCGGCAGCCGCCACCATGGCCAAGGGATCGTCCGCTCGAATGGTCCATCTTTAAAGAGCAGGAAAATGAAATTCGCCCCTTCATTCTGCGCCGTCCGGAAAAATTGCGTGGCCGCGATCTAAGAGGAGGCTTTTAAGATATATAAGAATTATTGACATGCATTCTGTTATGCGATTCTCTTCCTTCAGTTTCCTTCTCCTTACAGTGGTCGGCAGTGATTGCCTCACATACCTCAGGCCCAAATAATGGTTTCATCCAGTACGTCCTTGAGAGTAGCTTCAGGGGTTGGGAATAACCTTGTAAGCCCTGAAACCAGAACAACGTGCAGAACTCGTTCCACATATCACTATTCCCTAGGATAGAATTTTGCAGGCTGCTCCATGTTCTTTTCACAGAGGTCTAAGCTCATAAAACTAACTTTCAAAGAAGACACGGGCATCATTTTAACAGTTCTTAAGCACGTTCTCTGATAGCACACTTTTATTGGGTCCCTGATCCGGGTAATTTCTCAATCATTTTCGATGATACAAATCTGTAAAGTGAGATAAGGAGACAAAGTTCACTTCAGCATGCCTCGTTCTCGCAATGCAAAGGTATCAAGATCTAATTCTGGCCGTTCTTCTTCTTCGCCGTCTGAGCAGTATGGAGGTGGCTCAAATATTCCCCAAAATGTGTCTTGTGCATAAGTCTTAGCCGCCTCTTCCTTTTCTGTGCGTGATCCTTTGACTGGTGTGCTTGTTGGAGACAAATTAATTGCAGTTTGCACTTGATGGACTATGAAATTATACACAATCTCAAGATCCTTCTCATCCACAGTATCATAGGTTTTGCTAGAGTATAGCGTGCCGTCTGAGGTCAAAAGCTGGAAAGTATAGCGTTGGCCATCAGTGCTAAAGCCTTGCACAGATGGGACAGATTTGTTAGCTTTTTTCCTTTCATGATAGCAGATTGCCAAATACGCAGTCAACTGAAGCTCAGCATTCCCAAATGTTTCTTTCTTCTTTGCCTCGACACAAACCAAAACGGAGTCTGAAAATCCACGGCCCGAGTGCCCCGCTGCCCAGTCGGCGCGACCAGTGAACACATGAGGAATGCCAGAGACTGGGTGATTGATCTCGGCTCGCAAATCATATTCATGAAACATTTTGAGATCTCGTCGAGGGGCCTCAGCATCAGTATCACGTCTCATCTGTGTCGTCGGTGTCATGGAGATAGCATGTTTTTTCTTGGGAGCGCCTCTGGTAGATGACCGCAAAGGGACGTTTGCATTACGCCGTGCCTGAACCAATGCAGGTATCATGACAAACTCTGCTCGCAATCTGCAGTACTGTTCATTGTTCCGGTCGTATCCAGCGTCTTCTAAGGCTCTGAAATTTTTCAATATATCATCGGGGGTGGAATGGTGTAAAGTGTCATCTGTAAGACGTAGAGGTATCGCAGCTTCTTCAAGATTGAATATGCTCAGGATTTCATCCTTGCCAGCTTCGCCAGCAACTCGGTAGACCTTGTTGGAGTCTCCCAATAGAAACTTAGCCAAATCAAGTGGCGTCGCTATCTGGCTTTCTGCCAAGCGACAGATCTGTTCAATGATATAGCCACGGTTGAATTTGGCAGTCTTTGGAATTGTCGCAGCTTTCTGTCGGATCTCTATAACTTGGTGTGCCGAATCCATGTCAACCTTGAAGACATATCCAGGCCGCACATCTAAGTCTCTAAGGGTCTTGTCGAAGGGTAGCCGAGCTCCCATGCAGGTGAGAATTATTTTTTGGCCTCCGGTTTCGCTTTTGATTCGTTCAACAAGCTGTGCTCCTGTTAAACTGTCTTGGACCTGTCCAGAGGAGTCAATACTTAGGCCAATACAATGCGCAAGAACGAAGAAGCAGACGTTTAGAGAAACCTCCCGGTTGTCTGAGAACTTGAGACAAATCTCGACGTCCATATTTGAGGCGCTGATGGAGATTATATCAGACAATTCCGGTATTTGGTCCAGTCCTAGACGAGGACTGCCTAAAAGCTGGTTCTGGAAGTCAGATAGGGCAGCTGTGACAATGCCGGGCCACACGGCGAACGTATCAAGTCGGCTGTAATGGACAAGGGATGTATTAGTGAAATGAAAAAAAGACCCGCGCCAAAAAAGCAGGTTTTGCTAGGAAGCTTGTCAGTTTCAGAAGGAGACCAAAAAGACGTGAACGTTTGTCCCAGGTTCTCATAGATAATGGTGTTCTGCCTGCGCTAGTCCTAATCGGAATGGACATGACACATGTGACATAGTTTAGTTATAACGCGTCCAGAGCGCGTTATTGTCACCGGCTCCCCCTCCATCGCGTCCGCCATCGCCAACGGTCGGTTCTCCCTTCTTACAATATCTTCCTTCTGATCCGGGTTCATACGACTGATTATAGAGTTTCGAAGGAGATAAGTCCTATCCGCCTCTTCCGGGGAGGATGGTTCATTAAGATGCGGGCGGTGATGACGATACGGCGTACGGGGAGACTAGGCCTGAACGGGAGGCACTAACGGGATCTGGCAATTCACAGATCCGTGTTTTACAAGAAACAGTTTTAGGACCGTACAATATCCTGATGTTGATCTCAGGAACTGGGTGCCAAAGGCTGACAGCGATGACAAAGGGTACGGAAATTATCGGTTTTGCTACATGTTTCGACTACCAGAAACATCGCCAAAGCTGTCTTGATCTCTCTACTCCTGAATTGCAATAAGCGATGTCTGCCTAAACACAGTGAAACCAATAAATGTTTATAAACGATAACCCTATTTGGATCATGGATCTCCGTCTTCTGACTAGAGAGCTTTCCATCGAAAGCTCTCCACTTCTGCGTGCAGCGTCGTATCTGATCATAATCACGACAGCGCTTGACATCCCAGCCTGGTGTAACTTCTCTCCACTCTCCAAGACAACACGTTTCTCGACATTTGTATCTAACATTGCACATGATTGACTATCTCAGATATTCGAGTCTATTCCCGTCTCCTTTCATTGTCTTAATTCTCGCTTCGTCGTTCCTTAAAAGAGACGGACCCTCCTAGCACTACGGCTTCGGCTCATATGTGGTTCGAACTCACCCATGTAAGGAGTGAGACCTCGCACATCAAGTGAAATATAGTCAATGATACAGAATATCAGGTATCTACCGAAGCACCAAAATAGTTATGATGCCTTTGTTACTCCCATTGTCTTGTTCGTGAGAATACACGTCAGGTGGGGATTGCACTCGCAATGATATAGTACCCTATGCCCGCAGTACCATCACATCACGGGAGATCAGAGATGCCATGAATATGCTAGAGACTAATGAAATAATGAAAATGACATGCCTATTACTCTCGGCTTCTATCGATTTTCCTGCCCAACAGTACCAAGTGCTGTTCAAATTAGCTAAACTCTCCGACTACACGCTTCCCTCACTTACCGAGCCTGCAAATACCGGTCCTACCCAAGCTCAAGATAGGGGAATTCGTTTATTAATGACTCTATCAAATTTCTAGAAACCGGAGACAACGAAAGGTGAGCAGTATTATAACTACCTGTCGCAGCGCCTTACCCACACAGCGAAGGAAATATACAATATGGTCAGGGTTAGGGCTATCGACGAAACGAGATTGATTGTTACGTCAGCTAACCGTCCCCAGCCGCCCTACTGTACATCAGGTCAACGCTTTGGAACGGTCTCAAGAAAGAAAGAAGGATGCGACGATACTCGGCCAGGTACGAAAGCTCTGGGATCAAGATTCATGGAAAGGATGTCAAAATAACTGTATATATACCAGGAGCTTCATAGGACTAGGCACCGGATACAGCAGAACAAAAAAATTAGTTAAGTCCCCCGAGCCGGAATCGAGCCAGCGACCTTCTGATATTAAACAATCATGCGTAATATATAATATATTATGCATTACCATTACAGTCAGACGTGATAAACCAACTACACCATCAGGGGTTACATTAAACAAGCACATAATTACTTATAAGAGCTTTCATCTAAATATGTGCTGAGTCGATATCGAGGATGGCCAATCAGAGGCGTTCCCCCCAAATAATCCTTATGATTGACTGATTCATTCAGCTAAGCTAGGCTAAGGGACGTTAAGCTAGCTTAGCTGAAAGGCCCTCCGTGATAAAGCAGAAATGAAGAAGCCAAGATGCTACAGATCATATTGGCACGGAAGGCTACGTTTCCTGAGAATGTCCGTCCTCCACCGCTTCTGCTTGAAGGGGTGAGATCAGCTCCGAGAAACACAGAGGTCATACCTGATGAACCATCATCTTGACCTCCCTTTGTCTGTCGTATCTATCTTCCGGTCTAAATTACTGAGTCAGCTTGAAATGTCCCCATAATAATTTCAGCGATTCTTCCAGCGGCGAGTATGCCGCCTTGGTGTACATCCCAGTCTGTCAACGGGGCAGCGGCAGAACAACTCAGTATCCTCCCTGGACAGGAAATCTCACATCCATCGTGGAATGAACCGGGTGAAGACACACCTAGGGCCCGAAACGGCCGATTCCGGACCACCGAGTAGTCAGCCGGTTGATCGAGAAGCAAAATTGCGTCGATAGGCACGGTGTTCCGCCTCGGTTCATGCTGGTGCAGGCAGAACTCGATCACTTGACGAGCTTCCCGGTCGACGATGGTACCATTACAGTTGACTCGAGTCGGGTTGCAGTCAGTCGACCATTGATAGATCCAATACCTACCGCGGACACCCTTCTCGGTGATCCGAACATCGTATTCCCAGTGCATCGGCATCTGGAGGTTCTGACCCAGCATCGTTCGTGGAAAGCATCGGAAGCCGGGAGTCGACAACTTGGGGTATTCCAACAGCACCACGTCCTTGAGAATAGCGCCAAGCTGCAGCCAGAAGTTCTTGACCCGCTCCTCGCCAGACATGTGTATAAGCTTGGAGACGTCTCCTCCGAGAAGGGGAGCGATGGCAAGCAGCTCGTCCTCTCGTCTGGAGGAATCCCGCAACGACAGCATTTGGGCGATCTGTCTGATGCGCAATTCCCTGTTTGTCAGGAACGGAAGACTCCGAAACTCTCGCAGCATGAGCGCTTCGATGTTGGTGAATGGTCGCGTGCAGCAGGACTCATCTAGGCGCCGAACCTCATCAACAGAGAGCCCGACTAACTCCGCCAAATCATGCAGCCTGTGGTCATGAATCGGTCTGTCTGTCCCTGCAAGGACATCTTGGAAAAGCGAAGAAAGCTGTGCGAGCCCAGCAGAGAACAAGATGTAGATGTTCTTTGAGAATAGCCTCCTGCAAAGTCCACAAGCGCTGCGACCAAGCACAGGTCATGAGCCAAGACATAATCGAGTACCCGGTCAGATGGTCTGGAGTGTGATACAGGCCCTCGTCCAATACGATGGTCATCGAAGCTTCTGAATATACCCGTTTCATCTTGCTGATGGCTTGTTTCCGCACCCGCGAATCCGCTGGAATACATAAAGCGTCAATCCAGAGGAACCATGGGGTCTGATCGGATACAGGATCCGTATAGTTTTCCGCCGAGACAGCGGCGAGGCTCGCAGGATGCTGAATCTGGCGTCCTGGAAGACCCGTCTCAGAGGTTCCCATGAGACCGTCGGACCAGACGTGGGAGATGGCAACGAATTTCATCCCTTCACGATATTCGCTCACCGCACCATATTTCAAGAGGACTTTGGCCGAGTCGGAAATGCCAGGGATGACAGCGAACTGTAAACGCCGCATATCGATCACCGGAAAACTATCCCCGCCGATCGCGGCAACGATTCGATCCGACATTCGGGGCCACACTTGCACACTTACAGTGCGGCTGACGATGCTTGGCCTTCGCAGTATCCACATCTAAGTTATAAGCTACGCATCTCTCCTCCGAACATGCTTCGTGTCTCTCAATCGGCCCATTTGTGGCGGGGAAACAGGAAGCATATTCGACAAAATGTAGACTGCCGGAGATCTTTCCCAAGGTGTTGTACATGGATGGACACCATCCTTGACTCAGCAATCTACCTCGCAACTGCTCTTCCATGCCTGGCGTTCGCATGGACATGAGCATGGGCAGTCCCACCCCTTGCTGCAGCACGGGGGGCACGATCGACATCAGATGCTCCAGCAAAAGCACCGAACCCCGAACAATATGGTCGATTGCGGTTTCTGTGCTTACTGGAAGAGACGCTTTGTCGAAAAGTGCACCTCTCGCCAGCCCTCCCAGTCGAAACACAATGGCTTCCGCTTTCAAACGCGTGTCATTCCACAGGGCCTGCCACTGTGCAATTGGCATCCCGAGCCCGCTCAGCCTCAACTCCCAGGAGGTTTTCAGGGCCCTGAACAGCTTCGTGTCGATGACCTTACCTTCAGGAGTCTCCTTAAAGTGCGCCGAGCCCCCGTAGGAATCCCACAAGGCAGCTTCAAGCACACCGAAGAATAACCAGGACTGCACCATAAGCAACGCTTCGTCCGGATCGGAAAGGACCCAATGGGTCATCTCATGTGCTGGGGGACAGTTGTGTACCTGGAGGTACTCTCCAAACGGAACCACGGGATACTTTTGGATAGAGTCATGATTTCCGCCAAGACAGGGAATATCTTGGATTGCATGTCCGTATTGCTCCTCTCTTGTAAGGTGAGGAAAAAGTCCATGATAGGAGTGATAGGGCGAACAGTGCCTTGCGTATGTATTGGCAAGATGCCGTCCCCAATACTATACTCCAAAGCTGTAAGAGAGCAATTTCGAAGAAGACAAGCTTTGGTTGATTAAGAGATGTGTCAGATAATCCGGATTTCATACGAGGCAGAGAGATCGGCTGTTTCGATCTTACAGGTCTAAAAGGCACCTTAGGGCATATATCTGAGCACCTGGATTTCAGCCCCATGTTTACCCCTCATGATAGCTCACAAATCACACTGCCAAAGATGTTTATAAAAACCCAGCTTTGAAACCTGATGGATAGACAGAGACAGAGAACTCAATACCATCGAGGAACTTGCAAGAAGAGGAACAACAAAAGCATGCAAAACCATATATGAGCCAGGATTCACATTCTCTACTGCCCAGATGGTGCCGCTCAGGTGAGAAGGGCGAAGCGTGCAAACAAGAGTGCACATTGTAGCTAAAATTTGAAAATAGTCCGATTAGTCGAATCATATCCTCCAACCGTTCCACTTAAAATGGCCCTATTAGAAACAGATTAATGTAGATATATCGATCATGTAACGGAGCGGGGTCAATAGGGTAAAACATATGGCATAGAAAACTAACAAGACATGAGCTGAAGAGAAGAACTATCCTACAGGGGAGTAAGGCCGTATTTATGCCTGCGCGGCGCCTGCTCGAGAGCATGATTCCTGACGGAGCATGCCTACAAAATCTGTACGAAGATCTCTAACAAAGTCCTGTAACAAAACCACTAACAAAGCCCTCGGTGAAGCTATTCCCAGCGCGTGAAACTCATACAACGAAGGTCTCCGGGCGTTCCCTTGATGTCGTAAAACCTCTGAGGCAGAACCGTGACACTACCCGCCCTTCAAATAAGCGAGCTCCTGCGACGCGATAAAACCTCCCGGGGCCTCTCCTTGAGATGATAGCGCTCATAGATTTGATCGACCTTCTCTTGAGCGTTCTCGAGATGCGCTGGCGGCGAGAGCTGTACGCACACATATAAAAGAGATCTCTGCCCGTGGTTGAGCGTGCTCTTTTTCTTTTTTTTTTTTCCCCTCATGCTTATTTTTTGCTCGACTAGATAGTTACCTCTTAGGATAGAGAATGAACGCTGTCACAAAAAGGAACCCATTAACCCATCTCCATCAAAAGAAATATCAATTCATCCTTCTTGCTCAGCTGAATCCTTTTTATTTCTATTGTGAATTGGTGGCATATTGACGTGTTGAATTATATGGAATCAATATAGTGTACGTGTCCGGAGAGAAGCTGACAGTTCGCCTACTGATTACGTTCAGTTACTTTTGTTCCAATCCAACATGATGTCTTTTCTGTAGACAAAATTCTAACAGTCTGGGCTTTTCACCACACGAAGTGATTGGTACAAGATTATAGTCGACCAGCGAGTATCCTTGTCTTGTTGAACTCTTTTGTAGACAATGGATACATGAAACCATCAACGCCGTTTATGTACATCCGACTGGCCTGAGCCATTGTGTTGATGTTCATGCGTATGATCATGGTCATGATCGTGTTTTTCAGGTTCTGGACTCATCCGCGGGCTCACATCCCCAGGGATAAACTCCTCGGCGAAATCGACTCCTTCTATTTCGGCTGGCACAAATCGTACTTTGACTCGCCGCACACCGCGGACTTTGGCACCGATTCCTGTTCGTACTATCTCTTCTATCTCGCGAGATTGTTGCACGGTCATGGAACCCTTGACACCTACTTCAACGTCCACTAGATAATTCTGTCCGGATTTGAGACCTTGGACATCCCGGATTTCGATTCCTTGTGTGCTGGTAGATGATTGGGCAAGTGTCTTCAAGGCAGCCGCCTGAACAGACTCTTTAATTTCCTCGTCGACCGTTGTATCAGCAAGCTCTAGCAGAGCAGATTTTGTGTTTGTCCATCCCGCGTTGATCACCATCAGGGAAATTATCAGACCCCCGACGGGATCGAGCCATGCTGCATTAGTGAAAATGTGAGCACCTCCGATTGTGGCCAAAGCGACAAGGCTCGTCAGGGAGTCGATGCGGTGGTGAACTGCGTTGGAGGCGAGTACGGATGATTTTCGTTCCTGTGCGATTTTCATTGCTAAACGTATTGCTTGTTAGACTTGATGATCAACGTAGTCGAGGCGAGACTTACTAGCTCGGTATAACCACTCCTTGGCCACTATAGACCCAGCCGCCAACCAAATAGCATTAATATTAGGTCCAAGCACTTCAGCCCCGTGATCGTGACTATGCGAATGACCATGAAAGAGCAGACCAGCATGCCCGAGTGCCTCGAATGCTTCGGGGACGAATTGAGACAGGAGAGCCTGTGTTGCATCCAATCCCATAAAGACACCGCCGCATAGTAACAACGAGCTCACACCTAGAGCTCCCAGACTCTCCACCTTTCCATATCCGTTCGGGAATCGCTCACTCGGAGGTTTGAGGGACCAAGCAACAGTCCCCAGGGTCATGAAATCAGACACCAAATCTGTCAATGCATGATATGCATCTGCAATCAACGCCTGTGAATGGAATATGTAGCCGCCGACGAATTTTCCAATTGCCATTGCTAGGTTGACGAATAGTCCGATTCGGGTGATCCGGACCCCGGCATCTTTTTTATTCGAGGAGGTCAGGTAGACGTTGTCGTGATGGTGGTGGTGGTGGCCATGATGGCCTGCGTGGCCTCTAGTTTGGACAGTCATAGGTGGTCTGTTAGTCAAGGATGTCTTCAATGCCGCCCTGGCGGCTACAGGAGACCAAACAAATAGCGATGACGGCGAAGATGACTGTTTTAACGAAAAGGATTGTGTTTTCTGGTGCCGGACAGATCTAGAATTAGAGGTATATAATTTCCTGCACCGATGTACAAGCGATGTCGCGTGAGTGTTGTGTCTGAGTCTGGAGAGTACGTGGCATTGCTGCAGCTGGCCGCCGCGTTCCAGCGGCGGCAGGAGACTCATCAAGGGCCGCCAAGATCTAGACTGTTTGCAGCTCCCCGAGGTTAATGGGCATTGAGCTAAGGACAGGCGGCTAGGGTACGAAACCTTCTCTTGCAGTCAGTCGAGTCGAGTTTAAGGTCGGAAAGTCCAAGAATGATTGTGTTTATAAGATCATGTCGCTGTGAACCTTACGCTCGAAAATATTCTTCCAACATGCGAGAGCCGGCCGAGTTCGGCTGCGACCCGGGGACTTTCCGCTCGTGCTTGGCTCGTTGTATCGTCCTAGGGCTCCTCCTCTCGAAATGGCAATGGTGAGCGTTGAGACCTCCTCAATGTCAGCCGATGTCTATCAAGAAAAAAGAATAGGAAGAAAATTGAGTAGATAATAGTCAGCTGGTTGAGGGAGCTAAAGTCAAAGTCGCCGGAATCGTCAGGCTCCAAGGCGGTGACATCACAGCGGATAGGGCAAGTTCCGGCTTGGGCGAGGAGGCTAAGCTGAACGCTGAACTCACAAACATTGTCTATATATATATACTCAACAAGTCATCATTGACGCCATGCATCCATGTCTCCGTTGAGAATCCCTTTTACCAAACCGTTCCCGCCTGCCATCAATTTCCCCAAAACTGCCAGTAGTGTAGCCGGTGCAATTGACGCGATCGGCGACTTCTTCACGGCCCCTCCGTCGCCCTTCCTACAGGGCATCGACGTCGGCAAAAATGCTCAGACAGTGATCCTCACGGGAGCCGGCATCTCGGTCGCATCTGGTCTCTCTGATTATCGAGGGGAAAATGGGACGTATGTTCGGAACAAATCCTATCGTCCTACTTACTACCACGAATTCATAACCCGTCATGAGGCTCGCAAACGGTACTGGGCGCGAAGCTATGTGGGATGGCCGGGCTTGTTGAAGTCAAAGCCCAACAGCACACACAGAGCGGTTGCAGATTTAGGGGAAAAGGGTTACGTGAGCAGTGTGATTACACAGAACGTGGACTCTTTTCATCTCGTTGCGCACCCGGAGTTGTCTACTATTGAATTGCACGGGTTTTTACGGGGTGTTGTCTGTATAAATTGTCACAATCTCGTCCCTCGAGAGGACTTTCAGCAATCTCTCACGCGGTTGAACCCAGCCTGGGCCGATTTCTTGAATGAAATGTTGGAGTCCGGTGCTCTGGATACTAATAACCCGGAAGAACAGCGCAAGCGAGGACTAAAGATTAACCCTGATGGTGACGTGGACCTTCCTCATGCGCCGTACTTGACTTTCCGCTACCCGGCATGTCCTCACTGCTTAGAGAAGCCGCCTTTACTGCCGGACGGAGGCCAGACCAAAGCAATCGTCGAGACAGAGCCTGATGGTGCCTGGTCGCCGTCGTCCACCGCTGGGATACTGAAGCCGGCTGTCATCATGTTTGGCGAATCTACAAGCTCTGCGGTGCGGAGTGCAGCCGAAGAAGCCATAGATGATGCTGGCCGGCTTTTGATCATGGGCACGAGTCTGGCGACTTATTCTGCGTATAGGCTAGTGGAACGCGCTCACAAACGGGGCATGGCTATCGGCATCATCAATGTCGGTGGCGTCCGGAACGAGTCGCAGATATTCGGGAATCTTCTCAACGAGCGATATCTGCAGAATCATGTACGATGTGATCATAAAAGCGAGGCTGTGCTGCCGGAAGTGGCGTCACGGCTACCTGTACTTAGATAATATAGTTCTCTAGTCTTTGGTTTCATCTCCAGTAAATAATAAATACTATGTATATATAGAAATAGACCCTTGCTGAGACTGAAGAAGGATGATCGAATTCTGAGCCCTGATTGGCTGCAGCACCGCAAGGACGGCGCCAAAGCGAAGATAAAACTAAAGCGGGCCTCAAGTTATCGCAGGAAACTACCTGCCCGACTAACATGGACCATCTTACTTCTTCCTCTTCCTCTGTTTCTGCTTCTACTTCGACCTCTCCCAAGCATATAACATCGACTTCCAGCCTGTCGACTCTGCTCTCATCGATTGTTGCTCCCAGTTCTTTTCTCTTCCCTCAGTCTACCCACGGCACAACGTACAACAATCCCCCGCACGGCCAACCGCAGACACAAGCGCTTGAAACATCGAGACCGACACGGTTAGCATTTACACGCAGATCCAATATGGACAAACCACAGCAGCCGAGCTCGTTCCAGCAGTTGGAAAAGGTATTCTTATTTCCTGGACTTTTATATTACATGTCTTGCTGATTAGTTCCATAGCTAGGTGAAGGTACCTATGCCACTGTGAGTGGACCACCCAGGGATCTACGCTCCGAATAACTCGGCGACTGACACGTATTGCATAGGTTTTCAAAGGTCGCAACCGTCAGACCGGAGAGATGGTCGCCCTAAAAGAAATCCATCTAGATTCCGAAGAAGGCACGCCGTCTACCGCCATTCGCGAAATTTCCCTGATGAAAGAATTAAAACACGAGAGCATCGTCTCGCTATACGATGTAATCCACACAGAAAACAAACTCATGCTCGTCTTCGAGTATATGGATAGAGACCTAAAACGATACATGGACACAAAAGGAGACCACGGTTCACTCGACTATGTCACTATCAAATCGTTCATGCACCAACTCTTGCGAGGCATTGCCTTTTGTCACGAAAACCGGGTATTACATCGTGATTTGAAACCACAGAACCTCCTTATTAATAAAAAGGGTCAACTGAAACTCGCCGATTTCGGTCTTGCACGCGCCTTTGGTATTCCCGTCAACACATTCTCGAACGAGGTCGTTACGCTCTGGTATCGTGCACCAGACGTTCTTCTAGGGAGTAGGACGTATAACACCAGCATCGATATCTGGTCTGCAGGTTGTATCATGGCAGAGATGTATACTGGTCGACCACTTTTCCCTGGTACGACGAATGAGGATCAGCTGCAGAAAATTTTCAGGCTCATGGGCACCCCCTCTGAACGATCATGGCCTGGTATTTCACAATTTCCAGAATATAAGCCCAATTTCCATGTCTACGCCACCCAGGATTTGAGGTTGATTCTTCCTCAAATCGATCAGTTGGGGTTGGATCTACTTACCCGTATGCTCCAGCTGCGACCCGAGATGAGAATCAGCGCGGCGGATGCTCTGCGCCATCCCTGGTTTAATGATTTGCCTCAGTTGCAGGCGCAACTACAGCAACATCATCAACAGCAGCATCACCAGCAGCAATCACAATTACCGGGTTACGGTGGGATGGTGACAGCGCAGCAAGGTTATTAGTCTGCAACCAATGACCACGAGTTTCAAGATGCTATAAAACATATAACAAAAAGCGGAAGGAAGGACAGGAAGGTGATACCCGGAGACATTTCTACTTTGTTTTGATCTTCATCTTTCGGTATAATCAGTTGGGCATATATTATTTCGTTTCATTCTCCGTTTTCTGCTATAATTCACTCTCCCCGCCTGATATAGGAATAAGGATATTTGGTTGTGATATCATTCCTGCCATGGTTCCATCCTCTAGCCTAAATCAAGCATTGAAAAGGGGAGGAGAGTTACCACCTATCTACCCATGCAATGCAGTCTATGACTGGATGGTATGCCATTACAACACGCAACACGCTCAGCATATCAGTCCTTGCACAACATTGAGTTCAAACATGTCTTTGAGAGATTTGCCATGAAGACGGGACGATATGGGACGCTTTGCTTGGCTTTGGTCACACACGGCGTACCTGTCTACCTAGAACTAATCATTCAATCCAAAAAATGGAACCTACCGAGGCAGTGCTTCTTTGAAGTTGAACGCTGGATAAGAGGTGAATATTCCAAAGGAGACCAACGCTCCATCGGATTGCTTTGTCCAAAAAGCTATCGGAGACATCTACTTGGAACTGAATCAGTCAGATTTCAATTTGGGCGAAGGTAATCGGTCCGGTTCCTAATTTTGGTTCGGATGATCATACAATGCACTTTATTTATCTTACTATTTTGTTTTTCGAGTTTCTAGACCGCAAGTTTTCATTGGGCTTAATTGGGATTGTAGATAACTACAGAATGGTAATAAATGCAGTACGTGCGTCGGCCACAGGTACTGTTATTATGTCACGTATTCTCCTTTCCTAATCAGGAGTTGATTTCAAGTAGCTACGCGAAAGGCGTTGCTACAACTGCCCTTTGTCTTATTTACGTAGAAGCAGGGAGCCTTCTACATTCGAGGGCAGATGGGTGACATAGGCCAACAATTCCAGGTTTCTCAGTCATCGCCCATCCACCAACTTGGGTACTTACTCATTCTGGAAGCTAAGGTGAGACTTGGAACATCCGCCGTGACAAGTACTACTACAACCTCGGGCTACTGGTAGTAGTATCTGACAAGTTTGGTTCAAGGGCTGACCTAACTTGTCGATTAGGTTGAATGCAAGATATCGATACGTAAGTTATCCTGGTGTCACAAGCCCTAATATCTCAGACAAACCAAACACAAACAACAACCCTCTTAGAGTAAATGAGAAGACTAAACTTCCTTATTTTATGTATATCACCACTACCTAACGGAAACGATATGGATAAGGGATGATTACCTGCTGATTCGGTACAAACACGGCACACGCCTTTTTTTTCCTGCGAAGTTCGTACATGATACATGCACACCGCAATCTGACCTCTTCCCATTGACCGGTGATCCCACTACCTAAGAACATGATGAACACCGCCAAATCCTTTTTTGTTAGGAGATATAGGTTGGGTGATCAAGCTATCCCAACTTCTGATATCTATGATCCAATCGGAATATATCAGGATCAGCGGTATATGTGTCGTACCAGGTGAGACGTGAGTATACCCCGGAATCCATGGAAGTGCAATCGGGATTGACGTATTCATGTTTGCTGAAAGCAGTTTGCCAGTCCATTAACCTAATCGAATGGGTGCTCGCTATAAGGTCGTTCTAGAGTTGTAATATGGTCTATTTCCTGTATCACTGTTATAGTAAAGGTAGTTTAAGGTAGTTCATGTCCGATATGTCTGAGCTCATGTAGGCATTCTCGTACCTACATAAACAGGCCGCCATCGTTACATGACAGGCCGGGGAATCCAGACCATATTGAATATCCGTTGTGGAAGGTTGTAATGCTCCTCGGAATATACATACCTTCCGTACTCTAGGGCAGTTGACATCAACCAATATCGTTCGTGGACCTGAGCTCAGGCTCATTAGTATGCATTTGCCCCTGGGGAAGGAAGTCCTCTGACACATATATGCTGACTCGAGATATTATTCAGCTTGCTTCGAGCTTCACTTTAACCTTCACTTTAATCCCTAACCAGTAGTCTCAGGAATCATTGACATCACAAGCTTATATCTTCCCCAGTTGCAACGCACGACCATGTCGCTCTCCGACCAACAATTATCCGCCATCACAGCCGCTGAAAGAGTAACATCCATCCTCTCTGTCGTCGGCACCACAATTGTCATATCCACATTTCTGAGTTCGCGCGCTTTTCGGAAACCCATCAATAGAGTCGTGTTCTTCGCCTCGTGGGCCAATATCTTGACTAATGTCGGAACGTTCATATCGCGGACGGCGATTGCGCAAAGGGAGCACGGGGTGGCGCTTTGTTGGTTCCAAGGTTTTCTTATTCAGTGGTATATTCTTTCCATATCCTTGAGTTGGTTAAGAGACGTGACGTTGATTTGTGTCATCCGTGGGATAGGCTCATGCCGGCTGATGCATTGTGGACACTGGCAATGGCGTTTAATGTCTATCTGACCTTCTTCCACAAATATGACGCTGTGAAATTAAGACGTTTAGAATGGAAATATCTTGTGCTGTGCTATGGTCTGCCTTTTATTCCGCCGTTTATCTACTTTTTCATCCATTCAAGTTCCAAGGGTCCTGTATATGGTTCTGCAACGGTAGGATTTCCCCTTTTATTCCCGAAATTCATCTCACAAGCGTGCAACTAATGGCACTAGTTATGGTGCTGGGTTTCTATTGAATGGGACATCTTGCGAATCGCCGTCTTCTACGGCCCAGTCTGGTTCGTCATTCTGCTCACCTTCGCCATCTACACTCGCGTTGGTATCGACATATCCCGGAAACGACGCATGCTTCGAAGTTTCAACAAAGAAGCGAGTATGATGATGGATGAGAGGCTGAATAACCTGTTTGAGATTCATGCCTCCAAAGTCGTGCATGTCACTAGCGAGGTTGTGAGAGATACTAGCCACAGCAACGACAGCAATGGCAGCAATAGCAGCAGCAGCAACTACAATATCGATCCCAACGGCAATACCAATGACAACAGTCACATAACCGCATATCCTTCATACTCCGTAACTATCGGGCGAGGCGATGAATTCCCATTACCGCCATCGGCGCCTTCGACGGTCGGAAGCACCAGCGTCAAAATAGCAGCAACACCATCACGACGTACCCCAAGGATAGATATCAGCTCAGCTGCATTTGCGTACTGCAAATACGCCATGCTTTACTTCGTTGCACTGATAGTTACCTGGGTAAGTCCCGCGCTAAATTTCAGCTGATTCGACACTAAATTGTTTGACAACAGGTCCCCTCAACAATAAACCGCGTATACAGCCTCTTCTACCCTGACCAGGTAGTCTTCGGCCTTCAATTCGTATCTGCTTTGGTTCTGCCTTTGCAGGGTTTTTGGAACAGTATCATTTATATCGCTGTCTCCTGGGCAACGGTAATGGATCTCATTGACCGTTTCAGTGCTCGTTTTCAGCGGCGGTCCTCGTTGTCGTCCTCCAATGATGCGACTGCGGGAATGAAGATGAATCATTCTTTCCCTAGAAAAAGTAGTCATTTGTCACCAGGAGCAGCACGGAATACTGGTGGTCAAGCGAATAGAAGGGTTTCTGATGATGCGGAAAGTACGACGTATTTTGCGAAGGATGTTGAAGGGAGGCAAGGAATATAGTCTGCAATGTATCAAAATCTGATGTGTAGTATATGTATCAATAAACAAATTACTTGAAAGCCTGAGTAGTTGAAGTTGATTGAGTTGTGAAGTTTAAGGACTGAGAATAAAGTAGACACAATTGACCAATAGGAACGTTGCCGCTAGCTAGTCTCTGACACGTCGCGTTAAGACGAATTCTCCGCACTTAAACGCACTCTCCCACAATTCATGCGACAGGGTATATCTGTCTCCTCATTTAGCCAGAAATAGGACAAGTTCAGTACTCCCTGATAACAAAATGTCACAGCAACCACAGAAAACACAAGGGGAATCGGGCGCTTCGCCCTCCCCTCCCCCGCCAGCCCCGATCCCATTGGCCCCCGGTCCACGCGCATCTCGACTGCAAGATATCTACAGCAAGGCTCTTCGCGCAACACTCAAGGCAAATTCATACGAGAATTTCGCGTCCTGTTTTCCTACTCCCGCCAGATATGTACCAGCCAGTCTGGAATCTGTCCATCGCCAATTGAACGCCAAATTGGAGGAAGGCGCTACCGCTGAATTCAACGAAATCATTAAAGAACGCGAGGTTATCAAGGGGTTGAACGAGCTGGATAGACTTGTTGGAGATGCTAGGCGACGAAAAAGCCAAGGTGAAAGCGAGAGTGATGTACCGTATGTTATGAATCAACTTTTGTCCTCGAGGAAATTAGGCTGACGAGCGAATAGTCCACATATGCTGAATGCCGACGGCCTATACCAAGCCCATTTGACGCCTTACTTACAAGAAGTTCAGAATGTCCTCAATGCCAAGATCGAAACGACTCAGTCGCAGAACGTTGCGCTCGCGGAAAAAGTCTTAGCTCAGCGAAAGGAGATTGAGTCTTTGCTTTCAGGTCTGGAAGCTGTAATGGCCGATCTGGAAGGCTCTGCAAAGACATCGACCGAATACAGCAAGGAGCATAATCTGCGACAGGAGAGCTTACAGATCGACGAAGAGATGAAAATGCAAGCCGAGAGTTGAGCTTCCATAACAACGGCTGTTTCGAATGCTATTTACAATGAAAAACGTACATGCGTCAAATGAGGAGCGACTCTGCATCGGCTAGTCCTATCAGACCATCTTCGATCATATCCTGCGCTATACCCATCACTTTCTCCGAATCCGCACTTCTCAACTGGTCCAGCTTGGTTTTGTCTCCGGCTAATGCCGCTGCGAGTGATTCTTTGCAGGAGCCCTCCCTTTCCTGCTCAGAATCGCCATCTCGACGCGCCAAATTAGCAGCTCCGCGGTAATACGTTTGCGCATTTTTCAATAGCGTCGCTGAGTTCTCATTCGCTGGGGGATAACTCCAAGGAGGTCTACCCAACTGCCACCGTGCCATCTCGGCATCTCCCCTAGCAATATGAATCTTTGGAATATTATCTGCACTAGCCAATCTCGACGCTGCGGTCAATGCTTCTAATGCTGCACTTAGTGCCTGCCAACGCGAAACAAGTGACTTTTGCACTTCTTCAACAGTGCCCGCAGGAGGGTTATCTGCAACCGCAGAATTAAAGGATGTGAGGGCTTCGGCTTTCCTGCAAAGACCCTCGGGGTTGTCCGAAAGATCTAATTCAGGCGGAAATGCGCCACTCAACTCTCTCTGGTATGTCTCTACGTCGGCTCTTCCACTTCGATACAATACCTCTGTCAAAGCTGCCACGAATATTGCACGAGCCAGGGCGACCTCCTGTTCTCTGCCTGTGCCTTCAACATATGCTGCGATTCTCGTTTTCAATAAGTCGTATGAGTACTCTTCAACCCAGGCCAACCCATTGCCGCCATCGAGAGCTAAAAGACCGCATAATGTCGCCAGAGTCTCTAGCTGAGCAACGGCCGTGTCGACGAGCGTATCCTTTGTTACTGGTTCCACCACGGCAGCCCATTCTTCTTCTTGCGCATGTTCCTCTGATTTTTGCTGTGGATCCATCTCTTCGGACGCTGGTCCTTCTGCCGCAGCCTGCGGCGCCGTCTCATCAACACCAGATTCCATCATCCTCATTTGTTCCTGCGACTCGGTGTACCGAAGCTCCTGCAAGACTAAACATCTCTGGAACAACTCTAATGCTTCATGCAGGTATTTCATAGCTTCTTGGATTCGACTTTCATTGGGACGTTTCGATTCGGTCAAAGCCTCTGCAAGACTGGTCAAAACTTGGGCCGTGTTGAACAAAACATCTGCATTGTCTTGATTGAGGACCAGCGCATCTCGATGCGATTGTAAAGCGATGTGGAGGATCTTGATTTGCGGTGCGGGGAGCTGGGTAGCTAGTTTGGGATGTTGGGTGATTTCGTATTGAACGCGTGCTCTGTTAATACAATTGTCAGCATTACTAGACAACACTCAAGCTTGCGATGCCTGTACATACTTGTTATAGGCCAGATCAAATGACTTTGGGAACTTGGCGAGTCCATTATCATACATCTCAATAGCTCGCATAAAGAATCGCATAGCCTTGACAGCATCGCCGGCTCTCCATTTCTCGCCGCCTTCTTCTTGTTCAACGCCAGCTTGAGATCTATTAGTAAATATTTTGCATTCGGAACGTGACATGGAAGACATACCAGCTAGAAACTCATCGGCAGTCTCAGGGTCCTGCGGAACGAATCGTTAGTCAACTGAAGGATATTCCTCTGACAATGCGGGAATTGAACAAAACCAACGTACAGCCTGATGTCTGCCCTTTTTCTTGGATTTGCTTTTCGCATTGTTGATATCTTTGATAAGCTGTTTCCCTTTCGGCATCTTTTGATTCCGAGCACAAGTAGAGAGGTTGGTGCTTGTTTCGATGTTTGAAAAATAATTTCCCATCGATTTATCGTTGGAGCACCTGATTCGAGCCAATCATCTTGCGGTTTACCCCACCAATTTACTCAACCCTAACCCTAGTGGCGTAAATACAAGCCGTATTGCTATTACACTATTTCGCTCGAGAATAGCTAGCAATATCTGTAATTTACGGAAATATTGCGCTACATGCTCACTATCTAGGCTCAACGAAATCGATTTTTACATACAATTTGACCCAAATTGAGCTTCAAAATCACCACCAAGATGCCTTCAGATTCATATACAAAACAGGAACTCGCTATAAAATTGGCAGCAGATGACTTATCCAAAAAAAATTTACGAATATCAAGGCTGCGGCGCTTGCTCATGGGATCCCATATTCAACTCTTTACCATCGCGTAAAGGGCCGCGCATCTAAATCTACACGACAAGCAACAAATCGCCTATTCACGGAGTATCAGGAACGCGCGTTAAAAACGTGGTTAGTTTATCTTAACGATATAGGTGTTCCTCCTACAACAGAGCTCTTGAAAACGCAGGCCAATCTTATACTACGCAATATGACACCCCCCAGAGAGGTGCCACGCGTTGTCGGCCCTAATTGGGCAAATCGCTTTTTTGAGCACCTAGGCACCGAATACGCACGAATCGTACAAAAGCCAATGGACCCGAGGAGGTTCAACGCGCAGGATCTTGGTGTCTTACAAACCTGGTTTGACCGTCTAAAGATCGAAATCGATACCTATAAAATTACGCCTTCAAACATTTTCAATTTCGACGAAACCGGGTTCCGGCTTGGACATGGGGAAAAGGAGGCAATAATTACTGCATATGAGTGCAATGAGATTGACAGCGCGGGAAACCGGGAATCTATTACAATTATTGAGTGTATAAATGTGCTTGGAAAGATAATTCCTCCCTTTATTATACTCGCTGGCAAGGCCCATTTGGAGGAGTGGTATCGTGATCTAGAGGATGATTACGTTCTCGCAGTATCTCCAAATGGCTACATATCCGATGAGCTCGCTGCTGAATGGCTTATGCACTTCGATAGATCTACAAAGGAATAGGGGGATAAGGGATATCGACTTCTTCTTATGGATAATTGCGGCGCTCATTTGACATGGCAATTTCTTGATTATTGTCAACGGCATCAGATTATATGTTATTCATTTCCACCTCATACGACTCATATGTTACAGCCCTTAGATAGCGTGCCTTTTCAACAATATAAGCATTTCCACGGCAAAGCGGTGAATCGTCAAGCCCAGCTTGGAGCCAATCTTACGATAAAAATGATTTCTTACATAAGCTTCATAAAGTACGGCAACAGGCCTTTACACGGCGTACGATCAAGGCAGGATTCCGGAATACAGGCACCTTTCCCTACGATCCGGAGGTTGTGCTTAAGCCACTTCAATCAAAAATAGATCTGTCTGACGGTCCCATATTAAAAAATTTATGACGCAGAGGAGCAGAACATTCCAAGTTCACCAACAACCGGATCTCACTCACCCCCGAGGGACATCCTATCTTTGAGGAAAGTGTCAATAGAGTACGACCGATGCCATATCAGAATCTATTGAGGAAACAAGCCCCCTTTTTAAGGCGCCGTCTCAATCGGCTTATTGATGCCGGGCTTTTTAAGGCTCATCTAAGCGATCTTTACGAACACCGGATTGATTAGCTTACAGAGGTTAACTGGCGCCGGAGCCGTAAAAAAACTAAGCGCCAGGTGCAGGTTGGAGGTGTTCTTACTGTAAAGGATGCAAATCGCTACATTGAGAATCGTAAGATTGATGAGATGGCTAAAAATAAGAAGAGGATAGAGAGAGAGCGCGTAGGGCACGCCAATGATTATGATTATGATTACTTTACCTATTCCCATAATCATAATCATTAGTTTTACCCCTAAATCATAATCATAATCATAATGATTAAATCATGATTATTTACAACTTGAGTAAGCTAATAAGCTTTATCTGTTGCCCGGCACATGTCCTGAATTTGGTAGTCAAAGGTATTCAAAGCAGGCTCACACAAAGATGCAAAGAAGATTACCAAACAGATGAGCGCTGACAAGAGGGGTACCTTTCAAACTGAAGAAATACCGCAGCCTGCAATTTCTCGACTACAACTAATTTTATGTGGATACTAGCTAGCTATACTAGATAGAGTCGACATACAGATTCAAGAGGGGGCAAAAGCAGGCTGAAGGGCCTTACACAAATACACAAGGAAGATGGACACCGAGACCCTTATCATATACTCTGCTGCTATCCTAGATAGATATCAGCTGCGAAAATTGTTGGACTTGGGATTTTTCATTACCGCGCGAGAATTAATCATGATTAAATCATTAATCATTAGTCATTTATCATAATCTTATCATGATTATAGCTATTTTGGAATTTCATAAATCATAATCTTCGGCGTGCCCTAAGAGCGCGGGAAGCGAGGGAAAGGGAAGAGAGAGAAGAATCACAACAAGGCTTACAGGCAAATCAAATGCCTAGGTGAAAGCGCCGCATCTAATTTACCTGATTTGGGAATTTCTTTTATAGATACTGAGGGGGAAGGGCATTTGTGAGGCTATTCAAATATGTCAAATTATGTATAGAAATCGATTTCGTTGAGCCGGAGCCGACCCACACCGGAACGATGTGGGTAAGGCCCTGCGGCAGTAGCGTGTACCTTAAATTTTGATAAGTGGATTAAATCAGTGAGCGAATTATATCTTTTCCTACATATATGGCAGGGTTAGGCTTCAATCAGGCCTCTTCAAATTACAGAAGGCCTATACACGACTTCTTCTTCCACCTTTCTTCTTTCCGAGAATATCCATCTTCTCAGGAATCGTGAATTCATGATTGATGACACTAGATATCAACTCTATGACGAATGTGACGGCTCTGGCAACCTTACTATATGAGAGAGTAGTAGAGAGGATCCACCATCCTCAATTTTCTGGTCTTTTTGGCGCAACGGCTTAGTGAGCGAATACTCCCGTGAGCGAGGTCGTGACAACGAATCCGACCTTCGCCCCAGACATTGTCTTTTTTGCAGAATATTTCAACGTTTAAGGAGAGGAACTCTCTCTGCTGTGAAAGTCAGCCTTCCCGCATGCTTCCTTTACAGAGAAAACTTGGGGCCTGGATAGGAGACAAACCGACTGCCTCCAAAGCTGCAACAACAACTAAAACTAGGACTGCCTAGGTGAGATCCACCTAGGTCAGAAAAGTATATATACACCTTCAACGAGGCATGGGTGATGCTCAAACAGTGGGGGCCTCAGTGGTCCACCCTGGTCCAGTAGAAGCAATAACAAAGTCAGTTCCTGAAGGGAGAAAGGTCGGTCCATATTCGAAAATCTGTCCGAACATGCTGCTGATGTGTATGTATGAAGACGAAACGATCTGGCAAGCTTTGCGTGGCTTTCGTGCCCCTCTACTACACTTGAAGCGAATCATATCATTCTAACCGCCGATGTTGAATTTGTAACGGAGCTAGGAAATTAGGGTAAAATGTATGGCATAGAAAACTAGCAAGACGTGAGTTGGGAATTAGAAAATATCTACAGGGGAGCAGGCCATGCCGAAGCATGCCTACAGAATCCTTTTCAGAGTCTCCGGACAAAACCTGCAACAAAGCCTCAAAGATGAAGCTATTTCCACGTTGTGAAACTCATAGAACAAAGCTCCCCAGGGATATCCTTAGTGTTGTGAAACCTCGCCGCCTTTACCCGCTCCTGCACCCAGATGCAAGTATAGCTGCCGAAGGCAGTCTCTGACAGTAGAACCGTGACGGAATTCCAAAACAAAGCTAATAATCGTTATATATTTTATATCCACTCATTGAGCTGTGAGGTTTGATATCATAAGCATTTACTAAGGGGGGTACACGAATCTGAATATTCACTCAAAAGCCATCACCCGGTTGGTATCGCTAGGTATCTATTTTGGAAAAGGAGGAGAGTTTGACGACCGTGCAAGCTGTGCAACAATATTCCGGTACTGTGGCGTACTAACCAAGGCGCAATGTTGAACCCTAGTCACAGTGTGACAGCATAAGAGGTAGTTTTTATTTCATACTCCTCCAGTTCAATGTTGTTGGGCGACCTTAGCCCTAATCTGACCTATATCCATAGATACATAGCCGACACGGCCAATACTAAATGACTAGTGACATTAACATGGGTTGTGAAAAATTTAGTCAAGTAATACGTATTACATTATTACCATTTCAAAAGTTTAATAGCTATTCAGCGGTCGATTGCAGGTTCCAAGGTTGGCGAACGCCCATCTTTGTTGAGGTATTAAGGCAGGCGCTCTTATGTTCTTTTTGCCAATTTTTACCAAATGGTTTCTGCTTTTACAATTCACACTTCAGTCCCTCGTTATTCGATTTTGAAGGCCTATCTCAAAGCTCTCGGTATTTTGGTAGCTCCTAACCTAGCGCAGCGAACATCAATTGATCCATGATTAAATCTACCTCGCTGTATAACCACCATCCACAAACATATTAGCCCCTGATACCCAGGCGGCGTCATCACTAGCCAAAACAACAGCAAATTTAGCAATATCCTCAGGCTTCCCCGGACCTCCGAATGGATGTTTGCGCCGCAAGTCGTCAAGAGACGTCATGCCGCTACCAGTCGTCTCTGCAAATATTGCTGTTTGGGTGTCTATACAAGCATTAGTATATCCCAAAGTGCCTGGTTACTAAAGGATGAGCTATATCGGATCGACTCAGCGAACTGCGAGATTACTTACAACCAGGACTTATAGAGTTGCAATGAATCCGGTATTTTGCATATTCCACAGCAATCTGTCTTGTCAAACTGCTCACAGCTCCCTTGGAAGCGCAATAAAACGCTGAATCTCAGTAGGTTAGTACAAGATACACATTGAAATCTTGCTACACAATTGATTTCTGGACGACGCACGGTTTCCCTCTGTAGCAATAGACCCCATTATGGATGAAATGTTTATGATCCATCCCCTGTCGCCAGAAGGCCGATGTGGTTCCTGCTTGAGCATTTGGGTGACTGCAAACTTGGCTCCCAAAAAGACAGACCTAGCATTGACTCTCATGGTCAAGTCCCAAGTCTCATTGGGCGTTGTATGAAGTGGTCGGGGATCGTCGGCTTCAACCGATATACCAGCATTGTTGACTAAACTAAAGTTACTCGCTGTTAGATATCCATATCAGAAAAGGTGAAGAGCCAGTGCTTTCTACATATCCAATCTTCCAAATTCAGACACGGCACTGTTGACGAGACACTCCATTTTCTCGGTATCTCCAACATCTGTTGGCACGAATATGGCGGAGCCCCCGTTCTTTCGGATGAGTTCATCCGTATTCATCGCAGTCTCTTCCACAACATGTGGCCGAGACTCGGGTCTGAGGTCACCACAAACCACACGAGCACCTTCATGAGAATATGCAAGTGCAATAGCACGACCAAGGCCGGAGGAAGAACCCGTGACAATGGCAACCTTGTTTAGGAGACGTTGAGGAACAGTCATTTTTCAAGCCTTCAGTCTGGTGGATAACTAGTAGATAGAAAAGAGAAGTACAGGAAAGACATCAAATGGAAAAATTTGCGGACATCTCTTCTGACTTTATACATTGCTGTTAATCCCAAAAGCGCTCCATATGCCTTATTCGTTTTCTTCCTATTTAGGAAAGACCCAAGTAGATAGTAAAGGCAAGTTAGCCGAGTGGAACTAGGGAAACGGGAGTTTCCACAATTGCGGGAAGTATCCACAGTTGCGACTAGGGTCAAGTCACCGAATCGACGATCTTATGTATAGCTTCCTATTCGGACAGGATAGAACGACAATAACATTTATGTCAATAATAGGTGGACTGTGATTTGCAAAATAAGTCTTGTAATGATTCCACAGCAGCTCCAAAGAGATCTTGTTGAAATCATAAGCGATTGGTCGTAGATTTCTTCCACCAGAATATTCAGCCTATCAATAGCGGCAACGTTACTCTGCATGCTTCGCCAGTAATCAATCCAGATCACCTATAGGAATTTTTGGAAATGCATATTTAGTGTTCGTCACTACATTCAAAAAGTTAGCGAGCGGACTCGGAACTTATGAACACCCCACCAAGCCTTACGTGTATTTTTAGGGCACGTCCGTATGGAAACCAATGCTCATGTCTATTGGTGGAATCCCACAATTAACATCACCTTGAACGTAGAGCTGTGGAGGAAAAGTTGCAAGAGGTTGTTACAAAGGAAGATAAAAATATCCGAAACCCATTTCATAGGTTACTTGATCGGCTAAAACCCAGGCGAGAAACCAAAACTCCTTCCCAGTCAGCTCTCGGTGTAGGTTCTGCAACTGACTTCCAAATTTTGTTTCAAAGTCTGGTAAACTAAAAACTTGGAAATATATAGAAAGTAAATCGTGTTCGTAGTTTCCCTGGGCAAGATGCGATCGAAGATATCCCACCGCAACCTGCTGTGCTTGCTCAGGGCGCTCAGAATGAGTTTGCCACCTCGCACCCAACACGACACAATTTATTTTGGCTACAAGCCGCAGAAAAGCTTGACCCTAAAGTCCGCCATATATTAGATGTGGTTTGATTATCTTCAAGATTACATATGCACGATCAGAATGAAGACAACAAAGACTTCACAGATGCTCCATTCTTACCTGAACTGGTAGAATGCGAAGCCCAAAGGCGCCTCCTATAAAAATCACGGGAAATACAATTAACATTCGGACGGTTCTGGGTAAAATCATCACTTTCGCCAAAGTAGCCAAGGGAAAAGGAGAGGCATTCATAGAGTTGGATCCTACTGGATATGCAAAAAATTGCATGGTTGCCATTCAGCCTCTTCGTGGAAGTATGTATACGATCCCTGAGACTTCTTCTATTATTCCGCATCTAACACTAGGAACTTTACATCACTCCTTAAGCTATCTACGTTAGACCTTGAGCAACACCAAGTAGCTCTCAATCCGTTTTCAGAAATCTCGTTCTTAATCTACCGGTATGTGGAGGTAGAAACCATTTACCACCAACGGGACTACAAAGAGCCACAGTTCGAAGACCTGTCTGGTCGACCTGTATCAAGCCGTGTTGGAATGTGAGGTTTCTTTGCTCCACCATTTTTGTCGACATGGATTCTATGAGTAGAGCCTTCCTGCGGTTGCATGATTGCTTCCTTCTGACTTGGCAGATAGTGCGCTTCATAAGAGCCATTCCCTCTCTCAACGGTTGGCAAGATCGAGTAGCTTCCATTAATCATCTCGATCAACGTTGCAAGTCTCTTGTGAGTATACAGGTTGCAAAAGGTATCCTCTTCTACCGTGCGCGTGTTAGGAATTACCGGCTAATAGATGATAATCACAAGCTATTTAACACTAGACAGAAAATTGAAGAGCCCGTCAAAGACAAAAGACGAAAAGGTAAGTCATGGCTTGAATTTTGCACTTATCTACCTTCGTCACACTCTAACACAGAAGCAGATATGAATGATATTTTGGAATGGATAATTGACCACAATCCCTTAATCCAACGGAAACTCATCATAGAGAAACTCGGGAAAATATACTTAACTATTGGGGAATGGCTGTTTGAGCATAAAGCCTTCAAATTGTAGCTCGAAATTGATCATTTAGATAACCCAAGTGGCCAATGTGGTCTTCAGCTGCTGTGGTTGGACGGTCCAGGTAGATATTAAGCCTCTTCACCGTCCCGTCACTTTTCGCATGCATTTGCTCACCTTCACTACAGTTTGGTGCGGAACGAGCTCTTTAATGTATGACTGAACAGTCATGTAAGTTTCAGGCATGTGCTGACCTTAATATAGGGTACGTATCATAGAACACTCCCTCGAAGAAGCTTCTTCTGCCAGGCATTATGATCAACAAATTTCCTACTTTAACTGCGCAAAAGCGCATGCCTCAGGAAGCAAGCTGCTAGAAATCTTTCAGTCAATGGTGAGGCAGTTCGCCTGGTCGCGGACAGACTCGTGCATTGAGGGGTGCATTATAAATATAGGAGCTAGTCGACAATCCTCCAAAGCTTACCGTCTTTCGCTCGACGATTGCAAGATGTTGCTGGTGAAGATGATCCTACGATTTCCAAAGACTGTTTTTGTCATTGATGCACTTGATGAGTGTAACAATTCCCGAGGATTTCTAGAAGCCCTGAACGACCTGTCTACCTCAATTCGGGTGAAGATGGTATCAGTCAATGTTTTCGTCTCCAGCCGAGATGAGGTTTAGTTCGCTGTCGCTACCACATTTCCCGAATACCTAGCTGCTATCACTGCGAAAGATAAAGATGGTAGGGTGATTCTGCACTATGCGGTCTCTCGCGGACACATGGATGGCCTAACAATTGATCTTGATAAACTTAGAAAAGCTAATAGCGATTACTACGGTGAGAATATATGGAGGTTACTGATTGTTAGTGGCTCGTCAGGAGAGAGTGAGAGTGACTCGGACGAGGAAAACTTTTGGAGACAGGGTACGTGGAGGAGGTATCTGATGATAGTGGTTCGTCAGGACAGAGTCAAAGCGACTTAAGCGAGAGAAATAACTCAAAAAACGACGATGAATGGGACAAAGGCACAGAACATTGCGTCGAGGTTCTCAGCTTACTACTCGAGAATTGCAACCACGACATTAGTGTTAACGCAAAGGATAAACAAGGGCTGCCTGCGCTTCATATTGGATCTATTGCCCGCGACAGTGCTATTGTCGAGAAGTTGCTCAACGACGTGAGAGACATTGAGTTTAACGCAAAGAATTCTTACGTATGGACCCCATTGCACAAGGCAGCTTTCTATCGGTGCACTAAGGTAGTGGAACATTACTTACAAAATGCAGCTCGATTGATATCAACATTCGGGATCAGAGCGAAATAGACACCACTGCATCTGGCTGCTTGTAGATATCGCATCGAGACTGTGAAAGCGCTACGTGAAAATGGAAGAAATATAGACTGGAGCCTCAAGGATGGCAAGCAGCGGACAGCGGTGGAGTTGGCGAATGGGCACGGCTTACTGAAGAATAATCTGGTTGAGCATGAGAAATTCGCCGAGTAGTGGTCTCTTCTTATTAGTCCATTATTTGCGTTCGCTTATGATATTACGCTCAGTGTTCAAAAATGCAGTCTACTCATACAAAGTTCCCTTCTACATCATGTACTTCTTTCCACGACAGGTTCAAGCTTAGAATCCAAACCCTATAAATATTGGCTCAAGTATAGACACAGTGTGCATTTTCCTCATCTGTATCTTGAAATCCCAAGTTGGACTAACGATGGTAGAACGTGGCTATTACAGTTAAGCTTTATGGTAGCATGCTAGCCCTAACTCCATAAATAGACCAGCCCTAACAAGGTACATGCTTGCTAAGATGTTCAGCCTCAAAATACCCAATGATAGATTCATATTGCGGCTAGGATCGTATCCACAATTGACAGCAGCCAAAAGTTTATTCGGTATCGATTGGCTTAGCTTGTACAGCAAAATCGACAGGAATAAACAAAATTTCCTGAAACGGAAAAAGCTAAGCCACTCAGCCCTTGCGAGCTACCCTTTTCGGCCATCGCGCTCGGCGAATGGCAGAAGATGACAGGGCTTTGCCCTTGCAAAAATTTAGATTTATTTTTACTTTTGTTTTTTATATCCGCACAGCCGATTAGTAAACGATAATACTTAGCGGATCACGTTTCAGCTCGGTTGTCTCGGTAGTCTGATGATTGGCTACGGGTTGTTTTGTTTTCCTTTGTGATTTATGACTCGATCTCAGGTACGAGATGTACGATGCGTTGTACTGTTTCCTGTTGTCTCCGGAAACAATGGAATGAGTTCGCGAATATGGCTGGATTTTGGTGGAGGCTGGTGCAGCATCATCCGGGATCTTTTCAATTTTGGTTGTCAAGCTCAACCATTTTGGGTCTGTGACAAATAAGGAATGACGCTTCTCAGGTAGTACAATGAGATTTCTCGTCATATAAAGAGCAGTATGGCTCCCATGATGTCCTCCTTTGTCAGTCAGACATCTTCAAAGCAACTTCTCTTAAAACCAGAACACTCGTCTACATTCCGTACATATTGGAACGATCGTATATTTAGCTTCCTGCAACGAAAATAATCACTATGCGCCAAAATATTATCCAACTCGCTCTATGCGGCCTCGCAGCACTATCAACAGCTGCCCCCGCCAACCGCCGCTCAACCAACAACAACGTCAGCGACGAGTTTCAAAGTATCGATGGCTTCCCAGCCCCAAATCCTCAACAACTCCTCGAAACCGAGCGGAGAGCTCATGGTACTCTCTCGAACAGTACACCCCCAGATTCCGTTGATCCGGATACGATTATCAGCCTTCAAGTGATTGCTGCTGAGGAGCAGTTCGAAGCGGCCTTCTTTCAACAATTGCTAGCGAACGTTACCAATAATGAAGCTGGATATGAAATCGTAGGCGGGAATGCTCGGACTATGGGTATTGATGCGTTGACTGCTATTGTCGCTGTAAGTGCTCGCAAAAGGATTTGCGAGAAGGCGTCCGTATACTAATAATTCTCTAGCAAGAGGAGTTGCACGCCCTAAACGCAATCAACGCCCTCCGACACTTCAACCAAACCCCTGTAGCACCATGCTTATACAACTTCCCAGTCTCAACACTCGACGAAGCCATCGCTTTAGCTCAAACGTTTACTTCTGTCGTGCTGGGCACTCTACAGAACGTTGTGCTTAACATGGGCTCCCACGGCGACGCCGGGTTGACACAGGGTGTTGCCTCCGTCATTGGCCAAGAAGGTGAACAGCAGGGCTTTTTCCGACTCCTTCGCCATAATATCCCCAGCGAATTGCCATTTCTGACAAACTCGGTGCGCGATTTCGCGTTCAATGCGCTTAATCAGAACTTCATTGTGCCGGGTTCTTGTCCAAACATTAATCAGATTGCAGCTCTCAAAAAGCTTCATGTCATGCAGCCGTTGACGGTCACGCAGTCATTCGATCCCAAGAAAAGTGTTAATGAGACTGTCCAGTTGAGTTTCTCGTTGCCCAACGGAGCAAACCCGCAGGACTATGAAGTTGCGTACATCAATCAGCAGAATATCCCATTTGTGTTGCCTTATACTGTACTGCATCAGGATGGGCAGACGCTTTCTGTGACGGCGCCGTTCCCATTTGGCGAGCATTTGTTGAACGGGCTTACTATACTTGCTATTGTTCCTACATCGGCTGTTGGAGGGTTCAAGTCTAACCAGGATGTGGCTGATGCGACACTGGCAGGTCCCGGGTTGGTGGTTGTCAATTGATGTTGTTGTTCTCTCTGATTATGCTGGCATGTTTCTTCTCATATCTATTATGTAGACAGTCATGATGATTTGATTTTAGTGATGTTGGTTTTACTACGGTCCGTATCACGAAGCATAGACGGTAGTAAGGCGCGAACACGAAGCGGCCTAACGAGCCTGACAATATGAAGCTATCTTGATTCCTAATATTGTGACTAGTCCCCAACAGCGAGGGGGACGGGGGATAGCTAGCTAGATATATACGCGGCACGCACGTGCCACGTCAGACTAACTAATCCGGTGCAGAAACGCGTAGGGTTTGATAATCACGTTCCGACAAGTGATGAATTAGCATTTATACAACCACAGTTCCAATGAAAAACTGTAGCCCTAGTAACTTAGTTGGTCGCCGCTTGCTCTCGATTACCGTATTATATCCATGAATAATCATGAATGCCTGTACAATACAACAATCCAATAGTATCTTGGGACTTGTGGGCAGAACCGGCTGCACAATCTGGCAGGCAATTTTTTCTAACATTAATATAACCAAATTTTGTATTTAAAATAACAATCCGAAATGGTGTAATGGTTAACATCGCCGTCTCTCATTGGACGAAAACGGTCGTCAGATGGTACCACGGCAGCTCGGGGTTCGATTCCCCGTTTCGGAGTTATCTTTTTTTTTTTCGATGTATCTATCCCCACATCGAAACAACAACCTACTTTCTTCTACCTTTATTGGGACAACTTTTTTTTCGGTAGACTCTGTACGCCTAATGGTTCCTACTGTCTCTCAAGCAAAGCGAGAGCACTGAGAAAATATCTTGTAGAGCTCTAGCCCCAACCTTGCAGGTTTATCTGTATCAAATGTTACCAGTTGACATACGTTATTAAATGCATGTGTTGACTGTGCTCTCCTTACTCGGCATTTTCCATACCTAGGTAATAACGCGATGATATTCTCCGCCATTGAGTGATTCCTGTACAGTACCTATGTCTCTAGAGTAGGCCGAGTAGTCGCAGCAGTACATAGTAGTAGAATTGATTACCTAGGTAACTGTCGGAATGTGAATATCAAACCTAGCGCGTTTCGGCACTGGATATCAGTTAGTCCAACGCGGCACGTGCGTGCCGCGTTTATATGTAGCTAGCTATCCCCCGTCCCCCTTACTCTTGGGGGGCAGTCATCAATATCAGGAATTCTATACCATATTGATCAGGCTCGTCAGCTTGTCGGAATAGCTGTTCTACGTGACTAGTGCTAGCGACCTAGACGTAGATAAACCGACAGTAACTTGCTTGCTAAAAGCTCGCTTCGCAACTATGGCCGCTATCCGGATGTCTACGCCTCAAGCAGAACGTAATATAAGAGTAAGTAGAAACGGACGACTGTGCGAACAACACACAGATGCTAAAAATACCTTCTAGTGCTTGTACAGTCATTGCAGTCGAGTCAAAAATCTTGCACTATCTTCATGTGTTGCCCTCCTTGGACGTAAACCAAGTCTTTTGCGCAGCCTCATTGGCGCTTCACCTCTGAAGCCGCCTATATTCTTCCGGTTCATGAAAGAAAAAGCATTGCCAAGTAAACCTCGAGCTCTGCAACTCTAGAAATAACTTGAAATTTGCTTGCGTGTACCACTGGGGAGCGTCGAATGGGACGAGTTTAACTCCGTGTTGTGAACATCCAGGTAGTCCGCAAGTTTTCTTCAAGCCCCAGGTGACATAGACCGTGCCTGAGCTTCGTCTACTGCCGTAATAGCTTGAGCCTTTGGCTTCGTGGTTGGACTGACAAGAGCCGCTCGAAATTCATTAATCAAGGAAGCTTCTTTCCGGTCTCATCAGGGGATGATCAAGTGAAGGCGATTCCGCATAAATGTGTAATAGAACAGCAGCCCGTAATTGCCCTCAAGTTGGTCTTAAGGATAAGAGTCGTCAGCGTGGCGACTGACGTCTCTTCTTGGAATGTTATCGAGTTTTCTGTAGTGACCAGCTGCATTATTTGAGACATAGAAGGGTTCAAAAGACCATGTGCGACTCCAGAATAGGGCCTCCGAAGGCAAGAAGTAGGACTGTGGATGTCAGGTCGCCAGCGCGTTGAGGGAGCCACTAAGACACACTAAAATTGAAGGGCCTAGGAATGCCCAGAGTATCACCACAGCAGATTGTTGAAAAACCTGATCCCATGGTCCATTATCCTAACGTGACGTTTACGAAAGCTAAAAAAGGAGAGGGAACAAAAAAAGAACTGAAGACTCCGAAACGGGGAATCGAACCCCGAGCTGCCGTGGTTTCGTTTGATGAGAGACGGCGATGTTAACCATTACACCATTTCGGATATGATTGGTGAAGTTCACTAATATTCATTTAATATGAAAAATTAAAATACGTATGAGAAAAAATAAAAATTCGTGTAGTACGAAAAAATATACTACTCCGAAACGGGGAATCGAACCCCGAGCTGCCGTGATATCGTCTGATGGGCATCTTCGCCCGATGAAAGACGGCGATGTTGACCGTTACACCATTTCGGAAGTGAAAGAAGAACCCCAATTCTGGCTTCTGAAAGGATAGAGTCCCGAGGTCAAACTAAAAACTATGTAGTATAGTGGCCGAGAAGAGATGAGGGGTATGGTAGGGAATCTCTACAGGGGAGCAAGCATGTAATTATGAGCAGCCCTTTCTCCAGATGATTACCGGAAATAGAAAATCCTGGCAAGGTCCCCTGACAAAGCCTGGGAATGAAGCTATTCACAGTCCCTGAAACCTAACATGATTGGACACTGAGTGGCTCATGACACCGAGTCAAAAAGCCATTAGCCAACTTGTCACTTTCCTTCTTTTTCATCAGGCTAATCTGGTTTAGTTAGGACCTCATATGACCCGGGTAGAAATTGTATGTATGACTCGGGATGAAACAGAACATTATATCTTGTAATGTATTTGTAATACAATATACATATAATTACAATACCTTAGTGTATGTGTTTTTGCCCTCTGATTGGCTATACCATACCTGAAACTAGGGCTACACGTGGCTGCGGCAGACTCTCCTGGTATGACCCAGTAATTGTTGTTCTTTGTGCTCCTGAGAAACAAAGCATTTTCATTACTCCGTGTTACAAAATTATTCAATCTATGGATAATAATGCTCAGATACTGAGTATAAATAGCAGAGATCATTGTGAGGTATTACAATGCCCATTGGCTCTATGGAGTGCAGCACGAAGGTTGATTAGTGTATTTCAGTCCCATTGATCGGCAGCCGTTAAGCCCAGTTAGTTGCCTGTAAATTACCGTACCAAAGCGGTAAGACAATACGAAACTAACAAAACCCCTCAAGAAGTCGGATGTCGTTTCGTCGAGCAGGGTTGATCGTTGTTACTTTTATCCTCTATGCTTCATTTCTCTTAGGCATATTCTCTAAGAATTCAGTTATATATCCAGCTACAAAGAGTTTCCGGTTACGCCTCTCGCGACGACTCCAGTCATACTAGCATAATTATTACACCTAATCCGTCCCTACTTGCCGCGTGATCGTCGTTTCTTGTCAAGTAATTCGTGAGAAGAAAAAGGGACAGACAAACCCTACGCAACTCTCGCCGAGAACAACCGGTTTCGCCGCATTTTCTTGGGAAAACTATATAAATACGGTCTGGTCGATAGACGAACATTCACATATATAGACGATGGCCCGTACTTCACTGGAATCTGAGCGGCCGATCATGGCTCATTCGGTACTGTCGCCTCTTTGCTAGAACCTGCTACAGCTCACCTTGCGTAAACTTTCCTCACAAGCATAGTCGACTAACTTGTGTTCTACTAGAATCGCAACTCAAAACGTTTCTCGACCTACAGCGGAGTCCCCTCGCTCGCGCCTTCCGATCAAACCACCAGCACTCTTCCTAGCGGTGATCAACTGGCCGAAATCAAAGAATATACCGACGGCGTAGAGCGTCTTGAGAACAAACCGCTTAGCCAGCAGCGCTTTGTGCCTTCTGCAGAAAAGACGGATAATCTGAATAAACTCGCTCTCGGCGCCAAAGTTGAGCGCGCTCTCGGAAGAAGAATGACTGGACAAGATGCTGTTATGCGAAAGCCCGTTACTGCGCTTGATGAGAAAAAGGCATTGGAGGAGAACTAGGCTTCTCTATTTCTTTGGCCATGAATATCTTTCTACTTGCGTTTATGTCGTGTGTGGTGGGTTTGCCAAGGGAAGGTTCAAGCCTTTCCACGCTCCTCACATCTGATGCTATATGGTTTCTCTTCCGGTCTGTCCATGGAGTCGCACGATGTCACATTTTCAGCTTTCCCCTCGTTTTCAGTTTCGATACAAGATTTTTTTTGTTTTTCTGAGATATCATTAATCTCTCACTTTGATTACCCCGTCGTGTTGACTAGCACGTTTTGCATGTTTATGTTGATGTTGATTTTCAATCTGTCTCTACTTTGGGATTCTGTCACTTTCCTCGCCGCTTTATATACATGATATACTTGATATACTTGGTGTCATTTGACTCTAGGCCAATTGGATCATACTCGGCAGAGTTCCATTCCCACGACTTACGAGTATGTAGTTGAACTATAGTAGTCCACTTAAACCCCTCTGATCTGCCTGATTAGAAGTCATGAATTAGAGAGTGGACTTAAAATAACATGATATATGGACTCAGAGAAGTCAGATCAGAGCTTAGTCAGGCTCTTCCGTGCACGGGCCAATCATATCGCACACAAGCTTCGCGATAGAGCGGACAATCTCCATCGCTCTTTCTCTTCTTTCTTTTTCCTCTCTTCTCCATCTTCTTCATCTTCCTTATTCAAGCATCCCACTTTGTCTTCTCATCATCCAGCTCATTAATTCCTCCTCTTCTTCATTTTCATCTCATAGAGAAGATCTGTTGTCACCTTCTACATATTCCACCAAGGAAACACATTTGCCCCATCATTTTTCCCTTCGCACTTTATACCAACATTACGAATCTCCGCCGCTCTCAAACGAAATCTTTTTACCATCTGCTTCGATTCCCACCTGGTTAGTCGAAACTGTTGCTATTTTCCATCTAATCCGAATCCTCATTGCCGACGGAGTTCGAATTTCCCATCGCATTTAGCGCCGCACAGTCCTGATATCGTATTTTTGCCGATTCTGTACAGACAGCATCCTCATCTCCATTGCCCTCAGGTAAGTCGAGCAATGTTTCGCAAAGGCAGTATTATTAATATTCTTTATTTGACTGCTGCCGCATACATTATTTCTTTGTGCGTTCTGCTAATATGTTTCACAACCTTTCTTGCAGGTCGCAACAACGTGATCGGTTCACTTCATTTTTTTTGCCCAAAAATTCGACGGTCATCCCTGGTAACCTCCACGCTGTCCTTGACCTTCGCCATTCTGTACGCAAAACATCTGCACACCAAAAGACAAGACTTCGACTAGACTTTTATTTCCAACTTCTCAATAGACATCATGGCGGACACAACTCAGGCTCCCGTTAACGGCACCTACGCTGTTCCCCCCAATGCTTATCAGCCTGATATTTATCTTTCTCAGGGTGCCATGAATAGCAATGCGCCCAGCTACCATCCAGGTCCTGCCTCGACACCATCAAATGCGCCAGCTCCCGAGAGTAAGAGCGATATCACGAAGGACGAGGTCGGCTGGTACTTTGTAGAACAATATTATACGACGATGAGCCGAAGTCCAGAGAAGCTTCATCTTTTCTACTCACGTCGCTCGCAGTTTGTCTCTGGCAATGAAGCCGAGTCTGTTCCTGTTGTCGTTGGTCAAAAGGTGAGCAAGTTCTGTGATGGTGATATTGTTGATTTGCGCTAACATTAATATTAGGCCATTAACGACAAGATCAAGGAACTCAACTTCCAGGACTGCAAAGTGCGTGTCTTGAATGTCGATTCTCAGGCCTCCTTTGACAATATTCTTGTTGCTGTCATTGGAGAGATCTCCAACCGCTCCGAGCCTTCGCGCAAATTCACCCAGACTTTCGTTCTCGCCCAACAGCCAAATGGTTACTATGTTTTGAACGATATCTTCCGTTACCTTGCAGATGGCGACGAAGAAATCGTCCCCGCTGACGAAACCGCCGCTCTTGAACCCGAAGTATCTGCCGCACCTCAGGAAATCAAACCTGTTGCAGCTGAGCCCGAAGCGGTCGGGCCTTTGGCAGATAACGAACAAGCGGTAGCTGAGATTGATGCCAAACTAGAGACTGCTGCCGCCGGCGGTGAAACTGAGAAGGTTGAAGAACCTGCCGCTCCAGTGCAGGTCAATGGTGATGCTGCCCACGAGAAGCCTGCTGTCCCAGTTACACCTGCTGTTCCTGCTGTTCCTGCCGAGCCTGAGACACTCAAGCCAGAAGAGCCACAGACTCCTGAACCTACACCAGCCGTCAGCACGCCGAAGGAGATTACCCCAGCTGTAAAGGAGACTGCTCCCCCAGCTAAAGCTGCTCCTAAGACATGGGCTACTATTGCCTCCAACAATCGCGCTGCTGCTGCTGCCGCTGCCGCTGCTGCTGCTGCCACCACCACTCCGGTTGCTGCTCCTCAACCTAAGTCGGCTGCGACTGCCACTTCATCTCAGCAACCGGCCAAGCCACAGCAGGAACAGCCTACTGCTGCTTCCACTACGGAGGCCGTTGCTACCAGCAGCCAAGCCGCATCGAACGATGGTGCTGGATGGCAGACTGCTGGTCACGAGCACAACAAGAAGCAGTCTCGTGTTGAAGAGAAGTACCCCGCATACATTAAGAACGTTACCGATAAGGTGGACGCTTCTTTGCTGCGCACTGTTCTTTCTCGCTTCGGAAAACTTACTCACTTCGATGTCAACCGTGCAAGGGTATGTTATTCTTCCTCTTGTTATACTTGATTCTCTTCTTCGAATTTTACTAACATTAAGTCTCATTGTAGAACTGCGCCTTCGTCGACTTTGCCGATCAAGCAGCATACAACGCTGCTGTCGCTGCCAACCCTCACCAGATTGGAAGCGAGCAAGTCACTGTCGAGGAGCGACGCATTCGCACCGGCAATGTTGGTGGTGGTTTCGTATCTGGCCGCGGCGGAAGTGGCGCTAACCGTGGTCGTGCTGACGGCCGAGCTGGAAGCCAGGGCCGCGGTGGTAGCGGCTTTCAACGTGACCAGGGACGTGGGGGATTTGCTCGTGGCCGTGGCGGCAGCAATGTTAACGGTAACAAGCGTAGCCAGGCACAAGCTGCTTAAGTGGCGACGTGTTTCATTCCCCATATTGATGCCGAAATGAATGCACAAGAGGAAATGAAAGGCAACCATAATAATCATTTGGTTTGAGGTCAGTTTGCAGATTATTTGTACGACCACGTATCTTTACGGCATATACATACATCGAAAGACATTTTCATCACGTCATTTCTTTTACGACAGGCAGAGTTTCTACTATGTGATGATTTCTTTTGGCTGTTACCCACAGCGAGCATGTTAAGCGGTTTGGGAAAAGTCGCTTCTTTTTTTGTCTTTTGTCTGATTTTTATTCATTTCCTATGTCTCTACAGGCGCGGGTCTTGTCTTATCTCGTTTTTGTTGAATCGATTTTAACCTACTGATCCGGTACTGTTCAGAGAAGGTTGATTCAAATCGATTCAGAGAAAAACCTCTTCTTGTATCAAATTTTTTCTCCCCACCGCTTCATTTTCTAAACCATGTTAGAATTCATCTCTATTTGCCTTAATCGGCTACGATGATTCGTCACCCCCGTTTTCTGTTCTGTTTTCTGCTTCTTCCTATTCAACCCTTGTTTTACTTTACTTAAGCATAGCGAGTCCCAATAAAGGGAGGGAATTTTTCGATTTCTTTCTTTTTTCCTCTTTCACTTCTTCTAATTCTTTCTACTTGTGAGTTGATTTCAATTTTGCTCTGCGATGTCGGAGTGTTATTTCTCGTGGCTGGCATGTATAACTAAAAATAATTCATGTTTTCCTTAATGTGTTAAAAAAAGAAAATAAATGAAGTTGTTTAAATCTTACCTCCCAGGGCTTCAGTTAATATAAAGCGTAGGCTACCTACTTGGAGACCCCGATTCCAGGTTGAAGAGCCTTTCGAGGTCCGCTAGAGAGACGTAAATTCGTTTAGGTATGCGTAGCATCTGCGTACTCAAGAAACATACTGGAATGAATGAATGGCAGTATCGTCCAAGGGCTTCTTTCAAGGTTCTCGAGGACATACTTCGTGTAGGTGGGAGGAAGAAGGACTTGGGAGATAACTTGCTTTGCGGGCATTCAGTCACTGAATTTGAATAGATAGGAAGAAAAGATTAAGAATACGTAGTTGTAAGAACGGAGGAGGTGTTTGTCCAACTCTCCATGGGTTCAAACATGTCTCTACCGAGTTGGATGGAGTACTTGTCTAGGCACTGAAGATCGTAAGGTATTATTGCTCACTATATGTTGAGACATACTTTGTTACAATTGAGACAGCTATTATGAACGAGTATTATTGTTCGAGCAATAAAACTATTTAATCTTTAAAACAAGACATTCATAGAAGGAAAAAGGAAAGACGTTTAAAAAAACGCTCAAACGCCGATCATAATCCAAACCATTCGGACCATGATCCTGATTTTCGTCCAGAGATAAAACATGAAAAGAAATTTGGTACATTCCGGAAAAAATTCGTAGTCACATCAACCCATGATCAAGCTTTGTTGTTGCTACAGAAGATTTAGTCGACTTCCTCCATGGCGCTCTCGCCAGTGGCTTCGGCAGCAGGAGCCTCCTCAGCTTGCTTCTCCTCAGCGGTCTCGGCGTCTTCGTCGACGTTCAAACCGAGAGAGACGAGCTTATGAATACGCTCAGCGAAGCTGGCGGGTTCCTCGATGGTGAAACCAGAAACCAAGAGAGAGGTCTCGAAGAGGAGCTGAGTGATGGACTTGACGGTGCGGTCGTTCTCGCCGTCAGCATCAACCTTCTTCTTGAGCTCCTTGATGATAGGAGACTTGGGGGAGATCTCGAAAGTCTTCTTGGAAGCCATGTAGGAGCTCATGGAGGTGTCACGGAGAGCCTGGGCCTTCATGATACGCTCCATATTGGCGGACCAACCGAACTGGCCGGTACGGATGGCGCAAGGAGCACCAACGAGCTTGTGGGAGACGACAACCTTCTCAACCTTGTCACCGAGAATATTCTTGAGAGCCTTGGCAAGTTCCTCGTATTCCTTCTCCTCCTTCTCACGCTCGGCCTTCTCCTCCTCGGTCTCCTCGAGCTCGAAGTCCTTGGTGATATCGACGAGCTTCTTGCCGTCGAACTCCTTCAACTGAGTGAAAGCATACTCATCGATAGGATCAACAAGGAACAAGACTTCGAAGTTCTTCTGCTTGAGGGTATCGAGGAAAGGAGACTTCTGGACAGCCTTGAGAGACTCGCCAGTGATGTAGTAGATCTGCTTCTGGTGCTCGGGCATACGAGTGACGTAGTCAGTGAGAGAGGTGGTCTCATCACCAGACTTGGTGGAGTTGTAGCGGAGGAGCTTGGCAAGGGCCTGACGGTTCTGAGTGTCTTCGTGGATACCAAGCTTGATGTTCTTGCTGAAAGCAGAGTAGAACTTGTCGAACTGCTCACGGTCCTCAGCGATTTCGTTGAAGAGCTCAAGAGTCTTCTTGACAATATTCTTCTTGATGACCTTCATGATCTTGTTCTGCTGGAGAGTTTCACGAGACAAGTTAAGGGGAAGATCCTCAGAGTCGACAACACCCTTGATGAAGCTGAGCCACTCGGGGATGAGGTCGGTGGCATCATCAGTGATGAAGACACGGCGGACGTACAACTTGATGTTGTTCTTGGTCTTCTTGGTTTCGAAAAGGTCGAAAGGAGCACGCTTGGGAACGAAGAGGATAGCACGGAACTCAAGTTGACCCTCAACAGAGAAGTGCTTGACAGCGAGGTGGTCCTCCCAGTCGTTGGAAAGGGACTTGTAGAAGGAAGCGTATTCCTCCTGGGTGATATCAGCAGGGTTGCGAGTCCAGATGGGCTTGGTCTTGTTGAGCTCCTCCTCCTCAATCTTGGTCTCCTTGATCTTCTTGGTCTTCTTCTTCTTTTCTTCCTCCTCGTCATCAACTTCTTCGACCTTGGGCTTCTTCTCAGCGTCTTCCTCCTCCTTCTCCTCAGCGTCCTCGTCAGGGACTTCCTTCTCGGTCTCCTTCAAGACGTGGAGGTAGATGGGGTAGGAGATGAACTCGGAGTGCTTCTTGACAATCTCCTTGATCTTGCTCTCCTGGAGGTATTCAGTCTGCTCATCCTTCAAGTGAAGGATCATCTTGGTACCGCGGCCAAGAGGCTCACCCTCAGTGTCCTGAGTGAGGGTGAAGGTACCACCGGCGCTGGACTCCCAGATGTATTGCTCATCATCGTTGTGCTTGGAGATAACGGTGACCTTGTCGGCAACGAGGTATGCGGAGTAGAAACCGACACCGAATTGGCCAATCATGGAGATATCAGCACCAGCAGTCAGAGCCTCCATGAACTGCTTGGTACCGGAGCGGGCAATTGTACCGAGGTTGTTGATAAGATCCTGTGTAGATTGTTAGCTATCGATCCCAAACCAGAACATATCGTGGACACAGCATCTCAACTTACAGCCTTGGTCATACCAATACCGGTATCGCGGATGGTAATAGTCTTGTTCTCCTTGTCGGGGATAATGTCGATGCGGAGATCCTTGCCCGAATCGAGCTTGGATGGATCTGAGAGGGACTCATAGCGGATCTTGTCCAAAGCATCGGAACAATTGGAGATGAGTTCTCGCAAGAAGATCTCCTTGTTGGAGTAGACGGTGTTGATGATGAGAGACAAGAGCTGAGAGATCTCAGCTTGGAACTCAAAGGTCTCGGACGACATGGTGGATGGATGTGAGTATGAGAGCGTAAAAGGGTATCCTGAAAACTAGTTAATTGATGGTTCTTGGGGTCAGAGTTTTCGTTCTCCGCACTATCGACAGGAACAACTTACAAAGTAGGAAGGGATGGGAAATGAAGAGGATGATAAGAGAAGCTAGAGTAAGAGGAGATTCCTAGCAACGCAAAGTGAGTTCACAGAGAGCAGAAAGATGGATGTATGGAGAAGAGAGAAAGTGAGGAAGGAAAGAGAGTGAAGCTAAAATACTCGCGGCCAGGCTGAGGAGCAGTTCCTGTAGCTTCGAATCGATTCTATTCTACTGACAGCCGCTAGGCCGTTTCAGGACTAGTTTCCAGAGTCTGCCTTTTCGATCTCTTTCGATCCTTTCTCCAGAATCTTCCTAATACACCATTTTGTTTGTGCTTTTTTGACTGTTGTGCCTTTCTTTAGACGCATCTGAGAATTCTTATTCGCTATTGTTCTCACAAAGGAAAGGAAGCTTTCCCCGGGATAAAAGACAGATCAATCTACAGCCTCAGGTCTGCCTTAATTTTTAGGTTACCAATCCGCCCCACATAATCATCCGGAACCAATCAGAATAGCAGAGATCTAGCAAGGAAAGATTCTGCATGGCTGGCCAATCTAGAAGAATGAGGAACGTATCATGGATAAAGTATCCTGGGTTTTTGACACCGTAAGGTAAGCAGATGCAGGATAGACAGTCTGAACAACATGGCGGTCAACAGACCAAAATAGAGGGGTGGCGTTGCCTGGGCAGCTCAGGAAGCTAAGCACCTAGTCGATTCCGAAAAGGGTTAAATGGGTTTTTCTTAGCGCCAAGCCCGGGCTCTGCAGATTGTTTGGCGTGGCAACGGTGGAACATCTGATGCGATCTGAGCAAGAGATAAAAGTCGTGAATGGGCGTTTAGTTTCTTGTTGAGGGCACAGATACTTTAGTTTCCTTATATCTTCACGTATTCGTTTCCTGGTGGTGTATTTTTCTAAAAGTTGAACTATACTTGGAGTAGTGACTAGGCTGGAAATAGTGGCTTTATATCTTCCTGCTCATCATGGTCAAGCTTAGCGAGAAGACCTTTCCAGGTCTGACAGGAAAGTGAGACAATCAAACTTGAGCTCGATGGCAGTGGTTTGTTTCTGCCAGTCAGCGAACTGATCTCCACCAAGGTCCCTGTTATGCCCGGCCTCTCATAAGCGGAGAAGCTTGTGTCTGAATGACTGCCCTAATCTTGCGGATCAATCCAATGAAAGTGCCACTCAGAAAGACTCTGCGCAGGGAGTCCCCAAAACTTGGCTAGCCAGAGTGCCAGACCACCCACTACTCCAAGACTACCGACTACTTGCACAATCATCCAACCACGCCGACGAAGGTCATCATTCCATCGAACCAACCCCAAGGGATCCTCAGGGTCGAGCTTGGTGAGGCGGTATCTTGCAGTCTGACCGTTGGATGTCCGTACCACGATTGCACCCGAATCTTTGTCGGTGTTTACATCCCATTGCGGAAATCCAGGTGTTTGGTGAATCGGAACAAGTGTACCATCAATCAGGCATTCCCCAATACGTTCGGTTAGCCAAGCTGCTCGTTCTCCTCGCGCAAGTGCAGCGTATCTTTCGCGTTCGTTTTGTAGACTCTGCTGTAGATCGGCAGCCCATTTTGCTAACCGTACTTGAGCTAGTTTTTCTTCATGCTGAGTATAATCATTCACTCGTGCCAAAGCATAATTGGGTGTTCCGCCAAAATTACTAATGGGAGGGACAGCCGCATTGTTGGAGGCGGGGTTAGAACATGTCGTAGGGCCGCCACGGCTCCTCGACTGCCGACGTGAAAGAGCCATATCGGAAATATTTGGAGCAAGTATATTAGTGCTCCGTGTCAACTTTTTAGCTGCACTATGACGGAGCCAAGACATATTGTCACTGTCGAAAACCTTTTCAATCAAATGGCCGATTTCAGATGCGACCAGAGGCGGGACATAATCTGGACTCATTAGCACACTGGCGTCCATGTTATCATCATCACTTGACTGCGCCGAAGAGACAGCAAACGGTAACTGAGGCTGTCCACCATCTGTCACAGTTACGTCGTCGAAGGAGAACAACCGCACACCATGTTGTGCGATTTGAATATGGAAAGAGCTCTTCAAAGAGGCTATCTGAGAGGCTGATAGCAAATCGGCTTTTGATATCAGAGGGATGACGTTGCTGAAATCGGATAATTTACGGATGCATTCGATATCACATGGGAGGGTATCTATTGCTTGTTAGATTGTCCCAAATCAATACGAGTCGAACAAGAGGACAAACCGACCTTCGGAGATAAGATAAAGGATTAAATCGACTTGGGACCCACCGTTCCCACCGAGCATATTTTGGAGATCGGAGCTGGGATGGCTGACAGAAGCAATGGCACGGGACAACTGCTGTCTCATATACTGTATTATGGCCTCTGTAGTTTGATCAGAGTTCGTTTTACTATTATGTGAAGCCGAAGTATCGACGAAACATAAATTGCGTTCCAGCACAACTTCTCCATTATTTTTCCGTCGCTTGAGGATACGCGAATCCTCGAGATCGGACCACCATGGAGGGTATGGTTTGGTACTTGCATGAATTTCCGAGATCATTGCCGCATTCGACTTTTTCGAATTCGTCCTTGAACGAGGGCGACCGGATTCCGTTGAATTCGAACTCCCAGGATCAACATGCACGATATCTTCACATGCCTGGACGATTGACTTGATCAATGACGATTTCCCAGAACCTAAAAAGCCATAAGTCTCACATGCTGTTTACGATCTGAAACTCTAGAGGAGGGGGTCTACCTTTTGATCCGGCTACGAGAATCTTGAAACGACCAATATTCTTTCCTCTTTCGGTAAACGGACGCCGGCTTGGCATTCGAATACTCGGCATGATCAGTTGCGAAGAGCTGTCGCTTACTCCATGATGAGTATGTTCACTCATCTCCGGAGCGTCTTCTTCTTCACCACCCGATACCAGAGCCTGGCTATTGATTTCGTCTGTGATGGATATGTCATCAAGTGGCTTGAAGGACCGACTGGATATTGACTTTGGACTACTCGGCATGGAAGATGGATCGTCGTTCAGATTGAACGGAGTCAGAGGACGTGAAGGAACTGGTGAGGCTCTAGAAATGGCTTTGGACAATGGCGTGTCCAGCCGGTCGATATGATGGAGAAGGTCCGATGGCTTGAGAGTTGTTCTACGCTTGAGCGTTGGATCGGCATGTTCGTCATTGACATCGCGACGATAAGACTCATCCTTGAAGGAACAAGATATATCTGCAGTATGAATAGTGTCTTCTAAGCTCTGAACTCCGTAAGTACTGTCTCTTGAAGCAGCCATGTCATCATCATTCGGCTCTCGAGCTAGGAAAAAAGAGGTCGGAACACTAGATCCGTCTGACCATGATGGAGCAGGTGGATCGGCGGATGAGAGCTTGCGAGGAGGGGAAGGGGAGAACTCGGGAACGACAGGGCGCATTCTGAAGGCATCTAGACTGGCAAAATATTCGATCCGAAACCGGTTCCCATCGTCGTGACAAACACGAGAAGATGGAAGTCAGTAAGTTTGTCGGGCACTTGTCTGGTGATGCGGTGTCGTTATCGGCTGACGATGAGATAAGATCACGTGTGGTGGGCTGTGGTCATCATAGCCAATGAGAGGCCAGAAGTGAGTTCTCCCCGCAGTGGACACTCGGTATTCTCATTACATGCATAACAAGCATTACAATATCACACTCAGCCAATGGTCGCTATCCTTGGACCTAAACTTCATAGAACCCTTTCCAGGAATGGAAAGGCTGATACATCACTGTATCAGCCATACCAGCCAACAATACGGACATTCCTCCGTTTTCGCAACTGGAGTGACTATATTTTTTCGATGCTTGTCTTACTTCCCATGTCAGCTTCAAAATTACTATTTTGTATCTCTCCTTTTTGAAAAGTGGCTAATCTAATCTAGACTTTCACTACTGTCTCTGCAGTGCATCTGATTTGCCCTCACCGTCTCCCTCTAAAGACAGAAGTGGGGTCACATATCGCACTAGATAAATTTAATGCTACGTACGGAGTAGTATTGGCGCATTTGCCGCGATTTGAGCAATCAGAAATTAGTCCACCACCAGCTCGTGGCCCTTTGATCCCTTCTATGCATGCACCTATAAAGACCGAGTGTGCCACTAGACCTTCGTTCTTTGCCAGCATGTAGAATGTAGAATATATCCATGTATTAAATTCATGAATTTATAAACTGGAGCAGACCGAGGCATTAGTACGTACAGTTTTAGTCGAGGCTCCACTACGAAACTTTTCTCTGCCCACCACGGGAATTAGCCGGTTTGCCCAGGAAGGAAAGAACGATCCATTAATTTTCTCTCTTTCCTCTTGTCTCTTCCAACCCTCCACAACCTCTCCACAGTCCTTTTTCTCTCTCCTTCTGTCTCTCGTTCTCATACGACCATTAGTTGAACTGATCGGGGGTTTCTTACTTACCATCAACCATCTACGAAAATACAACCGCAGTGCCACCTGCGGCACAATCGAAGGAAAAAGCAAATTCAGACCAGACATTATTCGTCCCCCCATTAGCCTAGTCGCGATAATCGGAGCCGCTTCCGAGTCCCCTCCTCATACCACCAGCCTTTATCGTTCCTTCCCACGCTATCGCCCCTATCTACAAACCAATCGCTAGCTGGTCAGCAAAAATTAGACCACAATGGCAATGGATCACGATACGGCCATGACCTGGTCGGAACAGCTACCGGAGGAGACATTGATGGCCACTGGCAACGAGGAGGACTTTTCCAACTTTCTAGAGTTCGGGATTGATTTTGCCGACTTGGACAACCACAATGCTGCGGCCGCTGTGCAGCACCAGCAGGCAATGCAGCATGCCAATCAGCAAATCGCAACTACTTTACCGGACGATGTTCGTATGGCTTCTTCCACGACTCAACCACCCTCATACCCTTCCATGATGGGCGAACATATAGGAATTGGCATGGCGAACAATCGTCCCGTGGAGGATCCGTCTTTTCATTATTCGCAGGACCAGCAACAACAGCAATATCACCAGCAGCTTCCCGCACAACATCATCAGCATCCAGAAAAGCTTGTCCATCAACAAGGCCAGCAACTGACACATCCGCATCCACATCCACCAATGGCTTCTCATCAATATCAGGAGGGGCAGCACATAATTCCGCCGACGCCCAACAGCGTTGAACTTCACGGTGGTGCGGCACGTTACATGCAGCGTGTCGATCAGAACAATAATGATATGTACGAGCGCTATGGACAGATGAATGACGAGCAGGTAACACAACATTTTCTTATCCTTGAATATCTTCCCCGTGCTACTGAACCTGACACTAAATGATTTTCAATGTAACAGGCCGCTGCTTTTTATACCCCTCTTGTATCACCAGCAATGACGCCATTGGAGAGCCAATTCCGCTTACCAGAGTACACGATACCCGGCGAATACTTCACTCCTCTCACGTCACCTGCATTAGAAGCCCAGAATCACAGCTCCAGCAATTATCCTTTTCAAACAACGCAGCCGCATCAGAATGGAGGATACGTTTCGGCCCCGCATGATCCAAGTGGACTCACAATGACCTCTGCCCCTCCATCGCCGGCAGTGTTTAAGAAACAGCGACAGGGACGTCGACCATCCACTGCAACACGGGCCGGCGGTCGTGCTGCCAAAGCGTCGCCGTCAATTCAAGCGAAAAGCTGGAAGAAACAAAGCAGGAATCCTCATCTGTTGTCGGACGATGTTGTCAGTGCCAGCAATCATACCAACTTGCAGGAACAAAATACCAACCGGTATACCAACAGCGGACTCAGCGCACTCCGTTATAGCAGCAATGAGAGTTCCCAGGACTCTGTATCACCTGAGCCTATCTCCGAACCGCTTATGCCACCACCCGCATTACCTCACAAATCGCCAGCAATACTGCCGCAATCCTCGGATCCTGGTTCAAGTGCTCCTGCAACGCCGGCGACGTTGATGAAAATCACCAACCGACCCCAGCACTTGCAAGATTCGTCCGGCCAATTTTCAGGCCAGGCAAGTCTAATACCGTCCAGTGAGCCTCATGATGAGCCAATGGAAGATATGGTATTACCAGAGGCAGCAGCTGACACTCGACGCCGACCAAGTCGTATCAATACTGCTATCATTACCAAAGAGCAACCCTCTAATAAATCTGCCACTAATACTCCGTTGATGGAGCCTCTATCTCGCCAACCGTCTGGTTCGCTCACACCGGGACCACGTTCGAGTGTTATGCCGTCACCTAGCGGGCCAGTGCCTAAGAAGTCCGAGCCAAAGGCATCAACGACTCGTAAAAGACAGAGCATCAGCTCCTCACACGCCAGCCCGGCTCTACGGCCGAGAATAAGTCCTAGCATACAGCCTCTAGTACGAGGAGATGGTAATTGTTTCTTGTTCAAACCCATAAGAAACCAAAGCGATATACTAACATTGATTAGGCATGACGAGTGAATCATCCGCCTTATATCTTGCATCCAAGTCGAATTATCAGCACATTCTAGACGGTACTGTACTTCCGGGCGTATCATATCCAGAGACTCTAGCCGAGAATCTCAGCAGCAAACGGACGAACCACAAACTTGCAGAACAAGGACGTCGAAATCGTATCAATACCGCATTGAAGGAAATCGAAGCCCTCCTCCCTCCTGACTTTGCACATGAACGAGCAATGAAAGAGAGTAAAGATGGGAATGGTGCAGGCAAGAATAGTGATGGCAAGGAAGCCAAGGAAGCCAAGGAAAAGAGTACACCGCCGACAATCAGCAAAGCAAGTACTGTCGAAATGGCAATTGATTATATCAAAGCGCTCAAGAAGGAATTAGAGGAGACCAAGGCACAGTTACAAGCGGCCGAGACCAAACTGGCTGGTGGTCAGACTGTGAAACCTGATGACTCTGCTAATACGACCGACAATCCTACGAAAGCCGAATCCTCTCCAACCAATTGATACCATTTCTCTTCTTCAATACGATTTTCTCTCTTGGGAGGCTTTTTCTTTTCTTGACGAGCAAATTGATATACCATTCCCCGTCACCTTCTCATCTCAACCGGATGTCTCATGAGACTTCACGGCTATGTCTACTCTATTCCGACTTCGTCATCGACCCTTATCCTTACCAGCGACAGAAATTGTATACGCGAAAAGAGGCGTTTTTCCAAGAGACACCCGGATTGCGGTGTATAATGCGTTTTTGAAATGAATTTTCATGATTTATTTTCGGTTTGATTCTTATCTGTCTTGGACGAATTTTGTTGTCTCGGTGTATACGATGATGAATGATTTAAATGGGTGGCTCTTTGGCTTTTTAATCGTCTGATCGTTTCCTTTGCTTTTCGATTCGATAGTTGATAGTTTAGGTATAATATTTCTTGCTACTGATTCAATTTTATCTAAGATATCTTCTCTATAGAATGAAAATTCAACAAATTCATGATTCATTTCTATATCGTTTCCTTCACCAGTCATAAACAATTGGACCAAACACAGAACAAACACTATAATTCAAGCATCCAACACAAAAGAGGAAACAAAGCTAGGAAATACACGACTTGCGTCGATCCTTCTATTTTAAAACACATTCTTTTATATCAAACTCCCGAATGGCAGGAAAGAAAAAAGCTGATAAATACATCAGAGTCAAGAGTCTAACTCCATTACCCCGTCGGTGTCGGAGCAGGCGTATTGGGTTGGTGACAACCACTGTTCGCCTTTGATCGCACTGTTGATTGAGACGGATTGTTCTGTGAATGGTTTCCAGGCTTCGTCCTCGTTGGTACTATTATGGTTGGAAGATGACTTCGAGATGTGGAGGAGAGTGCAGTGCCATGTCTCATTTGGCGAAGATGATTGTAATTGGGTGATGATATCTTCTCTCATCCAGAATTTGACGCGTGCATGTCCATCGTCTGTAGGTGTGTAAGTGAATGTCAATATGATTATATATTCTTCTTCGGGGAATGGAAGAGTTGTTGCGGGTATATCGTGATTGTTATAGATCATCAGTGCCATGGGTGTGCGAGACAGACCGCCGTCGCCGGTCTTGAAATGTAGTATATACTGATGTATCGTACTAAGTGGAGGAAGGCTGGTGATCACATTGAACGGTAACAGACGCTGGAATATGCTCGCTAGTGTCGACGCCTCAGGAATAAATGACGCGACGCTACCATACACGCCTCTCATTGTCGTGCTCGGAGAAAGGGGGTTTCGCGGGTTAGTCTCGTCTGGTGTCCTAGGGGGGGATGGAGAAGAGTTGACCCCATCACCTAGTATCTTTGCGAGTACATCTGCTAGCCAGTGAGCCGGATAGCCGATTGAGTGCAAGTGAATGAGCAGATCGAAGAAATAGGTCAGATTGGCAGAAGTTGACATTGCATTTCCTAATGGCAAAGACACACTGAAAAATTGAGAAAACAGGAACCGTGAGAGCTCCCCACGTGAAAGCAGGTGTTCATATGAAAATGGCGCCAGTTTGTCGCGCCTCAACTCCAGTAGACATTCATCCGAAGATGTGGAAGATGCATCTTGACTTTTCTTTGAGACTGTTTGCATTTGAGTGACTTTATATAATGTTGTAGAGTCATTGGCCGTAAAACAACCACTATTGCATCTTTCTCCAAGGCCCGAATCGGTACCGGATGTGCTAATCATAAGTCTTGCTGCTTGGGATTCGTTGAGAATCTTACTTGCACTTATGACCGTAGGGATATCACAAGGGCGAGACAAATGAACCAGATCATAAACAGTAGGCGTTGTACTGTGCCGGCCTTCGACTAAGCCATATCGTATTCCATCAATCGCCACTGCGAGATCACCAACAACATACTCAACGCTCAGTCGGCCGCGAATTTTCCGAAGAGCGACTACTATCATCTGAAAGAACGATGATGCATAATCGAACAACTTGGTTTTTTTTGGACCGCCTCTTTCTTGGATAGAGACTATGTTGTATAGCGCCCGACAGATGTCGAATGGGTTAGATACATCCATCTCACTCATGGTTGGGTTGACAAACCACTTCCCATTCACATAACTGCGCAGATTTTCAATCGAGGCATTCGTTTCTATAAGTTGAAGTAGCTCGGGTTCGTGTTCCCTCGTAACACTCCGTGGGGCTTGCAGGAGCGGAAGTTCGAAATACGTCTCCAGCTCTTTCTGACAGCCTGGTGGAGCTCTCGAATTGTACGGCATGCTGTAATCATGCAGACTCCGCACTGTTCTGTCAATGGCATTGCTCGTAGAATTTCGGTCGTCCGATTCGAAATCCAACCACGACTCTAAAGCTCCGATCAAATGCGCCCGATCCAAATCATAAATCTGCAACCACGGAAGTACCCGTTGGCTGGTCTTCAATCGGCCAACAACAGAGTCAACAGTGTGAAGAAGACGGCCCAATGCATAGCGTGGGATAATCACACCAGAAAATATATAATACACTGTCGTATAAATTTCAGTCCGTTCAGCCTGTGGAATGTCGGTCTGGCAGGCCAGCTCATCTAAGAGCACAAGAAGAACAAGATTCCGTGCAATGACCGCAGAATTGCTGTCGTTCAGAGTGAACTGGTATTTTCGTTTCAGGGGTGTTGTGGAATGCATAACCATGCGTTCTGTGACGCCGAGAATGGCGAGTTGGGCATAGAAATGGCGCGCATCGCTAATGCCACCTAGAAATACGGCTAGGTTTCTGTCAATGTTGGAATGGACCGTAAAGTCGACCAGGTCAGTGACTTGATCAAGACTGATATCCTTGCTCGATGGTAAGTCGCCATTTCTTTGCATGGAGGATGATTGATAGCGAGGCAATTCCGCTAGAAGTTGTAGTGTATACGTTTCTTCGTCAGGAAACGCTCGCCATACTATCTCGGCATGGTCCAGAGCTCCTTGATATTGACGTAGCTCATCAGCCGAAGACGGGCTTTGTATATCTGCCAGTCGATGTAGCCATTGTCTCGCAGCATCGAATTGGTGTGTGTGCAAATAAGCTCGAAGGATTCGAGGAATCAACTTCAGCTCTGTGGTTTGTCGGGATTTTGTGCCATTGTCATCGCTGTGGCCTTGACAAATGGCCAATGCTTGCTGGGCGCATTGGATAGACTCGTGAAAGTTCCCGACCTCATAGTAAGCTGCTGAGAGGTTGGACCATGGTAGGTAATCGTCCGGTTCGGCACGACGGGCGGCTTCTTGATAAGCTTTGATAGCTATTTGTCGTCAGTCAGTTGTTTGCAGAAGAAGAGAAGAGAAGAGAAGATGAAGAAGTCAAGGTCAAGGAGATGCCAAGGAAAGAGCCCACTCAGAGGGGCTAGCTTTTTCGAGTCTAGACTCACCTTCAGTCAGCTGACCTCTTTTGTACAAAGCGTTGCCTTTTTCTCGCGCTTGAACTCCATTCATTTCTGTAGAATATTTTGCAAACAAATTTACAACAGGAAAAAGACTCATTTACCAGGGGAAATCCATCTCTTTAAGTCAATCAAAAAAAGAAATGAACCGGTTGGCCCCAGCTTTTGGCCTCTGCGTTCTTGCGGTGTCTCTTCTTTAGAGCTCTGAATCAGTTGGTGGCCGCCAAGGCGAAAAGACATACAAATCAGAGCTGATCTGTCTGGCGCTCACCGCTAATTCAATAGGATCCAATGGTCTGGTAACCTCACTAGCCGGTCAGGCCTGGATTCTGGATTCTGGATCCCAGTTGGAAATCTGTACGTATATTGGAAAGGAATTCTAATCATGTACGGAGTACAGCGTAAGTCTGGCGGTAGCGAAAGGAACAGCGCATGAATGGAGTTGTACTGGATGTGTGCCAATCATGCGGCTGCATTGTTTGACTCCGTAGAGATTCTGGCTTTTTAACTACATGAGATATATTCTTTTAACACTCTAGGTTGATCGGTGGTACCTAATCTGGCCCAACAATATACACATCGATACGTTGGGCTTTGCCTGGTAGAGCGAATTTTGGCGCGATAACATTTCTGTGTAACTATCTATTCATAAATTAATGTGCGATCACTATTCTCCCAGTCATTTAGCTCCAAAGGGCGGCGTATACCTAAAGAGGTAGTTATTTTGAAGTAGTATGTGAGCGAACTCTGTATCTACCTCGACTCGAGATCGAACAATTGATTTGACAGCGTGAAAAGGAGTTATTTAGTGACGAAAATGAAAAAATCGAAACGAAAAAACCTCTATCCGCTTCTTTGCATCATATCATTGCTTTGTGTCACTTGATGTTTCTCATCTCACAATCAACAGCGACGGGAAGCCGAGTATAAGCCCTAGCCCTATTTATTAGCCCTAACAATGACAGATTCGCCACTCGAGTAGTCTCAACACAAAGCTCATCTGAATGCCATCTCTAACGTCCATAGAGGGTAATAATCAATTATTTGTGAGTCAAATACTTTGTAACAAAGAAATCATCTCAGATGTGTCGATTATCGGCGTTAGGTGACCTACAATGTCCTACAACCAGCGTTTCTAAAGTCAATTATTGAATAAATCATCATCGCAACCTCGAATATGACTCCATATAACACAGTTTGTAAGTATCTTTAGATCATTGTAAATAGTCAGAAATTGAGGCAGAGTCCGTAACGCATCCAGAAAGTTGTATAGGAGATAAATGTGCCTTCCACTGGACTGTAGGCATTACGTTGAATCTTTGATTCCGTTGACAAAACATCAGTAGTGTTCAAAGAATCTTAAAACGTATACAGAATCTTTGAGAGCCAGCGGACTTTCAAGCACGCAGCTTCGAGGCTCATAGGATGATCCCCAATGCTTCAGATGAATTCATGACACAGCTGGGAGCTGGTACTACAGTCTATAGACGTATATTGGGATGAAATGACACACAAAGAGCAAATATATGACTCTACATCCAAAATTTGTGTCATAGAAGTCGAGTTTGAGAGCATAAATAGGAAGTTGAGCTTGCTGTAGATCCTGTACTTTCACATCAAGAACAATCATCAACTTTCTACCAAACTTTCTCTTACTTCTAACCAGAGGATTTACCCTTCATAACATTACTATTCCTTGGCAAGCCATTATTATCTATCGACGAGTCTGCCAGGACAAAGTTGACCAGTTACAATGTCGGACCGGGCTGACAAGATTCGAGATCTGTATCTCAAAGGAAAGGAACTCTTTCCGCGCCAGACTATGGAGGTCATGGGGAAGATACTTAAAGGATACAAAACGGGGAAATGTAAAAACGCAGATTTTATAATTCCGGACTACGTTGATGGAAACGAAAGTCCTCACCCTAACGAGGTTACTTTAGATCTGGGATACCACGTGCATGTAGAAGGAGCAAAGTAAGTTGTTGACTGATTAAATACATAACACATTTGAATGCCGTCAGAAATGAGAAACTAATCCACCGACTTCAAGGCTGAAGGCAATGGGATACGTCCCAATTCAGATGTTCCGATTGGGTCTGGGGCACCAAATTACCGTCTTGGAATCGGACTTTGACAAGGCTTATGCTCAAAATTTGAAAGCTCCTAAAGCCCATGATATCCAGGAGCTTGAAAATTTGCGGGATGAGGCCTACAAGAACTGGATCATGAATCCCGCAAGAGACTCAGTGCAAGCTACACTCAAGGGAATCAAGATTGGAAAACTCAAGAAAGTCACGAAGATAATTGCATTCGGGAATGGCTCCTTGTGGTACGGCTGGAAAAGGGAGATGGGCTTGATTAAAAATTTCGTGGCCCAACACGCTGTTATACAAGAGATACGGGATTTCATACAGAAAACCTGTAACCAGGAGGTTACTTGCTATGCACAAGAGCCCAAGTATACCCCAGCAGACGAGAAGGTGCTCCTTGCACATTTCGGAATCCAGCCATTGGAAGAAATAGAGGCGCTCCTACAAGTCGATGAGAAAACACTTGTTTTCGCCATGAACCAGGACATGCCTCTTCTGCAAATCCTTGCTGATATTTCAAAACCACCAGCTATGATCCTTTGCGGAGAGGTCAACATAACTGAAAAGTTGGAAGATTACGACAGTAAAAAAATGTCTGCCTGTCCAACCTCTCCCAGGGTCCAAAGCCTCATTCATAGCTACCTCGAGCCGCTTAAAATTGATGATACTGACTCGCTTTTCGAGAGTGGGAACAAGACAAGGCTCTATGTTCTGAAATGATTTTGGACACCTACTGCTTGGAATGACGGTGACTGATTGCAGAGGTTACTCTGTGGATATACCTGATCCGATTATCTACCTATGCTTAGGTGCAGACAATGAAATCTTCACTCTGACCTACTTGAATTGGATTTTAACGGAAAGTATCTTATAGTACGAGTATGATACCTAAGTAGTGTATACACTTTGGAGATTCAGGGGTTTCTCATATAGTCTAAGGTGCCCGGGTAACTGCTTAATTAGACATCCTACACATATCTAATCATATTAATTCCAGATTGACGCAACCTATGACACAACATGTGTGCATATGGCTTGAACCATTTGACGTCCTTATACCTAGGTACCTGGCCATAGTTGGCAACAATTGTAGCTCTAGCCGTATTTAAAAGCATCTTTCGCAAATCTCCTCCTGGGCTTTAGGATACTAAGTTTGATATATATAGAGTAATGAATTTAAGAAACCATTTGTGAGCTAACCATATTGACTAGCTACACTCGTGTGCCTACCTTTGTAATGAGTCAATGTCCCGAATGATTTCACCAGCCCGACAAAGTTCATTTCAGAACGTACGGACACCGAGACAAGCCCTCTTGGCGAAGGAAGTCATCAGAGTCCGGGATATCATGTTCGTCATATTTCGTGAGTAGCTCCTCTAGGAGATATAAAATTCTTAAACCGACCCTTGCGCAGACGTGCTCGGGGATTCTCTTGCTGCTCATTAGCCACGATAGTTTTGTAATCTTCCCAGCCTTGCTTTTCGATCTTGTCATGGAAGATCATTGCTGGTTCCGCAATATCAGCTATAACCTGTATGATGCAAACTTCCCCTGGAGAGATCACAAAGACAAGGGTATGCTCATCAATCTTCAGGTAGCCGTCGGGATTATGCAGTCGCTCAAGTTTCAAAGAGTCAAGCATTTCGTTGTCCTTCGGCGTGTGGCGTTCCGTCTTGTACGTAAGCCTTGACCTGCTGTCTTCCTGCCAGGGACAATTCGTAAGGATATACCTAAGAGGCCCCGAGATACCGAGGTATGTTCCTAAATTACATGCAATCAAGTTATCGGAATAAATGAACAAATTCAACATGACTTCCCACCCCCCCATTTCTTCTCTATTTCTCTTTTCTCGTATACATTACACACGTCCCCATCTCAACATTCATCCTTCCATTGTCACTGATAACAGGCAAATGACATATATCGGTAATTAACAGACACGTAACAGGTGTCAGCATATAGCACAAGCCCTGCATGCATCATGGCGTCTCTTGAGTAAATGTCTCCTCATCTTCGAAAGACGTCAGTCACAGAGGAATTCGTCATTCTCTTTTGATGTCACCACCTAGGTAGTCGTCACTTAACACAAAAGGCCAATTATCCACCAATTTCACAATCCAGGGAAAGAAATCTGTCGAATTGGGAATTGCCTACTTCAAAGGCAGAAACCCTATCTAACCGCGAACAGTCTCACAAAATCGAATCGCCTATAGCTCTTAAATATTAGAGCTAATTTATGATAGACATGAAGACCAACCTCAACCCACTCAGCAGATAATCGTGACGAGGTTTCTCAAGGAAATGTTCAGGTTAGGGCTAGGTAGAACCAAGTACCGAATGACCTTGGAGATACGAACTTACTAAGTATAACCTATGTAATATCCATTTCTCATTTCATCAAATCTAAATTTATTCTTATTTCCTACCATTTATCTATAAAATTAACCTCTTCTTTACCCCTTGACAACCTAGACAACATGGAACAAGAGCACTGATACCCTCAATCCAAAGAAACGAAAATTCCCAAACCGGGAAGTTTCCCAACCACAAAACCCTAGCACTAAACCCAATCGAGAACCATATCCATATTCTCAAATCACCACTCGATTGAACCACCCTATACGATCATTCAAGTACAAAATTTCTATTCCAAAACGAGAAATTTTAAGTCCCTTCCTGCTTGTAAGGAAATTTTCAAGTAATAGCATTACAGCCGCGAAACAGCACAATTGCTATCATAAGCCACATCTCTAAGCACATACGTACAGTGAATGACATGAATTCGATAGCATGAAAACATCAAAATATCAGCTGCTGATTGCGCCCTCTTAGCTCAGTGGTAGTAGTATTGCACTTGCAACCGTAGAGGTTGTTATGAGTAATGCAAGGGTCCTGTGTTCAGTGCATTTTGTTTTGCTTCTCCTCTCTATCTGTATACAGCGTCGCCTCCATGGGAATACACTACAGAGATGATCATAACCAACCTGTTTTCTGAATCAACCAGCAGTTACCTTAGGAGTCAAAATGTCTAACGATAATCATTAACGCACCAATACATCTATCCTATCGACAAAAACCAAGACCAAATGGATTTATTCAACAGACAAGACATAAAAAGGAGATTCATCATAAACGTAACATGACATGAAATTCAAGAACATACAAAAGGGGAATATTCAAAATGCTAGGTTGATGAATAGAAAGTCAAAAGCAAGATATTCGAATCAGACATGAGGAGGTTTGGATATGAAAGACACTGCTGGGACACGATTGAGTACTTGACATAAAAGTAGTAGTCATCACGCTCGTCTCTTTTTATCTATTTCTTCCACGATTCCTCTCTTATAATCAAACTGAGCTTAATCTTCAAAGAAATTCATAATCGCCCGAATACCACGCGATCCCAATCCATGAGGTGGATAAGCAATATACAACGGTTCCTCATGAGCACCCAATTTCATACGGAACTCACTCTTGCGCGTCAAATGGAATTGTTTCGCCACTGCCTCGTAGGTATGTTGCAACATACGTACTTTGGCGCCCTTCATATGATGACCTGGTGTCAAAGTGGCGGTTGCACCGGCACCGAATGTGAGTGATTTAACACCTTGTTTGGAGGCGGTTTGAATGGCGTGGGTGACAATGTACTCGATTGTTCCGTTGGGAGAGTCAGGGAAATCGAGACTGTACTTCACTTGCATGCCCTGGCGGGGTGCGAGCATAGCCAGAGCCACGAATGCGACGACTGTGCCTTCCTTGTCGATGGCATAGTAGTACCAGCGATGCTCGTAGTCGCGCCATGGAGCAATTTCTGACAGATGGATTTGAGTTCCCTTGCGATTGGCCAACCAGTCCTTGATACGTTTGTCAATCTTGGTTCTGATTTCTTCCGATGGTAATTCTCCATGGGGAACATCAATAACCTTGATACCCTCACTTTCGGCATGTCGAATCTTTCGGGCAACCTCAGTATCAGAAGCCATAAGGTTGCGACTGGGATCAACACGCTCTTCAGCGATACAGGACAAGCTTCGCCATCCGTACTTCTCGCCCAAAAGCTCCTCCACTGCAGGTGAAATCAAGATCCAAATGGGCTTGAGCTTGGTTTCGCGTTTGAGCCAATGCAAGAATCCGCTGATAACACGGTTATATTGACTTGGATCGCAGAGTGGGTCACCAGGAATAATAGCATAGTTGTAACTGGGGATGTACGAAACGGCAGCTCCGGTGAAGGGGTCTCGCCAGATTTGGTATCGGTCATCTGTCCAAGACGTAGATGTGGCATCACCGTAGTTGGCAATCAACTCCACAAGAGGCTGGTATTCCTTTTCATCATTGGCTTTGCGACCACGTTCCTCCTTCTGCCATGTTGGTTCCAGAGTGGAAGCTTCAGGATGACGAAGCTGAAGAACAGGTGGCTTGGGTGGGAAGCTCTTGGGATCGCGATGGAAGAGAGAAGCCAAACGGATATTACCCAATTTCAGCAGAAGCATGACAAAACGTTCAAGACCAACACCGGCTCCAGCGTGAGGGGGTGCTCCCCATCGGAAACCTTCGAGGTAGTCCTCCATATCAGATGGCTTGATGCCGACTTTCTTCATATTATCCTCCAGCATCGAGGGGTCATGGATACGCTGACCACCAGAGACAATCTCCTGGCCACGCACAAAGATATCAAAGGAGTTGGTATAGCCGGGATTGTTGGCATCGGGCATGGTATAAAAGGGACGAGCAGAGACGGGGAATTTATCGATGATATAGTAATCGGTGCCGTATTTCTCCTTGACCACCTCTCCAAGTCGGATTTCGTCGCGCGTGGCCAAGTCTTCGTCGTCAGGGACCTCCTTGCCATCCTCAGTGCGCCAGCCAGATTCGTTGAGCAGCTTGACTGCTTCTTGGAATGGAATCACGGGGGTCTTTTCGGCGAGGACGACGTCGTTGGAGGGGAATTGATGCTTGACGGCTTCGACTTCACGGCGGTACTTGCTGTAGATTCCGGTGATGATATGCCGGAGTACTGCATCAATGGTCTCGAGCATTTCGTGGTAGTGCTCGTCGATGGCCATCTCAATATCGAGACCGGTATACTCGGTCAAATGACGATGGGTGTTTGAATTCTCGGCTCGGAAGACGGCGCCAATTTCGTAGACGCGCTCGAAATCAGATGCGATTGCCATCTGCTTGGCCAATTGAGGACTCTGAGCAAGGAAAGCCGGGCGACCAAAATAGTTCAATTCGAAGACGCTTGCGCCGGATTCAGTTGCTGAGCCTTGCAACTTGGGAGTGTGAATTTCAATGAATCCTCGCTCGTCAAGAGCAGCACGCCACAGGTTGCCGACAGCAGACTGAATACGGAAGATAGCTTGAGCGGTACCAGTTCGGAGATCGAGGATACGATTAGACAAACGAGTGCGATCGGGGATATGGCTGAAGCGACCTTCGACGCGGTCTTCCTCTTCAGTGCGGATCTCAGCTTCGTAGACCGAGAAAGGTACCGAATCCTCGCGACGGACGACGACGTGAAGCTGTTCGATGGAAATTTCCACATCGTGGTAGGTACAGCCCAAGACGGGAACGGCCGGTTTCTGCATGATACCGCGAACGCGAACAATGGTCCCAGTTCGCAGACGCTCGGCCCAATTCACCATACCCAAGGACTTCTTACCTTCTTCGGCATGTAGCACACCTTGGAAAGTAGTGAGTTGCTGACGAAAGACTAAAAACACGAGCTTGGCACTCATGTTACGAATGATATGCAGACGAGCAACAAAGGTCACTTCCTTGCCAATCAGATCGGTCGAGATATCGGCCAACCTCAGCTTGGGTTCGCCGGATCGCGTCTGACTCTGCACAAGAGGCAAGTCGCCGTACCGTTCTTTCATTTCGGGGGTCTCTTCGCGGGCGATTTCTTCTTCCTTTTCGTGGCGTCGTTGTTGCGAGCTGCTTCTCTGTTCCTCGCTCAGGCGGCTTTTGGCCTGGCGCGCTTGCTGGCGGGCGAGTCGCTTTTGCTGGTTTTTGCTCATGGGGCTTGAGGAATCGTCCGATAGGTCGTCGGACGAGGAGATATCGTCGCGATCTCGCAGGAAGCCCACCAGCGAGCGGCGGGGGGACTGCGAACCGCTGCCGCCGCTGTCTCCATCACCCACGACGCCGTCATGCTTTGTGCGGATTTTGGATAAAGCGCGTCTAATGCCAGACATTTTGACGCTTTAGTAGCCCTTGTGGGCGATTGAGATACTTGTATAGAAAGAGGGAAAGAGAGAGGGAAGGAGAAGGAGTGAGTTAGGAACCGGGAGGAAGTTGGCGGGGTACTTTCTGGTTTAAACGGAAGACGGGATTAGCTCCATCCCGCCCAACACGAGGGAAAAAAGCACTTACTGTGAGCAAAGCGACTGCTGACCAAGGAATTACTTAAGCTGTCTGTGTTCTTAATCGTACGTAAGTGGGCGGCCAATCGGGACAGCAGGTGCAGGTATTCCCTGGTCGCGGTCACTGAGTCAGCGTGAAAATAGTAATCAGATATTTGGGATTGTGTTTTGTGCAAAAAGAATAAGATGGCAAGAAGAGAATTCCAGCGCAGTCCTGTTCTTGTTCTTGTAGTCTCGCTCTTGTATAAAGCAATTCCTGTCTTGTTCACGACGACGTCAGCCTAGCCTGTGCCTGGTGTATCTCAGATTGTATCAAGCTTTGGCAGAAATGCATGCGGCCGAGGCTCCGGGTGCCGTCTCGCCCGCTGTGTCAGCGAGTGTTCCCAGCCAATCAGAGGAAAGATCTCTCGGATGCGGCGGATGATGTAATCCAGCCAGATCTTATGTCATCATCTCTCGACGGATTTAAGAGAACAGCCGGATTAGTCCATGACGCTACGCTCCTTTTTCTTTTCTTTTCTTTTCTCTGTCAAGTACTCCGTACGGAGTATGGAGTGACAAATAGTCGCTGATCTGATATGTATGATATGTACGATATCATATGTATGATAGGTATGATCTGATAAGAGACCGATAGTATGACGTCGATGTGTACTGCTCTGCTCCGAAAATTTATCTAGATGCCGTTTTCCTCTTCTGACCATCACACTATTGACACGAGAGAAAATTCCAAATGTGTACGGAGTACTCCGTACTCGTAGTATAGACAAAAGGGGAAATAGAAAGATCATAAACCCTTCTGGAATCGTGGCTGAGGCCGTCTCGTATCGCTCGTATGATCGCATCTGCCAATGAACTGGCGCCTGAATGAGGCCATTACGTGTACCTCACGAGGTTAATAAAGCCACAACTCCCTACGTCAAGGATACATATACATATTTTTTCTCTCCATCACATATTTCCTTGTAACCTCCATACCGAATATTCAATCCATCCTTTTGAACATATTCTAATTGTATTTATTCAATACGGAGATAATTGTCGATCGACTGACTACCCGACACTCGGAACACGGCAACGGTCATCCGACCTACGGAGCATCGTACGAGAACGCATGCAGAAAACACCATTGACCACGGAACTCGACATCCTAATGGGCGAGACCACTGAAGACGAGAACGAGTCAATCTCGAAAAACCATCCTAATAATGCAAATAATTCAACCTCGGATCTACATCTCTCCCACCTCCCCACCACAACCCCCGACTCAATCCATCGAGTCGGCACCGTGATACCAACCACAAAACCACATAACCGATCATGGCTCCACGTGCAAGCCACCGTATGGCGATTCCTCATGTCAATAGGCATGTTCCTCCACACCGTCGGCTGGTCGCGGCCTCCGCGACCCTCATTTGTCCGGCGCATCCCATTCAGCACCCGCGGCCGAACGGTTGACCTATACTTCTACTGTCCGGCATCGTACTGGCAACACAAAAAGAATAACCGTCGTCTCTCTTCGCAAGTCTCTCAACACCGTCCCTACCCTGTGGTCGTAAACTTCCACGGCGGTGGTTTCACCCTCGGAAGAGCAACGGATGATTCCTTTTGGGCGAAATGCATCCTCAAAGAAACAGACGCTGTCTTCGTCAGCGTCGAATATAGACTTGCCCCCGAACACCCCTTCCCCGCGGCAGTGGACGACGGCGTCGAAGCACTTTTATATCTCGCCGCGCATGCAGGCGAACTCGGAATCGACGCATCGCGCATCGTACTCACGGGTTTCTCCTCAGGCGCAAACCTCGCCATAACCGTTCCTCTACGTCTGCAACAACGCATCAAGAACGAAGCGGGAAGCGACATAATCAATATCGAACCGTTTGAGTCCACCCAACACCTCGTCGGGAATCAGGGCAATCTCCAAATCGTAGCGACATTTGCCTGGTACCCACTCCTCGACTTTGTGGCTTCCCGAGCCCATCGTCGTGCCATGAGCGTTATACCCGGTAAAACCATGCCGTCTTTCTTCACAACGCTATTCGATGAATCATACCTCCCCAACCACGCCGAGCGTTTCTCACCATTCGCATCCCCCGAACGCGCACCGGATGAAATGCTCAGCGAAGGGTTGCCGCACGACATATTCCTGTACACCTGTGAATGGGATATGTTACTCCAAGAAGGACAAAGATTCGTACGCCGATTGGAAGATATGGGGAAGAAAGTTCGCGCAATGATGGTGGAGAAAGTGCCGCATGCATGGGACAAAAGTCCCAATCCGTTTAGGGATCAGGAGCAGATTAATGTTTTTTACAAGGCGGCTTGTGGGGAGATGAAGGCTATTTTTGATGCTAATTAAGTGTCTACAGGGGCCTTCGCATTCGTTTGATTTTATTTTAGATGCATAGCGGTTGGCGAGCGTTCGTTTATCAGCATATGGCGTACGATATAGATTTCATTCAATCATTCATTAATTAATTCAACTATTGATAGATATCACTCCTCGTCAGTAGCAGTAGGATCATCCTCAACATCGTCCTCCCTCTCAACACCACTATCTGAATCATCCTCCCGATCATCGACCCCCGGTATCCCCCTCCACTCAATATAATCCCCCTCCAACCACCGTCTACTCCGCGGTAACTGATACGGATCAAACGGGAAATATGCATCCAACTGATCGCCGCCGTCGTTACCGGCACGAATCTCCCGTTCCACAATGCTGAACCGCGGGTCGGATAGAGTCGTTATACTTCTGAATGAAGACATGCGGATCCGTTTGTTGGATTCCAGCAACGAGTAAACATACATGAAACGGAGGCGGTGCGCTATTCTGGCGAATTCGGTCACGATAGCTGGTGAACAGACCTTCAACGGGTTGAAGCGGGAGTATATGGCTTGGTGTAGTATTTCTTTAACAGACGGTGGGAACGTGACGTCTTCCAAATCGAAATCGTCGTCGTCGTCTTCGACACCGTCGTTTTCCTCGGCCGCGGTCGTTAGATCCCTCCATCGAAAGCAGAATATATACAGGATTGCTTGCGTGGAGGCATAGAACGGTCCGTAGCGACGAAGATCGGGTCCACGACAGGTAGCCTCGTAAGTCGTTCGGAGATGGCTCAGATTCTCGCCCAACATTTCAAATATATCACGAACAGTGCGAGAAGTAACGTGTTTCCCTCTTGCGACGAAACTTCCTAAATATGCCGCGGCCGATTGACGCATAATAGCCGGTTGCGTCTTGCTATCAATGATATGCATACAGGTCGAAACAAATTTTTCCACGAGATCAGGTGAAAATTGAGAGAAATGAAAGACGAGAAATTGCGTATGTCGGGATCGGTAGGTAGGCAGAACATAATTGACGAAATGGGAAAGTAGTAAATCTAGTATTTGACTCTTTGTATCGTCTGTGCCGGTATTGAATGGTGACGAGTAAAACTCAAACAGTTGATCGATCATTGAATCCACCTTGCTGATATTGTCCTTCACTGTTTGTAGCCGTCGAGCTTCGATATCTGCCTCGTCGTCGAGCACAGATTCACCATCTGAATCGTCTTCTTCGTCCATATACTCGATTTCAAGAGGGCGGGAGAGTTCTTCTAGAATATCTTCGCCCACTTCGTCTTCGAATTCTTCCATGTCGACTTGGATCTGTACATCAATCTTGACCAGTCTTTCGGTGACCAGTGACAGAATATCAGCCCTTAATTCCGGGGCGTACTCAATCAACCTGATAAGATTGCGGGTATAGAATACGTTGGCCCTTGCAGAGTCGGTATCAAAAGGAAACTGTTGGGCTAGAATCGGTGATAATGCGCTACTCCCTGCAGGTAGTAGCTGCATAATATATCGTAATGCCATATGCACTCGGTCGTAAATCTCTTCATGCGTGACGCTCGAATAACCGGGAATTCTACCGGTTCCTTTGGGGACTACAATTGTCAGCAGAAGCCCAAGTATTTCAGGAGAAAGAACTTACTCTCTCCGAAATAATTCACCAGCATCTTGAGCACCGAGCGCATATATCCCGTATGCGTCGCAGCCAAATTCCCCAAAAACCGGACGAATAACTTGACATACGATTCATCTCGACCCAGCCATTCACTACCCAACACCGCATGAACGAGACCCGAACAATCCCGGTTCAACGCGGCAACATTCGACAATAAAGCCATCATATGGCGTTTCATCGACGTCGGACTAGGAATTTCAGTACTCTCCTCATCTTGAATTTCTTTGGGATCGGTCGTGAATATCTCCTTGATCTGGTCGTAACCTTCACTATCCGCGCCAGAGACATGTCGCTGGATAGCCCTGCGGATCTCTTCCCGGACCAAAGCGACACTTTTTTCTTGCGGTTGGTCATTGTCATCTGACGAGCGACTTGCTCGTGCCGTGTTTGCGGTATCATCGAATTGGACCCGGGCACGTTTGACGGGGTTCCGTCCATCGCGACTGCCAGCATCGGATAGGGCGGAGGACGACGGTTGTGAAGAGGCGTCTATTTCTATTATTTTACGTTTTTGCCCTGCCATCGCCGATGGGGTTTTGGATGTTTTGAGGATGGAGGGCGGGGGTGATGATACGGGCATGTTGTTTGAGGTCCGGCTGTGACTGCTGGTAAAGACAGCCATTTCAGTTATCTGTATTCCGGAGAGAGCTGATCGTCTGTAATTTAATGTCTGTCTTTAATCGAGTCGATGGATGGTATCTTTATTCGTAGTCTTGAGAGTCGACAGACAGATAGCAGACACACGACGACAGACAGACACGGACCCACTGTAGGCCTAGACTATCTCCTGTCTGCCGTGAATGCCTCTTTAAACATAAATGATAGCCATAGATGAATAAACAACAATAACCCTAGAAATGGTGTCGTGTTAGAAGATAATAGACAGACAGACAGACGGACAGCTTTGCCGCTGATGGAGTTGCAAGGTTGGAGGTGATGATAGGAAGAAAAAAATTTAGGGTGGGGCCTTGCTATGAGATTACTCCGCCTGGAGAATGAGCTGAAAGGCGGTGAGACCGGCAAATTCTGTGTGCGCTGCTCGCTTCGTGCCTTATGTCTAAAAGAGGTAAAATTGGGTTGTTATCTTATCAGGGTCGATTATCCTCGAAGCCTACAGAATGACTCGGAGTCGTCCTCTGGCCGAACATTACACGGTCTGTCTACATTTTGACACAGAATATAGTTGTAGAAATATGTGCATTGCATTCAGTACATCATACAGTTTGTGCATTGCTTGGTGTCACAAGTATGACAGGTTCGAGGACGGGGAATATAACAGAAACAAAAACGGAGACAAAATTGTGAAATATGTGCATGAAGGTTGCTCCTCAGAGCTTAAAGCAACCCCCGCTCGATGGCGAAGGTTGAAAATCGAAAACAAAACAAAAACCTAAACCCCGTGGCCAGTGTAAACCCCACAGAGAGAAACCGAGAAAGATCGTAACGTGAAAATCATTTCACTGCAAAAAAACAAAACACAGACAATTTCTTTCTTATCGCAGATGTTTGCTGGTGGATATCATAGTCATGGAGTATGGATCATGGCGTGTGGAATTAAAGCAAACATGGTTGAACTTAAACCCATGCATGAGTTGCCAATGGACCAACATTATCATCAAACACACCACCGTAAAGCTCTTCGATCTCGCTGAGATAGTCGTTCAGCGAAAACTTCTTCAAACCCTTGTTGATAAGGATCTGTTCCTCCTCTTCCAAAAGTTTCAATGCACCAAAGTCTTCGGCTACTTCATTCACCTTGTCGAGTTCGCGACTGAATGGGTGCTCGGCGTATTCGGGCACAGGCGCAAACGTCTGTTCTTGACTGCGACGGATGGTCGTCGTGGTTGTTGCCATCGACGACGGAGGCGGGGACATGCGAGATATAGAACGCTTCCGTGCCAGATCTTGATGCGATTTCTTTGTGTGCGAAAGTGCGCGCTTCGGCACACTGGGCGCATCTGCGCCCGCAGAGGAAGTCGAAGAGCGAGGTGTACTGGTGATGGTCGCTGATCGCTTGGGGAAGTATCCAGACAAATGGTTTGGTTCCATAGCGACATCAGGTTCAGCCGATACTGGCGTCATGGGAGAAATAGGCGCTACATCGCTTTCATCAGAAGATCGAAACGACGAGGCTGATGAAGATGACGAAACGGCTGAGGCAAGATCAGGGGCGTTGTATACCAGCGGGTTGGTTGCCGATAGGAGTTCCACGGGACCCGAGATCTTGCCACGATGGATGGTCCCCGGCGAATACCTGACGAGGCCTTCACGATACGGTACGGGCGTTGAGATTTCAGGTCGCTTGTTGCGTTTGGTGAAAGCACGACTGATAGTAGCTGCCATCTTGTCTGATTTTGTTGTGTCTCTCAAAATTTCTTACTTCTGTCGGTTAGATCCTAACTCCAGTTCAGGATCGAGTTTTGTTGGGTATCTTGAGCGGTCGCGAAAGATCACAGATCTTGATAATAAGCTGTTCGTCGAACGTCTCGTCTTAGCTTCGATTGTAGATTTCCCCGGACTCAAGACTGTGCCTGTTCGACGTAAAGGAAAGTGAAAGGATTGCTCTGCAATCGGTCGTCGGGTGTCGATTATGATATGCAGCAACGCAGGCGGCAAACAAGGAGTGTTCTGCTTAGCGAGGCTCGCAGGAGTAATGGGATGGAAAAAGGAGCGGACAACCAGGACTCGCAAATGTAGAGAAAGGAACGCAGAGAGGGGGAATGCCACTCTCTAGCACGACTAGAAATAAAGGAATGAAGATGTGGCTAGAGAAAGAAAGCGAGTGACCATGTGTGTAGGAGAAGTGCACTAAAGTCCCCAAGAGCGAGAGATGGAGGATGACCGAGTGCGCCCCCGTGACTGCAGGACATCGAGGATTGCACCCTCAGGCGCCCAAAGTAAGCGTTCTGGCCCGCCCACTTCGAAACGAGCGTTCGTTTGAACCGTGGCGAGACCCATCGGTATATTATTGTGCGTCTGATTGGCTGAATTTCCTCTCCTGGTCTCTTATTGGTGGCACAGAGAAAACGTTGGAGTGCCCGATCCATGGATTGGTACAGGGCCTGTCCGGAATTGTATGAGTTGTTCCGCTTCCCCACCGAGGAAAACCTTGATAAAATATTCATCCAATGATACTGTCGTAAATAGTGGAGCACTCGTATTGCCGCTGTTTGGTACAACAACAGACCTCTCAACATACTCCGTACATAGTACATAGTATGCTCCGGCTCCAAGTTACGGAGTATCAGTACGTACTCCCTCTTTGCTGTACGACATGTACCAAGACAAAAGAAATCCCATAATCCACCGAAAATAGGCGCATAAAATATGTCATAAACACAGCTAGCCGCTGAAACGACGTAGATCCTTGCATCCTGGACCAATAACCAGCAAGGAATCACCTGTAGCCAATCAGCATGCACAGACAAGGGATCTGGGACACTAGCGTGTGTGAATTGTAACCTTCGACTGTGTACTCGTACTGCTAATTAAAGATGGTTTCAATTTGTGAAACTACGGAGTACATAGCGTGGTCTCTTGGTGGTTGAGGAGGATTCGCAATATATTACGGAGGATATATTCCAGCAATTGAACCAGTTCTCTTAGTAAAGGCTTATGATATCAAGGAGTCAAGGAGTCAAGGAGTCAAGGATAAGGACAAGGACAAGGACAAGGACAAAGACAAAAGACGAAGCGATATTCCGAACGGCTAGTCCCAATAGATTTAAACTACGAACACACTAGTCCGAATCAGGACTAGCGTCTCATCACTATCGGACCATATCAAACTGGACGACATGTAACTCAACCTCAACTACAGAGTAACCCTGGTGATGTGACTTTGAGGACACTCTGTCACTTACACTATGCACTACGCGTTGTGGCTGGTATCTTGCTTTCTCTTTGATGTCATCATATGATAGAGGGAATCTCATCGTATCAATGGCTGGATTACCCTGAATGGGTAAGTGGACACGGGATCTGGTCAGCATCGACCTCGAGCGATACTACGTATGCCGATGAATCTGACACGATGGATGAGCTCATAACTTAGTCTTATCCATTAGTCCAGGATAGTGATTGTGCTCAGATGCCACTTTATGGGGCCCGGGCATAGACGGTGATCGTCCAGCCTCTTGAATACCCCAGGAGTGATATGCTATCGAAGTCCATGTTATGGACAAGGACGTGCTGATAAGCAAGCAGCCCTACATGGACATCTGAGTGAAGTTGGAATATCTTCATTGAAAAGACACTTTATTTGAATTTGTTGATCTAATAAACAACATAGACGATATCAAACACGCCTCCACATCCAGCTACATGCAAAATCTCCCCAGCCAACAGAACCAAAGATTCAAACCGAGTAAAAACACGACAATTCAGGCGGCAATATGCCAAAGGCCGTATCCGAAGGCACCTCTCGGCACCGTGGCACCATATCAACCGACGCATTCCCGTAATTGATAATAGAAACTATCCCGAACGCGTCAAACTCCGCATGCGCCTTCTTATACACGCCCTCGACAGTCTCTACCTGTAGCTTCACAGCTTCGAATCGCAAAATCATACAGTATGTAGTACCGAACTGGATGTCTCTAGTGTTCAACCGATCCTTCAGCTGCCATCCGTACCACCCAATCAGACCATTCCAGGTGGGCATTACCTTGTCGGATAGGAAGGTGTTGAATCCATCGAGTTGTTCGAGACTACTCTTTTCGCGGATGGTGATTTCAAGACGCATCCATTTCTCTCGGAGTTGTAAAGATGATGGTTCCATTGTCGATGTATGATTTGTGGTTGTGTTTTTTCAATAGCTTGCAGATTGATGATGATCTGACTGAGCAAGAAGTCATTCTGCTGTGAGGTCTCCTTCTATTTATACTTTTGGCGTCTCCTTGTATGCCAGCTCCCGAAGAATGCCGTTGTGAATCTTCCATTGTTGTAGAATCCAAGAATGGAGAAAGGAAGAAGATGAAAAGGTTGGAATGCTTGTTTACTAGAACAGGATGTATCTCTGGGAGGATTCACAAGCTATTTATGCTTGGGTCCAGTACATGCAAACATAGCAAACTAATGCAAAGATCTTAGGGATCACAAAAAGATATTTCATACAAATGAAACAGGAGGTTGTCATGTTATGAAGATTTCTATGTCAATGATTGTCTCCATAAACATGATCATTTGATCTCCAGGCAAAGATGGTGAATACCTCAACAAAGGCTGAATAAACCAGATGCTGACACAGATATCTATCAACATAATGTGAATCCAGATGGTGGCGCAATCCTTCATCACTACCAACAGCAACAAAGAGTCAGTACAGCTAACAGACACCTCACAGAAACTCTTTAATCCGCCCCAGCACAGTCTCAGGCTTCTCAATATGCACAGAATGATTGGCATCGGATACAACCAGTAACTCAGCACCAGGTATTCTCTCTGCTATAATTCTCGAGTTCTCTACTCCAATTAGCAGTGCACTTGACATCAGATATAGACAGCTACAAACCTGGAGGACAAATCCAATCATTCTCCCCAACAATAACCAGTGTTTTGGCTGTTATACTAGCCAACTTCTTCGTATAATCAAAATACTTTTCCTTTTCCGAGTAGAGCTCATCTACACCCATCAGTACCATCCCTCAGTATCCAAGACAGAGAAATTGGAAACATACTATGCGACTCCGCAAAACAAACCGTATCCCGGCACGCCTTGAGTGCTGCATTCGCATCAAAAACCTCTTTATAAAGTGGCATCATAGCAAAATAGACAAGTTTGAATTCCTCGTCGTCCTCATACGCGCCGAAGACTTTGTCTCGTAGCATCTCTTTGGAGAAATTGGGTGCTTTGTGGAGTCTTTTTTCCAAAGATTTTATCGAGTCTTCTTCGTCTGTCGTCAAATTAGCAAGAAGGGCATGTTGTTGGAAGGAAAAGGCAGATATACGATGATGACTCGCCGCAGCCCCCCTGAGAATCAACCGTGACACCCTAGATGCATACTTAATAGCATAATGCAGTGCTAAAAACCCACCAAAACTCCCACCACAGATGATAACCTGTTCTTCAGCTCCCAGAAACTGCTGTCGAATACCCTCAATATCGTCAACAAGTTGCTCAAAAGTATAAGGTTTCGTCCGTGAACTTTGACCATGCCCGCGATAGTCAAAGGACAGGACTTGCAAGCGGTCGTTGAGTTGGCTGTAGATTTTGTAGTCTGATCTGTGGTCTCCTATTGACTTATTAGTTATCAGATGTCTATATGAATCAATTCTTAAGGTGATACCCATTCCGCGTCCACCGTGGAGAGTAATCATTAACGGCGCTGTTTCAGGGCCGCTGATTTCGTAGGCGAGTCTGGCCCCATTTATGGTGATGTATTCAACCATTGTGCTGAATTGTAAAATTGAGTTTTCTTTCACATCTTGGGGGTTGAACGTGTTTATAAGTGTTGATGAGATGGAAACGGAAATATTCATCGGACCTACCCCGACCAGGCTTTGCGTGCTTGAGGTGTACCCACTCCAATCGACTCCTGAGTAAGTATAGTTCTATTTGAGTGTCACTACATGCTATTTCAAATGAATCTATAGATCTATAAACAGAATGTACAGACGGGTATTTATTCGCTCTGCCTACATCGACGCATACACAGGCGGACAAACTAATCCTCCTCCATTGACTCCCACCCATCCTTATTTTGACCGCCATCACCCTCCTCGCCATCAGACGAATCACTATCATCATTCTGATTAACTCCCAAAATCCTCTCCTGAATTTCGCCCTCTTCTCCAGGCGTGATATCCGGAGTACGACCGGCAAACGCTCGACGCACAGCTGCATTGGTCGAAGTATCCCACACCTGCACGACGCCCTTACTACCGGCCACAGCAAGACGGAAGCTCACTTCTGCATCAGGCGCAAACGATGTCGAAAAGACTTTGCCCACTTCGAGTCTACGAGATACCACCATGTTAGGTCTGTCGTTGGCTGTATCCCAGATCTTAACTTGTTTATCCGTTGAACCTGTCACCAAGAACCCAGGAACTCGAGGGTTAATGTCAAACGACGAAACAGAGTCATCATGGGCCTGCAATGTCCAGACGGGTTTGGATTCGCTGGGTGTAGCAGGTGCGTTGCGAACATCGTACTTGTAAACAAGACCAGTATCGGTAGTGACATAAAAGAAATTAGGATCATGAGGATCCCAGCGCAAGTTCTCCACATCAGAAGCAACCTGCCACCGAGGCGCCTTTGCGTCCGGTGCTCGCATATCCGCCGCAACAACAGTGCGGTCGTAGCTTCCACTCAGCAAGATTGTAGATTCGGTCGGATTCCAATCAAGCGCACAAATCTTATCTTTGTGATAGTTGTATGACTTGGCGCATTTTTGTGTGTTGAGGTCCCATAATTTAACGGTAACATCTGCAGATGCAGAAGCAAGAAGATTTCGATGTTGTCGGTTTGCTGCCAGTGCGAGAACGGAATCAACATGATACTCATCGTTTGCTTTCTTGAATTTCTTCTTCTTCTTTTTGCTCAAGCCCTTGTCGTCGTCGTCGCCGTCACCTGCTCCGAGAATAGCATTGGGGTACATGCAGTCGACAATATCGAGGTCCCAGATCTCGATATCAGGTTCCATAGTACCCACAGCCACAAAATTACCACTTGTACGGCCTTTTTCATTCTTTCCAACCGGGAAATCGAGCCATTCAACGCAGAGCGGAATGGCGGGAAGCATAATATCGTGGTGAACATACAAATTGTCCGCGGAATCTTCGTATACATAAACTTCAAGATGCGCAACTTCGTCTTCCAGCTTTCCCGCTATTAATAGGTTATCAGTACCCAGTATTTGTAACTCTTCACGGTCTTCATCGTCCTCTCCTTCTGGAAATTCGAGATAAGGATCCTTTTCACCCGGTTTGTGGTACGCGAGAGACTTTACGTTTCCGAACATGGTGACTTCTTCGCCGTCTTCGTCAACTTCTTCGCTGTCGTAGTGGTCGAGGTTGTACTCTTTTAGATCGTCGTCTTCATCATCATGATCCTCGTCCCTAGCCCAACAATTAGCAGCGTTTCCTAGATAATGTATGAAATGTACTTGCTTGAAAGGATTTTTCGTGGGTTTTGAATCCTTTTCAACCGTATCCTCATCCATTGCATCTACATCCTGGTCCTCCTCGGCTGCTTTCAAATCTCCCTTGGCATCCTCCAATTGCAGCCTCGCAATTTGTGATATCCGATTGAGCTCTGCCTCATCAATCTCATATTTTGTAGGGAATTGTGCAGCGACCCCTCGTCGCACCCACGTTGTGGTCGTAATCATAGAATTCATGTTGATATTCGAGTTTTATAATAGCCCTAACACTCAGAGCGGGGAAATCAGAACGATATTTTCAATCAGACAGTCCGATATGGACTCTCTAGCTGAACGAGCTGCAATAAGTCCGCTCAATTACCGAGGCAGATTTTTTCGCAATAGAGAAATCTGCAGGGAAAAAAACAAAGATTCCAACTCAAACTTTGGCTAAGTGGTGAGGATGAAGCTCGAAATAAAAAATAATATTTTTTAGTCTCCACCTGGCAGAAAAGAAGATTGTGGTTCCTATCGCTCACCGCCTGAGGAACAGGCAATGGAGTTCGCCAGACTCGATGCCATCAATTGGTAGACATCAGCTAAAGATCATCAATTGCGAGGAAGTACGCAGACACATATAGGTTGAGTAAAAGAGAATTAGCAAAATGCATTCTCATCTTCACACTCCGGAAAACATAAGTAAGTCACACTTTATGGCCATGACAACGACAAGCTAATCATCCGAACTCGTCCAGACTGCGAGGAGATTATGAATGCCTTGGACGAATGCCACGCACGCGGTTTCATATGGAAAGCCATGGGCCAATGCAACGATATCAAACGCGACGTAAACCGATGCCTCGGTGCCGAGCGAGCGAAGCGCGCAAAACGGAATCGTGACGAGGCTTTGGCGAGAAGGGCCCGTGTTGAGAAGCTTTGGGCTGAAGAGAGATTGCGCGAACAAGGCGAGATTGTGCAGAAGCAATAACGACAGGGAAAATAAGACGGTGTCATGTGATCTTTGCTTGGGTAGTAGGGACATTATGATGCATCCAGGGTGATTGAATGTTTCTTATTTGATCTCCAAGCATTTACGGCGTTTTCTGATGTGGAGCCGATGTTGGAACTGTCATGCGTTTCATTACTACATGTATCATACCATTGAAGGGCATACTGTTTATATATAGATATTCTCCAATCTCATGAAAGATATCCCAGCTTTCATTGCATAGTACACTTTTGGAATCTCTAAAGTAGTAAACACCAAAACGCCGCATAATGATTTGAAAAGCATAAATCAATCATCCCCTGCAGAGTGAACTTCATTAGAGACAGCACCATCCGCAGATTCGACAGCGTTTCCAGATTTCGAACTCTTATGCTTCCTCTTACGCTTCTTCTTGCCTGACTGTTCTCCTTCCGCATCGGCCGCATTATCTTGAGTGCCCTCATCCCGACTGTCGGGTTCCGGCTTCTTGTCTTTCTTCTTCCCTTGTTCCTCAGGCTTTTGTTTCTCTCGCCTCTTTGGCTTTTTCATACTAAGCGGATTCGGTGCTTTGGCCTTTTTGGCAGTTCGATCTCGAGCTGAAGTAGATGGACCGTCCTCTTCGTCCTCCCTCTTCCGTTTGAGATTATTGACTACATCCAGCGCCGCCTCCATACCGACTTTGAACTTGCTCTTCTCGACGCCCAATCGCACTTTTTCAGACGGTATACTGAACGGCTCTAAAACCATGACTGATCTTTTGACGTATATAATTGGTACACCCGGAACAGCACGTGCGCCTGATCGTAGAGCGACCGCTTTCTCGCTGCGTTCCTTCATTAATGCTTCTGCTTGTCTTCGTTGTTTAGGGTTATCTGAATTGACGTCGTCCTGCGGCAATGGGACGGGCTCAGCGGTCGCAAGAATATAGTGCTCTTTATTGCGCATTGTATCCGTGTTTGGGCAGATCAGTGATAAAAGACATTCGACTTCGTCAATGGGGGTATCGTCATCGTTATGGGAGCAGTGTCGCAGTGGTAGCTCGGTTGGCGGAGGAAGGTGGTAGGGCCGGTATGGCTTATTTGTCTTAGGATTGATGGGTTGAGCGGCCATGATAGCAGCGAGCGAGCATTTCGATAACACTTTAAATTTTAGTCAGTGTGAGCTCGTTTGTTCTGGGTATCGCGACTTACATGGCTTGGCTTTGCCTTGCAGCGTTCGCTCAAGGGCTGGTATAAGATCCATTTTGAATTGATGTACTGCGCGCAAGAAATTCGAGTCGACTGTTGTAAGCAACGACGGTTAGCATGATTTTATGATTCGGCGACAATTGAAGCATTCGCCGTACCTAATACTTGATAAGGCTCATGGAAACCAAAGGTAAGCTCATACTGATGCATGAGCTTACGATATTTCTTGGAACGTTTGGCTCTCATCTTGTTTAATGAGTCCGAGAAGAATTGTTATTAATTGATGTCGAGGTTGTGTATTTGAAGCTTTTCAGTTGAAACTTTTTCTGCCGCAGGCTCACAAGTGGTCCGTGCTGGGTCTCCGCCTTCCGATAAGGATAAGGATAACGGCCTGGAGGCAGCAACCATGTATTTAGATCGCTCTTCCTACTTTTCGACTTCATTTTATTTCATGCTTGTTACTTTTCCCGATGAGACATGTCTGCGCGAATTCCAATCAATTAATTTACTCAAGTAATGATTATGCAGTTTCGTCCTTTCTCATAACTTGAGCTCCCTCCTCGTCACCACGCAATTTAGCAAAACCCATCTGTCGGAGAGTAGGACCATACAGCATAAGAATGATGATTGGGATGAACAGTATCAAGGCCAAGATCGCCATCGTACCAAACACCCATCCGACGCCGACATTCGCGACCCAGACCCTAACGAAGAATGGGATTCCAAGCCCTAAACTTAGACGATACACTGCCAGAATACAATTCACCTCGGTTGGATAGTTCATGAAGCATTCGACCAGATAGTTAATTGCAACTGGATTGGTGCAGACAGATGCGAACGTGATGAGAAATGCGCCGCCAGCGAGAACAATGTAATGCAGGTGATATTTCAATGTGGTACCGACAATGCCCAACGCAATCGGCGTGACCAGAAACGAGGGAATCCAGAGGGAATGGAGACGGTATTCAGGCTTCCAAGTTCCGGAATTCCTGGCCACAAAGTACAATGGGATGCGGTCGTTGAAGAAATCCCCCCAGAATTGTGCTACAGCGGCACCGATCCACATTGTAAAGGTGACTGCAACATTAGCACTACCACAGTTGATAAGGATATCAGTACTTACATGCTGCATTTTGTTGAGTCGAGAACCCATAACCTCCAGCTGCAACAGGGTTTTGCAGGAACACACTCAAGAGAGTGTTGAAGCTCACAAACCACCCGGATAGCCCAAAGAGAAAGATTCCAACTAAGATCGTTACTGGAGTGATGCCAATTAGGACCTGTGCCCATGCCGAGTGGAGCTAGATCGACGTCAGCCAAAAGCCGAATATATGATCACCACTATTATGATTTTTAATGAGCGCTTACTGCTTCTTGCAAACCTCCAACATGTGCTACTTGTGTGCCCGGGAAATACGTGGCCACTCGATTGTGTATGAACGCAGAGGGACGACGAGGGTATACTTTTCCATTCTCTCTGGTGAACCCCGTCTCTTCCAGAAAAACAAATGCTAGGGGTGAGCTGACATCAGCTGGAATCTGTTCTTTTCCCTAGAAGGCAAGACATACCCAGAAGGACAACTGCACCCTGCAGCACCACTGTCCACCAAAACTCCCATGGCCAAGGGGCATGTGCGACGATGAACCCTCCCAATGTTGGTCCAATGATCACACCAAAAGTCGACCACACCATGAAGGTGTTGAAGACAGTCCCTCTCTCATGAAGAAAGAAAATGTCAACCAGCATTTGCGGACCCAAAACAGTTGGGGTTGCACTGAATAATCCGACAGATAAGCGGGATATTGTGAATGCGACATATTGGTTTGGTTTGGTCATAAGAGCAGACCATATACTGCCGCAGGTAGAAGCAACCATACTCCATAACAATATGGAGCAGCAACCGAAGATATGAGTCAACGGCACGAGCACAAGGGGTCCAGCAACCATGCCGGCTATAGCCGTGGCGACCTTCGAGACATTAGATCATCTTTCAGCAATGGACAGTCGGTCTTACCGTATCCGCCATATCATTCAAGCTTTTATGATAGAGTTTGGCTTGTGGACTGATACCCTGCTGATTGGCAAGAGCAGCGCAATGTGAAGTAAAGGCTGCCAGACTGACAATACCTAGCGTCATATACTTTTTGCGCTGACTCCAGTTCTAGACGGTACCCGTCAGCCAAGACTATATTTCAAGCAGCTTTATTGCTGGAGAGGAAGAAAATGAAAGACTGACTAGAGGATCTGCACTATCATCGCTTGGTTGCGGCACAAGGATGATATCCCCGCGCATTTTTGGCTGTCTTTCCATGGCTCGTAGGATGGCCTGCTTGACTTCAAGGTTGTCTATTCTTCCAATCTGCCAGAAATGGCTGTCTGGGCTTGAGAGCAACGTGAGCAAACAGGATCGCTGCCCCTCACAAAGCGACTCGATATATCACATCCGAATAGTTTTTCACGGTAGGTTCGATAGCTGACCAACAAGCAAAGAAGTTCAGCATGTCCCGATGATATATTCACGTGCAGGAGGGGCTCGAACTTATCGCTATCGGTACATTTTACGAACGATGTGTCACCAGAGGAGTGGTACAAAGATACACAGATATAGATTCTTCTTTATTTTCGATAACCGACAACTACCCTCCTATTTCAAGTCATTCAATTGAACCGTTATCGACCCTCGAATCAGTCAGTTTATGCGTCGATCAGAACCCCTCTTCGATCCTCGACTTTCATTTCGATTTGTTTCGTTGTTTTTTCTTCCTTTTCAGTTTATCCAACAATTTCCATGCGTGGTTCAGATTGACCAAATTATCGCCCAACAGCAAATGAAAGAAAGAGGCAGGTAGGTCGGACAGGTATGAGCAGATGTTAGATACAGATACGATTTACAACCTTGCATCATCAACTACAGCCAATTATTGATCCCTTACGCGTTCCAGAATTTGAGTATGCCCAGCTTGTCTAGGTATGCATTCCAGTTCTTTGAAAGACCCTGTAATTGCAATTATTACCTAAGGCGTAATTTCGTATGTACATTGACTTATGATCCATACTACATAATCCAGCATATAAACCTTCCATATGGAGCAGTAGTTAATCAAGATTGTATTCAATGAATGATGCGGAAGGTCAGATGTCTCTGCAGTCCCTTGCGCAGAGGGTTGCATCACTGCTGAGGCACAATGAGCGTTCCAATATCCGGCCCATACGTCCCATCACTCGTCTTAATAACAATCTCATTATTCGAACCCGCCTTGAGATTCGCATTGATAACACTCCTTCCAGGCGACGATGCGGGCAAGAACTCAATTAACTGCGTCACACCATTCACCGTTACATTAGCATATCGAGCTGTACTATCCCCATTACGATACACTATCTGCACAGTCGATAATGTAGATAAACTTGACGTAATACCAGAGAAAGTCGCAGTTCCCTGACTCGGTCCACCGATATACCCGGCGGCTTTATTGTTGTAGCACCCGGAACATGATACGACGACAGCTCCATTGGAAAGTGCGGCATTTACCCCGTAGTAATTATTTGCAGAGGGAGCCGTTGACCAGCTATCTGCTCGAACGTTCGGTGCCCAGCTAGTATAGTCTTGCATACTGACGGTCGTGCCACTAATCGTCAGCGGAAGCCAGACATAGGTACTCGCGACAAGATCGGATGCAATCCAGCGGTCACCCATATACATAACTGTCCTATTGCCGGGAAACGGTAAGATGTAGTTTGTCTGAGACTGATATGTATTTGATCCCGAGGTTGCAAAGGTTCGCCAGCTTGACCAGGGTCCGGATAAGCTGGTGGCGTAGCTGTACTGGTTGTCGTTTGCGGACCAGCCAGTCAGATGCGAGGCGAACATGAAGTAGTATCCGTTCAGTTTGAGCATGGCAGGTGCTTCCATGTCTGAGAATAGATACACAGATGCAGAGACATTGAGATAGTCATCCGTCAATGAGTCGATTCGCAGACCATTTGCTCTCTACACGCGAATCAGCCCTTATCGATAGCATACATTAGGTTAGACGAAAAGAAAAGCTTACATCCTCCGTAAGCAAATAGGCAGACCCATCATCATCCTGAAAAAGACCAATATCTCTAGACTGGTATCCCAACGGCTGCCAGCTCCCGTGATACTGATATGTCTCGCATACACTATCCCCCGTGGCAACGCCAACCTTGGCCTCCCCATAACTCGAGCTATCAATATGCATGTAGAGAACATATTTCTTCGTCTTTGAGTTATATATAACCTTGGGTCTTTCAACGACCCGATTGGGACCCAAATCGCCGCTTGACTGCAGACTCAAAAGCGGACCAACGTAGTCCCATTGCACCAGGTCGGTGGAAGAGTAGCAATTGACGTGTTGGAAATTGCTGCCGTTTGTCTTGTCTTCACCGATGAGATAATATGTCCCATCAACTTCGATGACTCCGGCTCCATGCGCTTGAATGTGTGCATGGGTATTGGGCTTTAATAGTTAGTTTGGAGCTAAGCAGATGGAGATACGTAGGTTGCCGAAACTGGTCGAGTTAGAGGTTTTCAAGACTTACAGAAGTCCAAGTTGCTCCAGGAACTATCTGAAGCGATGCATTCGTGAGACATGCAGATGCAAGCAGAGCTGCAACCTTGATCAGTTGAGATAAACCCATGGTGTTTACTATTTTTTTTTCTTTTTTTCATGTGTTTCAGACCGACGGTTTGGATCAAAACCTCAAACTGAGCGTTTGAAACTTCATCTTCATTCCAATTGAGGAAGAGTCATGCTTATGTAGGTGTCAACTTGAGAACCTAGGTACAGAATGCAACCCATTCCAAGGTTGCTGAAGAATATAATCAGAATAATATAGCCGAAATTGTGGAGAAGAAAGGCACACCTACCGATTTAGGTGATTATGTCCATGGTGGTATATTATATAGACCACGGCTGATTTAACTATACCCTTGTCCGTGTGCCTATATGCCTGAGATTTTAGGGATGTTGTCCTAATATTCTAGCAGGTGACGTGCAGGTAGACTCGGAGCTGTGCCGTCTATCCGCCATGACAAGAAACTTTTCCGTTCGTTTTAGATCATCCTCGTCCTAGCATTCTTCTGGTGTGATTTGATGTTATATTGGTTGATAGGAGGAGGATATAGGTATCCTGCAGACTTCACAGGAACGGTTAGACCTACCTAGGTTGGTAGCATTACCATCCGCGATTCCAGGTAATCTGTATCCAGTGCGCAGATATCGGTATAGCCTATTAGGCTAATACAAAGATGCGGGTAAAACGGACAAATCCACCTTCTGTACTGATTCTGATGATCGTCGTAGAATAAGCATCGACAGAGATTCTCTAATCAGGGAATACCGTGTTCCCATTGGCCAGAAGCTGATATCATCACGTGTAGGCAAGCCCCACCGGAGGTACCGTCAAATTCAAAATTTCTTTTCGTCAAGTAGCACTTCTCAACACCAAGACATAACAATAACAACTCATAACCACCAATGGACTAACGATACACTCTCATATCTGATAAGGTACATATCCCATCCCTTCCCCCAAATATACAATCCATCAACCAACAATACCGCCCTCTTCCTCGCCATCGCCCGACAAAAATCGCACACACACAGGAATCTTCAATTGACATGATGAGAACTATTTTGAACCTTCAATCAATTAGGAAGAGCCGGAAAAGGTATGGCAATGAACCATTTCCTTCAAAAATAAAGATTTGGTTCTTGTCGTCGGTGCTTAGAATTGGTTCTGCTGAAGAAGAAGATTTCTGTGTGTGTATGCATAGAGAAAGAGGACGGTTTGGTTAGGTTAATGGAATCTATGATGATTTTGCCTTTTCATTTCTCTTTTGGTATCGAGAACTGGTTTAGGACAATTGCTAACTGGGGTGAAAATATTTTTAGGTCGTTCGTTGCGAGTAGGTCTGGTTGAAATAGAGGCGTGATATATGTACACGGCAGATCGAGATAGTGCATAGGTTCGGTCAAATGATAATAATTTACATTTCAATCCAGGATATCTATCTATATGATTCAAACTTTTGAAGAACGAGAAATGACGCCAACAATGCTAGCTTGTAATTGAATCAAGCAATACTCACATAACCTCTCTTGATACCAGTAGAAGTTGTTGAAATCTGCTTATCTTCCCACTTATCAACATCAATATAACTCTTGTTTCCCTGCTCACGGATCTGACCGCCAATAAAATGCAAAGCAGCAAGATTGAAGCCCATCTCATCCTTTTGTTTCGCCAATACCTCCCGAAGTGTAGACCGAATGCGATCAAGCATCGGGCGCATGAATCTACTCGAGACAATCTGGCGATGATGTGTCTTGAGCATGAAGAATAGTATTCGACAGGTCAATGGAATTTCCCACTGACGACTGGCCCATATTTCAAGGAAGGTGAAGAGAGCTTCGAGCTTAGAGAAAGGAAGCACTAGCAAGGCATCCTGAAGTGAGGCAGCGGGTATCTTTTGCACGATGTTGAGTAAATGTCGTTCTGCTGTTACATTTCCCAAAGCCATGTAAACGGGGTTTCTCTGTGGCGGTGCTGCATTTGGGTTTCTTGCTTTGGTATCCCGCCATTGTCGCATAACCTCCAGATCTTCCATGCCCATATCGAGCGCTTCAATAATTCTCTCACCGGCCATGAGTGTGACGACCGTCTGTTTGTTAGCGTCGACCGCTTCGGCTTTCTCTTCCCCGTTCTCCTCGTCTTCAAGGGAGGTAGTGAGGGTATTCTCATATAGCTCTTCTAACTCTTTCTCACGCTCTTCTTCCAAGAAGATCTGTTCGTCTGTTTGATCCCATATGCGAATGCTCTTGTCATGACTGGCGCTGACAAGAAACTCTCCTGAATGGCTCATAGCAAGCGCCCATATCTCTCCATGGTGGCCTTCAAGCTTTTGAATTTGCTCAAATTTGTCACCATCCCAATATTTGATCAGACGATCTTTACTGGCACTGAAGAAGTGGTGCCCGTTTCCTTCGTTATTATTTGGCATAAAAGCAACCGCCATTATGCTGTCCTGATGCGCAAAGAAAGCTTTATGGCAATCACCAAAGTCCAAGCCCCAAAGGCGAACGTTCTTATCAGCAGAGCATGTGACGATCATTTTGCTGTCGTATGAAATATCCATGCTGAGAACAGGTAACTTATGGCCATAAAGATTCAAGAATAGCTTCAGCGTGTCAACGAAAAACACCTTAACAGTATTGTCGAGTAGCGCAACTGCAAGAAGCTTGGAGTCCGGCGAAAATCGCACACTGAGAACGTCATCTGACACTTTTAATGTCCGATTATGTACGAGTTTCAGTTTCGGTGTTGTTCTTTTCGTGCCCGGAATTTCTTCCTGCACGACTTGGAAGTTCCAAAACTTGACAGTCTTATCTGCACTGCCAGTCACCATGGATTTTCCATCGGGATGAACTTGTAACGTCCACACTGGTCCCTCATGTGCCTTTATAGAGTCGAGGAGTGTCGAGGAGGCAATATCAAACACCTCTAGTTCTCCATTCTTGTTCCCAGTTACGACAATCTTATCACCAGGTAGGAAAGACGAGCATAGAGAATAACCGCAATCAAGAGTTCGCAGGCAGCTCTGTGTTCGTATATTCCAGATCTTCAAGCTACCGTTAGATGCCGACGCTAACATCCTGTCGTCTGAGCTGAGGGCCAAAGACCGTATATCAGTCCTATGTCCGGGTAAGTCGATGGCGAAATTGCGACTGTACTCGATTTCCTCGGCATCTTTAGCCTTCTTCTTCCCAGCTGCCACAACGCGATAAGACTCAATCTCATTATTGGTAGTTGCCGTTAGGATCTGTAAATTGCCAGACGGCTTTGTTGGTATCCAAGCAAAGGACTTGAGCTTTCCGGTAGTCCGCACGGTCACATGCGGTACAAATACTTCGGTAATTGGTGGTGATGTATTGTCGTCCGTCTCATCATGCTTGTCCTCAACATTATCGCCGTTTGCGTTCTCCTTGTCCTTCTTTCTTCTTCGCTTTCTTGCAATACTCTTTTGTACCTCAGTTGCCGACCGAATCCGCCATATTTCCACAGCTTTTTCTGCTCCATGAATACCGATGTAGTCTGCGCGAGGATGGAAAGTAATACCGATTGTTCGATCTTTGTTTTGTCGATAGAAACTCCCTCGTTCGATAAGAATTTTCTTGTTCTCGTAACCCTCTTTCTCTCGGGCGACTTCCAGCATCGCCTGTTCGTCTATCGACCAAACTTTCAACTCGCCATCATTCCCACCCGTTATGCAACCTGTCTGGTCAGGCGACAAACCCAAGCTCCAACATTCGCCATTGCTCTGGGCGACATGAGTCTCAATGCAGTGTCGTGAAGAGAGGTCCCAAATCTTGATAAGAGAGTCTTTTCCAGTGGAAAGGAGGAAGCCGCCCGTTTCGCTCGGGTCCGTCAAACCCGTGTTGGCCTCTTCTGTTGGCGATAGGAAGTTCAACGAAGTGATTTGATCTGTGTGGCCCCTGAGCTTATATAGTCCAACCTCCGAAATCAGATCCCATACAATTATATCCGTGTCCTTCGAACCGCTGGCTAACCGAACACCAGACTGGTCGAAGGCAAGCTGTGTGATTGCGTTTCGGTGACCGTTAAAGGATATGATCACGGTATTTATTCTCGAGTCCCAGAGACGAATGCTTCCGTCGTCGTATCTATTACAACACAGATTAGGCGAGAAATTAAAGTAATTAAGGAAGGCACCATACCCAACGGCAAAAACATCTTCATCTGATTTGCTTTGCGTAATGGCAGTGACTTGGGCACGGCAATCTGCGTCCCGCCAGCGACCTAACAATTCGCCCTTTTTAACATCCCAGCAGAGAACCTCTTCGTTTGCACCGACTATAGCTCGTCCTGCGCCTGTGCGCCGTTCGGTACTGAGGACATCTTCGTTCTTCGTCCAAACCGCATTGGAGGAAGACGAAGTAACAAGGCCAAAAGTTTTCGAGTGCTCAAATTTTCTTTCAATTGTCAGAACACAGAACCAAATAATTGTTTAATACTCTTTAATACACTTACAAATATGATTTGACCATCTTGACGACTCGCTGAGAAAAGAGAAATTTTTCTGGCGACTCGAAAACTTCCTCCTCACTTTTTTTTTCTGGCAGTTGCTATCGATAAATCCGAGTACGGCTGGCGGTAGCAACCATTTCACGCAAAGGCGGTGTGCGGGGGACAGGCGGGTCGCATGGGCAGCTGTCATGACGAAGGAACATCCACTATAAGTACACCATCTCAATAACAACACAACATTGAACGCTTCCCTAACACATTCTTTGCTTGCGGGAGGATAGTTAGTGTTATGCCCACGAGGTCGTCATAATGCTTCTCCTCGACTATCAAAATGTGCTCATTCAATCGCTTCTCACAGAGCGCTTCTCAGGGTACAGCCCCGCAGAAACATACACGCAGTGCTAAGGCACCAGCTAATTCGAACATGTAGTGCTGCACCTGTCTCAATAGACCAGGTCGTCTCCGATTTCGATGGCGTCACATTCCACGTTTCCACACCAGAGTCAAAGACCAAAATCTTAATCTCAATTGCCCTCAAGTGCTTCCGCGAGTTGGTTCAGTATGGTGCCCAGGAAGTTCTCGAGCGCGAGTATGGCCCATATATCGTCAACCCCGAGCCTGGATACGATTTCTCAGTTCAGGTCGATCTGGAAAATTTACCTGCAGATGCGGAAGGAAAGGAAGAATTGATTGGACGTTTATCTCTGCTCAAGCGCAATGTTATGGCTGCCCCGTTCGAACGTGCCTTTGACGAGTTTGCTAGATTGTCCGAGGAAGCATCCAAATATACTTCAGAGTCAGCTCCTCAGGGTGTCAAGGAAGGTGGTGAAGTGATGGCAATTCACTATCGTGAAGAGGAGGCTATTTATATCAAGTCCAGCCACGACCGAGTCACGGTTATTTTTAGCACAATCTTCCGCGAAGAGACGGACCGTATATTTGGAAAGGTCTTCTTGCAGGTACGATAGCTCTGCTGAATGGTTTCAACTATATATGTTGACACGTTTCAGGAATTCGTCGATGCTCGAAGACGAGTGCAATCACTGCAAAATGCACCTCAAGTGCTGTTTCGGAACGACCCCCCTCTCGAATTACAAGGAATTCCAGGCTTGAAAACTTCAGGTGATGACAAATACAGTTATATCACTTTTGGTGGGTTCATTACCGTTACAGACCAAGATGAAGCGAATACTAACAAAATCCAGTCCTCTTTCCTCGACACTTGACACCACAACGCCGCTATGATAGTATCTCCCATATTCAGACCTTCCGTGACTACTTCCATTACCATATCAAGGCATCTAAAGTGGGTTTCTTATGTCGTTCTTCTGTCTATGTAACTAAACATCTCTGCAGGCCTACATCCACACTCGTATGCGAAAGCGAACCGCTGATTTCCTCCAAGGTAAGTGGCTCACATGCTAGTGTCAGCCACTCCATTACTAACAAGCCTAGTCCTCAACCGTGCAAGACCCGAGAACGAAGAACGCGAGCGAAAGACAGCCAGTGGGAGAACCTTCCGTGTTCAAGGTTAAATTTCGTGTATTAATACGATTAACGCTGGGCCGGTTTGATAGAGTCAAAGTGTGGGCGTTGGCGCTCGGTGATTCGATATTATCAAGCGATATATCCCCGTGTTTACTATAGGGCTTTATTCTCGAGAAAACAAAAATCCTTGTTCGAAGGAGCGTACGCCTGATTATTGAGAAATCCATGCAAGCGCCAGCGAATACTAGTTTCTTCCTTTTCCCTTTGGAGTATATATTATAGCTGTCTCTCTCATGATAAACAATTCAAAGCCAATTGACCCAGATCGATTGATATCATGCAACCATATCTGGCAAATAAAATGCGGGCGAGACGCATGTCATGATTTTAGGGTAATATAAGCACGAGTTCATGAATCTTAATATGATCAATTATTACATACATGCATATAAGATCACACCAAAAGCCGAGTCGGGACTGATCACTTGCGGATTCCTGATTGAATATTCAGCTTTTAGGCCAGATTACAGCAGGCGTTTAAAGAACGCTCAGGACTTCTCTCCCCTCATTCCTTCTACATGTAGGTAGGGTAGCAATGCACCGAAGCCTTGCTATTTTTCCAGTGGACATGATTGCTTATTCTTCAAGTCAACCACTGTCATCCTGTATTCTCCCCGCGTGATCATTTGTTTGTTATACAACCCGCAACGAATAGATTTGTTTTCTTTTCCCTTTCCTGACATCCCACGTATGTACTCCCTGACTAGAACCTGGACTTGGGGATGGGAGAAAATCAGGTCTATGCGGACGAACTGTGACTGCGCCGCATTTTTATGCATTAATGCAACAGCCTTGCTGTCCACTCCACATCATGCATGTCTAAACGCTGTCGGTTCGCCTTGCCTGGGTGTATTCAATATCATAGGGCGGAGTGAGGGGATTAGGGCTCTTGGAGGGGTGTCACGATGACTTGCGAATTATTTTGATCCCATGCTGTGATATTTTCCGAAAGGGTAGACGCCATGAACTATGCCCAAAGTACGTACTCGCTCGACGGATTTCATAGAACTGTCATATTTCCCATCGTTAAGTCCGAGCTCAGATCAAAGATATGCTTGCTGGTCACGTCCTATCAACCGATCTATAAAAAATGGAACTCAATTCCCTGATCAGGTAGTCGGGTCTACCTTCAACCACATCACTGCAGACTGACTCAAGATGGTGTTCAACGGAGCCAATCCATTGGTTGAGAACACAAGCTACAATTAATGGAAATTTGCACCGTGCTGCAGAAAAGGACAAAGGAATTGTACAGATGAAAGAATTCGAAGTATTTGCGGAAAATTGCTTTGCCCCTCAAATTGTTTCACCGTCATTGGGTCCACGGGATGCTGATTCTGCGCCTATGTAGTGCAAGGTAGCAAAACATCACCTGGCGTTTTGAAAATCCGCCGATGAATTGGCTAGAAGGTTGCCCTTGGGGTCTAGGCAATATGGAAGAATCAATGGGCTTTATAGCCTCCTGTGCGTCATCCCATCTTCCTCAAGTAAGCAAAAAGGAAATTCCATTGTTGCTTCAAAAGGATCTTTGCCTTCACGGGATCTCCTTCCCCGTAATAGATGACTCCAAATTTGGATCAGTGTTCTGTCATATCAAACTTGAATGGCAGATAGCGAAAGTTCATTTTTAGAGATTTCGTTACTCCTGGAACCATGTATCTTTGAAGAATATTAAATGCCTATGCCTACAACACATTAGCATTACGCCAACACATCAAGCTGGAAGTTCAAGATGTCAGACGACTTCAGCAAACTTCCCGCGGAGATCATCTTCATGATTCTCTCGCATCTACCAGTTGCTGCGCTGGTTTCCTTTGGTACAACTTCCAAATCCAATTACACATTCCATACTCACTGTATGAGAAAACTCCATCTGGCCATTTTTCACAAACGAATCCATGGAAGCGTTGCCTTTCTGAGTACTGGCATGCAAGATAATATCAAAGATGCTGGAACTGCGAGGCGGCGAATGGTAATCGAAGACCATAAAATACCGGTTGTTTTACCTCGAGACACACGGTACATGAGCCCTGATGTGTGCAAATCGACACTGAGAACTTCCAACCCCTACTCAACGACAAAGCCATATCATCTTTCAAAACATATATCGAAAAAGCGTTGCCGTGTGATTTACCCAGATGATGGAGGATTCGTTCACTCAATATCACCGGAGCGGACAATTAACGCACAGAACAAACTCTTCGCTGAGATAGTCAGCCGATATGGTCATTCATTTGATGAACTGGAATTCCTGACGTATGACATCAACGAAGAAGGAGCGATGGCAATCGGAACCCATTGTGGATCAAGATTGCGACACCTAGCTCTTCGCTTCGAACATCCCTATGTGAATGACAGTTCGCTTCGTCATAGATATTGGCAGAAATCTGCCCCAGGAAGTCCTGCCTGGAACTCATTGATCGGTATTGGTGCTGTCAAAAGAGGACTCGATATAGTGAATCTCGAGAGTCTTATTCTCGAGAGAGCTGGTATTACGCCATGGCAGCTGCGCATGCTGGTGATGAGAAACAAAAGACTGAAGGTCCTGAAGCTCAAAAATTGCGCCGCAGCGCAACCAGAGTTTGTCGATTGGCTAGGAGGCATTTCGATTACAGAGGGCAAGGAACCCCAAGACGACGATAAGGAGGTTCCAGGGGCATCTCTCAAAGTACTGTGGATGGAGAACTGCAATGGAATTTGCACGGGCAAAACAAGCGATAGGGAGAGAGGCCGGACCATTGACGTAGGCCTAGAATGGATTCGTAATTTGAAGGCACTTGAGGTAAATTCAACTTCGTATAATCCCATGGAAGGGGTTCATCCATTGGAAGGACACTAATCACAGTGCTGCATAGTCCCTTTCTCTTCGCGACTGCCGCAATGTCGACGCTCAAGTTGTGAGTGATGCAAATACGCTAATCTGGCGTATACGAGAAGTTCACTTACCTCGTGCCCTTGATTTGGATCCCGAATCCCCACCTCCCATTGAAGTTGACCCCCTTTACGCCTGATTGAGGACGAGGAGGCCTGCCATTGTTGGGAGTAGTTGCTGACTGAGCATATAATGTATTGTACAATAGATGTTTCGAGCTCGAATAGTCACCTCAATATTCGATTGGTTTCTAGCTCATATAATAATTAGGGTAGCGTCTCGTTTGTCGTACACAATGTGGGCCCTTGAATGGGGGAGAGGTCTGAATGCTTTTGCAAGCAACAATGGATGAGAGAAAGAGAGAGTCGAGATCCATCAGTCAAACGAGAAGTCGAGGAGATCACGTGAAACGAGTGTTTGCTTACCCTCTCTTCCCATTCACCTGACTTCTAAATAGAGAAGGCGCCGCCTTCACTCGGGGGCTGGGCCACTCAGGGTCGGCAGTTGCCCTGAAAGTCTCGTGACGGCGAGTAGTACAATACGCGAGTTCCATTGACAACATCTAGTTCAATCGCTCATTCTTCTCTCCTGCTTCACGATTGACACAGATAGCCCGCCTCAGATCATGAAGTATATAAAGGACGGCCTACGCCAATGCCAGCTCACCAGGATGAGAACTCATCATCTATCAAGCATCATCGTCTCTTGCCTGCCCTGCTTTATACTTCTCTCATACATTGCATACGCGCAGAGCACCTAGCTACAGGCTTCATCAGACCTCTACTGTCGTTCACATGACCATGGATTCAATGCCAACTACACCTTCGTCAAGCCCATCACGTTACTCCTTCGGACAGCATTGGAGCGATACGACCCAAGACACGTGCTACTCACTGGAAAGCGACTGTTCTGAAGGAAATCCATGGTCGCTAGATCTTGATCAACTTGCTGTTCTGAAACCACCCCATCGCCTCTTCTCTACTCCAGAGGATGCACGCGTCCCATACACCATCAACTCCAAGGAGTGGTACCAGGAATATTTCGAGCTGGCTGACCGCCGCCAAAGCGGGATGCTGAAAGAGCCGAAGAAACATGACTATCAATGCGACAGTGTGTATGGTGCAGCTGGTGTGGTATACGGTGTTGCTAAAGTCTTCATTGCCATGTGTCGCGAGTTCCGCATTGATGTATGCTCTCCTCCCGTTGTTGCATGTGCTGGTTCACAGGCTAATTCTATTCACAGCTTTACAGTCCAGTAGGCAGCATCTCGACGTACGTTGAGAAAGCACAGCTAGAGCTCGAGAACGGCGAAGTGATAGACTTTATCTTTGCCATCGAGGAGCTCTATCATTGCTTGTACGCTCGACTGGAGACTGAAATCGCCCTTCTTCACTTCTGCTCCTCTTTTGTGAACAGTGGAGTTAAGCGATGGTCTAAGAGTTTGTCACAGTTGCCTGAACCAGAACACGTCTATGCCATCTTGACTACCTGCAAGAGCGTTCTAGAAGACAAAAGCGTTTGTTCAGAGCTCGATGACCGCATGATCAGGTACCATCAGGGTCACTACGTTGAAGATATGAAAAGAAGATACCAAGAGGAAGGAAAATTACCACTTGATTACACTGGCTATCGTGCGCACATCTACCAGACGATTGGAAACTCCGGCTCTCAAGCATTTCGTCATTGGTGTCAGATCTATCCCGTCTTACAGTATCTTCCGATCGATGTTTTGTCATTTCTTTCGGAGAAGTACATCCCCATGTATCCTCGGACGGATCACAACTATGAATATCACACATTCAATACACCAGGCCAGTACGATCCTGCACAGGATGTTGCTGCTTGGGCCGAAAACATGAAATGTGCTCATCGAATGTGCTCTTTGGCCAGAATCGAGGGTAAGGCAGTCGGGCAGTTGCGACGAGAGCAAGAAGACTTCAACATTTTCCGGTACGCTGCTGAAGAAAAGTGTATATGTCTTGATATATGTAGCTGCTCATGGCTGTGCACCCGATCCGGAAACACCCGTTGTCCTTGCTCAAGCCGTTGGATTCGTGGAATCCATCTCTATGAACCCTACTATGAAGCCGGTTTCCGAGAGAAGACCACCGTTATAGGTGAATTGACATACGAATCTCTGGTTGCCCTGAAGCGCCAATTGCCTGACTATCTGGTTCGCCGCGAGCTCCTCGCAGGCATCAACATCACCAGAGAGGAAATGATCAAACAGCGTACCGTCACTCAACAAGCTCGGCATGGTATCTTTGGGGTTTTCTGAATATCGTTCCAACTCAGTTTTACATCCCGCAAGTTACCATATCAGATCATCTGTTTAATTTCTTTCTTGTTTCTTCAATTTCAGATTACAATGTTTCCGCTCGTGGATATTTCAAATGACTTTACGACTTATGATGTTATGAGAACGCAGCTAGCTATCAGAAAGAAGATCAGAGATATTTAGCCAGAAAATTTAATTCTTCTATAACTCGTGAAACTTTCAAGATCCGGATCTTCAACAGATAAAGCCCTTGGCGGATATACGGCGATGTCAAGAATTTCCAAATCTGGCAATTTTTCATGGCGACCAAGTTCCTAAATAGGTAGATCTCTTCATTCGATTTCGGAGATAAGCACCACCTTACCTCTATCGAAATTAATTATTCCAAGGTTCGCCATGACTATATGTAGCTGCTTCGCCTGCTTGATGATCATGGATGTGGATGTTCGGCCTTCTTGACTAATGGGATGAGAACCAACATGCCGTTATTTCGTGATCCGGCCTCTGTTATTGCCAGTTTGGCATTGATGCATGTACTGGTCAATGCAGGTGCTGGTATACGTGGCCAGACGGACTGTATCATTGGGAAATGCTAGTTATTATCTTCCTGGAAAGCCCGAGGTAGGCCATCTTTCGCCAACGAGTCAAGCAGAATAGAGACTTCCTGGCTAACAGGATGGAAATAGATCACGATTCAAACATCGTACTATCCCCTTGGAGTTCCAGAGGAAGATCATGCGGTCGCTTTGCTGCCCATCATACATGTGGTGCAGAACGTCAATATTACCCTTCGACAGATCTTGGATCGCCACCGGACAGAAGATGATGTTGTTTGGACATCGGTCTTCGAAACAATCGCCCTACCTAGTCGACTGTACTATACAGCACTGACAGAGGAAAAGCCTCTACCAGGAGTCCCGGTAGGTGACAAGGATCTTTATAATTTGAAAGGACTCAGAACCGGGCCCGGAAATCGGCCAACGCAGGATATTATGAACCTGACTGGTGTCGTTTCAATGAGCACATACATGGACACACCTGTATTCGTCGCTCGGTTGGCTGCTGACTTTGCATCGTGGAGGAAAGCATGGTATAACGCTGGCAATGATTTTCTGAAGTTGTACAGGAATTTTCCGGACAAGTTGATATATCCTATTGACACGCTGGGGATTAATACCATAGCATATCCATCCCCGGGCTTCTTTCCGACAACCAACACTGCAGCTCAAGCACTCTATGACGATTTCACAGCGAAACTGGAGACGCTACTTGGCACAAATAAGACGATATTTGATCTTTATACCGAGTATAAAAATCACATCAGGCTCTACCCTCTGGATCAACTCGGAGCAGTTTGGATACCGATGACCAACTATGAGCAATTCCACAATGTTGTTTCATCGTTCATTGACGATTATATAGAAGAATATGGCGGCGACCATCCTCATCCCGATCCGCGTGTAGCGATGAATATGGCCTGGGGCCAGAACACTGAAGCGGCCTTCGCGGAAGCACTTACCAACAAGACGATTTTCAAGGACTGGATCGAAAAGTCTGTTCTCATACCTCACCATAATAGTTCCGAGTGCTCTTCTGCACTGTTGATTCGCCCTATCTGGCCCGGGGTTGCCCAGTTATAGAGACGATCACCCGACAGAGAGCCCCGAGGAGGCCGGTCCTTCATATGTGTGGAATCAATATAGTATCAACCAGTTGGCTAGTGTGCCTGAAGTGGTATTGATATTGGGTCAAATTCACTATACGAGTAGAGTGACTCAGACGATGAAACAGTTGCCCGTTACAGTGAGCATTAATGCTGCAGCAGGATGCGATTTGATATTATATCATTCGGTAGAGGTTCTTGCGCAACAGGGTATCATTCCAGACAAGGTGTTGACTGGACAGAGTAATTTCTGAGTGAAGCTGTATGTAATTAGAATGATTCTAGATAAGGGGATAATGTGTCCTTCTGCTATTGGAAGTAAAAATTGAGGCAAAACAACATGATTACTGTATCCCGACGCTAGTCCCCTTCTGGCTGTTAAGAGGGTCTTATCGGATAAGAGCGCACCGACTGATTACTCTGTAACATTCTTTGTCCAAAAACCTCTTCAGAGCGCACCACATGCTGACTCAAAGCATCTTTCAATCTCCCCTCTCATCACAGCTGGGTGCTATGACTGTACCCATCTCAGTGCGCCCTTGGTGCACGACTGTATGGGTATGGTGGCTGTCTACTCATTAACCCTCCAACGAGCGACCAGACCGACCGTGATCGGACGCCGAGTTCTGCGATCGCAATTGCCACGCAGTAGCTCTTCTTCACCACAACTTTCTATCTATTCATTACAGTGTCGCAGATACCATGTTGCCCGATCCGCATATGGTTCGAGGACGCCAACTCCTTCGGATGGGCAAAAGTCGCATTTATCATACAAAAGTCCCTTTTACTTCGAAACAGGATATGCGATTCAGCCCAAACGGCCATCGAGACCTTTCCCACCTCCGTTCGTCTCGATACCATCATCTTCATTCTCCGATCCTTTGACAACTCATTTTCAGAGCCAGGATAGGCGGCCAAAGGTGAAGAATGAGTTGATTAGGGGGCTGACGAATGGAGACGATGCTATTCTAGCTAGTGAGTTTCTGCTGGGTGTCAACGACGGGGTGGGCGCCTGGCAAACCAAACCGGAGGGCCATGCTGCGTAAGTCTTGTATCGCTATCTTCCCAAGAATGTCAGCTAAATCCGAGTAGGCTATGGTCCAGGTTAATTCTCCATTTCTGGGCGCTCGAATGCGAACGACAGGTTACCTGCAATTCACAGCCCGATACCATCACATTTCTACAGACTGCATATGAAGAAACTATAGCAGCGACTAATAGCTGGCTCGGCACAACAACATCAGCAACAGCATTACTCCACTGCAACCGTCAACAGAATGGCACCACACCATTGCTATACGTGACCAACATCGGCGACTGCCAAATCATAGTCATACGGCCAAAAGATAGAAAGACACTCTTCAAATCGCGCGAACAGTGGCACTGGTTCGACTGTCCATATCAACTCGGCACAAATAGCACGGATCAACCACGAAATGACGCCGTCTTAAGCACCGTCGAACTGGAAGAAGGCGACATTGTTCTTGCGGTCTCCGATGGTGTCACAGACAACCTCTGGGGCCACGAAATCATGGATAACGTTCTTGAGAGTATCGAGAAATGGGAGTCCGGGGACGTGGGTAATCTTGTGGTGGAACAAGAGACTGGCCCTGCAGAATGTATGATTTTCACTGCTAGGCGCCTTTTGAATGCGGCACTTGCTATCGCACTGGACCCTTTTGCTGATAGTCCTTATATGGAGAAGGCTATTGATGAGGGTCTTACCATAGAGGGAGGTGTGTATAATCTCGCTCTGCCGTCGCCTTCGTGGAACCTTACTAATTACTTGGTTACAGGCAAAATGGATGATATCAGTGTCGTTATTGGACGATGTACAAAGAGGTCGGAGTAAAATAATTCTTACGCGGAAAAGACGTTGACGATCTTGACTTAAGATTGGCATTGAGTCAATGTGGATACAAGAAGTTCTCTTTCTTTTTGTTTTCTTTTTCCTTTCCTGATCATGTACTCATATTTAGCGGCGGCGCAGCATTTTCACAGGCACATGAACCATACAAGCAGGCATAGACTCAGCTCAGAACATCCCCATATGTATAAACCAAATCCATGCATATAATGATCAATAACTCCGTCTTTTCCATCCATTAGCAAGCCCGCCTTTTACACTCGTCATTAAACCGCTTCATTATATCCCGGCAATGCCTCCTACAGATATCCTCTCAGATATACAAAGCATCAAGCTGAAAAATCGACCCAAGAATTCAAATCAAAAACCGCCAAATCATTGATATCAGATCCTGAAAATGGATCTCCCTCCAAACCAAACATCTCCACATCACTCATGAGGTTATTAGTATTCATCCACATGGTCCAGTACTCTGTATCTTGAATATCACCATTCACAACTGGGCAGCGAGATCGGGCTGGTTTGTTGCCAGATAGGGATGCTGGACTAGCAGATATGCTATAGTGTGCTGACTCGCGAGCAAAATTGTCCTTGAAAAGCTTCAAGACAGTATAAAACAGGAAGAATAGGTCGGGTAGCTTATGGCTACTGGACATATCATTGTCGGTCTGGTGTCTCGTTATCGAAGCTTCCTGGAGACGCTCGCATAGCTGATCTATATGAGTCAGATAGGTAGGAATTTCCGTTAGAAGCATATCTTGCCAAGTAGTCGCAGTACTCAGATCCGGAATGGTGAATCGACACAGTTTCGGGAATATGATGACGGTATGTATGATGGGTTCCCAATCGGTGATAGAGAAGTTTCTGTATTCTGTTCTTGGTGTATTGACGATATACTCCAAGAGTCCGTTTATTTCGGAAGCGCATGTTGGAAACACCTCCAAGTAGGTTAGGGGGTTGATTTCAATGTATGATATGTGTTTCTTCTGTTCTAATGCCAGGGAGTGGATTTTGATTCTGGCAAATCTTCGCATGATTTGTATTTGCCCTGAACTCTGTTATCAAATAGGACCAATATTCTTGATATCTGGAAATACTTACTGTTTGTATAGACGTGAGCTGGAAGCTCAGTCTCAAGTTGCGTCAACTCTGCACGCAGAACTCGAGTGAGATTTTGTAAAGGACACTCAGTCCAACTTGCTAGCTTTTCCATATCTGCCTGGATTTTGAGACCATATAACTTCTCGATGAACCTGCATAATAGCACTGTAGAAGCCATGACCTGTTCTACTGAATCATTGCCGGACAACAGCATGGAACTTAATAGTTCGTCTGGAGGAGCGAATCTGAAGTTGTTGGGCCGTCGAAAGCCCATTGCAATGCTGTTGAGTGTTAGTTGGAGAAGGAATTTGCTAACATATGCCGTGAACATACTTTGCGGACAAGAAGTAACATCCGAGGACTGTATTCCGTGCAACAATCTTATCAGCAATAGGGTCTGTCGTTGAGTACATCTTCCGTTCTAGGTCCAAATCCGCTATCATACTAATCGCCAACTGCAAATACTGGAAGATTTGATTGTTGATGGGTCTCAGATGAGTTGGATGCCTGTGCAAATTCTTTGGTTAGCATCTCATATAAGCAGAAATCATGACTCACCATGCAAGATAAACAAGGAGACCATGCACATAATCCAAAGACTTTTCACCCTGCATGATTACCCTCGTAGCCAAGACCTTGCGGAATCGCTCATCCAAACATTTCTGAAGTATTGGATTTTCCCCAGAGCTTATTACCAAAATAGACAGGACCAGAAATTGCCATTTTTGGCAGAGTTTCTCCGCTGTCGTGTTCTTTGGGATGGCAACGAATGGGAAACATACGTTTCGTTGGTGATATGATTGCAGCATCTCATCCACTTCTTTCATTGTGACATGCGGTCTTTTAAATGTCTTCGTGCTAGACTCCTTTTCTCGAGGTTTGTCGTCCGGCTGGTTGGCCTGAGATTGAGGGGTTGTTGACTTCGCGGTTTCGGGGCAGCCAAAGAGATTGCCATGTATCTGAAACACTTTTTCAGATTGATCCTCGTAATTGATATCTAGAGCTGCCGGCAGGACTTGTGCCAGAATAGAGTTCAAAGCCGATTTCTCTTTCTCAGGCAGTCTGACTTGGGGTTTATTCCTAAAAAGAAATGGATAAGCTACTAGTAACGAGCTGCTATTGAGCTTCAACATACTTTGACTGCTGAATATCATTATATAGACATATAGTCCCTATTTTCTCACATCTATACATTCTTAGTTCTGCACTATTCGTAAGAAAGACGAATAGAAAAGAGCGGTTTTACCTTCGACATTGATCCGAACGAGCGGACGGAAGACATCGTGTCTTGTGTACTTTGCACGAAGCACAAGCACGGACGGCTCTCGGCCGTGGACAAATAAACCTGGTGTCATCTAGATTCATTCTGCTGGATCTAGACCGACAAATCCTAATCAGACCGAGTGATGTTGCGAAAGACAAGTTGGCTCCTTTGCATGAGGGCAAGTTGATACACTCGTCTCGGATGACAAGACTAGCCGAGTGCAGGGTGCCTGAGGTTGCAGTTGCTTTCCGGATGGCAACTTTACGCGAGTATCTACATCGATGCTTCGGGGCTGTCCAACTTTTAACACCGAATCAAGTTACCATTTAGGACATTCCAAAGCTTCTATTAGCTGAGACACTTCGCGATAAGTTACTTAAGTAGGGCATATAGCTCCAGGTTGTCACATTCATGCATTTTATGCAGCTACTTTCGGATTGAATTTGTACCGGCAGGATACCTAAGATCATGAAGAAGAAGCATCCAAAGTTGAGTATATAAACGTCTTCGATTTCCATTAAAAACTTTTTTTTCGCTCAAAGACTGAGATTACTACCCAACACGACTACTCAACACAAGCATAAAGCGCAATTGTTTACACTTTCTCCAACATGGCTCCAGTCCGCTTTGGCATCCCCCTATTCGAATATCAGGCCCTCGATGTGATCGGACCTCTTGATGTGATCGCAGGAACATCCATAGCATTGCTTAAGCAGTATGATGCCCTTGGTGCTATCCCTAAAGGTCTTTCAGAACATGGCCTCGAACTTGAATTCTACCATATCAGCGAGGTCGCCAACAAAACAGTTCCCAAAAACCTGGAGCTCGAAAACCTCGATGTCGTGGCAACTACGACCACTGCCGAATGTCCACAAATTGATTACCTGCTTCTTGGTGGTCCTATGCCTGGTTTCAAGTTGTCCGAGGAGATGAATGCTTTCATCAGAGATCGTGTGGCCAAGAACGAGATCAAGACTATCTTTACTACATGCACGGGAGCCTCGGTGCTCGCCCAGACGGGGCTTCTAGATGGGAAGCGCGCGACTGTCAACAATGGGATGATCGAAATGGCACGCCAGATGTATCCTGCCGTTAACTGGGTGGACAAGAGTGAGAAAGTCAACTGGGTTATTGATGGGAGTATCTGGACTGCAAACGGCGCCTGCACAGGCATGGACATGTTTGCGCATTGGTTGATTCAGCAATGTGGAGAGAAGTTGGCGAAATTCCAGTTTGAAGCTTTGGGTTACCACCCTCGTGGAGCTGATGGAAAGTTGCTCGACCTATAACCGAGGTCACATGAGATGTTCGGAAGTTACCTATCATCTATTATCAGCGAAAGAACTAACTACCTTAGGCGACAATGTTCTTATGTATTTTCTTGGTTCTCGAGATCGATAGTTTCAGTAGCGGAATCTCTCAAGAATCTGTACATGTTTCAGGTCTCTTTGCTGTTCTCCAGAAGATTGATACAATCTATGAATTCTTTAGTATCCACTCATCATGTGCTAATTCTTTGGCAGAACTACGGTTTGCTCGGCTTCTATTGCAACATCCTTCTGAGGAGCCGTAGGAGACTTGCTTTGTCCTCTCCTCCCAGAGTGCTTTCCCTCTCTTCCAACGAGGCTGCAGACTTTAGGGGAATTCTAGGGAGGAGATTGCCTAGAAGATTTGGTTAATTAACTATTATCCTTCATCTGACTGGAGAAAGGGGAAAGTTGGTATCGTCATCTGAGAAGAATTTTTCACTTAGCTTCCCACAAGCAAGTAAGCTAGCCGGCGGCGGACCAAGTAGACTTATCATCTCGGAGAAATGATATCGACTTCGATAAGTCTGGTATTCTGGATCCTGCCCAGTAAATAAGGTCTCGCCTTCGGATACATTCCAAATCTAGCAAGCAATGTGAGAAATAACACGAGAAACGTGCGATCAGCGCTGCATATTTTACCATGCATCCAACATTCCACACGTCAATGCTGTACGTCCAAGGAGCCTCCAGAATGACCTCTGGTGCTCGATAAATACCAGGTTGAACATCTTCTGAATGCTCTATGTCACCAGGCACAGCAGAACCAAAATCGTATAAAACAGGGGCACCCCCAACTCTTTATGCATTCTAAGCTCACAAGATACATATATCGTTCTGCCATCCACTTCTTTTCTTGGAACAGGACTCTGAAGCTCTTCATTTTCAAAGTCGCTGAAGACGGAGTCGTCTGCAATACCGAACATAATGTTGTCCGCCTTGATATCTAGTAAGGTTTTATAAGTAAAGTAGCAGATGATCAATGTACGGTACTCATCTGTATGTATTATCTGACACTCTGTATGCAGATAGTCCAGAACTAAAAACAATCGCTGAAGGAGGAAAGCCGAAACTGACTGGGTAGCAGGTGGAATTGGATACAGGGCACCCTGCATTTGAGCCATGTCACATGTGCTGCAACTAGAGGGGATGCGGGGATCTAAGGAACTAGGGATGTCCTGTCACTTTTCTCTTCCTAGTCTGCCGTTATCATACTTTCTAACGGCTATGAAAACATTATATCTGAACTATCCTGCCAGATATGCTAGAACAATTGCCGCAAGAAGTCTTGATACTCATTTGCGAGTATCTTGAACGAGAAAATGCAACCAGCATACTTGATCTGGCGTGTGTCAGCAAGCATCTCTATTCCTACCTCGTGCCTCGTTTGCTTCGAACCTTAAAATTCTCAATAAACGAGTTCTCAAAACTGGCTGAAGATGTTCAGCAGTACTGCCGGATTCTGCAACGGGTGGACGGCTACAAACATGTTCATCGTCTGATTATCAAAAATGACATCAAAATGCCTACAATAAACGACAGGGCCCTTGTTCCGGAACAGTCCCAAAAGCGGCGGCCATGGCATCGCCCTAGAATGTCTGCTGTCGAATTCAGCGGTCATTTTGATGACATTCTAGAGAATTGCATGAGAGATTTGTACCATCTTGAAACCGACGCACTACCCCTCGAAGCGGTTTACGATATGAATAATTCTTGGAAGCCGCTAGCTGAACTCATTAAACAAATCAGCTCTCTGGAGTGTCTCTTCTACGACGGTCTTAGTCAACTCCCACCTTGTCTCCTAGAATGCCTTCATCAATACCAACCTCAATGTCGACTGTATATCAATCGGTTCATATTACGCAGTTTAACTGCGCATGGCACAGACGATTACGAATTCTCACTTGCCAGCTCGCCATGTCTCTATGGTTTGACGGTTCAACGGGTGAGACAAAGGGGATTATTCCGTCGTCGCGGTTATGAGGATGAAGCCCTTGAATGTATGGTAGCTGGCTTAGCAACCAATTTGAAAAGATTGCACATAGTGCGTACACGAGGTGCAGCCGGACCAAATGACCCTGGACCTCGCAGACCATGGGCTGGTTTTTCACAACAGACTGCTACCGACTCACGTGGTGCTTTGGAATGTTTTTGGCCATTGTATTGGCCGTGGTTGGAGAAAGATACCCTGGAAAAGTGGGAAAAGATCACAAGTTTCTCTGCATTGAAAGGACTAAAAATGGATGGCAATTGCTTCGAGATGACTTCCCCACAGCACCTTTTAGCAAGATGCTTTTTTCCCTCACTCACTCGCCTGGAAATCGATCTGGGACCATTTAACAATAACACTCGCTATCAGCCGTTCCGAGTGGCTGCCATCAATGCATTTATGCTCAATTTGCCTTCCCTATCGGATCTGAAATTGACCGGATGGCACCCTCGCATCCTGATTGATTCGATAATTGCAAATCATGGATCAAGACTCCGATATCTTTCTTTATTATCGCAACGCGGACATACGCTCTCTCTAGAAGATCTTCATCTAATGGCCGAGACTTGCTTATCCTTGGAGAGACTGACTATTGAAGTCAAGCGTTCAAGAGGAAGCTACGATGAGTTCAGGAGATATCAAGTTTTAGGATTATTGCCAAGATTACAGTATTTAGATCTGAAATTAGACGCTTCCGCCTACTCTTTATGGAACCAGGGACGACCAAATGATGGAGATGGTGAAGCTGAAATCCGAAACTCAAGAGACTTAAGAGCTGAAGCGCGGAGTGATCTTACCTTCAACGAGTTCGATGACCAGTATAGCCCCATCCACATCTCACCGTACCACTATGTTCGAAATGGCCACATTAGAGACGCTCTCATCAACGGTGCATTGGATCGTAACCTCGCATATGATATATACCAGGCCATTTGCAGTACGAGACAGTCAGGAGAAGGCAATGGTTTTCTGCCACTTGTTTCAATGTACGTGGAAGTCACTGGGGCCGGCCAGTTCGGTCAATACATGCGGGTAGGGTCAATGATCGTTGTATCTGACTATTTAGGTCGGTCTTGCCAAGTCAAGCGTATTATTGGAAGTGATGGAAATCCGGAGATTCTTGTAGAAGAACCGCCACAAGAAGCTCCAAAGTTTGGTCGAGGATCTGATGTGATAGAAATGCAGGAATGGCTTCAAACTATCTACCGGCGAGTGTGGCCCGCAAGGAGTCTGAACTGGTGGGAAGATTGGCATAGTTTCCCGTTGGCGAAATCCGTTGCTGAGGAAATTGACTGGAAATCTAGATGGTACCTTGTTCCCTCCACCATGACGAAGTCGATGAATAGTATGCTTATTATACCACAACCGGCTTTCAATAATTGAACCTAGTTGCCATAGTATACCTATCTCCGAGAGTAGAGAATAAGCGCAAACAAAGTCGTTGAGCCGCACAATCTGTAACGTATGTACTAGCAGATTACTCCGGACATGGTTGTTAGGCTCAAGCGGCTGACCTGGTATGCTACCCTCAGTGCAATGGATATCTCAGCTTAGACACGTATTTATTCCTTGCCACTTACGTTTGTCGTGGGTCGATGGAATTTGGCGTAAGCCGGCCAAACATTATTTTCAATTTTGTGCGAGATTCCTCAGGATTCAAGATTTTGGTTTGGCCAAGATACCAATTTGGCCGGTTAGCCTTGTAATAAATGCAATAGAACCAGAGATAAGAAAAGTAACCAACACGCCAAGGTCGTTCGTTATATGCGAGCAAAGTAATAATTAGCAAGGCTGATTGTAGCCAGACCAAAACTCTGCGCAGACCCATTTAGTGTGTATATGGAGCTCGTTCCACAAGCACAAGTGGACGCATTCGAGTCAGTTTCCACGAGAGCTCAAAAACAAATGTTTCAGTGTCTGAATCTTTTTCATGAGAAGCATAATTTTCAAACTCACGCCATTTGTGATTTCTCTACCAAGCAGGAAGTGGTAACGGCGGAATGATCAATCACTCTAGTATGGCACATTTCCATGCAGCAAAGACTTGAGGGGTCTATTGGCGTACAATAAGCAGTATGGCAGGTCGCTTGCTCTCGCTTAGCGCTGCCCAGCCAACATCTCGGTGACTAAGTACGGAGTTAGTACGTAGCCATACACAGGTGTGGATTTGAGATGGTGCCCATAGTCTCATTTTAAAAGGCATGGATGGCTGGACCCTTATTGCCGCAACAGGATAAAGCCAATTCAGCCTCGAGGCTGGGTTGTGTTTCTTGAAATTGAAACCAAAATGAATAAATAGCTAATCTAATGCCCTCCCAAGCGGAACGCTGATACACGACAAGATGGAGGGAAGAGACGATATTCCTTTACGAGAGTTGTCCAGAGAAACATCTGTGCATGAGCCACAAGAGCATGAACATGGCCTCTTTCATCCAGATCAACATGAGGTGCCACCGTATGAACGAGACACCGAGGAGGAACTTCCACCCTACGAGCAACGCAATACCGCGCCCATACGTTCTACTACATTGCATCGGAGCTTCTTCATCCTGATTCCAGTTGCACTATACGCGACCATCGCGATTTATTCATGGGTGACCCTGTGTATTCTTTCCCGAATGGGGGACTACACCACCAATGTACACGAAACCAAAACCCGCTCCTATAGAGCCGCACTCACCCTTCAAGCCGTCGCAGATCTTGCAACTATTCCGACCATCTCATTTGTCTGCGCTTGGGCTGCTTGCATCTTTGTACAAAACCAGCGCGATGCCTACAGTCTGCGATTGCGCCAGGTGGTAACATTAGCGGATCGTGCGTGGATGAATCCTGCGATGTATTTCCGGTTGCTATTTTACCCTTCTTCCTTCAAGCGCTACGGTAGTAGCATGCTCTATTTGGCCATCTTTATACATATATTTGGCGCCATCACCTATCCGATTCAGTCTTTGTTTCTTTCCACTCGATCAGTCTCTGTGCAATCAACAGATAGATGGGGCAAAATTGACCTTGACAATAACTATCTCAGAGTGCCATCAATATCACAATTGATGCGCGGGTATGATTTCACGGACTGGAGCTCCATTTTCACAGTGCGCCATCTGGCGCAATCAGCAGGGGTTAATGGATACCAAGACAATCTCTGGGGGAACACGAGTCAATTGAGCGGTTACGGCTCGAATAGCAGCTGGTATGCGCCGCTCTCGCACAACTTTAGCACTGGTCTACGCTCTGATCAATATATCCCAAGAATAAACTCCTCAGCTGAGGTTCTAGAGATGGCCGCAGAAGAATTCCCGTCCAATTGCAGCAGCCCATCGTCGTTCTATGCTTCCTATATCTACCCCAACAGCGTAAACAATTTAACAATAGAAGTGTGCATACCTCAGTCATCTCCATGGCAAAGCACCAGCAGCCGTCAGAACTTCAGTGAGGTGATTTACGTCAACACCACCGCCAACTTTACTGATCCATCTGATCCAAATCGTGTAAAGCCATTCAAAATCATCATGAACACGACTGCGGGGTTATTTGAGCTGCCAAGTGTCCAAAACAATCTGATCGCTGGTCCGCTGAATACAAACTCATCTCTCTGTTCAAGTGTTACTAGTTGTAACGGGTGGAAAGTTCGCCGACAGCCCCTTGACAGTTCAGCTCTTCCTGGACCCTTAGCTATGATAGCCCTAGCCCTCTTCGGACCGGGTTCGTTTGCTGATACGCAACAAACTGCGCCTTCTAGCGAGAGTTTCTATAGCAATGAGTCTGAATCACAGCGTTATCATGACATGTTTGCGGCCGATGATATTTTACCACTTACGCCTCTTGGATTCACAACCAGCGTTCTCGGTGAAATCCCCATCGATGGTTGGATGTCGGCTTTTAGTTCGAATAAGGAGGATGCTTCAGTAGCTTTCACACGGGCTAGTTTCCTTGCCGTTAAGGCCATGTTCGATAACACAGTACGGTTCGGGGGAGATATAACGGTTGCCTTCGCCAGCAGTGACCTACAGCAGATAACCCTACCCTCGCTCCCATTCTCGGCCATGATAGCTTGCTCAGTGTTGTTCGGATTGTACATGGTCCCGTTGCTATGTCTGGCACTGTACGCTGCATTCAGTAGTAGCTGGACGAATACTCTCGATGCCTTTACCATGTTACGCATGGGCGCCGCCTTTGGTCAGCAAGATCTGCCGTTACTCATCGGGAAGAGTAAACGGAAGATCAGAGTCTTGGACACTTTGCCTGGCATCGTAAGAGATATATCAGGTCCAGATGACAAAGTCAGACAATTAGCTCTTGGTATTGAAGGAGGTGGGCCTCTGCAACCTTCGAAAAGATACCTGGCTTATCCTGGGAACGATGATTGGATGGGACCAAGGTGATAGTCATTTCAAATTCCTCATTTCTTTCTATTCTCTTGTACTAATTTCGGATTCGTTCTTGAGGAAGAAGCGAATTCATCTTTAATTGTTAGGCGAATTCTGCATTCTATTTTACTACCTGTATATTAGCTTCTTGTGTCATGAGATATTGATTTTGATATTGATCATAAGCTGAGGCTGGAAAAGACTACCACTTCCAGATCCCTCCTTTAGGGTCACCAATTCCTTTAGGTAGATATTGCAGCAAGCATGCTGAAACTACTAGATGTTTCCTGTATTCACAGTGGTCCAGCTTACTAGATGAAGCACTACGTTGTATCTAGATCTTGAATGGCATTGAGATTCGTAACAGGCTATCATGGGTATGACATTACCAAGGTACAGTTTTCATTCGTGGAAGAATCAATCTAAGGCATAGTAATCGTAACCACAATCCCTCAACCATTTCTGACAACCAAAGAGCCCAGCAATCAGTTTAGAGCTGGAACGAGATTGGCCAGAAAAGCACGTACACTATCAGCATCGTCCAGAGTAGTCGCGTATCCAATCAAGAAATTAGGTCAAAACATCACTCAGGCTCCAGTCTCTGGCGAAATCCTGTAAGTCAAATAGGCCCGCCCACCCGAATCATAATACGCATATCCAATAGTCGCAAGATTGCAGCGTTGAGCATTCATGCTGCCGGCGACCATAGTAATGAATCCAATCATATAAGACGGGAAGTTATTTTCCATATTTTCCAGTTCTTAGCTATCTTAGGGAGCTTTGCTTTTGTAACCTCGTGATGACCCGTAAAGAGAAGGATTTGTCATGAATCTATATCGTACCTCAATTGGAACGGCCGATTTGGGATATGGGAACCTGCTTGGTAAAGGAGTACATCTGATGCCCTCGACCCCGCAGGAATCATGTCAATAGAAGGGCGTTTGTTGATGATGTTCTCTCCGTATTGAGTCTCCAGACCAAGATTGAACTGAGAGGTCTCTTCGAAGAGCTTCCTGCCGTGCGTAGAGGCTCTTTTGTATTCCTTGGGTATCTAGCGGCATATGACGGTGGAGAATACCTTGTTAGTCTGTAACAAGTGTCGTGCAGCAGCTCAACGCTCACTGTCGTAGGTCTGAAGTACTTCCTTGCTGCATCAGCCCTTAACCATTCTAGACCTCTTCCAAGACAGATTGTATGCGTCCTGAATACCTGCGTTCAAGGCTGTCACATGCATCGCCTGCTAACAGTATTCGGTCGTTTGCAATAAAAGTATTTGTAAATGCTTGACAGGGACTGCATGGTATCTTTCAGTAAACAAATCATAGACGTAATGGCTCATTTCTCAACACTCACCGATGCAGATACCACCAGCTAACATTTTTGATCTTCAATGTAAACGGTTGTATTGATTTAATGGATTCTTGCTTGCATCCGCCGAAGTAAACAATTGCCGGTACTTGTCCACCAGCTTACCGTTCAGGGCAATTTGAATACGCTTTTCACCTTGCCCAAGATGGGTCTAAATAACATTTCCATGGGTCTCATACTCGATTGATACAAACATAACATCAGGATCAGGCATGTCTGTGTTGCCATCAATTTGCCCCCATTGATGCTGGGTAGGTGCACAAAAGATTTCTGATGATGGGCTAGAGAGAGTGATATTGAGAAGTCTAACTAACTATCTGAGATCCGTGGCGTGCGAGGTTGATGTCCTTGCTACGATCACGCTAGGCCCAATGCGGTACCGACGTCTACCTGTATGGCGGTGGTCCCGTGAATTTCCAACCATCCGCCCCGACTAGATATTTGCTGAGTGACAAGTTAGCGTATTGATTCTAATATTTCTCCCATAATCGCTTCCACTCTAACCGTTGAGAAACGATTCGTGGTGTCAGCGAATCTACACAACGACCTTGTGGTCGTCTTCGCTGTCATGATAACCTGAAATTATTCAAGTTCCCATCCTATCATGGGAATTCCTCCGTTCATTCTGTATGCCATTAGAAAGAAGCTCTCCAAAACTTGATGACTGACATTGTGGCATTAATCCTGGTATATATCACCTACGCGGTCAAAGATCTTATGCTAGTCATCCGAAGTGACTTGCTCACCATTCTTGTATGTGATGCTATTGCGGGCAATGTAGCCTAGCTCATTTGTTTGATTGATCTAGCATCATTGCTCCAATATCTCGAGGATCTGGGGTACAACGTACGTGCACGAGTATATGAGGGCTGGGATTCCTTGTCATATTTCTCTAGGGATCCAGGGACGTCAGTTCGGAAACAACATGCCAATAAAATACAAGACTTTGCAGGATTTTGGGTCCATGGATGTTGACTTACCATTAGATAAGTTAGGACCATTTGCCTAGCTAGAGTAGACGCCAGAAACAACCCACACAGACGAAAACATCTGTCTTCGAAGGTTCAGATTCAGCCATGGGTTGATTTTGGAGATACCAGTTGTTCAGATTATTCTACCAGTATCAATCTTGAATAAGTAGTGACGGTGATGATGGAAGAGAACTAAAGATCGTACTAGGTGCATCAATTTATATATGATATCTTGAGACCGGGGTACACTGCAACTACAGGACTCTTCCAGTGTCTAGTGTCTAGTCAATGAAAAGCTCAGAGTGCCTATTGTTGTTGTGAAATATCTTGTATCACTCTGTTTCTAGAAAGAAATTGAAAAAGATATCTGTGGGAAAACATTGCTTTTGTAGTCCGGTGTGGAAGTGTTTGTTTGTCCCTTCCTGTAATAAGATACCATCCAATATTGGACTGTGGTGCCCAAACCAACAATCAGTTTTCTTTCCTAGAGAAAGGTACCTCTCAAGCTTTGCAAAATACCAGTCATAACCACCTTCACACCTCTCACCTGGCCAGGATTTTAGGCTTCCTGCAAAATATATGCAGACAATAGACTGCAGTGCTTTGTGAGGGAACTATATGTACAGTCCAGATCCCATAATAGCTCTAGGATCATCTTCTGTCGGAGATGGATTCTCGCTCACCCTTTTAGTGGCTTGTATATGGGGCCAGGAGTCCATTGTACAAGCACTGATCCAAAAAGGCGTTAATGTCAATGTACAAACAGACTTTGCAAACATACCGCTCCGAGTTGCTGTTCGCAAAGGGAATGAGAACATCACTCGTATGCTGGTTGAGAGTAAAGCAGATACATTGAAGAAGTATGATAAGATACGTCAGTATACCATACTTCATCTCGCTGCACGTCTTGGGCGAATCAGTATCATCCAGCTACTTCTGGAGTCTGGTGGAATGAATATTGATATCAAAGATGGATGGGACAGAACTCCATTGCACCATACACTTCTGTTGTGCCGAACGCCGTCAAGTGATACTAAGAATCGCTGCTACCTATGTAGAAGAGATCCAGAGATAGGGGACAAACCCGATCTACATTTCAGCATAGAAACGATGAGGTTTCTGTTGCAACGAAAAGTGGATATGCAGGCGGCAGACGATGACAGTATTCGACCAATTGATATGGCACGGAGTCACCCTGATCCTGCAGTTCGGACTTTATTCGAAGAATTGTGCAACTTTGAAAGTGCAGAGGAGAATATCGAAGGGGCCTTAGAACAAATTCATTCATCACAAAGTAAGCAATGACGCAGAACATAACGTTAAATCATGCTCGTGCAATAAGGGGGTATATATGAAGCTATCGCTAATTCGCATTAAATCAAGCAAGGGTATGAAAATCATCCAACATGGGGTCTGAACCACATTACGAAGTAGTCTTCATCATCCCACAAGCTGAGCATGTCCACCACTCGGTTTCCATAAATGCGCCGCATTTATCGCATAGCCATCCAAGAGGTTTCATAGCTCTATCTTGCTCAAGACTAGAGATACGCTCCGCCGTTTTACTTTTGAACGACAATACTCGACTAGAATCGACTTCTGAGCCAAGACGATTTCGCGGTTTTGACATTCCTCTATTTGACCACTTTGTATCTGGTCCTGCCACAAGCCGTGATTGAGCTGTCAATGATGTTGTAGGCCGTTCTATTCCGCAGGCATCGCAACAAAGATATGCTGGAGGATTTTCAAGAGTACAAATTCGACAGTTCCAGGGTCTTTGATCCTCTTTAATAATATCCGGGATGTTCTCATCAGATGCACCGAATGCGCCAGATAATGTTCCCGAACTCGCAAATCGTTTGATAGGTTTTGTCTCTGTTGGGCTAGGACGCGGTCGCTTTCCTGGTGGATAGACCCTTCCCCGAGGACCGGCAGGGTTCTCCTGACTAGGAGGGACATACGAAGTCCCATATTTCTCTTTCTCCTCCTCCTGAATCATTTCAATGTATGCCTCCATTATAGCACGTTCATTTGCATCGTCCTCTTTAGCTTTGGTACGGAAGCCATTCCGAGAAGCTTCATCCGCTAACTTCTCGCCTTCGCTAGAGCCCGATGCACATCCTTTCGTGACGTCAATACGTTTTTGAGCAGCATCCGCAATAATCTTTCGTATGTCGGAGCCTTTCATTAGTGGCGCACCTCCTAGCTTCTGAACGGAACCAGCTGCCAGCGCTCGTCGTTGAGCAGCAGTGCGGGCCACCCGCCGTGCCTCCTCTAGAGGAATTTTACTACCTCCAAGGCGATTGCCTTGGGAAAGAAATCCTTCACCTGTGTAACCCTTCATGGCGAGCTCTGTGTATTCGTCGCGAAGCTGATTCCACAACGCATGAAAATCGGTATTATGAGGGCCATGCACAATGTGACATAATCTTGATAGTTAGTCAGCTATCAGTACAAGAAATAAACAAATGACTTACTCATGTAGCATAGTATCAACAACATGATCCAAAGCCAGAAATTGGTATTCATCACTCGCATATCTCAACCGTAGACATATCTTCTCTCCCCGATTGGTATTCACTCCCAGGAGTGTCCGGGCAGAAGGATAAAATTCAGCCAACGTGCCGACTTTCCAGTTCCGCTGCCTCATAATCGGTTTGACAAGAGAAGCTATTTTTTTAAGCATATGAAGTGCTTCGTCTTCTCGGGGTCGGTGTTTGTCATGTTGATATTGGAGAACTAGAGGGTCAAACTCGCGCATCTTGCAATATGTTGTGTTATTAGCAATGTGCTGATCATCCAGAAGTAGATGAAAGATCTGATTCATTCAAGGTGATGAATATCCCATGAGATCCGCGCAAAACAAGCTATTTCCGATCTACTGCGAGGTATGGATAGATCTCGAAAAAGCTTTGTAATCTTGGTTCGGGAGGCGAATGGGAGGAACCATATACTACCCAGGTACCGATCGCCACCGTCAGCTTGCAGCGGCGAAAGACGACCAGAAATAATATGCACTGCTAATAGCCGGCGAGTTATGGTCTTAACGCTGAAAAAATAAGAGATGAATTCAGACTTTAGATACTTTTACGACGATCCGATGGGAGAAGTCGTGACAAACTCAGTTCTCGGAGATAAGATGTCGCCGCAACGCGACAACACGTGACTTCCCAAAATGGTTATATGGCCAAACAAAGCCCTAATTTCTTGCAACCATTGCCGGAATTGATGGCACATGTCAGACTATGGGATATAATGGCTGGACAATATGTACTGGTTCATACGACAGCCTCGTATAAGACTATTTGAGCATTTCTAGCAGATCACAGGCTCTTTATCACACAGCCTGTACTTTGAAAGCACAAACAACATGACCTATCTCGACACCTGCAGTATTGAGAAGCCTAGGGCGATGGAAATCAGCAAGTTTCTCCCGAGCTTCCGATGTCCCAATGCTCAGTTGCTCAAGAATACCCATCACTGCCGAATACAAAATTGGGATGTTGCCATCCTCGATTTTTACCGCAATTCCAATGGCTGTATTAGTTCCTAGGTTTTTGGTGTATTCTGTCGGACGTATACCGATTCCATAACATCCTTCTGCTCCAATTTTACCGACCAGTTGTCCTTCAAAGCCCGTCATAAGACGAGTGCAGAATCGACCTTCGCCGCCGACGAGCTCGGGATGTTGAGCCATTGCACGGAAGACGCATGCTAGATTTTGAGATCTTGTTGGTGCATTGTTGTCTTTGTCTACTGTTCTGTCTGCTGCGGCAAGTGTACCATAAATCTTTGCCAGAGAGTACAAAGGCACCGCAGGTGCCGGTAAGTTGCAGCCATCGATTCCCCATTTGACCTCATCTCCGTGTAGATCTGTCAACTCTTCGACCACGCGCCTAACTAACAACTGCATTGGATTTTCAGGTAGATGATAATCTGCGATGTCAGCTCCGAGACACTTCGCACCAGCTATCATTCCGACATGCTTGCCCGAACAATTATTGCAGATCCCTGTCGGCGTATAGTCGGCTTTTATCCATGCCCTATTCACTGTTTCTGATATAGCGGGATGTCCTCCACACCGTAAGTCTGTTTCTAGGATTTGGACCTTTGCTAGCATTGATTGTGCCCGAGAAACATGCATATCTTCACTGCTGTGAGATGCACACATCAATGCCAGATCTGCATCATCAAATGGAAACCGGTCAAACACTCCTGCCTCCAAAATTGCCAGTGCCTGGGCCGGTTTGGCTGCTGACCGAATTAAAGTCACGCGAGAAGGATCTCCAACCCTATAGAGAAATTGGCCATTTGCGTCGACAATTGCTGCGTGGACTTTGTGCCGGTTTTCGACGATATCCCCTCGATAACTGACGACGCAGTCATCGGCTGGTCCTATGTTGATCTGTTTCATTGCAATTTTCTTCGTAGTTGCCTAGTGGTTCGATTCTGATAATGCAACCTTCAATAATTCTGGAGGATTCTAGGGTTTTTTTCCAAATGGACAATCGCAGTCAGTTCCAAATATAACCTTATAGGAATACAAATAGATCAAAAGCCATCTTGATTTCGTTCGCCCTGCAGTACGTGAAGGAAAACCTTTTTTATCAATGAGTCTTTTACGAGGGGCTAGTGCCAAATACTATGCTTGAATGAGCAATGCTTAGGTAAGACCCAACGCAAAATATTACTTTGCATGTGCCTGGTTGCCAACTAGCCTCTCAATCTGGTGACCAGTAGGCATGTTTGGCATCTATCGTCTATAACAACAAACTTGAGAGTTTTTTAAGATGATCTTAGAGTTGGTAGGCGTATTGGCTATATTTGCGAACCGATCATATTTTCCGAATTAACTGCTGCAACAGTGATTAGCTCCATTAGCTATTAACTTCTGCACTTGTAACGGCTTTCGCGGACGACAATCAAACAATGAAAAGTCTGGGATGAGCATAGCCTTAGACGCCATGATCTATGAAAGCATTCTCGCCGCGCTGTCCTGATAGGCGAGAGAGTTGACTTATTCAACTCCGGTATGGCAGGGCTAGGGTATTTTTCCAGCAAATCATACCCAGACAGCCAGGATAGGGAGCACCAGTGCCCATAAAAAGTATCCGAGCATTAGCAACTGTGATCAGTTTGGCCTCATTTTGCTTTGCGGGCTACACATGGGTTTCTATCATTGCCAGTTCCTCGAAGATATCCGATAGGCTTCTTAAGGAATACCAGCTGAAAACCGGATTCCACTATATACGTATCTAGACGGTCGCGTAAAGGTTAGGTTGGACTGAACAGTGAGTAAGCACTAAACTACTTCGAAGACTCAGTCAGTTTTGCGTGGAAACTATTTCAACTCTTTAGGTGACGAAATAACGTCGCGAAATTCTTGTTCAAGGTGCCTGTGGATCTGGAATATGAGGTTGATACTATATAGAGGCAATGTGAAGTAACTGGGAAGCTGGGACTAGCTAGGTAGTCTAAATGTGAGGACATTCAGCGGAACCCAAAATCATCGAGGGGCACATTCAGTCGATTCCAGACTGGAACAAGTCGTTGATTTGTCAGTATCTCCTCAGCAAGCTGATAGACCATGTTGAATGCTGGCTTTGACAATCTACTTATTATAAAAATAGCTATTATATAACTTCTTTCACAAGTACAAGCCTAGATTGTTCCAACCTTACTAAACCGCGACACTTACTGAATTACCCCTCTTCCAAGGATCCTTATTTCTTTACACCCACATCCACTGAACAAACACCCACCTTCAGTCGAACACACAAACCCCAAAAGTCTCAACAATGTCAGCAGAAGGTATCTCGCTTCAAGTCACAATCTGGATCAGCCCAGAGAACGTCCCGAAATTCCTGGAGGCAATGCGCCCTGTCTTTGAAAAGGTCACCGCGGAACCAGAATGTACTTTCTTTGAAATTTATCAAGACCCAGAGGAACCAGGGCGGATTTCTTGGGTTGAGAATTGGTAACTTGTTCTTACTAGTCGCAAGTTCTCTACTTTGAATTGCTAATCGACTCGAACAGGACAAAAAGCGCAGAATGGCTACTTCAGGTATATTGAAAAGCCCTAATATCATTTTCCTGAGAAAGAAATATGAAAGAACAAGTTACTAAAGAGATCATAGAACCAAATCCCAAAAGAATATTATAAGGAGTACTTCGCCATTACTGAGCCGATGTTTATCAAGCCTCGCGAGTTCAAGATATTGAAGCGTTTTGGACCTCCATTTACGATGTGGAAGAGGGAGAATGGAGGATTGAGGGAATAATAAGACTACCTAGACAAATGAGCAGATATAGTCAATACAGGTGCTACATTTATCAAGAATTACTCGGATTACGTGCTGTTGATTTGATATCAATCCGACGGATTAAAGAGTCCGAAAGGTCACTATTCATTAGCATTGGATGTCTCAATATGTCTAGCTATATCTAAGATTATAGCTGGTCGGTAACATCACGGTTCGCATGGGCGACCGATCATATCCTTTTGAAGGACGGCAAAGGAACATGCTCGTGTATGAAGTCGAGAGCCTCAAGAACCTGTTCCAGTATTGCTTAGCATGAGTCGCTCAAATGTAATACTGATAATGACAAACCTTCTCGTCCTCAAAAGGACGTCCAATAAGTTGCAACGAGACAGGTGCATCGCGGAATAGTTCCGGTTCATCTGTTTCAAACAGTCATCAGCCAATATAGATCTCCGGTTGTACAGGAGAGGGCACTGACAGAGCTGATAGTTGAATTCATCTTTGGTATTCCGCGGCTTATAATCTTCCTCTTTCTTATCAATTTCCGGCTGGACTTGAGTCACTGGAAAAACTGCGGCAGGGTAATCAAGTAAATTCCACTGAGCCGTATACCCCCAATATCTAGCCTGATTCAATGGAGGAGCAGCACCCGGTGCTGTTGGTGAAAGAATCACATCAACCATCCCAACCGGAATGCCGTGCTCATCGACCCCCGTAGCTGTATCGTGCCACACCTTTGCGTAGTCTTTCTTGTACTCGGTATTCTTCTCCATCAAGTCCCATATTTCCTCGATCTGGAGTCGTTTCCTGTACTCGTTCTCGGTAATGATAAAATGTGTCAGGGGCATCATCGGCTCACCACTCTTAGCAAAAAGCTCAAAGTTATCAGCCGCACCGTCGGCATAGTATAGTGATGCTATTCTTTCCCAGGCGTAGTCGTGTTTATATGGTTTCCAATCCACTATCTCGACACCAGGCACATCACGGAGTTTGTTCACAAGCTCTTTCAAAGCTCGTGTCACCGGCGGATGCGGTTTGACAACTCCGTCATCCCACAGAACTCCAATCTTGAGCTTTTTACCGGTTGTGCCTTGACCTAGATGGGTTACATTGTCGCGCCAGGGCATCGGTACAAGCATTGGTTCAGTCAACCACGGCTTTGAGTCTATGGCAGTCTTCATTATAAGTCTCAACCCACCGCGAGACGTACTCAACGGTCCAGCAACAGCCGGAATCCCCATGGGGCCATGCGCAGCAGCAAATTTGTCATAGGGAAACCTGCTACTGGTCGGGCGAAGACCGTATATCCCATTATTTGCCGCGGGGCTGCGAATACTCCCACCAATATCTGTGCCGATGCCGACAACACTACCATTCATGCCTATCAATGCTCCTTCGCCACCGGAGCTACCTCCACTGGTGAGTTGTCGGTTATATGGACACACAGTCTCACCATATAGATTGCTCGAAGTTGCGAGATGCATCAAAGACTGCGGCTGAGTAGTTCTGACATATAGCACCGCACCAGCGTTGTAGAGAACTTCTGTCCCGCTGTATGTCGACTCTGCGATACGTCCCCACCACGCAACGTAGCCGCAGTTTATGGTCCGGCCTTTCATGGGAAGATGTTCTTTGATGCTCACTGGGAGTCCATGGAGGGGACCAATGGGTTTCCCGTGCTTGGCCAGGTAGTCATCTAGGAACTTTGCTCGCTCAAGAGCTGCAGCGGGCATGAGCTCAGTGACACAGTTGACCTAATCCACGTCAGCATTTGATTCCGGGCCGCCTGGAATGTGTCTGCCATACCAGTTTCTGAGCCAGACCCGCACGCCGGAGAAAAGCATTGGTGACTTCCACGCAAGTCCAATCTCCCGAAGCAAGCTTTTGGACGAGTACGTCTGGAGCAGTTTCGGTAATATCCACCTCTCTAGGTGTCAATAACTGCCTGGGAAGACTTATCACGTTCAGCGGAAGGTCTGACGGCAAATCCGGAACTGGTGGTTGAACTTCGGCGATGGACTTATCACGCACTTCCTGTGCTATTTGGGCAACTTCTTTCCATGATCTGCGAACCATATTGTCTTGACTTGGTGAGTCCTTGACGAATGTTCTATGAAGTTTATTTAAAGAATCTCAAAAGCCGAAACTCAACGAAGGGATAAATGATTGATCGATAATAAATACGACCCGAACTCGATAGACTACGCGAATTTAAATATGAGCCAGAGCCCGAGAAATACCATCCCGCGGCATGTCCGACAATATTTTGGGACGATTATAAACATCATTGATAACTTTGAAATCAACAAACCCCGCCTTCCGAGAAAGGTAAAAGATACGCCATTTGATTGGATATGTGGAGGATACTTCGTGTAGCTGATGAATCTAAGAGATAAGAACTTACTAACAGCGATATCAATCTCACTTTCGTCCTATCCAGTTGACTGAAGACACCTAATGTAGTAGTAGAGGTGGGGGGTTACGTTATGCGAAAAAGCCATCGAGATATTGGCAGTGTGCGGATTGAGTCATTATTCACAAGAATCGAACTCGTCCGAATCGTAGCCTGCTGTACATATCATTCCGAACGTAGCTCAAATCGTAGTCTCGACAGCATCTTCTGACTGGGAACCCATGCTCCAGATATGTACCGGAGGTATAACCATCGGAGTGTATTGTAGGCCGCAGGATATCTTGCACAGGCGATGGCTCTGAATGCCTCTACAAAGTCGACGGATTGAATACTTATCGTCGGTCACGGTCAGACGAGTGGGATCGCAATAGATGCGTTCGGCAGATGGTGATGAGACCTTCAGCTGTCAGGCCGGTCGTCTCTCCGCTAGATGGTACGCTTCGCTGTCTAGTGCCTGTCGCCTGTGATAAAGAAAATCATGTCAGTTGAGGACTTATACATGCGGAATTGTAGGAGGTATCCAGGTAGGAAGATGATGAGCGCTGTTATGTCATACCGAGGCAACCCAGAATACACGAAAGATCCAACATAGCAGCTTTCAGTGCTGTGCATCAGACTAGCTCGCGTCCTGGATATCTGTCAACCAATTTAGTCTCTTGCATCGGACGACATTCTGGCAATCTTTGGAGAGCTGTTAAGATCAGCAGGCGGAGAAGAAGAAAAAAAAAAGATTTAAGCGGGCATCTGATTGCCCCACCTGTACCTTCTGTCTCAGCTGAACAACCTCGCATTTCTCAACAACGTCCTCCAACAGAGACATAATACCAAGATATAATACTGGGAATATGGTGCGTATCATTTGACTCTAATCTACAGATACCGAAAACTGACACTTAAGACACAGGCTGACGCCTTGTCGGAAGAGCAAATATCCCGCTTTCGGGAGGCCTTTGCCGTCTTTGTAGGGCTTCATTTCCTTGACTCATCTTGTTCATGTCCGCTGATATTTTTGCTATAGGATAAAGATGGAAATGGTGCGTAGAGTAAATCCACCAACCCTCGGTACTTTTGACTCACTGATCATCATCTGCAGGCGAGATCACGGCAGAAGAGCTTAGAGACGTCATGCGCTCGTTGGGACAGAACCCAACCGAATCTGAGTTACAAGATATTGTAAACGAATTGGATGTTGATCATACAGGCACAATCGACTTTGACGGTTAGGCCCCAGCCCTAGTCCAGTTGCAGTCATACTAACCTGTCTAATCACCAGAGTTCCTCACAATGATGGTCCACAAGGGAAAAGCAACAGATGAAGAGGCCGAATTGCGTGCCGCTTTTGATGTGTTTGACCAGGACGGCAGTGGCACAATCAGCGCAGACGAGATGCGCCGGGTCATGAAGTCCATTGGCGAGAATCTGACCGATGCTGAAATTGATGAGATGATTAGAGAGGCTGATACAGATGGAAATGGGACCATTGATTGTGAGTTCTTCTGGATTATGCTCTAAATAAGAAACTAATTATACTCACCATTTACAGATGAAGAATTTGTCCGTTTGATGAACCAGAATTGATACCCGACTGTAAGGTTGTTGCACCGCAGGATCAGCCTACAGACTTTTCTTTCTCGAGATTAGGAGATTATCTAGCATAATGTGTTATGTTAACAATCTTTCCAACACTACAAAGCTCTCCAGACCCCTGATAGAAGTAAACTGCCGGATACTGAGGTGTGAAATTAATCATCTATACAACCTCAACCTCTTCATAAACCACGAGCAAACCACCTACTAAACGTCCCTGTTCACGTCTTAGCAGTCCGCTGGCTCTCAAGACAACCTTGTAAACCATTTAGTGACTCAATATTAAAGCAAATAACATTGTACACCGCTTAATCTTCGGCATTCTCACTTCTCGTATAGTTGATCAACCGCGACTACCGTACCCATCAACAGTGGACGCCACGTTTCCAGAACCATGCGTTAAATACATCACGTTCAGTGATGTCCAGGACAATGATATGATCCACCAATAGTTATTAACTGTCGGAACCACAGAGAACCCCATCTCCTCCACTGCTTTGTTTAGTGCATGACTATATTCAGAGCAATGTTAACTCAGGACATACTCAGGTGGGCTACCAGACAATATATCACCAGTTGATTGATTGCAACTTATGTACCACAGCCGCAGGGACTAGAATAATCAGTATTACCAACAGCGTAGAAAATCTTTTCAGTCCTATGCTTCTTTGACTTACTAGTTGATCTTAGCCACTTTGCATCTCTAATTTGAAACGTCAGCTTGCCGCTGTCTAACATGTCAGTAATCCATAACGTACACCGCAAAACGACCATCCATTGGCATCTATATTATCATGCTGACACTCATGAATTCTCAGCCTGATAAGATCACCTAGTTTCGATCGACAACAGAAGGGCGTTCTGGTCTTTGTGTACTTTCGGGAGAAATCGAAGTTGTCTCTTTCAGATATCCAACAATTCATCTGTCCTCACAAGGCTTCCTACAACGGCCCCAGGGATCTATTTTCAAAAGCGAGCCAAGCTTCGTAGCTGTTCCTGTCCAAGAAATCCTCCTGGAAGTTCAGACTACATAACCATAGAATAGACATGGTTTTACAGTGAACAGAAACTTGACGCAATGACATGCCTTATATGCACAGTTCTAATCATTCTCTTTTTACAATCTTATATATATATAGCTATTAAGCTTTGTTAAAGTGAAGAAATTTCTTCTAATTCGATGAGAATAATAACCCTAATAGCCCTGAAAATTGCCTACTTGGGTGTAAAAAATATAGACCTTACATTAGGTGAGTAGGTGGTAAAACAAGTACGTAACATATTCATTTCATACCTTACGGGCAAGATTTCAGGACAGTTAGGGGATACTGAATTACATTCCAGGGGAAATAAGCATACAAATATTCGGTACTGTACAGGTAATACATATATTAATTACCGCTATACCCAGTTCATTCTAGGCCTTCTTTATCAGGGCTGATAGCATCAACTCAAAAGATTTCCAGACTATCACCAGTTGAATAACCACTCTCGATCAAATCATCAAATACTCGAAATGACTAGCGACGACCAGTTTTTTCTCGATTTTGTAAGATACCACTACTCCATATTTGAGCCCGCGATCAACTAATACTTATGGATAGCTCTCCTCCATCCCGCATGACGTAAAACGATACTCGGCCAACGTCGCGGATTCAATCGATCGCCATGTCGACCACGCTGCGAGCGTCATCAAAGAAACCCTAACAGTCTATTTTCCAAACATATTACCAGTAGGCGCGCGAAATGTGCCCGCTCTGCGACAGCCGCCACCGAAATCGCTCACTGATAAGGCTTATGACTGGGTGATGCGGAATCGAGCGTGGACAGCTGCCGTTGTCGCTTTCTTCGGAACGAGCGCTGTTTTATATCTGGGAAGTCGGACTTTCGACAATAGGAAGAGAAGAGCGCGACGAGCTGGGAATGGTGCGAGAAAGGAGATAGTTGGTATGTTGTGCTTGATGACAAAGGGACTTTGGTCGCGAGAATCTAACCACGAATCAGTCATCGCTGGATCTCCGCATGAGCCCATGACACGAGCTATAGCAGAGGATCTTGAACGTCGCGGGTTTATAGTATATGTCGTTGTGCAGTCGGCAGAGGAGGAACATACAATTCAGATGCAGAATCGATCGGATATTCGCGCATTGCATTTGGATTTAACAATAGTGAGTGATGTTGGGATAAAAAGTATGCGGACAAGACTAACCTTCGCAGACACCCTCAACGCCGTCCGAGATTCATCCAGCGCTCCACGGCTTATATTCTTTAATATCGCAACCACAGTATCCCGCACCCGGTATTCAGCCTCATACATGCCAATTAAGCGGCCTCATTATATTACCTTCTTTGAACTACCCGACCGGGCCTATACCAACAATCACAGCATCTAGTTGGGCCGATACAATCAACACACGGGTTTTAGCACCAATATTAATCACACAATTGTTCATCCCTCTTCTCACCCATCGAAACCACAGCAGCTCTATCGTCTTCCTTTATCCATCAATCTCATCATCTTTATCAGCACCCTACGCTGGTCCTGAAGTCGCTGCGACCAGGGCACTTTCTGGCTTCGCAACTTCTCTTCGCCAAGAATTGCGTTTATTACAGTTTGGAAACGGTACGCAATGCAACGTGGATGTAGTAGAGATGAAACTCGGCAACGTCGACCTAGGACCTCACTACCGCGTGCCCCAAGTAGCCGGCACCGAAGTTCTTGCCTGGAGTCAACATCACCGATCTCTATATGGACCGTCATATTTAGCCAGCGTTGAGCAGCGACCAGTAGCATCTGCCGGTCCTAATGCTATCCGTGGATCACCCGCTAGAGCGCTACACAACGCCATATTTGACAGTATAGCGCCACCCCGTAAATCCATTCTTGGAAGGAAGACGAGAAGAAAGGCTGTCGTTTACGTTGGGCGTGGATCACGCTCCTATGGAATCATAGGTGCCTGGATTCCAACTAATCTGGTTGGATGGATGTTGGGACAGGGGAATCTTCCTCATTCTGCGCCGGATAGTGGGAATAGCAGTGAGACTAGCTGGGAGAGGGTGTAATCTGTTGCCGATTACAACGTTATATACCAATATATTCCACTCATCCAGGAAATGTCGTTTTTCACGATGTAAGGAAGTGCAATGTAAATGGCTCAGTCGTCTTGCTTAACCCAAACACACCCAATACTGTAGATTGATCGAGGGCTTGGGATTAATCAATTTCTATAATGCACAGGTCACGATAAGAGTTAGATTCGAGCCGAGCCCCTATTAAACATTAAACTACAAGACCTTGGAATCTTCCTGACGGGCCTTCTCAGACGCAACATCTGGATGCATCAAGCTCAGTGAGGAGCAACAAACTCCAAGAAATCAAGCGTCAAGTCACTGAAGAAGCTTGCACCTCCCACAGTCACAGGGTGACCAGCCTTGGTAACATTGCAATACTCGTTGAAATTCCCAGCTGCAGCGCTACGCTTGCTAATAAACGACGCATACTCCGATAGCAGACAGCTGCCGCCAGGTCCGTCATGGCAATGAGGAAGGATGTAGGCTGCATCATTGAGTAGAATGCGAATGTAATCGGAATAAGTTTCGGAAGCGCACAATTCCGAATCATATTCGAATATGGGCGACGATGAAGTGCAATTCAAAACCTCGAAAGTAACAGTTCCACGCATCGTAATAAAATTAGCGACGTTGTAAATCCGGTCCTTGAGGATACGATCAATCGGTAAATTCTCCTGAGCGTCAAATATACCCATTCCAGCAGTCAATTCAGCAATCTGATTATCATTTAAGAACGCCATAAGGAGCTTCGGAATATCGAATTTCGTTCCATTTACGCCTTTACCTTGTTGATCCGGCCCAGCCTTTAGCAATGTAATAAGACTATCCAAGAATGGGAGGAAGAGTTTGTTGGTAGGGGTTGTTGAGCCTGGTCCAATGCCGTAGTAATAATGCAAATCCTGTGAGTATTCGTAGAATTCGAGCTCCTCATCCGTGAAAACGCCGCACCAAGGGCTCAGCCGACCGGTGATTTGGCTTTCAAATCCGCATAGATATGGCATGGAGAGGATGTCGGATTGGGTGAATTCGATGCCATCAACTAGGGAATTAATACGTTTCAGCACCTTTGGTGTCCAGATTGCCTCGTCTGCCATTCTAATCAATATCAAATGCGCGTCAGTGATGATTCTAGGGAGGGCATACAGTCAGTAGCATTATTAAAATCCGATCCAGAAGGCCCAGCAGCAAAAGCCGGACAAGCATCCGAAGGCCCCAAGGAATTGCCAATAGCATTCACGGACCCCGTTGAGTTGACACTGACAATTGTGCCATAGGCGTCCGCAAACTCGGCCAAATAGCCTTGCATGAACGCTTTGGCGGTTTGGACAACGCGGGATTCGTTGATTGGGCTGGCGTATTGATTTGCCCAGACATAGAACTGGTTTCCATCTTCGTAAAAGTTGGGGTCTATAAAATTGACCTAATGAGAGTAGCCCTGAAAAAAAAAAGCGTGTTGACTCTTATTCACTCACACCGAGCCCTTAGCTGATAACCCAAGTTATGGCCCTGTAATGTGTTAGTAACTATTACCACCAAGAGAAGACGCACACCGACCTCGTTGTAACCGGTCATGGACTCCTGTGAAATTTGAAGAGTCGGATTGGTAAGGACCGTCTTCCAATTGGGAATAAACGAAAGAGACCCCCTAGCAGTGAGGTTTCCAGCTGTTTTGGCAGCTTGGATCTGTTAAACCCATCAGTATGAGGCTGAAATCCGAACTAATAGCTTGTCAATTACCCTATTCCGGAGATCAACCCATCCAGCATAAGCACCTGAGTCTGGAAATCTGTGCCAACAATCAGTTAGCTTCAATGACTGTGTGTTCTAAATGAGGACGTGAATAGTACCTGCTCCCGTGTCTCACAATATAGGCAGCTTGTTTCACAGAACAGCCATCCGGAACTTCATTCGAGATACCGTATACATTGGGTCCTAACTCCAAATAACAAGGCTTCAATTTCCGCTGGGTCCCTTTTACCATTCTCAGACGACATTCAGTAGTACGTACCGGCTCGATAAGGAGAGTTAGCACCAGCCCACGCCAGAGGATCCTTTGCAGATGCAGATGCAGCGAATACAATATCGTCTGATGGTGCGAGAATCTGACCGACTGACGCCGTTGATAAGGCTGAGAACAGCAGAATCGAAGCGGTGATGGATTTTATTGAAGCCATCGCGTGGACTTTCCTTCTGACAGGACCCTTACTGTGACAAATCGAATGAGAAATGTTACATGGGCACTAAAATAACCCAATGCAAGCTGGATGGGTATGACTTGCTGTTTATATAGATGAGCAATTTATCTATTTTCACTCACATAGTTACTGAACCTATAGCATGCGCTACGAATCAGTGGTCACATACTAAAACTTATTTATGAGCCCTTCATCCCACGTGTTGCTAACGCATAATCATGATTTGTACTAGATTCAACGTCGATATTAATCTCCACTATCCGAAGTACTAACTACTCAGCCGTTATCTGATATAATCTATTTAACTCCTATTTGTGTAGTCTAAGTGGACGGTACCTGATTACATTTTTGACTCCTTTCCCCAAGGGGGATCGAGCGAAAGTTGTGTTTATAATAATGGATCTCTAATATATACATATGAACTAATCTCGGTATTCTCCTCTTGGATTCGTGGAGAAAATACATCACGGACTTCACACCGAAATGGGAACATCCGAATAAGCTATGATTTAGGGCAACGCTGCATAAAAAAAATCATGTTTGACTAGGTCCTTAGTAAGGTATGGCTAACGGGTCGAAATGGTTGATTTCAAGCAGAATACGCATATACCTTTAGGATCACCTATGACATGTGCATGGGTTTCAGAGTCACCTTCACAATAAGGTTATCGCGAGGTTAGGGTTACGGACTTTCAGGGGTTGCCGAATATTATGAAAACTAGAGTTTGATTTTACGGAGTCATATTTCCGTGGGTAGGGCACTGATAAAGGCTGCTCGGGGTTATGATACATCAATATATTGCTTTGCTCGTGTATGATCAGTAGCGTATCATGTCAGCTACATTTCATACCCCATACCTCTTTTCATTCGGGTGCAGGTTTGTATGAGGTAAACGACGAAACACGTCGAATGAGGTAAGCAGGTAGTAATAAAAAGACTCGGGGTCTATGCCTGCGATATAACAAGATTTTTGGCTCCTTTACCCTATTAAGCCGATATAAGCACATTTAATTATATAGTAGGTGCATTTTTGTATACAAAAGAGCCAGCCCCAAGCTTTCCAACGCAAAATGGAAGCTCATAACAAAAGAAAATCCCCAGTGGTGATCGGTGAAATCTCTCCGCGAGAGTGGAAAATGCAAGTATATGGTATTATGGCGAACCAGCAGTCTCTCTGATGATTGTGACTTCCTTTGTAACGCCGATACCCCCCTTTGTCTTAGAATGATCATCACTTTCATTGTCTCCGTTATCATTTCCGTTGATGCTGACGTGCACATGGTTATTGTTGGCCAATATTTGCTCATCGCTATCCCATGCCGTACCACCCGGAATCGACATCGGATTATGACGCCTGTTACTTCGACTTCGCAGTTCATGCCCCGTTCCTCTTTTGCTTGTAAGAGGGTGGCTGTTGGACGGACGACCGGAGGAGCTGAACAAGGCACTGAGACCGATTTTGTTGGCGCAGCTTCGGATGAGAGGGAAGATAATCGGGATATTGGCTACGGCAATCGAGACGAAAGTTTCGCGACATGCCCATTTGCTTCCTTGAACGGCGCCGTCGGGGCCGGACTATTTTAGAGGTTAGTATCAGCATGCATCACGGCCGGAAAGAAACGAACCGTGAGGACGACTGCTGCGCGAATAATTGATGCCGCTATGATGAACAATCCTCCACTGAAAAGTACCATCAAACTGATTTTCCTCTTGAGGCCAATGTCCACTTTCCAGAGGAGCTACATGGTTGCTAGTTAGCAATCATCCCGGCACCTAGAAAGCCATGGCGGAGAGATGGATCTGGACATACCGGTAAAGGAATGAACAACAGGAAGGCATCCGTCAATACGTTGAGAATCATAACGACGAGAATGTATACTTTCGAAACCGTAGGTTGACAGGTATCTGTTCCGAGATGTGAGTAAGAGTACGCCGGAAAGAATGTATCGACCGCTTACTTCCAGGATCAGGATCGATTTGCCAAAATTTGTTCATAGGCCGGCAGGAGAGGAGGATTGAAAGAGCTGTAGCAATATACGTAGTACCAAGCAGTATATAAGCAATATGCACGCGCATCTCAAACTGCGACAATCCCATACTATCCATCGGTTAGAGACAAGTGCACCAGTGACGAAGCGTGAGGCTGCGAATGAAGTCGGAAACTCACGTTAGGCGGGAATAGAATATAGCCAAACAGAACTTGCCCGACCATAAAGTCATCACGTAGATTGACCATCCCGCTACTTGAATCTTGGAACCCGACACACGCTGATAATATTCGTATGAGTTTGGATCCAAGGCGGCACGCTCCTCTGGAGTCATATAGCTGTTTGTCAAGCCATCGAATTTCGCCACGACCATGTATGCGAGTACCAATTCTGCAGTGAAAAGCACCTATAATAGAGATAATTAGCATGATAAACATGAATTGTAAGTAGAGTCAAAGAATGTACAGACGTACCCCGGTCAAGATCATCAAGTAGTCATCAAGCTGGAACTTTCTCAGGCCTACTAAATCGAAGCGAACATATGTTCGAAGGATAATCAAGGACAAAGCTAGCCCTAGCAAAGTAAAAGCCTCGACGTCTCCAGACGCGGCCGTCATCTTTGCGTTAGTTGTTGTGTCGGTTGAACTCCGCGGCCAGTTGAAGCGATTATCCAGAGATAACTATCAATGAGCGGTAAAACCAAGTCTAAACAGCCTCAGGTACCAAAATTCCTGGTGCGAAGGGCACAAATATTACTCATGACTCTCTTCCTGTGTAAAACCAAACCATATCAATCGATTGATGTACGACTAGATATAAGTACTATAGCATGCAACGGGAGTTGAAGAGAATCCATGGTCAGGGGAACGGGAAGGGATCATAGCCCTAAGGTTAAAAGTGTTACCATGGGACCGTTCAAGCGTTGAGAAAAGTTTGCAACGCTATATTGTGGAGTTTTCAAACCTTCACCACCACGAGGAGTCGAGACCCGCGACTCTTCGTGTTGGATTTGTGGCTTACGCAGGGTAAGTATGGCACAGTACACACACAGATCTTCCTTCAACTATCTAACAAGTGGAGTGATCGTCTAGCCAACAATGTACTGCACTCGCCGGAATTAGCAAAGGGACAAAGTTTCACTCGGAATCTATGCTCAATAGTGATGCTGAGCCATGCCAACAGGGATTGATCCTTGGTGATATTCGGCTCGCCACACCGAACGTGCTCTGAGCCTCTGACCCGACCCGGACAAAGGGGAGTATGGGTATTGGTGAAAGCTACTGATCGGATCATTAGTATAACCTCGATAATACAATTTTGAGACACCTTTATCTTCGTGGTAGAAGACTCAAAATCAACGCTTCAACAGACGAGCTTTAAGCTTCGCTGTCGTCCTGTATCCTGTCCCCGTAAGAAACGCCCGACTGTAGAGAAATCATACCCGTAGGTGTCATTGACATATCAGATTAGGCCTATAATAATCACCAATCCAGATTGATTGTTGCTTCAGACTGAACATCATTCGCTGAGTCTGGAAAGTGTTTTCAAATCCTTGTCCCTGTTTAACTTTTGTTGTTCCACCCTGTATGAAGCATGTATGAAAAAAATTCCTGTGTCAGGTTATTGGGCGGCATCTCAGCCCGCCTTGTGCCTTTCGCCGATCATTCTCAATGGATCCATGTAGTAATACACAGATATGGAGTAGATGAAGGGTCTACAGGGCTGGTAAGACAACGATCCTCGGCCATTTCTGGGTACTGGATAGACGCTGGGGCTATAGACCCTCAATATGGGCTCAGTCAAGATACTAGATCCTCGCTAAGAGAGTTAAGCCAATAGGCGATTATGTGAGAGTTAGGTTGGAGCTAAAACTTGAAAAGGGAAATGCTGCGCATTTAAACTCTAAATACGGGGTGCTAATCCTACTAATTTAGTATGAAGTTAGCACCGTTGGCTACATCGAAGATCAGAAGAAGAATTGGAATGGGAGCTATAATTACCAATAAGTACTCCGTACCTGGCTTTGAACTGTTGGCTTGCTGCTACGAACGTACTCACCCTTTCAGGTATCTCCATTCTCAAGAACTGCTCAAAAAGGGAAAGAAGAACTTCTCACTGATCTCCTCCTATTCCACTTAGGGTTCATGTAATTAGTTAACTAACTTAAGTTAACTAGTTATATGTTAAGTTACCTGCTTTTTCATAACGTAATCAGTTTTGAAGTGGAGCTACATAATTTCGCACTAATAGCCTTTGCATACTCGAGCTCCTCGTGCTTAGAATTCAAAGATTATTTCCTATGAATTGCTTGAAGAAACTGAATAGAGGAAGAACCTGTATTCGCTCTGGAGCGGGACACAATTCGAAGGCGTTTTGCTTGAAGATTATGAGAGAGAGCCCTAAGCAGGTGCAAGGTTAAGTTTCGATTGCCTAATTGGGCAATTTCCCGTGACCCTCGAAACCCTAAGTAGTCTCCATCATGATCAGCTTGGACCATTCGTTCCTAGCTACACTGCGAACTACACTGGGACTTAAGTAACTTCCTTTCAAATAAGATTATCTGTATCTTGGTCAGGGGAAAAAAGAAACCAGAAAAGAAAGTTTTTCCCTGAGATGCTGGGCCTATGAATTGAGGCTTGGCATTGTCTAGAATCTTCACACCAGAGACACTATTGAGAATTGAGAATTTTGTGGATATACTTACATCTGTTGGAGAATCCATTCTACACTCCGTGCCACTCGAGAATGGAGTTGCAATATTCTTCACGCAAGATACTCCGCGGAGCTTTTGGGCTCCAGTTCGGAGATAGATGTCTGGTAGCGATGGTTTGGCACGGTCATGACTCTACTCTAGTCGGCCGGTGAGTTCGCACTTGGACAGATTTTTTATAAAAATCGATACTCAGGCACCTTCCTTACACGAAGATTCAAGATAACTCCATTCATCTGTATGCCAACTTTGACTTCCAAGGTTGGAAGGCTAAGTAGTACAGAGTGCAAAGAGGGTCGAGTCGAGCTGGTTGACCAATGACCGCTTCTAGGTGGTCACAATATATGACCACATCGGGGTAATGGGCGATTACCATTCTTTTCGTGAAGGGGAATTGGCTCGCACTGCAAATCATCTCTAACCACATGCCAGTTATCACGCAATTGAGAACGAACCGCAGGAGATGCATACACAGTCTGAGCTGGGGCAGAGATGTCTCGGAATGAGAAATGTCGTCCTAAGTACAATGCCCAGTAGCAATAATCGAGGCCATCACATGATACCTCCTCATGAAATTACTATGAAACCAGCAGATACTTCCATGCTCGTGTCGGCAGCTTCAAGTATCATTTCGGAATAACCAAGGAAAAAATAAGAACCTCCTTACCGGCCAGATTCGTTCGCAGCTGACTAACAGGCCTCAACTGACATCACGAGTTTTGCCCTGTTTGACAGTATCTTGCTTCCACAATGAGAACAGGGGAATGATGACACTGTAGACGACAATCATAGGAAAGAATGAGATATAAAACGCATTATATCACCAATCATTACACATCATGCAAAAAGCAAGCAATATAGGTCATGCTATGTGATCCAAGATCAAATTGATTGCCGCAAGAACGAATCCTGCAGGCAACGCGAGTGGCAAGACGAGAACCATGAACAGTTCACACTAATGACAAACACCAATATTGAGTGAGCTCACAGTCACGCCTCAAAGGGGAGAGTGTTGAGGTGTGAAAAGTGGCAGTGAACAAGAGAGTTGGTCCATCGACGACGCTGGTCAATCAATACAAACAAAGTGGTAGGGCTGTAGTTATGCACTTTTGCAGTTGAAAAGTATCGTTATCGACACTCGGAGCCAAAATATCGGATAGCCAGAGTTGATAAATAACGATCTTCGCCAATTGAGAGGATATTATATTATGCAGAGTCTTTTCGTAGTTCCCCGAATAATCTTTCAATGTCTCTTGTTTTCTGCCCATTTGAATCGAAGATGGAAAAAAAAACCACTTAGCACCAGCAGCACGTTAAAACAAGCGCTTTTCACTGCTTTGGGAATAGCATTGGTCAGCCAGTACTCCAAGGCTTGACTGCAAGCCACAAAACTATCCGGGGGGTTGCCGATCCCTGTATACCATGAGAGTAACATATAAAATATGCCCAATCAGTAAAAGATTAATTGTTGCCTGCCTGAAGGCCAAATTTGATTATGAATAACCAGAACACTACTTGGTAGTGCAAGATGCGGAGCTAAATACAAGACAGGTGGGCGGCGGACAAAAGGCGAAATATGACTGGAGGCTGTAGGTATGACAGTCTACAGCTATCATTGTAGTATGTTGCAGGATCGGAGTGCAATCCTAGGATTACAGATGTGTAGATGCTCGCATGTCAATCACGACAGTATTCCAATGTGGTGTGTCATCATGGTTCTTGGATCATCCGAATAGCTCTAAGGGGCATGATCCTAGCCCTACCGTTGACCGGTCATCATTCCAACAATTCAGGTACATGATGCAGTCTGTAGTAGCAAACTGAGAAATATATTTGACGAAGCTCCTTTGAGACGAGCCTTTACGGACGTCTAATCAAGGCTCGCTTCAGGAATACTGACAAGAAGGTCGTACCAAGTCGTAATTTTTTTTAGCATCAATCTTGTACTCGAGTGTATAGATCGAAATATGAAGGCGTGTGCGTAAATTTGCGTGATTTTTTGGCCTTTGGTAGTACAGTGTCTCGGTTTTCAAAGGGTCTTGGTATGATAGTCACTCCTGGATACTTTATGGGAATGAATCTCAGAGCATATACACAAGACTGAAGAAACTCGAGGTACCATGGGATGTCTTTCGAGTCTCGGCTCTATCACTCTCGAACCTTGGAACTCATCCATCGACATGAACGGTTGATTCGACGCTCTCGTCTACTGTTCTGGCCGAGTATTTCACTCATCTATACATCCTCAGAGATTTAATCCAGGAGAACTATGATATAGCCCACAGTAATTATAGCCCACATAAACTAATCGTCCAGGGTAACGCCGAAAATGGTTAGCTTGCCGACACGCCCAGACGGGATTGAAACAATATTTTCATGCTTTGTACTATGTATCATTGTATATAGCCATGTCTGCTCTTTTTCCTATTTAATTTCCATATATCTTCAATCGAATTTATGCTTCTAATACAATACCGATATCTCAAAGATGTGCAGCCCATTTCTCACCATCTTCAGCGCAGACCCTGCCCTAGACCATCTTCATCTCTACGAAACCTCATAGATGTCCGACGATGGAGCATTTATAGCTGCATGACGTCCTCAGGGTTAATCCCTAATCATCCTTCCATTGCACCGACCATTAATGAGTTATACGCTCATGAAGACAAATAATCTCCAGATATTGGATATGGATGTATTGATGCTGTTACCACCTAGGCAATTGTACAAGGTTACTCCATCAAGGAAGATTAATTACCGTGACACAATCTTTCAGCCATATTTATCACTTCTACCAATAGGAAACTGCAGAAACCTACTAAAATACAAAGCCAAACCACTTATGGCATCATGACCGGATATCATACAGAATATTACGAAGTCAAAATTACTAGCAAGGGTCGATTTCATGTCAAATCGCCAATATTGACTCTTCTTGAATCTGTAAAGACTACGACAATTCCTTCGAGAAGGACAGAAATGTTACGTACTAATCTTGGAAATCTTAGTAGCAGTCTTGGTCTGGAGGAAAGAAAGAATGAACAAAGTCGAAGAAGATATTCTCTGTCCAAGTCCAAGAGCCAAGAGCCAAGACTCCTTACCCCTGAATTGCTGCAATTATCACGACGCAAGGACTGCCATAGAATAAGCGTAATTAAGCATAGGAACTTAGTTAAGCAGTCCCTTTTTAGTAAGAAATAGTAAAAGTGGCACATCGTGGCTGTCATTGGCTCCTTCCGGACGGGGTCCCTTCTTTCTCCAGCCAACAACACAACCATCCCCCTTGACGCTTTCTCTTTTGCAACAGTATCTCAACAACTTCTCTTCTGACACCTCGTCTTTCTATAAGTCTTTTCCTGGCCCAGTACATCGCTTGTGGCTGTCCGCTCCTTTCTAACCCGACGAACCTTCAATCTTTTCGATCAATCACCGTCCAGACGATCTCCACTTGTCTTGGGCCGTCACGCTCGACCACTCGCCCCTGCAACAAGTACATGTCTCACCTCGAAACCTAGCCGTCAACTATCACTATCACCTGTCTGAAATAAAGCCCTCGATTATTCACGTGCTTCGACCTTTATTCACGACGGTCAACCCCAATGTTGACACTCGTCGGTGCCTTACGCTCGGGACGTGACCAACACCATCATCACAGTTCGTCAATTGTTGCGCCGGTCGCTGATCCGTCCGGGTAGGAAGACTACACATCATGTCTTCTCGACTCGATCTACTTGACCTTCGCTCTGGTGGCTCCGACTCCGCCAGAGGAAGCCCAACCCCTCGCATGCCGTCGCCGCGCATTCAGCACTTCGACGGCGAAATACCTCCCACCCTCTCTCCGCTCGATGCATTCGCAATGCAAGGTCGTCTACTGGCGAGACAACTGGACGAATCTATGAGGCGGGATAGGCGAATGAGCAGATTACCTCCTCAGAGTGTAGCACGATCTTTGTCGCAGCCTCGACCTGGTACTTTCGCACTGGTTCAACCAGTCCCAAGATCGCGCAGAGCAGCTCGAGCCAGACCCGAGCGCACATCATGCTTTCGAGGAAGACAAAATTAGGCTCATCGCAGCACCCCGGATAGCGGTATCGATGCTACACAGCGAGAGCGTGATCTGATCAACTCCGTCCAGAGACAGAGACCGACTAAAGACTGCCGGTGAATATTTTCGTCGCTAAGAGCAGATCTCCAGAGGAGGATCCATCATTACTCCAGACCAGATCAACCAGTACTCCATCTACGAATACAATGCCACATATTCGAACACCATCGAATTCTCGCGAGTCATCCTACGATTCTATCCCACCACCCCAGGTGTCCACTACGTTGGCACCTGCATCGCCGATTCCTCCCTCCTTGTATTATTCCCCACAACCAGAAAGTTCTGACGACGACTATACCAGTTCGAATGGAGGTTCAACGTGGTCAAAGTCGCGGAAACTATCTACAGGCAGCGGAATATCCATGCCGCATTCGCCCATGTCTCCGTTTGTTCGCTCACATCCACGATCGCCGTCCGTCAGCTCAGAAGCTTCCAATTACCTACCACGCCCATCCTTTAATTTCTCTCGCCCGCTCAGTCGTTCTAGCACGAGTATGAGTTTGTCAGCGCCGTCACCAGTTATGCCTTCCGAAACGCCATCTCAGCCCAATTCGAACATTTCAACACCAGTTTTAGCGACGCACTCGACAAATGGGATACGAAGAGAGAATAAGCCAGCGCCGATTGTTCTCGGCGCAGAACCCATGTCTGCAGTGGGCGAGGAACCGCCCTCATCTGCCGTTGAGTCGTACGTGTATGCCAAGTATTCCCTTCCTCGTGGACGTATGGTTTCGAGAAATTCATTGGTGTTTGCCGGGTTGCAAACCCCTCATTTCGAATGGAAGGAGCCTCTTTTCCAAAGTTCACCTCCGCAAGAGCGCCGAACTCCGTCTCCAGAGGCACATTTCAAGGAAGCTCCGACCAATGCTACGTTTAATACTCGGCCGCCTGATACTCCACTAGAAGTGCCTACACGGGTCGATCCCCTTGATACTGTTCCTACGACAGTGCGCCAATCGCACGAAATTGTTCGAGAGACAGGCCAGCATCCTGTTTTGCAACGTTCATATAGCGAGCGCCTGGATGACGCGACGTCGGTGTCAACAGAGTCCAATAGCACGATCCGACCTCCCACTTCGAAGACGACGGCTACATCACCAGCAATGGAGCAGACGGCCGAAGAGCATGTCGAGAAGGGTATTGAATGTCATGAGAAAGGAGCACTGCAGGAGTCGACTTATCATTTAAGAATTGCCGCGAAACAAAACCACCCGACTGGCATGTTATTGTATGCCTTGGCTTGTCGACACGGCTGGGGCATGCGACCGAATCAGCGAGAAGGCGTGCAGTGGCTGCGAAAAGCAGTTGACTCAGCCGGACTCGACATTGGCGAAGACGACGAAGCGCCCGCAGGTGGCAGGGATGCAGCAGCTCGTAAAGCTCGTCGGGCGCAATTCGCTCTTGGCATCTATGAGCTAGGAGTTAGCCATTTGAATGGCTGGGGGATTGAGCAGGATAAAGTTTTGGCGCTCCGGTGTTTTGAAATTGCTGCGCAGTGGGGTGATGCGGATGCTCTTGCGGAGGCAGGATTCTGCTATGCAGAGGGCATTGGGTGTAAGAAGAATTTGAAGAAGGCTGCTCATTACTATCGGTTGGCGGAAGCCAAGGGCATGAGCATGGTTGGAAATAGCTGGTACGTCCACAGTGGAGATTTGATATGCAAGAACTGACGATAAGTAGGATCTACAAAGACAAATATATGAGTGATGACGAGGACTCGAAGCGATCTCGACAGCCACGCAGACGAGACACGGGCGCATCGGACAAGAATCCACGCAGTAAATCTCGAACACGCAGTATTTTTGCACGAAAAAAATGATTCCATTCGCGTATATATTCCTTTACCTTCAATTTTTCCTTTTCTACCAATTGCCTTCGTTACTTTTCTTCTGTACGGCACGGTCCTGTTCTTTTCATTGATACCCTTTCACTATTTGCCGGGTCAATCCTCGTCCCGATAATGTTTCTAACATGCTCTTCTGCGAATGATGCTTTAGTTTGATGCATGAATACATCTGTTCGATATCCATTATTCCGTTTCCGTAAACTAAGCCACTCCACGTGCAAGTCGAATACCTAGGTCTATCCCTTCAAATTCATAGTAAAATAGCTCGTGAAAACACCCAACCTCGGTATCACACCAAAAACCCAAAGAGAAACCAACAGCAAGACTCAAAATGAGCTCGGATCCCTTTATACCAGAAAATCAGGGCAAAATAAGAAAAAGCGGGCAGATTGTGGCTTCGGCGTAGGTGTCAATAAACGGACATCTACCCCAGTCTCCCGGTCTAGTCGATACATATGCACTAGTAAGTAATATACTACCCAACCCCGTAGTAACCCAGTCAGTTGTCTAGAATCTGTCTTGGCTGGTAGACATGATTGGGTCTTCTAGGCATAAAGTGGACGGCGTAAGAGTCTGATACATGGGAACGGAAGAACCGGGGTTTGTGGGGGAGTATCAACCCTATTCCCCATTCCGAGTGCGTCCTCCGGATTTTGCTTTTGGGCTTGATGGCAACGGTTGAACGTCGAGATGAAGACATGTCCTAAAGATCAAGACATGGTTGATTGTTCCAGATTGAATATGTTTTAGTAGATTGTGTTGCTGATCAAGGGTGGATAGATCGGATGAAGCAGTCCTTCATACTGAATCCATGCCCATAACATCCTTAACTTATACCTTAATTAACATCTCATTCCACCAGCTTCATGCATAGGTACTTTCCTGTCTTGGACTCTGGAAGCTAAAAGACTCGAATATCCCTGACTGATACACCGCAATACAATCCATGGTAACCATTATGCTTCCGAGGGCTCCTTAAGCCAAGGGATGGATAGATGAAATGCAAGTCTAAATTAAGTAAGAATTAATCAATCCATGCAATGTTCGTGTGATCCTAGTCTGATTCGAGGACCCAGAGAAAAAAAATTTTACCAATAGATACGCCTTCTTCCATCCCTACTTTTCCTGATAATTCTTTTCCTGTCCGGAATTGTCTGCTCTGATTGATCCCCCGCTATTTCGTCTTCACGGGTATATAGAGGTTGTCCGACCCATTTCAAACAGACAGATCAGATTGTATACTTATATCGGACGACTCGGCGACCAACAGAAAATGTCCGACAAAGACGAAGTCCAGTACAGCACCGCTCAACCCGTCGTTGAACGACCCAGCTTCTGGAGCCGGGTCGGCGCTCATTTCAAGAAATGGTGGTGGGCTCACTTTATTGTCTTTGCGATTGTGGTGTTGGTTATTACTTTACCTCTGTATGTCCCTTTTCCCTATCTCTAGAAGATATGGTTCTAATTGTGAATAGGGTATACGTCGGCTATCCCAAAATTGCCCAACACGACGTAAACAAATCGACCCTCAACATCACAAACCTTGCCTTCAGCGACCCAACCCCAACATCAATCCACATCAACCAAACTCAAGTCCTAGGAAATAAAGCAATCTACCACCCAACCATCTACGCATTCAACGCTACCATTGCCCTAGTCGGCGCAACAGCCCCTTTAGCTGTGGTACCCGTACCACGAACGGAGACTAACGATGGCGCCGTTATTGTCGTTGATTCGAACCTGGATCTGAATAATACAGAGGCAGTTACAAATTTCTCCATGGCGGTTTTGGGTTTGGAGGAGTTCCAGTTGAATATCTATGGACGGCCAGTTTTGAAGGAAGGTCCTTTGCCGAAGCATACGGTAACGTATAATAAGACTGTTACTATGAAGGGTACCCCTCCCTGCCCCTTTTATTCAATCATATGTTAAATACTGACAAAAACAGGACTGAACGGCCTCAAAGGCTTTGAACTCCAAGATATCAAAATCTCACTCACCCCCGGCGCAGATGGCACAAATATGAATGGAACAGTTTTCATTCCCAACCCCAGTGCCATAACCGTTTCGATGGTACTCCCCTCCCCTTTTCTCTTCATGCTTGTATACTAATCAAAGACAAAGGGAAATGTAACCCTCGACGTCTCCGTAAACAACACCCAAATCGGCCAATCCTACCTGAACGACCTCACCCTCCGACCCGGTCCAAACACAATCCCTTTACGCTCAACCATAAACCAAACCCAAGTCATCGGCCTTGTTTCAGGCAAAAACGCCCCTTTCCCATCGGGAATCATCCCGCTCAGTATCCTGGGTAATTCCAGTGTGTATAACGGCGTCGAGATTCCGTATTACTCCAGGGCGTTGGCCATGAATCCCCTCGAGACGACGATGAATGTTACGCAGGTATTGATTAACTCAGGATTGGGGGCGTTGGCGGGTGTTTTGTAGTTTTCTTTTGTTCTTCTGTCCAATTTTTGAGTTTTTTGGTTACGGCTTGGATATCCTACCTATTTCCTATTTGGGTAGGGAAGTAGAGCTGTGATACCTGCATTGTACTCGTCGTAATAAGTTTATATTCACTTGTATGTATTTTTATTCAGTCTATATACGTAGTTAAATTGTGATCTACAAATGCATACTATTAGGGAGAATACATGGATACCTATGTCCTTAAGGTTGTGATTAGATAGATGTAGGTGTCCATATTATGTACGTACAACTCTACTCGTCTTCATCTGCTTATTAGTACCTCAGTCGTGTCATACATGTTCATCACATGAAATGCTTTTGATTCACAAAACCTCCATACTATAACAATAGCATGAACAACTTTTGTTTTGGAAAGAACAGAACCCTCCTCACTACAGTAGTATACATCGTACACCCCAGCAGCTAAAAGTCGTGTAGCGTGTTGTACCCTGTTTCGAGTAAACTGTTGGCTCCTCGTTTATCAGCTGTGATATGCCAATAAAATAACCCGCCGAGCCTCGACCTGGTCACGAACTTCGCCTTTTGTTCAACCGTCTGCGGGGTATCGTACGACACGAATCCCCCATCCGTTCCACCAACGCAGTATGCTGCTCCAGCGGACTCGTCGTAGACTTCTTTGGCGCCTGGTCGAGGGAGATCACTGTAATCGAATACCCCATCATCTCCATCCGTACCAGTGTACGGTTGATTGACGTTGTCGGCGCCAACAAAGGACCTTCCATAGACTGGAATTCCCGTCAGGATCTTATTGGATTGGACACGTTGACTCAGTATGTATGTAACCGCGGAATGGCAGGAAATTGCAGCGGCTTCGTTGCATGGATTGGGCGGCGTGTACAACTGAGATTGATGTCCTGTTCGATCGAGCCAAGGTCCCGAGAAATCATAACACATGATCATGAACAAATCCACATATTTCTGGGCCACCGTCAGATTGATATATTTCAACGCCCATTCTCCAGCTGGTAATGCGCAGGTCACAATATACCGCGGACTAGGTAAAGCAATCCGTAGTTGTGATAACAGATAAACAAAACTCTCGCCTTGCTGAAGATCCGAGGGATGTTCCCAATCGACTGCATATATTAGCATATCCGTCCATTTCTGTTCAGCTCTTTGCAGAAATACCGTCAATCCCATCCAGCCCGAATTGATCCACCAAGGCGCGGGCACTGTATGCAAAGTTTGCAACCGCCGTCTGACTTTTGGCTACCTTTGCAAAGTTCTCGCTGCCCTTACCACTACCTCCTATTGATAAAATGACCTTCAACTGCGGATATTGCTGCTTGAGCTGAGTGAAGGCACGGAGACAGCCCTCGGTTCCGTCGACTGGCATTTGCGAGTCTGCCCACTCATCGCTGAGCTGTTGATGGATTAGTGGATGAAGTTAAACCGTAAGAGACGACGTACATAGACTTGTCCATCTTCCTTGACCCTACAATTCGTTAGTTTATTTCCGCATATAGAGATGGCTGTTGGGAGTACCAAGCAAAAGCGTAAAACACATGAGACACAAAGCCCAGCCTCAAAGAGGACGGTGGCTGTTTCTTGTATATCCTCCAATTCGGGTAATAAGCGGCATTCGCATAGATTGGGATATCAAACGCTGCCGAACTCGAGGAAGAGGAAGCCAAAGCCGATGACGGCGTGGTGGATGAGGGATCGTTTAGTGCAGGAACTGTCCAGGCATTGTTGGGAGCTGAGATGGACGGCGTCATGAACGAATACATGTGTGTAAAGTGAGGTTTGATCTTCGTTTCGCAGAGGGTTGTTCAGTCAAAGTTCGGTTTGTTGACTGATGGATTAGTATATCAGCCGAGGCATTCGCATTTTACAGATCCCGCTTCGATAGGGCTGTCTAATGCGGGGAGTCCTGGAGATGAGGAGACAGGGGACAATAGCGAGCGTCGGTGGGTTTTACAGATCGTCCGTGAGTGAAAGAATAAGGGGGATAAGACTGTATAGTGTAAGAAGAAGAAGAAGAAGTAATGAAGAGAAGTCAAGAAGAAACAAAGACCGGGATAGCGGCAGGAAGGAAGCAGGCACCCGAAAGAGGAAGTGGGTATTTTACTTATATTCCACTAGGCAGATTGATACTTGTGTCTCTGTAGGTAGGTATGTATTCATTCATTCGTTATGGCTCTTCATACGCGCCATATAGACAATAGACACTGGCATACTCATCCCGTATACCCACATCCGAACCGACGACGCAAACCCGTTATCCTCATAATTTGGATCGACAACAATCCACTTGTCTGTCAATCTGACTCAGTCAACCTGTAAGAAACAAACTGACATTACGCCTCGCCTCGCGGAGAGAGGGGCCAGCTAAGCCTCGACTCTCAGACATGTCACTTCAACCCCATAGTTAGATGTAATGTAATGCACGGCGCACTCCGCAAAACGAAAACCCAGATCGCGCCGATCCGGCCTGGATTACGTAGTCTAGTTCTTAATATATGTCCATCGAATAGATGAAAAGATGCTAGTGAATGCAGAAATGATGCTAGAGGAAAAAAGGTCACGAGATACTGTTCTGTCCCAGCAAGCCAATCAGACACTCGTCCGGGATACTTTTTCGGTCTTCCCTGTAGCCTTTTGGCTTAAAGTCTTTCTCACGGACTCAGACTGAAGAGCACTCTTACCAGCGATTGGAGAAAAATTTTTCATCCTTTCCAATGAATCCACCACGGTGAACTCATTCGGGGCGGGGTTGGACCATGACCTGCATTAGCTGATGTTCGTTTTGCGCGCTTGCCTGAATAAATCCATCTCTTCTCCAGCCTCCAGCACACAGGCACACGACATGGGCTCATTCGTTTTCGCTTCTTCTTCTCTTCTACAAACTAAACGAGTCCGATAATCGGTTGTCTGAGACCAGAGACAGCTTGTCTCTGGTCTGGAGGCGTCGTGAAGGGTGTACGGAGTATGTACCCCACGGATACGAGTCAAGCAGATCTATACGAATGCAACTAAACAATAGCCCGAACTAGACCAGTCCGGGATGTCGTTGCAACAGTCAATAATATCGATTCTTCATTTTGAGAGAATATATGAATGCTATTGAAGATATCACGAAATACTTAAAACATTTAAATGTTCGTCAATCAATCCGAGGGAAAAAAAGAAGACCTTCCGATATGCTTGGCACGTCTTGGTTTTTTTAACCCTAACCCTAATGCCAACCCTAGCACTAGCCCTAGCCCTACCCTAGGTACTGAATAGGGCTACGAGATGATGAAAGTCCTACTGAGGATTCATAGTGTGATGAAGGGTGCTTCCAATGCAAGTAACTGTTTCTTTACGAAAGGCGTCAATATAGAAGAACAGGGCCATAGCAGCTGTCGCATCTGACATATAACTAGGGAGCTACCGAGCCCACAGACAGTATAGAAATTGTATGGCCCCAATCTTCAAGTCCTATGCCCATGTGGAACGCACCTTACTAATGCGAACCTGCACATTATCTGTACTTCCACCAGTAGAGAAAAGCCTGGCATACGTAGCATTGTCGGGAGGGAATATCTGAGCTGTTATCGTGCTCTCTCCCTGCCCTCCAAAGACCTCCACGCTTGACCAATCTACAAAAATACGTAAAGACACTGTGTTATCTGGAGCTGGTGAAAGAGGAGCAAAGTAGACACTTGCGAACGTGCTGTCGAAAGAGACATTCCCTGATTGAGTCCGATCAACGAATGCCTGCTTCGTGGCGAAGTCGTATCCAACCCGTGTCTGTTGACTGAAGTCCTCGGAGGCTCGGATGCTGATTCCAGACTCGGAGCTTCCTTGGACTGCACCCGGTGCAGTCTCTCTGCTGGAGAAGGTCAACTGGATTTCGAGTGCTTTTCCAATATCACCCAGTTCATGAACGTCAGCCACTGAAGGGAACGCTGATACGATAGCCTCCTCAGCGATAGAAGCCCAGTTTTCTTGGGGTGTTTGAACCAGTGCCGTCTTCTGGCCAATTGTTCTCAACGACAGGTAACGAGGAATACTCATTGCGCTGCGCCAGGGACTCGTCGGTATCGATTGCCCGTATTGCCAATTATTCATCCATCCAATGAGCGTCCGCTCATACTCTGGAAGGCCATTGTAACCAATGGCAGCGTAGAAATCCGGACCTCTATCGAACCAGTTGGCGGTGTCATTCGAGGGAGCCGAGATACTGCCCACATCTGCCGTAAATGTAGTCCCGTTAAAATCGCCCAAAAAGTACTGAGTTCCCGATCCCACAGTCCCTGGAGGACCTCCAGGATTGAGGCCCACAACAAGAACCCATTTGATATTTGATTCGTCATTATTGACTGGCAACGGGAAGAGACTAGGACACTCCCACTGGCCGCCCACAGCGTTGAGTGGCCCAAACACGCTCACCAAAGTCCATTCCTTCAGATTCGGGGATGTGTATATGAGCAGCTTATGAATGTTGGCAAGACTCATAATAACCACCCATTGTTGAGTCTGCTCGTGCCAAAAGACATTCGGATCACGGAAGTTTTCCCATTGATCCTGGTATTGGGCAGGGGGTTCGAGAATGATTGGGTTGGCCTCATCGTACGTGGTCCACGTTTCTCCCTGATCGAGACTGTAGGCAATAGACTGCCCTTGCTGGTTTGCGCGAACTTGCTTTCCACTTGGCAATACTTGTTCTACAGGGTACTAAAGTCCATTAGTTCTGGAGAACAATTGAACCTCAATCCCTAGAACTCACAGAAGACGTATACATGGAAATCCACGGAATCTTTCCATCGCTACCAAAACCACTGGTATTACGTTCATCAATGACAACAGATCCAGAGAAAAACATCTCAGTAATGTCATCTGGGAATCCTCGCGCGAGTAGAGCAACAGGCTGTTCTTTCCAATGAGTAAGGTCACTACTCGTGGCGTGGCCCCAGGACATTGCTCCCCATGTATCCCCGCCTGGATTGTATTGATAATACAGATGGTAGGTGCAATTATCATATACGAGGCCATTGGGATCGTTCATCCAGTTTTTGGCCGGGCTGTAGTGATACTGAGGCCGGTATGGCTCCGTATACGATTCATGCGACTGGCCTGCATCAACCTGGAGTATTAATGCACCCAAAAGGGTGGCATTGAGCGGATGGTAGACCTTCATCGACGTTAAGCTCTGGATTAGGAATAGTTACTTGTACGGACCGAAGATATTGAAAGCATATGGTGGCACGGATGAAGTCGATGCTGCTTCCGCTTTATATACCTAGGTAATCATGCATTGCTAGTTAAGACTCTGTTTTCAGCGACTAGACGACGCCGAAGGAGAGGTCACGGTCGTGTGTTATTGTGGAGATTCCGATTCTCAGCGTTTTCTCGTTACATTGAGAGGAAGCATCCACCTTGGCTTGGCCTTCGCATATTTCCAAGACCCTGGCATATGCGAGAATTGTTGCTATTACGAGAAGAAGGATTGGGATTTCTGAGAAATGGTGGTTGATTGTGGAGGTTCTAGTCAACATGTCATTTAGTTAGGGTCAGGAAGGCCATGTGACTTGCCGCAAGCCTATGATAAATAACTTCTTGCATTTAGTCGGAGCTACGACGTCCGGCTAGGAAAAATTTATCGACGCATTTCCAGCACTGAATAAGTCAATGTGATTAACTTGAAGTGTGGTCGGAACATGCATCCAAGCTCTTTCAGATACTGCATTATGATAGGGTTGAGGGGATTTGATGCAGGCACGGAGCAGTGCTCTCCGTATCTATGTATGCAAGCCCAACAACCTAGAAAATCTTCCTCAGCTTTTCACCGCGAGGAGAATGAGGGTCCAGGCCAAGATCACGTACAACGTGGGCCTTTGAATCAGCGTCCTACTGTAAGTTATGAGACAATTGTGGATTTGGAATTTGGAAATTGCTAGAAAATCGGCCCCATTGTACCAGTACACCAAGGACTGAGCGCCAGAAATTACGGAGATATCCACTCCGTCAGTAACAGCTCAGGCCCGGTATAGCTCATGTTGGGTTTCATGAAACGATTTTCCTTGCATCGTAAGCATTTCAATCCTTGGTCCAAGTACGGAGAGGGTACCATTTCTATACTTACGTAGTAAGGGTATACTAAGAAACCTTCTCCAGCCTTTTTACTCCGCAAATACGGAGTGATTCAGGGTTCATCCTCAAAGTCTAGAGTTTTCCCATAAGTCCTATTCACACCGGAATATGAGGGGGAGACGATCGCAGGGAATAATCTAAGACATACTACGTACTACGTACATAGATAATCAATGAACTAGGAATCGGGATCTCAAACCACTCAACAGGCTTGGAAGTCGGTGAGTGCCCGCGTGATCTCCTCGCCTTGGTCTCGGTAAGCCGAGTTCACAATGCTCAATGATGTAGGTCAAGCATGCAATTAACCTACTCCGTGAGGCCGTAAATAGTCGTCGACGGGCTTTTATCGGGACGCCACGAAGTTAGTTTCTTCGCTTTTTTTTTCTGTGGATAAGTTAGGCACACGGTAAACCGTGAGTGATTTTGGACGGTTTCAGCTGCTCGGGGTGATCTTTAGCCCTAATTCGGCAATTCGAAAGTCGGCTTCTCCGTTTCGGGTGCCGATCCCTTTTCACCGGAAGGATTCTGAACGTTGGGAAAACTTCCAAGAATTGCAAACGGGCTAGAGGCCAGAACGCTGTTAATTCGTTGATAATTATATTATTAGTGGGGAGAACAGTATGGTCACGGCCCACGGGGGGATTCTGGAGTGAGAGCGATGTTTCCCCAGCCTTCCACTCCCCATGGAGTCTCCAAATAAATACCACGCTCTGCACCCACTTCCACGAGGTCTCTCTTGTGAGCGTCAAGAAAAGAGAGGACTGTCATTTCAAGTTATATTTTGTATCTCTTGCTTTTACCGTTCTGAAAATGGGCTTCCTTATCAAAAAGCCCGCCGATAGCCCCGGCAAGGCATGGCCGGCAATCCTCATCAGTGGCTTCGTTGCATTCGGTGGTATTCTATACGGGTGAGTCTGGTTTTCTATAGCTTTTCTTCGAGGATAGCCAGTCTAATCATACCATTGCTCTAGCTATGATACCGGCACTATCAGCGGCATTATCGCGATGCCCTATTGGCAAGAAACCTTCTCAACCGGCTATAGAGACAGCACTGGCCATTTAAACATAACCTCCAGCCAGACATCAGCCATCGTGTCAATTCTTTCCGCCGGAACTTTCTTTGGTGCTCTTTGCGCCGCCCCAATGGGTGACATTATCGGTCGTCGTTGGGGTTTGGTTGCCTCGAATGGTGTCTTCGCATTGGGAGTTGCCCTGCAGGCCGCTGCAACGGCCATTCCTATCTTCCTTGCTGGTCGATTTTTTGCTGGGTTTGGAGTTGGTCTTATCTCTGCACTAGGTTAGTATCTTGTTTTCCTTCGTGCGTGTACAAAGAACGCAGCTGATTGATGTTATATTAGTTCCTCTCTATCAGTCAGAGACCGCCCCCAAATGGATCCGAGGTTTTATCGTAGGTTCCTACCAATTCGCAATCACCATTGGCCTTCTCCTCGCATCGATTGTGAACAACTCAACCCATAACCGGGACGACTCTGGATCCTACCGCATCCCAATTTCACTTCAATTCGCCTGGTCCATCATCCTAGTGGTCGGTGTTCTTATTCTCCCAGAAACGCCGCGCTATCTCATCAAGAAAGACAACTACAACGGCGCTCTAAAGAGCCTAGCCAGACTCCGCCGCCTCCCTCAGGACGACCCTGCCCTACGCGATGAATTAGAAGAAATCGAAGCGAATCACCGATACGAAGTCAGCTTGGGAAACAGCGGCTATCGGGAATGTATCCGTGGAAACCTTGCAAAGCGTCTTCTTACGGGTTGCCTCATCCAAGCCTTGCAGCAATTGTCAGGTATTAATTTCATCATCTACTACGGAACTCAATTCTTCAAGAACTCCGGCTTCAAGAACGAGTTCATCATTAACCTCATCATCAACTGCGTTAATGTCGGTTCTACTATTCCCGGTCTCTATGCTATTGACAAATGGGGTCGACGACCCGTCCTTCTGCTGGGAGCTGTTGGCATGACTGTCTCACAGCTGATTGTTGCCGTTGTCGGTACTACTACCAACAGCCAGGACGCTAACGGCAATATTATTGTTCTCAACTACGCCGCTCAGAAAGCTGCCATTGCTTTCATCTGCATTTATATCTTCTTTTTTGCTGCCTCTTGGGGTCCAATTGCTTGGTAAGTCTCTTTTTTCTCCTTCCGTGTTTCAGTGAGGACCGCATAACTAATAAATATTAGGGTCGTGACTGGTGAGATTTTCCCTCTCAAGACCAGAGCCAAATCACTCTCCATGACCACCGCAACCAACTGGCTCATCAACTGGGCATTGAGTTATTCGACTCCTTATCTGGTCAACTATGGACCGGGGAATGCAAACCTGCAATCCAAGATTTTCTTCATCTGGTTTGGTTGCTGTTTCCTGTGCATAGCGTTTGTTTATTTCATGATCTACGAGACAAAGGGCTTAACACTAGAACAAGTGGACGAGCTTTACAATGAAGTAAAGGATGCTCGCAAGAGTCCTGGCTGGCAGCCAACTCTCACCTTCAGGGCAATTCAATCTGCCAAGACCCAAGAAGTGGAAGACAAGGAAGCGGTTGAGGAGCGTCACGAGTTTGGCGATGGCAATAAGGCTTGATGGAGTATGTGGAAGGGGGAGATGGAAATTCAACTCACGCGGCTACCTTATATATGTCAGTCGTGAGAAATCGAACGTTTTGTTCTTGTCAACTTGAAGTAAAATTATACTTAAAGTAGATTGGTTGCGTTCTCTCGCAGTAGAGTGTTGAACGGTAACCGGGTAAATAATAAGTCCGTTCCCGATATGGTTTAGTGGTATTATAGCGAATATCAAATAGCTCTAAGCTTACTGATATTCAACAACTTGATCTCGTAATCACTCATCAAACACCGTCAAGGATCAACATGGCAACAGACGTGCAGTCAGTCGTAGACAGACTATTAACCGCCGACGCATCCCATCCACCTCCCAACTACAATTTCTCCTTCACGCCGTACCTCCGCAAAACATTTGGCTTCGGTCTTGCCACAGACGTCCCGGTCTGTAAAGCCTTCAAAGAAGGCCACTGTCCACTTGGTCCAACCTGTCCTGACCGCCATCCCACTCCTTCTAGAGTTACAACCTCATCTACAAATGCATCCGGCCTCGCGCCGTCCGTCACACATGGCTCTCTTGTCTGCAAACATTTCTTAAAGGGACTGTGCAAAAAGGGCTTCAAATGCGAATATCTACACGAATATAACCTGCGTCGTATGCCCGAATGTGCGTCTTTTTCTCGATCCGGATACTGTCCCAACGGCGAAGATTGTCTATACCATCACGTACGCGAAAATGCCCGATTACCGCGTTGTGAACACTACGATCGTGGTTTTTGTCCTCTTGGACCCATCTGTGCCAAACAACATGTTCGTCAGAGTCTATGTCCGTTCTACCTAGCTGGATTCTGCCCTGACGGAAAAAACTGTCAACATGGTGCTCATCCACGCTGGTCTGACAGTCTGCCCAAGCCGCAAATACGTGTCGAGAAGACAGAAGAGGATTTGGAGAGGGAACGGGCTCTGATTCGAGAGGAACAGGAGAGAGAGGAGGAGAGACAACGGGAATGGAGGAATGAACGTGGTCGGGGTGGGTTTATGCGGTATAGAGGACGAGGCCGGGGGAGAGGGATGTAATGATTCTTTTATCTCTTTGGTTATGTTACGATATGCATGGTTGGATTAGATATACCCGAATGGCGTTGGCGTTGGCGTTTGTATCTATTCTTGAGCATACCTTGGTAGTTAAAGGTCTTGACCGTTGCATTTTCATTCTAGCTCGATTCCACAATCCACTGATTTGCTACACAATTAATCATCATGTGTGGCGCTGATTAATCCAATCTAGCTGTCATTGAGCACATTATTCCGCATTCCATGGCTGCCCTCGTCATCATCTTAGAAATCCATCGGATAAAGAGAGCAACGGAAATATCTCAATTCAAAACGGGTTAGTGTGCTTTGTCAGGATTTTGTAAGCTCAGTAACGGATTACTCTGGCCAATCAGCGCGCGAGGTGATGGCATTTCTGATATGGTGGGGTAAAAAGCCATCAAAAGAGCTCCCTCGAAGCTATATAAGCACTGCTCTCGCCCTTCTCGGAGCTCAATCTTCTTTCTCTCTATCAATTACAAGCCTACTTCGTTTCAATTCAATTCATTTTTTTTTAGCGAAACCTTATACCCAACCGTCACAATGGCTAAGATTGCTATCGTTTTCGTATGTATCTCTACCTATATAGGGATCCCTCAGATGATCAGCTAACTAGGATTAGTACTCCATGTATGGCCACATTGCCAAGTTGGCCGAGGCTGAGAAGAAGGGTGTTGAGGCTGCCGGTGGCCAGGCCGACATCTACCAGTATGTTCTTTCTCATTCTAGCCAATTGACTGTTAATTGCTGACTTTCGTCTTCTTAGAATTGCTGAGACCCTTCCTGAGGAAGTCTTGGCCAAGATGGGCGCTGCCCCCAAGACCGACTACCCCATTGCTAAAGCTGAGACTCTCCTTGAATACGATGCCATTCTCTTCGGTATTCCCACCCGATTCGGAAACTTTCCTGCCCAGTGGAAGACCTTCTGGGACAGGACCGGTGGCATCTGGGCCAACGGTGGTTACTGGGGCAAGTCTGCCGGTGTCTTCATCTCTACCGGTACCCTCGGTGGTGGTCAGGAGTCCACTGCCATCTCTGCCATGAGCACTTTGGTTCACCACGGTTTCAGCTTCGTCCCTCTCGGATACAAGCACTCTTTCGGCCAGCTCTCCAACCTCTCTGAGATTCACGGCGGTAGCCCCTGGGGTGCCGGTACCTTTGTAAGTTATCTCATATCTGAAAATTGCAGGCCTCAACATCAGCTAATTGAGTCAAATGTAGGCCGGTGCTGACGGTAGCCGTCAACCCACCGCTTTGGAGTTGGAAATCGCCGAGATCCAGGGCAAGACTTTCTACGAGCGTGTTAGCAAGTGACTAGATGGTACCCCAGAGAAGAAAGCCGAAGTGCAATCTACTCCAGCAGCAACGAAGGAGTCTACCACCAAGCCTAGTCCGGCTAAGGATGGCAAGGAGGACAAGGAAGGTCCTTGTGGATTGCCGGTGAAGTGCGCTGTTATATAAATGATTGATGTAATTTCATATCCATATACGTATATATTATGATAAATAAATGACTTCATATATTCACTTGATTGAATCATTGCCAAAGTAGATGTAAGAGATAAAAAGATGACAAAAGAGAAAGAGGCCAAAGAATGTAAGCTTCACGGGCTAACCCTAATCCGGCTTAGGTCAGCATCGGGCCTATGACGACGGCAGCTTCCTTCTTGTGATGATCAATCAATTAATCTGCTATTTTGGATAAACAACAAAACACATTTCCTCCTCTTCCTTTTATCCATCGCCCTAGCCTCATATGCTATGACTGAGGTTGGTTTTATCAGCATCTAAATTGTCTTCCTCATCTTCCTCATCTCCATCAGCTACATTATTCATCTCACCCCGCCCTCACCTACCGCCAGACCACCCACTATGCCCCCCTCAAGGCCGATACTCCTCCGTTTCGAGAGCCGTAATGGCCAGTTCAGGTTAACGGTCAACCCTTCTGAGCTATTCACCGAGCTCGCTGCAAAGGTATAGTGTTCTACGCATGATATGTAGGGATCTTATGTCAACTAACGGTCAAACGAACTTCACTTAGATCGCTGAACATCTTCCCGAGAACACAGACCCCAACTCTATTATTTTATCGAATAAGCCCATTGGTGTAGGTGGCCAGGAGCGACTATTGAGTAGTTTGGATGGTGTCTCGATAGAAAGAGTTGGTTTGTCGTAAGCATATTTCACCCAGCGGCTTTCAACAGCAGATGCTGACAGTCGAAGTCACGGAGACAAACTATTTCTAGGATACCAGGAAAAATCTGCACTATCGAACGGTGCCTCCCATGTCCAGCCTCCGTCCAACTTAACGACCGAATCGCGACTCCTCAACGGCGCTGCCGTACCCCAACAACCTACAGTTCCCCTTCCTCCTCGACCGAGATCACCATCCGCCGTCATCCAAAATCCCTGGGAAGTAGTGGAACAGTTGCCTCTCGACGACGCGTTGGACAAGAAAGATGGAAAGATCCCACGACCGCGCGATGCGAAAATGTGCAGACATGGACCTAAGGGTATGTGCGACTACTGCATGCCACTAGAACCCTACGCCCCGGAATACCTAGCCGAGAAGAAAATCAAACACCTCTCCTTTCACTCCTATCTACGAAAAATCAATTCATCAACCAACAAACCAGAGCTGAAGAGCTCATACATGCCGCCGCTAAGTGAGCCGTACTATCGTGTCAGGCGAGATTGCCCATCGGGACATCCCCAATGGCCCGAAGGTATATGCACGAAATGCCAGCCAAGTGCTATCACACTGAAACCGCAGGAATTTCGCATGGTCGATCACGTTGAGTTTTCATCCCCAAGCCTAATCAACGGGCTTTTAGACTTTTGGCGAAAATCTGGTGCTCAGCGACTCGGATATTTATACGGTACTTACGAGGAATACACTGAAGTTCCTTTGGGCATTAAGGCTGTCGTTCAGGCCATTTACGAACCTCCTCAGGTGGATGAAGTTGACGGTATCACTCTCAATGAATGGACGAATGAAGCAGAAATAGATGAGGTTGCTCGTCTCTGTGGATTACAAAGGGTTGGCGTGATTTTCACTGACCTTCTGGATGCTGGAAAAGGGGATGGTACGGTCGTATGCAAACGTCACGTTGATTCATACTATCTGTCATCACTGGAAATAGTATTCGCTTCTCGGCAACAGGCCCAGCACCCCAAAGCGACGAAATGGAGTGAAACAGGACGCTTCGGATCAAATTTTGTCACCTGTGTGTTGAGCGGTGATGAGAACGGAGCTATAACAGTCAGTTCCTATCAAGCATCAAACTCTGCTGTGGAGATGGTACGAGCGGACATTATCGAACCCTCGGCGGACCCGTCCGTTATGCTCGTCCAGTCTGAAGACGATGACGATCCAGGCAGCAAATTACGATATATCCCAGAAGTCTTTTACCGCAGGATTAATGAGTATGGGGCCAACGTACAGGAGAATGCCAAACCCAGTTTCCCCGTGGAGTATCTTTTAGTTACACTGACACACGGATTCCCTACGGAAGAGTCTCCTATGTTTATAGACAGCACGTTCCCGATAGAAAACCGAGAAGTCATCGGCGAGAGCCAGGAGCTCCGGACATTAGCGAAGAAGTTGGTGGCCCACGGTGATCCGAACAAAGCTATTAGTGCAGTGTCCGATTTCCATCTGCTTGCGTTCCTCCGATCTCTAGGAACGTTTAATGCGGTAAGTCCATCTCTAAATATGGAAACAATACCATACTAAGATCAAATAGGAAGAGGAAAGACTTCTCTACCGTGTGGCTTCCACTCATGACCCTGCAGAAGGTATGCAACTCGTGAACACTAGTGGATGGGCAACCCTTGTCGCAATTCTTCAGGAGAGTGGTGAGCGCCCCCTCAAACGCCCTTGGACACCCCATGCACCGACCCCGGTTGCATCGTCATCTTCTTCTTTACCTGCTCCCAAACAGCGGCATCTCATGTCGAGGTCCGCATCTGCAAACTCAGATAGTGATCGTCTTGCTAAGAGGTTTAAGGGCACTAGTCTAGAGTAAGGAACGATAGCACATAGACGTGTCGAACGGAAAACGAATAAACCCATCAAATGATTAATAGATTTCTCGTCCTCCTCGCCTCCTTTTCACACCAATCTGAATAAATATATCCACTAATACGTGAACCAACTCCCGAGTCCTCGTCGAATAGAGTCGCTACGAAAATTTTATAATCATTGCATTGCGAGCGGGGGGTCGCTAAGCTCATTGTATTCCTGGTACAAAGGAACTGGATGAAGAAGCGCAGAATGCATATATCCTTGCTCATATCATTACGACGTATTGAGGAAGATCTGATGAGTCAAAGACTAGAATATAAAAGAATTATATGATCGTCCTGTTGCCTACTTAGCTCGTTTATTGTATGTGGATGAAACCTGAAAGATCTTTTCGCCTGGCAAGATAAGGACGGGTTGAAAGATACGTCCTTCGTGGACAAAATTGAATACAACCTCTTTAGGGCAGTGTCCATGATGAAAAGGAGAAGGATATGAAAAGTTCTTTGCTCTGTGTCTGCTGTTTGGGACTGCATCTTGTGCCTAGTCTTTACCAGTTGTCATATATCTGACCTGATATTGGAATCCTTTCTTGAAGCTTTCCATATGCAATGATTAGCATCTCATTAACCTTTTGTACAGTATGATAACTGACATAAGACCAGAGTCGTATATATATCTCATAACATCGTCAACAGTCTCATTTCTCAAGCATGCAAATGTCAAGATAGAATGGGAAAGTCTCATCAATATGAAGCATTAAAAGAATAAAAGAGAAAAATGGTAGAAAAGAACGATCAAGCCTGCTTAACAAGCTCCCCCAACCTCCTCTCCAAAACCTTTTTCCCTTCCCAACTCCTCCAAACCTCATGCCCTGCACCCTTGACAACATCCCAACTTACTAAATTATCCGTAACTTTGGTCATCTCTTCCTGCTGTTTCGCCCATTTCTCGTTTTTGCGTACTTCTACCCCAGAACTAACAACCACCAACGGCGTTTCTGGTGTTTGAATATTTTTTGCGCTGGCAACCTCGCTAGAGGTCATACTTTCCGCAACGAGGTTTTCCTGTAGTTTGGCTTTTATGTATTTCCCGTTCTGGTAGGAGACTTTGCCGTATACTCGATCTTCGCGGGTGCGACCCTTGAAGATTGCGCCTGCCAATCTGTCCAGACCCAAGGGTGATATTATGCCGCGACCCCAGAGGACGAATCCTCGTCCTGCCTTTCCGATTTGTTGTAATTGGTCTTCGTGCGTTGGGTCGATCATGAATAGACCTTTAATGTCATGGATGTGACGACTGGCGAAGATGCGACTGTATATGCTGCCCACGCCAGCTGAGACGAGTATCCAAGGGCCTTCCTCGCCAGCTAGTGCGAGTGCTTCCGACAAAGCGTCGGCAGCCATACCGGCTGAATGAGGTGAAGGGGCGTTGTCGGACCATCCAAACCCAGGACGATCCCAGTAGCAGTATCGATCTATCGTGCCGTTACGATAGGTATTGTGGATGAAAGGTTGAAGTGCATGTTCTGCAGGGGTCTCGCCGGCTTCAAGCAGAATCGTAGGCGTTTTGTTGTCCCCGGTGGTGATACTTCCCACGCACGCAAGATGAACTTCGTATTTCTCATTGTTGACGAGATACCGTTTCCCAGGGACCTCCAGACTGGAATCTCTGGCACGTAGTATGAGCGTTGCAGTAAGCAAAATAGTCACCAGAGCAATAACACCCAGCACAATTGTTTCGACAAGCACCGAAACCCATTCGAACAGCGAGCGTCTTGTCTCCACGCGGCCTGTCAGTCTTTCTTCTTCCTCCTCTTTTCCTTTCTCAACGAAATATACCTGCGCAATATTATAGATCGAGATCAAAATGGCCCACACAATAGACGCAATCCCTACCCAGCCTTCCTCAAGCCTGATTCTCGGTACAGCAACGATGATAATCATACCGACCAGCAAGAAGAGCGCTAGCACAGAATTCCACATAATCATCGGTTTTGACGGAATCGTGAAGAACAACAGGCTCACAATCAAGTTTCCGACTGTGAGGGTTGTGTATGAAAAATCCGTAAATCCGGAGCCCCGGTTGTACATTAACGGTGGACTGACGAAGATGGATACGAGCAGGAAAACCCACCATACGAAGCTGATGGCGAGAAAGAGGCAGGTGAAGAAGCGGAGAGCGCGGACACTCCAGAGGTTGTATGGAGATACCTATATAATCCTGTCATGAGATATGGTTCTAGATGAATAAGTGGTACAGCACTAACAGCTGGATCATCAGGACTCAGATACCCCTCGTTTGGGGCACTACGAGAGATCAACCGTGTCCGCTCATCGGGCTCTTGATGCTGATAATCAGGGTGTGTATGTCCATCCTCTGTTGTCCGTTGATCGTTACGACCACTTGATCCCCAGATTGACACCATTTTGTTGATCGATATCTTGGCGGAGTATAAATCGCCTTCCTCCCTGCCCGGGTAGTGTGTTTAGTGTTTTCCCGTAGTAAAGATGGGATTACTACGATGCTTCTAGAAATCCAGAATCATTTTGAAAGACGAAAAAGACATGAAAATATATGAGAAAGGAATGGCGAGGGTGACGAGGAAAGCTTGAAAAATGATGCAGCTTTCCCGATTTGGACGGCCGTGGTCATGACGTCATTGCATATTATTCCGTGCCTTACGATTCAGGCGACTTTTCAAGATGTATTCATTAAGTTAAATCGTTTATAGATTCAGATCTTATTTATACCAACACCCTTCTCCATCGCCTTCGAGGCCATAATATCCCCAACCTTAGGCGGCAGCACCAATGGTGTCCTGTCATTCCTCTTGAAAAAATCAACCAAAAACCTCGCCGTCTTCGCCGGCTGATCCTCCTGGATAAAATGTCCCGCAAGAGGCAATACCTGCAACGAAAATTTGCCTTGCATTTGGGCAATCATCAATTCTTTGTCGAGACGATCTGTGCCTGCCAGCAGGAGCAATTTGCCGCCTTTTGCTTCGAGGAATTTCTTGCTTAGACCTTTGAACCAGTCTTCCCAGAATGGTTTTGTGTCGGCTAGGTTTGTGCGCCATGTCCAGGGGAGGGATGCGTCGGAGGGGTTTTCTTCTTCCGTTAGTAGAGATGGGACTGAGACTCGAGCAGAGGTTGTGTTGCGAATTGTTCGGGAGCGGAAACTATATCAAATCGTCAGGATGTTCCAAAGTAGTGAGATATGGTATACGTACTGCCATTCGATAGCTGAAGATAACGAAGGGAACCGTGTTGGCCGCGCTGATAGATAAGTGTCCATACCCTGCAGAGCATCCATGGCAGAGCCCTCAACGACATCCAAAACTGCATACGCAAGTACCTTCGCCCCCAACTCCCCACCCCTCGCAACATCTGTGATAACAGCTCCTCCCAGACTATGTCCAACCAGAACCAAATCTGGTAACGTCTCCCAGACCATTTGTGTTTGTGCTCCTCTAATAACAGCCAGAAGATCCTGGCTCAAAGTCTCCAGTCGATAGTCCAGTTCTACTGGGTTACCGTCTCTCGACTCAACAGTAGTACTTCCGTGATAACGAGCATCTAGTGATAAAATCCCGGCCTCGGGAAGTATTTTTCGAATCTCTGCTGCACAAGCAGCAAATGATAGTCCCGAGGAACCTGCGCCGTGATGCATCACGAACAAAGGCCCGGAACCTGTAGGTGGTGTGATGTATGTATGATATATGATATGTAAATCATCTGTATTTCTTTCAATGTATAATTCTCGGGAGAAGAAATCTCTCCATGTCAACGACTCTGCTGAGCCATTGCGTTGTCTTGGCCTGGTCTCTACGAGTCAACACCCGGACTCCAAACGGCTCCATTGAAGATAGGATATAAACATACAGAGAACCTGGCTTTGCGAATAAATTTCTCGACGGCGAAGGTACAACAGTTCCCACCGAAGAAGCCGAGGACGTCGAGGAAGAGTCAAATTCTTCCCCTTCTTCTATTGTTGCGTCGTTCCCTCTATTGATACCCGTGGAAGTAGTAGCATCCTCCTCGGTTTCGTCAAAAATTGGAATGTCGGGTGGATATTTGGCGAGTTTGGCTTTGACAAAGGCCTTTTGCAGGTCGCTCATATTGTCCATATGCAACTGCTACACATAAATGATTATTTGTTTCCCTGTCAGTCATGAAGGGTGGTTGTCATGTGTTGTGGTGAGGTTGTTGTTGCATGTTGAAGGCGATTGGTGGCGAGCATGGGTAACCCCCCACTTTCCTCCACTTATCGATACGTTCTATGGTTTACATATCATTCGATATTAGCCATCTGTATTTCCTATCTAGGGAATTAATGGACTCATGAAAGTACATTTTTGGTATCTCTCTTATGATCTCAGATCAACTTTGAGAATAGAGGGAAAAGAAATCCTTCCACGCGAACCCGTGCAAAACCTTTTGAGAAACCCAGCCCTTAGAACGCCACACCCTGTATGGAAAATAATGGTAATAAGAGTTCTGAATGTTCAAAGATCAAGGAAGATAAGCACCTCCAGCTACGATCAAGTTCATATTTGTAAACTTGACTTTGTAGACCGGACTCTTCTTCGTAGGGAAAGCACTGATCTGGTCAGGAGTCACCACGTTCTCCTTACCCTTCTTCTTGCTTCCACCAGGTCCAACAGTAGTAGAGGATTGAGAGGCAGAGGAAGTCGCACTGGCATCAACCTTGGCACCCGCGCCTACTTCAGTAGCCAACCGTGATGTGTTGGTTGACAGTTCTAATGCTGGTGGTGCAATATCCCATATGCGCACAGTATTATCTGCACCTGACGAGACTAAAACAGTGGATTCCACACTCCAGTCCAAAGACCAGATACCGCCCTTACCATGACCACGCATACGCTTCAACAGACGACCGGGTGCTAGGTCCCATAGGAAGATAGAACCGTGATCATCGGCAGACGCAAGGAGCTTGCCGTTGCGACTACATGCGAGAGCTGTGATATTGCCAGTGTGACCGGTAAACATACGTACGGCATTTCCAGTAGTCACCGCCCACATGCGAACAGTGCGGTCCGAGCTCCCAGTAAATACATATGCGGAGTTTGGATGGAAACAGACGCAATCGACGTCTTGATCATGCCCTGCAAAAATTCGTTGTTGCCGAATTCGATCGGTGGCCCAGAGGCGCGCAGTCTTATCATGTCCTCCAGATACGAAATAGTAACCGAACGGGCCCCAGCTGAGATCCCAAACGGGCTGATCATGTCCCTTGTAGACGACCATACACTGCCATAAGTCTAGAGACCAGAGCCGGATGGTCTTGTCTGCAGAAGACGAAAGAAGCCATCGAGCATTCGTAGGAGCCAATTCACCTTCCGAGCGTTGTGCTGATGGGGCAAATTTGACGGCATAAACTGGTCCCGAATGACCAAAGAGACGTTTCGAATTGGAAGGAGCGCTTGTACGTTCTTCTATGCCTTCGTGGGTAGCTTTAATCGCCTTGCCATCAAGACTCCATACCCGAATGTACGAGTCCTCGAAACCCGCAGCGACCAACATGTTGTCGTCAGAAAAATCAATGCAAATCATTCTACCAAATGTCAGTTTCGAGACTTTATAGTTGTTTGTAAAGCTTACCGATCGTAAGTGTTGTGGAATGTAAAAAGACACACAGAGCATGCAACGCCGACACCTCCAGTGCGACCCTCGATACGAAACCGGTCGCGATTCTCTTTGACGCGCTGCACTTCCATGGCAACGTCACGAGCTGTCGATGGAGGAAACGCAATCTCCGCATGTGAAGGCGCGTCCTCATCCTCTTCCTTTTTGATCATTTGATCATATTCCTGAACAAGAGTGTTGCGACCTGGAGCAGGTGGGTTTTTGGAATCGAGTTCTTCAAGCTCGGCACGTACGTCGCTTTCCAGCTCCGGTTCTGGTGGAAGTTTCCCAAGTCTCAGTTTGGGCAAGGTACCTGCCATAGCTGGGTTATCGCCGGTGTATGCAGACCCAGGATGATGACCGGGTATGCCCTCGTCCTCTGCGGGGAATGTGCTTGTTTGATCAGATCGACCCAACATTGCTGCGAAGCTAAAGCGTTCGTCGGTGGCGCGATCCTTGGTAACGATGTTGCAATAACTGCTGAGAATTGCGGACATGACAGCTCCTCCTTCTTTGGACTTGCTTTCGAGAAACTGCATTAAGTTTGCAAAAGCAGGGTTGCTGAGGATGATACGATATTTGTTTCCACGGTATAGCTTCGCGGTTGCATTGTCCTGAACATGCTCTGGGAGGGTGATTTTCTGTAATGATCGAATGTCTTCGCTGTGCTCGGGTAGAAATAGATTCTGATTTGTAGTGAAGAATTCTACTGCTTCTCGCGGGTACAAGGCAGTAGCCAAATCCAGAAACGAATACACGAAGAGAGGCCACAGTACGCGTCGAAGTTCAGGCTGCTTCATAGTAAGCGTCCGTCAGTCGACTGACGTGGGAAATCTTCTTACCTTGTAAAGGTCAAGATTGTCTTCGATCCAATTTCTAATTAGGTCTAAACTGTTAGAAGAATGTCAACTTATCAAATGGGTAGCTTTGGACATACCAAATCCATTCCTGTACTTTGGTCGTTGATTTTCGTTGAGCTGGGGTAGAGATCTGCCATCGATATCTTGACTGGCAGACTCCATACGAAGCATAGCCTCAGTTCTGGTATAGCCTTTTTTGGCCAAGTAGTCGATGACCTGAAAGAAAGGTGAGCACACGTTCACAGTCATGTACAGTATTTTAAATAATTAAACAAAAGTGTCTCTGCCTCTGTCTTGTCCATGATGCATGTTACAAGCGCTCTAGCTTGCTCGAGAAGGTTGATATGCCAGTAGCTGCTCGAAGCTTGTGGCCTCGAAAAAAGACTATTGACTAAAATTTGAGTCTCGCTTTGCTGTCAATTCCTAGTTTCGGGCGGTGAAACAAACCTGACGAATTGCTGCTGGAGAAATCGATGGAGGGTGCCTTAGAAATCAAGTCCACTTGGTGGCAGATGGTCTGGTGCCCAGAGAAGAGGAAGTCCACTTTCTGTTTGATAGGTTGGCGTCAGTCAGGGTGAAATCGAGCTTTTGAAGGCCGGCGTGGTGCCCAAATATTGGAAAACTTCGAATAGACTATGCCCCCACAGTAGAAGCGCTCTGGCCATCCATGCCATTCCCATATTCACAACCCAGTATATGGACATACCAACTCGTTCACCTTATGAACGATGCCCAGTCAGGATGAAACCCACTTTTTGGCGGACAGCGGGTTCTGACATTGGACCAGTTCCAATAGATTATATATTAGACGTCCTCTGGTCATCCATGCATTCCCATTTTCCACAATCCAGCACATGGGCATACCGACTCATATTCGAGAGTCAACGCCCTGAAGAGAAGACGTACGAACCAATCGGCACATCGTTCCCTTTTTCCATATCTCAGCAGTGAGTATCCTGGTTGTACCACTCGATAGCACGTGACTCCGTAGGCCACAGCCCGTAATCCATAGCCGAGTCGGTGCGCTATTTTGAGACGTCCCCGTTGCGCATATCTTAGCTGCGACATCCCATAGAGACGTAACCCTCAGCGCACAGCCGGCGGACGTTACCTTTTCAACATCTCGACAATGGACATACCAAGTAGTTCATCAGCAAACCATGCACCGACACAAGATACTTATATCCAGAGAGAATTGTAGACAGACACCCTACGAGGCAGACTCGTGGATCAATCAACGGATATGTACCCCGTATCGCGATTAGGACTTTTCCCAACATCGCAGCATGGACATACTATGCGTGACGTGCGATAGAAATGTAGCTGGTAGCCAAAAGTCTGGCAAGGAAGCCATTCTCAAGAACTCAACTCGTGCATACTTACCGTACCATTCACCAGCCCAAGCATTGACAGAGACACTTGAAACGAAACAAACAAAAACCCACTTACAATCTGATTTAGATTCTGCTGAGATACAGGCGCAGGAGACGGCCCCGACGGACCAGGAGTCGCGGGTGTATGGACAACTGGCGGATTAGCAGCGATGGGCTGCTGTTGAGGAACCGACATAGAGGCATTTGGCCCGATGCTGCCACTGCGCGGCACAGGGCTGGGGGCACCACCAGGTGCTGACATAGTGATTGCGACAATCTCCCTCTCTCTTGCTGATGTGTTGTTTCAAACTGTAAATTTAAATAGGAATAGATATAGCAGGATGACCTTAAAAGCAAGTTGTGAGATGAAATGAAGTCTGAAGCTGGAATAAAATGGATGGAGACTTTGTATGATCGCGACCAGAAAGCCGCCTTCTTGATATGACACTAAACCATTAATGGTTTAGTGTTGATCTACTGGGGTGGGACTTCCCCAATTTGATGTGAATGCACGTGATTCTGTTTGTTTCTTTTGGCAAAATGTAACTTAACTGCTCTCTACAGGACAGCTCTGCCATTTCTATGGGTGACTGTTTGGAGCTTCAGAATTTGAATAGCCAAGATGGACGAGTCGGCTACCTCCAATAGCCAGACATTCTCCTCTGCCGACCGAATCCGGCAGCTGAATGAGATAGACAAAGTATGAAGCCTTCCAAAGCAGCTCTCAGGGGATCATGAGTTACTGATATTTAATCTCTGCTTGAATAGGACATTGCGAAGCTCGTAAACTCCGCTGGATTAGCCATACAAGCCCTAACAAATGCGAAGTCCACCGAGATAATGACTGGCAACTCAGTTAACGATCGCAAAGCTGCATTCAAGGCCTCAACTTCACAATACTTCGCACTTTTGTCGTCAATCGATGTGCGACTGAGACGGCAGGTTTACGCACTAGAAGAAGCTGGTATACTCGAGTCCGAGTCCGCGACTGCGAACAACGTTTCTTTCAAGAGTGATTCAGGTATTGGATCTACTACGACTGGCGGCGCGGGAGCAGGAACAGCTGCAGGGACATTCAATCCTCTTGAGGTCAGCTGGTTGAATAGTCGCAAAGATACAGTAGGAAAGGATAAAGAAGCTGAGTCATGGGCTGCTGCGCGGGAGTTTTTGAATCGAGGCCAAGATACTGCTCCGAAGACTGAGACGATGGATACCGATTCGTGAGATCGCCTGTTATATCAACAATCTAAAGTCGTCTACCAGCCTTCGAGGCTTGGAAATATCTGCACCATGTTCGCAACATATATCTGTGAAGCTGGACTACGCTATGTACCATCGACAACCCGCTTGGGCTTGCATATCATCTTGGTGCTACCGCTACCTCAACATACGTACCGTACCATGCATTCTGACAGAATCGGCAATAGAAATGATATGCTTGTTCATGGGAAGAGTCTTAGTTATTTACAAGAGCAGACATGGAACTAAGCCGGGGAATTTGATCGCTTCTTTAGTCTGAGACGTCATGTTTATCGCTTGCTCATGGAGTTGATCATCTCACGATGGGCGGCTTTCTCTTGGTTTGTCTCTGATAGAGGAGCGATGCCTGTATTGAACGTCAGTCGAAACACTCAGCGACAAAGGATGAAACTTACTTCGAAGATCGCCGACGACATCCTTGGCTTTGCCAAAGTAGACCTCCTCTGTTGCAATAGTCAGCTTAGCCCAATACATAGATTAAGGATTCAAATTGATAAGAACATACGCAGCAGGTTCCTCATTTTCAACTCCATATCTTCCACAAGTCTACCAACATTCGCGACATGACTAGCATCAGACTCAAACGGTAGATCGGCCTCGACTTGTCGCGTCATGTTTCCGCTCAAATTCATTTCTCCCAGGGCGTCACTCTCGTTAGACAAATGTAGGATCACGGTGCTGGTCAATTTGTAATGTGTCATGCGAGCACGGTCAGTAGCCTCGAAGACGTGAATGCTGTCCCAGGCTCCAGAGCTCTTTCCACCAGGCGTGACACCTACACCAACAAATAATTAGCAAATCTTTTTAACAGCCTTGAGGCAGAATGGGGGAAAAGACGAACCCTTTTTCAACAATACAACCCCTGCAAACCCATCATCCAAATCCCAAAAATAGACACTTCCGACTCCGCCCTCATAATACAACTCCCGATAAACATCAAAAGCCTCATTGGCCGCAATCTCCAACTTCCGTACCCTCTCACTAGGTACCGTACCATCTTCTAGCGGGGGATCAAACTCATTACTCCATGGCGATCGATAGCTATCTCCATCCCGGTTGTAGTCACATAGTAGGTAGTCGCGGTTGGATTTGGAGCATCTTCGGACTTCGAGTGGTTGGTCGACGGAGGCGAGAAGATCTTCGGTTAGGTCTGGGACGAGGTTTGTGATTGACTGTAGGTTTTTGCCAGTGTCACGGGGGGAGAGGCGACGAAGGAGGTCACTGTTTTTGTTCTTAGTTGAAGGTATTCATCAAGCAGTCACGACACTGCACGCGGGGTAATGGGGAAGCTGAATGGGGTAGGTAGAAATGATTTGTTTTGCATTGAATTGGAAAGATTATGGCATGATAATGGCAATGAAAAACTTACAGAGCACTGTCAAATTGTGTGTCGGCCATGATTGTGGTGTGAGTCGTGAGTTGTGAGAACAACAAACAACAACAGGAGCTGGGGAGTTTGAGATGATCTGCGGCCCACTAAGCGGATTCACCATTTGAGTCTCGACTTCCCAAAACAGAGATTAAACATGTCATTTCCCAGAGCTACTCAAATTATACCTAAAACATTGCAGGGTTCAAGGAGACATACAGGAAATGAAGGCATTGGTTGAGTTAAAACTGTAGGAGTAAAGAATATTTACATGCTCTTCAACCCAGTTTGAGAACAGGTCATAGATATCAAAAAATGTGTTCAAGAAGCATAAATTTGTATTATTAATTGAAGAAATCAAAATCATCGTCGTCATCATCATCACTATCAATCACTGTCGGTCTCGATTTTGACTTTCTGGAATCAACTCCCCGCACGAGTGTTTCAATATCTGGTAAATCAGAACCTGAATCATCCATACCACTTATTTGAGAGACAAAGAACGGTTTGTAATTATTCTCGTCCTCGGTGGCATCATATTGCGAACACATCAATGGAGAATCTGGAGATATAGTGTTCGTTTGGCGTGCAGGAGATGGGCTTTTTGCTCGTCGGACGGTATTGCTGTTCTTGCGTTTTGAGTTCATCGGCAAAGTACTGGACGTTGTAGATTTTCCTGATCTCTTGGTGGCAGTAGTCGTATCTCTTCTCGGCATTGTACTAGCCTTGTGTCGAATGTCCTCAATAATCGATTCATATTTCTCATCGCAGTCGAGCGATGTGGCATTCATCTTTTGCAAAACGCCCACCATTCGTCGCGTAAATGATCCGTGCTGTACCAACTTTGTTGGCCTAGAGATTCGCTGCAATCTGGGAAAAGCGTCATTACGGGGTCGACAGATAAATTGAGGTGTGGTGCCACCAACATTGCGGTATCTAAGCTCCAGTTCATGTTCTTCGTCGGGCGTCAATGTCACTTCCCCAGAAGAGGGCACTTTGACTACTTCAACAGGACAAGGTGTTCTTTGCTTCTTCGGTTTCGATTTGTTCCCTTTCTCACCTTGTAGCATGCTGCGAATATCAACGCCTTCACTAATCCGAGATGCTTTCGTGAAGCCAGTCTCGACTCCATCTGGCATGTGGAACCTCTTAGGAGGTCGTTTCGGAGCGCGCCCTTTCTTCTTCGGCTCAGGAAGGTCCTCTTGCGAGTTCTCAGGTGGAATTTCAACAACACGCTTGTCCACTGTTGGCTTCAGGTCTTTGGGTAAGATGCGTGCCGATTTATCATCATGAAATTCAAACCGAGAGCCGCTAGCAATGAGTTCTTGCATCTTTTCATAGTTGTCTTTCGCTCTGATATACGACTCTTCTTCCTTTCCTTGCATCAGCAGCAGAATAATGTTTCCAGCACGCTTACGTCCGGTACGTCCCATTCTTTGCAACATTCGGATCGGACTGGCAGAGGAATCGTAACACACAATAAGGTCCACTTCACCAATATCTAAACCTTCCTCGCCAATTGATGTTGCGACAATGGTATTGTATGTACCATTCTTGAACTTCTCAATAACACTTAGTTGAGTCTTTTGATCCATACCCTCTGAACCCTTGGCACTGGCTTGTCCTACAAAGACATGTGGACGAATTATGGGTTCATGGCGCCTGAGCACTCTTGTAATCTCCTCGGCACTGTCACGAAAGTGGGCAAAAATCATGAGCCTCGTATTTGATGTGCCATTAGTCCCTTCTCCAGCGTCCATGAAATGGTTCAGAACTATTTCTCTGAGATATCCCAGCTTAGGGTGTCCGATGAATTCAGGATCTCGGCACCAGGGTTGAAGGCGATCCATAAGCTTCTTGAAATTGTCATCCTGGACTATAGCGCGCTGATGTTTGCCCCCTTTCTGGCCATCCGTATTCGACTTGAACGATACCAAATGGTTATAAAACGGGACAATGCCATGATACTTCAACAGATCTATCGAATGTGCCAAACTAGCAAGCACTGTGAACAAAGCATTGACTTTGCCTTTCACACCAAAGTTTGCATTTCGACCTGCATCAGAGGCCATCCATTGCTGTCGGGCCTTGGTCAGGCCATACGCAGTGAGCATCATTGGATCACGTCCCCAGTAAGCGTTCATATTTCGCAGCTGATCAACACATGGTTGCAGTGCCTCGGTCATAAGATCCATACAGAGAGTCATCTCTTCCGAATTCGTAAAGGTTTGTACATCAACATTGCGTGCGTGTACGTACTCTCTAATGTCCAATGATTGCTCGGTACGAATCTCCACTCTGGATATGTCCAAACCGTCAATGACAGCTTGAACCGCTTCCACGGTAGAGCCGGGAGTTGCAGTGAGTGCTAGTACTCGGAAACTCTGATTGAAACGTCTCAGAAACTTGACGACTTCAACGTAAGCGTAACCACCAGTAGCCCGATGAGCCTCGTCAACGACCAGCAAAACGATACGCTTCGGGTCTGCGATACCCGTTTTGAGATCATTAATAAGAGTCTGAGGTGTCATAAAGAAGACCCTCTTCGTTTGCCATTCCTCGGCACGAGTTCCTGGAGGAATATTACCCGTAAGGAGAGTGGTATGTGAACGTGGTATACCGGCAATACCCAAACATGCCGTGACTTGTTGGGAGACCAAGGGTTTCGTCGGTGCAGTGAAAACTATTTGAGCATCCTTTGTCCACCTGAACCAATTCAACATCACCGTAGCAGCGATGAATGTCTTTCCAAGGCCGGTAGGAAGAGCCACTAAAAGGTTGTGAAACAATCCCTTTTGCGATATATTGAACTGATAGTCCCTGACCGTGCCTATATTAGTCGGATATACCCAAGTATTCAGCTCATGCTGATCCAGTTTGTGATGTGTCGGTGGCTCGTCTCTCGGCGGTGGAGACACGTTTCGAATTCCTTGGGTTGAGTCTCGTGTAGCTAACGGAAATAGGGTTGTCTGTCGGAGATTCGTCCTCTGTGACTGTATTGGTCTGGTCGAGGTTGACGTTGTAAGTTCACCTGGAGGTGACAAACATGGAGATGAATCAAATGCATCCTCTGGGATATCATCGAGATCGAAGCCCCCATCTTGCTGTAAAGAAGTTGCTGCCTGTTTTGAGCTAGATCCTGTTTGCGCACAAACATCAGCCACGTCATCATCCAACTCTGGCCGACTTCCACGCTCTTCTTCAAAAGAATGCATTGAAGCCTCTATAGCTGCCCGGAGATCGTCGTCTTCTTCGCCTGTGGTGTTATTGACACTCGTTTGCGGAGTAATCGCTTGCTGACCAGCGTATACCGGTATTTCTGGCTTCCTCCATCTCGGACCTCGAATATGCGATGGACTGGAATGCGGTTGCGTTTGCGACACGAACGTGTTTTCTTGAATGCTTATTGTCTTCTTTGGCACGTATATTTTATATTTCGAACGCTGTTCTTCACTCTCCTCGAATCCAGAGTCTCCACGTGAGCGACACGGCGTAGGTAGATCATCATCCCAGTCATCAGATCCATATTCACTTGATTGGATTTTATTCCCTGCTTCTGTCGATTTTCGCGCAGTAGCACCATTATTCAGACGTCTTCTCTTCGGGGAACGCGCGGAATCCGCATCCTTGTCGGGGGGATCAAAAACAGAGTCCTGGCTCGTCACAATAAAATCGTCCAGGTCGGAATCACCAAACTCGCTCGGCATTTTTTATGTGCTTGATTAGAAGCGGCCTGCTGGCCTCTCGACTGTAATATCATGCCCTGTGTTCGCTGTTTTGGCATCAGCGGTTGCCGTTGGCGCGTCACCAGTCGCGAAAGCACGTGACTCAATTTGATGTTAGCCTAAAATGGAATAGCCATATTTTTAAATGAATGCCCTCGATTTCCGAACTGCTTCAACCTCATCCATCTCCATAAGTGAATGAAATCTGATCGAATTCAGAGTGGTCTCTCCTGGACCTCTGTTGTATGGATAAAATGCATTATTTGACACTAGAGCTGACTCAACAGCTGTTTATTGAGAGAAAACCGTCCTAAGTTTCCAGCAAGTATGGAGCAAGAGACAGTTGCAGTCAATCTATGACAGGAATGGAGAAAGATCAGGTGGGCTTCGCACCTTCGTCAACCCCAATATGATTTTTTACTCAATTCAATGAATGGCCAAGGGCAACTTCGATTCCTCCCCATCACATAGGGTACGGTGTACTAACCGATTCTACTGCGTGGGCTAGAAGGCTTCTAAATCAGCGTATGCAGCCGAAGGATTCCAGTGATGTCAAATTCCACTATTGGCTTCGTTTCCTGAGTAGACAGATGTAGCATCTGCTTGGCCACATTACCATATTGTTTCGGAGCGGAATGTGAAAAGCAAGGACCTGGTTACAGTTGTCAAGGGGACTCGTAGGCATGACAGGGCTGACCACATTTCTGATTATTTGTCTCAGTCGCGCCTCCTTGTAACTAATTTCTCCAGTATATGATATTCTCTTTGAAACAACTGTCTCGTGTGTCAGTCGCTTACTATTCCGCGAATCTATCATCTGTCACCTCCCGGTTGCTATTCTATTTCACCACGATCTCAGTGCAGCCAGTAAACAAACTCGCGAAAATGAAGCTCAGTATCATATCCCTGACCGGCCTGGCCGTCCTGGTTGCCTCACAGGATGCAACTTCAACAACCACCCCGTTGACACCCCAGCAATCATGCGCAACTAAGTGTAAGTTCTGCAGCTTCTCAAAGGACATCTCTATACCAAGCAGACCACAAACGGACAACTACAGGTGACCCTACCGACATATGCTGCAATGCCGCATGCTACCAAGTGCCATGCCCCAACAACGCCATGGCAAATGACACCACCGCTTGCGCAGCTGCTTGTCCTCAGGGAAGCGGTACCGCTGATGACACTGCGGCCTATGCTAGCTGTCAGCAGTCCTGCTTCAGCTCTCTTTTCTTCACGGGATCTGCTACCCTTCCCAAGGTCACTGGCTCTGGTACTCAGTTCGTTGCTGATGTATCTGCCACGGCTACCGATAGTAGTCGTATCATCCTAAGTGGCAGTACGTGTCTTTTCCTTACCTAGTCTCGATGCTCCTATCTACAAAAAAAAAGAAACAGTCGTTGATAGTTCTTATTTGTAGCTGTCGACACCCATGCTGGCAATGCCCAGAGGACTGGCTCTTCTCAGAGCTCTGACAGCTCGGCCACTACTACTGCTAGCAGCAGCACTGAATCCGGTGCTGCAAGCCAGATTGGAGTCCAGCTCGGTGTTGCCGGCGTTCTCGGCGCAGCGATGGCCGCTTTCTTCCTATGAGGTCCACGTGCTTGGTGTTATTGCTTGTCAGGATCATTCAACGAGATAGTCTGAGAAATGAATCTAATTATCTTTTCCCTCACTTCTAAGTCTCTCTCTGCTGGATATTCCCAGATCTGCCAAAAATTAAAATAAAGTCTTTATCAAACGTAGGTGCGTAATTACATTCAAAGGTAGACCATATCCTGTACAACTCCAAATTCAATTACCATATAAGAAAGTGTTACTTAGCTAGCATCTCAACTGACAACCCAATTTTTTGCTGCAAGAACTCCAGAATGTCGTCAATTTCATCAGGCACTTTTTACTAGTAACCAAACCCCTCGTAAGCCTTCCATGTGAAATCTATTTTTGTTTCGACAGTAACTCGGCCATTCCTCGCCCAAGCGAACAGACACTTTGGGATCAGCTGATCCATGACCTAGAAAGATTGGTGCCTGAAGGATTGGAAAAGCCGCTGTTGTCGTTATCATTATCGTCAGGGGCAGGAGGGCCGATAACCACGGGTGGAAGATCCAGTATGCCGCGGACAAAGTTGAGGGCATCCGCAATGCTATTTTCAGAATTATCCCGAGGCTCAAGCTGAAACGGATCAAAGGAAGCCAAATTTGCTTCTGCATCCGGTTGAGGCAGAATCTCACCGACCTGCAACCACCTATATATTGATTTCAGGGTTTTAGGGATTGATGTTGGTAATTCACAATTGGGATTCTAAAATCTGGAGCTTGGGAATTAGAATGGCATGCATTTAGGATCTCAGGAGTACGTATCTGATGCCCGCTGACATTGGCTTTTCCCCCTGGAGGTTTTTTCCCTACGTTGTAACGCGAATGCGGAGGGAACTGAGTTTTTGATATTTGCTTTAGTTTTCAAAAAATAAATAGTTGGTTTACCTTGAATCTGACTGGAAGTTGGCTCGCTAATGGACCAAGCAATAAAACGCCTGGTACTTAGAAATGCACAGCCAGAGAGGACGCCCTGTAACGATAGGTGGGAGACTGCCCGGAAGATTAGATTCGATCAACGATGGATCCCTGTCGATTAGGTATGAGCCATCCACCATATCGGAAGCCTAGCCCCAAATGGGGCTTGGAAAGACTCCGCACAAAGATTTCTTTTTTCCCAACTCAAAGTTTGAATTGAAGTTATACAGACACATCAGCTTGAAACCACAAGACATACTTCAACTGAGCACGACTAACACAGCCAAAATGGAGCCATCACAAGATGAATGTCTCATTACCTCAATGACAAACTACATGACAACCTGCATGTCCGGCCACGACCCCTCTCACAACCCAACGCACGTCCATCGCGTAGTCTCACTCGCCCATCGCATCCTCGCCAGCGAATTGACCCTCCACCCCGACACAGCACCAATAAAATACAACAAGACAGTCATCACTCTCGCGGCCATTCTACACGACATAGGAGACCACAAATACTTACCAACTGACGGCTCAGCCGCAGATCCAAAACAACTAGTCTACAACGCTTTACTATCTCACGGCGCGGATGAGCAACTCGCATCTCGCGTGCAAACTATAGTCAATAATGTGTCGTATACAAACGAAACTCGAAATCCGGACCAAGTTCGTCAGTTAATATCTACACCGGGTTATCATGAGTTAGCGATTGTACAGGATGCGGATCGATTAGATGCCATTGGCGCCGTGGGGATTGCGCGCACTTTTACATACTTGGGTTCTCAAGGACTCAAAAGAGCGGCGACTGCGGATTCAGGGCCGTGGGAGCTTGAGGACTCTATTACGCATTTTGGGGAGAAGTTGGAACGATTGGAAGGTATGATGAAGACGGACACGGGAATGCAGATTGCAAGAGAGAGAACGAGAAGGTTAAAACTCTTTAAGGAGTGGTGGGTTGATGAAACTGCTCCTTTTGATTCTTAGAATGTTTAGACGGGTGTAAGGTTTAGACAGGTATAGGTATGTATGTGCATGCATATATTCAAACTAAACCAAGCAAATGTCTATATCGAGTAACAAAGCAAGAACCTTTTTCTTGGTTTTCTATGTTATGCTTCTTTTTTTGGGGTATTTCGTTGAGTTCGAACTTAAGACTCAGTGGGACACGGGGAGAGGGTATGAATGCAATGTGTGTCAATGTGACAAAATAACACGTCTTGAAATCGTTGAACATCGAAGACGGTGACGGTCGATAGCGTCAACATGTGTTGAACTGTGTAGAATGATCGCAAATTCGCCCAAAACACCAAATTCAAATCACCAGTAGAGATAGTGAGACGAACCAAGATATAATCAAATGCAACCGTAACTCCAATTCCGATGTTCTCAAAACGAGTGAGAATTAATAGTATCAAGAGATAATCAGGGGGAGTAATGTCACATCACACCCGATCTCGCGCAAAATCCAAAATATCGCAATCATTCTCGAAAAATCCGCCATCATCGTCTCCTGGTGATGCAATAGATGGCACATCTGCATTTCTCTTTTTTCTCCTTGTGGTGATGACAACTTCTTCAACCTGGTCTGTGCTGTTTCCAAGCCTAATAAGGTTCTCCATCTCCGGTGCACCACTCAATCGATCCATGACTTCGTCTTCTTCGTCATCGCTTTGGCTGAGTGGCCGCACGTAAAGTCTCTGAGTTGGGATGTCATTCCCAAATACCCAAGATTCTTGTGGGTTACCTGAAACAGTAGTTGAGTCAATGAATACACTCAAATTGACTCGCCGATCAGTATGGAACGGCTGATATGGCGTGTTCGTCTCGATTTCAGCTTGTGACAAGGGTTGAGACTTCATTTTCGTTGCAGAGGATGAATGAGGCACGTGTGATGGCAACGACCAGCTCCCGCGGATACGTCCATCGGAAGGTAGACCAATCTGAAGTGGTCCGCAAGGGTTCCGCAAATACGATGGAAGTTTGAGCTCAAGGACTTTGGCTCCGATCACTGGTTGGTGTCGTCGTCCCTTTTGTTTATCGGGATGCTGTTTGATCTTATACAACTTGAATAAGCCATAATCAACAATCCCCAATAAAGACTCGTTGCGACTAGGAATCCAAACTACGCGAGACGGAACAGGGTCCCTTGAAAAGCCAGCCAGATGCAATCGATTCTCTCCCACATGACGTAAGGTATTGACAGTGCCAGTCGCAGCACCCACTGATTTGCTCAATCCTGCCGCCACCGCTTTACCTCCAATACCAGCTGCAGAAGAAATGCCAAAGCTGGACGTTCCCGAAAAGCTAGCACCAACACTTGGAGTACGGCCTCTCACTGCAGCAATAATAGGCTGCGTTGAGCCCCCAACGAGTTTCATAGCAGCAGCAAACGGGCTCGAGGATCCCGATTCCTCGTGGTCAGGTGTTGTAGACGGCTTTTCTGCAGCCTGACTGCGTTTGGACTTGGACTGTATTCGTCGGAGTGGCGGCCATTGAAAGGCAGGCCGAGGAACGTCAAAAACGTGTACGGTCCCTTTCCGTGTAACCATGGCAAATCTCTCTCCAGTGGGTGTCGTCCAAACAACATCTACAACGTTCGACGTAGTCAGACGAGAATATCGTGCTACTAGCCGTACATGAGCCGTAGCAGCGCTGTTACTTGCCAGCTCATCAGATAGAAAGACAGCAGATCTGCAATTTCTGGCTTGCATAAGATCCCACACATATTGCACATCGCCCTTTCTGCTGGCGCTTAGCAAGATATGTCCGTTTGGTGCGAATGAGAGAAAGCTGCAGCCATTCGGAGGCTGGAAAGTAGCGAATGTGGATCCTTTAAGATCATGTCCTTCCTCCATTCTTTTCAAGTCAATGATCGAAATCAAGTCCGGCTCTGAAGACAGGACTGCTGCGGTATCTTGTCCGTGAGTGGGAGGGAACAAGCCATGTGCTCCCTGTTGAGCTTCAAATTGTGGTGAGCGACGAGAACTGCCATTTTGAGCAGATTGCTGATCTTTGTTCCAGTAATTATTCCATGCCTGGAGTCCTTGATCTCCCATCCACCGAGCACCTTTCACAAGCTCTTGGGTAACACCTCGAGCAACCTTATCGAACAGACTTTCTCCCTCTCCCAGATCTGTCGCACAGTTGACAGCAGGTTTAGGTGGGGGTGTATGGATGTCGAGACTAGAGATTCTCTTATGGATGAGATGTGCCAGCACTCTCCCCGAAGGAGGAGCTCTCGGTGCAGACGCAGGTGGAACAACAGCTAGCCACCGCCCATACACAGATACAATAGGGCATTCCACAGCTGTTGCCCCATGTTGTCCATCAATCTGAGAACCATCGGGATCGGTAGAGCTTGATGACGTAGAATAGCGCCTGGACTCCCTTGTTTGAATGCTAGTCCATGTTTTCCCCAAACATTGATACCCAGAGGCAGACTGCGTAACTCCGTATATGAAAACTTCGCCACTCACACCACAAGCAACAACAACATAATTGTGAGTAGCATACAATCTTAGGTTTCCGACAGGAGCTGGTGCCAACAGCGATAAGTTTGGGTAGTTGTCAAAGCAAGACACAGGTTTGCTTTGGAAAAGGGTCGTGATATGTTCCCCCGTTTTGATAGAGTAGACATCCACGCTGGTTTGATAAACGGTTTCATCTTTGCCTTGCGGTCTTTGGTCACTGGGCGACGGCTTCACTGACAAGCCTGGAAGAATTTCATTCTGTTCGGATCCCGCAGAAGATGTCTCTGCGGAGTCTTCTTTGTGGGCGATGGGACCATGGAGAACAACAGCTACATGGGGTCGTGAAGACGCGTATGGATCGTTTCTTGACGTGCACGACAGAATCTTCGCGTCCAATACACGACCATTCAATCCAGTCAAACTCCCCACGGTGCGGACTCTCTGATCTTCTACTGCCAAAACGTCGACGCCGCCGTCAGTCCCTACTACAAGTACTCGCCCTCCCATTTTGACCGACTTTAATGACTGTTCTGATATAGTGTCCCAGGCGCAGAACGAATATTGACTGTCCGCAGCAAGTCGGTTGGGAGTAGGAATGTCAATTTCCGGCGCGCTGTAGAAATGAGCTTGTGGAAGATGGGGTAGCGGAGGGTTCGTTTGAAGGTGACTTCCCATGGAATTGCGTTTTTGTAGGTCTGCAGAGCGGTGAGGGGACGGTGTGATCCCAAACTGACCATAGCTTGTACTTGTTGGTCTGGCCCTCGTCGGCGGCGGAGATGCTGAAGAGGAGAAGTGACTGCTAAAGCCCGGGCGCTCGAATGGCGTTGGGATGCTTAGCGGTGAACCACTGCTGAATCCAGGATCTGGTAGGTCAGTCGGGGGACTCTTCCCAAATGGTACTGACTTTGCCCATGCTCCTGTCCGAGTGGCAGTATCACTCTCAACATGGTTGATGGCCCCCAACGCGTCTAACACGGGAGAGACCGAGGACAAAGCGGGGTTGGTAGCCGCGGGGGTGAAAACATTTCCAGGGTATGACGAGGGATCAGATTGGGAAGGTGGTGAGAATTGGATACTGGTATGACGATATTCAAGTTAGTCGGGGATTGCCGCTATAAGTCTTCAAGGACACAGGGGTCACACGTACTCATTAGATTCCATGGGCGGTATCGGTTTGGCTGATGTATCTTTTCCTTTAGACCCATTCTTGTCTTTTCCCTTCTTCTTCTTTTTTCCAGTTGGTTCAGGCACTGGGATTGGGTTGTTGGTTGGAGGGCTGTCGTTAAAGAGTTGGTTATCGGGGCGGAAGGAACCCTCTGACTCTGCGGGGGGCATCCACGAAGCTTGTTTGGACGGCGAACGCCAGGATCTGGCGTATTGAAGAGATTCCGAAGGATTAAGCTATATGGTCGGAGCAACCAGGCTCCTTCCGGACGGTTATCAAATGAATGTTCAGGCGGTTAGGTCTGAAGTGAGGTCGGTGAGGAGATGAGACGGAAGGCAATCGATCCGGAGTAAACAACCAGCGGCACGTTTAGAAGTGTTTATCAGAAGTTTTGACTCGAAAAGAATAGATGCAATAAGATGAGCGGTCCCAGACACGCGCAATGAGAGATCAAGTAGTGTTTCCAGAACACTGCACCGGGGAAAAAGTATCGAATTAGGGTATCTCAAAGAGATGAATCATATACTGAGTTGATTGGATGCAGCGAGCTTCTTGGCGCAGGAATGACGCAATAACAGTACAGAGTCGCAGGATGAATATCGGAGATTATAATGGAAAAGGATGAGGTTGGATTGATACAAGAGCAGTAGCAGTTTGGTATAAAGATGTCGCAAGGTATAGTTGGGTTGAGGAGAGTTCAGGAGAAGGAGAGGTTGCGGATATCGAAGGAGTGACCTACAGACGCGCTACGGAAGAAGGAGCATATCAGGTGGGGGAGGGGGAAGGTGCATGCCTACGATAGTCAGGTCCGCGAGGGGAAGGAGCTTAGGGCGGGTCGCCGTGACTGATTTATTCATGAACCACCACGACCACGACCACGACCACGACCACCTCCTCCTCCTCCTCTATCCTCCTTACTCTCTCTATAACGCTCGTCTCTGTCTTTAACTAGCTGATAGCATGGGGTATGCTCAATGCACGTATCGAAATGCCCAACACATGACAAATCGACGACTTGCCAATGAAGTCATTGCCACCATGCCGGAGCCTTGGATATCCGTCATCTCGGTTTGCGAAGACAGGTCCAGTGAGTCTTCGATCTCAGTCGTCTGAGCCATGGTCAAGTATGCTGGAAACCGAAAGAAACCTATCTCACGGCTAGCGTCAGGTGACAAGACTCGATCACGGGTTCGTGCCATACCATAGTAACCATACCCTGTCAGGTATGCTGTCAAAGCAGTCATGGCTACTCCGTACGTCCATCTGATTGGGCTGGGCAGGAACTGACTCAAAAGCTGGGCATATCGCGCGGACAACCGGACATGTCTTGCATATTCTAAGATACGGGAAGGAAAAGTGGCAGTGAGACACGGTGGTATTAATTAGATAGTCATTTACTTATTATACAGTTGATGCGCTTTTCACGGTCGCTGAGCTAATTTATATAGGTAAATCGGTCGTTGACAAACACCAAACCCCAAACCCCAAACCAGTGTCTGTACAGCACAAAATGCTTCTTTTGTTCGTGACTAAATCTTTGGTCCATTTGCGCAGAATATAACCCTATCGTCCTCATCGTTGATGCGAATCCGTCAGGATGGAACTGTAGAATGCGCGCGGGTTTTGAAAAAAGAACACCTCAATAGCTTATGTCTTCTTCTTGCTTGCCGCCGCTTTAGCCTTTGCAGCCTTCTTTCTGCTGCTACGAATCATCATAATTCCGAGGAATGACCCTACAACAGTCGAGCCCAGGAGAGTGAGGATAACGGGAATTCGGATCGCCCATACACGTGAAGGAAAGAGGTCATGGAGAGGATGCCCTTGGTCAACGAACGGCTAACGACATGATATCAGTCAGCTGTAACCAACTCGAGCTTTGCTTTTGTTTTTTCACTCACCATCAACAGCGTCCATGCCGTGTAGTATAGAAAGATCGCTGTTGCGACCAGCAACATTGCAGAGCCAACCAGTGGACCAAGCTACAGAAATAATTCAAGTTAGCTTCACCATCGCTATGTAGACTGATATTCTCATTGGTATACCATAATGATAGAAGATCCGCCTGGTATTCCTCGCTATTTGAATAGAATGCCCAAGTGGTGATGGACGAGCTTTCTATGGGAGCTCTGCCAGAGGAAGCACCTCCTTGTTTTGGCCAGATCGATTAAAGATCACGTGACTAGCACCGCCACTGGCGCATGTTGGCGCTAGGGCGGCTGTGGCTCAGTTGGGCCTTTGAATTTCCTTTGCCATCAGAAGGAGCTTATCCAAACACCTAGCCACCAAGCCCGTGTCAACGGCACGGCCATCCTCTATCCTCAATATTTCCTCAACTTCATTGAATATAAGAGTTAATTTTCACAGAGTCAAAATGACCGATCCGGTGGTTTTGCAGTCTGCAGTGCGAGTCCCAACTCCTCCTCCAGGAGTATTATACTCGCCGCAACCATCAAGCGCGCGAAAACGTTCTCCTCCCTCTCGTTCACCGTCACCCAACCGTCGCAAATCGCCTCCTTGGAGTCACTCGAAAGATGCGACAGATATGCCTCATGTTGACCCCGAACGTGCGATGGAGAGGGAGCGACAGCTTACAGAGAGATTGCAACAACGGGACGCTCGAGATGCGGCACGAAAACCGATGACCGAAGAGGAAAAACAAGCAGCAGCTAAGGCTGAATATGACAAGCTACTTAATATGCGATCAGGAGGAACATATATTCCACCAGCCCGCTTACGCGCCTTGCAAGCCCAAATTACGGACAAGTCTAGCAAGGAATATCAAAGGATGGCCTGGGAGGCTTTGAAAAAGTCTATCAACGGTCTAATCAACAAAGTGAACGTGTCGAACATCAAACACATTGTACCCGAGCTATTTGGTGAAAATCTTATTCGCGGTCGAGGCCTGTTTTGTCGAAGCATCATGAAAGCCCAAGCCGCCTCACTGCCATTCACGCCCATCTACGCAGCTATGGCCGCTATTGTCAACACGAAGCTGCCTCAGGTTGGAGAATTGTTGCTCGGACGATTGATTGTTCAGTTTCGTAAAGCGTTCAAGAGAAACGACAAAGCCGTTTGCATTTCTTCCACTACATTCATTGCACACTTATGTAACCAACAGGTTGTACACGAGATGCTCGCGGCCCAGATACTGTTGCTTCTACTCCACAAGCCCACAGATGATAGCGTTGAGATTGCAGTTGGTTTAACCCGGGAAGTCGGACAACATTTGGAGGAGATGAGCGGGCCCATAGCCTTAGCCGTGTTCGATCAGTTCAGAAATATCCTACATGAAGCGGACATTGATAAGCGAGTTCAATATATGATTGAGGTCCTCTTTCAGGTCAGAAAAGATCGTTTCAAGGACAACCCGGCAATTCGGGAGGAACTCGACCTGGTTGAGGAAGAAGATCAAATCACTCATCGGATAGGGCTGGATGATGAGATCGACACGCAGGATGGACTCAACGTCTTCAAATTCGACCCCGAGTGGCAAGAGCATGAAGATGCTTATAAGAAGCTAAGGGCAGAGATTTTGGGCGAAGGCAGCGATTATGAAAGTGGCGACGAGTCAGATGAGAGTTCCGAAGACGAAGAAGCTGAGGAGGAAAATCAAATGGAAATTCAAGACCAAAGCAATGCCGATCTTGTCAACCTGCGACGTACAATCTATTTGACTATCATGTCAAGCGTGGATTTCGAAGAATGCTGTCACAAATTGATGAAGATCACTCTACCTCCAGGAAAGGAGCCGGAATTGCCGTCGATGATTATTGAATGTTGTTCTCAAGAGCGCACATACTCAAAATTCTACGGATTGATCGGAGAGCGATTTGCCAAACTGAATCGGTTGTGGTCGGATCTCTTTGAAGAGTCGTTTGCCAAATATTACGAGACCATTCATCGCTACGAAACGAACAGACTCCGCAACATTGCTCGTTTCTTTGGCCACATTCTCAGCAACGACGCTATAGGCTGGCATGTGCTTTCTTTAATTCATCTGAATGAGGAAGAAACCACCTCTAGCAGCCGTATTTTCATCAAAATTCTTTTCCAAGATCTTGCCGAGCACATGGGGATGGCGAAACTCAAGGAACGCCTGACCGATCCTATACTTCGACCTAGCTTCGACGGCCTTTTCCCATTGGATAACCCACGCAATACTCGCTTCTCCATTAACTACTTTACAAGTATCGGTATGGGTGCGCTCACGGAGGAGATGCGTGAAAATCTCAAGAATCTTCCAAAACCTACCATGCCAGCTTTGCCTGCAGCAACACGGAATGATGAGTCAGACAGGGAATCAGTTAGCTCATACTCTAGCTATTCCAGCTATTCTTCATATACAGGATCATCTCGGTCATACTCACGGTCCCCTTCACCGCGACCACGACGTGACCGCGCAGTCAGCCGAGGACGTTCATATACAAGGTCTCGGTCTCGATCTCGATCTCTCGCTCGGTCACCTGTCCGAGATGACAGAGCGCGTAACCGACGTCGATCCAATACATCTTCGGTTTCGCGGTCTCGGTCTATATCGTATTCTAGATCACCATCACCTCCTTCGCGTGCACGCGGTAGGCGACAGAGATCGAATACGAGCTCGATATCTCGCTCCCCACCTCGTCGCGGCGGTGGTCGAGTTGTTGCTCGACGACGGTCATATAGTCGTTCCCCGTCCAGATCTCGGACTCGTTCTCGTTCTCGCTCTTATTCTGCCACTCCTCCACCACGAACTAGCCGGCGTTAATTTTATCGATACTGTAGGATACTGCATATACACATTGGGTTCGTTTGATTCATGGGTGTTTTAATGTTCTTTTCCTTGCCGATTAGCTTCCAGATCGTTATATGTATCAAAACCAGCAATATTATTTCCAGAGAACGGCTAGGTAGCATGAGAACAAAATCAAATCATCAAGTTGTGTCTTTAATCAGAAAGTAATTCACATTCAAGAAGAAAACTAAGTACGAATCGGGTCGCTAGGCGAACAAATAAGAAACACTTTTCAAAAGACAGACAAGAAGAAAAGCAGATCATATCACATCTTCGGCTTCCCAACCAAACCAGACCCGTTAACCACCAATGGCTGCATTATCCTCGTCTGTGCCTTTGACTTCTCTTTTGTTCTTCCTCCCCCTGACGTGGGTGATATAGATCGAGAAGACGTGTCGTCTACACAATCTGATGGAGCATCTCGCGCAGGAAGGAAAGGGTGATCAGTTCCTTTGAATAGTTCTTTTCCAGAATCTCTCCTATCGCGATCTTGATGATGATGTCGCTGACGAGAGCTGTAATGCATTTTGTTGGTAGCCGGGATGATTGATAACTGGGAGTTTGGGGATTCTGATCAATACCAACATTCGTTAGTAATTGTCCTTAGCTAAGGATAATGACATGGTGTGAAAAGGCCGAATTGACTTACCAGAATACGAAGAAAAAGTCTCCGTAGACGAGGATACCGACGAAGCCAGCGGGGCATTTGAAGTCGTAAATGACAACGAATATGACTGTGATCTTGACCAGTCACCTTCACCCCCTTCACCATTCATGTTCGACTTCTCAACAGCGAAAGGATCCCACTCGGTGTCCAATCTGACCACAACACGGCTCCCTCCCAACTCGGACCCGTTATACATCCCAACCGCCCGCTCGGCTTCCTCTGCTGTCGCAAATGTAGCAGTTGCATAGAACTGACCGGGATAGCTGGACTCATTACACTGAGCTTCTTTACCGTTCCCGCCGTTATTGTTGTTGTACCGATTGATTTGGCAATAAAGCACATGCCCGGCATCGCGGAAATGGTCCTGTAATGTTTTGATATCAATGCCGGGTCGGATGTTGTCAATTATGATGTGAGATATGCCCTTGCTCACTGGGGACATTTGGTGTACTCCAGCTTGGAATGAGAATATTCCTTCCCCGCCGTTGTACGTCGCTGTCGTCGTTGTGGTGTTTCGGTACATATCAGAAGTGCCGGTAGAGCAGAGGCTACGTTTTCGTGATCCATAACCGTATACGTGATACCCCTGCTGAGTGTGGTGATAATACTGATTCGGAGACGGTGCATATTGACTGAGAAAAGCCGTAGGTGAGGTATGCTGATCATCACGATATCTTGATTCTGCATATAATGGCTGACCGCACATCGCGATTTGCGTCGTCGGATGCGAGTAAGGAAAGTAGTATGGATATTCGATCTGCTGTTCAAGAGAGGGCGGAGGAGGAAACATGGTCATTGTTGACGGAGAGAAAGCAACCATACCGTCAGGGAGCATGTTCCATCCAGGAGGTGAATGATGATGAGGCCCAAATCCCCCAGGTGAGTCTACCAATGTTGGTGAGAGCCCCTGAATCGGTCCGTGGCTAGGACCTATTGGCGTGCATGGTGCAGGTGATATGTATTGAGGATATATTGTTCCTGCTGCTATTGAATGTGTTCTGGTGGGTCTTAATTGTATTAGAATTGGTGTTAAAGTCATTATTGACGACCACTTACTCAGCGGTGACAGGCGATTCCGGAGTTGGAGTACCCGCCACAGAATGTCTCGCAAAATTTTCTCTATAAGATACTGTATAACTCGAAGGAGAAGAGCTTTTCGCAGGACCAGCTATCGGTCTCGTGGGTGAACTAGCTCTAGCCAAAGTCACGGTCAGGGGTTGGCCATCCCATCCCGTTGCAGAAAGCTTTCCTATCAGGATATTAGCTCCGTAATATTGTCTGCTAAGCAGATAAGACTCACGGTATGTCCGCCATGCTTCATCTTCATTTTTAACAATAATTTGGCCCAGCCCTGTAGGATACCCGTGTTGATCATCGTACACAACTGCTTGTCTGATATGAAGTGCAGTCTGTCGGATGAAGTCTTTTAGTTCCTGCCATCTGCAATGAGACGGTATCTTCCAATAGACTGTTAGAATAACGCTGTTCATAGTAGTAGCAAGTCTCTGTGGTATACTTACCCCTTGTAGGTAAAGAACATATTCTTCATCCCCAGTTCGATGTCTTCGACGGTCTCTTTCGTATGGGGAGGGAGTGGTCGCGTGCATCCTTGGAATCAGACAAATGCGATATGCAGATTGACAACTTTCAAGTATACTCCCTTCAAGGTCTGCACTAGAGTGCCTGATATCCTGTCACCGATGCAGATGCTTTTCAAGGGGCCCGGCGATATAAAACTCGATATATGGGTGTACCACTCTATATGTTAAAACAACCGATCTCAGGGCCTGAGCAGTGATGTCATCCAGATAGAAGGTTATCTGGGAGATCTCAACAGGATATGTTAGTCAGATCAGTTCTATATCTTTGAATCCTAGTGAGGGTAGTGTGGCTTGAGATAGATGTCCTCTCAGAGAATCACAAAGTAAATATAAACCTTGTCATAAACAAAGTGCAAGGCAGTAGAACCATGTCATAGAACTCGATAAAGCATGGAAAGAAGCATCGGTCCACAATATAAACAGACTTGATTGCTGCATCTATTCCATTTGTCGTGCGTCCGCCACTTTTACTGCAGGCAAGGCGGGATGACATTTACCAGCCTGTGTCCGTGATCAAATAGGACCATTTCCGTAATGAAAAATTCGAGAAGAAGTGGGACTAAAAACAAAGAAAGATTGCTAGAAGAGCGGGAAACCGCGAAAAAAAGCAAAGAAAATGCATGAAGGCATATGGGACTGGAGGTCGCAGATTTTGGTGCGCAAACGAGAGCCCTGGAGGTCCATTGTCTCGCCAATCAACCATCCATAAGGGCCTCAATCTGCAGCTGCAGCCTCGTACAATTTATAGACATCTAAACGGTGAGATAAGTGGTCTTTACCACTCACACGTCTACATTCTCATTCTTTGCTTTGCTTTGCATTTTACGCATACCCAAACAGTTTGCTGGGATTTTGGTTTAGGCAAATAGACCTAATACATCCGATAAGCCCTAAGAAAAATTCCTACGCACATACCGACCGATGGGTAAACATTAACCTTTTCCGGGGTAAGAAATACAGCATGAAGATTATAGGAATCGGAGTATTCAGTATCCAGAGCTGAAAAGTTTCCCATAACCACTTGATTTCTTTTGCCCGAACAGGGTTTGTTACCTGTTTAGAGCTTTAGAAGAGGGGCCGTTTCAGTCGGGGTTCTTCGGAATGGCTCCCTAAACCCCATTAACCCTGCAGCTCTTAGGCGCCTAACTTAAGTGTTTGGCGTGGTATTGCTTTTTCTGTGTCCTTTTTTGTGATTCCAAAACATAGATCCTAGTCAAATCGAGCTACTATGAAGATAATGCATCACCGTAGTATTAGCCACCGACGCTAATCATTCTGTGAGTGAAGCCACCTTTTTGACATATCTAAATGATAACTTTGGAATTCGGTACCATGTTTGTATATACGCAGGTACTGTTTCATATTTGTCATCTTCTTATTATCCTGTCTTTTGAGCCTGGCGCTGTGTATAATGCCACATGATTGATAGGTTCGTAAGTTCTCTATCTGACTGGCTAGTCGGAACACTACCTCTCCAATATCTATGTACTCCATCGTATTCGAGAATGTGATTGTGAAACCAAGCCACGTGGACTCTGACCCGGGGCATTTCTGTTGTCACTACGTTCAATGTTTTATACATAGATTACCCTCCCATGGAAATCAAATCGCAGATAGAGCAAGACGTTCTGAATTGTGATTCTGACTGTCTTTCGATAAGTACTCTGCTTCAGTTGTTCAAAATATATTAGTTGCTGCGCTATCTGCGCACTGTTTGTAGCGCCGACAAGAAAAAAAAAATCCGTTTGATAAATGGAAAATATGTATTAGGATGCATTAGATATGTCTTTTGCCTCCTATCACGACTCGTCTTCTTCCCTTCTAGTCCATTTCTAGTAACTTTTCTTCTTAGATGAGAGTATCATGTGGGTCGAGTCTCTTCTGGGAGGACAAAAAGTGCATGAACGGGAATTTCATGGGTAGATGGAGGAAGAAACCGGGAAATAGACTTGGCCTTTCTTCAACTCTTTTAGATGAAACCATAGCTGCGAACAGGAAAGAGAACCAATCGATCTGTCAAAAGATGTGTTTGTAAATGGAGACCAACAGAAAGGAACTTAGCTAGGTCGGTAGATCTTTCAGTCCGCTCACGTGTTGTGGTTGACAACTTGACTCGAAAAAGGTGCAGGGATACCCTAGTAGGCTGGTGGGCTAGATGACAGGGGTCTGGGGATTGTGATGATTGGCATTAGCCTTGTAGATTGTCAGGTAGCTAATTAGGTACGTCGATGTGTTTCTGACACTGTCGCACAAGACTTCCATGGAAGCCATCTAGTTGTTAAAAACCTGTGGACACTCTTGACCTGAGAGTCTTTCCTCGGCGATTATTCAAAATGTACAGGAAAGATAATTCTACTGGGAAAAGGAATGGGGGAAATTTAGAAGTTGCGACAGGTGGTGCAGGCCGTCTTCAGTAGCGTATGTGACCTGTCCGCTACTCCCACCCTATCTGGGTAACCAGATTAACAGAGGCCCTGCATTGGACCACGAAAAAATCAAAGCAGCGATCAATTATAGTCGATGATCGCGCTAGAGTATTTGCTAGACACGGCCCATACTGGTCTGGGCCTGTAGGCATGCTTTCTTCCAAGTTCCATGATCAACAAAGTTGATATTAGGGCTAGCTACCCACGGCTAACCGGCAAATACCAGAGTTGAGGTTTGGGATTGACACTCACTGTCTGTAAATGACATTTGTTAGAAAAGGCAATAACAATCATCATGGAGAGTTCGGTTAGATAGTGTACATTTACATCATTTTGATTGGTATACTTTGGATACCGGATTGGGTAATGTGGTTGCTAGCCGGTTCCCTGGGTACCTATTTGACCGACGAAATATCGACGACAGGCTAATAAATTAATTCTGCTTCAAACGTTTGTTTCTAGCCGTTGCTAGATCATCTTGGTATCATACCTATTTCGTCTGGTGCGCTTGGCTACTCAGGAAATTTGACTTTGACATAAAAAATACAAAGTCGGTGTAAGGGTGTGCATTTACTTCAGGAGTGTCTGCGGCCTATACATAGGTAGTGTCTTACCCATTGACACATGGATCTAAAATGCAACCTACAGCAGCTTAACCGGGACTCCAAGTAGGGGGCAGGAAAGAAGGCGCAATATAGGAAGTCTGTGCGCTTTTGAAATATCCATGGATGTTCCTCAAATGTAAAGCCCCCAATGACTTCGAAGATATTGGAAGTACAACACTAACATCCCTAGAGTAGTGATGGACTTATTTTCTTTAATTCCACTAAGTACTGCATTAGCTACGTTCATCATCCATCGTCGTTGAAGTAAGAAGTACGATCATGCTATACAAATCGGATACAGAAAACTTGTTCAAATCAGTAGTGGGCCACCTGACCTAGAATATTCCATAATTGTAGTCATTCAAGGAAACTTGATCTAACCCATCATTGGGATAGTAGAAACTCGCTCAAGAACATCCGGGACATGTTCAACCGTATCAAAATACAAGCCGAAAACCTCGACTGACTCAGGAAGACGGCCCGCCTACCTTTCTGAAATGCAGCCCCTAGTCACTTTATTGTGAACTACTTTCTGTCCTACTTGAGCAGGTGATAAAACTAAACGATTGATGCAGTAGCCCGTCCTACAGGCACTCGTGGCTCTATCAGATACATGCTTTATGTTGTGCCATGCTTGAGACGACCAAACAGAAAGCACAATGAACGCAAAAATAGGCGCATGGTCATCATGAGAAACTGAACAACGAATACCTACATATAGCAACGTTGTCGAATTCCGTTCGATTCGATATTCATGCCCTCACCGCTACGTTTGGTGTAGATATGGCGGCATGCACATCTGGTTGGCAGGCAGATGTGCATGCATTCCAGGGTATAAGACAGTGAGTTGTCTATTACATCAGTCATCTGGGTAGCGTGCTCTGGAGAGATATGATCAGGAATTATCGGCAACATCATTAGCACAATTATCGGTTCGTGCTTGGAGATCGATGTCCACATGGTCGGTGGGAAAGTCGCAGACAACCTTGTAAGTCAGAAGCTGCAAGAAGACGACATCTCCGGGGAATTTGGGCCGGGGTTGGTGTAAGAATAGTTTTAGAAGTGAGTGTCAGTCACACAACAAGTTTTCAGATTGTGTGGGCAAATTAGTTGTGCAGTTACCAAAATTCAACCTGTTCCCGATACTTAGCATCAAGGAATTTCTCCTCCAACCCACTAGCAATCCTTTTCACACCTTCAACAAGCATATCCTCCTCCAACAAAGTTTTGCACCTCTACTCAATAGAGACTCGTTGCTACTACCCCTGTTTCCCCTAACCCTCATTGCCCCGGAGGTTATACTCTTTCAACGAGACTGTGGCAACGTCATCTGCGGCTATGCCCTCGCGAAACAAGATATAGATGAAGAACCCTCCCATAACCTGTCCCGCCAGCGACTGTTCTGTATTATTATCGATCAAGGCATGAAGTCGGCCTATTTTGACCTTCACACTCAGCGGGCCAAGGTACTCTTCTATTGTCTTTGTACTATTGTATAGCGAGCCTTATATGTTGGTACTAGGACTTGCCGTATATGCGCTTCTATACGACCTGTTCGCAGAACGTGGTTCGATCAATGTTGACGAGAATTAGCCTGGGCACCGCCTGAAAGTGTTGCTCCGCTGGCCAATCAAATTAGTACGTCTCTCAGTTCTAGGTCCGCCAATTTATACGTGACTTACACTTCATTCAGACGTTTAGTAAACTCCGCCGTTGCCTCAACCCAACCACATCGCATTCCCGGACCAAAAACCTTTGAGAATGATCCGTTGCTGATAGCATTTTCCCACATAAGATCTCCTTCTGGCATCGAATTGTCGACATCAACTAATCGTGGGGGAGGGGGTGTTGGAGCAGCTTTTGAGTCACCGTTAACACTATTTGTTTCGTGCTGTTGGAATGTCCATGGCAAAGAGTCGTAGCAATCATCCATCACAATTAGGGGCATCTACCTCCGGAGCTAGTTTAACAAGAGCCTCTCGTCGGGCGAGCGTGTACGCCTTTGCACTCGGTGTTGCTGAACGTAGGAACGAGGTAGATGACATGTCGGTAGAGCTTGGGATATTGAGGTGAGTTCTTGAAGGTGCACTTTTCCGCGTCTGCACTGGATTTTGTATCTTCTTGATCAACTTCATTCATTTGTGCTCTCAGAAATTCCACGTCTACGCCGTCATCGTCTTCTGGGACTCCCACCAAGCGTCCCTGGAAGCCCGCATCTTCAAAGAATCTATATGCTAGAAAGTATGTCGGCTCAACTATCCAAACAAGGCGTGTATACACAGGATCTGTGAACCCAGAGGAGATAGCTGCTAGATTTCTTTGCTAGATTTCCCGATGCACCGTTCGTAATGCATATACGATCCGAGGAAATGGGTTTCGGTTCTGGGGCGTCCGGGTTTGTACTTGGTGGTGAGCGTAGGCAATACAATCGTGAGTGCCATTCTGCAACACCTTTACGGAGAGCTGGATCTCCAATGTTGGGACCATAGAGCATAGCATCTGTTGCTCGTGCGGGATTTAGTAGACTCCGTCTGCAGCTGCAAGAAGTGCTTTGATGGCAGAAGGCGAGGCGACGGCCAGCCTCGTTGAAGGTTGATGTGAGGTTGCTGAATAAGTGGTAATGCTTCAACCGCCATTTTGATGCTCTTGCTCATGTACTTGCTGTAGGATCTATCTCATAACAAGATCAGAAGCTCGAGGGTCTTTGAACTAGAGCATCTTATTTCATGATTCTTTGTTGGACAATCCCGGTTCATGCATTGCCACGAATTCGGGGCCATGGTCCGCGTCACTTATCCCCAGTTCCATTAATCGTCCAACTTATTGACCTGCAATATCAACAAGCAATGTCATAAATGATAAAAGAGCTATGTCGATCCGACGGTGGAGATATCGGACAGTCAACAGTCCTAGCGTGTCCGAAGTCCGACAGCGTGGGGAGAAGCATTCTGATAAGGATATTGATTTCCTGTGACCCCGCAGGACCTATCTGTCTTTATCCAAGACAAGTAGTCCATTGCAAGCATACCAATGGGCTCAATATTGCATGGACGGGAATGATATGTCGTACCTGAGCTCCTATCGGTTGCCCTTCGGACTCGGAGGCTGACTCCGTGGTTAATGAATCTAGATGTTTTGAAACAACGATACAAATGAGCGGTTCTCACATGGTTTTCTCTTCACATTTGTTCTCAAATTTTTAAAGCATCACTTATATTGTGCTGGATAGTTGCCTGTCACACAACAGTAGGTACTCCTGTCTGAATGATACATCATTATTGGCCAACACACAAATCTATGAATGCCTCAGGTCAAAACCACCCTCGACGCAGAGCGGGAAGCTTTCGACAAAGAAGTTGCTGAAATAGAAGCATGGTGGGAATCAAGTGAGAAGCAACGCTAATTAAAGCGGTATGTATCAATAGCAGAATATTTGTTCATAGGACGAAACTAATCGCCTTAAATCAGCCTCTATCCAGCCGAGCGAATTGCAGCCCTTCGCGGCACGGTCAAGCAGAAATATTCTTCAAGTGAAATGGCGCTTAAACTTTGGGATCAGATGATTGAGCATGAGAAGAATGGTACCCGTGACCTTACTTTCGGCTGCACTGATCCTCTACAAGCAGGCGTTATGGCGAAACATCAACAGGGTAAATTCCTTTTTCAGGCAACTATGATGCTCCATTGATTGCTGGAACTGATCCAAGTACAGAACTTAGACTGTCTATGTATCCGGCGCTCCATGTGGCTATTCCGAAGTCAGTCAACCAGGAATGGATCACGCAGACTATCCACGGGATACTGTACCAGGCGTAGTGAACAAGATATTCCGCTCTCAAAAATGGCAGGGTCAGCGTCAACGTCAATATTGTTTCCTTTATCCAAAAGAAGAGCGAGAAGAGTTGGATAATTGGGAATTATTGACGCTGATTGTGGCTGATGGGGATATGGGGCTCGGAGGACTTACGCATACTATGAAGATAACTAGGGCTTTTGTAGAGGCGGGTGTTGCTATATTTCATTTGGATGATTTTGCTATCGGTATGTTGACACATCAAACGTTCTAGAAAAAAGTGGCTGACGTGATGTTCAGGTGCAAAGAAATTCATCACTGGGGAAGGACGAACTGTTATTCCAACAAGCGAGCACCTGTCTCGTCTAACTGCTGCTCGTACCCAGATTGATGTTATGAACGCAGAGACAGTACGTATACCCCTGTTGATAACAACCAACATCACCACTTTCTGACAACTATAGATCCTGCTATGTCGCTGTGACACCAATCACTCTAGCTATATTACATCCATCGTAGACTCGCGTGACAACACATGGGTCCTCGGAGCAACAAAACCAGTCGATCCCCTGACCACCATTTTCAACCGCGCCCTCGCGAACGGAGAAGACATCACTGCAGCTCGAAAGGCATGGATCAATTCCGCCGAACTCAAGACGTTTGACGACGCCGTAGCTTCCGTTGCCTCGACCTCTTCTATCGAAGAACTCAAATCTTATCAAACCGCCGTCGCTGAGGCTACAACAAGCACTTCCTGTCCCTTCCTTAGCGAACGTCGCGCACTCGCAAAGAAGCATCTCCCCGAACCCCTCTTCTCCCAACTTTTCTTCGACTGTGATCTGCCACGTACCCCAGAGCAAGCCAAGAATTTCCCCTGGGATTCTGCCAAAGAAATACGGTGTGGTATGGCATGTTCAGCCCATCTGGGCATTGCAAGGGCAGAGACGCGCTACGGAAGAGTTTAGCCAGCCGTCTTTGGTAGAAATGTGGAATTGCAGCGTATATGGATAAGGTCCAGGGTCCTGAGCTTGGAGTGACCTATACGGATTTGCATATTAGAGGTTATGGAGTTCGAGATGTGGATGTGGAGGATTCTGGATATGCGCGGGTCAAATTTAGTGGAGCGTATCTTGCTGATGCTTTGCTTGAGACGGCTACTATGAATATTTATGGTGCTGAAAGGTGTCTTAGGATGGGCGAAGGCGTGGTCAAGGGGCCCAAGTAGAACCGTTTCGGTTAAGCTCTTCACTCGCGCAGTACATAGTTCTAAGAGCAACTTTCCACCGAACCTTGTAATGTGATTACTGATCTTTTGATATGAACATTACTGCATATATCCAATTCTGTCTATAAGTATGCCTACACCATTGATCACCAGCAATGGCCAATCCAACTGTAGGTAGATAAGTCCCTGTCTGTATAGAATATGCCTCATAACGTACCAGTGTAATTTACGCCAGAAGTATACCTAGAAAAGTTTCACGGGGAAAAGAGCCACCATCAGGTAGGTAAAATGAACGACGGAACATTTTCAAGTCTGTTACCTGGACAGGTGAGATGAGAGCTAGACTTTGCCTCATTCTATCTACGTTCTCCTATTTCTACCATACATTAAAACATTGCTCGGATTCTTGGAAAGATATATGAATTCGAAGGAGCTTCAGCGATGAGGAAATTAGATATAGATACCTCTTAGAGCAACTGTGTATACATGGCATGCAGCCTGGAGACAACGGTTACACGAAACAAGCCACGTCGATGTGTGGCAAGGACTTTTGTTAACATGGTACGATATTTGTCCTCCATTCTGAGTTCTTATGCGCTATTAAGTTGACTGAATAGCTTTTTGCGGTTGCCTTGCTTCTCGATCCGAAAAATCCTACAAGTGTCTCACATACTTCTCAAATAAATAGTTCGAAAGTATTTCACTTTTCATTGAACCTTTGACTAAGATTTTATAGAACTTCTATGATCAAGCGATTAGCCGCTATTTACCTTCGGTTCTGAAGTATCCAAATCGTTTATTACATGTTCAGGTCTACCTGATGATGTCTCTGCATGCCATCTTTTCACCATCAGCGGAATAGATTACCCTCATGATCTCGTACACAAGATATTTAATTGTAGTCCAATTTCATTCCGCTGAGGTTGAACCGGAGCCCATTGATGATACATCCCGTATTGAAATTCAAATGCGTCGGCGGGCATTCTGGGTGGCCTACGGACTGGATCGCCTGGCTTGTGGCGTCCTGAGGATTCCTCTTTCCATAGCAGATGACAATATCACTGTGCCCGTAAGTTCTATTTCCATGAATTAGAAGTATACTAACGAATATAGCTTTTTGACAACATCGATGATACGGGACTTGTAAAAGGCTCTTCGGTATCACTCAGCCCCTCAACTTTCACATCGGTCTCGGCAGTACTACATCAAGAACGTTGTCAAATTATCCAATCCGAAGTTCTCAACGTTACCATGAGTTCAGATTTTTCCGCGTACTTTGACTCCCTGTCAGATTGGAGATCCTATATTCTATCAAAGCTAGAACGTTAGAGATCTCAGCTTCAGGATGCAGCGGAATCCAAATTACAAAACGATTCCTCATCCCTGGCCAGGTGTAAGTTGTGTAATTAGTTGTAATCAGATACATGCTAACATTACTCTTCCAGCTCATCAGTCAGTTTTCAGTTGGTACAACTATTTTATATTGTTTGTGGGCCACACCCTCAAAATTCAGGAGCGATCATACAACTCAAAAAGAGTTCTAGAGGCAATTCGTGCTTGTTCTAACAATATTCTGATCATAGCTGAACGGTGGGAGAGGGCCTAAGATCTGTTAGATAGTTTTTAGACCATCGCCACTGAGGCGTCTCTTGTGGAGAGCGCAAATAGTGACGCCGGGCGTATAATCACCCGTATCACCAAGGATGCAGCTGACGACATTCGTAGCAAGTTGGCCAACGTCAAGTCCATGGTGCTTAACCGTGAGATTATCCGCATGGTACGGGAGATGATTACAGAAGATCTTCCTGAAGATGCAGACAAGACACCAACTGAAGCGTTTCAAATCTCGGTGAAAAGGTCAATCTGGAACCTACATTTTCAAGCTACGGCAACAGTACACTATCATATCAGTTCTTAGGTCTATACTTCTCGAACAATCCATCTTCTAGTGAGATTGGAACACTTTTAATGGGACAGACACTCGAATTTCCAAATACTCTTCCTGGATACGATGTGTATTAAGACTTTGACACCTTTCGGAAGAATCCATGCAGACCACATTAACGGCTGAAGTCGGCCATAACATATGCTTAAAACATTTACCAAATATGTGTCAACATCTAATAACATGACTATATGTATCATCAAGAATGGATCTCGAAAACAACCACCGAACAAGCAAACCCGTCATACTTTAAAGGAGAATCTCTTGATTGAGTCTTTGTACATCTCCTCGCGAGAGACTACAGAGTCCGACGAACATCTTGTCGAGGCGGATTATCGACCAGGACTCATTTTACATCTACCTCATACTACTCGGATAAGATATTGAATGACCAATTATGGGTTATGATATTCGAACAAGTATTAAGACTGTGTTACACAATTTCCATTTGCAGCAAAACTCATTCCATGCCCATGCCCTAGCCCTAGCCCCGAGACCACCAGATGGCACCTACACACATATAAATCTACTCAGGAAACCTCCTAAAAATATCCACCAACTTATCCATCGGCGCCGCCAACAACCCGGCGACCGTCTCAAAGGGTGGCTTATCCGGCGCCATTGGATGACTCCTAGTCGGCACAAACATTTTTGTTCTGGCAAAATTCGCCGCCAATTTGAGTGAATCCTGTTCACTTAATCCATTCTCTAGCTGGATGAGATCTTCCTCTTCTTCCTTGCGTATGTGTGCGCTCAGATCGCCCCAGAGATTGCGGAGGGTAGGCTCGAATTCGGTATCGGTTGGTTTGAGGGCTTGGAATTTGTAGAGGTATTCTTTTACCTGCGATAAGTAAGTCAATAACCAAGATCACCTTTTTTTTTGACGGGGTCGGAGGAGAAATACAATCTGATGATCCTCCCTATCCCTATCGGCAACCCTCTTCCCATCCGCCACGATCTTCTCAAGAGCCGGATAAACAACCAACTCTTCACCCACTGAATGCCGCGCCAGGTCCCAAGTAAACTGGTTCTGCCATCTGACTCTTTCCTCTGGATCAAACGTGCCCAGGATCTTGTTATATTCGTTGCGAAGTTGGACGTGGTCCTGTCTGATGGTGTTGGAGATTGATGGTATTCCTGTTGTTAATGAGGACGATGCTGATGCCATTTTCAGGAGTCTTGGATTGTCTGAGTAAAGGATTGCGTATGGTTATGGACAGACTGATCAATTTCCCTCTCCAAAGAGAAAACCAGACGCTTTTGTTTTAGAGAAAATGTTATCACCTAGTTTTCTTCAAGTATCAAAATCTGACACAGATCTACCTCATCCTAAACTTTCTGTCAATAGCTCCAAATGATCTAGGACGTGTGTCATCCAAACGCCATCTCCGGTCCATCGTCGGCCTTTATCGACGATACCATCCAATAATCCCAAGTGAATTCCTAACATGAACTCTGATTGACGGGATTACCAGACTTTACTCACCACCCAAGGTCATGAGCCCTTGGTACAGACGGAAGTCATTCCCGATACATACCCAGATAAATAAATTAGATCCAAAGCGCATGAAAAAGTTTTCAAAAGTTCTAACCCTCGTATCTAGCCCTAACGAAGCAATGTTTGCTTAGCACTTTCCTATTCGAGTAGGTGGATGATAAATACGCCGGATTAGGTAAGGCCTTTGAAACGCGCAGTGATGGCTTAGATGAACGCCTCATCGATTACGTACAGACTCCCGGTCGACATTGCAATTTATTGCAGAGAAAATTTTTCATTGCATATAGTAACATCATTATAAGGCTATAAGGTAATAAGAGGGTATCACACAGGAATAAAAATCATAATGTAGTTGAGAATTGGGTCAACTCGGGATATCAATAAAAACGCTCAAGTACTCGCAAGGTACTCACTCACAGGCCAAAGAAAGTCATGGGTATCAATAGAACAAGGAACAAAACAAGAACGCCTGGAATAGTTTCATCAAGAATCAACTATCTCTGTTGTCCTGAATCGCTAAGTAAATACAAAGAAACGCGCTAGGTGAGGATATCGTAACTATAAATAAAAGCAAGCAATAAACAATGATAACAATAGCGCAAACAACGGACCATTGATATATCTCTCAATAGTAAAAATAACCCCTATCCATGATGTAGTGTGATAATCTCAGATGCATTCCAGATGCACTGTAACCATACAAATAAATGTATGTGTCCAAGTCGCATCGCAAGAGGTAACTTGATAATAATACCGCTCATGTCGTGTTCTCGGCTATGGCAACTCGACAACATAGACTCTGACGTGAGATTTTGACGCTCGGTTTCGATAACTGTGTTTAAAAGCATCGACACATCGTATACTTTGGTCGTGCCAGATACGTTCAATCGTGCAATTCGCGTAACAGTTTTCCGCCCAAATTGTATGTCGAGCTTTTTGATGCCCGAAATGCGTCCGTGTCCGTAGACACAGGCACCCGACGAAGCTAGGAATGATATGGTGTCGAGATAACTCTGTTGCCAGGGGAATCGATCTTTTTGTGAAAAAAAATATTGCTTGAGTTGTGGGTGATAGGTTCAGCGATTGTTGAATCCGACCATTGACGCACATCGACTGCAGTAGTATGAATTCATGCCGAATTGGACAACTCCCGCGGCAGGAGTTGCACCATTGATGCTGAGAGATCGCTGGCAGCGAGAGCACCGCACGATGTCGAGGAAATTCGATGACTGTGAGTCGGAGGATGACCGTGGAGTGGTGAGCCGGACGGAAGGGTCCGTGGGTGTCTGCAGCCGAATCGAGGGGGAGCTCATGGTGATGTTCTCAGAATATTGAATCGCTGATAATGATGGTATTGATTGGCGAGATAGCTGAGTCGGGGGCGTGATAGAATGATAATAAATATCAGTCGCTTAAGTGTCGATATATGAGAAGTTCGCATGTGGTTAGGCAGAAGGAAAGCGGATGAGCTAGGCACGGTTATTGTCTGATGGCGCGTGATTGTGGAACGTGTGCACAAGCGAGGCAAGCCTTCGGCCGTGACGCTCGGTAAGCAGCGGCCGAACGAGCTGAGTCAGTCGAGGGATGGATGACTGTGTTGAGGATAGGATTGTTGACGTTCAAGAACTGGAGGAGTTGAGGGTGAATTTATGATTGTGCCGAGAGGATCAAGGAGAGGATGAGGAAAGTGGAGTACGATACGGTGGCAGTACAATACGGTACGAGTACAGCACGAATCGAGTAAACGCTAAGTCACCAATCATTGGAGAACTGCAGTCTAATACTTTTTGCTTCAGTCGAGTTGACAAACGAGTTTCTGACTAGGACTTTTGCTAGACTTATATAAACATGCTACAGACTTATACTCCGTATTTCCCATTAAGTTTATCAACAGGTGAGGTATATCCGAAAATATGTTTACATCAGCCCACGGTATGGGCAGTCCCACCGTCGGTCCGTATTACCGTCAGTTACCATCGACTTTCTCTAGAAATTACTAGATTGCACGCTTAACGTCATCATACATTTGCTATTTGTTTAGCGACTGAGTTGTCTTTTACTCTTACTACATAGTATACCATACCAATACGTATGATACTATGCCATACTATACTATGTAGTACCTAGGGTACGTATGTAGTAAGTAATATGTTATTGATGTCGGATCTCAGATCGGCAAAGGCTGCTACACGATGCGACAAACTATATCTAATAGTCTGACGGCTATCCACCAAGCCAAACATTTTATTCCCTTGCCTCTTTTTTTTTTTTTTTTTTTTTTTTTTAGATTTCTCTAATCGATCGATGAAAAACTCTTCATTGGCCAATCTGCAATCCGGACCGAACCGGTTCATCTGCCAGCCCTCAGGCCTCCGCCAGGTTTCAGCCGTAACTTGCCTACTTCCGCGCTTTCTCCCTATCATCTCTTATGTAACTTACTCGGCTCGAAAGATGATGCGGAGGCAGAACTGTTCCAAGGTTGCATTTGCTGTTCGGAACTACGGTAAGTACGTAACCCTGTTAACCCTAAAAAATGAATCAGATACATGTTCCGATACAGGCAAGTGTCCCCGATCTCTATGTCTTCGACTTCTTAAAAGCACCATAGCACAAATCCCAAGCTTCCCGATTCCCCCTCCAGAGGCCTATCAACAAGCTAGAAATAGATGTAGACACGTCGACTTTCATGGGCACCGCACAGGCTCCAGTAAGCGGCCTCCAGCTTTTCACACAGTTCCGTGTGCACAACGGGAGTCCCCTTGGTCGTGCGATACCCGTTCTTCTCCCATGCTAGAATCTAGTCCGTCATGCTCCTCACGAGATAGGGAGAATCCGACTTGATCGCGATCATTGATGGTCTGCCGCTGTCTCTCTCTTCTGACATTTCCCGCTCCCAAGCAGTAGCCGCAGCTTGCTGAAGACCATAGAGAGCAGCATGCAATTCGGCAACATGGCCGCCCGCCCGGCCAGCATCCTCAACGTCTATGTTTATGCCCGACGTTGTATGGGCTATTCTTGCCAACATACACCCCAATGGAGTTTCTACCTTGCCTGCAGCATTGCGTTGACAGGCACCATTAACCGCGATGACGAGGCAATCCGTATGCGCTGGTAGATTGTGGGACCAACACCTTGATGCATTCTCGCAGGCGAGAAACACCCATTTGTGGACGGGGACTTGGACAATTTTCTCGTCGATGTTTGCACCATAGATCTCCTGAGGAACGAATCTTCTTTCAAGAGTCACTTCCTTTGGTTCGGCGAAGGGGGAGCACTCTCGCCACTGATGCAACCCGATTGTCATTTTTGGCTATCTGGCGATATGCTTTCAGACACAGGATCAATGTATCAACTGTAGAGCCGAGTCAACTCACGAGTATTGATGATCAAGTGGCCTCCATGTATCCACTCTTTCAAGTCTTCGGATTTCTGTCTCCAGATTTTTTGTTGATCAAGATACGCGTTGATTTCAGGATCAAATGTGACTCGCGTCGAAGAGATGAAAGAAAAAAAGTAAAAATTTGCCATATTGGGGATGGACTTGCCCGTGTACTTCAACTGTGTGACTAGGGCATTGAATCAACTGGAAATATTCGCGATGTTTCTCACAAGAAACCCTAAGCCGTGAAGCCCTAACCCTAAGGCAGTCGACGCTAACCCCGCCAACCGGGGTTTGCTCTCTCCTGCCAATCTTCCTCCCTTCTCCGCGTTCACCACACCACGATCAGGTGTTGCTCGATGATAACCCTGCAGCCTTAGTGGGCTCGCCCGGCTATTTGTTTTGGTGTCTAGACAACATCATACGTGCCTACAGCGGTCTAGAATGGTCGCTCAATCGGTCTCGGCGCCAGGTTAAACATGCCCGAGGTAAATATCCTCTTCGTTCATGCAAATCATCCAGACGATATCAAAAAACAAGACATACAGCGCTCTATCCGGAGTCACTCCATACGAGATGGCCTAGGCCGACGGAGCCGCCCGAAAAGGTTACAAACGATAACATATGCTCTTGAGAGGGTGTATGCGGATACAGTTGCTCGAGGAGAATTCCCGATCCAAAAGTCATTGGGATCATGGCCCTTTCCGGTTCAGTTTCATACCAGAGCACAAGAGCTCATCTATTTCAGTGCGTATCTACTTGAAACGACGGCTGATATCCTGACTGACTGACACGTCAAAGTGATTGCGGAATCCGATTATGTCTTCCGTCCATTTCGCACCGTCTGGTTCTCAATGGCCTTGACGGATGCCACTGCATTCCAGTTATGCATGGCTAATGCGGCCATGTTCATGGCACAGAGGAAGCAGCCAGATACGTTTCAGTATGAGAAATGCTCGGAAGCGTTGGAATATTACGGCCAGTGTCTGAGACAAGTCACTAAACGGCTGGAATGTCGTGACGACTGTACTAGTGAAGGTGTTATTGTGACTGTTCTCGGGCTTATTTGCCATGATGTAAGAATATCTATTTTTCACTGTAATCAACGACTAACGAATATCTGAATAGATATATGTCGGCTCGTGGACTCGCTGGGAAACCCACATGAAAGGCTTACATCGAATCATACAGGTTCGCGGCGGATACAAAAATATTGACAGCAATCTCGCACTCTGGGCATCATGGTAAGACCTTTCTCTGTGTTTGCTTCCTATCACTAATCCAAGATTGGCAGGTATGATGTCCTAGGTTCGGCTACACACGACACCTACCCACACTTTCCAGAATACATGAATAACTTGCCGTCGCGCCTACCCGGCCGGACACCACTGTTGGAGCATATTATCTGCAAACTGATGCACGAGAATAACGCTGCGATGTGCCCTGTAATCAATGCATTGGACAGAATCAAAGTCATTGCCGACATTGTGAATGCCCGTCACCATGAACCCGAATTCTGGAGACGAGAAGACGACCTCAGTCCCCTTCACACCATTGGCCCTGTTGCTCATATTCTACTTTCCACCCCACGACTCGATCTGCAAACTGATGGCACAATTGACTCTGCAAAACTGTTCTGCGAGATGACACGTCTGTGCATGCTCATTCTTCTAGCCGCCTTGAAGCGGCTATATTCGTTCGCCCTAGATGAAATAGAGCTTACAACTCTGACGGCAAAATTCTCCTTAGTCTTGTCAATATACTGGAGGAGTCCCTCGTTATATCAACCTGACGATGCATTACAAAGTCTTCAACTATGGAGTATTCTTATCGTTGCCGCTCTACAGCCATTTGTGGATCGCACGCTCTACGTTGCCGAAATCCGCAGATGCATGCACCACATGGGAATACAGTCCGCGACTGATGCTCTTCAACGATCTCGTGACATTGCTTGGGTTGACGTTGTCTGTGGCATGGGTGCAGAAAACGAAACACTTCTCACTGCAATTGACAATGCGGCGCAGCCTTGATTTATCATACATGCAACAATTCGAGTCCGATCAACCACCAGTGACCCCTCCACTAACACTAATAACCTGCCCCGTGATCCACCTACTCTTCTCATTACAAAGCAACAGCACCGCATCGCCAATATCCTCAGTCGTCCCGATCCTCTCTTCGGCTCTCGTCATCGCAATCAAGGGTTCATGCATCTTCTCCATAATCTCCTTGGGGAACGCATCAGTCGCAACACCCCCTGGCATCACAGTGTTGATGGTCACTCCATATCCTCGACCCAGCTCCATTGACATGGCGAAAGTCATTGCATCCGCGGCAGCCTTTGCGCCAGCATAGATTGCGATGGGCGACGGGCAGATTTTCGATGCGACACTTCCAATGTTGATGATACGTCCACCGCGAGGCATGTGTGGTATAACGGATTGGATCATGTATACGGGTGCAAACACGATCGATCGAAAGGTGCTTTCCATTGATGAGGAAGATACGTTGAGGAACGGCTCAAGAGAACCAGTTGCCGCATTGTTGACTGTCCAGTCAGCCATTATCCTAACGAGACTAAAGGCAATTTTTGGAGCATACCCAAAATATCAACATGATCAACCCCAAACAACCTCAGAGTCTCATTAACAAGCATCTTTGCTCCCTCCGCTGAAGACACGTCCGCCTGAACCACAACTGCCTTTCCGGAAGTATTCTGATTAAGCGATTCAGCGACTTTCGCAGCTCGAGGCGCAGTCGTATCTGAGACATGGTTAATAACCACCCAAGCACCGTTACGAGCCAATGCAGCAGCGATCCCCGCACCGATGCCAGTCTCACGACCTGAGCCTGTGATGATGGCTACTTTGCCAGTGAGGGAGAGGGTGTCCATTGTACGTCTAGAAACTGAACTAGAGAACAAGATAAACTAAAGATGGAAAGTCGATGCTGAATACAATGACCCCCAGATGGGATGATCCAGGACTATATATATACTTTCCCCTCTCTACAACAGAGCTGAGAAACGATACCAAATGGGGTAGTGGAAAACCCGAAGTGACGCTATCCCCGAAACAGAGAAAAGTTGATGCTTAGCTGCATATGACATGTTGGCCAATAAGATCACGGTATTGGATCCATAGTTGAAGTTGAGGTATACAAGAACCAATCATATAAGAGTATGTTGGACATCACGAAGAAGTTGTTAGTCTGTTCAATTCTTAGGATACGCGGGCAGTCAGAACCGGACAGATCGGTTTTTATTCCCTCGTGGGTCAAAATTAATCAGACTACGTAGTGTGTATCAGCTGAATGAATGGGTTTGCATCTTCCTCGGCAATCAGTTCTACTGAACATCATCCCCATCTACTGGCAGCTTCCGATCACGAACAAACCTCTATTGTCCGATATCCTTCCACTTACTAATCTCTCCATGCATTCGCATCCCGCGAGGAAGATCGTGAGCAACACTACTCCCGTCTTCCTTCACCTGGATACCGTAGACCGGTTGCGTCCAATAACTCTGCGGCGTTTGGATGGATACCCTCGAAGATGGAGCATGGACACATTGATTCCGTGTCATGGAGGTCGATACTCTCTGGAAGTGGTAGATATGGTGATGGTTGGTACTTTCCGCCATGATAGGAGGTATCAGCCTCCATAAGGAGGAATGAGTCTATGGTGCGCATAAGCGAATATATATGCCTGACGGTATGGCTAGATATATCGAGTAGATAAAATGAGCTGTTGCTGAAATAATCTAAAATATTTACTTTTCTATAGATTGAACTTGTCTGATTCTATCCTGTGAATAAACTGGCTTTGAATATCAGTCTGAGTCAAGGTACATAGGTAGCTGAATCTTTAGGCTAAGAAGATAGTCTTCCTGCTATTATGCCTGGTCCGACTACCAAGTTGGCAAGATGGTAGAAGTGGGAAACGTGGAGAGATCTCCAATGTGATTAAAGTGCCAAGGACTGAACTTGTTGCTTATGAGAAACCGAAACTAGGAGGAAACAACTAACCTCCATATCACCGGATTAACATCCTCTAACGCGAAACCCCCTTCCTGCAAAAGATCCGAAACTCCCTTTTCAACATTAATCTAAAACCCTTATGAGAGTAATCTCTTAATCATCAACGTCACAAGATTCTGCTAATCCTTTTGCCTGTCCGCGGGTCTTCAACCAAAGAACGAATGGTCAGCAATACAGCTGATCTAGACCGCCAACACTAGGAGCTAGGAAATAGTCAGCTTTGCATAAGATTGATATTGTAGTGTCGATTATTCGCACATTGATAGTGTTTGATGACGGCCGTAGATGCAGCTCTGGCAGCGGCGAGCGTTTCGATATTTGTAGCCATGGTTTCACTGATCTGAATCCACTCGGTTGAGATGCTGAACGGGCGAGTAGCCTTGTTATATATGAGCTAGATCATCATGAATCTGTGTGTAATTCGTGATGTACTGCTGAATGATGTGTAAATCTGCCACGGGTTTGCCAGGTGAGAAACAGCCATGCCGCGAATAATAGGCGCGTTAGGAACGGTATTACTGGTTGACGGTTGCCACCAAACATCATCATGCTCATTGCGCTCCTATGAGACAAGTATTGTAGCGTATTCTCTCCTGCGGTTTCATAGTGGACACAACCATCCTGCATTCAGCAGTGTAACTGCGCCTGCGTGTGCTCGAAGTATGCAGGATGCAGGAATTTTGCGTCGATAGCAAACCTTGTTCGAACTCCATCGCAGCTTCGTCAGGGCTCCGCTACATGAAATTCAATGTGGTTTATACGAGCTGGCACTCCTCCTACTTATTATCTTCTTTTTCACCAAGTGAAACTAATCAGTAATAGTAGTAATCCTGTAAATAATACTAACTATGCTTAGGAATGATGAGTAATGTATACACGACGTCATCCAGCTACCCCACCATGTCCCTCTCTTCTTCGCTCTTCTACACCTTTTTCCTCAACTCAACTTTTTTCAATATTGAGAGAGATTAGCAGAACCGGAACATACCCAATCTCACTTCTAATATATAATAGCGACTGAATACACAATGGCAGGCTCGCCCAGTCTCTACAGCTTCGCAGACATCGACTCCCTCGCAACACAACTGCGCAAATATATTCTAAACAACCAAAACGCCGCCCTCAAAAAACACGACGTCTTCCGGGTCGCCGTCTCAGGCGGTTCACTCCCAAATACTCTAGCCAAAGCCCTTCTTGCACCCGGCAATGGCTCCCCCGAAGATACAGCTCAATTCTCCAAGTGGGAGATTTTCTTCGCCGATGAACGCGCTGTACCGCTAAACCACCCTGACAGCAATTACCGTCTAATCAAGGAGGAGCTCCTCGACCACATCCCTGCCAATCTTGGTGCGCCCAAAGTCATCCCTATTGATGAGAAGCATGTCGACGATGAAGACCCAACGGAATTGGCCGACCTCTACACCGAAGAACTCAAGCGCTCATTCGCCGCTAAGGATAGCGTCAAAATACCCATCTTCGACCTGATCTTGCTCGGTGTGGGACCCGATGGACATACCTGCAGTTTGTTCCCTGGCCACGAGCAACTCCGCGAAGAGCATGCCTGGGTCGTGGGTGTGAGCGACTCACCCAAACCACCCCCAAAACGTATTACGCTTACTTTGCCTGTCGTCACGCACGCCGTGAGCATTGCCTTTGTCGCTACTGGTGGTGGGAAGAAGGATATTTTGAAGAGGATTTTTGATACTGATGAGAGTCACACTTTGCCGAGCGGATTGGTCAATACTTTGGCTGGAGATAAGGTGTCTTGGTTCTCTGATAATGCGGCTACGGAGAGTGTGTCTTTTCCAAAGCGAGCCAGTCTATAGATTAGTTGTGTTGATAGAGAGGAAATTTTTTGAATCAAGATGCGCTTTGATATTGAAGAAAATTAAGTAGTGTAGATAATTGCAAAATTAGAGCATTTGGAATTGACGTGTTTTTTTTTTGTTGTGATCGTCCAAGACTTCTAGAAGCACTGACCATCAAGGTGGGGACCAATCGCGACCTACTCCTTGGGACTTCAGAACAATAATCAATCTATGTCAACAAACCGAACGTCGAAATTAATTATCATGATTTAGTCGGAATCGACGCGGCGGCTGCATGTCAACCGTCATTCAGATTGCACTTCATCAATCCGACTGGGCCTGCAACACGCCATCCCCGCTCTCTCAACGTAAACAAACATTCCGATGCCAACCACCACAACGCGCAATGGCCCCGGAAACCCTCCTGGAAGCCTCAAACTGCCTCAAAGACAGCGATCAGTCACGACAGGCTCTTCGATTCCCGTACCGTCCACCTTGACAGTCACAGACAATGCATCCAGCAGAAAGAGTCTACTTCCACAGCGCATGGCGGTCCGGAGTCAACCGTCCGGATTGAGAAGGCCACAGATACAGACGCAGCCTACGAGAAACACAGAACAAAATGAACAATTACCAGTCAAAACACAGACAACAACCACATCAGAGCCATCAGTTGACGCGCAGCCGATTCCTAGGACTCCGACGGAACCTGAAGATGTCAACATACCACAAGCGCAACCCGTCGCAACGAGCACAAATCCTCCTCGCTCGCGAGCAAAAACTGAATCACGAAGCGAGCGCATATCGACACGACCAAAATCGCCCATTAAACCACAGCAGCAAAATGACACCAAATCTGCTCCGAAGAAACCATCAATGCCACCTCCAGCACGGCCGACCAGATCCGCATCTCTACGCCAACTATCCGCTCCGAAAATAAGTAGTGTCGGAGAAGCAAGGGGACACGCAAGGCATCGAAGTCAGGTACTCAATACCGGTGCAACCCCGGGATTGTCTGCGCCTTCGCGATCACAGGAAAAGTCTGGGACAGGGACAACGACCACCGTCAAACAGGCCCGTCCACAATTTACAACGTACCAGCAACACTTTAGCCCTAAAAAGGAAAAAGAAGTCCCCCGGAGCGTGGGCGACCGAAGGAATACCGGCAAGTCTGTTGCTGGTAACGAGGTTGTGAATGCGTCGCCGGAAACTGCGGCTCTACAGACTGAATTCCTACAACTCTATCTCCTCCATTCGTCGTCGATACGAGAGAACGCAGAATGGAAGTTAAGAGCGGAGCGTCAATTACGGGATAAATACTATGAGGTGGCTGCGTCATATAGGATAATTTTGGAGGAGGAAAGACGTGCGCAAGAGCAATTGAATCTTGAAGCTCTTTACGACTGGTCGCTGGAGTCGGCAAGTCTTGCAGAGGATAATAACGGGGCTACTTTTCAAGCCGAGATTCAGAGTTTCTCGAGAGTCACTCAGGAAGTTGCGGATATGACCGCGGCCGGCAGCGGGCGGTACGCTCTAGTTGTTCAGGTCTTTGAAGAATGGCTGGATAGGGCTGAACATATTAAACGAAGCCGAGAGGATCAAAACGACTCCAAGGAATGGGAACCGGAATACATCGATACTCTCGGCCCAACATGGAGGAATGAAGTGGACGAGTTGACCGTCAAAGCCGAACTCTGCTTGCGGGAACTACTAAAAACATCGTTATTCGTGCTGGACGAAACGAAATTCTTCGAAAAACACAGCGACTCGGCGCTTGTACGACTCGCCAGAGGACATCGAGATATTTGGACGTCTATGATCGACGAGCTGAAATTAATGCGCGCCGTGGAGTCTGAGACGGTGAGGCTGGAGCAAGCATGGATTGCCTGCGCGGCAGATCAGGTCCGGATTGATCCGGGGATGGGTTCTGGGGCGGGTATCTGGAAGAGACTGTAACTGCGGTAAATGATTAATGATGCATGACTCGTACAGAAGATCGATTCCTCACCTATTCTTATTTGTAAATCACATGTATATATATATTACATATACCATCTCGGACACTACCGAAGCGCTGAACTTATGTATCGTGCAGTCTCTCCGCAGTCTCTCCGCAGTTACCGCTGCGCTCTATAAAGTATGCTACGTACACATCGGCGATCAGTTTCGCGGTTCCCCTCGGAAAATGGAATTCCGAATATGGATTCATGTCCAAGTCTCCATAAAAAGGACCCGTGCTTACAGTGCTTAGGAGATAAGAGCCCATCCTGATGTAGTTTCACTGATTAGCTGTTTACCGTCAACTTGCTGCGCAAAACATAATAGAACCGAATGGCCGCCTATATTTCACGTGCGCAGCAGCTGAGCTATTCCTCAGGCCATAAATATGCATCCATGGCTGCCAGCGCATGATTAACTTGAGGATGGAACATTCCAGCAGAATTGCTGGAGGAAAAAGTCCAAATTAAGTTCGACTTGTCTGCACTAGTCTGTTTGGGGATTAGCGCTACACATCAGTCGTGCTTGACTATTCCTTTCTGGGGTATATGGTCGCTTTGGGGTGTGCTGATTGGCTGGCGGATATGATGTTGTCAATAGTATACTATACTTTGCGTTTGAAGAGTAACGCACAATGTTGAGAGTTATAGTACACTATAGCATCAAGTTCGCCTGTTTGGCATGGTAGCAGTATTTTACGGACATAGAATATTCCTCCGTACTCCGGTACAGATTCGAAAATAGTCTGCCTCAGGCCACATGCAACGTTGTCCGGTGGCGCTATGGACCACAGTCTGGCCTCGCACTATGCTATATCTGGTCTAGCGTCCAATTAGACTGGCTGGCTCACCCGCCTGATGTCATTGGGTAGGCCCCCCCTCCTTCCCGTTGAAACCTTGAAACGATTCTTGTCAGTCGCGCCTTCCCCATCTGCAGACCTGCCAATTGCCAAACCTGGAGAGAAGTTCCGTCCCGTTCTCCTCCAACCAGAATCCATCTTCATTCATTTCTTCCCTGATTTTGCATCGCAACTCTTTCAAGTTTCTGTTTCACTTCTTCGCCGTCGGATCGCCTCATTGTCTATACACGTGACATTGAGCTTTCCTTGTGTCTCAGCTAACTTGTCCATTGGCACTAAAGCTCTTCCACAGACTTGCAGTGATCTGATGCTAATAGTTCTTCCTGCGGTTGCATCGACGCACCATCTGTTCTTTTCGACGCGTCTGTGCGGACACCCTTTCGATCAGTTCTAGCCACTGCGAGATCCTATTTTTATCTTGCCAAGGTCATATCTGGTGGTGAAGATTCGGCCAAAAAGGAACCGACAGTCCCACCGCGAGATGTTCATTTTCAGGATTCTGCCAGCCGTTATACACTCACCCGTCTAATAAGGATGATTAATCAAATTCTCTTCTTTCTGACTTTGACAAAAAAGGCCTTGCATTACTACAATCAAGCTTCCTAACCACCAACACGTCATCCGACGACCCGCCCGCTTCCTCCTTCCCACTGTCGCTTACCTCGAGGCACCTGGAGCCAACAGCGATGAAGTCGTCTTTGTACGACAGGGTCTTCCAGAGGGAACTTGGCTATCGACCCCACGATGTCAGCCTCAAAGGTCTCTACGGCGCCTCCGAGTGGATCGATGAATTGGATATTGTCAACGAACTTGGAGGCCACACTGGTTGTGTCAATGCTTTGAGGTATGTACCCCTTGGACGATGTCTACTGCATCTCTCTACAGGGGCCAGAAGTCACTGACAAAACACAGCTGGTCAAACTCTGGACAGCTGCTAGCATCCGGGTCTGATGACACTTACCTCAATATATACTCATATCAACCAGACTCGTCAGCGTCTCCGTTTGCCCTAACCACCTCGATTGACACGGGCCACACGGCAAATATCTTCTCCGTCAAGTTCATGCCCCATTCTAACGATCAAATCCTTCTCACCTGCGCCGGCGACTCAGAAGTCAGGATATTTGATGTAGAATACTCGTTCAAGAATGGCTCCGCTAATGCTTCTACCGAGACATTCTCGACAAGAAGCCGGCGTATGGCTCATTTCTTCACAGGAACTCGCCATCTCAGTCATCACAACACAAATAGTCGTGTCTATCGCTCGCATTCCGATCGTGTAAAGAGAATCGTCACGGAGTCGTCCCCGTATCTGTTCTTGACCTGCTCAGAGGATGGCGAAGTGCGCCAGTGGGATCTGCGTCAACCGTCTTCGGCATATCCCGCCCCACGTGGAGGACAAGGTTTCATGGCGTATCGACCTGGCGTGCATCACGATGACTCGAATATCCCGGCCCCCTTGATCTCGTATAAGCGATACCATCTCGACCTGAACACAATCTCTTGTTCTGCGTCTCAACCGCATTACATCGCGTTAGGTGGCGCTCATCTGCATTGTTTTCTCCACGATCGCCGAATGGTTGGACGCGACTTACTTGCGGAGAAAGGCCGTATAGCCGGTTCGACTCCCTCGGCAGGCACGTTTGAAGATGAAATGATGAGCCAAGCAACCAGGTGTGTTCGAAGGTTCGCCCCGAAAGGACAGTCTAAAATGAAACCTCAAGACAATGGCCATATCACTGCCTGCAAGATTAGCGATGCGCGGCCGAATGAGATAATTGTCAGTTGGTCTGGAGATCAGATCTACAGTTTCGATCTCATTCGCAGTCCGGATGCTCGAGAGAGGAGTGGCGACGGAGTGAAGACGGCCAATTCTACCAGAAAACGAAAGCGAGAAAAGGTAGCATCCGCCACATCCCTTGTAAGCGGGAATAGGAGACATCTGTCTTATCTACGATCAGACGACACTCCTGGTGATGGGTTGGAGATGTCGTTTCAGGTTCGCTATGGCAATGGAGAATCGGAACATATTCCAATTCCGATGGCGGAGGAAGACACGCCCGAGGATATCATCGAAAGAGCAAGAGTCTCTGTTCTTACTGAAGCGCAAAAGTTGAGTCTAGAAATCGCCAAGGGTCTTGTCAAAATGCGAAAAGCCCTGTTCTCTCTGGAGACATCAGTGCGGGAGATGTCTCAGGCCCAACGCCACTATGATCTTACACCGTATCAATCATCCTTCACTACGACTCTCAGCCACGCATCGGTATGTTTGGAACAGATGGATGAAGTTAACGGATCATGGAGATACCCGATGAATCCCTCTCCGGATGTCGTTATCATGCAGCAGACGCTTAGAAGGAACCGTGAGGCTGCTCGGCGTTTTGTTCAGGCTTCTGGGACTTTGGCTTTCACGCTTGGTGGACGTGGAATAGACGAAAGTCAGACGGCACGTTTTGCGCAAATCGTTCCCGCACCTTCGGAAGACGGTATAATCGACTCGGAGTCCCAGTTTGGTTATGACTTTCTCAAGGCAATTCTTCTGTGGTTGGACGGCGGTCGACAGTCCTTACTGGAAGGATTTAAGCTAGGTCAGAATTCGCCTCGGAATCGTGCTCGATTTCCCATTCCGGAATTCGAAGGAGAGCAGGGTATCGAACGTTATCTTGTGCCTTATCTTCTAGAGTTAGCCGACTCGTCACCTATTGTTAATGTAGACGCTTCCCGTTTTGAACACGATGAATCGCGAATCATCTTTTCCACTCAACATGCTGCAGTTACTGCTTTCAAAAAGGCTGTTCGACTTCCTTTAGAAGAACTAGATGATGTGGCTGTGGTAGAGGATAGTGATGACTCGTCGAACCGGGTAATTCGCGCTTTGAACAGGCGTGCAGCGGTAAAGTTCTGGGGTGTGAGAGTCGGGCGGGGTCTACTGATGAGTGTGGGCGAAGGCATCAATTTTGAATTTGTCAACCGTGCATTCGGAGGGTTGCGAACGTTCCTCAAAGAAGATAATGAAGACGATGACGAGTGCGAGCGGTTACAGGAAGATATTGATCCTGAAGACAATTCAGACGAGGTCGAAGAAGTTCGACTTGTTACTAATCGACACACTGCAACCTCGGACGGAGTTGGAGCAACTGCAGATTCGCGCGGTGTCAACGGGCCTAGTGATGGGTTGCAGGACGAATCAGATGATTTCGACATGTTTGACGAAAGGGCGAGCTTTGAGTTTGGTTACACCGACGAAGACGACGACGACGACGACGACGGAGAAGAAGACAATGACATGAATGACGATGAGAATGGCGACTCTGACGGCGATGAACATGATGTCGATGACCCTGTCTTTGGATTCTTGAGCCACGGTGGACTTGCGAACCACCGGGGAAGGGAAGATGTCGACGGCGATGTTCCTTGCGGAACACATGAAATAGTTTATAGCGGACATTGTAACATCAAAACAGTCAAGGATGTCAACTATTATGGGTTGGATGACGAGTATGTTGTCAGCGGATGCGACTCTGGACACGTATTCATCTGGGACCGAAAGACAGCCAAACTAGTCAATCTTCTGGAGGGTGACGGAGAGACGGTGAACATCGTACAGGGTTTGTCTATCTTTCGTCAGAAGCCGAACATGGATAATGATTTTTTCTAGGTCACCCATACGAACCGACTTTGGCTGTCTCTGGACTCGACAATACGATCAAAATATTTTCTCCCGATAGACGCGCTCAGTATGATGCGCGCCATGGAGTCAATGTATTAAACCCCGATCATCCGGCAAACATGTTCGGAGCTCGCCCGCGCAATACTGCCGGCAGTTCACAAGTATTTGGTCTCCGAAGTTGCAAACGGATCAAAAATAGCTATCAGATCATGAGTCAGAATGATATTGAAAGACAAGGTGGACTTAGCGATGCTTTTATCACAGTACGTCCAAGCTCGTCGTTTGTTGACTCGACTAATATCATACAGAGAAGTATGTTGGCCCGACTCGCCGCGTCGATTGGACAGCGTCATACCCTTGGAACTGAGAATCCTGCAGGAGTAGAGGTAGGGGAAGGTGCTACTTTGGTACTCGACGAAAACTGCACAGTAAGTTCAATTTCTACGAATCGATTGCGACGTTCCGCTCATATCGCGTTCTAGGTTATGTGAGTATTCCGCCACCTATATCATTCATACCACCATCCGAAGCTACCAGTAGTGCTTCCTATCACCACAGTAAAGAACGACAGAAACGACGGACTCGACAGTTTAAAAAAACTATCATGATATTTCTTTCGACAGTGTATAAATTATAATCTTTTGACTACAGATTAGCAAACATCTAGTCTGCCTCCACAGAGATTTGGACCTGCTACGTTCGGATCGCGAGATATCTTAGGCGGATATATATCGTGTCAAGCCAGCATTAGTTTAGATCAGAAATAATTTGAATCAAAAGTGATCTTAAAAACATGAAGAACAAACTACGTTCGAAGCAAACGATGCAGCCAATCATAAGCAGACGTCAGATGCCATAGATCTGATAAGATAAGTACCGATAAAGATTTTTCTAACACCCCGCCAACTGCTTGACTGAACGAAGTTGATACTACGTACGACCATGCTAACATATGCATTAATCATAATTGATAAATATTGAATTCCCGTCCACCGATTCACAGTCATGACGACAAACACAGATATCCAGTCTCAGCTATCCAACCTATCGACAAAAATATATAACAACCACGATCCCCATAATCCACAGATTTACCTAGACCGCGCAAAACTATACGCAGAACTGGGATTCCACGACCTCACTGCTGCAGATGCCTATAGATCATTGACGTTACTCGAATGCGTCGTTGAGCCCGAATCAGCCGAGTACGTTGCTCAAAGACGGGTTCACCCTCCGAATGATGGGGAAGGAGAAGAAGTATTTGTCGAAATCACATATCCAGAGTATGAGTCGATGATTGGCGAGACGTATCTCTTGCTTGTTTCAAGTCTGGTAAAATGTGGATGTTTACGTGATGCGTTTGAGTTTCGGGATAGAGCTGTTGAGCATTTATCTTCTTTGATTGAGAGCAATGAAAGCTTCAAAGGGATTATATCACGACTCAAAACTGTAGATGAGAGATTGGATCTTTCATCTGAGAAAATGATAACGCTTCCAGGCCAGGGAAATGCGCGCAGAGTCCTTTATCCATGGAATCAGCACGAACCAGATCGCAAAGCGCCTGAAACATTGGACTTATTGAATCGACGGCTGGAGACAGTAGCACCGGATCTTGAAGTGAAAGCCGTCGCATTACCAGCTTTACATGGAGATGCCAAACAGAGTGCTGAAAGTGGAGAAGGAGAAGTATCAATCCAACTAGGCCTCTTTGCCAAAAGGGATCTTCGACCAGGCGAGATCATTCTACGAGAATCATCTCTCTTAACGGCTACGAACCGTCTACATGACGATTTATGCGATGCCTGCAACGGGCCATTACCAGATTTATCATCTACCACTACAGACACAAACGAGGGAGGTGGTGGAGCAGTAGCCTGTCAAGAATGCGACGACACAATCTTCTGCAGTCAGAAATGCCACGATGAAGCTCAGAGTACTTATCACGGCGCAACCTGTGGCCAAGAAGGGCTCGAATCAATTGGAAAAGATGTTGCCGATCCAAAGGACAAGGCTGATTATTTGTATTTCTTGTTACTCGGCAGAGCGATTGCGATGGCCGCTACACAGGATGTTCATCCGCTGGATTTGCCAGAGGTGAAATATATATGGGGCGACTTTCACGAGTACCATCCTGACACAGACGAGGCAGATTCGGAAGTGCAGGATGAGTATTCTCTACCATTCTCCTTCCAACTTAACATCCTCCAACCAACCCGCCTGCTCGAAGAAATGGGTCTTGATCCCTTCACAATACTCGCTCGCTATGATACGTGGATCTTGAATACACTATACGCAAAATTCAGAGGCACTGCTTCCGGCCGTCTGTCAACCTGGGACGGTGGACCGGAGGTCTGTGCTGTGCATCCTCTGTGGTGTCTAGCGAACCATTCTTGCGATCCAAATGTGAGATGGGAATGGGGTGGAGAGATTTGTTTTATGGTTAGGAAGGCAGACGAGAAGGCTGTTTGGAGACGGAAGAATGGGGAGGAAAAGTCAAGGATCGAAAAGGGAGACATCTTCATACGAAAGGGCGAGGAGATTTTGAATCATTACTGTGATATTGGACTTGATGTTAAAGAGAGGAGAGCCTGGGCCAAGGGGGCGCTTGGGGGATTATGTCAGTGTGCGAGATGTCAATGGGAGGCTGCTGATGATCGGTCCTAAATAACCTTAGAAGTACAGAAAAAAATAATCATATCATAATCTATATTAACTCGTTATCATGCCGAAATAAAATGCAAGGTCATATTATGCACACAATGTACATGTTATCCAAATCGCTCCGAACATAATGTCTATCATCAAACGAAAAATTGCGACAAAATAAGCGCCTTGGAATGCTCGTGGTGTCATTCATATTTTGAAAATCACTTAGCGTGATCAACCAAGTCCCCATATAGATCATCAGGTATCTTTCGCACAAAAGATACTGTCAGACTTATCACCTTGTCTGCCTCAAGGGGCGGAAATGAGCGTAACAGTTTATTTGGGCTGAGACAGTCAGTATGGATTCAAGAATGTGTTTTTGTACTTCTGAAGTTAGACGTACCTCTCGCTTTGAAGAATGGCATCCCTCATTCGATTAAGCTGTGCCACAATACACAGGATATTCAAATGCGGGCCATATGCAAATAAGAAATCCCATAAATGAAGCACTTCCGGCAATGGTGGAGTGCAGGCACACAGTGTCAGCACAGAGGGAAACGCATACAATTCCGCATACATCCCCTTGGAGAACAGATAAGCCGCCAGTTTCGGGTCGACAATTTCCAGACACCGGTCAACTAGACGAAGACCCTTGTGAACACCATCCATAGCTCCTCGCACGTATCCCGGACACTCCTTTGTGACAAAGTAATGAAAGAGCGCAAAAGCCTCGACTTCGCTGCGAGCTGCGTAGAGGAATGGAGCGCAGAGCACATTCATGCCTTGGACATAGATTGCCGGTTTTGAAGTCGGATTGTCCAAAGGTTGTACCGAGTCGCCGCCCTCTGGCTCTTCCTCTATCGTCGGCGGACTATCTATAGCAAGCTCTAGTAGCTCCTTTCTTCTCGAAGATGGTCGCGATGACGGTTTGGTGACTTGTTGTGCATCATGCAATTTCCATGCTACTGCATTCAATAAGCGAATCAAACTGGCTTCTGTAACTCGCCGTTTGAATAGTGGATCGGTGGCGAGCGTTCGAAATGTGTCGTTCCTGATTTTTGCATATGCTGGAGATCTGCCGCGGTGAACGAGGGCAAGGTATTCGTCTGTGGGTAGTGGAGGGACACCGAGGAGTGCTAGCCAGAGGTATATTCGATATGTAGACTAGCAGCCGCCAATTAGTTATGCGGAACCCACGGGGCTGATTTATTATTGCACATACCATCCCATCTGAGTCTGCATCGACTCTATTCGACAGAACCATCAACCTCAACTCTTGTAACGTGTCAAGTAACCTTCCATCAGCCGGTCCGTCCCGTAATAACGCATCTAAGCTCGATCTCTTGATCAAAAAACCGGACGAATCTGTCTTCCTGGCCGGCCGCTTTGGTCTTACTGTACCCGTCGTCAACGGCGTGGGGTTGCTTGAGCCCGAGTCACTGTTCGATCTTCCACGTGTCCGAGGGCGCACATTCGTATCTGATTGAACATCTTGCGTCATGCTGGTATCGCGCTGTCGATTATTACTGCCATTGTGTCCCGCGGTTGCGGTCGTTGGTAAAGGCTGTCCGAAGCTGGAAAATGCGGTTGATGTTAAAGACTGGTGTGATTGATATTTGCGGAGTCTGCGAGGTGACTGGGGTGAAGCTGGAGGCGCAGTAAATGCCTGAAGTTTCGCGTTGGCCAGCGAGACTTTACTGTTGCTGGACATGATGCTCCTTGATTATCTTATCAAGGGAAAGTTCCAAGGCTTTTGAGAGATGGTTCGGATGAAGTGATAGCAGGCAGAATATGCGGGGGGAGCTCCGACGCGTTGTGGCGGCTGGACCAATCAGCGTCAACCTACATCTTCTGCAATATACAAGTAGAGGTATACGGAGTATATAAAACAAGTCCAATGTATATATAGCATTGCAGCATACTGACATGACAGCAGTTCATGAAGTGTGTAGGAGCATAGATGAAGAAGAGAGGCGCGCAGCCCGATAACAGGTATAGTAGCCCTAAGCCCTAGGCCCTAATCCGGGACAGTAAACCAAAACCCTAACCCAATGCAGGCTATGCATACGGGATCTCCGAAGCACTACGGGGTCTCCGTATTCTAGAGACACTTATGCAGACGCTAGGCCTTTTAGAACCTGCGAAACAGCCATACCATGAGATCAATGGTGCCCTTCGTGTTTTGAAGCAGACCTCGGCTACAGCAACCAGATACAGAATTTCAGCTCGTTTAGCCAAGAATGGACAGAGAGCACGTGCAACTCCTTTAAATCAATCGAGGTATACCACGTGTGCCAGCCCATGATCGCCATTGGCCTGAGGCAGCTCATCCGCCGCCAAGAAATAAATGCCAAGAAGGGTCCGCTCCGCCATGCCAAGACTTTGTATATCTTTCACTTTCTCATCCTTTGACTTACGATGTGTCAGTGCCTCCCATAACTTAGGGTTGCCTGAGACATACAACCTGAATGGATGGATATCACGCCATATACTAATACCAGTCCAGAACTATATATTCTCTTGGCTGTCTGCGCCTCGCAAGAAACCAACTGCTGTTTCCCATCATCTCCACTCTCTCTGAGTTTTATCGCCAAGCAGATATGGAGAACTTCCAAGACTCGATGCTTCGAACAGCCTTTTGGATGTTAAGGTGGCAAGCATGCGGCGATCAATCACAATGCAGGTCGAGAGAATGTGCCAGAGATTCCGCCCAGATAGGCAATAGTGCGCATGGAAACTTCTTCGCGCCGTAGGCGGGTTTTGCGAGAATGTAACAGATGCAAGACAATTGGATACTGGATCATATGGAAAATTGTCTCGCAGACTACATGGAACGGAGGGCTTAAAAGGGCTCTATCACCCTGTTCCTCCTTCTCCGGACGTACTGCCCAAGACAGACACTTTCTCGTCACCGATCTCAGTATCAATCATCACAGTCAAGATGAGGCTTCACCAGTATGACTACATCTTTGCCATTGGCACTTTGTTTGCCATGCTAGATGCCTACAACAACGGTGCAAGTAAGTGCTCGTGCTGGGCTTTGCAATTCTTGAACCTCTAACTAACTTTTGTCAGACGATGTCGCCAACTCCTGGGCCACCAGCGTGTCCTCTCGATCGGTCTCCTACCGACAAGCTATGGTTCTCGGTACCGTCTTTGAGATGCTCGGAGCCATCACCGTCGGCGCCAGAACTGCTGATACCATCAAGAACGGTATCATCCCCAACTCGGCTTTCAAAGGTGATGCCGGCGTCCAGATGCTGGCATTCACCTGCGCTCTCGCTGCCGCCTCGTCCTGGGTCATGTGGTGTACTCGTCACTCTGCTCACGTCTCTTCTACCTACTCGCTCATCTCTGCTGTGGCTGGCGTCGGTGTTGCAACAGTCGGTGCCTCCAAGGTCCAATGGGGATGGAACGATGGAAAGGGCCTCGGTGCTATTTTTGCTGGTCTAGGCATGGCTCCCGCCATCTCTGCTGGGTTTGCCTCTGCCATCTTCATGTTAATTAAACTTGTTGTTCTTATCCACAAGAATCCCGTGCCATGGGCTGTCTGGACCTCCCCATTCTTCTTCCTCGTTGCTGCCACAATCTGTACTTTGTCTATCGTGTACAAGGGATCCCCGAACCTACACTTGAACAAGAAGCCAGGCTGGTACATTGCCGCCGTCACCGTGGGTACTGGTGCCGGTGTCTGCCTCTTGTCCGCCATCTTCTTTCTCCCTTTCCTTCACGCAAAGGTCATCAAGAAAGATCCCTCCGTCAAATGGTGGATGTTCATTTATGGCCCACTGCTCTTCAAGCGCCCTGCCCCTGAGGGAGAGTTCGAAGCCAAAGTCCCCAACTACGCCGTTGTCCAGGATGACGATGATAAGACCGTCGTCGGTTCCCCTGATATCGTTGCACAGGAAGCGGAAAAGTTTGACAAGGCAGATGCATCAAACACGTCTGCTTCCGAAAGGGACGAAAGACACCTTGTTACTTCTGAAGTGAAACAACTCAGCTACAAGGACCTCGTTGCTCAAAGTCAAGACAAATTCCACGCCAAACTCATGCAGAAGCGTGGCCCTCTCGGCTGGGCTATGCGCACTCTTCGTGACAACCCCATGGGTCCCGGTCAAATCTACGAACTCCACAACATCAAGATCCTCGCAAAGCGTATCCCTGCAATGATTACCTGCGGTCTTTTGTACGGTCTTCACTATGATATCCACGCCGCCCAGACCGGTGTCGCTGGTACCCCCGACGGTCAACGAATGCAACGTGTCTACGACCATGCCAAAAAGTACCCCAACGAAGTCGAACATACCTATTCCTTCATCCAGGTCCTTACCGCTTGTACCGCCTCTTTTGCCCACGGCGCCAACGATATTGGCAACTCTGTTGGTCCCTGGGCTGTCATCTACGCCGCCTGGAATACTGGTAGCGCTGCTGCTTCAAAGGCTCCTGTGCCCGTTTGGCAGCTCGCTGTCTTGTCTGGTTGTATCTCAATTGGTCTGATCACCTATGGTTACAATATCATGAAGGGTAAGCCATTATCTCACCTCTTTCCATGACGAATTTAACTAACTGCGAATTCTCAATAGTCATGGGTAACAAAATCACCTACCACTCCCCCAGCCGAGGCTGCTCCATGGAAATGGGTGCCGCCATCACCGTCCTCGTCTTCTCCCAATACTCCCTCCCTGTCTCAACCTCTATGTGCATCACCGGTGCCACCGTCGGCGTCGGTCTCTGTAACGGTACCATCAAGGCCGTCAACTGGCAACGAGTCAGCCTGTTGCTTATTGCTTGGTTTGCTACTATCCCCATTGCTGGTACCCTCGGTGGCGTGTTGATGGGGTTATTTATCAATGCGCCTCATTTCACTAAATAGTTTACCATGCATAGATAGAGTGATGGGTTCGAGGACAGTTGTCTTTCTTTTCGTATCGTTTCGAGTCAGGGGATATGTAATAGGCGAGCTGCAGTGGGTGATTTGCAAAATTTTGATACCATACACATATCATAAGCAACCATTAGTTATAATGACTCCATATATACCCCTTCATACCTAAGCCGAGTTTCCATAGCAATAAAAGAACGAAAATATCACTGACTATGTAGCTGGAGGAGGTTTTGCGGCACTATTCGATCCGTTCCCGTTATCCGAACTCCCCATAATACTGCCAACAAAATCCTCATAATAAAATACGTCGCCTCTCTTTTGACCACTGAACGCTTGCTTCGCCCTACCACCAAATGCCCTTCGTCCGGTGAACCCACTCAAGACTTCGTCTACCTCCCTTTCTGTCAACGGGCTTTCTCCAATATCCGGATTCGTGTGCAGCAGTGCATCACGAAGCTCGGCCACGTCTACCTGCCCGCTATCATCATCATCAAATGCAGCAAATGCGTTGAGTAACTCTTTTTGAGAAGATAAAGGTGCCAGCAGACCAGACAGGGTGTTCAAAAATGTGGGTAGATTCATAGTTTGTGCTGCTCCAGCAGGAAAATACTGAGCAGTTGCAGTAGATGATGGATCTTGGCCTGCTCATTTCATATGTTAATTTTTGAAAATTTCTGATGAAGAGTGAGCCAAATACCCAGATTCGACAGTACATCAGCGACATCATCACGATTGACGCTACCGTCATTATCGCGGTCCAGAACCTGAAACGCCTCCCGCATATCCCTCACTTGAGACGCGGGTAACTTTGATAAAGTATCATTGCCGACAATGTTTAGACGAAGCGATCGTGCACTTATCTGTGAGGAGAAGCTGTTCCTAGCGGCTGCGGCTGCGCCTTTTGTAGGCGACACTGGCGGCTCCCTCCATCTCGGGGACTTGGCTGGAGAGACTGGCTGATCGTCCTCTGTAAGGGCTTCGTCGTTATCGCCCACAGTATATGATTGATTTAGTTTGCTGGGAGATGTGACTGGCGTATGCCCTCTTCCGGGTGAGTTGGCCGGCGGTGTGCTGGATCGGATTGCCGTGGTGGGTGAGCCGGGCGATGACGGCCGTCGGAAAGGGGATGCCCGCGGAGAGTTGAATGACAAAGGAGATGGTTTGTAGGGTAGATTTGAATTCATAGTGTAGTTCCGACGCTGAATGTTGTGGTGCTGGTCGGGGACTCGTCGTCGTCAAGGGCTGGAGCTTTGTTTACTTGTCGTATCAGGGCGTGGATTGGTAGTTGGCGTAATTCGGATGCAGACTGGGGATTCATCAATTTCATAAATACAAGACCATAAGTTCTACCAGGCCTTTCTTTCTTCGACGCTGCTTTGTATATCGGACGAAACGGAGGTGGTTGAGGAGAATGGTTTGTCGCGACAATTGAATAGATAGCGATAATTGCCGGGTAAACACAGAAAGTTGGCGGTTGCCATGCCTGGGCGGTGAGCGCTGATTGGCCAATCTACAACCCGCTCAGGGGGGTAATTCGATGGCTTCATTTGTGATAGATCAAACACCAACGTCAAATATCTCGTCCACTTTCTATGCTCTGTACGCTGGACGGATATTGACACAGCATTCGCCGACTACCCGGATTTACAATTACGAAATCTATCCCACCATGCCGCACCCTCAATTGCTATGAATCATATGTGACCAAGTAGGCACATCGTCCCGGCTGGCTAGAAGCAGTCGTCCAATATCCCCGTTGCGAATACGTCGTGTGCTTTGTTACTGTACGTCTCACATACGTCGCCGCCTGTAGCTAGGCCGCAGTTGGGTTCTGGCGAGTTGGAAATTCATCGCTAATTCAATGCTGACAGTGCGTACGCGACGGGCCAATTGCGCAGCCGGGGTTGACCACTCGTTTTGTCGGTACCTACTACTCGTAACACAACATGTCCAATCCGTTCCCCTCCAGAATACCGACGGGTGATTCTCAAACAGAGAAATTCCCACTCGCACCATCGTTTCCATCGTCAACACAGCTCAGTGCCAGTGGAAAGTCCAAATTGTCGCCCGCCGCTTCATTTCTAAGACGCTCCCCAAGTAATGCCCATCATGCTAGGCGCCAATCGGTCCAGCATCCAGATGTCCTTCGCAGCACGCGGCGATACAAGTCACAATACCCTCTTGACTCTTCTGAACGCCATGTCGAATATATCCTTGTTGCCTCTTTCCACATCGACCGCGGTCCGATAATGGAACATCAGTACCCCAGTGCGATTAGTGGTGATGAGGGTATGCTTGCAGAGCTTATGCTTCCCGACCAGACGCACGTACGAAGTCAGGATTGGACCATTTTCTTCCTACACAAGGACACCGAGTCGGATGACGAAGATGCGGAAAGAGAAAGCCCCAAAAGACGGAGAAGAAGACGAAGGAAGCAACAAACCGAAATCGAGCAAGAAAGCGATGCAGACTCAAATAATGACGAGGACGATCAGTCAGATGCAGCTGAAAGCACGGATGACGAGGAAGATAGCGGAGAAGGGCCGCCGCTCATGTACGTCTTGAACTTGGTCAATACCAAGCAAGATAATACAGTAAGACGGTACGTCTATTCTATAATGGCTTGTAGCAGTGGCTAACTAGAGTAGTGGCGCTGTTGTCAAAGCAATGGCAATTTGCACGCGTCATTCGTTTCTGCATATATACAAAGTACGTCTGGGATACATGCTTCTTGAGAACATTCTAACCGTAGTAGCCATTGCTTTTGTTGGCCTTGGAAGATTATTTCAAGTCACCTTACCCGGAGACCCTTGCATCTCTATATAATGCTGTCAACGCAATGGATCTGTCCTTATTACCTCGGTTCAACCTCCTCGAACGAAGTATTTTACAGGCAAGTGACTCGAAGGACATGTTTATTGAGAAGTTCGAGCGCATGATCGAACAGCGAGTTGCAGATGAAGAGGCAGACCGTGGTCCCGACGCCTCCCCAGAGTCGCCCACGGCTAGATCCCGATACGCCTTACCACGAGATACACACGAATTCGAATCCAAAGTGGTATATAACGATATACCAATTCCAGTAAAAGTGCCCACAGTCATTTGGCCAGAGACGGTGGGCGACTTTTCACTCATCAAACTTATTCAAATCTTCGCGACACCGCACTCTACGACTCCACAGCCATTTGCGCTTCATCCTCATCTTACGACCAATGGAGCTTATACACATCCTATAATCGTGCTCGTCAATGCTATGCTTACACAAAAGAGGGTCATTTTCCTTGGACATAATAGACCATCAGGAGAGGTAGCAGAAGCGGTATTAGCTGCGTGTGCTTTGGTATCTGGCGGTATCCTTCGCGGGTTTACACGCCATGCTTTCCCGTACACAGATTTGACTAAAATCGATGATCTTCTCAAGGTACCAGGATTTGTTGCTGGTGTTACTAATCCCACATTTGCAAATCACCCCGAATGGTGGGATTTGTTATGCGATCTCCCTACCGGCCGGATGAAGATCAGCAGTCGCATTGAACAGGCACCGCTAACAGAAGGACTAAAATTCTTTCAGCATCCTACTGGAGGTAATGCATCCAACCAGGGTGCAGACCCTACAGGTGATGTAGCGTTTATGGATGACATTCTACGGAGTATCAATCAAAGGTATGGAGAAGGAGTTATTCGAGCCAAGTGGCGGGCATTTATCTACAAATTCACTAGAGTAGCGGCGGCGTTTGAAGAGACAGTGTACGGCGCGTCGGCTCTATATATAATGGGACCTGGGGAAGATGCCACATCAAGTCCCAGTGGCTCCAAAGGAGATTCAGCAGATCCAGCATCGCTCCGGGGACATGGCTATGTGTGGCCAGATGAGGCCAGTAAGCAACGCGAGCTGGCAGCATGCGTCTACCGAATTGAAGGGTGGCGGAATACCCGGTCCTACTACGCATTTATACAGGATGTTGCTACTTCGTACAATGCCACTGGCCCTGTCAAACAAATGGACTTGCAGCATCATCACGATCGGCTGCGTTCTTTGAAACTCCCTGCGGAAGAGGCGGCTGCTATATATCTTGCCTTTTCGCACGCGATTCGTGATTACGCGGGCGTATGCCAGTTATTGACCGTGACACCGGAAAGTCAGGCTGGATTGTTCTACGTAAGTCTTGGACTATTCCATCCAGACGTGGCAGTACGGGACGCTACGGTGGATTTACTCGATCGTATAGCCAGTCACGAGGCAGGACGACATTTTTGGAATCAAGTGGGCCGGTTTACAAAGTTGGCGTATATGCGGATTAAACGAGAGCGCGATGCTCTCATCAGCCCAGCCCTGTATACAGCGAGCCAAGGTGATCCTTTTGGCGGACCGCTTCGTCAGCAACGAAGTTTAGTTGGCATTGCTTTAGGGGAGGCTACGAACAGGAGGAGTTGATGTTTACCTCTCAGCTTGTTTTTACCATCTATATTCTATCATATTATATTAGATTTGGACATGTGACTACAAATTTCACGAATCACTGATCTTCTATTGAGTTAAACTGAGTGGTTGCAGAGCACTTTACGTATCAGACAATCAATCTTAGGGCTGATGACTTGCGTTCAGCTCGGCCCCCCCGAACAGGGTTAGCCTACTCAGGGGCAGCTCTTGGCCGTGGCTTTTCTTCTCGTGTTCGCTATACCCCAATCAGACACCTGTACGTGCTGTGGCGCTTTTAGGCGGAGAAAAATAGCTGCATACATTCACGTTCTCCTCTTTCTACGTTACAGTATTCTCCGGTCGCCTCCCGATTGATTCCATTCCCGCGACATCTCAAGTCGTCAACTGCAAGAAAGGATAGATAACGTCGTTGAAGTGTGTTGATATGCAAAGTGTTGCAGAATGTCTCATGGGCCCATGTACGTATGTGCCTGAGGACTCCACTTCTATGTATCAGGTACAGAGAGTATGCTCACGACGATGATACAGCAGCCAGACTTTTCTACTGCCAAGTAATCACATACGGAGAACATAGCATTCGTATTTCTCATGATTATTTTGCTTTCCCTATATCTTACTCAGACTGCCAGATCATATGCTATTATTGATAGGTGGGTTTGTATGTAGAAGTCCGCCTAGACAAATACGTGCAAGTGCCAAGGTGCCTGAGGCCCTCAGCTAAGAGTTTAGGGCTTAAGTGATAAATGATAAATCTCCTAGTGTCCAGCAATCAAACCTGCTTTTTGACTGTTTTCAGTATCAGATATCCTTGACCTTCGCTCTATCGGGCTAAGCGGGCTCGCTTCGCCCAGCAATAGTTCCTCTTTTAGTCCTTTTTCGTCCTCTCCGCTCAGTCTAGATCATGGCTGGTGGCTTTTTTTTCCCCTTCACGCCGTTGACGATTCAGAATTAACTTCCCATTTAGTCCCTAGCGCGGTGATTTGGAGTTAGTCCGTATTTATTATGCAACAATGTCCTTGTTCCTTTTATATGTGCTCGCTCCCACGAAGACATCCTATCGTTGTGCCGTGAGGGGCTATCCGGGGACGCTGCAGTTGAATGACTCAATAATAAGTGATAAGTGACGATTGAACTTATTCAGTATTGCTTTCTAGTATTCAATACTGTTCTTCCAGTCGCTCGTTCCAACTGTTCGTGTTCGATTTTGCAGGCGGTATATGCAAGATATCCATGGATGCATCTTGATACTACACGCGATGCTCGTCAACAGTGCTACCGTATAGATCAAGTACCAGAACAAGCTATGATCATCGAACCACAACCATCGCCCGTCATCTTTCTATATTGACTTCGACATTTCGTCGCTGACAATCCACGCTCGTTTTTGTAAAGAGGCCACTTGCAATCGCCCAGTCATTCGCTTACAACCTTATCAACACAAACTTTCAAATATGTCGATATCTACATCCAGCCATAGATTCATTGGGGTCTTGTCATATCTCACATTAATATTATTCTTAATAACGAACAGCTACGGTTCTCCTTTACCAAACGAATCCGAAGATGCGTACGACACTGCATCCGCGGCACCATACGAAGGGAGCAACGACACAGTACAATCAGGCAAATCGACAGAAGTTGAATCTGTCTTTTTGACAGAAAGAGCTACCTCAAGTAGCAGCAACGCCAGCTTTCCCACAGCATTCGACACGATAGGAAACAATTTTACTGCATCAAGTTGTCCTCAATTTTTCGAATACTTTCTGACCGACGAAACATATCAATCATGCCATGCAGTGTCTCTTCTTCTCCAAAACTCGAATACCTTTTTCAAAGACCTAGCTTCTGCAGTGACATTGGATCAAGTACTCGACACTTCTTGCTCTGCCAACACAACAGCCTGTTCGACATTCATGAACAACCTCGCCGCCAATCTTACAAGTGACAATAATTGTGGTGCCGACTACAAACTGGGTAATCCCATTGTCACCCAAGCGTACAATGGAATGGTCTCCTACGAACCGCTCGCAAGGGCAATTTGTCTCGAAGATCCGAAAACCCACGAATATTGTTTCACGGAAGCAGCCACCAACAACACCAATATTTCAGGCTACGCCCTCTACCTTTTACCTCTAGGCAATTCTCTCCCCGGCGGCAGTCGACCAGAGTGCAATCAATGTACGCAAGCCACGATGGCGGTATTCGAGGATTCGGCTCTGGTCAAAGGGAATCCACTCGTGCAAACATATATCCCAGCTGCTCAAACTATCAATCTTGGCTGCGGACCAAACTTCGTCAATGCCACAGTCAATGTCGGAACTCAAAAGTCTGGATCGTCGTCTAAGTCATCGGCTAGCAGACTTAGTACAGCGTCGCCTTCTCTGTCAGTTCTCGGGATCTTACTCACAACTACGATGCTACTCGCTTCATCTGTTTGACGTTTGAACGAGTTACCCATACTCCCTCAAACACCTCCGCATCTTCAGATTTCACATTCCACACGCAACCCCTCCTTTGAAGAAATTGTCTATATAATGTAATACTAGAAACTCATGACGTCTCTCGTTTTATCTGAAGCGAGACGATTGCCTTGAGATTCTACGTTAATGAACGATGTTCCAGCAAGCGATATCATTACTATTTGTATCTATTATTGACAACGTTTATTCATAATACTATATTTCGGATCTTGAGCAATCTCTATTGTAGACTTATAGCGTCTATAGCCAATCACAGGCCATGGATCAGTATCCGCTGCTCGGCATCCGCGGGCCCCGGCATCTTGTCATCTTGCACATCAAGAACATTGCCAACTCCCTTTTGTAAACATTGCGTGGGCATATTCATCATCAATCATCTTCTAGTCATGCAGCAAGAAGATTATGACACGAGCAGAAACGAAAACGTGCCAGCCTGGCGGGCGGTAAGGCCTCATCTCATTTCCGTATCGAACCCTTATTGACATCTGTGTCGATGTACGTAGTGCGATAATTGCCGAAACAGAAAGGTACCTATCACCTCTAAATTAGTACCTTAGGTTTATAGAGACAGAAGCTAACCAGTCAATATCAGATAAAATGTGACAAACGGTCACCTTGTTCCAACTGCAGAGCTTCTAATCTAGCGTGCCGGACTGTTAACAGGCCGAGGGAACAACGGCAACGGATCTTAATATCTGATCAATAGTAGGTCCCCAGTCTCGGTAGGCTATGGTTTATGATACTAAAAGACGAAGTGAGAAGAAGATTGAGATCATCGAAGAGCGATTGGCACGGATAGAAGGCCTGCTTGAGAACCTGACTTCGCTTTCAGCCGCCTTCCAGCATCTAGCACCAGGCTTAACCCCGACAACCGCAGCAACAAGATCTGTACAAGAAACGCTCAAGACAGAAAAAGCACCAATTCAGTCTCCACCATCACTATCAGCACAAGCACCAACACCATCTACTCACGGTGATCATGGTCTCAAAACAGCAGGTAGCAATGCTGCCTTTGAAGGCGCGTCGTCCCTAAGCGCACATTCAGTGCATGCAAGCCGAATCATCGAGAATGCTATGAGCAATGACTATACAGCTTTTACCCGCGATCCCGAGATGCAGGAAGCTCTCTTTGCGCTCCGGCATCTCATTGACAGACAGCATTCGCCGCCGGTGAACCAAGACTATCGTTTTCCAAATCAGCAAGTTGATACTTCTTCTGGTATTGACTTTTCGTCTGTAAAAATGCCTCCTCTTGAGTCTGTCGTGTCTTTGTTGAGGCTTTGCAAAGGTTAGTCGCCTGTTGTTACAATGTCAAATATCATTTGCTCATATCATCGGATAGAATCTCAAAATTTCCTACAACACCCCTTTATCGACTTTGGACAGTTCAACGAGTTGTGCAAAAGAGTATACTTTGCAACAGAGGACTACTCCCTTGGTACATTTGCTTTGGTAAATGGAGGACTCTTCTACCTATTCCAGCATATTGCCTACCTGGAAGGAAAGAATGTGCCTGAAGCATTTGAGAATGCGGCTATATGCCGTGCAAACCTTGAATATGCTATTAGTCGGTTCAGTGTCTTCATGGCGCCTAATAGTGAGAACCTACAAGCAATTCTCATTGGTGTAAGTTGCATCCTACGCACGTACAAAATTCCCAACTAATCATTGCAGGCCTCTTATGCAATTGACATATCGCAACCTTCTCTATGCTGGGCTCTAGTCTCAACAGCAGCCCGTCTATGCCAGACACTCGGCTACCACAGATCCGTGGGTTCGCCCGGCGACAATCAACTAGACACAAACCTTAGAAAACGAATGTTCTGGTTCACCTACATCCTCGACAAATGCCTCTCCCTTCGCATGGGCCACTCCTCGATCATGCAGGACTTTGATATCACCCTACCTCTCTCCGATCTATCAGCCGACTCCCAAATGACAATGTGGGATATAATGTATCACCAATGGATCAAGATTGGCTACTTCCAGGGCCGTATCTACGAAGAACTCTACTCTCCACGCGCTCTCTCGGGACCGGCAACAGAAAGGACCCAAAGAGCGAAACAACTCACTGCCGACATGCAGTTGTGGTATCAAGAATCGCAGACCCAGCTCGACCCGTCCCGCGCATATAACCCTCTCTATTATGCAGCAGCTGCGTCGTCTTCGGAGATTATGTATTATGGTCTTTCAACATTGGCGTATCGAGCGGTTCCCCCGGGGCCGCTGGATAGTTCCACTATATTCAGCAATGAATGCATTGCTATGGCTAGAGAGGCATTGAGGGCACATCAGCGAAATACCGAGCGATACAAGCATACCAACAGCTACATCTGGCATGGGTACATATCTTGGTACTTATCCTACTTATTCTTACATCTGACCAAATCCAGAAATTTACTAACATAGGTATACAGGGTCCTTATAAACTGCCCCTTCACACCTTTCATGGTCCTCTTCTGCCACGCAATCGCGACCGCGAATCTATCCGATCTGAAATGTCTCGGTGATTTCGTCTCATCTCTCCAAACATCCGGCGAAACAGTCGAGGCAGCCGAGAAACTTCGACGACTTTGCCACGTCTTTCATCGAGTGGCAGAGCTGTATATTCATTCTAAAATCAAGCAGCAGCAACAACAGCACTATCAATACGACAGTGGTGGTCTTGACCAACAACAAACTCAAAATCACGTGGATAATATACAATATCACCAGCACCAGCTAACAACATCATCAACACCACTTAACAACATCCCAACCCCTCAATCCAACCACACAGACCAAGACAACGCATTCAAATACAATAACAACCCCAATCCAGCGACAGGACAATCATTCAACCCCATAGACGATTTTGAGCCATATCTCAGCGCTTTAGGATTTCCGAATGCAGCTGGCTTTTTAAATATAGGCCAACAGCAACAGCAACAAACAGGATTAGCGTCTCAAATGGCAACGCCGATGACATCAGCAGCACCTGGGCCGGCGGAGTATAATAGTACCGAAAACCTTGAAGCAAGTTTTGATGCGAATTCACTTGAGAATTGGTTTACGGGGAATGTGAATTTAATGTCTTTATTGGAGATGGATTTATCGAGTATTATCAAATAGGCAGCAAGAAGATATTCAGATTCAATACAGTCATGGAAGGGAAATTTACTCGTCAATAACGTCTATGCACGTATAGTAAGGTTGTTTATGTACAGGGCGGAAACAGTCATCAATCCAGAAATCGCATTACATAACAGAACATTTTGGGCTCGCTCAATAAACCTCCTATCTCAATTTTATACTGTCAAAATTGCGTCAAAAGGGGAAATGAAATGGGAATGTGTTAGAAGGGTTCATTGATACAGGGGCTGAGGTCATGAATGAAGTCATAAAGAAAAGAATATAAACTCAATATGCAGACGTTTGATCGTCAACGGATCAAGTAAATTCAACACTATGCTGCGCTTGTTGTCGAGCTCGTGCTTGGGCTCGCTCTGCTCGACGTCTTCTCCTGTTACTAGCATAATCGGCACTAGCTTCAGTACCCGTCCAGGTTGGGGATGTAATACTCGCAGTAGGTGGGTATTGTTGACTTGCAGTGGGAGGATATTGCTGCATATTTGATGGGGGCCGCTGTGGCATGGACAGCTGACTAGTTGCCGCATGCGAAGCTGGAGATGTAAAATGCTGTGGCGGCGGAGGCCCCGGGGGAGGTGGTGGAACAGAGTGCTGGCTAGTGGCAGCATACGACGCTGTTGGGAGCTGAAGAGGCCCAGAATAGAAGGATGTCGCTGGCTGTGACGAGGGAGGGGCAGGTGGTGGTGGAGGGTGCGGCATATTTGCTGCTGCTGCTCCAGATTCAGCTGCCAGGGCTGCGGCTTGTTCTCGCTGTACATACTCAGCCTGACGACGCTCCATCTCTTCAACACGTCGCCACCGGTCTGAGCCTGCGCCTTCACCCCCCGAAAGAGAACTTGCGCTGCCTCGTCTGCGTGATCCCCGTCGTTCTCTTGATCGGCGTTTTGACTCTCTACTGGCGGCTGCCTCTTCTTCTGTCAGTTTACGAAGAGTGACATGGCGCCCATCATTGTGCATCCGAACTTTGACCGATACTGGAGGTGACGATACATCATCACGACGATCGCTCCTCCTACTGCCACTACCACTGCGGCGACGATGTCGGCTTGACCCTACGGCCGCTCCTGCAACAGCCCCTGCAGCGGCTGCAGTTTCAATATCCGTGCCAGTGGCACTTCCAGACACAACACGATGCGGTGGAGCAGTCGGGAGAACCACACTCTCTGTGCCCTCAACAATGCCACCTGTCATTACAGTTTCCTCGCCGTGACCTGGTGTGCGTGGCGGTCGGGGCGTTATGTCCGAGGTCATGTCGCTGGATAGTACCGATTGCGACGGCCGTTTTCTTCGTGGGAAAAGCCCGTCGCCTGTATACTTCTTCTTGCTGTTCGCTCTCGCCAGTCTTTCCTCTTCCATATCTCGGCGTTTAATCTCCTCCACACGTCGTTGTTCATCATCATCTTTCCGACGTCTGAATAAGCTTCTCATGGCCGCAAAAGCTCCTGCTCCTAGAATAGCATTCCGTACACCGTGTCCTTGACTAGGTCTCTGGACGTCATCGTGCCCTTCATCTGTTTGTGTGTAATAGCTGTAGTCCATGGAACTATAGCTCTGGCGTCTAGCGGGATGCATATAAGGGCCTTGCGTTCCGGAAGGGGCACGGCCCTCTTCTACTCTGCTCACTGTTTCCTCGGTCATGCTGTCGCTGCGAGCATGTGTTGGACGATATCGACCAGATTCATCATCGCTTTCTCTCTCGCGTCTCCTTTTGAACAGCGATCTCGCCAATGCTATTCCGCCACCAATTGCGCCAATTTCAAGCACCCGCTTTCCCCAACTGGGGCGGTGGCTTTCATCTGAATACTTGTCTTCGTATTGTGAACTATGGACATCGCTTTCGTCGTGGTGGCGAGAGCGGCGCGAAAAGAGGGCAGCTAATCCAGCACCTGCAGCAGCAGCTCCTGCCATACGGCCAAAACCACTATGGCGCCTTTCATCCTCAGGGGGTGGGCCAGACACATAGCTTCCACGGCTGTCTGTATCCGGACCGTAGTACACACCATCTTCGTCGTATATGTATGAGCAAATGAGGAACAGCGCAAGCCAAAAGAAAGCGCCCACTGCAAATAGGATAAATAAGGATTTTGGGGATCCATAGAGAGTCAATCCCATAGGTATTTGAGCAATGCCCAGAAGTACTGTGGCCCAACCGATCCAACGGTGAAGCTGAAATAATAATTAGTAAAAGTAATCACTCGCGATTCAGATAGATAAGACAAACCACTAATATCAGGGGTGAGCGGTAATGCCTTCTGCCCCGCTCAATCTTGCGAGAGAACCAACCCCAGACCGCTTGAAAGATCACCATGACATATAGTGCCAAGCCAATCCCATGGTGCGGATTGGTAAGACTCCTTTTGGGCCCTACTGCGAACCATCCCAACACAAACACGACTGTTGACAATAGTAGAGTCAATATCTGGAGCCAGACATGATACTTGTAGGCCCAGTAGCGGTCGTATATTGAGTAATATCGTACTATCATAACAGCAGCCGGCACGAAACCGAGGAAAACAATCGTTGCGATCACACCGTGTGCTACTATCATTGAATGATATCCGTCCATATCTCGAAATCGATTTCCCATGCCTGTTTATCATTACTGTTAACATATTTTGTTGGTTGCTTTATGGTAATAGATGATACGTACCATTGTATCGCATGGTATCAAAGTTGAGGCCCATCAGATTGGGTAGCAAAAATGTATTCCTCGTACTGTCCCACGTCCCATCTCCAATGTACATTGTATCTGATGCATACGTACTGCTCCCCGCGGGGGAGAGCGTATCTGGCATCGTGGCAGACGAGAATGTGGATTTCTTCTACGTTTTGTTCGGAGTACCCACACGTTCGTTCGATCTGAGGAATGTTATCAACTCAGTTGAGGAGATCTCGTGAGATCCCCCATCCGGTGGTATGCACCATGCGATATCAATTGGTAAGGAATGGCCTTGATCTCGATGGGTCTGAATGTACGAAGTATAACAGAGCGGAATTCGATGACGATGATTAAGATAACGCACAATAGTCGAAGATGAACCAGCGCAGGGTGTCTTATATACGTATCAACGGAATACTCCGCACACAGAGCATATATGTACTGTACACTTCAAGATAGATGTTGCAATGAGATGTCAATAGTTGAATTGATGCAGTCAGTAATGGTCGATGGGTTGAGAGTTGGGAATCAGAGTCCAGATGGCTCGGCTGAGAAACAACAGTTTGCTCTTTTGGGATTAGACGCGCGGCTCAGAAGTGGGGCTAATGCGTTGTCGCGGACAACCATCTCGCAGCCTCAGGCAGCCAGACCTCGTCTTATCTTATCGACTCTTATCAGCTCATCCTTATCGCTGAGCACGCCATGTCATCTGACCTCAGCTCATCTGATAAGCACTTCTTTCCCCTCTACTTCACTTCACACGACAATGTTTTTCTCGATATAACGTCACTTTGTGCGGCTGTACACGAACGTCGTTAGAACATTCTGTTGTCGGAGTCGTTGTGACAGTTCCTTCAAGCTGGAATTGATATGGCTTCCCATACTGTCGAGGTCTTTGTCAAGGCCCTATCAAGGTGTGTCGTCTTAGCGTCGCACTATAGTCTGACAGTAGCTAACACTCTTCCTATCTTCAGGCTTTTAGGTTGGATATAGTAAGTATATTATTCTCACTCAGAGGGGTGTCATCAACTTACATGAGAAAGTACCGTTTGCTGGTCGCTTTCTTTCTATCCGCAACCGATAAACAACATCCGTCGCCGGTCCACTTACGGTCTCGCTATAGACTTCCCCACGATTAACACCCTCGGGTTCATTTGCTATGCTGTCTATTGTCTTGGCTTCCTATACTCCCCATTGATTCGGAAACAATATGCAGCCCGCAATCCTGCTTCTCCGACCCCTTCTGTGCAGTTCAACGATCTAGCATTCGCGGCTCATGCTGTTGTTCTTAGCGCTATCGTCTACTCGCAGTTTTACCCTAAAATCTGGGGTTTCAAGGTGGCACCGTACCAACGCGTCAGCAAGCCCATAGCTGGGCTGTTCTGGGGCTCGTTACTAACGATTGCTTTGTTAATATTCATCATCTTGGGTAACAGCCCGGATAGTGGTTCTGATCCATTTTCTTGGGCTTGGATTGATCTTGTATGTTTGTACTCGAATGCTCAACTTTTTTTAAGATATCCGTTGACTAATATGTTATGTGAAGCTTTACGCCATGTCGTATATCAAGGTGGTCATCACAGTCGTCAAATACGTCCCACAGGCGTGGCTCAATTTCAAGCGCAAGTCCACCGTGGGCTGGGATATTAGACAGATACTGTTGGACTTGACCGGTGGGGTTCTGTCTCTCGTACAGCTGGTCTTGGACTCAAGTTTCGAAGCTGATTGGAGTGGTGTCACTGGCAATCCGATTAAATTCTTGCTGGGCAACGTGACCGTTATCTTTGATGTGCTATTTGTTTATCAGCATTATGTGCTTTATCGATCTCGAGAGGATCCGGATGAGGATGATGAGCATAAATTTCCTGGGGTAAGATCGCCACTGTTATCCGAGGAAGATACCCCTGCCTCGATAGGCACCACTTGATGAATCGTGCGCGGTGTGCGGTTATATATGCAGGAGCCATGCAATGGACCTATTATGACACGACTTATATCTACACGACTTGACCTTTCATCCCTTAGTGAGATAAAGTAACCACCCGGATAGGGCCTTAGTGACCCTGAGTAGAGTGAGATATTAATTCAAAAATCCAACCAAGTCTTTGCCGAAGGGTCACTCATCTAGAGTGGAGATGATCTAAGCGGATTCGCACTTTACTAAGAGACCATATTAAACAAGGAAATTCGAGACAAGAGAAACAGGGCTTCTCGAATCTTGGCAGGGGATGGACATTCCGAAATGCCTGAGATAATCCGCTTACTAACCGGCAGTAAGTCACAAACCCTAAATGAGTAACATCCTCACTGACCAAGTCCATTGGTCGACTTAGAACCCTGAACTCTGTTATGATTCTGTGGAGTAGAAAGCAAATCGAGTAATGTCTCAGCTGTAATAGTCACGCCTTAAATGAATATACACCTCCCGTTCCTGCTGCAAGTGCTCCATCTCCGCTGTATCAGTACCATATCTCTCAACCATGGCATCCTTCGCAAGATACAAGCAGCGCATTCCACCAGCAATACTCTCCATCGGAAAATACTCCAGTGTAGCAGGGTTATTCATTGCTGGAGCGTGGCAGCCTTGGTCACGACAGTGCTACTTTGAGCCATTCGGGCCGGAAAACGACCCCTTATTCCAGACCCGATTCTTGCGCATGTACAACCCGAACAACAATCCATCAGTGAATGATTCGTGTGTTCGAAAAGTTCCACTAGACAAGATTCGTCCTGAATTGGTTGAAGACGCTCTCGCTGGAGGGTCGATGCTTCTAGAGAGGTTTTGTGCCGGTGTCTGGGGCGGATATGGTAAGATCTCTGACTGTGATTACTTGGAACTACTGAACTGATGGCCTTTCTCTTTTGATCTGTGTAGGTTATGCCCTGCAACGCAGAATTATGACGTGGTCTTGCAGAGACGAGTCCAACAAGCACATGCTCTGGGATAAGAAGCAACTGCTTGACAGCGCATACAAAGAGGGTACGTTACGACTTGGCCACTATACAAGAGATACCCGGTCCACTAATACCCTGTATAGGCACAATAGTAACAGACCATTTTATAGTTCTCAAAAAGAGTTCGAAATCCATCATCATGCGAGGAGGAATGTCCCCATCGATCAATCCAGACAAGCCACGCGAAATGGACAATCTTTCAGAAATCACGGTCAATATAGACCTCAAGCAAGGGCAGGTCGAGTTCAGGTTAAAGAATATCTTTTTCAACGGTAGTGAAAATGGTTCAGGAGCCTTATTCCCAAAACCTGTACTATGGCTACATTTTCAGTACTGCAAATTGTTAGTTGAGGCTGGAGTAAGTCATTGTGTCAGATAGCCATCTTACTATACTTGTGATCTAGCCTCGGAAATCTCTCCTCAACTCAATATAGATGTATCATAATGCGAAGATGAACTGCTAGAGTACTATCTAGAGAGGGACTCTAGCTTTCAATTGTCAAGTATTTTAGGTAGCCACCAAGTACTAAGAGCTGTATTGAGGTTGTTTTCGTGATGTCATGTAATTCTATTCAAGGTCGGAGATGCTGCATCTGTCTAAAGAGTAGAATATTTCACACAGAAAAGCTTGAATGGAAAGAAGAAAAGACTAGCGTGCTAAATCTATGACCCTCATCATGATCCATCAGGAAAGAAGCTCGACGTAATGCTGTGACAACAATCTAAAAAACATGTGAAATAAACGAAATAAGAAACACAAATCATAAACGAAAGAAATCATATCGTACATGAATGCCTGGCAGTGTACACCAGCTGATTTGATAACATCACCGACTCCTCTTACCGTGGATTCTCCTCACATGATCCTTCATATTGTCCATCCGACTGAAAACTCGATCACAGTCTTCTCTCTCACAGGGAATTTGCGGATTGTGTTTCGCCTCATGCCGGTCACGGTCTTTCTTACTTGAAAAGCCGCCCTCAGTAGCTTGGGGACAACCTTCATAGCGGCAGAAGAGATATTTCATATGGCGATTAAAATGCTTGCGTAAGTCGCAGGCCCGCGTGAAGACGGCTTTGGATGTACAGCCTGGGTGTCGGCAGCGCCATGTGCCGCTTGAAGGATCTTGGATTCCGTATTCCTGGAGATCATTTGTCTCGGTGGGAGATGTCGGGCGGTTTAGAGTGTAGTTCATGAGACGATAATTGTCTGGGTGATTGAGGACATCACCCTGAGCACGAGGATAATCAAGGGAAGACTGATAGGTTGTTTCCGACATATACCCAGGGTATGATGGAGGAGGTGAAGTCATCAATTGCTGGTAATCTTGCATTGGTGCTGCAGAATCAGGAGACATTGTATAGGGGTTCTGGTACTGCGCGGTCTGATATCCATATGATGTTAAAGAGCCGGTAGGTGCGTATCCTGTAGAGCCCGGCATGGCTGTCGGATACTGAGACATCATTGGAGAAGATCCCATCGGGTATGTCATGTTGGAGTAGTACTGAGCCAACTCCTCCTCGTCGAGTCTGTTGTCTATAGGCTGTTGGCCTTGGTGGGGATAGAATCCTGACATGATTCCAACACAGATTGAAGGGTTGATAAATTGGACTTCTGCTACTGATACTCCTAAAGAGATATTGTAGTTGACTTCTTGGACTCTTTCATGATCCGGGCACCACCTCCAGGCGATGCCATTCCAGCTTTATACTATCCAGTCAATAAGGCTGTTCGAGGACAACGCATATAAACAGCTTATTTATTTTCAACACACCGTTGATATGGTGTGTATTGAAGCTGGGTTCTCCGGCCAACCAAACCAGACAGAAAGCAAATCTAATAATAACAGTCTAAATGTTGAATATGCATCTTTCAAGAATGCAAGGGTCATTAGCGAATGAACCACATTACCTAGAACAGTTCGTGATTCGAGCTGGAACTTCAAAGACAATATTCCATATGTATGCATCGGATCTTCAGAAGACCTGAGAATTCCACCTGCAGGTAAGGCAGGTACGTACGTATGATCATCAATGGATGAAATGCAAATGCATGTCTCCACGTAGACTCCGGGGGCAAAAATGATGTGCCCAAAAGATGCAAGATAAGCCTTTCCATCCATGTATGAAGGGGGCTCCATGTACAACTGGGGTAGGAACTTCCGAGAAATCGGTTTGAAAGAGTCTGGATCCCCAAATCATATGTATAACGGTTATTCATCGAGCTGAAATGAACCTGAGTGCCTACCTGACTTGGTCAGTACTCAGCGTTAGAAGCCAACAATGCCCATGTACTTAGTACACCTATGGTAACAGGAATAAGCGCAAAGATATCTACAAGGCAGACTTTGAATCAATGGAATTCTCAATATGACGCCTATTCAGGTATACAATGCACCTCGGTATATAAAAAGAACTTTGCAAAAGACCCTTGACCTTAAAGGGGAAAACGGGCCAACATACATCATTGACGCAGTCTTCTAGATGCAGGTTAACGTTGACAGCAATTCCGGCCCCTTGAGAACATAACCTACAAGGTGTAGAACTAAAGTGTCGAAAAAGACGAATTGGGTTTGAGGTAAGGATACTGATGAATACCGGAAATCAGCAATCGGAGACTTGCCGCTACCTACAGCGGCTGTTTGTATACATTTAGGGGCCAAACAAGTAAGATCCACGAATTGGCCTCTCTTGGATATGTGCCAACCACTCAGAATGCGTTTTCAACCAACAAAATGTCCATAATAAAGTGTATCTTTTTCCTTTTTCGTTTTTAGTTTTTCAGCAATCTGTGGCAGTGTGCACTACTAAACCCCAAATGATCCACCCAACGATCTGATCTGATGAGCGGGTGATCTTGATTGGAGCAAGGATCTTTTTTGTCCAACGGTTTCTTTTTTTAGGGCATCCCGCATCACAGGTTCTCTCGCTCGAGATACTACACAGATGAGCTTCGGCATCCGTCAAACCTGAAAACCCGAATGTCGCAATCGTGAAAGTGCTATTATATCGGCTCCTACACTTTACAAAGATGCACTTCTTTCAGTTCATTCGATAGATATTTCTTTCAACGTTCTTTTCGCGATGTGTCTCGGGATGTTTTCCGGGCATGGTCTTAGTTCAGCTGGGGAGTAGCTAATCCAGCTCGGAGATAGGTCCATAGGCTCATAATAATCCCCGGAGTTTTGTTGTTGATTAAGCGCCTTTAGGTACTTCAACGGCTTTATGGTCTTGCTGAACTTACGTGCGTAGGGGAGTTGTTTCGCTGGTGTCCAGCGACGCCTCGCCTAAGAGGTGAGAGGAATAATGATATGTTCGATGTTACGTTATAATCTTTGTTATATTCTTTCTCTTTGGGGTACTCATGGGCCCCGCGTGGAAGGCCGCTTATCTGGGCACAAGGTATCGAGATGCGCGAGATGTGGCAGAGACTGTATACCTGTTTACATAGTAACTATCGAGTCATATAGAGATTGGTGATCGTTGTGATAAAAAATTTCAAAACTGTTGCCTGATTCGGGAGCAAATCACGGTTATCTACCTCTAGATAGATCTAGTGAAAGTAAAGTGAATATCCAAAGCTACCTGGAAGCGCAGGAGCCAAATGTATGTATATACATGAATGTATTAACGATGATGCTACATGGCACTGCTTAACTAGAAATACAAAAGGGTATAACAAGAGAACGAAAAAGAAGAACGTTGTACCTCCAATATATGCATTATGCTGTAGATAGCATATAGGTAGACTGCTCGGTCCTTAGGTTACATAACGCCTGTCAAAGAACGACCGAATCGCCGTAGTTGAATATATAGAACGTCGGCTATTATAACGATGCAGTTGCGAGATTGTTTATTATCATGCCTCATGACTTCGTCAAAGATCCTTAAAAATGTAATCTTGAATAGGTGTATGCATAGCCTTAAGCTTGTGGTGGTCATAGTGTTCGTGTTGAACCGAGCGTCTATATGCAATTCAGAAGGAGCTATCAAGAATGCTGCTTCCCTTTTGGTGTATGTTTCGAATGACACCCGTTGCCCACCCGTTGTATTTCTCACGGCGCTTTACACTTCTTACGCACCTCCTCGGTTTTGTTGAAATTCGATTCCGATGAATTTGAAATTGCAAGATGGCTGCGGGTGCGAAGAGGATAGTCGATTCCGCATCCTTCTGCTGTTCGGGGGACAGTGGAAGAGGAATAGAAGTTGTAGCGTCATTCAAAGAGCCGACTCCGGTCTTGGGAAGTCTTTTTGTCTCCATATACCTGACTGTCCCTCCGATTAATATAGTCGTCATATTGCTGTAGCATCGTTGAGGATAATCAACAGCCACAAGGTTTAATATTCTCATAGCAGGTAGGATTTTAAATCACGAATGGCCGCGACGTCGCCGTCCGCGTCCGCTTCCTTTCGGCCTTTGAGCAAGAACCTCTCGTAATAGAGGATCATCTTTGTCCTTATCCACGTGATGAACTCGCACATGTCTAGTCCGTTATATATCAGAGAAAAAAAATGTCCATGAGTGGATCGCGTTGCGCCGAGAACATACCTCTGTAAATTATCCGGGCGAGGATACTTATGTTGTTGATCCGTACAGAACGGACACACATATCCTGGTGAATCGTGCACCAAGCCATGACGGATCATCTCATTTTTCCTCTTGAACCCTTTGCCTCCTATGCCACGAGGACATCCGGCAACAGGACAAAAATGTGGGCGATCTTGAGAGTGAACATTGGCATGAGAACTGTTGAATACATCAGTCGTGGACTCGAAAAATGTAGTAAGACGGGAGCTAGAAACTGGGAAAGGTGATAAGCTTACTTTAACAAATACTGCGTCTGAAAAGCGCCAGCAGTACAGCCAGGATACGTACATTTGTACAAAGTTGTACCTGGTATCGCTCCATCCAGGTGTTCCTCGCCGGCTGCTCGTAGCTCCGTAGGAGTTGGGTAACTATGTGTGGGACTGTTACCAAGCGGTGCTCCTCGAAGTGATGCTTCGCTATAAGACGTCATGTTGGACGTTTCGGGTGTAAGACTAGGGGGTTGCATGGCATATTGAGGTTGTGAGAGGGGCGATGTGGCGGACAAATCCTTCAAGCTCATGGGAGACGGGTGAGAATAGGGAGTGGGCATCTGCGACGGTGCAAAAGATGAATCAGGTGTTGGCCCTGTAGATATGGTACTGAGAGTACTCGGCCCCCTTGAAAGGTGGGGCGTCGGTACAGCAAAAGGAGCCCCTGGGGAGGGATCACTATCCAGACTCGCTAAGGCTGAGGCTATAGACGGCAGGATTTGTGAATTCTCCGGGGACACTGCTGCTGAAGGTGTAGGTGCTTGAAGTGCAGGAAAATCAAGGATGTTCGGCGGATGGATAGTAAATTTTCCTACATTAGAAGTCGCCAAACTATCCTGTCTAGGTCTTCTGAGGGTTTCCTGTGGTGGAGAGGTCTGCCTGACTGAGAAGGATGGTTCGAGTGACACTAGATGCTGGAAGGATGGTAGAGAGGTATTAGCCCGGCTTGGTTCCTCGGTCATATTATTGAGAGCATTTTTGGCCGCGGACTGATTTTGCTTCGACTTGGAAGAAAGTGCCGCACGGGTTCTGCTGTCATCTTCCGACTCTGAGAGAACCGGAGGTGGCTCTTCTCCTATTTGTCTAGCAAGGTCTGGCCTGTTCGGAGCCAGACTACTCAGCAGGACGACATCGGCTAAGGACCCCTTTGGCTTCCTGTGGAGACGGCGATGCTTAGGCGAACGGCCTTCGGAGCTGGTGGGACTTGAAGAACTGTCCCTTTTGCTATTGGCCGATGGCCGACGCTGTTTCTCCTGCAAGAAGGGAGGAATAGAATCATCGGGTCCATACTTGGGTACTGATGGCTTGAGGCCGGGTGAGCGATTCAACGCATCATCTGAATCGTACACGTCGGACAACATGAAGGCGACTTGGTGCCAACCATGGAGCACGGTTCGCGATAAATGGCTCCTATCGATATGATGACGTCTTTGAGAAAATCCTATGGCTGTAGAGGCTGAGCTTGCTGGATGCAGATAACCGAGATGAGCAAAAGAAGGGCATCCAGCTGGTGAAGGAAGATATCTGGGATGGGGTCAGTAAGGGTTCAGTCAATCGTGCAGTATGAATGAAGAAGAGCATAGCAGTGGGAGAAGGGCATGAACAGATAGGGGGATAGGGGCAACTGACTGGGAAAATACAGGCTGGCTCGCAGCAACTCTCCATGATTCTCCCATGTGAGGGGAGTGCGAGGGGATAATTGCAATGCTCATGGGCAGTGTGTTGTGTAAGAGACAAAGGATGAGAAGAATGTATAACAGAGAGGACGAAGTTGTGTGTATAGAGATACAACAAGAGGAAGAAGCGTTCTTACCGTCGAGATGGATACGGAAGTGCCTCGCGCCTGCCTATTTTATTACCTGGAGGTAGCTCCTTCCTGTTTTATTGGATGGTTGGCTGTTATTTTCCTTTCCGCCCGATTTTTGTTTCAAAAACTTCTTCTTCTTACACTCGTCGCAAGCAAGCAACGTAATGCCGTTTGAGAAAAGTCTTCGCAATTGCAGAGCTGACGACTATTTTTCGCCAACGAGCCAATGACTGGATGCGGGGACTGGGTTTGCTGGGCCTCGCGCCACGCAATCACGGCCGCAATACAGTGTGCTTCTAGTTCTACGTTGCGACAGCGGCAAGACCAGTGGCAACGCTAGACAAGAGCAATCAAGAGGTTGGCAATAGCAGTGGTAATCGTCAGATTATCCAGTCGTTGACTATATGCTGACTCGTCTCGAATTGCAACGGAACTATGCACCCACTCCAGGCCCAGTCAATTCTGAGTAGTCACTTGATGCGGTATGGAACTAGGTGCTAGAACGCGGGCGGCGGGAGAGCCGCTGCGAATACTCGGGAGCCGGTGGATCACAGCGGTCAAAGTGCGGCCGCTAGGAGGCTGAAAAGAAAAATGTTATGGGTGGTCAAGGAGACATAAAGGAATTCCTTGTAATTCAAATTCCCACAATGTTTGCCTGCTCTGGGGGGAAGACAAAATTTTTGCGATTAGTGGCATGAACCTTGATGGGTTGAAAGCTTGCGAATGTTCCGTGTTTCGATCATATGGCTGGGAATCCCCTTTGAGGCTCCTTTTAGGTTCGCATTCAGACAAAACGACCGAAACGAATCGAAATTAAGTATCGCTGGTACTTTCCTCAACAGAGAAAATGGCTTGGAAGAAAGTTCAGGAAACTTTCTAGAGAAAAATGTGGCACGAGCCTCAACGCGGCCTCTGGTTTTTGTCGATAAAAAAAGGGAATGATCCCCGCTTTGGACGATGGGAAGTGTCTACATAAGTGGAGTCAGTCCGGAGACGTGTGCTTTCTCCTCAATCTTGTGAATCTCTTGCTGCCCTTACATTATTTTCATGCAGTCGCTATCTCAGAGCTATTTAGAGTCGATTAATTCAGTGAGCGAAACGACAAATGAAAAGCGTCCAGCAGGGCGTGTGGTGACTGCTGCGTATTAGACCACGTACGATTGAACCGCATGACTGCGAGAGTCACGAAGGAGCATGAACTAAAAGACTGGCTCGCCTATTTGCAAGCCACTTTGGGTAGACTTACGTATGCCTACAGATACGTATGTCGATACATACGACTGTCCCGGTTATCAACCTATTCGACACACGACTCGGTGTCTGAGGGAATGTTCGCTATGAAACGATTTCACGCATTGCTTGTTATCTTCCTTACAAGTGATTACGTCCGCACCAGAGCATGCAGATGACGACGACGACGATGATGGTGCGGTTTGGCTTGGCCGGCGGAGTAGATTGAAAGTTTCGGGATTGGTTGTAAAGCGGACCCAGACGGGATTAAATCGAAGGAAGAGATACAGAAGCTGACGAAACCGTGCTTGCGCCACACAAACACAAATAAAGGTGGGGGAGAAAGGTGATTCTAGTCCGCACTAACTTGACTTACGTAGCATACTTTGGAGCGATGAGCAGTGGAACATGCTAATTCCAGTGTTCCGTTCGAGACCAGTCCATTCATGTCGGAGTCTGGATACATGGGACGGATATTCTATTCTCTATACTCCGTAAAGCACAATCGACTGACACGGACTGCAATCAGACGGGCGCTCTTAGCTCTCATCAATAAATAGCGATCTGCGAATGTCGAAAGCCGGCCACACACGACGGCAGCCGCAACGTTCCGCTTCTTGCGGCTCTTCTGATTAGGCTGCGCAGAGACCAATCAGATAGTCTGAAGGGGCGGGAATGAGGCTAAAATGGCCCGAAGCAGTAGTGCATTCCACTTTTAAGTTGTTTTGTCCAATCATTTACTCTGAACGGTAATCCACTATGGAAATCCCCGCTATATGCGGCTATTGATTGGCTGGGAATTAGCCTCGTTGCTGGATTTAATCTCGATATCCGTTTTATCCGAGAAGCGGAAGGGCAAAATGCGAAGAAGATAAGAGAACAGTTCTTCTTCCTCAGTGTGTTCGCTTCTGATATTGAGAAAGGAAATACCTCGTTTTCCTTCGGAGGACGCAAGGCATGCGGTAATGCAGGTAAACCAAGAAACATCAGCCCGAATCCTGTCTCAAACTCCCCACATGCCAGTGTCAGCCTCATGATCCATTTGAGCCCGGGTTTTCAACTCATCTAATGACTATTTTAGTACGTGGTAGTTACGTACAAACGAATCTATGTACGTACTCCGTACATAATCAACTGGTGCTGCGACATACTGCATACGAGATATGCTTTCCGGGCAAGGTTGCAGTACTACGTACTACTACATTGTTAAGGCAACGGGATCACAGATCGGATCCGATGAGGCTCGAGCACGCTATGAGTAATTTGAGAGCCGCAACAGGAGCTAACTTAGTAAGATATATGTTCTTTTACATGTTCTATACTTCCAGCCTCATCACGGCTGGGTAACCCGGTTGATCAACAATCAAGATGGTCCAACCTCAGCCTACGAGGATGAGAGACATGTCTCGGACTGTCGGTCCTTCTGACAGACTCCTGCGTAACTACGTACATAGTACACGATTCATTATTTCCAAGAATCTAGCAGCCTAACTGACAGTTGACAGCCAGCCAACCAACCAACAAGTAGCGGACAGCATCGGATTTGTCTGGTAGGACCATCAACTCAACCCGGGCATAGGTTACTAAATAAATAAACAGACCAATAACGACGATGCTGAATGTCGCAATAGAAATAAATAAATATATATATGTATGTACATATAGATATATGCAGTATAGATTAAAACCCAAACCCAAAATGCCCAAGCTTATGCCTGAATGATCCTAGAACGTACAGTTATGCATGAGCCTCACCTCGAAGGCTGAAACAAATTAAATCGATTTGTGCTCGCTGTTTCCTTTTTCTCGGCTCGTATTCCAAGACCCTCGTATCTGATCATTTACTCCGATCTTTTTCAATTGTTTCCTTTGTTTTTTTCGAGTCATTGTTCAATCCCGATCCAAATTGCTATTACCGTAAGGGATTTCCGGAAGTAGGAAAGCTGTTGTGTTCACGATCCTCTTCCCCTGGGTATGCTTAGCAATAGCGTTAAGACTCGGGCATATGATCGCATTCTTTGAACTGAGATTGGCCTTAATACCCCGCCCTTCTACAGGCCTTGTCTGTCATGAGATATCTCTTGATCTACAGTCGCTGTTTCCTGCACGTCCTACCAGGGATATCCAATAAATTCGCCATCCATGCCACAACCTTTCCAAGATGAGGTGTCCGGTATGTACAGTGCAGATAACCTGCCAATTCCTAGCGAACAATTCTTGTCGATCGTTGCACCTAATATTTGAGCCGCCTATTGTTTCTGCGTTGGTCCGTGTAGATCTACGTCTATATTTCATGTCTGACATATGACATCCGAATAAATTATAGATGTATGAGCATCATTTACGTTGAAATGATTTTGTATTCGTCTATCTGTTTCATAAATAGCTAAGCCAAAATCCAGAGTACATCCTCGTCAATCTTGGGTTTATATTCGGCGATGTTTCGATAACCTCTGATCTGTCAAAATCGCGCATACCCATGCCTTCCAAGGCTCTCACCGAAGGCTGATTGATAGTTTCGTCCGTAGACACCATGCCACACCCACATACATGAATTCAAGGATTAATACGAGAGCTTCTTCTTGGAGCAGGCTCTTGCAGTCATACATAAAGATTCCTTGGTATTGCTATCTTTCTGATATATGGTTGTATATTCCCAAGGTTACCATACCCAGGCGTGCTCTTCACGTAGATAAAGAATCCAGCCTCACTAATTTCGAGGTGTCCAGGTGTACAGCAGAACTACGTGGTCAGCCTGCCTAATTCCTGGCCCGTGGTCTCCCGCTGTGAGACCGTTTTAAAATATGTATCTCCAATATCGCTACGGATATGGACAGATGCATCCGAACATGTGGGAACCAAGATGAGGACAATACGGATATGAATCCTAATGGCTAAATACCTAGCTTGTTCCAAGGCTCAATCAAGCATTTTCTTCAGACAATTTATCGGACTGAGTTCGGTGTACATGTCAGTTTCACAAGCTAAACACCATTCACAATCTAAGAACTGCAAGTTTGGATTATTGGGGCGTAATCGTACAACCGTTCTAAGATACACAGCTCGGGATTACAAAATGGAAACCTGGTTTGTTGCCCAGAAGGTCATCTAGAACTGCCTGTCACATGCGTATGTAGGACAACATCGAATTTCTGAACTTGCTGCTTCGGTATGGCGTACCATATTCTACACAGAAGAATTGAGTCCTTGCAGGAATGACTGATATGATCTTTCGAAGGATCATTCATGGAATTATTCATTGTTCAGTTTAACAAATCATAGCTAGATATTCGCTTGGGACAGTCGATAGAAGGCTGTTATGATCGCTAACACCAAGATAAGAGATGATTCCAATTGCGCCAAGCGTAAGGCCGCATCAAACAGTAAAATGTTGCTTGATTCCAGGCATTCAAACCCAGTTCAGCCTTTGGCAAGAACCAAGCATTGGACTTCAACTCAAAATCGTACATCACGGATAAAAAGCCTTGGTGTGCATAATATATATGCATCTATCCCTACAGACGCCCTTTCGTCGTCTTTGCTTCAACCGCTTTCACTCGCCGGTGAGTTTCTTCAGCAAACGGCTTCATATTCTTCGTATACTCCTGAGCTCGTGCACTACTAGCCTGACGTAAGGCATATCGCGCTGCAATTCCCTGCATAATAACCGATGCGCGGAAGGAAAAGAACGCATCTCCCCAGTCCATATCTGGTCTCGGATCATATCCCGTTACTTCAGCGTACCATTGTAGACTTTGTTGCCTAGGTGGAATACCGGGGGTCCGCTGAAAGCCCTCTGCTTTATGCTCAGCAGAGTCCAGAAACCATGGGCTAGTCAAGTTTGCGATATCTGAAAGCGGATGGCCTATAGTTGCCATTTCCCAATCTAGTATACCGATAACTCGCGGCTCAGTCTTGTGGAAGACGAGATTGTCTATTTTATAATCACCATGTACGAAAGTCGTCCGGTCTCTAGGCTGTAGGCTTTTGTTCGAAAAGAAGCGCACGTTCTCCTGGAAGTGCGGAAGTTCTCCGACGGGTTCTTTTGTATCGACATCTACTGCTTGCGCCTGCGCTTGGGACACTCGTCCTAACGTCGAGATTTGGCGGTCATAAAAACCAGTGTGTTTTCCAAATTTCTCCATCCCGACTGACTTGGGATCCACGCGGTGCAGCTTTCCGAGGGTTCGAACTGCGTCACGCCAACTACATTTTTCAAAAGCGGATGAGTTAGTCAAACAGAACCCATATTCACTATTAGAAGGGTAAAGGCATACATCTCTGTCCTTTCCTGAGAACTCACACCCGGAACAGCGGGATCAGTGATCATCCGCCCATCGAGAAACTCCATTATGTAAAAAGCTGTCCCAATCACATTACTATCCTCACATAATATATACACTTTTGGAACGGGGACGTCGGTTTGCTGCAACGCATGCAGAATCTGATATTCTCGTTCGACTTGATGCGCCGTCTTGGAGAGAAGTTTGCCAGGAGGCTTTTTGCGTAGGACGTACTTCGTGCCAGTAGTATCGGTGAGTTGATATGTCGGGTTTGACTGACCGAATCCGAACTAAATAAATTGAGCGTTGGCGTACATTTCTGATTTCAACCTTACAATCCGCCACAAACCTGCTTCACATCCAACGGGGTCTTGATCAGAAGTACATTGCTGTCAATATACCTCTCCAACGACTGTATGTCGATGGGCTGCCGCACAGGACCGGCCATGACTGCTCAATTGCTTTTCTGAGGATGTAGGTGTTCTGGTAGGATCAACAGATGAGAGCGATTTCCTTCAGAGAACTGAAATAAATGACAGCAATGCCGTTGTGGTGTTACCCCAGAGATAGTTGTTATCATGGCAACCGAGGCAATGGCTTCCCCAGATAACCGCGGAATGTCGAAGCGGCTAGCCTGTTATTTCCCCGCCATTGTTCTGCTTCACGAGAGTGTGAAGATGGCACAGACATCCCAGAAGACTGACGACTTGTTTCTGATTTTTATGAAGCGTTGTAGCCGTGCGTAGGGAATATTGGCCTGTAATGACAGGGGAATGAGCAAACTAAACATGTGATTAGGGCTTACCCTAATCATTGTTCCGATCAAGCAAAATGAAAAACGCGAGCGCGTCGCTCACCGCCTTTCGAGAAACGCGTCCCAAACAAAGATGTCATTGGCGATGGGATGTTGCGACTTGCATTCAAGGGATGGTCCATCTTCCCCATCTTCTTATTTAGATCCATTGGATCTCAAGATTCTTCCCACAACCTTTTCGCTATTTGTTCTAAGCATACCATGACCAGAGATACCACGCCTCCTCCAGAGACCGCTTCTGCTGCTGCTACTACCACCCACGAACCCCCATCGCTCCCCGCTTCACCTTTCCCCAAACGAACAAAGACCGCTTCTACGACCGAAACCAGCATTGCATCCATCATGGGTTCTACAGGTGGAAACGATACTGCAGTCACCTCTCTCGCCCCGCCTCATCCTCCTTTGCTCGTGAAGAAATTGGTCGAGTCAGCAAAGGCCCCTACTCGCGGTTCCGCGTTTGCCGCAGGATATGATCTTTACAGCGCTAAGGAGACTGTGATCCCTGCTAAGGGGAAAGGTTTGGTTGATACCGGATTGGCTATTGCGGTTCCTGAGGGCACATGTATGTTCCTACATCTTGGAAACAATACGAGTGAGGTATTACTTAGTGCTGACGCTTCAAAGACGGCCGCGTGGCACCGCGAAGTGGTCTTGCTTCTAAAAACTTCATCGACACTGGTGCTGGCGTCATCGATGCGGATTACCGAGGCGAAATCAAGGTGTTGCTCTTTAACTTTTCTGATGTAGATTTTACCGGTATGGCATTCAACTCCAAACGTAATCATCATCCTGGATACCTCAGCTAACAGGACATTCATAAAATAGTCAAGGAAGGAGACAGAGTTGCTCAGCTTGTTTTGGAAAGAGTAAGTGTACTGCCTTTATAGTGTGCCACATTTCACATCTCGAACGAGCTGTACATATTGACTGATCTTGTCAGATATATACCCCGGACGTCGTTGTTGTCGAGCAATTGGAGGAGAGTGTCCGCGGCGCAGGAGGCTTTGGCAGCACCGGGAAATAGACATGTGCCGCTTTACGGGATTTGCAATATCTGCGATGTCTAGAGTAAACTTCTCGTCAGTCCATAGCGGATTAAGGGTTGCCAGGTGACTGGGTGTGAGACTATAACACGTCGATTATCGCGGCAGAACAAAAATGAAATGAAGACAGATAGAAAGTTAACACTTGTTTCCATTGGCTCAGCAGCCTGACAAAGTCTTGCTTATATGTTAAGATGTTGAGTCGCAAACAGCATGCGTTGTTGCCTTATATTCCAGGCACAAACTGCCACTTTCCTTTTGACCCCACCACGATTTATCATCTCCGAAGATAACCAGAGGAACAATTTTCAGCACTAAGAAACAATATCCTCAATTGCATGACTCATACTTGTTTCTAAGCCCTTCTTTCTGTCATCTCTGACTCAATTTATCCTCGCTGTTGCTGCATCCGGTGTGATCTGCATATACAACTCCGTGGAACATCAACATAAACGACGTATATTCTTGTGGCATGCGCAAGAATAGAAGGACTTCTATTGGATATCGCCAGATTCCTGTTATTTATAGCAATAATGGCATTGACCAAGGAGAATGTTCCCGAGACGAAAGTCCTTGCAATTGCCAGTCATGTACGCTTGCTCATTAATCCCGTGGGTATCTATATACATTCAAGTGTACTAATATATGTGACTAGGTGTGCTACGGGTCAGTTATCTTGTGTATGCCGGACTAGAATTTCTCAGCTGACTTGTTCTTTCTCGTCAGCTTTGTGGGAAATACAATGGCCACATTCGTCATGCAGTCCTTGGGCTGTGAAGTGGCAGCCATTAATACAGTTCATTTCAGTAAGGATACTGAGTGATTGGCTATTCAATGTTAATATTTATCCACAGGTAATCATACCGGATATTGCCAAGTAAAAGGAACAAAAACGAGTGCAGAGGACATTCGCAATCTGTACGAGGGTTTAACCCAGAGTTATCTTACAGATTTCGATGTACTTCTCTCGGGCTATGCTCCCAGTGCAGCGGCCGTCGAAGCGGTCGGTGATATTGCACAAGATTTGCAACGCCGGGCAGAAGGAAAGCCGGGCTCTTTCTTCTGGGGTAAGAAGACCCTTATTACCCCTGAAGCTCGAGGGCTAAAAACAATGGCACAGCTCTTGACCCTGTCATGGGTGATTTGGGCCGTTTGTATGTGGCAGAGGATGTTGTTCCAGCATATAAAAAAGCCGTTCGTCATGCGGATCTGATATTACCAAATCAATTCGAAACCGAGTGAGTAGTACACTCTCGGCTTGATTGACTATGGCTGACGGCAGAAAGAACCTTATCCGGAATCAAAATCGCCAACACCACCGACCTTGCCAACGCAATAACCTCAATCCACAAGACATATGGAGTTCCTCACATTATTGTCACTTCAGTGCAACTATCAAGTCTCGGTTCATCGACGCCATCGGGCTTAATGACCGTCATTGGCTCTACCGTTCGCTCCGATGGCACTCCACGACTATTCCGTGTCGACATTCCGGCTCTCGAATGTAATTTCAATGGCACAGGCGATATGTTTGCTGCCCTGACCGTGGCACGTCTACGAGAAGCAATTTTTGCCGCTGGACCGTCTCTCAGAAACACAAAGTCTTGGGTATCACCAGATGATGTGGCCCCGACAGATCTACCTCTGGCCAAATCTACCGAGAAAGTGCTTTCAAGTATGCACTCTGTCTTATTAAAGACAATGGAATCCAGGGAGGCCGAGCTTGCAACAACTGCCAACACAATTGATGCCACCGGACTGACAGAAGAGCAATTGCAATTTCGAGAGCATCTGCGGCGAACAAAGGCAGCTGAAGTGAGGGTGATCCGCAATGTAGATTTCCTACGTAAGCCGACTGTCGTTTTCAAAGCGCAACAATGGGCGGAATAATTGATATGGTTCAGGCTTATCTGGTATATTGGCTGCATTGTTCATGCGTATGGATAGGGCTTTTGTCTTGCATGTCATATAGATAATAGACTACCACCATCCAACTCCAAAATGAAGCAACATACAACTCCGATAATACCAAGGTAATGTCATAATGGTCCAAGCTTCCAGTCTACGAATGTCTACAATATAAATGGCATGTAGCTCTCCGTCCATGCACCCTTCCGCCACGGGTAAAGGAGTAGGGTGTTTGGTAATTGGAGGGCAAAAGAAATCGATCTTGGCACGTAAAAGAAACAATCCTTCAGCAAGCGGGCATGGGAATAAGCCACGAAGCTGTACACACATATGCCTGTTCAGAAGAAGCGATGGGACGGAAGTATCCCTGCGATTTTCTTGTATGCTCCTCCCTTCCCCGTCTCCTACGACCATGAAAGAACTTCAGTTATGCTCATATCTTCGGATAGAAGACTGAAAACATTGGACCCATGTCCCTGTCTATCTTTCGGAAAGAATGAAAGAGGTGGACAAGTTTGTTGAGCCTCGTCATCTCCGGCAAGTCGAATTGTCGTGTCTATTTGACAAATCATGACATATCATTATCACACAAGGTCTTTCGCCGAATAAATCAAGATGGAATGCATTTTTTTCATTGTTCATTTTTTCGTTTTCTCCCCTCTGACTTCTATTTAGGCGACCTCTCGCTTTCCTTCCTTGCGCTCCTTCTGTAGCGAAATTGTTAGTTTGTTCTCTCATAGGCCGCCTGTATCAAGACTCGTGGCATCGCATTCGAATATTAACGTACCAAAGCCTTCATGGTGCCGTGGAGAGCATGTCTGTGGTTGCGTCGGAACTTGGGGTCGGTTCCCTTCAAGGATGGGTAACGGTAGGTCTTGGGCTTCTTGATACTGAATTTGCGAGTAATGTTAGTAAATCGTCGACACGGGTGTGATGTTCGCAAATAGGTTAAGATATTGTAAGTGGTATTATTCGGCGTATCTCTGTATTTTGTGCGAAGAGAAAGTGCGATGGATGAATAGAGCAACGAACCCGTTACGGTGAGCCTTCTTGCTCTGGTTGTGTTGAGACGAGTTCTTGGACTCTAATCAGGGGAGTCAGTCAGTCATCCGGAAGAGAATGGAATAAATAATCCAATAAACGTACTGGCCATCTTGACGGTTCTGCCGCGATGAGGAGGTTGTCGTGGTGAGGGCTGAACTGGAGGTTGAACAAAGTAGCATCACCAAACCAAACGATTTGTTAGGCTCGGGTTGTGTGGGCGGCCTCGCTTAGTCGGATGTGGCTAGTGCGGGTACCTGAGGCTGCCAATCCAGATCTGATAGACACCAACTTTGTATGTCCGGATCATGATATGCATTCCTTCTAATTACCGTGCTATAAATGATCCTAGAGACATTAGACAGCAGACTGAGGTTATTTTACTGTACTCCTAGGACATTGCTATCTCTAAACGTATTATACAGACATTCTCTTTGAGTCTCGTCGTGAGCCATGACTTTCTTCAATGATTTACATTCGTCGATAGTTCAAAAAGAAAGAACATTCTCACATGTATTATTTCTTCTCGAAAAGACCCATAATCATCCTTCTGATATTCTTGGAGAGTGCGAATTGAAGCTTTATAGAATAGATCGTCCATATCACGTGACTTTAATGACAAGCGTCTATATCCGGTTAGCTGAGTTTGTTCCGACTTTGACCGTTTCTCTCAACCTCCTCAGCCATTTGAAGAGAAGAACAACGTCTTCAATCTTCACCGTCGTTCACACATCCTACATACAATGAGCTCTCTTCGGTTTGCACGGGCTGCCCTCCGGGTACGTCCCACGGCCATTCGCGTCCCTGCTGGTCACAGAACCTACGCCGACGCTGTCGCCGACAAGATCAAGCTCTCCCTGGCTATGCCTCACCAGGTACGATCAATGCAATTCCGATGTCATTGGAGTCAACCAGGCATTTTTCACATCTAAATAGATCAATTGCTAACGGCTTGATTTACTGTTCATACAGAGCCTCTTCAAGTCCACCGACGTGTACGTTCCGACCCAACCGCAGATCTGACAATATTTGCTCTATCCCGATCTTGACTGATCGCGATACTCTTTGATACAGTGTCCAGGTCAACATCCCCGCCGAGTCCGGTGAGATGGGTATCCTCGCAAACCACGTTCCCTCCATCGAACAATTGAAGCCCGGTCTCGTTGAGGTTATTGAGGAGAGCGGTGGCACCAAGCAATTCTTCCGTACGTCACCCGCGCGATGTTTGCTAGTCGTGATCCCAACAACGACATGAGTCTGGCATCTAATTTTCAGCTGAACGACTAACTAATATGTATATGACAGTTTCCGGTGGATTCGCCGTTGTCCAGCCCGACTCCCGCCTCAGCATCAATGCCGTCGAGGGATACCCTCTTGAAGATTTCTCCGCTGATGTCAGTCACTAGAAGCAAGGCGCTGTCAGCACGATTAAGGCTAACATATTGACTTTAGGCTATCCGTGCCCAGATCACCGAGGCTCAAAAGATTGCCAACGGCAGCGGCAGTGAACAAGACATTGCTGAGGCTAAGATTGAACTTGAGGTATGTTTACTGACTGTACATGTATTTAGGATATCTTGGCTGATTTTTTTTCGTTTAGGTTCTCGAGACTCTCCAAATGCACGTGAAATAGATGCTGTGATGTAAATAATTGTCAACTCTTTCACCCTATTTCAAAATATGTAGAATTATATTCGATTAGTCGAAGGTTTCCTTCTCAATGGCATTCCATTTGTACTCTATTGATGCACAAGTTTACTATATACCTCTATTGGAGCTGAGTCTAGTCTCCGACCTTTCTGGCTTCCAAACAATCAATTTCTTATCAAACCCTCCACTAACAAGCCACTCCTCCCCCTCAACCCAGCCCGCCCATATGCTCCTCACTTTAATGCCGGCCTCATGCCCATTCTTCAACATGGTTACTAATTTGCCCGTCTTACTCTCAATGCCGCGGATAACACCATCATCTCCATTAACCCAAACACCAGAGCCATCCGGCCGCCAGACAACCTGTGGGGTCGAATACGCAGTCTGCGGAGCGAATGTATTCGCTTGGATTATGATAGCGGCATCTTCATGGTTTTGGAGTGCTAATGAAGCGTTCGATTGACTGAGGTGGGTTGCTGGGGTCGCTTCATTGTTGACGCGTTCATCATCTCCAGTATTCCTCTTCGTTGGAAATAACAAGCGGACAATCATCACTTTCATATGCGGCAACGTGGATAGAGCGACTGCGATTATACCAGGATCGCGGGGATTCTGTGTCATACAAGAGGGTGAAAAGGAAACCCAAGCATTGGAGTTGGGCGCAAGGTTTTGTTTTCCGATTTCCTTGCAACTTCGTTGCTGACTGTCCCGTGTCCGTAATGGTTCGATATTATAGTAGTAGATATATGTTGAATCCCGCCGGGAAAGTAGAAGGGTCAAATCTCTTGTCTCCGGATGATGTACGAGGAGAATAGACTCTGGATTTGTTGGCACCTTGAGAGATCCCACCGGGTTGCCAATTTCGAGCTCTGTACCCGAGGAAGAATTCGGCTTTATACTGTAAATGAAAACTTGCATATCCCATCCTGCAGTGACTATCCAAATATGGTTGTCATGGTCCTCATATGCAACAACCTTGACTACGTACTTCGTATGGTCTTTCCTTCGGTCTATAATTTCATTGCCGCGCACGAGAAGAAGCTGGCCGGACATGGTTGCTAGCAGATGGTATTGTCCTCCTCGAATACTAGCATAAGAAAGGATAGGTGAGTCTGTAAGTCCCGATATTGACGCAGCTACAGTATTATCGGCGTCCAGATTGAAGAGGTTGAGACGTTTATCAGCACCGGTAGCAACAAGGTATGTAGCTTTCTGATCTTTGTCTTGCACGCCGTCGTCCATCTGCCATGGCTCAACAGATGCTGAAAGTAAATTGGACGAAGCTGGAGTTTCTATGGCTTTGAGTACTGCTGGGGCTAATATAATCATTTTCGTAAGTCTTCCTCACATTCGCATGTATCTTCCCAACTTACCAGGCATGGTCCACCCCTCATTGTTGGCATGCGAATCGCCAAGGCGCTCAAACGATAAAGTCTGATCGAACTTCTTCTTTTCTTGTATGATACCTTCCAGCGTCCACTTATTCACGATATTCGCTCCGTCTAATTTATCATCGCCCGTGTTCTGAGCGCGCCTAAAAGCCCCAACATTGGGTGGAAGACCCGCCTCATTAATAAACGTATTTAGAGTCTCATGATAATTGTTTGATCGCAAAAAGCGGGCCACCAGGATACTCGCTAGTAGGCTCTCGGACGCTGTATGGTCCGTTGATGATATATCCAGTCGTGAAGACATTTTTAGTGGAATTTGGATATTAGATCATTAATGGGTTGCATGGCAGTAGTAATAATGGACTGAACGAGGGGTAACACCCTTGCCACGTACAAATACGCAGATATTGAGACCAAGAAAGAGTCAAGACAAAACTCATCGTAGTAGCTTCTCAATCCAGTATTGATTTATGATTCGAAGGTGAGTTGAGAGAACGGTAATAGTCCGCTTAGTCATCCAGTCGTTGAGCTCTCCGCATTTGCCAAGAGGCAATCCGAACCTTCGGAACTTCAGCAGAAAAGCTCACTCTCACAGTTTTGCTCTCAATTGGAGAGTACATCTCTTTGCTTACAGTTATCTCAATTCATTTTGTGTCATATAATATCTCCTTCAACTAGTTTTATTCTTATTTCGCCTTGACAATCAAACTGCATATAGCAGAGCTTGACCTCCTTCACCACCATCACAATGGAGGTTGCGGCTCCTCAGCCAACGCCATCGACAGATCTAGTCACCAACACCATGGACATTGATATGGACATTGATTTGGGACCTTTCCCTGAAGGAGAGGCTATCGAAATGGTGAGTTTATTTCGACCTGTAAAGCAAATTGCTTGCAGATCACTAACCGTAGGCATTCACTAGGATCATGTTAACCACCAAGCTTTCGCGCCAGAATTCACAGCCGAGAATGGTGTCGTTGACCCCCAGACAGCTGAAGCACACTACGAAAAGGTGCATATTCGTGGTGTTGACGAATTGACCACAGATAACATCAAGCAATTCGCTCTAAACTATTTTTCCGATGAAGAACCCAGTCGAATTGAATGGATCGATGATATGTCGGCAAACATCGTTTACTCTTCCGACGAGGTTGGCTTGCGAGCTCTTACTGCACTCACACAGCTTGGCGAAGAGGACATATCCGCACTTCCCGCACTACGTTTACGTACAGCCAAAACATGTTTATCGCATCCAGAGTCGGTCCTGCAGGTGCGGTCGGCAGTGAAAACAGATCGTAAGAAACCACGAGCTCATGAGTCCAGTCGATTCTATTTGATGCATCCTGAACACGATCCACGCGAACGTTTGCGCCGTGAACTCGCGGAGAAGCGTCGCCAAGGAGGCAGGCGTGACGAGGGCGATGGAGACTATCGGCGTATTCGCTTTGACGAGCGTGAACATCGTCGGCGTCGAAACAAAACCGACGATGGATTCAACGCGAGCATGTATGATGATGATGGTGCAGACCCGAATCGACGTCGCGCTTCGAGCGATGACTTTTCAGAGTCGGAAGGACGACGGAGACCTAGAAGAGAGAGACGCCAACCGCAAGAGCTTTTCCCTGAACGTGGTGGCAGTGGTGGGTCAGGTCGACTCCGGGACCGTAGCGCCTCTCCAGGACGAGATGATTTGGACGCAATGCGACGGAGTGATGATGAGCAGCAGCAGGTTCGAAGACGGTTCCGCGAACGGTCGCCTAGGTTCTCTAGTGAAAGCCATGCAAAGAACAACAAAGAGTTGTTCCCTGAAAAAGACAGTCAAGATACCAGAGAGTTGTTTCCAAACAGGACAGCAGCAAGCTATCTTAAGAAAGAACTTTTTCTGAACAAGACGAACAGCAATCATAGGCGGACAGATGCATTTGATGCTGCAGATGAGACTGCTGATCTGTTCTCGAGGAGAATAAGTATGCCTCTTATTGACGGAGGGCATGATGAGATATATATCAAAGGAGCTTCTAATGACCAAGGCATGGCTCTTCGCGGTCTTGCAGGAGGAAGAGGAAATACACAAACGGTCAAGGAATTATTCCCCGATAAATACAATGCCAATGCAGGAAAGGAGCTCTTCTCGAACAAACTGGAAGGGCGTGGAGGGAGAAGACGTCGGGCGGAGGATATGTTTCAATGAAGATTCTTCTGGCTAGGCATGGAGGAGGAAATGAAATTGTGAGGGAAACATGCCACCACACTTAATCACATCCTCCTTTCGCCACACCCAACTCAGCAGTTTTGATGCAGCTTTTACTTTGGACCGAGGGCATAAAGGATACAATACCACGATTCTGCCTTTTGTGACGAATCAGACAATGAGAACATATCTAGCTATCTAATGAACCATCTGGACAGGATTAATTACCTCCAAGACCCTGAGCACCTGATGATGAAAATGACACGAATAGTAGCATTACTTGGCTGTGGTATATCATATCGTGCGCATAATGACAGACACAACAGCGTTGAGTGACTGTAATTATCTAGTTGATCAAGCTCGGTCTATTTTAATGACTTCGCCGGTAACTCCCTGCAGCATTATCAGCCTAACTACAACCTATGACCCTTCATACAACATGGATATCCATTTCGCCGTAGTTGGAGGTACAACAATACGTATCACCGGTATGGTTTCCTAGAAAAGATCCCCGAATGATATTTTTTTCCGTCGCTGAGCCGCCGCATCCTGACTGAGTGTTGTCGATGCCTCCAACCGTGGGATAATAGTAGATCTGTACAATTATGCGGTATACGCACTCTATAAAGAGCATTAGGCAATTGTGAACAAACATACAAACTCTGTGTGTCACACAGATCAGGGTCACAAAGTAAGCTTCTGTAACTCTCTATTGCCCCAGACCCTAATATTCATTAACTCGACAAATCACACATGTAATCTATCCACTTCAGATATCGGTTATACCCGAGATTCCACTGCATACCTACGTATCGCCGTTAAGGCAACCTGCATATCAGTGCTCCTCTATCTGAGGATGCAGACAGGTAACCTGGTACATATGTCAAGAGCCCCGTTGAGGAATGCTTCAGTTGCTACACAGCCTAAACCCCGAGGTCGGCCAGTTCGCCGATTACACACGAACCAACAGTGCTACCGCTAGATACGAGGATCACGCAGAATCGTTACTCAAGGACAGGGCGTCATCTCATGTACTTATGCACATGAAATTTGTTTCATTATCCTGCTGGGACCTGGGCACTAGGGTTGGCAGGACAGAGGAGTGCTTGTAGCCACATTACTGTTACCACCTGGTGAATGGTACAATAAGTTGTATGTACCTATTAGGAAATGGTCATGTTCTACCTTAGCTCTACATTAGTGATCTCAAATGGTGGTCTCTCTTGTCGAAGACGTGAGCATGAAGTGAGATCGAAGCGTTCGGTGGAGAATGATACTTTTGTCGGCTTGATGTGCTGTATGATTTCTGAGTAGTGAGCAAAGTGATATTAAATGATCTGGTATGGTAGTAAATAGGCCGGAAATGTGATCACATGGAGTAAAGCGATGTTGTGAGATTGAATGATAGCGGCTTAAACAAGCCCAGGTTTGGGCATTGGTATTATTCCAATGATGAACCGAACTTATCCTAATCTCAGAAGACGCATCGCAATTGACTAAAAGTTCTTCGTCCTTGCCATGCTTCGTTCTCCAGGGACTGAGCATGGATAAGTGGCTTTGGGTCAATTGGCTTGAGGGATGGCTGCATCTGACAACTTCCCACAAATTAACGTAAATAGTACCTCCTGAGAACATATAAGCTCACCGAGTACAATGTTTTGAGTAAAACAGTGAGCAGAAGGAAGTCAGAAAAAGGAAACAGGGCTTCTGTATTTGCGTATATGCTAGTTCGCTAGTATCGCTTTTATGCATCCTTCGTTGAAAAAATATATATACTTGTCTCGGTACATACCTAGGTAGGTATTTCACAGACAAAAGATCCTTGATGCTTCACACCACACAATAGAAATGTATACAACAGCTTACACTAGCAATAACCTGTCCGGAATATCAATATATGCAATTTGGCATATCTTGGATGATTGGCGTAACTGATGTTCAGTCCCAGCTAGGGTTATGAGTCTTGTCTCCGGACCAATCACGGTGCACTGTAAATAGAATCTCTAAATTCTATTAGTCTACGGAGTCTTAGCGCTAAGTTAGCTGCTTCTGTAACTACGTACGTACTTACACTCCTATGTATATTAGGAGTTTGCGCAAAAGAGTTCCAACAGGATTGTTGCTGGCCAGCGCGAAATGTCCAGTTACAGCCTAGCCCAAAGCTGTACAGCCCGAATGGGAAACTCGAAACTGGTTGCAAAATGGCTTCATGATTCGTGCTAGTGCTATGCAAGTCCCAAAATGGATAGACGCAAGGATCCCAAATGACCTCGATCTTCCTAAAAGAGTGCGAAGGTGCGAGCTGCATGTTGGCTATGTCCATACGAGAGATATGTGGGGAGATTTGTTTACACTCTAACTTACTGAGCACAGTATGATTACGTATTGCTTAGGTACCTGGGCTATTGCAGACGCTTTCTCGTACAACGTTGTTCCCGTTCAATCTTTGGGTCGAGGAATGGAGACAAGTCGGATCGGCAGAGCGTCTGTGCTCAACGGCGAACCTTAGCACCGTACGGTAATGGTATTACAGAGTAACGATAGTACGTATCGCTCGATCTCGGGCACGATCCAGACTAGGCCATAATAAGCATAGGCGGATCTCAAGTACGTACCGCCGAGCATGGTACGCGACAAATAATGGCTTCATCTTCTAGGATACCAACTATAATACGATCTCTAAGCCTACGGAAATCTGAGATCTTCTCAACAAAAACCCACGCTGCAGAAGGAGCGACGAGTCACATTTCCCTTTCAGGCATCCGCGAATGGCGAACCGATCTAACTATTGATCTTAGTTACTATATCAGTGTCATATTAAGAACTTTCCCGACCATACGAGGGAATGCCTGGAGATTGACCAATGTTACATATTCGTTAAAACTCAATATTCATTATTGCATATTCCCGGAGTAGATCACTGAGAAAAAGAAGAACTAGGCAAGCCACATCGCGGTTCCAAAATACCGGCACCATCGCTTAAGCATAGTCGGTTGCTGCGCTGTTCTGCAATGCATAGACCAGACACTAGCAGACAAGAGCCGTTACGCACGACTGTCGATCAATTCTTTTTCATCTTCCTTCCCAAGAAACTATGTAGGAGATACTGCCTTGGAAGGGGAGAATAAACCTCCACTATGGGCTCCGTAAGCTTAGCGTCCTATCGATCTGGAATGTATTAGACATACGGTAACGAGCAGGGATAGGTTGAATTTAGTTTTGATAGGGACCTATACACGGTGCCTGTGGGTCGCTGAATGGGATGATTACGCTAACGACAAAAGATTTGGAATTATCCTGCTCCACAGTTGATCCCTTATGTACTTCTAAGACGTATTCCACTTCAAAAGCGTTCCTTCGTTCATTCTACAAAGCATTGCCGAGTAGATTGGAATCGTGTATAGATAATACTACGTACGATGTACTAGATTTGAACATCGGCGCAACACAAGTATATTCTCAATACGAAATTGATGTCGAAAAGGATATCGGCGACTCGGTGACCATGGGTATGTGCATACGATAGTTACCCCAAACTTCGCTCGATAATGATTGAAGAATCGTGTAAAGTAACACAGGTAACGTATGTAGGTTAGTACTGCAAAATGCAAAGAAACATCTGCAGTTGTCGGCAAATTAACTATAATACTCCATCGTGGACTCATACTGAGAAGACTTATCAGGTACCAGGGGCGAGGGTGGTCCATTCTCACGTTGGTCCTATCTTTTTTGATTTAGAAGCGATACGACCATTGCGATTCAAGCCTAGTCAGGTACCTGACTATGGATTGATCATTGACGGCATGTGTTTGTATCGGCAACTACAAAGAATACCTGACAGACATGGGTCTGCGGGATTTGAATGTCATTTTTGTATGCTTATTCGTTACTGAAGATTTGAAACTAAACAGGGGTGAGATTCATCTATCAACATGGGTAGCTGTAGGACTGCAGATTCATTCAACAACACATACCAAATTATGGCTTACAATCTCGTACTTAGTAATGTTTATTTTGCTCGGTATTTATTTCTCCTTCCAATCAAATAAACCTGAATTCTGACACACTGCCATTTCACGCCCAAAATTAAGAACATTTCCCCAAAGCTGCCAGAGCCCGTGGCAGCGCTAACGGCTGGCTTAAACTGGTTAGGGCTTGCCGCTAAAATAACGGCGCGGCCCCTCTTTCACTTCCCTTGTTAAACTAAACTGACAGGGCCTAGTAACAGCGACCCCGGGGACCAATTAACTCGTTAAGTTGGCGAGTTAGCAAGGATCTGCCTGGTTCAACATCCTCACTTTGAGACTTCCGGGTCCGGAAGGATCTCGCTTGTCTATGCCACGGGCAATACTTCGGCCCTTCGCTTATTGTTTGACTTGGTCGATGCTGACAAGTTAACACTGAAAAGTAGAAACTGTACAGCAGTTGCCAGTACGCAACTTCGAAGACAGAAACTGCATGGTGGTAAGTGGGTACTAGTATCGACTGTCATTAAGCACTTAATCTACTCACGTTCCTTTTTTGTATATCTGCGTATACAGGACGTACGGCATGGTGACTTACAATGGACTTAGAAAAAGCAAATAAGAAGCCGGAACTATACCCTGTTGGTAGATAGGTACTGAAATGTTACCCAATTGACAGCGTCTGTCAGCTTCAATTAAGTAAATCATCGATGAAAATGTAGCCTCTCCCCCTTGCTTGGCGTCGTTTGCATTGCTTTTTATTACCCTTGGGTATTTCGTACATTTGGGCCTATGGAGACTTCTAGTTCATACAAAGGAACATTATGTACACGTCACGAGGGTCTACCATGCATACAACCAGCCTTGCCAATTTAGTTTACAGTCACGACAAGGGCAGATTCTGTTCCAAATCCGGGATTGATTCATTCTGGCGGGAAGATACGGAGAGTGGGTTGTGATTCCTGTGCGAGTTATAGAATATTCAGACGTAATGCATCGAAATGATGTTTTTGTCAATGAATGTAAGCGTGTGGTTATTAATTATACCAAGAACTATACAAATAATAGCACAATCTCACGAAAGAACGACGAAGTGGTATAGCAAAAATAAACATAAGGGGTATAATGAATCTGCGCTTCATATGCTTTTCAAACCCCGACATCCCGAATGATTCCCAAAAACATCAAGTAGTCGAATCAGATAAATTAAGATATCACGGTATCCAGACCAAACCGCCCCAAAATCAGTAGTTCTATCCGCCAAAGCCCGTAAAAATGCCAGAAAAAAACAACCATGTAGTTGAACAAAGGAAAGGGACAAAGTATTAATGTGGGTGGCGCTTTAGTTGAGCAAAGACTGGAGACCCATGCGAGAGTCACGCCGCGATGAAGAAGGTGGAGCTGTCTCAGAGAGAGATTTGGTGTAATTGTGGTCAACACTCCAGTGTCTAGAATAACCAGATTCATGTTCGGAATTGCGCGAGAAATATGCTTCCTCTCTAGAAGAAGACGTGAGATGATAGGAAGAGAAGGTAGGCACACTTCCTCTTCGATGTTGCTCCGCAAACCAGGAAAGGCGGGAATCATTCGGGACTGGCAGCATTTGAGGCGATGGAAGTGTTCTCGGTGAAGCGGAGGAAACTGAATTGTGATCCGACACCATGGAAGGTGGTTCAAGAGTTGATACTTCCGAAAACGCTGGAGAAGTCATTGATGGTTCTATTACTCGGTTGTTGCTATTGCTAGCGGATGTGAGAATAGGCACAAGATGTCGTGAGATGCCGTCCTGATGGTTTGGTGAGACTGGTCGCTCATGAAGAATCAGCTGGGAGACTGTGACAGGGCTTTTGCTGAGAGTGGCCTTCGTGATTGATGAGGTTGAAGGCCGTCGAATTTCATTGTGTTGATGTCGGTGGTCGCTGGCTCGTGGATATGGTGCCTCAATCCGGCCGTTACAGGCGCGCGAGGAGTGTTGCTGGCTTGTGCCTTGCACTACAAGACCTCTGCGCTTGCGGTTCATATTGCCATTCCACCAGTTCTTGACTGCATTGTCGCTGCGATTGCCCAATCGTCGTGCAATCTCTGCCCAACGCTTACCCATCTCGTTGACCATGCGCTCAATCATAAGTCCTTCTTCAGCCGAGATTGGGGTGTGGTTCAGAGATGGTTTGAGATTTTGATGAAAACGTTCTCTACATTGTTTAGGAGAACGGAAGTGCATCTGCTGTGAAATGCGAACCCAATTATTAGGTCCTTGCTCGTGTACTAGTTGGAGTAAAGTGTTGTCTTCTTCCTGAACCCAGGGGCCACGCCGGTGTGTAGGCGCCATGGCAAAGCAATATACTGAAGAGATTGAAATGTGATGTGATTGACTTGAATCATTTGTTAGTCAGAGAATTTGACTGGATAGTACAAAGAATCAAAGAAGTAGACTTGACATATTTTTGCTTCTTCAAAACAAGAAGGAGGGGTGACTAGCCGCTTCCAACAGCGCAACTCGAACTTACTTACTTGATAATCTTCGTGGACTTCTCTGACAGACAAATATTGTTTGTAGTTGCGATGTAATCTTGAATGGGAAAGTATAGATAAACTCAGTTTGTTGGTGTTGCGACTGATAGATGGCCGAGAGGAGGAAGGATAGCGGCGTCCAAGTGGTTATGTACTCGGAAAACTAGCCAGAACCCACCACACAGGAAAAATCTGGGACGCCACGGCTGATGGAGCAAGCACTAACGTCTAAGTGGTAAGTACGTATGAGAAAAGCAGCCCACAACAAGATCTGAGATCTTCGGGACTAAAAAACGCAAAAAAAAAAGGTTCTAAAAGACGGCTAAAAGGAAGGTTCTGCTCCGTAGGAACCTAGACGGGAATAAACCAAAAGAGTGGGTACGGTAAATAGCAGCTAACGAACTAGTTAAAGCACAAGCCTGGATGACAGGAATGACCGGGGAGGGGGGTCACTTTTGGCCCAAGCGACGGGCGCCCTGAAGACCAATGAATTAGTCTAGACGGGGTTCTGTATGGAAAGTTCTAACCCTGGGAAATATTAGAGCCGGTTTATAGAAAGTTGTATTGGTTTGGTCGGATGAAAGCCCTAGGCATGAATATGTAGATAGTATTTGTAGAATGAGAGGAGGGGTGGTAATTGTCTATCTTGTACGCGAGGAGGATTTATGCATTTTCATATTCGCCGTCACAATCACTTTCTCCTGTGGTTACTGTGTATTATATCATGGTAGGACTAGCACCAAGTAAGAACTGTAAAGGGAATAACTTAGATAGTTTGATTGAATAGGACGGATACATACTGTCAGTGTCCAGGATATGACTGCTTCCAAAAGCAGAGCCCGTACAAACTTGTGTAAATAAACATCCAATCTCTAATTCAGTGGATCCTGGGCAAGTCACCAATTCGTGTACGGAGCAGACATTTTTTCCCAGGCACGGCAAATCATATCTGTATCACTATGTGGTAGCTGCACTATGCAACTATGGTAAAACAGATCGTAGAGAACATTGAGCCTTGTCCTTGTCCCTTTCTAATTTTTCTTTTTCTTTCCCCTTGTTAGCTTCGGCTGGATACTTGCTATAATAGTGGATCCAGCGCAGGCAGGAGCGCAAATCGTCAATACATACATCTTACCTACGTGTTTACCGTGTGTGGAGGACTTTATACGTCCTGCTGACATATCTCCAGACATTTAGAGACGGTAGAGCAATGTTCATGTGGATCTCTCTGACAGGGATGCAAGAATACACCGCAGGGCTCGACGATACCGCACCAATCACTCATTAGTCAGGGATTCTGGACCTCCCATAGGTATTCACGCAGTAAATACGACCCGACACAATGGTGTTGCTGAATTGTTGTCATGTAAGAATAGGCCAAGGTGTTATTCAGGACGTATCTTTCCCTCGGAGATACGCCGACTCAAGTGATTCAGTCAGAATCTCCACAAGAATGGGGCCATCGATCGGAGTTTTCCTCGCTTACTGAAATATATGAATTAGAGGATACTTAGTAAAGCCTGCGTATTTTATCATACGTATTCGTAATAAGGGTATGTGTACTAGTACGCATAGGTCCAGATCGATCGAGACTAGTCCTGAATGGAAGAGCAGTCGATTCCTTTCAGATAGACGGAATCGACTCTTCAGCCAGCCTTTTCCGCAAGTATATTAGCCCCATTATTATTATTACTCGTTTCGTTCACATTCCGTCATGGAGCATAGACTAGAGTCTTCTGGCGTAAAACGTGACCTAGATCCACCGCTCAGCCAAGGCCATCACAGCCCGTGTTTGGTCTCCAGCCGAGCCGTTCGTGCCACACTAACGGGTGCACCAGAGCGCCGGTATTGCTCGGGTCATCTAGGATTTTCCATGACTTGTCCGTAGGGATTCCTCAACTTTTAATCGGTAAGTGAATCTTATTTGTCGTGCCGAAAGTATTTTTCATATTGAGCTCCGCATGGCTTTCCGCTCTAGGATCATTATTGTTGATAATTGCTAAATCCCTTTCCAGGCCACTGCTAGTAGTACGGTGTCTCCGAGCCGAAAAGCGGACCTCCTGGTCAGTAACCAGCTGAATAGATTATAGATACGTATAATTACTGCTCAATTCAAGCCTGGCTTGTGGGGATGTAGCTGGTGATAATCAATTCACATATGAAAGTATCATGCAGATATCGACGCGTCTTCAACTCGAGCGTTTTTGACATTATTAGCGAGTGGTAATTGAGGACTTGTGCAACAATACAATGGCTTAGGGTTCCAAAAGCACACGTGACTGATTATTTACTGTACAATGTAAGAAAGACACCTTTCAATACAAACGATTCCATACGTAATTAATACATTTGATACGTGGTTCGCCGTTATTCTTTCGGGAGAGAGTGGGTCCAATCAGGCACTCCGGATAGATGATTGGATAGACTGGCCATTTGGCAAACCCCTTAAAGCGCCGTCTAAAGAAACTCCAAGGCATGAGCATCGCATGTTCAGGAAGAGAAGAAACATACATAGTATGAATTCTTCGATACTATTTTGCGGCCAGAATTGCTAGTATGCAACTTAATTGCGTGCATGCGAAGATGGGGCAACCAGCCAACTTTCTGTGCACACGCCACTTTGTTGACTGAGCGGGTACAAACTCCAGAGTAGATTTCACGATAGCCCTAACTCACTCTGTACAAATTCAAAGGCAAATGTCCACGTCAAAAGAAACACGGACGTGAAAAATTTCCGAGACTGCATTGACTTGTTGAGAGGCTTTGCTGATCATTCGACTTGCCCCTAATCCAGAAATGCACACATGGAACTATCGAATCGACTCGGACATTTGCTCATAGTTCAGCCAGCCCAAACAGTTTTTGTAGAGCACTTACCCTGTACTTTTCAAATGGTCTATTTAGCTGGAAGATCGTTCCCCGCCCAGTGCGCGTACGCCACGCCATCATGCAAATGATTGGATATGCTTACAAACTCCAAGACGGCGATGGTGATCCTGTTGTCCATTTCGACGTCAAGGGTTCTCAATCGTCCTCGGTCTTGGGTTTTGATTACATAGCCTTGATTTAATTTTCGAATACATGGTGCGATTTTGCGAGAAGGCCAATGAACTTGTTGTGAGACCATCAAGGCTCCAAGCTAGTAGCAGTCTGAAGCAAGTAAACTGGGTTCTCCGCACAGCCTACGGAGACCTCCCTGAGGTTGTAGGTACCCCCAGCCTCTGAAACATGGCGACATTACATAATGCCCCATCCAGGACATTACCAATTCACAGCAACGGAGTTTGTGTAGAGCGCTAGGCAAAAGCGGCGAAATAAACGGTTATCCGGAGTCCCTACGTATGTACGGAGTTCTCCGCAGGAAACGAGGAGTGCTAGTGTAGTCGCAGATACGGAGTTCATAACGTATTGGTAATACGGACGGACCATTACACAAGCAGCTACTGTGGGCGTCACCATTTACCCTGTTTGGATTACAGAAACCCCACCACACCAGACGCACCGTTGCTGCCAATGGTCGCACTTAGCCCTACATTGTGAAAACTGTAAATTGATCAGGGGAGACTAATCCACTTTAGGTGACGCTAGTACTCGGCGACCATTTGATGATCTTCGGGCTCCACTCGGGGACTTGGTCGGGCTGACTCATTGGCTTACAGTATTTCAAATACTCAGATGACGCTAGACACGAAATAGATCTAGCGCATATCTGAGATTCGGAAACTCTATCTCTACCCCTTAGTTACATCGACTCGCTTCTGTTCTAGCCTCTAGGTCACTACTGGTATGGAACTATCCATTCGGACAGGATCATGTTCACGCTGATTTTCTTAGAGATTTCATTAACTTAGCTTTTTTGACCGTTTGCCCGCATGTCGACTCGTGCTCGCAGAGTATTAGTTGACCAGTAATGGATATTTCTCCCGCCTACATGGACGTTGGGTCGTCACCTTTGGAATGGAACTGGTTAGCATTGCCAACTTAACACTGACAGTTGGATCTGGCTTCGTATTAATCTTCTCACATTTCATTCATTCCTAGCTTCTCACAGCTGGTATGATCCTTGACAGCCGTGATAATGTGATTGTTCTGTGTACAAGAGGTATTTTCGATAGTGCAAGTTTACAGAGCGTGAGACGCCAAACATATCAACATGATGTCATATATTCCCTCATACGCAAGGAGAGTAGATTCCCAATATCGCTAGATTACCATAATCCAGACTAGCCAAGTACGTACAGAGTATGTCGACACGCTCTTGGACCGTGGGGCGGTTGAGTTTTGAGCAACTTCAGTGCTTCACCGAGTGTCCACCAAGTTATTTTCTCGCCTGGTAGAGAAGAGAATGTTTCGTTACAAAGTAGTGTGCATTGCCTTGCCGACGATAATATGAGCATGCATATAACGTTCGTCGATCGGGACAATTCTGTTCCTGCAGATAGAGTGATAAATCCTACTATATCAAAAGAACAACAACCGAATCATGCATATCCCGTAATTGTTACAAACTTCGATACGACATCAAAACATAAAACAACTACGTAGCTGTGCGCATAAAGAGAACGTCGCGCATGAGGAAGAATGCGATGTATCAAGTTCTTTGACTTTTAGACTCATTACTCAAGTCCCTTTCTTGAACAATGGAAAAGAGCCCACCAAGTATGGATGTATGGCAATATACCAGTTTTCTGTCTAGTGTAATAGGAGGCCCACCATAACCGTCCCGGACAACCAGTGGCACACAGACCGATTCAAAAAAATCTCAAAATTAAGTCTTTCTGGATCATATTTAATGCGGGTCATAGAGCGGCCCGCATGTAGATAAACCCATAACTTGCATACCCATGGGTATTGCTCCTACGGATGATCCAATGATATTTCGTTCACGCCAGTCTGATGAGTCCAATAACGATTATAGCGAGCAGAAGCTTCATAGATGATGTGATTGGATATAAAATGAGTCGATTTGTATATTTGGTCCACTCATGTCCCGCCATTATTTATCCAGATGGACAAATGATGATGCCCCAATATCGTAAACTTCTATGTCCTCTGTACGGAACAAGCGCACTGCATCAATTTAATATGCAGTTACTGACTCGCAAGCACAATGACTATTGATAAGTGATGCCTTCACTACCGCCGGAGTGCTGAACAGCGAACGGTTGACAACTGCCAACTTGCACCACTAACGACGCATCTAAATTCTGGTTGAGGGACGGTAGCATTCCAGACCCAGAACGAGCCCTCTAACGTTTATTTGCCTGAACATGAGGTTTGCAATCTAGCAAGTCAGAAACCCTGATTTAGCACACCACCTGCACAAACTAAGTTGGCAAACAGGAAACGATTGTGTTGACCTTTCTGCGACGGGTACGATGAAAGAACTGGATTGGAAAGGCATAGCGATGAACGGTCTGAAAGAAGCAACGATCATTGCCACTCTGCCTCTTTGAGGCAATAACTGATGCCGATGTGAGCTGAATCAGAATATGGAATTCATACCCGGCATTAGTCTCTCTTGTATTCTACCTCAGGCAATGAATTATATACGACTTTGAAGATGCGCATTAGCTTTTGAACTATATTACGTCGACTCAGGTTTCTCTACCAATTTCTTTGTACCAGTGTGACAGCCTCCAAGTCAAGCACCACCCATTGGCAAGGCTCTCCCTATCATTGACTTCTGTAGAAAAAGAATTGAAGAGTCATGCGTGCACAGAAAGATACATACAAATCCCGGATGCCTCAGCTTACAGATTCACATGAGTCTAGAGGCTACCTGCATGGTAATATTGAAGCACCGGTAACGGTGAGCTGATAGCAAGGTTTGTGGAAGCAAGTAGTCAAGTTGCCACTTGATGATGAGTGTATTTGCGTGGGTGATACATCAATGATTAATGAAAGTAGAGCTCCATGTCCCGGGAAACAAGATAATCATAGACAAACTTATCGAGTTTAGCTGAGCATACACAGCTACCTAGACCAGTATTTTGAAGGAATCGTGTATGTGATGCGTGTATTTGAGGAATTAGACAAGACATGCTCATTAGTCTCGTATTAGTAGAGCGTAATGCGTATGAGAATCGAAAATCCTATCGTTTCAGATTGTATCCATGAACGTCTGAATAGAATTGGCTCTTTATCTGTGATTAGGAAGCTACTTGTCAGATATTGTGAGTTCGTCTAAAGGTAACGTTTTGCTATCAGAATCGGCCGGCTCAAATCAAGTATGAGGACGATATGGCTAGCGACTAGCTTCATAAGAAGCATTTTCGCTCTAACTTACTACATTCGCAGTTATGTCGTCTCCCAGATTAACACCGCTGGGATCTCATAATATACCATAATGTGTGAACCATAGGTAGTTGGCTGTAAGAGTCCCTATCCGCATATCCATTCTGCTATCTTCCAAGGTTTTAGGATCTCATAGGTAAATATCCCTATACCCCCGCTCTCGATATATTTGCACAGACTTCTAGCTGGTTGTCCGGTCATGGAGGCTCCATAGAACTTTTCGTAGCAGAGTCTCTCATACATAGAGTAAGGGCAATGTCTGAGCCAGAGAATGCCACCGGGATGATGCTATTGTGTAAGATAATGGTATTGGATTCTAACTGCCATAACCGACAAGTAGATCTGATTTATCCCGAGGTATTGGATATGACAAGACCTCTGGCGTTCCTGCGCGTAATACGGGCTTTGGCAAAGAGTGATTGCATATATTAAGATTAGAGATAATTGAATGCCAATTCCAACGAGATAAATAAACCTTTAATAACATCCGTAGACAAAGTGACAAAGTGGCTACTCTTCGTAGCTACTACCCGGTCCAATTAGGGTTTGTGCGGTCACGTTTTTCAAAAATTTCCTACAGTGACAATAACTACGCAGTGCCGACTTTCAGTCCACTACAGTCGCTTACAGTTCAAAAGGAACGTATACGCTGTGTATAAATTTTAATATACTTTAACATCTCCAGTTAGAAATACTTGTATATATTCCAATGTCGCTTTTAAGTGAGCGAGGTTCGTATAGGCTGGAAATGGACGGATTTCCGGTGGGTATCGCCGTGCGCTTATGACGACAAACTGATGGAACCAGCCAACGCCTCACCAAAAGCTCGCTGGTAAAGTAGAGAAGTTGAAGTAAGCATAGTAAATCATATAATGGCTCAAACTAAATTTCTGGTGCGTTCCAAGCTTCTTTCAGATTTCATATGTTGCGCTTGCTTTCGACTTGAATGATTTGTCCCCTGCATACGTCTACGGGTGGCTACAGGATAGAAAGAGCTGCAGGAATTGCTTCTGTATACGCAGAAGACGCTATAATGAAGATTGCAATTACTGGGGCTCGTGGATCGGTTGGAAGAACGCTGGTGAAGCTCTGCTCCGAAGCAGGACATCATACAGTACAGATCAATCGCACTCATACGGAACACGATGGAACCCCGAACTCCGAGATGAGAACTGCAGACGTCGCCAAAGACTACGAAGGTGCACTTGAGGCCTTCAGAGGTTGCGATGCTTTAATACACTTGGCAGCTATTCCCGATCCCGTCGGAAAGCCCAATTGGCACGTCCACAGCAACAATGTGAATTCGGCATTCAATGGTTTCCACGCCGCGGGTGAATTGGGTATAAAAAGAGTCTGCTATGCATCTTCAGTCAATGCTATTGGTTTAGTTTTCTCGAACAAGCCTTTACACTTTGATTATTTCCCCATCGATGAAGACACGCCACAGCGACCTACGGATGCGTACGCCTTGGCTAAAGCCGAAGCCGAGTACCAAGCCAAATGTTTCGTCGATTGGTTTCCTCAACTAAGTATAGTTTGTCTAAGGATACACGAAGTTGCTCCGTTGAAGGAGGCGAGAAAAAGACATAAGGAGAAATGGCACGATTCTGGGGTTCGTCAGCTTTGGGGATGGGTCAATCCGCGTGCAGTAGCGAGAGCTTGTCTTTTGGCGGTTGAGAGTGATAACATAACAGGATTTGAAATAATCAATATAATATCACCGACTACGACTCAGGAAACCCCATCGGAAGAGCTCGCAAAAAGATATTTTCCCAATGCGCAGATTAGAGGTGATATGTCAAAAAACCAGGGGTTCTGGACTACTGACAAGGCCGCTAGACTTCTGGGATGGATGCATGATGAAACTGAATAGTCTCCGTACACATATCTGAAAGTGTGAGAGAAACGAGTTATAGGTGAAGCAGCATTGAACCAGCGCGGAAGCATACCTATGAGGGAAAACTTGCAAGAAGCAACAAGGAACGGTTTGAGACACCATTTCTATCAATTTCATCGGACTACATGACCGTCATAATACATCTAGACAGTCCTGAAAGTATACTGAATTTAACACTCGTATTTGATTACATAGTTTGTGAAATATGGAACCTAGTCAGATAGAATGCAAAATTTTTAGTTCAATCGATATAAACCCGTAATCCCTGGTTGTATCTTTGAGAAATCACATGATTTAGGTCAAAGATGGGTTTGCATTGGTCAGAAGCTGGACAAAGTACGCTTGGAACCAAGTTCCAGCCTCGGGAGCCGGTTGAAGTGCATCACTATAACCACAGTGGTAATCGTAACGAGTAGCAGAACTATTCGATGTACCATCACTTTCACCACCGGGCTTGACCCAAACAAATGCATCCTCCAGTGGGTCACCGGTATTGGTCGTAGGGGGCACACCGAACCCGGTTCCGATCACATTGCACCAGTCACCCCATGCCTGCTGCTTAGTCGGTTGAACACCATTTCTGGCTAAAATAGAAGATTTGATTAGTAAGATGAAGACTTAAATGAAGTACGTACAAATGGACTTACAAGTATCCATGATGAAATGAGCATTAGGCCAACCATTCTGAGTGAGAAGAGGGGACAAAGCATTAATGTAGAGTTGCTCGTCATAGTTGGAATCGCCAGAAGTGTACGAAGGCGCGCTGCTAAGCGACCAAGCGTTGTAGTTGGCGACATTGGTGGCCAAACCACGCAAGGATGCAGGAGAGCTTGCATTCTTATAAACCTGTGCAAAGAGTTGAGCTGCTGGGGAAAGATTGGCTGGCCACCCAAGCCAACCAGCGTGACCAGCATCGATGTACATAGCCACATTCGCCAAGTTGAGGTTTATTAATGCGTAGTTGACACACTCGTAGTACGCAGCTTGAGCTTCGGAGCATTTAGCTGTAGATAAGTTGGTGACCATATTGGCCAGACTATCAGGTTCTATAGGATAGGAATTTGTCAGTCTTGACTTTTTTTGGAAACCATCTGTTTAGGTACCAGTATTCAAGGACATACCAATAATAAGGATTGTGTGCACATCAGGATACGCTTTCAGTTGTTTCACGATGCTGTCGATATAAGCCTTGTAATTTGCGACGCCGTTGTTTGCTACCGTGTATTCGCCGTTACTTGCAGCAGCTGCACAGTCACGGTCAGGCAGGTCATAGACAACGAAGATGCCGGCAATAGGAGGGCTAGCGCCAGCTTTGTTTGCAGCCTGAATGTTGGCTAGATATGTTCCCATAGTGGGCACCTTAGCCGCAGTATCACTATAAAAGTTTAGCTTCTGCCCATTGGGATAACGAAACTGGAAGTCTCTGGTGAAACTCACAGCCAGACAAACGAGGGAATCTCGGCGGCCTTCGTCGCCGCAGCCGCAAGCGAGCCAGTCAAAGACGGCAGGGCAAGAGTGTGTACTTCTGATGAGTAATACGGATTGGCATAGAGCTGATAACCAGAGAAAGGATTTCCAGAAGCAGCCGCAGTAGTAGAAGGCTTCGTTGTGGGTGTTGTCGCTGGTGATGTCGTCCCGACGCTTGTGGAAGACGTTTTCGTCACTAATGTGGTTGAAGCCGCGGCAGCAGGGGTGCATTGTGCGTAGTCTAAGAGAAAATCAACGTCAGCAAACTATTCCAACATGTACCTACGTAAAAAAGATTAGCTCGTATCTTACAAGAGTTAATGGCACTGCACGTAGCACCGGCAGCACATATCGTCGCGCCAGTCCAACCTTGGCCACCACCTACAACGATGTATGTTAACAAATGTACCATAATCAATATATCAGCTTTTTGAAGAACCACTAACATTGCCCCCAAACTGATTGAGTTTGAGCTTCCACTCCGGTTAAGATCGCCGCAGCGATAACCGGAAGATATTGCAGCATAGTCGCTATGAATGTCGAGAGACCTTTATCTTGTCACTTCGTCACTGAGCGTCCTTGTGATGATTACAAAATTGAACTCAGATTCTGGGGAGATTGAATGAATTTAAATAGTACCTTGGAGCTATCTGTTCGTTCTCGCGGATTGTCGGGACTGGAAATTGCAGTTGGTGATGATCAATTGATAAAACGGCTCTTACTACCACCACAGAAGTAGGCAGTCATAACGTCAAAGGGCAATTTACTAAATTTCTTAGGGCCATGAATATTGTAGGTTATCCTAAGAATATTAAATGTCAAGTATGAAACAAATGATGGTACTATAAACCTTGGAAACCGTAACCTAGTTTTGGTAGGTAAGCTTACTGTCATGCATGTACGTTGACGATTTCTACACATCAAGAATCGCAAAGCTCCAGCTAATCACTATTGGCTACTATATAGCTAATAGCTACCACTGACCTCTGACTTGCTGTCTCCTCATAGCTGTCTCCGCAAAGTCAGCCAGTTCTCCGCTCTGCAATGTACTACTCCTCCGCAACTCCGCGGCGGTTTCCCGGAACATGGTCTAAACATTGTTTCATCGGACGACGAAGCATGTAAGTAGAAGTGAAGATTCTTATACCATTTGATGAATGGGAGAAGATAGATACTGCATAACGAACTCATGAACCATTCTGACGTGACTAGTCTGTACGTATATACGACTATGTGCATCTTGTTACGAGCTTTCAGGTACACCTATGGGGTTCTGATATCATCTGACTAAGAAGGCTATAACCAATCAAATTATACCCAACGGAAGAGGGGTATTTGAGACCAGCCGCTCCAAAGTTTCCGTTGTTTGTATGCTTAGATATGTGCGGTAATATCTGTCCACTACGATCACGTTGAACCTGTTAAGCCTTCTATTCCCGTGTCATCAGGCTAATGTAAAGCAGATTTTCTCGAATCACGGCGCCTAAAGTATACCATAAGCATTTGCTTGCCGGGAAATCTCCCGTGAAGTTATATTGAGCTTGTTCAAATTCGCTGAGCACCACGAAACTGCTTTGGTGTAACTTTATCTCATGGTGAGTGATCTACGTAGTACATCAGTAAAGACAGCCTTAGAAGGAATCCAACTGCGTCTCAATTTCAGTATTCCAATTCCTATGACTTATAAATTGCTTAAATCGCATTAATCCAATACGGAGCGCTATAACAATCCCGGTCTATTCGCATGGTCAACAGACCGAAAAGAAGGCGGATGCTGACAATCTCGAAGAATGTAACCAACTGAACGTTTAATGTATTCGTCTGTAAGTTCCTTCCGATATTGGTCGTCCGAGTGCAATCAAACACGCCGGCCAAGAAATCTTAACCGTTTTTCCAGCACCTAAGAATACACGAGAGCGCATTGGATGTGGGCTCATTACCAGAGCAATCCGAGACTCCCCCTATAAGGGTCATACTAATTTGGCGTCCTCAGAACTACAGCTTAGAACACACCACCGTTGTCCCCAATTTAGCCTCGTCAGGTGCTGCGCAAAAAAATACTGGAGCATACGGTGTGCAGATTTGGCCAGTTGTTCACGCTAGTCAAAAATGCCGGCATTTGCCGATTCTCCCCAGCTCCCGATGTCACTACCGATAATCTCCAATTGCATGCGGATGTAGATATTACAGCAATCCGGGCAGCATCGAAACAATCGCTAGCTCAATAATAATAAGGGGATGAAGAACACATAATGAACGCTTCATCAATAGTGGCCTGGCTAGATTCATCTGCGGATGGACGCTCTTTGGTAACCTTCAATTCAATTATGTGGCAACTCGCAACTTCATTGGCAAGGTTCAAACTAGGCCAACGCATCAAGGCAATTGAGAAGGAGTCATTATTATCTTAGGGATACGATTTTTTATTGAGTTGTTTACCTAGGTACGTAGAGAGATGAACCAACAAGCAGTTTCCCGTGCTGTAAACTCAGTTATGTTAGTTAGATATATGACGCTACTCGTCTGGCTGAATGAGGATCTTTACGTGTGTCGCCTTGTTATTGATCAGTTCCAAAAATCCCCCCTCAATCGCTTTACTCAGGGGCACAATAGAAGTTATCATCTCCTCGGCTGGAATTGACTTGTCACTGAGAAGGGCAATAACCGCGTCGAAATCTTCTCTCGTATAACATATGCCGCCCATTAGGGTCTTTTCTGTCAACGACAAGTCATTAAGGTTAATTTGCAAAGGTTTTTCGTGAATAGCAACATTGAAAATCGTCCCTCCAACTCTCGTTGAAGCTATAGCGGCGTCCAGGGTACTCTGCAGCCCTGTGGCATCGAATGAGACATCAACCCCCTGACCATCTGTCAGTTTGTGCACTAGAGCTGTTACTGGATCTTTTGATGGTGTGCCACCCGTCTGTTCTATCTGAGCAAGGGGGTTGACGACGTGGTCCGCCCCAAATTTGCGTGCCTGCTGCATTCTCAAGTCCGTCACCTCGCTAATGATGACTAGGCTGACCCCCCTAGCTTTCAGCAGCATTAGGAGAGCCAAGCCAATTGGACCAGCGCCGAATATGACGGCTTTTTGACCCTTCTCAATGGCGCTTAGGCGGATACAATGCCATGCAACTGATAACGGCTCGACAAGTGCACCAGCCTTGAGTGACACGGTACCAGGAAGGGAAATGCAGCTCGCAGAGTGAACAACTATCTCACTTGCAAGTCCACCACCTAAGGTGTTAAGGCCGTATATAGCTCCTCTCTGGCATAGATTTCGCTTGTCCTTCCGGCATGCAAAGCAAGGAGGTTCACCATAATGACGATCATCAAGAGCTGGAATCACAGCAACTTTCTGGCCAACAGAGAAGCCTTTGACGTTTTTGCCGACTTCTACCACGGTGCCGGAGAATTCATGTCCTAGGGTGATGGGGAGCTGTGCACCAGTGTAGGGGTGCTTCTCTCCGGCTTTGGGTGGGAAAATTGGGCCACCAAGATACTCATGAACGTCGGAACCGCAAATACCACAGTAACCTATCTTGAGGCGAACTTCATCGGACTTGCACTCCCTACATGAGTTCACGAATTAGTGCATACCCTATGATCGTTCTTTCGTGTTTCTAGTCTCAGCATATAGTGACAACGTACAGTGGTGGCACATATTCTACTTTGAGTTGTTTAGGACCATAATAACGCAAAGACTGGATTAGACCAGCTGTCGAGCCGGTGACAGTCGTTTTCTTTTCAGTGGCTGGGATAGCTGCTGCAGTGGTTGTAGCCGCCATTTCTGAACATTTAGTGGGTATGGTTGAGAAAATTTAGGAAGCGATTATTTCAAAACCGACCATCCAAGAGACTTTATGTCTAAAACTTCCAGTGGATACTTCGGATCTGGTGTATCAAGAAAGGCCATGGAGATATCCACATTTTGGGACTTTATGGTGATACTATGAGCTGTCAAGCATGATATAGGAAGCTTAGCCGGCCCGGTGGAGGAGATTGTGTTGGAAATAAGGTACGCTAGCCAGATTTGGGAGACATCACGGAATCAATGACAGCATTACGAGAATTGTATGGGAATCTTATGACCATGACACCACCTTATTCGGGTTCCACGACGTTGTTGACACCAATATCAGCTTATAAGCCGACATTCGGAGAGTTCGATTTCACGTCACTGAGGATCTTGCAAGATGAAGGTTGCTTGTGATTCTGTGCATGAAAGAGTTCGATCAAGACCCACCAAACTGTATTTTGGAAGACGTGAATTACTCCTTAAAATTTCGACTCCCTAGGTGTGTACATCCATGGATATTCCATGTCTAGCGTGGCGCCCTCCAACGGAAATTGAAACCACGGGTCGCTATATGTCGAGTAGTCGACCGATCTACAGAAGGAAGGTTTTCCGACGGAATATTCTAAATATTCTGACACAGGAGAGAATCAGGACTAGGCCCAAGCCAATGGATAAATCCCATGTCCAAATTCCATGCACAATTTGCGTAGTCAAAAGCGGGGAAACACGATTGAAGAGGGGTCAGCTATTTCAGTTTAGATCGTGTCTTCTGAGGCGTGTCTCCGTAATCGACGTTGGTGCTTTCATGTCAAGATTCGAAAGAAGATCCAGTGTGAGGTGATTTCTACTATGTAGCCGTTACTTGGACCCATTTGAGACTTACTTAGATCTGTAGTTACTGTCGGTTCAGAAGATCAGTTATACAATATTTCGTGAGAAATTATTGCCCTCCAAACTTGCATAGAGTTAAGAAGCTGCGCACTATGCCTATGGCGAAGGTCCATTAATCGGATGAGATGCAAATTGATTCACTAGAAGGTCTAAAAAATAGCGATGGCACATGGAGGGCTTGCTATTCCGCCCTGGACTCGTAAAGGTGCACTTGTCACGAAGAATGACCATCGATTCTGCCTTTCACATTCAACTGCCAAAGCTTCCAGATCCCACATCTCTCCAATTGGAGTTCCCCACCATGTCAATGCCCATTCATGTAAAACCCATTGATTATCCTTCTCTGGTGGCCACGCTTCAAAGGCGACAGTGTCTCCGACAAGTCCCGCGAAATGCTGTGAGTAAAGCCATCTCACAGTCTCTTCACAGGCCTTTACTCCGATAGTCCTTCCAACTTTACGGGTTGCAGTGAGTCGTTCTTCGTCGGACGCTGCGTTGTGCTCTCGGATAAAGCCGGTGCGGACGAGCAAGATGTCCGCCTGTCGTGGCTTCGTCCCTTGATAGGCTAGAGCATCCTGAATATCTTGTACTGGAATCTCGTATCGACTAAAGCCGCTTGGGAGGACCTTCTTTTTGTATTCGTAATACCGTGGCTTTATGTCCGACGACCAGTTAGCAGCTCGCTATTAACAACCCCTGGGGAGCTTGTAGAATCCAATGCGTCTTACAATGTCAACCAGTATACCCCTTCCGACTATGCCACCACGATTGCACCAGTCTGTAGACAGTCAATATCGAACTTCGATGGTAAGCAAGGTGTGTACGAACTGTGAATTCCATTGGCATCTGTCTTCAAGGCATCATCAAACTTCAAACCGTTATAAAAGACAGCATGTTCTTGGGACGCATGCTGAAGGATCATTAGAACTAGTCTTAATCGCCACTTTGGAATACAGTAACACTTACATGTTTCAAGCCATCCCATTGTGAGCCACTTTGAGTATTGATATGCAGCTCGTCGTCAAATCCATAGATATCCAGACCGTCATGCAGCGAGATAACTTTATGCTCAAACTCTTTGCGGCCAAATCCTGGATAAGAGAGTGAATGCAGTGGCCAGTCCAGCTGGATATGTCGTCCCGTGCGGATTTCAGAACTGGCAGCTGCTTGGACCACGGTAGGAGTCAACAGGTTTATTGCTGTGAGGATACTTAGTTTCCAATGCATTGATCCCGGGTCGATTCCGTTTAGTTTTCCTTCCTATAAAACGGAGTGTACATACAGCCAACTTCGTCCTTGACTCCGTCGCGGTCATAGAATCCCCAGAGACATCCCTTGGGAGCCCCGTCGATGCTGGGAAGATCATCAAAAGCCGGAAATTCGAATTTACGTTCGTTGTCGGTCGCCATACTTTTCTTTGAATCTTCAGAAACAAAGCTCCAAATAGAAACTTCCTAGGAAATACGGTCAACTAAGTGAATCTATTTATACTCGGACTGGATATCGAACCCTAACCCTGGATATCCATCCCGGATCTTGCGGACCTCGGAGCGGACCTCGGGAGATCTTCAGGGTCAAAATGATCAGCCAATGAAAACGCTGCGTTCCCCAAAAGGTAAGCCGACCTCGGGAAGCTATTCCCATCCCGGAATAGCACGGTATGATAAGTCAACCCTTGCTCCAGAAACCAGCCAACAATTATTAAGTAGAGAATCTTTTGATGTCTAGATGATTACAGAGCACTCCATCCAGGATTAATTGGCCCATAGCATCCCGCCGAAATCTTTCATTCAATTCGGATGTATGGGAAGATGTATGGGAAGATGTCAGAACTGAGGATGAGGGTACATGTATCGGCAATTTCGGAAACGTGAAACGCATAGTCTTAATGACTTGTCGTTTGGTAATCGCAGATCTACAGTGTATAAACGTCGCCAGATCATTATTTCTAACTATTTTCAGTCTAATGTTCTGGCATTCAACCCCGTTGGCGTCGGTTGCTTCAGCTAGAGCATGGTTGCTAAGATCCGGGTGAATACTAACTCCTTGAGAAGAGTCTTTGTTTCCGAGTCCTTCTCTAAACTATGACATGCTTACTGCTCGGACATAACTTAAAGAGGAAGATGAGGGATTTATCACAAGATAAGAATACCCTTCCTGCGTCGAAGGTGGAAACTTTATGCTCCTTAGAAGAATGAGTGATGGTTTAGGCGATGTTAGGAATAATCACTGGCTGGGAATATGACGTGGTAATATGAATTTCTCTAAGATTGGCCATCACTTTCATAGCTCTCTGATTTATGCTGGTTACGTGGATTTCACGACCACCTACGTAGTGTCGTCCACGGGTGTCTCCACACATGCCACAATTACCCCTTGGGGCCTGTCAAGCATCATCCCTCTGTATATACCTAGGTATACTCATTTCTGAGTTCATGCTACAGCATTTGTACTTAGCATGAAGCAATTTGAAATTGCCCGGAAAACCAATTATCATCTCAGATTGACACAGTCATTTATATGTCTGCACCCAGCGTTGTACAGGACATAAAATGATCTGATATAAGCCTGATTTGTCCACTTGATTAGCTATTATGGCGTCCTGTGTTTCTGCATTTCTGGGGTGCATGCAATCGCAAGTCTGATCGTTGAGCGCCCATGTAAAGGACAGACTTGTGCCTTGTATGGCTTGGTATGGCCGTCTTTCCCAGCAGCGTCCTTCAATTACGACTGATAAGATCCCGCAATGATGGTATTAGAAGGAAGATCAACACGTGTCAGCCTATCCTCGAAGATTTCATCTGCGTTCCTCCCCCGCGCCAGGAAGTTTTCGCCGCGAATTGGGTGTAATAGTCACGAATTTGTCAAACCCCAGCCCCCGGTCAACCAGGTAGTGGACAATGCTCACTACATGCTGAATGTGCACTCGCAAAACGGGATAAATGGGTGCATGGCAAGGAATGACGAAAAGTCCAGTCTACGGATCAATAAATAATGACAGATTTCGCAAGAGAAACCCTGTCACGATAGATAACCTCTTCAGCCCACTCGCGGTAGTTTCCCTGCTACATATCAGACTCCGGAGAAGCAGAAGGGTTCGGGGTAGCAAACGACAAGTGATGTAGGTTAGCTGGTTGCTTTTTCTCGAGGGGTATAGGCCGATTGAAACTCGTCGTGAAGGAAGAATGTTAGAGGAGAGAAAAGTTGGTATAGCATGGGATGGCAAAGAAAATATCATCATCGGCCAACCCTAACGTAACTTACCACGAAAGCTTACCTAAGTGGCAACGGTCCAACGGATAACTACTACCTCTACCAACGTCGGTTGGACCTCCCATCATGCCATACTGTCCCAGATGTTGCCATTGCCAAGCTCATTGCCGATTGGAATAATGTAACTAGATTCCAAATATCCTACTACCCAAGGTAACCCAAAAACGCATTTGGAGCTTTATCCCAGCTAGTCTGGACCCTGTATGTGTGACTTTCATAATCCACCTAGGGTTGAGATGGTGGTGGACCTTAATATCGCAAAGAGCGCTAAGACGTTATTTGACCTTCCTAAGGGGGAAATTCTTGCCTACAGGTTTTCGCCGAAGACCCATTTGCACATAAATCCCGACATTTCCATTTGCTCAGTTATTTTTCTGGAGACATTCGTCATTCAGCAAGTATCTTGCAACATCTCGAACACCGAACAGACAACCTCAGAACAATTGAAAGAGGTGATCGATATAGAGCGTTGATATCCATCTTTGCTCCTCTTTGGTTCTAGATTGGCGCACGCTTGCTTTTATTTACGTGACGATGTTACGAACCACGCATAATTGGAGTCTTAATGCTCCGCCATGATTTCGGGAAAATATGAAAATTTTTCTTATAAGAATGACTGAATCCCGACCTGTGCAAGTACAGATGGCCGGATCGAAGACTGCGGACCAGGAGAAGCGTTGTTCTTAACCTCGTCGACCTCCATAACGTTGTCGCCCAGCCTCAATCAGTAACGAAACATGGCGCATAGTATCGAGAACGGCCCTGATGATATCTCTGTCAAAAGGGTATGGTATCGTTCATCACTATTCAATGCCTGCGTGATAGGAGCCGTTGGCTTTCTGGCACCTGGTCTTTGGAATGCTATGAACTCCCTCGGTGCTGGGGGTGAGGAGAAGCCATTTCTTGTCAATGCTGCAAATTCTCTTGTATTCGGCCTGATGGGAATTTTTTGTCTCTTCGGCGCACCAATTGCAAATCGTATCGGGCTGAAATGGACCTTGCTCCTCGGTGCTATCGGTTATCCCATCTACTCTGCTGGACTATATACAAACAATCGATTCGGAACTGTGTGGTTGGTACTGTTTGGTTCTGCTACCTGTGGTATCTCTGCTGGGCTTTTTTGGGCCAGTGAAGGTGCCATTGCCATTGGATATCCTGAGCCGGCCAAACGGGCTCGGTATCTAAATATCTGGGTTTGGTGGAGGACTTTGGGCCCGCTGGTTGGAGACTCAATTGTCTTAGCTCTTAACATCAATTCTTCCGGTATAGGAAGTATCAGCCATACCACGTACCTGGTGTTCATTGTTCTACAATGTTTGGCTGCACCGGTGGCCTTCTTGCTCACATCGCCGGCGAAAGTACAACGAGGTGACGGATCTCGGGTTATAATCGTTGTGGAAAAATCATGGAAGGATGAGTTCAAGGCTCTGTGGCGCACGTGCAAAAATCCCACAGTCGTCTTACTTCTTCCCATTTTCTGGGCGGTTTATTTCAACCAATATACGGGCAATTTCAAGGCTTACTACTTCGGAGTGCGGGCTCGCGCACTCATGGCCTTTGTTACTGATGTTGTCACAATCATTGGCTCGCAGACTATGTCGCATTGGCTTGATTCTAAGATTACCAATGCTAAGAAGCGTGTTGTTTACGGGTGGTATTGGGTGGTTTTCGTCCATGTTGTCACATGGATTTATGCTTGGGTCATCCAAGGAGAATTTATATCCCACCCTCCAAAACTTGATTATAAATCCCCGGGATTCGTAAAGGGCGCCTTTGCAGTGTGGCTGTGGGCGTTTGCACAACAGACGGCGCAAAACTGGCTATATTATATTGTCGGCTCCATGACTGACAACATCGCGGAGCTTACGCGGTTGACTGGTATCCTAAGAGGTCAGGAGAGTTTTGGTCAAGCTGTTTCCTATGGCCTCAATTCAAAAAAATGGTACGGTGGTCGTGTACCCATGGCCGTGAATACGATACTTCTAGGTCAGTCTTCTACGTATCTACTGACTGGTGTATATTGATACTAAGCTCTTTCTAGGTCTCTGTGTGGTACCTACATGGATCGTTGTCCATAGACATGATCCAGAAGACTTCACAAAAAAGTATACCCAACGTCAGGATTCAGAGGGTGATACAGCCAGTGGCGAGGAGGTTATCGTCAGCTCGGAGCTCAAGGCCCATTCGGCTGAACTTCGCAAAAGCGCCTAACCTTGGAAGCGTAGGGACATAATGTATACTCACAGCCTGATGTTTAATAGATGTCTTGTGATATTAGAGGACATGTAATATCCTGCGAAAAAAAAAGGAATAAATTTCAAAGCTCACAGTTGGTATTTCCACGAGAGAGTAGGTATGTAGCGAGACCGGAATTCGACTGATGTCTCTTTCAACGCTCATACTGGCAGAAAAGGAATTAATCTAGACCCGGACAACGAGCCATATCCATTGACCCGAGAATTGCCTATAGGGGGCACGGTGCTACAAACCCTGGCGGACACACCGCAGTGAGCGGTTACATACAAGGAATATCCTAGCCTCTGCGATAACACAAATCGAAAGCTCAATACATAGGAAATTATTCTACGTTGATACCTAGATAAAGTTTCTTCGTTCAGCTTTGCAGAAATACGAAATTGCCTGGGGGCGATCCCCTCGTATTCATCGTTAGACAAATATTGCCCATTACTAACATTACCCACAAATCTGCAGCGCATTGACTCATCCCCTGTCTGTAGTATTCATCCTACGATAATTGCTTCACGATGCTTTCAGTCCATAATCGAGGCAATCAAATTGTGATACGCCGTAAAGGCAGCCTCGGAAATGATTCCGCCATTGTTCATTCTTGAAGCTTTGGGCAAAGGGTGATGTGAAGTGCGGGGAAATCATAGACCTCGACGTGGACAGGCGCAGTTATTATGCTATTTAATTGACTAAGCAGTTGGCATGATTGGAGGAGAACTCGATGGAAATACATTTGCTATCGGACAGCTTGTCAAGGGGTTTCAGCTTAGATTCTATTTGATCTCACCATGTTACCCTTTGAGTAGACACGGCCTAATTTCTTTTACTATGACCATGACAGTCGCAATGTCTGATAACTCAACTATCCCAGAAGAGGTTGATGTGGTTATTGCAGGAGGTACGTAATAGCCTTGTATTCATGTACACCACCACATATGACTAATTCGGTATCAATCAAAAGGAGGTACAACGGGTCTGGTAGTCGCCACACGCTTAGCAAAAGCAGATTCAAACATGTCCATTCTTGTCCTCGAACATGGTCCGAATACAAGAAATGATCCCCTGGTCGTCAATCCGGCATTCTACTTGATGAATATTGCCCCTAATTCTCCCCGAGCTTCGTTTTATAGATCAAAAGCATCGAAAGACCTCGCTGGGAGAGAGTCTATTGTTCCGATAGGAAAATGTCTAGGCGGCGGAAGCTCGATAAACTTCATGGTTTACTCCAGACCACAGGCGATTGATTTCGATGCATGGAATGTGCCGGGTTGGTCTGGAGAAGACATGATACCTATGTTCAGAAAGGTGAACATATGGCCTCTCGACGGATGAACTGTGAAGGATACTTACCATGTTAATAGTACGAGAACTTCCAAGACACAGATCCAGCTATTGATTCCAGTGTTCATGGCTACGATGGCGAATTCGGCGTATCTGCAGGAACCAACGCTCAGCCGACTTTCCAACATGATTTCTTTGAAGCTTGCTCTAATGTTGGAATATCCACAACAGCGGATGTGCAAAACTTTCATACCGCGAATGCCGTTGGTGTAAGCCCGTCTGTGATAAATACGTATCATATCTGAGTGTGCTGAATTCCTTTTGCAGAAATGGAATATGTGGATAGATCCCAAGACAGGTCTAAGACAAGACGTTCCTCACTGCCTTTTATTTCCTCTACTTGACCAGATCAACACCGGACTCCAGGTAGCTACAGATGTCATCGTCAACAGGATACTGTTCGATGATAACAAGGCTACAGGCGTAGAATATACGAGAAACGGAAATGATGTCGCGATTGTAAAAGCACGCAGACTCGTTGTCCTTGCTAGCGGTGCTTTGGGCTCTCCTCAGGTCCTGGAAAGGTCCGGTGTAGGAGATAAGGATCTCTTATCTAAGCTGGGGATTCTGGTCATATCTGATCTACCTGGGGTAGGAACAAACTATCAAGACCACAATGTCGTCTTCTACCCATACAAATCCTCCGCTGGAATTGAAGAGACAATCGACGGAGTAGTCAGTGGCCGACTAACTCTACAAGAAGCCCTAAAACAAAAGCAGGCAAACCCATCTCGCAATGTCATAGGTTGGAACGGACTCGATTGTGTAGGAAAACTACGTCCCGCAGAAGTTGCATCTCTCCATCCTATATTGCAAAAAGCATGGGAGGAAGATTTCAAACTTCAACCAGAGAGGCCGTTGATGTTAATTGCGACAATTGCTGGTTATGTTGGCGACCATTCTGGTATTGATATTGGCCAATACTTCTCGTGTGGTCCATACACACCGTACCCATATTCTCGAGGGTTGATTCACATAACGGGCCGCGCCGTAACAGACGAGCCACACTTCGACTGTGGATTCCTCTCGAATGCCCTGGACTTGGAAAAGTTGGTATGGGGCTACAAACTGCAGAGGGAAATTGTTCGTAGGATGTCGCATTACCGTGGGCCACTTGCAGTTGGTCATCCAACTTTCCCGGAGGGATCCAACGCAAGCTATGAAGCTGTGGATAGGGTATCTAAAGAGCAAGGGAGATTCATCCCAATCGACTACTCGGCTGAAGATGACGAAGCTATCAGAACCTTCATCCGAGAGAGAGTTCACACTACGTGGCATAGTCTAGGTACATGCGCAATGAAGCCCCGAGAGAAAGGGGGAGTCGTGGATCACAAACTGAACGTTTATGGTGTCGAGAGCCTAAAGATTGTTGGTAAGTCACACCCCTGATCTGGCTAAAGGACCTTCAGGTTTGACATGGCATCTTCTAGATTTGTCGATCTGTCCGCTGAACGTGTCTGCAAACACTTACGCCACGGCTCTCGCTGTTGGCGAAAAGGCGGCTTATATCATTGCCGAAGACCTCAATATTCCGTACTAAGCGATATCGGGCCATGCTGTTCTAGCTATATAATTTGCTGAGATGGTCTGAAATCCTTTTCATCAGCCTTTGCACCCTACAGTAACAAGCCCCTATAAAGCTGTTAGTTCAGAATAGTTAGCTGTCCACTTCTTATATGATAGTTTCCGTTACGCTTGGACACTTTACAATGCCAACAAGCTGTAGTGGTACATCGACAATAGTTATCGTCTAGATAAACTTCCAACATATCTGTTATCAGCTAATAACTAGTTAGGTGCCTAGGGCCACAAGCAACCTTGGAACAAATAGTAGCCTCGAAATGTACAAGAGTGGAGATATAAATAATGAAATGGATAAGTATTTCATTCCAATCAAACCAAACCAACTGATCAGACTCCTTTAGATACTGTAGAGTTCAGGATAATCCGGCAACTTCCAACCACCCTTCTCATCACTCGAAATTCTGGCCAACAAATCCGGAATACGCAAGATACAAAGCCACCTAAGAACAAAATGAATTAACCGAATCGCCCATTGTGTCTCCGGCGCAAAAAGCCGTACACCAGTCGGACTCATTTTCTGAAGCTCATTAACAAACGGTCTCAACTTCTCTTCATAGTTGGCAAAGGCCTGAGCAAGATCATCGCGATGACGGTTGATCTCACCGGCGAGAACGTAGGCGCCAACAAAACCCCCAGTTGTCCCCATGCCGCTAAATGGAGATGCACAATGAGCAGCATCACCAAGTAGTACGACTCGTCCCTTGTACCACGAATTGATACGGACTTGCACCACTTCTTGACAATAGAAGTTGTCCGTAGTTTTTATATCCCCTAGAAAACGTGGAGCTTGCCAACCAGCGTCGGCGAACCGTTGAGACCAAAACTCTTTTTGTTGTTCAAGTGGTGCTTTGGAGAGACTTTGTAACTCTTCGGATCCGTCGCGAAGAAATAGGTATACTTGGCTTTGTTCTTGATTGTGACTCCGTCGCATGATTACTCGGCCGCCTGCGCAGTGGTACATATGGCTAGTGTCGGTATCGTCTTGGGTACGCGGGACAAAGTAATATGCTATATGTACACCAAGTCGCTTATAGGGATTTGTGTTCGGGGGTGTCAGTATAGCTTGTCGAATCCTGGATCCTTGACCATCTGCGCCAACCAGTAGATCAAAATAATCCGAAGAACCATCTGAAAAGTAAACCATAACCTGCTGCTCATCTTGCTCATGGTATTCCACCTTTTTGCCAAAGACATACTTGACGTTATCCTTTGTAGCATCGTACAACACGCGCACCAGATCTCCTCTCATAATCTCAAACTCCGATGTCAATGACTGCGCACCTTTACCGGACTTATTGGCCATAATCGTAGCTTTCACCCGGCCCTGAGAATCGACGAAGGAGAACCCAACTTCGTCAACAAGTTTGGTGCGGATGACATCCAGCAGACCCATACGCTTGACAATTTCTATCCCCTGGGCACGGAGATCGATCTGAGCACCGGACGCCCGGAGTGAAGGGAAACGCTCGACCACAACGACTTGGTGACCGCATTTGGAGAGCCAGTAGGCTAGAGCAGGACCAGCACAGCCACCACCGCAGATGAGGACCTTTAACGATGTCATTTCGCAGAGATACCGGGAGACGAAAACGGAGCTGCTTACTTATGAGATGCTGATTTCTACATCGATGACATCTATGGGCGACTGCCATTCATTTATACTCAGGAGCCGCCTAGGTTGCCCCATGTAAAACAGTGAAACCATATCAATCACTCTACTACGGCCAGTTTCAATGAAGATCCAGGCATCCGTGTAACGAAAGCCAAAGCAAGCCATGTAGGGAGCGTTAAATTTTTGCTATGCGTATTAGTGTGCAAAATGTAATATTTTTAAGCCACCAAATCGACGATCTCGATCCGTTATCTGTATGGTGTTCATGATTGGCCAACACTCCTTGTTAGCGGGGATTTGGATCACGGTGGCTGCTCACTAGTTTGCGAAAATGAATGTTGAAAAGAATCCCTTTAGTATGTAGCACTTGCTGATGGCTGACGGGGATACATCACTTCATATCCAGTTCAGGATATTGTACGCACCGTATCGAAAGCTTATAACGATTCGTCATCTAATACATCGCCAAGGTTGGCTACGTAGCAGCGAGTTATGCTAGACCGTCACATACGTAGCTACACCCATCTAAGGAGACCGGGCTACAGAAAGAAAAAACACATTCCAATACAAAACAGTATTGTCACAAACATTTACCGTACTCCAAACCCTATATTGAACAATTACCAAACGCCAAAAGCGGTGACGCCGTCCATAACCCTGAATAATACACAGAATATATACATATTTTGTAACCAATCAAATTGAGACAACATGCTATAAGCTTCTGGACAGACAATAAACCTAGTTGGCGCCGCCAATGACAAGCCAGACCATCATACCAATCCATGCAGTTGCGAACACCAAAGTCAAAATAGCTGCGCCAGCGCGGTCACCACCAGTGATTTTCATTGCCTTTGGTGGTTGATATCCCGTACTGCTTTGACCACCGGATGGATTGCTGGTACTGTTGCCTCCGGTATCAGCAGTGACTGGGGCGGGAGCCTCTGGGGCCGTATATGAAGAACCACTGTTGGCGGTAGGGGCGGAGAAACCAACAAGGGCATTAGAGAATATACTCATGGCAGACATTTCCTGCTCGATTGCGCTGGTGCCGTCATATTTCTGGCTGAACCATTGCATTCCACAGGCCGAGTTAGGGCCACTACACTGTGCACCAGCTCCGACTGCGGATCCTTGGAGCTTGGGTAGAATGGTCGAATATGTATACGGCACAATGAGTGCGATAGTCGATAACCAGTTGGCCATGAGACCCTTGAAACAAACCTGGTCACGGTTGCAAGTCAAGATAGGGTCGCAGGCAACCTCGGATAGAATATTGCCACCGTACTCGGTAGGAAAGAATGTATTCCAGGTTGTGTTTAGAAGACCGTCCACGCCTTCTTTCCATTTTGTGCCCCCGTTTGTCTAACCCAAAAAAAAAGTCAGTCTTTCTCCACCTTTCGTTTCAAGGGAGAGGAACGTTCATACATAGTTGTACATGTAAGCGGCGCCAGTGACATAAGATCCGTAGTTATACGACCATTGCATAACATCCTGGTCCTTACAATTTTCCGAAATGCGAGTCATATCGTATATTTTCCAGGTTGAATTGTCAAAGAGCGGTACAGTGCTGCTCCAATCCCAGACTGTCTCGGCCCAAGTAGCGTATGTGTCGTTGTTCGTGTATCGCGCCAAGCGAGCGGCGATTTGAAAGAATGCACCGTTTGAAATGGCGTTTTTGCTGTCGTATCCGGCTAAAGTGGGATATAACTGCCAACGCAATCCACCACCACATGATGCTTTGTCCACTTCCCAGCGAGCGACAAAGTCGTTGAATGCACCCTGTGCCAAGGATAACCAGGAGGCGTGTCCTGGGTTATCGGGAAATTTCTGTTCGATGGCGGTGAGGGCCGCCAGGGCCCAGAACTCTTGGTCGTCGTTACCCTAAACAAGTGAAAATAGGTCAGCTGATAGTCCCTGGTGGTGAATCCGCGAATCCCATACCAAGTAGCTGCTGTAATTCGATGGGAAAAAGTCGTTGTCTTCTCCTCCTTGCCAAGACAGGCCTTCTGCGACCAGATTATTATATTGATCATCACCTGTCCAGTGCCAGTAATTGATGAGAAATGTGAAAAAGGCACCACCTTCCCACCATGTCCCATCAAACTTTCCAGGGATGAGTTTGCTTTCACGGTTATTATAATAATTGACGGCACTTGCGGCTGCAGTCGAGGCAGCTGATTTCAGAGAGTTGGGATCATTGGCGTTAACAGTAAGAGCGGTAGCAAAAGGCATGGTCAAGAGCAGCTGCCCTAGCAGAATCGAAAAGGTAATAAACGAGCGCATATCGACGGAACGAAAGACGGAACGAAAGAGAACGGCCAGAAATAAATCGTAAGAAAACCACTCGTCAGGAGTGTCGAATGGACAGATGGAGGGGGAAAAAAAATATGTCGTACGTAGTAACGAGTGAATAAAGCGATATCAAATGATTCAAATCATTGGATCAACAGGAGCGAGTTCCCGTGGAAGACGGCGAGGGGATGAAGTTGGTGATCGTTATGACAGGATCTGGCGGATAGACTGGAGCATCTGTGGCCAAGCGACCGGATGGAGCGAGGAGCTAATTTCTCTTAGAATAGTTGCTGGATCGAGACACCAAGACAGTGGCAGTGCAAGCGAGTCGAAAGCACCGTTTCTGGGCAGGTCTTGGAAATAGTTGGCGGTTTGACAAGTTGTTGCGGAGAGAAAGTGGTTTTGGGGAAAGGATAAGGATACTTAGTCACGGGCGTCAAGTCAGCTGGCTAGGCCGTTCCTTCCTGATTTACGTAGTGTCCTAATTTACTGAAAAAAAGGAAAGAGCGATCGACCCTGCTGTGTCATCCGGCCGAATGCGGTTTAGCGGGGATCGTTTCCAGTCTTACTCGACGTTATATGGTTCTTCCTTCTCGACTTCTCCGTATTCTTTGACCGCAGAGTATCCCCCCGTACACGCCGTACGCAATCAATGATGTTTCTGGCAGACTGTCTGAGTGGTAAGTGCACCGTCTCAGCACAGCAGGAAGATCAGAGAATCCCAGCCAATCAGCGAATCAGATGCGTTTCATGTTATGTTAAGGGCCCAGCGGCTCATTCGCGGCTCATTCGCGGCTCCATACATTATTAATTGATTCACCAGATCTGCAAGGAAGGCGGTTCCCCTGGATATATGACACCGTTACAACAGGCCATGATCTTATTCTGATGCTAGTCAACGAACGCATTATATGAGATTATAATATACAGATGATATGTTTCGGCATACGATCCAGTACATAGGAGAGGCAGAAGCTCCAAAACACCGAAAAGAGAAATGTCTCTGGGCCAGTCTTGGCGCGCCTTCTCATTGGCGGACAGCAAGCCCTTTGGAGGCTGTGCATGTCAGCGCATGACATCATTGGCCTGCCGGAAGCAACCGGCCAATTGCAAGCGGAAGTTCGGACTTGGGACTTCTTTCAATGCGACACATTTCTGCCTGAGGTGTCTAATGTTTCAAGTCATCCCCTGAAGAACAGAATGGCGAAAACACATACAATGGAAGGAATATCTGGCTATCTATAGAACTCACACAGACTCGCTACTCACACTATCCTGGGGACTGCTCGTATACCTCTCCTCGAGCACATGCTTCGATACATGCTTTCGATCAAAAACCGACTTTCGAATGAGCAGCGAAACAAGCGCGCCCAGCACTGTCAAAGCAAGGCCAAGCTCAAAAACATTCCTGAAACTAGATTCATAAGCCGCCAGAATGTCACTTCGCAATGATTGATTTGTCATCGTCTCCAAAATACCGACGTACTGATCTGCGTTGTTGGCAATGGTGATGTCGAGGCCAGCGGACGCCAGGTACTGCTTCAACCTGTTTTGAAACATCGTCCCACCAATAGCGACTCCAAAGGCCATTCCAAATGTACGAGAAAAGTTGTACATTGTTGCTGCGTACGACTCGTCGGTATCCTTGGCCATGGCCTGGGGCACAAAAGTCAGTGCTTGTAAGAGCAAACCATGTCCGAGACCAACTGTCATCAGGATGAGAACCCAGCGCCATGTAGCAATTGAACGATCCATGAGAATTAATAGACCCGATGCGAAGATTTCAAATGCCCAACCAGACCATAGAGCCCATCGAATGCGGCCTGTACGGGTGATGAACAACGATACAACGACCCCCGTGGGAACGAGGACGCTGGACATGGCGATCATAACAACGCCCGTATGAACTGGTGAAAGGGCCTTGACCGACGAGAAAAATAACGCGAGATAGTAAACTTGGATGAAAAGCTGGACCAGATCCGTTCTGGAGTTAGCAAAACTGTTTGATCAGAGCTTGTGGTAGTTTTGAATCTTACCACGAGCCCCTGTGTCATTGCACAGTAGTAGCCAGCAAGTGCAGATCTATTAGAGAAGATGGCCAATCTAATGAAGGGTTCACGAGTACCCCATTTTTCCCAGATAATGGACAAGACCGTCCCCGCGATTCCAACGAGCAGGGGAACCAGCGTCGCTGCACTATCCCATGTGTGGTTCACACCACCCCAGGTAACAGCCATCAAGAATGCTGTCATACTGCCAATAAACAATAATCCACCAAGCCAGTCAATGCGTCCTAGTTTTGCTGTTATCGATGACTTTTGTGTTTTCAAACGAATAACAAAGGGAACCAAAACAATGCCCACTCCGCAAAATGGAAGGTTCAAGTAGAAAATCCATCTCCAGGTTACGTGCTGCACCAGAAGACCACCGATCATCGGACCGGTTATTGACCCTATAGCCCATGCAATCTGTGAGACTGATGCGTATTTAGGACGGAATCGAAGAGGGACAATGTCACAAAGGACAATTTGAGTCATGGGCAATATCCCGGCGCCACCTATACCCTGCAGGACACGACCGAGTAGCAGGATGTCCATACTCTGGGATACTCCTGCTACAATACTGCCAACGGTAAAGAAGAAAAGCGCGGCGGATAAAATTTCTCGTCGTCCCAGTATATCCGATAACGATCCCATGAATGGCATCAGGACGCTGCTCGCAAGGAGATATGACGTCCCGACCCAGAACGATGCGCTTCCGCTTCCGTTCAGGTTCGCCGATATTGTCTACTTAAAGTCAGCAATAAACCGATATCTAGCCAATACTGCAATCCTCACTGGAAGAGCCGTGACTAGAATGGTTGCATCAAGTGCCACAATCAGGCTGACAAATCCTAACGTCAAGACGATCAGCCACGCCCTATGGCCGGCTTTCCAGTTCGCTTCATCTTTGGCCTCTACGGCCTTTTCCGCATTTATGATCTTTGTTTCGTACATAGCCCTGATAAAAAGGGGCAGAAACGGTTAAATATCTGAAGACACAGTCTCGTCCTTGAACTGGTAAGGGCTCCTTGAGGTCAAAATAATGAGATATTCCGAATATGCACCTGGGAAGTCCTGATGCTGTGAACCGATCCTCCCTATGGGAAGGGAAAACGAGCATATATCATGAGAGCCGCAGTCTAGGCCTAAACGCTCATCATGTCTCGGAATTCAAACACCGCATTCTTTTTTGCTGAGTGTGCGCACCAGCGAAACAAGGCATCATTAACCGAACAGGCCAGTGTGTGCACGTTGCACTCTACATCACCCTTTTCTGTCGACCATGCGAGCTGTAATGTGGATACCGAGCGCAGTTGATTTATTAGGATGATGTAGAAGAACATCATGGCTGTTCGAAGCATCCAAGATGTACCAATTCGAATTCCATCAGAGACTATTGAGAAAAATGGCAAACAAGCTTTAGGGCGTTTTGTACCGAACTTTCTCCTATTTCTTCCAATTTTCGATTTCGAGCGGGTCATACTTTCACATTTAGACCAAGTCCAGACCCTGACTAGTAAGCTTAGACGTTTGAGACTGGTACACTCCTAGGCGAAAACTTGTAGTGCAGGAAAGGGTTTAGAGATGTCGATCTTGCAGGATGAATGTGATAACGCAGCACGCACACGTCGATCCCAGTTCATGCCTTCTGTACGACTGTGAATTGAATCCACTATACTCTATATTTGCGGCTTTTATTATGTCATTTCTCCTTTCTGTTCCTATGTCTCCGAGGAAAGCATCAGGAAGCCTAGCACTACCTTAAGTAGTGAGCCTTGACGATTCTCGAAGGACTCGGGTCCTCCTTGATGTACTGGTAGTGGGATAGAGTCACGGAATATGAATAGACATTACCGAAACACTCTATGCCTATTACAATTTCTCTATATTGACATACTGAATGGAGTAGGTTGTGCCTTGTACGATTTAGGCATTCTTTCTCATTTGTACCAACATACGCATAACGAATCAAAATTACAACCGCGTTCTAATTGCCTTATTAGAGCCCTTTCGAGATAAATGTTAGCCACATTGCTTAATTTTACCACCACCTAGGTAGCTCATCTAGATCTCGCCAAATATTCCCGCAAATCTAAGTAAATCAGCCCTACAGTGGCTCCCGCACGAGTCAGTTCGAACTCTGGCAAACCGAGCCGAACAATTAGCATTCGATTCGATTTCCCATTTTATTTGAATTCATTCTCCACAGTTCATATGGATGAATCTGGCTGTTTAAATCCCGTAACTTTCTCGCCATAAAATACTTAATCCACCTTGGACATCCTTCGGTTACGGCAACCCCGTCTTCCTTACCTACTATTTGATTGTTCCTAAGACTATCCCGTTTAATTTGTTTAGCCTTTGCTAATACTTAAACTGCATCACGTGGTGACGTGGGTATGAGCGCGTACATCGTGAAAGTCTCCTACCTAGGTATAGAATTCCAGATATCTCTACGGCATAATAGAAGTCGGCGCAACTAAAATATGTACCTTCACTCAAGTTGTTGCACTTGTATCCTTCTTATCAAACCAAGGCGAGAATTGACCATCTGCCTAGTATCCTTAATATGGTGCTAATAGGAAGATTGCGTACCATATTAGGATTAGCGACATCGATATGTTCACATAGTGTGTTCCCTCTTGTCTTCATCTCTACATGCGATACAAATATATTTTTTCTCGCTACGATTCATCATGATTCCTGATTGTACGGCGCTGCGGCAAGATCAAAGGATAGCATTCGGACTAATTAGATATTGATTTGGTACATTAAGACCACCTTACGGTTTACCTAGGTATAATCAGAGGCCAGCCCGTAGTTGAGCAAGGCCAATTCTGTCCAAGAAAAGCAATCAAACATCTACTTTCTTTAGCATTATATATGAGTTGGCAGCTCTATAAATCTTTCAGCCATTTAAGAAGTACCGTCAATATTCCTTTGAAGTGTGTTTCCTGTGTAGATGCTGTGCCATCATCTTCGCTTCAATATGCATTCGTAGTCCACCGAATACTTGTCTCTCCCAAACAGTCATACTTTAAAAAGATGGGAGAGTCTTGCAAGCCTGATGTGAACTCGGACAATCAATGAGGGCCAGTACCCACAATCGAAGCCTACTACAGTACCTAATGCATGTGGGGCGTGTAAGCGACGGAGATACACTCCCACAAACTCACAAAGACTGACTCTAAGAAATCCAACAACAAAGCTCCATCAGTAGTATTCTACAAATCGAGAAAAGGGAAATATGATAAACATGGCACCTGAGGTGCGCGTTGGCGTCGGCGTTTTTGTCCTCCATACTTCTCAAGAACAATCCACGAACCCCCGCTTTTTAATGGGCAGGCGCCTCAACTCTCATGGAGCAGGAACATATGCTCTTCCGGGTGGCCATCTTGAATTCGGAGAGACACCAGAGGATTGTGCTATCAGAGAAGTACTAGAAGAGACTGGCCTACGAGTAACACGAGTGAAATTTCTGACGGCTACAAACGATTACATGCCCGCGGAGGGAAAACATTATATAACTCTATTTATGGTGTGCGTGAGAGAAAACGAGGAAGACCTCCCTCAGGTGCTTGAGCCACACAAATGCGAGAGCTGGGATTGGTTCAACTGGGAGGACCTGGAGTTTGCCGTGGGCAAGCAGAATGACCTAAAAGATGGGGACGTTTTGGAAAAACCCTTGTTCTTACCATTAGTGAATCTGTTACGACAACGACCAGGGGCCCTTCCCATAATTGCATAATACGTGATTAGCTGTTTCGGACACTGATGCTAAATTCTGTAACCTTCTGTCAAAAGGGAACGGAAATAGCACTCAGCATTGATGCTTTTGGACTCTTTGGTAAGGCCTAGTGGAGCATGGCAGGTGAATACGTAGATTGCGGCTTGCTTCAGCGTCGGTCAGCAATAGGGTCTGTGAATTATACACGGGAATACGGCGACTGATGAACGATTTTTACGGAATACTTGGAAAACTGGTCGATGCGCCCATGTTGAATCAGCTAAGGGTGGTCAGCGAACATCAAGAAAAATGAAAACCTTCACCAGGGAGCCGGATATGGGCTGCAGGTTAGATTCTGTATTTAGCGTCTGATACCCAGGTATGAATTCGGGACTGACGAAAACGCTGGTGAACGCTTTCATGTACCATGTTATTACTTCAGCCTTCCAAAATCATATTGGTAATGGAAGAGATAGACCTTTTGCTCTGGCACTCTTGACTTGGCCAACGAATATCAACTGTCGCCGGGGCTACCGTAGTCTGTCTTATATCCGTCCTGCCTGTACACGTGGTTGAACTACAGTTCCTTGCAGCTCGCATGAGCAAGCAGTCGAGTCAGCCCTAAAGCTGAAGAGCAAGTTCAAAACTTGATAAATTGTCACAGTTCCATTTGCAAATAGAGTTATTAGAGCTGTTAGCCCTCCTCGTGTGCTCGGAGATAGGACGATTACACCTCTACCGGTATGATTGTACAATTTAAAAAGAGTGTAGTGGTTTCTAATTACATCAAACCCGTATCTGGATATGGAAAGGACTTATTCAGACCCCAAATCTCAATTTAGCCATATCTAACGACTTAGGCGGGCAGGACAACGTTACCTCGTCTTACTCGAAAGAGGAATCGTCATACCTGTTCCCCAAAAAGCCAATCATGAGACAATCGATTTGGGGCGGTCTGAGTCTCACGAATTGTAAATTCTTTGGTCATCTGCACGCAATTCTCAGCTTAAAAGGGCCAAAAGTCTGCCTTGTCATGTTAGCCAAGCCTCGCAATTGAGTAAGGAAAGTCACGAGTTTTGCAAATGCTATGTATGCTTCCTATTTTGATTCCTAGGTGTCGGAACGTGAATATCAAACCTAGCGCGTTTCGGCACTGGATATCAGTTAGTCTAACGCGGCACGTGCGTGCCGCGTATATATGTAGTTAGCCACTCCCCGTCCCCCTTACTCTTGGGCGAATAACCTCATTACTGACCGTCACACGACTTCGGTCACAAGCACCCCACAGATAGACGAATTCCCTACAATTGTTTATATCAAACAGTCAGAGGCCCAAACTCCTCACCCCTCTCTACCACCTAGCCACCAGAAGTGCGGCCTTTGACGCGTCTCAACGCGTCCGGCAACACTATGGCGCGTAAAGGCCCTGGTACAGATGGCCCTCTACAGACAGCCCTACTGGAATCCACGTCCGCAGCCACGACAAGAGCTTCTGAAGGACAGAAGATCTTCAGCCCTATAGCTGCATTCCTCGATAAACACCGCAGCCAAACCACCGGCCTGGCCCCTCACCTACTGAGAGCCCTCACCGCTCTAAGCGATGACCTCGCCTCAGTAGCCCAACGACATTTTAGCGCCTATATCAGCGGTATCTCGACGACCTCCATTCTACCTGCCCTGTCCCCTTCCCCTTCCCCTTCCCCTTCCCCTTCCCCTTCCCCTTCCCCTACTCCAAATTCCTTACCCCCTTCACCCCCTCCCTCACGTCCCCTCTCAGGTCTTGAACAGTCGACTTATGCGACTATTACCCAATATGCCCCGGTCAAATCAACTCCTACTACTCACTCCAAAGCCCATGTTAAAAAGCCTATGCCTCTGGTGAAACAACCCCTTCCTGACAACCGGCTCTTCGTACGCCTCCCAGCTGACCATGCAGCTAGAAAAATGGAAGCCTACGCTATCTACTCTAGCCTACGGTCTCAACTAAACTCAAACAGTTCAGCACTAAAAGAAGTTCAAGCCACAAAGACTGGTTTTGCACTATGTCCCTCATCCCCAGAAGCCCTCCTAACCCTTGAGGCCCAAAAAGAGATTATCTCTGCATTCTTTGTGAACTGCCAGATAGAACGCAGCTCCCGATGGGTCTCGTACCGAGTCACCAATGTGCCAAGGAAAGTTGGCCAAATCTTGGACGGTCAATACTCTCTAATCCCTGTCAATCCTACACTACTATCCTCAGAAATCAGTGAAACTACAAGACTCAAGCCTATATCTATCAGCGAGACCACTACAAGTGCCGCCAACCCTGATACTCTTTCCTCAAGCTGGTTTGTCAACTTCCCAGAAGGCACGAAATTACCACTGCCTATCCAGCTACGCCTTTTTGGCACTATTACCAATGCTCGTCACCTCTCTAAGAGAACAACAGTTATCCAATGCACACGATGCTGGAAATGGCATAATGCACGATCCTGTGCCCGCCCCTCTCGATGCCGGCTCTGCGGCTCCTCAGAGCATACTGAACAGGGACATGTTAACCGCTGCACAGCCCTGGAGCCTCATCAGTGCCCTCCCAGATGCATACACTGCCATGGACCACATCCTGCTGATTTCCCAGAATGCCTCCTGCGCCCTAAAGGCAACTCTAAACATACTAAAGCTCAACAAGCAGAGATCCGGAAATCCTGTGCTATTAACCTCGCAAAAGCTCGAACTGAAGGAGGATGTAGCACTCAGCTCTCCATTGGCACACAAGAAACACCTATGGCACTAGACGAGATGCCAACTCAGCCTCCAACCCATGAGATTATCTCTCCTTTCCGTTCAGTAACCCCTCCACCTCGCGCCCCAACAGAAGATCCCCCAATTACAGCTCGCGCAGTCCGCTTTACTACCCCTCAATCACAAAATCGGTTCGCCTCTCTTCTCGAACGGGAACTATGATCTATCACTATCCAACTCAAAAGGCGCCTCTTAAAATCCTACAGTTAAATATAGGGCACGCGCCAGATGCACATGAAATAGCTCTCACATTGGCATACACAAGCGACATTGATATTATCCTAATCCAAGAACCATATATATTCAAAGATCTTAGCCGACAGATCACAAAAAAACACCCATCATATGAATGCTTCTCCCCAACTGACAGTTGGGCGATAAGTGGCCGACCACGAGTTCTCACCTATGTTCGAAAGAAGAAGGGCATTCGGACCTCCCAGCTGCGCCCCTTCACAACTGACACCAAAGAGGCCTCGGATCTCCTATTCCTACAGATTTTTTCGCCCACAGGAAAGTCCGCTCTGATAGTTAACATCTATAATGCCCCAGCAGGCTCCATCAGAGCAGGCGAAGCCGCGAAAGCTCTTGCAACCCTGCCAGAGGCATATTTCCCTCAAGCAACGATACTCGCAGGCGATCTCAACCTACTACACAACAGGTGGCAGCCCTCGCTACATCGCAGCCCCACACCTTCTGCAGAGCCGTTCATTAACTGGCTGGACCTCCAGGGTCTAGTACTCATCTCTGACATAGACTGTCCCACACATGAAAGGGGCAACGTGTTAGACCTCAGTTTCGCCTCAAGCCCTCTGGCACTCGCGGGAGCTAAAACTAGCATAGCGAGCCACTTAGATGCAACCTCAGATCATCAACCACTAATCACCACTGTACCATGGGATCAGAGATACAAGGAAACAGCTCAGAAACTGAGATTTGACACACTAGACCACACCTCCTTCCTCTCGCTCCTCGCCTCTAATCTCGCTGGCACCGAGAGCTCAGCCGCAACAGAAGAAGATCTTGATGCCCTTGCTGAAAACTGACATCTGCAATTCAAGGAGCATATAGAGGCTCTGCTAAGAGGACCATAACACAAGGCATAGGATAACCATGATGGAACAAAGACTGCAAGAAAGCTTTATATAATTACCGCTTAGGCCTCTGCTCAAAGACAGACTTCCACAGGATAACTAGATGGTCTCAATAACAATTTTGGCGAGAGAAGCTCTCTACGGTAACACAAATGAAGGATGTCTTCGATATGAGCAAATGGCATAAGTCCACAGGCACCTTCCAAAGCCCTCCACTGAAGGATCCACTGAGACCCAACAGCTTCCCAGCAGTTACTATACATGAGAAACGAGACGTACTAGTCCGTAATCTTCTCCAAAACTCGGCTGAGGCAGGAGACATACCGCTGGACTCCCCAGCAGTCCCCACCACTAGTCTCTATTTCCCAGATATAACAATGGCACAGGTGGAGGAGTCAGTACTTCAGGGAGGAAACACAGCCCCTGGCTCAGACGAAATCCCAACCTGCATACTCAAAGTGGCATGGCCTCTGATCAAGGACAAGGTACTAATGTTATACCAAGGGTGCCTAAAGATTGGTTATCACCCAAAATGCTTTCGACATGCAATCTTAGCAATTATC